TCACAGCTTCAGGCTCCTATCTTCCTGGTCATAGCCCAGGATCATTAATTATGAAGTAGTATTGTGCGGGCGGATGATATCTGCATCGAGCCACAAATGTAGGAATACCAAGTATGGGGTTCCTGTGTTTCGCTTGAGATGAGATCACGAGAATGAGAGAACTACTCGTAAAGCCGGGAAACCCCTGGATAAGGGAATGAAGGCCAAACTTGGACTCCAGTAGTTCGGCAAGGCTCCCAGAGTGCCCTCAGGAGAAAGATGCAGCCTTGTTCATGCCATGATTGTACCCCATAGTCCGCAATGCTGATAATATGGCATCGATCCCAAAAGAAGTAGGTGGGAAGTATGGCTTTGGAGTAGAGGCGTCCTGGCCCGTGGGAGTAAAATATCATTCGAGCAATTGTGATGGTCGGCTTTGCAGGAGGATGTTTTCCTTGCAACGGATACTCCCAAATCATGCTGCCTAGCTCGATTCAGATCATCGGATTGCTGTCGGCCACCAACTTGAATTTCAATGCCCTTCTCAGGACTCAGAGAGCTGTGCTTCCCAAGCAGTGCTAGCACGAGAGTCTAGAGTTCAGGGCCGAATACAGTTCCGGATGTTGCCGTCATGGTTGATAATGGTGCATTGACAAGCATATTTCACTATCCCAAACCAGGTACCAAGTAGATTCTCAATCCAAAGCTACCTCGGGTATATTTCGAGTGCTAACTGGGTCGAAATCATGAGAACCAAGTTCTAGTTGAGATGTATCCTTTCTCCGATTTAGTCACCTGGCATGTAGTTTGACGAACAAGTCGCCCAACGAGCAGAGCTGCCAGTGACCTGGCAGAAGAAATACATTAGAGACTAAGACAAATTGAAGTAGCCGGCCGAGTGAATATGATTGGTGGTAGGAGTAACATGGACAATCTTGGTGGGGTTTGTTGGCCGTCATCGAAACCATTGCCGTGTCCTCGTGGGACCCCTGATGCACGAATTCGAGCTACGAAACGGAGTAGGGCGCTAGTCTTCTGGACATTGGGGTACTCCGAGACAAGCTAGTACGAGCAAACAGTAGGTACACACGACGGACCTCAGAGGTACTCGCGGGAGAAACAAACCCCCACAATACCGATGCCCCCCTTGACCGTGATGAATATGGACTCTGAAAGCATACACTGAATGTTGCCCAAAGGAAATTCAGGGTCAAGGAGGTAGGGCAAGCAGAAGGAAGGATGATTGAGATGCGGTCTCGAAGTCATCAATTACCCGTCCAAAGCGGGCAGGTGATCGATGTCAATCGGGCCATCTTATGCGTCGGGGACGGGGTGCCGTGAAGGACATGAAGGACATGATTAACGACAACCTTTGAAAGTGGTGTGAGAAGCGGCGAGTGGGGAGATACAGCATACTCCGTACGCGTATTGTAATTTGACAATTCTGACTGCGGACAATGCCCCATTGTGAGTTGGGTTTGCTAACCGGTCTTTAAGGTGAGTGATGTACTGCTACCAGGATATGGTTACAAGCCAGTATCACTGCTTTGGAGGGGACACTGGACGATTGTTTCGCCTGGGCTGTGATTAAGCAACAAAGCAGCAGCACCCAGAAGTGTTCCTCCTCGGAGAACAGGGCAGAATGCAGTGTGAAAATGAGGACCATCGCCCATCGGTTCCAGACATCTGCAGGGTGAAAGGGACGAGATGCATAGGGTAGGTAGGTGTTAGTACGAGGTACCTGGCCTGGAGGACAATTCCCAGCGATATGGCCATGGGGGCGCATGCCAAGGGGCTAATCCCACATGGAGGTTAGTGTGATGTGGAAACCCCTGCTGTGTGCAAGTGCAATGAACATTAGGCGTGCTATCCTGATTTACGAGCTTGAAGGCTATGTTCTATTTTGCTGGACCGTAGAGGTAGGGTTCAAAGATTTTCCGGCACCCGTTAAGTACCCAGGTAGGTACCAACACTGAGAATAGGCACCTGGCCCCCTGGAGCTGCAACTGTTGAGCCGAGAAGCTGAATATTTACAGAACCGAGGACTCCCCATTTCTTGCCTACAGGGTCCTCCTTCCAGCGCCCACCTCGCGCTGGTCTGGAGCCTGGAGGTTCCTTCGTAGACTCGTACTTCGTCGTGCACCAATTGATACCCCAACCTAGCGCTAACAGGAGCTCCGTAAATTTCCCACAACCGGCTGCTAATCCCCTTTTTCTCGACACTAGCCCATCTCCTCGGTTCATCGGCTATCATACAATACAAACTCGCTGAATCCATCAAGTTGACATGCCACTGGCATTGCAGTGTGCTCCATTGATTATGAACAGAGTTCCACTTAGTTGTCCACCGCTACGAGTGCTCGTATGAATCGGATATTTTCCTCCTTAACAGTCAAGGACTTGCGGGATGAAGGTGGTTGCAGAGAAGCAGGTCGCTGCATTGGGAGAGCGGCTCTTGGGGGGCACTGGCAGGCACTGCACTGCACTGCATGCCCTGCAGTCGTTAGTAATAATAATAATTGTAACAACAGCAGGAGCACCAGGTTTGATTTCGGTCGACTTCACGCTCGCGACGGCTTCCCAAGCCGATTGTCATTACTGTAACTTGAACGCGTGCGGAAGCTGATCATGTCCCGTTGACTACCTCCGAGTCCTCGTATTGTTGTCACCTTCACCTTGCCCTTGAGTTCAAGTTCAATCACACTCTCACACCCTCACACCTTCACTGCCTTGGTCTTCAAGAGGTTGCCCAGTGGCACTTCACCGTCTTTGACCGTAATTAACCCTTGCCATCACCACTGCATTTCGGCCCGTCGTCATCCTTCAAAATTGCCATTTAACAATAACCGTCACTCTGGTTGTTCAATGTTCACGCTTGTTCATGCTTGCTGGACCTCCTAACCTTTTCGAGTTTGATCACAGCTTATCCACTTGTCCGCAACGAACCAAGCCACTGCACAATCCACCGCAACGCACCCTGGTCATCATCCCAGCCATCTCATTCTCCATTCACATCTCCCACACAAGGTCATCGCTGGCAAATCACCTTGAGCCTTCGACCCCGAATCCCCATTCCGCTCCTTCTGACTTCTGCACAATTCGAACACGCCCTCGAATCTCTTCCACATCAGCCCATCAGCAGGCCAGGACCACATCCTGTCTCGCTTGTCGCTTCTGCCTTCGAGCCCCGTGTCCCACCTATCAATCGTCACCTTCGTCATTCCCTTTCCCTCAACCCCAGCGCACGCGCAGATTTTGTCCGCATTGCGACTGCGGCAATACTACCTCCTGCCTCTCCTCCAAACTCAACCCTCCGCCCACTCCTTCTCAGAGTCGCCACTATCTGTGCGTAACAACTCTTTCGTCACGCATGACCAGCCCGGTGGGCAAGGGACGGCAAATCATACACACGCGTCCGTATTCATCCGTTGACCGAGTCCCAGCGACGGCAAGTCACTGCACACACGCACGGAGCAGAACACTACTCGTACACCTTTGAACCAACCCCTGTTAGCGTCCGCAACCACGCTATCGCTACCTAGCGTTTCCAAGAAAGCAACGCTATCACCCACTCCCAACTTCGCTCCTCATTTAAACTTTCACGCTCACTTGCCATCCTGGGAATCGCCATCGACCAGGGTCTGCAGGGTATCAGTCTGTCCACCTGGGTCAGGGTGGACCTCACCAGCAATCCTCGAGACGAAAAAATCATCGTGAGGAACATTGGACGCGCCTTGAAACACTTTGTTATTGGCAGACCTGCTTTGGAGAGAAGCACTGCTCTTGCTGCCACCCAGTTCTCGTCCTTGGCTGGCATCCCCGTGCTATTCCCTCGATCGACCATTGTCGGCTGCAGGCAAACCTCTAGCCGCCTTTGGGTGTAGCTTCAAGCATCTCTGCCAGCATCAGATCCCTGCCACCAGCTTGGATTGAACTGGCTGTACAGATATCCGAGGTCTATACTCTTCTGTACAGAGGAACCCCCAGACCAAGGGCAGCAATCTTTGCTCAATCAATTCCTGCATTGACTGGTGACTGGGGGGCCGAACCACCACTTTACCGCCCCTCGCTAATTCCTGAGCTTGTCTGCTTTGCCTTCGCAGCGTGCTCCGGCCATCCTTTATTAGACTGGGTTTTCACGCCATCGTCCAGAAAGTAACGGTCCAACTTACTGCAGTCCCAGCGTGCTCTTAGCTCCTGAAGCCAAAGCACACTACTTTCGGTGCTAAAAACTTCACTTTGGAACCATCTCCGCCCGGTCGGTTGAAGAGGTTCTTGCCCCTGCTCTAAGACCAGTCCGTCCCTTTTTTGTTGTTCAACAGCAGACGGGTCGATCTAGGTGCCCATCCTCGTGCAAGACGAGCTAGCCGTTCCCACCTTCCCTCTAACTCACTTTGATCGAGCTCCACCACTGCCCACGCCAGTTGTTAGCTCGACCGGTGACTCTCCAACCCTCGCCCTTGCCTGGCAGCCTTTCAAAAATAAGAAATAGACCGGACCTTGACTAAGTTATTGCTTCAAGACGCATCGTCGCCTATCCGCCGAACTGCGGTCCAGACGTTTGCCTCTTGACCAACTGCTGTCATTACCTCTCATTCGGGTCATTCACGACGCAAGTGCAGGTGTCAGTTGAACATTCTTTTCCACCAGCGTTGGAGTCGTTGCATCGCGTCGACTCAAAACCCAACAGAGAATCCTATTGATGGACAGGGGTGCTCCAGAGTACGCGCAGTCAGGTTAGCAACATCACCGTCAATCAGCCGTCGAAGCTGTCAACTCTTCTGTGAGCAAGCTCTGAGAATTTCGTGTCACTAGATCAATCGTCTGTCGCGACCTACACCACCCAAGACCCGCGTTCAGCCAATATCTCGAGCAACAACACTCCTCAGTCGGACTACGGCATCACACCGTCATCGGCGCGTTCATCAGGGTTTCCGCCAGAGCATCTGCGCTACAGCCAATACTCTCACGCGCCACATCAAGGCGCTGTTGTAACCATGGCACAACCAACAAGTCCGTCAATGTCCCTACCAGATGCAGCTCCAAATGGAGATCCTACTGCAATTCCCCTCCAAAAGAGGTCTAACTCGGACGTTCCTATAGATCCCTCCATCTCGCAAGCTAGCCCGACCTATCCTCCCTACTCGCCATATCCTCAAGGCCAAGATATGCAGCACGCCTATCAAGCCCAGCATCCTCCCTACATGCAGCAACGTCCTCCTCACGAGCAATGGGGCGGCTATCCCCCTCAGCATGGGATGCCCGGCCCATACCCTCACCCCGGAGGGCCAGGTGTTCAGGGACCACCTCAAACATCAGCTGCATCTCGCCCCGGACAGGTATGGACGCAATTCCAACTTCTCTTTTCGAGGTGTCACAGATGCTAACCAGTGACTTGATCCAGGTTTATTCCTTTGTTCCGATCCCTGGTGCTCAGCAGCACAAGCGCCCACGCAGAAGATACGAGGAAATCGAAAGAATGTACAAATGTGGCTGGAATGGATGTGAAAAGGCGTATGGCACATTGAATCATCTCAACGCGCACGTCACCATGCAATCGCATGGCACGAAGCGAACACCTGAAGGTACGTATACTTGTACTATGAAGGCGTTCCAACAGGCAAGAGGACGATGCAGATGAAAATGATGTGTCCCTGTTCGGCGCGTTCTCCTCGCGTTCTGTGAACGTGACTTCGCCCCCAAGGAATTGCTTATCACACTGCATGGCAATGATACTGACATTTCTGGCAGAATTCAAGGAGATTCGCAAGGAGTGGAAAGCGCGTAAGAAGGAGGAAGAGAATGCTCGCAAAGCAGAAGATGACCGGCAACGAGCAGCAGCCCAAGCCGGCCAAGTTGATGGGCAACCCCCCGAGGGTCATCAGGTTCCCGGTCAGGCGTATCAAAACGGCGGAAGACCATCGCTACCACCCATTGGATATCAGTCTGCCGAAGGCCAACATCAGGGACAGTATGGGCAACCACAAGCTGGCATGGTTTATCCCCAGAACAATGGACAGATGGGAAACTATGCCAATTATCCAAACTCGCCATATGGACAACAAGGCCAGGTTTACCAGCAGCGCCAGTACTAGACTGGGTCATGTCAGCGAGGAAACTCATTACCAAATTGTTGGCTCTCGCGTTGTTCAGCTTCAACAGCTGGTGAGGTCTTTCCGAGTCAAGCGGCATGTTTTGTTTCAATGATACCCAGGTGGGAGTGGAGGAGGTAATTGAAGAACTGGTGGATCGACCCAAAAGAAATCAGGTTCATGGCATTGCTGGCGGGAGTTTTTGTCATCCGATGGACTGGCGGGGGCATCTGCACATTGATGAGATTTTTCTTTTTCCTTGACACCTGAACGTTGCCTGTGCCGGACGAGCAACAGCAGGTGACGAATATTTACGATTGTTCGACCGACAGCATGCACTTCTTGAGAGGAGACGACACAAGTTTTTCATAGAGGTGGAGTATGTTGTTCCCTGCACACAGACTAAGCACATTGTTGGAGGTTATGGAGTCGGGGTTGCAACTGTTTTTCGGGCACCAGCTGTGCATATTCACATGCAGAGGTGCCAGAAGACGTCTCGTCGCTGCGCTCGCGCTCACAGACCTGGCAGCAAGTTTTGTACATTGATCTTCTCCAAACCAGGATAAGACTTGAGCTTCGCGCTTGACTAGATTAGGAGAGGATCCAGAGTTTTCTTTTAGAAAGTGATCAAAGTTCAATGAAGATTGTATCCTTTTGCGAATAGATCTTGTTGTTCACGACCAATTGCTGATGACGGTAAAAGTTTGACGCTTCCCCGCGTTCAAGTTCGTGTTGGATGGATGCGTGTCATATTTAGTCTGATCGGATGGCGTGTGTCTGTTGTTGACTACGGAGTACCACTAACCAGACCAAGCCTCTGTTTACTAGTTGGGTTCCATGACTCCCAACACTTGTGGTTTAGGCCTATTTATCAAGTGGATATGGTCATGGTCAGACAGTCGCCTTGGACTCGACTTCTGGGTGTCGGATGCGGTGCAGTTAAGGTTGAGCAAGGGTAAGCAAGTTCACACTAGACTGGACACAATCCATTGGGTCGTGAGGAATCCGATAAAAGAACCATGGAGTTTGTGCTCTAGAAGAACGGCGTTGTTTAGCAACGTTACACAAGACCATGGGAACTAAGATGGTGTCCGAATCAAGGTTGACCCTTTGGGTGTTAGTTGGTCTGGAAATGCAAGAAAGACGACGGTGGTGCAACTGGGGTCCTTCTAGTCGCGGTGCTTAGCAGGAACCAGCAGCACAGACGCCCATTAGCCTAGCCTCGACGCCCTAGAAAGTGCTAGACGGCCTCTAAATCAACCCGTCTCCCAGCTAAGCCTAGGAAGCTAGAAAGAGCTAAAGATTGAACCTTTAGGCCTTGTCTTAGGGGCCGAAGAACCCGCGTGGCCAATACGTCACCCCCAGTGGCACACCTAGAAGCTTGATCGCGTTGTGCTCGACGGCACCAACGCCAGCCCTGCCTTGTACTAGTCGCTCTGGATAACAAACACCACCTGGTCAGCGGTCCGCTATTCGATTCCACTAGCAAGACGAGTTTGAAGGAGCCTTGGCCAGTGGCCAAAACACTTAATTGCCACCACAATGGCATGGTCCTGTACGAGGTTTCCTTCAGTAGTGGCACACCATCTTTCCCTCCCCTCCTTTTGCCTCACCAAGAGACCCGACAGCATGGTACACTACTCACTGGTCGCATCTTACGATCGCACCACTTAGTACCTCAACATCCTGGTGCTTGGGCCAACGCTAAACTTGAGGAGAACCGCCATGACTGCGAAGTGCCAAACTCCCTTGCATGAGCCTAGGAGCGCCTCAGAAGTTCCTATCCGTAAACCAGGTTGTGGCTGGCTGTCTGAAAGATTCGCCACCGTCCCTCCGCTGCGGAGCCGTTGGAAGTCCTTTCCAAATGTCTGGTCCTTCATTCCGGTCCTGTAGCCTGCTTTGATCTCCTCAGGTTGTGTGGGTGACGAGCTGCTCGGGTGCCAAGTCACCACTAACATTGTCTCGATACTCTGCAAGTCACGAGCAAGCCATGGGATGTCAATGCATTTTGATTAAATGACTACGGATGATGAGTATGCATGATAACCATGCTCTTATCAATAGTTCGGACGTTGCTATGGTCTTCCAACCGTCTTCGAGAAGTATATTGAACGAGGCCCCTTTCACACGCCACACAGTTACGCCAATGGTCCCGGGACACGGCCTGTCCAGTCATTCATGGCAATCCTGAAATCACTGTTAGTTGTAGGTCCTGGTCAGAGTTCGAGACTAACAAGCGCAAAGTCTAAAGCTGAAAATGCGGAGAAGACGAAGGAAGGGACGAACAAGCACTGCATAATCCCACGGGTGAGCTATAACTTACAAGGGTCATAAGTGTTGGAGCCGATCGACCGTGATTCTCCGTCGGCAATACGAACGTCGTTACAGGGTATATCAAGGAAGCATGTGAAATGCCAAAGATTGATGGGATGTCCATCTCCTGACTTAGCCCACAGCTTATTCCTGGATTGTGGTGCACCAGCATCTCATCATTGCTAAACACGGATGGAACGAAGTCCTAGGCTACAAAGAACAGTCGGGAAACATCCTCTCTCGTCCTATCAACAAGGACAAACCTGGTCATGCTATCAATGTCGGCAGCTGATCACGAATGCTACCGTGAAGTCAAACCACACTGCTTCCGCTTTCTACCTGTTAAGAGACCCCTTTCAAACGCCTACCGCCAATAACTGAACACGCGTGTTCGTCCACTCTCCTGGGCTTCGAAAGTCTGCAACTATATCAGCCTCTACTATTACATGTTCTTACCTCACTGGTGCTTCCAGGCCATCCTCCACAATAACCCAAAAATGGATACAGATTGGTGAAGCTTGGTAGCTACCTCAAGGCTCTCAACGCTTAATAGACGAAGGGCTTGCGCACTACAAGATTCCCTCGACGACTCATGTAATTCACATCATCATATTTTGCACTGTCGTGGTCGTTGAGCGAAATGTTCTGGATGTACTGGCATGACTAATCGCACACACGTGATACTGTGGTCTTGTCATGTGACTTCGATAAATGTTTCCGCGAAACTTGCCTATCAAAGATAAATCAGAAATATAATTCTGGTCTTCGTCGCCGCTCGAGAGACCTTCTGACAAGAATGAAAGTCACCGTCGATTGACAAAGTCCATGGCACGGCTTAGACTCAACTCTTGTGCACTCCTATTTTTCGCTTTTTCCGATGCTCAGCTGTACTGCTTGCATTCGGCGGGCGCTCAATAATCTCTCGCCGACCATAAAATCTTCACGCAGCCTCCACTTCTATACTTCCCGAACCGGCCTGCTCGCTCAGTCACTATACCGCAATCACTCCACCCTCCGCGCGATCAGAACCGGTCATCATCGGCGTGAACTGCTTCATAGCCTCAAGAAGTCTTCGAAAGGCAAACCCGATCCCAACAAAGCTTCTGTCAGAAAAGTCAAGCGGGAGGCTTTGAAAGAGAAAGATGAGGCTGCGAGAATACATAACCGGAATCGACTCCTCAATTCACCATCCAGTGCAACAAAATCCATACTCTCCGACCGGGTTCAACTTGCATCGGAAGTCCTGAACTTGTTGAAAAAGGAGCAACTGGTGAAAGCCCTGACGTTATGCCGCCTCAGCGAGAAGGGGATCGATGGTGCTCCCCCGGTTGACAGCGTCGTGAGCTGGAACCATATCATAGATTGGCTTATGCTCAAGGAAGACACGGGACTCGCTTGGAAAGTCTTCAATGAGGTGACAGGCCCTGTTAACTTGACTCCAACAGCCATGGCTGACCTGAACTTTCACAGATGAAAAAGCGTGGTCACAAACCAAGTGCTCAGACTATTACAATAATGCTGCGAGGGTATATGGAAAATCCAAAACAGTCGAGGTCCACCCAGCAGGCTCTGGCGGTCTACAATTCTATGTTTGGACCACACTCGACAGTGAAGCCATCCATCATTCACTCCAACGCCATTCTGTCGGTTTGCGCCAGGGCCCGTGATATGGACTCTTTGTGGGGCATCGCAGGTCGTCTGCCAGAGCGTGGACCAGACGCTGCTGATCGACGAACCTACACAACTATCTTGATGGCAATGACTGCGGACGTACGTGCCCACGCTTTGGAGCTTGGTTCCAAGGAGCAAAACTTTCGGCCGGAAGAGCGCGGTCTGAACACAGAAAAGTTGTTTCAACAAGCCATAGAAGGTGGTCAACGGCTGTGGACGGAAGTTATTGCCAGGTGGCGCAGAGGTGACTTGGAAATCGACGCAAAATTAACTTGCGCTATGGGTCGGTTGCTGATGCTATCTTCTGAACGGAAACATCATCATGAGATCTTTGCCCTCATCGAACAAACGATGAATCTCTCCAGGTTTGACGAGCGCCTGGAGTTAAAGAAGAAAGAGTCTCCATCGCTGATCAATGCCGATCCGGAACCAACAAACGTCTCTGTAACGACAGAACAATCAGTCGGGGAAGACACATCCCAGACTGGTGTGATGAGTATTGTTCGTGAAACCAGCGCTGAGTCACCGTCGGAAGCCCTGAGTTTGAAGAACGGCTCCGCCTACGCCGTGCCGGACAATAACACTCTCTCATTGCTTCTCGAAACTGCCCTGTCCTTGAAGGACCCAAACAGAGGAAAACATTATTGGGAAACAATCACTTCGCCCACCGGGCCATACAGACTCCAACCAGATGGTGGCACATTCACCCTCTATCTACGTCTCTTGCGAAGTTTACGAGCTAGTCAAACATCCCTCGATGTTTTGAAGAGCATCCCTGACACAATTTGGAAAACCGCGCTTGCATACCGCGGGGTATTCATGATAGCCATGAGTACATGTGTGCGAGACAGGAATAATCCAAATGTGTTTGATACAGCATGTCGGCTCATTGACTTGATGCAAGCAAAGGCAGAGGTTTTTGGGTTTCACCAATCGAGTTTCGACAACCATCGCACCGCATCAACCCTTTCGCCCAAAGTTCTTACCCTTTATGTGCAACTAGCAATAGCTACAACACGAGGTATCAATGGTGAAAAGCTGACCAAGGATGTGAAGACGGGCGATCTCAATTTTGAACGAAACCCCCGCAAGAACAACGTTCTGCGCGCATTGAACAGACTGACATCAGACACCTTGAATGTAAAGCGAATGATCAAGCTCAATGTCGCCGAATACGAACGTCAACTCGCTCAGAAATCGCGTACTCCTAGGGTCCAAAGTCGTCTCAGGGAGCAAGCCGAAGCACCAGCTGATACACAAGAGTTAGTGGATTATCTTACAACTCTGATTGGAGCATACGATAAGCTTCTACTGGTCAATGAGAAGCTTGAAGACGAAGGTTTAGGGCCTTTGGACTCTCAGATCGTAGCAGACTTTGTTCGAGAGAAGAGAAAACTGTCGGCTTTTGTAGGCATGGTCAACAATGTCCCTGGCATCGCTTCAAGGTATAAGAAAATCAAAGAATTTCTCGAACCACTAGAAAAGGAAGACGAAGAAAGACGAGAAGAGATCAGTAACACGGTCCAGTCCAGTGCTTTGGCAGAAATCAGAGATGAAATCCAGACAATGGCAAATTTGAAAGAGAAAAAGAAACTTTTGAGAGGCTTGTCGATTCGGCAAAAGCGCGAGCTCCAGAAGGAACTACATGCCCGTACTGTCGACCCAAACCGTTCCCCACCTCCAGATTCCCCCGAACCCTTGGCTCCACGCCCTACGCGACCCATGAGGGCCAAAGACGCGGCTGAGAATGGAAAATATACGGGGTCCAAATCGGTGACTTTTCCAGGGTTTGCTGGCATCAAGAGAGCCAGTCGACCAGCAGTCAAGGGCGAAGTGGAAGCTCCCCTGAGGGTCAGAAAACCGCTCCACAACGGATTGTATCCGACATCCAAGTCTATGACTCTTCCGAGATTCGGTGCAATCAAGAAGATTGATTTATCGGATATCAAGGACGAACGCACATCGGATCAGACACCAAAGTATGCGTCCAGAAGAAAACCTCAATCGCCATACGCAAATTCGCCTGGCGTCAAAGGTTGGGGTGGCGGCTTTAGCGAGCTCGCAAAGAAACAAGGCCAACCCTCAACTGGGCTTGTCGACCTGGGTAGATAGATGATGGAAGACGCCCGACTACCATATACTGAAATGGTCTGGCTGTATGATCAATGTACCACCACCAATGTTTTTATCCTCTGAAAGTTGGCTGGAACCCGCGCTGGAAGCGCCACGTGGTCCACTGCTACTCAAGATGTTTTAAAACTTTCTCTCCTCTACCATGTTGCGTCGGTAGGAGGAACGATTCTTGCTATTATATTATCTAATTGGAAGAGAAAAGCAAGTTGATAGTGCTTTTCGCCTGGACTTGGCTTTCTAGGTATGTAACGATATTCAGATACATATGATGAGACACAACTTGTACTCCTAGTATACATCAATTTTGAGCCAGAATATCGGCCATTCTTGCTCGTCGTGGGCTAGCTACTAAGTAAACAATGTTCGCTGAAAATGCAATAATCATGATGAAAAGGCCAGGCAATACGATCCAACAAGCAGTCCTCCCCCGACCCATTCACCTCAGCTCGAGACGTTCGTTCTCACATACCTCTCAGCTCAACCCGTCTATGTCTATGCCCGGGCCATGATGTATGGAATCCCAGTCAACTTCATGCCGACATCGTCGAGCACAGGCTTGGTCCTCGGCTCCGACCGATTCGCGGGATCGGGCTCGCCATCCCGCTTCGCGACATTACTTCCCACAACCTGGCAGTTGGGCCAATGTGTCGTTCCAAGCCAGTCTGAAGGAGAATTTCTGTTAACATTTCCTACTCACAAGCAGAAATTACTGGGGGATGGGAGAAGAAACTCACTATCAAAAGCATCCTTCTTCCTCCGCAGCTCCTCCTGCGTCGCGTCCTTGACGGGCATGTAGCAGGTATAGACGCAGAAGCGGGGGGTCGAGGTTGTGGACGAGAGGTTGTAATGCGGCGCGCGACTGTCCCAGAGGACGAGGTCGCCGGGCTCCGCGCACACCTTGACCCATTCGCAGCCGTGCGCCTCCAGCCACTTCATCCCCTCGCTGGTGAACCCGTACCATTCGGGGTTCCAGGCCGGGATGGGCGTTTCCCACTTCATCTCCTCGTGGAACTGGGCGCTGAGTTTGTGCGCGCCCCGGCAGACGATCAGGCCGCCGTCGTTGGGGCCGTTGGGGAAGAGGTTGACGAGGCTGTGTGTGCGGACAGGGAAGTCAGTTTATGGTTTCATCTTTGGCTTTTCATGGTGCTCTACTGCGAGGCGAGCATGGTGAGGTAGTCAAGAGGAAGGGAACCAGGGAATCTTAGACTCACCCTTGCATGACTCGGAACCCGGGCTTCGTGGGATCTTGATCCTGGTGTGGCCACGGCTTGTTGGGAGGCAGGTCTTTGCGGTTTGGGAACCCGAACCCCACAGCGTCAAACGACACGATCAGCTCCTTGTCGTTGTAGACTTTCTGGAACGTCTCGAGCACTTTGGGCTCCGTCCGGATGTCCCACACGAACTTTTCGTGCGTCACCGCGTAGTTCAGGCACATGCCTTTCTCGGTGATGAACGGGAGCTTGTCTTTGTGGATGGTGGTTGGGTCGTCGCGCTTGAAGCCTAGATTGCTGTTTTTTTTCAACACCATTGTGTTAGAAAAGTGTTTGATCAAGATATCGATAGCTTAGTGGGCTGGATTAGGGGAACATCTTACAAGTCTTCTAGCCACTGGAGCATCTCGTTTCGGTATGCTTCTGCTCGTTCGATGGGGACGGCGCCCTTGATCACCGTGTACCCGTTCTCCTGGATATCCTTCTGCCATGGCTCGAGGTCGGCCTCTTCTTGGCCGGCGAATAGTTCGACTGGGATGTGCATGCGTCTCACCGAGGTAGCCTCCACTGTCTGGGTTTGCGACATTTTGATATTGAAGTCTTGATGAAAGTGTGTGGTAAGCCTGTACTGCAATGTTAATGTTGACTGTCTGTGGAGTTTTCCAGAGTGTTATCGCAAGAACTTGCTTTATATTATTGATGAGTGTGCAAAATTTGCGATGCATCATGTCGATCTCGAATTGACCTTGAACATGGATTGCATCTGCTGCCTTGCATCTGCCGCCTATCAGCCTCTCAGTTCGTTGGTTCAGAAGTCCAATGCTTCCGGGAGTGAAGGTCGCGGCCGCCACATGTCCCGAGTCCACTACAAGTTGATAGACACCATAGGCACCCATCACTTCAGAGATTCGCCGTGGTCTGGAAGCACTATGCTTTCCGAGCTGGTCGACCCGATCGCCACAAATTCCGAACACAGTAAGGCTGGGCATGCAGAACATAGCCATCCGAAGCAAGAAGTCCCTCCGTGTGGGGGACGACGGCCGCCCACATATCCCGACCCCAACATTCGCTGAATCATGCGAGCTAAGTTTTAGGCCACTTGCCATTCGTTATGTGGTTAGTATGATTGCAAGCATCAGCTTAACGAGGGGAGATGATCATGAGCGCTCCTCTCCACACTCGGGAGTGTGGGCCCAAGATCAAAAGCTCCGCTTGGTAGCGAACAGCAAGGCTCTCGGTAATTGACTCTGACCACATATCGTCAAAGATACCCTCGATCGATGGGCTTAAGGGATCTTGAGCAATACTTTCCTTCGAACTCACAACTGTATTATCAGCATGGAGCAGGACTTATTTCGAATCATTGTCGTAGGAGGTGGAATAGCAGGTCTCGCTGCTGCGATTGCCCTACGAGGCCCAGGCCGAGACGTCTTGGTCCTTGAGAAGTCCCAGATGCTCCGTGAGGTTGGAGCGTTGATCTCATTACAGCCAAATGCATCGAAAATTGTCTCGTCGTGGGACCTCGGAGAGTTTCTAAAAGATTGCGAACCAGTCGTTGACCAGGGATTTCGGATCATGAACACAGATGGCCATGTTCTGAACAACATTCCCACCAGTGGACACCTCTTTGGAGCTGATCGCATTATATACCATCGTCAGGATTTGCATGGTGCGCTGAGAGCTGCCGCTGAGTCTAGCAAGCGACCTGGGAGGCCGGCGCAAATTCGTACCGGTTGTGCTGTTCAGCGTATCGATACGGCTGGGGGCAAGGTCGAGCTTGCCAGTGGTGAAGTGATAGAAGGAGATCTCATCGTTGGGGCAGATGGGATACGCAGCGTCGTTCGCGACAGTGTTCTTGAGTCTTCTGTCCAACCTGTTCCAACCGGGCTATCTGCATATAGGCTGTTGATCCCGACAGAGAAGCTGAAGGATCTGGAAGTCGACAAGGATATCTTCGACCCCGAGAAACCAATTACAACCATGATCGTCGGTCATGGGTCAAGAGTCGTCATGGGTCCGGGTAGAGGGAACAAATTGTTCGGAATTGTTGCTCTCGTGCCCGATGAGAAGATGAATGAGACCTCAGATGCGGATTCATGGACTGCAGAAGGCTCGCGAGACAGTCTGCGAGAAAGCTTTGTCGATTTCCCTCCATGGGTACATTCTCTTTTCGACGCGGCCCCTGACGTTGGCCTCTGGCAGTTGCGCGATATTCCTTCGCTGTCAAGCTGGGTCAGTGGCCAAACGATTCTGATCGGAGATGCAGCACATGCGATGCTGCCTACCCAGGGGCAAGGCGCGAGCCAGAGCGTGGAAGATGCGGAGGCGCTGCAGGCTTTCTTTTCTGACGTGACGAATCGTCCGTCCCGACAAGAAGTGCAAGATCGTCTAGCCAGGGTCTTTGACGCCAGACATGAGCGTGCCTCGTTGATTCAAGCATATAGCCGGCAACAGGCTCGGCCAGGAACAGAAGCGGGATCGAAAAAAGTCACCTTGAAACCGGAGGAATTTTTGGCTTTCAATTGTGGCTACGATGGGGCGAAGGACTGGCTGAGTCGGCAGCGGCCTGCGCAGCAGGTGGTGAATGCTTGAAGCGTGGAACAGCGATATTATGATGTTAAGCTTGTAGGAATACATCTCACAAAGCCCAAAAAGGCTGCCCTTGTATATCTAGGCAGTACCCCCTTTCGCACTTCGTTAACATTCGCATGCAGATGATCAAAGTTAGATTGTTCGATGGTTCCTGATATAAGTGTGAGAAAGCGAGTTCCCACTGAAGCTAATGAACACCAAATAGCACATACAAAGGTACGAAAAAGTAGATGTGTGAGCGTCTTTGCCCCTGTTCGGTTTTTGTTGTCACCACAAATCCAACGTTAGCTTTGATCCGATACACCTCGACACGCAAGGCATCATGGTCTTCCCATCTAACCTTTCCACAGCAGTCAAAACGGTATCTCGGTGTTCTGGTACACCCTCTAGAACACTGACTTCACACGTCCCACATGTCCCTTTTGAACAGGTCGACATCACTCCTACGCCTTCTTCGTTGAGAACCTCCAGTAGCGTGCGGTCTGCAGGCACGTGTATCTGCCTGTCACTACGCTGTAATAGCACATCAAACGGCCTGTTTAGCGATGCATCCAAATTGTGAGATGTATTCTCGAATCTCTCAATATTCAGGATCCCTGTTGGATAATCTCTGAACAGCTCCTCAACGGCAGCCAAAAGTCTTGCGGGGCCACAGCAGTAGATCAGAAGATCTTTCGTGTCTTTGCATGAAAGAGAAGAGAGATTAAAGCGGTGATCAGCCTCGTCTTTGGGCCAGATCTTGACGCAAGGGTCCATGGACAGCTCCTTGACGTAAGCCATTTTCGAGCGGCTTGAGCCAAGGTATACAGCTCTATACGAGTGTCCTTGAGTTTTCACGGTTTCAATCATAGGCTTGATAGCTGTAATACCAATCCCACCGGCTATGAAGATGTACTTAGTTGCTGGTCGTAGTTCGAAATGGTTGCGTGGTCCGCGAATCATCATCGCCTTTTGTCTGGCAAAGGTATCATGGATAAATTGTGATCCGCCTGTACTCTCTGCGCCTTCGCGAAGAACGGCTACTGTGTAGCGTCCTTCATCGGCTGGACTGCCGCAGAGAGAGTATTGACGGTGTCCGAATGTACCAACTGGAACGTCAATATGCGCCCCTGGTGCCCAAGTGGGCATGCGTGCACCATTTTGACCGACGAACGTGATCTCTAACACCTTATCAGCGATTTCAATGATACTTTCCACCACTACTTCTTGCTGAATTATCTTTCGAGAGGCCTGGGCTCTTTCCAGTGACGCAGTGTCATTTCTCAACTTTCTCGTGACCGGCTTGGACGGCTGCCACGAGACTGTGAGAGCTGCAATACCGCAACCTTCGTGAACAGGATCATATTTCCTTTTCCCGTAAGGTGTTACTAGGCACAAGTTCGGCAATCTTTCGTACAGAACCCTCATCTCGACCCTGAGGAGTAAACGAGCCAGTGGTGCTCCGAGGCACGCATGAATGCCTCGACCAAATCCAAGATGCTGGGTTGTGAACTTTCGGGTCAGGATCAACTCATCAGCGTCTTGAAATATCTGAGGGTCTCGGCTGCCTGAATTATATGCGAGGAACACATTATCCCCCGGGTACATAGTTGTTTCTCTGAGCTTGAATTCACGAAGAACCTCTCGTTTCATACCCGTAATCGCGGATTCATATCGCACGAGTTCCTCGATAGTTGCTGCCCGCGTTCGGTCGTCTTTGTTGGCCTGATGCCACAGATTCCGGTGGAGAAGATGTGACAGTCCCATGGTCAGGAGATTGGTCGTGGTCTCATGGCCGGCCAAGAGCAAGCCAGGGATCATGGAAAGGTGCTCGAAGTCAGTCATTTCCACAACGCCGCTGTCCCTTTCATTCCATATGTGACTGATTAGATCATCCCTTCGGTCAGCCTTTCTCAACTGGATGAGATCTGCGATGTGTTCGTGCAGCTCGATGATGCCAGCGACCTTTTCATCCAAAGTACCAGATGAATACTCGGCATGACCACCAAAGAGGGCCAGGCTTCGGCCGACCCACTGCCATTGCTTCGGATCCAGTCCTACAATCAAGCTGATTATCTGCAAAGGTAAGGGAAGAGCGAATGCAGATTTTATGTTGATCTCGCTGCTCTCCACAAAGGTGTCCACGACCTGATGAGCCAACGTTTCGATGACCGGTTCGAAGCGTTTTAGTCGCCTCGGAACGAAGAAAGAACTGACGCTTCTCCGTAATCGATCATGGATGGGGTTATCAAGCCCTAGCAGCGTGCCTCGCATCGGGCATTTGGATGATATCTTGTCTGCAATGAAGGATGGTGGGTGAGGAACGGTCGGACCAGATGAAAAGATATCTGGACGGTCCAGAATTGTGACTATATCATCATATCGTGATATTACCCGGGCGTCAAACCTAGGACTATGTGGGAAATTTTCGCGGGAACGCAAGACCTCGAGATCGTGAAACAGTGCGACAGGGTCATCGAATGCCTTACAGTCATCACTACCTGGTATCCCCATAGATCCCATGGTATTTTGGAAAGGGTTATGAGGCTGGTCGTATACAGGACGCTGGACGGAAGTGTGATCAATTCATGACCTGAAGCTGATATCTGCCTGCAATTGACACTGCTAAAGAATAATGCCTTATCAGATTATTAACAAGGTTGTATGCCAATTAGATCCATTTAAGATCGCACGGCAATTCCTCTGCCCTGCCATTTCACCTAATGCACATTCCAATGCCGACTATTCGATCTGCCACAGTTCAGGCATGTAGGGGCATTGCGTATCTTGGCGAATGGTTGGAGTTGCTCGGGGATCGGGCCCACCCCCATCTCACAACCCCGGAAGATATGACTATCGCAAATCTGGATGTAAGCCTGGCAACTCTCCACACACAATCCCCCGCAAGAAGTCGGCAAAACTGGGCGCTGTGGAGGAGGTGGCAACAGCCTTCGGCAACAGCTTCACCTCGGGAAAAGTTAGTTCACCAGCATTTTGAACCTCGATCGCAATAAGTCCACGTAACGTGGATTCCTGCTATCAGACCACTGCTATAAGGACGATGGTTGTCGCACATCTGCAGGGGAGGTTATCTGCTTCTTCCCCAGTCTCCACACCATCACACTAGCACACTATTGTGTAGAAGTGCTCGAGCAGCCAATTTAATTGTGAAACAGCGTTTCCCTCTACAACAAACACGCACCATGGACGAGAAGGCTTTCGTTGATGCCACACAAGTCGAGAATGGTCCTAGTGCTCACCAGGCTATCAAGATCGACGGTGAAGTCGTCCTAGTCTCCGATTCGACAGTGCAAAGAATACCAGTTGCATCTGCTGACCCAAATGATCCCTTAAATTTCTCCAAATGGCGCAAAATGGGCATTATGATCACTACTTGTTGGTTTTGTAAGTCTACTAAGGCTGAGGAAGACGTACCGCGGAGGCTGACATTGGAATAGCGATCTTCTCCCTCCTTTCTCTCGCTGGCCTGGGATCGTTCTTCAACACGCTCTTCCATCTCTATGGAGCCGATCATACGCCTGACCAAATCGTGGGGCTCAGTACCTATCCAACGATGCTGATGGCGGTCGGCTGTTTGGTTCTCCTGCCGATCGCCATGGTGATCGGTCGTCGGCCAGTTTTTATCATATCTGTTCTCGTATGCTTGATCTGCTACATTACGGCAGGCACAAGTCAAACATTCTCGCAACATTTCATCAGCCGCATCTTTATCGGGATCGCCACCGGCGCAGTAGAATCCCTTCTACCACTCATCATTGCTGATGTCACATTTCTCGATGAACGTGGATTTTACTTCGGCATATACTGGTCGACTCAAAACTGTGTCAGCTCAGGTATACTCATTGGATTGCCCTATCTGATTGCGGACGCCGGATGGAGATGGTTCTACTGGCTTTTCGTCATCACAATGGCTATTTCATTCATCTTCGCATTTTTCTTGCTACCCGAAACTAAGTTTGCTCGGTTACCCATCACTCTGAGTGGCAAGACTATTCACACAGACGAGTTTGGTCACACAATGGTTCTGGACAATGAGGAAGCTCTACAGCGCTTTGGACACATTGATGCGGATGAGCATACCCCAGAGCCAAAACGGACCTACCTACAAGAACTCAAACCCTGGTCAAAGATCACACCTAATGCTTTCAAGGTTTGGTGTGGAGCCTATATCAAGATTGGCAAGGCTTTTACATCCCCAGCTGTCATTTGGGCTCTGCTCCTCTCCTCGATCTCCTTGGGCATCGGCATTGCGGTATCCTTCGTGTACAGCGTCGTTCTTGAGGTCAGCTATAAATGGTCGCCTGGATCAGTGGGACTTTTCAACGTCGGGATCATTCCCGCATCATTCCTGGCTATGGCATACTCTGGCTGGTTCGGCGACAAGATGAACCTTTGGCTAGCCAAGCGAAATGGTGGTGTTCACAGACCCGAACATCAACTTGTGAATCTGATATTCCCCTGTCTCGCTGGAGTCGTTGGGCTAGTCGCAATCGCGTTACCTGCCAACAGCCCAGAGCAATACTCTGCTTGGGGAATGCTCATCGGTAAGTTTATATGACTCGTGTCTTGGGCCTGAACAATGGACTAATGCCAATTCTAGGTTGGGCAATATTCCAATTCTCTTTCACATCCATAATCATCACAACGACTACATTCGCAGCCGAAGTCATCCCAGAGAACCCAGGTGCAGCCATTGTGTGTGTGGTGGGCGGCAAAAACCTTGTTTCGTTTGGTGCCTCTCAAGGTATCATCCCTATGGTCTCCAAATATTCATATTTGACTGCCTTTATGATCGTAAGTCATTCTATCCCCGCGCATATTAGGTACGGATAGTTTGCTAACTCGATTCAAACAGTTATTGGGAATCTTGATCGGAATCTGCTTACTTGGCATCCCCGTCTACTTCCTCAACCGCAAGGTAATTTCCTCCTACTTCATTTAGGACCACTTTGGCTAACGTTTGATAAATAGTGGCGTAAAGCGACTGCCAAGGAGATCCAGACTTAAAATTGATTGATGCTACTGGGACTTTGGAAAGAGTTCACAAGTCTGATCATCAATTGACTAAGCATGATTCTATGTAATCGAGAAAAGGAGCTCAGTAGACCAGTCGATGTGCTATGTGATCAAAAATAACTATCAGAATATGACGCTCTAGGCAGTACTAGCCCGCGCTATTCTCTTGATTCCAACTCAAGTAGCATATCCTAATGCAGAGTAGTTATCAATCACTAGTCGTTTGATAATGTGTCCTTGACCCAGACGTGCTCGTGGCTTCCACACCGAAAACTAGGTTATCCTGCCACCTTCATGAGTAGAAGAAGATATTTCGAAGTCCGGGCATGGTAGGAGGCCAACATGCCGTTCACAAAGCCTATCGATGTACATGCGACAGCCAAGGCCTCGAACTTTATCCCCGGCCCCGCAAGATCCAAAAATCTGGTTTCAATTCGGCTCCACCAACATAATATTCAGAGAACTATCAGCCAACGAACTCATACTTCTCAGATAGCTTTTATATTGCTATTCAATTCATCAGCTTACTAGGGACACGACCTTGATCTAGACATTGCCGGATCTGACTAGCTTTGCGATTGACGAGCTCCCTCGAAGCTCTCAGCTGTCAAGATTTCCCCGCATTCGCTGCGGTAGTTAGTCCCGCGTCGATGCAGACGGGATCCAAAGGGCATCAATGTCCTGTTTGCCAGAAGGTGTTTGACCGAAGAGATCACCTAAAGCGACACTTTGAATCACGTGCGTATTGCCTTGTCCTTCCTTCTGCACAATTACGCTGATGATGCTTCGGAAACTGTAGACCAAAATCGGCGCTCATTTCAATGCTTTCAGTGTGGCAAAGCTTATAATCGCCGGTAAGGATGGCATCCTATTATTGATGTCAAGTAATCACATCTGTGCTGATGAAGCTTGTAGGGATCTCCTTCTGCGACACCAAACCCTCCACGAGGAATCCGAACCCTGGACTAGAGAAACACAGCCGAGACGTTTATCACGCGCCAATCAAGCATGCGTCTCATGTGCGGCATCGAAATTGAAATGCGATAATGAGAGGCCGTGCAAGGTGAGTTGACCTATCCTGCGTTCCATGGTGTTCCTCGATTTGATCGATCTCGGTTCAATTATGGCCAAATCGTGGGCTTGCTGAGCTACGGACATTTCATGGCATTCGAGGTGCAGCACAGCCAATGAACCTGAACTGATCTCTCGCCAGCGATGCCGTCTGTCAAACCGTGAATGTACGAAGAAGGGTTATGGTCCTCCTTCATTCGTGGAATTGGACCCTACCACCTCGGGACACGTCAATCAAGGCACATCATCAATGTTGAGCTCACCAGCCGACAATGTACCAGGTGATGGTTCCTCAGAGCCTCGATACTCAAATGCTATAACAGCAAATTTTCCTGTATATGCAAATCAGGAGATCAATACGTTGGCCGACACGCAATTTCCTGTTTCACAATACTCGGATCAAGAGACTACAATGCAACCACTAGAAGACTGGAGTTACCCGATGTACTTTGAGAATATCATCATGCCACAAGAGCTCCAGATAGATCTAGAAGCACCGACACAAGAGATTCCGGATGTTGCACGGTATATGCAGGACGACGATCTCTGGTCCACTAACCTGGATTTCTCAAATATCAACAATCTGGACTTCTTTAGTGCCAATGTGTTCAATTTTGATGCCAGTCTCACGCCCAACCCGGAACAGCTGGCTCTCAACGCGGCTAACATCCCAGCACATACTGCGGACTCGCCTGCATCCGTCGTGAGTCAAAATTCCCTTCGAGCACGATTCGATGCCTTTCGCCGCTCACCCTGGTATGTTGTATCTTTTAATAATCATGTGGAATGTACAATTAACAGAGCCTAGGCTTTGGACACCCTCATTACGACAGCATGCGTTTAGCGAGCAAAGCAATATTGCCATTCAGAATAACGACATTGCTTTGACCAGTCCCTCAGCTGACCCTGGGGAAGAAGTTGTGCTCCTAGACAAGATCGGGTCAGCAACACGAGACAAGATTCTCCAACTCGTGATTGAAACCTCTCAGTCGAAAGTCTCAATCCCTGCATTCCCGTCGCATGAAGTTCTCGATACATTGATGAAGATTGGTATCACCAAAAGAGTCAAAACGGACTCGTGGCTGCATCTGGGAACGTTCCGTTGTGGGCAAAGCCGACCGGAACTGCTCACAGCGCTTGTGGCTGCAGGTTGCGTGTGCCTGGGTGTCATAGAAATTAGCAAGATGGGGCTTTTGTTTCAGGAGATTGTTCGTCTGTCCCTTGAATCCTTGGTAAGATGAGCCAGACTACGGACGAAGCAAAGTTTTCAGTGTTGACGAACCTAGGTTGAAGCGGACAATAGTGTGGTTCGCGACCTTCAATATCTTCAGGCATACATGCTTTGGATCGACATAGGGATATCCTGCGGGATCACTCGGAAAATGGAGATTGCTGAGAGCCACTTCCAGCCGTTGTGTACCGTATGCTCTGCACCTCTCCTAGTCATGGACGACGACTGATATTCCTCAGGCCCTAAGGCGTGCTGGAGCTTTCGATCGAGCGATGTACCATAATATCATCCCCTATCTCGAAGATGACAACGCAACTTTGACGGATAAGTGGCATCGATGGGCACGAGAAGAGTCTTTCAGAAGGTGATTGTCAATGTTAAAAGCTAAAGGATACTGAGTAACAACTCCGTTTAGGCTTGCTTACCATGCATTCGAATACGACATGAGAATTGCAACTGTATTTCTCCGAAACCCCCTAACATCATTCGCCGAATTCACAGCCCCCTTACCTTCAAGGGCTGCGCTCTGGGAAGCTTCATCCGCACATACTTGGAGATCCGTTTATCTCTCCGATAGTGAAAATGACGTTTGCCAGGCTTCAGAAGTGTCTTTGCAAGATCTCATTTGTCGACCACGCCTCTTGGAGACAATGGTCCCCGGATTTGAAGTACCTCGAGCCAGTTCGTTGTTGCTCCATGGGTTGGCAGGTCAGATTTTTGAATTCCGTAAGGACGCCAAGATTGCGGCCGCCGCTGGAGATCAATGTAGTGCAAGCGTGAGGTTATGTTTGAAGATGCGAGAGGAAAATCTGTGAGATATCGGTTACTTGCAATTAGCGGTACCCTACTAATGAACTGACTGTGGATCTAGATACCAAGACCTCACGCTATTGGCGTCGTCTGAGCACAACAATCCAGCAAGTGTCCTGTTCAGAGAATTCCTGTTGATGCTGCTTTATGTGGACCTTGACGACGTGCAGCGGTTTGCCGGTAAGCATGGAGAAGGAGAAGCTCGTCGGGCTTATGCTCTCCTCGAATCTTGGTATATCGAAGAGCGATCCAGGAATGCTGCCTTCCACGCAGGGCAAGTGCTGAGAGCCGGTATCTCTGTGCCGAAATATGGCTTGCGTGGATTTGAGGCCATCGCATTGTATCAAGCAACACTGGTGCTTTGGGTTTACGGTGTACTCAAATGCACCGTCATACTGCCCAAGTCGACGAGGACGAAGTTGAATGGCCCAGCTGTCAGTTCAAGCTCTGCTTCTGGTTCTACCGGAGCCGCAAGCAACACTAGCAGTAATGATGACCGGCGAGTCTTCCTCGATGGTCCCATCAATGTAGATGTCAAACGCTTTATCGAGCTTGGCCGCGGTGCTCCCGGGTTACGTCTACAACGAGGCAATACGGCAGCAGACGAAATCTCACCGCACGAACAGTTTTGCGATTTGAGAAAATCACAGATGGTGATGGCGGTCGGAGTAAGTGTGCTGGAGAGTAACGTCGCAAACGTGGGTGGCAATAATGAGAAGACTCTTCCACCTTTACCACAGCGTCTGAGGGATTTGATGCGGGAGCTGGGTGCATTGCCTGGGGTACAAGTCGTTTAACAGGTCAACCAACTGACGTTAGGCACACGGCCGAGCTAGTGGAAGTCGTGTTCATGTCATGGGAACGTGAACAGTAATTAGAGCTAATGGGCCATCAACGGTCTGCTCTGTTGCGCAGGATATGCATCCACCTAGTCGAGGAAGGAGGGTGGATTTTTATGACCTCGTAGACTTGTTTGTTAGCGTACTCTCATGGATACTTATACTTTATCCTGTCGTGTCGTGAGTCACTCAGGAGGGCCTTGCCCACGAGGTTGTGGTTCATCACTTTGGCGTTTCCTTCGTCCACAAGCTCCCCGACATAATTATTCCACATGTCGGCATGTGCGGGCCTCGGAGGAACTGAATGAATTACCCCCCACATATGCCGACCGGAGATATGAATCGAGCACGAACGTATCTGAACGCAATGTTTGGGGGTGTTGCCGTGAGTTGAATACTAATCGCGTACTACTTGTTACTTAGTACTATGTACTCACTAATTGATATTGTCCACTTCCATAGCCCACAAGAATTGCTAGAACTGTGTTAAGCAAGCTTGCTCTGGAAACATGAGGGCTTCCAGTGCGTGCGGTTCCTGACAGACGGCTATCGGATATTCTTCGTGCGGAGATCCTTGAACCCAGCCTCTTCAAGATCCGTCTGCAAACGACCAGGCAGGCCAATATGGTGCAACACCACCTCCCTGCAGTTCCTCTTCATCTCCTTGGCCGACGGTGGCGTCCAAGTTCCCCTCAAGATCTGGTTGATCGCCTGAGCCAGAAAGGACGCGTTCTCCGTATACGCCATGAAGCCATTCGACATGGAGATGTAAAAGATACCTGGATGTTCCTGGTCGTAGAAGCGCATGTATAACGGTTTCGGGATATCCGCTGCCGCAAGAGAGTCATACTCGCCGGCTTTGGTACCGCCTGGGAGGAAAGACGAGTCGGTCGACCAGCCAGTCGCCGCAACGATCATCTTGGGGTAGATCACGGTGCCGTCAGTCAGGGTGACTTTGTCACCCTCGATGAGTTTGATGCGGCAGTCATTGTGGATTTTGAATTGCCCTTTCTTGTAGGGCGGGAGCAGGTGCGTGCGGAGGATGTAGGCGACTTTGCTGGAGACAGGATCTCCTGTTCAGAGTTAGCCGACAGGAAGGGAAAAAAAAGTGTTTGGATCACACACGGATGGGAGGACGCCATTCGGGAATGCCGTGTACAATGGCCCAGATCAGGTTCAGGTAGTAGAGGAGCGCGTCAACGACGTAAAGAGGCAGGAGTCGGTATAAAACGCGGAGGAGATGTAACTCGGACCATCCGAACTGCCACATCCATGGCCACCACATGTCGGGCGCTCCCCTGATTTGGAAATTAGCTGACGGCTGACTCCTGGGACTTGATGGTCCAGAACGCACCAATGGGCAATACGAGCCACCACATGAACGTTGGTTGCTTTCTGCGTGATGCATGCTTCCTGGACCATATCCATCGCTGATGGACCGGCTCCAATGACAATGATATCCGAGGTTGGAAGTTCAGAAGGGTCTCGGATCTCGTTGTTGTGCTTGATTGGGAACGTTGCCGTTTCTTGACCGGGCAGCTGAGGGACATATTTGTGGATATTGTGACCACTGAAAATTTCCCCATAAGTTATCACCGCGTTAGAGAGAAGCGGGAGAAGAAGACTTACGTGCACACAAGGACGCTCTTGGTATAGATGGTCATCGTGACAGCCTCAGCGACCCCCTCCGCAAACGGCTCAACCTTGACCTTGTGAAGCATAGGCTTGACCATTTCGACTGAAGTCACGTCATGCTGCCACAGGACATGCTCCTTCAAGCCAAATTCGTGGTGGTAAGCCTCACAGAATTCAGCCACTTGGTCTCGTGGTGCTCTTCTCAGTGGTTGTTGTTGAGGGAACTTGACTCCGTGGACTTCATATTCACACTTCAAGTCCTGCAGAGTCGAATAGGCTGGGATATGGCCGGTCCAGATACCTCCGGGACCCTTTTGGCGGTCGATGGCCATGACGGCAAGGGGAGGGTCATCGCGGACGAGAGTTCGCAGAGCGACCATTCCTGAGAGATACTCTCAGTCTTTCGTTTTCAAGTCGGAAAGAAGTCAGTCCACATACCAGAAGGTCCAGCGCCAATGACGACGGCATCGATTGGATTGTCTTCCGTCGAGCCAGCAGTGCCGGAGCAGACTTGCTCGACGGTGGGAGCCTTTTGGTGTCTGAGTCGGAGATTCATCTTTGCAGAAGGCAAGGCACAGGTAGGCAGAAAGATGGCATGTCAAGCAGAGCCAGACGGGCCACCATTCTCAATTTATAGATTCGAATCTGCTACCACCTCCACCTGTCACTCCTGCTTTATCCCGCTTCAGCTTTCACCTAGTCGTCTCACATCGTCTAATTCCTCAACGCAATCGCTACAATCCTAGCTCCCTTATCAGGTGCAAAATTCGGACGACATTCTCCACGCGTCTTTCTCAATGACCCGGACGATGATGCGCGCGAGCTACTCGGTCGAAATCGACTACGGCAAACGACGTGAAGATCCACCACTCCGCAAAGATACGGCGGAACGCGATCGACGCCACTAACGCGACCAGCCGCCAGTCCCAATCCGCTAAGTCAGACCGATCGCAAAGCACACATTCCATCGACTGTTTTGACCCGATATCTTGCGAACTCAAACGACCGTCTGGAACCTCACGCAAGCAACGTGCCGGTGAAATCGACAGGCCGCTCACGACTTTACCAGGATCTGACCGGCGCCGCGTGATTGGGACATGCGTACAGTATCATAGTTGCTCGTAGGCCTGTTTACGCAAGCCCCTGGCGGCGTCTCGAGTTCAACACCATGGCTTCCGTTGCTGCCGCTTATCTCTCAGTTGCTCAGAGCCTGTGTAAGGCTGTTGTGATGATGAAGATAAAGGATGTCTACAAAGGCCGGCACAATGCTCCTCGAGAAGCCACAACTCCTCATCGTCTACAGCCTAGAAAATGTCTCCCGCGGAAGTTCCCACCAACACCCTCATTGACCAGATTAATGATGCTGCTGTCCTGGCGGCATTGGGTCACAAAGAAGAACTGAATCGACAATTCTCCTTTTTCTCCCTGGCAGCGTATGCTACCATCACTGCCAACGCATGGGTAAGCACGACTGAAGAAGATTGTGCCAGTTCCTGGCTGACCCAACAAAGACATCCATCGCGGGATCACTTATCACTGCTATCTACAATGGCGGAGCACCAGGTCTGATTTACGGCTGGTAAGATGGCCAAGCTCTCTTGCTCGACATCTTGCTTATGCGGTGATTGCATAGGATCGCGGACTGTTTCTTCTACTTCTTCATCGCCTTGTCTTTGGCGGAATTGACGTCTTCCATGCCAACCTCTGGGGGAGTATACCACTGGTCCGCAGCTTTGGCTGGACCCAAATACTCCAAGATCATTGGCTTCATGACCGGGTATATGAATGTCCTCGGCTGGACTTTGGGACTCGCGTCGCTGTTCGCGGTGACAGGCCTTGAGGTCACCGGTCTGTATTCGCTGTGGCATCCGGAGTATGAGAGCAAGACCTGGCATGTTTTCATCGTGTTTGTCGTTCTCAACTGGACTTTTGCCGCATTCATCCAGTTTGGAAACAGGTTCTTACCACTGTACAACAAAATTGGGCGTAAGGGTCGGCCTCATGATGACTTTGAAATGATGGGCTAACATGGGCAGTCATTTTCAACATCGCGGCCTGGCTGGTGGTCATCATCTGCCTTGCGTCGATCCCATCAACTCATTCCACGAATTCATTTGTATGGACAGACTACAGAAATTTGACCGGGTGGCCAAACGGAATGAGCTTTATCCTTGGTCTCGTGGGTCCAGCCTTTGCTATTGGTACAATTGACAGCACCACGCACATGGCGGAAGAAATCCCAAACCCATCGCGGAATGTACCCCGTGCTATGTTGACATCATTGTTCGGTACTTTTTGGCTGTGAGTGTGACCCTCTCGCACCTTCTCGCCGTTGTGGGATGGAAGACTCTAACCGGAGACCAGGGGCTTCCTTTTCCTGATTGCGCTATTCTACGCTGCTGGCTCGCTCGACACTATTTTGGCTGCGAATCCCACCTTCCCAGTCGCCAGTATCATGCACTCGGCATTTGAGAACAAGAACGCTGCGTTCGCCTGCGGTCTCATCCTTTTTTTGGCCTCGCTTCCTTGTTCCATCGGCGCTCAGATCACAACCGTACGCTGCACCTGGTCGTTTGCTCGTGACGGCGCCGTGCCCTTTTCGAGCTACTTTGCCAAAATCGATGAGACGAACGCCATGCCGGCAAGAGCCAACATCCTGATCGGTATGTCCCGAGTCAAGTTCATTTCGCGTATGTTAGTGCCGAGAAACGTCTGCTAAGCCACCGCGACAGCTTCCATCTCCACTGCATTAGGAGCCATCTACATTGGCTCAACCATTGCATTCAATGCCTTAGTCGCCTCGTACGCGGTCATGTCGACCACATCCTACGGCATTGCCATTGGTGTGCACCTGTTTACAGGCAGGAAGCGGATCATTCCAGGCTGGCTCCATATGGGAAATGGCCCGTTGGGTTTCATCGTCAACTCGATCGCCATGATCTACATTGTGGTATCCAACGTCTTCTTCTGCCTGCCGTACTTCAGGCCACCAGTCACTGCCGCGACGATGAACTACACCTCACTCGTGTCCTACGGTCTTGCGTTGCTGGTTGTGATGTGGTGGTTCGTCGGCGGTAAAAGGTCGTACAAGGGTCCGAAACTATCGTCGCAGACCTGGGAGGCATTGGAAGGTGTTCCGATGGGCAACACGTCTGCGGTAGAGCCAAAGGACAGTGACAATGCAGTGTACAGGGGCAGTAAGACTGCTACGGATTCGTCCAAGGAGACTTAGCTGGGGCTTAGAAGGGTTGGTTGGCTTGGTTTATGTTTAGGTTTGGATCAGATGAGTGGTCTCTGTCACGGAACCAAGGCGCCTGAGGTGCCAAGCCTCTATCACGTGACTAAAACTTGTAGGCGAGTGCGCACTACCTTGCAAATAACTCTTGTGGTTCCTCCGTATTACAATTCGATCTTATTCATGAGGATACCTTTTCTCTGCCGTGTCAGTCTCGAAGGAATATCCTGTCTCGAATAGATCACGTGTGTTATACAACTATTGTTCCTCCTAGGCACTTACAGCCCTGGACTCGGGGTGAGAATCGCAATCAAATGCCGACCTTCAACTGCTATTGGCCACCACCACACGTCACTTTCGTCCATGTGCGATCTCCAGACAAACAATCTCTAGCTGCGACCCTTCCAACCAGCCGTCAACTAAACAAGCATCAGATAAGGTCCTGACCCTGGATAAGAAGTACACTTAAAAGCTCACGTGGACTGTGGAAACAAATAATCTCTCCACAAGAGAGACCGACTCGACGCCGATTGCGAGACTAAGTCCGAAATAGGTCAAAAGAGCGATCCGAAATCCAGCCCTTCGCCATCCGAGATAGGATGGTAGACGGACGCGCTACGCGATATCATCTGCACGAACCTCTCACTGTGTTAATCGATGCCAGGAGCTTTGTTTCGTTGGTGATAGCTATCCGAGGCGGCACTCCACTGGAGTCCAATGCTCAAGGCTTGCCCCTGGTGAATCAATTGTGTGCATGATTTGAGGGCCTGTACCTCTTGCAGTGCGACCGATCCGATGCAAAGCACGGGCAGGGTGCAAGCAGATTCGAGTCGGTTTGTTTGATTCATTGCTCGACCATTTGTGTCAATTCATTATCACGCAACCAACCGCACATCATGCCGATATGGGTTTTGGTTTAATGTGTCAAGTCTGGGCCAAAGACGTCTCTGACTACGAAGTACGTATCTACATAAGACGAAGGCAGGTCATAACCCATCCATTCGCTTCGCTCCCACCAAAAATACAGAGTGAGGACGGTGAGAACTTTGTCTTTTTGCGTGCACTCTTGCGGTGCCAACACAACTTTACTTATCAGAAAATTTTCATTCCCGCGAAATTTCGTGTAACATGGCGCCTCCAAAGTTGATCTGGGCCATGTCGTTGCTCGCGACAGTACACGTGGGTGAGGTTTGGGGCAAGATCAATGTTGGGCCAAATTTCAAGTATCCTATCGAAGGTGCGTGAGTGTTGCAGTAGAGAATCGAACAGAAACAGGTACACTAACGTCCTTGTTTCCCTGCAGACCTCGACTACGACCTCCCCTTCTCCAACATAGTTACCTTCGCACATCTCCCCTGGGAACGATGTTTCAACCGCAAGCACGACAGTGCTTTTGACATCGCCGTTGTCGGCTTCCCCTTCGATACAACTGTCAGCGTCAAGCCGGGAGCAAGATACGGACCTCGAGGTATCCGATCAGGAAGTACAAAAGAGAAGCCTGGTCGGACATACAACGTCAACTATGGGCTTGATTGGCATCAGAATTGGGCGAGGATAATTGATTGTGGTGATGTGCCTGTCACACCGTATGACAATGCGCGTAAGTCTTGAATTCTATGTGTTCTATAGAAGGAGTAGCAAGAGGTTGCAAAGAGCGAGCTTGCAGAGGGGTGAAAAGAAGACGAAACCCAAGACCAGTATCGACTGACGCGCCAACCAGACGCATACAAACAAATGGAACAAGGTTACCGCATGCTGCTACACAAGCCCGTTACTCAGACCGCTTCCAGCCCACCATCTCTCGACAAAGTCACGCACCCGCGCCTTATCTCCATGGGCGGCGACCACTCCATCATGCTCCCAATCCTCCGCTCCCTCAAATCCGTCTACGGCCCAATCTCGGTCATCCATTTCGACTCCCACCTCGATTCCCTCAACCCGACAAAGGGCTACAGCGGTGTCGTCTCGGAATAATCGCAATTCACCCACGGCACCTTCTTCTGGCACGCGGCGCAAGAAGGATGCATTGCCAACAGCTCCGTGCACGGCGGCCTGCGCACCAAACTCTTCTCACCCAACGACTACGCCAACGATGCCGAGGTAGGGTTCTCGCTGATTCACGCGCGCGACATCGACGATATCGGCATCCGGGGCATCATTGACAAGATTCGCGCGGCGGTGGGGGAGTCGATGGCGTATATCTCCGTGGACATCGATGTTTTGGATCCGAGTGCGGCACCGGCTACGGGGGCGCCTGAGGCTGGCGGTTGGACGACCAGGGAGTTCAAGCGCATTCTGGAGGGGATTAAGGATTTGAACATTGTGGGCGCCGACGTGGTGGAGGTGGCGCCGGATTATGATACCAATGCTGAAATTACGTCGATTGCGGCGGCCGATATCATGATCGACATCATCTCGGCCATGGTGGAGAAGGGACCGTTGGGCGGTGCGAAGCTGGGAGTGAAGGATGGTGGTGAGAAAGATGAGTTGTGAGCGCCAGTGGGAGGTCTCTTGTGTCGATGAGTGGATGGAAACAAGGTGTTTGGACTGTTCCCGCCTGGTAAGCAGATTGAGCAGGCAGGCGAAGCGGCCAAGCGAGACGAATTGCCACGACAGAGATGCCTACCCATGACCAGACAGAAGAAGTATGGATATAATTGGACCCAGCCAGGAATTATCCGCAGAAGGAAAAAGATTAGAAAAGTACAATATCCCATCCCTTCTCCTCCATGAACAAGTCCCACCTCCCTCCAGCCCCCGCTTCCCAATAAGCCCTCATGGCTTTCCTCGCCCTCTCCACATTCCCCATTCCAAACCTTTCCATCTTCTTCATCCTCTCATCAATCTTGTTTCTCTGCTCAGCATCGTCCGTTTCACATCCCGTACTGAAGACGGGCCACAAGATCAAAATACTCGCGGCCGAGTCAGCATGGAGTTTTTCCAAGTTTTCGAGTATCATATAGACGGCGTGAGCGGGCTTGATGTGGGATTTGGGCAAGTTTTGCACGCGGCGGTAGAGGTGAAGGAGTGCGGCGTGGACGAAGATGCGGTGCGTCAGGCGCATCTCTTTGGCTATGTCTGTTCTTGTGGTCGGCGTGGCGGTTGGCGGTTGGATGCCGGTGGCGGCGGGAACATGATAGGAGGAGGAGAAGGATGGTGCGTGTCGGCAGTCGAGCGAAGGGGGAGCTGACCGTTCGAAGAGCGTGTGTAGCTGGCTTTCAATCAATTGGATTTCCTCCAGTGTCTCGGGACGAAGCTGGCAGTATTCATGCGTTTCTTCTACAGCCTCTTCATCTTCGGAGTCTGTGGAGTCGCTGTCGTTCATCTTCATCCTTCTCCTTGCGGCTGCGGCTGCACGCGCGATTTTGGCCCGTTTCTGCTGTACGCGTGCCATCCGTCCAATTTTTGCCAATAGGGGCATTAATTCCAATGAGTATCCCATGAATTCGTCGACATAGCCTCGGCTGCGATCGGGAGTGGTGCTGGACCAGTAGTGGCCGTCCGGTATGGTGCTTTTGCGTAGGCCCGAAACGCCTGCGAAGATGTCGAGCGTGGCGAACCATTTCATCAGGAAAAGTTGCGTAGGATCCGTGATTGTGAGAGTGCTAGTGAGCGAGCGTGAGTGGAAGTGCTCGGTATTGGAGCTGGAGTTGTTGCAAGTGTTGCCGTTACCGCTGTTGTCGCGTCTGATGGCGGAAAACAACAAATTCTTCACGCCTTGCAGATGCGTACGCCACATACTGAGATCTCCCGAGATGACATCGCTGGTGCACAACGCCAGAGCGGTGGAAATGGTCTCCATCTTGTGCGCCGAGCTATGATCGCTAACAGCCGCGCGCAGACCTGCAAGCGCAGGGTTCGTGAACTTGAAGATTGTTTTGGCCATGTCCGGGGACGAGTTGCCTCGGAGCCGAGTGTAGTGGCTGCAAGCGGACGCGAGCAGAGCGGACAGTAAGTGCGGTGTGGTGATGGCGGCCTGAAGAAGCGTTTCTCGAAGAGGGTTGCATTGAGGTGATAGAGGGAAGATGACGCACGACGTGTGCGCGTGGTAATGGTGAAGGAAAAACCGTGATTCGGATGAGGATAGCAGATCGGACGGCATGAAGATGAGAGGATGATTGAAAGAGACAGGGACATGGTCAAGAAGGTGCGAGAGATTACTGGCATCCGAATGAGTCTGGGTTGTAACCTCGTCGTCAGCGTCGACATAGTCCTGGTCGCTGGTGTTCAGTAGCTGATGGACAAGCTCGAACGATTCAGCTGGCGAAATCAGTCCAGCATCGTCGACGAGGGCAGTGGAAGTGGCTGAGTCTGTCCCGATATCGCCTTCCATGGCCTCACCGGCACCATTAACGTCCTCGCCCTCCTGTTCCATCACGAGAATGGGCCGTGTCTGCGAAGTCTGCCACTCGTTGCAGCTGTTCGTAGACGAGGGAAAACCTGATGACACTTCCCCTAGAACTATCCTCGACACACCATCGTTCCTCCCAGAGTCATTCCCTGCCACCACCAACTCCGTCTCATCATCGTTTCCTTCTGTCCGGTCGAACAAAAAAGCGTTGAAAAGCGTGGCTGCAGTAGAGTCGTCAAGAAGGTCACCTTTCAACACCCTCGACCTCCGCGGTGCCTTGAATGGCCTCCCTCCCGTCCAGGAGAGTCTAAGCTCATACTTGCATCTGTCGGGACATCGTCTGCACCGCGTGCAAGTGGGTTTCTTCTCGTCGCACTGTAGTACAAAAGTGGAACATGGCCACGTGAGTATGAAAGTCCATTGTAGATTTCTGGGCAGCCGATAAACGAGAATGAAAGGGCTATGAAGGAAAGAAAATTTGTACCTTGATCTTCTTTCTTTTGCATTCGGCACAGCCTGTCCGTGTCTTGGTGAAGACTGGGGAGCCACCCATCACAGAAGCCATGTGGATGTTGAATTAATCAACTGGGCACGATCAAGTGCTGTATGGAAATCCCAATGTCTACGTCCACGACTCGAAGACATTGAACGAAAGAATAACAAAGTAATCGACAAACGAATGAATCAGACCTACCTGGACATGGTGAAGTGGATGTAGACGGAGATAGGCATCGTCAACCGCCTGGGGCTTATCTTCACAGCAGACAGGAAGATAATGTGGGGGAAGATTACTTAGGTAAGCTAGAGATAGGGGCGGAGTACCGCTGGCCACAATTGATGGCCGAGTCGGCGTTCGGGAAGCGGGACAGCCTCGGGCAGCATCCGCTGAGGAAATACTGTAGCGTTCAAGTTCCTGCAGACCCAGGCCGGTGCCCCTCGAGTCCCTCTCCAGGCATTCAGAAGCATCACGGTGAAAATCTACTACATGCTGCTACTGCTTCCACTCACTGTGTACGACACAATCTCAACCAAACACAGCAATTTAGCCCCTAAGCAACCACAAAGGTGCAATCATTTCATTTACGTCTACATTTGGTCATACCGTCGTTCCGTTGGCTTCTTCTGCCCTCAACCAATCCTCCTTCGTTGGATACATTTCTCGAAAAGTCCTGGCCATCTTATAGATTGGAACCCATTCTACTCCTTCGTGAGTATTTACCCATTCAATGAATCTCTCGTGGGCCATGATCACATGTGGATGACCACTGGCATCAGGGTGGATGCTGAGCACGAAAAAAGACGAATGTCAGCCTTGTGCAACAAAAGAGATGAGGTGCCAAAGAGAGCGAAGTGTCGAAAAGGTGCATCAGACGTACCACATAGGAAAGATGAAATAGTCGTATTCGCGGTAAAAGTACTCAAACCTCTCTTTCCATATTTTGATAAGCGTATCCGGATCCTGCCACCCGCCGCCGTGGGGCATGTTTTGCACGAATGTCAGTGGGATAAAGTCTGATGTGGTCATCAGCGGTCAGCATCACAGCGACAGAGACCAAGATTCTTGAAGATCGTCTTACCGTCTTGGAACCAATTCATGGGAACCTCGACCAGATCAGTAAGTTTGCCACGGACAAGCGGCTTCATCCAGGACGAAGCCGGCTTGCTTGGGTCGACCTTCTCCCATCTGTCCACTTGGATCAGCCATTGCAGCAGGCTCAAGTAAGGGGAAGCAGCTTACTGATCTCCAACTCGAAGGTAGTATGGCACACAATCTCTGTGCATCGCACTGTGATCATATTCCATCCCCTTGTCAACGAGGAGCTGTGCTGACGCCTCTGAAATCTGACACATTGGCGTCACGATGCCCTTGGGAGGTTCGCCAACGAACTTGGTGAGCAGCTCATAGGTGTGATTGAACACGTCTTCCTGCTGTTGTGCAGAGAGCTTGTTTGGCTCTTCATGCGAATATCCATGAAGCCCACTATTTCCTTTCCGTTAGACTCCTAGGAAACACATCATCATAGACCTGTGGAGAGACTCACATCTCATGGCCAGCCTTGTAACAAATTAGCCTGCTCCTGTCATCTCAAGGCAATTCCAGCACCACTCACGTCTCGAATGGCAACGCATTCTTTGGGGAAAGTATCCAACGAGTGACCAGGGATATAAAACGTTTGGGTCATGTTATACTTCTTGAACATCTTGAGCAGTCGATGAACGTTGACTTCTCCTGCTTGCATTCCTCGAGAGATATCGGATATCGAATCCTCCCCACCGTAGGATCCGATCCAGCCGGACACAGCGTCGACGTCGACTCCATAACCAATTTGCACCTTCTTCATGGTGGGAGCGAAGACTGTTGCGAGCAAATTTTACACATCTCGTCATCTGGTGCTTGGGGTCCTGGTTCTATATATTGCATAGGGCAGATTGGGAAACAACTCCACGCTGGCCGGCCCTGAAACACGGAGAATCATCTGCAGGTAGGTCGGAGCGGTTTTGACATGAGATCTACTATCAGTCCAATTCAGTGCAGACATCGGTTAGCAGTCGACTGAAAGTCCCGATATCGCATTGAATTACCCTTTCAAGCGAAATTGAGGCTGGTCCCGCTCATCGGCATTTGGTCGGCTTGTAGCGGTTTTTCCTTATCTTTGGAGATGCTTGGACCCACTGTCCCACGCTACACAGCGTCAACAAATGCAGTGCGTTCCCCGCTCCGGGGCCGAGTATCTTATGTCATGGTAGGAGCTGTGGAATATATGACATACAGCTTCTAGTGGCAGAATTCATGGAGTCGTCTCGTTGTGTATCTCTGTCGTTTTCTTGCACAATACTTGCAGAAATCCAAGATGGGTTGGGAAGACATCGCCGCGGACAAAAAGGCGCGTATCGACAAGTCAATTCCGGATGAATGGAGGATCAACGTCAAGGATCAGGATGACTCAGTCATGGATATGCCAGCGAAGAGCGGCATCTTGTCTCCTGAAGAACTCGAAATCACCAACTCGTCTGCAGTGGACTTGGTGGCGAAACTCGCCAGTGGCCAGTTGAAATCGCTCGACGTGACTTTGGCCTTTTGTAAGCGAGCTGCCTTGGCGCATCAGTTGGTCCGTTCTGTCCTTCCCAGTCCATGGATGTCTTACCGCAATCAATCGCTTATATTGAGGATTTCACCAGCTCAACTGTGCATTGGAATTCTTCCCCGAGCTCGCCCTCACTCAAGCCAAAGAACTCGACGCCTACTATGAAAAATACAAAAAGCCCGTTGGGCCACTGCATGGTCTCCCAATATCGCTCAAAGACCAGTTCCGAATCAAAGACCTAGAAACGTCGATGGGCTACGTAGCCTGGATCGGGAAATATGACGAGGAAGATTCGGTTTTGGTGGCCTTGCTCCGCAAGGCTGGCGCAGTCTTCTACGTGAAGACCAGTGTTCCCCAGAGCTTGATGGTTTGTGAGACGGTCAACAACATCATCGGCCGAACGGTGAACCCAAGGAACAAGAACTGGTCTTGTGGAGGTAGCTCCGGCGGTGAGGGTGCTATAGTCGGATTCAGGGGTGGAATCATTGGCGTGGGAACGGATATTGGTAGGTAACCAACACTGGGGCATGGATATATGTAAGTCAAAGACCTGTGACTGACAAGCGACGGCTAGGTGGCTCTATCCGCGTGCCCTCCGCCTTCAACTTTCTGTATGGTCTTCGGCCAAGCCACGGTCGAATGCCATACGCGAAGATGGCCAACAGCATGGAAGGACAAGAGACTGTCCATAGCGTCTGTGGTCCCATCTGTCATTCCGTTCCCGGTGGGTACACTTCTCGCGACTCCAATTGACCATGATCGGCATAAACTTACATGGCGTTCACCTGAATCTAGACATGAGACTTTTCATCACCTCCGTCCTCAACGAGGAGCCCTGGAAATACGATTCCAAGGTCATTCCCTTACCATGGAGACGATCCGAAGAGGACATTATCACATCGAAATTGAAGTCTGGAGGCTTAACGCTTGGCTTCTACGACAGTGACGGCAACAAGAGTCACCAGTTCCTGTAAACATGACTAAACCACACCAAAGAAACCGGACACTAACGAATGATGTTGACTTTCAGGTCACTCCTCACCCTCCCATTCTCCGCGGCATCGAGACTGTAGTTTCCACGCTCAAGAAGAACGGCCATAAGGTCGTCCCTTGGGAGCCGTACAAGCACGATTTCGCCGTTGACCTTATCAACGGGATATACGCCTCTGATGGCGGCACAGTGAGCCAGAAATCCTCCCACCCCCAAGCAAATTCCACAAAGATTAGTACCAATATAACAACCGCGAAATAGGATGTCTTCTCCACCCTCGCCACCTCCGGCGAACCGGCGATTCCCAACTTCAAAGACCTGATCAACCCCTCGCTTCCCTCAGTCGACATCAATGAGCTCTGGTCCGTGCAACTCCAAAAATGGGCTTATCAAACTTCCTACCTCGAACAATGGCGTCTCCGCGAATCCGAAGTCGGTAAGGAAATTGACGCTTTCATCGCGCCCATCACCCCGACGGCAGCAGTGAGACACAACCAGTTCAAATACTACGGGTACGCAAGTGCAATTAACTTGTTGGATTGGACAAGTGTGGTTGTGCCGGTGACGTTTGCGGATAAGACCCTAGATAAGAAGAAAGAAGGGTATGAGGCGCTGAACGAGTTGGACGGGGCGGTCCAGGCCGAATGTAAGTGTGATGATTCTGTTATGTCGCATTTGGTTCTGTCTTCTCCACCTACTTCGCTTCTGGGCACTGGCGGAGGCTCTTGGCTCAGGTCGTTTTCCAATTCCTCCGCTGAGCCATGATTTCGTGTGTTGCGTCTAATGGCTTTTTTGTTTAGATGATCCGGAAGCATATCATGGCGCACCGGTCGCTGTTCAGATCGTTGGAAGGAGACTGACGGAAGAGAGAACAATGGCGATTGCGCAAGAGATCGGAAGGTTGTTGGGTAATGAGATCACTCCCTGACATAAGTCGTGCTACGTATACATATCTACCTACCTCTTTTTGCACTTCATGCTGGCTTCGGTGAGGAGGGTCGGTGAGTTCTTAGCACACTTGGTCAAGCTCTAGTATTTGAATTAGCTGGAAACCTTCGGTGGAAATTAATCGCAAACGCAGCCGTTCCTCAAGTGCTTTCGAAGATATATACAATAGCTGGGGAAGCACTTTAAGATCATTCCCATTTGGTTCCTCATTCCAAATCTAGCTACTTATCCTAGTTCGGGCTCCTGACCTTAATTTGGCTCTTAAAATGAATCTGGCTCTTGGTCCTGAACTAGGTCCTGAATCCTAATCCGAAACGGGTAGAGCGCTCGGGATCTCGAATAGCAAGGCAGATCACGCTAGGTTACATAGGTCCGAATAGGGATTTTATGTAGCACCGAAGGGGTCTTCGAGTATACGATTGCGACGAATCCGTCTCTAGCCTCGTCCAAAGCTTCAAGGTGAGGACAAATTTTGTCGACCTTTACTGTCCAGTAGGATGACATGTCTGCAAATTGGAATCCATTTGCCGGATCTTTCGAGAAACGTTGCTCGATAATGGCTAAGCTTTGAATTCCAGCTTCTGAAGACCCTCCTGGCCAAACGACTCTGGAAGAATGAAACCCAGGACAATGAAAGGGAAGCCATAGATTGCAGGGACCCAACGCGGTACAGGCTATATCGGATTAAGGACCCTATGCTGTGCATCAAGACCCTACGCGGTGCGTTTGTTACTGGATCAGGGACCCCATGCTGTAGAGGCTGTATTGGAGCAAGGACCCAATGCAGTGCAGGATGCGTTGGATCCGTACAAGACTGTATGTAGACCTTGCTGGCAAGAGACAGCACTAGCCTTGTGAAGCACGTGAGCGCATAGCCTAGAGCTAAAACACAAAGCCCATCCAATTTCGGGCTGCCTGGCTGCATAAACAGTCCTTTACGTGACCTTAATCCGCGGTTGAGAAGAAAAGGTGTCACTAAGCAGCACAATGCCAGCCAGATTGCAACAGACTTCCGTTGCGATAGGGTTCGGGGCAGCCTCATCCAGGAGAAGGCTAAGGCAAGGCTCAGCGCGGGAACACCGACAAAAGTTATGATACCCAGCTTCAGGTATGGATCGTCCCAGATGCCATCCGTACTGATGGCATCGAACAACTTCTGCGGTAACTTTACCTCGAGCGACACCCGGCCGTGGGCCTATGGGTTGGGGTTTCCAAAATTGGTCAAAATATCGTCCATCAACAGGAGGTTGGACCAGCGTGCGATTTGAATGAGTTGACATTTCATGTTCACCCCGAAGAGATCCTAAATTCGAATCAGACAAGAGACAAGCAAGAAAGAACGGACTTACCGTCGATGATTGGCAATAGTCCCAAAATACTAAGTACCTTGTGCTGTGACCATTCTCGTAATCCGGCTTGTTGGCTTGCAACGCGATTAGCATCTACCTGTAGCGATAATGCTTCCTTTGAGATAACGTAGAATTTCAACGTGTAGACGGCTTTAGGAGCAGAAAAGCCAAGAGCAACTATACTTATAACAATCGGCAACCAAACTTCCCAGCGGACGTGAGCTCCTAGCACTTTTAACTCATCTTGTACTGCCATGAATCTTCCATCCTAGATTTATACAGCCACGTCGTTGTACGACACAGCATGGTTGACGTTGAGTTTCCTCCCCTGCAACCAGCTTTGCCAATCTCCAGTACATTTACATGGAAACGGGTAGACGGCATCTCTATAGAAGCTGATGACTATCTTCCAACTGTCGGATTTGCTGAAACAAACGAACCAAGCAATCGTTCAGCACTTCTTTTCATCCATGGCGGAGCATGGATCAGTGGCCACCGCCAGGAATATTGCCGTCCACTTTTCGAAGAGTTCGTTACACAAGGTTTCAGAATTGTGTCGACAGACTATCGCCTTTTGCCCGAGTCCAGTTTTGTTCAGGGTCAACTAGAGGATATCCGCGTTGTTGGTGATTGGGTTCGACGAGACTTGTCAGTCAAATCGAAGCAGGACGCAGGTGTAAAGGTGCATATTGGGAAGTTTGTGGTGGCAGGTGCATTGGCAGGTGCATTATTGGCCCTTCTTACTGTGAGCTTCAAAGTTTCCCATAACATCCATGTTCTCCCTTCGTGGCTTGCCCGCTCAGTGTTGAGCCTTTGAAGCCTCAACTATGGTCTTCACCCCCCAATGCCATAATCTCAATCTATGGTCCAACGGATCTGCTGCAACTGCCACCAAAAGATCCTTTCGACGGCTTCGAAATACCTGTGCCGAATTCGCAAATGCTGAAATCTGCTACTAAGTTCGCTCATCCACCCACAAATACACCTCTAGAAGGTGACTGGTTCAATGACCGGACGAAAACCGGCATTCACATGTTTCGCATGGGGGCCACGAAAGACTTTTTACTTCATGGTCTGACGAAATCGATGCAAAGGGAAGGGCAAATCGAATATGCATTTCCCGTGGCTAGGCAGGCCACAGACAGAGAACTCCAAAGACAGTGGAATCAGTAAGCAAAAGCCTATGGATTATTAGAGTTCATTACGGCATCTAACCTTCATTTAGATCCTTTGAGTTTGTGCAACGAAATCACCTTTCCGCCGACCTAGAAGATTATGGGCTCCAAGGATAGCCTTTTCGATGTTGTACATGTAACAAAGCTCGCCGATGCGCTCGAGAAGCAGGGAATATCGCATGCGGAGCATGTGGTGGACGGCGCAGATCATGCGTTTGATATGGCCGCTCCAAGTCAAGGGAATATCCATCAAAATGTAGTGAAGCTGGTAGTAGCGTGGCTTAGACAATTTATACTAGTATAATAAAGTCAAATACTTGTGAGAACGCTAAGCTGAGATTGGTAACTATCGTGTTATGTTGCAAAGAACACTTCCCTACCAACTTAATATAGCTAAGGATTTTAGTAAATACCAGAAACCTATACCATACTCTAGGATTTCTAGTACTTAGGAAGTCTTGAGTAGATCTAACATAGTATTATAAGCTATACAAGTCCTAAGTGCTTTTAATCTACTTAATACTAAACAGTACTTTATCGTCTTACGATAATAGCACTGAGTAGTATAGCCAATTAAAAGATAATCAGGTTCCTAATTCTACAGAAGGAGTGGCGGCACCGCCATGACTCATGCGTAGCTTGCACTACTCCCTTACTCTCATTCGGCCAGTTAGCTTGCTCGAGATTTCACCGCCCAAAAGGAGCTTGCTCAGGAAGAGAAGCAACCGCCACCCTAGTATGCACATTACTCATGTAACATGCAACTAAGTAGTAGTTTATAGTAGCCAAGCCTTGGATGCGACCTTATCGTGTACGGGGGATCCTACAGTAATTGCGCATCAATTAAGTTAGAAAGAGAAAGTAGTACGAGCTTACATAACTTTATAATGTAGGTCAGGCCTCTGTTCTAGGATAGTTTTGTATTCGCTCGATCATTTTCATCTTAAGAGTTCAATACTAACTACTAAGTACAATCTTTGTAGGATAAGAACACTGAGTTATTACTAAATACACAGCCTTCAAGGTGTCCCAACAGTGTCGCCACGAGCAGTTTTCCACATCTATTCACATGATCTCGATACCGATGGCTCCCTTGCGGGGCTCGGCGTTAGTCTGGGCCATAACGCTAAGCTGTGCTTCATGCTACCTGCTCTTTGGCTATGATCAGGTAGGTAGCTTCAACATCCTGGAGGAGTACTAAGTAAGTCGTGTTAACATGTTAACGATCACATAGGGTGTCCTTGGTGGTCTGGTAACTCAGCCCAGTCTGCTCAATGCTCTGGGGAATCCATCACCTGGATTTCTAGGCACTATCGTTGCTCTTTACAATATCGGCTGCTTAGCAGGATGTATCGTCTCTGCTACATGGGGCAATATCCTCGGCCGAAAACGAAGTATACTCATCGGTTGTCTGATCATGGTCGTTGGCGCTGCTATCCAGACCTCCTCCTTTGGAGCATCACAGATGATTGTAGGCCGCCTAGTTACTGGTGTCGGCAACGGTATGGCACGGACGCACAGTCTGCGCGGCACTGAGTTAACCTAGCTAGGAATAAATACCTCGACGATTCCAGTGTATGTCGCCGAGACTTCGAAACTAAATAGACGAGGGTCTATGATTGCAATACAGCTCTCCGTCGTCATTGTGAGCTACTAAGCATCGCATTTACTTCAAATTTATACTTACTTTCCCCTTAGTTCGGAACGGTACTCGCTTACTGGCTCGATTATGCTAGCGTTCGCACGCTTAGTGGTGGTGTAAGGCTGTCACTACTCGCTCAGCATCGCATGCCTAACCGTTATCCAGATAGTGTGGCGTTTTCCAGTGGGGTTTCAAATTGTATTCGCCTTAATCACACTCGCGACGCTGCCATTTCTTCCTGATACCCCTCGGTGAGTAGCTGGTGCTATCAGACGAAAACACTAACACGGTCAGGTGGCTTTACTCCCATGGCCGAAAAGAAGAAGCTGTTGACGTCCTGGCTCGACTGATGGACACAAGTATTGACGATGCCGTTGTGCAAGATATCAAAACGCAGATGGAAGAGGCGCTGAGACTTGAGCATGACAATGGCCCAATCGCTCTGAAAACCTTGATCAACGATAGGTCTCCCGTAAAGATGACACGGCGTCTGATTCTCAGCTTTATGATCTATTTTATGCAAATGTTCACAGGCATCAACGTGATTGCATTCTATGGTAAGAGTGTCTAAATCAATACAATATATCAAACGGAAAGTAACTGATGCAATACAGTGACTATTGTTCTCGAAGTCAATGTCGGTCTATCCAGGGACACCAGCAGTCTTGTCGCCGGCTTCGTGCAGATCGCATTCTGGCTTGGTACCCTACCACCGATCTACACGCTCGACAGGTACGGCCGCCGGCGCACAATGATGTGGGGATCAGTTGCGTTGTCGCTTTCGATGATTCTCTTCACCATCGGCATCGCTCTCGACACTGTTGCGATGAATCGCCTGGCACTGGCAATGCTATTTGTCTACGAGATCTCTTTTGGTCTGTCATGGAACTCTATGCCTTGGCTTTATGCTGCAGAGATTACGCCTCTCGAGGTACGCCATATTGGCGGAGCTCTAGGTCCTTTCTCTGAATGGCTTTGGACGTTTGTAAGTGCCATCCGTGACTTCAAGCCGTGGAAATAATTACACTGGCTGAATGCTAGAGCAGGTCATTGTGATCATGACGCCTGCAGCGATCGAAAACACCGGATGGAAGATATATATCTTATTCTGCGCAATGCTTGTGCTATCCATTCCTTTTGTCTACTTCTTCCTGCCAGAGGTAGCACAATCCCGAGCGGCTTCCAAATTACGCATGTACTGACACGATGACAGACCGCCAATAAGACTTTGGAAGAGATTGACTATATATTCTTGACTGATGCCGAGAGGAATGATATAGAACTAAGTTTTGCGAGACTGGACCATGCAGGAGGTTGCTCTAAAACGGGCTCAATAGCGCCTCCCGAACACAATGAGATACCAGATACGGCGAACAAGAGTTGTGGGTAGCCAGTAGTTCTGGAGGCTTCATTTGGTACTAAGTACTGAGAGATAGAGAGATAGATAGACAGACAGACACTAAGTACTGGAGTAGTTTTAGAATGGTAAAATAGTATTTTAGCGACAGATTTTATCTAATGGATTCATCTACTTCACCACTGCACATGAGCTATGTGACTTCGTCTCTAAGTGCCTCAAATGGTGATCTGGATGCCAGATGGGTCACTAAACTCTCCATTTGACACGGAAATCTGCCCGCACTGTTTGCGGATCGTAGCTGCACCAGGACTATGGAAGTGACAGCATCAAGGGGTTACAACCCGGCAAGACACTGAATGTCAACAGTTGAGCGGGTCACATGGTGATCCCGGAGGAATTCATCACAAGCTTGATTTACCCATCTATGTACTTAGTATGTTACGCTGTCTCGGCCACGGCGCGATGACGAGAAACCACTCTGTCCAATCAAAGAACTTCAAATCACCTGGTCTCAACGTCTTCTTCCACCACCTTCCATGACGAGATTAGAATGAATGAAAAGCTGAGATTATTGACGCCGCTAGTGCAATGGCAGTGCCTGCAATCTTCCACTCGGGCCTCCAGGGTAATGACGCTCCTTTTCCACCCGAAAGATCGAAATCCTCCCATGCAGGCCACCACAGCCGGTACCAAAATTTCCACGTCTCATCGTGATAGTTTGTAGTATTTCTACCGGAAGCGTCCAGGTTCCAGTTTGAGCATCCACTACTCCAGACCATTTTCTGCAACTGATTTTGTATGTCTGTAGCGTCGCGATGCTCTGCTGCCTCCTTGACTTCTAGCACAGAGAAGGAGCCTTTGATTATGGGACGAAAGAGGCTTTTGATCACATACTCAACTTGAACTTCATTCGTATAGATGACCGAATTATGTGCTGGAAATGCATTAGGTCCGAAGATGATGCCGAAGTTGGGAAAGCCGGTAACAAAAGTCGCTTTGTAAGCTTGAGCACCGCTCGTAGATGCCCAATGCTCGTTGAGTGTAATGTTGCTTTTGCCAGTGAGCTTGATGGGTGACAGGAATTCCTGGATTTTGAAGCCAGTACTGAGGACCACGACATCGAAATTGAGATCTCTTTTGCTAGTCTTGAGCCCCTTTTCCGTGAAGGCGACGATGGGTTCTGATGTCAATTCGATCTTGGGACTATGTAAGGCTTCGAGATATCCAGGATCAAATATCCGCCGCTTACATCCCAAAGGGAATTTTGGGATCAGTATATCGTGGTACTTCTTTGGTGCAGTCTCTTCCATATAGCTAACTGCTTCTCTAGTGGCCTCGACTCTCGCCTGGACAGCGGATGGACTGGTCGAAGTATAGAGCTGATGTAAGGAGTCGGTCCTTTTCCACAACGTAAATCGATATAGTCGCATGACAAACGGCAAATGGCGGAAGAGGAACTTCTGAAGTTTACTGAATTGACTGTTCGGTCTTGCGTTGATCCATTGCGGCGACCGCTGGAATTGGACAACTTTCGCTGCATCACGAACCACATGGGGGACTAGCTGTGCAGCAGAACAGCCGTTACCTATCACCGCGACGCTCTTTCCTGCTATGCTCTCGGTATGATCCCAGCGAGCTGAATGCCAGATCTTGCCAGTGTACTGCTCGTAGTTTGGGATACTGCAGTCTTTCGGGATCGATATGGATCCCACACATGATACAAGTATCTCTGCTTCTCTTGAGAAGATATGACCGCTGCTGACGTTCCGTAGTTGCACCTGCCATAGCTGACGACTTTCATTCCATGAGGCTTCGATTACCTCTATTCCGAAGCGAATGTGTGGGCGAATTCCAAACTTAGTCGCAGTTGATTGCAAATACTCAAGAATTTCGGGTTGGTTGGCGAATCTCTGGGACCAGTTTGGATTTAGATTGAACGAAAAAGAGTAAAGATGAGAGTCGACATCACACCCAACTCCAGGATATGTGTTCAGGAACCAGGTGCCGCCCAATTCAGCCTCTCGTTCGTAGATAATGAAATTCTTGAAGCCGAGAGTGCTCCGAAGACGCGCAGCGAGAGCGATTCCTGCAACACCACTGCCGATGACAATCGCCCTGGGCTCATGTGACTTCACACTTGTGTGCATGATTTGATGCAACACAACTGTTTGATAACCCCAGTTATTGCTGGCTTCAACAATTGAAGTTTCCAGACCTTCGGTCCTTATAGCGTTGTGGTAGCCTGAGTTAATGCCAAATAGGTTTTGAGTTTTGCGAGAAGTGCAATCCCGACGTGTACTATCTAGACTATTGGGGACCAGAGATGCCTGATGTGACAGGTGACATGAGTAATTGACCCACCTTACTGCACGAGGAGCTGAGCTTGAAGACGGGATGTCTTGTCAAGTACTGGCTGACTATCCTAGTAAACTAATCGACATTACTCATGCGACCCGTGGCACTCGCCGTATTGCTGGTGCTACTTAGTAATGTATGTTCATAGAGGCAAATGTTAAGCTGCATTAGATGTTAAGCGTAGCTTAGAGCTTTCGTTTTATGATACGAGTAGCTATCGGCAAAGTGTAACGAGAAAACAAAATAGGCTGAAAATTTCGACGTTGTAAACATTTTCAGCTTTGGTTGACTGAATCTGACAAACTTGACCCCTTCCATTGCATTGCCCTGTTGGCTTAGTGACAGCTTGGCTAGACTGTGCTACTTGATGGAAAATGTGCCTCTGGATTAACGGCTTGCGACGCACGATTAGAGCCTCAGTGAGTCACAAAAGACGTTGATTTAGCAGGCTGTTGGGGAAAAATGCCGAGGCAGTATACTTCGGTAGGGCGAAGGGATGAGGCTGTGTGAGAGCGGGCTGAATGCCTCAGTATACGTAGATGAAAAGAACGTACAGGAGCCGATATCAAAGTTTTAATTCGAAGAGTCTTTAAGAGATGATTCTTCAGCCTCTAAAAAGAAAAATTATGCATTCAATTGATACAACCCGCTAAAGGGGTTAAGTCGAAGGCCTGTAGGGGGTTTGCTTTCTGCTAGTGAACCAAAATAAGTCTGCCACTAACTTTACCGTCGCGAAGCTGATTCAGTGCTTCATTTGCCTGGTCCCATGGAATCCTGGTCACCGGGACAGGTGCGAGTTTTCCTTCCTTTGCCAGTTGAGTGACATCACGAAGGTTTCGAGGTGTTCCGGTAATGTTACCCACAATTGTGACCGACTTGAATATCATATCGACCAGAGAAAGATTGATTTCACCCCCAGCCAGACCTATAGCAACCATCTTCCCACCCTTACCCAGCGCACCAATAGCAAAGTTGGCAGTCTGTTTGTTGTTGACGAAGTCTAAAACTCCGTAGATTGGACCACCCGCAACTTCTATAGCAGCTTTAGCAGGGTCCTCACCACTGCTGTCTACAACAGCACTAGCGCCGGTCTCAAGAGCTATTTCCCTCTTCTCGAGAGAAATGTCGGCACTTATTATCTTCTCATAGCCCAAAGCTCGAAGCAGAGTAATTCCGGCCAGACCTAACCCCCCTGCTCCGATAAGTAAGATTGGGTCTTGGAGACGGAGAGGCATAATCTTCTGAATTGAGCTCAGGACAGTGAGTCCAGAGCAAGCAAAGGTGCAAGCGACAGCAGGATCTAGATCACCGTAATCCACTAGATATTTCGCATGCGGAACCGTCAAGTATTGTGCATATCCTCCATCGGTTTGGACTCCACAATTTCGCTGAGCTAGACAGAGATTATCGTCCTCATCTTCACACCTCCGACACTTTTGGCAGCCAGTCCAGGGATAGACAATCCTGCTGGCCCCTAGGGACAACTGCTCCGCATTTGGTCCAAGTTTTACCACAGTCCCAATGATCTCATGCCCGAGTGCTCGTGGTAGTGTCGCACCTCGATCTTTCAAGTAAACGCGCTTGCCGCCACCCCTCTCGTAAAAGCCTTCATGGAAATGTAGATCGGAGTGGCAGACACCGCAATGAGTCACCTTGATCAGGATCTCAGTCCCTGTCGGTTCAGGGATTGGCTTCTCAATCTTTTGAAGAGGCTTGCCATGTTCAACGACAGCCCAAGCATGCTGAGTTGCCGACATGATGTTTTCGACCGTTTTGCACGCTGAGCTGGTACTTTCGTTGTCTGAGGCCAAGCCGACTCTATCAAGCAGCGCTAATATATGGTCTTTGGAGAAAGGAGAATTTTCGCACGATACCTTTGCTTCTGACGCTAGCAGATGCTGCAATCATTGTGATTTGAAAATCATTGGGGGAATTTAACCACAGCCTAAATCGTGTCTGTGCCTGGGAAAGTCCCGACAAGTGGCTCCTTACTCATGGCACTAGTGGGATTTTATCGCGCCAAAGTCTACTTGTGAACGTTTCCGTTAGCAAGGAATGCTTTGGCTCGAGATGGGAATGTGCTGCTGTGTCATTACCACATCTATCCTAAGGCCGTTAGCGAAGTAGAACCGGCAGCTGGAGCGGCAGAAAGTCAGTCACCAAGTCGATATTCCTCTCAGTATGCCATGTTCTATGGAGGTTTGAGGTATGCACTTCGCATACGCTGGACGGCCTGTCACCTGTCTGTTGGAAATTTTCAATATTAAGGGGTAGCATGACAAATGGACACTTGCGCAGGTTGATGGAGCAACAGTTCGTCCATAGCAGGTTATGAGTCATGGTTGTGTGGCCTCGCGCGGGATCAGCTAGAGCGAGTAGCGCCACACTAAGAGTTAGTGATCAGAATGGCGACAATAAGTATTTTTCTCCATACCTTGCCCGTATATGTATTTCCCGTGTGTAGGATACAAATTTCTATGGTGAACAGAAGTTATCGAATTCGATCATAGTCACGGACTACAATATCGTGAAGTTCGTAATCAATGGACGCCGTCATATAAATCATGCTGGTAGACTATAGTAATTTTGATGGTACAAAACCACCAATCTTTGTTTATGAGGCCTAGAGAAGCATGTATGTGCGTTCTACGACTGGATATCTCCACAAGTGACATGATCACCCATTATCGCCGAGTCGGTATCATCTACGGCGTACGAAGTGCTAGGAGAATTGGAGGTTAACATGACTCAGTCCAACACTTTTATCCACTACAGACAATGATTGAGTATGGACACAGCTAAGCGGTAGTCAAATTTACACAGCTACCTTGTAGTATATGGTTCGAAATTGAACGCAGTCTATCGTTCTACTGTGAAAAATCACTAATCCGCCTCTCTGTGTACTGCAATCTAACGAATTGCAACCGTAAACATCGCTCCCGCCAAAACGCAATGGGTTCCCTTGAGGCAAACCCAAATTTCGAAATTCCCAAGACGTGTGTTGCGGCAGTGGTAAAGAATGAAGGGCCAGAGTTCTATGTCGAACTTGAGCAGCTCCCAGTACCGGTCATAAGTTCGCACTGAGCCTTCCTTATCCAATCTCTGTTTGACTAACCCGAAAGAACCACATGAGGTTCTTCTTAGACTCAATGCGACTGGACTGTGCATGTCGGATGTGCACTTTATGCTGAATGACTGGACCACAATGCCGAAGATGTCTTCCTTCGGTACTAAGTGTGCTGGCCATGAAGGCGCTGGCGTGATTGTGAAAGTGGGTGAACGTGTAACGGGTTTGCGCATAGGTCAGCGAGCGGGCGTTAAGCCTTATTTGGATGTCTGTCACGTCTGTAAGCTGTGTCGAACTGGGAAGGAGGTATATTGTGCGAACGCTGTCGTGACTGGACTACATTGTGACGGTAAGCTTCCGTAGATAGCTCTATGCCAGAATTAACCCATGCTATCAGGCTCTTACAAGCAATATATAGCCGTGCCAGAACGATATACGACCATCATCCCCGAGGGTGTCAGCGATTACGTTGCTGGACCCCTCATGTGCTCCGGATCAACCGCTTATACTTCTATCAAAGAGTCGAATCTCAAGCCAGGTCAATGGGCTCTTTTCATTGGTGGAGGCTCAGGGGTCGGCATCCAAGGTGTACAACTGGCGGCTGCGATGGGTCTACGTCCGATTGTGGTCGATACTGGTGACGACAGAGGTCTACTTTCGATATCGCTGGGTGCGGAACATTTCATCGATTTCGAGAAAGTGCAAGATCCGATCAGGGCTGTCCTGGAACTCACTGAAGGGGGTGTTGATGGGGTTTTTGTTACTGGTACGTTTACTCATCTTCTAGGCAACATCACCGTGATATCTGACCAGTACTAGCGGCTGCCGCGTACCCAAAGGCCCTTGAATATTTGGGTTGCACAGTGGGCGGCGTAGTCATGTGTATTGGATTGCCCCCAACTGGGAAATTCAACGTGGATCTTGTCCCATCGTCTCTCATCTTCCGAAATTCGTGCATTAAGGGTACTCTGGTCAGTGGCCTGGCGGACGTTGATACCACGCTTGAGTTTGCAAGAAGGGGTAAGCTGAACATGGAGCCTACGGTAGTAGGTCTGTCGCAGTTCAATGATGCTGTACAGAGGTTGAAAAGAGGACAGGTTGTTGGGCGTGTCGTCGTAGATTTCAACATGCAATAATATTCCCATGTTGCTCCAAATCTAGGTCTGGAGAGAGATTTTGGTGATTACACTTAGTAGCTTGAGCTTCGTAACGACACCTGGGGAGACTATTGTTTTGTGTCGCTCTTCTAGAGTGACAAAGCTCTGGAAAATCCGCATCGAAGCATAAGATCCCATGCTCGTTACATGGTGTCCAAAATTGCTGCGCTGCCACTTTAGCGTCTGTGAGTTCCCTCGTATCAGTCGTGGTATGTCGTGTTCGACCAGCATTGAATATCCCATCGTAGGCACTAGAATGGCTCGTCTATCTCTTCGCTGGAGCCAACATAGTCGTTCGAAATTGATCAAGCAATATTGGTCGGAGCACGAGATATTTGAGTAATGTGGACATCCATTCATGACTTCAATGTGAGACAACTGTGTGATCACTTCCCATATTCAAGTTTTGATAGCATACATATGGTGAAATTTTGATGGGTGCATATAGTAGTGGGATCGACTCCAGGAAGATTGGAAGAAGAGTTGACAATCTAGTTTCTGCTAGGTAGTTAAATATCTCAAATAAGCCGGTCCAAGCCCAAAAATCGCTTGATAGCGTCGCCCTTACAGCACCTGACCTGTACCATCTGGTATACTTTGGGCTCCTCCCCTACGTAGCGCCTCGGTCCCAGCAATACCACCTCATTCACCAGCTGACTTTCCTGCCCTGGCGACTCCTTCAGAGCCGAACGTACACATCTCTCTGCGCCCCCTCAGGCTCTTCGCTCACCTGGTACACATGGAAAGCTCTTAATTTAGCTTATTTGATACTCACACTTTCTCCTCGTGAATTATACTTCCTGTCTCTCCCTGTTTGTGGTGGGTGTGTGCGATCAATTCTGATGCCAGTCTCGAGTCTTTCACCGACTGTGTGGCAAATATCAAATCGATCTCTTCCAGGCTTTTCCCTGTGGTCTCGGGACACATAAAGTAGACGAACGGCACAGCTGCTGCACAAGACAAAAGCATCCAGATCCATATTCGCCATCCAATTTTCTCAAGCGCGATACCACCTGCGAAAACGGTGATGAAAGAAAATAGCCATTCACCAAAGGCTCCGGCTGCACCTCCAATGTGGCGAAACTTCAGCGGAGCAATCTGAGAGAAAGTTAGACGTATCTAGATTAAAAGTGTAGGATACTCACCTCAGGTCCATACAGCCAGCAAACGCCAATCCAACCATATCCGAAGATAAAGTTATAGATGACAACAAATGCGACTGCTGTCCACTGCATACCAAGCGTTGGTTTAGCTTGAGAGATCATTCCGACGAATATGGCCATGCAAATAGTAAGACCAACGGCCGAGTACATGAGGATGTTTCGACGACCGAATCGCTCTATTGTAAAGGGGAGAAACACAGTCCCAGTGGCGAATAGCGTGTTCATGATAGCCGCTAGCAGCTGCGATAGAAATGGTGATAGACCAACTTGAGAGAAGATGACGGTGCTGTAATATACTGACAGATTGATTCCTGGGGGGAGGTTAGTATTGTATTCGCGGTTTATATTATATGACACGTACCCATCATTTGCTGCATTGAAAGAATGAGAAACGAAATTCGAACACGTCGACCAACCTTGAGATCGGATCTATCCCAGAAGAGATCGAGCCAGTTGAATCTATGCTCGTCCTGTTCTTCTAGCTTGATTGACGTGCGAATCGTCTCCATCATCTCCTGGACCTGCTCATGATCGATCGATAAATCGTATAAGCGAGACAAAACTTTGAGACCTTCGTCATCCCTGTTTCTCGCAAAGTACCAACGCGGAGTGTCTGGGAGTAGCAGGATCCCGGATCCTGATACCAAAGCAAAGATAGTTTGTAGGCCAATCGGAACCCTCTACAATTCAAGTCAGTATTAATCTGCTTAAAAGTGTCCGACCTACCCAGGAGACTTGATTATCCATGCGAGTGAACCCAAAGTCGACCCAGTAAGCAAAAGCACAACCTCCGACGAGCCATATACACATAGATGCAACGTCAGGACCCCGTTGCTCAGACTCTAGACACATCTCGGCCTAATTAAATGTTAGATAGAGGCTCTAGGGCGATGCCAAATCAAACTCACCAGAAAAGTTGGCGTGGTGGAAGAAATGAACCCAATACCGAGGCCGCAGATCACGCGGCCAACAATCATCTGGGAGACTGACCACGCCGCAGCTTGTAGAGCGCCTCCAATGATGACCAATCCATTCCCGAGGAGAAGACAATTTCGTCTTCCAAGTGGCATGCCAACGCAGGCGACGAACAGAGCACAGACTGCCGCCGCAAGGGTATAAGAAGAGGCAATCATGGGTATGACATACGCGCCGGTAGGATTCTGTGCGTTCCAAGGATCAGTAGCTCGTCTATGAATACTACAGACGTCCCCTTACTTTCATTGCACTAAGGAAGGGTTTCGTGTGCTGGACTCCTCCAAGGACACCTGCATCATAGCCGTATAGCGCGAATGACTGCGGCGCCAAAAAATTAGCTGTAATAATATCACTAAGGTTGGGTGCTCCATACCACATAACAGCAGTAGCTGAGAAGTCGATGGAGGGCTTGGCCCCTGATGCTCTGAAGCGATAGCATGACTGTATTCAACCTAGTGTGCAGGTATGAAGCTGTTGTGAAGATCGTGTGATGTGAAGGAAGGGAGACCCATAATATACTGGTAACCTGGCCTGTGAAGATGGTACTCTTGGAGTCCCCATACCCCAGATTCCTGTACGCTTTTACTTGTGGGGATTAAGCTAGCGAGGGGGTACGGTAGCGCAAGACTAGCTGGAAGGAATGGGCATTAGTCATGCATACCTTCTCTTCCTTTGTTTCCAAGAAACTTTACCATCGTTCGCATTACTCTGAATGTCTTGAGTCATGTTACGGCCGTATTAGAAGCATCCGATTGACTCATGCTAGCTCGCATGGCACAGCCATGAGTAGTAACTAGTAAATGTCGTCACCATTAGAGGCAACTTAAAGGGGGATGGAGAGAATCGCATACTAACCACTGAATGTGACCCCAGGTTTCGGGCGCTGTCTGTACTTTCGCTCGCTGTCGATAGAGCAATGTTCGTTGCCGTAATATCACCAACACCAAGCAGGCTGGGACACAGGTCGCTCCTCGGTGCACGACGGCGGCGTCAACTCCCTGCGCCAGCAAGATCAGTCTGTACTTACTCGGCCTCAGGTATAACTATGTTCTCCCGTCGAGTGACACCGAAATTAAAGGCCACAGCTGGTACTCGTAGCCTCGTCCGATCAACAATTGTCCCAAGATGTTTCCAAACAACTGTTGCGAAATTGGATCTGATTTCCCAACTGTCCCAGCGAAATCGCGTTACTGTCATCACAGGTATGTTTGATCGAGTTATCCTGCACAAAATCGCGTACAGGCCTAGTTGGTCTGACTCTGAAATCAGGGGGCTCTCGTGGAATCGGTCTCTTCCTCGGAGAAGCAATCGCCAGTTTGGGTGGCGATATTGCAATTCTGGACATCATTGAGCCTCAGAAGTCGCGTGACGTACTGAAATCGCGTTACAACGTCAAGGTCGAGTACTATAAGTGCGTGCTTCTTATTGTAGGGACATAGAGCACAGTTGACGCTGACGGCTGGTAGAACCGATATCACTAGCCAGTCAAATATCGAAAGCTCTTTCGATCAGGTGGTTGCAGAATTTGGTCGAGTAGATAACTGGTAATGATCTATTCGTAGTGAAAGAATGGAGAGAAATATGCTGACCTACAATAGTGTGACAGCAGCCGGCATTGCCCTGGATAAACCTTTCATCGACACCACATGGGAGGAGAGTAAAAAACTTCTTGATATCAATGTAAGTTGTCACGTCCGTCGTGTAACACTGGGTGAATGCTTACCTGAATAGCTCCTGGGAACTTATTTCACAGCCCAAGCGGCTGCCAGGCGCATGATTGATCAAAAAGTTCCCGGTTCTATCGTGACAGTCGCCTCTATCGCCGCTCATAGCGCCATACCAGGCCAACGAGTGTCCATATACGGCGCGTCAAAAGCTGCTGTGAAGCTAGTATCCAAGACTCTAGCGGTAGAGTTAGCGCCTCATGGAATTCGGGTTAATAGCATTAGTCCGGGGTTCATTTCTACAGATATGTCCAAGCAGTTTGCACACTTAACAGATCTCTTCAATCGAGTGCCACCAGTCGGTAGGATCGGCCAAAGAGAAGATCTCGCACTAGCCGTTGCTTACCTACTTAGCTCCTCTGGAGCTGCATACACAACAGGTGCTGACATTCCTGTAACAGGAGGACTTATTGGAGGGAGGATTGAAGTGTAATCGACGCAGCATGGCTATGTGAAGAGCGCGGTGAGGAGATCAGTATTGTACCTGGCCAACCTGGTCTACTTGCTTCTAGAATAGGTAGTATTGTCCCAATGTCCCTATCAAAGACTCTTGCCAATAACGGACAAGAAACTCGGGTCCCGGTCGCCCATAGGTGCTTAATTTCAATCTGTGGTGAATAGGTCTGCAGTAATCTTGCGCCACTTACTTTAACCCTGTGTCTTACCTGTCAGTCAGCCATGATCAGGTTAGACCGTCGCTCAAGATAAACTTGCGGTCCACCAAGCTCGGCACCCAAAGGCGGGGATGACTGCGGGGTTAGCGTGAAATAGGGACTAGTTTAACTATAAGTGCAAGCCTGTCGTTACTTGTTCTCTCCTAAACACTCTTTCCTTCATCACAATAAGATACCTCTTGGACAAAGGACAAAGCCAACTAACCCACTTAGGCCATAATGGCGACAGCTCATTCAAATTCGACCAAGCACGCCAGGCGACGGAAGATTGCAGATCTTAGCGAGGAGCAAAGGGAGCGGAAGCGGAATACCGATCGGCAAGCTCAGCAGGCTTTTCGTGAAAGGATGAAAGTGCAGATACAGGACCTAGAGGAAGAAGTCGAGTCAATGCGACGTAACGCCACCGAAAATGATCGAGCTTGGAAGGCCGAGAATGACCGATTACGCAACCAGGTCCGGCGTCTGAACGCCCAACTTGAACAAGTCAGAGCCATGGCGAGTCGAGACTACCAGCCAGTGCTTGATTTAGATAATGATCATTCAATGGGCAATTCAGAGGATTCGGAACATCGTGCTCAACCAGATGATTCAAGTGCGGGAGCGGGCTCGCCCGACTCGACCATTGAAGTCCGCACAGGAAATCCAGAGCCATTGTCCCAAGGAGATGACCAGCCGCTCCACCCTGAGTTGGACCTCCAGCCTACTAACGCTGGTCTGGAGGAAGATTCTTGTGGGATGACAGCAATCAAGCCGACAAGCGGAACCAGTGGGAGAGTGCTTATCGACCATGGAGCATCGGAGGTTATGCCGAACGATGTGAGGGACAACATTGTCACAATTGATCCAAACTTGCAGATTGACAATACAAGCGACATCCTCCTAGGTGCTTGTCATGGAACAACACCGGTGGGATTAAGAGGTCCTAGCCTGCCTCTTACTCCTTGGATGCTAGAACCCTCAGCTTCTAGCCACAGTATGTCACCGAGAAGTCCCGGTACCGGAGTGCATCTACGACGTGAGGTTCATGATTTTGTATGCCAGCATGAGCGTACATGTCCATTCGATCACATCTTAGTCAATCTACTAGATGCACAACGCTTGTTACTGGCTAATGGCTCACCTCTTGACGATGCTGTTGGCCCGTTGCAGGCTGATGTTGCCGGCTTGTTCTATCCAGAGAAAGCCTATCGCAGCCATCCACTCAGCCGTGTCCTGGTGGAGATGATGCAAACCTTTGCACACGTTGAACTACCAGAAAGAGCCGCCTTCATGTATAAAATCCACAAGACAATGCGTGTAAGTAGAAATCAGAATGTCAGCAGAGCTACGCTGATCAATACAGTGGCACATCGCGCCAAGTCGAGAAACATATAATGTGCTTCCAACGTGGCTACGTCCTACGGTTAAGCAAATTACGACGCCTCATGCAGCATGGATCGATAACATTCCGTGGTTCGTTTGCAAGCCTGTTATCTGGATATCCCGAGTCTAACTGATGCTGCAGGCCCGGGGTCAGGGATCTGCTGATTGAGTACCCGCATAAGTACCCATTCACAGAATTTTCAGAAGTTTACTCGCTCAATGTAAGTATATGTTGGCCGCACAGCCAAGAGGATATTCTTGTGGATCTTGAGAGCGCTGGCAGTCATATCTACTCTTCTCGAGCGGTACTAAATCCTATCTTCGAGCGACATATCCGGAATTTAGATAATTGGACAGTGAGGAAGCCCTTCGAGGATTGCTACCCAGAAATGAAAGAAGCAGTGTCATCCCGCCACTAGTAGTGTGGTGTGCGCTTCATGCTTTGGTGTATAATATTCGAACTCTGCTCCTCCAGCGGCTTGAGAACATCATAGTATAATTAATTGTAAAAGCAGTCGATCTGGCCCATAAGATACAAGATCTTTTCATTTCCTCTGTACAACAAGCGCTGAAATTACAAAAGACTGTTCCCAGACGACTACACACATAGGCAACAAGAGCAAGAGCCGGTGCGTCCACACCAAGCCATGCGATTTCTCGGCCAATTCCGTCTGTGGCTTGTGACATGACTAATGGCAAGCAATCACGTCAGGGATTGATCAAGCTACAGCATACCACAATCCATCACAGCTTTTGTCTAGATATCGTGAAGAGCAAAGGTACGGAGGCATCCTGCAAAAACGGGTACCTGTGCCTGAGAAACCAGTATTGTTGATGATCATACCGATCTGCAAGCCAGGTAGCTAGTTGGAACAGGCAAGAGCCAACAATCTAGCGACAAATTATCTAATAGGTTTGGCAATCAACTTTTATATTCGATCCACCAAATTTGACACGCGCCACCTCAGTACAACAATGCCTATACGTACCTTAGCTCCGGCTAGGCAGGAAGATTCGAAACAATACATATTGCCAAGCTATCATCCTGCAATACCATATGCCACACAGTACTCACACTCTCACTCCTGGAACTAGTTGTAGCTGGGACACCTGATACTGTTCGCTGAAAGAATAATCGATATATCCCACCGAGGCTTTCGGAGTATAGAACGTCGCACGATTGTATGGGTACAGAGAGATCGCATTCTGGACCCTAAAGGGCAAATCTGGATTGGCAACATAGTGGCGGCCAAATGCAACTGCGACCGGCACGTCACTGTATTTCTCAGCTGTCGCAGCAGCTAATTCAGGGGAAAATCCACCCGCCAAAATTGTTGCTCCACCAGCACCTTTCCATATATCGAGTAGAAAGTCGACTGACTCGTCTGGGACTTCAACGGTTTCCGAGCCAGATATACGAGACTGCACGACGTGGATGTATGCCAGCTTGAGATCTCGTAGTTTGCTGGCCAGATAAGAGAATTGAGGGACTGGGTCTTTCATCCTCATGCTTTGGAACGGGCTCCAGGGACTTACGCGGTACCCAGTACGATCCGCACCGATCGCCTCGGCGACAGCTTTGGCGACCTCAATTCCAAACCGCGCCCTGTTCTCGATACTACCGCCCCACTGATCGGTCCTCTTGTTGGAAACATCCTGCAGGAACTGGTCGCACAGATATCCATTTGCACCGTGGATCTCAACACCATCAAAACCGGCGGCAATGGCGTTCCTTGCAGCATTCGCATAGTCGGAAATGAACGATTGAATGTCGGCCTCAGACATTGGCTGGGGTGTGGCGTGCTCTGGACCAATGGAGATATCACTTGCAGAGAGCACAGTGTGACTGCTTCGTTGTAGGATCTCCGGCTCGGCGGCTCGACCTATAGCCCACAACTGGCACACGATAAAGCTATCATTCTGGTGTACTGCATTAGTTATTTGACGCCAAGCTTGGATTTGAGCGTCGTTCCAGATGCCAGGCACGTTGGCGAAGCCTCCAGCTTGTGCGGAAATAAAGGTACCCTCGGTGATTAAGAGACTGCCCGGCGTACTGGCCCTTTGTTGGTAGTATTCTTTTACCATAGGCAGCGGAACATTATTGTCATCAGCGCGAAATCGCGTTAGTGGAGCAAGGACGATGCGATGCTTCAATGATAGGGCGCCAACTTGCAACGGCTGGAAGAGAGCAGACATAGTCGCTGGTGATAATGGATTGGCTGTGAATGCCTTGGAGAGCTCGTTACGAAGCTATGAATTGATGGCTGTCTTTGGATTATCCGAACCCACCGAGTAATCAGGGTTGAATATATTCGTCCCCGTCGAAGAACTTTACATCTGTCAATTAGTAATACTCCAAAACTACTTTCGGTACGGGATAACGAGATGAAAAGCAGCCGAAACCTTAGAGCAAAAGAAAATGAAAAACTTTCAGGTCGCGAAAGTCTACAAAAACTTAGTAGTGAAGGTGGAATAAGACCTGACTCATGCCATAAATTTTATGGCGTATGCACATTGGTCAACGGCGACCGATGCGAGAATACTCGCCACAGTCACGCTGGCACTCTGCCTCATGAAACTCTTTGGACTACCTGTGCCGTACCGTGGTTCTTCAGATCAGTATCTGGTAACAATACCGGCATCAAAATCTAGCGACCTGGAGTAAGTCTATCTATGTGGCAGTCTTCGACAATTTTCTGCTTCACCAGCTAGAGCCGGCGGAGGCAGTCTACGTCTCCGAGGGACGGAGCTATTTATTCTTGTCTCTGCAATACGTACGCCCCTATTTGGCAGTCGCTGACACGATGGGAGAAGTTATCAACACAGTTGGGGTGCTTGGGACTGGTGTGATCGGTGCAAGCTGGGCAACGCTGTTTCTCGCGAAGGGACTGAAAGTGATCCTTTCCGATCCAGCATCAGGTTCGAAAGAGAGCTTTGAGAGGTACCTAGATGCCGCATGGATTGCTCTCGAGAAAGCTGGAATGTCTGATATGGGCCGGAAGAACAAAAACAACTACGAAGTGGTTGACAGCTTGCTGGACCACATAGGAGATATCGATTTTGTGCAAGAGGTATGACACTCAACATCAAGGCATAATATAAAGTCCAAGCTACGTTCATGTCACTAACAAATTATCGATGGTGTTAGAATAGCCCTGAGCGGCAGGACCTCAAGACTAAACTCATCGCCGAGCTTGATGCCCATGCAAGACCGGGAATAATCATTGCTTCGTCCTCCTCGGGCATGCCCGCATCTAGCTTCATTTCACAGTGCAAGAATGCTCCTCAACGAATTCTCGTGGCCCATCCCTTCAATCCTCCCCATCTCGTCCCTTTAGTCGAGGTTGTACCACATCCAGGAACAGACGAGCGCACAGTCAACAACGCTTTAGAATTTTATCGCAATTTAGGTAAAAGACCAATACTCATCAACCACGAAATTCCCGGGTTCGTCGCCAACCGTCTTCAAGCTGTTGTAAACAACGAAGCTTACAGTCTCGTCAGTAGAGGTATTGTATCAGCGGAAGATCTGGACGCGGCCATGGCGACTGGGCCCGGTCTACGCTGGGCAGTGCATGGCCCTCTGGTTACTAATACTTTGGGTGGTGGAGGCGGAAAGGACGGGTTCTGGCAAAGACTGGAGCGTTTGGGGCCAGGCATTCGAGTATGGGAGCGTGACATTCTTGCTCATCGATTCTGTTGGACGGAAAGTGAACAGCGCGCGCTGAAAGACAAGGTTGAAGAGTATCTTGACCACATTGATCTGTCGGAGGTCAGTACCCAACGGGACCAGGCCCTCCTAGAAATGCTATGCGCAAGGCGAAAGAGCGATTGCCACGTCTGAGGATCACATTGTCAGATGTGGACCATGTCGGTATTTAGTGTAGCACTCTTTTTTCTAATATTAAATGATTGTGATTGACATCTGGGATTAAGGTCTTCAAACAATGGCTACAATTTAACTAAAGAAAGTGATTGCTTAAATTTCTGTCAATGGCTGCATGCCCAAAAAGCTAGTTCCAGCACTATTCTGGCCTTGATCATAAGTTTTCATGCTTAAAAAGCCTGCGGCGAAATGTTCAGCTTGTATCACAAGGTCAGACTATGGTCTACTTTATACCACCCATTGTGATGCTCTTGAGAACTTGGTACTCTGACAGGCCGTACTTACTGCCTTCCTTGCCATACCCTGATTCTTTGACACCGCCAAAAGGTGATCCGGCCTCTGAGAGTTTGCCAGTGTTGACACCAACCATGCCCACTTCCAAAGCCAACGCGGTACGCCATACCCGCTGATAGTTTGAAGAAAAAAAGTATCCGGCAAGTCCAAATTCAGTGTTGTTCGCCATCTGAACCATATCTTCTTCGTCCTCAAACACGATCACCGGCATCAGAGGTCCAAATATTTCTTCCCTTGCCACGGCCATTTCGCTGGTGATATTCGTCAAGATTGCAGGTTCGATGAAATTCCCGCCAAGGTCGTCTCTGACTTGACCACCCGCCACAAGCTTAGCACCTTTGTGTAAGGCATCTTCGATAAGAGATCTCACTTTCAGAACAGCAGCCTTGTTCACAAGTGGTCCATTCGTGACTTGCGCATCGAATGGAGAACCTACTATTAGTCCGCTCACTTTTGAGACCAACCTCTCCAGGAAATACTCAGAAATACCACGCTGAACAAAAACCCGATTGGCGCATATGCACGTTTGTCCTGAGCACCGATACTTGCATCCCATCAGTTCTTCAATGGCGGCATCCACATCGGCGTCATCGAAGATAATGAAAGGGCTATTCCCGCCAAGCTCCATGGAAATTTTTTTCATCGTGCCGGCCGCAATTTGGGTAATAATCTTTCCGACACCGGTAGAGCCTGTGAAACTGATTTTTTTGACCTTTGGGTTGGTATAGATTTCCTCTACCGCCTTTCTATTCTTGGTAGTCACCACTTGCATCACATTAGCAGGAAGCCCTGCCTGGACACCAAGGTATGTCAAAGCCAAGGCGCACAGAGGTGTTTCGCTTGGTGGTTTGATCACAACAGTGCAGCCAGCGGCGATAGCTGGTGCGACTTTTCTCGTGATCATGGCCAGGGGGAAGTTCCACGGTGCGATAATTCCACAAACCCCAATGGGCTGCTTTACGACAACAATATTGCTGTTCGGGAATGATGAAGGTATCACATCTCCATATGAGCGGATTGCCTCTTCCGCAAACCAAGAAACCATCGCGGCGCTCGAGGCAACTTCGGCTTTGGCCTCGGGCAAAGTCTTCCCGTTTTCCAAGGCAAGCATCTTGCTCAGATCGTTAGAGTGCTTACGGATCAACGCTGCCCAGTCCCGGAGTAGTTGCGCTCGAGCATATTCTGTGGTTTTGGAGAAGCTCTTAAACTCGATTTCAGCCTTGTCGATTGCAGTCTGAAAGTCCTCCACTTCCATATCGGCAACGTTAGCAATCGCCTTATTGGTCGTCGGATCGTACACTGGGAAGGTTTTGTTGCCTGACACCCACAGACCACCGATGAAGGCTTTCTCTCGTATGAGTTCGTCGACTTCCAGAGCATGTTGAAGGCTAGCGGGATGTTGAGAAACTAAGCCTGCGTCACCCATTTTGCTGCCTTGAGACTTGGGTTGAAGACAAAGAGCGTATATTTCTGGCACTGAAACAATATCTCAGATCAAATCCACGAAAGCCAGGTTTAGTTCTATATACTTTGAATCGATTGTCCTCTGCATACCAACTGACTCAGTGTAGAGTCTCAGCTTTTGATAGGGAAAAGTGTCCCACTAACTTCCCCGTAATCTCCACTTCGATTAGAGGCTCGCCACATTGTACCATCAACATGTGATTAGTCTCAACTGCTGTGTCCATTTTTAATCAGTGGCTTCCACTGATCGTGTGTCTTTCAAATCCAAGCAGGCGGGACATTCTCGACCGCTGTAATAATGGCCGTCACTTGGAACCTTTAAAGAAAGTATCATACGCTTTCTACCTGAGCACTCGAATTCTCCCCCAAAACTATGGAGGGTAAATCGGTATGCGATTGTCACTAGGATTCACTAAATCTGCCTATGAAGCTTCTTCCCTCGCGCTATCTTATCGACCTAGAGCCCCAGGATGTGAGATCGACTGATCTAGGTGCTGAAAGGAGTTAGCTATCCGACAGAGTTAGACAGGTCCCCGAGTGGGTAATGCCCTTCAGTGGTCCTCATGCGGACCTCAAGAACACCAAACAAATCTCGGCTGAGAGAAATAGATGTCATGAGTCATGTCAAGGTAGACCACTTGCGGTTAGAAAGCTAATTTCACTGTAATGTCCCGTGTTTCCGCGACATAGAAAGTCTATTTATGTCCAAGGGGTAGAAGGACTTCTACATATTCGTGCACAATCCTTTAGGGCAAGTGAAACCTTGACAAGCATTCAATCCAAAAGCCGAGAATATCGTCTTTGATTCTCTGGAGCACAATCCTTCTCGGACATACTCGAAAACCATAAGTGACCTGATATGATGGCGTTGACTTCCGCCTCGAAATTTGATAACGGCGCGAGCAATGAGCAGAATAAGGCCGAAATCTTACATCATGAAGCTGAGAAATTTGGCGAGCAAGATCATAACAGTCAGGTTGGAGCGGCGCTAAAGAAGGTGGATAGGCGTCTTCTACCGATGCTGACTTTATTATATCTCTTGTCATTCCTGGACCGAGGGAATGGTGAGCATGTAGCCAACTGAAGGATTCTTCAACTGCTGATCAGTGAGCTTCTAGTGGGCAATGCACGAACTCTGGGAATGCAAAAGGACCTCAATCTTACCGACACGCAATGGAACTTGTGCCTTACCATATTTTTCTTTCCATATGCCGCTTTCGAAGTTCCAAGCAACATGATCCTGAAAATTTTGAAACCAAATGTGTGGCTTACCGCCCTACTTGTTGCATGGGGAACCACGACCACTCTCACAGCATTGGTGAAAGACTATGGTAGTCTCCTAGGCGCAAGATTCTGCCTAGGCCTTGCAGAGGTGAGAACATCCAGAATTCTCAACGATATTGTCTTCAAGAAGCTTATGCCTAGTCGCAGTCCGGCTTCTTTCCTGCTGCTACTTATCTCTTAACTTGTTGGTATTGCCGGCACGAGATGCAGGGTAGACTATCTGTCTTTTTTTGCGCAGGATCCCTAGCTGGTGCATTTTCTGGCTTGCTTGCATTTGCAATCAACAAGATGGATGGAGTGGGGGGATTGGCCGGGTGGCGATGGTAAGGCTGTTAAATCTCCCTATTCGTAGGCTTCTGACGAAGTGTCTCTAGGATCCTCCTGCTCGAAGGCATGTTGACCGTTGTTGCGGGTGTTCTGTGTCTCTTGGTTCTGCCGAACTCTCCTGCCACAGCCTCATTCTTAACGCCCGATGAGAGAGAACTGCTCATCAGGCGCCTCGAGAATGACACTGGGGGCCCTGGTACAGTTCAAATTGCGGAAAGATTCAACAAGAAGTACTTATTTGCAGCATTGTCAGACTGGAAAATTTGGCTTTCAGTGCTTGTATACTGGGGAAACTCAATATGCACATATGGGTGAGCATAGTCGATCAGCCTACCCCTTTGACGGACTGATAACATCAGCAGATACATTTATACCTTGCCAACGGTGATTCATCAGCTAGGATATTCTGCCTCTGATGCTCAGCTACTCACAATCCCTGTTTATGTTTTTGCAATGATCGTGACGATTGCGGCCGCATTCTTATCTGATAGGACACGAAATCGATCCAATTTCATCATATATCCTTTCATGTTGGCGGCAGTTGGATACATTGGGCTCATCGCAATACCACATCCGCGTTTACCTGGCTTGACTTATGGTATGCTCTTTGTTGTGGCAGCCGGCTTGTATCCAACTATTTGTGGTATCATCTCCTGGAATGGTGAGTATTTTCCCGTCACATTTTAGTTCATCGGGGGCTAATTGAAAAAGCAAATAATCTGGCAGGGTCATGGAAGCGTTCAATCGGTATGGGTCTCCAGATCTCTGTGGGAAACTTTGGGGGCGCAATAGGCTCCAACATCTTTCTTGCTAGACAGAAACCCAATTACTGGTTAGGTTACGGGTTTTCGTTGGGTATCATCTTAGTGGCAATTGTGTCTGCATTTGTACTCAAAGTCTTTTTACGACGAGAGAACGTACGGCGAGAATCGATGCCGGCTGAGGAGATCGTGGCACGATATACAGAAGACGAACTTCTCCAATTGGGCGACAGAAGTCCTTACTTCAGATATACGCTCTGAGATGATGACGCCTTATGAGACAGAGAAAAAGTCATATTCATGCAAACTGCTGGTTATCTCGTCGCAGGGGTTTGTTCCAAGGCGCCGAATGCTGACAACTTATGCTCGATATTACCCTACAAATCTTAAATAGCTGAAGCTTCCCCCTGACACTGTCAATGAGGGCTTTGACTGTCTGCAACCTTTCATACACTGACCTGAAACGGCCATACACAAAAAATTGATAGAATCATTTGCATAAATCAATTGAATGAGTAAGCTCTTATTATACAAAAGAGATCTGTAACATGAAGACAGTGTATTATGAGGGAAGTGTGGTAGCATCAGTGGGTCAATTCGAAAACTGCACATTAACAATACCTCTTAGAACTTAGTAATGTTTCTGGTGCCCAAAATTGTGGAAGTCATACTGGGCATCAAGTTTCACAGCTCTTCGAGTGTAACTGGTAGGCGACATGAAGCTGAACCCTCAGTCATGACATGAGCCTAGCTTATGGTGCGGTGCTGCTAACATCATATAGTGCCTGAATATGTCACTACTGAAGCAACGTTTGGGAATCTGGATGAATTAACCTCACACAGGAATATGAAGGTCCGTCATCTAGTATTGGTTGATTGGTTGGAAGTCACGCCGTCTTGGATGCGAATGCCCTGTCGACATGACTCAGGTACGTTCAGATACACCTTCTCCACACCAGTCAGTCTCGTGGAGTTGACTATGACTGAGAGGCAGGCTTCAGGCATATCAAGTGGCTCAAAAGTAGTAATGCCCACTGGTCACTGTGTACTTGGTTATTCGCTGTCCCACTGAATGGGGTTCGTGCGAGTATTCTCACTGCTGTTACGTGGCATCACGTGTTTCGTTCGCGCAGAGTGGCATTCAAAGTTGAATACGATGTCCTCGTGCATGCAAATAGTGCAAGTAGCAATCCTGGCCAAGTGAAGATAAAACAGTTTCAAATACATATACTGTAGTGGCCAGCGTTGCAGCTTAGAGTGCCATTCTTCGTCCTCTCCTTCTTCCTCGTCGGTGCAGAGTCGAGATCAAGGCCAAGACTTGTGCTTTACGATCTCCCCTCACGCTCCAACCTTGACACCACCACGATCAATTCCAAATTTCCGCCGAGAAAGCTCGTACTTAGTGTAGACCATCATTTGGCATCTCACTACCCTTACCGAACATGACAAAAGTCTGGCTAGTAACTGGATGTTCGTCCGGCTTAGGCAAACTATTGGTGTTAGCCATCGTCGCGAGGGGCGATAGGGTTATTGCCACAGCTCGCAATGTGGCTGCGTTGAAACAATTCGAAGACAACCCAGGTGTAAGAACATTGCAACTTGATGTAACCGCGGAGCAAGATATTATTGATGCTAAGGTCCACGATGCTCTGGGAAAATTTGGCCAAATTGATGTATTAGTCAACAATGCCGGTTTTGTGGGTTCTGGAGTTTGGGAGGAGGTGAGGTGAGATGAATTTAGCTTACGACAAGTAGCGCATTCTGACACTCTCATACAGTCACAAAGATGCCCTTAGGCAGTTTGAGACGAATTTCTTTGGTGCGATGAACATGACACGAAGCGTTCTGCCGCTTTTTCGCTCTCGCAAGTCAGGAACCCTACTCTTCGTGAGTAGCATCGCAGCGTGGCTAGGAGTCGGCGCAGGAGGTTTGTACTCCAGCTCGAAATTCGCGCTCGAAGGTTAGAAACCCGGCGACTATATGGCCACAGCCAAGCTGAATATGTGCAACAGGGGCCGTGGAATCTCTCCATGACGAGGTCAAACATCTTAACATCAACACTCATCTCCTAGTTCTTGGGCAGTTCAGAACTGAGATCTTAAGTGCTGACCGTGGGCTTGCACGTCGCTCGGAGAACCCTATTCCAGAGTACGATGCAATTTTCGATGCGCTTCTCCAACGACAGATTGCCACTGATGGCAAACAACCTGGTGATCCTCAACTCGCTGTACAAAGAATTGTCGATGTTGTCCGGCGAGAAGGGGTACTGCACAATGTCGAAAATTTGCCTCTGCGGATTCCGTTGGGATCAGATGCCGTGGAAATCATGCGACGCAAATGCGAGGAGACAATGCGCTTGCTGGATGACCTCGCGCTATTCGCCAAAAGTACGGATTTCGCAGATGTACATGCTGTCCCCAGTTACAGATGATGAGAATTATAGGAAGGTTCTCCTCGTCATGGGCAAACGAAGACACTCTTGTGCCCAGGACCATAGAGAATGAGGTCGACTAGACTGGCTTGTACAAAGGAACCTCATAAGGGTATCTCTGACACTTTATAGCCCGGTCTATCCTGATGCTTCATGTGGTTTAAAGAACAGAAGAACAGTCGTTTTAGCTGGAGATGGTTGTGAATGTATCAAATATAGAAATGAATAATAAATAATCATGGATCAGTGAACACCAGTTCTTTATCGATATAAGCCAGCTCGAAAGACAACCCAATTTAGCCCTTAGTTAGGTATAACGGTCTCGTAAATATGACCTGCTAAAGAAACGAGCATAGAAAAAGCGTCCAAGCAACGAAAGAGAAATTTCACATTTGCAAGTGGCAATAGCTGTGGTGTGAGCCAGGACATTCTTACTCTGATCCATAATCCAGCCTTGCTTGCTAACCAATTTCGCAATCACTTTCGAATTTCCGGCTCGGCTCGACTCTGCCTCGTTGGCTCTCATTTGTTGGCTTAGATTCTGCCTCTCCGCAGAAAGATATCCGGAACGTCAACATACTTGCAACGCAAATATTCTGCCAGATTCTTGCCAAGTACGTCGTATGTGGAGCTTGAGGCTACACCTCGATCTAAATGATCTTTGAGGAGGAAATGGACAGCTATCCAATACGTCAGCAATGACCCAATTGGACCTCACTTCATTTATTGCGCGTTCAAGCCCAGGTGACACTTACCGTGAATGTTTGGCAATTCAAAACGAAAAATGGGTTTTCCTGTATCGTCATCCCCGAGAAGCTCTCTGATCCTTTCCATGCTGAGCGTGTGACGAAGCCAATCCCATTCGTCTGCATTCCGGACAAAGAACCCTACGTTGCAGTCTGATCCCTTATCGCCCGATCGAGCATGTACTACAGCTCCTAACGCTGTCCTCGTCGTCTTCCCAAATGATGCAAAATCGATAGCGTCTGCCGTATTATATGATGCTTGCGAATGAAGAAATTCAACGGTATCAACGGGTGGCTCAATCGGAATGGATATTCCCTTGAATGGAACATGGCATACATGTTTAGCATCTTTCTGAGGGAAAAGAGCTACCCAGTACTCGTAATATGGTTTGGGAGTTGCTTGGCGAGCGTCCGTGGCAAAAGTAGCACCAGGGTAAGTCTGCATGATGTTGTCGGTCAATGGACGGAAGAAATTGGCCCAAGAAAGTGCCTCTTCGTCCTTTGACTGAGCGAAAATTCGTAGGTCGACGGTGGCACTGTCTTGATTGGAAGGATTCTCAGGGCAAGAGCCATTGATCCGGAATTTCAAGCAATGGTATTTAGATTCGTCGAGAAGGTGACGCGCCTGTCTCTCCAGCATAGCCGCCTTTTCCTTGATATCAAGCCCGCACAAAAAGTAGTGCAACTCGGCTTGGTAGCCGCCATGAGCAGTAATTCCAACCTTTGTGGTTGGAGGTGGTTTCCGGCTTCCCACATTTGAAACGTGGCTAACTGCTGTGAGCATCGGTCTAGATAAAGCATAGAAAATTACTCACACTCTGTTCTCACCTCGTTGCTCCATCTTGATCTCGTCGAGAATCGCCACCACATCCGAGTTGTAGTAAAATGGACCCTGAATTTCGTAAAGCAGTTGAGCTTTACAAGTATCTACAGTTACCATGCCGTCTCGATTTTTTTGTTGGCTGACGATGAAATGACCGTTTGACTCTATCTCGACCACGGGAAAACCTATATCAAGCGACCGTCCTGGTAGGCTCTTGAAGCCGGAGAAGTTACCGCCCGTCACATAGGTTCCACACTCAATCAAGTGACCAGCAACAAAGGCATGAGCGAGCTGATCGTAATCTGATTTGCCCCACCCGTAGTAGTAGGCAGCACATGCAATGGTTGGAGATGCGTCAGAAACTCGACCACATAACACAATATCTGCGCCGTGCCTGAAGGCCTCGACGATGCCCCAGCCTCCCAGATATGCTTGGGCATAGATAGGCTCGAATTGCCAGTCGGCAATTTGTTGACCTGTATGTAATCAGTAAAGCTAACGCCGAGTGCATGAGAGTCTATCCAAATACCAGTTGTCAAATTGGTGAAGCCGTTGCCCAACTTCAAAGCCTTATCCACGGCGTCGAAAACTTCGTCGCCCTCAATCCAAGCAACCTTGAGATTTAGGCCTTTGGAACTGATGAGCTCGACCAAAGTATTATGTAATTTTTGGGTGTCACTTGCACCGGCGTTGACAGCGACTTTGATGTGGTTCTTCTCCAAGTGTGGTAACGCAGGGATGATGGCCTCAAGAAACGATGGCTCAAATTCGTCGGACGTTGCACTGTTACCGATCTTCGATCCACCTCTTGTTGTCATATTGTATTCAGACAGCCAATCGCCTACAATAAAGTCGAGGGGCTCGTTTTCAGCCAGGCTAGCGAAACCACACCTGCGATCGGTCACCGAGCCTGAAGCGGATGCTATTCGTAGCTTGGGCACTTCTACCGAACCCATTGCGCTGACGATAATCAAAGCTCTCCCGAAAGTAGAAAATCTGGAATTTGCACGAGAGTGTAGGGCGCGTGGAAGGATATGTTAGAACAAGAATCAATGACAACGATATGTCCACCCTATATTGAGTCCGATATCAAGTCCGAATTGCCAAGCTCGAATCTCATGCACTCCGTCTCTGGGAAAGATGAGCGGACGGGGATCTTCATATTTCTACACACAGTCTGCCATGATTCATGCCCATTGCAGTCAAATCCTTGACTGTAGGCATGTGCGCCATGACTCATGCAAGCTGCCTCGGGAATTGGCGTGGTTGATCGCGCGCGGGGAAGCTGTCTCTCACAAACTTGGCACCTCCATAGTTGACAATGATTAGAAACGGGGACATATCTAAGTCACCAGCGTAGTTTCTTACAGAGAGTATATCGCATCATACTACCATCGTGTCTTTCAATCACCGATACCTTGTTGTATAACAATGACATTCAACAAGATTGAGCACAACTTCACTTACCATGAGCTCGACTATGCTCATGGGCCAAATTACCAACCTTGTATCAAAGTCTCGGTCTTCTTCAAGAAAAAGGCTGATATAAACTACGAGACGTTTTTTGGTCATTGGGCGAGTGTTCACGCCGACCTTGCGGTGGCGTGCAAGGCATTTGCCCCCATTCAGCGATATGTCCAAGTACAGCTCCCAAAATATCTCCAACCATTCCCTAAGACTGAAAGCTGACTTCTCGCCAAAGCATCATCAAACACCAGAGATGAAAGAACGCGCGAAGAGTCTCGGAGAACAGTTTCTTGACTATGATGGCTGCGCACAGCTCTGGGTCAATTCGTGGGAAGATTGGATGTCCTTCTACAACAGCAAAGAGTACGCTGCAGCGCTCGGTCCAGATTGTGATAATTTCATGTCTCTACCCATGACATATATGGTTGGGTACGAGAATCTTGTTGTGGGAGATGCGTCAGCCGCGATAGGTGGCAAGGATGGCCTTAGAAAGAAGGATCTCTGAAGGTGGGCAAAATTAGTCCAGGTGCACGCACCGACGTGATATCGAACGTGCGTGTACTTCCAGGCTAGGAGCCACACCACTGTATTGTCTGAGCTTTGGATATTGATTAGCTTCATGAAGTCTCGTTGTTAATATCTGTAGTTAGAGCCTACTCTTGAACGTTGTGAGAGTGAGCATGTGTGTCACTGATCATTCACACATCTTCTCAGGGGTTAGCTGAGGAATTCTCTGCCAGAACACTTCAAATATTTCTTTTCTGTACATCATATTTTCTGTTTTCATGTCTATTGGGGGTTTGGTATGCGGAACTGGCTTGAACGTAAGCTTCAAATCCCCTCAGATGAACTAAGCTATAGAAGTCTAAACTTGTTTACAGTCTCAGGCAATTCTCACACGCCACCGTCGCAGATGCAGAGCGCCACGCTCCCGAATGCTTCGGACACTACTGTAACGGGCATGTCGAGTAGTCCCTAGCATGAGTCATGTATGAGGATCCCTAGGCGAGCTTCTAGTGAATAACTGGCATTGGTAGTAAATGGCGAAGTACTGCAATGAACCTAAAAGCAGGCTGATCATCTTCCGGCCTCATGTAAGAGCTGCGTACTTTGAACTTGTAGGTTCTCTCCCCAGATCTGGTTAACAACGTTCTCTCTGTCACACTGTTGCTTTCTGCTCCTCCGATGGACCTCGAGCCACATCTGACCCAGCTATTTATCAACAATCAAGCGAGTACACCAAGCTACAACGTCTTCTACTCCAGCTAACATTTTGGTCCAGTACGTTCCTTGTCGGAATTACAAAAAGTAGGTCACATAAGGCAGTCACACAGTCAAAAAATCTAAGGTCAAACCAGAATTTCGGTCTTCAATCCAGCGAACGAGAGCCTTGTGAGCGACCAAATACCTGTTGCAGGAGAAGAAGATGTTGAGGCAGCAGTGGAGGCAGCAACCGAAGCGTTCGCCCTTGGATCTCCGTGGCGAAGAATGCTTGGCATTGAGAGACGCGACCTCATTTTGAGGTTCGCCGACCTCTTAGAAGCAAACAAAGACTTTCTGGCATCTCTGACCAGATTGACCCTGGGAGTTCCATTCAACCACTTCGGGAAGGGGGAGATTGACACGGCTATTGCATGTTTCCGCTGTAAGTTACCTATTTCAATTGGCATATCTCGTCGTTCAGCTCGCAACTGCTGATGAACAATGAAGACTACGCTGGATGGATTGACAAGTTCGCTGGAAGGAACTTTCCTGCAGATGATGGATTCTACAAAATTGTCCGCAATGAACCTTTGGGAATTGTTGCCGGGTTCGTAACACGCATATGGAAGTGGTAAGAATCTACTGACTATGAGCTTAGGATCATTCCATGGAATAGTCCTCTTGCATCGGTTGCACTCAAAGCTGCTCCGGCGTTGGCGACCGGAAATGTGTTCATCTTGAAACCGAGTGAAAAGACACCTCTGATGTCCGCTGCTTTGGGGAAGCTGGTGCTCGAAGCAGGGTTCCCTCCAGGGGTGTTTCAAGTCTTGACCGGGGATGGAAGTACAGGGGAGCTACTTGCCAGACATATGAAAGTCGCTAAAGTCAGCTTCACGGGCAGCATTGCATCTGGAAAGGCAGTGCAAGTGGCAGCAGCGTCTAGTAACCTGAAGAGAGTGACGCTTGAACTCGGTGGAAAGAGCCCTGCCGTGGTGTTCAACGATGCGAATCTAGCGAACGCCGTAAAGTGGTATTGTTCATGGCTCCAAGGTTTTTGCTAGTTTAGCTGACTTCGCATTAGGTGTGTTGATGGGTTGACCAATAACTCTGGCCAGATCTGCTTTGCTTCTTCTCGCGTCTATGTCCAAGAAGAAATATTTGATACGTTTATGGAGGCATATGTAACAGCGTTCAAATCCAAAGCCAAGGTCATGGGTGATCCCGAAGAGGAAGGGGTTGAAATTGGACCAGTGGTAGACGAGGCTCAGTACAACCGAGTTATCAATATTATTGACTCTGCGAGAGATGCTGGCGATGGCACCTTATTAGTAGGCGGCAAGACAAGATATGGCAAGGTTAGTTTAGTCTTTGATGACGTTACATTACTGGTGGAATTCCCACTGACCCTTCGTCTAGGGATATTTTATCGAGCCTGCGGTGTTCTCACACACCAAAGACACTGCTTCAATCTATCGGGAAGAAATCTTTGGTCCAGTTGCGGTCGTCAACCGATTCAGCTCAGAGGAAGAAATTATCAAACGGGCAAACGACAGCAAATATGGTCTGATGGCAGGCGTCTTTACTCAAGATATCAACCGTGCGCTTCGCGTGAGCTCGGCAATCGACTCAGGTGTTGTCGGAATCAATTGCATCAGTACAGTGAGCATGAGCTGTCCTTTCGGGGGAACAAAGGAGAGCGGAATAGGACGGGAGATGGGTATAGATGCCCTCCGAGCCTGTACTGAGCCAAAGACCCTCTTGATAAATCTCGACTTTTGAGCAGATCGAAATTAACGTAACTGCTGCCAGTTGTCTTGGTACCAGTGTGTTGTCAATGTTTTTGTGCCATGGGCGTGGTTGGTTGGTCCAAATAATTGGTCGCTTGAATTTTGCACAAATCTAGTCACAGAATACCCCTCGCAGTTTCAACATACTACACATTGCCAAGGGGCACGAATTGCAGTTGATCTTACTCATATCCTTTAATTGCCTGCGACTGACTAGTCTCTGTTATCGCTGAACTTTTCACTGGCCGTCATCGATACGTCTTGGTGGCGCAGCTCATTTGCGCTTAAGTATAGAAGCTCACAACGTTTTCAGAATGGCTAACAGCTTGGATTCTAGTTTGACAACGTGGGTAATATCATCCATGAGTACACACTTGAATTGAAGGACCAACAGTGGTTCACGAAGTCAAGAAATATATCTTCAGACATGGCGAATCTACCATCTTGCATGACAATGAAAGGCACGAAGCTAGTGCCGATGTATACATGATAAATTGTCACTCGGAAACTAGATATCTCTTCTCTATACACGTCTATTCAATCCGTGCTACGCGTGTCAACCACGAAGATCTCCATGTTGAGTGATTCAAGCTTTAGCTACTACCACAACGCGGCGAACTCCATGGAGAACAAAACCCGGGCTACCAGATACAATTCTATCGCAAACGGGCCATGAATGCCACGGGCCACGAAGACCCATGGCTTTTTTAAGGCCACGGAATACCAAATCCTCGGATCACAAGAACCGCGGATTATGAAAGCTACGGATTTCGAATTCCTCGGATCAAGAGCACCACGGACTAAGATTCCACGAAAACCCATCATCGTGGGACAAATTCGTGGTGGTTGCAAGCAGTTCAAAACCGGCGCAATTTAGGGGAAGCGACATGACTCATGTCACCATAAATACCTTGCTTACGCTCCTTGCAAGAGGTCAAAATGGGCCTGAGACGATGTTTCCCCCCTGAGCATAACGCAGATCGCAGGCTCAGCCTTTGAACCACCTCGATCACGGCTAAGTTGTGTACATTAGTGCTACGTACGTCTAAGGACTACGTGAATGGTATATTCTACAATACATACTCAGCTCGACAGCTGACTAAGCATCATATATCCCTTGAGCACCATTCCCTTTTTTGTGAACCACTGGGATCGGAGAACTACTTCTTAATACCAGTTTGAGTCTCAACATGTTCCCTTGCTAACGCTTTCTGCTTAACCAAAGCGGTGACGAAAATCCCCATGGCTGCAATCCCCGTACAAGTGATCCAGAGATTTCTCAAGCTCCAGGCAAAGGCCTGTTGGACCACCAGCTTTTGCGCCTGGTCGGAAATGGTGCTTATCAACCCGATTTTGGTTGCTGCATCAGGGCCTGAAAGTTCTTGGACCATGTTAATTGGCAGACCACTTTCGCGTAGATACGAGCTTTGAAGCTGTATGCCATTCTGGAACAGGACACCACCAATGATTATCGAGAGGGCAACGCCAGTACCTCGCATAAATCCTAGGGTCGCGGTCGCGGTCGCCACGTCATCTTGAGACACGAGCGCTTGGAGCGCGATAAGGGGAGGATCGAAGAGGAGGCCGATTCCAAAGCCGGACACGAGTTGAAAGGCAGCGATGGATCCGATCGACGATGCAGCGCTAAGATAGATGTATAATCCATTCCCAAGGGTCATGAAAACTACGCCAACCCAGATGAGGTTGAGATATCTGCCGAAATGGTGAATGAAAATCCCGGAGGCGGTGGCTGTCGCGGCTTCAATCATTATCAGTGGAAGGAGGAGAACTCCAGAATAAAGGGGTGAAGCCCCTTTCGCAGCCTGGAAATAAAGTGGAAGATAATATTCTGCAGCAGTGAGGACCTATAGTTATCGTCAGTGAACCTTGTCTTTGCAAACGGTTTCGAGTTTTCGTACGAAATGTTGAATGAAAACAATCAGTAGACATGCAGTATTGGACTTCTGGCGGAAAAGACCAAGAGGCATGATTGGATGGCGTGCAAATCTGCCTTCATTGAAGAGGAACAACCCGGCCACCAGGCAACCGAAGATGACCAGGCAGATCACTTGTGGAGAACCCCAGGGAAATGTTGTTCCTCCAAAATTCAACCCAAGGAGTACCATCACCATCAGCCCTATGAGTGAAAGGCTCCCAGCCCAGTCAATAGCCTTGATACCGTCGACGAACTTAGTCTTCGGGTTATGGACATCAAGGAAGATCAATAGAAGGCTGAAAGCTACTCCGCAAACAGGAAGATTTATCCAAAAGATAAATCTCCAGAGACTTTTCTGAGCAAAGGCACCTCCAAGGACAGGACCAAGACCACCAGCCACGGCCCAAGTCACCTGGAGAAGTCCAAGAAAGAGTGGCCTGGTCCTGCATTTATTTGTCAGTGTATACATTTTGGGAGTAAATTGGAGAGCTGTGAACCTCATGCTAAACAAATCCGAGATCACAACGCTGACTAGTGAACCCACACCGCCACCAGACACTCCCTGCAGAGCGCGGCCTGTGATCAACATGGCCATGCTGGTCGATAGAGCACATAGCGTCGAGCTAGCAAAGTAAAGGGCAACGGTCAACAGTAAAATCGGCTTACGACCCCATATGTCTGACAATTTTGTCCAGACAGGGCCCACAGCAGTTGTTGCAATCACGTATGCAGCTCCAATCCAGGAGTATCCAGCCGCAGAATTGAGATCCGCACAGATTGTAGGTATTGCGGTAGCCACAATCGTTGTGTTTAATGCGGAAATGAAAGTCGCAGCCTGACATGATACTTAGCGACGGGTTTTTCCACCACGTGATATAGTAGTGAGAGATATCAAATTATGTGCCTGATGAATGAAAAGATACGGAGCACATGTTCGAGTGGGCTACTTACAAAAAGAGCAGTCATGATGGAAAACATTTTCAAAGTGCTGCGTGGTTGTGCAGGTTGAGGTCGTTCTTCGTCGCTACTTCCAGGTCTCTTCATCTCGCTGTCCTTGGTGGGAACGCCAACAACAGAAGGCATTGTAATCATGTCGATTGAATCAATGGTACTCCCAGCAACAGGAGTAACTATCGACGCCATCGTAGGAGCAAAAGCGGTTGCTTGGGCGGGCTGTGAACTGGAATGATAGCTGCCACATATAAAGAAAAGCCCAGTCTAAAAGTGATATGCAGGCGAAGATTGTTGCGTTCGAAAGGAAGAGAGCCCTGAATCCGGATGCTGTTACATGCGTAGGTAGATAAGGCATGACAGAGATGATGCCCTATTTATATTTATCCGAAATTGGTGGGAAGCAAGTCTTGATGTTCCCCTCAGTTCCCCCGCGCCCTTAACTAGAAGTCTCTCCCATTAGGTAGATCTGTACCGCCCTGCAACACTTTCTCTGCAACCCAAGGCTGGTGCCTTCAAGCTTAGCGAGAATGCATGATCTCGACCTTGCCTGATACATCAAACTTGACTACCATGAAACCCTCTACCTTGCAGCGCGGGACATTTGCTTCCGACGATGGGCACTGTTCACGAGATATGTTCGGCACCCTCTAAGAAGTGCCTCACTTAGTGTTACTTTAATCTGTAATGACCAACTCGTCCACGCCGCCGGCGACCTTACCTGACCGGGACATTACACGATGGATCCACTGTCAATGACCACTACCATCATTACTGTGTTACAGCTCACATCAACACTCGCAAGCTACATCAGTGAGGCAAGAAATGCAACAGCAGAGCAGAAGAAGGTGGCAGTGGAGGCTGGCAATCTCTACGCTCTCTTGACCAGTCTGCGGTTAAAAGTGGAAGAAGCCCGGTCTGACGATCCTTGGTTTAGCAGCAGACAGAAGTCGAGAAAGGCAGGGAGGGCGGGACAAGTATTCAAGACACAGAACAGTTATTAAGCCTGTAAGTACAGGTGGTCCCCCACGTCAGGTGGAGGGTGAGAAGCAGTTCTGAGCAGGAACGACGTATTCAAATAGCGTCCCCCGTGCTAGCCCATGACCATGAAGACCTCTTTCCTGTTTGGCATAATTACCGTTGACGCCTTGTTGAAGCCGCCCTCGCCCCGGATTTCACCTCTCGAAATTTTGGACAGGGCCTGCTAGGGGTCGCAGCTCCCTTCGTTTTGCCGTCCTCAGAGGCCTGTTGGCTGAACGTCATAGGGAGCATGACACGCCTCGCCTTTTTAGGTCTCAGATACCTTTGCAAGCCTCAAAGGTCATTCGAGGACTGGCTAGCAAGTTTCCGGCCGCCTGTTGAAGTGAGGGATTTGGCCATGTTGAACGGTCACAGTACCTTATACCGGAGTCTGCCTTGCTGGATTAGTAGTAACCTGCCACGGGCTGATGCGACAACAAGATGCAATGCCAGGATCAGGGTCCGTTGACAGTAAATCATGGCTCAGAGCTATCCGATCTCCAAGGAATGGTGATGAATGGGTAGACGGAAGGGTTGAAGTCCGCTTGACTTTGGGCGGTTATCAGCATTCTTCTCCTCGACGGGGGGTAGACCACTGTATGCTTCGTTTAGATCCTGGCGAGTCTCATGACTGTTACTGTGGAACTTTTGTTCTTGTGAGATGGAGAGCGCTGCACGGCTGAAAACTGTGCTGTCCTCGGTCGCTGCCAGCTCCGTATACGTCTAGAGTCCCCCTTCATATTTGATCTTTTATACCTTATTTCGGAATCCTGGGATTCTAAACGGACATCCCACAGTTGTATTAAATGATCTCATTTACCCCTTCCCTGTGCCTCCTCCTTACTTTTTTCTTTAGCACCTTAGCCTTCGATCTTGTGTACATTGAGCTGGCAATCCGTCTTTTCTTTCCCCGTCTACACCGCTGATGATGGCTTCTAGTAACTCTAACTCTGGCTCTAAGTACGAATCTGAGAACAGTCAATTGACAAGCACGGAAGCGCAAGTGCTCGCGCTGTTTCGGAGGTTGCTCCAGCTGGTGGCTTCGGACGCAACGATTGATCTCGGAAAATGGGAAGAGGTACGTGTGTCGTTACCGGTTATTCTTGGTATTAGGCACTGACGGTGAGCTGCCGCAGCTTTCCGTCATAATTCGACAACTGTGTGAGGAGGGCCCCGAGATTGTGGATATATTGGCAACGACAATCCTGGAGGAGAGGAGCACCATCGATAAATCTCTTCAGCAGGAACAAGACAAGGTGGAAAAGAGCATCAGCTACACTGCGAAGCGTAGGCGCATTTCGAGCAAGGATCTGAACTACCGACGCCCAAAATCTGCCAAGGTCCTGTCACATCCATGGATACCGTCAACACGTTCCGGAATATGACTGGCCCAAAGCTTCCATGCTTGGGCAAAGTCCTAGGGAAGGAGCATCAGGCATCTTCTAAGATGGAGTGGTTGCAAGCAGAGCCGCCGGATCAGTGCATATTGGATAGGAGATATCATGCTCCATCATCAGAGTACGGAGTCCGGAGTCGTGGGGAACTCGTAGTTAGGCTCGGGCAACCTTCCGTTTCCGCTTGGCAGTCTATTCCGACTACGTCCTGCCGGTACCCTGTCATTCGTTCTTAACTTGCTCCTGGGCATGCTTGAGAGGGTATGGAAGCACTCAACCAGAGACGGTACTTTCGTCACTCACTCGTATTAATCCAGATTAACCGTCTGAACGGACAGTATCCCTCACAGCTAATTTTGAACCATCCTCGTCTTGGTGATGTCTGCGCGCCTTCACAGTACCTCAATGGACCAGGCCCGCCTACACAAGTCCCACTCACGTGTGCGCCGTGCACAATATGTGAGTCAAGCATGGTTGGTCTCTATCTGATTACTCCTGGCCAGAGCAGTCTAAACAAGCAAGCATGCTGACTATGCAAAGTCATGAGTGCAAACGACGCAAGGTCAAATGTGACGGGGCACGACCCTGTCGTAGGTGTAATGTCAAATTTGCTGCTTGTTTATATGACCAACCACAGCAGCTACAGCCCGTGTATGATCTGCCTAGACCACCACTCATTGTACTTGAACTGACGCTACTTCTCACAGCAGGAGCCCTCCGTCCAACCACAGTGTTACTATGTTTCGCCGTGAAGACGACATTGTGGCTCAGAAGGCTAAGTCAGGAGCTGATGGGACCGGCGATGCTGCCACCGCTGTGGCGGCAGTGGAGCAACGTGGTCTTCAAGTGATGAGCCACTCCCCTACTGATCTAGGAGTTGAGTCACCCAAGTTCTGTGGACCTTCAAGTTCGGAACATACTCTAAAGGTGATAGGTGGGGACCTCAAAGCAAGAGGCATACCCACTGCTATACTGGGGACTGCACCGCCAACTTCTGGAGTTGTGGGCGGCATCCCAAGAGTAGTCCAGTATGCACCTGTGATGAGCCTCCTGACGATGGATCCTCTGTGGGAATTTCAGAAAGAAGAGGCACTTAAGCTAGTCGACGATTGGTTTGACGAAATTGGTTCCCTCTATCGCATCGCACATCGAAAAACAGTTCTAGAGAATGTCACATATGTTTTTGACATTCTAGAACGTGCTCATAGGGAGGGTCTCAAGTCAATTGGAGAAGAAGTGGCGGAAGCTCTTCTCAACAACGAGACAAGCCAGTTTAAATTGATTCTGGCCAATCAGCTAACTTTGGAGAACGGGGGCAAAAGTCATGCCGCTCAAAGACTATTTCAGAGTGTTAAGGGAGTGGTAGATGATCTCCTGTGGCATCCCATAGGAGTTCCCGGTATACAACTGCTCATGTTGGTGGTAAGCACGCCTACTCCTTCGTAGGACGTCTCCCGCCGAGTGCTGATCTATACACTCCCAGGCTTTATATCACTATCACCTTAGCGATGACCCAACTACAGGTCGGATCATGAGCCATGCGGCAAGACACTGCCTGGAAATGGGTTTAAACCGTCTAGATGTTGTTGAGAAGATCTTTCCCAACCCCGAAGAACGAGAAGTCTCAGTGCAAGCATTCTGGTCTGTTTATATCTTCGAACGACGAGTCAGTCTAGGATTAGGTATACCATATTATGTCCAAGACATTCTAGTCGATCCACGCTTGCTTGAATCGGTATGACATCCTTCCCTCTGGGTTTCCCTAGGGCGCTAACCTTTTCACCAGGCCCTTGACAGCTCTGAGCTACATCTGGGTATCATGCTTGAGTGGACAAAACTGGCTGGGAAAACGTGGCAGGCTTTGAACGGACAGCATGGAGATAAAAGTGCTGAAATCAATCATGAAGAATTGGACTATCTGGAATACCAAATCTTACATTGGTATGAGCGTATTCCTCCTCATCTCCAGCTGAGTCACGACCGATCAGAAAGACAGACACAGTACAAAACTCTCCAATACCTGCAAATTATCTTATTCGTTCGCAAAAGCCATCTCCTTACCTTGATCTACCGACCCGTCCTACAACGTGGCCATATTCAAAAGCACCAGCGACATGCTCAAACGGGGGTGAGAGTCGCAAAAGAAGCAATTCAGGTACTGTCGGAACTTACAGAGCGAACCGGCTTGATTCGCAAACACGCATTATTTTTCAACCATCTCACACTAACTGCCTTCGGAAGTCTCCTATCCGCAGTGGTTAACGGGAGCTCCCTGTTTTGGGATAAGCTACGAACGGAGTTCGACACGGCTCTAAATCTCATCAGAGTGCTAAGCACTAACTCGGCCCCCCTGATGCGGTTGTGGCAACGCCTCGAAGGACTCCGGGACCTACAAGCCAAGCTCCAGAGCGCGTCAGACATGCAATTCGTTGAGGTTCCAAATGATCAGAGACCACCGCCGCTTGGTGGACTGTCGCTGGATGAGCTGTTTCCCACCTTTCCGGATATTCCACCGATTGCAGACCCTTCAGCAGGTCTCATGAATTCTACGCTTGCTAGTGCGCAGATGAGGGAACAACTTAATAGCCTTTTTGAAGTACCTGTCAGTTACGATAGTTTCTTTGACTTCACTGACATGGATTGGGAACAGCCGGCCTAGCTATCTCAAGATTTCACTGACACTAGACCGCATCTAGTCTGACCAAGTTAGCAAATCTTTCGGTACTAAAGGTCGACCTATAACGCATGAGGGGAGATGACTTTGCTGGAGCCTCGCTACTAAACAAGTCCGAGCATTTTGTAAGTACATAGAGTACTCACATACATGCGCTGTAAGTTTCTCTTAGTGCGCAAACCTCATTGACGGAACTCCACGGATATATAACCCTCATTGAAGGATACGCTAGTTTGCGTGATCAGCGGCGGCCGAACACAGGTGGTACTCGTTGTTCCGCTTCCGAGCCCATTTCCGAATTTCTTCAAGAACGAAGGGTTCATGGAATTGGATGCAAGCACATTTCCTCTTTCCCCCTTGTGTATCGTCAAAGAGAGTGGATGTGGGGCGCATAAATCCGTGCTAGATTCAACTTCACGAGAACATTCTCTAGCATGGATATGTTTATTGATTGACTGCTTCAATTTCTCACAAGTGCTAAAGATGACTTCGTTTCCGGTGGCTGAGCTGGTCGGGTACATGGCCAGGACAATAACCTTCAAGTCGGTGCAAAACATTGATATCAAGCTCGATGTGGCGTACCCTCAAGGCGAGATAAAAACACCCGCAACAGTACTATTACACTACCATGGTGGTTTTCTGGTATGTGGATTGTTACCTCATCACAACCATCGGCAATGTTTTTAATGACATGTTTGTTTCGACTTGATAGGTTGTAGGCGATCGATATGCTTTTTTCCCATACTGGCTTGTAAATGCAAGCATTTCGCGAAATTGGATTTTCGTCACACCCGACTACCGTCTTTTGCCAGAAACTACTGCTCAAAGCTCGCTCGAGGATGCAGTCGATGCGTATACATGGGTATGGTCCCGATTAGGCCCAGAGCTTGGCCTGGAAATCGGTTCAGTGGTGCTGGCTGGCTCAAGTGCTGGAGGATACCTGGCTCTCGCAACGGCGGCAGTTGTTGATCGTAAGCCTAACGCCCTGCTTTCAATCTATGGCATGCTAGACCCTACTTTTGAGCGATATTTGAAGCCTGGCAGCAACATCTTCGGGCGACCACTTGTTGATACCGCGCCGATCCTGGACCGATTTCCAAACCCCGGTAATAAGCACACTAAACCGCAGATCAGTGCGTATCCTTTACCCGCCGATATCACAAAAGACGAAAGATTCCCACTGGTCTCGGCTTTTCACATTGACGCGTTGTTTCTGGATTACTTGACAGGCACAAAAGGCCTCAGCCACGATGTCAGGACCAGCGGGGAGGAGGCAATTCCTCAGCAGCAACGCAATTTGTTCCCACTCACCTTTTCAGATCTGACCAAGTTGCCGCCCACGATATTGTTACACGGCAAGAATGACACGGCGGTTCCAGTTGATCTAAGCATCCGAGCCGCCGAGAAACTGCGTCAAGCAGGGGTCGTTGTGCAAGCAGAGTTTCCAGTCAACGCAGAACATGGCTTTGATGTAAGAGTAGGGAATGTCAATGTCGAGTTAGCTGCAGGAGAAAGTCTGGCTACTTACCAAAGCCTTCGAAAGATCATCATATTCCTGGACAATATACTTAGTCTGGGAAGCGATGGTCTAGGACAATCATAGGCAGGACCATTTTCATAGCGCACCATGTTAAGCTAAACTTCAACCCTGAACTTTGCCGGTGATATCTTGCTAGCTGTACGGGGTTTGCCAACACAACATTTTACTATTCACATATAACTAAGCTCGCTGTCTCGAATGAGCTTTAATGTCTGATGCTTGGTTGTTGTGGATAACAATCCCATCATGGTATGCGAAGCATTCCGCCTTACATCAGAAATAGGTTCTTGTATAATTTGGCCGAGCCATTGTAAGCTTGAGTAATGATGCGAGGGTAATTGATATACTTGTCGAGAATCGTCGAATCATGAGCAGACGGTCAACCCTGGCTGCGTAAAAGCTTAGCCGAATATGATGCCTGTTTCCTGGATGGCTGCCTCGGGCCACTTCGTACCAACCGTCAAATGTACACATCCATTGCCTTTTGATTTAGGACTTAGAAGAGACTCGAGACCTGCCGAGCTCTTTTCTTTTCGTCGGAGGCATTGTTCAGTGCCCCCCCAAAATTTTCAGTTGTCGTGATTACCGCTACCATTGCCGCAACACTCGGAACAGTCTGTCACGGAACTAGCGTGCTTGTCACATTAGCCCGATCCATTTCGGATGCTGCGACAGCAGGACGAATCTATGCAGTACAAATGATAATCTTTGTTTGACATTGTTAATTGTACATTCATACAAGTCTGAATCAAACAGCTCTATCCTACTTCTTTTTGAGCCTGGAGTAGTTTTATGCTGGTTTTTCAAGATGCTCTCCGCATGGGATCCCACAACTATACTCTCAAGCTTCTTCTCGACATCAGCACCGGTGTCTGCTATTTGCTTCTTCTTTACCTTCAGCTATATCATTTACTATCGACACATCCACCCACTGTCGAGATATCCAGGCCCTGCTATATCATCCTTCACCAATCTGTGGAAAGCCTATCAGCAATGGACGTTACGAATGCCTGAAACCCTTGTGCAGCTCCACGAAAAGTATGGAGATGTGGTTCGGGTTGGACCAAATGATTTATCGTTCAATAGCTCAGATTCAGTGTATACGATCTACAAGGCAGGTCGCAGTCTTCCGAAGTCTGGCTTCTATGACGGATTCACTACATTTAATCCAAATCTATTCGGCACTAGGGATGAAGACGTAAGTCGCTCAATTTTGTCTAGTTTTATACGAATGTACCTAGATAGCTAAACACGTGCCGTAAACAGATACATGCGATCCGCCGTCGACAGCTCGCTCATGGCTTCTCATTTCAGTGGATTAAGGAGATGGAGCAATACATCGATGAGCATTTAATAAAGTTTATGCAGAACTTACATCACTTCGCGAAAACAGGTGAAGTATTTGACTTGAAGGAGTTGATATCCTTCTTTCTACTTGATGTCCTGGGCGAATTAGCTTTCAGTCAGAGTTTTAATGCTCAAGTAGAGCGAAGCCCTGAAGGACTACCGCCTATCAACGACCATATCTTCCTAGCTTGTCTGATGGGAGCAATGCCTGAGATCATGCCGTGTTTAAAGGCTATCGCTCAGTGGACCCCACTACCTTGGCTTCAAAATTTATTCAAAGCCCGGGCACAATTGAAAGAGCTTACAGCGAGGTGCGTCCAACGGAGGCTGGATGAGACATTAGACAGCGGGCGAAAGGATCTTTTGACCTCCCTTATTAAGGCAGTGGATCCAGAAACAGGAGCTAAGTTGACTAAATTGGATATAAACACTGAAGCTTTTGCCATGGTGTATGTCCCTTCTCTATCTCTCTCTCTGCGGGTTAAGTTAATAACAATAAAACTAGTGTTGCAGGCGCTCATACTACGTCAGGGACGTTGACTTTGCTATTCTCACACCTTTTACAGAACCCTGAGATAATAAATCGAGTAACGGCTGAGATCGATGACCAAGTAGCCGAAAGTGGAGCTCCTGTCTGTATCAACGGCTTAGAGCAAAGACTACCGTACCTCATGGCTTGCGTCAATGAGAACTTCAGAATCAATCCAGTCTTCAGCATGACATTGCCTCGTGTTGTGACAGCCCCTGAGGGTATTGAGATAAGCGGCCATTGGGTCCCTAAGGGTGTAAGTAATAGTTCTACTACTACAGTCGCATTCTATTTACTGTTGCAAACTTCTGGATATCGAAAAAAGGAAAGAGACATACTTACTCATGAATAGACTACTGTTTTCAGCTTGAATCATGTTGTTCATCACAATCCGACCCTTTGGGGGCCAAGTCCAGACCGCTTCGACCCATCCCGGTTTCTGGGAGAGGAAGTTGAAGCGATGAAACGGAACCTAAGTCACTTCAGCATTGGCCACCGAACCTGTATTGGACGCAATATAGCTATGACAAATATCATCAAAACTGTTTCAACGGTGTTGAAGAACTTTGAGTTGACGATGATGAATGCTAATCAGAAGATCACGGTACTTAGTGTTGGGATTTCGGAGAAGGAAGGTCCCTTACTCTGCAGGGTCAGAGCGAGGTGAGATGATGCTCTACCAGGATAGCTTTCCAACAGAGTAGCTAGGATCGTCGTCTAATTACATTCAAGTCCGACAAAGTTTTTCGAGTAAACATCCTGCTTAATTCCCGTGGGCCCACGTCAGCAAGCTTATCATTCTAGCGAGATTAATGCGCTGGATATGACCGGTCGATGCCTCTGAAATGAGTACATAGACACATACATTTCCAGCACAGAATGCTGCTGGATGGGCCCTAGGTCGTGTTGGGATACGCCACCTCCGCAGGCAAGAGTACCCATCGCCACTGGGGTTTCGTCGAACCGAATGGTCGATTTCTTTCGTCACTTAACATAGACAACTTGAAAGAAGGTAAAGCTGTGGCAAAGGCTCTGCTTCTTGACGTACAACTTAAGCTGGAGGATAACCTAGAAGTGGACTGTGTAATGCTAAGTTGCCAAAACTAGATGGAATGGTTGGCAGATGGTGGAATCAATCAACCAAACGGGCGTCTGGAATGAAGGTGATTCAATGACCCATCAAGTACAGAATCACCATTGGAGCTATTCTTGCTCATGGTGTGGGAAAATTATCACACTCGAGGCGGTTGCCTGTCATACATATGGACGGACATTATATCCCAGCTTTGTATCCGTCCAAGAGAGCACCCTGACTAATTCCTGATTCCTGATTCTGCCTACGTGGAACTCAGGAGGCCCATGTCCAGCCCCGTCATCATCACTTATACAGTATCATGTTCAATCAGAGTCGCCACCGAAATGCAGGGTGCTTCCAGTCCAAGTTTTCGATTGCCAGGGGGCTCAGTCCAGAAAGCTCTGCATCCACGTCTCTCTTGCTGCGTCTGGTGTTGCTGCCTTTGGCCCAAAATGCTAATGTCACCGTAATTATTACCATCAGCGATGAAGTAGCCAGATTCAACCCATTGCCGGTGTGGTAGTTGGGACCGTCAAAGGGTAGGAACGACCAACTGGCTATCAAACCACCAATATTGCCAAACATGACGGTGGTGCCGATGGCCGCTGATCGTGCACTATCAGAAATGACGTTTGCTGATACTTGAGCGTTACATAGAGCGCCTGAATTGAAGGCCCCAGAAGCAATCAAGAACGTCGCGGCATATCTAGCTTTGGAATTGGTCGTAGCTAGGAAGATTGTGTACCCAGCTATAATTGGAAAAGCACTAATCATCAAGAAGAGATTGCGACGCGCCATCTTCCAGCTGAGAAAGTTGACCAAGAGGATAAAGAAACCCCCAACGATATATGGAGGCACTGTGTGAAGCTGGTTCGATACGATCGAATTCTTAGGATAAATGGTGCGCACGATTGTAGGGAGGAAGAAAGCTAGGCCTTGAACAGTGACATTTCCTAGAAGGAACACCATAGAGTTTGCTAAGGTGACCGGATTCCAGACTCCACGAATAGCTTTTTGAATGCTGAGTTTATCCAGGACTTCAGTGGCACCAACTCGTTCTGACTTGATTCGGGAGATAGCGAGCTCTTTTTCTTCCTGAGTCAACCAACGTGCTGTTTCAGGTCGATCCGTCAGAGTAAAGAAGGCAACAAGCGCGAGAATAATCGTAATAATACCCTCGATGGCGAATATCATACGCCAACGGCGGAGATTCCCAAATTTGTCCAGAGTCAATATAGCCGAAGCAAGAAGTCCACCAAAGGCTCCAGCTAGGGAGGCCATGACGATATAAAGAGACAGACGGAAAGTCAACTCGTTTCTGCGGTACCAGCGGGACATATAATACGCGATACCCGGTAGCATGCCAGCCTCAAAGAACCCCAGAAGAAAGCGTACACCACATGCTGACTCGATTGTTTCGACATATGCGAAGCACACGGTGATGATTCCAAAACCGAGAGTTAAAGCAGGCAAGAACCATCCGGGTCCAATGTATTTGCAAGCAATATTAGCTGGAATCTCAAAAAGGATGTAAGAGATGTAGAAGATTGAGAGAACTTGATTGTAGTCGTAGCCTTTCAGATTTAAATCTTGCTCGAAGCCTGCAAGTCTTGCATTTCCTATATTTAGGGGTTGGCGGTGTAGAAGTCAAAAGTGGTAGCGAAACTCACCAATATTCGCTCTATCAATAAAACAGAAGAGGTAAATGACAGCAACAGAAGGGACAATGTAGAGATCAATCTTCCTGCGGAGACGAGCTTCGGCAGCGGCGTCAAAAGAGACCAGAGGCCGGCCATGGCTGGAAACATTTGGTAAGTTCTCAAAGGATTGCTATTTAGATCATAAAGAGAAAGGGTATACCTGTCGGTTGCTGCTCGACCATGTTCCGAGGCTTCGTGGACTGCCCCCCTCACGGAATTCTCAACATATGAAACATCTGTGTTTTCTTTCTGCCTGTCAACGCGCGACATTTTAAGGCCGAGTTGAGGTAAGTGGCCGAGATCCTGAGCAGTTCCAAGAGGCATTCTCAGATAGAATCAAGCGATGATTAGGGATAATTCGAGGCTGGGAAAAGGTCTAAGAGGCACATGGAAGCAGAATCCATTTACGACGTATCTCGCGCTCTTCCTTATGCTTTTGCGGCCTATCTCTGGAGGGTAGCTTGCTTTACGCACGATCCGGGTCCTGCGTTGCGAGTCCACCTTGCGGAACGGGATATGTTGACATCGAAGAACACAAATGCGGAAGCGGAACTAGCGTCGGCGGCAACCAAGTGCTGCCAATGTAGATGCACACAAGCAAGATCGGCTCGCCAGCATCCTCACACCACCAACAAAGCCGACATCAACCAGTGGGCCCGTGGGCTATGGACTACACACTGTACGATATCCTGCTCTAATGCCGAAGAAATCGGTAGAAGGAGAGACATTCGACATCGACTCTTGGGAGACGCTAAGGGTTGCTAACATTGAGCGAGGCATAATACTGAGATACCTAGAATGCCAGAAGTAAATATTGCACCGCTTGCAATACTGTAGGGCTCAGCTTGAGAGTTCAAAGGAGATCCAACGTTATCTTTATTGTAGCCAATCGCTAGGAGATACCGTTAAATAATGCACGCAGGACAGGAGTGAACGGTCTGTTTTTCACGGCACTCTCCCTTGAGCCCATGGTCTCTGATACCAAGGATCCATAATTTATATATCTAGAACCAGTTGGTGGGTTGTTGTGTGGTAATGCTGATTACTTTGCGTGTCGATAGCCATAAGTTGCTCACTGTCTTTTTAATCCGGGAGCTGCAAGGCTTGTGCTTGTGCAAGGCTCCAGTAGGGGAATTTGATAAACCGCATTGGGCGGTCCCTTGACCTAGGATCCTATGGTCCTAGTATCGACTCTAACAGTTGGCGAGCAAGGTCTAGAAGCAATAATTATTTTGATCATGCTTACCATGTACTAATTGATCAAGACGGTCGCATAAGCCTTCAGGGAAAGTTTGTAATGTGCCAGTAATATCAAGATCGCCTGTCGAGTGCAGGTTCAGACCACACCGCTCTGCGTAGCACAAGCCCTCGTATCAGCCGTCCTTATGGAACTCATCTCATGGAGACGCAGTATATTGTGACGTCATGTGTAGCGCAGACCGATTATGACTTGTAGTAATGTGATAGAAGGACGCCGTGAATCATTCATCTCCAATGGCCGACATTCTTACTGAATCCACGTACCACGAAGACAAGAGGTGGTTGCAGCTTGACTGTCTCGCTGTTGCACGCTAAGTCGGTGAGTATCTTCCCTCCTGACCGTTTATCCAGAACAACTTCATGAACATAGTATGGACTCATCCTGGTACAGCCAGCCTTATCACCGCGATGGTGGCTCTTTCAAGCTCCACCTTTGGTAAGCCCACGCGCGGGATTTGACCCAGCACGTGTGATACCTACACTTTCAGATCATTCTAAATCTTGATCGAGTTCTGATTGGATTGGATAGAAGGCTGCTCCCAGCTAGGTACGACTTGTCAGAGCAGCATCAGAAAAAAGAGTGATCGGTGAGAACCTCATGTTTGGAAGTCTCCATTGATAAAGGCCGAAGTCCGAGCGCATGCATATTCTAGTAAGCGAAGTGGTGTGAACTGCCAATCACTTTGAGCCAAGTGACTCAGAGGCTAGTTAATGACGAAGATTTTGGGGCTATCGTTTCGAAGGTTGTCGAGGCATGATACCTCATTCCGCTGATACATGAGCAAGACTTGGCAGCCGTATGAGAGTGATAAATAGACACCTTCTGAAGATCTGGGAGACTTCTAGCCCGATTTTCTTTTGACAAGGATTGCAGCTCGTGTGTGTCATTCGTTCATGCGATTTGACCAGGACAAGACTAACCATCAACGACTGACGACCATGACTTGTGAAAACCGCATCCCGGTGCGATGGACAGATGAGGAAGATAGGACTTTACGAAGCGAAGGTAGGTTTCCGGGACCATGCAAAGTATCTGATCTGGGACCTAACAGTTATAGTATTCCACATTGGGGTCAAAGATTGGAATCACATTGCCACCCAGCTACCCGGAAGAACAAACAAGGATTGTCGAAAGAGATGGAGTAAGATAGCCGAGAATGTTAACAAGGGCACTTGGAGTACGGCGGAGGACCAACTTTTGAAGTAGGCTGTCGCCAAATTTGGAACGAAGTCAGGATGCTCCCTGGTTTTGCTCCGAGTCTTGCTGTTGACACTTTACAGATGGGCCACAGTTGCGTCGGTCATGCAAACAAGGCACGCAGATCGTGAATACCCACAAAATCCCTCGCAAAATGGGTTTGACCAATGTCTGATGTGTGTCCAGAGTGCTCAAAGCGATGGTATCATTATCTTGACCCTTCTCTGAACCACGATGAATGGACTGTGTTGGAAGACACGCAGCTTGTCGAAGCTGTTGGCCAACATGGTCGCAAGTGGGCAACAATCCGAGAGGTCGTGTTTCCTGGCCGATCTACAACAGACATCAAGAACCGGTAAGTGCATCCCCACCGATGAAAAGTAGCAGGGTCGGCTCATATATTTGTTGAAGACATGTGATACTGGAGCGACGGGCGAGACAGTTACTTGAGGGTGGTTCGATAGCCTCGATTCCAGACCTCCATGATCTTTCAAAACATTCGAGGGCTTCATCTTGCTCTGGAACAGGGTCACCAAACACACCAGAAATGCTCAACACCTCATCGACGTCCGAGCCGGAGGCGTATGTCCCACTATGGATGCCGCATACTAGCCAAAGCGAAGAATATTCCAACATGACACCTGAAATTCTGACAATGGATACCATTCAGCAACATCTAATGTTGCCTTGGGATTCAAACACAGAAAGTATGCGCAGCTCGAATGCTGAGCAATGAGACTATGATCAAACCCAGGTCATTTCAGATGATTATACCGGTCAAACTATGCAGAATCTCGACTGTCCTTTTGGTGGGCTGATGGACTGGTCCAGCGTAGGAAATGCTGACACGTACCACAGCCCACGAGAGACACATTATTCACACTTCGGCACGATGGTGCTTGAAAATGTTCAGCCGGAGACCGTAAGCAGGGTCATGTCAGTACTTATCGAGTCTAAAAGCCCAGTAAAAATTCGGTTGTGCCGGTGAATCTGGTTATTCTTGGCGTGTCTGCAGGAAGGAGTCGTTTTCCAATCAGGCGATGGCCAAGGCCAACATATTTAAAGCATCGAGTTAACTCCCCAGCCATCGAAGGATAATAGAGAGTGCAATATATTTGCGAGAGTGGGAGATGACTCGTTGCACGGGTGTCAGTTTCGCATTGCTCAAGTCTGTTCAATTGCTCCTCTGCGCGCGAGATATATCACGAATATTTAGAGATACTACCGTTAAACAGGTCTAGTATAACCCCAGACTTCCGTATTCACCGTCACCGAATGTGAAGTTTGCCAGCGAAAAGGCACAGGGGTCATTAGCCGTGTCCGGGAAAGGCTCCAACATGCCCAGGTCACCAAAGTCAAAGATCGCGTGAGGTGAAAGCATGCTGGTGTTTGTGCAACTCGCTGGGTCTGATGATCCTTGCAAAGGACTATTGGGTCGTGTTGGCATCGAAAGGGCCCAGTGGTCTACTGCCTGCCAGATTGCCTGTGTTGAGCCTTCGGACTGCGCTTCGGATTCTGTGGTGGTTGGCCGCATTATTTGACGATAATACTCGGCGCTGTGGCGATTGAACCTCTCCAATCTATTAGCCTACTCAGTGGGCATCAAATTAGCCTTCTGGGGAATTGAGATGCTTTGAGGATGAGTGAGACTTACTATCAGAGCTGCATGTTGCCAGTACGCCGATAGCTCTCGCATGAATAGGAGGTCAGCTTCAAAATTCTTTGTCGCTTCCTCTCGGGTCGTTAAGTCGTCATCGTGCTGCGAGAGAGCATGGATGGTGCCGGCCATCATTGTGCAGTAGCCATAGAAAGAAGTGAGAATGAGCACATTGCCATTTCTAACACGTCGAATGTCGGTGATAAGTTTCGCATGTAGACGACATGTCTTCCATACTCGCGCCATAAATCGTGATGGAACCTTTTGATTCGTCTTTTGTAGTCGGTCTCGAAGTAGAAAAGGGTGGTGTAGTAGACATTGTGACAAGGAGTACAGGGCTCTTGCATAGAGAATTGGACTTGCAGTGAAATGATCAAAAACCCCATCTTTGACCGCAACTCGTTCCAACATCTCGTCCAATGGTTCACCAATATCGAAATGCATGTCTAGACTGGAGAGGAACGACTCTATAGTTGCAAATGGAGAATTCGATAACCAGGGTGATGGGGCGAGAGAATAGCTTCGGTCCTGCAGTACATATTGAGAGACACGGTTCAATCCTGATACCATTACAGGTATTAGCGCCAATGGCGCACATTTTTCGACACAATCTCCCTCAGCGCCGTCTCCAAGTAGGAACGCGAGGCTTGGCGCATCCTCGTAGCGATTAGCATGGAATGCATCGTCCGAGCAAGGTAAATGAACTGTACAATCTTCGTCTCGGAGTATTGGCGGCCGTTCCCGAGAAAGTGACATCAATCGATCCTGCAAGTGGATACCCCAGAAAGCCCTTCTTCGCTCTTCCTGCGAAATTGCATCAAGACTCGAATCAGGCTCCATATGAAAGCGAAAGAGTTGGCCAATCCTGGTAGCGAACCCGAGTTTCAAGAATGCAGAAGAGCAATCACCAGCTGTTTTGGTTACTCGTGACCCGGCAACGAAACAGTTTGCTACTTACCTGTATGCTCAACCGTGACAAGGATGATAACTGTTTGGAGTATTGAAAGGGCTTCGTCGCTGGTTTTGGGACCATCCCATGGCACATTGAAAGTTTCCCATGATCTCTTGGCCAAAGATCCCACGCTATCACCGCCTTCGAAGTTATGATGAGGAATGGTCGAAAACCGCCGTGCAGAAGCTAGGAAAGCCCACACGAGATATTCAGGAATTTCGCCACTTACCAAGCGTTGGCGGAAGCGGCCTTCGTGGAAAAGTGAGTACGGATGATTGTAACAATATCTGAAGTACACGTCTGCAGCAAAGAGTAGGATATGCGGTGGTGGTAGCACGGGGTTTTTTGAGCTGCTCAATTGTATGCTTTTGGGAGTTTTGTTCTCCTGCTGAACTGGCTGGGTTGATGTTTCGAGTGCAACTGCGGGCTGTGTAGGTAGCAAAATCGCTGTACTTATGACAGATGTGGCTCTGCAACGATCACTATTTATTTTCCCGTTTGTTTGTCGAGCTTACCTCTCGATCACAGACTCGAAGGCAGTCAGCCTCGATTCAAAGGAAGACATTCGAGCTTCTGTGGCTGCCTGTTCCATACATGAAGTTGGAAAGTGTTTCATTGTGGTCTGCTAGGAATACGTTGAGAGTCACTAGTACTCACCACTAGTGCTGAGAGCTCTTGTACAGCCCCCAGGTCAGGTCTCGCATACGCATCGGTGAGGTCGCCATAGTTGCAGTCTTGTGAAAGTCTCTGACAGAAGCTACATACTGGTCTTTCTCCAGTGCATCGTACTTTCTTTCTCCTAATGAACGCTCAGTATTCTCAATCTTTAGACTCCTGACTGAGCTCAGGGATTTCTGTCATCCTACCGGCAGTTCAAACAGGCCTGTCGTATTCTTTTCTTGGGTCGCTCGTCAAGATCATGTTCATCAGCCGTCTCGGACATGATGATCTGATTTGAGTTCCACTCTGCCAGTTGAACAGGAACTAGGATTTGACGTTTACTAATGGGATGACAAGTGATTTCGCGGTTGAACCACTGTGAATGAAGTATTTCGTAAGGTATCGGTGGCCTAATTTGCTTAGCGATCGCCCCAGGCCTTTGAGCTATGACGTAAACTTCGAATAACAGCACACTTAGCAACCTCAGAGTCTAGAGGCATCCAAAGGAGGCTCAGGGAAATGGTCGCTCAAAGGCAATATTCACTGTGAGAGAAAGTGCCTCTGGGAATAGACATGTTTCTGCACAATCAGTGTCTTGACTTCGCATCAAAGTCATACCTCGTATAAGAAAAAGGACCTATGTGATAAACACATATTAGTGCCACTAAGTCCGAGGACTGAAGCAGCACCTGAAAATAGTGTTGCGCGAGCTTAGTGAGCTACGATCGAAGTAGTCAGAGCTCGCATTCAACCTAAAGATCGAGACAAATCCGAAGGACCTCGATTGCCCCTCGTCGACCGGAAGTTACGAGCAAAGAACACTTGTGGTAGGATTCTGGTGCGGAGTGATCAAGAAAAATCGGCGCTCAAGTGCAGTGGACGGCCCAGCCCGTGTCAACCGTGTTTGACCGTGCACACACTCTGCAATCCCAGGACGCGCCACATAAATGAAAATATTGGCTAGTGATCAGTCGCCCTGCTTTGGTTTAGTCTGTTCTTACTAGGTGGGCGCTGATGATGAACCCGGGTTCAGGTGCACGGCAAGAACCTGTCGGTCATACTAGCAGCCAGATCCCAATGAAGCGGTGGTTTCCCCGGTGGGTGCCTGACCACTGGGCCCAGGAGGCGGACCGGGTCTCCAGGCCTGTGTATAGAAGACCAAAATGGCAAGTCTATGGTTGTGTGTAGTCCTTGCTGGCTTGCAAAAGAACAAGGCGAACGATGGCCCAGATAGCACGTGCTGCACCATACGCTGAACCAGTTTGGACCACGCGTGGCTACTCGCCTTACTACAATGATTCTCATATTCGTCTGAAGCGAGAGCTTCGAGAATATGTAGACAGAGAAATTATACCACACGCAGCAGAGTGGGAGGAAGAGGGTGGTATCCCGTCTGAGGTATGGTCTTCGATCTAGTCTTCCTAGACATTTCACATCTCACTGCAGATTGGTTTGCTGATTATCTCCAAGCATGTACAAAATTTTTGCTTAAGCGGGTTGATGGCTGCATCAGTTTACCCTCTACCATCAGGATACCTTGGCAATGTCAAGCTTCCAGGTGGGGTTGCACCTGGGCAATGGGACGGATTTCATGATCTGATCTGCATTGATGAGATTGCTCGCATTGGTTTCCTCGGTGTGATCTGGGGATTGAGCTGCGGCAATGTCATCGGCCTTCCTCCGGTCATCATACACGGCTCGGAGGACCAAAAACGCAGATTCATCCCAGACGTACTGCAAGGTAAAACGAGGTTTTGTCTGGGAATCACCGAGCCCGATGCCGGCTCTGATGTTGCAGGCATCACCACGACTGCTGTTCGAGAGGGAGATATCTACAGAGTCAATGGGACCAAGAAGTGGATCACAAATGGAATATGGGCAGACTACGCAACAACTGCAGTCCGAACTGGTGGATCAGGAGCCAGAGGTCTTTCTGTGTTAATCATACCTCTGAAGGCAAAAGGAGTAACGCTCAAGAGATTACACAACTCCGGAGTACATGCTAGTGGTAAGGCGACGACATCTACTAATGGGGAGAAGATTGTTACTGACTTTGTTTCAGGATCGACCTTCATTGAGCTGGACGACGTTGAAGTCCCCGTGGAAAATCTACTTGGCAGAGAGGGACAAGGCTTTGAGATCATCACTTCAAGTGAGTAGAATCTGCCAATATCAAGTGCAATCCTGACGTTTTTATGTAGATTTCAACCACGAGCGATTGTGGCTGGCATGTACATCTCTCAGACTCGCTCGTCTTAGCATCCAGGATGCATTTCTCCATGCCAACTCCCGCGAAACATTTGGCAAGAAATTGATCGAGAACCAAGTCATCAGAGCGAAGTTCTCATCAGCAGGAAGAAAAATCGAATCCGCGCACGCCTTGATCGAACAGCTCGTCTATATTGTTGACTCTGCGCACAAAAGGCAGGCACCGCCAGCCCCCGCGATTGGAGGGCTTGCAGCCACTTGTAAGGTGCTCGCAGGGCAAGTTCTGGAGCACGCAAACCGGGAGGCTCAACAGATTATGGGTGGGTTGGGCTACTCAAAGAATGGACGAGGCGCACGAATCGAGCAGATAAGTCGAGATCTCCGTGTCATGGTTGTGGGTGGAGGGAGTGAGGAAATTCTGGCCGACTTTGCCATCAAGGAGGAGGCAAAACTGTTCAAGACGAAGAATGAGACCAAGTTGTAGTCGATAATAGTGTTGGGATTTTTAGTACACTCCCTTGAGAACCTGACTTGCATTTGAATCCCCTCCGCATAAAAATCTCCTCCAAGTAAAAGTGCAGTTTGAAAATGGGGTGACTTTCTACCTACTGCTAAGTATTAATAACATTGCTTTTCGATCAACGGTAGATTTGTCCACAAGGCCAAGGCACTTGGCCCATGATCGCTCCTGTAACTGACAGTCGTACTTAATTTGCATGAATCTAATCGTCCCGTGATTCGCGATATGTCCTTGTCGGTAGTTATTTATGCCAGGTTCTCTACAAACGAGCCAACGAGCGATGGCCAACCGCGCCCTCAACCTTCGGAATCTTGACTATCTCCAAGCACATGCCCAAGATGTCCCGAGTATCTCTAGGATCAATCACACCATCGTCAAGCAAATGAGCACTGGTATAGTACGACTCACTTTCGCGCTCGACATTATCCCTGAACACATCCGTATTTGCACTTTGCCCTCCAACGGCTTGGCCATTCTGTGCCTTGCTCTGAGCGGAAGCACCAGTAGTCAGAACCGTCTCCATGACGCCAGCGAGTTGACTGGGCCCCATAACGCTGCACCGGCCAATGGGCCATGTGAACAGAAATCGTGGATTGTAGCCTCGACCACACATGGCATAGTTTCCTGCGCCGTACGATGATCCGAGTATGACGGAGATCTGGGGCACCTTGGAGCAGCTCACGGCTGAGACAAACTGAGCCCCTTTCTTGATGATGCCGGCTTGCTCAGCGGTGGAGCCGACCATGAAGCCGGTAACATTGTGGAGGTATATAATCGGCATGTCCCTGTCTCAATTCGTGAGTAATATGCGCTTTGTTTAATATGACAGAAGCTAAGACCTACCTCTGATTACAGAGACGAATGAACTGTGCTCCCTTTGATGCTTCATCCGGGTTAATAACAGGTGTTTGATTGCCAATAATGCCTGTTGCATGACCTGGAATATCTGTTAGCTTTTGGATTTGAGCAACTGAACGTGCGACTAACCGTGTATCTCTGCCCAGCATGTCAACAAGTTTTTGCCATAGTTAGGCTTGAAAGTCGAAAGCCGTGAACCGTCGACTAATCGCAAAACAATCTCCGCCATATCGAAAGGTTTGCGGATATCTGGGTTCACCAAAGCTAGAAGATCTTCTGCTGGATACCGTGGGGATAAGGGCTCATTTAACGATTCGAGTCGCTGCGATCGTTCTGGCAATGTCTTGACCCACTCGCGGGCCTTGCGAATCGCATCAAATCTGTGAATACTTCAGCAAAATCACTTCGTTCCACAAGACTTGTGTGCTCACTCATCAATAGCTAGTTGATCTGCTAATCCAGTTACACTTGCGTGCATGTCGCCTCCACCCAGCGTTTCCGCGTCGACTATCTCACCAGTAGCCATTTTGACAAGTGGCGGACCACCCAGGAAGACCTGGGCTTTATTTTTCACAAAAATCGTGTAATCTGATAACCCTGGTAAGTATGCTCCACCTGCCGTGGATGATCCGAACACAACGCTGCAAGACGGCAGCCTGCTTGCACTTCTCCGTGCGAGATCTTTGAACATCTGGCTGGCTTTGTGGAACACTCGAAACTGTTGCGGGAGGAAAACACCAGCCTGTAAGAGCATGAGTTATGAAGCAGCTATAGATTCTGGGACATGTGACTCAGACCGCTTGCACCAGTCCAACGATAGGTAGCTCATTTTCGTTCGCAATTTCTGTCATACGATTGTGCTTGAGCACTAGACACGTTAGAACGAAAGATCCACGATGAGCGGAACAGACTTCACCAGTGAATTCATTCCATGCACCACCCTTAATGGATGGGATCGAGCATATAATCATGCACGCTCGCCCACTTTAGCATGTAATTAGCATGTGCATTCGGTCACATGGATTGGGCAAAGTATTTACTTGATCAAACCAATCCCAGCAACTATACTAGCGCAAGGCGTTGAATCAAGGCCATGTCCGGCGAATTGCGCAAGCTCGAGAAATGGCGAGTCTGGATCTAATAACAGAGCGACTCTGTCTCGGGCTTTGCAGGTATGTTAGAGGTGAAGCCATAGCTGCGATTAGGGGTGGACTTACCCAGTAGCTGTTCTCGGTCCTGGTGCCGCTGCGTTGATATCGCGTTCCCTTCAGAGCCAGTGGCTTTCAAGTTCTCATTGAAGATCCTCAGCACCTTCTGCCACTCCTTGCGATTGTTGGTATATATTTCTTGCCGTAGGTCCAATTTGGACTTGTAAAATGGAAAGTTGCCTTGCACCGACATGTTCTGTTGTTGGAATGGGTGGAGTCGGGAGAAAACGCAAGCATTGTGCAATTTGAACAAGACTACAAGTATTCTAGCTCTCAAGCCTCACGGCCTACACGTGAGCGCCTTGATTCCAACACATTGGACTTAAAGGGTGGTGTATCCGAGGTAAGGAGGGCGGACAAACCACGGCCACGGGAGACATCCGGTCTGACAGTGTGGGTGCCTCCCTCCCGGCTTTTAGGAATGCCGCAACTTGAGCCTGCTCACTTGTCGGCTCGAAGACCATTGCGGATGTTTGTGAAATATTCTTACATCGGTCCTTTCTGGCTCAGCAGGTAATCAGTCAGTTCCTTGGACTGGAAGAACTTTCGGGACTACACGATCAGGCTTCTGGCGCTGGCAGTGCCCAATAGTATGTACGTGTGAATGAGTTTTCTAGATTCTACAGATTTTAGCAGTCTACAATTTCGGCTTCGAGTGATTCTCCTTCAGGGTGTCCCAGTCAACAGATTTCTTTGCTCGGAACGCTCCCAGCCCAACTTCAGACTCTGATCCTAACTTCATCATGCCTTCGAAGACACCCTTGATTGTGTCTCTTTGTATCTGGCCCCCTGGGCTGGACCACCCGGCACTGACAACTCTCTTGACCAGCGTCGAAGCTTCAGGAGCTGCCTTTCGTAAATCGATCAGGTAATTATCCAGCTGGCTGTCCAAGTCTGCCACATCCTTTGCGAGCACATGGACGGCACCGATGGATTTCAATTCCGTCATACTGATGGCTCGTGCAGACAGCATGGCTTCTCTCGTGAATGAGGGACCCCATTCTCGAATAAGATATTCTGATATAATCGCCGGACAGAGGCCTAATTTCACCTCACTAAGAGTCAAACTGGCAGTCTCGACTGCAATGCGAATATCACACGAGAATGCGAGTCCGATTCCACCAGCGTAGCAAGGGCCGTTAATTGCGGCAATGGTAACCTGAGGTGCCTTCGAGATGGTTTCGAATAGCTCTGTGAACATAGCATGGTCACTCTTTTTCTTTTCTTGCTGCCCCTCTGCACTTGCTTTAACCTTATCGCTGAGATCCATGCCCGTGCAGAAGAATTTTCCCTCTGCGGTCAAAATGATCCGTGATATGGATTGGTCTGAGGATGCTTTCTGGACGAAGCTCTGTAGTTGAGTGAGCATGTCAGAAGTCAATGCATTGCCATTCTGCGGACGTCGCAAGACAATCTTGACATTTACTCCTGACCGTAAAATGTCTAGGTTCGGGGATCGTTCAACGAAATGCCATTGCAACTTTTTTGCAGGAATCCCACTCGTGTTCTTGCTGCTGACATTCTTTTGTGCAATTGCTTGGCCAGCACGGCTGTTGTTGGGCCTCTTGAGGATATTCGAAATCCACTCACCGGTGGCTGACAGCTTTGAGAGATCGAGCCCAGTTTCTATGCCTGCTTTGTGGAACGAGTACACAAGATCTTCAGTCGCAACGTTCCCCTTCGCCCCAGGCGCGAAGGGACAACCTCCCAAACCCGCTATGGCACTATCAAAGGTGCGTATGCCAAACTCGTAAGCAGCCCACGAATTTGCGACTGCTTGCCCATACGTATCATGGAAATGACCAGCAAGCTTTTCGATGTCGACGCCACCTTCTTTCAAATAGGAGAGTAATCTTCGTACGTCCTCCGGGCAGCCAACACCGACGGTATCGCCAAGGAGGACTTCATAACAACCGTAGGACAGTAGGCTCCTCACAGTGTGCAGAACTGCTGCCGGATCTGTAGGTCCATCATAGGGATCCGAGAAGATACACGAGACAGCACTAGTAGACGGTATCAGTATTTTTCACTCCCCAAATCTCGAGTGTTCAGCTGATGGACATACCCTCGTACAGCAATCCCTGCCCGAAGAGCATGTTCGATAACCTCCTTTGCTCTCTGCAGACCTTCTGCCACGGTACAGTTGATATTTGCCTGGCTAAATCCCTCTGTAGCACTGATGAAAACACAAACCTCCTTAACTCCGAGCCTTTTCGCAATCTCAAGTCCTTTGAGGTTCGGGACCAGTACAGGATATCTCGTATTTGGACGTTGTATTAGATTGTTCACAGAAGGTGTCGAAAGTAATGCCTGGCTGTCACGGAGTTGAGGTATAGCCTTTGGCGAGACTATCGAGGTGGGTTCCATACATTTTGTGCCGGCCTCGTTGAGTCGATTGATGAGTTCAACCTTGACCTCCAATGGGACAGTCTCTTTGATGTTCTGCAGTCCATCTCTAGGACCAACTTCTACAATCCGTACAAACGGTGTTCTTGCCATTGCCGAGATCGAGAAAGCTCTGGGTCGCAAGTTTCTCACTGTCCTGATGGGGATGTGCTTCATAGCGGGCGAGCCAGGCGTGGCGGTTCTTGAGTGGGGCTTAATGGTTCATGAACCATCAACGACCACCAAAGATTGCTACACACCAAGCGAAAACGCGGGCGGTCGGTATTCCTGAAACCCGGGACGGTCTATTGTAGTCCTGTGTTTGTGAACATCAGTGAAGGTTTTGATGGTTGAGAGCCGAGGCTACGGGCAGAAATGTCCATCGGACCAAGCCCCGGATGCCACCCGGGCTGCTGCCGTGTAGGCCGGAGCTGCTCTGCCCGCGCTCTTGCGTCGATCTCACTCGTTAGCCTTGCCCATATTGAGAACAGGGATTACATGCAAAAGCTGGCTGATCACCAAAGACTTTGAGTCTTGACTGCCAGCGCACAATTTGCGACATCATCTCCTTGAACTTGCTCCTGCTCGAAATCATCGACAGAATATCATCAAATATTGCAACAGACATGGGGACTACAGCTTCACCCGAACGGCCGCCCCTATGGGTGGCTCAATTACCTCGTACTAACAATGGAGAACTTCGGATTCGCCGTTTGATGATTGCGAATCGAGGCGAGATAGCTAGTCGAGTGATCAAGACATGCCGAAAACTCAATATCACCTCAATAGCCATATATGCTTCGGAGTAAGTAGCCTTGGTTTGGGCACGATATCTCGGAAAGGCTGACCTTGATAGGGATGCATCGTCTCAGCATTGCACTGAGGCCGACGAGGCAATAAACTTAGGATCTATCGAACAGCCCACAGGCAATCCGTTCCTGAACATTAAGGGCCTGGTGAAGATAGCCTTGGCATGTAAAGCTGACGCAATCCATCCAGGATATGGCTATTTGAGTGAAAATGCACAGTTTGCGGATGCTGTGCGAGACGCTGGCATAATTTACATTGGCCCAAACTCTCAAGCAATACTTACCCTTGGTGACAAGAGGTCTGCCAAGGAGTACCTCCTAGAGCACGAACCAAACGTTCCTCTCATCCCAGGCTACACTGGATCATTCTCGGGTATAGATCTGGAGGAACAAGCGTCGAAAATCGGCTTCCCAGTCATGGTGAAAGCTTCTGCTGGTGGAGGTGGAAGAGGAATGCGTATAGTTAGGGATCAGACCAGTCTGCGAGATGAGGTTGAATTGGCCCAATCCGAGGCACAACGATCGTTCGGATCTTCAGATTGTATCCTTGAGAAGTATATCGCCTCGGGAAAGCATGTTGAGGTACAGATAATGGGTGACAGTAGCGGAGAAGTCATCTCGCTATGGGAGCGAGACTGCTCGGTCCAGAGACGGCATCAAAAAGTCGTGGAAGAAAGCCCGTGTGCCTGGTTGAGCCAGGAACAGCGCGAACGAATTTGTGCAGCAGCAGTGAAAATCGGAAAGCTCTTGAAGTATGAAGGAGCAGGAACTGTAGAGTTCATGGTCGACATCCAGACCGGAGAATTTTACTTCTTAGAAGTCAACGCCAGACTTCAAGTCGAACACCCCATTACCGAGGAGTGCACTGGGCTGGACATTGTGTCTCTTCAGCTATACGTGGCAAGTGGTGGGCTCCTGAGGAATATTGAGGCGTTTGATCGTATTCCGCAGAACGGGCATGCAATTGAATGCCGATTATGTGCAGAGGACCCGGATCAAAACTTTGCGCCTCAAAATGGCCTTGTTCGTCTGTGGAAGCCTTCCCCTGAATACCAAGGAAGAGATATACGGTACGAGACCGCTATAAGCTCTGGGGGCAGAGTTTCCATTCATTTTGATTCCATGATTGCAAAGATTGTCGTCTGGGCACCAACCCGGTCATTGGCGATCCAGAAGATGGTAAAAGTTCTCGCAAACACTGCTTGTATGGGTGTTCGCACAAATCAGCTCTTCCTCCAGGCATGTCTCACTCACTCGAGCTTCAACGAAGTGGACTATACCACGGCGTTCATTCCGGCGAATCTTGACGAACTTCTCAAATATCCCGACAGATTGCTCGATCATCAAATGCAGACCAAGTTATCGATCCTGGCCCCGCTTCTAGGCAGAACAATGGAAAACGCACATAGAAAGAGAAATGGCAGATCGGTCTTCAAAAGCATCCGGCCTGGATTTCGAAATCAGCCGTACGATAAAGTGAACGTTCACAGCGACATTGTTACCAAGTACGATGCCATCGCCAATGGTGAGAAACAACCACGGATTTATTCATGGAGCTATGGTCATGGAACCATATGCAGAGTTGGTACGGTGCCAGAGGTTCTGAAAAAAGAAGATCAGAGCGACAAGCAGTCAGCCACATCAGCAGTCACGAATGCATATAACCTCCTGAGCACATCATTAAGAAATGGGCACTTCCGTGGTTCTGAGGAGTTCGATGTCCATATACACTCGCTCAGTGCCGAGACAATTGAAGCCGAATACGAGCAATCCTGGAAAGTGGGTAAAATTGTTGCCTCCGTCAACCAAACTCTGTTTGAGGTGACATTGGCAACGGAAGACGTTTTCGAAGCCACCTCGGAGATTGACACAGCCGGATCGAAAAAGATATACTTGCACCTTCCAACGCTTGGGACATACATCGAATATCGGTGCTACTCACTCCTTTCATATTATGAGAGCCAGCGTTCTGCTGCTTCTGGAGGTGCCGAAGCTGACGGAGGGGCCATCACGGCACCAATGCCATGTAAGGTGCTGAGGGTCCTAAAAAAGAATGGAGATTCTGTCAAAACGGGAGAAATCGTACTGGTCGTGGAGAGTATGAAGATGGAGATTAATATATCGGTATCCAGGAATGGGATATTTGAGACCTCAGTCCGGCAGGGCGATGGTATTGACCAGGGAGTGGTCTTATGTCTTGTGCATGACGAAGAGGTAACAAAAAGTTGAGATGGTTGAAGGATTTATTTTTGCAATGATCTGACCTCAAACTATATGCAGATCAGATATGACCCCTAAGCTGTCGTGTAGAATATTGTTTTGATGATGGCCTTTCTTTTTGCTCGGTTTCAAACTTAGGTCGAACTCGGAGACAGGAGGAAGCAGAGAGATAATATTCCTCCCTAACAAATGCTCCGCCTACGCATGAGTCATATAAAAGGCGATAAGAGATTTCCCCGAGTCAGGTATTCTTCTCCGCATCTGCTCAAGATCAATCACAATGCCTTCTCCAAGAAACATTTATTTCGTTCTTATTCCACTCCCATGCGCATTCCCTCACATCGCATTACCACCCACGCCAGGGCCGACACTCTTCGACGACCATCTATGCCCATATAAATTACCATAACGCTCTTGATCTCGTGCGCTTATTCCACTAGATACAGTTCCAGGGGCATCACAACATGTCAAAATGGCTCCACGATCTCGTCGTCCTAAACCACAAACTCAACAAGTGAAAGACACCGACGCCGCCGTAAATGAAGCCTTGCTCGCACACGCCGATTTCACACGGTCCGCTAAACTGTGGCTTAGTGCTGCTCTTGGTGGTGATCAAGATGGTGCTAATGATCACAACGAAAATCAACCAACGTCGAAGCCGGAGGTAGGAGAAAATCCAAAGACGGAAGATAAATTGAACAGCCTCAAACCTGCAGGTGAAGAGTTTAATTCAGACATGAATGGACTGGGCTACATCCCACCCAAAGACTCCAGCGGTCGTCCGGTCACGACATCCTCAAATGACCCCACAACCGCATTCCTTCGCAAACAACTCCTCGGTTGGACTCGACCTCAACATCCTCCATCAAATGGACAAACGAACCGTCCAAAGGCCAGTGGATCCGTGAGAAAGGACGACAGTGACGAAGAAGATTCACGTTCTCGACGAAGCAAGGGGAAGCAACCGCCGAGAAAATCTGCACCAGCTGCAAGCCCTTTGGAGACCGATGATGGCACACCTACAGGGATCACAAATCGTTCGGATGAGATGGACAAAGAAGAACAGCCTGAACCACGGCTAAACTCGCCAGGGCCTATAACGACTCATGATGCGGAACCTTCTCATCTTCCCACAAAAAAACCAACAAAACGGCCAGCGAGCTACTTGGACCAAGTCCTCGCCGAACGTGAGAGGAAGAAGAATAAGAAAAAGAAAAAGTGAACACTATCATTTTGCATTCTCAGGTCTTCACACAAGCAGTGAATCTCATCACTAGATTCGAAATGGCATGGGGTAAAACCAAACAGAGAATTGGAAACAGCGTCTCGAGTAATACTATTTGCATTCTTCCGGGCTGTCTGGGACACAAGTGCAGATACAATCAATGGATCCACAAATTACTCACCCGAGACCTATATCCAGGGCCTTTTTCTTTCCAACTTGCACCTGAAATTTGAACCGGACGTCGACCACCCACCCAATCATCTGGCACAGTCCATCTATCCATCATAGGAGAGTATCGTGTCCACACATATGGACCGCCTGCCCTGTTCTAATCGTTCAACGATCATTACCGATTGGCCGTTATAACACATGGAAGGAGCATTGAAGATGCCAAATAAAGCCTCAATGCTGCGTGCAGGTGCGATGTTTTTTTTGGAGTGCCCTCCCCCAGAATGAAATCCAACATCATTATCTCCATATGGTCTGAGCTTTCCAAATACTGGCAGCAAACAAGACCATGTCGAAGACGGGAAACCCAAACAAACGACTATTCTCCAAAGGAAATTCATTGCATTCGTTTCCGTTTCCGATCCTCGAGAGGACTGTCATCCTCATTCTCTTGCTCGACTGTCTCCGCGGGATTCAATAGAGAGTGCAGGGTGGCCATGCTACCGCGACGGGTTGCTGGGGCCGAATGAAGTTCGAAATTGGGACGGGGAAATTTACTACCTCCCAGTGCCCATGAAACGTTTTCAACTCCGAGTCCGGCAGGAGGAGCTTCAGAGGTAAGTGGCGGCGTGGGTTGGTTCGCCGTCACATGTCGTCGAGGACCACCATTGATCTCGTACTGTGCCAATTGATCTCTAATCTGCTGGTCACCAGTCTGTGGCGCCTGCTGTGGCGAGGAAGGTTGCCAGTGCACAGATGAATGGCCCGAGGCATATGGCGATCCGTTTGGATTGCTGTTCGGGGGCCATCCGTGTTCTCGGATGTCGGCTGACGTGTGTCTCCGCGCTAGACTTAGCGGAGGTGGGGTTGTCACTGAAGCGAGTGGATGCACGCTGGGTGGCGGTTGAGGAGGGAGGGCGGGGCGGCTAAAACCGGGAGAAGCCTGCGGAATGCTGATGGAACCAAATCTTCGAGGAGATGAGAACTGAGGCGGTATTGGAGGTACCGGTGGGCGCAGTCCGACATGTTGTGGTTCGATTTGTACAGATGACCTTCGGCTGTCAGGATAATATCCTCGGGGCGAAAGTGGAGGCTCCAATGCTGAGCCACCAGGATAGAATGGAGCTCTGCCGTTGGGAACAGGATCTGTAGGTGTCTCGAGCGTGCGAATCAATTCGAGTTGTCTTCCGATCTCCTTTTGCAGGCTTGTAATGTCACTATGGAGGGTTGTTTCGGGCGAAGACATGGTCTGAAATGCTGATGTGAAGTTATGTAGCCATTGGTGGCAGCGGACTAGGCCTTCGGTCAGCGATTGGCACTTCTGGCTCATCAATGCGTAGCTATCTTCTGTCCGTTGTAGTCGCGCGTGAACATCATAGAACGCCTGCTCCAATCCTGCAAGCCGTTGATCGGTGTCTGGCATGACTTCGGCCGGGGTGCCAGGTTGCGAAACGCCGGGTTTGGCGTTCGAGAACGAGTCTCTGTGGATGAGAGTATGCCGCGAAGCACGGCGCTTGATCTCGCGGAGTCCGATCAAGTCACCTTTCTTGAAACTGCCATTCCCGTGTTTGAATTCCCACAATGCGGACTCGGGTGAGCCGGTGTGGAACACGTCACTCACTTTGTGGAAGCCGTACATGTTGAGCTGCCGCACAAAGGAGGAGATGTTTGTATGTTTGAAGTATTGCGCCAGGACTTTGGAGAACTCGTTGGATGGGGACATGACGAAGCTTTCGTTGGTGTTGCTCCAAGAAATTAGGTGCTGTATCGATCGATCCTCCAGCATGCTGTAAAGTTTATGAATGAACGCTGTTTGGACCACTTTCGGCGCCTGAGAAGAGCCCACAGCTCCGGCAGCATTAACCATGCCCAGTGAGCTGGAGTCTCGATGTCCATTTGCGTTATTGCCCAAGTCGACGTCTGGACTCGTGCCACCTTGCCCTCCCGGAGGGCCCATGTTCGGGACGGCTGGTGAAGCAATCTGCATGTGATCATCTTGAGAGGATTTGGGAGAGGTATTTGAGTTTGCGGTGCTGGCCATATTCTGAGGAAGGATAGCCATGGATCGTGCCCTTGGCGGTGGTTCGACAGGAGAGCCAAAGAGGTTTCTAGGTGCAGGTTGAAACATGGTACTCATGGTGGAGAGGAATTGTTAATGTATATTCTGATGGCAGCGGTCGATAACGGACCGTGTGAACGGAGGTCCCGATCCTCAAGTCATGCACAGCACCAATACCTTGCGCGGAGAGTGGAGCAAGCCACACATTTGAGGGAAAGCAGGCAGAAGGCTGGATTGGGGTACAGGTCGTGTTGCCGGAACTTGCGATCGAGGCTGAAAGCGTATAGGGATATTCGTTGGCGCCAGGTGGAGGTCGTATACAGTTCGAGGTTCTTGAGTGGAAAGATGGGCGTGGGACGAAAAGGTGAATGGGCGATATGTTGGACTTGTGGACAGGAATTGTTTTCTATCGCATCGGGATATGTGATGTCAATTGTGGATAGAGCGCACAAGCAGAATGTGAGAGGAGGGTGTGAGACGTGATGGTGTACAGAGGGTGAGGGTAGGTGGAGGAGGAGGAGGTGGTGGTGCTGGTGGTGGTGGTGAGAGTCGTGGACGAGATGGATCGAGATGCAGCAAGTTGAAGGGCGGATACCGAGTAAAGAAGGAGTAAAATGGCTCCAGAGTTTGCGGCTCCTTGACTGGGGACTCGGGAGAGCAACTAACGAATGGTTGGCTGATTAGGCTCGGGGCGGCTTGTTCCAGAACAAAAAGGAGATGGACGACGCAGGTCGAAAAGAGTTTGGGAGGCGCCCAACTCGGACCGGCCGCAGACAAGAATTAAATTGTATATAGATATGGAGGAACAGGGATCGGCTGTTTCGAGGTCGATCGACGAGTTTGAAGGGTTGTAAATGAAGGATTGACACGAGACAGATTGAGGAGAGAGGGGAAGGGAAATGGGAACCTTGGAGGTTGTGTACCTCGTAAGGTAAGGGTCTGTTCGGAGTCTGGCAGACTGGGCACCTAGGTACGAGTAGGCCAGACGGACAGCAGGGCACTGTACTGGGGAAGGGGACTGGGTCTGGGACTGGGCAGGGGATTAAACAAAGTTAGAACATAGAGGAGGTGGAAAGAGATTCCTCCGAGGATAAGGGAGGGAAAACAAGCGGAGAGGTGAAAGATACAGTCGGGGACGGGCGACAACGGGACAACCAGATTTGGAGCAAGGTTAAGGGAGGGGAAGAAGATGAGGAGGCGAGAAAGTCGAGTCGAAGCCTAACGCAAAGGTCGACGGGTACCGGTTAGGGATATGGAGATGGAGGCCAGGCCAGGCCAGGATACGAGGTCTGAGATGAGGGAAGCTGAAGCGGAATATTGGACTTGTTTTCGAAGGAGTACGAGGGACCAGTGCCAGTGGCAATTTACAACGAGTAGTTGCAACGGAGAACCTTTGGAGCACTTTAACACATAATTCGTACGACTATCCAGGTGCCCAGATATTACCGAGTGCCTGAGAATGCCAGTGTCTTGTTAATCGGCACGTTACAATGGTGGTTGAGTTGCATTACAATGCAAACTAGTTCGACTCCTCTTTTCTTTTCTTTTTCCCATGCTTGCCCTTGTTGAATTGCTTGAAATCCTTAGGTCCGTTAGGCAAGTGGTATCCGTACTCCGTTAAGGTAGGCACGATCCCTTCAAAGTTCAGCATGCATGTGTCTTTCCCTTCCTGCTAATAACACGTGCATTAAAAGTAACGTGGGAATAGGGACCCCCTCCCCCAAATCATGGCCACTAGCCCAATAATCTTCCCACGCTTGGTGAGTACCCGTACCCGTAGTGCCTAAATTCACGAGCCTGTCGAGAACCATATCGGCTTTCCCCGTTTCAACTAGCACTCATTTGATCTGGCACGTAGATGAGGGCAATTTAGAGGCCGTCCCGCTCATTCTCTAGGGATCTCGGGCCAACGAACCCCCAAGGGTTATGCCCACGGACCGCAAGTCAGTCGCGGCCACAGGCATACTTATTACCTACTCCGTCGACACTAAGCGTTCTGTATTTGAACTACCTAGGTAACTAACAGTTTAGCACAGTTAGATAATGCAACCGTCAAGACATCCAGACTTGCAATCCTCAAGCCTGAGTTTGCCTCTTTATCTCCCCGCACTCCTTTCCCCCGTAAGAGTCTCTATGCCTAGGTACCTAGGTAGGTAGCCTGTCGTAGGTATTCATTTAGGGTACCTAGGTATCAACCCATCCGTAATTGCTACCCTGAACAGTGCATGATCCTCTCCATTATCGCCAATTCGGCTTCGACCAAATAGGCTGGACGGAACAAGGATCCTAGGTTGCCTGTCTCGTTGTCTATCCGTGCGCCGTAGCATATTTGACGTCTCTGCTCCAGAGTTCTGCCCCCATTTCCACAAGTCCTGGTCGTCCCAAGACTGTGGTTCTATGCAAATGACTGGCCCGCGTCCCATCTTCATGCATGCACCACTGCACGCCAACCTAGGCTTGTACCTCTGCTTCGTACCCGTCGACAGGCATGGTTGTGCAGAGTCACCCAATGACACGACCAGGTCCATCACGCACGATATCTGCCCTTCACTGATTTCCAGGTCCCCATCGCTGGTGTGCAGTCAAGTTATCAACCCAACCTTTCATTGCCTAACCGTGTCCCACCTAGAATCTGGGATCTCTCGCTTACTACCCTGTCAGGCCCATTGCTATCAAAGAATTGTACGTCAAACTGCTACCTCCTACACGAGACTCTCCCTCAAACTGTCATTGCCTCTATTTATTGATCCCCCATCGGACCTGATTTCCTCATCAGGCTGCAGCTTTATTGGGCCTCACCATTGTTTTATTTCAACCAATCTCTGCTTCTCGCTGTTGTGCAGTTGAGATCTCAACCATCATCAACATCTCCATAACTCATCGCCATGCCCAATCTCATCGTGACGTTTATTGACCGCCATTCTATCTGCGTAATCAATATGGCAGTAGTGTTTCGTAATCACAGCATTTCTCCGCGACGTGACAAGACCTCATCCAAGTTTTGCGGACGCTGGGTTAGCTCGCTGAAAGTACAACTTGCCTTCCAAGGTTCGTCCCAGGCTGGGGTATTTGGTGCCAAGGTTTCAATGACTCAGCAACTCCTCAAGCTTTCTCGGATAATCTTCGGCCACATCACTCCGTTGGACTTCCATGATTTTTTTTCGATGCGGTATCCAAGTTCCCACTGCAGTCTGGTACTGCAGCCTTGAACACAACAACAAACGCCACATTCGGCTCCTGCAGAGGTATACACCCGGCATCTAAATGTCAAAAATGGCAGCCTCACGTAGTCACAATCCCCTCGAACATGACATCTCCTCCGCTGGGGGCCGTCTGCGCACGAAATCAATTACCGGCAAGAGGAAATCTCGGTCCGATGAAAATGCTCATGGAGATGGATACATTGACGCCCGCTCTTCGAGTAAGATCCTGGCAATAGCACAAGACCTCGCAGATGAAGATGCCGAGGATGGAAAAATAATCGCCAGACCTGTCGCCTCCCCACATGCCGCATTTGGCTTTGATTCAAGATTCGCTGGAGACGAGGAGGATCGAGATGCAGGACAATCTTCGGAAGAGGACGAGTGGGTTCCAGATGAAGAGGAGGAAATTGTGGTAGATGATGACATGGATCCCGAAGATCTGGCTGTCTACAAAAAGTTTTTGAATCAAGGGGAGGATCTCGCCGACTTTGCCCCCAGCATGGCCAATCTTTCAACCGGAAACAAAGGAGATTTCTCTGATTTATCGCCCTCACAAGCTGATCCCGACGAGGAGGGCCAGACAACCAATCTCACCGACCTAATTCTTCGACGGATTGCTGAGAAAGAGGCTTTAGATGCTGCCCGGGCATCCGGCCAACAGCCAGCATTCGTACCACCCCCTGATGCCGTCGAAATTCCAGCCAAAGTCGCCGAGACATTTACCAGAGTCGGTCAACTTCTTTCTCGATACAAATCCGGGCCACTTCCAAAGCCATTCAAAGTCCTCCCTACCTTGCCGCAATGGCCCGATCTCTTGTCCATGACTCGACCAGACCAATGGACGCCCCATGCAGTATACCGTGCCACCAAAATTTTCATCTCAGCCCCGGCATCAACCGGGCAATTCTTCTGCACCGAAGTTCTCTTGGAACGAGTGCGGGAAGACATTCAAGAGACCAAGAAACTCAACGTGCATCTGTACAATGCTCTCAAGGCGGCTTTCTACCGACCAAGCGCGTTCTTCAAAGGCTTTCTATTTCCCTTGGTCGAATCCAGCTGCACTTTACGCGAAGCACATATAATCTCCAGTGTTCTTGCAAAGATCAAAATCCCCGTCCTCCACTCAGCAGCGGCATTACTGAGACTGTGCGAAATCTGTGCCGAGCAAACCAGCAGCATCAACAGCGAAGCGGCCGGCTCGGCCAACATCTTCATTCGAATCCTGTTGGCCAAAAAGTACGCACTGCCATACAAGGTGGTCGACGCACTGGTGTTCCACTTCCTCCGGTTCCGGGCGAGCAAGGATCCGAACGGTGAAGAATCGGCCGGGCTGGGCAGCAAAGAAGCCAAGTTGCCGGTGTTGTGGCACCAGAGTCTCTTGATCTTTGCCCAGACCTACCGGAACGAAATTACCGAGGATCAGAGGGAGGCATTGCTGGATTTGTTGCTGGCCAGAGGCCACAAAGATATTGGTCCTGAGGTGAGGCGGGAGTTGCTCGCCGGGAGGAATAGATCTGGGCTGGAACAGGGCGACTCGATGGTCGTGGATAGTGGTGGAGAGAAAAGAGACGACGGCGATGATACCATGGAAATCACAAATTAAAACGGAATGGACATATTGGCTCCTTCCTGTGTACTATGCCGAGCTTGCTTGATGGTTGCTCAATAGACATCTGATAGGGAGTCCTTTGGACTAACGAATGATGAGACGATGAACCCTTCCTCGTACTTGACACCAATGGCTACTGGATGTCCAATTTCTTGATGAAACATGCGCATAGAAATGCAACCGACCGATATAGTCGAACACACGTCTCATCTCAGAATCTCCCACCAACTAACCGGATCAATATCAATGGTATAATGCGACAAATCCGTGTTCACAGAGCCAAGCTCATCCCCATTTTTATCCGCGCCATCATCACCACTCAAAACAACGTCAGCCACACCGGCCGTAACACTGTCTACCTGAGACGACACAACGCAACCCGACCACAACTCCCCTTGCTCTGCCTTTCCGTCTCGCGCTACAGCACCTTTCGCGGCATGATGGAAGCCTCTCTCCGCCAAGCCCACATGCGTGACCATTCTTGCCGCACCAACAACCATCAGACTCACACCACTACTCGTGTCTACCCGGCGCAGCACGAGCGTCTGCTGCAGGCCGGTGAACTGGGCGATGAGATCGCCGGCGCGCGCCTCCGTACACGCGAACCCGACGCGTACTGGGTCGACGCCCTGCCCGGGGAGTGATTCAATGATGATGCTGGGCTTGTGGAGTTCGGCGTTATGGTGTGCTCGTTTCTCGTGGGCCGAGAGCGCGATGTGCTGGAGCGGAATTTTGTTCATGTGGGTTGCGATTGGAGTTTGGTCGGACGAGGAGCTTTCCTCTGTGCGCTGGGAGTAGTTGTACAGTGTGTGGAGGGTATCGCTGGCGTGTTCAGCCATGTACACGATGTTGTCGATCATGTCAACCGGAAGAGGCGCGCGGACGGGACGGCCTGTCGGTGTGGTTGCGCCAGAGGATCCTGCGCCCGTTAATGTTGCTGTCGGCTCACCAAGAGCAGCATTGAAGGAGGACTTTCTTCGCGATGGTGACGATGTCGATGCTGGCTCGGCCAAGCCTGAGTTGAATGAAGATTTGCGTCGAGAAGGCGATGAGAGAGCAGTGAAAGTCATTGCTGGGGTGAGTCCTGATACTGAACCTGAAGACGAGAGCCTCGTTGCCAGCGATTTTCGCTTTATGTCGTGTCCGACGTACCGCGCCCAGTCGACTTGTTCGAGCCGCTGACGTAAATCACGCATGCTGGTCCAGCCGGGCAGTACTTCAGAGATGATGTTTATGTAGTCTGGGCGGAGCGGAGTGGTTGATTGTAACCGGCGTAGTTCCAGACTTGACAGGGGTGAAGGCGGAGCGGTCACTTTTGCCTCTCGTTGTTGCTGTTGAGTGAGATAATTGACATATGATTTGAGATCAGTTTCGGTCAATTCAAGGGATTTCTGCGTCAGATATACCGCTTGCAGTGTTGAGTTTCCTGGATTTGCTGGGGACAACAAGTAATCGAACACTTCGAAGTAGACCTCTAAAATGTGTTTCGAGTAGTCCGGCCTTGGGCCGCTATGAGTGATTGTGTCAGGTGGAATCACCTTCTCACCACAATCATCGGCAATTCCCAGGATCCCGTAGATCTTATCCCTTCGCTCCGCACATCTAGAATCGTAGAACTCAGATATCAACTCTTCTAGTGTCGACGACGTGTGGAAAATCCTCCGCGTCGTCAGACGCACGGGCAAAGTCTGCATGAACTGAGTCGTAAACATTGGCAGCACGAATTGTTGTTGCTGGGAGGCCGTCGAGACTTTTCTCATCATCCTCACGACATCCTCAAAACAGGACCACTCCAGACTGGCCGTGCCACAGAGGACCTGGATATTGCTCGCCTGAAGAAACTCCTGGATGATCCAGGTTCGCGTCCAGTACGTACCCCGGCATAGCTCGAGCACATTTGCCCAGCGTTGGACAGACGCCTCCGTCAGAAACTGCTGACGGAACTTGGCCACGACATCACTCTCGTCTACAATGGCACCACGACCGCGCTTACCCTGGCCAAAGGTCGCCATTTCGCCGATGAACTCGAGCACCCGCGCCTGCCGACGATCATCACTCGGAAGACCAAGCCACACGATGGCCGTGACAGCTTTATCATAGATGTTGCCCATGAGCTGGACGTGGAAATTCCGCTCCTCGAGGTTCTTCTGGTCGATACAAAGGGCATCGATCCAAAGAAATCGACTCTCGCCTCTCTGCCGTAAATGCCAGAGTAGATGCCACAAGTTCTGCCGAACGTGGAACGGCCGTCCGTTGACGCGGATGGGCCGCGTCGCAAGTGCAGAGCCCCATGTGTATGAAATGGCTACATATTGAGGCAGCCGATGGATGGCGTATTGTGTGATACGCAGTGAGATGATGTCTTTCTGCGACTTGTTGTTGGCGTTGCCGATCCCACTGGTGGTAGTCGTGCTACCACTACCGCTGCCCGACGTATTGCCCTGGATCTGCAGTAGTCGCATGAACCCACCAGGGAGCTTTAGCCTCTCATGGCGGAACTCGTCGTTCATGCTTTCTGTCGACGTCCGTTTGACGTCCGTCCGGCTTTCGATCGACAACCCCCCAGCTCTCGGTATCGAAAACACGTGTATTGTAATTGTCGCCCCGCTGGAGTTTAATATCGCTTTCGTCGCAGGGAGGTGCCAGATGTTCCAAGGCTGAGCCCTCCCCACAGACCTAGCCAAATGGTGATGCTTGCAATGATCCCTGATCAGGCTTTGGTCGGAAAAGGGGCATCGGGGACCAATGGAACCCTCAGCACCATTTTGGTTGATTCATTTCCGCTTTGGACAATTTCTCGAAGAATGAAATAACTGACAAGCCCTTCAAACAATAGACTGTCATCTTTCGAACGATGGTTGAACTTTGTCTGTCGGTAAGCAGTGAACTAGCAGAAAATTGAGATTGTTTGGGGGCCATCCTGAAACAATATAATCTGGATCACGTGTTACATGGGTTGATGTATGATCCTCAGGTCAAAACAGCTGATTGCGGTCCGAATCTATTGGTATCGAGGTTTGGGGGTATGTATGCTACAGGGTTCACTATTGGTACACGATGCAGGTGCGAGCTGCAAGATTCGCCCATCACGGCTCCAACCGCACTCCCTAGACTCTCATCCGTTTTTTGAATTGCACGTTACGTGCCTTCTGTCGATGATGGAAACGCTCAAGTACATTCTGAGCGAAATACAAGACCGAATAGTCGTCACCGTATTGGCCAATCGCCTGCATACCTATAGATATCTCAGGTGTCCATGGGTGGTCTGGGTGTTCTGGAGCTCGGACTGAAATTGCCGGTAGACCTGCCAAACTCGCCGGGACGGTGAAGACATCATTCATGTAAGACTCAATAGGGGTGGTCGACTCCAGATAATCGATATGGGGAGGAGGTGTTGGTGCCGTAGGACAAATGATCAGATCGACCCCATTTTCTACCACATGGGCATCACTCTGTAAAGGATTTGGCATCCGGAACACCGAATCAAAATCCTTCTGGACCATTCGACGGATCTTCTGAGCTTGGATGAAATAGTTATCCATTGCACCTGCGCTGAGACTATAGGTACCCAGAAGAATTCGCCTCTGGACTTCTGGACCGAAATTCTTGAAACGATGTTGGGCATAGAGCTGCCCATCACCATCATCCGTATCGTGCGATCGCTTCTCCCCATAACGAACACCATCATATTTGGCTAAATTGGATGAAGCTTCAGCGGGTGCTAAAATGTAGTATGCTGATAGAGCATGCTTCGTCGATGGTAAGGATATCGGGACGATCTCACAGTCCTGGGATTGTAGGTAACTCAGAGTTGCTACCCAAGACCAGCGAACCAAAGGGTGCATTTCTGCTATGTTATATTCCAGTGGTACCCCGATACGTCGCCTCCGGTTGCTGTTCCGTTGGTGCGCATAAATTCGTGAGCGTTCTTTTGTTGCACCCAGGGTGAGCTCCTCAGGCTTCCCATTTTTAGTATCATAGGTGTTATACACAACGGCACTGCCTGTAGCGCTAATCCTCCGTTCTGACTTGGAATGCATGATTCGTTTACGTGAATCTCTGGTCAGACAGGTTGGGTCTTTGTTGTCGGGTCGGTCAAGGATATCAAATGTCCGCCGGGCTTCGTCTGCCGTTCGCGTAATGATGCCAACGGTGTCGAGTGAATTGGCATATGGAATGACGCCATTACGAGATATGCGCCCATACGAGGGTTTGAACCCACAAAGCCCCATATAGGCTGCAGGTAGCCTCACTGAGCCTCCTGTGTCTGTGCCGATGCCAATATGTGCCAGTTTCGCGGCGACAGCCAAAGCACTTCCGCCGGAGCTGCCACCAACTGAAAGTGCATCTGCATCTGCTTTTCCGCGGACAGAACCACCATTGGTAACAGGGCCAAATGCAGAGTTCCTCGAGTGAGAGCCCATGCCAAATTCATCCATGTTGGTTTTTGCCAGGACTACCAAGCCTGCCTGCTCGAGCAGTTGGCTGACCGTTGCATCGCGAGGGGCTTGAAATTCACGTAGAATATCCGAAGCGCATGTGGTAGGTAGACTTTGGGTATTGATGTTATCCTTGACGACAACGGTGTAGCCATGCAGTGCGGATCTCAATCTGCCTGAGTGACCACGTCAGTCATTGGCCACAACCACGTTTTTCTTCGCCTGATGTACTTACGGTAATGGTGCCATTGTTTTGATTTCCGATGACTCTCCTGATTTATCAAGGCATGGCGCAGTAACGATTTCGGTGCACCACCGACATCCTTTATAACAGAGGTATATGGATTTCCATAATGTGCATTGATTTGGGAGCGTGAGAGCAACGCTAAGGTTTCTCGGTACAGTGATACATGCCTGTTATCACGCCGACCCCGGCCTATACGCATCAGCCTCAAGGAATGCGTACACTGACGCTCAAGTGACTAAAATCATCAACCAGGATAATGGGGATTCCAAGCTGCGGTCAATTTATCCTCAGGATTTGTAGATAATATAGCAGCGAGATTATTTGACTATCAAGGTCGAGGATTGTTGCCGCTTTCACGATTGCCATGGCGAACTTGAATGCCGAGGTTCAAGCGGGGAACCAACCTACTCGTCGCATGAGAATGCCTCGAGGGCAATTAGCAGACTACCGACCGTTACTCTACTATGTATTGTCTAATTTCAGTTCATTTGTCATGAAATGCTCCGGTCGAAAGAACACTTCAGCAAGTCCTTCTATAACGTTGCCCGATTGTGAGTGTTCGTGGTGCCTCATTGATCTAGCCAAATTCGAAATCAAAGACCAATTAAACAGGTATGGCGTCGCGACCGGTCTAGCTGTGATTCAAGGTCGCTATACGCATGAGATCCGATCGTAACCTGGGTCTCATCATGTGAGAGGCTTGTAGAATTGGAGCACTTTCCTTGTTTGGTTGAGAAGAGCGGAGAGCCGAAACCATGGATGGTCCATCCCCAGCTGGCAGGGGAAATAAGATCAAGGCCTGTGATCAATGCAGGCAACTGAAAGCAAGTATAGAACACATAACTAATGAGCTGGAGAGGCTAACCTGGCTCTAGTTGAGGTGCGATGCTCGGGAGAACTACTCCGAACCATGCTCTCGATGCAAACGCTTCGGGCGAGAATGCATCCTCTCAAAGAATTTCAGGAGGGTCAAGCGACAAACGTGCGTGGAATCCTTGTTTATCCGAATCGGTGATGCTGATACTACATTCCAGTAAGTCGGAACTTCAGGCTGAGTTAGATTTCCTTCGTCAACGAGTGGACACGTCCTCCTCGTCGCATCGTTCATCTACCCTCCCAACCGCCATCACCAACAACTCTTTTCAACCACAAAACTCCAGTACTCCACAGAGCCAGGTCAGCAGTTTGGCGACTTCCGATGGAGTTTCACAGGGACTTCCAAGTATGCCCGTTCCGAGTCCTGGAAGCCTGCTACCTGGGCCGCCTCTATCGGGAATGAATCTCTTTCCCCCCAAACCCCCGGCTATTGACTCCAGTACTACGCAAGGTCAGTCACTTCAAGATCTGACTGTCGATCCCCGAGATATAGACGGATGTTTCTCCTTGTGAGTACTGGCTCTGAGATTTATCACCTTTAAAATCTAATAACAGGCCAGATTCTTCAAACACTACTTGCGGTACGCTCCCATTTTCGATACTGAGATGCTCCCAAATGAGTGCTACTCTTTGTCACCGTTTCTATTCTGGACGATCATCGCGATAGGAGCGAGAAGGTATTCCAAAGACCCGACATTGATCCTCTCCCTCTCGTCTAAAGTGACGAAACTGGCAAAGAATGCGATATTTGCCACAGAGAAAGTACTACCTACAATACAGGCACTAATATTGCTGTGCCATTGGACAATGCCCGTCGATACCTTGCAAAAGGATCTGACACCGATGCTTGCTGGGGGTTTACTACAGCTGGCTCAAAACGTGGGCCTGCATGTCTTTGGCTCTGCCCATGATTTTTCAAGAGTACCTCTGCGGTACGATGCTGAGCAGAGAAGTTTTCGCTTCAAACTCTGGTCGATATGTCTTGTAGTTTGCCAAAGGTACGTTCCGCAGTGATTCAAAAGATCAGAGTTGATGCAGTGTAACAGGACGAACAATACACGTGGGTTACCACCCATCATATTCCAAGATACATATGGCCATGCTGGGTTCAGGGAAGATCCTTGCTCACTATTGCCCCCGGGCGTTCTGTTCCAGAAGAAGTTATCGGGACTGCACAGTGAGGCAAATCTTGCAATTCAAAGAGATGCACTGTCCCAGAACACGAGCGATCGAGCCTTTGTTCTGCAATCAACTGTAGATGTCTGGTTAGCCCGCCTGGAGCAACTAGGGAATGATTGTCCATCTAAAACTGGTGAGACCAAGCTATCCTCGTTACTGGGTCGTTGACTAACTGCTTTAAGACCAGTTCTATTTGCTGAATAGTCGGTTGGCAATATCGACATGTAATCTATTGGTTCCCGCGAGATACATTGCAGCAGGCATCCTGATTGGCATGTACGACCTTGCTTGCAGCGTTATCGAGGTCGCGCAAGACCTCGACGAAATAGAGAAATTCGCAGACTATGGGCCGTTCTCCAATCACACCGTCACGTTGTTAGCGGCATTTGTAATTCTGCGAATCGGGAAATCCCATTTACGCGAGAACATGGACCAGCAGCGTGGAAAGCGTTGTTTCTTCGCCACGATCGCCATGTCAAAGCGCCACAGCGTAAGGTCCGATGATATTGCTGCGCGGGTAAGCATCATCTTGCCACAATTATTCACCAGTAAAATGGTGATAAAGGGACCGGATGGGACACCAGACAGCCTGTGGCTTCGGTGTAGGAGCCGGCTTGGCTTCAGCATACTCTTTGATTGTCTCTGGCTCTGGCGCCAGGAATTTGGTGGTCAACCCGAGTCTTATGACAGAATCCCAGATGAGTCCACGATCAGTAAGGAGCCGCCAGTGATGAACAATGATCCTGCGCCGCTCCCGGAGAACCCGTTGAACCTCATGGGCCTGGACTGGTCGCCAGAGACCTTGTTACAGGATTTTCAGTGGCCGCAAATTGATGACCCCTTTTATACTGAATGGCAGAATATGGTCAACACGTCTAACCAAATGTGAGAGTGTCATGAGAGAGGCGGAATCTCTGGGCTGAAGGAGGAACACGAGAAACAGAACCATGAAGACAGTTCCAACCAGTAGGTTAGGTGTTGTAGATGAACAGGAGCGAAATGAGATAGTTGGTGGCGTCGTCATTGTTCATATTCGTGGAAAGTGTCCCATTCACGCCATCATGGCTTGTACCAACCACAATAGTCGGTCATCATTTTTCCATCCTGTATGATGGTAGAGCTCATTTCGAAGTGCGTGAAGCGGGTTCTCAGAGTCGCCATACTCGCTCCAGTAGTCGCTAGGTACAGTTATTGTGCCGTGGTCTGTCAACAGCTCAGTTACCCACCCACTTGTGGCGTGCATTACAGCTAGCAGGCTGTAGTCGTCTGCGGCAATCTTGGACCACAATAACACTTCGTTCTTGTAAAGATGCGGATCTCTCAAGCGGAAGCCGATAGCGAGCTTTCGGGCGTCGAGGATTGTGGTTTCTTTTGAGACGTCATAGGCCAGTATAACAACCCGAACTGCACCTTCTCGAAGTAGCCAATCCTTTCGCCGAAGAGCACTTTTATAGCTTTTTGAGCATGAAATGAATGGTGAGTTGAATTGTTGAGCCGTTCCTGGCCACGATCTCCTGTATCTTAGATGTTGCTCGGCCACATAACTATCTAGTGGTATTCCTGGGTCGCGAGAAGTTAGGTTTCCATGAGCATCGAAGCCTGGTGTGGAGTCGCGGACAACAGGGAATTCAGCCACCACGCGAAACACAATAAGATAAGGCTGTTGAGGGTGTCTCGACCATAAAAATTGATAACCACTGGGGATTCCAGCTGTCATGATGCGGAGTTTATCGTATGCCACCGCTTGTCAACCTCACAACATTAGATGTTGTACTCGGTATAGCGTCGTCCACACAACGTCCTCAAAATTACTCTGCCCTAGCGTAACACTACTCTAGCGCCCTAGTTTCCAGCGGCAGGTTTGGCGAAAAATGACATAGCTTCGCGGGATTAGCTTCCGAGCCCACTGTCCCTTCAAGCTCAAGTTGGAGGCGTGCACATGCGGAGAAGAACAATGATAGATTTCTTCGTTTTCAAGTTGCTTGCTATCTTAACGAGCCCAACAAGAGGACGCTGATGTGAGGTGGAAAATTTCCTCTGTATTATTCTGCGTTATGGCAGCGAGCAGTCGAATAGGTCAGCCATTGAAGGTGGCCACCAGAGTGCTTCTGCCACGATCTCGGCCAGTCTTTACCACACAAACCCCTAGTCTTCAGCGAAGAGCAATAAGCACTTACGGCTATACACAAGCGAAAGCTCTCGTGTTCTCCAAGTATGGCGAGCCACAGGATGTCCTATCACTTCATGGCCATTCCATCTCCCCTGCCGCCGGTACTAACGTTGTCGTTCGCATGCTGGTGGCTCCCATAAATCCAGCCGATATCAATCAAATACAAGGCGTATATCCCTCCAAACCCAACATGAGTACTGCCCTCGGTACCTCGGAACCCTCTGCTGTGGCTGGAAATGAAGGGGTGGCAGAAGTAATAAGCACAGGATCTGGGGTAAAGAGTTTGAGCAAAGGCGACTGGGTCATCATGAAACATGTCTCCCAGGGTACGTGGCGGACACACATGGACATTGACGAGAGCAGACTCATAAAAATCGATAACAAGGAGGGCCTGACACCTTTACAAGTCGGTACCGTCTCAGTCAATCCATGTACTGCCTATCGCATGTTACTGGACTCCGCGAAATGGAGCTTTCGTGGAGATGAGTGGTTCATTCAAAACGGTGCCAACAGCGGCGTGGGTCGAGCGGCGATACAACTCGGTAGGGAATGGGGTTTCAAAAGTATCAATGTCATTCGAGGACGCGAAGATAAGGACGAAGAGCAGAAACTTCGCCAAGAACTACTTGATATTGGAGCTACGAAAGTGATCACTGAAGAAGAACTTCAAAGTCGCGAAATCAGGGACCAGATCAAGGAATGGACCAATGGGGGCCGTGAAGAAGTCAAAGTCGGCCTCAACTGTGTTGGAGGCAAGCCAGCGACGGCACTTGCCAAGTTCTTGAGTCCTGGTGCGACAATGGTAACATATGGAGCCATGAGCAAACAACCCGTCATATTACCTGCATCACTACTGATCTTCAAGGAGATCTCATTCAATGGCTTTTGGGTCAGCAAGTGGAGTGATAGGCATCCCGATCAAAAGAAACAGACTGTTGAAGATGTTCTGAAATTGACACGGGAAGGAAAATTCAAAGACATTCCAGTACAAGAGTGCAATTGGGGCTGGAAAACGGATGCCGAAACTCTGAAGAAGGCCGTTCAAGGCACGTTGGGTGGCTTCCGAGCAGGGAAAGGAGTGTTCGTTTTTGAAGAAACCTGAGTCGACCGGGATTTTGAGACTATACACCACGGCCACACAAGAGGATCAGTGTCCCAAATAGGCATGCCACTCTGATTCACCATCTTCAACAGGTATTAGGATGACGGTGGATCGGCTCAAGCATTTCCAGCCATGCGATTACGCAGCAGGCAGGACCCTAATGGGTTAATGCTGCTCAGAGGGAGATGAAGGCAACTTCGAAGCTTGGCTAAAATAAGATTGTAACAGTAGTATATGACAGCATATAACCGGTCCCTGGTCTCGTGTAAGCCACGAGTATGTAAGCAAATAAAAAAAAGCTTTTATCACCCGCCATGGACCTGACCGTAAACATTCATCATCAAGGCATCTCCGATAGGCAAGGCTGAGAACCGAGCGCCGTATCAGCCGCTCAGCCATGCACTGTCGAGCAATTAAGCTCTAGTTATTTCCGCGCCTCGATCGCGAATCTTTGGCACTCGACTGCCTAAATAAGACTTCAACGCGGAAAGGCCGCGCACTTTGCCTGGCTCGCGAAAATATCCGAATAAAACACCCTTGCTTGAGTACAACGCCTCAGCATCATTGTCTGATTGTCCTTTTGGTGGCTGGAGAAGATCCTAGCGCTCACAAGGGCGTGCATAGAACTGTCTACCAGAATTCTTTAAGTTTCTACGGAGAGGTAAGTTTCGCAGAGAGTTAGATTTACATCGGTCGGATACAAGAAGTGAGCGAGATAGACTCGTTTGATGCTTCATCTTCATTCAAAAAGGGTTTACTATCACATTTCAACACTCGCAAGATCTATCAATTACAGGAGGTTCAGTCAATCGCAACAAATCAACATGGACGCAAATGAGTTCAGAAAAGCAGCCCATGCGGCAATAGAAGAGAGTATGTCAATCATTCGTTCGCTTGTTCGGTCAATCTGCAGCAACCATCCCGCTCCCAGGGAAGGATCGAAAGATCTGTGAAAGTGGTGACTAACATTTTCCAAAGTCATCGCATATAACGAGAACATCGAAAAATATCCAGTCCTCCCAACCATCAAGCCTGGCTTCCTGGCACCACAACTCCCGACTTCAGCGCCCGAGCAGCCACAACCATGGTCATCAATCCAACCAGACATCGCCTCAAAAATTGTGCCGGGCCTCACTCACTGGCAATCACCCAACTTCATGGCTTTCTTCCCCGCGGGTGTGACATATCCCAGCATGTTGGGTGAGATGTACTCGGCGGCCTTTACGGCCCCCGCTTTCAACTGGTTGTGCTCGCCAGCATGCACGGAACTGGAAACGGTGGTGATGGACTGGCTCGCCCAGGCTTTTGACTTGCCCAAAGAATTCCTTAGCACTAGCGCCAACGGTGGTGGTGGGACGATACAAGGCTCTGCGTCTGAGGCGATTGTGACTTGTATGGTTGCAGCCCGTGAGCGGTATTTACATGCCAAGTGTGACGCTGAAGGCCTTGCGCCGGAATCGAAGGAAAGGGAAGATCGCATCACCTCTCTCCGTCCCCGACTTGTGGCTTTAAGTTCCGATCAAGCGCATAGCTCGACGCAAAAGGGTGCTCTGATAGCTGGAACGCGATATCGATCGATCCCCACGAAATTAGAGAATGATCTGTCCTTGGCGACATCGGACCTTGAGGCCACACTCAAGCAGTGTGAGGAGGACGGATTGGAACCTTACTACATCACATTGACGCTCGGCACGACGTCGACTTGCGCAGTCGATGACTTCGCAGCGCTCAAAGAGGTCCTGAGGAAGGCTCATCCTAATGTCTGGGTCCACGTGGATGCTGCATACGCCGGTGCAGCACTTGTATGTCCCGAGTTCTCATCCCAGTACTCAGCGTCCATGATCAATGTGGACTCGTTCAACATGAACATGCATAAATGGCTGCTCGTCAACTTCGACGCATCATGCCTGTTCGTCCAGAACCGAAACCACTTAACCCGAGCCCTGTCCATCTCAGCAGCATATTACGTCAACAAGCACAGCGACAGCGGCCTTGTGACAGACTACCGCGACTGGCAGATCCCACTTGGCAGACGATTCCGCGCCCTCAAGATATGGTTCGTGATGCGCAGCTATGGCATCACCGGGCTTCAGGCACATATCCGCAAGAGCGTGGCAATCGGTGAGGTTTTCGCGGACCTGGTGCGCTCGCGAAGTGATCTCTTCGAGATTGTCGCTCCACCACGGTTCGCCTTGACTACCTTCCGGGTCAAACCTGACGTCGTGGCCGCAGCGCTAGAGGGCGTGGACAGCACGAGCAATACAGGAGGAGACTTCGCACCGGTCGCATCGGCGGCGCAACAGAGGGAGCAGCACGCGAATGAAATCACGACATCAATTGGCGATTTGATCAACGAGCGGGGCGAGATCTTCTTGACCTGCTCGAGTACAGCGGGCAAGTCGTTCATTCGGGTCGTCAGTGGCAATCCGAATGCTGAGGAGAAGAATATAAGGGCGGCTTTTGATATTATCGTGCGGACAACAGAGGAAGTCCTTGCAAATAAGAGGAGCGGAAAGACCAAGCTGGTCCAGAATGGGCATGCGAAATAAATTAACGGTAGAGTGGTCGGACGAGTCTGCAAACGCCAAATACCTCCGGTGGTGGATACAAGGATTGCAATTTTATGCTAGACATTTGTAAAGGTATATGAATGAATTTATTCTGCTCTTCGAAATTCTGTCGGCCTATTCCACTAGTCTTGTCGATTGATTGAAGCATGGCAGGAGACTTAGTCTACCTGCAACAGGCTTCGCATGGCACCAGAGATTTCCAGTTCATAACGATGGAGATGGAGATTGAGCCATTCGCCGATCCTTCAAGTTTAGGATGGGAGGAGACTGCTTGCAGTAGGTGCTACATGCCTTTGCGGAAACGCTCGAGGTGGAGTTGGCGTCCTTGAGGCGCGTCGTCTACCCCGCGCTCGCAGACGCGTTAAGTGGTTTTCAAAATTTAGGAAACCACATGCAATGTTCAATCCGCAGATGCACAGAACATTTTCTGTCCGGACTAATTACAACATTATTCGACCTACATCCAGGCTGCAGATATGCCGAGTTTTGCAAGTGGGTATGGCGATGGTAACAGAGCGTTCTTACAGGCGTTTTTGGCTCGCAACACCCTTACACTAGACACCGGTAAACCCATCATCGCCGCCATTTCAACACAGCAAGAAGGCAGACCGATCCAGGCCGAAGACATCACGGTAGAGGACTTGGACTCCTTTATTTCACAAGCCAACCAAAAGCTGTCACCCCTTGACCTCGAGATCCGAAGCACTTTCCACCAGCAGAATCGCGAAAGAGTCTATGCACTAATAAATACAACCAGTGACCCTATGACGCAGCTTGCGACAACGTATACAGCCGACGAGATCATCTACGTCAAGAAACTCCTCGATGCGATGTTTGAGGGAAGGAACAATAGAGGCAGAAAAGAAGCCATGTGCTTGAGCGCTATTGACGCCATCAAGCTGGGCAGAATGGCAGAGAAGAGACGAGAAACCCAGACCGAGAATGCACCACAATCCACAGCAGGCATGCTGGGTCCTAAAGAGGCGGAAGTGATGCTCAATAAGCTATCAGCTGAAGGGTGGCTTGAGAAGAGCGAGGCCGGGTTCTACAGCTTGAGTCCGCGTGCTCTGATGGAGTTGAAGGCCTGGCTTGTCGATACCTACAATGACGAAGATGAAGACGGGAATAGTCGCAACAAAATCAAATTCTGCCATGCTTGCAAAGAGATTATCACAGTGGTAAGAACAATTGTATAACTGTACGATAAAAGTTGATTGAGAAGCTAACCACTCTATGTTTCCAGGGCCAGCGCTGCGCTCAACGAGAATGTCCTTGCAGATTACATGAAATTTGTACTCAGAATTTCTTTCGAGTGCAACGATCACGAAACTGTCCACTGTGTGACACACAGTGGGACGGCGAGCATTACGTGGGTGAGAAGACCATCACAACTGCTTCAGACTATCGAGCTCCCACGGGGCGACGACAAATAAATAATCGACCAAGATCTCCCGTTGAAGAAGAAGAAGATGAACAAGACGAGGATGATATGGAGACCTGAAAACTACCTGTCACCTTGGATTGTGCCAGGAGACTATTTCCGAACCCAGCGCGATCAGATCAGGCACGGTAGTACTGACCACTACTCGAGACTGTCCAGCATTTTCTTGAAATGAATTTGCCATACGGATACGAAATTGACGAGATTTCCGGATCACCAGCACGATTGCCACGCGACAGACAACGGTTGATCCCCATCACAGGGCAGTTGCACACATCGGGGAACCTTCACCCTTCAGTTTAAAGTAAAGAAGAGTACAGCTAGCGAAAGCATGACAATTGTGGCGTGAGCTAACAGTGGCCGAGCTTGATTTGAAAGCTCCCGTTGGCAGCGGGCAGCCTTGGTAAAGCCTTCCCCACACAACCCAAGCGAACAAGTCGGAAGCCAATCTGTTAAATATTGCTGAATGATGCTCCGCATCTACCTCCTCCACTTCACATATGACGTCGCATTTTGTCAACATCCAGGCTGGGATCTCCAGGTTTGGAGCTTGATAATGAGACATCACTGGTCCAATATCGCTAGCTCACTGCTCATCATGGACAATGTGACCATGAACAAGGCACTACTGGGATCGCGATGTAACTTTTTGGATGTCTCGGTATGGCGACATGCATCATCGCAGTAAGCTCTGTACCTGGATCAAATTCACTTGCCTCTAGCTAGGCAGCCCTGCCAGAACGATTAATGTCCTTGAACAAATTCCTGTTAGCAAAAAGTGTTTGCCTCCGTCTGATGTGATATTGCTATCGCTACTCGCTACCACAGCTTCAACCTTTACAGAGAAATCTGAGCATCACACCTGCTTTTGTAATAGGCTGAGGACTTAATTGTGTCCCGGTAGTGATTTACAAGAATCTAGATCCATGTCATGGTAAGTCAGAAGATTTATCTCAGATGGTGTTGGTAGCAAGACCTTAAGTAACAATATGCAGATGAAGCTCTCACGCCACGCTAGCGCGATCATAATTTTCTGCGTTGCGTCTCTCGTGTCCCTGGTGAATGCTCAGGGTGGAAACGAGTCTACAATTTATGAGACCCAATTCGAAAATGTCACCTGGGACGCAACCAACTGGGTTCTGACCACGAACAACCTTGATCAAGGACATTACCAATCTCGTGGTATCGTTGCCAATGGATACATCGGAATCAATGTAGCGTCTCTGGGTCCCTTCTTCGAATTTGACGTTCAAGTGGATGGCGACAATGTTCAAGGCTGGCCATTGCAGAATCGGCGCCAGAGTTTTGCAACTGTTGGTGGATTCTGGGATTCTCAACCTACCACGAACCGCACCAATTTCGAGTGGCTATATCAGTATGGAGGAGATTCTGTTATCAGTGGCATCCCACACTGGAGTGCGATTGTAATCGACCTTGGGGGCGAAAACTTCCTAGCTGCATCTACGAATGCATCCACCGTTCGCAACTTTGAGTCAAGCTATGACTTCAAGCGAGGCTTGTTGAGCTGGACTTATACTTGGTCTCCCAGCGGGGCAGGATCCTTCAATGTTTCTTATCAACTCTTCACACACAAGCTCAACATCAACCAAGCATTTGTGACCCTTAATGTCACAGCTGAGGAGACAACGAACCTGACTGTTGCTAATGTGTTGAATGGCGATGCTGCAGTGCGATCTACACCAGCGGAGAAGGGTGTTGATGCCGGGATCATCTTCACATCAGTCAAACCGAATGGCGTCAACAATGTAACAGCATTTATCTATGCTGGGTTGAATGTTACTGGGGCCACAGTCCGCAATACTCAGCAGGCGACATGGGATCGACCATATGTGGGCAACAATGAATCTTCGGTGGCCACGGGCATCAATGTCACACTGGAGGCTGGCCAAACAGCTACATTCACTAAATTTGTGGGTATTGCGTCGTCTGATGGATATGCTTCACCCAGAGATGTGGCGCGAGATGCAGCTTTAAACGCCAGACAAGTTGGTTATAGTGCTTCGCTCGAAACACACGTACAAGAGTGGAGGGAGCTCTTCCCGGAGACTTCTGTTGATGACTATTCATATCCTGAGAATGGAACTCTCCCGGATGATCCCTTGATCATTGAGTCATCAATCATTGCAGTCGTCAATCCTTACTATTTGCTTCAAAATACCGTCTCCGCAAACGCGGAAGCCGCTGCTGGCAACGCCACGATCAACAGCCACAGCATTGCGGTTGGTGGGTTGGGATCGGATTCATACGCTGGATTGATCTTCTGGGATGCAGAGACATTCATGCAGCCAGGTCTTGTACCAACATTCCCGTCGACGGGTAGATCATTCGCCAACTACCGAGTGGAACGCTATGGGCAAGCACAGGCCAACATCGAAACGGCGTACCAATCATCGAAAAACAATACAAACTTCACTTCCAACAGCGCAATCTTTCCATGGACCAGTGGCCGCTATGGCAATTGCACAGCCTCAGGTCCTTGCTGGGATTACCAATATCATCTTAATGGCGATATCGGACAGTCTTTCAGTAATTACTGGCTCACTTCGGGAGATACGGAGTACTTTGAAGAGTCACTATTCCCAATATATGATTCTATCGGGTATCTATACTCGGAGATCCTTGTTCGGAACGGTGGCAGCTGGACGGTCGAAAACATGACCGACCCGGATGAGTATGCAAATCACATCGACAACGGAGGCTTCACACTGGCGTCGGTTTCCAACCATCTCAACTATGCGAATCAATTCCGCTCGTACTTCAACACTACTCCGAACGAGACCTGGACGGAACAAGCGCAGAACGTACTTTTCTCCACGGATGTTGAGGCCAACATCGTTCTTGAATACCCCGAAATGAACGGCAGCACCAGCGTCAAGCAAGCCGATATCATCCTCATCACATATCCTCTCTCTTACACAGGCCAAAACTATACCGCTGAACGCTCGCTTTCTGATCTCGACTACTACGCTGCGAAGCAATCGATCGACGGACCAGCTATGACCTGGGCGATATTCAGCATCATCGCCAATCAAGTTTCTCCATCGGGCTGCTCGGCATACACCTATCAACAATACTCATACTCCCCATACGTGCGAGCTCCATGGTTCCAATTCTCCGAACAACTGACCGACAACTGGAACGACAACGGCGGGACACACCCAGCATATCCGTTCTTGACCGGACACGGCGGCGCAAATCAAGTCTTGCTGTTTGGCTATCTCGGTCTTCGACTGATCCCAGGCTTCACACTGCACATCGACCCGGCACTGCCGCCTCAGATCCCACAGCTCCGTTACCGCACATTCCACTGGCACGGCCACCCGATCACGGCTTTCTCCAACCAGACACACACCATTCTCAGCCGCAACGCAAGCATCACCCCGGCCGAGGGCGCCTCACCCAACAGCACCTTCGCCACATCCCCTATCCCGATCATCGTCGGCGGCCTAGGCAGCGCCTCGTCCGCGAACTACTCGCTCGCGCCAAACTCGAGCATCACAATCCCGAACCGGCTCTACAGCCAGCTGCGCACGACCGCAGACAACCTAGCACAATGCGTCGCCGCGACGAGCCCGGACGAGTTTCTCCCTGGCCAATTCCCGATCGGTGCAGTCGACGGCGCCGCCTCGACGAAATGGCAGCCGAGCCTCGCGAACGAAACGGCCAGCCTGACGGTGAGCCTGGAGCCGGGCCACCGCGTGCGCGCCCTCGAGTTCGACTGGGGCCAGGCCCCGCCCTACAACTACAGCGTGTACTTCCACAACGTGACGCTGGACGACCCGTCGGCCGCGGACCTCAATGCCACCGCCGGCAACGACATCGTGCAGGTCGTCAGCCAGCGCGTCGAGATCACAAAGCCGTACGATGCCCAGGCCATCCTGGAGATCGAGGCCGTGCAGGCGAACATCACGACGTTCAATGTCTCGAGTGGTGGTGGTGGTTCTCAGGCATTGTATACGAGTCGCTTCGCGACGCTGCAGATCTGGGGCAGTCTGGCGAATTCGTCGACCAACGCGACCAATATGTTTGGTGATGGTGCCACGGTTGCCGAGTTCAATGTCATTGTGGATGGACTGGACCCCGACTTGAATGCTGCTGCTTCGGGCAATGGTAGTAGTTCGAGCACGAGGAAGAGAGATCTCAGTGGAAGGTTTGGGCAGGGACATGGGCAGGGACAGTTGAGGGACGTGGATATGGAGTTTTTGAGGAAGTTGGGAAGGGTCAGAGGTCGTAGGTCCTAGGGTCGAAAACGATGAGATGCCAGTGAACGAAGGGAGTGGAGATCATGGCAATATGGAGCTTATAGGTCAGAGAACGCTTGGTCTTGCTTGATAAAAGGCCTTTAATTGTTGCCAGCCCGCTCACTGTGATTGAGCCGGTCGGCTTGAAAATTGATGTCTGTATCAAGATACTTTAGAAAATAACTCTAATGCTTTCAAAGATGAGGCTCGAGAAAAACCAAGATCCAATAGTGATGCATAAATGTTTCTTTCTAGAAGCAAAAACATAACGAAAAGAATTCATTCATAGATCTCTCTGAAGTAATAGTCTTTCGTAGGCCATCAGGGCCCAGTAGTCCCCGTGCGTGTCATCCAATACGGATATCCTGGTTGACGAACCGATGTCTACGGCTAGAGCCCAATGGCAAAATGGTAACCGTGACTTAAAAATAATATTTTGAAGCCAGTAGTATTAATCGCACCCAGCTGCAAAGCCTTCCCTTGTTTGTGGTCTGATTTTTGTGGTCTGATGCTGGGAGTCTTGTGTTCGCAGCTCAGTGCAATAGAAGTAGATGCAGTTGGAGCTAGATAATGCTCTTGAGGGCTACCTTCGTCGAGAAATGCTGCCCGGTTGTATTCAGCAGAAATGCTGAGAACAAATATGGTAATGTATATGAACTTTGTAGTCGAGTTGAGGGTACGTGGATAAGAGCAACGGCTCTACTGACTCGGTGGAGCTGAAAGGCAGGGGAGGCCTAGACGATAACCAGTCTCGTGTTCGAGTTAAAGGATTTGAATGCGACACTTGTATCCTGCAGTTCTTTGCTCTCTCTGGTGTCCAGCTTCGTCTTGTTGATCAAATTCGCAGCTTAGAGCTATTGATGAAGATATCGATATGCTTGATCGGTTGCTAGAGGAGGGAGGAGACTTTGTCGTAGTCCGAAAGGGCACCGTATTGTCCGATGGATCTGAGGGCCTGAAGATGCAGCCCAGTCCTGAGACAATCACTGTGCCTCGCTTCCACCCTCCATTCGACCCCGAGCTTCACCTAGTAGAGCTTCTTGCATCTTGCGCAACTCGTCCTCGCCCATCTTGTCGAATCCCCCAAAGTTACGCATCTTCTCGCCTCTGCCAACGCGCTTCTTTTGAACTTCTTGCCACTCTCCAACAACGCCTCTGCAGCCATCAATATAGGTGCCGAAACCGAGGTCGGTCAATGCCTGTTCGACATGCTCGACGCTGATGGTCTTCTTGGACTCCTTCTCTGAGATGTCGTTCGATTCGGACGACAACATGCGGAGAAATTCGAGGGAGCAAGAGATCAGAAGATCGCGCGCAGGTCGCGTAAAAGTCATTTCACCTTTGTCACCGCCGGACGCGTTGGGGTCGTGCGGCAATTGTGGAAGTATCTCAGATATTATCTTCTGTACGGTCGCCTTGGGTAGCGACAGGTCATCGTTCCCTGTGTGCCATGGTCAGCTTCATGATAGACTTGTATTGGGTAGGTGGGATGGATGGTGGGGGAAATGTACCTCCGAAGTCCTTGTCCGACATGGTGTTGTTGACGCGGATCGATATTAGTTTTGTTGTATGTTCTTTTTCGGTATCAGGGAGGATTGAAGGTACTCTTGGTCATGAAACTCATAGTGCCAGCCTACGAGTTCCAAGGGGAGGGGAAGGGAATTATATAGACGGGACAATGCTCAGCCCTCACTGTTAGGCGGAAGCACCTGCCCTCAAGATTCCTGCCAAGTTAGTCGCCCAGAGCGGTAAGGTCTGTTTTGAGTCTTGGCACGAAGTTTCGGAGCTCATTTAACTTTCAACTTTTTTAAATTTCTGCTCTTCAAGACTTCACCCATCAAACTCGGGTTCCATCAGTTCGTCCAACCATGAACGTGTCACTGATTTGTGTCACCATTCATGATGGATTGTGATTCGATCAATGTCTCCGTTGTTTGATGATTTCAAACCGAGAGCAGACTTCAGGGCTCGAGAATGATGGATCTCGGATCTTCACCAACCAAACACTCAGTTTGTAAGTCGAACCTACTCTTCCGATGCCTTCAATCCTACATGATGAACATTCGTGTCGCCCCTATCATACGACGATTTAAATCTATGGTGACTTACCTGTCCAAAGCCAAACGGACCAGCTGACTCAAACCTTTCTTCATCTTCCTCAAATCAAAACTGTTTTGAGATGATTGAATTGCTAACTCTTGAAAAGACTAGGTATTTTGTCTTTATTCTCCGCTTTGGCTCCAGCGTGTTGCCCACCTTGGTAAGCCATCCCTACAAGCTCCCCACCGCATCTATAATGATGAGCAAATTCTATATACTATCAAATTCCGAATATCTTTGACGAATAAACTGGTTCGATTACCTGAACTCATGTTCTCGAATATCTTTCTTCTATCGCTCCTAATTAGCACGATTCTGACTATCGTGATCCAGTGACTTTATGAATGCTGCACCTACACACCACTTGTAGATTCTGGTAAGCTTTGTCACTCCTAATCCCAACAACCCTTGATGATGAACAATCTACTCTCTATTGTATGAGGACGCAAGTCTAATGGTTAGAAACGTGCAACTATTTTCATCTTTCGCCTGATTCAATCCCCGCACATACGAAATCGCTTCAAAGTTGGTGGAGATCTGGCTAACTGAAAGTCTCAGGTTCTCTTTTTGACAGCTATTTCAACTGTCCAATATCCTTATCTCGCTCAGTTTCGCGCTGCTACTTGATTTTGTTGTCAAGCCAGGTTCTGAACTCCCTTAACTACTTCGTAAACGTTGCTTTTTCATTTTGCCTGGTAATCCGCAAGTTTTGGATCGTCCCAGCTGTTGATAAATGTCAATCAAAATACCCTTCCCTCGTCATCAACTGAGACACGTACCTCAAGAATTGACCAGAAAGTTCCTTTGCAGCCCGCACAGCTAACTCGGCGATGACATGACCTGGTTTTTCTGCGGGTAACAATTTTCCATCCTTCTTGGCCGATATGAACTTTTGCTGGTCCTTCTCATCCATGTTCCCCAGGTATTTGTTTCGAATGTCATCCTGCATCGCTGTATCAACCACTCCCGGACGAATAGACAGGCTTGTCACCTCTGGCTCCTCATTCTTCAAAGTCATGGCTAGATGATTGACTGCTGCCTTAGTTGCTCCATACGCTCCCCATGAAGTGTAGGCAGTTACAGCTGCGCCAGAAGACGTAAACACGACTTTCCCCTGAGCAGACCGTAGTAGCGGTAGACTAGACTGGATCTACCTGAAGTTAGATTTGATGCACAATTGATTTTAGTATGAGTGGCCTTTCTTGAGAGGCCACATATATCATCATCTGATGCACTTACCAGAACGACCAGACTCGTAACATTAATCCTGAAAGTCTTCTCCCAGTCTTCTGCCTCCACCCCACCTATTCTTTGACATGACCCTAGCGTTCCATGGTTGAGTATCATGCCATCAAGCTTGCCAGCCAACTGTAAGCCACTGATAATGGACTTCACGTAATCCAGGTCCGACATATCGCCAGCCGTCGTGACCACTCGATCAGGATTCTTTGTTTGAAGATCGATCAGCACATCATTGTTGCGCCCCGCGAGAACTAGCAAATGCTTTGCTTCTGAACGCAGCAAGTATTTTGCGATTGCTAGCCCGATACCCGCTGTTGCACCGGTGACCAAAATCGTTCTCGAAGACGGGTTTTGCGCCTAAGGTCCTAGTCAGAAACTTGGGGGGTAACTCGCGGACAAGGCAGTCCTGGATTCCGGCACTTCGATCCCCAAGGCTGTCACAACTCACCCTATGCTTGGACAAGAAATCTGACGAAGCTCCGAAATGTTTTATAGACGTCGACATGTTGCCCCCCAAAGTCAATGTCAATAGCAGGGGTCGGTATCGATATCCCAAGCGACCGGGTTGAAATTTGCAGGACGGCGGAGTCTTCCAAAAGGCCGATGTGCACAGAGTCCGGATGGTAGTCAGCATAGACCGATTTATGGACTTTTCCGAGAAGTACCTTAAATGGTAAGCAACTCCCGATTGATCGAAAAAATCGCTGCGTCCACAGCGCTCTATCGCTTGTGCTCGGAGTGCCCTTCTTCGAAAAGGACGGAACAAAAGTTCGAATAATTTCCCCACTGACGTCGCATATCTTCATAGTAAGTTCACTTAGTACTCGGCAATGAGCATATCGGGGAATAGCAACCACCACAAGACCACGTGTGAGCTAATGAAATTTAGTGTGGACGAGGTTTAGATGATTGGTTGATTGGATAGAGCGTCCCTTAGCGTCGACATCGGTTGCGGCTCCTTCATCGCCTCAGCTCGCACGTGGCTCCCGACCTACATACCCCTGATTAGACTACATCTCATCTCCATCTTTACCTCGAGCTCCCAGACAGATAGCCACAACTCATCTGATCATATGACTTTCGCAACGATCTGTTGAGCTGACTGCGAGTGCTTTGCGATGCGTCTGGTGCTGTCTGGTACAGTGGATACGAACCACCAGGCAAATTCGTGAATCATGCTACCCACCAAAGATGTCTTTTCTACGGAGCTTAATTCTCCGGATCCACATCATTAGAAGCAGAGAGTCATTCAGAGACTCTGCGTAGAACTCGCTGCTCCTTTCGACCAGATCTTGTAAGGAACGATCTTCTCCAATTGATGCAGCATTGAGACACGGGAAAAAGCCACAGCTTCACTGCCAACACTTGGAGATATTGAACCTCAGTGGGAAGCTTCACTGTCAATGTACTTCTCGTGGTTCAACAGTTTGGGGTGCTGGCAACTTAGGTATCTCAGTCTTCTTTCTCCTTTGCTTTCTATGTCCTTGATTGGCCACCCAATATACATCCACATTTTCTTACACATCCACATTTCCTAACACATCAACAGGCAAGTACGGACTGTCTGACGCGTATTCAGTGCCCACTCATCCATTGACTTCAGAGCTTAAACACAGTCTGGCTGATGCGAGCAAGGTATGAGTCAATGGAATTGTGGAGAGGTCTCTGAAAGACCTCATCGGACAGTCTGAGTCTATGTACTATTTGCCTCTATGCAGGACCTGAGCTAGTCCAGAACAGGCCGGCCATACCCTCAATCTCTTACCATGGCTCCACCTGCTCGGCCAGATGAGATCAAATTGATTCTCTACTCGCGATCCACATCAACATACAGCTACGGACTGTTCAGCCAGTAATCGCTGCCAATTTGTATATGGGGTTCGGAGATCTCAAAGTCAATCTGATCGTAATAGGCAGCCCTCAATTGCTCAGCCAGTAATCACTGCCAGGCCGTCAATTGACTTTGGAAATCTCAGCTTCAGTCGTGGTCACACTCCTTCCTCCTCAATGCGAACCTCAATGCGAACCCTGATCTGACCTTGACTCCGCTGCTATATCGAGGACTACTCCATACAACCTCCCCACAGAGTCCCGTCATGAGTCAACCGAAGGAAAAGGTCTTTTGCTTGCTGCTCACCTGCCACCAGACATCCCATATAAACCCCTTCCCTCCCACTTTCTTCTCTTTTTTTCTTTCCTTCGAGAAAACTTTTCACTTTGATACAACACCATTGCAATCACATTTCAACCATTCACAATGGGTCTTTGCAACAGCAAGCGTAGCGTTGAGAGGCCGTCACCGATCCCTCCAAGACCGGTGACGATCCAATTGCGTGCTCCGGGGGTCCCTAGGGAATTTCCTCTGACTGCTCGGGTGGCTCGGCCCAGTTCTTCGTCCTGTTCGACTTTCCAGTCGCAATCGCCCATGTGGGTGAATGCCAGCCGGGATCACCTTAGCGACATTTCGTCGCTGCACTTGAACGGACCATCCTCGGTTCGTTCTAGGTCGCATCCCAGAGCTGTTTACTGCAGCCCTTGGGATGAGACCTAGGACGACTCCTGGGGCTGAATTCTGAGAATGCAGTGGCGATTGTTGTGACGGTGTTTCCGGTGATTTTTCGCCAGTAAGCTTCCAAAGGCTTTCAAGGATCAGTAGCTTCTATTGTGAACAACTTGACTGTCCTGGGTTCGGGCCCAATGGCAAAAATCCGGTATTCATCTGCATGGCGATTGTGGGAATTCAGATCAAGGACAAGAGCTGGAAAGCGGGGTCGGGGCGTGGCCCCCATCAATTCTCGTTGCTTGTCAACGGCTTTGGAGGGGGTTCAAAACATTAGCCTTGAGGTTCGAGTTCGTCATGAGGATATTCACGGGTTCCTTTACCCTTGCTGAGGTGGAGTGTCTAGTGTCAAGTTTCCCCAAGCCTTGTGAAAAAGCAGAACGCACTCATCAGACGTGTCAGTATGAGTAACTTGGACTTGTCAAAAAAAAAAGTGCTTTTTCGTTCGAGGCCTCTGTGAAACAGAACAGAAAGCGAACACTTGCGAGTATGAGTAACAGAGCTTCAAAAAAAAACTCTCCTGGAGCCATGTGAAACGCAACAGAAAACACTTCTCTCGAGAACGTGTAAGTATGAGTAGCATGGTTCCAGCAATCCTTCCTCTTTTTCTTGTTCTTCTGGAACCATGTGAAACGCGACAGAAAACACTTCTCTCGAGAACGTGTGAGTATGAGTAGCATGGTTCCAGCAATCCTTCCAGTCTTTGTTCTTGTTCTTGTCCTTTTGTCCTTTCTCGTACTGAGCCTATGTGAACCGCAACAGAAAGCACTTCCTCCAAGAATGTGTGAGTATGAGTAACATAGAAAACTCTCAAAATTGTCCTTCTTTGCTCTTGTATGTCGTTTCCCCATCATGGTTCTTGCTTTATGCAAGGCCTTGGAGGGGGCCTGAAATCTTCAGCCACTACTCTATTATTGTTTCACTGCGTTGTGTAGGCCGTAGTAAGCGAAGAGCACATAGGAGTGTTTAAAGAGATCGTGGGAGACGTTGGACGCTGAAAAACCTCACTTGTAGGTATTTTGGTCGAGTTGTAAAGGACTGTCCCACCTCATCCTTCCATTCAGTGGAGGTCATCAGGAAGATGATTAGGTGCCAAACTACACTGAAATCTATTCCTCCTCTATTCACCAATAGTCTCGGTCGATTACGGAATTTACAGAATTCATGGATCGACGTAGAGGTCACCCAATGGGCCCTTCGCCGCGGATGTATATTCTTGCTCAGACTCTGGCAGCAGGGGTACATTTCTTCCGCTCCGAGGCATCCGAGGTATGGGAAAATAGGCGTAGAACAAATTGTCGGGCTCGAGGTTTGAGTCAAGCGTTCAGCAACAATGCCTCTGGGTTGGTCCTCACGTCGAGCAACGAACAGGGTCTCTTTGGCGTGCTCTTCGTCGTCGGAATGATGAGAAGAGGGCGCAATGATACTGGTATTTGTTTATGACACGACTGATGCGGGATTATGATCCAGAACTATACGAGGAGGCTCTCAACTAGGCGTACAGGATGAATCGACTCGATAAAGTGCCCAGGTCGGGGACTATGAGCAACTTGAAGTGAATGGATTGCTTGGGGGCCCCCCTAGACGTTACGGGTCGGCGAGCCCACGATATTCACCTACGAGTACTCGTAGCTATCATAGCCCACAGGTGATAGGGTGCCTAAGAAGCCCTAAAGTAGGGTGGCTGGGCACCCTAATACTCTAGCGTTACGCCAGGCGCTAGTCACAATGCGGATTAGGGCGTGTCCTAGGTAGTGGGTGATTGTGGTTGATATCATCGCCCAAAAGGAAGTCATCATCACGGTCATAATGTCTATACTCATCATAGGCGGAGGCATCATAGGCCTATCAACAGCCTACTATCTCTCTCTGAATAAATCACCATCAGACTTGCAAGAGATTCATATCATCGACTCTTCGCCCGAACTCTTCGCCTCAGCAAGTGGCTATGCTGGCGGCTTCCTCGCACGAGATTGGTTCAACGTCCACCTTGAGGATCTTGGAGCTTTATCATTCCGCCTCCACTGTGAGCTGGCCGAGCGACATGGCGGCGCTAGAAAATGGGGATACGCAGGCAGCCACGCCTACAGTCTCAGCGTTGATGACGTAGGCGTCCATGGAAGCAAGAAGAAAGGAAGTTCGGGCGATTGGATACTGGAAGGCACGAGTCGGGCCAATGAGGTCAGGACCAATTCCGAGTTTGATCGGGAGGAGAATGGCGTCAGGAGAGGTGATGTTGTTAACCCAGATGGATCGCCCGCTGTCTTCACGCCGCAGACCGGTGGGACAGTAGAAACGATTGCTGGGCCTGAAGAATGCGCGCAGGTCGAGCCGCGAGAGCTATGTGAGTTTCTCTTGGGGGAGGCGACCAGAGCTGGAGTACAACTGCATCTAGGCACAACAGCAACAAACATCGTGAAGGATGACGAAGGTATTCTTTGCGGCCTGAAAGTGCGCTCTGGCAACAGCGAGGAAGTGGAAGATATCGCATGCAAGAAAATCATCCTCACGGCCGGAGCATGGACGCCACGCGTGTTCAAGACGCTGTTTCCTAACAGCAATATCACAATCCCCATCGATCCTTTAGCTGGACACAGCATCGCGGTGAAATCGCCAAGATACACAACTCCTTTCATTGATCCGCATAAACGGAATATTGGAGGCAAGGATAATTGGCTATGCTACTCGATCTATGCCGGGCCAACCCGCCATTGGAACTTCGCGACCGAAGCTTACGCCCGTCTGGCGCGCAACGGCGAATCAGAGATATGGCTGGGTGGCCTCAACGACAGTAAGCTTCCGTTGCCTGAGCTTGCTACGGACGTGAAGAATCTCATCGATCCCAAGAATATCGAAATTGTGCGTGCGACGATCGTGCAGTTGACTGGGTTGGCAAAGGAGGGGGTTGAGCTTCATGAGGATGATTTGGAGACTGTCAGGGAAGGACTTTGCTTCCGGCCAGTCAGTCGGAGTGGGAATCCCATCGTTTCAAAGATTAAGGAGAGTCAACTGGGAGACTTGAAGGTTGGTGATGGCGGAGTTTGGATTGCTTCTGGCCATGGTCCGTGGGGGATCTCCTTGAGTCTTGGGACCGGTCTTGTTGTGAGTGAGCTCGTTGAAGGACGGAAGCCGAGTGCAGATCTAAGCCACCTAGGCTTGAGATAGTATGACTCTATGAGCATGATCGTATGGTATCATTCTACTTGCTGGGTGACTATTTCAAGCCCTGCCAGAATTGCCGTGACTACTTTTCCAACAGGTGGAGGGCAAGGGCTATGAGATTTACTTCTGCAACTCATGAGACACGTATCTGGCGACATCGCGCAACTACCACAGTCCAAGTATTGCAACGCCGGCGTCAATGAATGTTGTAAGCTCTACTTTCGCAGGGATTGAATCTTGAGTGGCCTTCGGCCCGAAGTATCGCGGGTTAAGCCTTATGCAAGATGATGGATATTTTCCTATTGACAAGGCTCCGCTATAAACGGAGTTGCAGTACTCGATACACTTCAGCACTCTCGGCACCCTTTCGCAACAACGACATAATATTTCGATGATTGCTTCGCCTTTGATTTTGGAAGGCAGGACTGGCCGCTTATTTTATACTCCAGTGCTCCACATAGTACAAAATCATCCGCTAGAAAGAAGGCACCGTTCTCAAACTATTGATGCTCAGACTCAACGAACATCGTAGCGGCCATGACCGTCTCAGAGGTCGTTTGCACAGCCCATGTGTCGCACATTGATGAGGATACCTGTCTGATCATATAATCAAGCATATCTCACCCATTGAACCTCATCGAAACTCACTGCCACTGGACGACAAGTCCTCAGAGTCATCACCACTTGCACTGGACGATGAATTTTCGGAGCCATCACTAACGCCACTGGACCATGACTTATCTGACGCCTCACTACTAAAGGTATACCACAAATACACCGACTCCTTGTTCGAGGTGTCTGTTTCTGAGTCCGAACCATGTGCCCGGTGGTCTGAATCCTGTAGGTTGTCGTGGTTGTTGTCGTTGATGTCCAGGTCTCCGTTGTTGTAATCTTGCGTGGTTGAAATCACTTCCCGCAACTCCAATATGTGAGCTTGTATTCTCGTGCTGTGTTCGAGAAGAATCTGGTGGATACCTTCGGTGGCCTCTCTAACCTCACCGAGGACCTGGTTAAGGTTCTGAACGGTGGCGTGAAGATCTTCTATGGTCGTATCGATGTTACCAACAGGGTCTTCCGGTAGTCGGTCGCTCTTCGTTGTGCTAAATGGGATCACGGTTTCAACCACTTCGATAGTGGTTTCGATTCGACGGTAGCCACCAAATTGACGTTAATAACAGACACGACGTTCGAAGAATGAAGATGGGGAGGTCACCCGGCTAAAGTCTGCGGTGGTGTGGGTTTGATCTTGACGGCCCGCCATGGCTGAGTTGATGATTGATGATCGGTGGTTGGAAGAGCAGGATGTTAGATCGTGAGTCGTCAGTTAGCAAACTTAAAGACGCACGAGCACAGCATTATATGGCCTTCATACATCCCCACTAGTATTTTACCACTGAATTTATAGAGACTATAATTTTACCAAGGTGGATCAAGACCAAAGGCTGGCCACTCCGCGCACTTTGCTAGATACTAAGTATTTCGGAGGACCGGGCTTTCGGGTCTCGCGTTCGTTGCTGGACGCACACATTACCCGTTACCCAACCTCCATGAACACACAGCAATCTCCCCTTTCGGTGACATAGAGCAAGGTCCTCGAGGCGAGCTCTATCGAATCAAAATAATTCGACTCCACCGTTATGCATCGCCGAAGCTAAACCGTGCCAGGGACAAAACCTGCAGCGATGGAAAATTGCGCAGAGGCTTCAACAGAATGTGGCTCCTGTGGGGAACGGGCTTCAAATCGCAGATTTCGGCCTTCAACAATCAACCAGAGATCGAACTCGACCTCGTAAAACTCGTACACCTTATCGCCAGGACCATGGAATCGTTCGGGCTGGATCTTGTTCTCTGCCTTGAGTGGTGTTAAGTCCACGATGATCCTCCCAGCTTCTTCGGCACCTAGAATAGCAGTACATGGGTCAGATTCGTGGAGACGAAGACGAGGTATGATGTACAAAGAAGCACTGACCTCTATTTTTCTCGTGAGTCTTGCGGTACCCAGATTCATGTCTCCGTCCTGATACGTAGAGAACCTCTTCACAAATAAGTGGCCTGTTCTTTCGGAAAACGTGACGAGAACTAACGCATTTCTCGTGTCTTGCTGGCAACACGTCGTCCTGTGACCTGTGTGTGAGTTGATTATACCAGAGAGAAGGACTACCTGGAAAATGTGTTTACCTTGAAGATTAGCCAGTTGATAGTGTCCTTGATGTAAAGTTGGCCATCTGCAGGATCTCTTGTTCCTCTCAAGCCTTGATGCTTCGGGTCGCTCTTGTTGTAGTATTCACTGTGGAGGACGCCATAGCTCGTTCTAGTGATCCTGATAGGTCCATCCTCCTTACGCAGTGCTCTGAGAACGGCGCCTCGCGCAACGGCGGAATCGACATAATCTGGCCTTTCAAGTTGGATTGGTAGGTCCTGATAGTTCCTTTCTTTGTACAGGACTTTCTCGAGATGTGATTTAAGAGAAGGAGATTGCCCGAAGCCACCAATGAGAAGTACTCTCGAAACAGTAAGCTCCTTATCGTCAGCTGCTCGAAGTTGACCTCGCATGATATCCGTAATTCCCATTAGAGAATCCCTGAATATGTCTTTGAGTTCTTTCCTGTCAAGCAAAACCCGATTTTTGGCGAACCTCCGGGCTGGGTCAGCCCTAAGCCCGTAAATCTGTATTGAATCAATGTACTGATCCTTATTTGTAACATCTATTTTTCGCTTGATACCGTTCTCCCAGTTCACGACCGCAGCTCTGATAATACTATCCAGCGATCCACTGTTGCCCAGTAACTCAACACCTGATAATCGAGTGCTTAGAAGGGTTGTCAGCCTCTCATTCAGGAAACTTGATCCAAAGGTGCCCCCTTTTGGAGGCACAACCTCCCGTAAACGTAATGGATTGGTCTGCGTCACAGTATAAGTGATAGCGTCAACCGTGCCACCTCCACAGTCAAGAATTTGAATCGTATCGCGCTTGTGAGTCAAAGACCGACTACCGGATAAGGCAAAAGCTGCTGCTGCTTCGGGTTCGGTCACCAGAAAGAGATTGTCAACGCTCCCCTGCTCCGTTTTTGCCAGTGTAGAAGCCTCTAGAGCTCGGGCAATCGCAATCTGCATCGTACGGCATGCCTTTTCGCTCCACAAAGTAGGCACACACAGCACAAGCTCGATAGAGCTGTCTTCGCGAAGAGCGTGAGATTGTTCCAGTTGTGATTTTGTGTGCTGGAATAGTTGTGTAAGGTAGTCGGTAATGAGATCAACAGGCTGAGTGATGATTTTCGCTGATTTGAGTGTTTTCACATCATTTAAGATCGCCTGTCGGATGGTTTGGGTTACATCCGACTCATCCAGCATTAACTTGAAGCGTGTGATATGCCTGGAGTCGACAGAATCTCCCTCATTTTGCACAATCTTGTTTTGAACTGCGTAACCCCAGACTTGTGCTGGGCGGACCAATCTCGTGGGTTGTGTCGTTGATGGTTGAAAGTCTTTGACTTCGGAGTCCTCCTTCGTCGATGATGCCCATTCTCGTTCAAGGGAACTGTCGGAATCGTCATCAACTGGGATAGGTTCTGGCAAACTGCTTGGGCCGACTCTGGCTTTTGGCAAAGGATACCATAGCTCTGTTGGTATGGACGTATTGGTGGTGAAGGCGTTCGCTGATATCCCAATTGGTATATCTGGATAGTGATCGATGCAGTGGATTGAATCGGGCCCTATCAGTCGCGTTCGCATTTCAGGATCAACGCAGACAAATGCAACCTTGGAGAAAGTGGTCCCAAAATCCACAGCGATGATGAACTTGGACGGTGTGTCCACTGGTGGTGTAATAACAGCAATAGAAGGCTCGCTTTGATCTACAAACGTTGATTCTGTCATATGGGTTGATGCTTGGAGCGGAGCAGCGTGGTTCGAATTACCATTGAATGCTGCAGGGGCATCAATCATATCAACATCCACATGATCCTGAGCCGGCATAAGTCTCACGAACACTTCTTCCGACAGCTCACTCATTTTAAAGGTTACCTCGAGCAGGCACTTTGAACCAAGAAAGATGGTCTTTAGTTCGAAACGATTACCGTAGGACCTAGAAAGAGCAGACTTTGACGGGGTCATCAGCTAGAGATTATCTTGATCGACTCTCAGAGGTACTATCCGTACTTTTCCTAGAACACCCGTAACGAGGTGCATGCAACCATTGTGGCAAGGCAAACTTGTCTGCCTTGTAGGGTTACTATGGGATGGGGGCCATGTAGCCGGTCAGGGGGAGGTCAGGCTGAGAACGCTAGCAAGGTCTGGAAGCGACCTTCCGGGTCCCCCAGGCGCACTGACAGGGTTTTCAATGGAGCCAAACCATTAGAAATGTCTCATATATAGGCAACAGGCGCTTATCTTAGGTTGTAGTAGAGCGGATGGCTTGATAAGGTGACTTCGATTGACTCTCAACGACGTTGCTGGGGAGGCGCTGAGAAACCGTTAGAAATGTGAGGAGGCAAGGTTGGGCTTTTCCAGACTGCGGCGCCCCAACGATGTTACGAAGTGTTCACACGGAGGCACCTGATCACCTTCCTGCTTGTAAATTAAACATGGAGCCAACCCGACAACAGGTTCTGCGAGCAAACCTGAGCAATTCTGTACATTTTGGTCAGCCAGCGTCAAGTTTCTTGTATGAGGAGAGTGGCCTTGAATTACTGGCCTACCTGCAATATTCAATCAATGCCAGACTCCCAGCAAGCCGTTTCCCCAAAGATGTTGTCGCGCACCTCGAAAATTGCAAACAGCCATACAAGGTTAAACTCGATTCTGTTGATCATAAGTTCAAGCTATACTTCGATCACTGGAGAGATCCAAGGCAACCTTTATCATCATACAAACGAATTTACCAATTCGGTCTGAAATGTCTACCAGGGATGAGAAGAGAATCGATCAAATGGGTCGAATCCAGAGCAGAAGATCTGAAAATCTTTTACGAACCCCAGCGTCGGACCCGAGTCCTGCGAAGTCTGTCCTGTACACCGGCGCGTCACGAGGCACAGACACCGACGAAGACATCAACCACAGAGCTCACCAACAAAAGTGTGAACAAGCGGCGACAGCGTCGTAGCCGTAGAACCGTCAATTCTTCTCTGGTTCCTAACATCACTCGAAACGTGGGTAGTATGCGTGGTCAAGTCTGGTCATTAGCTAACAAGAGAGCACAGAGTCGGAGCATATCTACCCAAGCGGGACCGTCCACACCTCAGCCATGCGGCCGCGAACGCGTCATTGCGGTGGAAATAATGGACAGTGAAGAATATCATTCGTCTGTGGAGGAGACTGTTGAATCTCCAAATACTATCTTTGAAGCCCCTCCGACACCAATCAGTACTGAACGCGTAGGTGGCCGTTCAATGATTGCAGAGAATCGGGCTGGAGTGAGAATGGCAAGCCATAGAACCACACAGACCATGTGCATTGAGAGTACCGACTTGACCACTCAACTTCGCATCCAAATGGAATTTCAAGCGTTGCAAGACCGGAGCGAGATCGACTATTGGCGGCAAAGGTTTCTTCAGGAACAAGCCACTTCCCGCGAATTTGAAAAGTCCGTCACAATACTTTCAACAAAACTCAAGAAGGTTGTTGATACCGATGAGGATGACTCGGAGCTGAATCTGCTACGGGAGATTGACGAGCTTCGTGAGGATTTGACAGCTTGTCGAGCAATGGGCTTGTGTGGTCAACGAGGAGATTTTCAAGACACAGCAGTCGTCAATGCCTCTGAGGTGGCTGCGGACATGGCGATCATTCAGCGCAAAATTCGGGAGCTTCTGTGGGAGTATGAGATTGAACTTGACATTGAAGTCATAGGAACAATAGGCCACGAAGACTTTGTCAATCTCCTTCAGGGCTGCTTTGGCCTTACTCGAGATAAGGAAAGACTCCAGGAGTGCTGCAATGTCCTGCAAGGAGTTAGCTTGGGCCAGCTTCTTTGTTCTCTTGTTTCCGTTGCTATAATCAAATGGGTGTTCGAGGATGATATCAGATTTCTTCTTGCAAGAGGGTGTCTCGTTTGCCCTAGCTATCATACTCTCATTGCTGCGCAGAGTAAGCTCTCATCAAACTTCTGTATCGACAAGCTAACTCGACTGCAGATCGGCGTCTCGCTGAGAAGGCCGCTTTCACGACCCACAAAGTGGCCTGCGACGACGAAAGCATGGCAAACCTCTTGATACCAGCTAGAGCTGCCTCGCTGGGTCGACGCCTGAGAAGGTGCATCCTACCGTTCTTGGAATCGCAACACAGAAGTGGATTCATGTTGAAAGACTCTATCGGCAGGTTGGATCGATCAGCTCTTGCGTTAGAAGAAATCTTCAAGTTAGCATTGCAGATCAAAGTCAGATTGGTGTTTAGCACCGATATATTCATGGTGAAGTTTCCCCCTCCAGGCACTCCGTTCTCGAAGAAAGAGATGGTATATGGGGATGAATCTGATCAGGTGGCTCATCAGCAGTCTCACATAAAACTCTCGATCGGACTTGGACTTATACGCTACCCAGCAGCAGATCGTGTTTTTCATTGTAACCGCTTTGTGCAGGAAGAGCCTTGTGGGTTGATGCCGGAATTTTTGGCACCTGTTGTAGTGATTTGAGATCGTCAACAAAGCCTAGATGTAGATGAAGTATTGGATGGGTCAATTCTATACTCATTTTGTAACATGGCACCTTACAGTACTTCGGATTTGAAAGATTAGTCATGATTCCTGGACTGGTATCTGATAATGACTCCCTTTAACGAACCTAACCATAATCCAGGGGGCTGGACCTGAGCCCTTGTAAGCCACATGACCCGCTGCACATCGGGCTAGTAGATAGCGTTTGCCTTGCCTTAGTACTTTTCGTCGCCTAGGCTAAGGGGAAGGCCCTGCTGGACAACGCAGGACGGGGTTCCAACCTTCGAATGTGCTGTACGCGCTGGGAGTAGAACATCCGTGACGAGTTGCCTGAGAACACCCTTGAACATTTGACGAGTTCTTTGGCCTTTGGCCCCCAGGGGAGCCTGCCCACCAGGGAAATGGGTCGGGTCAACCAGACTAGATGATCAACTAATTGAAACTTGGAATCGAACAAATTGTTGCTTTTGGTGATTGTCGTTCTGATATTCGTTGATGGCTTCCCCTGCGAAGAACAGTAAACCTGAGTTGGACAGGAGCGGATATATTTCGTTGATGAAGAAATATGGTATCATTTTTGAAGGACCTATTCAACCTGAGGATTGGCCTGAGCAATATGCCCATTTCTTCAGGATCATCTCTCAGACATCCATCATCCGAAAGTCCGAGTACTGCAAAGCATTCAATGAAGATAACTTGAGAGTAGCTAAGCTCAGAAGTGGTAGCACCGAACTTGTCCACGCAGCAAGGAGTGCTCTGAGAAGAAATGGGAATGAGAGGACATGGAGACAAGAGACTGAAGAGAAGGTCTTCAAGTCGTTTACTCAGAGTGCTTTGTGGTAATCAAGATCCTGTCCTTGGAGAGACCGCCACTAAATCAGAATTCGCAGCTCGGGTTGCTATAAATTCAGGTGGAAGCCATATACTGAGGCCATGCCTGTCAATGCAGACGCTCGAGAGAGACTTGAAAAAGAGATTAGCAGACGGCGACCGTGTTTATGCAGCGAGTTGCAGTTGAGTGAAATCAAAGTGTGAGTTCAAAACCCCGCATACCGGCATGCAGTTGACGCTGCTGTCAGCAAGGACACACTTCAATCAGAATTCTCGCGAGAGCTGGAAAAGGCAATCATCCACGAGGATGTTTTAGACCTTGAAAAAGCTGGTCTGAAGAAGCAAATGCCTGATACCGTCATCGGACTGGGCCAAACGCCGTCGTTTGCAGAGTATGCCCCACTCATCACGAGAAGACATAGTCCGTTCGAACCTGCAAACGTTCTTTATCCCTTTATGGTGTTAGAGGCCAAGTCGGAGAAGGCACCAGATAGCTGGGGAAGCATCGAGCGCCAATCTGCCTTTGCTCTTCGAACATGTCTCGAGCTCCAGAAGAACCTGCGAAGAGATACAGGGGTCGAGTTCCAGTGCCTCGTATGGTTTTTCGCTTTCAAGGGGGACGAATGGCGTTTGTACGCTGCTGTTCCTGAGCAGGCGCAAACAGTAAGTGTTGCTACATCTGCTCCTAACATGTGAAGGAATTGATTCGGATATAGCGAGTCATCGACTTGTGGCATGGTACAATACTGTCTGAAGATGGCGCTTTGCAATTGCTCCTGATCATCGAATATCTGCAGAGCTGGGCCTACAATGTTTATCGACCTGGTGTCCTCGGATGTCTGGTTGGGGGTCGACTAAATTCTCGTAGGCTGACTCCAGGATTTTCCGTTTTGTCAGAAAGAAGCCCGAGTGAGCTCGAGTTGCTCCAGCACATCCCTCATCAGGCATCTGACAACAGAAAGTTGGTTGTGGAAAACTTCCGACCACAGGGAAGAATCTCGAATGGCCATGTTGGAACAGAAACAAGCCGTGGTATGGAGCACGATAACCTGCTGGGCTGGACACGTTGGATCGGAAAGAGCGTGAATGATCCAAAATGGACCAGGCTTATGACCATCAGACACACAGATCTTGTTTACCTTGACATTGTGTCACTGAATCTCCCAGAAGAACTGGATACGCTCAAGAGTTGCCTTGAAAGCTTCGAGATGCAGCGAGCCCTGGATAGCATTGCTGAAGAGCTCTTGATGATGTTTCTCGATAACGAGCTGGCAATTCAGACGACAAATCATATCGTGTCCAGGACATCTGCTGAGGAACACGAATCGCCTGTCCCGGTCCGGGCAATAATATTCAGCCGCTCCGCAATCAGGAGGCAAGACTGGCAGATCTCACGTCAGACACTTGTCATTGCGTGTACCTGGAAGTCGTTGATGCTTCTCAAGGACCTTTCACAGCACTCCGTGGCCCTGCCGAATTTTCCACGACATTGTCACACTCAACAATGTGCATGTTTCACTACAGCAATCAACGCTGTGAGCTGGATAAGTCGTGGGATGTCTGCTAACCTGGCACTGGGACAGACTTGTTTACGGCTGAGGTTCGATCAGTCGAGTCGGCAGCCAGCACACTTCCAGTGGGTACAAGCCAGGTCAGGGGCCAAAGACACAAGGTTCAAGAATTTCTGCTTGGCGATTCTGAACACTACGAGTTCTGTCATTAAACAGAGGCCTTTCATTGAGAAGGTGCGAAGTCATTGGAAGGTCAGTCCAGGAGAAGGAACTGCGACAGCAACAGCCATGTTCATGGCCTTAGACGTTCCCCAACTTGTGGATGACTCCAAAGTTGCGGCTATGATAGTGAAGAAGCCTCGTACATGGCCCGAGACGACTCAAAAATTCTGTCTTTTCGTTATGGAAGATGGTGTTGACTTCGAGAACAGGGCCGAACTCTGCAGGTTGATACAGACGGCTAAGAAGGACATATTTGGGGGCGATCCGGGCGACCACAATTGCGTGTTAGCCGATGAACTCGCGCTCGATGAATGGATTGAAGCATTGAAGGATGAAGTTGTTGAGGTTGTTGAAGCATAGTAGCCTTAATCGGCATCCTATCAGCTTACTGTTATCTTCGGTTTCCAAAAGCCAGGAGAGCAGGAAAGACGGATCGGCACGCCGGATCGTGAGAAGAACCATAGCAGTGTGAAGTGCGTTGGTACCAATGTTCTTACATACCATCCAAGCAGTTGCTGTTTGAACAGAATGAAATCAAGCGGCATCACCCCAAGTCCCGAAAAGGAATAAGTCGTCTGACTTTCCTTGGCTTATGCTCGTTCCCCCGATTGTCGCCCCAACCTGAAGTCAGTCTCCAGGCATCGGGTCTGCGGAGCCATACACTATTTTATATTCTTCAAGGCCACGATCGTAACTCATTTTTCGTTGTCTCGACCAAGAACTTTCTTTCTAGAAACTTTGTCTTGATTCATATTTACCACCAATGGCTTCGGGGTTCACGTTTGGATGTTGACATTACTGACTGACATTGTGCCCACAAGTTTGAATGGCGAACGAGGAGATGATCATCCCCGCTTTCATAGAAAGGGTGGTGGAATTTCCTGGGGGCGCATCTTATAAACTCTTACGGCCTCTTACAACCTTCAGAGGCTGCCACGATGGAGTTCCAGCCGAGGGTCGAATAGTTTTCACTTGCAGTCGGATCGACCTTGGAGATCAAGGCTCTGAAGAATATATCATGAAGATTAAAGCTCGGTACCATGACCTCAAGCCGACTGGTATGTTTCGGAGGTTGACATGGCATATAGACTCCCTGGGAAAGAGAGCGACCCGGCAGCAGAAATGGAGGCAGTATCAAGCACCACGACAAGGGCTGAATTGAAAGCACTCGAAATGTTTCGCAGCGTTAGCAGCGAACATGCACCGCATTTGGTACATTACAAGCAAGTCATGCAAGGTTCCAATGGTCCCCTGCCCGGCGGATACCTGAACTTCACCGTAATGACCAAGATGCCTGGCGATTCGCTGCACAATCTGTATTATTGGGGGATGCCGACCGAGGAGCGAGAAGTCATCATAAAGGAGTTTCTGGTTGCACTCCGGTAAGTCCGGTTTATTTCTGGCGTTTTGTGAGATGTTCTAACATCCCTTGTGTAGGTCGATCTATGCCAATGGGATTGAGCCTGTAGATTGTGCTTTGCGCAACGTGTTATGGGATAGCGAGACGAAGAAATGGTACGTTCATTCACCCGTGTTCAACCAGTGAAAGCTTTCTTACCATCATGTGTAGCACCATCATAGATTTCGAGATCTGGCGAGGGACTGAGGAAGTTGTCGAGAATGAAGTGAAAGAGCTTCAGAGATGGGGCCTGGTCCGACAACCCGCGGCCAAAGACCATTGGGCAGCATGGAACGCCCAATTCAGATGAGGAGTAGTAGCATAATTGCCGCATACATCTTCAATATAGAAGCACCCGAAGGCGGGTTAACATCTACATCAAATGCAAAACAATCGGAGGATTGAGGAGCAGGCAATGGGGCGTTGATAGGCGACGGATGCCAAGATTCCATGGCGCTAAATGCTCCGGGCCGGCTGGTGATTTGCTCGCTTGGTCGTGGTTTGCTTTGGAGTCGTTCGGGATCAAGCTGCACCTGCCAATTGTCAACCGCGGGTAAAGCTGGCTGCACCCGTTTTCGATAACTTGGATCTCAGTAACCTGCCCCAGTATCCGCAGCCGTTCAGCACCATTTCAACAATCATTTTCCATCTTTTGCACCCTTCACCAAGTTGACTGGCGCATTTGTGGACATCATGTATAGACTGGGCAGCCGCAGCTTGGGCTCCGCCCTTAGAAGCGTCAAGGTCGGTCATCTACAAGCGATTGCCAGGTTGCAAGGGAACAATACTGACCTTCACCAACAGAACACACCAGTACGGAGCTCGATCCAATTCCAGCAAACACAACGGAGGAACCTCAGCATTCACGAATACCTCTCCGCAAATCTCCTAAAGCAATACGGGATCGGAGTGCCGGCTGGCGAGGTTGCAAAGACACCGGAAGAAGCTGAAGCGATAGCGAAAAAGATTGGTACACATACATCTAGATAATGATGGTCTGGAACATAGCTAACTCGCTCGCTAGGCGGAGATGATATGGTCATAAAAGCCCAGGTGCTGGCCGGTGGCCGAGGCAAAGGAACCTTTGACAATGGCCTGAAAGGTGGTGTCAGAGTGATTTACTCGTATGTTGGCCTTCTGGCTGAAGAGAGTTGTCTTTCGGTGCTGATTCACTTGCAGTCCGACAGAAGCCAAGATGTTTGCAGGTCAAATGATCGGTCATAAGCTTGTCACCAAGCAAACTGGTGCTCGAGGTCGCATCTGCAACTCGGTCTACATCTGCGAACGCAAATTTGCCCGCCGAGAATTCTACCTAGCCATCCTCATGGACCGATCCACCCAGAGCCCCGTCATTGTAGCCTCATCGCAAGGTGGAATGGACATTGAAACCGTGGCCAAGGAAACCCCCGAGGCGATCATCACCACCAACATCGACATCAACAAGGGTGTGACGGATGATATTGCCAGACACATTGCTACAGAACTTGGATTCAGCGAGCAATGTATCGAAGATGCAAAGAACACAATCCAGAAGCTATACAAGGTTTTCATCGAGAAGGATGCAACACAGATTGAAATCAACCCCTTGAGCGAGACCAGTGATCATCAAGTGCTGGCAATGGATGCCAAGCTTGGTTTCGATGACAATGCTGAATTCAGACAAAAGGAGGTCTTCAGCTGGAGAGATACTTCGCAAGAAGACGCCGATGAAGTCAAGGCTGCCGAGTAAGAGACTTGGACATGATGCCACACGGTGATGTGCTAACCTCCTCGCAGACACGGCCTCAATTTCATCAAGCTTGATGGTGACATTGGCTGCCTGGTCAATGGCGCCGGTCTAGCCATGGCGACTATGGATATCATCAAACTCACTGGTGGATCGCCGGCCAATTTCTTGGATGTTGGTGGTGGTGCAACCCCGGAAGCCATCAAATCCGCATTCACTCTCATTACTAGTGACCCTAAGGTGACAGCAATCTTTGTCAACATTTTCGGCGGTATCGTGCGATGTGATGCTATTGCACAGGGTTTGATCAATGTGGTTGAGCAAATGAACCTACGGTTGCCTATCGTATGCAGATTGCAGGGCACAAATATGGAAAAGGCTGCTGAATTGGTAAGTCCCATGACGAGTTGGGAAGTTGACAATGACTAACTCTGCGTGCAGGTCAACAACTCAGGCCTAAAGATCTTCTCGATTACGGATCTTCAAGAGGCCGCCGAGAAAGCCGTTGATTTCTCAAAGATTGTAAAGATGGCTCGCCAGATTGATGTTGGCGTGGAGTTCTCACTTGGTATTTAAACAGCTCTGGTAGTTTAGGACGTGGTTGATTTGTCCATACCAGATTCTCGAACTTAGCTAGCGAGAGCAGCCCTGCCGCTTTCAACTCGTGTTCCATCAGTACAATATTCATTCGGCTTATGCCCTGGCTGGCTTCTCCTGCTCGGATTCATGTCAACTTCACCTCACCCTCCTTCCGCTGGTGAAGAAAACTCGGCGTTCACACCTGTAAAACTCGACTGTAGGTTTCTATCTGTACTATCACTCTTTTAGGGATTATCACATCGCCTGTGGTATGTTGGGCTTCTGGGAAGCACTTCTCTGGTACACTGTAGGAGGTGGATTCACAGCACGTTTCCTGGAAGACGTACCTGGTTCAGATAGTATTCATGTTGGTCTTAGTGGTCAATTCAAATACATATTGGAATACCTCGCCATACCATAATGCGACCTGTAATGTTTGTGCACTGTACTTTTAATTCACCTCTGGCAAGGTTTGTGTCACCTCGTTGTAGCCAAGGCTGCAACAACCACCCAAGTCACAATGTTTGTAGACCTACCGTGTCCTTTCCTTACCAGTATCTCTTCCTCAACTGTTCAACTCTATTGAAAACTTGAAACATTAATTAATACTTTTCCTTGTTTATTGTTCATAACCCATGCTCGGAATTCTACCTACCTAGATACCTAGGCACTTCAAATTAGGTGCACTCCTTGTTAGACGCAGCGATGCCAAGCTCTCCTACTCCCACTGCGCTTGCCTTTCACTTTACAGTGCAAAAAAATGCTCAATTTCTCCGTTGACAACTGGTACAATATCTATCTCAGATATCTATCAGGATCGAGGACAAAAACATATCGTGGACTCAGGGGGAATTGAACCCCCGACCTTCCCCAAATCACAAATGAATGCGAAGGGGAGATCATACCCCTAGACCATAAGCCCTAGCACCCTGTGCAGAGTTGTGAACATTTTGTGGTGCAAAATACACTAAAATTTCGAGCTATTGACAATATGACCCACAAAAGAAATCATCCTCGCTGAGACCTATCAGTCGTCCAATAGGTGCAATCAACAGCCTATTTACCACGTGAGATATCTCCATTCTCGGGTGCGGATACACAGGTGAATGTGACACAAGGAATGCCTGAAGATCCTATTACCGCATCTCATGCATTTCCTATTCAGAAGCGATGAGACACCCCTGAGATGAGAGGGTAAACATCTATTCAACTACCCCTTTGATGTGATGACTTATCCACGCCCTCTCGGGCTGACGCATTACCTAAGATTCAGCTCCGGGAGTACCCTCATTGCCAGCGAGCACCGGGAATGGCGGCACCCAGAAGCCCCGCAACGCGTAAGGCCCAGATGGAAAACTCACAACTCGGCACTGGGCTTTCGTCAGAAAATGTTGCGACACGACGAACAACAAAGATAAGCCTGATAGATCCATACCTTCGCCGCAGCATTTCAAAACATGGTACTACATAAATCTTGAATAAGGTGAGCGCGTCCCTTTGTCATTGTAGTACCTTACACACGTTCAAGGGCGACAAGAACTCGCCCACAGTACATGGTTTGGTTGTAAGTTTCCCACAATGACTATTACTGCTCCAAGCTCTTGCCGCTACTGGGAACTTCAATCAAGGTTTTACCGCCAGCTGAAAGAGAAGCCGCGTTCAACAAAAGTGCAGACTCCATCGCTCTTAGGCTCAGACCTTGACTATGTCACGATCCCGCGTTACTGCAAAATCGAATCATGGCGATGATGAGCACTGGCTGGGTGTATCTCGCTCGTCTCGGCCCGATGGTTGGAGAACCCCTACCATTGAAGACCCAGGACATCCAGCCAATCGACCAAAAAACTCGGACGATACACTTCTCGATCAGCGCAGCTCAGCACGACGCCGCGAAGACGCCGCGTCTGAGCTAGATCGTCAAGCGAATATGTTCCCGATAAATACGCCGCCTCCAACGGACGACGAGAAACCCAAGCACCTCACTTGGAAGCAGAGGATAAAGCATGTTACCTGGGCATGGTTTACGCTTTGCATGGCTACCGGTGGCATAGCGAGCGTTCTTTATTCAGGTTAGTTGTGACATCGAGTCCGATGGCGGCTCAGCTAACCATAAGCGACAGTGCCATACCAGTTTCATGGTCTACGTGCTATTGGAATTGCTATCTTCTTGTTGAATATTGTTCTTTACCTCATAATCTGGGCTATGATGATTTGTCGGTTCTATTTCTTCCCCTACACGTTCTGGGCCAGCCTCACTCATCCCACCGAATCGCTGTTCGTCCCAGCCTTTGCGGTCGCCTTCGGAACCATTCTAATCAACATTGTCGAATATGGGTTCAATCGCACAGGTCTTTGGCTCAATCATGCTGTTGTCGTCCTATATTGGATTGATGCTGCCGTTGCTTTCATATTGAGCATTGGCATATATTTAATATTGTGGTCCTCACAGTCTTTCACCATCGCACGGATGACGCCAATTTGGATATTTCCGGCCTATCCATTGCTGATTATCGGTCCCCACGCCGCCAAACTATCTGCCCAGCTGCCAAATGCTAGGCAGGCTACCCAGATCATCATTGGAGGCTTCACCATTCAGGGGATTGGCTTCCTGGTCTCACTGACCATCTATTCAGCCTTCGTATATCGGCTGATGACGCAAAAGCTACCAGCAGAAGCCTTGAGACCTGGCATGTTCGTCTCGGTGGGTCCATCGGCTTTCACCGTCAGCGGTGTGCTCGGGATGGCAAATAATCTTCATCACATAATAGCAAGAACACCAGACTCCACCTTTCTGGACGTTCCCGGCCTCCTTGCCGCTCAGATTCTTCGACTCGTTGCGAGTTGGATGTGCCTCTGGCTCTGGGGACTAGCCTGGTGGTTCTTCTTTGTGAGCTTGCTCTCTAACATCGATTGTCTCCGGGCGAAGCACCGAACACAATTTGCGATGACATGGTACAGCTTCATTTTCCCCCAGACAGCTCTGACCTCCGCAACATTTTCCATCGCCAAGGCATTCGATGTCGCTGCTATCAGGGTTATTGGTTGTGTCATGGCCTGTTTACTCATCCTTGTCTGGTTTTTTGTTGTTGGATGCATGATTAAGGCGATTTATGAAAAGCAGGTATTGTGGCCAGAGAAAGGAGAGGATAAAAGTGAAGGTGGCTTCAAAGCGAGAGACGAGGTTAAGAGCTTTCTGCCAACCACACGGCCAACGCAGGAGGAGAAGGACGAAGCCATTGATATGTTGGATCGTCCTTGAGGTTGCCTTTCGAACCTAGGGGCAAAAGGCGATGTCTTCATTGACACCTATGTTTTGAGCTATTATCTAGCAGGATTATCTGGATATCTTACTTCCCTTGAACTCATTACGTTTTGAGGAGGGTCAGGAGATCGATCTCACTCACCTCATGAATGAGACCTATTTACCATACGCTGCTGTAGCTTTCCACAGCAACTTATTCATCCTGTCCTTGTTCACATCCGAAGATAATAACTACCCGAACCGACAATAGTAACCTCGCCCGCGTCTACTAACTAACAGCAGCATGCAAAGCCCATAAACCAGAGGCCACCGAAGCTGAAAGTCTTCGAGCATCATAAATATAAGCTAACCCGAGATCAATACTAATCACATCCCCAGGAACATCCCCGACCAGTCACCCACACACCACCATTTCCACAGAGCGTCCATAAACCAAAACAAGAGCCGACCAGGAAAAGCAACCACCACCCAAACAGGAATCAACGCAAGCTGGAACAAACCAGAAACGACAAGAGAGCCGAAGGTCGATTTTAGCTTTAGAGCTTTCCCCTCCACAACGAACTGCACGCTGCATCGGTAGATCGACTTCCTAACCCGTTCGACGCGATCGATCGGCGCGGAATCATTGGATCGCGTTTCCGATATTGGTCGAGCACGCCATCGATTCACGTAGGCATGAAGGTAGGATGGCTATTTCATCGTGCATTTCGCAACTACTACTAATAATCACCACGGGGAGCTTACCCCTCCCCACTGCCGATGCTGCTGCTGCTGCTTTACAACGTCGATTGATCATTCTCTGAATCGCTTGGTTTTGAACGATACTCACCCTGAGACTTGTCACGCTGCGAGGCTTTCACTATTCTCCTTACGACGAAAGGTGTGATATAAATTCTACGAAGGCTCTACAGGCTATCTGGGGATCACCAGAAGTCGATTTGAAGCGCTACTTGGGGGAACCAAGACTATTTATTCACATACTCAACTCCACAACCATGTCCGCAATCCAGAAGAACGTCGAAGCCGCCTCGGAGAGATACTCGTCGGGCTTCACCAAGGGCCATCTGGCTCTCCCACCCGCGAAGAAATACCTCGTCTTGACCTGCATGGATGCCAGAATCGACCCGGCCCAGGCATTTGGTATTGATCTGGGCGATGCGCATGTCATTCGTAACGTGAGTGACCTTAGCTTGTTTGTTTCCCCAATGACCAGCCAAACTTACCAGCCCTTGCATTGTAGGCCGGAGCATCGGCGCATGATGCCCTCCGCAGCATCGTCATCTCCGAACAGCTCCTCGGCACCCAGGAGATCGTGCTCGTCAAGCATACTGGCTGTGGTATGTTGACGTTCACGAATGAGGATGCTTATGGCATCGTTGATAAGAACCTGGGGTATGTCATCCCAGTCGGTTCTGAGACGTTTGACTCGTAGAGCATCCTTCCCTGACTGACATGTTTCGTGTAGATCCGAGGCTTCGGCTGAGTTGAAGTCTCGCGGGCTGGACTTCCTCCCGTTCCCGGAGCTGGAGAAGGCTGTGGAGGCCGATGTCAAGTATATCAAGGAGACCAAGCTTATTCCTGACAGTGTCACTGTCAGCGGGTGGGTTTATGAGGTCGAAAGTGGGAAGACTAGGCGTGTCGTGTAGGTCTGAGTGGTCTCTCCGATCGAGAAGGTGGCGTTTGATCGGGGTGCTTCTGGGCAGTTGATGTAGTAATCCTTGGACGAGACTATTTCGTTGTTGCAAAACCTTCAATATGTTGGATCTTTCTGAAAAATGCCATATTTTATGGCTTCCGCCATCTTGAGACGTGATGCCTCGGGTGGTCCACTCTGCGAGTCACGGTTCGTCACGGGTGACAAGGGTCTCGACCAAGTGGCTGGAAGCATTTCAGTATAATTGGTGGCTTCAGTGCATGGTGAAGATATTATTGTCGTGTGTGGCATCGCTTGTCCAATATCTTGACTTTGACCAACCAGACGGGCGAGGCTGAAGGATGGTACCAGAGCACAATAAATAATGACATGACTGGTTTTTGTAGCATAGTAACCCATAATCTGGCGAGATCGTAAAAGTACCACAGCCAGATTCTCAAGCAAGGGCCTTGAATTCTGCCTTGCCGCTATGTGGTCAGTGAGGCCGAGGTCGCCAGGTGGTCGACCAGTTGGACGCGACTTTGGTAACCATCGGCCGTTAGGTGGTGCTGTGGTGCGAAATGTGTGCAACTGCGATTGCTACTGCACTGCCTTCAAATTGCCGCCTGAAATCCCAATGAATCACGGCCATGTAGCAGGGAAGACCTTGGGTCTCTTGATCTGAAAGTACTTTTGTGGCAATGAACGAGTTTCACAATATCAGTACTTAACTTTCTCAATCCCTTGATCTGTCTGCCACTTCTTTCGACATCATCTTTCACTCACTTACCTGATCAGCAATAAGTCGCCCCAGCAACAAGATCGATAACTACTCATACCCTTTGCTACTTCATTACACGTCCCAAACAACGCGGCTCAGCCAACACAGCGATTTCCATCCGCGTCTGTGACGGCCTCGTTGCACCAAACACCATGTCTCAAGCAGTGAGCAACGCTTTGAACTTGGTCTTCAAATATGCGAAGGCCCATCCGATTGGCTTCGGAAGCACCTTCGTCAACGCCATCATGTCTCTTATCCTTGGACCATTTTGGCTCATCAGAGTCCTTTTGAGCGTGTCTGGTTTCCAGCTCGGGGGTGTAGCTGCAGGTATGTCAGGAATAGTCATGCTCGTCGTGCTCCGGTACACCTTCTAACGCATACTGAACAGGCTCTATCGCTGCATGGTGGCAATCGGTGGCTTACGGAGGTTATGTCCCGGTTGGAAGCATCTTTTCCTTGGCTCAATCTCTTGGAGCTGTGCTTGGTGCGTGATAATTGAGATATCATAGCCCAATCATCAAAGACTTGCTAGTACGAAGCACAGCAAGGTTGAGTCCCTGGGCCGGGCCGATTTGGTCCCGATGGTATGCAGGAAATGGATGGTTAGTTGACAAGGTGAAATGGTCACTGGTCGGCACTACATGCCATTACCTAGGAATGTGAGAGCTCAAGGCACAGGCGATTGCTACCTACTATGGTGGAGATTGAATCTGGTATTCGGATTGTGGGTCGTTCTCAAGGGACTATGCTCATAATCGGTATTTTGGAGCTCATTTCTTCATCGCACCATTGCGGACAGTGATGAGGTTATCAACCATCCTTGACCAAATCAAACAATCATCTCTTCCCAACTTGTGCCGAGTCTGTCTGTGCGACGGAGGTCCAGGTTTTGAGACACAAAATTTACCTTTTGGAGCCCGACAATACGGGTTGTCCAGTATTCCCGATCCAAGATGCCAACCCAGGTGTACAACAAGTGCACCAAGCGAGAAAGTCAGGGCTTTCTAACAAGACCATACTGGAAGTGATGACCAAGAAGACCAGATACCAATTGAACCCGAGACAAGGACCTGCAGCCAAAGCAATGCCAATAGCGAACTCTATCCGTCCCGAGCCTTGACATCGTCTTCGTGAAAGTCATGATGTACAGCAAGGGCAGGCGGATCTCGAGAATGTAATGTTTTCAACTTGCTTTAGTGGTAATAATCTTCCGTATCCCTGATTCAAGTAATCTCAAGCTCTACGTCCCGTCATCATATCAAACGCTCCAAGATAGGAGGTGATGACTGCGGCAGAGTAATAAGCGTCAATGCTGGCCTCATTTCCGTACTGAATAGTATTAGCACTTGGCAGTTGTGAGGATAAGGACATTTGCCATACCGTGATGAAGGCCACAGCAAGCTCTTCGAAAAACTGCGGCTTTCCGGTGAGCCAGATTACCTTCTCCGAGAAAAAGGCTGGTTCCCTCCCTTCTGGACCATTGTTGCGGCTCACAAAGTGAGTGATTGATGTGGGGTCTAGCATTTCCTCTTCCTCATACATCCCATTAAGACGGGGTGCAAACAAAAAGTCTGTCAGATAAGTTTCACTTGCCAATTCATCTCCTGTGCCGCTGGCCGATGATTCGCAATCCATGGTGTCTCTCAAACGTTCACGGCGTTCTTCTTCGTATTCACTGGCATCAAGAACTGCGCGCACACGAGCGGAGCCTGTCAGACGCTTAAACACCTGATACACCAGCATATCGACGCCTTTGAGCCTACGGTCCAGGTGAGGAATGGACGAGGGTGACGTATGCGGATAGCCATGTGTGCACGAGAAGCCAATGAGACCACCTATGGAATGGTGATTAGGAGAATGGACTGTGATGTTTGAAAATTTGGGGCTTACCCTTGGGAAGGAATGAGGGACAATTAATGAGCTTTTCCAAAGCCACGTAGAAGTGAAAGGAGGACTGGTCCAAAGCATTGAGTTGTCTCGCCATATGAGATGGTCCATAGTCCGTCCAATACAAATTGTAAGTGAGCGTCACTCGATGACCCTCTGACACTCTCAAAACTTCGTGCTCACAGTCTGAGAAGAATGCTGCCCATTGAATACAGTCTAGTCGCTTGGACCAGTCGAAGCGGACTTCCTGGCTGGCGTGGCGCACCACGAATTCTCCACCTATCCATGATGTAAGGATGGTGATCAACGGAAACTGAATGTGCTTACCTTGGTGAGAAGAGGGCAGACAGACAACGAGGGAGCCCATTTGAGCATCCGATCGTGGAGTATCGACATGAGGCTTGAATTTCCCAGATGGACCAGAGTAAACCTTTTCAGACTTGAGTGATGAAATTTTTCAGACCCTTGGGGTGAACTCACATTCAACTTATACAACTCTGCTCGTACACCGTTGTACTTTCCACCATGAGCGCCCTCTTGAAGTAGTGCTTGAACTATTGTGTCGATAACTCCGTGTTCAGCCAGGCTGAAATCGGTGCAGAATTGGGTGGTATTCATCTTGCCCGCTTTTCGATAAGTTTCGTCTAAAACGTCTTCCCCTCCTCTGCCAAAGGTGGCTGGTTGGCAATCTTCCATCAATTTTTGGAAAGCAGCTTGAGAGATCGGATCGTTCCCCATTGGCAGTGAGACGTTGCGGCCCTGGCCCTCACCGGAATCCCAACGAATCATGATGCCGTCTCTCTCGGAGGGAGTGGCAGAGCCGAGTTCAATTCTCCCGCCGATCGCGAAAGGCTTGTTGGACGCATCGGAAAGGAGAGCATTGGAGACCTCTTGGAACAGAGACTCATGATCGGGTAGATAGTTACCTTGGTCGGACGACGAAGCAGACCGCTCGCTCGACATGGTGATAAAGTTTCCGACACAGAACAAAGACACTTAGCAGGTATTGTGCTATGGTCAAGGAACGCCGAACAATATAGACATTAGCCAGCGACACAAGATCAGGCTGCAACCTGCCAAAAGTGGAGAGATAGTCACGTGGTCTACCTGTGACTGGGTCTCTAGCGGGAGGCTGCTTGGGTGCCTGGGTGCTTGGGTACACAACATCAATCATCTCCTCACCTGGTTGAGTCGTTGCTCCCTCACATTGAAACCGCTGGTATTTGACGAAGTCTTCAACCGTCAGATATCAGTCGAATCAAGGAGAGATACGTGACAGTGGATTTCCAGCTTCCCTGCTGGTGCATCTGAGAAACTAGTTGCATCCTTCAGCGCTGTGCTTCGCAAGGTCCCTCGGGGAATGCAGGTAGGCGGTCTCGGCGGCCTGTGGCTTTTCATTTAGAGATACCTGCACTTGAAGTGAAAAGCAGGAAGCCAGCTTCGAGATGAATGAGTACCTATGGTACTCAGGGCTACCTGAGGAGTCTGGGCCATCCAGCCTAGACACCGAGCACCGAGAGCCGAGCTAATCACAACCACCGACCTGCCTCTCCGACTTCGCTGCCGAACGCCCTCGGCTCTAGCCCTGACGCCGATGGCCGATAATCAACTGACGAGCACCATTACTTTTGCGTTATCCTTCTTTTTCCACTTGTCTGACCGATAGCTGTCAACAATGTGGCTGAATTGCCAGAGATAAACGGTTGAGAGATAACAAGAGCAAAGCCGATGATAACTCAACAGCGCTCGACGCCGGTACGCCGACGCAATGGCAAACAGCAAGCATGTGAACCATGTCGTAAGCGGAAATTGGCTTGTGACCATGACTATCCGACTTGTCACAGATGTCAGAGGCGGAAGATCTCGCAGGATTGTGTCTATCTACCGCCTTCAAGGCAGGGTGCCGCTTTAGCGGGAAGCCAGCGGCGGTCGGAAAGCACAACATCACCTCTTTCTCCACCACCGCACCTGCGAAATCTGGACACCATTAGTACCAGCGAGGTCGCCCCTACACCAGGAAACAATGTCACTCCCGGGGCGCAATGGCCATTGTTCGAAGGAACTCGAGCCTGGATGGGGCCCACTAGCTTCAACGCCGTCTTCCAGGAGAACAGGGTTCAACTCGGCCAGTTACCAGGCCCGCCTTCACCCTCGGAAATGTGTAGTGCAAAACTCTGGGCTGATTATGCACGGCGGAGAGGTATCTCGAGTTCAAAATGGGTACAGCTCGGCATCGAGGTCGTCAGGCAGATCCCAAGCACAGAACAAATCTGCGACACGCTGCTCTCGAGACACGTTAACCCCAATGATGGATGGATTAGACTGGCTGCGAAACTTGTCAGCGAGTCCATGTGGCAGACATTCGGCTCACTACTTCAAGATCGCCGAGAAGAGAATTTGGAGCAGTTATCTAGCCGTCTGTGCCAGAATCACGGTGTCACAGTACGTGAGGAGGCTACGGACGCTGTGGTGTGGTTGGAGTCGTTCTCCGGCAAGCATCTCCAATGGGAATCACTTGGAATTCTGTTCACATATTGGGCTTTTGGGGCGCTGTCGTCGCCAGTTGACGATCCCATATTTACACAACCTGATGGGACGGTGCGAGAACGTCGGGAACTCGTCACTGAGTTGAAGAATTGTGCATCATCTTGTATCGAGCTATATGGCAATGATTCTGCCGATAGCGGGAACACGCTCCTGGTCTACTTGATGTACAAGCGCAATATACTAGATGCCGTACTGGAGACAGACGCTGGTAAGAAGACTTCCTAAACTTCGACCAAGTGAGATTTTGGGACATGACTGACACACCCCAGCACCAATCGTTTGGCGACAGCACGGAGAACTCGCAGCCCTAACCATGTCTCTCGGTCTCCACCGAGCAAAGGTATATCCTTCTGACGAAGTCCCATCGATTGCTGCCGAAGCTCGGAAAAGAGTGTTTGCCGCCGTCTTCAGGATGGATAAAGGAGTTGCAACCTTCACGGGTCGACCTCCAATGTTCAGCCGAAGATACACCACGTCACAATCGCTGCCCTTGGATGTCAGTGACGAAGTGCTGCTCGCCGGAGGAGAGACATTGGCGAGAGCCATTGCTTCGTTGGACGAGAATGGGTTTAATACGGATGGGAAAGTCTACTCAACCACGATCCTTCGGGCGCGGACACTGCTAGCACTTGTGCGTGACGAAGTTCTCGAAATTGCTTTGGGTTGCAATGAAAATGACGATATTCTTGAGGTGGCCACGTACGTATAGCATGGATCTCCTAGCGTGGAGAATAGTGCTAACAACAAAATCCTAGGCGTCTGAAGAGGAAATCATGCGAGACCTATGCGAAATTCTCACCAAACATTCAATACCACCCGGATATTCTTCTGGACAAGACAATGAGAGGGCCGGCACTCTACGCAAGGACAGTGACTCGTCTGGAACATCTCGAAAACTTGTTCCTCCTCGAACGGCTACTAATCAAACACGGTGGCGGCAATATGCAAGAGTTGATCGATGTCTCCTGCGACATGCTGGACTTGACCTTGGTATGGTGGAAGCATTCGAATCGATTTGCCGGCATGCACAGTGACTTGGAATGGTTGGTGAGTCGTCGCCTTGTCCTGAAGATGCGGATCATGTTGGAGCTGACTATCCTTGTCAGGTCACAAGCTACGCAGCGCCCACAGCAGGCGTGTTATGCATCGAACTCCTAAAGCAATTGCACAGCAACTCACGACAAGCAAACCGGCTGGGCGCCTACGAGAACAACACAGCCCCGAGATATAACATCCCGCGATCACAAACAATCCAAAACCTCACCCTCTTCGTCGGCTTCCTGGATTGGATACAAGTTACTGAACCGCCCACGACCGACATCTGCACCCGCATCCGCGAGATTGTGTCACGAGTGCTCGACGAGATCCTGGGCGGCGGCAGCAGCGGAAATGTAAACACAGGAGCTGGACTAGGTGCTCCCATTGGTGGTGGTCACGGTGTCGTTTCAGCGCCTGCGGACAGTCGTCTGGCAAACCCACACATCACATCGTCACATGTGCTGGATAGAGGAACTGCACCGCTTACGGCGGCGACGGCAATCACGGCGGAAGAAGAATTACCGAGTACGGCGTCCTTCGCGCAGCTGGACACGTTCTCGACCATGTTCGACTTCGACAATGCAGATCTCTGGAATTTCGAACTCATGGATACGTATGGTTGGATAGAAGGTTGAACGTTTACGGCAATGCGTAAGCGAATGCGAATACACATGGTGTTTCCTGGCTCGTCAGTGGTGGTAATTACAGAGCAATTTGATTATGCCAGAAGGCAGAAGTGAAGTGTAGCCGCGACCTCTGGGATGAACGCGTCTGAGGTCCAGCGGCATAAATCGAACGGAGAGATATTATTCCATCTAGACAACTAGTAATGATCACACTGGGCAACAGAAGAGCGAGGCGTCCAAGATCTACGTAAGCTTTGCGAGCATGCATGATCTACGAGACCGTTTAGACAACGGATATGCGTACGAGTAAGATGACTTATCCGGCCTGTTCCTGGGCCTCCCTGGGTCCGGGAGGGCTCGGCATGTTGGCGATGGAGTTGGCGATCAGCTAATTAGGCATCACCCTTAGAACTCGAGTGTGAGGTGCTGGTGGAGAATGGACAGTGCGACTAGGGACGGAGAAGCGTGAGGCTCTCCAACTACCGAACACTGTAAGAGGTTGATAATCAGCCATGGACGGCGATGCATGGGTTTAAGAGTAGGAGGGAGATCCACGGAGTGAGATCCACGAAGTCGAAATCGCATTCTTGCATGCGTGCGTGCCCACGCATCATGGATTAGCGGCTGGAGTATCGCGTGAGGGTGGTCTACACGGACATTTTTAAGGCTGGTCATTGGGTGGGAATGGGTGGTCCAGAGCCCTTCTGGGTGCCGCTGAGACTTTCAACCGCATCCATGATTTCATGACCGCGATTTCGAGATAACGCTAAAGCTTGCTGCGCCATGATACCAAGAACACCCAAGACAGCCAGCTGGCTGGGCAATGGCGTCGTCCAAGAGAAACTTTGTTTGAGGGTTAAAAAACCTGGATTGAATTCGGGAGGCGACATCATTGATAATGGAGCTCTGAGTGATAATTGTAATTTTCTTTAATCTTTTGGGTTGTTGTTTGATTTCTGGTTGTGAACTTCAGACTTGGTTGTCGGTCGTATCTTTTGTTGAGAGCCAAACATGCCGGAAGTCACGGAGGATGAAAAACCCCGCGTGGAGCTTCAACAACACGACGTTCAACAGCCGTCACAGTCTGCGCCAGAAGTGCAAGATCATGAAAAGTTAACGGTTGATCATTTGAATGTTGGTCGGGATGGAAACAGTGATGGAGCTTCCAACTCGACGACTTTGACGACCACACCGCTTGTGAGAGACCCAGAACCAGAATCAGACCCAGAACCAGACACAGGACGAGATACAAACCCAGAGCCAGATCCAGACTCGGCCCTTGGACGATTTAATTCGATAACGCGACGAGATGGACGACACTTACAGGAACCACCGGCTTTGCCGTTCAATCTACGAGATCACAAATTATCTCTTTCGATATTTACATTCCTGGCTTTGGCCGAGTGTTGTTTTGTCCCAGTGGCATTTTATTATGGTTTCAGCCAGGGCACCAACGTGAGATCAGGTATATATCCCCAGAGAAATCTTGGGCAGTTCCAAGGCTAATGTTGACTTGAGGTATTTATTTCGCCATCATCACCAGCTTGTTTGGTTTTGTCAGTGGATATGAATTCGGAATTCGTGGTTGGCGGCTCGTGAAAGTCACAGACGAATATCGACCACTATTCGGCAGTCCAAGATTTTGGGGCTTCGACAGTACCAATTTCGTACTCATGATGCCGTTCACGGTCATGACAATCATTCTCATCATCTTCAGCATACCGCATTATCCTTCGGTCAAAGCCCTTGCTTTGCCAATGCCAGTCGGCATGATCAATATTGGTTTTATATTTGTTATCAACGGCTGGGCGGCGCAACGAGGGTGGAGGCTGATGTATTTTAGACTCAGCTCCCATGTAAAAAATTCCGTGTGCCCCCCTTTGACTTTTTGCATCTTGGAGGATATCTGTGCCGTTGATGGTAGAGGTGGCAAGAAATATCGCAAGGCTGCATTGGACAGATACAACGCATCTCCAAGGTTCAGAAAGTTATTACTGCAGTTGTTATGGTTTTGGTCGATACCTGCAATCCTGGTCGGAGCCGCCCTGATAGCTGCCATATATCTGACAACCGACGACATTGCATATGGTATTGGTTGGGGAGCACCAACCGTGTGGGTCGGAATATGGACTTGGATTACCGTCGTGTGGGTGCAGCGAGCACTGCGAATTGAGAAAGAAACCTGGATATCTGATCGTACGATCTCAGCATAAATAGAGCGTGGTTGGGATGTCGTCGTGTCTGGATCATAAAATCAACCATTCACTTTGGGACGAAGTGTTAAATCAGTGTTTTCCTTGACGACGTCGCCAGGGTCAACCTTTTGAATCCAATCAAGGGCTCTCTGGACATATTTGTCTTCTTTTGTCTCGACTTCAGAGGTAGGTTGAACAACTGACTCGACAACTTGTATTGTAATCGCTCGAGCCTCCCCAGCCTTTTTGAGACAGCGTTCTAGATCTCCCAAGTACATGCCTTCGGCCGATTCATCAATCAACTCTGATATCCGGCGGGTCTGCTTTAGAATTGTGCCGAAACGAGTGATCTCATTGGCTGATGGCTCCTGGCCAACCGTGCGCTTTTCGAGACGTTGTTTGATCACAACGTGAATACTTTGTGGTATGCGACTCAATACCTTCAGTGCTTGAACCTTGACTCCAGCAGAGATTGCGGCTCGATCATCGTCGTCAGCTGTGTCTTCAGCCGACGCGGATGCCTCATCATTGCTGGATTCCTCTCCGAAAAGATCATTGTCATCCACCTCTTCTTCAGGGTCCCATTCCTCCAATTCTTTTACGGCATCCTTCATCAGCTCGAGCCACTGTTTGGACTTGCGGACCACGTAACCAGGGACACCTTCTTTAGCAAAGGCGACCAGTTTATCACAGCCATCCCACACTCGACCCGTTGCTTCTGTGAATTCTTTCTTTTCATTTGCAGATATTTCCAATTTATTGTTTCCTGCCTCACTTCTCCGCTGTACGAGTCGCAAGAGTGCTTGCATGTCTCGCAAGGCGACTGCTGTCAGAGAATGACACTCGCGTGAGAAGGCAGTCGTAAATTGATGGGGAGTTGTGAGCAGAGCGGCTGTAACCAACGATGTCAGGATGGACTCGTTCAATGGGAGGAGACATGTTGTAATCGCTGATGGTGTGAACGGGGCATTTATTGCCAGTAATGAGATTTTGGTTGCCTGGGAACGAAGAGTAGTTGCTGCCGCACTCAGAAGCAACAATGGGGATGGTGAATCTGCATTATTGGAGGGAGGGAGGTCCAGCGAAGTAGTTGGACTGAGCGAAGAGGAGAATCGATCGCAAAGTGTGATAGAAGTGTCCAGTGTCGACGCCAACGAGGGTGGAGTCGGCGTGTTTGCCGCCATCTAGATGAGGATATTCTAATCGTTCCTGAAATGAGACTGTTGTAGGCGTCAGCCTGGACAATAGAGTGTACAATTAGAACCGCGAAAACAAATTTCATGAGTCCTCCAATGCGGGGATCAAGGAGGAGGAGAAGTTTGGTGTAGACGGGATATCCTCGGCTCACATACGGGCCAACATTTGATCACTTGGTACAATAGCACCTTCCACATTGATGTCCCACCGTACAAAACTGAACCTGGAAGCAACCAACCTCGAGGCTCGAGATGCTCGCAATCAATATCGACCTTTTGGTCTCCAGAAGTAGCGGCCGCTCTTTTGGTGCGTATATTCTGGGTAGAATCACTCTATTGAACTTGTCATCTGTACGGCTCTATGTTGCTAGTAAGGCGAACTCCATGACCTAGTGAAAATACCAGCTCAGACTGCCTGCTTACCTCTAGGTCGACTTCTCTCCACATTCCTTCAAAGTCAGCATCTGGCTTTGTTTAGTATTGAAATCGTCTTCATCGTTCATTTGGTTGGCCAGGAGACCTAGCCGCAAGGTCAATCGGTGCTCGAGTACCAAGGTACTTTATCTCTAGTTCTGAGAGACGACTATGGCATATGTGAGGAAGTATCAACCCTCGGATCATGATGCCATGATAAATATTGTAAGTTGCTGGACTTTTGCAGATTCTTTGGAGATCTCGAACAGGGCCATGAATAGATGCCATAGCTTGTCGATAATATGATTGACCTGTGGAAAGTTTACAGTCACAGCCTCACCATCCTTACACGAGGCTGGGCCGCTCACACTCCACTATACATCTTACTTATGGTGTCGCCCGTATCTTAAGATTTGCCCCGATACGACTTTTGTGCTCGACGATGGTACGGGTAAAGCTGTAGGCTACCTGCTTGGCTGCCCCAACACACAAAGATTTGCAGCGCAGATGCAAGAAATCTTCCTGCCCGCATTGGATTCATCCCAAGATGTCCCACCCCCACCTGCAGGTACGGAAGCCGTGCAGTTTTTCAAAGATCCAGCGCTCTGGGCTCGTATGGAGCTCTACAAAAACTTGTCTACCTCCTTGGTGAGGTCTGACACTCCAGAGATCTTGAAAGAGTATCCAGCTCACCTCCACATTGATATTCTTCCATCTCACCAAAGCAAAGGATATGGACCCAAGTTGCTGGATGCTTGGGAGGATGAGATGAGGAAGCTCGGTGTAAGGGGCTGCCATTTGGGTATGGATCCGGCAAATCAGGCTGCTGGACGCTTCTACAAACGTCAAGGCTGGGGGGTATTTAATGAGCTGCATGGGGCAGGCGTCGGTGAGGAAAACCAAAGAGGAAGCAGCAGTGGAGGGACGATCCTGGTGAAGAGAGTCTGGAGCTAATGGGCCGACGGTCTACGTGATGCCGGAACAGCAAGGTATTCGCTCAACATCACGAGATGGATGGCGTTCAAGTACGCGAATGTCCCAGCCTGGGTCAATCTCGAATTTTCGACGAGCAGGAACTTGTGTTCTGCTTCAGTGGCTCAGTCAGCACACATCACAATCGCAAGGCCAGTACAAAGATGGTGGCAAGGCATGTGGCTATCACGTTTGTCGCTATAATTCTGACAAGTTCATGCTACTTCCCTCAACCATTCTCAGCTTGCTGGTCTGTATGGAACTGTGTATCCTTCACCATTTGGAATGGAGTCATTGGAAATATTGATCACCTGCCTCCGTCTGCTTTAGGATGAGTGAACGGTTGGACACTGGCTAGCTTGCTCTCTACAATTTTCACCAAATAGGAGTCGATCCACTCAGAGGGTACGCTGTGACGCTTATGCAATTGTCAAATCACTGCTCAAACATTCTAGAATTTTCAAGCAATGCAGAAGCATTTCGCTGGTGAAGCTTTTCATTGCGTATAGCCGACTCGACCGTGGTTATCCTGGATAATCCACAGCCAGCCGAGATCTAACTGGAGAAGATGCTGATGCAAGTACGGGTAGGGTGTGTTCTCGAATGAGTTTCGTGAAGAACTAGGAGTTGGTAGATTTGAATTTTCGGGTCGGCCCCACGAACCCTAAAACTTTTTCATCCAGTTTCAAGAGAATAACATGATCCAGGCATAACAAAACAACAACAACATCATCATCATGCATGACTAGAAAGACCTTTGCATTAGCAAGGAATGAAAATCGAAGGATCGATCATTGGATCTGCTGAGTGCCATGCAATTGTTGAAAAGTCAAAAGGCGCTGGTCCAGCGAAAACCCCCCTTAAAAAGCGCAATTCTCATTTATCCTGTCAAGCACGCAATCGACGCCAACCAACAATGTGCAACCTCCGTCATCCACCCAGCGGCCCTAAACGTCGTAAATGGGAATCCCATGCTCGATCTATGAGGCTGACACTTTTTTGCTAGTTGCCAGGCCCGCAGGTATCCGCTGATGCGCCTCGCAGCCTTGGTCAGAATGAATTTTTATTACTCACTCGAAGCAACGTCGAAAGATCTCGCGTCCCTTACAGGCAACAAGAGAAATTTATACCAAGGATGGCGCGATCAGATTCGGTGGCTACCAAGGCTGGGCTTCGTCGAACTTTGTGACCGTTGCAGTCTCTGAGGCAGGTTATTCGCTCGCTGATGGCTGCCCATTCCACTTCCAACGCAACAGCCACTCACGGCCACGCCTTCTACGGTGCTTTCTCTTGGGTGTTGATTACGAGTCTGTTGTCATGCGAACAAAATTTGCTTGAGCAATACGACCTTGGGTGAGGTGAGGATCTGTAGACTCGGTGGACGCCGAACGTGTCGAGGCTGGGATGATCCCTCCTCAGACCGCGATGCATATATTACCTTGATCGTTCCCACTTTGTTTGATGGAATCCACTCTCATCAAGTACGGTTCAACTTCTAGTCTGCTATACTGACCGAACTCAATAGCAACAGACATGGCGATCGGAGACAAGTTTCGCACCTATGCGAGCCACAACCCAATCTCGCGATGGTCCGAGAAGAACTCTAGCCAAGGCTCTCAAAACGATGTCGAGACTGATGGTAGGAACAGTGATCAAGGACATTCTGGAAGAGAATACTAACGACTGACAGGCTCGCCAACCTCACTCCAACACCAATTGACCCAGGAGAAGCGTCAGATCGGAACCTTCTCTGCTTTCTTCCTGATCTTCAACCGTATGGTTGGCACTGGTATCTTCGCCACACCCAGCACTATCTTTCTACTGTCTGGAAGTGTCGGTCTCAGTCTGTTCATATGGGTCATTGGTATGATCATTGCAGCCACCGGTATGGCAGTGTATCTCGAATTTGGAACCGCAATTCCCAGGAACGGCGGTGAAAAGAACTACCTTGAATATGTCTACCGCCACCCTAAATACCTCGCAACTGGCTTTTATACCGGCTATGTTATCCTTCTTGGATGGGCAGGGTCGAACTCTGTCGTGTTCGGAGAATACATCTTGCATGCGGCTCGTGTGGAAGTGACCAGATTCAACCAGCGTGGTATTGGTCTAGCATGCATCACTGCAGCTTTCCTCATCCACGGTACTGCCTTGAAATGGGGTCTGAGACTGCAAAATCTACTTGGAGTCATCAAGCTTTTCATTGTTCTACTTATTGTGGTATCGGGATGGGCCGCACTAGGTGGTGCACTAAAGATTGACAAGCCTCATAACTTCGACAATGCCTTCGCAGGAACTACAGGAAGCGCGTGAGTCTACTTTACCCTCATATACCTATCGAAATATCACAGACTGACTCAAACAAGATATGGGATCGTCAACGCCATCTACAACGTTATATGGTCTTACATTGGCTATTCAAATGCGAATTATGCACTCAGCGAGACCAAGAACCCGATCAAGACCCTAAAGATTGCGGCGCCCTCTGCCATCATCTTTGTGTCGATTGTTTACATGCTTGTCAACGTAAGTTTCTACAACGGAATTGAGGTTAGTAAGACCATTTTACTGACATCATCTTCTTCTCATCCAGATTGCCTACTTCGCAGCCGTTCCCAAAGAAGAGATTGCAACCTCTGGTCGAATCCTCGCAGCCAATTTCTTCCGAAACGTCTTTGGCGAATCTGCTGACCGAGCACTATCCGTCTTCGTTGCACTTTCAGCCTTCGGAAATGTCCTCAGCGTCATCTTTTCTCAAGGTAGACGTAAGTATTTATTCCAAAATCACGCTTTATTACGGCAAATACTGATTGAAACTTTCATAGTGGTGCAAGAACTCGGTCGTGAGGGCATCCTCCCTTTCTCTCGATTCTGGGCAAGCAACAAACCCTTCAATGCGCCCTTGGCCGGTCTCTTCGAGCACTGGCTAGTGTCGGTGATCATCATGCTTGCTCCTCCACCTGGCGACGCGTATAACTTCATCCTCAACGTCATCACCTACCCGCTGTCCGTGATCAATGTCTTCGTCGCCGGCGGCCTCCTATGGATCTACTGGAACCCCACAAAATACGAGTGGAATCCACCCTTCCGTGCCACCATTCCCGCTACTGGTCTCTTTTTCCTCAGCAACATTTACCTCGTCGCTGCGCCGTTCGTGCCCCCGGAGGAGGGCGGCAGTGTCTATAACGACCTCCCATATTACCTGCACTGTGTCGTTGGCATCGGCATCCTCGCGGCCGGTGGCGTCTACTGGCTTGTCTGGGCGGTGTTGCTGCCACGGATTGGCAAGTATGAGCTCGTGCGTACGACCGAGATCAGTGAGATCGACGGATGGGAACGAAGTGTGTTCTCCCGCGTCCCGTTGGGGCAGAAGGGAAGGAAGGGCAGTTTGAGCTTGGTTCATGATGCCCCTGCAACTACTACTTCGGCATCGACTTCGTCATAGTTTATGGGTTGCAGAGGATTCGCACAAGGAATAGATAGCCATGGGGAGGTAGGTGTGGGATGCGCAATTCAGAGGCAGCGCGAAATTTGGAGGCCGGGCCATAATTGCAAGTCTAATCTATAATAAGTTGTCATAAGTAATCGAATACAGTCTTGACCTCTACCGGACGTCGTAGATGTCAATTATCATCCGTCTGCATGCGTTGGTGTCTTCCTAGAAAAGGGTTGAAATGCCATGAACAATCACGAATGGCTTCAACAAGTGATAAATGCAAGTGTCAAATCACCACATCAAATCCGCCACTATGTGCTCGAGCCTCTCTCAGATGAGATACCAGCATCATTCGGGGGAACCGAACCCGCTGAACCCCAACAAGGCTGAATGATAAGCAGTCCCAAGGGGTGCCCCTCATTGGATCACGACCTGATTTTCGGGGCCGAGGTGCAGTATTTAGTTCAGATTCCTGACAGAACATCTCCGCACTTGTCCAAGGGAACATGATCGGACGATTGTAACATTGAAGAACAGTTTGGATTGTATGTTTATGTTCGAATTCAAAGGTTGCTTGTAGTCTTGCTTCACACGCTGACCCAGTTCTCGATATCTCAGTTGGATGTATATGCGTTAAAAACCCCGCTCTACCGCCTCCAAGCAATCAAATACTCATTCGAGCTATCTATCAGCAGGACTACACGACCACCGCCACAATGTCGTCTCCATATAGCAAGATCAAGGCACCGAGCGTGCAAACCATCGACCCGCATATGCTGTTCGATTCACGACCGATCTTCTCGCACAGCACGACGACCAGTGGGCCATGCCGCATTGTAGCCACGGCAGGACAAGTGGGCTGCGACCAGAACGGCGTATTCCCGACGGACATTGAAGATCAACTGAGCCTGGCAATGAAGAATCTCGGTCGCGCTCTCGAAGCTGCCGGCGCGACCGTCACGGATGTCTTCAAGCTCGTCTACTACATCGTGGACTACGATCCGAATAACAGGCGGCATACGAAGCATGTCCAGGCTTTTCTGAATGGGCATCGGCCCGCCACGACGCTCGTGCCGGTCCCGGCGCTTGCGAACCCGGAGATGAAGTTTGAGATCGAGGCGTATGCGGCGGTGAGGCAGGAGGCGTTGAGGGAGGTGGATGTGGTGGTTGTGGGAGCCGGGTTGAGTGGGCTCAAGGCTGCGTATGAGGTGCAGAGGGCTGGGTTCTCGTGCGTGGTGGTTGAGGCGAGAGATCGCGTCGGTGGGAAGACTTGGTCGGTTGATCCACTTGGGCAGGGCAAGTGGATTGATGTTGGTGCCGCGTGGATTAATGATACGAATCAGAGCAAGATTTATGAGTTGGCGAAGTCGTTGGACCTGGAGATGGTTGTGCAGAGAACCACTGGGAAGGTGATCCAGGAGGATCTCACGGGAGACTTGGGCTTGTTTGATTATGGTGGCACTCCTGCGGTAAGTTGTTGTTTGTTGAATGTGAGGAGTTATATGGAGCTGATTCGTGGTATAGCAAGCGGCGGAGAAGAACGGTATTGAAAGCCTGGTTTTCATACGTGAGCTGGCGGAGAAGGTCTGCCAGACAGTGGATATCCACAATCCTGTACAGTCAGGGGCCGATCTGGATAAGCTGACATTGGAAGAATGGGTCAAATCTAACACAGAGTCTAAGACTGCTATGGCAACGGCCAAGCTGTGGACTCGAGCATTGCTGGGATTGGAGCCGTCAGAAGTGAGCGCTCTGTTCTTCATGAATTATTGCAAGAGTGCGGGTGGTCTGCTGCAAATGCGATCGGATTTCAAGAATGGTGGACAGTATCTCAGGTTCACCCGAGGTGAGTGGTCTGCATGCAGAGTACTCTGCTCCAGTGGATGCCCTATATACTGACTCCGAACATAGGAACACAATCAATGTCCCTCGGTTTGGCGGACCTTTTGCATTCTGACTCGGTCATTTTGAGCTCACCTGTTCGACGTATCATTCAGACTTTAGATGGCATCCTTGTTTCGGCAGGCCGAGGCGAGTTGAAGTGCAAGCGGGTGATAGTTTCGGTCCCAACAGTGTTGTATAAGGAGATAACCTTTGAACCACCACTACCCCAAGCAAAAGCTGAACTGGGCAAGAATAATGTCCACGGATACACCTTGAAAGTCATGGTATCATTCTCTGAACCCTGGTGGCGTAAAGCAGGCCTTGCTGGAGCAGTCATGTCGTTTGTGGGGCCAATCACCACGACACGAGACTCGAGCAATGATGAGAAGGGCCAATTCTCGCTGACCTGTTTCACAAATGGAGACGCTGGCCGGAAACTCTCACCATTGCCACAAAAAGAACGATTTAGTGCGGTTGTCGCGCATATCAAGAGGATGTACGGGCCTTACGTCGATGTGCCAGAGCCAATAGCGGTCACAGAGCACGAGTGGTTTAAGGATCAATGGGCACAAGGCTGTCCCTGTCCTGCATCGCCACCAGGTGTCATGACTCAGTTTGATCATGCCCTCAGGACGACTCATGGAAAGGTGCACTTCATTGGTACTGAGACAGCATATGAATGGAAAGGGTACATGGATGGGGCAGTACGTTCCGGAGAGAGAGGTGCGAGAGAGGTCATCGATGCATTCAACCGCGCAAAGTTGTAAAGGAAAGGGAAGGCGGTGGTTTTAATGGCTACAGTCAAATATGTGGTCCGGATAAACAATAATCACTTCCAGAGTTATCTTCACGTGTCAGCTACTTATCTTCACGTGCAGATTTCAGCCCCCAAACTGCCTTCGAGTTGTGGATGAAGCCAGGTGTTGCTTACATCCCACCCAGGCCCCATTGGCTTATAGGCGTCACCCAGCTGATTCAGGGGTCTCCACCAACTGCATCGGACTCCGCTTAGTTTATTTTGTTGGCCGCGTTTGAGTTCGTGTAATAATCATCACCGCGACTTTGCAGTGGCCCTCTCAGGCTTGGGTCGCTCCTTCCTTTCAGGTGCTCGCATTGACTCCTTTCTAATTATACCACTGCACCTCACTTCGCACACACACTCACTTAGTATCTCATACTTCATCTTCATCGGTTCTTACAACTCCTAATTCCCTCCTCCTCTTCTCTTCTCAATCTCGCAGAGACGATCAAAAAATGGCATATGCAACTAACCTCCAGGGCAAGTTCGCCCACAAGGTTGGCGAGCCTGTCCCAGAGTTCAACACGGAGTGAGTAATTCTGGTCCCCCTCTGTAAACAAGGACAATCAAAAACTGATCACCGATTAGCCATCCCATCCATCCTGCTATCGTTCACTTCCCCATTGCTTTCAACACTCTGGCATGGGGGCTCGACATTCTCTACGCACTGACCACCACGTGGGTGCAGCCCGAATTCCTCACGAGCCGCTTCTCATCGCCCTCCACAATTCTTGACATCTCGCGCCTCAGCTACTTCCTGCTGTGTGCTGGCCTCATCACCACTGTTCCAGCCATCATGTCTGGGAACATCCAGTTGGTGGGTATGATCAAGAAGAACGGTGGACCATGGGAGAAGGACGCCGCAGGCAAGGCTAAGGACACAATGGTGCCTCGTATCAAGGCCACCATCACTCATGCCATTATCAACGACATTGTCTTTGCCGTCAACCTCTACTCCTGGTACATCAGGAAGGATAAGGCTGGCTACACCAACGTCGGCCATGCCCCCAACCAGACGAATTTGATCATTGCCTTTGTCCTCCTACCATTCTTGATGATCAGCGCCAAGATTGGTGGCACCCTGACTTACAATCATGGTGTCGGTCTCAACTTGGGCCGCAAGAAGATCGTCGAGTAAGGAACTTATGGCAAGCCTCTCGACAATCAGGACCAGCATCTCGCATGCGTGCAATGCATTGCCATTGTGCATGTGATGAAGTCAAGCATCGCCAGAAGATCAATTCGTATCAATCAAGAAAAGGAGGAGTTTTGGTGTGGAGACGTGAGTACACGATCGGAAGAAGATGTGTACCACCGATTTCAGGGGCGACACATAAAACGATCAGGTTCAGAGAAATGTGTTGGAACGCGTCAACGAATTTTCGATGGAGTATGTACTCAGCTTGGGGTGACAGGCTTTTAAGATTTGCATTTCAACTAGCTGATATGCGACATAATATTATGGTGGTTGTTCTAATTCCTCCTTTTTAATAATCTTTCAGAGGACATCCCTTGTCAACACTCTGCGCCGCAAATTTCTGCCTGACAATATCCCTAGTCAACTTCATCAAACGCTCGCCCAACTGGGCATCTTGCGACTGTTCACTGCCGGGCTCTTCAATCGCTGGAGGGCAGATATACATGCCAGATTTACTGGCGGCCGTAGCGGCGAAAACGGTACTCACACAACCGACCCAGATATCCTTCTTCAGGGGCTTCATGCCCACGTCCATCGCATAGCCGAGCACAGGATACGGCTCATGAATATCCTTGGTCGACATGGTGGTCTCGACGAATCCCGGGTGTGTCGCGTTGATCAGAATGTTCGGGTGCTCCTTGTGCAGATGTGCCGTCAGATAGCGTGCGTACAGGATTCCAGCGAGCTTCGAGCGCCCATATTGTCCGTTCGGGCCCAGATCGGTGTTGAGTTCGTCCAGCGACTCGAATTTCACGTCGCTGGGGGCTCCCTGGTGCGCGTTCGATGCTTGGATCTGGATCCTGACGGTGCATTTCTCGCTGGTCTTCTTGAGCAGCGGGAGTAGATGCGACGTCAGTACGACGTGGCCGATGTGGTTGACGGCCATGTGTCTGTCGATGCCGGACTCTGTCAGTTGGTACGTCATGATTCCCCGCCCGGCGTTCTGGCAGTAGATGTCGAGTCGGTCCGTCTGGTCACGCACTTTCTTCGCGACGTCAGCGACGGCGCTGAAGTCGGACGTGTCGCATTGGAACCAGACGATCCTGTCGGCGTAGTCGGCGCCCAGCTTCGTCTTGACTTCCTCCACGGCGTTGTCCTTGACGTCTTCGGACAAGGACAAGATGAAGACTTTGGCGATGTTGGCTTGTAAGAGTGTGAAGGCCGTGGCGTACCCGATGCCTTCGCTGCCGCCGGTGATCAAGGCGACTTTGCCAGATAAGTCGGGCACGTCCTTCTTGATGTCGAATTGGTCGCCTTTAGCGGCCAACTCGTGCGATTTGCCGCCCAGGCCGATGTTCTCGGCGATGGTGGATTTTATGGTCTCCATTATTGCGTATTGAGAATCGTGGCGGGCGTGTGGGCGTTGGATGAGTATTTGATCAGATGGATATCTTGTAGTAGTGATCGTTTTGAAGATATCAGTGTTGCGAGATCGAAATTTCGGGACTGTTACTCTGGTTAAGGGGCGAAATATAGGAGCAGAAGCCATTTGAGACTGGACTGGGCAGCATGGGGGATTTGAACAAGTTACGGGCTTCAAGTGGTGTGTATGCGAGGTCTACGTCAAGAGATCTGAGATACATAGTCCCTGTTACCTCGAGCGGAGGATCTTAGGTGGAAACAAGATCCCTACCTGTAGAAGAACGTGCTGTCATAGACAGGGAGTATCTTTGTGTCATTGATGGCTGGGCTGCTAGGAGACATCCATATGCTGCGTATATTAAAAGAAATACAGGCAATGTGTATGGAGCCGGAAGATACATTGCGCTTATGTGTGGGGTCATGACTGTAAGTCATGATGTACCTGAACTGAAGATGCAGTTGTTTGAGGACACATCGCTAATGCTTGGTGCATCATTGGTCAAATCAAGGCATCCTCCACCGGTACTCTCTTCCGAGTTGAGTCGATATTGCTAGGACTTTTGCAGAAGTCATTCACGGTAAATACTCTTATTCACCTCAAGGTCAAAAAGATCGGGGTTGGCAAGTGATGTCACACTACCAGTATCGCGAAAATGTGTCGGATGAAGATGAGCCACTAAGAGACATATAATGGCACTCCTTCATCTGCGTCGTCGTCGTCGCCCCCTTCCTCCCCGTCGTTGTCGTTGTCCTCTCCGTCGTCATCTTCATACTCGCCACGATCTTGTAGTGCACCAATGGCCTCACATTCCATACGGACAATTTCTGCTTGCTCGATGCCACATTCTCTCAGTGCGATGCTCCACTCGGCCCAATGAGGATTCTGTTTCCATAAATATCTGTCGGTACCATAGATCACCCATATATCGTTTCTCCGCCTGGCAAGTTGTGATGGTGTGTAACCCGAGCGTGTTTTCGAATGTATGTTCCCACCAGCCTTGATGACGTCTCGAAGAGCATGCGACAGGCACTTCCCCTGTCTTCTGCTTTTCAGAAGTGTGTGGATTGCAGTGTCTCCATTACAGTTTCTACGATTAAGATCTGCGCCCTTCTCAAGCAACAATCTCACAGTATTGAATGTTTCCGTACCGTGGCCCCTGCAGGCCTCACTCAACATTTCATCTCGGTATTTCTCGAAATCGATAAAACCAATATCATTGCGCAAAGTTTGTTGGAAGAAGACCTAATAAAGTAAGTCAATGCTTGCGCACCCTCCTCGACTGGACGTACGGGGGACGTCTCCCCGGAACGTGTTGCCATCTCAACAACTATACTCCCGCCATCCCAACTTTCATCACAGTCGTCGTAACGCGGGACTTTTTTTCTGACCGTGGCATCTGCGCCGTGTTCAAGGAGTATTTTCAGGCACTTTTGACTTCGGTCTAGCCTTTCGACGGGCACCTCAGACCAGTTGCAATATTTCTGTGACATTGTTGGCCTTTGATTTATGAGTGCATACATTATTGATTCCTCCGAGGACCAGTGGAGAACTCACAAAAAATATTCCGAATACACGTCATCCAACCCAACCTCCACAGGGTTTGGATCTGACCCGTTCTCGACAAGAAACTGGCATATTTCTGGTCGGGAATTGTAATATGCGTACTAAATAGGGTTAAATTCAGCAATGAAACGATGTGAAGTAGATCATCTCACAGTCAGAAACGACCTTCCTTCGGGGTCACAATCACTCAGCAATGCTTGACCAGTTCGTAGCATCAGCTCAAACTCATTGAGATCTCCAGCCTTAATGATCTCGAATACTGGAGATTCAAAGGGGATGATGTTTGCAAAAGTCAGAGTTGGATGAATCGAAGAATAGCCCTGAAGTGTCACCTGCTGTGACACGGATAGTGTGATCTTATTTTTGAAGGATGCACTTTTCGGTAAGATCGTAGCTCGTGCACTGAAGGACTTACGTAGATCAGAAGCCCTGATTGTCTCTTCGTGGTGGTGAGTGGTCGCTATAACCGACAGGATAGCTGCGTCGCTCTCGAGCTCGTATGCAATAGTGTTGTGGAAGGCCTTCAGAGATCTCCCATTACCTATACACACTGTCAGTGCTGCATTCAGGCAAAGAAGGATGACCTTGCTCCCCACCATTGACTTGGATGGCATCAGTCGTTGTCATCAACCCTGTGAGTTTCCGCCAGATCCCCACCCTTTTCTTCTTGCGGTGTACTTCACCCTCAAGATCATCCTTGCTTTCAGCTTTTCTTTTTCGGCCATGCTGCTCGGGATTTGCATCTCTCCTTGGTGCGTTGAACAGATTCAAAAGCCCCTGCAGTTCTTCAATGATCTCTTCCGCTTGTTCAGACTCTACACAACCCTCTCTGTCCTTAGCTAAGGAACACAAGTTCTCAACATGCCGCTTTATTGCATTGTCTGCGATCTTGTCTCGCTCTGCGCTACTGTCTTCTTGAGGAGGATCATTTCTGATTTCGTCGTTTGGAACAGTGATTTGTATCGTGGATACCTGATTTGATAGCGATTGACCCAGTGCCTTGAGTAGCTCTTGTATCTGACGGGATTGGGCAACAGACATGTCCTGACATGCCTGAACCTGGTCCACTAAATTCTGGTTGAGACTTGACAAAGCGTTCATCTGCTCTTGTTGTGCAATTTGCATATCCGCTCTCATGGAGAACAGCATGTCAGTTGCGGGATGCGCTGCTGTTGTTGAGCTTGGAGACATGGATAAAATTTGGCCAGTACTCTCTTGAATGCTTGAATTTCCTTGTATGTTTGCACCATTGCTATCGCCCTGTCGATTGGGAGCCTGGACACATTTTGATAAGCTCCGTGTGATAGTCTCAATCGAGGTCTCGAAACTGTTGATCTTGATACTGGATAATCGTTAGCTTTGGACTCAATCTCAGTCCACGTCGGAAATGCTTGCAAACTCTGAAGTCCAACCCATTGACCCAGTTGGTCGTATACCTGCGCGACTTCCTGGCGCATTTTAGCAAGACCCTTCTCATTCAGGACCATCTTTATAAACTTTCAAGCCTTGATGGTCCTACCGTCTCCACGCTTTGTGCAGAGATTGATCAGGTTCTTCTTTAGGCTTTCAATGCTTCGTTCACAGCGACCCGATATTGCATGGAGCTCAAGGAGGTACTCGTCGGATATCCTCTGCGCGTCGCGCGTCGCTTGTAAGGTGCCTCTCAATGCTGTCTCGAGGGCATGGACACCCTCGAGCAACTGCTGTATTTCAGTCGGGCCATCCTTTATTGCTGCAAGGATATTATTGATCTGTGCTGCTGACTGCAACGCGACTGTCACAAGAGCCGTGATACTCGCGACAGTGGCTACAGCTTCCATAACGAATTCGAACATCTCAACCTGGTGAACGGAGCCTCGTAGGCGATGATCAGTGAGAAATGTGCTTCACGACGAGGTCTTATTCTTCACCATATGAGAGCAAAGTTTGCCCTGAGGAGTGATTGAGATACCCAGAACGATGAATTATTAGAAAGACAAGATGAAAGGCCCTTCCCATTGTGTTGAGGGTAGGCCGGCACGAGGTTGGCGTAGATCAAAATGCAGCATAGCCTAACGGGGTGCCAGCTCATTGCCTCAAAAATGATACGGGCTGGCATGGAGCGCATGTCGGTTTTCAGCCTATCTGCTTTCGGCGTTTTAAAGTCTCGAGGACCTGATGTTTAGCACCAATAATCAGAACACAGATGTGCAGCAAAGAGGGCACAGCCTGCAGCACCAAGTAAGGCTTCTTCAAGCAGTCGCTGGTTCAGGGACTAAGCTACCAACTTTGGTGTAGCTAACATCAACCATGGTTCTCGTGGGGCGCAATCATGCAGGGAATACGAAGTGCCTTGGGTCTCTTAGGCCACTGTTCTAGTTAGACAAGGCAAAACGAAATCCTGGTCAGAATCCCAAAGTTGCGAACAGTACAGCACACTCTTACAGGTACACCTCTAAAACCGAGGGTCAATTCACTTGGGTACGAGTATGCAGCTGCGGTGGTTTGAGAACTGACTGAATAGTTGATCGCAAACCCATACCAAAGTACAAGAGCGTCCATCTAGATTACAGGGGCGGATGCTCATGTTTTAGCAGTAAGGTGAGAATGATTCGTGACGCGTGAGTTGTCAAAGGAAGAACGCCTCGCGCAAATTCTTGGGGGCGGGAGAGCTTGGATTCTATCATTATCATTATTGGCGCCTCTCCAACTAAGGAAGAGTAATTACTGAGTACTCGGTACTTTGTACCTGAGAACTTGAACCAGACAGTGTCATCCGCTCCCGAGACGCGGAAGCCCCTCGGCCCTCACCGCCCTCTAGCCCCTGGAAAGCTTGAACCTAGGGATGTCGAAGTCCTCTGTTGGGGTTCTACCAATTTTGGACACTATTCGGCTTGCAGTTCCAGGGGAATACTGTAAGCCCTCAGGCGCATTTTGCACCCAGCCCTCTAACAGCTAGTGAAGCCGCACCACAATATCTCGTGCTCGTATGCTGGAAACAACTCCACACGAGACTGTTGAGCTCGCAGATCTTTTCCTGTCTGCATCTCATCCCCTTCACCTACCATAGTTATGGCTAGGGGTAGCATGTCTTCACCGTGTGCCTAGTTGTGTGGAAGCTTAACAGCGAGAGCTATCATCTGTTCGAATTTGCTAGACTGTGTCAATGAAATTCAGCCTTAACGATAGTGCTAAGACTATGGAATTCCGTGGTGATTTCGAGGATCCGGGTATGTTATCCCAACAACAGACACCTGTTTCCCAACTATGCCCCCGGTGCTCCTCTCTGGATATCGCCTCGCTGCTTGTAGCCCGCGAGGCTGCAGCCTTTGACGAGGAAATCAAGGTTTGGGAATGGGAGGACTACGACCACCCAGACTGGCTTCAGAGCGGCTGCTCCCTGTGTGACCTCGTGAGTGTCATCAAATCTCCATACGATACTTCCCATGCAACGGCATGGTTCTACGCCCATCCAGACTATATGTATGTCGTGCAGGATGATCCTTTGATCGCTCCGATTCCTCTAGAACTGAGGAAGGTGGTAAGGAGGGTCACGACGAATGACTCGTCCTCAGTGTGGAGAGACCAGAGCGGCAAAACAAATCGGACTTGGACATTGCTCCTTGCCTCTCGCAGTTCTGTGTGCAATCAAGGAAATATTGTCATGAGGAAAATCAGTTCCTCCACCATCGATTTCAATATCGTCAAAGCATGGATCTCGCAAGCTATATCCCATAGTCAATCTCGCGCGCATCACCAACCAGGCTTGCCCGAACGACTGATTGATTGCCACTCCAACAAGGTCGTTGCTGCTGGCTCCCAGCCATATGTCACACTGAGTTATGTCTGGGGTGATACCATGATTGAATTCGATAGTGTTGATTTGGGAGAGGTGCTTCCAGAATCAATACCCGTTACCGTCACGGATGCCATTAATGTTACAACGAAACTTGGGTATCGGTATCTGTGGGTCGACAAGTACTGCATTGACCAGAAGGACGGCATAGGGAGGCTAAGGCAGATCAATAACATGGACATCATTTTCAAGAACTCCGAAGTCACCATTGTTGCCGTTGCTGGCATGGATGCGAATTTTGGTCTGCCTGGAGTCAGCACGAGGCCCAGAAAGCCACAGAGGCGTGTTGCATTGAATGGGGCAGATATGACGATTGTGTCGACGACACCTGTCCTCCAGACCTCAATCCGTGCGTCCAAGTGGAATAGTCGTGCTTGGACTTATCAAGAAGCTCATCTATCTTCGAAGCTTCTGGTATTTACAGAAACCGAGCTTTACTTCGAGTCACGATGCGGTACCAACCGAGAGACGGTCGAAGCGCCATTTCCTTGTTTGGACAATAATCTCTTCGTCTACCAGAAACCTTCATTTGATCCTTGGAACGCAAACAACCCCGAGTTCGTCAACAAGGCGATCGCAGAGTATTCTGTGAGAGACCTCTCAAGAGAGGAAGACGCATTGATTGCAGCTCTGGGCTTTCTCAAGGCTTTTCAGGGGGGTCCAAACCCGGTATATCACCATTGGGGAGTGCCAATATTCCCAGATCAGGCCATCAGACTTGGTCACGGGCGGAAATCATTCCCTTATCTTGGACCAAAGGCGCCCGTGCCATTCTCTCACGAAGGTTTCCTGTTGGGGCTATGTTGGCGAGCAGCTGGTCACCAGTTTGATGGATACTCAGGCAAGGAAATCCGCCGCCGTCCGGGACTGCCGAGTTGGTCATGGGCCGGTTGGTCTTGCACTCTGGATGAGACGCCACAAACGGTCTACGAAGTCGAGCACTTCGTCACACACCAAGACGTCAGCATTTCGCTCGAACTCAGTGATGAGAAAACTGTTGTGCCGCTGAAGGAGTTGTATGAATTCCATCACTCACCGGCATATCAGCACACGTTCTCGCATTTCATCCACTTAAACATCCACACAATACCTCTTGGCTTCAGATCCTTGCCAAGGGAGGAAATGACACCAGCAGACCGTGACATATGTCCCGAACCCTATGCGCTGGCATTTGAGGATGTCGTTTTTCCATTCTGTTACGGTGGATGGGGCACACGCACTAACAGTTTCATCTCTCTTTTGCCTGTCGAGGAATTGTCGAGGCGCGTTGTGGGACGACAGGAAACATCACTGCTGGGTTTGGTTTTGGGCCGCTTCGAAGACAAACGAGACTGGCCTTATGGCATGCAGTACATTCTTGTAGCACTAGAGCGCGACGGCCATTACGAGCGTATCGGATATATTCGGCAAGGAGATCGGAATATCGATCTCAACTTCCGTTCATTGTTGGAGGAGAAAATGAGACGACAGAGTATTAGACTTGGTTAGATATCACGAATTCCAAGATCGATAACGGGCCTGCTCGTATTTTGGTGCCCGCTGGGTTCCAATCGTGTGCTGGTCAAGGTGCCAATTTTCGACCCATGGTTGAGCATCCGATTACGCGTCATAACTTGAACCACTTCGGATCCGTTACGTCAAATGCTTGATTCTTCATCGACCCACCTGTCGGGTCCATCTCAAATTCACGATGGGTGCCACTGAATACCTCCATCGTCTACCGTGATGGCCCGATATCACTCAAGATAGGACAAGGAAGTCATCGAGCATTTAAAGACGTTGCAGAAGCGTACCCCAAAAGAAGCGCATCCAATTAGCGTTCCCTCTGACATCGGCAACCCCATTCCCGGTCGGTTCCGCGGGATGGGCGACCAAGAACCATTTTCAGCCTTGCCACCACAAGGACCACCACCGCTCCTCTCTGGAAGCCAACTACTAGATCTCGCCCGGCAAGGTTGGCTGGAGATTGCGCTCCCAGATTCCCTGGCAGCTGCCATTCCATGTTTGTTCAGGGACTCGGATTCTTTTTTCGCTAATCCTACGAGCGTTAAAAAGAAATCGTTTCCCCAGAAACAAAAGACAGAGTTTGGGTACTACGAAGTGGAAAACGAAAAGGAGTACGTCACTTTCCGCTGTCGTACGGCTACGAGTAGTGGTCCTGAAGCCGACGTCCAAGTCCACGAGTCGATTGCAAGGGCATCAGCCGAAAATCTGAAGTCCGCCACAGCTAACATTTGGAGCGAAGGCGGCAGGATGTTACACCGAATCCTCTGCGATATTGCGCGAGCTAGCGAACTCGACATCGGTGTCTGGGATTCGATATTGGAGGACACGCTTGAGATGCCGTCATCTGAGCAGGAAATGTCATACACGTTGATGCGAGTCTTTCACTATCTCCCGGCGATGGGGAAAGCGGACATGCACAGTGATCTAGGTCTGCTGACGTTGTGCATCGGAGACCGACGTGGATTGCAAGTCTGTGATGTCGTGAATTCTTCAGAGAATGACTTGAAATGGATTGATGCATCGGAGGGCACGAAGACGGCGATTGTGCTTGTAGGCCAGACGCTGAAGATGCTGTCGGATGGGGCATTGAATGCAGGAGTGCATCGAGTTGCTGGGAATCCCGAAGGTAGGAGGAGTATTGTTTATGCTCTAAGGCACTCTTCGAAGAACGTTATTGATTTGGGTCGATTTGGAAGAGAGGGGCGCATTCGTCCTGATGAGCTTTACAAGGTCATGGGAGTGGGGAGGGTCAATATCAATGCTGTGAGAGACACGAGGGACAAGCAGCGAGAGGCTCTGGGGTACAAGGGTCAAGGATAATATTCAGCGAGATTTGGCGTCCATATGATACCCTTGTACGTAGGTAATTGAGCCCTACTTAACCCATTTCATCAGCCACGTATTGATAAGCGCCTGTATCTCATGATTGTTTTTCTCAGACCCCAGCATATGTCCGTTACCACGAATACCATGATCTTCTAGTCGGATATGCTCAACTTGAACTCCAGCAGTGCGGAGAAATTCGACTGTGAGGTGATCGTACGGTGCATGGTACGAGGCTTCTCCAGTCAACAAAATAACAGGCATCGAGGCCAGGTTCGGTAACGTGCGTAATGGTGACATCTTGTACATCCCATGCACTCTTCCCTCGACCTGTTTCTCCGCTTGAATCTCTGTCATTGGCAATGATGTCGCGTCTGGCGGGAGAGGCGGATCGTATGTTAACGGACTATATGTGATGCCAAATGGGCGAACAATTTTCCCGATGGGATGTGTCTTAACATAGTAGGCAGGATAACCAGGAAAAATGAATGGTGGACCATTCGGCTCCAAGCCAACAATCCCTCTTACTAGGTCTGGACATTCGTCAGCAGTATGCCATCCCAACAAGCCTCCTTGAGAATGCGCTACCACGAACGCTGGTCCTGTGCGCGACAATAAGGCCTTGACATTAGCTCGGAAGAGTCGTTCCACCTTCCCATAATCGCCGATATGTCCAACCTGGCTGGCATAGAAAGCATCAAACGTGGGGTCGCCCATCTTGCCAGACCCAGGCCACTGCATATGAAACTTCGCTTGCGGCCATGCATCCGTCTCGGGAGCTGTGAAGGTTCCTTGAAGCTCCTCAACTGTGAATTGACTTAACTCTCCAATGTCGTCGGAGTGATACCGAGAGCGCCCGATGCCCGGCTGGTCAATGACAAAACATTCCCACCCGGCTTGAGCTTGAAGTATAGCAATGCCAGGCCGATTGTCGGGTGTCGATTCCCAGTGTGTGCCGGTCTGGGCGGCACCATGAATGTAGATCACAGCCGGTTGCTGAGGCACTTTCTTCCCATATCGACGCACACACATCTGGCCTGTCATGCGCGTGCCGCGTGAGTCTTTAACATATTTTCCTCCCACGTAGAAGACGTCCGCTGCATCGCTTGTTGCATTCTCTTGAGCCATCTCACGTGAGATCGTGCTTACCTTTCCTCAGCACTTGTTCGAATTCAATTTGTAGCGAAAGGAGCATATACAGTCGATAACCAATATTCTCACAACAATGTCTCGATATTTACATACTCGAATGGTACGAGGCTACGTCGGGATAGACTCTCCTGACTCCTGGCGTGGTTCGTATGATGTGGAGGGTCGATTGGTGGTGGAGAAGATAAGCAATTACCCCGGAAATGCAAAGACGCCAAAGGAGTGTTAATTAAAGCAGCATCCATTTCATCTTGAAATGGCATAATTGCGAGTGGTCTAGCCACGCTAGTCCCGGAGGCCCAAGCTCATTCCCATCCTTTCCAATTGTGAACCTGAACCTCAAGCTGTCCATGGGATGAGGATGCATCTTCAATATGGCATACAAATTGCCAGGCTGAATCCAAATCGCGTTGTGTGATATTTATTTGCATCTCTGGCTGTCATCGTCTCTCTTCGCATTGCTTAACGCTTGCGGCAGTTGATGAGCCGTCGATTTGGACAGAGATTGGGGCAACAATGACCAAGTGAGAGCTGCTTGTTCACTCAAATCGATGGCGAGGGGACAGAAGAGTAATTTTCAACCTCATCTCAACCAAAACACTTGCCTCAGTGTTGTTCGATAATGCCCCTGGGTCACTCTTTCCACCATGGAAGGTCATAAGTGCTTGCTTTGCCACAAGATATTTGGCCGTCAAGAGCATCTGAGACGCCATCAACAATCCCACAAAGAGCCTCAATTCCATTGCGACCAATGCCACAAATCATTCCATCGAAAGGATGGCCTCAGCAAGCATGAGTTAACTCATCTCACTAATGAGATCTCTCTTCTTCGGCGTGGTGCAAGGGCCTGCTCGGCTTGTGCTTTGGTGAAGTCTCGCTGTACCGGAACTTTACCTTGCGCTCGATGCAGCTCAAGAAGCCTGCAGTGCGAATATCCAACGGGTAGAAATCGATCGGCCACAGATGATCAGATTAGTCCTCAAGATCAGGGCGGCTACGCCTCTTGTGACTCTCCCGGGCCTGTGCCGCTACAGCCTCGAATGGGGCAGGAGCAAGACGCCTACGATTTTTCAGCATATCAGCCAGAAGCAGGGTCCGGTCAGGTTGTGCCTGGAATCAATCCCTCTCCATATCTAGAAAGCGTCTTGCAACCGGACCACGCGGCGGGATTACTTCAGCAACCATTTCAGTACGGCCAAGATAATTCATATCCTCCTGCCATTGAAGACAATGCGACAATGACTGCTCCAGACTGGACAACAAACATGATGACAACCATCAATTGGCTTCAGGCGGACACTATCAATTTCAATGACGACGATCTTAGCAACCTCTTTCCTCTCTTCCCAGGCGACTTCTCATTTTCCCCTAGCATTGGACTCGTGAGTCCTGCATATCAAGGTGATATTGAGACTCCTAGCAATACTTCACTTACGAACATGCTTGGTCAGCATCCTCAGCAATTATCTCAGGATGTTAATGGGGATCAGCAAGCCATCTCTTTTCTTGACTCATCTACTTCTGCTGGAAAATCAACCGTAGCCAGTGGTGAGTACTATGTCGATGGTAACGCTGGTAGGCTTCCTAGATCCAAGCGTCGAAAAGTCGTTTCGAAACCTAGACGAATCGATCATATTGAAGAGCCCGATTTCTCGTTGGAGTATCGGCTACCAATTGTACCATGTACAGACTCTAGAATGATCATCTCAAATGAAGCATATGGAGAGATGTGCACTCTGCACCATCGATTGTGCCTCGATACAACTGCGTTCAAAGCATTCTCATCTCCTGATTTCCCACCTAAACCCACATTGGAAGGGCTGCTTTCTCATTACTTTACAAACTTCGATCAGACAATGCCATTTACACATTTCTCAACATTCCGAGCTGAGACAAGCAATGAGGTTCTACTCCTGGCTATGATGGCTCTCGGCAGCTGTTTCCTTGATGAAGAAGAGGCAGAGGTATTTACGTTGTCAATGCACGAGTTGCTCCGAAGATACCTGCTTCTCCGGACAGAACAAAAATTTAATCGCTCAGAAACCCCACAGATCCTTGCACAGATTCACTTGTTGCACGCAATTGGTGCTGGATACACTCTATCTGGTCCGTTACGTGCCTCTGCGTCACAAGCACTTTATGCCGCAACCAAGTACTGTCATGGCAGCTGGACGCGGCAACGATTCGAAGATTCTCCCAATACTCCCGATAACATCGCTGCAACCAAGTGGACAGTATGGATCAAGAATGAAGAGTTAACACGGATTGGATTTTGCATTTGGCTGTTGGATTGTATGTGGGCTTTTCAGTTTCACCAACCTCCACATCTGACTCTTGACGATGTCACCCCACGGTGTTTACCTTGCTCGGAGCGCCTATGGTCTGCCAGAGACGTGCATGAATGGACTCGCCTCGTCGCTGGTGGAAGCACCCAGACCGCTACGATGCGTGAAGCGCTACAAAACCTCTATGTCGACAAGCGTCTCCTCCCAAACCTTGGGGAATTCAGCCGAATACTTCTGATCCATGGCCTTTTCCATCGAACATGGGAGGTAAGAAAAACAATCACCCAGAGTCTTTCAAGTCTTGAGCCGTCTACAGAAAAACAAGCGAGCAGTGAAATGCAGCCCAAAACTCCCGTCTGGCCACCTTCAGTGCCCTTGTTTAACAGGTGGAGGAACTCTGCTTGTGACTGTCTGGACATCTTACATTGGAGTGCCAACTCAACAATTGGGCTGGCAACGGGTATGGAGCATCCCACTGTACTTCATCTGCACTTCGCACGTATTGTCCTCCTCGCTCCTATGGACGACATAATGCTATACGCTCATTATCTCATTCGCTCGAGCAAAGATTCAGTCCGTCTTTTGCATCCCGTTTCGTTTGCTGCAGCCGAGGAACATCGGCGATTGATACAAAGATGGGCATTACAAGATCAGTATAAGGCTCGTTTAGCAGCGATACATGCTGGGACTGTGTTCTGGCATGTGCGGTTATATGCCATCAATGGTTTTTACGAGCCTCCAGCCGTCGCATTTGCTGCCCTGGTATTGTGGGCTCTCAGTGCGTTCTCGGACAAAAGAGTCCGGGCGAGAGGAAGATTGGGCCTTGGTGAGGGTGTCTCTTCGTCCGAGGCTTCTCCTCCGCCCGATCTATGTGACATAATTCTGATCGACCGTCCCACCGATGACGAGCTTGTCCAGCAATTTGTGAGACAGGGTGATAATATGCACGCAAACATGACAGGTGTTGGAGACCTGTTTGGGCCTAAAGGATCACGGAAGGTGCTCGCAGAGGGGCAGAAGCTGCTCGTTACCCTTAGAAGTTGGCGAGGGATTACTGAACATTGGTTGGGAGTTCTCAATCGACTCGAAAAGGTGACAGCGATGTTAGGCGTTAATACCGACGCAGCAGAGATACCCCAAACGGCTTAATTGTTATTCTTAGCACATGGTTTCTTACTTTCCGTCGTGCAGGGCAGTATCATGAGAATGAAAAAACCGGCAACATAGTGGTTTGGACAGGGTTGTCGGGTTTCATATGATGCTCTGGTGTACTGAATTCAGCTAATGTAAACTATTCTTTGTGGGAGAGAACACTAGTCTAGTTTCTCAACGGAAATACCTCGAGGCGAATCATGAACTACCAGAACAGGAAGAATGGATTTCATCTCCTCCGCCACCTGCGCATGTACTCATTTCGATCTATGCCACCTCTTCAAGCCCACTCTCGCCTGCCCAGATCCGCCACGGTTAGCTCGGAAATAATACGGCACAAACTTCAACTCGTCAAGAACACCACTCTGTGAGCCTTCCTCACTCTGCAAATCACCGACGTCAAGGCCCGGCTGCGCATTTATTCTATCCACGTCAAGGATTCGAGCGCCGTTAGTGATGGTAAGCGCCGTGTAAGAGTCTCCCGTGGTCTCGTCCGTCACAAACTTCTCGTGCACAGATGCGCTGGCAGGGTCGAGCTGCACGCTCTTGAAGTGGTCTTTGACCCAAGTGTTGTCTATGTCTTCAACGCAGTATACGATTGGGCCGCGCGCCACAGCGACTGTGTCTTGGTTCGTATACGGGTGTGGAGCGATGAAACGGGGCGAGATGTCAATGTCGAGTGTGAAGCGTGGATGAGCGGACACCCAGTCGGCAGGTAGGATGAGGTAGCCTTTCTCGAGGGTTGTCGTTGGTGGCGAGGGCGTTACCTGTTTGTGAATGAGTTTCTGGAAATTTTGCTTTATGCTTGTGGGGAATTGATGGATGGATGACTTACTTTCCAGTTCTTGCTCCATGCTGGGATCCTGAGGCCAACGCTGAGCTGCGACGATTCCCCACGAAGCTCGAATTCGATTTGCCCGTCCCATGGCCAGTTGCTCTTCTGACTTAAGATGGTTTCCTGGCAACCGGACTTTATTTTTGTCTCACTTGGGATATACAGGTGGACATTCAGTTGCTTCTGCTCCTCAAAATGGGAATAAATGTACCCACCAATTTGTCCGAGTAGTCTCAGAACGTTAGGTGGGCAGCAGGCACAGGTGAACCACTCCTCACGTTTCGACAGGTCCTTGTCGCTGGAAGCAAGCTGATTGACATATGTAAACTTTGTTCCTTCGCTGGACATGGACGTGAGCATGGCGTTGTAGAGACACAACTCCATGACGTCGCTGAATCGTCGGTCAAGATCGTACTGCAAGATCCTTTCGGCGAGCATCATGACACCAATCGCAGCGCACGTCTCGGAGTAACAGCCACCCTCATCCGTCCCCTGAGGGAGGAAGTAATCCGGACCAAAGCCTTCCCACTGTTTGATCGCGCCGATTCCTCCGGTGATGTACATTTTCTTTTGGACCATATTGTCCCACAATCTGTAGATGGCGTCTTTCAGGGGCTTGTTGGCGTTGTCTTCTAGCCGTACCAGGTCCGATGCTGCTGTGAGGAGATACATAGCGCGAACAGAGTGGCCCTCGATGGTCTCTTGTTCCATGATGGGTTTGTGGGCTTGATAGTACCACATGGCATCGGTCTGGCCCCAGAAAGACGGCTTCATCCAGCCCTCCTCGCCTCGTCTCTTTGCTTCGAGGTGATAATAATGCTCGCCCTTGGCGTTGAGCTTTCCTCTTTCCGTAAGAAAGTATTTTGCTAAGCTAAGATGCTTGGGATTTTTCGTCCGGTGGTATAGTCGAAGAAGGGCGAGCTCAATTTCAGGATGACCAGGGTAGCCGGGTAGTTGTCCTTCATTGGGCCCGAAGGTGTCATACAAAAGATCGACATACCTGACGAGGGGCTTGAGTAAATCGTCGTTCTGGTAGAGTTGATTATGGGCCAGAGCACCTTCGATCAGATGACCTGCGTTGTAAAGTTCATGGAAGTCGCGTATGTTGGTGAATCGTTTTCCTGGCTCGACGACGGTGAAATGGATGTTCAGATATCCATCAGGTTGTTGAGCGGACGCTATCATCTGAGTGAGCTCGTCAACTGCAGATTGAATGTCTCTATGCGGATGATCATGTAGGAAGTAACACGCTCCTTCTATCCACTTTCCAATATCAGAATCCCTAGAAAGTGCTTTGGTGTTAACTATTGTTCTTGATCCCACCCGCGAGGTGTATAAACATAAGGAGGTCTTACCAGAAGAGATGGTTTGGAATTGGCCAATGATCAGGAGGATCCCCATATGAAGGGATCCACTGTAATTTGAATGCATCATATCTGCCTGTCTTCTGCAGAACATCTAGCTGATATGATAGGGCTTTCGAAGCCACAGCTTCACGCCTTCGTGCAACGAGGGATCCCTCTGTGAGTGTCGTCCGACCGAAGATCTCCTGAGGGTAGGCCATTGGTCAAACTACAACCAGTAGAATGATATTGTCTAAATGAGTCTAGACAGAAGCGCAATGTCCTCTAAATGCTCAAAAATGTAATCTTGCAGGACTAAGTACAGCAGAAGCCCTAGCAAGCACAAGTGCGCCGAATATGCTCGTCTCCTCGAGACCCTTTTCCGAGACTTGTCGACAAAATTTCTAGATTGGAAAATGTCTGGCGAGGTGCAGGGCCTAATCAGAGCGTGCCGAGTCAATTCGTCATTCCACAATTGAACACATTGATTAATGAACCCAAGACCACGGGGAAACAGGGGGTGGGGGAAGGATTTTGTGGAGGGGGAAAGGCTTTGGGCGTCTTCGATTATTGGTTTACCACCGGACTGATACTGGTTTGCATACCACCCCCACCGGAGGATGGGAAGATGTGAAAATGCAATATGCGGCTCCAGTACCGGGGGGCCACAAAGCACCCTCTGTACATACATTGTGAGCTGTGGCAAAGGGTTGCTAGGTGGTGTGTCTGAACGCCGACTCGGTGGGGCCTCACATGATGGCCGAGGCTCTACACCTGAACATAACTCCGACGGGTGATTTGTCTTCATACCTCAGGCTAATTAACGTGTCAGTGGCCAATGGCTAGTGAACCGGTTACTTAACAGACACTCGTACTGCATAGTGGATGATCAAGGCGGAATTTGCCCTGCTTACTCCGGTGGGAGAAAAGGCTTGTGAGCTACTACTCCGAAGGGGGTGCTAGGGTTGAGCTGTTCTCCACACCTAACACCCCATGCTTGTCAAACCCTGGAAGCTGGGGAAACGGATTTCGAGGGTGCATGCAGCATGGTACGAGTACATAATGATCGTCTGCCCATGGCTGTGGAAAAGGTCTATGACTTTAGCTCCCCAGTTCTCTCCTCGAAACTCCCATCTGCTTGTCTTGCCTCCGAGGCGTCAATCTCGCTAAAATGGAGACCGCGAAGGTTGTATCAACGACATGGGAGCACCACAATCTGGATATTACTCATGAAGAAACTCTCGAACTAATTCGCCACGCGCAAGAGAGTGATGCTGCTGATAGGCTATTGACCATTCGCCAGGCGGTGAAAAAATACAAGAAAGCTTTGTTCTGGGCCATGTTTCTATCTACTAGTCTAGTCATGGAAGGCTACGATCTGGTGATTGTAAGTTGTCTCTCACTCGAATAAGAATTAATAGTCCTAATGTGGTCCAGATCAACTCGTTCTACGGTCAAACCCAATTTCAGAACAGATTTGGTGTCTTAGACCCAGCATCAGGGGAGAAGAAGATTCCTCCAAGTTGGCAGTCAGGACTTTCCAACTCGGCACTTGTTGGTCAGTTGGCAGGCCTCCTCATCAACGCCTACACCCAAGATAGGTTTGGTTGTCGTCCCACAATGATAGTATTTATGGCCTGGATGGCTGCGGTACTTTTCATTCCAGTATTTGCACCGTCGCTATCGGTGTTGGCTTTTGGTGAATCGATGTGCGGAATTCCTTGGGGTGTCTTCCAAGTATGTATGCCTGGGCAGCTAGATCGAGAAATGGTGATATCTGACTATCTGACAGACCCTCTCCACGACTTACGCTTGTGAGGTTGTGCCGACCATTCTTAGGCCGTACGTGACTGCATACGTTTGTATGTGTTGGGGTGCAGGCATCCTACTGTCTTCCGGTGTTGTGCGAGCAGTGGCTGGCATTGATGGCAATCTAGGCTGGAGGCTTCCATTCGCACTTCAATTTGTGTGGCCTCTTCCTTTGGCGATTGGAGCCTATTTCGCCCCAGAGTCACCATGGAACTCTGTTCGTCGCGGTAACTTTGAGGAGGCTCGAGCGAGTTTGATGCGCCTAAGGCAAGATACACCAGAGAAGGAAAGAGAAGTCGAATCCAGCCTGGCTTATATCAAGTATACCACCGAACTTGAGAAGGCTGAGACAGCAAATGCCAGCTTTCTCGAGTGTTTCAAAGGGACAAACCTGCGCCGCACTGAGATAGTGAGTCGATTCACTTCTGATATCCTGCTGTCCCACCTGACTAACTGTCAATCACTAGAATTGTGCTGTATGGGCAGCCCAGATCCTTTGTGGCAATGCTATCCTTGGATATTCGGTCGTGTTCCTCGAGGCTGCTGGATTTTCTGAATTGCAAGCATTTGACGTCAACATCTCACTTTCTGCCTGCTATATCATTGGTGGCATTATTTGCTGGTTCATGTTCCCGCATTACGGAAGATACACTATCTATATTGGAGGCTGTATAGCCATGTTTGTCTGCCTGGTTGTAATCGGGGGTCTCGGGTTTTCTGATTCGAAAAATGTCCACCTAGCAGTTGGAATCATGCTGGTCATATCGACCTTGATCAATATGATCACAACTGGACCTGGATGTTACCCTATTGTTGCAGAGACCCCATCAGGAAGGCTAAGATATAAGACCATCGTGATTGGGAGATTCACTTACAACCTTACTGGAATCTTCTCGAACTCGGTCACGCCTCGAATGATCTCGTCAACAGGTTAGTCTGCCATGAAAATCCGTTATCCGGAGAGGTCAACAGTGAACTAATGATATTGCAGGTTGGAACTGGGGCGCAAAGACAGGTTTTTTCTACGCTGGAACCAATCTCCTCTGCATAATTTGGTGCTACTTCCGTCTGCCCGAGACTAAGGACCGCACTTTTGGAGAGATCGACTTGATGTTCGAGAACAAAGTTCCAGCAAGAATGTTCAAGTATACAAAGGTTGACCGTAAGTCCCTACTCATTTTCTTCTTCTTGCAATATTTGGCTAATGACAATCGTAGAATTCGCTGTGGGCCGAGTACATGATGACAAGGTGGATTCAGATGAGAAATTTGCGAGTGCTGAACATCGATCTATTGGTACAGGAGTCTCGCTGGCAACCTGAAGCGACCCTGGTTGCTACAGATATAACGGAAAGCCGTATTTATGATCTGGTTTGTGAATGATGTCTACCTACTTGATAAAATTTGAGTTAAGAATGCTCGTGCATCTTTGAACGTGATGCTACCTTTCAGTCTCACCCACTTGAAACATCTGACTTTCCCATCCTCCAATCAAAATTACATAGGTATTTGTGAAGTTATTAACCTTCAGGTTGATGCTGATGCGTTCTGGGACAGTCTACATTGTCGCCGATCTGCTTGCAATGCGTCCCAGCCCAAAGCTTACTAAGGGTTTAGCTGCAGGCGGCTCAAAGGTTATGAGTCATCTTGATCTAACTAAGATTGCGTGGCCTTGGATAAATTGTATGTCTCCGAAGTCATGCAAAACCAAAGCCTTTTGAGCCATTGTTTTCATCCACCTCAGAGGGTGTAATCTGACGACAACTACCACAGAAGCTGGTAGGGTCCCTTGCTGTCCTAATTCTTCGCAGCCATGACCGAAAGCTCTTTGTCAAGTGCTATCGCAAAGAGTGCACTCGAATTTTGGGATGCAAATGCTCCAGTTTGGGACGATGTAATGCGAGAGGATGGGAATGATTACTGGACCGTCCTTGAGATGCCAGCGCTTCAACGGATGGCTGAAGTGAAACCAGGTGACTCTGCACTTGACCTTGCAACTGGGAATGGACTTGTGGCCAGGTGGTTGGTAGAAAATGGCGCTTCCACGGTTTCTGCCACTGATGGTAGTTCTGCCATGCTTCAATATGCTATAAAGCGGACCTCAGATTGGGCTACAGCTCGTGGACCTCAGCACGAAGACAGCATCACATTCAAAACTCTGAACGTGGTGGACCGCGATCAGGTCAATTTATTCGTGCAAGAAGTGTCGGAATACAAGGTAGGCTTTCTGGCTACGACCGGAGGAGATTGAAGTGATGACAAAAGTGACTATTCCTAGCCCGCAGGCTTTGATGTGATTACCATGAACATGGCGATTATGGATATCCCAGATCTTGTGCCACTGGCTCACCTTATCTCTGTCGTATTAAAGGCTCACAGCGGACGGTGAGCCAGCCCGAAATTTTGAGCAGAGGATGCAATGGCTAACAAATATAAAAAAGCTTTATTGCGACAATCCTACATCCATTATTCTTCACCTCAGGCGCATCAAGGCATATTGAAGCATCTGAGGACTCGGAAGGAAATCGGGTGATTGACCGGTCCATCGTCGTGAGGCAGTATCTCGATGTACCGCCGAGGAAGATTGCTCCCATCACAAGCGATCAGCCAGCTAGACAGGTAAGCTTTCCAAAACACATCTAACTATGATAATACTTTCTAAACACGAGGAATATAGATCGCATTTCACAGACCGATGCATCAACTTCTGGCTCCATTCTTCGCTGCGGGTCTGGTGATGGATAGATTGGAAGAGCCAAACTTCGACGAATCCTTCATCGACAAGGTCAAGCCGTATGCTTCGAAGAACTACTCGCAGTTGCCCAAGATTCTAGCTTTTCGTCTAAGGCGTATCTAAGAGACGTAGTGATGGAGTTTTCTAATCTGCATTATCAATAGAGTAGAGTGATGTGAAGAGCTTTCTCCTACGAGGGGAACATACCCTTCACTCTATCCTCAGCTATGCTTTGATGATTGCGAGTTACTGATCGTAAGCTATTCTCACTTTCGAGTGATTCATTCACTTATCCTGTTTATATTCAATCATATAAATTTCTTCGACTCTATATCTTCCTATCCCAAGAACTTACTCAACTCTCAAATCTAACAGCTTTCAAGGAACCAAAAGAACTATCACCGTATAATCTCAGCCGGTCTCAACAACGGCGAGTCTCAAAACTCTGCCTCGAAATCAGAACTTGATTCATCGATAAGTTGCTGGCAGGCGCCCTCACTCATACAAACCACTCGTTGCCGACTACTTCTCCTCATACTCGTCCACCTTCACTGAACAACATCCTCTCACTTCTGGATAATCTTACTTCTCTTCTCACCTCCAAGCAATTGGTTACCCTTGGCCTCCAGAATTTATCTATGAGAAAAACTCAGACACGTACTTCAACCTTTGCATACCTCATCCTCATATCATCGCCAGATCTCCCATGCAGCAAGTGGTCAACAATCAAATTACCGGAAGTCGACCGTTTCCGTCGTCGTGCGGTCGAAAAGGAGAATACTCAAAACCCGTGCCCGCCTTTCACATCAACTCTTCTTTTTCGAAGTACTTTGCACTACGCTTCCAATTGCTAGATGTATTGGGGTCTGACCGAAATTGAACGACACAACCTCACAACGGTAGTTATCTTCTCATCACTTCGATACCAGGCCTTGGAAACCACAATACATGACCACAAGCCTACTCAAAAATGTCTTATGAATACCTCCTTGGAAGCGAGGATTTCTGGGTGGAGCAAATCAAGCAGACAGAATGCGAATTTGAGGAAGCGCGAATCGCCCGCGATCGTAAGCAAGCTGAAGTCGAACATGCGCAGACTGAACTCGATCGGACGGAGAAAGAACTCGCACAGAAAATGAATGAACGCGATCAAAAGAGGATCGAGTTAAAGCAGAAGCATGTCCGACTCAGTCAGAATGACATTGAAATCGATAAGAAAACAATTCACCTCAACTATGCTAAGAATCGGCTTTACCAAATGAGAAAGCAGCGCCAGTCTCTTGAAGCATTCACAAGTCTAGATCAAGGTGTGCGCCAGCTAGGCATCGAGAATAAGACGACCCAAGCGAACCCGACTCCAATTAAAGCTACTACAGTCCAAAGTGGAGCTTTCAGTGACGAAGAATCTAAATTTACTACTACTTCCCTCTCTCGAGGTGGGCGACCTTCGGCCCTCGCAGCAGCGAATCACACACTCGACGAACATAATAACCTCAACCCCAGCGCTTCACGACATGATGAGAAGAGTAATCAGATCAAAGTCCAGAGTAGAGACTCACTGTTATCTACATTCATCAAACCAAGAACTTCACTGATCGTGACCCTGAGATATCGACCCCAGAAGAAGCCGGTGAGTACTGAGATTTCGCCCATGCTCCAGAAGCGAATCAGAGGTTCAAGGCCGACGGAGATTTCGAAGAAGCGACCAAGAGAGATGGTTTCATCCGAAACCAAAGCAGACTACAGAATCACCAAAGCGCGCAGACTGGAGTTGCAGGACGAAATGGTCGAGCTGGACTCAATGTCTACCGATGAGCCAGCTACGACCAAGAGAAAGCGTCCAGAACCTGGTAGATACCAAACCCCTGACGTGATGCTCTCACCGTTTATGGCACGTCTATGCCACCCTGTTGTGAAAATCTTCAAGACTGCTCTGAGGAGAGTTAAATCCGCCAATAGCCATTTGCGCCGAGCCTTCGATACTCTTGGAGAGATGGTGGAAACAGGAGATCTGAAGCCTGGAGAAGAATTCTGGGAGTGGGCAGAAAAGACGAAGGATATCATCGCGGTATCCAACCTGTGCTACGGTGCGGATAAAGGGATGCTGCTGTCCAGATTGCAGAGGTGGATCGATCAGTGTGACGATTGCATGTTTTCCTGTGAGTATGAGCTGGAAGATGAATACGAAAGAAGGGAGGCAGTTGATCGTTCTGTGCAAACTCTCCAGCGAGAATTCGCATCGCTTGCTGAGGACGTCCTCCCGATAGTCAGGTCGGACATCAGATGATCTGGCAAAGGTCATCTCGAGGATGGAATTCCAGTGGAGTGGCGTCACTATTCGAAATCAAGAGCAGACGACGGCGAAGAACTTTCCCCAAGTAACGAGATTAGTGTAACATCAGGGAAGGTGAGTGGCAGAGGCGCTTGTGTGGCTGGTTTGTGTAAGAGCACTTGGAAGCTGTGATGGAGCTACGGAGTACGATTGGTATCACGGAGGCTATTTCCAAAAAGCACGGGGTTCAGCCTTGAATTGGAACACCAGCAGCTCACGAATGATTCGGACCTGAATACAGGGTCTGTTGCAGTTGGACACCTATTGTAGGAATAGGGGAGCAGAGATTGAACCTGTGCGGGCCGGCAGGAGCGATTTGGAATCACATCCAAGATTGGGAGGGTAGGAACGACATTATGATGTTCGCTCAGTGCTAGAATCAGGGCTATGGTACCAAACAATCAGTGACTTGAGGTTCATGAAGATTCATTCCACTAGATCTCTGTACATCCACATAACGACACCCGCTGCTAATTGTAGCCACTCAAGATTTGCTAATAGGCAAAATTCAACACGACAGCACTCGACCACGGCACATCAACTAAGAACACACCGCCCTGCTGAATCTGTACATCCTCAGCAGCGGATATGTTCTTCAACATCACGGGCCGCCCCTCGTCAAGCTCGTAGTTGAACGAATATCCACCGAACGTGACCCCGGTGATGGCATCGCTCCCGTTGGCGATCAGTTGTTCCGCTGTGATGCTCTTGACCGCAGCAGCCGTCCCCGTCTGGTCGTTCCCCAACTGGAATGAAAATCTCTCCACGGGTCGCTGTGACGAGCCTGGGGATGATGGTGAGGAGTAGTTGTACGCTTGCATCTGGATGACGGCGAGTCTGGCGAGTCGACCGTCTAGATAGGCGGCGTACGCACTGTGGTAGATGCTTGCACCACTCTCACTTTCGGAAAGGTCAATCTCACTGACGGTGACATTCTCCGCCCTTCCACCTTCGTTACCCAAGAATCTGGCAACAGCCACATTTCCATAATAGGGCGTCTTTGTCCCGATTGATTCGTTGACAGTCTGGATAGGCTGCCAGCTCGCATACCGATAATTCGTGCCTTGATGCATATGCACACGTCGGATATTGTTGGCTGCGCAATGCAGGTTGAAGTCGACACCCCACAGCGCCGCGCCGAAAGAGTTCGACAGACCTGGCTTGCCTTGGTTGTACAGACTATTGGTCTCGCCGAGGATATAGGGCTGCGTAACGCCTTGGGAGCGTAAGATTCGGGATTCGTTCAAGTGTTTCGCTACGCTGGCAACCGTCGAGCTGTGGTTCATTAGTGTGCCTTGCAGGGTGACGCCAGGCTGTTCTGCGCCACCGATGTAGCTGTGAGACACAAAGACCCAGTCAGTGATTATCAATCATATGCTTCGATCGAAAGAGATATACGCACTTGTGGCTGTCCACGAACCCGATATCATGATCCGCGTCAATCCCCTGATCCCACGTCTTGATCAGATTGAGACTATTACTCGTACCCGCGAACGAAGGCGCATAGAAGCTAAATTTCCCCTGCTCAACGACCTCCGGACAATTCTCCATAACCAGCGCTCGAATGACACTCCGCGTCTTATTCAACCACTCCTGGACATAATCGGTCTCATTCCACCACGACGGCCGCACTGGCCCTTGAGCGCTCGTCTTGAACAGATCCGGCTCGTTACCTAGCTGCCAGGCCGCGAGTTTCGGACTCTTGCCGTCCGGCGAGGCGAGGGCCTTGCAGACGAGCGGCACCGTGTCGACCAGCGTGTCGTGTCCGATGCTGCCGTTCTTGCCGAGGTTGAAGCCGTGGATGTAGCTGATGTTGGGCCATGTCGAGTAGCTGTCGAAATACGATGGCCCGATCGAGATGGTCGTCGGGTAGTCTCGTGAGCGGTTGGCGTTGACGGTTCCTATGAGTTGTTCCTTTTGCGTCGCGTTGAAGGTTGCGTAATCTCTGTGAGGTTGGCATTTGCCGTTAGCTCGACCATGGCTTCTGCCATGACTCGGCGTTCAATCGAGGAGGGAATCTGGGACAGTATGGTGGGAGGTTATTTATCGACAGACAAGAAACGATAGTCAAGCATACTGTGTATTACCACCCACTCGAATAATAGGATTCGATCCCTGCAGGTCGCCCAGGTTTTTGAGCAGGTTGTATGAAAAATTGTTGGGGTGGCTTAGATTTCCTAGATGTGATTGATATCTTCAGTTAAGTGGCCATTCGTGTCCCTGTTAATCACCCCGTTTTCTGCTCCCCCTTCAAACCTCAGGTTGAACAGGAGATCATTTCATCTTTGACTTACCGGCAAAATCCGGAAAAGATGAAAACTCGATCGAGAACGAAACGAACGACTTGAGAACTGGCTGACTGACGTTTTCGGGGGCGGTCAATGACAGTGCAATTGCAGCAGAGGTCACGACTTTGGCGAACAGAACACTGCTGTAGGCAAGAATGGCCAACTTAAGCATGATGGAAAATGTATATATATGAGAAAACGGGGCGAGTCAATTCAACTTCGTAATGGTCTGCGGCGAAGCTTTGAAAGAATTCAAAGTCGGCAACAAAGCATGATTTCTCAATTTGGGATGTTCAGATGATTTCGTTCGAACATCTCCTCATTCTGGAATCGGATTCCACCTTGGCCGCGGTAGTCAACACTGGAAATGATATACCATAGGGAAGTGACGGCATAAGTGTTTTTACCCCAGTACTCCGCGGGGGCGATGCACGGGGAATGCATGACAGGCATACTGGTGCTTGGGTCCATGTCTGCAATTGGTCGCGTCCCAAAATGTTGGAGAAATGATCGACATAGAAGATCAGCGATCCATTAACAGGAAAACACCGGAGGGCGAGCAAGCATCGGTTTAAGCATTTCCTGGAAAAGGCAGGTTGCTATTTACTGTGACTTGCAGCCGGCAAGGTTTCTGGGTCGGGAGGTAGCATCAGGATGGGCCTGGTTTGCGTCGGAGAATGCTTGGGCCGATGGATCATCTGTTTCCATCAAAAGGTTCCTGCAGGCCGCTTCAGTAATTAGGTGTGCAGCAAGTATCAATATCACCTCACGCATGCTTAGTGCTTGATGGTGTGAATAACATTGAAAAACTGGTATGACGGGACCGGGGTTCAATGCGTTAAGCTCCCTATTGGATTTTGGAATTATCACAGATGCTCAGCACCGTCCGACCCTATTCCCTATCCCGCCGAGCTGGCCATAAAGGCTCAAGAACTAATAATAGACGCTAGAGAATACCATCTTCCTTCACTCCTCTTCGTCACTCAGATAAATCATACAGAAAGTCGGCTTGATCCCAGCCTCGATCTGGAATGCCACATTTGAACTTTGGCGCAGAACCCGCCATCATTTCCTTTTCATATCCCTTTCGCCGCCAATTCCAAAAAATCCGTGACCAATGTTTGCTCTGCCCTCAAACAAAGAATATCCGCCTTCCGAACTTCTATATCTCTATGCCATGCCTAAGTGGTCGTTGGGCGTTTCCCCGTGATAAATCATGGCTCATCACATCTTGGGATAAGTCTATCCAGATATTTTGTGTCTGCCGTGAAGAAAGTCATAAGTCGAAAGGTCCGTTGCCACCATTACTTGTTTGATGTTTGCTGTCTTCGATTAACTTGCTGATGTCCCCGGGTTCGTCCACGGTGAATCGAAAGGCCCATCCACCCTTTCCCCGAAATTACTTTTTGTGTTGACACGACGATTGCGTGCACTGTTGAATCCACAGATCAACTTGGTGCTGGAGGCGCTGCAACGGGAGATGGTTGCGGCTGCGGCTGCGGCTGACCTGATGCAGACGGTTGAGGTTGGGCTAGAATTTGTGACGGTGTGTGTGACTGTGGAGGAAGCTGCGGCTGCGCTGGAGGCTGTGAAGGGGATGCTGCATTTGGTTGGGTAGGTAATGGCTGTTTCAAAGGTGTACGTTGTGGCTCCCCACCAGGCATCGCTTGGGAGAATTCTTCAATTCCAGGCAGAATGCCATTCGTAGGCCGATCTTGGACCATGTGAGCACATAGAACGACGTCGACCTCTCCCATTGGCTGCCAGCGGGTATTCTTCAATCTCGTAGCAATAGGCTTGCCTGTGGGGTCAAAGGTTGGGTCTGGGGCCACTGGAACTCCTGCCTTCCCAAAGAAAGCTGGCGCGATCGTCAGAATAACTGAATCGATCAAGTGGGCATAATTCAACTTGAGCAGTTCGGAGATGACTACACCGCCGCCTTCGATCATGATGCTTTTGATTCCTTCTCGGTACAGTACGTTGAATATTCCTTCCCAATTCAGCCCTCCAGTCTGAGGATGATAGTCGTTGATCATCAGGTACTCTCCCCCATGGGCCTTGAGAGTGGTGACTGCTTGGGGGTGGAGCATAGCACCGGGCGCCACCACGATCCACGGTGCTTTGCCTTTGCCCTCCGTGGCATTCTTCAGTAATTTCATCTCAGGCCGTACATGAAGTCGTGCAGAGGGGTCAATGATGATGGGGCGAGGCTGAAATTCCCAGGCAACTCCGGCATAGTTTGCTGGCAGTGCCAGGCGGCAATTCAAAGCCGGGTCATCTGCTATAGCAGTGGAAACGCCGACCAAAATCGCATCGTGCCGGCTTCGAAGATAATGAGTCATGGCTTTGGTTTCGGGTCCTGAGATGATGGTTTGCAAGCCAGGAAGCAACGATATGCGACTGTCGAGACTGCTGGCCCATGTCAAGGTGACATGAGGACGAAGACGACTTGCCGCAAGCGTTGGGTTGGGGATATATGGCTCAAGGAAGCCTCTGGCATGGTCGGGATACTGCAAGGTGTCCAAGGGCGCTGGTTGGCGTGGAGGAGTTGGGAGCTCAGGCTTGGAAGGTTCCAGTCGACCGAAGAGGCCAGGCTGCATAGCGGGTGGGAAAGGTTTGGTCGGGGTTGGCTGTCGTTGGCGCGGAGCACGAGTGGCATTGAAACCAGTATGGGCCTTGAGAACCATCTGTTGATTCTCTTGTCGCCAGGCATATTGAACATTGCGGACATCTGACACCTTCATAAATTTACCACCTGCTGCATGCATCTTTTCTGGTTCTTCCCACATCTTCCAGAATATGGAGGCAGGTAAAAAGCCCTTTGTTGCCTCCCGGCGCGCAGTGTCCATGATACCCGTGTTGCGCTTGGTGGCATCGATGTAATCAAGGTCGTGGGAATGCTTCTGGAAGGTGTCGACAGCTCGAGAGATTGTGCAAGTTTCGGGTGAGCCAGGGTTGTATACCACTTTCATGGTCATGCCACACGTTTTCTCCTCCTTGACTCTCTTCTTGCGCGACTGCTTGCCCTCTGGGGTCGGTCGAGGCAGGTGAGTTTTCTGATTGTTGCCGCGTCGCAGTCTGCAGGCATAGTAGTCGACACGGGGACTGCCTTCAGGTTGGGGTTCGGTAGTACGCATCTTGCGCCAAACATTGTCAACAAACAAGAAGTAGGTGTCGAAGTCGGCGGCGGGAAGCTCGATAGGCTCCTCGACAGCGAAGATTCGATGGCGCATGGCAACCAAGTCGGGAGGGTTGGAGAAAACACTGTAGTCTGTAGCTTCGTCCGGGACCGCGTAGGGCTTGCCATTGGGTTGAAATGCTTGTGAGGTATCACCTTCGTCGTCGTGCATGGTGGTATCATTGACGGCATCCTCGTCGAGGTCAGTTTCGGGCTGATCGTCTTCATGTTGGCCGTCGACGGGATCGGGGGTTTCTGCTTCGCTGCTCATCATGGACATGAATGGGGAGGTGAGAGCAGTTTGCAGGGTGTTGGGAGGGCAAAAAAAGTTGTGATCGGAGGGTGGATAGGTTTCTCCAGGGATCTACAAGAATAGCAGGCTTGGGGGAGCTAAGGTGTGCTCCGACAAGCGAAGTGATGCTTCGAGACGCGTGATCATCGGAGGAAAGTGGTCGCGAAAGAGTTGCTGGCGCACTCGCAACGACGGCAAGAAGCGAGATGAATGTTTCGAGACTCGGAGGATTGGTTGGTGAAGGGTAAGTGAGGATGAGGTTAATGGGAAAGGTGAAGTGATGGTGAGCAGCAGCAGCTAGAGAGATCGGCAAAAGAATATAAGTGACAACAATCCATAAGACCGCGGGTGAGGCCGAGTTTTTGGGACTTGGACCTTAAGTCTTAAGGTGAGAGAGCGAGCTGGGAAGTCTTGACTTGGGTTAAGGTGGTTTAGCTAGGGAACTAGGAACGAAAGTAGGGGCGGTCTCAGTACTAGAGGTGGCACTACGGAGTAACAGCAGTGCGAGTATCCGTAGTACGAGGAAGTGGGAGAAAATACGGACACAAGTACGGCAAGGGAGCACCAAAACAAGAGGATTTTTTACTAGCATAAAAAGGACAAGACTAATTAGTACTAGACTCGACTCTTGGACCCCGGCAGATGGATGGGGGCCACACGGATAGATGGGTTGCCCTCTCTCACTCACCGCTAGTGCGGGACTAGCAGTCTCTAGTGTGTGCGTAACGTTCAGTAACAACCAGTCCAAGCAGAAGGAGCGAAGAATGAGGAACAAAAGGCAGGTGCAAAGATGCGCCTGCTCCGTCAGAGTGACTGGTGGCTGGCTAGCTGATCACTAGCTGGACTGCTTTGACCTTCGGAAGACTTCCCAAAAGAAGGTTGACCCGTCACGTTAGCCGGCTTAACCATTGCCAAGAGAGCTTATGCAAGGGACAACGATCTGGAACTAGGAGAAGTCGAAACAGTCAGAACGGGTAGGGCACTCCGTGCAAATCCTCCCCAAAGGCCATGCTTGCCAAAGTCTCATTATTTCCCCAAGGTCTTCATGATTACACACGAGACTTAAAAAAACAGCTCATCATGTCTTGCCTTTTGCTCGGTAGTACCAGCCCAGCACCGCCGCTCATTCCCATTTGTGGTTGACCCGTCTTGTCCCCATATCGCCATTAAATCATGTAGCCGTCATCCTCGACACTTTAAGCCCGCTTCTCATCGTCTACCTCCGTATCGACCTCGACTTCTAGATTCACTTCGGGTGCGGCTCCTGCTGCGGCTGTAACTGCTCCTAGAACTGTAGCTTGGGCTTCTTTGTCTTCGTCGCGGTGGACTTCTTGGAGGGCTTCTGGCTCCTGGGAACCGTCGTCGGGGAGGTCCTCTGGATGGCGACCGTGAATATGAGCTGGATCTCCGTCTTCTCCTCTGTGGTGATGGTGAACGGGAGTAGTTGGATCTTGGCGCATATGTATTGTCTTGTGTTCCTCGTCGGCTTCCACCAAAACCACCTCTTCTCGCTGGTGGGCTTCGGTATCTGTTTGATGCTGCCGGGCCCCTTGGTGGCGGCCCATATCTGCTTGGCGGTGGCCCTTGCCGACTCGATCGAGCTGGTGGTGGCGACCGTGAGAATGCCCGACGTGGTAGAACAATGCTGACTGCTATCACCACTCCGTCCAGTTGCGCTTCGTGCATATGAGCAATGGCTGACTCCGATCCTGATGGGTGGTCGTACAGAACATATGCTGTCCCTCTGTTGGTCATAACTAGTCCATGTTAGATAAGTCCAAGCGGTCTGCTTATGACACTCACATTGTTTATTCAACGGTAGATCGATAGACTCTATATGCCCATATGAACCGAATATCTCCCTCAAGTGGGCCTCCGTCACGTTTTTGGTCAACTTTTCAATGACAATCTTGGAACTTTGTACCCGCGGGGCATCTCTACTGAGGCTCCCACTGTGTCTGCGAGTATAGCTTCGATCTCTATACGACCGCCGATCACCAGCGCTTGGACTCCGGCTCCGGCTCAGGCTGCGTTCGTGATTTCTGCCACGGCCGTGACCGTTCTGGATGTCGCGATGAAGAGGAGATCTACTTGGGGATCGAGATGGTGACCTGGTCTGAGATCGAGACCTTGATCTTGGTGATGGGGATCGACGACTGGGAGAAGGGGCTCGTTGAACAGATGTAGGTGTATGTGACCTGGTTCTCGATCGGCCACGAGATGGTGATCTGGAGACCATGTTGAGATGGATTGGAGATCAGAGCCCTGCCTCCTGCTCTGAACAGTTCGATAGACTACCGACTTGGGAGTGAAGATATTGTGATTGGGTTGGTCGATTGGAATGTGATTGGGCCTGTTGAACCTGGAGGGTGCCTGGTAGTCTTCCTCCGACGCAAACCCCAGAAAATTGTTGCGACGCGTCAATCCCGCGGTACACTAAGGTGGAGCGTAGGGTCTCCGGATGACTGCGCTAAATCCTTAAAGATTCACCGTAAGGTGAAAAACGGGTTGCGATTCTGAGGCGTCCGCACTCTCAGCTTCAAATGTCTTGAAGATCTTGGACTACCAACGGACTTTGCTCGATTATCTAATTGATCATGGTATTAGCACTTATCCTGTCTTGCAGTCCATTGGTAGCTGTCTCGCTTCTCTACTCCTGTCGACGGCTTGCTCCTTTACTGAAACCGAGCACCAACGTCTCCTTATCGTTCTCACCCACACAGCTAAACCACGTGGAAATAGGTCTTGTGTTATTCCTCTTCCTTTACAGATCCGTGTCTCATTCTCTGTACAATCTCTGGCGGCGAGTCGTTGGGCACAAAAACCAACCTGAGCCTGCCGAATCGGATACGGACCACGAAGTTCATTTGACTATGCCACTGAAACCCACCAAGAATGATTTCCTTGCTTACATCAAAGCAGTCCAGCCAGAGTTATCAAATAGCTTTCAATGGAATAGTGTACAACTTGCTCTGCTATTATGCAAAGTCTGTCAATAGTAATCATAATCCACCTTCCTCCACCGTCTGTGTGTAGCCTTGCATCCATCGTCCTGGGTCGAGGTCATTTCTTTCTTGCATCAATCTGAGAAAAGGTTTTTATGCGTTGCTGATGGAAAGCTTTCTAAGCCTTCTCCATCTCTTCCATGTTGCGACGAGTTTCAAGCAGCTGCTTATCGACCTCCTCGAATCCTTTGAGTATCTTTCGGACATCCGTTTGTAGTATTTTGAGGGAAGATGTGTGCTGTTCTTGATTGGTCTCGAGTTGTTTCTGATTGGTCTCGAGTTGTTTCTGATTAGTATTGAGATCTTTCTGACTAGTTCTGAGTGTATCGAGACCGTCGGAATGCTTAGAAACTTCTTTCTCGAGAAACCTATTCTGAAAGAAAGAAGCAGCGCCAAGAAGTGCAGTCACTAGGATGCCTGCTGTTTGAATCGTGGTCACCTGGTATCTCCACTTTTGACGCACTATATTCGCCATGATGAGAAAGAGGCGAGCAGCGACTGAGTGGTTAATTAGATGGATTGATGGATGGATGATGACAAGAAAAAGAAAGAGAGGGAGATGGAAGAAACTGAGAGGTTGCCTAGTTAGTAAAGTGGGGAAGGCGCTTTCCTATTTGGAAGACAACTTATGTGCAGGACCACGTTTTGTTTTCTCCTTATTTGGAACCTTCATGGTTAGAGGTTTCATTCAAAAGACCCGTCATCTTGCCTGCGAGGCTCGATGCCACCGGTGAACGGACTTTTACTCCACACGATCACAACCAGAACACCAAGTTTGAGGTGGTGTCCAAGGATAAAGTTCGGATAATGGGAAGAGGTGGCGTATTCATGGGTGCTCATGGTGCTGACTCAGCCATCTCATGATACCAGAACACCCACTAGAGACGACTCTTTTCACATGTGACTAACCTCCACACTACAGCGATTGTTGCGCAATCAACCGGCAAATTACACCTATGCCATGAAGCTCGTTCCTGTTCATATTCGGTAAGTGATGAACAAGCTCAATTTGATCGTCCCGCTCCGCGAATCGGTGCACTATGACCCACCCCAAAATTTTCGTGCTTAGCGAAGCTGCACCCACTATCATCCTTCTGGTTAAAAGGTGGTTGGAAGGGCGGGGGAATGCGCTCAATGCCTACATATTTACTTATGTGTATGTCCAGGAACTCCTCGACATTACACATCTGGTAGTGCTACGCCTTTCTATCCGCTAGGACCCTGTCGCCGACCCCGCAAGCCCATCGTGGTTCATTCCTCTAACAGAGTCCCATCAGACTCTTGTCGCATTGATGTGATAGCGACAACATGACATTCATCGTCGCATACCGCCGACCGAAGGCAAAACTAGAGCGCATGCGAAGCGACAGCTCGCCCCAGACACCAGAATCGCTTTCCGAGGCCAAGAAATTAATTCTCTTAACTTATGACGATTTACCAGACTGGTACAGGGACAATCGATTTACACGATCAGGCTATCGACCCGCTTCGAGTTCATGGTTGACGTGCGCCGGGTCTTTGGGTCATCTTCACAATGAGACCGTCAATATCTACACGCATCTGGTCCCTGCTATCTGCCTGCTATTTGGACAGGTTATTGTATACAATGCAATCTCCTATACTTATCCTGAATCTTCCATACTTGATCGTGTGGTCTTCGGGTGTAACTTAGGGGCAGCCACCATCACGATGATCTTGAGCACGGTTTACCACACGCTCATGAACCATTCATCGCTCTCCAATCTGATGCTGAGAGTTGATTACGTCGGTATTTTGACTCTTATCTTGGGGAGTTTCTTTTCGGGAATCTACGTTGGTTTTTATTGCGAACCATCACTCCGACTCGTCTACTGGACGATGATTATCGCTCTCTCGATCATCACTTCAACACTGGTACTACACCCACGAGCTCAGGGTTTGAAATACCGCACTATCCGGACATGGGCGTTCATTGCAACGGCATTGAGTGGGTTTGCACCCATCACGCACGGTATCTTTCTTTATGGATGGAAGCAAATGTGGGTTCGCTCCGGCATGCCTTACTACTTCCTCGAAGGTATCACCTACGGTTTGGGTGCCTTTTTCTTCGTTACCCGTATCCCCGAGTCCATATGGCCTGGGAAGTTCGATATATGGTTTGCATCGCACCAGATTTTCCATGTCTTCGTTGTTCTCGCCAGCCTGGTTCATCTCTATGGCGTCTGGGTAGCCTTTGGTTGGAATTATGAGCATCAAAGGACCTGTTCAGTGAAGATACAGGACTGAGTCGGGCTTGATAGTTCTGGCGGAACCCTTTGTTTCGCCATCGCTCTTGGATTTACAGAACAAGTCGTTGCAATAAATAGCGAAGAGAGGAAGGTAGAGAGGTCGGACTTTAGAAATCTATCAGATTTAATCTATGAGATACCAACGGCAACGTCGCTCAATGCACACCATACTTTCAGTCCAGAATTATTAACACACGCTCACAGCTGATGGTGACATCTACCGGTATATCGCTGAGCTCGACCTCCCTACACAGTAAAGTTCTTCAGATTCGACTCAGCAGACTCCTGTGCGATTTGTGAGGCTTTCTCTTGTCCAATCTCATCGAAGATGTCCGTACCCCAACGTGCTGGGAAATTGAATCTCTTGTGTCGCTCCAGGGAGTTCAGCTTCTCGTAGGCATCATCTGGGAGGATCGAATCCTGGAAGTTACCTTGAATTCTCTTTGCTGTAACACTTTTAGGCAATGCCACCGTGCCCTGTTGAACAGCCCAACTGATGAGTGCCTGACCTGGGTCAATCCCGAGAGATTTGGCGACGGCGTGCACCTCGGCATCATCAACAGTCTTGGGTTCGCCTGTGATGTTATTGCCGAGCGGGCTGTATGCCTGAACCAGAATACCTTTGTCGTTGCAGAACTTCAGAAGGTCGTGCTGCTGGATGTACGGGTGTCGCTCAATCTGATTGACAGCTGGAACGACGTCGCTACCTGCGAGAAGCTCCTCTAAACGGCGAATGTTGAAATTGGACACTCCAATAGCACGAGTCTTTCCTGTCTTCAACAATTTCTCCATCGCCTTCCACGTGTCTAGAATCGACACATCCGACAATCTGAAAACCCCTTCCTCGGTCAATGGAAACCACCGATCGCCAGATGCAAAAGCCACAGGCCAGTGCATGAGGTAAAGGTCGACATAGTCGACACCGAGATCTTTTAGTGACGTATCTAGAGCGGGCTCGACATCCTTCGGATCGTGTTTGGTATTCCATAACTTGGAAGTAATGAAGATGTCCTTGCGATCGACACCACTTTTCATGATTCCTGCTCCGACTTCAGTTTCGTTTCTGTAGATCGCGGCGCAGTCGATATGCCTGTAGCCGGCCTTGAGCGCAATTTCAACTGCATCCTCGACCTCGTGGGGCTTTGCCTGCCACGTTCCGAATCCTACTGCGGGGATTTTAGCCCCCGTGTTGAGAGTGAAGGTTCGATTGAGTGCCATGGTTTCTAGTTAGATGATGATGTCGAATTAAAGGCAAAATGAGACTGTGAGAAATGTTTCACGATCACTTTGATGGGAGGGGATATATAATATACCCACGTTCTAAATTTTGGTTTTTCACCATGAGCATCTTGTAAATCACTGGCATCATAACATCCACCCTGCATCTGGTGCCATCGGCAGTCACTCCGGACGCTGGGGGGCATCTGCATGACGTAGCTGCTGGGAAGTTGGGGGTACATAAGTCGATGATGCCTCCCGTCGGAACTCTGCCGTGAGCCGCCAACGTCCAACGCCCAGCGTCCCCTTTCCCCCAGAGACACTTTCCGGCCTCTGGCCTCGGTGACTTGCCGAACAGCTGCTCCTTTCAAATCTCTCTCCTCTAATATCATATTCGATCTAAAGCGTGTCCAGCTTCGGATGACTCATTTGTACCCCCAAGGAATTCAGTATGGACAATAGCACGACTGCTACCATTCAAGCAGATCAGAACTCGCCAACTGAACCACGAAAGAAGCGTAAGCTCAAGCATCCTCGGACTGCCAGAGCGTGCGTGTTCTGTCGAAAGTATGTCTTGAAACTCTTTTGTGATGCTTCGACTCCCGGCTTCTCCTCGTCGCTTTAATATTAGATATAGCATTCTGAGCTTCACTACTGATACGGTGGGTTGGTAGACGCAAAGTCCGATGTACTGGCACGCAACCTTGCAACTATTGCCACGAAGAAGGCGTTCAATGCGAATACAATGATGCAGCAAGTAAGCCTCGGCCTGACTATGAGTCACAGTTACACGGGGGCTCTCCTGCAGAGCATCAACGCAGTTCAGGAGCCGATGCGGTTGTGGTGGCGGCCGCTCCTCAAGCCATAGCTCAGCCAATGAGTCCCTCGAAGACTCGTCCCTCGAAGATAGGTGTTTTGAGACGTCCATCAATGAATCCACCAGAAGCTTTTGCCGAAGGTCATCATATTGGACCTTCTTCCGGTGTATCCTTTCTCTATCACTCCTGGAACAAAGGTGAGAAATCCGAAAGAGATGCAGCAGCACTGCCCAGTGCTCCTCTGATTTCTCATGGCGACATGCCCTTACCCAAGTTTCCTGATCAGGGGCTCCCATCCCGTGAGGAGGCTGATTCGTTGCTGGAACTTTACTTTCGCTTTGGCACCCCGACTTATCGTTTTCTTCATTTGTCAACCGTGCAGGGCTGGGCATTTCATCTTCTGAATGGTGACCCTCAGTTAATGTCCGAGACTGCATGCGTCTTACTAGCGTTTGCACAGTCCCTGCTGTACACCAAGGCCGGTGACCGCTATGCAAGTGCAGATGATCGTGATTTCCAGCGTAGTGCGTTCTGTAAGTTGGCCTGATCAAGACATGTGGATCCTTTAACTCATTTGCTGAATTTGAAAGATTCCGAACGAGCCAAATCTCTTCTCACCCAGGAGTCTGGCCCTGCTTCTTTATCCAGCGTCCAGGCGAGGTTGGCTCTGTGCTTACACCTTCTCAGTACTTTTCGCATCAACGAGTGTCGGTTCACCTTGAACATGGCCTGTGCCATTCTGACCTCGATCGGACTTCACAGGAGAACTAGGAACGAGGCAAGCATGGACCTTATCACCATAGAGTTAAGAAAACGAACGTTCTGGTGCGCTTATGTTTTAGATGGCTACTTGAGCGTCATGCTTGGATGTCCTCGAATGCTTCGGGATCAGGATATTGATCAAGACTTCCCACGAAACATCGATGATCAAGATCTTCTGTCAGCCGAGTCTCCGGAAGAGCTTCCTCTGCATGGCAACCTGGAAGCCTTCATTGCCCACGCTGAACTAGCGAAGCTTATGGGTCGCAACAGTGACTTATTGTACCCATTGCAGCCTCTGACCGAGGATCAAGTGCTAGAAAGGACCTCAAATATGCTTGACTCCCTGCTTACCTGGAGAGAGAAACTACCGGAATTTCTGAAACCACGTGAGAAAACTCTTAGTGGTCAACGCACCTTTGAAAGGCAAAATACCGTTCTGAAATTTGCATTTTCTCACATGCAGATATTGGTCACAAGGCGAAGTCTCCTAGCAGACTTCAGTAACCTTGGGGGGAGCGTACCTGCAATCAGAGACGAACGGGCGCTGAGACATATTCAACAATGTGCCGATGCGATCGACCGAATACTTTCAACGGCTTGCGATATGATTGATAGGACTGTCTGGTACCAAGGGTTTTGGTTCACACCATATGTTGCACTGGTCGCGTTGTCGACTTTGTATGTTTTCCTTATTCAGAAAAGTCGATCTTCCCTCCCAGCGACCAGTTTTCCGCAGGTGGAGAATCTGCTCGAGAAGGCAAGACGGTGTCAGGATTTCCTTACGGCACTCTCTCCGAAGGGAAGTCAAGCGCGTCGACATTATGAACTTCTTGATCGCTTACGATGCCGTGCGGAGAAGGATGCTCTAAAAGCGAGGCTGGTTGCGCCACGAGTCATACCCACAACGACCGGGGTGGCCAGTACACCTTCTGCACCTCAGGTATCCTCCTCTGAAGTTCAACATGTCCCTCCAGATCACAATGCTCGTCTGAATGATCACGCTGGGATAAAAATTCCACAAATATCGTCCGTTGGGAATATCGAAGATGCCCATAATGTAGACTCTGTGGGGGTGACTACTCAGTTTACACCATCTGAGGACGACTTTGTGTTCCAAAACCTCCTTAAGTGGGACTGGGAACATCTTGATACTGTAGGGTTTCCTGGAGACTGGGAGCCTTTCAATCTACCATCTTGAAACCCAGCTGCTATGCACTCTCGCCTCAAGTGCAACACTCTGCAGGCTCTGAAAAATCAAATTATTGACCTTTAAGTTCCATACGTCGATCTTCGAAGCCGTGTCGTGAAGAGTTAAAGTGCCCGACGAGTGTCCCTCGCGGCCTGATGAAAGGTGCTTTTCGCAGAGCAATAACCGACCCGTCGGCCCACGGAAGCCCCAACAAGTCACTGGTCTGCCGGACTGATCTACATCATACACCTCAGGTTGCCGAACTGTATGGTGGCAGATACTCCGGATCTCGCCATTGAGTCCAACCCGGAATACTTGAGTCTACATTGTACATGGGGGTCAAACATATATCTATACACTTCCTGGTTGCCGTGGCCATCGAGCAGACATTCACAACAGCAAGCATTTCTTGACACAGTCACAATTCCAAATGTCCAAGACTTCTTGAAGCTTCTGTTCTACATTCATGGTCTTGAGCACTGCAACTCGAAGATTCAAGCGGCTAACTGTTCCTTGAGCGAAACCTGAATTGGTAGCAGGTCACACTAATTTCGAATACTTGGAACATTGCATATCTACAGCCTAAAATGGGGTCCATAGACATTTGTGAGCCGCAATACTCGGCCTACGATCACCCTCTACCAACCAAAGCCACAAGCCTTGCAACAGCAACATCAACTATGGAACCTCCCAGAGCTGGGAAGCCTCGCACCGTCACAGAGCTCATATCTATGCGAGCTCAAAGTCATCCAAACGAGCCCATCTTCGGCTATCCTTCACAGGAGCTCGAATACACCGAATATACTCTCACCGATCTGGAGGCACTTGCGGCTCGGGCAGCGCAGAGATATGCGGAAGTCCTTCCCGTCCGGGCGAATTCGAGTCAAGATGCTCGTGTGGTGGCATTACTTGGTCCCTCAACCATGGACTATTTCATTGCGTTACTGGCCCTCTCGCGACTTGGGTTTACGGTGCTGTTCCTCTCGACGAGGATATCGGAGGCCGCGTACCTGTCTCTACTCGAGGCAACCGACTGTCGTCATATGGTTGTGCATCCATCATTTGACAGGACGATAGCTGGTGTGAAAGCGACACTTCCCGACTTGCAAACCACTCGTTTCCTTCCTCAGAGTGAATACGACCCACTCCAGGGGAATCACATTTTACCACAGACGACCGAGCAGACTCTTGATCTTGACCAGGAAACCAGCAAGGTGGCATGGATCATTCATTCATCGGGATCAACTGGTCTGCCCAAACCCATCTATCAGACCCATCAGGCCGCACTACGCAATTATGAAAACAACATGAACCTGAAAGGATTCGTGATCCTTCCACTTTTCCACGCCTTTGGGATATCCAACGTCCTCCGAGGCTTCACAGCTATCAAGAAGATATATATCTACAGCGCCAGCCTTCCGCTGACGAGCCAGAACCTGCTGCAGGTTATGCGACGGCACAAATTTGAGATCTTCATTACGGTGCCATACGCGCTGAAGCTTCTCAGCGAGACTCAAGAAGGGATTGACGCCCTTGCGGCCATGAAGATGGTGCAATTCGGTGGTTCGGCTTGCCCAGATGTACTTGGCAATAGGCTTACCGAGGGCGGTGTGAAATTGATCAGTCACTATGGATCGACCGAGACAGGACAGCTGATGACTTCGGAGAGACCTGAAGGGGATAACGCGTGGAATTATGTTCGGGTGCATGAGAAATTGGCAGCGTTCATCAGGTGGGAGGAGAGAGGTGGAAACCTGCACGAGCTGGTGGTGCTCAAGGGTTGGCCTTCAAAGGTCGCAACGAATCGTCCAGATGGCTCTTACGCGCTGAAGGATCTCTTCGAGCCACATCCAACGATATCAGGGGCTTGGAAATACTGCGGCAGATTAGACGACACGATCGTGCTGATGAATGGCGAGAAGGCTATACCCATTGCCATGGAGCAGCTGGTGCGACAACATGAGCTGGTGAAAGACAACGTCATGTTTGGGGCCGGCAAGAGCCAGCTCGGTATGATTGTGGTTGCGTCCGAGCTTGGAGGGTCGAAAACCTCGGACGAAGTCATCGATGCGATTTCCCCCCTGATCGCGGCGGAGAACAAGATATTGCCAGCTTATGCCCAGTTGTCCAGGGACATGATAAGAGTGCTGCCCAGTGGAACTGAGTATCCGCAGACAGATAAAGGTACACTTGTTCGACAGGCATTCTATAGAATGTTCCACAACGAAATTGAAGGAGTGTATCTAGAGGCCGAGTCCAAGTCGAATGGAACACGAGTGCTTGAAGGATCCGAACTCCGGGATTTTCTCCGTGAGCAAATCTTAGAACTCTCCTCCAATTCAGGCGAGACTCAATCGATATCCGATGGCACGGATTTGTTCTCGCTTGGGATCGACTCGTTACAATCCACGAGGCTGCGAGCCAAGATCCTCAAGGAGATCCAACTGAATGGCAACACTCTGCCACAGAATGTGGTTTTTGAGTATCCCACAATTGCCAAGCTCGCGGATGCGATTGTGAGTATCCGGGATAGCAAGGAGATCGATACACTAGACATCACAAAAGAGATGGAGAGGCTGGTGTCAAAGTATAGTACTTTTCCTCAACATGTTCCCATCACAACGAAGTCGGACAAGAATTGCGTTGTGGTCACTGGGGTCACAGGCTCACTAGGCGCACATATTGTGGCTCAATTGGTCCGTCGCTCAGATATAACAGAGGTCTGCTGTCTTGTGCGCGCGGACTCGGACGATACCGCTTCAAAACGTGTCATCGAATCTATGCAAGCAAGAGAAGTCTACGATGAGCTTCTCCCTGAGCATCACAGGAAGATCTCCTGTTATCGCTCCGATTTCTCGAAGCCGAAACTCGGATTGAATGATGCCGTGTACCACGATATTTCTGCGAAAATCAGCAGCCTAATCCATTCGGCCTGGTCAGTGAACTTCAACAAGAATCTCAGCAGCTTCGAAGCAGATTGCATTGCTGGAGCGAAGAATTTGATGTTACTGTGCCTCTCTGCGCAACAGCATCAACCGGCTTCATTCAATTTCTGCTCTTCCGTCAGCACAGTCGTGAATACTCCTGGGGACACAGTGCCCGAAGCATTGCCAGAGAGTTTCAGCTGTGCACAAGGCATGGGCTATGCACAGTCAAAGCTCGTGACTGAAAACTTGGTAGCCCAAGCCGCAAAGCAAACAGGCATGCCGGCACGGGTGTTGCGCATAGGACAGATCGTCGCGGACACGAAGCATGGGATCTGGAATGCCACCGAAGCAATCCCACTGATGCTTCAAGCAGCGACGACGATCGGCGCGCTACCAGCGCTCGATGAATCGCCACGCTGGCTCCCAGTCGATACAGTCGCAGAGTCAGTCATTGCGATCTCCCTGCCAGAACTCCAAGCCGAGACTCAAGATTCTTTTTTCAACATCGTCAATCCCCGCTCATTCCACTGGACAGGTGACCTTCTGCCCGCGTTACGCGCAACGGGCCTCCAATTCGAAGAAGTCGGCCAGAGAGAGTGGGTCGCTCGATTGAGGAAGTCAAACCCAGACCCAGAGGTCAATCCGACGATCAAATTGGTGGAGTTCTTCGCCGGGAAGTACGATAATGACGTGACGAAGAGGAGGAACCTGGGCTATGAGACGCGTGTCACTGAAAAAGCTGCGCCGGTTCTCAGTAGTGTACCAGCATTGCAGTCCGAGCTGGTCCAGAAATTCGTGAAGCGGTTTTTGAGGACCAGCTGGGCGCCAAGGTCGTAGTGATCAGAGGATACCTAAGTAGAGATATAGCACATCTTTAGAGACATCCGGTTTAAATAGATCGTTCACTCTGTATTCGCGAGATGTCGAGACTGAATCCAAAGAAGTAGAGACGTCCTCCTCCAACCAGCCAAAGGGACCCCTACATTGGGGGCCAAACAGGGACCGGCAGGATTTCTCTTGGCAGGCTCTCAGGATTTCGACTAATCTGGTTGTCCATTCATCTACATCTGGAATTTCATGACCCAGCAATGACAAAAAGGTGACAAAATGTGAGGGTATTTCCAGTCGTTTTCCTTGGACCTCAGGCGTCAGTCAGCCAAGGCCATCCGCAACACATCGAAACTGTTTCCACCAGCGTTCCTCACGCCGCCGATATTTGTGTTGGTATTATTATTTGAGGTATTTCGTGCCCTCTTTCGCTTCCGCTTAGCCGTGATCCAGTGTTTCTCTGTCTCGCGTGTGATGTGGGCGGCGGCAGACGCCAGCTTCTGGTTTGTCTTTGGCACTGCAGAAGTATTGACGGCGCCCAGTCTATGGTCATCATTGCCGTCTGCGCTCTCATCCCCAAGGTTTGCCAGTCTGGCAATGGCAGCGCTCCGGACCTCAATATCTAATTCTTGGATTCTTGAACGTAGATCAGCGACGTCGAGAAAGAGATGCTCAATATCCGGCATCTTGCTTAACATGACCGTCAATTCTCGCAAGAGTGTTTCCGTAGATACTCCGTTATTCTGGCTTTTACTTTCTTCATGGTTTGGCTGGGTGTGTTCTGGCTCTCGACCGCGTAGTACATAGTCCGCGATCTGCTTTAACATGCGCAACGAGTACAGCACGGCGTGCATATTTGCCAGGAAGTGGACTTCATCCCATGTTGCTCTGGCTTTGTTGTTTGCCTGATGCCTCATGAGGCCCAGTGTACTCTGGATGAGAGAGAGTGTGGGAGGTTGTTTCCCAGCATCGGATTTCTGCTGCCGAACCTTATGGGTGGCTAGGATGTACCAGTTGAGGAGAAGTGTGCTGCCGTGATCGTTGGTAGGTACCTCGGTGGCGTTATTTGGGAAGAGCCGCCTAAGGTCTTTGATTGTTTGCTTGATATGTTCTCCAATGTGTATCTCACTGAGTTGTGGAACTGTGGTGGAAGCGATTCTTGGGCCCTTCCGCGCAAATTCTGTAATGCCGATTGGATGTGATCCTGGAATCGACCACCCCAATATGGAAAAGGCTAAGGTCCTGTAATGAGTGCCATAGGACCACGAGGAATCACGAGATGGGTCTTCCAGAATCGGCGTCAGGTAAACGGTGGGTGAGTGGGACCATGAGATGATCAGTTCAGCTGTACGTGGATCGACATCAGTGAGACTGGGCATGGCATCAGACCCTGCCTGCGGAGAAATATACTGCTCGGCGAAGTTATCGTATTCTCTCTTGAAGGTTTCCAGCCTAGAGCTATCTTTGGCTCGTTGGCTGGTAATGGCTGTCGAAAGGCTTGGGTCGAGATACCTTTCGAAGCCGAACCGAAGAAGTGATGGGACACCTAATCGTTGAGCAACATGCTGTGGGTGTAGGGACATTATCGTCAGCGAGGTCACGGTCTTAGTTTGAGCGGATGACTTTTTCTCAACCGAGCTAAGCAATGCCAAACAGCCATTTTCTCCAAGATCGTGTACGGCAAGGTCAGAATCATTCGTAAGCACCGCACCTGAAATTCCACTCATTGCTTGGGCGCAGAATGAATCAGCCTCCCCAGGGACAACGCTGACAAGGTTCCTCCATTTGCTGCTACATAATGACTCAATTGCACTGGCAACCATGAAAGGCGGAGGCGGAGGGACTGACTTCCTGCTCGATATGGATGGAGTCATCCAGATGGCCTCTTCGAAGTCGACGTCGCCAACGGATATTACCATTGGATCGAGAGGGTGCATTGTGCGGTAAAGCTCGAGCTGACTGCGAACCTTTTCCGTTCGATCAAGTCTAACTGGTCTCTTCGAAATCGGCAAGCCTCCATCAAAGAAAATCCGCTGTATTTGAGCGCCACAATCTTCCAGGTCTGCCAGAAAATACTGGAGTCCATGGTTGATTTCCGAATACCGCGGCAATCCACCATTCAGTACAGGGCTCCTCGATGCTCTATAAGTGAGCAATCTGTTATAAACCAGGTATACTAGTGACGGCCCATCGATTACCAAGTGTTCAAGGTTAAGCGCACTCGTCGATGGATATAATTTGCCCACAGGAACGCGATCCGCATAGGGATGAAGATCTTGAGAAAGTCGCGGGATACCCATGACAAATATTTGATGGGGAATCAACACAATCCATCTCTCGATCAGAGTCACAATAAGTCATCGAAATTTGTGATTTCTTGCTATTGACTCAGCGTGAAGAATATCGAGGTATGGATCTTCCACTTTGGCAGAGAACGTATTGATTGATTCAAGACTTATAGTGCGAAGTCGAATACGGTAGATCATAAGACCGTATGTGAAAACTGATATAAACTAGTCTGAAGACTAAAAATTCACCAACCCCCCCGATCATGCGAGCGTTTCGCTTTCTACTAATGCTTTTATTGCTCCAACATTTCATGCCTCCAAGGATACCGGTACTGCGGTCACATCAAACCCTTGCTTTCCTGTTGCCTCAAAGTTTGGCAGAGAGCTGTTTTGGGACTAGGGGGCCTTCAGTCAGCGTTGCAAGATCTTCATAGATAATATCGCGAGTACCATTTACCGTGGTCTGGAAATGCTGGAAGTTCTCCTCAAATTCCTCTTCAGCATTCTTTTCCGCGTCGAAATTATGGATCCAGTCTTCTCGCGGGAACTGGACCGATGTGGGATCTTCCTTGACTTTATCCCAATCTGCCTTATGCCACATGTCGCGTGTGGTTTCGCCGGTCTTTTGTACTGCTTTGACGCGCTCATATCTATCCGGAGGATCAGCATCCGGTCCTTACAAAACAATTGTTTCTGTGAACTCGATCACTTACCTTATCCGCTGGTACGTTCTTACTCCATCGGGAATTTGATCCTTGCCAGCTCTCTTGAGGCAAACTGCAAGAGTGACGCCATCTTCCATAGCCTGAGTTGCACCTTGGGCTGAAGTTGGCAGGAATGGATGTGCGGAATCACCCAGCAGACTGATGCGGCCGCCTTTACTGACCCAGGTTGGGAGAGGATCTCGATAAACCAGCTTCCAATCGACCAGGTGACTTTCCGGTGTCTTGGAGACAATTCTCTTGCAAAGTGGATCCCAACCTTCAAAGACCTTATAAACGTCTTCTAGCTTTCCCGGGAATGACCAAGATTCATCAATATCTGCGTCGTCCTAGAGGTTACGCATCAGCCGGAGTCATGTTTTTCGGCCACAAACCGTACCTTGTGTGTCAAGACCCAGCAACAATCACTTCCGTTCTTGATCGTTGAAAAGAGAAAATGCACATCTTGGCCAATCCAGCCATTAAACGTATCGCCATTTTCGCAGAAATGCTTGGTCAACGGATCGGCGATCATGTCGGTGTTTGGGAACCTGTAAGCGATCAGCATCAACATCACCGTCCGTATCCTCGAGCGACACCTACCATGCTCTGAAGACGGCATAGCCACTGCTCTTGGGTCGGTCAAAATAGCCCAGAACCAGTTCGCGAGCCTTTGATCGAACGCCGTCAGAACCAATGACGACATCTGCGAAAATCTGGCCCAGAGTAAGTATGTCTCCAGCTATCTCCGGTGAGGTGCTCTTACCTGTTCGCCAGATTCTAGCTCGATGCCTGCACAATCCTTTTCCTCCAGGTACTTCCCTATTCTTGTCCCAAGATGGATCGGGATACCCAAATCATCCTTGGCGTGGTTAAAAACGATCTCATGCAACTCTCCTCTGTGACCGTTGAAAACCGGAGCATCGGGGTCCTGTTCTGGGGTTTTCTGCGTGATGATGTGTTCGCCCGTATATTTGTGAATTCGAAATCCGTGTTTCACAAGGTCGATGCTGATTGCTCGCATCTTCTTGGTGATCTCACCATCGACTCCCCATCGTCGGAATATGCGACCGGCGTTGGCACCGAATGAAATGATGTCTCCAAGGGGTTTCAACTCCGGAAAAGATTCGTATATCTCAACATCATGCCCTTGTCGATGACATTCAATTGCTGCAGTAAGTCCGCCGAAACCTGTTTTGATTAAGCCAAGGATCATCTACCACGAACAGCGGCTGTTCTCACCAGCTCCAACAACAATAACTTTGACTCCAGTCTTGGGCCTCACTGAAGGCTGCTCCGTTGTCATTTTTGCAAAGGCCAAAAAAAGGTAAGCCGCGGGAAGTTCTCGGGAAAGTAACAAAATGTAAATGCCTTGGAAAGACTACGAATAGGCAACTCCGGCGGGGGGTATGTCTCTAGATATAAATCCTTGCCGAAGCGTTTGGTTCACCTGAAAGCAGAAAGGTTCGAGAAGGGATGATTGTTGCCAATTCTTGCGCACCGACGGGCTGGCCAAGGACATATAGATAGCCAGCCCCATAGTACTGCACACTCAAGGATTTGCTTGTTTCCAGATAATGACCAGAAACAAGCAAAATGGTTGGAGGCGGATAGTCACTAAACCCGCGGTTCTCCAAATGAACTGCCGACAACGCTATGCATTGTACCAAAACGGACAATGGACGTTGAATTTTATGCCGACCCATTGGATGTGGGCAATTCTCTGCGGGTACGGGAGCAGTTTTGCTACCACCCCACACGTTCCAAGTTCCCCATTGTGTCCCTGATTCAGGGCTTAGGAGGGAGTCCCTGGTTCCATCGCCGCAACCGCCTTTATACTTGGATATGGACCGAGCATTCTGCGGGGTGTGTGGAGTTAGGTCTAGAAGTATCCGAAGGACGAGTAAGGTCTTCCAAAATATATTATCCCACCATCTATCTGATCACCTTATCGAACTCTTCGGTGCGATATCCGACTTCCAGGTCCATGAACTCGTCGCACACCGCATATCGCATGTGCATAAAATAAAGACGATCATTTGATAGCTACATCTGCCCATCCGGTCTTCCTCCAAGCGTGAATCTACATCCAACACCCCACATCCACACCCACAACCCACAACCCAAAATAAGGCTACGGTTGACTGCCCAAGTGCCCGTGGCCATTGGAGGCTGGGATTCTACTTGTGGCCTCCCATAAATACGTCGGAACTACCGAACCCGAAATCCGAGTGTAGACCTGTTTACATATTACAACAGGATCAGTGCACCGGTTCTACTAAGGCACTTTACTTGAGCAGATCACAATAATTACAGCAACAGTTGCCGTTAACGCATTGAGCGATTTGAGCAGGGGAAAATAGGCGATCCAAGCGCTCGCCCCATCAACTACCCGAGCTATTCTTTCAAAAGCCCAGCACGCAATCATGACCACCAATCCAGAATTTGGCCAGAGCACCACAGGGACAACGGTCGCAAAAGCGTTCAGCGATGAGGTCCGCGGGAAAGTCATCGTCATAGTGGGTGTATCACCACAAAGTATCGGCGAGTCCATGGCATTAGCATTGGCCGCGCATGACCCAGCACTCCTCGTTTTCGCCTCAAGAACCAAATCAAAGATGGAAGAGGTTTCCAGTAAGGTTAAATCAGTGCATGGGAAAACGAAGATCGAACTCGTTGGAGTTGACCTCGCGTCGCTTGCCTCGGTCCGCGAAGCGGCAAAGACCATCAACAGCATTGTCGACCGGATTGACATTCTTATTAACAACGCGGCGGTTGTCCTTCAGCGGCACGAATCTACTCAGGAAGGTTTGGAGATGCAGTTCGGAACGAATCATATAGGTCCCTTCCTTCTGACCAACCTATTACTACCCAAGATCATCGCGGCTGCCGAAAATTCTGCCACCAAGGGTTCAATTCGCATTATCAATCTGACCAGCCAAGGCCACATCATTTCGCCAATCCGGTTCAGTGACACCAACTTCAAGAAACGCCCGGAAGACCTGCCACTGGAAGAGCGACCGATGTCTAGACCGGGCGTGTCATTTGATCCACCGCCAGGAGAAACTTATGTCCCATTCGTAGCATATGGGCAATCCAAAACGGCGAATGTTCTCTTCTCAGTCTCCCTGACAAAGAAATTGGCTAGTAAGGGGATCCGCTCAATTGCCACTCATCCCGGCTCCATTTGGACGGATCTATCCCGGAATCTCGACGAGAAACATCAGGATCTGATCAGCAAGACTGCAGGATTCTGGAAGGACCTCGATCAAGGTGCAGCGACGACTCTGGTGGCTGCACTCGACCCCAAGCTGGGTGCAGATTTGGATATCACATACCTCAACGACTGTCAAGTTGCACAGGCCGCGGAGCATGCGCGGGACGAGAAAGCGGCCGAGGGGCTTTGGCAGTTGAGTGAGAGCATCGTGGGCCAGGAATTCAAATTATAACTTTCCAATGATGAAGAACCAGCTTGTAGACAAGCAAGTCTGGTATGATATGGTCATTGGGTTGATAACGGCAAACGACGAACATATTCTGGCCGGAATCTGTATTCTGAGAAGACCTAAATGGCGGAATCAGGCAGTTGGATGATCCTTGTTCCGTAAACCGGTGGATTCATGGTGGCTGAAGAGCCGAGGCCAGCTTCCCGAAGATTTGGGTCTCCGTGTGCATGGCCTGGACGTCGGGAACCGGTGGAGTCTGTCAACCCCTGCCTGATCTGGAAGTGGATAGACGTGATACCCTGCTAGAGTGCATGCCATTCGTGATAATTTCATGTGAAGACCTTGATTAAGCAGAGCCCAGAGTTCGAGACTCGAACAAGATGGGACATCTATATGTCACATCTGCTCTTAGAACATGTTGTCATCCCACATATTATCGTAGAAAACATCAATATCATTCGATACAAGTAGTGGATTCATGTTTAAAAATGGTAAGGGCGAGTAATCCGTGAACTCATAGGGTTGAAAAGGGTTGGCAGTCTGAATCAGTCGGAAATCGGCGGCTGCGGGATCTGGATAGGCAGGTGGCTCGATAGCTGACCCGACTGTCGGTGGTTGAGTCTGCCCGTGGATATCGGAGTCCTTAGGCGGTTCATAACTAGTGCCGGATTGCAAAGAGACGCCTCTAGAACCCGAGACCGTCGAAGTAGCTCCCTCCACCGTCTGAGCATGGTCGGCAAGGCTGAGGCGGGATAGGAGCCCATGAGGCCCGGCGAACTTTTGCCACAGACGCTGGGAGGACCGATATGTTGAATAAGCTTGTATTAGTGCCAGTCCTTTGTTGAGTCCATCCCTCACACCTTGATTCCAAGTGGCCAACTCGAGGGTGTCATCACTGGCACCGGTGCGCTGTTCTCGTAGGCTGTGAATGTAGACCAGAAACAGTGTAGAAAGTGCCGAGGACAAGAACAAATTCAAAACGGGTTGCTGTTTCTTATAAAGGTCGTACTTTTCGTTCATCTCTTCGATTGTTTCAACCGTATCTTGTGCAATTTGCGCCACGATCCTAATACGTTTGATGTTTGCCATGTATGTCTGCGACGAGAACAGCAAAGGTCTCATGACAACAATCCGGAATTGGTTTGCGCGCAGATATAAGATGAATCGAAGGAATTGTGTGCCTTGGTCCACGTATATATGACCGTCGCTAGTGGTTTTGATAGCATTCGCTCCCCTCTGGAGACGTAGATAGGCTGGCAGACTCTCCTGCCAGCGCTGCACTTGATAATCTACGTAGTCAAAGTCCTCGTCTTTGATTCGCTGTTTCGCTCTACCACGCTCGTCCGTCACAGCGGCCCAGGCAGGAGGTCCGATCCTGATGTAAGAAGTCATCGCTTTCGCATATGGATTCAATGTACCCTGCAAGGCACTATAAGTAAGATGCTTACATACGGAGCATTTGATCAGGTTACAAAGAACGGTAACTTACTGTCTCGGTAATGTCAATATCAGTATCCTTCAAGGTGAAAGGCAATCCTGCATTGAAGTTGAGCTGACGATCAAGGATTACGCATGCCACGAGGACGTTGATGACTTCTGTACGGGCCTCACTTTGAATAAAGCGGCGCATTAATATGTGCTTTTGATGAAGTCCAGCTTCGATCATCAGGCGGCATGCAATCGCGACATAGCGTGAAGCAAGACGACAATCATCCTTGAACATGTGGAAGAAGGCCTGATGAAGTTAGCAACGCTTCTCAAATGATCCTGCCATAGAGCTCACCATGAGGAGCAACAGTATCTGGCCATGCAGATTGAAATTCTTTGCAAATACTACGCTGGTAGCGACCGGCTGGAGCTCGTGGAAGATCCTTTCACTCAAGGCGCTCGCACCTCCACCTTCTGCCAAGAGTCCGATCGCAAGAACCATTTTCAAGTGAGCGAAATTTCCGCCTTGGGTGGGAGGGATACTCTTGTCCTGCAGCGAAGTTTTGGACGATGGCCAGAGTAGGTCAACTTGGGTTTGTAGGGAGGAGATATCTGCAATTGGATGCAGAACTCCTACGCATTCATGGTAGATCTGGAGAAGATTAAGTGCATGACTCTTCTCCATCCCATATAGTAGCTTAGAGTTCATCGGGTTCCGTTGAAGCTCTTGGAAATCGACAGCTCCTGGAACATCGTCTTCATCTGTCTCTCTACCGAGACTTACGGAGCCGGCCAATTCAACTTCTTGCTCCAAGTCGGAGATTCCTGCTTCAGAAGCATTTTCTTGATCGAGCATTAACTTAGCAAGGCCGAAGCTGAAGTTTGCGCTCGTCGGGCCGGCAAACGTCGAAAAATTGGGCTGAGAGGGAAGTTCTCTATCCATTCCCTCACCAATTTTTCGTAGTTTATTTGAGATGGTCCCATGAGGTGATCTGGTTCCAGTTCCCTGGACTTGTTGTTGCTCCAGGATGGCAACCTTTGATTGAAGCGCGTAGACGAGCTTATTCAATACGGTAAGATCTCTGCAGAAGTCTTAGTAGGATGGTCGCTTTTGGTTAATAGCTATCTAGTACCTTGACTTTGAGGCGCTGGAGGTAAGACTGCTTGGAGAGTCATCTGTTTGCTGAGTGCTATCAGCCGGATTTCGTGCGTATCGGCATTCCAGGGATCGACGTTGACAAGGTTCACAAGGATGACTTCCATCACACCTCGTCTTGCGAGTTTTGCAGGTTGCACAGGCTTGTTCAACATACACGGCCCTCTTGCGACTCGCAGCATCCTTGGCCCTCGACCTCCTTTTTACTCTGTTCTGATGTTGGATCATCTCAGAGAGTGACTCAGGGCCTAGATACGGAGCTGTTTAATCTAGGTCATCAGCTACAGCAAGTTCGAATTCATGGGAGTCAATGTTGGAGCGTGTCGATTTGAAGAAACTTAAGAATCAGGTTAGGTGGGGTTTTGGCATATTTTGTGAAGACTACGCCTAATTAAATAACTAACTTCAAGCAGCTAGTGGTGGTTGAGCATTACCTAAGGATACGTTGACTCTCAATCAATTATTCCGTAATGAACCCTATGAAGCCCGGGGTAGCCCCGAGGCCCCCTGCTGAAGCATCGCTGATCCGGTCCTTGGCCCGTGGATGGAACACAGTGGACATGTCGCTGGGGGGTACTTAAATCAGTCAAAGTCATCAAAGCTCATTCTTGTGGGTTCGGCGGCAAGAATTTTGGGTGAACATCAATTCAACTCTATGGAATTTCGAATCGGCCTTGAGATGCGATGTTAAATACTTATACTTGGTATTCGTGCGGTGAGCATCATATTTATTGAGTGATAATGTCTACCATCATCGATCCCTAACTAGTAACCTGCCTAGCTACTAATTAGGTACGTCTAATCCTGTCTTTTGAATATGTCAGCAAAGAATAAACCCAGTCAGCCTGGGTCTGCGTATTCGTCAATTTTTTTGTGCACACCGAGATACTAAACATCATACTCGGCCAGCATCCAGTCTAGGATGTTCACAGAGTACTGCGTAAAACAATGCTTGGATCTTTACGCGCCCATTCATCAAACCTGTTCTCTGCATCAGCGAGCACATCAAACCCTAGCAGACTCTTTTGATAAGCAGCATCTCCCCAATTCCACTTGCTCGGGCCTTGCCACTTCGCTGCGGGCAGTTTTGAGAGTTCACTATCACGTTCCTGCTGCGCATCGCCATCATGTAGGTGATAAAATTCCCGGGTCAAAACTGCCCCGGAAACGTTGATTTCGGTTCGCTGTTTGCGGAGTCGTTCATATAATTGAAGGAGACTTGTCAATTGGCCGTTCCGCGCCTTCGGAGAAAGAGATAGGTTTCTCTCCTGTAGGCGTGTGAGCAGCACCCCAAGGATGGCACCATCTTCGACCGCCATGGCAGCACCTTGGCCTTGATAGGGTAGAGTGGGATGTGAGGCATCACCCAATAAGGCGACAGGACCCTTGTTGATATCTATGTTAGCAGGTGTCTCAATCCATCGGCACCAGGGGTTTCTAGATACTCACTTTCGTCCATTTGTCAAGCTCCTTAAAGTGAAGCAATTTCCATTTCAAAGCAGAATTCAAGCACGATATTATGCGAGTCAGCCTGGTCAGTCAGCACACTACCTCACGATGCATGAAAGCAGGTCTTACGTTGGATCCCAACCATCGAAGCACTTTCCCATTTCTTCAAGACTACCCTGTGCTGTGCGGACACCTTCGGGTAAATCATCGGCGACTCTTTAAAGGCCCAAGGATCAGTACGATACTTGGAAGATGAGGAAAACGAAACTGACAGTAGTACCAGGTTAAACTCGGTCTTGTTTCTCAGTGGATAGAAAACGGCATGTCGACTGGGGCCTAACCAAACTTGCACATTGGACTTCTCGATCAGACCATCGATTCTGGGGTCATGAAAAGATTTGAGCTGGTCACGGGTGAAGGTGCCCCGGTATGCCAGATCACCTGTCTCGACCGGTGGCATAGGTCGACCTAGGACGAATTCCCGCATACTTGACCAAAGTCCTGTCAGCTGTGGTTAACTCTGCCCTTCAGCCTGCCGAGAGTATCGTCTAGCATACCATCTGCTCCGATGACAACGTCTGCATCGATGCGCCTGCCATCTTTGAGAACGACAATCTGACGTCCTTCCGACTCGTCCACCCCTTGTTCAATGTCTACCACCTCCGTATCCGTCATGATACGCGCACCTTTCCTTTGTGCGGCATCAAGGAGCACGTTCTGGTAGTCGCCTCGATGGATGGCTCTGCCCACACACTCTGTCAAACGTATGTTCGACTGCTTGAGGACTCGGGGAGTGGACTTACATCCAATCGGCTCCATATTCCCGCTTCACTCTTTCCCCTAATGGCTTCTCGACGATGATGTTGCCATCCTTGTATCGACGCAGTGTGAAGTCCTGCACAACATAGCCGCCCGCACTCTTCAGTTGTTCGACCAACCCGAAATGCTGCATAACTCTGCAAGCATTTGGTGGAATATGGATTCCGGATCCGATTGCAATCATCTCCGGTACACGTTCGACAACGGTGACATCGCAAGGCTGCTTCGCACGGCGACATGCAATAGCGCACGCCAGGCCGCCTAGCCCGGCTCCCACAATCACAACATGGAGGGTTTTGTTCTTGTTGTTGGTTAGCATGAATAGCCATTAACAAGCTAACAACGGTAGCCAGGGTTTCTCACGAGTGGTCTGTTACTCCCTATTTTTGCTGAGCCTGAACTTTGTTCTTGATGAATTTCCATTGAGGACATCTTCCGCCTCATCTGAGTGCTCAACTCCCACACTTGGCGACCCTGGATTGACTGCGTTGACTCACATTCAATCACACAGTATTTCTACCAGTAGTTTACCTTCAACATTCAGTAGATATAGGACGGTCTAGCCACTGCGTAATCGTGCTTGTAAGCAAAGTACCGAATACATGGCTTGTTCCGTGACCACATTCCGAGAGCCATAAATCAATCAATTTCCGGACCGTCGATAAACTTTCCGACCACTTCAGCAGCATTGGGAACTCCGTAGACTTTTCAAATCTAATTGCTGCGATTTCGCATTCAAGCAGTGTAGACAGATATTGTTACGTTCGCCTTGTACTGATAATGGCAGTTTGCTCCGGTGAAGACTTAGGCTCCAGAGCAGTTTACGGGAGGAATATGCTTATTATTATGCTAAGCGCTAATTAGTACTATGACCGGAACCGCTGTTCTCTTTTATCCAAAACCGTATGTTGGCCTGGCTCAGTATAGCCAATCTATGATCATCTAAGAGTACTCAAAGACCCATTGTGCCCCATTCAAGCATTGACTGACGTTCATGGCTACGCTGCTATGGAGTGCCCAGGCGTCTACCTCTGTAATATGCCACAGTTCAGTATGTGAAGCGGAACGATGGGTGATCGTCTCCCAAGTTCTTCAGCTCCTCCTCTGGTAAATTAAATCTATCATCTCTTTTACCCTCGTTTCGCAACTTGTTCTCCCGCATGAGGTAAAAAAGTAGCACAGTGGCGCTGATGACGCAGAGCCACACCAAGCCCAGACCAAGTCCAAAGCCCAGCTTGAAGGTCGGTGCCTGTTTCGTGATGTAGATGTTCGAAGCGATGATTCCTGAAAGATTGCCGAAGCCGAGTTGCATGGCCGAGCTGACTCCACTTTTATAGTGGCCCGATACGTTGTTGCTGAGCCAGATAATGATGATCGGGTGGACGATGAAACCGCCCGTCAGGAAGAGGAAAACGGCAAAGTACCGAACACCGACCTTGACTGAAAGCATGTTGAGAAGGATGACATATCCGATCGTGGAAATAACGCTGCCAAAGACTACGAAGCCATAGCGGTGCTTGAGCTTGTCGCTTAGAAATGCCGTCGTTAAAGTGCAAACGAGAGCGACCGCGTAAATCGGAATGGACATCACTTGTGCTTTGACCGCAGTCCATCCGAGTTGTCTCAAGATAGTTGGGATAAAAAGTGAGCCTGAATAGGTCGTGGTGGTGATACCAATGTACATGAGGACACTAGGGAATGTTAGTCTCCAGTGTGATGAAAAGGCCACAACACTTACCCAAGGTATATCTTCACATCACTAAAGATCCGTTTGGCAGTCTGTTTGTTCCAATGATTCATCGTTGCACCTGCTCTATCCTCAGCGACCCGTCTTAGAATGATCGTTCGCTCATCTGGGGTTAGAAATCTGGCTGTTTCTGGCCAATCTGGAACCAACCAGAAGGCCGATATAGCAATAACGACGGTGGCAAGTCCTTCAAGAATAAAGATCCACCGCCACGAGGCGTATCCTCCCAGCGTCTTGATGTGAGCGATCGCGTATGCAAGGAGGCCGCTCGTAGCTCCAGCGACGATACCTGAGCTGAAGTATATGGTGAACCGTGACTGAATCTCATGCCGCTTGTAGTACATCGACATCAGATACACATTGCTTGGGAAGAAACCAGACTCAAAGACACCCATCAATACTCGACAGGCTATGAGACCACCAAATGACTTAGTGAGTCCCTGGCAAATCGTGATGACACCCCAGAAAAATATCATCCCTGGGATGTAAAGCGATGGACGGACGTGCTTCAACAAGAGGTTACTGGGGACCTCAAGGAGAATGTAGGGAATGAAGAACAGGAAAAGAGCGATGTTGAAGTCGTTGCCGGTCATATGCAGATCTTTCTCCAACCCCTGAATCCGAGCATTGCCAATATTGATTCTGCTTGGTAGTTAGCAACTAACTTTATGTGCATACGGTTCAGCCTTGGCAGAGCTTACCGATCAATAAAGCTGCAAAGTTGCAGGAGGAATAGAATAGGAATCAAGTGCCAATCAACCTTTCTGAGTACCTTCTTCTCGAGAGCGGAATCGATCTCTTCGATTTGGTCCTCTTTATGGGCAGCTGAGGTGTCACTGCCAGTCCGGATTTCGCCTTCGCCGGCCTCTGCTATCTTTTCACCTGTCATTGTAGATCCCGTCAATCTTGCTGCGATATGTGTGAGTATGCTAGGATATTCAAGAACTGTATCCCTCCAAATTCATGACATGCTGTACTTGATGCCATGCTTATAACAATTTTCTTTGTACATAGCGAAAACTCGGGTTTACAAGATCGGAACAGGGATGGCAGGTTCCGTTTATGGCTGAGATCTCCATCGCGACGCCAAGTCCAGGGCTTTTCCCCAGAAATCCACCCCAACCATGCTAGATTCCCCTGATTCCCCCAGCTCCCTTTAGACCCTTGGTCATCAGGTATTCGCTTCTCCGTAAGTATCTGTCAATGGTCTCCACCGGTAATTCCGGATATCTGGGGTAGTCAGCATACGAATACGCTTTTCTGGCTAGGCACTCAAATAATATCGGAGCCACACCCATATTTGCCAAGTCCGGGCACCTCTTCCCTTCCCATGGAGTATTGATCCCAATTACCAGAATGTCTAACAAGAAGTTCGAACGATGGCGGATGGGCCAGGTAGATTATGGAGCTTTGTGGAATGAACATGAGACATCTAAGTGGCTCAATCTGTGTGAAAGTAGGAAGAAGTGGTGTATAGGAATTCATTTCTCGTTAGTCGACTGGCTGAGACTCTATTTTTCAGTTTTGTGAACTTCCGATGCGCCAAAGCTTTGCTCTTCTGCATCCTCAACGTGATCCTCAGCAGATTTTCTCCCTCTGCCCCATCCTCCACTCCAGCCTAACCAGCCTTTTTCATATGGACCTCTCGCGGCGGTGATGAGATAACCCGCTGCCGTGATACCAATTCCCCAGCAGCCAGCTGGTATCCATCCACCGTACAGCTCATAAACATCGTTGGCTGCCTTGGTTCCCACCAACTGTCCCAGGTGCATGACAATCATAAATGCAGTGTTGACTCGATTTGATGACCCCGGCTCAATCCCTTCAATATTGATTCTGGCCGCGACGAAGAGAACCATCAACCCGGCGTCTAGTAAGACTGCTTCGATCACAGGCCCAGCCACGTTGTGTACACCCACGAAAGTTCCCACCACGACGCCGACCATGCTGAGTGTTATGCCAATGAAGACGGAGTATAGTGGTACACGCAGGGGCGTGATCACGAACTTTCCAAAGAGAGGCCCAAGGAGAAGAGTCGAAGCACCGATAAGTCCAAATAGTCCAATAGCAGCCGATCCATAATTATAGGGTGCTTGCGAGAGAAGGAAGGTAAGTGTTGTCCAATACGCCGTTAGCACAGTAAATGAAGTAAAGGCCAGAAGACTTGATTGTACAAGAACCGGATGTCTGAAATAAAGTCTAAAAATGGACAGAAGTATGCGTGGGTAGGTTTTGGCAATGTCTCGCAGCGGTCTTTTATTGATAGGTTCGTAATCCGGCATGAACACGAACAAAAGTCCCAGGACAAGGATCTGGATACCAAGACCCATCCAGTACACGTTGCGCCAATTGGTATAGTTCGCCACAATCCCAGACAAAATCCGCGCAAGCAGAATCCCAAAAGTTGGGCCCGTGCCAACGATTGATAAATTGAAAGCTCGCTGGGATGGAGATGAGAGCTCTGAAACCAATGGAATGACAACGTGGACGACACAGGTAAAGAGTGCGGAAAGGTAGGTCAACACCAAAAAGATAGTTAAGTTGTTGGTTAGACATTGGCCAAGCCTTGTGTCAAGTTAGCGACCGTCAACATTCAGCGTTCAGGCTATGCACACTTACCAGAACAGAGCAGCCAGAGTCGTCATTACGAGGGTGAATTGTCTTCGAGGGAAGAAATCAGCAAGTGGTAGAATCAAAAGCAGACAGCTAGCCTCTCCTGCTTGTGCAAGTGTAGGAATGTTTGCAACTCCACTTTGTGTGGTGTGGAAATCCTCAGCAAGTACATTGAGGATGGGATGGCTGTAGAACAGATTGGCGGAATTGAAGCCCCCGCAGAAGGCGTACAATATCGTGAGCCATGTTGTCAAACGTGGTGTCTCACAGTCCTTCAGTCGACACCAAGGAGGAGTCCAAAGAATGCCGTAGCCCATTACTTCGACGACTTGAGCCACTGGGGGAACGCCTTTGCTGAGGTTGAAATGCTCTTATTCGTCCTTGGTGGTGACCACTTTCCGAGGGGATTTATGCTTTGGACGAGGCTATGGCGTTCTGGAAGCAAGCCAGAGTGTTGCCTGAGAGACTCGAATGGTGAATGGTGCTTGATTCTTGATTCTTACTTAGACGGCAGCTTGACGAAATATAAATTCTGAACCAGATGAGAACATATCAATTTTCCCAATTCGGCCGAATTGAGTTATTTAGCTGCCATAGGCACAAGAATCGGCAATTGCGAGGCATTGCAAGAAATGCCGACGATTTCGGCGATTGCTTCATGCTCTTGGCTTCCGCTTCCAATGTTGTCAAAAACGGTGAGCTGGATTCCGTGATGATGCTGTCAACTCAAAAGGAGCCGGCGCATTGGCCCGGCATCGAGACCGCAGTTTTCCGCGTAGGCGGGTTTATTCTTTCCCCTTAGGTTGATCTTCGGTGTAGGGCGAAATGGCAAGACACCATCCAGTTTTCGGCCGAATTGGGCTAGTTTTTATTGAGTCCATCGGAGGTACATTTCGCTTTGCGCCTGTTGCTTCATGGAAATAGTATATATATCGTGCGCACATCCACAGAGCCGATTCGCAGCCGCTGGTCGGAGCTGATGTTGCAGCACCATGCTTAAGGTGTAATTCACGGTCGGGCCAAAAGCGCGTGGTTTTTGGGACTCAAATCGAGACTTGGGCCACAGCTCGTGAGCAGATTCACTCCATTGACAAACTTACGGTACATCGATCTATCAACAGAACTAGATTGCCCTGTCATGAAATGGACAGAAAGCCATCCCTAAGTTTCAAAGTTCCCAGGGAAAACAATCAGGGGCTCGACAAGCTAACGGAACAAATCCGATAATTATGTAAGCTACGCGTAAGAGTGACGTCGGAACGACATCTCCCTTCAATCCGCTGGACCTCAGTTGTCAATTAGGCCTCCCTGGTCGAGTATTCCGACGTGAGAAAGGTTATAAACTAGAGGGGGATAGAGCTTCCGATATTTTGAACCTCTTCCCGACACCGAATGATAGTCTCTCGACTTGTTCAGTCTTGTTCCAAGAGCTTCCTGCTGAATACCAGCGCACTCTCCGTATCCAGATACCCCTTTGTATCACCTATCCATTCTTGTGCCCCAGTCCTCAAAATGTCAACTGCCACGCGCTCGAGTAAGCGCCAGAAGACGAATGATGACATGCCTTATAGTCTAATTTACTGTAAGCATATCAATACCTTGCCCTGATCACTTACTAGCACTATTGCGATAGCTCGCTGTCATGTTTGCAAGAGCATGAGCAGACCCACTAATTCACGAGAATACCACGAAGATGATCAAGAAAGCTCACAGCCTTGTGCAAAAAATAGGGCCCGGAATGCCAGGAAGAGGAGAAAATATTCGCCTCGCCTTTGAAGCCACTGGAACACCATACACCGACGTTTCAAATGAGAATAAGGAAGGAATCAACGACGTCCTGGCCCAGATCAGCGCAGACAACGTCGGCGACGCGAACAACCCGCCTCCTCTAGCACCACCGATCCTAAAGCACGGCGAGAAAATCCTCATCTCCCAAAGCCCGAACATCTTGTTCTACCTAGGCCCGAAACTCAACTTGGTCCCGAACACCGACGAAGACCCGGTCGGGATCTACCATGTCAATGCCTTGGCTTTAACCGCTCTGGACGGACTATCCAATGAAGCGCACGACACCCACCACCCCATCGCAACCGGCGACTACTACGAAGACCAGAAATCCGAAGCGTTGAAGAAGGCAAAGGACTATCGTGCAAACCGCCTGCCCAAGTTTCTCGGTTATTTCAATCGTGTGTTGAAAGGGGAAGCCTCCAAGGGAGGCGAGTACCTCTATGGTGGCCAGTTGACTTATGCGGACCTAGTGTTCTTCCAATGCTTGAATGGTGTGACACACGCGTTTCCGAAGGCTGTGGCTAGGATGAGAGAAAGTGGAGATTATGATCTCGCTTTTGCACTGTATGATCGCGTCAAAGGCTTGGACAAAATCAAGGCCTATTTGGAAAGTGATAGGCGGCAAAAGTACTCGCTGGGTATTTGGCGACATTATCCTGAGCTGGATGATGAGTGAGAATTTGGTCTAGATAGAGGATAAAAGTATTTGTCTACTCATATGTCACGGGTAGGATAAAACTAGTCGATTCTCGAATGCCAGACATCTTCATTAAGCCCCTTCGCTTCTCTCAGCACGCATCAAGCAGAACCGCTCGACACACATACTGACGACCAGAAATACGGGAGTTATTGTAGGCCCGTTTGGACGAGTGCATTATTACTCTGGAAGCGATATATTCTGAATCACATTGTCTAATTTTCAAATCTTCACCAATATGGCATGAAGCATATCAATATGTGTTACAATCTCAGACTGATCGCCATTTTATACGGATAAAGGCTGGGACCGCAAGGAGGCTATCGCCCCCACGCAGGGGATTCCCCCAAATCGGCCGAGGCTGCTATTATTGAGGACCCCTCATTAGCTCCTTCGAGGGGCTCCTTAACCGCCAGACCGCCAGAGTCAGGCTTCCTGCCTCCTAGAATCTGAGATGAGATTTCTTCTTTGGCTCTGTGATACCTACCGTGATTCCATGAGATCTTATTATGATGATCTCAACCAAGTTCCGACCCTTCTGTAGAGTTCTTCAATATACACTACGACCTTTGACGTCACATTTCCGGGCCAGCATGAGCACGGTACAAGACTCAATCATCTTCGGTAATATTCTCTCCACACGAGAGTCGGCAGCAGTATGGTCGGACAAGACGCGAACCCAGTGTTACCTAGCATTCGAGGGGGCGTTGGCCAAATCTCAAGCCAGGCTAGGGATAATACCGCAAAAGGCTGCGAATGAGATCATCAATTTCTGTCTCGATGTTCGAAATGTCGATATGGACGAGCTGCGTCAGCAGACCGAGTTGATCGGGTATCCGATTCTCGGGGTTGTGAAGCAGCTGGTCAAGCATGTCAATGAGACTGAGCCTGGTTTGGGTGAATGGGCACACTGGGGCGCTACTACGCAGGATGTCACTGATACTGCCACCGTCATTCAACTCTGGGATACTCTGAGTTTGTTTGAGAAGGCTCTTAGCCAAATCATTGCTTCTCTCCGCTCATTGGCAGAACAACATAGATCGACTCCCATGGCCGCCAGATCAAATTTACAGCAGGCAGTGCCCATCTCTTTTGGGTTTAAACTGGCCCGCCTGCTGGCGACTTTCCTTCGACATCAAGATAGGCTCAAGGATGTTGAGTACCGTCTGACCGTCCTCGAGTTCTCAGGCGCTGCAGGTACTCTCGCAACACTACCACCCACAGCAGAGCATCCGGATCTAGGTCTCGAATGTCAGCGAGAACTTGCCAAGGATCTCAATCTCAAGGTCCCAGAAATAGCATGGCACACGGAGCGGGATAGGATAGCAGAATTCGGATCTTTATGTGCTATGCTCACCAGTACATGTGCCAAATTTGCTCTTGATATGAAACTTATGAATCAGACGGAAGTGGGAGAAGTGTCGGAACCATATGTGCCGCATCGAGGTTCCTCCAGCACCATGCCACAAAAGCGAAATCCTATATCGTGTGCCTACATCACCGCCATGGCTGCAACCGTCCGGCAACTGAGCACGAGCCTTTTCGAAGCAATGGTCGAGGACCATGAGCGAAGTACTGGTCCTTGGCAGATCGAATGGATTGTTCTCCCTCAGATATCAACGCTTACGCATGCAACACTGAAGCAGACGGCCGACTTGATCGCAGGTCTCGAGGTTCACGAGGATGCAATGAAGAAAAATCTTGACATCTCCCAAGGTGGCATCGTTTCAGAAGCTGTCATGATGGGATTGGGGAAGACACTTGGCCGGCAATACGCCCATGATGTCGTTTACGACCTGTGTCGAAAATCTCAACAAGAGAATCGACCATTACTGGATCTTCTCTGTGAGCATGAAGAAATCAAGAGCAAGCTGAGCAGAGAAGAGTTGGAGAGTCTATGCAATCCTGCAAACTATCTCGGTTACAGTGAGGCGATGGTCGACCGAGTGTTGAAACTTACCGATGAACCCAAGACTCATAGGAAAGCAAGCTTGGTATGAAGGAAGGAGCACAACTTCACCTTCCAGTGTTGCCTGCCCCAGTTCTGTCAGCCAAGTCATCATACTTGTCTTGTTGGTAAAATCGTGCTCAAGCGGGAAGTGTTTCTCGCAGTTTCCGATGTAGTTGGCTCTCACCACCTCTTCATCATCATCTGCGTGCACATCAATCCACTCACCACCTTGATTAAACCCCCTTCACTTGGAAGAGGTATACTTATCCAAGATACTCATCATCAGTCATCAAACCTCTCTCGTTAATGTTTCTATTCCCAATCGTGGATCCGATGCTTTGTGACCGGGAGGGACCATGTGATCGAAGATCTCCACGCCGGCCTGCAGTCAAAAAAAGACAAAGCACAAACTGTGGCATTCCGTCTCGGGCCACGAGAACGACAGATGAAGACGCTCGGTACTTTACTCAACCTGTCCAAGTTAACTATTCTACACGGCTAATTCAAATCTAAGGGCACCGAAACTTCGACCGACATACCCCAAGACCGCATCTTCAACAAGACAGAAACCAGTGAGAAACTCGGTCAAAGGACGACCATCAAACCGAAACCATCACTACTACACCTATGAGCATAAACGTGTGAAAGCCACTCGGGCACCAACAAGATCAGAGACGGGGGGGAATGTTGCCCACAAGCCTGGAACCCGCTTGCGAGGGGCAGTGGGTGCGGATCGGAAGAGATCAGCAGCTCCCGCAGCTCCTGCTCAGTCAAACCGTGAGAGAACGAAGACCCATCATGCTCTTCTTGCCCATGAGCATCTCCAGGCTCACATCCGAGAAGGAGCCGAAGATGACATTGGGGCAAGCAAGACAAGCAAGGTACATTTCAAAGATTAGGACAGGCCAAGAATTTTCTAAAGGGGTGATGCGGAGCGTTTCATCGGCAAGTTGATCAGGAAACTGCATCCTACTGAATGGTACGGTCGTGTGTAGCTACCGAACATACCTTTTCTCATTCTTAGACCTTCGAGAGACAGATATCAGTACATCCAAATGGAATGATGTTATAAACAGACGAGTAAGATTTTATCCGGTCCGATCAGGAAACAGTGAGACAACAAGCCATGGCGTAACTCATCCAATTGAGACTTGTCTGGTGTGGTAAAATGTTATATACATGAAGGTAAAAGGAGCCAGATCCACCACGGCCGGGCGAAAATCATTGTTGAATCATACATGCACAAAAAAGCTCAGAGGAAAATGCAAAGGTGAGACACATGAGAAGAAAAATCAGGCGCGGGCGGCTTTTTGTCCTATATCCCAAAGACAATCCAAATTGCGAACAAACAAGACTGATCCAACTTTTCTTTAGTTGAAAGCCTTGTTGAAAGCATCCGCAGCGGCCTGACCGGTCGCAGCCTGGGCGGCCTTCGCAGCAGTGTTGCACGCGTCGACAGTGGCCTTGGGCGCCTTGCATTTGTCGTTGAGTTGTTGGCCTTGAGAAGTCAAAGAATTAGCACAAACGCTCAATAAGATGGCCGAGAAAAGATAGGTAAAGGGTTACTTACAGACGAAATCAGTGATGACTTTGATGTTCTCGGCGGAGCCGTGAGGGAAGCCGGTTCTGTTGTCTTTGTTGGCGGGCGCGAAGGCGGATTTCTCGCGGCGGCCGTCGAGACCCGCTGCGAAGATCACCGTCGGGTTGCTGCAGCTGCCGAGGTCGAGTTTGCCGGCGTTGCCGCCTGCGGGGGGAGCAGCAGTGGCGGTTGCTTTGGCGGTGGTAGTGGCAGAGACAGAGGCAGAAGCAGATGCAGATGCGGTGTTGGCGGCTTTGGTGGTCGTGGCGAGAGTTGTCTTCGCGGGCTCCTGGCTGACGACGGAGCATTCGGTCGGCTCGGCTGCACCACCTCCAGCGGCGGCGGTGGTGGTTGTGGCGGCAGCGCCTCCGCCGTTGCCTGCACCTGCACCGTTACCTGCGCCTCGAGAGGCGACAAAGGCCTTGACTTCATCCTCGGTGGCGTCTTCGACAATCAGGTTCTGGGTGAAGATGCAGCCTTGCGGGTCATCGAGGGTGTCGCAGGTGTTACCGGCACCGGTTGGGTCGCCGATCTCGCCGGGCGCGAAAGTGCCGGAGTCGAGAGCGTCGAGTGGGTCGCCGCCAACGCTGGCGATCTGGACGGCTAGCTCGAGGGCGATGGCCTTGTTGGTGGCGGCGGCGCCGTTCGAAGCTGGGTCCTGATGTTGGGTGATGGCTGCGATCTCAGGGTTCTTGGCTTTGATGGATGTGCAAAGCACGGATGCCTGGCCGACGGCACCGGTGTTGCGTTCCAGGGCGCGGTAGATCAGCGAGGCGATCTGGCCGTCGAGGTCGTCGGCGGCTTTGGCGTTGGTGAATGCCTGGTCGGCCGTAGCTTGTTGGAGGCAGTCCGTGTCGGTGATCTTGCCTTGGCCGGCTGAAGCGGCGGCGTTTCCTAGGAGGCCGAAGACGGCGTCCTGGATGTTATCAGGGTTGTTCTTCTGGAGCATTTCGTTCACGATGACCAGGAAGATCTCGTGGGAGTGTTCTTGGGGAACTTCACGTCGGTTGAGCTTGGCGTTCCATCGTACAGCTCGCTTCTGGACAGTGCGTGCTGTCACGCTGGTGTCACGGCCATGGTTTTGAGCTGCTTGGGAGTTCGTTGGACGAGCGGCCGCCAAGTTGAGCCCGGTGGCGAGGAGGGCTGAGAGATAGATCTTGGTTTGCATGTTGATTGGTTTCCTTTTTGTTCAGGTGATTAGCAAAAGGTACGTTGAGTGAATGTGGTATTCGCTGCAGGTCGTTCGTTCTTGTTAGATTGTTGAGTATGCTAGAAAGTCAAAAAAAATTGATTGTAGTAATACAGCGATAGGACCTGGCCTGTATCAGTTCTCCGGGAACGACTTGTAATTGGAATTGAAAGAGTGTGGGAAAAGAAAGAATCGACTGTGGCGAAACGACCGTGTACAATCAAGATAGCTCAGCTACTTGAAGAAGAGAATCCATGGAAGACAGAGAAGGAGCAAAAGAGATATATAGGAAATGCTTGTCCCAAGGTCCAGCCCACAGACCTACTCGGTACCTATTTACGGAGTGGTGTTGAGAATTAGCGTTTCGATTCATCCGATGCGCTCCTGGGCTCATCTGAGATGCCAACAATCTCGCTCGATGGATGATAGCCCAGGAGCAAACCCTTGTCTCAGACACAAAGGCCAGTGAGTTAGTGGGGGAGAATAGGGCTTTGGTGTCAGGCCTCAGGACTCGATGATAGATCTCAAACGAGCCGCTTTTCCCATTTGGGGGTGGTGGCTCAGGAACTCATGAGTGAATGTACGCCGTTGTCGTCGCCTGGGCAGCGCAACCCTGTAGAGAGTACGCACCTCGGTAGGGTTTGTCACGTCATGTCTCTTGAAGGGTGAGAGGGGTGAACAGATGACCCGGAACTAAGCTTTGTTGCAAATACCTCGTAGAGAGGATGATGGGAGAAGAAATTGGTTTGGTGTCTGAAGGGGCTGAAAGGCGGTTGGGAGGGTTTCGCCACGTTTTGGCCAGCGACATCGTGCAGCAGCTTCGCCTCCGCATCTTGGCGCTGAAACACGACAACGTCTCCTAGTTAAGTGGTAGCCTGAGTCAAGTTGGTACCTTAGGTACTGGTTAACTAACTTTGGCATCGAGGTACCTAACAGCCTGGTATGAGATGCCTAAAGGTGAGATAGCTTCTCCTGCAGTGAGCCCTAGATAGATCTTTCTTTGCCTGGCCCTGCCGAGTAGCCGGTGTTTGTTCTCGCTTACTTTTCTCCGTACGAGGCCAGTATCCGTAATATGCTCATGGTGCAGCTCATCTGATTCAGACTTGAGAGTAATGCAGAGTCGGGTGGTGCGTTCATTCAGACCTTCTACAGGCCCCTCCTAGTGACCCGTACAATTTCACACACCAGATATCTCGCTATCGCTATCGCTTTGTATCGCTACGTTGACTCCACAACCCTTGAAATCCAAGCAATTCAGCCTTGAACATCTCGAAACACAAACACCGGCACCATTTCTGTCAGAGCAAGGCTGTCTTTTTCGTCATTATCGTAAACTAGAACAAAGTTCAGTCATGCGAGTCATCGTATCCAAGAATGTCTGCCATTCAGGCATACGGAATACTCGGTACCCTCAACGCTCATACCACTGGTGGTGTACCACTACCATTAATCCACCACATTCCAGGGTTTCGTACCCAAACCTCCCGTCATCTCCCTCCAGCACCCATGCGAGCAATTCCTTCCATAATCCCTCCTCCCCTTCCACCATACCCATTAGACTTGCTGCTTGGTGCTTTCAGTCCAGATCCTGGAGCTGGGATCCCCGAATATTTACCAGCCGTAGGCTTTTGTAACATGCTCATCGGCCGGGGTCGACTTGTAGTGGTTGCGGGCCCAGGACTTGGTCCAGTCATGCTATTCCTGAACTTGTTCGGACTGGCAATGGCGGCCGCACTATTAGGCCGCCCATTTCCGTCCTCGCTTCGTGGAGGGCTAACAGGTTGAGCTTGTTGTCGCACAGCCGCCCGTTGTTCTTCTTGCTGAGTGCTCATGGTGAGGAATAAATCCACTTGAGCGACCAGTTCCCCCTTTTCCACTCTCTCTTGTTCCACTTCCTTACGCAGAGAATCCGTCTCCATTGTCAAAGAGTCCACCTGGCCACGCAGACCAGCGGCTTCTGCTTCCGCCATCTTGGTTCCGGCAGTCGCTTCTTCATTCCATCTGCGAAGCTCTTCAATCTGCCCCTCCATTCTCGAGATCAGCTCACTCTGTCCAGGTATGACCCCACTCATCGTCGCCTCCTTTTCCGTCTGTAGCCGAAGAACCTCTTCGTGCGATTGCTTGAGTTCATTTCGGAGTTGCTCGACCTGCTTAATCCAGCGCTTTTCATAGCTGACCTTCAAGTCGGATACCTTTCGTTCATGTTTGCTCTTGTACAGAGCATGCAACTCACGAGCGACCTTTTCGGTGGCATCCTTGACCGCAAAATCAATGTCCAAACTTAATCCGGGGGTCGCTGGTCCACTGGTTTTGGCGGGGCTGGGAGCGCATCTGACACGCTCTGATTTAAGGGTATCGAGAGAAGCCTGCAATTCTAGAATTCTGACTTCGTGCTCCTCCACTTTTCGATCCGCCTCCTCCGTCTGTCGTCTAAGCTTTTCTTTTTCTCGTTCTTCGAGGAAGACGTTCTGCTTTACCTCACGGAGCACTTCTTCCATCTCTCGACTTCTCCGCTCCAATTCATCTTTGGTATGCTCCAGGTCTTCACGAGAGGCACGTTCAGTCCGAAGCTCTTCGCTGATTTTACCTGCTCGAACCTCGGCATCGGTGATGGAACGCTTCAACGCCATGACTTCGGCTTCTTTGCCAGACAGAGTCGCCTCCAAGCCAGAAATACGTGATTGCAGTTCCGACCGCAAGGTTTCTAGTTCACGTGGTGTAATGGTTGGAATGGACCGAGGGGTGGCCATAGGTTCGAGGTCAATGTCCAACAAATCAACCCCCAGTCCAGTAGAACTACTGTACATGCTATGGCGCTGAGTGGCAGGAGTCGATGGGACCGTCCTTTCAGCAATTTCAGCAAATACAGCTTGATGCTGTTTCTGAGGTGAACGGCCCGTGGCTCTCTCGCGATCAACAGATGCCTGTGAGCGGTGAGCAGGGCTAGGATTGACCTTGATGGGAAATGCCCCTCTCCCTGACGGACTTCGTCTCATCGTTCGAGGCGCTGAAGTGGGAGGTGGAATGACAATATTAGTTTGGGTAGTGAAATTCATCAGATCTGTAGGCGAGTCATTCGAGTTGCGTGGTCTTCGAGGTGTCGCATCATCGTCTTCGTTGGAAGACGTGCTATGCCGCGAAGAAGAGAGTAGCCGCAAGGGTCGTTGGCCGGTGGTTGGAGTGCTAGCAATTATGGATGTGCGTAATTGCTTGGATGGAGACCATGCCTCTGGACCTGGCTGTTTAGACGGGGAGTTGCGTAAATTGGCGAATCGGGTCATGTCTGTAGGGATAGCCGAGATTGTGCTTAAATCACCAACCGTCTCGTCGTGATTGGATTTATCGTCTAGACTGAGTGTCACGGTCAGGTCGTCAAGATTGTCTTGGTCAATAGTGTTGATGGTGCTGTCGCGCTCGGGGGATGGGGCGAGGCTACTGCTGGGACTGTGGTGGAGGATGGAGTCGTCCAAAGAGTCGGTGTGGGGAATGTTTTGCATGTTCTCGATGGCTTGAGTTAGGCCTTCATTAAACCGCAGTGTAGCCTCGGCCGGTGAAGCAGGAGGCGAGTCCATGCCTTTAGCATTATCTTGTAAACGATATTTAATTGGGGAGAATCCCTTTCGCGGGCTCGGGGATTGACTGGGAGGTGCGGGAGGAGAGGTGGGACGGTCGATAGAGATGTTGGAATGATGGATATCCATGGCTTCTATTGAACTTGTTTGCGCCAGGGCGACTGAGGACATGGTAGGAGGAGATTTGAGGGAATCGGTGGACAGGTTGAATTCTAGTTTGTTGTTGAACTGAAGCTTGACGGGAGAGGAGCGTGAGTTCTGTTTGGCAGGCGACAAGGACGACAATGGCTCAGGCATCTTGTTGGCAAGCGAGGTAGAAGCAAAGGGAAGTGATGTTGTTGCTGAGATAAGGAAGGATGTGAAGAATCGCCATGAAGAACTGCGGGTGTATGGATGAACGAGTGTTTGTGCAGATCACGGTCACGGTCACAGTGTTGTGCCAGTGTCAAAGGTGTCAAGCATGCGGGTTGCGATGGAGACAGGAGAGAATAATAATTGGGTTTGACTCCAGCGGTTCCTGGCTAGCGGCCCAAAAGGGTTAGGCTGCAGCAAAACATGCCAAGACCTCTAATCCCATTTCAGACAAGCGCCTTCCTCCCAAATCTACACCCATCTCTTCTCTTCATCTCCTCCTGCATCATGCTTGCATCACCCTCTCCACTGATCACTCCTCACAGGCTTGACATCCAACGCTTATGCATCTCTCCCCAGAGATGCACCGTCGCTTGAGCAGCTGTTGTTGAATTTCCAAGAAAAGGAGACACTTTCGCCTGATTTTGGATGTCGGTCTACAATTCTCATGATATGATTCGATCACTGTCTAAAACATTTTCTTGTAGCGACCTGCACTGAAGTGCGGCGGTGCCGACCACAACTGGAGATGAGACATATCTTCATTTAACGCCAAGGCTTGATTGGTGACACCCTATCGATTATCATGCAGTAACCCGATAAGCAGATTAAATTTAATCACGACCGTCGTCGCCTCGTCTACAATTACATGTCTCCTGCAGAACCTCGCCATACAACCGGATTAGTCTGCATATTGGTAATTGCCACCGCCTGCACAACGTCCCCCCTTTTCACTTGCTCGATCTTTTGTTGCCGTTCTTTCCACAATAGTCGAGCTACTCCGTTTGCTGCAAGCAGGGCCCCGTTCTCGTGAGAACCCCTCCAAACTCCTTCGGTGACAATCTGGTCGTTGCGCTCTTCATGGTCTCGTGCCATGGAACTCGCATCGCCCTTATCCACGGACGAAGCTCCGTACCTTGTCAAGATTTGTGAAACCCATTTCGGACCCTTCCAGATGACATGCTCTGTCAAGATCGCCTGGTCTGTGTTGAACGAGTACCCACTCAGACTACCAAAGCTGCTCACTGTCGAGTCTTTGGGTCTAAACAAGAAAATCGTGCTCCACAGCTTCGTAGCACACACATTAATGACCGAAATGATTGACTCGAGATCCGATAGCTCCAATTCGTGCTGGACGAACTGAACAAAGCCAGGACCCAACAACTTGGGTGCAAACGTCTCCCCACTGCTACATGGTGCCAGAACGGTGCCAGTCATGGAGAGCACCGTCTGTGAAAGTCTCAGAAGGTGACTGAGGATCGCGAAGAGTAAGAACGACTCTCGGTCGATGTGTGGAGCGTGGATTTCGTGTATATTTGTCCTTGAGCGCAATGCCCTGTCTACGTCTTCTGCAAGAGTCTCCATACTGCGCAGCAAATGGTCGAGAGCCAACACATTCGCCAGCCTTGGTTCATTGGATTTTGAGGCACTTGACTCTAACTTTCTTCGGAAGTAAAGGTCCACAATGTGCGATCTGAGACCATATCTCCGACGAAGGTTATCTAGAAAGTGACGAGATTGCCCTTGTGATATATCGTTGAGTCGAGAGTTCACTTGTCGGAATCGAGACAGGTCACCGTTGAGGTTCACATGTTGAGATATTTGGACTAACGTCTCTGCTGGAAGATCTAAAAGAACCGCCATTCTCACTGAAGTCGTTCTCCAAAGAAAATCACCACCAGTGAGGCAATTGACTGCCCTTTTAATCCATACCCGTAGACCCCATCGCGATCATTACGGTGATTAGTCGTACTGTGCCTCGTACCAGTATTTATCGGCCGGTCATACGGCGGGTGACAGCCATGCAGGTGATTACGCAATTTGGAAGTTGGTGTTTCGCTAAGATCGGTAATATCTACAAACTTCTAAATACTAATCAGCAACTTGGCTTTTGAACCAATCAATCCCAACTTCTAAGCAATCTTGATATCGTATTCACATCGTTTGAGACTGCAGAGGCTGTGATTACCTAGGTATTACTTAAGGTCCTCAGAGTGACCTGGGCAGCTGCGGGTTACTCAGCCGTTCCTTCCGGACTGATCTGCGCTTATTGCTAGAGACTCTCCCATTTGATACTGGTGAGATTTTCACTATTTCTGAGCTCCAAATTATTTATCGTACGTTATAATCGACCATGTTCTTGTGAAGTGGTTAAACATACCTAGGTACCTCACTTAGTAAGTCTGGGCATCAGGTAATGACCCAACCTAGTAATGACCCATGCCTCGATATCGCCACCACGACAACTAAATCATGAATTTCCTATTCTGCAGGGCCATTGACACTAAATTGATGCATGAATGGTGTCAAGGAGTCATCCAAGTGTCTATTACTAGTGGTATTCCTAGTGGTTGAGCGCGTAGTTGACGTCGCTGTCGCCCCTAATGCCTCCATACCTTGCCTAGCTTGCCTGATAGTCTCGATACTCGCAAATACCTCATTGCAATCGATTGCGACTCGCGGTTGTCTCCTGGTAACTAGCTCATCTAGCTGTTGACGCTGAGTAACGAGCTGTTGCGATTTAATAGTGATATCCCATTGTAGCTGGTCGAATGCTTTAGCCGTTTTTTGGAGTAGTCGACGTACTGGGCGAGAAAGAGTCTTCTGGGCTGAAATCGACTCTGTTTCCTATCGTATTTGCTGTTGAGTAAGTGGCGTATGAATATCATTCGATATATACTGAGCTTGCTTGCGTAACGGTGGCGTAGTTGGTAGTAGTCGCTCATTTTGGCTGTTTTGAAGGACTTGACTCGATCGAATGACTTTGCGAGGATCCCATGGATATATACCAGCTGCATTCCACGCCGTACGAATATAATAGGTTAATAAGGCCTCATTGCTTGCTTTTTCATAGGTTTTGAGAAATCTGCTCTTCTTTACGGCCGAGGCGTCGTCGTACCTTGCTAAGTTAGCAATCTCATCTCGATAACGGCATTTTAGGAGCGAAAAGTAGGCAAGATCCAGCGGCTGGAGAATATGGCTTGAATGAGGGATTAGGTAGACTAATACCACTCGATTAATATGGTATTGCCACATAAACTCGTACGTAGCGTGACTTTTATGCCCGTTAAGTAAGAGGAGTCGATAGCTATTCGTTGCCGTCTAAGGGAGGAATATTTAATGTAACCAAGCTATTCCGATAGTATTTAATATCCATCCATTAGGTGAAACCGTATAGGAATAGTTAGGAGTATCTAGATCCGTAAATCACGTTGATTAGAGCATATTTCCTTTAAATATAACGAGACACTGTAGTCGACGGCTAGTCGCTGATATTGTCTCAATAATTGAGACCTATTCACGATTTTCTGGTGTTGCTTTGTAGGATTGGGTAGTACCAATCCTGCCAATTACTTGTTAATTGGTATAGACGCCTAGGGCGATTCTAGTCTCATCCATATTGTAGATATAGTTCGAGGGTATTGAATATCGCTCTCGAATAGTATTAAAATGCTTAAACCAGCGATTTAAGGACTCAGGAGTAGTGCTCTAGAGACGTAATCCATAGATCTTTTTACCTACTTTAGAGCGAATCTCTGGATGACGTTAAATAAATCGTGATATCCAGTTTTAACCAATACTCGAATACTCCGTTGGAACACCTCGAATAATAACGACGAGATCTCGTACTTGAGTAAAGCTAGGAGGGTGTCCTTACACCTCAAGGTCGAGTATCCATCGTACGAGCATATGCTCCTGTTGATTCGATAGGAGTTGTTGTGGTTCATGAGCAGTTACTCGTGAAAGACCACCCTGTAGTCGACGGCCAAGGCTTTTTCGATCTACGTCATTTGCCGCCGCTGCAGCGCGGATACTGGTATATCGACGATTTTGGTAGTCGGATATCGCTTGGAGCATTCTAGTCTCTCGATTTGACGCCATTATATCGTACATAGAAAGGAAATGGTTGAGTAATGAGGTGTTGTAGGAGACTAGGAGCATGAGACGCGACTGGAAAACGCGTGGGTCATTACTAGGTTGGGTCATTACCTGATGCCCAGACTTATGTCTGCCAGAGCACTCCGAAGTAGGCGTTCAAGTGGATTGAGTACGGCCAACTCCAGCGCAAAGACTGGGGAAGGGCACTAACCACTTCAGGAGGTACTAGCTCGCAAAAGCTTGGCATCAACCTCGGACTCAGATATGAGGATCACGGCCATTCTCCTCCAGCATTCCAATCCAGGTGAGAACTCGCACATCCCTTGAGAAACTCGTATTCGTACAGGCCCTTTTCTTCACGGCTTGTGCCATCTGTTCCGCTTGATCTGTGCTCGATCACAGCGATGTATCAGGGCACCATCATGGATTGCCAATCTTGCATCGCGGTGAAACCCCCTAGCCATCTTCTCACAGATGGGACACGCGTGGGCGCAACGACAAGAACGACACACTTGATACAAGTGTGTCAAGACCAGTCCATGTTCTTATCAAATCGTTCCATGGCAGCGGCCCATCAAAGTTCTCTGACTGAGTTATAAGCACTCAAGTCTCACATACGCTACGTGATCTGTGCTCCGCACAGTCAATCGCGAGTATGGTGGGCCGCGATTTAACACGCCTACCGCGTCGTGGAATGATTGAAGGTGAGTATGTGCCCTATTTTTTGGTGAGAGCGCTGCGTTCTTTCCAACCTCCTCACATTGTGGCCTCCTTCATAATGAAGCCTTGTCCCCAAGACATCTGCCAGTGGTTGGCAATCACATCAAGCAATCGAAGCTTCTCAATTTCCCTTCTGCTCGTTCTCCTCGTTACTGCAATGTGCCGTTGCGGCTGCTAACCCCGTTTCTCTTTTTATACCTTGCTGAGTCTAGATACGAGTATACGCATTTAGCAGATCGTGCTAAAATTGTTCCATATGGCCCCAATGGAACATGCCCTGCTGCCCAAACAACAACTTTCGAGGTTCGCCCGTTGTATTTCAGCGACTTCATCCCCACAAATACGATCATTGATCCTTTCCGAGATGGTCATCAGGTCACTGTCACCAACGCGCCCACCGTAGTGGTCATCTTGTCTTATATCACAACAACCATAACTCCGACCAACTCACCTGTGAATCCGACGCCCCGGCCAACCATTATCTCGAGTGCTGCGAGCAGTGGGCCGAATAACCATTCACCTTCAACCTTCTCTCCATTAAGCACCACCCTGCCTGTCTCTTCGAGTTCGAGTGTATCTGAGAAATACTCTTCAGCACCACAACCCGATTCTGACCAGAATCCTCCCGTACTTTCCGGTCTCGTTGGTGGAGCGAGCAGCACCTCCAGAAATCTAGAAACGACTTCCTTCACACCGACACCTGGAATTTCCCTTCTGGGTACCCCGGCGAGCACCAACGCAGAGATACCATCATCCCAGATCACTTTAGCAAGCTCCTTAGATTCAGAGTTGAGCACTAGCGTTCCTACTCAGATAACACTTCCTCCGTTGACTATTGGTGCTGGTATTCCCGCGGGATTTGTAACGTCGCTGCCTTCCTCCAGCCCTATTCTCTTGGCTCTGGATGACTTGCAGATCGACAGACAACCCCATTGGGCACATTTCAAACGCCAAAATACCATGCCCGACCAGGCTCCAGCAGTCACTTCGGCTTCAACAATATCTGTGGTCAATCTAGCCACAGCTACTTCGCCTGGAACTGCTACCACAAGTGTATCCAATGGTGAATATACATTACCCCCAGATAATTGTGACGATGCTACTCCATTCATTCTCAGCGATGGCTTGCTCCTGCACAATGGCGCGCCCGTTGGCAAGTTTTTTGGAGCCACTACAGCCCTTCTAGGAACACTAGATGATGATGCACCACCAGACCAGGTAAATCGAACTTTCTTCCTCATTGATGGCTATCTGCAGTGGCAAACAAATGACGCTGGGCCTGCAACTTTTTATTCTTGTGATGGTATATTGTGGGCAGGTTTTCCTTCGCCGCCAGCTATGCGATGCAATGAAGTGTTGGTCGGAGCATTGGCCGCACGAGACTGCGCGTCTAGGGTGCAACAGACAGCCTTCGTCAACCCTTCGCTCATGTTGTCGGCAACCCAAGTGTCGAGAACAACGCGATCAAGACGAACCACGTCAACAGCAACAGTGATTAGTACTGTTTATGTCACGCCGTCAAGTTCGATGTTTCCAACTTCTGAATCCACGGAGGGATCCACCGGAGTGGATCCTATCTCAAAGAATTCTGAGACCACAGCCTCGCTGCAAACTTCGATGGATAGCCCGCCATCTTCGACCACCGCAGTTGCATCGACGGCTTTTCAGCCCAGCGGCGTACCTGATGCAACAAACATTCCAGGGACCAGTGCACTTGCTTCAACTTCAACCCTTGATAGTATTGACTCTTCCAGCCCGTTTTCTTCAAGCACGGCCACACCTTCAAGCTTTGCTACATCAGCGGACGCCTCTACATACTTAAGTTCCTCCTCGGTTACCACAAGCAACGTCGTCGCATCGAGCATAAGCCAGCTGGGTGTCACAACCTATGGCTCCCAAATAGTGACAACAATGGTGACCACGCCAACCCCAGGAACAAGCGCGCTCGCGACATCGGTCAGGCTGCCAATAGATGCCCTTTGCAACGAAGATAACTGTCTTAGAAATTTAGCAGATCCAAGCTATTTTTCCCTGGCCACGACATTCTGTCCAACTTACACACAGGCATCATCTTTGCCCACACCATCATGGGTAGATAGGTGTGGGGGCAGTCACTCGAGAGTAAGTTCTGCTTGCAGCTGCCTGATCACACCCACCGCCACCACTAGAAACGTCGTCTCTACTGCCAATCCAATACGAACTTCAACTCTTTCACCCTCAGCTCCAAGTTCTGGATCTAGCTTGGTAGATCCCGCTACTTCTGGTGGACTTCCGTCGAGGTATTCTTCCTCCCCAGATTCCATCTCGTCGCTCTCAAGCTCAAGCTCCCACACCACGGCTTTTGTACTCGCATCTTCGACTTTACTCTCTGTTTCGGGTATTATCACCAGTGGAACATCATCAAATACCCTGGCAGCTTCTCTGTCGAGACCCTCAGTCGGAACATCAACTCAGCTTTCCGTGACTAGTAATATTCCAGGAGCATTGTGCTCTGGACAGACAAGAGAGCTGTCACAAGGCAATCTTGTCATCGGACGTCAAAACTATGAAATTGTACAGTCTGGCTCCTTTTCGTACGAAATAGCATGTTATGCATCTCAAGACAGCTCTACTACGACTGGCATCATGAGGACCAATGTGCAGGACTTTGAAAGTGCTATATCCCTCTGTGATGATTTCAACACGAGTAATGGCGTTGGCGCATGTCGAGGCGTCGTCTACAACGAGTCATCAAAGTCTTGTCTCATAGTTACTCATTTCAGTACGACTGTCTATCCGGAATTCGGGTTGAACACAAGGACTGCTCGCCTGATATTCGGTGATTACCTTTTCATAAACGACGCCTTCTATCTACAGCCTGGGCCTCGAGTGAGTGATCTCGGCCTGTGCCAAGATAGAGCATACTCATTTGATGCGATATCTCCAGAATACCTCGGCGCATACGAGAATCTATACGAGAATCATTGCGGCAGGCACTTTATCGGTGTCCCAGGCAGCCTTGTCAATCCTTCGACCGTATCGTCCTGGGCGAACATCCTTTTTGGAAGCAATCCTTCGTCTGCCGAAGACTGCATGAGACTCTGTGACTATGGGAATCGCCAACAGCTATCGCCACCGCCGTGCGTTGTCTACACGTATGATATCTCTTCCTCACTATGCTCCCTTTACGGCGCAACGGATGATACTGTATCTAACGACCCTAACATCAACGCCGGCCGACTGGTAGATAGTGTGGCGAACTATCCAAGTCCAGTAGATCGACCAGCAGTTACGGGATATGTGTCGAAGTTTCAGTATGTCTCAATGGTGGTCACCTCATCAGCAACTCAGTCATCATCTACAACGATGACCATAGGAACGCCCGTTGTCGCAGGCTCAACCGGAAGTGCAGTGCCAAGTGCCTCGTCTATCGATCCAAAATCCACAGCCGCCTCTTCCACGTTCAGAGCGCCAACTACAATATCTAGTGCACCAGGGTCCATAATGGTGCCCACCACAACAACATCAGGGATAGGTTATGGTTCGGCAACTTCCCAAAGTTCATTGGGCCTGTTTTCTGCATCCTCATCCACAACTGGCTTCCCGATTTCGAGAGCGGTGAGCATCTCCAGTAATTTTTCTTGCACTATTCATAACCGCACTTCTCACTTCTTCCCTGAGTTCAAGGTTTTCGCCAAGTAGCATTTGAGACCATCCTTTCCAATGTCTTGTCGCAATGTTCACCTCAGCGCGTACTTCATTTGGTTTTCCGCATACTCCTTATTCAGCATTTGCAACAAGTAACTCTAGTTTTACTTCTTCCCAAAACATCTTGTCACTATCTGTCTTCGTCGACATCATCACAAACTGGCACCTTACTTACTTCTTCCCAGAGTCTTGCTTCGACAGTTACTCCGAGTAACGCATCGCCCTCTTCCTCTCAAAGCATTGTTTCCACATCCGTGCAAAACGACGCACAGCCATTTTCACCTGAGAGCACCTCTTTACCGGCTGCCCTCAGTCATTCACAGCTTCCTTCATCTCAGAGCGTTATTACGACATCAATGTCCAACAACGCACAGACTACTTCATCATCTCAGGGCATTGCTTCAACATTTATCCCTAGTGATGCACAACCTACATCATCTCCGAGCATTGTTTCGATGTCAACATCAAATGTACCAACGACTCCTTCTCAGGGGACACCATTAACATCAACAGTGTACGCATCATCTAGCGCAGTGCCAAATTATGTTCAAAGTAGTGGTTCGATTGCGGTCCCCACTACTGAAACCCAACTGTCCGATACAATGTCCTACGTAGTCGGCTCTTCTACTATGGCTGTAACGCCAACCAGCTCAACTTCGTCAAGCAGCCCGTCACCAGCGCCAGTGACATCTGCATCACAGACCGTGGGATTAGGTTTGAGTACGAGTACGAGTACGAGTTCCGTGTCTGCCATAGTCACAACCTTCCTGTCGGGTACATTGAGTCAAAGCGCTGTACCCGCAGGAAATCCGACATCTAGCACAAGCAGCATGACTTCAACCAGTGATGCCCAGTCCAGCTCAGTGTCTCCAACTACAAGCACCACTTCGGCTGGCAATTCTCATTCAGGAGCAGTGTATTCGACCCTGAGCACGAGTACAAGCGCTCTGGCTACACAGACGACGACAACCTCAAGCACCATTGCTGGATCCGCGAGTACAACCACTACAAGTGCACTTAGTACCATCCCAACAACAACCTCAACCACCACCGCTGCACCAGCCAGTACAACGACGCAGTCACTGCCTACCTGCTCTCCCGGAGTTCCGGGTAACCATGGGCCTGACAATTGCTATTTTGGAGTGGCCCTTGGCCTCGGGAATTTCTTGGACCTCTGCCTCGTTGTTGCTGCGAGTCTCGGGACTGGAAGCACCACCAGCAATACGCGCACGGCTACCACGACCTCGGGCATATCTCTTTCCACGACCTCTCACTCCCAAACATCATCGAGTATCTCAAACTGCCCGTCGTCCATAACGACCGGCAACGCCGGCTTAGGGTTGACTATTTACACGCAGTTCGATCTTTTCCAAATGACATTCGCGACGATCTGCGTGGTTGTTACGGCAGGGCCAACAGGCACAACCCGCACTTCGACTGTATCCACCACTTCTTCAACAACATCTCTAACTACAAGCTCGTCCAGTCGCACATCGAGCACAACATCATCCTCCGCAGCCGCCACCACAACAGCAGGAGCAGGATGCACGACTGTTGTGCAACTCTGCGCAGGCCAGACACTCCAGAGCTTAGGCCTCACGCAAGTGACATGCAGCTTGTCGATCCCTGCTCTATGTACCCTCTCGCAGCTTCTGGTGGACGTAACGAGTGCCTGCGTGACTCTTGTCCCGCGAAAACGTACCCCACTCAATGGCTGCGCTTCCTACGGTCGAATTGGCACTGGCATGAACGTGTTAGGTGCGACGGGTCTAGTGGGCACGTTGACTGTTGCACAGGTCCAGGCTGCCATAGCTGGAACGTAGAATTGTATGCCCAGTGGTACCTTTTTGACCCTGAGCAACCGTTCTTGTTTAGCGAACTCTCTGATCAAAAGAGGGCACATTGCCGAGAGAGTGGCGGTCATTGAGGACGTCAAAATCTGACTAGAGGCTTGATTGTGGACGTAGAACGGGAGGGAAGCACCTCCGCGGAGTCAGCATATGGGAATTGATATATTGGATGCTCGTGTACAGCTTGACAGATTGGTGCATACGAAGCTTTTAGGCTTCACGCGATAAATACGTGAGATCCTCGCGCTATCAACACTCAGGCACAAAGAGCCTGATATGTAGGATGTATTGGAACGATTTTCACGGTCGAAACGGGACAACAGGACGAAAAGGGGGAGGAATTATTGGTTAGATTCCAGAGAACTTCAAAATTTAGGGAGGACTAGGGAAACCTTTAGAATTACCTGGGTAGTTTTGGTTGGGTAAACGATGTTCACATACCTGCCGGCTGAATCAGTCTCAACTATTCAAATTGCGATGGTATTTTGTTTTGTGGACATGGTCGATCTGGTTCGCGGTTCGTGCTTCGAGAATATTTTGGACTTCTACAAATTATATTACCTAGGTGTGCGCTCCCCGCAACACAACCTGACTCAAAGTGTAAATCCAATATGCTCTGAAGCTTGCTTCATAGCATCTGAACTCGCTTTTTAAGTTCCCGAGGACCAGCGGGTGTCATGCTTCATTTATGAGAGTATCATGTTGAACAGATAGACCTGGACCGACAAAAAGTGGACGAGGGCGGGTTCAAAGCCAAAAGCGACCCGTTTTACCTGGATGATCAGTAGGTAGGTTTTGCCGAACAGTAACGTTTTTTTGGAACTACAGTAAACTACAATTCATCCTTCGTCCCCTTTTTCGCAGCACCGCCATCATCAGCCTCTTCAACCACCACCTTCGTAAAGCCCAGGGTGTTTCCATCAGGGCTCTGCTCACACACCGCGGCGGTGCCCACCTCCATGCGATAGACGCACTTCTCACTCTCACTGATCTTCCAGACCTCGTCATTCTCACTGCAAGCGAGATACACACGGGTGGAGCGACTCGGCCCGTTCCAACAGCCCTGGCCATTCTCGTACTTGAGGATCAATCGCTCGCCGGTGCCGAGGCCCTTGCCGTCCGCGGGGATGGTGCCTTCGTCGACGAACTCGGTGTCCCAGCCGACGAAGTTGCCCATGTTGGTGTGCGAGCCGCCCTTCTTGGATTTCTGCTTCGTTTGTGCCAGGAAGCACAGCTCGTACTCGTACTCGCCGCTATCGCGCGAGATGCACTGGTCCTTCAAGGCACGGAAAATCCCGTCGTACGGCCCGTAGTCTTTCTCGAGGTCTTCGCGGTGGCGCGTGAGATCGTTCTCGGTGTTTTTCACGTCGCGTTCCGCGTCTGACAGTGTTTTCTTCGCGTCCTGCACGGCTTTGCTCTCGGATATGGCTGCGCCGCTGGATGCACCTGCGGATGGATCAGGGAGGATACCGTTTTGGACCAGAGTTTCTCGGATCGAGGCGAATTTGTCGTCGATCCACAGACGGAGATTGTCTGGGAGATAGGCGGTGAATTGGTAGAGTGCAGCAACATCGGATGTAGCCGCTGAAGGTTCGTTTTGGAATTCTTCCCAGTTGATACCGTTGACATCACTGTCCGCTGCCATTACGGCGAATAGGTCCCGGTCTTCAGCGTCGGTCCAATTGTCGTTCGTATCCCGAGCTGCGTAGTCCTCCCAGCCACGGACTGCTTGCTTGACGCCTTCATCGTTGAAGTTGGGGTTATATTCCTCTTTCAGAGCTGACAAAATCTTCTCAAGCTCAGTGATTCTTCCTACCATCGCATCGCGTTGCTTCTTGGTCGTCTCTAAGTGGCCACGTAGCTCATCCACTCTCGATCGAGCAAGACTGACTAGGACACCCAGCTTACCACCGCCGTTTCCAGCGGCCTCTCCTCGCACGGCTCGTAGTTTCTCTCTTCGTTCCACATCTTTAAGGGCATCTGCTGCTTCCGTCACCTTCAGTTGGAAGCCTTTGAGTTTGAGTTCACTGGCTTCGACAGCGAGCTCTACTTCTCGCCGCAGTCTCCGAGCGTCCGCTGAGAGAGTGCTCTTCCTCTTCAAAGCAGCTTTCAATGCCTTTTGTTTCACCTCCTGGGCTTTCCTGTACTCTGTTCCGATTTCTTTGCACTTGTCCGGGCACTTGGTCCCACCGACTTGTGCCCACTCATCCGAACCATCACAACATAAATCATAGTCGCATTTACCATCATTAACGCTCTCGAAACGGATGTAGGAGGGTTGATGTCCCTTGTTCTTGCAGTAGAACCCAGGAAGGGCCAACGTGCTGTTTATGGCCGCAGTTGGAGTGTCTGGACCCGGGTGATATTGGGGAGGAGAGAGTGGTGAAAGAAAAGAACATGCAGCTGTTCCGGGCTCATCTGAACCATCAGGGCAGTCACAGAAGTCATCGTTGACCCGTGAAAACGGGATGGTCACCGAAGGGTTGGATATGCATGTGAAAGTGTTTGTGTCGGTAGTTTTGTAGAATTTGGCAACTATGTAATCAAAGTCAGTCTTGAAAAGGGACCAGAGAGTCACTGGGTGGAGTTTCTATCTTGTAACGAATGGTGGGCTGTTACTCCGGAGTGTTCTTACATTCAGGACTGACACCTCTCGGTCTGGACGATGAGGAGGCTCTGGTTTCGGCCGCACACACCGGTAAAGCCAGCAAAGGAGCCAGCAACACCAATTCCGACCGTAGAATCATATTTGAATATATTGAAGCACCACAGTGAGCTCGTGGGCCAGTGTCCGGAAAGTGTTTCGAATACTGTTCAATGTGAATACTTGTCCGCAATATCTTTCGGATAACTTGCCCCACGGTCAGCGTTTGGAGATGCCAAAACACGACTGCCAATTCAGGGGGTCTAACGCCTGATCATGTGACCCAAAACTCTTCGTGCCTCGGATGGATCTTCGCTGCATGGCGCGGAGTATCAGATCTCGACGGTTTGAGAGGATCTTGATCTACGGATACGAACGGGTGTCTATGATAGACTCTGCTGGTTGCAACATACTTGCACTCATTGTCTTGTAGAGGAGAAATGACCACTTGGTACCGAGGTTTCTTTTCCCAGTGATGACATTACAAAGGCATACCTGTTTTCGCAAAAGACTAAGCTTTTGCGAGGCTCTCGGGGTTTTGTCTGGTAACAATATATACCGCCTTAGGTCACGAAAAAACATGCCGTCGGTGTGGGCTTGGTTGCTGTTGGTGTTCCCTCCACTGCTATGCTGCCTCATACCTCCTGGATACCTTGGACATGGGCTGGATGGAAGTGGTTGTACTGGAACTGTGTTATAGGGGCATTGAATCGCTGCATTGCTTGTCATAGTTTCTCTGGTATCTTCAAACACATTGTCGAGACGTAAATTGGAATGCCTGAATATCGAACTTGGGAGAGAAAAAATCTCGAGAATCTATCTTCTGATAGCTCTTTCGGGATTTCAAACCGATCCACTTGAAATACTGCACATCCTGCTTTCCAAAGTTGTATGTACAATTGTGTAGAGAACTGGTGTTCTCTCTTCTTTTGATTTCGTTTCTTTTCTTTTTATAAATTTGGGGCCTGGTACTGAAACGGGAATCGAGCAGATTGTCCCTATCGAACTCACTGACCACCTTTTGATAACCGTTCGGCTTCTAATTCTCGCTCAGCTTGTTGGTAATATTTGGCAGTGTCCACGCCGTGCTATTTCGCGTCAGTGTCCCATAACACGAATATGGTACCCAACACACTTACTTGGTTATGATTGACAAAGTTCGCCCATGGAACAATATGCGCCATCAAGGCAGAGTATCTGCTGTTTCGTGCAGCAACACCCTGGTGATATTCACTCAGGTCGCTAGTGCCGTATAATGGTTCTCCTCGCTTGACCTTGTCGACCATTTCTCTCATATCTCTCTTGACCTCGCGATCATTCTCTGTCCAGCCATAGAATCTCACTATCAGAAGACACCAGTTAGTCTAGTCGCTCGTTTTCTCGGCCATTCATTTATTTTACGTACGGCAACTTCGCTGATATACCATGCCAGCTCCGGCGAGTAAACCAATACCAACGCTCAATCTGAAAACAGGAGGAAAAGCGCCTTTGCCGGAGAAGGAAGGGGCATATCGTTCGGTCAGAAGCATGAACGCAGGTCCTATCGCGGCCACGGTAGCTCCATAGGTCCAATCTTCGGGTCGAGCATAGCTGAATGCTCTACTAAAGTAGCTGTGGAAGGTTGTTATGTCAGTTGGTAGTCTGCATAAGCTTGCATTCGTGCTGACTGGGTGCCGGGAGTGAAACGTACGGATCGGTGTCAATAACCTGTTGGAAAGGGTCAGTCCACACGGTGATCAACGTGGATGGAAGTCTGTAAGCTTACAGGGTAATCAGTGTTCGGCCGCTTGGGCGGTATGAAGACTCTTTGCTCTTCCGCCATGGCTGCAGACGATTGTCATCTACTACTTCAAGGCCTCTGCTAACATTCAAATGTGAAGTTCGATCTGGACTGCGGAGCTCAGAAAGAGCTTGTCCCGTAATGGACTAGCGTTAAGACTTCGCCAAGCCGACCTGGGCATGACGTAGCCACTCGGGGATTTTCCATTACTGAACACGCGAAACCATCGCGCTACGCGTCTCCCAGATATCTCGTATGTTGAGCCAACGATTGACCACCATTGAAGATTAAAACAACTATCGCACCATTGCACTCACAGCAAAATGGCAGCAGGTCCCCTGACTGCAGCAACTGCAGATCATCTTCTCAACTATGATACAACCGACGATGAAGATCCATTTGGTGACACGCCCGTTAAAGCCGTACGCGACGACAAGCCAACTCTAAGTCCACGACAAAATAAGAGGAAACCAGATGATGGAGGAGATGGACTGGGTATCGACGAAGAAGTGCAGATCAAAAAGAAGAGGAAACCAATCGCGAAACTCGACGAAGCAAGGTATGCTTGATCCCCCCCCAAAGACTATGTTATCATTCTCACCTGATCCTCTCAGAGTTCTCTCGGCTCCAGGGATACCCAAGCTACGCGAATTAGCAAGATCAGGGAAAATATCCAAGAAACTAAGGTTGAAGGGCAAAGGCCATGAATTTTCCGACGTGGCACGCCTACTCAACTACTACCAGCAGTGGCTGGACAATCTATATCCTAGGGCGAAGTTCGCCGATGGTCTGCAACTGATTGAGAAAGCCGGCCATAGTAAACGTATGCAGGTCATGCGAAAGGAATGGATCGACGAGGGCAAGCCTGGCTATATCGCCAAGAAGCCGAACGCGCATGGAGACGAGTTTGAAACGGATGATCTCTACGGTGCAGGAGATGTCAACGCCACGGAGATCGGAAACAAGCAGGACTCGAATCCCATCGCAAGCATTTTCAGAAGTGCTGATGACGCTGATGACTCATTCTTCATTGCCGACTCGAACACGAATCGTAATTCCATTGATGATCTCGATCTGCCAGAGGACGACGAGCTGGACGCACTACTAGCGGAGCAAGACACAAGACCCGCGTCCTCCAAACCCCAAGCCACAACCAACAATATGGACTCCGAGGGCGAAGACGACCTCGATGCACTGCTAGCAGAGCAGGAGAACCGACGTGTTCCGACTTCCACATCTACTTCTCAAAAGGCGGGAGCACCAGCACCCAAGTCGCAGCCATTTGACGATGACGATGATGAAGACGAGCTGGATGCACTGCTCGCAGAACAAGAAGCAGAAGCTCTAGTGCGACCACCAACTATGCAAGCCCGAGCTCGTGAAAGCACACCGACTGTGCCACAACGCCCGGCACGTATCTTCGACGACGACGAGGATGACGAAATGGATGATTTGGACGCCCTACTGGCAGAGCAAGATGCAGCGCAGACCCAGAGAACTACTTCGATGCCATCAACTGCGATCCCCATAGGAATTGAACAACGCACGAATGATGCAGGCACGAGTGTCGTTGGTCAAGCGCAGTCGGATGTGAATGCAGATGCTCAGGCAGCAGATGGCGAGGAAGGCACGATGCTTGTACAGGGTGCTAGTGCAGAGAAACCAAAGGGAGAATCGCAAGACGCCGACGGAGAAGAGTTCGATATGGAGGGCATGTTCTCTTCCTCTCCCGCGGGGCAGGAAGCTTGATAAACTTCTTTGTGATGATTCTGTCGTCATGACCAGTTGGACTAAACTTGCTGATGCTTGATGTGATTGAAGATAGAGTTTCGCGCTGCCTCTATGATTAGAGAGGGGTGGTTGTATAATGAGAGGATGACGATGCACTCGTTTCTGACGCTCCTATGTTTGCATGTTGAATATTGAGATATCAAAGGAGGGCTAATGCAATGCTTGAGACTAGCCATGAAAGGCCCAGACTGCCCGATATATTCAAACCGAAATGATCGCAAACGTCAAGCCAAGAAGGCAAAGCCGAGTTCCGCAGTGCTCTCGGCGAACATCTCAAAAGAATGCACACCACCCAATATACATACGACAGAGATTCTTCTCATCCGTAGCGCGCTGAATCATCTCGTCCACATATCCGCCCACACTCAACGGCACACTCTCTCCGGCAAGCATACCTCTAACCTTACTCCTCACACCTTCTAGAACCTCAACCGGCGTGTTCGGCACACCATTGACGCTCTTCTTCTTCCGCCCAGGCCCGTTGATGAAGTCGGTCGTGGGATCATGCAGGAAAGTCTCGAGGATTGTCATCAATGCATCCTGATTACTGCGGAGCAGCGTGAGTGTGATCTCGCAGGTGCGACGGAAGGGACCTTCATAGCCGTACGCGCCCATGGCGTCGATCATGTTATGGGTGAGGCGGAAGGGAACGGTCTCGGGCTTTTCGAACGTCAGGCCTTTGTCGAACAGGCAATTGAAGTCGACGTGCAGGGTGCCGCCGTTATCTTCTTCGAAGAGGATGTTCTCGCCGTGTCGGTCGCCTAGCCCGAGCACGTGTCCGACAATCGACATCACGGCCGCGGACCGCGTGTAGCGCAATCGTGCGTTGAACCAGGCACTCGGGTCTGGGAAAGACTCGACGAACCATTCATGGAACACTGGGGGGAAATTAGACAGGACTTTGGTGCTGAAGATTTGCACTTTCTCTGGGTCGCCCGAGCAGGATTCGTCCAGGAGGTTGCGGATCTCGACGTAATTGGGCTGGATGGATTTGTCTTTGTAGAGCTTGAGTATTATGTCTCGGAATGTCTTCAGATTGTCGACCCATTCGATTAATCCACATTCTTCGTTTAGCGGAACGACTGCGTACGTGCGAATGTAGAGTCGACGTTTTGCGGCATCGACATCCCGTTTGAGGGAACGGTTGATCATCGTGTTGAACTCCATCAAGCGTTGATCTTTACGCAGGTCATCCTTGGGCTTGGCAAGGACGCTATATATCTCACCGTCGGATCCACGAATGGTGAGCTTGCGAGGTTTCTGAAGGGAGGAAAGAACAGCCGCGTCGTCGATGAATGCGGAGACCGTGACAGGCTCTTTGGCGAAGGGCCGAAATGCTTTCAGCTGTGCAGGTTCAAAGCTTGTAGGCATGCTTGGTATCAAGCATGCTTGAATCGGGACGACCAATTTCGAGGGCGCAATTTTATGGTTGAATCCTAGATCCTTAGATAGGCTCACCTTTGAGACTCGCCCTTCAATCGGGAAATCGGAAATACGAATAAGTTCTTTGTTGAGCTTTTGACCTGTCGTGAAGAGGTTCCTCAGTTCAGCTGCTGAGGTCATCTTCGAGGACTTCTTCTGAGCCTCAACAATTTTGTTGACTAGAGCAAGTCCTTTCACTGCACGCTCCTTTTGTTGCGATTCAACAACCGCCAAGAGCGTCCAATATGCTTGCTGTGGGAAGGCTTGAACCACTTTAACCACAATACTCCCAAGAATGTCAGAAACTGTCTTGTTTTTGTGGCAGATTCGTGCCACCACTTGTGGCAAGATTGTATAGAGAAGAGCGGCCTGTAGTCGATCCATGTACTTGATGATTTGTTTGTTCGTCTCTTCTATGACACGCTTTCTCTGCGCTGCATTATGTGCATGAAACTCTGAATTTCCTCTGCGTGGGTCTGGTGTAATTGCCGCACCATCGACAAGTTCAAGCCAGAGAGTAAGGATCTTTGGTAGCGTCTGAAAGACATATTTGCTACCATTCAAGAGTGATCGCAGATAATTGTCAATCACTAGTTTTGTCGCTTCGCCCGTTAAGAATGCCAGGCTTTCCTTCCCCGGTAGATTTGTCTTCTCAGAGTCCAGGATTCTGTTGTAGTACCGGCCTAAATGATACCATCCTTTTTCCCATTTGCGAAAACTCAAAGTAGCCTTGCGGAATGTTTTGATGATGATATCGGACTGCGTTTGACCAGACCTGTCAAGCCATTTCCCGAGTAATACGTTCGCTTTAGCTGTGACTTCGTTCTGGGAATGCCGCTGATCCACCGTCATGGTAACTGTTCCCCTCTCGGCAACGTAGTCATGAGCAACAAACGCGCCCGATTCAATCGCACCTTCTAGACTCTGGATGGCCTTTCGATGATGTCCTTCTGACCATATCAGTTTGGCGTGTTCGATCGCGGCTGATTTATCACCCAAGGCGGACGCTTTCAAGACCGCATTGAAAGCTTGAGTTGTTGACCTCGCCTTTCTTGCCAGCCTGGCGCTCGAGAGCCAAGTACCTGCAATATCGTTTGAACTGAAAAGGTTCGAACGAAGTGACATGATTGCTCGTCGGACTCCAAGGAGATATTGCTTGTCTGCAACGTTAGACCCTAGCACGTCAAGACGTCCCCGCAGGGCTTCAAACATAGGCATTCGATCCTCTACCGAAGCAGAGGCTATGAGCTCAATATCGTTCAGGACGTGTAGCTTCAATAATGTGTCATGTCCTGCATGAAACGAAGCAATAGTGCTTGGCGTGAACTCTGATGCGGTTGTACGATAGAGCTCTTCAATCATCGCAGGTACTCTCGAGTCGTTGTTTTCATTAATGGTGCGCATAATTTCCGTGACATGCGACGCAAAATCAGAGCCACCGCTGTCAGGCAAATAGCTGAAGAGCTGTGTGAATCTGTTGGTCGACCAAGCAGCTTCCATTGCGTACGAGGTCAAGAGGGCTGGAGTATTGCCTCGGCTCTGAATTCCATCAAAGTGGTGCAGGAGAACATCATACTGTCCAGATTCCTTTAAACAGATCATCAAGTTCTTCTGCACATCGATGTCATCAGGTTGGGCCACCAACTGCATTTCATACCAACTTTGTGCAGCTGTCCAACGGCCTGCAGCTCGATGTTCCAATACTTGTTGCTCAATATCAAGAACATGCATACGAGAAGAGATCCCTTCGATGCCATCGGGTTCATCGATTTGTGCGTAGATGTCTTGTAGGCGCTGCAATTCAGCTTCAACATTGTCAGATTTTGATTTGCGTATATGCTGTTCCCAATGGAAGAGTGCTCGTGCATAAGACTTGCACTCAAGCGAACGTCTAGCTAGAACATCAGGCGGAATGCTTTCCAAGACTTGCTCAATGCTACGAATCTGGTCGGCCGCAGCCATAAGCATGGCTTCATTGTAGACCCCACGCTCCGCTCGGATAGCGGTGTGAGAGTGTTGTTTCCTCTTCTTCTGGTGCCAACTCGACATATAGTCCAGCATCTCGAATACCGTTTGACTGCAGAGCTTGATATCATCTTGAACTCGGCGGTCTTGGCCTTCTAGAGAATGATTGAGTATAGAGTTGATCTCCTCAATAATCTCTCTACTGTCACTGTCAACCCCACTGACTATAAGGTTTACAGCAGCGTATGGTAGTAAGAACGCAGGTATGGCTGTGTCTTGACCGTGAATGATTCTGCAAGAGATGCCGAAAACAATGTCGGCATTTTCACCCAATCCCCGGTGTAGAAAATCCAATGTGATGGTTCGTAGCCAGTCTCGATGTTTCATGCCGGTTTTGAAGAACGGATATTGTCCCTTGGGATGAGGTTGAACCTTTTGCACTGTATATTTAGTGCTCAAGAATGGAGTCAACGTATTCTTCGTTGATTCCGGCAGATCTTCCCACAATTGTGAGGCGAGATTGCCGGATCTGGATTTTGACGGACTCTCTTGCTCGCAACATTTGAGAAATTCTTGCATCGCCCATCCGAGAAAACCTTGAGCTCTTGTTGTGGTTGCCGATAAGAAGGCTGGGACGAGCACACTCTGCAGAAAGAGGAACATCCACTGTATAACTTCATTGGCAGCTGAAAAATTCGATAGGACAACCATGGTCTGGCGCTCCCGGATACTTTCGGTTTTGCTCGTATCCAGGCAACCAATGCTACCCAAACATTTACCACACAATGTTGTGATGCGAGTACTAGTGTTAAACTTGATACATGCATCTAGCAAAGCTCTGGTAAGGTGCGTGACGAAATCATCGGCCTGCTCCTGGAGTATAGAGCGCTGTAAGAAATCCTGTTTTTCTCTCAAGAGAGGCGACAATTCCACCAGTGCCTGTTCAACAACACTTACATTCTCATCCCCGAGTCTTTTGGTATATGCAATGAGTTGGTGACGTTCGTCCATTTGACGTTTCAGCGAACCAATTTCTGTTTCGTACTTGGCCATGACTGGGATTGTGGAGAGAGAAGGAATTGTCTCGAAGTTCTCACGTATAGCTTCGGTATGTGTTTTCAACAGTTCTCCGACTATATCATAAGATAATTTTTGGGAAGCATCGTCCAGTAAATACCATGTTTGAACAATGATGGCGATTGTCTGATCAACCAGAGGCGCAATGTCATCCGTCTTCAAAGCTCTGATCATGGCTACCCAAGACGCGAATGATGCATTGCACAAGTCTGTGTCGTCCAGGCCAGATCGCAAACATGCACATATTTGTGGTAACGCACGCGTGACTCGACTTCTGCCAAGTTTCATAATCTCTCCCAAAGCAGACAGGCAACGCCGTTTCTCAAGCTTGGGCTCTTTTGCCTCGAGGTCATTTAATAGGACTGTGAAATGAGTAACAATTGCCAGAACATTAATCTCGAGAAAAGTGCCAATGCTGTCGCCGCGTTTAGTGCCAGAGGACTGCCCACGTTGGCGAGCAACCAACTGTGCGAGCAATTGTAAGGCCTGATAGATGCGTGAGGACTTGCCCTGACCACTGTCTCCGATTGCCTTGAGAAGCTCACACGAGATGTGTATGGGGTCGTGTGCAATCCAAGTTGCAAGATCAGTCTTCCCGAACTCTTCCGCAAGCTCAGTCAATATTTTGAGGATTGCTTGCTCCGGATCCGGAAATGGTTGAACGAGAAGATATGAGAGAATGGCTGTAAGATTCTTATCGAGTGTGCACATTTCAAAGACAGTGGTAGATTGGCCATGAGCTTCGGCGAAGCGTCTTATCGTCTCGTGGTCTTTATGAAGAACCAGATATGGGAGAGCGTATTCTGCTGCATGATTCATGAGACCCGACAAGTCCATACCCAAAAGGTCACATAGTTGGTGTGCAACTTGAGGCCTGCTAGAGATTGACTTCGCAAGCACGACACCTAGGGTACGCCAGAAAGGCCGCAGTAGAGGCCACACGGTAACCTGCATTGCCTGAGCAAGCTGCTGGATTTCTGCAAATACAACACCACTGATGTAGGGATTTGTGTGGCCAAGATATTCGACGAGTCTCACCAAGATGATATTCAATTCCTCATCACCAACAACCCGAGCCATCAGAGTGAGCGCTAATACTGTGGTCTCTTGCAAAGCTACTTCCCCTTTCTGCCACAAGTTTTGAAGGAAGTCGAGTGCGGCAATTCGGTTATCTCGAATCATTGTCGTGTCAACATTTTTCTTCGAGACAACATAAGTTTGCAGAGTCCTGGTCGCTGCGAGCCGCAGATCCCTCGATGAACTCTTGAGTGATTGTAAACACCACTCCCCAGCTGCAGTTTGACTGAGTCTGAGATTTTCTGCGGACGTGTAGTGGGTAATAATCCGCCGCAAAGCTGCCATAGCTATTATTCTCGCTTTGGAATGACGAGTGATATTCGGAATCAGCAGGAGTAATGTCTTCAATAACTCTTCACTTTCTTCAGCGAAAGGAATATCCAACATTACGGAATTGGATTCATCAGCATCGCATATGTGGCATGTGCTATCCTGAGAAATGGACGACAGTTTGCAGGCCGTTATTCCCATGAGCTCGATAATCGCACATTGTTTATCTGGTGCCATTTCTCGGAAGCTGGCAGTCGCCCTCTGACTGAAGCCATCAAGGTCAGGAACGGCACGGCCGCTCATTTGTCCGGTAAGCCGGCGACAAATATCTTGACGGTAGTCTAGACCCGGCAATCCATCTTCCTCGTCAGTTGATAGTCGTAGTCGTTTTCGAGCCCTGGTCGTCTCGGGCCAGCTTTCGTCCAAGACTTGAGTGGCAGCTTGCTCCGACAGTCTCGCAGGCAGAATGTTGAGAGCACCCAGTTCAAGTGAAAGTTCCTAGTTGACATTGACATTAAACTCGGATTGAGGACGGGTCGTTTGAACTTACTGCAAGTTGATCGTCGGTAACGTGTTCATTCGCAACATCATCAACGACTCTTTGGATATGCATGATCGCTTTTTTATACTGAATCCTACCGAGCTTTGAATCGGAGTACTTTGCGATGACTTTCACTACACGACATAAGGACAACAACAGCTCGTGACAATTGGCGAAGCTGAAGCTTTTCGAGAAGATGGTCTTGTCGTGTGAACAATTGGGCACAGTTGTTCCAAAGTCCTCACCGTCAATGACAAGCGGCCGGCGAGATACCGAGCTCGAGGAGGTACCAAGCCGAAGGATGCCTTGCTCGATTTCAGTGTCGTTGCCATGATCAAAAGGAGGAGTATCTTACCTAACAATGATATTCTGAAGTACTCGAGTAAACCTTCACTCTGGTTTGATCTTGCAGATTTCATACTTGCATGTAGCATCGCATCGTAGATTGCAGAAACACCGTCCCGAATCTGGACCGAATGAGAAGAGACGAGCAGGGGTAGAAGCCTTGGAAATAGCCATGTATACAGCGGAGGCGTCCAGTCAGGGTCATCTTGACGTTGGTCCGACTTCACGGCAATGACTTGGGGTGACCTCTCGATAACAAGCTGAATTACCTCGAGGCAATTCAGCAACTGCGCATCAATCCTACCTGCGCCAGCATTGGACTTGAAGGGATTCTCTTCAAGACTGGGTTCGATACCAACCTGAAAAATGATGCAGATCAGTCTGTGGTTGACAGAGACGTCTCCACCAAGGTTCGGTTGACCTTGTTCATCGGTGCTGAGGACTTCGGCCAAGAGTTGTTTGAAATTGTCACGATCGAGATCTGGCACGCCATTTCCATGAACAATATGGGTTGCCAATATGGATGATGGCGGCGGCTCAAAGCCATTCATTGGACGTGCTGCAAGCACTGGCGCCATGACATTGGGATCATTGCATTTTGACGTTGGATGAAGGTTTTGATCAGAAAGGTGTTGACGATGCGGAAGACGTGTTTTGGGCAGAACATTTCGCGTCATACTGCTGTGTCTGTGCTTCGCAGTATGGTCGGACACTCGATATGCTCCACCGAATTAAAGTGCCTTTCCCAGGCACGTGAAGGTCTGCCTCAGGCGAGAATCGAGAAATTTAATCATCAACTTTCTATTCATGGCACTCCTGTTTCAAAATCATCAAAACACTTCCTCTATAGTCTGGTCTTCGTCTATCTCCTCTACTACAGGTTTTTCTTCCTCGTCTCTCATTAACACCTGCACTAGCCGGTCACACACCTCAATAACTCCTTCGTCCTTGACATGTGCATGGCATTCACGAATTAGAGGATAGACCGACACACTCCTTAAGTGATCTCTGCCCTCCCTCGTCGTAGTAAACAACAGCAGAGTTTCGATATGTGTGGCTAGAATTTCTGGATCGCTTTCTCTTGATTTGTCTGGCGGTAAAAGCTGTAAATCTGGGAGCATATTTGCTGATTCGTCCTCAGGAAACTCTTCAGGACCTGCGATGGGTAGTAGAATGTAGGGAAGGATGTTGACTCCAGGTGTGCCATCATGAGATTCAGTCTCATCCGAAAGCAAGAGAGGATGTTTGTCAACTTCAAAGGCGGCGTTCTTAATGGTGCTGGCCACTCCCTTCCTTCGAATGTCGCTCTTATGTTCCGTGAAGACGGTTAATTTGCTTAGTGGGACAACTCCATCATAACTTCTCTTGCTCAAGAAATGATCTCGTCCGGACTTATATCGAGACATGTCTGCCAAGAGATAAGAGAGGTAGTCAAAATTGGCGTGCTTATTGAGGCTGCCATTTGCGCCTTTGACAAAACAATCAAACAACTGATCTAAGGCGTAAGGTGAAGTCGATATTGATTTGTCGGGTAGAGTCCGTTTCAGTGTGATTAGTCTTTCAAGGTGGTCTGATTTTGCGAGGTTGGACAGAAGCATGGCTATTTCATCTGCTGCTTGTTCTTTGGGATTCTTGTGAAGTGATTAGAAACGACAGTCTGGATGAAAAACTAGTCGTACAGAACGACAGATCTGAGAAGCATACAGTAATCTTCTTTACCAATACCTCGACAAATGCATCGTCCTCTGCCAGACATTTGAGAATTTCGGCATCATGACTGATGTTGACGAGAATCGTGAGAGCATTCTTTGCGATCGGCTGTCCCAGAAAACGGATGCTACCATCAGCATGGCTCTTTTCATAGATATAGATTCACCAGGAGGGAAACTGACAGCATAATCCCGGACAAGCAATTTCAGATCTTTGATAGGGACAAGTTGAGGTTTTTTGAAGATGTTGGGATCTGATGACAATCCTACGAGATGCTCACATGCTGTTGAGTATAAGTTAGCCCCTGGTCAATATCTCTCCCGAGTACGATTGTCTATTTATTCGGAATGAGGAAAATGGCCTGCTTACCAACTTGTCGAATTTGAGTATTGCCGTGGTGAAGGAATTCCACCAACTGCCCAAAGTTTAGCAACCATGATTGTGAGAAATCCGGTGGGACATACCTCCTCAACTTCCGTCGGCATGGTGAATTTTAATAACTTCAAATAATGTTCATTGACCACGGTTTTGGGGCATTGCCTCTTGATGGTTAAATGGATGCCAGAATTTTGATATTGTCCGAAAATAGTCTAGCATTGGCCGAAAATTATTCAGGCCTAGCGCCCTTCGGACTTCGGCTCTACATAATTGCGAGACTCAAAATCTATGCAACGTTTAACTCACCCATGCCGTGTCTTCAGCCCCTCCTCCAATTGTGGCGGAGTGCAAAGTACGATGACATGCGAACTGCTCGGTTAGTCTGTATTTCCTGCATGCTGTTGTGTGCATCATGCAAGCGCCCTGCCTTCGAACTTTTGTCTTGCTTTGACCTTGCAGGCTGAAAGATACAGTGCTCTGGTAGGCTGATAGCCATATCGGCAGGCAGCCTAGGCGTCCTGGCCCTCGTGATCAGACCCTTCAGGACGTACATTGTGAAATTCACTTTCAGCTCTCTAGTAGTAGGCAGGCCCTTTGGCTTGTCTCCAGAAGGCTGTCGCTTCTTCTCTTCTTTTCATGTATCGTCCTTCCCACGGCGATTGAGATCATCAAGCAAAAGACATTGCACCATTTGTACGGCGTACGTTGATATCCCGAGCTCAATCATAGCTGTGATGCACCACAAGTCCGCGCATCAACTTCTTGCCCAGTGGTATAGTGCGAGTCTCCATCACATTTTCCACTCAACACAAGAATAGGTCAGACTTTCTACATTAGCGACAATGGCGGCACTTGGGGAAATGCAGCCTCCTCCTCCACCTCCCATCCAGATACGCCAGGCCGTCGACGAGGTTATAAACCTCATCGTACAAATCCGTCACAAACTTACCACTATGATCAACTGGTACATATACCCTGAAATTGTACCCAGCGAGATCAAGGCATATGAACCACGTTTAATCATCCTTCAAGAGCGCCTCAGAGCACTAGGAACGATTTCGTATGAGGAGCTGGCCAATTTGGTTGATGGATCTGATGGTCTAGCATCACAGTACCTACTTCAGATCGTGGAACAGCTGCTGACCTCTGTGATTGCAATCGAAAAGATTTTTGCCAACCACTACGATCCTGAGCTCCACATGAAAAGGCCCATGAACACAATCTGGTATACGCTGGACTATCGAGGCCAGCAATTGAGACTAGTAGCAGGACAACCGATGATCAATCCTCGTCGCCTCTTTCCTGAGGATTACCGTGGTGTCAATGTACTTGGGAATTTTTGTCGTGGTGCGGTACAAATCCTAAACAACCGAGATCGTGGCAAAATCTCCTTCATCGAGAAAAAGGACTTGAAGGAAGAAAATAGCCGCAAACTGCGAGATTTTGGTGGCGCATTCTTGTACTGGGAGTGCGCTGACTGTGCGTACAAAGTGCGATATCACGTTAGCAACTCCATGACTTCGAATATCCACACAACGGATGAATTCCGAGAACAGGAATCGGCTGCAATCCAGTATCGGAGTTCATTTCTAGCGAGAAGCCACTTATATCTGCCACTGGCTTCGACAACACTCGGATCGTTGGGGAAACGCGAAAGTTTGACCATCTCCTCATCCACAACCAAGTATGGATGTCTGTTCTGCGCATCCAAGGGAAAAGAATTGAAACGGGGAAGTACAGCCTTTGCCAGGCCCGAAGATTTGGCGGAACATATTGGCACGTACCACAGAAAGCCACTGCCACCAAGTATTTTACTCCACAAATACCTCGTGGCAATTGCGGGTAAAATGGTCAATGATCGTCTTCGGTGGGATTTGAACTTTTTGTGAGAGGTCAGGTATAACATGCGACATGCTTAATGATGAATGAGGTGTGATATTTGTCGGTGGGAAGGAATACTTGATACTTGCTAGTGAAGTTCACTCTTGGATCTTTTAATCTTGGATCTTTCTAGGTGTTATGCTCTTTTTCCCGGAGGATGCTGTCTTTGAAGGATGAAGTAACAACTTGCGAGCGCTCTTCTTGTATCAGCAACAACTACCACCACGATAGTCTCAGTTTCTTGGAAATAGCGGTCCACTTTTCGCTTCTAACTAAAGCTCCAAGCTTTCTATGCCATTGCTACTAACAACAGACCTTCCTTGGAGCAAAAGTATTCGTTTGCATAATGATCGTTATCTGTAGAGTATTCGTAATTCGAGAGTCTGTAAGACACTGCTGCACTGATAATACCTGGTCAGTGGCTTTTCTAGAACCACAATCTCGGTTGAAGCATGTGGAAGTTGATTGCAAGCATCTTGACCAACTTGGCATGCAGTGGAGTTGTCATGGCGGCCTTCTGAGATAACCAACAGACACTCATAATGGAAAGAAGCTAGACGTAAGATTGATGTATGGGTTTTAGTGTAGATATATACAACCAAGAACCGGGGATCGATGCCGATCAATGAACATGAACGAAATTGGGAAGAACATGTCCACCGACCAATAAACAATCACAACGGCGCCATGAAAGTAAGGCTTCGCGATCGTTAGCAAAGCGATAGACGGGCTGACGTCTTTTCGCCTACCGGCTCGTCGGCCCACAAATGGCTGAGGACTAGGACCAACAACGTTGATTCTCCGCGAAATGGGCGAGTAGCTCAAGAATAGGTTTGACCATTGAAAAGCCGCCCAGTGGTTTCAACGGCCAAAAATAAGCAAGACACTGGCATGGAACTTGAGAGGCGCTTTCGTAGGTGTGCGAGGCCGGTCTGTTTCAGAGGACAGCCCAAAAGTCGGACAGGACATGGATGATGAAATTACAGGACGAGGAGGTGGTGACTCTGTGAGCAGGGAAGCCACCATAACGTCACGGTCTTCTCGTGACCCGAGAGGTAACATTGAGAGCTGATTCATGCAGGAGGATGGAACGAGCGATTGAACCGACTTTATGAAAACACAGAGCATGGTCTGATAGATCTCTATTCCTCCTTCTCCAGGTATGCACAGACGTTTGAAGGTTCTGCCGTTGATCGCTTTTCTCCTTGGAAGCCCTCAAAGACGAGAAAGTTTCGAGGCTAGTCCTTAAACAAGGTTTGGAACAGTGAGCCTGTCGGGGGTTTTTCTTAGGGTGTCCATCATGTCTTGGAGGTGTCAGGCACAGCAAAGGCAACGCCACGCGGTGAGGCGAGGCGCTAAGAAGAATCTGAAGCACGCCAATTCTTGACGACAGGGATATCAATTGGGCGTTTCAATGGGTCTCTCCTCCCTTGGAGCCCCTCTATCAAAGTTACCCCGTTTGCTCCGTTTCCATTCTTCTCTTTTCTGACCAACTTCGTCCGAGGATTGGTCTCATTCATCTCATGGGATCCCAGTAACCCAAGCATTGTCCCTGCAGGTAAGATGCCTTGATCACGATGGCAACTACAATGGGTTGCCGCACGAATAATGCTCATTCGACCACCTTTGCGCCGTCCTCATCGTCAACGCATGATGAAAAGGCAGATGCAGAAGAAGAATCGACCGAGATTTCAGCCTCCCCCATGCAAGTCATTAATGCCATAATCCCAGTCTTGCTTGTGTTCATCTTTGCAGCTTGCATCAATTAGTGGCAATTTATCCTTCCAGACCCGGTAGATGCATTTCTGTCTCCGCTTGTTCAAGAGGGATTACCTTGTGGGTGCCTTGTTACATCTGTTTGAGTTCAATGAGGTGCGACAAGATCAGTTTCTCGACCTCCGTATTCATCTTCCAGAGACTCTTCTACCCGCGTAGTCTTTTTCAAAGTCTTTTTCCATTTCCGCTGCTCCAGGACCAAGAGAGCCGATCCGGAACTATCGAGAGATGCTAGATCTTTGACTGTTTCAAGGTGCTATCATTTTCAAGCTTAACTCGGTTGATGGACCCCTTCTTATCGCGACCTCGCCTTCATAGTCACTCATTTGTCACCCCTCGTTTTAAAGTCCTTTTCCGATCGCTGGCTGATCCGGAGCTTTTTGAATCATGCCCACGAGATGGCTATCAATTCGCAAAAAGAACCTTTCGCTTCACAATAATCCGAGCCATCCGGATGCATCAGGGACTACCAAACCACAGGGTTTTGATTTCGCTTTTAACGACCTGCCAAAGCAAAGTATTCAACTCAACTCCAGACCGGTGGAGCTGCCGAGACCAAAGACCTCAGGAGGAGTGGGAAAGCGGAAGCTTCGTGTTGAAGTCCCTCAACGACGGCCAACAACTTCCGAGGCTCAAAAAACTTCGACTTCACAAGTATCCAATAGTACTGTGAAGAGCCAGGAAAGCTCGATTGGACTTGCTTTTGGAAGTCCAGGTCACCCTCCCGTTGCATTCCGAAGTCCGGAAGCGTCTCCCTCTGACGATCAACCTTCATCTCGTCACTATCCACCAGGTGTGGAAAGGGCACTTCAAATGCAGTCGAAGAGGTGGAAGAAATTTGGCATTCTCTTCAAGACACGGCAAGCACTTGTCCGACGTGATGACATTTCTCCCGGGCCAACCATAGGACTTCCAACTGGATTTGTGGTCCTGGACAAAAGCCCAACCGGTCAAGCGAGCACCTTTGAATCTCTCAACAAAAGAACGGTACCGGTTTATCATGTGGACGATGATGCTATTCCTCCGCCACCTATCGAGAAAAGCCCAAGGTTCATGGTCCCTCCATCAGACAAGACAACTGAGAAGCACGAAGAGGATATGCGCTCACGGCCTTCGACTGCTACCGATGCTGATTCCCTGATTGATACATATATTCGGCCTCCTCTCCCCAAGCTCGAACTCGACATACCGATACCCACACCACCTTTTGATCGATACAGTGTTATGTTCAAAAATGTACCTGCCAATCGATCCTCTTCACTATTAGCCCGCCGAAGCAAGACATTGGATAGTCTCAAGTCGTTCGAAGACAGCCGACCGACAACAAAGGGAGGGGAGCAAGACCGAGTTGCCACAATTGATTCCAATGCTGCGGAAAACCTTACACCACTAATGCCACCGAGAAGGCTGACTACTCCCACGACAAAATCCCCTGCAGTCAGCAAATACTCACTATTCCCAGCTCCATCACCGGCACCAGTCAAGGTCACTGGGCGAATACCATTTTTTGAGTCCAGCAATAGCAGCAATTTAGGCCAGTTGAGAAGATCAGCTACCTCTCCTGCTCGTCTATCACCAATGCACGATCGTTTTTCTATCAACAGGCCTGAGCCCCTTCAACCGAAGAGATTCATCCCTGGAGAATCAATAGTGCAGAGCCCTGAGGACAATACTGCTTCTACGAGCCGTTCAAACCCCTGGAGTACGGACCACTCTGTTCAATCCTCAATGTCGTCTAATACCACTGTAGACGACATCTTCTTTGATATTCGAGCTTTCAGGGACTCAAAAGGGGTTGAAGACGGACAATTTGTCATGACGAGGCCGGATTCGGTGGCTGTAGAATTGGCTCGCACAAAGTCAAAATCAAAAAGATCTGCTCCTGCAAGTCATCTGCGGCAGGTGGAAGCATCTTCCCCCGAAACAACCACCGAGCCACCCGTCCAGATGGCTCCACCACCACCTCCTCCTCCGAAATCAACCACGACGACTGCACAGACCTCGGCCGTTACAACAAAACATACATCTGTGAACACAGCATACTTTGATGAAGCAATTGCTGCTGTTGAGAGATTAACATCACCGAGAGTGGTAACACAAGCTGAAACTGAAAAAATACCTCCAATAACTTTATCCGTACCAGTTCCAGCTCTCCCTCAACAATCCGAGGACAAGACTCATGCTTGGGTTCATAACGGGTCGAATCATCATAAAATGGGAGACCATCCATATTCAAGGCTGGGAAACAAGTCGAGGGAGGAGATTAGCAGGTTAATTCCATCCCCTGTTGCCGAGCTCAAAGAAGATCTCTCGCCAAAAGCGATCTCCAAGGCAGCATCTCCGGTTCCATCAAGCCGATCGCAGCTTTCAGAGTCTCAAACCGTACGACAATTCGCAAAAGTTATCTCTCCTCGGATTACACTGGTCAAGCGTGCTGACCGCCCTTACGATGACTCTCCTACTCTGCCGCAAGGTGGGCCGATCATACGTCCAACTCACTACCTTGCATCTCCTTTATCACCTGACGATGACAAACCTCCTCCGGTTCCCGAAAAAGATGCCAAATTCATCCCACTATCCAAATTCGCGGCGAAGGGAACAGTTAACGCTATTGAGAGGACAGGTATCACTCCACAGACAAGACACCTTCGATCAAACACAGATTCGCCTAGTTCGACACCGACCAGTGCCACGGGCAGAAATAAAGAGCGATCTGCGACGCTACCATCTTCAATCACAAACTCGCCAGCCACAATGTACCCGCCGAAATCCTCCCTGCAAGGTCTTGAGAGAACGATTCCTCCACGACCGAACCCTGTCGCTTTGAACCCGGTTCAGTCGAGCGACGTCGTGGCAGTTGCAGTCGCACGAACGGTATCCTTGTCACGGAAGCAGAGTGCGCGAGTCAACGTGCCAGGCCCTCGTCTCGCAGCCCGCCGTGCAGGCACACACCCTCAACCAGCACCCACCTCCACCTCAACTCCAGGCAAACAGCCAAATCCATCACAGAGCACGTCTCACGGCCGTTCGAATTCAAAGTCCGGAATCTTGGGCCACCGACACCGACGGTCAACTTCGCAGTCGCGCTCGCGAGACAAGATCAAAATCACGAAACGCGAGGTTCCGCTCGCCGAGTCCAGGGAGAGAGAGAAGGCAATGATCAAGGAGGCCAAGAAGTGGGAGATCCTCGAGAAAAAGAGCTACTCCCCGGTCGTGGTGCAGGCTTCGCGGGGTCACAAACCCGGCGTGAGTGTCGGGATCGTTGTTGAGACCGCGTGAGGGAAATTACTTTCCGTTGGACTTCCCACCGCTCTCTTGCCCTCAAGTGTGGCTGTTGAATTTTTTTGTTTGTTGTTAAATTTGCACCTTTTTCATTTGTACAGATATCCCATCTATTCATCATCATTTTTGCAAGGCGTTGGGGACTATCATTTTGAGGAGAGGGGACTTTTCTCACGGAAGAAGATCGGCATTTACGGACTGGGCATTTCAAGGCGTGGCTGGACAGATCTGTTCGAGATAGATCATTCCGTGTCCTGAGCTTACTTTTCTGGCGGAGAAAGCATGATCTTGGACGCCGGCTTTTGCACGGGCAAAAGGCTGAAAACGGTGACTTTGGCGATTTTTTGATGAAAACAAGGATAGATTTCCTGGACGGAGAGGTCGAGGTGCTCTCTTGAGAAAGAGAGCGGTATCATTCGGGGGCCCGGGAGATTTCAGGCAGCCACTGTAACATTATCTGACTAGATATGGAGTACCAAGTGTACCTATGCATTGGAAAGCCACGTGTACATCTTGCCCACCATGGCAGAACCACCATCAAAGCCCACTGTGTGACTTGATTCCAGCAGGGCCAACTTGACTGCGTCGTTCACAAAACACCAATCAGCAATAAATGAACTGATACTTGGCGATGCGCTTTTTCTTGTCAACCTTGACACCCAACTTGACGTCCACATCGACAACATCTCCCAACACACGATCGCTCACCTTCAGGGTACCGTTGAGCTTCTGATAGACATGGCCGTGTTTGGTCCAATCGATTGCGTCGTCAAACTTACCCACTTTGTACGTGAACACTAGTTTCCCGTCCTGGTCACCATCGAAGCTTGTGGGGGAGTCGTTCGCGTCGCAGCGGAGGAAAAGGTCAATATCTGGACTTCCGATTTGGCCGTCAAAGTATTTGTACAGTGTTGTGCATTTTTCAGCGTTCAGATTAGCGGCGGGCTGTTGTGGGCGGACTTTGATGTTGACATTCACCCGGTGGTTCTTGTCGCACTCTGGGCTCGAGAGGTCTGGGTCGATGTTCCACATCCATGTTCGGTGTAAGATTCTCGTGCGGGCGGAGGTGAGAGCAGTGAGACATGAAAGGGCAACTACTAGGAGAAGGTGGATTTTTGCCATTCTGGATGGGTTCTTGGAGGTCTTATTGTGTGAAGCGCTTGGTTTGATGCTGGGGTCGCAACAGAAAAAGGATGGGTCAGAGCGTAGGATTGAGACGCTTTTGTATCAATCTGGACCGGGTCGTTCCTCACAATTGTGACTGAAGAGTGTGACTTTGAGACATGATCATTGGAATCAGAGTCAGCGAGCATTGCTCAGCCGCCATCATAAATGATGCCGTGAAGTGCCATCTCAACCTCCTCTGCGGAAGATGCCATGTCTTACCTGTGACAAGGCAGGTTTTTGATATCCACGTACGAAAAGTAACCCCAGGAAGAGAGTTATAATGTTCGAGCGTCAAATGACTTCCCATGACGAGGCTTCACGAACTCGTGCAGTATTCATGGTCTGACAAAGTGACATAGCTGAAGTCAAAGGCGTTTGTCGTGACATGACGCTGAACTCATCAACCATGCCTCCTCAAAAGATTCATGGCACTACGCAGCACACGAAAGCTTTATTCATCAGTGATAAATGATCTTGCAGATCTAAACTCAAGCTTTCCGAAGTCATCTTGCCGTGGTCGGCTTGACTGGTCGTAGGCAGAAGCTTGCTTAAAATGACAGCGGGATTCGGAGTCAGCAGAGCCCCTTAATTGTTGGCCTCGGCTCAACCCTCAAGTCGGAGAGGGCAGCTAGGCAAAGTCCACATTCCTGGTGCGGGGAAGCCCGGGGCGAATAAGACATCCACGGGCTGTGACGGGAGCATGAGCCCGACATCGGTACTATCTTTCCTCTACTACGTAGTCTTCTGTGGACATTGATATCAATCGTGCCCGAGGAAACTTGCTATTTTTTTGCGAAGCAGTCAGTATTGAGACAATATAAATAAATTTGGTCAACCCAGGCAAAATCCGCACAACTCTGAACGACGCATCGGTCAATCACTGCGAGAGGTCGATAGCGAGCATAGTCCAGAGTGAGGGAAGAGCTTGCGATCTGAAGTGACAACACGGGAGTAAGTACATTAATAGGAGGCTTTGGAAAGTACCTACCTAGGTAGTGCATGTCATGGCAATGAGACCAGCAGGTGCCGCCGGCATGCTGCTCAAATCGCCCTGGAGTACTAGCTCAATAACGACAACATCACTGAGGTCAATACGATCTATCTCCTCCTCTTACAGTCAGAGACACGACGGTCCAAGATCACTCCATCAACCTCGGATCGGCTCAACATCTGGCCGGAAAGCAGGACTCCAATGTCGCAATTTCACAACTTCAACTTCTGCCCGTGAGGCACAAGGGAAGGAAGACTTTGTGTTCAACCCGCCAAGTGCACGACCGCTATCAGGTATCACTGTCGTTGCCTTGGAACAGGTCATCTCCATGCCCCTTGCCACTCGGCACCTTTCGGACTTGGGGGCGCGTATCATCAAGATAGAACGTCCTGGAATCGGTGATTTCGTGCGGCACCACGACAGGCGAGTTCGGGGGAAGCTATGCTCTCATTTTGTCTGGATTAATCGGAACAAGGAGTCCCTCGCGCTAGACATTAAACAGCCAAAAGACATGGATATTCTGAAGAAGGTCATCACTAAGAAGGCTGACGTTTTCGTCCAAAATCTTCGTCCTGGGGATGCAGCCAAGATGGGTCTTGGGTATGAGAACGTCAAAAAACTGATGAATGAAGCTTACCCAGGGGAGAATCGAGGTGACAAGTTGATCTATGCAAGCATCTCCGGCTACGGAAATCAGGGCCCATATACCCACAAGAAGGCCTACGACTTGCTCATCCAGGCTGAAGCTGGACTCCTCAACATCACAGGCACCGAGGAGCAAATGGCCAAAGTCGGATGCTCGATAGCTGACATCTCGGCGGGAATGTATGCTTACAGCTGCATCATGGCTGCGGTGTTACAGCGACAGAAAACTGGAAAGGGATGTGAGATTGATGTCTCCATGCTAGAAAGCTTGGTAGAATGGATGAATTTTCCATTGTACTACGCTTACGAGGGACAACCACGCGTGAAACGTGCCGGAGCCAGCCACGCGAGTATCTACCCATATGGGCCATTTGGCACAGGTGGAAACGGGAAAGTCATGCTTGGTGTTCAAAATGAGCGAGAGTGGAAGACGTTGGCGACAAAAGTCCTCAAGAGAGAAGACCTGACTACCAATCCAAAATTTCAAGACACGGCGTCTCGCAGTGAAAACCGCGATGAGCTCGAGGCAATCATCACGGGAATCTTTCAGGAACATTCGGCGGACGAGGTCACTCAGTTACTGGAAGAAGCAGGCATCGCCAATGCCAAGGTCAATGATATGCAGGATGTTTGGGATCATCCACAGCTCCAGGCCAGGAACAGGTTAAGAGAAGTCGACAGTGAAGTCGGAAAGATCAAGGCCTTCCTCCCTCCAGGCTTCAGTGCGGATGTGGAGGCGAGGATGGAGAGGATCCCGAAGATTGGGGAGGACAATGAAACCATCCTGAGAGAGTTGGGCATCGAGTCTTGAGTGAATGATCATTGTGACAATTTGGGAGGTTTTACCATGAGGAGAGGACTGTCACGTATGTTCCAAATACTTCTCTACAATCATCACTGTCCGCAAACCTGAAACAAGACATGGTTCCCCGACTTCCGCATGCATCTTCACATACTTTCTTGCGATTGCCACTTTCTGAGAACTTGAAGCAGGACAGGGTTCTGCGACTTTCACTCTTCCTTGCGATTGCGAATCACCGCAACTTCGACCCAAACACAGGGGTCCACGCTTTCACACACTTCCACACATACTTTCTTGTGATTGTCACTCTCCGCAAGCATGATGTGAAGCATGACTCTGGAACTTTCAAATACTTCCTTGCGATTGTCACTCCCCGCAAACGTGATGTGAAGCATGACTCTAGAACTTTCAAATACTTCCTTGCGATTGCCATCACCAGCGGAAGCAGAGTCAAACAGGGGTCTGCCACTTTTCAAATACCTCCTGCATTTATGACTCCTTGCAAACGTCGAGTGAAGCAGTGGGCTGCAACTTTCATCTATAAATTTGGCCACCAATTTGATCTTGTATCTCCTTCTCATAATCAACAATGTCCCGAGTGATGGCGATTCAGCCAATATATATAGATCTATGAGTAAGGCCGGCGTGAGCAGCAATGGCACTGACAAATGCGACCTGGACGAAGTTGGCGAAGAACGCATTTCCACATTGGTAGGTCGATATCCAATTTACCTGTCCCAGCACCAACTCTAACACTTCAGATACCCATTGTTGACAGAGTCACACGTATCGAGGTGATGGAACGATTCGAACTCGATGTCAATAAGCGAGATGCCATTGAACGCATGGCAATCGAATATTTGGGAGCACTCTCGTCTCAACTAGGGTTCTGTCATCAGGTAAGCTACAGCAGATATGACTCAATGGCGAGCTGTACTAACAAACAAGTAGGGCAATGCCGATGATGCCATCAAGCTCCAATATGCGCATATTTGATGGTGCTGGCTGTGCGGCTTACAAGTCCACAGTCGAGTGCGAGACGAATTGAAATTTCGATATCCATCAAATACATGGAACACCAGACAAACAGACCGACATTTCTGATTGTGCTTCTCTCAACAAGAAGAGTATCACTTGTCTTGGTCGGATATGTGGAGATCAGATCCAGCCAATGCAGTGTGGGCCCGAGTCGTCAAGTATAAGAGGACCTTCCGGGTCAAGTGGTTTGAGAACGCCATCGAAGCAGAGAAACACTCTGTGAAAGCAGAGAAGATGCTGGCCAACAGAGATTTCAAACTCGCATACAGGCTAAGCAATGTGATTCACAATATCAACACCGCAACGCCCGAGCAAAGGCGTGAGTGGGGGCTTGGAAGGACCACCATAAACTCAATTGCCGAGCAAAAAACCTTCATCACTGGCGCTGTTAGAATGATTATTGAACATTCATCGGGCGAAACAATTAAGACAGGGGAAGAGTACGGACAGGACACGCTAGCGGATGTAAACGCAACAGAAGCTGCCAAGCTGCCCATGTATATGAAAAATCTGATTGGCAGTGGGGATGACCTGCAGCCACGATATTTCATGTTGGACGGGCTGGAGAGTCGCTCGTATTTTCGAGAGCCAGACAAAAAGGCCCCGAGAAGGGTCCTAGTGTCCACTGACCAGCTGGGAGAACTCGAGATGACAACAAGTATTGATGAGATCATCGATTGGTTGATAACGAACATGAACACGCTCAGAGTAGCGGAGAATTGTACTGATGTATACCAACAGATCAGGCGAAGAATCCAATCAATCTACGACTACTCTTTTGACGTTCAAAAGTTAGAGAGGGCATTAAGCAGATCGGGTGATGATGTCAGAAATGGCAAGCTCTACGTGAGCGAATCAATAGGATGGCACAGAAAGTCAAGTGGAAAGAATCCATGAAAAAAGGCATTCAACCTGATGTGCAGAAGCCAAAAAGAAGATGAAATGATGAAAAGTCACCGATATCAGGGGGACTGAAAAGGGCGACAATGCCAAACTGCACACCTCCATCAGATGACAATGGCTCCGACTATAGTTCCATACAGTCAATCAGCCATGAACCAACATGGCTACATTAACCAGTTCTGAACCAGAATTGCGGACTTAGGTATTGCCATCGAAGAAAGTGAAGCATGTCAGGTGAGACTGAAGCTTGGATTCGTTTCTTCTGAGCGTTAAGGTCGGAAACATGGCTCATCACGGTCATATTGTCGAAGAACATGGACGAGTCAGCCAGAGTTGGAAAGTTGCCACCAAGAGACGTGAGATATGGAGATCTCTGGCCGTCAGATGATCTGCAAGATGATGGGATCAACTTCGGCTTGGAAGCCCCGAAAAGCGATTGCGAACTGAATATGCAGATCAAGCGAATGATACTCTCACAGATCTGCAAGATGATGGGATCAACTTCGGGCTGGACGCCCCAAAAAGCGGTTGCGAACTGAAAATGCAGATCAAGCGAATGATAGTCTTACAGATCTGCACATCCAACGGTGTTTTTCTCGGGACGCAAACTTCGCCTGGTCCTCGTTGGCTATGTGGACGAGCAACGTTTAGAAAAGAAATTCTGGGGTCGGGTCGAACGACACAAGAACACGTTCTATGTCAAGTTCCTCCGAGACGCAGACCAAAGTGGCAACACTTTGGTGAGCAACGAATTCTTCTCTCGGGACAATTTCAAGTACGCCTTCTGGATTGAGCACGTGATCGAAGAGATCAATAGTGCAAGCCCTGAGGTCAGAGAACATATGGCCTTGGCGACTTTAAAGTCGACAATTTCGACACCACCATGACTTTCATCAAGGGTAGTATCAGAAAAATCGTAGAGCATTCTGCTGGGGATTCGATGAGAGTGACCAAGAAGTTTGGAGGCAACACCCTCACTCAAGTTAACCTGGCTGAGCGCGAAAGGATCCCCTGGTATTTGGCGCACTTCATGGGAGATGGATTGGAAGATTTGCAGCCGAGATATTTCATGGTGGATAGTTTAGAGCAATGAGACCCTGATAACCGGGGATACGAAGCCAGCAAAAGACATCACGAATATCCCAGGAAGGTATGGTCAGTTGAAAAGAGCCACCGAAATGCCAATAATCCTATTTGGATGGCGTCCTTGAAGGGAAAACTGAGGGTTATTCAAAACAAGACAAAGAAATTGGATGTTGTCGAGTCCCTTGGGTTTAGGGTTAGCAAAGTGAAGTCGAGGCTACCAGGGAGCTCGGTTCAGACCTTATTTGCACTGCATCGCACCCTTTAAGCACACCGTCGGGGCTCCAGAGAACCACATCGAAAGATCATCAAATCTGATGTTTCGACGGCGAGGCCGTTCTCATGATGATTCTTGATCTGAAAGATCCATTTGATATTCACCCCTGAAATCCTCCTTGCGTAGGAGAGTTCTTTTCTACAACGCCAGTTCAAATGAATATCAACGGAAGATCACCAATCAAGCTCAATCGAGCTAGTCCGTTGCATCAAGGAGTCGGAAAGGACCACAGAGACAGAGAATGCCTCCATTGCAAATGTACCACTGAAACACCTCATTTCGCAATGAGGATTGCGGCTTGTCAACATGTGGCTACACCTTGGTGGTCCTCGGTTACAACCAACGATTTATTCGGCTCTTTTGTTTGCCGCCTACGCTACTGCTACAATCTGACCAAGGGTAAATGGCCTCTCATAGGCGTCATTAAGGGATGGGCAAAGGTCAAAAGAGTTTACCTCAAAATGGCTCCCACAGGCGTTGCGCGAGATCACTGTTGGGGGTTGCCTGCGGACCGACGCCAGGGTCAAGTGGCATACTAAACTGAAGAAAATCATGTGCGATGGCTGCGCTCAGAAGAATCAAGCCGAAATTGAGGCGATCGAAGCCGCCACTCGTGCAGAGCGTGGCCTCCCTCAAGAGGATGTGCTCCACTGCACCAATTGCCAGACTGTGCTTGGAATGGGCGATAGACAAGTCTGGAACGATGAGCCATGTTGTCGAAAATACGGCCAGTATGTCAGAAGGAACGGTGTTCAGCGTCCAATCTCCAATGGAAAGACTGGACCTGCCGGCCGACCGCGTGAACCCCCTCGTCCGCCAAGTATACTGAAGGCAACACGCCGCGAAGTGTGCCAGAAGACAAACACGAGTGGCGAGAGCCTCTAGAGATTGGAAGAGCCGTCACCCAGGCAATTTGAACGCGCACTGCGGTGGCCTCCCATGAAGCCAATCCTAAAGCGAATGCTCGGTGTCATCTCTAAGGGCAAACTCACCAGTGTGGGCGCTCTACTCAAGCGACACGGGGAGAATGATGAAGACGACCAAAAACACAACTTCTTGGTAAGTGAAGGACCCTTTCCAGTCGCCAATGGGAGGCCATCAGGCTAACACTGCCCAGGATGACAAAGTCTTTGAATGGAGGCCTATCCTCTTTACACATCCCGGCTACTCCAGATTTGAGCATCTACCCAGCTATACTGATAGGGCTATCAAATGGAAGGCCGACCTTCATGTTGAACATTTAGTCCTCGGGCTCGAGTTTGAGCAACAAGCAACTCGATGGCTGCTGACAAAACAATATATGATGGACCAAGATCCATCCAACGGCGACCCGAATCAGCTGCCACCTCCTCGTCTCTCAAGAGCAACAAGGCCACGGTAGACAATGACGCCACCGTGTACATCACATCGATAAGTACAGTCTCCGAAACGGCAAAATCCTGACGAAGTATAAGTACTTCTGGGTTGAAGCTCTCAGAAAGCAGCTTTGTACGCTATGCAGAGGACGGTACAGGAACGGGAAACTTCAGCCCCCCAAAAGACAAGGCGATATGCTGCCGGCACTATAGCACTCGAATCAGACTGTATATTTACGCGTTGATCAAAGCGAAACAGCCAAGTTTACAAACATGATGGCATCTTTATCACTATAAGTTTATTAGTAGGACTATCTCATGGCAATTACTTAAATAAAGTAGCGTCAACACCCATCAAGTCGTCCATATCCTCATCCTCGTAGAGGATTTCTTCACCATCTTCACCACCAGGGCCACCACCACCGCCTTCGCCGCCATTTGCCGCTGCCGCATCGCCGCCGCCATTTGCCGCTGTGCCGTCGCCGCCATTGCCGCCACTGCTTGCCGCCGCCGCCAGCTACCAGAGCCGGAGCCAGGGCCGGGGCCGGGGCCGCCAACCCACCACCAACTGCCGCCATCGCCGCCAGCCGCTCTTGACCTTCACGAAGAAGGCGAGCTAAAATGGCGTTAGTGTATACTGTATAGCCATACGGTGAAGAGCATAATTAGGCATACCCGGGACATCTAATTGTGCGTCGAGAGACTAATCTTGATTAGAGTGTAAGCTCAGAGCAGGAGTGGACACATACCGCGATTCTTGCCCTAATGGGCCCATCAGGCTAAGATAGAATTAGTTGATACCTAGGTGAATACCAGCGACTCGATACTTACAGCAAGAAGACCCACCAACCACTCTCTCTCCCTAATCATCTCCTATATAGATATTAGCAACGTAGAGATAAAGAGCCTAGTGCAGTTAGTCGAAGTCACTTACACCAATCTGACGGCTGCTGCCGCCATCGTCGTTGCCGCCGCCGCCATCGCCGCCGAGGCCACGCAACACCGCCTCTTGCCTCGCGGCGAGGCCGCCACGACCACCACCACGACCACGGCCGCCTCTGCCGCCACGACCACCACGGCCGCCGCGATTGCCGCCGCCGCCGTTACCGCCGTTACCGCCGTTGCCGCCGCCGCCACCACCAGCAGGACCCCAGACACCGGGCGCAGGAACGAGGACCATAGGGCTACTAGCCCAGCCGCCGGGGGCACCGCCGACCCAGCCGCCATTGCCGCCGTTGCCGCCGTTGCCGCCACCACGGTTGCCGCCGCGGCCGCGCCAGGCACTGCTCCGCTATTCAATGCATTAGTACCTTAGAGCAAACTGTTGTGGTAGGAGACGCTGGTAGCATACCTTGGTGACTCGGTACTGCTATCAGGGGTAAGAACAATTGTTAGCAAAGGATGCGTAGTCAAAATCCAGTAGAAAGCATATCCTTACGTCGTTGTTGACAGACATCTAGCTCATGCATTAGCAAAGTGTATGGTATGGTTTGGAGCCTTGAGTATACCTTTTAAAAAAAGGGAATTGCTGGTTGTTGGATTTCAAGGTTAGTTCCGGAAGATTGAAGCATTGCACAAGAGTCTGACATACGTGTTGGTATGTGAATGACTGGAGAAGCATCGTTAGCATTCATGTTCAGTGATATGGGCTCGTTGGAGAAGACGAATTCAATTGGACTCACAAAAACAGTTCAAATGGGATGAAGACTAGATAGTTAGTATTGGTTGGATTGCAGCCACAGCGTCAGCAAGAGTGAAACATACGTTGTGATTGGATCTGTCTATGTAAGTATCGTTAGAATCCACTGACTAGCACTCGAGTATCAATCAGTGGTATACACACCAAAACAAGATCGAGTGCAGGTATGGTGCTAAAAGTCATTAGTACTCGTGGCCTGTATTGCTGATTCAACAAATTTCCATACGTCTGAAGTTGGATTGGCTGCATAAATGGCTTTAGCATTCATGGACCCAATAGCCATACGTGAATGGTGCCGACTTACCGGAAAAACCGTTTGCGATGAAGAGTTGACTAAATACTGTTAGCATTCATTGGCCTGCGCCGCTGGTGTGAACAGGAGCTCCGTATACTTGGGTAAAATTGATTTGACTGTGAAAGCAGCGTTAGCATTTTATCATCTGTAGGTGATTGGGGACCAATGACTGAACTCACAAAAAGGGTTTCAATGAAGACTGCAGAATGTAATTAGCATCTTTTTCAGTAAATTCAATATCATCATGTGGGTATGAAGGAATAAGGGGCTTGGAGTTGTAGCAAATTTCAAGAGGAGTGCGATTTTGAGTGCGATTCAGGCTTTTGTGTTTTCAAATTCTTGCTCGTGTCTCGTTAGGATGCGTTGTTCGCCTAGGAGTGGGAGCAGTTGACTCTCTGGTGGTCCCAGGAATTGTGTGAGAATGTGGTGTTCCTGGTGAGGCTCGGGTGGAGCTGGTTGGGATGAAAAGGCCCCACAAGGCTGGATTGTTAGGGGAACGTGGAGGTGTCCATGGCAAGACATAGGCTGATCCATTTGGTGGGAGACCACAACGGTGTCGGCAAAGTGGCAGTCTGCTCAGCACTGTCCGGGTTCGAGGGTTCCGGGATGGAAATACTGGCAAGCAAACAAGGTACTGTTGAGTGTGCATCAGATCCAAGTTCATGCAAGGCGGAAGGCTGGGCTATCTCATGACCCATGTTTGTACCTAATATTGCTAGATACACTGGAGACACTGGGGTTCAGATAGTTCTGGATCAAAAATTTGGCATTTGAGGTGCAATGTGTCGAAAGGCACGTCCTGAAGGGCGTTCTGCTTCACACTCAATGCATACATAAATCCTCCTGACAAGGGAACAGCAAATGAACAGGATAGGATAAGATACGTGCAGGAAGAGGATCAGAAGCAATGAGATGACCTACCGTTTCCGCAAGGAGAGGGGAGAAAAAGTGAAGCAAGTGAAGACCGTTTTTTTGGGTATTCAATGCCCTAGTTAGTCACCACTAGTGCCTGTGGACGCGTTCTGCGCACGCCAGCACGTGTTCTCTTAATGTGCAGCGACTCACGTGTCGTGCCCAATCGATCATTGATCACATCTCATGTTGCCCAGGACAAAAGAAAAAAACCTTCGAAGACTTTTGGAACTGTTAGATTGACCTGTGATCAAAGCACGATGGCGAGATCCTTCCGGCCAGCCTCCAGCTTGGAGCTCTGATGCTATGGCCTGTGCCTGTGTACCCGTGTGTTACCTGTAATCCCAGAAACTGCTCTCGAACCATCCCATTTCCAGTCAGGACCTCTTTTGTTAAGAGGGAACCTGTAGTTCTGGTTCTGACAGTCCTGTTCAATTGTCTTGAGCCTTGACGATAAGTCAGTGACAGTCTCAAAATCCGCTTGCTCGCCTAGTACTTGAAGTGCGTTTGTTGCCCACCTCAGGTCAGAACAAAGAACCGGATGGTGGGACCATACCAATCCATGTAGACATGAACAGGTCCGGTGCTTGAGAAACACACCTAAAAAATGCAGCCAAACAAACACGAATCGATCGCCCACCTGGTTGAGGGCGAAAGAAATAGAGGTGTTGTAACGAACGCTGGAGTCTGACTAGCCATCGTCTTGTTCTTCCCCCAAAACCGGGCACCTCGCATTCCGTCTACCTCCTTCCTTCCTCTCTCAAGAAACAACTTGTGTGAAACATCCCTTTTCAAGGAAGAAAAGCAGAAAAAGGCCAGAAGTATGGAAAACATCGATCCATCTGCAGGCTCCGGCCAGCCCTATGGCTGTCCCGTATGTTTGTAGCCTCCCCCAATCAAGAGCCATCCCTCTTCCCTTCTCTTATTCTCTCACGCCTGAGGTGTCACGGTGGTCGGCTCAGCAGGCATGGAGCACTTCCTTGAGAGAACAAGTTGTAGCAAACAAACAATTCCCACGACGTAGATTACATCAACACTGACGCCGATTACAACAATTCAGGTATTTGTTCTGTTAAGCACATTGTTCTGGCGGCCCCAAGGCAAAGTTTCAGGGCAAACCTTTGGCAGTGCAATTTCAAGTCCTTCTGCTCTTTGATGGTCAGCGTGGCGGTTCTTTTCGCCTTAAGCGAAGAATGTAGAAGAATGCCTTTGCACAAGAACAGAATGGACAGATGTGAAGAATGTAGAACTTATCGAAGGCCGATGACGCAAGATAACTTGGCAGCCTGGGGAGAACTTCGATGCTCGTAACCCAGGAGATCAGGAAAAATGTCCTGGGCGCTTAAGACATTGTGATCTTATGGATTCGGGATGCTGCCCCTGGGGCATTGTTGAAGTGTGTGTCATTCAGAGAGAAACACATCGGGTATGATGAAGTGATTGTCTCGTCTGGTGTTGTGTGTCTGAGTTGCAGGAGAGTGGCAATCAGAAAAACATGTAGGAGGGTAAGGGACTCGATTGGCCAAATGTGGTCTGTACTTCATGAGAAAGGCCATCTATGGATGGACGACAAAACAAGCTTCAAGCTGTTCCTGGCGAAGAGCGATGGATCGTTGGGGATACCTTAGGTAGGTATTCCCGAACTTAACCCTTAGCTGGAGGCCTGGGCGTGCAGGGGTTGGGGTCAAGGACGCTTGGGCTGTCACTTGCCAAGCGTGAATCCTACAGGACTGATCTAACTTCATTTGTCATTGTTTGAAACACAAACTTGAACCACATTGCTTCGTTGTTCACAAACGAACCTCACCATTCTATTCTATATACTCCAAGATTATGGTTAAATGCAGCCCAACATTTTATTGAGAACGCCACCGATGCTATGCGCAAAGATGGTGGATCGGCAAGGCTCGGCGCACATTCCACACCCATCCCGAGAGTCCACACATGTCAAAGTCTCGGCGAAGTGTACGGGCTGACCTAGGTACCTAGGTAGTGTGTGTGTATTGGCTTTAACTTTCAAGATTGCACTGTTTGGTAACGAGCTCCGATTCCTTCACGAGTCGAGCATGAGCCTGAACAACGTGGGTGTGAAGCTACGTTCCATGCAAGCCTGGGCCGCATCCAAGAGCTGGTTTCGAACACACCACTTGACACCTCTGCCTCCGACTCACTTGTTTCGTTGTCACTCTTATCGCATCGTGTCTCATCTATGCTTCCTCTCCACTTCTCTCTAAGAGTCAAGTATCTCCAGCGTGCAGAATTCTGCCCCAGTGTACCGTCACTGGTCCAGAGTTCGTAAGACACGACTTGCTTCACCACACCAAGTTTCACAAATCGTTGCTCGATCGTGACATATAACAGGATGATCGGAACCGAACTTTGAAGGCTATAAGTACAACGTCCCCTCTCTTCCTCCCTTCCTCTTTGCCCTTTATCGTATATATCATATCTACATGCGAGCACTGCTGTTGTGAAACAGGACCATGATGGTTACAGGCACGAATTTTGCCTTCTTTTCCTTGTGCAATGATGGTTGTGATTGATCTTGATCGAGCTTTCACATGGTGCCAGACATACTCAGTCCGCTCGCAGCCAGCATATATCGCCACAACAAAACCACGCTTAACCTATCGAAGCAGTAATGCTGGTTTTTTTGCACCTTCGGATCCGTTTGCTGCAGCCTGTCTCAAAACAGCTCTCTGTCAGGAACTCGAGCTTAACACCCTCGGTCTTGCCTGCGTCTCGCTCGAACGTGGCTACCGAGGTCTGTGTCTCGACCTACCATTGTACCTTAAGAACTTCAAAGCAGCCCGTCAAAGAGCCCCGATGTCATTGGTATTTCAACTCCATACAGTGCAACACAACCACTGCTCAACGGGAGTTTTGGGTGGAGCGGCAGAAAATCAGAAGAACGGGTAGTTGAAAAAGATGTGACCCATTGATTATTCCAAATGGCTCGCTTTGCCACTGGTGAATGGTCGAGGCTGTGAGGATAGGGGGTGGATACTCTTGACTGATTGACAATGCTGCGTGAAAGGCAAAACATCGCATCAGTGGTCGAAGATGTGCAGGCACCATGCCATGGTGCGATTGTCTGAACGAGTGCACACCGTATCATCACGTCTGACTCTGTGATGCCTGAGTCCGCAGCGTGCTCCTTCTTCTCAGTGCATCAAGTCCACGCTATGCAAGGTAATTGGGTCAGAAATGGAAGATCTCTATCTCAGCAGACCATTGAACATGCAGCCTTATACCTGTGACATACCGTGAACGGTACTGAGGCACTTAGCGTCGGGATCATACGGGAAAGGAGACTCGGGCTGCTGACCGCCGAGAAGCAAGGCTGTATACATGAACATTCCATAGTATTACACACCGCAATGATCGAGAAGTCCTACTTAATCCTCGACCCATCATGTCACGAGATCCTGCTGGGAGAAGAATGCCCATGCGTCTAGGTTACTGGGTAGCCGGCAGCATAGCTCGATCATGGCGCTCCAAGATGAGTCCAAATCCTGTTGAAGTTTCAGAATCTCGGAGGATGATTCATAGAGAGCGAGTTTTGTGTTCCGCTGAAGCATTGCTTACCGGCATTTCATATATGGCGAGAATGGTGCCTGGGAGTCAGAAGGCTTTTTCGGTGGCTCCTTCCTCGCAGACACCATGCCTCTGGAACGGCAGGCACGATTGGTGCCGCACACCCACGAACCTGAGATGCAGAATTCCACTCCCCTCTCTTTCTGCATGCAATTTGCACTTTCATCACAAATTGAAGCACACTGCACCAACTTTTCACAATTAGCACAATGTCTCCTCAATACGCTGCAGAGAACAGCATTCTGGGCCAGGAGCCCACGACAAATGGCCTCGTTCCCTCTGAAGTTGAGGGCTTTGAGCTTGAGGAAGAGATTGGTGATGTTTCGTTGGACAAGCACGAAAGTGCATTCGATGACACTGATGATAGGGACGATGATTTCGTCGAAGCTGATTGCATTGGCCATGACCTTGGTCAAGACGGTGGAGACGATGAAGTCTCATCGAGCACCGGCGCCACGGTCGCCGGTCTCAACATCATCCCTGATGGGATTGACCAAGTCCAGTTCAGTAAGTATTCCCAGACAGTTTCTTCGTCCATGCTAACCTAGTTGCAGTGGACTGTACAATCAGATATGCTCACCGCGTGAGCGAGATCGTGGAAGCCCTGAGCTCCGAGTTCGAACTATATGGGCAGAAAGTTAAAGATAGGGAAATTGATTTTGCTAATGATCTTTTCCATTTTAGATTCTGGGTCTATGCCCATCGCCTCCCCAAAGCCGAGGTCAAGAAGCGGCTGATTGCCGCAACTCCCCCCGTTGTCCAATGGCTGCTAGGCCACAAGCAGATCCATTCCGCAGACATACGCCAGTATGCTACGGAAATCAATAAGGAACATAAAGGCATCAGAGGGTGCTATGGGAATTTCGCGAGGTACAAGAAGACCACGCAAGAGGCTGACTACGTCGGCAGTTCCGTGGATTTATGGAGGCGTTGTCGAGAACACGCCAGACACATCAAGAAACCTGGCAAGGGAAAGCTGCCAAAACACTACCGAGTGCTAAGCCAAAGTGGATAGAGTCCATCTTTTCGCTTACTCATGCAATTCCCTGCTGGGTGTCACCAGATTTGGTCCTTTTATGGGGAAGCAGTCCTCATGATGATTTTGGACACCAACGGCAATTTCGACACCCACCCATGGAATCCTCAATGTGTCGGAGAGTTTGTGGCGAAGCTACAGGCTAATCTTCAAATTCAACCACGCTCCCCAATTAAGCTGAACAGAGCTAACCCGATCCATCAGGGTGTTGGCAAGGATCACAGACCGAGAAAGTGTGCTCATTGTGAAGCCACTCCGAGCACACAGCGCCTTGCTATACGCATAGCAGCCGCGAAGAGACGGATAGCATGGTGGTTCAGCGCCTCCAGTGCTGATCCGTTTGCGTCATTCATATGCAGACTCTGCTACCATTACAGGATTGGACATAATGGTGCATACCCCCCAGATGAGGTGATCACTGGATGGGAGGAAGTTAAGAAGGTCTACTTTTCGCCGGCTCCTAAGGACGTCGATCGGTCACACTGCTGGAATTGCAAAGTTCCTGACACCATTCGAAGGAATGTATGGAACGGTCCCCTGCAAATGATACTATGCGATACCTGCATCGTGGAGAATCATGCTCTCATCAGAGCAAACGTAGACGCTGAACGAGAGAAGCGCGGCCACTTACCACAAGTTGAACCCAAGTGTGCCAATTGCAACAAGCAGACCATGAGATAAGATCGGTGTCGTTTCCTGGGTGTCACTTACTGCAAAGCTTGCGGCCAGTACGCGAAAGATACCGGTGGCATGGAGATGCGGCCATTGGGTCCAAACGCCGTCAAGAAAAAGCCAGTCCGTCGGCCAAAAACAAAACCTAAGCCAACCGTTTGTGAAAGATGTGGCAATTCGAGAGCAAAATACCACTACATTCCAGAGTTGGACCAGGACATTTGTCACACATGCAGGCAGAAGTACAGGTTGGCGATCGCTCAACAGAGTGCCGGTGATGGCAGCCCATCGGCCTGATTACTTTGATGCTGCAATCTCAGATGAACATTCCTGAATTGTGAGAAATTCTCGTCTCTTCCATGGGGCTTGATTATCCCGGGGCCCAGCTACCCTGAAGCTCCAATCTCAGATGTACATTCCTGGATTGTGAGAGATCTCTGTATTTCCTCAGTTTCCCTGTCAACTCGCGGTAGAAGAGCAACACTAGTGGATGGGGTGTGTCCTCCGCACCTGACCACGACTTGTGCCTTGGCGTGGCGGTCAGGCTTACGCTGTATCTCATACAGCAAACTAAACAAGTCAAGAGGTGGAAGAGGAATCAGAGTACATGGACACCTGGGTGGACTCAGTGATTAGAAGACCGCCTTTTCCTCCAAATTGGCTTCGGTCCCATGTATTTTCAAATTCGTTCCCGTTGAAGCTGCCTAAAGCAATCCAACCAACTACGTATGGTTGTGAGAGGAACGTCTATGATGACCTGAATCGTGCGAGTATATCCTGGATCGTGGCGGAGCTGGTTGTGGTGCGAGTGGAAAAGAGTCACTGGAGAGCATCAGGATGAACATCAGTAACTTCCCGATGTAACTAGGTACCTAGGTAGGTCGTCAGATGAAAAGGTTCTTGAGTTTTGCACAAGTAGTCTGATGCCGTGCACCATCTCCCGAGACCTGCAAAGAATTACCTAAACATCCTTAGAGCTCAGCCCGAAGATTCTTGAAGGCAATGCTCGTAGTTCCGTGCTGTCCGATTCGGTGCTTCTCAAAAGCCAGCGCCAAGGGATGAGAGTATCTGGTAGGCGTATACTCTCACGGCAGGCACAGCACAACAGGCCTGTATCGTTCTTTCTTTCATCAAGTATTTATCATTGATCCATGGAAATCTGGTCAACAATCCAACCCCAGCTCCGGCGTCATGGCGCAGGAGAATGACCTATTCAGCCAAGGATAGGATTGCAAAATTTCCTCTCTTCGGAGAGGGCGGCGGCGGCGGCAAACGGCGGCAATGGGTGAGTGGGCTGGTGGTGAACAGCTTAAAGGCGCTGTTCTCAGGGGTACCTGCGTAAGTCCATTCAACTCCATCTTCTTCGATATCAAACTGACATTCCTCTCCTTCTCATGACACCGATGCTGGGGAATTGGATTGTTCTTTTTGGGTGTTTCGTGTTCGAGCCTGGGTAGGTGCAATTTCCTTTTTTTGGGCTTTTTTTGGGCTTTTTTCGGTGCGCGAGTATAGCAATGACACTGCCGCTATCGCAAGCACTCAATACTCGTTCCCATTTTCCCCCTTTTACGGAGCTACACTTGCTTCTCGCGCGATACCTCTGGAGAGCTCAAGATCAGCTCGATCCCTCCGTGCTCTCTATGTTCATCATGATCACCCGTTATAAGATGAGTGAGCATTGCCAAAAGCTGCCCAAAAAGGCCGGATTTTTTGTGATGTTGCCTGCAACTCTGGACATGCAGTCTTTTGTTAGTGGTCCTTTTTATCTTGATGATTTCATCATAGAGCGCATCGCCGAGGAGCTGCACTGCCCTTTTATTCATGTATTAATGCTGGCTAGTGTTTAGTCCAGCAAAACCATGTTCCTTGCAGATTGAAAGTTATCGTTCACAGAGCCTGGGAGATCCATGCTATCATACCGCGGTATCCAGGCACGAGTGTCAGAGAGCCCACGTTGCTGTCAGGAGACTTCGTACCTTACCACAGCTGAACCTTATCAGCAACACTGGCATGTTTAGATACTTAGTATATTATACACGAAATAGGAATGCTAATGTGCAGAGTAAATAAACGTGGACGGAGATGGCGCTTTTCTACCTACAGTACCTAGGTAGATATCTAGTTTACATTAAGTGATAACCCTGGAATCAATAATTAGTTGTTCGTTATCGCCAAGACACTAAGTTCCACACTAGTTTCTGTGAGTAGGATATATATCATTTACCCCAATTTTTGCTCAACATTATCCCTCACACGTCTCAGACGTGTTCAAGCGACCCCCTTGTGGTGTAGTTGGATATCACGTTCGGCTGTAATGGTTAAAGATTGAAACCGAAAGGTGTACGTACATTAATTCGGGAAATTGTACCTATACTAACTTGCCTAGCTCCGGCTCGATTCCGGACGAGGGGAATTATCATCCAAAATACGGATTCTTTTTTTTGACTCGTGTGCCTGTAAACGTGAGAATTTTAGATAGTACTTATTTCAACAAGTAGGGGAGGAGAGAGATACAATAGATAGACATCTCTTGGGGTAGCACGAAGGGTCGATCACGCGAGCAGAGAGCTGAGTTAAGCCTTATTCATGACGGTTCCATTCAAAGGAAGTACCAGTATATAAACACTATGTAGCATTTAATAATCGTGCTAATTTGCGATTAGTTTGTTATACTTTTCTCACTCTTTTGCTCTTGAGACTTGCGCGTCTTGTTCCTAGATGAGATGAGTTCCACCTTTGAATAGCCCGAGCTGCGTTCATTCGAGTGCAAATTAGAGTACCTTCTAAACTCTCTTGGGAGCTGCAGAGTAAAGATGGTCTCGTCGTTTACAAATATCCCTCCCAACTCTCAGCCTTGTGTAACTAGCTCGGCACTGCTATCGTCCGGCAGATCATAGGGCCTCGCTATGACAGCCCCACGTGATCTCTGCAGTCGCTGCATCCCCGCCAATCGCGGGAAGGAACGATTCTACAATCCTCTGAATTTCTGCACAAACTCCATCCTCCCAAAATGCCTTCCGGCAGTCTCGCCGCCTACCTGGCCAAGAACTACCTCAATGCATCAAACCCGTCAGAGTCCAGATCATCGCCCTCAAACTCAGATTTCACCGACTCCGCGCGCCCGAAGAAAAAACGGCGGAAGAACAAAGACAGCGAACCCCAGATCTCCGGCTTGTTGATCGCAGACGATGATGCAGAGCTGTCCATACGCGGTCCAACAGGGAAGAATGGTGACGACGAAGATGAAGATGTGCCCATGTACGACACCAACATAAAGTCTGCGGAATTCAGGAAAAAGAAAAGCAGTGGATGGACAGTCGTGGACGGGGAATCTACAGCCACGGGAAAGGAAAACAACGATGAAGACGCAGAAGCAGACCGAATCATATCCGAGGCGGCTGCTGAGTCCGCGCAGCGACGCCAAGAGATTGAGGATGAGGATGCGCCTGCCATTGTCGATGTGTCCGCTTCAACTACGAGCAATTTCCCGAAAATGCAATCTGGTGCACGGCCTGGTCTGCAAACCGCAGCCGACACAGCGCGACTCGTCGAGGAGGAGGAGCGCGAAAGGGCACGGGAAGTTGCGCGGACCAAGAAATCCAAGAAACCAAAAGATGTGGAAGAAACACCTGAAGAAGAGACCATCTACCGAGATGCCACCGGTCGGCGCATCGACGTGAGTCTCAAGAGAGCGGAAGCGCGCCGGGCGGAGCTGGAGAAGATTGCGGCGGAGAAGAAGGCCCGAGACGAGGCGCGGGGCGATGTGCAGCGCGCGGAGCGGGAGCAGAGAAATCAGGACCTCGAGGAGGCGAAGTTCTTGACTGTGGCGAGAGGTGCCGATGATGAGGACATGAATCGCGATATGAAGGAGGTTGTGCGTTGGGATGATCCCATGGCTATGTATATGGCGCAGAAGAAGGCCGAGGAAAGGGAGATCCAGGGCCCAACGAACGGGAGCAAGGGGGGTGGAAGTGGAAAGGGCCATGCTCTTGCCGCTCCCAGAAAGAAGGTGTATCAGGGGTCTGCGCCGCCGAATCGTTATGGTATTGCGCCTGGGTGGAGATGGGATGGTGTTGATCGAGGGAATGGGTTTGAGAAAGACTGGTTCCAGGCGAGAGGGAGGAAGGCCCGGAATGAAGATTTGAGTTATCAGTGGCAGATGGATGAATAGTTGTCCGTTACTTTTGGCCTGTACAAAATTGCGATCCATGAAGTATTGGTGATGCTTCTATATCTACAAGTTGATGCTACAGGCATCGTGTTCCCAAATTCGCACTGTCCCACTCACGGCATGTTGACTAGATACACCGGTGTACGGGATGCTCTGCTCCCATCCATCACCTGTAATGGAAGAGATGCGTACTTCATGTCCCAATACATACCTAAGTAGCGACTTGAAGGTTCCGGAAGGGCGCGCCTTTCCCGCAACAAACTCCACTATCAGAATAAAACCCGCCAACTTGAACAACTTCGAAGCGGCGGGCAAGGGGTCAACGTCAGAGAACGACCACAAACTAAAACTTGCGCATCTCAACCCATCACTGAATCACTCCGTGCCGTCTACAAGAAGTCACTATTACTTTTAGCGAAGTACATTTTCTAAAGATATCCCGTCAAGGCAAAAATATTCAGTGATAAGTGTCTCCCACGGCTCAACACGGCTTGTAGACCGTCACGCAAGACACCTGCACACACGGGTTCTACTATCTAGTCATATAAGATCTTCCACGGACCGAACAGAAGAGAGCAAGACAAAGGACGTCTGAGAAGGAAAAGCTCATTATGGCGGAGACAACGACATCGACATATCGAATCCGATATGCGCAGCAATCCGACGTCCCATCAATTTTAGCGATGATCAACGAACTGGCCGACTACGAACACGCACTACACGAAGTCCTCGCGACCGAAGAAACACTGACCAAAACCCTCAGCTTCCCAGATCCTTCAAGCCCGACAGGATTCACGACCGGCTACGCCAAAACGCTCCTCCTTACCACACCCGGGTCGTCATCCACCACAACCACGACCGACTCCACCACCTCTGGCCCCGAGGAAACCATCGCCGGTATGGCGCTCTTCTTCCACAACTACAGCACGTGGAATGCCGCGCCGGGGATCTACCTGGAGGACTTGTTCGTGCGACCCGTGCATCGCGGTGCGGGATTTGGGACGGCGCTCATCCAGGCGCTCGCGCGTGAGTGTCTCAGGCTCGGGTGCTTGCGCCTAGATTGGTCGGTGCTCAAGTGGAATGAGCCGAGCATCAAGTTCTACCAGGGTGGCAGTGTTGGTGCCACGAGGCTGGAGGAGTGGGTTGGTATGCGTGTCGATGGGGATGGATTGGGGAGGTTGGCAGGGAATGTTCGGTGAAAGTGGGAATGGTACCCTGATATGAGGACGGCGATTAAATGTGAGAGTGAGAGGAGGGCTTGGGCAAGGGTGCTATCATAAATACAAAAGGAGACAGGCTTTCAGGCGGTCAAAATGGCGAATAGAAGACAGAAGTCCCTGGAGGAAAAGCTAGGGTCTATTGAACTGGGCATAGACTTTGAACTCCAGGGGAAACAAATCAATCATATTCCTCTTCTCTTGGTGCACTGGATCAAATATGGACTCCTGAAAACGCCTGCTTGTGTGCCTCCCTCTGAACCACATATCGTTAATCTTCAACTTCGATTGCCCGTGCCCGTGGTTTCCGAAGTGCCTCTGAGTCAATACAGTAGAGCACAGCCTTCCCACCAAAAGCATTTCTGGTCACAAACTGCCTCCTCGATCACATAACCACACAACACGAATTCTGCTTCTTCGCCTGGTTATAAAACATCTTACTCTGAGCACTCAGACCATCCGATTTGGCCACGAGACTATCAATCTTCTCCCCTCTCTCCAACACACTCTCAATCGTCTTATGCAGAACAATCTTGGTCTCGTCCAATTCCCGCTGCACCTTCATGATACTGTCTGCTTGGTTCGGGTCCTGGTATTTCTGCAGATACTCCTTCAATTGCGGGTACGGCCGCGAAGTGACCGAGGGAGATGAATAAGACGACCGAGGGTTTTGTGATGTGAATTCATCGACGATCTTCGAGAGAAGTTGGTGCGCAACCAGCGCCGGATACTCGGCGTCCGAGATTATGATGCCTGCGATCCCCTGGCTCGAGCCGTAAGCGTGGAATGTGTGGGCTCGTTCCTCGATGTCTTGTCGTACACCGGGCTTCGTTCGCTCCGCTACGGTTTTGGCGAACATGGTCATGAATTCGCTGTAGCTGTTCAAGGTGTCAGTGTCTCGTAGAGGATAATACACTGGGGTGCCATCTACCTTGCGCGGGTGAAGCGGGAGAAGGACGAGAGGTCCTGCTCGACGGCCAGTTCGACCGCAGGTACAGGGTCATTTCGTAGGATCTAATGTCATTGTCTTAGTCTCTGGCCTTGAGGTTGTCATGAATGTCTCTCTTGCTTACTCCAATATAGAAGATCTTCGTCATGGTGGCGGTGTGAGATATGAGCGGTCGGGGAAGAGGTGGAGAGTATGGAGTTGTCGAGGAAGAACAAAACTACGAAGAATCGGTGTCCTGGGATGTGAGCCTGTTGAAACACTTAATGTTCAGGATCAGATGTCTATGGGGGTTGGTGGAGAGTGTTGATAGTGGGAGAAGTGGGAGCAGTAGTACGAGTGGAAATGTTAGAGCCTAGAAGCAGACAAGGACCGATGTCTCCGTTGTTGGATGTCACATGTGTTGCTTTGTCTCGTGGCTTTAGGGGTGGGGATCCTCTGATTTGGGCGGTGTCAACCCCTCGTTTCGCCGCCTTCAGATTTCCTGCCGCCTGGAGTTCCAGGTGGCAGCGCTTATTCTGGGGCGGTCACCCGGGACACTGTAGAGTTTAGGTTGTGCCTCATGCCTGTAATGGTGAGCTATCCTGTGCTAATTGCCACTAAGGCCACCTAGCATTAACGGAGCCAATAGAGTTCTAGGCCTGCAAGCTACCTAATTTTTCCAAGGCCGATATCTCTGTGCGAGTCATCGATACCGATATTCATCATCACTCTCAATCAATTTTGTTTAGGCTACAAGGTTTCTTTCAAAGTAGCCTGAGCTCCCATATCGACATCTGTAGATCGAGACAGGTGGCCACCAGAGTGAATCATCATGGCTGAGGCGACATTCGAATCAGAGGCACAATGGCTGGCTCAAATGGCTGCCATGAGAAACGCCATCGCAGACTTGAAATTGCCATCTGTGGATGATGCTTCCCAAATGTATGGCTCTGACTTGGACTTGGACGATGAGTCAAGTGAAGGTCTCGAAGATGATATCTGGGATGTCGAAAGTGATCTTGATGAGAGTCCCACTAGTGACGACTTTTATCACGCTGCTGATGGCTTCAGAACACCCGATGTGGTCCACGAGGGTGTTTTTAATCGAACATGGCTAAAACAAAAGTCCTCTTCTTTTGCAGCCACGAGATCTGGTATGGATGCCTCAGATCTCGAACAACAAATCACTGCATTGTTGGCGTCAGACAGCTCCGATGAGGAGTTACAAATGTCATTGGCAGATATCATCGGCTTTGATGACCTGGACTTTGTTATTGAGCTCATCTCGCATCGAAAAGAAATCTTGAGTGGCCCTTCTGCTACCAGTCGTCAGACAGATGGATTGTTCGGTGGTCTTCAAACCCGCAAGGAGCGAGATGCTACCTTGCGACAGCAAGACTACGAACACAAACATGCAACTATCGCTCCTGCTTATGACAGATCCGGTCCTAAATATCCTCATGTCTACAAGTCTGATATGGCAGCAGCAGGGAATATGCTCGATGCTGCTGGACGAAGATATGCACTACCTGTGGGTTCCACTCATTCCGATCATCCCAAGTATGAGGAATATTCAATTCCTGCGGCCAAGGTAGGTTCGTTAGCTGTTGGGCAGAAGCTGGTCGCCATCGACGAAATGGATGGACTCTGTCAACGCACATTCAAAGGATATAAGACTCTCAATCGCATGCAGAGTCTTCTATACCCTGTCGCATATACCACTTCGGAGAACATGCTCATTTGTGCTCCTACTGGTGCTGGTAAAACTGACGCGGCCATGCTGACGATCTTGCATTGTATATCGAAAAATGTCGTCCCCAATCCTATTGATGAACCTGATGCCAAAGATTTCGTTGTCATGGCAGATGATTTCAAGATTATCTATGTTGCTCCGATGAAGGCCCTCGCAGCCGAAGTCACAGAAAAACTAGGTCGTCGATTGGCCTGGCTTGGGATTCAAGTTAGAGAATTAACTGGTGATATGCAGTTGACGAAAAAGGAGATCGCTGCTACCCAAATCATCGTGACCACCCCCGAGAAATGGGACGTTGTAACAAGAAAAAGTACAGGAGATACTGAACTTGTGCAAAAGGTTCGCCTTTTGATCATTGATGAAGTTCATATGCTACACGACGAACGTGGTGCGGTCATTGAGTCTCTGGTTGCCAGAACCGAGCGACAAGTCGAAAGCACCCAATCATTGATCAGAATTGTTGGACTGTCTGCCACTCTTCCCAATTATATCGATGTGGCAGATTTTCTCAAAGTCAATCGCATGGCTGGTCTCTTTTATTTCGACGCGTCATTCAGACCTGTTCCGCTCGAACAACATTTCATAGGCGTCAAAGGCAAAGCCGGAAGCAAAACATCGCGCGACAACATTGATCATACAACATTCGAGAAACTCAAAGAACTACTGAAGCAAGACAAACAAGTCATGGTCTTTGTCCATTCAAGGAAGGACACCGTTCTTACTGCTCGAATGCTTTACTCAATGGCTGTTGACGATGGCTGCGCCGACCTATTCCAACCTGAACCAGATGACCCAGCTTACCTGAGAGCCATGTCTGACCTGAAGACTACGCGTGGTAGAGAGCTTCGTGACATTATTCCAAAGGGCTTTGGTTGCCACAACGCGGGCATGGCACGTTCTGACCGCAATTTTGTGGAGAGGATTTTCTCGGAAGGTGCAATCAAAGTTCTTTGCTGTACTGCAACTTTGGCATGGGGTGTCAATTTGCCTGCTGCCGCTGTTGTTATCAAAGGAACTCAGCTTTACAGTGCAGAAGCAGGTAAATTCGTTGACCTCGGAATTCTGGATGTTCTTCAAATATTTGGTCGAGCAGGTCGTCCGCAATTCCAAGATAGTGGTATTGGCTTTATTTGTACCACACACGACAAGTTACAACATTACCTGAGTGCTGTTACTCAACAACAACCCATCGAGTCAAAGTTCTCTCAGAGACTTGTTGACAATTTGAATGCTGAGATCAGTCTCGGAACGGTGACATCAATTCCAGAAGCAATCACTTGGCTAGGTTATTCGTACTTGTTTGTTCGGATGCGTCGCAATCCTCAGGCTTATGGTATCGACTGGAACGAATTCCAAGATGACCCTCAATTAGGCCAGAGAAGACGCAAATTGATCGTGGATGCCGCAAGAACTCTGCACAGAAGTCAAATGATCATCTTCAACGAGCGCACGGATGAGCTCCGTGCTAAAGATGTCGGTCGAATAGCCAGTCAATTCTATGTCCTTCATAGTAGTATTGAGATCTTCAATACTATGATGAGACCACAAGCTAGTGAAGCGGACATTCTCAAAATGATCAGTATGAGTGGAGAGTTTGACAACATACAGTCGAGAGAAAATGAAGCTCAAGAACTCAACAGACTTCGAAAGGAGGCAGTCGTGACCGAGATCGAAGATCGAAAGGCTGGCACTCAGGGTTCGAAAGATGAAAAGGAGCAGAGAATCATTGAGAACCACGCGAAAACCAACATTCTTCTTCAATCCTACATCTCCAGAGCCAAATTAGAAGACTTTGCATTGGTGTCAGATCTGGCTTATGTTGCACAAAATGCAGCGAGAATTTGTCGAGCCCTCTTTATGATTGCCCTTAATCGGGGTTGGGGGTATCAATGTCAAGTTCTGTTGTCAATGTGCAAAGCGATCGAAAAGCAAATTTGGCCATTCGAACACCCTTTCCATCAGTTCGACCTTCCAATGCCTGTCTTGAAGAACCTTGATGAAAAGGCACCTTCTTCCAATATCGAAAGTTTGAGAGAAATGGAACCTGCGGAGATTGGAAGTTTGGTACATAACCAAAAGATGGGCAACACTATATCAAGACTTCTTGATAACTTTCCGCTAATCACAGTAGAGGCTGAAATAGCCCCACTCAATAGGGACGTTCTCAGAATGAAGCTCTTTCTTTATCCGGAATTTGTCTGGAATGATCGCCATCATGGTACATCAGAGTCATACTGGGTTTGGGTTGAGAACTCGGACAATTCTGAAATCTACCATCACGAGTATTTCATCCTAAGCAGAAAGAAGATGCACGACAGCCATGAACTCAACTTTACTATCCCATTGGCAGATCCCCTTCCATCACAAATATACGTTCGAGTCATCTCAGATCGTTGGTTGGGAGCTGAGACAGTACAGCCCGTGTCATTTCAACACCTCATTCGTCCAGACACTGAGAGTGTTTACACTGATCTACTTGATCTACAACCTTTGCCTATCGCAGCACTGAAGAATCCACTTCTTGAAGAATTGTATGGCCAAAGATTTCAATTCTTCAATCCCATGCAAACTCAAATCTTCCATACCCTCTATCACACGTCAAATAATGTGCTTCTTGGCTCTCCGACTGGCTCGGGCAAGACTGTTGCTGCAGAATTGGCAATGTGGTGGGCATTCAGAGAACGACCAGGTAGTAAAGTGGTTTATATTGCACCAATGAAGGCTCTAGTTCGTGAACGAGTACAAGATTGGCGCAAGCGTCTTGTAGGACCTATGGGTCTGAAATTAGTCGAATTGACTGGTGATAACACTCCTGACACAAGAACAATCCGTGATGCAGACATCATCATTACCACCCCAGAGAAATGGGACGGCATTTCTCGATCATGGCAGACGAGAGGTTACGTTAGACAAGTGTCTCTGGTGATTATTGACGAGATTCATCTGCTAGGCGGCGATCGTGGCCCTATTCTGGAAATCATTGTTTCACGTATGAATTACATCGCGGCTCAAGCTGAGGCTGGATCTATTCGCCTGGTTGGAATGTCTACTGCTTGTGCAAATGCAACAGATCTGGGCAATTGGTTGGGAGTCAAGCCTGGCAATAATCAAGGCCTGTTCAACTTCAGACATAGCGTTCGCCCAGTTCCGTTGGAAATCTACATCGACGGCTTTCCCGAACAAAGAGGATTTTGTCCACTCATGCAAAGTATGAATCGACCAACCTACCTGGCTATCAAGAATCACAGCCCCAACAAGCCAGTAATCGTCTTTGTTGCATCTCGTCGACAGACTCGTCTCACTGCTAAAGATCTGATCAATTTCTGTGGAATGGAGGAAGACCCTCGTCGTTTCCTCCATTTCGACTCGGAAGATGACCTTGCGCATACACTTTCGGCGGTCAAAGATGAAGCTTTGAAGGAGGCTTTGGGCTTTGGTATTGGACTCCATCATGCTGGTCTGGTAGAGTCTGACCGAACCATGTCGGAGCAGCTGTTCGCTGCGAATAAAATCCAAATTTTGGTTGCTACGTCCACCCTCGCATGGGGCGTGAATCTACCAGCACACCTTGTCGTTGTGAAGGGAACACAGTTCTTCGATGCCAAGATTGAAGGATACAAAGACATGGATTTGACTGATGTTCTACAAATGTTGGGTCGAGCCGGTCGTCCACAGTTCGACACATCTGGAATTGCGCGTATCTTCACTCAAGATGCGAAGAAGGCATTCTACAAGCATTTCCTCCACACTGGCTTCCCCGTCGAAAGCTCCTTGCACAAAGTCCTGGACAATCATCTGGGCGCCGAAGTCTCAGCTGGAGTAATCACCACTAAACAAGACGCGCTTGATTATCTGACATGGACGTTCTTTTTCCGTCGCCTACACAAAAACCCTACATACTACGGACTCGAAATCTCAGCAGAGGAACACAGAGAGAGCCAATTAACCGCTCAGCAACTTGCAGCTGACTACATGATCACACTCGTTGATAAATCCATCGAAGATCTAGCTGAGAGCGACTGTGTACTGGTGCATAGCAATGGTGACGTCGATAGCACACCCTTTGGCAAGATCATGTCATACTACTACCTCTCGCACCTAACGATTCGAAAATTCCTATCCAAAGCCCGCAAGACCACTACCACGACCTTTGCCGACGCATTAGCTTGGATCAGCTCCGCGACAGAATTCGACGACCTTCCTGTCCGCCACAACGAGGATCTTATCAATGCGGAGCTCGCCAAGAATCTACCTCTCGACACTGTCGGTCTACTGGACGGTATGCCAATGTGGGATCCGCACGTCAAAGCCTTCCTGCTACTCCAAGCTTTCATGTCGCGCATTGACCTGCCGATCACCGACTACGTCGGCGACCAGACCAGCGTACTAGACCAAGGTATTCGCATTATTCAAGCTGGCATCGACGTGATGACGGAGCTGAACAAATATGATGCCGTCGTCCAGATGGTCACCCTCCTCCAATGCATCAAATCAGCCCGCTGGCCAGAAGACTACCCGCTCAGCATCTTGCCAGGTGTTCACGAGATCGCCGACCCAGGCTTAAACGGTAAGGTCCCTACTGACCTGGTTACCACTGCTGTTGTTGCGCACCGCCACGGCTCCAAGACCATCGACGGTCTTATGAACCTGCTGAAAATCAAATCCGCCAGCATGCGATCTCAATTTGTCAGAGCAGTCAATGCACTCCCCGATATCACATTGGCAGCTAGCGGAGACACGGAGACGCTGCAATTGACGATGAAGCGCGGAAATCGCATTCCGAACGCCGAGGCAAGAATCTTCGCGCCCAAATTCCCAAAACCACAGACTGAAGGATATTTCGTCATTGTGTTACCAACAGGTGCGACGCCTGAAGCGAGGAATCAAGATGTTCTGGCGCTGAAGAGAGCGAATTGGTCGAGTGTGACGACCGCAACGGCTGCGACTCGTGGTGGTAGTGGAAGTGGAAGTGGGCGAGTTGGGCAGAGTAGGGTCAGCGGCGTCAGTCATGTGAAACTGAAGCTTCCAGAAACGCTTGTGGGCAAGAGGGCGGGCACGGAGGTGAAAGTCGATATCATCGTGTTTAGCGATGCTTATCCAGGCATGCAGTGGAAGTTGGAGAATGTGTCGGTCGCGGTCGCTGTGAGAAAACAGGAGGCTGTGCAGACGATGGAGTTAGAGGGTATTATTGATGAGAGTCTACTGAAGAAGGGAAAGGGCAAAGCTGCTTAAGTACCTGAAGAAAACATGAGTGGCGCTATCGCGCACAACCAAGGATAGAATAACATTCGATCGTCATGAAGGCTGGAATCACTCTTCATAACCCACGAAGTTGCGGTAGAGTGAAAGTGAAGGCCGTCATACAATTGGAACGCGAACCTGCAGGGCTATATGGAAAAAGCAATAGCATATTCAATTGCGGAGATGTTGGAAAGAAATCGAACCCACACTATTCAAGTACGACACGTGTGGAGAAAGAGAGAGTGAGAGGCACCGAAGCTGAAGCCCATGCAGCTTGCATTGTCACGGCAGAAACGGCGCTGGAGTTACTTTATCATGCCATGACGAGTTTTGCAGCCGACAGCATTACTTTTGGCGTTTAGGTCATGATGGCTTGGGCCGTTTATGTTGCGAGTTGGAATTTGAAATCTGGAACTTGATTGAACGTCGATGATGTGGTCCCTTGCTGGCCACCATCGATGTCAATTGCATAGCATAGCATCGCCTTCTTTGAGACTCGGCAGACAGCTTGAGCCTTGCTGAGAAAACCACACCACAGTTGATACTTTTTCAAAGGCACCAGAATTGATTTCTTTGATCACAGCGTGTATTTTGTGACCCTCTTGTTATGCAACTTGAATTCCCACAGTCCTTCAGTCAAGGCGTCAACTAGAAAGTAGCTGGGCAGAAGAAGAGTCGCATGTGTTGTGGAGGAAGGAAAGAATGTTTGAAAGTGAGAGGTGTACTTTGTGGGCGATGAGGGTCATGATGCCCATTGGGGGTCCCTCATGTTGACCAGCACCGCTAGTCTTCGATGGATTTGAGGAGGACTTCGATAAGAAAGATAGAGAAATGAGCTCCGGGACTTTTCAACCCACTTCGCCATAGCATTCTGGCGCCTGGCAAAGGCCCATAGATATGGCGTCTCAACACAGTCGGTGATGGGACACAGAACAAGGCTCGAGCTGGCAAGGGTGAAGGTTTAGCATGTTTACACGTCCCTCCACTTTGCGAACAGACTCCCGATTTGGAGTGTTACAGGTAGCGATCGATACTAAGTTACTGCATAAAATCTTGGACGATATTATATGTATCGAGAGGACTTAGATAGATCGAGAACTAAATTCATTCACCTTGAATTAGTCCATAATATTGAGGGAAAGTTGTTATATTATATACTATTAGGAACGGAGCGGCAATTTTTCGTATTCTGCTGCCAGACGGGGAAACAATTTCAACGCATTATTCCGCACAATGTCCTCTAATGCCTGTTCGTCAAACAATCCCGAGTTCTTGGGCGAATCATAGCCCGCTTTGTATGAGGAAGTGGTGTCCAGCCGCACAGTGTAAGGAAAATCAGTGGCATATAGCAGATGTTCTGTGGGGATCCCCAGCTCTTTGAGCACCGGATACTGCATAGCACTGCTGATGGCCGAGTCCAGGTAAAGATTGCTTTGTGACACAAGATCTCGCAGTCGAAGTCCCCCATTGTTCTTGGCGATCACCTCGTCGATGTGCTGGGCGCCAATTCGATCGGCGAGAAAGGGAAAAGCACCGCCATTGTGCGAAAAGATGAATCGGATCTTGGGATAACGGACAAAGATCCCAGCGTGGATCACATCGGTGATGGCGCGACAGGTGTCGAACGCGAATTCTTGCACGACTTTCAAGGACACGAGAGGGTCAGTGCCACAATTTTCAAGCATAAATATATACTTCACAAGCTATTGTCACTCACAAGGGCCGAATGAGAGTGTCGGTGGTCGATCCGAGTCTGCGGGATGCACGAAAACGACCGAACTCGTCTTGTTCAGTTCTTCCCAGACGGGATCAAATCGAGGATTTCCGAGATAGTGATGCCCAATCTGAGTGCTAATGCCCCAACCATCGGGCTGAGTCGATTGCTGAGACGCCTTCCTGATGAAATCGATGGTTTCCGGGATATGTGGTAGAGGCAAGAGAGCGAAGCAACCTAGATGCAACCATTCGTCAATGACTATGCTAGGTACTATCATCGCATCAACCCACCAAATCTCAATGGATTCGAGGCGACATAGTCGAGCTGAGCTCTCAGCGACCTCTCACAAAGATCAACAAGCCTTTCCTTGGAGAAGTCCTGATGCCATTCATTCTTAATGGACGGAGTCTGGGTTCCCACAAGTAAGCGAAGGGTTGGACACCAGAAATCAATCTGACCTACAACCACCGCAGTCTGAATACCAACTTCATCCATGTATTTCAAGTGCGCTTGAGCATCCTCTGGAAATTTGCCTGTGAAGCCCACGCCGAAGAGATTACTGCCCTCTGTGGCAAATTCGGGTGCGACCTCGGACACTGTGGCTGGAAAACAATGATGATGAACGTCTATGCGCCCGAGCCCGGGAAAGGCAGTTGAACGTGTTGATTGATTGCTTGCCATGACCTCTTCTGTTTGTCCTCGTTCTAGATCATAGTTTGAGAGAATGTGTGAACAGCGAACCCTGAATGTGCAGAATGGAGACTACTTCAATGGTTCATCGACTGCGCTGCCTATTCCACATCTTGAGTAGGGATTTGCGAGAATGAGGCACACCCTATGATGAGTGAAGATCCAGGTTTCTCAAAAGCCGGAGCTCGAGATCGAGCAAGGGTTCCATCAGTTCGAAACGTTCCGAGACCTTTGGAGGAGAGAGCGGAACCACATCCATAGCTTTGAGTGGTATTGCCGCATCATCCACATAAATCACGCGGTAGCAATACAGAGTAATTGGAGTGCTCAATCTATGTCAAACAGGTTAGCATTATCAAATCTCGGACAAGTTAAATCCAGAACGAGTTAGCTCAGACAAGATTAGTATTGCCTCTGCGGCATTCCCGCCACTGGAGACAGCCTCGGACGGGTCAATGATGAATTTCAACGCCCTCATTAGTTTTCTTCAGCGGATGGGTATCTACTAGGATACTCTTGGGATAGCTGCCTGTCAAATATGGTCATCCAAGTGGTAGTTTTCCAACTGTTGAAGATTTCTGGATAGGGAGGCATCACGTCGCCTAGCTTCACATCGTGTGCCATTACTCATGATCTGTGTCTCGCCGTTCCTGCACCCGCGGGCGGATCACCCGCAGATTCATCCATCGCAGTGCCCACTTTAATTAGCACACTTGATGACCTAAGCCTATACGAATTTACAAGCCGGTCCGTCTTTTATAGTCCGAAGCTACGTAGGAGAGCTCCTCAATTCTTCCGTGTAATAATCGCGACATCATTGGCTCTAAATGGAGTGTTTTGAACACTTAGGGACAAACCCTTTCGCACAAATTCAGTCATTCCAGACAAGTACAGCCTTGACAGTTTTACCCGAATGAATGTCCGCAATGGCCCGATCGAGGTCTTTGTGAGGGTACTCTGTGATGAGATCTCCAATAGGAAAACGACCTCGCCTGTAATGATCAACGAGAGCCGGTATCGTCTAGTAAAATGATGGTTCAGCGACGATGCAAGCTTCGTTCCGTCACCTTGATCGAGGACTTACTAGTGCTGGGTTTGCGTCACCCTCAATCACACCTTTGTAGGTGGCAGCATTGTTGACCATAAACGAAGGATGGAGCTGTACATTAGGACCGGTGGAAGGTCCCGCCAATTGAATGGCAGTGCCTGTATCCGGATCAGTAATGAAAATAGAGCCGTTAAATAGATCAACCATTGCCTTACCAGTCCTTGACATGCTAGACAGCATTTGCTGAATAACACGGACATTCCCCGTGGTGTCAATGACAAAATCCGGTCCGTTTCCTTGAGTGGCGTCTTGTATCAAACGATTATGCAGTTCTTCGCCCTCGCGAGAGTTGATGGTTAGGGTGGCACCGGCTTTGGCAGCCAGGGCCAATTTATCCGGATTGATGTCGACAGCAATAATGGTGTTTGCGCATGTGAGATGAGCGGCGGCGGCGATTGCAGCAATGCCCACCGCTCCAGCCCCATAGATGGCAATACTCGATCCTAGATTCGGCTTGCAGGAATTGATGACCGTCCCTGCTCCGGTCATGAATCCGCAGGCGAACGGAGCGAGATGGGACAATGGAATGGGCTGGCCACCAGAACGTTGGAGAACGGCAGGATCAAACGGCACGCATGATCGTTGATTGACATTGGCATAACTGGATAGACTCGATTGACCGAAAAATAGGGTTGTAAGATCAGTCAGTGCTGACTGCTCAGACGAGGTAAGCTCTAGGATTGTACGAGAGGACTCCGCTGTTCGGATTCCCGTCAAGTTCAGTGGTACGAAGCTGTGGCAATGGTTCGGATGCCCTGAGAGACACTTTGCACAAGTGGCACATGAAGCGAAGGACAGGATGACATGGTCATCCTTCTTGAGTAACGTCACCGCGGAGCCGACTTCGGTTATCTGACCAACACCTTCATGACCCAGAATGGCGGGCAATTCGACGGGGATCCCTCCATTTGCGGCGAGGAGATCTGGTTACACGTCAAGTCAATACCATTGTGATGCAGCTTCTGGGTATCGGTCTGGGTCTCATATGATCGATACGTTGTCACTAACCTGTATGGCATATTCCAGTAGCCTTCAACTTGACTCGTACTTGGTCGGATGCCAGAGCACCAAGAATCACTTCCTCCAAGGCGAAGGCAGTTCCATACTTGTGCACGACATAAGCAGTCGCTCTCTGTTGAGACATGATGATATATGTCTGTCGGTAGTTTGTTCTGATTCTGCTAATCAGTCACGAACGTGAGCCAATACTAACAGATTGTGAGGTACTGCACACCTAGAAGATAACTTTTAACCCTTAACGACCGGATAGAGCTTTGAGAATAAGTAGATGCGCATCAGTCGGAGTGAGTACATATCGGCGAACAAATGATATCATAAGACATCAAAAGGATTAGACGCCATAATCTTCTCCGCAATTTACGCTTACAACGGATTTCGCGGGTGGTTTCCGAAGGGACCTAAGGAGCACCTCTATTCTTCTCTAACTAGATGGCCATATGAAACAAATCAACGCCAACTTCAACCCGCCTCCTTCGGGGAGGCTAGGGGCGGGGGGCGGAGATGGCGGCAGTTGGTGGTAGGCTACTCTAGCTCCAAAGGCAGGCGGAAGCAGTGTCAGCGAGGCTAACAATGGCTGCACAGCGGCAAATGGTGGAGGCTAGGTGGCGAGAGGGTGGTGGCCATGCTGATGAGGAATATGGGGATGACCTCCTTGGCTATGGAGATGATAATGTCCACATGAATCTATTGGCAATCGACGCTGATGTCTTCCAGAATTGGTCGTGCCGAAGTACTGAGTCAATATTGGACACGTTCACTGGGATTGGAAGTCAACGTCCGGGAAGTGACACGGATTAGAACGTCTGGTGCATAACGAGGCTGGTACGGGCAAGGGGGAGAGTTTGGCATGTTTGCACAATTCTTGGTTTGGCGGGCAGGCTTGCAATTTCGAGTGGTAAAAGCGGCAATCGGTGCTACGTCACTTTGCATGTCTCGGGAGTGTCACATGTCAATCGGACTCAAGATGGTTGGGATTGGAACCATCAATGAATGGATTGCATCTCGGATTGGTCTTGCAACCTCGAGAAAAATCATCATATTGTATACTATGAAAATGCAGCGGTGCTATACAGAAGTCATAGACACTTGAGTCTGCAAAGCGTCAAGTTGGTAAAAATCAAAGGAGCAATCCCCCGGTATGTCCTCATCGGGGTGTCCTGTGCCGGGTTTCTCCAAGGGCTAGTCATATCCTCAAGAAGCGCCGGTTTCCATGCTTGGGTGGTTGGTAACGCCAGCTTCCCTAATGAGCCCTGGGGTATCTCTGTGAACAGTATAAGTCGTAGTGATTACAAAGGTGCAAAAGCCAATAAAACGCCTGATGAACACATTCTCTCCGAGAACTTATCAAGTTCACTTCAGATGAGAGTGATCAATCATCTCGAAGTCATGATCATCATCATCATCGCCGGCATATCCTTCAGCAGTGTCCTTGTCACTAACGACATCGTATTCCTTGTTGACCAGTTTCTCTGTTTCGTTGTTCTCGAATCGACGAACAGCTTGAGTAATGGCATTGCTCAGAATATCAGTACCAGCACGAGGACCGGTCATGGCATCAAAGTTGTACATGAAGTCAGCCTCGGCTGGCAGGGGAGCAGCAGAGGCTTCATAGACATCTTCGCCTTCAGATGAGTTGTCCGAGACATTAGCCAAGGGACCATCCATGGCATCGACAACCTCATTACGGAAGGCCTTGCGAGCAACTGCTGAGGCTTGTCTACTGATTTTCTGCTGGGCCGTGTGCTTGTTGAGGGCGATTGCACCACCCATTCGACGATCAAAATCTCTTGGCGCTGGACGACCAGTGCATCTGACACAGTTTGGTTCTGGTTGTTCATGCTTGACGCATTGTCGATAGGAAGTCTCAACAGGACCTCGAGCCCATTTGGAGTTGTGATTCTTATCTCTTTGGTAGGGTTTGGCTGCACTGCGGAGATCGTGGTTGGAGAGGTTCGACATGATGTGGATGATGTGAGGGTTGATTCTGACTGATGAGGGAGGGTATAAGTGAAGCTGAGGTTTGAAGGAGAGACTGGACAGTCACTCAGTCGATGATCGATCAACTGTAGGGGGAGAAGTCAAGTATGAAGAATGACGCGCTGGAGAGGATTGAGGAAGAGATTAGGCTTCGATCGAAAGCGAAAGAACAAAGAAGAGTGACAAGGAAGAGACCGAGGTGGAAGAAGGCGAGGATGACAAAGAGATGGTGATGAATAAAGGAGTTGAGGAGAAGTAGAGAAGGAGAAGAAGTGCAGGATATACTAATAGGTGTATGATGAGTGGGAGTCACGCGTTGAAACCGGATGAATGAATGTTGTGGAGTGGGTGGATGAGCCTGAGCCTGAGCCTGAGGATGTTGAGGAAGAGCGGGTTGAGAGGAATGGTGGCACACGGTGGTCAAACGAGGCATGATTGGATCTATTGAGTCATCGGGCCAGGCACTGGGGTGCAAGCGCAAGTGATAAGAAGCTGAAGAGGTCATCGGGTGGCTTGGATAGATGCGGGATCAATAGATTGGGGTGTACGCCATGTGCGCGTGGGTGGTGACACACCAGTGCATCAAGATATGAAGGAGAGCTCCGAGCTTCTCACTGACGCATCGGGCAAGGCGCAGTCAACATCACGGACCACGAACATGAAAGATAAGGATACGCGCCGACTGGACGACTTGGATGCGGAGAGACACGGATTGTCTGGGCTGGGAATCTATTCTTGTTTGTGAGGCATTCAAAGTGACCTCATTCTCTCACAAAGCAGGTTGTGATTGCCACTGCTGTTGCATAACCCATGATACGATTAGGTATGCCCAGATTAATGTTGCCCATGCCCGTTGGTTGCCCGTAGCATGCACCCCAGATCAACGCCTGGGTAGTGGTGACGTCTGCCCTCTCGGTACCTGAAGCAGATACAGTCCTACGCCTGGGGTAAGTACCTAACCAGGTACCTAAATCAACCCCATCATTCTCAGGCACTTCGTGACTCAAAGACGAGAATGCCTTGATCCCAATTGAGATTTCCTGTCCTAATTACCTGCTTTATGGCTCCAAGAGTCATCCTGTTAATTTCATCAGGCAGTTCTTGTCTCTACGTAGCCCCATCTGACTCAGTGCCTAAACGACAGTCATAATCCTAAATCCATAATTAATGACTGTCCATTTATGCATCCCAAAACTTACCCCAGTACTCATAGACAAATACAGCTCATTCCCCATCACCTTCTGACTCATCGCTATCCTCCTCGTCGGCTTCGCTGGGAAGTCTCTTGGGGAACCATCCATATCGACCCAGATCAACCCATTGATCCTCAAGCCCTCGAGCTTGGTTCACTTCAACTCCTTCTTCTCCCAACTTCTGTGCTTGTCGGCTGGCTCCGAGTCCGTCATCCCCACGTGGACTGATCCCACCCTTCGCATTGACCACTCGTTGCCAAGGCACATTTTGATCATGAAAGAAGAATTTGTCCGGTTCTGCTGGATTGTACGTTGGAAGGTGCTTCAAACACACTCCCACTTGACGAGCTCGTTTGGGGAACCCAAGTAGATGTGCAATTTGTGAATAGCTCGTCACTTTTCCATATGGGATTTCCTGTACAGCACTGTAGACTGCCTGAAACCACCATTGTGCCTCTTCTGATTGTTCACGTACCATGATTGAAGGAGCACTTCAAATAAAATGTCTTGACGTTGAAGAGAGAAGTGTTCTCGACCGCCTAACAACCTTGGAATCATGTCTTATGTAAGGTGAGTGTCTCTTCGAACTGCCTTGAGGAGGAAGTTCAGATCAGATAAGATTAGATGTTTGTTTACAACTTTCCCTTGGCGAGTTGTTTGGCCTCCAACTTGACCACTTCATCTACATCTGCGCTCTCCAACTCCAACTTCTCTACAGATAATAATGGCAGAGAAATAACACCACTTCTCCCATCCCTCTGTCCATATCCTCTCCCCCTCACATCTCAACAATCATGGCCTTCCGTGGCAATGAGAGTCCCATGGACTTTGAGTGGCAAGGCCATGGCCCCGTCGACCCGTCCTCACCATTCCATAAACACATCATGGAGGCTCAAGCAAAAAAGCGTACTGCGCCCCTCCAAACTTCCAACGATCGTTCAAGAATGCTGAACAGTTCAGGGACACATAAAGAATTCACTTCTCCCAAGAAGCCAAACTTTCCATCTCTCCGCGAACCCAACAATCAGCCCTTCTTCTTTTCAAACACTCCTGTATCACCCACTGCAACTTCATCACCGTTCCGCGCTCCCTCATTCACCACTCCCCGAAAACCATTCGACATAGACTTCTCTTCTGGACCAGAAAACTCATCTCCAATGGCTCCAACCGACAATGAAGAAACCCCCGACGCCAAACCCATCCCAATCGAGTTTAAAAGCAGTCCCACCAAGTCCCAGACCAAACGCAATTCACTCTTCGGCGGTCTCTACGGCAGGTTCGCGCATAGTCCGGGCAGAGGCGAGATCCGAAAACCGCACAGTGATGCAATCGCAAGAAGAATACAAAAGAAACGAAGGCGCGCACAGGCTTTTGACAAGCAATTGGTTTTCGGAAAGCGATCGGACAGCATGGAAGACGATAGTGACGATGACCAGCTCCCGAGCCCGACCGATTCAAAACATCCACAACCTCCAGTCCAAGAAGTCGGTTGGATGGCTGGCTTCTTCACATTCATCCACACCTATCCTGATGCCCCGTCCATCATCGCAAAATACCTACAAGTGTTCTTCAATGCCGCCATTCTGGGTGGCTGTCTGTACATGTTCTGGTCCTTCTACGCCACCATCCGTGCCGACGTCGACCGCGCTAGTGAAGATGCCATGGCCGAAGTCCTTGCAGAAATGGCAGCTTGTTCAAAGAACTACATTGACAACCGATGTGCCGCTGACACGAGGCTCCCTGCTCTCGAATCCGTATGCAGTAATTGGGAGCTCTGCATGAATCGTGATCCCAGAGCCGTCAAGCGTGCAAGACTCAGTGCTCACACATTCGCTGAGATCTTCAACGGCTTCGTTGAACCCATCAGCTTGAAAACTATGTAAGTTCTTCCTATCGCTTTATCCTAGCCAAGCACATGACTTAACAAATTTCAATCAGGCTCTTCACCATAACACTTGTGATTGTCGGCCTGCTCGTCAACAATGCAACATTCACACTCTACAGACGTCAACAGGAGAACTACAGCAATCCTGGATACCGACCTCCCTCAGCGACATACATGCAGTCTCCCGGCTTCGGCGCCATTTCCCAGGGACCAGGCTATGGTCAGCATCAGCCGTATATGGGATGGCATGGTGGTGAGACCGGTCAGCATCAGATCGAGTATCAGCGAAGCCCGAGTAAGGAGCATCGTGCAAGAAGCCGCAGTCCGGAAAAGAAGAGAGTGCATGCATGATCATGGCATGGTCTGAACAACTTGCTTCAAAATTCTTCTCGTCGATGATGTATTTGCTTGGAGTTGGTGCTCAGCATCATGTTTGTCTCACCGTGATTGGATTTATCAAACGCATTATTTGGGTCAGGAATCTGTGATGCATTTTGGGCGGGCGTCTTGGACATCATCCACTGGAATGGATGCAGCAAGGCTTTGACCGGATACAGTGGAAATAGCGTTTCACAGTAGCTACTTCCCTCTTGATCGAGCTCCAAAGAAGACCTGCTCAAACAGAAAAGATCTGATCACCACGTCCTTCGTGTCAGTAGCGTTACATCTTTGGGTCATCGTCAGGCTGCGTGTTCAATACTATTCATCATTGGTTGGTGCGTCAAGCTCATGAACTTGGCCTTGGCACTTTTTGGGACTCTCCTGATTCGCTCATGTGTCCGAACTTGACTTCAGCTCAGCCTCAATTCTATCGACCCTCGCCTATGCGGCTGTGTCTGCGGATTCTGCCTAGGCAAACACGATCTATCGCTAATCTCGTCTTGGGGCTACGCGGGCGACCCGCAAATGCTAAAGTGTCCAGCCTCACTACTTTAGATTCCTTCGATATCTTTTCATGAGGCCCAACCTCCGATTGATACTGAATGTAACCTGCCTCGAGTCCTACTCAAATCATGGCGACCTCGCCGAAATGGCTTCACTTAAGGAGATCAAAAACTACCCAAGAGAACTCTTCATCTGAATCCAAAATCCAGGCAACTCTACGGTCACTCAAACTCCAAGTTTTTCGACATCTGACCAATTTTACAAAGCCAGCAGAGCCAAAGAAGACAGCGATATATAAGGACCGGGCCGCAGCTTCTCTGCATGTCTTGCTCCATCTGCCCCCAGTCGCTGGTGCCATCACGATCGTTGTTTTCAACCTAACATCCACGTTCTTGGGTCCTGTTCAAATCAATGTTCTACCAACGTTACAGTTTGTTGCAAAATTCCTCGAGATCTTGATCCAGGCTTCTATCGCAGCTATTGTCCTTGCAATTATCAGGCTTTGGGCATTTGGCACCAATGGACTCCCCTATGGCGGACTTATCGTACCATATCGCACGCAGGACATCTCCTCTCTCTGGTCCCTAGAATTCTGGGCATGTCTCACAGCTCCAGGCCTCAGACTGCGAAGAAAGGTGCTCCTGGGCCTGATCCTTACAACTGCAATAGTCCTTGCCCCCGTGGTCGGTCCTAAGGACCCTACTTGGTTGTAGTTTGTCCTGTCAGCCGCTGCTGGACTCAACGACTGCTCTAAATATCATCCGTCTTTATGATCACTGTCGTCACTACTATTGCCTTCATCTTTATCTTGATCATCTACTGAGTTGTGCTGATTGTCGTCGTCGCGGTTTGTCATCAAACTCACCCGGCGGAAAATCGTCCCCTTCCTGTGGCTCCCAATAGGTCTCCCGGCTCCACATTCGAACCGTAACAGGACCTCGATTCACGAGGTTGCCAGCAGACCCATTTTGCTTCCAACACGCGAGGGCAGCTGTGGCATCAGTCACCAAGTGTATCATGCCAAACTTACAGTCATTTTCATAAAAGACACACCCGTCCTTAAGCGACGTCCCTCCTTTCACGTAGTCTGACTGTTTTAGGCTATCCAAGAAGACTCGTGCTGCAGCTGTCGATGATAATCCCGGATGAGGCGCGGCATTCAAGGTATCAAATGTACGGTTGAGAGACTCTTGCCACATTGCCTAAAATACTTGTTGCCGAAGCCCTCAGGCCCTTCCTTGTAAGAACGGTATTGCTGATTGGATCTCAAATCCTATGTCAAAGCCGCTATCTTGACTTTAAGTCATGTGGTCATATTGAGCATTGCTTGGAATGTGTGTTGGCTTGCATCATACCACATTTCTACTCTAGGTTTAGGTCCCTCACATCCATGCTCAGGCTCGATAAGTAGTTCGCTAACGCACCCTTCCAAATCTTGAACATGTGATCAAGTTTTGAGGAAAGCTTGGCAACCGACAGGCAGAAGCTGCTATTCAAGTCGAGGCTGACTGGTTCCCAAAGTTATGTAGATGACTACCAACAAAAGATTTCAATCTTGGGCTTAGAGCAGCGCATTTTGATTGCAGGATTCTTCACTCAATTTCCCAGAGACTAAAAATGCAATGAATAGATTCATCAAGCGACTAGGAAAGAAGCGCTTCCAAAATGGAGATGCACCGAGACAAGAGGGTGTTTCTGAGATAGTAACTACGTTGCTACCACCGATGCCGTGTGGAATGCTGACTGTCATGCTAGAACCAAGCAGATAGTGGTGAACAGAGGCACTTGCCCCCGGCGCATCAAGCTCTTGCAGACCGCTCCCGCTATGGGCTCAAGGAACTCTACAGGCCAAATGATCAACCGTGTGAACTCAGCGTCGTTGCAGTGCACGGCCTTGGTGGTGATTTCTACAGGACATGGGCGACCAGCGATTCTCAGAGACAGATATCGTGGCTTTCAGAACTTCTCCCAGAAGATTTGCCAGGAGCGCATATCTTTTCTTTTGGTTATGACTCTGCTCCAGCTTTCAGCCGATCAGTAACAGGGATTACTGATTCTGCAGAAGTGCTTCTCTCCCGCTTGAAGTCAATCACCGATAAGGTGAGTGGAAACTTATAAACTTCTCGAGTACTAATATTGACCAACTACCAGTGCCCGGACCAACCAATCATTTTCATCTGTCACAGCCTCGGAGGAATAATAGTGAAACAGGTATCATCTCTCGTATTTCAACAAAGGGTAAATTTGGACTGATAAATCTTGTCTCAGGCAATGATTATGGCGCATGAAGATGACTACTTTGCGGATGTTTTGCGTTCTGTCCGGTCGATAGTGTTTATGGGTACTCCACATAGAGGAAGCCAGATTGCAGCAGCGTTGGGGCCGCTCGCAAAATTCACTAACTTCTGGTTGGACATCTCCCTCACCTCGATTTTCACTGGCTCAATGAGAACCGATTTGATCAACACGTTATCGCGAGATTCGGTAAAGCTCGATGAGATTAATGACTCATTCAGACAACGTGCGAAAATGATGAAAATTATCTCGTGTTATGAAAGGGTGAAAGCTCCTGGTTCTTCTTCCCTGGTAAGTTATCAACTTTCTCAAACTGCCAGATGACAGGCTGACATCTCCAGGTTGTGGAGAAACATTCCGCAGTCCTCGGATTACCTGACGAGAGAAAAATACCTATCCAAGCAGATCACATGGCCATGTGCCGCTTCTCAGCACGCAATGACCCTAATTACGAAGTGGTGTCCCAGGAGATAGTTCGGGCTGTAAAGAGGATAATGCTAGACACTACACATCGCTGTATGTTACAAGTTTAGGTAGTGCTTAAGAAGAAGCTAAGAATTGTCCACTTAAGCTTTCACAGAATCCGAAAACAAATTCATTGCGGCGTTCGGTCGACGGCTCAATGTTCCTATCGACGAACCCTTGCAGGGCACTTGCACCTGGTCAATCTCGACGAGAGAATATCGCGATTGGCAAGCCGAGCGTAGGCCAGCCGTATTGTGGTTAACAGGCGACGCAGGTTGTGGGAAAACCGTGCTTATCAACTTTCTTGTTCAAGAGTTAAGTACCAGTGAGGTACCGAGGTTAGCAAAAGACGAGTTAACTTGTTGCTTTTTCTGTGCAAGGGATATTGAGTCGCAGAAAGATGCCCGGTCGCTGCTAAAAGCACTAATATTGCAAATCTTATGGGCCAAAAAAGATGTGGTCCGCCAGATCAAGGAGGCATACAGCTCAATAAGGCATGAATATGAGCCGTCTTTTGAGACTGTCTGGCATGTTTTCGAAATGACCGTCAGACTCACACCGTGCAAGTGTCTTTACATTGTTATTGATGCCTTGGACGAATGTGAGGAGAGCTCGCGATCATTGCTTCTAGCCAAGCTTCTCCACATACTGCAGCCTCGTAACCTGGCTGGAGGGATGCGACGGAAGAGAATCAAGCTCATCATAAGTGGGCAGCCGTTCATCAGCCGAGCATGGAGGGTTGGGGACGAACACCTGTCTCAATTCTACATAGACATGGAAGGACGTCCAGAAGGCTTGATGGGAGACATTCAGCGATTCATCGACTACAAGGTGGACGATCTTGTCTACAATTCTGTCTGCTCCAGAGCAACGGGGGAGCAGTTGAAGCGAACACTTTATACTCGAGCCGAAAACTCCTTTCTTTGGCTGAGTGTTGTGCTGGACGACCTCAAGCATGGCCTAGATTACCACCATACTGATGTACAGCAGGTCTTGACATCCATTCCTGGAAATCTGAAGGATTTCTACACGAAGCATCTTCCACCCGTACCAGGACACCACTTGCAGCGATTAGGGTGCTATGTGAAACTGCTAGTAGCATGTGCAAGACCACTAACTCTACCTGAAGTCGACATGTTTTCAACAGACCACGGTCAGCAATCGAGAGGGGGCGTATCTCCCGTCGACGGGGCGTTGGTAATGAACAGCCTACGCCGCGCTTTAGGGGCATTGGTAAAATTTCCTGATGGAAAAGTTCAACTAATACATTCTACAGTGAAAGATTATTTATTAGCGCTTCAATCAGATCCCTACCATCCACTTCACAAGACTCACGGGGTGGACGTCGAAGTGGCGCATCTACACCTTGCCCATGCTTGTATGCAGGCCCTTCTGCAAGAAGCATATGGTCCCGACTCTGCCGATGAAGCGGGACATTCTTCCGACATGCCATCCTCCAGTCCGATCTCGACCAGATCTTCAAAAGACATGGTTGACGAGGACGCATTTTATGCTGGGCTGTTTGATATTGAGGATGTCGCCTTTCTGCGAGATGAAAATGTCATTCCCGAGGATGTCTTGACACGTCTTGGGAGACACTATCCGGGGTATGATTATGCAACATGGTACTGGGACCATCACTATGCTCAAGCAGAGGAACTTGCCGATGCTTCGGCGCAAGAAGATGCGATCAAACTACTATCCTGTGGAACCCAAAGGCTCGCCAGATGGTACACGTACAAGGCCAACCGCTCACCTATGGCGATGCCAGATCTTTCCGAAGTTAGCCCTTTGGTTCTAGCGGCACTGTTCAACTACTCGACCATTTTACGAAGGCTCTTATTGACGCATGAGCATACTGATGAGAGCAGCGGGCTTCAATCTGCCCTATTTTGGGCATCATCCCGCGGCCACCTCAAATCTATTAGTGTCTTACTCGATCACAAATCAGCTCCACTTGATGCAAGTCGTGATAGGTCAGCCTTGGCTGTTGCTATTCAAGGAGGATTCACTAGGGCTTGCAAGGTATTGCTTGATGCGGGTAACGCTGATCCTAACTATTCCGGCCTCAGGAGCCTACCCCCTCTTCTCCTTGCCGCAGCTCATGACCATGAAGAAATATTGACCCGATTACTCCATCATAGTGACATTGACGTCAATCAGACCGATCATTCAGGGCGTACGGCTTTGATGCAGACCTGTCTTTCTGGCTCAGACCAATGTCTGAAAGAACTTTTGCGAGATGGCCGGTCCAACATCAACTCAGTTGACAGTGACGGCCGCAACGCTCTGATCCATGCTTGTATGACAGGCAATGCACTGGCAGTGCAACATTTGATCAGGAAACCGCTACTAGATTTGCATTTGTGTGACAAGTCTGGGCGAAATGCGATGTCGCACGCCGCGCAGAGAACGACTATCCCAGTTGCTCGACGCTTGTTCCACGCTCAGGTGTCAATAGCACAAAAAGATGTCAAGGGACGAAACGCTATCTCATGGGCAGCAAACAGCTCCATAGCGACAACAGATCCTGATCAGTGTGGACGATGTGTCCTTGGGTACCTGATTGAAAAATGCCCTGGCGAAGTTGACTCTCAGGACAAGGATGGCTGGTCGCCGCTGGCCTGGGCATTGGATCGACCAGGCTATCCTGAAGCTGTCCGTATCTTGGTTGAAAAAGGCAAGGTAGACGTCAATCAAAGAGATCAAGCTTCGGGTCGCCCGGTATTGTCTTGGGCAGCAAGTGAGGGCTTTACTCAGATCGTCGACTATCTACTGGGCCTACCGCATTTGGACAGAAACGCGACAGACAAAGATGGCCGCTCAGCCTTGTCATATGCCGCTACAAACGGCAGGATTGAGACTGTAGAGTTACTTTTGCGTGATAGTGGAGTCATCAAGGACTTGCGAGACTCAAAGGGAAGAGCGCCAACAGACTGGGCAAGGATGAACCATCAAGATGAAATCGTTTCCCTGATGTCTGAGCATGGCTTGGAATAGCACAGATCGGGAACGCAAATGATTGTTTTATTTGCTTGTGACGGACTGTTCCACTCAAGATCCGATCCACGGGGTTCTCTTGAGAAGTAACAGTCTTTACCCGATCGTTTAGGCACGTTATGAGAAACCGCAATCCTCTGTTGTAGATAGGCATAGCTGAACAGATTGGCAGGTTCTTTAGGATAAACTCGAGGATAAATGCGCCTCGAACAACGGTCCTTCCACTCACGTTAGAAGTAGATTTCGATAAGTTGCTTCAGAATTAAGACCCTGTGTACTACGTCTTGGTAGGGCACAACGTAGGATTATTACTAGGTAAATTTAGGCGTTAGTAGAGAGAAGTAGTTAAGTAGACTTCTATAATGATGTAGTGCTCGTAGTACCCCTTATTCTTTCTTGTTCTAGATACTAAGGAACGATCTGAGCATTGAACCAAGGTTGGCTTTTCTCCGTCTAATATCGTCCAAGGCAGCTTGTCTAGAGTCATTACCATCGTCCCGCTAGTCAAACCACTGACAGGGATAAGTTGTGTTCTGGACCAACATTAGCTGAGTCTGCCACAGCTGATATGCATACTGGTCTGTCTAGCTGCCAAGCGACTCGAGCCTTTCGAGTGCTGCCTGCTTGAAAGTCTAGAATGCCTCGTCTGACCCATGCATAGAATCTCTATGACAACATTTGACGAGCCACGTGCAGTAGGGGTGATCCTGCCATGCATCTTATTTGAAAAACAGATGATTGGGACTTTGGTCAGCTTTTCGATTGCAACACCAACAAGATTCCGATCGTAACCTGGCAGATCTATGTGCTCATCTCGAGGCAGATCGCTGAGCCTGTCCCAAAAAGCCTAACTGTATTGCTGAATACGAGGAACACCATCCTGGCCCAGTCAGTACGGAACTCAACGACTCGCGATTTTCGGGTGTCATCAAGGACCTCAAGTGAGCCGTCGAGGAGATCTCATATCTAGCTAGAACCCAGAACATCTCCTCCTCCGAAGTATAGTGATCCGAGTTCAGAGCCATGGCTCTGACTGATGATCTCCGGCCAACCCAAGCTCGCCATATGCGCGCTCCCTCGTCTGAAAGTCGGCTTTGCACTAAGGGGCCTGCCATTGGCGGTAATAAGGAGTCTTGCGACACGTTGTTGCACGCCAGCTTTGCTTCATATGTTCTAACATCAATCTGAAAAGCACAAAATGACCAAATTGAACAGCATGTAGATTGGCAGCCAGTCATAGCTTGGAACATAGAACGACAGGAGTGTCAATCCTCTGTTAGCCTTAAATTCGATTTCTAAGAAGAATTTTACGGCAATCGCATGACCTTTTTCGGCAGCCACACTTAGTGGAAAGTGTTTTTTAGAGTGATTAGCGTTATAGGCTTCGCAAGGTTTTGGATAGAGCAAACAAGAAGTGCGTCGGGGTTCAGGTGGCTGCTGTTCCGCCTTGCTTCGATGATCGATAAGTAGGAAAACCAGTCAGTTCTATTTATGGATGTTACTTCGAGTAAATTGCATTGGAAAACTTGTACTTCATAAAAAGCTGCGTTCTAAAAGCTGCGTTCTAAACTTCATGATATCACCCCTGGCCAAATAGGTGGGTAACTTTGTCATGGGTGGCAGGCACAAAATCTGGAGGTTGAGGCCTGGTACTTGAAGCTTGCTTCAACTCGCTTTTACAATCAACACCTTGGACCTCGCCCACCTCGCCACCAGGTATCAGCCTGGAGTTGGCAGCAAGCTCGCCTTGATTGTTCTGTCTGATCCTTGAGCAGCTTACTCCTTCTTACGTAGTACCTAAGATGAAAATGGTATTGTAAAATTCATTTCTAGATATGAATGACTAGTATCACGCCGCTAGGTTTAATGTCTTAGTTCTTCCATACTCATTTCCCAGAGATACGTGTAGCCTCTATGATGTTCGAGGCCCCTGAGGTTGAAAATCCCCCAATGCGAACTTCGCCTTTTGCTAGCATTAAAGTTTCCCCCATCTTTCTCAAAAGCAATCTACCTCTTTTTTCCCAAAGATGATCTTGTTTATCTTTGTAGACTGATTGGCAACAAAGTGCCTGCTGAATCAAAGAATTATTCCCGAGTCCGCTCCGAGGTTGGACTCCGATTGGTTGAAAGAATTGGGTGCAGCGCGAGGCGGCCTAAGCTTGGGCTATCTTCTTGGAGGCGAGAACATCCGAGGTACCGGGACTCAGACATTCCAGGTGCAACACCACGCTACACGAAGGGAAGTCCTCGTTCGGAATGGGTATTAGGTCATGGACAAAGATGGGGTCCTCTAGCAAGTACCCTTATCAACATAATTCTTCTCCCCACAGATCTTTTTGATCGGCACATTAGCTCAGTCTCAACCATCTGGTAATCCTAAGCGACGCGCACCCCATTTGTGCAACAATAATCAGGTGCTCCGTGTATTTGCCCAGCAACCAGAGGTCGGGAAGGTTTAATGATCGGATCAAAAAGATGGGGGGTTCTAAGACAGTGGGCCAGTATCCTTTTGGTATCTTACTGTCCACGATACATCAAGTGTGCCACTGAGCCTATTTCTCTTCCATAGCATGAGTGTCTGAGTTATCCGTCAGGGAACCTTTAGCTCAACACTGAATATTCCTCCGACATTCTACCACCATGATTGTAGCCAATTCCGCAACCACAAACGGTGAATCAAGTCGGAGAGTGGCCCGACCAGTCGAGTTGCTTGATCAACCGCTGCACACGAAACGCAAGTTGAGATTGATTTGCATCGGCGCCGGCATTTCTGGCATTGCGGCAGCATATAAGTACGAACGAGACCTCGAAAATGTGGACCTCGTCATCTATGAGAAAAATGACAGAGTCGGAGGAACATGGTATGAGAACAAATATCCTGGTTGCGCATGTGATATTCCCGCCCATGCCTATACATATTCCTGGGAAGGGAATCCAAATTGGTCGCGATTGTAAGAATCTCTAATCCACAAATTATCGAGACTGTTTGTTTCTGATATACTCCCAGCTACGTCGAACGCCCCGAAATATTCGCTTATATTGAAAGCTGTGCCAAAAAATGGGGTTGCATGAAGTATATCAAGTTTCAACATCGTGTGATTGGAGCTCGGTGGTCTGAATCAGAGAAAGGTTGGCATGTCAAAATCGAAAATCAGGTCGAAGGCACCGTGATTGAAGACTTTTGCCACGTGCTTCTCAATTGTAACGGAGTTCTCAAGTATGAGAATTCAAAGGACTTCATCTTGGATACATGGCTAACGCATCATTCAGTAACTGGAAATGGCCTGATATCAAGGGTTTGCATGACTTCAAAGGTAAACTCTTGCACTCCGCGAATTGGGACGTTGATTGGGACTACGCCGGAAAAGACGTTGCCGTGATTGGTGCCGGATCCTCTGGTATACAAATCGTTCCAAAAATGCAGAAAGGTCAGCCTTGGTACCGCTGAGTCGGGACCAGTACTCTAACCAAGAACAGTGTGTAAATCACTCGTCAGCTTCAATCGATCACCAAACTGGATCACTCCGGAGTTCAGTCAAGGGTTGGCTTCAGAGGGACGAGCTACAATATACACACCCGAAGAAATCGAGAGATTCAAGACTGACAAGAAACACTTCTTGCAGTATCGGAAGGATATCCAGAATTTTGGAAGTGCGACATATTCTCTATACTACAAGAATTCGGATATGCAGAAGCAGGTCTTTGCCAAATATACGGAGTTGATGAAGCAGCGACTGAAGGGCAATGAAGACCTGTGTGCTAAGCTAATACCGACATTCCATGTCGGTTGCAGAAGGTAGGTTCAGCAGGCCGCAATTCACCGGGCAATTCTGACTTAGTAATCCTCGACTAGGTTTACGCCAGGTGAGGGCTATCTCGAATCGCTACTGGAGCCCAACGTCACTGTTGTGACTTGTGAGATTGATAAAATAACCGAGACCGGCATCGACCTAACTGACGGTCGACACTTTGACCTGGACGCGATTGTCTGCGCCACCGGCTTTGATTGCTCACATTGTCCTCCTTTCCCCATCATCGGTCGGAATGATCGAAACCTCTCTGAGTACTGGAAGGATGAACCATTGCACTACATTTCAGTGGCAGCACCAGGCTTCCCCAACTACTTCAGTGAGTCTTGAAATTTCGTCAACCCTAATGGTGACTACTGTCGCTAATGGAGATCCACTCCCGCAGTAACTGGTGGTCCCAACAGCCCACTTGCAAATGGATCGCTCATATCTGGAGTGGAGACTGAAATCAACTATGCGTTCAAATGCATCACAAAAATGCAAACCGAGAACATTTCCAGCATGGAGCCAACTGAAGAGGCCATGTGGGACTTCATCGAGTACCGAGACGTGCTCATGAAGGAAATGGTGTGGAGCAGTACTTGTCGTAGCTGGTAAGGCGGGCACTCCTCCCCCACTCCACATTTTGAAGCATATGCTAAAGCATGAAAATCTCCAGGTTCAAGAATGGCAAAGTAGATGGCCCAGTCATTGGGCCCTCTGTTGGCTCGACATGGCACTTCAACGAGGTTCTCAAGGATCCCCGGTACGAGGATTATCATCTCACTTACTGTACCCCGAATCGCTTCACTTACTTTGGCATGGGAAGAACCATAAAAGAAATTGAGGGCGCTGATATGGCAACACATATCACCGAACCGGGTGCTTAGGTCGTCCGCGGCGCTGTAGTGGATAGCATAGACTCAAATATTAAATCCGTTGCTTCCACAAGTCCGCATTGGAAAAGTTTGGAGTGCTAAAAGCAGATGGACACACGGTCTTCCGGTTTACTTGCTTTGCCCCTTCATTACCGGGCGCCTTCTACAAATCGCTCCTCCATTCTCGACAGCTATGATATTACCACTTGGATGTTCGTTATCTATCTTCTCACCAGCTAAGCACCGGTGGCAGCTCTACTGTTATACGAGATTCAGTGGCTTTAGACTTATTAAATTTTGAATGCTATGTGATCGATCCTCCTTCCGTCTTGTGGACACCAAAGGTTTTCTAGAACTAAACTGGCTCTCCGCCCAACTCTGCATCTTTTATCTTAGCCTACACCCTGTCCCTCTTAACTGAACGTGTGCAATTGAAATTCGGGATGCACCAGACACATATCATAGTTGTGTACTGTGTGACAGTACGACTAGTGCTTGGCTTTTTCGATACCACTGAACGAATCAACAAGCTCAAGCAGTGGATGGCAATTGAGCAACAAGCTTATCGTAGACGTTTGAGTCCTCCATCTCTTTCGGTCGATTAATCTCAGCTTCATCAACAATTAAGCGACGCGCGGCTTCACTACGCGATTTAAGAGTTGCTTCGAATTGAGCAGGCCCGAAAACAGGGAAAGCGCCCGCTTGTCAATGAATAGTTAGTTCATAATCGTAAGCCGGGTGGGAATTAACATGACTTACAGTAACCCTGCGGTGGAGGCTTCCTGGGATTCCCAACAATATCAAAAGCCCATAGGATACGGCTGATCACGATATAGAGACTGGCATCGGCGACATGCCTACCAGGACATTCTCGACGGCCTGCCCCAAAAGCATAGTGTGTGCCCGCGTGATTCGCTTCCGGTGCAGCTCTCTTGTCGGCCGGGGGGAGGTATCTTTCCGGAATCCACTCTTCGGGCCTCGCAAAGACGTTGGGGTCGTTATGTACGGCGTAGACATTGCTATACACAATGGCACCGTTTGGGATATCCTTCCCTCTGTATACGTCCGCCTCACTTGTGGCGTGGATGAAGGCTAAAGGTGTGGCTGTGGCCCATCGGTGCGTCTCCTCGATAACAGCTGCGAGATAAGGGAGATTCGGACGGTCATCCCAATTGGGTAGACGATCTCGTCCCACAACCCGATCAATCTCATCCTGAGCAGTCTTGATCGCCTCAGGGAACTTTATGGCTGCTTTGAAAAACCACTGAAGAGTTGTCGCGGTGGTGTCGGTCCCAGCCGCCATAGTTGTTGCAATGATATGGGGAGGTTCTGATTCATCAAATATCGAGCCCTCGTTTTTCAATAGGCGGACCAAGAAGCAGTCTGGTGCGGTACCATTCCGAATCCTCTCTTTCATGACATTATAGAATATCAGAAAAAATGGCATGATCTGGTTTCGAAGGTCCACCGCTGAGGCTCGCCAGGGCGCCAAAGCATCCGGAAGGTAGTCCAGGAATGGGAGCCAGTCAACAAGCCAGGCTCCCGGTCGGATGCCTTTAAACATCATCAACATTCTCTTGTTGATCTCTTGTGGGATTGCAGTATCGGCGGAATCAAATCGACATCCTAAGCTGCCTGCTGTCAGTCAAATAGCTCTAGTGACGAAAAAATGTCGGGCAGGCATACAGTAGGCTAAATGTCACACTTGCCGAATATCTGGTCACTTCTCGCCAAAATGCAGTCGATTCATCAAGCAAATTCTTCAATGTACGTCTGCTCTCGTACTCCTGATATGGGAGAAAAATCTTGGCATTTTGCATGTTGAGGAGCTCATGATACGCCTTTCTGTGTTTCTATGAATTCTGTTACAGTGGGCTCTTCTAGTGTCAGAAGGGGAGACTCACTCGCCATTGATCGCCATATGGAATTGCTACGATCCTTGCGTTTTGTGTGATAATACTCGCTTGGTTCGAGGCCTTGGGTCTTGAGCTGTACTTGTTGCCACGTTTCACGAACAGGTCGTTGATCGCCTGAGGGCTGTTGAGTACAATAACTGGGGAGCGACCCATCATATAAGAGTAGACATCTCCGTACTTATGAGCCCATTCGGTGAGCTTCAGGTGTAATAATTTGCCATCGTTCATGGAAAACATGCTGCCGAAAAACGGTAAACCTCGGGGTCCATCTGGAAGATTCAGGCTCCGATTCTTGCGTAATATCCAGGCGAGTAAGATCATGAAGGCGCCAGCAGCATAAACCAAAGCCCTGGTGTTGATTGTCTCCATGAAGGGCAGTATGGTGGTAATACTAGGAGCCATGATGATCAAGTTTGGGTAAGGACGTATCGAATGTGAACCGTGTGCTTTTGGGCAACATATAATACCCCTCGACCATTCCCAAGTCTAAGAGGTCCACCTTGTGTTGTCCGCACTGAGTGTCTACCGCCAAAGGAAGTGCCATTAGAGGCTGCAAAGGGTGGGGGAATATTGTGGAGAATAGATTAGGTTGGTGCTTCTCATTGCATAAACTTCAAGGAATGGTGTAGAGGACCTGGAAGAATGACTCCCAGGACACTCGTAGCCTCGGTGTTGACCACTGTGCGTAACTCCACCGAACATGGAATGCGGCCGAGAGTGCTTGGCCCGGCTCGTGGAGCTCGGTTGATACCGTTAATCCCGACTTGCTCCCGATGCCGGCATCCTACAGGACAGCTGGGGTCGATTGCGCACAAGAGTGGGGTCGCGGTCCTAATGGCATAACGGTAGGAGAGAGATATGACATTTACATTGGTAAGTCCATTAATAGTGTGCTATTCACCCGGCTTCGATAGTGATTGATAACGATTGAACCTGACTGTGATTATTCTGAGTCCAATAATGTCGGTTGCTGAAAAGGTCATAATAGTCACCGGTGCAGGTAGTGGCATCGGGAAAGCCACTGCCCTCCTTCTGGGGGAAGACAAAGTCAAAGTCGCCCTTTTTGATGTCAATTCAAGCATTTTCGACATTGAGACACAGATAAAATCTTCTGGAGGCACGGCTCTCGCTATAAAAGTAGATGTCAGCTCTTCCGCAGAAGTCGACGCCGCCACTAAAGCCGTTGTGGAAGCCTTTGGACCCATTGATGGTAAGTTCACATGGTACACTCTTGAATGCTCCACTATTTTTTCCGCAGCTGATCATTCTACTTTGGAAAGGAGGTGCCAATTTAGCAGGTATCTCTGGACTGGGAACAGTCAATTTGGAGCATGAAACAGACGATGCCTGGGATCGGGTGGTTGGAATCAATCTAGGAGGAGTCAAGAACGCTATGCGCGCTCAACTTCAGCATAGAAATCCGAAGGGCGCCTCGATTGTCAATGCTTCAAGCATTGGAGCCCGGATTGGATCACCTGGCAATGCAGCTTACTCTGCCAGTAAAGCGGCAGTCAGTGCTCTCAGTAAATCTGTTGCCCGGGAGATGGGTCCTAAAGGAGTTCGGATTAATGCTATTGCACCGTGAGTACTTCTTGCCCGACCTCTTGCTCGCAGGATCTGTGAGCAGAACTAAATCTCAGTTCCAGTGGTATCACGGATACAGCTATGGTTGGCGCCGTACCAGAGTCCATTCGTGAGGAATGGAGAAAAGCCAATGTCCTTGGACGACTAGCACAGCCAATTGAGATCGCTAATGTTATTCTTTTTCTTCTGAGCGATAAGAGCTCCTTCATCACCTCAGCAGTACGTCGCATGCCACGCAAGCACTCATTATAGGAAGTCAAGAGCTGACACTCTCCAGATTATTGATATTGATGCAGGCCGCGTCTGAGTCGATTGAAACTCATGAGTCTAATAGATAGTCTTAGAACGAAGACTGATAGCACCTTGGGGACAGCAATCTGGTATCTCCTGGTGATGGTTTAGAGAAAGAGGAGATCAAACTGTCGTGTTATACATTTGCGGTTTTACATGCAACTGAACAAGTTCCCAACTGCCAAGTAGCCGCCATCGAAATCCCCTCTGTTTGTGTGCTCGGAAAGTCAGCTTGGTATCAGCTTTACAGGAGTACAGATGTCTGTAATGTCTGCGGGCGGTGAGCCCACCCAATTTCATGAAGATCATTGACCGTGGTGTTCGCTATGTGCAGATAGACCTCAACCTTGGAGATCGCCCTTATGTGTCAAGGTACTATTCCAATATGGCTACATTCTAGATACTATACTTGTCTCTGACAAAATAGTTTTATATGAGACTAGGTACGAGTGAATGATATCGTTAGTTCTCTAGCCCTTAGGGGTCGGAAGCCCGCTATATACAACTAGCTATGGTGGCTGGGCACCCCAAAGAAGGGGGGGGCAATGCACTCTAATTCCCTAACATCTTATGAGGGTGTGTTGACTTGACTAGCATGAAAGCTTTTTTAGCCATCTGACGTTGTCTGGCTTGTTTCTCACATAGCGGGCATAACAAAATAATCCAAATCTTCTGATTTTGCACACTTGGGATTGAGACCAGCGAAATTTGACTATCTCGCTTGTGTTGTTAATGACCCAACCAATAATGTCCTCTCACTGGGCATAACACCGTTTTCGACTTATCGCAACTTCCATCTCACTCCAAAGTGGCTAATAGACGTATCTAAATTGTGGATTCTATGTTTTGCAAGAGTCAGCAATTGTTCCATGCTGATTTTTCTGCTGGTCACGAGAAGATTGAGAGCAATGAGAGCAAAGAGTTTCACACTTACCATCTTATCAGTTACATCATCTTCATATGCGTGGTCATAAGCCTCAGGAATGCCAGCGCGGTCTCGACGACTGTTGTGCCAGATACAAACATATCGATATAGGACGTTGACGCCTGCCGATGCTGCAGCAGTTACAAGTACTGCGATGAATCCAGGAGCGTATTCAGGCGCATCCTTAGGCTTGAACAAAAGTGGTGCGGTAAATTGACCTGAAGTAAGCTCGGTCAGAACTGACTTGCGGCTCAGGGTACCTGGCAGGACAATCGGGGATTATGACTCACCAAGACAATACCCAACATGAATGGCAGATGAGCTGACAACTCTCTTGGTATAGCCAGCGGAGTTGGCAATCGACAACCCCATGATAACGCCCCAGCCGCCACTGTAGGATGTCATCATGTACACTGCAAACAGGAGACCACCCTTTGAGCCGCCACTCGAGTGACGAGGAAGTTTCCAGATCAGAACTGATGCAATAATTACCAGGATTTCACAGCCCAAAATCGCAATCGTCCTTGTGTTGCGGAACTTGTAGGATGTGTATGTGGTTGAAAGGATAATCACAGCTCCAAAAGCTCCAGCTGGGATGGTCAGGAGAAGACTGTTAAGAGTGTTATAGCCAAATCCAGAAATGATGATCGGCATGAATGTATTGACCGGTCCAGAAGCGATCATACTCAAAAAAGCTTGGGCAAAGATCATCCAGAATTTCTCATCTCGGAAAAGTTCCAGGACATGTTGCTTCTTAAAGTGTGTGTTTCGCACTCCGCTGTTATTTGTTCGAAGGCGAGCAACAGCAATATACCTCTCTCTTTCGTTGAAGCCTCTCGCACGGATTGGATCAGGAGGCATAAAAAGATAAACGACTACAGACCAAAGAGTAGTAACAATGCCACCAACGATATACATGTATCGCCAAGGGGACAGGGAACCGCTGATGTGACCGAGACCATAGTTGACAAGAGGAGAGACGAGTGTGATCATCCCAGATGCGGCGTACCAAACACTAGAACATAAATTAGTAAGCCATACTCGTCTGTACGACAGATCAATCTTACCCCATTCTCAATGCTTGCTCATCCTTTTTATAGAATTGGCCGACCATAAGCATAAAGATAGGACTGACACCGGCTTCGAAGAATCCGAGGAAGAATCGCTGGACATACAGACTCTGCCAGTTGAAGCATGTAGCAGTCAAAAGAAAGCAAATTCCCCAGAGCAGTACCAGGCCGCCAGCGACCCTTTCGATCGCAAATCGCTGGGCTAATTGAGAAGCCGGGTACGCTCCGCAGAGGAAGCCCAAGAAGAAGATAGCGGATGCCATGGAGTAACGATTCCCGGTCAATACGAGATCTGTGCGAAGTCCGAACAGTGCCTAGGTCAAAGAGGAGCCAGGTCAGTAATCACTTTCAAATCACACAGAGACAAATTGGACTTACTGCTTGAGAAATCATTGTTTTGTCATAGTAAGTCAATGCGTATGTAAACGCGAGGATTGGTAGCAGGCGCTTATCAATCTTAGTCGTGACTTTCTTCTCTTCTTTGGGAGTCCAAGTCTGATTTCCAGTATATGCGGCCAGGACCTTCATCGCCTCATCCGTGTGGACTGTGTCGACCTTATACATCTCGGCCACACTGCCATCATCAACGTCGTTAGTTGGAGGTGCATCATGTGCTTCCACCACGTCCTGCTCTTTCTCGGCACGGGAGATATCCATGGTGACGTTCAAGTGTATTTTGTGCCCTGAAGACCTCAGAGTTGCCTTTGAGCGATTAAAAGACCTGTATATCAAAGTTGATTAGATCTTCAACAGTTGGACGTAGCTTGTGGGCTTCTATAATTATATAACCTCGCTTAGCTACCAAATTGGTTCTGACTGCGAGTCGATGAATGATATCGTTGAGGGTGGGGATCCATTTCGGCAAGATAAATAGATCTAGAATTGGCTTATCTTGGTCTTCTGAACCCTTGTCACCGCGCTTAGAAGCCCATCCCGTGTCCTGGAATTGCGGGGAGCTAAAGAACTACTTCGTGCCAAAGTTCCCTAATCTCAACAATGGGGAAAGCCATGACGGAGCGATAAGCGACATAATGTCGAAGGCAGGAATGGAGAACTCGCGATGTCCAGTAAGAAGATCGATGATGGTAAACGCTATGTACCCTGTGAACAAAGTGTTGGCCGAAGCCAGAATTGCGGTGGGGTTTCATCTCGGCGAATCGGAATCGAGCGTCGGAGCGGAGTCGGGAATAGCCCAACCTTATTTACACGGGCTAAGAGCTAGATGGATAGATGGGTACCTACCTAGGAAGCAAGTCTGTTGAGCGACAACGGGTGTGCAGTTCAGTGCCTGGTCAATGCTCCCCCACCCTTGGCGAGAGAGCTACAGGTAGAGTCAAACGGGATTTGACATCTTGGAACATGTTCAACGGGCGATCAAGGTGCAGTTTGGAAGTGGTTGATCGCAGTTAGACGGCGCCCTGCTTAACGATCAAAGCCCGAGATGCGTGGCCGGTAAAGAAATACAGTCGCCGTCGGCTATTGGACTTCACCTGAACTCTAGAGCTCTAGTCGAGGTGCTCATTGGAATGCGCGCATCATTAACATCGTGTTGGCTCTATTAGAATGCTTTCGATGTTCTGGAAAACTTTTAGCGAGAGCATTGAAGGCAGACAAGAAACGACAGGACGTCGAAGAATTGAGCAGATATGCCTGGGCTTGATGTGAGTATTCTTAATATCACCACTCCAGCACCACGAGTACTGACTAAACTCCACAAAGATCATCATTGTTGGTGCTGGACTGGGTGGCTTGGGAGCCGCTATTGCCCTTCGACTGGCCGGGCACAATGTGAACATTCTCGAAGCTGCGCCTCAGATAGGAGAGGTGGGCGCTGGAATCCAAACCCTTCCCAACTCGAGCAAGATTCTCCGATATTGGGGGGTTTTAGACCTGGTCGACCCCTCAAGGATTTGCGAAACAGACACGTGCAACATCTTAGACTGGAGAGGAAATCTCATCTCTTCCATGGACATGAAACATGACGCCGAGGAATACTCCAGCCCGTTCTATGACTTGCATCGTGCCGACCTCCACAAGGCACTTTACGAACGTGCCGTCCAGCTTGGAGCACAAATGCACGTGGGCGCCGAGGTTACAGATGTGAATTTCGATGAGGAGCACGACTTTGTTTTTGTGAACACCAAGTGTGCGAAAAATCCTTCATGGAAAGCAGACCTTGTTGTGGGTGCCGATGGACTCCATTCAAGATGCCGCCAAATTGTTTCGGGAAAAGTTGATGCCCCGCGCAAGACGGGCGACATGGCCTACCGACTTCTCCTCGATGCTAATGAGATCGTGAACGACTCTGATCTGAAATCAATTTTGGAAGACAAAGTCGTGACTTATTGGTATGGGCCGGGTGCCCATGTTGGTATGAAAATCCTGCTCCCCCAATAAATCGCAATCACTCTGTTATACACAACCCCCATATTGATAAGCGCGAACTGATAAATCATAGTAACTTATGCAATTCGTCAACGCAAACTGTTGAACATGGTCTTGCTTGTCCCGGATGACATGCCAGAGGATGGTCCGTCCACATTAGCGGGGCAAGTCAGCGAAATGCAAGACTTATTCAAGGAGTGGGACCCCAGGTAGGTCTCTTCGCGAGAAATTCTTGGCTGTCGTGCCTCTCAGGCTAATGATCGAACGCGCACAGGATTGTGTCTCTCCTGTCCAAGTGCAAATCAGTTCTCCGCTGGCGATTGTCCATTTGGGACCCCATTGAATCTTGGATTCATCCGAGCGGATCCATGGTGTTGCTCGGTGACGCCGTACACGCCACGCTCCCGTACTTGGCCAGCGGGGCGGGCATGTCGTTCGAGGACGGTGCTGTCTTGGGTGAGTGTCTGAAAGGTCTCGACAGGGATGCATTCTTGAAGGATAAGCACAAGGCGCTGGCTGTATACGAGTCATGCCGAATGAAGAGAACGAATGCAATTGTAGCCAAGGGAAACCTTCAACAGGATCTGAATCATCTCGACGATGGTCCTGAGCAGGTCGCCCGTGATGAGAAGATGAAGGCATTTGCGGAGATCGAGAAGAAACGCCGTGCAGGAGATGATATCGATTGGAGATCTCTGTCGTCTTCAGCTTCACGGCCACTGATACCAGGAGAGGACCCTCTGGTTTGGAGGAAGTTTGGGGCAGGGGAGTGGCTGCTTTCATACGACCCGGTTGCAGATGTCCTGAAGCACCAGCAAAATGGTTTGAATGGGCATAAATAGATTCAAAGATCTCGCAAGGGAATTTGGGTAGAGTTAGAGTAGCAAAACTTGAAGCAAGTAGAGGTCTCTCACCTGTAATAAATACCCTTCCCACTATTCGACATAGGTTGAAGTATCCTCCCTAGTGTCCGGAATATCAGAAATAGTGCAGGGTTTAGGAATTTTATGGCTCTGCAGTTGAACGGATATATTTGTAAGTAACTTGGTCCCAGACCGCTACACAGAGTAACCAAGAATTTCCATGATTCCCCGAATATCACATCTAAGTGATGTTCTTGAGTGCATTCAGAAAATCCACATGATGCGGGTGCATCGCGCTGGGGGGGTCTTGTTGCAAATCCTCTGCCACGTCACGTAACAGCTGGTGGCGAGCTGTAATCTTGCTCTGATCCGGAGATTCAGCTTCTCGTTGCCCAGCAGTATGCTTCTCGAGATGGCTGGCAAGGTACATAGTACATCCAAGAGAGATATGCATAAGGATCCACAACCGACTAGCTTGAGGATTCGACCGCCGTATAGACATGAAACGGTGAAGAATGTACTCACAACGGTCCATACACATCAAATTCTGGACTTCATTGCTTTCCTGATTTCCCCATATCGATGCTGGCGAATTATTCGTAGACTGTAGCTGATTCGCGAACAACGGAACAGCCAAATGGTGTCGATGGAGCTGAAAAATGAAGAAGTTGACAAAGATCTGGAACACGTCGTGGAGGAGCCGCTGACTGTCGTCTTTGCAGCAGATACGTTTCTGTAGGTACTCCTCGGCGGAGGCTTCCCATAGCAGAATCTGTTCGGCGGCGACCTGGAAGCGTATTACTGGGAGAGTGCGCAATCCGGCGCGTCGAGCATGTGTCCATTCGTGGTATATATCGTTCATTATCATCACGAGTCCATAGCAGCTCTGTAAATAAGGATACCCTTCCGGGCTGTGGCGAGGTAATCGCTTCACAGAGCCATCGATAAAAGCAACTGGTGGCCGGTCATAACACATCGACAGCGTAGTGTCTTGCCATACAAGGCCTTGCCTGAAAATAAGGTATCAGTATGTTCATCAGTTCTAGGAGAACATAAAATCGAGATGATCCGCAATATTTATCTCATACCATAAATCCCAAGACTGTCGATCAATCGCATCAGTATTCTCATTTGGCGGCGGTACACAGTGTAGACCTATCGATTGCGCTGCTCGAATAGCCATTCCTTGGGCTAGAATTAGCTTTGATGTCATATAGGTCGACACGTGGCTGCTCCAGTACCTAGTAGTGACCAAGACGCAGCAGGATTATCCTGCACACGTAAATTTGCGGCCAGTGCTGCCAATACTCGCACATTATCGATGGTTGGCTGTAGAAGGTAGTTATCGAGCCGGAGGAGCTCGAAGGCGCAACAAACTACCAGCATGAGTCTTGAGGTTAGTATAACATACAGTAGTCAGTGCTATCAAACTGGTACCATACCAAAGACTCTGGAACTCAAGTCGTTATCCTTGCCTTGAAGACTGCTATACGAGCATCCGCTCGCAAGAACACAAAAGAGAAGTGCGAGCCACGAAGTAGACCGAAGCTCGCTCTCTCCCCTTTGACCATTGGAGCGCTCACTCCAAAAGACTCTGGCGTCCACCACAAATTCATGCAATGGAATGGAAGGGGAGATAAGGTTGACTGATGCGAGAAAGGTGTCCAAGCACCTAGTTAAAGGTCTCGTCAGCGCAATCATGCTGTAGTGTGATCGTGGTGACGTACTGTTCAAAAGTTTCATTGTCGGGCAGGGCGAGGCAGATGTCTTCCACTGTAGCTCCAGGCTTCCAAAGACTCGTAAAGGGGTGTGTAGAGCCTTTGTCCACCATACACAGTAATTGCATGGTCTCGTATGCGGAGTGCCCGGACAACTCTATCTCGGCCCTTGATGGTGGAGAAGACGCTATAGGGTTGGTAGATTTTAAAGTGTCAATGAGTATGGAAGCCAATGACTCGGCACCAATGTGGACAGGTGCGCCAACACCATCAGTAGCAAGAGCATGTGGTGGTGGATGTGTCTGCAGGGGTTCCATCGTTGGGCGTATACCAATGATACTGCCTGGGCCTGTCTGCTGCTGCTTTTCAAATTCTTGCACAATGCCGCTACCAAGAGATCCCAAACGCTTGACGACCTCCTCGGCAATCGTTTGCATTCTGTGCTCGAGGTCAGTAAGGGCGGCAACTCGATCCTTGGTCGATGTATTCGATGGCTTAGGATTAGTAGCAGTTTGTTGTCGGCGCATCTGGCCATTTTGGTCCAGATAAACACATAGCTTAGGCTGCTCATATTTGACGCAATTTCCACATGGGTTCGTCAGATCACAACGAATCTTTCGGCAACGGCATGGGTAACACGCTTTTGGATAAGACTTCCGCCGGCGTTTTGCAAGTAATTGATTGATGCTTTGAACTGTTGGAGTATCCTCAATCCGAACGGAATTCATAGTCAGGCAGTGTGTAATCGAGCGCTCGACGTCAGTAACAATCTAGTCGTGTTGGGCCGTCTTAGAGAATCGACTGAAGCATAAAGACAAACGGATATAGATTGGAGACATCAAGATAGCGATTGGAGAGCGCCAAGGTTTGAGAAAGTACTTGCACCGGCAACTCGCCCCGTTGGTGGTGGGGACAAGGTAATCCTGAGACAGGTTGGGGGACCTCGGGCTTGGCCTGGGAGAAGTGTCTGAGATCATAAATTCGCACCCTTCAGTTACTCTACCATCGTCACTAGGCACTTGATCACGTGGGCATTCCTCGACGGTCCAGGGAACGGGTCTGACAAAGTATATAATATTGCTAGATGGATATCTACTAGCGTAACTAAATCCCCATTGCACCGAAAGGTATCAGAGTACTAGGGTATTCCACCACCCTACTACCTATAGCTGGGTGGACATAGCGCGCTCCCAACTCCTAATATCTAACTAGGGAAACTCCCAGAGCAGTCCATCTACCCATACCATGTCTCATAAAAAAAGCGATACGCTCAATACAGCAACCCAGACAAAACCGATCCATTGTATGGCTAAGGTAGTTAGCATCACAACGGCACGAAATTAATATCCCAGCCCTCCTCTTCAACGGGTGCCGTCCTACCCACCACCAACTTCATGCGACCCTGCATCTCCGCATTGGGCCAGCCATCCTCCGACCGATGCACGGTTTCCAGATGTGCGAGAAACGAGCCGATGTTCCCAAAGATAGGCGTTGAATTGGGCTCGGCGCCATTCGCACCTTTCTTGGCGGTATCAGCCTTGCGGATCGCCGTGTTGGCCGTACTGCCGCTCCTGACACTTGCACCGCTGCCGGCCAGACTCGCTCCGTCACCGCTCGCGAGCACCTTTTCATGCCAGCCTCTCTGCTTACCTTCCGCGGCGCAGAAGATACAGCCGAACGTACCAAAAGCGCCACTTTGGCCTAGTGCCGTCTCGTAAGGCACCATGCCCTTCATGACAACGTGGCATTTTGCGAGGAATGCCCATTTGTAGCGGATGGCTCCGCTCTCGCTGGTGCGGACTTTGGGGTCGAATAGCTTCACGGGCTTCCAGTTTGCTTTCTTCTTTCCGTCGGATAGAACGGCCGAGTTGTAGACTGGGCCCTCGAAGGAGCATTTCTCGCATCGCCAGTATTGGATCATGGATGCGTAGCCGACAGGCCGGTTGGCGACTTTGAATGCCTTTGACTCTAGTCCGATCTGTAGGCGGAAGGCGCCTTTGCAGAAGCCTAGCAGGTTCTTATCAGTGGGTAGTGTTAGGGGACCCGAGGTTACTGAGACAGGGGGGTTGGAGACTGATGAGTTGACAGTATGTATTGATTCTGTTCGAGAGTTGATGGGATTCAGGATTGAATTTGTTGGGGAAAGATGTTTTGCGACATTCGATTGATTTGGTTTGGGTACATCTGGTGAATCAGCTTGTGGTATTGGTGGAGATACTTGGTATTCATGAATAGGTGTAGTTTGAACTGAGACTGGAGCGGCAATAGGTGGACGGGACTGCCAGTGCCTGATGTCCACAGGGGATGCTGATAATTCTGTGTTCGCAGTATTTGAACGGACTGGTTTCCGTAGTTGATCTGGAGGCTGGAAGGTCTTCATGGGCAGTCGATATAAGGAGTCGGTTCGAGGTTGTGGACGAGGAGGTCGGGCATTTTCCTGCAGATATCGGACGTGCTCGAGTGTGCTGTGTGGTGCGTTCGCTTGTGTTCTTTGTGAAAATGAGGTCGAAGCATGTCGTTCTGGTGTTGGTGGTTGTGGCTGGTACATATCATAAATCGTGCTGTGGGAATACTGTCTCCCATCACCTCTGATGAGTGGCTGTTGCTCATCTTGAAAATCATCTGGTCCGAACCGGTCTCTCGAAATATGTCTCTTGTGGGCACTTGAAGTTCTCGAGATATCAGGCGAACTTGTCAGACTATTGTTAACTCCTGATAAATCTTGCCCTGATTCCTGCTTTCCATTGGGCTGCTGGGCACTCAAGATCGGCTGACCGCCAGGTTGCGGGAACATGAGCAATATGTTATCATCACCAGCTAGTGCCTGAGATGATCTGCGTCGTATGCTCATTCGATCCGTCTCATCCGCTTTGAGTCCTGCAGCCCCACCCCCAACTGGTGCACCCGCCACATTACCGACGTAATCTGTTGTTGGCCGTGACAGTGGCAGACCATAACTCGGCCGCTGGTATGGATCCTGTGAACCGCCGGAACTCGTCGATGTCTTCCTCTCGATATAGTTAGCACGTATGCCCGTCGAGAAAATGCTCATATTATTGAATGCGTCCAAACCCGGCTCGGGCGTACGAGGCGTCCGATATGGCGCAGGAGATGAATGCGTACTCCGACTACTCGAATATCCCAACGAAGGAGACATAGGAGGCATCAGTGCCACGCCACCACCTACTACCGATCCGGTGGCTGAAGAAGGATAATACGCTTGTGCCTGAATGGCACTTGACAGGCGCTGCGACAGTTGGCCTAGACAAACACCCGCATTGACACGACAGTCGTCCGATGCAGCCTGCAAGACACCAAAGTCCAATTCCATATCGTCCATCATGATACTACGCAGCGTGATGATCAGTGTCATCTGTAGATTGATCAGGACATCTTTCAGCTGCTCTCGCGCCTGTCCGTCGCCACATGCATATTGTTCGCCGAACCGCTTCACGTCGTGGTCGTAGTGGCCGCGCACAAGGACGGGGCCCAGATTGAGTGAGTCGAGGAGGTCTTGGGTGGGTTCGTCGGGGAGAGGCTCGGCTTTGGCGGCGCGATCTTTGCGAATCCTTTGCACCAGGTTCGAGGCGTCTTCGAAGGCGGCATTCACTTGTGAATGTCAGTAAGGCTCCAGTCTCCCACTGAAGGAAGCGAAGTAGAGTGACGGGCTTGCCGAGGATAGCCTTACCTGCGCGCACCAGTGAAGCGATGTCCATCTTTGAGCTCAAGTCTACTCTGGCTCAGTCTGATGAGGTGTGAATCTCAGATTTCCACAATCGATGAAGAGGGGGTATATGTATCGAGTGTGTCGCGTGGTCAGTAGTCAGGATCAGCGTCAATTCACAGAGTGTTCATCGTTGTTTCGTTGCGTCGCATGTGGCCCTATGGTATTTCAACTCAGTTCGAGATCACGCTCATGCTTTGAAGTCAACGTCGGATTTCCAACAACAGCAAAGCAAGGGCAAGCACATGGGAAAAGGAACCGAGGAAGAAGTTCACAAAGACACATGCAATGGAGACAAGACCAGGTAGTCAGGTATGGAGTACTTGACCATTCTGCGACCTTGACACCTCAGGTCACTCAACGCTGTTCAACGATGCCCTTTCAGGAACAAGCCATGGGTGCATGGTAGCCTGTAGATCAGGAGGGGCCCGCGGGCAAGCAGTAACTCCAAGAGAACGCCTTCAGCCATTATTGCTGGGGCAGACTCGACCAGTGGCGGACGAGGATGGGCTGAATTGTTCCCTTTGGTACGACTCCGTTACCGAGTCGCAGTAGTGTAGTTCGCCCGTTTGTGCACCTTACACCATATTCGGGCAACACCAGTGATCAAATGCGACGGTGGGAGGCAGCGCGTGTGAGAGATGAGGGGGGAGAATAAGCGAAAAAGAGGAATGAACCAGTCGAGGATGGGAGATGGAATGTGGAGCCCACGCTTCGGATAGGGACGTTATTGGAATTGAGTTGATACGCCCGGGGCGCAAGTCTTAGCTTCCCAGGCGGCGTGCAGGCCTACAGGGATTGGGGGACCGGGAAGCTTCGAGACGGGGGACCAGGGTGCCAGGTGGTTCCAGTGGTTCGTGGGCAAGCGAATAGGTGGTGCCATCTGAGACCAGATTGACTGATCAGCCTAATCACACCTCGACAACCTCTCTTGACAGGTCATTAATCCTTGGAATGGCCCTGGATCTGGTCATTCTCTTCACCGTGTTGGAACAGGTCGATTCGTTACAAACTAAAATAAGGATAGACGGTAGGACAGGACAGAGCCGACGGTCCGGGTTGCCAATGCCAAACGTAAGTGACCTCGGGTGCGAGTTACCGCCTATTGTTTGATAAGTTCCGTCGCCTAAGTGACTCTGCTGTTCCACGAATGACTCTGAACCCCAGTGACACTTATCTGCTCGCCAAATTGCCATTATCAACTCTAAAGCAACCCGCCCGAGACTCCGTTGATCTGCCTTACCGAATCCTGGCAGAATGTCGTCCACAAAAGCCCCCCTTCCGACCCTCCTTATTATTATCAAGAAACTTTTAGGCAAAGGAAAATCAAGCAATATCTACCGTAGAACATTCCATCTCGCTTCCTCGCCTTCTTGTGTCTGTCTGTCTTTCAACCTTAAACAAGCCACCACGTAGTAATTCACTGAAGATCATCATACTCCGTAGTTGATGGATGGATTTTTTGCTTCTTTTCGTGTTTCCAATCTCAAGCCTCTCCCGAGAGAATATATCCTAACTAATCTATATCGGTACTTGTACTCCGATGATCCAACAGGGCTCCTTACCTAGGAACCCTCATCCCCTCCCCGGTACGAGATAGAGGACCAGAGTGAATCAAACCATGCCCTGGCCCTCGTCATCGAGTCTCGTCCTCCGTAACTAACTAGTCAGTCAACTACCACCGTCACTTCCAAACTCCCCCATGTATCCTTGTCTGACTGCACAAACGGAGTCCAAAACTACCGAGACCACGGGAGTGCAGTGTGAGAAGTATAAATTCCCTCCCCCAGGTTTCACCAAAACTCGGGGTTCCTGTGCCTGTCCTGTAGCTCGTCCCACAGAGTTCGAACTACGAAGGAATAAGTTACTTCGGTCGGTTCCTCGTACAACTTAAGGTGCGAAGAGTAATAATGTTCGTAAGCTGAATGAGATGATACATCACCCCTTCTTCTCAGTTTTATCGTCGTGATTTCACTCGCGCCGCCTGGCACAGCGAGTTGCTCGCACATGTCGGGAGTCGTGAAGCCAGCCCGGCCCGCCAAATCTCGTTAAAAGGTACCTAAGTAACTACCCAACCGAGGCTTTCGCCTCTTTGGCATGCGGCATGGTGTGCTTCTCGCTTGTTCCAAGCCTTGTAGGGTCCAACTAACGTCAAATTACCGATTGTTCAACGTTACATGGCGGAACTATCGCACACGGGATCACGAAAAGGTCCAAACCCAAAAATCAAAATCTGTGTGTTCAAAGTAATGAATTGCCGCTTCATTGCTCTGAAGGAAAAAGAGTGGGACTCCCGTTACGGGGTGTCCTTTGCCACTATCGGTACATAACGAAAACAAAATCTAACTAATGTACTGCTGGAATAATACTCATCTTGTTCCATGATTCTCGATGATACGCCATCTCTTTGAACTTCCTTCTTCCAACGCCCAGGAAAATCAAAAATGTCCACTAATGTCATCGCTCAGTAAACTCAAATGAAACCTTTTGGACTCAGATTATGCCACAGTTGAGAGGCGTCTAACCCCTGATCCTCCTGCATTCTCATACTTGTCCCAATCCTCGATAATCTTGGCCAGCCGAGGTGAGTTGGTCAGACGGTAAACCTCTTCGAAATACTCCTTAGTGATCTCGAATGGTTTGGCTGTCACATTGGGGATATACTTTCCGACCAATTTGGCAGGATCAATGCTGGTCTTGTTGATCTTCTTCAGTAAGAAAGATCGGAATGGCTTGACTCCAGAACGCAAGAAAGTGCTGTGGAATGGCACATCGATACCCTTGAGCGGGATCACTGCAAATCCACGCTCCAGGTCAATCGGTTGTGGTTTGGCTTCTGTCTTCTTCCGACACTCGTCAACAATCTCCATCAAATGAGCTTTGACATCATCCAATGACATCGTTTGCATAAGTGCCTGGATGTCAATCTTCTGAAGTTTGAGAACATTGAGCACATTAGTCATGCAGTCGAGCGCTCGAAGATCACCAGCACAAACGTATTGCATGTTGGCAACGTTGTAATTGACAATTTCCACAAGCCATCCAGTGGACTCTGCAATGTTCTCCACAACGTATTGCAGAGCTTGTTCATTGAATGTCTTGGAAATCCGACTGGGGTTGACGGCACACATAGAGTAGTTGCTTCGTCCTTGTTCATCACGCTCAACAGCGACCTGCATGGTCAGACCGCGGTAGAACACAACCGACACCAAACTCTCAATGGGCATGACCTCGGCGATGGATGCAAGGGCCGAGTATTCGCCCAAAGAATGACCAGCAAAACTGCTGTCACGTTGAATGAGACCCTTGGAGCGCATGTCTTCGAAGCTTGCCTTTTCCATCAAAGTCAAGGCTGGCTGCGTGAACTGTGTGGCAGAGAGCAGTCCAGTAGGTGATCGGTAAGTGTAGGAAGTGGTGTTGTCATCGATTTCCTTGAAAATCTTCTCGGACTTGACAGATCCATCGGCATTAATGGTCTCGAATGTCATGGCCATGTAGTTTTGACGAATAGCCTTGCCACGAGGACCTCCAAAGTGGATGGTAAGCTCCTTGGGATTGTTCTTAACAATGTTGATGATTGAGAGACCATAGTTGTCCATGAAATGACGATCTGCTCGATCCCAAACCTCCTTGGCAACCTCACTGCGGCCGTACAAGTCCATACCCATACCTTGCTCTTGAGAGCCTTGACCGGTAAAGACGTAGGAAGAAACAGGTTGCTCAACCTCAGCTTCTGCGAGGAGAACCTTGTCACCAGTTTCCTTGTTGCTAGTCTCGATCTTGATGATCTTACGACCTGCAACCATACCCACATGCTCTAGCTTCACCTCCAAATCATCATTGGGCAAGACCATGCCGACCAAAGACACATGATAGCTGCGAACACGACCAATGTTGTTCTCGGCAGCCCAAGTCTCGACCAGGCTTCGGACAGCTGCACTCGAGTACATGCCATGTGTGATGGTCCCTGGAAGATTGGCATAGCTGGCAAAGATGCGAGATACGTGGATAGGGTTGTAGTCACCTGAAACACGGGCATATGTTTCGTTGGACGCAGGTGCTTTGAGCGACAACGGTGTCTTACCGCTGAGAGGGATGGCATTCTCAAAGTTGACTGGCTGCTCGATTGTCTGACCATGTCGTTGCAGGTAATCCACGACCGGGTTACCGTGAGAAACTCCGGCGTCGTACTCAACCGAGGCCACTTGAATAATCTCCTTGGTGGGCAGTTCCAACAGAACCTGACCAAGAGTCTCGACGCTTTGGAATGTAGTTCGGTCCTTGAAGCGCACCAAGCTGGACAGGCGGAATGTCAACGTTTGACCAAGGAGATCAATGTCTGGCTCATCCAATTGAAACCACTCCTTCGAACGAAGGACAGCAACATCCTTGGAAGATGAAAGAGTGATTTGAACAGGAGTCTCATCCTTGCGCTGGAATGTGTTCTCGTAATCGGTGTAATTTCCACGATACAAGAATTGACTGGTGACCTCCATGACTGGCTTGGAATTGCGGGTAATGGTACCACAGACTTCAACCATCTTTCCGGCTTCTTGATTGATGACGGCATTGATGCGAGCTGAGGTGTGAAGCTCATCACCGACCTTCAACGGTTCAGCACCGGGAACCATGCGGAACCCATTGGACAGATGGACAAGCTTGAGCAGGTCACCATCAATGGCGCGGGGGAAGATAGGTTTCGTGATAGCTTTCCAGCCAACCACAATGGCGAAATCCATGGGAGCGAACACTTCTTTTCCGGGGCGGTCAACGAAAGCCTCGCCAGTGTTACCAACAGCGTGGACAAAGTCAGCAATATCTTGTGTGACGACTGTCGCTTTTCCACCGTCGAATTTGTTGGTCATAGGGGTGTCGAATGGCACGTCTTTCTCTCCAAACCAGATACGGTAGTAGAATTCTTTGATGCGATCATTGCGTCCATCCATCACTTCATGAATAGGTGCATAACCTGTCTCGGGATGGTAAACAAACTGGAAAGGCAGTGCAATCGCGCCACCCTCAGCAGTTCGTTCTTCCCAAAGGTTCATGAGAATTTCATTTTTGCCCACCAAGCTGATGTCCAATGTTTTGATGAGTTTGCCAGATTGTGTAGGTTCTCTCACAGTGATGCTAGTCTTACTTGGATCCTTGGGATGAGCAATTTCAACAGCCAAGCCTCGCGTGGGGGCGAGGATACGCTTCAATGGGTTGTTCTGATAGCGAGCACCTTGTACAAATACATCGGTTGTGAACAAGGCATGTCTCCAAGAGTAGCTCTTGCCGGCAAGTAGTTGAAGCCAGTCATCAGTGTCAGGCAAGGCCGCTGATGGTGAGGATGACAAGCGGTAAGTGATGCGGCTGCCATCCGGAATGACTGTAACACCATCAAGCTCAGTTACAGTCTCAGGAGAACTGATAATCTTGCCGCCGAAATATTCCACGACGGGAACCGACGCCTCTCGACCACCGTACACGTCTTTGATGAGACCCTTGATGTGGTCATTAGTGATGCCTTCCAGGATGTCCTTGATTGGCTCGTCAATCTTGGTGGAGTATTTGGCTGCCATAGGACCTTGGAGAATACAAGTTCGACCAACGTCCTGGTCAACCACAGCGTCCAGATCCTCAGATTGCCACAAGGAATCCTTCTTGAACCAGAATTCGAAGTTTTCATCCAAGGATGGAACGAAGGGGACTGGTTTCTGACCACGGCGTTGGCACAGGAGTAAGAAGTGCTGCACATCTTGGGCATTGATCAATTGACTCTCTGCCTCGGGATATGCAGCAAGAACCTTCTCAAGAACCTCGAATGGGCTTTCGAACTCTGAGTAGCTCTGGATCAAGGATGGTTTGCCTGCACCGGTAGTGAAGCGCTCCTCAACACGGCGAATGAAATCAACCGTGAGATTTCGAAGGGTGACCTCAATCCAACGAGACTGATGCTTGATGTACATGAGATCAACCATGCGGCGAACGACCTCCGCATAAGTCATGTCTTCAAGGTCAACGGTATCACCAGCAGAGTTGCGGCCAAACCAAACCTTCTGGAAGTCATCATTCAATTTCTTGATGATGTGCTCACGTTGTTTCTTAAGCTCGGCGACACGCTTCTTCTTGTCCAGACTGAAGATCTTTTGGTCCATCTCTGCCCAAAATTTGACACCTCGAGTGGCAAGCTTATGAATAGGCTCGCCCATCTCTGATCGAACAGTGATGACACCTCCAGTAGGACCCTTGTATGTCTTCTCCCATTCACTATCATCGGCACCTTCGGCTTCTACAATGGCTTTCTTGGCGTTTGTGGAAGTGTGGGCCTCTTTGGCTGTCATCACACGACTGCCAAAGAGCACTCCATCAAAAGGCATAGGAGGGTAGCCAAATTTGCCAGCCCACGCACCAGTGATATATGGATAAGTGTCTTCGGAACCACCGAAACCACTACCAGCCACGAGAATAATGTTTTCACACTTTCGGATGCGACCATACATCTGGAGGATAGGTTGATGGAAATCTTCGAAAGAGTGATGACCACCGCCACGTCCACCAGTCCATTGTAGAATGACTGGGAAAGTGGGGTTGGCCTTTGCAATATTGATGACAGCCTGAATAGCATCCATTGAACCAGGTTTGAAGGCGATGTGCTTTATTCCGAGAGTGTCGATGTACTCTTGGGCAACCTCGATGGAGGGAACACCGGCACCGATGGTCAAACCTTCGATGGGAACACCATCAGCTCTCAATTGGCCCAGGAGTGGAATCTGCCAGCCCATGGCACGAGGATTAACATAGATCAAGTTGACGGTGATACCTCGCCCAGGTGGGATGGCCTTTTCAATCTTGGTCAAGGCTTCAGTCATGCTCTTGCCGTTGTAGTAACCACCACCGGCCAATTCGATGTGGTACCCAGCGTTCATGGTTGCAGAAACAAAGTCCCATGGCACTGTGCAGGGGGTCATGCCAGCAACCATCAAAGGAGGGACACCAAGCAAACGAGACATTTTGGTATCCACATAGGTTTGACCGACCGAGGTCTTGACCAGTTTAGGACCATGTTCCTTGACCCAATTGGTGGCATACTTGACGGCGTGCTCTTCATCACGGTCAAATAATTCTGGCTTGTATCCAACTTCAGCGTTGGTGCCATCCATAGCACCAGCAAGAATGACTCGAACACCGGTGCCATCTTTGTTTCGGTTGGTGAGGACTCCGAGACCAGAGATTCCACCAGGACCGAAGTCGAGAATGTGCGACGCACCCGGGAAGACAGTTGCTTGTTCCCAATGGACCGGATCTTGTGTAATCATACGCACAAGATCGGGCACAATGTCCTTGCCCTGAGATGCTCGCAAATCCTCGCCAGTGTTTGTGTCAAAGACGGGAATGGTAAGGCGGGATGCAGGAATTTTAAGATCGGTCAAATCCTCCAGGATTTGCTTGTATGCCCCAGTCAACAAGGGGCTGTGGAAAGGCGCAGTGATGGGCAGGAAGCGATTGACAAATCTAACTTTGCGCTCGGTATAAGGAATTCTGTTCTGGTCGAGCCCAGTGGGGGCTTTGACTTTGCGCAGCCGGAGGTTGAGACCGTGCAAGGAGATTGGAGCACCAGTCACCACGAAATTTCGAGCGCTGTTGATCAGAGAAATGGCGATGTGGCGATCGGTGGGCAGATGCTCATTGGTTGCATCAATATGTTCCTGGAGCTGTTTCTTGGAAAGATCGCGGACAGACAACATGGGAGTTGGGGTACCCTCACCGGCCTCGGCCGAGTCTTGGAGAATAGTGGGAGCAAGACTGGTTCGAGGATAGGCCTGCTGGCTTCTCATTCCAATCCAGAAAAGCATGGTGATGGCCTCCTTGGCGGCTTTGGCGAAGCTTTCCCATGATGTGGCCGTGGCAATGGCAGCCGCAGTGACCACACCCTGAGAATGACCAGTGGTACCATTGAAACGCTCATTGACATCAGCAGGGGTCCGACCAAGAACTTTGCAGGTGACTTGGTAATGAGCGAGCTGGACCAGGCCGATCAAAGGCAGACTGACGGGCGCCGAGACCAGATAATCAGTATCCGGCTGAGAATCCGGATCCGCCAGCCAACCGAGAATATCAAGCCCTTTTGTGTAAAATTTATCTGCCTTGGGGCTCCTGGAGAGATTTTGGAGCAATTCGGCCGAGGATTCTACCAGATCCTTGATGAAGGAGGGGTATGTAGTGTAAACTTCTCTTAGCTCGTCGAAATATTCCTCGATGTTTCCTTGGCCACCGAAGACGGTGTAAATGCTAGCTTCTTCGTCATCCGCAGCTCTGAGGAGTGCTGAATCATGAGGCTTGATTGGTCTTGCGACTGCGGCTCGACCGGCGTAGTAGCATTGAACCACCACCAATTTCTTTGCAGTGATGCCAGGGAGGGTAGCAGCCAAAGCATGAACGTCGTTGGCGTGCATGAATGATCGCTCGAATTCATTCAGGACGACTTTGAGGACCTCGACGAAGCCGGTAGCCTCCTCGTCATCATCGACTTCAGCGGCAATGAAGCCAATGTAACGGGCGACCAGCTCGGCATTGGAAGAGGGCTCATCATCCTGAGCCAATTCGTCTGTGGGTTCGGGTAGAGAGGCATTGAAGGCATCTTTCAGCTGGGATGCTTGGAAATGGAGGGCGGTGGGTATCAGGAAGGCATAGTCGAGAGAGCCATGAGTGAGGATGAGAGGTCTCAGGTTTTGTGAAGAGCGAGGGGTGTGAGTGCCGGTAGCACCACCGGAATACATTGTTGCGGGTGAGAAGAGGACGCAACGAGGAAGGATTGATTGAAGAAAGTGAGCAAGCTAATGCCACTTGAAGTCGTCAGTGCAGTGTCAAACAAGACAATAGAATGAGGGATAGAGCTCTTCTGAACAAGTTGTTGTTGTAGCAGTAGCGGTTTGATGCAATGTACTCTTCAACAGAAGGAGTGGGGGTTATAGGAGGGAAGTGGAAGTGATGGTAGAGCAATAGGGAAGGGTAGAATTGAGGATTAGTTATTGCGCCCGAGTTCAGTCGGAAGAGATATGATTGTTGGATGGAGTGCAGTTATGGCTTGTCAGCTGGACGAGGTGTAATCGAGAAATGAATACCGGTTGAATGCAGCCTTCTCGCCTCATAGAAAAAAAGCGGGTGATGGAAAGTTGGAGCAACCGGTGCAGCATCATTGTTGAGTCCAAAGAAGTTTTCTGTCTGAGCTGCCGGGCGGACAGGGATGACGGGCAATGGACCAACTACAGGCCGGTGAATTCCCCCCATAAAGGCACTAGAATCCACCAGTTTTTTGGTTGGGCTCCAGGCCAGCCGCACCGTCACGCTGTGGCACCGACGCTGCTGCAGGGACGGTGCCACTAGCAAGCGTCATCCTCCCAACCTGATAGATACTAGATACGACTCCCAGCGAGATTGGAATAGTAAACAAAAGACGAACTATAGCCACGACTACAGGCAGCAAGATTAATTGGAAACTGTTGGGGAATGTCTATCTTGTGATCAGTAATTGGGTGCACTTCCAAGTTGTACACTGTGTCTTCAATCATGGGCTTTGTCTGGAGAGATCTAGGTAGCGACGCGGTACCTCGGGCAAAAAACAAATGCCTGGCAGGGAGCGGCCGCTGTTGGCAACTGGCTGGGCGGCGGGGACGGCAGCTCTCCACCCCTTCTTTCTGAGGTTCTCAACAGGATCAGCTTCCGGGGCCTCGTGTGAAATGGGATTGAAATGACATCAGCTGTATCTCAACCCCAGTCGACTTTGCCCTGTATCAACCGTACAGACGGTGTAATACGCCAGCGGCAAAAGCGTCATCCCTAGACCCCGTTCATTGAAACTTTTTTCCCACTCCCCAGACTAAACGCCTGCTTTCGACTTGATCAACTTCCCAACATCTTCACTGCATCATCCTCAACTTCCCGCGTTTCCTCTTCTGGCTTCATATCAATCAACCCTCTGGTCCGTGAAGCCAGCCTTCGTATGCTTTGATTACTCCTTCCGAATCTCCAAGACCCTTCATCAGACAACTTCCTTCCACCACTCCCCACTCATTCACTCAAGCAAACTCACTCCTTCTCTCCGTTTAAACATCTTCTCCTCAATTCTTGCACACCACAATCGCACAGTTCTCTCCCTACGTTACACCTGTGCTTAGTACCTCCTCCTAGCCCTTTGCTCTGATTCACTTCATACAGCATTGGGCCCCGACTTTGTCCTCTATACCCTCATCTTTAATCCTCAAAGCCCGCATCCCGCCACAATGCGTCCCGAGATCGAGCAAGAGCTCGCCCACACGCTCCTCGTTGAGCTCCTAGCATATCAGTTCGCCTCACCTGTCCGGTGGATTGAAACCCAAGATGTCATACTCGAGACCAACAGAACCGAGAGGATAGTCGAGATTGGCCCCGCAGACACTCTTGGTGGAATGGCTAAGAGGACCCTGGCCTCCAAATATGAAGCATACGACGCCGCAACCTCCGTTCAGAGATCAGTTTTGGCATACAACAAAGACTTGAAAGAGATTTACTACGATGTTGATCCTGTCGAGGACGAGCCTGCTCCCGCCGCTGCTTCTTCCTCCGCTGCTCCCACTTCGGGTGCAACCCCGGCTCAAGCGGCTCCCGTAGCAGCTGCTGCACCTGCCCCAGCTGCTGGTGCAGGTCCAGCTGCCGCTGTTCCTGATGCTCCTGTCGGAGCTGTCGACATTTTGAGAGCTTTGGTCGCTCAAAAACTGAAGAAACCACTCACGGAGATCCCCCTCAGCAAAGCTATCAAGGATCTCGTTGGCGGCAAATCCACCCTGCAGAATGAAATCTTGGGCGATCTCGGAAAAGAATTCGGCTCTACACCCGAGAAGCCAGAAGATACCCCGCTGGACGAGCTGGGTGCGGCCATGCAATCTACGTTCAATGGTCAGCTAGGCAAGCAGTCACAATCGCTGATTGCTCGTTTGGTATCTTCCAAAATGCCCGGTGGCTTCAACATTACCGCTGTCAGAAAACATCTTGAGACTTCCTTCGGTCTGGGTCCTGGACGACAAGACGGTGCCCTTCTCCTTGCTCTGACCATGGAACCGGCCGCCCGTCTCGGCTCCGAAGGCGATGCCAAAACATATCTTGGTGATGTTGCTCAGAAATATGCCTCTATTGCTGGTATCAGTTTGTCCTCCGCCCAAGCTGCTGGTGGCGCCGCTGGTGGTGCCGGTGCTGGCATGATGATGGATCCTGCGGCCATTGATGCTTTGACCAAGGATCAGCGCGCTCTTTTCAAGCAGCAACTCGAATTGTTTGCCCGTTACTTGAAGATGGATCTCCGTTCCGGCGACAAGGCCTTTATTGGTTCGCAAGAGAACAACAAAGCTCTGCAATCTCAGCTCGATCTGTGGAACGTCGAACACGGAGAATTCTACGCATCTGGAATCGAGCCTTCTTTCAGCACCCTCAAAGCTCGTGTATACGATTCATCATGGAATTGGGCCCGTCAGGATGCCCTCAGCATGTACTATGACATCATTTTCGGCCGCCTCAAGGCTGTTGACCGAGAAATCGTCAGCCAGTGCATTCGCATTATGAACAGGTCGAATCCCACATTGATTGAATATATGCAATATCACATCGACAACTGCCCAACTGAACGTGGCGAGACCTACAAACTCGCAAAGGAGCTTGCCGAACAGTTGATCGAGAACTGCAAGGATGTCCTCAACGAAGCTCCTGTCTACAAGGATGTTGCAGTGCCAACTGGCCCCCAAACCACCGTTGATGCACGTGGCAACCTCGACTACCAAGAAGTTCCACGGCAGAGCGCTCGCAAGCTTGAGCACTATGTTCGTGAAATGTCCGATGGTGGTAAAATCTCGGAATACAGCAATCGTGCAAAGGTCCAAAATGACCTCAGGAACGTCTACAAGCTGATCCGCAAGCAGCACAAGCTCTCCAAATCATCCCAACTCCAGTTCAACACCCTGTACAAGGACGTCATCCGAGCATTGGCCATGAATGAATCTCAAATCATGCCTCAGGAGAACGGTGATGTGAAGAAACCAGGACGAAATGGTTCCCTCACTCGCGCTACCGTGAACGGAACTCTTAAGCCCGGCAAGACCGAGACCATTCCCTTCTTGCATCTCAAGAAGAAGGAAGAACACGGCTGGGATTATAGCAAGAAGCTCACTGCTGTCTATCTCGAAGAGCTCGACAAGGCCGCCAAATCCGGATTGACATTCCAGGGTAAGATGGCGTTGATGACCGGTGCTGGTGCCGGTTCCATTGGTGCCGAAGTCTTGCAAGGCCTGATTAGTGGTGGTGCCAAAGTCGTGGTCACGACCAGCAGATATTCTCGGGAAGTCACTGAGTACTACCAATCGATGTATGCTCGTTTCGGTGCTCGTGGTTCTCAGCTGGTTGTTGTTCCCTTCAACCAAGGAAGCAAACAAGATGTTGAGGCTCTTATTGACTACATCTATGACACTAAGAAAGGTCTTGGGTGGGATCTTGATTTCATCGTCCCCTTTGCTGCCATTCCTGAAAATGGCCGCGAAATTGACAGCATCGATTCCAAGTCTGAGTTGGCGCATCGCATCATGCTGACCAATCTCGTTCGCCTACTTGGCTCTGTTAAGGCCAAGAAGTTCGAAAATGGATTCAACACTCGTCCAGCACAAGTCATGTTGCCACTGTCACCCAATCACGGTACTTTTGGTAATGATGGGCTATACTCGGAGTCGAAGCTTGCGCTAGAGACTCTGTTCAACCGTTGGTATTCCGAGAGCTGGGGTGATTACCTTACCATCTGTGGTGCTGTAATTGGCTGGACTCGTGGCACCGGTCTCATGAGCGGGAACAACGTCGTCGCAGATGGTGTTGAGAAGTATGGCGTCCGCACTTTCTCTCAACAGGAAATGGCCTTCAACTTACTTGGCTTGATGTCCCCAGCCATCGTCGACCTTTGCCAGAATGAGCCCGTTTTCGCAGACTTGAACGGTGGTCTGCAATTCTTGCCCGATCTTAAGGAATTGATGAGCAAGCTTCGTGCAGAAATCATGGAGACTAGCGCTATCCGCCAAGCCGTCACCAAGGAGACTGCGCTTGAGAACAAGGTCGTCAACGGCGAAGACAGTGAAGCCCTTTACAAGAAGGTCAACATTGAGCCTCGTGCAAACATCAAATACCAATTCCCAGAGCTCCCTGACTGGAAACAGGATATTGAGCCTCTCAATCCCCGGTTGAAGGGTATGGTCGATCTTGACAAGGTTGTGGTCGTTACCGGATTCTCCGAAGTTGGTCCATGGGGTAATTCTCGTACTCGTTGGGAAATGGAAGCATATGGCAAGTTCTCCTTGGAGGGATGCGTTGAGATGGCCTGGATGACAGGTCTCATCAAGAATCACAATGGCCCCCTCAAGGGCAAATCATACTCTGGATGGGTTGATGCCAAGACTAATGAGCCTGTTGACGACAAAGATGTCAAATCCAAGTATGAGAAGCAAATTCTTGAGCATTCGGGTATCCGTCTCATTGAACCTGAGTTGTTCAATGGCTATGATCCCAAGAAGAAGCAACTTCTTCAAGAGATCCAGATCGAGGAGGATCTCGATCAGTTCGAAGCCTCGAAAGAAACAGCCGAGGAATTCAGACGCCAGCATGGCGAGAAGGTTGAGATCTTTGAACTTGAATCTGGCGAGTACAGTGTACGCCTGAAGAAGGGTGCTACCCTTCTCATTCCAAAGGCCCTCAAGTTTGACCGTCTGGTCGCTGGTCAGATCCCAACAGGCTGGAACGCCAAACACTATGGTATCCCCGATGATATCATTTCCCAGGTCGATCAAGTTACTCTCTTCGTTCTTGTCTGCACGGTCGAGTCACTCCTTGCAGCAGGTATCACTGACCCATACGAGTTCTACAAGTATGTGCACCTTTCGGAGGTCGGCAACTGTGTGGGTTCTGGTATCGGTGGTACTACTGCGCTACGTGGTATGTATAAAGACCGCTTCATGGATAAGCCTGTCCAGAAGGATATTCTACAAGAGTCTTTCATCAACACCATGGCTGCGTGGGTGAACATGTTGCTGTTGTCTTCTACTGGTCCAATCAAGACCCCCGTTGGTGCTTGCGCCACTGCTGTCGAGTCCATTGACATTGGTTACGAGACTATCGTGGAGGGTAAGGCTCGTGTCTGCTTTGTTGGTGGTTTCGATGACTTCCAAGAGGAAGGCTCGTACGAATTCGCCAACATGAAGGCAACTAGTAATGCCGAGGATGAATTTGCTCATGGGCGTACACCCAAGGAAATGTCCCGACCAACAACCACCACTCGTAATGGATTCATGGAATCCCAGGGTTGTGGTATGCAAATCATCATGACCGCCCGTCTTGCATTGGACATGGGCACACCCATCTATGGTATCCTTGGTCTTACCACCACCGCAACCGACAAGATTGGCCGCTCTGTTCCTGCACCAGGCCAAGGTGTCCTGACCACTGCTCGTGAAAACCCTAGCAAGTATCCTTCACCTCTTCTTGACATCAACTACCGCAGGAGACAGCTTGACCTGAGAAGAAAAGCTATCAAGAATTGGCAAGAGTCCGAACTTCTGTACCTACACGAAGAAGTTGCTGCCATGAAGTCGCAAGTCGGCTTTGGCTTCAATGAGTCTGAGTATATGGAAGAACGTGCCGCGCATATCAATCTCCAGGCTAAGAAGCAAGAAAAGGAGGCTCAGTTCAGCTTGGGCAACAACTTCTGGAAACAAGATTCCACGATCGCTCCTCTTCGTGGTGCCTTGGCCACCTGGGGTCTAACGATCGATGACCTCGACGTTGCATCCTTCCACGGAACTTCTACCGTGGCCAACGACAAAAATGAATCTGATGTCATCTGTCAACAAATGAAGCACCTTGGCCGCAAGAAGGGCAACGCTGTTCTAGGTATATTCCAGAAATACCTGACTGGCCATCCCAAGGGTGCCGCCGGTGCCTGGATGTTCAACGGATGCTTGCAAGTTCTCAACAGCGGTCTCGTGCCTGGTAACCGAAATGCCGACAACGTTGATCAGGTGATGGAGAAGTTTGACTACATTGTCTACCCAAGTCGATCACTTCAAACCGATGGTGTCAAGGCATTCTCTGTTACATCTTTCGGTTTCGGTCAGAAGGGTGCTCAGGCAATTGGCATCCACCCCAAGTATCTCTTTGCCACTCTCGATCAAGCCGAATTCCAGCAATACAAGACCAAGGTTGAGGCCAGACAAAAGAGAGCTTACAGATACTTCCACAATGGCATGATCAACAATACTTTGTTCGTCGCCAAGACCGATGCGCCATATGCCGATGATATCATGCAAAAGGTCTTCTTGAACCCAGATCAAAGAGTCATTGCTGATAAGAAATCTGGAGAACTCACATACAAACCTGCCCCGCCCAAGAAGCAACCAGGTGTGGGAGCGGTTGAGACGAAGGCCATGCTTGAGTCACTGGCTAAAGCAACTGCTTCAGAAGGCTCCAAGGTTGGTGTCGATATCGAGGATATTCTAGCTGTCAACATTGACAACGAGACGTTTGTGGAGAGAAATTTCACCGAGAAGGAACGAGCCTACTGCAGCAAAGCGGCATCCCCCCAAGCATCATTTGCCGGTCGCTGGAGCGCAAAGGAAGCCGTTTTCAAATCCTTGGGCGTCTGCAGCAAGGGCGCTGGAGCTCCATTGTCCGACATTGAGATTCTCAGCGACGAGAATGGAGCACCCAAGGTGGCTCTGCACGGTGCCGCATTGAAGGCAGCTAATGAGGCAGGTGTGAAGAATGTCAATGTTTCCATCAGCCACAGCGAGAGCCAAGCAATTGCTGTTGCTGTTTCGGCTTTCTGAAGAGGAGGAAGCAAGAAGTGTACAATTGAGTCAGTTTGGTCGGGTCTAAGAAAACTGGATGCTTAATGGATGGTGCTTGACAGAAGCGTTCTTTTGTTGTATTGGAACTGTTTGTTTATAGTTTATGGACTGGGGGGGAAGGCGTTATGATAGTGAATACGTGGATAGCAGAGGGGACATGATCTCCGCTGCTACGCTATGAGAGCATAATCAAATGCACAATAGAATTATCAACTGTGTTCATACTTTGGGTCCCTTTGTTCAAGATCCTTTACCAATTTATGTGTTACGATGATGAAATCCAGATGTCTCGCCTCCATTTTCCATTCCCAGGGTAGCTCCTGTAGGAGAACCTCGTCATCCCTCGGCCCTGGCTGACCGCTCCACCCCTCTGCATGATAAAGTTCTTCAATGCTCAGGGTTCGCTCTTCGATTGGGGTTCATTTTGCATCTCCATCTACTAACTTTGGTGTGCATTTACCCCGCAAAAGCAAGCTCGATCAATTTTTACAACAGGTGCTGTACGGGCACCTAGGCATTTGGCAACTCAACGCCCACTCGGTCTGACTGAGACTGCCATTTCCTCTTTCATTTTACCAGCTGATGGGGAAATCCGACAAAACATTTAGCTAAGCGACACCTTCCAATGCAACTTGCTCGGCCATTCTTACAGCAAAAAATAATAAGGCCGAGAGAACCACCGTCTGGGAGATCTCTCGCACTACTAGCAGTTCCTTCGACACAGTAGCCGCGCGTTGAAGCTCTTACCTCATGCAGCATGAGATTTGAACCTTATGATGAGCTTCACGAAGGTGGGGTAGATTCGACGAGCGAAGCTACGAGATAGTAGCTCAAAGCTCCAAAATGTCTGTGTGAAAGCTAAAAGGTTGTTCCTTTGCTGTTCCCAAAGTTTCTCTTTGCTGTCGTGCGTTCCTCAAGCTCAAGCTCTCATTTTCAACCTGTGCCCCATTGTTTTAGAAATCAGAATTTTGAATTACTGACCAAGACTTACCCCTACTCTCGATTTTGGGGTTCGAGTTTCTTGCACAAATGGCATCTCTGTCAATAGATCAGCAATCACGGGCGGCGAAGGCGTATATCCTGCAAGAGCTACGAAAGACCGAAGATGGAGTCCAGATCCTCAAAGATAAGGACTTCTTCGAGCGACTCGACATGAACTTCATCACGATTTTTGCAATCTTCGCCGAACTGTACGGCTACCGGCACGACTGCCTCGATCAGATGGTCGATCTCATAACCATGTGTGGCACGAGCTGGCGGCAGCGAGACCCCGAGCTGCGGAAGCTGGACAAACAGCGCGAGCTAGAACCCGAGTGGTACCTCTCCAACCAGATGCTGGGAGGCGTCTGCTACGTCGACCGATATGCCAAAGATCTTTCGGGGATCAAGGACCGGATACCGTACTTCAAAGAGCTTGGGCTGACGTATCTACATCTGATGCCGTTATTCAGAGCGCCTCAGCCTCTCAACGATGGAGGGTATGCGGTGTCGAGCTACAGAGACGTCCAGGAGGAGCTCGGAGATGTCAACCAGTTGAAAGAGCTGGCCACCGAGTTGCGGAAGGCGGGCATCAGCCTCGTGCTGGATCTGGTCTTCAACCACACATCCAACGAGCACCGATGGGCCAAGAAAGCCGCAGAGGGCGATCCAGAGCACTCCGCCATGTACTGGATCTTCCCGGACCGGAACGTGCCCAGTGCATTCGAACGCACGACGCGCGAGATCTTCCCTGATGACCATTCCGGCTCCTTCATCCAACTCGCGGACGGCCGGTTCGTGTGGTCCACCTTCTATCATTTTCAATGGGATCTAAATTATTCGAATCCTGCGGTCTTCCGGGCCATGGCCGCGGAAATGCTGTATCTCGCCAATCTGGGCGTTGATTTCTTCCGCATGGACGCTGTGGCGTTCATGTGGAAGCAAATGAACACGGACTGTGAAAATCTACCAGAAGTGCACAAACTGCTGCGGGCGTTCAACGCACTGTGTCGCATCGCGGCACCGTCAGTACTGTTCAAGTCCGAAGCCATCGTCCACCCGGACTTCGTGGTTCAGTATATCGATCGCTACGAATGCCAGTTGTCATACAATCCACTCCAGATGGCACTCACGTGGGAAGCGCTCGCAACGAGAGACTCTTCGATGCTCTCCCAGGCGATTGAGAGGCGTCACAACATCTCGCGCGGCTGCGCATGGGTCAACTATGTACGGTCGCACGACGACATCGGCTGGACGTTTTCCGACGAAGACGCCCTCGAACTGGGCAAGAATGGGAACAACCACCGGAAGTTCCTGAACGCATTCTTTGTAAACCGCCACCCGGGCAGCTTCGCACGCGGCGTCCCCTTCCAGGACAACCCACGCACGGGGGACTGCCGGATCTCGGGGACGACGGCGTCGCTGGCGGGTCTGGAGTCGATGCAAGACCACGCGATCGACCGGATCTTGCTCGCGTACTCGATCGCCATGAGCACGGGCGGCATCCCACTCATCTACCTGGGCGACGAGGTCGGCCAGCTCAACGACTACAGCTACCTGCACGACCGGGCCAAGATGGACGACTCCCGCTGGGTCAATCGCCCCTGGTACCCGGCGTCGCGCTACGAGGAGCGCCATGACCCGTCCACCATCCCCGGCCAGATCTACGCGGGCATGCGCCATTTGATCCAGTTGCGCAAGTCGACCGAGGAGTTGGCCGGCGGACGCGCCGTCGGTTTCTTCACGGGTAATCCAGCCATTTTGGGCTATCAGAGACCCGGCCTGAAGAGCACGGTGCTGTGTCTGTGTAATTTCTCCGATGTGCCCCAGTGGATTGGACGCGATCGCTTCATGGGCATGCCCGTCGAGGCGAAGGATTTGTCGTCCGGGTATATGGTGAATTTGAGGGATGCGGGTGTCCAATTGAGGCCACACCAGTATTTGTGGTTGAGATATTGATTCGGATTTGGAATAGATTTGAGCACCCTTGTTAAGAGCGGGAACAGGCCAGGCGTGAAAATCAAAACTTTGGGAGAGTTTTATGGGACTAGTTTAGTACATCAGGAGCGGCATTTTAGGTATGTAATCGAATAATAAACACTTAAAAGCATCAATCTGACATTATGGACGCCAAAGCATTCGATATCCACTTCGGAGCCACGGAATGGGAAACTTGATATCGTTGATTAGGGATCATGATCCCGTTCCTCCAACATCGACCATCAGCATCATAATCACAGGCGTTCCCATCCCACAATACCTCCAGAATAATTCTTCAACTGCGTGCTATGGCGACATTCCGCGTTTTGACTGGTCTTTTCCGATCTCCGTTAGCTAAGTAAGCTTTTCCGCTGGACGAGGTGCAGGTTCGATTCACCGTTATTTGCAACTCGTCCACCACAGTTTTCCACGCACATATATATGGACTTGGAGGGTTCATCTGTCATTATGCGAAATTAAACGTACATCGTCTCTAATTGAGGTAAAGGTCAAGAACCCTAGAACCATCGCTTCGATCCCGCTCTTCAAGGAGATCTCGATCTCGGGCGCAAAGAAGGGTGAGTGAGGCCCCGGGATCTTCTCGTCTACCTCTCCCAGACTCTCCGCTTCGTCCCAACGGGCTTGATCTGTGGCCCCGAACCGCCAATAGAGATAAGGAATATCCGGTCCGAGGAGAGCAAAGTCCTCAACGGCGGGATCCATGGCAGGGCTGTAGAATCGTTCTCTAAAATGATATTTGAAAGTCATGGCGAGCGGATCGGCAAACTCTGCTTTGTTTTCCGTCATCGGCGCTCGAATTTCGACTCTACTTGTCACAGTGAGTTTGGGACTGGTTGTTGATTCGCACTCCTCCACGACGACCCGCTTGATTAAGTCAAGAAGTTCAACTGCGACAGCGTTGTTCGCAGTCCTCAACTCAAAGGCCATATCCACGCTATTGGGTGGATGCACGAACATTGATTCAGAATGGAATCGTCGACAAATCAAAGTGGCATACTGATTCGCACCTTTTGCCGATTTCACCTTTTCTCGCAGCTGCAAAGTCAAGGCACAAGCTTTGGATACCAGATCACCACAGATCTGCGGGTTCTGCGCAGGGCCAGAGCTACTCAGTCGAAGATGAATGTTGTGAGACGCAGGCAACACGGCGCCACCGCTAATTCCCACAAATCCGCTTTTGAGCTTACCGGCATGTTGAGCCAACATGAGATCCGGGGGCGAGATTCGCGTCCACAGTCCGTCCTCGACCATCAGTTTCGCTCCTGCCACGTACTCCTCATTTGGCTGGAACAAGACAATGAGGCGACCAGACCAAAACTGCTTGATGGCAACGAGGCTTGCAGCCGCACCAAGAACAGCCGCCATGTGCAGATCATGGCCACAGGCATGCATTACTGGCTGTTCTTCCCCGTTCTCGTCCAGCATGCGCTTCGTGCTGGCGTAGTCCAGCCCCGTCCGCTCTTCGACCGGCAGCGCATCGAGTTCTGCACGAAGTAGTACGCTCGGCCCCTCTCCGTTGAGCAGTACCCCGACCAAGCCATGGCCTCCGATAGAGGAATGAATCTGGAAGGAGAGTCGTTCAAGGTGATTCGCTATGGTAGAAGCCGTGGCTACTTCGAACGAGGGTAGCTCTGGATGCTGATGTATCTCCTTGTATATCGGGATGAATTGGCTGGCTTCCAGCTCAACCTTTTGCAGGACAGCTTCGCACAAGGCTGGATCATTGCGTTGCAGACGCTTCGAACCCATGGCGCGCGAGGGGGCTGTTAGCCTTGATTGGTAGGCTTGCGGCAGGTTTCTACCTTGGACCACCCCTGGTCAAACACTCTGGGTATGATCATCTTCCTAATATTTCCCTCGAAGAGCCCGTGGTTTGTGATGCATGATGGCTGCACAAAAGAAACTCTCGGAAGGCAACTCTAGAACCCTGGACAGGCGACATCGCGGCGATCAAGAAAAGCCAACACCCCGTCATGCGTAAGGAGAAGGTACACCTAGGCAACTTCGGAATTGATGCACCTTGCGCCCGCTTGGCAGCCTTCTTAGTGAGGCGCCAAATGATGTTTCACCAGCAGAATCGGGCGAGGGTCCTATTTGTCACGGGCACCGGCACGTCTCCTGCGTGACCACCCGCCGCTTTAACGACATATTTACCCACTACACTTGCGGTTCAGCCGCATGTGCCCTCCTTGTGTAGCAAACGGTGCATGGTTCTGACTGCTTGTTTTGCGGGCCAGGCGGCCTTGTGCACGAGAAATATTTCGGGGGTTGCCGCTCACACTAGAAATCGCTGCTTAGAGCAATGTTTGATGAGTTGAGCTCTTTGATGAGCAACGGAACAGATTTGCCCACCAACCTGCAGGACGATATGTCCATCACGACGTCAACTATTAACGCTGGCGGCGGGAGTGGTAGTGATGATATTCCGACACCTTTTGGTAGCGAATTCTCGTGAGTTTAATCTATATGATATCTAAGAAAGGTTTCCAGTATCTAACGGCACGTCTAGGGCGGATGTATTTCTCCAGATCTGGAACGAAGCAATCGAAGGATGCAAAAGGGGTGTGGATGAGCCAGAAGACCAAAAGTTTCTGACGCAATTCAATAGCCCTGGAGAGCTACTGGAGGCACTCAAAATGAAAGAGCAAAGCGATAACCAAGCGAATTCTTGGTCGTCAAATATCTGGAAGGACTTGAGCTGGACACTAAACGTCATCGGTAATGCGACCAACATATTTCTGATCGCCATGAAGCCACAGTCGGTCGAAATGAGCTGTTTCTGGGGATTCTTCTATCTTGTTATCATGGTATGACCTAACTCCACGAACGTGAAGAGGTTTGAATAGTAATCGTTCACATAGCTCTCTCTCGAGGCGAGGAGAAGGTGGGATGCAGTGTCTGAGACGCTATGGGCAACTCGTAGAACGCTTTTGCGGTGTCAGAAAATCGCACAGGACTCGGAACTGGACCACAATCTTCGTCAGTCGCTGTATGAAGTGTTTGTCGCTCTCATTCGGTTCTGGAAGGAAGCATCAATATACATGCGAAATAATCCGCCAGGAAAGCTTGGTAACATTCCCCTTTCTGATCAATTACGCGCACACCTGACTGATTGTTGAAAGGTCAGGACCATGATCCCAAGAAAGTCCTGGATTACCTGAGTAACAAATTTGAGCGCGCCAAGAAAGATATCGACGGTGCGGTAGATCATCTTCGATTCTGCGTTGAGATGGCGAATGCAAAGTCTGTCAGTCAAGGTGAAGGCACGCTATCTTTAGCCACTTTGACCCTTGGGACGATTCCAAGTACTGAGATTAGCTTCCCTTATACTTTTTTGCCTCGCGACAACCGAGGGCGCCACGTCGGACGTCGACAACTTCTCAATGATATTGATATGCTACTCCAGAAGGATCGTCGTGTTTGCGTTTGGGGGATAGGTGGCATGGGTAAGACTTCAGCTGCGCTAGCCTATGCAAATGAAACTACAAGGTTCGAAATCGTTCTCTGGGTAAAAGCAGAGTCAACCTTAGCATTACTGGAGAGTTTCAGCGATATAGCGGTGGACCTACGCCTTCCGAGAGCAGCTCGAGCTCAGTCTGATAAGGAGAATCAGATCATTCTAATGGAATACCTTGCAAGCTGTGGACGGCGTTGGCTGATGATCTTTGACAATGTCGATGAAGCCGATGTGCTTCGAGGACAGCTTCCTGAGAAGACGGTCTCAGAAGGCACCTTCTTGATGACCGCACGAACCTCAAAGGTTGCAGAAGACCTTGAAGAAGAGATGGAGTGGACTTTGAAGAAGATTTTGCCACTCAATCCACCACATGACTGGGAACTGTTTGGTCAATTGATGCAACAAGCAGACAGGAAGGGATGGCAGGACCTTCAAAACGTTCCCGAAGACGAAGCCAGTGCAGCAAAATTGTTGCTGGAAGAAATGGGTGGTCTTCCACTTGGTATCAAGCATATTTCCAGTATCATGAAAGCGAGGAAGCTTTCAGCCATCAAGTTCTTACAGCTCTATCGCGATCAAGCTGGTAATGTGGAGACATTGCAACAGCTTCGCGGTGGAAAGAATGTCACCTTTGATAAAGACTACAAGTTTGGATTGCATAACGTCTGGAAAGTAGCCTTCACCGAGCTGTCTTCGACCAGTGAAAATTGGAATGCATATTGTCTCTTGGCGGTGATTTGCTTGTTGGCACCTGATGGAATTCCTTCAGAGTTAATGTTGCAAGTGCGACCGCCTGAACTGGATGTGCGAGTAACTACGCTTGACTTTTGTCACAGCTCTTACGGGTAGGTATCGCTGTCGTGGACATCGATATTGTTTAGCTGCTAACGCGCAAATTCTTCCTTCAGATACGATCTAGCTGTTAGCCAGCTCGCTGATTGTGGTCTCATCGATCAAGACGATGAACTCATCTGCATTCATCGACTTACACAGACAGCCTTCTTAAGTCTCATTCCTGATAAAGACCTCCAAGACGCCTTCAATGCTAGTTCAGAATATCTCTACCAGGTATTCCCAAAACAGATCATGGGGCGCAATCTGACACCTTCCTGGCACATCTGCAAAGACTATATCCAACATGTAATCAGCTTGTGCAGGCGTTATGAAACGCTCTCCAAAAATCGGCCGCTCCGTCCTTGTTCCGCCTTTTTCATGCTCTGGGCAAGCTGCAGTTGGTATCTGGTTGAGGTCGGGGAGAATGAGCTCAACATAGAACTTTCCAATGTTGTCCAAGCAGCCTACGAAGCTTCGGCCGAGGAACAGGAAACTCTAACTCTAGCTGCCCTCCTCAACGGGCACTCTATCAGCTTATTTGAGACTGGCAAGGTGAAGAAAGCACTCCCTCTGATGCAAAAGTGCCTCGCAATTAAGAAAAAACATCTTCCACCTGATGATGAGGACTTAATGTGCACTATTAACAATCTGGGTAACTTTGAGGTGTCTGATGACAGATGGGACAGCGCCCTTGACCATTTCAACGCGATAGTTGGCTTCCGAGAGGCAGCAGTTGGCCACAACAAGATCAACATAGCAGTCACGTACGCTGGTTTGGGTCGAGTCGTGTTAGGCCAAGGAAACTACGCCGAGGCTGATGCATATTTTGAGAAAGCTTACAAGATCGCCGTTGACGCATTCGGTGTCCTAGGACACTGTGTCGCAGAGTGAGTTCAAGTCAATATGCTACAGCACTAATATTACACCCACTCAGTTTCCAAGCTAACTGCTCAATGTATCAGTTTTGCGTACGCACGGGGGAATGTTGCTCTCGCGCAACGTCGTTGGGTCGATGCCGAGAAACACTATGAAGAAGCTTTGGACGTTGAGCGGGAGCGGAAGCGGGGAACGCTCGATCTTGCTTTGGCATGCCTATTCAAACTTGGCTGTCTCAAATACGAAAAGGGAGACTATATCGCAGCGAGGTGAGTCTGCCCAACCTCTGCCCAAACTGTCATATTCTCATGTGACCCTATATAACTAAGCACTGACGATTGAAACCCATTACTCACAATCTAACTAGGTCTCTACTTGAACAAGCCCAGGCAATTGCCCGAGAGCGGAACTGGCTGGGCCACTTAGCACGCGTGTCCAGGAGACTGGCTTTGACTATTGAAGCATCAAGCGTGACACCCGAAGATCTGGAAGAGGCGGCCCGCTTGCACCGGGATTCGCACCGGGATCGTAGACGGGTCGAGAACGACACGGAATGTGCAAATTCAAACGATGGCGAAGAGGAGGCTTTCAATCGGTTAGTTCCTTCTTTCTTCAGGTGAAGATCATTGGGAATATCGGGGCTTGATCGAAGCTGCTATTCTTTGTCCAGTAATCTGGGAGTCTGAGCCCCTTGGGCACAAAGCTTAGATATTGATGAATGCACGCCCTCTATCGATTTCTTCGTTCTTGCTCTGTCGTCTATTGTGCCCGAGTCTTAATATCCGCGATGTTGCCCACTTCAGTAATATGCGAATTTTTGACGCCACTGCTTTTAGTAGATAACCTGTAGAATACCTAGGATATTCGCGATAGCACTCTGGAGGATAGAAATGGCACCGATTACCATGACGGCCCAGAACGTCCAGTAACGAAGTATATCTCGCCGGTCATTTATGAGTGCCTTCCAGTCACTCGGATGTTCACCTTGCATGAAGATCTGGATCTTCAATAAACGATCACCGAAAAACGGAAATTCTTTCGCTGCAAGATATTGGTCTCGCGGTGATGGGGCACGGAGATCACGGTAGATTGCGGCCTTTGTATACTGAGTACCACAGACCTCGAGGAGGAGTGGATCGACGACTTCGGAGTGAGATAATTGTCGCCGTATTGGCTTGCGCCCCAGGACCAGAGGCCTCAACCAGGGGAGATAGTGCCAGATCCGGTGTGGAGTTAAAAATGCCGAGAGCAAATCTTCATGCTCTGTTCGGAAGAGCTTTGCAGATGCGCCGTCCTGGCCGAAGATTACTCGATAAGTCAGGAGAAGTTCGCGAAAGAAGCTAACTCCGTCGATCGATTCATCATGTAGGGAGCTGTAATCTCCCTCGTCGTCGTCATGGCTCCGAAAGTAGTGGGAGAATAAGCTTCGGATTTCAAAATTAGCATAAAGCAATCATTCCAGAAAGGGAAAACTGTTTGCACTTACTATGTCATATACGTTGCAGCAAGACCTCTCTTCTGAGCAGTTCGATTCACCGACCCAGAACAGAACACCATACAGGCGGAAGGGTGCTTGAATATCTTGATGGTACGACTAAATTCGTCGAATTCAAGATGCCGACTCCAAGCAGAAGTGAAGACAATGTTGATGTCGGACAACTTCCGCAGGCACCTATAATTGATGTAACTGACCAGAATCCTACCAGCAAAAGCATTTCCCGCGACCTGAAAAACTTGTCGCTCATCGGTGGGCGCTTCGGAACAAGGTATCAATCGGCCAAACGTCTTCAGCATTGTTGGTAACGTGAGCCGTGACACCTCGTCGAAGGGCACAGAGTGGCGGATTAGGGTATCCGAATCCAGATATACTCCATTTTCGTCCTGGTCGTCCTCTATGGCGAGCTGAACGCGAGATGGGCCTTCCTGAACCACAGTTGGGAGGGTAGGCGCGAACATCAAAGTCACCCAGCCCATCAAGATGTACACAAGTTGCCCTGCGACCTCATCTCCACTACCACGTCCCTGGCCATCGACTTCTCGAACATTCAAGAAGCCTTTTACTCTGAGAAGGTCGGTGATGCTTCGGAGCGTACAAGGCTGTCCCACCCTTTCGTCGGATAACTGCTCGGCGATAATGGCCATCGCTCCGAAATACTTGCTAGGGATTCCATTCTCTGGCAGCGTTTCGGTGGTGGCGCGGAAATGCTCTTTGAAGCTATCCGGCAAAGAGTGGTATCGCTCATGCAAAATCGAGATGTATTGTGTATGGTAACGTGAGTATAGTCGACGGTTGAGTCGAGTCGCGTCGTGTTCTTCTCTTAGATTTGATGCAACTACCAGGAGATCTCTCTCCTGCGAACTGAGAACTGCTTAAAGCTAGAATCAGTACTTGGTTTTCGTGTATCAAACATTTATAAAAATAGAGAATCCTTACTTTTCATTCCTACCGAGGACTCGTCATCCTCAACGGGAGGCCCTTGCCTTCGCGACAATTGTGCGTTCTCTGGTTCGCGCATTGCCTACAATTTCGCTCGCTGAAGACTTGGTTGACTACCCCCGGGGACCAATATTGTTGGTTGGCTGGGAGGTAATTTTATCCACAACATAGGTACAAGATCTAACTGACTATGTTTGCAGAGGGCTTCAATTGTTGGACATCTACACTTTCGAGAGCTATGCTGAGACTTCACCTTCCAGGTCATTCCAGTCAAATCTTAGAGGTACGACTATTGGCACCAACAGGGCTGTCATATACTGAGAGAGTATTGTCTGAATCTGCCTTGCTTTGCTCGGCAGCGAAGGAGGCTGGGTCTAAGGCTGTTTTGTCGCGGGCTGGAATGATGGTGTGACGAAAGGCAAAGATTGTTAACGGAAGGGCTGAGTGACGCCTCGGGCACCTTTAGCCTCCCAAGCCTGGCGCTTTCCAGGGCGATTTGCACAGGCACCTCACTCTTTCGTTGATGGATTAGCTGTTTAGTCGGTGCACATCAATTCGTAGTCCCAGCAAGTTGAGTTTACAACCACTTGTGAACTTTGTAACCCACGTTCTTAGCGCAACCCTTCCCATACTTATCGATCGCTGTCGATTTAAGGCCCCATTGTGGTAACTCTGTAACTCAATTAAGCAACCATTCCACGAGGGTCGAAATCTTGCCCCTCTGCTATTGTATCACATAACAATTCTACTGCTACTCCGTCCACCAGGTTATTTAGACCTCGTCTCAGAACCGGGCATGCTACAAAACACTGCTCTTCTTAGGGTCCCAATTGACGACCAATGGAGGGGGCTGCCACAACCCTGGATTGCTCGCCGCCCACGCACTCATGAATTCGATGAGTTTGCCTTCACCCCCAGCAGCGGCCACAGCAGTGACCCCGTACGCACGACCGTAAGTATTCGGAGCGTACCCCAGCGGCACTACACATGCAGGATACCCTGCGCAAGCTGCTGTAGAGACTATTCTCCCATCTAGTGGACCAGCAACAACATCCACTCCTTGCTCGAGGAATATGGAGTCAAAAGTGGCCTTCCCTTCTCCGCGGATGTATGCCTTTGCCTTTTCATACTGGTCCTTAGAGTAACCTGGCTCAAGTGCATCTGTGAGTAATCCTTGAGGATTCGCTTGATCTAGATTTGGGAATAAGTTAGCGTGCAGTGCTGTAATGATTGATACCACAATCTTACCTTTCGGGAGCTCAAGATCTGGGTGATCATTATTGAACTGGATCAAATCCTGAAGTGTTTTGATGGAAGAATCTTGATAGAAATCGAAGAACTTCGCTAGAGCACCTGGAAACTCATAGTCCCAGATGGCTTCTAGGCCACACTTGCCTTCGAATTCCAAGTCGAACGTTTTTGCCACGTTGACATCGCGGACTACCTTCGCTCCGTCCTTCTCAATCTTATCGATTTGGGCGCGTAATTCTGATCGCTGACACATGCAAAATTATCCTCCAATTCCTCTCACAATCATTATAGTACATACCTGCTTTACGAGTAGATCCTCATCACGATTGCATACAAATGCACCAAGTTCCCAATCATCCGGATTTACGAATGCTACTCGTTGACCTTTCCAGCTGTCTGTCAGGGAAGTCGAAAAGTTGGTCTCCATCAAAATTCCCATGAGACTAGCAAGGTCTTCTGGGTCTTTCGCCATTGGACCTAGTGAATCCGAAAAAGGACCTGATGGAGATGTCCCGTCCGTTGGTATTACTCCAACTGTCGCCTTGAGAGCATACACTGATGCTCTCCCGGCGGGTTGCAGCACCGAACCATCGGTTTCAGTCCCCAGAGAGAGTGGAGAGAATCCCGCTGCGAGCCCCACAGCGTTGCCACTGGATGAACCGCATGGGGTCTGTAATGTTTGGTTAGTCAGAACGAGATAGCAATGAGGAAGCGCTTACAGAATGGCCGATGAATTTATCTCCTGCGCGTACACCTCCCTCTACGTATGGAGACTGTGTCTGTCCCCCAACTGCGGACCAACCGGTCGTGAGACAATAACCCTTGTGGCCCGCCCACTCCTATGAGACAAGTCAACATCATTTCAAAACGCACTCCCTTTTTCTAAGGATACTAACCGACAGATTGGCTTTCCCAATGATGATCAACCCAGCTTTCACCAGCCGATCGACCACAGGAGAATTCTTCTTGGTCTTGACACCTCTGAATGCAAAAGATCCTGATGTAGTGTCCATGCCGAGAGCAGAATCTGTTACAATGTTGTCCTTTACCAGGATCGGGATTCCATGTAGTGGTGATCTGACATTCCCCGCAGCACGCTCCCGGTCCAGTGCCTTTGCATTCTCAATCAAAAGGTCGATGGGAGCCACCGAGATAACAGCGTTCAGCTTCAAGCCCTTATGATTGTGACTCTCGATCTGCCTGAGATAGATATGGACCAGATCGACTGACGATACGGAGCCATTTGTCAGTAAATCTTGAAGCTCATGAGCGGTCGCAGTAAGGACATCAATTCTATCGAGCGACGAGTCGCTCGACAAATACTCCTGGATCATTCTGACGCGATCTACCGACTGATCTTCGACTATTGTCTCACCACCAGCCTTATCGGACGGACTAGATATGAGGCCCTGCGAAAGAGAGACCAACAGCTGGATCGTGATCAGTGAAGTGAAAACCAAGAGCCCGCGAGACAAGAGCTTCAACATTGCATATTGAACAGCCTAGAGAAATGGACGATGGTTTGGAAGCTCTATCTACCAGGTCAACCTCCTTGACTCATAGCCGCTGTGGGAGTCAGGCTCAATCCCAGGCTGAAGGCTGTGCTGGCCCCTGCGCTTCATCTTGTTAAAGCAGCAGCATCTGAGACTCGCATCTGGCCTGTGACGGGATCGAAGCAACAAGTCCGGTTGCCTTGCATGCGTCCAGGTTCGCATCTTGAGACCACCCGTCTCGTGTTGCGATGATTTTCTGCAGGTTAAAACTGACATCTAGAACAGAGGTTGATTGCTGTCGTGTAGCTGTAGTTGATCGGGTAGCTGCCTTCCCCCCGCTGTTCCCAATCACCCAATGATCGAAGGATAAAAGGTACAAGTGGAGCATCGGAAACCGGTGAGCACCCCCACGAGGCCTAACTTATCCCTCGAGGCCACCAAGAGCCGCGCCGGCCGTCTCGACCCGTCTTGGCCGTCTGAAAGTACATCACCTTGGGAGACGCCCGAAAGCAAACGGGCAACGTGTGACTTGTTGAGCCGCACGCATTTCCGAGCATGACATTGATCCCCCCTGTGATTACCGCTCTGTCATTCTTTGCGCCCCGTTTCTTTGTATAAAAGCACTATCACTGATATCCGGTGCCTCGAGGTAGTGCACTCTCGGCTAAATTCACGGACTTTTATCAGAATAGCATTTTCGGGCAATTGCCTATCATTGAGAGTTAATCTATTACTTGGTTTCGCTAACATGCATGTCTTCCCGCATTTCTCTTGATCAGAAGAGACTCCGAAATCAAAGTCGGGCACCGTTGAGTATCCAATGGACCAGGGAGGACGCCCAGTCAAACGACATAGCGATGAGCGTGGTTGATAGTAATATTTTCATTTGCCTGTGGAACACAGATCCAGGCTTGATTGGCCTCAAGTCAGGGACTTCTGAACTTCAAGGTACACGATAGCGCTGTAGGTTTGCTACGAGAGTACACGTTGATCACCAAGCCCAATGATTCACATCTCCATCTGCGTTTCCCCGGACGTTCCTTTTCCCGCCTTGTCCCACCACAGCTTTGCATTTCATGAACACTCGGGCAGAATAGCTAGTAGCCCCCCAAGCCAGACGAGCCCCAGGCGCAGTTCTTGGACCTCTGACAAACAAGTTCCGAGCCCTCTTCAGTGGGCGGGTAGAAAGTGACCCACTGGGTCCACGGCTGGGCAGCTTCAGTTTCTACAGGCCAGTCATGCCCGTCAATTTGATCGACTTGATCAAAGACCTGGAGCTGTCCAACCGTCGAGTTGTTGAGAATTTCAGGCATGTTTTTGAGAGTGAAGTCGGTGGTTGAATGATCGGATTTGGTCTTTAATGTGTTCGTAGACGGGGAATTGCCCTGTCAATGGCACTCGTTGAATCTGAGCAAGAATGAGGCTTAGAACTGAAGAAGAGCGCTTGAACTGGATTGAAAGAGAGGTAGGTGGGAACCCTAGCTGGGGAACGGTTTAAGTATGTGAGAAGGTCGATGAGAAAAGGAACCGACGTAATTCCGCGAGGGACTCTCTCGCTCTGGATGCATCGACGGCACGGCATTGCCCGATCATGGTTCTGTGTGTGCAACCCCTGGTCAAGCAATCCTGTTACGTGGCAATCAGTTGAGGTTGTGGCATCCCGCATGACCTTGTGAATGTAGATCGCGAAGGATATGTCACGACTTAAATAACTCTGGTTGGCGGCATCATATTCTCTGGCTTGGCACTGGCTCCTTCAACATTGACATTGAAGAATCAACATCAAAGGCTATCGGTGAGGATCAATTCGAATTTAGTGGCCCAATCTCCGGAGCAATTGCTCAAAGGACTAACCTGAAAGCCACCCACTTGCTCCTCCTAACTCATTCTGCGGGATCCCTGCCTTAGTATATTGACAGTTGCAACTTCGCAGCCTGATACTTCAGATGATGGGGAAAGTGGTCACAAGTATCACTTTCTTGAAAGACCTTCCATTGTATCGTTCGGAGAAGCCATATAATGTCCTCCTCGCTCAGCAAGACGACAAAAATGAAAATAGTCACCCGATCAGCAACTTGCAATTCGAAGACGTCGGGGGAATTGAAGTTCACAATCTCAGGGAAGCTGCCGACGATTTTTCTTTGGACAAGTCGGGGTTTCAATTACTTTCTTTCAAGAGCAACCATTTACCCGTCGACAGTCACGACCTGGTCGAAGCTTATCGTGCTGAGACGGAGACATATCTCTGTGATAGATTTGATGCCCTTAAGGTCATATGCTGGGAAATTCGCGTAATTCTCACGTCCACAAAGCCAAACCATGGGAGCTGATTGCAGGAGCTAGACACGGTACAATCGACCTGTCGACCGACCCGTCAATCTCGGCGATGCGCTGGCAGCTGAAATGCCTGCTGTTGGTGCTCATATCGATAATACTTTTAGGGGCGGACAGAATGTCGTGCTAGTCCATCTGACCGACGTGCAGAAAGCCGAGTATCTTAACAAAGGGTATAGATTCAGGCTCATCAAGTCAGTTCCACACTGCTCCCATCCGAATTCCAGTGTTGATACTTCCCATCCAACTCGAGCGGGTCTAATCGTTTTTCACAGCACCTGGAGGCCATTGGTGCCTGTCATTGAAGATTCCCCGCTGGCAGTCTGCGATTACAGATCCGTTCGCAAGGAGGATCTCATTGCCTGCGACCGAATTATCCCAACTCGTGTCGGTGAGATATACTACCTGAAACATAAAGAGCATCACCAGTGGTACGTCAGTCACTCAATCCAAGTGAAGATATCGCGTGTATTCCTGGTGCCCGCTGTGCTGATATCTGGTGCAACAGGTATTATGCCAAAGAAATGACCTGGAATGAAATGTTCATGATGGTCATGTTTGACAGCAAGGAAGGCGTGGCAAGATGTGGGTGGTTGCATTGAATTTCTCCATTCACGTCTTATGCAAGACGAACTGACTCGGTCGTGTGAGATCTAGACTGCCCACATGTTCCATTCACGGACCCTGCAGCAAGGGTGGATGCACCCCCTCGTCGCAGCATAGAGGCTAGAAGTATTGTTATTAGCAAGATTTAGCACATGCCAGGAGGTGCAAGATTGGTTTCATCCGTGTTATGAAAGAGGGATTGAAATGTTCAAAGGTCGGGCTGATTCACCGTGCTGATGTCGTGGTTGTCCATTTCAAGAGATCAAGAGATCAGATCAAATGCAGGATAATCAATTAATCCTTCTGGAAGCTCTTCGCAAGTCTAATCATTAATGCCTTACCTCTCAACTTGAGTTCTCGTGTAGCCAGTATCGAAATGGAGTTTGGAAATCGCTATAGACGTCCTCGTGCGAAACTGTCCATCACTGGGGGTTTCCGAGGCGGAAACGTGCGTTCCCAAGCGGCCATGACTTTAATCAAGATATGCTCTTGGCCAGCTTTCGCGATTGCGATCATACCAAATGGTCTCCCGTTCAGTTTCAGATACGAGAGTGGCATATGTGCCGAAGGATAACCTACCGTCAGATGATAAGAGTCAGCACGATAAGTGTTCAGTGTCGTATATCTGTCGGTATGAAGTTATCAAAATGGAATGCACTAACCGCTGCAGCAGGTATACATGTTGATCTCCGAATCCGCTGGACATAAAATGACGTCCAGGTTGTTGGCATCCAGCACACGGTCTATCCCCTCAGGACCAGATTTTAGGCGTAGGAAAGCCAGCAGCTCATCCCTGGAAGCCTTGGGTTTTGTATTTTCCTGAGCGCGAAGGAGGAGGATCTGCGAATCTTTACCTAAGTCTTTGATGAATGTTAGTCACAGTGAGTAGCACTGACTGGTCAAGGACAGAGAGCTTAGGGGTCTACCTGATGGCATTTCCCGGTCAGCGTGGTCCAGATTGAATTGAATAAGTTCTTTCAAGGACCGGACTTGAGAATCTTCAAGAGATTCGAAATATGCATTAATTTGATCTCGAAAATCTGCCTCTACGCTAGTGTAAGAATTGCAGCTTGGACAGCGTGAAAAGGCTCTGGGTGTGGTATGGCTTACCCATGATGTGGAATGGCCCTTCGCCCTCCTCATTCTGTAGAGTAGCAGGGCTTTCCAGCTGTACCGTCGTAAACTTCCGAGCGGAGAAGGAGATTTTGTTGTTAGCAGCCTCGATCTCTTGTGTCTTCAAAATCGGTACATGTTAGAGGCGCAGGTGAAAACCCACGGAGGAATCGACTGCTTACAATTTGTTCCTGTGACACTTCATCGAGTGGTGCGAGGTATTGTGGCCATTTCCAGATCTTGGGCTCCAGTACCCCGACTTTCAAGTCGGACCATGTAGCGCCAAGATTGTCGCAGAAGCTGGAGTCGGATGGAATGAGGATGTCCAGAAGCGTCGCAATGTCACGGGTGCATTTGGCCATTGGTCCCACAGTGTCCATTGCATCGGTAGTTGGTATGACACCGGCGAGGGCGTTTGGCCTCTGCGTTGGCTTAACTGCGTAAAGTGCTGCGCGTGTGGAAGGCAACATGATTGAACCAATCGTTTCGGTTCCAAGCGCTAACGGACTGTAGCCGGCAGCAACCCCAACGGCAGAACCAGATGATGAGCCTCCAGGACCCTGTGGTGACTCTCAGTAAATGCGTCTTAGACATCTCAGGACATGACTGACGTTTTGGCTCGCGGAGCCATCCTCCGGCTTTACATCTTGGTCAGTGTATGGTGATTGACCTTGGCCAGCAACACCCGACCAAGCACACGGTAGTGTAGGAGCCCTGTAGAAAGTAAAGAAAGGATCGATGTAATTGGGATGTTTGGCTCGAACCTGTACATAGCAAACTCCTAAGTCGAAATAAGCAAATCAAATACCTTCGGTCCACATCATGGCTTACTGAGAGAGAGGCCTTGCCTAGTATGATGAGACCTTTAGCAAGCAGCTTCACTATAGTCAGCATCTGAGGTTTCTTGAAACAAGGAATTCCTCACTTGATCAACTATCATTGCATTTGACTTTGGTCTAGCACCAACCAGTGCTAGACTTCCGGCCGTTGTACCTAAATTCGGATGCAGGGTGTTGATGTTGTCCTACGACCATTAGTATGCACACGCGCACTCGAAGCACTAATCGTGACCTTGATCAAGATGGGAATGCCATGAAGCGGTCCTCTAACACGACCACTTTTTCTCTCCTCGTCGAGCCGTACTGCCTGATCAATGGCATCATCTGCAAGCGCTATGACTGCTTTCAAGTATCCATCATAAATTTTGATCTGGCGAATACAAGAGTTCACTACATCAACACTTGTACATTCCTTCTTTGTGAGCAGTAGCTGCAATTCTGAAGCTGTTGCAGTTAGTACATTGAAGATCGGATCGCGTGACGGCTTGGAAGATGAAGAGCGACAGCAGTGGAAGCATGAAAATGTTCCCAGAGGTGACATCGAACCAAGGCGGTTGTTCGAGATGGAGCCTCTGATGTAGAATGCTGGAGTTGTACTCCTGGTCCCCCAGATGCGTCTCAAGTATCTTGTAGAAGGAAGATGGGTAGACTTCATGGAATGTTCATGGCCCAAATCGAATATCTGCAAGACGAAGATGAGGGGGGCTGGTGGTCTGGTAGTAGCCTGAAATCCTGATTGCGGGGCTGGGCTACATTAGTTATGTCCAGTTATTGATAGGTAGGCTTTTTCGATTGCTGAAATCATAGGAACAAACACCCCTTTGAATGATGTGCTCTATCTATATCCGCCACAGAGCCAGGTGTCGATGCTCATTAACTTCATCGCATTCAAGTTGTTATTCGATTTGCAATCAGACTCAGTTCGATTGTGCAATGTTTCAGATTAGCCCTGTTACATATTTGGACGGCAGATCGACTAGAAGTTCAGGAGTACCAACGGGCATCATGTAGAGAAAGTCTGGGTTGTTTGATCAAAGCCCGGTGCATGAGTATGGTTTTCTGTGACAGGAAGCGTTTGCCTTCAAACTCACCTCATATCGGCGCTCTTTGGGGGTGAGCGTCGGCTGCAAGTTTTTCCGTGAAACAGATGGTTTCGGCGGAATATAGATCCGGTGCAGTTGCTGGAGTGACGAGTGCCCCGCCAGTTCTAATCACAAGACTTGCCCTCTTCGTATGCTGTAGCCTGGACTGACGGTGAAGTTGAACACGAACACGAACAGGACTGGTGAGTGACTCTTTGTCCTACCACTATCGAGAAAATCGAAAAGTGTCATCCGACCAGGCTGCTAAATCGGCTGCCAACAAATATCCACCCCAAAAGATCATGCTCGCGCCGCACATGGCTTCTCTGGAGTGACTGCGTCAGTAATCAAACCTCACTTCTGCAATACTAGTTTCCAACATGGCTGAGATAAAGGCGCCGTCGATGCGCGTGCCTGGCTCGTTCACCCAGACCGACAATGATTGCTCCTTTCGTTGCGCCCCATTCAACTCGTCATTGTTTCTGCCGCCTACCAAAGAATGTCCTCCATCCACCTCACCCTTCACACGACATCCGCGTCCGCAAGCAACCCCAAATTCAGGTGGTTTGCTAACACAAACCCGCAAGCGAGCAAGAGTCGATCACAGAGACGATGACGCCCAAACACCTTCAAACAACCTTTTCGGCATCAGCAGAAACAATTTCTTTGACGAGCCTAGTCCTGCACCATTCGTCAGCACAGATTACCGCTTCGCAGGTGGCGTCGCAACCCCAGCCGATCTGAACGCTCAGAGAGCTGCCTATGAGCGCGAGTGTGAATATGAGAATGAATACAGACCAAATCGGTATGGCTCTCAGCAACCACCTTCACATCACCCCACTGGTTCATACTTTCCACAAACGCCCTCTATCCCACAAACCGGAGACAACCTGTCACAATCAGATAGGAATGGCTGGAGAAAGTCTGTTTGGGCACTCACCGGAACTGTAGCTGGCAAGGTCTTCAACTTCTGCTGGCAAGGCGCTACGTCCTTCAAAGGTTTTTATGCCGGTGGTGGTAATGGATACAATTTTGATGTTGGTACACCCGCTGTGACATCTAAGGAATGGACGGAGGTCAATCCTCAAGAAGATGTTTTCCACCATGATTATGATGTGCCAAGACGTCGCCGAGAGAGAGATTCAACACCCGTGCCTGGCGAGTTTCCATCTGAACAGCCGGAGTTCGTCGAAGATTACACGTCGCAGCCTTGGAAATACAGCAACAACAATGATGACACCCCAACAGCTCGTCCAGGTATTCCACCAGCACGAAATAGCTGGGTTGTAGTGAATGGTCCATCAACAGAGTCAAGAGACACAAGCCCTGTACGTAAGAAGTCACGGGCAAGTGTGGCACCTTTATCAGCTTCCGCACGATCCTCTCCTCGAAATTTAAACAGCAATAGCTCTCTCATAGCTCGCCCTCGTCTTTCCTCAAGATCATCAGGAAACAAATCCTCAGCGTCGGTTGCTTCCCCTCGTGCATCTTTGGCTACTGGTGAAAATGGTCATGGTCACACAAAGTCACGCGCGCCTCTATCAACATCAGCTAGCCTGGTCGATGGTACGACAAGACGGCAAAGTAATAGAGCATCTTTGGCATCACCCCGTCGGCAATCTTCTAATTCAGTATCTGTACCCGTGGTAGGCGCTCAACCGTCACCTGAAGTTCGCAAATTTGAACAAAAGATGCGCCGCAAGGAAGCCAAGGAAGATGAAAGTATGAGACGTCTTAACGAACGGTTAAAAGCAATGATCACAGAAGGAAAGCAGGCCTTGGGAAGTAAAATTGAGATTGTGGACGACGGTGGTGTGGATGAAGAGATCGATTATGATGAAGGCTTCGTGGACGGAGAGGAAGCATGGGAGAGGGAATATGTTCGACCAATGGTCTGGTCTTGATCTATCTCCAGAGACACACAGCCTTGTGAAGTGTGGACTACCAGACCTGGGGACCATGCAGAGCCAACTAGGAGAAGGACATAACGAGAGCGATATGTCGCATATACCAGTATTCAAACATGGCAAGCTAGGAGCTTATTCACCACCACCTGCACACAGACAGGTCAATCGACAGCTCCCAAGCGGCGCGAGACGATATTCAGCACATGCTCATTACTTCTTGGATCGTGAGATATGTCTCGACGACATGGCTTCGATTTTCAGCTGGAACCGAGATGATCGGCCAAGTCGAAAGGCCTTCTTTGTAAGTGATACCCCCCAACTTCAAGTTGATGATAAGGCTTCGTCTTTTCTACTATTCTATGTCTGTATTCTCCAATGAAGTTTATACCACAAACATATACATACTTCCTGCCTCATGACTTTCCTAACGTTTCCTTCACATCATTCTCCACAACATGATCCTTGGTCTCAGTCGCCTCCGCCTGTACCTTATGATCCACCCAATCCACATCTTTTCCCTCGACATAGCCATCAGGCGTGCCAACGTAGCCCTCCTCGTCAACAGACACTCCTTCAGGGACGAACTTCCTCAGCACACTATTCACCCAACCCTCCGGAATTCCCAGCGCAACACTCTCCGCAATCGCACGATTCATCCTTCCTACATACTCATGCTTGATCGACCCAGGTCTCGTCCGGAACTCATCAACATACACCAACGCTCGTATCGTAGTCTGCAGCTCCGTCGCCGATTCCCCTGCCGCCTCAACACCATATTCCTTCGGATTCCTCGACCACTTGGTCACCGTCATCGGCAAGTAATGCTTATTATAGTCCCAGCCACCCTGGAGATATGGCTTCCACACCTGACTCGCCGGGTCGGGATTAACTTGGACGTTTGAATTCCGCTCATCATTGTGACCCTCGTAGAGATCCAGCCGCGCCTCGTCCTCGGGACTCATGTTGTACACGACGCCCCAGACGGTGTTGGCGTCCGAGGCGGCGTCCGAGGGCGGCAGCGAGACAACATTGGCGTAGCCCCGCTCGCAGATGATCCAGGCGTGCGAGTCGAGTCGCGCAATCGCTACCGGCACGCTCGAGCTCGGTGTGTGGTTCAGTCGCAAGGACATCTGGTATGCTGAGAGGTTCGAGCCAAAGGCGAAGTAGAATGTGCCCGTTTTCGAGGTCGTGAGATTCGGGTGGACGATGACTTGCTCTGCCATGTTTGGGCTGGAGGGTATTGAGAGAGTGGTGTACTTAGTATTTAGCGCTGGAACTGATATCTAGAAGTCTTTGGTCCAGATCTTTGGCCTCCCGCTACCTCTATACTCCACAGGGGATCTCTCTGGGACCTTCTCCGTTGTTCTTGCTCTACAGACTGAATATATATTCGAGTATCGAGCCTCCCAATGACGTAGGTGAAATTTGTGGAAGCCCTACAGTGTACCTTGAGGATCGTACTAAATGATGTTGTTGGCACAAGCCATTCTAGGAAACTACCAAGGACTCTGGTGAAGAGCCACAGGACATTGCGTCAACCTCCTCCTGGGAAGTGGAGAAATCCGTACAACGGATTTCGTGATTGACGGTTGAGGGCCAGGGTTCACAGCCTTACTAGTGGTCACACGTGATGATGAGCTCGGGCAAGGCTGTGCTCCTGTGGGTCATTAGGTAATCATCTTTGTGCTCTTCGCTGCTTACTTAAGCATTTTTTCGCATTCATGGTAGTTGACGACATGGGGTTTTGGAGCCAAAAGAGCTTACGCAGGAAGGAAAGCTTCACATCGAACTGGAGCTAAGCCCACGACATACTTATGATTTTCCTGGGAAAGGGGAAAAGCACTAAGTATAAGTAAGGGCCCAGCTAGAGACGTCAGGCATCGGCACGAAAAGCGTGGGCGCATATTAGCCTTGGTTTCACCACAGCTACACATAAATTGGCAACGACAGCTAGCTTTTCTTCTCCCTTCTTTTGTGACAAGGGTATTGCAGACACCGGGACTACTAGTACTTATTATGCATGACACACCAAATACTAGTCTCGAAAATCCGAAGTCCGAGGCCATATCGCAGTTCAAGTCATTTAATTCAATGCCACCAATAAATCTGCCTGCCAACCTCAAATTTGGACCCTTTCGGGTCTCGAAGCAAGTCTTCCATCTCTCCAAAACACAACTGTCGTACGGGCTAGTCAACCTAAAACCCCTACTACCAGGGCACGTCCTGATCTGCCCCGTTCGGTCAGTACCCCGGCTATCGCAACTGTCAGCAAATGAAACTGCCGACCTGTTCAACACGGTGCGGGTCGTCTCCAGGACAATAGAGCGCGTCTACCGCGCCACAGCTCTAAATGTCGCAGTGCAAGATGGAGTTGACGCGGGCCAGTCGGTCCCGCATGTACACGTCCACGTGATCCCGAGGCAGGCGGGTGATCTGGACGATAGGGGTGGTGGGGATCAGATATACGAGATGATGGATGGCGAGGAAGGGGATTTGGGCAAGGCGTTCTGGGAAATGCAAAGGGCGAGACAGGCGAGGGGTGAGGAGAGGAGAGACTTTGCTGGTGGTCCTGACAGTGATAGGAAACCAAGGACTGAGCAGGAGATGAGTGACGAAGCTGAGTGGTTGAGGGGCGAGATGGAGAAGGATGCTGATGAGGGAGACGAGAAGGGTTTGGGAAATTGACCGTCGGCGCGATCTCTGTCATATTAGGCTATGTGAAGACGGCTGGTACCGCGTCAGGATAGACACAGCAGAGTCTCTCAACTGTAACCTCAAGTCTGCTGAACTCTGGACTAAAGGGCAAACGAATATCGAAGGCTACAGGAATCTCAGGTAAATATTAGAAAGGAAATTGAGTTTTCTCATTAAAAGAGACTGGGTATCATTTCTAAACGTCAACATTTCCACCAGGTGTCATCCGGTCGTCGATTCAAAAGGTGATCTTGAACATCTCGCTATCTCCATCACCTGGCATGACCATTTGCTTCGGCGGCCACCCCATTGCTGTAGTATTGATCCTGTTGATTCTTGATATGGTCGCTGTTCGTCGGATCTCTCGGCTCGGCACCTTTCTGCTTCCATAGTTCTTCTCTCTCATCCAATATTTCCTTTGCCCATGCCATCATTTCATCCAGCACGATCCTTCCGGCAACCCAGCTGAACTCGCTCAGGTCCACCTTGCAGTCATGGGCCCGCTCATATTCCACCATCTGCAGGATCAACTCAATCTTGTCGACGTCATGTACGAATTTGGATTCCGTCGTCTCACTGTCTTCGTACTCCTGCCATATTGCGCGGATCTCCTGGCCATTGATGCCGCCATGAACCCTGCCTAGCAATGAATTGGCCACCCAGTCCATCGTGTCTGCCTCACGTCTGCTTTTCTCTGCTTTCGGGACACCATCAACAGGCGTCAAGTCGCCGACGAGACCTTCTGCCATGTCGTGAATCAAGGCCATCTTTGTGCATCGTGGAATATTCAACCTAGATGATAGCGCGGGCGGTGCGAGCATTGTGATGAGAGACATGCGATACATATGGTCTGCTATGGATTCGCCTTTGTCGATGCCGAAACGACGCCATCCCTCGCGCTTCTCAATCTTGAGACGTTCGAGGTAGTGGAAGAAACCGATAGGCGAGGAAGAATTTTCGAGTGGCGGATTGGGGAGATCTCTGAGGACCGCAGCTACACTCCATGGATTGGGCTTGGGGAGCTGAGAGGTATGTGAGCGTAAATCTCCAGATTCAACTGGATGAAGAGTCAGTGCCTGAGTACATTTTCCTTTGGCTAAATGGACATACCTTGAGGAGTGTTGGAGGCCATCGTGGGTTGTTGATGTTTGGTGAATAAGCGGGGTTGTCGGGATGGGAAACTTTGAAGGAAAGAAAAGTGCAGGCTTGAAGAGGAGCAAGTAAGAACAATTTCAGAAGCGAAGCGCTCAACTTATGTGCAACTGGCAGAAGAAATCTAGCGTGTATAGACCGCAGCGCAGCAACTTGATTGTGGACAAAGAACGCGGGAGAGGGGAGCAAACACTGGAAAAAGAATCAGTTGCGGGAGTCATTTTGTTTACTTGGTGACGTACCGGGCCGATCGGTTGGCGCCAACGCCAACGTGAATGTGGACGCCGCTTATCTTTCAGGAACACAAACTTACCGATTGGTCCTTGATCTACATACTAGAAAGTGATTGTGATGGCATTACAATCAACATAAATCGTCAAGCAGTCAGGAGAACTGCAAGTCACAAACATGGACAAGCAGTGGAAACCAAGGAGCAGCATCGCCGTCTTTGTCTCAGCCCTACACCTTTTAGACCTCGACAATCTCAAGGACTGGCCATCATTCACCATCTCAACATTCCAAAGCAAATCGACAAGTCAAACCCTACAGGCAAAAATCAAAGCGACAGAATGGGCCCTTTACCATCTGTTTCAGATCTATTCTCCCGACTCAACCCGTCAGGTCTTGAACCCAAATTTCCCACCCAAAACACCCATTCAGTCTCTCAACCTCCGGGCAGGCCTCTTCAAGCTTCTGACCGAGCTTAAGAAGAATGCGCTATTACCCAGGGAGACGATTCTTCGGAAGACTATGCTTGACGAGTGCAAAGGCGACAAGTATGAGGACCTATTGGCAGCTTTTGCCATGCTGGTCTTGAGAAAGGTCCTTCTTGAGAGGAAGGGAACAGCCGTGGCCACCAGCAGCTCAGCAAAACCTGAAAATGTTGTACCTTTGATTATCGCCCATCATGTGTCTCTGCAGAGCAAACTCAGACAGCGAGAAACGATGCGTGGAGAAGCTCGAGATCATGCGAATTCTTTAGAGGCTAAGAGGATGGACCTGGCATCGAGACTTCAAGCTCTATCTGCGCCTGAAGAGCTCGATGATAGAAAGTCTAGTCAGGCGGATGATAACGTCTTACGAGAGAAAGTGGTCGACACATTCGCAGCCCACCCACAATGGGCGAAATTTTTGTTCGATGGGGATGTTCATGAAGCATCTACACCAGTCGGCTCAAGCGGAACCTCACCGTTCCAACAAGAGAATCAGCCTATGTCGCACCTAAGATCGTTACTATCACAGCAAAAGACCCGCATCCAGCACCTTGAAGATTTACAAGCATCGCTTCTATCCGATGACCCTGGCCAACCAACGGTAATACCATTCGACCATCCGAAGCAGGTTCAGCGTGGAAATTTCCCTGCAAACGCAGCTTCAATATTACGTTTCGACAAACACAAAGCAATCAATCTCAACAGCACTCCCGTATGATACCGAATTGCGGTGGACCATTAAATGTTGGATGCAACCATTTTCATGAGTCTTTGGCGTGTAAAATGGCTCGGCGAAAGGAACAACAAAACGCCGACCTCACCACTTAACGCGTCGCGTTCGGATTATCGCGTCAGCCACTAGTTACCGAACTTCTTGTCCTAGACAACCACATCTTACTACAGGATAGTCCAGATTCAGACTGTTTTGCGGTTTTCTGCGCAGATTAGTTTGAATACATCAGTATGCAGCTCTCTAAGCATGGAAAACTTCACTGCACCCAGTTCTGGTGGCAAGACCCTGCGCCCTTGCCTCGCGGAACTGCTTCGCACGTGCGTATACCCACCGAGGCTGCTCCTCAAGGTCGAGCACGTTTTTCGACCAGCAGAATCCGACCGTAATGGCAGGAGTACCATGCCGACAAGTAACCAAACTCAACCGAGTGGTGATCATGATAACCTTGATGTTGAGCTTCGACAGTCAACTCCGCAATCATTGAGGCTTGCACTGTCGGATGGGCAGCTACAGATCCAAGCTGTACTTGCCACGAAATTACACACCAAAGAATTGCTGGAACTGCGAAAGGGAGACCTGCTTGAATTGAAGAAATTCCAGGTTAGGAGGGCGCCGAGAGTGAATGGCAACGGGAAGGTGGTCTATCTTGGCGTGGACGCCTGTGAATGGGTTGGATCTGTCACTCAGGAAGCTGACGAAGACCTTGGAGGCGGCTTCATTCCTGAGGTAGACTACGATCATCTATTGGAGAAGGATAGCTTCCCTTCCACCAGGACCTTTTTAGGCAGGACAGCCGAGACCACACGAGGAAGGAACGAAGGCGAGGCAATCCCAACCGCAAAACAGTCATCGGAGACCAGGATAGAAACCACAACACCGCTTCACAAGATGGATCGTAAACGGTCTCGTGACCCACCAATTCACCAAAGTAATCTCTCGAGTCGAAAGACCCTTTTCTCGGAGCAGCCTTCCTCGAGATCGAGGTCCACAACTCGTCCTACGGTCCGTTTCGCAACTCCTAATCCAGATTCGGACGACTCGTCTGACGACGACGATTTTGAGACCATCGTCACCTCCCCATCAACTATTCAGCGACGACGAGAAACCCTCCGCAATACCGGGCTGACCACACCAAGTAGAGTTGTGCCGGCTAGCACGCTTTCACACTATGCCGGCGCCAGCAACGATGAAGGACTTTTAGACGATAAGTTCACCAAGTCACAGAGCCCGACAACAGCTACAGCAACCGAGGCTCTCCACAGCGATGCGGAACTACCATCGAGCACCATACCACCTCAAGAGTACGATGATGCAGGCAATGCTTCGTCCTCGTTAGCGGCGACTACCAGCCCGCTCCGGATCACAACCCAACACCTACAACCTACCGCACGATCCCAGGTGCCCAACCCTTTACCCTCGAACGCACCCCTGCAAACACTCTCCACCCTCCTCCACTCCTCGGCCCTTCCAAGACGTAACTACGTATGTAGTGTCCTCGGGATCATAACTTGGACTTCGCCCTCCCTAATCCACAAGCCCAACAGCCCCTTCCCGCCTAAGCGACACATCAAGATTCACGACACAAGCATCTTGTCGCGGCGCGTCGGCGTTACCGTGGCAATCTTTGTCGACGCGAAGAATTTCATGCCGGAGATCGGCACCGTGGCCCTCTTCCGAGGCGTCACCATGCAGAAGTGGGAGGGAGAGCCGATTCTGAATGCGTATGCCAATCTGAAGGAGTGTGGTGAGGAGTGGTTCATTACGGCAGACGAGACGTTGAAGGCGATGGGTCACGATGTCATTGGGATGAAAAGATGGTGGGCTGAGTTGGCAGGGAGGAAGGCTCCTAGTTCAATGAAGTAATTCAAGAAATTTTGTCACGCTGAGTCTACCTATCAAGTCGTCATGGTGGGTACGTCTGTGGTAGGATAGAACCCCTTCTGCGTGGCTATGTTGTAAGCGTCTGGGGTGATCAATTGCTGTGTCACCCTGCCTCAAGAAGCCCAGAGCCTAGCTTCCGCCATTCAGGGCAAGTAAATCAAGAAACAGCTCTCAGCTGCCAATAGCATCACAATTCCATGCACCCGAGAACCCAGATTTCAAGTCTGCCAGTCTGCCAGCACGCACGGCCATTCTCGCCGAGAGTCTGTACAGGCTGACAGTACGCCACTCCTTTTGAGCCCCTGATGTGAAACTCGGTCGCGCAATGCATTGCATCCATCATCCATCCTTTGTGAGTGACATCTCCGGCTCCAAGCTCGATGAAGCTCATGTTCCAATTCATCTGAAGGGGAAAATTTTGCTCTGTTCATTTGCCGGTATCTGCTTATCCGTCTGATCTTGAGGATTATCAAACCACGAACTTCCGCTGTCCACGGCAGCACACTATGGTGATTCAGAAGTGCGCAATAAATCGAACATGGCGCTTGTCCGGATCCGGCTTTCAGATGACTGCAAGCGTGAAAGTTGTGGATGTGGTGTTGGAGAAGCCTGCCTCTGTTGAGGCTCGACAGGCTGGCTGTCGGTACGTGGTCGCTTCGCTGCAAAAAGGTTTGACCTCCACCGCGCAGGAACAAGCGAAGATGGAGGCTGAGCGTTTTGGCCCTCTGTCTCTGCTTCTGAATCGTCTGTCTCACCGTATGTAGGGTTAGGGCGTTTAGTCGGAGGGGCTGCCAGTGTCATGTGTTGCTGGTTCCTGGCTGGACTCTCCTCCGAGGCCTTTGGAGTCGCTGGAGGTGTCGCGAGATTGCTTTCCTTAGACTTCTCAATAATCGCAGCATCAGGCACACCCGCATTGATGATAAGATTGTCATAATTGTCGGGTACTTCGCCTCTGACCCAATATAGGCCTTCCACCAGTACAAGCTCCATATCTTGTAGTACTTTTCGATAAGCTGGATCTTTTGTCCATTTCGGCTCACCATTTCTGTTCAGCTTGTACAAAATTGGGTGATCTTTGGCACGTTGGAAATCCTGGGCTAGGATCATATGTCCCTTACGCTTCTGAACCCCACCAATTCCCGCTTGACGAAGAATACTCATGCAACTAGCTCTCCGAAGGAACTCGAGAGGAGTCCGTTCTTGTGCACCGTCTGCTCGGCACTCATGGATTGCTGTCAGCACTTTCGCCGAGTTCGAGGTTAGGCGATGTCCAATCTCTATCCACCACTTCTTATTGGTCCACGCACCGTAAGTCTTACCATTATACTTGGCTTCCCTGAATAATCTCTCCTCGTAGTATGGTTGGTTTTTGTCTACCACAGCAGTGAGTACAACAGCCTGTACCTGATTCTGTAATGGCTCGGCGATAGCTATTGAAGCGTCTGGAGTGGTCAGTTGCGATTGCGTAGTCTGAAGCGTTGGAGACTCTGTGAGTGAAGCATCTTTGGACTTGGACTGTTCCGCCTCCACACCCACAGAAGATTCGGGAGTCAAGTTCTTGACCGGATCATCATGAGAATTTGGAGGAGTATAGACTTGTGTCATCGTCGAGTCCTTGACTGAGACAACTGCTTCGGCCTTCGCCTTGTCGCTTTCAAGCGAGTCGAGTTTTCCCTTCGTGGTAGATCTCTCGACCTCATCGTCCATACTACCAGCTGTAACAGTTTCATCCGCGATATAATCTTTGATGTCATGAAAGATTTGAATTTTGATACTCGCCGCGTTAGTCTTGGCGGGTTCGGCTGTTTCCTGTTCGTTCTTGATAGATTGTGATTCATCATCAGATGTGAGGTCGATGATATCACATCCTGCAGGGAGTCTTGAAACCGCGACCACACCAGGAGTGCCGTCTCCATCATGTAGTCGCTGGCTTTCAGAGCAAATGTGAGCATCATTGGTGGAACTTGATATTTCTTTCTCTATTTCGAGATCGCGAATGTCCAGGTCGACCTCTTCTCGCCGAAGACCGACCCGTTCTCGCCGGAGACGTACTAATTTCTGTTCATATATTAGCGCTTGTAGGGCTTGTGGTGTAGCCATGACGGGCTTTTTGATGAGTAAGTTCGATTCAAATCTTGGCGGTATTCCACAATAAAGACTGCCCAGAAAGTCGTCGTCGATGAGGTAAGATTCCCTTGATGACGAACTCAGGATGATGGATGGGTTTGGACCCAGAAGAAATAAAGTCGTGAAAAGCGTAGACGAGAGTCACCTCACAGATCACATCATGGGTGATTAAATGGTGAGAAAGGGAAAGGAAAGTGGGACCAAAAGTGAACTCAAAAAGCGAGACAGTGTGCTTCTTGTGACGATATGCTGGTGTTCCCAATGAGCATCGACGAACCTGATCAGGATAAGACAGTAGAACAGTTGAAGGATATCATGAAAGCCGACGCAGATGACCTAAAGGGATAGGTGATATTGACCAAGGCTGGCGTCACAGGCTACAAAGGGAAAACTCACTAAATCGGGTGGTGATAACAAGTGGTGTTCACATTTTCAGACCCTGAGCCAGAGATGCGATATATAAATCCCTGGCAGCACCTTCACTGGGTTCTCAACTGGTAGAGTGCAGTTGCGCTAGTAATGAGATTTCTAAAGCTCACCATACCTAGCATGAGAAAGAGGATATCTTGAAATGTCACTGTCGATCCTTCCTGTCGTTCCATAAAAGGCTACTAAGTACCTTGAAAACACTCGGTGCAGAGGTATTGCCAAAGTCTCACGTCACCTAGGCACTTAGATCCACATCTCATCAAGGATATTCACATTGAGTAGGCGGGTGAGGCCCGCCAAGCTTGCCATGCACATATTATGGATACAAACAAGCAGGTAAATTTTATAAGTAAAGTCGTAAGAGCAGGGACATTGGCATTGAAAGCCATCCATAGGGCTTTTACGGCACTTAGTTAGGGTAGCTAGACCAAATAAACAATATTCAGCTAGAAAGGCACGTATTTACTCAGCTTTATGAGACAAGGTACGAGGGAATGGAATCGTGAAGGGATTCCCTAGACTTTAGGGGTCCGGAGCCTTATGGATCTATGAAGCGACGGATGTTCCTTCTATGCAGCCGTTCAGGGGCGCAAATACACCACAGCAGCGATTTTCTTCTGCAGACCAGCAGCACATATAAGCGGTCTCCAAAAGCTAATAGCCTGTCATGGCGGCCTCCAGAATCTTACCGCAGAGTATGAGTGGGCGCTCGCTTGGAAAGTTTTCGAGCAGTGCAGTCAACATACAATATGAATTTTAGCTGATAAATTGTAGAGGCGTGTTAACATTACCAGGATACTTTCCTTCATTAAACTTGTTAACACCAGTATCTAGCAGGAGCTAATCTTCACCAACTAAAAGCCTGGCAAGTCTTGATTGTGGAGGATGGACCGCCGATCTTAAAAATCCAGCCGAGGGCATGGGCAACTGGCGGAACAACGATGTCCTGAAGTATTTGAACCCAACTACGCTCAACCCACTCCCAGAGATGTTGATGAACTTCTCATAGCCATGGAGTTGGGGCGTGGTTGGAGAATTTGGGTTTAATACGCATTGAACTTGCAGGCATTCCAGCCCTAGCATGAACTCAGGGGACACCTGGGGGTCCAGACAGGCAGGAGCTCCTGGATACGGGACTCTGGTGGTGCGAGCCTACAAACATGATGAAAGTGATGGTTTGTACAGTTCTTGACGAGGTTGCTTAGCCCCAAAGATACACGAGATTTGGTAATGAGGCAGGCAACCAGTGCGAACACGACACAGAAACGAAGTTTTGTAAGAAATGATATACAAATGAACACTGTCTGATCCTCCGGGCGGTGCAGGTCTCATGATTGCCAGCTGGACCCCTGATACGCGATCCATCCTCCAGCTCATGGTGCCTACCTCACGACCCGCTGGTCGTCTCGGTTGCGCCGATCGGGGTAAAGAACGAATCCTATGAGATGCGGATGGCGGCCATCCATTTTCCACAGCCACATAGTAGATACTAAATGCTTGAGATGATGTGTGAGGCGCTTTCCCCACTTCTAGCTCCCCTCATGACTCGTCCCATAAAGAGAAGGCTGTACTGGAAATTTTCCATAGACGAGCTTCCCAACACTCCGCTGTCCGAAGTCAGTATATTCCACCATCCATCTGTGACTTTAAATCTCCTTCATCAGTGCGTGTACGTGAAGAATGGATTCTCCCGATCCGTCCGATCGGCATAAGCAAGCTGCTTCCTTAATATCTCCTTCTCATCTTCAGTCATCGTCGCCAGTTTCTCACGGTTCTTCCTATTTAATCTATCATTCCGCCAGCGTAGTGCCAAACACACAAAGACCTGGAACGATAATGTTGCCATGATGGCGGCTTTGCCGCTGATGTAGCCCGGTGCCTCCTTGGCTTGAAAGGCTTCGGTGCCTGCGATATTGCCCGCGCAGTACAGGACCAGAGTAGCGGCGTTTACAGTGACTTTTTTTGTATGTCCTCCTAGATTTGAGGCGTTCCAGACGAGCAGTAACATGAATGCCTGGTTTTTGCGGGTGCACATTAGTTACGATGACGAGGTGGGAATTGCGTAGATGACTTACCGCGGTGAAAGAGTTGCAGAGGTAGAGGGCAAACAATAGTGCTCCTTTGTTTTTCGGCACACCCCCGGGGTCCAGACCGATCATCATCGCGAAGGCAGCAATGGTAGGGACGATACTAATAATCATTACCAGACTGCGGTCGTTCCATTTGTCGCTGAGATATCCTGTGATTATGATGGAGAATGCGCCAACAACACCACCAGGTATGTTCAGTATCAGCTACTCCCCGTTAGCACCTGATCCTCCCAAGAGAGCTGTACGTATCACTTACCGCTTGTTGCGGTGTGTAGCCAAAAGTCGTCAACAAGATACTTGAGAAGTTGGGGATCGAAGTCGGGACGCTCAGCATCAAAACGCTTATCATGACCAACCAGACGCCCGGGTCCTTGAATACCACACGTAATTGCTCGGTTTTGATTTTTGAATTCTGAGTTCCTGATTGATTATCTGCCACTCGTAACAATACGGCAACCTTCTCTGCATCTGTGAACCGCTTCGCTTTCACCGGAGAGTCCGGCAGGTATAGGAACACTACAGCCCCTGCAGCAACGGTGAACAGTCCAATTGTGAGAAGGAAGATTCTCCAGCTGGCGAAATTGTTGTTCTTGGAAAAAGATATTCCATATGAGACCAGTCCAGCAAATATCGAAGTCAGGCTAGAAGTCAAAGTCAGATTTGCGGAGAGCGTCATGGGTAAAGATGTTCACCTATTGCACACGTAGACATAAGATATTCTCCGTCCCTGCTCGGATTTCTTGTACCACATGGCCACAACCAAGACTAGGGTTGGGGTGACGCACGATTCAAACACACCAAGTATTGCGCGACACACCATTAGACTAGCGTACCCTCGGCAAGCCGCATGGACCGCTAGTACTGTGCCCCATAGCATAATGTTTGCCCCCAGGTACTTACCTAGTCGGGAGATACGTTGAGAGAGGTATTGTGTTGGGAACTCCGCAGCAAGATATCCAATGTAGAATATCATTGCGACGTTTGAATACTGCTGTCCTACCAGATGTGTGTCCTGTCTTAAGCCCATTACGGCCGTATATCCGATAGTGGTCTTGTCACTGCAAAATGGTCAGGTCAATAGGTAGAAATTATGTCAGGGGTCTGTTACAGAAATTGGAGGAAGTATGTCACAATCATACACGGAAGTATTGCCCAGTCGATCTTCCGCAATAATTGCTTTTGTGAGGTTTCATTTGCTAGAATGGCCAGTGCTTGGCGCGTTATTTCATGCGCCTCAGGGTGATCCTTGAGAAAGTGAAAAGCTTCATCGGCATCCTGTGGATCAATATTCAGAGTCGCAAGAGCATCTTCAAGTTGGACGACTGATCCTTGAAATTGTTTCTCTGCATCCTCAGATGCGGACGTAGCCACGACTGGATCGATTGCCATCCTTGTCAAGGAATGTTGTCGACTCTGAGCGTCTCAATCTGCGATGATATGAGGGGATGATACGATTCTGATAAGCCTTGAGGGAAATGCTTGTCGGAATCAAGAGTCAGGATATCATGGTTGTTATAAAACTGGTACCCGGCACCTAGGTCTAACCAACTGCCGTGATCGACAATGTGGATTATCACCAAGCCCAGGACAAGTATACTAGCCATACTGCTTTCAGTACACGATGCATGTCTCTGACTGGAGTCTCCGCACACATGTTCTCAGCTTCGGAAGGATCCCTTGCTTTCTGAGGAGATTTGGGGTTATTCTGTGGGGAGGCAGAAGAAGTCGGGGTAAATAATCCAGCGTGATTGGTAGCGAAATAGATACTAAGTTGGAGATGTAAGGGTTCAGATCAAGACGGCTGTGGACCCAGACGCCCATGTTTGCTCACTGGTCCAATTTGTGAGAAGAGACTGTTTGACCTGGCTGGTGCTTGGAGGACATTATGGCTCACATGGTTGTTTGACCGAGGCAAGAATCTTTCAACCCCAACACTGGTCCGCACCTTGTTCATACCTCTTCAAGTCTGCTTCAGGCGCTCAGAACGATGTGCTGAGTTTCAAGTCAACGGCGGCCCGGCCAATTATACTCGGGCTCCACAGGGATATTCTTCCGCAGATGGTTCCTATAAGAAGGAGGTATTCTGCCGGAGCTCGAACTCGAGAGTGTTGACTCCTCTGACTTGTGAGACTTGATGAGGTCTTCGATTGCACTTGCCCATTTTACCAGTTTGTCTTCTTGCCACGCGGAGTGCTGGAGCGTTAAGGGAACAGGCATGCCTTCAGGATCTAGGCCGATAGGAATAGAAAGGACTGGATAGCCCGCCTGTGCTGCAATTTGTATACCACCAGCTTTCACATCACAGAACAACAAAGCATCGAACAGTCGCTCTTCACGGTCCCACTGACGTTTTGCTGAAGACTTCTCGGTCGACCGATCCCGGAGAGCGGCATCGATGCCATTTTCGCGACATTGTCTTTGAATATGGTGCAAGGCTGCGTAGTATGTCTGGTCTTTGATACCTTTCGTCTCGACACATTTGCGAAATAATCGCTGTCCATCGGGCCATGCAGGGAGATCACCAGAGCCACCACCCTCTGATCCACGATTTTCGTCATTGAAGCGAACAATATCTTCAAGCGTTTTGATTGGAGTATTGCGCAGCTTGCCAAGATATTCGTTCATCAAATAGTATGTCTGCACCTTGCTGACGGTAATCTCTGAAATCTCCGGGCGAGTCTCACCATATAGTTCCCTAACGATTGCGGTATTTAGCAACACGAGGGCAAACCCAATCTGGGGGTATCGCAGAATCTTACCAGTCCCAAACTCCATCTGCCCTCAGCCTTTCCTCTGCACACGGCATGTCAACTGGGATAATCGTAGCGCCAGCAGCTTCCATCAGATGCAAGACTTTCTCCGCAACCTTTCGTTGAGGGGTAGGAGCCACTTCCCAGAATCGTTTCATTGGAAGGCCAAATCTTGCGCCTTTGAGAGCTGTCTGAGTTGCCAAACAATCATGGTAGCTTTCCGGTTGTCGTCGATCTGGCTGTTTTGAGAACTTATCTTCAGAGTCCTCCCCGGCCACAACGTCTAGAGCTCGGGCAGCATCTGCGACACATCGACCATAGACACCAACTGAGTCTTGGGTTTCCGAAATTGGGATGACACCCGTTCGTGAGGTGAGACCAACTGTTGGTTTAATGGCTACCACGCCATTAACCATGCCTGGACTGATAACGCTACAGTCGGTCTCAGTCCCAAATGCAAGGGGAACGATGTTTGCAGATACTGATACAGCGCTTCCAGAGCTGCTCCCGTCTGGAAAATATTAGCTAAAGCCATATGGGTCGGACTTGACCTACTCGGGGATCTGTTGAGAAAATATGGGTTGCGACACTGTCCTCCTCGGGCGGAATAACCTAATGAGTAAACGCTACCTCTCATCCCTGCCCATTCGTCAAGGTTGGTTTTCCCAAGGATGATGGCACCGGCCTTGCGAAGCAGCTTGACGATATGAGCATCCTTAGGAACAATGCAACCGAGGAGAGCCCATGATCCTGCTGTTGTCTGCATGTTATCCGCCGTTGCCATGTTCTACAAGGTTGACAAAGTTAGCCACATGAGTACGACAAATCTCCCCAATAGCTAGCATAACATCCACTTGGAATCCATGTGAAACCTCAAAGAATGGATTTTGCTGAAGCACTACCTCGATTCTTCTATAGGTCCATGGCGAGATGGTCTCCTGCCAAGACGGACACATGCAATCTCCACAGAAGAAGACCTACATCTTTGACCAGAAGTGGAACGCCATGCAATGGGCCTTTGACGCGGCCGTTAAGGCGCTCCTCATCCAGCATCCTCGCATGGTCGAGTGCATCTGGGTTCGTCTCAATGACACATTCAAGGTAAGGATTGATCTTTGTGACAAAGTTAGCCTGGAGAGTGTAACAAGTCTGCTCCTCACTTTCTGAATCCGGTTTAGACATAGCCGAGTGTATTCCCAAGAAGTGAGTGATCTGGATGAGAAGTGATGTTGAAGTTCATCAATCGTGATTTCGAAAAGATCAACGCCATGCAAAGTGGGAAGCCGGAAGATATCTGGGATATTGCCTTGGCTCTTTGCCTGCTGAGTGGGGATAACAATGAACTCCTCCTCCTCATCGCTGTTGCTATCGTCTGTGAAGAATTGCACACTTTCTTGAAGTTGGTCCATAGCTCTATCTGTAGCATCGATGTTATTCAGTCGTTTATGTGAATCTTGTCTAATCAGAGTGCAGAAGAGTATCACGATAAGTCGCAAGTTGGTTAGATAAAGTTATTTAGTAGTTAGATACCTGACGTGTATTTTCTTAGATTATTGGCTAGTGCCGAGGCGCTGTCCAGGCGACGGTCTAGCCCGAGGGCCCGAGGAACCCACCAGCCACCTCTAACAATATACCTAGCGTTATATTTCACTAACCAATTGCATATGATAAATACTCACTACCTAGGTACAAGGTACCTAGAATTAACTAAGTAGTCCAAGTATGAATACTAAGTACCACCTTGAGTCATTGCACATCACGTATCACCTAGTAGCTTGTAATTATATTGTCGACAGTAGTTCTCCCAGTAACCATGGTCATTTTCCTTCTGTGCGAACCCCACATCCTCGCCAATGAGGCGATCATCACAACAGTTTCGATGTCCCCGGTGTCATCCAATGATCCTTCCAACTCCATTGAAAAAGCTGCTAGCATGCATGATCTACCGCTGGCCTTCGATTTTATCGTGGCGCAGTTGTTGTCACCGTCCTCCATCTTTAACATGCCTCAACTAATTGGAGGTAAAAATGGGTCTCGGTGGAAGATATCTGTCTGCTGCCGAGACTTCCATACAGTGTTCGACACTCGGGGTTGAGACTCCAATGTGAAATCTGTATCGAATAACAGATTCCTGTTATTGTTAGTGAGACCGCCCAACATTGCGTGACGTCGGTGTCAGGTATAGAACACCCTCAAGTGGGATTAGAACTTTGCCCATAGTCCGAATGCCTTAGCCATAGCTTTCGTGGCGATTCACGATGAGGTACTCTTTACGAGCTAGAACACGCAAAGCGGTTCAATTTTGACTAGTCGTTCTCCCACTGCTTGACGCAGTTTTCGGCGATAGAAGCACGTTATAATATAGAAATCAGGAGAGCTCTGAAGCATTCAGTGAATTTATTAGGCTTCTTGCTTCTCCAAAGTTTTCTCCCGCTGTAGAACATCCGCCGACGAGTCTGCAGATGGGTTGACCAACGATTCGGCACTGCTCAGAGAAGAGGTAGATGGAGAGGAGCTAGAATTGACACTCTGCGCTCCCTGCACTCCCGCTTGGCGTGTTCCTGAGTTTGTTGGGTTTTGTTTTTCCTCGTCGTTCGATGAAGCTGAGGGCGTTGGTGCGAAGCGACTTTTGACCCGGATCGGCTCGCCGTATTTGTAGAATATGAATGGGATGGGTGCGAGGAGAATTGCGATGCCACCAATGAGCGATCCACCACCACCGACTCCAAGAACGTCAAACATCCGCTGCGTGAAGAGCGGGGCGGCAGCGCCCGCTGCGGATCGGCAGATCGTGTTCGCGGCCATTGCACTAGCCGTGTACATGAGATAGGTATCGGTGAGGTAATTGAGCCAAGAGACGAAGATCAACATGATGGATGTGGAGAGCAAGGTGCCTGCGAGCACGGGGACGAACCAGTGGATGCTGTTGAAGTTGGCGGTCCATGCGAACCAGAACATGGTGACTGCGAAGAGAACTCCAGCGAACATGGCAACGGGAAGGCGATCCTCCGGTCGTCGTGGGACTCCGGCTTCCATTTTCTTTTTATCTCGCGACGATACCCAGAAGATGATTGCACCGCCGATGCATGCGCCGATGGCGGTGCCCAGTAGTGGAAGTTCTCCCACTCCAGAATTCCAGCCTCGCTTTTGTTGGAAAACAATCGGATAGATCGTGAAAAGCATATACAGGAGGACGTAAACCACCGATAGATATATGGCGACCAGGAATGAGATCGTGTCGAAGAGGATTTTCCAAGGCCGGATCAATGCGACTCTGAACATATCTGCCAATTTCCGTCCTTCTGCCTCCGCAGGGGCTCGGATGTTCTGGTACTCTGGCACATCAGTTGCACGGAGACGGCGGGCTTTGTTCACTAACACTGCCGAAGGCAGCGTTTCTGGTATGGTGAACATGATAGCTTCCGTGATTCCACCAAGCCATAACAGCACGTAGAAACTCCACCTCCAGTCTTTCTTGAGTTCCAGGAATCCACTAACGACTGGCCCGACCGCCGGACCTACGAAGGTCATCATTGAAAATATCGCCATAGCATTCCCTCGTTCGACGGGTCCCCAGATGTCGGCAAGCACGCCAGGAGCATTGGTCAAAGGGGCGCTTGCAAATGTGCCGGTCAGAAGCCGACCGACGAGTAACGATCCAAAGTTGGGTGCAAAGGCACAGAGGAAGTTGAATGCCAGGTACCCCGTGAAGGAAATATAGAATACCCAGCGTCGGCCATAAAACTCAGATAAAGGGGCAAATATCAGTGGGCCTGCGCAATAGCCCAAGAGGAACAAAGTGATTACCAGCCCGGCAGCCACCCTTGAGATGTGGAATTCTTCGGCGATACCAACAAGACATCCTGAAGGACTGGAGGACGCGAATGTCGCATTCACAACAAGAAGGATTGCCACAACAGTGCAATACCAACGACGGCCCGTCGACCAGTCTTTTGGGTTCTCTAAATCCCCCGGAGCAAAGTCGAGGTGGCCATTTTCGTTCAGGTGGGGTTTGACCGTTGGATCGATGCCTTTTGACCGATACGGTTTGGCGACAGGCCGTGAAAGGATCCGTTCGAGAGCATTCATCTTTGGAAGATGATGGGATTCGAATGTCGCTTGCAGGAACAAGGAACGAGCAAGAAGTAGAAAGAGAGAGTCATGATCTAGGCTACTTCAACAACCGATTTGTTTGTCAGTTCCCAGGAGTTTAACCCAAATAAAGTCTGTGAACGAAATCGATGATGTGCTGCATGAGAACGGTGGCGTCTCCGTGGCGGGTAAAACGGCACCATCCTATCGTTAAAAGGTACCTCCGTTAACACCGACCGGTTCGTACAAGCTTTTCCATTCTAACCAATTTCATCGTCATGGTTCCAGAAATCGTACTCGTACCCACGAGTAGGATCATTTCACGGACCTGAAACCCCGACGCGTTGTCCAGATCCCAAGAGTCCGAACATCAAAGCCCAGCCTGGCACTGCCGGATGGTTGGTAAGCCGCCGAACTGCCTGTATCATTGTCCAACGAGCTTTTGACTGCCTCCTCCGTACTCAATCGATAGTCCCAAAACAATTTTGATGAGGTCCACAATTTTCATGTCCATGGCAAGGAGTCAAGGACTTTACGGGTGAGAAAATAGGCCATGGGTCTACCCGGAGTAACCGTCTTCCAGTGTAGACGAGGAAGTGCTAGCATGCGCAGCCTCGTGTATTACTAAACCCGGAGACGACCCAGGATAAACGTCTGGTCTCATGTTGATTAGTGCATGTTCTCCTGAACATTCGTTCCTGCAATAACCTTGTACTTCAATACAACATTGTCATGCCACGTCAGTAATCACAATGTTTCGCAAGATCGCTGGTAACTATCCTTAGTTGATGGACGAGACCTGAGCTGGACTTCGACGAGAGATTCATCGATCGTTGTAGCAGGTGGTGTAGCCATGGAATGCGACCTGATCTCAAGATATTGATGAGGGTTGACGCTATTCTAATCAGAAACTTCGTCACTCCCAAGATTTTTTAGTTTCCGCACTCCGCCGCGTCCATTTTGCAGAAGGGCGGCCGCCATTGTTATCTTGCTTAGCTCGTGCTCTGACCCTACTGCGTGAGTTTCGCGATGATGACATGAGACTAACTGGTGTCATCAACGGGTCAGAAAACTTCCTAACCACTGCGAGCTCATCGTGTCGACCGTTTGCGCAGCCTGGTTCTGGAACATGTCGGTTTGATTTTGACCAAAGGTATCGTCTTCCTGATACCAGTCGAACATATTCCAGCTTTCTGAAAACTGAAGTAAATTTGAAGCCGGCTCTCCTGTGGTTTCCCTGTCAGCGGGGCTTCTAAAGCCACAGGCATTAAATCTCGAGTGCAATGATTACCTTCGTTGGTGTCTCGAAACAAACGCTCGTTGATGACGTCAAAAAATCTGAAAGGTATGTCGATTGTTTTTGAGGTCAATTGGTAGCGCTGCAAGATTTTGAGTGCCTGATGCCATTTTGTATGAAGGTCAATCTCATAGAATCCGTCGTCGGCGCAACATCGCGCAGCAATCATGACTAACATCGAGTTGTAGAGGTCTGTCTCAATGAATAAGTCCAAAACACATGGCCAGGAGGAATTATGGTACGTACAGAAACAAAAGGGGGTAAAGTTGCGCTCAGGAATCATAATCTCTCGTCCACTTTCCTGATAGGTGCGTAGTAAATCAACTGTACGGACAGCCGCCTCGAGGCATTTCCATGCAAACTGTTTGAGCCCGTTGAGCGCGAACGAACCCTGTAAGCTATGGTCACCTGAGGCTTCCACACTTCCCGGTCTGGCTTGCAGCTTGAGCAGGGAGGATATTGCCGGCCGATATAATAATATCTGAGTATAGTGGTACCTATGAAGCTCGAATATTAGTAGCGTGAGCAGCACATAAGATAAATCATTTAACCGTACCGAATATGAAGATTCATTCTTTGCTCAAGTAACAGACGCTCGTCGATGACGGAGCACCTGCAATCCGCCTTCAACTCGACCGGTAATCTTGCATACCATCTCGTGAGATTGGTCTCGTGCCGCTGTAGAGAGCTAAAGTTCCCACTGAAAAGGCTTCCTTGCAAAGTATCTTGGTAGTCCGAGGATGCTTCATGTAGTTCTGCACACAGGTCCTGCAGCATGAGTGACAGCGGAACATTGTTCTCAAAATAGCTTTCTGAATGGAACGCAGTTTCTTGGACAAGACTATTCTTCAAGCCTAGCTGTGAACGCTCTGCCATCTTGAACTCGAGGGCGTTGATTATGGTGGGCTCCCCACATGTAGATGCAAAAACACTACACTAGTTGTTAGCCTGCGTAGGGACATTCGTGCAGAACAACTTACATGTCGTAGTATATGCAAGTCCACCAGAGTTTGAGTGCAGTCACGTCGTGACTAGGTAGGCTCCCGGTATAACGAATGCTCGGGAACTTCAAACTTCGGCAGACACGAACTGCAAGACCTAGGTAAGTCATGGAGGCGTGTAGGAATCCTCGCTGACGATGGACACGGGTGATACAGTATTGTGTAAGGAGCAAAAGGTTTTGTGCCAGGTGTAAGCTGGGCATCTCAAGATCATCAAGACTCACAAGTCTTTTGGCTGCTAAGAAAAATCTCTCGGACATAGGTATACACTGTTGAGGCTCCAGTCGCGTTGACCATAGCGCTCCCAGAGCATAGACCATATCAACCATGCATAGAGCAGAAGGATCGGCCTTGCTGAGGTTTTCATTATGGTCCGGAACGCCAGAAGTCAACATCATCGCAACCTTCTTGCCGTACCAAGTTTTCGGGTCCAAGAAAGGAAATGAATAGTGTACGTAGCTGAAATAAACGTTCTCGAAGTGCTGCAGCCAGGATGCATCGATTCGAGGAGCATTGATAGTGTTGCCCAGAGATAATGAGGGCAGCCTTGCAATTTGATCGTGAAATTGTTTGCTGAAGAATCCATTCTCAGCACCTGGTTCGGTCGCGATTTCTTCGAAGGGGGCTACCGAACTGAGCAGCGGCGCTTGCTGAACTTCCACCAGAAAGCTGCGGGTGGAGGATCCCAATGCTTGCTGCTCAGGCGGAAGCTGCTTGAGAACACGCGTACCGCCATTACTGACAAGCGAGACTGGGCTCTGAGAGGTACCTGAAGCCACTACCGGCTCGTTTGAATTGTGAATCGGAAGTACTTCGGTGTTGACGGGATTCAGAACGGGGTGCGCCTCGCTTCTAACATTGCTTTGCACATTTGGAGTTCCTGTCTGGCTTGCGGTACGGTATTGACTGAGCTCGGCCTCTAGCAGGTGGATATATCTGATACATGTGAGTTGACCACTGCATAGGAACAATTGCTCTGCATTGGCCGTACCTTTCGGATTGTCGACGCCGATCGCGGTCGACCAGGGTTTCATAGGAACAGCTGGTTCGGCCGTGGAATTGGCAAGTTCCACATATCGGCCGGACTGTATCGCATTTGACCTTGCGTGACCGACATTCACGACAGGCAAGAGCAGTCCGCCGCCGAATGTTCACAACTTCGTTCTTCCCCTGTCCGCTTTTCATTTTTCATTGTGCTTGTTATCGATGTAAGCTTCAGAAGTGAGCGAATTTGATTGCCCTTCAGAGGAAGAACCCAATGCGGCTCTGCCGGAAGTGGAAAATGTCAGACTCGTAGTCGAGTGTGAGCTTCTTGGCATGAAGCCTGTCCCTGCTTCTGTTGCTGACGCTTTAAGATATACTTGGGTATACTATGATCGGGATTCTTGACTGTATTAGTCATTAGTGATAAAGGAATGATTCCCATCAACGATAGAGATTCTAACAGCGTCACCTTCTTCGGAGTACGGACATATCCCTCTCAAACAGATATCCCAGACTACTCTGCAAGTGGGTTAGAACTTTGCCCTGAAGAGTGATCATTGGTTCTGCAATAAAAACTTGCCGCTTGGAAGAGGGGGCTTTGCTGCTCCTAGGCCGATATCACCGAGACCAATACTATCTAGGTCTCGAGGGGATACTTGCCCCGCCTTTTGCCCAAGTTGGCACTCTAACAGCCCCTCATGGCAACCCATTCGGCCGTATGAGCCGAATACGTTCTTCGAAAGAGGAGACATCATGATACTGGAATCCAGCTTGACGGACTCGATCAAAGATAGGATGAATAAATATGTACTATCTCAAATCACTGGGAGTTCTGACTCTCAGCAGATTCGAACGACTGCACGGACTGGAAAACAACATGAATTCTACAATTACCGAAAGGATTAGTGCTAGGCCATGATTTTGGTTCATCGAGGACTAGCAAGAACCCAGCACATATTCCAGGTGCCACAGTCTGCTCTGGTCCATAGTTATTTGGTACGAGAACATGGTCTCAGAGAATGGGCGGCAGGAGACCGGCGGTGTGGACGAAGAGAGTGCGCAAAGTGTGACAAATGAGCACCATGGAGAAGTTGGAGAGGAGAAGTTTCAAAGAGAACCGAAAAGACCATCGCACTGGCGTCTGCTGACTTCTCATGGACTTATCAACGAGGAAGTGCACTCGTGGCAATATGAAGGGTCCGGCACAGAACTCAATCCCTACGTGGTCACCTGGATCGAAGATGATCCCCGGGATCCTCAAAACTTTCCTGCACCAAAGAAATGGTATATCACGGCAGTATCGGCCTTGACTTTATTCATCGTCACCTTGACATCGTCGGGATACACCGGCGGCATCCCTTCGATGATGGAACAACTTCAAATCAGTCAGGAACTTGCCATCGCAGGGGTATCGCTCTACGTCGTTGGATTCGCCGTCGGTCCGATCTTCTGGGCACCATTTAGTGAAGTGGCTGGTCGACAATTGACGCACTTGATCAGTTATTTCGTCTTTGCTGCTTTCAATGGAGGTGTCACGGCCGCGCAGAACATCGAGACTATCTTGGTGTGTCGGTTCCTCGCGGGCTCGTTCGGCGCGGCAGGTCTGACAAATGCAGGAGCCATCGTCGCGGACATGTTTGCGCCTCGAGACCGCGGACTGGCGATGACGTTCTTCGCAGCAGCGCCATTCCTTGGGCCGGTGCTTGGGCCAATCACTTCGGGGTTCATCGCTCAAGCAGCAGGCCGAGATGGATGGAGATGGACGAGTGCCCTTTTCACCGTGCTGGCGGTTGTTTTTTGGATCTTGGGAATGGTCTCGGTGCCTGAGACGTATGCTCCAGTGTTGCTATCAGCTCGTGCGAAGAAGCTTTCTCAGGCGACTGGTAAGGTCTATCGGTCACACTTCGAAGTCAAGGGGACGTCGATGACATTCTCCGACAAAATGAAGATAGCATTGACACGCCCTTGGCGCCTGCTGTTCTTGGAACCCATCGTCTTCTTATTGTCATTATACCTTTCCATCATATACGCGATTTTATATCTCTTGTTCGCGGCCTTCCCAGTCGTGTACCAACAGACACGAGGCTGGAAGCCGGGGGTCGGGGGCCTTGCATTTGCGGGTGTTGCCGTTGGAGTGTTTGCGTCGGTGGTGCTGAATTTCTGGATCAACAACCGGTATCAAAAGATCAAAAACCCGACGCCGGAATCGCGGCTCCCACCAGCCATGCTCGGCGGCGTCGCCGTCACCACTGGCTTGTTCTGGTTCTCCTGGACCAACGGCCCCTCGGTCCACTGGCTCGTCAGCATCGCCGCCAGCGGCGTCTTCGGCTTCGGCATGGTGTTGATTTTCCTTTCGATCAACAACTACCTTGTTGACGGGTACCTACTCTACGCGGCGTCCGTTCTCGCCGGAGGGACCGTGATGAGGTCGCTTCTCGCATCTGCGTTTCCCATGTTTACCGCATACATGTACAGGCGTCTGGGCATACATTGGGCATCTAGCATACCGGCGTTTCTGTCCCTCGCGTGTGCGCCGTTGCCCTTCATCTTTTATTTCTATGGGGCCAGGATCCGTAAGCATAGTTGGGTTGCAACGCACGGTGCTTAGCTTGATGGACACATCGGGTGGATCCCTGGTGTTTGCATTTTTGTGTGACACATAGAACGACATTTCTGACGAGGGTCGTGCGAACACCCAATTTACAGGTGACTGGGAGTGACGCCGGGGGGCGGGGGGCGAAATTGGTTGTGGTATTCAGATCCCGGAATTGGAATAACAAGTGCAGAGTAGCTCTGAAGATCTGGGGATCTGTGCTCCATGATACAGGGATGTGGTGAAACGGTGCACAAGGGAGCGGAAGCAGTGTGATTTGGTTTGATGTCATGTCATTTCCCAAAAGAGATCGTAGATATTATCAAATTCGTCAGTGTCAACTACATGTGAATGTGGATTTGTATGTAACAATATTTTGTACAAGAATCCGCTTTGTATGATGCATGCTGGTTTCCTTTTGCCCAGATAGAAGTCTTTATACTGCTTCCGTGACCTGCACAGTTGACATGATGCGTGCCTGTTTCAAGTTGGCCCCTTTCCCCTTTTCCTTCAAAGTGATGCGTGCTTTGGATATGGATATCTCAAAAAAGTAAATAGAAATATAGAAAAATACATGAAATCCAAGAAATGATTCACTCGGTCCAGGGTCATCATGACAGAGCAAACCACAGAGCCAACAGACCCAGAGAAGCAGACCAGAACATGGGCTTCTCAATTGATGCGGCGCCAGTGAATGTAGCAATAGTGGCAGATCGAGTGGCGGTAGTTGTGGCTGTAGTCGTGGATCCAGAGCCGTATCCAGAGCCTGAGCCTGAGCCAGATCCGGAACCGCTTCCTGAACCGCTGCCTGAGCCAGATCCGGAGCCACTGCCGGAGCCACTGCCGGATCCTGAGCCTGAGCCGGATCCTGAGCCGGAGCCTGAGCCTGAGCCTGAGCCTGAACCTGAACCACTGCCTGATCCTGATCCTGATCCTGAGCCTGATCCGGAGCATGTCTTACCAACATCAGTTGGGACCTTGGGGAAGTTGTCAATGGCATCAAGGATGGCGAGACCCATACCACCTGAGAAGTGGGTCTGGATGTGGCAATGCAAGAGCCAGGCACCTGGAGTGTTGGCTTGATATCTGAAGACCATCCAGGATCCAGTTCCTTCTGCAGGAATGCTGGTGAAACCATCGAGGAATGGAGGGTTGTCAAGATTGAATCTCAGGCCTCCGGCGATGGCAGCATCAACAGTGGTGAAGTTGAAGGCGCCAGTGCCGGCACCAATAGCGAAGAACTTGTTGGCGTGCTTGTGGATAGGATGGGGTTGAGCAACGGGGCCCTCAACCTTGATGATCAAATCAATCCATTGGTTGAACTTGGTTCTCAAGATCAGTTCGCTCTCTGGGATGGAGGCGGGATCTTGGAACAGGAGGGGAGGAGCAGCATCATCACGAGACTCGTCATATCCTTCCTTGCCAGACAGAGTCCATGCCCACGCGTCAGTTGGCAGGGAAGGGTTCTTCAGGATGTCCAGGACAAAGGTCTGATCAGCTTTAGCAGCGACTTGAACCGCCGGGTATGGCGCAGCACGTCCAGGGGCGAACGAGGTGATAGTGGTGGTGTTCTGGCCGCCAAAGTTGATGACACCTTGAGTTGAGATGAAATCATCACCTCCCTTGTATGCCAAGATACCGAATCCGGAGATGACCTGGTTGATACCAGCGTTGGCAACACGGATGATGTAGTCAGCTGGGGTCTGGTCGAGCTTGACCAAGAAAGAGATACGATCACCATTGGAGAGCGTGAATTTGTCCACGACTTGAGGTTGGATGTAGTTTCCGTTGTACTCATAGATATACAATTTGTGGTTGTCAATGGCAATGTTGAAGATAGCAAAGCTGGCAGGGCTGATGAATGAGAAAGCTGCCCATCCGTCCTTGGGGTCGACTGATTGAGTGAAGTTTGCGCCAGTGAAAGGTGTGCAAACGTCGTAGGCTCCAGGAGGAAGTGCTGCCAAATTGCGGGTGAATTGTTGTCCTTGAACGACGGGGTTACTGGCGGGAATGCAGCCCTTGGCGGTGAGAGATGTGCCGTTCAGAATCTTGGGTACTTGGGGAGCTGCGTTGGCGGAGAGGAAATCAACACCAGGGCAGAGTTGAGAGCCGAAGCCGTTCAAGGTGATGGAGTCGGTGCAAGCCCAGTCGATGTTGGCGTTTTGCTCAATCTGGAAGAACTCGTCGAAAGAGAATCGGTTCCAGTCTGAGGCGAAAACAGGGGTGACCTTATCAGCGGCAGCCTTGACCTGTTTGGCGTCTCCAATCAACCCAAAGGGAGTATCGGCGTTGTCAGCGGGTGCGATGATGATGGCTCCAAAGAGACCGTCCATCATCTGTCCTTTGTAGTGAGCATGGTAGAAGTAGGTTCCGGAGGCATCAGCGACCCAGGTATAAGTGTAGGTGGTTCCAGACTTGATGACAGTCTGGGAGACGCCGGGTACGCCATCAGCCCATGGAGTTTCGAGTTGTCGAATACCATGGAAATGGACACCAGTCACAGCAGGACTGTTGTTGATGACGGTGAAGTCGACGATATCGCCAACCTTGAGGTGAAGGGCTGGGCCGGGGAGGGTGCCGTTGATGAGGAAAGCATTTCTTACGAAAGCCTTGCTCTCATCTGTTGGTCCCCAGGTGACATCGATGGTGAAGGGGATATGGCCTGAGGAGGAAGAGCCACAGGCTGAATTAGTATATGCATCGCTGTTTGCTGCGACGAATCCAAAAGACGACAAAGCGAATGACAAGGCTGTAAGAGCCTTGGTAAGGCGCGAGAAGGCCATGGTGTAAAAGAACGAATGAATGGTGAACGCGAATAGTACGTATGTCGAGAGGCAACTTGAGCAGTGCGAGGTGAGAGGGTGCTTTTAATAATGCTCAGACACTCCAGATTTCAGGCCCAGCCATCACAGGCCTGAGCTGAGCTCCTAGAATTGAGTTCTCAAACCTCGTGCGGTTTCGATCATCGTATACCAGCCCTGAGTGGTCCATCCTGATGACCCGCTAATCTGACAGAACATTGGGTTTTCACACGCCGGCCTTTTCTTTTGACTAGCGCCACACGTCAGCGAGTGAATGCGCCGTCAGCCTTTCTTCTGACGGGAGGGCTTGCAGCCTTCGCCCATGGGCCATCATGGCCTCGTATGTCGCCATGTGCAGTAATAAGGGGAAGTTTTGGGACGTTGTTTAGTCCACCTTGGGATTTGTCTCAACGCAAAGGAGTGGTCCATTTGAAGCAGCTCCGTTCCCGTTGGACCAGGCAGAGACACTCGCCTCGTTCATGTGGACCACAAGTGCTGATACCCCGATTAATTGCTGCAACTAGAGCACGCGAAGAGACATCGTTCCAAAATCCCTCGCCGGTAGCTGCAAGGACCAGGAGAGCATACCGGTTTGACCTGTCGATCGCAATCGAAAAAGGTGGGGGCCCACCATCCATGGTACATGGACCGTGGGCCATGGTGTTGCCCTGCCAGGCCAGCAAAACAAGATCATGTTTTTTTTGGTCGAGGGAGATGGCAGGGCAAAGTTTGATCCAGGAACGATTTGAAACGCTTGTCGAAGCTTAATTGCACAAGCTAGGCAATAACGGGAATCCTAAGCGTGGCAGGAGAAGTCTAATTTCTTCGCCACAATCTAAAGATTGACCATCACCATGACCGAGCTTAGGCCCGAGTGGTTTCCTGATCGTCTGGTGCTGAAGGATTCAATCGAACGCATCACATGGATCATACTGTAAGAAGCAGAATTAGTATCATTTATGATGGATGGGACAGATGGCCCATGGGAAATTGATTACTTGGTAGACAATTGACACATTGAGATTGGGCTGTCAGATTGCCAGTCATCACAAACGCAAGCGCTAGATCCTTCGCATGGGAGCGACGTCAAACGTGCACTGTTTCGACAGCCCAGAAGCTAGAAACCCCGAAACGTACTTATTAGTACCATCCTTTCCCGGCTCAATCTCATGGCCCAGGTTGCCAATTATAACATCTACGAGTACTCGTACGGAGGGCATCCCGGGGTAACCATAAATGCCCACACGAAGCAGTCTCCATACGAAGTACCGTGCTGGCCGTGTCGTGTGTCCGGGTACTTGGTACAACTGTAGGTAACCCCGTGGAGCCTTCGCATAGTAGTTAGTTTACGAGGGTCCACGGCTCCATGTCGTAGGGTTATATCATCCAGATCCAAGAATATACTCGGTACCATCGACCAGTCCATAACTACCTCTATCTGCAAATCTGACCATTCCATCTCCCATCATTTGCGATGATCACTTGGTGTTCGTAATGTCGACCAGCCATTACAATATTCGGCGGGTGCACTCCGGTCAGAAGAGTCGTATGATCGGTCAACACCAATGACTTGCGATGACTGGGTCGGGTCATATTTCCTGTACTCGGTAGTGGGATTTCATTTACTTCTTGGAAGGGCTGACGGTCCAGGCGGAAATCATTGGTAGCCGTCATAATCAAGGCCACAGGTACCAATCGATCCCAATAACCTGTGACATCTTGGCCATGCTTGGCTCAACCCCCTCAAACTCCTTGCCTCGTGCCGGATGAGAGAGTCGTCCCCTGTCTCCTTTTCTCTGCAAGGGATACAACCTTGAACACATTTGGATATATTCCTCTGTGAAACCGCCACAAAAGGTCTGTAACTCGGTTCTGCGATAGACGAAGGGTGACTCCGGATACTGAATTCATTCTGCGACACGATCTCCTGTCCTGTTTCGTGGCCCGCGATTCTCGCAAACTGGCAAGCCACACCAGAATTTTAACATCATGCTAGTAGCCATTTGGGCTTCGCGTAATCGTGGCGTCCACAGATTTCGGTTTCTCCAGCCTCTCAAAGGCTGAGAGGGGCGGGAATCGCCAGCGTAATGGTCTCGACGCCACCAACCAACCAACCACATGTGTAGGTTACGGAGTATTTTGTCAATCATCAACTCGTCGATCTTGAGTCTCCACAGGACAACATGTTGCAGTAATTTGGTGGCATTTCTACAATGTAGGTGACGAGTATATATGGGGTATTTTGTGACTAACAGAAGCACCATCTCAAACCTTGTCAACGAGGAAAACATCGATTCGCCAATATTCACCGAGGTTCGCCAAAGATTGACTCAAAGATGCCATGAAACGAAATGTGGCTTGCAATATAGATGATTAGTCTATGCGTGGCAGGTGAGGAGGTCACCAGCATCCGTATGGCCTACTCAGTGGGCAAAGATGTTGTCTACCAAACGATGGCAGTGAGGGGTTGAATTTGGGAGCGCATGCGCATACGAACAACAAAAGTCGGGCTTGCTGCTGGGCATGGACAGATGGTGGGCTGGCAGATGTGAAGAAGGGTGGCTGGTTCTTCTCCTCCACGCCGAGCCATCGCACTGAGGCCTCTAGATAACCACATTCGGCTCAGATGTTCGCACCCCATGGCACCGACCAGATGCAGACTGAGACCGGGTGTTGAGTTGCGATTGACGGCACGGCGATGTGTGGATGTCTCCAGCGAGGAGGGAGGCTGTTGGACTGAAATACCTGCACAGACTCTTGAGCCGTGCTTCACACCTTTGTTGGAGACACCAGGTCGTGGAGAGTTGTTGTTGTTAGATAGAACTCGGGGGACCTTGGAACGAAGAGTACATCTTTTGAGACGATGATGATATCGAACCTCTGTGAATGAACTCAACCTACCCACATTACCTATTTGGTTCTGGAAAAAAAATGAATTGCTGCAATTGAACGCCTAGCGGTGAGCTCCGATTCTCCGCCACGCCACGCCACGCATGCCACGTGTGCACCCTCGTCGTACTCGTTGTCCTCCGTTGCACCTGCAATATTCGCTCCAAGCTGTGGCGTGTGGCTTGAACACGGTACCAACCAATTTTCACGGGTGCCGTGTTGTATTTCAGTGGAAATAGCTCAACTGCAGGTGAGCGAAAGCGGCCCCGGGATCAATTGATAATATCAAACGGGCTTGTGCGAAAGTTCCAGCCAAGCTGCTCAGAGATCCCAACAGCCAGTGTAACATCTGAAGTCGTACAGCAGAGCGGAAAGAATGACGAGTGGGTTTTTTGGTGTTTGCTCGGCATCTTTCCTGTCCCTCTCTTCACGCCGCTTTCTCCTCATTTTTAACTGAGAAAAAAAAAGACTGCCCCGCTCCAAAATTTTGTAGCGTTGTCTGCAGGTGCCAGTGGTGCTGGCAATGCGATTCGTAGTTTCAACACTGGCAGACTCGGATACAGCACATAGTAGTAGTACACAAAATTGAAGGGAAAAGGATACCGCTTTCTTGCGTCACACGACGCGATTGCGAGAAAACTGTTGCTGCCCAAGTCACTGCAAGTGCACTTCTGTTTCGATTGAACTTCTACCATTCCATTCCATTACACTTCTCAGCTCTTGACTCTTCTTTCCACGTTGGTATAACTACGATTGGCCATTCCACTTCATCCCGTCTTTCAAGACCTTCTTCACCTTTCAGTCCCGCTTTCGACGTCTCAAAGGTCAATTCATCACCCCACCAAATTCCACTCGTTCCATCAACAACCGCCTTCTTTACTCTCCCAATATGTCTGAAATCGCACACCCCACCATCAAAGGTATAGACAACCTAGTAACAAACCGTCCCTTGGGAACATACTCTCATGCTGACCCTCATGCGCAGATGGCTGGTTCCGTGAAATCTCTGACATGTGGCCCGGCCAGGCCATGATTCTCAAGGTCAACCAAGTCCTCCATCACGAAAAATCCAAATACCAAGATGTCCTGGTCTTCGAGAGCAGCGACCATGGCACCGTCCTTGTCCTTGACAACGTCATCCAATGCACCGAACGCGACGAGTTCTCCTATCAAGAGATGATCACACACTTGGCCATGAACTCCCACCCCAACCCCAAGTCCGTCTTGGTCATTGGTGGCGGTGACGGCGGTGTCCTCCGAGAGGTGGTCAAGCACGAATCCGTCGAGAAGGCTATCCTGTGCGACATCGACGAGGCCGTCATCCGCGTCAGCAAGAAATACCTGCCGGGAATGTCCATCGGATATCAACACCCCGCAGTCGACGTTCACATCGGTGACGGCTTCAAATTCCTCGCCGACCGCAAGAATGAATTCGACGTCATCATCACCGACAGCAGTGATCCAGAAGGTCCTGCAGAGTCTTTGTTCCAGAAACCTTACTTTGAGCTTCTCTACGGAGCTTTGAAAGAGGGTGGTGTTATTACTACCCAAGGTTGTGCGCTCCCATCTTTCCCTTATGCCCTTTTTGTGGTCCATGGAGTTATAATCCATGGCCTCCCTACAATCACACCCACAAACCCGCAATGATACAGATCACTAACGTTTTGTCCCTTTCCCACAGCCGAAAACCAATGGCTCCACCTACCACTCATCACCAAGCTCAAGAAAGACTGCAAGGAGATCTTTCCCGTCGTCGAGTACGCCTACACCACCATCCCCACCTACCCGTCCGGCCAAATCGGCTTCATGGTCTGCTGCAAGGACGCCAGTCGCAACGTCAAGGAACCCCTCCGCAGCTGGAGCCCCGAGGAAGAAGAGAAACTATGCCGATACTACAACAAGGAGATCCACCGTGCCAGCTTCGTCCTGCCCAGCTTCGCTCGTAAGTTCCTTAGCTGAGGTGACGACGGTCAACCAGGCCCATGAGGCAGGCACGGAGAAGAGAGCGGTGGGGTTGGGACAGGGTGGAAATATTGTAGAAATTCGGTCGGTCGGTGATGATTAGGAAAGAAGGCGATGAAAAAAATCCCGGTCCTGCTGAAATGATAACCATCACGCAGGACCCGGGTTTATCGCTCCTTTTTGCATCCACTCAAAGCATGATACCAGGATGAATTGTTTTTGCCCCTTCTTTCTTTCCTTTTCCCCCCTAATTGGGGAGGCGTGGGGTTATCTTGTCTCTGCAAGACTAGACAGATGGGATTTTGAGATGAAAGACCAGCGATACGTTCCCAGTCAGTTAGCTAGTAGCTAGTCGGGTAGTGAGCTTTGCTAGATGAAAGACAAAAAACAGCAGCAGCAGGAGCAGCAGATTTCTAGACCGGTTAGATGAATCACGTGGGCAGCCTGGCGAACGACAAATAGCGCGACCAAAACACTGTATATACAGCTGAGGTAACTAAACCGGTTTGAGTATCCGTTCTAGTTAGCCCTGGTGCTGTTCTGCTTGCTCACTCAGGCTGTATTTAGAACGAATTGCAGTGCCCGATATTTTGGATTTCCTTGTTCTCCGTGCTGCAACGTATGTACGAACTCACACCTCCCGCGGCACAAGATAATCGGACTGCAAAGTCATCATAGATATATACGTGGAGATGCAAGTATCTACGTCGTGAGTTGTTGAAGCAGCGAGCACGCCTTCACGGCATCGAATAACTAGGTAAACAAGGTCCAAAGGAATCAGAGTTTCACGGGAGAGATGCGTCGTCGGATTGTTGATCCCCCTCGAGGAAATGATGTCACTGCCGACTCGAAGAAACTCCGAGCAGCCTTTCCTTCGAAAAGTGTAAATGAGGGAACGGGCAATGGGCAATGGGCCACAGGGGAAATAAACTGGGGAATCGGTGATGTATGATGATGTTATTGCGGTTTGGCATCATTGGGCGTCTGTGGTCATGGAAGTTCTACCGGTATGTCATCATCGAGGGGGGGGGGGTAGGTAAGGTATTAGGTCGGTAGGTATAACCAGATCAATTTCATCTGGCATGATAATTACCTCCTCTTGTTCGTCAAGCCTATTGAACATAAGTCGAACACCTCGATTTCCCAACCCAGCGAGAATCGAATCGACGTTACATCTCAATCCACGCACACAACCCTCAACGCTCCACAAATCAAACCTCGACTTCGAATTGAAATTCCAAAAATAAACCCTCCCCCGAGAAACAATGTCTCACACAGCCAACCCACGCGCTCCCAAGCCCGACCCATCCAACGCACCTCGCGAGACCACTGGACCCGTCGCCGCCGACTCGCTGGCGGCCGAGTCCCTCAAGGCATCGGGCGGGTTCGCGGAGAACGAGGACGCGCACGCCCTGGGTGTCAAGGGCGCACAGTCGACGCTGAACACGACCGACACACAGGCCGCGACGGCCCTGCCTCCTGCTAGCAGTGGCGCCGCGCGCGAGAAGAAAGAGGCCCTCGCCGCTGGTGCCGACGAAAAGGGCACCACAGGCCTCAAGCTCGATGCCCTTGGCCAGCCTGACTTTGACGGCACCCATAGTCTGCTCGGGTATTCTGGGGGACCGAGCGGTGGTGCTTCTGGGGGCTCTGGTGGTGCTGGTACTACGACTAGTGGAGCGAATGTCAAGGCGGGCGATTCGGATTTCGGGGCCAGTGGTGTGTCCAGCGGTGGTGGTAGCGGACAGGTAGATTCCAATATCAAATCGACAGGTTCGGATCTGTCTGGTGGAAGCGCCGGGGGCGCTGGAAAATCATCGTCAGGTCCAAAGGTGGTATCGTCGACGTCGGCAACCAACACCGCGTCGTCATCCACAGGCCCACCGGCCGGATCTGGTGTGCGACCGCATGTCGATGGCGCCCCAACATATACTGGTGCAGTGACTGGCGACATCCTGCCTGAGAGCACTTTCAAGCCCAAGGGTGAGAACTTGGAGGATGCGGACATGACGCAGAGTATCCCACAGACCAAGACGTTCACGGGGAATGTGGGCGGTGCCAAAGATCCCGGTCGTCTTGCTGAGCGTGACTTTGAGGGTCGGAACAATGAGCCAAACCCTGAGTTGAGACAATCAGGTAAAGAAGATGGAAATCAGACGGGTAATTCGCAGGGCCAGTATGACGTCCTACAGAGTGAAAAGATTTGAAATTGCACGTGGGGAAACCGTGGTGCTATTGAAACAGCATTTCCTGGTTCAGTGACTTCCGCATTGTCGTAACTGTAGCTGGGGTATGTTATGTGAGATGGTGGTGGTGATAGGACAGATAGGACATTGATTGATGAGTTCGTGTATGTACGTGGTGTACCTCAGGGGCAGCCTCTGCTGTGAATAGTTGCAAATTATGTATGTCGGTGTCAAGGTTGAACACTATTTATCGAGTCCGTTGATGAAAGGTCTCAACCTGAAAACTTTACAATATTCAAGGAGCCGGGAACAAGGATAACATGCTAATGCATTGCTGGAGAATGACATTGTTCAAAGTCCGTCAAGTTTCTGCTTTTGTGTTGCTTAGAATTATTTTGATTATCTCTCTTCTCGGCTTGTCTCAGGCATGTCATGTCATCTTGAAATAGACATATGTCCTAGTCACCGAGATCAGATGTTTTCTAGGGTTTGGTGCAGCTGTCTGCCCATTCGAAGAGAGACTTAATTTTGACTCTAAAAGGCCACCTTCATTCGTGACCAGGTCAATAATCGTATTCTTTTCGATGCCAGACATGGTGTAGTTCAGTATGCCTTCTAACCACAATACAGGGCACTGCCTTCCATATCGCTGTCAGGATGATACCAGAGTATTTTCCCTCAAGTTCTGTTTGTCAATCTGAGGTCCTATACGAGATCCGACATGGGCTTTTCATATGCACCGGGTTTGCCAGAGTAGCAGTTGTGCAAGGAGATTGCAATGTCAGGACAACGCCGACAAGCAACTCTGACCCCCCAATTGGCGGCGATCATATCTTCATATCTTGCTAGATATGGCGTTGATAGTTTTGACCTTGGAAAGTAGAGGGTTCCAGTGTCATAAAAGAAAAATACCTCCAATCACAGTGATCTCTAAGCGCGCGATGCCCGTCCTCGAGCTTCAACCAGCGCCTTCAACAGGCTCAGCACTCAAAAAGCCATCGAGGCCCGTCAGAACATCACGAGCGACACCCCCAGCAAAGACAGCTTTGACGACAGTTTTGAGAACATTCCGCTTGATACCACCCAGCCTAGGTTTCCAGACACCGGGGACATCAACGCCCTCTGGAGCTTCACCCGACTGAGGCACACCCTTCATGGTATCTCTCGCCGGTGTATCGATCATGCGGAGAGCGAGAATCTTCAAATCTTCAGCGCCTGCACCACTGCTCCCGACGCTGACGGCAACGACACCGTCAGCGACGGCGAGTTCTTCTCTGCTCGGATCGAAGATGACGCTTTCGCCGACGACCACGACCAGCAGCGTGACGGGAGGACGGACCCCTTGGACTGCGTCGCCGCCACGCGGATACAGGTACGTACTGGCCATCCAGTCGTCGTCGGCGATCGGATCTTCCTCTCCCTCGCTCTTCAGCTTTGGGATTCTGGTGTCCCGCAGTGCCAGATGCGTCGCCATGCTCAGTAAGGGAAGCGGATAGCTAGCCAGGCCGTTTGGGGAGATCAGGAGCACGTCGATGTAGATGTGCCAGTGCCAGCGTGAATTGATGACGAGCTTGTTGAGTAGAGTCGGCGTTTGGTGTCCTGTCTGGTCGGTGCTCTGCGCGGTAGACGCCACAACGAGTGGTTCGCGGAGCATCTCCTCCAGGAATATCAGGCTGGTGTCGTCGTCCCGCAGACCAGGAAGCGTCAGTGTGAGGGTCACCCACTCAGCGACTCCTTTTCCGGGTTTCTTCTGCGCTCCGCTCTCCACCTCCACATCCATGGCATCGTCATCTTTCTCCGGTGCTCGCTGCACGCCGGTTGTCTTCTCGACTTCGAGCTTCACGCCGACTATGGCCTCTCTGCCGTCGCTGAAGCCGACGTGGGCACTGCCGTTGACAGACGGTAGGATGCTGGTCTCAGCGCGCAGAGGGCGGAAATCCGTGGACAGTTGGCGCGCGTCTGGTCGCAGTGGTGGGATCGAGGATAGAGATGTGTGGAGGTATGCGAGTTCGGCGGGTGAGAATGGAAGGGCGCCCGCGAGGGAGGGCATCTTTGTCGGTGTCTAGGGATTGGGCTCCAGACGATCGACAGGCATTGGTGACTGATTTTGAGCTGCTTGTGGGTGAGAGACAAAGGTAGAGAGTGCTCAAATGAGGGTGGAGTTTCCAGATGAGGCGCACCTGTTGCTTCGATAAAGATTGAACTGGAATGTGGGTGATGGTGTTTTTACTGCACCACTGTTCAGATTGCTGGACTCAAAAAATAAAAACATCAGCCATGGAGTGCGGGGTCGGAGTTTATATTTCGCCAGATTTTCTAAACTCCAGGAGAGTTTCAGCAACGACTTGATAAGACCATAATTCTACTCAGTACAATTGAGATTTACTGACAATTCAATGGATCCGTATTGTGGTGTTCTAAAGTACTTCAAGCTTCAATTCATCTTTGTATCATACAAGAGCATCGGAAAAATTAGCCAGTGCCCTGCTAAGAAAAATGACCATGGGAAATACCCCGTCATCCCTAATTTACTGTGCATCAATGCCGATGTTTTCCAATCCTCCATTGACTTCGACAAGTCTCGTCCGAGGGCCTCTCGCCCCGTACACCATTTCCAACAGCTTGGTCTTTTGTTTTTCTCGAACGTCTTTCAGATAGAAGTACGTTCCCTCCAGCCCCTTGATCTGCTGATCGATGGCGCTACCGTTGTCAATTGTCACCGAATCATTTCTCCTCACCAATGGGCTGACAAGTTTGCGCCGGAGTGATTCCAGATTGACCTTGAGTGTCTGCAAGCGTCCGTGATGCTCCATGAGTAAGTGTTTGTTGTTGACTGTTCTTGCGCGCAAGCTGGATAAGAGCTGCTTGTTCTTTTCATACTTGCGTAGAGTGGCTGCATTCGCTCCCATGACTTTGGTCCACAACGAAGACAAGAGATCGTTTTCCAGTCTTTCCTGGGTGTCCGTCTCTCGTACCACTGTTCTCTGTAGAGTCAGGAATTGCCTGTCGATCGATTCGAACAACGAGAACAATGCCACGGAGTGAGTCAATTCGTTGCTGATGGACTCTTCGAGAACGCTCAAAAATTCATGGAAGGTTCTCTGTAATGTGGCTCTCGTTCTTTGCGGTGAACTTGATCCGAAGAGGCCAGTCAGTTGTGCGCCCAACGGAGTCGGTCCCATGGTGTTTTCAAGCAATCCTCCTCGATTCAGTAAACCATGCATATGATCAAAAACCACTCCTGCAATGGAAGTGCCCTGGGCCGATGTCACGCCTTCCAATTCTCGTTTCGCCCAATCCATGACAATCAAAATACTGTCAACATCCGAGTCCACATCAGCGAAGAACCTGGTCAACTCAAGACCGAGCTTTTGTAAGTTCTCGGAAAGCTCGTCCAGAGACTTGACGATCAAAGGGGCGGAAGTCATGTTGGCACTTCTGACCGACTCTCCAAGATCCCAAACTGCCACGCTAGTCTCTTGCAAGGCTGTGATCTGACTGTGGCCATTTTCAGAGTAATAGATCAGTGGTTCAAAAGATTTGGCCAGTGTGGACAGCTTGACCAGGTCAGGTATTGGAGGGGGAATCGGTGGGGCAAGGATGATCCGCAACAATAGGGTGGATAATAACGTGATGCCAATGTAAAATAAAAAAGTAGATTTGGAACTGGTCAGGGCACCAACAGAACGTTTGATAAGATTCACAAGGGCCGTGATGGGTTCGCGGTGTTGAACTTCGGCGTGAAGTTGTAGCCGTATGTCTACGTATATAATATTAGCATCTTCATCATCATATCGTCACAACGACACTTTGGAGCCCCGTACAGTTGTTATGAGCCTCCTCTGCCGGATCATGCTGACCCCAAGTATTACCTTGACCTGGCGCATGATCAACCTCTGGAGAGCGCTCCCTTTTCGGAGAATCGAAGCCGGTGGGCAGTGGTGTATTTACTGCGAGGGTGATATCGGGATCTCCTTCATCTGCATCCAGATAGACATCGGGACTCGTCTGTCGCGATCGCGAGGGGCTGACGGACGGTCGCAATTGGTATTTTCCATATGGATCTTGTCGATACCACCCACTCACACTTGCATTTTGATAACGAAATCCCGGAGGTGACCAGGGCAAACCAGTACTCGATCTGTCATCCACTTCACTCTCTTCATGCTCTGATTTGAAACCGGGAAAGAGGGGTGTTCTGCGCTCCTGGTCTTCAAAGTCTTCTATCGATGCCTCCATCAATGAGTGTGTGTCGGCAGTGGTATCATCCGAATAGAGATGGGGATCGAAAGGCGCGGCAGCCATCATGGCAGCCATAGTGTCAGGTGTATGAAGAGAAGAAAGGACATGTAAGGAAAGTGGTGAGGTGATGCGAGGCGGGGCAGGGGGTCGACCGAACGGTCACTCTCTTCTTGTAGTGATAGCAACGGACGGCGGTCAGTTTTGTAGAAGATGGCAATTGCTACCTAGGTAGGCAACAGCAGCAGAATGAAACAATCACGGACGATGGTTATTGCTGGTATGGTTTCCAGTTCACTTGACGATTCGCAAGTTCATGATTCGGAAGTCATGATGTTTGAAAAGGCGAAATAGGAAAGTCCATATCTGGACAAATGCGGGCGCAGGCCCAGCCTCTTTTCAGTCAAACGCTATTCATGAGATATGCAGTCTGAGGCTATCGTTCAGAAGATCCAGGCAACTCTGCCAGAGACAGAGGGAGCGGGAAGAAAGTTGGAGGCTGGGACAGCTGGCAGTCCCTAGGTTCGTGTTCTAGAGGGGAATCAATCCACCAATCATATATCAACAAAGGGTAATGAACAAGGATGCTTGATGCAAGGGGACCTGCTGGCCACAGATCTAGCGTTCTGTCAATGGAAGCTCTTGATTGGAGTCTGGTGGGAAGACAACAGACCCGAAACCTCAAGGCTTTGTCTGGTAAGACGTTTGGGCAACGAAAAGACACAGACTGGTCAAACCGACACGTGACACAAGATTTTGAGCAGAGAAAAGTTGCTTGATTGTCAGTCCTTCGTAGATGTTTCTGTTTGGTCGACACGACACGGCCACGTGTAAAACGCAGGTACGCCCGTCCAGAAGACACGATAGCAAAACAAGAGATTATGTACAAAGAGCTTCGTCTACCGGCTTCTCCGGAGGCTCTTCGGCATGGCTATGCATTTTCCAAACCAACCCGACCATTAGTTCATTTGCGCCTCCACCGTCTTGATGATACAGCAGCCGATGATTCCGAGACCATGATTTGGTGACATGATCCGGTCTTCTAGCTCGCCTGGGGATAGATGTGAGAGAAAGGAGGTTAGAAGGGCTCTTTACTTGGTCTCTTCGCGCAACCAGCTGTGCAAAAGTTAGCGAGTGTGAGAGAGAAGCTTCGAGGCTGGGGGAAACAAACGTGATCAGATCATTCCTGTCCTTGCCCTTCTTGAGACCACCGAAGGCCATCTTGGTACCGGGGATGTACTTCTTGGGGTTTTCAAGGTACTCAAACTGCGACGAGTCAGCAGGGTAAATTGCGACGGAGATCTGAGTTCTGTGATCTTACCAGAGTGCCCTCTTCCCACGTGATACCCTTCTGCTTGTTGGCATCTGTGTATGAAAAGCCATCGACGGATCCAGTCTTGCGACCGAAAAGACCGTGTAGATTGGGGCCGATCTTGTTGCCCTCAGACTCCTTGACACTGTGGCACTGGGCGCATCTCGTCTTGAAGAGGTTGGCACCCTTCTTCGAGTCACCTAAAGTATTAGATTGTAAGCTTGTGCTCTGTTGCTGAGTCTCTTGTGCACGTCTCTTCGCAGTAGCTTCGAGGCCTTGCTTTTCATGGCTTTCCTCGAAATCTTTGACGTGGAATTGTCCATAAGACCAGGCCATCTTTATCGGAAAATAGCTTCAACTCTTTTGCGAGAAGGATTGAAAGATGGGAGAGGTGGCAAATTGTGGTGCTGGTCTTGACCTGGTTGGAGGCATGGTCGAAGATCGCAAAGGTCGATAGCCATGACAAACGACCGAGAGTGAATAGTGAAGGGTGATCGTGAATGCCGAAGCAGTGAAAGCAAGGAACCGTTAAAGCAGGTGGCGACGAAGCTGCTACGAAGCTCTGGTGACATGAGGAAAGGGAGACTTACCGTCCTTGAACTCGTCCTTGCCCATTTTGATTTGAAGATGGAAGAGGTAAATGTACAAAGATGGCGATTGAGAATGACAGAGGGAGCTTCTTGGGTGGAAGGAAAGCTTAGGTGTTGATGTATGTAGAGTGACGAGAGAATAAAGAAGGAACTTTGAAGCAAAAAGTTGAGAGCGGAAACGAGGGAGAAAAATGTATGTATGACGGCGTTGAAAGCAGCACCAGGACAGTTGATCCAGTGGAGCGAAATGCAGTCCACTGCCCAGGTGGCTTTCGTTCGGTCCAAGGCACCGTAAACTGTTGACGGTTGCGCCTAAGAGGTGTGGTTGCTGGTTAAAGCTGCTTCGGTGGCCCGCCCCTAGGAGCAGACCCAGCATCGCCTAGCGAGTAACATCGACTGACACCTGAAATCTCTTTCTTCCGCCCAATTACCGTGAGCGTATTACCAGTATCGGATCCAATGGCCCACCAATGTCACGCACGAAGATTTCCCGGCGCCTCACTTGTGCATGCGCCACACCAAAATGCCCTCACAGTTCTGATTCCTCTTCCGACCTCTTCCTGTGCTCCTTTTATTTGGACGGGTTCGGAGCAGTGGAATTCTATCGGCTATAGTCCTGACTCCTGAATCCTGAGATCTTTCGGTGATTGTTCTTGTGGAAAAAAGAGTCAAAAGTCCAGAGTCCATCGCCCTGGTCGGCTGCTCCTGCTTCTTTTTGACTTCTGAGAACTCCCTCGTTATTACTGGCCGAGTACAGCAGCTCCAACCCCAATTCAAACGGATTCCCGAATTATGACGTCTTACAGATTCAACTTCCAAGGTTGTTTTGCGTGCTTGCGACCATCATTAAAACATCATTGTCATCGTCGGCGTAGAACTTGGACAGCACGGACGACGTACTAAATGCATCCATGGATCATCAATCGAGATTAGTGAGGCCGTTACTATCTTCGTCACAATCAATACAACTCACCTCATCCATCAGACCACCGCCAATCTTGGATCTTAGTCACACATTACTAGTCGTCCCTGGGTAGTCTATTGCAACCATACCCGAAATCAGATACTGACTAGTTATTCTCTACCGGAACGTCATTCCAAAGTCGCCCAAAACTCGTCTATCAACTGGTGTCGTTTAACCGCGAGATCAAAATCCCCATACGCCTCCCCAGCAGCATATGCCTCGTATAACCTCCCAATATTCTGCCCCTGTGTAGGTAAATCGGTCCACTCACTCCCGCCTTCATCCCAGGTGATGTCTTCGACCTCTCCTTTCTCCGCATTCGAGAATCGAATACTCGTCGCCGCTCCAATCTGGGGTCCCGCGCTGGCGAACTCCACGGCCAACTCCCCTTTCGTCCCGTATATCTTCCACACGGAGCCTGGACCGTTGATGAACCTGTCACCCGCCCTCAAGTGGAAGCTGAACACCGCGGGCGGACTCCTGTCCAACCGGCCCTGCAGCAGAATCTGATCCGGCGTGTCTTTATCGTAGAGCTCCTTCGACAACGACCCGTCCTCTTGCGTGATGTGCATCTTCGGCCTGAGATTGCCCGCCAGAGGCACATACTTCCCCGGCGCCAACTCCCCCAGCGCGTAGAAGATGGAATCCAGAATGTGGCCACCATAGATGGTCAACAGGTTCCCACCGACCTTGCGATCCATAAAATAATGATACCTGTTGCCCGCCGCATTGTTCTGCCACACGTGTATCGCACCCTGGAAATTCACACTGTGGATGTCGCCCAACGCGCCCGAGTCGACCAACTCCTTGACCTTGCGCACACTCGGGGCCACGCGGCCCTGCAAGCCGATGATGGTCTTGAGGTTCTTCTGCTTGGCGAGCGCGGCCATCTCCACGGCCTGCGCCGTCGTCGCCGCCAGCGGCCACTCGACGTAGACGTTGCGCCCGGCCTGGAGCGCCGGCATCGCGACCTCGTAGTGCGTGTCGGCCCGCGTCGACACCACGTACAGATCGACGTCCGGATCCGCCGCCAGCGCCTCGTACGTGTCGTAGGCCTTGGTGCTCTCCGGCAGGTGGTGCGCCTTGATCGCCGCCCGCGTCGACTCCAGCGACGAGTTGCACAGTGCCACGATCTGGAAGTTCGGCGATGATGCCAGTCGTGGTAGATGTGCGAGCGTCGCCCATGCTCCCGGTTTGCTTGATAGCCCCACGATGCCGATGCGGATGGGTGCCATGGTTTGCTGACGTGCTGGGATTGGTGACGTTGAGTGTTCTGAGAGGTCAACGGGGAGATGGATGTTAGGATTCCTATATTCACCAGACGGCTCTTTGTGAGAAGGAAGTCGATGGCTCATAAGAAGCCTGACGTCGGTTATACATATGGTTACACCACATGAAGGAGGATCAACCCCCACCTCAACTGTGGTAGGCTGACAAATTGGGGAAGCTATCCGACATATTGTTAATCGTTGGTTTATTCCACGCCATCCTCCCTGTGTTTGACTCGGCCCTGCCTTGAGGCCTCTTTGTCATGTTGGAATTGGCGAGTCGCCACGGCTCAATATTACTCCCTGTGTCACTAAGCATCGTGGTAAGACCAAAGGATATTAATCCTCAATGCGTCCCAGGCCCACCATACCTGGACATGATATGTTGAGATTTGAATTTCTAGAACAATTGATCAAGAAAGACACCGTGATTCTGGTTATGTCGCTTCTCAGTCTGGTCCTGTATGTTGACATCTTCACCATGAACAGGTCATAGTCTATGTACTCAATCACGTCATCTCTCGTCCCTCGTTTACATCTCTCATTCTCGCTACAATGTATGTATCTATGCCATCCTGTGTTTACTCACAGTTTACCTCCAGCCGGCCTTTTGACTACGTCTAGTCAATGCGCACCATTCTGCGTGGCTTCACCAATCTCACAGAACGCACGGAAAGTCACAAGCTCCTCGGATGTGCTCTCAATGACCAACTCAGCAGTGGCACCGACGAAGTAGACGTAGCCTTCCTTCAGATCCTCCCTCTTCGGTCCCACACTGATAGTGCCCTCTCCACTCGTAGCAATGATGATGCTTGGCCCAGCAATGCCCTCGAATGTAGCCTTGGCGCCAGTCTGCTTCAACACTGTGCGTACAACGCTGAACTCTTCAATAGGCGGGTCGTAGAGGAGCGATTCACTGTTGGAGCTGTAAGCGGTGCTGTTCAAGGTGACGTATGGGTAATCGACAGGCTGCAGGAGCTGCTGCTCAGGTGGATCATGGTCGTAAGTCAAGATGTCCGTGAGAGTGTTGACGTCCTGGAATTTGGGTGTGAACCCAGATCGAATGACGTTGTCACTGCTGGCCATGCACTCGATAATGTCACCAGAGATATATGCGTGGATGTCATCCGCCTTCAAATACATTGCTTGTCCAGGTTGTAGCTTAACGAAGTTTAGGAAAAACAAAACGAAAAGGCCGATGTCTTGAGGAAATTGGCTATTGCACCGTTGGACCAGTTCCGCCAGCTCTTCGGGAGTATTGACGCTGGGACCAGGCGTGATTGAACCTGATGCTGCAAGCTCGACAAGTGCTTTGGATTTCTCGGCCACGAGACTGCGATCTGATTTCATCAAGTGGCTAAACGCAGCCTTGAGGCGAGCTTTGGCTTCTGAAAGATCAGGGGATGACTGCTCAGCAACCTCTTCCAGACCCTTGGCATCGCTTTCACCAACCAAGTCCCGAAGAGGAGCAATAGTGGACAAAAAGTGTGCAATTTCCTTCAAAGGACGGAAACCACAAAGACCCTCGAAGGGTGTGATAGCCAAGGTCATCTCAGGCTTGTGGTTGTCGTCAGGGTAGTTCTTGGGGTCTTTGGCGTGAAGTTGTTCTGCAAGCTTCTTATTGGGGTGGGCTTGGATGGACAACGCTTTGTTGATGGATAGAACTTTGAAGAGGAACGGTAGCTTGTTCTTGTACTTTGAAGAGATGTCTCCTCCTTGTAGTGCTTGATTGTCCGCAACTAGATCAAGAAGCGACCGTCCAGTTTCGAGATCCTTGGAGGGTAGTGAAGGGTGGGTACCCATCCATAGCTAGAAACAAGAGCAGTTGGCAAGAGATCAAGACATGGACACGAAGACAGAAAGAACGAACTTCAGCATATGGCTTGTCTTCTTGAATGGAGAAGGTATCAGAAGGAGTCGCTGCCGCATATTTTGCAGCCGCCGAATCCTTGCCAATTTTTCCTTTGTGATGATCAGTATGGAACAGTGCTGAAGACAGTGTATCATCACGACATACCCCAGTCATAGCTATTACAGCCTAAAGATTATCAGAGCAATGTTCTGCAATATCTAGACCCATACTTACCACATTGGAGACGGATTAGTGGCACTTGCATGGTGACGACGGGATCTGAGCAGGACTAGTTTTGTGATCTTGGAGTTTGAAAGACAGGAAAGAAATTGAGTCTGCCGATTGCACCTCAAACCACAGTCAGTTTATGAGAAGCACAGAAGCGATAGAAGGAGCAAGTCATCAAGCGGTGAAAAGATTGAAAGCCACAGTCAAACTTAACGTGTGTTTATGATGCCCGCTGATTGGCACGGTGCACAAACTCACCCGCCAAAAAACCGTGGAGCAAATGATCCGTAAATGTCGCTGGTTGAGTACGGCTGCTACGGTGGACCATAACCTCATACTTTCCCACTGGCAGGCGAGGTTCTTCCGCGACGATCATTATTGGTAAACCAATCGACGACCATGATCCTAATTGCTATCCCAGCCATACTCATATCTGCAAAATAATCGCCATTTTCTTCTTGTTCTTTTGGTCATTCTCTTGAAGCTGTTCTGTCAGTGTATGGGCTTCGCGCGATCTGATTGTGGCTAGGCCATCAGCATACCTGCTGTTTGATACCCCTCACAGGTCTGGACAGGCGCGCCTTGTCATAGTCTTTCCTTCGGGCGCGAGTGTCTCTTTGTGAAACGTGGAGAAGTTACTTGGATCTTTTTTCAATAAACCCTTATGTGCGCCCATCTTTAGGCCGCGGTCGCACGGGTCATCTTCAAATCTATCCGGACCACGCCTGATTGACGCTTCAACATGACTTCGCGTCCACGGGCTGGCCGAGGAATGACCGGCCGTGATGGCAAAGAATCAGATCTCGAGAACGAGATGTTGAGCAGAGCTCTTGAGAGTCTACGAAAAGCACAGGGTTTCAACGATCATTGCCGGAGATTAGGACAGGAGATTGTGGCCTTGGAGGAAGAGATCAAACTAATTGGACGTATGTTCACCCTTACTCCTTACGTACCTCAGTGAAGATGGACGGCATTTGACACGTGGATGTATCACTGCTGAGGAGACGATACTGGGTCCTTTTGTGCTCTAGACACTGTTCTGTCTACTTGGCTGATCACGCTCCATCTAGACTCGACACCCGACCAGCATAAACGACTTGACTCTCTGTACAGGGAAAACCTCCGATATTCCGAATTGGAGAAAAAGGTACATGACGAAGAGGACATTATTAACAATCTTGCGATACTGGCTACGATGAAGTCAAATGATGACATCGCTCCCCGGAATGGTCAACCAAAGTCTCGGAAGAACCAACGGCCTATTGTTGAGTCAGATGTGATTGTTGAATCTCCTGGGCCCAGTCCAGGCGATGGGCGGCTAGAAATGATCAAGCGTGTGAAAGGAACATCTCAAAGAAGTTCCAGTACCGCCAGTCAAAACCGTGCAGCGGCAGCTGCTAGTGCTAAAGACGACGGAGCCGAAACTCATCGAGGGGTTCAAGCGGAGAAGGCAGGGCAGCTTATTGCTGGTACCGAGGTGTTTTACAAGTATCCCAAGGACCAGCAAGAACAAGAAGAGGGAGTGGGTATCCATGGCATCATCAAGAAAGTGTGGCAGGACAAGAAACCGTGGGTCATGTATACAACTGGTGAAATTGATATTGACTGTTTGCAGTATCCAGTACGACGTGAGGGACCCGGAGGACGACCCTTCGGGCAAGCAGACCGTGCGGAAAGCAACAGCACGAGATCTTGTCCCTATCCCACAAGTCAATACTGGTGGACCACAATTCCCAACTGGAGGGAATGTGTATGCCAAGTATCCAGATACAGACACGTTCTACCGAGCCAGAGTCAAGAGCTTCCAGAAAACCGTTTACAGCCTGAAATTCGACGAGGATGATAAGGAGATGCTCGTTGATGCACGATTCGTGCTGGACTCGCGGTTCAAATGAGAAGACGATCTCACGATGATGACAATTGACGACAGCAATGAAGGTGGATGGAGTTGGTGGTGGCGGTGATGATATTGGGGGAATATTTTTATCATCTTATTTACTGATTGAGCATGCCTTTGCGTGCCAAATAGGCGGCACCCGAGTCGGCCCAGACCTCATATACCTTGACTTTGTGATGGTCATCGAATTCTAGAACATAGGTGAAAACCTCATCCCATGCTTGGCCAGTGCTTGTCCATGTGAAGCGTGCCTCTCCCCGGACCGAGACTTTGGTGGTTTCTAGATCCACGACAAAGTTGCTGAATTTCATATTCTCATATCTCAAGTTGGAAGATAGCAAGTCAAAGTATTGCTTGAGTCCATCTTGACCACGAAAGTCGCGACCTAAGAAGGGTGCGAGTTGTGGAAGCCCATGTTCAAGAGCTAGTACATCATCGGACTTTGAGAAGTGAGAGAGTATTTCTTCTGGTGGCTTCTGCTGTGCGAAAGCATCACAAAATGACCGGGCGGCTTGCAGGAGATTTTGGCGGGTGTTGGCAGCCATTCTCGGGCGATAAATGGGAAGCCGAGGGAGTTGGAGGGGTCCCTTTTATGGTTAAGAGGGCTTCACTATTCGGTACCTAGACGCCTGCTCTGCCTCGTATCACCAGTTAAGAGTAGGTAAGTTCTGCTTAGCAATTTGTCAAAGGTCACCCATGGTGCCCTCTGCCGCTGGTTACTCAGAGTTTACCAACCGAGGCCTTTTTCCGCCGATGAGGTTCCGTCAGCAAAAAGTCGAAGCGATTTCATCATTTCTGAGATCCCACTCCCGCTTCACTTCCGAACCGCCGTCTTCTCCTCTTCCCTCTCCTCTTGCTTGGATTTACCCCCCACCACTGACAACGATCACTGATCAATAATATGCGGTAGTATACTCGCTGCATACCTACCTACTCCGACACTCTGTTCCGCTTTCCTCGACTTGTACATATTTTTTACCTCGCGCTTTCTCTGCTTCCTGCATTGCTATGTGGTTTCTTCCCTCTATTGACTGACCTTCATCTTATACATATACTACACCATGGCACTTCCAGCCGAAGAACTCCCCGCCCACTCCTCTCCCATCATCTCTCCCCTTCCACGCCCTTCTGCCGGCTACTTGAGTAACTGGTCCGACGTCCATGATGGTTCGCCTGGCACACCCAATCTGCCAGACAATCTGATATCTCCAGCATTTACTCCGCCGGCCACACCAGGAGCTGCCACTCCTTCTCGTCATCTGCACTCCGAACCAAAATCCACCCCAGTCGATACTTCTCTCGATGAACCTTCCTTAAAGCAGCCTCGGCTGATCGAAAAGATTCCGCATGTAGAATGTCTCGTCCGCGCTCGGATTCCCACTACATCCGGAACCGAGATGTTCCTCCACCTCTACCAGAATGACATTGACAATAAGGAGCACCTGGCTATTGTCTTTGGGAATAACCTGCGGAGTCGGAGTCTAGATGCCGAGAGACCGGGAGAAACCGAGATGGATCGTATGATCCGAGGGGCTTATACTGGTAGATTGAGACCGGGTCGGACAAGTTCAAGAATCGACCCCGACCAAACCAGGCGACCAATTGGCCGAGGTCGTCAGCGAAGTGGTTCGGCATTGAAGAACGTCACAACAGTCCCTGAGGACGATGTCCTGGAAACCACCCAGACTTTGCCAGCGCAATCAGTCCAACCGGTAAACCATTCTCAAGATGAACAAACTTCAGGGAGCATCAAAGACACCCCCACGATTGAGACCCTGCTCGATAGCGTACACTTGACTCAGGGGGATCCAAAGCCTCCACTCGTGAGAATTCATTCAGAATGCTACACAGGTGAAACAGCTTGGTCAGCTCGGTGCGACTGTGGTGAGCAGCTTGACGAGGCAGCTCGACTCATGTCACTTCCAACCTCAACGGGTGGTGTCATCGTTTATTTGCGCCAAGAGGGCCGAGGAATTGGATTGGCGTCGAAGTTGAAAGCGTACAATCTGCAGGATCTGGGTAATGACACAGTGGAGGCAAATCTTCTGCTGCGTCACCCCGCCGATGCTCGAAGTTATGGTCTGGCGACCGCAATTCTTCAAGATCTCGGATTGGGATGTGATACAGATGCGAATAAAGCGCCATCCGAACGAGGGATCAGACTGTTGACGAATAATCCCGATAAAGTGAGAGCCGTGGAAGGGCCGAATAAGGAGGTTCGAGTTCGTGAGCGCGTTGCCATGATCCCTATTGCTTGGAGGACAGGTGGGATTAAAGGCGTTAGAGGCGCCGAGATCGAGAAGTACTTGGAAACCAAAATCGGTCGTATGGGCCACATGATCCAGGAAGAGTGAAGACGGATTACGAAAAAAGGGTTCAGCATTTCCGATTCCGACCCTCGTAACCATGTTGTGGAAGACCTTCAACGGACATTCAATGTCCGTCGAAGAACACCATCACAATGCCGGAAATCATCGCTTCTACCAAGACGACAGCGGAATTCCACCCGAGGCATCACATAGCTCACGAGGGCGGTTTTGGCAAACATGTCTGGTCAGGAGGCAAAACTCATGTTTTGCACAAGAAGTGGCTTTCAAAGTATGAGATGTCATGCGGACTCAGCACAGGCTTCGTCGATGGTTTTCGGCCATATACTCTGGACGACTATTTGAGATGGGTCAACACAAGTTCATTTCCCTACCCTACGCAACTCAGAAAGTGACCAAGGGTCCAAGGCTAGTGGATCCTACCAGCTGATCATTCAAGACAACAAGTGTGACCCATTGGGGTTTTCTCGATGGAAGACGTGGAATGCCCGTCACACAGAAGATCCGATCGCCATCCCGTGGGAAGCGTGGAGGAGAGCAAGAGGCAGCAGCCCTGTGCTATACTTCGGGAGTATTCCTGATATGATTTCTCGAGTTCTACAAATGACCAAGCCAGAGCCAGAGCACATCGATACTAAATATGTTTTTTTACTTTGATAAATATCATCTTCCAAACAGCGACATGGGCATGCATAGGTGGAGGGTACCAAGGTGTAGGATATATATCATCAAATTAAGTCAAAACATAGTTCGAAAATCCTTCACACCACACTTACATCGCATCTTTGAGAAATTCACATCAGGGCGAATGTCCCTGTCTCTGTCCCTCCCTGTTCGTTCAGTTTTGATGCGGGATTATTGGAGTAGACAATGGGTTTCCGAGATTGATTTGATATACAGATGTGTGTGTAGAAGGGAGTTTTCATCTGCGGGCAATGTACTCGAATGTTGTACATACATAGCTTACAATTCACCCCCAGCCCGGGTATATCGTCAGGTCGAACTCGAACCATGTCAAGAATATACATGCATATTGGCGATGACTCGAGGAAGTCCAAGTCCATCTCTGCCGGCCCGGCGACCCCTCGTGGAGCGGGCGAGATCATGTATGTGGCTCGCTTCGTCAATGCCCCTACTACCATATTCCGAAATACAGCTTCCGCTTCCTCTGCTGCTGCGGCTGCTGGGGCGTGACATCTTCGACCTCAGCCGGAGCATCACCTCCAACGGCGGTATCGCCAACGACTGCGGCGGCGGCGGCGGCCTCGACTGGCTTCCCATCAGCACCCAACGGGCCATTAACGGGTTTCAAAGCCCATGGATCAGTCCGGATCAGCGACGCATCCCTCCCGCCACTCGCGCGCTCATTGTTCGTCAGTCCATCATCCCACGGCACGAGGCCGCGCACATCGATGCCCTCCTCCTCCTCGGCATTCAGATCCTCCATGCCGTGTGCGCGCCGATACAGGCGGCGTTTCTGTGCATCGAGGATTTTCTTCTGCCGCGACGCTTCCGTCTGCTGCGACGTGTATTCCACGTGCAGGCGTAGCACGGACAGGCCTTCGCGGATGTACGTGATCGGGTGGAAGACCAGGCTCGAGATGGGTGGGATGAGATGCGCGAATGGTGAGGTTTTCATGAATGTCACCGTCAGGGAGATGCTTGCTAGGATCACCAGTGTGCCCTGTTGCGATGTTAGAGACAAGGGAGATTCATGAGGATTTTGGTGTCTGGGAGAGAATCTAGTGGAAGCGAGATTTCAACTCACGATCGTAATGTACATGTGAATCGCACGGTTGGTCAGGAACCAATGCATGAACGTTCCCTTGTTGGGGAACATGTGCGGGTACGATCTTGTCCGCTGCTGTTCTCGTTCAGAGTGTGTCGTGCCTTGGTTATATGCTGCTGGCTGGGGTCTTCGACGGCCGAGGCGTTGTGGATGTGATGGTGGACGGAATTTATCTGGCTGTTCAAGCACGATTGGTTTGCTGGCGCCGCTGGCGCCCGCGGGTGGAGGAGGAGTAGAGTTTGCAGCATTTCTGGCCGGCGCGGAGGTCGAGAACGAGGCGCGCAGAGACTGGAGGTTCAGCTTGGACTGGCCTCCTCGTACCACTCGTCGCTGCTCTTCTGGTGCTGAGTGGGAGAGCAGTCGCAGCTGTGCGAAGCCTGTCCTCGGCCGTGTTTTCAGTGCGCTTCGGAGACATGATTGGCATATCGAGAGTGTGAGGCTGCGTGAGGCCATTGCTGGAGCAGGGCCGCTCGTTTCCCAAATGATGTGTCTAACCAGGTGTCCGTCTTTTGGTAAATGAGTGTTAAGCAATATCTTGAGGACGGAGCAGCACTTGGAAATCGGACCATGAATGCAGCACTAGTCCTCCGCTTGAATTTTCGGTCTTGGCATTCATATGACTTGAGTTCCAGGTGACATGCAGGTAACCTTGCAAGTACCTGAGCTGAGGATCATTACTCATATCAACGGGTACATCAGGTAGTAGTCATAAAAAGATCGATCTTCGAAGCTCATATTGACAGTTCCCATTCCATTGGCATAGGTAATTATCTTTGTCCAAAGGTCCATCTATGTCAATTTTTTGAAGCCTGAGTGGCCCCAATGATGATGTTGAAAACCCCGGTCTCATGACAAGACACACCCCTTCAAGTTTATAACTTCAAGCTCCTTTATGTTCCTTTCCATACATATGATTCCTAGCTGTACAACCTCTTGTCCACGAGGGTTATTAACAAATGAAACATGTGTCGCTGTAAAGAGCTGACTGACAATAGCCTTTCTTTCCCATCCGAGTCCCAGCCAAACCAAAACAATGCAGCCTGTATGCAGCCAAAAACAAAAAGGAAAGGAATAGGCCGATAGAACTTCCAAGCCAAAGTCCAAGAATCAGAGTCGAAAACAAAAGGGCTAGACTTTGGTTGCCAATAAACAGACATGGTGGATTTGCGTCCACTGCTCTCGTTAATAGAAGAAAAGAATCAAGAGGTTGCCACACATAGTAGAACTTCGCGCTGAAGTAAGAGTCGTAGGTCAATCAACCCTTTTCCCGCCGTATTCACGCTCAACGCCCGAAACTCGTTAAACACCTGCTTCGTGGGGTATTCTCCCTTCTCTTCAGACTTTTTTCGTACAGGATATCAAGGGACTATATATCGTTGGCATGATGTTCAGAACAAACAAGACTTTTCGGACTTGAACGAGTGTTGGATTCGTCCCCGAGACCTGTCATCTATCGATAGACCGATCCGGCTGTAAAAATACTGTTGGCTGCACTTGCAGCCCAATCATTTTCTTCGTATGGTGGCGTCGGCCAATGTGATGGGGCATGTTCCTGCTCCGGTCGCTGCTTGCTAATATTCAATGGTTGTGTGCCGTGTAAACTGCTTGGATCGAATTGAACTCCATTCTTCTTGGCAGATGGCGAAGGTGTAAGGTAGGCACCCTGTCCACGTAATGCAGCTCCATTAGGTATTGAAGGTAATGACTGTCGGTTGTAATCTTTCTGTGCCAAAGCTGTGCGACTCAATTGTTGATTGGATCGGGTATTATGGTCGAGTCTTTTGCTAGCCTTGTTCGCGGATCGGAGTGCCTCGTCCAAAAGTTCATCTGCTTCTTCAGGGGTCTCATATTGGTTGATTTGTAGAGGTCGCCTTGATCGTCCATTGGTAGGTGCTGGAGCCGAGGTCGCATTCTCGCCTGATCGACTTCCCTGCGATCTTGGAACTGAATGAGTCCTTTTTAATGATCCGGTGTTGGACACGCTGCCAGAGGATTTTCCATTCGCATCTTGCCCTTCAGGCCGATCCAAGCTGTACCTGACATTCTGCAAAATTTGATCCAAGTCAGAAAAATCATTGTTCGCTTCAGGGATGACATTGTCAACCATGAGTGAAGATCGATTCGACCATGGGACAGTGGCAGCATGTGCTTCCACATCATCCGTTGTGGGCGAGGCCAAGCCGTGTCGACCTGAAAACCGCCTGGCCCGTTTTCGTAGGTGCGAGAAGAAGCTTTCCTTTTGGCCACTTGGAGGCGAAATCAAACCACTGTTGGCATTCAAAGCACGTTCCGCCTCAAGTCGATGAACATCAGCATAGTGATTGCCATGGGAGTTCACGGATAATTGTCGTCCAATCTTCTTACTCTTCTCCTCGCTATTCTTGGACATGCTGACCTTGGGTTCTGCTTGACTGGTAAAAGTTGTACTTGCCTGTGCGGTGACAGAATTTGGCAGAGGGGAAATTGGGCGAATCGATGGCAGGATAGGCATAGGAGCTGCTCCTGTAGTATTGGCACCATTGGTCCATGTCGCCCGTTTGTTTGCTTGTGGTCGAGCTTTGCTTGCCACAGTCTCTGCTTCTGGTTGTGTGGCTTTGCCTTCGGGATTATGCTGTGGTACAGCAGGTGCACTCTCTCGAGCAATAAGGGACCTGCGAAACCACGAGGGTTTGGAGGTGATGGTTGGAGTTTCTGTGGTGTCTTTGGAGCGGAAGCTGAGGTCGGAGTGCTTGCGACCAAGAAGTCGAGAGGAGGATTTAGGACGAAGAGGGTCAACAGCGTCAGTGAAGAAGTCATGATCCATAGCTTGTTTTGAGGTTGGTCGATGTTTGGGATCCCACATCAAACACCATGTCACAAAATTGCTGAAACTTGTCGGCCATTGTGGAGGCGGTAAGATAGTATCCATGGCATGGGGAGCCATCTGCCAAGAGTCAGTATCTAAACTCCAGCACGTATCGAGAGTTGGATCGAAACTCACCTTTGGGAATGAGAAGCCTAGCTTTTGAGCAAGCTTCGTACCATCTCTCCACTCACCACCACCAACTCGAGATCCAGATTTGGTATACCAGTTGCCCGGACTTCCCATTATCTCACAAACACGCCAGACCTGATCAACTTCATTGCCTCCCGGGAACAGGGGTTTCAATGTTGCAATTTCAACAGCCATGGCACCGATGGCCCAGATGTCGACAGGTGCGGAGTACTCCCCAGCTCGTAGAAGCACCTCGGGAGCTCGATACCATCGTGTCGATACATAAGTGGTATAAGGTAGTTTGGAGTGGGTCTCACGAGCCAAGCCAAAATCGGCGATTTTGATCGTGTAGGTTGGCGGTGTAGCTGGTGGAGTGACTAAGGCCGAGTACCGACTGAAAGCTGACTGTGAATCCTGAGGTGCAGATGTGGAGACGAGGATGTTTTCTGGTTTAATGTCGCGGTGAAAGAAGTGGTGAGCATGAATATGGTCCAGCCCGGATAGAATTTGGTAGAGAATGCTTTTGACACTTTTGGCGTCCATACACTTGTGCTCTCGAGCCTTCATAAGCTGGTAGAGATTGCCGTCCATGTACTCCATGCAAATATGTAGCTTCTTACTGTAGGGGTCGAGGAATATATCCAAGGCCGGGACCAAATGTGCGTGGTTGGGTAGAGTGCGTAGAAAGATAACCTCACGAAGTTCCAGACAGGGGGCAAAAGAATCAAAGGACTTTTTCATAGTTTTGATGGCGACCTAGAAGCATGTCAATCAGATGTTATTCGTAGACAGATGGCAACGACATACCATGGTGTTGCGCCTCGCAACATTGGAGCCATTTGCTCGGACTCTTGCCAGAGCTACACTGCCAAAACTACCATCACCGATGTCTTTGATGACCTCGAAACGATCCTCCAGTGCTGAGAGAGCGTATGATGCCGGCCGCTGGCCATAGTCTGTGACTGCCATTGTAGGTGTATGGGGGTTATTGCTGACACAATTACTCTTTCTCGTTCTTCGCTCCTTCAGCTTCCACGTCGGATATAACCTGGGTTCGTATACAGTTCCGCCCTATAGCCCATGTAGTGGGAAGATTTCCAAAGCTCAACACGTCATTTCCTGTCAATGGTAGGTCTCGAGGCAAGAGCAGGGCGTCTTGGATAGTGAGATGAGGAGAGAGGTTGAGAGAGCCGTGAAATTGGGTAAAGAACGTTGCAAGGGGTCTGACAAGACGCGCGTGATATCGAGCAGATCAGTGAGCAGATGAATCCAAGTCGAGGTTCGGGCTCATGAAAATGATGCTCAGGAACGAAACCCAATGCGAAATGGCTCGAGGACCCGGGAGGAAGTGATTGCTAGCTAGTGGGAGGGTCGATTGGCGGAAGAGGACCCGCAAGGGAGGGTGGGAAAGTGGATTGCTAGTCGAGGAAATCCCCTTTCTTGAATGACACAGAGGGGCAAGTAGGCCAGGATGTAAGTCTTAGTGTGTGTTAGGGGGAGTTGAGGAGGTGACAGGTGTTTTCGGTCGTGTTGACGATGTGCTCAGACAAATTTGCAGTGAACTGGGGGGACTGGGCTTTGAAGCGGGAGTCGCGTCTCTGGTGAGTGTCGGATGGGTAAGGGGCTGGAAGTGGAAGTGGAAGTGAGCGGAGTTGGGGTTCCCAAGCCCGAAAAACAATGCCAGATGTGCGTGTTCCGTCACCACACCACGTTGACCCTGCTTGGGAAGTTGCGAAATCACATTCAGATTTCAGGAGGAAGACAACATAAAGCGAAGGGAATGACTGACGAGCGCAAATTGATGGACGAAACAAGAGACGAGACTTCCGCCTCCCGGCGTGTTGACGGTTTGATGGCCTGAGGCCCAAGAACGTCAGCACCAGTAAAGCAAGGAAGCACTGAACCGAATGGCAGAGAGCTTAGAGGTCAGAGGTCCGGGGCGACAGCATCCTCGGGCCCAAAGAGGTTTAGTTTTACCGGGAGTCTCAGTTGGGCCCGAAGTGCCTACCTAGGTAGTGTCGTGCTAGTCGTCGCCATTCTTGGCTACCTAGGTGTATCTACGAGTACCATTGTCCTGGTCTCCGTAGCGTAGTGGCTGGCCCCATTTTATTTCCCAATGTGCCAGGCTTCAGTGCAGTGCTTCCTTCCTCTCGTTCCATCCATTGCACTGCACGACACGAGCCCTGGAGATGGAGACTGCTCTGTTCCCTCTGGGTATCCGTACACTACGAGTACACTCTGAATATCTGATCCACTTCAGCCCCGAAGAAAAACAAATCCTCATTTTAATCGGTGTGCGTTTCTGGGATCTCGACACAGCTTATGGAGAAGTAGTTCGTCAGTTCAGTGTATCCCACTTCGGGAGTCGGGACACGATCATCTCCAGGTGTTCGAACAAACCAGGCAAACATGATAGCACAATCCTGGATGATTAATCTCTTAAACGAAATCCTCGTTGGTGTCGTGGGTGGGCTAACTTAGAGGCTGTTGACAGTGATTTTCATTTGCCGGGCTGTCCTTGTATCATACTGCTGTCATCACGTACGAATACACACATATTTGTACTCCGTACCTCCAGAGGAGCTGTGGTCAACGGTAGGTACGATTACGCTACCCCCAAAGCGCAGACATATGAAGTACCAATGTACTCTGCGATGATTGTACAACAATTACCAAGTACACAATCTCCATAACCAACAGAGAGAATGTGATGCTACGATCTTTGCTGAAATTGGAAGGATGGTCACCGTTGATGAACCGTATGTAATATGATGACCACTGTACAGGTTGTTTCGGATACAGAAGAAAATAGACCACCTGGACAGTCCCACAACAATCCCATTGTGATTGGTTTCTGCTTCTGCGCGTGGGCAGTATATTTGTTTTTATTTGCAAGTCAATGCTAAGTACGGATACTCAGTACTTACCAAAATCCTCAAGTGGCGTGAACGCTGCAAACGCAACAAAGAATCAAGTCTGAGAGGTGCCTCACATTCAACACACAAGACCGCCAACTCAACGCCACGTTTCCCATCGGCCTAGGAGAATAAATGAAGCAATGCGGTTAGAGCTAGATGGCTACTCGGACTGGTCGAGTTGCCCCTTGGGCTAAACCTATCACGATTCCCTCACCAAGTTCAAAACAGGTTTAGAGGTCACTTTTTTCCCTGGATCTAGGAATGGGTAAGCTGGCCCGGGGCGCGACTGGAACCGGCCAACGGCGCTGATCAAATCTCCAATCGATGAACGATTGGCTTGCCCGCTTGTTGATTGCGCCGCTTTGAAGTCTGGAAGTCTTGCCTGCCGTTCCGCCCTAGTTTGCGTCGAGCAAAGACCCCCAAATTTGGATCCACTTGGAGCCCAGTGTGCTGCCTTTCCTTTAGGCTTTCACTCCGTCGTCACGGTGAGAGACGACGCTGGTTCCCGGCCCATCGGTTACTAGCTAGGGACCAAGTAGTATCCGTAGCTTTATTGCCCAAGTGGATCAAATTTTGTTCTGGAAGGTTGAAACTGCCTTGAGACTTCGCGTCTCGAGATGATACAGTCGAATGCTTTCGTTGAGATTACGAGGGAAATTGGTGCGTCGTTGGAGGAACAATTCCTGTGGACTTGAAATGAAGATTTTCGCAGTACGAAAACTGCAAGAATGGCCCGAAATCCAACATCGATGCTATGTTCATCGTGCAGCCTTTTTGCATAACCAGCAGAAGCTAGCCAGCCACCACTGGGCCCTGGAAGCAGCGGTCAGTTATGCAAGACAATCGCAATCGATACAGTACGATAATCTGAGCTGAGTCGATTTGCCAAACCGAACCATGAAGCGAGTTCTTCGTAACAGACCGCCGCCGGACCTACGAAGCATATGCACCTATGTGGGCACTCAAGCAAACATTTCTGGAAATCAACCAACCTCTTTCTGGTCAAGCCGTCGCTCCTATTCCTGTCCAACTGCATATTAGATGGGGACCCGACTACCCTTAGGCCAACGCAGCATCTTAAGAAAGAGATTATTCTTTGATCATTATTATTGGGTATTGATCATTCGAAAGAGAGGTGAGTCTAACACTTGTTGCCTGCCGTGAAGATATATGTCTCTCCGCATTAAAACTCTACCAGACAAAAAGGATAGTTCCCTACAGACCAACGCTGATCATTTTGCATCCACTGGCACCCCAGTGAATGGCAGAATTCGTGGATTACGAGCGCTATTTCCTAACATGTTGCCCGCTGTGCTCCACGATTAAATCGCGGAGTACTGACTGAAAGACGCAGTTGGGTGATCACGAATCATGACGTCCCACTGGGCGATTGGCATGTCAAGAATATACACGTTGATTGTGAGCCCTAGTACATCGTCGCAGCCACCTTTGAACATGAAGTTTTTCAAATTACTGCCGCCACAAACCGGTAAGTACTGTCAGTGCAGGTAAGTGTAAGACCCCGTAAATGGTCCTATTGCGAATCATGGCGAAGCACCAAGAGAAATATTCAATCCCATACTGGTACTGTTTGACGAGGCTGACCGTCCATTTGTTCTGCCCCTCTGTCACATGATACACTTCATTTCAATCCCCTCACCCACGACGTTGTACCGATTTGAAGAATATCAAAGCTGGACTGTAACTGTGTAAGCCTCTCTGTGTGGCAATCAATCGGAATATATTGGTGTTCATGGAAGTCAGATATCAATATGTTTGAAATTCACCCAGAAATATGCTATCGTGGCATGCACTGATTCTCCTCCAGACAAACAACATCTTGAGTGCTGTCAGAATTTCGAGATACCTCCCTGCTTGCATCACCAGATGTACTAGTATCTCAGATAGTTGAGGCACTAGGAGTATAGCATCAGTGCAGGAAGGGTACTTGCGATGACGGCGACGCCCATTCTCTGAACTCAACTTCACCTTCGTCAGGCACCTTCTCGCGCTTTCCTGATTCTCAGCCTACAATATCAAACTCTCTCCGCCATGTCTCAAAAACATAAACCCTCATGGGAACGCAAACAACAATCGTAAGAAATGTTCTTTCTTCTTTCTCTTTCATCACTCAATCCGTTCTCATCATTTACTCTTCTACTCCCTTTTCATTGCTTTCATTCCCATTTTCTACTTGCTAGTCCTCCTTCAAGTTCTTGACAACCTTCATTACTGAGTTCAAGCCTGACCCACTTATTCCCTCTCAATCCTCTTTCAAGTTTAGCACTCAATCAACTGTCATCATCAATCTTGTGCTCTTCCTTCGTCCCAATTTCACTTTTGCTCCTACTTCATCTTGGTCGACGTCAACCCCCGTTGCTGAAAGCGAGTCGGCCTTCCTTATTTCCTTCCATCCTCACCTTTTCTTCCAATTGATCTCAACAACTACCATTCGAAGACACCTCTACCTACTCATCCAAGACTTTAATCAAGATGGATCGATTGACAGACGTGTCTAGATATGCCAATGTCGACACCGGCAATATGTAGGTTCAGACAACCAACTTTTCTTCTTTTCAGATCGACTCACGCGTGATAGGATTCGATGCTCGGATTGCGGCACCAAGAAGATGATCAGCCGGTTTTCAAATACACAGATCAATAAGTACAAAGCTGCTCTCGTGAATTCCAGACGAAACACCAAGGACCCACCCCTTCCGAGGTGCATAGCATGTACGGCTGGAAGCGTGGTGGAATTGCATTGTACATGGTGTGGCATCTCGAAACCTGTCGCTGAGTTTAGTGCCCGACACCGAAGCAACCCGGACGAAGCGGTAAGTTACACTTCATATGAAGGGTGACACCAGGCGTGGCTGATTACATGACAGAAATGCACCAGTTGCCAACAAGAAAATGATGATCGTGAACCAGACCTGGAAGCAGCCGCCCAAGAAGAAGTTATACTTGACGAGTATAACATGCACAAAGGAGCAATTTCCAACATGTCTAGTGTTGCTTCAGCTCTACCGAGTCTCAGTGGCAGGGCATCAGAAATGGGCTCTACCGCACCGTCTGGCATGTATCAACATTCGGACAAGGGATTTGGAGGTGCTACAGGCTTCCGGCCTCCATCGCCAACACCTTCCAACGCCACCAGTCAATTCTTAGCAGCATCCACAGCCGGATATTCCGCTGGAGCCCCCGGATCGGTGGTGTCTCAAGGCGGAGCCAGCAGTAGATTTGTGAAGCAGGGCGCCTGGAGACCTCCAGTCATTGATAAGGTTGTCAAGCGGTCCGCGCGTGATGAGAAACAACAAAAACTTACCCAAGTCCCAACATCCGCGACGCATCATGACGGGGACAAGGACAGTGATGACGATGAATGGGAGCTTTGAATTCATCATTGGCAACTGAAAGACTGGCTCACGACAGAATGATTCTCAACGAGGGAAGTTCGGAATTGAGCGTCAGGAAGGATGGGTTCATTGTGGTGATGATGGGCAACAAGTGAGAGCCTGGTGATTTCTCCGATATTGAAGTTGGAGGAGTTTACCACATGTATCACCGAATTCAGAGCTGGCATTGAAGACATAGAGTACATGGGGGGAAGCAGCAACGACGAGGCTGTATTTACTTTCGGAAAGCATAGACGGGGTAGTCCAAAGATGACGAGCTGAGTGGCGCAGACTACACGACTAGATAGAAAACATTTCCTTTTGTTTCCCATCCATTTCCTTTTCACACTTACAAACCTTGCTTCTTCATCGCGAATGATAGGGAGCTGCAATGCGAAGAACATCCCACAGACCGGCATCAATTGGCCTGTAAGTAGATGCGGTAGGAACATGTGACTGCATATTGGCAGGGGTGATGAAGCACGAGTTTCAGGCTGAGCGAATGCTGTTCTCTTAATGGGCAGGGTAATGGGAACGGCACTTAAAGCAACAACAGTGCTTACGATCATGAACATGGCAGCCTAGTTAGTATCCGTGGTTGCACAAACACCTGTGACCCAACCGATCCCGTGCTCAACGTGGATAAGTCCCGCCGATATGTCAGTGTGCAAGGTGTAATCCCAATCTTTGAGAAAAGAGGAGACATCTCCAGCCACCAATCAACCAGAGAATTATCGGAAGCTGATGATGCGTTGAAATAATTCATTCGCCTTGTCGAGTTATGAAGCATCCGTACGGACGGACCACTGCGGATATTTTAAGCAACTGAAACTTGAGGAACCGAAAAAGGCGTTGTGAACTTTGAGGTTTCCAAGTTTTTTTTGGGGGGAGGGGAGGGGCTGGTTTAAGAAACGGGGCGCAAAAGTCAAGAACTTGCAATTAAGGTGCGAGTTCACTTGGTGAGGGTGTGGCTTGCCTATAAGCTGCCATTATTGGTGAGATAGAGGGGAGCTTGGAGCTTAGAGCCTAGACGGTTAGGGCTGCCGATGGGCCTGCAGATTCGGAGCAATTTAGCCGCAACTTGAACTTTGAACGGCGACCCTGAGGTGCTCTTGATGACGTCTGATGGTTCCCTGGAACAACTGGAGTTCAAACTGGCTTGCAGAGAGAAGATGGCAATTCCTTCCACCATCTTACATGCATCAGTAGTACCTAGGTACCTAAAGTTAAGTATGCAATATGATGAGAGTCGCTTGGTAAGATTGTATCTCAGTGGTTAACTGGTGACAAGGTCTTGGGAATGCGATCGGCTCATCGCGAAACAAGGCCTGCCAGTGCCAGTGTCAGTGCTGTGCATGCAGCGGGAAGTGGACACGGGTACAGGCGGTGCGGTGCTACGAGCGTGGACAGCGAGTGCCCTGGTGTGTAACGACATCTCTGCTCCCAGCAAAACGTGGGCTTGCCCCGGAAAGCAAGAACACTTGAACACCAAATCTAATTCGCACGAGTACAACCAAGATAAGTGTAGGCCTTATACAAAGTTAGGTCCGAGTACGAGGTACCGTCTGCTGCCAGTGTAAAGCCCACTCCCTGACGACAGGCCTCCATTCTTCAACCACGTTCCCTGCATTTCTTGCATGATGCTGCTGTTCCGGATAAGGAGGGCGGTTCTGGTTTCCCTCAGGCTCTGGCAAACTGGCACTGGCAGTCTCTTGAGTGATCCACACCCCCATTAACCTGCCCTATAACACCTGTCATAGGGTCATAACCGGGGCTCTGAGCCACCTGTTGACCGGTCGTCCATCCAAAAAGACACGCTAGACCAGGCCTATGATGCAATCCCACTGCCGCAGAACTGCGAACTGCCACTGTCAGCCATTCTTCTCGCTTCACCTTTGGCGAATCTGCCTCTTGCAGCTTGCACAACTCGATCCTCATTTCCAAGGGCATGCTCTGGGCCGTGGCGACCTTCGTATCAGGACGTGTTCACCAACATCGACCCTCAAGACTACTACAGCAGTAATCCCTCAAAGCCTAGCCAAATCCTGCACATTTATCCTCACCTCCTCAAGTCCGTTTCAAAGTTGCGACCTTTTGCATCCTATCAGCATAGCCTTACTCCCTTGCTGGTGGACTTGGAACACTGACGAACGATATCCTTTACGTGTATCATGCACTGCGCATACCGCCCACGAACCCTCTTACGCTCAGCCTGATTCACTGTCGCACTGCATCAACCATCTGATCCAACTGACCTTTCACCTGTGTCACGCATTCCCTCCTATCGGCTGCTGCTCATCTTCAGCCTCTTTCCAGAGCATAGACTTGTCCATACTTACTCCTATGAGAAAGACCGACTTGCATCGCACACAAGACAACCCTACTCCAAGCTGATAGACACCTGACCATTCACAAATCCTTCCAAATCGTCTATCTGGAAACCCATATCCAAGTCTGGAGCTGAATGCCTTGAAGGCGCATCCTGTCCTCGACAGGACTAATTCCCCGCAACCCTTCCAATGACTTCATACGAGGATCGTACACCTTATCAGCCCAGTGTGAGCGATGCCATCGATCAGGGGGACTCTCGACGACTTCACCCCGTTCACAACAACTCCTCCACTGACCCGCGCCCTTTGCGTGCGCGGGGTTCCTCAAATGCTGCCCCTGACCCAAACAGCATTGATTCTACCCGCTATCAGCAGGCCCGACAGCCCATAAATGAAGCCGTCAAGTCCGCTTTCAACACCACCGATGGAGCTGCCAGTGCTGCCTTTCCTCCAGAACTTCTCCAGCAGATCACCTCTCAGATAACCGCAAATGTCCTATCGCAATTAAAGGTGTCGAATATTCCACTGACCCCTCAGAATTCCAATCTGTCTGCCTCCCATGTGGACGCAATCTCTTCAACTGCCGGGTCTCCCCCTTTGGATCGTTCTACTGTTTACACCCCTCCTTCTCCCTATCGCATCTCCGAGGATTTGGGACAGAGCCAACAGTCTCCACAATTCCCACCATCAACTTCAACGCAGTCCTCGTTTAGAGCTACCTCGCCTCCAGCCGAGAGGAGGCCTTTGTCACCCTTGAGTCAAGCTGGCCACTTGTCCGAAAGTGAAGCAAATCAGGATCATTCACATCGGCCAAAAGGTCCAAGAAGGATATCTACCGGTGGTGATCCAACAATCCTAGAACGCGTCTGGGGGACACTCTTCGATGAACAAGGACAGGCAACACCCCGCTTTGGACAATTCCTTCGTGGTATCGCTGTCCATCTCATTGAGAACTACGAGCCCAGGCAAAGCCTTGTCATCACTCCATCTAAGCTGCAGAGATACTACGAAGAAACCAAGCTTGCGAACGAGCATTACCCATGGAAGATCATATTCGATGATAGGACGTCATCTATTTCTCGGATGTTTCGTGAGATCGAGGCTCAGCATCATCTCGTTCAAAATAAACCAAGTGAAAGACCAGACACTCCGGGCTTGACGCCCCATGGCTTCGAGACCTGGGCCACACTCCTCCTCCGAGCTCATCCAGACCACGAGTTCGAGCGACTGGCAAAGACTGCTCTAGACATGCCTATCAGCAATCCTGACGAAAAGAAAGAGAGGTTTCCCAAAGAATTGTCCAGACGACTATTCCCAAAGGATGCTGATACAGAAGTAGCCTATAAACTACAGAAGGCCATGTCTACCCACTGCAATGTCACCTTTTCCGCTGCTTCGAGACAGGGTAGTGTGGCAGACTCTCAAAGTCAGCCTCAGAAACAGAACAGCACTGCAGAATCTCAAACCCAGAGCCAGAGCCAGGGTCAGAGCCTGGGGCCGTCCCAGAGTCAAAACACAACCTCCACAATACCACCAAAACCAATGTCAGCCTTTGAGGAGCCCATCCAGAAGGGTGGCCTACGCCCATCGGTAGACAATCTCGAGTCAGTGACGAATGGAATAAAAATTAGCCCTGCATTGTCTCATGCAAGCCTGGAGCGCCAGCGACAGCCTTATGCCGGAGTTCCAAGCAGCAGTGATGCTGCCAATGGCTCAAGTGCAGTCGAGGAAGATGAAGACATGCCAACTCCGCAGCCGATCGAAAGGGAGCGAAAGCCATATGTTGCTGCACCTGGACTGGGCAAGAGTTACGACAATCTTGATAATCGAGCCCCAGCCCCAGCTCCAGTCTCGAACTCAATTCCCATGACGGACACCAGACCACCAGCTCCACAACAAGAATCCAAGCTAGGCAGGTCAGGCTCTATGCATGCCAGTTCCCGACCTACCATCAATCAGTCCAAACCGACCCCAATAGCAATCCACCAAAGAGCTCCGCCCCCTCCGATGGACTTCCCAGACACTCGCCACCACCGATCCAATAGTGTCTATCATAAAGATCAACCACGACGCACCCGTTCGCCTTCTGCGAATAAGGAGAATGGTACGGCACCGTACGGACGAAGGACTGAAAATGATGTCCAGTACATTCCTCCCACTCATTACCATGCCAGTCCTAGCGATACGTATGAAGACACTCGAAGGCAGAGGGAGTATGAGGCCCAGCGAGAGCGACTCGCGAATGATCGGTACGATGCTCCCAGAATGGCTGCATATGACCCTCGTGAACGAGAACGAGATCGGGACGTCAGACCGAGGCAACAGTCAGTCTCAGGTTATGATCAACAACCTCGGCCACCATTCACTGGAAATACGAATCCCACTGAGGAGGAGTACTACCGCGATCGTGGACATCTAGGAGGAAGTGCAGGACCTTACACCACCCCGACACCTATCAGTACAGGATGGAATGTTCCTCCATACGGCACTCCATATACTCCTTTTGATAGCATGTCTGGTTCACATCCTTCAAGCGCCAGATATCCTCCAAGTAGTTACAAGGATATGCAATGATACCACAATTGCGATGTTAGCTCAGAAGGAATGGAGGCGGAACAAATCGCCACTATTGCATGAGCAACCTGTACAACTATGGTCTACCAGCCTTGTTACTGTTTCGGTCCTCCTCACCTCACCCTGTTACGTTTCAAATTCGACCATCATACCTCGAACACACAAACACGGAAGCTCAGAGCTTGGATATGTGCTCCTTCTCGCACAGCCCACATTACGATTCTTTTCTACGGCCTTTTTTAGTACTGCAAGCGACGCAAAGTCATGACACAAATCTTGTATTTCATCATGTACATGAACCAGAGCACGGAATTAAACGAGTTCTTACCTTTTAAGCGGTCTTTTCGGTACCTTATCTTTCTTGGGCCGCCTTCTTCATCTCTCCTTCCCGAGACGAGGAGGGGAAGGGCTATCCCGCCTGTATGTATGATTAAAAGTGGAAGTTGGATGCGAGGATGCCGATTTTCATTCCAAATACCCTTTTTGCATTGTTCACTTGAGCTATGAGATGTAGAGATCTGTCTATCTATCTATCTATCTATCTATCTATCTATCTATCTATCTATCTATCTATCTATCTATCTATCTATTTCAATTCCATGACACATGCAGCAACTCCCAGAAATTGGACATTCAAAGATGACTCGGGCGAGAATTACTACCAGATAACATGGCAAATGCCACGAGTGTCTGCAAAGAAGCTTATCGCACGAGGCTCGAGAAAAAGCAAACTCAGATAAGCACTGCGGGTGTAGACTTGACTTTGTGACGAACTTTGATGGTCTAGAATTCTCCTCATACCAGACGAGAGCTCACTTCTCGTGCTTTTGCATGTATCAGAAGAAAGACTTTGCGTGGCTGTATTAACTCGATAAGAAATGCAGAAGCTAAGAGTTGCCGTTGGACATTGCCAGTGACACCTGGACGTTCTTGAGTTGGCTCCCCCGCTACCAAGAGATGGAGGATGAAGAAGCTTATCTGCACGCTTAAATGTGGTGGGCTGGAGTTACACGTCGGACCCAATCACTCCCCCCTAAGCAGGCTCATGGGCACACCCTACAGCCCTGGTCGCTCGGCAAAGACCCCCCAGAAAAAGAAGGCAGGCAAGCCAGTAAGCATCCCTACCGCGAACGAACAATCATCACTCAGCAAGCCTCCACAATCACACACAAATGGCAAACACCCTCACGGACCGTGAACCACACTGGCCTTCTTCTTGGGCCACTCACATTCCGTCCGAAGCCGCATTCAAACCTTGAACATGCTACTCCCTCAAAGTCTTTATTTCCTCCTTTCCACCTTCATCCCCAACATGAACACTTCGCCGTCGCTGTCATCGCGCCACCCTCTTCCATCAGCGCATCCTCACCATCACTTCAGCCTTATGCAGCCACTGACATAGCCTCGATATCAATAAACTTCGTGACAGAATCGTCATTTTGAACCCACCGACACAATGCTCCTCAAGCCTTTATGACCGTTTGTCGCATCATGGGCTATGACCACGCTGAACAGAGAGAGCTGGATCCTCTGGAAACCACGGAAGCTCCGGAAGCCACCTCGAGCTCCAGCTCTGGGAGAAGCCTCGATGAGAAGCCAAGGCGATGGGAGGAACCTGAGGAGAGCAGAGAGTCTATAACCTCCGTCCCAGACGAAAAGGGCAGACCAGAGAAGGAGCTGGATAAGAGGAAGCATACACATTCTCGGGGAAAGTTGAAGCTGAGGTCGGCCGACGATGATTTACCGACCGATTGGTGGTTCGCTTCCACCGCAATCCCTCTCATCGCTGCTACCTTTGCCCCCATGGCCAATTTGTTGTCCATTGCCGCTCTGGTCGTTTCTTGGAGGAATAATGTGATTGAATCCGAAGACGAACCCAGTTATCAGTCCACCTCGGTGGGATATCCAGACCCGAGGTGGTGCATCAACCTGAACATTGCTTCCCTGGTCTGCGGTTTTGTTGGTAATCTCTTTCTACTATTTAACTTTACCAGACGGATTCGGTACATCGTGGCCCTTCCAGCCACCATCGTTTTATTTTACCTAGCTTCTGGGATCCTCATCGCCCTCACTGTATCCATCAACATTCACGACCCCCCTGGCAAGGACCAGATCTATTCTCAAGGCTTCTGGAACGCCATTCTCGCCGCTTGTCTCTACATGTTCAATTCCATGATTCTGATGGTGAACATGGGTGGCTATTTTCTTGGGCACTATCCACAACACTTCACTCTTAGCGATGAGCAACGAAATCTTATCCTTCAGACCATGATGTTCTTCATCTGGCTCGGTGGGGGAGCGGCCGTCTTCACAAAGATTGAGCCAACTTGGACGTATCCCGATTCTTTATATTTCTGCGATGTCACCATTTTGACCATCGGCTTCGGTGACTACACGCCTACAGATGATCTTGGCAGAGGACTTGTCTTCCCATATTCAGTCGGCGGTACCGTCATCCTGGGTCTCATGGTGAGCTCTATTCATAAATTCGCAGGAGAGCTTAGTACTGTCAATGTCCTGAGGAAACACGTTGAAACGAGAAGAGTAAACACTTTGTCACGGGTGGTGACGGTCGACAAGGACGAGGACAAAAGGAGGGATGCCCTAGAGAAAGAATTTGAGCAGTTGCATCAACACCGCATGTCCATCTCCTCACCCCTTCCCAATCCCCAGATACAGCATGATCTAGATGAAGCGGCAGCAGCTGCTGCAGCCGACCAAGACCGTCATGAAAGACGTGTAGAGTTTGGGAACACAAACGCTGAAACACTGAAGCACGATAATGCTGAGGATGAGCCACATCCTCACCAGTTTTTGAATTCTGCATTCCACAACGGACCAATCCACATGACCATGAGACTGATCACGAAGCAAGTCAAGAATTTGAAGAAAGTCAGGACCCGGTCCCAAAAAGTCATCCTTATGCGAGAGGAGAAGGATCGTTTTGACGCCATGCGTAACATTCAACTCAACGCCAAAAAGTTCAAGAAATGGTATGCCTTGTTGGTGTCCGTTTCAGCCTTTGGCGTTCTGTGGTGCGTTGGGGCAATCGTGTTTTGGCAGGCCGAGCAACGCACACAGCACATGAGCTATTTTCAATCTCTCTACTTCTGCTACGTGAGTCTTTTGACAATCGGCTATGGTGATCTCAGCCCCAAGAGCAACGCTGGCAAGGCATTTTTTGTGGTATGGTCTCTGATAGCTGTTCCCACCATGACCATCCTCGTCTCGGATATGGGTGACACGGTCATATCCAGTTTCAAACGCGGGACTTTCATGCTTGGTGATTTGACTGTTCTTCCAAAAGCTGGGTTGTGGCATGACGTTCTCAAGTCAAATCAGTGGCTGTGGGACTGGATGAACAGGAAAATCGAAAAGAACCGCCGGAAAGGTGGCCTGCCGGTGGGTCCTCCCACGGGTCCGGCGCATTGTGAAGGTCTTCCTGAATTGACCATTGAAGAACTTGCGAATGAGTCTCCTAGCGAAGCAGAAATGACGAAGCGGCTTGCGTGGGCGATTCGGAAGACGGCAGATGACCTACAACATTCACCAGGGATGCGATATAGTTACGAACAGTGGTGTGAATTCACCCGTCTGATTCGGTTCAGCAAGATTGGGCTGTCCCGCATGGACTACGATGAGGACCGAGACGGAGTTGTGGAATGGGACTGGCTTGAGGAGAGCAGTCCCATGCTCAGTGGACAGACTGAATCCGAATGGATTCTCGATCGACTCTGCGAAAGTCTTTTGCGACTCTTGAAAAGAAATATGCTTGGTGTCCAGAGCACGCCGAGTTCCGCCTTCCCTGCTTCGAGTACGGCGGATACACCAATGTACGATCTCACACGTCAGAACACCGCGTACGACGATGAATTTTGGGGACCCAAGGACGGAAAGGCCAACAACTGTAAGGGCAAAACCACCGAACAACCCATGGCGACGCCAGCGGAAGAACGCCAACGCAGAGCCTCCGGAGCCGATGCAATCTTGACATTTTTCACTGGTGACAGGAAAGGTACACATACATATGCTTCTGAAGGTCCATTGTGGAGCAAGAAGGCGAAGGAGAAAGCAAAGGAGCGAAGGAAGACCAGTATCACGAAGAAACGAAAGGGCCCATTCAGTCGTCTCCATCATTCAGAGGCAACCGGTGCCATTGGTGGAGGACGAGGTGGCGCGGGCTTGCGGACGCTTAAAATGCGACATTTTGCTGGGGATGGATCTGGTGCCCAGGGTGCGAGAAGGAGGGATGGTCTTTGAAGAGTGTTTTCTTGTGAGGAATCCCTCGCACACACAACATTATTCTGACTTTCCTCCCTTGGGATGTTTTTAAGGAACGTCTGAGCATGGCGCGAGCTGAGCACTCGTATCCGTAAACGGACATTATGTGCCTAGGACCGGGGCTTGTCTGGGGACACATGGATGGGTACAACAAGGGCAGCCTCTTTTGGCTCGGACTACGGTTCATGAGAGATGGTCTGTTGAGTCGAGTTTTGCATATATATGCTTACGCGTGGGTTTTGGCGTTCTTTGACGCACGTCTGGATTGGACAGAACGGACAAGATGAATTGGGGCAATATTTGTAGGGTGGTCTTTCTCCAGCCTGAGCGGCTTGTAGTACAATTGTATAAACAAGGCTGCCAGCCTCTTAATCATGGTGACCTCTCCTGGTCAGAAAGCACTTGTAGGGAGCAGCTTACGCAAGCCTCGAGTCTCACGAGCGGGGAAAGTGTATTGTGATCTATCACTCCTACCTACCTACTGCAAGCCCTGTTCTTTGATCGGCTTGATCTTCCTGTCATATTCGTCGCTTCAAAATAATGAACAAGGGCTGCCCGAAGGTCTTCTCAGCTCCTGCACCACCCCGCGCTGATGTGCATGTCGCTAAATAGACAAATCCACTTAGATCAATTTGAGAAGCTAGTGCAGCCTCATGCGAGCGATAGCTCAGCTCAGCAAGCCACCACATGCTTCAAGGAACCTTCGAATGCTTGAAGAGTTCAATTTCCTGCTTTCTGCTTGGCGGCGGTGGCCGCCTTCTGATCTTTTTATTCTCGCTTCTTCGACATACAGAATGTGCTGAAGTAAACCTTTACCACTCCTTATCTGCACTTTTTGGTTCACCGCCGTGGTAGCTTCTGTTGTGTTCACAACACAGCGGTAAACATACGATCAGCAGCGGGAAAAGCTCTCCCGACTGTCTCTTAACTCTAGGTAGGTGACGATCTACTCATACATGGCCAAAAGCATCCAAGATCCGGAGATACTCTCCACGATCAACACGAAGCCACCGACAAAGAGATATCACCCATCACCTCTTGCGTGGGAGGACCAGCTCCTGTACTTCCTGCTGCCCGATCGCTTTTCGGACGACAACGAGAAGAACTACAAGGATATCGAAAACAGACCCGTCACCTCCGGCTCAACCCCGTTGTTCCAACAAGGCCAGGACAACGGCAATGCCATTCGCACAGACGCCGACGCGGCTCAGTGGCGCGCAAAGGGTGGCGTCTTCGTGGGTGGTAAGCTCAAAGGCCTGAAAAGCAAACTCGGCTATTTGCAAAGACTGGGCGTGACGGCGCTGTGGATCGGGCCGATCTTCAAGCAGGTCGCCAAACTCGAGACGTATCACGGCTACGGAGTGCAGGATTTCCTCGATGTGGATTCCCGCTTCGGGACGCGTGAGGAGTTGAGGGATCTTGTGGCAACGGCACACGAACACGGCATCTATGTCCTGTTGGACATCATCCTCAACCACAGCGGCAATGTCTTCGAATACATCGCCACCGATCCGCACTACACAGGCGACACGTTTCCGGTCAAGGGGTTCTACGACGAGAACCGAGAGGCAGACATCCCTCTCGGCACGGTCGACGCACACACGTACCCCAACGCATTCCCCAACGCCGCGATCTGGCCCTCGGAGCTCCAGGGCGCAGAGTGCTTCACGCGCAAGGGCCAGATCAACGGCAACGGCTGGGACAATGCGCCGGAATACCTGGACGGGGACTTCTTCGACCTGAAGGACCTGGCACTGGGCGCGTCCAACCCGGACCACTTCAGCGCGACGCCGGCGCTGCGCGCCCTCGCCGCCTGCTACAAGTACTGGATCAACTACGCGGACCTGGACGGCTACCGCATCGACACGGTCAAGCACATGGGCGACGGGCCGACGCGGTACTTCGCGAGCGTGATCCACGAGTACGCGGCGCGGCTGGGCAAGGACAAGTTCCTGCTGATCGGCGAGATCACGGGCTCGCGGGCGTTCGAGACGGTCGAGGCGACGGGCCTCGACGCCGCCCTGGGCATCGGCGACGTGCAGGAGAAGCTGTGGCGCGTGCCCAAGGGCCAGGCGAACCCGAGCGACTATTTCAATCTGTTCCGCAACGCCCTGTTCCTCAACAAAGGCAGCCACACGTGGTTCCGCGACCGGGTCGTCACCATGATCGACGACCACGACCAGGTCTGGCGCGGCGGCGACAAAGGCCGGTATTGCTCCGACGGGGACGGCGCCGAGCTCGTCCTCGCCGCCCTCGCCCTCAACCTGCTGACCCTCGGCATCCCCTGCATCTACTACGGCACCGAACAGGCGTTCGATGGTCAGGGCGGCTCAGACCGGTACATCCGCGAGGCCATGTTCGGCGGCGCGTTCGGTGCGTTTCGCTCCAAGGGCCGCCATTTCTTCGATGAAGCGAATCCCGTCTTCGCCGGCACGGCCGGCATTGCCACCGTGCGAGCAGCTGAGATCGCTCTGCGTCGTGGAAGGCAGTATCTCCGTGAGATCTCGGGTGATGGCGTGCATTTCGGCTTGCCTTCCAGGATTGGTGATGGTCCGCTTCGGTCGGTCATTGCGTGGTCGAGGTTGTTTGCCGATGAGGAGGTGCTTTGTGCTATCAGCACGGATGCTAAGCAGGTGTTGAGTGTCTGGGTTACGGTCGATGCTGAGGTTCATCCTGCCGGGACGGAGCTGGCGCTGTTATATTCTTCTGCTGACGGTGGAGTAGCTACTGAGGTGCCGCAGAAAATAGCCGTCGAGGCGAGGAGTGGAAGGAGTACGGTCAAATTGACCGTTCCACCGGGTGGTGTTTTGGTGTATAAGTGAGTGTTGATGTTGGGTGCGAAGCATGGAGTTCCTAGTGACAGGCTATCATGACCAAAAGTAAATGAGAATATCATCAGAGTCATGTTAATTTGAGCTCATTACTATCAAATTCGGATATGCATATCACCTCGTAGATCCCCTACCTATCTCGGTACATGAATGGTTCTCTCTCACGCAAATAAAGGAATGGGATATCATATTACGAGAAAAAGCAAGCCCAGATCACCGTTCAAATCACCCATACGCCTAGGCTGGCCAACTTCGTATCAGTATATCATCGTATAGCATTTCATCCACACAAAAGAAAGACACCATCATGTCTGTCAGGCGATCGTGTGACTTGATGTCCAGAAATTGTATCAACGCCATAGCTCTTGTGCCAAACCAATGCACTTCTTCGCCATCGTCACTATCAATATCATCTTTATTGGAATTGAGACTGGATGTGGATTGCTGTCGAGCGGCGAAGAGTCCTGTGACGAGGATCCACAATAGGAGCTCATTGGAGTGGCCGGTCCAGATTTTGCTGTGTGGTCTGGATGAAGGAGTGGTAGGTGATTTTGGTGTAGATAGTGGCGATGACAATGATGAAGCGGGAAAGTGTGGTGGACCGTCTTGTTTTGAAGCCGGCTGTATGTTTCCAGAAGCCCAAATCTGCTTGCTGCTGAGAGAGATTTCATTCGAAGGGAGTAGAATTTCATACTGTAGCTGGCGTCTTAGGCGCTGCAGAGCCATTGTTGATTCGGTGGATTGAGTATCATAATTCGTCTCAATTGCTCCACGTACCATGTAGCGTAGTATCAGCACAAGTGCCAACCTGCAACATAGCTCATTTCCATAACTTGGATTCTCAAGTAGACGTTGAGCCAGTTCGGTGTAGCTAGCGACCACTTTGTTAGGCACCAGGCTTGTACCGTTTGCTTCCTCGGGCGTGTGTCGATTGAAACTCCGGAAGAGGTTGCAAATTGGGGGCAGTTCTTGGATTATGCCCCTAAGGTCTTGACTGTAAGTGGGGCCTTGCAGGGCCAGATCAAAGGCCGAACAACATGCTTCGGCTGCCATCTTTTCGTGATGTGATGGTTTCGGGGGTAGTTTGCGATAAGACAGCATAGAGGATCGAAAAGTCGAAGGTGAAGGGGAAGTGGAAGACGCTGAATTGAGACGACTTCGAACGGGGCTAGGTCTCAACCAGCAATCATCATAGGAGAGCATGTCAGCGACATACTGGTCAAACTCAGAGAATCCTTGAGGCAGCGACTTTAGCAAATGCTTCAAGAAAGTGAAATGCGTATTGGCAGCGTCATAGCTACCCAGATACCACTCACAGACGCTGAGATAATAGATATCGAGGATGATTTGACGATCGGATGAAGCTGTCTCCACGGTGAGAAGGGCTCGTAAACATTGAATGGCTTTTGATAGATAACTTTCAGGGCCATGGTCGGCAGCGAATTGGACCCCCGAGACACGTTTCATCCGACTGGCTGTGGCAGCCAAAAGAGCATACAAATGGATGTCTTCCTGCAAGCATCCTTGCACGATAGCTTTGATGGTTGAGGAATGCTTGTTTAGACTTGAATCTAGTGGTGTCGTGCGATGCGAAGCATCGGCTGTCGATAGCAAAACGAACGACAAGTAGTACTGAAGAACTAATTGCGCATTGCCATCCAAAGATAGAGGAGACATTCGGATGTAATCGAGAATGGGCGGCGCTGAGGAGAGACCGAAAGTTGGATCTGTCGGAGACATCTGATCAAGCTTGCTTGCACATGTGGCGGGCAAACGGCTGATGGCTTGTCTACTCGACTTGAGCTTTTTACTCGAAACCGCAGTGGGTGATTCAGAAGAGGCAATACTCTTCAGCTTTTGGACAGGTAATAACTTAGGAGACGCTGTGGCACCACTCACAGCAGTTGACCGCTTGGACTTAGAAGCTTTACCCTCACTGATCCCCAGGCGGTCAAGACGACACCTCGTCACGCAGCTTTCAAATCGAAGATCTGAATTGACGCCGGGCGCAGCGGCATTGTGAAGTGGTTGATTCTCCTTGACAGTTCCAATCTCCTGGGCCCAACGCTGCGCATGACTGTTGATACTAGCAGCAGCAGAACGACTTGAAGACCTAGATAAGACCCCAGAATCTGGTGTCTTGACGACAAACAAAAAAGACGTATTTGGTGGCGCTGGCCGTGGCACATCAAATTGGATGCTACCAAAATGTGAGTACTCAACCTGAGAGAACTTATGAGCTTGCGCCATTGTTTAGATCAAACGTTGTATAAATCAGTTCACCGTCGTTACTGCTCGATATGAGAGTCTGCAGATTAATGTTGAAGATGTTGCCAGGTGAGCAAGAATACAGTGCAATTAGTCTACTGGGTCAGCAGTGGCGATGTTGGCGATACCTGCCAGCCATGGGCTTGCCGTTGTGAGCAGCGACGCTTTCCAATGGTGGGTAAATGCATGAACGACCCTCGATTCTCAGAATGATGCTCGAAATTGACATGACAATTGAAGAGGTCTGAGGCAAGTCCATCCCCTGTCTGGTTATATAATCATGCAGTATGTTTTCTGGAGGAATGGATTTCTGCGCCTGGGAGTACAGGGATATAGGTACAAATACTGCACCGTTGCCAATAAGACTCCGCCCCGAAGCTCAAACTCCTCATCACAATCACCACCTTGCCCAGGGAGGCAATTGGTGCTGACTTACTACTCGCCGGTTCGATTCGATCGCAGGAGGGCACTGTCTGCCGAAATGTGTCTCTCTAGGACACTACCTGCTCCTCGGTTTGATGAAAAACCTCTTGGACCTCAGCCTCCATCCCAAATGGAGGCCGGGGCAAGTCATCTTTCCCCCTTGTTCTAGCAACATACTGACTTTTTGAGAAGTTGCCCTAACTAGAGTCTAACATGATCAATACGAGTTGTCACCATACCGTTTACATCATGAAATCGCCACAATGAGACACTACGAGCCTTGGCTGGGTGCTGATGCTGACCATCTCGCTCTTGGAAAATAAGGAAAGTTGATCTTAAACTACCCTCGAACAATGGCACCTTCATCTTTACCACAAACTGAAATCTGAGGAGCGAGGATGTTTGAGGTATCCCTTTCTCTGCTGCTCAGATGTCCTAGGGGCTCTAAACTCCGAAATTTACATCGGGGCTAAGCTCGACAACTGCGGTGTGAATTCTTGTGTCTTGGTAGAGTTAGTGCCTGGTCTATGCTGCTCCAGCTAATTTGTAAACATCCTTCTGGAACTGAGCAAAAAGTTGTTGAGTCAGAGCATCAGCAGGTGGATAAAGCTCATCGATATAAACTCCAGCGGTGCCCCTCTCGCGATCAATCCACTATATTGATGTCACTGTCAGTTGGCAGTCTGGACGGTGGAACAATGTATACTTACCCAGTAATTGTTAGGAAGGCCCGCCCATTGCAATGCCCCTGGGCCTAACCGTCCTTCAACACCTTCGGATGCCACAGCTCCTCCTAGGCCGTGGTTCCACTTCAGTTCTGAGCCATAGCTGGGTGCTAAGAATGCTGCAGATTGAGGGTTGTTCATCTTCTCTGCGATATATTTCCCGTCTGGGAGCTGTGGGTTGAACAGCTCACGCGCGGTTTCTGGTTTCAACAAAACGCCATCATCGACCAACAGTGATCTCAGGATCTTGATGTACTGTTCCGCAGAGCTGTGCAGACCCGCACCACCATAGTCGTCCAAAGGCTGCTTGGTCAAATACATTCCCAGATCGGGAGTATTCGCTTCCGCTTTCCCATCTGGAGTCGCGCGGAAAGTATGTCCAAGACGCCTGTCCTGAGTTGCGGGATCTGCAATGTCAAAAGAGGTATCCTTGACCCCCACGGGATCGAAGACATTCTTTTGGAGATATTCACCCAATCTGACATCCCCATTGACGCGCTCGACCGCCTTCCCAGCCCAGTCAATCCCGGTACTGTACTCCCAGCCATCACCAGGCTCATACACAAGTGGTTCAACCAGGTCGTCTTTGATATACCCTCGCGGATTGTTCGTTTTCTTACCCGTTGCCTGGTAATATTGTGCCATTAGTGGGCTCATGAAAGAATACGATAATCCCGACGAGTGAGACAACAGGTGCCTCAGAGTAATCTGTTTGGTTGCTTTCTTGAGGACCGGCTTTCCGCTGTCATCAAACCCTGTCAGGAGGTCCGGGTTCGACCACTCGGACAGAACCTTGCTGATAGGCTCGTCAAGAGTCAACAAGCCACGCTCAACGGCTTGCAGCGCTGCTACAGAAGTACTGATCTGTGAACACAAGACATTCAACTTCATAAGTCACCCATGGAATGTCATAGTACATACGTACCTTCGACGTTGATGCGAGCCAACCTACGGAGTCAAGACCCATTGGCTTGGAACTATCTCCCAGGACTCGGTTTCCAAAGGCCTTAGCGTACAAAGTGTCACCTGCTCGAGTGTTAACTGTGTTGAAGAACTTGAATGGCAATGGGCGCAGACGACATACCATTCTTGCCAACAGCAAAGACAGCAGCTCCAGCTACAACTCCTTCGTCTACAGCTTTTGTTATGGCCGCTTCAAAATCGGTCGCCATATCGTCGTGATATGCTATTTCGAAGTTTCTAATGTGGCCTCTTGACAGGGAATTTCCACTCAAAATACAAGATATCCAGCAAATCACGTAACAACGGGGATAATTAGAATTTCAAAGACAGAAGAATCGTCTTTGGCTCTTTCATATCCCACTCAATCCCTGAGACGTGGGGCTCTCTCACATCGGCCAAACCCCCCTTTGTAAATCAAAAATCTCCCCACATTCCCCGAGTGGTGCTCTCAACCAAACCCCAACTCGGTCCGTGCATTTCCTGAGGAGTAATGTTGAGCGCGCATAGTGACAGTATAGTAGTATCCTTCTTTCGGTATACTTCGATTCTGTCTACGCATATCCAGTGACAGCCTGGGTATGTAGATAATACTGGTGAAGAAAAACTTGAGACGAGGCTGTGATAGATTTCACCTTGAAAATGGGATGAACTACTGAGGTGATCGTGCGCCCCAAGAATCTTCTCGAATAACGTTTGACTTCATCATGGGAATATCCTTGAGGCACACCGTTTAGTGACCAATGTTAGTATCTTCAGAATGCCGCCCATCCACAGGGATGCTGAAGGACTCGTAAAAAAGATGATATAATTCGTTGCACGTCTGCTAGCCGACAGTAGGACCGGTCAACATGTCATCCTCGACGGGAGGCTTGCTATAAACAAGGCAAAGAAGGCCATTTATGCTATTGATACAAGTCTCACTTTAGCAGACTGATTCAGGCGAATGCAAGCTATCAAGTGCGCGAGAAAGTCATAGCTTCGAAGCGCCAGCTCCTGAAGCCCGAACCTCCACAACAGCCTTTCCCCAAACTTTTCTCGCCGCCAGGTCGTCTAGAGCACTTGGTATACTTTCCAAGCCCGAATATGTTCCGTAGATCACCGGTTTGATCGCCCCTGTCTGGAGCATTTCGTTCAATCCTTTCCAAACGTCTTCGGTCTCTTTGGGATTTCTCCTCCCAGACTCACCATACCGCTAGTAATATCAATCAGCGAAAATGATTGGAAGCGTTCGCCCAAAAGGGCTAGGAGGACTTACATAGCCGAGTAACTTTGCTCCTTTCAACAAGACACGATTCATCGTCAACGACTCCATCTTCCCACCCAAGCCAGCAAAACCGGCAATAACCACATTACCGCCGAATTTCAGACACCGGATACTCTTTTGCACCAGCCCTACCGTATCATATACGGAGTCCACCCCGACGTTGTCAGTCAGAGCAAGGACCTCTTTCTCCCATCCATCCCTGTCGTACCTTACCACACCCAGGACACCCAATTTCCTCACAACTTCCGCCTTTCCCTCACTACCCACCGTTCCAATCACCTGAGCTCCCAGCGCCCGCGCAATCTGCACAGCCACGACCCCAAGTCCTCCGGCAGCAGCGTGGATCAGCACCGTCTGGCCCTTCTGGACATTCGCGACGCGAACCAACGCTCCATAGCTCACGGGCGCCGTCGCAGCACCCAGCCCGGCAATGTCATGCAGGCTCCAACCACCGGGCACCCTATGGAGACTGGAAGCCGGCACAGCAATCTGTTCCGCGAAGCCGCCAACCCCAGATCCCCATACCTCGTCTCCAGGCTTGAAGTGAGAGTCCTTCGGGGCTGAGGCTACCGTGCCAGAAAACTCCAAACCTAAAGTAAAAGGCGGTCGGACCAGGCCGCCGTGGTTGTTCTGATGCAGGCCATGAGCATAGAGAAGGTCGACGTGGTTGAGCGCGCTATGTGTGATGTTTACTAGGACGTGGCCATCCTTGAGCTCGGGGGATGGGATATTCGAGACACGAAGATCCGTGTTTGATTTGACGAAGTCGGTTATATGAACGGCCTTCATGGTGAGTTTTGGTCCTGGTAGATAGGTTTGTGGAAGGGCAGCGCTGAGAATTGCGAGATTACGTTCCCATTATTATACGTAGACGTAAAAGCTGCAGTTCCCCGGTGCAAATTTCAATCCGGTGCAACTCAAAACTACAGAATCCCCTACATTTGTGGAGTGGGAGTTCTTTTTTCAATGAGTTCGTCAAGAGGATGGATGAGCTTTGGCGTACGCAATTTTACCGAGGTCCGAACAGCCTCTATCAGAGTCATATCCGGGTATGGAGATTTGCGCAGCCTTGCCAAGATCCTCGACGAGACCAGATAGAACTTTCGCCTTGTCATTGGTCAGCCTGATTCGCTGTAGCCTTGCCCCAATGTCAACTCGGCCTTCGTTTCATTCCACCAGAATATTGCTGTGGATGTAGTGTAGGTAGCTCGATTGCTGCACAGAATAGACTCAATATCTAGTGTCCCAAGGCCAGGTAGATAAGCTGAGAAGCAACAGAGAAATGTCCCCTTCGATATCATCACCACCTTCACCCTCGCCGTCGCCTTCGACATCACAACCCACACGTACCTCGCTCCTCACGATCCCCATTGAACTCAGGACTCTAATCTACAACAATCTCCTGTCGGGACCCAATCGATACATAATCTCAACAAGCGACCGACACCGGCTCTACCAGCGCCTCGCTGCAGGCGAAAACCGCCCCAGATCCCAAGGCGCATATGCATTCCCCGCCGCAAACCTGCTCGTCGTGAACCGACAACTCCGCGTCGAGATCCAACCGCTCATCATCGAAAGAGCATCTCTGTACTGCTCGCTCACCGATTTCTACGAGCGCTCGTACTGCACGCTCCAACTCCCGATCTGGCTGAGGACCTCGCTGAAGCAATTCGCCATCTACGAACACTACGCGACGTCCTCTGCGAGCTCCGCGGGCGTCGTGGCCGACTTGCGTGGCATGGATGCCAGAAACAGCGATGGTGGGGAGCAGCGTGAGCCAATGCTCGCCACGCAACTCGCCAACCAGATGGAGATGACTTCCCGGCGCGTGGCATACGTGCGACGAGGGATGTTTCTCAAGGCACTGCCGGCGCTGGAGTCGGTCGAGGTGCTGTATCTCTGGCGTGACATGTCAGAGATGCCGGAGGCGACGCTCGAAGATTTCCACGACGGGGAGCTGCGACATAAGCTGATGGCTTTCATCAGGCACGCATTCCGCACCGAGCTCTTGTTTGATTACTTTGTCGCCGAGCGGCTCGTGAGTGGCCAGCTTGATGGCCTTGATCCGGGCGACATACCCGAGGGGCTCCTGGATGCTAATGGCAAATTGCACCCATTGGACCTCACCTCGAAGGAATTGCCTGTGAACAGGGTCAAGGTGTCGATTACTACACATCTCTGTGAGATGTATCCTGAAGAAGGGGCCGAGTCGAGGTGTCTTGTAAGCGTGTCTTCCCCCTGATGATAGCATTCAATACTGATAGATGATGACAGTGCATTAGCTACAGTCCTCCATCATACAACACAACGCAACTTTGGATGGGACCAAATTATCACCCTCCAGACCCGATGAAATTGGGATGGCATCCTCATGATTAGACCGTCGTGTCCACTAGCGTCAGTAATTCCTCCTAGAGGATTTTCATTCGTGGAAAAGACGGACATGATCATTTGTAACGACCATCATTTGGAGTGAAGGGCATGGGCAGATAGAAGTGTTGGAACAATTCATTGCTCATCAGTGGCATAACGATATGTGCTAGCTAATTCTAGGCAGCGCATCTCCTCATTACTCAAGTGCGCTCAATAATTAGTACCGTCGCTCATCGTGCTTCACTCATCGGGTATCATGACTCCTTCGCAATGCATTCAATTTATGTACAATCCTTCATCCTACCAATCGCTCAAGTCTGTCTCTCACCGTAGCCCATAGACCATGATCGATCTGTCCATTGGGATGCTTCAAAGCACGAATCGTTTCAACCGGCCGTTGAGATGTGACTTGGTTCTCGCTAAAGAAGGTCCCGTGAAGACCATAAGTCACTCTCTGAGTCAACTTCACACGGCCAATGATTGTATGCATATCTCCCGCGTCGATGATCCACAGCTCGCTCTTGGCATTGGGTAAACATTCGCCAGCAGTATCGAGTTGAGATTCATCGAATACGTAGGTCAGCAAGAAACCGTCATCTTCTCGTTGGGCATTTTGCCGAGCCACAAAGCGTGGTTCCTGGGCAAAGCAGCCCGGGGGCAACTTAAAGATCCTGATAGGATCTTCCTGGAGGTCTGATTCAAGAACCTCACTTATAGACCTAGTATCGACGCATCCTGTAACAGGACGTAAGCTTGGATCTTTGATACCTCTTCTGACCAATGTATCGGCATCAATCTTGACAAGACAATCAATTTTGACAGCACGACCAAGAGCAGCGCCAAATGAGCCCTGGGATGTTGAGCACCCGTAAATGAATCTCGACTTGCCCATTGCCTTATCTTCCCGCGTGCTTGGGAATTCAAAGGGAATAGCGCTCAATGCGAACTGATAATTGATCTCGTTGCGGTGAGAGTTGGCCAGAGAGAATTGGTAATAATACAGCCGGCACTGATCTTCTTCTGCGCAAGTTTCCAGGACGACTGGCTGTGGAGCAGCAATATCTCCGGCAGAGAAAACTAGTGATGCGGACGTGAGTCTACATGCCAACATGTTGACTGCAGTTGTCGTCTGTTGACCAGTTACTTTGTCCATGGCTTGGTCATCCCAGGTATTGGCTGTATGAAAGATACAGCAGGGATCTGTATTGAACCAACGCACAAGTTGTGGCTGATGTCTAGGGAAGACCCCAAACCTGGAGCTCACCGATGGATTGTATGCAACGGTTGGTAAATTCTTGATCAGATTCAAGGGATCCAATGAAAGCGGCAAGTCCATAATGACTGTATGATTGCGGGAAACGCCGAAGTCGTGCATCATCTTGGCCGATGATACACCGGGTACTGGAGCATTCAGAAGCCTTGTGGGTGTCTCAAGAGGTGTTGCTGGAGTGGCAGGAGGGTGGGTAGCGGGGATGATGGAGTAGTGAATGTATGGAGGGATGAATGTCGAGTGGAAAAGGATCAACTCTCCAGTTCTTTGATCAACACGTGGATGGGCTGTGGTCCATTCTTTCATAAAGCCTGTAAGGCCCTTTCCTCCGAAACCGGGACCATCCTCGCCCTCATGCTCGCCTTCTGCCGTCTTTCCATTATACCAGCCCACGGTCTCGAGTCCAGGAAGAGCAATACGCATTGGCGGACCTGACTCACAAGTAGCAAGAGCCCTCCCATCATGGAAGATGATATCGGTGTTGGCCACGCTGATTCTCTCGATTGATTGGAGAGAGCCAGGTAGTCTTGATAGAATGACGAGAAATATTGTGCGGAAGACGAGAAAGACGATCTTGATCAAGGGCGTGAGTGGGTTGACAAGAGCAGCAATGCTAGGTAGAATCGGAGTGCGAAGATGCTTGGAGGTTACTGTGGAGAGGTAGACATCGGTCAAGATGTATTGGTTGACGAACTCAGGTTGTACACCATCACTCTTCCTTGTGAAGGCCACACCACTGAGCATACCATCTCCATCGAACCAGTGGGCGTCTCTTCCCAAATCCTCATTGGAGACAGGATTGCCTCCATTCCGGACATATTCGCCTCCCCATAGCTCTTGTGGTATTGTCCCAGTAAACGTGCAGGGTGTGAGAGGCTGCGTCTGTTGTATAGGAGCAAAGTTTCCGCTCAGATATGGGTGTGGATGACTTCTCCTTCGCTTTCTGGAGTCAGAGCTAAACGCCATCTTTGGCGTAGGCGAAGGGGAGAAGTGTTTGGGCACATTGGAAGCCTCCAGAGAAGACACGGGTCTGGACATAAGGAAAGGGCCCTTATCACCTAGAGTAGTGGTCCGCAGCCATGTGTCTCGAGCAGTCGAATAGGCTGGCTTCGGCTGGCGAGGTGGATGCAGTAGGAATAGGCCGGGATACGTCAGAGTCAAAGGAATAACGAGACTGTGAGGGCGAATTTGTCGGAGCGGCGGCAGTAAGGATCTCAACATATGAGAACAGGGCAGTCAAAGAGTCTCCACGAGTCCACGACGAGGAAGGGACGATTGGAACTCACATGTCATACCGTGCAGACGTACGAAGACAGAACGAGCTTCAAGTTGAACTCATGAGCAGGGTGCATGCAGAAGATGTGCTGCTTTGTCCATGGAACTTGAGTCAGTCACGTCAGTGTTAATGGCTGGGGGGAAGCGGAGAAGGCACCTCATGACACAGGAGGTGACCATGACGACTGAAAAGATCAAGGCACGTACAAGGATTTGGAAGAGGAGATGTGAGGAGCTTGCATTGCGCCTGCATCTCCAAACTGCACATGCACCTTCTCCACCTATTACTTCACATGTCGTCATGATGCTGCTATCGGGGAAGGTCAGCCGGCCGTTAGACTCGGCTATGTTGCTTGAAAGGATACACTAACTCCGCTTTCTCGCTACAGTGTTAAAAGGTGGCTCGCTCGGTCTGAGCTTGTCTACACATACCCGCCTCTAAGTTGGATAGAGCGCGTCATGATGTAGGTAATTTCTCATCCGGTCGGTTGACTTCCATTTTTTCTTCAATGGTAGGTCTAGGTCCACTGGCACCCGTAGGCGTTGTTCGATGTGTTGGGTGTGCTAGTACTGCTGCACTGTGTTTCACTGTCCTGCTTGCCACCTGGTTCGTCACTTCGACTTCATGTTTGAGAAGTGTTGACAGAGTTTTGAACCCGCGACGACCCGTTCTGGCCCTGAACATACCCTACATTTTTTGGCGACTGACATTTTCCGAAATCACAAGCACAATTATTTGCTTCTCCTCAATCCACCAAACTAATACCAGTGCGAGTGTCAATGCCGAATATGGATGGTATCATTACCGAGGACAAGCCTTGAGCTCAGCCTGAATTGACTTGCTGTTTGATCGGTTTCTGGATCTAACGTCCAGGAACATCCGCCCTCCATGTACGAATATGCCTTTGTGTACGTACGATTTCCTCATCTGTGTATTGATCGCAAGGGCCAGCCTTACTGACCAGCTTCAGGCATATCGTTTTCACCATACCCGTAGCTGTGATTCTTAGCATCATCCTTTGGCCTCTCTTCACTCGCCGAGATGTCTACAAGATCTGCTTTCTCGAATTCGTGGCTGTTGCCTACACAATCCCGTGGTGGGTAGCGGCTGGTTTCCTTTCCACCTTTTCAGTCACTGACCTCGATAGGGATTCCTACTTAATCAGAACTGGGGTTTGGAGTGAGTCGATCTAATCATCGTCGAGATAGACTGAAAGCTAATGCGCTTAGCATATCCACCGACCGTTATACTGGGACCGACACTTCTCGATATCCCAGCGGAAGAGCTGTTCTTTTTCGTCATTCAGACGTACATTGTATGTCCACTGCTATGTCTATTGTCCTTTCTCTGACTTGGACTAGACCACCTGTATTCAGATTTTTCTTTCCAAATCGGTCATGAGCGCAACCTACCTGCATAATGAGGCTGATTTAAAAGATCCACTTGGTCAGAAACTGCTAATTCGTAAGCGGATTGGCCAAGTACTCCTCTCATTATGTTGTGTCGTCCCAATTCTACTTCGCAATGGAGAAACATCAGGAACCTATATGAGGCTCATCTTCGTGTGGGCAGCACCTGTGCTGCTTATGCTATGGTCTTTCGCTTACCAGCTCCTGATATGCCTCCCAAAGACCCACACCATACTTCCCATTGCTGTCCCCACTATTTACCTATGGATTGTTGATACCCTCGCATTGCATCGGGGTACCTGGAGCATCGCTCTTGGGACAAAGCTGGGCATCCATTTGTGGCCGTTTCTGGAAATCGAGGAAGCGGTCTTCTTCCTCATCACCAATACCCTGGTCGTCTGGGGTGCTACGGCCTACGACAATGCCGTCGCTGTCCTTGACGCTTTTCCAGAACATTTCCCTTATGTCCCAGGAACTCCATCACCACCTCTGCTACTCAGAGGCCTTTTTCTTTCCACGTCAAAATACGATACCGAACGTCTCGAGGGATTGAAGAAGGCACTATCCGTTCTAGCGCGCAAGAGTCGTTCTTTTTACCTGGCATCAGGGGTTTTCGCTGGTCGACTAAGAATTGACCTCATTCTACTATACGGCTTCTGTAGGGTAGCGGATGACCTGATTGATAACGTAACTTCAGAGAAGGAAGCTGAAGCTTGGGTAAAACATTTTACGGAGTTTCTCACCGTCATGTACTCCTCCAAAGCCGATGGGAGCAAGATCAAAGAGGCTCTGAAGCCATTCCCTTCCGAAGTGCAACCGGTATTGGTTCAGCTCCCTGTCGACAAACTCCCTTCTGAACCGCTTTATATGCTTCTGGATGGATTTCGCATGGATCAAAAGTTCTTGAACAAGGACGACAACTCCAGTCCACCTATTCAGACATTCGCAGATCTGCAACAGTATGCTACCTGTGTAGCAGCAACGATTGGGGAGCTGTGCCTCCACTTGGTATTCCATCATGATCCGGATCGCAACACGGACGCGACAACAAAACAGAAGTGTTTAGAATCCGGTGCCGGGATGGGTCGAGCTTTGCAATATGTCAATATTGTTCGTGATGTTCCCACTGATGCTGAAGACGGGCGATGCTATATTCCGGCTGAATGGCTCACCAGTTGGGAATCTCCTGAGGAAGAGAAAGTAGGCAGGGAGAGGGAGATCGCCCAACTGCGCAAAAAGATCCTGGACATTGCATTCACACAATATGCCGAGAATCGTGATGCAATTGAGAACCTGCCTTCATATGCTCGAGCCGGCATTCGTGTGGCAGTCGAAAGCTATATGGAAATCGGCCGGATCATGCGAGATCGACTGGTCGCCAATCAGCCACTGAATTTTGCTGGAGGAGGCAAAGTAGGTCGCGCTTCTGTTCCAAAAAGGAGGCGTTTAATGGTAGGATGGCAAACGATGAGAGGCTGGCGTGGCGCTTTGTGAAAAAAGTGGCTTGAGCCCAACGTACTCGGAGAGTACTTATCCAAAGCACTTGTGTGAAGACCAAGTATGAATCCACTGAATATTAATCCAAATTCTTTGACAAATTGATGCTCTATCAGGCGCCAAGATTCGATATTGCTAGTGTACGAGTACGAGATGCACTGTCACCAAGCTCAAGTTCAGGCATCAGCCCGGGCCCCGGATACGATTTACTCCTAATCCGCAATGTGTGTGTGCGGGGGGTTCTCCCTTCCTCGGTGGCTGCCCCTCTCGAGGGCGTGTTCGTGTTCGTGTCCCTGAGCTTCACAGCCATTGCCCATTAACTAGTGGCAAGTTCGAGATTCAGGAACCAGTAGCCCGTAACCAGTGCACAAATCAGCGGCGTTTGGAGCCTAAGCGAGCCAGATTTCCCTCGTTCCGAGTCGCTCGAAATAAAATCACGCTACACGCAACAACCGGCAAATCTGACGAGGTGCGGTGCGCAGTGCGCATGCGGACCTGGGAATCGGTTTCTCAAATTTCCAAGATTTCTGGGGTACTCGGTACGCAGGGTTCGTAGGGTGTAAACATGGTGTTTCATGTTTCGAAGTTCATTCCCCTTACCAGTAGTTGGCATAAAAGTACCTCCAAAAACCCCCCTTCGAACTCCTCTTCTCCCTGCTTTGCGACCTCATCTTTCTCAACTTTTCAACTCTCTTACCCACATTGTGATATTCGACATCAATTGTGTGAACACACGGCCTTTTCGTCCCCCCTTTTTCTATCAATAATCTGCCTTTACCATCCAAGCGCACTGTACCACTCTAACGGCGTTGTGCATAAGTTCTCTTGTTGAGGCTACTTCTTTTGTGTCACGAGTTTCACGGCTTCTTCTAGGCTGTGTCTGAAATCACCGAGAACAACCACCCGATCAAAAAAGCACCGGAATCGACCCACACACCAATTATTACGCGATCCCCGGACGTCCAGATTGTTCAATTCAGATACGACAATAGCCACCTAGAATTTGCGCAAGAACTGCATACAATAAGCCGAAACTAATTTGAGTACTGTACCCATCAAGCAAAAAGACCGTCCAAATGAGCACTCCACAAAAGATGGTCTCAACCAGAGCGACAACCAACGGTAGCACCACGAGTGCCAAAAAGGCCTCGTCCCGACATGGGGCGTCGAACCCACGTTTCCGACACAAGATCCCGCCGATGTTCATCATCTGGCTGACGATCTCGCTGCCGCTCGTGATGTGGGACACGGGCTACATCTTCCTGCGGCCACACTCGATGCCCGGCGGGAAATACCACGTGCCGATCTGGAAACCCTACGCTCTGTACGGAAGCGTCGACTACGTCTACGGCTGGCCCGCGTGGGACAGCCATAGCGGGTTCACCGCTGCACAGGCGTCCCTAAATGTCGCCGAGACCCTCATGTACCTCTACTACATGGTCGTGGTGTGGGGCTCCGAGGCCAAGGCCTTGTATGGCTTTGAGTCGGTCGGGACTCTGTTCTATGGAAACCATGAGAAGGTGGTTGTTGGGGAGGGCATGGCCAAGGCCGTGTTGGTACTTTTCTCGGCGTTGGTCATGACTATCAGCAAGACTGTTTTATACTGTGAGTCATGTCCCTGTCTCTTTTCTTGTCTTGGAAATGATTCTCAACTTTGCCCCCCCCTTTCTGTTTCTGCTGATCATGCGACATACTGACTTCTAGCCAGGGTTGAACGAATATTTCTCCGGATTTGCGGGCATCGGTCACAATAGTGCTTGGAATTTGTTCTGGCTGTGGATTTTGCCCAACGGTCTTTGGCTCATCTTTCCAACATACATGTTGGTCTTATTGGGCAATGAGCTGGTTGCTGGTTTGGATGGTGGCCCTGACGAAAAGGAAGAATGAAAATATCATCACAAGTTATGTGGGAGGAGGAGAGTGTGATTTGTGACGACATCAAAAGATGGACGCTACCCTCGACGGCTATACCACGAGAGACCAGTACATCGAACATGTGGTCCGGTCCGATTCCCGTGTCAATCCAACCAGTTTCTTCACGACGTGTTAGTCCTTGATTAAAGATGTATTCGTACATAGAGATGTTTCCGCGCTGGCGGCAACGCCTGGCGGGATCGGGTATACCCTGGGTTAGGGCTTTGCAGTATTGTGTTTGTTCATCACCTCCTTTTTTCGGACAGTACGCTTTAACATGATGGGTGGCTCTCGTTGTGCAACCCTGTCCATGCGATACAGGGACCAGCACTCGTGGAACTGAGGGGCAAGGATGGCTACAATCCAGCAATAAACGTGCATACTGCTGCTTTCCTCGGCAATCGTCATGCGACCCATGTGAGCAACAGACTCCCCATGGAAGAGACTGGTAGGTGCAGCCGAGTGTTCTATATACATTTGTGGTGGTGTCATTGATGTTGCACTCCATCACAACGCCATCTTCGTATTCAGGTGAACTGTTCATAGTATAGAATGTTCTTCTTGCCACGACGGTAGTCGGATACCCAACCATAAGGGATCATAATGCTCCGGTACTCCGCTGCACCGAGGCGGTATGATATTAGCCGCGAAGAGAGTCAAGCCGACCCAGAAAAGGAAGTCAAAACGCCCGCTAGCTTGTGCAAATCCTCCGGCTGAGGGGCAGGGCATGGCGTCCGGGAGGCTGCGGATCATTTTTGTGCATTCTGACATATCACCGTGTCAACTTGGGAACTCCATTCCTTGGTACATGTTGGACATTATCCGGCTGGACATTCTGCAGGGACTTGTGTCAATCGATGGCAGACTCTTCGTCACCACCAGACCTCGGCATCCATAGATTAGGAATACCATGAATGAAATGTGATTGCTACCTTGGGTAGATACACAATCGTCAAAGTCTCGGCGCCCCGTTCACATAAGGTGTTCCGTACGCCCAAGACTTCGTGATCAGAAAGTACCGGCAGAGGCCAAGAAATTAGAGAAGGCCTGCGGAAACCCGGGAGAAGAAGGATGGCTTGAAAGACCAGCAAATGGGTTAAACATCGGAGCCAGCTTGATCGAAAAGAGGAAAGAAGCGGTGGTTGTGCTGTCAGTGGCGCTGTGGGGAAGCAAGGGTCCCCGCGACGAGAATGCTTGTACGAGGGACCGCTTACCAGGGAGGGGGAGGTACCGCCTATCACTCCGGACTTGGGGGCGCCTCGGGCTTTGGATCGACAAGAACATCAAGTGCAGGAATGCCTACTGGAACCTAAGTTAGGGACCTACATAGATAAGCTTCATAACTCGGAGCAATGTCCTGAAGTAGCTTGTGACCTTTTAGTTATGAGCATGCGATTTGGGATACACCCGAGTCCTTGAATCACCACGCGTGATGGCACCTTCGCTGTTGCGTCGTTCCACCAACATGAGGAAACATCCAGCTGGACCGTAGTTTACAGGGATGTGGTGATGACATGATTGATTTTAGGTACTACAGGCACTGGCACACTCCCCCCACCGCGCCTCTTTGAGCAAATGCAACATCTTGGATCCCATAAGCGTTCGAGTGACAATGGCCAGAAGTTGCGGGGTAAGCTCCTCGACATGTACGCACTGCATGCTCGGTCTGCACTGAAGAGAAGATCTGGTCATGCGAAAGGAAAGAAAAAACTCAGGGCACTTGAATAGTGGACGGCAGGCCCTATCCCAGGTACCACCTTCCCACCACAAATGCAACCTCACACACACTTTGTGCCTTGACTTGAGCAACAACCGAGTCAATGATACGCGGGCACCCGCAAGAACTCACCCAATTGATGGCAATACCCCAGCCACGCTTGCACAGGCCTGTGAGGTTGCCCGTGAACAAATCGCGGAGCTCCAGTGGACCGTCCAAGGGTGCATATCATACCTACAAACGGTAGCAATGTCTACTAGGTACCCAGGTAGCTACCTCGCAGTATCCGTCATCATCATAACAACTCCCTCAGCACCCAGTAACTCGTGACATCCACACTGTCACCATCGTGGGCTCCATCTAGTAATTCAAATATCCCCATTAATTCGCTGGTTTCACCATTTCTTTTCTTTTCTTCACTTCTTCCATTTCCGATCTCCGATCTCCCGCTATCGCTATCGATATCGTGATCGTGACTGCCCGGGACAACCTCGGAGCCTCCCCGAAACTAAGTCGCTCTAACCAAGCATCTCACCGACGACGGAGCCAATACTGGCGGAATTAGCCCACGGCTGCTTAGCCACGGCTTCGTATTCAAGGTCAAATCCGTCTATCCATATTGCTATCGCCCTATCGCTTACCCCTTTGGAGCAGTCTTACAGCCTAATACGCGGAAAGATTTCTGCATCAATCGGTCTTGGTCGGTCTTGATCCGGTTTCTTTATAATGTGGTTCGAAACCACTGTTGTGGCGGCTTTGGCTGTCCTTCCCCACGTCCAGGTGGAAGCCAGTGTAAGGATTTATTTCTCCAACGCCGCCCCCTTTCAGAATTTCCCCTTTAACCCCAATGCCTTGAATGGGCAGTTTATTATTATCATCCCTTTCTTGGAACCATGCAGCTTCCACTATCTGCTTTACTTCTTTTGAATTCGACCATCCCAACACTTGGCACCAACCCTTACTTACAAAGCGTTCTAAAACAGCCCGTTGAATCTCCCGAGGCAATTTACCGAAGACAAGCAGCACAACCCTTTAACAACGACTACGATGGTCCACTATGGACTTCACCACCAAGCTATCCTTCTCCATGGGGCTCTGGCCTGGGAGATTGGGGCACCGCCTACGAAAAAGCACATGCTTTTGTCAGCCAACTCACATTGATGGAGAAAGTCAATCTGACCACCGGCGTAGGGTGAGTTTGCATGTGTTTCCATTTCATTTCAAGGGCTCTGACCCTCTGCCAGGTGGGAATCTGGGCCATGTGTTGGAAATGTAGGATCAATTCCGCGTCTGGGATTCCCAAGCTTGTGTATGCAAGACTCGCCCTTAGGAATCAGATTAGGTATGATCGCGGGTCAGGCTCTCCGAGGTACCATTAATGCTGACCTTGCTTAGCCGACTACGTTTCTGCTTTCCCCGGGGGTGTCAATGTGGCTGCCACTTGGGATCGAAACCTTGCCTACCTCCGTGGCCAAGGTATCGGCGAAGAGGGCAGAGACAAAGGTGTTGATGCGGTGCTAGGGCCTGTCTGTGGTCCTCTTGGGCGCGCTCCAGAAGGTGGTAGAAATTGGGTAAGTCCACGACGCAAATTCATATCATACTTGATGCACTGACTCCCGTCAAAGGAAGGTTTCAGCCCTGATCCATATCTCACGGGTGCTTTGATCGCTCCGACTGTGGAGGGCATTCAGAGTGCTGGTGTGATCGCGACCACCAAGCATTACATCGCCAACGAACAAGAGCATTTCCGCCAAGTAGGTGAATCCATCAGCTATGGCTTCAACATCACCGCCACCTTGAGCTCGAATATTGATGACAAGACAATGCATGAGCTCTATCTTTGGCCCTTCGCCGATGCTGTTCGTGCGGGAACTGGCTCTAGTAAGCACTGTCACAAACTCCCCATGTTCTCTACTAACCGGAATGCTAGTCATGTGCTCATACCAGCAAATAAACAACTCTTACGGCTGTGCTAATTCATACACACTCAACCATCTTCTCAAAAATGAACTCGGATTCCAAGGTTTTGTCATGTCTGATTGGCAAGCTCAACACTCTGGAGTTGGCACCGCCTTCGCTGGACTCGATATGTCCATGCCTGGTGACACAGTTTTTGATTCGGGTTACACTTTCTGGGGAACGAACCTCACCATTGCAGTTCTAAATGGCACCGTTCCTGAATGGCGCGTAGATGATATGGCCGTGAGAATCATGGCAGCCTACTATTACGTAGGACGTGACTCGAGCTATACACCAACCAACTTCAATGCTGTAAGTATCAGCAAGCCTCCATTTCACTGGCATGTACTAACAAATTTCCTAGTGGACCCAAGATACCTATGGCCACATCCATGCAATTGATACCAATTCTCCAATTGATCTCATCAATCAACATGTTAGTGTTCGTGGTGAGCATGCTCGCATCATCCGTGAAGTTGGAGCCAAATCCAATGTCCTTTTGAAAAACAATGGAGCTCTTCCTCTCACAGGTAAAGAGAAACAAGTCGGAATCTTTGGCCAAGATGCGGGCAGCAACCCTTGGGGTGCGAATGGTTGTCCAAACCGAAATTGTAACAACGGAACCTTGGCCATGGGATACGGTAGTGGTACCTCAGAGTTCCCCTACCTCGTCACTCCAGAGCAGGCTCTCCAACAACATATCCTGACACAGACTAACAGCGAGGTTTTTGCAATCCTCGACAACTACGCAGATAGTCAGATCAAGAGTGTCGCCTCACAAGCTGATGTTGCAATTGTTTTCGCCAATGCCCAATCAGGAGAAGGTTTCATCACCATCGATGGCAACACCGGAGACCGCAACAACTTATCACTCTGGGAAGGCGCCGACCGATTGATTGGTAATGTCACTACATATAATCCCAACACAATTGTTGTTCTTCACACCGTCGGACCTGTCAATGTCTCCGCATGGTATGACAATGAAAATGTCACAGCCATCATCTGGGCTGGTCTACCTGGTCAAGAGAGTGGCAACGCCATCCTTGACGTCATCTACGGCTTTGTCAATCCTGGGGGAAAGCTGCCATTCACTATCGCACGCAATCGAGAAGATTTTGGAACCGATGTCATCTATGAGCCCAATAATGGCCAATTCGACGCTCCGCAGGACTATTTCTCTGAAGGAGTTTTCATCGACTACCGCTACCTTGACGCCAACGGAATCGATCCCATCTACGAATTTGGCTTCGGTCTGAGCTACACCACCTTTGAATACTCGAATCTTGTCATCACCCCAGGCAACCCAGCACCCTACTCACCATCCAGTGGGTCGACTGGTCCAGCTCCTGTACTCGGAAATGCCAGCACCGACTTGTCACAATATGTCTTCCCTGATGACGAGATCTCATATCGACCATATCTCTATATCTATCCATTCCTCAACTCCACAGACCTGGAGGCCTCCGCTGACGACCCAGACTACGGTGCACCAGCTGAATCGTACGTGCCCGCCGGCGCCACCGACAGCTCCCCACAACCTATTCTCCCAGCAGGCGGCGCACCAGGCGGCAACCCTCTCCTCTATGAAATCGTCGCCACCGTGTCTGCCACCATCACCAACACTGGATCCGTCACTGGTGACGAAGTTGCCCAGCTGTATCTCTCTCTCGGAGATGGCGAGCCGCCCAAAGTCCTCCGTGGCTTTGAGCGCCTGACCATCGCACCAGGAGCTTCAGCCACATTCTCCGCCGACCTGACTCGCCGCGATGTCTCGGTCTGGGACACAACGGTCCAAAACTGGGTTGAAGTATCCAACCCCACTGTCTTCGTCGGTGCCTCGAGCAGAAACCTACCTTTGTCAGGCACACTGACCAGCGGTGGGTCATCCGGTGGTGGTGGTGGTGGTTCGCCGCCACCCCAGCACAGCTCCAGCGCGGGAGGCGGTTATCCTCACCCTTCTGCGTCAGCATCGGCATCAGCAGGTGGGCCTCCACCCCCTGTGGTCAGCCAGCAGTCTGACGGCCAGCCAACATACCCCACCGGCGCCCCTGTCAGCCAAATCTCAGATGGGCAGCCGCAATGGCAAACCGGCCAGCCGCAGTCAACAAAGACCTGGGGTTGAAGTGACGAAGTTAAATGATCTTTAACGTCCTGGACGCAAGGTTTTTCTCCACTGTTGGAGACCAGGAAGATATGAAACCGAAATCAGAACAGCGGAGGAAAATCAAAGCTGCCATAATGAAGAAGAGCAATGCTAATTATGTATTGAAAGGCGAGCTGAGCCAAGGAAAATAATAAAGGTGTTTGTATGTTCGCCTCATCGAACCATCCTGTTGCGATTTTCTGAGAGCAAAAGAATCTTGCACAGAACCCGGCTAGCTAGTGAGTAGTATTTCCAAACGGAATAGATGAGGGATATCATACAATAACTTTTACTGCCAAAGAATCTGAAGCTCTCACTGGCCCGACTGCAATGGCTTAAAACTTTACCTATTTCCGTAGACATGAATCAGATCGGCGAGATCGGACCAGATCAGATCTCAAACTCTAAATTTAAGCTTAGTGCACAAGGGGTGGAAGTAGGGTGAGAATGTCGTCATGGATATTTTCTCTCAAACCCCGTTTAGAGCAAATATGGAGCTTGGCTTTTTGAACGCAGTGACAGACACAGACATGTTGAGTTTCCCAAAGATTCGTCGAAAAACGGAGCGCTCACTGTGCATTGCAGGAGGCGTAGAAAAAACAGGCGCTTTGATTTCTCGCACCCCACATCATCTTTTGAAGCTCTCGAGCTAGTTATTTCGACCAGATTGACGCCGCTGTTGCGGAGCTCGTTATGCGAGACAAGAGATACCGAAGCTTTTGAAACTGAATCTTCCACCTTTGAAACACCATTGTCGACCTCTCATATCTAAGACGCAAAAAAATGCCACCGAAGTTCAAGAAGCCCAAGGCGACCGGCGGCGCAGCGCAAGGGCAAGGGCAGGGGCCACGGGTGCTGTACTGGTTCCGGACCGATCTGCGGCTGCACGACAGCCCAGCGTTGACGCATGCGCTGTCGCTTGACCCGTCGGTGTTGGTGCCACTGTGGTGCTGGGACCCGCACTACGTGTACCGGCAGCGCGGGTCGGCGAACCGGTGGAACTTCCTGGTCAGCTGCATGCGCGACGTGTCGGGGTCGCTGGCGGCGCTGAACCCGAGGCAGAAGCTGCATGTCGTCAGGCGCGCCCCGGGCAAGGTCATGGCGGAGCTGTTGCGGAGGTGGAGGATCGACGTCTTGGTGTTTGAGAAGGACACGGACGCGTATGCGCGCCTCAGGGACGACGAGGTCACGAGTATCGCCGAGGGCTTGGGCGTCGAAGTCGTGAGTTTGAGCGGTCGCACGCTGTTCGATAGCGATGAGGTGGTCAGGATGAATGGTGGGAAGCCGACGATGAGTATGAATCAATTGGTGAATGCGAGTAAAAAGATTGGCAACGGCATTCCGCAGAAGCCTCTGGAGACGCCGCTGAGGCTTCCTGATCCGCCTGAAGATCATGAATTGGATCTTTCAGATCTGGATGCTGACAAGGTAGATGAGGGAGGAAGTAACGAGGCCATGGACTACAATCTACCGCAGAGGACCTTGGGCCAGAAGAAGAATACACAGTATGAGACTGGCATCATGGGTCCTGCAAAGGATTTCGGCGTGCCTACACTTGAAGAAATGGGTATTGATCCTGCCGATGTTACCTCTCCTCACAAAGGTGGCGAGACTATTGGTCTCGAAGTTTTGAAGTCTTACATTGAGAACTCGGACTATATTGGCACTTTCGAAAAGCCTAAGACCGCTCCAACCGATTTCGAACCACAAGCAACGACATTATTATCACCACACATGCATTTCGGAAGCGTGTCTGTTAGAAAATTCTGGTGGGATGTTCAGGATGTTTTGGAGCAGCGTCGAAAAGAGAAAAAGCACGTTAGCGGAGAGCCTGTCAACCTCCCGGGTCAGCTGTTATTCAGAGACATGTACTTTGCCACCCATGCGAAGATTGGTTTTCAGTTTGGCCAGGCTGTTGGGAATAGTGTTGCAAGGTTTATCCCCTGGCACCTACAATTGAACTACGTCAAAGGCGATCAAGACGGCAAGCCAGTTAGTGATGGAACATATCTGGTAGACGACCCGCAAGCTGAGGAATATTTTCGAAGGTGGAAAGAAGGCAGAACAGGATTTCCCTGGATCGACGCCCTAATGCGGCAGTTGAAACTAGAAGGCTGGATTCATCACCTGGGCAGACATGCCGTAGCTTGTTTTTTGACAAGAGGTGGATGCTATGTGAGTTGGGAGCGTGGAGCTGAGGTCTTTGAAGAATGGCTCATTGACCACGAAATTGCCTGCAACGCAGGAAACTGGATGTGGTTGAGTTGCACAGCCTTTTTCAGCCAATTCTATCGGATGTATTCGCCCATCGCATTTGGGAAGAAGTGGGACCCTGAGGGCCATTTTGTGAGACGATACGTTCCAGAATTGGCCAACTTCGACAAGAAATACATTTACGAGCCTCACAAGGCTCCAATAGCAGACCAGAAGGCGTGGGGCTGTGCCATACAGGGTGATGGTCTAAAAATCGAGGAGAAGGGTACCAAAGTGTACCCCAAACCTATGTTCGATTTTAATGAACGCAGACAATTTTGTCTCGATCGGATCAAAGAGGCATATAATGTCGGTCTGTATGGTGATGATGAGCGAGTTCTCTCTGGCGAGTGGAAGAAGCTGTTTGGTTTCGATGACAAAGAAGGGCAGAGAAAAGAGGAAGCAAGTGGGTCAATTCTACGAGGGACGAAGCGTTCGAAGGTCGTAAATGGTAATCATCCAGAATTTGAAGATGATGCAGGTGAGTTTGCAGATGTGGGAGACGACAGTGAGAATGAGAACAAGAGGCCCAGAAAAGCAATCAAGAAGATCCCAAAAGGTGGACAGAAGACCTTGGACACCATCGTGACAAGGACGAGAGCAAAGAAATAAGACAACTTGGCCATCCCTCCAAGCCATATGAGAATCTTAAGGTCCGACGACCTAGAGAATGCCTTCAGGGCAGCTACCACCGGGAGAAACCAGGAGCGTCGGATCGAATACTAAGGCAAGCGCAACTTGACATCGAGTGGCCAGCTCGGAGCATCGGTAGCTCTGGTGGGCGCCTCCCTAACGTCCTGCGCTGAGAGAAATTCCCAGAGATCAATGGCCAAATGCACAAGACTCGATCCTGAATCTCAGCCATCGTCAGTTGACCAGATTCCGAGTTGCATCCAGAGGCAGACTCAATATCAAAACTAAATGAAGTTCGAATGACTGAGGGATGCCGAACAGTCCAGACTTGCAGAGTAGTCACACCTGCAGGCGATGTTCTCTAACATTCTACTGAAGCATGCCTCCATTGATAATATCTGCATTAGCAAATAAGATATCTGGGTTTATCAATCCTCGATGCAGGAAATAAATGAAGAAGTCTTCGGCACGAATGTTCAAATATCACGAGCTACATTGCTCGTTTCGCGGATTTGGCACTGGACCATGGGAGAGCTAACGCCTTGCATGGTTCTCTGCCCGGATTGATGCCCAACATTCTTCGGAGTGTTGTGGACCCAGCCCCTTAAACGACCTGCTCTTGGGTAGTAAATGGTAGGGAGCCCATCGAAAGTCACCAGTGAGAATACTAGCTGGACCTTGAAGTTCGTCAGAGACTGACTTACGTGCAAAGGACTTGGTGTTTGTATGATCCATTGATTCGGGTAGGGGCATAGACATTGGAGGATAACCCAAGGTTGCAGCTTGTGTGATTTGGTGCGGATGCAGCCTCACTTATGTCGAGGCCTTTCTGGCTGAACTGGTATTGGAGAAGTCTGTGAATTTGTTGGGCTGGGCATCATGGCAGGCCTGGCGAACAGCCAGCCAATCATGTTGGAGCTTTCAGTCAACCGGTCTGGTCAATATCTGGGTTGTTGCCCCGATTTAGTTCAGTTATTGGAGTCCGCCTCGTGTAGCAGTCGAATGAGGAAAACGATAATACTGTGACGAGCTATGTCGGGCGTGCAACGGGACACATTGAGGTTGCCGTAGCAGGGCAACTGCAGGCATAGCTGTCAGGCAGCATGGGGTGATCACATCTAGCAGCTTCAAAGGCCAGAGCCTGCCGGATCTTGAGGTAAGAAGTAGCTGGTATGTAGTGCAGCCTACAACATTATTCATTGGGACCCTTGATCCGTGGTTTTGTTTGATTGGCCATACCTTTAGGCACTGCCTCAACGGCGGGCGCAGGCTGTATTGATATTTGATAGTCAATGTTCAGCTCGATCTGCTCCTTTTGACTTCTTCAGCATTGTGTGTCGTCGAGGCTTTTCATTCCGAAGAGGTGTCTTGTCTCACAACTCGCTTTGGGATCTTTGAATGCGTCTTCAACACTTTCACGACATGTCTAGCCTTTCTGAGAGAATTGAGCTGGTCAAACAACATGACGCAGAAAAGGCGGATTTATTTAAGGTAAACAGAACAGACAACGATTTTTCCGGGTTACCACTTATCCAGAAGTAGGCTCTCGTGGACCAGTTCAAAGCTCTAGAAGAGGAAAAACAGAAAATCCAACAGGAGCTGGAGTTGTCTCGATATCTCTGTGAAAAGCAGCTGGTAGACCTGAAAGTGAAGGCTCAAGATGTCAATAACCTCCAAAAGACAATGGTACGCAATCCATTCCGGCAACTACCGTAATGCTCATTCCAGCATAGGATTGTGACCCTTTTGTTCTGCTGCTGGTAGATGGCGACATCACCAAGGTAAGATCTAATGGAGTGTGGAGCGTTAAAGCATGTGCTCAATCCTCACCTTGGTGGGATAGTTTTTGGACGAATACATCAAGAGAGGAGCTCCTGGTGGCCACGATGCCGCACGCGATTTGAGAAACGCGGTTTATTCACACTTTCAGCCAAAGCCCAATTTTCTGCTAGACACCAAGATTATTATCCATATCTTTGCCAATATCGCAGGCATGATAAAGACTTACCAGGACTCGAAAATAATGTCGGACCCCGTTGTCGTCCGACAATTTCTGCAAGGCTTTAATCGAGAACATGCACTATCACACTTCATTGATGCAGGAGATGATAAGGAAGCAGCTGACAGTAAAGTCAAAGGTTTGTCACTAGGAAGTTGTCGAGCTTGGCTGACCTGTAGAAGAGGAAATGTGTCTCTTTTTCAACAATACACACTGTAAACATATAATGTTCGCAGGCTCTGGTGACTCGAGTTATGCTGGGTTTTTCCGACAATTTTCGTTGACCACCCAAGTATGCTCAAGAATAGTTCTGGTCGAATCAGTGCCTTTCGCAACCAAATTCAGTGAAGTGGCCGACAAATTTGAAAAGACTGAATTCAAGACCATCTTTCGAGAGACTAAGATTGACACCAGACGACTGTCATTCCGGGACGAGGCAGCTGGTCGTTCTCGAGGATCGCCACCTCCAAGTCATGCCTCCCCAAGTTATGCTTCGACTGTGAAGCACGCAGGCCAGTCTCAAACAGATGTTGATCTTACCAAAGATATGACTGGTTCTACTGGTCCTGAACGCCCAGATGGTAGGAAAATTTATCTGAATAAGGACGGATATCGTGTGGACAAAGATGTAAGACCAGATAAGGGACTAGTAACCAGTCTCAAACCGAGGAAGCTCTGCAACCGCCATTTTCTAACGCGATGCAACTATGTCTCATGCATGCACTCTCATGAGGGATCATTGACTCCAGCGCAAACGGAGGCTTTGCGTTATATCGCCCGCTTGAGTCCTTGTCAGACATTGCATTGTGAAGATCCTGATTGTGTCGCGGGCCATCGGTGTATGGCGGGATCAAGATGTGACCGACGAGGCAGTAATTGTTGGTTTAGCGAGGAAATGCATCACGTCGACACAGTAATTGTCAGATCAGCTCCTTCATAAAGGGTGCTGAAGATTGTTTGATAGTAGTGGCAGATTTTGATGACCGTCGAGCGAAAGAGGCAACCGGATTTTCGAACAATGCAATCACTCTCCTGGTGATACGAATTGGTAGTGGTGTGGTTGTGGTGCCTCGAGTCCAAATGAAAAGTAAGGCTGAGCATTTCATGATTGAACCGTTGCGCAAAACATCCCTGATAATGGGCGGGTGTCATTCCTCATACTGGTTAGAGGAATATTTGAGACTCTCCAATTCTGCAGACAGTATAAGCATAGAGTTGATCTCTTCGAATGTACTCTCGAATTTCAATAGATGCTTTGTATCTATCTCCCCAGATGTGCTTGTAGCCAAACCACTGCGTCTGGATGGACGCAGCTAATCGTCGCCGGCATTTAAATTTAATTGAGACTAGGCTTGACGGCGGGGCGCCGCAGCAGGTAGTATTTGACCCCAGTCGAGCTTGGTGAGAAGAGGATGAGAGCATCGAAGCATCGCTTCTCAAGAAAAAGGGTGGTTCAAAGCGGCGTCACGTGAGTAAAAGCGGCGGACTGCCAAGGCATGGGTGCCTTCCACCTTCACATCCGCTGTGACTTCACTTTCAACTTCCAAAGACCCAGGTTATCCACTGATCGTTCACTTCTTTCCTCCCCACAGAGGTCTGGTTTGTTCCACCTCCATGTCGAAGCTGCGATCTCGTCATCCTCTTTGCTGCAAATTGCCAGCATAAGATGGCGTCTTTTAGGATGAAGGTGGAGGATGTGGTCCAAAAGGATGCTGCTAAGAGCGCCCTTCTCGAGGTAGGCTCTTCTCTCACTCCCTAGGCAAAGCTGACAAGCCCAGGACATGTTGGCTCAATTCGAGCAACTCACCGCTCAACATGATTCCGTCAAACGAGAACTTTCCATGGCCCAAGACACTGCTCGTACTTACTACGAGAGAATGCTGCAAGCTCAATCTGATGCCACAAGGATCATCGAAACAGTTGTGGTGATTCTCGCCGCTGTTGCACCTTTCATCTCTGATCTGGGCTGATTGATGTGTTTAGGAAGGTGATCGTTTTGTTCTGGTTCTCGTGGATGCAGACAGTGTACCGGTGAGAAATGAGCTTACGGATTCTTTGATTGATCACTTCCTCGAGAATGCACTGATAAGTTTAGTTTGTTGATGATTTTGTTGCCAAAGGCATGATAGGTGGCGAGGATGCAGGCAAACATCTTCGAATCGCAGTTGAAGCTTACCACAAACTCAACTCCAACTATCATCCAGATGATCGCATTATAATTCGAGCCTTCGCCAATGTCCTAGGTTCATGGAGGACATACAAAGCAGCACGTACTATTGCAGACGAACTCGTGTTCCATCAGTTCATTGCCGGTTTCAACAGAAGCCACCCACTCTCAGATTTCGTTGATGCAGGCAGCCACAAGGAAGCAGCAGATACCAAGATCAAAGGTATTTAGCTCTGATGCCACAATTCAACCTACCCATTTAACGCTCGCTTAGCGAACTTTGAGCTGTTTTACCGGAATCGACATTGCCAACACATTCTATTCGCTGGCTCAGCCGATAGTGGCTATGCAGGCTTCCTCTCCCAATTCTCCCGACCAAACGAGGTCAATGAAAAGATTACACTTGTTGAAGGTCCTGCATTCCCCTTTGATCTCAGAAAGGTTGCTCAAGGCTTTCGTTACACGACCTTCCCAGCAGTTTTCAGATCGTCCAAGATTCAACTACCTGTTGGCCAAACATCAGTGATGACAGGACTCAAGCGCCCTGGTCCAGAGCTCATCTCGAATAGAGAGCGACCGTCCCCAACGACAGTCCGTACAGGAATAATCACTCCACCAACACCCCAAAGTTCCTCCGGACCTGTATCATCACGCCCGGTTGTACTTCCTCCAATAATTCTCAATAGGTTTGAGCAACGGATCGACACACCTCTTCAGATCGACAAAGACTATATGCAACACCTGTACCAGAACCTCAAGCTATGTAACAATTTCTATCTCAAGGGATACTGTCCGTATGGGTCGAAATGCGAATTCGACCACTCACAGAATCTGAGTCCTATTCAACTCGACACGTTTAGACACAAAGCCAGAAGCTCCAGTTGTCGGACATCCTTCTGTCAGGATCCCACGTGTTGCTTGGGCCATCTCTGCCCCCGTGGTACCGGCTGCAACATCAACCTATGCAAGTTTGCACCAGAAATGCACAACCCCGATACAACCGAGTTGTACGTGTATAATCCTGCTACAAATACGAAACAGCAAATTCCCCCTGCCTAGAAGTCAGTCCATAGACGAAGCCGGTCGAGAGGCCGGTCACGTATCTCGAGAAGAGGTAACCCACCAAGATCGCAGTCCTCGCTGCCAGTACATCGCTCACCAGGAAATGGTACATTATCAGCATCATATGGAGTCGAGAACTCATCCCACTATCCCGGTACCGAGGACGCTGTCCTCCGAATCCCTGGAGCTTTGCCTTCACCACCAGACCCTGGCCCTACTGTGAGATCCGATCCCGACCCCTTGTGCCAACTCATGTAAATCGTTGATCTCATACCATAGATCAGTTCGGTTTGCGTGAGTTTTCAACGATAAGGATTACCGCCAGTAATTGACCAATATCGGGTCTGACGAGATTGGGCTGAACTCGGCTGCAGTCAAATCAGCTCGGGATCCTTCTACTCGGTCTCAGGTGTTTCTCTTCTTCACGTTCCACTGTTGACTCTTACTTGGCGATTTTTCACAGTGCTTTCCGAGTATCTCTACCAGAGAACTTCCGGACTCTGAGCTTCTTAACAAGTACTTGTTCTACTACCATCACCAATTAGCAGGCGAGTTAATCATCACTTTATTCACAGCAACTGTTATAAACGAACTAGATCTGATAGACCGAATCAAGAGTGGTCCCAAATGTCAATAGAACATCACGGGGGCGTTCGGATATGAAGAGGATGGGAATAAATTCAGTAGCCAACAGCGAGACGCCGTCCTCCTTCAATGACAAAATTTCTTTTATTTACTTCTTGTTCAGACTACCTCAACAAATCAATAATGTTATAGCACTGATTTGTAAGGACTCTTCATGTCGCTGTAGTTCATGGCGAGAGCGACAGGGTTCCGTCTGCCTCACTTCTATTGTTGGTTCGAGATCTGCCGCCAATCTATTTCAATAGCCTAGGAAGCTTCATTGATAACAACCGGTCAGCCTGACATGACTGCCCATAGACACCTTCATGGATGTCGTTCGAGTTTGCCACCTCCACCTTTGTTCAGGGTGTCATCCAGGGTGTCATCTCCTATCGGGCAAGAGGAATCACAGTAGTGGATAGGGTCCTCTGATGCTGTGTAGGCCACTCGCTTGAGACACTCTCGTTCAGAATAGCTCCTCGCGATTGCAGTCCGGTGTGCGAAGAAGTCCAGTCAGCACACCGAATGGCTGAACCGATCGGGTTGTGTATAGAAATGGTGACTTCGCTGGGCCTCACGAATTCCGTTGCGAGAGGGACCCTTTCGGCAGAGCGCCGTCTGTGAGGCATGCAAACTGGCATTTCTGATTACAGCAAGAAGCCTGTGATGAGAGAGTTGCTCTCGCGGAGATTTCATGCACCCAACAGTGATAAAAACTGGCATATACACCATGATTTCAATCATTCACAAAGGCCATGCTTTTCCTCAACTCTCGCTCCCTCTGTTTGCACTGCAGCTCCAACCTGTCAATAGCATACTGCAATCTCTCTTTCTTCTGCTGCAGTCGTTTCATCTCCAGCAGCTTCGACTCACTCAAAGTTGTGGAAGTTGTGTTTTCCGTAGTCCGTTTAGGCTGCGTAGAACCGCCGAAACTCGAATTCCGGCTATTACTGGTATTTAACCTCCCATTCAAGAGTTCAGATCGTGCTTTGAGGCTCTCCTCTTTTCGTACGAGTTGATCAATGTGCCTCTCAGCTGTGGAGACGAGTTGGTGGATGGCTGGTACGATCTCGTCAACCAAAGACTGTTGAGCTTCTCGAAGTGTTGGTTCGGCCAGGAGTTCGAAATGTTGTTGGGTCTGGAGGACTTTGCATAGGCGGGGGAAGTCGGACACCCCTTCGTCCAGTATGGATATGCTAGAGTCGAGGAGTGATAGGGATGATCGCAATGAGGAGACTGCAGGGCCTAGAGACGCCATCTCGAGTGTAAGAGAGGATGCTGCTATCGTCAACTTGATTGCGACGATTTACTATGGGAAGGTTGTAAACAAGGCTGCGATTTCCCCGCTCCTTAGGGAGAGACGCGTCTTATGTAAGCGCAAAACAAACTCGTCAAATTTGCCAAGAGCGGACAAAAGCTCGCTGCAGACTTGGAGCTTCAAGCAGAGCTCGACCCTGATAGACAAGTCCAACACGAAATCACCAATTCCTCAACCAGATCAAGTCAGAATGCCTAGCTGGATCCCCAAGAAGTTCCCCGGCAAAGTTGGTCAGTTCAGAACCGCTATCACTATTCATGGGAAAAGCCAACTGACCCCTTCACAGCCGAGCCGATGATCCCTTTCTACGCCGCAGGCCTAATTGTCTTGTACGCAGTCAATGCTGGCGCCAACGCCATGATGGGCTGTGAGTGATCGCCTGACCCTCTTGCTTTGAGAGAGCTCCTTTGGACCGTGTGGACTGCTAACCTTCAACGCAACAGCGGACGAGTTCAAGAATGATCCCCGAAATCCTAACGCCAAAGGTGACGCCAAACCCAAATAAATTCTCGAATCGAATTGGTCAATTTCACGAGAACGAAATTTGAGAGGACTGCTCTGGAGATGGCACGCGGACCCAGAATGTTGCTCTCTGCATTGTACATAAATCAAGCATAGAAAGTGGGAATTGAAAAGAGCTGCGAACTTCAATTGACTCCACCTATACTCAAAATCAGTCATCAATCAACAATTCCTGTGAATTCAGATTTCAGTTTTGTCCCGATGTTTGAAAGGGGTTGACACTAGCAGCTACAGCCTCCTCATGACGTTACTAATAACTACGTCCAAACACTCAGCTCAATCAACTCTGGGGATAATTCTCCGCAATAGAAAGACATGCGCTATTTTCACGGCATTGAATGCGTTGATCTTTGTTGTTCATGACCGTACGCCGGCGTCATCTAGGCTGAACTACGCTGCAACTAGCGAGCGAGGAGATAAAACGTTCGCAAGGTCCTGACTTCCAAGGGCATTCAACAATCCTTTAACTTACCCTTACAAATTACAGATCTGAGAAATCGATCAAGGGGCGAGGCATATAGTGAGTCGCTCCAGCACTCAATTGTGTCAATAGGTAAGCTTTGCAAAGTGAGGGTAAAGGTAAAGGCTCGGCCTAATGAGTTTTAGATGCAGTACAAGCCAGCAAATGATGAACACCTGCTCTTACCGAGCGACTTGTGGAGCACAACACTGTTTTTTTTTTGTTTTTGTTGAAGGAGCCTTATTTCCGGGCCCCTGAGACGAATTATGCTGCAGTCAACCAATTCGTGGTATCTAGAGATATCTCTGCCCACAGTCTGTTTCAGCTTCCCATGACAGCTTGGTCAATCCAGGTGCAGGACACACGGCAGACATGCCTGGCCCTTGGGTATCAATCGCGCATTGACACCCTTGTCAAACTCCATCCGATGACCACTATTTCTGCCGATCTATTCAGAACAGTCGGAGATGGTTCATGTTAGCAACGAGACTGTACTCATATGTCATCATCCACGCATGCTTTGGAGACTACTCATTAGCAGATCCATGAACCCGATCAACGTGTCTCAACAATGAACCTAGATCATGCTTTCAAGTCGAGGAGCACTGCCTCAATTGCCAGTGCTTGGCTAGGTCTTCTTTGTTAGCAAAAGCGACTAACTACAGTCGCCCTTCTTGTACGCGCTACTACATATACCTTGAGTGTATAAAGCAGGGCTCAACATGTCATCGACTTCATTCCTGATCTTTCACCGTCAACATCCATTCTTTGTTATACCCATCATGTCCGTGCTGAATATTGCGACTCACGTTCTCATTGTCCGGCTCTTTGTCCTCCCGAATACATCAATCAACATTTTCCCAGTGCTCATCGTTCGATCGAAGATGCCCTACACACCCTTGGGCCGGCGGTTCAGGCATGAGGATAAATATATGAGCTTGATATTGCTGCTCATCCTAATTTACTTGTTTCTTCAACACAGCTTCTTGACAGGACGTGGGCTGGTTCTCTCAAAATAACCAGTATAGGACTATTTCGCAGACTCCTCAAGGTCTTTTCGAAAACCTAACGATTAAACACGTTCGTCAAGATGGCTTGGTCTTTCGAAAGATTGACCCTGCATCCATTCATCCTCAATAACCTTCCTATCATCGTGATGGTAGGTGAAATTCTCATCGGGCTGGTGGCTTTTGGTTCCCCTATGGTCTACTATCATGTCTATGGTATGAAGGTCGATGATGGTGATATTTGAGAGGTAAGTTCTCATTGCAACCCCTTTATCTCGATACTATCTAGGGATTTTAGATTGATACTGATCTATCCTCGCAGGAGAACTTCACATCCTATATATATAAATGGACCATCTTCTACGTGAGGAGACTTAACATTGTTATTACGGTCAACAATAATTATCAGCTTTCAATATAAACGCATCTCCAACGGATCTTAGGTCTTTTATGATATCGCAACTACCTGACAGATGGTTGTCTGGCTGCTTCGGTCATTACGACGAGGAGCCCAAGCCTGAAGATCGTTCTCAGCGCTTGAAATATGCCATCAACCTAATCGGACGAGGCGAAAGTGCCACAACGACAAAAGGAAATGCGTCACGCGCCGTCTAGATGGAGCGGGAGTTATACTGGCTGCAACATCCCCTCGCCAGCTAATGACCGAGTATCTGAACCATTCCTGGGGCAAGGGAATTCGACTCCTCATGGCCGAAGGGGTTCCTGCCTGTGAGCTGTACGACAACCTTTTCCAACAATGCGAAGGATACGTGCATCTCTACGAGTATTTCGAAAATTATCGATGTGACCCGGATTCCACGTCTTTAATCCCCGCCGCATTATCTACCTCGAACAAGGAATATCCAAAAGAACAGCGCCAGTTGCACTAGAACCAAAGACTTTGCGCGTTACAAGCTTTCAGGGTTCCCTAAGGCAAGATCATTGGTCACTCGATGTCAATTCTTTGTCACTCTGTGAGGCAGAGGCTGGTCTCTTTGTTGAAACCTGAAAGAGAGCATTGTTCATCGAACTTCATTATCGAATATGATACTGTGTCTCCATTCTATTCACTGCCTGAGAAACTCCGCCAACTCGATAGCAGTAGCTGCCTCAGACGAGTTCTCTGGAATTGATAAATATCACTGGATCTCCATTGCCACTTATTCTCTCTCTCTCCCCCCTCCCTATAACACACCTTCGAACAAATCAACCTTCGACCTAATTGCCCCCGAGGAAAACGCAGAAAAGATGTGTTTCAAATGCTTCTTAAATATCCTTTGGCGCTTCATTGTGCAATGGGTTACACTATCTATTAGTGTTTTCGCCGTTCTAAACCTCGCTTTGGCAGTGCCATATCTCACACCAGCCGAGTATCAGTGGCATGTAAGCCAGTTCGGCGATGCCCTCAGAACATACCTCGGTTCCTTCCCCTTCCCAGGTTCAGAGAAGATTGTTTGGCCAGAGCTGGTCTCCGTGGCCCGGGTTGGATCCTGGACTCTTGCTAAATTCAAGTTTCGTCCTGACTTGTTCTTGACGGACGCTTTCGGCCACCTCTGGATCTTGTTTGCTGCATGGCTCTTCTGCAAGGTCATGCTCGCTTATGACGCAGCACAAATGCCACAGTTCTTCTCGCTTGGTGTTTTGCTATTCGGCGAAGTATTATGGGAATTTGGTAAGTTGCGGTCACTCCTCTATTGCATGGCGATTGCTCAGGTCGTTCTGGGAGCCACTTTCCTTGCACCACACTTCCTGATGCTTGGTTGGATTTTATTCGCCGAATCCTGTGCCATCCATAAATTTGACCGTACGCTTGAGGCACTTTGCCATGAACTCAGGCGTTTTATAATACTGCAATTACGCGCTAGGCTTTGGTTCCATTGGCAAGTACCTGTTTAGAACGGACCGGGCTTGAGTGTGCCTCGCTGAGGTAGATTCATCGGTCGCAAACCCACGCTAGGTCAACCTATCATGCGATGAGTACAAGGGAACTTTGACCGCGTGAAGACTTCGCTGCGCAGGTTCAACACCCGTCAAATTCAAATGTCAGGTGTCATGAGTCGCTCGGTAGGCGAGGCTACATCATGAGGAAGATTTCAGGTCGCCAAGTCGTCAACACTGTTGGGCATTGATCATCATGATGGCTGTTGCCATTCAGGTGATATCGGATTTCAGAATTGGAGACTTACTGTCATCAGGCACGCATAATGCCTAGATCCGAACAGAAACGCATGAATGCAAGCGTACTTTGCTCAGGTACGCACACTGAGCACTCTCGAATAGCAGCTCAGAATTTATTGCCTGCCATGGCCATCTAAGTACCAAGCAGAGATGAATAGCAACTCAAACGTAACATAATTGTATTTATTATCGAGAGAATGTAATGTTGAAAACAATTATCTCTGTGAAGATCCAAAATGTTGGGAACTCCACAAGGCTGCCTACCCCCTGACCAGACATTCCTTTTTCGTTTCCTTTTTTTCTCCGAAGCTCCGCTCTCCTTCGGGGATCGAATTAAATTGTTCGTCGCGCTGGATAATAAATTCATAGTCTACGCGCGCGTGGTAATCAAATCTCGGCAAACACCGTAGGCAAGAAAGATGAAACGAAGCGGACTTTTCTTAAAGCTGGTTCCACTTCGCCGCAGGCACTTCGTATTCGCATGCTCTGGCTACCGCGCGCATTTAGCCAAGGACTTGATGCAGCTCAAACATACAAGGTACTTACATACCTACGAGTAGATACGATACCCTCGCTGGGCAAACAAGGTCTACAAATGAGCAAATCACGCTTAGTATTATTCCATGCGTTTCATATGCAGCGAGCACCCGTACTCTTACTCACTCGTACGGAATAGAGCGACATGAAGACAAATCCCCAGCCAACCAAGGCTGGGGGAGGCTCGAAACCGCCCCGTCGATAACGAATCCTTTCCGCCCCCTCCTACAAGTTCCGCCCCCAACACTCGGCGAAGTTTGTGCAAGATACCCATCAAGGAAAGAACCTTGCAAGAACCAGTCCTTGGGCCTGGAACATGCCGATATCACGACATCAGGGTTCGTCTGGCAGATAATACGCCAACACCTCGTCCACATGGGACATACTGTAGGCTGTAGGCAGGTGCCAATAATCGACAAATCTGCCTTACGATGCAAGGCTGTCCAGGGTCGCTGTCAACGGGCAAACCGAGGACTAACTATTCCTCGTCTACAGACTACCAAACGCTGGATCGCTGCACCATGATGCACGGCTCGGCACCAGGATCAGACTTGTGAAATCGAGAGATCTCTCATACTTCGTCTGTACATCTCACCAGGCCCCGAAGAATACCAGTCCTGAAGGACTCATCACCGCGACACGTCTGGCGGAGTCTCGACTGCCAAATGGCCATCATACCTTGATATTCCAAGCCTCAGCGATTAGTAACGATAAGTTCAGAGTCGACAACGAGGAAGGCCACATGATGATTGATTGATTGATTGTTTGTTTCTATCCAAGCAGCAGCCCCATCTATTTTGAGTCCCCTCCTCCCCTCGAATGGCATTCCTGCCATCTGTAAACATATCTGACTGGGCCTTTGCCTGCATGTCATCACATTACAACGACTAAGCTGACTGGGCATCCCATCTCACACAGTCCACACGTTTGTTTGTTCCAAGGACAGCCGAGGGGGTTTGTTTCTTTGAACTATAGGATTCTCAGAAGAAGATGCGGATGTCCGCACCTACTTCGTACCTTGTACTTTGCGAATCTGAACTTGCGCCGTCAAATCGCTTTGCATTTTCGCTCCTCGCTAGGCTTTTCTCGCAGTTCCCTGTTCCAGGGATCTGGAACATTGTGAAATTGTATGCGAGATTGGCGATAACTTGTTTGATCTGTTGCCACAATCAGAAAGATGCGTTGGTGATTGTGAAGCCAGTGCACTTGACTGTTACCTCTAATGTGCTCGAGTGACGTCTATGAAATGTCGCGAGCGGTGAATTAAGTATGGACCTCAAAACGGAGATAGCTACGTGTCTTGGTGGCGCGTCCTGTTGACCGCATACAGAAAACCTTCACATGATTTGAGGCTACCAACGCGAGAGACAGTGAATCATGTGCATGTCAGATAGCCAGCGGACTTGCAAATAGACTGTCACACATTAATTTTATTGATTGACTCGATAGATAGCATAGTAGAAGAACCCCGATTGATCATGCAACATTTCTTTTTCATCTGGCTGAACTTGGCCTTCTGCCCGACTTGGAGCGGCTGAGTCTGTTTGATTTGCTGAATTTTGTCGACAGAAAAGAAAACAAATAGTCAAAAAGATTCCGTCTCCCATCCCTTCGTTCTTTCGTCGATTCCATTGGGGTTCAACCACCACCACCAACTTCGAGACTCTCTCTCCATATTCAAAAAAAAGATCCGACACAAAAGATTCGTTCAGAATGTGTATGGCCCAGACACTGCGCTCTTGCGCAACTTAAACCATCCCAATGCCTTTTCGAAACCAGAAACGCCGTTCCCGCTCATACCATGATAACATAGTGAAATTGGACATGTGACATAGATACAGGGTGATGAACATGATGAGATTATATTAGTGTATTGCTGATGGTGGTCGTTCACATGATGCATCAAAGCACCATTTATCGTGGGCCAGGACCTCTGCTTGGGCCACCTGGGAATGGTGGAGGAGGTCCCATTGGGGTGCCATCAGGTCCAAATCCTGGTTTTCCTCCAGGACCACCTGGCGGGCCACCTGGACCACCTGGACCTTTACCTCCTGGGCCTCCGGGGCCACCTGGACCTTTGCCGCCTGGACCTCCAGGACCTCCAGGACCGCCTGGACCGCCTGGACCACCTGGCGGACCCTTCGAGGCCAGCGAACTTCTCTTTCGGAGCTTCTCACCGAACATCCACAGGAGGATTGGCGTAGGAACACCGATACCAATGGCAGCAATAGCCAATACCGTGTTGCCCCAGCCGAAGTCCAGAGCATCGTACATGAATGGAGCAAACAGAGGAAATCCAAATCCAGCAAGGGATCGGAGAACAGTGACAGCAGCGACTGCAGAGGCGGCCATACGAGCATAGGTGTCAACCAGATAGGTAGTTACGCACTGGAAGGCAGCAATCGTACCAATGCCGAAGATGAAAGACCCAATGTTGGGGACAATCCAGTGTGTTTTTGCTTGGGCAGACCAGCCGTAGGTCAACAGACCGATTGGAACCAAGAAGGAAAATGGAATGACCAAGGGCATACGATACTCGGGTTTACCTTGGCCACGAGGATCCTTTTTCTTGAGCTTCTGATAGATCTTGTCGCTCGACTTTCCACAGACAGGTGCACCGATGAAGAAGCCGAGACCGAGAGAAATATAGTTGAGGCCAGAGATGCCGACACCTTGGCCATAGACGTTTCTGTAAAGATCGGGGAACGTGGAGAGAGCAAGATAAAGCACACCATATGAGAAAGCCATGTAGAGGGCCAGGACCACGACGATTGGTTGAGTGAACAACATTGAAAAAGCGCGACCCATGGTCTTGACGACCTTTTTCCAGACGGGTTGATTCACCTCGCCCTCACCATCAGCCCAGTAGCGCGAATCGCCAGTTTGTTTGCGGATAGCCTTGGCTTTCTTGTGTAGAATGTATGGTGCATAAGTCTCGCTCAATTTCCAGAAGCCTGCTACCAGGATGAAAAGGGTCGTGATAGAACAGGCGTGAAACATCCATCGCCAGGTTGATTTCTCGGCAACCCAAGCCCCCACGATTGGGCCGACAGCAGGGCCGAGCAGAGGACCCATGGCGTAGAGACCCATTGCCTTGCCACGCTCTTCAGGTTTGAACAAATCACCCAGTACGCCGCCTCCAATGGCAAGGGGTGCAGAGCCACCAAGACCAGAGAGGAAGCGGAACGCCATAAGCTGTTCTTTGCTTTGAGCAAACCCACAGGCGATGTTGAAGGCAAGAAATACCACGTTGGAAAGTTGTAGAACCACCACACGGCCATATAATTCGGAGAGAGGACCCAAAAACATGGGGCCGATGGCGTAGGCCAACACAAAGATGGAGAGGACAATCTGTCCCTGGATTCTGTTTGTGGCGGGAATGTCGAAGTCGCGCATGATCTGGGGGATAGCGGGCGCAACCATAGAAGATGCCAGTGGCGATAAGAAGGTGAAGGCGGCTGTGAGTGCCGTGACAGCCCACTTCTTCTTTGAAGGCCAGTTCTTGGGATTGAGTGGGTCGTCTGGACCGTTGAATGTGACCTATCAAGCGTGTCAATAGCAGCATTCCTGAGTTCTTACAATGATTCAACACATACCTCGTATTGGTCTGAAGGAGGCTTCCATCCTCCTGGGCCTCCTGGGCCGCCGGGACCTTTTGGACCACCGGGACCACCTGGCCCTCCTGGGCCTTTTGGCCCTTTTTGACCTTCAAGATCGAACTTGGCAGGATCCTTCCTGTCGGTTGAAGTCTGAACGGGGAGGGGAGTGGGACCATGCCCGTGTCCATGGTCTTCTTCGCAGGTACACCAGGACTCGTGGGAGTGTTTGGAGTGGTTTCGTTCAAGAGGAGGGGACATCATCTGCGTAAGTGGTCGCTTCTCATCCCGGGGATATGAGTTGTGAAGCGTGTTCATGGCCAAGGTCTCTTCTGACTGAGTGGGATAACGAGGGACTGACTGATCATAGAGGGAGTCGTTGTTGTTGAGATAGCCTTCGGCAAGTAACCTCTGATTTGCTACGAAATCTTGGTTGCGGTCGAGGTAGTGGTCGTCACTGACCAGTCTCGAGTCTCGAGTCCGGAAAGAAGGAGCATATGAGGCCATGGAATCGGGTCGGTTGTGTTGAGATCGCATGGAGCCTTGGTCGTCATACTGGCCAACGTGATAGTCTGGACCATCGTCATAGAGGACAGCGAAGGTAATCTCACTGCTGGCACGGTCGGAGCCAGGGGAGGGTTCGGCAGGTAACGAACGATGTCGGTAGGGTTCGGTCGAGTTCAGGCGCCGTAACGAGGGGAATCTGGAGTTCAAGGCGGGCTGTGAGAATGGACGCAGCATGCCGTTGCTCCTGGAATCGTCTTCCATGGTGGAAGACGCGGTGTGGTGATGGTATGTATTACGATGGTCGCCAGCTAGGGAAGTGGTCAAAGCTGGTAAAGGAGTCTGTGGACGTGAGTGGGAGTCGTAACCACTTGCGACTTCCCAGCTGTCCCAAGATGTTGGAGCCGCCAGAGCGTTTGAAGAGGAAAAGAATGTAACGAATGTGGAGGGTTGGACGGGAAGGGGAGGGAAAAAGCTATTACAACAACAAGAGAGATGGATGGGAAGGTGGATTAGATGAAAGAGAAGAGACAGGGAGCACGGGGTGTATGTGAATAGATGATGGTGACGGGACGGGGTGTGGGTGGAGGAGGGCAGGGCAGGCCAAGGGCAGGCACAGGAGGAGGGCTTTGGCACGGTAAAAGGACATGGGAGCTGGAAGATCCGCACGCAGGATGACCGACGAGGATTAGGATTAGGGATGAGGGATGAACCAAAGACGAGAGAGAGAAAGCTCCCCCAAGCCCAAGTTCGGGCTGTGGCCTGTGGCCAGTGGCCACGGGAGTCTGGCACTGCTCCTGGCAAGATGCACACTGGGCACCGGCAGCCGGGGCTGAGGCTGTGGACGGCGGGCCCCTCGGGTCTAGTGTTTAGTACCCTTCCGGCATGGTCTGGTGTCCGTGTTCGTTAGCGTCACCACTTGGGGACTTGGGCTTCATTAAGGCCCCGTGTCATGTTAACGGAGTACGGACTGCAGGAACCATGTGGTGAGAAGAGGCTTTGCTCGCCACGGAGTCTCATTCTGCAACGGCATGATATGAATACCATCAGAGCATGATGTTATGGGTATGCCGGAGAGGCCAGCAAGAAGAGGGAGATGAGCAGCCTGAGAGAGTTCAGCCCGCACGGTCATGTCGGTACTGTATTACAGTTTACAAGAGTGGTACCCCGTACCTATTCTAATTCATGTACCGTTACAATCGTTCTTCCCAACACAAGGCTCAGGGCTGTTGGCACCTGCCCGTTAGGACTTGAACTCTTAGTACCTCACTCGTACTAAGCACCAACATGAAACAGGCAGCTTGGTATTGAAAATAGTCTTAGACGCGACCTAGCTCATTCTCTCGAGAGTATTGATTGGCACTAGCCCCGGTTAAGCCTTGATGGCGAGCCAGATGTGACCAGGGCGCCCTGCTTCTTTGAATCGCATTGTTTCTAAATTGAGTCCGTAGCGTGTCTCGCTAGTCCTCTGAGTGGACTCCCTCAGCCTGCGCCGCAATCTTGATCCTAGCTCATGGACCAGGATGCTACTCCTCACCTCCACGGACTTTGTAGCCCGACCACCGGGCTAAAAGCGCCTCACAGGAAGCCATCAGGCGGTATTGGGAATAGTGGTGGACCACCTGACCCAATCCTGTCCCCTTTAATCAATGGTCCCCAGAAAACAAGCTTGCCTGTTGACAGGATTGACGGAGCATAATTCATGTCCGAATCGATGATACCACCATCGAAGGACTCGGAGTCGGTCGTACAAGAAATGACACTTGCACTTGATCCTCATGAAACCTTGCTGGTCCAAGTTTCAATAATAACAAACAACACCAGAAGGTAAGTACTTCGTAATGTTATGAGCCAAAGAATGAGAACGTCCCGAGCCTCTCCCATCATCATATTCCCAATTTCGAAATGCACACGAATGCACATGCCCTCCCCTTCAAGCTTCGAGTTTGCTTTGCTTCGACGACTCCAATTTACCTCTGGCTTGGCGCCCCTGATAATCCCCCCAACCGCTCCAGCACATCAACGGCAAGAGATTGTGCTTGTCCTCTTTCGCCTCTTGTGTCTGACTTCGAATCTTAGGCTTACACGCTACCATTATCGATTCGTGAGCTTGTTCGAGAAGAGTGCAAATTTCATCTGCATCTCGTGCACCCCTAATGACCAGATTCGTCCATAATGCCAATCCACATGGATATCCACAGACATTTGCCATGCGGCTGAACGGCTCCGTCTTGATCCATCGTTGCTGGCGCTGTGATATTGTCCCGAATCCTAACCCTCGTTCCACTCAGCGAATGCGAATGAGGTCAACGTGTTACAACTGGCCGATATTCGACAGCCCTGTACGGATACGGATACTCGCTTGTTAGGGTGGTACGCACACATTCAGGCCTATTCTCCGTATCACCATATCCATTCTTTCAGGGCTCGAAGAATGAAGCCCTAGTCACCTTGGCGCCTACCAAACCATGTCCGAAAGTGCCTTTATCCGTCCTCCTCACCATCGAGCGCGGCCCCCGGTGTGGTAGACAGTGTGAATCAGCCACTTGTGGATCAGCATTCGACTGCACAATTCGTAAGCACTTTGGCTCTCGCTTCTCCTGAAACGTTCGTAGTCTCTCAAGATCTGGCTCTGGCTGATCAGGCCAAGTCTCATATCGTCTCACTTTCCAACACCAACAACGCAATTCTCCGTATAGATGATCTTGGGCTTGAGGAAACGCCGGGAGATATCAACAACGTCAAGGTCCGAAAATAATAATGTCTTTTGGTGACACGCGCTATTTCAACAGTCACGAGGTTCAATACGCCATGTGAAACCGCCATCAACCCAAATCCTCCACGCCGGTCTTGCGGCATGGGCGCCGAAACGTGCACTTTGTGGAGAGTCCCATTCTGAGGGTTGGCCGCTACATCCACTCTATCGATACTGGCGATAACAGCAACGACGGCGTTCTTTCACCAACGCTCCCGAGTGTTATTTCACTCTACGTACTCGTAGTACGAACGAATCTACGATAATGCTTTCCGTTCCAACCCTTACGGCCCATCCCTTTTGCTCAACTTAAATTGCCATTGGGCGGAGAGAATCTGGCCTTGTGGCGACAGGACCATATGTTCGGATTTCGTGATAGGGTTCTCATATCTCAATAAGAATAGATATACTCAGTATCCTCCCTGAAACTCCGGAATCGTCGGGCGACGTGTGCGTGCACACCCCACGGCGAATGCGAGGCACCGTAGCCGATCAGCCGTGCTGAGACCACATATCGACTGTAACAGCAACACCGACATTCTTCGTATAAACAGTACGAGGTAGGTAGGCAGCCGTCGATGGTGACGCCCACGTCTTGTACGTGTCGACTAGAGAACGTAATCGGGTAAGCAGGGGATCCCAGCTCCGTGGGTTGACACATCGGCCACTCTGGAGTTTTTGACCCCTTCTCAAAGAACCACCAGGTGGGTTGATTGTCTCTCCGATAGGTTCTAAAAAAAGGTTCATTTTTGGGCCTTTTCCCCGCCAAATAAGAACCGTACCCCTGTCCGCTATGATTGAGCTCCATCCGCAGCCCGCAGGATTGTGTTTTGTAATCGTACCTGGTATCCCTAGCCAAGTAACCTTTGAGATCGCATGTCATCATCATACTCACAGACTCATAAGTCCGGCTTATTCATTGTAAGAGAATTAAGCACGCCACCGCGGCGATGAGAACACCAGATGGCTTTGTGAGAATTCGTGCAAGATCATATCACAAGACAAATCAGAGGCTGTAAACAGTAATGTCGGCTATTGAGTTCCAGTCAGCTCAGCTACCTGCCTACTCCGTCTATCGACAGACCTGACGGGCTACGAGAACGAGGGACGGAGGAGTCGCTTGCCAACGCAACAAAAAACCACAGTGGGACTGGACTCTGCAAGCGGGCAGGATCATATAGGGCTGTAACCCTTCGACCTCAGCTGCCCATTCGTCGGCTTTCAACGGGGATCTTGCCAGGATCAGACTGCGTCAGAGGTGCATTCAACCTATCGACCTGAAGCTTGGCTTTCCGTAACCTACTGCAAGTTCTACCCAACTTTCCAAGTCTGTAGCTTTGAACATGCAAGAACCCTTCGCTTTCCGGCCCTTTTCCCTGTGAGCCGAATTTGAAGCTGTCATGGACTTTCATTTCATGGACTGAAGGAGGGAGGGAAACAGGATATCGACCCCATCTGACGTGCAGTAACTTTTCCTGCTTCCGCCTTCTAGACACACGACAATTGGGCTACATTCCCTTGCGGCATGAAGATTGACAGGAGATGAGAAATGCTTAACGTTAGGGTTGAAAGCGGTTCTTGTTTCCCTTACTGGACCTTCCTGTCTGGTGACGTTAATGGCTGCGGGATGAGCGTCATTGTTCCTGGATGCCTCAGCACTATCCATTGAAAGAGCTCTGAACTAAGTACCTTCGTACTATCCAGAATAGATTATTGACCAAAGCTTTTTTCTCCCTTTCACTCTGTAGTTTCACGATGGTGCGGATGAGAAAAGCTCCGAGGGAGAATTAAGTTCTATCTACTCGTCGCTCCTAGAGGTAAGGCAGGAGCTTCGCTCACCATGAGTCAATTCGTACTAAGTAGTCTTCAAGCTAACAGCTGAAAAACATGCAAGCAACGACATGGACATTTCGCACTAGTCGCTCAGAGTTTGCAGCTACTTCGTATTCAACTGCGATTACCTATTCAAGGTAGTCATTCGACAACCGTTGTCGCGATAGCCTGAGAAACTGCGCAGTGCGCAGCGTTTGACCGAGTCTAGCAAGGCACTAATGATGGCGCAAGCCGGGCTTGTCAGGATCCATTTGATTCGCGCCTTGATCGCATGGGTACGCAGTGCGGAATACACCGCTGTAAACTGACTATCGGATGGGCGTGATAAGCTCGAGTCTCGAGGGAAAGCAGATCATTATTGCAGTCTGCAGGCAGTCTCGAACCAAACGCCGTTGTCGACAAGAAGAACTCCTCTATCAATACGAAGAATGGGGTCAAACCTTGAAAATTAATCGAAGGCTGGGCCCAAGCTTCGAAGAAGACACCCCAACGTATCGTGTTGGAGAAACTTTCATTCAACCTTGTCTCACCTCTTGAGCTTCTTTCCACGCACACGACGCTAATAATGTGCTGTTTTGACTTGCATTCGATAGTTCATTGCAGACTCGATTTGCAGCCTTGAAACAACTGTCAAATGGCAAACCCGGAAGGCTCGCATGAGGCAACCTTTCGCTCGTGACATTTGCCTGCTCAGGAAGGCTTCTTCAGCAAGTGGCTATCATATACAAACGTGAACACACGTCACCCCTCACCCTTTCTGTATGGTAATATTGTCCTTTCGGAAACCCAACTTTGAGTTCCCCCAGCTTGGGTTCAATAGTCCCTGGGATAGTTTGGTGATCTGCTCGCATGGCTATGCACGGTGCGGCAAATCTTTGATGGAGGCTAGTTACTTGCACCCCGCATCCTGCAGAAGCAGAGCATAAATATGGGCGTTTGAGGGCTTGCAATAGCTCGCTTCCCCAGCCACCTGAATTTCGAATTTGGCAACAAGTCACGGGTCTGTCCGTATGGTCATTCACCTGTCATGAATGTACAGCGCTTGCTCATGCCACCGATCCCTTTTGCAACGTCAAAGTGATAGCGACAGCGTTTGGATAGGCTCACCCCCTTTTCTGGGATGGGTGCGATCAGCCTTGCACCCGTCAACCCATATCTGTCGCACACTGTTGTTGAGACCTAAAGTAGCCACCTTTACCACCACCAAGGGAACTCCGATCTATTGGAGTTCCCACTATCCACCACGTTCGAACCATTGACCGTGTTGATCTTGTTCCAGTGAGCAAGCTTGTTCAATGTGTGAAGAGGATTTGTCCTTGCGCTATGTACCGGGCTTGTGGCGACGGCAAATATGACCTGATCAATGCTGAGCCTGAATGAGATTGCGATTATTCCGTGTTTACACCTCCACAACCTGTTAACCATCCTGCAGGTGCTTGGAGGCTACGACAGCGTCCCGCAAGTGGAGTTACGCGAGGATGCAATGTTGCAGTCTCATCTGGAGAGTTTCATCTCCCTCAGCTACAGTAACTGCACCAGATATCAAGAACAAAACCTCAAGTCGAAGAATTACAAAAACCGATGCTAAAGAGCCTGATTACGGTAGGTAGGAGAGGAGTGGTCAATCAACGTGCCCGCCAACTGCGCCATCTTTGGGGCAAGATGGACCAGTGAACTTTGTCCAGAGCTGATTTAGGGATTGATTCGCATCTATCAATTGATATACCATTAGAGCCTGTCTACGTTGTAGGTATAGGACGTACCGTACTCGCGCCCGTGGGAGCCAACTCACCAGATCCTCCAGGGATGATACCTGAGCGCTGGGCTTGAGCACTTGGTTAGCTGTGGTGTTTTTACTGTCGCATTCAGCCTCGTCTGTTAGCACGGGCCCCCTTCCAGAGGACTCTGTCCTTCAAGTACAAAGACCAAGACCTTCGAGCTACTGCTAATGTCTATCTCTTTTGCCTTCTGAGTATGACTTGAAATCAACCTTCCGCCTGTTCATGAAGTGCCGATCTTCTCCTGTCTGAACAGGAAAGAGTACAGCAATGCAGAGATTAGTACAATCACTTGTTATGTGGGAGTGAGTGGCTCGCTTGAAATTCTCTGATATGCTGGCTAAGCTGAGTTCAATGTCCCCATCATGTACCGCAGACAAATAGGCGGCCCAGGCTTCTTATTGTCACTTATGAAAGGATAGAAGAGTCTCATACAATTCATCCACGTTCCTAAAAAAAATAAGCAATAACGTCGACACCCTTCAATACTGCCGTTTCGTCTTGAACTGCCCCCTCTCAGCACCAGCCCCAACTCCGACGGTGGAATATAATGCTTGGTTCAATGTGTACTTCGACTCTCGGTCGTCACCACCATCGCCTCTTTTCCAGTCGCTCAGACTCTTGTTATCGCTCATTGTCAGCCGATCTTGCCCTCTGATCATGAGATTCTCTCCTTGTCAAGGTCGTCTGAACAATTGACACAACTTGCAGTGACTCGTGTAAGACGTCGTAGAGGAGAGAAAGAATCCAGCAGTAGCGCAATGATCTCAGCAATGATCGAACAAGAAGTCCTTCATGCCCTGGCGCGAGCATATTGAATCCAGTATAGGGGAGGGGAGATATTCTGTGGAATGGGACACAACGACACATGTCGCTCCCCAGGCTCAATCTTGTCATACCCTGTAACTCCATCATAGACTACTGCTCATATGCACTCTGAAGCAGAGAGAATCCAAGCCACGTGTGGTTGTGGGTACCACTGTTGCTTTCAGCCTCGTTGGTCCGAGGGTTAAAAGGCGGCAATGGCCAATATTGTCGGGTATCAATGGATCCATGTCCCCAAAGAGTCGATCAGGCGGTCCACAGGCACCATGGGGGAAGGGCATGGTCGAGAGAAATCCCTTGTTCTATGAGTTCACGCATTCGACTTCTCCAGGATATTCCCCTGGGCGTCGCGATCTCTATTCGCACGCCAAACCCCCTCCTCCATCTCCCCCGTATCCGCGAACCATTCCTTCTTCCAGATCTCAGCTCGAGCTTTGACGCGTTCGAGGATCTCTTCGGCTCCTTTCCAGCCCGCAGCTCTATGCCCACTACTGACGGCAACGGCGATACTCTCTTCTTCGACCTTGACCTCCCCCATGCGATGGACGATGGCGACTTTCTCCAGTCCATGCTTTTTCTGCACATCCTCGGCGATCGCGTACAGTGACTTCAATGCCAAGGAGGGATATGCCGAGTACGACAACCGAGAGACTGGTCGATGGTCAAAGTTATCACGAGTAGTGCCCAGAAAGAGTATGTTCGCTCCGGCTTTGGCCGATCGGGTGAATTTCAGATATGCTGGGATGTCGAGGGGGTCGTAGACGAGTGATATGTAGATTGTGGGGGATTCGAGTGTCTGAGGAAAATTGGCGGGATCGAGAACAGAAGATCTAGAAGTCTTTGCAGTGCTCGTGGCCGACGTGCTGGCCTCGGTCACCCCATTCCTCGCCATTTTCTCAGTAACAGGTGTGTCTGAAGTCATATCTGGATCTTTTACGCAGACGATTGCCCGGCCAAATGTCAACAATTAAAAGCCTTCGATAACACGAAATCGTCGGAGTTGCCAAAGAACGCAGGGCCGGCTCTGTACGAAGAATTTTCTCCTATGATGGGTTTCCTGGGAATGTGAGTCTTTGTATGTATGCCTTTGAGGCCTCTACCTTGATCCGCGGTGAAATGTTCTGGCACATTGCTTACAGGACATTCCCGCATGGAAATCAAAAAAAAAAAAGAAACTGAAAGCCATGCAGTGGCTATCTTCGGCTCGTTAGCTAAGCGAAAATCCTACGTCATTTGCCAGTCATTCAATTCGGCTATCACACATTTCTGTACTCGCACTGGGAGAAAAGGACAGACTCAGATACGATAGCATCCCACTTCCCCAACTTGATGTTTGCTGCAAGTCACCAAAGACTTACTTGGCAGGACTCGCTTGTATGTGAGGAGGGTTCAACCACACACAAGATGGCTCAGTGTGGGAGTGATGCACTCAATTCTTTTTTCAGTGATTTGAGCCGTTGAAGAACTCGCACACCCTTATTCAATTTGCAAATGGAGGAGAATTCTGTATAACTACGCATCACTCATACTTAGGTCGTTCGTAGTTGTACTTAGGTAGTATTCTCTGGTCTCACTTCCAAACGACTTGCCTCCCACCCGCGTCGCAATGTTAATTATGCCATGTCATCCCAAGTCCCCCATCCCCGCGGTAAGTACCTGGTATTTAGATCCCGCACAAAGTGAAACGTAAAATCCCCAAAACACGAAAAATCCCAGCATCCAAGCACCGCAACTGGAGCCACGTCCACGGATTCACCGCCTCACTTTCGACGAATTTCGACCCCTTCCATTCCACTCATACCGGGGAGATGGGTGCAATTCTGTGTCTAGCCAGTCCCCTGCATATGACATGTCCTGATTCAGAGCCGTGGCCTGCCTGTTGCAGAACTTCATCCCCCAGCAATGTAATTCAAGTGGCTGGGAAGCGTTGGGATTGGTCGTGACCTTTATGCACGATATGGGACGGCGCCAGATCCTAATTCAATCGCGATCTGGGATTTTTGGTTTTTGTTCTCTGCTGCTTGCCTGCAGGTCCTCATTCGCAAAGTGGCTTCTGGGATTTGTTCTAATCTCGGATACTCTCCTTCTTGTAGACTGTTGTTACATTGTTTGTTCTTTTATTCTTGATTATACGAGTACACAAGGACAGTGATATCTAAGAAGTGGAGTATATCCGAATCCCATAATATGTATGCAACCGTCGCCATGCTCATGCTCATGCTTATACTCTGTACAAAAGTCGATAGTAATATCTGATGGTCTCTTCATGTCGTGGTTGTCGGTGGTTTGTATGTGCTGAGATATGGCAAAGGCGTCGTATCGAGAGGTTTGCCCTCCTTATTCCAATCCCGGACATGCTGAAGTACGACGGCCGCAGCACTCTCGGGTGTATCTTGTCTGCCGATGCATTCCACAAAATCACCCTCGGGATCCATCACGTAAAAGTATATGCTGTGGTCGACCAGATAATCTTCCTCTCCAGGCTTGAGCTCGGGTGGTGTGGAGAAATATACTCGATATTGCTTGCACACCTCTTTGGTCTGGAGCCATGTTCCTGCGAGTCCCATGATCGATGGATGAAATTCGTTCAGATAGGCTTTCAAAACTTCGGGTGTGTCGCGGTTGGGGTCGCAGGAGATGAATATCGAACGTAACGAGTTGGGTGCCCGCTGTTGAATGATGTCAATTGCTTCACCCATCTTGTCGAGCTCGTCAGGACAAATATCGGGGCAGTGGCTAAATCCGAAGTAGATCTTAAATCCCACGGTCAGTTCATCCACAATAGCCAAACAATCCACTACGAAGTCCTTACCAAGTTGTACTTCCCCAAGAGATCCTTCTCGGTGACTTCGTTGCCATTCACATCTTTCAACGTGAATGGACCGCCAACCTTGGGTTTGCCATAGCCCTTGCTCATCTCAACGATCCGTTTCCGCTCCAGTCGAGCCTTCTCATACTGGAAACAGAAAATCATGATTGCACCGGTTCCAACGAAGAGAGCCGCTGATCTGAATGAGAATGGCTACAATGATAGTCAGAGGAGCGAGCGCAAGAACGTACCGCGAACGGCCATACGTACACCTGTGCGACTGTACAGCTTGTCACCACCACCTGCCTTGAATCGAGGACCTGAGGTGGAAAATTGTCGAATCCGCAGGCATTGGGCCGATGGAGGCTGTCTCCGCAGACTGGATGATGCGGTAGAAAATGGTCTGACTGGACTGTCCCTGGAAACTGATCGCATCGTCTGTGCGACGATTCGTCGCCATGCTTGGCTATATGAGGGTATGGGCCCCGACATTTTGATATTGAATGTGCTGGAGGAGTCGACGTCGTAAAGTGGACTGATCGTGATTGTAATCAGGAAGCTTTCTACAAATCCCAAACTGCGGCGGAAAATTACGGTGAATCATAAAGACAAAGCATGTGCATGATTCACGCATGGCTTGGCACACCCCATCAGGCTGCAGCCTCGTCGAATTCTAGGATACAAGGCTCTATCAGGGGCTCGCTAGGGGTGAAGAATGCATGTAAAGACATCCTGACGGGTTCAAACTTCAGAAACTCATTATCGCTCATAGCGTGCCAGATCGCCTGCGAGCTTCAGAAAGTCGGATTTCACCACGAGCTCAGCCGCGCCTGAAGGGACTTTCCCAGTATGCATGGAACCAACATTGCCCAAAACACACACCACACAATCACCATCCTCCTTCCACAACCAAGCGGCCGAGAACCCGAGGACACCGCCAAAATGGCCCAGCCACCTACCACCGCTAGTTGGAGTTTCGATGCGGAATAGCCCATGACCCATCTCCATCGACTCCCGTGCGGGCCGTCAGTCTTTCATGACATCCAGTGACGAGGGGCTTAGTAGCTTGCCATCGCGAAGGGCCACGCCGAACGTAATCAGATCTGAAGGCGATGAGACCAGGCCGCCAGCTGTCCATTCGACGGAGAGGTTCGAGCCGGTTGCGTCAATTAGATCGCTCCGGGGCAGTGAGAAGTCGGGGCATATCCCCGCCGAGGAACGAAACTCGGCCGTGTTCCAATGGTAGCGACGCGGGGAGATACTTTGAGTTATAGGCTCCTCAAACCCTTCCAGGTACGTGTTCTCCATGCCCAAGGGCTCGAGGATGCGTCTCCGGATCTCGCTCTCTGCCGTCTGCTTCGTTATCGTCTCCACGATCAGGCCGAGTAAGGTAAAATTCGTGTTCGAGTAGGAGAACTTTCCAGGCTTGGGACCTGACAGATTCGGTCGGCGGACGTAGTCCAGTGTCTCCGTCTTGCTCCAAATCCTGTGAGGGTCAAGTTCCCTGCCTCTGCCATGCGCGATCCATATCGGATCGTCTTCCCAGCTTTCGACGCCAGCCGTGTGACTCAGCAGCGTTGCAACGGTAGCTTCTTGGGCGTTCTCGATCCCCTCATAGATCTCTCGAGGGAGAAGACCGCCAACGGCGTCGTCTAGATGGAGCTTCTGTTCCTCGACGAGCTGTATAATTACAACGGTAACGAAGACCTTCGTGATGCTCCCGATGCCGAACACATGTTTCGTCGCGACGGGTATATTGGCTGACAGGTCGACGAGTCCGGTTGTGCTTGTCCATAAGGTTCCTTGTGAGGGAGAGGAGATATGTGCTGAAATACAGGGGACGCCTGCGTCAATACTTTGGTTAACAAGTGATTGAACCGTCGATGCTATACCGGCCCGACTGAGATTTTTTGACGCCATCACCGAATATCAAGACCAATCTATCAAAAGCGGCTTCGTGATCAGAGACAGCCGTGCAAGAGACACAAATCATGTCCAGGCAACTAAGTGGGATCCACGGATCGGCGTTGTCCTAGCGCCGAACAAGGGTGAGGCCGATGTTCAGAAAGCCACCGCGCTCGACTTACTGAGACACCACTACTGGGAAAGGCGGAGTCTTTTGCGCTGACGAGGTTAAGGAATAATGATCAAGATGGGTCTTAGACAGATACCTCCTTCCGGCATAGAAGATCAAACTGCAGACAAGCTCAAAGGAAGATCCATCATTGGCTTCTGAAATAGCAAATTAAAAACCAATGCAGCATGTGCGACAGGGGGAAGTGAGAATAGACGCGATATGAACATACCGGCCATCTCCATCTTTTAGTCGCTATGGGAACCCAAAACACCTTCAACATCGTGATCTAGGCCCCTTGTTGGATCACCACACCCTCATAAACCACACATACCGACACCACCAGACTTGGCCACTCCGTTCTTAGCGTCTGCATTTCCTCTCATCAGTTCAAGCAACCCGTTCGCCGCCTGACCTTTGACGACACTACTAGTGAGAGCACCCTCGCGAAGATGATGTTGCTGGGTCGATATTTTGCGCTCAATCATGGAGATGGACCCATGATCTGAGTCTCGGTCTGCGTTGCTCACCGGACTTGACAGCTGTACAGGAGTTTTTGGTTCGGTGGCTGGTAATTCCTCGGCCGTGCTAGGCAAATTTTGCTCATCAGGCCCCTCTTGCGACGATGGAGGACTACTAGGTAGGTCGAGTTTCCCTTCCTGGCTGGATTCATGAAACTTGTTCTGCACGGCTGATTCGGCGAATCTTGCCGTATATGTTGTCGGAACAATTGTCGGAAATGGGATCTGTGAAAGAGGTCTGACCGCAGGCTTCGATTGCATTGCGGCACGGGCGCGGGCTCGAGCAATTATGGTTTCCGGGCTGAAGACCTCGCGTGATAGTGACCTCGCCTTGATGGTGGAGGATGATCTGGGAGAGGATGAGTGAATGCGAACTTCTGGAGATGGCGACTTAATCTTGGGCACATTCAGACGCGCAAAAGGTTTGGTGACTTGGTTGGTTTGGACTTTGAAAATGGCGAGTTGGAGTCGAGTTCGAAGAGTTTCGGCTTTCTATAAATTAAAGTCAGTTGGTGTTGACTGAAAACACAGAAAGGCAAATAACCCACTTCCAGCATCATCTCCTTCCTAGTCTCAGCTTCTGTCTGTGGTCTTTGCTTTGGCAAGGATGATGTTTCTGCGATGAAGTCCATATTGTCCTCTTCATCGTCGTCATCATTTTCAAAGTCGATTAGACTTGACAGACTCAGACTGATCTGGGACGCCTCCTTGTTGAGATTAGGTCGCAACGGCGGGATCAACTGTGATGTGCTCTGAGGCAGGGCGACAGCATGCTATAGGGTATCAGTGAGAGAGCGGAGTATTCGTCAAGGCACTTCGTACCATCTTGTCTAGTGTTTTTTGGCTCGGTTCATCGTGTATGACAAATTGGGCCTCGATCCCTTGAGACTCTTCTTGGGAGGCTTGAAAGGAGGTTAAGGCTGTATGAGGTGTGGATTTTGCAAGCTCCATCGACCTAGGAGGACTGGACGCATCTTGGGAGGATCGATCGCTCCACATGCCCGTCATCTGAGATAGCGGATGGTGACTGAATGAACTGTTCTGGGAGTCAAGCATAAGATCGTCTTCGGTTTCCTGAATCTTCCTCTTTTGGCCAGCTCGAGGGCTTGGGGGGACAGAAGAACTGGGAGAAATAGGTCGCTTGAGATTACTCCGCTCACGGGCAGGACTTGGGATGGGGTGGGCGTGTTGTGTTTTCTTGGGAGATGGTGATAGAAGAGGCGCGTTCGGATCCTTTTGGCCCAGAATGCGTCTGGCGGGCGACACGAGGGGATTCATCTTTGGTTGAAAAGACTGTGCTACAATACATTTCCAGTTAGCCACACCCAAGCGTGTTTCTGGCATCAGATGTCACAGACCTATTGATTGACCTTGATCACCGATTCGGTATGTTTGCTGAAGGATGTGAGTTGTCGAGTATCCGCGCCAAACAGAGGATATCGAATCAATCCAGGACTTGGTTGACGAAACAGAAAGAAGAAGTGGAAGCCAGACATGAATGCCCTCAAGTCGCGGTGCACGTTCAAATTAGAGTGGGCACCATCACAGAACACGAGATGGGACGTGAGATCGTGTTCTGGCCAGGCTTCGTGTTGTTGGAGTGTAGAAGATGCCGAAGATGTTCCTGGCACTAACGCGCATGAGCCGACCCGCACGCACGTCAAGTGGGGGGTTTCAAGGGTCAGTTGGCGGGGACCTTGAGCGCGCCTAGGGTCTCAATTTGGCTCCCTTGGGCATCGCTGCTGGTTAAGCTGGGGAAGCCCGAGCAACTTTCCACCGCCTAAGAAGCCTAATTCCTTTAGCTACACTGGATCTCGGCCACCGAGTCAAGGTTCCTGATTCTGCCGAGGACATGGCAGAGATATCATTTTGTGGCAAAGGACGAAGATATAGCATATATAACTGATTCATTGAAAGGCTTGCAGGCAGAGCATAGCGACAGCAATATCAACAGTCCTCTCGCCTCCACATTCTGATCACATTCCAAATCGTTACAATTCCTTGACCTCAATTGCTTCAGCTGCTTCAGCTGCCAATATCTGGTCCACGTCCAACTCTTTCGTTACACTGTCGTCCAGGAACTTCAATCCTTCCTGTGCTCTTCCACCACAGGCCTGCTCCAAGGTCAAGAAGGCAAAGTGTCCACCCACAACCGGTCGAGCAAAGAAGTTGGGCCCAGGGAAACCGCCTGTTCCCTCAGTGGTGTGAAGATCCGTGAATGGCCGATCCGTTGATGTTTCATTCAGCCACTTTGCCACAGACTGTAGAATCTCTGCACGAACCTTGGGTGCTGCTACCGCCATAGCAAAGAATTCCCAGTCAGTCTTGGTATAGAGATGTCGTGAATCCAATGGCAATCCGTACTTTTGTCGCACAGCATAGTACCAATCACTCTGAAGCTGGTAGATGTGCTTAGGCACGAACCCATCCTTATCACCTTTGATGGGTTTCAACGGCTTCTGGTGTTCATAGCGCCCACCAATGCTTACTGTCTGTTTAGAGTGATGATTCGATCCGAGATGGAAACAGAGGAGGCTGTCGGCGTACAGGTTATAAGTAGTTGTCCAAGATCCATACCAATCGTATGCAACTTTGGCATGGGTCTTGTCGCGGGAGATACCATACTCTTCCCATTTAGCAATGTATGTCTCTGACACATTGTTGTAGAATTTGGCATCCTCATGGTTCTCGGTAAGCTCGGCCAACTCAGCCATCGCCTTGATTCCAATGATACCCTTCAACGCCAGATTTGTCTGTAGGGCCAGCCATCCAGCAAAGTCATCCGTCGAGAGTTGGTTGTGAGGCAGTAAAGAAAACTCTACCAAATAGCTAGTCCATTGTTTCCACAGGCGATAGCTTCTACTAACCCATTTCTGGGCGTCCTTCAGACTCTTGGGGTTTCCAACCCAGACGTTATCAATGTAAAGCATGTCATCGGAAGTGCCAACCGAAAGAGGGGAGAGACTGTGTCCAGATAGGTCGGGACCAGGTACGTTACTCATCGGCTGCCAACTCGCCGAGACTGATTTGTTTGCACCGTCACGCAACGCATTAGCCAGTGCCAAGCCCATGATAAGAATATTTCCACATTCTTCGACGGGCATATATTCATCCCGACCATCGGGGTGGCCTGTAGCGTTGGGGAAATGGGTTCCCAGGTCATGCATGGCATATTTATTGGGGTACTGTCCGCTCAGCATGTGTTCAATCAAAGGCTCAAGTAGATAGCCTAACCATCTGGGATTGGTGTACAGAAAGAAGGGAAAGCTCGGGAAGATGACATCGATGGTCTGGAAATTGCCGTTGGACGAGATTTCTTTCAAGAAGAGAATAGGATCTGACGGTGTCCCAGAAAAGCTCGTTGCTCCGAGAACCTGCCGGGCAGACAGGGCAACAATGTCCACGTAGTCTTCAGCTCCAGATTTGTAGGCATCCACAGCCAGTTTGGCCGAGTACTCAGAGGCCAGCTTTTGGGCCGAGTGGAAATCGAGATAGTGAAAGGTGAGCAATTTGGTAATAGTATCGAAGTAGGAACTCCAAAGAGGTCTCATCATTGTCAGGCCTCGAGCAGCAGCGTACTGAACGACGGGATCCTGTACATGAGCGATTGTGAAAGTGACCTCCTCATGGTGTACCGAATGGGAGCTGGCATTGAATTGGAAGGACTTGGAAAAGGCGAAAACCGGCTCTTCATCCATAACGGAGCGGAATCGACGATCAACCGAGTCCTGTAGTGTTCCTGTGCGTGAAAATCGCTGCCTCAAGATTGCAGATGTTCCGGCTTCGTGGCGAGTGTCAGCAGGAGCAGAGAAATGTAGACTGCCCCATTCTGCACGGTCGAAATACTCGGTGAAGAGTTGCTCCTCTTCACGTCGGACCACCCACGTCTTAAAACCATGCACCCTCTCATCCAGGGCAGTATGCTCAATGTCCCACACAATCTTACTGCCCCGGTCCCCACTGACCCATTGACCATTAACATCAAGATAGATATCGACATCAACGTTCCCAGAAACCGACACAGTGAGATAGCTGGCGGGAATTGCTTGCCTCAGCGTGGAAGTGGGGGTGATTGGAGACAAGAATGATAGCGTTATTTCGACATGCTTGGAAGAAGCATATGACGATGGCAGTGGGAGGGAATAAGATAGGTTTGTGGTAGAGGCATCGTATTGGGCGCCTTTGTAGATGGGGTAAGCCACGGAGTAACTGCAGAGATGGTGAGCAGATGATATTCTACAGATTGTTCAAACAAGACCTACTGGTTATCCTCTCTGGGCAAGGAATCATGAGGTCTTCCTAGCAGGGGAAACGAAGTTCGCTCTCCAGGAAGACTGGCTAAGACAGAGAAGCCAATTTCTTGACCAGTCCAGAACATAGGCCATCTTTCCCAAGGAGTGTCTCGAGCATTCTGTAACCAGGTGCTCAGGTAAGGGTTTCGAACAATGAGTGGGAGGACCGGAGGAGTTAATCGGGAGGATTCGACGATAGCAGGGAGAACTGCCGTGAGGAGTGCAAATGCGGAAACCAGCCGCATGATTGCTAGGAGAAGACGAAGCAGCAGTAAGACTGGTATGGAATTCAAACACTCATGGGTGATACAGAGTCAACAAGAGCAGAAGTGAGAAGAGGAGGAGAACACAACAGCATCTGATCAAGTTGTGGGGATAGACGAGTTTCAATGCTACCGCAGACTTGGTTGGTTTTGAAGCATCACAAGACACTCTCTCTCTTGGAGTCTGGGGGGCCGCTTCCTCCGCACAATGACGGCATTGGTTCCTGCCCCTTGGAACTTGCCTTGCCTCGGTGATAGCTTTTATCCGGAGAAAGCACTAGTACTATTATGGACGCAGTTAGCCTGCGCCAAGGCTGAGGATTCGACTGCCTCCGTGGTTGTTGGGTCACAGAGCACGCCTATTTAAGCATCAGGGCCTGATCAGATCATTCATTAATTCATTCTATCAAAGGCACGTCTCTGAGAGACATCAGACAATCAGCATTCGCCAACATCCTTAGCGAAAGATCATGCCAGTCACTCAAGATTTCCCCAGCATCTTCAAACGGACTTCTATGCCCAAGGAATGCGGACAGTAGGCGAGCACATACATTGTAGTCGTGGCGCTCCAACTCCTTCGCCGCATTCATTAGCCGGGACATCTCGTATATCAGATGGCACAGGGAGTCTTGATTGCTCATAGACAAAATGACATAGAACAATTCCAACGAGTACAGGGTGCGTTTTTGACCTCGCATGTACACCTCCTGTTCGAGGGCTTGGTATATTGGAATCTTTGCTCGCGGCTGACGGAAATGCAATTCCAGCAGTGAGAAGTACATCAAGCAAGCAAGCTTAGCTCTCGATGACTTTCTCACGGCATATGTACTTCGATCGGCACTTGATCGCAGCAGTATCTGCAGTATGGATGAAGAGGGCTCATCCCTGCTTGCTTCTTGGTTCAGGTGCGAAAAGTTGGCATGCTGGCCAACCCGAGTCAGGAATGTAAAAAGCTCCGCTGTGTTTGGGCGATCATCCAGACACAGATCTCCCGTTGAGATCTGTCCGAGTGGGGTAGCTAGAGGGTTGCAAATCAAGACATCAAGCCAAAATAGAAAGTTATGTAGCTCTTCCCAGGTACGAAGGCGATGCAATCCGCCACCTACCTCGACCATCGACTTTAATCCTTTCCAGTGCCGTACGGCAACTGTCGTTTCCCCTCGGTACTCCTGGAGATTCGCCAGGAGGGCTACAGCAAGCATTGTGCCAGCCGTTGGCGTAGCTGGCGAGAGATCGATCTGCTGAGCTATTGCTTGTAATGCCTGAATCTCTTTCTCTGCAGCGTCCGCCAGAGGCTTGACACCTCGTTCGTGCGAGAACCGGAATGACGATGCTGCTAGAAAGGCATTGAAAGAAGCTTCACTTGTCCGGAAACATTGCAGCCAACTTTGAGTGATTCCACATCCAGGGTCCTCTTCGAGATCTAGGCTCATCAGTCACTGCGAGTTGTTACCAAGATGGGAACATTTCGATACCTACAGCAATGGACGATCACACTCTCTGACGATTGCTCTGGCATGCGAGTGAAGGGAAACGAGCACAAACCTTGTGACTCAAAGGGATACGTAGGGCTCGATAAGTTGACAGCAGAGCAATTTCTTGTCTCTGCTAATGTCGTTTCCAGGTTTTCTGAATGGCTAGATGAACCGGAGCCGAGGAGCCCGCTCGCCAAAGGGGAGAGATCGATAGCTTGTGTAGCACCTGAATCCCACAGATGGATTTGACCTCCACGACTGGTCTCACCAAGACCACGTTTATTATTTCCGCCTTGCCTTTGGCGGGGCTTTCGACGAAGACGAAGAACATGCACCTTTACGGCCTCCCGCGCCGCCTTTCGCCGGGGGTCAGTCGTGATGAATGTGAATGATGAGACCATCGCACGCAGTGGTTGGTAGGCACCCTGCTCGTCGGCCAGAAAAAGTGGTACAATGGAAAAAGCTAGTCACTCGATTAGAATAGCATCCAATTCTACTCTCCCTCAAGAAATCACAGACAATGTCAAAATGTTGAGGGGAGAAACAGTTACCGAGCTAGATCTGGAGATTCCGCGGAGAGGGCAGTCAGGATAGGTAGCGTTTCGGAGGTCAACCCTTGCCGTCTCCTCTAAGTTAGGTAAATCTACCTAGGTAGTTAGTTAGCTCAGACCGAGCAGTATTTAGGCAGCGAACACCGCCTAGAATCCAATTTATCGGACTTAAATCTATCACCAAATTTTTCCCGCCTTCGCGACTCTCAACCAAGAATGGAAACTCAGATCCCAGATTGGAAGCATGCCCATCAGGGCAAGCCGCCTCAAACCCCATACCTCACAACTCTACCAACAAGGCGGAATAGATCAGACTCTACTTCTGCTCTTATCTCCGACTAGGTGTGAGATAGGTTCAAAATGCACCATATGACGCCTCCCTTCCACCAGGAATTGGTTTTCCTTATGCTGTGCTATCAGTCCTCGTGAAGTCCGATAAAATGCATCAGCTCAATGAGGACAAAAACTTTCACTTCGAGCTCCTCCGTATCTTAGCTTCAGTGAGAGGCTTTGGAGCGGATGTGAGCGAGGTTCTTAATGTTTGTGAGAAGCTCATACCTGGCGATTTCGAGAGCTGGTATATTGAGTTTCGCAAACTTGCCGAATGGGTCGAAACCACTATCGATGAGAACGAATATGATAAAGTTTCCTTGAGAGATGCCTACTGGAGAGCCTCACGTTATCACTTTGCCTGCGGCTTCTTCTTTCAGGCGGAGCAGGAGGATCCAAGAGCACTTGCTGTCTACGAAAAATGGGTTGCTCTGTTCGACAAAGGTTGCAGCATGATGGACATTCCACCAGAACGCAGCACGCTTCAAGCGAAAGGATTTCAAGTCCCTGTCATCCTCTTTCGGTGTGCGTTGGACGATCAACCTAGGCCCACATTGATCATCGGGAATGGTTTGGATGGTTCCATGGAGGAAATGCTACACATGAACGGTCTCCAGGCGTTGGAAAGAGGCTATAATGTCATCCTCTACGAAGGTCCTGGTCAACCTTCTGTCCGCCGAAGTCAGCAGATTGGTTTCATTTATAATTGGGAAGATGTTGTCACTCCGATTATGGATCATTTGGAGAACCTGGCTTTCGTGGACAAGACCAAGATTGCTCTTCTCGGAAACTCTCTTGGTGGTTGGCTCGCTGCGCGTGCAGCCGCTTTCGAACACCGTCTAGCTGCTGTTCTCCTCATTGACGGCATTTACGACTTGCACAGCGGCATTGGTTCACTGATTGGGCCAGATGTGATGCAGTTTCATGAGCAGGGTGACGAAGAAAAGTTCAATGATGGAATCCGGAACCTCATGGAGAAATCCGTCAATCTCAAGTTCTTGTTGAATCAGGCTTCTTGGGCCTTCATGTCCAGCTTTTACGGTTTCATGGATCAGGCGAAGAAGATGACTCTGAAGGGAATCGAGGACAAGTTCACTTGTCCAGTTTTCATAGCTGGGGCGGAAAATGACATCTTTGACAAGGTTGACCAGCCAGGGCAGGCGGCACAGGCGTTGGGTGATAAGGCCTTCCTCAGGAGATTTACAGTGCAAGAAGGTGCAGAAGCTCATTGCCATGTTGGTGCCGTTGCATTCCTCAATCAGGTGATTTTAAGCTGGTTGAGCAAACAGCTGGGCAATAAGGATATGTTCACTACGAACGGTATCGTCAAAGACGACGTCAATGGCTTCAGCACACTATAGCTCAAAATCAAGACCTAACTCGAAGATAGTAATGGTTATCCACGCAACGCACTTTGAATGTATTCCAGAAATGGTGAACCAATGTGAATTCAGTCCCTAGGCAGTCACCCAGATGACACCTAAGCGTTACAAGTTGTCCTACGTGCGATCCTAACTCCAGCTTGACATAGATCCACCAAGAGCAGCATGCAAGAATTCAAAAGTCCTAGAATAATTATCGACTCTTCTATGGGCCATCTTCGGCACTAATACACCTTTAATGCCCTGTAGTCAGTTCTAAGTAGAAATATCACAATTCCGCGGCTGTAGACGTAAGGGAGAGCCAGGAGGTCAGAAATTTCAACTTTCACAGGTGAGCATGAACTCATGGACGCCTGTCCCCAACTAAGTGCAACTATCTATGGCTCTCCGGATAGCCTACTGGTAAACTAGTCAGTCCCAGGCCATTTGGTAGCCTCAAGATGCTCGCCCGACTTCTCCACCTTGACTTTGTTCGAAGGGATGAGCACAAAGAATACACTGCAAACCCGATCCGACACATTGCTCCAGTCCTGCAAGATCTTTAGCATTTCAACCCAGGTAGAAGGATATGGAGAGGACGTCTCACGTGCATCGTGCCTTGCTGAACCACCACGTCGCCTTTCCGCAACATTCTCTTCGCACCATCATCAAGGGTCAATTGAATCTCGCCTTCAAGGACAACTCCGAAGTCTATGCTCTGTGTGCGATGTTCTATGTTCAGGGTATCTTCGTCTGGGTTGGACACCGGAAGAAAGTGGCAGATCCGACAGTAAATACCAGACTCGTCGACGAGAGGAATGAGTTTTCCGTAGTAGTCGACAAAGGGTGCATTGATGTCAGGCGGGACACCTTGGGTTCTGTAAATGTTTGTGATGCCCGCATTGCTACCCTCGGGCGGTTTCCCTGTCATGGGATTCAGAGAGACCAGAGAATCATCTTGTAGGAAGACTGCCTTTCCTTCTGCGTCGTGGCCTGCCTCATGTATCAGTTTAATCCGGGTTTCTCTTGACGACCGCCAGTCTCACCCGTTACAACCCGACGAGTTCGCAAATCAGCCATCTTTTGATATTACTTTTGGGGGAGTGATAATGTATGCCTGAGAAAGTAAGATTGCCGTCTCTCGAACAGAGGGAATGGATCAGCCAAACCGTATGCTATGAATAGACCCTGGGCTTTGTAGATACCTCCGTTGAACTCGTCGTTGGTTTTACTCTCTAATGACGGCTCTGTTCCGCCTCACAGTCTCATCGGACAAAAATCTGCGTCCGATGTAGACTGGTCTTATCATTTCCCTCATGCCTTCCTAGATAGAAAAACGCCTCTATCATTGACCAGAATTTCAGGTAAAGTGATCGAGATACGAAGGCGCGAGCCTCTGGGCAATCTACTGGACGGCTTCCGGCTCCACCTCCGCAATGTCCATCTCCCTTCTGGGACATTCAGATCCTGTTCGGGGATGGTTGACTTTGGCGCCAAGCCGATTGACACTCTTCTACTCCCTTTGGTGCTGAGTTAGATGTAGTAATCTAGCTCGTGCTGTCGAATCTTTCTTGCCACGAACATGTCTCCATATTCTTAGCTTCAAGGCCCAGATTATCCCTTCTCCTTGCGATTCCATGTTCTGGGGAAACTAATGTGCAGTTGCTCACAGTATGATGGCCAGCCACTGATCAAATGTAAAGCTTAAGCGACGGACCTCGGATCAGTCACTAGCGGCCAAACCATTGGTGATGAGATTGGGATATCAATATCCCTATATATACATTGGCAATTGCCCATATTTCGCGACAATGCTCCTCAACATTTTGTTAAACGGATTTGAGTGGATTTGCTACTAGATTACAATGACAGAACGCACAGTGGAATCGCTCAAGGAGCAAAGCTTCAAGACGAAAGAAGATCTTGTGCCCGTTGATTCCGTTGCGGATGGCGACAGCCTCGAAGCTATGACTGCAGTTGAGGAGAAGCGATTGCTCAGGCGTATCGATATGTGGTAAGTCACGACCTCTGTTGCAAGATCTTATCCAGACGCTGAATTTCTCAAGCATGTTGCCTATGCTGGCCAGTCTCTCCTTCCTCAACTATCTCGATAGGTCCACTCTGGGCTCGGCATCTATCATGGGCTTGATCAGTGATCTTGTAAGTTCCCAATACTCTATACTGCGAATATTTCATTAACCGATGACTTCAGAAACTTACCAGCTCAGAATACTCCTGGGCCAATAGCATCTTTTATTTTGGAGCATTCACATTCACCTGGGCGGCATCATACCTCATGGTCCGACTACCAGTTGGAAAGTTCATCGTCGGTACTTTGTAAGTTTCAAATCTGTCCGCTCTAAGGTCTTCAATGGAACATGATACTCATGTACATAGGTACGCCTGGGCGTTGCTCATTGGCCTCACTGCAGCGTGTAAGAACTTCGAAGGTTTGATGGCGGTTCGTTTTCTTCTTGGAGCTGCAGAGTCCGCTATCATTCCTGGGTCTAGTCTCATTACTGGCATGTGGTATAAGCGTGCGGAGCATCCTCTCCGACACGGAGCTTGGTTCGTAGGGACCTCCGTTGGTGTCATGTGTGGAGGACTCCTCGCGTACGCAATAGCTCACATCGAAGGCGGAATTGGCCCTTGGAAGGTTAGTCTACCCTATCAATTTTTCTTGATTGACCAAGGACTGAAAATTCCTCTTAAACCAGTGGTTGTTCATAATCTTCGCGATTGTGACAATTGTTTTGGCGTCTTTTCTCCTCTGGGCTCTGCCAGATACACCACGCAATGCCCGCTTTCTGTCGAAGACACAGAAATCTCAGGCGATTAATCGTATTCGCACGAATCATCAGGGTTTCAAGGATACTCACTTCAAATGGTATCAAGCTAGGGAAGCACTTCTTGACGTCAAAGTCTGGCTCCCTGCGATGATCGCTTGTGCCCTTAGTATCACCAATGGTGCTCTCAATGCGGTGAGTCAATCAGTTGCCCTTGAATCAGACTCAAGGCCCGCTGCCTAACGAATAAAATCATAGTTCAATCCGATAATACTAGTTAGCTTCGGCTTCACGAGACTCGAGGCATATTTATTCAACATTGCCATCGGAGGCGTCCACGCATTCTTCATCCTCAGCTCCTCGTACCTCTGTACCAAGATTCCGAACATCCGATGCCTCACGCTCATTGGAGTTTGTTCGATTAGGTGAGTATTTCTGTGGAACCTCCGAATTGATGACTGCTGACAGTCCCAAAGTTTGATGGGCAGTATCATCGTGCGATTGTGCAGTGGCAAGGGAATTCGATTGTTCGGGTTTCTTTGCTATTTCGCCTTCGTTCCAGGGCTCACTATCTCGCTGTCATTGATTGCATCCAATACCGCAGGATTCACCAAGAAGAGTGTTTCTTCTGCTCTATTCACCGTATCCTATTGTGTCGGTAATATTGTGGGACCATTCACGTTCCAGCTGAAAGATGCGCCGAAATACACCGTACGTCTATCAGCAAACGATTCATTGCATTCTACGACTAATGTTCGAGACAGAGTGGTTATAATGGCGTCATTGGCTGCTTTGTTGCGGCTTTAGTATTTGCCATCATACTCTTACTACTCATTCTGCGGGAGAACCGTCAACGAGACAAATTGTATGGTGCACCATCAGCGGCCTCAGGGGAAGACGAGCAAGGCATATTGCCAGTGCTTACTGACGAAACGGATGGCGAGAACCATAGTTTCCGCTACGTCTACTAGACAAGAAATACCCCATGTATGATAGCAGTATGCTGCAAACGGGCAAGAACCTCGGTCCGGGAAGATTGGGGAGAGCCGCTGATTACAGGCAATGCAGACTGCGACCATCTAGGAGAGGAGAGGCAAATGAAATAGCCCAATATTTAAGATGCCGAATCACTTCAAGACGTGTGACCTCAAAGTGAAGTGTGCTTATCAGCGTGCAAATCCGTTCATCAATCATCTCTTTCCCCAGCTTCATGATTACACCTAACCCGGTAAGTAGAAGAACATAGGTGGTCTTTATTTTCTCAGGTGCTATATCACAGACTATACAGAAATAGCGCACACAAATGCTTTAGAGTGTACAAATAGTTATGCGAGTCGTGAAGAGAATGGAGACTCCACGTGAATGGCGTGAAGGCAGCATTCGCGGTAGCTGATACATATCTAGGCATTCAATCGGCACCTCAGCTCGATACAACGTGATTGCGAGCATGCTCAAACACGGGAGATGTCTGGAACACAACCAGTTTACTCTGAGTGCAGAACGGACGACCAGACACCCCACAGTAGACCAATGGCTAGGGCCTAGGCTCACTTCTCGAAACCTTGATCTCGCTGATAAGCCCTAGCATCAGCCTTTATCACGTACCTGAAATAGTATCCACATAACGGATGGCCATGGAATGAGATATTGGTGGAACCATCGTCTATCAAACTAAGCCCAAAACATACCTGACTTTCCGGATTGTGACTGACTCACGGAGAGATTTTAGACTTCATCATTGAGGCCACTATATTGATAAACTATAAACTACACCTACTCGCCTTAGTCCAATCGCCTCACCTGACGGGAACAGCGCTTTTTTATACCTCGGAAATCTATATCCCTCGGGCGGCGAAATACTCCTTCGCGGTGATTAAGCTATGTCCGACCATGATGTCCGCCAGCCTGAATATGGATTGGACGAAAGAATATAAAGTATATGAAAAGAGTTTCGTTGTACCAAGGACCGGTGGTAATTTCAAACCTTCAACGCTCTATATCTCCTGTGCTACGAATCACCAAGGCCGAGCTGCATAACCACTGTGAACCACTGAGTGACGCGAAACATGGGCGACGCAGGATATGTGGTCGAGGAGCAATGGCACTCACAACCACGACACATGAGGGTTATCTGCATTGGAGCGGGAGCGGCTGGTCTGATGGTGGCGTATAAGTTTCAACGGAATTGTCAAAACTTTGACCTTGTTCTTTACGATAAGTGGGTGATTATTTGATATTGCCTTAGATCTGTGTGCTGACCATTTCAGAAACCCAGAAATTGGAGGCACTTGGTGCGCAGACTTATTCGTTCGTTGAAAGTAGCCAACTGACGGCATTCCTAGGTATGAGAATCGGTACCCTGGGTGTGCTTGTGATGTGTAAGTTGATGGGCGTATAATGTTTTCGGGGAGTCGGGGCTAATGATACTTAGGCCAGCACATGTCTATACGTATCCGTTCGAACCGAATCCAAATTGGTCTCAATTCTATGCTGGGTCAGCGGAGATTCATCAGTATTTTGTGAACTTTGCCGAGAAGTACAAACTTAATCAGTACATTAAACTCAATCACAAGATAAGTTCAGCACAATGGATTGAGGAAAAGGGGATGTACGAAGTTGAAATCGAAACCAATGATGGCAAGGTTAAGGATTGGGCGAATATACTTATCAACGCCACGGGCACGTTGAACAACTGGAAGTGGCCAGATATTCCGGGTCTTCATGACTTCAGAGGTACGCTTGTGCACAGTGCGAACTGGGACCCAAAAATTTCCTATGAAGACAAGAAGGTCGCAGTGATTGGAACGGGATCATCTGCAATCCAAATCATACCTCAAATTCAACCCAAGGCGAAGCAACTGGTCACTTTTATGCGCTCTGTGACATGGATATCACCTCCTATAGCAGAAGACATGCTCAAGGACACGAGCGTAGAGGCAACCACCATCGACACAGACGACCGGCCGCAACATGGGTATACTGGTGAGGAGATTCATCGATTCAACCAAAATCCAAAGGAGTTTCTCGCCTATCGCAAAGAACTGGAATGTAGGTTCAACACAATGTTTGATGTCTTTATCGCCGGCTCAAAGGTATCGAAACAGGCTCAGAAGGGGATGAGAGAAGAAATGCTTCGTCGCATTGGGCCGGGCAATGAGGATCTCAAGCAACACCTGATCCCGACGTGGCCCCCTGGGTGTCGTCGAATGACTCCTGGTGAAGGATACTTGGAAGCTCTGACGAAGAACAATGTCACACGGGTCTATGAGGAGATCAAGCAAGTCACAGCCCAGGGACTAGAAGATGCAACAGGTAAAATGCACGAGGTGGACATAATTGTCGCTGCAACCGGGTTTGACGTGTCCTTCAAGCCACCATTCAAAGTCCTTGGAGTTGGCGACGTTGACATGTGCGAAGAATTTGACCGAACAGGAATTCCCAGTGTTTACTTGTCAATGACAGTTCCCAAATTTCCGAACTATTTCACTATCAACGGATTCCGAGGTAGTTGGGCAACTGGCACAGCCTTGAACTCACATGAGGCATGCGTCAATTACATTGTTCAGTGCTTCGGTCGGATTCAGAATGAGAATATTCGAGCACTAGAGGTCAGACCAGAGACTGTGGATAGCCTCTATGAACACATAGATGAGTGGCACAAGTGTTCAGTGTGGAACGCGGACTGCAAGAGGTGAGCACCAACAATTTGAGATGGAGAATACTACTACTGACTGACGAGCGATAGCTGGTACAAAAGCAACACTCCAGAACGCAAATTGATAGTCTGGGCAGGTTCGGTAAGTTCTTTCCACGTCAAAGTGAGCAGGCCTTTGTGATTGACCGCTCCCAAAGAATCTGCATTTCCTAAAAAGCCTCGAATTCGTTCGGTGGGAGCATTATCAGTTCCGATACAACACGAGAAATCCGTGGGCATTTCTAGGCAATGGTCGGGTGAAGGCTGAAATATCAAAAGATATAGCAAAGCTGACACCGTACATTCGTAATACGGATGAGCCCTGGAGCATTGAATAGATGCTTCGCTGGGGCGTTGTACGGGATGAGAGAGAACAAAGCCGTCGGCCGAGGAGCGTCGCGTGGACTGATAAAGAGTTGTTGTCACCAAGCCCAGGGTGTTCTTGGAGGCGTTAGACGTTGGTATTGCTAGACAGAGATTACATGTCTTCTTTCAAGCACGTCAACTGTAATGCGTCCGCGGTAAGAACTAGCAGCTGAACAGTCAATTATAAAAAAAGCACAATACGATGACCCCATTTGCGTCAAAATTCATTCGTAGCATACCACACCAGTAATTGTAGGTGATGGTTGTTTCTCGACCCCTAATGCCAAGTCCATGCCCCTATCTTTTTAGAGCCTTGTTCTACAACCACGCCCATGAGCAACACATGTTGCTACCAGTGTACCAATAGCAGCATACTGCCAGGTTTTGAGACCACCTATCATATTGCGCTTAGTAGCAGGGAGAATTGGGCCATCAGTAGGAGTCTTCTAGAATATTTTCTCCAGGCTGGATGTACGCAATGATTAAGTCGATGAGGATATCTCAAAAAGCTGACGGAGGTAATGCGGATTTCCCTGTCAATTGCTAGCCATATGCTGCTACACTGGTGGAGATGGATATTATGATGGTCACAAAGTGTCGACTCACCAGAGGTTGAGGATATGAAGGCTGTCCAGTTGAATTCTTGATTTGTCGGTGATTGTATGGACAGGAAAATGGCTACAGCTGATCACCACTGACAACATCCGTCGTCAAGTCTACGATGGCTGGGGCACAACCGTGTATACTGCTGGGTGTAATCGGTAGCTTGTGTTTCAAAGCTCAATTATGAGGACCAGATGAACTGTAGTCATCTTCATAAGTGGTTGAGCGTAAAGGGAATAAGTATCAAAGGCTGTGCAAGGAAACTGTCAAAGGGATGCCTCTACGATCCGTAGGCAATACTAGACCCATTATGTCGAGTTCAGAGCGACTATTTGAGTTTTTTTGCAACTCTCATCGATTAGGTCGTCGCTCAAGTACTCCTAGGATCTACCACTGCTCGTGAAAGAGACTGGCCAGAAACCTGACGAAGGTGCGATGCTAACCTGTAGAAGCAGTTTTCTATGGGTTCCAGGTGGTCAAATAAATGAGAGAACAAAGGTCTCACATCCAGGCACAAGACACCCTGGTTCAGAAAGGGCTATCATGTGCGAGATGATCGTCCCCCGGCCTGAGTGAATCGAGGCTGCCCACTTCAAGTCGCAGGCAGCATTCTATGCGCCAAGAACAGTGCCTGCCTTGGCATGTGCTACTGCCAAGCACTTGAAGTAAAAAAGGCTTGGCATGAAGGAGAAATTGCATTCAAGGCTCAATCACCCTGCATCTTCTCAACTTCATCACGGTGATCAGCCAGGATATTTGACATTTGGTCGCTCAGCCACTATCCACTTACTGCGGATTGCATCGTGACATGCATGGTAGGACTCACTAGCTCTTTTTTCTTCGGTATTCGTCGGGAGTTGGGCACATTGCCATCCCGACCATCGGATCGGGTCTCCACGACAGCGCAAGGACCTGGTGGATGTAAATTTTCGATCGAATTCATCAGACTCCAGACCATCAATTAGAGACTCTCTGTCAATGGGAATCCTTAGGTTTAATGGTCAGAAAGATCTAGTTGCCCAGTGTGGTCGGACCATAAAGCCTGCTGGGTCGCAAGGTCTCCAGTCTTGTACAAGGATCACACCAGCACAATGACATCGTCCATCCATGGGATAGCGTCATCCACCTATGTGCAAGTCTTGCGAGTGTCACTGCAAGAAATTTGACATTTCGCAGCAGCTTATTTCTTCCCAGATCATAGATATAATGAAATGTTCCTATCCGTACACAGAGTGGAAGATTGGACGAAGTGTTGACGTTACTGGCGCACTGAGCGGCACCCCACTTTTTTCACTGCCCTGGGCAGAAATTATAGACGTGAGCACGTGGGTGTGTCACCCCAGGCGTTTGATTGGTGCCATGAGCTTTTCGCATTCCTCCCACGAGAAGGAGGACATGGAAAATAAATTTACGCCAGATATTGAGAGGCATGATCAGTTCTATGTTTTGTTACCATATCTATATGGACTGTTTAACATTTCTCAGTCCATCTACCTGCCTTCTAATTAGTCATATTGCACGCTGAGTTTACCGTATTTCTATTTCTCTAAAGCTCCGACATGGTCGTCGAGAACAAAGCTGCAGTTCTAGCACCCGAAGGCCATCCACCCGACGTCCGTAAAGATGTTGAGAATCAGCAGGCTCAGCCGACAAGCGACGTGCACTCTTCCTCCTTCAAGAGCTTGGGCGTTTTGGACCAGTATCTCGCGCTCTGGATCTTCCTCGCAATGACCATCGGCATTCTTTTGGGGAACTTCGTTGCGAGTGCAGGGCCATCATTGCAGAGGGGCGAGTTTGTTGGAGTTTCCATTCCCATCGGTATGTTCTCTAACTCTTCATATCTTTGGGCGCGTGTTTGACTCCGAACTCAGCGGTTGGATTACTGCTCATGATGTATCCGATCCTCTGCAAGGTGCGATATGAGACTTTGCACCATTCGTTCCGCACCAGAGCATTGTGGATCCAAGTGGCCTTCAGCATTGTTGTCAACTGGATCATTGCGCCTCTTTTGATGGTGAGTATCAGTATCACTTTCAATAGGTATCAGTCGGCTGATTTGTGCAGCTCGGGTTGTCGTGGGCGTTTCTTCCTGATCAGCCTGCGTTGCGCGAAGGTCTGATCTTGGTCGGTATTGCAAGATGTATCGCAATGGTCTTGATCTGGACAGGATTGGCTGGGGGCGACAACGAATATTGCGCAATTCTGGTCGCCATAAATTCACTCCTGCAGATGATATTGTTCGCACCACTTGCCCTCCTCTTCGTCAAAGTCATCGGCGGATCCACACAAAGTGTTCAGGTCGGGTACACACCCGTCGCGAAGAGTGTTGGCGTTTTCTTGGGCATTCCCCTTGGTGCTGCTATTGTTACCAGGTTTTCTCTGAGAAAACTTGCAGGCAATGGTTGGTACGAGCGGACATTTTTGAAGTGGATAGGGCCGCTTTCACTCATTGGTCTTCTCTTCACCATCGTCGTCCTGTTCGCATCACAGGGTCGTCGTGTTGTCCATCAAGTTGTTTCAGTTGTGCGGGTCGCTGCGCCTCTAGTCGTCTATTTTGTGGTCCTCTTCATGTCCATCCTATGTATCAGTCGAAAGCTGGGGTTTGGGTACCGCTTGGCCTGTACCCAAAGCTTCACGGCTGCAAGTAACAACTTCGAGCTGGCAATTGCTGTAGCCATCAGCACATTTGGAGTTGACAGTGATCAAGCTCTTGCGGCAACTGTGGGGCCCTTGATTGAGGTACCCGTCTTACTGGGCCTGGTTTATCTGGTGAAGTGGTATGGAAGGAGGAAGGCGTGGCCAGCGTGATCCACTTTAGGAAGAATGACATGCTAAAAGCAAAGGGGTTTCATTGTTCCGGAGCTTTTGCATTCATGTCGTTGAGAATCTGCAGAAGAACATGATCATGGACTTGAAATTCATGGGACAATGCCTTAGGATGTCCATACGCCATTGAGATTCGTCTTCTGATTTCCTCCATTTCGGCAGGATTAGGGCTATATCGATCCAGCATAGCTTTGGAGAGAGGACTTAGAGTATGGAGAGGCTCGTAGAAATGATTTTCCCTTGGGGGTGCTTGATATGAATTGTTGAAGGTGCCTTCATTGGGTGTGGGAATCCCCCCAGTATTAGAATTATCGAGCCATTCATAGGTAGTTGAATGTAGGGCACTGCTAGGTTGATGGTGTGTTCTGGGAACTGGTGTTGATGACCCGAGGGCGCTGTATGAGGCTTGATCTGGGAGTATCGCGTAGGTCTCGGATGTATTACGAACTGTTGGATACCCCAGTTGTGTAGGAGGTTGGACAGTCGGACTAGGACTTTGCTCCTGGTATGATCCCGTGAGGCTGCTTTGACCTATGGCAAAGTCTGGAGAAGCGTATTTGGGTTTTAAATGTCGAAGCGAGGCTGTCGGTGGATACGTTCGGTTTTGTTGGTTGGCTTCGCGACCGAAACTGTCAACGACTTCAGGACTCACGCCTGCGAAATCAAGTAATGCTCTCAGGCGAGAATTTTCAGATTGGAGATCCACGATAGCAGTTCGCTGCAATTCAGCCTCTCGAGAAGTAATGTTGCACTCGCTCAATCGCCTTTCAAGCTCAGCCAGGTATTCCTGGCGGCGAGCGCGACTACGCCTCTGGTTATCGCGAATTCTTTCTTGTTTGGACTTGGCCGCGCTGGAGGTTCGTACACTGCCGTCGGATGACATGGCTGCCGGTTGTTGACTCCCCCATACCCCAGTCGAGTGGTAAAAAGGTCAGCCGTTACCGATGTTAAGGAATCGACGTATAGCAACACAATAGAAGCAATAGGCGGTATATGGACAATGGTCAAAGATCGGTCAAGAGTTTGATAAATAAAAATTCGACAGATTGAGTACTCCCTGGAATCCGAAATGACACGCAGTAGCATATGCTAAGGTATATGGCAAACTGGCCCAACTTGACGAGATAAATTCAAATATTTGAGCCCCTCCGACCATGGGTTTTCAAGGGTTGGGCCTGATGAGCTAGGTTGACTTAGGGATTCCAGGGGTCATGAACCCGAACTTAAAGAGGGCAGTTCTTGGGGAATGTTGCCTTGCGTTGTTTCGATGCAGGCGACGTACAGCAGAGCCAGCACACATTTAAGATAGCTGCTTCCAGAAATCTAACCAATACTCCTTGAGAATTACGTTCGATGGGGCAGGTGCTAGGTGGGTTTTATTCGAAACAGGGCAAAAGTAAGAGCCTTAGAGTTTGTTCAATGCCATTGGGAAATGATATCCTGTGCCATCACCTGTCTATTGAGGACAAGTGCAGGATGGAGCGTAACGTTGTCTCTGGTAAAAATCAAGGGCCCAACAGTCAAGTCCCGACGAGCCGATGATGGTCAGACATGTGAAGGGAGCGAAACATACCCACTTTGGCGGCGCCCTACAAGTCTGCAAATTCGGACGCCAGCTCAAAACCATGCCTGTCGATTGTGCCACAATTGAAAATACTTAGGTACCTCATTATTAGTCGTCAGCTCAACAGGGAAAGATTGCAGACAGAGTTTTGACAGACTGGTGCGAGCCGCTGTTCCCCTTTGGCCGGCCCTTTTCGTGGGCGCGGTTCCACCTTGCTTAACTGAAATGCTCGTCTCCCAGTTCGCGCTCTCCATTTCCACTTCGAACTCGGGGGAGCTTTCTTGGTGGCGGTGGCTTTGCAATCATACCTACTTCGGCATTGGCTGACTCACCACTCTGAGTTCTCTTTCAGCAGCAATGTAGCGCCCACTAATGTGACTGGGTACCGTGCACCGCGATTGACCAAGGCTGCAATGCGAGCATGATGATCCCTTGGCAGGCAGTGAATCCATCTCTAACTTGAAGCATTAACCAGTCCAGATACCTAAGTCTGTGTTCAAACCATCGTGCTCTTTTTTACAACGGCTCCGCGTTCTCACGATCTTAAGTTGTGAAAGTATATCTGGGCCCACGAGCGACCTCCTTTGGGATCACCGAATTTTGAGGAAGTGCTACAACATCGGGCAAAGGCCAATGGGGGCCTCCCCGAAACTGATTGCAAAGCAAGCAACGCACCGCGACGACTCAGATTAGCTTTTGTTCGGTATAAACATACTTTGCTCTGCGAACTCACTGACCACAGACTCGAGTTTACCGAAACCCCACCGTTCAGTAGGGCTTTTGTCATATGGTCTGTTCCTCGTAATTGCCAAAGTCGCGAGATCCGCACTCATATCGCACAACCCTCCGGAAGAAACAGAGCCTCATTCCAGCCCAGTGGTTCCTCGAAACTGCTACTGCCTAGGGTCCAAATAACTTTCGTCTCTGACCTTCATCTACGGGAGACGAGAGTTTCTATTTACCCACCCTCCCAGATCTCCGGTGCTCAATTTATGCGTCGGTTCTTAACACGAGACAGATATCACGTACTTTCTTGGCTGCGCTGTGTTCTTCTTCAAGCCATTGCGTTATGCTCTGGGACTTGAAGACACTAAAATCCAATTGTACATGATTTTGGTTCGAGACTGGTTTCTAGTGCTCATGCCTGTCCCTCCGAGCAGTGTCGAGCAACTATCGCCATAAATATACTTCGACCAAAGGTTCTCCAGGTCTCATTGCTCATGATCCAAATGACTTAGGTGAGTACCTCGATCTCCACTGGGGGGTACTAGTTCGTTCGCAATAGCTCGACGTTACCTACCCACCTTGGTCAATATCTGGCGAGACCCGGTTAGGTCGTTTTTCGGGTCTTCTACCGGGATAAATACGATGACGTCTTGGCTTGCGGTTCCGAGAGGTCTCCCGATTCACGGCAGAGTATGATGGCGTAGCACATGGTGATCGACCAACCGCAAGTAGTTCCCTTCAATATGTATCCCAAGTACGGGGTCCTTTACCACCATTCTGAAATAGGTGCGTACAATGCTTGGGCTCGACGTTACAGGATCGACAGCCAGCTTTATCCTTGGCGACTGTCGATCGCTGGGTCTGGAACGGTCGTTCTCAAATATAATGTTAGCTGACGTACCTCTGGTGGACCAATTATAGACGGGCGATTTCCTTGCTGCCATGAGAATTAAGGGGCCCTGGCACGAGCTCCGAGTCCTGGTTGTGGCCCGGGCAGCGAACACTTCCAACATTTAGACTTTCGAGACCGCCGCGAGTTTGTGCGATCTCGAGAACAGCGGTGGACAATCTTGTAGCTGTCAAATTAGCTAAGAACAAGCATCTACCCCAGTATAAGGTTGATCGAGGGAGAATTCTCTCAGATCTCGGTTGACGAGCGTAGTTGGGATTGGTTGAGAAGTTGAAGGCATTTCACAGGTGACGCCATCAAGGACTTTAGTTTCGTTCAGGAAAACAGCAGAGTAGCCAACGTCCCCAGATTCATGGATAGCACGGATGGTAGGTGGAAGACAAGTTGGCTCACGCACTGTTCTCAATTCAGACTGTAGACACTACGGGATGGACGCTTTCTGGCTATTAGAAAAGAAATTTATTCGAACCTTCATAAAACCTTGAGATCATACGAGGCGGTCAGAGCCGAATGTGCCAAAACACGGAGAGCACGGGTGGGCATTTCCCATTTCTCCCTCCTCGGAGTAATGGCAATGGCTGAATGTAACCCATTTTGGCATGCTAAGTGGAGTTGCAAACAAAACGTGAATGCCAGGAAGGCATGGTAAATATGGACACACTTTGCAATTTGGAACATATTTTGACATTGGACCTGAAAGACCACTGAGAGGACCTACCAACAAACCAAGTGAAACTATCTACAATTTGGATCCAGGACTAACGCGCTTCAGCTCCAACACATCCTTTTCCTGCAGGCCGTAGAACTTGAGGAGTTCTCGGGTCTTCGCCTTTTGTGCTTCAATCCTTTTCAACAAGCTTGGTCCTCTCTTGTTCTCGTTGCGTCCCAACTGAAGCATATGCACTTCATCAGGTCCGTCCACAATTCTCATGGTTCGACCTGAGGACCACATTTGAGCTAGAGGGGTGTCTTGAGAGACACCAGCGCCGCCGTAGGCCTGGATGGCGCGGTCAAGGACGTCCAAGAGCATTTGAGGAACTTGAACCTTGACCTCCGAGATCTCCTTGAGTGCGTCCTTGGCGTTCGACTGATCGATCTTGATGGCAGCATTCAGTACTGCGAGACGTGAAGCATCGATTTCAATCCGTGATCTAGCGACACGTTCGAGCATGATGCCGTGTTCGAACAATTGCTTGCCGAAGGGTTTCTTGGCTGGATCGTTCAGACGGGCGAGGAAGTATTCCAGGGCTCTCTCAGCCTGTTGATCACAAGATTAGCCAAAAACTTGGTGGTGGGTGTTCAAGGGGTTACTTACTGAGCCGACGGATCTCATCGCATGATGAATACGGCCAGGTCCTAGACGTCCCTGAACGACTTCGAAGCCACGACCCTCTCCGAGGACCATATTGCTCTTGTGCACACGGACATTCTTGAATGTAATGTGACCGTGGCCATGAGGGGCATCATCGAAGCCCATGACAGAAAGCATACGCTCAATGGTGATGCCGGGGGTATCTGCTGAGACGAGGATGACGGATTGTTGTTTATGTTTATTGGGGTTGCTTGGGTCTGACTTTCCCATGACGATGTAGAGCTTACACCGGCGGTCGCCAGCTCCACTTGACCACCATTTCTGAATAGAATTAGTCCAAGATGTCTAAGTTGGAAAGATGACCATCTAGGACGTACCTGGCCATTTAGAATCCAATAGTCACCATCTTTCTTCATATCCAGCTCGATATTTGTAGCGTCACTGCTAGCGACTTGGGGTTCCGTCATCAAGAAAGCAGATCGAATCTCGCCGTTCAACAGAGCCCCAAGCCATTGCTTCTTCTGCTCCTCGGTGCCGTACTTGGCAACGACCTCCATGTTGCCAGTATCGGGGGCAGCACAATTGGTGGCTTCACTAGCTGTGACGCTCTTACCCAAATACTCGGCCATCAAGCCATATTCAAGATTACTGAATCCGGCACCTTCCTTGAAGTGGTTCTTGGGTAGGAACATGTTCCACAACCCAAGCTTCTTCGCTTTGGCTTTCAAGTCTTCGATCACCTTAGGGTGCGCATCGAAGCGGGCCACAGTACCTTGGCCAGTCTGTTGCGCGAAGACGGCATCTGCGGGGATACATTCCTCCTCGACGAAACGCTCAACCTGTAATATACAAAAACAGCTTATCAACACATGCAATTTGCGGAGATGGTAACAATATTAGAAGAGACATGATTCATACCAGGTCTAGAGTCTTCTTAGCTCTCTCGCTCACGAAAGGTCGTGCGATGACGGGGATTTTCTCTGATGCGGGGATGTGGCCATTTGGGCCGTTGATGAGGTAAGGGACAGACATGTTGAAAGAGTGATGAAAGGGATTGAGACTGGGAATTTCTGGGGTATGGAGAAGCGTGGAGGAAGTAGGCTTCTGAGAGGAATCTTATCAATGAATCAATGTCAGAATATAGATATAGAGTGTTGACGTTGAATGTTTTTTTCTGAATCAGTTATCCGTTCGGAAGCTCGATCTCGTCAACGAAGCCAGGAAGGGCTCAAGCCGAGGCTAATTAACTAATCGATTCGGCTTGAACACCAATCCAGATGGATGGCGGTCTGACACAAAAGACGCCCGCAAGCTGGGATTTCCGATGAACCCCGGGCGTGCGTCAGACAAGTCGATTCCAGCCCGGGCCAGGACTAGCTGCCTAGGTACCTACGAGCAGTACCCAGCAATCAAACCACCTCTCCGGAACCAAGTCGTAGGTTGCCTACCTAGGTATGGAAGCCGGAGCTTTGAGCTCTCACAATTCAATCGTATCAAGCGCAGGGCCAGGCTGAATCATGCTTGACTGACTGAATCAGGCCACTGAACCCATTTATTCTCACACATGGCTACCTGGGTACGCTTGCTCGGCTATTCCCCTCCACCGGCACCCCAGGAACTCTCTGGCAACACCGAGTCCAAGAAGCTGGTCATCCATCACTACTCACATGGCTCTGCCCAAGGTAAGAGCGGCTGCATGCCATTTCGCGCCAATGATTTTCGAGGCCAGGAAATCATGTGAAAAGGCAATTGGCCTTATCCATGAAGCAGCTCACAGAGGTGCCAATCTGGTCGTGTTCCCCGAGTCAGCTATCCCCGGATTCCCCATATGGTCAGCCTTGTTACCACCGACCAGAACACATGACTTTTTCCAGCTGTTTGCACAATCGTCCCTCCTCATAGACGGCGAGGAGATCTCTGCCATCCGCCATGCAGCTGCCAAAAGTAAGGTCATTGTCAGCCTCGGATTCTCCGAAAAAGTGCGCTACAGTACTGGTACTCTTTTTAATACGAATATACTCATAGGTGAGCAAGGCGAGCTACTCATTCATCATCGAAAATTAGTGCCGACATTTTTCGAGAAGCTAAGCTGGTCCCCTGGTGACGGCTATGGTCTACGGGTTGCCAACACTAAATTCGGCAAGATCGGGGCTCTGATCTGTGGTGAAAATACAAACCCCCTGGCGCGCTATGCTCTCATGGCCCAGGGAGAGCAAATACATATCTCGACTTGGCCTGCCGTCTGGCCTACAAGAGATCTCCACGGGTCTGTCCAAGATAATGCTGCTGAGCCTCCAAGTTCTACGTCCAAGCCGAGCACAAATCGCCATGATGGTCAGGGACAGGGTAGACCCGATCAGACAGTTGGAAACTTATCTGGGACGCAAACCGAAGAGGTAGACAGAGCTTTTGCTACCTCGAACTATGATAACACAGCAGCAAATCGTACACGGGCAGCAGCCCATTGCTTCGAAGCAAAATCCTTCGGGATTTCTTGTGCAGGTCATCTCGACCAAGACATGGTCAGCCGACTGACAGAGTTGGTAGGCGATGCAGATGGCCTGAGGATAAAGAAGACGTTAGACATGTCGCAAAGAGCAACAACTCAATTCTTCGATCCGACTGGCAGACTGCTACAGAGTTTCAATTACAATCACTCCCACGATAAGACAGATGGTGTGATATCCGATGAGACTCCTCACCATGAAATTCATTATGCCGATTTGGACTTGAATCAGTGCGTCGAAGGGAAACAGTATCATGATGTGGTGGGTGGGTATCAAAGATTCGATGTATTCTCGCTCACGGTCAACCGGCAAAGAAGTGAACCAGCAACATTTGTTGATAGTGGTCTAAAGACATCAGCATCACCAAGCCGCGGAGCCGTCCCAAACGGGCATCCAACGGAAGCCCAACTGGGCATCAATATCGGAAATGGATCGGCTAACTCCTAGACTGGGCCAGTCGACCTCGGCTGACGCCGACACCATTAAGGGGGACATTTGATGGGGAGAAAAAGTCCCATATACGGCTTTATTCGTTGTTATCATACCTCGTACCTAAGTACATACATTAATGCACAGAGTCTTGATGCCAAAAGGACGATGGGCCACCTCTCAGATGTGAAAAATTGTAGACACCACGTGATTCCGGATTAATTCAAGTTTATCCGCTATTGCCTATGGGAGGGCGCACGCGATTCATGAATTAGAGTCCCTTTTTTGAGATGACTCGCGCGCGCATCGATTTTCGCCGCTCGCTCTAGAGAAATTCACATTCGTCACTGGCTTCTTCTGCGCGTTTGTCCAGGCCAACTTCTTCAATTCTTGTGACTCCCACTCGTTCACTCATTTGTACACCATTGTATCCATAAGATACTGACTCCAAAGTATATTATCCTTCATAATCTTCCAGCCACAACATCTACCACGTTCATGACATTTTCCACTGCCACCCCGAAGCCTTTCCAGGTAACCACAAGAGAAGAGAATATCCTTCCACAAGCCCGCGAGACTGGACAAGTGATACCGGAGGGCCCAGGCCAAGATGCGACCGCGGTGACAAAAGATGGACCTACGGTCAAACCATGGGCGCATTTTGTCGCAGGAGGGTAGGCAAATACAGACTTCTCCTCATCAAAGAATTAGACTGACACTCCTGCAGTGTTGGCGGCATGACAGCAGCAGCCCTGACCTCTCCACTTGACGTTCTAAAAACACGATTACAATCCGATTTCTACCAAGCTCAGTTACGGGCGCTTCATGCACAGCACCCACTCCCTCACAAAACCACCCTCTTATCCATACCTCGGTCTGCTTTTTTTCATATCGCCGAGACCGTACAAATACTCCGCTCGATACACCAGCATGAGGGATTTCGGGCATTGTTCCGTGGTCTGGGTGCGAACTTGGTTGGTGTGGTTCCGGCGCGGAGTATCAATTTCTATGTTTATGGAAATGGAAAGCGGCTACTGAACAACTATTTGAATCCGGAGGGCAAGGAGAACATGTGGACCGTTCACCTTTTAGCGGCAGCGACAGCCGGAATCGCGACGGGCACTGCGACAAATCCAATCTGGTTGGTGAAGACGAGGTTGCAGTTGGATAAGAATAATGCGACCCACGATCCTTTGAGCCGACGGCAGTATCGAAACAGCTGGGACTGCGTGAAGCAAACCGTGCGGCACGAAGGAATTCGAGGCTTATATCGAGGATTGTCTGCTTCCTATCTTGGAGTTACAGAATCAACCCTTCAGTGGGTTCTCTACGAACGGATGAAGCTCTCGTTGGCACGTCGAGAGGCGAAAAGACTTGCGACACCAGGATACCAACCAACATGGTTTGATAATACGGAAGAATGGGCCGGCAAATTCTCTGCTGCTGCTGGCGCCAAAGGAATTGCCGCCGCCGTCACATATCCACATGAGGTTGTCCGGACGAGATTAAGGCAGGCACCCACGACAATTGCAGAGAATGGAAAAGCAACAGTCAAGTACACCGGACTTGTGCAGTGCTTCAGACTGGTCGCCAAAGAAGAAGGTATTGCAGGTTTGTATGGAGGCATGACACCTCATCTGCTCCGTGCTGTACCTAGCGCGGCCATTATGTTTGGAACGTGAGTGTTGTCCTGGATCCTGCTGTTGTTTTCAACATTGCTGACTTCAAACAGATACGAGATCATTCTACGCCTTGTCGGAACCACCGCATGAGCGCGGTCCTCCACTGCTCATGGTTGAACCATGGCTTTGAAAGACCGCTCACTTGTACATTATTCACCACCAATGTCATTCATGACCAAACCAACTTCCCCACACATGTTATTACCATAATGGCGGGATTTTCTGTTGACGACCAAGCGTAGCATAACACGGAGTTGATGATGCCATTTCCCTTTAGGACATCCCTTGGGTCTGAGACTTTCCACCAAGTACCACGATAGCGCAAGCTCGGGCGGGAATACACAGGTACAGAGATAAAGGCTTCTTGAGTATCCCTATTCGGAGCCTATACCTGAGAAGCGCTTCACCCTTCTCATGTTCATAGATGTATAATATAATCTTGGAGATTACTCGCCTTTCGCACACTCGACTTATGACATTGTAATGTCTGGGTGTGCACAATGTTGATGTAAATTCAAGGATCCCTCGAACGCTACGGGGAAACATTGATTATCATCTGTGCCAACCCTGCCACTAAAATCCGCCGTATTAGATGTTTACTCTTTCCATATCGAGCAATCTTGCGACCGCGATTAAAGTCGAGGCATTGCAATCCACGTCGACAACCCGTTGTAGAAGAAAAGACACCCAGGACATCACTCGCCCCACAAACTTCAGTTCAAAGCTCGGATATAGAGTCACAACAAAATGGCGTCCACAGACTACGCGGCCACTCTCGTGGCCCTGCGCGACCAACAAAGATTACAGCAACTCTCGATCCTGACACTGGCAGAGCCAATCCTGAGCTCAAACTTTCAAAATTCCAACAATAACCACAATGAAGACACATCCAAACCCTCGACGCGGCCGTCCGACGTCTCATCCACAACAACACATTATTCCTCAGATCTCGACAGCCACCTAACCCCGTCGTCGCTCGCGGCCGACCTGACGCACTACAAAGACCTCTTTTCGAAACTACGCTTCAGCTACCTCGAGCAAGTGACCAAGGAGAAATACCTGCGCAGTATCGTGGGCGACCCGCCACTGGTGGTGAGCCACGACGACAACCTGGCGCTCGAGCAGCGGCTGGTTGGCATGAAGGCGGACGTCAAGCGGCGCAAGGAAGAGGTGGAGGCGCTGGTGGTGGAGATCGAGGGCCGCGCGCGGGAGGTCGCCGCGCGGTATCAGAGCGTCGTTGACGGGGCGCTGGTGCTTGAGACGGTGCCGGGCGAGGTCGAGGCGTTGAGTTTGGAGATCGAAGAGTTGAAGCGCGTGATCAGAGAGAAGAAGGGCGGTGATGATGCGGACAGAGTCAGTGATGGCGGTGATGTCAGGATGAATCTGTCGTTGGAGAAGACGGCCGCTGCGCTGGAGGAACAGCGTGCGAGGAACCGCGAGGTCGACGCGCAGGTCGAAGAGTTGCAGCGGCGCTTGCCGGCCAAAGTCAGGGAGGTGGAGAAGGTGGATCGTGAGTTGGTCGAGTTGGAGAAGAGGCGGAACGAGGCAACCAGGTTGGCGAGGGAGGTTAGAAGGAGGAAGGAAGAGGGTGGGCGGGACGAGCTGGACGAGTTGGGTAGGTGGTACCATGGGAGTGATGTTGTTCTTCGAGGGTTGTTGGGCGTGGAAGCGTAATTGGATCAGTATTGTTGTCTTGGATATGACTTTCTTGCTCCAAAACTATGGACCAGTCGCTCGTCCGGAGCTGGCTTGCCTCGGGGGTTTTACGACGATTATGCGCACATGATACCACTTGCTTTTGGGAACGGCAGAAATGGAATGAGGATTGGAAAGGAAACTTCCTGGGAAGAGTTTGTGATGCTTGATTCGATTTTGGTTTCATTGATCTTCATCTCATGCAGTAGAAGCACGAGATGTACTGAGCATTTAAGGTGTCTATCTGCCATCAATATGCGGATAGCCCATGTCCATAAGGACGGTAAATGGTCAATGTTTTCGATCGTGTGAATGAGCAATGACCCCGGGTTTTGTGGTATTGGACGAGACTTGACACATTCTGCTGTATTTCTGTCCCGGCGCACCTCTGCCATCAGGAGACGATGATCTACTCCTCATCATCACCTTCCTCATCACCACCCTCCTCCTTGCTCTCAGCGGCCTTGGCCTTCTTCCTCCGAACACGACCAGGACGGCCACCACCGAAGGGACTTGTAAGGGCGAAGTCAATGTGCTTTTGAGAATCGAGACGGACAATGAAGGAAGGAACGTTGACAATTTGCTTGCCGACACGGATGTGGCGCTGCTTGATGAGGACACGGGCGTGATGGATCGACTTGGCGAGGCCGAGCTTGTAGACGCAGGTTTGTAGACGACGCTCCAAGAAATCCTCGACCTTTAAGGCCAAGACGTAATCGAGCTTCATACGGGATTCGTCCAAGACACCCACTCGCACAAGACGTCGGATAAGGGCATTGCCTTCGAAGAGTCGCTTGGGGTCCTTCTCGTCAAGGGTGAGAAGTTGACTATTTGGGTAGGTTGGGTCAGTTATAATGATGCCTCGGGCGCAAATACGATATTTTTGCAAGTCTTAAAAGGATTGGTGTAGGTATTTCTCTTACCGAGCAGCACGACGAATCTTGGAGAGAGTGAGCTGGACACGCCACACCTCACGCTTGTTGCGCAGACCGTATTCACCAACGATCTTCAACTCAGAGTCGCTATATTGAGAGAACAGAGGAAGTTAGACAGAGGAATCTCAGACATAAGCAGAGAAGACAAGCTCATGCTCAGTGGCCAGGATACACGTACAGACGAGCCGATTCGAATGCTGTTGGTGATAATTGTTAGTCTTTGATCTCGAACATGGAAATGACCTGGATGCGATGCATGCAACTTACGTCGACGAGGGACCTTGTAGGTCTTTGAGTATGATCGTGGCGCCATAATTGCGAAAGTATCTGCGCAATCAGATTGTCGTTGAGAGAAAAGATGAAGTCGTTGGTGGTGGTAGTGGTGTTGGAGAATGCCTCGAATTTGCAGCCGGGACCAAAGGCTTGGCGCACAAATGAATCCCACCACCATCGAATTTGTGTGCGGCCCATCATCAAGTCTTGGCAAAAATCACATTTCCAGAAGGCGCACCTTACCCACGAACACCACTAACACCGCAGTAAACGCTGCACCCATCAACGTTCCCCATCCTTCTATCCAACAACACGATCCTCTCGATAATCTTTCGCAATGGGTCACGCAGCCGGTCTCCGGGCTGGAACGCGCTATGCGTTCAGCCGTGATCACCGCAAGAAGGTGCGCAAAAACGACGAGCTCATGGCTTGGTTGAATGAGATGGGAAGCAATACTGACGGCTCCGACAGGGTATGATCGCTCTGGGAACATACATGAAAACCTACAAGGTCGGAGATATCGTCGACATCAAAGCCAACGGTGCCGTCCAGAAGGGTGTAAGGATCTCCCCTACTACTCCCAGCCCACTTTTCCCCAAGAGTCTCTCGATTCAAAAGAGCCACGCAAATTCAAGGCGACAAGAAATCACAGAGACCGAGAATTCAAGCAAGAAGCAAGCAGAAAGACAGCACTGATATGTTGGTGAATTTAGATGCCCTACAAAGTCTACCACGGTAAGACCGGTGTCATTTACAACGTGACCCGATCCGCCGTCGGCGTCATCATCTACAAAAAAGTCGGCAACCGATACCTGGAGAAGCGAGTGAACGTCCGCGTCGAACACATCAACCACTCCCGATCAAGAGACGAATGTAAGCAAAAATAGAAATGCCTCCACACTCCAAGCAACATAAACTAACATACCATGATTCTTCCACCACACAGTCTTGAACAGAGTCAAGTCCAACGCCGCCAGCCGCAAAGCCGCCAAGGAGAAGGGTGAGAGCGTCCAGCTGAAGCGTCAGCCCGTTGGGCCCCGGGATTCCAGAGTCATCGAGTTCACCGAGGTCGAGAGCCTGGCTCCTCAACCATACGATACCCACATTTAAACGTTGAGCCCAACAGATCAACTTGCTTTCATTGTTGTGCGGTAACGAGGACGGTGTAGATGCGCTTGCTCATGCTGGGAATGCCCACGAGAGAGATAGTGTGGTGGTAGGCAAGGCAGGGCAAGGCAAGAAATCGGAGTACCCAGAGAGTGGTGGTGGGTTATTCTGCTGGATCGTGTCGGGATGGTACAGACAGACGATGGAGAAGCTCATCGTGCTCAGAAGGGACGATCGTGTGGCCAACGACGTCTCCTGGGGTTTTCCAAACTTTTGACTTTCAAAATCAAACAAATGGCTGCTTCCAGCGAACTCTTCTGGCCTAGAGAGTGAAGTAAGTGGCTTGAGGTAACCATGATTCTCAGCCAGCACCTTGCAAAAAGAACCCAAAACCCTTCTTCCGTCATATGGGGGAGGCCTTCAAATCAAACTGGGAAATGACAATATCATGAAAAAAAACCTTGTCTTCTTTCGAATCTAGATTGTTTCTCCTCGTTCCTACAAAGTATTGGCACTTCGTGTCACTTCCACGTCAAGGGCTATACAGCGGTTACATAGCTACTACGCTGCACTACTATTTTTTTTTTCTTGAATGACTTTTATTTTGTGGTCCCCTGGGCCACGAACATGGATCTGCTGCCTATGTAAGTGTCTCGAAAAGACGAAGCATCTCGGTGGTATGCCTGAAGGCAAATACTGAAAATGGTCTCTGTTACCCGTGAGGAAATCTGCGTTGACCTATCAGTTCAACAGGTCCTCTGCCTGTGACTTCAACGTCTCTGCAAGTATTCTAATACTTGGATCCATCGAGCGAGTTGATCAGAGACTCAATCCCAACCTCAGCAGCGACCTCTGCCTCGGTCATTGAGGCCGGGTCCTTGAAGTGCTGGTAACAAAATCCATCCAGGTCATGGCCTGAAGGCTCACCAGTAATTTTTGCAACGTGCTCCCGAGAAGGACCTGGACCACTCTTGCCTGCTGTCGCCTGCAATTCATTCTCCCCCTTTTCACCATCTGCAAACCCTGCCTGCTCATGTTCTCGCGTTGCCAGGCCTCCCTCAACGAACAGCTCTGCAACCCCCGAAGTGTACTTGGAGTGCCCTGCAGTATCCAGCTTGGCAGGATTTTCGTCAAGCTGAGTGTGCATAGCGAGTTTACACAAAACATCCTGAAGAATCCAGGGGAAGCTGATCATTGGCATTTGCAGAAACTCTTGTGAGGCCGACTCGACATGGGAAGGTTGCTTTAAGGTGTCAGATGAGCCAGTTGCATGGCTATCACTAGCAGAGGATCCCGTCGAACTGGTCGAACTTGAGAGAATTTCTGAACCACTGCTGCTATCTGTGGCTTCGTTGCGAAATAGGGCCTCCTTGACTTCCTCGTACGTGACATGGTATGCAGCCACAGCATAGGGTGCGAGTTTTTGGAACTCTCTGCCACCTGCCTCTTCACAGAAGATCTCGTAGTATGCCTCTTTGAGGGTCCTCGAATGTTGTCCGATCTCTTCGTGGAATTTGAAATCACGGGCCGCCTTGCTGTGGCTTAGGACAAAGGTTGACCAGACTTCAAACTCAGACTGGATCTTGTGCTGTGCCATGATGCGCCTCATCGACTCCTCATATTCCTTCTTCATGTCCTTCACTATATTTATAAGTTCCAGTTTTGGTTTCCAGTGAAGGATTCGCGGATCGAAGGTGTCCGTCAACTTTGGCACAAAATTGACACGTTCGACTGCATCATATAATCGTCCGAGTATCTTGCGAGATCTGTACTCACGGCGACCTTTCTTCTCCATAAAGTGTGGCCATTGATCACGCTCTAGATCACGAGGCATTTGAGCAGGCACACCAGTCTTTGGGTAGTCGACAGCCATAGAATGAAGATTGACTAGTTCGATGCATTGTCGACTCCGAATACCCGCGTCCAAGAAGTCTGCAGCTGCAAGATGAGCGTGGGCAATCCGACCCAGAAAATCATTCTGTAGGTAATCGTGAAAGAAATTGATGATATCACCAGTCGTAATTTGGTCCTTCGTCACAGGGTCGGGTGCGTTGTAATGAAAAGGTTCAGCATCCCATACTGGAGGGATAAGGTCCTTGTCCCAACAAACGATGTAGTCATCGCCGTCCAGGTCACCCCCAGAGCACATACTGGGTAGGTCCCGATCACCATCCGTGGGCATCACCACGACATCGCGTAAGTGTCGCAACTTTTCTACGTTGACTGCGTTCACCACTCGAATGTCCCCACGATGTAAGGAAGGGTTGCGAGCCACGAAGCAGATGCCTTCGACTATGCAAGGAGAACCTGTGTGCTGATTGGTGTACTGAATAAAGATCTGTGGCAAAGCGTTAACCTTTTCTTCATATGTGCTTGCAGTCCGCAGTTTGTCCCTCTCGTAACCGCGGAGAGTACCAGTTTCGTCCGCAATGCCCAGGACAAAAGCACCTTTCGCAATGGGGATCTTGGCCTTCTCCTTGAGATACTTCAACGTACATGCACGATAAAGCATCAGTAAGGACATCGCAAACGGTTCGTTTCTGGAGCGGAACTGGGCTTCGACGAGATTGGCAATACTAGTTGTCATCAGATTTGGATCAACATTGTCTCGGAGTGACCTCAGAGCCGCTTCGTCTTCTGAGAGAGCAGAATCAAGCGCTGCGATACACTCCTCTTGCTTTTGCAGGAAGACTGCATCCGGTACGCCTAGATCGGACAAGACCAGAATCAATTGACGATTCAAGAAGCTCTGCCAGTATTCCGATACTCTGATGATCTCAAGGATATCGGAATCGCTGTCGAACTTGAACTGGCTAGGCCTAATCAGAACGTTGACATCACGAAATTCAGTATCGATTGCCAATACACCCTTGCAACCTCCAAGACGAAATTGAAAAGCTGAGGGCGGCTCGCCAGCAGGTAGTTTGAGCTCAGTTTGAATCAATTCAGCGGCAGCTCGGGAAATCTTGCCAACTCCATCAGTGAAGGTATAACCATTATTGATCACATCAGGTGTAGGGTCTTTTGTCCATTCTCGCCTACCACCGACAGTTGTGACAGGTTTGGTTGTAGAGAAACACTGCCCCATGCGAGCTGCTCGCTTTGCCACAATTTTTTCCTCGTGGAATCTGCCCATTTGTGCTCGAATGGTTTCAACGGTGATATCTTCGGCTGCAGCGAAAAAGTAGGCCCCATGCTCGCGAAGCTGCGAATTTCCCCATGCAAGGAATTCGTAATGACGACCTGCGACAATTATACCCTGTCTCATCGTGCGACGGACTCTCTCAAAGAGCAGTAGCATCTTGTTGTTGGTTGCTGGGAACAATCGTGACTGGCCCCGGTAGGAGTCATCTTCGAAGCGCACACGGAGGAATCTATCAGAATACTTCTGATACTGGCGAACAATGCGATTTGTGATTTCGACAGATGGGGTATGCAAAATTAGAGCAGTTGCGGTAACTGTAGCATGGAGGAGCTCTTCGCAGTTTGCAGGTAAGGCTCTGGCTCTAACAGGTTTTTGGAAACGGATGTCTTCAAAAACATCCATGGGGTTGTAAACACGGGTTTGAAGGGCATCGACATGAATGAGCATCTGCTTTGCACGGTTGGAGTCCATTGCTGAGAGACGTTTCAGAAAAGACATGTCGATCAAGTACTCATTCAGCCATCCAGAGGATATGCAAACCTCAAGCTGGTACCGTACTTGAAAGTCGAGGTAGATCGACTGTGATGGGCGAATGGTAGCGAGACTCTGTAAGATGTTCCTCATCGGTGCTTCTTTGTTGGGGCTATCCTGGACCTTGAATGCAGCATTACCAGTCACGCGAACATTGAAATCCATCAGTGCGTTGAGAATATTCTGCAAAACAAGGGGTCTCTTGCCACGTTCTGTCTCCTCAGGCTTGACGTTGAACCGGAAGGTGGTCCATCGTGCAATATTGATTGAGTTCATATCCTTGTGCAACGAGACGGGGGTGTCATTGATCATCTCGAATTTTTCTCTGCGGTCCACGATATCAGTCTGACGAACCCAGGCATCCTCGCTGCTCCATGTACGTGGCTGTTTAATATGGCTCAGCTGCATAGCTTCCTTGAGTTCCTTGGAATACCATGGTGGATTTGAGACATGAATAACCAGTGAGGTGAGATTGCCATCAAAAGTGTCGCACATCGAGAATTGGTCGTCTAAAGCAACGTGGAATCGGTATGCCCTAAGTGAAATGTTTCCTTTCGATTCAAGAGCAACTGGAAAATGAAGGGCTATCTCGCGTTTCTTCAGATTCAAAACGAGCCGAACAGAGTCTTTGCGTGGGGAAGATTCCGTCGCCACACGTGCCATACACTGCTCATTGATCAAATATCCGAAATCGATGGAAGCGCCAATCAGGGTCATCTCCGGTAGATAGCTGATCCCTGGTCTGATAGGGCTCTCGATTCGGGCCACTGAGGGTTGTATTTTGTCGTATATGACAGAAATCGAATGTGGTGTCACAACATCCTTCATCAACTTCGTCACGGGATCGAACTCCTTTGTCTTAATAATGAGCTGAACGCCACCTCTTCTCGCTTGCTCCCATGGCGCCCGACGTGGCGGTGGTCTAAATCCTTTATTAGCAAGTGGATCTGACACATTGTTAGGCTAACATACTTGAAGATGACAGTAGCCCCTGCACTAAAGTTGCCCTGTCGGCTTTCGTTGATGCGGATGGAGTCGATCTTTCCTTGACCGCCACCATAGGGTGCTAGGCATTGATAGATCTCCCACGTAGTGGTGCCTTCTGGCAGGGAAGGGATGTACACTCTGACCGAAGGCCGTGTCCTCCAATCATCGGATGGTGCTGATCCTGATCCTGAGTGCGAGTGTCGAATGTTGGGGCGGAGTGGTGATTGCTGGGTGGTGAAATGTCGGCGTGCCATTGTGGTCGAGTTTGGGACATACCAGAACTACTCATTGAGGAGACATAAGCAAAATTCAAACGTCTTCAGGTGTGCAAAGAAGAATTGAGATTCAAAGGATGGTTGATGGTTTGAAATAGAAATGATGAAATGATGCCTCATCGACAAAAGACAGGAATGATGAGGATTCAGAAGATCAAAAGAATCAGGTTGAAGCTGCGGTTTATTAGCTCTCTGGACTTGAAAATCTTGGCTCCTTGTGTCGCGGTCAGGGTGCAGTCGCAGTAGTGATTTGGATAGTCGACAGTCGCCAGGGAAGGGGCGAGGCAGCGATGGGTGTCACTTGAGTGAAGAAAGTGACAATTCCCTTCTTTTCTCAATCTGTGCCAGTGATAAAGTGAACTCGCTGTGACAAACAGAAATCAATGACTGAAGACTGTGTGTGGTGTCGTTGAATTGTTTGCTCCAGTTAAATTGAGATCGGCCGTTTGATGTCGGTACCCGTCTGAGATGAGAGTGATGAAGAAGTCATCTTCGATCATCAAGCACCTTGTCTAACGGCGGCACTGGACCTCAGGCAGTCCTTTCAAGAAACAACGGTGAAGAACAGCATCGCACCAATTTTGGAGTGTTGTGAAGTCAGCGGTTGCTGCTCAGTGTGGCCGCTGAAAGCAATTCCGAAGTTCACGGTCATGTGTGGGATAGGACTCGCTGAATAAGACTCTATCATTGGTGTCTACCTAGGTAGGTATACAAAGAATACAATCGTTGTTCTTCACACACGCGTTGTCAGTAAGTCGATACGGACTGGGTTTAGGGTTCAGGCTGCCCTTTAAGTTGGCTTGGAATTTAGAGAATTAGGCACGGAATCCGGATAAACTATTTTTGCGGCCACAAGGTTCGCTGAATAGGGGGAAGTCACAATCGAAGCCCACAACGAAATACGAAACATGGATTAGAAAGTTGAATCGTTATCTTCTCAGGGCAGTGAACAGTAATATGCCAACTAGGATCTAACTTGGTCTTCCAGGACCTGCGCTGTGACCGGACTAGTTGCCTCGGTCATAAGGACTTCAACACTCCCCTTGTCGACAATCTCATTTCGTGCAGCTTTCTCTGCCTCTGTAGCACATCACGACAGACCTCAATGGGGTCGCTGTAGAACATCCAAAAGCTTCTGCTCCCTCTCCTTGAGCTCACTAGCCTCCTTGACCAAGCGTTCAGTCTCAATTTTCCATTTCTCTTCAGACGAGGCCAAGTGGTTGTTTTGCAATGTGAGGGCTTCGCTCATTTCTTCGAGCTCCTTGACTTTCTCAGAAAGTTTTTCGTTGTCGTTGACCAAGTCGAGAAGTTGGAGTGTGAGATCTTGGTTTTCCTCCCATAGTTGCTGCTCGTTGCTCGAGAGTTCTTCTCTTTGTAGTTCCAGCTCTTTAATCGTAGCGTCTTTGCTGGCAGATTCGATTTCGGTTTCTTCGAGAAGTTCGACGTAGGCACGTAGCTGATCAATTAATATCTGATGAAGTTTCAGGAGGAAGAGTGGCTTGGGTACCAACCTGCTTATTCATTGCAGTTTTCTGGTCCTCAAATCTGGCTAGCAGGGCCTTGATTTCTTTGTCGTGAGCCTCCTTGAGCTCTTTGTCCTTGTCATCAAGCTGTTGTCTCAACCATTGGATTTGTGTCTCCAAACGCTCTTGGGTCATACGTGCAACCTCTTCTTGGCGTTGGATGTACAAATCGATGCCATGGTTCGCAAGTTCCATGTCTTCAATTTGCTCTCGGAGTTCACGAATGGTGTCGTCTTTTTCAGTTTGATCGTTCTCTCGTTGTCGCTCCATCTCTCTGAGTGTGGCCGACAGTTGTTCTTGTAGAAGTCCACGTTCTAGGTGTAGGTCTTGGAGAGCACTACTGAGATTTTGAGACCATCGTAAAAGATATGCCTTCCCCTCGCGAGCCCGAGAAAAACTGGCGTTTGTTGCTCGGCGTGTTTGCTCGGTTTCAAGCAAGTCCTCTTCTGTGATCTTCAGGGCCCGCGTCAATTCAATAAACTTTTCCTTTTCTTTGTCCAGTTCCTCAAGATGGGTAGGCACTTGTCCAAACCGACAAACGTCCCAACTCACATTAGGTGTGGCCATGTCTCGTTGAGCTTTTGCTTGAGCTCGGAGTTTGACGATATCATCACAGTCTGCGAGATGATCAATCTGCGAAGAGATTTCCATGAAAATACGAGAGAGATCTTTGCACAATTGCTGTCTGGCGAATTCGGCATGATGTGGACAGCTTTTCAACCTCGCACAGTTTTGAGGCTCGTGCGGATTTGACAGATTGATTGTCCACCAACTGGGAAACCCAAGATTGCGAACCACATTGCAGAAGATGTTGGGAAGAAATCCATCATCATCCATCGACATTCCCATATGTTTCTCCAACGCTCTAAGCAGTGTTGAGGCCCACTCAATGCCGAGACGATTTTTGGGGTCAAGATTAGCAGGACGACATAGATCAAAAACGGCAGTCAAAACGACTTGGAGACATTGAGTAACCGACTCCTTTGACACCGATCCTTTAGAGCTGATTGGAAGAAGCTCGATGACAGCCATGACGAAATACCAAGGACTCTTCATTTCGTTGGCCGAAAAGGGCTGAGGCTGTAACAGCAAGGCCTTGACAATGGGCTCAAACAGAGCGATGAAATTGGTGGGAACATCAGTCTCGTGAGTTGTGGTTCCGATACGAAGGACGCAAAATGCATGAGCCATGACTGCGGGCGGAATGCTGGGCTCGAGCAATTTCTCCTTCAGCTTTTCTAAAGCCGTGGCTGCTTCTTCGCCCCAATCTCGGAAACACCGAACATCAATATGAGGAAGAATTTCCGCTGCCATGACCGTCATCTCGAGATGAAAAGGCGATCTCTCAGTGAGTGTATCAACCACAGCTTTCACGGTCCGGATGAAAGTGACTTTGAAGATTTTTGCACCTTGAGGCGGAATGAATAGCTGACGCGCTCGAATGAGCCACTGTGACAATGTCGACGGCATATTGGGGAATACAGACTGTATGGATTGCGGCAATACTGCAAACACATCGTGTCTGCAGCCAAGTCGGTAAAGCGAAGACGCGATATGAACGGAGACCATCGAATCCAGGTGATCAGCTGATTTCATCAGAGTCTTCCAATTTTCATAGGCCAGTTCGAGATCCGGTTCTGCAATTTCGGCCAGAGCCCCCAAACCTAGGGTTCCAAACAGAGCCTTGACTCGTCGATTCCAGACCGATGGCGATGCATGCTTCCAATTGCCAATCTCTCTCAAGAGAACCTCGGAGTAGAGAACACCGCCATACTTCTCGTATGGTAATGCGCTCTCACATAGCTCTGTCACGTTGTCGATTGGAAGAGGCTGACTTGCAATATTCGGCGTGGATTGATAAAACAAGACTTGATTCAGAATTCCTTGAACAAAAATTCGGCGGTTGGAGCCCGCAAGACCCAAAGCCAGTTTCACGAGGTACGGGCGCTTGCAGAGCTTCAACAGAAAGATGGTGGCCTGTTGGTTGAATGTACGGTTTCTGTAGGCAGCAGAAACGATGGCCTGACACTGGCATGATTTGATTGTGTTCCATTGTTCCAAGAGGGTCTTCTCATGATCTTGGTCCAGGAGGTCGTTCAATATCTAGTGTTGGTTAATCAGAGCCCAGGGAGACTTGGAAGATGATCTGCTATGAGGACTCACTTGGAATGAATTGCGGGACTGGGCTTGATAATTGAAAGGTTTCTCATTGAGGAGGATGAAATCTATCTCCTCGACGAGTTCACTCAGCATCGATTGACTCATCGTGGCCATGAGCGACGTGGAAGGGGGCGGAGGGTTGTGGTGAAAGTGTGAGGTGGTGAGATCACCGTCGCTTCAAAACCAAAAGGGGGAGAGATTATTGTGGGCGACAGTGAGGTGAGCGCAGGCAGCCAAAGATTGAGGTGCAGATTCATTTTGGCCGTGACGCACACTGGCACCCGCACACACAACCACAACCACAGCAGCCCGGTTGCCCTCCCAACTCCCTTCGTTCTCATCCATCTCTACAGCGACATCTCTTTTCTACAGATAGCAAGCGTACAACGGAGAGGAAGGATGCTTTTAAGCCTCCTCAGACTGGCTACCTCCAACGTACCAGCCCAAACCCCCACATCAAGATGCCGCTTCCGCCGTCTTTTCCGACCTTCCGAGCACGACATCGTCCAAAAATCTTAGCCCATAGCCGCAGCCCATTCAAATAAGGTCTGAAAAGACCTTCTCGTTGGGGTCGAAACCTGCAATGACTTGAACCTCTACCACCTCTCCAATCCATCCCCGTTCAGAGCCCGGAAAACATCCTCATACGATTGCCTGAGTCGGGTTGATGACGATGGTCACGGTGGGGGGAGCAAAGTGGGGAGTTGGCCTTCTCAGCAAAAGGTTATCTGTGCCCACCGCCATTTATCTAAATTCATCAGCCTCGAACGCGTCGCGCTCAAAGTTCGACGCGCCACGTGGCTGGTGCAAGCCAACTTCATCTCCGAGTCGTCCTTGTGATTATCGTTGGACACCCCGAGCCAATTATTCCTCATCACATACAGGCTCTGCCAAGCGCTCTACATGGACGAGAGATGCAATCTTCCTGCTGGCGGGTGGGGCAGCCGCCTCAGTCGGCTATGTGTTTGGTGTCAATGATGCCGGCAGCCATTCGAGTGAGCTGTTAGAGAGGAAGCCAAAAGCTCCTACGTACGCCACCAAGGCACAGCTCGAGCAGGTAAGCAGCCGACAGTTTAGCATACAAATGGTCAAATTCTAACACCACATCAGGCAATACAGATAGTTCGCAATTCTCTTGGTGACGATGCGATCAGCACAGATGATGAGGATCTTCGAGCCCACGGCTACTCAGAGTGGTCGTCTATCAATATCGACCAGTTGCCTGTGGCGGTCGTCTATCCCAAAAGTACCGAAGAAGTCTCTCAGATCGTTAAAATTGCGTCTCGGTTCAAGATACCGATGATTCCTTACTCTGGGGGCTCGTCACTCGAGGCCAACTTTGCCGCACCCTATGGAGGCTTCAGCATTGACTTTGCATTTATGGATCAGATCATTGCCCTTCACGATGAAGACATGGATGTGGTAGTGCAACCTTCAATACAGTGGATGGAATTGAATGAGAAAATTGCCGCCAAGGGCCTCTGGTTTCCTGTTGACCCAGGCCCATCGGCTAAAATTGGAGGCATGATCGGGACATCCTGTAGTGGCACCAACGCTTTTCGCTGGGGCACCATGAGGGACTGGGTTCTCAATCTAACAGTCGTTCTTCCTGACGGCCGCATCATTAAAACAAGACAACGTCCTCGCAAGTCGTCCGCGGGTTACAACTTGAATCACCTGTTTGTTGGGGCTGAAGGGACCTTGGGGATCATCACCGAAGCAACTCTCAAACTCGCCGTGATCCCTCAAGAAACGAAGGTCGGAGTTGTCACATTCCCCACCATTCGTCACGCAGCAGCTGCGGCAATGCAGATTATTCGCTCTGGAATACCCGTTGCTGCCATGGAAATCATGGATGACGTTCAAATGTCGGTCATCAACCGAGCAGGTGGCACCAATCGGACGTGGAAAGAGGTACCAACCATCTTTTTCAAATTCTCGGGAACGAAAGCTGGTGTCCAAGACAATATCAAGCTCACCACCGGCATTGCAAAGGCAAATCAAGCCGCCGATTTCATCTATGCTCGGAACGACCAAGAGGCACATGATCTCTGGAAAGCAAGGAAGGAGGCGCTGTGGAGCATGATATCTTTACGACGAGAAGGAGATGAGGTGTGGTCCACGGATGTTGCGGTACCGATCTCGCGATTGCCCGATATCGTTGGTAAGACGTTTTCGATCGCAATATCATAAGTTATGCTGACTTTGAACAGAAATATCAAAGAAAGAGATCGACGATCTCGGCCTATTTGCCAGTGTTCTTGGCCATATTGGAGACGGAAATTTCCACACATCCATCCTCTACAATCGCCAAAACCCTGAAGAGCGCGAAAAGGTCGAGCATGCTGTACATAATATGGTGGATCGGGCAATAGAAATGGAAGGTACATGTACAGGAGAACACGGCATTGGGCTAGGAAAGAAAGAAAGCTTAATCGACGAACTCGGATTAGACACCATCGGTGTGATGCAGAAGATCAAGCGTGCGCTCGACCCGCACTGGCTGATGAACCCAGGTAAGATATTCGATGCGGTGAACGAAGAAAGGGCCAAAAGTCAGTCGATGGCAACAGCCGCCTCGACATTAGCGCGACCAAAGAGCAAGTAGATGAATTCATTCTATCTCTTCCGTTGATACCAACAGAACATGGCTTTTTCTCAATATGGCTAAGCATATCATCGTGCTGCTGCATATAAACCCGTGAGCATTGCCGTCATATGGCCGGGTTGCTTGAGGCTTACTTCAAGTCTGTCGATATAAGGCCCAACGAGACATCAGGCCCTCCATTGCCAAAAACACCTCCGCCACTCGCTTCTCATTCGTTCGGAACGCACGTACGTACCGAGTAGATCCGAAGGTACTAGGTCAACTTCGCTAGACATTGGTGAACACTCGTGCACTCGGCAAAGCAAACCCATACGAGCAAGACACCACTCCACCCGCAACCCCCAACAACCGTCAACAACCGCTGTCAACCGCTATCAACTCACCGCCGGCGTCTTGAAGTGCGCCAAGCCGTCCTTCACGACGGTGAGTTCAACGACACGGTCCCTGAGAAACCACGGCTCCGTGGTGCTGAGGTACGGCTGGTAGTAGGGCTTGTTCAACTGGACCTCCTGCAGCCACTGGACGTCCTTGGACCAGCCCTCGACCCAGCTCAGACACGTCGGGTCCTGGGGGTGTCTCGAGACGACGAAGAACCGGCATTCCGGCTCCGCCACCACCGCGCGGTACGCCGGTTCGAACAATTCGAAGAACTCGGTCATCTTGTCCTCGGGGATCCATACCTTTACGGAGAGGATCACGCCCGAGGACAGGGAGGACGTCAGTGGGATGAGGGAGTCTGGAGTCGTCATGGTGGCTTTTGTGTTTCAGAAGTTGACGTCCGCTGTGATTGCTCTTGGAGGGCTTGGTCGGGTGATTTTGAGGTTGGAGCAGTCGAAGCTTTGATGACGGTCGGGACTCTATCAGATTTACGTGTGGTCTTCACGAAGATAAGTAATCATAAAGAGCGCGGCATTTAGTATGGTCGCCCCATAGCAGTCATGGATGGTCTCGCTAAGGTTGACTACTACCTGCTTTGTAATTTGATAGATGGTCGTGTTGGGTCTGGTTTCGAAGTGGTTGCCATGTTCGAAGAATTTAATATACGATGGGGCGCCTGAGCTAACCAAAACACGCGGCGCAGCAAAAGCGGGTACTATCCGTTAAGCAGCACAGTATTGCGGAGTGTCCATCTTGCATTGTGACAACAACCACCCCGGTAGCCTGTCAAAGGGTGCTCGTATGGCCAGTATGCTTGAGACACCTCGGTATCGGGATTGGAGGAACTCCAGAATAGTGCCGTTCGTGTCTTTCTGCACCAAGGTAGTCGGAGGAGCGACTAACCCTGTTTTTGCAAACCGGTGTTTGGTTTTGCCGCACTGTACACTGCAACAATGAATATCTAGGTAGCGGAACCCCATGCAAGGTCGCCTTGTGTCACTGCTCACCCGAGTTATCAATCTTCAGTCTGAATAACTTATCGGGGTTCAGGAGGCACAGCGGATCGAGAGCCAGTTTGATCTGCCTCATCATATCAACACCATTTTCACCAATCTCTTCCACCATGGCGTCACGGAACTCGAGGCCAATGCCATGCTCTCCCGTCACGGTCCCATCCATGTCGATTGCCAGACGCTGGGCCCAAGTAATGATTTGGCGGGCTTGATGCTTGTGCTCTGGCGGGCATATCACAGCGGTGTGAAAGTTACCTATCAGATACATCAGTTGTCTGCTTGCAATGCGAGGAAGCAAAATTGGTTTGACGAACCATCTCCGACGTGTCCAAGACAAGCCCCTACAAATCCGCTTTCAGTAATCTTTTGCTTTACCGCATCCATAGCCGTTCCCATCTGTGAGATGGGCACAGCCGTGTCAGCGCTCAGGAATATGTCAGATGGATCGTTCTTCAAAGTGAGCATGCTCCAGAGAAGTGTCTTTCGTGCCATCCAGATAGCATCTGCCTCTTCGGAGGTATTCGAGAATTCGAAAGCTTGACATCCCGATTGTCGGGCAAACTCCTGAACTGATTTAATCTGTTGATCGACAGCCGCCTTATCATGCCCCGCGAACTTAAGAAACAGAGTCGGAACTTCAGGGTACTCTTTGTCGCAGTACCCACCTTGATTCACTGCTCGCATTGAAGTGCCGTCCAGTAGTTCCAATGCAGCGATGGGCATATCGCTTTGGACGACTTTAACGACTGTCTCTACAGCTTTTGAAGTGCTCGGGAATGCCGCCAACGCAACGCGTTCGTTTTGCGGCTTGCTTGTGAGTTTCAAATTAGCTTCTGTCACAAAGGCAAGTGTACCTTCTGAGCCAACGATCAACCTGGTCAGGTCATAACCTGCACTTGACTTTCTAGGTCTACCTCGAGTTTTGACAATTGAACCGTCCGCGAGGACAAGGGTGAGGCCGAGGACCCAGTCTTTCATCGTTCCGTATCTAAAAGCATTGGTACCACTGCAGCCTTGCGCACTGACATGAAGTAGACACTGTTAGCAAGATTCGCTCAAGGTAGGTGTACACAAACATCATGCCACCGATCTGAGCTCCAGGTCCCGGATCGGGTGGAAAGAACAGCCCTTGTTCTGCCAGCCTTTGGTTTAGGTCTATATAGCCAACTCCTGGCTGGACGGTCACATCAAGGTCGTTCTTTCGTATAGCGATGATCTTGTTCATCAGCTTGAAATCAATGCACACACCGCCTTGCGTTGCCGCTAGTGTCCCTTCCAGACTTGTACCGCCAGAGAACGCGGTCATAGGGATTCGGCGTCTAGAGCAGATCTTTGTGATAGCACTGACTTCTTCGGTGGTGCTTGGGCTGACGATAATGTCGAAACGATCGAGTTCGCCTCGTGGAGCTGGAGACCACTCGGTACTGGAATGGGATATTCGTGCACCCAGGTTCAGATCAACTCGCTGTGGGCCTAACAGGTTCAAAAACTCTGCTACAGCATTGTTGAGGTTCTCTGCAGATTTATCATAGATTATCGTGGGCATGGACGAGAGCGAGCATGTCGAAGTTTTGGCGGATGTCGACTCAACTTCTAAAGGTTGCTCGGCATGGGCTAGTCGGGTTTCTCTGGTGATGGTGAACCCAGCGAAGAGGGAGATTGTCGTTGCTGCTCCGATAAACAGGAATCGTCGATAATCTGACGGCCAACTCTTCAACAGCTGGGCGCCTGTGGTCTTATTTCGACGTTGCGGAGGGCTAGCTCGTCTGAGCAGATTGCCGTATGTTGGTGATTTGGCAAGCCTCTGCGGTAGAGCGACAAAATTGCGCTTCATCGTAGCTTTCCTATGTGCTGATTGAAGCTATGCAAGCTCAAACTCGTAGTCAAACAACTCTAGGCCGAAGACAGACCTCGTCGACCTAGGCTTGCCTCAGTAGCAAGGGCACAGCACGAGGACGAGTGGCAAGTGGCAGTAAGCTCTCACCGCAGCGGGATTCCAGAAGGAGGTGCAGCTGAGGCTATTCAGGCTTGATACAAGACTCCTGCTCTGGAGAGATCAGTAGGAACCAAGTATTCATTTGCTGTAGTGTCAGGAATGACCATCGAGCTTCATGAAAGCAAGGACAGAGACCTCACTGTTGAGGAGCTAGTCTTAGGTAGTTACCTAGGTAGTTAGTTAAAAATCTACTTCCCAAGGTACCTACCTAAGGTATCTCTAGGTGATTAACTAGCAGCTAACCTCTGTCGGACTGCGGCTGAGGGGCCTCGGACCTCAGGGGCTCGGGCTTCTGGTGCCGCCAACCCTGGGGCCCGAGGTGGCCCTCGGGTTAGTTTGTGGAGGTCTTCTCCAACCCCGACAGCCTGGCCCTAAGGAGTCCATACAGAAGAAATAAACCAAGTCAGTAAATTCAAATTTATTATCTGTGGTTCAGATTGTGCTCATTGTTGCACTTATAAGACTTGGCTTTGTAGTCTTGTTCTCGGTATGAAGGTAGTGGCTGTTGATGTCAATACAGTACTGACTATTTCAGTTGGTGGAAGCCTCAGGCTTCTTGGGCAACGGTATGGGCGGCCCTCGGGCCCGTGTGTGCCCTTAAGCAACACGGGTCACAATTATTTGCCGTCCGTGCCCATAGCTTCACTGATTTGCTCAATCTGGGGTTGCTTTAGAGCTCGATGTTTAAGCCCCGATGCCCTGCAGGAGTTGGATGACATAACATCTGACCAAGGTACTTGTCTAGGTGCTTGTGCAGGATTACTTCTTGGCATTGTTCGGGATTGGCCTTTCTGAGCGACCACTTTCTTGTTGCCTCAATTTAAGACCATCCGCGACTAACCGAACCTACAGCGTATGTTTGTTTCGTTTCGAGGAAGGATGGAAGCGAAAGTATCCAAGGAATGATAATCACTCGTTAGCACATGGCCACGGTACCTGGTCGACGAATCTGGACAGCTCCAGAATGCAACTTTCTACGGAGCACCCAAAGATGCATATCTACGCAATGATGGCCAGATCGAGATATCCTGCTGAGCAATAGCATTCTAAATCGGAGGACTTCAAGATAATGCTGCAAGATGTTCCAACTACATCGCATGAGAGGATTGCGGTTATGACGAATCGTTTTAAATCTTCCTGCAGTACCGCTTCTACCAAGAAAGATGCAGCAGACTCGGGAGCAGTCCGTGTTGCCCAAAATCGATAGCTCGCAGTACAGGTAATGGCTACAGATGGTTCCAGGGTCTTGAGATTGTTCATGTATCCGGGCATCACTACCGCGTTATGCTACTTGCAATCGGTATTGACCAATCAATTGTTTCACCATGTGGTGCAGTCCGGGTTGCCTGCCTCAACTATTCGCCAAACGAATTCTAGGGGTCTAACAACCAGTCATGAGCCAAGGGTGCGTTGTTTACAGGCCGCAACCAACTCGAATCCCATATGTGTATATATGGGCAAGGATACCTTCCGTTTAGCAGAGCAAGAACAACTCACCAAACATCCCCAAGACTAGTTCGACAACAAATACTTCCTGAACTTAAGATACTTACTCTTGCTTCGATCAACTACATCACTCACCCAGACTGGCGAAATGTCGAGCACTGTAACCCTAGCTCATTATCTTTTCACTAGATTACGACAACTTGGAATCGAATCAGTACATGGAGTGCCAGGCGACTACAATCTCGTATCCCTTGACCATCTTAAGCCTGCCGGCCTTAACTGGGTTGGAGATGCCAATGAGCTTAACGCAGGTAAGTACACTGTTGGGAAAGACTTTGAGTGGACTTTCTAATGTTGTTTCTAGGCTATGCAGCAGACGGATATGCCCAGATGAAAGGCATCGGTGCTCTGATGACAACCTTTGGTGTTGGTGAATTGTCGGCCTTGAATGCCATCGCCGGATCTTATGCTGAGTATGTCCCCGTTGTACATATTGTTGGCAGTCCATCGACCACCGCTCAGCATGAAAGGATGCTCCTACATCATACATTGGGTGACGGAGACTACAAAGTCTTCGCAAACATCTACAAGCAAGTCACGGTCGCACAAGCAAATCTCCACAACACTGAGACTGCAACCTCTGAGATTGATAGAGTTCTGAGGACTGCCTGGCTCAAAAGCAGACCAGTCTACATTGAACTGCCGTCCGATATGGTGACCAAGGAAGTGCCCGCCGAGAGTCTTAACCAGCCTCTAGACATCACTTTTCCGGAGAACAATCAGGCAGTCGAGATTGCTGTTGCGGAGAACATCTTATCACGGTTGTACAGCGCCAAAAGGCCTGTCTTGCTGGTAGACGGGTGTGTCATCCGACATCATCTGAAGGCCGAAGCGACCGAGTTTGTCCTAAAGACTAGCCTACCAATATTCACTACACCTATGGGTAAAGGAACCATCGATGAATGCTTACCCAATTTTGGAGGACTCTACGCTGGAAGTGGTTCTTATGATAATGTTCGAGAGCTGGTGGAAAGCAGTGATATGGTTCTCTCTCTCGGTTTGATGAAGTCGGATATCAACACAATGAGGTTCTCATACAATCTCCCTGCTCACAATGCTGTTGATTTGTCTATGGAGTTTCTCACGATTGAGGGTCAACGATGCGACATACATATGTATGGCTTGCTGAAGCGTCTGACCAACCTTTTGGACACCTCAAAACTTGTCAGGCCAGCCCAGGAACTTGTCTATGACGTCCACCGCACAGCAAGTGCCAATCTTCCTCCAGCGGCCTCTTATCCGGACACCACCATTACACATGCATATCTGTGGCAACAATTGTCGAAGTGGTTGCAGCCCAACGACATGTTATGTACCGAGATAGGTTCATCGTACCTTGGTGTTTGGGACACCCAATTTCCGGCCAACGTATTTGCCATCTCTCAAACGCTATGGGGGAGTATAGGTTACACACTGCCTGCGGCCCAAGGTGTTGCTCTCGCTGCTCGTGAGCTTGGGCGTCCAGGGCGTGTAATCTTATTTGAGGGCGATGGATCTTTGCAACTCACTGCTCAGGCCATTGGAACCATGCTCAAGCTGAACCTGGACATTATCATCTTTTTGGTAAACAATGACGGATACACAGTTGAACGCTGGGTCCACGGAATGGAAGAATCTTATAATGACATCCCAGCTTGGAGGTACTCCCTGCTACCTGAAACGATGGGAGCACGATTGGGCAAAGGCGGCAATGCTCGAACTATGCAGGTCAGAACAAGAGGTGAGATCGAGGCACTCTGGACAACCGAGGAATTCAACAAAGTCAAAGGGATGCAATTCGTCGAGGTGTTCATGCCCAAGCTTGACGCCCCGGTTCCTCTGAAGATGTTCTGCACTTCTGCAGAGAAGAACAATGCCGAATGAGCGGAGTGATTCTCATCTTTGAGACTGTACGATTAGTGATGCTTGAGACAGATAGATAGTAACTAAGTTCCTTGATTGTTCCTGATGCCTTCTCGTTAGGTGCTACCTGGAATTTCAATTCACCACAACGGTGAGCATAGTAATTATGGATTCCCACGCTTCTGTACAGCATCATTTTTTCGATAAAGCTATCCTATGTAATGACTAGAGTACAAAGGATATAGATAAATTATTCCAGAATATGAATGTAAAGGAAGAGAATTTAGGTGATGATTTTCGCGATTTAGGAACCGACTGATCTTTACAAAATGTTGCAAATTTACTAGGCATTTCGTGAACTGGCGGACGCCATTCACATCTGGCGTTATTCATACTCCGACCTTAATAGGACCACTTTCCATATTAGGATGCTACATACCTGACGTGCCTAAGTACTAACAGAAAATTACAATTGCGACCAAGAATACGTCACATATGAGCCAAGTGCATCTAGTCGCACTTTAGTCCTGGCGTTAATTCCCTGACTCAGACTCGCATCCTCGTCTGACCTTAACACCGGTGACGGCATCCTGTAGGGATGATTCTCCAAGTTGCCATCTGCGTGGATCTACTATGCGGGCGTGCGGCCGCTTGTGTCCACCAGTATTAGTGCCTCCACAGGGGTTAAATGACTAAGCTGCCAACAACAGAGGAACTCATACATCCGCCCGTGTGCTACTTACTTGGCTGTGCTTGGGAAAGACCGCTGAGGTACGAATTTTCATGCTTCGGTGTTAGAAGCGCGATCTTAATGCAACTATGATTTCTGTGAACATTCGCGAGGATTATTGGTACATATTTCGATCCTCTCAAACCACTCATGCTGGATTATCTCAGCGCTTTCTCCCTTTCATTCGGGAACGAGTGCGCGATATATGCCTTGGCCATGTCAGGATGAAGATATATATTCGTGTCTGATCCCTGAGCTCGAGCCAACTCAGTCAACTCACCACCATTCGCCATTTCCAACAATCCAACAACCAGTTCGTAGCTACCGTCTCGTGCTACCAACTGTCCAAATCACCGGCCAACATGTCTCGAGTTTGGATGATAACCGGTGCAAATACTGGCATCGGTCTCGAAATTGCTCTGAAAGCACTCAAGGAGGGCGACAAAGTGATTGCTGCCGTCAGGAGTCCTGAAAAAGTCCCTGAAACCCTGAAGACCGACAACGTCTCGATTCTGAGATTTGACCTGTCTTGGTCTCAGGAGAAAGTCAACGTGTTTGCAAAAGAAGCGGTTGGCGCTTTCGGTAAAATCGATGTCCTGGTTAACAACGCCGGATATGCGTACATGGGCGGGATCGAAGAGATCAGGTGAGTACCAACCCACTTTTGGTGACAGCACAGTATCTGATTCTGGAACGTAGTGACGAAAATGTGAAACAACAATATGAAATCAACGTATTTGGCATTCTGCGAGTGATACGTGCCTTCCTACCAGATTTACGAGCGCAGAGGTCAGGCCTGATCTTGAACTTCAGCTCAATTGGAGGATTCCACGGATATCCAGGCAATGGCATCTACTGCTCGACCAAATTTGCGCTCGAAGGTATCACCGAGGCTTTAGCTCAAGAAGTTGCATCCTTCGGCATTGATGCTGCAATCGTGGAACCGGGATACTTCCGCACCAATTTCCTTGCTTCAGCCTCTGCTGGGCAGAATTTGGCACCCGCAATGTCCGAATACGAGAACACTCCTGTGGGAGAGGCCCGGCAGGCTTTTGTGAAATATAATCTTAAGCAACCGGGTAATCCTGTGATTCTGGCAGAGCGGGTCTGGGAGTATGCAGCCAGAAAGGGACTATTCGCAGATCGCAAACGTCGTCTCAGGCTGCCGCTTGGTTCGGACACGGGAGCTCAGCTAAGGTCGTTTATTGCGGATCTTCAGGAGACGGCGGAGGAGTATCGTGAGGTTTATGAGAGCACAGATTTCAAGGACTGATTTAGAGTGAATGATGCTCTTCATTACACACGTGGTCGATCTGAGCTCTGTGGAAACATATAGTCAGAACCAATCCAATTCCTAGTGCACAGCAAGGCGTGAGCACAATTCATCCAGAGTAGACAGGAATCCAATATTGGCCACGTAGTAATCAGGTCGGATATATGCATAGCCCGGCGTTGTGAAATTGTAACTTCGGTGTAACCCATCATCTGGATCCCTGAACTCGCCTGAACGCAGTGTCACGGAGCTCGATGAGTTATACAAGATGTACACATCTGCCTTGATTTCTGGAGATCTCGCATCAAGGAATTTCTTTCTGGCCCTTTCCAGGTCTGCTGCAGAAGCAACGTCGCTCTGAGTACCAGAGAATAGCACAAGGCTGTGATGGACACCTGACAAAGTATCGTACAAACCTTTGTCCTGGCCGTCTGCGCCAGTAATCATGCCGTCTGGAGCACGATTGCCTCCAAGTACAGAACCGTTGAAGCCGGTGCCGGTCCAGACAATAGGGCTCTTCCTGTAGCGAATTGCAAGCTCTGAGATGAACTGATAGCCCCTTTTCGTCCGTGCAGGCTTACTTGACATGTAAGGGGCGACCCAAGGCACAACGAAGTTGCGGACGGACATGAAAATCGGGTTTGTCCAGGTTAACCAGGTGAATACCCAGTCAGTTGTGTTCAGCAGATGTTGGCCGACTGGATGCCGCTCCTGATGATAAGTGTCGAGAAATGAGTCGGGACGTTCGCCTCGAAGTACTGCGCCTAGTTTCCAACCCAAGTTCACCGCATCCTGTATTCCTGTATTCATCCCCTGACCGCCGACTGGCGAATGAATATGTGCAGCGTCACCTGCGACAAACAAGCGACGATCACGGTAGGTGTTGACACCTCTGTGATGAAGCGAGTAGCTTGTCATCCAGATGGGGTCGTATAGCTCGCCATGGCCAGGCTTGAAACTGTCGAGCAATTGCTGAAAGTCCTTAAGATCCGGGTTGTGCTTCGGTTTTCCTGGACGACTGGCAAAAATGCGGACCATGTTGTCTCTGAGTGGAAAGATGACCAGCACTCCCTGACCTAGACACAAGAATAAATTTCTCCCAATGCTTGCCTTGTTCGATCGAAGGTACGCATCGCAGAGGATAAAGTCTTGAGGATATATCCCGCCCTCGAATGTGAAATTATCCGAAGCATGGCGCACAGTGCTGTGAGCACCATCGGTACCAACAATATACTTAACGCGCAGGGTGTCTCGGACGCCAGATGAATTTTCGAGAACGGCCGTGGCCCCAGTGTCGTCTTGGGTGATCTCCCTGACAGTGACCCCGCGCTCTAGAGCGGAACCATACTGTAAAAGCCGCTGGTGAAGTACCCGCTCTGTATCGGACTGTGCAATAACAAGTGACGGAGCGTACATACTGTCCTTGATCTCTCCGGCAATCTTTCCCAGTTGAACATTTGTGACCTCCTTGCCCTTGACGACGATAGTTGCGCCATTGACAGTGAGGCCGCATTTGAGCAACTTTGGACCAAGACCATGACGCGATAGCAGCTCCTGGCTACGCGCCTGCATCGCCAAAGCCTTAGACTTTTCGGAGAAATCCGGCGCCATGTCGACAATGCGAAAGGATATGCCCTGCAGAGCGAGTTCAAGCCCAAGTGTAAGGCCTGTGGGGCCCCCGCCGACGATGAGGACCTCTGCCTGATGCATTATCTCCATGGTCGACAATAATTGGTAACTGCCTGGGTTTGCGATGATGTTGAGTTTCTGGGTGCCTAGTATCGGTGTCAGATGTTCTAGGTTCATAAATTTGCAGACTGGAGTTTGCAGGAAAGCAAAGTGAGATTTAAACATATTATAATGCCAATCTGTCATTCAGGGGGGTCGAAAAGAGAACCTTTCCTTCGGAGACTAACTAGTGGCTGACGTCGGCCTCTAGCACAGCCAACTAGAGACGTTCACGACACGAGTGATTTCAGCCAACTGACAGAAATTCAGTCCATTTGCGGAAGACCCGCCTGGCCGCTCAGCTCCAACTTCTGTTGCTGGTGAGCAAGGGAAATCATCCCAACGCAGCTTACATGATGATATGGCCAGGCGAAGGCACTCAGGGCAAAGAGGTGTCACACGGTGAAATGGTAGCATCAATGTTTGCGATCTGGGGCCCGAATTCAGTCCGTCTCCTCCGCGGGACGAAAACTGGCCCGCCCACGTAGGTACCTACCAGCAGCTCGTATTTGTGCCCAATGAGTGAAAGAAGGTTTGGGAGAATAGGTGAAGCAGCTTGAAAAGCCACGAGGTCTGTCGATCGGAATCGGAATCGGCTGATCTTTGGAGCTAGGTATTAGTCAGATGCTTATCTCTAGGGTTCTCCCAAAATTCTGAATTACTAGCAATTTGTCGAAGCATCGGCCCTCAAACCGAGAAGGATTATGGGATCAAATGAACTCCAGAAGAGGTGTTCGCATTCGGATTATTTAGGGTTCCCAAAGGCAGCCAAACCTAAAGACCACTGATAATTAGTTAAGTTCGTTCGATTGGGCCTCACAGATTCGTGGGTCTGTGGGGGCTTATGGTTGCCAAGACACCGGTTGAGCTTCAGCCTTGTCCCTTAGCATTTCAGCATTCCATACCCAGCGGGAGAAGTTCTAGCACGTGTCCAAACGTACTTTTTCAGTGCAAATGATCAAGACAGGAAGGACGCAGTATAATACATCATCAGCTCGGGTGTCTTCGAGGTATCAGGTCAACATATTTGAGAAATCCCAACCCAACTTTGACCGTAATTTGACCCGTTCGAACCTTTTGAGAGATTTTGAGATGATTCCATGGTGGGTCTATATTGGTCTGGCTCCCAGCATGCACAGAAGATCGATCAATATGACTATGGGTACTGGGTGAGCTAGAAACTTAGTGTTTAGAGATATCGTATCTGTGCCTTGAGATCGATACATGTCTGTGATCGTCCAAACAGCAGTCGTGAGTTGTACTCTTGTGCCCAAGGGATCCATGGTGTCCATGGTTGTTATTGTGCTCTGCCCATTAGTCTTGGAAGCAACACCTTGATAACTGGAGTCAGGGAAGGCCAAAGATCCACTTATGAACTCGCCACCTTGCGAGACTGCGGGAAAACTTTACTCTCCGTTGATAGACAAAAGATCTTCAGTCCTGTGAATATATAAGAAAGTTGTGTCCCTAACTCGATTATTCGTAGTCCTCCAGTACCCAGCACAACCCCTCGACTGAAACTTTTTCTTGAAGAACGTCTGATAAGTGTGCTTCGCTCTTGAGCATCAGACAACCTTGCTGCACCACCATTTTCAGGTACTGCGCTACGGACAGAGTCTCTCTGATTTATTTCTGCTGACTTCATCTTCAGGTTCACATAGTCACCTGATAACTTTTGTCTCTCAGCTCACCACCTGCCGTAACACTCGTAAGATGCCTCTAAAAAGCATTCGTCTGTTTTTGGCTGCCGCCTTGCTCACCACTGGTCTCCCGGGCCATCAGGTGGTTGGAGCCCCAGTGGTGTCGTCGTCCGCCACAGAGGTCATGACTGCATCGAGTTTACACTTAGTTCACCGAATTCCTACCACTTCTACTCTCATCCCGACAAAGACGTTGTACGGGCCTGCTGCTACTGCGTCAAGTTCAAATACTAAAATTAACAATGCGGTCGCGTCTCTCGACCCCAAGACCGGGCAAGAGACGCTATGGATGGCACTCGGCCCTCCGTACGGGAAGAAACACGTACTTGAGGCGACATACCCAGTCAGAGACTTGCCGATAGCCCCAATCATTGACAAAACTTGTGTTCGAACCGCATTAGCGGCGTTGGCAAAGTACCGTGAAACGTGCTGTCATGACCCTCAGAGCGACAATTTCCACCGGGCTTGGTGCAGCTTTGCGCCCACCGTGGAAAAGTGTTGTGGAGAGTACATACCGTACAACCAGTCCGAATACCTCAACTATCCGACATACAAACGGAGGTACGAGGAAGCGACACCTAAAGACGCGCTAGACAAGAAATATCCCAGACGCGTCTGGTACGAGGAGGTGGTGGGATTTGTCAATGCGACTCGAATGATAATACAGCACGAGCCAGAGGCGTACCGAACCAGAAATATAGATGTGAATAAAGATTGGGAAGGCACATGCGAGATATATGCGCCCCAATTTGACAAGGAGTATTGGTATTGGATGTGGAAGCTCAATAAATACGCCATCGAGGATGCGGACGAGAATGGGAAGGTCCTCGGATTGGAAAAGTGGGGTCCTGATAATGTTATTTACGACTTCAACACTCAGTGGCGGACAATAGGGAGTGTCTGCCCTCCAATCTACAAAAATTCTACGCTGTGGCTCGATCTAGAGAGGATGATCGTGAAAGATAACTGGCATTGGTGATGAGACGGTAAAAGCTGGAACAGGTGAGTATCGTGCACCGGGCATGATGCAGCTGGACCTGGGTACGAGATGAAAAGAAAAGCCAGAAACAGTGGCATCAGAAGGAGTTCGATAGTCCTGGAGAATTGGTGGCGGATGGAGTTTGTATGTAATTTTTTGGAACCACTCGAGCTCATCTGTCGAGTAAGAGTCGCTAAGTGCACAGGTTGGGATTCGCAATTCTCCAAGCATCCCACAACACCTCGCTACTATGTAGCAAATTTGATATTGATCTTCAATTAGCTGGGCCTTGCTGTCAACCGTGCTTTTCGTACATACACGAAGGCCCCAGTCTGTAGGCTCAACATTGTCCTGAGAGCCAACAATGGCCTCTTGTAAGAGCACCAGGGGCGCCGCGCCGCGTGTGCAACACCAAGTCAATAGAGCAAGACTGTGATGGCGGGTGACATCCGTGGCTGTCTTGTTACCATGAGACCTCAGGATTGAACGCCGGTGTTCCTCAATATTGACTTTGATACAACAAGTTGGGCTGGCTTCGGTAATCGGCAAACCCTGAAAGCCAAGGCCAGATGCCCAGAGGCTCAGCCCCCTCCAGTGCCAGCATAGCCAATTGCACAGATACGGCAAGGATGCCCAGAGATGACATCCTCAGAAGCTGTCGCAAGCCTTGTGGTATAACGAACGACATACCATCTTCTCCTCGCCACAAACGGTGAACAACTTCATAACGGTGCATCTGAATACAACATGAACAAACAAAAATTTGGCAATGGTGCTCCTCCGCCGTACGCAGAATCTGTGTCAATCGGCCTGTCCTTCACCGCCGACCGGGGACACAGCGAGCCCATGAAGGTGTGCATGGAGGGGGAATATCGGTCACCTGATTTTGAAATCACCATGGTCAACGGAGTGCCTCTCTTCCATATCGAAACCGAATCGACCTTGATCTACCATGTCACGTATATCAAGGACCTCAGGCCGAACGCACCTGGGGGAATCGCTCACACAATCAAAAGGAAAACCGATGGTGACAGATGGCATTATTCGGCTTGTGCACCAGGGAAGGATGGCACCCAGTACCTGGAGATTGAGACGACATCGAAAATATTGGCGAACGCATCCACGAAGCTCGTATTCCGAAGCACGGCTGACGGCGAGCTCGATGCCATTTACTTGAAGATGGCAGTCACGGGCGGCCGTAGAACGGCCGTGGTGGGATATCAAGGAAAGCGGATCGGACAGATCCTGCAAGCCGGCAAGGACGAAGAACCCAAATTCAACCTTGTCATCGATGTCCCTGGAGTTGACCCGCTCCTCTTCGTGTGCCTTGCATATGTGTTGGATGACCGATTGATGACTTCACGGAGACGATTGAGGAGGCCATTTGCTTCAGGCCTTCCGGGTGTTGGTAAAGGTCCCGGAGCAGGGTTAGCCGGAGCATATGCAGTTGGCGGAGCAATCTGACTGTGTTGAGCTGCGTTTGTGACAAACTCCATGGAAGCGCCTGAAAACTCATGTCCGCATGGTTAATTTCGATCATAACCCTCAACTGCTGCAGCCGCAGGAAGTGGCTGTTCACCTGACGAGAAAATTCCGTGAGAGTTGGGATCCGGCCGAATTCTTGCTACTTCGATCAGTATCCACCCTACAGGTAGCCTTATTCGGACAGCATATCATGGCCAACTGATGTATCAGGCAGGTGGTGCAGTATCGAGCCCCATTGAGATCATGTGGAGGCCCTTTTCTTATACTGATACTGAGCTACGGTTCAGCATCAGCATCGACATCGACATCATTATTGGGATCGGTATTAGTATTAACTCGACGGCCGACCTGACCCTTTGGGATACTACGACATATTACTTAAGGCATTTGTTTACTGACCACACAATCGAAATCTAGTGTATTGAGTCTGCTGCAAAAGTTGGCTCTGAATGTATTTTTTACGAATTTTGAATCATGCATAAACATGTTCAGCGATGCAACATTATCCATGTGTGATTATCAATTAGTATAGGTACATGAAAACAGTAATAACTGCTATTCAGTGAATCCAATTCCCATTGGGGTATCAAGTTCGTAGCGAATGGAAGTCTCGGATCATCCTGATATCATCGTGACCTGAGCAGTCGATTTGGGCGTAGTGATCATATCTCTCCTGATGTTTATTTGATGTCTTTTCTGAGGACGTTTGCCATTTGAGGCAATCGAAAAGTCGTTGTAACCATATCTTGAATTTTTGCGAAATCTGCTTCTGACATGTCTTTGCAGCAAGGCTACCAGTTGCAAGGTCAAGACAGAGATTCCGGCCCTCCGGCCCTTTGAACAGGAGGTCTGGAGGACTATGCACGATGCTCGAGCTCTTTCTCAGCCTCGGTGCTCTCGCTATCTCTAGCGACAGCTGGAGCTGGAGCGGGTGCGATCTCGCCAGCTTCGGCAGCACTTGCAGTGCCAGCCTCCCTTCTGATCTTTTCAATCTCTTCGGGAGGAGGAGCAACCCAGCTGGAGCTCTTCCAGGGCTTGACGCCGGTGATGTACATGGTGTCAATCTCTTCAAGAGTTCTGCCTTGGCCTTCCATGACAAAGAAGTAAATCAGGAAAACAGCGACCAGATTGCAACCTGCAAAGACATAGCCGTAAAGGAAGTCGATGTCGCCTGTGATGAATGGCGTAAAGAAGGCGATAAGGAAATTCCAGAACCAATTGGATGCGGTAGACAGAGCCATGCCTTTGGCTCTGTAGCGTGATGGATAGAGTTCACCGCAGATTGTCCACACCTGTTAATTTGTGTCAGTCTTCCATGTCTACAGATAAGTGCATAGCGCCGGTGGGTCGTGACTTACCATTGGGCCCCATGTAGTGGCAAATCCTGTACACAGAAGACAGTTAGAAAACGATACTTTGGTTGTGCGAACTGGGAACGAAATACTAGGAAGAAGCAGGAAGAAATGTGTGGGCGGACTGAGGTCCTAAGAACCTAAGATTGCGAAAACAGTACTTACCGAAGATGAAAAACGATGCGATGACAATCATCGCTGTTCCAGAAGACTCCGTAGACTGAGGATCGTTCCGGTCGAGGGAGAAATGTCCAACATTGGCGAAGATGAAGAACATCGCCGACATCCAAAGCCCTCCAACCATCAGTGACTTACGACGACCGTAATGTTCGACAATATAGAGGCCATAGAAAGTTGTGCCAAAGTTGATGCCATTCAAAATCATCTGGGTGACATAGGAGTTGTTGATACCAGTAGCCTGCGCACGCATAATCAGAATTCTGTAAACTTCAGACACAAAAACATCTACTTACCTGGAAGATTGTGGTTCCGTAGTAGAAGAAGTAATTGGCACCTGTGAGCTGCTGGAACATCTGCAGAAGCATTCCAAGGGCGATGCGCTGACCCATCTTGGGAGCCGAGAACATGTGAATCCATTCTCGGACAAAGCCCTCTTGAACAGCCTCAGCACGAAGCTTAGCATCAATCTCTTCGAGCTCCAGATAGACACTGTAATGGTTGGGTGGTGCTCCGTAAACCTTCAACATGGTCTCTTTGGCCCTCTCAGTCTTGCCTTTTCGGAAATCGAAGCGAGGAGTTTCGGGGAATAGAAGCACTAGGCCACCCAAGATGAGTGGCCATAGAAATCCAACACCTAATGGAATCCTCCAAGAGCCGGAGTTACCACGCTGGTGCTCAAAAGTGCCAAAGTTGATACAAGAGGCCAAGAAGATGCCAAAAGTGATCTTGAGAATCCCATTAGCATGACATACTGAACGACGACGTAGCTAGAACTTACAAACAGCTGATAAGTGGAGATCAGCGCACCTCGAATGTGACGAGGAGCAGTCTCAGCTAGAAGTTGTCAGAATAGGTATCTTAAAATTTCCGAAACGTGCTTACCCATGTACATTGGCACAAGCAACGACAGCGAACCTACACCGAGACCTGCGACAAAGCGCCCCATCATCATCTGGTACCAATGATGGTCGGATGAAATCATCACGATATTGCCCACGCAGAAGATTCCACACCAGAGGGTGACACTAGGCTTACGGCCGATGATATCGGCCACTGGGCCAGCGATCAAGGCGCCGAATAATGTACCGATGGAGAGCTACACGTGTCAGGATTCAGAAGAACAGACGTAGACCCCTCACACTTACCAAAGCGACAATAAGTCCAGCACGAACATTGCTGAAGTAGAATGTACCATCCGAATGACGTTGACCAAAGCGCTCGAGAAAATCTGGCATTTCAAGAAATCCTGAGATTTGACCGGTGTCGTACCCGAAGATGAAACCACCCATCGAGATGAGTATACCCATCCAGAAAGATGCCCATGTCACTCTACGGAGTGGAGAATAGTCCAGGTCTGCCAATGACTTTCTTGCGTCGGTGGAATCTGCAGAGCGGGGATCATACTTGTCGTATTTGACCCAAGTGGTCAACCCAAGTGACTCTCGAGTCAACTTGGGTCTCGAGAATTTGGGAGCCTTCAAATAGCCCATGGTGGTAGTTATAGCTGGTGATTGAATGATCTTGGAAGATTATGCAGCGACTGTCTGAGGGGGGCCCCCTTAGTCTTATACAAACCAACACCAGCAAAATCTCCACATATCGAAAATCATGACATAACACGTGGACAAGCAATGTTGTACCTAGCTCGCCTCGAATGGCGGAGAGGCGCGGATGCGACAACGTGAAGTACGGGGACTTGAGATGTGATCTCCAATAAGATGGCGAAATGAGTGATTTGTCCAAGGTCGAGTAAGCAGGGAATCAACACTGAGTCGTGTGACGTCGATGCAAGGCTCGCTGCCCCCGATTTCATGATTCGTCCATAATTTTCGAATTCTGCGGCAAACGGAGTGCTGAATGCTGATCATCTGCTTCTCTGGACTACAACAGTAGAGACGATGATACCCAGTCAAGCAATTGACAAGCATTAACCAGCAGGCATTATCCATTGCTGTAAAACATCGAAGCAACCGAGCCTCGAGAGACGAGTCACGGATATGATCCTGTGGGGCGAATAATGCACATCAGGATAATGGGACCTACCGGAAGGGCGCGGACAATTCCATTGTTTTTGGCCATGGACTGTCAGCTTCATTACAGGTCACTTGACCGATGACGAGGTGCTCTTGCAAAAATGGAAAGCACATAGAAGATTCTGTGGATTCCAATGGCGATTTTGAAATATGACTCCCCGTGGGGAGTCGTTTTTGGAGCGAGGTAGTCGGACCTTTCACCACAGTTGGTAATCACCCACATTTCGTATTACTGAGTGGGAGAATGATTATCATAGACTCCGGCGCCATCGACTGGACAGGAACAAATCCGTTGCAGAATTTTATGATGATTAATGTTAGAACACGAGGCTGGAGTTTGGCATTGGCTCGTGAGGTGAAGACTTTCTACGTTGGTTTAGGTAGTCAGAGGAAAGCTTGCTTGAATGTCGTAGCGTGATCTCGCGCTGTCGGCTATATCGGTACAGCCCGGCAATTGGTAAGAAGATCCTGGGCATACGTCAGAGTATTTTTCGTGGTTCCGGCAGCGGATCGGTTCTTGGGGGTCAATATTTGGCTCATGGACTCCGGTCAATTTTCCATCACCCGATATCATGTTACCCAGGTATGCTTGAGGCCTGAGCATCCGCCTTGCCACCATTAGATCGTTGTTAAATTCGGCATTTTCAAAATCTGTGAAGCGCCTAGTCGATACCGACGTGGGTAGGTATCTTGCTATCATGTCTAGTTAAAGCGTCTCGGTATTCAATCTCCGAATTCCTTACCACCGTGAACAGGCTCACATGAAAGTCACGTAGTTAGTTACAGAAGATTGCGATCATGTCATACTATACCTAAGGAGCGATTAGATATAACCTGCTATGTGGTCACGGGAAGGGTGTCCTATCAAAGCTCCATCCGCCTCTCTCCACGCGTTATTCAATTTGTCAAGCTGCGGAAAATCTTGGAACCCCCTTTTCCTGTTTCATGACCGTCAATGGACAGCACTATCTCAGTATTTCTCTGCATTGATAATTATATTGTGGAGGGGTTTTCGCTGTTGCGAACTACAGACGATGGTCGCACAGTATCATATACCATTCTCCTCAAGCGCTGTGTTTAGTCGCGGAGGTCAGACTCGCGAACTGATGCTTGACGACCTTCACCCGCTGGGATCGTGGTACTTGATCTTTTCACTGCATAATCCCCAAAGATGAGACAACGATCGCGTAGAGTCCATCCTCATCAGACGAGACATCATGCGAGAATACGACTGGTCCTGAAAGACCCGTGAAGCCGCCGTTGACAGCTGCTTTACGCATCCATGGTGTGGAGCACACGAGGATACATTTCGAAGAGGCCCTCATGCCTCTCTCAAGGCAATTCTCCTTGTGTGTTTACCAGCTGTCTATGCAACTCTCCTCAATCTCAATTCTACTGGCCAAGATATATTTCGAGCCGTCCGGTTGAAGGAAATAGTCATGCATTCTACCGAAGAAGAGACCGAGAGGAAGCTCAAGAAATCTGATCGCTTGTTACGTCAGAATCGGATTCAGTGTCCTCGGAGCAGCAACGCTTTCAGGCTCGTACTTCGCTTAGCGTCATAAGCGCAAGAAAAAAATTCAAGAAAGGGGCGGGGTCATGGGGATAGTAAGGACGATAAAACAAGCGAGACCAGAATAAGAGAAAACGATAAACGATGGGGACAACGGGACAAGGGATAAATAAGTCAAGAGTGGTAAGAGTGACGAGAATACACTTTACTCGGTAGATGTCTCTTAAGGCGACTTCTCTATCTTGACACTGGAAAAAGTATTCTCACGACCTGGTATTAACAAAATCGACCAAATCGAAGAAACTCTTCTTGAACCTCCGCTCCTGTGTGGTGCGGTTGACCGTCTGCAAGCCGAAATGCGCATCATAGTCGCCAAACTCCCAGTTATCAGCGAAGCTCCAAGCAAAAGCACCTGCCACCTCGACACCGTCCTCCCAGATCGACTTCAACACCTCGGACATGTAACTGAGGTAGTAGATGGAACGGGGTGTGTCGAAGAGCTGATCACTCAGGTCGACTTTCTCGGCTTCGGCGAATACGGGAAAGCCGAACTCGGTGATGATGACGGGTTTGCGGAACGTGTTGTACAGGTAGGACAGGTAAAGGCGCAGGTAGGTCGGTGTTATGTAGACGTAGGATTGTGAGCGGTAGCCGATGTTCCAGCCGGCAGGGTTTGATAAAGTTTGATTCACGCAGTATGGTGAGTATGGGCTGGATGAGTTGGTCGTACATTCGAGTATGGAGTCGATGGAGTCAGGAACGGGTGGTGCTACCACGGTGGCAGTGTATGGGTCGATGCCCAAATAGTCGGCTGTGCCGCCAATGTATGCGAGATCCTCCGCCGTCAATGTGATATAGTCAGGTACTGTCTGCTTGTACGAGTCTGGATAGTCGATTCCAAGGAATATCGGATTACAGAAGGTCGCGAGCTGGAAAGAATTGAAGTGATCAGCCGCGTAGACATCGTTAGGGTTTGAGGGATCTCGAGGAACGCCGAAGTTATCATTGAACTTGATGGATATCTTGCCCGTACCTCCCAGGGTTTCCTTGTAGAAGTGGTAAACCTGGGCATGCGCTTTGATCACGTTGTTGATGGATTTCCCGTCACTTGAGTACAGCAGCGGCTCGTTGAATGTAAACCAAACGGGCACTCGGTCTGCATAGTGCGTCATGGCAATCTGCGCATAGTTGACGAAAGCGTCAATGAACGTCTCGTTCTGATATCCACCATTGACATAGCCGATTAAGGGCGGCTCCTGTGTTGCAGTCAAGTTTCCGGCGAAGAACTGCAGAGGCGTGTCGAAGTGCAACAGCGTGACGGTGGGGATCATGCCTTTGGCGAGAACAAAGTCAATCAGGTCCGAATAATGTTGCAATCCTTCCTGATTGACAGGAGTGCCCGGCAAGGCAAAGGGAAGAATACGAGTCCAAGCCAGACTGAACGAGTAGTATTTAACCCCCATTGAAGCCAATCGCTCAATCTCCTGCTTGTAAAGATAGTAGTTCTCGTTCGTGACGTACGCCTTCGGCCTGTCATCCTGAACTAGAACGTCCATCAATGACGGCGACTTGCCCTCTTCAGCAGTCGCACCCTCGATCTGTGATGCCGAGCCCGCGACTCCAAACATGAACTCCTTGGGAAATTGGTAACAATCTGTCGGTCCGAAGTAATCTGCTGGAGGAAGTATCAACTCACTCGTCGGGAGCGCAGTGGGCTCCACAGTGGTGCTATAAAGTGCCTGTTCGGTGAAATTTGGGGGGTTGGCTGCCTCCCATAGGGCAGTCCAAGCCGCATTTCCGTAGGGATTGTCCGTATCATTTGCTGAAGCCGTGGTGTTAGGGTCCCATTTCCCCCAAGTCGTATATGATATCGAGGGGATCAACGAGGTCAACGAGTCTGGTGGTGCAGCGTAAGTTGAAGTCGTTGTTGGCGCGGGTACCGAGGTGGCCACTCTTATGGTCTCACTCATCGAATACTGGAAGGCAGCAAAGTGATAGTTTGGCTGGCTCCATGATGCTGCTGTCGAGCATTGTGTCCGTGGAGAGGGACCGGTTGTGGTAATATATTGTTGTTGTGCATTGATAGTTATTGCCAACACGGCTAGCACAGAGATCATAGACAACCACATGGCGATAGTTATCAATACTGCCACTGAGATCAATCAATCAGGAATATCGAAACCGTAAAGTTGATACTTCGAAATAGTCCATCAAACCTTTAGAGATTTATAGAAGGTTACGAAGAGGTGGTATTTGTACCCGAGCGAAGTGAGTCAAACCTTGCAGCACAACGACGTCGGTATTCTGCGGTATGTGTGACCTTGCTGATCGTTCCATTGTAGATCTAAGCCCGTCGTCACCGTTCTCAATATTCAAACAGTGCCGAGGGACTCGGAGTGCAACGCTCTCCGCATTGCAGTTCCACATTGATGGCATCTGAGTTTTGCGACAGACCACCATGGCGTCATCGAGCAGCAATGGTTGAGGTTTAAGCAAGATTTAATTATCCGGCAGTGCGAGAAGAGATTTAAGTGTGGCACTTCTTGGCCACTTGGTGGAAAGCTTTTGTTAATAACCTCGCGTGTAATCCCCCTTCCGGGATATGATCTGGGGAACCCCGGGCTGTTGGTGAGCGAGAATCCCCTTGGCAGACACCCCGCTTGTTCTATTGACGAGATGGCCGCCCAAGGAACTTGCGGGTCAAGGCCGTGGCCGGAAATACCAAAATGCAGCATTATACAGACAACATGAGCTTCGTATGGGTCGTCAAGGCGTAATTTCAGTAAGGGTCAGCGTTGGTCGTTGCGAAGGTAAAGCAGTCGCCCATGGTATCAGTATATCTAGCAGCAACCCATGATTTAGAAAAGACATCATAGTACCAAAAAACATATGTCAACAAACTTGATGTTCCTCACACAATACGAACAGTCTTCTCCCGACTGCGGAGGTTTAGATAACCCTTGACCCTCATTCCCGCAAAGGATGAAACCCGCTCATAGGTTCCATCTTCTGCAGGAATCAAGACCAATCCATGAAGCAGACCGACCTGTTCCGAGATATCATCAGCATCAACACCTGCACTGACGTTTTCCTCATCGCGTACGACTGGCTCGGCAAGCAAGACCAGAAACACACTTCCAGGCGGCAACTTCCAGTCCTCATTCGACCCCAGCTGACCTCTAGAAGGATTCATCATCATCTTCCGCCACTCCATGGAATCCTGCGGTGCAGGGATCTGATACTGCTGTTGCAGCTTCTCAGTCATCTTATCAAGATTAACGTCGAAGACTGGCCCGTGGACTTCAATGACGGCGGATGAGATCTCACCGTACGGGAAGGTGGCTGACTTGGGCGTGGTTTGGATGCTGAGAACCTTCGAAAGCTCGGTTGTTGGCAGTGTTGGGAGGTGACTGTATGTGATAGAGCTCTCGACAGATGCCCAAGACCAGGTAGGTGCGCGCCACACCTTGGGCTTCCGCACATCCAAAACCGGCCATGTCGACCACATCAAGCCTCGCAGTAAGTCTGTCTTCCACAAACCGGCAATATAATCGTCTTCCAGGGCTAGCGCAAATTCATTCGCCAGAGCGGCTATAGCACGGAATTTATCTTCCGCAAATGTCAGATCACGCTCGCAAAATTCCTCGACTGCCCTGTACCAAAGAGAATATTTATCTTTGGGGATCTGACTTGCCACACTGAGTTTCCTCGTTTCAGTCGGATTCGCTTTCATTTCGAAGAGCCCAAGTTTGATCTCGCGGTCATTCGCACTCCGCGAATCGAACGACCAGTCTTGAACACCCCCTGCTGACTTCTGAATCGTGGCACACTGCCACATCAAGCGACCACCGTATGTCAGAACACGAGGAGATAATATCCGCTCTTGATAAGTCCATGCTCGTTGAGAAACAGCTTCGTCAGAAAGAGAATAAGGGTTCTCTTCACGGAAGTAGATATTGTCGACCTCTCCGTTCGGTGCCAAGTATGGCATGCTGAGCAGATCTTTGGGAATGCCGGTGCCAGGATGATCTTCACATTGGGCTTTCGGGCCAAGAAACCCTGAATCGCATCCTTTGCCGCCGGCGCAGATAGTGAGTTGAGCATTCCGATAGTAGGAGGGCATTTTGGGAAGCTCAACTACTTTATCACCAGCAGAGTCTTGCAGGATGCACACAGCGTCAACCCACAAGTACTCAAGTCCGAGACTCTTCGTCAACTGGACCGCATCTTGCAGGGTCTGAGGAAGTTGTTGCGTTTTGAACCCTGCACATCTGGAGGTGAGACTTTCCGAGGTGGTGACGAACTGTTGTGGCCCACCCCAGCAGTAACTCAAGATGGTGTACTTCCCTGGAGATTCACCAGAAACAAGTTGTAGGTCATCATCATTTAGTATTTTGATAACCCGCGTTGGTAAATGCGTAGCGGTCTGAGTCTTTGTAGGATCCGATCTTGCCTTACAATGTTCATGGTTCGTAAGACAATCTGCAATCCAATCGATAGCGATCTCGATGCTTCGTGTAGATCCTGGATCAACATTGACAGGTCGTGCTTTTATAAAATCGCAGATTGCAGAACCTGTATCAATGTGAGTAGCCATTGAACGAATGTTCTTGGCTCACGTACCTTCAGGAGCAGATATTTCGATCACGATTTGTCGTCTGTAGCCAAGTATGTCTTCCACAGCGGTGGCAGTGGTCAGGTTCGTGCTGTCCACCAGAAAACGGAGTCTCTCATATCGAGCCTCGGCAACAGAATAATTGTCGGGCTGTGCAATGAGTTTGAAGCGCGGATTTCCATACGTCGTACACTTCTCTCGCGTTCTGTCAATAGCTTGGACGACCTCTATCGCCTGTGAGGGCGATGCGCTCCGATGACAGCATCCAATTTTTGCGCTGAAGCCTCCTCCGATAAAGAACGTGTACATCGGATCATTGAAGAATCGAGATATCATGAAGCAGCAGAATTTGCAGTTCGCCTCGGCAGACTGGATGAGATCCAGCAGAGTGACATCCCATCCAAGGTAGAGTTTGGATTCTCTTGGATGTGGCTTTTCCGGTCGCGAGAATATACCCAGGTCCTTTGTGACCGTGTAACAGACTGAGCAGTACTGATCTTTGGCTTTCAGTTCATCGAGCAAGTCTGATGACGTCTGAAACCCGATGGTGTATTCACTGGGCATCCAATCTCCGGGAGTTGAGATTCTCACGAGCTTCTCGCTTTTTTCTTCCGTAGAACCCATTATGAAACAGGCAAAAGTTTGTTTTCGAAGATAAAGCGTGCTCTGAAAACATTCGAAGATAGCAACACAAGAGGCGACTGGGTGCCGTGCCTTTCATACTTGACGGCCCCCCGGATTGTGGCTGTGGTCTCTTGCTGCCTGTCGGTCCAAGTGCTAGGCAAGGATCTCTTGCCCCCCACATGGGTTTGTCCGTTCAGAATCTCAAAGAAGATATTTCCTAAGCCTTGCGAGAATGAGAGGCCATTGGACCATGCTGACGACTCCCAAGTGTCTGCTGAAGCCCTGGGCATGAAAACTGCATCTTCCCGCTTGAAAACCGTATTGATCCAGGCTGCAAGGGTCGCGCTTTTGTCCAAAGATACTCAAAGATTATGTGTGCGCGATGCCAAATGCCAAAAGAATACTACACACGCGACGCAAGTCTGATACATATTGAGCTTCGAGGATAGACGTGGACGAAGTTAAAAACTTTTTGCATGGGAAGGACGTCCTCAAAGAGGGCCGCGTAGCGAGCTCGGATCAGCACTGCCGTGATGCTCGAAAACATGCGAAGTGGGGCTCGTCCACTCATGTTGCTCTTTGTGAGCCGCTTTTCATGGTTATCGTCAACAGAGGCAGGAAAATATCTAGAAAAGTCTCGAGAAGTGCATACTGTAGTTCATAAATCATGCATCATGTAGGGCTAAGCAGACAGTAGCCGATATTCGCATGCAAGATAGTGCTTGTGACAATGTCGACAGGCCGTCTACGGACAATAGACTAACCTAGGGTGTAACAGATACAAAGAGGCGTAAGGAGACATCTTTTGCGATCGTAAGAATGGTGGAGGAAGCAACAAGGTACCCAGGGTATGTAGAGTAGCGACAAGGTGCGGAGTCGCAATGCATGGATGCAGATCCAAGGATGTTCACGTCAGAGTGTTTGGAGTTCCGGTCGACCATGTAACTTCAATATGCTCGTGCTGCCGTTGTTCGGTCCCTCTGCATCCAGATATCTAAGGAGATTTGGATATTTTGCAGGATAAGTTGACATTCGTTAGTATCAAGCAGTGGGCGAGCAAGTCATACCCAGTGCCTTTTGCATAGCTAGCCACACTCAGCCTTTCGAGAGAGAGGTGAGCATCTACGCTGATTGACGTCATGTCGTCCAGTGGGAGCAAACCTAAGAAACGAGTCCTGGTTTCTTATGGAGTCGATATTGATGCGATAGCAGGTTGGCTGGGGTCGTACAAAGGGGAGGATTCTACGAGTGATATATCCAGGGGTAAGTGCTCCATTGCATCACAGAGCTGGATGATAACATGTCAGAATAGGGTATCTTGCAGGTACTGAGGGAGTGAGGCGATTGTTGAAACTGTTTGATAGGTACAACATCAAAGCCTCATGGTTCATTCCAGGGCATAGTTTGCAGTATGGCTTTCTGAATTGGAAACGTTCCCCGAATTCTGATCGTGGCTGACTTTTCCCTGCTCAGGACATTCCCAGAAGAGTGTGCGATGGTTCGCGATGCGGGACACGAGATCGGCCTGCACGGGTATAGTCATGAGAACCCGGTTGACATGACACTTGAGCAACAGCGTGATATTCTCGATTATACGTATCGAATGCTCACTGATTTCTGCCATGGGAAACCACCACGAGGGACAGTGGCTCCTTGGTGGGAGGTGAGTAAGGAAGCCACGGAGTTGTTACTCGAATATGGCATCGAATATGACCATTCAATGAACCATCATGACTGCCAAGCATATTATCTTCGGACAGGCGATGAGTGGACAAAAATCGACTATGGGAAGAAGGCTGCGGAATGGATGAAACCATTTGTCAAGGGTAAGGAAACGGGCCTAGTTGAGATCCCAGCCAATTGGTACCTTGACGATTTGCCTCCCATGATGTTCATGAAGAAGGTGCCGAATAGCCATGGATGGGTGAATGCCAGGGATGTGGAAGAACTTTGGCGAGTAAGCAGTCGTTGGTTCGAGTCGTCCCACCTATGTCTAACACGCACACAGGATCATTTCGACTATTTCTATCGTGAATATGACGAATTCATCTTCCCCATGACGATCCATCCTGATGTAAGATGGCAATTGGCAGGTGTCGATATACTCGGCTAACTTTGAGCAGGTATCGGGTCGTCCACACGTGTTGTTGATGCATGAAAGGCTAATCGAGCATATCAACAAGCATGAAGGTGTTGAATGGGTTACTATGGAGCAAATGGTCGACGATTTCAAATCGAAGCACAGGCCAGCAGAAGGAGCCATGATGCCTGCACCTCGAGGAGAAATTCTCAAGAAGGCGAGCAAGTAGATCGATGCGGCTCAAGATCGCTTCATGAATTTCAAGGCACCTCCTAATTTTGTAACCCTTGTCACGTCACGTAGGGTGAGGCTGATCCTCGTGTCTCTTTCGGCTTTGCCAGACTCAAATGGTTTCCTATCCCCAAGGTACTCCCAATTGATGATATGGTCATTGTCCAGATGATCGTCGACTGTGAGCTCGGAGATGCCGTGTAGGGTGTCGACGTACATATCCCCAAGTGTGACTAGCAGACTTCGTGGTTCTTGAAGGATGCGCCACGTAGGAGTGGCATTTCGCTCACCGGTCGCATTCTTTTTGTAGATGTCAAGGACCGTGTGACTCCCAAGGCTCACAGTGGCAGTTATCGGATTGTACGCCGGCCCGTCTACATGTGGCATGATGCCTTCTCCTGGTCTGTACTCATTTATCAAGACATGGTTTGGTGCCTGATGCGTTGAACCTTCGAAGTAACCATGCTCTTCCAGGCGATGCACTATTGAGTCAAGGAATGTCGGCATGGGTGCATCGATGAGGGCATCTTTGGAAGACCCAACCAGTGAGGATGGTAGTGAAAGGAGTCGACGATGGCTGAGAACGGTCCACCTAGACTGGGGAAGTCGCGCTATTTGGTCAAGAATCTGCTCTTCTTCTGCCGGAGTGATGAAGCTGTGTACATAGTGGCATGATGGTGGGAGGCCCGGAAGAACTGGAGAATCAATTGCAGACATTGGATCATCTGAAAGGTGGGCAAAAGGGAGACGATGAGAAGGTATTTGGTTTCTACAGACTTACAAAGACATTGAAGATGAGAATCATGGATAGCCGAGGAGTAGTCGAATCGTCTTGGTCTTCAAAAAGAAAAGAAGATCGCAAGCTGGGGAGGAACCGAACTTGAGTTTCCAGCAGCCTGAGTGATAGCGCAGCTTAACCGGGAAAGAAGAGGCGGAAGCTTCAGCCTTGTGGCGCCCAAGTGCAGCCTGGTCACACTGAACCAGCTACATATATTCAGGGAAAATATCTTCTAGGGACCACCTGGCATTCATAGTTGCTGAAACATAAATACTTCTTGTGGTTCTAGGGGTTATGGTGCGTTCAAACCGAGCCACATGGCTGCAGGTATCAGTTCTACGCATCTTCAATTTGACCACGTCATGATCACAAGCCATCTGATTAAAAAGAACTTTCCTTGCCTCCTAGTCGTCTAAAATCCCCATGCCAGTGTCCTTTTAGCACTCACGCCTCAAACGCTTGAGGCATCAACGATGAGCCAAAATTACGTGTCTCTGTATCGGCGGACCCTGGCAAGTCGACAACAGATCTACAATGATTCCATCGCGTCAGGGAAGTATCAACCATTCCTGTATCCCTGGGATTCGCTCTTCGCGCTCGTCCTCCTGCTTGCAGTTACCCTGACCCCACGACTACCAGCACGACTAGGGGTTGCGGTGCGATGGTTAGCATTTACTCTGATCTTCGCCCACAGCATTCATGTGATCCTTCATCGGAGAACTTTATGGTTTGCTGGTGGCTATGGGATTGGTCTATGCACAGCCTGGGGCACCATCATGTCCGGCGCACTACTAGTTTGCAATGATATCGAACATGACTTTTGTAGGCTAGAAGCACGCGAACTTCTACCCCAGACATCGGAAGTTGCCAGCAATGGTTCGACGATACCGTGTGCCTCTTCAAAGGCCAAGGACCCTACCAGTGCCTCTATAGACCTCAAGCGACGCAAGGTGCCGGGAGTCTACACAGCGACTGACATTAAGCAGCCCACATTCGCCAACTCTCAAGATGCAGCCACAAAACCATACAGGCTGGTATGGCAGGCCTTCCCGTACGACTCCAGTTGGCTGCACGTAATTGACTGGACCATGGACCTCGTCACAAGTTTCCGAGGAGTAGGCTGGAATCATCGGATACCTACGCTGGCAGAGATCGACGCACCCATTCCCCCGACACCTGCTATGAGACAGCATAAGCCGAGAGGGCAAGTCGATACGGAGCGTAAACCCACTGCTATCCCCCGGCAAACGCTTCGAGCCATGCAGCAGCGAGCTGTAGCTGACTTTATAGTCAGCTACCTTGTGTTGGACTTCCTCAAAACAACAATGGTCACCGATCCATATTTCATGGGTTTGGGAGGACTCGAGAGTCCAAGCCCTTGGCTGTGGCTATCAGCAATGACAAAAACAATACCAATCGCAACGAAATTCGTTCGACTAGTCATGTCCATGGCAGGGGTGGTAGCAGCACTAACCTTCATCTTCAGCCTCAGCCCACTCTTCTTCACGGTTGTTCTTCCAGCAGCTGTAGACTTTACCAAAGTCACGAGATCGCCTTTACTGGAGCCGTGGTTGTATCCACCTCAGTGGTATCCTTTGACAACATCAGTGCTGCAGACTGGACTCGCTGGGTTTTGGGGCAAATTCTGGCATCAGATGTTTCGATATGGCATTTCACAACCATCGCAAGCACTCATTCAGAGATTGGGCATGGATTCACGGGGCAATGGGGCTCGAATTATCCAGCTCTTGATCGCTTTCGGACTTTCAGGTTCGATTCACGCAGCAGCAAGTTTCACGTCCTTTTCAGTGGTGGGGACACATCCGCTTTCAGGGCCGCTCTCTTTCTTCCTCTTACAGTCACTTGGTGTATTTATACAAACACTCGCGACCAAGTTCTTGCACAAGGCCTTCTCCTGGATGAAATCCATGCCGCGAGTAGTGGGGAGGACAACAAATGTGCTGGTCACGTTGACCTTCCTTTATTTCACCGGTCCACTTTTAGCAAATGACTTTGCAAGGAGTGGCATCTGGTTGTTTGAGCCGGTCCCCATCAGTCTTCTTCGGGGATTTGGCTTTGGACCAGGAGGTAAGGACGAGGGGTTTTGGGCATGGTCGCAGGATGGATCTACGTGGGTGGGTTGGTGGCAAGGCAAAGGGTGGTGGGAAACTGGCTTAGCAATATATTGAAAAAGACAATTGGGCATAGATGGCAGCTCAAGAACTCTTGCGAGAAAAACAGAGACTGCGACATAACTACTCAAACGATGTCGAGCAACTGTATGTCGCATTGTGCATCTGCAGCACGGTAGAGGGCTCCTACCACGCGACTCCCAACGGGGCTGACGTCATTGGCTTTGATCAGTCCAGGAGGGTATCACTGGCACACAGATAGGCATTGCCACCCCGACAGCCCGATCCCCCAGCGGCTGCCTCGGAGCCTGTAAGGTTGCTCAAGGGTGGCCCGATCCCAAATCCCCATCTTGCTAAGAAAATCGTGGATGATTACCTAACTTTCGGCATGTTGCAACTTATGGAAGCTGAAACACTTCTCAGGCTGTCTCATAACCGGGTGCATGATTTCGATGTTGACCTCTACCTACGAGGTACCTAGTTAGATACAGAGTATCTTGCAAAGCTACATCTTCTCTTTGTGTGAGCGTCATTACTCGCAAAGCCTTCGATCATTGCCTTCGAAAGGTCCAGCATCAAGTGTCGGCCAGAAATCATCAGCCTGATCCTACTTTTCCCGAGAACCCCATTTGCCATCCCACACTAGTCCATACGGAGCAACCAGACTCAGACCAGTGCCCTAATTTAGTTGAACCCGCTCCTGCGACTTAGGTTCTCTCACAAAACCTAATAGGCATTGGGGAGTCGACTCGCGCCTAAGATTCCTCCTACCCAGCGCCTAAAGGCTAGGCTCTAGGTCTGATATTGTGCCTAGGCTTCCTGTCACCTGCTCTGCCACCAAACTCCCACAGACTGCGCCTATAGTCATTTGGTTACTCTACGCCTCAAGAGTCACCAACCAAGTCGTCCAAGATCCGCGACAGCAGCCCAACTCCATCAACCATCACATCCCAGCACGTCATATTCCATCTCTGACGGTTCAAGTTTTGCAAACCTTTGGTTTCATCATCCTAAACATCCATCCACGATATCCATACAAGGCTGCTACTTGCGCCTAGTTTCAAACTTCTCAACACCGCCTGCGCCTGCGCCTCCGCCTGTACCTGCGCCTTACCTGGAGAAGAGCGCGCGTCTCAGGCTTTTTGGCCCTATCGCACAACCACTGCAACTTCAAGTCCAACTGCGCTTCAACTGCTCTGTGACCCACCCCCGCGCCACCTGTTCTGTATCACCATCTTCCAACTTCACCCTCAACTCCCACCGCATCGCCCTACCCATCTCAGACTGTGTATCCCGTTCCTAGTCGGCTTGCGGTCCCTCCTCCACCGGTTGCTGATGTCCATCCGCTTTCCATCTCTTCTGCGTCATGGCAATGCAACCGCCGCTTGCCAACGACAAGAAGAGAGTCAAGGTCTATGAGCTGCGCGATAGTGACTGGTTTGACAGAGGTACTGGGTTTTGTACCGGACAGGTCATCAACGTAAGCTTCCGCTCGGGTCTCTCTCGATTTCAACATTGTAGCATGAACGCGCTGACACGTCCGCCAACAGGATGAACCGCGCATCTATGTTGAGTCCGAAGACCAACCCGATCGCATGTTACTGGAAACGCGCATCGTTAAGGACGATGGCTACCAAAAACAGCAAGGTCTGACTTCCAGATCTCCGAATTTTGTCCCTTGGTTGCGCATGGCTAATTCTCCTCAGACACACTGATCGTATGGACCGAAACAAATGGCACTGATATGGCACTGAGCTTTCAGGAAGCGGAAGGCTGCGCAGTTATCTGGTATATTCTTCTTCACATTCCTGCCACCAATGGTAAAATAACTGGTCGCTAGGGATTTCGTACACCAGGTTCAGCAGCAGCTCATGTCCCTTCCTGGTAAGCAGTTCGACACACGGTCAGTTGGAAATGCGCTAATTGACAACCAGACGACGGACTTTCAGACGATGCTCTCGAGAACATGACTTCCTCCTTTACCCTGAGCCTACCCGAACTCAACAACCTAGACGAAATAGAACAGAATATAAGGCACGCGAGTATAACGCAAGGCGGTAGAGAGGCTTTGGCAAAATTCTTGATCAGAGAGGAATATCTACTGAAGCTGATCCCCTTGGTGGATGTCGCTGAGGATTTGGAGAGTTTACCCGATTTACATCGACTCTGCAATATCATGAAGGCTCTAATATTGATGAACGATAATTCAATCATTGAATACCTAGTCACGGACGATGTCATCCTCGGCGTCGTTGGCGCGCTCGAGTACGATCCCGATTTCCCCACGCATAAAGCCAACCATCGAGTGTACCTGGCGGATGAATCGAGATATAAAGAGGTGGTTGAGATCAAAGACCAAAACATCAAGCGCAAGATCAGACAAACTTGGCGCCTTCAGTACCTAAAGGACGTTGTCCTCGCTCGGATTCTTGACGATCCCACATTCGGAGTCCTCAATTCTCTTATCTTCTTCAACCAAGTTGATATCGTTCAGCATCTCCAGAACAACACCACATTCCTCAAGGAACTCTTCGCCATTTTCAGCCTCGACAATACCGATGTCAAGAGGAAGGAACAGGCAGTTCATTTCCTCCAGCAGTGCGCTGCAATCGCCAAAACGCTACAGATGCAATCTAGGGCCAATTTACTTAACAATTTCATTGCCCATGGATTGTTCGCCGTCATCACATTTGCTGTCAAACACCCAGAGCCTTCAATGAGAACCACAGGCATCGATATACTGGTGGCTTTGTTGGACCACGATCCAAGCATGATGCGCGGTTATATGCTCAAAGCTGTCCATGAGAAGAAAACCCCCCTGACAGATACCTTGATTGAATTGTTACATGCCGAAACGGATTTGGGAGTCAAGAACCAGCTAGCCGATGCGATCAAGATCTTGCTAGATCCTCAACCTCCCTCGAATGACCAAATGGGAAATCGACAAAGCTCCGAGTTCATGACGAAACTGTCACGGCCGCAACCCACACCTACACAAGCTGCCAATGAGCAATTTGCGCAAGACAATTTTGATCGATCATGTCGGAAACTGTTCCAGCCCTTGAAGACCTTGGAATTCAGAGATTCCCTTCAAAATTTCAGCTATCAAGAGGTGTCTTTATATGGGTACCTCATTGATATTCTGACCTTCTTCGTCCGACAACATTCCATGAGAAGCCGACCATTTGTATTGTCAGAGAATTTAGGCCCACGTGTTGCACAGTTACTCAAAGTCCCTCAAAAGCCTCTAAAATTGACTGCATTAAAGTTTTTCAGAACGGCTGTTTCCCTGCAGGATGGATTCTATGCAGCACAGGTGGTCAAGAGTGGAGCATTCGACGCCATACTAGATATTGTGATCGACACCATGCCCAGGGACAATCTCCTAAACTCTGCTTGTCTTGAACTTTTCGAATTTATCCGAAAGGAGACTATCAAACAGGTTATTGTTCACCTTGGGCAACATTATCGGGAAAAACTTCAGAACATCACGTACGTTGATACGTTCGAAAATCTTTTGATCAGATTCGAACAACTCACCACAGAACCTCCACCTGAACATGAGCATACTTTGTTCAGTCAAGACGATGCAACCCCGCCGATGAATAGAACCCATCTGAACGGAAGATGGCAAGGGCTCGCCGACATGGACTCAAACGAAGAGGATTATTTCAACACTTCTGATGACGATGAAGACGACAGAGATGATGGCGCAGACCAAGAAAATGTGAAGGATGTTTCAGAGAGGATGCAATGGCATCGAAGACGAATGAAGAATGAGATGATGAATGGCAGTGCTTCTCCAATCAGCAAGCCACTGGTCGACTACCCGGACGATGATGAGGACGAAACGATGGACTCCAAGATGGTGGGTCAATCGCAGGCACCACTAACTCCAGATAGCAGTAAGGACGCGTCTTCACCAGAAGCCAAAGCAGTCCCGGAAAAGACACTCGAACCATCACCGGATATCAAGTCAGCAGCCGAGGTAGAAGGACAGGCTCCACCAGAAAGGCTTGCGGAAAAGCGGCGAAGACAGGACGATGATGAAGACGACGAACTAGGAAAATTGAGCGGAGGTCCCAAACGTCGCAATTCATCATCCAGTGTTTCCAGCCTTTCATCTCAGGGATCCTTGCGTAGGAAGAAAGGGTTTCTGAGATCCAAACAAGCTGCCGACAGTGCAACCACTACCAACGCCGATACGGAGAATCATGTCGAAGGACGAAAACCGCGAAAGATTGCCATCAGTCTGTCCAATGCTACGAATAAAGCAGAGGAAAAAAGCAAAGCAAAATTGCAAAACAAGTCGGCCGTTGAGGCTAAGGAACAAGGATGAACTGGAGATATATGATATTTGCTCGTACTGGCGATGGTGTTCGAAGGAGTCCGACTGTGTACCAATAAATCCATGAGAAACAGGACGAGGTGAAGATTTCTAATGGGACTCTGCTCTGCATGAGGAATGACGGCGTTGAACTCGGAGCGGAGAGAAGAAACAACTCCCTTTGGGGACCACTGGCATTCTTCTTGGGCTTCCATCAAGGTTTGACGAGGACCCTGCTTCGGGGCTTAAGGACTACTCTTGAGTCGACTCTGGGCAGAAAGTAACTATTATTTTTGTGAATAGTAGGCGCAGTGTGGCAAGGCATTGATCAGGTCAAGCACAGAAGAATTGGTCTGCCGAGAAGGTCGGGTCAGGTATCAGGTATAAACACTGACCAGCTCTTGCTTGGACCGAACAATTTGTACTATTCCTCTTGCTTCCACTTATGAATATATATCATGCTCGCCGCAAAATTGACCGATCCCACTACGGATCGTCGAGGTTGTGTTTTCCAAACCCGCAGCAAGGGCAGTCTTCTTTCTGCAAGGTGTCCCCCACTCACTTGTGATCTCGACATTAGTCAATGATAAGACGTATTCGGACGTCAGCGACAATGTCCCGCATTGGCAACTTCAGAACCTCTCACTGCAGGACTATTTAACCTTTAATCCACCATGCCAACTTAAAAGGCTTTCGGTGAGTCATATTGCACTATGACTATAGTATATCATCTCTTCTCGTGAGACTACCCGTCCTTCCTTGATACGGTGTGTATTCCTTTGGAGGAACAACAGCGAGTTCCTTCAAGGCGACCTTTCAAGGCTTTCCACTTGCTCCCACACTACATACACCATGACTCAAGCACCGGCCGAATATTCTCACGACCATGTCATTCTCCTCCTCGATACACCTGAGTTCGAGAGGCCGCCGGCCTGGCTAGCTGACAACTTCAACATCATCGAGGGGGGCACTCATGCAGGTAAGTCTGGACGTGGGACCGCGTGGAGCGCTGTGCTTTTTGATCCACAGGAACCCTCCCATTGTTTCCCCCTGGACACCATGTTGCAAAATTGCTACCTAGTCAGATGACACCCTGACGAGAAGTCATGATGTTTGAATGAGACATCAAATTTCAAGGCATCATCAGCTCACTGCATCCATTTTCACAGGGGGCTCGTCACGCAACAAACTCATCATCTTCGAGGACGGCACGTACATCGAGCTCCTGAACTGGATCGGCAAGCCGGCCGAGTTTTTCGACTGGGCCGGGAAAGCACCGGGCCTGATCGACTTCGCACTGACGTCTTCAACGCAGTCAGCCCGGGAAACACACGACTCCGTCGCCAAGCGCCTCAACTCGTCAACATCACAAACCCTGGCCGGAGACGGCGCGCTCGGCGTGCGCTTCAAAGACCCGCTGCACGGCGGGCGGAAGCGCAAGGACGGCAAGCAAGTCGAATGGTACGTGACGAAGCCGCGGTTCGACAACGGCGCGTCGAACGTGCCGAGACCGATCGAGCAGTGGTTCCCGACGGGGAGGCTCGACACCCCGTTCTTCTGCCATGATGTGACGGAGCGGAGTCTGCGTGTGCCGCATGCGGAGTCCGGGATTGCGACGCACCCTTCCGGCGCGAAGGGTATTCTGAGCGTCGATGTCGTCGTGCCGCGGGACAAGGTGTCCGCTTATGCGGCGCTGTATGCGAGTGTTACGGGTGCGGAAGCCAAAGGTGACGAGGAGGGTGGTGGGGACAATGTGCACTTGAAGCTGGCCTCACCAAATGGCGAGTCGCTGAGGGGTGTGCGTGATCGTGTAGGTGTTGTCATTCGTGCGCCGAGTGGTGAGAGCGACGAAACGTGGGTCAAGGAGCGTGGTGTCGGCATCAGAGAAATCAAGATCTACGTTCCTGGGAAGGCTAAGGAGACGCCGCTTGATGATACGGGCATTGGCAGTAGTGTGTTCTTCGTCGGCTGAGCCCCTAGCTTTCAGCACGATAGCCAGAATTGAAAGACCAGGACGAGCGACCGGAAGTAAAGCTTTAAGGACGATTGTATCGGTGGAATAACAGACCATCATGAAATCTAGAGTAGCAGCATGAAATATTTAACAATGATAACTTGGCCTCAAAGCTTCGATTCCCTTCCATTCCCACTCGCAGCCTCGGGGCCATCAGCATCAACATGCAACCCAACCCTTAACCTTGCGCCCCCATCGAGACTGACGTCCTCGCCATTGACATAACTCCCTGCCGCACTACATAGATAAACCACCAGACCCGCAATGTCCTGCGGTCTGCCCAATCGCCCGAGCGGGTTCTGCTTACCTACCACACCCTCACCGCCGAGGTAGTCGATCTGCGGTTGGGCGAGGCGCGATGGGAAGAAACCTGGAGCGAGGACGTTCGTCGTGATATTCTTTGGCGCTAGCTCGAGGGCCAGGTTGCGGCCTAGATGGTGGGTTGCGGCCTTCGAGACAGAGTACATGATTGCCCCACGGGCGCCGACGTGCGGAACGATGATTCCCCCGACAGAGGAGGTTATCAGGACGCGTGAAGGCGAGGTTGGTGTTGCCGGTGCGGCGAGTAGGGGGACCATGCTGTTCGTGATAGTTTGTCAGTTGGAGGTGGCTTAACAAACGGGGACATGTCTGTCCGACTCGAGATGGAGGGCCAGGAGAACAGATGAGAAAAGGAGAGGGGATCAAGTGGTAACCTACAATCGCACCAGATTGAAGACGCCTCGTACGTTGAGATCGAGGGTCTTCTGACTCTTCCAGTCCTCGAACTCTTCAAACGGACCACCCCAACTGCTTGCAGCATTGGCCATAAGGATGTCCACGCCTTTCTTATTTGACTTCCGGACCTCGCTCTCGACCTCATTGACGAATTTCTGGATCTGGTCCGTGTGACCGACATTGGCGACGATGGGGACTGCTCGGCCGACGATGCCAGGAATGGCGTTGAGCTGGTCCGCCGCGGCGGTCAGGTTTGTCGCATCGCGGGCTGTAATTATCACCAGAGAACAGCCAGCCTGGAGGAGCGCTGCTGATGCGTACAGTCCTATTCCTCGGGACGCTATATTCCATCGAATAATCGGTTCACCGTCAGCTTGTTCTTCTGATTGCTGACCTTGATTAATGGGTGACGTGACACCAGGACAGGTAGACAGTTCGAAGGAACATCAAAGCGTCCAGGATCAACACCAAGAAATGCTTGGGATGCTGGCTTTCAGGACCATGGAGCAACCCAGGAGTAAGTACTCCCAGAGTCACCATCAGAAGCGACGATACTCATAATTTGATACGCAGTGACTGGGAAAGACTTACCCCCGGTGATAACAGCAACCTTCCCATCCAGTCTGAACAGACTATTGAAGCCCTCGATTTCTGCCATCACACTTAAAGGTAACGGATATCTTGCTGAAAGATCCTCCCAGTAGCTGAAGCAATGTCTGGAGTTCCTTCGTTATCGGCCTAAACCACGCACCTGGTCTGCGGAGGGTCTTTCAGAGAAGATACCAGGATGGCAAGGTCTCTTTCACCATTCGACCCCTTCCTGGGTATCTGGTGCCCATTGTCATAAATCCTTGGAGACGTGAAGACTCTGTGGGGAAGCTGGAAGGTTGACATCGGCTGTCCGAGATGGACCTCGGTTTCATCAACCAATCGTATCAACTTGGCAGAGGGTCCCGGAATATTGAGGCCGAGCCGAGTATATTGACTAATGTTCAATGTTTGTATTGGGTTCTGGTATTCATTGTACAATCTAGGTACAGATGCTGTGTGTCTAATAGACAGCTATGTTGTGTGATGCTCATACTTAGCCACATAGAATCAAGCCAAATTGATCATGCTGCCTGCCACATTATTCCAGCTTGCCTGGTCTTTACTGGGTCGTGCTCTATGGCCCCGATCTGTATCTTGACTGGGCTTTCTCCCTTTCCTCATATTGCGTTGATCCCGACTTTTGAGTTCTTTCTGTTGGATGAGCATATTCCGCTCCTGCTCACTTAACATGACTTTCTTCAGAGGCGAATCTGCCGGAACTTCAAACTCTGACTCTGAAAATCCAAGTCCCGAGGTTGAAACTTGAAGTCTTGGCAATTTGGGTCCCTCTGGTTCAGCCGGCATCTCCTTCAGGTTCCCGTCAAATTTTGTTTGATTCAGTCCGCCTACACAGTGGCTGTGGCTGTGGATATGAGCAAATCGACGTGGGGAGCTGTCGACATGACGAGTTAGAGACTCAACATCCTCAGATTGAGATCTGATCCTGCTGTGGCGCATCTTTTCCAAAGACTGTCCTACCGGTGCAGTGAATGCCTGCCCCTGCTGGAACGAGGGACGAGCACGAGAATCCACACCAACCGGTACGGTCTTTGTCCTTTTTGCTTCGATGGAAGCAGCAACCTGAGCTAGAGAATTCGGTAAGACATCGAGGGAGTTGATGGGTATGATCGTGACCGGAAGTTGAACGGCAACGGTCTTGAACATTTTCACGGTGACTACCACGTTCACGATATATCGAATTTCAAAGTACCTTCCGGTACTGATGGTAACATGACCCCTAGGAGCTTCAAGCTCGATTGTCCTGACGTCGGATGAGTGAGCACCAATACCATCCCAAGTAGTCGAGCTCTTGATAGCATTGACACTGACTATATCCGTATCAGTCTTGCGGGGGAGGCGTAGATAATGAACAGTCTTTTCCGACGTGCCAAATGGAGGATGGGTATACCACAGAATTGTCTTTTCCAACTGTACCTCGATCTTCTTGATATTTCTGGGGGTGTTATTGGAGATATGGACATCAATGAATATGAGTGCCCCGTTGACCCACGTCTGTCGATGTAGTCCAGCTGTGAGCTTGACGGTCTGTATATCCGGTTCACGCGAGAGATAAAGCGTGTCTGCCGCAATCAGAGGACTCGAGAGACTGGCCAATGCTTTCTCCGGATCGTGTATCGTGAGCATTTGAACGCTCCAAGTCTGTCTGATTGTGCTTCTCTTATCTCCAACTTTTATTGTGACTGATGGGCAGAGGAGATATCGAATTGCTGCTTGTCTGGAGGAATACGGAGGGGGGCCCAGCTTCAATGGTAGATTGACACAAAAAGGAACGATGGCATTGGCAGACTTCAATTCCCACCATAGTTCTGGACCTTCCTCGGGGTGAGGTGAAATGACCAAGGACGGAGGTGGTGAATTGTTGTCGTCGAATAATTCCGTAGCGAGTGACAGAAATACCTAACGTCTGCCATCGCTGATTTCTTCCACACCGATGATATCAATAGATGCCTTTGAGATGTAAATGGGCTTCGTCTTTGGCTTTCGGGGTGCTTTACCGTCAACCTGAATTGACAGTTGACCTTCAGCAGTTCCACCACCCACAAACAAAGGTGAGGCCAGACGGATCGAAATCTCAACTCGGGGATGTTTTAGACTTCCATTGTCCAGGACATCGTGTGGTGAGTTTGTTCGGACAAAGGTACGAGCGAAGGAAGGCCGAAGGAGTTCGGAGGACTGAGCTGCTCTATTCAAAGCTCTTCGTACAGGAGACTCTGCCCTGCCACGATCGGGGATGACTTTACTGGTGTCTTCCAATTCAGGTACTTTCCACGAAGGCAAGTCTTGGATGGAGTTCTGACGAGAGCCGCCTATGCTCCGGGAAAAGATGCTTGCTGATGATCGCCTCTCCTGCACCTGTCGGAGGGGCAGGCTGAGTTGTCGTGAATTCATCAAAGAACAAATGAAGAGATTGTGGTGTTTGTATTTGAGACGAAAGAATCTTGACGAAATGTGTTTACCAAGCAGTGTTGCAGAGGAGTCGGTAGTGAGGATTTGTCCCTACCGAGTACTAGGGCTGCACTGTGAGGCAGGTTGCTGCCTTGGGTGAGCATCGTGTCCCAAGGGCAAGAGCGACACAGAACAACATAGTAATACCTCCGCTGGCTACATAATTAGGAGATGCTCCCTCTGCTCCTGGCAAGGACCCTTTACGATCTTTCCAGACCTACCTGCTTAGGTAGTCACCTTACAGGTACCGATACCCAGAGTGCAATATCGGTGAACACTCCATGTTGGTGACAAACGAGTTGTGCGACAACCTTTTCGCTCTTGCAGCCCTAGTACTCGGTACGGATACCTCACTCCCACTTGCTTCCCCATCACTGTACAGGAGGTAGTTAGTGATTGTGGCTGCAGTGACTGCTGGGCGGGGAATCAATGATCTGCCAACTTCCAGTTGGAAGTTCGGGACTTGAATTGGAAGATCTCTAATCCCCAGCACTACAGGCTGCAGGCCGTGGGCTATTGACAGGGCGTGACTCAGGACAGGGCGTGACTCAGGACAGCTACTTGGGTCGAACATGACGGGTTCGCGTGATTCTCACAATTGGCAAACTGCACGTCCATGTTCCCATGTGAATCATTGTTGGACCAGTCCAAGCCATAGTGCAGCAACAATGTTGAGACGGTCGGCAACTTCTCGTTGGAGAGGATATCCAATACCCTGCCGTGCCAGCCCATTCAAGCTCAGGTGCTCTCCTGGACACGGTAGAGTTCGTAAAATGACATTGGCAATCCGAATCAAGATAGTCACGGGGCTGCACCTCCTCGGCGGGTACCGTGGTTTTCAGAAAGGAGGTTGGTCCCAACTTCGAACTCTACCAAGATTACGGAGTACTTCGTAGGGGTAGTTTTAGGTGTCAGATCCCTACCAAGTTTTGTGCACAGGGAGATGCGGTAGGCGCCGTTAGGGGCTCTTAGGCTTCGCCGGGACTGCGTGACCACTGACCAGTGAGCACCATGGGTGTCCTCCAATGTCCTCCAATTAAGGGCGGCACTGGGCAGGCCACCACGGTGCACGGAGGGCCTGCTGGGGGGTCGTTCCCTCCACGGAGAAAGGCGATCAAACTAAAAGGCGGGGGTTTCCACTAAACAGGGGCTAGTGACATTCAGGTTGTTCTTGTCGCTCCTAGGCGTGATTAGTGGAACATCTGATGTGCAAAGGCGCTCGCCTGACGTTCGATCAGCCTTGCTCGAGCCTTTCTATCTTGAGCTCTAGTTTGCTTCTCTATGCTGGATCTGGGCATGGTTCGCGGATGGCGTACTGCTTCATTGGTGCCCCAGCTATCCCCCGTCCCAAGCAGTGAAAATTTTCTTCCACGTGGCGTATTGGTTCCAATGTCCGAATGCAATGGCAGAGTTTTCACGCTGCTTTGCTTCAGATGCGAACAACCTCGTCAGAGGACGAAGCGAGATGTTGGTTGCTAACTTGCTAGGATTCTGAACCCCCACCTCCAAACCACATGTGGAAGGACCATGATCGCCCGAGACCCGTATACCACCCTCTGAGCGAATTCGGAACCCAGTTCCACGCTGCGCATCACTTTTCCCCAAGGCCCCATCGCTGCCAGCATGGTTTTGCTTCTCAATTCCGAGACTGAAACGCGTCCTTGAACAAAGTCCTCGCCTAACTCTTCCAACCTGCTTTCTCCAGGAGAGAGACAGTATCCTGCAAAGCTTGGACCCTTCATCGAATGTGAAAACTGCTACCAATCCTGAGCGACTGGCCCCTCTTGTCTCCTCCGCACCTCTCCCCTCTTGTCAAAGCGTGCAAATTTTTGTTAGCTCATTGAATTACCTCACAACATTCCGCCTCCGGCCCTGTTCATTGCTTTACGTCTCTTATCTCTATTTCTGATTGTCACCTATCTCTCTTCTTACGTTACTGTTATCAATTCTCCCAGACCAGGCGCGCGTCTAATCTGCTATCCTGGTCATTGATCTCGACCCGTATCGGCGCTTATGCCAGGCACGTTGCATTAGACTCGGTAGCCTGGGCCCTGGAGAAGGCATGGGCTCCGTCGCCAACACCGACGTCACAATACCCGATGCTGTGGTACCAAAGCGCGAGCTAAGCATCGAAGACTATCTGTCCGACACACCATCCTCTGTCGATGGCAATGATACTCTTGAAGGAAGCTCCGAGCAACCCAATCCGGAACCGACACCTGCTCCTAAGCGCAAAGGCGGAAGGAAACCAGTAAGCACGATGGACTCGTGGCGGAGATGAGAAGAAGCAATTCACTCATGGATGCATCTAGATTTATGCGACATCTGAAGAACGGAAACAACGCAATCGTCAAGCCCAGGCAGCGTTCCGCGAACGACGAACCGAGTATATCAAGCAACTAGAGACGACCATTCAGCATCATGAAGAAACTTTGCAAAACCTACAGCAAAGTCACCGTGCTGCCGCCGATGAGTGTCTCATGCTGAGGTACAAAAACTCCCTCCTAGAACGCATCCTGCTTGAAAAAGGTAAATCTTGAACTGTTCCATGCATGTGTTCACCACTCACCATCGACTATAGGTATCGATGTCCAGGCTGAACTAGCATTAAAAGGGAGCCCCAACCTCCGCCCTCATCGAGGACCTCCCGTAACCGGGCAGGCATCGCCAATGCAGAAGGCCATGTTGAGTCGACAGCAACAGGCTCGTAATCGACCTGTGATGGCGCCACCTATTCAGACTGTAAATTCATCTTCCCAGATTGGTGGACAACGGAATTTTGCCGGCTCACCTACAGCACAGCCTACCCCCCCTTCACAGCAGTCCTCACCTTCCACGGCGAGATCCCCCGGTTTTGCTATGCATGGTGGCATGACCTCACCGGCAACCGACATTGCTGGATCCCAGCAACCGCAGCAACAACCACAGGCACGGCCATTGCCTCCACAGCATCCTTCCTATGCATCCCAGCCAAGATCACATGCTCGGACAATGTCACACCCGGCGACGACCCAGCCTTATCCTCCCCGAACTCAACCAACACCCACAGTGCAGGACAGTTATTACCCTGCTTCATTCCAGAAGCATTATTCTCAACTCGGCAAGCTGACCCCTTCCTCTCCCCCTTCCCCCCTGCTTGTGGAGCTTTGTTCGTCCTAGACTGAATCCGTGAGTACAGAACAGGAGTACGATGCCCAGCCGGACATCGTCGACGAAATGGATGCCGAAGACGTCGATACCGATTCATTCATTCCGAACTTTCGATTACCACCAACTACCTCGACCGCGATGTCGATAGGGATGCACGCTTCTCCGCCCATGACAACAAGTGGAGCAAGCGATGGTGGCGGAGGCATAGGATCTCTGATCGATCCCTATGACCCCATGCTGGATGCAGATCCGTTCGGCCTGACTGCTAGTATGCATTTTCCTAATCCTTACACTTATCCTCCAATGCAACCCAGAAGATGATTTATTGGGACATGGGAACGATATGATACCTACATTTTTCTTTGGAATGTGGACATTTGTTCACCATAGCATTGTACTGGGAGGTGGACTTAGCGAAGGCGTAAAGTGGGACTACTGGGAGGCACATTATACGTTTTTCGTTTTGCATTCCCTTGGTCCAACTTCGACGACCACAGGATACCATAATTTGCATGCATGTACATAGTTAACTGGTGAGAAATACTGTAAATGTTTTCTAAGGCGGTCCCCGAAATGACTTCGTCCGACGAGTTGAGGTTCGGAGTTGTAACCTTGAACTCGGAAGGGCACTCAGTCAATCACCACTCACCAGTTCTGCAGGATTCCTTCCGAAACCCTCTTGAACCTTGTGATTCATTAGATGATTGAGTACTTGCAGCGGGTAGCAGTACATCTTTCAGGTTGAAGATGCAACTTGAAATTGATGAGGTGCTCACGTGATGAGTATTTGCCCTGACGCCAAGCACCGCTAACCCGTTGATGGCTTAGAGCCAAACTAATCACTCAATTCATTGCAGTGCAGAACAATTGCACCAATTTACCGGAACTTTGCAAGTTGCACCCTCATCTGTCAGGCACACATCCCACTCGACTTGACACCGTCCTGCATTTGAGGACTGTTGTCTCGGTCGAGAGTCTCACTCATCTCAGCTAAAGTTGGAGTTTCAGTAAAGCACGCCTTCACGGAAGGCGCTCGAGAGGTAAACGTCATGGCGGACGTCAAGAGCAAGGTGAGCATCAATTTTGAGAAGACAGTCTCCATTTGAGCTACAACCAGCTAATATTCATTATCTCCAGAACCTCTACGAGCTTTTGGGTATGAGTTTCTGCGCTTCTGCTATAGCACCAACCTAACCAACTCACTCTCAGGCAACACCTCGGATCAAGATTCTGATCGCGAACCCGAACCACCCACCAAAACCATTGAGAAACCCACAGCTCGTCTTGGAAAACGTGATGCGCCTGCTTCTGCACCTGCAGATTCGGGTGTGAGTAGTCGCGGAGGCCGTGGTGGGCGACGTGGTGGTGGATTCTCCGGAAGTGAAGCAGGTAAATGAATACTGGGCAACAATCAATGAAGATCGACATGACTGATGAGTACAAGCATATCGCAATCGTACCACTGGCCGAAACTACAACCGTGATCAAGGCACTGGTGAAAAGACTGAAGATGGCAATCGTGGTGCTCGACGTGGCGGCCGTGGTTCTGGCGGCCCTCGTCGCGGCGGCGATCGTCACAGTCGTACTGACAGAGCGTGGGTGTCCCATCAATCACCGTGTGTTTTGAGCTAACTTGCCTCAAGGGATCACGAGAAACAAGTTGGACATGGCTGGGGAGAAAACACCGGTGAAGGTGAATGGGCGGATGAGAAAGCAGGCGAAGCTATCGCTTCACAAGAAGTCAAAGAAGGCGGCTGGGATGCTAACGCAGAGGCTCCAGCTGCTACTTCTGGTGGCGATGCGTTGCCCGAACAAGAGCCCGAGCCAGAAGACAACAGCAAATCCTACGCTGATTACTTGGCCGAACAAGCTTCCAAGAAATTGAGTGATCTCGGTCTCAAAGAAGCCCGTGCACCTAACGAGGGATCCAAGGAGAACAAGAAGTGGAAATCTGGAAAGGAGATCACCAAAGAGGAGGACGAAGATTACTTCAAGGGTGAGGAAAAGGCCAAACGCGAGCGTGCTCGGGAGCCCAAGAAGGAGTTCCTCGACATTGACTACAGCTTCAAGGAGCAAGCGCGCGATTCTCGTGGTGGTGGCCGAGGCGGTCGTGGTCGTGGTCGTGGCGAGTTCCGCGGTGGCGATCGTGGTGACCGTTCCGAACGTCCTGAACGTAGCGAGCGTCCTGATCGTGGCGATCGTGGCGATTTCCGTGGCCGCGGCCGAGGTCGTGGTGAACGAGGTGAATATCGCGGTCGTGGCGGCCGTGGCCGTGGTGGCAATGAAGCCTCCGGCTCTCAGGTCGCAGTCGACGATACTACTGCCTTCCCGAGTCTGGGAGGTAAATAGAGCATACGTCTGACGTATTCGATCAAGCCGAACACTTGCAGAATCATCAATCACAACGCACATCGATCATCATATCACATCATCCTTTTCGAACACCAACCGATTTGTCTTTGTAAAGGGCACATTCACTGACCATACGTCAAAACGCTTCCTGTTGTCGCGGAGCCTTCGACCCTATGTCGGGATAATGCATTTGCAAGAGCAAGATCGGAATTGCCACCAGTGAAATCAGTTCTTGCAGTAAACCCCAAAAGCATAGAGCAACTCGGTATAGGAGGAATTTTGTTCTACTATCTCAAGAGGGCCATCTTTAAGGTCAGCTTGGAATCGTGTAACATATGTTCTTGCCTTGAACATCGTTGCCTTCAGAATGGAATTTCAATTGAGCTTTTCTTGACGTGCCCTTCTCTTCGTTCCCCATGCTGCCTACCATTTAAAGTCCTTGACGAAAGCTCATACGTGGCCGGCCATAGACTGGTGGTTTTTCCTAAGACCCCATACACAATCAAAGTGAACTGCCGATAAGCATGTACGACGGAGGTTTCGGTCTCAGCACCTCGCACCTGATTTAGATTCTTAGGGCCAGATCTAGGGAGATTACCCTCGGTACAATCCTATCGGCAGTTGCAACCCTTCAACCTGAGTCTGTGTTTGGACTTCAGCCTTGTCTGGAGTATGTGAGCAGTGGTCCTTCCTCGGCAGTTCGACCGGGACAATCTGCCGTCACCCCTCGCCAAGGTTTTGGAGAATCGTCATCTCTGTCGCACGGCTCTGGTCATCTTGTCTCTCAGCCTGTCCATCGAATGCGATCGATTAGGGACATAAAATCATCTGCCACCAAGAAATCTCTCCTGCTGCATAGAGCCGTAGGACTGTTTTGTAGGTTGGTAGTTACATAACTGCAAGTACTTGTTGTTTGATCATCTTAGCTATTTCTCTTTCTTCCCCACAGAATTGTCACCCTGTCCCCACATGGCATCGGGCGCCCGTACCCGTTCGACTCTCACAACCCTGGCATGGTTCTACTTCTAACACATATGCCGTGCCTCTTGTGTCGGCCTTTGTACTCGTACATCTAGCACAAATCATAGCCGCACTAGACATGACATAAGACCTCGACCTAATTCGCTGGCCTTGCAAATGGTAACTCCATCCAGCGGCCTGTCACCAGCCAACCCCTCGCTCAAAATGAACTGCCGAACAATATTTGGCCACTTATCTTCCTCCGGTAGCCGGTTGATTCACACAGATTGGACGGACAGTTGGCCCATGGCCATCGGCGTTGTCTGCTAGATATGAGCTCGATCTGTTCTTGAATGCCCTCGGAATATGACTTAATATGATGTCCTGCTGCCACGTCTTCTATCCTTAATACTCCGTGAGCACACAAACTGGCCAAAGTCGTTGAGGAGAACTGAGTGATCAACTTACCAATTAAAGCACGAAAATGCTTGAATCGATTGTACCTTTGCTTCTAGCAAACTGGCCGTATGCTGTGGTGGTAGTTGGCATCGCATATCTCCTGAGCAACTATTTCAATCATGGACTAAACAAATATCCTGGACCGGTGTTGGCGAGATTTACTAACTGGTGGAGAGTTGTTGATGTATATGGACGGCGACCCGATATCACACATCTCGCGTTGCACCGCAAACATGGTGACATCGTGAGGCTAGGACCCAATTCTCTGTCATTCGCAAACCCCAAAACTTTGAAGACGATATACGGATTGAACAAGGGCTTCACAAAGGTCAGTTGTTTTCACTCGTGTTATTGAAACATGGCTGACTTTCCAAGTCCGGATTCTACCCAGTACAACAGGCCGTCAGCGAGGGCAAACGGCTACCGTCTTTATTCTCCACAGTGGATGAGTCGTACCATGCAAACCTCCGCAGATCAGTCAACAACGCCTTTTCTATGAGCCAGTTGGTCAACTATGAGCCCTCGGTAACGGAGACTGTGGAGTTATTCTTGGATCAGACAGAGAAGCTCTATGCCAATCCCAACAAAGTCTGCGACTTTGCCGAGTGGTTGCAATTCTTTGCTTTTGATGTAAGTCGTATTCAACCGAAGCTAGATACTGTTACTGATCTTTATGAAGGTCATCGGCCAGATCACCTACAGCAAGCGCCACGGATTTCTAGAGAATAATGTGGATGTGGACGGCATGATTGGCTACCTCGGGAGGCTATTCTCCTATGTTGCTCCAGTAAGTCCACACCGCCAGAGGTCATCTGTGACATGCTGATAATATTTTTAGGTCGGCCAAATGCCATTCCTCGACCTTCTTTTCCTCAAGAACCCACTTGTACTTCTCCTGGACAAGTTCGGATTTAAACCACTTGCGTTTCCTGTTGCTACTTTCGCCAAGCAACGAATGGCAGAGCGCTTCAAGGAGATGGAAGCCCAGGGAATTGAAAAGGGCACTGCCAAACCTGATCTCCTCTCCATGTTCCTCAAGGCACAGAATGATCGTCCAGAGTTCATGACTGATCAGCGTGTTCTCACCATGGCAGTTTCGATGGCATTCGCTGGCTCAGAGACGACAGCTATTAGCTTGGCTGCTGTATTCTATTATCTCCTGAGAAACCCTCCGGCATATCAGAAATTGATGCAAGAGTTGGATGAAGCGGTCGAGGAGGGCAGGATCGCGGATTCTCCAGCTGGTACGGTGACATGGGCCGAGTCTCAGAAACTTCCTTACCTAGATGCTTGCATCAAAGAGGCTTTTCGAATGCACCCTGCCGCTGGCCTGCCTCTCGAGCGTATAACTCCGCCACAGGGTATTGAGATTGATGGGCATTTCATTCCCGGCGGCACAATCGTCGGATGTAATGCCTGGGTCATCCACAAACGAGAGGAGATCTTCGGGTCGCAAGTTGACACCTTCATTCCTGAACGATGGCTGGACGCCACTCCCGAGCAACTGAAGGAGATGAACGGTACACTCTTCCAATTCGGTGCTGGGGCCAGAACGTGCATCGGCAAGAATATCAGTCTATTGGAGATGTACAAGCTGATACCTGCGTTCTTGAGGCGATTCGAGGTAAGTTATCCCCTAAATCATGCCCCTCCTATTTGAAGATGTGCTTACCGTCTATTTCCTTCAGGTCCAATTTGATGATCCCAGTAAAGATTGGAAACTGCATAATGGTGAGTTTGACATCCTAGAACACCCTCCCAATCGAGGACTCTTGCAGAAGACGCGACTAATCATGTTTTACTCTTTCAGCCTGGTTCGTCAAGGAACACGACTTCTATTGCCGGTTCAAGCCTCGCAGGCTACATTGAGACCTTCCTCAATGTTTGAATTCTGATGTTAAACTCCGAGCGAAAAATCTCGGTGAACTTGTCATGATACTTATGGTTTGCAAGAGCGAAAATTGGCGTTCCGTGGAGTACAGAATAATTCGCATATACATAGGTACTTGGCATCAATTCACATTGTTTCAGACACCCTCTGTTCTGCACAGGACATTGCAACTGTCGATCTTCGATCCTTATTTTGCCAAGGCGCATTTTCCCTTTGCCTTAGATATGTAGGTGATGTGCATGGAACGCCTGGTCTGCAATCACGTGTCGCAAGGCTCCCCTCGTGATCAGGACCTTGGCCTCGGCCGACACCCGGTATCGATGATGTCCTTCTGTTCCGCGTTCGACCAAACATTAGAAGCATTGCGGAGCCTGAATTATTCAGCGAAGAACACGTCTGAACCGCCACCGTGCAGCTTTCAACCTGAGTGCGACCCAGGCTGAGGCGTGGAGCATTTCGGGTAGGAGCCGCCTCACCGTCAAGTCCTGTTCATGCGAACAGTGATCTCGAGCTGCGAAAGGTCAACCCTCACCGCTCTAGCCCAGTCTGCAACATGATTCGTATCGTGTTTCGTCTGAACTACATTGTCCTGGAGCGTAAGCTACAGTTTGTTGACCACCATACATGCTGAGGATTACTGAACAATGTGTACATAGATTGATGCGCAGAGTTCATCGCTGACCAGAGCACAATGTTATCTTAGTCCAATATCTCGTATGCCTTGTTCCTGCATCAGCATTGTCACAAGGTGTGGGAAAGACTTCCCAGCCAATGCACTCCCATCGCGATCCTTGTCACACTTTGACCTTTGGAATCTCGTACATTCTGGTTCTCATGTTCCCAAGGGAGAAGCCAACATCTCATTGGTTGAATTGTCTTAAAATCAGGCTCTCTCGATGAATTAACCCGGGCAAAATCTGTGGCATGACTAGCGTGTCCATAGTCTCCATGGATGTCCTGCATCGCTGCCTCGGAGGTTTGTGGGGGTTGCGTTCGACCTTGGACCCACACTTTACAGGTTTATCGGCCGAATACTTCAAATTTCTCGACCGGTGCTTTGAGTCCACCTGGACCGCGATAACGCTTTCCAACTGAAACTTGTTTGAGAAGTGCTACGGCAGCTGCACATTGTGGGTACCTGGTGAGCATTTTGAACGTTTTAGGAATCAGATCGGGAGGCTGACCCTCCTCTGCTCACTAATGCAGGGTTTGGTGTGCCTGAACAGTCTGGGTGTGGTGGTACCAAAGAGAGTCGAGTGTGCCTGATAACATGTTATAAGATGGAAGTCATACTCGGTCTCGTTCTTAAATTTCATATTCAAGAACCCAAGCATACGAAAACCTCATTTGATCTGCAGGCCCTTTCGAGGTTCAATCATACAAGCTCACTTACGTCGAACACCATCCCTTAAGCATATCTTTCAGTTAACCATGGCGGATAAATTCCTCGAAGTCGTTGAAGCTCGCAAGTCACTGTACAAACTCAAGGCTGAGTCAACGATCCCAGACTCCAAGATCCAGGAGATCATCGAAGCCACGATAAAACATGCCCCATCCACATACAATGTTCAATCTGCCCGCGCAGTCATTCTTCTCGGTGCAAAACATCAACAACTTTGGGACATTGCCTTGAAGCACATGGAGCCTGCATTGGAAGGTTCCCCAATGAAGGACCATGTAGTATCTCGGATTGCTCTGCACCGAGCTTCTTATGGCACCGTCTTGTGGTATGAGGACCAGGACGCGCTCAAAGCTTTGGGCGAAAAGAGCCCTATGATCGTGCCAATGTTGACCGAATGTGAGTTCCGGAAAGTTCGAACCGTTGTGGGACAATTAACCAATCGATGTGAAATTATAGTCTCTGACCATTCGAGTGGCCTTCATCAATTCATCGGTATGTGGAAAATCCAGAAAAAGGAGCGAGAAGTCGTTAACATCAAATAGCATGGGCTGCGCTTGAGGCAGAAGGGCTCGGTGGTAACCTTCAACATTACAACTTCCACCCGGTCTTCGTTGCCGATGTTGCTGCGGCCTATGACCTGCCAGACCCATCAACATGGAAGCTAAAGTCCCAATTGGTGTTCGGAACGCCCACTAGTACAGAGCGCGAATACCCAAGGGCTTACGAACCTCTGGAAAAGAGGGTGCTCATCAAGTCGTGAAAGGGTGGCTCTGTGCCGGGAATGGTGTCCTTGTACACCACAGTAATGCCACCAAGTCTGCGCTTCGATCTTGCCAGCAATAGGAATTCACACCTAGACTTTTCATGTTGCGGGAATATTTGCCAGATGGCTCTAGAGACCATAAACATAGACCAACATGGACGTGAGATTATGCTGTTCGTCCTCCTCATTATGTTTCTTACATCCGCTTTTCCCCCACGGCAACCTCATACCTTAGCCTGGTTCAATCCATCCCAGACAATTACACATGACTTTACCTTGCAGTTCAGACCACACTTTGAACCCTTTCTGCTTGCAGTGCTATTTCATCATCGGTGAACTGTTTCGATTGCGTTGAAGAGGCTAGAGTTTAGTAACACAGCGTCGGTGAGAGTAAACGGCAACACCTCGGAAAACAACGCTTCTCCTGAGAAGCACTAGTACCATGGAGATCTAGCGAAAGGTCCGCGGAAGTCATTAAAAGCCGTCAATCAGAAGCATTTGAGACTCCGTCTGAGATCAAGATCGGAGTAGTACTCTGACCACCTTCGGGTTGAGTCCCCAGGCGGATCGCCTTGTCCCAGATTACCGTTCACTAACTTATCTTGACCACCACCTTACCCCACTGCTTCCGATCCCACAAGAACCGATAAGCATCTTTTAGCTCGTCCATCCCAAAAACCCGCTCGTCCAGAACAGGCACAATCTCCTTCAGGGCCATAAATTCATTCATGGCGAGGAACTGTTCCTTTGAGCCAACATTAACACCACGCAGAATACACAATGTAGTCAAGCAATCTATAAAGTTAGCAGATGTCGCCGCATCTTTGCCGCCCAAAAAGCCGATCATGGAGATTACCCCCTCGATCTTGATCGCCCTGAACGATTGCTGTATCGTGCTGTTGCCGCCAACTTCGACGATGTGATCGACACCCTGACCACCGGGTGATAGCTTCCTAGCGACCACTCCCCAGTCTGGGGTATCTGTGTAGTTAATCACATGCTGAACGCCCATTTTCCTCAGCTTCTCTGCTTTATCTTCGGAGGACGTCGTCGCTATGACGGTCGCGCCGAGCCCCTGCGCGAATTGCGCGGCGAACAGACTCACGCCTCCCGTGCCCTGGACAAGGATCGTCTGGCCCCGTTGCAGCACGCGACTCTCAAGCCCAAACAGCGCATTCCACGCAGTGACGGCCGCGCACGGCAATGCAGCGGCTTGCAGTGATGACAAGTTTCTCGGGACCGGCACGAGCCCATGCTCTGGAAACACTGCAAATTCACGCAGCACACCATCAAAGTAGTTTCCTAGCGTTGTGGCCCGTATGTCAGCAGTCAGCAGGCCGCTTTCCCATCCCTGGTGGAATAGAGTGCAGACTCGATCGCCGACTTTGAGGTTTGTGACATGGCCTCCTACAGCAATGACGACGCCAGCGCCGTCAGATCCCGGGACAAGGCCGGCGTTGAAGGGATACGGATAGTTGCCCTGTAGCATTGCTACATCGCGATAATTCAGCGAGGCCGCTTCCATTCGGACCAGGCAATCCGTGTCACGGAGAGAAGGAACGGGCGCGGCATTCTCGAGCTCAAGCGCGTCCAGCCAGGTGCCTCGAGACTTATCCATGGTCCATTGTCGAGTGGTCGCTGGGAGTGAGGTGTTTTCTCCAGCCATGTCTACTTGCTGCTGATATCTGCAAGCTCAGGCCCGCGTCCCCCACAATGAAAGTGACGACTTTGAGTCTGGGTCTTGGGTAGACTCTCTTACCGTCGTGTGAGTATGGTATAAGCTGCAAACCGGGGGGTCGACTCGTCAAATATGTCGACTCAACTTTCCCAGATCCGATTGCTAATCATTCTCCTTCAGGTCCAAATGATCAGCATCAAGAACTTCCCGAGACAATTGTGCTTCTCCGACTGGGCTGGGGAAGGCCGAATTCTCGGCTTCTTGAGGTACCTGGCACTCCGTCCAATGTCTTCTACTCACGCAAAGCCTGGCTAAGCTTTAAAGGCTACGAGCTTCTCGGCACATCAAGATGAAGAAAGCTTCGTCCATCGCTACCATTAATTTCTGATGTAGAATGGCCGTAGTGGGAAATACCTACCCACAAATTACAATTGACTGTCTCAATAGGGTGGAGTTAGTGGAGTATGGTAATCTCATAGAGCACCAAGAAGCGGGAATTGGAGAAATAAAAACCCCAGTTGGCCAAGATTACCTGGAGGCTGGCGGTGCGTGCTCCCAAATGCCACAATGCCACCTTGCCCAGCTGTCCCCAACCAGGTCTTATTAGGCATGTGACTGGCATCATCTCTTGGGTGATGAAGTACCTTGAAGCCAGTGGGCATGATCTGGATATGTTTCGGAAAATTTGAGTGTTAGAACACTGTTTCTTGAGTAGTATCAAAAGTCTATATTATCATGATTGCTCTCTATGTGTTGAATCCAAATGCTTTTAACAATAGTTTTAGTCAGATGCCAAGTGGTTTGTGCCGACTCCCTCTAGAGGGCCAAGAATGCTAAAATGACACCTGCAGCAGCTCCCATCACTGAGCTAGACATGTGAGAGGCACCAGCGGTGAATGTACTGCCAGCCCCAGACGAAGAGGTGCTGGATGCACCATTTTGCGTCGCAGTAGCGAAGGTCGAACCAGCACCTGGACTCGTGGCCGCAGCATTGGTACCCCCCGGGCTGGATCCAGTGGCTGTAGCACCACCGCTGTGCGATGTTGATGCACCCGAAGTACCGCTGGAGCCATGCGAGCCTGTTGCCGTAGAGTTGGATGAGCCAGAGCTGGTTGAGGTCGAGTTTGATTTCGAGGGTTCTTTGCAAGTGAGGTCGTACAAGGGTTTGCCGTTCTCGCTCACGCCAAAGGAAGGTGATGCACCACTGTCGGCAAGAATGTACCACCAGAAGTCAATATCTCGACGTTGCAACTCGCACGACACATCCTGCCAGAAGGTTTCGGCATTGTCAACGGACGCGATCGCCAGATTTGATGTCTTGCCAGAGGTTGGCCATCCGGCTTCAGTGATCCAGATGGGCTTACCACCTGCGTATTCAGCGACTTTGTCATATGCCTCAAAAAATAGTTCGCCGCCATTCTCGATGTTGTTGGTATCAGTCGTCTGGAAGTAGGGGTATCTAAAGCAGATCGAATCAGTATACAAGATTGTTGTATCGATGCAAATTGAACGTACTCATCCAAGCCGAGAAAGTCGCAAGCAGAAATTAGGCCAGAGTTCGACTCGTTGACATAAACATTCCAGGTATCAACGTGACCAATAGGCTTACTGCTCAGGCTTGTCCCTTGGATTGCCTTTCGAACCTGGCCAATGTAGTCCACAAGAACACTGGGACTTTGACCAACACCGCTCTCGTTTTCAATACCAATTGCCGAGATCCGGTAGAGGTCTTCGCTACCGACAGAGATACCTCTTACTGCATCCGCAAAGTCGGAGCCGTATGTTTCAATAGCACTCTTGAGGGCTGCAAGTTCATTGTTGAAGGCGGTTTGGTCGACAGATGCCCAGAGACCAAGAAGGAGGGTAGTCTTAGTGTCAATTGCAGCCTTGATAGCAGAAATAGGTGTGTTTGTCGTTCCTTCTTGAATCATCGTGTACAGCCTTGCACTGCTGAAGTCATTAGCACCCTCCAGACTAGCGGCAGTCTTGAACTGGGCAGCAAAGGTGTCGTAGTTCTGCCCCTGGGAGGCATAATTAAAGCCTCGAACGGCTGCGAGAGCGGCAGGAGCAGCCGCAAGAACGGCAATGGCTGCAGATTTCATACTTGTGGTTGAAAGAAAGTATATAGGATTCGTGTAAGAAGTATAATAAATGAATGAATGTAATGGTACACAAAAAGAACGTCTGAAGATAGAGAATGAATGAAGACAACGCGTACAAGAAACCGCGTGTTAAAGATTGAAGAACGTTGGGAATGCAAACAACGAAAAATCCAACTTGGCTTCGGGAGCCAAATTGTACAAGGTTGTCACCACTGTTTACTTACCCCTGACATCCACACAAGCATTTGCCTTGGCTTTCGTCATGGTCAGGATCCCCTTGCCTGCTTGGGCCGCCATCGCCTATTTGCCCCAGCAAAAGTTCAGGGGGCGGCGCAGCCGTTTGCACATCATCAGCCAGCCAGTGGCCCAGGTCCATGGGGTGTGCTATTTCTGGCTTGACGGATAGGGGAGTTCGTCTGCATGCTTCGGAATGACTCGCGCCTTATAGATACCATAAAAACTATTGACTCAACCTTAACTTAGTACGTACCCTGGAGTAAAACTTCCTCTATCGAGTATCGAATATCCAAGCTCACGGGAACTCCGAACGAGCGTCCTTAACCACAGTTCCATCGCGCAATATTCCTCTTGTCCCTCCTCATTGTTATCGTTTACCGGCTAGAATCCCGTGGAGCATGCTTCTCAAAAATGGGCCACTCAACAGAAATCGCCAGCATTGAATGTCGGGTTGACACGACTGATGTCGCAGAAACCAGTCGCTGGATCAAAAAGCACTGCTGCGTCAACCTCTAGGTCTGATGCTGGATTACGGATGATTGAGAGTGAGTTGTCGGGCGTGAGACTGTTTTCACATTCGATCTGACTATCACCTCCATTTCGATCCGGAGAACCTGTCCAAATATCGATATGATGTATTCCCAGTGCCCAGTCGTCAGTGCACTGCTGGCAGTAGTCCTCATATCGTGCATATTTTTTCAGGTAGGGGACATATACGACTTCGCACTCTTCGAACTGCCCTTCGGCGCTTGCCATGGAGAGGGGATCCTCAAAGGTGCCGATCCCCCCTGCGACGAAGTCACGCCCACAGTCATATGCAGTGGCAGGCCCTGGGGGATCATTGTCGGGAAATCCGTAAAATGTATGCTGCACTGTATCGACAATATTGCATGCCCTTTTCGAGAGCACACCCGCGGTCGCGTGGGTGGCGAGAAGGGAGGAAATGAGTATGCTGAAATAGCGGGTGGAAAGCATATTGCCAAGGTGATTGTTGTAGAATGAGAAGCTGTAACTTGGGATGTTGAGACCCGACTATGGGGAGCGTTGACGGTTGCAATCTTGGATTGGGAGTGTGCTGTCACTTCTCTGGCTAGCTTGGGGGCGATGCAAGTGTTTCCTGGCTATGTCTTTTGATGATGAGAGAGTTTCCCACCAGCTGGCCCGGTCATGATAAATTCTTTATAGCAGTAAACTGGGATTTCATGTACAGCCTGCATTCATTGCCTTGTTTCACAGGGGTAGTTTTGGACCCCGAGTATCTTATGTTGTGTCATTACTAAATAAGGTAAATGTTGATTGCAGGAGTTGTACCAATACTGCCCAGTGATTATAGCCAGTCCCAGTCAGTAAATCCTGTCCACTTAGATAATCCTACAACATGAATATTGTTTCAATTGCTGATGCATGTGGGGGCTAGCATTGGCTGGTTGGTTTGTTCACCCATGGGACATGGAGCCTCATGAGGAGGATCAGCCCCTGGAATTTCCCCACACTTGAGTGAGCATCATTTGATCATTTGTTGGATTGTCAGCACCTCACTTAAAACAAGACGTAGATTGGTAGGTTGCATCAAGAATCCAAAGCCCACCGTTGCTTGCTTGTACACTAAATAATGAAGTCAGTGTCCGGTGAGATTAAGAAACCAAACATTGCAAATTGCTTGTCGCATCGCCTTGTATGCTTGATCAATCCTATCATAATTTGGTGGATGTTCTCTCGATTATTACGAATGCTAGTGAGGATATCTGGAGGCCACTTTGGACAGTACTTCGTGCAGGAAAGCCGAGATATAGATGAACCTATGGCGGCACTCACTATTTCATAACGTTACAATTATGAACAGCGGCAGGCTGATGAAATTCGTCCCTTTTTCGTATTTATGGACAGTCAATGGGGGAACATCTCTCAACTCGAGAACTTGAAATTTAAAGTTTCCTATCCTCCTGCAAAGCTGCTTAACTAGATACTCCATATTGCGGACTTTAGCTGTAAAAGGTATGTATCAGTCTCGTCTAAATTTGACCTGACTCAGGTCCAGATAGTACAAGGCTGCTCTTTCAGGGGTCACCAGCATACTTGGGCCCGCTCCTGCCGTTCTCACGTTTGTGCAATGTTTTCCAGAGGGAAGGCCCAACACTAACTAGATATTGCTGTTCCCATGACAAGCGTCCTTCCAAGCACACCCTCGCCCTTCAGGTCTACGTTATAATCTATAAAAATATTGGTTTCTGCGAATGAAGAAAAACCCAAGCCTTCCGATGCTGGATGGGCTGCATGCAAGTTCGCACACCAACTCCTCAGTGTATGACTCCTACCTATCACTGCCCTCCAATTTGTGCCGGACCTATCCTTTCAACGATTATTTCGCGTCATGATGACTGCAGACCCTCAGAAGCAAGCAGGGCGAGACCGCACCCAACCCTTAACCTTCTGCCGTCTCGCTAACTAGAAAAGCGGGGTTTTCTGTCTCACCTCTCCTCCAAGCAAGCGAACTATTCAACGATTTGTTAGTCGATGTTCAGAGCGGTTGTCCTTTCCTGTCTCAGTCATCAGGCGGGATGGATCAGCCACGGTTGTCAACCCCAACCAAGTCTTGGTGGTATTTGTTCCATTTCCCTCACATTTATGTGCTTGGTTGTTGTTCTCCAACTTCCTTGGCCAATGCATCTGAGGACCTAGCTACCGAGGCTCTCCTATAGACACAGAGTGCTGCTGAATCTTCATGGCAGCATGTGGGGTGGGAGGTAATTTGTGGAGAACAAATCATTACTCGTTTCTGAAATCCTTCATGCTTGTCGAATACACATTTCATGCATCCCAATTGAAAAGCTGAATACATCGTATTCCCAGATATGCGAAATATAACTTACACTTCCGAAGCTTAAACCTTGATAACACGAGAAGCGAACTCAACTGGAAGGCTGATTACGCGAAAGTACACACATGAGTGAAGCATGTGGGGTTCCCTGGTACTTTGGGCAAAAGTACTGCGGAGAACTGGGGAAGCCAAGGTGAGGAGACCAGAGACTCGCATCCCCAGGGTCGGCAGATGCATATTGCACCTTGTATCTTGCGCCTTCGCACCTCGAAAAGACTGACATTGACAGGGTTCAGGATTGGGAGCGGACAAGTCCCATTCATGATGGGATATATAAGCCTGAAGACAGGGTGCTCGTCATACGACAGTAACAGCTTCTCACTGCTAGAATCAACCACACAGGAATTTGGAGCCGGTGCAGAGCTACAGCCTTGTCATATTTACCGTGCAACATAGCTTTGTCCCGGAACTAATCATGGATCCGATTGAAGCAGAAGGTAACATAAACATTAATGGAAAGCACGATGTCGAATTAGAGCACACAGAGAGACTGGACGATGTGCAAAAGCACGAGCCTTCTCCGTTGACCAAAGCCCAGACCCGGCGCTTCAAGACTAAGGTTGACTTTCATGTCTTACCTATGCTGGGTATAATTTATGCAATCTCCATCATCGATCGTATCAATATCGGCTCCGCCAAGGTCCTAGGAATGCAGCAAGACTTGAATCTAGGTACTGGACAGCGATACTCGATCATTCTAATGCTGTTCTTTCCAGGTTATGCCATCTCGGATGTGCCGTCGAACTGGATCTTAACCCGAGTTCAACCAAGGATCTGGCTCCCTTTTCTCACTTTCTCGTGGGGCGCTGTATTGACAGGTAAGTGTTGTATCATGCCGAAGCCGTATGTTTCTAGACACAGTGATCACAGCTAATTCATCGTCAGGTATGGCATTCCTACATAATTGGCAGGCGATGGCTTTCTGTCGTTTCCTCCTTGGGATATTCGAAGGTGGTGTCCTGCCCGGCATTACTTTCACGATCGCGTGCTGGTATACAAGGACAGAACTACACAAACGCATAGCCGTGGCCTATGGAATCGGCATCATCGCTTCTGCACTCGCCGGCATTCTCTCTTTCGGCCTGGGTTCCATGGGCGGACTCCGAGACATGAAAGGATGGAGATGGATTTTTTCGATCGAAGGAGGTGCTTCTATGCTCGTTGGTCTCATTGCACCTTTTTTTGTGCCTAGGTTTCCTGATTCCTCCAAATGGATCAAACCGGATGAGCGAAAATATCTTTATTCAAAACTCGAACAGGATCGTGGAGACTATAAGACCGAAGTGGTGAATTGGTCTTCCTTCGTGAAGACTTCCAAGGACTGGACGCTCTGGGTCCAAGGGACGATATACGCCTTCAACGTCGGGACGGCAAATGCGACGGCATTTTTTGCTCCAACCATCATCACGGTAAGTTTCGGTTTTAGATTTTCGATCCTCTCTCATCAGGCTCACATATACTCAGGGTCTCGGTTATTCCGGGTTGGATGCCAGTCTTCGCTCTGGGTATCCGTTCTTTGCGGCGCTCGGTCTTTTGGCGATCACCTCGACAGTGTCCGATAGATACCAAAAGCGAGCATCTGTGTGTATTTTCAACTCCATCGTTATGATCATTGGTTTCACAAGTAGGTCGCGCATTTTGCTTAACATTACACTCTGCCCTCTCTGACATGTCTGTCCAGTTATGCGCCGAGGGTTTTCCAATGAAACTCGATACGCAGGTATCTTCTTGGCCACCATGGGCGTGCACTCCAATACCCCAGCCTTGTTGGCCTTTAATCAGTCCAACGTGATTGGATCAGCTGGTCGAGCGGTGTCTGCTGGGATTCTCATTGCGTGCGGAGCCATAGGAGGGATCATCGGAAGTCTGATCTTCCGTGGTCAAGATGCCCCTGCTTACGGTCCTGGAATTTACACTACGATCGGCCTGACAACTTACATGGTTTTCGCTTTGAGCTTCATGATCTGGATTTATTGGAAGCGCAACAAGGCAGCGGATAGAGATGGTGTTGATATCGCAGGGGTTCCAGGATTCAGATATGCCTTGTGAAGTCGGAGGTGGTCGGAAGGAATTTGAAGTGATTTTGAGTTTGGGCACAACAGTTTGAGGCAGGGCTAAGGTCTCCTCCTGCTAGTTAACCATTTGGGTCCCAGGCACAAGAGCACAAGAGTATTATAGTCTCAAGTAATTCAAGTCTACAAGTGTCATACTCTAACCAATATATCAGGAAACCAGAGACCGTACTGTCCATCAATGAAATCAAGTAATTGTTTAAAACTGTCGAATCACAAGTTCATCAAGTTGTATTTGTTCACAAAGACTATGCTCGCTATAATCTTCCCAGCTGGAGAATCATCATACAACGACAAATGTACAATTCGAGCGATGCGCTAATCAGCCGTCCTGTTCTGCATGAACGATCACTTCACCAGCAGATGTGCAAGTTACTTCTGACTTCGCTTCTTCATGTAGACTTCGAGACCTTCCTGAACAACGAAAAAGGTCGAGTGATACTGTAACGGCCGCCCTGGATGCACCAGCGTGATTTCAAATTCGCGGAGGATCTGGATGAGCGCCTTGTTCATCTCAAAAAGTGCAAGATTGCGGCCAATACAAAGATGACTACCGCCACCGAACTGCGAAACAAGTCAGTCGCAATCCTCTTCGGGGACTGCAAGAGAAGCTGTGCTTCTTCTTTGTCGAACGGACGTACCTGATAAAGATGAGATCCCATGAATTTGGCGTCTCGTTCAAACCACCTCTCTGGACGGTATACTTCAACATCGTCTCCGAATACTGTCTTGTCCCGATGTAAGACCCAACCATTCACAGCGACTTGGGTGCCACCAGGATAGAACTTGCCGTCAATCTCGACTCCCTCTTGAGGTACATTACGGTAGATACCCAGGCCAACAGCAGGGCGTATTCGCATTGCCTCCTTCAGGCAGGCTTGGAAGTATTCAAGCCTTTGGGCTTCAGCGTAAGTGACTATCTCCGATAGCTCGCCAGCTTTCTGGGCTTTATTGATCTCCTCCGTTAAATTCGCATAAACGGATGCGTTGTTAAGCACCAGATAAAAGAAAGACTGCATCGTGGAAGCTGTAGAGTCTGAACCAGCAAACCTGATCGCCCGAGTCAATCAAACATGCAAAGAGGCTGAGGCTTGGTAGGCTTCATCGACTTACACTGCACCGTGCGCAATACTGAAAACGTCATTGACACTAAACTTCTCAGAATTTCCTTCATGTGCTCTGAGTAATTCTGCGAGGAGATCAATACCGGTCGAGTCGAATGTCCCGTCTGGTTGCTTTCTCTTCTCGAGCTCTTCGACTGCGATACGAGTCATGGTAGTTGGATTTGGCTTCCAGAAAGGTAGATACGGCCTCAAAGGGTTGTTTCGAAGCAAAATGTCAAACTCGGGAATTTGACCAACTATCCCGTCGTACCACTGAACATCATCAATGTTCTTGATCGAGCCTTCAACGTCAACTTCCGCTTCTAGGAATCCAAACCTTCTCGAAAATGCAACTTCTCCGAGTACCTGGAGATTTCTTAGTTGTCGTTCAAGCGATGAATTTAGGGGCACATACGTCAAAAGCAAAGTAGTGTAGCAGATTCCCCAGATTGCATACTTTGCCGGAGTTGATTGAGTAGTTCGTCAAATGTTCCATTAGGGACATTATCATGCCCTCGATTGGCTCAGATCTTTTCTGCATCTGTGCCAGGCTGTAAGGAGTGACTGCATAACGTTTCATCTGAGCGTGCTTCCATTCGCGTACTTCTGTGAAAATGTCTGGCGCATGCTGATGGACGTATGAGTTCGCTGAATAGATAGCTAGACATGAACCTGCAAAACTCACCTTGGGTGGGAAGACGCTGTAAAACATCGTCTTGTGGAATCCTTTACCCACGGCAAAGATGTCCTTAGCAGCATTTGTTGAGCCAAATGATACTTCATTGGGGGCCGTTCGCACCACAGGTCCTGAAAGGGGCCAACAATATCAGTTCCTGCACATCCGAGTAATGATTCGTATTCTGAGTGAGTACTCACCATATTTTTGGTGCAGAGCAATATGATCAAGTTCCGTATGACCTGAATATGTGCTCCAAACTGTAGAGTGGAATTAGACAAAAGTTTGGTATTGAAAATCGTGGTTTCTCACCCTTCCATAATCGCGAGCATGACGCAAGTACAGGCCCTGGAATGTGCCGTAATGGTGAAGCATAGCGTTTGTACAAGGCTCGAGCAAGAACCGAGGCGAATATGAGGAGTAGGAAATTTGCCTTTGCAAAGGCAAGGGCCTGCGCCGAGAGCGAGTCGTGGATTTGATTATGGACAATCGCCATTTTGGAATGGATTCTGTCGAAGATCCTGGATGGAAAGCTATCTAAGACTCATGGCTGATAGCTGTTGTCGTCTCAGGGACACCAAGCATCTTATCTCGTCCAGATTGATCCCCAGACCATCAGAGGCGGAGGATGACCCCACACAAGCCTCATCTTGTTTGGAATAAGCGGTCCAACCATGCGCTGCCTCTTATGTTTCGTCTGGGGCTACCACTGTTTGCGGAGGAGCCACCAAAGTTCGGCAATTGGCACCATGGGAAAAAAAATCATGTGTTTGCCCCTCATGGATAATCCCCACGCTCGTTTCCGATGAGGTGGACTCGTAACAATACTTGGAAAATGTATGATTGGTACTCGGCGTCAACCCCACAGGAGGGATACTTTCAACAAAGCATCTCGCCCATGGTGCAGTTAGAATTTCTTTTAAAGCTCACTTGCTGGAATTTAGACGGGGTGTCAAATATCACCAAGCACGTCACTCCACCACTCAACATACTGATGGGGTGTGTACACCTCAGCGTATGTATCATTCGCGTTCACACGTGGTTTGGTGTCGACTACGAGCAATAACACACCTTGATATTACCCGATGAGACATTGTGCTCTCGCCTGGTGCCGAAAGGTTAATCTACGTTCACCAGTGACCGGAACAAGCGCTGTACCAAGATTGTTCCAGCGAGGTTGTCAATTCAAGTATTTGAAATAGTTCATGGCTGGGACTCAGAATCTCCGACGGCTATCATGGCGTCCGGCAGACATGACACAGGATATGTACAAAGCTCGTGAAGGAGGAGGGGAACGAGGGGAGTTTTCCATCTCCTCCCATGCGATTGACAGTCAATTATGACTAGCAATTCTCGATATTGACCTAGCGACTCTGTCGGCACGTATTCTCTAAACTTCAAGTCAACTAGTTTCAAGAGCCCCAAAACTAGTACACAACCACAAGTCGATTGCCGCCAAGCTTCCCAGCCTGCATGATGCCAACCATCTCATCTATCTGATCGATTTTGAAAGATCGGATGGGAGGTTCGATATTGTGATGTTGTGTAACTTCGGCGCACTCAACGAGTCGGTCCTTTGTTGCGCTATTATTGGCACCCAGAATGCTGTATCTCTTGAGTGCAATCTCGGTTGCATTGAATGAGATTTTCGCTGGTGGACATCTCACGACAATGAGTTTTGCTCCTGTTCGCAACATCGCTGGTGCAATATCAAAGCCTGCCTTGACCGCTGTGAACACCGCCACTGCGTCTAATCCACCAGAAGTTATTTGGTGTATTTGACCTAGGAAGTCTGGATTGGATTTGATATTAAAGAAGTAATCCGCTCCGCCCTGTCTTGCTTGCTCAAGGACATTGTCCTCGATATCCAGTGCAACAACATTGAATTTGAGCGCCTTTGCATACCTAACAGCTTCTTGAATTAGCATCTACTATCACATCAGCGCGATAGGCATTACCCATTTGACCAAGACCACCACATCCTATGATTCCAAACCAGTTTCCTTCCTCAAGCTCCGCGGTGAGGATGGCGTTGTAAGCTGTGATCCCTGCACAAAATAACGGTGCTGCTTTCTCGGCATTCATTCCGCTAGTGAGTTTGATGGCTGCATGAGGATCGACTATACAGTTTTCTTGAAGAAACCCATCCATAGACCAGCCTTGCATTGCCAGCTTACCCGATTGGCACAACCCATAGTGATACTTGCACCCTGTGCACTCCCAACACGCATGATATCCATTCAGAATCCCAATGACATCACCCTTCCTAAAGTCCGATACCTCAAGTCCAAGTTGGACAATCTCACCCACAGCTTCGTGTCCGATAGTCACTTTCTCAGTCGGGAAAATTGGTGCAGACCCGTCCAAGACCATCTAGATACTTATTAGTACTTTCAAGTTGTTGGGCCCAGTCTTCCGTACCAAGTCGGAATGACACAGTCCAGAAGAAATAGTCCGAACCAGGATCTCATCAGCCTATGGCTCTGGAATCGGTATTTCTTCGAGTCTGATGGACACGGACTTGGGATCAAACCTTGCAGCTTTCGTGACTTTTAGCATTCTCACAGTAGTTGAATTAAAACGAGCTGGAGACTATAATAGGCCACTGCAAGCTTGAGCAAGGTAGTAGCGAGGTGTGGTTATGTCGGGTTGAGTCTTTACTCGAAAGCAGCCCCAAATAAAGTGCACAAGCTGGGTGGAAAGTGACTTTAGGCTTGAAACAATGTTCTGCCTCCAGTGACAAATAGTTTGCGCATGTGAAGGCATGCAAGAAATCGCGTTGCTGCGGATTGTACTGTTTTCACTGGGTCTCTTGCTGGAAATCGTTACTTCTGAATGCATCGATGTGCTGGGCCAATTAAATCTTGAACATCCTCCCATCTGCTATCGCAAGAGAATATGTTGCAGATGTCCTTTCCTCAATAGGCCTAGCGTTCTGATATGACAGCGGATGTCGCTCGAGGCTTCGTCCACTTGACGAAATAAAGTCTGTTTCGCGGAAGGTATTGTGTGCGTAGATTTAGCTTTCAGAACGGATGGGACGGATCTTTCAGACTGCTATGCGGCATCTTACAGTGCCAATTCTGTAGATATCTGGTTGGACACGATGGTATGTGTCCCAAAGGCTCACTGATATGCTCTCGAGATTTCAAGATCCAAGTCCTGTAATTCTGCTTCCCCAAAGGTTTCGCCCATAGTCATATCGCAGACTGATAAAGCAGATCTCAACAGTCCCCTGCAGAGTCGTAACCTTGTGCCGAACTCCAGGAAAGGGAAAAGTGTCATTGCCCCTATGGAAGAACTGCTGAGGAAAACTTCCAGTGTGAAGCTGTCAATTGTGTTGTAACTGGTAAGGGATGGACTATTTGGCGTCTGAGATCGCGTTTGTTTCGTGAGATTTTTGCGTAATTGTGAGACCAGGCAGACGATGGTGCAAGGGTGAAGGCCAGACAGTTCGCTATGCTCTTCTGCTCCGCCGAATGTCTCTTTTGTGCTTTGTTTATCTGTGCTGTTCTCCATCATAGTCTGTATGGATAAAAGGAATTGTGACGTGGGGTCTGGCCCCAAATCATATGCTACCAGCGTGGTGCACAGTGTAAACAACAGGTTGAAAGTGCTAGCTGCCTGGTGGTATGGAGTGTTATCTTTCCGCAAGTACTTGCTGATGATAGTAGACATATATGACTTGATTGTTGTTAGTGTACTTTGGTAAGCACGACGCTCCTGAAGCTCGAGTCCGGCCGACGGGGTTGCGTCAATATGCAGGCCTTGAATTCGCAATGTCCAAAGTCTTATGCGGCGCAGATTGCCAAGGACATCATCTTTCGCCCTGGCCAAAAGGTCATTGTTCCCTTGCACATCTATTTTCGCGAACATATACTGGTTTGAGTATTCCACGGGTTCAGTAAGTGCAGATTCGGGTCTTTGCGCCCGTAAGAAGAATTGAATACCACCCCGTCGTTCTACCAGTTCATGCATCGCTTTTAGATGGACGGCTTGCAGATCAGTACGGCCAATCGTGTGTTCAGCCGTCTGCAGGCATATCAGTCCGCAAAGTTGATCGTCAAACTCGGCACCGGGGTTTAAGACAAGATCTCCAACAGTTTTGTAGGCATCAGCGCGACGTCGAAAGAAGTTTGCGGTGACTTGTTCAGATCGTAGGCCACATAAGATGTGCTCGGCCATGGCGATATGAGTTTCGACGTAAGCGGGACTCCTTTGCAATAGGCCTCTGCTTGCAAGGTGAAGAGCCGGGCAATAGGCGGGATTGGCCGACGTGCCATAGAGGACTTGTCTACCTTCAGTAAGGTCTATTTAGAGTTAGCAGTGCGTGACAGAGCCGACGAATCAACGTACAGAAATGTAATAGCTGCTGCTCAAATGTTGACACTTTAATCGAAAGACGAAGGAAGGGATCTAGTATAGATTCAACCTGCTTCAAGATGGTTGGTGGAGCACTAGTATAGGCGGCTATCGGTTGGTGGGAAGGATCGCCTATTGAGACGGTTTCTTGGGGATCTCTATTGAGTTGGCGTTGAGCTGCAGCTCGATGAGGTAACCGTGAGACGGACTCATGTGTCCGAGCTGCGTGATCCCAGATGACTGGCTTTAGCTTCGAGTCCTCATTGATGGATTGATGTAGTCGTGTGTTTTGTTGCGCCTGAATTATTTGATACGAGCTAGCGCGACTCAGTGTGGGCGGATTTTCGATGTCACTCGCGTTTGGTCGTATCGTGAGCCTTTGGCCATATTGAATTTTGGCCGTTGAATTTTGGGGGGCTGCTTCCGTTTTGTTCTGCTCCCCAAAAATGTCTTCGAGTTCTTCAAGAGACCAGCCGGGCCTTTCATTTGGTTGAGCATTGGATAATGGCTCTGCCTCGCTCTGTGACTCGCCTTCTCCAATCAATGATGGGCCATTTGTGTCGACGGAAGGGTGTTTACGTGGTCGAGCCTGCCGAACGGATCTACTCGACTGAGCGCGACGCTGGCTGGCCTGTTGCGCTTTGCGATTTGCAACGTGAGAATTGATCAGAGACAAAGTGGACTTCTTCTCAGGATACCAGGCACCATGAGCACTGGAAGTAGTTACAATGAATGTGGTCTTTTGCTCTTCCTTTGGCATCGCATCTCGTCAGCGGAGCGAAAGCGATGGGGATCAAACAAGATCCACGGATTTCTCGATGGGGGAACCGTTTTTACACAAGCGACGTGAGCACGATCCAAAGTGGCGTGGATCTGGCAGATCCGAATTCACGTAGTCTAATGGTACGCTACCCGAATCAAGGTAGTTCTGCAGCCCAAAGCTATCAAACTCCTTATCTGCAATGCGCTGAGAAATACTAGCTTTATGCAGGGACTGGAATGCGAACATTTTAGAGGTGCAAAACTGTCCCGAGGTCTTCAATTGAAGGTGCTAGACGGTGCCCAAGCCATGCCCCCCTCGCCCTTGGTTTAGCGAGGACCAGTCGAACATTTATTTTCAACCCGAGTCTGGGAGTTCCCAGCTCAGCATAACTGTGAAAAGCTTGCACTTTACGTACCTGTTGAAGATCGAGATCGGATACTTGGTAATTTTGGTGAAGGGAACCCATGCAAGTTAAGCACTACGTTGAATGCAAGTTTAGCTCTCAAGAATAGATCCCAAGGTTTGGGAGACCTTGCTTCCCCACCAGTCACCCCTTTCGCCTAAGCACGGCCTCCGTACCTCTTACGATCTGCCCACCATACCCGTATCGCACTTTCTAATGAGGCACCTCGTGGGTGCTGACTTATTCTGACTTGTCTACTACTATAGGCTTGCTTCCGCACTTCTCCCAGTTAGTGCTGTGGACCGTCAGAACACAGAGACTGCAAGTAGAGTCCCCCCTCCAAGCTCCCCCGAAGTTATTTGCGAGGAAAGCTCAATAGCTCTTATCGCCGACTCGCCGTGGGCAACCTACTCCTAGCAATTCACACATTGCGGTTACTACAATTGGATTAGTAGAGGTCAGCAGACACATAATTGTCCTTCCCTTGCCTCGAGCACTGGCAATTCCTTTATTGAACCTGAACCGGCTGTCCGGATTGCACAAGCTAACTTGCTCCTATCAAGTTCCCCGCCTTTGAACAGTAGATGTCCCTGCATAATCAGGTCCATAGACTTGGACGATCTTAACTCAACTCAATCATATGAAAACACAGATGGCATGCCCGTGAACAAGCTCCGCCTTTACCATTACTCATGGATGAGGATTTTCAACGCATCCAGCCTGAAGTCGAATCGTGGTATGGCGCCGAGCTGAGACAACTTCGTTCAGCGAACGAGCAAGTCGCTTTCTACTCTGCTGATAGTCATGTCTTCAACGAAGAAGTCTTGCGCGATGAGGAATCGGATATCGAAAGTGATGACAGCCACCACGCACGTGGGTTGCTCATGCCAAAACAGATTCACACATCATTGGATCCTTTTGTAGCTCTTCCTGGGGGCGTACCAGAACATCAGCGAACGCGTGTTCAGTTCTGTATGTCGCATGTGAATTCCATCGACAATCTTTCACTGACTAGATTTCAGATACGCAAACACTTGGTGCTGGCATTTTTGGAGTCTCGGATGCGCCTCGTTATTCGCCCACCGCGGCGACGGGCATCACCACCGCCATTTATTCTGAAGTAGGAAGAGCCTGGATTTGTATCTTGGTGGACGAAACCCTGAATATCTTGAGAGGGGGCACTGAGCAGAACAGAGAGTTATCGCTACAGAGGGCGCGTGGATTTCATGATCTCAATAAAGCTTTGAGATCTGGAGATGAACATTTCCAGGAAGCTCTTATGGCTCTCACAATTTGTGGACTGACCGAGTTTAGATTTGGTACAGCTCATTCAAGGAATATGCACACCACAGCTGTCGACATGCTCATTCGGTCGAAAGGCGGTCTCAGAGCAACTCTTGCAGCTGCACCAAACATCGAACCTTTCTACGTCAGTGGACAATTTGGGTTTGGAAAATGTTACTTTCCATCAATTGAGCGACTGGAAAGCACCATTGAGTGTTGGAAAGCTGAGATCTTGGACATCCTTTCTAGTCCTCGACCAATTTGTGATGCAAGATTGACATTGGCTCCTGGCACGATAGCTACGCGGAGGGAGTATCGCGCTCGCGAATTCAGAGTCTTCAAACTCGCACTCGAATCGATAGACACGATAGGACCTCCAACCATATTCGCCGCGGCCATGCAACTCAGTCTATTCATCGAATTGGCATGGACCATTCTGCAGTTTGGCGCTCGCTTCGACCTGACAATCAGCCTTTTCAAACGAATCGAGTATCTTATCAAAGGCAGCTTTGATGGTGGTGTCCCTGCCAACAAGGCCGTTGAACTTCGGGCGGCAGCGATTGCCACAATGGTCAGTCGTGCTCGAAGAGATATCCTTGGAAGTTATGCTCCCAACCAGCTTGCAGATTCCGACGTAGCCATGACTGGGATCCATATCAATGTGCTGAAGATGTTTCTCTATCTTGAGCCCGAAGGACGACAATTCCTCATCAATAAATTCGTGGCTTGGTTCCAAAGGAAAGAATCTTCCAATCAGCAGCCATTAATTCTGGAGTCAGAAATAGCGATGTTGCAAGCTCAAATCACTGAAACATGGGTCAGAACGAACCCTGGACAGTAAGACGCACTCTCTCACGTGGATGCACTCTCAGATGGAACACCATATTTCATGATATCATTTCCCGACATGCTCCTCGCACTCGGACCTCATTCGATGATGACTTCGGAACGTGCAATACCCAGCATCTCAACGCCGATGTTTGCGAGCATCGAAAATTCTTTGCGAGACGGCCAAAGTGTGGATATCCCCATTAATAAATATTGATGCTTTTAGCCAGGGAATTACGATTGTGGCCCACGGATCTTTGGTATATGTGGCCATTGGGGTGGAGTGCAAACAACATCTGCTAGGAAACTCCCCCATAGATTGACTAGCTCCGACAATGAATGGGACACTATCGATACAGCGACTCAATACCTTCGGAAGACAGTGGAAGATTGTCTCAATACTTGAGTACGACTGTTCGATTCGGGTACGCGTGATTGATGGTGCTATAGATAATAAACGACTCAGCATCACAAAGTATTCGCGACAACATGAGCGAGTTATTTGCCTTATGATTTGAAGCGGCATTCTTATCGGGCGGAATTTCCAATACGCCATAGAACCTCAATATAATGATATGTTATGCATCGTTTATTTGGGGGGATAATCTGAAGGACGTAAGACTTGCATTCAATTTCGATCATGGTCTTGCTGTAGCAAGACTTGTCCCATCTTCCGGATATTGACCATCAACTTTCACCAAGGGCAGCGATATGTGACCCCAAGAAAGAACGGAACGAATGGATGATTAAAGGAAATATGGTCCAATGTGGAACAACAAGCAAGAAAGGGTGGCCGTGCAGCAGTATGTTCATCAAGACCCCGATGACTCGAAACACGGTCATTAAGATCGATCCCCACCTCGAACAGAGTTGGCGTCAATGCGATCATAGCTCGCCCTGCAGTCATTGCGCTGGACTTTGTAAATCCAATATCGGGGGTGGTTGGTACTTAGCATGCAGCTGTGTCTAGATGGCGCAAACGAAATCGTTGAAGGAATTCGGGGACTGGTGATGAAGCTTCTACCTAAGGTCCAGAGTAGACTATCGATATATCCACCAACATTCCCAAATCCAGTAATATACTTCCATCCCCCTCCGTGCGCGTCGATATGTGCTGCCGTCTTGTAGGGGGAAACATGAATTTCCGGTTGGGCTTGAGAGTGGAATCACATAGAATTGGGAGTAGGTGGAGATGGCTCGTCAATTCAGGACATTGCAGTCGGAATTTGAATTTCAGATGCGCGAAAGATGTGGAGGAAGTTGAAAATCGAGGTAGGAATGTCGGTCACACCGTAGCCATTGTCTGGCTGTGCGCAGTCCAAGAAGGAAAATGATGTTTTCACGGAATTGGAAGTGTTGTCGCAAACATACTTTGCCAAAGTTATCTGTGAACACGATGTGCATTCCTTTGAGAATACTCACCTGGCGCAGTTAGATTCTTTGGAACACTGTGGTTAGACAAAAGGCAATATGAAAACATCCATGTTGTTTTTGATACTGTCGATCCTAACCGTATGGCCCATAGCTATTACTGCAACGAAAACGAGCTGGGACACATTTCTTTTTGTTTTCCCAGCTCTTCTTTGGATGATCCATTACTTTTCCAGGGTTCTTGATAGGTCTGAGCGGAGTATACCACTATGTGGGATCTCGGTGACAACATCGACGCGACGTCTTGACGAATATTTAGAAGACATAGCATGACAGCAGACATGCAAATCATGCATAGCGAGGAGGTTTGATGTTAGACGAACACTGTCAGAACCAAGCTTTCCATCATGGATTGGCGTACGAAGTGGCATAAAGAACGATAAGATCATGAAATCTCTTTAGCCCAGACTCCCCTGAGTAGGCGAAGTCTCGCAATGTCGGAGTAACTGCGGAGAGAGGTCGTGGGCCTGGCCCACGTGTAGGACAGAAAGACGGAGTCCTCCAACAGCAATGACCGAAGCGCAAAGGGAGCGCGTGCAATGTCCCTATTGTTCGGATGGCCCTGGGAAAGGAAAGAGGACTCATTTAAATGATCTTGGCAAAAGATGAAACTTGGTCGACTTGGGGCTGGACTGGACTTGATATGGGAAGGCGTCAGGGGTAGGAGGAGGGGGGTGGGCCAGTAGCTCGGCAACGCTCAACGCTTGAGCTTTAGGAGCAAAAGATAATCACAATTCGACCCACCACCCCTTTATCGTATCCTCCGCAAAATGTGCAGATCTAGCTAAAATTAGAGGGCTAATTCCTCGAGCCTGCACGAATGTAACTGTTTTGCCTCTGTCGTTCGCCAACAATTTGCACTCTCAAACACCGATCTCTTGCTGTGTTCAATACGAGGGACAAGCGAGAAACGTTACCATGCAGTTATCCGAGCGGCCACAGACCAGGTCCAAAGGCTAATGGTGTCTGTGCATCGGTATTGTCGCCTGGAACAAGTACTACGTATCCGTAGAAGGCGAGCTCTATCGTGTCATTCAGCTATCAGGGAGTTCTTTTTAGGGTGTGACATGCCCGATACACGTCCATCGATAACACCAAGCCACGTAGCACAGACAGACACTCGAGCTTCGAACACGTTGGGCAGCTTGGATGAACGACAGCTTGAAGGTGTTCATACCCGAGTCAACTCGACCAGCTCATACATGTCAAAATCGATTCTCCATCACCTCGCGCACCTCATTTCATTGGACTAGAGTAAAAACGCCTGATTTCCCACTTCCTCTGAGCCACACGGTCAATCTCGAGTCGCAATTTCACGATGTCGGGCCCCACCCAATCAGGAAGCCCCAGCCAGCATCCACTTAACCCACTTTAGTTTAGTCTCCCGCGCGATCCAAAGCCTTACTATCCTGCTCAACATCCACTAATCCCACCCTATTCAATACCTTGCACTTTCGCGCAACCTCGCTCGATGCTTAGGAAATTGACCCAGCACTAACTATGACGGAGGGAAACCTCCTTAGACACGGGCCGACAAGATTGTCGCTCGGTTGGCCCCAATCAGGTGAGCTTTTCGATTTCCTGCTATACTGCTAGGCGATTCCATGCGCCCGCTACAAGACTATATCCTTCCGCTCAGATCACATCATTTTCCTTCCCTTCTTCTTTCCTCGACCACTGTTCCAACTACAATCAAGCACTCGACCTTCGTGTCCCTACGTTCGTTACTTTCATTTGCAACCTGGTTCATCAAGAGTCTCCGAGAGAGCTCCAGTCATTCTTTCAGAACCAACCAATACATTCTTTTATCAATCATGATGGTCAAATCTACCTCGGCCTTGTTGGCCACCACTCTCATGGCCTCCTCCGCCATGGCCTCTACTGATGCTCCTTGGCTCGACTGGACTTCTTCCACCACTACCACCACCACCACTACCAAGAAGGTCGATCCTGCCACCAGCACCACCTACGACCCATGGCTGGACTGGACCTCGTCCACCACCACCACCACCAAGAAGGTTGTTGCCAGCACCTCCTCCACCTACGACCCATGGCTGGACTGGACTTCCTCAACCACCACCACCAAGAAGGTTGACCCTGCCACCAGCACCAGCTATGTTTGGGGCGACTGGACCAGCACATCCACTAAGCCAGTTGCTGTTGTGACCACCACAACCACTAAGCCAGTGTCTCCTGCTACCACCAGCAGCGCCGTCTGGGGAGATTGGGATGAGGTTGACCCCGCTGCTGCTACCTGCAAAGCAGTCACTGTCACCTACACTGGAGTTGGTTTCTGGGTTCCAGATCCCGCTGGCGCATGGGCCGACTGGACTTCCTCAACCACCAAGCCAGTTGCCCCTGCTACAACCACCAGCACCTGGGTTGACCCTACATGGAGCGACTGGGTTGCTTCAACCACTACCACCACCAAGAAGGTTTCCGTTAGCACCACCACCACCACTGCTTGGGTTGATCCTACGTGGAGTGACTGGGTCTCTTCCAGCACCACCCTTGTGACCACCACCAAGGGAAGCTGGGGATCTAGCTCCACCGGTGCTGCCACTACCAAGGCTTCCACCACTACTGCTGCCCCCAAGCCTGCTGCCACCTGCCCATCTGACAACGGAAAGAAGGTCCTCGCTGGTGGATCTTGCGGCTGTGAGTACACCGTCAACTGCGGCGTCAAGGCTTCCCCAGATGCCAAGTCCGTCTTCTGGGAGAAGGTTTCTGGCGGTATCGTGCCCACTCTCGGTGAATGCTTGGCTCTTTGCGACGCCAACGACAAGTGCGAGGCTACTCTCTGGGTTGATGATGCATCCAACGGTGATTACCATCACTGCTGGCAAATCAGCGGACTCGGCGCCCCTACAGGAACCGGTGTTGCTCAAATCTCATACAAGGGTACTTGCTCCGGCAAGTGCTCTGAGTCTTACAGCAAGGCATAAATTCTTTAACGGGATGAGAGTGTTCATAGCGGGTCTCTCGACAGGGATGTCAATCTTCTAGTTTTCAATTGCATAATTTTCTTCACCCAACTTGTGCCTGGAGAATGGATAGGTTTGGTGAACTCGAATTGAACATGGCTGCTGAATGTAAAATTCTTCAAAGTTCTTCATTTCTCTCAAACAGGCAAAGAAATATATGTTTACGCGGCATGAACAAAAAGGGACCAAGTGGCGTGCATCAAAAGAAGCCAGTAATTGCAGAATGAGTCCAACGAACGATCTTGATAATGTTTGTGTACAAAACCAATTCCCTTTTGAAGCTGCCTTTATTTACTTTGTATATCTCAGCTACGAGAATCCTATTCTGGTGGTAACACATTTTGAGACAAATCCTGAAGAATGTCGTACATAGCATAGAGGAAAGTCCGGTCTTCGAGTTCATGAAAAGGACGAGTTTGCCCAATTTTGCCTGCAAACATCTGCAAGAATTTAGCTGTTTTACCAAGAATCAGCTTGTGTTTCGCGCCAGGTAGGTAATTGGTGCCTAAACACTGCCCCCACTTCCAACAAGCCTGGCCCAGGGGAAGGATCTCCCGGCCCTGGAATTGCAAAGTCTACCCCCATTGTTGACCAACGGTAACAAAGCCACTCGAACCTGCTTCTTCCATGCCTCTGGGAGTTTACCCACCTCTAGGAGTTTTGGGAAAGCCACCTCCCCATCATACTCCATTCCTCATTGGAGCTGGTGTCTTATATGCTTCTGCCCAAAAACCGTCACTGTCCTCCCCCAGCCACCTCTGACTTTCATTTGCCCATTCTGGTTGCTTCCGGAAGTATAGCTCGCCTAGACTGAGTTCCACGCTCTGACCCGTCATGTCGTCGTTATCGATAAAGGTATCGAACGCCTTCAGAACAGTGCTCATGGGAGTAATATGCTCTTTCGGAAATATATCTTTGATGTGGGAAGGGCAGAGATTTGTCATGATGAATGCAGGACAAATACAATTCACAGTGATTCCTTCCTTGGCTAGAGCAGGTCCGGAAGCTCTGGTAAGACCCACGATACCATACTTTGCTGTCGTGTATAATGGATTGGTTTCCATGGAACTAACATCCTGTTAGAAGAGCTCAAGATTGCCGCCTCCGTTTGTTACTTACTAGATTCCTGCTGCCGAAGAAGTGATCACCACTTTACCTCCCTTCTTTGCGTTCTGACGAGCATAATATTTGAAAAGCCAAACACCTTGAATCACAGCATCCAGGTCCACCTGCATTGTCTTCAGGTTCAAAGGTGTCGGACGACCATTCTCATCCAACTTGATCGTTTCATTTTTCTCATAAAGACTCTGTCGATCATCTATGCCCGCATTCGCTGCGAAGAAGTCAAGTCTTCCACCTCCCCATTTGAATGCTGATGCGAACAGTGATGCCTGTTGGTCATATACGGATATGTCGACCCTCCTGAAGAGTGTATCCAGGCCAAGTTCTGAGCTTATGCGATCACCTTCTCCTTGATTGACATCTGCCATGACGACTCGATATCCACGACCAAGGAGATGTTTGGTCACCGCTAGGCCAATGCCTGAAGCGGCGCCAGTGACGATAGCAACTGGTTTTGACATCGTATGATAGATGTTGTGTGCCCACTCACGGTAAATCCTCCTTAACGAAATCTGATGCTCCTAGTAGTCGGAAACTCATATGCCATTTCGTTTCAAGTCCACGTGCCAGGATACTTGTTCTTTCTCTTCTCGGTCAATGTGGGGTCGATTGTATATCTAATGGAGAATTCCCCAAGACTGCCGAGCTTCGTGAGTCTCGCCTCCCCACATCCTCATGCTCCAATGTTCATCCCCACAACGCCTACTCAATTGGCATCCGTCATGAGACTTCTTGACCCCTACGCATTGCTTTCCAAAGCATGATTAAAGTTTACCTTCCGCGGTATGCTTGGGGGGCGAGGGGAAATCGCATATGGATCCTTTGAAAGGCTATGTCAGTTTACTGCTCTTTCCATTATAATTGATGGTAGGAATCTATTGGTAGGTGGTATATCATTCTACGTCTCTCAACCCCGACAGTCAGCGTCTCAATATCAACATGGCGGCCTCCTCAGAACCATGGGTAATCATCGTCGGAGCTGGACCTTCCGGCCTTTTACTAGGCCTACTACTGGCACGTCGAGGAATCCCCGTGCATCTCATTGATCAAACAGAGAAGCTTGACGAACAACCAAGAGCAACCCATTATGCCTCTCCGGCGATGTGGGAATTGAGACGAGCTGGTGTCACGGAGGACATTCGTGCGGCAGGATTTATTCCAAACAGAATATGTTGGCGGAAACTGGACGGAACTTATCTCGCTGGTCTGGATACCAGGGTCGTAGGAGATGATCCTGATCGAATGGTCTGCCTGCCATTAAATCAACTCGGTAGGATTCTGTATGACCACTTGACACGCAATGCGTGTGCAACTGTGTCTTGGGGTCAAAAAGTCGTATCTCTCGGCCAAGACGAAAACGCAGCTTGGGTCAATGTCGAAACGCCCATTGGCGAGAAAACTCTCCGCGCAAAATATATCGTTGGTTGTGATGGTGCAAACAGTCAGATACGCCGATCGCTGTTCGGTGACTGGGAATTCCCAGGAAAGACGTGGGATGAGCAGATAGTTGCAACGAACGTAAGTATTTCGCAATCTCAGATTGAGACTATCGCTGAATTATCACACAGACATACTACGATTTCGAAAAGTTCGGCTGGGAGGACTCGAATTTCATTATACACCCTGAACACTGGTTTATGGCTGCCAAAATCACCAAGGACGGGCTATACCGAGTGACATATGGGGAACTGGCTGGCCTCACAACCGAAGAGCTTCGTCAACGTCAACCAGAGAAATTCAGAACCATGCTGCCCGGTCACCCTGGACCAGAAGACTATAAAATCGTCAATTTCAGTCCTTATAAGATCCACCAGCGCCTAGCCCCGAGCATGAGAGTCGGGAGGTTTTGTTTAGCCGCAGATGCTGCACATTGTACGTTAATTTTTCCTTTTCCGTGTTCACAAGTCCTGTTAACCATCCTAGTGTGTAACCCTTTCGGTGGAATGGGCTTGACAGGTGGGATCGTTGATATCGGTGGCCTGTTTGACTGTCTTGTTGGTATTTACGATGGCCAGGCCGACGATACAATACTAGATAAGTACTCCGAGATTCGCCGCCAGAAGTATAACGAAATTACAAACCCCATCTCTACTCAAAACATACTGCGACTACATTCTCAAGACCCCGAAAAGGCACTGGAGAATGATCAATTCTTGCAATTGTTGAAACGAGCGGAGTCAGACGATGATTTTTCCAGAGAACTTCAGGATGGTATCAATTCGCTCAAGCACGATTTCACACAGTATTATCAAAAGGCTCCCGAACCGAATGGAGATAAGACTGCTGGGAATGTTTATCCGGCCCCTGGTCTACCTCTTCAAGCAGCTTCTGTCGGTGTCTCGGACTAGAGCAGTCTAAAGCTGGCCAGGAGCTCACACCATATATTTAGCAAGTCTTGGTCCTCATTTGATTTGTGCAACGATAGTGCCCTTTAAAGTCTTACTTGCGATTATTTCCTCCCTCCAGAGCCAGAAACAAGCGATGAAAGCCCCAGGGCCTACTAAGTAGGTTGCAGCTATGCCCACCACGATTGCTGTCGACCAGCTGATTCCGGTCATGCTTTCCCTTCTCAAGTCATGTAGCAGCAAAGCGGACCAACAAAAGGCTGCCAAAAAGACAGAAAGCTCATCGACCTGGAAGAACAGTCTCATGCCGCTGACCAAGTCCACATTCAATGGCTGCCATGATAAAGCTGCCCCCACTTGGGACCACTGTGGTACGAAGATACTGAAGAACTTGCCGGCAGCTGTCCACCGTATGAAATTGAAGCATAGGGCTGATAGTGTTGCTGCAAGCATTATGCTAGTTCGAACTGAACGTAGATCCGCACCAACATTTTGGGTTATATCCTTTTGCGTGGTATCCTGCACAACGAACTTGCGGATGACATGAAGGAGGACAGATGTAGTGATTGGGAAAGCTTGCCATACGATGTTGACCGTCAAGCGAGAATTGTGATCCGGGAGCAGGTACATCATGAAGGTCGGGACCGTCAATACTGTGAGAACAACGACAAGGGCTGTTTTCGCGACCGCCACGTTAATCATTCGCCAGTCGCGCGCGACGAAACTGTCGAGCGGACTTTGGATATAGTGCAGGGCAAACCAGACTGGGCCAATCGCACCGATTCCAAAGAACTGAAACGCAATACCAAAGACAAGCAGTAATCGGATGGCCTTGACTGTGTTCGCTCTTCTATAGCTCTCGAATATCCAGATGAGCCATATTGGAGTTAACTCGACAAGGAAATTGAAAGCTTGGAGATATTGTAGAGAATCAATGTTGAGTAACGACGGGGCGAAAACTGAGGCAAGGATATTGAAAGGTGCCCTGTTTGTTGGAAGTTCCCAGCTACTCTCGGCGAACTGGACGCTGCCGCTACTCACAGCTCGTGAGAGGTCAGACGATAGTGAGTCAGATGAGAGGATACCTGAAAGGATAATGTGCGAGAGTGCGGCAATCATCAATAGCGGGAGTGCCAGCAGTATTCTAGGTTTCGTCTTTGTGGGATATCCGTTCGAGAAATCCGGATTGAATCCCATTGTTCCCACTAGGGATTTCTGAGGGACGGGCAAAAACTTCACCATTTCGGCACCGATAAGGTCCATGCTCATAATGTTGCCGAGCCAGTCACCAAGTCTCGGTTGGATGTGTAAAGCGTAGAACTGTCCCTTTTTGGACCTCAGTGCTTCCAACCTCGTGACCATATTGGACACTCTGAACGTTCTCTTAGCTCTTACATTGCGTTTTAGATGATAGCCAGTCAAAGCTGATTCGATATCACCCAGTGTAGGTGATTCAGGAAACTTCGCAAGGTTGTAGAGTTCATTAGCAAGAGCCGCAGCACTCTCGATCGCATGATTACCTCCAGCACCGATATTGGGCGTCCACTGGTGTTGTTAGCAGAGACAAAACATCATCGCTCATGGCGCATATGTACCTTGTGTGCCGAGTCTCCCGCGCACACAAATCTTTCCCACGTCCATTTCTTGTGTAATGCCTCCTCCAGTGCAACCAACTTAAAGCTGACGCGGTTCTTCCAAAGATCAGCAAATGTGTGTGTCTCCGACAGACGAATGTGAAGGTAGCGACGAGCTAGTGTCTCAGCATCATCATCCGTGAACCTTGGGATATTGGGGTGTTTGTATCGTTTGTCCATCTTCTCGAACAGGAACCAGAATACTCGTCCGGATTTTTCATTGCTCCATAGCATGGAGTGTCCATATCCCAATATCTGGTTGAAAGTACCACCCGTAAAGCCTTTTGTCTGGGTTGATATTCCATACATTGCCCTGTATGATGAAGACATGGCTTCAATAATTAGCCAACACATCCATGATTGCAGCGAGGTAAATCACCCACCTGATCTTTCAGAGTTTGCAAGCTGCTCAAGCTCAAGACTCATGTGTCGCCACATTTCCTCCCGAACTGTACTTCGAATACCATCTGCGGCAACAACAACATCTCCACTGTAGCTAGTGCCATCTGTACAGTGCACCGTCACTCCGTCATGCGCTTGGTCGACCCGGCTGACCCTTTTGTTGAGAAGTATTTTGCTTTTATCTTGGATATATTCGTACATGGTCTGGAGGAGAAACCTTCTCTCCATCATGGTAAATGGGTAGCCAAGCCTCGGAATGAGTGAGTAGCATAATCGATCCAAGGGCTTGTATGGCTCACCTTTTGTGGATTAGAAGCGGTCCATTGTTACTCCTCTGTTTTGTCCCGTCGGGTAAGTAGGTGCAAAGATAGTCGAATGGCGCGGTCTGAGATTCAATCAGGTCATAGCAGCCCAGCTGGTCGAGTATTCGAAACCCGTTTGCATTGATAGCAATCGAAGCCCCAAGTTGTGGTGCGGGCTCGCTGTTACTTTCCAATAGTGTGTACGCAATCTGCCCACGCTCAAGAATATTTGCCAATGCGAGTCCACAGACACCTCCTCCACTGATGATAACTCGAAAGTTATGCTTGGTTTTAGTGATGGTCATCTGGTCTGAGTATGGCACTGCCAAACGAAAAATAGATGGATGAATATAAATCAGACAGGTCCAAGGTAGAGCAGAGGAGGCAAGTAATGGTTATTAACCAAACTTGAAGCATCACAGAGACACGTTGCTTAACATGAATCCTCGGTGTTGAGACGGAGAATATTTGATAAAATTTGTTGAGTGCTGGAGTTGGATTTTGACTCCCTGTCACTCACCTGCAATCGCCGTAAGGAAAGTGGGATGATGGTGGTCAAAACGTTGCATTTAGCGAAGCTGCAGCCTCGAGAGCAACATAAGCAGCCCGAGGATAGTATCCATTAGTTAGATACGAAATAGGTACTAGTAATTCGGATCAAGGCGCAACAAATGGTGGTTGGTAAGATCATCGCTAAACAAGCAGGCCTGCTGCCTAATTAATGGAAGTTCCCTGAATTGCCCCTTTCACTCCCACTGTATCCAATTAATAGTCACGGAGTCCGAGGCAACTGCTGAGCAGTCGGACAAGTCCCCCAAGTCACATCTGAACTCAAACCCGACCACAATGGATCTAATCGCAAGGCTCGATGCATAAACAAGCGTTGAATGAATGTGCAAGCCTACGCTTCATGTTATTTTCGTGACGCTAATTCCCCAGGAGACCACATCGCGGTATTACTTGAGTATGTATGGCGAACGTATGGCGGTTCTGCAAAATCCAAAAATTCTCAATCATTGATGCGTGTGCAGAGACCGTTTCAACTTACGGATACGGGGTACGATATACGATATGTTGAGATTTGGGGACAATGGGGTACCTCTCGGAGACCTGTTTAGTTAGGAAGTTAGCCAAAGGCTCGAACCCTGGACTTTAACTTGGCTCGTCTTGTTCCGGCGAGCAATACGGAATAACCCAGCCAGACTCTGCGAGTCTTGAAGCTGTTTATTCTATGTGAGGTGATAGCTGTTGCTATTCGAGTTCATCATGACGGTAGATCATTGTTCGCATATTTCATCTTCAGACATTCGGTCAGCCGTATCATCATTGTTATGTGATATCAGTCGATTGGGTACTGGCACCCCGAACGCATTTCATGGTGAGTGCCCGAGAGGTCTGCTGTAGCAAAGCATTCAGTCGGCAGGGTCGTATCATTGTTAAGGGGCAACCACACACCAATTTGAACTTCGATCTACTCGGAAGTCAGATGGAACCTTTATTGCAGAATAAAAGGAGTGTCAAATTGCGGCCCTGTGCAGTTGCTACGTTTCTTGATGGGTACATCTACACCCTCTGCCGAAAGACGCCTGCTTGCCATGCATCGTCAGTTATGGGGAAAGAAAGAGTAAGATATTGCGCCAAGATCTACTTCTGGCTACAACTTTCATCCTATGAATGTATCAATCCACAGGACATAATTATCAATATCAGACTTCGGAGCACATGGGTATGCAAGTATCATACCTGTCTACTTGAGACTTCTCTGTCACCGAGGTGATCAATACCCGCGGTTATACTAACTGGGGACAGGTTGATGATCAAGGTGCTCGGGAGGTGGCCTCGATTGGGCTTAAGCACCTTCAGCCTCGCAATTTGGCCATTGCAAAGTGCATAAATTATGTAAGTGTTTTGTGCCAAGCTTGCATAAGGTTAAGGCCATCTTCTCTGCTTTGTAGGATTCATTCACACGATCAACAGCCTTGCAATAGACAGCAAAAGATTGAGAACCGACAACTGACAAATTCGTCCTTAACATTCGAGAACGCTGCCTTTGTAAGCATATGGTCGAACTCAGGATGCGACAGATATATAAATCAACATGGACCGAACTCAGCAATTTCATGTTCAATACCTCAAGAACACGTCCATCAATAACCTGATTGCCACACCTAGCATTCGACACAGGCAGTAGTCCAAGTCTTCACCAATAAACATGAGCACTCAATTTGTCAACCAGGCCGCGTGGCAGACTGGAGCAAATGTGAAGCCTCTGAGTGTTGGCCCAGGTCCAGACCAAAATAATCCGGCCTCCGATGAAGTGATCATCAAAGTCGAATACGTTGCCATCAACCCATCTGAGTGGAAGGTAGGTCCACACCAAGAGTAGCATAATATGCGAAGCTAATTTATCATAGTTCCAAGACTTCAACTATATTCCAGTGCAATTCCCACATGTCCTTGGGAGTGACGTCGCTGGGACGATTGTCAAGATTGGGGATGGGGTAACTCGCTTGAAAGAGGGCGACCGAGTTATTGGGTTGGTTGATCGCTTTCATTTTCACCCTCCCTAGTAGCTAAATTATGCTTCTTAGCCATTGTCTCGGCTTGTCGTTCGGCGGAGCAAAGCATGGTGGCTTCCAGCATTATACAACCTGCCGCGAGGTCGTCGTTGCAAAAGTTCCCGACAGCATACCCCTTTCGCACGCAGTGGTTCTGCCTCTTGGTCTCTCCACCTCCATTGTGGGCCTATTCGAGATTCTCAAGCTCGACCTGCCCACTCTTGGTGGCGAGAAGAAGGCCAGGACAGTCGTGATCTGGGGAGGCAGCTCTTCGATGGGCAGTACTGCAATCCAACTGGCTGTTGCTGCAGGATACGACGTCGTGTCCACTGCCAGTCCACGTAACTCTGGATATGTCAAGGCACTAGGTGCCCAAGACACCTTCGACCACACTGACTCCGAAGTCGTCAGCAATATCCTCAAGAAATTGGACGGTCGCACAGTAGCAGGTGTCTACGACTGTATCGGCGAGGAAGCCACAACCAAAGCATGCGCAGCCATCTTATCACAAGTGGGTGGTGGAAGTCTCGCAACTGTTTTGTGGCCACCGAGTGATCTCCCTGCTAACGTGCAGGCTTCAATGGGTGGGTAACCATTTCTCAATTTACCAACGACAATCACTGACTTCCGTGGACAGTATTCGCTACCAATCCTGGCTTGGTTGCTGACCACCCCGGGGTGAAAGTATGGCGCGACTTTGTTGAGTCAGCTTTGGAAACAGGCAAACTCCTCCCAAAGCCAGAGCCTAAGGTCTTGACTGGTGGTCTTGCAGTTGTTCAGGATGCCCTCGATCTTCAGAAGAAGGGTGTTTCGGCCCAAAAGGTCGTCGTGCAACTATAGCTTTTGGCTGCATAGGTAGTGTGCTTACTTGACATCATCATGTAGGTGCCAAACAGAACGGATGATGGATTTGTTTTAGCTGTTGGAAACCCTATCTGTTTCTCGCTGGGTTAACGTTGATACCAAATTAGATAGCATATTTATCTCGTATGCCTTGCGTCCTTGCTCAAAAAATACTAAATGAGGATTTATACGCTTTGTGTGATGATGAAACTGATCAGAAAATCCCTGCCACCAAGCCAGGTCTTAATGAGCATGGGGCAGAAGTGGATGAATCTCTGTCAAAGTGTGCCTTGCGTTCGATTCAATGATCTATATCTCCAATTTTCCAAATGACCTTCAAGGATAAGGAAGTTTAATGCTATGGAATTATTATAGTCGCCTCTAATGTTTGAGTTGCCATAGACGGCGAGCCATGTGCAGTCCAAGTAAAACTTTACTGTTCCGGTCTGAGCAAGAATATAACAAATGGCGTAGTAATTTTCTATAGTTTTGTTAGCTAGCTTCTATATATACAATACCACGTATTTTTAGATAAAGTTACTCCACATAGTATCACTAGAGTATAAAGGATAATCTCGATATATGTAAAAGAATATAGATAGATTAATCCTAAAGAACTTAAGAGCCTAAAGTACGAGAATTTAGGTGAGTGCGTTCGCGATTCAGAAATCGACTTATCTTTACAAAATATTGTAATTTCCGCCGTTCGACATAGGCATTTATTTCGTGGATGGGCAGCCACCATTTACATCTGGCGTTATTCGTGCTTCGACCCAACAGTACCACAAATTCTCTTAGACCACGAATGATGGCCTAAGTACTAGTACTATGAACTGACTTGCACCCAGTAGCCGCCTCTGTAGGAAGGAAATCGTAGGTATTGCTTTCCTGACATCCGCCAAGCCAAGGCAAGGCAGGCATTCACAACTCTCTGAGTCACAGGGCGTCGTAAAGGGCGGGTGTGGCTCGCCTAAGTTAAGTAAGAAATGCCATCTCACTTGAAAAAAGATTTCTTGCACGAGTCTGATCCAACTCATTTGAACAGGACTCTTGCTGAACGAAAAATGATAAGTATCTCATCGCTTGGTACACCACGGTCTTGACTACTTAGTACATCTACGAGCACCAGCGACACCGAAAGATTGACAATGGGGAAGCTCGCTCATTTTGAACTCGCAGACGTTTGTATTCTGCCTCACCCCGCACCCCCCGAACTAACATTCTGAAGTGGGTTGAAAGCCAAAGTCCAAAGGCGTCTCTTGCTCTAGCAGGAAGTGCAACCCCTGGATTATCTATCAGCGACCTCATCTCACTCTCGAGCGATGCAGACGCCACCAAAGATGCCCTCAGCATCGCCAACCTACAGTTGACGCTAGGATCTGACGTAGGAAGCCCGGCTCTTCGCAGTGCGATAGCAGCGCTTTATCAGGGTGATGGGCAGGAAATCACACATGAAAATGTCATCACTGCCAATGGCACTACCGGAGCCAATTTGAATGTGCTTTACAGCCTCCTCCACGCATACGACCATGTCATATGTGCGTATCCGATATACACCCAGCTACTCAATCTTCCGCGAGCCCAGGGATGCGAAGTCTCACTCTGGCGGCTCAAAAAGGATGACCAATGGTCGTTGAGCATCAAAGACCTGGAAGGCCTGATCAAGTCAAACACCAAAGCTCTGATCATCAATAGTCCCAATAACCCAACAGGCTCGCATCTGGACAGGCAGAAGCAGTTGGAAATTCTGGATGTTGCCAGTCGCCACAACATCATTGTCGTTGCAGACGAAATATTCCGGCCACTGTTTCATGGGCTTCCAGGCCAGGACACACCTCCACCAGCACCATCTTTTGTTAAACACGACTACAAGAGAGTGGTTGTGACCGGGTCGCTAAGCAAAGCCTGGGGCTTGACAGGAGCAAGAATGGGATGGATTGTTTCCCGCGATCAGTCCCTCCTTCGCGAATTCACCAACACACGCATGTATACGTCCGAAGCACCTGGCACGATCGACGAGGTCATCGCCACCGAAGCATTGAGCGATAGATGCAGACCGAGCATTATTCAACGCCACCTCAGCTACGCCAAAGAAAATCTCGCCTCACTCGATGCATTCGTGGCGAAGAACAAGGACCGTTGCCAATGGACAAGACCAACGGCCGGAGCCACAGCGTTCGTGCAGTTCTTGTCCAGCACTGGTGACCCTGCGGACGATGTCGAGTTCTGTAATGCCCTGCTAGACACGAAAGGTGTTCTACTCAGCCCCGGGAGTCTTTGCTTCGCGGATAAGGGAGATATGGGGTTCAAAGGCTTTGTGCGTGTTCATTTCACTGTGCCTCCGGCAAAGATGAAGGAGAGTTTGGAAAAGATTGATGACTTTCTCAAGTCGACTCGTTGAGAGGTAGTAGTATAAAAGCAGAGGGTACTTGACTTCGTATATAGATAGGACTTCGGGTTATCGCTCATCTCTGTAAGTACTTAGCACCACTGTGTAAGTATATTCTCCAATCAAGTACTAAGTACTTACTAACTTAGCCTACTAGGTACTTAGTAATAGACCGGATTGAGTGCCCATGCTTGTAAAGCCTAGAAGCTGGGACGGTCATATGCGATTCAAGCCATGGTTTCGCGATTTTATCACAAGGCAGTAAAAAGGCCTTGAGCACTTAGTACTTACTAAGTACTACTTGAGAATCTGGAGCCTCAATTTCAGGATACTAAGTACTCCAAGTTGTTCAGGCAGACCCGTCACGCGCTGGGAAGACTCTGAAAACGCTTGCTTTGAGAGACGTCGAAGAGCCCTAGGGCTACTTCGTGTTAAACGTCAAAATATTAGGACTACAGAGTCCTCAATAAGTACTTTTTACTTTTTACTTGTTACTTATTAAGTACTAAGTATTTAGCAGGTACAGCGTAGAGTCTACAGATATCTCCAGGGAAAATACGCTAGTACACTTTAGGGGGGATATAGTGGTGCCTTCCCTTCGAGACACTGACGTCAATATATGCTTCAATTAAGTGATAGACGAAGAAGGAAGTTCCAACAGTAAAGTAAGAACGACCATACTTAATACTAAGTACTTCTTGTCTAGCACTCAGGTTATTCTTAGAGATACTTAAGTACCTAGGTAAGTAGTACTAATTAGTATTATTTCGATACTAAGTACTGAGACTTTCTAATACCGAACGAATGTTTATCGCACCGACTTAAAGGTCAGTAAGTAATAAGTACTTAATACTGAGAAGCTTTTCTGTTTTCAAAATTGAGCATGCCGGATATATATCTAGATCTAGTACTTATAGTACTTAGTATCTACAGTTATGCCGAAGGCTCATGGTCTTCTTTTTTGACAATCAGTCTCCACTAGCTCTTGTGAGGATTTGGTGAATCAATACTAGCTAGTTCAAGTACTACTTAAAATCTCGAGGTCTAAGAAGTGCCAGTCCTACTGACGCGACTTCCCCTTCGACTTCTCGCGGACGAAGACCTTACCTCATGGCCTCCACCAACACTCCCATTCCTGGTCGATCCAACGCTGTTCTCCCTCCCTCTAGAAGCGGATGCAGTATATTCGGGCATTCCGAATTTCAGCTCGCCAACACGTCGAAACATCCCCCAAAGCGCAGTGCGAAGGTCAGGCGTGCTGAATTCCTTCTCCAAGAGTCCGACTGCTAGGGGATAGAAAGTCTCGATGTGCTTTTCGAAGCTCTGCTGCGGGAAATTCGTGTAACCTTCAAGGACGTCAATGACGACTGGGCGCCAGGCTACGATGTTTCGTTGTTGAGTCTCTTCCTCGAGCAAGATGAATGAGCGAATTATGTCAGCACAGAGTCTATTGATCAAGTTAGCTAATGATCAATTGATTGAGGTCACTCACAGCAAAGGGGGAAGACTTACGGTATCAATGCACCTTCGGTTTGATCTCTGCTTGATCTTCGCTCTTCACCTTCGTCGTGGTACATTCTGAGCAGTATGCTCACATATGTGTTAGCGGACCCAGACTCTTGTTTCAAAAGATTGGGTGGCTGACGCATGAAGCCCTGCCTCCACAATGCCATTCTGAGATCTTTGTCCCCATTAAACTTCTTCGCAAATTGATATGATTTTTTTAAAAGTGACATGAGCCGAAGAAGTTCGGCTGAGGGGATTTGTGCATAAACCGAGTCGTTGGAGAATAGTTCGGCTACCGTTTCAATCATCAGAAGTTGCAGGACGCAATTGGTGATGATTTTGTTGAAAAATCTGCGGCGTGCAGCTGTGACTACGGGAACAGGAGTCTGCAAATCGGCGTGCGGGCGGTAATCTTCAAGCTCTTGTGTCGACTGAGATTGAGGAATATCCGCAATTGGCACATCGCCTTTGTGCTCGAGTGCAGGATCAGGAGTAGGAAACGAATCTGGTGCACCGTTCGTTGTTGGAGTTTCGACTATCGTAGTCCCCGAGATTGACAAGCCATCTACGGCGTCAGTAGATGGTGTGGGTCGAGCATCTGACATGGTGGCAGCGGCAGAAAACAATTCATATGCAGTGGTGCGATTGAAGAGTTCGACAAAAGCCGTGACAATTCGTGCCCAGTGCTCTGGTTTGAACTTGGTGACATTTTGGAGAATGAGTTGTTGTAAACAATTGCTACCGATGCGAGCAATCGTGTCGTTCTCTTGACAGATACAAAGAGTGAGAAGGTCCAAAAATCGATCCAACATATGCTCTAGAGAAGCAAAGTAATGGGTGAAGAGTGTGATCATATTCCTAAGGGCTTGAATCATAGTCGTCGATAACCACACCGACAGCTCTTCATGATTGGGAGCTTTTGACATTTCTGATTTTGATTGGAGAACAACAAATATCGGGTAGAGGAGCTGACGCCATAAGACATCCCAGAATTCGATAGGGAAATCACCACCATACTTGACCAATGTCTCAAAAAGATATGTTAGTGCTCGTGAACGAACTTCCAAGTCTTCACCAGTCATCAAAACATCTTGGTACGCGATGAGTACAGGATACCAAAACTGCTCTTCTTCAGTCTGAGAAGTGGGCTGTTTCACTCCAGCCACCACGCGCGACCCCTCCAGTTCCGCCACTTTGACATGACGTTTTGAAAGCGGACACTCAGGTGTTTTGAGCATTTTTGGCACAGTTGACTTGAGTAGCTCAATGGCCTGCAATGACTTCTTCTGAAACTTGAGGTTTTTGGAGAATTCTGTTAGGCAGACGATGAGGTCGGGGAACGAGCCTTGCGAAATGACAACGCCAAATCGTGTATTGTAAATCTGTGTCGTATAATCGAAAGCGATGTTGACGACTGCTTCGTACTGTTCTCTGGCAGCAATCGAGAAAACTCCAAACATTGTTTTCCAACCCGATCTGATGTTGTCGCCACGAGCTTGAATCATCTGAATCAGGCATCGTAAAACCATATCTTTCACAGTGACGACAGTTGTGTTGGACATGACATGCTCAAAGGGTTTCAAGAAATCCTTTTGAAATTTGAAACCTGGCAGCTCTTCGATTTCCATAAATCTCATAGACAACTGACGAAGGGAGTCAAGCGCGAAGAAGACAACAGTCGTGTTGTTATGGCAGCCAACTTGATTGAAATGCTCGCCAAGGACTTCCCAGATGCGAGTCCACTCTATCCTGACCCTGGTCATATTGTAGTAGCTTATTTCAACCAATTTCTGTAAGCTGTATGTTCGCGGCGATTCACTGTTGCCTGACGACTGAATCTCTTGCCAGCTAACGTCACTCAGAGCACGAACAAAGTCGATTATCGCCTCAGAGGACAGTTTCGCAGTGTTTGTGAAAATTCGGTCTACACCACGAACCATATCGGTAGATTTTGTCTCATCTGCGACCTCCGGTCGAAAGCTATGTGCTGATCTGGGTCGTGGACGTCTCGGTGCTTGCATAGACTTGCGGCTTCCTCTGCTATCTCGTGGGTTGGATGGTAAAGGGATGTTTGCTCGTGAGACATCTGGGATTGCGCCTTCATCGATCCCGGTAGACAATAGCTGAAGTCTGTCAAGCTGACTGATACACATCAGAACTTCTCGCCAAGCGCCCTTCAACAAGTCACCCTCACTGAGAGCGACTTCGATGAGTACTTTCAAAGCCTCGATATTTTTCGCCATCATCTCCTTGAGATTGTTGAGATTGGTGGATTTAGCGAGGGCCGTAACAAAGGCTACTCTAGGAGTCTCTAGATCAAATCGACAAGCGATTCTGATGGCTAGTTTGAGACCATCTAGGCACTGTCTGATAAGATCGAGATTCTGTGCATCTTGCATCTGGCTTGAGAATCCCGACAAGAACGACATCCAAGAGACGTTGAACATTGGACCCACATGTTTGGTAGAAGTAGCGGGTATGAACCGAGAGAGTGCTTCTCGCACAGCTGATCGTTTCTGTGCACGAATAAGACTCCGGTAGAGCTGCTCAGTTTTGTTTGCCATCTCTTCCGAAGCTTGAGCGTACTTCTCTTTCTGTAGATCTCGACCGACGTTTGCCAGAGCCTGCCCGGCTCGAGACGCCAGGCCTGCAGAAGGAGCAGCGGCAGCGATTCCCAGCTCAGCCGCATGTTCACGCTCAGACGTCAAAACAATTTCATTGCTTTGGATTTCGTCATAGATTGTGGCGAGATACTCCTGAGGCAAATCTTGACCATCGTTGATACCTCGGTTGTTTTTGATAAAGTCCTCGAGAGTCATGCGTCTACCCTTCATTTTAGTGCTGTGTTGATCAGTGTTTAGGAGGATGACTGAGTAAGCAAGTATATATGCTGTGTCGGCATTTGCGAATGCATTAGGATTACCAGAAAGATATCGCTCAGCAAATTTAAGCATAAATCTGTCGATCTTTTGTGCCTCACCTGGTAATCTGAAGCTTTGCAAGAATTGTCTGAGAGAGTCGACAAATCTCCTTTTGCTGAATTCCATCAGATCAACGAATGCGTGCATTGTTGCCACATTCTGTTCATCACCTTCTCCAAGGTATTCTCCGAGCATTGTTTTGTCAAGTCTATCATTTCCGAGGAGAAATTTGGCAATATCTTGAGGGCTGTCACTGCGGATGAACCCATCGGCCAACAGCTGCTTTATTCCTCGTTTAGCTTTGAAGTTGAACTGTCTGATTCCATTATTCAACGCTGACTTTCGCATCCGCACTCTCTCGATCTCATTGGGATCGTCTTCTGCCACTGGAGTTGAGATACCAGATTCGCTGCCAAACACACCCACTCGAGGAGAGGGGGGAGGTCTCTCACTGGTGTCGAGAGATTCTCTCGAATCTTCAAAGGAACCCCGCGATGTTGGATAGCGAGAGCCATTTAGATTGTCCTGACCACTTTGGGTGGACCAGTTATCAAGAGAGTTAAGGATCTCCACCAAGCATCGTAGTGATTGTTGTTTGAGGACATATTCCACCGGTACCGATGATGGTGGAGCTGGTGGGTGACTGAGGGCTGTTGTAGAGAGGCCTGGAAGAAGAGACCCTCGACTGTGCCAATCTGATGAAGGGGTGGATGGTTTGGCTTGCTGTTCTTGGAACTGGTGTTGCTGTACAGGAGTGACAACGACTGGGGTGCTACAAATTCGTGACAAGTGTTCAATGATCTCTTGATACATGTTGTCCAGGGCGGTACGATCGCAATCATAGTTCAGATAAATCTCGACTAGAGCACGTGGATCGGCCGATAGCCTTTCCAACACGTTCATGAATTTTTCTTTTTGGAAAAGTGGTGCACTTCGTTTCTCCAGCACTGCGAGGTAGACTTCTTTGAGGAATACTTCGATTTCCTTCTTCAACAAGACCCGCAAATGCTTCAATGACAGCCAAAAGATCTCACAGCAGACCTCGAACACACGAGGAACGGAGCTTGAAGCGTTGCGAGACAAACTCAAACAGAGATGAGGTTTGGCAACCTGCAAGAACGGAGTATTTTCCTCATTGTTTCCACTCTTGATTGTCGAGAAGGATGAGGTAAAGACCGGGGTATAATTGTTGATGACATGGTAGATTAGATGGAGAGACAGGAGCTTAGATCGCATATTTTGTGACCTGAGATCTTGTTGCTGGTCATGCGTCAGGATCTTTTGGCTTAGCTTGCACAGCGATCGAAAGACAAGAAAGGCATCTTTTATGTAAATGTCGTCCTCGTCCTCAGAGGAGAGGTCTGCATCGTCGCGGTCTTGCTGCAGGCTTGTGCGAGACACCGGCCCAGAACTCGATCGAGTGTTTTGGCGATCTCTCCTGGCGCGCGTCACAGTGGTAGGGGCGCTATCAGCGACCAGTGCGTCATCGAGATTCTTATTTTGTTCGAAGCTTTGCAGGGTCAACTTTTCTTGGACTTTGTTGGTACCATCTCCTGGTTGAGGAGGAGTCTCTTGATCGGGTGTGTCAACCTGGCCGTTAAGATCACCGGGCTCGAAAATTGAGGCATCTCCAGACAGAGCCTCGTCTGATTTGGTCTCATGCTGCTCTCTTGCACGCGCGTCTTTCACATCTAAGCGTGTTCTGACACGAGAGAATACTGTTGCAACCATCTGCAAGAGCGAACCCTGGGCGACCTGTTGATTTTGACTCGACTTTGAGTAGATGAAGATGTTGTAAACCTGTCTCACGGCCTTGAGCAGACCAGCACCATGTACAACAATCTTGTCATCCAGAATGGCCGCGAGGAGTGATTTAATGATCTGTTGTTGAATCTCTACCGCTGTAGCCTCATTTTCGAAACAATCACAAATAGCCTCAATCGCCCGCTCAATCAATGGTGGGGTATCAGTGCCATCCGGCTGACTTTCGGCCACTGCTGGAAAGGCAAAGTAGGAATAGCTGATGAGTTTCCCAATACAGTCGAGAGCAGTGACCTGCATCTGTACATTGAAAGACTTTGTCGCCATCTGTAAAGGCCGGAAGAGGATTTCCGGGTTGACAGCATGTTCCGAGTTCTTTATATTGGCGAGAGCGGCTTGTACGGCTTCTGTGAACTCCTTATTCCTTTTGACTTCTTTAGAGGCTCCAATTGTCTCCAGTGCGTTGATGACAAAGACTGTTGAGGTGACGGGTAAGGGGCGAGAGACTGTTGTCGACCTTGAGTCAGATCTCTGCGGATGGGATGCTGGAGTGACATCTGGAGTCGCGACATGTCCATCCCGCTGCTGGACAGAGGATGCGGTCTCACTTTCCAGCTCTTCCTGCGACCCCTGTTCTGATTCACGCGCATGAGGATCGACTTGTGCGGGTTGTGCTTGTTCCGGTTGAGAGTCTGATTCTCCACTTGAGTCCGCAAGGGAGCCTTCTGTGTCGGACTTTCCGTCTTCGGAGGCGACGTTGTCCTCCTCTTCGTCTTCTGCAGCATCGGCATCCTCGACAGTGATCGTCACCCCGTGGTTTGGAATGCCTCCATTTTCCAAATGACCATTGGAACCGTGGGGGTAGTCAGACTGGTCAACCGCATCGCCCGATGTATTCCCTGAACGCTGTTGGTCGTCCGAGGAAGGAGTTCTGGGTGCCTCAGTTGGGACGCCAGACATTTGGCCGGCGGAAGAAGGCAAGGTCCAGGGGGGGATATTAGGAGGGACGTTCAAACGAGACAGAGAGACGGGTGACTTCGCGCATTGCCAATTATAAATCCCTGGACATATCTAGGCACGAGGAACTGAACTGTACAGATGTATATCACGGGTTGACGGGTCCCTTTCTGCGGAGAACAATGAATCTGGCATAAGTGATTTCTGTGAGCGGAGTGTAAAGGCCAGGAGGTGCAATACGGTGGATCAACCCAGCCCAAGTGTATATCACGTGCGTCGGGGAGCTTGACCTCGATTGTCAAGCCAGTGAGAATTTAATTATGGGACGTTGAGGAACTGGCAGTAGTGAATCTTGGGGGTGAGCTCCCACTGCAACCGCAAGTCCAAGCTACGAATCCACTTCGGCGCCCGGCCCTCTACAAGTTACGACTCAACCACTTTTCCTTAGCCAGACACCAGCACCAATACCAACAACTTGCACCTAGGGTAGACTGTGCCAGCTCTTGCTGTCACTGCCTTTGTACATTTATTGGGCCTTTTTGTGTCCTTCGTTGTCGCTCATTTCCACCCTTCTCACTTTCTTCTCCTGCGGCATCCTTTTCCCTCCATTCTCCCCCCGTTCCTAGGGTTCTGGCTTGTGTCATGGCTACCTCAACCATCCTCGCCCGCTCTGGGTCACGACTCCTTCTTCAGTCCTCACCAAGCTCTAGACTCAGTCGGAGTGCCCTGCAGAGACTACCAAGTGCCGTAACGTACGCAGTCTTGCTCAAAATATCTAGCTCCACTGGCTAATCTTGTCAACAGTTACCAGAACCTCCCCTGCCTCTCCATGCTAGGTCGCTACTATGCCTCTAAATGTACGAATACTCCAAGAATGTTGCTCCTGTATCCCTACTGATAGCATCAAATAGCATTCCCTCCTCACACCATCATTAGCATGCCCGCCCTGTCACCCACCATGACCGCGGGAAATATCGGCGTCTGGCAGAAGAACCCTGGTGATACCTTGGCTCCTGGTGATGTCTTGGTGGAGATTGAAACAGACAAAGCTCAGATGGACTTTGAGTTCCAAGAGGAGGGTGTCTTGGCCAAAATTCTAAAGGACTCGGGAGAGAAAGATGTTGCAGTTGGAAACGTAAGACTTGCTCCAAGCTCGACCTGCTATCACAACTACTGATCGGTATTTAGCCAATTGCCGTACTGGTTGAAGAAGGCACAGACGTGTCCGAATTCGAGTCCTTTACAGTCGAGGATGCGGGAGGCGAGAAGTCCTCGCCGAAAGAGGCTCCCAAAGAAGAGGCCTCAGAAGCTACGGAAACACCGGACTCAGGCTCAGGAACTGCCCCTCCCAGTGGCAAAGAATCCTCCGCGCCGGTAGCAGAAGAATCTGATTCAACAGGTGACAAATTGCAGCCGGCTCTCGACCGAGAACCCAAGATCAGCCCTGCGGCGAAAAAGGCTGCTTTGGACAAGGGTGTCTCCATCAAGTCAATCAAGGGAACCGGTCCCGGAGGTCGCATCACTGTAGAAGATGTAGAGAAGTCCTCACCGGCTGCAGGTGGCTCCCCAGTTGCCGCCGCCGGCGCTGCTGGTCTGACGTACGAGGATATCCCGGCCACATCGATGAGAAAGACTATCGCCAGCAGACTCCAACAGTCCATGAACCAGAACCCTCACTACTTTGTATCCACTACTTTGTCTGTCACCAAACTGCTGAAACTACGAGAGGCACTCAACGCCAGCTCCGAGGGCAAATACAAGTTGTCCGTCAACGATTTCTTGATCAAGGCCGTGGCCGTTGCAAGCAAGAAGGTTCCCACAGTCAATTCCAGCTGGAGGGAATCAGGAGGCCAGACAGTCATCCGTCAACACAACGTTGTGGACGTTAGCGTGGCCGTGGCCACACCTGTCGGCCTGATGACCCCTATTGTCAAGAATGCCGACACGATTGGTCTCTCCACGATCTCAGCATCTGTCAAGGAACTCGGAAAACGAGCTCGGGATGGCAAACTGAAGCCTGAAGAGTACCAGGGCGGTACTATCACCATCAGCAATATGGGAATGAACGCTGCAGTAGAGCGATTCACAGCCGTGATCAACCCACCTCAAGCGGCCATCCTAGCCGTGGGCACGACACGTAAAGTAGCAATCCCGGTGGAAACCGAGGAAGGAACTGTTACGGAGTGGGATGACCAGATCATTGTAACTGGCAGCTTCGACCACAAGGTTGTGGATGGAGCCGTGGGCGGTGAATGGATCCGAGAGCTGAAGAAGGTGGTTGAGAATCCTTTGGAAATGTTGCTGTGAAGTTCTGCATGGCTTTAGTTGGGTTTAGCGAGGCTGGTGGCAGGAAGGGGCATATGTAAAATATTTCTTCCTTCTGGGTCAAAAAGTAGTCCCTCAGTGCACCGCGTTCGTGGAAATGCAATAATCCTTCTGTATAGCTCGCAATTGTGGTAGGGTCATTCCTTCCTGGTCCAACCGGCAGCTCCATCATTCTCAAGCCTTCACTGTTCATCGCGTCAGTCTCGGTCCCCAACAAAAAATAATATCTAGACGAGCAAGGCTGGCCAATCGGGAGACAGAGGACGCCAAGTCCAGAAAGTTTTCCGATGCGGCGAAACGTCCAAGTTGAAGGCGCAGGCATCGGGCTTTACGAGAAGTATTCTCACGGCCGAGTTTCCCTCAGATCTATCTGTCTAACAAAGATTGATTCATCTGCATACAATCTCCCAAGGATCAACAGGGTGCATGTAGCCCTGCCATGAGCTTAAGCTCTCGATTGTCCAGTTTGTTCTTCCAAGACGCCTCGACCGAGAACAACCAACAACATGGCTATGTTCACTCGGAACTCGATATTGACCTCAACGGCGCACGACAGAATAGAGAATCTCGAACTATGCAAGGCGTGGCGGAGGAGGAAGTCGATATCGAATTGAGAAGGCCTCCCTACTATCAAGTGAGTGCATTTGGCATTATGGCGTGAAAGCGTTGGTTGCTGACCGGTGTCTAGTGTATGCTCGCTGGTGGGATTGGAGGCACCACGGGAGACATCCTCATGCACTCGTTGGACACGGTCAAGACCAGACAGCAAGGAGACCCCCATTTTCCACCCAAGTACTCATCTCTATCGGATTCATACGTGAAGATTTTCCGGCAAGAAGGGATCAGACGAGGACTTTATGGTGGCTTCACCGCGGCGATGCTTGGATCCTTTCCGGGCACCGTGGCTTTCTTTGGATGTTATGAATATTGCAAGCGCTATCTATTAGACGAGGGAGTCAATCCGTCTGCTGCATTTTTGGCGAGTGGTAAGGCCTTCTCAGCAGATGCCACATTCGCATGAACTAACACAATATCACTAGGCTTTTTGGCTGATCTAGCAGCCTCGATCATATATGTCCCTTCGGAGGTGATGAAAACTCGACTACAACTACAAGGTCGATACAATAATCCATTTTTCAATTCTGGCTATAACTACAAATCTACATGGGATGCAGCCAAAACGATTGCAAGAACAGAAGGATTTGGGGCTTTGTATTCTGGATACAAAGCTACTATTGTTCGGGACCTGCCCTTTTCGGCCTTGCAGTTTGCACTCTATGAACAAGAGCGGAGGTTTGCGCAGTCGTGGGCGGGACATCCTGATATTGGGCTCGGTCTGGAGGTCTTGACCGCGGTCTCTGCGGGTGGGATTGCGGGAGTAGCAACCTGTCCCCTGGATGTGGTCAAGACTCGAACGCAGACTCAAATTACACCCGACAATCACGCCACAAATAGCCAGGCAGCACATATGGAGAAGGTCGCGAAGAGTCACAAAACTATAGTCCACAAGCAAACGCGCCTATTGCACTCTGGACCGCGAACAGTACCGAGGACGACGCCAACCTTGGACACGTCGTCTGTCTTGACTGGACTTAAACTCATCTATCGGACGGAGGGAGTGCCTGGACTGTTTCGGGGAGTTGGACCTCGATTTGTGTGGACAAGCGTTCAGAGTGGAACGATGCTGGTGCTGTACCAATATTTGTTGAAAGAGATGGAGCGATATTCGTCCAAAGAAGGCCCGGAAGCAATATGAGCGGAATAACACTTGTACCGACCATGTACAAAGTAGAAGCTGGCAATTGGCGACTGGCGGAAAGCAGGCATTTTTATGGAGGCGTTGAGCAATGCATGATGACCACAGCTTGGTCAGGATACCCCTGGGAATAGAATCTGCGGCGACAGCTTTCAACGGCGGGCGATCAGAATGGGATGGGTGGAGATAGAGATTGTACCACTAGTATATACAACAATCAATCACCTCTGTCATACTGGTAGGGCTATCCACTGCAGATATTTCTGATTGTCGTCGCACAGTGTGTGAAAGTATCTGGCTAGTCGGTAGTGGTCTACGCTGTCCTTGGACATCCCTGTTGAACAGCACGTTTCAAAAGGTCGCACGAGACTCGAGAGATTGTGATCAAGCATCAAAACTCACGTGAATGGCGTCGGGACTTGTGTAGTCGGACTGGGGAAGGCGAGAAGGGATCAGGGGTAAGGCGTTTTGGAGGCTCTCGTTGGCTTCTACGAGAGTGACAGGCTTGCTTGAAGGGGAGTTAAGGGACGGGAGGCTGGCCCTAAGCACGGTTCCGGGCTAGTGGCAGGCCAAACCTCCGGGCGGCCACTGGCAGTCTGCTCAGTCTGCTCCCCAAGTGCCTCCAGGTCCCACGCCTAAAAGCACCGCCCAATGGGCCCATGATGCTGATCCCCAATCAAGATTCCTTCCTCGTCGCCAGAATAGGACTTGGCGCGTCCCCTTTTTTGCAGAAAGTGAACATTGTGGCAGCAGTCAGTTCGAGCAGGAACGAGATCTTTACTGGCACTTTGGGACACCGGATTCAGTTAACATCCTGGACTGCATTTCTGCTGTCCTCCTTCAAGTCCATCACGTTCAAACTTTGAGCGCATCTACTTTTGTTCTTTACATTCGCTTGTTGACCTTCTACCACTGAACGGTGCACCTGGTGATATTACAACTCTTCTGTAACTCTATCATTCACACCACTCGGGCCCTCGACCCTGCAGTAAGTCCCACTTCCACTCTGGCCCCGTCGTGTCCTGCCATTCTGGTAAAAAGACATTTTGTCGCAGGCAGTCACCACTCTGCTCACTTTTCCTCGACTCAATTTCTGCATCCTCGATTCATTGCAGTCACCTCTGTCGCGCACCTGCTGACCCTCCTCAATCGCAGTTACCCTTCACCACCGCCCGAACCTTCAGTGCTTCTTGCACTCGTAATCTCTGACGAAATGGGTGAGCCCTGACCTCCCGTTCTTTGATTCCTCTCTCCCATCAATTTTCTTTGTCAAATCGACTACATCTGTCGGTCTACACTCGCTGCGCCCATCTCACCACAGACTCAGGAGGGTCGTGATAAACATGTCTTCACCACGAGACGTTGGCTCGAGCACGGACCACGTCAACCCCAACCCCAATCCATCTACCCATCCTCTTCCGTTACAAGATGAAGAATCTTCCCATCCAACTGCCACGTCTTCGTCTTGGACATTTCCTTCCTCCAACCCCACAAATATGACCGATACTGATTCCAACTCTGAAATCTCAGCTACCGTGGGAAATGGCATCCGCTCTTCTCCTTCACCCAATATCCCCAATGGCAAACCCGCCTCACCCTATGTGAAGGAAAGCACTCCTGTGCAGACCGTCAGTTCCAAAGATCCCAAGGCTGCTGCAGCTGCGGCCAATGACATGCGAAATGTGGTGCGAAGAAAATTGACCGGTTATGTTGGTTTTGCCAATCTGCCCAACCAATGGCACAGAAAAAGTGTGAGAAAGGGATTCAACTTCAATGTCATGGTAGTTGGTAGGTTACACCAATCTTCCCATCATGTGCGGCACTCATACCCTCTTTACAGGCGAGTCGGGATTGGGAAAGTCGACCTTGGTCAATACTTTGTTCAATACCTCCCTCTATCCTCCACGTGAGCGCAAAGGACCCAGCTTAGATATCATTCCCAAGACCGTGTCTATCCAATCGATCAGTGCTGATATTGAGGAGAATGGGGTTCGTCTGCGCCTCACGGTTGTGGATACTCCCGGATTTGGCGATTTTGTCAACAACGACGACTCATGGAGACCCATTGTGGAAAATATCGAGCAGAGGTTTGATGCGTACCTGGAGGCTGAGAACAAAGTCAACCGGATGAACATTGTTGACAACCGAGTCCATGCCTGTGTTTACTTCATTCAGCCCACCGGCCACTCCCTCAAGCCTCTGGATATCGAGGTGATGCGCCGTCTACATACCAAGGTCAACTTGATTCCTGTCATTGCAAAGGCGGATACATTGACTGATGAAGAGATTGCCTCGTTCAAGCAGAGAGTAAGAGATGAGCGCCCCCGACCTTGCGAAGATCGTACTGACCAGACTAGATTCTCAGTGATATTCAGCACCATTCCATCCAGATCTTCGAAGGTCCTCGATATGAGCTCGATGATGAGGAGACCATTGCGGAGAATCAAGAAATCATGTCCAAAGTACCCTTCGCCGTGGTGGGTGCCAACTACGAAGTGACCAACCCAGAAGGCCGCAAAGTCCGTGGCCGCCGTTATCCCTGGGGCATCATTGAGGTAGATAACGAGGAGCACTGCGACTTTGTCAAGCTGAGACAGATGTTGATTCGAACGCACATGGAAGAGCTCAAGGAGCACACCAACAATGCGCTGTACGAGAATTACCGCTCAGACAAGCTCATTCAAATGGGTGTGTCACAGGACCCCAGCGTGTTCAAGGAGGTCAATCCTGCGGTGAAGCAAGAGGAAGAACGCACCCTACACGAACAGAAGCTTGCGAAGATGGAAGCCGAAATGAAGGCCGTCTTCCAGCAAAAGGTGCAGGAGAAGGAAAGCAAACTGCAACAGAGCGAGGAGGAGCTTTTTGCCCGTCACCGTGAGATGAAGGAACAATTAGAACGACAGCGAGCGGAGCTGGAGGAGAAGAAAGCACGCATCGAACAAGGCCGGCCGATCGAAAAGGAAGGCAAGAGAAAGGGCTTCTCACTGCGATAGACGATGAGTGGGACTCTACGACTCGTCCTGTTGCCATTGCCAGTTTTTCTCATCATTCCCTGTTTCCAGTTTATCCTAGCGACGAGACGATGAAGGCGATTCTTTCATTCGGGTATGCAACTTGGCCACATTCTACTCATACAAACACCAACCTTCTTTGTTATCGTCTTGGCGGAGCGGCAGACTGGGGCTGTTGCAGTCGCTACCTAATTAAGTTTACATGAAATCGACACGAAGGGGAGAAAGTGGTTTGAGAAGGGAAACCTTGGATTGTGCATAATGTGAAGAAGGTCCAATCTCTACTGCTGATCAAGTTCAAGTTCAGAATTCGGATCCAAATTCAAGATTCAAGATTCAAATCAACAAGAATGGGAGGAGGTGGGGACGGTTGCAGCCTTCTCTTTGCTGCAATCATGTATATTTCTTTTCATGTGTTTGCTTTGTTTGAGCGAAGAGGGTGGAAGAGACCAAAAGACAAGTGATTCAGTACCGGTAGTAGGCAGACACGAAATGGCTTTTCTTCTTGAGTGCAGTGCTTCGGGAACAACAGCTAACTTGGTGTTTTTGTTGACAAGCTGGTGTGGACTCTGTACTCATACTGTAGCTTAAAAAAGTGTGATTCAAGATCCTAGTATAAAGTCCGTCCTGTTGATACTCTGCATACCCACTGGCAGGTAACGTCAACTCGAAATAAAAATTACTACAGGGTACTGAGGTAAGTCGAATAATGCTGTAGCCTGCCAATGATCAACTTGAAGCCAGAGTATGACATGTGCGATCGAAAGTCAACCTCTGGCTTTTGGGGATGAAAACCCAAGACTTTGGGGGCAGTGGAGGTTCCGGATCCAGGAAAAGTGCAAGTGCCTGCCTGCCAGTGCCCGAGTGTCGCGCACAAGCTTGCAGTGGGTGGGCTGGAGGCTGGAAGTGGTGGCTGAAGCAGTGCCCTCGGTTGACATCATAACCGCACCTGAGCTCCCTAACGAGTTACATCATCTGGCATCTGGCGTCTGCACTCTGCCCACACAACCTGAAGGAAAGAGCGAAGTAGCCACCAAATTCACATTATCAACTACCTACTCCTACGCCTTCCTCTCGTGTTGTCAGTGAAGCCACCTTCTTCCAACACCAGCACCTGCCAACTACTCCTTCTAGTCTCCTCATCCTGCTCCTCTTTCTCCTTCAAGTTCCTTCTGCTGCTTTGACTGAGATCCCCTCTACCACTTCATTCAGCTTCCCTCCCGGAATTCTATCCTCACCAACTTGAACCCTTCTCCATCCCACTGTGCTCGCTCTTGACCGCCCCTCCATCCAAGACCGAGTTCAAACCTCAAAGCTATGGCACCCCCACCTCCTGCAAACCTGCCTTTGGCCGAGCGAGTCAAGAAACTTGCAACTACCCTGCAATTGTAAGACTGTGTCCTGAACCCTTCAACAACCACCCTACTGACTGCCTACAAACAGCGCTTGGTTTTTGGGCCACTTTACCCTTCTCCTCGCCGTCTTCAGATACAGCTTGTCCTACATCACGTTCAACTCGTCCTCCAAATGGGCCACCTTCACCTATCGTCTGGCCTTCCTCTCCGCTGTCGCGACCTACGGCATCGTGGTTTTCAAGGCCTATCGAGCTCGTGTCAAGCCTGGCGCTAACCCCGCTTCGACTGCTCTCATGCTCCTTTCAGACGAAAATGTTCAATATCTGCGTAAGTTTCATGACAGACACACACCCAACTTACAGATCGCAAACTCTAATGCATACGCACAGTCATCAGCTTGGTCTGGCTTTACTCCAGACAGATCCCTTTGGCCCTTCTGCCTTTCACCGTCTACTCCGTCTTCCATGTAGCCACCTATACCCGTACCAACTTGATCCCGGCCTTCCAACCTCCAAAGCAGGCTGCAGGCACCACTCCAACTTCCCCTGGAGGTGCAAAATCTCAATCGCCTCTTGCAAACACCATCGGAAAGTTCGTCAAGGACTACTATGACGCATCCATGACCTTGGTGGCGAGTTTGGAAATTGGTCTTTGGGCAAGACTCCTCCTCTCTGCCTTCACCTTTACCAAGGGCGCCTGGATTCTCCTGGGCATCTATACTGTATTCCTCCGTGCACGCTACCAACAGAGCCACTTTGTTCAGTCTGCCTTTGGCCAGTTCGGCGCCAGAGTCGATCAGCAAGTCCAGAACCCCAACATTCCTCCTGCGGTTCGCCAGGGTTGGGAGACCATCAAAGGTATCGGTCGCAAGGCTGTTGATGCCACGGATCTGAGGAAATATACTGGCGGTGCTGCTGCTGCTCAGAAGAAGCCTCAATAGGTGCATGGCCAACCACGGTCATCAACGTTGCACTCTCTCTTTTTCACTTGGCGAATCCTATGCCAAAGGCACAGGAGGGCTGCGGGTGAGAGTTTAGGAAATCCATTATAGCTCCCAAAAGTCAACAAAGGGCGATTTTGACCTTGTGGCAACGCCGTTGAGGCCACTTGAGGCTATGGGATAACAGAATTCTCAAAGACATTGGGCGTCGGTAGTGACTTCGTGTTTCTACGTCTGCCTGGGGAGTGGTGCAATTGACGCATGTCAACTGAAGTCGGATGAATGAGATATGATGATCATAGAGACAGGCATCTGTCTCCATTGCATAGGAGTTATTGACCCATCGAGATTTGAAGGATCACGTCGAATCTGGTTTCACATTTCATAAGATCGAGGGCGCGCGTTTTGTTTTTGCGTAAGACGACAATGGAAAGATTGGTGAGGGAGCAAGGGCTCAAAATCCTGCTTGGTTCAAGGCTCAATGATTCCATTTGGTGTTGTTCGACTTTTGTCCACTTGGCTTAGCTTTTGCTTTCAGGAGGTTGATGATACCGCCGCCGGGAGAAGTGATCACAGGGCAACCACGACTAGACCGTTCAGTTGGTATCAGCAAGCCAGATATTGTATTAATGAGTGGATTGAGTACCTACTTCAGCTCGCTACAGTAAGGACGTGAGTGGGGAGCCAGTCAACGATACAGAAACCACACTACCTTATCTATCTATCTATCTATTTTTATCAGTTCGTAAGAAACCTATGTGCGTGAAGAGTTCAATTCCACGTAGGCTTGTCAACGAAGTTCCATCCTCCTCATATTGTGATGCACATGATGCAGTATGAATTCGACAGATACATCCTCGCACGCCTGTGTGCATTATTTACATGCAGAACAGAGATTCTGATACTTATTCGCATTCGAATTCGCATTGGCATTGGCATCGATATCTATTTGAAAGCGTACCTCATGCATGATGCCATGTCGTAGGCAGGTATCGCGTCGGTATTCAATACAGGGGGTTCTATACCTTCCCCAAGGTACCTAACCTTGGGTAACTGTGCTATCCAGTCTAATCACTGAAATCCTTGGAACCCGCCAAGGGGTAGTATCGAATCGTATCACATCATTCCCAGCTTCAGCTTCAACTTCAACTTCAGCTTCGGCGACAGCGCTCTCTCTCGACCTTGCTCAGTCATCATCCTCCGCCTCGCCGTCTGCATCCTCGTCTTCGTCCTCGTCCGCACCTGCCGCCGCCGCCGCTGAAGGAGTCGCCGCCGCCGAGCCTGAAGCCGAGGCCGAGCCAGAGCCAGTCGCAGACGGGGCCGTGGCCGTAGAAGCGAGATCGGCGCCCACGTCGGGTTCGGCCTCGGCGTCCTCGTCTTCGTCCTCGTCTTCGGAGCTCTGGTCGTCCTCGTCCTCGTTGATTTCGACGTCTTCGTCGTTCGGGTCGTCGGGGTCGGGATCATCTTCGTCTTCCTCCTCCTCCTCCTCGTCGTCATCGGATGCAGCGCTCGAACCCGCGCTACTTCCACTTGCGTTCTCTTCGCTGGATGCCACTGCCAGGGACGCCTCTTCTTCCGACTCGGAGCTGCTGCCATTAGTGCTGCTGCCTTCGTCTTCTTCATCCTCTTCTTCGTCACCATCTTCCTCTCCTTCTCGCTTGTCGGTGCCTGTGTCGACATCGATAGCTACACTATCGCTTCCGGCTTCTGCTTCGTCGTCACTTGCGCCATCTGACCTCGCCACACTGACCGTTGCAAGACGGCTTTTACTTCGCCCGCGTCCACTTCTTCGCATCGGTGTGTCCGGGCCCTTGTCAGGGCTCGCCAGGCGGCTACGATTCCCGTTCGACATGATGCCTCCACTGCCACTTGCGCTGCCGTTCACGCTCGACGATGCATTACGTGGTGAGCTGCGCACGGCGACTGGGATGGAAGGGAGGTCGTTGAGGCCATTTGCCTTAGGCGTGCCGAATGCTGTGGCTTGATTTCGCTTCTTGACGCTGCGTTGCCGGAGCATTGCGGGTGGGATGGGTGGTTCGATTTGAAATCGCGCTGGAGGAATATTCAGTGTCCGGTACGCCAGAGCGTAGCCAGTAAGCACTTCCTCTGTAGGTGGTCCTTCAGTCGCGGGTTCTTTGCCATTACCTGTCATGGGTTCTGTGGTAGGCCTGTCGCCGTTTGTCAGGCCGTTGAGCTTGATGTCTGATTGAGTGGCTTCCAACGAGGTCGCGATCTTCATTACTTCTGTAGAGGGCGGTCCAGGTGCGACATGTCCATGTTCATTGATAAGAGCTGGATCTTGCACAGTCGTCGCCTCTTCTTCAACGGATTGGTGACTTGGCAATGCCTTTGATTTTGAGCGAGGGGAGATAGGATCTGAATCTACCAGGTCTTCTGGCTCTTTTTTCATGTCAACACCCTCGGACAATGCGTTGACTTCAGCAGGGACTTCCTCTGTCTCGCTCTCATCATCTCTTGGCGCAATAGCATGAATAGGCTGACCGTCCAATGTTGCTTGGTCGCTTCTACCCATGATGTAAGGTGTCCATACCAATTTCTCTGGTCGCAAGGTACGGTGATTCTTTGCGGAAAATTCGGCAACAATACGTTCATACAGCTTTTTGTCATAACGGACCGCATATGTTTTCGTGACTGGGTCTCGAATAAAAGCATAAAGCCGTTCTAGTGAATGGATCACGTCGTCAGCTGTCATTCCTGTTCTCAGCATGAGCGTCTTTGTGCTGAAAGGTTTCATGCCCAAATCTAAGAGATGTTGTGATATCGTGAGGTCCCAGTATGACCGATATGCCGTTAATCCCATGTCTGAAAGTGGCTTTTCGGGTGAGCCATCTTTGCCTTCGATTCTTGTCAAAAGATACGAGAAGTCAATGAGGAATGTCGCATAGCCTTTCCTCTGGTGAATCGGCATGACGAGAATGCAACTAACGTTGTTTTGGCTGGCTGGTCGTTTTTCTTTGCTGAAATATCCGACGAAATGATAACCAAATTCATCATATTCCGTCAAGATGTAGAAGAGGAATGGCTCCACATCGTAATAGAGCGTCTTCGAACCAAGAAACATCTTCGCCATCAAACACAGGCATTGACAGTATTCTGTCTTTTTGCGTCCGTCCACTTCCCATACTGAAATGGAACCTTCTCGGTAGATCTCGTCTCCGGGAGGGTGTTTGGCTGGGCATTTGAGTTTATGCCGGTATGCGACGAATTCTGAGGGAAGATATTTTAGACAATATTCACATATGAATAGTCTCGACTCATGCGAATATTCTTCCGGATATGGAGCGGCATAGAATGTGTCGATGACAAACTTCCCAAATTGGATACATTTGATCTTACTGGGTGGACCTGATATCGTGGTCTTGGGTTTGATGGTTGCACTGTCTCCGTTGATCTCCGCCTCAGCTGCAGCAGATGTCTTACGACGTTCCTCCTCTGCTTCTTTTCTTGCAATTTCAAATATTTCTCGATCTTTCAATTGTGGTAACGACCGTGATGTATCTGCTTCAGCTTCCGTGAGAATGCCTCCATATGGTTTGGCATTGAGTTCTGCCTCTCGATCTGTAAATGCGGAGGGGAAAATCAAGTGGTGTGTCGGCAATGCAGGAAACTTGGGTACAGGAGGCTGGAAAATTGGCGGAGGTATTTTCTGTAATCTCTTTTTTTCTGTTGCCCGCGCTGCTCTCCTCTTCCCAGGTCGTGGAGGCTTCTCTAGAATTGCCTCAATCTTTGACTGATCGAGGCGAAATGCAAGGATGAATTTATGAGGGGGGGGTTTTGCGAAAGGACGATGTTGCAATATTCTTGCAACTGGCAGTGTTGGCTTCTGAAAAGCTCTTCTTGTCGAATGTGCAACTGCTCTGTTACTCTCGAATTTGTTGTCGGCCACCGTCACATCGGTAGGAGTTGCTAAAGCTCGAATCGTAGCTTTCCTGCGCCTCTTTTCAGACATTGGTGGAGGTTCTTGAGTTGGTGACTTTCTCTTCCTGAGGGCTCTTCCTCCGTCTTCACCTTCGGAAATGAGAGGTTGAGCAAAGATGGAGTGAGAGTTGGGTTTCTGAACTCCACGCGTCACTGGTAACAAGTCTCTAACGAGCCGAGGAGCGGAATTCTTGGAGCGAATACTTTGTTCTTTTGGAGAATCTGATTGACCGCGTTTCTCCAGGCAGTCAGGACAACGCCAGGAGCTTGCGTCGATCTTCACTGAACTCTTTTCTTTGGCACAGTGAAGATGGGCAAGACTCCCACATTCGGTGCAGGTCAAATCTGGTTCATCAGCATTGTTGGGCTCTTTCGTACTCTTGCAGAACAAACACTCCGGTTTCAAGTCTTCAGCTTTGGTGTCCGCTTCACTTGACTCTGATTCTGACTCTGACGATGTGCTGGCTTCATCACCACCTTCCGATTCATCACTACTGTCGGCGTGCTCTTCACCATCTTCCTCTTCTTCGTCTCCTGCAGCTTCCTCAGCAGCAGCATCATCATCGGTTTCGCCTTCCGCATCTTCGTCCTCCTCGGCCTCGCCATCTGCATCCGCATCATCCATGGTGACATCTCCATTGGGATCTGCCTGCGTAGCCGAGTCCGTTGCAGCCTCAGCATCACTGAGGCTCTCTTCAGCGGATCTTTGTAGTTGTTCGCCAAGGGCACTGTCATCCGGGTTCGGCATCTCTGAAGCAGGTTGTTCAGAGGTCAACGTGGCTGTGGTGGCGGTATGAACTTGCACTACTACCACATCCCCGACATCTTCAGCATTACCAACCCCGCCTCCAAGATCTGACACTGAGATTTGATCAGGTGTGTTGAGAGTTTGGTCGTCCGTAGTCTCGCGATCGGTTGTGGACACTTCGTCCAGCTCTTCTGAAATCAATGGCGGCATGTATATATCTTGAAATCTTTTTATTCTTCGTCCGCCTTCCCATGTGCCTGCATGGCACTACCTTCCACCCCTGTTCTGCGATGGACCGAAAAGCGAAGGGCAGGTGGTTATAAGTGTCCTGACTTATGCGAACTACTCTTGACAGTGAATGCGCCCGCACAGGCTGTGGAACTGGACTTGTTTTGTGTCGTTTTGAGGGGAGGGCACGGGCTCGCTAAGTGGTGGGTTGTACTGGAGGGTTGACGCGTAGGAACCTGCCCAACAAGGATAAGATGGGACTTGAAACTTGATATCTGAGGGTTTGATATCTCATTACACGTGGGGAGTGCTTATGCGATCATAGAATCATAGTATAGGTATCTCCAAAGGATCCTCGAGATCCCATCCGATGGCGTTGTTGGTGCACCCTGCACGTTGTCTCCCCAGGTTTCGGTCACGTGATTTACGACATGCCTCCGGCTTGGCATCTACCTTGAAGCTGCACCTGCGCCGACAATGCTCATCTCGGGACCTTCAACAGTGGACCACGACAGCGACCAGTTTCACGGACACTTTACAGCTCTTTCGTACGGTGTACAGTACCATTACACCAGTGGTTCTGGTCACGCCGTGCTCAAATCAAGCATATATCTCTATCCGAACCCACCACCTCAACCTCCTCCACCATGGGTGTCCCTTTCGAAGCAATTATTCCTTATGTGATAATGACGGCAATGTTTGGCGTGACAGTGTGTATACCCTCTGAGATCTAATAGCCACCAACTCTGACATGTCCAACAGGGTGCGGGACTGGCCACGGTCAAATGGGTTAGAAACGACGGAAAAGCACCCAGAAGACAATTGGATCTATGGGATAGACAAAGTGAGGAGATATGATTCAGATCCCCTTGGATTCTACTGATCGGTTGCGTCTGGCAGTGATGGAACGAGACTACAGATTAACAGGCACGCTTCGTGGTCAAACAGACAAACCGGTTGCGCCCTTGGGTTATGAAGGTTCGTGTTCTTGTTCATATCCGGGCTACAAGCAATCTTGCTAACGAGGTACAGTGAACAGTGCTTGGAAGGTCAGTAGGCTCCATCGTCGGCTCTTGTCGCCTCTCCAAGAACTTGAACTAATCATTCACTCAGGTCGAGCCCCGCGTCATATAAAGTTACTTCAGTTTTATCCCCCATCAGCATTGCTTCATGTCAACATGTACATACAAATGACCCGAGAAGGGTTCTCAAAGGTTCGAGACGAAATACTGTTACCTATATGGTGAATAAGCACCATCCAAGAATAAATTGGATGTTTCCAATCCAAAACAAGATAAAGGCCTGGCTTTTCTGCTATTTCTTCTTTCATTCTTGCTCGTGCTCAGTGGTCCTTAGTCAGCTGGTCCTCCTCTGTTCATCCGTTGTTTCACTAATATGTCTCCGCGAGGGTATACTATCTATGTGTTTGCCTTCCACATCTGAGATGTACCATTGGACCGCGGAGTCCACAGCTTGAGCTATACGCAAATACTTACACAAGCAGGAGTGCCGCGGGCATTGGTTAATCATCAAAAAGATTCAGGCCCATCGGGATCTGAGAGGCCTCGAATTCACTGACAGCGCCACAGACCCTTCTATAATCTATAATCAACACTGTCTTCGAACCCATTTGTCGCCATTGAAGAACTTCAAACTACTCCGAATTGATTAACTACGAAGTACACCAATTCCACAACAATCAATTGGGCTTAATACACATAATGGCAGCCAAAGATGATTTGCCCACGTTTGTCTCCTTTACCAAGAAATGGCACTCAGAGCCCGCGCCATCAATCTCCCCATTGCGCCCCGAACTCTCAGCGAAGGGGAGGAACGTCATCGTCACAGGAGGCGGAACTGGGATCGGCAAAGCAATCGCCACAGCATTCGGTCTAGCGGGTGCTCAATCCGTGACAATACTCGGCCGCAGAGTGGACAAATTGAAGGAGACCGCCGACGAAATCACCACCCAGGTACAGCAGGGCACCCGGATCCTATATAAGCAAGTTGATCTACAGCAACGCGTACAAATCGACTCAGCTCTCGAATCCGTTGCGAATGAGTTCGGCGAGATCGACGTCTTTGTCTCCAACGCGGGCTATATGCCGCCGATAGCCGGTCTTGCCGACTACGACGTCGAAGACTTCATGAAGGGCTTCGACCTTAACGTGCGCACTGCGTTCAATGCGATTCAAGCGTTCATCAAGGTGGCGGCTGCCGAGGCCGTGCTGATCAGCATCTCGACGGCCATGGCCCATTTTGCGCCCGCTCCAAATACAAGTGCTTACGCGGTGTCGAAGGCTGCGAACCTAAAGATGGTGGATTCTTTCGCAAAGGAGTTCCCGCAGTTGCATGTAGTCAGCATCCAGCCTTGTTGGACGCCCACTGAGCTCAACGGCCATCAGGACGAGGCACCTGATAAAGGTGATTTCCTTCCTTCCCTCGTCTCAGCCCGTATCATTTCCTTTCATATATCCCATTTCGAGAACTTCAGCTGACAAGTGACTCTTCGAACATGCACAGTCGAACTCCCAGGCCATTTCTGCGTTTGGCTCGCGTCTCCTGAAGCCAAGTTTCTCAAGAATAAGTTCGTATGGGCCAATTGGGACGTGGACGAGCTCAAGGAACGGGCTGATGAGATCAAAAATAACAAGTTCTTACTAACGGTCCATCTGGATGGGATTGATATGTAAATGAACGCGTGGTTTGCACGGTTATCCGCATCAGTTTGGAAACACCGCACCTGCTAGTCGCTTACCCGGTGGTATGAGATACGCATTTGTTTTCGAGAGAAAGGTCCTTGTTGAATATTTATCAGTATCAGGTAGCACTACGTTTGGGTAAGGCCGCACATAAAGTTAGCAGGTGATGTCAAGTAAACTGAGTAGAAAAAGTTGCGGGCGTGTGAACGATAGTTGCCAGATCAAAGGGTTTGTCAGCCATCCAAAGTCCGCGGACTTTGAGGCGCCCACTGCAGGGCCAAGTCAGGGTTCATAGCCTCCCCACCATGGGAGTCCTTTGGGGACATTAGACGTCTTTCTTTTCGTATACTATTGTTAGCCTGGATTTAAAATGCTTCGACACTAGTCGTGACACTGTTTACTATTCACGCATTGTCAACTTCTTTCACAACTGAACTTACTCGACTCGCGACAATGACTGAAGTGGCTCCGACCCGTCATCCGGGCCTCGGCCGAAGAAAGGCATGTGTATTCCAGGACAGACCTCGGAGGCATTGACGGACGTGGATTGACAGGAAATTTTAGGCATGTGATCTTTGCAATTCGAGGAAAATCAAATGCGATGTGAAGAAGCCGCATTGCTCGCATTGTGTCCTCTACAAGACAGACTGTACATTTACGCCGCAGCCGCGGAAGCGATCGAAGACCCAGCGGGCCGAGAAAGAGTGAATCTCCTCTCCAGCATTGATGCCTTTCGAAAAGGGGACGGTGCCAGTCCGAGAATCTATTGCTGACTAGATATACAGGTCGACAGGCAATGGTGACCAGCGAGAAGAGCACAGTTTTCAGGCGGGGACGAAGTGGAAACGAACCGATCGCAATGGGACCAAGCCGCCCACTACGGGTGCATCACCGCCTCGAAATGGTGGCACAGCAAGGAGGATCTGGTCGATGGACATCCAGCGCGACGGCGACTTCAACGAACTGTATTCGTTCACGTCACTCGATGCCGCGATCGAGATCCCCCAGGACGACAACCCGTCTCTGCCTCCCCTGCACGAGACACTTCCGATGGTGGAAGCGTATTTCTCCAATGTCAACAGTGCGATGCCGCTGTTCCACGAGGGCAAATTCATGAACATGCTGCTGGGATGGTATTCGGAGGGCAAGGTGCGGCAGAAGAGCTCGACCTGGGCGGCGATCAACGTCGTGCTGGCGCTGTCGCTGTGGCATGATGTGTCAAAGAAGACGCCCGACGACGACGCCCTGATGTGTCGCTGTATCAAAGATGCGCAGACGGCCCTGAACGTCTCGACCCTGAAAGAACATACGCTCCTGGACCTGCAGATCGTGCTTGGGCTGGCGATGCTGTTCCAGGCGGGTCCAAATCCCCGGCCGACCAGTATGCTGGTGGCCATGGCCGTGCGGATGGCGCACCGGTTGAGACTGCACACGAAGAACCGAATGACGACTTTCGACGCCAGTGAGAGCTGGGAGCGAGATCGAGTGTTCTGGATCGTGTTCGTGCTCGATAGGGATATCAGCTTGCGTCTCCGCGATCCTTACCACCAGCAGGAGCACGACATGGACGTCGACCTCCCCGAATTCAAGTCCATCGACGAAAACGGCGGGATCGTCCTCGGCAACGACGGCAACACGTGGCTCAACTTCCTGCTCTGCCGCATCGATCTCGCACGCATCCAGGCCAAAGTGTACGACGCGATCTTCTCGGTACAGGGCGAGAAAATGGGAGATCTACAGAGACAGGCCGTGCGGGCGGAGCTGACTGCCATGCTGCGTGAATGGAAGGAGTCGATCCCGCCGCAGTTTCAGCCCGAGGCGCTTTCGAGTCATGTGTTTGCTGCATCTGTGCGATTTTTGGCCCTGCTCCATTTCAGCTACTTCCACTGTCTTTATCTTGTCTGTGGTATCTTCTGCCATGATTCGGTCTGGATCAGGCGGTTGACGTCGTACAGCGATCGATATGCCATTGAGAGCAGTCAATCCAGTCCCGCTAGTGATATCGCGAGTCCTCTCTCATCGAATTGGCTGGAGAACATCGAGGCCTCTCGGGCGTGTATGCGGCTATTTCACGTCGTAGATCACAAGGATCTAGCTCTTGTTGGGTATGGAACCCCCATCATTCCTGTACATGAAGATCAGGGCGCTAACAAGATTCGCAGAAACATGTCATGCACGTACATGTCGGCAATGGTCATTCTCGTTGCCAACAAGCTCACGACCGCGGAGCATAGCTTCAGCGACCAAGTCGAGACAGACGATCTATTAATCGACGAAGGTCTCGACTTCATCGATCAACTGGCGCGAACTCTCGACGATGACAGACTCCGAAGGCTCTGTGCGGGATGTCACGAGCTCAACGCCCGCGCGACAAACGCGGTGATGAGCACCAGATTCGGGGGCACATGGAAATCCAAAGCGAGCTTGCGCCCCTGGCCTTCACTGGAGGAGTACTATAACACGACGGCGGAACGAGCGGGACCCAAGGAGAAAGTGAACAGGTCAGAGGAGATTCCAGATGCGTTTATTGTACCCGGCTGGGGCTTCGACGGTCGGCTCTGGGAAAGCACTGCAACTTCCTGGCCGTCTCGACATGCCAAACTTGATGATTTGGGCATTATAGAGTTGGTACAATCTTCAAAGACGTGTTCTGTGCCACATTATTTGGGATTGATTCCTTGAGATACATCTTGGATATTGAGATTGCAATATTAAGGTATCTGCGTAGAGAAATCGCCGCCCGGGAGCCGATGACCGGCCGATTTCGGCGTCCTGAGATCTACTTCGTACCACTTCCAACTTTAAGCAACCTTAAATACCCCTTGTTTGACCTCGAATACCAGCTTGATTCTTCTTCGTCAATCATCCATCCGAGGACGTTTGATTATGATAAGCCGTACAGCTCACGCAGGTCAAAAAGCACTTAGCCTTCCGTTCAAGTTTGTTGTTGGTCGGTCCACCGGAGCCCTCAACCCGGTCCTGGGTACTTGCAGATACTCCGCCCTCAAAATGAGTGTGGATAAGGAAGAATCTGATGGTCTGCAAGAAAAGTTGCGCCGACTTCATGACTTTTCACCGTGCGATGTAAGAAGGATCCCTCGGCTCTCTTTTCTTGGTCAGCTCAACAGATCAGGTGTCAGATGCTTTACTCAAGCTGCAGAAAGTCAAACCTGGCGAGGTAGCCAGGGCGGGCTACCTAGCAGATCTTGGTAAGTTGAGTGCAGGGTTGCTTCAATTATGACACTGTGTTTTTGACCCGAAAAGCGCCCTTTGCTTTACCACCTTCCCTGAAGAAAGGCAACGGGAAAATCATAGGCCCTGCATGCACTGTGAAGATGGTATCCAAGCATTCAAAGCCAGAAAGTGAACCACCAGTGGAGAACTTGATTCCCAAGGGGAGTCATTGGGTGGACCTGACAGAGCCAGGCAGTATTGTAGTTATTGAGCAGCCAGAGGGACAAAGCTGTGCTGCAGTTGGTGGGATAATGGCACAAAGGATGAAGGTCAGAGGAGCAGCTGGCTGCGTGGTCGGTGGAAGGGTAAGGGATCTTGCAGAACTGCGGAGTTCCGAACTACCGGTAAGAACCTGAGTCTGGATTCTGATTGATGCCACCTGAGGGCTTGGTAAGTGAAATGCTTATATGGAAGTGACACCCAGATATTCGCCAAAGGTCGGTCAACAGTTGGCACGGGTGCAGAATCGGTGCCTTATGCACGCAATATACCAGTATCAATCACTGGTGTGGAAGTATCTGCGGTAAGCCATTTTCCGGTCAGAGTCAGGCCATCATCATAGTAACTGACCATGTTCAGGGTGATATTGTTTTTCTGGATGCTGAAGAGGGCGTTGTAGTGATCCCAAGAAATCTGCTTGATGAGACTCTCTCACTGATGCCCAAGCTGGTATCAGCCGATGAGAAGGTCAAAGACGCATTGATAGATGGTATGGCGGTGGCCGACGCTTTCAAGAAATTCCGTGGATGAATTCACTTGACCATTCACTCATTTAAAAGATCAAGATCGATTCTAGTTGTTTGCTTTCAAGTTGTTGAGTGTTGCATCTGCTGGTACTTCACTTCCAGTTTCCCAGACCGTCGCGACTGCCTCGACAACTAGGACGCGTCACACGGATCTTTCACCCTCAGATCCATCGCGCACACAACCCGTTCACAGTCTCGTTTGAGTGCCCGCGTTTTTATTCCTTGCACTCCAAATTTCATATCATTTCCAACGGTAATCAAAATGTCGGAAGCCTCTAAGCCTCCTGATGCACAGCGCAGCCCCAAGCGTCCGATCGACCACATTGATATCTCATCAACCATGATGCCTCCCCCTCCCAAGAAGTCGCGTCTGGCTCACCTGGTCGAGTCCATCATTACCGGTTGTTCAGACCCAGACTTTGTTGACAAAGCACGGTGAGTTTCTCCTTCCACCGTCATCCCATCCCGACGAGCCTTGCTGATTATTCTTCTACAAGTTTCAACCATACAATCGACCAGACTACCCTTGCTCCTACTCCATGCAACATTACCACCAAAGAGGTCTTTGAAGGTGACAGTGTTATAGTTTCCAATTCCATCACATCATTGGATGGTAGTTATGGCCTTCTTTCACCACCACCTTCCGAACCAAGAGCCTCTCCTTACGAAGGAAGAGACTTGTCATGGGACGCTGCCCGATCGCTACAAATCACTAATCTGCCAGACAAAGTTTTGAGAATCATCCTCTCCCATGTCTTGGTGACACCCAAGGTAGCCTCAGAATGTGTCCGGCCATGGTACAAACACGGCATGCTCGGTGGCTACATTAGGACAGGCAATGACCCACAGACCAACACCATACAAGAGGTCACTCGAGACAATGTTGACATTGCCCAGACCATGCTGGTGTGTAAGAAGTTTGCAGAGCTTGGCCAGGATGTGTTCTATGGAGAGGCCTGGTTTCAATTTCAAGATGCCAATGCGTTCAATTGGTGGTACAAACAGATTGGGCCCCAAAACGTGGCTCGACTTCAGAAACTTGCTATACAAGTCATACCTGGCTTTCAAGTCGATGGACGGGTCCTATCCAGCCTTGATGTGAGCAGTGAGCAGAGATGGCTCCAATGCTTTCAGCAGTTGCGCCTGAGACACAAATTGGTCACCCTTGAGGTTACTGTGACTGTCGTCAATAAGAAACATTTCGTCAACAAAGAGGGACTTGCTGAAGTTCGCCAGTATCGGCGTCTCCTGCTTGATGAGCTGTTGAGATATCGAAACCTGAAGTTCGCCCTCCTCATTGATCATACCGGAACCTGGGGTGATAGATACCAGTGCCAAGAGCATGCATACGCCATGACTCGTCAAGAAGATGTCACAAAAAATGCACTACGACTTCCTGTCAAGCGCCCTACCTTGGATCAACTGCGAGCGGAAATTCGGCTAAGTCACAAGGAACAGGCAATTGTGGCCAGGGAGCAGCGTGATCGAGAAAAACATGAGCGGGAAAAGCGTGCTTGGGAGAGGCGTACTCGGAGGTACCAAACCTCAAATTATCTTCTCAATGATTTTCGCTTCGACCCTACTTCCACTGGATCATTCTATGGGAGTACATGCAAGCCCATCTCATCTCGACCAACAACTCGCCAGACATACATCAGCGATTATTCCAGTTCACACATGTCCACAAGCTCCCAGGGGCTTAGCCCCAGAGCAGACACTGGATCACTTCATTCTCAGACTCCTCTGTCGCCCATACCCGGCTTTTTCAACACCCATCAGTCCACAGAATCCCTAATATTCGACCCAGTTGCGAATGATCCGTCATATCGTTCAGAAACCCCACCAACATTCGAGAATGACGTCCCTGCCCCAGCTGGCACGCTGAGATCGCGTCCAAGCAAGACATATTCCAAAAAGAATAGGCGTCAAGATAGTCAATCGATCTTCGACTTTGAGCCCTGGGTGTTGCGCGCAGAAGAGATGGAAGATGGTCAAGCATGATGGCTGAAATTCAATCACGGCTTGAGAGAGCAGTGGTTGAGACATTTCATTTTCCCGGAGGCGAACTTTTGCTGTTGGACATATCGGAACAAGTTCAGAGAACTTTTCGACAACTCACTGAGGTGACCAAGTGCGAGCTGAGTGTTTCGGTACATTAGTCATTGATCAGAACCAAGCGACGATATTCAAGAGAAATGATTTCGGACCCGGCCTATTATCCATCAATCAGAACAGGATCGAGACTTGGATCACGGCATCTTTGTTTCCAGATCGAGCTTGCTTATTGGTCAAAAGGGGGTTCACGGCTCTCAATGTCGCGATTGATGGACAGAGTAGGGCACCACCGGCCGCCTGAGCTTGACGGGTATTGTCAGAATCAGGGTTCTTGCATGTAAAATACTGAGCTAGCAACAACGTGCTTGGAATAATCATTGAGCTTGAAAACGCAAGAAAAGTGCTGCCCCGAGTAGTTAGTATTTCAACCCCTCGTGCTAACTGCAGGTCACGAACTGTAAAGTCACGTTCAAACGAATCTGAAGACACGCACGGAGCAAAAGAGGCACCACCAACATCCAACAAACAAGACCACACCATGAAAATCAACGCGATCAGCTCCAATCACTGGAGCCCGCTAATTCTGTGGCAGCAAACTCTACATATACTGTATGTAACCCTGGGGCACCCTGTGCGAGAAAAAAACAAAACGAACCCTTCTCTTCTGTTTCCGATCCCATTCCGCTCCCCCTTTTCTTCGGGGGAGGAAAAAACAAAACTTCTGTGACTCTGTGCGATGGTGCGAGAGAGAAAAAAAATACCGTCCATCAACGTTAATGGGCGTGGCTGGGCCCTGTATAACAACATCATATCAGATCCTGGTGGGGGTTTGTTCCCCCCACTGGAGTTGATCATTCGCAAAGAGGCTAGGCTAGGCAGACAGGCAGGTGGGTAGGTGGATAGGTAGATACGATTCTTGCCTGCCTGCCTGCGGTGCGGTGCGGTGCTTTGCTTTGAGAAACCCCTCTCCTGTCTTTGTCTCGTGGATGGAGACGGGGAGGGAGCGGGGTTGAGTTGAAAATAAGGGGAAATTCATGTCCGGCTCGATGGAATCGATTGGACGGAGGAAAATCAATCAATGGAAAAATAAAACAAACAAACGTTCGGCTGCAAAGACTGTGTGCGCCTGTTCTGTACTCTGTACTGTCCTGCCAGTTTTGATATCACTGTTCAGTTGGTGGTTGTGTCAGCATGAGTTGGGCAAGTGGGAAGCGGGAAGCGGGAAGTGGGAAAAGGGAAAGGAGAGTCGGGGATGATTCACACCTTGTAGTCGCATGATAAACATCTAGTCCTCGGTCTTGAACGACACGATACGGCTCTTGACAATCTCCTCTTCCTCCTCAATGTCTAGTTCTCGAAGTTCTCCGGTGCCGACATTGTAGATCAGGCCGTGGACCTGGAGGCCCCGCTCGCTCATGGCATCGATGACGATGGGGTTGGTGTGGAGGACCTTGACACCCGCACGAACGTTGAGCTCGACCAACTTGACGCCCTTGTCGGTCTCGTTGAGGGTGTCCAACAGTGAGAGATTCTCCTGCCTGAGAGCACGCAACGGCATGAGCCACGTGTCGATGAGGCCGAGTTTCTTGTTGCCCAGTGCGGCGGCAATACCACCGCACGAGGTGTGGCCGCAAATGATGATGTGCTTGACCTTCAGATACTGGACGGCATATTGGATGACGGAGAGCGAGTTGATGTCGGTGTTGACGAGGATGTTGGCGATATTTCGATGGCAGAAAATCTCGCCGGGCTGTAGGCCTAGGATAGTCGTCTCCGGGCAGCGGGAATCCGCACAGCCAATCCAGAGGATCTGAGGGGATTGACCTTTTCCGAGGGATTCGAATAGTTCGGGCTCGGTCTCGGCGAGGGATCGCCGCCATAAACTGTTGTTGTTAAATGCCTTGGCGTAGGCGTCTTCAAATGGACGTCCATTTGTTACTGATAACGAGAATTGAATGTTAGCTTTTTTGTTGACTGGGACGTGCTGGAGAAGAAGAAAGTTGGATGAATTGAGAGGATAAGGGAGGTGGAGCTTGGGTCATGTGACTTCCGATTACGAATTTGTTGAGGCTGATGAATGACATTGGTAGACCAAAAAAAGTATGACCAGAGGAGAGACCAGAATACTCGTCCAAGGTGCATCTCAATGACAAAAATCATGATGTACATCAAGGGGAGTTGAAGGAGGTCACAGGGTGGTCATTTGGATAAGTGCTGGTGGAGAAGATGAGATGTGTTGAGATTGGGTTCCCAAGATCTCATAGATTAGCGAGTAAAATAGAAATGGACTTACTTAAAGGCATGCTGAATTCTTCGTCGCTGTTTTCTTGGTTGCCGTTTTCCTGGGGCTGGTTGGTGGTTTCTTCCGCCGGAGGGGCAGACTGAGGATCTGAGGGAGTCGCCATGGTACTATATAGTGGTGGTACTGGCAACGATGTCTGAACTTGGGATAACAAGCGAGAACAGCCTGAGGGAGGAGGAGGTGATAGTGTTGAAAGGAGGAGGGTGGATTTGGGAAGCGAAGCACCAGTGACGCCGCCGGATCTACGGTGCAGGTTGAGCTGGGACTGGGATCTTGGAAGCTCGTTCTTTGGCTGACGTGCCTTTGTGCTAGCCTGAGCCCTCGTCTTTTTGTGCAGCTGCAGTGACAAGGCCCCGGTTTGAAGTAGATGTCTGTGTTGTGATTCTGAATAGGCGAGGTTTGATGTGGTGAGACGTTGCAGACAAGGACGAGTGAACATGGGTGGCGGCATGACGTGGTGGTGTTTTGTTTTTTATGCTGGGTGAATGTTTTTCGTGCTCATCTCAAGAATAATTGTAGGGGACGAGCACGAGAATACTGACCGGAGCTTCTGCAACCCAACAGGCCTTTTTTTCTTTTCTGATTGATGGGACAAGGGCGATGATGGACATGTTCCAAGTGGTTGACGAAGACCGGGGGCGCACGGGATTCGACACGGATGATTTAGCGTGAATAAGCGTTGATGGTGGACATGATAGTGGGTGGCATGGGCAAGATAGGCTTCGAGATGGGGGGTCACCCGGGGGGCACTCAACCACGCCTATTCTAATTCAGGCCGTGCACAATCTGGTGTTTCGCTCCCCGAATCTAGCCGCGGAACAAGTTGGAACTTCAAATATTGGTCTAAATTGCAGAAAGTACAGCCTAAGGCCCGGGTGGCCGCCCGCGTTCCGCTGCCTGTATCAAACTCGGGGGGTATTATTGTTCATACTCGTACGGTGGTCATGTCTGAGGTGGTGGTTCCCGAGCAGCAGGTTATGTACAGGGGATTTACTGGTGACGCTGTTCGCCTATGAGGCCTGAGTCTTGAGATTTATCTCCCCGGATGATCTCGTACTCCAAAGCCTACGGATACCGAGTCCAGTTGCCCACTGGCAGGACCAAATTGATTCGTCCTTTATCACTATCTGGACTGGTCTGCTATGTATCATGCTTTCACCATTTGCTTCTTTTCCAGGGCATGTATTTCAGTAACACTTGTAACATCCGGCGACCCTGTCATTTACCAAACTTCCATGTAGCACGGTAGTTGTATTCTTGCTCAACATCGACCCATCTAATCTCCAACCCAACGTCGATCATACTGGAGATCCTTCGATTCGAGACAGGAGAGAGATCCCTCCCGTTTCACCGCCATGAGAACTCAATATCCACTGATAAGACCATATTTGATACTGCCTCATGCTCCTATTCCATCTCATTTCGACTGAATTCTCTCCTCCCCGTCTTGGCCAAACCTGCCTCCCAGACTCCCACTCATATTCGTACGCAATACCATGGTTTTCGGTATGGAGTACCTTGGCCCCCAATACCAAGCTCCCAACGGTCGTGGAGCTTATTCATGGCTATTGCAATGTGAGCCACTGACCATGCTCCTCGTCACTTGTAGATAACAGCGTGCACATTGTTCCTCTTTCCCTTTCTTGAAATGATACTCGGCCATGATTTCGCAGGGTGGATGTTACCGGTTGTTTCCCTAGGTATTGCCCGTCATTGATGAATGCACTTCAACCATGAACCTTGGCATTGGATTGGCAAAGGACGGCGTTCATACAAGAGAACGAATAGAATTTCCAGACATTTCATGTTGAGTTTCAATGCCTGGTCCAAGGCCGGAACTCCCTCAGGATAATGCCTCAAGCTTGTGGACGTGCATAAGATATGGACCCTCTCCGCAATACTTACGCATTAGCCAAGGCTACATACGTCCATCAACATATCCATCCTAGCATCATCTTGGTGTCAGTCTTCAATCAACTGAAATACCACTCGCATAAGAAGTATGCCACCCGAGGTGGGCTAGTTCATCCTTCCCGTGTCCTCGTGACGCCAGTCATGGTTCATGCAACAATGGAAAACGAGTTTGTACCAGTCCTTCTCTCTCGAAGACAGTCAATGGCGTCGAATTCTCACTTTCGGCAAATCATTTACACGATGGTGACCTCTCCACTTTGCATTGACTTCTGACCCAATATACTGGGCATGTAATTGATCTTGCATAGCGTGCATTAGCAATTCTTCCAAGACATGCGAACCATCGGGATCACCTTTGTTTGCGGGGATGTGGGTGTATCAAGACTCCGGGGTCAGGGTCAGCAGGTGTTGGAAGATGCTGTTGACAAATGTCGGGGGTCGTGTTGGAAGGAGGGAGACACAAGCTATCTTGCCTTCTTACTGAGATCTTCCAGCAAGACTGTCAACGGTCTATCGCCTCTCCTTAGTTTTGTGACATCCTTTGATTACTGGAGCCATTGTGCCTAGCTCGGTGCGTATACCGAGGCGACGAGTCTTAAGCTGTCGAAAGACGCGTTGGAGGCAATCCAGGTCAGACGGAGTGGTCTCAGCAGTAGATTTGAAGCCGTGGTCGTGGCCCAGGCTAGGAGATACATGGCTACTGCAAGTACCTCCACTTGGAGCTTTATACAACTTTCGAAAGAATGCCAAACCACTGATCAGTTGATGGTCATCTTCCCTTGATGAACTTGGGAGTGGAGAAATCTTCGTCACGTGATTTTTCAAAATGCCAAGCGCACAATTACTCCGCACATTGGCTCTGTCGAAGGCTCGACTGCGAAATTCCAACGATTTGGAGATTGTTGCTTTCCTTCCTTTTATGAAGTCCCTTCATACCAACTCGATCGATTCGTTCCCTACACTGTGACTCTTTGAGGATCTTCCGACAGAATTGTTGATATTTCAATTGATTCCTTGACAACTGCAAGGGTCGCAACATCGCCAATATGGTACGTTTCCTCCCGTTCCTCCCTCAACAAGAGTTTCCTTCCACGGGCCGTGTACGACCAGTGTCTGGACAATATTGGACCTGTAATTGAAGGTGGACTCGGGCGATTACACGATAACCAACACACGATCACGAAGACACATCATATACTGACAATCTCTTTTATAGTCGGACGGAGAAGAGCCCACCTCCCCCGTCGCCGCTGCCGATGAAGTCGAAGTCTCCGGAGATGCCGGTGCATCTTCTGGATCTATGTCTGTCCTCGATGCCCTGAAAGGTACGCTTAACTTCACATCGGCGGTCACATCTCAAGAGACATTGGTCTGACAACAACTGGTTCGCAGGTGTACTCAAACTCGCACTCATCCATGATGGTCTCGCCCGTGGTCTGCGCGAAGCATCCAAGGCTCTCGATCGTCGTCAAGCGCACATGTGTGTCCTCAACGAGGCATGCGAAGAAGAAGCCTACAAGAAACTCGTCATCGCTCTGTGCTCTGAGCACAAGATCCCTCTCATCAAAGTTCCCGACGGGAAGCTCCTTGGCGAGTGGGCCGGTCTCTGCGTGCTCGATCGTGAGGGCAATGCCCGTAAGGTCGTCAACTGCTCTTGCGTTGTTGTCCGAGACTGGGGTGAGGAGAGCCAAGAGCGCAATGTCCTCCTCAACTACTTCCAAACCGAGCAGTAGAAGGATGACTGGGCAGTAGGGGATTGTGTGCGGAGGAATCAGATGCAATCGCTACCGTTGCAAGGTTACGTGTGGTTGAGGCATATCTGTAATTTTCTCCACAAGAGGCATGGCATGGCATGGCTACGGTTTCCATCCCAAAAGATTTCCCAATATCCTACAAAAAATGGAGCCGACAACAACCTTCAAAGATCCCATTTCTTTTGCATTTCAACAATGGGATCATCTTACAATTGACAAATACGATCACCGATATTCAGATATCGTGGTTTTGAGTGAGTGGGAGAGGTATTGACATGAGGATTGGATCACTTCGAGTCGAATATGGATTCGAGTGGCCCCCACACATTTCTTTACCAAATCTGCCCACCAGGAATACATGTCCATAGTTCTTTCAGCTGCCCGTCCTTCTCCTGCTCGAGGGGAATGGGTCACGGTTGGACGATCCACACTGCCGATGACTTGTTCGCTTGCAGTGTGTCCCAGAAGTCGCTCGACATCCCGGAGGGGGATGTCGGTGACTCGAAAATTCAAAAATGCTTGTTATTCCATTTGATCTCTTGTCGATGCAATCCCGGCTCTTTCCATCTGTCTGCTTCTGCTTTTGCGTGCGCCACTGCAGTCACGCACTGTAATCTATGACAAGGTATTACTTGAGTGATCAGATAGTACTCGTGCTGTGCAATGGTGAAAGATGCGCCGGGCCAAATATCCTTGCTGACACGTGTGGAGAGTACTAAATGACTGCAGTCGTGGAACCCCTCCAGTGAATGGCATTCACTACTCGCCGAGTGTTAACTATGCCAATAGAAGACTGTTACCAATGATATTCGATTGAGAATTCTCTACGGTGTTCGTTGCTATCGAAGGATGTATGTACCCGGAGATATAGAATAGCTCCATCATGAGTATTATCACTCAACGACGCCTCCTTCCTTCTTTCAAAGCATTCCTGGAACTGTGCCGCTGTTGGTTTGGGGCGGGTGCTCAGTCAAGAGACCACGCACGCCTTCCACTCCGACGGCGGGCTTGTCGCTCGACAGAGGATTTCTCTCGAAACCTCGTCACACAACACCAGCACCCTCGACGCCCTCGCCGCCTCTGGGACCAGCCTCGCTCTGCTGCATCTTCCGCATGCGCCTCTTGGCCGAACCAAAGCCATCGATGCCCTTCTCCTGGTTTTCACCAAGCCAGGCCTTGGCCGCCTCGCCCAAAACACCTTTCCCAAGGTAGTAGACGAAGTGGCCGACCATGATGAGGGTGAATGCGATGGGATACATCCAGTGGACGCGGTAGTGGAAGACGCGGATGCCGATGATGACGCCCCAGAAGTTGCCGGTCAGGAGCGAGATGTTCTGGAACGCGGCGCTGGCGAAGCGGTACAGGATCGGGACCAACGTGTAGAAGAGCGTCAGGATCAACGTGTACCCGGTCAGGTAGCCACCGACCTTGCCATTCCAGGTCGCAGACCGGAACGCCTGGCGGTCGAAAATGCCCGCCTGCACGCCGTTGATGATGGTTGCCCAGAATCCGAGTTGTCCAATCACCTCGTACAATGGTCGGCCGGAGACGAACCATTCCTCGTAGACGTTGCACAGGCCGTAGCACGTGGCGCCGAGTAGCGCGAAGAGGTCTCCCTTCAACTGGTTGCCGCTGCTAATGTCGCCGCCGTTGGAGCCCGTGAGGTGGTCCGATCCGAGGAGGATGCCCATCCCACCAATGCAGACGAAAATTCCGAGAATCTGTGCCCAGTGGTAGCGGACGCGGAGCAGGAAGAACGAGAGCGCCACGACCACCACAATCGCCCAGAAGTTGATCAGCTGTGCGGATAGGATGGTCGTATAGCGATAGGCCAGGACGGTGAAATAGTTGCCCTCGACGTCGAAAAATGCCAAGATGATATCTGTGTTCTAAAGTTAGGATCCTGCCCATCTGGTGAGGGAAGCGGCGTGCACAACTTACACTTCCAGCCGTCCTTGAGCAGCAGTCGAGTCCATTTTTTGAAGCCGTACTGATAGATAGTGTAGCTCGTGTATATAAGATTAAGCAATACGTAATTGAATAGGGTCTGAAAGGCGGGAATACTGGTTCCCTCGATGACCAAGAGTGTGGTCAAGGTGTTGGTGCCTGTTATGCAGATAGCCAGTATCTGTCCCAGGGCCAAAATGAACCAGAAGTCTTTGGTCTTGAAGTACGCGAACTTGGAGCGCCATGTTTTCTTGGGCTGAGCTTCACTCCCATCAACGTGGCGCTCGGGACTGGCCTCCACGATCTCCGGGTCGCCGTGCTCCAATGGTGCTTGCGATGACCCAGAAGTATTGGTGCCATATCCGCGACCGGGGTCGATGCTGGTGGCCCGCACTGCGGTGTCAGTTTCCTTGAAGTGGCTCATGGTGAGGCTGGGGGAGATTCAAGAGATAGATTCTTGAAAACCAAAGAAGCGGGAGAAATGCTTGGTTGGAGCTTTATGACGATTAGCGCGCGCAAAGCTCTGAAGTCGCTCGCTGTGGTAAGAGAGGTGAGAAGCCTGAGATGGCGATGGAGAAAAGAGAAGAAGGAAAGGAACAGTCATTTTTCCGACAATTGGACGATCATTTATTCATGATGCAAGCGCGGCGTACACCGTGGGTGAGGTGGGGGTCTTTCGTGGTGCAACATCACGCACAGTATCAAAAATTTTCAGAGTGGTTGGTGGATAGCATCTAGGGGGCCGAGGCCTCCTTATCGATAAGGGAGGGTACCTAGGACTTCCGTTCCACGTGATTTTCACGTGATTAGTTTGGGAACTCACCACTGGCATTTGACCATACTTGCTCATGGAAATCTCATCAAGATCCAAAAGGAGAGGATTCAGCGTGTACCTGACAGATAACGAAGGTCGTTCTGGCATCAACCAATATATAGCTCATTCGACGTTGAACTTGGAGTAAGAGCTCCTCTTCAGTGGAATTATCCCACGTCTCCTGAAAAGTGCGATTGAGATTCACGTACTGTTCATGGTACGTGAACGGAAATGTTTGTAGCGTTTCATATCCATGGCGCATTCGAAGACATCCCATTGTTGCCATATGAGGCTCAGAGATTGCTGTATAGAAGAACACTTGCAGCGAAAGACAGCACACAACTGAGGAACGCTTGACCTCAGGACGAGGACGGGAAGAAGGAAGTTCACATCTGCCGTCCTGCCGATCAGTGAATGACTTGATCAACCTGCGTGCTTCGTTCGGAAATGCCAGACAGCTTTCAAGTTGACTTGGGACAGCGTGGGGAATGACAAGATCTCACACGAAATATCACACACTTGGCCTTTTCATATGTGATACCTGGCTCCGTTTACCTCGTAATCGGCTGATCATCATGCCGTGTTCCCCTAGTCAAGGCACATGGGGTACTCGGTAGGTATGTACCCGCAATGTGCAGCGTGGAAGGGGGTAAAACTTATGACTAAACCTTGGGGCCACCTGTGGCGCCAAGCGCGTCTGTAATTTACGTGCTTGTAGGGAGGGCAATTAATGGGCTTCGGATATGGTAGCCCACAGGCCAGGTGTGTTGCATCTGGAGACTGGTCAATTGTAACGCTCAGCACTTGAGCCGCGAGCGGCACAAGTTGGAGTCGCAGCATTGAAAGGTCGTTGATAAGTACCATCCCAATGACATCAAGTTGCATTACTACACACCCTAAGGGAGGATTGCCCGAGCTAGGTGGTCCCATCTCGATCGCTCGAGTGCACAAAGTTGAATCCTTATCAGAGGCGCACGACCTTATGCATGACTACCTACCTACTTGGTACCTAGAGGGTAGACTAAGAGCTTCAAGACCGAGCTCTTGCAGTTCTCGGCACATCAACCAGGCCATGGCTCTTGTGACACTGGGCGAAGATGATTGTTGACTGCGTGGTACGGACAGCCCCTTATTTAGATACCTGTCTACGAGTAGGTAGATATTGAGATTGCGGCCAGAAGGACCAATTTGAAACACTAAAACGGTCTTAAAGCTGAGTTCCAAGGCTCGGCGTGTCAGCACTTCTCATGTCGACACGTCTTGGAACAAGCAATGTGTTGACTGGTTATAGAAACGTAGCCTGAAGGCCAGTGCTGACTGCTGAGCGGATATAACGGGAGCTGGAAGCCACGTGCCAAGGCTCGCGTCCAGGGGGCTACCCACCTCTTTTCGTGGCGCCGGTTGAGCCCTATCAGATGTGCAAAGATGTGGATTGAAATCAAATGGGTTTCGAGCACCAAGCACCATGTACACGTAATAACCTCACTATTGTTGCTTGTCCAAGTTCACACCGAAGATACTTTGTAGAAGTTGTTGGTAACTTGACATTGCCAGTGCATGAAACTTCCCACACCTCCACTCTCGGCTGCAACAATGGATTTCTTGGTAGTCCTCGCTACTCCATACTGGTTCAGCCAGACCATACTTGGTACTTGGTACTTTGACCACTCAAGGGAGCAGGTCGCCAAGGAATTATGCATGGCTTTTAATCAGCCCTAGTTCCTTCCCGATGGTCAATGATACCGTATTCTGACTTGGACACCCACATGGTCGATGAGAAAGCATGACGATACTCGCAAGATCCTCCCTTAACACGTCTTGGGGAAAACTTTCGCTTGAAAAGATAGGCGAAAGCCAATGCAAAGGAGGCTCGAGGCTCACCTTGAGTCCTCCGGGATTCGGAGGATCAAAGTGGCTTGTCTCCCAGGGAAATAAGGAGGCTGCAATCAAGGTGGGGTCTGAAGGAACACACTAAAACGCCAAAGACCGGCGCCATGATTTCTCCCAACCACTCAACTGATCCAGTTTCCTCCTATCTCATAATCCTGGTGGATTGCCCCTTCCTTCAGAAAATTCCCACCCAGCTTTGGTCCAGGATGTCCCCTTCCTTGGAGTTCTTGGTAGGAGCCTCATCAGTCGTTGACTCGCAAACGATCGACCATCGGGCCAGGACCCAGCAGGTGGCACTCAACTAAGTATTGTCCACACTTGGCCAACAACGACTCAACTTTCCGATGATCCCAAGTCTACCGTGCTTCATTCCCTCTCTTTATCTGGAGAAAAGTCCACGTTGCTCAGTTTTACACTCTCATTGAAAAGAACCATTCTTGCTGCTCATCATCAGACCCTGTCACTCAGCCGCTCAACTTTTCTGTTATATGCTCCGCTAGTCGGTTGGATGACCTTTTTCCCTTATTCTGGCTTCTCGTCCATCAAACTTTAATTCGACGCAATCACGTCGCAAACGTGGCCGTTCGTAGACGCCTCCCAGTTTGCAATTGGATGCGTCCGTCTATTTGTTACCGACTGTCAATTCCTCCGTCATGACCCTTGAAAATAACGACGAGGTCCAGAAGCCACTCATTTCAGAGGAAGAAAAGGACATCTTTCTTGACACCACGGACGACTACAGCATTGATGCCCTCCGTCGAGAGAGACGGAGGAGGATCTTCTCAAAGCTCGCCTCGTTGGCCCGACCTGCACATGCCTATAGACTAGGTAAACGTTTTGCGTACTGCTTCGTGCCACAGATTCTGCGAACTCGAATCTGGAACGATGCAGCTTCGAAACCCAAATTCTTTCCAACGAGCTATTTGAACGGTTTACGTGGTATCACATCCGTCAAGGTCTTTACATTTCACTACACATTCGCTTTCAGTGACTTTGGCTTTGCACCATGGGGAGTAAATTCCGGTCACCGCTATATCTTGGAACTACCCATTATCCGCTATTTCTATTCAGGCTTCACCGCGCATGTCTTCTTCGGTATTGCCGGCTATCTGACAACGTTACGGCTCTTCCAGTTGATCGACAAACATGACCAAGCATCCCAGTCCAAGGTGCTTCAAACAGTATCAGGTGCGGTCTTTCGTCGAGGCTTCCGACTATATCTTCCTGTCTTCATAATTACACTCATTACGACGACATACATCCATTTCGGCTTCTATGAAGTCAATCGACCGCTGTTGATGGATCGTGGAACACTGTTCCCTGGTGTTTGGAATGAGCCCAAGCCCGAAATGCTCCCCACCATCTACGAACAATTCCGCTTCTGGCTGCACGAAATGTTCGACTTGACCAACCTACTGGAGCACGGTTCTGTTTACCCCTGGCACGACCAACATCTATGGTCAATTTTGGCCGAGATGCAGGGCTCTCTACATCTATACGCCATCCTGGTTGCGACAGCACTTTGCCGGAGGCCGGTGCGTCTGATAGTGATGATTGTCATGATCTACGTTTACTTTCTCTGGAACTGTTGGCAAATATGGGTGTATATACTCGGAGCAGTCGTGGCACAAATCGACTTACTCTTGACCGAGCGTGAAGAAGACAAGAAGAATTCGTTGGCGCTGGAAAAACTTCCACCTTCTCCTCCGCGGTCCCCGACAAGAGAAGAGAAACCATCTGGCACCTTTTCCCGCTATCGTCCTTCGAACCCTTTAACCTACTCCACCGGGTATTCTGTACTTCGAGTATTCGGATTCTTGGTTGCATTCTATCTTCTCTCCTATCCGATTGATGGAGCACGTGATAATGCGCCAGGGTATATGACGCTCAACAGTTTTATTCCTGAATGGATGGAACGCAAGGACAAGTTTTATCCCAACTTTGGGACTGCTCTCCTTATACTTCTCTTGGCGCGGTCGGACCCAAACAATTCTATTTGGCGGTCCATATTGAACAGCGACCTGGCACAGTATCTCGGCAAAATCAGTTTTGGCCTATATCTGACCCATGGTCCGGTTCTCCATGCTTTTGGGTACATGATCCCACATAAAGTGTGGCATGCAATGGGCACTGAAGGCATTGAGACAACAAATCTGCCATGGATAACTGCTATCCTTATTGGCTGGTCCATCAGCCTTGTCTGCTGCCTTTGTGTTGCTGATGTATGGAATAGAGAGGTGGAGAGTCGATGTGTGAAGGTTGTGAAAAAATTGGAAGAGTTTTGTTTTGCCCCTAAGAAATAGATAAAGGTCGGCTTTCCGGGAGATGCGCTTGGCGCACTACATTGCATCAACGAGCATAATGAGCGATTCCAGCGAGGTGGCGTTCTGGTATTCGGTGTCGGGTTGACATGGTCCTCGATGGGTATCAACATTTTGACAGGAAATACCTTTTTTGCCTGGTGGCACTGGAAACAGCCCGGCAATTCATGATTATAATACCAAAAGGAAGACTAATATTAACTAGACTGGGTCGAATGATAATGAGAATATGTCAATGAGACCTGTTCTGCAGGAATGATTCACCCGTGAAGCCACTCCATTTGCTTGTATGTCGGATAATACTCCCCGTTCGGTGACTACCTCGAGCAAGTCAATCTCTAACCCGCCACAATGGGATCCAAGCATTGGGAAGCATATAAAGTGCTCGAATAATGCAGATATGCATTACTTAAGCTGGATGCGTTGTGGCATAAGCGAAAGTCAAAGCACCGGTCAGCCCACGAGACACTTCGCAGACAGCCGGAGGGATCCGGGGATCTCTGTATCAAGACCGCCCAGCTATGTTCCTAACGAGCATGTCGAGGTTTCTATTCAGCAGCCAGCAATTGCAAGATACCTCTGTACATCTGAAAGTATTTCAAGTCTATAGTTTGAGAAGCGCTGCGATGCTCCACCACTCGGACCATCCGACCCATGTCCACAACCATATGCATCTCCATTCAACACGCACGAAAACGAGGCCGAAGGCATTACAGTTCACGCAACTGCAGGCGTTGTGCGGCGCCACTGCGCTCTTCGCAATAGTAGTGATCCTCGCCAGACCGATCTTGGCAACTTGTCTCCTGTGTCTGTGTCTTTTGGTCATTTATCTTCATCTGAAATCGCAGCCAAGCCAATCTTCTCATTTCTGGCGGAAATACGAACACAACCGTACAGGGGAGGTCTCGTCGTTACTTAACCCTGAGAGCATCTTGGACGACATGGTTGCATCAATATCCCCACCTAAACGAAAACCGGGGAAAGCAAAGAGTGTCCGATTTCTTTCTTGACTTGAGCGATGCTTTTGCCGGTGTCTAGGATCCGTTACGATTTTCGCCATCTCTGATACATATTATTTGGTATTATATGATTCCAAGGCCGGAGGATTAGTCGGATGTCGTTAGGTTACGTGAGTCCGATCCCTAAGTGACTGGCATGAGAAGACGACTTGTGGGGTGTGGGGTTTTGCTCATTTTCGGAACTCCAAATCCACACACTACTTTTCATGGGATGAGGGGGAATACGGATTCTGTAAAGACTACCGAGGTCAGTGTGCACTGGACGCACGCCTTGAGGAAATTCGAAGGTGCCCCTCGGAGAATGCACAGCGATGGATGTAAAGAGAAAAATCTGAAATAAGCACACAAACAAGTCAACAGGCTTCCTCAGAATATACTCTTGCTTGCCTTCGCCTCTTTTTTAAACTCGGAAGCTTTCCTCCGCTGCCATGTCAAGTATTTGGACCAAACTGATTCCCGTGGCGGTGCTCGGGTTGGCATCGCTGTACAACAATCCATATCCCCTGCTGAACCGGTTCGGTGGGCGAGTACTAGATCTCCAGCCGAACAACGACCACCTCGGTCACGGAGCGTTAAACAATGATAAATGCTGGACTTTCCCGGGTGGGTGCTGATTTTGGGTTTATGATGTTGGTTCAAAGACATCAAGGCTAATATCAAAGTAGTCGGCAAGGCATGTGAGGACGTCCGCATCCATCACCCGTCTGGAACTGCTCTGTTAGGTGCGTACAACATGATATATTGGAAACGGGTTTACTTGCTCGGTGAATTTCCATTAACATCCAACGTCAAGCATGCGGCTATCCCGAGACGAGGAACGTCTTCTATCCACCATTGGCGAGGCACGACACCGTTAGTGCGAAGACCTACAGGGAATACTTCCTCAAATACGACATCAAGGTCAGTGGCTCAGGACGTTCACATAGATTAACATTGTGATTCTAATGACCCAAAGTCCAACTCTACGGTTCCACTTGTCATCGAAGGACTCGATGCTTCGCACGACCTCATTCTCCATGGCATTGACTTGTTTATCCCCAAGGATGACAAATCTAGGGTTTGACTCAACCACCCTAGCTTTAGGCGATGCAGATCAATTGTTTGCTGACTCGAGATATAGATATATATGTTCGCAGTCAATCACGCTCGCACCGGAAGCGAAATCCTCCTCTTTTCGCACAAAATAGGCTCCGATGTGCTCACATTTGTCCGCAGCTTTAAGCATTCAAGTATCAAGACCCCCAATGCCGTCGCTGCAACCAGTCTCGAGTAAGTGCCTCTAAACAACTAATGATGTCTTGCTTCCGAGCTTGGAATAGCCACCATATGGCGATGGCTGACATAACATAACCTCTAGTTCCTTCTTCATCACCAATGACCACTACTTCTGGGGTGGCTTTCTCGGTGGCGTGCTCCGCAAGTTTGAGAATAAGTTCGGTCCCTGGAAATGGGCATCCGATGTCGTCCACTGCTCGGCAGCTGGCTCCCGGCTGGATTGCAAGACTGTTTCACCGACTCACTCACACCCGTCTGCGAATGGCGCACTGCTCATCGACGATGGAAAGGTCCTGTTGGTAAATGATGTGGTCAAAGGCACAACAACGTTCTATGATGTCGACCCGGTCTCGAAGGAATTGACTGTAAAACAAGAAGTGGTACGTTGAATGGGTTGAACCGCTGCGGATCATGCTCTTACTGACTTCGCTTTCAAGCGTCTGGGCGCAGCAGCCGACAATCTTTCAGAAATCCCTGGATCTGGAGATATCGCTGTTTGCGGTAAGTGATTGAGATATTTGTTTCATCTCTTCATCTCTAATAATGGCAATGTTTAGTCTTCCCTGATGTCATGCGTCTTATCGGACGACTGACTGGAGACAACCTCTTGAAAACCGACTTCAAGGGAGAAGCCGCAGTGCTGCGTCTTGTCAAGAAGAATAATTATCAGCCAGAGGTCCTGTACTGGGATGATGGTTCGCTCATAACTGTTCTCACTGGCGCAGCTGTAGACCCAGTCACTCGTCGCTTGATTGCTGGTGGAGTTGCAGAGAGGCATTTCATAGTCTGCGACATCAGCGGCGTGAACCTCTGAAGGGTCGATCAGAGCAACTTCTGCAAAAGCCAGACCCACACCGCTCAGGTTGCAAATGCCCGACCTTAGAGTCCAGACCGAGCCTCTCGTTGATGCAGGAGCTGAACATTGTTGACCGCTGGCTTTTTCTTAGAGCTGAAGCATTTGGCCTCTTCCCTAAATACAGAGGAATGTTGAGTCCAGGGTGATCAATCGCAAGACTGCACGCAGCCTATAGTTGTTTGACCATGATATTGTCTGTTTGCACCACTTCTCCGATCGTGAAGTCATGCTCACCGACCTTCACATAGCCGAGCTTCTCGTAAACCTTCTGAGCCTTGAGATTTTCTTCCCAAACACCCAGCCATATATGCTTGAAGCCCTGTTCTTTAGCCATAGCTTCGATCCTACTTGCGAGGATCTTCCCCACTCCAAGCCCGTGGTAGTCCGGATGCACGTATATCCGCTGGAATTCCACTGTGTTTTCCAGATGAACGATGCACGGCTCGCTGGTGCCACGAGTCAGAAGTGCGAAGCCGATAACTGTGTTGTCTGGAGTGGTTGCAACAATCATATCCTTGTTGGGATCTTTGACATCCTGGCTCGTGGCTGGTATGCTGTAAGCCTCGTCCAAATATGCTTGAAGCTCATGAGGTGGGACTGAATACCCAAAAGTCGTGCTGAATACGTGAGACCCAAGGCTGGCAATATAATTGATGTCTTCATCGACCGCGTCGCGGACGTTGATTGGTCTGGTAGAAGTTGTGTCTATCATGGCCGCGATTTGGACAAAGTCTTTGGGAATCTGATGCCAGTGTGGTGATCAATGCTAGGCCAAAAGTTGCATTTATCGCGGGTTCCAGACACAATTTATCCTGCGTAAGGCTTTGCCTGCAGTCGCTGCGCGACTGGACATAGAACCAAAAAGAAATCTCAAGACGAACGCTGAAGTTAAGGCCCGGAGGAAAAGAAACACCGACGCCTTATGACCATGTACTGTTCAACCATGTGCCTAAAGTGTCAAAAATCCTGGACCGAATCCGCTGCGGATGTTCTCCCCTGAGCACCGAGTGAACATCCCTCCAATAATCAACTCGTCATATCATTGACGACTCGGACCTGGGCTCGAATGTGCCAAAAAAAAATTCTATCGAGGTTCTGGACCTTTTCCAGGTGCTATCGCGGTGCCTATCTCGCCGCGCGAGCCGCCCAAGCATGTTGCACTGGACGCACGCCCTTTCACATTCTCGGGTATATTCTATCGACTGTCAAGGATTCTGGGCACGCTGGGTCGCGTCATCGCATGGACGCTTTGGCCAAATTGATGAAGTCTTTCGTCAGACACGAGTGGATTTTTAGGCATCTTTCCAGGATCTGGAGCTATTGAGGCTACTCTAGGCATGTAAGAAACCGAATTGTACCCGGGCCGGGTACCACTTGATGGTAGGTTTATGACAGACCTTCTACACACACATTCGTGCGGAGGCTAGGGTGCCAACTGGACAGAGCCATAAGATGGTTCGAATTGGTGGCGACAGCGGATTTTGAAATATGGCATCTCGCCCACTGGCCAGTTAAGGACCCCGTATATCTTCTCTTCATCCAAACGACACTCGACAGCTTTTACACGCATTAAGCATAGACGACGCCCCTGGATCACACAAGCCTGCGAAAATGTATCTTCGCGCGGTTCACGCCGAACACTCCATCCCAGCCTTGCGGCAATTTATCAAAGAAAACCCGTTCGGACTCATCATCAGCGCCATAAAATCTGTCAATTTCCCAACCATCCAATGCACACATGTTCCCTGGATTATCGACGTCCAGGACGACACGAGTGAAACTGAACTTGGCACATTGCGCGGCCACATGGCCAAGCCGAATCCGCACTCCAAAGCCCTGAGCGAAGCCGCCCAAGCGGATTCGCCATCCAACGGCAAACTCGCGGAGGAAGTGTCAGTCATCTTCAATGGTCCGGCGCATCACTACGTGACGCCCAAGTTCTACACGGAGACAAAACCCAGCACCGGGAAAGTGGTACCCACGTGGAACTACGCGGCGGTCCAGGCCTACGGCACGGCGACGATATACTTCGACTCGAAGGCGTCCGAGACCGGTGAATTTCTGAGACGACAACTTGACGATCTCTCGCATCACGCCGAAGCCAATGTCATGGGCTTCGTAGGTGGTGATCGGCAGAAAGCTTGGGAGGTAAGCGATGCGCCGCAGTCGTATGTCGACCTGTTGAGGAAAAATATCATTGGCGTCGAAATTGAAATCACCCGGCTGGAGGGGAAGTTCAAGATGAGCCAGGAGCTGGGCAAGGGTGATCGGGAGGGTGTCATCAAGGGGTTCGAGGCGCTCAACACCGATCAGGGTTCCAAGATTGCAAGGACGGTGGAAGAGAGGGCCGCGCTGAGGGAGTTGAAATTGTCTGCGTGAAATGAACTCGACTGAATGGCGCACATTGTTTTAGAGGCCCGAAGATCGCTATTGAAATGTTGTCACCCTCTCATGTTAAATAAGTGTCCAACTCTAAATGCCCATGGTCAGTAACTAAAGATATCTTGAGAGGTTTTTAAGATCTCACTCGTGCTTCTCGCCTTGTTCGTGGTCGCTGGAGTCAACAGCCTTCTGCTCTCGAGTCTCTTTCGGAACAGCAGGACCATCCCGGGCTGCCAACACTGGATCTTCGACGTTCAATGCCACCACCATCACCTCCAACACCGTGGCTTGATAGCCTGTATCATTTTCGTTGCCGTAGATCTCCTTGATCATTCTTTAGGGTACCCTCCAGAACATCACCAGATCCATCTTCCAAAGATTGCCTGTTCTGCTTCATCTGCAAATCCCGACGGGCTTCGGGCATCTCTGGCTTCCCACCCAGTGAAACCAATACGACTTCACTGGTCGCCGTCAGGGAATCCAGGACCTCCAACTCGCGGCGAGTGAACAAACGCGGTAGGAGTTTCCACCGAAGGGGGATCAGACCTGTTATCAGGATCGGAAAACCTATCGCGGCTACGGTCTGACTGATGGCTATCGACGTAGCAAAGCCAAGGAACTGCCAGAATAGATAGTGCCAAATCTGGCGACGAGGTACGGTGTTCAACGGATCGGAAGGCTGCCGGAACTTGGGGTCCCGCAGGAGGAAAGCAATTTTGTCTGTCAAGATTGGGTTGGTCAAAATGCTGCCCATCCCAACCGTGAAGAAGACTCCGCTAATTATGGCTCGGGGGATGAGGGAGATGACCGTCAAGAGTGGACCGGTCATGGTGCCAACGAGTGCCAACCCCATCACCAGGTGGGAAATGCGTTGTTCGGCCACGCTTTCTGCTGTTGTCGTCTTTCGTATAATACTGGGTTCATCTGGGTTCTTTGTTTCGATCACAACAGATTCCACCTTGTAATAGGTGACCGAATCGGTGTGAACAGGTGCTTGTGGAACCAGGCCATTTGGAAGTGGTATATTCAAGACACCACCAACAAGGCAAGTGCAACCAAGCAAAAAGAAGTCCCAATGGAAACCAGCAGGCTTCCTGAGTGGAAAATTTCGTGCTTGAGCAGTTAGCGATGAGACATTGTGGTCGTAGTAAAATAGGACAGTCATCAAGAAGCCAAATGGGATTGCGATGAATATCCATTTGACAGGAAGTGACCAGAATTTCATAACCCAGGGCCGATCTACTGTTGGGTAGAAGGGACGGGTGGTTGGAAGGTATTCGAAGTGGGCGTATGCGAGGTTTCCCGGGAAGTGCGTGAAACCCGTCCACCAGACAGTGGCTATGACATAGGCATAATCCGAGAGGAATGTGCGTAGCCAGGTCCGCGTGTAGGTCGTCTGACCCATTTGTTCCAGTAAGTAGACGGTGAGAAAGTAGAGTATTGCAACAAGGGCAGATGCGAAGCCATTGGAGATCTGGCCGTCATGAAATCCGATACTGAGCTCTTCACAGCCTTTTATAACATATACTGTACCGACATAGAAGCCAAATGTCTGGGAGGAGAAGTCTGTGACGGTCCGCATGTAGTCGCAGAGGTTGAAGATGGCTATCATCCAGTGGAAAATGGCGGCCCATATACCGACCCAGACCATAAACTGCGGATATAGCCCAACATCGTATATCTTGATGATATCGTAAATGGTATAGTTGAATAGTGATATCAGACCAGTGACCCCAACTACGGTCAAGGGTTGGCAAGAGAGCAGACTGAAGACGATCGCCGCAAGAGCCGAGGAGAGCAAGGCTTCATTGATGCCAAAGAAGCCCCCCGTGTTGTAAGACATATCGAGCTGGAAGGCCATTGCTGGCAGGAGGTTGATGAAGTATATTCGAATCGTGCCTGAAAGGACACGGTAGGTGAAGCCTTCACGTAAATCGCCCCAGTAATAAGGCATTCTCCTCTTCACGTCGTGGTACATCCCACGGCATGGTCGGAGCAGTCGACTACCGAAACCCTGATCAGTCCTCCATTGGTAGTCGTCCTGCGATCGTTTGCCTTGCTCTGGGTGACATTGGGAGCTCATTGTCGACCAACTTGGTGAGCCAAATCCTGAAAAAGTAGAGTGTGAGAGAACCAGTCAAGTATGAAACGACAAAAAGCCTTGATGCCGGCCCGTTCGGCACCAAGTGACCTTTAATATCTATAAGTTTGCATGTCCCATACTTAGCCCGCTAGTATGGCATGATGATATCTGGATCCACACTTCAATGGTAAGGTTTCCGCGCGTGTCACCGACTGTCATTGAATACCTTGCGCGGACCATTTTGGGCAAGCCTGCCCTTTAATCGAGGTTCGCTGGGCTTAGCTGGTTTAGAAGCCGCCATGCAGCTCAACTGGTAGATTTTGCCACTCTGCACGTCCGTTATTTCAGACTATCCTAGTGAATGGAGAATCGTAGTCGCATATGCCAAGGGTTACCATAAACAAGACAACGATCTCTCGATGTTGTCGAATTTATGCCAAGTCACCTCTAAGACTTGGTAGGCACTCATTGGCAGGGTACGACAGAATTCCCAGACTCCGTAGATTACTGGCGACTTTTCTTACCCTGTAGCCCGCGGTCTTCAATGATTCAGCTTATCAATCTAGGATAGCCCGTGAGTACTAAAGCGTGTAATCAATCATAGCTACACATCCAAGGAGCCATGCCACAAGAACTAGAGTTCACCACAAGATATTATGGATAACTTTTGGTGGACCAAGGTGCAAGGCTCTCTCCAAGACATATGCTAAACGGTGGAGCATTCGCTGAAGAGTGCAGTTGATTGAATTCTGCCCGGGCGGAAACTTGACATGGATCGGCGCACGACTGTAAAGACCGCTACGCCTCACCAAGAAAAAAGGTCTGCATCCTTAAGGCATGACATACTTAGCTGAAGAGTTAGGCACCCGGAGCATGTTGCAGACAAAGTGGGATAATGGCCCCAACATGGTGGTCGGCTCCCACAAAAATGTCTTCGCATGTGGGATTCGGAACTGAAGCGCGAGGTAAAACTTGGAGATCTTCTTAGAGATTGTCCTCCTAGTGAACTCTATTCGACCTTCAAACGATTCGGTTCGGCATTGGTTACCCCAAAGTTGACTCCCACTCAATAATCTGACGTCTTCGATGTCCTGAAGTTTGTCGAAGATCTTGAGCAACGATCACAGGTGTTTCGCTTCTCTGAAGTTGGTCATCCTGCTTGTATGATCAGTTTTGGTCGTTCCTTCTCTAGCCGACAAGTAGACATCTTTGGATATTACCTGCGAGACCTGTGTAAACTACATCTTGCCAAAAATGCACCGCTTGCATGCCCATAGCAATATTGCTAAGGAGCTTGACAAACTCATTGACTCGATCATAGCCTCGTCAGCAGCCTCGGGGGTTCGGATCAAGGTTGAGGCAACTATCATTCACGACAAGCCACCACGAGGTCGGAAGAATATACCAGATCAGGTCACCCTTGATACGATAGACGTTGAATCTCTCCGAAGCGCTCATACTTGTACTGGCTGTGCTCATGTGGAAGAGCTCACTCCAGGCGAAGAGGGTTATCAACTACCTTCTCCAACAAATTCTGACAGTCACAGTCCGAGGGTAGCTGACGGTCCTGAACAACACGGGCAATATGATGTGGATACCGGGAGGTCATCAGGGCTATCAGAAGTTCCAGCAGATGACAACACCAATGTTTCAGAGCGTCTCTCGACAAGACGTAGGAAGACCGTTGGTGGTTTGTCAATCCCGAGGATCAGCACATTTCCCAGCAGTTTAGCTGGAGAGGCGGCCCCCTCAGAACCAACGACGAGACAATTACAGACAGGTCATGATCACTTTCGCAAGCGTCGCAGACTTGAGAATGGACCTAAACTTGAGCAGTCAACTGTGGACAAACTAATCGAAGGAATTTGGAAAGAACTACACAATCCCAACAGCCTCGTTCTTGACCAGAAATTCCCCGAGATACTTCAGGATTTGCGCGGTGAATCAGGCAAGGTGGACCTGGGGAAGCCGGTGGATACAAGCAGTTTCGACGCTACCACTACCAAATGCCGGCAGATCACTGAAGGTGCGCGGACTGGGAGGGCTCTGGAAGTGATAATGCAAGCACACTGGGTCGATTCATTTGATGCGCAACTAGCAACCTTAGCCGACAGCCGGATATATCTGAAGCCCTCAGAGCAGAAAAGGGCAACGCTTGCCAAAGCGTGTGAATTGTTCAAATGGACAGAGAAGGAACTGAGGAACCGAATGTAAGTGTCAGGGTAGCTAGGAATTCGTCACCATCAGTATTAACAGGAACAGGGCAATTTGGAAGGGTTACCGCGATATCAAAAATGCTGCTGGCTGGAGTGCTTTAATCTTTGCAGGTCCAGGGATATACCGATTCTGCAAATATCGATTAGGTCTCGACCCCGATGCGCTTGTCAAGTTGAGAGGATTGAAACAAAGGTTCGAAATTGCCGCAGACACTTTGCACCTAGATTGGAGGAAGTTGCTCCCAATCGTTGGCGAATCTGCTCAGCTGCATTGGCGAGGGCATCCACATTCCTGGGTGGTGAGCAAGAGAAAAGATCCGCTTCCGTTGGCATTCACATATCGTCAGTGGGACACCAATTTCTCTTTTCATCACATCACCGAGTCCGAGGTGGACAAGCAAGAATGGGGGGACAAAGATCCTCGAACACTGTCACAGGGACCAGAGTTCGTCTGCGAATTGTGCTCTCAGCGTCAATCTGCAGTGGCCGCCCAAAACGAGTGTGTCTGCTTTGCGGAGATCTTTGGAGTCAACGCGCAAAAAAACATCCCTGTTCAAGTGTTCCAGACCGAGAATGGACGCAACAATGGAGTGATAGCATGCTGTTCGTTTGCGAGAGGCATCGCGATCGGTGAATACGTGGGCTTTATCACCAAAGGTCTTGCCAACACTGATGTCATGCAAAGCCAGGCAGGGGATCATGAGCCATATCAGATTTGGCAGGGTCGGTGTGGAAACTTCACTCGGTTCATCAATCACTCCTGCGAGCCAAATTGTCAGTTTCAAACCTTTTCGTGGCTGGGAATTCAGAGGATGCTGGTTATTTCGAAGGGAGTTCCCGCTAGCAAGGAGTTGACGGTAGACTACTCTTCACGGTATTGGGAGCAGCTAGACAAGAAATGTCTTTGTGGTTCGGCGCGGTGTCGATATGCACATCGATCGGGGGAAACGCAGCACACGGGGAACAATTCGATCAATTGAGAATGAGGGGCCTTTCAGCTACAGCTAAGCCCAACTCCAGATTTCAACTCCATAGCTTTTTCTCCCTATCAGTGTTCCTTGAGTAGCTCAGTGGCCCGAGTCGGAGTAGCTGATTGACACATCTTCCATCGCGAGAAAAGAGCATGATCCATCAAGCCAGATCAAATCTTCTCCAGTGCGATGTGACATCCACACTTTCCCTTGGGTCGAATGATATGCTGCCCTTCCACGTTTCCGTCCTTGAAACATTTGTCCAACACTTTGCTACCTGCAGTTGCGACTTCGACATAGTTGACGTTGCACTCCGAGGATGCAGTGAACTGGTCGTCGTAGTAGACGCGAACTGCACAGGACTTGGCTTTCTGGACAACATTGTTAGCAAGACGTACCCTGCAGGGGGAACATGACTTACTGAGATAGTGGTGTACCCTTTGCCTGAGTCTTCAACATTCAAGGCAGTAACTGTAGTACCGGGTTTCTCGATTGTTTGCTGAAGGGCTTCAATGCAATCATCGGAAACAGGAGCATCTTTTCCAGAGCCGCACTGAGTTTTGCCAGTATCAGTAGCCAGATTGCGCAACACGTCCTGTTGGGTGAAGAATGATGTATAGGCTTCACGAATTGCACGAGGCATGGCAACACCTGGATGACGATAGGCTTGATTTTGCTTGTCCATGGGGAGAGGAGTATGATCTGCACAGTTGGTACGGACGAAGATCGTGTCACCCTTGAGGTTTGGAATGGAACTGCCCCAGGCATTTGCACTGCGACCAAGATCTGCGCCGAGTAACTCAAGGTTGCAAGCGTTGCCTTCGGTATGGTAATCAAGAGCACAATCCTTTCGTTGGGAATTGATTGTTCTGCCCCAGGTATGCGTGCCGCAGACTTCTCGAGCAATTGGAAGGAAGGTAAAGTAGCCACACTCGTTGTCTTTCAGAGTGACTGTAAGCTTGGGGGAAGCGGTGTTGCCCTGCTTCAAGCCGCGCCATCCACCTGAGACCTGTGAATAGCAGTCAGCTTTTGTTGTGTTGATAGAGGGAATGGAACCACTTACACCATCTTTCAAGGTCTTGATATCAACGGTGTTGCCGAGATTGCTTCCACCGTTGTAAACGGCATGGTCATCTGGGCTAATACTGCAGGTAGCGGGTCCCATGCAATAAGGGTTCGAGAAGACAGGGGCTTCCATGGTGTAAGTAAATGTGGTTCGGATTTGACAGAAACTATCACATGAGTAGAAGTCACCTGGGACAACTCTCCACTCGCAATCGATACCGTTTGGTTGATGATGATGAGGTGCTGGGCAAGACTCTTCACCATATTCATGATAAAGAGCCGGCAATGCGTTCACCCAGTCGCACATGTTCACCGCCATGGTGTTGGTGAGAGCGAACAGGTAGGTCATCATCACGACTAAGGACAACATCGTGGCTGGTTTCACTGATGAAGGGTTTGGCAAAGACTGGAAGGATTGCAAGCAAGAGCACACTTGCTGATAAGTGAGCGCGAGAGTTTGAGGTGTAGAGAAGCAACGAGTCTCAAGGAATGTTTGCGAGCAAGACCCGCAATATATATAGGCAGTATTGATCAGAGGCAGTCACTGTCGCGGCAATGGAGCGTGAAGGGTACAGGCAGGGTGAAGTCCCTTGTCATCGTTTTTCAATAGCCGACGAGGCAGTGTTTGCGTGACAAGACGTGACAACCCAGTACTTGAAGGATGAATACCGTGACAACGAGCACGAAGAACGAGCATCAAGCCTTATGTCACCCCGACCCCGACCTTTATCGAATGGCAGTTTGATACTTCAAGCTTTGCACGTGAACAACAGCACTCCAGCATCTGAGTGGAACGCAGAAACCCTTGTCGTTAGAGGCCATCGAGTGGATGGTGCACCGGCATGGTCTCTGGGTGCGTGGATGAGATAATCCGTTCTTGGGATATGAAGACCAAGTTGCTAGCAGCATATTTTGTCATGTGCTGAGGGAGGAGGCCAATTCACAACCTGTAGAGCTGTGTAGTTTCGCTGTCGCTCGTAGGATATCGCTCAATTGATTGCATAGATTGAGATGACCTGGGTTTTCGGTCGTTCTGAGCCGGTCAATAGACCAAGTTCTTCCACGTACCATTGTGCCCAGAAGATACGATGCGACATCTATACACAATGAGTTCACTGGTGTGGGCTGACCTACACTTGTCGACTCTGATGCTTGAAAGAGTCTCCTTCGATTACTCGAGCAATAAAGGACGTCATGTCATGCTATTATCAATGATACATTGCGCTGATCATTGGCTTATGTGTATATACACACAAGACAAGGACGTATATATATATTGTAGAGCAAGGATAGATGGCGATCACGGGTGATTACTGCAGATGAAATTTGATGGAAATCGAGAGTGGAATCGACTCAATAAATGTGTGTTGAGGTGAAATTTGGCACAGTTTGTGTCAGACACAGACTGTTGCTGATGTTGGGGAGCCTAAGGCATTTAGACTTGGTGAAGGCCGGGAGAATAAGAGTCAGACAGACAAGGAGTTTTTCATTCCTTGGACTTTTGCATCACCTTATCCAAGTAACTCATACCTCACCGAGTACCTAGGTACCGAGGCAGGTACCTAACCTTAGGTGCCGATGCCTAGGTCACCCCCAGTATCACCTACAATCCATCACCAGTTGGTGACTTCCTCTCTCACTCATTGTTTATATTCAGAGTCTTCATCCATCCCCCGGAATATTGTATCGCTGCAGCCTACCAATGCCTCTTTGTGCCGTGATGACGTTGTTGAAGTGAATCGGAGGCCTTAAATTGACCCTGCAGATATTCCTTATCACTCCACGAGTTGTAGCCTATGACCAAGCAGTTTCAGCCCTAGCCCCCTCCCAAGGCTAAGTCGTACTGGGCGTTATTGTGTCCCGTACTTCGTAATGCTGGGGTGCTCCAGATACTGCAACGGTAAGCCATTTCCGGAGAAACTGAAGCCGCAATCGTGAATTGGCAGGTGCCTGACTTGCCCCTCCTCGCATCTCTTCGTATCTTAAACCAACCACAACATTCAAGTTTGTCTTCTCACTCTGGCGTGACATCAGCTGAATTTCACAGCTTTTCAACAGAGTCAGAGTGAAATCATTTCTAACCACTTCATCATCTTTGTACCCTATCGTCCACTGCACTCAATACGTGGTTGACGAAGAACCCATCCCATATTGTGATTACAGATTCCGAGCAACAACTAACTACTATCCATCTACTTTACCAAGACCATGACTAAACGGAAACAATATCCACTTCGTGGCTACGACACCTTCGAAGAAGAATCCCATTCTGGTACTGCCGGATCGTCAGACAACCATCCCATTTCATATCAGCGAGAAGATTCAGACAAGTCTAGATCTGCTGCAGCGGAGGCTCAACGCCTGGGATCTATGGGGTCTTGGGCGGACCAATATAGTGGTGGCCGGACACCAGCAACCAATATGACCCCTACGGCCTCGACAGTGAATGGGGACGACGACAATCCTCAAAATTTACAATATCCTAGATTCCTACACGACTCGGATCCATCTGATCCTCCACCAGTCTATACTCCCGAAGCCAGCACGAATGGAACGGCAGCACCACCTTCTCCAGTGGCTCTAAGAGTGGCACCTGCATTTCAGCCAGTAAGCAACCCCGTGACCGACGATTCTTCCCAAAATCCTTCGCAATCTGGATCGCAATCACAAGCCCGACGTCAATCATCTTCAAGTTGCCCTTACCAAGTTGATAATGAAGATGCGGACGATCCATCTGCTTCTTTACTCCCGGAGCCGGTTCAATACCCGTATCAGCAAGGCTGCAGTCAACCTTCCACTACCCCTCTACCGCCCAATGAGCGTATATCTTCCAAGAAAAGGTGGTGTCTCCCACGCCACACTCACCGCCGTGTCGCTTTTCGTCGTCAAGATCCGAAATGTAGAGCGCGTCGTTTCAAGCGCACCTGCTGGTTCATTTTCTCTCTACTGCTGTGCCTCTGGTTGCTGATTCCGGGCCTGTGCAAATCGCTTTCCAATGTAATTCCTTCCATTTTCATTGATTACCGTCACAGAGTTGATCACAGCTAACGAGCGCCCTTACACAGAAAGGGGAGACACAATTCCCGGACGTTGGCTCCTTTCCAGTCCCCCGACGAGAGTATCGCCAGCACGAGTCTTCTCAGTCCATAACCGGCACTTATCCGCTATATGACCTACTCGATCTTTCCACAAAATCAGGCAGCATCAGTATCACGGTCGATATACAGCCGGGGGACAGACCTGCTGTTCTCAAACTATCAAGTACATCGGGATCCATAAACGTCCGAATGGTCCCCGCATCCAACCAAGGTATTTGGTCGTTCTGGAAGAAATCCACAGGTGGTGAAAAAACACAACAGAGAGTTGAGAACCTAGATCGGGTCTTCAAAACCGACATTTCAACCAAGTCTGGCAGCGTCGGCGGGACAGTCGTGCACGGTAATGGAGGAACCACCTCCATCTCCACGGGCTCCGGGAGCCACAGCATCTCAATCTATCCTGTTGGAGTCTCTGGAAACGACCCGTCATCCACTCTGACTACGACTGCAGGGTCTGGAAGCCAAAATGTCAAAATTCTCAGTCCCAATTCCGTTGCAGGATACCAGACGACCACATCAACCATTCGATCCCTGAAAGTCTCCCACACGACAACGGGATCTGGTAGCATAAATGTCGTCTACCCAGGTGAATGGGAAGGCCAGCTACACGTTCTCCTCCAGGGAAGCGGCAGCATCAACGCCAGAGGCCAAGGTCTGCAAACTCAGCAACAGGGCCGACATGAGTTGTTTGGTTGGAAAGGGGTAGATTCCGAAAACGCATCTTCCGTACAGATTACCGAGAGGGGCAGCGGGAGTGTCAATTTCCAGTGCTGAGTTCCACTGACTGTGACCCTTTTGCTCCGAAGCCCGTTGATGGAAAGCGGGAAAACCAGGGGTTGTACGAATGTGAATGACACCTTTTATCTTCGTCGCGACTTTCGCTAGAAGCACATGTCTGTGGAGTTTTGGGGGTTTTATCAATCTTCACGGTTGTGCACACTGATCGGTAGGCAGTGCCAGGTACTATCTCACACCTGAAGGCTATTCGGGTAATAATGTCCACATTGTGGACTTTCAATACAAAGTTTTCGATAACATTCTACATCATGATATACACACAGGCAGTGAATATTAGCCATCCGTTCCAATACTGCAGCCATGTTCTCAGTGCCCTTTTTCTACCAGCTTCTCCTGCAGCATCATCGTGCGTAGGGAAGGAGCTTTCGGACCCACGGCCAGCCGGGCATTCTGCTCCGTCATGGTCCTCCAGCGGTCGAGAGCTGGGCACCCCTTTCTTCTTCGAGATGTGAGTCGTGATTGACCTCGCCCGCTCATCCATCCCTCCCCTCGATTTCTCGAGTAACGCGGCCGAATATCCAAATCGAGCGTGCCCACGGGAATTCTCTGCGAAGCAGGAGGTGAGGGAAAGGAATGGGAGCGTTGTGGCGGATTCGTGTGTGGACTATCCGACACCCACAGTGCTTTGTAATGGAGAAGCCCTTGTGGTCATGGCCATTCAGCATGCTCGTATGGAGTCAAATGGCGCGGTCCCCAATCGCATTGGCAAAGTGCTCGACACTGACCGGCAGTACGGGCGAAGCTGCTCGGACTATGAAGTGAGAAGCTTCATTACATTACCAGCGAAGGAGAAGAGTCCGCTTCTGTATCTAACGCATCGCATCGCTTAGGTGTCATATGTGCGTTGCTTCCATCCTCATAGACCGGGGAACATCTCAGAGGGAGGCACCCAGGGTCGACCTCTCAGCTGTGGTGATTCTTCAAAACAGCTTGATCACTTGTGAATATATCGACCACCTCCGCCCATGGCTTCGCTTTTCGCAAAAGCTCTTGGTGGACTTCGCATTTCTGCCTGCGGGGTGTTGGACCTCAATTGCTCCTCGCTGCCACTCTCGCTCTGGCCCTCACCAGTCACCCACATGTCTTTATTTCCATTGTCGTCAAGACCAATGGGGCGAAAAGTATCGCTGTTGTCGTGGCCGCTTAGCCTCCACGTGTCAGCCTTGTTGAAGCTGACGAGATTGAACGGCCCACTGATATTCGGTGTCTTTCGGCCCCCGCTCTTCTGATAGTCTTGATTGGCATCGCGGGAGGTTTTGGATGTCGTCAATCCGAGCTTTACGGCTACCACGTGGTACAGTGGACGAAGGCAGGCCAGACTGCCAGCTGTGATGGCGAGCCCGAGTTCGATGTCGGACCACAGTGCAATATTGACGGTGGCCCCTGGGAATCATCGGTTAGTGGATCATTGCAGAGATTGGGATCAGAGATTCTTACAAAGGAAGTCCGGGTTTGCAAAGTCCCGAACATATGCCATGCGCACCAGAACAGCGATAGCAGCACTGCGAAGAGTCAGCCCAGAGACGAAAAGATAGTGGAGGACATTAAACTGACACGCAGCCCATTCCCAGAATCGGGATCAAGACGATTTTGACTCGTCTATCCATTTGCAGGTTCCACACCAGGAAAATCGGGAGAATTCCAAAAGTGAAGTCGCAAATCGCGTTGACAACGCTGTAGAAATATGTCAGGCCGATAATGACGTCCATGTCGAGGCATTGGCCGTTTTGATCCCGATTCCAGAAGTATGAAACAGGAGAACACTCGAAAACGGTGACGAATAGGAAGACGATCCCGACAACGACGGTCGTGCAAATGACACTGTAGATGATCTGTCTCTGTATTCTTGCAACCGTCACTCGTAGTAGAAAGAAGCCGATCGAGACCTTGGCGAAGATCATGGTGAGTGAATATGCTAGATAGCACAGCCACCAGTACTATTTGCTTGGTCAGTGTTCACTCGAATGAAGGAGCCAGGTTTGTAGTATACCCGAAGCGCTTTCATGCTGTCTTCCGGTTCCAGGTCAGCAAAATGTCTTCCCGTACCATAGTGAACTCCGGCTATGACACAGGTTGAGAACATAATGTAGCACGCCTATTGTCCCTTGTCAGTACAGGAGTGTTCAATCCTCGGGACCGGGGATAACGAACAGCTGCCGCCACCATAAGCCAATCATCAACTCCAAACCATTTGACGATTCGTGCCCTGACATAACATCGTACCACGGTTGTCAAGACTGCCAAAGCTAGGAATACTGCACAGACATTGCGCAGCCGAGGCCCTCGATCTTCAACCATGTTGTACTGCTGGAATTCCGCGCGGACCTGATTTCAATATTCGTCGCTGTGGAAGAGATGAAAAAAGTCTGCGAGCCTCAGGATACTTGTGGCCCTGCTGTTGGGTGGTTTTGACAACACTGAAGCATTGTCCATCCGAGGTTGGAAGTAATAGTATTTGAGAGCCCCCTGACGACACATAGCGTTGCGCCCCGGACCTGAAACTTCTCAACGTTGATCTCACCCAGGTCTGGGAGGCACCTGCATAGTGGTTACCCATGCTAGACTGTGTCTTTCGCGGGTGAATTTCTTCCATGATCTTCGGACCAAAGACCCATCGTAGCAACAGCCGGGGTATACTGGCAGGGAATAAGTCGTTGCAAAGACCCAAAGTGGTAATAGTGGGCCGATATCTCGTAATTTGAACCCCGGTTTTCTTTTGAGTTCGACTTATCCAGCCCTGATGATGGGGAATTGTGCCCAAAGCGTTGAGCAAAGTGCAATAAACGGTCAAATGTACCTACCTAGGTATAAGCTAGGTGATAGTTCATTGAAGTGAAACACACGGACGACCATGTGAGTTCCCGGATTTGCGAGCGTTTGGTAGTGAACAGGTTGCATGAATATCGAGAAGCCTTATTTGCCGTGGGAGAGACGGCAATTAGTCATCGTATCTCAATGCTAAAGCACATGCCTCTGGGTGATGTGGAGAGGTTCCTCGCTTGTGCGATTTTTTACACGAAACCTTGGCCGAGGCGAATCACTCGGCAACGTGGACGGCGCAACGCAAGCAATTGTTGTCATGAACATGGAGTCAGTGCCTCGTAACGAAAACCGAAAAATTTCGATGTTCGGCCCCAGAATTCGGATTGGGAAGGACGACCGACAGGAGGGGATCAACGGCCCGCAAAATGTCATCTGCATCGCCGTTTTCTCGGAGACCTCAAGAACACGAAGAGTTGTATTAAGCTTCTGAATAACGTGGAGCCGTGGTTAGTGAGTTACAGATCTCGTGCCTGTGATCTGTCTTGGGTGGATTTTTTACCATATTCGCCAGGTTCTAGTTGAGAGTCTAACTCCTCTGCCCACCACGCGTGGCATTCGGGATGAACCTTCGGGATGGCCCTGCCCTGTTGAAGGCGGTTGTTTTGATGGGGCGTGGCGAACTCGCTGTCACACTCCTGGCGGGCATCTTGTAGGGTTTTCACCGGAGAATGCAAGGTAAGTAGCCCTTGTGCACCAGAATTAGGCCAAAATGTGTATCAAGGTTGTTACACAACCCATGCTCAGAAGGATTGTACTTGGAAACTTCCCAGAGCAACTCGACCAGAATAGTCTCGCTAATCTCGCAGGAGCGATCAGGTACGCTGTGAAGCGGCAAACATCACAAGCGAAAAATCCATCATATTCTCGCTAGCACCCCTTTTCTCTCCATCTCGCTCTCAGTCCATTCCCACAGTTTTGTCGCCAGCCTCTCATCTAAAGCCTGTTTACTTGGCTTCTTCTCCACTGCAACGGGAACGAAATACTTCCCCGAGTGTTCCACACGCAGATCTGTCCCAGCAAGTGCCCACAATGAGTTGTAACTACCCTGTTCTGGACTGATGTAGGTGCCCAAACACCTCAATATGGGCGTGAGTGTCGATCCTCCTAGTGTTTTGACATTAAGCTGTGTATCGACATTGCCGGGGTGCAGAGAGATCGACCAAACTTTGCGGTCATTGTTCGGGAGACTAGCTCGCTCGTGTAGAGATCGTGCATGCAGGATGTTCCCAAGCTTACTTTGTGCGTATCTGCGAAACGTGAATTTTCCTTTTAAGCCGGTGTCTTCAAATGTGATGCCTTCCTTGAGTGTGGCGGCGTGACCCATCGAACTAACATTGACTATGCGAACGGTGCCCTCGGGAGTCATTTGGGCAGTGGTCTCGAGCAATGGAAGAAGATGATAGGTCAACAGCCAATGCGAGAGATAATTCGTTTGAAATTGAGATTCGTACCCGTCGTCGCTCAAAAGGTAGGGAGTGGCCATGATACCTGCGGAGTTGACCAATCCATGCAGCTGGGAGCACTCCGAGCGCACCTTCTTAGCTGCTGCATAAACTGATGCCAAAGACATCAGGTCCATCACAAGGATATGCAGATGTGGTTGAAATGCTTCATCCGCTCTGGAAATCGCTGACTTGATCTCTTCGACCGCCTGAATGCCTTTCGTCTCCGAACGAGAGGTTAGATAAACGGTTGCACCACGCAATGCAAGATGGTACACGGTCCAATAACCGATGCCTGTATTTCCCCCCGTGACAACATAAGTCCTCCCTTGCAGGGCGGGCAGAGCTGTGGGAGACCATTTGAGAGGTGCCATGGCAGAAGGCAATTAGAAATAAGAGAAAGATGCGGGCTAACGTGTGATCAAGGAAATCTTGGATTCTGCAATCGGCATAGAAGCGGTTGATGGATTTCATCGTCGAGAGCTCGCAACCAAAGGGGCATTTTATGCTTCTCTGCAGCATCCAAGAACCTACCGTCTCCTGCATTTTCATTTGCAATCTAGGCCAACGTCGTGTTGTTGGGAAGATTCGTGAGCTAGAAAATGCGCCTATGTGAGTTGATGACAGAGGGGCTGAGCTTCAGCATTAATGTTTCAAGGCACTGGCAACAGCGAGATTCCTGGGGCTCAAAATTCGGTAAGAAGTTATTCCGTTCTAGCTGACAATAACGGCTTTAAAAGTTGCTGGAGTTTGGGAGACCCACCGTGTCAGCAGCTTGCATGAGAAACATCCCCGGGGGCCTTCATTCGATGCCACACCACTTTCCTGTCCTCGTACGCCAATAGTATTCATCGTTCTACCGGTAGACAACCGGCAATACGGTTTCAAGAAGCCCGCCCTGTTCGATCTATGAACCCAAAATGAATGTCAGCGTCTTAAATCCTTTAAGACCTTCCATACTGTTCTGCTCTCAGCAGAATCACTCCCATTTCTGCTGGACTTCCAAATTGTGAACACCATTAATCAGTAAAAGCCTTGGAGAATGTTGCAAAACTCCGAGATTCAAGCCGAGCTGAGGCTCCATCAAGATGTCCAAACACTCGACGATGAGTGGTCGGGAGTTACTGACCCGGTGATACGTCGCAAGCTTCAGAATAGACTCAATCAACGGGCAGCGCGTAAGTTGGTGGCGTACAATTAAAGATCTCCTCATTGACCTGCAACATGCTGACTCGCCCACTAGGACGACGCAAGGCTGATAAACAAGGGCAAGCACAGATTCCAAAGTGTCCAGGGCCCGCAGGTAGCCGAGAATCCTTTGAGTCCAGAGTTGTGCCTGTCCTTCGTAAAGGCTTTGGCCTCAGCGATCTCGCCAAGCTTCGCTCTTTCACCCTGAAGTCTTCGGAGTGGTCAATGGCACAGGAGCAATTCAACAAATCGAACAAATCTACCTTTGTATCAATCCGCAGCAAGGCCGCATGCCAGCGATGGTATGAGGTCATGTTAGAAGGACGGCTGGTGGAGATCAAGGATATGGCATCCAGAATCCAAACCGAACGAGACAGTGCATGGGCTTATCCACTCCCAGCCGATCATCTCATCTCCTTGGTGTACTACAACGTATATCGCGCCATGATCAAGAATGTTGAACTTTTGGGCTTAGATCTAAATTTAATGTACACAGATGACTATCCCTCACCATTCACCCCGTGTTCACAAACGGCCACATCAGCCATCCGTCGCCTCCCCATTTCGCTCGAGCCGACCGAACTGCAGAAAAGTATGGCTCATCATCCACAGTGGGACATCATGCCAGATCCCATTGTGAGAGACAACATACTTCGTTACGGCGAAGAGAACATCAACGATGTCGAGTTGTGTCTCGACATGGTGGGAGGGGCTGGTGAATTAAGTGAGATTTCAGGTGACACCCAGGAGAAGACGGGGTTAATTATCTGGGGCGAACCGTGGGATGTTGACGGTTGGGAGGTCACCGAAGCATTTGCCAAAAAATGGGGCTTCATGTTGAGAAATGCACCCATCACCATTAGTACGAATCGATGGAGAGCAGCACGAGGTGAAGACCCTCTGGACTTTGACACGATATTGTGGCTTGATGTTGATTCGAGTTGAAGCTCAAAGTTTGCATGAGGGTGTCCTATAATATCAACTTGGAGATCTTTGGCGTGGAGTTCGGTGTATCTGCCTGCTTCCTACGACCGCAGTTAGTGGAAGCTATGTTTTAGTTTGTGCCATCCTCTTTGCTCAAACAGTCATGTCCTATGCTCAAATTTCATGGTCCGGAAACTGTGCACACGACATCTCGTACGAAACTGATGTTCACCACAATCATGCAACTTTGCAATATAACATGAGTGGCGCTGGGGGTACACCAGACGTATAAGAATGTGTCAGTGGAGCAGGCACGCGATTATCCATCAATTACCCTGTTGGTGCGACGTATGAAGGCTGATTGATCCCAGGCCTTCTCTCTGCCGACGAACTACAATCATCATCATTATCATCGAACACACCGGCCGTATCGCACGTGTAGTTTCACACATAATGTAATCAAAGGATCCGGAACAGGCAATTTGCACCATCCATACTCTAAAATGGTCATTCTTCTTCCAAGGTTATGGACCGCGGCACCTGATCAAGTTACTGGATTGTTTACTAAACAACACAAACACGAACTTGAAGACTAATCAACTAGCTACTTAGACTTCGACGCTCGAAACTATATAAGCTCCAAGAGCTGCTGTCAAGATGTCGAAGGCCAGTTTGGTCATATACCTCAACGACACCAACACTGACAACCACGATTTTAGTAATGTCCGAACATCAAACCTCCTACATCTTCGTCGTGGGTGGGACAGGCGCCCAGGGCATTCCCGTCATCCGCGGCTTGGTCAAAGACAAGAAGTATAAGGTCCGCGCCCTGACCCGGGACCTCAACTCGAGCCGGGCCAAGGAACTGCTCGCACTCGGAAATGTCGAGTTGGTGGAAGGCACCTTTGCCAGTGAAGCCGACCTTCGCAAAGGATTCCGCGGCTGCGACGGTGCATTTGTCAACATCGACGGATTTAATTGTGGGGAGAAAACCGAGATTTACTGGGCGATCCGCAGCTACGAGCTGGCTCTGGAGGAAGGAATCAAGTTCTTCGTCTACGGCAACCTTGACTACGTATACAAAAAGAGCGGGTATGTGTTGAATCCGGTGACTCTCTTGCGTAACCGTGAATGGTTAACCGCCTTGTCTTTTTAGCTATGATCCCAAATTCCGGACCGGTCACTACGACGGAAAAGGCAGAGTTGGAGAATGGATTTTGGCCCAGAATCAGGTCAATCGAGAGAGGATGGGGGCGGCGGTGTTCACAACTGGACCATATATCGAAATGTCAATCGCAAGCGCGACCATTTTCACACCCACTATTGAGAATGGGATTGTGACGTGGCGAGTACCTCTGGGCGAAGGGGCAGTGGTTCACGTGTCTCTCGATGACTGTGAGCACTATGGTCGGTGGTTGTTTGATAACACGGCTCGATCAAATGGACTGGACCTGGAAGTTGCGATTGATCATGTTCCTTACGCTGACCTGGCTGCCGCATTCCAGAGGGTTACCGGACATCCTGCCCGATATATCGATACTGACCTGGAGACATACTGGAAGACTGGAAATGTCGCTGCCGCTGCGAATACCGGGGGTGGATATAACTCGGATCCCAAGGACCCTGCATTTATGACGTTCCAGCAGAATTTCACAGGCTTCTTCAACATGTGGAAGTATTCCGGTGGCAATAAGGGAGTGATTCAGCGAGACTATAAAATCTTGGATGAAATCCATCCCACCAGAATTAAGAGTGCTGAAGAGTTCTTCCGGAGAGAGGACGCCCGCGGTAGAAGACTCGGACTGGGAAGTCTTTGGGATCGTGTCCAGCCAAAGAACTTGAAGCCCATTCTCAAGATTGGGGAGGATAGAAGGAGAGGTAGATTGTAAAAAAGACCGTTGAGAATGGAAATATTAAAATCATCAAGGTAGGCTAAATAAAATCACAAGTCTTTACCAGAAGATATATATCCATTCCACATCTATATGAATCCGAAGATCTCACCCCTGGGATAAGGATTGTCAAGACGTGTGAGTTGATGCAAGCTGTAGCTATTATAATACAGTAAATGACTGTGGAGAAGGAATAACGACACCTGGTGGATGCTTACCTAGAGATTTAAGTGGCCAAGCACCTGTGGCGCAGTTGTTAGGGATGACGCGCTTAAGGAGCTTCCCTGCACGCCTAGGGCCGCCTTGGGCCAGTCAGGGCATAGAGGCTCAACAGCCCCGTAGCCTGTAGGGCCGAGGGGGCCAAACCAGCAAGGAGCGTGACGTGGGCGGCCTCGCGGCTTTAGTTAGCAGTCGCTAGTTCCGGAATCGTCCTTTGGTTACTGACGCCAGTCGGTGATGCAGTCTGGCTCGGTGCTGATGCTTGCTGATGATCATCATATTCGTCCTGTTTTGGAGAACCGGCGTGGCGGGCAATTGCAAGGCATTCAAGGAATTCGTCGCAGCAATGCAAATCACCCTGCTTCAAGTTCGCCAACCCTGATTCTCATCTGATTCATTTCTTCCCAATCCTCGTTGTCATCCTCTAGTTAACTATCTGTCCGTCACACCAGCTTGCGCCAACTTGAATTACATCGCAATCTCTTTGCTTTCGGTCATTCCGTCATCCCATCTTCATCGAGTTGACGAAACGTGTAATCTTTTAATAGCTTCCTATATTAATCTACCACTTCTCCCACTTTCGCGCAGTTGGTCACAGGGATGGCTACACTCGGTGATCCTGGTTCTCCCTTCGGGGGCCCGAGTTCTACTTCCCATGGCCCAGGCGCCCCGAGAGACAATGCTCTCCCTCCACCTCCAAACGTTGGTCAAAATGGCGATCTGGATGATGCACATAAGCAGAGCATTCGACAAGTGCTTCAATCCGATGTAAGTCGCGCCAACCGACGAACGCGCCAGCTGTGACTGACCTGCCGCATAGATCGGAATCACGACCCTCCTTGCCAGATTGAAACAAAGCATAAGTTCGGCAAGAGTATGTACATCGGGCGAGCCAAAGCTACATGGTTGCTGACCAGAAATAGGATTTCGCCGCCTTCCTGAAAGAACGATCGATCCTCGAGGAGAAACACGCCAATGGACTCAAGCGTCTAGCTCAGAATACGCACAGTTCAATCATGAGGCCTGACAGTCGACAAGGCACCTTTGCACAAGGTTATCAAGAGATTGCAAGGTCGCATGAGCGAATAGCGGACCACGGTACTGCCTTTTCAAACACCCTCTATGGGATGACCGACCAGCTACTTGACTTGGCCAATAATTCAGAAAGAGGCCGTAAGCATTGGAAGCAAACAGGCCTCAATGCTGAAAAGCGCGTACAAGATGCGCAAATCGCCATGGAAAAAGCAAAGGCCAAATACAATTCCTTGTCAGAACAATACGAGCGTGTGAGAACCGGTGAACGAGCTGGTGGAACATTCGGCTTCAAGAAGTCGGGTGCGCAGGAAGAGGAGAACATCCATCGCAAGCTCGAAGCTGCCGATGGGGACTACTCATTCAAAGCTCAAGCCGCTCAAACCATGCAACAAGAGCTGCTCAGTACTTTGAGACCACAGGCGGTGAATGCTCTACAGGAGCTGATCTTCGAGACCGATGCCGGACTTACAGTACATATCCAGAAATTCGCTGCACAAAGTGAAAAGCTTCTCCTGGGTTATGGACTCAGCATTACTCCACTCAAAGGCTCAAATCCATCCGGTGCACCTCCCACAAAGAGCCTGCGAGAAATAGCCTCAAGCATCAACAATGACAAGGACTTTGCTGACCATGTCCTGAGTCTCTCCAACAAAGTTCCACCAAATCAGTACATGCCAAACCAGGATGGCGATTCCCAGGGGCAAAATTACCCAAATCACAACAGACAGGTTTCCGGCGTCACATCATCTCAAGGTCCTTCGCATGATGATGGTTATGCATATCCCGGATCTGGTCCTCAATCACAGCAACAACCAGGAATTCAAGGGCTTGGACAGAGCTCTACTGGACCAAGGCCAAATTATCCACCTCAACAACGTCAAGGCTCAATGGATAATCCATCAGTGCCTTCCACAGCTCAAAGTCAAGCGGGTTCCGGCGCTCCACAATTGCCTCAGATCGAGTCTATCGGTGCTGATCGGTTTGCTGGTCAAACTTCGGGTGTGATCTCAGCACCAGTACCTGGCCAGAATGACCCGAATAATCAAGCACCGTCTGGTTTCTCTCTTGACCCGAACAACGGACTCATGAGTGGCAGCGGTCCAGGTCAAGGACTACCAGGTTCTTCTGGTGGGCCAGTAGGAGGCGGGGTTGTTGGAGTTGGAGTGCGGCCCCCAGGTGAGGTGCGACAACCTAGTGGTGAGTCGCAGCAAGCAGGACCTCGACCTACAGGTCCGCCACAGGGCGCTGGTCGCGGAGCAGCACCCGTTGGACGAGGAGCACCCACTGGAAGAGGCGCGCCATTGGGGGCAGGAAGAGGGGCTTCACCAGGAAGCGGACCTGAGTATACAGGACCTCCAGGTGCCGGCAGGGGGACTGCCAACCGTGGTGCCCCTGTGGGAGCTGGCCCGCGTGCAGGTGGTATTGTAGGAGCTGGGCGTGGTGCTCCCGGATCCGGACCTGACCCATCACGAGGACTTTCGCAACCACCATCCAACGGAGCCTTGCGGTCACAAACTGGGCCAGGTGCAGGTCCTACAGGTCCGGGCACAGGCGGACAAAGCGCGAGTAGGGGGCCAGCCACATCGAAAGCTGCATTGCCGCCTCTCAAGCCGGTCTTCGGAGTGTCTCTGGACGACTTGTTTCAGAGAGAAGGATCGGCTGTTCCTACCATCGTCTATCAGTGCATCCAAGCCGTTGATTTGTATGGACTAGAAACCGAAGGTGTCTACCGGACATCAGGTTCCGCCCATCACATCATGGAACTTCGACAACAATTCGATCATGGTAAGGTTGTGATTCCCATGTCTGAATGAAGCTAACAGATTCCAGATTCTGCACTTGTTGATTTCCGCAACGCGTCCACCTTTCACGATGATATTGCATCGGTGACCACGCTGTTGAAACATTTCCTACGAGATTTGCCGGAACCCTTGCTCACAACCGACCAATATCACGGGTATATCCAAGCCGCTAAACTCGAAGATGATGTTGTGCGACGAGATTCCATCCATGCTCTTGTAAATGCTCTACCAGATCCCAACTATGCAACTCTGCGGGTTCTCGCCCTCCATCTCCATCGAGTTGCCCAACGCTGCGACAAGAACAAGATGACCGTCAGTAATCTGGCAATCGTTTTTGCTCCGACATTGATGGGTCAGCAAGGCACCACGAACGGCCAGTCGAACGGCATGAGTGCGGACATTGCGGATGCTGGCTGGCAGGCAAAGGTGGTGGAAACTATATTGACTAATACTCTCCAGATATTTGATGATGACGATTGATACCTTTTTGACATTTCGGGCTGAGCAAATCACGGGTTGAAATTCATTTTGTTTTGATAAGACAACAGCGTTCGTGGGAGGTTTCAGAATATACTCTTCGAAGCCGTCGGAGCCTGTACGCCCTTATTTTAGCCTGTGCTGTTAGTAACAAGACCGTACTATAGTATCGTTGCAGAGACCCTCCAGATGTCTGGTTTGTTCGTTTTTGTGCAACAATCTAATTCAAATAATCAGAACCATAAACATTGACCTGCTTGTCCACTATACCTATCTCCATGACTTTGCTTCAGGCCCCGCCTTAACCCTGTCTGAAATTTCAAAACTCTTATTTCCTCGTTTCCTACTTCATAGTATATGGTCTAAAGGCGAAATATATACTCGGTAATGCAGTCAGACAGTGCAAAAAAAACCCTCCAACTTGACAGAGCGGCAAAAAGTCAATGAGTGCATTCTGAACTCTCGTCCATGCACTCCGCGTGGGACTCGAACCCACAACCTTTAGATTAGAAGTCTAACGCGCTACCATTGCGCCAGCGGAGCATTTTAGATCATTCTGAAATCAACCGTCAAATCGGCGTTGATTTTGGAGCATTTTTGAAGGATTTACATATACATCTCAATGTCGGTGCGGGGACGGAAGTGCGCTGAGTCATCAGTCGTGAGGGGCAGTTTTCGCGCAGACTCCCAGAGTTATGCGGGATAGGGGTCCAAGATGGGTGATGCTCGTTGTGATGATTGTGTTACACACATGAACCACATCCTCATCATGACAGTGTAAAGGTGGGTTGCAATCTGGATTGGGATGCTGTTGCTACATCAATTGAACTTGGACAATGGCATTGTTCGAAGTTCACAACCTCTCATTATTGTGCTCTAGAAATGGCAATGAACGACCCCTATATTCTTCTCATTAGAGGGTGGTCGTTGACACTGATGACCACTCTCATCTAGTCAACGATACTACATATACTCTCAACGCAAAGGACCAGCCTTGACGCAGCCTTGCATATTAGATACCTGTCCACTACAAGCACCATCGTTTTCTCTAAGCCATGCTAGCCCTTTATCCTGCAAAAGTCATATTTGGGGTCACTCCGGCCTTGGAGCATCTCCACCCCCATGATATACCGCCGGTTAGCATGCCCGGCACTTCAGAAACCACTGGGTTTCTGACTGGGCACCAATGATGGAGTCCATGTCCCTTCTCCTCGGCTATTACCCACGAGAAGCATGGCTATTGACCAACACCAATTCCACCTCATGTAGCTGTTCAATGGGCCCGTAATGGGTAAACCAGAGCTCGTTATTGCTCCATTACCCAGTTTAATGCTGTTCTCCGGATTTCGGTAAGTATCTGGGCGCAACAGTTTTCATTTAGTAGATGGTGATGTTCTTTGTTCCTGATATTGACATTGTGGAATTTCAGATGTTTCGGTGACATATCTCTCTGGGTTTCATCGACCACATCAGAGTGTTAATCGCAAAGTCGATCAGGGCACCTATTTTATACACCAAAAACCGATATGGCTGTCGACGCCACTAAAGTCCAGACTAACACGGTCAACGGGCATAAGGGGTCAACACAAGATACTGTTACTACTGCTGCCAACTTTTTCGAGGCGCTTTGTGAGTGGATGGGCATTATGATAACCATAGGATATTAGCTTACACTCTCGCAGATGATGCCGGTACTAGATACTGTTTCGTGAACTTGTACGTTATCCAACGGATCTGGCGTTTTCTTGGAGCTCACACAATATAAGGGGAAGTGACCATCCTGCGATGCTGGAAGCCATGGCGGCCGCAAAAGCAGGTGAGTACTTGACAGATGTCTAGCAAGTCTACACTGAATCGTATGAGTGCTGATATAGTTATTCCAGACACGTCAAGACGGATTCCAACCATCATTACATGCCCGTCAGAAATGGTTGGGTTATCAACCGCTCTGGGGTATGCACAGGTTACCGGTGTACCCGTACGTCATGAAAGATCAACGATGCCAGCGAATACGACTCATCTAACACTCGTTTTAGCAATGCGTGATAGTACATGTAGATTGCGGCACACTTGCTATGGGCCAGTCAATCCATAATGCATCGGTTTCTCGTGTTCCGGTTCTGATGTTTGCTGGACTAAGCCCAGTGACTCAGGAGGGGGAAATGCTAGGGTCTCGAACTGAGTACGAAATGCCATCGTTCTCTGATGATCAAGAACTGATCAAAATGCCAGGTTTATTCATTGGTTACAGGATGTACCAGACCAGGCGGCAATTGTTCGACAATACTGCAGATATACCGGAGAAATCAGAGTCGGTCATAACGTCAAACAAATGGTCAATCGAGCACTTCAAATTGCTACGTCTGACCCGAAAGGTCCCACATATCTCACTGCGACTCGTGAAGCACTTGAAATGGTTAGTAGCAATCATCATGTCCGTTAACATCACCTTGACAGTTATCAGGAAGTTCCCAGACTCGAACTCGATCAGGAACGGTGGGGAGCAACAATCCCATCTGCGCTGCCGGAATCAGAAATAGAATATATCGCAAACTGCTTGATCAACGCCAAACGACCACTGGTCATCACTGGATACCTTGGCCGGAACCCAAAAGCTCCAGCAGTGCTAGAGGCGCTTTGTGACAAATTACCCATCGAAGTCATCGAAACCGTTGGCTCGGATGTCTGCATGAGGAGTGACCACGACGCCTACAGGGGCGTAACGATAACGACTCACCCTCTAGTTGCAGAAGCTGATGTTATCCTTGTTCTCGACTGCGATGTGCCATGGGTGCCGACGCAAGGCAGACCGTCTGCGAGTGAGTTTCAGTGGTCGTGATTCGTGGCGCTCCTTGCACCCGCTGACAATGTCCAGATGCGAAGATATTCCACCTTGATGTTGACCCGCTCAAACAACAAATGCAATGTGAGTATAATGACTATTGCCCAAATCCATCGCCCAACAACCCAGACTGATGAACACGTCAGTGTACTACATCAACGCACACCGAAGATACAAAGTCAGCTGCGAACTCGCGCTCCAGCAGCTCAACGCATTCATCGACCGCCAGCACCTCGACGCATCGAAATACAACCGACTCTTCCAAGACCGGAGCGAGCGATCCCAGCAACGGCGAAGCACCCTTGAAGCGGCAGAATCCCCATCCGACGACGGGATCGTTCGCGTCCCATACGTGATGTCTCGGCTGCGAAGCCATCTCCCCGAGCAGACCACGGTGGTGATCGAAGCCGTGACGAACGCGATCCCCGTGATCCACCACCTCCAGCTCACCAAGCCGGGGACACTGGTCGGCACGGGCGCCGGCGGACTCGGGTGGCTCGGGGGCGGGGCACTGGGGGTGAAGCTGGCGAGACCGGCCGACTTCGTCGTCGCCGTCGTTGGCGACGGGACGTTCCTGTTCTCGCAGATGGAGAGCACGTTCTGGATCGCCAAGCGCTACGACATCCCCATCTTGCTGCTCGTCCTCAACAACGGCGGATGGAACGCCCCCAAGGTGTCGACCCTCCTGGTGCACAAGGACGGCCACACCGCTCGGCACACTCGAAAAGATGTCAATATCTCCTTCGACCCCGCGCCCAACTATGTCGGTATTGCCGCCGCAGCGGGAAATGTCTGGGGCGCCACGATCGGTAACATCGCGGATGTGGATGGCGTGCTCAAAGAGGCCGTCGCCGTCGTGAAAGGGGGGAAATCGGCTGTTGTCGAAGTCCGGTAAGTCGCATCGCTGCCTGTACCATGAGAATTGGCAACAGCTGACTATATCCTCAAGTGTCCCTCCTATATGGCCCGAGAGCTAGATATGGATTGCACCCCGATTACAGTTGATTTGTCGAAACTATGGTGAAATTTGCTATATGAGAGCGAAATGAGATCGAGTCGGATCTCGATCATGAATCATGTATTCCTTAAATCGTGAACATGCGCGAGGGAACTTGACATCTCGAGGCTGTCGACGAGGCAACTAGATGAAGGTCTTGTGTGTGGCCGATCTATGCGGAGATTTTATACTGCAGATATGTGTCATCCGAATTGAACATGGGCAACGGTACATAAATCCAGGAGCAAACCTAGTATTGAGGTGGCATGTCTGACTATGGTCACAAATCTAACGGGGCGGTGTGGGATCTTAATTGATCAGGCACTGAAACACGTTCTGATTTGGAAGGTCAATATCTCTAGATAAAAGCACTTCAACTGTTCCCAGATGGGGTTTATCTTGCGTCTAGAACTACCACTAATTCCTGGGCCATGGGATAGTCATACACACAGAAATGAGCGGTCTGGAAATGAGAATCGAAAGTTGTCCTTGACCATTTCAAGCAAAGACTTACCAACTCGAACGATTCAAGAGATGTAGAGGAGCATGCGCTATCAACTTCCATAACACTGGTAATGAAATATGCAATGGTGGGAGCGTTGTATTCGCTGGCGATGAGGCCATGTACACGACAAGATCAGAGCCTTCAAAGGAGGTGTCTACCTTGGACTAGACCAACAGTACTCACCTGCTACCTTGATCGGACCATGCCGGGTACCTACACTCTGTGACGTGGTTTTGTTCAGCACCATGTGTTCGATTGCCAGTTTTCAGATTATTCCGCGGCGTGTGCTCCCACAACATGGCTTCTGAAAAGTTCTCATGCATTGGCCAGTGTTTTGCCAGAGGTTGGAAAAAGTTGCTGGACCGTTTGACAGAGTACGCCGTTTCAGAAAGTGCATCTGCCTTCCTTTTCAACCCAACAATTGATTGCTGGGAAGATCGGAGTGGCGCACTGGCGCGCTCTCTCCTCGAGCTCTGTGACTGGAGAGGAGAGGCGAACATCTCAATTCTTCCTGATGGCATGTGTGGAGAGATGTTCCCGGTAGCCTCAGCTACGACAGGGCTTTTCCAGTATCCTAGCATGCCTGATTCCATTAAATCGTGGGCTAGCGAAGTCTGTGACGAGTGTTTCGCTGAATCGCGTGGACATATCTGAGGGGCAACACCAAACACGAAGTCACTATAATGAGCATTCGAGTTGCTTGAGATCATTTGTCCTAGCCAAGGCTCACCATCGTCACCAGGTCGTGTCGCAAACGAAAATGCAGTGCTTCCAAAATTGCCCAAATTCGAAGTTATGAAGGGCTCTGAGACGGCCTGTTCCGTCAAATCGAAATGGCAGTCCTTTTGTCCCTTGATGTTGCATCTCTGATCGCTCCCATCGGAATGTCGTTCGTCGAGGTTATATGGACACCATGAATCGCTGTAATTCTCGCTTGTCATTGGAACAAATGAGAATCCGCTCTCACTGTCGAAAAGGCCGCCGAAAGCTGATCTCACATACCCGTCCGAATTCTCAGCCAGCAGAGAGCCACCCTTTTTGCTCGTTGTCTCAAGCTCGACCTGCTCATCAATTGTAAAACGATGCTCTTCAATTCGGCTATGCGTCGAAGAACCATTGATAGCCCTTGCGAATCCTGAAATACTTTGGTTCTCGAGATCTTGTTGTTGACCCACTGATCTATATATGCTTCTAGCAAATGCTTCGAACCTTGGTGGACTGCTGACGATGTTTTGATGCTCGGTTCTCGCTCCGTTCATGCTGCTGTTTGAAGTACATCTTGCTTTATGGTTGACACCTTGGATGGAGTTCGGGTGCTGCTTGGATGTGGAGGATGTTGTCCGCTGAATCGAGGCAGATTTTTGTAGAACAAGATCGAACGATGAAAGATTTCGCGCTTCGTTGAGAGGGATCAGTGATGACGACACTGCGACTGCTTCGTCGCATTTTTGGAGGATTGGCGGTGATGAAGGTGTGTTGTTCACCTGTGGTAGGATCGAGTGAGTCATTTGCCGTTTGTGTATTGTGCTGGGAACGCTCTCAGGCTGATCTGGGGAGCTTGACTGTTGATTCGGGTCGTTGGATGGCAAATGCCAACCCTGTGGTCGATCCTCCCCGTCCTGGTGTGGATATGAATGTGTTCCTTGATATTGAGACACCCTGGAGGCAGTAAGACTGTAACCGCCCGAAGCTGTATGAGAAATACACGGTTCAGGGTGATGCACAATGCTGTGTTTCGATCTTCGTTGGGTGCTTTGGGAAGTCCTTTCTTGTGGGTCTGTCCACAGTTGCCTTGTGAGCAATTCTCTTTTCCGACGTCTTGCTATATTGCTCAAACCAGTTTGTCTCACGAGAGAAGGGATCACTGGCCTTGTCATTGTCAGACCAACCCAATCTGAACGAGTTAGAAGGTCGTGTTTTATGTAATCGACAGGGTTCTCCTTGTGATCCGGCCTGTAGCATACGTCAGTAAAGTTTGAAATGAATTTTTCAAGGAAGGCGTGCCTCGAATCTAGATGAGATTTCTGGTTTCTCGAATCTTCCCCAACTAAAGGGAGATTTGTGGCATTGCTTGTGGTACTATCGGGCTCACGAATCGATTTACCGCTTTTGGGAGTTGAAGCGGCCTGAAATTGTCCCAAGATTGAAAAGGTTGGTTGAGGGACGACTTGAGTGCATTGGACGTCTTGTCTTGCTTTTGCAAAGTGGGGCTTTTGTGTTTTAACTTGCTCATTCGTGTTGGCTTTGATATGTCGATTGAGGCGGCCACCGGTCCAATTCATCTCAATTCATAATATCAATGGAATCCATAGATTTCACAAAGGACCAATGTCTCAGCAGCAAACATTTTGATGTCGCACAAATTATGTAGTATGGCAAAGAATTGGGACGGAGTTGATGGAGGAAGTGGTGATAGGGAGATGGATGTCATGGATGCTGGAGTTCCTAGAGAACTTGAAGTGGTAGTGTTTTCGAACACCGTGACGGTCCTGCATCATTTCCAAGTAGCGGCTGCCTGTTTTAGCCCATCGTTGTACCTTCCTCTGATTCCATCGTCGAGTCTGAAGACATCTGGCAGGCTGTTTCAAATTTACCCAGACGCAGGTATATCAGTCAACCTGGATAACAATAAGCAACATCATATCATCGGTAAAGCTACAATATGCGGATATCCGAAACCAGTAAATGAGCCCATAATCGAATAAGGCCATCACATGCCTCAACTTGAATCACAGATACGATATCCTAAATGAAATTTTATCGCCTCTGGCCGCAAGGGAGACCGCAGATCAAGATAGCACCTGCAGAGCGGATGAGATCATCCAACTCGATATTGGTAGCAAGAGACGATAGATATCAAATCTCCTCTATCGACCCAAGGTAGGAACTGAGGCAATGGGTACCTACAATTGGGGAACATGTTCATACCAAGGGAGCAGCAAGGACCGAGTAGTAAAAGGAGTCAGCCCAGAGCAGGCGGTCAATATGGTCGAGTTCAACATTCGGCGGGGGTGCAAAATTGCCAAGCCCCACGTGATCTCTATAATTTTTCAGCTTGAAAAGCAACGCTGAAGCCACGTTTTATTGTGTTGCACTACATCGAAACCGAGTCACACAACACGAGGGAGTTTATGACCGTGTCGCTCTTGCTGAATGTCCTCTCGAATTGTGATCCCGCCTAGGCCGGTTTGCAATGAGAAGCTGTGAAACTCAGATGGAGATATCTTTAACGCGTCTTTCAGAGGTTCGTTTTTTTCCTGGTAAGAGCCTTTCCACAATCACTCTCCTGCCCTGCTACAAACACACTTGGCGGCCCTACCAAACATGATGAATATCCAAAATCAAAAGCATAGTTCAATTGAGACAACAGTCATTGAAACGAAACTTTAACCATCATCAAAAATTTCTGAAAGATCAACTACAACACTCAAGTTCCCACTTGTCATTCGTGTCTGCAAACAAGTCCTTGTCTTGCTAACCATCGCCTACGCAGGTACAAGTCTATCGTCTCGATCTTCACAGGGATGATCAGCGACCCGTAGATCAGATCAGGATCTTGATGCTGGAGGGCAGCCGCAGAGTATCAAGATGTTGATCCGCTAGACGAGTCCCAGAGTTTGGGTTCCCTTCTCATGTTCACTAATTGCACCTAGGTAATGCATCTATTATTCTGTAAAGATCGTCGTTTGTAGTGAAGGACCACTGGGGTCGAAACACGCCCGGCTAAATCCCGCGGTTTTCACTATTGGCGCGTGTTTCGGTTCTGAAGATCTACGAGAACCTTTCCGCACTCAGTCTTGCCGAGTCAAGCCTTGTGCTGGATACAACACCTGCAGAGTCAGTTTAGATCATCCACTTTTGGTAAGCCCGCCTCTTCGGAACAGAAGGAGGCCGGAACCCTGCCTCTCTCTCTCCGGTGGTTGCAACTCGACCAAGCACAATCTGAGCATCTGGATACTCAGATCTGGATGACGTTGAACCACCAGTTGTGGGCGAAGAAGAAGAAGAATGTGGAGGAACGCCAAGATGGTGTGGCTAGCTACTGCGTAGCTACTGCGTAGCTATTGCAACGTTGGCCTGGTGTCCCCAGAGGAATAAGGGTCACGTCAGTGGGTGAAGCACCATGATTCTGATAAATGGAACATGCCGTTGGAATTTTTGAGCTGAAGCCTGCAGCAACACCGTGTAGTCGTTTCGTAGAACGTTCTCGTAGTCGAGTCGCTATTGCTCTGGAAAGTACTGGAGTTGGCATCTGACACAAAGGACCAGGCCCCTCGAGATGGAGGGAGGAAAGATGCGTTGTATCAGAGAATGCCACGTCAATGCCATGGGTGTGTAGTCTGCATGAGCCAACGCTCTCCTTCACGAGCTTGACCACGATGCGAGTGGTTGTTGAAGCGTAAGCGTGGTGGGCGAGGTGAGAGACGGAGCGAACGTGGGCGAATGGGCATTCCCCTGCTGATCATGCTCGAAGCACTTCCAACCATCCACATGAAGTGAAGAGTGTTCCACTTGAGGAAAGCGTATCAGGCTATTGTGGATAGATGTGATGACGATCCTGACTCGTTATGTCAAGCCCTGAACCTTTAACGAAGGCGGCCCTCGGCGGGTCGTGTCGGACATGACGGGCGAGTTTGCAACTAGACCCTGGTTAATCTCTGGCCATTCCCTGAGCTCCGTGAGCTCCCCAACTGACCTTCGCTGGCACCGCGCTGTCCACGATGCTTTGGACGATGAGGAATTGGGGCGGTGGTGCATTCCCAACGTGCATCAAGAGCTGCACTTCTGACTCGATGCAACTCGACCATTGCAGATGGGTCACGATGGTGATAGAGTGATGCTTGGGTGAGGTGACTGGAACTTGGAAGTTGCCCACTTCTGGTTACCCACACCGCTGCTTGCCAACTTTCCTAGGCTGAGGCCCTCACTTTCACTTTCACATTTTCGCAATCACACCGCATCCGCATCCGCACTTTTCCCTCCCAGTCCCTCTGCCTTTTCTCTCCTCCTTTAAGAACACTCACCCACCAGTCTCACCCCAACTCTATTTCTTTTCTATTCTACCAGACTTTTTCTTCGCTCACAATCGACCAGCACACCTCTAAACCAGCTGTATTCCTACCACTTTTAAAACTCCCCTTTATTCTCACCACACCAATTTTGGACCCAAAGGACCATTATCTACCCAGGACATTATCCCAGGATTCCAGGTTGTTTGTTTTGCTGTTGTTTGACTGCTTCTCTTTGCCCGTCAACATCAACTACTACCCAGGACTGGAATCTCAACTTTGTTACACCTGCTTATCTTTACTCTTCCCGGGCCCACCAGAGGTATTACCAACTTTTCTCTCTATTTGCCATGTTTTTTGCTTGCTTTATTCCCCCGCCTTGGATCTAGGAACCTCGTCGGTCGCTGTAATGGCCAACCTGACTTGGGACCTGTACACACTATCGCCTGGGGTCTCAGACCCCTGACGATCAGTGAGCTGCTACAACCAAGACATGGGTTATCACACCCATGACTTGCTGCAGAATAATGAAATGAAACTCAATTCTCCCTTATGGAAACCCCATGGTCATCCGATGGATTCAGCATGAATTGGACGATGTCCTCCACAGGAAACCCTTTTGGATTATGGCCTCAAAACTTTGGACCCAATTATATCCGGTTTACATCTTACCTGGAGTTTCCTTGTTTTCCATGTTCCTCTGGCTGGGTTCTACTTATCTCGCTTGGACCTCGACGCAAGCTCAGTATAACTTGACAGCTGGAGCTGCGGTTATAACCCGACAATGCCCCGTGAGACGCAATTCCAAGGCTCGCTTTCCATCTGCCAGGCCTCATGTCATGATTTCTCGAGTCAACCATATACAGATTCCAAGTGACACTACACCAGAACAGTACAACAACCGCATGCCTGATCCATCGACCGGTTGACCGGGTTTGACACCTTTTTATGATCCTCTCAATGACTTGGACGACTGGAATCTTCTTCGACATAGCCACCTTTGAGTCTTTGCAGCATATTCGGATATGATAATATGGAGTTCAAATCACCGCCGAATCCGCATACGGTCTCTTTGGTTACGGCATCTATACTCTGGAGGACCGACCCAGATGGCATCCTTTATCACGACCTCTGTCCACCTACTTGACCCCTTGGCACGTGGATACTTTGACTTTTGTTTTGCGAACACGTTACGTCTACATGATTCTGAGTACTAACTGTTATTCTTCGGACAGATTCTAGCCCTCTTGGAACTGTGTATTTTTTTGCAATGATCTCAAAATCAAGGCGCTCCCCCGTTGGGGTTGGATCAACCCGAGGATCTCCAAATCGGATTCCCAGGACTTTGCCCGTGACTCAACCGGCAACCATGGATTTCTCTACTTCTACTTCGAGGGTCGAGGATCCCAACTCAAATTATGTCTTGACATCATCGTGCTCTGGATCTCGTACACTGAATTGTGTCAGCCCTGATTTCGTGTCTTTCCACAACTACTCAGGTCCATCGGGTGACGGGTTCTTCCTGTCCACTACCAGCTATCCTCCCACCAGTTATGCCACCACCAGTTCTGGCCCAATGTTTCCTGTGTCGATGATGCCCACTGTGAGCAATCTCGACTCAGCACCATATGATGACTTCCTGGCAAGCACCAATGTGTCGATGAGCACTTCCACGGAGCCGAACTATGTACCAGTGCCATACTCAGTACCAAGTACTTCTTCACAAGACATGATAAACTCTTTTGTGGACATGTCCATGTGCGGTCCTCCTATGCTGGGCAATCCGTATGGACCAGAGGCGAATACCTGGGCTTCATCCGGACGCCCACCATCTCCACCCCCTGAGGAGTTCATCCAGGAGTTCCTCCCCTTCTATGCCGTTCCACAGGATATTCAGGATGAAATTTGCCCCGGTGACCAGGACCTTGCTGAGTATGAGCTCAATGACATTACAAACACGTCGTCGTACAGGTCAGACTATTGAAAATAACCCCCCTGCGCATCCCTAGTACTGACTTGAATCCTTAATGCAGCATGAACAGTCGACACATCGCACAACCCCGACCAATAAGATCAGCATCGGAGCGCAGTGATCTACTGGACGACACTATGAGATCCATGGAAAACAGGAATCCCAAAGATGATCAAGTCGACAAAGTGAAAGTCCGGAACCATCCCTTGTATACTGCCAAAGCCCACGAGGACGGAAAGTTCCATTGCCCCATGAAGTCGAGCTCTGGATGCAACCACGAACCAACCGGACAAAGATGCATTTACAAGTAGGTTGAATCCCGAAAAGAAGTCATGATCCCCTCTAATACCTCCGACCACAGCAAATATTTGGATTCCCACCTGAGGCCATACCGTTGCAAGTTCACCGATGCCGAGTGTGAGGAAGCCAGGTTTTCTTCCAATGCTTGCTTGTTCCGCCACGAGAGAGAAGCCCATGGACTACACAATCACGGAGTGAATCCCTTTGTTTGCAGATTCGAGGACTGTGACCGAGCCCGACCCGGAAATGGATTCCCACGAAGATGGAATCTTCGTGACCACATGAAGCGAGTTCATGAATTTGATGAGGCCAAGAATGACCCACATACTGACTCGACCGAGTCCAACAAACGAAAAAAGGGACACGGTGGTCTCACCGCTACTGCAATGAGAAGGTCGACATCATCTGCGCATGCCAAAGAAAAGGCAATGGTAGGAGCTGCAATCTCCAAATCCAAGTTTCCAATCCGGTATACCCAGGCTGGATATGGTACACCTCGAATGGTGACAAATTCCATGGATTACGCCACTTCAAGATATCCGTCGTTGAACGATGTTCAATTCTCGCCGACGGCCGCTATTCCAAGAACCACTGGACATGCGTTTTCAACTCCATATTCTGCGGCATATCCAGGGTGAAGTTTCTCTGTTCCATGTTAGCTTAATGACCTAATCAATCCATGTATACTGTGTCCAACGATCCGGAAGGCCCTTTGATCGATTTTATCTTTGCAAACTCCCACCGGTACTGGAAGTGGAGCCAGACCACCACTGTCAAGTATTAGACCACAGTACCACAAGGTGTAACAGAACACAAGCTCAAACTGGAGGGCGCATAGCGCCCGGGCAGCTTTCATCGATGATGAAGGTCTGCGAGCAAACCCCAATCCAGGCGTGATCCAGTCACAAGCCAACAAGGACCATATTCCAATTGGAAAAATTCCTCGGACAGGCCAATTCAAACCAAGGATAACCCGGGCTTGTTGTGATTGACTTGCGTGATATCGTGTGGACGAAACACTTACCAAGTGTAGAAAGCAAAACCCTTTGGTTTGCTGAACCCAGTGGGAAGACGTGATGGAGCTGTGTGTGATATGTGGTGCCACCCTCAATAAGGGTGTGATGAAACATTCCTGTTAGATTAGTTTCGCATGATCTTTATCTTGAAGAGCTGAGGCTCGTTCGAAATTGAAATTCCTGATAATGCACTTGAATAAGGTACTGTCATCCTCAATGCCTACGAAACTTGATGGATTTTGTAGCGTTTCCGGGATGGAGTCAAAGTTGTGGCCTGCAAAAATGACGCCTCCAGATGGACATGATTCCCCCGCTTCTCACTTGAGCCTCCCCCACTGAGCGTGTAAATAATTTCTCCCCAAGTCTCACAAGCAGACAAACGAGCCTTTTGATATCCCTCGTGATGCCAGTATGTATAGCCCATGTTCACGCTCAATTCTCATCATCACTGACACGTCATCTTAGCTCATAATTGTGACCGGTCTCCCGTGCTCAGGCAAGACATATCGCACACAACAGATCCTCAGTGAACTCGAGGCCTACATCGCCTCGAACCCTTCGTTTTCACGACGGACGGTACAAATCATCAAGTCACACCACTCCTCCTCCGACCAAGCATCTGAGTCTAGCACTCCATCAGAAACGAAACCAAGTCTCCGCGATGATATCTACAACAGTGCCGCGCAGGAAAAGACGGCTAGAGCAGAGGAGTTCTCGGCGATCAAGAGAGCCTTGTCGAAGGACAACATCGTCATCACGGACAGTTTGAACTACATCAAAGGCTACAGGTACCAGCTGTGGTGCGAAGCCAAAGCCACTGCCACAAGGTGCTGCGTTGTTCATGTGGCCGCGCAGGAAGAGGAGTGCAAGAAATGGAACCGGGAACGGCTGCGGGCGTGGGGAAGGGATCAGGATGACTCGGGTGAGACAGACCCGTCGTCGACAATGAAACAGGCTCCGGGTGCACAGGGAACGAATGTGCTTGGAGATCTTGCGCCGGAGAGTCACACCGCAGTCTATGGCGACCGAGTCGTGGGAAAAACCAGCAGGTCGAGATCATCCTCGCTCGATGGAGTCGATGACGGTGACTCCGCGAAAATGATTGCGGACGACAGCATGACCTTAAAGTCTCTCTACATTAGCGACAAGACGACGACGACCACCACCTCTAACAACAATAACCACCCCCCCTCAATCGTAAGAAGAAACCCACTCCAAGCCTCACAAGACACAGAGCCTCCTCCCACGCAAACCGCCATGATCACCACCACCACCACCCCATCACATGTCCCAATCCCCTCACTGACCTCAGCACCACCATACTCAGCGAGCACGCTCCAGTCGCTCACGATGCGGTACGAGCCGCCCTCGCCCTTCTCACGCTGGGACACACCACTGTTCATTATCCCGACAACGGACCCCTCACCACCGACCACCCAGATCTGGGCCGCGCTGTATCCGTCGGCAAGCAAACCCACGAGCAAGAAAGCCCTGGCCGAGAGCAAGAGAAGCAGAAGCATAGAACCCGACGCCGCCACCACCACCACCAGCCCACACCGAGAGCACATCAATAACAACAACGACGCAGCCGCCATCAAACCGCACGCGGCGACCGTCCTCCCCAAAGCGACGACGTCGGACGCGCTGCAAATCCTCGAGAGCGCAACCATGGACGTCGTCAGGCAGCTGCTGTCGGCCGCGCGGACCGCCGGCCTCACCACATCCAACAGCAGCACCGGCGGCGATGCGACCACACTGACATTCACGGTCCCCATGCCGCCGTCGCCGTCTCCGCACGAGCACGAACAACGGTCCCTCGCGCCCGTCGAATCGAGCATCTACATCCCCGCGTCCGTCGCGCCCGTCCTCAGCCAGCCGCTGCTGCAGCGCCTGCGCCGCAAGTACACGCAGATCCAGCGCGGCGGCATCGCCCACGGCCAGGGCCATGTCAGCGGGCGCGCCGCCGTCGTCATGGGGTTTGTGGCATTTTTGGACGCCGAGTGGAATGCTGACGAGTGATGTGTTGCTGGTGGGGGAGGGCCCTAGTTAGTTGCTGGAGAGGATGGCAGAATGAAGGGTCTCAACGATCCACGGGATGACGTTCTGTCGTCGACTCGAGCAAGAAGTACTTGTAGAGCCGACTGGGTGGCTTGTTGAAGAAATCATTCCATACTATGCCTATCTAATTCATACTACCTGGAATCTGGTCCCAACCAAACATTGCAAGTCGTAAATCCGAACAAAAGGGAGGAAACCAAAATTCATCAACCTCATATACCGCCTTCGTGTTTTAGCAGTCTGCGTGAGCAAATCCTTTGCTATTTCTTGAAAATTTGTCTAAAGCGTAATCCCACCATCACATCAATGCTATGAACCGCGCCGACCGCTCCAATAATTCTGAAAATTCTCCTCAAAATGCAGAACAAACGCACTGAGACGATACTCCAAGATTACTAGTAATCTGTAGCAAAGACTGCAACGCCATTGGATTGAAAAGTGATGTCGTATTGCTCAATATTGATCATATGGCCAACAGTGATGATGAGCCAACCTTGTCGTGGGACCGACTGACATGAGATCCAAAAAAAACCGGGGAAGTGGGTATATTATTATATGGTCTGAGAGGAGGACGCCGGAAATCCAGGACCACAACGAACCCTGTTGAAAGCAAATGCTAAATAAATAAATGATAGGCCAGGAAGGAAATTCGAGTAGAGATGCCAGCTGGTTGAGACGGTAAGTGGCCGAAAAGCTGGAGTTGTATCGTTGGATCAAAACCTCGGCTCAGACGCAATGTAGGTGCAGGTATCGAGAACAAAAGTCCACGTATCGTGCAAGTATTGACCTAGACGACAGACCCGCGATATACTGTCCAGATTCGCATTGCAAGAGCGGGAAGTCATTGGTGGTGAATCTGTAGTGATATGGTACCGACGAGGGTTGGGGAATGCTTATTGTGGAAATGAATCACATGTCAGGTGTTGGCACCCTCGGTAAATTGAGCCGTGTGTTGCAATTCCGCCTGGAAAGTAAGCATCCACCGAGTGGCGACCAAAATTGAGTCTTCGGCTAAAAGGGAAGAAAGCGAGAAAAGTTGTAGAAGTCAAGTTCGACTTGGTCGCCAGAATTATAGCGAGACATCTCCAAAATCACGCATCATACAGGCGAGTTCGGCGCGTTTGGCGGCCTCCGCGAGGAAATCGGGAGGTAATTGTCCTGGGTTGGCACGGCCAGTGTGCGCAGGATGTTCCTGCGACATGGAATTGGTATGTGGATGGAATTGATGTTGCTGATTTTGATAATCATATTGTTGAGGAGCTTGATATTGCTGGTGAGTATGAGGATTGTAATTCTGCTCTGGGCCACCTATTCCCTGCTGGCGTTGTTGACCCAGAAAGCTGGCTTGGTTATCCTGAGATGCGTAACTATTTGTTTGTGACTGAGGACGACCAAAGAATGGGTCCATGTTACCGATGGATGGCGAGGGTAAGGGTGCATGTAGATGAGGATTTTGCTGTTGTTGAGACATGTAGGAAGGGTGTAATTGGAGACCTGGCTGGTGTGGTGTAGGAGGTGGTGGGGGAGGATTGAGGGTATTACTGATAGGGCTTGGATGAGAACTTGTAGAAGTACTTGAAGATTGTGAATAGGACTGATTGAAAGCAGGAGCTGCAAGACTTGTGGGTTTCTGTTGGAATTGATGCTGTTGTGCTTGAGGAGATAGCCTGGCGCTTCGGCGAGGATAGGTACTCATGTTTATGGAATCGGGTTGGGTTTCAAGAGATGGACAGTAGCCGCCTTGTCAGCGGCTCCCTCACAAATCCCTTCTGAGTGGTTCTTTTGTCGACCCAGGAGTTGAATGGCGTGATTCTGTGTCGAATATTTGATCACGATAGGTATTCAAAGGTGGCTAGCGAGTGTTGGGGCGAGGATTGAAGGATGGAGAAGGGAAGGAGAGTTGAGGTAGCCTGATGGAAGTAGAAATGTCGGAAGTAGGGAAGGAGGATTCTCGCCGGGGTGAGGCCGTGTGCCTGCCTGCGTGGTTCTTTGTACGAGATAAGTGAAAGTCAAAAGTTGGAGTTTGAGGAAATGATGATCGAGTTGCCTTGGTTGTGAAGGCTGGCAGCAGGGTGCCAGTGCTTAGCAGGTGCTTGGATTGGACTCTTTTACTCTTTGAAGTCTGGGGGTGCTGGTGGGCAAATCTCCAAATTCTCGGATGGCAGAGTCACTGAAGCGGATGTTCCGTGGGGTGCGTTGCGGGGCTGCCAGACCTGGAATTGGGCGTAGGGTCTAGGCGGCTCGGTGTACTGGGGGGTTCGTGGGTGCTCTGTTGCAGATTGGGAAGAATTCGGTGAGTTGGGTGGGATAGATGAGGTAGAGACACGAGGTAGAGGCTGGTAGAGAAAAGAAATTCGCCTGGACCAGATCCAAGAAAATGTGAGAGACGGAAAACCCACTGGTTGGCCTCTTCCCACTCTTCTTCGTGCTACAATTCGTACGAGGTACTCGGTAGACGTCTTCGTCCTGGTCGCATTATTATTTCGTTAGCAGTGTGACAATGGACAATCCCGGGCATTCCCGCGAGCAGTTGCCGACCGATGATAGACCGAGATGCCGATACTGAGAGTCCAAGTCTGTGACGTCTTCGGAACAATGAAGCGTCTTTAGCCGGACTACAAAAGGACGCACGCCCACTGCAGCCCACATCCTTTTGTCACTTTTAGCCTCCGTTTTGTTCTAGTAGCTGGTGTGACTTGTAATCCGACCGAATCTCTTTTGCTAGGCGATAATAAGTGCATGCAATGTTAGTTTCACCTGAATGCAGATATCCAACCCTGAGGTAATCAATCTAACGTGTTGTGATTCTCTAGTCAGACCACTTGCCGACCCACGGGAGTTCAGTCGACATCATCTAGTCTTTAATCATTCTTGCCCATCTTTTAATTGTAATCAATGAGTATGTACCTACCTAGGTCCGGTTGGCCACATATTGGCCCTGTCTGATTATTCTTTTCTTCTCCAACTCACTCTTTGCTGCCTCGGCTTCTTCCCGAGAGCTAAAGACATCTTTAGTTGGCATTGCTCCCCAATTATGAGATATGATCATGTCAATAACTCCATACTACAAAATTGATGTTGCAGTAACGCTCTAGAGTCGGGATGACACAGCAATGCCACATCCGGTATCCCCAAAAAAAGTCGGATGCCAAGGCCGACATACTTACTGTAGGTACCTAGGTACATACCTAGGTGCACTGAGGATGGCCTCCTCCCATGGTAAAGCAAGACATATGGAGAACCAGCAATTCCTTCTCAATGCAGCACGGAAAGGGACCTCTTATTTTCGTCCGCAAGGCTCGAAACCTGTCACCCTATATCTTATCTGTGAGTGTATTACCCAGGTATCTAGATTCTGTTCGGAGTGGTGTCCTTCGTGGAGACCATATCTACAACGACGACTTGCAAAGCTCAGACTATGCCCTTCACATTGCCCCGCTTGGGGACAGCAGTTGCCAGTGTGTGGCATTAGGCATGATCCTCCGTGGTATGACAAACATGCTCTCAGGACATTGCTCCAGCATCGAGGCTGCCCAACCACCACCAAACCATCTACATACTTTTCGCGACGTTTCGGGTCTGGACACTCCTGACTCTGAGGTACCTGTGCGGCTACTTGTCGCAGGTTGTAAGAAGTGTACCGTCGAATGACGAATCAGCCGTGCAATTGTAACAGATACTGTAAGGTACTCGCTTACTTCTCACTGCTACGTCAAAATGACCCCTCTGGCCTTCATATAATGTCTCAGGCGTCCACTTCGTAATCTACTAAGAGCTTCGAGCTTTGAAGCTACACAAACCCGTTGCTGGGTTTCTTCACTGAATGCCTCCCCCGTTCAGACGGTTTCAGCCATCTCACCACGAACGCAATCACTACCCACTTGGTGGACGTGGTCTGCTTTGTCCTTGGTGAAGTACTCCCTAGGCTACCTGTACTCGGCGATCCTTCCTCCTAGCAAGTTTTCTGGCGTGAAGCAGATAATCCAGTCAAAGATGTATCCCAGATGAGACCTGCTGTGTTATGGCTCAAATGTAAAAGTGGTTGGCTGGGGTGCCTCTGTAAGGATAGACGCTGGAAGTTACCCGCAGCCTGTCACATCTATCCCACCTTCAATCGAATGAATTCATCGCTGAGGTGTTAAAATACAAGGTAAACAGCTGAGTCGCCGTCTATAGCGGCGGGGTTACTTTTTTGTTGTTTGAGTTCAATCCTGGGTGATGATAGTTTGGGATTTTCTCCTTTCGATTTTTCTCTTCTACAAACCTGGGCGGCAGCTCTATGTATAGCCTACACTCATGTTTTACTCTAAAGGTGAAGAAGAGGGCGTCAAGTGTGAGAAACGTGGGAATTCCGCCTATGATTCAGGCTCAGCTCGTTAACTTTGCCTGAAGCGGCCTAAGTCGTACGCCTTGCAACCCAACTATTTCAAGTCGTGGAATCAGCCACCCGAAATATATCCCCGAAAGGTTTGGAAACGAAGGTTCGCCAAGCATCACAAAAATTGACGTCTCTCATTGACCCTACTAGTTGGGTAGCCAACGCTCTTTGTTGGTGACAAAACTTTGAAGCATCCGCATACTCTAGTACTAAGCATTGAAGTCCGCAGTAAAGGTCAATCATCCACAGCGGTTGCCTGGAAGTGTGGACAGCTAGAACAGGTCTTCCATGGCCTCGCTGATTGAATATTGAGACACCTCGTCACTTCCACAATAGCACACGAGCAGCAGGACCCAAAGAGCACGTCCTGTCTGTTTCATCGGAACAGTCTTGAGAGGCGCTACTATGCCGACGAGCAGTGATGAAAATGACGACCTCGGATCGTCGGACCTGTTCCAAGACCCTGAAGGATTTTACGAACCTGATAAGCCGGCCACAGTTACTTCCTACTCACTGAAAAGTGGTCGCCGTATCGATCTTCGACTGGTTGGTCACAGTCCATTATGGGTGCGCCATAGTCACAATTCCGCCAAACTCTTCGTCTGCTAATCATCCCAAGGGCCATCTTTTGTGGAACGCGGGACAGGTTGTGGCTCAATACCTCGAGGACAATAGGCAACAGCTTCTCCAAGGCAAAACTGTACTGGAGCTTGGGGCGGGAGCGGGTCTTCCCAGTCTTGTGGCCTCGATCCTTGGTGCAAAAAAGGTGGTGGTGACAGACTATCCTGACAATGAGCTTATTGTGAACTTGCGGCACAATATTGATCGGAATTTAGTTGCTGACGACCAAGCCAATATTGTGGCCGAGGGCTTTCTCTGGGGCTCTGCGGCCGATACTTTGTCGAAGCATCTTGATACTGGTAGCAAGGGTTTTGATGTGCTTATTCTTGCAGACATCCTGTTCAATCATTCTGAACACGAGAAATTGCTCAACACTCTAACTCAGTGTCTGAAGAGAACTTCTGAATCTGTGGCCCTGGTGTTCTTTACTCCATATCGGCCCTGGCTATTGGACAAGGATCTCAAGTTTTTCGATATTTCTCGCAATAGTGGCTTTGTTGTCGATAAGGTTATGGAGCACACCATGGAAAAAGTCATGTTCGACAAGGATCCTGGCGATGAGACTCTTCGAAGGACAGTCTTTGGGTATACTGTAAAGTGGGACATCTAGCAGTCCCTCGCAGTTGCCAATCCACCCGACTGAAAATTGGGTGGTTCTTTCCCCAAAATCCACCGAGTGCTAACAACTTGAAGCTGAGGCAACAATCATTTTTCACCTAAATTTCATGCAGTAGATGATCAGGACACTCACCCAACCCCCAACTCGAATTCTGTTATTTTTATCGTTGACAACCTCCTTGTCCCCATCTAGCATTCTTCCACATCCCACACACAGAGATACGCAACAAAACACCGACAATTTTCACTAAGCTCGCGAGCCTCTGCCCACAGGCTGAGGAGAAACTCCGCGTCTCTTCACATTTGCAGCCGTTCCGACCCTGCACAGTGGACACAAGATGGGTTTGAAGACGGCAACCAAGGACTACTGGAGGAGCACAGTGGCAAGTTGCTGTGGACACTCGGATGAGACTGACCAAGATGCTTCAGAGCCAGACCCTGGTGAGACAGAAACTCCCCCATTTCATCTCAGCTTCTACACCTTGAAGCCACATTCCTACTCACGCCAACGATGTCAAGCCTATCATGTCTCACCTCGTGACCCTACTCGCATGATATTACGAACTCAGTTATTAGCCACATTCTATCTCTTACTCCTCATACATCTCCTCATCAAACCTGGACTCTGCTTTACCCCATATCGGAAGGAGAGATTTTGGTTTAATCACGGAGAACGCCCCAAGATACATTCAGACACTATGTTTGAAGAGCCCGAACATCAGCCACCAGAGCGGTACAAGCCGTACACTGATTCCCGAGTAGAACCTTCTCGACCAGGGCCCGTCGTTGGGGCAATGGAAGAACCGCCTGTGGCTGCGAATCGGTACTCAAACGATGTCGATAAAATGGGGGACACATGGATAGTCCCAGGTGCAGGTGCCTTCCAGCATCGCGCCATGTTCAACTTTACAAGCGGAGTTTTGCCACGAGGTCTCGAAATGAGTCATTACACGGTTCAGGATACTGAACGCAACGACGTTGAAAGTCCACACATCCCTTACAATCACATCTTCGAACCAGTGAATGTCAAGATCGTGAATGGCATTTTGCATCTCAGAGTACCAGGCCAACAGAGAGATCAGCCGAAAGACAACAATGCACTCAGCTGTGCGCAGATTACTACAAGTGAACGAAAAATCCTGCATGCCAGTGTGCGTACAAGAGCAATGTTCAGTAGAGAGCCAGGAACTTGTCACGGTAGGAGAACCTATCAAAGTGATTGAATTTCAAGCTGACGGTTGTTAGGGATTTTCTTCTACCGCAATGACCAACAGGAAACCGATATTGAGTACCTCACTGATCCAAGATCTTTGTCGAATAATGGGGTTGATGAACCAGTTCCGATGTGGTACTCAAACCAACGTGTCAACCCTGAAGAAGGCCCAACCACTCAGGGCACGGGTCCAGCACCATTCGATGCTACAAGCAAATTCCATGAATATCGGATTGATTGGACAGCAGACTTCACGGCATTCTATATTGACGGGGTGGAGCAAAAGCGGTTTACTGACAATATTCCGAGTATCCCTGGGCCGTGGGTGTGGAACAATTGGGCAAATGGTGATCGCGGTGAGTTCCTTCCCTCTCTCTCAGCGTGGGGCGACAAGTTACTGATATCGATCTAGGCTGGTCGTATGGGCCTCCAGAGAACGACAATGAATTCAAGATCAAGAGTATTGTGATGTACTACAACACTCAGGCAGACGAATGAAGAACCAAGGACTTCTGAATTGGGGGCAATATTACCTGTCATAGAACACGGTGGTTTGAGTATCCGGTGAAGGATTAGGGAGGACACACTGGGAAAGTGACCTCGGAGTGGAATTGTCTTGCGTTTGGAAATTATCATTAAGACAACGATTGTACAGACACCAGTGGTCAAGGTAGCCTGCAGATACGTTCTGTAGAATTCAGTGGCAGGCCCTGTTCCTCGGTAGTTAATTAGCTTGGAGTTTTATCGCTTCGAATCAAGATCTCTCCATCACTACCATACTGGAGTCGATCCTCTCGCAAAAGAGATACGTGACCCTACTAAACTATGAATGACGGGCAAGAGACGAGAAGCATACTTGGGAGCACTCAACGCGGATTGACGTGGCCGCCAAAGAGTTGTCACCCACCTAAGTCGCAAGAACGGAATATTACCGAAATGGATGGCGGCGAGTGGATGCTCCGTCGATACCGTCATGAATCAGTTTCCAGATGAGTCCAGTCAAGATTCTCTTGGGTAGGACATGGCCGTGGTTGGCATGGACCCGAGGCTGATCGGGCCACTCCGTACCTGAAGGACACACATTACTGGTATGCCCAGTTTCTGTTCCCGAAGCCTGTGGTCACGGTTTTCAGCTCTCCAACCGGAGGGAAAACCTCGACGACGGGTGCATCAAGGAAAAGCTAAATCGTTCAAGGGGGAACTGGTGGTCGCGGAGAATCGGGCATGGCAACACCTCGTGAAAGTCTGGGGTCAATATCTTGGTAGCCAGTAGGCTCACTGTCGGCAGGCTCATGGCACGGCGGGTGCAAGACATACTTCGTATTTGTTCTGGAAGCCCCACAAACCCCAAGAAAGTATTGTCAGGAACCTGGGTGAGGACCCGATGATGATGAGGGTGACGACGATGACGACGATGACGATGGCTTCAGCTGGCGGAGCAGACCACTGTACCGGAGGTACTCCTACTTTGGCCCTAGACAGGATAGGGACAAACCACCCTGCATTGAACTACTCCGATATCTAAAACAACTAGCACGTAATTAGAGGCATCGAGAGGTCGATTGGCGCTGGAGAGGTGTGCTTTTGATTGGCATGACCTGCTGGACCGGGGTGCTGGATAACACAAGCGACGCATGCCGTCTGCCGGTCGGACGAGTTCGTGGCCCCTGCCAGTGGGTAATGCGGCCTTTTAATTTTCTCAATTTCTTCACACCTCACATTCAAAGTTCACCACCACTGACTGCAACCCTTTTATCCGGGTCAGCGTCAATAATATCCCCATTGCCTACGGGAACAAGGTGGACCTCAATCAATAATCATGCACACTCGCGCCCATGACCAGGACACCCAAGTTAGGCGTCACTGTGAATCAGACATGGTGGGGAGCATCGCCCGAGGTTCACACGCACAATACCAAGGCCTGTGCCCAGTGAACGGGTTTCATGGCAAACTTGAAGTGCGGGCAACTGCGGGAGACACTGTAGATGTTACTGTAATGTGTGTCTGATCTCAACAGAATTGAGCTGAACCTTGTGCCAGTATCCGTACTACTAGTGAATCTCATTCTCTGCTTCTTGGAGAAGGGTGTATGGCGCATAATTTCATAGCCGCTGCAAATGATCCCACATGCCGTGGTCATCCATTCTCTATCCTACGTCGTCCCTCCCACTTTCCTCCCACACTTGTCCGTTGAACTACGCCGCGCACTGTCCACTCCCGTGGTTAACTCTAGAAAAGAATTGTCAAAGTCAACTTGGTCTGCAGCGATCGCTCCCGACCTCACCTCGACCTCGTGGCAAGCCTATCCCCGCCGATCCAACCTCGCCGTTGTTTGGTGTTTTCCCTTTCCAGTCTTCTCACTCCCGTTCTGCAGTTTGTTTCCTTCTTCTCCTGGGGTCCGTTTCTATCCAGTCCCCTGCCAGTATTCAATCTCCGTTGACTCTCAAACGGTTGACCTGTCACTCGTTATTCCTTTGCCGCTGTTCTTTTGCTGCAACTTCAAGGTTCCCTCTCCGTACTTGTCCGCCTTGCCCCGATTTTTTTCATGATTTCTTTTCAGCCCACCATTCGCTACATAATCTCAACGATATCAGCCTAGTTGCTGGACCCAAGGGCCCCTCTTTCTCTCGCTCTACCATCCATATCGTAGATGATGTTTGTATGTGAGAGCACCATCGCACCATTTTAGCAACCGGTGGCTCCACGAAGGAAGATCATCTTAGGTCACTTCAACCCGTCTTGGACACGGCACACTCTCTTTCAAGCTCTTACTTTCCTCCCTACACCACCGAATGACGTTGGTGTCTCTCGCTTGATTTCCGCTATACAACCCCCTACCAGGCGGCGACTGTTAATTACCACCCTACCCAAGATCTTCCAAGACCACTTCTCGCTTGAGTTGGATTCCTGGATCGAGGCTACTGGTGTCATTGTTCATAAATCATATACCTTCTGCGACCCACGAAGTCTTGATCTCGTCACTACCTGCGGTTATCAGTCAATGACACACCCTTCGTTCTGGACCGTTTCGACTATTCCCGACTCTTGATGAGTTCGTCACCAGAATTGTAGGTGTCCGAGACAGGTTTCGTCTCAACATCTCGCCTCGAAATCAATCATAATATTACCCCACACATCCACTCGTCTTCAACTTCTCAATCTTCTCCAAACGAACAGTCGTCACGAACAAGCAAGATGTGCAAAGCCCATGTCCTGCGTTTTTGCTGCGGTCATGGCATCTTGATGCGCCTCGAAACCTGCAACATCGGCCCTTGTCCAGCTCTGAAAACCACTGGAGTCAAATTGCCACAACAGCCATACAAATGTTACAACTGCCAAAATCGCCTCTCAAGCAGTTCCCTGAGACCAATCTCCTCACGAGGCGGGTCCTGCTCCTCGACAGGCAGTCTGGATTCCAATTCATCATCAGGTTCTACCGTCACACCACCATCCCCAACCTCACCCACATTCTCTCGTGTTGAGTCAAGAGTCATGGCACCTCTACCTGGCGTGGTACGGCAACCCTCAGAGTGCGGAGATTTGGCACGCACATTTTCTCGACAACAGTCAGCCTCGCAAAAGGCTTTTTCTTTCGCCTGCTCCTCTTCGTCACATTTCCTCACGCCGCATTATATGAACCTTCCAAGTTACTTGCCACACCAAGATCATTCTTGCCCACCATGTCAGATGGAAGAATACAGAGAAAAGGCCGATCGCGAGGCCATAGCATCAGCCAGATCACAGTTTCCTCATTTGACAACCGAGATGTTGGTCAGAAATGGCCGAGTCTGGGAAGATTGGCAGACCAAGCCCACACTCGACAGTTTCGTGGAAGAGAGACGAGTCGAGGAGCGACAAATGTGGCTTCACGTCACGCGAAAGTGGACTCAAGACCTCAAGAAGGGCCGGGTCTTGGTTTCAGAAGAAGACGGGCTGGGTCTACTTGGATGAGGATGAGTTTGATTGTGTGATATAATGGTTCATGAGCAGACGAAACACGAAAGCATTCGAAAAGCACCGATATGACTTGGGAGGCAATGGTTTGTTTTTCAAAAGAAGATACCCCCAGTTTTCCTGACGAGAGTAAAGAGAACGGCGTTTGTTTCCGAGTGCAAGTTCTGTATAAACCCTAGAATGGAAATTCTACAATATACTTATTTATACCTACCTGTTGTATCCCCCAATAGCCTTGTGTCTGAAGTCTCAAATATGAGCACGCGACACTCGAGACAAGCGTGTCGTTGAATTGACTGCTGACGAAGCAGTCAACCGAAATAGCGACTTGCAGATCCGAAGTTTTGGCAGGCTCAGGCTTCTCAGAAGAGCTGGATTTCCTGGGGTAGGTCTGGATTCTGGAGTAGACTGACAGCACATTATGACAGTATTGTGCATGTCCGAGGGCTTGGTATTTATCCCGTGCTTTGTGGTGGTGAAGAGGGTTGAGCCCAGATGAGCCACGGAGGAAGCTCCCCGACCGAGGGGCTGCCGTATGAGTCGTGCTGCAGGAAGGGAAACCCTTAGAAGGGGAAAATGACGAGTAAGTTACCTCAAGCATCCGAGAGGCCCCTCGGGCACCACTAGCAGTGCGCAACGCCTGAGGGACTGGGCTGTGCAGGTGGCCCAAAGGGTCTGAGGATCCCAAGCTTGGCTGCACCTCTCCCTTGGACAAGCTTGTTTTGGGGGACACCTCCACCTTTAATCTTTGGGACGGACTTCCGTCGGTTCTCGAGCAAAGACGCAATTCAGGTGACACAAGGCACCCGCCATTGCTAACCTCGTGTCTCTACCATCCAGCTGCAATTCTCCTCCACGGGCATGTACATCCACGTCAGCTAGGGTCTGCAATAAAGATCCAGCAGCCGGTTTTGACCAAGAAACCACAAGCCTTGGAACCTGCCAGTCCACACAAACCACCATGTTACTCTCAACACTCCCCGTCCTGCTCGCCTTGCCATTCACCATCCTCTCCGCCCTCGTTGTCCCGGGCCTCGCCCTTTTCGAAATAGGAGCCGATGGAGAAATCGCAGATTGGACCCGGCCTGATTACTGCGGCCAATGCTATGGTGGAACTCCCCCACCTGATGCCGTAAAGCCAGGCTGCTGCAATACATGTGAGGACGCAAAGCACTCATACAGGCTGATAGGATGGGTTTACGGCGATGGCCTGGGCTTCCCACAGTGTGAGCGCGAGCACAGGGCCCACGAGCAGCTGCGCGAGGCACAGCGGCATGAGGGCGTTCCGTCATATACCACGAGCAGTGCCCGTCGGTCGAAGACGTGCACTGCGGGAGAGCCGGAGGAGGAGGACTCGGCATACGATTTGTTGGGTTTCAAGAAAGCCATGTACCCATCCATCGTCGAGGAGATTGTCGAGGAGATCGTCGAGGAACTTGTCGAGGAGGACGAATGGGTGAGAATCACGAGACTCTCGCACCAATTCCCGATTGTAGTCGGAGTCGACAGCGAGGAAGTCAGCGACGACCCGCTGCCCGTCGTGATCTGGCATGGGCTGGGGGATTCGGCCGACGCCGACGGAATCAAGGACGTGGCCAAACTCATCGACGAAATCCACCCAGGAACCTACACCTACCTGATCGCCCCAACCGGCAAAGCAGGCTCAGCAGACCGACAAGCGTCCTTTTTCGGCAACGTGACTGAGCAGATCGAGCAAGTCTGCCACGCCCTCGCAAACGACAACATCCTCCGCACCGCACCAGCCATCGACGCCGTGGGCTTCAGCCAAGGCGGCCAATTCCTGCGCGGCTACGTCGAACGCTGCGGCGACTGGGCACCGCGCGTCCGATCGCTCATCACATTCGGCAGCCAACACAACGGCATCGCCGAGTTCCAGAAGTGCGCCAGCGCGACCGACTGGATCTGCCAGGGCGCGAACGCGCTCCTGAAGAGCAGCACTGTGTGGTCGACATTCGTGCAGTCGCGCCTCGTGCCCGCGCAGTACTACCGGGCGATCGACGACTACGACAACTACCTCGAGCACTCGAACTTCCTGGCGGACATCAACAACGAGCGAGCCCTCAAAAACACCACGTACGCGGACAACCTCGCGGCGCTCGAGAAGTTCGTCATGGTCGTCTTCCGCGACGACCAGACCGTCATCCCCAAGGAGAGCGGCTGGTTCGCCGAGGTCAACGCCACGGCCGCGACCGTCACCAAGCTGCGCGACCGCCCCATCTACAAGGACGACTGGATCGGCCTGAAGCGCCTGGACGAGAAGGACGGCCTCGAGTTCTTGAGCGTCCAAGGCGAACACATGCAGTTGAAGACCAAGGACCTGAAAGACCTGTTTGCCACGTATCTCGGACCATTCGGCAAGGAATTCGGCGTCCCTCAGGTCGACGTCGCCGGTATCTGGAGGACGGAATTTTGAACAATCGATGGAATATATAGGGCAATGGCGTGGCATGGCATGGCATGGCAAAACTGCGGAGTGTCATTCATTCATTCGCTCGCTGAAAAAGCCCGTGAAAAAAGATGGAGGGGAATGGAAAAGCGTGGTGTTGGATTGGCGCCGGAGGATTATTTTTGTATACGTAGGTAGGACAGAATCGTTCGGTCCCCTACTCAGAGATCATTTTGGACAAATTGTCACATTGGATCAGAACCAAAATCCGAAGCGTAACAGGAGACTGATAACCATTTACTTGCTTCGTTCTATGAAAATTGATTTACTTGCTACAAACAAAGCCACCAGCCTTCTCCACCGGCTCTTGCCCCAGCATTTGTTCTTGAAGCCAACTTAAGTCCCTATGTGAGTTTAGTCTCCCGGCCGGTAGATTCAATTCCCTGGTCTTATTGCTGTTCCTATTGCTGGTCCTTTTCCTATGTCAATGTTTGAGCGTCTTGGTCCCACACTAACAAGCAGAGTTCCGATGCTACTGCCCAGAACCACACTCGCCCCTCTGACTGCTACTTCACCCTCTAGTCATCCAACAGGTTGGGTTCTCCATCACCATTCACCTGTCTATCACCACCTTCGTTATCACGCGTATCCTTGTTGCCAGCCTTTTCTTTCTTCGCATGTCCCTTGCGTGCGTAAAACTCATCCAACAGTTTCGGGTTGACACGGTTCAGTAATTCCTTGGGGAAGATTCGGAGCAAGTTCCAACCAATGTCCAAACTCTCGAAAATGGTCCGTTTGTCGTAGGGGCTTTGTGAGATGAATTGTTTCTCGAATCTCTCCAAAAATTCGAGCGAAAGCTTGTCCTCAGCGCTCAATGCTTCTTCACCAACCACTGCCTTCATGGCTGCCGCATCACGACCGATGGCGTATTTGGCGTACAATTGATTGGAAACATCGCCGTGATCCTTTCTTGTCAATCCCTCACCAATGGCAGACTTCATCAGTCGAGATAGAGAAGGAAGCACATTGATTGGTGGATATATGCCCTTGTTGTCTAGTTGACGATCGACGAAAATCTGACCTTCGGTAATGTAGCCAGTCAGATCAGGGATGGGATGTGTGATATCGTCATTAGGCATGGTCAAGATGGGAATCTGCGTGATGGAACCGTTTCTTCCTTCGACACGACCTGCTCGCTCGTAGATGGTGGACAGATCGGTGTACATATAACCAGGGTAACCACGTCGACCCGGCACTTCTTCACGGGCGGCAGAAACTTCTCGAAGAGCGTCGCAATATGCGGACAAGTCTGTGAGAATAACTAGGACGTGCTTCTCTAGCTGGTAGGCGTAGTATTCCGCGGTTGTTAGGGCGAGACGAGGGGTAATGATACGTTCAATGGTAGGATCACTGGCCAAGTTCAAGAACAGCGTGACTCGTTCCATAGAACCGTTCTCCTCGAAATCTCTTGTGAAGAATCGAGCTGTTTCCATGTTGACACCCATGGCTGCAAAGACAATGCTGAAGTTGTCCTCATGATCATCGTGAACGCCTTTGGTGACTTTGACTAAACCTGCCTGTCGACAAATCTGAGCAGCAATTTCGTTGTGGGGTAAACCGGCGGCAGAGAAGATAGGGATCTTCTGTCCTCGGGCGACGGAGTTCATTGCATCAATGGCGGAGATACCAGTTGAGATCATTTCTTCGGGGTAAACCTTCACCCGGGTTAGTCTGGCACTGACAACACGGGGTGGTGGGAGCGTACTCGAGAGTATGGGTTGATGGGACTGCCGTTGATGTCTAGATAGTCTTCTGCCAGTACTTTGGGACCTTTGTCGATAGCTCTTCCTGATCCATCAAAGACACGCCCAAGCATGTCTTCTGATACACCGATTTTGAGATTGTGACCAGTGAATTCGACTTTGGTCTGGATAGAATGAGTATATTTGTAGAGTTTCAATACATCTGGTCAAATACCTTCTTCACATCGATACCTGTAGTCCCTTCGAACACCTGGACTACTGCTCTGCTTCCTGTATCGTGAGGTGTCAATTCGCCAGTCTTTCAATGGCCATTGCGCCCAGGTAGCACTAACCTCTGGCTTCCAGGACCTGGCCAGCTCTTTCCGAGCCATCAGGTAACGTCAAGCTGACAATCTCGTTATAACGTGGGAATTTGACCTATACAGCATCATCGTCAGTGGGTGGAAATCTACCGTAGAGCTATAAAGTTGCAGGCAACTTACATTGTCGAGGATAACGAGGGGGCCATTGACACCGCCGATGGTGTTGTACTTCAATCGGGGCTTGATAGAAGCCATACGATGGTCTAGTTCGGCCATGTTGGCGGCCTCTCGGGAAAGGATAGAGTATAGTTCGAAGCTGAGGGTGAGGGAGAGGCAGAAGGAATTAATTAATGGCTGAGTAGCAGCTTCAGTAAAATGGACGAATCGGTTGCAGGCGATGATGCAGGCGCAGGTCAAGGAACGGGCAATTCAAGCTGCGGAGGCAGGATGCGTCTCTCACACTGCAGCAGTTAGTGGCTGACTAGCAGCAAGCGTAAGTTGCTGCTCTAACGGATGGCGTCAAGTTGTGCGAGATGAAACCCCGAGCTGCCCTAAGACAACCAGTCAAAGAAGCAGGATGTCTGAGCTAACGGCTTGTGGAATCGGGCTAAATACTCTTAGCCGGATCTCAACCTTAGCGTCTCGCTCTCCAACTCCGAGTACTGTAAGTTCGTAACTGATAGCGAAGCGAAATCTACCTCTGGTTCGTTCGCTCACATCATGGTTATCTTGATGGTTATCTATGGCCCTTGCATGCCTTCAGTCACATTAACTTGATCCGAGCTGCACTCTTAAATTCCATACACATTCGGATACTCGTGTAGGAGGCATAAATGATTGATCACCATTCTATCCCAGACCTAACCAACTTGAATATCTGCTCGTAGGCCATCCCAGGCTTGAGCATATATTAGTCGACTCTGTTGAGAGTCATCTTCCGCCCAGAACCTCACGCCCCAGCATCTTTTGCTTGCTGGGTAGACCCGTGTGGCAATGGTACACCGCGAATTTGCGAATGTTTCCAACACTGACTCATCAAAGAAAAGACGAAGCTCGAGCAATTCCCTGGTTTCATTGCTCTGCTTCCCAAAAGAAAACAAGGTAAATGGTGCTGTCTCTGGAAAGGTCAAGATCCCAGAGTCGACCCCCCTCGAGTCAGGTCTTTCAACTTTCAACGTTTCTATCCCAGGCACAAGATATACCATCGTGGAAGATGCTATCCCATGACTTTCATCATGAAATATGCTTAGCCCAATGCGCGAGCACTGACTAGACACTTCCAACTTTGCAGTCAGTTCAAATCTGTATGTCTGCACGTCCATAAAACACTCTCCTTTCCTGTTGAGTATAGGCGAGCCTTGAATCGCCACTAGCCGAGTGTCCCTCCTCAATCCCTGCAGCGAACTGGCAGGATCGATGCCTAGTGTCCTCACCGTGAAAGTATCTTTCGACTCTGGTGTTACTTCCACTGATGTGATATCCTTCAGATCTGATTGAAGGGCACATGTCACACCCCTCAAAGTCTGTAAGCTCAGCTCTCGAGGAATCCCCAATAGACCGCTCCAATTTTGTCGGTCGACCAACTTCTGTGGTAGATCTTCTTCTGTGATCCAACCCCAGGCTATCTGTTTGGCCGTCAAAGGGTCATAGAAGACGTTGACCGCGTACATCATTCCATAATCGAAGCGGCCTCCAAAAGAGTATTGCATTTTTGGCACGCTTTGCCCGGCAGCATTTGTGCTCATACTGAGCGTTCCACACATCCATTGCAGGGATCGCTCCCATCGTGGAAATGTTGTGGTTTCTTGAGGGTACGCTGCAAAAGTAGATTCAGGGTGTGAAGTGTCCGAGCCTTCTCCTCCAACCACTATAAATTCACGGGAGGCTTCATTCCTCTCATCAGACAGAGTCATGAAGCAAGCACATTCCCAATTTATGCCAAGATCGCCTGACCATCTGGATGTATTGTGATTCAACCCGACGTCCACAATGTCGCTGATATAAGTCCATTGTGTAAGATTTTGGGAGTTGATGGCATAAAGAAAGGCTGTGGGAGTATGGTCTCTCAGACCACCAGATATCAGTGCATACAGAGTCTTCAAATTCTCGTCTTGGCCTAATATGGCGTCCATTGAAGGCCATCTCGCAATGAAAGGGTCACGCCAGCCAGTTACAGACAACTCATCTGGTGGCTCCGCCAGCACTGGATTATTCGCCATCTTGGTCCATGACTGTCCATCATCACTTGACGTGGCAACCGCCAAAGTCTCCGTTTGCCGAATATAAGGTAAAGTGTAATGTAGCGGTAATCGACTGACCCCAGTATAGAAGACAGTGAGGTGGCCTGTCTCCCCTCCAAGACTCGTAGGCACCATACAGCCCGTGAAACAACCTTCCTTGTCATACCAATCACCAGGCTTGATACTAGTAGCACCCGACACCGCCCAATTTACCATATCTCTCGAGGTTGCATGGCCCCAGCGTATCGAATCCCAGACGACTGACCCAGAAATGCTTCGACGAGGATTCCATTGGAAGAACAAGTGGTAGAGACCTGTGCTTGCATCGTATCCCGGACCACAGGGATCATTCATCCAGCCACTTGGTGCCTGGATGTGGTATAGCGGCCGCCATCGAAGGAAATGTAGCGATGGCAGAGATCCCTCGTATACTGATCGAGCCGTAGGTCGCTCGGGTATCAGATCCTTTCCTGTCTGTGCAAGGTTCAAGTTGGACGTGCCGTCCACGGATTTTCGTCGAGCTTCGTATGCTGCCAGCGTCCCGGCAAGACTGCCAGGTGCTTGGAATGGCATGACACGAGTTGCCATCGTTTTCAAAGTCTGCTGTGAGTGAATGCCTAGCAATGAATATATGATGTTGTAAGTGAGTACAACAATCGCAGTGGGGGAAGCAGAATCGCAGAGTGAAAGGAGTAACGTTTGCGAGTTGGAAGTCTGTCCTGTCTATACCATGACAATCGTGAGCCTAGTAACATTGAGAACGCCCTTGGAGGCGGATAACCACCAGGAAATCATGTTGGTAAAGCCTAGTAAACTAGTTGATCCACCATCTTAAGCACGGGTAAATATCATCACGAGGAAAATAGGCGAACCGATCATGTGGAGGCCACGGCCTTTGGATGAGTAGACTCGCCCTAATAACGACATGACTAGTTATGTACAACATCCACAGCAACTGTGAGTTGGATGATTGTGATCCAAGTATTTGTGAGTACATCATTTCATTGGCGGTAGGGTCTCCCATTCCCATGGTGTGAGGGAATGCCCGATCAATATGCAGAAAAGGGCCGAACCGTTGTCGGCTAGCGAATGAGAGGCATCAGTTGCTGCTAACTATGAACCCCTGTGGAAAGTGAAGTGGTGTGTTCTCAAGCAAAGCAGATTGATCTAATGCTGGGGATGTGTATATCAGACAAGACTCTGGGTCACGCGGGCCTGGCTGAAGGTCGCATCAGAGCACCGTGGTGTGCGACGCTCAAAGCTTGTGCTAAGCAATGCTATTTGCCAAAGTCGACGGGAATTCGCGAAGGCCGTGTTAGGCTGTATTGGGATAAGTCCTCCGTGGGTTGGCCCGTTGAACGTTATAAGGCCGGCGAGCCTCATCTCAAGCTCGGGTTTAGTAAAAAATCTCGCTGAAGTATTGAAGTGCGGTCGTGGAACGCATTGCTCGTAGTGGATCAGGTCTTTGTGATACGGGCACCAAAATCAAAAGGCGCTCGATTTCTGTCCATTCAACCAATAGCTTGCTGTTATTCTCTTGTCGCGAAGTTAAGGAAACTTCGAGAAAGAGCCTGTCAATCCCTCATTCTGGTCACATAAGCCAGCAGTCTCTGTCGAAGTTGGAGGGCTTTAAACAATCATCTTAGCTCAGGCCTCGCATGGCACCCTCGCTCGTAGAGAGGCGTGCATTGACTCAAGCCCCGAATGTAGTCGACTGTGGTACTGTGTCGTTTGGAACGCGCTCAACACCATCCTGCAGGCATGAACAAGTATGGTTCGAGTTGCCCATCACTTCAATGTCGAGCAACCTGTACTCCCCTGCTACTTCATAGAAAAAGTGGCTTTGATCCTGGTCGGAGAAAGAGGTCGTTGTCTTGTCTGAATTTGTCTGTCAGGGTTCAAACTCCAGGTTCATTCTCCCACCGGCTCAGGTCTTCCACTGAACAGCAGTTTGTACTTGACAATCTCAACCAGTTCCAAATCCGAGGTGGTCTCTTCAGCTGAGTCAATACTTCCATTACCTGCCTTCTGTATGATACCCAGTGGCTTCGCCAATTTTTTCACTTCACCAGTCAACCGCTGGTGTTTGCCGATGTAGAGATACACCTTTTTCATCCATTTCCCGTCATTTTTCTCTTGTGCCTCATAGAGTGGAAACTCAAGTCTCCCGAGTGTTGTCGTTATCGGTGGCTGTTCGGAGTCAGAGCCAGAGCCAGAGGATGAACCATGCGGTCCGTGGATGGTTCCTTGAATCTCAACGATTGCGAGTCCTGAAGGTGTCTGCAGAAGCTGTGGTAGAGGATTTGAGCCCGTGCTCGCATGTATTCCCGGTAGCTGTAAATTGACACAAGGCATCTTTCCGGTCAGAGTAGGTCTCCATCCCACTAACAGTATCCTCGCGAAAAGACAAGAAGGGCTTTGAGGGATGGGTAGGAAGTTGAGTTGGATGCATGCACTTTAGTTCCGTGTGTGCGACGCGTCGAGTCGCGTTCGGCATGGCGGGGCAATCCAATAACTATTTCTTGGCATAAACCCCCGGCGTGCCATCTCGCTAATCCTCTTTCCCCAAGGCTGATCCCCGCCCCAGTGAGGAGCGGCATCCAACGGCAGACAAGTCGTGATGGAAACGCCTTGCGCTGCCAGAACTGCGTTAGTGCCAACCTCTGATCTCAACCACAGCCTTATCTTCGACGATATGTCTTTGCCCTCAGCTATGCTCTCCCGCCGAACAGCTCGAGAGTGCTGGAGGAGATGGATCCCCTCTCCATCACGGCCGCCTGCGCCGGCATCCTAAGCTGCATAGGCCCTCTTGTCCTGAAGATCCGAAGAGTCGCCGTCGGCGTGCGTGAGGCTCGCAAGGACATGGCCTCGCTGGACCAGGAGCTGTCGTTGTTGGCAATGCTGATGGAAATATTGAAAAATGATTGTGAGGATCCTGCCTTTGAATACCCTACTCGCCTGCGCAAGAGCTTCGTCGATGTTCTGGGCCATTGCGCCGGGGTCCTGGGGGAGATGGCGGCCACCTTGGGGAAGTTTGCTTCGGCGAAATTAGGGAAAAGACTCGAGTGGGAGGCGCAGGGACGGGACAATATAAGGAAATTGAAAGAAAGGTTGAATACTTATTCAGATCTTATTGGAAAACATCTCGAGTTCCTTGCGCTGTATGACACTCTCTCCATCGAGACGCTGCCCTATGCCTTGGCTTACATTCGGTCAGACTCCAGAGTCGAGAGGTCAAGTATGACTTGTCTCATACACTACAACAGGTAGAGATGCTGGGAAACGACGTCGGATTCATCCGGCGCAATACAGCGCATCTTCCCCAAATGCAACACGATCTGGCACGGCTATCGTCACAACTTCCACTCTTCGCTGAGATGCTGAGATCACAAGCTTCGCGTATTGGGACCACGAGAGAGGAGATTGAGGATAACATCATACTTCGAAGATTCATCGAAGACACCTGTTCCTATGCCGAGACTGTCTTCGATGACCTCACATCGAGAGCTAGTTTGACGCCCGTGCCCAGTGAGAGGCAGGTCTCACAGCCGCGAGGAATGGATGCGTTTCAAGACCGTAGCAACTCGCATCCCAGACCGCCACAAATGGATGTAGATGTCCTATCAGTGTTGCCGGAAGACGATGCACAAGCATGGGCCACCTTCGCAACTTATGGTTTCGAGCACGTCCCAGTGGAAAGTTTCAGAGATGATTTAACACGTTTACCGGGCACTCCTCACAGTGATCAAGACAGCAAAGAAACTGCGTCGTCTTCGTATTCTGACGAGACACTAGACCGCAGTTCATCGGATATCCAAGAATCAGCGCTACCTTCCGCGCCAAACCGTGATTGTTTTGTCGACGACGAAGACGACAAGCAGGTGGCCACCTCTGAGCCAGACCGAAATCGATCGCTCGACACGGAAGAGCCAGTATTCAATTCTGTAGGGCCTATCGTCAACACCAATGCTGATGATCAGGAAGACGGCGTCTCAGAACCGTCGCTCGACAATGAACGAATACTGACAAACTTTGAGGTGTTTTCAGACACGGGGGATGGCTGTCGACGTGGTCGTTCTCCAACGCCACGACCGCTTCCCCTTCCCACGATTGGGAATTACGAAAGGGAAAATGTGGCTCCAGCATCAGACACTCCCACCACACCTCCTTCCCCGAAGAACTTTGCGCTGCCAGGAACTGCCCCTGATCCAAGTAGACTTCTCATAGCCGGCAGCTCAGCGAGGGTCATTGCCTCAGAACCCCAGCCACTACAGTACGTAGCCAAACCACTTGTACAGCAATTGAAACGGCGCCCGACTCCTGCCAGACAGGACTTAGTCTATGACCCCAATTCAAGGCGCTTTATCACCAAGGCACAGGCTGACCTCCTGGAGACGCCACCGATACCAAGCACGCATATTGACGTGAAGCAAACCCCCAAACAAAAAGTGACGGGAAAGCCCACGACGGCAAGAGCACACCGGCCCAAAAGCATTAATCCTCCTATCACTTACCGCACTGAATATGATATCTCCCCTTCTTTTTCTTCGACGAAACTTGACCAGGTCGAGTCGAACCGCTCAAGCACCACATCGCATACGAGCCGTCGATTTGGGTCTTCGAGTGACGGGCCTGGGACATCTCGAACCCGTGCTACCAGCATCCAGGATAGCGATGATGATTCTGAAGCGATAAATTCCAGAGATTTTCGCCAATTGCCAAGGAAGTCGTCCTTCCGCAATTCTAGGAGAGGGTCTTTCTCATCTTTTCGATCCTTCAGTGGAGCTACAGTCACGCTTCGGAAAGTCCCAGTGTTTGAACTGCCTCTGCTTTCTACAGCAGAAAAGGCGAGCATAAAGACTTTACTGATGCACGCTCCTGTACGCATAACATCACCAGATCCCAAGAAGTCGAGGAGGAGCAGTTGGCATTGGAGGAGAGGCAGCGATAGTAACGAGCAAAACCTGGGCAAAGCATTGATCTGGGCAATCAACGACTATGATGTCTGGAATCGAGGTGCCAAGACTGTACCAACAGAAAAGGTTGTGCAGTACTTGATCGAGATGGGCGCAGATGTCAACACAAAGGCCGTAAGCAATTACAGCTATGTACCGGGAGCCAGAGGCAAAAATCTCGTGCCTGTCCTGCATCTTGCAACCCATGCAGGGATGCGCGCTGTGGTCGAGGTCCTTCTCATCAAAGGTGCTTTTTTTGACGCGAAAGACTGGATGCAACGGACGGCCCTCCATCTCGCAGCGGAAAACGATTTGTCCGACACCATAGCTCTACTCCACAGTCGGGGAGCTGATATCAACGCAGAAGACCACTGGGGCCATGACGCGCTGCGCATTGCTGCCATGATGGGCAATTTCGAGACCGTGCAGGTTTTGATCTCCGCCGGTGCCAATGTCCAAGCCGCGGGCTTGATAGCAGATGTTTCTGCGCACCAAGGCACAGCTCGAGTCTTGAGATTCTTGCTTGATCAAGGTTCCAACCCCAACGATCAGGATCGATCGCAAAGGACAGCTGTCTATCGAGCAGCGGAACAAACGCTGATAGAAAACGTACGGGTACTCCTTGATTTCGGGGCCGATACATCTACCGCTTTGTATCTGGTCGAAAACCGGCACAGATGGGATGTTAGAGGGAGAAGGGAACGTCTTGATGACTCGAGACTTGTTGCAATGTTGAAGCAAAATGGGTGAACGCAGGCTTGAGATCACGGGCACTGATGTGTACCATGGTGGAATACCCAACAGCTCTACAACGCTACCAACGTGATGCATGAATGAATCCGGGATGGACGTCCTTGTACGCAATCACAGCAGCACGCCGGAAGCAAATCACCATCAGCTTCATAGCCAGCCTCTGTACCCTCGGCCATAGAGGCAGTCCAGCTACTTACACTCTTCGATTTAGCAGATATAAAGACAGATCCGGAAATACGTGAGCCTGCTTCCAAGATCGGCACGGCAATTCACAGATGCGCTATTTAGTTTTTTGCCACAATGGCCTTCAAGCTAGCTGTATCGCAAGATTGTCTGGGAAGTGCGAGAGAAAATGGAGGAAGATCGCAAAGGACTCTGTGATTCAGATCGAGATGGAAAAAAGAGATGCAGGACCAGACTTTGTTACAGGCAGCTACAACAGCAGCAAGCCAAGGAACAGGGAGATTTGGATTCGGATTGTTTGTGGACGATATTTTCAACAACCCATCTTTCTGTATGAAAGTAAATACATATATTGCCTTGTATTGCAGGTTCCGTTAGTAAATTGAATTGCCCTCTCATGGAATTTCCAAATTCGCAGGTCTAGTCTCTCGATCAATTGACATCTTTACTAGTCACTCCGTTCATATACCCCTTTTTTGGTATAGCCTTGGACAGCATCCAGTGCCCTTATTCCTACTTCTGGGAAACATTGTCCTGCGCCGTCAATAGATCTGTGTCCTATGGTACTAGGGAGTTATAGATCTTAGCCAACGCTTTTCTTCATGTGATAGGGTGGTGCAGATCAACATGCCATGGTATATTGTTATTGGCCTGCAGTTATTCTTTAAGCCTACATAGGGCTAAAGGCGTTCACAGCACTAACTACCTCCTCGTTCCGACCAGGGGTATGCTCGACGTGAATTTACCTCGTCTTGGCGTACTCCTGTTCTGCCAGCTGTGTGCTCATGTCTAACATTAGCAACTCAAAACAGGCCTCCATCAGGATGTGTCTTGTAACTAGGTCCGATGTGCTATGCTACTATGCTTTGTACGTAAGCAAATCGACCAACAAAGAAACGTCAATCTCGGAGCACTCTTACATGATGTCTCTTGAGGGCATTACTGTGACATGGAGAGGATTTTTAGACACGATACTAGTTCTGAATTATTTAATTTCTCATTTCTCATTTTGCTTTTGCTTGTGTTATACTAGCAGATGGCCATTCGAGTTGTGTTCATGATTTGTGACCAAAGCTTCTACTTAGTAATGCCGCCAGCCTGGTTGGTATCATATGTTATACCACACCTCTGGTAACAAGCCTTAGCACCTTGAGCAAAAGCTGCTGGCAGTTGCGCCCTGTAGTCTGTGGTGTTGACATTGTCAAGCCAGCTCGGGTAGGCGAGATTGGCATCGACGATATCTTGAGGATTGATGAAGAAGTTCTGGGCTGTACGCGAGACACCAGGGTCCTCGTTCGACAGAGAGGCGACGAAGACGGCGGGTTCGCAATTGTCGTTAAATTCCCAGTGTAGGGATCCTTGCGGTCGGATGGTACCTTGGTATAGGCCAATTTCAGTATATACGGGTAGATCTGAGTAGTATTAGTGGGCTATATCCTGTCATGGATGGAATAAGTAGAGACTAACCAAACCCATCTTCAAGAACAAATCCAGTCTTAAGAGATTTTCCACTGACGAGAGTAACTATCTCGGTAGCACGGTTATGGATGTGTATACTATCAAGGCCACAAGGATTGAGGTAGCCGATAGCAACAGAGAGACCGGTGCCCATAAGGACGGGGAAATTGGCGACTTCTGCGAGGTAGCCTTGACCACCAAGACCATTGGCAGCATTAGAGTGGGAGCCATCAGGTGTTAGGTCGAATTTGAAATAATCATCTGTGTTGCCAAAGCTCTTGATAAGCGTCAATCTCTCGACAGCAGTGTAGGCAAGCTTGACTTGTGTGAGCTGCTCCTGAGTGTAAGTCGGGTTTGGACGAGTAAGGTTTGTGGCATTTGGTGGGTTCACAAGGGTTCCATTGTCTGGATAATTTGGCTCTTGACGTCTGTAAAGCTCTGGGACAAACGGAACAGCGGCAGTGAAGCCGAGGCCTGTAGTGAGGGTGGCAAGACTGAAAAGCATTGCGATCAATTTGTAGATAAAGTCGGAGTGCTCGAGGGTGAACGATGGATGAAATGACCTTCCTAAAGCCGTGGCCTAGCTCAGGTATTTAAACACAAGATCATGCTTGATCGCCAGAGGATCTGGTCACCCGTGGAGGACCTTCCTGGGGCCCATTGAACAAAGATGCTGGTAACTCACTCGAACCATTGCCTACCACAGATGGTTCATCACACCGTCGAATATTTCAAATCTCAATCAACTAGCAAGATAGCTTTCCACGGTCACCAATCACCAAGCAGCCAGCTTTGGGCTAGATCTTCCATGCTGGTTCGGAGGAGGCTCTCGAAAATATTGCAGGTGTCGAAATCACCGATCGAGCAACTGGAAGCGATCAATGAACGTTTCTCAACATTCCGAGATGCAGCTCCATCCAATCAGACAGCTCGGGATGAGCTTCGTAAAGCTTCTCACTCTTGTTCGAATTCGAGTGCATGATGGACAGTTCGAGACCTCAGCTATGAGCTCTCGGAATCAGGGCATGATCGGACAAAAAAACGTGGGGACCCCGCATCTCTCGTTGATGATGATGACCACGACAGGTAAGTTCTGCCGCTCACAAACTTTATCAGGCGCGAAATCGGAGAAATGGCATTTTCACTCTTGGTGCCACACTTGCATATGTTGCCTTCTTTAGACATCGGGAACGAACCTCAATCCTTGCTCTCCATTATGCTAGTTTGTCCGACCGGGTGCTCGCTCGTCAGGTCTCCCTCGGGCAAACGGAAGGCGGTATCTAACATCATGCACACGAGACTCTATTGCCATGTGTTTGTCGTAAGTTCGTGAATGTCGGATCTTATCGTAAAGCTTGATGCTGAGTTCGGAGAGCACAATGACAGCTCCACAAGCACAACAGCAATGCTTTGGTTTCTGCCGATATGTCATGAGTTGAAAGATGTTATGTAAACCTGACGCTCAAATAAGTTCCATAGCTGTGACAGCCCTGAGAAGACTGCTTAACAGAAGAGAATAGTAGTTTTCCGGCCAGTCGTCAACCTTGACAAAAGCCCAAAGAGTATGGCATCGCCAGCACCAGACACAGATCTCCAAAACTAATGCTGGAACTTTGACGAGCATGGTGAAATATGCCGCTTTACGGGATTATCTGTGTCGTGACAGCAGCTAACCTCTTGGGGCGCGTTCATTAAAGCAGCCATTCTGCCCATGAATACAGAGCCTTGGCATGAAATGATTCTGAAGTGAATTTCTAGATGTTTCTCTCAGAAGTCGTCCCATCTGCAATCATCGCCGACCTACGGAGTTGATCCAATGCGCCCACCTCAATTGAGACCACAAGTCTGAACAGACATCCAACAGACAACATTCAAAGGTATGTGGCCCTCGCCAACATTATTTTCGTAGTATTGTGATGAGAATCCAGCTGGCACCAGTCTGAGAAGACTTGTACTCTTTGCATGCGGATCAGCTTTTTATGGCTTCAAGCCTTCAGCCTGAATACCCTCCTTATCCCTTAAAACTCTGCCTTCTGGCTTCGGAACATATTTCTAATCTGACCGGAATAGGATCGGCTTGCCCATTTACCCTGTGCCCTTTCCATCATGGTACTCCATAACCCTAACAACTGGCATTGGGTGACCAAGGATGCCGGTCCATGGGCCAAAGAATATCTAGAGACAGAGATCAAAAAGGCTTCAGCTGAAGAAGATGGCGTTACCGCAAAAATCACCAAGCTTGTCTCTCTGGACGGTGATGTTGAAGTCAGCCAGAGAAAAGGCAAGGTCATAACCATTTACGATGTTTCCTTGCAATTAGAATATGAGGGTTCGTCATAATTTCGGCATAACGAAAGCTTTACAAATCGATTGACGAATTCGACAGGAAAGACCAAAGAAGGCATCGATGTCAGTGGTAGCATCAAAGTTCCAGAATGCGCATATGACACCGAGCCTGAGGAGTACGTTGTATGTTCCATTGCTGAGTCCACGGCAGAATTTTTAAGCACGGCACTGACTCCTGACAGTTTGAGATCGATATCTACTCTGAACAAAAGGAGAAGCAACCAGTGAAAGATCTCGTCCGATCACAGCTTGTGCCTCAACTTCGAAAAATCTTCTCTACTCTAACCCCTGCGCTCGTTGAAGAGCATGGAAAGGACTTGCAACACGCTCCTGGTTCCAATCCCTCAAGTGGATTTGCCACACCCACATGGCATCCACAAAAGGAACGTACTCCAACATCCGCCGCTCAAGTCACTACATCCACTTCTGCAAGCTCCTCAATCAACACAACCACCGTCAGTGCCACAGATGAATTCCGCACAAGTGCTGAAGAGCTCTTCACGACTTTCACTGATGCACAGCGTCTTGCTGCTTTTACGCGCGCACCACCTCGAGTCTTTGAGGGTGCCAAAGTTGGTGGAAAATTCGCCATCTTCGACGGAAATGTCACCGGTGAATTCGTCACTTTAGATGCACCCAAGAAATTGGTGCAAACTTGGAGACTTGCACAGTGGCCTGAGGGACATGTTAGCACCCAGGAGATTGTTTTTGATCAGAATGATGTGGATCGAGTGACCAATTTGCGGGTCACTTGGACTGGAGTACCTGTTGGACAAGAAGAAGTGGTACGTCGCAATTGGGAGGGTTACTACGTTCGCAGCATCAAACAGACATTTGGGTAAGTTGCACGTTGCTCCTGGAGTTATTAATTTGACTGACATGACGATCAGCTTTGGAAGTATTCTATAGTCTGAATGGTCTTACTTCCCGGATATGGAGCTTCACTGCATTGCATTGCATTTCGGGACATTGCCGATCGGAGTGGGAGGTAAAACCCAAATCAGTGAGCGCATTCCTGATTTTTTAGATTTATGCTACGGTACGATAGTTCCAAGGGCGCTTCGACCTGCCCCCACGGGGTGGATGAATGAATGAATGAAAACCAAACATTAGCCACAGCAATCGATCATGGCCTCACATGTTTTATACTTTTGATTGCCAGGTTTCGTCCCATGTGTTAGCTGAGCAGGGATTTCCCTTGCGCAAGCTCAGCCAGTCGTGCTGAAGTTACGTCATCTCTCTACATCCCATCATCTTTCGTCAAAACCGGCTTGCACCGCCACACTTCGACTTCTCTTTCCTCTGTCCTCTCTCCAGTCTCTAGTCTCGCCTGCTACTCGCTTAATTCTTTTTAGTATCTGAGCCTCGCTACTGAGTCAATCACAAGAACATTGGAATATGTGCCTTGTTGCATGATCTGCACGGGTGGGTAGGCAAGTCAACCCTTCCTAGTGTTTCTAGCTGACACAATCGAAGTACCACAATGTCCAATAAAGGACCTTCCGTGGGGAAGGACCAGAAAAATGGGAAGAGTGATGACAGTACTGATCTGACAACGATTTTAGACGAGCATCAAAGGGGAGAGCTGACCTTGCTCATCGCCAATCTCACTGAATCCATGCGCAAAGTCATCATCGATAACTTCGATGCCTCGGCTGGAGGAGACAAGAGCCTCTCACGCGATGGAATGACAGAGGATGAGAAGCTCATGGCCACAGACCCCTCCACTGCAGATGTTGGCGCATATGAACGTGAACAAAAACTGAAGGAGGAGAATCTGAAAGATCTTGCGACCCCCAAGATGAAGAACTTGAAGAAAAACTCCCTGAAATCTTACGATGAATGGCGCGAGAAAGTCATTGAGCGTGTTGGTCAGGTCGTTAATAGCGAACGCACCGCCAGAGACCAAGTACAGCAAAACTCAGGGACGGCTGATGTCTCCAAACCTCGTGCACCAACAACGGTCGGTCGTATTATGGAGGTACCGAACAAAATGGTCAACTTGAAGTTCAAGGATTTGTTTCCTCCAGCAAAGACTCCACTCACGAAAATGACTATGAGCCAACGCACTTTGATACTTCATGCTTTGCTCCTGCTCCTGCTTTCTCTTGAGCATTACAATGCGCTTTCACGTATTCTGATGCTCAATCTCACATCTTCATTAAAGTTGCCTTTGAAGACCTTCGAACAAGATGAGTACACGACAGCTAAAGGTCTTCTCGAGGCTGCAAAAGAGATGTCTGCAGATGAGGAGACGAAGAAGATCGCCGAGGAGAACAAGGAGTTGAGAATCAAGAAAGTCCGTATTGCGACTGCCGCTGGTGCAGCCATCATGGGCGTCACTGGTGGGTTGGCTGCTCCAATGATTGCTGCAGGTGTTGGCTCCGTGATGGGTGGTCTCGGTCTCGGTGCGACTACTGCAGCCGCTTATCTAGGATCTGTCGCTGGAAGTACCGTGCTGGTGGGCGGACTGTTCGGAGCATACGGTGGTCGTATGACTGGCCAGATGATGGATCACTATGCTCGGGAGGTGGAAGATTTCCAATTCCTCCCCGTGCATGGCAGTAGCGACAAAAAGACCAGTGAGGATGAAAAGCAGGGTGCAGAAGAAGCCAGTGAGCACGATCACAAACTTCGAGTGACCATTTGCATATCCGGTTGGTTGACTGAAAAGGAAGAGGTGGTGAAGCCCTGGCGCGTGATGGGCGTTGGAGCAGAAGTGTTTGCGCTCAAGTACGAGTTGGAAGCACTTCTGAATCTCGGAAATGCTATGAACGGCATGGTGCAGTCTGCGGCCTGGGGCTATGCTCAGAAGCAACTGATCTCCCGCACGATATTTGCCGAATTGGCGTCTGCTATGTGGCCTATAGCCTTACTTCAGGTTGGCAGGGTGATTGATAACCCTTTTAGTGTTGCCAAGTCTCGATCTGAGAAGGCCGGTGAAGTGCTTGCTGATGCAATCATAAACCGTGCACAGGGTGAGCGACCAGTAACGTTGATCGGGTATTCGCTTGGTGCAAGAGTCATCTATACTTGTCTGATGACGTTGGCCAAACGAAAGGCCTTCGGACTTGTGGAGAATGCAGTATTGATTGGATCACCAACTCCAAGTGATACAAGTGATTGGCGAATTCTCAGGAGCGCCGTGGCAGGACGACTAGTGAATGTCTACTCTTCGAACGACTATGTCCTCGGGTTCATGTATCGCACTTCAGCGATCCAGTATGGTGTTGCCGGTCTACAAAAGATCAACGGCCTGGCCGGTGTCGAAAATGTTGATGTCTCGGAAGACGTCTCGGGGCATTTGAGGTACAGATACCTCATTGGTAGTATACTGATGAAAATTGGGTTCGAAGACATAGACATCAACGCAGTGCAGGAAGAGCGCAAGGAGCTCCAAAAGATGGAGGAGCGTGAGAAGAAGGAGTCGCTTCAGTCTCAGCGGCGGTGGCTGCTTCGTCGCGAATCTACGGGAGGGAAAGCGGACGAAGAGGCAGAGGGCAAAGCTGAAGCGGCTGAACTCGAGAAGAAGGTCCAAGAACAAACTCAAAAGTCTTTGGTCACCAGGGCCATTGAGTACTTCTACAATCCAGGCATCCCCAGTGCCAAAGATGCAGAAAAGGTCGCAGGTAACATTCAAAATATCGGCAAAGATCCAAGCAAGGCTGGCCAAGCAGCTGGTGATGCCATCAAGGATGTTCAGGCTTCTACTCAGAGCTATGCTACTATGCTTTACGAGAAGTTACCGAGCATGCCACATGTACCTCGTTCAGCACCAACCACTAGTGCCAATAAGTCTACTCCTGCAGATACCAAGCAAGCTACAGGTCAGGTATCTGAGGCAGTCAAGAATGTGAAAGGCTCCGGTCAAAGTTATGTCCAACAGGCATCGTCCTATCTTCCATCACTGCCCAGCATGCCTTCACTCGGCGGGGGTGGTGGTGGCAGCAAGGACGCAAAGAAGAGTAAAACACAACCGAAAACTCCAGCTGAAACAGCCTCCACTTCCGCCTCTAAGGCAGCAGACACGACAAGCTCAGCGGCGAGGGAAACAGCGGGTGTTGTTTCAGATGTTGTCAACCCAACTGTGAAAAATGTATTGAATCCAAAGGACAATCCTGTCGTCAAGTCGGCTCAAAAAACGACAAAGCAGGCACCTATTATTCATCAAGCCGCAGATAGGACTCCCGCGCCTGTTAAAAATGTAGCAAAGGGTGCTTCGGATGCTGTTGGCACCACGGCGCAAAATACTGGACAAACCGTACAAAAGCGCATCGACAGTTCAACCGAGAAAGCCCGCGATGCAGCAAAGACCACAACCTCGGGTGTCACAAGTGCTGCGAAGTCAGGGCAATCCTATTCCTCAAGAGCAGCTTCATATCTACCTGAAATGCCCAACATGCCATCCTTTAGCTTCATCGGACGGGATTCCAAAGAAGGGACAAAGGCAGCAGCACCCAAGCTTGAGAAAAGAGCAAGTTCATCCAAGAATATCAATGTCACAACGAAGTCCAAAAACGAAAAGCAGGCACCGCCAAAACTTGCAAGTCGTAGCAGTTCGGCCAAGAATGTTAATGCTGCGAATTCAGCTCCCTCGGCAGGAACGCAATCGTCCCCAGCAAATACTCTGTCTCGAGTTGCATCAGGTCTGAAGTCTCCGAAGGTGCCCACAAAACTAGATGGCTCTGGAATCAAATCTCCAGCTCTACCAACGCGACTCGATTCCATTCCTGGTATTAGTGGTTCGAAATCACCACCAACCTCGGTTCCTACCTCCGATCTAGTTCGACGAATTTCGTCGGGCCTGAAATCTCCGCCAAAACTGGGCCCTCGGAAAACCAGCAGCCAAATCAATCAAAGTCAGAGCTCCGGACCAGAACCAGGAGCATTGGGCGAGAAATTGAGCAGTATCCCTTCGGGTGCAATGGATATGGGAAAGAATGTTGGCGGGCAGGCGAAGGGTCTGATTGGTGGAAGTGGCGATGGCATCAAGTCTCCTCCTGCAGCTTCTACTGGGGGTATCAAGAGTCCCAGGACCTCAAATGTTAAGTCTCCTGCACCAATCTCCAAGAGCACAGCAGCGCCGGACAAGGCGCAAAAGAAAGGTTCTGACACGAGTGCTATGCCTTCCATCCGTGGTACAGGGGCAGCAAAAGGTGTGACAGATGCCGCATCTTCTGGTGCTCAGCAAGGAGCGGGAAAAGCAATGGACACGGGCAGGGCTGCAGCTCAGCAGGGTGGTAAGGTCCTGGGCGGCTTGGGCCGTGGTCTGGGTTTTGGCAGGTGATGAGCTTTGTGGCGAACGCATGCGAAGTGCTGGGTTGATATTGCTAGGTACTTGTGTAATATGTGGAGGCTTCTGGGAAAAGTTATTTGCTTGTGGGTTGTACGATGCCAACCCTTTGGAGACCGTTATCAGTGTTCATATTTTGCATAGGTAAACTGTAGATGCCATACAAGAGAGATTTCTGTTCCTCTCCCCTTCTTGTGCTTAGAAATTTAGAGAATCCTTATGAATTATCAGGGCTCCTGGGTCGATATATCATAAGGCGGCCTTCCATGGCCCTTCCTGCTTTGTGCAGACAATAAGCGAGGATTCTATGCGCAAACTTACAGCCCGGCTCAGGCTATCGATTATTCGAACTGTCCCCATGCGTGCGCGCCGTCAAAGTCGAGGAAATTCTCGGCTAGCAATTCATTCAACAACTTCTCCGGATCTTCCTCCCCCGCCATTGTCTCATACCCAGAATTTTCAGTGCCCATCGAGAGACCTGGAAGGAAAGGGAGGCTTGTCCAAGCAGTCTCCCGATCATTCGAGGCATTGCCCCCAGAAAAGAGTCCAGATGGACCAGCCGGCCTATCACTACTGTCAATTCTCCGATCTAACGCTCCTTTTTGTTTCTGAGCAAATGGGTTCACTGGTTTCAATCCAGATTCGCGATCATCTAGGTCCTTAAGCGTCAAGCCTGTCTTTTTCACTATCTCTTCGAGCATGTGCAAGGAACCTTGTCCGCTATGCCAATGCTCAGAGCTTGCTCGGAGATACGCAAGACCTTTGTGAATATGGATCTGACTATTTTGCCTTCTTGGGGTGGTGATAGATTTGTCCAACGCAGTCTCGATGTGCATCGCGATCACTGTCGAGGCACAAGTCATCCTGAACAATGGTCAGCCGAGTCTACTATCATTTGATGCGAGTACCCACACCGAGAGTGGGCAGCAACCAACAAGATCTTGCAACATGATACGGTCTAGAGTTGTGGACAAGTCTAGCATGGCATTGTGCTGCTTTTGGAGAGCTCGATGTTCTGAACTCTCGTCTCCAGTATCGTACATCGTTCTCAGGTTGCGGTAAAGGACACATTCCAGACGGCTACTCATGGCCTTGAGAACCAATATCCAAACAGTTTCGTTTGACCAATTTTCAATGAACTCGATGTTTAGGTCAGGTGGTAGTTCTTTCCGCCACTGGAGAATTGCTTTCTCTAATTCTTCACATCCAGATCTTGCTGGCTTCGATTCCGTCGATCGGAAGATTTCGAGATATCGAGCACCTTGTAAATCCGAGTCAATAAAATGCAATGACGGTCAAAAGACGGCTTACAGATTCTGGACAATTTTGTGTTTTGTACAAGATAGAGTTTTTCTATTCGCGTTGTTGGCGATGAGAATAGGACAGATGGTCCGTGGTAATCCTCATCATCCCAGTCGTGCTCTGTTAGTTCCGACACATCACAATGATAGTCATTGAGGCGTCGCACATTTGCGCGTCCGGCAATCGCCATTAGAACATCTCTGTTGTAGAGCACCCAAAATAGACGGGTGAAGAGTTTCCTAGTCGATGGGTCAAGTTGAGCTGCAATCTGCTTGCGATGAAGCCCCATTTGCGTGGCTAATCGAACCGCATTGATCAGCCAGAATCTGCAGTCTTTGTCCACAATGAATTCAAAATGTGATGAGGTCAACATCAGGGAGCCCTGGAGAAGACATAACTGGGACTTCTCGAATTCCAGGTCATAGAGCAGTTGCGCTTTAGAGAAGAACGATCTCTGAGCACTCCTTCGATCTGCAAACCCCATCAACGAGACTGAGTCTTCATGCAAAAATGGCACTACGCTCGTCAAAATGCACTGCAAGAGGAAGATCGAATACTTGTCTTCAACCCATCCACGCAGAAATGCAAGACGCTCGAGTATTGGCGTGTACGGGTGGACTTGCTCAAAATAAATCTGGAACAGCTTTTCACTAGATTCCTCAGTCACTCGAGTCTGGAAGACGGAAATGAGAAATTCGTACCATATCTGTTTAGAGGGTAAATGAAATGCCCCTCGCCTCCGTAAAAAGTCCATATTCACGCTTTCGACATCCTCTGCTTGTGATAGCTCGATTCCGCTCGATTCACCGACCGTAATCTGAACAAATCTGCGGGGCTCGTCTTGTCCGAACAACTCTCCCAGAATGGTGGTGGAATTTACACCGTCATAGTACTCCAATATTTCTCGCTTTTTGGTCTGATGACCAACTCGAAGTGGACTCAGTTGGTCATCGCCGCATCCAGCGATCATCCGGCACGTTTCGAGTTGACTCTCTTCTGGCGACACCGTTGCAGGATCTGAAGTTGTTGGAAACAGGTCAACGACAGGCAGGTCGTGGACAAGAAATGCAGTCCTCTGGTCATTCCGAGGTGGTCAGCCAGGAAAGCATTGCAGAGGCAGTTCTTACCTGGGACAATGTCCCTTCTTCTCCGCCACTCGATGGCCCGGGCACTGGAAGACGGAGTTGACCAAGTGGTGCCTGCCATTGCTGGTTCCGAGCTTGAATTTTGAGCGCGCCTTTGCCCCGTCGTAGTCTCCTGTTTGCATTTAGACACCGGTATTAAAAGCCGAAAGTGCGTCGCTCACTCACGCAGCAGATCGATCGGGGGGAGAAATCAGCCTACACTGTACCGTTTTCCCACTCTCTATGCAGCGAGTGCAGGGTAGCCCAGCGAGGCTTGCATTACACCTCACTTTTCGCTCGTGGCACGGGACACAAGCTCTGCTCTTTTTAGTCGTGTCTTGGGCTGGGGGATCAGAGATGGCCATCTCTGATCACACACAGTGCCCTCTCCTTTGATGAGAGATAAAATGGTATGAAAATGGAATCAAGCTGACTTCCAAACGAAAATTCCTATTCTCCAACCCGGCGCCGTGATGATCGTATGTGGCGAAGCTCGTTAGGCAGGCATCGAATCATTCGTGACGTGGCCGGCAAATTGCCAACTCCTGGTGCTTTCAGAAGAGGCCTTCTCTTTCGTCTTCTGCCTTACAGCAAAGGTATCTTACTGATTACCATAGTGGTCAAGAGCTGCTGTGACCCCACCGTTGCGTGTGCGGAACAGTGGCGGTGGGGGAGGGCGTGCTTTCAGGCCATTAACTCCCCTCCTTCCCCGATTGGTGGGTATTTGTCAGCACTTTGGACGTCTCCGGTCTCCTCTACCACTGAACCAACGACATCACGGGTACAGGATGAGAGGGTGTGTTGGTATATCACAGTGAGAACATAGTGGAATTTCGTTGCAGTTTCTAAGTTCTGCCTACCACCCAGACAAATGCTCTCCGATAGACACAGCATCTTCGATTGCTTGAACGGCTCCATTCACTGTTGCAGAGAGAAGTTCTTGACCAGCAGCCATCTTTAATGTCGTAGTCAACTGTTTCGCTCCCTCGTGCTAGTTTAAGTTCCAGACCATGATATCGACTGGGATTCTCCTGAGCAAACCAATGACGGCTGGATCTCAATTCCCCTTCCAGTTCAGTATTAGGAGCATCTGCACCTTGAAGGGTGTACCAAGACTCTCGCTCCCGTTAGCTACCAGGACAGTCAAAGGACTAGGTACCGAAGTCTCTCATCACGAAGACAATAACATTGACGTTGTCTAAAACGTGTTTTTTGGGCCGAAGCTGCTTTACTGACCTTACTATGGGATTTGCTGTAGAATATCTCTTTGACCACGTCACAAGAATAGTCAGATCGAGTAATCCTATGGCGAGTATGAGGTACACTCTTTGTACTGTGATATCAGCTCCGGTATTGAGACCTTTATTCTTGAGCTAATGCCATGCACTACAGTCCCAATATCGCAGGTCAAACCTCCAATGATCCTTGTACATGCCTGATTAATCCTCCAACAGTTGGAGATAATCGCCTTGATGCTGTAACGCCTATATGTTATCGTTCTTGCATCTCTCTAGGTGTGCACGCCTCGAGCAGATAAATTATCTGCTTGCTCAAGATTGACAATATCGCATCCTTTCAGCCTCCAGTCCAGCCAATTTTGGGCATACCAATGCTGGTGCAAATTCTCAGTTTGATAGTACCTTAGGGAAGTTGGTGGACTCGGTCCATCACGATTCCTCCGTCAGTTGTGTCTCTGCCAATCATATCAGATTGATCCAATCTCGCGGTCTGGCCAGATCAACTCTAAAATGACCTATTCCCCATCGAGGAACTCGAATAGTTCGACGGATCAAAAATCTCACAGCTGGAATTGAGACCGAACCCCCTTCATACCCGGGCCTTCTCGCCCCACAGTACTAAGTATCCAAAAAGGTCCCACAATTCACAGTGACCGAGAACGCGCGCTAACCCGCAAGGCCCCAGGCTCGTTTCCCCAGATTGCCATCGCCAGGGGTTCCATTTATCTGATAGTAGAGATAGAACGAAAAATGCTAACTTAGAACACTAGAAAAAGATGCTCTCTCCCCGTGGGCATGAATAGCAAGATCAACTCCCCATCGATTTCAGAGTCCAACTTCGACAGGAGGTCTATCCACAGGAGGTCTAGAAGTCTTTGCTCGTTTCACAAGGTGACAGATATGGTGTCGGATCCCGCTGCTCCTAACGAGCACAGTTCAGACGGGAAACAATGTGCGAGAGAGCAACAGTTCGAGACGGTCGACCCAGAAAACGGCAATATAGTCTACGATGATGCTGAACACGAGCCCGAGCTCCACTACAAGACATACATCGCCCTCGGAGCAATGTTCCTCCTGAATCTGGTCAACACATTTTCCATTTTCTCGATCCCCGTGGCAGTAAGTTGCACATATTCTAAGGTCATTAACAAGCCCACTAACACCGAGGATCAGCTCACAGCCATCGGGATCAGTCTCAAAAACCCTGCAGCCGAGACATGGGTTCCCAATGCCCTCAACCTCGTACAAGCGGTCCTATGCCCGCTTCTGTCATCCGCCTCGGACGTCTTTCAAGTCCGTAAGCCGTTGCTGGTCGGTTCTCTTGTCATTGCTGTGGTTGGAGCTGCGATTGCACCTGGTTCCCAGACCATTTACAGACTTATTGCTGCCCAAGTTCTGATCGGGGTCGGCTTTACATCCGTGGCCTTGGGTTACTCCATCCCTAGCGAAGTCCTGCCCAGAAGATGGAGACCAAGTACGTATATCAATGCCGTCGTAGTGTTGGCTGTCGTGGGCTGACCTAATATCCTAGTGGGACAAGCGTTCATCAACCTGGCCGCCGCTGTCGGTGCAATCACAGGGCCGGTGATTATGGGTGCTTTGCAGAAGAGGAATCCAGAAGGAGGCTGGCGCACCTTCTACGTAATCTTCCTATATCCATATGGTCGGATGTATGCTGAAATTCACCTTAGTGGATCGAAATGGGAATCTGGATCGCCACCGCTGCTGGCATATTTGTAGGATACAGGCCTTCCGAGAGACATACCCGTTTGGACCATCTGTCGTTCCTGCAAAAGCTTGGTCATTTGGACCTTGTCGGCTTCGTGCTCCTTACACCAGGCTTGAGCTTATTACTCGTTGGTCTCAACCTTGGAGGAGGCCTGTACGGATGGACCAATGCTCGCGTACTCGCCACACTCATCGCCGGAATTGTTATTCTCATTGGATTTGGTCTGTACGAGTGGAAGGGCACCAGTACCGGCATTCTACACCACGATCTCTTCCGTGGAGGGAAGAACTCTGGCCGAAATTTCGCGCTTTGTCTGCTCCTGATGTTCATCGAGGGAGTCATGCTCTTCTCTTACATCATTTTTTACCCAGTCATGTAAGTCCGGGCTGCCAAGGACGAGAACCTCATACAAATACTGACGGGGTGTACACAGAACCACAACGTTATTCGAATCAGACCCCCTTCTTCTTGTCGCTCGTGAGCAGCCGTTCTGGATCGCTTGTTTGATCACCAACATTATTTTCGGCTATCTCAGCACTAAATTCAGGAAGATCAAGGAATTTCTGTTCCTAGGGTTCTTGGTTTTCACCGCTGGCATCGTCGGAATGGCCACACTCGAGCCAAATAAGTCGGCCAACCCTGTGATCTTTTCCGGCCTCGCAGGGTTAGGCTTCGGGTTCTTGATTGTCTTGATTGTCACGAGTGTTCAACTGTCCACCCCTCACCATCTCATCGCCACCGCGACGGCAGCAACAGTGTCCTTCCGAGCCGTTGGAGCAACAGTTTTCACTGCAATATACTCGGCGTCGTTCGGATCCCGCTTCAAAGTAAAACTTCCAGCGTACATCGCAGAAGCCGCCTTGAAAGCAGGTCTTCCATCAAGTTCCATCAAACCATTCATCCAAGCTCTCGCTGCAGGCGACCTGTCGGCTCTCTCCAATGTTGGTGGCGTCAATCCCCAAATCATCGGAGCTGGTGTTGTTGCTTTGAAGCAAGCATTTGCTGACTCCATCAGAGTGCTATATATCATTGCCGCGCCGTTCGGTATTGTCGCTTGTATCGCCTGTCTGTTCTTGGGAGACATGAAGGAGACGATGAATTATCGGGTCGATGCACCTCTAGAGAAAATGAGAGCGAAGAGTCACCGAGATGAGAAAATTAATGGTTCGTCGGAATGATGGCCCTTGATATGTTAGGTTAAGTCTGTCAAACCAATTTCAAATGACATTGGCACCAATATTGGGAAGTCGGGGATAATCTGGCTTGGAATCAATAGTCGTGACGTTCGATTAAAAAGACCAGGAGGACAGAGACACTCGTCTTGGGTCTGATGACCACGTCAGGAACTATTATCGCGTGAAGCCTTTAATATCCAGATCAATCTATAATCTCCTGGACTGCAATTACTGTGGCCTAACGTAAAATTTGCAATCGTCTCTCCACTTGACCAAGGCCCCTTTGAGTGCGAGCCTGGTGGCTGCTCATACCGCCATGAAGGACTGTGGTCCAGTATCAGTAGCCTCAAGGTCCCCGAAGATTTCTTGGAAGTCGTTGCCCATAATCCATTGATCGTCCAGAGGAAAGACCGACATCGGTGCAGCGGGATCGGAGAAAAACAGGGTTGCGTTGACGACATTAGCAGTTGAGACAAATCCTTCGGCTGGTATGCCTGTTGATGTAAACATTGCGCTCCCATTCATTTCAGAGTTGAGTGAATGGCCTGGGAGATTTGCAAACTGAATGGACGAAGCGGCCGGATGCTTCTGAACTAAAACGAGGGCTATATGCAAGAGCCTTTCCAATGCCGTTCTGACTCGTTTGGAGGACATTGTCCCGACGCCGAGCTTGCGCGAGATTTCAATCGCATGCTGTAAGCTTACAATCATTTCTGACAACCTCTGCGGGTTGCCCGCGTGTGTAGAGACTTCCCCCCAAGCTGTCTTGCTTGTACTATTCATGATGCGAAGAACAAGGCAAGCAAATAATACCAAAGCAGCGTTGAACGTGTAGTAGGCAGTAAACCACCAGGCTGGTAAGAACGCCGCATCGGAGCCCATGCTATATACAATTGCAACTAAATCAATTGCAGAGGCTTCGCAGACGATGACGCTCTGCTCTGCCACACCACGGAAAAAAGCATCTGTTGAGTCCTCCTCAGCTTCATATTCACGAGAGAGGAGTTTGCTAAGAATTGAACGATGAAGAAGGATTCGGACATTGAGATGACTGAGAGCCATAATCACACTTAGTCGGTCAAAGATGTGATCATCTGGTAGCGGTGTGCTGACCTGCACATCGGGTCTGTCACCTTTCCAAGGGCGTTTCTGCAATTCAGGGGGCAACCCTCTCTTCCATGCGCCAAGTCGTTTCTCAAGGCAGAGAATGGAGTGAGTCATTTCTGACAGGGAGCGCGGTAGATCCGAACCGAGATTGTTACCATACAAATCAGCAAGAACATCTCCAATCAGAAGGTGCAGCTCAATTGTAGCAGTGAAAAGACAGAGGGTATCTGGTAAAGCTGACGAGGCGGCTCCAGCTGTTGGTATGAAGGCTTCTCGGGTCATACTTATCGGCATATCCATGGTAAAGTACTGATTCGGCAAGATCGGCGGTCTACCAAAAGTCATAGCTAGTCGTCTGTCGAGAAGAAGACAACCGAAAAATGTTCTCTTCCGAGTTTCGGCTTCTGAGGCGTTGATGGCTGACGAGTCCGCCTTGCAGTGAAGGCCTAGATGCCAGGCCGTCTTCAACGCCATGCCGTGCAGATCCCAAACGCTGTCGAAGTATTGAGTACCTTGTCGATATTGACTCATCAAGAGGAAGCACTGTATCATTTCTAAAGTCGGCCGCCTGGAATCAAAGCCTTTCGTTAGCCTGCAGGCTCTGTCGAAAAATACCTCGGGTTCAGTTGGATCGTCTTCAGCAGGTTGATTTGGTCGCAGACTGCTAGAAGTGGAGAAGGCAAATATTACGTTCAGTAAGCACAGCCATGACCTTCTCACGCCGACAAATTGTACTCGCTTCATGTTGAAGTAAGTGCTCACGATTTCCTCGTGGTGAACAAATGGAAACAGCATACCCGTATCTGAGAAGAAGAGATGGAGCAATTGTAGAACTCGATCTTCTGTGGGCAAAGCAAGGATATCTTTGCTGGCGTCTTTACCAACAAAGGGGGTGCTAGTGGTGTTTGGCGGAGATGATGCCTGGGTAAATGTGACAAGGGAGCTTTGTTGTTGCTTTTCTACATCGGGTGGAGGCACAACTCCCAGCGCGTGAAGGACACGGGTTGTTGCTGAAGAGATCTGACGTAGAAAGGCGACATTTGAAGAGGGGCCAAAAAACCGGACATCGGAGTCTTCTGGGTCTGCAAACACGCCCATGCCATCGATGGCATCGTCTTCAGAAGTAGCCGATGTGCCATCCACCTCATCAAAGAGGACTGAGGCTGCATTGACAACCCCTTCTCGGGCAGACTGAGACTGCGGCAGCTGTACTGACTGGACGAGAAGTTTAAGAGTATCCTCAATAGAGCGTAGTCGATCATCATATTTGTCTGACGGGCCAGGTGGTGCTGGATGGGTGGTGCTGGCCGTTCCAGGCTGTTCGTAGAAACATTCGAAGCCGAGTTCTACACACAGACTGCACGCAGGTCGAGCACCATTGCAGCGGGATTTCCGATTTCTACACGACGTGCACGCAAGGCCGATCCTGCGTCGCTTGAAGATAGGCGTGTAATCACGCGTCCCAGAGGGACGGGATCCGGCAGCTGGGCGAACCTGGGGGAGTCGAACCGAAGGGACAGCGTCCCCTGTCACTGGGCGACTGACAGTGCTCATACCTGCGAGAGGCTCACTCAGACATCTGAATGCTCGTCCAAGTAGAAAATCTGGCCGAGTTGACAGAGGAAGGAGAGGGATTACCAAGACTTGACTTGGAGTTAAGAACCTCCGGAAAGGCATAACTACTGCCAAGAAGCTAAGTGCACTAGATTCGCGCCAGAAGTGTGGCTAGTGCTGATTGTAGTTGAGTTTTAGGACCTAACCACCTTATTTAGATATTGTAGGAAGTTCAACTGGTGACGGTCTGTCACCAAAGTCTGTTTTCATCTCTACAGTCCACCAGCTTGACTTCTCTAAGGGAGCGTCTCGACCCATTGTGCAAAAGTGGTCGGTTCGAGCTGTGTCTTTAGCCAAGGCAAGTCTGCGCCATAATCCCTCTCGTTGATGAAGGAAAACATGGTATTCAAATCCTTCACCAACCAAATAATCAACCAAGTCGCCCACCCAAAAGTCACAGGCACACCCTTACCAGTCTTTTTCTTGAAAATCAAGTCTATCTCTTGGAAGCTTAACTCGTCGCTTGCAATTGAGAGTGCTTCGTTGCGGATGCCAGTCCTGTCAGGCCTAACGAGAGCCTCAGCAGCCCATCTTCCAATATCCTTCGTTGTCACGACTTGCAACCTTTTGCCCTTCATCCAGTCTCTCCAGCCAGTCATACAAAGTTTGCCAGGAAAGCCCCAATGTGCGTTATCTGCGAACCAAACTGGGCGGATGACGGTGTAGTCCATTCTTTTCTCCTGAGCTGCGACCTGCTTCAGATGCTTTTCGATGTAGAACTTGTCAGAGAATGTTTTGCAATATGATGGGTCGGAGTCGCTGAGTTGTCGACCACCACGATCGACGGACGAGTAGACAAAGTAAGCAACACCATGTGCGGAAGCTGCTTCGATAAAGCCTTTTGCTTCTAAAAGCTCGGTAGGACCATGGGCTTGCGCAAGAAAGACAGCTGTGTGAGGAGAGATGCTAGTGCCGAGCTGCTGAAATAGCTCATCAGGCTTATTCAAGTCGCCAACAACGAGATTGATACCAGGCCATGTGGAAGTGAGGCGTTTGGCGGATGCACCAGCTGGGTCCCGGGTGATGGCCCAAACGTTCTTGGACTCGATATTAAGTTCGGGATTGCCAAGCAGTGCATTGACAACAGCTCCGCCTTGACGGCCAGTTGCGCCACCAACGAGGAAATGCTTAGGAGGTGACATTGGTCGCCATAAATGGACTGTTCGAGAAGGGAAACGAAGGATTTGCTATCGCTGGAGCTTCTAAAGACTTCAGTTGTGTGAGCGGCTTGTAAGAACGTCTTATGAAATTTGGACAAACACTGACAGAAGCTTGCTTGAGCACTTCTATCAAGCTGGGATTTTCTAGACTATGCGTCGCACTGTCATTCCTCCCGGAAACTTTCCGCTGGGATTGGTGATGAACGGCTCCATAGACAAGTGTGAAGGGGCAACAGTTTATCAATCATGAACTCCATGGGATCGGTCATCTTTGATACAGAAAGCAGCTGAGCAATCTACTGGATCGGTTGCGGGTGTAGATGATGTCCAGTAGTTTGTCAGGGGCAAGAAATTCATGATCATTGGCCGGGTAAATCGGGGAATGCATCGGCGCCATTGAGATGCTAGTAGGAATTTAGTGGTTAGCGCCACCTAGACAAAGAACTCCACTTTCGATCCGGTGGAACAAGCACCTATCTCTCTCATCCTTCTATTCTACTACGCACGTCACTCTAGCAATTATGGTCAACGAAATGTCTGAGAATGAGTCAATTCTCATCCGACCTGTTTCCTAGACCTTTACAAGATGCAAAGCTCAGGAAGCTTCCCCCTCCTCCTACACGGTGGAGTACTCAGGATTCTTACATCCGATCCCGCAAGCGCATATTTGACACGGCAATGAGTGGCGCATGGGGTAAGGTTAGGGCGAAAACACGCTCAAGCGTGCATCACGGGCATAATCCTAACATCATGTACTTATACTGCAGTCAGTTCTCGACGAATGCATCGCTGTCTTCACTACTGAAGATTCTCTTCACCTCAGGCTCGGGGCAACCATGCAGGTCCACAAGATGAAACGCGAAGCTCTGTCTCATATCGATATACTCATTGTCGGTGCAGGTCTTGGAGGACTTTATGCCGCTATCGAATGTTATAGACAAGGTCATTCCCCACGGGTAATTGAAAGTAAACCCGAGTTAGAGGCCTTGGGTCAGTATCCTCCAACCTTCACATCTGGCGGTGAAAGAGCTAACTGCGAGAATTACAGGAGACTTTGTCGGTATCGGGCCGTCTGTGACCAACCAGTTTCAAAAATGGCCTGGAATGCAAGAAACCTACAGCAATATCATCTACCGACCGTCAATGAACTTACTCACGCACGATGGTACCTTTATAGGCGGGCCCTTCGAGCTCTCAGAGTCCTCCGACTACAGACCAGTCCCTGTTGGTCGGCCGAAGCTGATCGCAGCTTTATACAACTACACCATGTCGCTCGGAATCCCTGTCATATTTGGCAAACGTGTGATCGACTATGAGGAATCAAAGGAGACTCGGCGCGCTTATGCCATAACCGATGAAGGAGAACGGTTTGAGAGCGATGTCGTGGTCGCTGCAGATGGTATCGGATCTAAGGTGGGGAAAGTAATGACTGGGAAAGAGGTCAGAGCTATCAGCAGTGGCATTTCCGCCTACAGGGTCACCTATCCCACCGAAATTCTGCGAGGAGATCCGTTTCTCGCCAAGCAGTATCCTTTCAAACCCGGTGATCCTGATTACTGCGAAGTTTATATGAGTCCTGAAGGTCAAATGATCACTCTGATCTCGCCGGAGCTCACAACGTGGTTACTTACTCATAAGGTATGACTATCGGAAACATTTCTTGGCCTTTGAAGGACGTCGGATTGGAACGCTAAGTGCTACATAGGATGAAGGGAATGCTGAGGAGAACTGGTCTACACGACTCAGTGCCTCGGATGCGTTAGAGACTCTCCAGAAGACAGGGCTCACATGGGACCCCAAAGTGTCAGCAGTGATAGGGAAAACGCCACCACACACGATTGTCGACTATAGGATTACTTGGAGGGATCCTGACCCAATTTGGACTTCCCCAGGTGGGCTCATAGTCAAAATAGGAGACGCTGCGCACGCATTCATACCCAATTCTTCGAATGGAGCCACTCAGGCGATGGAGGATGGGCTTTCGCTAGCGGCATGTCTCAGACTTGCTGGTAAAGACAACATACTCTCGCGACTAGAGTGCATACTAAGTTACGGTGAGTACAAATCCCATGATATCCGCTCGAGATGTTCATGCATTGGTGTCGCTGCTTTGGGAATTGTCTACTGATATCTACTTCTTAGATTTGAGCGAGTCTCATGTGCTCAGAAGAATGGATTCAAGAATAGGGAAAAATGGGAGCAAAACTTCGAAGAGGCGAAGAAGAATCCCTTAGCCACTGCACAATCGATCGGTCGCTGGCTAGCTCGGCACGATCCTGAGCAGTATGTGTACGACAACTGGGAGGCATGTAAGAACTACATTACCAACGGAGCACCTTTTAAGAATAGCAATCTTCCACCAGGATATAACTATGAGCCGTGGACAATGGACGGGCTGATGAAGATGCAAGATAATGGTCAACTTCCTGTTGATGAGGGAGATTGGGACTGAAATCAAACCTAAATCACTTCGGGAGTGGCATAGGCCTTAGCACACAATCTCTAGCATCCCAGGTATGCTGACTAAGTACGATTCGAAGCATAAGTCTCATATGTGTGAAACACCATTTATGGTACCTGTCAGTAGCCGATTAGATGACCAGATGGACTGAACCTGACAGGTGTAGGCCCGTTAGGAAGGTTCTCCACTGTGGTCATAAAAAAGCTCCCCAGCAACGATGCAGATATCCGCAACGCAACCGCATTCATGACAAATGGAACCAAGATTTCGATACTGGCAAGGATATAAAGATTACCACATGCGTGAGCATGGCGACATCGCCGAACAACCAGTAGTGAGGTCCAGGAATGGTAGACTTCCCCATAGCCAAGCGATGGGTTTCTGCGGCGCCGAGAGTGGGTCGCAGCCCCGGCCGATCGAGCAGCGGCGTCCCTTTCTCGTCCGATAGTTACATTCCGCGTGAACTGACCGCCAACTTCAACAAAACCATCTCAGCTTCTACGAGGAGTAGTACGCGGCTCATCATGACTAATAATGTATGCCTACTTGGTCCAGTGGCTTACTTGTACATCCTTCATGCAGAAGACCTGCGCCGAACTTTGGGAAAGCTGGAACAAGTCTGTTGAATTTGCCAACCCCGGCTCAAAATGCCTTCATCCGACAAGGTGAAGAACATATGCCTTACAATTCAAAGTAACTATACAGCTTGCGACGTCAGTATGCCTGTTCGATCTTGTAACAGTGATCAAGCGCTGAGTAAATCTTGACAGGTTGCCGACGCGCTTCTGAAACTCAATGTGCCAGCAGCTGGAACTGTGATAGATATTAGTAAGTTCTACTTGTGATGTTGAAGTCTCCCTTCTTGGAGAGCTGAGGTGGTGCCTAGGTCCGATCCCAAGGCACAGTATGTCAAAGACTCGACTTGTAGCACCCATCAGCACAGTGCTTTACGTGCCAAAGGCGCTCCCCGATCTCTTGAAAGGGCCGGAAAGCGTACCCAGCGAGTCCAATATTCCGGCAAATATGCATTGGACAGAGTGCACAGCTGAAGGAAGCGTTGTTTTGATAAAACAGCCCGAGGGACAGATTTGTGCGTTGATCGGTGATTTGATTGCTGCGCGTCTGAAGCTTCGGGGTACTTTAGGAATCGTGGCAGCTGGACGTATTCGAGACATTCCGTCGTGCGCTGCACTCTGCGAGGACGGTAGCTTTCAAATGTGGTCACATGGCTTTTCCGCATCTGCTCCGTCACTCGAGACTGTTCCATGGATGGTTGATGTTCCGCTTCAGATAGGGAAAGTACTGGTCAATCCTGGAGACATCATCTGTGCTGATGAGGGTGAGATGGCCATTGTAGTGATTCCGAGGCATCAGCTTCAGCAAACGTTCGAATTGCTACCAAAACTGAAAAGGGCAAGCGAAGGCGTGTCGGCAGAGATAGAGAATGGGTTTCCTCTGCGTGAGGCCACAAAAAGGCACCCAGATTTCTATAGTAATTACAAGTAGCTTTTTGCAATTGTAGCAAGCACCACAGGATTTCAGCCATTCTGCATTCTCAGAGAATGTCACTAAAATTGCACCGCGTTTCAGTCATGTTCTAGCTGCTCTATTTCTAGTGTTTACGGCATTGTCGAAAACGATGCTCGACCAATCAACCGAATCTATCTCTTATCGACTTTTCTAATCCCAGCTGCATAACTTCTGTCTTTCGACAGTGGGTCGCGGTCGTACAGTCCGTTTTCGTGCTCAATTGGACCACTAATTTGTGAATCCGAATTAGCGTGCACAAGAAGTCTCAATTCGATCAATGTGTAGAATGGACGAGCACAGCAAGACTGAACAACGTAATGTCCCGTCCCTGGTTCAATGATCCTAGCGAATGTGGGACCATATCGCGAGGATTTTCTCGGCCATTGGATGCGTACCTCGGTGTCTCCCCACCGATGAGTCACTGAGCAATCCTCTTGTTTTGCTTGAATGAGGACATTTCTTTGGGCTGGAAGCGCTTTTGCAGACTCAGGCGTTGTCTGACGGTCTCGATTTGGTGGGAAAGGGGGGGGGGTTAATGTCGTAGATTGCTCTCCAGGATGTCAAGTGGATGCCGTAGCCGTTGCTGCTCTTATACGCCTTCTGTTTCGGTTCCGGGCTATCTTCAATATCACCGAATACAATGACTGAGAATTCCGCCGGTTGATAAAACTTGGTCACTAACTCGGCTCTTCCTACCCGTTCGTAACCTCCGCCCTGGCGAGGTATGTATGTAGGCATGTTTAGCGTTCTCCGTTTATGGGCAGGTGTAATCATTGATATAAAGCCTAATCCATAGGATGTTCGAAAACTGAATCTCAAATCCACAATAGCTCAGTTCTACAATCTCCAGCGAACATGACAGCAGAGTATTCCGTTCCAGAGGAAGCCCGGAAGTGCCTTTTGGAGGGGATCTTGAACCACAGAGGGCACAAAGGTCTCCCAGAGGAGTGTCATGAGTACATCAAACTGATCAAGTATATTGGTGACGACCAGCCAAAGATGGCTATCAACTGGCGTTTGGCCGAAAGTGTGGCGGCCTTGAAAGGGTTCGAGGCCATTATGACGAATTTACTATTGAGTCGCAAGTACGACCTTACTCCACAAGAAGTGACCATCAACACTGATCATGCCCAACTTTTCCTGATGTCATTCTTCTTACTCGAGATTGAGCCAAAGTCTCTAAGCAACCCTGTTCAACCCACCGAGCTTCGAGAGCTGAACACCGCGCATGCAAAATATTTCCCGAGCTGGGACCTTCACCATCAGACTTCTTCGCAATATCGGAAGGCAGTGACGAACATCTACCAAACAGGCGATAAACGTTATTATCATCTACACGCCAGCTTGAACCCTGACCCGTCACTAAAAGCACTTGACCTGCCGTGGGACATGCCAGAACTGGCCACCATAGAGTCCTCGTGGTCTCCGTTCGAAACGAAGATGGCTGAGAAGAGAGCCGAGCAATGGGACGAAATACTTGCTGGCGAGTACAAGCAAGCCGGTACAATCTGCTTCACACCAGAAGAATATGGCGAGACTCCTCAAGGAAGATCACATGCAGACATCGGTCTATATACTCTTGACCACTATCCGGAGGGTGGATCGCCTGCTTGGTGGCCAAGTGTACCCAGAACATCTGTTCAACGTCCGTTGGCAGGTTTGAAAATAGTCGATCTGACTCGCATCGTTGCCGGGCCTTCAATTGGTCGCACACTCGCCGAGCTCGGCGCGAGCGTAATGAGAGTGACAGGCCCACATGTTGCCGACTTCTCTGGACTTCATCCTGACCTGAACTGGGGGAAATGGAACTGTCATCTTGATCTCAGACAAGAAGAAGACAGACTTAAACTTCATGAATTAGTATGGGACGCCGATGTCGTTATCAATGGCTATCGACCTTATGTTCTTGATAAGTTCGGGATAGGCTATAAGGATATATTCGAGTTAGGAAAAAAGCGTGGTCGAGGTTATATTTATGCTCGAGAGAACTGCTTTGGGTGGACTGGTCCGTGGTCCCATCGTCCTGGCTGGCAACCTATCAGTGATGCATGTACCGGTGTTTCGATGGGATTTGGTCGGGCAATGGGAGTAGAGGAAGCTGTCACTCCTGTTCTACCTAATTCAGACTACTGTACTGGAATCGCCGGTGCTTGTGGTGTGCTTGAAGCCCTGATACTTCGTGCAGAGAAGGGGGGTTCGGTCCTGGTCAGCCTCGCCATCAACTACTACAATAAGTGGCTCGTGGACCAGGTAGGGGAATATGAACAAGGGGTTTGGGAGGACGTTTGGTCTCGCAATGGCCGTCAAGTTTTTCGGCACTTTCACAGCATGAACTATACCGCGCCTCGATATTTGAAGATGTTCCAAGAGCAAGGTCTCCTGAATCTTGACTTTTTCGAGGTTCGTGAATCGAAAGCTTTGGGAGGTGTCAGATTCAGAGTGCCACGACCAATACTACAGTTTCCACCAGGAACTGTTGAACCTGGCTATAACGTTGGCACAAGGGGCAATGGAGTTGATCAACCAAGGTGGCCAGAAGATTTGATGACAGAGGTCGTGAAATGATGATTGTGCGGTATTGAAAATGGTTGTTCTAGGTAAGGATTATAATGTTCTTGATAGTGCGCAGTTGCCTATTCTTTCAGTGCAAATCCTTCATTCCGGCCATGTGTCACTCCACATTCCTTTCAGCCAGCATTGCGCCGATAATGCCCTTTAAGTATTCAACCATGGCTGCTTCTCCGTCTCGGTCAACTAGACCAATTGGAACAATGTGCGACTTGATCCCAGACACCATTTTCTGCGAAATGTTGACAATTTCACGACTCTCTGTAGACGTCCATGTGGATGCACAGAACTGGATCATCATACCATGAGTAGGTTTTCTTTCAATGAACTTAGGAGGAATTGGAACAGTATACAGCAAAGCGAGATTTATAGTATATTGCGAAATGCGCAAAGTTGATTCCACATACCAAGATATCGGGTTGCGTGTCGATAAGTATTTGTGGGAGGGCTTCTAGGGTTGACGAATTGGCAATATATTGAATGTTGTACTTGTCTTTCACTTCTTCCAGAACCCGTGTGATGATCCGTTTTGCACGTTCTGGATTCTTGTTGACACTGACGAGAGTGTAATGGTCGTTGTGAGACATATCTCTTTCTGTCTCTAGTAGAGTAGTACTAGCAATGACGATGCTTCAGGAAGTTGAGTTTGAAGTTGACGAAGGACAAAAAACCTGAAGAAGGGCCACTAAGCATGGCCGGAAACAGTCAATGAATGCTTGCTAATCTAGGTAGGCAAGATACCAAAGAAGAGAAAACGCACTGGATCTCTTCTGAATTGTAGCACTAGTTTACCGTTGCAACTCAGAATGACTTGACAGGCTCGGATTCTGTGGACTTTTGCGGGACATGTGCACCATGATTTCCCCACATTCAAATGCAGTCAAGGTTTCAAGCACGCACGTATGGAACTGTATAGCAGACAGTCGCTGGACAGGATGGTCTTCTCTAGGCGAAGGATGGAATTAGATCTTTCTTAGCGCTGCTAATCACCGTCAGTCTCGCCAGTCTATTGGTCTGCTGACAGTGATTTGCCTACAAATTAATATCTTGTTTGATTTCTCGGCGCCGAGATTTGAACATGGGCATAGTGATTTCAACCTAAGTACACTTCACATGCGTGCTAGGTACTTGGTATCTCAAAGGAGCAGGATGAAGTTTTGCCACCAAACCCGAAGAGAATCCGCAACCAGTGCAATAGTCAGGCTGGTGTGTGGGAAGGAATGGCGAGCAAGAGTACCCCCACCGGAAGATCGTAGCCAAAGCTTTCCCCAGACTACATTCATACTTGAAAGCCATGGTGACATAAAAAGTACTTTTGGTACAAGGTTGTCCACATCCTTCTTCGAAATGTGGAAAGACAAAAAAGAGACTTTCGTTCCCTCCATCTTCCCTCCAATGCTATAATTAGTTACTTGCAGAAATGGCCTCTCAAACGAATGCACAGATACCGGTGAGCAGTGGGCATAATGCTGGCAGGATGACGCCTACCATGGAACATCACCACTTCGATGAGAGTCTGACTACCCAGGTAATCGCTGCGACTGGTCCCAATGCTCATCCCCGACTTGCTTCGATACTTCCCAGTCTGGTAAAACACCTTCACAGTTTCATGAGGGAGTCGAAAATTACCAATCAAGAACTGATGGCTGCCTTCGACTTAGTAAGTACTTACTTAGTATTCACTTTAAGGATTGGGGGAAAGGCTGAATCTGACGCTGTCCTCTCGAAGTTAGCTTGGGCTGGCAAAATGACGGACGACAAGCGCCACGAAGTTCTTCTTGTTGGCGACGTGTTCGGCTTGGAGCCGCTGGCAGACGAGATCACCTATATGCTTGCGGCTGATGGTTCCACCGTACCAACGGTCCTGGGACCCTTCTGGCGTGCGAATGCCCCTATCAGGAACATGGGAGACAGTATCGTTTTCGGGATTGAATCAGGCGACCACACGTATATGCATGGTCATATACTTGACGCACAAACAGGAGACCCAATAGAGAATGCTGAGCTCGACATCTGGGAAACGGCCCCAAATGGAATGTACGAGCAACAAGACCCAGACCAAGTTGACATGAATTTGCGTGGTCGCTTCAGGACGACTGAGGACGGCTCATATAACTTGTATTGTTTACGACCTACGACGTATGCCATCCCACAAGACGGGCCAGCTGGCAGGCTTCTTCAGCTTCTCGATCGTCACCCGATGAGGCCCGCGCACATACATTGTATTGTTACAGCAGCTGGTTATAAGCGGCTGACCACTGAACTTTTTGACAGGCGAGATAAGCATGTTCATGACGACGCGGTATTTGCAGTCAAGGAAGCTTTGGTCGTAGATTTCATACCCAAGGAAGGTGATTTGAAGGCTCAATTTGATCTTGAGTACACTTTCAGGCTCGCCCGACAGGCATGAAAGGGTTACACGAAGCAACATCCTTGCTGCATATTGCTGATGACTTCAGTATTAGCACATCGCGGGGACCATATTTAGAAGATTAGCACATCGTACACTTAACTGAAATCACGCTTTCTTTTCTCTCTATTGAGCAACACAAAATGTACTAGGAAAACCTAGCTAGGTATTTATATAGTTAAGTACTAGTAGTTAATGTACTAAGTCTAAGTCAACCACGTAACTACTTATACTTTCTCATTGACAGATCGTGGATTAGCTTTAAAAGCGTTGTGATTCTATACACAAGTTCAATACTTAAGTAATACTTAGTACTCGGACCCGATAAAGAAGCCTAGTAGGTAGTACTTAGCTAATACTTAAGGGTAGTGCCTAATCTAGCAGTTAAAGTAAATCTGTGGTGCTAGACACAAAGTTCAGAGTTTTTTCACAAGGGAAGTACTTACGTCTAAAGCCACATCCCATAGTTATAGCTCTAGTATTTCTCTCACATGCATTTTGAGGTCGATCCACCATCGCTGGGTAGCCTCTATCGTCCAGAACTCGCCAAAATTATGAGGCACGCCCTGATACACGACCAGCGATGTCTTCACACGCGCTTTATTGAGCTTCTCGGCGTATGCAATCCCTTCATCTCGTAGAGGATCTTGTCCTGCCACGTAGATGATGTGTGGTGGAAGACCATTAACATCACCTAGAAGGGGTGATATCTTAGGATCGGAGCCTGCGGTTGGCGAAGGCACGACAATATCCCAGATTGTGCGCATCTCTCCAGAAGAAAGAAAAGCGCCGCCGCATTCTTCATAACTCGTATATGAAAATTTGTTCTGGGGGAAATGCCTGTAGTCGCAGAGCACTGGGACATTGAGTAGCACGCCACGAATCTTCATGTTCTTAGCTAGCGCGGCCTGAGAGAGTGTCGCTGCAACGCCCCCACCGGCAGAACTTCCCGCCAATATGACCCTGTCAGCATCAAAGCGGAATTCATCGCTCCTTGCCAAGGTATTTGTCAGCACATCCCACGAGTCGTCCATATAGGTTGGTGAAGGGTTATCAGGTGCAAGTCGATACTCAACACTGATAACCACGAAGTCGAAATCGGCATATAGTGGCCACAGTAACCATGCCTCCTCTGTGATGTGTGTACCCTGAACCCAGCCACCGCCATGGGTGACGAAGAGTAAGGGGAGATTTCTTGTAGTGGGGACGCGTGAGGCGAGTGGGCGTGACACTTTGACGGGGACTTCGTAGCCATCCCGTGCTGGAATAGTGATGTCGATGGACTCGTAGCCGACAGAACTGAGTGGGTGTATTTTCGTCCACTCTGCTTCGCTAACATTCTGGTCAGCCCGCGCTGCTGGGAGATCAATATTTGGAACTTCGTATGGTGGTGATTTCAGGCTGTAGCCATTCTTTTCGGCGAAGCTCGTCCAGTCGGGGTCGGCCTCAAAATAGTGAGAATTGTCCTGCATTTGGGAAGCGTCCGTGCAGTGAAATTTCAAGTTGTTGAACTGGTCTCAGATTCAGAACGAAGGCAGGAAGGAATAATTAGAAGGAAGGAAGAAAATCAACCTGCTTCCCTTGGCCTTCTGATAATCTCGTCCCTCCTAATAGGCACGGGCGTATGCCGGATCAAATGTTTAGGTAATTTTCAGTTCCAATGTATCTCGAAGCTCTGATCTGCATGCACAAAGAAGGTTCTCGTACTTAATTAAGTCCGCTCAATCGAAAAGTCTAAAAGAGAGATCTGACTCATCGTCTAGTAATAGTTACTAGAATAATCACTTAAATGATAGGCTTCTAACATCTCACTTAGTATATACCACGTAGACTAATCGTTTTCAAGACCACCTTCCATTCTCGGATCAACTGTACAGATATTGCGCTGATCCTGTGATTAGAGCAGGGGCGGCAGATTGATGGAGCGCTCGACTAAGCCAAGCCTCCCCTTCCACCTACGCTTTGCAAGGCATCACGCTGCGCCGAGGAGACTTCCACCTCGGGGAGGGTCTTGACAGCTCCGTTCTGCACACCTGCTTCAGGAGCCGGCAAGAAGCCGATCGACACCAGGTATGAGAGATATAGACCTACAGTGTTCTTTGTGACACCGCTACCAGCACTGAAATCGTCTCCAGTCCATTTGCGATCTGCGTATAGAGATTTCTCGGCGTTGCTGTCATCTAATTCAGGAGCTCGTGTGTTGGACGGCAGGTCATTGGCGACAAATGTGAAAAGTGGCATGAGTGCGAAGTCTGAATTGGAAGCGATGTAGTGCTCGAGACTTGAAGCCCAGGGGACATAATCACTCAGCTTGGAATCATAGCCATATGTTTGCAGAACTGCTAGGTATTGGTTGAAGCGAAGTCTGGGATGGCCAGTGATGTGTGCCACTTGTACGCCTTGGTCTGAAGGAGGATGGAAGGCACAGGCGACCACAGTTCGTGCGACATGGTCGACAGGCACCATGTTGACGGTATTGTTGATGTTGGGTCGTGATTTGAGCTGGATACAACCTTTTAGCATACGGATCAAGAAGTCGTCAGTATTGGTCACCCCAGTCTTGGAGTCACCCAAGACGTAGCCCGGTCGAATAACACACCCACGAAGACCTCTACGGCCGGCTTCACGGCTCAAATACTCAGAAGCCCACTTGCTCTGGCCATAGCCTGTACCGAGGCCTTTGCTACTACCACTCAGGTCGTCAGCTTCGCTGATGCCTTCGCCACCAGCAGCAACGATGCGTTCAGATTCAAAAACGAAATGATCATGGTCAAGAACGCTTGTGGAGGAGACGAAAGCGAAGAATTTCGGATTCCCTTCTCCACAGAGTTTCAAAGCCTCGATCGTTCCTAGGACATTTGGAGCTTTCAGTGTTTTATATGTGTTGATCCAGTGGACTTGGGCTCCATTGTGAACCACAACATCGGTTTCCTCTGCAAGCTGTTTCCAAATAGCATCAGAGACACCGAATTTCGCTGGACCAAGACTTCCTGCCACGCATTGAATTCGTGATGACCACGAGTCGGACCAGACACCGTATGCCTGACATGTCACCTTGATCCTTGACATCGCCGTGTTCTCGTCTTTGGCTCTCACCAGTACAATGACTTTCTTCACCTCTGGCGATTTACGATCAAGGAGGTCCTTGAGAATAAACGAACCCAAAAAGCCAGTCGCGCCAGTCAAGAAAACTACCGGACTTCGTGAAGCGTCAGTTGTGGCAACGGGGAAAGCCTTTGGTAAAGTCTCAGCCATCTTCAAGGCGTCTGCTCCATACTCATCCTCCAATTGAACACCGTTAGTACTGCCTTCATCTTGTTCTCTTCCTTCGAGAGACTCTCCTGCTCTGATATGATCAATATATGCTGCCATGTCCTTCAAAGTAGGTCGGTTGTAAATTTTGCTGATTGCAAGGTCAACACCGAGTGTTCGCCGTACCTGATATGCTAATTGTTGGGCTTTCATACTTTCACCACCAATTTCGAAGAATGATTCGGTAGGCTTGATAGTATTTGCCATCAAATCTGGCACTAATTTCGCCCAAATGCCGGCCAGAGCTCGCTCACCTTCGGTAAGTGGTTGTTGCATTGTTGACCTTCGTCGTCTGCTAGCAGTGATGTCTGGGAACGGGAGCTTTGGTTTGTCAATCTTTCCATTGGGGTTCAATGGCATTGCTTTCATCGGTACGATAACGGAGGGAACAGCATATGCTGGTAGTTTGGTTCGGAGATATTCCTGGACCGTCTGCTGAAGTAATCTGAAACGGTCAAATCGCTCGGCAAGTGACCCATCGTCTGGGTGATCAACTTTACCCTTGGTCGCAAGGAAAACAGTCCAAGATTTAAGTTGGGGAACAACATAGCTGACCAAGGTCTGTTCTTCAAACTTGTCTCTTCGTACAAGTGTGACATTCTCACGTACCAATGGATGCTGAGACAAATGGGTGTCGATTTCTCCAAGTTCGATTCGAAATCCTCGGATTTTGACCTGATCGTCAGCTCGACCTGAACATTCCACATCACCAGAGGGAGTATAACGACCAAGATCTCCGCTGCGATATAGCCGATCTCGAGGGCCTAAGTAGTCTTGCGCCCATGGTGCAGTCTTAAACTTTTCCTCGAAGCGAACTTTATCTGCTTCTAGACCTTTCTCATGACCAGGAAACCAGTTGGGCACGAACTTTGTTTTGGTCAGTTCTGGCGTGCCCAGGTATTCTTCGGCAAGACCGGATGCTCTGACATAGATTTCTCCAATCTCTCCAACAGCACAGAGCTTGGTGCGGTCGAATCGATTGACTACGAGCATCTGAACGTTGTACATGCCACGACCAGCAGGAATGACGTCCTTCATGCCATCAAGGAAGCCCTCTCGCTCCGCTCGGCTAGGAAGCTCGTAGTAGCTGACTGCCCTCTGGGTTTCTGTGGTGCCATACATGTTGACAATTCTCACGTTCGAGGCCAGGTTTTGTAGAGATCTGCAATCCCGCTTGATCAAAACATCGCCAACGAAGAATGCATGATGAAGTTTATCAAAATGAGCAACTGCGCCACCAACCAAGATTTGACCCATAGCAGGCGTCAAATGCGTCACTGTGGCACCGTGTTTTTGCATCCATTCCGCTAACCTCTCATTCTGAATATCATCCTTGGATGGAACCAGCAGTTGTGCGCCGAGGAACAACGGTGTGAACATATCCCGCTGAATTGGGTCATGAGCAATACCACTGAGCATCGTAAATTTATCTTTCTCTGATAGATTGAAGGTTTTGGCCATCCAGTCGAAGTAAAATGCCAGTGAATAATGGCGCCCTTTGACACCCTTCGGCTTCCCTTCGGATCCGGAAGTGAAAGACAGTGTAGGCGTAGAGTCGGGTCCTACTATTACTCCGGGACTTTTGGCCTTGAGCTCTCGAGTTGTTTCGAATATGTCTCTACCTTCCAAATTCCCACCCTGCAGAAAACCATCATCTTGAAGGCGCAGTGCTGGAACCTCTGTCCGGAGATTCAAGTTCTCCTTTATGAAGCCGCGAACCTTGTCGGACAACTCTCCGGCATCCTGGGTGGCTTTCTCGATCACAACCAGTGCTCGAGGTCTGGACACATCAAGATAGATATTTTGTCGATCTGGTGGATATGCAGGGTCCAAGACTGAAAATGTACCACCTGCCTTTAGTGTCCCCATGACTGCAACAACGAGGTCGACACCTCGATAAGAGTAGATCATGACCACATCTCCTTTCTGTAGCCCAGACTGAACCAAATGATGGGCTAAAATATTGGACGATTCGTGGATCTGCTGGTAAGTGAATGTTCTTTCTGGGCCATCTTCGGACTTTGTCTCAACCACACATGTTCTGTCAGGGTGAGATTCGGCATTACTGGAGAAAATATCATGGATTGCACCTCGGAAATTGGACCATTCTAGGTCGCTCGTTGGATTTGGAAGGAGGGTTTCCTCCCCTCTGGTCGCAAAAACTATACCACCAACAGGAGAGTCCACTCCTGCCTCCATAACATTTTCGAGAAGTTGTGCAATCTGGGCCAGGATGCCTGCTATCCGTACACTGGAAACAAGACGCTGATTGTACCGTGCTGTTAGGCGGAGTTCATGAGCAGAGGAGATACTGTAAGTCAGCAACAAGTCAGTGGTTTCGATACTAGCAAGAGTCGTTTCAGCGTCACTAGTATTGAAGGCTGCGAATTTGAACAATGATGAGGTGGTTTGCAAGTGGCTCTGAATAGCTTCGAGAGGCACTATTCTTTCCAAGGCTTGTGATGTCAAATCATGAACCCTCTTGTACAATTGTGCAAATGTTTCCGAAGCTGATACTGGAGTTCTCAGAACGAATGGTTGGCCATCTAGTTGAGCATTGGTACCGATGCTAATGTCTTCATCGCCAGTCAATCTACTGATCAAGATGACAAGAGCGGTCTGTAAGACAGTGATGCTCGAGCCCAAAGACGATAAACCCTTGATTGCATCGTTGGTAGCAGTGGGAGCAGCCAACCACTCAACGGCTTCGATGGGTCTTTTGTGGGAATTGTCAGAAGCTGCCTCGGGATAGTCTCTTGTCAGAGGTGAGATGGTTTGGTCTTTGAGGTGATCGGTCCACCACACCAGATGCTCATTACCCGATTCTGGCGCCATCTTGATGGATTTTAATCGCCCTAGTCGCGCAGTTTCGGTTCTGGCCTTCCAAGTCAAAACGTGATCGGTCAGATCCAGGACACCATCGGCTTCAACAGCTATCGAAAGAGTTACTAAATTTTATCTCTGAGTCATTTTGAGTTTCTTCGACGCAAACAATAAATTTTGTGAAGAGCACCAATCCGATGTCGGAATAATTGACGGCCCGAAATCTTGGCATCGAGGTTTATCCGACCTCCGACATGTCGGCTCCTTTCCCACTGCTAATTTCCAGTTGGTCAACCACAGCCACGAGTCTCTATCGCGTTACGCAGCCCCCAAGCCTCCCGATGATGATACGCGGGACTAACAGCTTCTGAAGAAAACTAAATCAACAGGGGGACTTCCTGTCTGGCTTTCTTCCCTCGTGCTATTTGGAGTCTTGATGGTTCAGGGAGTTCTCACGATGATTGAGCCTGCATTTCCCTGGTCCCTCTCTATATGATATTCTCTCTTGCTGTATTGTTTCCCCCCTCTTCCTTCTTGGTTGCATTGCGATGGCTCCACGGCGTTTGTCCAAATATATTATCATTGGCGCGATCTTTTTATTTGGCATCATAATCTTTTCTGATTCGTCTCGACCCGTGGTTGACAGTGTCAAAGACCCCATTGGGTACGCAGAGAGTATTCGAGAAACAATTCCGAACTTCCGATTTTCGTTCCAGAGATCAGCACATAAGCCTCCCGAGCAGAAGAACAGTACACATGGCGACAGTTCGTGGTACAGTGATTGGAAATGGCTCAATCCTTTCTCCTCCTCGATTACCCTCGACGAAGACCGCATGGTATTACCTCTTCAGCTCGAACGAGCTCCAGTCTATGTGTTCTATGACACAACCTTGAAAAGAGATGAGGAAACAAAGAAGATCGATCAAGAATTATTATTACTATGGCGTCGGGCTTGGTGGGCACATGGATTCCGACCTGTCATCCTGACCGAGGCCGAGTCAATGAGCCACCCTCTGTATCAGACTCTTCATGCCAAAGGAATGCCTGCACCTCTTGAGCAAGAGTTCAGACAATGGCTTGCGTGGGCTCACATGGGTACTGGTTTACTTGCTCGTGCATATTGTCTGCCTATGGGCCCTTATGACGATCCGCTCTTGTCTCACTTCCGTCGTGGACAATATGCACAGCTCACCAAACTCGAAGGCCTAGGGTCTGGTTTATTTGCAGGAGAACAAACACAAATCAATGATGCGATCAAGTCTGCGCTGGATAACGTGAAGTTGAGCACATTCAAAAGTGTGATAGAAGCGATCAACTCGGATCATTTCAGGGTTGAACAGCCAATTTCAATCGCACATTATGACATGGAAACGATTACTTCAAAATACAAAGCCCTAGCAGAACAACTGGTTAAAGATCCAAACAAAGGCCGTCGTTCTCTCAATCAACTCATGCTCGCACACCTGCATACCGTCTGGCAAAACACTTTCAGTAGTGGGATTGCCGTGCTGCAGCCACTACCAGCTCACACATTCACGCTCGTGAAACCTGCACAAGACCTTGCTCGTCTTCTGACTGAGTGTCCAAATTCAATATTGCAATCATCATGCCCGCCAAATCGCTCAAAATGTAGCCCATGTGTAGGCTCCAAAATGAGGATCACTACTGCTCCTGCCTTCAGAAATACCTCCAACTTGTTCACAATCGCAACCGTGCCTCATCCGTACACGATGGTGACCTTGGCAAATCAGTCTGAGGCGATATCTGTTGCACATATCAGACGACACACGGATCGGGATCCGTGGATTACTGCTGTAACCCGAGATCTTCTCGGGAATGCTCGAGGTGGTCCAAGTCGAGTGGTGAGCTTGAAGGATGCCGTTGCTTCCGATTATGGCCGCAGTCGGTCTTTGTGGTTCACCACTGAACATTTCCCGGCCTCGTTCTGGCCACCTCCACCACCCCCTAAATCACCCACCAACGATGCTCACCCCATCCTGGAGAAGATAGCACCTTTTCCAGAGGACTGGCTTGAGCATGTGGATTGGTTTCTTGGCTTCCCAGTCCCACGCACTTCAATCTCTCATGGCGAGTCTCTTCCTCCTGTACCAGGTCCTGAAAGATGGAAGCCGCTTCCTGGCATGCCAATGGAAAAGAAGAAAGGCACGGATCCGAATCCACCCTCAGAGGAACAAAAGGCCATTGAGGTAAATCTTTTGCGTAAAGCAAGAGATACGATCAATAGTAAGGATCAGCAGCTTGGCAAGATTCGTGGGGTGGCCGAAGCATGGAATCTAGCCGATACAGAAGCCTGGAAATTCGTGAAGAGTTACCGTGCCCGCGAAGTGGTAGAAAGGCTCAAGTTCGAAGAAGACGAATCCGCTTATGCAGCAGGCGGTGGGGGTCGAGGCAATAGTCGCTGGTGGCGCTCGTGAGCTTTCGCTATCCGTAGCATCAGACCAACATTCATTGACTCTGGGCAATACTTGTCGCTTGACAGGTTTTTATAACTCATCTCCAACGCCAGGCTATGAGGAAGTCAAATTTGCCCCAGGGCTTGAGTGATGGTGTCGAAATATCTTCGACATCTCCAGTATCGTGTCTTTGAAACGCCAATCTTGCCATACTGCGAATCCGGTAGCTGCTGACATCCCAGCAACTGCCAAGGTACAACCCTCGATTATGGACAACTCAGGCGCCTCATCTATACCTCGAAACATTCGCGTTTCGCGCACCAGCCATCCTTGAATGTCATCGAGCATACTGAGGCCCCCATAGCTCATCAAACTCATCTCTTGCCAGCTTGGAGAGAATTTTTGCAAGTTAGCTGCCGGGGACGGAAGCGCAAGCGGATCCGTTATAAGCCAAAGAATGAAAAGGCTTTTCAGAAACCAATTCATGAAGAGCAAGAGCACCGTGGGCCCCCCCAACCACCTCACCGCGTATCGAAATGGATGGTGTGTCAAATCGTTCCATGAGTCAGGGCCGTTTTCGGCAATGTGACCCCCCGAGATGCCCTCAGTGTTCCCTCCCTGGTTGTTGTCTGTGTTCTCCCTCGTATGTTCGTGGGCTGGAGATCGACTTTTCAGGTTATTTTGGATATCTTGGATAGGCTGATCGACGTTGTCCGGATGATGCGACCGAGCAGTAGGATTCTGGAATTCACCTCCCTGGATATTTTCATGATCTCTTGGGCATTGCAGCAATTCTTCCCACGTCCCGTCCCAGATGGTCGTCACCATCTCTTTCATCAACGCGATCCCGGCCACTCTAGTCTTCGGATTTCGCATCAGGGTCTTTCTGTCTTGATATAGCTTATTTGAACAACTCATATGGTGGTCGCACAGATGCCATCCTTGATCGAGAGGCAGAGGGACTCGGTCATGTTCAAAATCTCTTTTTTTGTTGTCCCAACCACCCTTCACCTTTTCAAAGATCGCCTTCGCCTGCACACCATCCATGCTTAAGTTCGCTTGTGGGTATGTCGCGTTGTACCACAGTGCGATGGCATCGAATTTGAGTGATGTTCGACAATGATACCAGACCACAAATCGTACATCATCTGATACCCGGTCATCATTCTTTTTCGGCTTAGCCGCGAGATCACTATTCACCTGGCTTCGTTCTCGAGTGGGACTCGTGCTCAACCGGTCGAGTTGATCTGTTGACTTGCCATCCCGTTGTGCGACTGTGCGTGGCGTCATCTCTGCAAGCGGATTTCGAGCTCCACCCCTGCCTTTCCCCTTATTTCTGGTGGGACTTGATGAATCGCCAATCGCACTGCCCGATTCTTCGTATACCCTGACTCGCCCTGAACTTGAATGGTTTCCTAGAAACTCCATGGCGCTTCCTCAGTGTGAGCCCTGCAATTGGTTGATTTGCTTCTGGTACTTGCTGGCTGGGGTGTAGGTGAAGTTGGCTGGAGGGGGAGACTCGCACTCACTGATTTCTTTGGAATGGCGAGAAGTATGCGGGCATGCGTCGTTGTTATTGGGGATGTTTGTTGTAATCTCACTTCAGGAAACTGTACATTCCAGTTGCCACGATGGTGTTGGCAGTTGAGCATTCCAAATAAAGAGTGGGATCTTATTGGACGAACAGACCCCTTGCAAAATTGCAATGTATTTGTATCTATGTCTTTGTAGAAATTCTTGGACACCATGAAAGAGAAGTACTTGTCATCGAGACAGTTGACTGCTGTTATGCCTATTCTAGAGGAAATCATGCTCAAACATCCTTGAGTTCCGTATGTGTTTTTAGTGCTGGACATCTGCATTACCTCTCCGGTGCGTCCTGCACCTTTCCCATGTTGCCTTTGTCTTCTCTTTGAGCTCGTTGCTGCATCTCGCCTTCGCACTGCCTAAAAAGTGGGCTCCCGTGTCCTTGCCGTAGAGCCATTTGTATTGGTGAGCGATACGGAGCATCTTGAAGCTTGCCAGGCAGGCATAATCCAAACATGGGTTTGAGTCGACAGCTAGACTCACGGTGCCTGAGCCATCGCAAACGAATCTATCACACGATAGACGATCTTTACAACTGGCGAGAGAAAGTCTTTACTCGTTTTTGCAAAGACTCCGACAGGCGTTCGTGAAGCCGGTACGTGAACATATTGAAAATATGAGATCTCATCACCTCATCGCTCCGTCCAGATTCAAGTGCATCTCGATGCTTTGAGTTGGCGTGCCCATATTTTCAATTCGTGTGAGTGTGCTTCTTTTCTTAACATTGTGAAGGACGGCTCAGATATCCCGCTGAGTCGCTAAGTTAGTCCTCTGGGGAAGGCCTAAATAGGACTAATTGGAGGTCTTCTTGAACGCTATGGCTGAGGACCGACCTTCGTATGTCGTCCTCGTGAGCTCCTCACATCGGCCCGCTTGACCGAGTGTCGACATCGAGGGAGCTTTCAACAATCTAAACGAAACATCAGCTTCCCAAGTAGACTTCATGCCCGATATATCCCCCAATGAGTCCGGAGGGACCCACATGGAGGAATCTATCTAAGCGAGATACAGAGCCGAGGACCATGTTATACGAGAAGTCCTGAGAGTTCAGACCCATCAAGTGGGCGACGCTGGATATCGGTTGGACTCTCGGGAACTACCTAGGTTTGCTCTCATCTAACCGCACCGGAAACACTTTCTTATCTAGCCGCGCCGCAAACAATGAATGCACTCTCCGTGGCTCACCTTTTGCACAGCAATGTCGCGCCAAATGTCCAGGCCTCTATGTTGCTGTTATCCAGAAGCAAACGATACCAAGGCCTCGACTGCAATGATGGCCAACTCGATGAGCCTCGTTTCATCAGCCATATAAATGTGACAGAACGCCTTGTCCAGTAGGACATGATCATCCAAAAGACCGAGTTCTCTCGGAAATATCGATCCACACCCAACATGGACAAAACAGACAAGTCTCCATCCACGATGGATGTCAATCTTGAGGCTACCTTGACGGAAGCAAGCAGGTCTGAGGGCCAGGTCTTCGAAAGAATTGAGCTAAAGCAAGATCGATTCAGCACATTGAGCTTGATTGGCGTTCACTTCTCCATTACTGCTGCTCCCATCGCAGTCCTCCTGTATTCAAGCCTTGTCACGGGGGTTGGTGGTACCTCTTATTTCTTTTGGTGTTTCCTGGTGTCTATGGTTGGTCAAATCTCTGTAGCCGCCAGCTTGGCAGAGATTGCTGCATTTCTACCGCACGCTTCAGGTATTGATACTCTTCCTCCAAAGGTTCTCATTCATGACCACACTTGCTTATCGTCTGAGTAGGCCAGGTATTCTGGACAGGCTCTCTAGCACCACCGAGATGGGCCCGACTCTTGAGCTATGTCGTTGGCATGTTGACGACACTTGCATGGACACTCGGTGCCGCAGGAGCAGCAGTATACAGCGCCAACTTTTATGTCGCGTTCGGCATGGTCATTATCAGCTCATATACCCCGGAACTTTATCAGATATATGTTCTTTCAGCTGCAACGATTATATTGGCCACCACCTTCAACACTCTCGGCGTCCGACTCCTGCCGAGTATCAACAAGGTCATGGTTGTTTTCCTTAATTGTGCAGCATTCTATGTTTTTGTAGTACTGCTCGCCAAAACCTCCCCAAAGAACTCGGCGAAGGATGCCTTTCTGAACGTCACCAACGAGACTGGATGGTCATCTGATGGCTATGTCTTCCTCTTGGGGTTCCTTCCGGGCCTTCTCACAATGTCTGTCCCAGACGCCGCATCACATCTGGCGGAGGAAGTTCCCAATCCAGAGAGAACAATTCCACTTGTCATGTTTGGTACGACCTGTCTCAACGGAATTGGGGGCTTGATTATGGTCTTTGCGATTATCTTCTGCACCACTCATCCTGAGAATATGTCGGATCCACTGGGCCACCAGGCAGCCTTACAAGTTGCGGCCGATGCCTGGGACAACCGCGGTTGGATTATCACTGTGACCTGTATCATGGTCGTCGTCAACAGCAATGCTACCTCCGCGCTATTGACGGGTGCTAGCCGTCTTCTGTGGGCATTTGCGAGGACGGGGGGCTTACCAGCAGGCCGGATCTTTGGGCGTACACACCAGAGCTTGCAGGTACCGGTTGTCGCCGTGGTCGCATGCTCCACGCTTGCAGCTTCACTTTCACTTCTGGTCTTTGGGCCATACACAGTGCTCAACGGTATCTTCGGCAGTTCCATCGTTTGCCTGAATGTGACTTACTGGATCCCAATCTTTTTCATGATGATAAAAGGACGGAAGACACTCCCGACGAAAAGGACCTTCAATATGGGCCACGCAGGGCCTTTTATTAACGCCTTGGCTTTAGCATGGTTGACATTGACTGAGGTTACGCTATGCCTTCCAAGCTACTACCCGGTCACCGCCAGCGGTATGAATTGGTCGCCTGTCGTGTTCATTGGGTTGCTGCTGGCTACTTTCACGAATTGGTTTGTCGTGAAGAGTAGATATGAGATTCCAAAACCTATCTACATCGAACAACTACACGGAAACTGAAAGACTACGGTCAGAGATTAGTGTCAAGTTTACATCAATTGGTAGACTGGACCTGATGAGGATCTAGCCTTATTCCACCATATATGCCTTCAATATTAGATGGCGCAATACCTACGTATTCTAAACTCACTTCAGCACTTCAGTCTAGGCCTTTGGATTTTCGTAACTTCTTGATGGAAGAGCTTTTATGTTGTCTGATTTCGCGGGTACGAAAACTGCATATAAGAACTGGACCTTGTGGAATGAGAAGAGTCATTCCATTAACATCGGCTAACAGGCCCAAAATAGCTCATGCGGGATTGAATAACACAATAAAATTGGTGATTTAATTAAATCTGAATTGGATATTTTTATTTGTAGTCATCTAGGTCCAACAAAGATCCTGGTTAAACAATAGTACCGGGGTGTGCTTCTGCAAGGCTCAAAAGTTCTTCCACTGTCTGAAAGTGCAGATTTGGAAAATATTTCGTACGCTGCCTTAGTACTTCCGCCCTAGGTAGGTTCGAGGCGCCAGAGTAGATAAGGAGCTCAAAGTAGCTCAACATAGCCGCTTCAGAGGACGTATTCTCAATGATTGGTTTGAGGGTCTCTGCCAGCGACTTAGTCTTACTCTTCCAACTAGGATCTCTTCTCTTCATGGCAGAAAATAGCCCACTGAGCGTGATGTGATCCCCCGCCACGAACGTATATGGATCCCATGGCTCCGAGGTCCCAAGAAGGGCAGCGATGGCCTTGGCCGCATCTCGCACGGAACAAACGGAGAATAGCTGATCTCCTGGTCCGTATATAGTGAACACTTTAGTTGTGTGGTCCATTGGCCATAAGGCTCCGATATCGCGAAGATATCGTTGTGAGGCTGGCACTATATAGTCCATGAACCACGAGTTCGCGAAGATCGTCCACCGTATATCCTGACTTTGTTTGAGTGCGTCATGTAGTTTCTTATTAGCCTCAGCAAGGAACATCGGTTGTTCGGGATAGTTAAGAACATCACAGGTCCATTCCGATGGGATATAGCTTTTGCATATCTTCGATTGCTTACAGGCCTCGAGCATATCGAAGTGAATCCTAGTTGCGACAGGAGGATTTTCAAAATCTGCGATCGTAGAGACTAACGCCTCAACACCGAGGTCGTCTAGGATTGATATGAGTGATGCCAGGCTATAGTCTGTTGCCCGCTGTGTGTAAATCTTCCCAGGTTTTTCTTTTCGCGTCAGAACAACGAGTTCGTGTCCATATTTTGGAATTTCCTCGATCAGGTATTGCGCAACGTTTCCTGTTCCTGCAACAGAGACCTTCATGTCTGCGGTGATTTCGATGAGCGTTGGGATCAAACTTAGCTTCAAAGATGTGTTGTTCCGGCCAAATTAGTGCTTTGGCGTTGAATGTAAAGCACTATGAGGGTTTGGACCGACAACTTCCTGACTTTATATCCAAGCTGTGGTGTTACAGAACCACTATCTCGTTCTCCGTCGGTGGACGAACATTTGGTTCATGCAAAAATAATACCTACGTCGCGGTCCTCGGCCGCCGTCATAGAATGGGTCAAATTTACCATCTAGAATTTTGAACAGATTAGACCTTCAACGAGGACGCGGACTCTCCTCACGACCCGCAAGGGCCCTTGCCCCTCTCGAATCCGGAAAGCGAATCCCCACTTAGAGTGAGTTCGCTTCGATATGCGGAAGTGGCTAGGGGGCACCCGGGGGTGTCCCACAATTCTGCGGTTAGATAAGAACTCTGCGATAAGAGTCTGGGCGCCGTAATGCATGGGACGTACCACAGACTGCCCCTGTGCCAAATTGCGGGTTGGGTTACCCTGCTGGATCGACGTCCTTTTCGGTATGTGATTAGGTCTTCTGCGAGACAGGAAGAGATGTATGAATTGTGGCTCACCCGTGCTCACCCCAATAGAAAACAAAGGAATTGAAACTCATGTCTGCCACTATGAGTCGCTCCAGCGTACCTCATGACACTCATCGTGAGAGACAACTTCACTCTGTGTCAGTACTTGGCCTTGGATACATGGGTACTGCCATAGCGAAGGCATTCGCTCGCAAAGGACACCAGGTATCAGTTTGGAACCGTTCCTCGGGAAAGGCATCTGCCTTAACAGCTCTCGAACACAACGTAAATGCATACGAGACAGCGGGAGCCTGTATTCAGGCGAGTCAATTGGTCATCACAGTCATCACGGACAGCAGGGCATTCAAGGCAATAGTAGAGTCTCTCGACCCCACGGTGGGTTCTGGAAAGACACTGGTGAATTTCAGTACAGGCACTCCCTCAGAAGTACTCAAATCCTCTGAACTCACGAAAGACAAATCGTTCGACGCCTTTATTCAAGGGGCGATGCTCGCCTATCCTGCCCAGGTTGGTCTTCCCGAAACGAACGCATTGTATAGTGGCCCAGTGGAGTATTTCGAGCCCATTAAGGAATCACTCGAGGTCTTGGGAAAAGCGGTATATCTTGATGACGAGGATCCAACTAGAGCGGCATTACAAGAAGCAATGATAGATACCGCTTATTACACAGTCTGCGCAGGGTATCTATCAGCAATGGCACTATTGAAACGATCAGGACTATGGAAACCGGGCTTGGCAGAACCCTTCACCAGAGAATGGATTGTTCCTATTTTACAACTTTCGGAACATTACCTGGTTCCCATTGCACAGCAGATGGATTCTGGAAAATACAAGGATGAAAATGGGTGTCGACTAAGTAATCATCTCTCATCTTTGCGGACTTTTGTGCGGACATATGAAGAATTCAATGTGGAGTCTATTGGATTGACATCCTTTGCGGACAGTATCGAGAAAAGAATTTCACAAGGGGGTGGGGACGAGGAGTTAAGTGGCATGGTAGACAGTTTGTAGTCGAATATGCCTTGCATTTGGAGCACAGATACCAACTGGAGCAAAGTACTCATTTTCAGCAGATGAATGAATTCGCCCCATGCAACATAGTAATTTTCTCCACGCCCACCAATCCAAATGCGAGTGGATCATCCCAGAGAGATCGAAAAAGTTCGCCTATTGATTTCTGCATAGGCATGTGAGACTGTATTTCCTCTATCCGTCGCATGATCATCTTCTGCCCCTGTTTATCCCGCAAATGTGACCCTACAACGATGTACGGCCAACATAAGCCATAATCAGCATCGGTTGCTTCGATATGAGTTACAAGAAACATCGCATGCTCGATCAGCGGCTGCAAAACTGTCGCTAAATCGGCCGATGTCCCATCTTCCCGATAAAAGGATGCTTCTAGGACTATTAGTAAGGCTTGTGTCTTGAGATCTTTGATGAGCAATTCTTTGTGCGTGACCATCTCCGCCACCACGTCGCTTGAATCATCAAGGGGCGATTCCCAGTGAAGGCTGTTCTGCAATGTGTTAAACAAAGCAGAGTATAACTGATCCAGTGGTAATGCTGCTCGAGACTTTCTGTGTCTGGATAATCGGGCGATGATAGGGGTGAGGCAAAGATACTCGGGCTCGTAGGCAAACATAGATCCGAAGCTAGGGAAATCCTTGATCAACGGCATGACCGAGGTGGAGAATTCGAGCCCGAGACGGATGTTCTCATCGTTGACAGAACCACTCAAATTTGCTATCAATGAGAAGTAGCCATATGACTCGATCAGCAGTACAGCAAGCTCCTGGTGCTCAGGATCATGGACGTGTTCAAGTGCGACATATACAAATCCACGACATGCTCTGACGTGCTGCAGAGCAGCCCCGTAGGTTCCGCCATCAACTATCTGTGAGGTGATTTAGCACCTTTTGTCCGCAAGGAAAAGTCGCTCATATTTAAGACTTACCTCATAGTGACACAGGAGAAACATGGTTGTCAGTAAGATCCTGTAGTCCTTTTTCTGAGATTGGAGCTGGTCCGATAAGACTTGGTTAAGCTCACACAATGCAGATGTATAATACTTGAGTGCCTCTGCCTCGATAGAAGGCATTACATGGCGCAGATGCACACCGCTCAGTGCTAGCATGGCGTGTAGAATCAGCGAATTCGTTGTCGCCAGCGGGATGATATGCTTCTCAATGATGTAGTTATAGTCGTTGCAATTCAAGAGCCATAGGACTGTCTTCTGGCAAAAGTGATCAAATAATATGTGGGCATCAGGGCCTTCGCGTGAAATGGCACTTCCAGGAGTTGGACTTCCATATCCAGGCAGAATGCATGACTGTAGGAGATCCTCCTCCAGTTTGCGAAGTTCTGTCAGTGTAGTGGACAAGAACTCGGTTTCGTCAAAGTATTCATCTCCAGAATCCCATCCGATTGTATCAGACGGATGTACCTCAGGCGCAGCTGCAGAGTCACTCCCGTGGCCACCAGAACTTGATTTCACAGATATTGTGGACAGATTCTTCTCAGTCGCAGCTTTGTCACGCAGCGTTTTGGCTGACGTTTTCTTCGCCGAACCAGTGGGCCAGGTACACTGCAGTCCTGATCTTTCACAGGCCTTGCATATCGGCCATTCTTCGCTGCATTTCTTCCGACGACATTTGCACTGCAGGCATCCGTTCTTACTACGAGACTTGCGGGGCCTCTGAACTGCATAGATGGATAGCCTCTTAGGCTGTGCTGCGGCACCCATTGGAGAATTTACAAGCCTCCAAACGATGCCGATTGAATTGTAGGCTCCAATGTGGCTACGGCTCGAAATTGAGATACTATGAAGATGAGGATAGATAAAGAACAGGTTAGATACGGGGTAGTTTTTGAACAACCTCTAAGCTTGAGTCATGGGGTCGTCGTACACTTCCCCACCAAGCTGCAGGATTGGCAAAGCTACCCGTCATCGTCGAAAGAGTAGCGGCAAAGCGGCTTTAAGGGCGCAGTCACAAAAACTCGGCTAGATAAGGGATCGCATAAAGATACCCCGGAAATTTGGCGTCTCGGCGAGTTTTATCCCTGCATATCTGGGCCCGAGGGGCGTCACTGGGGTGCCCGTGGGAATCTGCAGCTGACATATCCGTCGCGGTTGCAAACTACTTCCGCCCTAACTAACTACCTAGGTACGAAGCAGCTGGGCTAACAATACGAGGCTGCGGCCGTAGAGGGGCTGTCCCACTCGCGACGATCAAAGCTCACTTCAAGATCTACAAATTCCGATAATATTCAGCTACAGTAGTTAGCTTCCGTTTCTTCAGAACAGCGACGCAAGATGGGGTTTCACGTGGCAACTCTAACTACAGAGAGGTCAGGCTTTCTGGCCGTCGGCAGGTTCATGTCTAAAATGCTTAGAAATCATGCTGCTGAAGATGAGGGCATGTATGAACAGATTCTGTACATCATAGCGAGATGCTACTTACCTACGATTGCTCAGAGCTCATTAATGCTGATGTTTTGCGTGTGTGCTCTAGCATTGACTGCTTCCAGTTGACAATCTAATGAAGATTACCTTGATGAACAAAAGGATGGACCTCTTTTCTTTCTATCTGATCAGTGTCTTGCTCGGTGTTCTTCGTTCCATTTCAAACGCAGAGAATCTCACCTTCCAGACCTCTATCCGGGATTTACATCTCCAAGCAGGTCAAGGACAATTTCTCGGACCGTCAGCAATCTCTGGAAGTTTCGATCAATTAGTGACCACTGATACCTGCTCCCGAGCTGTAAGTTTGTTCTCGACTCGTCTCCCTTTGTGAAAACCCACTGCTAATGGCTCGAAGTGCGAGATTTTAGCTGCCATTCGCCCTGGAACAGTCCTCACTCCCTTCACTCCCGCATATGAGCGTGCCAAGTTTGGTTACTGGACTAAAAACCAGGCGGAATCTAATTCTCGGTGCATATATCAACCCATAAGCGCTGGAGAAGTCTCATTGGCTGTCGTTCTGTTGAAGTCTTTGAGATGCCCCTTCGCAGTCAAAAGCGGGGGTCATGGATGTTATGATGGCCAGTCTAGCATTAGTCAAGGAATCACAATAGATCTAGGGAAAATCGATCAGATCAATCTATCAGATGACCGGAGCGTCGTCACACTTGGCCCTGGAAGTCGTTGGCTAAATGTTTACACAGCTCTTGAGCCGCTGAATGTGACAGTAATCGGTGGGCGAGACGCAGGTGTTGGAATTGGAGGGTTCCTCCTTGGAGGTCAGTGTCCTCGTTCCTGTTCTAATGTGCTCCACGCTAAATCGTATCAGGTGGAATCTCATTCCAGTCCTCCCAGTATGGCTTTGGTTGTGATAATATTGTGGCGTATGAAATTGTCCTCGCAAATGGCTCCATGGTAATAGCGAGTGAAGAGCAGAACAGTGACTTGTACAAAGCTTTGCGCGGTGGTGGATCCAATTTCGGCATTGTCACTGCCTTTCACCTGGATGCCTATCCTAATACACCTATGTGGGGTGGCTCAAGGATTTGCAAATATGATAAAACGCCGGATATAACACGAGCCTTCATGAATTATGCCTCTCTAGTGGAAGAAGACTCGAAAGCATCTGTCATCCTAAACTTGCTTTATCAAAACGGCCAATGGGTATGGCAGCTGGATCTTGAGTACTGCGCTCCAGTCTCAGATGCTTCCGTCATGCGAGAGTTCATGGACATTCCAGCAATCGAAGATGAGACCGCTATAACGAATCAATCTCAGCTCACTGTCGCGATGGCTGAGAGAGCCCCGCGTGGCTACCGGAGCTCTTTCTGGGCCTCCACAGGCAAGGCGGATATTCTTCTTCTAACCTTCTATGTGGAGACATTCGTGGCTGAATCCGAAAAGGTTTTGAAAAGTCCGGGCATAATTCCAGCTGGTGACATTCAGATCATCCCACCAGGACAGCGTCGGCCAATGACGAAACGGGGCGGCAACGTTCTTGGTCTCGCTGATAACACCAACGAGACACTTATTCTATTCAACCCTGTATTTCTCTGGGACGACCCAGCTCATGATGACATTGCATATGCAACCCTTTCAACAATAATCGAAAAGACAAACGAAAAGTCTGTCCGACTTGGGCTTCAGAGTGATTTCATATACATGAACTATGCAAGCCAATTTCAGGACGTTATTGGAAGTTATGGAAAGAAGTCTCAGGAGTTCTTACATGCAGTGGCTGAAAAGTACGACCCTGAAGGCGTATTCCAATATCTAGCGACTGGAGGGCATAAGCTGTATGGGCCTCCTCGGCATGCTTTATTCAAGGGTGAGATTTGAGGGTGTCTTTCACGCAGGATGAGTATTGCGGAAGTCGAGAAGTGCTGGCTATCATCGCTTCGGTAGAATGAATCTGCTTGGTGGAACGCCTATTGAATTGTTCGAGAGATCTCTACGGTATCATTTTTAGTGGCAGTCAACTATATCAATTTACCAGAGCAACACACATTTTCTGGAACAATTTAAAACGAACACTGTTGAAGACCTTTCTCCTGTTTCAACTTGACGAATTGACGAGTTCATAAAACGCTCCGAAGACACCCAGAGCCTTGATATACATCAATCTCCAACAATCTGAACATCAAGTCCTTCCAACTTTCCATTTGCTCTCCAGTTCTCAATGGTTTTAATGTAATCAAGGAAACCACTTCCCCAATTGAGACCCATTGCCGCCTTGAAGCTTTCCTCGGGTGACATTTCGCGAGTTGCCTGTCCTTCCGCAGTAGTATAGCTGGGAGTACAACCACCAAAACCGGCATAGGCAAATGCCATTTCGACAATCCTGCGAGTCCAGTTATCCTCACCTTCTGCTGTTGGTTCTATGACTGGCCTTGTCTTGCCAGGGTGTGTTTTTGCGGTGACACTCGCAACGATCTGAGCTGCATGTACGGCGGCCACATCCACCATGTGAGCGTAATTGACCGTTGCGCCTGTTTGGTTGACTCCCGATATGAACAGATTTGGGAATCCCCGAGACATCAGACCGTGGAGTGTTCCGATTCCATTCTCCCATTTATTATTCATGTCCAGGCCATAGCGACCCAAGATCTTGAACCCAGCTCGCTGTGATGGGCTGCCGCTTGTCCAAGGCTCGAATCCTGTACCGAATATCACAACATCTGCATCGTACACAACGCCATTGCAGATTATCCCATTCTCCGTACATGACTCAATACCTCGACCTTTGGTATCGACAAGCTGCACATTTGACTGATTGAAGGCTGGAAGATAGTCATCGTGGAAACATGGCCTCTTGCACCAGCCAGAGTACCAGGGCTTTAACAGCTGAGCGGTCTTATGGTCCTCGACTATCGAGTCCACTCTGGCGCGAATCCGATCTTGACGCTCCAGGTCAATTGCCTGAAGATTATTGATATAGTCGTTGGCAGTCTTATCCGTCAAATCCTTCGCATTTGGCCCACCTACCAATGCCGAATAAGACGGGAAAGTCATCCAAGAATCTGTAATCAGGTCAACATCCTCGGCGGCATTGCTGATAAAGGCAGCCATGTTCTCCCGTCGTCTTCGCTGCCACCCTCTATGATTGCTAACCTTCTCTTTGAACTCTTCCGAATTAATCTTCCGTTGATCTCGAATGTCAACAGATGCAGGAGTCCGCTGAACAACGAACAGCTTTTTAGCCCACTTCGCAAGATGAGGAACTGCTTGAACCGCAGTCGCTCCTGTACCGACGAAAATGACTTTCTTATCTTTTAGCTTGTTCATCATCGGATTGTCTGAGGAACCACCAGTGTAGGCGTAATCCCACCGCGCGGTATGAAAAGTGTGTTTGCTGAATTTTCCAATCCCAGGCACATCAGGAAGTTTAGGATTGTGCAATAAGCCAGAGGTAAGAACAAAGTACTCGGTCCGAACATCTACTACCGTGCTGGTCCCATCGGAGGAAGATTTCTGGACTTGGAGTACCCACTCCGAATTTTCATCATCCCATTTGGCGGACCGGACAGTAGTTCGCCATAATGCCCTATCCTGCAGATTCCACCTTGAAGCAAGAAGTTCTGCATAGTTCCTCAATTCAGAGCCATACGCATACCTGTCTTTCGGCGTGTATCCAGTTTCCTCTAGCAATGGCATGTAGCAAGAACTTTCGACATCACACATCAGGCCAGGGTAGCGATTCCAGTACCAAGCTCCGCCAAAGCCTGTTGCATTGTCGACAAACAAGATATCCGACGGGTTCAAATTAGCCTCAAGCAGGAACCGAATGGCATAAGTCAGCCCTCCAAAGCCTGTGCCAACAATCACAACTTTAGAGCGACCATTCTGTGAACCAGCCGGCCATGCCCATTGTCGGTCTCCAGCTTCATGGGCCCAGGGATCGTCAGCCAGATGCTTGAACTTGGCTAGGTCTTTTGCATTGGTATACTGAGCGAGTCCCTCGGGTCGAATTCGTTTAGCCCTCTCCTCAGCATACTTGGAATACACATCCTTGACACCGTGGTCATGAGAGCCTAGGGAGCCCATTATGTCTGTTGATTGAAAAAGTCTTGGAGCCAGTAAGGTTGCAGAGGTTTGGTGCTGCAGTGTCTAGTAAGGTACAATCTACTGATCAAGAACAATCACCAACCTCTACATCCCATTGTTTATCTACTTTACTCGGCGCATCTTGAACCAATATTTCGGACGGATGGATATTCGACATCACCTTTTCCCCCGACTATCAAGCCCGGAAGCTCTAGATCTATCATCGGGAAACTGATGCTATCTAACCAGACGTCGGATATAGCCTCGACAGGCGCCAATTAAAATGTTATCTTTCCTGGTAATCTAACCGCAATCTAAGCGGCAAAGCCTATATCTTCTACGTGAGGAGGAGACTGGGTAACTTAAATAAAATTTTAGTGCTTGAACTTGCCCTTTACGGTATCCCTGCCATTGGTGGTACCACGCGAGAAGAGGTTTCATCTACATAGCATTGTAGACCATTGTACATATACTATTCTCCAGGGGTCAATCGAAATGCTTCAGCAAGATCAGGGGACAGTAAAATCTATTTTCTTTGACACCCAAATGGCAATCAACGGCCACATAATATCGAATGATTCGAGTCCAATCCGCTCCAGCAGAGTCGCTTCCCTGAGGGATGTTTTACTTGACGAATATACCAGGGATAACTCTCGATCCCTCCACTACAACAATCATGCGAAAGCAATAATCCCCAGTGGAACAACAAGAGCTGTGTTGAGTTACACACCGTTCCCTCTCGGGTTTTCGGGAGGACACGAAACATACCTAACGTCTCTGGATGGAGATGAGTACCTTGACCTTGTCTCCGAATTTTGCGCAGGAATGTATGGACACTCGCATCCTGCCATAAAAGAGGCCATTGAGAGAGTTCTCCTACTGGGTCACTCCCTTGGGGGAACAAATCCTCAAGAGGCTGAGCTGGGCGAAATGTTGGTCTCCAGATTCCCCAGCATCGACATGATTCGCTTCTGCAACTCCGGCAATGAAGCAAATACATTTGCTATAGCGACAGCCCTGTCATTCAACCAGCGACGGAAAGTCATGGTATTTGAAGACGGTTACCATGGAGGGAATCTGATGTTCCCAGCTACTCCCAGTCGTCTGAATATACCACATCATTTTGTGTTCGGACGGTATAATGATATTGAACGAACTCGAGAAAATATTGACGATGAGATTGGTGTCATTTTGGTGGAACCGATGCAGGGTGCTGGCGGCTCTATCCTTGGAAGCAAGGAATTTTTGACATTCCTCCGTCAAGAAGCCACTCGGATAGGTGCCATCCTGATATTTGACGAAGTAATCACGTCTCGTTTATATTATGGTGGACTCCAAGAGTATTTCGAAGTGATTCCTGACATGACTACCATGGGAAAACACTTTGGTGGCGGCCTGGCATTTGGTGCTTTCGGCGGGCGACAGGATATCATGCGACAGTATGAGTTGTCCCAGAAAGACCCACTCTTTCATTCTGGTACGTGGAATAACAACCGTTTCACAGTCGCGGCGGGTTCGGTTGGAACAAGTCTACTCACAAGAGAGGCACTTGACAAAGCAAATACCCTCGGCGATAAGCTCAGAGATGGCATGAGAATGATATTTGAGGCCAAAAGCCCACCGGTCGGATTCGTTCGAGGATTTGGCAGTGTGGTAGGTTATGGCTTTCATGGCCCGGATGCAGAGATTTTACGTGAGGCATTTTTCTACCATATGGTAAAGAAGAGGATCTATATCGGATCCCGGGGATTCATAGCGTTGAATATCCTCCATGATGGAAAACATGTCGACCGAGCTCTGGATGCTGTACGGTGCTTTGTTGAGGAGGCTTTTGCGTAGGCGTTGCAATGCTTAGGAGCAAACGATAGAGAGATCCCAAGTTTATTTAGTGTTCACTCTGTCTTGAAGCTGTGACTACTTAATGGCCATAGTGGTATCGATGGAATACAGTGTATTGGAACTATTTGTTTTCGTTCAGATAAAAATCAATGCCTGAGTGCACAAAAGTGATTGCGGGTAATGCCTGGCACCTCTTGATGTGGATGCCTCCACATTTCATCCTTCCGAAATCCAGCCCCTTGGTCCATTTCTAACAGTATTTTGTTCCTCGCTTCAATTGTATCACAGACCCACATGAAAGTCTCGGATCTGCAGACCAGGGTGGAAACGGAAGATTGTGTGGGGAACATTACAAGGCGGTTAGATAAGGGGGTTTATGAACTTAACGGGCTCGTACAGAGTTCAATATGCATTTTGGCCTGATAGCTTCATAATAGCGTGCGTAAAGCTATAGGCAAAGTACGAATGGAGGTTCAGAACGCTGAAGAATGAAACAGAATTGATTTATGTGGTCAGCAAGCATGTCGAGACGATGCGTTCACCACTAGAAGCCTTGGAGATAGTGCCAAATATGCACTGCTGTTTAAAATCCATGCATTACTGACCCAGATCCCCATCATAGGATCACATATCTTGACCAGATGATCGAAAATCACCGGAATTCTTTCATGCTTATTTTCTCGAAGCTACCGACAAGACATCGAATCAAGAACATTGTTGCACAGTATCCTAAAGCCTCTGGCACTGCTCAGCTGCTTGTATTGGAGCCATAATGTCGAGTCTTCAAGGAAAAGTGGTATGTCCCCTTCATCAAGAATACCACGCACTTGGCTTGATGTACACGGAGAAAATCTGATCAGAGGATCAGATCGCTATCACTGGAGCAGCTTCTGGAATGGGCCTAACGATTGCAAAGCTGCTTTCGAGCAATGGCGCAATATTGTCTCTAGCGGATATGAACGAAGATGGTCTGTTGACAGCCATCGAGTGTCTTAAAGGAGAGGTGGAAGAAGCCCAAAAGAACCAGCAACGGCATATCTATACTCGCGTGGATGTTCGAGACAGTACATCTGTGAATAGCTGGATCAGCCACACCGTTGAACAATTAGGTCGGCTTGATGGTGCTGTCAATTTCGCTGGGGTCGCAAGAATAGCAAACGTAATTGATGAGACTGACGAAAGCTGGGCTTTCCAAATGGATGTGAATGCTAAGGGCGTCTTCTTCTGCATTAGAGCCCAATTGAAGCACATGAGGAAGGGAGGAAGTATTGTAAGTCACAAATCGCTCAAAGCGCCATCTTTATATCAACGGCAGTCAAAGCAAAAGGTTGCTTCACCGTCCCTCCGTAAATTCAGACTGACCAAATGTGAGTCTCAAAATAGGTCTCTGCGGCAAGTGTGAATGGCCAACTGGGATGGGAGGCTTTAGGATCATACTGTGCCAGTAAGCATGCTGTGATAGGCGTGAGCAGGAGCGCAGCAAAGGAGAATCCCGACATTCGAATCAATTGTGTCGCCCCAGGTCAGTCCGACGCTGCATTGCTCCGTTGAGCAGCCGTCCCTCGATACAAATGAGCTATAATGCTGATTTTTATAAACAGGTGTGGTCAACACTCCTATGATGGATGGAGTCCCTTTAGAGGAATCGACGGAGATAGCTCGCCAGGTGCAGAAGCGTGCGTGCAATCCCATGGAAGTCGCGAACGTCGTGGCGTTTCTTCTGAGTGATGAGGCCAGCTTCGTCACAGGTGCAGTTTGGAATGTAGATGGAGGTTATAACTGTTGAAAGCGTGAACTCTGCCAAACACTATGATTTATCTCTTTGAGTGAACAGCTTCGAAGTCATGCCAGGTATCATGGTCTAGAGATTTCATTCGGCGTTTAGTAACAACTTCGTGTCTTCAAGAGCGTCAGCTCTAGAGCTGTCGCTCTAGGCTGTAGCTCTAGGCTGTAGCTCAACATAGAAGATCGTTTAGCTAGCACTTATTCAGGCATTTTCAGTGAACAAATTCGATGCTTTTCGTCAAAGCCGCGGATATTTGCTTACCCGAAAACCATCATATCGTGGGAGAGTATGGCTCATTGTCACCCCCGTGGGGTACCAGCCACCCTAACTAGTTAGGTGAGTAGAGCGGGTCCTTGGGCGCCTCGGGCTCCCAATACCTATCCGTGTTGTCTTAGAGACTCTCAATCAGGTGCCTCCCAGCCTTCCATGGGTGCCATCCATCTCGATTCTCGAACCGTGTCTCATAAGAACCCCACGGCGCCTGGCTCAACCTTGCATGGCGCGCTATCCAGATTTTCGATGACGCTATTATCACTCAATCTCTATTTAGCCTCTGCGCCTCACAGGATTGCACATTTGCATCTCCCTTTTCAGGGGCGATAGCGAGTATGCTTTTCTTGCCTTACTTAACGAGTCTGCCGACATGAGTCTTGAAGGTGTATCTTGGTTTACACTGCTACTTGTGCTGACAACTGCACTTTTTCTTGGGGTGCTTGCGAAGGTTGTCTCGTCCGCCAGAGTTGATGATCGTGAACCTCCAGTTGTCCCATCTTCTGTACCCTTCGTCGGCCACGTCGTTGGTATACTTCGACATGGAGCAAGCTACTTCCGATATCTTGGGTAGGAGCTACATCTGAATGATGCTGTTTGTACACTCCGCTAACATGCCAGAATAGCGTTCGCTTCCCACATCCAATATTCGCTCTGCAGACACTGACATCCAAGACCTATGTGGTTATTGATCCCGGATTGGCAGCAAGCGTACAGCGAGCATCCAAAGCTCTATCGTTCAATCCTATAATCCCCGAAGTCACGCAACGTGTTTTAGGTCTAGACGATCAGACTAAAAAGATTGTAGCTACTAACATCGATCGAGATGGTCCGGTGCGCGGGTTTTATCCAGATGTGCAGGACACTATTTACTCCACCTTAACCCCAGGAGATGCGCTCGATGAATTGAACATGCGCGCCTACATCGAATTCTCGAGCATGCTAGACTCGTACGTCGAGAAGTCCCACTCTGGAGAGAGGGGCGAAGAACTCATGGCTTGGGTGCAACATATTGTCACGATTGCAACAGCAAAATTTCTCTATGGTCCCAAGAACCCCATCACGGCAGACTCAAGCCTTGAAAAGGCATTCTGGGATTTCGTACATGGTATTCCTCGTCTACTACTGAATCTGTTTCCTGCATATACCGCCCGCACTGCTTACAAAGGCCGAGAAGCCCTAGCAGCGGCATATATCCGTTACCTTGACCTTGGTTACGAGAAACTTGGTTCAACCATCACTCAGGAGCGTATTGCGGTTGGGAGAAAACATGGCTTTACTGTCCCGAATCTCGCACGGTCAGAGATTTCTTTTCTCTTCGCCGGAATCATCAATACCACGTTCGCCTCGTTTTGGATAATCCTGCACATTTTCGCTCGCCCTCAACTTTTACGAGAGGTCAGAGCAGAACTGGAAAGCAATGCATTGGCCAACTACAATGAAAGTCCGAATATCAGAAGTTTACAAATAAGCAAGGTCAACAAAGCATGCCCGTTGCTTTTAGCAGTTTTCCGCGAAACCTTGCGGCTCCACTCCGATGTCTTGTCATCTAGGGTCGTGACCACTGATACCATGCTGCAAGATAGATACTTCCTACGGAAAGGCTCTGTGCTGCAAATATCTGGTGGTATCATGCATGCTGACACAAGAATCTGGGGTGACAATGTTCACGAGTTTCACCCTGAGCGATTTCTCAACTCTTCAAGCGGCCATGTCTCCTCCGGGCTTAAGCATGAAGAGTCACGTTCTGAGAAACAAAGGTCAGTGCATCCTGCGGCGTTTCGAGCCTTCGGTGGAGGGGCTACTTTATGTCCGGGAAGACATTTTGCACAAGCTGAGATCTTAGGATTTGTGGCAATGGTCATATTAAGGTTCGACATCGACTCTGTCGAGGGCGGCGATTTGAAGGTGCCGGAGAAGAAAGTCGACGTATTGCCCATTCATATACTGGAGCCTAAGGAGAAGGTTCTTGTGAGTATGAGCGATCGAACTGATTGGAGTCAAGTTCAGTGGAGAATTGCACCCTAACAGGTTCGATCTTCGGCAATGTCACCCAATAACCCTCGCGTCATGGCAATCCAGACGACACATGGGAAGGAATCTTCGTGCATTTACGCGGCCTTCTCACTTTGTCGCACAAAAATCAAGGAGGCATTTGGGAAACAGGGCTAGAGCCACAACCGAGCAATTCAATATCATAAAGTTGTGCACGCGTAGCCGGTCCGGCAATGGCGGACACTCGGCGAAGGCTCAACGGACAGCCTTGATGACTAATTAAGCAACGAGTCCTGCCTTCTTAAATTGTCAGAAACAAGTCATGTAACAATGATCACCATCCCTCCATTCCCTGCCTTCGAGGCCCAAGGCCTCGGACGAGTCTTTCCACGATTGGTATAAATCCGCGCGGCCACAAGAAACTTGGTTTGTATCTGACATTTTTTCTTCTGATCATCTACGTATTATACCACATTTACGTAGCCTTGCTCATCCACTGTTCAAGACGATAAAGCAGATGTCACAATGCGTGGATGGGCATATCGAGCACGCGGCAAACCAGAATATGTTCTCAAGCTCGAGAGTGACCTGCCGCAACCGACAGCTGAGTCTTTAGGGCCGCATGAAGTCCTTGTCAAGGTAAAATATGCTGCGTTGTTCCAAGGCTCAGCGGCCATGATGACCTTCATGCCACATTTCAATAACAATCCCTGGATCGCAGAGAATAACTATTCTGGTACAATTGTTGCCACGGGCTCTGAAGTCGAACACGTTGCTGTCGACGATGATGTCTTCGGTGGCTTTGCCGCCGATGTATTGAGGAAATACGGGGGCGTTTTGGCCGAATATGTCACCCTCCCGGACCACGTTGTCGTACGAAGGCCGAACAATGTGACATTGAAAGACATAGCTGGCATGGGTGCTGGAGGAGTCACCGCGATGCAGTTTGCTGAGGCGGCAGGCTTGAAAAAGGATGACCGTGTTTTGATCACGGGAGCTTCAGGCGGAATGGGGACCTTGGTAATACAGGCAGCCAGGGCCGCTGTCGGAGACAATGGTCTGGTGGTTGGGACATGTTCGGCGGGTAATGAGCAGCTGGTGAAGGAGCTTGGTGTTCACCAGGTGAGTTTCAGCATTTGCTGATCAATGCAATCGATACTCACATCGGATGTCATGGTTCACAGATTGTCGATTACAAGAAACACAAGCATCTCCATAAATATCTCACAGAAAATTACAGTCTCGAACCATTCGATGCGATCATAGACATGGTTGGTGAAGACTACTCTATCCTTAAGAACTCATCTCCATATCTAAAGCCTGATGGGATTTTTATCTTTGGAGGCAACATGCCCCTCATCCATGGCGGTGGAACTGTTCTCGACATGATCGGATGGTTCATTAGAATCAAGATTGCCCAAACCATGCCACTGTTCCTGGGTGGCATGCCACGAAAGTGTGTGATGCATGCTGGACAGATCTCAAGAGATGCGCTGATGCGGCTTGCGGCGTTCATTGAGGATGGAAAGATGACACCGGTGGTGGACAGTCTTATTGAGATGGATCAGGTCCTACAGGTATGTGCTAATGGAAAATCATTACCTCCAGGCACCGTTCCAATGTCCGATGTTATATACTGACATTTATGCTAGGGATACGCAAGGCTTGCGACATCCCGAGCCCGAGGAAAACTCATTGTTCACGTACAAGACTGATGAGGGGTCTATCATATAGCTCTTAAACACCCTCGATGCAGCGCTATTGGCATCTTGGGTTTTTATCCGTCCCCATACCTCGTGGGCATCACCCCACAGGAAAGGGTGTGAGAAGGGAGACCATCGGCGCCGGTGCTGATGCTGTCTGTTTCAGCCACCTCTCAGACATGAACACTCCCTTTTGGAACAAGGCACAAGTGGTCAGGGGCTTAACTTGATGCATACCTAGTTATGGGTAGTTATTTAAAAGATATATGACTAGCGGATCTCGACCTCGCCGCTCTCACGCTTCGATATTTTAGTGTCCAGCGTTGTGTCCGCGACAATTCTCCTTTCAGAACGCTACTCGAATCCCGATCAAACTGTTAGCTGAACATCTGATTATATGATTGTATAGCCTACTTCATGCAATTCCAATAAGCTATCTCACCTTTTGTTTGTATGTGGGCGAGACTAATCCACGAGATGAGATACAGATGTGAAACATGACTCGCGGAATGCGGGATATCTCAAAGTCGCGAGTCACCCGCATCTCACTACTATTGCGTGCACCTCGACCCATTACCTTCCTCCATCCACACTACCACCTCGCTTCACGGGTCGCTGACAACAAACGGCCACAGCATGACGGCGGAGTACACGTCTCCTTCGCCCGATAAGTTGCCTCCATGAGTCTCAAGCCTCCGGCCACACATGGCGACGATGAATACGACTTTGAACTGACGATTCGATTCTCCGCATCGCTGCCTGACCTTCTCCTGTCCATCCCAGGCTCTCTACACGCCAACACTGCGACGCTGAAGCAGCTGATCCGATCACGCATTCCTGATGAATATGCCACGCGACGGATCCGGTTGATCTATGCCGGGAAAGCGCTCATCGACGGGGTTCCACTCGACATCTCCCTCAAACGCAATGTCAGTCGTCCGCCCAGCCGCATCGGCACGCCGGGCCCGTATGAGGAGTCCAGCGGCGCGGGTGGACGGAGTGGTGGCGGAAGAGACGCTGGACTCAGGGCAAAACTCCTCGGTGGGGAGACATCGGCCCCGTCACGGATCTACATACACTGCTCGATAGGAGACCTCGCGCTATCGAAGGAAGAGCTCGCTGAAGAAGTAGCTGCGGCGCAGAACGGCGCGGAAGGGGAGGAGAAGCAAGACGACACATCGTCCAGACAGAAGCAGCAGCAACAGCAGACGACTACGACGCCGGCGCCGAGAGGCTTCGACCGGCTCCAGAACGCAGGCTTCACCCCCACCGAGATCCAGTCGCTCCGTCTCCAATTCCTCGCCATTCAAGCGCACACGCACACGCCAGATACCATGCCGTCGCCTAACACCCTGCGCAATATGGAAGACCGGTGGCTTGACAATTCCACGGACGAGGGAGGCGTGTTGGGTGCCGGGGCTGCGCTAGACGGTTCTTCTGACGAAGAGGCTCAAGCGGGTAATTTGGATGACATGATTTGGGGCACGGTCATGGGATTCTTCTGGCCTATTGGGTGCTTGATGTGGGGGATTCGCGAGGAAGGGATCTGGAGTCAGCGGCGGAAGATGGCTATCGTGATTGGATTTATACTGAACATTGGACTTGGAGTCATTAGATATACGGGTTGAGGATGAATGGAGTTCATAGAGCGACTGCGGAATATGTCACAGGTGAGAGAGCGTGCGAACAGATCATCGCCTTGTAACGGCGGGCTACTGTGATCGCAAGTGAACCGCTGTATATAAGTGTAATCGGCTTTCAAATCCACAGCACAGCCCCCGAGAAGTCCTGTTCGATACACCCCTAGAGAGCCTCTTCCATAGAAGCCAGAAAACGCCCGCCAAAACGCCAACTCGATTCATAACGCTTTATCAAAAATCAATGGAACTTGCTATAAATGACGCCAATAATAAGCAGTACCAGAACCGTGATGATGGCGATGGTAATCAGCCGATTGGTAGCCATCCTACAAACCAGAAGAATCCGATCAGTATCAAAAGGACGGCATGGATTTGCAATAGAGGAAAGATCTCACCTACGGGCCATCCCCCTCAGAGTCTTGACACTGCGGTCCACATAGCCTTCACTCTGTAGCAGGTTCCGGTGGGTGTTCTCGATGACATTACGCTGTTGATGTAAGTCCGCCAGTGTGGATGCGCCAATTTGTTCTGTCTCGAGAGCTATACGCTGCGACTCCCTAAGTCGGTCGCCTGATCTTCCGAGGCGCTCGGTGCCAGACAGGAGTTGCTGGCGTTGCTCCAGCTGGAGATCTCGTGGACCGGCCTCGGGATCATCTGTGTAACGGTCGCCAAAGAGTTGTTGCCGGTCGGATGAGGCAGAGAAGGACTTCAACTTGCGGCTCAAGCCATCGATGTCGGATTGGTGGTTGCGAAACCGGGAGTTGATCTTGGAGCGTAATGAGGTGGGGATGTTGGACTTTTCGAGGGCCATTTGGTCGAGCTGGAGAAGGCAGGAACCATGGTCAGTAATTTGCCATAGGGAAAATATTGTAGCATGTCGAAAAAACACAGTGGGAAGTACCAATTCTTTTGCTTCATCGAGCGCTCTTTCAGCCCCTCGAATCGCAAGTTTGCGCTCCTCCCCTGCCAGCTCTGGGATTTGATCGAGCTTCTGGTTCACATCTGCCTCGACAAGTTTAAGCTCAGCCTCATATGTGCTGAAAAGTTCCGATCCCGCATCGGTATCTAGAGGGTTCGACATGGTTGGTAGACGATGAGGAGAGGAGGGATGTGCTCAGGAAATGGTGGCGCCTGGTTGAGTGCTTCGTGACGAAATGCTTGTCGCACGCCACGGAGAATAAACAGACTTCAATAGTTTAGGTGACGTGCTGGGTATGCAAGCGAAGTGTGGTGTGAATGGTGGGTGGCACTGTACAATTAAGTTGGATAACGAGGTTGTTGTCGTTCGAGTTCATGTACATTCAAGTAGTACTGTAGAGATCGCCCGCGGCTCACCTGCAGCCAGGCGCTCACCAACTTGGTCTCGCCCGCGTACTGTTGCTCCGCCCATATCACGTGTTATCTACGGGGACGATGCTTTTGGGTTCCACGTGATCATGCCAAGGATGCCTAGCTCCGTCAGCTTGGGGATCCGACGTTTTTCTACTTCGCCTCATTAATTTTCCAGGGGTCTGCAAAACACTCCGCCTGCTCAGTGTACTCCGTACTTCATCTAAGTAGTAATACGGAGAAGTATTGCCGACTACGAAGAGCCACAAAAAGAATTACTTTACCCCGTAAGCATGTCTTTGTTCCGCTACGAATAATCTTGGAGCCATGTCGGACAACAGCCTGGAAGCTACCAAGTAGTATCAAGTGTTATGACTTCCCAAAAGCAGCTCTGGAATCCAACAACTACCTGCATAGGTATCTCTCGAAGTACATGGAATCCCCCGCTTGTAAAATGAATACAAGCTGGAGTTCCGTGACGAAGAAAACGGACCACAGAGGGAACAAAACGGTGCGGATAACGTTTCCATTAAAATCGTCAGCCAACGAGATACCTTAGGTACCTATGGAAGTAGTTCCCTGCCTGTCATTACAAGTGATGTCACAATGCCATGCTGGGCATTTGGCTTCCAAGGTTCTCCCTATCTATGTGGACTACCCCTTGATCCCTTATCCTGATAGCCAGAATACTTGACGTCAACGCGATAAAACAACCTGAGCGCCAAGTTTGATTTCTTGAGGAGCATTTCCACACAATGTGTCTTCAAGTTTCTTGTCCTTCCTGTCCGTCCAATTGTCTGCTCAAGTGGCTTCAAACGTGCCGGGAGATTCAATGCGGGATGTCCCTCTGCTAGCGATGGTCAATCATCGACTCAGCAGGCTCATAACCGGCGGAGTCATTTCAGTGATACTACTTGCGTGGTGGACGACGAAACATCTCACATCACATCTTCAATCCTCCAATGATAATGCTGCACCTTTTCATGGAAGGAGTTTTAACGGAACGTGGGATTTTGAGAGGGATGCGGTGAATCTAATGCTAAACTCGGGGCAATGCGAAATGGCGTTTCCGGGTTTGTTTGAGGAGGTGGAACGGTCTGTGAAGAATAGGAGGGGTTCGCCCATCATTGTTTCAGAGCTTGACAAGATTCCCAAAAGAAATGGTTATGTTCGAGCGATGATCTTCAATCAACAGGTAGGCAGATATCTTCCATCGTGTCCTGAGCGTCTAACAGCCATGGAGTCAGAGTGATAACATGCCTAGCTTTATGTCATTGCAACGGAGGGTGGCATCTACTCTAGAGGACTTTCAACACTTCACGCACTTCATCGAGCTATCCTATCTTCGCCTGATCCTCTCCCAAATATTGAATTCGCCTTCAACACAGACGACCGCATTCCTTCTGTGCCGCTCTGGGGCTACGCCCGTCGCAGTGAAGATGCAGATATTTGGTTGATTCCTGACTTTGGCCATTGGTCATGGCCTGAGACACAAGTCGGTACTTTACACGAAGTCCAATTGAAAGCCGCCTTGATTGACCAAGCTCGGCCATGGTCGTCTAAAGTACCTAGCTTGTTCTGGCGGGGTGCCCTAATGGGGTTGGAACTGCGCGAGAAACTTCTTCAGGCTACTGCTGGTAAGCCCTGGGCGGACGTCAAGGCTTTGACGTGGAGAGACAAAGAATCCATGGCAAATGATCTCAAACCCATGCCTGAGCACTGCCAATATAAATACTTAGCTCACACTGAAGGCAATTCTTACTCCGGACGGCTCAAGTACCTTCAAAGCTGTAACTCAGTCGTCATTGCACACAAGATGGATTGGATACAGCATTATCATTCTCTGATGAAATCAAAAGGACCACAACAAAACTTCGTGGAAGTTCAACGCAATTATTCGGACCTGGAGACCAAAATCTCTTGGCTTGAAAACCATGGCGAGGCTGCTGAACGAATCGCTTCAAACAGTGTGATGTCTTTTCCAGAGCGATATTTGACTCCTGCTGCGGAGGTATGTTACTGGCGAAAGCTAATACATGGATGGTCCATGGTGAGTTTTAAACCCGAGTTCTATGATATTGTTGATGGCCAGAGTATTTGGAGGGGTTTGCCCGTCGAGTCGTACTTGCTGGAGCGAAGGCTGAAGTGGGATCCTTATTGAGCCTAACAAAATGATGTTGCTGAGGACCTTTGGGGGATGACTTGGTAAAACGCTAACTAAAACGGTCAAAATACGGCTAAGTGTTGCTAGGACAAATACAAAGTATCTTAGGCACCTTAAATTGATATTTATCATTTAATCCTGCACATTGGCTCGCTAATCTTTGTGATCGTTCGTGTCTCAATCTGCTGAAACCCAAATGCACGTACAAAGTATGTGCAAACAGGCCGAGGCCTCGGGCATAGACGCTTCTTCCTGTCGTTACGCCTACAAAGAGAAATTCGCCCTAAGGTTGTTCCAACCATTGTGATGCTAAGTCGATGTTCTGCCAATTATTCAAAGTCTTTGCGAAGAGTGTGAAACACAAGTCGGAGGCTAAGTTAGGGATATAGTTACGAGTAGACCTTTTCCCTGACGCCACCGCATGACTTGTTACAGGTATTCTTAGACCACATGTTCGCGCTTAACGGCCTCCCCTGAGGCGCTTCCTCCAATCCACGATGTTGGCGAGATATAACAGCATCCATTCCCACCAACCCCGCTCTCGTCTCCTCTTCTAACTAACTAATCTTTTGGAGGAATGAACGAGTCGGGAATCCAATGCTCAATCGACCTGATCAGGACCAGCCTGGTCTAGAAGTGAACCCCCGTCATGATGGCCTGTACCCAGTCTACCCAACCATAAACGACAAAGTCGAAGACGTTGAGAGTGACACCGAGACGTCAAAGGCTAGTGACGTCACACGGAAGCCATTGCACAATCCTTGGAACCTCCGACCATTATGGTTTGGCATACTCATAGCAATCGTGACCACAATTGCAGTCGGAGCCATCATTGGGGGAGCTGTTGGGGCAGCAGTAGCACATTCTAAAGGATCCTCTGGGTATGGCAGCAGTCCATCCTTCCTGGTCGCATTAACTAACGACGGGTCGACGACAGCACACAAGATAGCACCATACTCCCCGAGCCCGCTAACACAGCGACGGGAACAATTACATCAGCTTCACGCTCTTCAAGCACAGCGAATGCAGCACCTACAACAGCCGAAGCCAAAAACTATGTACCGCTTGCTCCTTCCGCTGTTACACTCTTGCAGCACTCTTGTCCCACGGAGAACTACGTCTACGAAATAAACGATAACCCACTGCCTCCACAGACTTTTAATTGGGCATGTGAGACTGCATACCTCGGGAACAACAGAGGCGATGTGGGGATTACTTTGATGCAGCTCTCGGCCTACACCCCCGAGATGTGCGTGGAAGCCTGTGGCGGGTTGAATGTCTGGCGGAAAGAATTCATTTGCTCTGCTGTCACATTCCAAGCATCAATGTCCTCCGAATATAACGTCGGGAGAGGGAACTGCTGGTTATTCAATGGGACAAGTTCAACCTGGGATGACCCTGGGGCAAAAACTTGTATAAGCGCTTATTTGTAAGGTTCGCAGGTCCTGTAAAACAGAGTAGGAGAGGTGACGGGATTATGTAAATTATCTTCGAGCTCGTTTTACGTCGAATGGTTAGGGAGTCTTTGTCTTTGCCTTTGAACGAAGAGTTGGGCGTAATAAGACGGCGTGACTACTTACCTAGGTAGTAATGCGTGGCATCCTATAAAAAGACTAGATGAGTGGTGAGGCTTCATGATCGCAGTCAGATTCACATTGCATAGTGCTTGAATGACTTGGTCGGTCAAGCTCGAGGCCAAGTAAGCGCCTGGCTTCTGCCAGGAACTTATACTTCAGTGGCTCTGGTCGTCACAATCTGGCACAACCTGTGCGTTGTGGCACTGCATGAGTATTCCACGATCGATACTCCGTAGCTTTAATATTTGCAGGTCATAGTATCCTAACGCAAGCCACCGCAGGACACCGCATTGGTAGAAACCGAAGTGCAACAAATTACTTGTCCCAAGGCCATGTCCTCAAGAAAAGGTTTCTTATAGCGTGAATGCAGAAAAAGTAAAGAAGGTGGCTTTCTTCCGCCACGCTTACCATTGTCCATCTTAGTACAGCAACGTTCGCCAAGCAGGGTCGATCAATTCCACAGCTGACAGGGAATTGTTGTTAGGAAGTTTGATGGACTGGCCTGTTCTGCTACTGGCATGTAGCGGCGCATGGTTTTGGGGTTTAGGTGGGTTTGGCGGGAACGTCCTGAGCATCCGCCACCAAACAGGCATCACTAAAACCATTTCTCCTGCTCCGTACCGTATGCCGGTTCTTCTTCCAACCTTCCAGAATCCCAGGCACCAGCCTTTTCAGTCAATTGTTCTCAATCTCCTCTCTTTCACAGCTCCAAGAGCTGATGATGCAATTATAGAAGCCGGAGACCCTGGCATCGACCAACTGAACGGCAAGAAACACACGTGCCTGGTTTGCATCCAAACCCACTCAGCCCTGTTGATCGACCATTTCGTAGAAGACAACTGGGCCGCTTCTCTTGGTTGAAATCCGCCTTGTGCCGCTAAGCTCCCCAGGCGAATTCGATCCCCTGCACCAATGCAGGGAGAATTCACGTATTCGGAGTGATGTTCTTGGAAGATCGTTTCCGGTGTCAACGTTTCTTAAATTTATATATACCTACTGCTATCACTAATATACTGAAAGCTTCTAACAACGACAACGAAGTCAGGTCTTGATCACCAGATCGCATACGAAATACCAGGATAGAACAAGTAATTCAGTCTCAATCATCCAGAGAGCAACACCGAATCCATCCAATAAAATGGGGCTCACCAAGACCGAGAATGCGCCAGGGCTGTCCTTTGAGATAGATCATCCTCAAAGCCATTACTCACCAGGTGACAGTATCAGTGGCCGAGTGATCCTCCATACCGCTGAAGACAGTGCAATTGGCAAGATTGCTGTCAATTTCTGGGGTCGAACCAAGTCAAGAATCGTTCAACAACACGGACAAGCTGTCACCTATCATCGCGGGCGTGTACAGCTGTTCAATCAGGAGAAGATCGTCTACGAGTCGCAGTATACTCAGAAGCCAGGCTCTTTCACCTTCCCATTCGACTTTATTGTGCCACATCAGGCAGACCCTTCGACGATCTTGGCCTCGGAAAAATGGAAAACAAAGGAGCATTTCCCCGGAACAAACGACGAGAACAACCTCGATTTAACGCTTCCTGCATCCAATCATCATAGTAGAATTATGTTTGGTCGCCAAGCAGAGTGTTTTGTTGAATATGTTCTTACTGCGACCGTCACCGAGCCAGAAGGCGTCCATCACATCCGCAAAGCTCAATCCAAAACCTCAACCTTGCCAATTATATTTCATCCTCTTTCAACACCAGAGCCAATTCAGGACTGGCATCATGTCACAGATAGCCGTCACATCACAATTTCAACGCTGAAACTCTTGCCGGAACATGCCGGAACATCCTTAGGTCTACGCGATCGCGCACGGTCGCTTTTCCAGCGCGACTCAATTCCCAAGTTCTCTTTCAATATTCAGGTTCAGGCGCCATCTATCATCCAACTATTACACCCAACCCCCGTTCCATTCCTTGTCACCTTAACAACTGATCCTTCTCCGCAAAACACAACTATTGATACATCACAAGGTCTCCCACTAGTCGTCCTTCGCAGTGCAACTATCGAGTTGAAAACTCACGTGCGGTGTCGTGCGCCAGGAACATTCTCAGACCGGAAATCCTATGAAATCCCGATACTCTCCAACAAACCTATCAATCAAAGGCTGTCGTTTTCTGACAAGTCAATCGAGATGGCCTCCTCGGCAAGCGATGCAATTCTTGATCTTGGACAACTATGTGACTTGAGACTAGGGAATGCTCAACTTGGCTCGAAGATAGAGACACCACTCTGTCCAAGCTACAGTACTTTTAATGTGGCCCGAGAATACCAACTTATCTGGGAGTTGGAAATTGAATGTGCCGAGAAGATTGAAAAGTTTACTTCTCAGAAAAATGGTCCGCTGTGCCAAGTCATCATGCCAGCGGCCACCACCCAGGTCACGATTCCGATCAACAGCGACGCAGAGATGCTGGGTGCTGAACTGATACAAGCACAATCATCAGGCTCGAGTGCCTTCTGGACGCGAACGCGAACTTCAGGAGAGTCAGGCCCTCCTGGGGTTGCAAGAGGCGAGAAAGAGAAAGCAGGCTTCACTCCAGCTAGCACAGCTCTAGCATCGGACAAGAAGCGAGCGTTGAAAGGCAAGACCAAAGAGCAAGAAGCTGCTGAAGACCGTCAACGTGCTGAAGCAGAGACACATGGATTTCGCAATCCTTATGAGAATCCATTTGAGAGTGATGTCGATGCTGCTCTCGGTCTTGACAGCACCACATCCCGACCAGATTATGACAAACCACCAGCGCCTACGGTCTCTGGTGTCGAGTCCAACGGCCCCAATGATGGTAACCAACTTCCGAAATATGTCCCATGACGGTCTGGCATCTTCTGACAGGTTTGATACTTTATTTTCTCCACTCGTTCTCGGGCGTTTTGCACTCTGGGAATACCTCTTATGTACATGATACCATAGCATCTTTGGCGACGAAATTTGTAATTCTTCTCAAATCTCATGCATGCTCCCTCACTTTCAGGCTGGTCGATACCCCTCGTGACATCCTGCCAAGGATCACGTGCTGTCCGTGAGACGTGCCTTTCATCGCGTTCAAAAGATCTTGGCCTCTTTACTGTCATCTCCTCGACCTTGTGAAGTCTTCTACTAGGCCATCAACCCAGGGATTCAGTTAAGTCTTGAGATCTCAAACTATAGCTACAATGTAGAGCAATCTGAGATGGTGTGTCGCGTTCAATATTGATATCGATAACCTCGATTGGCTACTAACGGCTCTACAAGATGGCCAATATTTCTGCTTTCACGGGCAAGTTTCGCGCCTCAAAGGGCGTTGTTTACGAATCACCCGCCAAAGTAATCAAGAGGCCGCGCGACTCACTTGTCTGCAACCAATGCAAGAAATCTAAACTTCGGTGCGATCGAGGTCACCCATGCAGTAGCTGTGTCAGGCGAGATGAAGCAGCTCGGTGTAGCTATCATCGAAGCTCGACCTCCGCAACCGAAAACACTCGGCAGACAGTAGCAGAAGAGAAGCTTGTACATCTTGAATCTATCGTCAAGGAGTTGATGCAGACCCAGCCAGGCGCACATCGACTGCACGCTGAGTCTATTGCCAAGCCCATTACGCCACCAGCAGTCCTCCAGGATATTGTACAGACTGAGAGTCAGACGCAGATCGAGAGCTATGAGTATGTCGGTTCCACTCACTGGTCTGCCATTCTTGACGATATCCAAGAGTTAAAGGCAGTCCTGGGCAAAAGCCTTGACCAACAAGAGTCCGAGGAACATGCGGTGATTGAAACACGCGCCCTCGGTAGTGAGGTGATTTTTGGATCGCCAAATCATTTCTCCCTACAACAGATCACTTCTCAATACCTGCCTCCCAAAATCGAGGTCGATCGACTGCTGTCAGTCTATTTCCAAGGGAAGACATTCATTGCGCCTTTTGTTCACGCATACCAATTCCAGCGTCAGTATCAAGAATTCTGGGCCGACACTTCAAAGGCTCATCCGCTTTGGCTTTCTATCCTGTTTTCAATCTGCTACACTGCTTCCATTGTCAGAGAACGCGTACGCTCGTTCCATGCTTCACAAAACGAGTCGAGTATTGGCGACCATGCTTTACATATTGCTGCAGGACAATGTCTAGTCCTAGGTGAGTATCACCGGCCCCAGCAACTTGGGTTGGAAGCTCTGGGCATGTACGCGAACAGCAAGAACCTCAGGACACTTGATCCTTGCCGGGAAGCTGGCGCGATGCTCGGCATGGTAGTCAAGATGGCTTATGAAATGGGTTATCATCGAGACCCGGATTCATTTGGAACATTTACCGTCTTTGAAGGTGAGATGCGCAGGAGGCTATGGGCTTCATGCGTTCAGATGGATTTGATGATGTCCTTCATGCTTGGCCTGCCAAGTAATATCCGTCTCGAAAACAGCGACACCAAACCTCCGAGAAATCTGCTAGACTCGGATTTTGACGTCGATACAAAAGTTTTACCAAAGTCTCGATCCGAGCATGAGCCAACACGAATATTGTGGTTCATCGTCAAGGTCCGACAAATGCACAATTTCAGCAAAGCAAGCATGGATGCATTGTCATTTACGGAGAAATCTGAAGCTGAGATTCTTGCCCTCGATCAGGATATTCGACAGATGTACACAACCATACCTGACATTCTAAGAACTCGCCCTCTAGCGGAGTCACTTGCTGATGAACCTTTCCTCATCATGACACGGGTCTACGTTGAGTTTATCTACCTCAAAAGTATCTGTGTTCTTCACCGCAGATACATGGTCAGGGGTGATGCTTTCAGCACTCAATGTTGCATCGAAGCCGGAATGAGAATCGTCACCAAGTTCATCGAAATGTATAGAGAATTCTCACCTGGAGGCCAGTTGTGTACCGAGAGGTGGATGTTGAGCAATTTCACGATCAATGATGTCCTTCTGGGGGTCATGGTACTTTGCCTAGTCCTGCATCAACGTCGACAGAACACATCTCCTACTCTGAACCCTCGACCGGGGACGAATGCGAATTCGGCATACCGGATCAACTTTGATGAGGGGAGTGAGTGCGACATTCCCTCGTTGCTGGAGAGAGTTCATGCAATCCTGGTTGAGAAGTCGCAAGCCAGTAGAGACGTGCGGCGAGTTTCACATGCAGTGCGACTGACGCTCAGGGGTGCTTCTGGCGCCGAGAGGTCTTCTTCAATGTTGCCATTCAATCGCCACAAAAAGACGCACCCTTATTATCTCCAACCACAACCGTCAGACCGACAAGTGACGCCGGCCCACGATTTGCCGCTGGAGACGGTGGTGGAAAGTGTGGATCGTTTCTCGCTGGCCTCCACAGCTCTCGAAGGACCACAATCAGAGATCCCGGCCACGACAGAGCAAAATAGCTACTCTGCAACGTCATTTGATTTCGGACTTCTCGATCCCTTCAACTTCATGGCAGATGCTGACAATATCGATTGGAGCGACTTTGAGCTTTTTGACCAGACTTTTGCGCCGGATGCGATGCCGCTCTACACGCCGCCCTAACGATGGGCTATGAAAAATCACAATCTAGGTAGGTAGGGGAAAGCATTGAACCCGCGATACTGAGATCGAATTGATCGGAGAGGTCGACATTCTCGTTACTATCATGATACATGGTTCTCAAAGTTCTGGTCATATACAAAGGCCTTCGAAATTGTGTTGAGCAATCTTCCACACTTGCCTCCATATTGGTCGCGGTCATGCAGAGACTGGGATCTCTTTCAGGCTTGCTGGCTCAATATAATCCTTATAGCCGTTTACCTTGAGTCTCAGTTTTCTGGACTCGGCATAAACCACTCTCCTCAACCGATTGGTGCTACCCAAGGGCTGATGCTCCTTGAGACCGTGCCACGAATTGACAGTAATTCGGTCATCCCACCAGACTCTGAACTCGGGGATCCACGAATCTTGTGGTTCGAATTCAATCGTCGCGATCTGCTCGAATGGATACTTCGTCTCATCCCACTCCACACCAATGTCGTCCACGGGCTGCTCCTCGAGATTCTGGAGTAGCTGAGCACAGAATGAGTAGGTCACCTTGTTCTTCATGTGGAAGTCACGATTGTGCTGAGAAATCACATTGATCGGGTCGTCATCCTTGATGAAGGTCTTCTCAAGCTTCTTTTGCTCCTCGCCGAGTGGGAAAACACCGAATTTGGCCACATAGTCGCCGAAGCGGTATGCGGATTGCGAATACTCGGGCATGGCAACCACTGTGAAGCTGTCAGCATCCCTGGTTGAGAAATTGAGAAGAAAGACAGGGCAGTCTTACTATGCTGTCTAGGTAGCTGACTACCATATGTAGCCACGTCAGCATCCACACGTTTGCTCTGCTCCTCTGCAAACTTGGGAATATCGTTCCAGTTCTTCTCCAGCGAGTCGGCGATCTCATACGTGGTCTTTGGGTCTCTCAGCTCAAGAATGGGATAGTTGTTGAATGTCCAGTCCTGTGTCTTCTTGTCCTCTCCCCAAATCTTTTCGCCCTCGACACCGAAGATTTTCATCCCGATGCCGCGGGGAGCAGGCACGTTGTCCGGTACGAGCTTAGGCGTGAGCGACGAGTATCGCATGATAACGTCGTAGGAACCTGGTTTGGCGAACATTCCTTGTGCAAGGTGGGGTGGTAGGTCTTTTGCGACGTTGAATTTGCCAATAACACACTATTCAGGTTAGAGGCGATATTTTACTTGGGAGGCAGATGACTGGATTTTCATACTCCTTGTGTCTTCAAATGTGTTCCTCTCAGGCAATGGTGGTGTTCGTTGAAATTCATCATCTGAAAGCGGTTGAACTGATCTGACACTTCCTTGATCTTCTGTTCCTCTCCAGGTTGTTTGACCTCGACACCTTCTGCATCCCTACAATGAGAAGAATACTGTCAGCCTCGTCATCATCAGAAAAGGGTTGTCATGAACCTACCATCTGATATAGTCTCCAGGCGCAGGCTTTCCTACGCCATTAGCCCTCACTGTACCATTGGCCTTCTCGCCAGTGTGGACATTATGTTGGACTGGGCACGACATGATTTCAAGGGAAACTGTTCACGGGTGTGAATGAAATACTTGATTGTCGAAAATCTACTATGCCATTACGGAGCGATGAGCTGGGATTGGAAGGAAGATATAAGAAGCCCGTCAGCATACCTGATAGTCTTCCACACGGTCCAATGGAGGTTTCACGACGACGAAAGTTCAAATACGTCACTGATATCACAGTTCAGGACCACTCTTACCAGCTCAAATACCCCCAAAAAGGCATTTGTGGAGCGAGACGTTATCTAGGCCCAGGCTTAGCCCTACCCGAATCCAACCCCGAGATCTGATCTTTCGAGATTTAGACAGGGGTCTAGCTGCTGGCATTTGCCTAAGATTCTAACCGTTGTCAGACAGCTAGCTTGATAGTTGTGAATTACTCATCTGTGGTGGCAGAAATCTGTGGGCATCGCTCCTGCTGTTTATCACACTGCTGAGCAATCCTTCTGGGCACTCCTCTAAGCACTAGGTAAAGAGAGACATCTAGTGGAAGTGGTCAGAGGGTAGGAAGACTTTCGCAAATCCCTCTCTGTGCAAGTAAGAACGCTGACGCAGAAGTACTGCCCCGTCGAGCTCCCAATCAGTCTGACAATCCTTCTCCAGGGTTTTAAAGCGAGGGGCAATTGCAACGCCACGGTTAAGGGTGGCCCGGGCGATCGACCTCGATATTGCGGGGTTGGAACCAGCCAAAACGCTAAGAAAATGGGAACTTGTTCGGATTTTCGACACCGTGGGGCATTTAGACTTCTTGTTGATTTGGAATGTCCAAGCACACATTGGTTCTGAGTACGAAGTTATACAGTTCAAGCTCAAGCGACAACATCCGTCTCTCGGAACACTGGTGGATGACAGGTAGCTCATCGCTCCTTCCTCGGTGAAATGTTTTTCTTCTTCAACGGCACGTTCACTGCACCTTCCTTGCATTACTACCACCATCACATGACCCACGAACATAGTAAGCGCGTGCCTGCTCGTGCCTCTTCTCCCCAATAATGCTCCAATGCCCAGAGGAGTCCTACTCTCTCTTATGTCTGTCTGCTCATTGAGCAATATCAGCCACTTTATTTCTGCTCACATGTGCACCGACAGCGACCATTCTGTGTTATCGTTGGCTAACAATTTGCTCGCTCTTGATTGTGCGAGGGACTTTGATCTCAAGGGCAACCCCCATGAGTAACAACATGTCTTATCCTGGCCGTGGCTGGTGGACGCGCCCAGTCTATACCAAAAACACCTTAGCGTGATAGCCTCACGAGTCTGCCTTCACCACACCTCAACGTCCCTCGCAACTGAGCTGGGACCTGCTGTCAACTCACGTCTGTGATCTTTTCCATTCAACAGTTTGCCATCATATTTGAGGGTCAAACTCATTCTCGTCCCTGGCATATGTATTTGCCAATGCAAGATGGCAACCCAGTCAGCATACAAGGCTGAAGATTACACCGTCGGGTGGATCTGTGCCTTGCCAGTCGAACTTGCTGCATCAGCTGAACTTCTTGACAAGGAACATCCTCCACTTCCCCAAGACACAAAGGACTCTAATTCTTATACTTTTGGGAATATTGGTGAGCATAATGTTGTCATTGGATGTCTTCCGTTTGGACAAATGGGGTTGGTGTCCGCAGCAAATATCGCCACCCAGATGAAATCCCGGTTCAAGTCTATTAGATTTGGTCTCATGGTCGGTATCGGCGGCGGAGTACCCAGCGAAATCTCAGATATCAGGCTGGGGGACGTTGTGGTCAGTCTCCCAAACGGCCAGAGTGGAGGTGTTGTCCAATACGACCTTGGGAAGACGCTGACAGGAGGACAAAACATACGGACGGGTTCGTTGAATGCACCTCCCCAAATTCTCTTGACGGCGCTGGCCGCCGTCGAAGCTGCCAGGATGAGAGGAAAGTTTGACATAGAGACATCTCTTTCGTCACTTGGAGAGCGATTGCCGAAATTTGCACACCCTCGAACGTTGAAGGATCATTTGTACAAGTCGGAGTATGCTCATCTCCGAGGCGCGACGTGTGCAAACTGCCACGAGGATCAATTAGAAGAGCGCGATGACCGAGAAACTGACGATGTTATAATCCATTATGGCACGATTGCTTCTGGAAATCAAGTGATGAAGGACGGAATTGAGAGAGATCGGCTCAGCGATGAGCTAGGTGGAGTACTCTGCTTCGAAATGGAGGCTGCAGGACTAATGAATAACTTTCCATGCTTGGTCATCCGAGGTATTTGTGACTATGCAGATTCACACAAGAACAAGGGATGGCAGCCTTATGCCGCTGCAACTGCAGCCGCATTCGGAAAAGGACTACTGGGGCTCATACCGGCGGCTGAAGTTGTGTTGGCACCGACGTTAGACAAGACTATGGAGCATCTAACAGCAATGTTCGCTGACAGCAGAGATTTATCTCAGAGGATTGAGGAGAGAATATCGAGTACGTACCTACATGACACCTTGTTTAATTTCTTCTCACGATTTGATAGCGGCCGAAGGGGACAAGGCACTTGAGTGGTTATCGAATACAACCTTTTCAAAGCCACAAAACACAGCTCGCGACACTTGGACACCAGGCACAGGCCAATGGCTACTTGAATTGAAGGAATACACAGATTGGAGAAATTTCCGTCCAGGACTATTATGGATCTATGGGGCTGGTAGGTTGGGAACACAAATTTGGGTGTATCTTGACTAACCATTCCAAGCTGGGAGTGGAAAAACAGTCTTATGGTGAGAGCAGAAGCCAGGAATGTCATACTGGAAAGAAGAAGGTCTAACATATTCAACAGCTCAACTGTGATTGATGATATTCAGCAGAAGAAGAAGAAGATGGAAGAGCGACAGCAACAGCCACAATTGGCTTACTGGTACTTTCAATTCAGCAATGACGCCACGCAGAAGGTCAGAAATCTGTTGAGATCTTTTATTCGACAGCTGAGCACGGTCTCGCCGTCTGATGGGGTCACCAGTTTATGGCAAGACCACAATAGGACCGGTAGCGAGCCAGGAAACGAGGAGCTCGTCGGGGTTCTTGGCAAAATCATCGAGAGCCACAAGAGCGGAGTCTACCTTATCATGGATGCGCTAGATGAATGTCCTCAAACCCCTGATCAGCCAGAGAGAGCGAGAATGCTTTCCATGCTACGCAGTTTATCCACGGCACATCCTAATCTCCATATCCTCGTCATGAGTCGGCCGGAGCTTGACATTCACTCCGCGTTATCGCAATATCCCTCGATAGATTTGGAGATGTCTGTTGCAGGCGATGTCAAGCGCTTCGTGCAGAGTTCTCTCCATTCCGGAGACTTGAATGTGTGGGGTACCGAACTCAAGCAAGAAATCGAGGATCGACTTTCATCATTTGAAACGAAGTATAAGATTTTCGCGGACCACTTGAAAATGTTTGACTGACTTCTAGACAGGCGATTTCGTTGGGCAGACTTGCAAATTCGAAGGCTCCAATCTTGCTATACGAAAACTCAGATACAAGAAGCTCTACGTACGATTCCCGAAAGTCTGGAAGCAGCCTATGAAGAAACTCTCAACAGCATTCCGAGGAAAGACGCGAAAGTCGCACGCCTAATACTCATGTGGCTCTCGTCTTCATTTCGGCCTATGACAATCAACGAAATTGCTGCAGCCGTTGAGCTTCCCCATCCAGAATTTGTGCTGAAGATTTGCACAAGCATGCTGGTGACACTCATACACGAGCAAACAGATACATTCATCAAGCTCGCCCACTTTTCGGTCAAAGAATACTTGGTCGCGCAATGGGGAGATGAAATCCACGAAGAAAGCCCCGGCTATCGTTTCTCGAGTGAATTAGCTCACGCTACAATTGGTACCGCGACTGTCTCTTATATTCTCGGCACAAATGGCGCTGATGTCTCTGGCCTTACTCTAATTGAGATGCCCCTGCTCTCGTATTCGGCAGACTATTGGTTTCCGCATGTGGCCGCCGTTGGCGAGCGAATTGACAATTTTCCTCAGCTGAAATCACAACTTGCAAAATTCTTCAGTCCGGAGTACTACAAAAGTTATGTCAATTGGCACGAGATATTTGATTGGGATGAGAATGAGCATGGGGAAATACCACATGCTTCTGGCCGTGCGGTACCCGCAAGATGCCCTTTATATTGTGCATCGCTGTTTGGATTCGATCACATTGTGGAGATTCTTCTCGGAGAGGACGAAGCCATTTCATCAGGAGCGGGAGTTCTTGAGGATGCATTGATCGGGGCGGCAATCAATGGACATTCACAGGTTGTTCAACGCCTCCTGTTGGATAAGCGCTGTTGGTTGGGGCAAGATCACATGAGAAGAATCTTGAGAGGGGTTAACACAAATACGCATGCTATTATCAAGGTATTGTGGGAGGCTGGACTTTTCGGTCCCGTCGCGGGACGAGCAAGATGGGATGGCTTTAACCCTTCGATAAGCGACTGGGCTCTCGAAACAGCTGCTGGTAGCTGGAAGAACGGGTTCGAAGTTACGAAAGCGCTGCTCGACCAGATGCGACCTTCCAGTGGTGCCCACCCCAGTCACGACGTGGTTTTGGCAGCAGTAAGGAACGGCCTGAGCGGCTGCGAGGTAACCAAACTTTTTCTGGACCGATACGGAAAACATCTGGACATAACCGACCAAGTTGTTCAGGCGGCAGCGGGCAACGGCATGAATGGAGTAGAGGTAATGACATTGCTGCTAGATCAGAGGCTAGAAGACATCCACATCACGAAGGAAGTGGTGAAAGAAGCCGCCAAAAACACCAAGAGTGGTAAGAGGATTTTGTCTTTGCTACTTGAGCGATTGCAAGACCCTGCCGCTCAAGATCGTGAAGGTGTTTTGGAAGTCCTTGTTGAGCACTTTGATGATGACTTGACACAACTTTTTCTCGACCGTAGCGCAAGAGTCCAGATCACAGCAAAATTATTCACAGCCGCAGCTAAGAACTTCAAGCACCATTCGGAAATCATGAAAATCCTTATCGGACGTCAAACAGGGCACGATCAGGATCTGGAGGACATGATAGGAGCACACGGCAAAAGGATGTCCGAAAGATCAGCAGCCAAAGGAGCGGCATCCACCCGTTATGGAAAGCTGGTGATCAAGGTGACCGCTACACGTCGGCTTCGAAAGACAAACGATATATATCTTGTCATTGTCTTCCAGCGCAATGAGTTCATTTCGAAGGCTCTTTCAATGAAGGACCGAGATCTTGACGAGGATATACTTGTACCAGTTCCCATTCGACGGTCTTACTCCGAGGCTGCCCGACGCCGACAAGGTAGCGTTGTCAGTATCGCGGATCAGGAAGAGTCCGATGTCGAGGAGTTTCAGTCTTCCGAGCCAGTCACTCAGGATGTGTCCGCAACTTTGTGAGTCCCGCAAACCTTGAGAGCCTTTCGTCTGATCAGACTAACGACGTTTAGTGATGTAGTTGACTCGGACTCACGAGTCAACATAACAGCATATGGACGGGAGAACGGAAAAGAAACTTTCCTAGGTCATAACGAGCTTGAGGTCCGCCTGACGGCTACTGATAGCCATCGCATCAGCTGGCTTCCCTTGAAAGGGAGGAACGAGATCGAAAGTGATGCATGGGGAGAAGTCGAAGTGGATGCTCATTTCCAACAAGCAGAGATGAAATCTTGCAGTGCTACCGACTTTCAGATCCTCAAGCTCATTGGCAAAGGCACTTGGGGCCAGGTGTATCAAGTCCGAAAGAAGGATACACAGCGGATATACGCTATGAAGGTCATCTCCAAAAAGGTGATAGTGAGGAAGAAGGGAGTGGCTTCTATCATCGGACAGCGAAATGTTTTGGTGCGAGCAGCAACTACTAACTCCCCCTTTATTGCGAGTTTGAAATTTGCTTTCCAAACTCCGAGTGATCTATACTTAGTCACCGACTATTTGGCAGGGGGGGAACTGTTCTGGCATCTGCAGAAGGAGGGACGATTCAAGGAAGAGCGAGCCAGATTCTACGTTGCTGAGGTCATCCTCGCGCTACAGCATCTCCATTCGTACGGAATCATATATCGAGACTTGAAGCCGGAGAATATCCTCCTTGACGCAATCGGGCACGTTGTCTTGGTGGATTTTAGCTTGTCGAAATTGAGCTTAAAAGCCGACACTGATGATCATTTTTGTGGTACAACTGAATATCTTGCTCCCGAAGTCATCCTTGACGAGGCGGGATATACCAGGATGGCAGACTTCTGGTCACTTGGAGTCCTCATGTTCGAAATGTGTTGCGGCTGGAGCCCGTTTTACGCTGAAGACACACAGCAAATGTACAGAAATATTGCCTTTGGGAAGATCCGGTTTCCTCGAGATGCCTTATCGTCAGATGGAAGAGCGTTTGTCAAAGGCCTTATAAACCGAAATCCCAAGCATCGACTCGGGGCCACAGACGACGCAGAAGAACTGAAAAGGCATGCATTCTTTTCGGGCTTTGACTGGGATGCACTAGAGACAAAGCGAATACCTCCACCATTCAAACCGCAGGTCATGACCTCCGCGATTACGGTGGATAATTTCGACCCCGACTTCACCAACGCATTGAATAATACCTCGTCAAGCCTGAATGCCAGAGCAGCTGCACTGGCAGGTGGATGGCTGGGCGGACTGGGTGCCTCCACGCCATTGTCACCGAGCATGCAAGCTGCTTTCAAGGGCTTTACATTTGTGGATGAAAGCTTGCGAGGTGGCGGGTTCCGCGGCTTCACTTTTGTCGACGACTCGGCCTTGCAGTCGACCATGGGTGGCTTCGATCAGGATACCTTGACTCACCATGGCGGCGATCGTGTGCATGACGATTCACGTGAACTCGATAAAGATGAAGACTGGGAGGATATCAAGGATATCAATGAATGAGATTGTGAATGGTTTGTTTAGGAGGACGTCAGTTTTGAGCGATCATGACCACCTCATGGTGACTAGTTAGTTTACCACAGGTTTCTTGCTTGATCATGTTGTGAGCAAACACCATACACGACGATAACAGGCAGCCGAAAAGTCCAAGAGTGTCTTTACACGAGATAAGGCATTGATTGTCATATACTCTGGAAATAGTTTTTCAAAAACGCTATATGCTTTTTACATGGGACGGGTATGCAAAGACAAATTGATGCCACCAGTTGAGCCAGCCATGCCTATACCTGTTCATTGACGAAAAGACCAGCCATACCCTGACCTGAACCGATCTGTAGAGACACGTAAGGTCAGCATCGAATGATAACAAGAGGGCTGAAAATCCGAGAAGGCCAAGAAACACGAGGGGGTATACATACACACATGGAGGTGACGAGGATCTTCTTCTTGGTCCGCCTGGCCTCGCTCAAGATGGTGCAGATCTGGCGGGCACCGGTGGCGCCGAGGGGATGGCCCAGGGCAATCGCACCACCGCGGGGGTTGACCTTTGCGTGGTCCAGACCCAGGACGTTGACGCAGTAGACGGCCATGGAGGCAAAGGCCTCGTTGATCTCGAAGATGTCGATGTCTTCCTTGGTCAGCTGGAATTTGCCGAGGAGCTTGGGGATCGCGGCCGAGGGGCCGATGCCCATGATTCGCGGGGGCACGCCGGCGACGGTCGCGCCGCAGAATTTGGCGAGGATCGGCTGGCCGAGTTCGATGGCTTTGGAGCGTTTCATGAGGAGCACGCCGGCGGCTGTTGGGGGGGTTATCTCCTGGTTAGTAGGGTGTTTTTATATTGGACGGAAAGGGTAGTCAAATCAAGGGATTCTTCTCACCTCCGTCGGTGACCTGACTGGCGTTTCCACCGGTCGTCTTGTCACCGAATTGTGGCATGGCAGGTCTGATCTTGAGTAGACTTTCGAGGGTTGTGCCATAACGTGGACCCTCATCCCTAGTCAAAGTGACGGTCTTCTCCTCGCCAGTCTTGGGATCCTTGACCTTTGTGGTGATGGGGACGATCTCATCGTCGAACCAGCCGGCCTTCTGCGCGACCTCGGCCCTTCGGAAACTCTCGACGGCATATTCGTCCTGCTGGCGGCGCGAGATGTTGAAGTCATTGCCGACGTTCTCGGAGGTCTGGATCATGGGCTGCTTGCAGTCGGCGGCTTCCTGGTTGGCCTCGACTTCGGGGGAGAAGCTAGTTCCACCGCCGGTGGCGTTGGACATGCTCTCGCCACCCAGTGCGATGCCGATGTCGATGCTGCCGGTGGTGATCTGTGAAGCGATATCTTGCACTGCTTTCAGGCCCGAGGAGCAGAATCGATTGACGCTGCTGGCGCCAGAGGTGTGTGGGAAGCCGGCGGCGAGCATGGCCGCGCGGACCTTGTAGGCGGCGCCGATGTCGCCGACATTGCCGAGGCAGATGTCCTCGACTAGTGAGGGGTCGATCTTGCTCTTCTCGACGAATTGCTTCAACAAGGCGTAGACGATGTAGTCGAGGTCCGTATCTTTGAAGCCGCCCTTCTTGCCCTTGGCCAAGGGTGTGCGGAGAGCGAGGGTGATGACGATGTCGTCGGGGTTCTTTTGAGTGCTGGACGGGGGAAAAAAGGAATGATGTTAGCTATTGCATTCATGTGAAGTATACGTGATCAGAGCTGTGATGATGAAGGGGGAGCTTACATGGCAGCGACACCTGTCTTGGTGGGGGAGAGATGGGAGATGATGGAACCGAGTCTTTGAGTGGCCATCTTGACGGTTTGTGTAGGGTTATTTGTGAGGGGCTAGATGGATTGGTTGGTGATGAGAGAAGTGGTAGAGGATAGTAGGAGACAGGGAAAGAATGGGAAAGAGAAGAAGAGTTTTGCAGTAATAATAATCAATGACCACGATCTTATTGCTTCGCAGGGACAGATTCGGAGTTTCAAGATGCTGTGGTTTACTAGTAGTAGTCGGTGTTGCCTCTTGTGCTGATTATGGAAGTTGGACCTCGGCATTTTCTGGGTGCCAGTAGTAGTGGGCTTCAATAAAGGTGCCAGCGGACGATAATGATAACTAACACCCGCCACACCCCCCAACCTACCCGTACCTAGGCAGTTTGAATCATGTACTCCGGTGGAAGTAAGATTGTGTTTCAATGTAAAAGTCATTCACCGTAGTCGCCGGCATCACCGAAGCCGTTGGCGCGAATACTCCAATCTATTTAGCTACGTGTGTCACATCCACCTACGATCGAAAGATATGGTGGCTTCAAGACTTGATAGCAGATTCTTCAACGTTCTGAACAACGTTCCGTGCGGGAATGCAAGCAGTTCGAGAATTCGTGATTACATATGCTCGATTGTAGACAGGCATCACGGGAAGCTGGGGTAGGTGGTCCTACAGTGTCAGATATTTACCGAGCGACGGTCCACACATAACTCATAGAGGCCTAGACTTTGGCTGAGTTCGGATCCGATCTTCACTGATGTAGGAAAAATTAAATGATTAGTTACAGACCTACAGACTTTGAACCATCTAGTCGTTCCCCTTTTGTTCCTTGGTTGCGGTCAAACCTAGGTAGCTTTAGGTCTTTCAGACATTGCCATGCGGTTCGCGGCGGCTATGAATCGGTAAAAACACCGCATCAAGTTGGAGGGCCAAGAAGCCATACTCGCACACCCTCTTTTACTCGTCCATCTCTCAATGAACGTTACCTCATACTGAGATAGGTATCCAATTGTTATGTATTCGTCTTGTGTTAATTGCAACTACGTAAGTCTATTGAATTCGCCCCATCTAACCAGGACTGTAAAAGTCGACCTTCAAGCCAATCTGGTTGATCAAGAGCAGGAATTCGGTTTCATACGCTTTCGAGTTCTCTAGATAGAAGCATTAGCCTGCCTCCGTCGACGCCGAAAACTGTCCCATCGCTATGCATGACGAGCCGTTGCTCGAGATGAGATTCTTCATTGCTCATCGGTTGCGGACATCCATGTGTCTTTATGTGTCTCTCAATCCAATTCGTATCTCATGTGCCCAAGGCCATTCTTTTACTTTTCCTCGACACTGTCAGGCTTGATCGTCTCGCCATCGGCATCCTTCATCTCCGTATCCTCGGGCTCAGCGGCCTTCTTGGCTTCTTCCTCAGCCTTCTTCTTGGCTTCGAGTTCGGCCCTCTTCTTCGCTGCTGCTTCCTCTTCGGCTTTTCGGACGGCAGCACGCTCAGCCTCGACTTTGTCCAGATATCTTTGAACCACAGGTCCAGCGACAAATCTAATCTCGTCCATCTTGGCAATGTATTGGGCTTTGGAGGCATCATCACCATCGTCATACAACCAGTCCTGGTGAAAACCGTTAGTCAAATGCAACCTTTTGCTCGTCTGGGGAGCAGCTTACCTCTGTCTTCTCCAGCTTCTCGCGAATCTTCTCCTTTTCTTCATCACTGGAATACTCTGCATAAAGATCATCAATCTTTCCACGAAGTTCATAGATGTAGGCCTCAAGTTCGTTCTTCTTGTCTTCCGTGTCGGTCACCAATTTGTCTTCCATAAACATCTGGTTCTCGAGTTCTGCCAATCCAGATTTGGTAGCGTCGTCTAGAGATGATGTGCCAGCCACGAGTTGCAGATCGCCCTTGCGAACCTGCTTCTTGACCTTGCGTGTCTTGGGCTTCGCCTCGGCCGAGCCGTTGGCTTGATCCGTATCCATGGCTTCACCCTCCTTGGGTGGTTCAGGCTCTTCCACCTCGACGTCTTCCACGTAATAGCCACTCTCGAGGTTGAGGATACCATGTAAGTTGAGGCGCGCTTTGAGTTTGCACACCATGAAGTCATCCTTCTCATCAGCCTTGACGCCCTTCACCGAGAATCGGCCTATCCATGGATTGACCTTGCCGGGCAGTGACTCGGGCTTGGCGTACTTGGCTTCTAGGTCAAAAGGCTGCTTGCGGTAGAAAGTGAGTATCTTGGTTGATGGCATCACGTTGCCCTTGTTGAAGACGGTCAGATTCGTGTCCTCGTCAGGAATATCGGGTGATTGTTCCCACACAAATTCAATCGGGTAAGAGACGATGTCGTGGACCGAGAAATCCCTCACACGGAAAACCGGGGAGAGAATTGCGCAGGAGAAAGCACAGCCACGAGCAATGGCCTCATCTTGGTTGAGAGTGTAGGAAAGGGGCTTTCCGAAGAACTTGCTGATACGGTCTTTGATGGCCGGGACACGGGTGGTTCCACCGACCATCTCGATGGCGTCGATGTCCTCGACCTTCAATTTTGCGTCTGCCAATGCTTGTTCGAGAGGCGCAGTAACACGATCGAGAAGAGGTTTGATAAGCTCCTCAAGTTCCTCCCGTTTCAATATGGCTCGCACATCTTTATCATCCATCAACGACTCAATACTCAGTGGAGCTTGAGCGTTGGCAGATAGAATCTTCTTCAGTTTTTCGGCTGCCGCCGCAACACGTGTCACGGCTTTAGGATTGGTGGTGATGTCGAGCTTGAATTTTTCCTTGAACTCGGCAGCAAAGTGGTCCACAAGTGCTTTATCAAAGTTGCGGCCACCAAAGTGTCGGTCAAAGGACGTAGATTTGATGGACAGCTCGCCCTTTCGGAACTCAACAACGGACACGGTGTAATCGCTGTAACCGATATCCACAAAGACAACTCGACGGGGTTTGGCATCACCCTCTGGCAGATCAGATTTGGTGATGCCATAGCCCAGCGCGATGGCGGTGTTGTCGTTGATAAGGCGGAGGAGTTTCAAGTTGGCGACCTCTGCGGCATCCAACATGGCACGTCGCTGGGAGTCCGTAAACCATGGGGGGCAGCCAATGACAACATCGGAGACGGGTAACTTCAACTCTTTACTTGCGGTGTCTCTGATCTTGCCCAAGTACATGCCAATCAGCTGGACGGCGGAGAACTTGACCTTTTCGCCCCGGTATGTGACTTCGGCTCCGACTTGACCATTGACATCGACCAATGGCGCAGTGATGAACTGCTGTTCGATGGCGACTTCAGGATCGTTGATGGTTCGACCGGCGAGACGCTTGAGAGAGCTAATTGTGTTTTTGAGATTTGAGATTTCCTGGGTTTTGGCGGCCTCTCCGAGGTATCGGCTTTTGGGTCCGAACCCGACGACAGTCCTGTAGGGAACTTTTAGTAAAGAGAACAAGGCTGGAAGGAGGGGCAGATAGGGAAGCTTACGGTGTCTGACGATTGGAAGTTTCATTTGTGATCTGTGAGAAGTCAGTAAGCGACAAAAACCGAGCAGGATTGATGGCCACATACAATGTCAATGCCCTTGTTCCTGGCAACACCAATCTTTGTAGATTGGGCACCAAAATCTATTCCAACGACACTCATGGCTGCGGTGGACGGCGGATGTGTTTGGCGGGTGATAAAGGTTGTAAGAGGCTGGATTGCTCCAGTATGGAAGGCAAGGAAAGAAGTGCGCGCGCAACGGAGAGGTGAACAGTAATAGAGAATCTAGCCTTTCTGGCGATGGCAGCAACAGGAGGGTAGATACTGGTGTTGTAGCAGGGAGGGTAAACCAGGACTAGAAAATACCATGCCGGTGAGGAGGAGTAGTGGACCAAAAAAATGTGCCTTGCCTCAATCCGTGGCTGCCAGGTAAATGCGGTCACTTGTTCCTGCCCGCACCAGCACCTTCCTCCCACTTCTCGAAGGTTCAGTGCACTGGCACGGTATGAATGTTGGGCTTGGCGGGGCGGCTGCACTAATTTTTTTTGGGTGGGCGTTGAACTTTGCCTGGCAGTTGCAGCTCAGTCAGAATTCTGTCATGCCCTGCGTGTCTGGCACCCACCGGCATGTTTTGCCTGCCTCACTGTCAGGCTGCAGGCAGTGCCACTGACCAACTGGCAGTCACTGCCATTAAAGACTCACTACTACGTAACCCAGCAGCTGCTCCGAGTCGTAGCTGGTCGCAGCCTTGACATGCCAACACCCAACCTCACACGTCATCCACACCTTTTTCAACTACTAGTAGCGCTGTCATTTTCATGACTGGTCACTTCGAACTTCGAATCATCCCTCACCGGGCATCACGAAGCGTGGTCCCAGATTGGGCATCAAACCGTGTCTACCTTGTACATCCTTATAGTCAGGCAACATCTCCTGTATGCGAGGATCCTTATCTCCCAAATTTCACCTCAGTCATTGGTCTTGGAAGCGGAGCCTGGGAGCATGCTCTGCGTTACTGGCTATTGTTACTTAGGTACTGATAATTTGATTTGATTGAGGCTTCAAAGCACCAATAACAATGATCAAAGCCAAACGGGTTACCAATGCTAAGACTATCTCAGGATCGAAACCTCATACATGGCTAAAAAGGCTGGTGAATAATAATACCCAATTCATGCCCTCCATACTAAACCATGCTTGATGGGCTTCGGCCTCTTTGAAGCCGTTTCCTTTGCCGCTTCGAAGTCCAACGCACATTCTCCTCAGCCTCGCTGTCTACTTCTGTCCTCGTCAATGCATACTCCCCGTGCAAACTCAAGTGGTCATCTTCAATCGGCACAGCTGTCATTGGAGTTATCCTGCCCAATGAACTCCTGTGCTCGGGCGGCACTTTACTGTCTCTAATGCTTTGTCGAGTAGATAGCTCATATGACGAGCTCGACAGTTTCCGAGAATCGGCCACCCCCAAAGATACCGATCGTGTTCTGCTTCCGCCATAATGACTGGACCGTGGTCGGGGGTAAGCCGAGGGCGGATATGAGCCGCCATCCGTCACTGTGCTTCGCCTCGTAATGTTGAATTCAAGACTGGACTGCTGTGACCACCCAGAACTGTAATCTGCAAGATCATGTTCAGCCATGCCGTCGACCTGCGTCCTCAGCCCGTAATCTTCGCCTGAGATACTTGTGACGCGTTGAGGTGTGTGTACCGAAATACCCTCGGCGTCACTCATGTCAAGAGAATTGTGCTCCCATCTGCGCAAGTGCTCGCTCATCTCGGTCTCAGACCCAGTGGGGGATGCGGCTCCCTTGTCCCAGACTTGACTTGGGCCAGGTTCGGCAGGAACAAATCGTCCTTCAACACTTGAAGATGGGTGCAGCATTGAAGGTCTCACACGCCGCCTTCGCACTTGCACCGCGGGTTTGAAGGTCTCGGGCTTGACATTCAACTCGTCTCCAGTCTCAATGGCGTGCTCAATCGCCTGTTGAGGTGTGGTCCCTGCGTCTGCGACCCCTGCGTCTGCTCTAGGGCCGCCCCATGTTCTTTGCCCAGCTGTGAATATCGCATATATCATGAACAACTAGTTCATGAAGGGGTTGGCTATAAACATGAGAGGGTAGAGCAATGATTTCCATCGGTGTAATCGAATAGCAAAATAAAACATCAAAACCCAGTTGAGCCCGCATGAGACTAACATGAACTCCCAAGGTAAGGTGTCCACCGGGCTTGCGGTTGAGACAATCGCTATGAACGTGATGAGAAGCAGCATAGAAGTCGTACGAATCGTGATGGTCATGAACCTCAGGATGCAGAGAACTGGATATTTTCGCCACAACCGTGGATCCGTTATCATGCATACCTCATTGGTGATAAAGCCCAAAAACCATCGACGTCTTTGTTTCATGAGAGAGCGAAAAGTCGGCACAGCCTCTGTCTTGCAAAATGCACTCGTGCTCAGCTGGATTTGGTACGCTTTTTTGGCTCCCACCATAAAAAGATGGGTCAACCAGCGATCCTCGCCCAGGTGCGTCTTTCCATAGTCGAACAAGTCTTCACACGTCTCAGCTCGATCGGAAAAGTAAAACCTTGCCATGTTTCGAAAGGCTGAGAATCGCAGAAGGGTAAGTGCTCCTGGTAAGCATGTCACGGATCCACATGCCGACTCAATCGATCTTTCAAACAACTGCCCGTGAAGATATTCCACATCCTGCATGAGTGTCAAGAATGAGTGCTTGTCTGTCCGGGATGTGATGATTCCCGTCATGGCCAGCATGGCATTTTTACCACGTGGATTGAGTTGCATGTCATACATAAAGTTCTGTATGCAGACCGGGTCGAGAATGCAGTCCGAGTCAATGAACAACATGAACAGATCGTCGCTTTGTTGCAAGTATCGCTTGTAGATTTTGTCGATGAGTAGAAAAGTGGCCTTCTGGCAATGCCGCTTGCCACCATGAGGAAATCGCGAGACTGTGACACGAACTCCCCGATATGCAACGTCTATCGACTTCGGGAACTCTTTCAGGGTGACAGGTACGCCCAGACGATCGATGGTCTTCAGATAGAGCTCGTCTATGCTATCGCCATCAAAAGAAAGAAACACATGTATGCAAGCTCCGGGGTATTCCGACGACACAACAGAGGTGAGCGCAGTCCACAGGGTATCTGGGGGCTCTTTGTAGATGGGCATGACAACAACAACCTTGGGCGCTGAGTGCTCGTTGAGAGCATATTTTATCCTGCTCTTTCGTCCCAGGGGTGTGACGACGATTTGGAAAATGGAAACCAGCCAAGGAACACAGAGCATGCCGGCGAAAGTGTAGAAGGCAAAATTGTGCAGGATATCGACCAACAGATCAGGAAAGTAGTCTGTGATACGGCCTGGCAAAGGCAGCGTGACGAGCACCACCGGAAGAAATATTCCCCTGTGAGAGAAAGCTTAGTTCTCTTCTCTCATTAAAGAACGAAACCCAAACCTGATGATACAAAACAACGTGGCCATGACGACTGAGAGAATCTTTTGCGACCAGTGGTCAGCCTTTATGAACGCTTTGGTGAGGCAATAGCAGAAAGCAGCCACCCAAAGGACTGACTCGAGGGCGCCTGCGAGAAGAAAGGGTGCAATGAGAGAAATGCTGACGATCTATTGCCTCGTTAGCTGGAGCATGATTGCCAATTTTAATTGTATAAATGTCACCTCTTTGATACCCCATGGGGCGGTCTGAACAGCGTCAGCCATCTTTCATAGAGTCCCACTGGTAGTGCTTGTAGAGATGATAATCTTCCTTGATTTGCTCGCAAACTGCCACGGCTGACAGTCAAGATAGCACCACCAGGCTGGACGCTTGCTGACAACCAGTGCACTCATTAGGTTTGCAGTGTTTGTGCCTCTTCAGGCCAAGTTGTTCGTGTTGGTCTCGGGAATAGGATATGCTGGATGGCGGTGCAGCAGACCCACGATCTGTTGCCTTTGCACGGGGGAAGAGGTAGAAGCTGTGATGCGCTGAGAGGGCAATCGTCAGAGAACAGTGAAAGATAAAGAACCTAGTGTAGATATTCAAATGGCGGATTGTGTTGTTGGACCAATTGTAGGTGATAAAAACAAGAAAGAGACGGAAAGCAGAGGGGAAGAATTTATGCCGGCGCTGGCTGGTCCCGATATCTGGGAAAGTGTAAAGGCTCGGAGTGCCCATGCATCATGATGGCATGTGGAAGGTGCAAACGCAAGTTGCCTGGTAGGGGTGGTAGATACCTACCTCCCTTGGTGGGAAGGTCGTAAAATAGATAGACGGCCACTGGCAGCATCACTACCTCCAAGGCTTATACTGCACCTGCCTTCATTGTGTTTGATGACGACGGTGTTTCTTGAGAACGGCCAAAAGCCACTGAAGGTGAGCAGGGTTGAAGGAACAACCTGAAGTGGTTTTGTTTTGTCAAAGCACACCAAAGCAGTTGTAAGGAAGGCTGTTGCTGGGAGCATTTTTGCCCAAGTCTGAACTAGCGAAGCCTGTAGTATCGCTGGAATGTGGAACAACTCATACAGTCAGGCTAGGTAGGTAAAGTGAAGTTGCGGATGCTCTCCCATCAACATAATGCGAAATTGATAGCAATGAAAGATTGGAATGGACTTGCTTGCCAATAAACTTTGTGACCAAACTCCCGCACATTTCAAGCTCAGAACAAAGAAAGCTCACAAAACAAATACTTCCTTGATCTGCCCAGGTCACCAGGCATAATCTCCTACTCCTGAAGTGCGGTGCATACAGACATGATAAGTGGGATAAGCAACATGTCTAGGCACATGTGTGTGATGGTGAAAGAGGCAACCACAAGGAAGAATACGACACAGTCCTGAATGCATCATGAATCTGGGTGCATTCTGTGACCGCTCAAGTCTATAGTGGGGCCTCGCACAGTGCTCGCCCTTCGACTTTCAGCAGCTAACATTCGACCAGCGAGGAGCTTCAGTGGTCACCACTAAACGTGCTGTCCACTTCAGTCCAGACACTTCCAGGAGTGCGCATTCCATCACCCTGCTCGCTGAGCAAGTCATCCGATGTGTCTTCCGCTTCGCTTGCATGAATCTCACTTATACTTCCAGAAATACTTGGAGCATGTGACGAAGGCTCGTTTACTGAATGATGGATAGAGCCACTCATTTGACTGCTGTGTAGAGAGTTGTTGAATCCGAGTGGTATCGAGCCATGCTCTGATAAAGTTCGCGTTGAGTTGGACATGGGAGCAGAAAAATAATCTGATCTCTCAACAGGCCGGTGAAGATGATCTGCCGAAGGTATCGAGATCTCAGGATCTGGTACGTCAGTTGACGGTGTGAGCACAACCAGACTCTCAGACGCATGACTAGACGGTATGTCGATGCGCCTTTCGGAGAGTGGGATATTCCAAGCCTCACGCATCTCCTGCTCGTACCTAGACTCAAAGGGCTGATAACCATTGTCGTCCTCAACAGGAGTTGGGATTGATTCGCTGAGAGGCGAGACCACCTCAGCAGCTTTCTGTAGCCCTCGTTGCTGCAGGTTCGGCTGACAATTCAAGTCTTGCGCTCCAAATCGAGACCGCATCTGGTTCTGCTGCTCAGTCGGTTCGAGAGCCGACGTTGCCGCCTGGTCCAGGCCATCATTTCGAGGTTTTTCTCGTAGATTGCCGTTGCTGTCTACCAGGCTATCAAAATTGGGAGATTGAGGTTGCCCTGATTCTAATTCTGCCCTCCTCCTCCTCCGTTGTTCTTCCATAAGGCGGCTTCTTTCCATGATCTCGGCTACAGCTCGTTGCCGGCGTGCTTCAGCATCCTCGCTCTTCTCTTCATACATCGAGGCATCTGTAGAACGGCGCTGCGTTCTCGGGCTTGGGCGAGGCCCATCACCAAGGGAATTGAACCCCGTGGCAATCTTTTGTCTGGTACGGTCGATCCATGCCCGCACCTGAGGGTTTTCGTACGCAGCAAGACTGGCTGCTACTAGTACGGTGACAGTAATGATAATGCCTACCGGAGGAACCATTGTTAGCACAGAGACATGGAGAAGGGGGATATTAGAGTTGGTAGCGATGAAGGAGAGCCTGTCGCATCGCGGGCAATATGATGTAAGGAGGATTTGTGTCAAGACAGGAAGCACAGACCTCGTGCGAGCGGAGCGGGCATGTTGGTGATTTCGAGGTGGAAGACGACGAATTCTATCTTTTGTCCTTTAACAATCGTGGAGCATGGTAGATCGAAGGGATGTGTGCTCCAGGAGATTGTTGAGGTTGAAAAGATGTCAGCCTGGTAAGGGCTGGATCAGAGGTAGGCTTGGACATCACGAAGCAGCCAAACTTGGGGGGACGAGGCACCGACTGCACCGCCACCTGAAGCCCCGCAACTTGAAAGCTGGGCAAACCTGAAGCCCGAGGCTGCCACAAGAAAGATCGGCACGTCGCTGCCGCCACCGCCACCAAAATGCAATGGCACACAAACACGTTCAATAGCTCGGACGCGCTTTGTTCCGATAACCACTTAACACGCGTTTTATGGCATTCAAGTTGCAAATCTCACATGGCATGCCATCTGTTCATATGATAACCCCAGATCATGTCTCGGGCCACTATATCCGCGCCTCAATCCAGAGCATTGACTCTTACGGAAGAATTGGAAAAATTGGAGCAGTCAATAACGCTCACCTTGCAGGGTTCTGATTACCCCTACCATCCAGCCTCCTTAAACCTTTGAAGCCATGGCATTTACTGACAATCCTGACAGAAATTGATCACAATTTCAGCCGTGCTCATCGGATCGTGACAACAAGCATTCTCCCTGTTGTAGAGCAATATACTGCTCACTCGAAGGATGTTTGGGAGGGATCCAAGGTAAGTTGGCATAACATCTGTCCGGGATGTCTCAATGTGTTAAGTCGAGATAGTTCTGGAAACAGTTTTTCGAGTCCAGTGCCAATGTGTCCTTGTCAGGCTATGAGGAGCAGCCCTCTCAATATGATAATACCGACTTGACAGTGACTGAGGACTCAAATGTTACAACACAAACTTCTCTGGAAACTTCAGAGTCCTATGAAACACCATCAGCTCAGCATATTTCAACCGATTCGATACAAGACCTCGATCTGTCCAACTTGACTATTTCGCCGTCACATAATACCCCTCGGCCGACAGCGAAGCAGAAAGCTCAGCAGCCGGCATTTGCGGAATATCCGTCTCCTTATGAAACTTTACGCCAGGAAATCAACAACACGACTGTCGATGCTACTGCTCTTTCGCAAGCTACTGCACCAGAAACTCCAAACAGACCACAATTTACAATGGACGATATCGCAGTCACGCCTCGATCATCACCATATCTTCCCCCTCCCACTTCGATACCACGTCCATCGACGGCACGCAAGCATACTGACCCTCTACTCCATCGAGTTTTAGATCGCAACTACAGAGTGCAAGCCACACCGCTGACCACCACGCGTTTTAAATCTTTTCAATCGAAGACTGCTGCTAGCCCTGCAACCACAAGGCGCGTCCGAAATGCGAACATTGACTCCAACTTATCATCCAGCCCAGAAGTCGCACCGCCCGAGCTCCATCCTGAAATTTTCACTTCCCCCGAACGCAAACACGTCATTCCAGGAGTCAGCGTTTTGACACCATCACGTGGCAAATCTCACATACCAAAGGCACCAACGCGCACACCGGGAATATGGGACAGTGACGAGGACGACCTTGATGACGAATTAGACTTTGGCCAGAGTCCGCCAAAAACCATGCAATTCCACGTCCCACAGCAGCGTCTGCTGAAGACACCAGGTATGTCGAGCTTTAACAACACTTTTCATTGTTTATGTAAATGCATGACTAACGCAAATGACTGCTAGCCAAGGAAGCTTCAAAACGCATTGTAGATGATATCTTGACAACGGCAGGACTAGACTATGATGACGAAGAGATTGATTTTTCCAAAGAGTTGGAGACCCAAGGGTTCGATGTAGATGAGAACAGTCCTAGTGTTGTTCGCAGAGCTGCCAACATTGAGGACGAGACGTTTTAATGATACTAGATACCCAGCGAGAGCGAACATGCCATCTAGTTGCAAGAGTGAAGTGACTCTGAAGTGACAGTCCTTTTGTTGCTGCCATGGTGAAATGCATGACTCGCGTTCTTCCATGACTTGCCGACCGCCATGACTCGTATTTTTCTCCAATTGAATGGGTCCTCTGGGTCCGGCACCCACTCTCACCGCAACTCCGAGTCCAACCCTTGTTCTGCGGATCTTTTGTTCATGTTGGAGAAATAATTTTTTCCCAGGCCTGTCTTCAAGTTTCTTGACTTGCATGCGAAGGATGCCAACCGTCTGCACCGTGTGCATGTTCAACTAATCCTCACTTTCTCTTTCAATCCCTCCTTGCTTATCTCTACCTGCTTGCTAGTCGTGCCATCCCACCTGTGTTCCCTCACTCACCGCCTCATTGACGCTGCTACAACCGATCTGCCACCCCCACCAAGTCGTCAATATGGCCTCCAAAAAGAATGCTGTCAAATCAACACCAGCTCCACAACTTCTGGCAATACTTGAGAAATTCCTCGCAGAAAGTGGAATGGATTCAACACGAAAGGCCTTCACCAAAGAGTTGAAAAAGTTACAAACTTCTGCTGGCTGGGCCACACCACTTGTGGTGTCGCCGACCGTCAAGTTGGAAGACCTTTTAGAATCCTGGAATGACAGTGGATATGCTACTGCTGGAAGTCAAGATGTCCGCAGAAAGACGTCTCTCAAGACTGACACAATGAAATCGTCAAAGGATTCCAGCAGCTCAAGCAGCAGTGACAGCAGTTCGGACGACTCGTCCAGTTCCGAGCGAGCAGCGAAGACGAAGAAACAAAAATCGAAAGTGGTCAAGAAGCATGCCAAAACGCGTGCCGCCTCATCATCTTCGTCGTCATCTTCCTCATCGTCATCTTCGTCCTCATCATCATCGTCCTCCTCGTCTCCGTCCTCGTCCTCGTCCTCCGAGAGCGATGCAGACGATGAGAGTGACAGCAGCTCCAACTCAACATCTACAACATCCTCTGAAAAACCGAAATCCAAGGTTGTCCCCACCAAAAGCTTGAAACGAAAGGCTGAGTCGAGTTCGTCCGAGTCCTCAGAATCCAGTTCCGGCTCATCTGATGATGATAGTCGTCCAGTAAAGAGAACTAAAGTTTCCAACATCTCTAAGATTGCTGAATCTTCATCTCCGTCGAGTTCGGAAGACTCAGATCTGTCTGATACTCGAGCCGCAAAACTACTCAAATCCGAAGATAGTTCATCAGCTGGCACCGACGACTCGAGTGATTCCGATGGATCATCTTCAGATGAGAAACTCAACCCTGCTTCCAAAGGACTCAAGGACCCTAAGAAAGTACCTGCCGCCAGCGAGGGCTCAAGTGCTTCTTCAGGCACAGTCATGGGTGACCAAACCGCATCTGAAAGATCCTCAGCTAATGACGACGAGGTTGCAACAACTGCACCGACATCTTCTTTCCAACAAGGAGGTCTCAAGAGAAAACATGTTGGCGCAAAGCCAACACCACTAGCAGAGCTATCTGCCAAAGCCACTGCAGATAGTCATATCAGCAATGCTTACCGCAGTTATGACTATGCAGAGAAGGCATACCAAGATCTATCAGTTACTCGTGGAAAAGGCTTCACCAAAGAGAAGAACAAGAAGAAGCGGGGAAGCTATCGTGGAGGAGCCATTGACATTAGTGGTGGCAAAGGTTTCAAATTTGAAGACTGAATGTTTGCCGCTTGCTTTGAAGACCACGCAAGCGCGGTGGATCGAATGCAAAAAGCAACACATAACGACAGCAACGTGATCAGCAATTGGTAGCCTGAATACAACGTCCTGTGAGGTCCGTTGATACCCGGCACGGAAGACGCAGCAGCTACGAAGAAAGAGCGTACTACGATCGCTGTCAGACTCTTGATGGTATGACACAGTTGACCGTGGCATGGCGGAGAATGAGGATTTCATTGGTTGATAGAGAACGCTCGAGAATAGGAAAATGGGGCATTCCAGCATATGTTCTTTGAGGAAAAAGCAACATGGTATGCATCTGATTTCTGCACTAGTTTCTACAGCTCTGAGTGCTGACGACTCTCAAACCATAGATACAGTACATAGATAGCTGAGGCACGTGTCGACCGCGAGCGCCCAAGGCTAATGAGCGCCACTGCTGCACCCTGGACAAGGACCCCAGAATCCGACCCAACCGACAGTTCTCCACTCCTGTCTGTAAGGCGATCAAAACCAATCATTACGACCATTTCATCCACGTTCACTTCTGCTTTGACCTTATCAATTCCTTTGTTCCTGCATGATCACTGCTCATTGTCGCACCAAGCTACAGCATGCTCAACCGGCTAAGAGCTTCGGGAAAGCTTGTTGAGCTTATCTCTGATGACCTCCCTGATCTAGAAAGCAACGTCTGAATTTTTGCGAGAGAGCATGCTTCCGGCAATGTCGGCTACTGGCAGCACAGAAACGCTTGATGATCATTGCAGCAAGTCAATGCAGTGTGACATCAGGAACAAGGTTTCCAGAGGTAGCTTGAGCTTCACATTCAAAAACCGCCGAAGAGGATTTTGAGAGACATACCAAGCAAAAATTGATCACCAGGGCTATTTATCATGATACTACCCTCCCATGTGCTACCCCGCTTATACTCTCTCCAGCTCATCAACGTAAGTTGAGGAATTGTCCCCGTCTTAGGTGACCTCTCGTCCATACTCAAGCTCATTTCCCTCACATTTGGGGATAAATCCATTGACAAGATGCTATCTGCAGCAAAGTTGCTCCTGGCATCGACCTCCTTGGTCACGGCCGCGGTAATCGACATTAGACAAGAGCCATCAACTACTGTGCCGGACTACTTCCAAACCACCCCACAGATATTCGCTGGGCCGACAGTGACGGGATTGATTGCTCCATTTCTCGCACAATCCAATCCGGCGCCGTTTGGTCAGGAAGCGTCCTTCGTTGCCAACGCTCCTCTCGAGACAAATCTTCCCATCACAGGAAATACCAATCGCTCCAGCATCTTCCAGTTGCATGGTCAGTTGAGCTCATACTTCCCCAATCCCGTCGGATTTGGTTCCAACGAGTATCCTCTGCCTCCCGGTTCGAACATTTCCCATGTCCATCTGCTCCACCGTCATGGTTCTCGGTATCCTACTGGTGATTCGTCCGTAGCGAACTTTGGTCGCAAGATTCAGAACTTGACGACCAACGGCAGTGCCAAGTGGACAGACGAGCTTGACTTCCTGAACGCATGGGAATATCAACTTGGAGCCGAGATCTTGGTAGCTAGAGGTCGACAAGAGCTATTTGACAGCGGAGTTCTCTTCTACTACAACTATGGTAAGTTCCACCAGCACAATGTTCAGACTCATTCTCAGTGCTCACCTCTTGCGCCGTTTCTCAGGCGGACTTTACAACACCTCAACCAAAATCACTGCCCGGACGACCACTCAAGACCGGATGCTCAAGTCAGCCGAGTACTTCATGGCAGGGTTCTTTGGTCTTGAGTGGACCCATAACGTGACCTTGGCCTTGATTCTTGAACAGCAAGGATTTAACAATTCTCTGGCCGGGTATTTCCAGTGCAATAACAGTAATAGCTATCAAGCAACTGGAGGCAATAACGCATCGAGGATATGGGAGAAGACATATCTTGCCGCTGCCACTGAGCGACTGACTGCCATGTCGGGTGGCTACAACTGGACGGTTGCAGATGTTTATGTATGTTCAGTCGTGGTTTCAGCATCGTCCAATCCTTCCATAATCAATCTGTTGCTAACACTTATTCGCAAACCAGAACGCACAAACCATGTGCCCCTATGAGACGGTGGCATTTGTGAGTTTTGGCATCTGCCTGCGATGCAATTTCAGAAGGATACTTACCAGCCGCAGGGCTACTCTCGATGGTGTGATCTTTTCACTTACGATGAATGGAAGGGATTTGAGTACAGTATTGATCTTCAGTTCCACGGCAACAATGGGTTTGGTAGCCCGACCGGTCGCGCAGTGGGTGAGTAACATTCTTTCTTCAACCATGGCTGTGTTCGCTTGTCTGTCATTGTGCTGACATTGAGGTATAGGCATTGGGTATGTCGAGGAGCTCTTTGCTCGTCTTGAAGGCCACCTCTACAACCTACCACCAGGTGCGACTCAGGCCAATGTGACACTTGATGAAATGGAAGCGACCTTCCCCCTTGATCAGTCACTGAATTTCGACTTTTCACATGACACCAACATCATGGCTATCATCACAGCCTTTGGGTTGAAGCAGTTTAACCAGACGTTGCCAACGACTGGCCCGCCCGACGATCAGCAACTCATCGTATCACACGTTACACCGTTCGCGACCAGAATGGTAAGAATTCTGTTGAGCCGGTGGTCGTACTGACCAATCAGGCTGACTTGCAAAACAGGTTTGGGAAATCATTCAAGCTCCCAGTCCGATAAAAGCGAGCCGGCCGACCAATGTGACCGCGCCCACGTCGGATTATTATGACCAAGGCAACACCACAACCTATATTCACCTGCTGCTCAATCAGCGCACGGTGCCTCTGTACAAGAGCTATCCGGAGTGTGAGAAAAGAGACGACGGGTGGTGTGAGCTGTCCACCGTCCTCAAGATCTTTGGTGGCCTACTCGATACCGCACGATACGAGTATAGCTGCTTTGGAGACTACCCTTCGGTGCCGTATGGAAATGTGACTGATGGTGTGCCTACCGTGAAGCGCCGAGCGCTGGGTGGCGCATTCGGCACGGGATTGGAGATGTACGAGAGCAGTGATAGATGGATTGAATAATAGTTGCACCAATCCTCAAAACAAAAGAAGGGGGGAGAGCCGATGCAAGGGATAATCATCATAACACGCTGTCCCTTTACTAAACAAATGACAAGCTGATCATCCATTGGACGGATTGTTTTTCTTTGTTGCCTGGAGCTCTAGCCCGTAGTCTTACTCGTAGACGAGATTGACTCGTACATCGTATTGCAGTAAAAGCTGGGGATGTTTAGATTTGCCTCGGTGTTTTGGGCCTGACCATGAATTTGTCCCACGTCACTTCCATCACTTGGGGCTAGCGGGCAAACGGCATCCCACCCACGACGATCCGAAACCGCCAGTTCGACCAACCTCAACTCGTAACTCGCGTTTTAAGTGGGAACAAAGACAACCCGGAATTTAGCTGACCGACTCGACTCAGTTTCTGGGGTAAGGGTTTCCCAACACTTTTTTTCTCACAAAGAAATCAACAGCACCAACAGGCTGCAAATGCTGGGTCAGGAGACCATTTATCGACATGACTCTCGTCACCGACTGTTGCTCTCCATGTTCTCCCGCTTCTCCAGATCACCATTCGCTGCGCCACCAAACTAGAACATCTTCTTTAATGCTCTCATCACCGGCCGGCTAACTTTTAGTTGGAACTTGGAAGCGTGTTCCAGGGCCCCTACCAAACCGACTTGGATCGCGTCAAGCGCCAGTCGACATAAAAGCCCCAACGATCCGCCACATCCGCCTCTCATCACACTTTCTCAATCTTTTGGCTGATCCCTCGCACCTCGTCTGGGGAAGCTCGTGAATCTTCTTTTGGATTTTGGCCCTCACGTTCTTTTACTTTACCTGGTTGGCATTGGATCGCGTTGATCAACGTAAATAAACTTCTTGGGGTCGCCTGCCTCTTATTCGTCATCGAAATTCAACTAGCCTCGCTGTTCCCCATACCGCAGTCTTGGGCAGGCTCGGCCATACACTCCGATCACTATATGAGCCGCATGATCATCCTGGCAGGCGCTCCTGCTCCTGCGAAGCTCGACTGGAGCGAAAAATCCCTCTTGTCCTCCGAGTCAATGCATCTGGAGGGTGTCACCTCACCACTCTCGCCCACTTCCAAAGCCTTTGGTGCTCAATGGCGACAGATCACCACCCAAAGGCTGCAGATGCGCCCGATCCTCCCCAAACTCAACATTGGCCCACTACCTACGCCAAACGAGCTCAACAAAGGCCCCGCTGAATTCTTCAGCCCTGATGAACACATTGGCACCCAGACACCCGTCAGCGATATCAGTGCGAGTGAATCGCAGCCGTCAGCGTCCGGCGCCTCGGCCGATTCTACTTCGGAAGCACTGTCGGATTACTATCAACACTCTTTCACAATTCACGAGGCGATACCGTCGAATCAATTAAGTGGCTTCTCAGAGTACACACCGGGCACACCGACCTACGAGAGCAATGAAGAGATGTTCCCAATGACTCCGATCAATGGAGGAGGCATAATTCGCACACCCTCGCAGCGGAGACTGAGCCAGGCACCAAGACCAAAACACCTCAGCGACCTGGAGGACATTCCCAATGCAAAGTACCTATCGTCGATCGAGCCACAGACGATGACGGTCAATCTGATCGTGGGCATTATATCAATTGCACCACCTCGCACAGTGATTACGGGTCAAAAGTACGGAAAGCCGAGGCCCACAGAGCTCGTGGAAATGATTGTCGGCGACGATACCAAAACCGGCTTCAGCATCACCATGTGGCTACCACGAGAGATGAGAGTGAACTGGAAGGATGGTGCAAACGCCGCGCCAGAAGGATCAAGAAGTGTTTTGAGGCGGAGCCTCCGGTTTATGCGACCGCGCGACGTGGTATTGCTACAGAATGTCGCGTTGAGCTCCTACCAAGGCAAAGTCCATGGACAGAGCCTGAAGGGAGACGTGACCAAGATTGATCTACTGTTCCGGAAGAAAGTCGACGACGACGATCTCAGCGGCATTTACTCGGTCTCAAATCTACGGACAGCTACAGGCAAAGACCCACAGGTGTTGAAAGTCAAAAAGGTTCGAGATTGGATGACCGAGTTCGTCGGCGACCGAGGCAGCCCTGCTCCCAAAGGACGACGAAGAAGGGGTCTTGACGGAAGGCTTGGGTATGGATTCCTCCCCGACGATACCCAGTGAACGAATCGAGTCAACTCTTTTGCATTTTGGATGTTCACCCCCTCCCATCCCTTTTTATCATCTATAATACTGGAAGAATCGATTGCCGCGCAAGCGAAACACGACAGACACCATATACTTTGATTGAAATTTCCGAGAGCAAAGCGAAGACGAGCAGCGAAAGATAGGTTCGAGCACGCAAGCGGATCAGGTCATTTACACAACATGTGTGATGGATGTAATATTATAGTGAGCTGAGTTGGGAAGAAGGTAACCCGTTGACGGAATGAGGTTTAACCACCCCCGGGGGCAAGGAAGCGGATGTGATGTGTGTTATTGCATGTACACACCACACCGCCCCTTTGTATTGTAGAATATTTCTTAACCGAAGTCACGAGATAATGATAGCCTAGCACACAGCACAGCTCCGGGAGTTGGTTCTGGGGTCTGGAGTTGGACACATAATAATCCTGCTTTTAATCAAAGAGACAATGACAATGATTAATACTACCAAATTGACTCGAAGTGAAGGCATGCATGACATTTCAGACGTGTAACGAATTCCGGATGGAAGAGTAGCAGAGCAAGTACTTCGTACGAGTAGTTAGTTGGGGAGGGAGAGGAGAGTGTCGTGGCCCTTAGGTACCTAAGAAAAGGGGTAGCAAACTTGCAAGGGCCTTGTGGCTGTGGCTGAGCCCTGCCAGTGCGTGCGTGGGATGGAAATCAAAAGTGGCCTCGTGACCGTCAGAAAAAATAAGGGCTCGCGGTGATCTCGTCTGAGATCACGGAATCACGGGCTCTAGACGTGAGCTGGGGGAAACAAGATTCTAGGCCTCCGGGGATCTATCTAGCCTTGTTGCTGTCCGCCGGTCGCGAGGACTGAAGGGGGATAATACTGTGAATAATAATATAGAGGGAGCTTGCGAAAGCTGGGTTAGGTACAGTAGGTTATCTATCCGTAGGTAGCCAGGGGGTTTCGAGCCGCCGCCACCGCGTACCGCGTGGACATCCCCCCGAGGTCACTGTGGTGGAGGAGTGAGTTTACTGTAAAAGAATTGGGTGGGTGCAACAGTCAATAATAATAACTTGAACAAGCGGCTGAAGGGAAACAGCAGTATGTCACGTTTGGGTCTGGAGGAATTGGGCAGTGGTAGCCGGTACCTGGATTTTCACAGTTCATGTCACCTAGGTATGTTCCCGTCGAAGCAGCACAACGGTTATGCCTCATGCCTCGTGGCTGAGGCTGGCGGCCGGCGAGGTTGTACCAGGTGCTACGGTAAGGTCTTTTAAGAGATGGATTAACGACAGCCATCTCCGTAGTGAAATTGACAGGAAATGAGAATCCCGGTCGTTATTCTTTGGCCAATGAATTCACGGTGGCTGTCTGCGTGTGCAGGAGGCTCCTCGAGGATGGATCTCGAGACACGGATACTACTGAGAAAAAAGGAGATGGGATGGCGGCTTCTCGCAATAATAATGGGCTGAACCTGAAGTGCCATCTGGAAATTTCCCTGAAAGACCGAAATGGGTCATGGCGCGCTCCTGCTATCGATAAATTAAGCACGCGTGAGGCAAAAACCGTCCAAAGGAGAGACGAGAACAGCGAGAACAGCGTGGCTTGACCGACAATCGCCATGCTGACTTTGCCCTTTCTGGCCTTACCGTCGATATCCCGTTCCCCACCGGTAGCCCCTGCCGAAAGAAAGTTGCTGCCATTGCCCTTGCTCTTGCCCTGGCTGTCCAACGTGCAGTGCGACGCAGTCACACTCTCTCCTCAGGACCTCGAGCCCTTTTTTTCAGCATTTGTGGTTCACCTACTTAAGATTCCCATCCCCTGCTCCGAGCTGTCCTTCCGATCTCTTTTCCCGCTCTTTGACCTTCTTGACTGGTAATTCATCCTCCCTGTAGGAATCTATACACCGTCCTGTACTGCACTCGTTTACCCTTCAGCTTTCATACTGAGACACTCTCTGTCGACAGATCCGACGATCAAAACCAATCAACAGACTAGCTGCCAAATCACTCTTCGTCAACAACCTCCAACATGAAAGGTGGGATACTGTTCCTGACTCTGTAACCCTGTCCAAGCCCTAATGATCTTACAGCCCTCATTCTCGTCGGTGGCTTCGGCACCAGACTGCGACCTTTGACCCTCTCCAAGCCCAAACCTTTGGTCGAGTTCGCCAACAGACCCATGATCCAGCATCAAGTCGAAGCATTGACTGCTGCTGGTGTCACAGACATCGTTCTTGCTGTCAACTACCGCCCTGAAATTATGGAAGGTGCTCTGAAAGAATACTCCAAGCAATACAATGTCAACATCACTTTCTCTGTCGAACAAGAGCCCCTGGGCACAGCTGGTCCTCTAAAACTCGCTGAGAATGTTCTCGGAAAGGATGACTCGCCATTCTTCGTCTTGAACGCCGATGTTATCTGCAACTACCCCTTCAAAGAGATGGCTGCTTTCCACAAAGCACACGGTGATGAAGGTACCATCATTGTCACAAAGGTCGAGGAGCCTAGTAAATACGGTGTTGTGGTTCACCGGGAAAACCATCCTTCTCGCATTGACCGATTCGTGGAGAAACCAGTCGAGTTCGTGGGAAACCGCATCAATGCCGGTATCTACATCTTCAACACCTCGGTTTTGAACCGAATCGAGCTTCGTCCCACTTCCATTGAACAGGAGACCTTCCCCGCAATCTGCAAAGATGGTCAACTACACTCCATGGATTTGGAAGGATTCTGGATGGATGTCGGACAACCAAAAGATTTCCTGAGCGGAACATGCCTCTACCTCTCATCACTGCAGAAAAGACACGCCAAAGAACTTACTCCCGTTTCCGAACCTTTCGTCTATGGTGGAAATGTTCTGATCCATCCCACAGCAAAGGTCGGCCAGAACTGCCGCATTGGACCCAACGTCACCATTGGTCCTGGATGCGTTGTTGGGGATGGTGTCAGATTGCAGAGATGTGTTCTCTTGAAGGACAGCAAGGTCAAAGACCATGCTTGGGTCAAGTCTACCATCGTTGGTAAGTAATGTTATTGGTGCAGTTGATTCAACCTACTGACGCAGTCTGCAGGCTGGGGATCCACAGTCGGCCGATGGGCTCGATTGGAAAACACCACAGTTCTCGGTGAAGATGTCACCATTGGTGACGAGATCTACGTCAATGGCGGAAGTGTTCTACCCCACAAGAGCATCAAGGCCAATGTTGAGGGTAAGTCTGCATCAATCGAGATGGAGTGAATGAATGCTGACCCATATTCTAGTGCCATCCATCATCATGTAAATTGCGTCTAGCAATGACTACGTGACGACTTTGATGGGTTCCGTGTTAGCTCTTGACTCACCCATGTTTCCAATTGCTTCGACAAATGTTTTTACTATGCATGGCGATCGACAATCAGGGTGCACGAGCTGACCTGAGGCGTTTTATTGAGCGACAGGATGATTGCAAATCTTTTCGCAACGACTTTCTTCGAACTTCTATCACGGTTAGAACTTTTTTAGACCTGGGGAATTTTATGCGGACACGTGTTTATCATATCGTGGTTCTTCAGAATACAGGAACCAGACAGGCATGAAGAGAACGAATGTTCGGTGGTCGAGCAAACTGGAGTACCCAGTGAGGACTGTAGTGGTCCCAAAAGCTGTCTGGTGGAGACTCGCGCTATGCTGTTATGGCATTTTTATCGATTGTAATAACACTATGAACATTAGAGAACCTCTTGAGCCCCTACAATGAACTATCAGTTGATCTCCATAACATCTAACATGAGTGTACTCGGTACTCTAGGTCCGTAAGGTTTGAGCACTCAGCCTCACATTGTCCTACTAGTCCCCCACACTGCCACTGCAAGCCTGCAAGTTGTGCCGCTCTCCATTCGTTGCAGTATTGAGTCGATGACAAACTTGAACATTGGAACCTCAAGAACGTCTTAGCGAACGATTCGTAGCACGAGATACGTTATAGCCCACGGGCGAAATGCCAATCGATCAAGCTATTCTGCACCTAGTGGCACGACATTTGGGGTCGGAACGCACCCGTTGCACGACGGTGGTTGGTGATGCCAGCGAAGTGGCTGCATACAACAAATCACATTGAACATGGATGATGCCGAGCTCAAACTGGACGGTGGACAAAGTGCCTCCATGGCCAAGAGCAGCCAGCATGCAACTACTCCGTACTCGTAATTTCGTTCTTTTAGCGACAATGACCAATAATGCATGACAGGGATAGAGCGACGTCGGGAGTTTCCCCCATTTTTTCAATCGAGTCGAGCAGTTTTAGGCTGCTCAACCTGCATAACTCGGTATCACCTCTTTCGTTATTCCACCAGACCACCCTCGCCATCATTGCATGATTGCACAAGGTTTTCGATTTCCGGCTCATAGATGGGCTAAGAATATCTCTCGACTCTATCATGATAGGTTCAGGCCTCCCGTACCTCGAGCTAGCCTTGGGTTATTTTCCTCTTGCATTTGTCCCTCCCGACCCCTCCTTCGCCATGGCTGGTCCCATGGTCCATCATCCATGTAGTAGTGCTTGCTCCACGAGCTAAGTACCCAAAGTCTCTTGGCAATGTGTCTCGTTGAGTCGTTGGACTTTTCAGCCTGATCATGAGATTCCAAGCTACAAGATCTCTTCCAAAAGGATACCAAAAGTCTTTGAAAACAGACAGCAAAAGAGCCGTAAGTTGTCCAGATGGACTCGCTGACCTTCCTTTCATCCTTTGTCCTTCATCCACACCCTTCCCAAAGGCACAGCATTATTGCCGAGCACGGCAGAGTTGGGGGCCAGTATCGATCTGCTAGGGTCGAACACCTTCGTACCGACGGGGCGAACTAGAAATGGCACTACATGGTTTGGGCTGATTCTAGGACGAATGGCTCGTCCTTGTGCAAGCCTCGCCCGTGTTCTCAAGCAACAAACTGCATGGTACGAGGTATCTCGTCTTGTCTTTGTGAGGCAGTCCCTCCTCGGTCTGCATTATTGCATGGCAGAACCGGCGAACCGCTGCCCTTGTTGCTCTCTTGTCTAGCCCCCTCCACTATCCGTCTTGACATGCGTTCTGTATTCGCTACATTCAAACTTCGCGAGCGAAAGCTGCACGATCAAGAAATCGTTGGCTCCAGGCTAGGCCATTCCATTCTCCGAGATTTCTGCTCAGCCGCAAGGATGCCTTTTCCTATTTGTAAATGCAGGCATCTCTGCTCTTTTGAGCGTTTCAGCCTTCCTTCTTCTTTCCACCTCTCTTGTGGAACCTGGTTTGCAAGCAGCAGCAACGAATCCTCTTTCAGTGCTTTGCGCGAGAGGTCAGATCCATTCGACTGGTCTGTGATAGACGCGTCGCTAAGCCGTCTACATCAATCACCTTGGACGAAGTCATACAGAATACTGTCTCCTTTTGTGAAGGGAAAGACTGCCCATCATGACTTCGCTATGCCAGAACACAGCAGATCCATTGTTGCTCTCGATTAGACACAACTCTGTCGCCGCCAATGGAAATGACGCTCGGGCCTGGGGTGTTTTTGTCGAGCTGGGAGAACCTGCTCAGCCATTTTCCATCCGCCCATCTATCGATGACTTCACCATGGTTGCCCTGTCAGACAACTGCCTATCAACAGACTATGCCTGTATTGCAAGGCGAGGAGGTGTATACAATCCCGAAGCTTCATCTGCAAACATTACCACCCTTGACATAGGTAGTTGGAACGGCACGATTCAACAATACGACGATACCATTTTCGACTATCACAATGACGTGCTTACTATTCCCCAAGCAGTCAACACAACTGAGGTATGGGGCTGGCCCTTCGTCAGCGATGACAAGGACTTGTGGGGTGAGTGTCGTATCTCCTCATCGATTCCCTCGGCTGACCAAATCTAGCAACTCGAAATTGGCTGGGTCTGGGCTTGAACTCTAGTTTTTTGACCGCTGCTGTTGATAGCGGTGCTGCTCCTTCGAAGTCGTGGGGTATGTGGACTGGAAGTCGATCAATTGATAATCCTCAAGACGGTATGCTTGTTCTCGGTGGCTACGACAATGCCCGGAAAGGGGGTGATTGGAAGGTTTTCCCTGGCTCCGAGAACTGCCCGACGTGCGTGCAGATCAGCAACATGGAGTGGGTGGACAGCACGAACAATGCGACATCGCTTTTCAATGGAACATACGAAGCGATCCAAGTCGCATTGGACCCTTGGTACGATACCATCCGTGTGCCACAGGCCATTTGGGAAGTCTTTGGTGATATCACCAAAGGTGTATATGATGATGACATTGGATATTTGACATGGCCTGCCGGTACTTCACCAAAGGGCAGCCTGAGGGTTACGCTCCAAGGTGGTCATGTTACGACTATCCCTGCAAGTGAAATATTCACCAAGCCAAGAGCCTACAACTCTTCAGGAGACCTCTACATCACAGACAACACCACCGAATTTGCTTTGATATACAACACTACCAGCACGGGCGCTTCCAGTACTGTGGGATCATGGGGGCTTCCCTTCTTGACCATGAATTATCTTGTCGTGGATGTACCAAAGAAGGAGTTCTGGTTGACACCTGCCGTGCGTCAAGATTTCCAGAATTCTGGTGGTGGTGGTGCTCTGGCCCTTCCATTGTGTTCGGGATTGGCCGCGACAACACCGACATCATCATCAACGCCGACACCCACTTCGCCTACTCCGGGTCCAACGAGCACGACAGCTGCAGCCAGTGGTGGTGGAACACCCACAGGAGCGATAGTTGGCGGCGTTGTAGGGGGAGTTGGCGGTCTTGCATTGATCGCACTTCTCGCATTCCTCCTCCTTCGCCGTCGCAACCGGTCCAAGAAGGAAGCCGAGATTGCCAATTCATCCGCCTATCCTCCTGCACCCCCCACACAGCAAGTCTTCCCACCTCAGCAACAACACTACGTCGGCCCTGCTGCTCCTCCTGGCGTCTACTCACCTACTCACAACAGTTATCCCAGCCCGCCATTCGGCAACTCGGCGCACAACTCAGTGGGCTATGCACCTATGCCGATGGGTGGATTCAGTGGCCCTCGAAGCGACTATTCGAACGATCACACCGGTCCGCAATTCTACAGTCCTTCTCCGTCTGTGAAGCCCGAGCACGCCTCCATGGTCTACTCTGACACTGCCACGGCCGTGCCCGAGCTTGCTTCGCCTGGTCAGCATCACCAGATGACATCCGAGTGGCGGGGCGAGAGGGATTCGAATGTGAGTTGTCCTAAAGTTTATTATTTCCCCGGGTTCCCTGTCCTCGATTTACTGACTCGTGATATAGAAAGATATGACCGCAACGGTATCGCGGCCCTTCGACAGTACTTGGCAAGAAGGCCCCCACCAAAGATGAGAGTTTATGGTACTTTTCCTCGGGAAGAGCAAGCAGTCGAGCGTAGGCACGGGAGTTGAAACAAAGACAACACACGCTCCTAGATGGGAAAACCAAACCACGCACAAACTCATCCGCATCCCATCTTTAATCCTTTGACGATCTGAAACGAGAATGAAATCCTCTCCAGGCGATATTCTAATTGTTATGTAACCTATCCAGCTGGGTTAGTCTGACGCATCTATGCATCTGGTTGGATTGAACACTGTAATGTCTTCATAATGGAAATTCACTGGCAATCGCTCCAGTTGACCTCCGGGTTTCCCATCGTTTCCGCATACCTATGTGTAAACGCAGAATAATGAAACGTAGCCGTGCTTGGTATTTCTGAAGTCTGCATGTTGTACATATGTTGTCTTCGTCTATCATGGTTGTTAATATACATACATCTAGGACCACTGTGGTTGTCGACGTTATCAAATACAACATACCACAGCGATTGAAGCCACTCCCGCCACCACGGAGTCGTCTCCCATCATTCCTCCTCTTTGATAGCACGTCCATTGACATCAGCAGCAGCAGCATCACCCGCCTGCTCCCCTTTCACATCAAAGGCGATCTCAATCTTCTCCACCACCTCAGCCTTTCTAACCACGGCCCTCCTCCCACCACCACCACCACCACCACCAGCAGCAGTAGGTTTCGACCCCCTGACCTCAGCCTTACACAAGCCGGTCCCGGCCAAATCACAGTCGCCACACCTACGGCCGACGGGCAAACAGACGGTCTGGCCGAGGCCAACGAGCAACTTGTTGATATCATGCCAGCGGTCGCGGGGCAACCAGGCCTGCAGGGCGAGGCGCGTCTCCTCGGGCCCTTTGGTGGCGTGCCAGCCCCACAGGTTCGTGATGCGGTGGACGTGGACGTCGACGCCGATGCCGAGGTCCTCGCCCCACGCCGCCGACATGCAGAGGTACGCCATCTTGGGCCCGACGCCGGGGAGCGCCACGAGCCCTTCGACCGTCGACGGGATGTCCGACTCGTATTGTGCCGCGAGGATCGCCGCCGTCTGCTTGATGTATTTGGTCTTGTTGTTGTGGAACCCGACTTTGCCGATCAGCTCGTCCAGGTGTGTTGCGTCGCTCGCCAGGATGTTCGACACCGTCAGTTGCGATTGGTGCTTCGGGTCGTCGGCCGTGCCGAATGGTGCGTCTGATTGTGTCGCCATTGACGTTGTTGGCTTGGAGTCCGGCATCAGTTCTCGGTGGAGGCGCTGCATGGCCACCGCTGTGACGGTGTCTTTGGTCTGGCTGGACAGCATCAGTGCGGTGAGTGTATGGTAGCGTTTCTCCTTCGGCGGGGCGCCGCGCCAGTATAGGTCCTCGCAGCCCATCGTGTCGACTGGAGCCGTGGGATTCCGCTGCCGCATGGCTTTGACGATGTCGTAGATTTCCGACCAGTTCGACGGCGGCTCAACCGTCACCGTGCCGCTGGGCGATACCCGTCTGCGTGCTGGCTTCTTCGGTTTCGCCTTCGCTTTGCGCTTGACTGGCCGGCTCTCCTGATCCTCTCCCTCCTCATTCTCGTCCTCGTCCTCTGGCTCGATCTTGACTTTTCGTGGCGACACGCTCGTGGTTTCTTGCTTGATCGTAGCCACAGACACCGATGCTGCGACAGGCGAAGTTGTCCCCGATTTCCGCTTTCTGCTCGCACTGACCACGGATTTCGCAGCTGGCAAGGCATCTTCGATGTCCGGCGTGACGCTCAACTCAGAGACTCTGTCTTCTGTTTCTTCCTGTTTGAACTGCACTTCTCCATTGTATCCCAGGGCGAAGGAAGCGAGTCTCTTTGCGCTCCTTGTTGAGCGGCCTGACGCGAGGGTATTGGGAGAGATCGCGCTGAAGATTCGCGTGGTGTCCTGGGAGACCTTGGAGGTACGCATTATAATTGAGGATGGCGACGATCTGTCATTGACCTAGCAGTGAAATTGAGCAGAACCGCAGTGGGTAGAAGAAGTTGATCGACTGGTCTATGTCATCACTAGGGAATATATTGAGCTGCGGTGCAGAATTCTACCCGACGGGATTGGCCGTAGAGCCCGCGCTCCTGGGGATCACAGATCGCGTATAGGGGTCAGGCTTCCCCGCGTCTCAAAGTTGAGGGCGCCCGGACTTAACCATTCTCCAATTTTATTAGGCACCGGGTCGCTTAATCTTCGGGGGCTATTGGGGTTCTTTGGGCCTCAGACTCACCTCTTCCTTAGGTAAGCGGATATCACTCAGCAACCGAGGCTGAGGGGATCCAGAACCATGAGGCTGGCGCCTCGCTCGTGAGGCTGGGCCAAAACAAACATCTGCAACCATATCAAAATCAAAGGTCTCTTATTTCACCCATGTGCTCGTACCGTTGGTAATTTAGCAGGCCATTGCCTCAGAATATATACTCAGATACAGGCACAAGTCTACTCATCCCCTCTGAGCTCGAATTTGATGCCATTTCTACCGAACGCCAAATCCTCCTCTTCCACCAAATCCCGATCCCGCTCCGCCTCACAGACCCAACCACCACCCACCTCCTCCACCTCACCTCCCAGAATCGAGATGTCCAGCTCCGACAAATCCTCACGAAGCAGCAAAAACGCACTCAAACGCCTGACGCACGAGATCCAAGACCTTCAAACCTCCCCACCAGACAGCGTGCTCCACCTGGGGCCCGCGAACGACGAAGATCTATTCCAGTGGGAAGCAGTGCTACGAGGACCGCACGACCCGTCATCACCCTACCACGGCGGCCTGTGGCTGCTGTCCATTTCCGTCCCGCCCAACTATCCGCTCGCACCGCCCAAAGTCTCCTTCGTCACGCCCATCTGCCATCCGAACGTACATTTCTCGACAGGGGAGATCTGCTTGACACTGCTGTCCGGCGAGCACTGGACGGCCGCGTATAACCTCAGCACTACCGTCAGCGCGATCCAGCAGTTGCTGTCGGCACCGGGGCTGGATAGTCCGCTGAATGTCGATATTGCGAACCTGTACAGAGAGGGGGATGCGATTGGTGCCGAGGGGCTGGTGAGGTTCTGGACCGCTGAGAAGAGGTGGGCGGGTGAGGGGAAGGCTGGCTGGATCAGTGAGCGTCGTCCTGGCACTGGTGGTAAGCTGGGGGAATGAGATCTATAGGTTTTGATGACGAGACTGGATAAGCGCTACAAAAGGAGATGAGTTCACAGAAAAGCAGGAAAACAGGAAGAAGACAGGACTCCAGCTATTTGTATATCGGAAGGTTACGTTGGTGTTATTAGCTGAAGCGCGTCCAAAGGCACAGCGTGGTCGGTGTTCGTGTGTTTGGTATAACATTATTTATCGAAGTTTTCGAACGATCTTGATTTTCTCCCAAGCTCCATGCTGCAAACCTTTGGGACTGCCAAACTCAGACTGCACAAGCAATTTCAGGATCAACCAACTGCTGGAATTGCAACAGTGTCTACAGAAAGCTGGATAATTGAAGCTTTGTCCGAGAGAATTTGCTCTGCCATATCCTCAAGACTCCTGCCGACTCCCAGGGTCATCGCTCAAGATTTCCCGTTTGAATATGAAGAGCCAATTCAGTGATACGCCACGGATATTTAGATGGCATGGGTATGAAATGCTGACTGGGATGGTTCCAGATCGTCATCCAGGAGTTACTCGATTGCTTTGAGAGATAATGGCACTCCAAACCTTGAATATGGAGATGACGAAATGCTGCTTCGGATCCGAATATATCCGGTTCGGCCTATCATGGCATAACATTCTGTCTCTTAGGCATATGGCATTGAAAGGACTGCTCGGCTGACATCAAGATAAAACAATCCTATCTCTCATAACTCAACGATTGGAGAGAGTGTGTGTCCTGCAACTCTATCTATCTGATTGCTCTGTCTCCATGGGCGCTCAAATGGTACCACGCATACGCTGCATCCGCCACGGACAAGGCTTCCACAATGTGGGAGCCGGGTGCTACACTCTTCGCGACCCGTTCCTGACTCCTCTCGGCGAAGAGCAATGTCAAACTCTGCGGGACACATCTTTCGCAGACCAATCTCGCATCTCCCTTGTCGTGGCCTCTCCGCTGTGCCGAACACTTCAAACTGCATCTCTGATGTTTGGTCAAACACTCGACTCCAACAGCAAATGCTCACCGCAGATCCTCGCACTACCAGACACCCAGGAGACGTCGGACGATCTTTGCGACGTCGGCTCGGACCCAGCAGTTCTCCAGAAAATCGTTGCCGACTTCAAGTGGCCCGTCGACCTCTCGCTCATCAAGGATGGCTGGAACGACAAGACTTTAGAGAGTCGCTATAGTCCACACAGCGACGCCATCGCTGCACGGGCACGAGATGCTCGATTATTCTTGCGGCAAAAGATCCGCGAGCTGGTCGACGGCGGCAGCGACCCCGATGTCGAAATCGTCTTGGTCACCCACGGAGGATACTTACACTATTTCACGGACGACTGGGAGGACGCGTTCCAATTTCCCGGGACTGGCTGGCGGAATTGCGAGACGAGGACTTACACGTTTGAGAATGGGTTTGCGGAAGACACGGATGGCGATGCGAGGTTGATTGAGACGCTGGAGAGTCGGCGGAGGCGAGGCAAGACGGATCCCATGTCTGGCAGGGAGAAGCAGCCGGGGTTGTTTGAATTGGCGATGCAGAGCTGGGAGAATCAGGGTCTGCCCCGGCCTGACAGACTCGGAGTGGCGCTGAAATCGATTTGAGTCCTAGAACTGGCGAGAGCGGGAGATAGAGTTGCTATCATAGATTTCGGACCTATATAGATACTGGATACCACTTGTTCTACATCATTAGTTGACGAGCAGGTGGGTTCTATTCTTCAATGCGTCTCCGGTAGATCATCACCAATATATCTGCTTAGCGATATAAGAGCGCATCACATCGTTATTGGGAGTATCTAGGTCATAATTGATAATAAGCTTCGGATTCGAGTAGATACTTTCTAGTGAATTGGATCTCTGGCAGCGGTGATTGAGTATGGGGTGAGGTGCCATCGTACATTAGGAGCGCCGCCAAGGCCTGACGAGGCTTTGTGACGGAACTGCAAAATCAACCTCATCAGGTAGTCCAAATTCCTGTGACGATCACCTTGGACATTTTCAGAGCAGCAATCATGTTGGATAATGACCTAAAGAGTAAACGGTAGAACCTGTGAAGTCAGTGGCCTGGATGTCAAAAAACTCCAACTCACCCATGAAAACCCCCACACTTCGAAGTTCGCCTCGCAGCCTCCGGCCGCTCATGTGCACATCACTCTAGGAGATATTGAGATTGTCGATTTCTGGACAGTTCACCCTTGAGGACTCGCCAGGGTATGAATTGTACCATCTACACCATCGTCAAGAGATCATTCATCATCGAGAGTCATTCAGAATGGCACCAAAACCGGCGCTCCCACCCGGGCCGTTTTTCACGACTCTGGCACATCTCCTGACGCTCGAGCAAGCATCCGAAGTTGCCGAAACCAGCCTGCTCCTGTCATCAGCACCGCCAGGACAACTCGCACGCGCGGGCCTCGCGATCCTGTCACTGACGATCGCGTCCCTCAAGACCGGTCTGGGCGGCCGCTCTGTGGTCGAGCTCTCGCTCGACTCGGCCGTCGTGGCCAAGGATTCCCGAGGCGAGCTGCCCGAGCATGGCATCCGCACCGGTGATATCGTGCGCGTCGGGGAGATGCCCAAGGGCACGGCGAAGAAGAAGGAGGTCACGGAGTTGAAGGGGAAAGGCGTCGAGGGCGTCGTGACGAGAGTGGGTGAGAGGGCTGTTTGGGTCGCGCTGGGGAGGGATGGTAGTGCTGCTGCTGGTGGCGGTGATGATGTCGAGGCTGTGCCTGATGGAAAGTTGTGGATGTAAGTTTCTTGTGTGGTAGGGGTGAGGGCTCTACAACGGTGATAACACGAACAGTGTGAGCTGACGGGTGTTGCTTTTAGTGTCAAGCTCGCAAACGATGTCACGTACAAACGGTAAGTTTAATCTACTTGGGCTCTGGAGCTGAGCGTTTCAAAGCACAGATCTGACTGCCCAAAAAGCATGCACCAGGTCCTGACCAAGATTCTCAAGACTCCCGAATCATCATACACATCATTGCAAAGTGTGCTATTAGGCCTATCGTCGCCGGGGACAGTGGACCCCTCACAAATCAAAGACCTCGAATTCCTGGATCCAACCTTGAACGAGTCACAGAAAGATGCTATCCGCTTCGCACTCTCCTCGCCAGAGATCGCCCTGATCCATGGACCGCCCGGCACAGGCAAGACGTACACACTAATCGAGCTTATCCTCCAATTTCTAAAACGAAACCTTCGGGTTCTCGTGTGTGGGCCCAGCAATATCAGTGTGGACAACATCGTGGAGCGACTTGCGGCAGCGTCGCCTTCGACCCCGATCGTCAGACTCGGACATCCTGCGCGCTTGTTACCCGGTGTGTTGAACCATTCTCTCGAGGTTCTGACGCGCACGAGCGAAGCCGCAAGTATAGTCAGTGACGTGCGGAAGGAAATGGATGAGAAGCAGGCGTCAATACGAAAGACTCGAAATGCCCGTGAGCGGCGTGCGATATATGGAGATCTGAAGCAACTGAGGAAAGAGTATCGCGAGCGCGAAGGCAAATGCGTGGATGGCCTCGTCACCAGTAGCAAGGTCGTTCTGTCAACCTTACACGGTGCTGGCGGCTATCAGACTCGGAACCAGGAGTTTGACGTCGTGGTGATTGACGAGGCAAGTCAGGCGATGGAGCCGCAATGTTGGATTCCGCTGGTATTTGCCGGTCAGAACGTGAGGAAGCTGGTGTTGGCTGGAGATCATTTGCAGCTACCTCCTACCGTCAAGAGCGCGGACGACAAAGAGAGTAAAGAGGAGAGAAAGAAGGCACTGAAAGGGCTCGAGGAGGAACTTGCAAAACTGACCGTCACAGAGCAAGAGCAAAAGACCGCAATAGGATGGTCTCTAGAGACGACCTTGTTTGATCGTTTATTATCTATGCACGGTTCGGGGATCAAGAGGCTGCTCAACACGCAGTATCGCATGCACGAGAACATCATGCGGTTTCCGAGCGACGAACTATACGACGGAAAGTTGGTCGCAGCAGATGCAGTGAAAGCGCGGCTGTTGAAGGACCTCCCATATGAAGTCCAAGAAACCGATGACACAATCGAACCCTTGGTCTTCTTCGACACGCAGGGCGGAGATTTTCCCGAGAAGACGGAAGACCAGACAGATGGTCCGGTGAAAAAGTCGGTCTTGTTGGGTGACAGCAAGAGCAATGAAATGGAAGCAGCTGTTGTGTCAATGCATGTCAAGAACCTTACCGATGCCGGGGTCAGAGACGAAGATATTGCTGTTGTGACCCCATATAACGCACAGCTCGCAGTCCTGAGCTCGATGCTCAAAGACAAGTATCCCGGGATCGAATTGGGAAGTGTGGATGGATTCCAGGGGCGGGAAAAGGAGGCTGTAATTGTCAGTCTGGTCAGAAGTAACGCGGAAAAAGAGGTTGGATTCTTGGGTGAGAAGAGGAGATTGAATGGTAAGTTTTCGCAGTCGCAAATTGGGAGTCTTCGGAAGTTTCGTCGTGCAAGCTCTCATTCCTTCCCGCTGCGGGAGAAAGGGCTGCTTTTGGCATTTTCCACGCGGCTATCCAATCTCAAGTCATGCAGTCCAAAAGGAAAGACAGGCTAACATTTGATATGCAGTTGCAATGACAAGACCGAAAAGACATCTGTGCATCATCGGAGATTCCGAGACAGTTTCTCGAGGGAGTACATTTCTGAAGAGATGGATGAAGTTCCTCGAGGATCATGCCGACCTCAGGTATCCCGCTTTGGACGACCTGGAAGTGGGCTGACATTCAGTTATGCATGTGTTGGCTTTTGGCCCCGACACGAGGGAATCACAACTCATACAACAGACCAAGGAATGGAGTTGCAGTGAATCATTACCTGAGTAGCCCAATTCATCGTGGGATTACGGGAGATGAGGACATTTGATTTCGACAACTCCGCGTGACGGTCGCAGGGAGTTGCCGTCAGTAGGATGAACAAAACTCTCTAGAATTATTCGAGAAGTGTCATGAATGGCCAGCGATAGCAGTGACCTGCATCGAAGGGGTCGCGTCACTGGCAGGCCTGAATGCGACAACGGTCCTTTTGATACAACCTCCGAGGTCAGCTGTCGGCATTTCGCACGCAAACTTTCTGACAATCTAGCCTTACAAAGATGACCCTGGACGCGCAGCTAGCTTCCTCACAGCCCAGGGACATCAATAAGGGCGAACATTCGGGGCAACCGAGGAATAGTTGATAAGGTTGCATGAAATATCAGCTTCGGATAGGTCTAAATACATGATGGAAGTAGACTAGATTATCAAGTGATGATGATCATCCAAAGTCTCTGATCGAAAGTTCGTAAGTTCCAGGTTAATCGTTCGTTTCATAAAAGTCAAATTCTTTACGTGTCGACCAATGATGGAGAGTATCGCGGCTTTGCAAGTTGGTGGCCAGTTCGGTGTGGACCGAGTTTGAGGTGCAGAGGTTCTTGGGTGGGATCGAATCATCAAGAAGAGGCTCTCAAAGTGACAGCTGATCAGTGGCAAAGGGCAAAGACCCTCCCGGCTCTAGTTCCAGTAGGTGCGGATATGCCAGTCAGACCTGAGGGTTCGGTACGGAGCATGTCTGTGGCTAAGTTCACGACCTTATTCGAACTTGGAAACATCCGTAGAGAGGCCGATTTAGAGTAGTTGCCTGAACTTGAACTGCAGATACCGTCGCATGACACTGTACACTGTGCGGATACTGCACATAGGCTTTGGGCGGAGATTAGTAGGGGGATAGGTACTCCTTGAGTGGTAGCATCTCAAATCACTCTGGCCGAAGCTAATTGTATCAAGACGGCCTAAGTATGCAGTATGCGAGTTCTCCGGAGCCAAACCCGGTGTGTAGTCGAAACTAAGGAAACCTGAGGAAGAATTAAGTGCCAACTACCAAGTGATTGCCAGCGACTTGGAATTGGAGGAGAAGAGGCCAATTGTGCGAACCAAGGAGCAACAAACCAACGACCCTAACGGCCACAACTCAGGCTAAAGATGACTTGCAGCTGGATGCATGGCGCAGGGGTAGACCACTCAGCAGTGAGGACGAGTACGGAGTATCCGTACCTCGAGTAGGTGGGGCAATAAGAGCTCCAAACGTACTCGTACTCTGTAGGATGCAACCTGGCGTCGGTGTTGGCAGGCATCGTGTTGTTGCATCCGCATGATATCCTTGGTGACGGTAACTCGGGTTGTGGTGGTGAAGAACAAAGAGATTTTTACGGTATAGAAGGGTTCTTTGTAGTTGGTGTTGGTGTTGGTGTTGGTTGTGGCAGATGGCGGTGAGGTTGACACAACTCGAACACCTTTGAACCATTAATCTCAGAGAGAGGGACTATTCAAGACACATTAACGATGAACAGAGGCCCCCCCCCGCGTGGAATTGAACGCCGAAACCCCAGTGCTCAGATAGTCCGTAGCACTCTGAATCTGATGGAAAAGGCACTTGGAAGCTCGGTTAGAGTAGGGCATGTCACTAAAGGACAATCCCTAAGGCAGGCCAATGCCAATATCCAAAGCTAAGCAGGGATGTGGCCCGTTCACGCCCGTTCTAGCTAAACTATCGGGGCACCGGTCACCTAGATGCCCAGCGTGCGGCAGTGAGTGGTCCGCCATCGCCAGCCTTGACGCCCACTATTTCCTCTTTCTATCAATCTGGAGTCACCTGGGTTCACTTTGGTGCACACCCTCGCCATGTCCATCCATGTCCATCCATGTCGGTTTTCACTCTTGAAACGCCAGCACAACCGGTGGGACTCAAAACAGCATGACTACGAGTACCTTCCAAGTCGGTATTCTGCAAACTGTCAGTCGTGCTGTCCGCACGCCGTCACTGCTGTCAATCAGGTCAAGCCCGAGGGCTCAGCCATTTACTGCATTGCCATCCTCGCGAAATATCAACTTTGGCAGCCACCACCGCTTATCCTCCACCCTTTGACTGGCTCTTGAGCGGGTCGAAGCGATACCAAAGTCGATCCTATCCTAGATTCCTCACCATAACTATTGTCTTGCCCAATTAACTTGCTACCTTCCTTCCCTTTCTCCCCGTCGCAGTACGAGTCCTCATCGTTGTAGGTTCACGTTGATCTGAACTAAATCGGACTCCCACGCACCACGTTTCTCGTCCTTCGTGGCCAGCACCAGCCCAGCCTTTCGCGCTCCGCTCACCTCACTCCTACATATTCTGGCCCTGGGAGGATCTCTCTTGCTCACTCAGATTTTCGGCTTCTTTCATTCCGCCCCTCGCCTATATTCCTACTCTTCGTTCGGTTGCCCTGCTTCTTCCTTGGCCAGTGTCTCTGTCGCTTCTTCAGTTTCTAAATCGCCTTTCTTGTCCTTCCTTGACCCTATTTCTGCCATCACCAGGACTCTCTGGGTATCTGCTAAGCCCTTCTCTCGCTGCGAAGCCACCTGGTCTTACCTTATCTTGGAGCACTTTTGCGATTCGATAATCTTAATCTGCACACATCTCCGCCGGGGAACTGCCCTAGACTAGAATCTTGGAGCTTCATCCATCGCCTCAAACGCCACAAGTTATATCTATCACTTCTCGTCATCCACTCAGAAAGCAAGTGGCCCTCAACTTGTCGGTGTGACTCGTCGATACTGATTGTCATCCTAAGCCAAGCTGTTGTGACTCAGATTCGGCCAACAGGATGTTGACATCGTCTGTATCCGTGGTTATTCGTCCGTCCTAGATTCTCACCCATAAGTACTCGCCTCCATACCCTCGACCAGGATGCCGTCCCCGAACCATCGCACACGAGCGTCGCTTGGTGCACCAGCTACTGGGGCGGCATTGCGACGTGGTGAGGTCAAAATCTCCGATCCCATCCCTTTCGATACCAACGACTACTACACCACATATAATCCAGTTACTCCGTCCAAATATCCTTCTGGTCTAAGGGTCGACGACTCTACTTGGCCGCGCAAGAGCAATCCCGGTGCCGAATTTCACTATCGACATGCTTCGACCGGCAACGTTCCAAGTAGCACGGCAAGGGCTTCAATGGGGCCGTCCCTTATGCCAAGCAGCATGTCTTCCGTCCCATCGAAAGCGTCTCTCAGTCAAAGAAAGCAAGGAGGCTTTCGAGCTGCTCTAAAACGTATGTTCTCTAGCAAGAGACATAGGTCCGTCCCCAGTGATGTTTCCGACCAACAATACTTTCGAGGCGAGCCGGGTTATCTCAATCCAGTAATGGAACAACATGTTGTTACTCGTGCTGAATCCAACCCAGCTCTGAAATCCAGTGCGCATTCCACTACCTTCGGACTGAACCCCAACCATCAGCAGTCAGACTTTCTTGATGATCAGAATATCGAACTCCCTCCACGGCGCGGGCGCCGAAACACCTTGCCGAGTCTGGTTTTCAGTGATCGTGAATCTGGCCTAGTCCCTGCTATCAGCGAGTGGTCAGCCGGAGATTCCCAGCCAGACAAGAAATGGGTCAAAGAAGATTATGTATCGGATGGTCAATTGAAACGTCGATCTAGGAGTGCCGACGCTCTCAACCAGCTTCTACGACAAGAAGGAGTGGAGCCAAGTTCCAAGAGGGATCGGGCAAGTGAGATTGCCTATTGGCGGAACAGTGCCATTCAAAATCCTGTGCCGGTCTTCAGTGGCCAAACGATCACCGTTGATCCTGTACACGTTCCGCAAACAGTTGCTTCAATAGATGGATCGGAGCCCACTTCGTCGGTAATCAATCCTCTTCAGACCTTTGACTTCGGCCTTGATGGTAGTGACAAGTACGACACAAGCATTGAGCAGCGAGTAAATACTCTGGAAATCAAGCTATTTGACTTCGAGTATGCCATTGCCAAACTTCAAGGCAACGAACTACAAAAGCCAATGCTCAACTCGAGACAGCAGCAACGCGGCTCGATACATAACATTTTCCCTGATGACACCACGTATCCGACAATGACCACGGCATCCTCTTCAGAATTCAATTTTTTGTCATCACCCGAATCAACGACACAGGATGTTACATTCTTATCATCACCTGGAGAGTCGCCACCTATTTCACCGGACAATGACGAGTTATTCAGACCACAACGAGCAAGCAAGGCAACAACTGCTACTATCAGACCATACACAGCTCGGAGAAGATCGCCACGTTCGCCTTCGATTCATCTCTCAGCAGAGCGATTTGAAAGATTGATGGAGATTATGAGAGAAGAGCAAATAGCTCGACGGAAACTGGAAGAGCAAATGTCGGAGCTACGACAGGAAATTGAAATCCTGCGCACCCCAATATTTGCAACTATCCGAGAAGCATATCCCACTCCAAGTCCCAAATCATCCCACACCAATGCAACTCCACGATCGCTCCACCGAGCACCACCATTTCAGAGTCCCGCTTCCGCAGAGATATCGCGTTTCAGTGGTACCGAGGTGGACTCGGATCCCGAAGAGGGAAACGGGTTTGAAGATGTATACGAAACACCCCACGAAAGCCGAAAAACTTTTGAAACGGCTCGAGGTTCACCAAGCCAAGTAACAGCATGATATGATTCAGGTTTTTTTGAAGGCTTTGATAGCTTTTAATGTGCATAATTTCGCATTGGTTTCCGATGGTATAGCTTCCCCTGCCCATTTCGATTGGAGCTTTTTTGTCAAGAGTTCAGGTTGTGGAACGATGACATTTCTGAGGGATCGTGACAGGATTGAAGTCTTTCATTGACAATGCATATTATCACCAGCAGATATATAATACTCTGCATGGCTGCCTCTATTTTTGAGCAGTATTTGGAAGAGAGATACCCAATGAGGAGTGACAAAGCTCTAGTAATCCAGAGCCGGGAGGCCTTTTGTACAATATATACAGTTAGGAGACATATATTTGTCCTTTTGAGAGATGTCAAGAATAGCATCATGAAGCAGATCACCTTGTTATCCAAATTGTTGTGTTCCAGGTAGTGGTGGTGAAGAATGCTTGCATTTCTTTATTGAAGTCTGGCGGAATGAGGCTACGTGGACAAGGCTGAAACCAGGGGCTGGAGATTGTGCACGTGATAGCCAAGAGAAATTGGAGTTGGAGAAACGAGTTCCATTCAAGTTGGAGCAGCCTGGGAAGTTGATTCTCTAGATCACTTGCAGAACCGGCCAGTTGTGCAGCAGATGGACATCAGCAAAAAGCGTGAATGACTCCGTTATCGGTTCGTTGATTGCTATTCTCCAGTAGTGAAGACATTTCTCGGTGAGGGCAAACATGTCTTCGTCTCTCACGCGCCTCATCCCTCCCACCCCAGCCCAATCCAGTGCCAAAGCACGGCTACTCACTCCCACGACGCAACCGATCCCACTCCAGAGCTCGGCACTAGCAAAGCGATACAGCTACATCCACACCGCACTGGTACCGGCGTACTACTACCTCCGTGCATCAGAGCTGGTCAAGGATCCTCTGCCGACACTAATCACAGATGTCGTGGTCGTGGCCTTGGTGCAGGCACTCTTCTGTGTCCTCTCACTCCCAACTGCTGGAAGCTGGGCTAGTGGTACCAGTGGAGGCAAGATAATCGAGGGGACGGCCACGATCAAGAGTCCTAAGGCTTCCAAGGTTACTGGAGGGGCCTCCGCGGTCGGTAGCATGCGGAAGAAGGTCGGGCCTGTGGGAGCCAAAAGTTCATCCAGACCGGGTGTCATCACTGAGAGCGTTGGGCAGAGAGTCATGGTGAGTTATTTACAACTTTTCTTTGATGGTCTTGCTTTTGGACTCTGGCCTTTGAAGACGAAGACCGTCCCCGTGCTGTGCCAAAGGAAGTGAAGCCACTCATGCTAATTATCTACCAGCCAACTTTCTTCTCCCTCGTTCTAACTCTCGTCGTTCCGCCAATCCCCCTCACGATCATCGCCCTCGTTCTCGGCGCGCCTCTCTACCCAACCTCTCTCCTATATCACACCCTCCTCCTCGCGCTGCATGTATCTCTACTCGCCTTCCTACCTATCTTCTACGCGCACGGTGTCTCCTCCTCTGCTTGGCGTGATGTGGCTGCTGCATGGCTGCCGTTCGACGAAGCAGGTGTGTGGGCCGGCACTGTTGGAGCCATGGTGGGCGGTTGGGTCGGTGCGGTCCCTATTGCGCTTGACTGGGATCGTGAGTGGCAGAAATGGCCATGCACGGTCGTCTGGGGTGTTGTGCTGGGGTGGACAATGGGGAGAGTTCTGACGAGTGTTGTTGGGTTGGGTGTCGGTAAGAGGATCGACCTCAGCGAGACGGAGGAGGAAAATCACCATGCGAGACCCGAATTCGTCCTCGCGGAGAAGAGTCGTTGATACGTGGATTGGTATAATCAAACTGCATCGGTTGGATACTTGATGTTAACGCTCTTAAATGAAGCCAAGAGCACTCTATCAAAGTCTTGACAAGCGAATTACCAGAGTCACATACTTTCTATGAGCGATGTTGGTTGGGAAGTCGATTGTTGTGACTTTTCCCATGAAAGAACCACCATTTACACTCGAAAATCCGTCGGGGTTATTCACAGCCGACCGGATCTGGGGCTATCTCGAACGGCAGAAGTTCCAGGACACTGTCGACCACAATGACAAGATGAATGGAAATCCGCATTCTCATCAAAACTGTATCAATTCAAGAGCAAGATTTTGCTAGTGTCTTTGCCACACATGCCAGCACTCACCGATGAACGGGGCTCGACCAGCGGCAAAAAAGCAATGAGATGAGGAATGCCAGTTAGAGTATGGATGATGAGCAAGATCTTGCAACAACGACGACAAACCCACTTCTCCTCGTCCCACATATTATTGACACCTTCTATCCTTCGTCGTGCAGAGAACGGAGGTGTGGGGGTGGATTACCCAGCCTACGAGTAAGGCCCCGAAAGATCTGGAAACAAATCCGAAACAAAATTCCCTTCAGTCCTCTCCGGGGCCAGGCTTATCCGGCCTTGCCCTTCTTTACATTCTACGAGTACGACGAGTACGAATCGGGCCAATGGGCGGAGTAAGAGGCGATTTCGGTCGCGGAGATCTACCACTAATCCGTACGATCAAGTGGGCGCGCAGGAGAGTGTATAGTGGGACAGATGGATATCTCTGGAGTAGCAACCTGGAAGACGAGGGCAAGGGCAAGGGCTTGGAAAGATACAAACAGACTAATTGGATGGATGAGGGTCATTAGGCCTGAAGGATTCTTCTAGGTGATAGCCATACGAGTAGGGAACTGCAGCCTGAAAACAAGTACGAGTACCTGGGTCACTCTCATACCCAGAGGATACAACTTTCAAGTTGGTAGCAATCCCGGTTCTATTGGCTTAACCCCAGCTGAAAATCCCTTACCTTGTACACAGGATCATGGTACTTCCACATTCTGCGACAATCCCCTCCAAGTTGCAAGTACCTTGACTTCTCCGCAGATGGGCAGGGCAGTTTTTCGACCCAGTGCCTACTAGGTATCCGTTGACCGTAACTGCTCCAGTGGTCTAACTAGTACAGTGCTACTCCGGGGTCGATCCAAGTGCGCCCATGTCGACTCCACAGTTCCACCAACGATCATCCCTTCCCTTGACTAGGTATCCGTATTCACATATCCGCACTGGCACGGCCCTGCCGATCCAGAAGGGACTTTCGAGACGTTCAGTTATTATTGAGAAAGAACCAGCTGGACTCGAGTCTCGACTCGAGGGTCGAGAGGAGGCCCACCCTCACCGCCGCTGATCTTGCCCTGCCATCTCGGGGTTTTCCGTAAATATCCTGTCTTCCTCTTGCAGAGGGCTTCGCTCTCGTTGTCTATAACTACATTTCCGCGAGTCAGGTAGGCCAACCTCGTAACACTACTGCATCAAGCGCGAACCTCGGAGGGACTTTGCCTCGCAAGGCATGTATGTCTATCCAAAGCTCGTAAACTACGTATGATAGTATCTGTAGACTGTAGGTGCTCCGGACACTGCCCGCTGCCTGCCCACTGGGGCGAAATCGCTGCGAGAGTCATGGTGCCTGTGTATGTACCAACAGAGCACAGACTGGGTCCTGGTTAGTCAAGGCTGATTTCTGATGTCTGTGCGTATATGATAGCGGGTGAAGTCACAGTGACTCACGTGTCGACGCCGTCATGTGGTATGGTTAATGGGCTCTGGTTGGGTGTAGTGGTGGTGTTGATTTATTGACTCTTAACATTGAGGAGCCATTGCTTCAACTGGTAGGCGCTGGTAGGCACTTTCAAAGAGGACTGGCATTGGACTTACTTATGTTGTGACTCTTGGGTAGATTAAATCAAAAGTCAGCTGCTGTGTAGACGAAGCAAGCCATTGGAAAGAGAATGCAAGAATTGCATGAATGGCTTAAGATGGAGTGATTTCAAGTTTGAAGCATTCTTTTCATGATCATTGCTGACTTTTGGTGTATCGTATGTATATACATGTCCCCAAGCAGGTTTGGGTTTTGGGTTTTGGGGTATACGGTATCAATGCTTCAGTTCACTTAACTTCTGCTTCATCTTCTTTCTCACTCTTGGCTCCCAAATTGGTGATCTCTCAAGCTCCAATGGCACCAGTCCAATATCGTAAGCTTTCATTCCACCCAACACCTGCTTCTCCTGCGATCCACGTCAACGCCCAACGCATATTTGTACAGTTAGTTGGCGGAACTAAATTTCAGACTAGAATGAAATAAAAAGAACGTAAGAGTACGTTTGTGTAAAGTGGATCGTTATGACATGCAAGATCTAATATTTCAAGATCGATTGCAGAATAAAGTTGGGGGGTTACTTGTTCGGATCGACGGCCTCTTATCCAAAGTAGGTCGGATAACATTGTAACCCCAAATGAGCTCATTCTTTTTGTGAGCCTGTTTCTTAAAAACTGGTGTTTTCCCAAACTCCGTCGCCATGCATAAATGAAAATACAATGCAGGTAAATGCAAATAAAAAACGTGGTAACCAACGTCTGAGGCCTTAACAAGGCCGAATGCGGTCATCATCACAATCGAATGTAGTCATCCAGCACCTGGGGTATAGGGTGGTCTTCAACTCTTCGTTTCTCGTGATCGTGCCATACTCTGTGATATTATAACCCTATCGTCAATGCTCCATCTTTGAATATTTATGCAGCTTGTACTGGGGTCCTACCCAACCGGTAATTGCTTGCAGCAGAGTTGAAGATACGGTTCATCACACCACCGAATCCAGTCTCTGCCTTGACCTTCTTGGATGGCTGCTGGCTCTCGCCTTGGAAGCTGGTCTGATGGCCTTTGAGACTTGGTCGACCGATAGCTGTACCATAAGCACTGTGGTAGGAGGCATCGGGACTTTGTGTCAGGTCAACCACGACAATACTGTCATCAATATTTGATGAAGCTGTGTATGGTGTGCCGCGTGACGTAGGTGCAAGTGAGGAAGATCGAGATCTTAATGAAGGAGCCATTGATGAAGACCGTGAGCTGGAGTGGCTATGCATTGTACCAGGCCTGCTGGAAACAAGGGGAGGAAGATCACGGAGAGAAGGAGGTGACATAGATCGGTTGCTGATATGATGACGGAAAGGTGATGGGAATCGCTTGTGGCTAGGAGCGGGTAGTGAGAGTGAGCTGTTGTTGGATCTGTGGCGAGTATATCGTCCACCAGAAAGCTCTTCGTCGGCATAGGAGCTGGGTGAGTCATACACACCAACTGCTCTTGGTGGAGGAGTGGCGAGAATTGGCAGCTCGTTATCCCGGACCTGGCGAGATGGTGGTAGAGGCAGACCAACTGCGGAGTCATAGGAAGCTTGGTGCGAATGCCAGTGTCGGTGGCTGCTGATGAGCTCAGCCTCCTCCTGTTGTAGTTCCATCTGGAAGCGAATAGGGGCCAGGAAGGGTTCGAAATGCTCGAGGAGATCCTCCTCGGTGACTCTGGTTTCAAACTCCAGGAGGTACAGCAGTTGCCTTTCCATCAAGTTCACTTCAGCCAGACCGAAACCGAAACCCTCAAATCCCTTGACGGTGGTATATCTGGCCCAGTGCTTGTTCTTGGGGCTGGAGTCGTTGAGGTTCTTGGCTGCTAGGATCAAGGCAGCCAAGAAGATTCTGTGAACGGTGCATCGCATACCCTTGGCCACAGGAGGTAACCTTGAGCGCAGACGTGCGAGGTATACCAGAGAGGTCATAAGAGTTGGGACTTGAACGGATGATCTGTTGACGAGGGAGGTGATGAACTGTTCCAAGGATGGCAGTGGTGCCTGGGCGGGCTCTGAAGCGGCATTCTGTGGAGGTGTTGAGGGAGGTGTCGGCAGACTATCTGATGTGCTGGGTTCCTGATCACAGCGAATGACCTGTGATGCTTGTTTGGCCAAATGTTGAATCATATAACTCCTCACTGGTTGGCGAACGAACTCTTCAAGAGCCGCCCGGTTTTGGGTGGTGTCATGTCTGGCAGCCATGGTAATGGACTTGGGGGCAGAAAGTGAACAAGTGATATAAAGGTGGGGAGGATAAAGAGACGAAGGAGTGGTTTGAAAGTGAGGCACTTTCAGCAGTATAAGGACCTTTCCTGAGGCCTTTCCGAGGAGTGTTGAGTGAACCTGACAGGATACTGCGACAGGTGTTGACAGATGTAGGAGGTTGGTAGCGTAGGAGGAGTATTAATTGAGCAAAGATGTGTCGTCCTGGCCGGCAGGAAGGGGTCAGAGCTCTGGAGTATATTGAATAATGCTAGTGCAAGAGACTGGGGACGGACGGTCGTAGCGATGTGAAGTGGTGCTAACACGGTCCAGGGTGTATGCCTCCTGTGTTTGAGAGAGAGTCTTGAACCCTCCTGAACAGTGCGCAAGAGTGATGTAGCAACTGCAGTGGAGTGGGGATGGGTGAAAGCTAGTGGATAGGCGATCGATAAGCTCCAGGTACGGATGGCGGGATGGCTTGAGGTTTGACCGTTAGGGTTTCTGGTCCAACGCGACTCTTCTCGGGACAGCGAGGTTCCTTAACTGGTGAGGGCGCCCAGGGGTTGGAGCGTGAACAGGGGTGGAACAATGTCTGTGACTAGACGGCTAGAGGGCTGTCTAGAGCCTGGAAGGGACGTCGAGATGTAGGAGGTGGGGGGAGACCGGCCCCGGATGGCAAAAAAGTGACAGGGGTGGAGAGGCTGCTAGTGCGGTGTCGGGGCTCAACTCTCAGACACAGACTGAGAGTGATGGGTTGGTGATGGAGAAGAAAGAAGATGGCCAGGCAGAATCTGAGAAGAGCAAGAAGGGTGAAATATCTTTTATGAATCTGCCTGTCGACTGTGTGTGGCATTGCCTCTGGTCGGGCGCTTGTCAGGTGGATATGGAATGAAAGAGAAGGGCGAGATATGTCGGCCAGCAAGTGGTCGTGGATGATTCTCAGGCAGATGCAAGTGGTGTAGATGGCCTGTTTCGCCTGGTGTTGGCGGCTGGCAATGAGGGTGTGTCGATTGGGCAGCTGTTTGTGGGTAGGGCCACATGGGCTACAAGCAATGAGTTACGAAGTAGGTAGCTTTTTACCCTCCCTTTACACCTGCATTGTCCGTCTGGCCTACGGACTACGACCATGCGTATCTATCTTCCTTGCAGCGGACACGACACGCGGAGTGGGCACAAGCAAGCTGATTCCTATTAGACACCCAGACGGGAAGGGCGAAGTGAAGATCCAAGTGACCAGCTGCCATGGTCACGGCGCGTCCTTGGGGAGGGGTTTGGTCTGCTGAAAGGACAGTGAGGAACCCCTAGAGATGCCTATCATTTTTCACCAGTCAGGCTCCTAGGCACCCCGGTGCTGCCGGCTAGCCATTCCCAGCTAAACGCCGTCCCAAAGCCAAGGCGCCTGGATTGGTGGGCATGTCGAGACACACGCCCGACACGCCTGACACAGATCCAACAAGTCTGAAGCACCAACTGACACGCTTTCTGAGTGGACTTCTCGTCGTCGACGCGCTTCAGGGGTGTCAGACTCGCTTGCTCTCGCTTAATTCCTCGATTGGCCATGAGTGACTTATTTGGTGACTGGTGAAACACCACAGGATCTGCTCTACTGAACCGAGACCTCAGTCCAACTCGCTCGTCGCCCTTGACGGGAAAACTCTGTCCAAGCCATTGAAATGTGCTTCGCCCACGCCCACGCTGGCTGTTTCAGTCACGCGTCTTTCGTCCCCTTCTCCAGTCGAGGCCGGCCATTCCATCCAAGCAGAATCTGTATCCGTATCCCTATTTCACATGCATCTCCCAGAATCAAAAACCCACATTTGACTCCTGGCCGTGTCCCACTGTTGACCACAAATCGAATGGCCCGATAAGCACAGCCACGGCTAGATCTGTCTTCCCCGCGGCTCGCTCTAGCTCTACGCTGTTTCTTGGTCTGCCAGTCCTGGACCACCTTCTCTGAACCAGTCAGATCAAAGCTATCGACCATTCTCCTACCATTTTCCCAACTCATCGCATTGTGCGTTTGCTCCCTCCACAGATCCATTCTGGTCTCTTGCAAAGTTTCATCCCTTGATTGATGCAAGGTCTTGAATCACTCAGAACCATTCTCGGATACGGATACTTCTGTTACTAGCTATCCCAAGAAAAATATTTGTGTGATCCTTGCCCAATGCCACGTTCGACGGACATTTTTCCACTAGGACAAATTCCCGATTCACAATCCCTTAGACAACCATGGAAAGGGTCGATTTGATGTCATCACACAACGGAGCATACCGAGTACGGACTTTGAGATATACGCGTTCAAGGTTTTCTTCAGCTTCGAGCATGCCGGATCACGGACACTCCGTGCTCGAAGATTGAGACAATCCTGGACTTTTAGAAAATGCCAGCTGGTTGGTTCAATCGGTCAATAATTGGGTAACCAATCATGGCACAGTCATGGTCAGAGTCCAACTAACTCGCCTTGGGATCGCTCTGTGCCACTGGGCACGGAGACCACGATGGTCGTGGCGGTGCGACTTAGTTCCCTATTCATCATGTGGCTGGGTCGTACCCAATGGGCATGATCGTCAAGTGGCCATTGGGCACTAATTCGTCGGTACTACTGCAGCCACTTGACCTGCTCCTCGAGCTTCACCCGACTTTGGGCCTTGTGACAGTGCCTACGAACCCACGATCAGATCAACTGACATCAACTGCTGATATACTGGGTCATCTGCTAAGTTATGAACAACAGGTTCCAGCACCTTTGTCTGTGCCTCGACACGTGCCACCCCAGCCTAGGCATTTTTGCTGCACAATGACGAAGATGGCTAGGTCACTGGGAGAAAGTACGGAGAATCTTTAGGTAAGAGGCTGAATTTGCCCACAATCCTCCTCTCTGTGGAGTGCTGCCTGCTGGCGTATGGTTCCGGCAAAGGTTCATGTCTTCGAACCCAAGTTGCGTGTGAGTGATATGTTAGCACATGAGCGGGAAGATAGATAGCCGTCTTTACAGAGCCAAACTCTACTACCACGGTGAAAGGTGTACATCTGTCTACCTTCCTGTTGATTTTCAGTTGGTTTCAGCCTTTGGTAAATCCATGATCTCCATTGCTGGCAGGGAGGATCTCTACTCGACTGATATCCACTAGAGTGAAATGCTCGATGTGGCTCATTATGCTCGAAGGATCTTTGACTGTCGGCTCCCTCGCATCTTGAGGATCAAGCCCTGGAAATGTCGGGAAAACTGCTTGATACCGCTCTGGTACAGTGTTCGCATGCACTCCCGATATTACGATGCAATGCATATCGTGCTGACCGATGAATTGATGATGGTACTTGTCTGAAATTAACCATAGTCAGAGTTTTCCACTTTCCAAGAATGGCAGGAAGCCGAGCCAAACGCACATCATTGCGGGGGCCCAATACGCTGAAGAGATGCTCTGCTCTTCACTCTCCAATGCTTCGATTTATGCTTTGAGCAATTGCGTCTGATGCGCACTGCAGTGCTTGTTGCGACGAAACCGGTGAGTGCAATGTGCAAATGGACGCAGATGCAGATGCAGCAGCACCGGCAGCAGCAACGGCGAGGCGGTCAACGAACTCTTCGTGATCACTGGCACTCTGAACGTACACGTGTCCCAACACCATGACCCAGGACTTCCATTGTGTAACTGTTCTTACCCATACTAGTTACTGCACCGCCAAGATTGACAAGCATACGTCAAGCGAGTCCATTAAAGTGGACGAACTGCTCACTCATCAGCCGCGAACGACTCTCTCAACAGCCACCATCCTTTTATGCTGCAATAGATCAATTTGAAGCATTTGAAGCAAGGGTACCTTTCACGAGATATGCATCGCTAGCCAACAGGATGCACACATGTATGTAGCCTCATGCACACTGGGGAAGGCTCTGTTGGTTCACAACCAAGTCGCTCGTGGTCTGGCTCTGAGGCTGCTCTGGCTCTGAGGGCTCCCAAGGTATTAATAGTCCTACCTTACCCCTTCCATTTTCTCAGGTTGTTTTGAAAATCAAGATTGCAAGTTGTGCGAATCTCGAGTTCTCCTCAGGGTGTGGTACTCCATAGGCATGTTTCTAGTTACGATTATCCTACTGTCTCAGATACTGCGAAATCCCCTTTGTCTTTATCACCCAATCGCAGTAGGTGGCCAGAGACATAATCTTCAACATCATTTCAGCAGCTACATCAATTAGCTGCAATGTCTCACACATTCGATGAAGACCTGCTTGCAACCGCGTTCAATCACAACAGCGCCCTGAACGCAGTAATTGCCGATTTGAAACAGAGAATTGCTACATTGGAGGCGAGAAATGCGCATCTGGTCACTGAGAGCAAAACTGTCAAGGCCGACAGGGACCTCCACCAAGGACAATTGTCTCTGAAATGGCGGTTGGAGAACCTCAAAATCAAAGACAAGGAAAGAGACGAGCAGAAGAGGTTACACAAAACGTTGAACAGTGGCAGAAATTCCACTGGTTTGGAAGCACCTGAGAACACTGAGGATGTGTGGGTGGAAGCAGGCCGCGCGAGACCATCGACCTCTCGGGCAGTCTTGGGAGTGCAGCCGGGGCCATCTGGTACTCGTCCAGGAAGACAGTTTCGCGGGACAAAGAAATCCCAAGGAGCGGACTGAAATTATGGGAATGTGTCCAGACTGGCAAACTTGAACGGCCGGCTTTCTTTCCTTCTGATATTGTATTCTTATGTTTTGAAGTCAATGGATTTCTTATAACCACATTCGCTTTAGTGTTATTGCTGTGCAAGATGGGAGGCTTTGATTTAGACTTACATGGATTACTATACGTCCGAATATTTATTCGATCAAACGGACAGGAGAACGGAACTATGAACCACAACATTGCACACTGCCATTTTGGTTCATCTATAATCTGAGATAGCAACGAGATGTTTCCTCATCCGTCTCTGCCCGTAGACCATTGCTAAAAGTCGATGTCAATAGAGTCCACCATATGCGACGTTGAAACTGACCCTCGTGGTTGAAGCCTAAAGCCATCGGCAAAACCCCGGGTGCCCACCGTACACAGCCTAGCCTCTTAGACCCACCAATGACACGCAGCGAAATCTTGCGATGTCATCTCAAAAAAAGGCACGGTAGCAGGCATAATTCGAGCCAGCCTTGAGTGTCTTTTCAACACAGAGGGTCTCTATACAAACGATCGGGAAAAGATGGCTCTGCTGGACTAGACTGCAATTCGTTCCAAGCGTCCCGATCGCAACCAAAACCATGGCCCCAGGCGACTACGCCTCGGTCGGGTCTGGAAAACTCAAGCTCAAAGGCGTCAAGGACGGCAAAGTGGACAAGAAAAAGAAGAAATCCAAATCCAAATCCAACCCGTCTGCCACGTCTTCTGCCGCTCTGCCTAGAAACGATGGTGATGGTGATGGGGATGGAGATGACAGGACCGATGACGCCAACAGCTTTCAGGATCGTTCGGTCATGTTGAAGAATCTACAGGATGAGGATGAAAAAGTTGCGGACGATGAGCGGCGGCGGAGGCGGAGGCGGAAAGGGGGAGAAGGTGAAGAAGATGAGGAGGAAAGCAAGGAACTTGTGTCTCGGAGGGAGCAAGATGCCGGAGAGCATCAGGAGCGAGAGAACGCTGGTGAGCATGTCAAGACAGAAGCCGAGAGGAGATATGAAGAACAGCGGCGGAGGCGAGTGAGTGATTTTCCCTTTCCTTTTCTCTCTCTCGGTGCTTCATTAGATGGTTCTGTCTCTCAACTTTACGAAAGCTAACTCCATTTTCCAGCTCGAGGAGCGTTTGAAGCGCGAAGGTGTCAAAACACACAAGGAGAGGGTCGAGGAGCTGAATCGCTATCTCAGCAGTCTCAGTGAGCATCATGACATGCCGAGAATTGGACCGGGATAACATTGCTATTTTGTTGGTCGTCTTTCAATGGAGTTGTTTTTTTGCTTGTTCGTTGGCTGTCGCTCATCTTCATGAGCCGGACGCATCTACAAGGACGTATACATCGAAAGCTACATGAAATCACGAAGTCCACTTCGAAACGAAAACCTTCAAAGACCCCAGAGTCCTGGAATAATGAAATTTCTTTGGGGTTCATCGACACCCGTGCACAATCAAAGCTTCCTTTATGTACAAGTTTAAAAGTTTGTAGTCTTCACACGCTCTGTTCTGTCTGATCTACTCTTCGCCACCACCGCCCTCTGCGGCCTCGGTTTCCAATCGTCCGGGCTTCGAGTTGAGGTATTCGTTTCTATGGTGAAGTTCAATGGTTAGCCATGGGGAGTCCTTTCCTTTCGTTGTTGGATAGTTTGGCAGAAGAAGAACCTACTTCTCTGTAGCCCATTCCATCAACACGTAACCCAGTACCAGAGGTGGTAGCCAGTAGAGAATCTGGTGATATGTTCGACGGTAGATATTGAAGAAAGCGTTATAATAGGCACCGGCCATGGGTCGCTGTCGGTTGGGAGAGAGAGAATATGTGGTCACGCCCTTTTGTGTCTGTGAGCCTGGAAGGGAGGGAAGATGTTAGTGGTCGGTTTTCTCGACGATGAGAGGTTCGTAAATTCGGGGGTATGAATTCGAATTTCATGGGATCATGTACCTAGATTGCCCCAGCCGCCCATGTATCTAATTGTCAAAGGCTCATTAGCATGGTGGACTCGGGATGGAGATCAGATTCCGACATACACTCCGTTCTTGGGGTCTGGGCCGTGGCCAGCGCGCAACGCGCGGGTGACCTGCATGCGTAGAGCTGGAGTAATACGCATCTTGAGAATGATCTGGTGACTGCTGGAGGAGGAATGTCTTCGAGGACAAGAATTCAACGGCGCAGGGCAAAGATGAGGATGGAGTTGAGGAAGGAAGCTTGAAGCTGGCCGCGCTTACCATATCCGGTTAGCTCAGGTCAAAGCATCATTAAAATGTGCTGCATTACAATTACAACGACTACGACTGCGACAGCCTAATACTCGACACACCTCCATCAAACTCACTCTCGGTGTTTGTTGCTGCATCCAAGGCGATCCTGTTCAATTCTCTCATCGCCAGACCTTGTCCATCATGGCTGCTCCTAACGTTCTCAACGCCGTCTCCAGATACGCTATTCCCCTCTTTGTCGCCTTCTCATTCGGACAAGCCGCCATCTATGATGTTAAGGGTGGTTCGCGAGCTGTCATCTTCGACCGTCTATCTGGTGTCCAAGAAAAAGTTGTCAACGAGGGAACACACTTCTTGATTCCGTGGTTGCAGAAAGCCATTGTTTATGATGTGCGAACCAAGCCGAGAAACATCAGTACCACAACCGGAAGTAAAGATTTGCAGATGGTCAGTTTAACCTTGAGGGTGCTGCATAGGCCCGAGGTCACCAAGCTCCCCAAGATTTATCAGGTATGTTACAGGCGTATTGAAGCGCGATCCGATGCTAAACAGTTACAAGTCCTTGGGTCAAGACTACGATGAAAGAGTCTTACCATCTATCGGCAACGAAGTTCTGAAATCCATCGTCGCCCAATTCGATGCCGCCGAATTGATTACCCAGAGAGAGGCCGTCTCGCAACGAATTCGAACCGATTTGTTGAAAAGAGCACAAGAGTTCAACATCGCTCTAGAAGATGTCTCCATTACCCACATGACCTTTGGACGAGAGTTCACCCGAGCCGTTGAGCAGAAGCAAATCGCACAGCAAGATGCGGAAAGAGCACGATTCATCGTTGAAAAGGCCGAGCAAGAAAGACAGGCCAACGTCATCCGAGCTGAAGGTGAAGCCGAGTCAGCCGACATCATCAGCAAGGCCGTCGCCAAAAATGGTGATGGTCTCATCCAGATCCGAAGAATTGAAGCCAGTAAAGACATCGCCCAGACATTGGCTGGCAACCCCAATGTCACGTACTTGCCCGGTGGTGGAGACGGAGAGGGTGGCAAGGGAAAGAGCACGTCACTTTTACTAGGCCTCAAGGGATAAAGTGAGACCTCTCGGAGATCCAGTGAATTGAAAAAGGCTCCAGACAAAATCTAATCCCCGAAAAGCGAAAGCAAAGGTTATCAACCTGTTTGCTATCTGCGGGTTTGTACACATAATCATCGGCCCTCTACACCGACCTAAAACTCTTAACCTCTTCTATCTCTGTAGCACTACATAGCGATGGGCCAGAAAAATATTTCAGGGAGAATTCTCAACTTTTCACTCGGATTTCCTGTTCTCTGTTCGTGGTCTATCTGTAATATCGGCACTCTGAAGCACAGCGTTCTCCCAGCGAGTGAAGCTTATGATATATGAGTGGTCAGAACGCTGTCTAACCGAATGATATGGGCGTTTTGCGAATAGACCAAATTCTACAGCTGCTGGTTTCCAGCGAGAAGATTATCAGGACACTCAACAAGACAATTAATGTGGTATAATTATAAAGGGATGCTACTATGGCGGTGGCTGATAATCAGCTTCAAGTAGACTTCGAGAACCAAGGTGATTTGGATCGGCCACGTCCTGGCCTCGCCAACCCGGAAGTGTGTTGGGTGTACACATGCTTGGTTCCTCAGTTATAGGCAGTCAAAGCAGGCTTCTTAGCATCCGTCTGCGTCATGCCCAGTCTCTCGATATCCTCCGCTTCAGTGCGGCCCAAGGCAACGGGCTCGATGGGCTTCGCGGCCAGATCGGCACTGGCGGCACCGACATCCGCAACGCTGAGGCCATCGACGACAGTGACGGGGCCATGTTTCCCTTCTTCGTCGTCCTCGTCCTCCGGTGCCCCTTCACCCTTGACGCCCTGGAAGGGGGCGATGCCCTTCTTGCTGGCGACCTTGTCGTCAAAGGTGCCGTAGAAATCGTACTCGTCGCGTTTCCCCGCGTTCTTGACCTTCCAGATCTGACATGCGATGTAGTACAGGACGGAGGCCGAGGCGGCGCCGAAGATATAGTTGCCGTAGTAGTATTCAATGGCGCCCTGGGAGACCTTGATCGAGGGGTTGAGCGTCGAGATCATCCCCGGCATCGCCGGGATGAAACACACCACCCATACGATGATGGCGCGGAGGTTGAAGCCGTGGTAGAAGTAGTATGACCCTTCGGGCGAGCCGGTGTAGAGTTGGGTGACTTCGATCTGCTGCTTGCGGATGATGAAGTAGTCCACGAGCATGATTCCGGTGAGTGGGCCGAGGAAGACGGAGAAGCTGGCTGCTGTGGCGACGAAGACACTGGACGTGTTGTAGAAGAGCCATGGCTGAACGGCCCACGAGAGGGCCGCGCCGATGAGTGCTCCACGTCGGATGTTGATGAACTTGGGGAACAAACCCGCAAGGTCCATGCCAGCCGCGTAGCCATTGCCGAGGATGTTTTCGGCGAGCTGGGAGATTAGGAATGCGAGACCGCAGAAAAACGCAGCTGCGCGCGAGGTGGCACTCCAGTCTGTGAGCATCCATTGTGTGATGAGGGTGAGGGGATTCCAGAATGGGTCGCCGCCGTAGATTGTGACACTGGCTGACGCTGAGAGGATGCCCATCAACGGCACGGCCATGCCCGGGACGAAGAGCGCAAAAGTGATACCAGGAACCTGCATTCCCTGACGTTTGGCAAAACGTGTGAAGTCAGATTGGTTCAGAATTCCCGCCGAGATGGCTCCGAGAGAAGCTACAATCGCATAGATCCAAGCCCATGCTGGAGTGATGTTCTCCATGGTCTGATTCGGAGTGGACCACAGTGGACCTGGGCCCCCAGCCTTGTTGGTTGCCCAGATGGTGATGCCGAGCATAACGAAGAAAGTTACAGCGTTGGCGAACAGGACAGGCCATTTCGACTTCTCAGGACGGACCATCTGCACGAAGAATGAGTTTCTCTTCATTTGGAACCCAAAGTGACTTGTTTCTTACCATCAGGGGGATCGAGATGATGTGGAATAGTAGAAACCCAATCAAGTCCCGCGTCACCATGTTTGCGCTTGCTGGTAATGTGTTTTCCATGGTCAAGAATGAGTAGCTCCAGCTGCTCAAGATGACTGTGACGCAAAGGCCACCCAGCCATGCCTGAGAGCCGTACCAAATAATGGAAAGCAGGATTCGAATGAGGATACCGATATACGAGCCGTGGACTCCAAAGATTAATCTGAGAAGTTGGTTAGTAAGGAAACCTTCCCTTGGGCAACCGAAACCGTGGGGTTCACATACCTTTGGGCAATTGTGAAGCCAATGTGCCACTCGCCTCCCATCCATCCATTCGCCATGATAAAAGCAACAATGAGGACTCGGGCGACGATCATGACTCCCACGATTTGAGGAATGCTCAAGCCTAGGATAAGGAGCGAGGCCCCGCCAGCCCAGACGCTGATACATAAGCTGAGTAGGATTGTGTTAGTACGTGCTGCGAGAAGTGTATGATACGGTATCTAGGGACTCACTTTGCGATTGAGCCGAATCCGAGATATGCTAGATATCCCCATGTTCGACGACTGGGTGGCAATGGAACTATGTCGGGATTGATCCATTTGTTCGTTAGTGCTCCATTGTAGGTGTTATCCTCAATGGCAAGCCATTTCACAACCGACTGGAGTTTGCTCGAGCCAGCCATTGCCTGTCGGACAAAAGAGTGACTTGACTGAGGAATGGATTGTGTCAAGGGAGTGTTCTCCAGAACACAACTACCGAGTCAAGGTGGCTCAAGAACGACGCTGAGAAGCAACAGGTACTTTATAGGTCCACCATACACATGCCATGGTAGCAGAAACGCTGTGGGACTATCAAACCACGTTGATACCAGGATCAAGCCATAACCTATCTCGCTTTTCCGGGGTAAAGCTTCTCGGGTGTGGGCAGCAAAGTTCGTTTAGGCGTAGATGATAGAGCCACTTGGGATTAGGCCATTTTCAAGCTTGCATACCAAGACTCGGGATAGGAGCGGTTAATCTGCCAGGTGATAAGCCAGAACGTCAGAGGGATTGACTTCCTCTAGCCAACGCAGATATAATGGCTAGTGCATATCAGAAAGTGGATGGCACGCCTGAGATAGCGTGCTGATAGCAACGAAGGCTCTAGATTCACCAAAGATGCTCTAATTGGGGACTTGAACTGAGGGAGCCGTCTTAAGCTTCTTGGTACCCGAGACGATGTGCCTCGGTGCCTAAAGAGCCTATCGCGGTGTCAAATACCCATCCGATAGCCAGCAGCCCCAGTTGCTAGTTAGATTCCTTCGGAGTCCAGTCACGTGGAGTACCACTTCATCTCGATAGCAAGGTACCTAGGTAGGTACCTAGGGAGGTATCTAGCCAAGAATGCGAGAGGAGACGAGGTTGTGATAGCCTTGAACCGATGCTAGAAGAAGCTGTGATAGCGAACTCGTGGCTCGAGCGCATTTAAGTACCCTTTCCCTCCAAAACCCAAGTGAGGCTGATGGTTTCTCGTATCCGACAAGCTGGAAACTGCGGGGTGCAGATGCTTGACTTGAACGCCCACGAGGTCCATGACTCGAACCAAAGAGCGCCTCATCCGCCTTCCAAAATTGACCGGCGATAGCCTAGATAGGTCGGTATCTTTATGAACATCCAGAAGTGTCATTCTCAATCTGTATTGTTATTCACAAAGTCGGGTTCACACGTGGATAAACACGTGTGTTACCCAAAGTCCAAACTTCTCTGTGGGTAATACTCGGCGCCTAGCTTTATCCCTTCCCTGGGTACTAGATATTCCATCGACAAATCACGCGACATGTTTCCCGTGAATTGTTTTCAAGCTTAGCCCTGTTATCAATTCTTAGTCAGTCACCGGATTTCTACACCTACCGTTCTTGGTTTCGACGTGTAATTCGGACGTGCTAAAATAATCACCTCCGGTCAAATATGATTAAATAAATCAATATCGAGTCTAGGCGGATATTGAGACCGCGATTCAAAATTGGGCGAAGCGAAGATTTGGAAATCGGAAAATCATTCATCACATTCATTGAAAGTCTCAGAAGTTGCGGTGGGCATTACAACCTCGAGAATGGCAGCAGCACGCTCATTGATTGTTGGCGTCGACGTTGGAGGTAGGAATGATCGAATTTGGGCACTGTCGCTCGACTGCCAGGTACTCAGACAATTGACCATATGAGCAGGAACCAACACAGACTCGGTATTGCTTGATGCCTCGCAAACAGGGAACAAGGCCGTCCTGGCGTCTTACAAAGCGGCTACAACTTCGAATGTAACGTTAAGTGTCCAGGAGACGCTGAGAGTTTTGCTGGACCAATCCACCGTCGATCGAGCAGAAATATCTGCCCTCGCCATCGGCACCACTCATTTTATCAATGCACTCATTGAAAGAGATTCATCTCGAGTTGAGAAAGTGGCAGTCTTGCGCCTGGTCTCATACAACTTCTCTGCTGGAACACCACCCTTCGCCGACTGGCCCAATGCGTTAAAACGGATAGTTAACGGCTACTCGGCAATCATTCCTGGAGGTTGTAATATCGATGGACAGCTTATTGCTGATATTGACCCCGAAGCTGTCCGGGAACAGGCTAATATCATCAAAACCAAGGGCATCAAGAATGTCGTGATTGTTGGCGTTGGCTCCCCTACCGACCATAAATATCATCACGAAGAAAGAGTCCGCGATATCCTCAAGGAATCATTGTCGACAGACGTCAACTTTGTGCTATCTCGGGATGTTGCGGGTAATGGATTATTGGCCAGAGAGAATGCCTCAATATTGAATGCCTCCATTCTCAACTTTGCCCAAAGAGCAATCCGCTCGTTCATGGCAGCAATGAAAAATATCGGCCTACAATGCCCACTTTACCTGACTTCGAACTCCGGTCATTTACTCACATTTTCCGAGGCCATGCAATTTCCAATCAGAATCTTCTCTTCCGGTGCCACAAATTCCATCCGAGGTGCTGCATTTCTCGCCGGCTCTGAGGTCGGTCAGACTGGCTGTGTGGTTGTGGATATTGGTGGAACGACAACTGATGTTGGATATCTCTTGAAGAATGGTTATCCTCGTCTTGCTAAAAGCTATACCGATATTGCTGGAGTCAAGGTCAACCTGGAAATGCCATCTGTCGAGAGCGTGGGCCTCGGTGGTGGTTCAATCATCCATCATGATGCTGATGCGGATGATGTTACGGTAGGACCAGACAGTGTCGGCCACGACCTTCTGACAAAGGCTTTGAGTTTCGGAGGTTCAGTTACAACTGCTACTGATATTGTAGTAGCTTCTGGAGACGCGACAATTGGTTTCCAGAAGCCTGAGCTCCAAGACAAGCTTATCACCAAGGCAAAACTCAAGATGAAAAAGCTCATGGAAGCCTGCATTGATCGGTCAAAGAATGCGCCTGACCCGTGTATGATTATTCTTGTTGGAGGTGGTTCCATACTATGTCCTCCGGCCTTGGAAGGTGTTAGCAAGATTATTCTTCCCGAGCATGCTGGTGTTGCAAACGCAATAGGTGCAGCAATGGCGAAGATTTCGGGGTCAGCAGAGCTCATGGTCAACGGATCGGATGTTGAAGCGGGCATTGCCAATGTCAAGGCTCAAGCAATACAGCACGCAGTCTCACGAGGTGGCAATTCAAGTTCAGTCACTGTCCTTCACCAAGAGGCTGTCGGAGTTCCATACACTGACAACCAAGTTGCGATCAAGGTTGAAGTGGCGCTACCAGCCGACCATGAGAGAGTACGACAGGAGATGCGGCAGCTTGAGGAGCAGTCAGACACCGAGATCGAAAAGGAACTATTCGAGGAAACCAAAGTTCATCAGATTGCGACAAATGGCGAAGCGTCCTCTGATGAAAAAATTGACTACAAGACATATCGACCAAATGTATCGTCCATGGGTGTTTGGAGTCTATCTGAAGCCGATCTAAAGTTCATCGCCATTGGCTGTTATATTCTTGGGACCGGTGGTGGAGGTTCCCCATATGCTGCCTACCTTCAGCTTCGTCAAGTCCTCGCAGACGGTCATTCCATCACCCTTGTTAGCTGTGATAGCCTCAAAGACAAGGACTGCATCGTGACCGTTGGTGCGATTGGGACGCCAGCGGTGAGCATAGAAAGAGGAGGTGGCGATGAGATCTTGCATGCATTGAATATGATGGCCAAAGAGCTGAACGTCGAGTACACTCACTTCCTTGCTTCCGAAGTAGGCGGTGGCAACGGTCTCTCAAGTTTGGGTGCTGGCAGCTCCAAGCACTACGGCTTACCGACTGTGGATGGCGACCTTATGGGTAACTATAGATGGAGAACATTCCCTAGTCGCACAGACTGACAATTTTTGCAGGACGAGCATATCCAGCGTTCGAAATGACATCTAGATATGTCTACGCGACTTCGATCAACGAGCTCCTCCCCGTTACACTTTGCAGTGGCACGGGCCATAATGTTCTCATTCCTGCCAATCAAACCGACAACACTTCCGCCGGTATTGCCATTCGTGATATCTGTGTCTCAATGGGGTTGGTGTTCCTGAATCCCTCTCGCTGCGATTGTTCGGTTTATTGACATATATATAGAATGGCCTGCGGAGCTGCAGGTGTTCCATTGACTGGAAGAGAGATGCTAGACTATGGTATTCCCAACACCCATTCTCTAGCATGGAGACTCGGGCGAGTGGTCTCAATCGCACAGCAATCTGCAACGTTGTCCACAGTTGCAGATGCCCTCATCGAAGAATGCGGAGGCCCCGAAACCGCACAACGCATATTCACTGGCAAAATTCGAAGTGTCGAAAGTGGTCTCACAAAGACAGCTCACAGTGTCGGCAGGGTAACTATTGAAGCACTCAGTGAAGATGAGGCAGAGAACGATGCCGACAGAAGCGAAAACTGGAATGAGGTTGTAATTCCATTCATGAATGAAAATCTAGCAGTACTTGGAAAGGACAAGCAAGGCAACGAGACCGTGAGTCCCAATTCTCTTGATCCTGCAAGATCCTACTTTCGCTAACAAAATCTTGATAGGTATTGGCAACGGTTCCCGACCTCATCTTCCTGCTGGATGTCTCCACGGGAGAGAATATCGGTGTCCAGGAATACAGGTGAGCTTCTGGAACCAACCGGAGAGCCCCAAATTGAATGCAAAACTGACGGATAATCCAAGATACGGCTTGAAAGTGACTGTCATGACCATCGCGCCACATCCCGTGTGGACTACACCACGAGGCCTGGAGATCGGAGGTCCCGGCGCCTTTGACCTGCCATACGAATACAAATCGCCACTCAAGTACGTGAAACCACGCAGCGTCATTGAGGAGTTCAGGCAAGCGCCGTGAGCGAAACAAGGTCTTTTACCTTACTGGTCGACACGCCTCCAATCGACCAGACGACATTTTTCTTATTGCAACAATAAGTTCTGACGTGTCCGCATTTTTAGCGAGAGCGGTATTCAAAATAGAAAGTTTGGGAAAAGCATCGGTTGCGCGAGCTTTTTGGAACGTGTGGCATAAGCCTTGGGAGACTTATGACCTGCATTGCATTTATGTGTGAATTTTGAGACCGCGGTTTTGTCGCGGCACTCGAGCAAGAACTGGGGTTCTGCTACCACATATTTACCCTTCGCCGGATAGACTTAGAATCATGCTTGAACACCTAGTCGGAGTTCATAAAACCCCACGCCTAGATAAATCTCTACCGTCTGTCGTTCTTGTATCCAGCTTCCATAACCTCCCTCAGCAGAGTTTCGGAGCAGATGAAGCTCATGGGCGATATGAGTCTACTGGTGCTATGCTGAGTTGGGCAGAGCACAACATTGATCTCAATGTCGAGACTTGAGGTACAGATATTCGCTGGATTCAACTTTGGTAGAAAACCCATATGAGTCGATGTTAAAGATATCTAAATAGTATATCTGACTGGAGAGAGGAAGCAAAAGAAAAGGGGGGAGGTTGGCAACAGGTCTCTAGAAAACGCCAAGACCGTTGGCGTCGCACTAGAACGTGCTAGTGGTAACATCACTAGTGGCTTCGATGCTCCGCCAGACTCTCCATCATTTTGTTTCCGCCGCCTGCGTTCGCGATAGTTTTCAGTCGAGCACATGTTCAGCAGTCTTTCTTCGCCGGTATCGCACCACTTCGTTAATTAAAATGCTTGTTGAGGATCAAAGATTCCTCCATGAGGATTTGGAGCGGCTTGAGCAAGGTGTCACAGACAGAATCGCCGAGGGCTCCAGAAATGTCAGTCTCGTAAAAAGTGTCCAAGGTTCTGGCAACCTACTAACATTCTCCAGATAAAAGACAGATTAAATCGAGACCACCAGATTAACGGCTTCCTCACGCGAATACAAGAACAGTCGAAACGGCTCCTCGATATTTACAAAGATGCGGACGGCGCACGAATAAAAGAAGTGCAGAGTCTTTCCACTGGCGATCCATTTGAGGAGTTTTACAAACAATTGGAAGAGGTCAAGGACTTCCACCGGCGGTACCCTAATGAGACGGTCGAGAACTTAGAGCGCGCATATAAACGCCGGCGGCCTGATGAGGGAGAACCAGTTGTCTCCGAGGTGGACAACATGTTTACGGGCGAAGAGTCGAACGGAAGATTTCTCGATCTGATAACTCTGCACGAAGCCTACCTCAATCTGCCGAATGTGAAGCGCCTCTCTTACCTCCAATATCTTGACAATTTTGACGCCTTTGAGCCTCCGCGCCTACCCATCAAGAGACAAAACAAAGTGACCGACTCATACCTGAAGTATGTGGCGGATCTAGCCAGCTATCTTGAGAGCTTTGTGCGAAGAACGAAGCCTCTGGATGATCTTCCGAAACTCTTCCTTCGCCTAGATCGGGAGTTTGAGACTGCGTGGAACGAGGGCTCTGTTCCTGGGTGGTCCAAAGAGGAGTCGGCCAGCACAGCATCAGGCGGACCGCAAACTGAAGGTACAGGCTCCGGAATCTGGTGCCCAGAATGTGAAAAGGAATTCGGCAATCCCAATGTCTACAAAGCGCATCTTACGGGCAAGAAACATCTGCGAAATGTGGAGAATAAGAAAGGCGCAAGCAACGGTGTAGCCAAATCGTTCTCCAGCTCACTTTCGGGCGCAGCATTGAAGGAGCGCGTGATCGCATCCCACGAATCGCGGATCCGCGCTCTAGCAGACCTGTTGTCCAACGAGCGCAGCAACACACGAGTGAATGTGGAGCGCAAGCAAGGCATGACAGAGCGGGAGCGACAAGCCGAACTAGACGCGCTCTTCGCCGAAGATGATGCGGCAGTCGCGGCGGCAGAACGACGAGGCGGGGACCATGGCGACGACTCGGGCTCAGACAGCGACAACGAAGAGAAGGTCTACAACCCGCTGAAGCTGCCACTGGCGTGGGACGGCAAACCGATCCCTTACTGGCTATACAAGCTGCACGGGCTGGGCGTGGAATTCTCGTGCGAGATCTGCGGCAACTTCGTGTACATGGGACGGCGGGCTTTCGATAAGCATTTCAGCGAGGCGCGCCACGTCTACGGCCTGAAGTGTCTGGGCATCACCGGTTCTGGAACCGGCGGCCTGACGCTGTTCCGTGAGATCACGGGGATCCAGGATGCGTTGACCCTGTGGGAGAAGATCCGGCAGGAGAAGCGTGATAAGGACTCCAAGGATGATGGGGTTGTGCAGATGGAGGACGGCGAGGGAAATGTCATGCCTGAGCGCATATACCTTGATCTGCAGAAGCAGGGTATTCTGTAACATACTACGCAGTAGGAAGTTTAAAAGTTTTCGCTGGGCTCTGGATCATGGCTGGGTACTGTCATGACCTACTCTACGTGCAGGTGCCTGGTGAGCTGTTCATACCCATGTTGGCCGACCCACTGCGGCTGAATAAAATAATGAGACGGGCCATGGATCATTCACTACTGTTCGGGTCTCATGATATGCCTCTCAAGAATGTGTCCCTTTGGGTTTGAAACGGATGCCTTGTCCCAATAGTTCCATTATAGGTCAACAGCCACCATCTAAGAGACATTGATATATGGATAATGAATGCTCTGCGGGACATTCTTGCCAACCAATCGGAGAATTTGTACCCCACAGTCCATTGGCCTCACAATTGTCTTTCTTTCAACGTCGTTCTTTGTTCTTTTGTTGTTACTGTGCCTCTCCCTGTAATTTTCAATATGCTACGCCACATTCAACACACAGAAGCCGTGTCCCGACTCACAGTTCGGCAGCATGCAGCTTGCATCTTGACTACATCTTGACTGCATCTATAACTTATTGTGAAGATGCTTTCTAGCACGTTCATGTTTGGATGTTCCTTGCTCGTAACTGCACAATCGCATCTAGGGTCCAAACTCACTGCAAGGATGTGTTCCATTGCAGAGGTCTACATTTTGATACAGCGTGCAGACTTTTCTCACGTGTCAACGTTTTAGTCCTCAGACATGGTTCTGTGGTTTCCTTCTGGTTCAGTGCACACAAAGACATCTTTCTCCGGGAATTGAAACCTGTCTCTTGCTTTTGACCATTGTAGGTGTATATAGTAGTCCCAATCAAAAGCCCAGCCCTGCGTTCAATGTGAAGTATATATTGACTTTGGTGTGCGTTGAAGATTGGATAGTGAAGGAGGCAGATCAAAGAGTAACGACAAGAGCATGTCTAACCCAAGTCTATTGAGCTAGGAAAATGGGAGATAAATCTCTCCGTTGAGACAGGTCATCTGTTATCGTTGGTCGACTGCAGGATGAATGTCTACTTGTTTGAACAAACAACTTCAATCAAATCAAAACGAAGGTGCTATCGATAGTGCGACAGCGTAGAGCACAGCGCAAAGTCACATCTGTGACTGCCTCGCTTTCTGTTGCTGTCGCTCTCGCTCTTCCTTTTCCACTCTTTCTCTCTCTTTCTTTTGTCTCCCTGCCGGATCGAATTGAAACCACTCAACTGGACTGAAACTGATATTGGTCTTTGAGACCGACGGAACCTCTACTCAATTGGCAACAACCAAAACCTCTTTCCACTCAATTGTTGCCCCCTTTCCACCCGCATGTCAACAAGTGTGAGAGTGCATATAAGTCCCTTCTGTCGCCCTTCCCATTTGGTATACAGTCACTACAATGGCCCCAAGAGTCCGATTCGAGCAGGGCTACCAAAAGCCTCCTCCCGGTTATTCCTGGGCCACAGAAGTCAAAGCAGATGAAAAGCAATCAAGCCCTCCAGCTGAAAATGTTCCTCCTGTGAGGCTCCATAGCACCCTGGTCTTCGAGATGCCAAAGCTAGATGACTGGGACCAGCTGACAATGGAGATCAAATTCCGCAAAAAGAGAGGTGAAATTCCTAGACCCAAACTTGTTCAACAAGCTAACACCCTCCAACAGACTACCTCTGTCGACAATGGGGCGAAGAGAGCTTCACTTTCCTTGAGGATGACCTCCATATCCGCAAATTCTGCGGAAGAATAATCGTCAACAAACAAGACTACTACACTCGGTTTGAAGCATGGAAATCCGAGTCGTTTGGCGTGCAGTACCACAATACTATGAACCTGCTTGAGAATGGGCTGAAGATGAATGATGAGGACTTTTCCAACCTCAAATCAAAGTTGGGAATCTCTGATGCAGAGCTATTCTGTGCACTGACAAATGAAATCGATCGACTACAACCGCCCCCGGCAAAAGTTCAATCTCCTGTTCTTAAGGGTCCCTCCAAGCAGATTTCTTCTCAGTTGATCAAGGGCTGGACGATGCAGAAGCCCGTTAAGTCAGTCACCGAGTCTTTCTCAGCGCAACAGACAGCCAGCCGCGGGCAGAAGCGCAACCACTCCAAGATCGATACTTCATCGGTACAGAATAGTGCGCAGACCGACAAGAGCCAGAAGCAGTTTGAGCAGCCACCTCAGAAACGAGCCAAGTTGCAGGAACCGAAGGAAGTGTTCTCGAAGCCGGTGACACAGCAACGCACGCCAATACCTCTTCCATACGGTCCCGTCATGACACGACGAAGATTGTGCAAAGCAAAGGTATATGGTCAAGGTTTCAGAGAAAATCAGCATACGCACACATATTCTGAGGAGGATCGTTTTGAGAGATTGGGCGCTCAATACTCACAACTCGAGTGTGCCGCACGCACTTATGATACCAATGACAAAGGCGATAGCACGCTGAGAGGAGTTCTTCGCTACCTGGCCCTTTCAACCAAAGCAAGATTACCGACCCAGTCAAATATATCGGAACACCCAGGGAGCATCACACTTCGTTGGTACTGGACAATTCACAACGACTTCATGAAGAAAATAAGTGAGCTGGACCCTCTGACGCAAGCTGCGTGGGAAGAACTCGACACTCTGAGAGCCAGAGGAATGCTGACGCGAGAACTGGAAATGCTCAGGACCACTGAGATGCGGCAGCATTCATACCAGACGTTCTATGGCAAATGGGAGGCTATGATTGACAACGTCCTGTTTGCCCTCGCAAATAGTCATGGTCGTGCCCCCCCCCCGTGCGAAATGGACAGTACTGGAGTCAGGCATACGACTCTAGCGTCAGAGGATGAAGTACCTGTTCTCGAGAAGCCCAAAGTAAGGACCTTGCTGGTTTACAATGGTTGAGATCGCTACTCTGGAGACAAGAGCTGAATTTGCAAGCGATCGCTATGGTCAAGGCTTCGTTTTTCTATCTTCAGCTGAGAGAGACAAGAATGTGGGGGAGTTTTGGGTCGGAAACTGATACATGACGGGATGTGGCCACGACGTGGTCTGTGTTCTTGTTGCAGATTCGGCTACTTGGCCTATATGGATCATGACGACGAGCGATCCTGTTGTATAAGAAACTATAACTAATTCAATTGGACATCTTTAAAATCCAAATATGAAACAGCCATGGCTTTTATCTCTGTTTCGGTATTGTTTTTCTATTCTTCATGTCCCATGGCGACTCACCTTTTCTTTCCACCCCTTAACACCCGCTCGAGCATGTCTTTGCTAGACCAGACCACTCCTGTTCAAAGCACATACGACTTCGGTTTCTTTCTCTCATTCAATGAGACTTATGAAACTCCTCATTCGAAATCTAGTTCGAAGACTCACAGAGTTCGCGAGATAGTTCAACGATCACATCACGTGACAGTCGTCCTTCGCACTGCTTGCTGTTCTGCATTGCATGCACCAGTAAAAGCTGCTGATCCTGAAATATATTCATTTATATAAAGGCATTTTTAGGTAAAAGCGACCTGTTCTTAAGCGCTACTGTGTTTTATCCTCCCGATTCCTCCTAAATGTTTTTTGATAAATTACCACTCGATTCATGGCAGCGGCGGCTGGTCACGGGTGCCAAGACGAGGCTCGCTGCCCCTGAATTTTTCTTGGAGCTTACAGATTGGGCAACCATGGTTCGAGTTGTACCGAGGATTCTTTCGTTGAACCTATAGCTCCCACCTCTTTATTGTATTCATCTATCTGTCAGTTCTCTTTTCTTGGATCTGTATGTTTTAGATTTGCAAAGGAAGGATTGGTTCGCTGGATGGAGGAATGGAAAGGGGACAGGTGGTGTGGGGATGTCCGCCGCTGCGGATGGGGGGAATGGTAGGCACGGGTTGCCTGGGAGGTCTATCGGAATCTCTGTGAGCTCTTGCTCAGCTGTGTATATTCGGCGATACATGGTTCCTTCACTGCGTAGTATTGTTGTTGTATGTATGTTTGTTCAATGTTATGTCCTTCTTTTTCTTGAGAGCCAGTCCGATCAAGTGCGCCATGTGTTTCCTTCTCGTCTGAGCAGTGACCATGTTCATGTAGTCTTGACAGATTGGGGGCAGTGGGAGGAATGGAGAGGTGCATCAATTTATCTATGCATAGTAGGATCCGGCCATTGATGGCATTTCGTAAGCTTCGTGGCCTTGGGGAGGGGAGCGGGCTTTTATGCTGAATCGTTGTCCATCATCACTACCTCCATCGTGGGAATAGTATAAAGGCGGAGCGTGTTTGTAGTAATCTAAACATGATTCGTCAGCCTTGTTCAAAACGTGGGTCTTCTCCGTCCAAAGTGGAGGTATTGGTTCACTAACCAACACAACCGCAACCCACTAGGAGTCTAGAAGAAATGCGAGGAGGGTTCACAGAAGCATAGTCTTGTGCGTACTCTCTTCGTTTTCTTGATTTCCTGGGGAGATAGTGTCTTTTGTGCATTGTTTTATGACTTTTGTGTTCTTGAGCACCAAATAAAGGTGGGCGTTGTTGGGGGTAGGCACAGGCTTTTCGGGGGCTGCAAACTTTGTTCTTACAGTACAATGAGTAGCTATTTCCTGGGTTTCGAGTCAGCACCTCCCTTGGAAAGTCGAAGAGGATCTCTTACTCGCTCTGTAGCTGGCATTGAGTTCGAGGGGCGGACGAGGCACCCAGGAACAGGATAGTTGAAGGTCAGAGGCTTGGTGATGTCCTTAGATACATCAACTGGAGTCTCAGCCTTGCCGCTTGAGTCTGATCTAAACTCAGTGTATGACAAAAGTACCAATATTATGGGCTTCAGAGCAGCCTCGCTGAAGTTAGAAACCTGAAGCACCATGGGGAGCAGCTAAAAACCTGAGAGCATGCCGTACAGAGCATTAAGGTGCAGCTTCTGCAAAGCTGGGCGACAAATATCGTCGCCCTAACTACGACTGTCGCCCAATGTTGCAACATCAGTCGCAATGCACACTAATCGCGTATTGCCCGCCCAGGTCAGTAAATCAAATCCAAGTTATCTGCACAGTACAGAGATATGCAGGTCTTTCTCCCAATCTGACGAGCTCCCACTCATTGATCAATCCCACGCCTGGTTGTCCTGTCAAATACCTGAAATCCAACTCCCCTTTCTTCCGAGCCGAGTCATTTGTTCTCGCACAGTCAATCAGTACTACTCCCAAACCATGGACGAGCAGGAGCAGCATGTCGATCTCAGCATCCAGCAATGGCTCGAGTTGGAGTCCATTTGCGAAAATGAAGAAGTCCCGTTACCTCCCTTTTACGGAGTGTGGTTTTTTAACCAGTACGAGGAGTTCTCAAGCTTTTTACAAAATGAATACCGCCCGGGCAACAACAGTAAGCATGATATCTAGAGTGTGGGCTCTCTCTAATTTTGCAGTAGCACAAGCAGCACAAGCACCTTTTTCACAACCAGTTCCAGCCTCAGCCGAGCCAACGAGCTTTCAAAATCTCCCTCTCACAACCCCAGTTGACACTGACATACTTGAGCACCATCCAGACCAGACCATCGATGCGGATCCAACGGTCCTACCTCCAGCTGAATCGAAACCTGGTGCTTTCGTGCCAGGAAGTCTGCACGAAAGCATAGCGGTGAAGACTATCATGCATGCCACGGGGCCATTATTGTGCTCGTCCACTGAAAGATCAAGTGCAAATACAGCACCAGGAGCCGCCAACCAAACCACCAAAGAACAATATTCAAGACCTGTCTATGGTACTCGGACCACCGGCATGCTAACAAACGGCAAGGTAGCACGCTATCGACAATTGATAAACTTCCCAAGAGCAGATGAGTCATTACCCTCCAACACAAGTTGTAAGGACATCTTGACAAAATATCCAAACCACCTCGAAGGGAACTACCTGGAGGCATTCATACAGTACTTCTGGACGGCCGAGATGATTGTGAGGGAAACCTCGCAAACGATCAAAGACCTGTGGATTTCTCAAGGAATCCACAAGAAGGAGACCCCACCTGCAAATTTCATTCGAAATAGAATGGATAGCTACGTCGAAAAGGTGTTGGGGGAAGCTGGGCTGAGGAAGCTGTGTGGAGAGGCCAAACAATGTCCTAGTGGTTTACCAGCCGACAAGGAGTATGGAAGGAGCAACCCTCTTCGACTTAACTTGAATCCAAAGTCTGCACCGTCAAACCGCAAAGAACCGTGGAAAGCTAGAACTCACAAAGTCTCAGATGCCTGAGATCTGGCTTATTGGGATTGGTTACGGACTGGTGTATGATCGAAATGTCGAGGAAGAACTGCGACGAGGAACATGTCATAACAAGATAACGTCTCGGACCTATCATTGCCTGCTCTAGAATGACTTTGTCCATTGCGAGACGACTTCTACTGAGCTCAGCATGGATTAAAAATTAAGGTGGATATCCAGGGGACACACAGATATCGAGATAGCCAGAGAACCCGTGGAGCCATCACCGAGCAAGATAACGGCGGACGAAGCCTTCGTGATCAGAAGAAAACTTTGAAAACTGGGGTGGTTGCGAAGCTCGAGAAGTGCCAAAATCTATGCAGGAAGACTTGAACTTGGCAGCTTGGTTCTATGATTGGAGAGCTGGGGTTGAGAGCCTTGAGCCTGGCCGTCGTGATAGCCTTGGGAGAGTCTGGCGTTCGAGTTGTGTCAGAGTGCTGGCAGGGAAGAACGGACACTGCTTAAAAAGCTTCATTATCCCATTGAATGAAGATGTGTAGCTCAAAGATCATGATTGGATCCTTCTTGAGTCCCATATTTCACTTGGAGCGAGAAAGCCATGCCTCGTGAAAGACCTTGCTCAATAGCGCTACTACTGGACAGTCGTTACTATCACTCCAATATTGTCAGATCGGTTTACAACAGACTTCAGTCGATCATACCTCGTACGACACAGAATTCCCCCAGCCTCAGGGAGTTACCGGTCGTGATTCGCTTATCGAACTAAAACCCGTTCGAAACGATGACCATGAACCCCTCAAGAGTGATCAGCTCAGTGAACTACCATAGATAGATTCTGCCTTCAATACTGGCCTGAGCCCCAGGAGAGGACGCAGCCGCATCGAGGGACGCGTTGATGGTCATTCGAGGTCTCAGTACTCTCGAGCCTCGTCAAAGAACAATAGAGAAAGGTCATTCTTTCTGTGTTCGAGAACAAAGAGATGCCATTAATTAGTCTTTGTATAGTATAATGGAGATCAATGAAACTGAAAGAGACAATGCCCGTACTGTACGAGGCTACGAGCCTCGTTTCAATCATCAAGACTCGTACAAAGAAGCGAGTGCAGTTTGAATGAGCATGAGGCAGCCTCGTTGCGCGGTTGCGCATCGGGAGCCCCCTGCTATACATTCACTGTGATATATCTTCCTTTTGAACTGTCTGATCTTTCTCTCCGATCTCTTCCCCCTTCTGTTCCTCCATCCTCCTTACTATCTATCTCTCTTGAGTTCTCGAGGATCTTGAACTCCTTTCAAGACTTCAAAGAACTCGAGGCATCGAACACCCGCATCTCCATCGTTTCCTCTTCCTGTCGAGCAGACAGACAACATGAACCACTCAGATCCACCCGAGGGATCACCTCCTTCTTTCATACCTCCCTTGTCCAATTATGCAGGTTTCGGCATGTTCGAAGACGAAACAGAGCAGACTCTGGAGCGCACCATATTCAACGATACTCTGGCGGGACTTATAGAGGCGGCCGTTGAAGATGTTCTTCCACGAAGATTTTTTGAGCACGCTCAAGACCCAAACACCACTTCCCAGGCTTCTCTGGCTGGTACAGAGCAAGCAAGTGTGTATCCACCCTTCTGGTATGAGGAATCACCTCATACTGACGAAGAAATGGTAGACATTGAAGAAACACCCAATCGATTCATTAGTGGCACTGGTGCTTCAGGGGTTGCCAACGTTTATCAAACCACTGCCGCTGGAATGAATGAGAACACTGAACCCTCTTACAGCAGCCTCAACACTCTTCCAGCTACAAAAAACAAGGCGACAATCAATCCTACCGAGAAGAGTGTCGCGGTTCGCAACGAAAAGCGGTCCAGAACCGTTACACGACGCAACGCAGGTGAAAGCGTGGCTTTTGACACTTATGGTGAACTGGAGGAGTATCCAGCCAGTACTGAACCTCTCCCAGCAGAACTATCAATAGAGGAACTTTGCACATCCTACCCAAATCACCTCAATGGCGAAGGACTCGATCCCTTCATCCAACGAATGCTTACCGGCCTAGACATCTTCAACCTTCTGCACGAAGACACCGTCGCCGCACTCCAAAGAGATGGTATCATGAGCGCCGACAAAAGAAATAGAGCAAACTTCCTCACCAAACGTCTTGATCGACGTATGTTATCCCTCGGTTTCAAAGGCATGAAAGAACTTATCGAAAAGCCAAAACTCCGGCATTTCAAGGATCCAAAGCGCGAGAATCAAGTTGGTCGCTCAAAATTGAGAGGCCTCTACCCAAATCCTCATGCCCAACCCCGTCGACAGTATGGGAAAGTGTTTGACCGAATCAGCAAGACGAAGGGTACATTGAAGGAGGACGAAAATGAAACAGAGGAGGAAGCTTTTACAGCCAGTTTGAGCGGCGCAGAAGCATTGACGTCAAACCCCTTTACACCCATCCCTCTCACCCAAACGAACCATCTAATTGATTACGAACCGTTTTTCAGCCACTCACCCGAATATGTGCGCTATTCTGCAGCCATGGCCGACCAGTGGCTTGATATCAGAGAGACAGGGCATCTGATCCTATCCCTGGATCAGGATTTGAGGAACCCAAATGGTCCACTGTATGCAGCAACGCTGCTAGACTTTGGCCTTTGGACTATAACTGATGATACTGAACAATTCGTGTTCAGTGATGATATTGAGAACTCTCCTGCTTGGGATTATAGCATTCAACAGATTTTCATTGACGAATTTGAACGTGTACTGGCAGAATCCAATGGCGAAGACCTGTTGGTGCTCCAGCAGCGTGCTGTTGACCACATTATTGTCACAAGGCAGAGCCAATTACAACGTCTGGAGCGTCTGCTCACCAGAGGGCAGGGTATGGGAACTAATCTAATTCAAAATTTTGTCAGGAATGAATACTATGGCCAGGGTGCATACATCTCGGCTTGTGGGTATGACACTCCACTTGAGTTGTCGTCAGATCTGGCTATTCAACTTCCAAATGTTTCTCCACATGCTCAAACAAACACACAAACTCATTATTGGAGCAATGTATCTGATGATGACTGGCTAGCCTACCACAGCAACACTGGCTTTGCAATTCAACCGTCGGCTCCGCGAGATGCAACACACCTTGTTCAAAACTCTCAAACTTGGATTGAACCGAGTTACAACTATGATGCCATGTCGTTTGACGCTGGTTCAGGTACAATCGAGTCTCAATTTGACAATATCGATCCTCGACTGAGGCCCAATTATTCGAGTCCTGGTACTTCAGTGCACAATTCGATTGTTCCTTCATTTCCTGTTCCTCCACTTCCTCCAAGAAAAAACAAGCGTGATCGCGACCTGGAGGATGAAGAAGAGCGTGCTCTCAAACATCTGCGAAGATTTTGAACGACCCGACAGTCTCGCAAGCAGCTAGACGAGCTGGCTTCGCTGTGTCCGCATTTGGTTCGGCCGATCGAATCAACTCTTGTGTAAGAAGACTTTTCTTGACGATCGTATCTACTTGATACCCATGTACGACCATGCCCCTTTGTTCCAAAACCTCAACAGCGAGCAGGCTCCTGTCAGAACATATGATTTACAACGACCAGCGAGATTGATCGCAATATTAGAAGGACAGTCTCTCACACACTGGGAGCCGCATAACGAAAAGGTTACGCCTATGCAAATGAATGCAAGGGCACATTGTCGCAGAAGACAAAAATACACTGTCACGATATTGGATAGCAAATGGAGATGCCAGCATTCTGTACATCGAGAATGAGTGCTTTGCAACCTCCTTGAAAGGCTAATAAACTTGTGAGCATAGAGAATGCTACCAGAGTTCCCTGACTCCATAGAAAAGTCAGTCTAATAGATAATAATGAATTTCCCCCACAGCTTCTATTCGATTGACTACAAATCTCCCCATGACTGCTCCGTTGGTAACTTCTATTTCGTTTCCGTGTGCCATACAGGCAGGTGTGATGAAGCTTGAGACCGGCACAGATGCAAGTTGCAGTAACAGATGACCTATCACAGAGCACGACCGTTTGTTTATTGATGACGTGATAGGGATGAAGTGGCTGTAGAATTCAGAATGGCTGTGTCATCGGATCTGCTGATGTACTTGCTAAATCCCAGGGTGAACGGTTTCTCAAACGCAGCCTTGCGAGGACCAAGAAGCCACCAAGGCCGTGACATGTCCCCATGACCTCTTCAAGGCCTTACACAGAGTCAGTTAAGGAGGAAGGGAAGAAATTGAGCACGGACGGTCCCAAGCTGTGGTTGGTTCTACTTTGAGCAAAGTGATGGCTAAAGGTTTATAGAGACCTCAAAAGGTTGCTAGGGAAGATACCTTACGATTCTCTTTGAGGACTGCGCCTTCCTAATGTCCACGAGCCTACAGCATTTTCAATCAGCTGGCTTTGGTGGCACTGAGCGTTCTATTATGGTGACAAACTTGTCGAACGGCCGTTGTTCGAGGGAAAACATGGTCAATTGGCACGTCTTCGCCCAGAGTAGCTGGTTTGCTTGTTTCCCACAGTGTATAAATAGAAAATCTCTACACCGTACCTCTTTCCTTCGCTCCTAGTCAAGCAAGTCAAGTCTCCTGAGTTACGAAGCCTCCTGCCAACGCTCTCGAATCTCACGTCGAGTACGACCCAGACCAGACATTAGAACCTCTTACCACAACCACAATCACGTGGAATTACATTCACGATCAATCCATTCAACGCAGTTAGCGTTTCTTCCCACCCCGCTGCCTCGAAGATCGGCTGCTGTGAATAACCGTCTCTCTCTCCGGCTCAGAGAAAATTGAAACAAAGCCTCATGCTTTTGTTCCTTTCTTCTTCTCTTTGAATAACTCTTCAAGATCCTCGATTCCATGAACAATACCTCTTGATCCCTTCTCTGATTGTGAAATTCATCACGAAGTCTGTACTTCTTTACGAGTCAACTGTCGAATAACCCTGCAAAGTCTTGTGCAATCCTAGCCTCGGCTCACGGATCTTCCATTGAGAAGTTCCACGAGGACCGGTCTCTCCTTTTCCACCTGCCCCTTTCATCTATCTTCCAGCAGCGCAAGGTATGTCCCCTGTCCCCATTACAGCTCCCAGAATTGTAACGAATATCACACAGAACAATGAGTGACTCCGGCACTCATTGCCAGGACACTCCTGGTGAGGTGGATACTCGGACTTTGACAGATGACCCGTTTGGCGAGGACCATGAGAGACAACAACAACCTGCCCAAGGGAGTGTTGTCCAAGGACCAGGTCCTTATAACTATCAACAACATCTGACTCATCCTGAACTCCAAGGACATCATCACCACCTGGGAGGTGTGGCCCAGGAGCCTCCACAGCTTGATGTACTCGGAGCACTGCTCCCACCACTCAACCTGGACCCTTTTCCATCACCTGAAGTCATGCAAAACCCAAACAACGACAACAATTATCACGAACAAACCCAGCAAACCCAGCAAACCCAGCAAGCCCACAGAGAACAACGACCAAACCGACGATCTCAAAGCATGGCCTCCCATGAAGAGCGACAGGAAACTCCCAACCAGGCTTCAAGCAGACCAACTGTCGACAGTGCGAGACGAGGGGTGAGGCTCGTTCCCCCACGTTCACGACAGCCTCTTGAGAGATTGCCCTGGAATACTCGAATCAATCCTAGACCTGTCGAGATATCACGACTACCAGATAGATGGTTATCTGGTTGCAACCATTTCGCTCATTTTGGCCTCGGTCCACATGACGAGGAGCCTAAGCCTGAGGAGCACTCTCAGCGTCTTAAGTATCCCATCAAACTAAATCGGACGAGACGAAAGGGCCACGATGATAAGGGCAAATACGTTGTACACCGCCCAGATGGAGCGGAAATCATACCAGCTGGGACGTCCCTCCGACAGCTAATGACCGAGTATCCGAACCATTCATGGGGCGAAGGACTTAGGCTCCTTATGGCCGAAGGTATTACTGCTCGTGAGTTATACAACTATCTTCCTGATGAAGCGAAGAATACCTCAGGAGGAGCTCGGCCCCATAACAATATCCAACATGCCTTTGGAAGAGAGCTCTTCAAGATGGAGGAAGAAGAGACCCAGACCCGTCGTGAGCCCCAGAAGAGAGGTCAATCCGCTAGTGTGGAAGGCGACGAGACCACGGGCGAACCATCCACCAAAAAGCGAAAGACCGGATCGGCCAGTACGGCAACTCGAGCCAGTGCCATTGGTGCTCCTCCAGCATTGAACTTACCCCCTTTGAGGGAACTCAGACAACAAGAATCAGCGCGAAGAGATAATAGGGGCAATCCCACTCTCGGACAATGGGAACGAGGCATCGGGCCTATCATCCCCGCGTCTGAAAGATATCGGGATGGTTGGGCCCGGAGAATCCACAAATGGAAATCAATGGCCGATGAGTTTCTGTTGTTGACCGATGAGGAGTACTCGAGACAAGGCGAGCAGTCTCGCTTACTAACCGTGGAGAAATACTGGGAGTCTATCACAAAATTGTACTCCGCTGATATTAGGAGAAACCTTGGTATACCACCCACCGAAGTCCATGGAGCCAATGTGAGTGCTTCCTTCTGGATGAGACAGGCCGTGCTCAGAAGTCAACAAGGCGCCCAGAGAGAAGGAGAGCCTGATAGATGGTATCAAGAACGCATAAAACAGATGGTTTACCTCAATTTAAACAGATGGTTTGATACGAGGGTCTACCCGGTGCTAGGAGGCTTGCTCCAAGATGTACGGCAACAAAACTACGCTGCCTATGCACTTCCTCCCCGACATATATGGGAAGCTCAACTACAATACGATCCCGCGGCAACAGGTGACGATGAGGGGGAGGAGGAGGAACCTGAAGCTGACGCCGAGGATGACGAGCAAGGACCCTTAACCCCGTGGAGGACACGATGATTTCTGTGACACAAGATTGTCCGTTGGGAAGTGGTAATGAAGGGCCATGGGAGTTTCGAGAAAGAATGTGGTATTGAGAGGGCTATGGCCAATGAAGAATCATCCATGAGGCAGGGAGCAATTGCTGATGGAAGGAAGAATTTTATGAATGCGTGTTCAATCAAGATAGAGCTTTTGAGGGATGAGTGATCTACTTCTCGCCCTTTGCAAAGGCTCAAACGAAGTATGTATGACTAGGACGAGACACTCGAATACCCACAGCGTGCTGAAACGATCAGCGCTGAGCTCAATGACACAAAAAACATTTGAAATTCGTCCATGACACATATTAAACCTATAGCTTCGTTTATGAGTCGAGTTGCAGACAAATCATGAATCCAGATGAAAGTCTGTAGTCGAGACCTGAGCGGAGATGAATCTCGAAGCAAGAAGTGAAACGAGTTGAAAAAGGGGCGTATAGTCCAGATCAGGACTAGCGTAAATTCGGGAAAATACTTTTTCCGGCTGATAACTATATAGCGGGCGCCCACACCATAGCCCAACTTGCAATTTACATCGAAATGCAGCCTGTCGTTTTCCTCCCTTGGCGCCTGAGACTGGCGGTCTCCAGATCTCAGTCAACTGGGTTTGGCAGTTCTAGCGAGCGAGCTCCCGGAGCACTGCTATCCTAGTGGATATCCAGACCCATCGGAGGTACGGTGCACGCTGATGTGGTCCGGTACTCACCGATGTACTGGACGAGCACTTGGGACGGAAAAGGCGCTGGAAGTCTCTGTTACAGTGGTCTCGAGTGCTAGAACAAATTGCCTTTTGAACCTGTGTTCTTTGAAGTGTGGCCAGGCGCTGTCCAATGCGAGCCACGGTACACTGAGCAAGAACCTAGGACGGACCAGACTACCTACAAAATGAGAACCACGTTCTATTGTACTCCAACAGGACGGGTGCCGATCAGGAGGCGTTGCACAGGGCGATGAAAAAGACACAGTACAATAAACATAGTCGAAATGACATCCTTCCACGAGTCAAAGTATCTGAATTCCTCAACACCACATTACACATACATAGACTGGACTACATTAATGACATATAGCCACCTCTACAGCGTGTACACCTCGCCACTGTCCTCCAGGAACATGATCTGGTTCGCCTCACCCATTGCCTTGAGGGCAGCGGTGACTTCCTCGCCCGAGAACTCGGTGGCATTTCTACTCCTCTCCGTCAAGCGATGATTCACCGCGGCCGTGATGTCGTCCACAGTGGCCATGTCATTTTGGAAGAGGGATGTCTGAGTGAGTGGGCCGAGTGTTTCGCGGAATGTGCGGAATCGTTGTGGTGCAATGCTTGGCCCACGCTCGGGTGAGGACTCTGGCGATCCAGGTATCTCGTTTTGTGTACGAGTTTGACTTCGACGAGACTGGGATTGAGAATCCGTCTGTGTCGGTGGCAGCTGAGAGCTGGGAATAGAGCTAGCTAGAGACATACGCGACAGCTGAGACTCAGCCCCTGTTGGGCGTTGAGAAGAGACAGGTTCATCGTCGGAGTCGTCCTCCTCTTCCTCTTCATCGTCGTCATCGGCAGCCCGGCGAGAAGGACCCGAACCGTTTGCTGCACCTTGCGTACGAGTGGACTTTTGGCTTCTGGTTTGTGGTTTCGCTGCTGTCTTTCGATTTGCTGCTGATCCTCGATAGGCAGTATCAGCATCGTCAGCATCACTGCTATCGTCGCCGCCGTCCGAGTCCTCCTCGTCCGAGCTATCCATATTGACATCTTGCGTCTTACGTCTCTTCTTTCTGCCGTCTTCTTTGACAGCCAGTTCTCTGAACAGAGCAAACTTGAGAATCCGCTCTGCTGCAATTGCGTCACTCTCCTCGACACGGCTTGACAGCCTTGCCTTTGCATGAGCAGTCGAGAGTCGAATGAGAGTCTCCAATGTTCTGGCAGTCATCGGACTGGTTCTTCTTTGGTTACCCTCGATTTCGTCGTTTCTCAAATTCGAATAGGCTGCCACCACGTAATCACTAGCCTTCTTAGTCAAGACAGGCTTGCACCTGCTCTTCGCGTACTGGATGTATTTCTTGATGAAAGGCATGCTGATTGGTGTGATCTGCTTGTTTCTCCCACGGCCACTTGTAATTGTCATGCCAGAATGAAGGACAACACTGTACTTCTCCCAAACTTCTGTAGTTGTTTGAGTATCATTTTGATCTTCCTGGATGCCGATGCCAAGCATTTGATTTGATTGTTCGCGGAGTGGCGCTCCTTCTTCGGTACCTGGCGCTCTGTAGGTATGCATCCGGAGAACATGTTCAGAAATTTCCCGATCTCTCTCATCATTGATATCATCTGTTACCACGAAGAGTAAATCAAAACGCGAGAGCAGAGAATCGGGCAGCGCAATGTTCTTGTGTGGATCCTTGTTGCTGTCATATTGGCCGAAGATTGGATTTGCTGCTGCGATGACACTGCAGCGTGCATTGAGAGTGGTGTGGATTCCAGCTTTGGCAATCGTAACGGTCTGCTGCTCCATGACTTCGTGGATAGCAACTCGATCGATATCACTCATCTTGTCGAACTCATCAATGCAAACAACACCACGATCACCCAAGACCATGGCACCGGCCTCAAGTCTCCGTTCTCCAGTTTCTTTGTCTGATGTGACTGCAGCAGTAAGACCAACGCCTGACGAGCCTCGGCCAGTCGTAGCAATAGCCAGTGGTGCAGTGTTGAGAACAAAACGCAAGAGCTGTGATTTGGCGGTGGATGGATCGCCCACCATGAGGACGTTGATGTCACCCCTCAGATGGGTACCGTTTGGTAGATTCTTTTCCATGCCACCCAATAACATAAGCAAGATCGCCTGTTTGATGTGATCATGTCCGAAGATACTGGGAGCAAGAGACTGCGACAATAGCTCAAAGATATTGGCTTTCTTGGACATCTTGTTGATGTTCCGTACATCCTGATCAGTGATGGTAGCTTGTGCAATGCCACCACCTGATTTTGAAGACAGCAAGACAATATTGTTGGCTAGAATGAGTGTTCTGAAGATTGCAGATCCAGCTCCAGCATTTCTATTACCCAAAGATCTGAAGATCCCAACGAGCTGAATTCGATCACCAGGCTTGACCCGGTCAACCATGTCATCATCCAGAATCACATCAACACCGCGAGGCAACTGACCGGCAGGTGCTCTTTCGGGCATTTCTTGGATACTAATTGTCTGATGATCTCTGTAGGTGCAATAACCATATTCTGTAATCAGCTAGAGAGATGTAAGCAAGAGAAGTCTTAAAGAAGCAAAAGTTGAACCTACTGGATTGCCCTCTCCATCTTCTTGAGGATAGACACTTGAACTTGCCGGTCCATTGGCAGTCATGGTCTGATCTCTGTATTCTCGGAACATGAATGTTTTCTTCTTCTCATTCCAATGCACACTCTTGACAACCTTTGGCCTGACGAGACTGCACTTGGTGACGATGCCTTCCAGACAAACCATACGGTTCAACAGCGAACTTCCGAGTGTTCTTGGACTGCATGAATTTTCTCCAAAGGACCCAGAATACGCGACATAGTATAGTGTGTCTTCATCTTGCTCGAAGTTTGCTCGATTCGGGACCGTACTGATGATAGTCTTCAGGGCCGCATCAAAGGCTAGGGAGAAGTCGAAGGGCTGATAGAGGAGGCCGTCCGCAAGTGGTCGTGAGTGAGATCGAATATCGTCAATGCTGACCACGAGTCGTCGCAGACCACGATTGAGCATCAACACGATGTCACCGCGGTACGACCGGGCCCGAGGGTCGGTGGGATCGAGGAACTCGGTCGCGAGTCTGACTCTGTCACGAACCGCCTCATCGCGGAGTTGACGGGTATCGAGCGCCATCTTCAAGTCAGTGAGGGTTGTAGTGTTGCTTGGAGATGTTGCAATATTCCTTGAAAGAGGGGGTGCGTGATTCTCAACGATCATAAGAAGGGATTCTTTCCCAAAACGCGTAGACGCGTAAAGTGGTTTCAATTCCTTGGCGCGTTTCGGCACGCCTGCAACCACTTTGCGGCCAATCCAGCGTGGAAATCAGAGCACATTGAACCACCACCAAAACGATCGAACTGGAACTCCTTTTATTCTTATTTACATGTGTCCTCTAGTAAATCTATCCACTTGAAGCGGCCGCCACATCAACCTTAGCGTCGTCTGCCAGCTGCTGCAGATCTACACCAAGCTTGACTTCCAGGATACCACACCTTCCACCCTTAACTGCCTCCACGGCTTTTGGCAACTGCTCTAGCAACTCAGCAACGCTCGATACCTGGGCCGCCCAAGCCTTGTCGCCCGTGGCAGCCTTTGCAATACCGGCATAGTTCGGTGTTGGGTCAAAGCTGATATTCAATTCCTTGTTGTCGACCTTGCTACCTTCTCCATCCGGATGGACGAGAAGCATAGATCGACGAGGTGCATTCCAGCCTTTATTGTTCAAGATAATGGTCAAGACCGGGATATTATAGCGCTGTGCAATCCAGTATACCGAGCCAGGCACTGAGAAGAGGTAAGTGCCATCGCCGACGATCTGACACACGAATTTGCCCTTGTTGGTTCCTTCTCTGTCTCCAGCTGCGACATCTCTGGCCTCAAAGTCGGACGCGAGCTTGATGCCGAGGGCGCCACCTCCAGACCAACCCAGTCCTCCTCCGCCACAGTTGATCCATGATTTGGGCAGAACTGGTGCGATTGTGTCGGCGATGAACAGACTGAGCGTTACCGCTTCCACTGCGAAAATGGTGTCTTCAGGTACAGCTGCTCTTATCTGACCTCCAAGGATGTGTGGGTCAATTGATGCGTTCTTGGGGTCGGAGGGAACCTTTGCAAGTTCCTTGACCTGATTCCAACGTGCATTATATGATTCTTCTCGTTTCTTGGCGGCAGCTTGATGGGCGTCTGCTGACAACGTACCAGGAAGGTCCTTATTTTGAGCAAGAAAGTCGTTGATCTGTGAGAAAGAGGTGGCCGAGTCGGCCTTGTATCTTGCGAATGCCGGAATGTAGAAGACGGGCATCTGTTGCTTCAGGACATCAACATCGATGTGGATGATTTTTGCGTCCGCCTTGGGTTTACACTGAGTTGGAATCCAAGGGACGTCGCAGTCGACAACCAGGATGAAATCGGCAGTCGTGATAGCAGGATCCGAGCCGTACCTAAGACCCAAGGCAGCAGGATGATTTGCTGGGAAACACATATCAGAACCACCAGTGTCAAGAACTCGGAGACTTGGGATCTTGTCTGCTAGGGCGACCGCCGCAGTGACTGAATCAGCATTGCGACCGGTGTACCCCACGATCAACAAGGGCTCTTTGGCGGCAACAAGATGTTCTGCAACAAGTTTGACAGCGTCCTGTGGAAGTGCGGACGGGCCGACCTTCTCCCACTGATTCTGTTCTAGGTGATATGGTTCAATGTCTTCCTCCATGGCTTCTCTTGCACCGTAGAGATAGACTGGACCCTGGGGGTCACTGGTCGCAAACTGAAGTGCGCGATTGACCAACTGCTTGACATTCTTGCCACCCTTGATCTCCCCGGTGTATCTGCAGTACTGCTGTACAATCTGCTTTTGATCGGGTACGTCTTGGATCCAGTGTATGTATTCTGTTCTTGAACCTCGATATTCGCCTTCGATCGTGTACGGAGACAGGCCTGCGAAAATGAGGATCGGTGCTCGACCACAGGATGCATTATGAACTGCAGCGCCTAGGCCTTGAGTTCCGACGTCGACGTGGACAATGACACATTGGGGCTTATTGGTCAATCGAGCGAAGCCGTCTGCCATTGACAGGGCGACCATCTATCCTCATGGTCAGCTAGCAGTTCTCATGACCAGTCCGCAGTCCTCTCAGGTTGGGAACCTACCTCGTTGGGACATGTAATGATTCTGGGAAACTTATCGCCTAGCACCTTCTTACCCTTGGCCATGGCCTCCATGATTGAAGGATGATCGGAACCCAAGTTCACGAAGACATGTGTAATGCCGGCCTCCATGTTAGGTCAGCCAAAATGAAATAACTTGCTGGTTCTGGATTCCATCCTCACCTCCCATAATGCCTCGAAGAAGGCGAAAGAGGCCGTGTATAGACTAACGAAGCGTCTTAGCCTCGATTTTATTCATGAAGAGAGAAGTGTGGGATCTTACGGTTTCTTCTCGACCGAACCCATTTTCTGACCTTTGCACGCGAGGAGCGCGACAGTATGTTCCGGTCAGTGGAGATGCAGTGAGATCCCCGGGGGTTGATGCTTCCAACTGACAGTATTTGAAAAGTGTGGAAATGACGATATTATGTACAGACAGTGAGGATCAGCAGTAGATGGAGCAAAACAAGGTAGAAGAGCAATTTGGTCTCACAACCAGCATGCGTGCTGGGAGGGGTCCATTTTATTTAGTGGATGGATGGTGGAGGGACAAATATCCAACGCGGTAATGTCCCGCTATTTGAGTGACGGTATACAATAACTCGCGCTTTTCTCCAGAAACATTCTGCCAATAGTTTGACACGTCAATGGGTAATCGTGACCCATGTTTCACGCCGAGCGAGAGGGGAAGAATCGCACACCACCGGCCATGATGGCATCGGGCAAGCAAGCACAATGGTATTTACTTCGTAGAAGTTGGAGATGCCACTTTTCCCGGTGACGAGATGTGGGGGAGTGACCCCGATCTCGGCATATGGCACCGGGCTTCGGGCACCAGGCTTCGCGCACCGTGACCGATACCCTTTCATGAACAAACAATTATCGTTCAAGGGTGATAGGGCTGAGCCGAGGCCTCAGACATAAAGGGCGTCTGTATCGGTGAGGAATTGTTCTTTTCTGTGCCCCCGTTTCACGGAGGCCAGGTTGCTCTATCGAACACTAAGATGCAGGGTCCCGACAATAGCCGCGATCATTCACACAGCATCCGGCGGCTCTGGGTTGAGGCACACTGTGACACCGACGAGCATTTCCGCACCTCTCGTGCGACACACACAACATATCCCGAATCGAGTTCCCGAACAATCCGGCGGATGAGCAGCCAATGGGTTTTTGGGTGAAGGATCGCAAATGTCCAACCAGATCCATTCTAACTCCAGCCTCTTCTGCATCTTTCTATCTTGGCCTTAGTGCTAGCGTAGGTAATATAATTCCAAATAGTCGTATACATGGTAGCTCTCTGGTCCAATCACCATGGCATGGCGGCTTGAAAGCGTACACTGAACGAAGATGTTGTAGCAACCACCAGTGGAAAAGAGGAGTGGGGAGGCAGTGCCGTTGCGGCACTGGCAAGAATTGAATCTGGCCTACATTACTACGGGAACGTTGCATGGGAACAGGTGCTTGCAGTCATCAATTCCTGTTTACACGTTCTGTACACATCTAGGTTAAGAGAAACTAGGGTAGTATTACCAGGACCAGAATTGCACATTATATCCATATAATCCCCATTTGAGCCCTATCAACAACCAATTGTGAATTGACCAAACATGACTGGACCATATCCACGCTGGAGTATATACGATCCCTGCAGATTCCTCGACAACACCAAAACGAAATCAGAAACCGCCCATGCCTCTCACACGCTGAACAGCACCAACGATGCCCTTGGCCCAAGCGAACCTCCCTGGATCAACACCGATCGCGCCTTCGGCCTGCTTGCCCGTCTCCGGATCCTTCCAGCACCCAGCATCAGGCCCATCCTTGCCGACCTTCCCGAACAGATGCGTGTTTTGATTCTGTCGGATCCCCGCCAGCCACGCTCCCACGACCAATTCACTGTCGATCATGACGTTCGTCTCCTGGCTGTGGTACCAGCTCTGCGTGTCCTGGTTGCCATTCCCTTGGATGCCGATGTGTCCGTCGACGACCATGAGCTTGATGTGGCACGAGCGGGACTTGAATTTGTTGTGGATCGGCCGTGTCTGGTCTTTTGCCACGTAGACGTAGATGTTGAGGTTGCTGTGATATTCCTCCTGAAGCTCCTTGTACAGGTAATTCGCGATGCCTTCGTTGTGCCCGCCTTGCATGGGCAGGAGTTCGCCCGCGTCGTTGTAGCCCAGGCAGTAGTAGTACGTGACTTCGATTCCGCGCCGACAAGCTGCCAGGATTTCGGGGAGTAAAGCTTCGGCGTTCAGGTCCGGGGTTTGAATGAAGACGGACTTCTTGGCATGCCGGAGAGCAGATGTCCAGGCTTCGTTCTGTGGCGTGTAGAGCGCTTGCTTCGTCGGGGCGCCCCACGGTTCGCGGCAGACCATCGCGACTGGGAATGGTTCATGGCGAGGGATCGGTATCAGCGGAGTCATTGTATCGCGTGGCTCGATCTCTGGAGCAGTGCCCTTGGTGTTGGGTTGGATGGTGGTATTGAGTAGTCGAGTGATGGCGTTGATTCGCGTCTCGCCTGGAGTCGGGTTCAATGTTGCGACGGCACGCAATACTTCTGATTTGAGGTCCTCGTCGTAGTGAGGATCTTGCGAAGTGTGCTGAGGAAGGTTGAGCTGTGTTCCATGAGATGCGACATCACGCAGAGAGTGGTCCCCCTCTGGTACCGAATCCGTCCTGCAATTGGTCAGAATCTGTGGAAGACTTCAGCGTGATCATCAGTACATACGCATGATAGACATTAACGAGTTTTCCGTTGTCGTCGAAAAGAGTGGCGTATTCTTTAGCCTCGAATGTCGGCGTCGGGCGACCAACATTGGGAGTGTTGATACATGGAAGAGTCGGGGTCATCAGCTTGTGCCACGATATTAGGGCGACATCATAGAATGAGTCAACAATATCGCCCTCGAACTGTGTCATCATCTCGAGATTGTCAATATCCTGAATATTATTGCTTTGAATTATGGCAATCTTGCGGTCGATTACACAATATCTGGTAGAGGATGGACAGGTCAGCACTCAGGCAACTTCTTCCTTTTGGACGAGAAAGGAGCAAATAAAAGATATCAGAAGGAGGCTGTACTTTGCATGAAACGTGCCAAAGATGGGTTGATGGTAGTTCATCACCTCAAGATCGAGATTGGGCAGCTCTTCAGGACGAGGTATACGAATCTTGCCCTCAGGGTCAGAATAGTCCTCTGGGCTCACGGGCAGATGGTTCTTGATGACCTGAACAATGTTAGAACGAGGGATTCTCCTGTTTGCTTGGTGACGTGCCTGCTTTGCACTGCCCCGATCATAGATGATCTTGACGACAACTCGTCGATTGGTCTTGACGGCCTTCTTCGACAACTCCTTGAGTGCATTGGTTATCAATCTAGTGGGTTCTGAGTAGGACCAGAAGTTTGTGGCGAGGAAGACTTCATGTTCAGCGCGGGCGATAGCGTTGGACATGTGGCGACATATGTCAGGCACCGTTGCCATGATGGTCAAAGGGCAAACACCATTGCTACCAAGTAATGCAGGCGAGCATACGCCCACTAGTGGGTTCTTTTCCAGTGTACATAAGACATCGTGATATATCTAGTGACTTAGGTTAGCAAACTTCCCGGATCAGGCTGCATCATGGAGCGGAATATGTACTCTCAGAAACAAGTCGCTGGGTCGCGAATTACCCCATTTCCCACATTGGAAAGCTTGCTCTAGGTCTTCTGCAGCTTCGGTGGAGATATCAACCTTCTTGGTGACTTTCTGATCATCGGCATCAACGCCGAAGAGCTTCTTGCACGCATCATGAGGCGACAGCGTTGGATTCTTGGCGAGCTCGGAACTGACGGACAGGTCTCCGCGACAAAGTTCGTAGACGTTTTGTGGAATCATCTCGCCGACAATATGAACTTTGCTTCCTCTTGTTCAGCTATGTACTTTTCTTGTAGATGTAGGTAATCAAAGCTAGGTGTTCTAGATTTGTGGTCAAAATTGAAAGCTTACATTCTCCCTCGAAGGATCAATTAGCAACAGAGCAGGATGTAGTAGTGAACAGCTAAGCGACATGGTAGAGACAGTCAAAATATAAATCCACAACTGAAGAACAAAGGCGAATATAGTTCTGCCGGAAAACAAGAGAGTTTGGATCGAGGCAAAAGGCCACGCACGTCAGGGTCCCTGAATATCCAAGTTCTGAGTTTACTTGCTGTCCTAGATTGGCGAGACTCGTGTTCAGCTATTGGCACTACGTCAGTTATCGCTGCCGACTGGACGTCCAAGCGCAGTTGACCCCGCTAAGCCAGGGGGTCAAACAAGCCTTTTAGCTTACCGGCCAGATGAGCTTGGCTAGATTGGCTCTGGGGATCAGGACGCATGGTGGGAACTTCAACTGATCATTCTGCGGTAATAGAGCTAGTCACGGAGGGTGACGTGTTCCAGAGACTTGTGCATTATCACGTGGGACGCATGTTTGGGTACCAAGCAAATGTCCATCAAAGTAGAGCGAGCCTCTGTGCCACCATATTCATCTATATGTACGTAGACCTATGTGATGGTCAGTCAGTATGGAGTGCTAGATACCCGGGTATGATTGTCTTGACGAGGCGCTAATGGCGATATATGTTATAAAACGTCCCATGTGAGTCAATCGAGGTCACATGAAAGGCAACATTGACTCGCAATGCCTCAGCATTTCATTGCTATTATGTTGTCTATCCACCTGACATGCGTCCCCAGGATAAACACATATCATCCATCAAATGCTCAATTGTAGCCGCCCATTTTCTTCCCTCCATAGACGCCTTTATATCGTACTATATCTCAACCCAACAAACGCTATCATTTGATTGACGAATTCAATTTATAATTGACCAGAAAGGATGGCTTCAGTAGCTGGACAGAGTTAGCATATACTGAACATGACGGGAGTGTCTGGGAGGACTTACCACTTCCAATGTATGCACGCTTTACATCAAGGTTCACATTAAATCTTCGCTCCAGCTCCTGCTTGATTCCTTTCTTCGTAACTGTCATCAAGTCGGCAGTCTTCAAAATTTCGCGGATCTCGTTCAGAATCATGTCATCGGTGGGGAGACCAGTTAGATCAGACATCTCCATATCGGCAATGGATCGTCCACTTGTCATCAGCCCGCCTCCAAGCATGTCCGATGGTGCCAATGACATTCTCGACTGGTTGTTGCCTCCTGCATAAATTTGAGAATGCATGTCAAGTTGTGATACGGATCTGGAGTTCGGCATGAGATGTTGAGTGTCGTATCCAGTACCGTACACAGACCCAGCAGGATGATACGACTTAGTGGCGTAGCTGTATCCAGAGACTTCTGATCGTGCATCATCTCGCTGTGTTTGAGCGTCCCAGAGTTCTGCCTGGTATTCCTCCCACTTCTTCTTTGGGATTGAATCGGGATCGAATTTACCTTCGTCTGAGATGAGAACCTGTTTGCCCTTCTCGCCAGTCACCAATCGTGTGTTACCCCAGCTGAAATCGTCCATATGCCAAAACGAGTATAGTGGAAGTCCAAAAGAAAAGATGGGCATTGCGAGGATATAAACAATCATCCATCCAATCATTTCCCATTTTCGGCGTAAAATGAAAATAAATGCTTGTAAGCCGTAGACAACACCAAGCAACACAAAGGCCATGAGGGGGATGACAGACGACGAAGTCGACACCTTGACAATCAGATATCCGATGTAAAAAACGGTGACCGGGGCAACTATGGTGGATAGCAGATCCAGAAACACGATAAATCGCATACTGAAACAACAAAAACCGCAGAGCTGTTGGAGTGGGATCAGCTCGATCAGATTGTGGACTGTACTGTTAATCCAGCGACGTCGTTGTGACATGAAGACTGCCCAGCTGTCAGGTGCAATTGTCCAGGCGTGGGCATGGAAAAGATACTTGGTCTTGTACTTGGCGTGGTGCTTGAGGAGTAAGGTCGTCAAAAATCTGTCCTCACCCAGATGGAGCAAGTTCTTCATGTGCAACGTATCGACCCGTATTTCGGAATAGTCGTTGATGATCTCCTTGCTGACGAACAGTGGCTTGCCAGTTTCCGCGGCTCGGATTCGATACATGGTGAAACAGCCAGGTAAACATGTCACCGATCCGAAGAGGGACTCGAAAGCCTTTGTGAGGTTGTGAGAGATGTAATATTCGTAGACCTGCATCATTGTGATGAAGGATGCCTTAGCGTTGGTGAGTGATGTTTCTCCACAAACGCCGATCAACCGGGTGTCGCGAAGGAATGCTGCAACCATTCGAGTTGCCGAATCAGGGGCGACGACTGTGTCAGCATCGATCTGAAGCATAAACTCGTAGAAAGTAGGGTTGACGCCAATGATGTTCCGAATTTGGTGGTGCATTTCAAGCTCGAGCGGGCTCATCGCGAGGTTGTAATGTACGCGGTTGAGGAAGCGCATAATCACCATTTGTGAATCACGTTTACCTCTATTTCCAGGCTTTGAGACTTCCGACGGTTTACCAATCTTGACAACAACCATGAATGGAACAATGTGGCCTTGAACCTCATAGAGCCCAGAGTACACTTTTCCCATGTTGTGCTGTTTCATACCTTCACCAAGCGATTCGAAGCTCAATGGCTCGGGGTCGACGGTTTCCGAGACACCCAAGATGTCAAGAACGATCCTTGGAGTTGGTCGATCATTCCCTTGACCGATAATCATACCATCACAGACCACTACCAAAAGTTTGCGTTTGTCATCGTAGCGCATACGAGCTGCCGAGTCTATCGCACGCCTAAGCGAATCTTCATCCTCAGTATAGGCAGGGACTTGGCAAATGATGAACTTGTCCAGGTTCTCAGGGACGTTCCTGCCGCCAAACTGAAGAGCTGCCAGAAACTTGAAGGCGATGACTGAACAGAGGAGGATTGACACAACAAGCAAAAGATATTGCGCGAACAGACATTGCGTTGAGTTACGCGTATCAGTAACCCCAACAAAGAAAAGGTTGTCAAGACAAATCTGCATGCGACTCCTAAGGCCAGAATCAATTTGAAGCGCGTTCCAGTATTTGGTCACGTCCTGGCCAGCTCGCTGTGTAAATAGACTGACCACGAGATCATCCATGAAGTTGGTGTCAACGCCGCTTGGGGCCTCTTCGCCTTCTTTGACTCTGACACTCCGACCACCTTGATTGTAAGTCGTGAAGTCATATACTCTGTCGTTTAGAACGGCAATCGCATGCGACTTGCCTGCAAGAGTCTTGACATATTGAGGAGTATAACCGATATTCCCTTTTTTGTAGTTCGCCTTTAGCATGATCTGCTGCTCAAACCACCAGTCTGCCCTGGGATCATTTGTGAAGGTTCGGAAGTCGTGGTAACGTCTGTTTGGATCGGCCGCAGAAATTACACTAGCAGACCCCGTAATATTGGTTGCGGTGTAATCGAGCTGGACAGACGGATCGATCCCAGAATCGGACTTGCCTTGGCAGAGAGCGGAGACCTGAACAGGGAAGAGACCGGTAGCATCCACGCCTGCATATTTTTCGAGTGACTTTTGGGGAATAATGCTAGGGTAGTGGCTCGGCATGAACGCGCCTAGATCGTATACCACTCCTCGGAGAGCGATATAAGCGTTGTGCTTTCCTACACCGTCGTGCGATGATAATTCAGCTGCCGAATAAACATGTTGCGTTGGACAAATGAGCCCTGGGAAGAAGAGAATGAAGAAGATTGCAATACCACAACTGAGCCAGATGATTAGATTGATCGCAAATTTTTCTCTCCACGCGGTTCGAACATCTTTGCGCTTCATTCTGCCGATCCACTTGATGCCAAAGTCCGGGATATACCAAGTAAGCAGATAAACAAGGGCAAGCCAACGTTTGCGGCTTGAAGAAACCGACACCACGTCGACTTCTTCCATCTTCTTCTTGTTGGCTTTTTCGGCGAGCTCTTCCTTGGTATCGAGATTTCGGAACATATCCCCAGAATGGAACGCTGACGCACCAGCTTCCGATTTGGTGTCCAGATCGCGGTTGCCGAAATAACCCCCTTTCGACTCATCGCCGTAAAACGATCCGGGGGTGCCATCGGCCGGTGGCATCAAGCGAGCTTTCGAGTCTGAGAATGGATTCGCCCCAGGAGTATCAGGCCTCGAAACGGAGCCTGCTTCTCCGCCAAAGTAGGTCGCAGATTGAGACGCTGAAAGAGAGATACTTGCCCAGCAACGCTCACTCATGAACACGCCAGTGCTGCCAATCCTAACTTCATTGGATGGCCATCTCTTGGTGTCCAGTACTAGTTGGGCTTTCTCTGCCTCGCTGCCCACAACACCTTCGTCGGAATCTGACAGTCCAAGGAATTCTCCGAAGGGTAAGAATATATTGAAATCCGCGGTGCGTAGTCGCTGACTGATTTCGGCAATTCCAAGAATTTGCAGTTGCTGTCGAACACATTTGCTATCGAACTGGTTTGCAATCCGCCTGTCGTTTGGCTTGAGGCAAAATATGAAGTAATTGTTGACGTTCGGTGCTGTCAGCGATTTCGTGATGTTGTCCAATGATGACAAAAATTGGGCTGCTGCACCTTGCGTGAGACCAGAGGCTGTCGATTTGGTGCGTCTTGATCTCCCCTCCTCAATTTGTGGAACTACTTCTGACTCATCTACGGCAGGTGTTCGATCTGCCCTTCTGCTTCCCGTTCTTCGCAGTTGATCGTGTTTCTTCCTCGACATACTTGGCATGCGTAGAGGCTTGGAACTGACCTGCGCTTGAACGATCGCAGTCTTTTCCGAAGGATGACTAATGGTATTCAGAGCCTCTTGTCCAAAGAGACTTCCGACAAAGTCGCTCGTTGTGGACTTCATGAGATTCATTAGATCGCCCGACACCACATCGCCATTCTCTTCAACCAGGCTGTTGACTGGATAGTCCACCTCACCAGCATAGTGTCGCACAGTAAAAGAAGCCGTAAGATTGGGAGTCACGAAATTGCTACCCGGCATGGTGGTGGTCGCACTCGCAACCGTGATAGCTTTGCTCTTGTTCTCAAATCGTTTTCGAAGGCTTTCTAGGAACTGAATGTCTGTGCGACCTCGACGGGTCTGATCGTCGAGAATGGCAAGCAAACCATTACCATGCTTCAGAAGACCGCGAACTGTGTCTGTGTTGTCGAAATAGCTGGTCGCTGGGACACTGACCTCTTCGCTTTCGAGGGCTTCTGTTGTTCGCTCGAACAAGCTGTGCAGGCAAGTGTTATAAAGCGACTCGCTGGCAGCGTTGTTCAGGAGTTGATCCAGAGTCGAACCGGTCGAAGTATGGTCGGCAAAACCAGGGAAATCAACGATGGAGATTGTATTAGCAACAGCCTCTTCGGTTGCACAGGTCCTTTGATTGATATTCTCGATAATGTAAGCAACAAGGAGAGAATATAGCGTTGTTGCCAGCTCATCGGCATTGCCACGAGCACCTTTGGGGTCCAGCATGACTGTAACGCGCTCCCTATGCAAGGTCTTCGTCTTATAGCGCAAGCTCTCCTCCAGTTCTTGCGCACCTAGACCCAGGAAAGCGGCCACGATAGCCAAGGTTTCAGTATTCTTGACCACAGTCACAGTCTCACCACCTTCATGAGAATAGCCGCCACTCTCTTCTGCTGCAGTCAAGGTTGCTTGGCCAGTGCCAAACTCCAGTTGCCCAATATGTAGAATTGCAGCAAGGACCTGGCAAATTTCGGCGATTTCCGCGCGTGGGAATTCGAGCTTGCGCAGGGCAGTCTTGAAATGCTGGAAGCCTTCAGTGTCGTTGATTCCAACCTTCATTTGGGTGGGGTGACCCAGATACCTCCATCTCTTCTGTGCCACCGAGGCGGAGCGAGAAAGGCCTGCCCCTGCAGTGGTGATGTGGGTTTCGCCAGTTAGACCCAAGTGTGTCTTTTCGGCCTGACTTGTACCAGCCAAAAGATAGTAGAGGACATGAAAGCTCCGTTCGCCAGTAGGTACATGGGAGATGCGGCTCCTCTCCAGACGGTGGTCCAACAATTTGCCACCGATGAGGGTGGGAATGGAGGATGAGGAATCGTATTGAAGCTCGTAGAACAGACCAGCTTTGGAGGCGGTTTGAGTGCTTGTGGTTTTTGTGGTTGTCAATGTATCGAAGACAAAGGCGGCGAGAGACAGTCGAGAGGAAAGCGGTGTTGAGGAAAAGGAGAGAAACGAAGTAAGAAGATGCGACCGCACGGTGGTTTTGCCAGAACCAGATTCTCCGCTTCAAATATGGTCAGTGGAACGGGTCAAGCACAGATTTAGAAGACTCACAAGAAAACAACAGCCTGATCTTCTGCCCTACTTCCCAGTCTTGTCCAAGCCCGGCGTGCGAGATCTTCTGCTTCGCCCATGGCACTGCCTTCCTTTTCCCCATTAGGTCCTCTTGTCGAGGAAGTGTAGGTATTGAGGCATATTAGACCTTGCGAAGAAAGCCGTGCTGTCGGCAGGGACACATGAAAGCGGCTGGCGAGGTGTGCTGTCAGATGGGTATCGGATTGAAGATGAGGCGGTAGAGCAGGGAGGGAGGCCTGCAAGTGTGCAGGGACATTTCCACGAGCTGCCATGACGGGCAACAGTGTGAAACGCGTCAACTGAGCGCTTCAGATGTAAGATTCGTATATATATCGGCCTTGATTGCCGTGAAAACGGTTGCAGGTCAATTCATCGAAAGCAGAGCGATACGGAGAATGAGGTTTATCGAGGCAGTTTAAGGAGTGAGTCGAGATGGATGAGTAAGGGGAATTCGTAGCCCGGCGTAGTGTATAGAAACAATAAAAAAGACCGCAGAAAAGACTACTTTGACGAAGCGAGAGTATATGCACCGTGGTCAGTGGAGGAGATGCAACAGACGTGAGTAGAAATGAGGTATGATACTCGATCAGCAACCAACTTGGATTGAAGGGTGTTTTCTTTGCAAAGGAGCCGCCTCCAGGGTTGTTTGGGATTTTGGGTGGGGATGTACTTTTCCTTGTCAGGGTTTGTTTTTGACACGTATTAAAAAAAACAGTCCATGGTTCGGTTGTTGACTATACCTACAGCACCTAACGGGCAGTGCCTGCCGCCCGGACACCTGGGCTGCAGGACTTTCTTTCCCACCACCTGGAAGCCTGGGCCATGCATACTGAGTACAATTAGGGACGCTCCGTAATAATCATAAGGCGAGTCTCCGTGTCGCTGCGCCACGCGAGGAGCTGACAAGCATTATGCTCACAAGGAAAGACCAGCTCGAGCATGGGCAATCATCATTTAAGGTGCTCGGATATCCGTATAGTCAAGAAACAGCTGATGAATCTACGAAACAATTATAGATCCCTCGTTACCTTTTATTGGATTTCTGATAACATGCTGACTCTCACCACCTCGAGTGCTCGGCAGTAACGATGAAGTCTCCGGGGTCAGATTGTCAACTTGCCAACCGTCACCGTCATTATGCAATGATGCAAGGCAGTGATGGAATTCCGCTCTTCAACTTTGTTGGGTGTTGGCACCGGGGATTTCAAAAGTGTACAGGGATTCGATGACAATCACGAGTGTTAAGTTGTGGGGAGTAGGAAATTTAACGACAGCATGGTTGTTGGTGGCAAAGCCTATTTGGTAGATCCCTGCTAGTGATCGATTGTAAATTGTCATTTTGACATACAATTTCACGGTTTCTCCTTTCCCAAGCAAAATAAATAGTTGTGTTTTGGAGAGCTTGCGTTACGTACCTTGAGTCCTGGATCGTACGACTCTCACGGGCTTTAGTAGGAAGCTGTGTGATGTTTGAGGCGAATCGGAACTGGCTGACAGTTTTTGACATGAAAGCGGAGGCCGATGAGACATGCAGCACAGAGAAGCCTCAGCAGGTCGATCATGGATCAATCACACGAGAACACGTGACTGCATGTTTCAATTGAGTGAAACTAGCTGCCCTTTGGATCACCCACTCTGTCCCCTCTCCTCCGCTCACTGGCAGGCTCGTGCTTCGAGAATCTTTTCAACAATGGATCTCACCGTACGAGGTACCTCAAATGTCGCTTAGTCCTAAATTTGCCTACTGATACAAGCAATATCGGATAGCCTGATATCAGGGACCCGACCGACCCAGACCCATAGTTATATTGACCCGATTGATTTCATCTCTTACTCGTATCTGCGTCATCAATGTCAATTTGGGCTTTATGGGCCATCACGATTCACGAGTCGCGACGTGGTAAGCGGAAATGCCAGTCCGGGCACTCCTCGTCCCTCGTGCAGCCTGAGCGTGTTGGCATGGCCGAGTTGCCCAGCTAAACTCATCTGGGTTTGTTGTGCACGCCCGTTGCCCTGGGACGTGCTTGACGCGACAGACATCGATTGGCTTCCAACCAGTTTTGGTGTTTTTTAACCTCACCACCTCCCCTGCGGCAAGCCGACGGACCATGCCTTAAAGGGTCTGGCAAGCCTGAATTTCCGGGGGCTCGAGTCCCCTAAAAGGGTGCAACACTGCCGCTAAAGACTCGGTGGCGTTGCCGCTCCACAAATGCTATTCTTGAACCAAATCCCAAAATCCCCTCCGGCCGTCACGACCGGTAACAGTTTCGTCAATTACACCACATTATTCGAGGACACGCCGGGCTCCGCCATTATTGCCTCTCAACCTGCTGTGTCGAAGCCCTCCCTTTTCACACAACATTCCTTGCCTTCTTCCAATAAACAAGTCTACAAACCACTCTCGCTCTACCAGTCGTCTTTGCAGCGTTCATTCAGTGATCTAATTCCTTCAATTCTATTGTTTTCACGTTCTTCACTTTTGCAGACCCCTTCGTTAAACGCCACGCAAAACAACTTTCGCCTTATCCCCCTGATCCCGCAACCTCCGTCCAAGTCCACCATCTCTCACGATTACATGTGTTTGTTTAAGGGTGTACCTTGACCTGGTGATGCAAAAGGAGGATCAATACTGGCCTCAACTCCTTGGGATACTCAACCACATTAAGGACGAGCCACTCCTTCAATAGGGGTACTTCCTTGCCTCACCATGGCCAATCGATACTCGACCTTTTCCAACACGTCCTCTCAAGTCGGTGGTGCTCGTACAGCTGCTCAACAGCCTGCACAGGTCTCGACCACCACTCTCCTTAATGCACTACATGCCGTCTATGCCTCCGGTCAGACCTATCAACTCGATGCCAGTACAAGCATCGCTGTCAACACTTGGGTGTCAGCCAGTAACCCCGATGCTCAAGGCCGAATTGGAGGCACAGTGGATGCGCAAATTGCGTCCAAAGCATGGGAACACGCACGTCGGAGAGCAGAAGATGCATGTATAATTCTTGGGGCTCTTCACCCGTCAACTCCACCACTATTCAATGCCTTTCTGCAGGTGGTTCCTCTCCCTACTCCTCAGATTGCCTACACTGCCTTGACTGCTCTACGACCATTTCTTTCATGTGTCACACCTACAAACCCCACCACTCTTCGACATTCAGCCCTCTCGGCCAGATACACGGTGACGTTGGCAGGAACTGTAACTGGATTTAATCTCGCTCTTTCGGGCTCCGGCATCGATGTGGATCGTGGTCTTCTCAGAGTTCCTTCAGAGCGTGGAAACCGAGCCTTCGACGTCTTCTACTACCTCCTGACTTCTGCTTCCACGCCTAAGGAGCGAGAATACCTTGGCTTGCAACATCCGTCCAAGTACACCCTACTCAACAAATCAGGAACCTACGATCCCCCCTCATATCTCCCAACGGCCGACGATGCTGCCTCTGCCGAAGATTTTCGGAACGCCCTCAAAGCCATTGGCATTAAAGGCGCCGATTTCCGAGGGCTCCTGGCCTCGCTTGCTGGGCTGCTGAAACTAGGCGAAACCACTGGCTTCTTGGTCGACTCGGACGTTCTTGAAGAAATTTGTGAAGATGTTGGTGGACTTATTGGCATTGAGCCCGAGGTGCTCAGCAACAAGTGCAGCACTGATGATCGTGAAGTCATGATCGCAGGCATGTACGAGGCATTGGTAGACTGGGTATTGTCCAAGGCAAACCAGGCTATTGCTGCCGAGCTTCGCTCGGGGGCACTCACTCCAGATTCCGGCAGCGAGAATGCTGATGAGGTAAGCTTGAGTATCGTCGAAATTCCTAGCGAAGCCCTTGCAAAGGCTGTTGCCCTCCGCAATGTCTTTGACGACTCAATGGGCATCAATGTGGAGATGAAGGATGACGGTGTCGAAGTACAGACTGCTGGACACTCCGTGTTGAGAGAGATGCAGTCTGCTGTGTCCGAAGCTGAAGCAGATCTGGGTATAAAGGGTGGGCCTCTCAGTCGCGAAAGAGATCATGACCGTGACAGGAGAGAAGGCATCCTGGAAAAAATCGGCTCGGGAGCTGAAGAAGGCGGTTTTCTTCACACTCTCTTGTACCCTGTGGACGGGGAAGGCCTGAACTTTGGTCGCAAAGGTCGTTTCGACCTGGCAACAACTTTGGCTAGCAGCAGAGTGTGGTATCAACTTTCCCTACATCCGACGGACGAGAACTTGCGCTCGCTTGCCAACCTCTCTTCTGCTACTTCAGCATGGTCCGCCGGCACGGTCTCGCGCCAGCTCCGTGCCTGGAGACTCCCTGAATGGGCCAACCATCGAAACCGGCAGCTTGATTTCACAGCCGACTTTGACGTGGAGGAATTCGTGACCAGATACTCCAGACTAGGCTGCAGAGATGGCAAAGATGGCGTCGAGACTTTTTTGCTGGAGCGTGGCTGGACTAATGGCGAAGTCATCATCGGAAGAGAACGCATATGGATGCGTGAGAGTGCTTGGTGGGAGGCTGAGTCCATGCTGGACATGAAGCCAGTCGATGGAGGTTTTCATGATGATCCAGCCTTTGCCCAACCGACCAATCCATTTCTGTCAAGCTACTCCGGGAATGCACCACACAATGGCAGTGGCTTCTTCCCACCTATGGGTGACAACATGAGCATGCAGGATAGCAGAGACAATCTTTTGGGTATGCATACTGGTGACCGCGCAAAATCCCTTGCACCGACCCAAGCACGAACAGTACAAACACTGGGTGGTGATTACGGTCTTGGTGCTAAAGGAGATGATCGCAAAGATCAATATTGGGACACCGACCTTGGACGCTATGCTGGCGAGCTGGATCCCGAATTCGGCGATCCACGAAACATCGAGTCCAAAAAGACCACTTTTGGTCGACAGGCTTGGGTATCACTAGTATGGGCCCTCACATTTTGGATACCTTCGATATTCTTGAGATTCATTGGTCGAATGAAGCGTCCTGATGTCCGCATGGCATGGCGCGAAAAGGTCGTACTTGTGTTCATCATCTTCCTCATCAACGCCATCATTGTCTTCTGGATTATCTGGTTCGGCAAAATTCTCTGTCCGAACATGGACAAGGCTTTTAATGCAAAGGAAGTGGGCTATCATACAGGCACCAACGACTTCTATGTCAGCATTCGAGGGAAGGTCTATGACATCACGAAATTCTACAAAATCCAACATTCTGATACCAACGCCAAAACCACCTCCGAGAATATGTTGCCTTTCGCTGGGCAAAACCTCGACGCATATTTTCCACCTCCACTCAGTCGAGCGTGCCCTGGTCTCAACATCGACGAGAGCGTCTACCTCCAACATAACAACACGGACGCTATACAGTATCCCAATGCTGTTCATACTTCTGGTCCTCGTCTTCAGCCAGTCCAAAACTCAGCGTTGTATAGCTGGGATTGGTATTCGCAAAGGTTCTTGCCCAAGATCGACGAGTACTACAAAGGTGAACTAGTAGTCACTCGAGGCAATGTTCAGAAACAGGCCAACGACGACCAGAGGCAATGGGTGATAATTAACAAAAGAATATACGATCTTACCGACTATTATTATACGTTGGATCTCCAGAACGGCTTCAACACTTACAAGTTCTTTCCAGACAGTGTATCTGATCTTATTCAACAAAATACCGGCCAAGATATTACCGATAAGTGGGGTACCAATGCTGCTTTCGCCAACAGTCTTAATTGCATGAACCAAGCATTCTACGTCGGCAATACTGATTTTCGAGACTCGCCAAAATGTACAGTGAACAAGTGGTTCCTCCTCGCCTTCACGATCTTGATTGGGACCGTCATTGTAGTGAAATTCTTAGCTGCGTTGCAGCTTGGCTCCAAACGACGACCTTCGCCACAAGACAAATTTGTCATTTGTCAAGTTCCGGCCTATACGGAAGGTGAAGACCATCTCAGAAAATCCTTGGATTCATTAACAGCTCTTCAATATGACAACAAAAGGAAGCTGATATGCGTCATCTGTGACGGCATGATTGTGGGTGGTGGTAATGACAGACCAACCCCCAAAATTGTCCTAGATATTCTTGGGGTTGATCCCAAGATTGACCCACCTGCACTTCCTTTCAGATCCGTTGGGAATGGAAATGAACAACTGAATTATGGCAAGGTTTATTCCGGTTTGTATGAGTACGAGGGCAACGTTGTGCCTTACATCGTTGTCGTCAAGGTCGGAAAGGAATCCGAGCAGTCCAAATCAAAGCCAGGTAATCGAGGAAAACGAGACTCTCAAATTCTTCTAATGCAATTCTTGAATCGGGTACACCACCGGTCTCCCATGGCTCCCCTGGAACTGGAGATGTTTCATCAAATCAACAACATCATTGGTGTAGATCCAGAGCTTTATGAATATCTTTTCATGGTTGACGCCGATACCATGGTGAAAGAAGACTCGCTTAATCGCCTTGTCGCTGCTTGTGCCAATGACGCAAAGATCGTTGGTATCTGTGGTGAAACCAGCTTAGAAAACGAGGAAAGGAGTTGGTGGACCATGATTCAAGTCTACGAGTACTACATCTCACATCATCTCGCCAAAGCGTTCGAATCATTGTTTGGTAGCGTTACCTGTTTGCCCGGATGGTATGTTGAAATTATTCTGATTCTATTCCTCTACTAACTTGCCATAGTTTTTGCATGTACCGGCTTCGAACGGCTGATAAAGGGCGGCCGCTGATCATCTCGGACAAAATAATCACAGAGTATGCCGATTGCGAGGTCGACACATTGCACAAAAAGAATCTCCTGTCTCTCGGTGAAGATCGATACCTCACGACTCTGATGACAAAACACTTCCCATCCATGTCGTTTAAGTTTATTCCTGACGCATACGCTTTGACTGCGGCACCAGAAACATGGTCTGTGCTCCTATCACAGAGACGTCGATGGATCAACTCGACTATCCATAACCTTGCCGAACTCATGTTCTTGAAAGATTTATGTGGATTCTGCTGCTTCTCTATGAGATTTGTGGTCTTCGTTGACCTCTTCGGTACCCTCATCCTTCCAGCAACCTGTTTCTACCTGGGATACCTCATCTACTTGGTGGCTACAGGTACTGCCAGCCAGTTTCCTCTGTTCTCTATCATCATTCTAGCCGCTGTGTATGGTCTTCAAGCAATCATCTTCATTATCAAAAGGCAGTGGCAGCACATTGGCTGGATGATAATTTACATCCTTGCGTATCCCATCTACAGCTTTGTCCTTCCCGTTTACTCCTTTTGGAATCAGGACAACTTTTCCTGGGGAAATACCAGAATTGTCATTGGCGAGAAAGGAGACAAGAAAGTTGTTGCTATTCAGGACGAAGGGTTTGATCCAAGATCGATCCCACTTCAAAGATGGGATGACTATGCGGCAAACAATAAGCTTCCTGGAAGACGAGGTAACACTGGCAGTTACCAGGAGAAGGGATTTGAAACGGCCTATACCGACGATCCGGCAATGATGGAAATGGACGATATGCACTCAAATTACTCTTCAGTGAAGCCAGCAAGCACCATTCTTGCAGGATTCCCTCAGCAGCAACACCCATACATGGCACCCCCTCGATCACCGGCACCCTTTGGCATGACCAACCGAGCAAGTACAATGACAGGTCTAACTCAATTTCAAGATCAACCACACAGCGTACATGGTCGGCAGATGAGCATGATGAGTTTGGGCAGTCAAGCTCGTCTGAAGTCTCCATCTCCAAACCCTTACCATGACCGTAGTCCATATCAGAGTGGGATGCAGCATTCAGTCAGCCGACCTAGCCTTCTGGGGATGGGAACCTCACGACCAGTCTCTACGGTGATGGATTTCCGAACCGTCCCGTCTGCTGGGCCAAGTGACTTTGATATCGTCGACGCCATCCGTGCGGTTCTCGCAGAAGTGGATCTCGACAAGGTGACCAAGAAGCAGGTCAGAGCACTTGTGGAGCAAAGACTTCAGTGTGAAGTTCCTACCGGCGATCGCAGAATTTTCCTAGACAAGGCTATTGATGGTGAACTGGCCAATATGTAGGACAGTCTGTATCATTTTCACGGGGTTTGAACTTTCGGAGTTTGTCATTAAAATGGGTCAAAGACATGGTTACATTGGCATAGGCACAGGATTGAAAACGGCCTGAATGTCAGTTGGAATGGGGAGCGATAAGACCTTGGGCCTGGGTCAAAAAGGGTCAAATGGAGCATTGGCATCATTAATGTTTTTATGGACGAGGATATGATCTCTTGGTTTTGCGTATTACTGAATTAGCCAGTCTTGCTCAGCAGACTGATGGCGGAAATCTTGGATCATCTAGTATAGTATATCTATAGTACATCCATCGAGGGGATTTAATCCTTATTGGAGATATAATCGATACTATTGAGAGGTACTCATTATTACTTTTACTGGAAACCCTTCGCAACCTCATGGGTGCCTAACCAAGACGTTCATTCATGCGTACATGCTCGGCCGAAAAGATTCAAAGATGTGCACCACCAACCCCCTTCTCCGAGTTCAACCTCGATGTGCATTAGTAATACAACCAGGACATCCTATCACTGACAATCCGCGGGCTGCACGCTGGTGGCTTCATCTGCCAGGAGAGCCAGTAGAATGCTTAAAACCCGGCATCAAACCGCACTACTGAACGCAACTACTTGATCGCATCCAATGTCCGTCCCTGTGCATCATTGGGGGTGCTTGATGAATCGCCATATTTGGGGAAATAGCATAATCAGTCAGGCTCGAGGTCTATCGTCACATATAAGTCGGGCTCACCCATCTCTACGACCATCGTCTATCAAGGATAGAATTCACCCCAAGATCATCAATCGGCGTCTATCACAACCGTCAACATCCCGTACCCCAGATTATCGGCGAGCGTCCAGCATGGCTACAGCAGCGACCACTACTAATGGCACCGCCACGAACGGCTCAGCAACCCCGGACATCACGCTTTACACAAACCACGCCTGTCCCTGGGCGCATCGAGCACACATCGCTCTCAAGGAACTCGGCCTACCGTATAAAGAGGAAATCATCGATTTAGACCGCCCTCGCGATCCGTGGTATTTGAAGATTAATCCGGTAAGTTCCTCCTTCATTACTTCATTATATGTCCGCAACATGAACATGCGAGAGAGCAATGGGCGAGATGCATTCGCGCAATTCAGCTCGATTGCATTCCAAGGGATACCTTCAAACTAACAATCCACCTCGTCTTCCCCCCAACAGCGCGGCCTCGTCCCAAGCATCAACTACAACGGCCACATCATCACCGAGTCCGCCACAGTGACACAGTTCCTCGCGGACGCACACCCATCACAACACCTGCTGCCAACATCGGCATCGGAATCCAACGCGCTGTTCCGCGCGCGCGTCGCCTTCTTTGTCGACACATTCATCTCCAAGGCCCTCCCGCAGATCTTCGACGGCTGGAAAGCCCAGGAAGAAGACGCCAAGGACGCCGTGGCAGACGAGATCGTCAGCGTCGTCGTCAAGGAAGTTGAGCCCTTGTTCGACTGGGACACGAAGACCGGGCCGTATTTTGGTGGAAGCGACAAGCCCACGCTTGCCGAGGTATGTTCTTCCCCTATTCTTGTTCCGTCTCCTCCTTTCCCGTGTCCAAGGTCGATGCGTGCTTTGGAATTCGTCACGGATGTTGACCTACCTGCCATACATAGGTTCAAACCGGCCCATTCGTTCTGCGGCTCATCGCGTTCACGAAGCCCGAGTACGGTATCCTGAGCCCGAAGCTCGCCGGCCTGCTGAAGGAGAAAGCACCCAAGTTCACCGCGTGGGCCACGAAGCTGGTCGAGGAGGAGAGCGTCACGTATATCTGGGACGAGAAACTCATTGCCACGAGGACAAAGGAGCGCTTCGCGAAGCTAGCAGCTGCCGCCAAGGTTTAGGTTTGACTGGGTTAGATGTGCGAGTGGTTTTGAAAAGCGGACTTCGCTGCCTGATCTGAACGGCTACGCGCTCCTCTGCTTCAACATTAAACCGTCAAATGTGCTATCATAGTCCTTTATCAAAGTGAATAAATATTGAGAACTCCAATTATTGATTCCAAATGCCGTCATTGACCCCAATATCGTTAGAACGTCAGTGCATAACATAAACCGCCAAAGTCCACAATAGGACTGACAAAATCGAGTCTTCGCTCGTGACGCTACACTTCCACAGTAGCACGACTATGAACCAGGAAGCAACGTCAGCCAGGGAGTTCAACGAAGGATTGGAAGCACGAGAGGAGTGATGTTCGCATGACTTACCAGTAAATGCACCTCACGTTATCTTCCGGAGATGTTGCGACCCATTCGTCAAAGCAATCGAGGTGAGCCTTATTGTGGCAGGTGTCACATGTCCAATTCTGTGCTCGTACGCGACTCAAGCGTGAGAGGCAGATGCCACATTCACTCCGAGAGGACGGGCTGGATCTGGAGGAGACAGACCTGTTTGATGCGGTCGAAGAGGTCGAGGCCCAACTGGAAGAGCTGGATGTGCTTTCTCTGCGTTGGCGTGGTTCTGAGATTGGTCGGAACAGGATCATAGGCAGGTCAGGTTCGTCACCGCTTTCAGAGTCGTTGTCATCGTTGTCTGACTCCGCAGTCTCTACCTCGGAGACATGCGAGGTGTTTTCAACTAGAAGCCGCGTCCTCTCCGGCGAGCCCGTGCTCGAGCTCGTGCTACGGGGTGGAGACTGGGGTATAGGCAGCCCATTTCTTTGATACTCCTCCAGCATCGACTGCATTTGCCGAAGCATCTGAAGAGTCTGCGCTTGTATCTCTAGAGCATTGCGTTCCGATTGGGAAAGCCCGGTGGGAGGATCGATTCGCGTGGACGAAGACTCCCTGTTGCTGACACGTTGTCGGTGTGGTTCTCTTGCAGGCTCGGAAAAACTTTGAGGTTGTCGCCACTGCTCTTGTTGCTGTTGCCTGTGGACATTGGTACGGTGCAATCTTGCTTCCCATTGCTGAGATTTTGCTTCGGCTTGGTCTTGATGCCACCTTTTGCAGTGGAGTAAGTGAGCCACTGCGTTCAACTCTCTTCGTAGGCTCCCAGGATCTGTATTCTGTGCTAAAGCGTTGCAAATCTTTTCGAGACCATTGAGAGCTGCATAGCGAGAGGCTTCCGCAACCGCCATCCCGCAGGTTGGCTTTGCCTTTCCATACCCGATACATGTAGAACGGTCCAGAGGATGTTTGATACCGAGATCTTGGCAAAGGCGGTTTACGGCGGCCATGTTGATGGATATAGAAATTCTGAGATGAAAGCGATCTTATGATGAACTATGCTGAAGGGATTGGTCGATGATGGGAGTGTACGCCATCCAGCAAAGAATTTGCCTTCGTTTTATGCCGTCTGAGAGGCCTTCCACGATTCAGTTGATGGCCTGTGAATATTAAAGCTCGAGTCAAGGCAACACCGCCCAAAGAGGCTGAGGACCGCCAAACTTCGAGCCACCCATGTGACGGCCATGGTAGAACTGAGTTACGTATACACTCAGCCACGGCTGGCCCGGCTTGCAACTCCCATAATGAGCCTCTTCCCGGGGTTTCGAGTGCTGGTTATGCATACTTCGCCTGCTGGAGTCCCGAGACGTACCTATGGTTGGCGGATAGCACAGCTTCCTACTCAACAAGGGCCATATTCCAAGAAATCGTTCAGTGGCTTGCTCTGGACAGCCGGGACTCGACTCGGATTGCGTGACATTGAAAGCCCTAGGCTGAACAGCAAGCGAGTCTTTCAAACGTAAAGTGTCTGAAGACAAAAGCACATGTTTGTGAGGCCTTCATTGCCAGCGAGCATCAGAGCATCACATGGAAGTTCTCCTAGCAGCCGCTGCTGGCTGGACCTCTTCAACAAGGGATTGTAGTGCGACACTCACTGTGGCAGACGACATCAAAACGCAACGATAGCGATGTGGTCGGCAGGAAGGTTGCCCATGATTTTCGACTAAGACGACCGTTATGCAGCCTTGCACCCCCTGATTCATGCTGAGCATGTGGAGAGCTATTCGTGTTGCGCCACTTCTATCGGCGGTTATTTCACGCAGTAAAGTGGCCGCCACGCCCATCATTATTGGCGTGCCAGGTGACCACGAACAAGATCGAGATCGATGATGTTGACATGAGAAACGAAACGTGAGACCATTGATGTTCGGGCGGAGTTTAGGCGGGCATGGAGAGTTCTTAAGTTAGCTACTTAGGCTGGCTTGGTGGGAGTCCACTTGCCTCCACCCCCATCCCTTTCGGCGTGGGGTCCAGCATGAACCTCAATGAAGTGTAGCAGTTGGCATGCCCGCAGATATTTCTTCGTACCCCACAGGTTGAATACCCTGGTGGCCTCATGAAGCCGAGCAGACTGAACTAAGACGGCCACCTAAACCCTGGTAGATAATTGCCCATCTAACAGACGAGAACGTTCTTTGATAGCAGTTGCATGCTCTCCTATCGTCTCCTGGATCAGGTGAAAAGTGAAAATAGAGTCCATACGCGATTTAATCATCATCAGAAGCCTGTCCGTTGTTGAGGAAGCGGACCATTCCGGAAAGCCGGATTCACTCAAGACGCAGCCTTAATTTTCGGTTCCCTCAGGTTTGTAGTGGGACGGTTCACGTGACGGTCCTCAATTGACATTGCTCGCATGAGCCGTGAGTGCATGGACTGTGCTCAGGGAACAATCTAGTTGGCTACTAAGCACTGACCTGCATAGGGCTGGGGAGGGTAGGCAGGGATGGCGAGGATAGGCACAAAAGGAACGAGGAAGTAAGGCTGACTTTTGAGCAAGTTCAATCGTGTAAGAGTAGCATTTGATCACCTGAGTCTACTTATGAGGGTGAATAGACTTGTGATGTCTTCACATGGGTCCTTATGGCCACATCTTCTGCAGCAGGCACCCTTCTAGGTGTTGCTGCAGCTACATGTAGGATATGACCGGTGTGAACTGAGATCCCATGGTGACAGATGCTCCAGACGGATGACAGCAGGTAAAGCGCATTTTTTATGGTCTTGTGCCCAACAGTCTAGCCCTGACTCATTCGTGGACGGTACTCCGGGCTTGATTTCCGAAACGAGGCTTGTTGCCTGGCATCTCAGATGAATTGGTTTCCATGCATGATTGCCTTAGTGTCATTATCATAGAGGTACTTCTGTGTGAACATTCGTGTCTTGGCGGGCCCAAGATAGGCAGGAAATAGGTATTAGGCACCCATCAGCCGGGGTACTCTCGCCTAGTCATATCTTCGAAGGGATTTGGATTTGTTCTCCCTCCACGGGAGAAGAGTGGGGACTAAAATGTATGGGATCCACACAACTTAGCGAGGAAAAGACGTTGGTGTATTGAGAATTCATAAGTCATTTCATATAAGCGGGTGAGTTGAGGTGAAAGTAGCAACACTGAATACATTGAGCGAGTGGACTTCGCGAGTCCGCTCAATTGGCGAGTGCGTGAGAATGTAAGGAAAAAATAATTCAGTCTGGTTTCTGAGAGGTGAAGACAACAACTTCGCGACGGTGGACCCCAACTTTCCGCCAGACCCTTATGGTTGATTGAGTGGTGATCATGGCGGCAATCCCGCGATAGATATGAGAATGAAAAGCAGAGTGAAGTTGGCCCCAGCCCATACTGACCAGTCTCATCGTATCATGTCTCTCGATCAGGAGAAGACCAGAATCATCGCAGCTGATGGTTACATTACCGTCTGGTACCTCGAGGTCTCTTACCGCGAGGTTGACGGTGCCGAGCGGTGTCTTTCCGAGAGCCTAAAGTTATGGAATGTGGTGTTGTAGTTAAAATTAGGCCTCAGATGACCAGGCGCGAACGAGCCATTCCCGAAATCCTTCGGGGCGAAAACTGACCAGTTGGTTCAGATTTGTACTGACAAAGTCGAATCGACCTTCGGCTGTAGCGATGAGACTGTGAACTCGGGCCTCTCTAGAGCGATCGCCAATGGCACGAGCATATGTTAGGGAGTCCTGTAGTGAGCTTTGAGTATGTCCAGAGATCTCAAAAGAACGGCCTATTACTTCATTAGCTAATATACTATACAACGATGGATAGCTTGGCGCAATCCTTTGTATCAACCTACCTCGGACTTGCTCTGCTACAGCGATGACTTCCCTGGCGTTCATACGTTCACCACGTAGCCGAAATTCTCTTGGCCACGAAGAAAGATCCAAAGCCTCGACAATGAATCTGGCGACATCTCTGGCAGAGGTCATACAGATAGACGCGGGTTGTGTTGAGGTACTCTGAAAGGGCATTTGTGCCTTCCCAGTCCGAAAATTAAAGAGAAAGTCCCCTTCTTGACCGAAAGCGCTATGTAGCCCAATCTGTGAGTTGGCAAGTCCGCCGGGGGCAAATCGCTCGTAGAAAATTCCGCAAGTGAATACGGTAAACCTCATGCCTGTAGACTCCAACTGGTGAAGTCTTAGAATAGCCGCGCGTCTTCCACCGTCGAGGGAGTCATTTGGAGGACGCAGGGAAGGAGGGCCACAGAACTCGGAAGGTACGAATCGACGAATATGAGCCCCTGCAGCTGCATCGATAAGAGCAAGTTGAGCGTTTCCGCTAATTGTGGAGATTACAGTGTCAACACCAGCGAGCTTGAACCGAAGAGCTGAAGCATTAGAGTAGTCGACCTGAAAAGGAACCAGATTAGCAAAGAAACAAGTCTGTTGGGGTTAACCTGACACATGTTGAAGCAGATATGAAAGTGGGAGGAGTACATCGTGGCAGCACGGATGCTGATGCTGGAGAGCTCCGGGAATACAAGGACTGCTAACGGCGTATTTTATCACCCAGAGAGCCGTTGTGGGTAGTGAAAATACCACGAGATTGATTCCAAGGAGGAGACACCCAGAAGGAGACGGCACTTACTTGCATGACCTGCCACCCCCTTGCCTGAAGACCCGGACTTGGCTGTGCTGTCATTAGCCTCTAGCTGCTCCATAAGACCAAACATACCCGTCTGGAGAGTATCACAAACTGGTGTGAAGTAGTTGTAGCAATACTGTTGGCGATGAACTGGGCAAGCCCGTTGGTACCGACGATGGCGACTTTAATCATCGCTGCAGGTTGATCTCGAGGAGAATGATGCATCCTGGACTTGTCTGAAATCATGGTTATCAAGTACTGGCATCGCTCAAGAACGACTCGCCTTCTATGAGTCAAAAATACCACGACATCGTCACCAATGTGCAGAGAACCAAAGGAAATACTGTGACCTGCCTGTTGATGGCTAAAAATGATGAATTGCGTCTCATGTAAACTGGCCTTCTCTCACGGGATAGGGCTGCTGCAATATTTAGTCCAAGACTGTGGACCAGGAAAATGCCCAAGATCGACAAATGACGCCTGGACTTCGCAACGTTGGGAGTGGGCTTGCAACACGAGACGGGAGGAACGCAGGTTCCCGACCCATTATTGCCAATTACGCTGACCATGCTTGGTGACTTGTTAGGCAGCACGACCATAGTGACGCTTGGTTCTGCGGGTTCAACCCGAAGCAGTCGAAATTCGGTGCCGGTAATTTGAATTCCTGGGCAGACTCTGGTTGGTACAATAACGAAACCGGTGTCGACGAGCCGATAAGTCTGATGAACGAGAGGCCAGGAGATTTCCCGGCAAAGCAGTACAGGAGAAGGCAGGTTTTTGCGAGGGTGATTTCGGTTGAAAATAGCCACGAGGAGGGTCGATCGCGTTCGCAGAGAAGTGTTTTGGAGGTGAAATCCAATGAATTGGACCCAAGGCTTCGGGTGGTGCACAATACGGACAAAGGTTCCTGGTTGGTAGTATTCGTACATTTGTGTACCAGGTTGTAAAACAACAAGATGAGTGGTCAGCCCTATTAGGCGACCAGTGGAAGCAATCCCAATAATGTCGCAATGGAAAAGCATACCAGTTTGCGACTGGGGCATTGCGCTACAGGGGTGTGCCGCCTGATGTGGACCCCCTGTGAACGAGAGCCTCGCACTCTGCTGCACGGCACTTTGGGGCCACCAAGTGACCGAAAGTATTAGCAAAGCCAGTGTTCGAGACTCGCAGATCAACATGATCGATCGAGTGCAACACTGACGATTGCACTGTAGACTTGGTTTGCAGAAAGTGATCACTAAGCTTACATATTGCCTCGGCCCCAAGACGGGCTCGTCGAGCGACAACAAAGTCACGTGCAATCGTGTACAAACGCGCGCATTAGTCAGCCGTTGCAAGCAACTGACTCAACAACAACCCGATGCTGACTGTCCAACAGAGCCAGAGACATGGCTCTCTCGGACCGACGGGTTGATGATAATTCGAAATCTGACATGAGGGCTATGTGACCAAGGATGATCTCTGAAAATGATAAACCACGGGAGACTTCAAGTCGGAGAAGCTTCAATCAAAAAGACCACTTACTGGGGCTCGTATCCCGACCGGATACGAGTGTGTTTTGGTACTTTCGGTGCGGTGCGTGCTTCCGTCAATTTTCAAAATTTGTTTGCAAAAGTGGACCGTGTTCGCTGGAGGGTGAGAAAGATCCGTAGCCGTCTGACGTTTGTGAGTGGTCCGACGATAGACTTGTAGACATCAATCACTTGGACTGGCGTTACGTCTGTGGGTTGTTGCTTAAGCCCATGTGCTAGGGATCTTGGGTAGTGTTACCAATGCAATGCGATGCAACTTTGTGATCTGGGCAGGATTATTTTCAAGTGGGACTTATTGGGACCTATTACTAGACGACGACCTGTCCAGCAAGATCTGGTCGATGAGATGAACTCGAGTTCTCGAGCTCGAGCTCGAGCTCGAACTTCGAAGGGAGACTGCCAAGAAGTGACTGCCCAGGTGCAGTGGTGTCGAAAATGATGCCCTCCGGGAGCCCACTATTCACTATTAGTTAGTAACTCTAGTTAGTCCGCACGACGCGCTTTGGGGTTTGTGGCGCTGACGCGTTGAGATGATCCCCACGTCCAATCCAAGTCTGGCACGTTGACCTGGTTCTCTTCACCTTCAACCACCAGGTTCTTCCTACCATCTCTTCCATCATCGTCGCCATTTGCCCACATATCCCAAGCAAATATGGCTGGTACCGTTCAAGAGGCGTCTGATCCTCAACTTGGTGCACAGTACTCTTTTCAACTGCTCCCTCCCACGTCCACGCCCTCGGATCACTCGTCTCTGAATAAGAGCAGAAGACGGCGGACAAGGTATAATCGAGTCACCAAGCTCACATATTGCTCCAGACAGAATTACTGACTGCTCCTTAGCCCTAGGGACAATGCCATTCTTGCAACTGCTTACGAGAGGAACTCGAAGCCGGACAAGGCTGAACGAGCCTTGATTGTTAGCCAGGTCGAACTCGGCGAAAAGGAAGTCCAAGTACTTACTATCTATACCTCATTTTTCTTGACGCACAAAATATTGACTATTACCTTCTTAGATCTGGTTTCAGAACCGACGCCAGAATGATCGCCGCAAATCAAAGCCTTTACAACCCCACGAACTGGTAGCCCACTTGCGCACTCATGGTTCGAATCCCGCTTTGCATCACCTGGGATCACCTTCTCCTGGAAACGATTTGCCATCTCAACATACCAGTCCAAGACATTCCCTTGCTCCTATCGAGGTTCCGGCTCGCCCGGCATCCAGGGCATCCAGTATTCACGACCTACTCAATCCATCTTCATCAGCAGACACAACCATCGGAACCGGCTCCTCCCAAGTCACAGCCGCTCCCTCTACACCTCCTTCAAGCTTGGAAGAGCAAACTAAGGTCGCTAGTCCCGACCAGATAGGACAGGGAGTAACTGAGTCTGATGGTAACGAGAGTACCAGTGAGCAAGGAAGTGCACGGAAGCGAGATCACGATGAGATGTCTGGAGCCAAGGACAAAATACTCACCAGTCCAGTCGTCCAGGAGCCCCAAAAAGATCCCCAAGCAAAGGAGCCCTTTGCGCGAAGCTCAAGCATGGTACGATTAGCCATGACTGCTGATGGAGCCGTAAAAATCCGCACCAATAACGAGCCAACCCCCTCACCCGAAAAGCCACGCACGCTGCCTGCCCCCGTCCCTCAAAGCACGGCACGAGCAAGTTTTTCGAGGAGCAAGAGTGCCATCAGTGATGCAGAAGCCTTTCGGCAATCTGTGCAAGGACAAGCTAAGACCCCTGGAGCTGGATTTGGTCGATCTCGTGATTCCAGAACCTGGGAATTTTATTGCGACAGTACTGCTAAAGACGCTCTGTCAATTCAGGCCGAAGCGGAGACAGCTGGATCCGCCGTGAGTGCCATCAATCTTGTCCGATCAAACAGCTTCAAGTCCCGTACGCAGGCACTCAGTCCCTCCATATCCAAGACCAATGGACGTACAAGTGTGATCTCAAGGGATGGTAAATCGAAACTGGCACGGACAAAATCCTCACTGGGCCGACTGCAAAGTCGTTCGGCGGAAAACCCTGGTGATGGCCTGAAATCCCAGCACCTTCGATCTCCATCAGGAGATTCCGACAAAGAGAATTGGGCGCCAGGAACCCGAGCCTCTGTCAACCCTCTCCGCCGCACAGAACCCAGCTTGAGCGCCCGACCACCACTTCAAGCAAACGAAAGTGTCATTTTCCGAGATGCAACTCCGGCTTCTCAACGATCGCGCGTGAATGGCAATCTACCCGGAACTACACAGCCATCACCAAGCAAAGAAAAAGCCAAGGGCGAAGAGCTTGATTGTGTTCAAGGACTACTCTCTCTCAGCCAAGGAGCATGGAGATGATTGTTTTGACGACCGTGCTTTCTTGTGATGGTTTACGATGATGGAAAGGAAAAAAATTGGCCTGGATAGCCCATATGTGCCCAAACTGTATCATTACCTAAAATCTGTCATGATTCGACAGTATGCGTCAGAATTAACCGCACACCATGTTTGCGTATTGTGATTATGTGTCTGCAACTGGTAACAGTCAGTCAGAAGGAGACCATGTCCACCCTAATTAAGAAATTTTCAATACTACCGTCTTGCTCTGAATCGTTTACACTCTAGATAGAACCTGGTGCTGTGCAAGGCTCTTGCTCGCACGATTTTGAGTATCGGAAACCGTTCAACATTGAACGAAGTAAACCAATGACAATATGGAACAGCAATTTTTCCAACATGCACACCTCACGTATTGATTCAAGAGCTGCAAGTACCACTAATCAATTCCTGTCCACACGGCTCACCGAAACGCTGGCTGGAACCCACCATCATTTGCGATAAGTTGACTTCGGTCGAAGGCAGTGTACCGAGCGACCGAGCGAGAGCGCTTATTTAACTCTTGTCGAGGGAAAAATTCCCAGGCACCTCATCTCGACTAACTTCCTTGCTCTCCACTAAGAGTTAGGGCGACTGGATCTAGAGAGTATATAAGGTAGAGGAGAACCATGCTAGGCTAAATATCTCTGTTCCAAGTACAACGCCACCCCACGCGTCCTCAACGGCTGTTCTCCGAGACTCGATCCAACAATCTGGTGAGCAACCCACCCAATCCCTACGATTCAAATGCGAGCACCACAATCAGCAACCGCAACAGCGCGGCATGTGGCCGTAATCGGGGCCGGGATGGCGGGGCTGCGATGCTCGATCGTGCTGGCGCGCAGCGGGATGCAAGTGACGCTGATCGAGGCGCGCGACCGCGTCGGCGGCCGCATCCACCAGCAGCGCTGCGGCGGACACCTCGTCGACATGGGCCCGAACTGGATCCACGGAACGGCGGGCAATCCGATCAGTGCCATCGCGGAGAAAACGAATGCCGTCGTCGTGAGTCCCGACGAGGATGGCGCGCTGTTTGATTCGGACGGCAGGAGGCGGCCAGCGGAGCAGGCGAATGCTCTTTCCGCCGAGATTTGGGCCCTGATTGCTGATGCGTTTAAGTATTCTGAGGAGAAGGGGCGGCAGATTGGTGCTGGTGTTAGTCTGTTTGAGTATGTGAGGGCGAGGGTTGATGGGGAGTTGGATTTGGATGGTGGTGGGAGGGATGAGGCTGGGATTGCGAGGCGGCAGAAACTGAACCTGGACAGGGCGGATCTCCTGCGTGAGGTCGAGAAATGGGGTCCCTTTGTCGGGGATCCCGTGCAGCGTCAGAGTCTGAGGTTCTTCTGGCTGGAAGAGTGTATCGAGGGCGAGAATGTCTTTGTTGCGAGCACTTATCGTGATATCCTGGCGGAGGTGTGGCAGTCGGCGTTGGAGGAGCAGCAACGTGGTCATCTGAAGGTCCAGCTCGAGACGGAAGTTATTCATGTTGAGTTGCTGTCTGAAGGGGCTCAGAGCGAGGGAGGTAAAGTGAGGATCACGACTGCGGCGAGCGAGAAGCAGACCTTCGACGACGTCGTCGTCACGGCGCCGCTCGGATGGCTGAAAAGGAATAAAGATAATGTGTTCACGCCGGCGCTTCCGGCAAGGTTGTCTCAAGCAATCGACAATATCAACTATGGCCGTCTGGAAAAGCTCTACGTTACGTTTCCATCGGCGTTCTGGCTCGGCAAGGACGGTGGCGACACATCCAGCCACCCGTTGTTCACTCAGTTCCATGATCCCAACTACATTGAACATCCAGTTTCCGACGGAGCCTGGAACCAGGAGATCATGAGCCTCGCCCACCTACCAGGTTTGACCGCACAGCCCACGCTGTTGTTCTACATCTACGGTCCATGTGCGTCCTGGATCGTTGCGCAAGTGAAGGACCTCACACCTCACTCGGATGCTTACAATGCTGTGCTCACAGCGTTTGCGGAACCATTTTACAGTCGTTTGCCACATTACTCTCCCAGTACGGATGAAGCTTGCCGCCCAAGTGCCTTCCTCATGACACAGTGGCAGAACGATCGCTTCGCCGGACATGGGAGCTACTCGAATTTTCAAATTGGCCTGGAGAAGGGAGACGAGGACATTGAGGTTATGAGAGATAGTGGAGGGTTGGGCGAAGCTGGGGGTCTGTGGTTGGCGGGTGAGCATACGGCGCCCTTTGTCGCGTTGGGGACGACAACGGGTGCGTATTGGAGTGGTGAGGCCGTTGCTGGGCGGATTCTCGCACGGTACGGGGTTGAAAAGGTGGAGGACGAGGAGACGTTTGAGCAGTATGGCCAGAGGAAGGATGTTTCCGGCCAGAAGAACGGCGCAGATGCGGCGAATCTGAATGGTTTGGCTGTTTAAGATGGTGCTATACATCACCAGGGCATTGATGATAGAATAATGTACCACTACAGGTGTGATTTGGACACTCAACTCAGCTTTGGGTATGATGGGTTACGAAGATGATGACGAACGAGCAGTGTCTGGTCCGCTCTCCCGGAATGTCTTGTCGTGCAATCTGACGTGAGAATGAAACTCTGGCGCCGTTATTCATATTGCCCATCCCGATGACGGGGCTCCTTGTGAGCACTATGATACTAAAACTTTGGGCATTCGTAAGACTTTCCAAATGGCCAAGATTAATACACTCCAAGGTCGAGGCTAAACTCAGGCTCCTAGAGCTCGCAACTCTGTGGACACCACCATGGTTAGCATATTTGCGTGTCTCGCTTCAGGAGGTGAGTCGGGGTTCAAAATGTTGGCTTACCTTTCTCGATCGCCTCCATTTTCTCTGCGTGGCTCGGCTTGGATCCAAGACTCAACATCTGATCTGTCTGCATCATTCAGTCGTCGAGATTGGGACTGTACTGGTTGAACTTGAGGTTCAGTTGCTGTTAAACCCAATTGAGATTAAAAAGGAAGGCAATGTAGGTTGTCGTGAAACAAGCCGACTTACATCGAGCAGTGATCACGCCAGTATCATCCCGAATATCCCCCAGCACCGCTTCAGAGGGTTGTCCATAGTCTAATTGTCCCTATGAGCTGCATTGTGCGCGCTCACGTTGTTCAGTATCGCGTTGAATGTTTGTCAATCGGCGTCCCGATCGCTTTCGAGACTTGGCTACGCGTGCACCGCAAGCATTCCGAATGATTGTGGTGGCCTCGAGACCTGATTTGCGACCATGGCGTCGACTCTGAAGTGTCGTTTGAGGCTCTTTCGAATGGGTGTTGGAGGATTAAATATGGTGTGCGGAGAGGGCAGGTACTGGAGTATCACGACCTCCACCATGAGTGTTTCAATTTTCTGCCGATACGCCTGTCGTTGCTGGCAATGTTACTGAAGAGACGAGCAAACTCAGGCCGATTAGACGTCGTTGACGTGCCGCTCTCCCCATGTGGACGGGCGTGCCGATGACCACGTTACATGCCCCAGAAGTTTTGGGCAGTAGATTCTCTGCTTACGCGTGGTAAATCTTGTAGTGGGTAACGAAATGGTTAATGAAAAGCCTACCATGAACATCGAGTTCGAGAATTTCCACAGCTCAGACCAATTCAGGATGTGCCAGGGTCAAAGAAACAACATCGATGGCCTCTACCTTAGCTCCGACATCGGCGATACCAAGGCTTTGATGTGTTCAGCAGCATGGGTGTTGGCGGAGGCAGTGACTGTTTGCCTAGCAGTGATAACCATAGTGATCTTTCCAGAGTAGCGTTGTTGATCAGCCGTATTGTTGGTCGATGCCACATTGGTGCTAAGAGAGGAATCATCCTTGGAGCTGCCGCATATCTATTGTCATAGACTCGTCCATTCACTATATAGGACATACATGGGATACCAAGGCGAGCTTCTCATAACTAGAGGGTGAAATGTCTATAACCATAGACGATGTTTCACTCATAGACATGACTGCCCGCTCAGACTCTGATACCGAGAGCAATATGCAGAGATCCGGGGGGAAAAGGAGACAAAAGCCAAGGAGGATGAGGTTGGAGTGGTTGAAGGACGAAGCAGAGTTTTGGATAGCACGATGAAGGAAGACATGAAGACACTTATCTTGTTGATATGGCATTATTCAGAATACCTACATATGACAGCTGGGTATCAGCCAATGCAAATGACTGCCGGGAGCGAGATCGTCAGAGCTGAGTGATGAGCCATAGTGTATCCGTAGATGCAGTGTGAATTAATTTTAGGAGCACATCAGCAACTCGGTATTGCACCGAGCCGAACAATTGGATCAGGGGTCAAAATATCACACAACTTCTATCTAGAACAAAGATACCAAAGATGATGACGGAAGCTGTCTACCGGTCGGAACATACAAGAGATGAAGAGCCTGGCGGCTGAACGGATATGCAAGGGAGATGGGCGGAAGGACAAATGTTCAAGCGTGGGAGTCAACATGAGTTAACGTGGACCTGGACGTTGACGCCTGGGTGGGTTGAATTAGGGTCATTTACGCTCGAAGGGAGATTAAGAGAGCAGACGGGGAACTCTTAGCTAGAAAGGACACCCAGTGAGAGCATTCTGTGCCGGTAGCGGCCGGTGGTCAAACACTTCTGGGCGTGGGGAGCTCCCTCCCACCGCCTGTTTACCGCCTAAAACCCCTTGCGCCTCAGCGTTGCTGGGCCCACAAGGGAGTCCAGGACTCCAGGAGAGACCAAAGTTGGAGAAGCAAAAAGAATTTCGCCTATACTGCAAATGGGGATTTCATCCATGCAGGGCAAGAGTCATGTCATGATCCAGCACAAAAAAAGTTCCCCCAAGCTGCGACAGCGCTAACTAAATATCCATGGACGATGTCAAAGGGAAGTGAAGTGGACAGACAGCTTTGGACCTCTTCCATCCCATCTTCCATCATTGACTCACTTCACTCGTAGAAATCTTGACTCATCATCCTCTTCTGCACCTGTATTTATCTCATTGCTTCTCTTGCGTGTCCCTTGTGTACACTATTCCAGCTCGACAGTCCCTAATTTGCCTTCATCGTCATCATGCTCTCCACACTTCGCCCCGTTGCGCGGTCTGCACTTCGCCAACAACAAGTCCTTCGCATTGCCAGCGTGAACGCGTCCACATGGGCCAACGTCAAGGAAGGCCCTCCTGATGCCATTCTTGGTATCACCGAGGCTTTCAAGAAGGATAGCTTCAAGGAGAAGATCAACCTGGGTGTTGGTGCATACCGTGAGTAACCCGATTTTCTCTCTCCCAGTCTTTCACCTGTCACCCAGCCGATCTCTAACATTTTGCAGGCGACGACAAAGGCAAGCCTTATGTACTCCCTTCCGTCCGGACTGCCGAACAGAAGCTCCTTCAGGATAACCTCGACCACGAGTACGCCGGCATCACCGGCGTTCCTGCCTTCACCAAACACGCTGCAGTTTTGGCCTATGGACCCGACAGCAAGCCTCTCAAAGAAGACCGCATCGCCATCACACAATCTATTTCTGGTACCGGTGCTTTGAGGATAGGTGGTGCTTTCTTTGAGCGATTCTACCCTCACGCAAAGACCATCTACATCCCCACCCCTTCGTGGGCCAACCACAAGGCCGTCTTCCTCGACTCCGGTCTCGAGGTCAAGCAGTACAAATACTACAACAAGGACACAATCGGATTGGACTTTGACGGCCTGATTGCCGATCTCAAGGCCGCCCCTGAAAACTCCCTCGTCCTCCTGCACGCCTGCGCCCACAATCCCACTGGAATCGACCCAACCCAGGAGCAATGGCAGCAGATCAGCCAACTGTTCAAGGAGAAGGGCCACTACCCATTCTTCGACATGGCATACCAAGGGTTCGCCAGCGGTGACACCGACAAGGATGCATACCCCGTTCGTCTTTTCATCGAGCAAGGCCACGGTCTCGCGCTCGCCCAGTCGTTCGCCAAGAACATGGGTCTCTACGGCGAGAGAGTCGGCGCATTTAGCGTCGTGGCAGACAGCGCAGAGGAGAAGAAGCGGATTGACTCGCAAGTCAAGATCCTCGTCCGCCCGCTCTACTCCAACCCTCCTGTCAACGGTGCACGCATCGCCAGCGAGATCTTGGGCAATGCCGAGTTGAACAAGCAATGGCTGGGCGAGGTCAAGGGTATGGCCGACCGCATCATCGAGATGAGAGCTCTATTGAAGCAGAACCTCAAGGATCTGGGCTCCAAGCACAACTGGGACCACATCACCAACCAGGTACGTACTTTCAGTAGCAATGCTCAAATTGCACAAAGTGTTGTCCGGAATATTTTACAGAGTACTGACTTTTCCACCCCTCTAGATCGGTATGTTCGCATACACCGGCCTGACCGCCGAGCAGATGGATAAGTTGGCGAAGGAGCATTCGGTCTACGCCACCAAGGACGGCCGTATCTCTGTCTCTGGCATCACCACTGGCAACGTCAAGAGACTCGCTGAGGCGATCCACAAGGTCACCAGCTAGATGTTTTCCACGGGGAAAGTCTGTTGCGAGAGGCAGGGCGGAACGCAATTATGCGTCGATCTCATCATAAGAGAGAAGCTAGATACAGACACAAAAAGGTGACTTGGAGGCGAAGTATTACTTGTATGAACGCATAACTGATACCCAAACCCGGGGCGGCTACGAGCTTGGGCGACAACCAAACTTGGATGGTGATGTCTTGTTCTCGATAGATAGATCTTTGCGCCCGTGGAGATCGCTGGGGATGCACACAATGAAATCACTGCGTAGTGCACACACTGTACTACTCTCGAGCATCGACACTACCCATAGGAATGGCGAGCGAACTCATCATGAATCGTGCTATGTAAATGAGGCAAGGTCCGGAATCCTGGAGAAAGGTACGAGCACTGTCAGTCTGTCCCCAGCCGGGCGCTACCCAAGATAGCTAGTTAGGTCGGATTGACCCGTATCTTGAATCTCGGACAGACTGCTCTGTGCTCGTGTATAGACTGCAGACTGCAGTGCATGAGTTGCACCATGGGCCTGAGCACCTCAGCTTGGGTTTAATAAAACCCTGGGCTACCTATCTTATGTAGCTAGGTACCCAGGAGTCATCCAAATTTTGGGGTCGGCGATTGTGAGAGCACAGCTCCCGATGCGTGCGATTCAGATCCAGTGTCCATTCTCGGGATAAGAACTGCACTGCACGGCTTGGGGCTGTCGATCTCCATCCTCTTCCTGGGCTCACGGTCATTAAATCCGGCGGTGTGCATGGACGGCAAGGAATTCCGTGGGAACACCCACCCCTATATGCATACAGATTACTACCCAGTAGTTAAGGGCTCGTATCGCACGCTCGCCGGTCTACACCCTGTATCCCGTACCTGGGATGAGAACTGGGCCAGCTCGTACCGAAAGGACTGTTGATGTTGAGTGCCATACTAACTCAAGTAAAGGGATGTTACCTAGGTATTCATCGACGATCTTGGAGTGCTCGATAGTGGGGACAGGTTTTAGCCGACGATGGCGATTTCGGGGAGCGTTATCATTATTGGCCCTTGTTGTGCAAAGGTTCTGCACGACGAGGGATGGATAGCTCTGTGCAAGTGTACGAGTAGCTACCGAGCTCATTTCATGGGCGCCGGGTATTCGAAGCAAGGGTTATGTTCCTGTACTAATGGGCATCCACCATGTGCTAGGACAATGCAGCAAAGAATTGAGGACCGGTTTAGGAGAGCCAACTGAATCTTCGTGTTGGTGTCCCTAGAGACCCTTGGGTCTACATCTGGCGGCGGGTCGATGCAGGAGGAAAGTCTTTTAACCGTCCCGCTCAGCTAGCCTTTTGCTCCCAAAGGCGGGTCCTACACGTTTTACGAGTACCCTTGGTGTACCAAGTAGGAGAGGTATCGTTGCTTCTGTCATAATATCCAATCATGAAAAAGGTGTCTGGGAACATGAATTACCTACCGTTGGAGGCATCTCACCATTCGGTGTGGTTGTTTCCATGGCCAACTCCCGCGAAATCCGGTGACCACAGGCATCGTATCTTGAATAGAGGTAATTGGTCGTGGCGGCGAAAATGCGTGGCTTGTTGTACTACAGAAGCTGGATAAGGTAACAACCACTCGTCGAATTACGGTAATAATACTCTGCGGCGGCATGCCTATCCTAGTGCCTACCTACTGTGACCTGGAAGGTGGGGGAAACAACACCAGGACGAATATGAAGAAGGATCCTGAGAGACCCGGAGACTTGTCTGTACGGATCTTTGCCATGCTCTCAACAACAGCATTGGGTTTAGTGACAGGAGGCAGCCCAATCCCAGAGTCTACAGTAGGGAGACAGCATGTCGGCAAGACCAGGACTAGGGAGGCCATTGAGGGCTAAAAGCGACGCCAACAGGCTGCACGTTGACATCATTGCCTCCCTCGCTTGTGCTGTTGCTTGGTGCGCTTTCGTGCACTCCCGCGACCTTCTTCCTCTTGCAGAAGTAAAGCCCCCAGGGATTTTGCCTCCAGGGTGGTCTGCTCTCTGAAAACCACCGTTTTTAGCAGTCTGTTGTGCGTTCGACACCTCTACTACAGACACTCGAAGCAAACCCTTCTCGAACATATAGATGGCAGGAGCGACCTGTTTCCACAATCCTGGTGACGTGCACAAGCTGCCCAGTGCCAGTGTGACGTGCTCAACGACGTCATTCCGCAGCTGAAATCTGGCCAAAATCAGACGTCCAACGTACAGTCTCGCTCCTGCCATTTTTCTCAGGTGCTCCCGTCTGCTGAGCCTTTTGGGGGGAACGGAGTGTCCGTTGAATCTTCGACGCCGTATCACGCTACAGAACATGGTCTCGCGATCGAGGCAGTCAAGATGTCGTGTTTTGGTGGTACAAGAATACTGTCAGCTTCCCGTTTTCTACCACTTGAATGTCGATCTGCCGCATCTGCTGCGCTCTCCGGCCATTTTAGGAATGGTAGGGAGGGAAATGGAGGGGCAGGGATTCATGAATCAACGGCGTGGAGGGGGAACGTCTGTACATATCCTTGAAAACTCTCCTCCGTAGTAGGTGGAATGCGGCTCCTGGCAAGCCCACCGTTCAAATTCGACGTGAAGACTTCTGGGTAGCTGGTAGTACGGGTAGTTCGTGTGGTATGGATAGGCCCCAAACGGTCCACCGAAAGAAGTGAACCGACACTGGCAGGATAGACTCCACAGATGGCAAAAACAAGTGCCTGTTATCCGTAAGCTTACCGACCAAGAAGGCTGCTGCGATTGCGATTGCGATAGAGTTGGCATCCCCTGCCAAACCTGGAGCCCACCCCAAATAGTGTCCGGAGTGTATCGCTGTTTTGGTGGTACTTTTAAGATTTGTCGCACAACTTGAACTTTTCAATCCCTCCTTCACTAGCAGCTGCCAGTCATCGCATCCAGAATTATCCGCTTCTTCTCAGCCTGGTGCGTGTTACATCTTTTGATTCAAGAACAATCATGCTTTCCTGACGGGGAAAGCTTTCCAGATTCCCGGCACTTTGGCTTTGGCGCTGCCAGTCTCGATTGAACCGCCTTGTCGCAATCCTGGTGGAGGGGAATTTCCAGCCCCTCTTGAGCCCGAGTTTTTCAACAACTGTCAACCTCCTGTTGGTCTGCAACTTCATCGTCAGATCCACAAGAAGCCTTTGAGTCATTCGGCCAAGAACCACCATCGTTCGTCGACAGCATTGAGGGCGGGCCAACTTCCTGACTTTGAGCTGTCATCATCAAAGCACATCGAGGTCAATCGCCAACGACAACCAAAGTGTGTCTGAGAATTGCCCCGCTTCAGACTGATATCTGATACAGGGTCTACAGCAGTTCAGCCTCAAAGCCTCGGGTAGTCAAATTCTACACAACCCATACTCTTCTTTCCAAGTACGTATGCAAATCTCCATGTCTCAAACCCGCTGAGGGGTCTGAGTGGTCAAGCTTCGACGATCAACAGTCGAAGTTTCCTCTCTACTCCCAGGACCCCTGATACGTCACTTCTTTCCCACGGAGCACTACAATCTGGCACCTTGAGTCTACCTGACGGTCAATTCACCACCATTTCAACTTTTCTACACCGTTGCTTGTTTGATGCCCATTTCCACCTCAATATCCTAGTGTACTGCTTCACAGTAACCTGCCGTTGTATTCTTACCAACCGCCTTCGCCGGGTGACCTGTTGTGCAGATTGATCCTATTTTCTCCGCCTTCCCCCGCGGACATTTTTGAGGTAGACACTACCTGGTTTTCTGGCTTTTTCTGTCCTTCTTTGTCCCCAACCCATGTGTACCGTTGCTTCGTTGTGTCGCCAAAGACCTGGCTGCGTCTTTCCTTATGATTACGTGCCACATGGCAATCTTCCTTTCCCACATATTGCTGACTATCATTAGGCTAGATTACTCTCCAGTTTCCACTCGAGATCATATTCTACCACACGCCGCCCCACTCCTTCCAGCCTTTCTGCGCGACTGATACCAGCCATTACCCAATCGTCCATCACAAATTCTCCTCCATTCCTCGGCGACCTGATCAGAGAGAGGCTTCCTGCCGCGCAAAGCCCTACTGGCTCAGTGCCTGAATATACTCAAGCATGTCTGACGCAGTAAGTGCTACACCTACTCTAGAGCATAGCGTACTCGAGTTGAATGATTTGGGGCTCCTCCTACCGTTGGCATTCGCCTTGAGAGTTTAAGACTGCTTTTGCTCACTAAATTGTGTTACCCCACAGCCAGAAATAGATTTCGGCGACGATGTCGACACGGCCGCATTTGAGCAGATTCTCGACATGGATGACGAAGACGACCGCGATTTCAGCAAGTCAATAGTCTTTGGCTTCCTTGAACAAGCGGAAACGACTTTTGCCAAGATGAGTACAGCACTGTCAGCAATGTCCCCCCCATGTGCCAAACTCCATCATCTAACATCCTCACCCAACAGTAAGGAGAAGAACCTAGAAGAGCTTTCCAGTTTGGGTCATTTTCTCAAAGGATCATCGGCCACCTTAGGGTTCACCAAAGTCAAGGACGAGTGTGAAAAAATTCAAAATTATGGGCACAAAAAGGATGAGACGGGGGAGATTGATGAACCAGATGAAGAGAAATGCCTCCAACTCTGCAAAACAAGCATCATGAAAGCCAAATCTGCTTACGCTGCGGTCGATGATTTGATGAGGAGATATTATGCCGACTGATGTCTAACCTGCTCTTGTGTATAACTGAACTCCACACAACCACCCACCAGCAAGGGTCTCGACGACACCAGTTGGGTATTGTGATCCAATCCTATCCTCTTTTCTAACCAGGCAAGCGAATATTTCACCACTGTGTCTGTCTCACGAGATTTATGCGGGTACGTTGTTTGTGGGTGACGAAGCCTTATCTCGTCTGGAAAGACAATTCCTCGTCGCCGCCTCCGTGGTAGCTGTGGTTACAGATCCCCATTGGAGGCCGTTCTGTTCTTACTGAACCCTCGGTGCGATGTGGAAAAAGGTTGAGGAACGACGTCTCGTTTTCGTCGTGAGCTTGATGGTCATCCTATGCTAGAGACAAGACAGCGACATCAAGGCACTCATGATCATCTGTTCACATCTCCTGGAATATCCAACATGGAGAGACTTGGTTCTTTGGTAATGCTGATTAAATAATTTTGAACACTGTTGCTCATTGTTCTTCAAAATACCCTTGGTGTATCATTCTAGCAAACCTTAGGGCAGGAAAAGATCGTCTTTTGTGATCATCCTGGTGATGATGGAGGTTCATCCCCAAGTCTTTTTCCAAGTTCGTACCCATCTAATCCGAGTACTGGGACCCCAATCAGCTCCAACCACGGAGATACCGTCTCCCGGTTGATTCTTCCCTCTGGAGTGTGCTGGTGCTGGCTTGGCAAATCTCTGACTTCTTTCTGTCGGTTGCCCTTGTGATTCCTCTACGATTCATCCTTTCAGTTCGTCTACTTACCATCACTACAATCCATGTTTGTGGCTCGGTCGACGCCAGGCGTGACTGTACGACGATGACGCACTCGATATAGAAAAGGCGAGCTGAGAGCAAAATCTGTGTTGGGTTGTGTGACTCAACCCCCGATCTGACGTTGAGCGATCGGGTAAATCAAGAGAAGAAGGGGATTATCGAATACCGGCGAGCGTGAATGCGAAAGCAAGGCACAGCAAACCGAAGCATAGTACCTCTCTGACAACCATCGATGGGAACAACCTAAAAAGCCGAAGTCACGAGCACAACGAGTCCATATGATGCAAATTCGTGGAGATTCGGTCACAAAGTACAAGGAATTGTTCGCACTCCTTTGCCTCCACCAAGGATTGACGATGATGTGTATCTCCCATGGGTCTTGAGGGTTGAAGCCTACATTACCTGTCTCGGTGCCTTACTGTCTGATCAACTTAAGGTCGTCGCAATAAAAACCTCAAAGCATTTTGAGTATCATAGACGATGAGTTTCCTCAGATCTTTGACCGCTGGTCAGCTCATTTCCGACTCGCACTGCGGGTTGATGAAACGAAATCTCTGTTGTCAGAGTATTGATGATGAAGAATCTTCTCGTCTTTCCGTCTGGAAATCTCAATCCAAGACCAATTCCTTTTCTTTTTGCATCCTTTTGATATCGAGGGCAACTTCTCTCGACCAAGGTTATGTGTTCGAGCCAGAGATTCACTGGACGCCGGATATCTTTTGCGAGGATTTTCCAAAATGCTTTCCCTTCTGTCCCTTCTCAAATCTCTGAATCCTGCACCACAATACCGACTTGAAGCAATGGTAGCGCCTCCTTGTTCTGCACTTGAGTCAGAATACCATCTGAAAACCTTTGCCCTGGCTCTGTGGTCATACTTACGGCGAGCGCAGCAGCCGCAGGCGGGTGAGCACGCTTAAAAAAGCTAAATCATCGGTAATGGCTACAGCATCAAGAGCAAGGCAGTCAGGACAGGGGTGAACAATCAAGTGCCGGGTCCAGACACAACATATCTTGACTAATGCCGCCCTCCCTCATGCTTCCGAAACTTGGGGACTGTCGCATCATAGCTCCTTTCACGAGAAGATGGTTGATAGAGAACAGGTTATCCGTGTCTAGGGCAGGCAGAGTAGGATAAACCTTAGTTAGTTGACTTTTCGAGTCACGAGCAAGCCAAGAGGCCGTCAACATTCTGGCTTTCATCGCGACAATGATGCCGCTGTTGCTCCGCTGCAGCTACTGCTTCGATCCATTGAGGTACAGTCGTCATCTCCAGCGTTATTCTTCCTGGGACTCCGACTCTCGACTCCTCCTCGTCATTTAGGAGGATGACTCAATCTAGCTCCGATGCGACTTCAGGCATCTACACCCTAAAAATAGTTATCCAGCTCCATCGACGATGCATCGAAGTACGCGTCGAGGTCACGTGTTACACATTCTATCAATAGGAATCCTTGGCGGAGGCGACGTCGAACTCAACTCACCATCAAATCCGACTTTGTGAGGTCGGAGTACCGGTCCCTGGAAGAGCCTCTCCCCAACGCTGGTCATCGCTATCGAGCCTTGTTGGGTAGTGCAGTCGACCCATGTGATCAGGTACGTGCTGCGGAGTCCGGAGCAGGCTCGGCTGATCGGCTTGCAGTCTGCAAGGCAATGCCATGCAGGCCCTTCAAGTTGCGAGTCAATAAGCTAGTAACGAGAGCAAAAACTGTACCTGCATATCGAGTCATGAATACCTGGGTACCTACCTCGCTTCCCGATAGAGAAAGTCACGTCACAAGATGGCGAGATCTGCAATGGAGGGGAGACCGCCAGACGAAGCAAAACCCACTCACTCACTACTGAAGTGAACCCAACTGGGCTTACACAGTCGACACTCATGACTAACTACAACGGCTACTCCTTCCCCTCTCTGCCACTAGTGAGAAGCCTCTCGGTAGCGACGTATCTGCCCTTGAAGAGATCCCGGCCAGGTCGCGTGGGCAGCAACGCCCTGTCTTCAGCTGAGGCTGAACTTGCTTCCCCTACAGTGAGTAAGTGAGTGAGTGCCGTTTACGAATTGCAACTCGAATGGCCTAGTAGGGCAGGCAGGCAGGCAGGCTGAAGACCAAGATCCGCCACCAAACACAGCCAGTCGCCACTGGGAGCGTTCAAGAAGCAAAAGGGCCGCCCGACCGCCACCAGCGCCTCCTCCGAAAGCAGTAACGGTCTGGAGCCGAGAAAAGAAGACCTAGGAGAGAGTATCGGCCACGGACCCACTTGACATGGAGAAGAAGATCCCATTTCGGCGGAGCGCTGGGAGGGGAGGGGGAGGGGTTTGCCTGCCTGGCTAGCTGGGCGCTGGGTCCTGGCTGGCTGGTTGGCATGGGTGACTTCCCTTCTGGACACCCGAGAGGGCGAGAGGCGAGAGTCATCACATCCATCCGCTTTTGAGACGGGGTTTTGGTTTTTGCTTGGGTAGCACCCATGCGAAAGTCTCCGGCCAGATCGGAGTGAGCAGGTTAATCGGCGGTCTTGGGCGAGGTTGATTTTCACTCTTCCTGATTCATCGATAGGCTTGACTAACTAGAGTGCGACAGTATGTGATATTCGAGTAGAGTGCCTGTGAGTTCGTATCCGTATTCTCACATATATGCATAGATCTGGTTTGGAGGAAGAGAAGTCCGGGCGTGGGGACTCGAGAGCTCTCGGGGAGCCGCAATGTCAATACTAGAGTGCTTGCATTAAGTGGCTGCATGAAGAGTTGCGCATCGGGAATCACGCCATCGCGTAAGAGTAGCCACGGTCTACCGTCTGGACCTTTTGAGATCGACCGATGTGGAGTGTCAAACCGAAAGTGCCCAGATACGAGCAATAAAAATTCTGAACCAGGAAGTGGATCTTCTTGGACATGGAGTTCTGCTGCATCTCAAGTGATCATGAAAGTAGCTTAGTCTCGAATGCGCTGGGTATGACAGCTTCTGATTCGATGGGGATCAGCTATCGACTGCTATTGATAAAAGAACCTACTCGTATCCTATCCTTCTAGAGAATAGTCCACTTGAAACTCCCAAGGCCTGATAGAAGCATTTCTTTCCTTTTGACCATTGAAGCGCCTTGACCACCATTGAGCCTGTGCGCTTTGCGCTAGCGGTTTGCCATCCGTCGTTCTCCCAGGCTCAACTCCGTGAAACCTTAAAACACCTTGACCGTCAGACACCAGTTGTACAGACATTTGGACGCCCCCAGTGGTTGCCCTTCCTTTCTCTAGATCCAGTAAACGGGACTCGTGATTCTCATACATGAAAAGAAATTGAAGTGAACAAAAATAAAGAGAGTGATAATGATGATGGTGGAGCTGTTGATGACAATGATGCAAATGGTGATGATTTTGTATACAGCATCAGGAGCTTCGCGAGGCGCTTTGAGCACATCGATTGTTCCCGGCGCCTTCGGAAGGGCCGGTCGAGCGAGGAGCTCAAGCTGAGGCCTCGCAGTGGCGAACTTCTTCAATAATAGAAAAGGGTTCAATCGGCTAACCGAGTTGACGAGGCGTTTTACATGACATATCTTTCTTGCCGATTATCCTGTACGGCCAATGGCATGTTCCAGTCAGCTGTGATGGGCACGTGGTGAGCCATGTGTGGATGACGAGACCGTAGACCATAGTCCTCAGGTTCGGTACTTTGAGGTCGACGAATGTTGTTTCCAGGATAGTACATGTTATGTCCACCATATGCGGGCTCTGGATAAGCATAATTGTCCATATTCGTTGATCCAGGCAAGTTGCCAGTACTTGGCGAGACCCATCCTAGAGCACCCAAATGAGGGGAAGCACCACCACTACCTGTTCCAGTGGTAGGAGGCTCCAAAGGTTGGGGTGGGCCAAAGCTGGGAGTATGGGATGTGGTTGGTGGCCTCTGTTGAGGAGCACTCGTAAAGTGCTGAAGCGAGTGGCCATTCATGGTAGGTGTGGTCCGAGGAGCAGTTTGGGCATAGTCGGATCGCATGTGGGGTGGCAAAGAGTGAGTTTGTGCAAGGTATCCATAATCAGAACCTTGACGCTGCATTCCATTGGTCATGGGGGGAAGTTCAGCGTTGGGAGAGACCGACAGCGTTCTATCCGCGGGTGAGGCCGTTGAGTTTCTCGATGAGCCCGACGTGGAGCCGTAGATGGACTGTGTCTGAGGTTGGGTAGTCGACAGTTTGGCACTGGTCTCGGCAGCCGCTTGCTCGATTGTCCCAGTATGGTGATTCTGATGCCTGGTTAATGTGGTCCGCCGTGTGAAAGTCTTCTGACAATTGGCATATGGACATTTGTAGGGTCGTTTGCCAGAATGAATTCTTCGGTGTCTGGCAAGTGAACTGGAATCGGAAAACGGCTGGAGAAACATGGTCTCAGTATCTTTAATGACACAATGCAATATTCAAGGCTTACCTTGCCACAACGCTCACACATGTGAGGCTTTTCTCCAGTGTGAACTCTTGCATGGACCGTCAGTGCGGATCTTTGTATAAATTGTTTGCCACAGCCAGGATGCTCGCATGCATGAGGCCTTATACCGCTATGAATGCGTTCTGTAGAGTGGTCAGTATAACTCAAAGGTAGAGGTCGAGACTTGCATACCATGCCGAGCAAGATCACTACGTCTTGCGAATCCTTTAGAGCAAGTACTGCACGCAAACGCCTTGGGAGCCCCTTCACTCTTGGGTCGCATAGCACCAAAATTGTCGTCGGCTAGGGCATGCTGGCTATCATGCCTTGGAATGAAGTTATTGCTGAAAAGCTGGGCATTGTGCTGAGGTTGGCCCATTGGAGGATAGCCCATGCTATTGGCTTGCTGCATGGCATGTTGCTGATGATGAAGCATTGGAGCCCCTTGAGAATGACTCATGGCATAGGCTACTCCGCCGTCCATATGCATTGAATGCTGTAGTTGCCGACGTAGATGAGCGTCAGCAGCGGCAGCGTTTCTCGCGTTGAGAAGGCCTCCAATTTCCATTCCTCCCTTGATAGGATATGATGGTGCGGATTGTTGTTGCGGTGGTGGTTGTCTCACAGGCCGTTGATAGACAGCCACTGGCTGGTGCTTCTGTGCCGGAGGGTAGCCGTACCGGTAGTTTGGTGCCTGCATTTTTGCGAGTTAGATGTTGGAAATCAAGAAAGAACAGTGGTGATGGTGATGATGGTGATTGAAGAGATGGGAGTCGCTGTATTGATAGCACTCTGGCCCGCCGGGGATCAGTGCCAAAGTGGAGAGGGTCAAGGCGCTCTCCCGCCGGGCAGAGGACATCTCGTTGGTCCAACCTCCGTGGTAGCCGATATGGAAAGCACAGCCCTTTATTGCTCAATGGTACATGATGGGAGGTGATATTGAAAGATAGTACATACCTAGAAGTGGAAGATGGGTGGAGAGGAAGTAACCAAGAGGAAAGAAGGTATGAAGAAAGAAGGATAAGATGTGGCTAATGAACCGCACGGCATTCAAGGCCGGAATGTCAAAGAACACAACAAGGGCGAGTCACGGTCGAGACTGGTATGCTGATGCTTGGCAACGAGCAATACCTGAATCGAGTTGCCTTGTCAAAAGAATTGGAGAGGCTCCCTGAGAATGACGAAACAGAGCTTCGGCCAGCTATGCAGGACCTATTGCACCGGATATGGTTTGCCAACCTAACCGTGTCGGGTAGATCTGGTGATCCCGAAATATTGATTGTCGAACACCAGTAGAGTCAGTATATATGGACGTTTGTCGGCGCCCTTTAGGTGTGATCTCGTCGTATCGCCCTGCCGTAGTTTTCGCCGTCGTCTTGACTAGTGCTTGATGCTATTGAGGGTATAAACTCTCAAATAGTCACTACTATCAAGTTGCTTTTCACGTGCACCCACTGATGACTGCCTGTAGCGGGAGTATTTCTTGATCGATCAAGGTGTGATTCCGGGTTTGCCTGTGCAGGCAGACTTAAACCCCAGGTTTGATCCGAGCGTGTGTCTCTGTGCAGGAAATAATGAAGGACAGAACGACACCAGAACACGGGCTTCAGGTGGTCTTTGTACTGAGTATCTGAGCGGCCGGTCCGTGGCGAGAGACGCAGCGTGCAGGGCCGGAGAGGGGCACTATGTTTTGCAATCTTGGGTCGAAGGACGTCGTTGTGTTGGATGACGGCAGTGACCGTGGTGATGGGAAGTGACGGCCAGATTGACGGGTGAGTGTCCGTACCGTGTGAAGGGGCACTGGACAGCAGCAAGATTGAGGTGGTGATGGGAGGTGGTCAAGGCAAAGGTAAAGGCGTGTTACCTGGCCTCCACCCGGTGCAGTCATGGAGACGGAGGGAGTCTTGAGTGTTGAGGCTTGACTTTGGCCTTTAGATGGTAGGAGTGCCCATGTGAATGCATAGGTAGGTTTCTGTGTCTGTGTCTGTGTCGGGCTCGCAGTATGGCTAGACTCGCACTGGCAGTGCCGATGACTATGTCAGTGCAGTGCAGTGCGGTGCAGTTGCGCTTCAGTGGTTCTCCAACTGGAACTGCCAATGGAACTGGAAGTGTACGGGGCTTCGCTGGACCAGGATGCACTGACGAATTGGAAGGCACACTCGAAACATCACTGAAGGCTTGGCACCTCTAAAGCCGCTTGACCACTCTTTGGAACGTCACTAGAAGCTCGCGTTAGTGGCCACTAGTCCCTCCCATTTCGTACTAGCTCGTACTAGCAGTTACACCTCTGTCCCAGTTCTCTACAGAATCAGATACGTACTCCGTTTCCATCCTCCGTACCTACGTTGTCCACCCCTGGCTTCTGTTTCTATTCAGAGTCGAGCTTAAGTCACTCGAAGAGAATGGTAGATTCCAACGTGACACTCTCTACCAGTCCAACTAACCCCTAACGGCATCGTTTGGCTCTTTTCCATAACATCATCGGTCTCCAGTCACTCTGTCCATGACCGTCACCATCGCTTCTACCACTAGAAACTCGATCTTGCTTCAGGTTATCCACCGCCACCACCATTTTTTTTTGGAATCTCTCTTCACCTCCCTGTGTATCTAAATCTGGCTCGCCTCCCAATCCCACCGATGGTTAATCGCGCAACTGGCTAGGATGCTGCCCCTCAGCTCCGGCATATGTCAGATCCAACAAACCACCTGCCCACCCCTGCACTAGTCACTAACACCTGTCAACTCCCCAACTAGGTAGGCAAGACACTATTCAACAACTGTGACAGAACGTTGCTGCCTCGCTTGTCCTCCTGAATGTATTCCATTCTTGCTTTTTCTGGGGCCGTGGCATCCCAGGTTGGCCTGTCATATGGTCGTGTTCAACTGTCTGGGTCCTCTAAAAACCCAAAGAGGAACTCTCCAGGCCAAATGAGAACATGAGATCAAATGGGAAAATACACCCAAGATCCCTTCTTTCACACATGATCATGATGGCCCCATCTAGCGGTGGCCCAGCTATCTCTGGTGCAGCCAGGGCATCTGTCGCGTGCAGGGTTTCGAGGAGGCTATGGTTTCCCGCTACACCTTCTGTTCGGCTGCTCTTGCCGTCCTGCCGAGTCCTTCACATGGCATCCTTGTTTCATGAATACACACAGGGGAGGATTTTCGGGTTCTCCTCCTGCTGCATATCTAGCTAGGTTACCAAGTTGATCCGACTCGCCTCGCATCCAGGTCGTGCCATAGCAGTATCAAATACGATTTGGGTGCTCTGGGACTTATTCTTACTCAAATTGTCGTCCGCTAGGCCCATGGGCCATGGGCCGAGATGGACGCATGGACACTGTCATCCCATCCACTCACCAGACTCATTGCTTCGGAGCTTGTTTGCCAGACACACGTCGGGTTTCCGCACTGGCCTCGCATACAAGTTGCCACCAAGATTGCTGTAACTATTTGCCCGTTGTCGAGGTAAGTGGTCAATCTATTGATTCAATCTCTCTGATACTTGGCTATCGCCATTCAAAAGCCGACCTGAAATTGCCACAACGGCAGCATATCGTCTGATCAGCTTCGTCATGTGCTCAGTCAAGATGCTACGAAATTGCTCATTTGTTTATTCGTAAACACATTGCTGTGAACACCAGGTGAGCGGTGCGGGCGCAATGCTATGTTTACGCCAGTGCGTCCTTTATTTGGTGTGAGGCCATTGCTTTGATTGTTTACCTATGCGTCATCTCAGCAGAAGGCAGCAACTGCTTCTTACACTATGTGCGTTGTGTTGATTGTTTTTTAGCGATGAGTATGCTTTCACCACAGGGCAAGCGGTTGTTTTGTAAACAAGACAGGCGATCGACCCATCATAGATCAAGAACATCACCAGATCTCGACGTGAATTGGCCAATCTCCAGAAAACGGCTACTGGTCTATCTGTTCTTTTCCAGTCAAAGTAAAACCTATGATACTGCCGACTTGTGGAGGCCACCAGACCCCTACTAGGCAAGTTTCGCCGCATTCATACATTCATACATGCGCGAACCTCAACATCAGGCGATTACTCTTCGGCCTGGTAGTGTAAGCATCAATCTCCTCGATCCCCTCATCATCGATAACCTCTGTCGTCCAATTCGAGTATATCGCAGCCACGAGAAGTTTGATTTCCTGTGTAGCCAGATGGCTTCCTATGCACATACGACCACCAGACCCAAAGGCCCAAAACCAGCGGTTCATCTCCTTCAGCTGTTCCTCCGAGGTATGCTCAGGTAGCCAGCGGGACGGATTGAAAGAATTGGGCTGAGGAAATACCTCCTCGTTGCGGTGCAGTGTATAGGGCATGGCCGAGACGCGAACACCGCCCGGTATATTAGAATACTCACCCAGAGTGCTTCCACCAGCAATGTATGGCGAGATGCGAGGCTCAATTCCTGGAATTGGGGTGTGTAGACGTAAGGTCTCCATAACAATGGCATTGAGAAGCGGAAGTGCATCGATCTGCTTGGGGTTGGGTAGGTTAAAGTCCTTCAAGTCAAAGCCCGTTGGCAGGGGCCATTGAATTGGTGGTGTCAACGTGAGAAGTTCTTTGCGCAGGGCTTTCATCAATTCTGGTCGCTGGCTCATCTCCCAATATAGGTAAGTCAGGGCGATGGCGGACGTCTCATGCCCTGCGCCGAGTTGATCCAGCATATCGCTATATATCTCTGCCGTGGTGGTGTCGTCTGCATTGTCCACACCACCCTTGTCCAGTGCATCATGTCGAGTCGTGGGGAGAATCAATTGCTCGCTCGAAAGTGCTTTACCGGCAGCTCCATCTTTCGCTCGCAACTTCAGCATTCCAGATTTGAACTGATTATACACAACAGGCTCATCGCCAGGAAAGGGCGAAGCGATACTACCTTGCTTAGCGACGTAGTCATCCGCGCTACGGCACATGTCGGCATTCCAATCCTCAATGGTCAGATTCGCCACGTCGAAAAAGTCCGGCACGACGGGAATACCGAGTCTTTTGGTCAAAGTCTTAACCCAGGGTAGCTCGGCGGAGAAGAACTCGAATTCCCGCCGGCAGTGGTAATGGTGCATGATCTCCTTTCGCTTGGCGACGTCTTGTGTGAAGTTGGTTGACGATGATAGTCCGAATTGGAATGCCGACATGAAATCCATGGCCATGGCGTTGTTCAGGTCGTGCACGTCGACGGCTTCCCCGGTTTTGGAGTACTGGTCCAGCAGTGGCAGGAAGCGCTGGGAGAAGAGAACGTGACTGTTGGCTGCGACTTGTGGCGACGACGCTATGTATGATTTACTGTATACATTGGCGATGGTGCGCTTTTTCTGCGAATGCGGAAGGTGGTGAATGGTAGAGAACATATTCATGACACTACCCACCAGAACACAGTAAGCACATTGTCATCCAGCCCCAGAGCAGACGTAACAGTAACAATGGAAATAGAAAAATAGACATCTCTCACCCATAACTCGCAAAACGCTGGGGATACCAGGCATGCTTCTCCCAACCACCGGCATAGATAGTACGAATGCCGTTATCGACGCAATCGACCGCCAGCTCATTTGCTGCCATGCGCACGACACTGCCGTGCTTGCGATGCGCCGCAAAGGTCACGGCGTTGTTGCGTTCCTTGTAGCGCTGCCAGGTGATCCAGACGTCGCCGAAGATGGGGATCGACCAGTGCGCCGACGGAATGTGACTGAGCGGGTGCTGGAATAGCGGTGCGTAGATGAACTTGTACCCGGCAAGTAGCACGAGCACGCTGAAAGCCAGCACGGGGATTGTGCTGCCTGCCATGGCTCGGTTGCTCTATCAAGTGGACCGGACGCAAGTGATCCGGGCTTTTTCTGATGCACGGATTCGTGTTGCCGTCGTCGACTTGCACTCTCTTCGCCTGCCAGAGAAAATCGGTGCTTCAGCTCTGAGACTAGAATATCTGGTATCAGTTGACCATTGGGGACACAGAGAGGTTCCCGGAAGGCAAAAGAGCTCACACCTTGGACTGAAGCCAAATCGAAGATCCACCAATATTGTACTCACCCAAGATAGCTACGTCTTCTGGTGCTATTGAATTAGCAAGAGGTCTCGACCTCGCTCAAGCTCCTCACCTCTGATATTTGTACTCGTAGCATGAGGGCCGATCGTGATAACTCACGCTGCGGCCACTTTCTCCTCCCTTTGACATGAGGAGTCGTTGATGGACGCCAGCCTATGCCGCTATAATCCGTCTTTTCCCAAACGTTATTCTTGATGCACGGTGGACTTGTCCGAGAGACTCAAAATGGCGCTATGATTTGCTGCGGCGGCAATGGGCAACGGGTCTGGGGTCCAGATCATAAACTGGCAGCGGCATACAAGGAGAGGAAAGTTCTTGTAGGATGCACTGTCAGGGACTGTGGCGGAGAGGAGGGCATATGCCATTTGCCATGTTTCTTTTTTCTCTTCTTGCAAACACTATCACGTACTATCAACGCTGTGCTTTCCCTTATCGGCTGGCTGTGCAGAGACTTCCTCGTCTCCACTGCTAGACAATTCATCGTCGTCTTCGTCAAACCCTGCAAACCTGCGTTGAGGCTTCGGCTGAGATTTGGGGGTAGGAAGTAGAGCTGAGGGAATTTTGAGGCGGTTCTGCAGCACCCAGATCGCATCTGCATCGCCTGCCTCGGCTTCCTTTATGAGCCGGGACATGCCATCTTCGTCCAGCTCCATTAGGTCTTCTTCCCCTTCCCCTTCGCTGTCTTCGTCGCTGGGCGGGAGAGAGCCTCCACTTCCACTGCTCTCGCCTTCTTGCGGTGCGACATCTCTGCCCTTGCCCTTGCCCTTTTCCTCGTCCGCGAGCATGGCAAGCCGAACCGCATTCCGTACGTTCTCACCTACCTCTTCTTTCTCATCGACCCACTCGTCACTGATACCTCTACGACGGCCGTCGACCCCTTTCCCGGCTCTCATGTCAGCTTCCCGCTGCTCAGCCAGTTCAATGACTTGCTCCCACCTCTTGCGTCTTTCTTCTTTCTCCTTCCGTTCCATTTCTGGGCGCGTTGCAAGATAGGTGGCCAGGTTCTTGGCTTCCGTGATGGTTCGCAGTCGCCGGCCATCTAGGTTACGGGCACTGCCAGTGGCGAGCTCCGCATTCTGCTTCTTCTTGCGCGACGACATCCGTCCTCCGGCGGCTCTGAGCTGCGAACCAAAACCACCTTTGCCGCCGACGAGTGGGGCAGAGAGACGCAGGGGCAGGAATGAAGACGAGCTCGGGGACGAGCCGCAGCTCGAGCCTGGACCTGCAAGGACATGGTGCTGACAATTCTGTGCTGTGGGGCGACATTCTGATAGTAGTTCGGCGATCGTAATGGCCGGGGAGTCGTAGATAGGCGTGTTTGAGGTTGACGTGAGAATCAGGCGGGTTTGCGTCGGAAGATTCGCTGGGAGTACATCTCTAATAGCAGAGAACAACTCGGCAAGGGTCGCGGTGGCAGGGAGGGGTAGGCATAGTGTGGAAGGGACAGAGAGACCGGGGAAGGAGTCCAGCAAGATATTGACCACGGAATCCATGTTACTGGTTCCAACAGCCGACTTGCAAGATGTGCACAAGATATGTAATTGTGGAAACAGGCTCGGGAGATTCAAGAAGGGTGAGATCGAGGCACAAGAACGATCAGCCGGAAGTCTGAGTGTCGTTTCCTCGACGGCGTGCCGAGTAGAGTCCGAGGAGAGGATGTTTGAAACGAAATATGAAGAGAGAGTGTGTCTTGTGGCTTGTCGAAGTTGTACCTGGAACGGAGGGGTTTGAGGCGTCGATGATATTGGACTAAGAAAAAAGTTGCATGCAGAGTGGTGGGTCTGGTAAGCCTCCTCGGCCTCTTCTCCAAGTGTACCAATTACCATTATACGGAGTACGACTCAGGGTACCGAGTACGCTGTCGGCTTGCTTGGTTTGTTGGCTCACTAAATGCTAAAGTTGGTGGGGGAGCCTTGGAGAAATGGGTGCAGATAAAGAGACCTTCCAGGCATCAGGGGACCATGTAGGCTTGGGCGCGTCACTGTCACCTCTGGGCTTTATAGGCTGACTGAATTTGTTAGCACTATTAGTGCGGACTAGGTTGTGCAGCCGCGGCCTTAGTAGATTGACACTAGCTGCGTTGGGCCATGGGCAATTAGGCTAGAAAGTGATCGGCCAAAACGGTGCAGGAGAAAGAAAGTTGAATGGGAGACTCTGGCTGCAGGACATCAAAAAATAACACCCTGCCCTCTCAGGGCACGCGTCACTCTGGCATCGCATCCCAATATTCAACGACGGTTCGATATCGGATTTTGTAATAGACAACTATCTCTCTCTTGATCCAAGTGTCTGTGAACTGTCCGATAATCAATTTTTTTCTCCTTTCACTTCGTTCCCATTGTAGCTCATGAAGTTCAATGTGGAGGACTCCCGCACAGGCCCCTGGACTCAATCCACTGCTCCGGTCACGGACTCACGGCCAGCCTTGATACACTGAACGCAACTACGACCTCTCAAGGACAATTATACTGATAAACCACCGAGTATCAAGGGTCGATCTCTCTTCAGTCCCTAACATGCCCTGGCAGCCGCTGCCCCTGTCTTATGCGGTGGCCATCTACCCATTTCAACCTTCATCCTCACCGGCTGAACTCCCGCTTCAGATTGGTGATCAACTTTATGTCATTGAACAAGGGGGTAAAGATGCCTCATGGTGTCGAGGTTATCTGGTCGCACCGCCCACTTTGTTGTCATCACTGAACTCCGCTGGAAGAGCCGCCTCAGAAGCACGTGTCTTCTCCGGCATCTTTCCAAGATGCTGCATCGAAATTCGAGAACAACTAGGATCCGCCCCACCGTTTTTGATTGAACCTGGTCAACCAAAGCCAACTGCCCCGGTTCCCATGCTGAAAATCGGCGATGAATCACCAACCTCATCTGCCGAGCCCTTGGTCGATGAGATTTCAAGTTGCCTTCGTGAATGGTATGTTCTCCATTTGCCAGAGCTGGTACTAAGGCGAGAGTACCACACTTTGGACCAGATGTCACAGATCACAACGCGACTAGACTATGCCCGCCGCGAGCTTTTGAACGATGTCTTGACCACCCAGGAGAGGTTGGGTGTCCGTCAACAAGCTGTATGGGATTTGGTGCGAGGCAATAAGATGCTCAGCGGCGAGGTTATTGTCCGAGACCCTGCCCAGCTCGGCAAGCTACTGACTGCGCAAGACTCCGCCATCGAAATTGCAAAGCTACAGTCGGTAATGAGTGTCCTCGATGGTACCCCTTCAGAAAAGTCAAAAGCAACCTCATTACACCACTGCTTGCTAGAGGTCACATCGGTGACCGGTTCTGATCTTGATCACGCCACCCTGAGCCTTGCTCTCTACCAAAGGGATATTGGAGGGAATCTTGACTCGTACTCCGAGACCTTCAGCTCTGTGGCATCGGCCAAAATGAAGACGCTATTTTCAGATCTCAGCAACCGAGACATAAGCCGCGATGACCATTTGTACCTAACGATCAAGGTTGTGGTGCCTGAGTCGCCTCGAAGACCCAAAAAGCCGTTGCTTGATCGTCCTCCGTCCAGGAATGGAACTCTTCGAAGTCAAAGACAACTGTCCTTGACGCGTCGAAGATCAAGTCTAATGTTCGGGAAGAAGAAGAATGCTGAAAGGCCTCAACCCGGTAAGGATGGCCGATCAACTCCTCTACGCAATGAAAGGGCTTCCACGCCAAGTGTACCAGAAGAGGAGGAGGAAGGACCGAGCAAAGTGTCAGCTCCTCCAGTCCCTAGAACCGTTGCGGTTGGCGTCGTGGATATTGCTAAAGTCATGAAAAATGGCGAGCCATGCGAGGAGGCAGTGACTATATGGTCAACATCGCACCGAGAAGAGGAAAATTCACGGGATGATGACCAGATTATATCCAGGCTGCTCGGTAGCTTGGGAAAGGCACATGTGGTGTCCAACAGAGTGTCCAGTGTGAGCCTAAGACTTTCCCCTTTCACAGCACCCGAGGCAGACACATTAATCAAGAATAACCCAACCTCGATGCACTTGGTATCCAAGACACAGAAGATGGGATTCTCAGAGGCGCCCTCGAAACCTCGCCTGGATATCTACTTGAGACTTAATCAAGCGGTCATCACTCAGGGCTGTCACCTATCTCACCCTGAATTGGGTTCTGCGCCGATAAAAGCGCTGGGCCTACAGAACTTACAACTGACTATGGAGGTTCGTGACTCCTCCGGCCGGCGGGTTGAGCATTGCATATTTCCGTCTTCCAACGGTGCAGGGGTCACAGCGTTTCGCACAAATGCCGTTGAACACAACGTTCCGTGGGATCAAACGCTATGCCTCAGAATACCAACAGAGAAAGTCTCCGACAGTCATTTGGTTCTGAGTATCGCTGACGCTCCCGAATTTCCTTTTGCTCTGGCATGGATGCCGTTGTGGGATCGCCAAGCCTTCGTTCATGATGGAAAGCACTCTTTGATATTGCATGCCTATGACAAAGTCACCTCCAGTATTATTCAAGGTCGTGGCGCATACATGTCACTACCCTGGGATAATCCAACGGGCCGTGCCTTATACGATGGAGTTGTGGCATCTATCGCTACCTTGGATGTCGAGACACTGCTATCGAGCACCGAGTTTTCTCAAGATCGGACTCTGGTCAGTTTAATCAGCTGGAAGCACCAGACTTCTGTCCAGCTATTAGATATTCTGCAAAAATTGACCTTTGTGCCGGAAATTGAAATCGTCAAACAAGTCAAGGATGTTCTGGATGCACTCTTTGGAGTTTTGGTGCACAAATCCGGCGAATCCAAGTTCGAAGATCTGATATTCAACGACATCGTCTTCGTTCTGGGTATCGTTCATGATCGTCGCTACAATCTTGGACCTCTGGTCGACCAGTACACCGAAAATCATTTCCGATCTCCATACGCAGCATCTTGCTTGATTCGCAGCTTCACTCGCTTATTGCAGAGTGTTTCTGATCCCCAAAGTGCGCGGGACATGAGAGCACTGTTCAAAGTTGGCAGTCAATTCATGAAGATTGTGATCGCCTCCTATCAACAGAGGCGTTTTGGTTCACAGACCAAAGAAAACGACGAAAAGCACTCGACCTTTAAGGAAGATATGCAGGCCATCCTTTTTGGGTTGCAAATGATGATGCGAAGTGAAACGGCTGCCCTGGTTGGCAGCAAAACTCTACTCGTTCAAAAATTCCACACTTGGCTACCAGAATTACTTCCAGCGTTTAGCAAGGACGAGGTGATCAAGGTCGCCATCGATTTCATTGACTCGTGTGACGAAGCATCCGGCAAATTGCTACTCTACAGACTCATTCTAATCCTGAACTATACCAAGCTTGATCAGATCTGGACTGAAGACAAAGATAAGAAGCTGTTAGTCAAGAGCTGCGTGGGCTGGTTACTTCCATACTGGACGCCAAACAAGTCCTCGGATGATTGGCATGAGCAAGTGAGACTTTGTTGCTCGATTGTGGCCGAGTTGACACACTTTCCAACTCACTACCTCCATGAGTTCACACCCAAGCTGATCTCGGCGTATAACACGATCATAAATGAATCAAGGACCAAGCGGCGGTCGCTCTCTCTTCTATTCACTGAGCAGTACCCTTTTGTCGTCAAAGGAACAGACAACAACGATCAGTACGACGAAAGCCTTCTAGAACTCTCGTCATTAATATCCACGATTGCGCGAACGAAGCCTCCTTCAAATCCTAAACTTCACGGGCAAGACCTGTCTAATTACATTTTATCCAGTCTCACAGTCCTGCGATCCTTGCTCAAAAATGATGCCTTCCCTGATACGTGGCTTACGCTCCATGTATATCACCATTTCTCGGCCCTTACCATTCTTGACTACCTATCTTCGCTGCTCATCTCCTCTTATCTTCCGACTCCTGAAGATGCCGAGACATTTGACATGCAACTCTGGAAGTCCTTTCTGGATACAGTCCTCTCTCTTGTGTCGTCTCATGCATTGACGCTTGAACTCTTTCCCGAACAAAAACGCCGTGCTGTTTGGAAAATTGCTGGAGATGTGCGACAGTCTGGGGCGGATTTACTGCGCAAGAGTTGGGAGAGTTTGGGTTGGGAGGCTGAAAATGATGATCAACGCCGGTACAACATTCGCAAGCTCGGTGGATTCCAAGTTCAGTACGTCCCGAGCCTTGTGGCCCCTGTCATCAGCCTGTGTCTCAGTATGCACGAAGGCTTGCGCAAGGTTGCAGTCGAGATTCTTCAGACCATGATTGTGAGTGAGTGGGCGCTCAGTGAAGATCTGGAGCTCATTGAAACGGAGATCATTGGAGCTCTCAACTCTTTACTGAAAGCGAAGCCGCTCAGTGGAAACGAAGCCATGAGCAGAAAGTTGTTCATCGCCGAATTGTTAGAGCTGTTCCATACAATCGCAAACCAACCAGATGACGCACTGTGGACGGCTTTGGAAGAGCTTGTCGGCACAGTCGAAGAACTTGTCGATTTGCTTACCACAACAGACCCAGACGACGAATTGAGCAGTCCAATTGGCGCATCACAGCACAACGGAGGCTCGACGAACGGGAACGTTCGAGGTAAGGACACAGACTCGCAGAACTCCGAGGCCAAAGAACTGGACCGAGCGCGTCGCAGCATCGATGGCCTCAGCCCAACTTCACAGCAGCAAGGGCGCGAAAGAGAATATGGCGTACACGCACTTGAGTGCTACAAGCAGCTCGCAGAGGAATACGAAAAAAACGGTGATTACAAACGCCTTGCGAAGACCCACCGCGCCATCGCCCGGATCCACGAGGCCAGAGCTTCGAGTCGCCTCACGGGTGGTAGGGAGATGGCGAATGGACGTGGAAGGCTTGATGAGTACGCAGAGGACGACGAGTGATCAAATTTTGGTGAGTCGTGGAAAAATATTTTGACTGGACAGGTAAATTGGAATGGAATGGTTCTTTGGCGGTTGATCCAGCCAGCGCGGCGCCTCATGGCGAATATCAAGATACCCCCCACACCGCAGGATTTCGAGGAATGGAACACACGGGTATTGATGGATGTTAGCATTGAGGACAGGAAGATCGATGTACCCGAAGGAATTCAGACATCATCGCACACTCAAAGATGTAGGAGCCCAAGAGGAGGGAACAAGAGACACAGGACGTGGAGGCCTGTATTCCGGATTCTTTTCATCTAAATTCCCCCTTGTGCTGTTTGGCTTGTTATAGCTTTTGAGCGTTTACTTCAAAACATTCTGCACGCTTCTTTTATTGTCTATCTAGAGCGTCTTGTGAAAGAAAAGACATCTGGAGCGATCCAGATATTGGGAAACACCCAGCTATGGCTGCAACTCAATTGGAGACATACCAGCCTGCCTGCTCAGTGCCAGCCTGACTCGGCGGAATTTTCTAAGTCCAGGCCGAAGTCATAAAGTGCCCATGATGTCACAGCCTGCATAAATATTTGTGCTCACCTGAGTTTTTGATGGGACCATTCGATATCATGATTGTCGCTGTTAGAGGGATACTACTTACCTATATCAGCAGATTGGATTTGTTTACGCGTCCATCATATTCCTTGTATCCGTAATATCTAATCGTTGTACTTTAGTAAGACACAATTGGAGGTGGGCGGGGCCATCGGAGCAAAAAAAGGCAGGCAGGTGCCAGTCGCAATGGAAAGAATCCCATCGAACTCGGGAGATGGCTTGGCGCTCTCAGCCTCTTGCCACTTGCCCAACCAGAAGACTTGGTCGGAGGTCTCTGAGGTCCTTGACTGCAGGCCTTTTCCCTTTTCACTGCCCTCACTGGTCCCTCCGAGATCTTCTAGGTTCTTGAACAAATGCGCCTGGTCTGGCCGACATCTCCATCTCCATCTCCAGATTTCATTTTTAAGCCCGTCTTCAATCCTCCCTTCACACCTCATACAGTTCATCCCACTGCCTCTGCTGGTCTGCGCTTCCCATCACATCGCTGCCTTTGACCTTGCCACTAGATACGACCACTCCATCCCTCTTCTCCCTCAAAACCCCTCCTCCCAAGCGGACCCTCCTTCGGCTTTCGGTTTTCCTCCGATAAGCCTGGTTCCCCATCGCTCTCAAACTCTGCAAATTCGTGTCCAACATCCGACATCATGGTTAAAGACACCAAGTATTATGAAATCCTCGGCGTGAGTTTCCAATTCGCTCTTGTCTCTCAACAGTCCTTTAACAGTCTCTCCAGGTGGAAGTTACCTGCACCGAGGCTCAACTAAAGACGGCTTACAAAAAAGGCGCTCTCAAACATCATCCCGGTAAGCCAAGTCGTACAGTCCCAGTAGATCTGATGTTCATGTCTCTGACTCTCCTCAGATAAAAATGCACACAATCCCGATGCCGCCGAGAAATTCAAGGACCTGTCCAAGGCCTACGAAGTTCTGTCAGACCCCCAAAAAAGACAATTGTATGACCAGTATGGTGAGGAGGGTCTAGAACAGGGTGGAATGGGCGGCGGTGGCATGGCTGCCGAAGATCTCTTCGCTCAATTCTTTGGCGGCGGTTCTGGCTTTGGAGGCATGTTCGGTGGCGGCATGCGTGAACAAGGTCCTAAGAAGGCCCGACCCATCCACCACGTCCATAAGGTCTCTCTCGAAGACATCTACCGCGGAAAAGTCTCCAAGCTCGCTCTACAAAAATCCGTCATCTGTGCTACCTGCGAAGGCCGCGGAGGCAAGGAAGGTGCGGTCAAGACCTGTGCTGGTTGCAACGGTGCCGGCATGAAAACCATGATGCGTCAAATGGGACCCATGATTCAACGTTTCCAGACCATCTGCCCTGACTGCCAGGGTGAGGGTGAACAAATCCGTGATCGAGACAAGTGCAAGCGATGTGCAGGCAAAAAGACCATCGTTGAGCGTAAGGTTCTTCATGTCCATGTGGACCGTGGTGTCAAGAGCGGGCACAAGATTGAATTCCGTGGTGAGGGTGATCAAGTGCCCGGTGTGCTTGCCGGTGATGTTGTATTCGAGATCGAGCAGAAGCCGCATCCACGATTTCAACGCAAGGACGACGATTTATTCTACCATGCCGAGATCGACCTTTTGACTGCGTTGGCTGGTGGACAAATCTATATTGAGCATCTCGATGAACGATGGTTGACCGTAAACATTTTCCCTGGCGAACCCATCACCCCTGGTAAGTCTGACTCGCCGCCGCTGGGCGATATCATATGATGAATATCAGATGCTAATACCCCGATCAGGTGCCATCAAAGTTATCAAGGGACAGGGCATGCCATCTTTCCGACATCACGACTTTGGCAATCTTTACATCCAATTCGATGTCAAATTCCCCGACAAGACACAGATCCAAAATGTTGAACTTCTAGAGCAAGTTCTCCCACCTCGAATGCAACAAAAGCTACCCCCTCAGGACGGAATGGTGGACGACTTTGATTTGGAAGATGTTGATCCTCGTCACCAAGCACGTGCCCGTGGCGCCACCGGAATGGACGAGGAAGATGAGGATGGCATGCCTGCGGGTGCTGAGAGAGTGCAATGCGCCTCACAGTAAATTGCCCGTGTCGTGATGATATTATGAGACCAGCTAGATGGAGAACGACTAGAACAAATGAGGTGAGGCGGCAAGCATGGTGCTTTGCTTTGAGCATTAGCGAGCGTGGGGTTTCAAATGCATTCGATCATCTCGATCAAGCATCAGCATTTTGTTGGCGTCCCGGCTGGGCACACCCGCTCGGGGAAATGGACTGGCGTTTTCTGGAGTGGGCGCGACCGACCATTGCTCACGATTTTAGGTAATCCAGACCCACGTCGGGCTGGAAGCATGCATGTCTGCCTCGAATCCACCAGAGCGTGTCTCGCGGCCTACATGTGAGTTGTTAGACAGCCTTGCTTTGGCATCATAGACGGGGAAATTAGGATTGTGGGAAGGACACTTCATCGGGCATGTATCGAGCCATCCCTTAGGAAGGACGCGAATGGAACAGGCACCGCATCACAATTACAGAGACCGGAGTTGGGCAAATACGTTTCCAGGGTTTGAAAATGATATCCAATTTGCAAGCCTCTTCTGCGTCGACCCCTAGGACATGGATAGTCAATCCAAGTTGTTCTGGTCCGTCATATAGTCTGGTCTCTCGCTTTCTTCAAGTACGAGGTACTGCTCTGCACTCCAGACTAGTAGGTGAGTCATTATTGAAGCATGGCCTCTCCCAACTGAAGCTTTCCGGTATGGGAAGCTTGTACACACAGGAATCTCTTTTTTGTTTACTAGTCTGCCCGTAGCCTCACGCCGCGGAACTGAGAGGCTTTCAACTGATCCGAACTTGGCTCGTATCATGTGGACTTGGACCAATTTGAAGTCGTATTTCTCCTTGAATGGTTCAACTCTCATCTACATTGGTCTTAGCATCAAATCACGTCAGTCATCTCGACCAGTCCAACTCGTCCCAGGCGTATCGAATGCCAGGGTGTGATTGGTGGGGAATCAAGTAGCGGAAAGCAGCACCTCGTAGTGGCAGCCGTCATATCGTTCATCTACCGACGCGTAGGGGCTTGGGATTAGGCAATGGTCGCCCCACGAGGCCCCGACGGGCTCCCCCCTATGGAGACGATCGGCGCTTGGACGGGAAAAAAGGCTGTTGTAAATTGTAATGGGACGACCCTACTATATGAGCACGCCATATTGCTCCTGTTAGAATGTCGCTCTGTGAAAAGCCAACATCCATCGCTTTCAGATTGTGTGTGTGGCTCACATCACGGCGTCAACATTATTGTTGTCGGTTTCCTTCTTCCTCCTTCTTCCTCGCTGAGCAGGTTGGATTTTGGTCAATTTTTCCCGAGCATGTATCCGTACCTCTGTGGTTTCGTTCGGCGGTGTCGGTCTCTCGTGTTGTTCCTTCACCTACCTAGGTATCCGTACTCGTAGATACTGACCTCAGTCTTTACTGGTGTAAGCCACCACGCTTTCATCCTTCAAGATCCACCTCCTTGAAATCTGCCAGATTCACCTGCATGGTCTGGATATCAATTCTTTACCGTGGGAAAATTACCCTGCCATCATCATCTCACAGCCTTACAGTGTCGAATGTCATTCAATTATGGTTATCTATACTGCGATGGTCTTGTGCTTCTCTCGCCGAGCATCACTTGGAGTGCTTGTTCTGTAGACGAGGCGCTCTTAGGTAGTAACAGGTGTGCCACAAAGAGTTGCTTCTTTCATCGCCAAGCGAGTGTACGATACAAATGTATTCCACCTTAGGTAACGGGTCCCTAGGTAGTCATTCAACATGACGAGGGTCTTGTGCTTGTGCACGGCCTACTAGTCGGACTCGCACTATTGCATCTCCGGGGGGTCTTTGGCGAGTGCAGCGATCGGTGGAAGTCTAATCCATGTGCAACCGCACTTTGTCTATCTCAACCCCGTTCAATTCGTCGAGCAGTCGATTGCACCATCGACCTAGCCCCCATCAGGGCCATCACCGTCCCATGTTGTTTCTCCCTTTCGACTCGATGCTTCCGAGTTTTCTGATCTGGCCTGGCGAGTCTCGAATATTATTGTTGGAGATGGATTTCTGTAATGAAAAAACTCTACCCATGCCTTAGGCGGGGCCCAGATCTTCCTCGTTAATCAAGCTCTTGCCCTGATATCCACCTGTTGACATCAGCTTTGAAAGAGGCAAACATATAAGACTTTGGGGACCCTGCTCATCACATCATCGCATACCCAGATTTCTCAATTCCGCTACATAGACCCGGCGAAGAGTATATTTGTAGGGTTTTCCGAGCCTCAACGGTAATTTGAGGTTTCACTCCTCCCATTCTGTCCCACCGCTTCGTGTGTTGTAGCGAAGTACCACGGCCCGCTCAACTCTAACAATCCGCCGAAGCAAGGAACGACTTTCCTGCGGACTCTGAGCTCCTATTACATTATTTGTTACTAGCTTCTTCGATCAAGAATCTGCACGGGTCCACAATCGTACCCCGGTCGGAACTATCAGCAAACCCCAGCCTGCTTACAGACTTTCTCGTTTGCGGCGGGTAGTCTTGGGTACCACCAACCACCCTGGGAAAGGTCGATTTGAGAAACAACAAAATCCTTTGGTGCCCTTCCCTCTTATCACCGTCATCCCTCGGCTCGTTGCCAATTTTTCCAGCTTGAGGAAAAAAACCTCTGAAGCACATCACCCGGGTTTGATCAGACCAGAGCGTGACAGCCATGCCTTCCAGCGCGTCAAAGGTCGGCCATACTTTGGCCAAAGTGCTCGGTATCGACGTCAACCAGAACCAAGCAAAGGACGATGCCATCACCAGAGGCGAATCCACTTATTCAGTCAACACCGCCGACACCTACGTCGAAGAGGAACCTCACACCGTCGACTGGCTAAAGGAATTGGTACCCAGCAAGAGAGACATCTTCCACTATGTTCACAGCCTGTTTCCCTTCACCCACTGGATCTTGAGATACAATGTTCAATGGTTGATCGGCGACCTGGTCGCGGGTATCACTGTCGGTTGCGTTGTCGTGCCACAGGGTATGGCTTATGCCAAGTTGGCTGAGCTACCTGTGGAATTTGGTCTATACTCATCCTTCATGGGTGTTCTCATCTATTGGTTTTTCGCCACCTCCAAAGACATCACCATTGGCCCCGTTGCCGTCATGTCAACCATTGTGGGAAATGTCGTCAACAAAGTCGCCGAGGAACATCCCGAAGTTCCCGGATACGTTGTCGCTTCGGCACTCGCCATCATCTGTGGTGCTATTGTCGTCTTTATCGGCCTCATTCGCGCCGGATGGATTGTCGATTTTATCCCCTTGACCGCAATTTCAGCTTTCATGACTGGCTCAGCCATCAGTATTGCCTCTGGACAAGTTCCTACCATGATGGGCATCAAAGTTGAAGGATTCAACACTCGCGATCACACTTACAAGGTTATCATCAATACCTTGAAATATCTGGGACACACAAAGCTCGATGCCGCCATGGGTTTGACCGCACTCTTCCTCTTGTATCTCATTCGCTTCACCTGCACATTTTTGGCCAAGAAGAATCCCAGTAGGGCAAAGACATTCTTCTTCATCTCCACCCTCAGAACAGCTTTCGTTATTCTTCTCTACACCATGATCAGCTGGCTTGTCAACCGGCACCATCGCAAGAAGCCTCTTTTCGCCATCTTGGGCAAGGTGCCTAGGGGTTTCCAACACGCACAGGTGCCAACAATCAATTCTGATATCATCAGCTATTTTGCCAGCGAAATTCCTGCATCCGTCATTGTGTTGCTCATTGAGCACATCGCCATCTCCAAGTCTTTTGGCCGAATCAACAACTATACTATCAACCCTTCGCAGGAACTCGTGGCCATCGGTGTCACCAATCTTTTGGGCCCCTTCCTTGGAGGTTACCCAGCCACGGGTTCATTCTCCAGAACTGCAATCAAATCCAAGGCAGGCGTCAGGACTCCATTTGCTGGTGTCATCACCGCCGTTGTCGTTCTGTTGGCCATCTACGCCCTCCCAGCTGTCTTCTTCTACATTCCGAGTGCCTCTTTGTCAGGTGTCATCATCCATGCCGTGCTTGATTTGATCACCCCTCCTAGGACGGTCTATCAATTTTGGCGCGTCAATCCTCTGGAGCTGATCATCTTCTTTGCCGGAGTCTTTGTCACCATCTTCTCTTCTATCGAGAATGGCATCTACACTACCATTTGTATGAGTGTGGCGATCTATCTCTTCCGCGTCGTCAAGGCACGAGGACATTTCGTGGGCAAGGTCAAGATTCACTCCGTCATTGGTGATCATTTGTTGGAGGACAAATTCCACGACGGACGCCGATCACAAGACGAACGTGATGAGCGCAATATTTTCCTGCCATTGGACCACAATGATGGCTCCAACCCAGACATCAACATCGAGTCGCCCTACCCCGGAATCTTCATCTATCGATTTGCCGAGGGCTTCAACTATCCCAATGCCAACCATTATACGGATTATCTGGTGGAATACATCTTCAAGCACACCCGTCGAACCAACCCCGATTCCTGGCCTCGCCCAGGTGACAGGCCCTGGAACAACCCGGGACCTCGACGAGGTCAGATCGAACGCACCAACGATCACCTCCCGACACTGAAGGCCATCATCCTCGATTTCTCCAGCGTCAACAACGTCGACGTGACCAGCGTGCAGACCCTGATCGATGTCCGCAACCAACTCGACCGCTACACGACACCCGACGTCGTGCAATGGCACATCGCCGCGGTCAACAACCGCTGGACGAAACGCGCCCTGGCGTCCGCGGGCTTCGGATACCCCACGCTACCTACGGAAGAATACAGCCGCTGGAAACCCATCTTCAACATCACCGAGATCGGCGGCGAAAGCTCCGCCGCCGCGGTCGCCCAACGCGAAACCAACCGTCGCTTGTCGCACGCGCGCGACGAAGAAATCGGCCGCCCCACGAGCAAAGGCGACCAATCCATCTCGGCGGCGGCGGCCCACAAGCTCCGCGACGACAGCAGCTCCAGCAGCAACCAGGAACTCCAGCGCGAACTCACCAACAGCAAGGCGTACCACCGCTCCACGGCCAGGAAAATCGCCGTCGTGCATGGCCTCAACCGTCCTCTGTTCCACATCGATCTGACGAGCGCATTGGAATCCGCCATCACTAACGTCCAGGCCCAGGACCTGCTTCGCGCCGACCAGCATGTCACGCCCAAGGGTCAGGACTTCGCCACGGAGATCCCTATCGAGAAGTGAGAAGTCTTCCTGGTTGGTGTTGGTCCCGGGGAAATTGGTCATGAGATCTATTCTTGCTTTGGGTGGGTGACCAGATGAAAATGGATGTTCTTGTCCAAGAACTCTAGATATGGATTGATGTCGGCTTTCTGAGCTACGTACTTTCTGTAGACCTGGTGGAATGGTCGGTATGTGCCACAGACGAGACGAAGATATATCGCTTAGAATGAAACCCCAGTTATGATATAAATATACAACTAGTCGGAGTGATGGGGGGTAATGGATGAGAACGAATATATATACCACATAACGGTCGACCCATCTTGGCTTGGTGATCCAGTCTTTAGTCGTTTCAGGGCAATGCTTCAGAGATATAAATAATATATATCACAAACATATTTTCTATCCAATTTCCTGTGGCTGCCGTGTATTCCGCCCTGTTTGAATGCTCACCTTGCCCGAGAGCATTCAAATCATGTGATGAGCTGGTTGGTAGTATCTGCACATGAAATCACAAGTTTCAATCACCACGGCCAAACCTGCGCGAAGAGACGGGAGTAGACTTGACTCGTTCATTTCACTTGGTACAGAACCCGGGGCGAGGGACCGAGAGAAGATATAGTTGACCAGTTTATCCAACCACCCAGGAATGGATGTACTTTATTCTGGCTCTTTCCCCATCCTGTCTTAAATATGACACAGCAGTGACAATGTCATATCTATATCCGGACTTCACTCACTCACTCAGTCGCTCGTTCGCTCGCTCGCTCATTCGAAACCCCCAGAAGAACATTTCTTCTCCAGCACACCAACTAACTAGTCCACGCGATCCACAGCTTCTCGAGTAGAGGATCCAACGATGAAAGGAAAACAACGACGCGACGCGTGGTGGAACGTAAAGACAATATACAGTCAGCTGTCTCGTCTATGCCCTTGCCCTTTTCCTCTCGTTTTGTCGTCACCACTACCGTCGTGGTGGTCGACGAGGAGGAGGAGGAGGCCTCAGATTCATCATAGGCACGCAAGTACGACCATTTCATTCAAGTGACACGACATGAACATGTGACATGTATGTATATATGTGACGTTATGGACATTCTGGAAACATACGCCATGCTGTCGCGATGCTAGTAAGACATAGAATGTGTTCTTTAGACAGCGTTCCCAATTCTCGGCGCTCGAATTGGAGAGAAAGACTAAAGTAAAGGCTAGAAGAAGAAAAATTTGCAGTTTTGGCGGAAAATCGTTCATATCAATTGAATGGATCATCGCTTAAACATGGCGGTGACATCCTCCTTCCGCCAATCTATGTCCAGAGTCGAGTCGTAAACCTTCTCAATCACCATCTTCATCCGATCGTGAGCGTGCGAATACCTCGTATTGCATTCTTCCAGCACTCTTGAGACGAGAGCCTTGCTTGAGGTCCCCGGATCATCCGCATCCGTAAAGTGTTTCTCTACTCGCTTTTTCAGCGTCTCAATCCCCTTGCGGATCTCCTTGCCGTCATACGCTGATAGCACCTTCTTGATGGAGCTTCTTGAGTGACTCGGTTTGTTGGCGATGCTGGCGTAGTTGTCTGTCGACTTCATCAATGCTTCTGTACTTTCCAAGAAGTCAAGCCATTTGCCTAAAGGTCTTCGGATGACGGCGTCAGTGTATTGTGACAGGTGCATGAACTGATCATGGGTAGCTTTCTCGCTCCACTCCTCCAGGACCACATTGTGATGTGTTTTGGTTTCTTCGACAAAATAGTTCATGTTCTCAATCAAAAGGATATGATAGTTCAACGCTTCTTTATCCTCAGGGTCTCCACTTGATGGTCCACTTGAATGAACAGCACCCCCAGAACTGGCTGGATGGTCCTTTGCGATGAAATTGAGCGACTCCCACATTGCTTTGAGAAGTTTGATGTATGCATCGTTAACAATGAATCGTACCTCGAAAGGCGGAAGGTGTGAGCCAGATTCTTGAGGTAACATATCCTCGACGACGGCCGCAAATTCGGGGAAGACTCTCATGAAAGAAATGAGACCCTTCCTCTTCTTGACCTTGACCTTGGTCTCTTCGATTGCTTTGACTTGTTCATCGACGAATTTATGGAAAAGTCCTGTCAGGCGCTCGTGCAGTGCTCTTACTGTGCGACTGATAAATTCTTGGTTTGTCTCCTCATATTTGGTCAAACATTGTTCGAGTGACAGAAGTACCCCGACACCTTGCATCTGATCGAGTTTAAGGACCCATTCAACCAGACTCTGCAGTTCCAGTGGCCAGAAAGAATAAATCCCCTCTGTGGTATTTTGAACAATTTTAGCCATATCTCTGTCAGGGTCATATAATTGCTTCGCCTGTAAGTTGGGAAGTTTCCTTTGACTAGGACTCCGCAATTGGACAACCTCTGCAAAATCTGCATTCGACTGGGAACCAAGATGGAAGAATTGAACGATAAAGTTCTGTTCCTCAGCAATTGCTGCAGCTTGTTGTTCAAGCACAGTGCTGAAGATATTCCATCCTTCAGGTCTGCCTTCCCGTTTACCACCGATGGACTGACGTAAAGCACTAGTCTTGACGGTTCTATTTCTCTTGACAGTGAGCTTTCGTGCGGCGGAGGAAGTCAGCGATTCTTCAACCTTGTCTTTCTCCTGGTGGGTGAAGAGGATTTCCTGTTCTTCGCCCCCAGGTCTCCTGGCATTCTTCCTCATCGCCATCGCATAATCTCGAAACTGATCAGAGTAAGTTTCCTTGAAGACAATCTCGTAATTCCGGATCAACAAGGACCACTCATATTGATTGACTTCGCGGACGAAGAGCATGCTTGGATTGTACACCCAAAGTTCCTGTCTCGAAGCATTGTTTGCTTTCAGGTTGAGTGACACCAGTGATGCAGAGCTATTGGTCGAGATATTTTCTTCACTGGCGCGTCGCTTCGCGTTGGAAAACATTGACTTCATGAATTGATTGAATCGGTTCATGAACATAAGTGACTCCTCCTTGTATTCGTCTTTCTTTTGTCGAACAGCACGCATCTGTCCGATCTCGGTATCAGCGTAGACACCCAATCCACTCCTATTCGATGCAGAAACTTGGCGAAGCTTATTCTGACGGATATCAGGATCGATTGTCAACATGGCTCGATAGAGTAGAGTCAGAGACTGTTCAATGGCTTGAATTCCATCATTGGTGTCAATGGGAGCAGATTGAAGAGCACGTAGATCTCCAGAAGATATCGTAAGTGTCTTCAGAAGACTCTCCATCTCTTTTTGAAGTAGCTTCTGGTTCGCAGTTTGCACCTGCAAACCCTGCCCTTGAGCTTCAATATACTCGATATCGTCATGAAGAGTGTCCAATTCATGAGCATAAAGAGTAAGTAGCCCATCAAGTTCCTCACATTCGGCAATTGCTTTATCAAATGCTTTGGACAATTCCTGTACCTTACTTTCTTGTTGTTCAACGTGACCCAACCACCCGCTTGCTTGTGCGCGGCCGATCTCTCTGCGGATTTCGGTCTCAAATTCTTCGACCTTTGTATGGTTAGAAAGCCTTCCATCCCAACCAAACTCGGTCAGAAGTTCGTTGAAATCTGCGCCACGGCCATCCAGTATTCGTGGATCGATACCTAATGCAGCACAATGCTTTTCAACTTCCGCTTCCAGCCTTTGCCGACGTTTCCTTTGTGGTGAACCTGACCGAGCTTTATCGGGGGATTCTTCACGCTTCTCGTCTTTCTCCGGTACCGCTGGAGGTGCTGAAGGTGTACTAGGTCGTATAACGCTGTCAGAAGTCGCGGTCCTTTCAACCTGTACACGGGGAACCGGGTCAGCAGGGAGAGGTTTGGGAGTTGAAGGTCGATCCTTCTCCGAAGTAGGTGTCGCAACCTCGGGAGTTCCACTTCGTGCACTGTCGCCACTCATCCCTCTCAGCAATGGCGCTGGAACAACGCTTGTGATACCGTCGGGTTCGTTGGAACTCCTTTCTTGCAACGCCTTGAGCCGGGCACCTGCACCGCCTTGTCTTGGCTGGAAAGCGGCTGCAGCGAGGGCAGCTCTCCGGAATTGGCCTGCAATGTCCTTGGAAGACTTTTTCTTCACCATGGGACCAAGGCCAGGACGGTGCTCTTCCTCGATCTTTGTAGCAGCCGTCTCCAAAGGTTCATCCGTGACTGGCTCGTTTGTAATGGACTGTGGGGCCACTTGCTCGGATACGGGGGGCTCGCTAGGAACTGTTTTGGGTTGCACAGGGTCGTTTGCCGGCGCTTTGCTATGTTGAGCATTTTGGTTCGCAGCAAAATAATCAGACCCAGGAACCTTCTCGGTCTCATCGCTCAACCCGCTTGGTGTTCCAAGCGGTGTGACAAAAGTACTATTGCTTTGACTATTTGGAGCAGCCGGCTGAGGAGGTTTGAGATCTATCGAGGCAACATTGGATTTTTTGACATCTGGTAGAGGCTGGCCAAAATCCAAGGTGGGAATACTAGGCGGAGCTTCAGGAGTCCTACGATCGGTCGTTGCCGTACTGGGACGTGAGCTAACGAAGGAGTCGCTGCCACCACGGAACGATTCCTGGCTAGGGGCAGGTCCGAGTCTTTTGCCTTGGAACTCCTGGCCAGGAGGTCGAGCTCCGCCATATCCATTGGACTTGAGACTTGGTGGCTCCGGCGTTGTTTGTAGCGAACTTTGTGAGGGTTTGGGACTGAGCGAAGGTCTAGGTGTTTGTTGAATACTCGACAATGAAGGATTACGAGTGTCGTCTCTCGCTGCCAGATGAGCACCATACGGCTGCTGCGGTCGGGGACTTTCACGAAGGGGTGTTCCACGATCAGGTCTTAGTGGCGGTGGTTGATCCTGAATGCCAGCTGACGGTGGTCGCTGTCCATCTCGAGTAAACGGACGATACTGGCCACCATTGTTTCCACGCTCTTGTTCTTGCGACACAAATCTGTTGCCATCTCTACTAGGTGGTGGCTGATGAGCTACGTAAGGTGACTGTGGACGGGCTGCGTTTATCGCGGGGATCGTCGGGGGTTGAGAGGGAATCTGGGGTGGAGGAGATGTACGATCTGGAGGTATGACGGGGGAAAAGGCCGAGTTTTGTGTCGGAGTGGCTTGGGCGGATAAGGCGGGACCAACCAACTGGGTGACTTCTTGCGAAGTAAAACCCAGGAGATCAGGGACCTTGCCTCCAGTGTATTTCCGAAAGATCTTGACAAGGCTGGCAATGAAGAAATCCTTCTCTTTTGAAGTGGGGGCTTGCCAAAAATAAGGCTTCCCGAGAGTAACGGTAAAGCCAGTACTGGTGGCCCACTGCTTCTCCATCTCCTGCTGACGGGTGGTGGGAACGAGAGCGGCATAAGATAGGATGTGTGAGAGGTCCTCCAAGGGCCAGGTCTTACCAATGGAGAATGTGCCATTAGGATTCTCACGAGCCTTGTGAACCCTCACTTTTCCTGATCGCCGAACGGCAACAAGGATGACTCTATTCTTTTTATTGCCGGCCGGGGAGTCGGGGGGCGGCGGCGAAGAGGGATAAGAAGCATCTTCAAAGATCTTGACGTGTGTGATGTAGGACTCGAGCTGCATGCCATCCGGATCCCTCTTGTTGAAGCAGCTCTCGATAATGCGTCTCTTCTCATCTTCGAAACGCGCGGCGCGGGACTGGTTGGATTCAGGTTGAGTTGGGGTTTGTGCACTGGCAATGCTGAGCGAACCATTGCGATCGCCGTTGGAGAAGGACGGAGGCTGTCGATTGCCAGAATATAGCGGTTGTGAATTCATCTTGGATAGAGGCGGCGAGCGGAGGCATCCTCGTCCAGGGAAAGAATCACGATGGGCGTGGGATCATGGCTGAGAGGAGTGCAGGGCAGGCAGCGGTACAGATACCAGTGACGGTTGAGGTACAGATAAAAGTCGAGGTGGGTTTAGAAGAGATAGCAGTGTAAATGTGGCTTATGCAATTGAACGCTGTAACGTGTACCAACCCGGTCGATGAAAGCCAGCAGTGCTACTCTGTGAGTGTGTAGAGACTCCTCCTCGTATGAATTGTATGGCAGGACCAATCCCCAGAGTCTAACCCGAAATGGATGCTTAGTCGGAAAAGGAGTCACTAACGCCAAGACTGACATGGCGGTGGTGGAGTTGAATTGTATGAGCACTTGCATTGCGAGGAAAGTACTTTGGCATATGTTTCGAGGACATAAAGGTCTTCTTCTATCCTCACAATCGAGGAGTGGTCGATTGTCAGTTCACTTAGTTATCTAGACCTTGGAGGTCTTTTGTATCTCAATTTGACTGACTTCTAATAATCTCAGGTGCCTCTTAGGCCCAATTTCGGGCGGGAATCCTCCCCAGCCCTCAGCACCACGTCCACCTTCATACAATCTCATTGACTTAGGAGTAGTACACAGTGGCATTTGGGACTATCTTCTCTCAGATGGCCCGATGATGGTACTATTCCATAGTGCCTCAGTAGCCCCTCTCAAATTCTGATCAGCTCTGACATGATGGTGATCCCAACTAGAAAATAATGCGCAAGCCTCAGTCGAAACCCTAGTCTGAGACTAAATTCCTGCACGCCAGCTCTCCCTTGATTCTCTGACGCCCGGCTGAAAATAAGGTACATTGAACAAGTCTTGTCGTGGTCATGAACATGGAAGCAGTGCTTTGCGCGTGCTTCCACCAACCCCGACCCCAGTCCACTTCTACATGTCTTGCCCATCTTACTGACGACAGTTAGACATTGTATCGCTTTCCAATTTCTCCGTGGTGCAAAAATCCTTCACCTTCCGACTTGAAATATTGCTTCACAATTTTCCACCATCCACTGAACCACCTCATTCTTCATTTTGGTATCGCTCAGCTCTCGGTTCAGACTTTCCGGTCTCATGATGGTTGGTGCAAACACCACTGCAATATTCATGCTTGTCATGAGGTTCTCCTTTTCCTGTAAAACTACTCGGGCCAAGTGCTGGATCAGATAATCAAGAACTTCATAGTGGGCTCGCGGAAGTGATTCCAATGCCAGAGCCATGGCATCCACACGTCCGTCACGATCTTGGATCATAGTAGTGTCCAAAAGTCGATCATACACGTCAAAAGTGATAAGAGGCATCGGCAGCCGTCGGAAATACTGCTTCAATCCCGAGGTTACCGCATGAATATCCAGATCTGGGTCGGAAATGTCAAAGTCTCCTGTGGGATTCTCAAAATAGTCCTTGACTTGTTGAACTTGAGAGTTGCCTCCAGATTTGCGGTAAATGCCCTCGACATCCATTCCTAAAATCCAATCGTCAGTTGAATTACCTTCATTCAACGCAGCTCCACTCACCTCGTAGTTCCACCTCCTCCACACATCTTCTAACGATCCCTGGAACAGGCGCTTTCTCGTATTCCGTGCGTTGCTCAAGGTCGGATCCAAACACTTCTATTGATAGTTAGCAACAACTTCCAACAAGAACGAACCGACTCCTTACGAGTTGCGTCCACCAGCAGGGACGGATTGCTGGCGTTATTCCCCGTTCCATACAGCCCATTGGATTTTGTGCCCGTCTTCGGGTTGCCACCAAAGAAGCCGAAGCCGGCCTGTTTCATCATAGGCTCAGGGTTGTTCTTGGGTAGACTGGAATACTCTTGGCCAACTGGGGTATTTCCATATGCACCTGTTTCGGCAAACTGGAGATCTCGGCTGTAGCTCTGTTGAGTCGAGGAGAATGCTCCCTTCAACCCTTTCGTCACGCCCTTGGCAACCTTCTGTCCTTTTCTCCAGTCGAACTTCTTGGCCTGGCCTTTCTTGATGTTGACAACCTGTGGTCCTTGTAACACAGTTACTGGCTCTGCCTCGCCAGCCAGTAGCGTACTCGCCGAGTCGATGTTGGTATTGTCGGTCGAGAAGCTTCGCATGTCCTTGGATTCAAAGGAGATGTTCGACTTGTCCTTGTGATGAGAGTATATTCCCAATCCATTGACCGCGGATTTGGTCGGCTCAATAGGTACACTTCCAGAATTGGCCTTGTACAACCCTTGGATTTGATGCACTAGCTGGTTGTTGAGCTCGGCCAATTGGGCATTCTTCGAAGAAAGCTGCTCAAACTCCATGAAGCTCTTATCCTTCATTTGCGTCAAATTCGCAATCTCATCCACCAGATCATTACGCCTTTGTATCGAATCTTCGATCTGTGGCGCGAACGAATTCTTCAACTTTTCTAGAGATTCGGCAAAGTCGTGAAGGACTGTGTTGCTCATTTTCCCCACGTCAAATGGCTCACCACTGCGCTTAGCGGCAGCGAGATGTTCCGTCAGGATCTCAAGCTCTCGCACCACAATCTCTTTTTGTGTGTCAAGCACAACCATGGTCGACCGTTTCTCCCTAAGCTCCGAATTGACCTGTTTGATGCTAGCAGTAGACTCCAGTTGAGACTGCAGTTCTGCAATTCTCTTTTCTCGCTCAATGGTCTTTTGTCGTTCACGTCGTAGTTCGTTCTTGAACCAGGCGAGCTCGTCGCGATTTTCTGGAGAAGCGGTGCTGGGGCTGCTGATCTCCTGTGCAATTGAGGATGAAGTCACAGCTGGGGATTTAGGCCACCGGTCTCGAGAAAGCCTACCGGTTTTATCGCTATAGCTTCGGCCATGCCTCACAGAATTAGACACTCTCTTCAAAAAGGACTCTTGAGCGTTGATTTCGTCTGCTCGCATGATACGTGCCATATCCTCATCCATGGTGAAGTCTCCGCCAGTAGAATATCTAGGTAACCCGGGTGACTTCTCACCATCCGCATGTTTCTGTTGACTTGACTGAAGTGTGCTGACAGAGTGGGATCGGGAATGATCTGGAGGTGGGAGCGGTGGTGCTCGAGGATCTACGAAAGAAGTGAGCCCCTTTTTCCCGGAGACGCTATCCGAAGATCCCATCGAGTTATCAGCCGTGTCAAAGATACTCTTCGAGTTTGGCGACCCTATGGGACCAGAAATGACTTTGCCGCCATTGGCCCTAGCCAAGTTGGTTGGAGTGATGGCGACGTTCTTGGGGGATGGAGAGTTGCCATTGATGGCAGAGCTCAAACTAGAGGGAATATTTGCTGCGGCATTGACCTCTTTCCTAGCAACCGTTTGACTTCTCTTTGCACTGTCCAAAGAATCCCCTCGCTTTGGGATGCTTTGCAAGAGCGAGCTTGACGTCAGCTGAGAGTGCTTGGGAGAATCATTGCTCGCGCTATCAGCAGGGCTAGACAGGTTTGAAAGTCTCGGTGTTGAGAAGCCGTTTTCAGAAGGCGTGTCATTGTCCGATACAGGTATTGTCCGAGTACTGGTGGTGAACTGTTCAACGGGTTCGCCATGGGGAGAGGCAATTTCCGACCTCAGGCTGGTGCTTGGGCGTTCAGTTTTCTTGGTCTTTGGTGCTTCCTGTAATTTAAACTTCTCACTAGATAAGAGCTCACTGTTGCCACGCGAAGCCAGAGTTGGACGTGGGGATTCTTCAGACTGCCGGGGCTCGGATTGGAGGTATGGCGAAGCCGTCATTGAGCTGGAGCCACCAGAACTGCCTTCCGTTCTCTTTCGTACAGAGTCAATGATTTCACGTGAAGATTGACGGCCTTTCTCCTGATAGGCAATATGAGGACTGGATGTGATCGGCTTAGGTGTTGGTGCTTGAGCCTGAGGTGGTGTTGGTCGGTTCGTAAAATAATCCTTTTTCATCTCTTCAGCACCTCTCGGAGTAGCCTGGCTTGAAATGCTGGGGGACTGTGACGATGGTTGAGGTGTAGGATCAAAGGCGAGCGGGATCAGAAATTCTTCTCCTCCTCCTGAGAAGTTTGAATGCTGTGACATCATAGAATGTCTCTTATTTCGGTAGGTGGTGGACGGGAGGGTGAGCATATCTATACCAAAGAAAATCAGTATGCAGACGGCCAGCGGAAACAAGTGGTAAGTGGCTTACCGCGAGGCGGATTTTGATCTGAAGACGATGGCCTTGAATCGACATCCTTCTGTAGTTCACTGATGGTTCTACCAACGGATGGGATATCAGGAGTTGGTAATTCATGGTATACCTCCTCGTAGACAGGGTCGGGCTCTGGTACATAAGCAGTCTTCCGAGCCTCAGGGGGCGGAATAGCAGGCAATGATTTATCCAGGTGAGCATTGGCGCCAGGGCCTTTGGACCGCGATGATGCCTTTGACTTCTTTCTCCTCCGGGCCATCAGAGCTTCGTGACATTCCATGCAAAAGATACCCTGAGAAGTGCGCGCGTAACGCAGATTCTCGATTTTTCGTTTGCAGTTGCGACAACTGAAGCAATTTGCACAGAACGCCTGATCTCCAGTCAATATTGCCAGGTCTTCAATTTTATTGTTGCAGTTGCTGCAACTGTATGTACAGTTGTTGCATATGAGGGAGCCATCCCCAAGGAGGAGCAAGTTGGCATCTGAGTCGAGGAGAGTGCCACAAGTGTTGCAGCGGAAGCAGTCGATGTGCCATCTATTTCCAGCTGACATCAGTTAGCGAAATATTCAGATCCCAAGGGGCCAAATGACATACCCAGTTCAAAGGCTTTTCCTTCCTCGAGAATCTATGTGGTGAATAGTCAGTCACTGTGAACATCCGCCACGTTATACCAGCAGAACAACTCACCTGTCCACACCCTTTACAGGGGTACGCAACATCATCAGGGTCCATGGGAGACTCTGGAAAAGCCATGGGAGATTCCATTGCGGTTGCCATGCTGCCTCGCGTGAATGGGTCGGCCGCGTTCAATTGGGCTGGAATCAAACTTCTTGTCACCCCGACTCCGTTTGTTCCAGCGATTGTCTAAGTCATCAATGGATGCTTAGAAGAGGGCACTCTGCGACTCGCGTATATTAAATACTTTGGGTATGCCTTGCGGTCAAGTATTCTGCTGGCCTGCAGCGTGGACGGTATTATTGGTAATTGAGTAAGACTGACGGCTGCGCGACCTCAGCTGTAGGAATAGCTGCGGGTTGGGGTATACGCTGGTTGGTAATTGTTGACCAAGGACGAGAAAAGGAGCAGGAGTCTGCCGGACTTGTTGATATGGGTCAATCTGCGAGGAAGGGCAGGCCCAGAGTAAAGAGTGTGACTATCAGCTCGTGGAGGAATGTGTCTCGATGGTCTCAGAGGGGTCAATGGGACCGCGCAGCGCACGCTTCTGCACGGCGAATGGGTCGTGATCGCGTTAATGGGGATGTGAAAACGCTAAATAAAGACAGGCAATGTGCAAATGATTGTACAGTTGAATTCAGGTAAAGAGAGGAGGGCAATGGCGCATGAGGGTGTCGTCGCTATGAATTGTCGAAGATAAGTGAAAATGGAGACGACGACCACTGCAGTGGGCGGAGAAGTGTTTGGTGACAGTGCCCGTGACCATGGATTTCTTTGCAGATTGCAAAGCCTGGCTATGGATAGTGGGCACGGTGGGCACTGGGAAACCATCCATGGAGACGATTGAAGGATGGCACCCGCTCATAACTTCAGCCTATGATACGAGCACTGGTACAGGCCATGTCCCAATCAGCCCGAGGATTATTAGTGCCAACCAAGCTTAGAGCAGCGAGGGTCAAGGGCTCCTTAGGCCAGAAGATTAGGGCACTACAGGCGTCGACTAACCACAATTCCCACATCATTCAGCTAAGGTCCATGGGTGACAGGCTCTGCTGTCATGGCCCATCGAGATCGCACACATCAAAGGCCACAAGAAGAGGCCCATTTCCAGAGGCGTATTTCTTGGTGGTCCATTCGGGTTAAGTTTCAGGGTCTAATCCACCTGGATCTGCTTCCTTTGAGCACCCAATATGTCGTCCATTGGCTGACGTGCTGGTTCGGACAGGGGGCGGCTCTAGTTACTGCGCCCGCCTTTTCTGCTGCTCCATTCTAGTTAGCTGGTCACGCCTATTCGCCTCGAATCACACGCATGGCCTATACCCATCGGCCTCGCAATTGTGCGCTCGATGCTAGCGTGTGTCGCAAGCCTAAAGAAAATGGAGCATTCCATTTTAAGGGGTTCTGCTTCTCCCGGACAGGCTTAGGCCTTCTTAACAAAGAGTTGTCCCCTTAATTCGCCTGCAGCAAGACCCCGGCTTCCACAAGATGCAAGCTGGAGCTGCAGCTGTAAGTTGGACACCAGTGTGCAAGATATGCAGAAGACCTTCTCAAGGAAATTACCAAGCGGCACGTCCAGATCCAGCGAGTGCGTGCCCGCATGCCCGCGAAAGGCTGCTGTCCGGCACAGAGACCACGGTCCGAGCTATCAATTCGAATACTCTCGAGTTTCGGAATATGTTTGCTAGCTACTCCTGTGGCTTGGGTCAAAGAAATTCTACCAATAATCGTAGGGGTGGGACCTGATGGGATTTCTGAAGCACGTCTCCCGAGTCCCGACAGTTGTGTCACCACACTCAGGCTGGCTTGCGTCTCCTTTTCGTCGCACAACACGCGTGCCTCACCTGTTCCGGTCCACGTGGTTCCGTCCATCATTGGAAACACAGCTTTCATGAAGATCCGTCACTCTGATTTCACTTCGACTTGACTGCTGTCAGAACCCAGAGCTCGGCTTTTAGATTAAAGCAGGACAAGTGCATACGTCCCTTTACCGGTAAGCTTGAATTTTCGTTGTTTCAATGTCCTCTACCAGGTCAGAATATCATTCCTGATTCAAGAACGGATACGGCATTCACATCCTCCTGTTCCCTTGCAATTGAGAACGGCATATATTCTTTTATCCACTCGAAAAGGTCTAGAAATGTCCATGCGTGAGGGTGATCCTGGCATAAGGCCCCATGTAACGAACATCTCCCAGCCAGGGGTACTTGTGACCCACGGCCCCAGTTTCTTGTCGAGCAAGCGAAAGCGCAGGACACAATATGCCGATCCCTCGGCTACTTCCTGTACACAAAAATCGCATCAATATTGGATGACCATTTCCTCGAGATCAGAGATGAACGTCAATACAAAACTCAAGCCCATGCTCTAAGCTGACAATTCCATATGAGGCATGGAACTCGACGAGTTACAGGTCATACGAGTTAAGCGTGTTTGATATGTATACGGAGTAGTTCGTAGTCTGAAGCAGGGAACCAGTATCTCGTTAAAACCTTCCAGAAAAATTGACTACTGAGTATCTGAATCAGTCAAGTCTGAGTGCGGAGCAGCTATTTGATCTCCATAATTGATCACGGAATGCGGAACACAGAGACGGAGCGTGCTGCTACCTCTACTCACGAAGTACTAGGTATCTACATAGCATAAGCGTTCGTCAACAGTAGGGCTGCAACATGTGCTCCGTAACGACTACGAAGTACTACTCGGTAGTTGGTAATTGGTGTTCTGCATCCGAGTCCCCAGTCGATCAAGCGGTGTTTCGCTTCAGAGAAAAGCCCGTCATTGCCGGATTGCATTCACATGGAAGAGAAGACGACATACGAGTAAAGTGGAAGTTCACGGCCCCTGTCAAAATCATCCGAAACACGCCATCGTCCGCCTGTATTGAAATCGCCCCCATCGGCTTTCCGAACAACTTGAAACGTCGTACACGGAACCAGCTAGTTACTCGCATGAAAGAGCGAGTATCCATAAATCCACCGAGGAGTGCAGCGGGAGAGGGGAGTATACATCGGTAATACCTGTCGTGTTCAATAATGAGGGCACCAGCGTACAAGTGGAAGACGATGCATAGTATTGACTACTGCACGAGAAGCGAAGAGAACATGACAGAGGAAGGAAAAGATCTAGATGCATCTTCGTTGGATTGGATTCTGTCTGATCAGGCCAGGACTATCGACCAACAATACTAAGAATACAAAGCCATGCCAAGTCCTTCTAAGCCCAATCCACTCCAGTGTCCCATGTCCAATATCAAAAGCAACCTCTTCAACTGCATGAAGATCATTTCCAAACGACTGTATTCCCAGTTCCTCAATGATGAAAAGCAGCAGAAAACAAATAATACGACGAGAAAAACTCCATTTCCCATTGGCACTGTTCTGGTGTCCTGTTCGCTGTGGAAAAAGAGTCTCATATCACATCATCGTGAACCATGACCCATTAACACTCGACGCCAGTGAACCTCCATGAACCGTGCGTGTTGCGATGGATAAAAATACAAAAAGTGATGATGTTGAACCCTCAATCTCAATCTCGTTTGTGTTGCTGCTACCTCTAGGCATCCGTTGTGGTACCGAGGACTTGCCAATTGCTCGAGCCATCCGAGGTGGCGATCTCGCTACTCACAGAAGCAAGAGGAGTGGAACTCGGGTGCTCCAACCCTGGTGTAACATCTCCATGCTTGCCGCCATTTGCGAACAATTTCCAATGGGCTGACATTCCTGAACTGGGTTCGAACGTCGAAGGCTCGGGTTCCATGTACTCCATGTCAGTCTCAGGCATGACAACTCTGCCTGTGCTTCCCAAGGAGCCATAGACAGCGCCTGATGCACCTGCCACGTAGTAGTGGATGAGGTTTTTGTCCGACTCCTTGCTGAAGTAGTTGTAGAATCTTTTTTCAGGCTTGATGACTGCGTGCAGTGAGGTGCAATATTCCATAACTTGTCTCTTGATGAGGGAGGTGTAGGTGGCGAGGAGATGCTCGGCATATGATGCGAGTCGATCCTCTTGGATGGTATAGAGGCTTTGACCGCAGATGGCGAGACGGTCAAGAAGGGCGTTGAGGACTTTGAGTCCAAAGGACATAACAATAGGTAGGCGTGTGGCGAATCGTGGTTTTTCAGGTCCAAAGTCTGAGGCCAAGCTCTCAAAGCTGTTCTGGAAAACCGTGGTGGTGGATTTAGGTGTAACAATAGGATCATTGGTGGTAATGATATACTCGATTTGCTCGAGAGTGTCAAGGACCGCGTCGATGGTTGGCAAGGGACTCGGTGACTGAGTACAGATAAAGTAGGCGGAATCGTCAATTGCTTGAAGTACCGAGGTGTAGCCCGAGCTGTGGTTGCATCTCGCAATGAGGAGTGCTGAGATGGTCATTCCTGGTTGTGGCTCGGGCCATTGCGGATATTGTTGGAAGAGGTCAACCAAGCTGACTAGCATGGTGTGTCTGTTGTAGACAGGGTGATTGAGATTTTGTCTCTTGTCTCGAGATTCGGTGATTTCGTCAAACGAGGCAATGTTGCGGACAAGCAACTCAAAGAGCTCATCAAATTGTGCTTGACGGGTGATGAGAACATGTGGATGAGTCTCAATCAGCTTTCTAAGCCTGCGGAAACCAAGAGCATCGAGTTTGCCATGACGGAGGTACTCGATGGCCAACGCAAGTGATTTCTTAGCAGATGAAATGCTGTTTCGACGGCGTGGTGATCGCTGTGGTGATCGGTTGGGAGAGCGTTGGGGTGACTCTGTTGGTGATTGTTTTTTGGGTCTGATGATGTTGGTGTTTTCTTTGCCATCAGGAATGTGTTGCCGGCTAGTGGTCTTCTCCGTAGCGCGTTCAGCAACTGGTGCAGCTTGCTGGTCTGATGCGAATGGAGGTACAGGGCGGAGGGGAAGTGACTGAGCGGGTGCAGCATGCTCTGAAGTCGTTGCCAAATCTTTTGACTTCTTGGACGTCGTTGGGGCAGAAGCCGATTTGTCTTCAACGATGACTGGAGTCTGACGGCCACTCTTCTTGATATTTTGTACCGATGGAGAGCGTTGTTTGAGCTCTTCCTCTGGAACGACTGGTGTTTGTCGTCCGTTCTTCCTACTTTTCTCTTGAGCAATGGCATTTTCTTGTCGGCTTGCCGTCTTGCGGTGATGGCTGGGGACAGAGGAAGGAGCATCCTTTTCCAAAGGAAGGACTGGTGTTTGGCGGCCAGAGACTTTTTCTCGGATCTCTGTTGGCTTTTTGGTAGGCTCACCGCGGGATCCCGGACGCTGGCTGCCTGCAGGTGGCATTGGTGTTGCAACGATACGACCTCTGCGGACCGGAGCAGATAGAAGTGGTCGAGCATCGACTTGAGGACTCTCCGATTTAAGGTCTTTGGAGTCAACTTTGTTGTCTCTGGAAGGAACCTTCTGATGATTGGGCCGTGGTTGGGTGGAGGATGTGCCGTGGCGTGAGGTGGTTGATGCTTCACTGGCATGAGCAGAATGTGATTTTTCATGCTTTTCTCGTGTTGGATCTGAAGTTGGCTTCTTCGTCACCTTCTGTGGTTCTGGAGGGTTGATGTCATCGAGAGATCCAAACATCATATCGTCTGATTTAATCGACGCAGGCGTGAAGCCACGATGTTGCTGTTGCTGGATACGTTGCTTGCTTTGTGCTCTGATCTGAGCGAGAGCAGAGCCTGGTCTGCTTGGTGCCTTGGTGGGCTTTTGAGGTTTGTCAGGATTGTTTGGGTCATCACGCAACGCATTGGCTGCGAAGTTGTTAAGACCGCCCATGATCATACGTGCTCCTTGAGCATCATACTTGTGATATTGCCAGAAGGTGGCACGAGAATTTTCTCTGACCTTGACTTGGCCATCGGTGAGTCCTTCATAGATTGCCTTTCTGGCGAGTTCGCCATCTTTATTGTCGTCCATTTGAGTGCGGTAGGTCTCAATCAAGAGACGCAGCCACTCAGGAGCAAACACGCGAGGAGGGATACGTTTGTCTCTGAATGCGGCACAGACGTGATAGAAGAGGCGGTGATTGTAGCCTGCATGTTTGCAGATGGAGAGGATTGCTTCATTGGCGTTCTTTTGGTTGACAGCTTTGGTGGAACCACACAATGTGATAAGCTCGGACAGAATGATGTCGAGCTGAGATTGGACCTCTGATTTCAAGTTCTCAATGACAACCTTGGAAGTTCGGCAGGCTTGTCCTGACAGAGTAGTTCTCTCGGAGGCGGTGGCCTTGACGATGGCTGGCAAGAGAGCTTTGGACTTTTCGACAAAGTCTCTTGGAAGAACACTGTCTGGCTTTCTGTTGTCTAGAATTTCGGAGAGTTTGGCGAGAAGATCTTGGCGGCGTTTCCAATTCTCCTCTGTTTCGGTTTGGGCGAGCTCATGGTGAAGAAATGTGAGCACATCCACATAGCTATGGCCGAGCATCTTGGCTCTGACACCAATAACGAAGAGATAGACGGCTTTTCCAGCAACTGGGATGAAGCTGTCGACTGATGTAACTGTAAACAAGACACGTCAGCACAGTCAAAGCAAGAGAACTTGAAGCATGTCATACAGAACCCCATGCTGGCAAAGTAGCTGGGTTTGATCCCAGGCTATGATCAATGACAACACAGTGGACTGCTTAGAGCATGCACAAGCTGAGGTTCTCGATGGTGATGATAAGGGTTTGAAGTAAAACCGATGGCAGAAAAGTGTTAAAGTGAGTACAAGTATCAATGGTGAAGAATGGGAAAGGTTATCACGTGATGAAGATGCGATCGGGATAATGGAGGGAATGAGAGCAGAACAGAGGGCGACCTCGAACTTATATAGACTGGAAATCATCGTACCTACTCAGTGGAGAATTCGGGCATTCGCTCGTGACGGAAAATAGTGTTTTTGAAAGAGGATCAAAAGCTCGCCCCAAAGTTGTAGAGGGAAGAAACTTTGGAAGTTGTTGATGTTGTTGGACATGGTGTTGATGTTTTTGCCCCCTGCCCACCATGACCAAAGCGGAAAGGTGGAATTTGGGCTTGGCAATGAACCACATTGGTTGCTCCCAGTGATTGGCTTCCGTTGAACGTCTTCCCACTCCGGCTCCATACCGAGGATTCCTCCTCCTTGCCTTCATGACCCCAGTTTGCCTGCCAGCCTTGTTAGTATAAACCACAGGAAAAACCATATTTGCATCAATATCCATCTATATACTAAACTCTAACTCGGCACGCTCCATATATCTTATCACTGTCGCGAAAAGACGCGATTGTTTGTTGACATTCAAAGCTTCTCCAACACAACTCGGTCCTAACATGTCGCCGATACCGCCTTCAATCCACCACAAGCCCGTCCTTCGTCTCCATTTGGACGACATTACTCACTCCGCAACACAAATAACAAATGCTTCCCTAGATGGCGGCCTCTACCTCGCCAGAGCCATCGAACATGTGATCAGCCACCTGTACAAGCCTTATGGGTTGAGTGAGATCCCCAAGGTCCGCTCGGTGACTGTCGTGTTGAGGTCAATGGGCGGAGTTGCCTACACTACCGGTTTACCACTGGATGATTTACATAAAGAAATCCACCTATCCTTAGATTACGTCCAGGCAGTACAGTCTCGAAGCTCGTCGGACATCCGGCATGAAATCGCCGGAGTCATCACGCACGAGATGGTCCACTGTTTTCAGCATAATGGACATGGAACTGCCCCTGGTGGACTCATCGAAGGCGTCGCAGACTTCGTTCGGTTGAAGTCAGGACTGGCTCCTCCACATTGGAAGAAAACGGCGGACTCACGAGGCCAGAAATGGGACGAAGGCTATCAAAAGACGGCCTGGTTTCTAGAATGGCTAGAAGACAAGAAGGGCGCAGGCACCGTCAGCAGGTTGAACGCTACGTTGAAGGCAGAGAAATACAACGAAGAGAAATTTTGGAAGGATCTAGTAGGGGCCTCCGTTCAAACGCTGTGGAACCAGTACAAGGAGACTTGGGAAATGGAGGACACCAGTTCGGATTGCTCCACCACATTGAAAGGTCAGGAATGAGCTCCATATCCCAGCACCAACCTGTCGAGAAGGCAACGATATAACGGAGCTTGATCACAATAACTATGGGGGCCATGTGAAACGGTTCAGTCCGGTCGACGTAATGTAGTAATTTGGTAAAGCACGGTTCTCCGGCATCACTATGACTACTCGGTCTTCAGATATTTGGGCACGTTTTGAATATCATCCTCTGCTCAGTACTGGAATATCTCGGAGAAGCTACGATGAGAAAGAGGGGGGCTCTTCACGGGCACACAGCGATGTTGAGACACAAAATATATTCCAGCTGATGGAACGCTAGCCCAGACAGAGGCGGTCGACAATGACTCGTGAGCGAGTGGCATGATGGGCACCTTTTTGGACTTCTCAAATTGTGAGGCTCTTCCAGAGCTTTTTGTCACATGCAGTGTTCTGAGGGATCGGAAGACTCTGGCTCTAACCAATGCATCCCATTGTTTTGTGTTTGGCACGGTGGAAGTCGCCGGATTGCATTTTGCAATCCACAAGGGCATGTGGAATCTGACAAACGTTCAAAGTGTACAAGGTCCGTGAGGCATGGTCGCCTTTTTTGCGTGGTGGTCACTAGAAAACTGGGACTGGCCCGCAATAACTTGAGAGCAGAGAATATTGGAAGGTGGGCAACTCGATCGTTCATTATCACTTGGATCTGTTTGTATCTTTGACAATGGTCAGCGTGAGCTTTGAGAAATAGATTGACAATTATGTGGAAGGAGAACGTCGGGGGTCAGTAAAAAATTAGAGTGTTGTTGCGTAGTTTTCTTCCTCAAAGAACGTAGTTCTAGGGGTTAAAAATTGATCATCATTCCAATGGGTTAGGATGAGGAAATCGTGCTATCAACTTACCAGCATTAGGAATTGTCGATCGATGCAGGTGCATGAACGTAGAGGTCACGATAAGGTTGAGACGGTCCAGGAGGAATTGAGCATTTCATGTCATTGCACTCATTTTGGGGTACTAGCAATCTAGCTGTCTTTAGGCAAGGGCTGATTTGGAAACTTCTATTCGATTATGACATGGCTGACATTTAGTCGAAGAGACCGCCGAAACCTAGGGCACGTTAGCACTTTCTCAGGACCAGAATAGAGAGGGTGTGTCTCACCTTCATCATCACTCTCTTCCTTCTCCTCTTCCTTTTCTTCCTCCTTGGCAGCTGCTGGCGCGGCCTCTGAGCTGGCTGCAGCTGCAACAGGAGCGGCGGCAGCATAAGCATCAGGATTGGCAATGCGGTCCTTGAGCTCATCAATAGCCTCCCAGCTGTAGTCAGTCTCAATGGCAACCGAGATAACGTTCTTGTAACCGTTGAGCAAGCTGTGGATGACAGATGGAAGAGTAGGGTAGTTGGCGGCAAGGGAGATGGTGGTGATCGTGGCAATAGCAGAAGACAGTGCCTTGAGCAATTGGCTTTCTTCGATGTCCAACACACTTGGGTGGAATGTGTTACCCTCCTCGTAGACCTGTTGAACCTTCATGCCATAGGTAAAAGGAGAAATGTTCAACATGTTGAGAAGAGTGGCCTCGGAGGCACCGACTTTTGCGCCGGCCTCAACCAACTTGAGATCGGTGGTGATTTCAATGGTTCCACGAGCAATCTTGGTGGGGACACCGAGAGCCTGGAAGAAAGATGTCTTGCCGGGTTCCATACCAGTGTTTCCTGCTGGGACGTAGACATCGAGAGGTGCAACAGCCCCAGCACGAGCAGGCGCAGCGACTCTGTTGGAAAGAATCTTATCTCGAATAGTCTTCAAATCACCGTTGGTGAAGATGAAGCCAACATTTCCTAGTCCATGTCAGCGCATTTTTTTTTGTTTATCCTCTTGAATCCATGTCTTACCCTTGACGTGAGGAAGGAGACGTTCGAACTCTGGGTTGTCACCAATGAATCCCTTGAGAGCACGGCGAACCATGGTGTTCTTGCCCATCAACACAACGGCCTCACCTCGAAGGGCGGATCGGATCTCGTGCATCTGTTGGGAGGAGACATTGTCGACGCTGACCTATGGTAAAGTTAGCTTTCCTGCGGCCATGCAGCTTTCGGTGGTGACTTGCGATGAAGATGGATTTGTACTCATCGAGCAAGCCCTTGAGCTTGTCGAAGTAGACAGCTTTTGTGCCGGATTTGCCCCCCATGACTTCTTAGGGATGAAGTTAGGATGTTTAAGGGCAAATGATAGTAGTTTGTAAGTTGAGGTGGTTGTTGTGTTAGAAGTTGAACTTTGGCCAAAAAGTTGTCGAGATTCGGATGAAGCGAGAGCCTTTCTCCCAGTGTGTGGCCTTGGCACTACGAAAGTCCACTGATCACGTGCGCAGATTCTGTTCAATCCATCAACTTCATCGCTCAAATAGAAATTTCTTTCTCATGGAAGAAGTATGTGGATAGTGATTCACTCACATACCGAATAGCTGGCTCGGCGATATCTGTCTGTTCTCTTCGCGGGGTCCTTCACTAATGCGTAACTAACAGGAAAGCTGGGTAGGGACACAGACGCCTTTGACGGTGAGTCTTTACTGGCGAGCACAAGCAACATAAAACCTGCTACGATGGCTAGTTGCCCATTCCAGAAGCTGTGCTGGGTGCACCCAGTTGATGATCAGCCACCATTTCTAGTTACAGCCTCAGGTCCGCTTCTGATATCTCTTGACTCTAAAGATGGATCTGTCTTGAGTCAATGGCCAAAGCAAGACGAGACTACTCAGCACAAGTACTCTCAAGAATCAACCGAAAATGGCGAGCGATCCACAAAACGTCAAAAACTGGATACAGACGACCATGTCGCTCTATCTCGCCAGACCTCCCAAGATTCAATTGAGATCATTTCAGAACGAAAGAAGGGAGAGCGACGAAAGCCCAAGGTCGAGACCACAAAGCAGCCCAACTTTTCACATTTAGTTGCTACTAGCGATGGAACCACGGTCGTTGGTGTGATGACGGAGGACAAGTCAATCAATGTTTTCCAAGTCCTCTCGGCGGGGGAACTCAGTCTGCAGAGCAAAAGGTACGTATATACACCCCTTTCTAGATTCACCCCTTGACAATCCAATCACAGATCCATGCCAAAGCGGATGTGTGCGATCATACTGACACCTGACGAGAAGACCATCTTGGTCGGCGATAAATTTGGGGACGTGTATTCGTTGCCGCTACATCCTGCAGAAGACTGGGTGGCTCAAAAGTCCGAGCAAAAGGAAGTGTTCATTCCTTCCGCAACAGAACTTACCGTCCATACGAAGGGTAATCTCGAAGCGCTACGTCAACAACGCGAGCAGAAGATCCGTAATCCAAAGAAAGAAGGACCAGATTTCGAACACAAGCTCCTGTTGGGCCACGTATCCCTGTTGACAGATGTTGTAATCGCTGAGATACAGGATGGCTTGAAGCGGAAACAGTTCATTCTAACTTCCGATCGAGACGAGCATATCCGAGTCTCTCGTGGGGTGTCTCAAGCTCACATCATAGAGGCTTATTGTATGGGCCACCGGGAGTTTGTCAGTTGCCTGTCCATCATGCCCTGGAAGTCGGAGTACTTGGTGGCTGGTAGTGGTGAGCCATCTCTAAAGGTCTTTGATTGGCAGAACGGACGCTTGCTAGATGAGGAGTTATTCCACGGGGCTGTTCAACAGGACATCACCAATGCACTGCCTGAAGCCGACGAGGGTCGTACAGTAGACCGTCTGGCGGTCACTGGAATTTGGCCCATTCACTATAGCGCTGCTCAAAACTCACCAAACACCAGCCAGCCTCCACACATTCTCCTTGTAGCGTTGGAAGGGTAAGTCTTTTGTCTCTTTGAGCTGCAATCTCTGACAAGCTTTCTAGTTTACCGCTTCTTCTGAGCTACAAGCTTGATGATTATGGAAAGCTGCTACACCACCAGACTCTGACTCTGGCAGGGAATATTTTGGATGTAGGAATTGGACCTGCACTATGGGATATTGTAGTCAGCATCGACACGGTGCATCGTCCTGGTTCTGTCAAGACACTTCGACCAGAAGAAACACCAGCTCCAGAGCTATTCGAGACCTTTGAGTTGTTCTCGAATCTAGACGACATGAATGACTCGACTGAACAGCTGGAGCATTATACCGAGCTGCGGTGGGAGCGCTCAAGCTATGCAATGCTACTGAACAACGCGGCGGCAGCAGTGGAGAGAATCAAGGTCTCAACGGAACCTCCTCCACAGTCCAAAGGTGTATACGGCGCGGTTGGGGAGGTGCTCTACGGGTTGGAGAACTTGCGAAAGAAGAGCCATGGTGAGGCGAATGTGGATGGAGAAGAGCCACTGGAGGAGGCCATTGTCGAAGCAGAAATGGGCACAACGCCTGAGCCGATCATAGCAGAGCAGGTCCATGTATAATAGAACACTAGACGCAATAAAGAATGAGGCTGCCTGCTGCGCACAGAAGCCGGAAAAATAAAATAAAATAAAAAGTGCAAAGAAAACAAAAACTCCTCCAGTTCGGGCCCCCCACCGTCAGGGTTCGAACTGGAGAAGAAACCCCGGTTGGGAATTTTTGTTTGTAATAATAGTAGGGGTAAGGGGAACGGTGGCGCGATACTCGGGGCCTCCTTTACGCCTTCGATGGCTTCTTAAGAATAAGAAGGGGGAGAGGAGAGAGAGGAGGGGGAGGCGGATGGAGAACCAGTCGAAACTGATTGAGCCATCTCGGGCGTGGACTGTGACCTGTCCTGATAGGAGACCCCGAATATTTTGCTCAATTGAGCAACAGGAATCCAGCTTTGTAAATATATATAGTTTTAATTCTTTTGATGCCTAGATGATGGGGGTGGTGGATTCCAATGTTCGGCGTGCTGTAAAGCTTGGGTGTACTGAGACAAGGCTGGACCAGGGGGCCACAAGGCTGCCCATTGCCATGCGCTAGTGGCACGTTCCAGAATCAAGTGGTTTGAGCAGCCCAAGTACAGTACGCCTATAATTATTCTTCCGGGTATGATTCCTTGACCGACAACCTTCTCTACCCATCCCACCACCGATCCAGATATCCTTTTTTGTAGCAGATATGCCACCCAGGTGTCATTGTTGACCTCCAGTATGGCCAGAGTCTTCACATTAGCAACCAGTACGGCACTCTGATATTTCTTTCCTGCGAACTACTGCAACTGCCACTGCCTGTGGTTAAACCACCGATGAAGCACTGCCATTGGAGGTCCAATACATACCCAGCGTCGAAAGATTGACCTTTGTGATTCATGGATCTGCATGATGCGTGAAACACAATTGATTCCAAATGCTGAGACTTGGACTGGTGGGTTCAGAGCCCTACAAGAGTAGGTCATGGGTGAAACAATGATGTTTGAGTCATTGCATACAAGTAATCATAGCAGGTACTCTATTGATGCCACAATGAATGGCTCTGGTTACATCAAATCGGCTCTCTCCACCATTTGTCTCTAACCTATATCACCCCTGCAGCCACGTTTGCTTGAAACCACGAAAAGTAGCACAAAGAGACTCTGTCTGATCATTACTATAGGTACCATCACACTTCGCCGTGCTGGTGCTGCAGAGGAGTGTTCTGTTTTCTGAATCAATCAAAATGGATATCATTTCTCATCCAGTAGTGACCATCCTTGAATATGATCCCAACTGGCCGATACAATTTCACATCATTGCGAAGAAGCTTAAAAAATACCTTGATCTATGTTCAGTTACTTACAGGCTGATAGAGCACGTTGGTAGCACTGCCGTCCCTGGCCTTGCAGCAAAACCCAACATAGACATCGTCATTACGGTTCCGGATGCAGAAAATGCCGCCAAAGCACGTGAAGCACTTGTTCACGAGCCTAGTCCTGAGGAACACTACAAATGTTATGGAGATGGTGGCATCCACGGGAGAATCAGCATGAAGCCTCACGTACGCAATCCTCTGGCGGATCAAAGCGTTTACATTATCCGAGAGGACGACCCTGCGGGTCAGCTTGTTGTTCGTTGCCATCTTGCCCTCCGAAACACTCTTCGATTGCCGGAACTTGAAGCATTCAAAGAAGAATATGGTCGAGTCAAGCTACAACTTTCCAAATCGGCTATTGATGATGTTGATTACGGTCAAAAGAAAAACCCTGTCATTCGGAAGATACTCAAAAGCGGCGGGGTGGTCTGATGCAGAAATTGATCTCAAAGAAGGATTGGATCATCGTGTACCTGGAGAAAGAGATGAACTACCATATTAGACCTTGGAGGGTTTGCTCGGGTTAGTTATTTCATGTGGCAGATCGATCCATGGCTGTGCCGCTGCCGAACCACACACACAAGCATTCCACAACACATTCGACCTCGAGACCACAGAGTGTGGGCAGGTATGGCGTAGGTAGCACCGACGCTGATTTCCGTGCGAGACTCAAGCCCCGGAAAGCAGGAGCTTTGGAGACATCGGTGGATATGCCGTCGATCGGGCTCTGTAATGTCTGCAGGAGGTCTTTGATGCTCTCATCGCTTCAGTGTTTAATGACGAACGGGATGATAAGACAATTGATGGAATGATCAAGATTTACTCGCATAAAGCCTGCAACTGAGTTCCGCCTGCTTAAAGGAATAGATCTGTGCAGTGAAGGGAGTGGGGTTCATTTTGGGGCGCCTCGAGAGCGCGATCAGACATATTACGATACTCTTCCGGCATTATTGCATGATCCCAAGCCAGCACTTAGTGGCAGAATCAATGAGGCGTAACGCCGTTGCTGATGACGAGACACATATCACCGATTACAGGATCTCCTATTAAATGAGAAGGGCAATGATTCCTTAGTACTGTGGCACTGAGAACTCAGGCTGAACACCGGGAACTGCCGATTGCAGGTTAGGGTGGTCCAGCCTCATACGCGAAGTGTCTTATTGATCCTGGAACATCCGACTTCAGACAACTATTGCATTCTGGTCTTCTGCGATTGATCTGATGATCTCGATAAATTTCCAGACATGGACGAAAGACCAAAGGCAAGCAGAGATTGGATAGAAAGAGTGAAGGGAGAGTGCCAGAAATAGAACGAAGATGTGCTTTGGTCTGCCACGGTCTGCTTGTAAGCGCCCACCAAGAAACGCTAAGGCAAGTGCCACCAACCAAACCCCAAACATCCCCACCTTCCTTACATAGCTCCGTGGCCTTCTACCACTCAAGTTGCTCCTTCCTTGTCTCTCTTCCAACGTCCTGCCAACACGTCGAACGTCTTCAGCCGCTATCGAAATCAAAGCCTTCTCATTAGTGACGATTCCACTTTGTCCTGCGCGTCTCGCTGGTCGCATTTCGATAGCTCACCGTATTGGTTTATTTTACTTCCTCGACCGACTGGCCGCTGATATCTTGCATGCTAAGACTCGTCCACCAGCTGATGGTCCAATCGACGAGTCCACAGCCTGCTTCGGTCTGAATTGGCCAGAGAACTGCGTGACATCCCACAACCGCTCAGTTAACCACCGCTTCTTCACCATGAGCGTCAATGTTTGTATTCACGGCGCTTCGCTCCAGTCATCTCCATCTTCCTTTCTTACCATCCCATCGTCTTCCGTCCAGTCTCATTACCTTAGCTTCTTCCATGTCACTCCGTCTCTTCCTGATTCTCCCTTCCTCCTCAGATCATCATCGCTGTAGCTGCTGGCCGCTTTCAGCTTTCCCTCGTTAATTGATTCTCGTTTCTACCCACCCCGTTGCCTGTTGAGCAGCAACGTATATCAACTCTTAATACCAATTCCCTAGATCCTCACGTTCGGCTGGACCGGCAATCGATGAGCAGAGATCCATAACCACTTCGCCAAGTCGAATATACCTAATATATCAAGCGAAGGCTGGACCTTGCAGGCATGAGTACTCTACTGCCAACTGTTTATCAACAACCAGCCCGGCTGAGCCGCGCTCGGCACCTTAATACTATTCTTGAGGAGAAGGAGGACTCACACCACTCGGTCAAGAGCGACAGTGAAGGCGATGGAAGTGATACGACCATCATCGGTCGTCCGGCAGCATGGGACCCCAAACTATTCACAGCCGCTCCTCGCAAAAGCTCTCTGGCAACAACGACAACTTATCCTCCTTCCCCGGTCTCTTCTGACTCGTGTGGCCCTTCTCCTGCAAGCAGTGCTGGTGAAGGCATTCATCGGCAATCTATCAGGAGCTCCTATAGTGGCAGTGAATCCGGCACAGTCTTTAGTGATGACTGCCCATCTCTCGCCAGTGATCCGACAAGCTTCGCCACCGAATCCAGCAGGAACAGTCTGGTTAGTAACAGATCCAGCCGCAACAGGTATCCGGCGCTATTGATTCCTTCGGACTCCTGGGATTCATCCATGGGAAGTCCCATCAAAGAAATCAGTATGGGTATGTCACCTGCTACCAAGATTCGACTCTCACCGACAGTCCTGTCCGCCTTGTCAAGAGCTGTCCCGGCCTTTAACGCGCCACCATCTCTAGGTGACAGCAACAGTACCACCTCGGAATCCCCCTGTGTGTCTGGCCAAAGCGGTCCTGTCACACCAGACATGAGGCATCAACAATTGACCGAAGGCCAAAGTTGGGGTAATATGCCGGCCAGAGCTATACAACAACAGCACCTCGAAATTGCTCTCGGTGACGGCCACAGTATTCTTCTGTCACCTGCAGAGGCTCATTCTGCTGGTGGCCCGTCCAGCCTTCGATCACCAGTTGACTGGACCGACATGGTTGTCAGTTTCCCACAGGTTCCTGGAGCAACACCTCAAGACCTGTCCCCTTTGATGCCTACAATCGCCGAGTTGAAGGGACTCGACCAGAAACCCACTTCTGATGGCTCTGATGTCGGTGTAAGACTACCCCTTGAGGCTTTGCAGACCTTGCAACAAATCTCAAGGCAAAGAAGTCCCGACGAAGTTTCCAATCCTTCCTCTGGTGGATCACGTCCTTCCAAAAGAACTGGGAGAGGACAAGAGATGCGGGAGCTGTCAGAGCCAGGCACCATCAGCCGGCCTCGTAGTGCAGACGGTGTCACCCCAGTTTCAGATTACAGCTTTTCCCAGCTAAGCATACCTTCTCCTGGTGGCTTCTTTTCGTCTTTACAAAATGGTTCTCGTCATACCTGGTGCCTCAGCAAACCGAAAGGGCCCAGCGTCCCAAGTACTGCCACTGCCGAACTATTCTACAACCGACCTTGGGAGAATTCTAGCTCAAGCAATGTGGTCGAAACAGTCCTTGCTGTAGAAGACACCACGATGACCGAGGGACCTCCTACCGCTCGTCAAGCCACATTCAATCTATCAGATGGAACGACATCCAGCAGAAGACGTAGTCTGCAGTCAGAAGATGATGACCTGTATGGCTCCGGAGTTGTTGAAAACAACCCCGAGGAAAATATCAGCGCAAGCTTCGAGTACGATGAAAACTATGGGGCTGATCTTCAGCATTCAGCAGGAATGTATTTGGATCGAACTGGTTCATGGCTTGCAGCACAGACGGGGTACATTTCGTCCTTGCTTGGTGAAGACCCAGATTTGGAATTCCAGAAAGAGGCTAGGGCATCTACAGTGGATGAAACCGCAAAGGTCGCCCGCCGAACAGTTCAATTTTCAAACCAACCCAAACTCGATGTCGCTGTTGTTATTGACGGAGATAACAAGTACAGCCCAGAAAGTGAGCCCGAGGCGAAGGAGCCTATCTTCCTTGCTGCTTTCAAGCATCTCGTGGCCAATCGCAAACGAAGAGATGCATTCATCCATGCAACTTCTCGTCTGGAGGCTGTTCAGTCTGCCCGCATTGCTTTTCCTGAGAAGCATGTGACAAATCTACTGGGACAGCACACGATGGTTGAGCCTAGCAGGCCAAAGTATGCTGGTCCTTTCAGTCAAAACCCACGTCAGACTGGCATCTTCGATCGCACTGCGGAGCAGATGGCTTTCAAGACGCTTGAACGTGAGCAGGCTGCCTTAGTTTCTCTCGAGCCCTCAAACTGGCAAGTTGATGCTTTGAGAGCATTATACCATGGCCGCCTCCTGGCATCAAACGAAGCGTGCCAGAGACTCAAGCAAAAATCAACAATACCTCTGGACGATCCCTCCTGCGTTGGAAACAAACGCATACGCATTCTGGATATTGGTGGAACGTCCTCTGCATCTTGGGCTTGGAACGCTGCTTATGAGTGGCCGAATGTCAAAGTCTACACCGTTGTCACAAAACAGCAGGCACAATCTCAACGTCCTTCTGGGATGCCAAAACCTGAAGCACCACCTAATCATCGGACTGTATCTGTCCCTCATCTCTGGCAATTGCCCTTCCGCAGTGGTCATTTCGATGTTGTCTCTGCTCGTTCATTGCATGTACTTCTGAAGAACAATCCAGTTCCCGGAGTGCCTGAAATTGATGAGTGGGAAATGACTCTGCGTGAATGTATGAGAGTGCTCAAACCAGGCGGATACCTAGACTACATGATCATGGACTCGACCATTGCACACGCAGGTCCAAGGGGAGAAGCCATGAGCGTCGAATTTGGCTTCGAGCTTCACCGTCGTGGCTATGAGAGAGAGGCTGCTAGAAGCTGGCTGCGAAGATTAAAGAAAGAGGGCTTTGTAGGGGTCAAACGAGCTTGGATGTTCATGCCTATGGGTAGAAAGCCAATCAGTGAGGCCGACGAACAAATCCATGGCTATACTGGTGGATGGCAGACTTGGCGACAAGGAGCAAAACCATTTGTCCCTGCACCTCGTCCTATCAGTGAGGTTTCCACCATCAGCAAGATTGTCAAACAATACATGGATGTCGAAGCAGTGCAAGGTCCTGTAGGGACCACAGAAGACGTCGCTGATCTCACGGGGTTGTTGGGGGCAAGGTTGTGGGAGGAATGGCTTGTCAAAGTCCGATCGGAGTCAGGTCGAGAACAATCCCGCTGGCTCGAAGGCGTGGATGAAGTAATCGAGGAAGGACGAGAGCAGGGATCTGGGTGGAAGATGCTCATCGGCTGGGCGAGAAAGCCCAAGGTCGAGAAGGGCCCCAAACCTATGCGTGCGGAAATCACTATCGGGGTGGAAGATCTAGAAGAACTAAGCTCTTCTGGGGATGAGAAACTCGAGACCATGGAAATGGGCATGATACCGATGTTGATTGAAGAATGATCAGACGAGACAAACAGCTGAAAGAAGAACTCATAATACCCCCGGAGACGGACACACTCAGAACAAAGAAACGATTTTCCTTTCCTCGAGGTCGGCTTGCTGCATTAGCGAAAAAAAGGAGTTTGCTTTCTGGTGGTGGGTGTTGGGCAATACTAAGAACTTAGTACTAAGTACTAAATAGGTGTTTGATTTGGATGGAGCGACTGACATGCGTACCCAGCGGAGGATCACCGGGTGTCTTGCAAGTGTCTTTCATGTTCGTTTTTATATCGATCTTTACTGAATGTAGATAAGTAAGTACTAAGTAATCACCTTCGCTTTTCCTTTTCTTTTGAGACGGATTGCTCTGAAATGGACGACGGAATGAGAGAGGATGGGGACAGGAGATAGTTCAAGTTGTTGAGCACTGAGTACAAAGTATCAAGTACTTAGGTAACTAGTACTATATAGTAGTAGACAGAGGTTTGTAGTTCATGATAATGACAAAAAATGTTGGGCGTAATTGCTCCTGGTTTTGTCTGACTTGGTAACTAGTACTTAATAAGTACTCGGGTGCTCTCCCCTTGGATAACTTTCGTACTGGACTACTAATGTTTCCTAGAGTGTCCACACCATCCTTCAGATTACCACCACCCGCGACAGGTACATCGCCCACAGAATCGTGTGGCCTAATACTAGTAGATTCCAACGTAGACAACAAGCAATCTCCTCGTTGTCAGGGTGAATCCTATGAGCCATAGTCAATCAGCTATCTGCAACACCGCATGCTTACCCTGGCTCATTAGTATTGAGTGTCTCTCGGGTGTTCCTGCTCTGCTTACCATTTTAGGTAAGCAACTTATGTAATTTGGTCTGCCCCTCCCCGTTGGGTGCCCCTCATCACTGCCGTCATCAGACCCAGCAGCGAACAAAAAGTTGTGTAGTACCCAGCCCGAACGAGCCTATCTGGAAACAGCGGACAGCTTCCTGTAGTGGTAACCACCTAGGTGATGACTACGAAGTAAGGTAGGACTCTGCAACATCAGGTTAACTCGACAATTCTGTTCTACATTCTTCTTCCTCTCTTAGTTGCATCAGTGTCTCCGTCGTCTCTCATTATTGATCTTGGAGGTCCTCATATTCGTTGATCCTGTGTGTTCCGGAAATATATTCGGGGGTTTGAAGATTTTATATCACTGTCTTCCTCCCACGCATAAGTGCTTAGTACTTAGTACTTGGTTATCGATCGGCTTGATGTTTGATTCAGAAACCAACTACTGAGTAGCTTCAACCACCACCTCATCTCGTCAACCATGACGACACCACGATGCTTCATTGTCCGCCACGGAGAAACCGAGTGGTCGCTAGATGGACGACACACAGGCACAAGCGATATTCCATTGACATCAAATGGAGAGAAGCGAGTACGAGCTACAGGCCGGGCACTGGTTGGCCCTGATAGATTGATTGTGCCGAGTCAATTGGTTCATATGTAGGTTCAATATCTCCTGCCAGTGGCTCTTACCCCGTCCGGCCCCAGACCTGGCGATCCCCTATGAATGAAGAATGAAACGGTACAACAGAACCACTGTGAGCTTTGTGCTAGGAAGATCAAGACAACGAAACATTGAAATCATGTTATGCCTGCCACTTCAGACAGAGAGTTCTACTAAACAAAGCCCCGGCAATAAACAGCTATGTTTCACCCCGACACCGTGCCCAACGCACTGTCGAGCTTCTCAACCTAGGCTGCCACGATCCATACCCATGGCAAACTGCATCCAGCGGCGACAGCGCGACCCAAAAGCCCGCCGAAGAGCCATCGCCGCACCACACGACCGCGCCAGTAACCATAACCCCGCGCATCGCCGAATGGGACTATGGCGACTACGAGGGAATTACATCGGCGGAAATCCGCTCACGTCGCAAGGCCGCAGGCCTCGGGCCCTGGGACATCTGGCGCGACGGATGTCCCGGCGGAGAGAGCCCAGAGGACATCATCGCGCGCGTCGATGATTTAATCGCCGAGATCCGCGAGAAGTACCACAAGCCGGTCATTGGGAAGCCGAAGCAGGACCATGTCACGGGCGATGTAATGGTCGTGGGCCACGGACATATTCTCCGTGCGTTCGCCATCAGGTGGGTTGGGAAGCCGCTGACCGAAACGGCGTTGATCATGGATGCTGGCGGTGTCGGCACCCTGAGTTATGAGCATCATAGCATTGAGGAGCCGGCGATTTTGTTGGGCGGTGGCTTTGTGGTTGGTGATTGAGTTCACTCGAGTGAGTACACCAGTATTACCTACATACTTAGTATTCGGGGGCTTAATCTCGACTGGGTGCGCAGGATTGGTATGAATGCGAGATAGTTACTTAGATACACCGCGTTCTTGAATGTATGTTGCTTGGAAACTTGTCGTCGGTGGGTTTTAGAAAGATGACTGCCGGCCGGGGATTTATTGAGCAAATATATATTCGCCGATGCCGGGATCCATTCTTGTCACACGCACGGTGATCAAAAGAGATATTCGGGTTCCATGACCTTTCGTTTCAAACCCCGAGAGGATACCGGCGATCGAGGGACATACTAAGTATCTATCTAGCTAGAATCTCTGGAGCTCGCTTTTAAATCTCGTCGCTCACATATTGACCGGAGGGGGGGGGCCGAAGATTGGCCGAACGAACGATCCGCGGTGACGGTGTGAACTGTCCAAGCACGATTACAAGCCCAGCATACTAGTGTTGCTGGAAACATGGAGGATTAAAGTACCTCGAGCGTGGACCGGCGACCGTCTTTGGCGCAGTAATGAAATTCCCCGTAGACCTTTGTGAGATTCAACTCTATCGGCGAAAGAAATACTCGCCGACCTACCGTTTGTCCTGAGAATCAACGTTTGCATCCCAGGCACAACCAGCATCCCTTTTTTTCGCCAACTTGTTCCATCTCACCAGCCACTGACAACACCAGTCGGCGCCTCATCTTCCAGCGGCGGTCCCATTCCCCAATCGCCGCTGGACTGCATGGGCGGGCTGCATGGCTTGAGCGGAGGCGTCGGTGGTTTGTCATTGCTGTAGGACACCGAGGTGGTCCCTCCTCCGACAACTCCACTCCCGATGGTCTGGATCTTCGGTGCTGCTGTCGGAGTGCTCCAATCTAGAGCAACTGGACCTGCGGCGGTTGCCATGCTGGCAATGTATTTGGCAGTCTCGTCGGCTTCTTCTTGTGCCTTTGGTTTTCCGGTATTGCTCTGGCCGTTGGGTTTTGTCGTGGCATCATTGCTTTCTTGTTGGCCGTCCCAGCCTGCGCCTCCTCCGGAGTTGTTGTTATTATTATTGTCGTTGTTTGCGGGGCTGTCGTTCCAGCCTGACGCTCCTCCGCCACTGTCGTTATTGTCCCAGCCATTCCCGTTTGTGTTGTTGTTGTTATTCCCACTCGATCCCCAGTTTTGATCAGCCGAGCTCTGTTGATTGCTTGAGTTGTTGCTTGTTCCGGTCTTGATACCCAGACCTGGGCTCGAAACTGCTCGGCCTGGTGGCAGGCTATATTTGAGGAAGGGAACCTCAGGTGGGGCGACGGGAACTTGCTCGAACAATATTAGAGGAGTCTCGACTGTTGTATCTTTTGGTGACGGAGCTGGAATCTGTCCGCCCAATGCACCTTTGGCTCGGAGCACCATCTGGATGAGTTCGGCCTTGTCTAGCTGCTCCAATGCATTGAAGTGCTCGTCGCCAGTTGGCTCAGCAGTGATTTCGATGCCGGTCTCACTCTTTATCTGCTCTTTGGTGCGATATTTGAAAACGAATCTTGCATACGGCTCGTCCATTGTGTCGATGTATATGGGGGCACATCTTTTCTTATTGTAGATGTACCCCTTCCCAGGCTGAACTTGTTTTGAAGTTCCTCTGTCCTTTGCAATGGCTTGTGGAACGTCATATCGCGGTTCCTCTTCTGCATCGGCAGGGACATCATCTGCAAATACCTTGGGGGTAAGGTAAGCGCCATGTGGTCCATACAAAGATCTCAGACCGTTGTTCACTGGTGTTAGAGTTGATACAGCATTGTCATTCGTGTTGGTGGCTTGGTTGTCGTTCCAGTTGTCAGGCTGAGGCTTGCTGTCCTGGCCATTATCTGCCCAGCCGCCACCGGTGTTGTTTTGGGTTGCATCTTTGTTGTTGTCCCAATTTTGTTCATTGCTATTCTGGTTCTCATTGCTGGTATCCCACCCATTTTCGTTATTGTTTTGGTTGCTGTTGTCATTTCCCCATCCACCTCCGCTTTCATTCTGGTTAGTGTTGTCGTTATTGGTATTGCCCCATCCATCTCCATTAGTGTTCTGATTGCTGTTGTCATTGTTGACATTGGCCCATTCATCTCCGTTGTTGTCTTGATTGCTGTTGTCGTTATTGGCATTGGCCCATTCATCTCCGTTGGCGTTTTGATTGTTATTGGCAGTGTCATTGGCAGTATTGGCCCAGCCATTGCCATCGTTAGTCTGGCCACCACTGTTATTATTCCAATCATCGCCATTGTTTGTCTGAGTATTATTCGAATTGGTATTCGCAGTGGTATTTTGGTCGTTGCTCGGGTTGCCCCAAGCATCAGGGGCTGCGGAAGAGTCGTTGTTTCCTGTGGCTCCAGATCTGGGCACATCTGCACCAGAAGTATTGACAATGTTCGTTGCTGCTTCACCGCCTGACGTATGCTGCGGGACGCTCTGATCAACAGAAGGCTGGCCGAACCATGGGGTTGGCGGTGTAGGGAAAAATGGCGCAGGATTTGGTGCAGGGCAGATTGGTACTCCAGTGACTGGATGTGGAATCGGAATGAGACTTGGAGGGATCACTATGGGAATAGGCTGAGGATGCATGGGTGGCTGTGCAGCAACCCAAGGGCCTTGTTGAACATGGAAAGCGGGATGATTGGGTGGGCGGTGAGCATATCTGGGTTGGTGACCAAAGCTTTGGATATGCTGGTAACCTGGATGGCCTAGATACGCACTGGGGTGTAATGGCATACGACCATGACCATCTGCTGGCCACTCGCCGCCGTTCATCTGGCTATGAGCGGGATACCCATGGTAGGCACGAGTTTCCGCATCATATGTATAATGATTGTCAGAGGGAAGGGCATAATCTGCATGTGTGTTTGGAGTTCGTAGGTGTGTTTGTGGTCGCTGATACTCCGAAGTCACTCGATCATACGCATTTGGTGGATTACCTTGCCATGTAGGTCGGTCGGGCTGGTGTGGGATGTGATCGTAGTGGGGCTCAGGAGGGATATTGGGATTTGCATGATCAAAGTGAGCCCTCCGATTGGGTCCGCCAGGTCCATAGTCAGCGCCTTGATGTGGTGGATATCTTTCACGGGTGAAAGTTTTCTGGCGGGAAACGTTGATAGGTTCGGGTTCAGGACGGTAATAATGAAGCTGAGAAGGTCCTTGTTGGGGTGCATATGGAGGGCCAGCTGATCTATGAGGATCGTAGCGTTCGTAAGCATTTCCAAGCTGTGGCCAAATTTGAGGCTGATACCCATTCGAAGGCGGAGGCAAATGGCGGCCATAGGAACCAGGAGGATAATCCGAAGGACCATCGAAAAGACCGAATAAACCACCTAGACCTGCATCCTCTTGTTCAAGTTCCTGATCATCTATCAGTGGCCCATTGGTCGGACCAGCTTGATTTGCAACCTCCTCGGTGGGGTTCAGATCATCGAAATGCAGTAGGCTATGTTCACCGGAGGAAGGCGATGACATCTCAGCTTGGATTGGGTTGCTTGCCTTGCATCGCAGAACCAGAACTTCAATGGTGCCTAATTCATCAAAGTGGCGCTGATTGACACCGGGTGGAAGGGTGGAGACTGTAGCACATTGGTTAGCTGAATTTTGAGCTGAAAATCGATTGAGCCATCAAACCAATGTTGTGGTCATCAAAGCGCCATTCACGACCCATGTAAGTCCCATCGCCCATAGGTTTTTCCTTCTGTCTGACAATGAAATCAACCTCGGATCTGTCTTGAGGAAGATCTTTCTTGTGTGGCTGTAAATTGACTCTGTTACGGTTGCACTGATAATTGCCATCAATGTAGACAATCATGGCTAGACCTTCACAGATGAACCTCCTCGACGTCAGTCTGATTGTGAAAGCTTGAGGATGACTGGGGATTGCAATGTAAGTTTCGACGACACTATCGCCATACTGAGTGGCATATTCTGGAAAAGGAGAACCAGTGTTGGCCCACTGAATGACACATGCGAGATCTTTGAGAGTAGGCATGTTGATGACGAGAGGATGATAAGAGGAAGATGAGAAAGTGGACACTGATGAGAAGATCAGGATAAATGTGGAATGCGGTTTGCTGGATCTGGATGGAAAAGTTCAACAAGATCGAGTGATTTAGGTTGAAGCGACTGGCAGTCAAGACAAAAGAAACATCACTCGAGGCAGTATCAGGCAGAAGTAACTCAACTCCCGGTCGTAGCGACAATGCCCTTGAGGTCGCCACATACCTGATCCAGAGAGGTGACATGTTAGTCCATGCTTCTAGACTAAGAAGCGCGCCTGGCTCAAATCGTAGGTAATATAACTTAGCTTGAACATTCGGAACGGAGCGTGATCATTGACACTCATCGTTTGCGTTGTTGAGTGTATGAGCCCAGCGACATGAGACGCAGAAAGTATGCAAACTCCATCTGACGATAGGGATTCTGCATGATCACGTGAGACCACCAAGCAGGACGAGGCCGTGCAAGGCTGAGAGCATATCGGGAATAGCGTCCGCCCTATTTCAAAGGACAGACAAGGCCAGACAATCCCTCTGGAATCTCGTTTAAAGGAGGGACAGACCGGACCACTTTTGGCACATGTTCATACCCACACCTACACTCGCATAGGAGTTGTACACGCTATCACTTGTCAAAATCAACATTACGTCTTTCCCTCCTGTGCTCCTCTACTTCTGCTTCCACCCACCGTCTGCTGTCATCCCTCCAGCGCCAGCGCAGCCACCATGTCGGCCAGCAAAGCCCAATCGTCGAAGATCTTCGAGAAGCTGAAATCCAAGCCTGCCAACAAAGTACCATATCCTCCTCTCCTCTGCGCTATGCTCACTCATGACTGATACTTCTATCCCACAGATCTGTTTTGATTGCGGCCAGAAGAACCCAACATGGTCTTCAGTCCCCTTTGGCGTTTATCTATGTCTCGACTGCTCCTCCAACCATAGAAATCTTGGTGTCCACATCTCTTTTGTGAGGTCTACCAACCTCGATGGTACGCGGCAATAACATATTCCTATGAGATCATTTTAAGTCTGACAACTCTAGTCTGGCAATGGGCGCAGTTGCGCACCATGAAAGTCGGAGGCAATGAATCCGCTACGAAATTCTTTCAATCCAATGGTGGTTCCGCCGCCCTTGCTAGTAAAGATGCAAAGGTGAAATATACTTCCAACGCTGCCAACAAGTACAAGGAGGAACTGAAGCGCAGGTCTGCACGAGATGCTGAAGAGTACGTCCAGTCATCAACCTCGAATCCCCACACTTTTGCTTACCGCATTTAGATATCCCGAGGAAGTGATCATCACCGACGAAGTCCTGGCGACCCCTGGAGAAGGCACAAACACCCCTGCCGGCGAACCTGCCGATGACTTTTTCTCCTCATGGGACAAGCCCACCATTAAAAGACCCAGCAACCCTCCTTCTCGTTCAGGCACTCCCCCAGTTGTGTCTCGAACCGCCTCTCCTTTCCTATCGGCAGGCCCGCTCAACGGCGCTCCAAGACCCAAATCTCCCTCACCTCTCGCCGCCAACAGCGACGATGCTGATAAGCCTCTACCAGCACCCACCGCCATCCGCACCACATCTGCGTCTGCGATTCGTAAAGGGCCCTCTGCGGCTGCGGCCAAGCGTACCAACGTCCTCGGTGCGAAGAAGACCCAGAAACTTGGTGCGAAGAAAGTCGGTGGTGACGAAATCGACTTTGAGGCAGCAGAGAAAGCTGCCAAAGCAGAAGCCGAGCGGATAGCCAAGCTTGGGTATGACCCAGAAGCCGAGAAAGCGGAAGATCTGGCGAAGACACGCTCCATAGGCCTGGCTACAAAGGAGGCTCCTGCCCCAATTGCTCCTCCCAAGGCTGGTAATGCTTCAAGTGCCACACATGGTCGAAGTCCAAGCGAGGTAGAACGATTAGGCATGGGAGTTCAAAGATTAGGATTTGGCCAAATTGGAGCAAGCAAAGGAGCTGCATCGAGTGCACCTGCACCCAAGAAACTCGGGTTTGGAAGTGTTGGTGCTAGCAAGGCTGCTACCGAAGGTGAGTTCTCATTTACAGTCTATTCCTATGCTCCATCTACCTCTCTCTTATCCACGACCGCAACCAAAGCACCCACTGACGTACCCTACAGACGACGACGAGAAATACGCACGCGAGAAATTCGGCACTCAAAAGGGCATTTCGTCCGACGAGTTCTTCGGCCGCAACGCCTTCGACCCCAACGCACAAGCCGAAGCCAAGACACGTCTGCAGGGCTTCGACGGCGCGACCTCGATCTCGTCGAACGCGTACTTCGGCCGTCCCGAGGACGACCTCACTGGCCTCGAGGGCGGCGACTACGGCGACATCGAAACCGCCGCCAAGGACTTTGTGCGCCGCATGGGTCTCACCGCCGGCGACGATCTCGAGAATCTCATCAATGTCGCCGGCGAAGGCGGCAGGAAGCTGCGGGGCGCGGTTGCGCGGTACTTGAATAGTTAGATGGTGGTCCCTTTTTTTGCTTTGCTTGAGATTCATGCAACCGCTCGCTTGCTGGTGCCATCTATCTCTGTGTGCTAAAGACGCAATAATATAGCGAGGACGTGGGTTTCGAGCGAGTGTGTGGCAAAGGAAAATACTACATACTCATCCACCAGCAATCCCACCGAAGGTGTTTTTCCGTCTTTCTTGCTAGGCTAGTGAAAGTTGTCGCAATGAATGTTTTGACGTCGTTGAACTTTGAGCCACTACTAGAGCTGTGAATTAGATTTCAGACCAGGCAAGAATGCACATCTGGTTAGTGAGTGAACAGTCATGTTGAATAGTGATATGCACCTGAAACTAAACTTTGATCCCTCCTCGGGCTGCTATCATTGTTACCATTCGGGCATGGAAAATTTACCAGACTGGTAGGATGCGGATTAGATAAGACAACAAAGGTGTTGAGCCCACCGGAAATGTTACAGTCAGCACAGTCAATTAATTCCAATTCATTTCGATTGTGCTATAAACTAGTGAATTGAGTTAAAACACACATCCAGCATTGCTTGCTACTCCTTGAAACCGCCTTCCATCTGTCGAAGTTGCATTACCAATCATAGCACCAGCTCAACTCCCTTCCAGCTGACAGGTGGAAGGGATGGAGTGACCCAATGCTCATGACTGTTTATCGACCGTTCCAGCCATCAGTCCATCAATTTCTTCCATTTCAAGCACAGTGGTGGCAAAAAGCATAAACATGTCCCAAAGTCGACATTCCCTTGTAGCCTGACATTTCTGCCCGTGGATAAAGGTCTGTCGGATCCGTACATGAAAAGAGTGTGAATCTCTAATTCAGGTAGAAAGTCAAGTAAAGGAAAGAGTACAGTAATAGTCGATGGAATCATCCATTAAAGAGTATTCCCATGTTCCCATCGAGTGTATTTCATCAAGGGGTTGGACTGGAGCATACTATGCGATTCAGTCTTTTGGGTGGTCATCAAATCGTGATGAAATGAGTGGCTGAGTCTACCAAGAGAACTCGATTGTGGACGGGCACTGCCCGGTTTGTAACATCATTCTTCACATAACAACACTCTTGCGTTTCTCAGCGTTACTGAGAACGAGAAGAGGTGTATTGCGTCGTGCTGGCTCAACCTCAACATAAGGTCCACCAATGGCATTTCCCTCATCACCGCTGAGGCTTTTGGCGTCAATGGAGGATCGCTCACGGGACTTCTCCTTGATCTCAGAGCCAATCGCACCACTAGCCACAGCTCGGAGGCTACCAAGACTGGGTCTGCTAGACAAGCTAGTGCTCCCTGCCAAGCTGGAATCATTGTCGGACGAGACAGAAAAGTTGAACTCATTCTCACTCCCAGGAGTGCCAGCTCCAGAGCCGGATTGACGACCATCGCTGCGGCGCTCACGTCCAGCCCGGACCAAGTCATGAACAGCACGACGACGTTGACGAGTGGCAAAGTTCTTGCTACCCTCGTGCTTAGAGGTAGGCTTCTCTTCAAGCTCTTGCAGAAGTGGAGGACCCTTGGGTTGTCTCACTGGGTGCTCTCCTGCTCGACCCTGTCCTGGTCCGAACGATCCCGTCAATGGAGTCTGAGGAGCATTTCCTGTTCGCAACACTGAGCCTTTGGTCCATTCACTAGTAGTTTTGATATTGGCAGAGGACATGTTCTTTCTGTGGCCTCGACGGAAAGCGTTGGCGGAAGGAGGTGGTAAGGGCACAACCTCCTGTTGGGGAGATGGAGTTGACTTGGGAGGGGTCCTTGAGCGAGACTCTGTCAAATGGATCGAATTATCCGAGTATTGACGTTGATAATTTGGCTGGACGGGTGGCGGTGAAACAGAGCTGTTACGGCCTTGTGGAGAGACTTCTTGCTGTTGCTGATGAAGGGCAGGATCAACAACAAAGCTCGATTGACCAGTCATGGGATTGTAAACAGAGAATACGCCAGGGCTGCCAGGAACCGGTTGAACTATTGGTTGAAGACCGTGTTGAAATTGTTGATTGTACAGGCTCATGGGAGAAGTGATTGGTGATGGCGACTGAAATTGCTGGCCGGGGTTACCCAACATGCCAGTGTTGAGATTGAGACCATTGAACTGCTGAGCAGCAGCAGTGACACTCAGTAGCTGCTGCTGAAGTGCACGCTGTTGATGAGCGAGATAGTTGTTGGTGGCTATCAATTCATCGTAAAGATGTTGATCCATGTTGTCATTTCCATTATTGAAGTCAATGGCAGGAGGAGCGAGAACTTCTGGAAGCGAGTAGCCCTGGAAGCTGCTCATGGAGTGACGGTTTCCAGGAAAGTACATGCCAGTTGAGGTTTGGGGAGCACGACTGGCGTGCTGATTGGCAGCATACCTGCTTCCCTCGAGGCCCAGACCCTGATTGGCAGGAGGGACCGTGGCCGACTTTGGGGCTGTCCTCAAGCCGGCCAGAAGATGACCACGGCTTGTACGAGGGGTAGAACTGATATTGGCTTGCTGAGTTTCATCGATGGTTGAGATCTTTGGAGGAGGGGCAACGCTCAGACGCTTGATATGGGAGCCTTTGCCGCGAGAAGCGAAGCCAGGACCAGAAACGCCAATAGGGTTATTGAAGGGAGACTGGTAAGTCATTTGAGCAACACCGCCAGCGTCGATGCTCATTTTAGTCTAGAATTTAATCAAGGAATTGATGTGCAGGCTGTGGACCGTAGATGTTTAAAGTCGAATGAACGCTTGGACCAAGCGAGCTGAGAACAAGACAGGAATATAGGAGTGTCAAATCTGGGGATGACGTTTGAATCGAATAGACCGTTATGGTTGAAAATTAGGAAAATTAGGAAAGTCGTAGAGTTATCGCAGTCGTGTCGTGGTATGTATGTAGTAGTAATTCAATTTCGAGTAGTTTCCGAGTAAAAAGGAAGGATCTAAAAAGGGTGAGTGCTCGATGAGACTGGTCTCTGCCTAGATGTGAGGGTCAGTTCTGTGTCAAGACAAGTCCCGGGTCAGAAGGTGAAGTGTACCAACAAGTTCAGCCAGCTGTGGCAGTTGAGCAATGAGCGAAGGCTAGCAGATGCTGAGGACAGGTGATTGAATGTACAGGTCGGACGATCTGTGAGATCTTGTTTGGTGAGAGTGGGACGTGGGTTGGACCAGACAAAGAGAGTTGGTGGGGATATTGCGCGGCAATGATCGAATTGAGCTTTTTCGTAGTTGGGACAAGTATAGACGATTATGAGTTATGTTTTTGGGCACTGAAGGCTGAGTGAAAATAGACGAGTATGGTTGAGCAAGGAGCAGTTGTAACTAGTTTCGCGGACCAAGATGGGACGGACGAGGAAGGGCGACGTGGGCTCTAGGTGGAAAGAGATTATTTGCCGGGGGCTCGGGAGGTAAGGAAAGTCGAGAGCGTCGGAAGGTCGACGACGAGGACGAAGGTGATGACACGAAGACGAGGGAGGTGAAGGGAAATAGTGACGATGGAGGATGAAATGATGGTAGAAGGATGTGGGAGGAGGAGGAGGAGGAGGAGAAAGAAATTGAATAAGGAATGGAAGAGTGGTGAGTGGTAGAGGAGACTGCGGTGAACTACGGCCACAGGCACAGGCGCGATTGGCACTGTCGAGCACCTGGACTGGGGGGTGGAGTGAGGGACGAGGGGACGGGAAGGGGGCACGAGTGCCTAGAAACCACCTGTGACAGAGTGCCAAAAACAAAGTTGAGGCCAGGCGAGGGATGAGTGGTTCAGAGGTGCAGAGGTGCAGACGGGCTGCAGACTGACCTGCAGAGAAACAGCGTGCATCAGTCTGATCAGTCTGGAAGGGGGACACGCTTGAGGCTGCAGTCCTGCAGATCAACAGACACTGACCGATACCTCGGGCTCGGGAGTGGCCACGACTGGACTGCATGCACTAAGGAGGCGCCTCCAACTAGGGCCACCGGCACCAAACGACCACTTGTATCGTGGCATTGGCCCAGACCATTCGTGGGAACCGTCACGCTTATCGGTCTTGGGTTTAGCCTGGAGATATTTTCATCTTTGGCTTCATGTACGAGCAAACCATGCTCCCAAACAGAAAACTAGAGGGTATCACGCTGTTTACGAGCAAGACGTTACTTCCGGTTCTACTGCCAAAGACTCTTTTCAATTCTACTTCTGTTGACGGGGAGAGAATACCTACCGAGTAACCACAAGTACCCTTGCACACATGCACTGCTAATAATATGCAAGTTCCAAGTTGACCAGACACCCCCCTGATTCATTCGGATACCCATCCTAAGTTTGAGTAGCACTTCACCGGCGGTTTCAACTCTCATCTCCAACAAGGCCCGGCCCTCATCTTCGAATTGGTCTTCTATCGCCCCCCCAATCCTAATGCCCCTAACTAACCTCAATTGAGACTGAACATTTCTCAGCAGCAACAAGCTTGAATGTCAACACACACAATCCCCTAGTCTTAGTAATTATTATTCTGTTGACCATGACTACAGCATAACATTATTCACTCACTGCATGCTCAGCTCATATCAGCCATACGAAGGCAATATAGTCCCCAATTCGTATCTATCTTTGCCCCCCTTCAAACCATTTGCTCCCACCAGACCAGATGACCCGAAACATATTCAAACATTCCGGGAGATTCCTCACTCAGCGTGCTTACACCCGCATCTCCAAGACATATCCATACTAAGACTCGAAGACAAGCTAAGCAACTGTCGCCAGGAGATTGCACGTTAAGCCAATCCGCCGGGAAAAAAGAGGGGCCCTGGACCAAAACACGCGTAGCAGCGCGTGTCAAGTGGACACCTAGGTAGGCGGACGGAGAACACTTCTGCTTCCTCGCTTACACGCATCTCATCATTCATGTTATTCCCCCCTGGACAGCCTGGAACCTGCACTGCGTTCCCTAACGGTATAATCATTTATCGTAGCTCGATTACCGTTCGGCAACGGAGGATGAATATCATTTGTATAAGTTTCGGCAAATTCGTTTGGATTGCCAGTTCATGTTCTTCGTGCTTCCCAAGCTACGAGTACGAACGACCTAACTTATCCGTCTTATCGTGCAGCGGTGGCCGCTACGATAACCGGGAATTGAAAAAAGACCCAGTTGACCAAGGATATCGGATGAACTTGCTTGAGCTACCGCAACGTGGCAGCCAGGTGCCGACGGTGGCTCCAACTTTGAGCTCGGCGAGCGGCCGATTCTTTAACGGTTTGTTTACTCGTACCTTCGTGTTCAAGCCCTAAATCTAATAAGTAGGTTCTTTTTGGTTGACACTCGATTGCTTGGAGACTGACGAAAACCAATGTACCAAAGTCCTCGATATGACAAGAATGATAATAAGTAGTGGTGATTTTATTTCTCAGCTGTCGTAGTAATCTACCAAGCTCGGTGCATTATCATGGTGATGTTCTTTCTCCAGCCATAAATCTACAATATTTTGCCTCTTTTCGAGCCTGTCTTGTTTGTACATGCACGCAAGATCCCATCATTGTGCTTTGCAATAATGGATTTACGAGCTTGAATCCCACTCGTCTTCAGCGGATGCGGTATGCGGTGTTTTCAGCAAATCAAAGCCCTCCTACTTCTCCGTCTCATGTTCGATAACACCTACTTGTCCTCTCGCATCATGGGCCGCTCGGGGGAGTAGATCTCCTTCGGGGACTGCTGACTCCTCGACTGGTGGGGGTGTTGGGTTTCTTATGATGGAAGAGGGTGCGTCGTCAACGAACTCGCTCTTCAACGATGAAGGTGGTGAAGCGGTTGTTTTGCTCTCGGATGACGGTTGATCCTGAGTCCCTGAAGCAGGACCCTGTGACGAAGTCGCCTTCTTTTCGCTCTTTGATTTCGACTTCTTCGTAGACTTGGTGGCAGGCTTGGAAGCGGCTGGGGCAGGTTCTTCCAACAATCTGCGCTCCCCAATGCCACTCTCTCGCTGCTCTTGCTGGGCCTTCCTCTCCGCAATCTCCTTAACTAGCTCTTGTCTCTCGCCCTCCAACTCTGCATCAAGCTCCTCATCATCCTCCAGCTCACCCTTATAAACGTCCGGATGTCTCTGGAAGCACTGCTGCATATTCTGGAATTTGTCGATGCAGTCCATCCCCTTGGGCTCTTCTTGCGAGAAGACAAAGCAAGAGAACGCCTCCTTGAATTCGGGTCCGCAGGGTCCATCAGCCATGCCACCGAGGCATGGGCAGTCCCAATTGATCTCTCCAGTCTCCGGGTTGAATGCTCCCTGTTGTCCCGCCTCTTCCTCTAATGCCGCAACACCGCCGGCTCCTGCTCCGTCATCCGTGCTGAGTGGTACTTCGTGCTCACTGACCACTGTGGTCGACGCGTTTTCGGTTGAAATGGCATCAACCGCCGAATGTAATTGAGATGCATTCTTTTCTGCATTGCGGGCGCGCCGTGTAGTGAGTTCTTCTAACGATTGATGATCTTGCGTATCTTCGAGATGTTCAAGATTTGGATTAAGGAGATCTGTACAGCATCGATTAGCTTGCTGCGACTGTGGTGTGCTCGTAAAATATGAACGTACGATGTTGTGGTTGCTCAGCAAAGACCGGGCTAGTGTTGTAATAGTATATTCCTGCTACCGCGATTCCCCATCGCAAAGCACTGCTCTTCCAACTCCTCCGACCATTGACCGGGGTTGTGCTTGCGAATCGACGTCCTACGATTGTCCGTGCAGGTGCGAGGGAGCTCTGAGCTGCAGTGCGCAGCACCGTTCGGGATGCAGGTCGGTACATTTTTTGATTGTCAGGTCAGGTGGAAGCTTTGACAGGGGAATTATCAGAAGCTGTGTCGGGAAAAAGAAGGAAGGAAATCATAAACCCATTGCAAGCTGGTGAGACGCAATGTGTACACAAGATGAAATATGGGGATGCGGAAGAAGTTCGATGTACGAAATGATAGGAGGAAAGTCTGGTTCGTCCGGGTTCCGGGCAAAAGTATTTATGTAATTATTAATTGGATGAAGATTTTCGCAAGGCTGGCCCGGTCCTGTGTTAGGCCAATAATGTCTTCTTATTTGGAGCGCGAGGCTGCACTAATTTCAGCATCAATTGACCACCATTTCCTAGTGCTCTCATCCTCATTTCTACAATAGACAGCATTTGAAAGCACACTGCTTCCGGCGAACGTTAGATTACTCCGTGGATTTAGAAAGTACTTTTCACAATATGTTCCCCAGAGAACACTTCACTCCTGCACGATGACACCAATTGCCAATCCGTCTTGGAAAATTCGTCGTCCACGAATGAGCAGTTCCAACTCCAGAGCTTCTTTTCTGTTCAAATCAAGAATTAGCATCATCTACCACCACTAATATGAGAAGAGATTGATACTTACTCCACATGACCGCGATCCTGGATGACTTTATCAAATGCTTTTGCCAAACTCGCAATAACACGGGCTGAAAGTTTGATGCCGGTAAACCGTTCCCCTAGAGGTAAGTACAACCGCAATAAGACCTCCAATGAGGTCACAGCCTCCGAGTGTTGGCTTCCCTCTGAAGTCTTCACTTGGGCCAGTACAACATAAATTGGTGTCATTAGCCAAGCCGATCTGTGCGGAAAAGTGCGATCAGTATTCTGTCCCTCTTTGTGAGGTCAAAGATGGCGCTTACACGCTAAGCGGAAGATCATGAAGCTCACAGCACTCCAGTAATTTCTTCATTTGAAGTACCACCGCTGAAGAAACCTCCTTGAGCTTGTTAACGGCAACATTGTTCAATAGCCATTGCAAGGAATTGCCGCCATCTGAGACCTCGATATACTGCTCGTACAACGAGGCTCTTGTTCCACTGAGGATTTGTTACTTTTAGGTCCGAGCACATCGCATATTGCTGCGAATCGAGTACTTACTAGATCATGATATGAAGCACGTGTGCGCCCACACGTGTCCTCCCATGAATTTCCTGTCCATCCATGTCTTGGATAGCACTTTCGAAGGCATTTTTCAGCACACTGATCGACCGATCGATCATGACAATACGATCAAGAACAGGCTCTGTAGAACCTTGAGCATCGCTGCCAGCCCGCCAGTCGTCCCACCTTGAGCTGTTATGCCTCAATAGTACGATCTCGTTCATGATGACTGATAATCTGCATAGAAAGATGAATAGTGCGGCTGAGAATATCCTCGAACTTTTCACCCCCGGACTGGGTGCCCAGAGATCACCGAAGTCAGCAAGTACCGGCAGTCGACCCGATTGATACTTTTTCAATTTGTGCGGTCGATGAAGCGCTAATGATAGGGTTCGATTTCTGTGAAGACAACACCACCAAATCACCCGGTGAAAGGGCCGGGTCGAAGATTGCAGGCCACCAAGCACAGAATGACGAATGGTCTCGTCAGACCAAAAGCAATTGACTTCTATTGAAGAGTCGTATGGACTCCAGTGACTCAATATGCATGCGCTTTGGACCAGTTCGACAGAGCCTTGATGTGTATCGCGCAACGAATTGTAAAGGGAATGTGCGTGCTCGAAGAGAGCCTGTTGGCCATTTGGCACTGATGAGTAAGGGCTTTGCCGCAATTGCTCCAGATCGACGTGGGCAAATGCCGCAAATATGACAACATGAAGTAGGAGCTCGCGCAGAGGACGGTTCTTTTTCTTTCGGTCACGGCCATGGTACCATTGGTAGAAATCCACTTCGTTAATGACAGGGCAGAGAGTATGCATTGTCTGGAAATAGATCTGAAGGAGCTCCATTTCTAGTGGAGCTTTCAGATTCGTCCATGATCCCTCCCATATGTTAGCATACTCAGACAAGATCATGGTTGTTCACATACAGATGAAGGTGTGGGACGATCACTCGAATGGGGTTCGATCCCAAGCATGTCATAAGTTGGTCCAACTGCAGATAAACCAGCTTACTGGTGTTAGCTAAGCTCTCGGAACGGATGACTTGAAATGTTGCATGCGTACCTGAACGGAACAAGATATCTTGTATTTCATCAACGGATCCGTCAGGCGTGGAATCCTCCAACCCAGCCTCCTGCTCAGCGCCGGTCGTCATATCGTTGTGTAGCGCATGATCGGTGAAGAAATGATCATGGTCGTATATCTCGTGGAAAATAGGCGAGAAGCCACCGTGTAGTTCGATGGGAACAGACTCAATGTGCATAGAGTCGAACATAGGCGACGAAAGACCAGTAGGGACGGCCTTTTCATCGCTCTTACCCAGGAAATCCCATGCCAGATCCCCTCCCAAATCCACATCCATGTCTTCCGTATTCCCTGCGATTCCCCGCGAGGGATTCATCCCTCGTGTTAGCTTTATGTTGATTTCGTTTACCAACCCACGTCCTAAGTGTTCCAAACCATGCCAGTTGGTAGAATATTGTACTTGGTATTTTGCATGGGCGCCAAAGGCAAGTTTTCGCAGGTGAGTATTTGGCTTGTCCTACATTACTCTGGTCACTCGGTCGGGTATAACATGTATGTTGGAACAAGGTTTGTCAATCTCATTGCTTCAGTGACAATATGACCAGTCTGTTGAAGAGCCCCTTGGCCATGGAGTCGGCCGATACGGCCCGATGACGTTGGATTGTGTACGACTCGATGGCCTGTGTGGGACAGTTGGAGATGCCGGGGGTCAAAATCTTACGAGTGCTAGTATTTAATGCTTCAAACATAACTTTTGGTTAGCTGTTACATCAACTCCTCCGCACGAGTAACACAATACCACTTGCCTACTGGGTCTCGATGGCCTAGGTGCGAGCTACTTGGTGATCCTTCGATTCGGCTGAAGAGAAGCTTTCCATTGAGTCGATAAACAGCCAAAAGCCACTTGAGAAACCTGCGAGATGTGGCACGAAAACAAGAACAAGACCGCGCAAGAGTTATGCATTCGGATCTCGGACTTCCGATGATTCCAAAGGTTCGTATTGAACAGACGGGCCCAGAAGCCATCAATGGGAGAAATCTGGGGTAGTAGAACACGGCAAGCACCAGATCAGTCTCAACGCGTTAGGTTACGATGATTCTGCCAGTGGCAGTTTCATTAAGGCATCTTATCTACGCCAGATAACCTCCGTCGACATCCATTACGCTCCCTGTGATAAATGATGCCTCGGGACTTAGCAGGAATACGATAGCCTGTGCAATCTCACTCGGGTCTGCCTGTCGATTAATGCAAGCTGCCACTGTTGGTTGACTGTGCCCCATTTCTGCCTCCATGGCTGCAACCATAGGTGTTGCAGTTGCCCCTAACTATCGATCAGAAAGGAAATGCTCCATATTTGATCACATAACCTTACCTGGTGATATGGCATTGACTCTGAGGTTGGGATGTTCGCGGGCTGCTGTCTTTGTCAAAAGATTTACTGCAGCCTTGCTGGCACAATAGGCTCCCAGCCCAGCCATCCCAAGGTGACTGGCAACGCTACTAGCACTGACCTGACGATTTCGAACACGTTCAAAACAGTACTCCAAAGTTTCAGGAATGACTTACGATACTCCCACCATCCTTCATCACGTTCAATTCAGCGCGCAGACAGTAGAACACTCCATCGGCATTGATATGCATGGTTCTTGCCCATGCCTCGTCTGTTTCATCCTTGAGGGGCCGCTGCACACGGACCATACCTGCGAGATTCACCGCACCATCGAGCTTGCCATGATCTGATACGGTCCTTTGGATCCAATCAGTCACAGCCTTGCTGTCACCCACATCAACCACAGTACCCGAATGATTGCCTCCGCCAACCGCAGAAAGGGCTCTGACAGCACTGTCAAGACCACCTTGGTTGATGTCGGCCAGAGAGACCGTTGCACCCCGTGATGCGAGTATCTTCGCCGTGGCGAGGCCAATTCCTGAGGCGCCGCCGGTGATGGCAACCTGACCATGTTAGCTATTTGACATACTATTGGGAAAATGGCGCATCTACCACTTTGTCATGGAAGGAAGTCATATCGCGTTTGGGCCGTTCCTGCTATTGCCTCGAGGTCAAAAGATCGCTGCGTGTACTACCAATTTATGAGGTATGTCTCGCAAGATACTTAATAATCCTGGGACCTCACTTCCCGCTTGATACCTCTCGAGCCGTGATGGCTTATTATGTGCAAGGCACTGCGGGTCGAATCCCCACATTGTCCAAGACAGTTCCCCGGATTATCTCTTATTCTGGGAGCACGCTCTAACAATCATTCGAGGTCAGGCTAGATGCCTCTGTCCATCGACCTCGGGGTTCGGATTTCGGGCTGGTAAGGAAACTTCCCAGGAATTGGAGCTCGAGAGATGCAGAGAATTTCAGCCACCACATGCACTGTGAAGTAGTACGTAGATACATTAATTAGTCTGTAGTTGGTTCATAGTAGCCATTGGGTCATAGGATATGTCTTATTGCTTTGTGGTAGTGTCTAGAAAACCTCGTCCGTCCCATACCCCGACCATTAGATTTTCGGTGATTCTACCACTCGGTGATATTTCTGCAAGTCATGTGTCAGCGCCAGACATCGCCGTTCACACCAAGATGTGGTCTACTCGACATCTTCAGAGTAGTTTCGGAAAACCTGGTGGAATATCACTTTCCCGATAATCAGCCTCCAAGAATGGTTTCGCTATTGGATGACATCATCACCGAAGTCGCAACTTTGCCAATCAGGGCGCCGGCCACAATCGGATAACAATTGCGTCTTGAAGATTCGCCAGTAATGGGTGGGTCATGCTTTCTACGGAGATGGTGTAAGTATTTTGCGACACAAGAGCCTTGTCATACACAAGCCACGACTCACACATAAGCAAACAACGCATCTGGCGCCTAAGAAGCGTACTAGTCATACGATCTCTATATCCACCCTCAACCATCGCAACAAAAAAGGACGAAAACATCCATCTTCAATCAGAAGCCAGAACCACCCCGAAATGGCCCTCGCAGAAAAATGGCGCCCGTGCGGCCTCCTCAACCAAAAGCCCACCACACCATACGCGGTAATAGTGCTCAATCAACCGGTCAACAAGAACGCCCTGAATGCCGTGATCTCGACGGCGTCGCTACTAGTCTGTGCCGACGGCGGCGCCGATCGACTCCTCGCATACGAACAGCAAACGGGCACCACGGCCACGGGATCTGCACCAAACGGGTCGAGCAATGACAACAACAGCCACAAAGGACAATATCGTCATCGCCTACCGGACGCGATCATCGGCGATCTGGATTCGCTGTCGCGACGTGCTGAGGAGCACTATCGAGAGCGTGGGGTGCTGGTGGTCAAGGACCCGGATCAGTATTCTACAGACTTCACCAAATGTCTCAGCTGGATCAGGGGCACGATGGGTGATGCGCCAATGGATGTCGTGGTGCTGGGAGGGCTGGGAGGACGAGTCGACCAAGGCTTTTCACAGATCCATCATCTCTTCATGGCAGAGAATGATCCCAGTCTTCTACGCGGTCGGATATACTTGCTGTCAGAACAGAGCTTGTCATTTGTTCTCGCCAACGGGCAAAATCTCGTCTATGTAGAGCCAGGCTATTTCGCCGAGAACATTGGTATCATCCCCGTGCTGGGAAAGACGCTGCTCACCACCAAAGGCCTGGAGTGGGATGTGGAGAATTGGCCCACCGAATTTGGTGGTCAGGTCAGTACGAGTAATCATATCCGGTCGGACGTGATTGAAATCGCCTTTGAAGGGCCTCGACCTCTGCTCACCCTCGAATTGGATGCCAGACTCTCGGCGAGTGGCGAATAATGTCAGCGGCGCTATTGGTGCTTTACCTTCTTCGTTAACCGCCATAAGACTGGCCCCGAATATAGCTTCCCATGAAGGCTAAAGATGATTTCGTATCAGGACGGAGGGTGGACCGACATGATTCTGTGCAGGTCTCCCATATCCACATAGAATATTGACTTGTCGCGAATCGCAATATCGACATCTCTTATGCCGACCAGCGTTCAACTGGATTTTTATCTGATATAGACTTCTGGTCAATGATTCCTCCGGCGAGGGCTTTCACCTTGTTTGACCAAGTCTGATCAATAATGGATGATTCGCTCTATGGAGCATTCTGAGATGGTCGTTTGGACAAAAACGGCCGAGTAACCGCAGTCTCATGTCCTAATAAGGCCAAAAAAGGCCGATCAGCCTGGCTTCTTTACGGGATCCAAAGCAGGGAATTCCTTTTCATAATTCCGATTGCCTGCCTTTGCGATGGCCGGGGAGAATTTCTTGGGGTCATACCAATCAACATCACTGAGATTAAGTCTCCGCGCACGAGGGGCGTGCCGTCCGGACTTTTCTGCTCGGCTGAGCGAGGGGTTGTAGTGGTCGGGTCCTATTTTGAGACCTTTAGTATTGGGATTCCTCTCCAAAGGGGGTAGCATAATAGAGCCAGAAAGAAATCCATCGGGTGTACCATCGTGTTGATCATCCTCGCGAAGATCGTAGTTCAAGACCAAGTTCTTGATTCTCTGTTGCTCCTCACGTTCAGCCGCCTGTTGCGATTTCATCGAAACAGCGAAACTCGAATCTGACGGCAATTCGATCGTTTTCGTCTATACTGGCATTAGCGATCCGCCACGCACGACGTGTGCAATGCTTGATCTCCCTCCAGTGGATGTACTCACCTGAGAGCGGTTTCCTCTCTTTGTCATCAAGGAGAAAGCCATTTTATTGGTTTCGGGTTCGGGGACAGCACTGGGTTCTTCTTCCACAGGCTCAATGGGCATGCGCTGGATCTTGCGGATGGGAAGTGGGACATCAAACTGTGCGCGGCGTTCGAATTTGCGAGAATCTAAACTTTCAGCCATCATCTTCTCGAATGCTCTGTCAAAGTCAGCTTCGGCCTCGGGGTCCCTCTCCTCTTGCTGGCGTAGGACGACAATCTGCTCATCCTCATCTGAGTCGATCTCTTGTCGCTCCTCCACGTTATCGTCTTCTGCATCAACCTGGACAGTGTTAGCTAAGCACAATACATATTCCGTTTGCACCTTACCTCAGCATCGTCCTCCGAAGATTGGACTACCACGGGCTCAAGATCTGCATCACCATCACCGAGACCATCTTCAGAGCCAGACTCTTCATTGTCTTCAGGCTGGTCAGCTGTTTTTTCAGCACCTTGAGTTTTGTAGTTGGCGCTGACTGCCTCCCCGAAAAGTTTGGCTGCCTCTGAAAGTTCAGTCACAAGCTTCCAGTTTGGTCTCACAAGGCTGAAAGTATCCTGCACTAGGAAGTCGATTTCCATGGGTAAAGCATCCTTGGTGAGCATGTAATATTGGAAGAACGTCAAGAAGAAGTCAAGCTTCTTCTTTGAACTGCCTCGATCAAAGCAGATCCCACACGTATCGAGAATGGTGCAGACCAATCGGATGCGAAAGAAGTCATCTGGAGGATCGAATTGTGTATAGACACCAGGTTGTGGTGTTCCACCCTCATGGCCAAAGGTCACAATCCGATATAAGGTATCGAAGATGACCGTTGAGTCAACCATCTTGTAGTTGTACAACTCGCCCAGATACTTAACCTCGGCAATTCGACGCTGATTGAACTTGAAGTCATTTTGTTCGAGACCCAGAGTAATGTTTTCAAGAACATTGTCGATAACAGTGATAGCAAAATTCTGGTGATATCTGAAGAGCGCTTGGAGGAGTACTGCTAATAGGTGGATATTGCTAAATTTGACCTTGCCTGGTTTGCTAAAGATCTTCTCCAGGATTTGGACGACCTCTGGCTCTTCCCAGTGCAGCTTTCGAATCGTCTTGAGTACCTTCATGTAGTTTCGCTTTGTCATGTCCATGTAGACTAGCTGACGAACAAAAAGCTCCATTGGCGTGCGTTCTTTTTGTTGGATCGCGGCTCGTTGTGGTGGATCGACATAGTACATTGCGTTCTCGATAAGCATACGTTCCTGAGTGCCCAGATGATGTGCAGACTTTTTGCGATTGAGGGTCTCGAGGAAGGATACCATCCGGCCTGAGGTTTCAGGGTTTCGGAGAAGATATCGGCCACAATTTTCCAACAAATGAGCGATGATCTCTATATTCATCCTGGAAAAGTCATCCAAACTGACCTTGAAACAGTGAAAGATGACGTGTTCAGGGACGATTCCGAATTTTGTCAACTCTGCCAGGTATCGAATGTTGGACATTCGAATCTGTCCTAGGAAGTCCTTGGTCTTTCGTCGTTGGAGGCTTCGAAACTCATCGTCAAGGTGGCCGATTAAACCCTGGATGACATCTGGCATATATTGGCCGAGCGTGGCTGTCAGACGTGCATATAAAGGCAGCAGATCTGTGCGGCCTTTCGGCACTTCTTGAACCGCCTTGACCAGCCGATTTCGTGAGGCTTTGGAATTGAGAAAACAAAAGTCAAGCGCAACCTGGTCGACCATTTCCTTTGTTTGTAATTCGGACAGACGTAGGAGGATAGCATCGACCTGAGCCCCAACAGTCTTGTTTGCGATGGCCATAGACTGTTCATCAGCATCAGATGCTAGTTTTGCAGCATTTTCATTTGAAGCACCAGAGGCTTCATTTCGTTCTTCTGACTCGGGCTTGGTCTTCTTGGCATCTTCCAGAAGTATCCCAGGAACACGGCCTTTGAGATCCACCAGATTTTCGTAGAACCTCCGTTCCTCCTCATCTTCCCATATGCCTGCACCGTCACGCTGACCCTTGAGATAGTCGCCGGTTTTGATCATTCCAACCGTACCACTAGCTGCGGCTTCCTGGCTGTCCTTGTCGTCCAGCTCTGGCATTTCTTGACCAAGGACATCACAGAGCACTTGAGCATTTGCTACCAGTTTCTCCTGAGCTTTGGTTTGCTTTTCAAAATTCGCTTGTCTATCTTCGAAAATCTCGCCACTCTTGACGTAAGCTTCAGCATTTCGGCGGCTTTGATTGTTCAATGATCTCGAGTCTCGCACAACATGATTCTTGACACTACCAAGATAACGCTCGAAGACATTGACGAATCGTTGACGAATAGCCTGAGGGATAATGGGTGCATCGTCCTCTGGTACACTGTCAGAATAAGTCCCGACTTTAGCTGTTTCCGGGGGTGCGCCATCAGCATCTGGAACTTTTCTGCTCTCGTCCGAGGGCGGTTTGAGCCCCAGAATATCCCAAGAAAAGTTCTTGACAAACAAAACTGCCAGGCTAAGGTTGACGTGCTCTGGATCATGCCCAAGCAATTCTTTCAAGACCTCTAATGGAAATGGTTCATGGTCAATTTGGGCACCAGATTTTAAGCCATTAGATACTGGTCGAGGCTTAGGGTCGGGTTGGGCTTGGGTCTCTTTGGTGCGGGTCGAGGCGTCATCTGGTCGATCCACATCGTCCAAGCTCCTCAAAATACCACACAACCAGAACTCGCTCACCACTCGAAGGAGAACTCGCTGTCGGACTAGTCGTTCCTTTTCCTCTCTCTCCCGTACTTCAGCAGTCCAGAGTTTGACCTGGGCCTTGTCCGGAGGTGATAAACCTTTACCAAGTAACCAGGCCAGCTGTCGAGTGAATTCGGTAGGTCCGAATCTTTGGTGTAGCGCACTCACAACCTCGACTGCAGTGGCAATCTCGGTTGAGGTCTTGAGCCTACTCAGGCCTTCTGCGGTGGCAGATATTATCTCGGAAAGGTATTTCTGGAGTGAGAGGGTCCGGGTCTCAGTGACGAATGTGTCTTGGGCAGAGGCTGAAAGACCAGTTCGAAGGCGTTTGATAAAGGCAGTGTTTTTCTTCAAGGAGGAGTCGAGAGATCCTGCGACATCGTAGACATCTGCATAGGGGATTAGTTCTACTCTGCGCCGGTCTGGTATGAACCACTCATACCCTTTGCGCCTGCCCAGACGCGCAGATTCAAGTCACGTAGCTCTCCTGTATTGACTTGTCAGCATTGACAAGTTCGTGAACAAGAAGCGTGCATACTCTTGCGCTTGCGGTCCATTGGGGGCCGCGATGAAGTAACGAGATTGCTTGCACTCGCATGTCGAAGACTAGGGGCAAAGTGAGAGAGCAGAGATATCTGCGTCTGATTTGGGACAACAGATATCAGTGCAACTGAAGTTGCATGTCATCGAAGGAGGTGTACTGGGGTTGTTGAGTGAATCACTAGTCCCGCGTTTTCACAAGCGGCGTGAATCTGCCGATGATGGTGCCAAGAGATCGGAAGACCGCGTGCAGTAAAATGCAGTCATGATCAAGCAGCGGGGCTTTTCACTCTTTCTAGGAGAAAAGCAGACGCCGCCCTACGCCTGTCTCCGATATTCCACATACCCAACCATGACATCACTCAAAGGTGGTCGCCCACCCCTCGGGATGCCGTTAGCATTTCCCAGGTCTATCCTACGAGTATGTATTGTTGCGCTCACACTGACATCTCTAGTTCAACAAGGCAATAGGTGATTTGTGAAGGTTACCCTTTCTATCGACTCGTTCATGGACACTCGCGAGCGTGTATGATTCCATATCTGAATCCTAATCCGTTTTTTGGTGTCTCCCATAGCGCTTCCCCAGCAAAAGCTATCAAGGATCATGATCCCACTCTCGTTGGTAAATTCAAACCCATCACCATGCATGCTCTACACAGACTCAGCAAAAATCTTTGCCTTTTGAGCCGCCAGCTTGCTTTTCCTGGCTGTTCCCATGGCCCGTTCTGTTTCTGATTTGGCTTCTTTGGCTTCCTCTACCTTGCTCTTCTTCCGTGACCCAGCTTGCGGTCCCTTGGTAGTTGCGGGGTTTCTTTTTCGTTTCTGTCCTTGCTGCTCGTCGCCGTCCCCTTCAGTAGCTGCGATTGTTTCAACGACATCCGCTGAATCGGTCCATAGATCATCTGCTAGCCATATGGGCACAGCGGTAGAAGAGTTTCCTTTGATGTGGATGGACTTCACATTACGCCAACCCTTGACAACATGTTTTTCGATAACCGCATTAACCACGGCAGAGATATTGTCAACAAGCTGTTGCGGCTCAAAACTGGCCAGCCCAGCGCGGACAGCCAGCGAAGTGCCTGGCCGAAGGCTGACGGGTACACAGTCAATGGCTTTCTCAATTTCCTTTGCAAACGATGACGGGCTCTTCAAGGTAGAAGGCGTGTCCTTCTTGACCTTTCTACCCTGCGGTGATTTCTCTTGTTTCCCTTCCTGTTTGCGCTCTGATTGTGCAATGATAATGGGAATGGGGCGTTTGGTTGTACCCTTGTAGAATACTTTCCCAAGAACATTTGGTAGACGATTGATGATACGATCATCTGCAAGAAATATGTCATGCTCAGCAATAAGCTGTCGCCTCGTTTCAAAAGTCTTATACCTATCCTTGAGCTTGGTCAAACCAATGATTTGAGTGATGCGAGATTTAAGATCTTCCGGAAACGAAGGATCAGCAACCAGATTTTTGACTGCCCTTTGAGGATCTGCAGTTATGAGACATATCCGCAATTCGGTAGATGTGTTCAGAGAATGTGGAACAACGATTTTGCTTGGTTTCAGACGGCGATCATCGACAATGTGCTGTTTTGTGGTAAGATTTAACCAAATTGGGTTCTCGGTGCTGGAATTGTCGTCCTGCTCAGAGTCGGAGGCATCCGTAGAGAGAAGGTTTCTCTTGGAAGAAGCCTCCTGTAAACGCTTGGTTTCGGTTTTGACATGTTGCAACAGGGCTTGGGATGCCTTGAGGGTCTGTACAAGAGGTCAGTAAAAATTGATTGACTTGGAGTTGTGAAACTGACCTGTTCGGGATCTAATTGATAAGGAGTATCTGCGGGTCGCTTCCTGGGGATTGTTGAGGCTGGCTTGACAGCGACAGCGACAGCGACAGCCATATTTGAGAATTGCCTGGGGAGGTGTTTTCGAGACCGATGATTGATATATCGCTATTGCTGAACCAACTGGATCGCAAAAAGTTCGAGTGCAGTTTGACCCCGGCACAAAAAAAAGACATTCACCGCCTTTCGGAGTTAAGTGGCAATTTAACACGCTAAGTTGGCACGCTAAAGAATGAACGGGCAAAATTCCCAGGTGGGAAGGAACAAGAAAATTAATAATTACGTGCATGCCGTCGCCCACCGATAGTGGTGACCTTCTAGCTTTGACTTTGGCATTTTGCTTGGGGGTGGACCGGGTATTGTAAGCGTGGGCGGGCACTGGTTACAGTGGTTACTAGGTAGCTGGTGGTTACAGCGGTGCCCCCCATGACATCTTTTTCCAGTGCCACCTTAGCTGCCACTGTGACTGCAAATGCGAGAACATCTCCAACTTTTCAAGTCCCCGAATCGCCGCCTACCACTCGGAATGCATCTCCTACCTGCAGGCTTTCCAAGCAATACCCACGGCTCTTCGTTCTCGCAGATGCAAAGTCCTACCTGACACAGATAAAGCGAATAGGTGCATAAGCTTCAACTCGGCTATTCCACAGTGAAGAACGTAGATAATAAGTCGATTGCCCACTCGCAAGAGTCTGATTCTGTGACCGCCATTCCACATTCCATCATTCATTCACACGTGCTTCTTCACCAACTGCAGTGGTTGTCTTTTCTGGCCACCACAGGTGATCCAGGCCTCGATGTGACTCTGAGGATCTGGACGTGTAAACAACCATTCCTTCGAAAATGCTTTCATTCAACAATCAAGAATAATTGTCCATCCATTTATGGTCGATCCGATCACGAGACCACCTAGGTATTATTGACGTAACGGCGGGCACCGGGCTACTAACTAACTAGAATTTGGTTCGGCGGGTCGGTCGGTGCTCAAAACGCGGTGCCTCTAGCGCGCCTACTCTCATCGCGTGAGAGCCTCCAACGTTTCCACACACTCGACCTTCAATTCACCACCGACCTTCTTCTTGACCACCCTCCACCCTCTTCCTTTGTGCACTTGGCTCTCGGGCATGTCTAATTCTCTGATCAAATCCATGCAATATCCCAACTAACTCCCGACAGCTTCAACAGAGCAATCTCGAAAGCTTCTCGTCCTGGGACGCGCTTAATAGCTGGACCACCATAATCCCCGGCTATCACTCTCGATAGCTGAGGACCAGCACACCATGGCTTCCTTTACCACCATTTCAGAGACTGCAGTCTCCCCGAAACCACCTCCAAAGAGAACCACATCATCTCTGCTGCCAGCTTTTGAGCCCTTCTCCTCTTCACCAGCTCTCCCAAGACCTCTCAAGAGAAATCGAGATGCATTTGACGAGCACACAACATATCCCACTCCAGTGCCCACCTCTTCTACAGCAATACTAACTTCTTCACCCTCACGCGTCTCAAAGTCGAAACCAACCCTCCGGACCAATTCGTCCACTCTTTCTGAGCGTACCCCGTTAGGATCTCTCCCTTCCATTCAACTTGATGTCGATGGAAAGGTCACGCGTATGGGGAGGTCCAGTGCTTCTTGCGACTATCAATTGTCTGCCAATCGGTTGATATCCAGAGTTCATGTCGAGGCATGCTACAAGTCTCCTGGTTCGCGTCTGGGCCGAGAGCTGGTCGAGATAACCTGCACAGGATGGAATGGTGTCAAGATACATTGCAAGGGCCAGGCGTATGAATTGAAAAAGGGCGAGACATTTCAAACCGATGTTCGAGATGCCGAGATCATTCTTGATGTGCATGATAGTCGAGTGGTGGTGGAATGGCCACCAAAACCTCGATTAGGTGCCATTTCTTCCGACGAGGACGAAGACTTGTCTCCCACCAAGCGACAGCGTCTCATGATGCGTCATTCTACACCTCCCAGCCCAAGTCCTTTGCAGTCTAGAAGACGTCCAGCTTCTCCAATATCCCCTTCACCTGCTGTCCAAGCATTGCTGCCTTCTTCGCCTCCATTACCACCAACACGATCCCACGTGGAGACCGTGGAGATATATGAAGATCCCGAACCCGCACAGGAAGGACTAAGGTCTCCCGTATCCGTCAAGGTGTCTCAGACGACTACACAAGCTCTGTCCCAACCTTCTCAGATTCCGGCGATTTCACTGAACTCTCTCTCCAGCACCACCGAAGACTTTTCCGATAATGACGAGGAGAATGACCCCATCATTCATTCTTTCGGACCATTTGGTGCAAATCTTCTACCTCGGCTGGCATCGTTCACTGCTGGAGACTCTCCGAATCTCAGTCATACTAATTCTGTGAAAAGTTCACGATCGTCTCATACCGAACCTTTACATCCACAACAAGCACCTGCTAACAGCCAGATTTCTACCACCGATTTTGATATTCAAGGCCACATCATTAATCAGCTTGCATTTTCTCGATTGTCCTCTACTCCATTGTCGACGATTTTAAGCCATCTCCCACAGGAAGCGGGTGTTCTGTCACTTAATGACGTTCGAAAAGTGGTTTCTGCGACCCCGTGCATTGGTGAAGTCCGTAGAGAAGGCAAAGATGCAGCAGGCAAAGCGCTTGAGAGTGAATTCTACTACCTGCCAGATCTGGACGAAGATGACAAGCGAAAGGAGGCTGTGGTGATGGATTTGAGAAAGCCCGGATTGAGGGCATGCCGTAAGCAGCATAAGGTTTGTTGATTCCCCCAATCTTGCGAACGATCATTGACCATGCCTAGCAATACTACTGGCGGAAACCAAAATAGAAGAAAAACGGCATGGACCGAGATCGACGAATGTGGTAACCATCCTGTTCGAAGAGGAACAGACATGGCTATGTATCTCTGTTGTCGTTTCCTTGCTTACAAGCTTTGTCGGTCCATAGGAGACATGGAGGATTGTGTGTCTAGCGTTTAGCGTTACAGCATAGCATAGCATGGTGAAGGGTTCTGTCAGCATCTTTGATGTGGGTGTGGGAAATTTCATTATCTTTGTCGCTGTGGTGGGAGGAATGGATTGTCTAGCTCAGAGAGTCGAAGAGTGTGCAAAACAGTCATACTCCAATTGTTTCTGAGAAGAACACCAACTACAGCCTTGAAGCCAGAATTGTCGATAGTGTGCAATCATGCCATTGAGCAACCAATTTGTACTCGATGCTGTGGTCCCTGATAATGTCATTTTGTACCTAGTAGGAACCTTTTGAGGATGGGGGAGCGCTTAGCCACGGAAAGCGAGCGACATCGGTGAACATCCGAGAGACGCCCGGGCGAACGTCACCAATGAATTCACCTCTGAGTTCCGAGGTTGGAGCTTTCGCTCTCGCCTTATGCCGCCGGAGAAATCATGGCGATAATAGCCCGTACCTCGCTGCATGATCGTATGTGCTTTCTCGTCGTCCACACTTGAATAGAGAAGGTTTCCTCTCCTGTCTCCTTTCCCCTTCCCCAGGGTATGTGTATATACCAGAGGTCATAATCATGCTATCAATAGCAAAGCAATCGGCTCTGCGCACGCTGCGTACCCAAACAACCTCCACATCCCTCTCATCCCGTACACAATCCACATCCCTTGCCCGCCTGCTCTCCACACTCGCAATCCTCGAGCAAAGAGATGGAAAACTCAACACAGGCTCGCTGGGCGCCGTAACGGCCGGGCAGAAACTCGGCGGCGCTGTCCACGGCTTCGTGGCCGGCAAGGGAGCAAAGACAATTGCTGGCGATGCTGCTAAAGTCCAGGGTCTCGAGAAGGTCCTCGCCGTCGATAACGAGGCCTACGACCGTGGACTGCCCGAGAATTGGGCGCCGCTGCTCGTAGAGAATATCAAGAAGGGTGGCTATACGCATGTCATTGCACCACATTCGGCTTTTGGGAAGGGCCTGCTGCCTCGCGTTGCTGCGTTGTTGGATGTCCAGCAGGTATCGGATGTTATGGCGATTGAGAGCGAGGATAGTGAGTATCTCTGGACTGTGACATTTGCAGTGTTCCTCTATGCAAAAGAATTAGATATTGACAAAATGGAACAGCATTCGTCCGACCGATCTATGCCGGCAACGCCATCCTAACAGTCCAAAGCACCGACCCCATCAAACTCATCACCGTCCGCCAGACATCCTTCGCCCCAGCCGAAACCTCAGGCGGCTCTGCCTCTGTCGAGGATGGCGTCGACCCCAACACACCCTCCCAAACAAAATGGATCTCCGAGAACCTCGCCAAATCCGACCGGCCAGAACTCGCCTCGGCAAAGAAAATCGTCTCGGGCGGCCGCGGCCTCAAATCGAAAGAAGAATTCGACCGACTGATCCCACCGCTCGCAGACGCACTGGGCGCCGCAATCGGTGCATCGCGCGCGGCAGTCGACAGTGGCTTCGCCGACAATAGTTTGCAGGTTGGTCAGACGGGCAAGAACGTCGCGCCCCAACTGTACCTCGCAGCGGGGATTTCTGGCGCCATTCAGCATCTTGCCGGCATGAAGGATAGCAAGGTCATTGCGGCGATTAATAAGGATCCTGATGCGCCCATTTTCCAGGTTGCGGATGTGGGTCTCGTTGGGGATCTGTTTGAGAAGGTTCCGGAGTTGACGGAGAAATTGAAGTAAGTCGAAGTAGCTGGGCTAGTGGATGGGATTGGTCGAGAAGAGGCATGTTGATTTCCTAGACCTTTGGACTGGTGGGGTGCTTGAGTTCATTATTTCCACGCATCCGGCACGACTACGATGTGAGGTACTGTATATCCAAAAAAAGAAACAAAAAGCAACATATGGTTGAAAACATCATGAACATCATGAACTCTTTGATTCCCTGGTTTCATACACCTCTTGTCATTGCGCTGAAGATTTCTTACTCTTCTGGATCAGTACCCCCATACTCAGCTCAGCTCCGTCAGCTGTTCTATATGCACGCTGGGATGTTTCCATTCTACGAGACGTCCACGGTTGTCTGAGGTGAAGCGATTCTGCCGACTAACTCCTCGACAGGGCCGTGATTGAATGACTGGAGTACTGAACAAGAAGGTATCTGCTATTCTGCTGCCACGTCGACAATTGCTAGCCAAATGATCACTCCAAACACCTCGCTTTGCACTCCTTCAGCCAAGAGAGAAAATGAAACCGGGTGTACGCCTTCCACATCGAACTGGTTCTTACTTGGCAGATATTCTCAGTCGACGCCAAAATCGCTTCCTGAGGCCCTCATCCCTTCGGCCTTTAGCGCTGTTCTCCTGGCCACGCTGCTCCCTTTGATCGTCTTCTTCGCATATCTCATTGCCATTCTCATCCCCGTTGTCATCCTCGCCAACTCCTTCCTTGTCTATTATTGATTGCACCATCTTCAGATCTTGAAACGCCGCTAATGTTCTGGGATGGTCAGCTCCCAATATTCTTTCCCTTCCTCTCGCGACGCGCTGGAACATATGTCGTGCCTTCGCCACTCTATTCTGGCGCCAACAAAAAATGCCGAAATTTGAGATTAGAGTTAGCGCATCAAGATTCTCGAGCTGGAGAGCTTCAGAACCAGTTAGTGCTTGCTCATAATACTGGTTTGCAAGGCCAAGTTTACCCTGGCGGTCATATAACAAAGCCATGAGACCAATGAAGTGTAGTGTCGATTCGTGTTCAGCACCAAATAACTCTTGAGAGACGACCAGTGCTCTCTGGAGAAACTGTCCCGCTGGTGCAAATCTACCTTGGAGCAGATATAGGCCACCGAGGCTACCCATCGCATCCAACGTCAACGTGTGCTTGTCCCCTAGTGTCTCTTGAGATCCAGCTAGCCCACGCTGCAACAGCGGCTTCGCTTGCGATAGTTGACCTTCTTCCAAGTACAAATTACCCAGCGCAATGACTGTGCCTGGTGTCGATAAATGGAAGTCACCAAGGACCTTCTCAAGGCCAGTCAGTGCCCGTCGGAGAAGCTGTTCCGCTAACCGTAGCCTATCCTGAGTAAAATATAGATCTGCTAAGTCCCTGACAATCACCAATGTTGTTGTGTGCTCTGGGCCTAAAAACTCATCTGCGCCGGCTAAAACTTGCTTGTAGAAGTCCTCGGCCTGCTCCAGTTTGCCCTGTCTATGACACTGGCCTGCTAAGGAATTCAATAGCCATAGGGTCGTCTCATGCTTGACGCCGAGCCCCTGCTCGGAGCTGCTCAACGCTCGCTGTAAGATCTGCTCCGCTGCAGCAGGTTGATTATGGAAATCAAGTAGATCTGTTACGTTCATGACATCATTGAGCCTTCCAGGCCCGATGATGCTGATGCGTTCGTTGTGCCAAAATTGCTCCTGCACCAGCCTTAGGGCGTGTGCAGCAAGGCGAGCGAAAGACAGAAGCTCCAAAGTATAATTCTCGTCCACATTAGCCGATACAGCGACACAATCAAAGGCATACCAGTAATTCTGAACGTCGATGTCATGGTTGAGCACTAGTACTGCCCAGTCATGTATGCAGTTGTGCATGGTCCAGGATGTTGTCGTCTCCAGGTCTGTCCGCTGGACTTCGAGGAAACAGTAGTCTGTCAAGGTCTTCATCGCGCCAAAGACTTTAATGTCGTCTTTAGTTAGAGTACGCAGCCACTCCGGAGAATTATCTTTGACGCCGGAAAGAAGTAATTCGTACCATATACTCTGGTTATCGAAGTAGGCCAGAGCTTTGAGCAATAGTGCGGCAGTAGAATGTTGAGCTTGAAGACGTTTGTACGAGATATCCCAGGTAGTATACAATGTTCGATCTCGATATTCCTCAAGTTCAACTGGCTGCTCAGGATTGATATTCCAGCGTTTCTCGTATTCCTGAAGATAGCGTTCGAAAGAGAATCCACTATTGCGAAGAAATATGCCGGCTGTAGCCAGGGCGAGTGGAAAGCCTGCTAATCGCTTCGCTAGACGGGTTGCGTAAGGATCTTGCGAAGCAACTGTTAACTAGGTGCTCAATGGGTGGTTATAGGTGTAAGCAACATACCAGACTCGGTGTGCGCTCTTTGGGAACGCGTCGCTAGGATCTGTAGGCTCTCTGTGGTGCTTGAGAGCGGCCGGATATCGATAATCTTTCCACCAACAAGGTCTGACCGTCGTGTTGTTACGATAGCAGACCCATGGGAAGCATGAGGATAGTACTTGCGGATATCGAACTCCTTTGGATCATCGTGATTGTCGAATAAAAGTAGCCATCGTGTGTTCTTCTTGTTAGATAACCAACGGTGAATATGGACCAAAGCCTGATCAGAGCTCAATGCGCCAGAATCTTGTATATCGAAGATCAGACCGGCTATCGACGAGAAACTATCTTTCAATGTGGTCTCGGATGTTGCATTGAGCCAGAATACTGACTTAAAATCGTTCATTCGGCTTTTAGCGTAGGCAATAGCGAGCTGCGTTTTGCCGACTCCTCCCATACCACCAAGAATTACTCGTCGTTGCTCTTGAGTCTTGCCATTGGGTCCCAGGGCTTCGTGAATTTGGTCAAGCTCGTTCTGGCGACCGACGAAGAGCTGCGAGTCGATATCAGGTGACTGACTCAGACAGATACCTACCGGACCGTGATAGCTGAAGTCTTGCTTGGTGGTCACGGTGACTATGAGGATCGTTAGCCTGGTTTTCCAGAGCATGTATCAAGAGAATGAGAATAAGCATGTAATAAAGCTGGAGAAATAAGACTAGCATAATCCGTAGACAGTGTCAACTATATAGCACTAATTGTGCGAGTTATCCAGAAGCCCTGGGAAACTAAATTAATTCTTGTCGAGATCCAAGTTTGAACTCAAGGACCAACGGTCGCTACCTACTGCTCAATGAAATTGCCATCAATGTGGCTAATTCTTACCAGAATGGAAATTTTGAGTTCCAACGGCGGCATTGTTGTTGATTTGTTGCCCACTTCCGCTATTGACATTGTTTGTTTGCGCACCTCCGCCACTGTTGAAAGTGTTACCCAGGCTTTCGTCCTCGTACACCGAGGATTTGACAGATTTCAGCTCTTGAACAATTTTTTCCAACTCAGTATTCTGCTCGGACATGCCAGCATTGACGGCGTGATGATTGACGATGAGCTGTACATCTCGAGTGATTGAGAGCATTAACTCCTCGACTTTGCTCCCATTGCCGAGTCGTTGGAGGATCTTTGTGTAACGTTTCTTCCATCCATCGTGCTCGCCAGGTATCACCTTTTCGAAAATTTGTTTCAGGTCATCAGCCTTCTCCTCACAGCGATCGATGATCTTTTCCAAGGCTACGCAGACATCGGGAGGGAGGCCGGCTTGAATGGTTTCCAATTTGGTCTCGCATTTTTGCAGGATGTCGCGGATTATAGGCAATTTGACGACAACGACTTCGAACGTCTCAGGCAGTTTCAAGTCTTTCCGTGCATCGTTACAGATTTTGAGCGAGGCGTCAACGATTCCAATAAGTCCAGAGATAGCGCCTAATATCTCGAAGCCGGACATCGCAAGGCAGTGGTGCAGCTATCAGATTGACACATAGAAGGGCCTGACGGGGGCTGACAGACATTGAGACATTCCAAGGCTTCACACTTAAGGAGGGAACATGAACAACCCATTATCAGGCTGCGGCTGAGTTAAAACCACGACTCTCTGCAGTCTGCAGCAGCGGTGGCTGGATCACGAGGTCCTGGAGCGTAATTGGGCAACAGAGGGAGGGGATTTTCAAGTCTTTGCTCAACTCCCAAAGTAGAGCTGGCGGCTAGATCTCGTAAATGCACTGTGACCAGGCAAAGATGTTGGGGGCGACATCAGGCGCACGTGAACTGGCTATGGTGAACTAGCCTTGCCTTCGAATACAGTCGTAGAAAATCTGGGAAGATATATGTCAGTGCTGAGTATCAAGGCGCAGCCTGATGTATCTGTGGTGAGCTGGAATAGTACATCTTTTTGTCATCAGTCTCTACCCGTCGATGAGCTGCTTGGTGCATTGACACGAACGATGCCAGACGAATCCGGGGGCGAGTTACAGCATTATTTCTGGTAGGTTTCAGTCTCGGTTGAAGAGCTGGGTTGAGTCTGGAGTCCAACCACACAATTGGCATGCAAATCTGTGCGACTTTGAAAGTTAGGTAACTAACATGAGTGAGACCTTCAGGTCCTCAGGACCCTAATGATGACGGTAAGCGTCTCCAGGTGTTGCAGTAGGAAGCCGATATGAGTCAACCAGTGCCCAGACTGCGGCAAATGCAACCCCCCTAAAAAGTGAGCCGCAGCCTTAGGAGTCATCCCTCGGCTGTTGAACCACACTCGACGATGCGTGGATTGCCGTGGATGTACGAGGGAACCTCCAGGAACCATGCTTGATCTTCATCATACTCAGCCACTGACAGAAACACTTAGTATACTCTGATGTAGTAAAAGGTAAGAGAACTCCACATAGGAGGGGTGAGATACACAGGTCGCTGAAGAGTTGTTCCCCTATTTCAAGAGTCAACACATCTGACCTGAGTCATCGTGGGGAGAATTTGAGCCCCACAAGGCTTTGACATTTGAGGGGTCACCCCTAGTGAGAGCCGAAGGCACAGGGCTGGGGGTGCCTCTTTTCCGTCGCATTTCCTCAAACAGAAAAGCGCTTAATGACATCGATAAACCCGAATACGGATGACAAAGAAATAGAAACAATCATAGCCGTAGTACACAGATTGGGAGTGATTCCTTGCAAAGACGTGATCGACCGAAGCCGAGTCTATTCCCTAAGTGTCTTCAAGCTCGTTCCATCATCGGTCTTGGGAACCCGCGATTGTACGCCAGGCTGCTCAGGCTGCCATACGCTGGACCCAATGATGTTCTAGGGCGCGCATGGAAATTCAATCGGCTACCTGTAAGTTTGATTTGTACTTGCGCCTTTGGTGCAGAATAGCGCATTGCTGCCTGGGAACCCTGAATTATCTTGGTACCGGGATATGATCGTCACTTTGAAGCATGATTCGTATTTCCTAGTTGGGAGTTAGAATGCGATGTTGCTATGGTGTGGTGAGTCTTGTCAAACGCCGCAACCAACATCCTCAAAAGTCCTAGGCGCAGTGTGAAATTGGATCGCAAGCCCATTCCTAACGGCACGGTCTATCATGATATGCCTCAGGACGAGTGATCCCACAAATCAGATATCTAGAGGCCATGCACTGAGCCAAATAAACTACATGTGGACCCTGCGTCTGCAGTGGCTTGGACCAGCGTTTGAGTCACAGACGCTCTCTCCACCGTGCATCACACTCAGATGAAAAGGAGCGAAGCCGACGGCTTTGTTACTAATGCGGGTATCGAGTCATAGCTTGATACCCGTACTCGTATTGCTACACGGATGAGGGCAAGTACTTAAGGAGAGGTGTATATCCTTCTGCCTGAGGCGCTTTCATTCTCCGCAGAAGCTTCCATTTACTCAGCATCGTCATCATCGACATCTGCTGATTGTATCGAGATAGGTAACCTGGAACCGATAACGTGTACCTTCAAAAGCTATTCGTCGAAGATTTCTTTGTCTCATTCCACCACACACCCTTTGCACCGTTAAGACCGAGCCACCATTCCTATTCAGGGTATATACAATAAGCCCGAGCCTCAGATCCACAACACCCCTGGCTTTGGACCGAGCATTCAGCAGTATAAGTTGCAACAAACCTCGAAGCAAGAACAAGAAGAGGCTTCCTTGAACCATTACTTCTTTCAGTATTGCTCCTTGTTGCATATCATTCTGAAAAACCCAGTGCCTGAAAGGCGTCCCATCACCGCATAATCCAGATCTGATTGGCAGGTCGACGTACTACCTCGTTCATATCGGATCCACTGCATCCTTAGCCCATTAGGCATCAACAGTTCCCATAGGGAGGTATATAGTCTCGAAAATTTACCACCAGCCCTCGCATCCACCAAAATCAGCACACCGTTCACGCTGAACAACCACCAAAGTCTTCTCCCAAACATCTAAAGCAAACTATCAATTGAGAAACATGTCTCCCTCACAGAACGATAAGAAGAACACTCAGGTCGATGTTGCCTCAATCAAGAGCACGTCGACCATGTCAAGTCTCAAGGCACTGCTTCCCAAGAAGACCAAGAAGGAGCCAAAGCCCCGTCTACCGAAGGAGTCCGAGGAGACGAAGGCCCTGCGGAGGGAAGCCACCTATGCTTACTTCCATGCGAAGTATTAAGCATAAAGAACAAGTGTCATTGAAGAGCAGTCAGCCATCAAATAAAAATGCCACTTGAGGAGTTGCACACAAAGCGTTATCGAGACCTCAAGTTAGTTCAACGATTGCTTTCCTTTTCCTTGGTGAACAGGGGCACTCATGGATAGAGCCGGGTACAGAAGTTGTGGTATTATAAAAAGCATTGCAGTCCCATCCAAAGCAACAGCGGAGGCTGATGATGATGAATGAGACATTTCGATGATGTGTATGTTGGCGTCCAGGAGTTTTGATGTTCAAGCCACGTGGCGACCTAAATTTGGTTACCCCTTGGGCAGTATTTCATAGCGCACTATTGTTTGATATCTGGAAGACCTGGACCATCACTTAGAGTTGAAGGAGCAGAGTAATCGGCTCAAACCCCATGATTGAAATTAATTTACCGCCGCAATCGATCTTTCTTTCAGTCACCTGGTCTAAAGCTGTATCTTCCATCGCATTCAAAGACTCCGTAGTATGTCTTTGTATCCGCGACTTCGTGCACAGATACTGTTCAGTCATCATTGGTCGCAAATCTGCCGCTGACATCTTGAGCATGGCGTACGTCAGCATTCAAATTTAGGGTCCTGAAGGTCCATAAGCGCCATCTGATTGCGAGGTACCGAAGGAAGGAAAAGTCAGCACTCGATGGGGATGGGGTGCCAATGAACCAGAAAGCTTGCGATATGCTTGTGAGATGCTTGTCAGACTGACTGTGGAACGTTAGGTGGACGTTTTGACTATAATTATTAATACCTTCGAAACCCCGTAGCGTCTAGTAGTTTTGACCATTCTCAAGAATTCCTCTTCCCAATCTTTTCGGGGTGCGGAGGTTAAGCATATATATCAAGCATGAACATGACTAATATGACCGGCCGCGCATTCTCGGATACCTCTCATACCATATCGACGACACAATCACATGGCGAAGCGTTAATCATAAAATTTGATCCGCTCCACCCGCAGAGGTGCTGCTTTGTAAAGCCAACCTCTAAAGCTGGCGCCTGAGGATATGGGGCCTGATAAGGAGGAGGCCTGAGAAATTGTAAGTACTGATCTTCATCTAGAAATACTTCGGGCGGTCACGGGCATCGGCCTTTAAATCGTAAAGCGATAGGAGGAGACTTGGTCAGTGCTGGATATCGGTGGTCGGTTTTAAGCTCATGAGTAAGCTTTCAGACTGCACTTGAGGCTACATCGGGTTCAAATCGTGTCGGCGGAGAACAATGGCGCATCTCAGCTTGATGTGTCCCGCTCTGATTACGAGTGAGCCCAAGCTGTCATGTTCGCAAAAGTTACAGCTTGCTTCGACATGAAGGAAGCCTTTGTTGCCGAGGAGAACTCAATGATGGGAAGTTCGCTCGAAAGCGATAAGACCGAAGCGAGCAAGACACTTTCATTTGTGTCTAATAACGGAAGGGATATCCGTCTCTCAACGGACCAAAGTACATCCGACGATTGTCGGTCATGACTCAGCTACCTAGGTAAACACGCGACTGTTCGGCGTCTGGTCTCAGAGCTGTTGATTTAACAAGTTCCTCGCCCGACAGCGGTAGGAACCTCTTGAAGCGAACCCTCGGCCGAACAGCATACCATGTTGAAAATGGAGCGCCCAGCAGATATCTGGTTTCGAATCTCCAGCATGGCCAATCATTGTCGCATCTAGCATGGACCCGAGATCCACATTGTGGTCGACGGCCTTTCGCGTCTTCTTAACGCCGGATGTACACACAAAGTTCAGGGCTTCTTCGGTCGCTAATTGACATTTCTCCCGATTGATGGGACCCATGGGGTTGACTTAGCTGAAGATGTTGGCAGATATCAGGAGTTGGTTGTGATTGTTATTTATCCATTCATTATCTCTTCAATGTCAAGATATTCCTTTATTTCATCACAACATACCTGTACTTCTAACTGCATTTCCTTTGAACAGCAGACAAAAGCCGAGCGTGTTGACAAGCTTAAAGACCCACCCATATCGACAATCTTCCAGCCTTTCTGTGCTCCTGAGACGTGGTTGACCTAACTAGTATCGAACATGTCGCAAACGCCAGAGAAACCCGTCGAATCCCCTACCGACCACAGTGTATTGAATCCTCAGCTTGATGAGAAGCATGACCAACCGCTCGACACCACCAGGTCTTCTGGACAGACTTCTCGTGAACAGTCCCCTCAACCAGAACCAGCCAAGGCCCCATACAATCCCTGGGCTGATCCAGCCTCGTTTCCCGATGGCGGACTGCGTGCCTGGCTCACTGTAGCCGGAGCAGCTGCATGCATGTTTGTCTCTTGGGGGTGAGTAATATCAATCCAATTGTGTACTTGCCTTTGTTAACCTTTTCGTAGATGGATCAACTGTGTCGGCATCTTCCAGGACTATTACATGCGAAACCAACTCTCGAATTATTCAGCCAGCACCATTGCTTGGATTCCAGCAGTGCAAACGTTCTTCATGCTGGCGATCGGCCCTTTTGCTGGTAAAGCGTTCGATGATTTCGGCCCAAGCAAACTCTTAATATTCGGGAGTTTCCTTCACGTGTTTGGGATCATGATGGCTTCCATATCGAAAGAGTACTACCAATTCATGCTCAGCCAAGCTGTATGCTCCTCCATCGGTGCATGCTGCATCTTCACATCTGCGGTGTCGTGTCTTCCGACATGGTTTTTCAAGAAACGAGGCATGGCGATTGGCCTCTCAGCTTCTGGGAGCTCCTTGGGCGGTGTCTTGTTCCCCATCATCGTCAGTCGGATGATCCGCGAAACTAGCTTCGGCTGGACGATGCGAACTTGCGGGTTCCTGGTCTTAGGTCTCTGTTTGTTTGCCATTATCACTGTGCGCAGCCGACTACCGCCAAGAAAGACTCCAATGACCTTGATGGCTTTCATCCGCCCTCTGTCTGAGCCGCCAACCTTGTTCACCATCTTGGCGCTTTTTATGTTCTACTGGGGAATGTTCCCAATTTTCAGCTTTATAACGGTGGTTGCCAATGGACGTGGGATGTCGTTGGAGCTGTCCCAGTATCTGGTGTCAGTTCTCAACGCAGGATCAGTCTTCGGTCGAACCTTGCCTGGTATCCTCGGCGACAAGATCGGCCGATTCAATGTCATGAGCATATTTTGCATGTTCACTGTCATTCTTGTGCTTGGCCTTTGGATACCTGCGAACACGAATGCAGGTCAATTGGTGTTTGCCCCTCTTTTCGGCTTCAGTTCTGGCGCGGCTATTGGCCTGACACCGGCTCTTATTGCACAGATTTCACCCATCAAGGAGATCGGTGTTCGGGTGGGTGCTGCTTTCGCGGCAGGCTCAATCGGAGCTCTGACAGGAGCTCCCATCGGTGGCGCTTTGATTGCTCGCGACAATGGTGGCTTTCTCTACCTTCAGTTGTTCAGTGGCTGCACTTGTTTCGTCGGTGCCTTGCTGTTCATCCTTGCGAGGGTCAAAGTTGGGGGCACAAATCCAATGACAAAAGTCTAATTACGCTTCACTCTCGCTTGAGCGATGATAATATTTACAGTGTACAGCATGAAAGCTAGCATTGCGATGGAGTTGGATGAGAATTGCATAGATAGATCTCCCTTGTTTCTTGAGAACCCGTGTATAATTTATTCATATGACTCTCCCCCTCTCTCTTCCTCATCCGATAGCAGCAGGCTGGTTTTCACCACCCAAGTTTATGAAGCCGAACTGGTTCAGTTGGAAAACGCAGGCTGTTGGCTGCGGGCTGTCACCACCTGGGTTGGCTGTGTTCCAGGTTTCATTACTCGGCACTGCAGGTGGACTGGCAGAAAGGCTCGCGTCTAACCCTGATGCTTGCAGCGCGCATGGAGGTGGATGGAGCGTACCTGATCCTTATAAGTCGGCCAGGTCACACCATGTCATTTCGAGTTGTGATGGTCGTGAGCTTGGAAGTTCCAGGCTTCAACTTCAACTAGAGATGTGCGAGGTCCGGCAGGTTCGTGGAGGTCTGATGTTGTTTTCGTGATTGGAAGACTGGTGTTTACTCATAGTTCGATGCTGCAATCAAGGATGCTGGGGCTGCAGCAGCCAAGGCATGGTACCCGTACCAGCAGAGAGAGCTAGAGGCGTGGTGAGTCCCTTAGAGATGTCTTATTACAGAGGGTCTTCAAGGCCGCCACCAGAGTCCGAGTGAGGTGACCGTGAGGTATATGTTTTTGGAAGTTTGATATTCTGTCACCAATTGGTACCTAGGTTGTGTCCTGGCCTAGCTGGATGGACCATTCGTCCATACCACAGCATTGCGGGTTCTGCTTTGTGGAGTAATTAGAATACTAGTATTCTACCCAGTGTGGCACGGAGTTCCTTGGCTTCAGGACTTCCGAGCACTCAGTGTTGGGTTCGGCTGACAAAAATGATAGAACAATATTTGAACACTTTAATCTTCCTTTTTTTGGCAGTTGTCTACAATTTCTTGTTTGATTGAACGTGGTGAATCCTGTTCCGATGTCTTGGCAAGGCTGTCGTTGTAATGGAGGGGGCACCCACGTTGGATTTAATCGTGTTAGTTCCTATTATTGCGGTTATCTTTTTAAGAAAGCTGCTTGAAGTATCGACGTTCGAGAACCACTCGTTTCAGTACGCACATATTCATGGTACCTCGATATTCCTACACCTCGGAGTTCCATTACACTACTCAGGGATGTACTCTATCGAGCAAGGCAAACCGTAGAGCTCACTGACCGAATAACGAGGTTGGGGATTTGGTGAAGGCGATCGGTGGTATCCAGGACCATAGTACTCGAGTCCAAGGTGTGGTGGAAATAAGTTTCCATTCGATTGTGTGTCATGATGTATTGACTTTCCACGCGACGGGCTCATGTTGTAAAATTCATTCCAGGTAGTGGCTAATTTACTTCTCAGAGCCAGGCTATTACAAACGATGTTCGCTCTCATTCGGTCAGGAGGGCAAACTTCAACAGATCCTTTTCGATGACTTGATCCTTTTTGGACAACAACTCATCTAAGTCCCAGGTCGCAGATATCAGTCTTCCAGAAAGCCACTGGGTGTTCTTAAAATTCGCGGTGAGCCAGACACAAACGGCACCACAAAGGTCGACATCATCTGTTAAGTCTGTTAAGCACAAGTTAGCGATATTGAAGAAAGTGGTAGACGACTCGAGCTCACATGGGATAAATGCCTCAGGTGTATTACCTTCCGCCATTCTTGTCTTGACGGCACCTGGGTGTATGGCAACACTGAATAATCCCTTATCAGAGTACTGTTCCGCCAAATACTCGACTAGTCGGATCTGAGCCATTTTGCTGACAGTATAGCCGGTATTAGCAATGATGCCTCGTCGTATGCACCCCGCAATGGATCCAACCACAATGAATGATCTTAGACCTTCCACAGTTTCAAGAAGTAGCGGAACAAAGTAATGTGCTGCATGGTACGTTCCCATGGCGTTGATATCGAAAGCCTTCTGAACCCACTCAGGTTGCCCTTCGTCCATCTTCACCGTTACCGGCCCGGCGTAGCCTGCATTCAGTACCAAGACATCCAACCTTCCACATGAAGCACGCACGTGTTGAGCGAAGGCCTCAACCGAAGAGGCTTTGGAGACATCGCACTCGACGACATCGACATCAAGTTGTGTGTTGATCTGCTTCAGTTGCTTCTCCACAACTAACAAATCGCTCAATGTTCGAGAAGATATGATGATGCGAGAAGCACCAGCATATGCATATGCATAGGCAATATGCTCACCAATCCCAGTACTTGCTCCAATAATTGCCACGGTCAATCCTTTTGGTAGCGTGACATTTGCAGGGTTCAATGTTGATGGTACAGAGCTGTGGCTTATTTTGGTAAAACCATCAACATCTTTAACGCGAGGGTCCCCCATCTCGTTCGATACTGGTTGAAGAGAGCAGTTAAATTGCTGATTAATTGACATACAGAATATGTCTCCTGGAGAGGGCCGATGTTTAACCGATAGTTCAGCCTCAGTCTCGCACAGACAAACAGTCAGAAACAAGCAAATATTCTGGACACTTGATATGAGACGCAAAAATTAGTGAAATTAATAAATGCGGGCAGGTTATCTCGTGTTTATCCGTAGCTTTTGAGTGACCGTCTAATGTAGTTGCTGTCCACCAGCTGGGGTTTGTTATGGTGCTAATTGATGTAGATAGAGGTTTTGTTCAGTTATTTGCGTAGTGCTCTATCGCTTTACCATTATCGAAGAGGGGAATCCAGGGGAAAGTATCGGAATACTCAGGGCCCACTCCCTTCATAGCCTATTCAGTCATTGACGTTCTCTCGCAAAGCACTATACCGGTGTTATGGTGAATTTCCATCCCTCTCGAGTCTCAAGGGGCTACCATGTCTGTGTCAGGGCCGACTCAGGATATATCACAGGAGTGCACCATATCCATATTCGAGTCGTCAGTCACGGTGCAAATAATCGGATATGATGCACCCTGCATTGAATGCGCAGCTTTGCTTCACTCAGACACGATCTCGCACCACTGTTGACTGCCTCGTCCACACATCAAACTTACTTGCTCTCACCTTATCGTCTCACACTTTTCAAACCCCAATTGCTTCCAGATTTTGTCTTCTCAATCAAGAGACAGCCATGGCACCCAAAAAGCAAACTAAGCGCACTGCAGCACAGGCTCGCAAGAAGGCCATTCGCCAGCTTAACCGCGCCATCGAAGGACTCACTATAAACCAAGACACTAGCGAGACTGCGTGTCCACTACCTCCATCCCTTAAACGCAGAAAAGCGCAGAAAACCTCGAATCTCCCCAAACGCATCAAAGGCAGACACATTGGCCAGGAGTTACCGATTTGGCTCCACGTGGTCGATCCACAGAATCGCCATGTTACCCGCGAAGTCCAGGTCACTTTGAAACATGTTCAGAGTCTCAAGACCGTCAACGCCTTTGTTCAGAGCTCTTTCGGATTCGAGATGAAGCGCGCAGGCATCGATGCAGATCTTAAAGTCCGAGTGGGTCTCGCGACTTATGGTCCGTCGACTGACTTTTCGAATAACTCGATCGTCCGCCACACGCAAGGGTCCTTTACCTCTAACGATGATTTCAAGAGCTGGTGGTTAGGACTCAGTAATCTGTTGAAGAACGAGGGAGAGACAGTCAAAATTGCAGCCACTTTTTGGGACAAGATGGAAGCCGGAGAGAAAGGATTTGAGGTTCCAGCATTCTGGAATCACACAGGAGATAAGAGCACGGAGGCTTTGGGAAGTGAGATGGAGGAGCCAGAATGGAATATCGACCTCAACAATTTGGGACATGGACATCGAGGCGATGCAGCGATGCAAGAGCCAGAGAGAAATGGTCCACAAAAGCGCAGAGGCGGATCCAGACGCGACGCGAAAGGCAGAACAAAGGGCAACGAAAGAGAGCTTGCCATTTCTGTGATTGAGCAGGATGGAGATGTATTTATGGAGGATGCTCTAGTGAGTGGTTGAGTGAGGTCGTGCATGATTCAATCTTCGTGAATGGCGACGAGGTTTTGAGTCATTAGGATATTACTCACGTGACTGTAGAATGGGTGAATTCCCATGATGCAACGGAGATCTTGGACCATGAGCAGTGTAGAGAGCTAGAAATAGCACAGAACATGAACGATCGGGGTCATTGCCATCAAAGCTTCTTTGGCTAGTAGCCTTCCCGACCCGTAGCTCGAGCTGCTTGCTATTGGCTCAGTTTGAGGCGTGTACGTCGATCGTTGGCCAGGTCTCATCCTCTGCCGGCATGCAGCACACCTCTGGCCAGCTGCTGGTGTCGTCCACATGACACTTGAAGGATTAGCACAGCCCGAAAGTTGCGAACGAGAGCAACATTGCAGATAGAACACCCTAGGAGAACGGCCAGGTTGGACGCGAAGGACTTTGGATTAAAAACCTGACGCATCTTGTACAGAAAAGGAAACCAGCTACTTGTCAGGGGACAAGCGCACGCCCAGGAAGCCCAGAATGCCGACTGTTCCGCCTCAGGCTTCGTCACAGCCTAGAGAGCCCACTACGGGGCCTGGGTAGCCTGAGATAGGTGGCATACAGTCACAGTTGGGGCTTGCCTCGCCACCTGGATATCTGTTCCAGCTGGGCAGCATCATGATTCTCACATGGGTATCAATTTTTCCATGTGCGTTGAGCCGAGTCTCCATATTTCGTGCAGACAAGGGATCAAGGCTACGCCGGACAAGCACCCTCAAGTCCACGAGTAGCATATGGAGATACTTCAAAGCGAGCAATGGATTAACTATTCGGTATAGTAATGCTTGCATATCCGCGTCCAGTCAGGTCACCTTTGCATCCGAGCTGAGTTTTGAGACCGCCCGGGCACCAAATCCATCTCCAGGAGCATCCCATGAGGCCTCGGCCGTGCCAATAAATCCTCTAGGGTGCGACAAGCAACAAGCCACTCCGCCCATATTCGTGTTCTTGTCCACGCCGCTGCACACTGCGAAACTCCACCCCATTTGCAACCGACCTTAACTCTGTTTTTTTGGAAGCCGGGTTTTCTGGGTCAGGTTTCTGTTCCAAACGCTTCGTCTCCCAACCTCACGGTTAAACTCCTCTCTTTTCCCACCTCTTTCTTTATTCTTGGTCACTCACTGCACTCATTCACTATCATACGTATCTGCACCGTTGGCACACACCACCTTCGCTTGGTCCTTTCGCTCAATCGCTCAATCGTCAGTCGCGTTTGCCCATCATGCTCGGCCTTCGAAAAGCACTCGTGTTCAGCACATTCCTCCTGGGTGCATTGAGCTCGCCACGACATACCTCGGAGGATGATAAGTCTTTAGTCAACTGGGAGTCTTTCCAGGCCCTACTTGACAGCATCGACCCTGCTGCATTACATTCAGTGCTACACTCGCTATCCCCCAAATTCCAAGATGGTGTTTTCAGCAAAGATCGATCTGCCATCGAACACGTCCATTCCGAGAATCCAATCATCGCAAGCAAGCTTGTACATATCGCAAAGAAGAGACAAGACAGTAACTCTACCACAACTGCTTCCACCACCACCAGCGCGAGCACTCCCGCTCAAAGCAGTGCAGAAGAGCAATCAAGTTCGAGGGCAGCTAGTGTGTCTTCAATTCTCTCATCTGCCATCCTCGCATCAACCGTTCCGGGCGCTACCACAGTCACAGTAGCTCCATCTGCACCTGCATCTGCCACCGCTGTCGCAACCACCGATGGTGCTGTCGTCTTCAGTACTGTAGGCGGCGGATTGGTCACATTGACCTCTTCCGCCGTCGGTGTAAGCTTCTCACCCAGCACCTCCACTCACCTTTATTACGCCACAGCAGCCGACGGTTCTATTTCCACATCGACATCTGTGGTTGTGGTCAATGCACCGGTCACTGACAGCCCTGACGCAACGGGCGCGGCTGGGGCAGCAGCTACCACTGGTGGCAATCCCGGACTGCAAGACGCTGCGGCCTCGATAAAGATTTCGAGTTTCCTGTTGGCGTTTGCTGGCCTGGGAGCATTCCTCTTTGTCCAGTAAGAATAACAGCGATGGATGGGCAACAGTCCCATAATATTTTCTCGCTTGTGGAATATCTCGGCGATGGTGATGCTCTTTTTCCAGCACACACAACGATTTTACGGCTCCAGCATTTCTCTCTTTAACGCAATCTGCAATGGGCATAGCTATTGGCGTTGAAGATCACATAAACTGTGATCTTTGTTTCGTGGTTTTGGGTTAAAGGTCGGTCGGTGGCCTTATGTACATGATTGGGAATATAACCCTTTGATGGGTAACGAATATAGAAACCAGAGTCTGGATGAAGCAATATGGGTGTTTGAAGGAGGTTTGTGACTGTGACCACAAATATTCGAGGTCTCGGGGTACAAAATGTGTGGAAGCATTTGATCAAATACCTTGAATTGAATGAATTTCCCTATACTATCGTCTTGGACATTTAACGCTTTGGTATTGCTGCTGCCGTGATTTCTCGCACTTTCGACCCTCTTGCACTTCAAGTTGGAGGGTGATGCCACTGCGTCCTGATGGGTAATAGGTTGTTGTGTCTCGTTGCCTGTAACTCAGAACAGATCATGTCTCAATTGCATTGTTTGATATACCAAATGGATTTTTGGACGGCTATTTAGATTTGGCATCTACAACTCAGAACGTGAATGGATGTTCACACACTCAATATGTATTGAATAGGGAGATCCATACAAGCATTCCTAATCTCCTATCTAATCTCAGGTTGTGGACCTTGAATCACCTTGAACAGTGAACACGATCCAGCTATACTGATTACTTTGATTAGGGTAGACCAAGGAACTCCATGATAGTACCATTTGCAGGGAGAGAATGGAGCAGACTGATGATCAAGCAGGCGACTACCCTGACACAAATGCTGAAGCAGGGGTTGTTTGAAACAACAGTCAAGTGATGATCGTGGCAGTGCAATGTTTTGGAGATGCAAAAAAATCCGAAGGCTACACTACTACACTGCACGGTCTGTCCTCATTCGCAGAGATTAGTGTGATCGTGTCAAGCGTCATGATAGATGTGCTAAAAAGTGCTTGAGCACCAAGCGGGATTGCCCAGCAAGCAAAAAGATACGAAGTAAATTGGAATTTGTGGTGTGCCACCTTTTGGTTGAGAGACCCCTGGAACCAATGCGAAACTTGTGCCAATTGAAAGCAGCAGTGTGCCAGATGGGGGTGGGGTGGAGTGGCGAGTGCAGGTTATCTGCATCTTGTTCCAGTGAAGAAGCAGGGGTCATGGAGTGACGAACAACGGGTGCGGCTTGCGCCAAAACTGCTGAACTGGAGAAACATCGACAGGGGCTGGGCACCGCCAATTGAACAAGCCCTCTCGGCCTCGGGCCCCTGCCCAGAACGAATTGCTTTGGTGGTGCTTGACGGTGGCTTCGTGACTCGTGCCTTCCTTTCACGTTTCCTGCCTTTCTATCAACCAAATTCTTTTCCTGCCTTCCAACTTTTGCCTGTCTTCACCGTTCGTTATTTGTTATTCAACGGTGTCGCTCCTCCCTCGTTTATACAACTCAGTGTCATACTGAAGTTTAATAACTTTTGATCTCTTCTGTTGGGAATTCTCACTCTTTCGGATCCCTACCACCCTTTCTTGCTGCCCCTTATACAAACTTCCACCATTTTCATCTCGCTTGGCTGCGTCGAATATATCCTTCACGAGCCCGATCTTTTATCCTCGGATTCTTAGGACACGCGTATATTCACCATGCGGACCTCAATTCTTACGGCCGCTGCTGTCGGTGCAGGCTCCGTTGCTGCTGGTGCATTGAAGCCCAGAGCAGACTTGCCAGCCGTCTCAGTCAAGGGAAATGGTACATGACACATCTCTGCAGGGCTTTGATCCTCCTGCTAACCTTCAGCTTAGCTTTCTTTGCCGGAAATGACCGATTCTATATTCGTGGCGTTGACTATCAACCTGGTGGTTCCTCCGACGTCGCTGATCCCATTGCCGATTCCGCGGGTTGTGCTCGAGATATCGAATACTTCAAGAAGCTGGGCATCAATACTGTCCGAGTGTACACCGTCGACAACAGTGCGGACCACGACACATGCATGAGCGCTTTGGCAGATGCTGGCATCTACCTGGTTCTCGATGTCAACACCCCCCTGTATTCGTTGAACCGTGCCAACCCCGGTCCTTCATACAACGATGCCTATCTACAGAACATCTTTGCAACAATCGACAAGTTCCAGAAGTACACAAATACTTTGGCTTTCTTCTCTGGCAACGAGGTTATCAATGACCCAGAGACATCCATCACTGCCCCCTACGTCAAGGCTGTCACACGAGATATTCGTCAATATATCCGCAACCGTGGATACCGCACTATCCCTGTTGGTTACTCAGCTGCCGATGTGAGCGAGAATCGTATGGAGATGGCTCAATATATGAACTGCGGCACTGATGATGAGCGCTCCGACTTCTTTGCTTTCAACGATTATTCTTGGTGCTCTCCTTCGAGTTTCCAGGTTTCTGGGTGGGATCAGAAGGTCAAGAATTTCACTGGTTATGGCCTTCCTATCTTCCTCTCTGAGTATGGTTGCAACACAAACAAACGTGACTTTGGAGAGGTTGCATCACTTTATAGCACCGACATGACAGGAGTTTACTCTGGCGGTTTGGTCTATGAATATTCTCAGGAGCCCAGCAACTATGGACTCGTTGATCTCAGTGGTGGTTCTGTTGAGGAACTACCCGATTTCCAAGCTTTGGCCGATGCTTATGCAAAGACTGCCAATCCTCAAGGCGATGGTGGTTACAGCAGTACCCAAGCCACATCTGAATGCCCTGCATTTTCCGACCCCAACTGGCTTGTAAAGGGCAACAGTCTGCCAGCCATTCCTGAGGGCGCCGTCAAATACATGACATCTTCTGATGGTGCTGGTGCTGGCCCTGGCCTTTCAGGCCCTGGCTCTCAGAACGCTGGTGGTGCATCTACTGGAACTGCCACTGCTGGTAGTGGAGCAGCCACCAGAACTGGTGAGTCTGGTAGTAGCTCGACCAGCTCGGGTAACGCTGCTTCTGGCTTGGTCGCCCCTCAATGGACTCTTGCTCCTTTGGTGTGTGGTGCCGTCACAGTGCTGTCCATGGTTTTTGGGGCTTCCTTGTTGTAAGTTGGTTCGGTTGCTTGAGCGACTATATATTTGGTGAGGACTTTATGATGAAATTGGCGAAGAGTTTGACCGCAACAGAAGGTCATTCTCTTGAGGTTTCCTTTGCTTTGTGGTCCAGATGTTGGAATGATGGCGTGTCAGCAAGACGGGTATTTGCGACTACTTTCCTGGCGCAATAGATCGCTTCCTCTGTTAAGCAATGAAATCAATCAATAATCATTTTTTCGCTTTCTCCTTCGCTTTCACAGTGTTTAATGCCGTTTTAGTCTGCTTCACATCCCATGGCCCATCAAACCAGACGTCATTCTTCACAATTAGCCTTCCTTCAGGAGTGAAGTTCACACCCTCTTCCTTGAGAAGGTCAAGTTTCATGCTCTGATTGATCCCCGAAGGCGCCTTTTCCCAGTCCCCTTTGAAGCCTCCCACGAAGCCGTCACTCGCTATCACTCGATGACAAGGGACCTCTGGAGCGAACGGATTGCAGCGCAGTGCGCCTCCCACAGCACGAGGCGAGGAATTCAACGCACGTGCGAGGTTGCCGTATGTCGTCACTTTGCCGGATGGTATAACAAGGAGATGAGCATAGACCCGCTGGGTTAAATCGTTAGTGACATCCTTGAGATTGAGAGTCAGGAGGAATGGGTGAGACGAACTTCTTGAAATTCTGTTACTGGCATCTTGAAGTCTGGAAACTGAGGGTTTTGGCGGATGAAGATGGATGTATTGCTTCTCAAGCGAATGAAGAACTTGCCACGTACATATATGTCAAAGCCGATCGGTCATCAAGAGGCGTTCATGCTTCTTGACTCACCAGCTGTTGTAAGAATTGATAAGGCGCGCTCTAATTGGTCATATTGAGAGCAACACGGTGCGCGTAATTCACGCGAGACCACGTGCCGCGCTGGGAGTGACTCGATCCTCGTATTTCAGCCTCATCAGCCTTTTTCAAAATCTCTCGTCTTGAAATCTACTGTTTATGCTTTAGGATTCAGCCACACCACAGTCCGCAGCCCACACGGCCCAGAGCATATACCTTATGGGCTTCATGATCTTGCCGCATGATTTGCCTGTCTTGTACGCCGTGCGCAGGAGGTGATCCTCCCTTGCTCTTTGCGGCGCTTTCTTCGGCTGGATGTCATGCCCAAGGTAGTTTGATAGCCTGGCAAGGCTGACACTCTGCCGGACTCCGGAGCCTCAACTGCGGACCTCCTCATCTCGTGTCTGCACATGCCACTCTATGTTTTTCCTGTTCCGCCTTGGCTTCTAGGTTCACAGCAGCTGAATCTCGAGCATGCCTCGACTCGAAGTTTCCGAGTGGAAGTGGGCATCGTGTCTTCGTCGAATGTGGCTTATTGACATTTGGTACACAGTACTTCTACTCCCCCAGACCGCACATGTGGTCTGTAATGATTGAAGTGCCTGTTCCTGTCATCGTCATTCCGAACACTACCTCACGGTTACCCAGCGGACGTCAGAAGTCGTGGATTCCCCAACTGGGTCTTTCAGCTGAACACTCTACCCTGTAGTAGTTGATTACGGCGGGCAACAGTATGAGAAATAGGGCTCACGATGCACAAATTTTGTCATGCCCTGGGTGCCGGTCCAGAATGCAGCAATGCATCGAGCCTAGCCTTTTGAAATAGGCCAAGTCCAAGCCTGGAGCCGCTTCAGGACATGTCCTATAATAGGGCGCAAGGCAACCTCACATTATCGCACTTGCCAAACTACCATCTTTGCGGTAAACTCAACATGTATCGAGAATTCCCTCGAATGGATACCTTGTGACTTGTTTTCCAGGCGTCGGACTTCCATGCACACCTGTAATATCGACCAATTTCTATGCCTCATTCTCGCCTGCCCTTTTTGACAGGAAGAGAACTGCGGTGGCTCAGCGGAGCACCTTGGTTATACTCCAGTGAGTCTTGTTGGCGGATTTGTGACAGAAGGTGCGACGGTTGCGCCTCTAAAGGATCCAATCCTTCATCTCCTATAAATAGTGAAACCCTTTGACCGTTCGACTTCCATTTCCACTTCGCTTATCTAGTGGCCCCAACTCTGTCGGTTAAGTGGTATTTCAGATTCTAGTTTTGGTCATTGTGTTTCAATATGACGAGTTACATACCTGATCCAACTCCTCCAACAATTGACCGGGGGTCAACCGCTCTAGTCACCCGTGGACCAGGCTTTGACTCCGGAAATCGAATAACAGAAATCTCATCACCTGACTTTTCTGCTGGCCCACAAGATATTCATGGCCACCAGGATGACATCTTAGACCGGTTAGCTGGTCATTACACGCCTTTTGAGGGCTATGACTTCCTTGTCAGGGCGTTCGAGAAAACCGTCAGAGGTAATCTTCGTGCAAGCTTCAGGGATGGCAATCGACTTGCAGAGGTCATTGATGGCACCATTACACCAAAGGTTGGTATCACTTTTCTGGCCGGTGCAGACAACCCTCAGGTCAACCAGATGGAACAAATCTCCATGTCAAGACTGGAACCAGACCAAAAGGATGCTTCCTGGCGTGTCAATACTGCCGGTGCTCTATTGAAGAATTTCGAGTTTGATCAATCAATGAGTATCATCTGCTCTGATAACACATCTGCAGTCGTTGCTTCAGCTCGTCAACGAGCAAGTGTCAGTGGGCCATTCGTCGAGTCTACTTCGCCATCGAATCAGAGAGCGTTGGCAATTCGAAATCCAATGAATCAGGTTGTGACTATTGATAGCGAGAGTGTTATCATTGTGAACTCTTTATCTGGCGAAAATTGGGATCTCGAAGGTGTCTTGATTGAGGTCGACCAATCCAGCCTTATGGCTGTGATAGTCAATTATCGAAAAATCATCCAACGTGGTGGTGCTAATTTGCCAGGTGGTGAGACGGTGAGTTATCCCAGTGACCTCTTTGTCCTCTCAAGGTCGCTGTTGACGAAAAGAAGATCAAACTCCTTGACCAGATGATCGAGGACGCTCGACGACTGTGCATCAGAAGTCCAACATTATTTCGCATGGCAACCAGGCGACACATAATTTCCTCCAAGAACACTAGATATGGAGTTGACAATGGAAACATGTTCCAGACCTTGACCACTAGCAGTGGAATCAAGAACATTATCTCACTCAGTGCTGCATACTTCAATTCTCTTGCATCGTATAATACGGCAGCACAACAGCTTATCCGACCGAGGTTTCTCCAGATGCTTGTGCTCTTGTTGTCACTGCTAAACGATGGTAAGCTCGCCTTTGAGAGTCACCTTGTGTGAGAGCATTTCCTCAATCAAAGATTCCTGGCCTTCCTACTTTCGCACACCTCGAAGTGCGTCACCTCATAGCATATCACTGACTTGTCTTCCAATAGATGATCTACACGAGCTTGCAGAATTTCTCGAAGTAACGTACAGGATTCGCGCCGAAAGACAGCACCTCGAGCTTCTGGTCCTGAAGGTCCTTCCACTAATATCAATAAACTCGAAAATCTTCCTCAACGGCCTCATCACTGCATTCGAAGGTCCATTGGTGAATCCATCGCCACACTTGGTCGATCAGCCGGAGATTTGGAGGTTATTTTTGCTGCGGCTACTTCGACATGATTACATGTTGCCCGGCACAATCGAACAATTAACTGATCAAAATTTCTCCTGGGTTAGCAAATGGCCTGAAGATGGATACAGAGACTCAAGGGTTTTCCGACATCTACAATACTCTGGTCGTGCAAGAGCATTCAATGAGATTCCCCCAATTGATTTCCACACGGAACACAACTCCACCGAGGTTACAGCCGTTTTTACCAACGGATGTCGATACATTGTGTCAGTGGGAGACTTGGAAAATATCATTCGGATGGTTCCTGGTCGGTATGCCCTCACAGAAGCCGTACCTGAAGGCCGTCACTTTGACTTGGATATCACAGAGGTTCAGGTTAATGAACCACTCTATCGAGCAATCTGGGAAGTCAACTCGATCCTTACAACAGTGAAAGGAATTCTTCCTGCACGACGAAGATCTGGGATCGTTGATAGATTAGCTGCTATTCTAGGAAGTGGAGGGAACAAGAATAGTGAAGGTGCATCACTGCCGGAGGTCAAGGGATCTGGTCGTTTGACTTACCACGCCGCCACACTTAACGGACAAATGCTTGCAGTTGCCTATAAAGTTGAAGGCCGGAAGATCACTCGCAGAGAACTCGTCCGCCATATCGCATCAGACTTGGGCAAAATGATGGCGACCATGGATGCAATCGAGACAGCCGTACAACAAGCCTCGGAAGAGAAAAAGAAGGACGATCGCATCCGACAAACCGTCCACAGCCTGCGAACCGCTTTAGGCTCCGTGGGCCAGCTCTACCGTTCGGCAGAAGAGAATAAGCAAAAGATGGAAAACTTCTCGACCAAACTTGGTGATGAGCCAATCTCCAAAGTTCTCTATCCTATAGGTTCTGACGAGACACCACTAGGGATCTGGAACAATTACAGAGCTTGGTACGTGGGAGGAGACAATGTCCTCTACATTGAATCACACCGAAGGGCTGTCAGATCAGTCGCTTGGCATGACGAGTCAGTCATGGAGGTGACCTTCCACCAGCAAGACGCCAAATACTACCTAACACCTCTCCGAAAGCTGCAAGAAGACGAACGCGATGAAGAGTTGAAGCCAAATGATCAGGTCATCCTCGCGGGCCAATATATCATCGTCGTTGAATCGAATGGTCAGATGTTCGTGCCCAATTCAGAGGCAGATGGAAGGCACAATACCAACAATTCGAGATCTGCTGGTGGCGGTACCAGTCCAGAAGGAGGAAACGGAAGGCAACAGATTCCCCTTGAAAAAATGCTGAACTGGTTGAAGATCACTGGTGTCGAGACACCGAGACGAAAGAGACGGAATCCTCAACAAGAGATGAGCCAGATTGTGAGGAGCGCAATTAGATGAGTTGATACTTTTTGTATGCACCAGTTACTCGGTGCTTGACAGAAATCGTAGATCTAGTTAATCTACATGTTTCATAAAATAATGATGATCCCATTCCTCAGCCACATTCCATGTCATGTCCATAGAGAGTCTCTGGCGCAGACACTCATTGATCACGCACACAATGACATATCCCAGCAAAGATATCATTGAAGTCCTCAAGTTGGTGGCCAGGAACATGAACAAGATCTCCATCCACCCAACGAGCCCTGCCATTCGCCATGAAAGGGACCGCCGACGGCGAGACATGGGCCGACGCCTTTTGGCCTGGGGTTGGGACAGAACACCAATCACCCCACGTCACTGCTTCGAGACAACGACAGCATTCGTGGAGCATCGTGATTTGCATTTGGACATCACCGTGCTGGTTTCTGCAGAATTAGACATGATCTGAAGATCTGACGTTGCACTGTAATTAATTTGAAGCGTTGACTGAACGATCACTCTGCCGGGATTTGGTCAGTGTACATCACGGCGGGATATGATGTCTTGAATTATATTATGCAAGAGAGCGAGGAAGTCGATGTATGACTTTGATATTTCATATATACATATAAAACAAACTCCACGAGAAGCTGAGCTTGAGTTGGTTTGCTCCTGGACTTTCTCAACCGACAAGCATTCATTATTCTCTGTCTCAAACCTACTCAAACCTGCTATCTTCCTCCAGCTTCAGAACCACGCGTTCTACCTTTCCTAACCCAGACCAGGGACCTGAACAACTAGCCTAGAATTGACATCTGAGAACGACAAGGAAGAAGGGGATAGATCTCTCAGATCCCTAAACCAGCAAAATGTCAGGCTCAACAAGCACCAATCCCTCGGTCTTCCTGTATGGACCAGGCAATGCAAAGATCCAGGACAGACCCGAGCCTCAGATCACCGACCCAGCAGACGCGATCGTGCGCATCAAGTTCGTCGGTGTCTGCGGCAGCGATGTATGTATGGCATGCTCTGGCCCATCCCCAGCCATCCTCACCCAGAAACCAAAGAAATAACAGTCAGTACGCCAAACTAACTCTCCACGCGCACAGGTCCACTTCTGGACACACGGCGGGATCAACAACAAGAACGTCTCCGCCGAGCACCCACTGATAATGGGCCACGAAGCATCCGGGACCATCCATGCGGTCGGCCCGTCCGTGACACACCTGCGCCCAGGCGACAGCGTGGCGATCGAACCCGGCGTGCCATGCCGGACCTGCACGCGCTGCAAAGAAGGGCTGTACAACCTCTGTCCGTCGATGAAATTCGCAGCCTGTCCGCCCGACACGCACGGCACGCTCACCAAGTACTTCAAGCTGTCCGCCGACCTGTGCTATAAGCTGCCGCCGGGCGTGTCGCTGCAGGAGGGCGTGCTGGCGGAGCCACTGGCCGTCGCGGCGCACGCGGTGCGCATGATCGACGTGAGGCCCGCGAAAACGGGTTGTGTCGTCGTGTTTGGCGCGGGCACGATCGGGCTGTTGTGTGCGGCTGTGGCGCGGCAATTTGGGGCGAAGACCGTCGTGGCCGTGGATTTGCTGCCGCACAAGCTTGAGTTCGCGCGGGGGTTTTGTGGTGCCAGGACCTATGTCCCGGACTTGGGGATGAGTCCGGAGGAGAATGCGAAGCGGTTGATTAAAGAGCATGGATTGGGGGATGGTGCGGATGCCGTGATCGAGGCGTCCGGTGCCGAGAGCTCGATCGTCACGGCTGTGCATGTCCTGCGACCTGGAGGGCATTGTGTGCAGACGGGACTGGGGAAGGCGGTGGTCGGGTTTCCCATTCTCGCCATGTCTGAGAAGGAGTTGCATATGCATGGTGCGTTTCGGTATGGGCCGGGGGACTATCAGGTCGCAATGGATGTGCTCGAGGCGAGGAGTATTCCTGTCAAGAGTCTGATCTCTAGGATATTTGACTTCGACAATACCACTGATGCATGGGAGGCGACGAAGAGAGGACAGGGGATCAAGAATATGATTCGTGGGTATGGATACAAAGATCCTGCGAGGACGCATTTATAGTTTGGGTTGAAGCCCTGTTATATTGTCCCTAGTTTTGACTAATTAGATGGATCCAAGCCTGCCTGGAACAAACTCGAATTCCATCTTCCGAGCAGCATCCCATCATGACATGTTAGCCCAATTCATGAGATATTAAGGACCCTGTACCGTTATAAGGTCAATCAATAAATAATGTACAATTTGGTGGGAGAGCAGAAAAAAGCAGTCGCACACTAATGTTGACTCCACTCAATAGTGTTGAGATCAACACCTTCCTGTACAAGTTCCCAGAGAGGACTGAGTTCTCTCAAGAACGTGACTCGTTCCTGAACGGCCTTCAGAACGTAATCAATCTCGCTGGTGGTAGTGAATCGTCCAATACCAAACCGAATACTGCTATGAGCACTCTCATCACTGTTTCCAAGAGCTCGTAAAACGTAGCTCGGTTCCAGAGATGCAGATGTGCAAGCACTGCCGGATGATAAAGCAATATCTTTCAGAGCCATCAGAAGCGATTCTCCCTCGACATAAGCAAATGAAACATTTACACAGCCAGGATATCGTTTCTCGGCATCCCCGTTCTGAGAGGTATGTTCCAATGACAGGAGTCCGTTCATCAAGCGGTCCGAAAGATACTTGATTCTCTTTGAATCATACTGTACGAAAGCGGTCAGTTGAAGGCAATAAAGGATTATCAATAACAAGATAAAGAATCAGGGCAACCAAATCATAACCCCTGCTATGCAAATCAAGGTGTCGGTCAAGAGCACTCAGAAAGCCATGCATGTTAAGTAAAGCGTATAATCATAAGACGGAATAAAACTGTGAAAGTAGGGGATGAGCTTACCTCCATCTCTGCCTTTGCAATACGGCAGGCCTCACCGAAGCCAACCACGAGGTGAGGAGCAAGTGTACCACTGCGAAGACCTCTTTCTTGACCTCCGCCACTGATGATCGGATCTAATCTGACACGGGGACGTCTTCTTACATAACAGGCACCAATACCTTTGGGACCGTAAATCTTGTGGCTGGAGATTGACATGAGATCAACATTCCACTTGTTGACATCGATCGGAATTTTGCCCACAGCCTGAGCACCATCGGTGTGGAAATAAACTTTCTTGGAGCGGCATAGACGACCAATTTCCTCAACTGGCTGAATGACACCAATTTCGTTGTTGACAGTCATGATGCTGACCAGGGCAGTCTCAGGCTTTATGGCGTCCTCAAGTTGTTTGAGATCGATCAATCCATTACTTTGAACGGGCAGATATGTGACCTCGAACCCTTCATCTTGCATGTGACGGCAAGAATCCAGAACACATTTATGCTCGGTCTGAGATGTGATGATATGCTTCTTTTTGCCAGCCCTGCCGAAGAATCTGGCAACGCCTTTGATACTCATGTTATTACTCTCAGTGGCGCCACTTGTGAAGATGATCTCTTTCGGATCGGCACCGATCAATGTCGCAATATGTTCACGGGCCTGTTCGGAAGCTTTATCACTCTCCCAACCATAAGCGTGTGTTCGCGAATGAGGGTTACCATATAACCCAGTAAGGAAAGGAAGCATTGCGTCGAGTACGCGAGGATCAACGGGAGTTGTGGCTTGTGCATCCAAATAAATCGGGCGAGTGCCCTGATCCATGATTGTAGCTTGTTTTAAGATGCCCGCTTGGGGGCTCATCATTGCATCGCCTGACAATCCTGTTACAGGGTTGTGCACCTGCGACGGAAGGTTGCCCGTCTCATTGATGAATTTTTTCTGGTCGGCCTTGATGGCCGATTCAACGTCGGTTACCTGAGCCTGAGTTGGCTTCGATTCAGATACATAATTGCGTCGTTGTGATAGCCGAGCAGTGGCCACGACACTAGCTTGGAGGTGTCGTAACGGAAGAACGGTCTGTGAGGAAAGTCGATTTGTGCAGACACGGGAGGTATGCCTGATAACAGAGGAAGCTGGACCGGACATGTTGAACGAAGGGTCAGACCAGCTGACTGGTGTCCGTTGTGCTGTTGTTTCTAGAAATTGATCTGACGAGAAAGATCCAGGATCAGTAAGAAGAGAAACGAGATGAATGGCGATGTCGAGAGATGGGGAAAAACAGAAGGCGGAGGCAAAAAGATGGGAATGAGTCAATCTGATAAGATTTGGGGTTCGGCCGAGCACTTGATCTGCTTCGGTCATCAAACGCTTCGGAGTACGGCGCAACATTAAGACCCGAGACGTCTATAATTATCCGACGACAAGAACAGAAAAAACTAACCCGAATGCCATGTTGAGGCCACGATTCGATAGTCGCTTGGATAATAAAATACTTAGACATAACTGGGCACTCAGCGGACGTCAGAATTCGTGGATCACCTAAATACGTCTTTCAGCTGAGACTCTACCCTAAAATCGATGAGCACGGCGGGCGACGGGGTAGGGAACAGCGCGTTCGTGATCACTCTAGTCAAGACAGTATGTGTAATGTCGTTCATCATGCTAACCCCATTTACAGTATGGCCCATTCAATGCACCGATGAACAAGGAGTCCCGGTAGGTCTCACACCATTCCTTGAGTTCCTCGGAGAGATCAAGGTGACTCTTCCTTGGATCCCAGAAATTGGAGGGGAGGGATGTGGACGGTCCGCCATGAATACTACTGTCACCAGCATCCTCAATGGTCTTGGTGTCGAGTTGAACGATGGCGGCTCGTAGAACCACATCCAAACGGCGTGCCAACCTCCATCTCCGCCCACACATATTCAGTGCATGCATTAATGTATCGAACATTGGTTCACGGGCTTGTCTCATGTTGTGGTAGACGATGAGCTTCATTCGAGCAGCGACGAAGAGCAAATGTGCTAGTAGTGGGGTGTTCAGCTCGGCGTCAGCATCGCTGATTCCTCGAAATGCGAGTACCAGGTCCTCCGAGGCCTGTAAACATCTTCGTAAGGGAAGCTCGCCGAAATCCGTAGATACACTCCCGTTTTCAAATCGCAGTAATCGTTGGTAGAGAACAATAATACTGGCATGTGATAAGACAGTCGTATGCATCAGGTTCGGATCAAAATCGATTAATCCATCGGATAAAATGGTGTAGCTCGATTTAGGTTGCGCTTGGACATAGCCAAGCAGATTGTGGTAGATTTCGTCACACGTCGCAAGTGCTTCAACGTTCGAGTTTTCGTATCGGAACCGTTCATGTTCGTCAATGAATGCGTGTAGTGGTTGCAGGGCAATCGCTGCCAAATGGGCGTGTGTCCGGTAGGTGTCTTTGAGATCGGGTGCACTAACGTACGCAACGCTTGAGAGGTGATCGACGAGTGCAGCAGAAACATCGCGCCAGGACACACCAAGTGTAGTCGTTGCATCAAGTGCGAGCGTGGCCCAAGTGACAGGTATTGCCAGCTCATCTCCTGTTTTGTTGCTTCCCAATGCCGGAGGACCAATCTGAGTCGGGCTTTGGTGTTGCATTTGACTAAGGAGTTTTCGAAACAGCCCAATATTCTCGCACATCCGTCGGCAAACAGACATTAGACTGAAAGTACTTGGGATATTGTCTGCTCCATAGTCAAGTATTGCGATGATCAGAAGTGACTGGACGGAGCTTAGTGTTGCCTTGGATAGTGCTTCGTTCAGAACTTGAGATCTGAGATGTCGAGAGAGCCGATATCTGCCATGGTATCCTAAACAAATTGCTTGACTAGAATACGATAGCTGTAGTGCAATCACGGCTCTCAACACGATATCATCAATATGAGACACTGGTGTGGGCAGTTCTTCTAGAGCTTTCTGTATGTGTTGTTGGTTCACAATAGGAAACCAGGACTGAGTCTCCTTGAAATATTGATCGGCAAGGCTGAACAAGTACTCTCGTGGAAGGCCAATCAGGTCAGATACGGCGTCATTGGGGTCAAACTGCGACCCAAGCCGACTCCAACGCGAAAGTTCTGGGCTTCTGACTGCCGGTGTACTATTTGAGATGGAAGATGTCACCGTGGAATGGGGAGTATTTGGTTCATTGAAAACCACGGCTGGTACTGTCGTAGGAGAAAGCCCACTCGATATAGAAGACTGAACTTGGGGAGATTGGATGACCGTGTTGTTCTTCAAGTTGAGAATTTCTTGCTCCAGTCTTTCTACATCGCAGTCTTCAGCATCTTGGTACCTCGGGTTGGGGCCACACTGGAAGGAAGACCTACCTAGCCTTTCTGGTGACGAGTCAGTGGCGGGAGTCAGTGGTAGTTGCAAATTCCTGAGATTGGAGATTTCATTCTCAAGGCTTTCTATCAGGAACGATCAGTATTATTTGTCTTACTTCCAAAGGTTGACTTACCTATACGACTCTCTAATTGCGATACATAACCAGCACGAAGGCCACGTTTCTTTGGCTTTGAAACATACTGACATGCGACTTTCGCTTTGATACAGAAGCCGCAACGGGGTAAAGTACGGTCGCATTTTGTCTTGCGCTGCCGGCAAAGGAAGCAACTGTGATTTCGGGAGGTACAGGTTAGTTATCACGAATCGCAGTCTTGAAGACATGGGGCGAACACTTCGATGCTCACTTACACAGTACTGCTTCTTTGCTCGGAGGCAGTGGATTCTGGGCTATCTGAACGCATCACGCTCTGACGAAGCTTTAGGAGGAAGAGTCAAAGCACAGAATCAAAGGCGAAGTTCCAGACTACATTGTGGTATATTGTGGAGATCGCTCGCATCAGGTACGACATCATAGCGACCCTCAAAGAGGTGCTGACAGTGATCGGGACGAGTTGGCCCGGAGTTGGAGGCTCAAGGCCACTGCTAACTGCAGGGAGGAACCGAGTCAATAATGGAGAAGACCAGTCATCTCAGGCTTGACCTAAAGTTGTCGGCTCCTCGGGCGCGTCATGGCCCGGAAGTTGGTCAGGGTTTAGGGCTGCATGTCCTCGTCCGGTAGTCGAGCCGGGCGGCGAGCTTTACTGCTGCGGGGTGACGTTCTGTGCTGTTCAACCAATACGAGGGGTACCCAAGCAAAGCCCCTCGGCCCTTAAAACCCTTGGAATGCAAATGTCACCCCACCAACATTGATCAACCACTTTTGCTGCTCATTTAAAACTTGTGCATCTTTATTTCTCGTTGAAGAAAACTTGACGTCCAGAATAATGTCAAGTTCGATATCGGCGCTGACTCAACACCAAATGTCATCGCTCCATTAATTCTAATCATCATACAATCCACCATCCAGTTCAATTGGTCCCACGCCTTCTTTTCTTGTGCTTGAAATTACCCCCTCTATGTTTCCATTCTCTCGCATTTGCCCGGCCAGACCCGCGTGCTTGTTGACCTAGCCCAACACCATGAAAAAAGCCTCCTCGAATCCTCGGACCTGGTCCTGTTCTCCGAGACTTCCATCTGCCCACCAAGTTACCACCATTTTTTACCCCGTGACATCCATGGTTGGTACCGTACTTGGTACTTTTTTCTTCTCTCTTTCTCTCGTACTTTTATGCTGCTGACCAATGTCACCACTTCCTTGTGCTCAAGGTATTTGAGAGAAGCCCATCGTTCCGTCGACTGTCCTTAGAATTTCCTTGACAGACTCTTCTCATTGTCTCATATACCATCTTGTTACGTTTCAGTCGCTAAACCCTCACCTTGAACCTTAAGTGGGAGAGCCTTGTTGACAAGGGTTTGCCACCCCTAAAGGCTTCCCAAGTCTATACAATACCCCCAAACATGCTTCCACCCATCCCCAGACCAGAAGACTATGGAGTTTCATCAGAGAGGGGGTTTCTCCCCTCTGAACTTCCACTGCAATGCCTTCCTCATCAACTGTATGACCGCTGGGAGCGGATCATGAACAATTTTCAGTCATTACTTCTTTCCAAGCGACTACGAACAGTGATTGATAAATTGCCAATTATACCAGCAGTCCATCTGGAGACTGAAGCAGAGTGGCGACGCGCATACTGCATTCTCACCTTCTTCACCAATGGCTATATATGGGGTGGAGACAAGCCGGCCGAGGTCAGTTGCCAAACAAGACCCCAATCCAACAAGAACTAACAAACTGCAGAGGTTGCCACCGTCAGTCACATACCCTTTGTTACAGATATGTGAACATCTCGAAATACCTCCGGTCCCTACGTACGCAGGCTTGTGTCTATGGAACTTCAAACCCATCTTCCTTTCCGACTCCCTCGTCCTTGACAATCTCTCCGCCCTACATACTTTCACTGGTTCGCTTGACGAGCAATGGTTCTATCTTGTCAGCGTGGCCATGGAGGCAAAAGGAGGACCTTCTATATCATTGATGCTTGACGCCATGCGGGCTGCACGCATGGATGACGTCGAAACCGTCACCAAGTCGCTACAGTCATTTGCTCAGACCTTGGATGAGCTGGGCACCATGCTGTTGAGGATGTATGAGAGTTGCGACCCACATGTTTTCTATCACCGCATACGACCATTCTTGGCAGGAAGCAAGAACATGAAAGATGCCGGGCTTCCCAAGGGCGTCTTCTATGACGACGGGAGTAGGAATGCCAGTTGGAGACAATATGGAGGAGGATCAAATGCTCAAAGCAGCATGATTCAGTTTTTTGACATTGTCCTAGGTGTTGAGCATCGCCCGACAGGCTCTAAGAAAGATGACACCACCTCCGAGTCCGAGATGGAAGTTGGTGGTGCACCCAAACCAAGACACAGTTTCATACACGACATGCGACAGTATATGCCTGGTCCCCATCGGAGATTTCTCCAGGCCGTGGAGGGCGTCTCGAACATTCGAGAGTTTGTTGAGTACAACAAATCTAACCGGTCTCTGACTGTGGCATACGACGCATGTTTGGCGATGCTACGGTCACTCCGGGATAAACATATCCAGATGGTGTCTCGATATATCATTGTCAAAAGCAGGGAATCCCGCAGTATGAGCAGGAATCGGCATGAGAGCAGTCCCGATGCGGCTCCTCGTCGGGGACAAGGCATTGCTTCGATTTCTTATGATAGACCGCAGGAAGGGTCGCAGAGAAAGAAGAAGATGCGAGGTACAGGAGGTACAGCACTTATCCCATTCTTGAAACAAGCTAGGGATGAGACTGGTGAGCCTGCCATTGATGAGTGGGCGAGAAAGCTACTTATGGGAGGGCGTCGCACTGAGGCCGACCACGAGATTGCCGTGGAAAGCAGGATCACAGCTGCAGAGCTGGATGCAGAGGAACCTCAGGTTGTTGGTCTAGCTGGCTCGTGGAATATGGAAGACAACGGTGGGGGGCTCTGTTCATACTGATGCCTCCTGCTTGGTCGCTGGCCACTGCCACTGCCACGGAGAGATTCACAAAAGTTGGAAGATAATACTTATGTAAATGGACGAGTCTGAACATGGTGATAGATCACGTTAGGATTGACCTCTCACCATTTCTATTGCCTTTGAAACTCTAGTGAGCCTGTAGTCCTTGCACATTGCTGGGTGTCGTACAATCTGTCAATGACGTGACCGTGCATTCTTAGCGTGGTTGTAAGGATTGGTCGAGCAACGTCGCTCAAACAACATCAAAACAACATCACTTCCTTCATTCTCAATTCTGCTGAAAACTACAGTGCAAGCGGTTCAATGAAGTTTCTGATACGGAATGATGCTATGTATGAAGGCATCAAGATAGTAGACACCTAAACCTGGTGGATTTTGTTCGATGGAAGCCTCTCATGGTGAGAGCTCCAGTCTCTAGTACGCCTGTGTTGAACAGCTCTTCAACTTTGTTCCAAAATGAGAATCAAAAGTTTGAGGCGCAGAGAAGAGCTCTGCTGGGAGTCATCAAGAGAGGTTAGCCTACGTTGAGGGTCATCTGCTTGCAAAATCGGTGACCAAGAATCAATGTCAAAACCAAATGAGAATCCGCGTAATCTGTATGCTGTTTGCGACTTTGCAGCATTAGAAGGCAAACAGTGGAAGGGGCCTGGTGAGAAGAGAACCCTGCCAGTGGGGAGATATGTCAACACTCAAAAAGACCATCGTTCTCGCAGCAGAATTCCGGCAGGGGCGACTGCTAAACTAGAGACTCTCCCGTAACCATGGTCGCGACTGCCAGCTCAGGGTCCATCGCCGGAGACTGTTTTCAGATATCTGCAGACCCTGGCTCGAGACTCAGATATCTCTCTCACTTTCCGTGGCATTTCAATCGAAGAACAATGGTGGCTGCTGACCACAAACAGAAACCCAGCCGTTTCAGAGGCTGCCTTTTCATTCACTGCCAGTGCCGGCAGAGATGGACATGTCCGGCCTCCTATTGGCTTCTTCATTCACGTCGACGCAAATTCTGTCAGTCGGCGCCAACATCATGAATAGAGGAGGCTGGGTTCTCATTGTCTTCGGTCTCATGAATAGAAATATTCACTTCTACTCGGCCAAGGTGAACAGGGGTGCCGATGGTTTATTTCTTCTCTTTCCAACTCCTCAGGTCTTCTCACTTACTTTCTCTCTTCTTCGCTCTACAAACTCCTTCTTCGCCTTCATCTTCTTCGTCTTCTTCTCGCAATCCAATCGATCCAACTTCTTGACTTCAATCCTCTTTCCAAACACTACTGCTTGTCTTCAAGAGCCCCCTTTATCATTCTTCAATTGATTGACCCACGGTGGAAGCCTGATCAAAATGGCAGATCCTTCTGAATTAGACTCCGGTCTGAACTTTGATTCAGTTGACCTGAACCTCCACATGAATAACTTCCTTCCTCCCAACGACCCCGACTTCTCTGAATTCATCAACTTCGATCTCTCTGACATGCCCATGACCGACTTCTTTGAAGACGCCATTGCTAACATGGACTCTGGCATCGACGCTGCTGCAATGGATACCCAGATTGCAGCAGAAATGAAATCTACTTCTACTCCAGGCCCTGCTTCGGCAGCTGACACTACAGAGACTGAGGTTGCTGGTCAAGTTGTCCCAAACCCCGACATCTCATCAGCATCAATCACCTCTGAAGCTGCTAGCCTCAGTGCGCCCATCTCAGAAAGTCTAGCAATCACTGCCCCTGAACCGGCTTTCACACTCTCGACTGACGAGGCTGCAAATTCTTCCATCGACTTTGGAGAAGCTGTTCGAGTCACAACACCAGTCAGCGCTCATGAGGGGGCTGCCACCACTGCCAACTCGCAGGAAATTTCTCCACCAGCTGCAGCCCAAGAGTTGCCTTCTGCCCCAGTTAATAACACACCTGTCTCCACCCAAGCCACACAGCCAACGCTTCCAATTGCACCAAACAACTTCCAAACCACTGAACAGTCCGCTTTTCTGCCTCTTCCGAGTTCCTCTGAGGTCCTCGACTACAATCTTAGCAATTTAGACTTTGAAGCTGAATTGTCGGCCTGGTATTCTTCCACAATTTCCACCGAGCCTGAGGTTCAGAGTCGTGGTCTTGGCGAACTCGACACTTCCCTCCCAGTCGTTGCTGGTCCCAGTGGCATTTCTCATGTTGCATCCTCAGAGCAGCCATCCATCATCGAGAATTACAACATGAGCACAACCAGGGACATGGACACCAACAATACCACCATCACTGCGCAGCCTTCATCTGTCGCTGATGCACTTCCTCAGAACACCATGAATACTCCAGCTCAAGTTCAAGCAGACGAAGCTCCCGCCCCTCTTCCACTGCCATCCGAAGTGTTCACGGATACTTCTGTATATACAGATCAGAATTATGATTGGGCTTCAACTTCTGCAGCTGTCCAGAATGACCCACAGCAGACACTTACACCCAGCCAGCACGACGCTCAACCAGCCACCGAGGAATTCATACAGGCATTTGACAATGGACTTATCCCTCGCACGCCACTCATCTACACCACACAGACAAATGACCTCAACAATGCCATGCTTTGCTCTCCTTTTGTTTCTCCCTTCAGCGCAAGCCCATTCGAACCGAGTCCTGCCAGCACCCTCAGCTATCCACAGCAGGCAACTCCTCGGCAATCTTTTGAGGTCGATTGGGTGAGTGTGGGCAAGATGCCGTTACAGCCTCATGAGCTGGCCATTATTGGTACTCCACTGCCAGCCAACAAGACAACTCCAACAACCCAGGCATCCCAAGCACGTCGAAACAAGGGCAAAGGCAGAGCACAAATTCCTGCTACCAGACAGACCCCGTCGCAGGCCGCAGCTGGCAAGAGGAAGAGATCTGGGACTGATCCTCAAGAACCAGCTCCCAAGCACATACGCACAAACTCTGCACCCGAGTCAACCGTGCTACAGCATGAGATGGAACCCCTCTTCCAGGGCAGTGTCAACGCAAACGGCTTCGAAAACCCTCGTCAGCGCTCTTATGAGCAACCACAGAACTTCTTCGCTGTTGGTCGCCGTAGCCATGGTCCAGTTTCTGGAGCCAATGGCCGACGTGTTGTGCATCATCAGCAACAGCAACCCCCCCAACAATACTACCAGCTACCGCAACAGGAGTCCTTCCATCAGCCAATGCAGTCTGGCTTCCTGGATACAGTTTTTCCTTCTGAGGTTCCTCCCGAGCTCATTGCAATGCAACAAGCCAAGGATATGAACAATTTCCATAACAACCAGATTTCTCACCAGTCTCGTGTTCATGAGCAGCAATACATTCGTCGCCAGCAACCAGCCATGCATCAGCAGCAGCCGGTTATGCATCACCAGCGACCAAGCATGGATTACCATGAAGAGTATGTGGTGCATGAGCAGCCACTGCGCATGCACAACCAGCATGGCAACATGTACCATGCGCAACAGTACATGTACCATGAACAGCCCATCATACATGGCCACCAGCAGTACATGCCAGTGCAGCAACAGCAACAGCAGGCACAGATGCAGATGCAGATGCGACCTCAGCACAATCGCGAGGCCGGCGTTCCTCAACCCCAGAATGTCAGAGCGAGTACAACCAAGAAGGCAGCTACCGGACGCGCCGCTCCCGCTGCCGGGGCACGAACCACCAAGGCCACTGCTAGCACACAGGCCCGCCCTGGCCCACCCCCTCCCACCCTCAACGCCGTCATTGAGGCAACACAAGCTGGCTGGTGCCAAGACCTCTTCAATTCCAACGGACCAGTCCAGCCAGATGAGTACCTCTCATCTTACGACTTCAAGGTCCCGGCTCCCACCGGCATGCTCATGATGACCGAGGAGTACAAGAAGATGGGCGAGAAGCATCGCCAACAGCAGCTCGCTGCTGAAGCATCTAGAAATTGAGTTGGAACCGTGGCGAGTGTGAACAATCAGTGATGAAAATGGGAAAATGGAAAGGGGGGGAAAATTGGAAAAAAAAATAAATTGGAAAATCGTCGGGGAAAAACCATGTTGATTGTTTTAGAAATGGATGGGCGTGGGATGGCGTTATATCGCGCTGCCACAGCGCGCTTTCAAGGATTTTACCGAAAATGAGAGAATTGTATCCACTCTACCAAGAAAAGGGTAGAAAACTGCTTAGTACAGAGGTAGTTCTCCAATCATCGTTTCACATTGAATTGCATTCCATTCATACTATAGGTAGAGACAGCTAGACACCATTCCCCAGCATACCCATATCCAGAGCCATGCCCCTCGCGACCTTCCTCTCGACCCAACGGCGCTTGAAGCCCTCACGTGCGAGCTCCCTCGTCCGCCGCGACCAGACATCGCCACCGATGCGGCCTCGCACAAAACCCTCCTGCAACGCGAGGATGGCGGCCTCGATGCCGCGCTCCTCGCAGGCCGCGTCGTACAGCTGGCGCGCCACGACGTTGGGCGGCACGAGCATCTCGTCGACGGCCGGCACGTCGTTCGCGGCGGAGCGGGCGTGCGCGGACGTGATGACCTTGTCGGACTTGGACAGCGACGTCGACAGGAGGTTCAGGTTCGACGTCAGTGTCGTGTGCAGGGTTTGCAGCTGGGTCAGTTCGTGGGACAGCGTTTGTAGCGTCGACTGCAGGGCGAGGTTCTGTGATGAGAGCGCCGGGAGCGCGGTCGTTGATTGCGTGATTTGTTGGTGCAGCGATTGCGTTAGTTGGTGGGAGAGGTGTGTTAGGAGGGCTTCTTTTTCGGGGTTCACCGGGATCGGTGGGACGGGGATGTTGGGGTTTGATGGGATGGTTGTTGATGATGTCGAGGTGTTGGATGTTGGGAGGGGGAGGTCGAACGGTGAGTCGAGGAGATTTGGGGGCGCTGCTGGTTTTGCGGGTTGGGGTTGAGGTTGCTGGGAGGGGGGCGGTGGACCCTGATGGTAATGAGGTTGTTGTGGTTGCCCGTATGGTGGTCCATGTTGTTGCTGTTGCGGTGGGTGTGGTTGAGATGTACTCTGAGAGTAATGGTGAGTTGTTGGTCGTTCGTTGTATCCTTGTGTCGGAGGTGGTGGTTGTCTCTGCCAATTCTGGTTATGGGTTTGGGCTTGTGGACCATTTCTGGGGTCTGAGATTTGAAGTGGAGGTGGCTGGTGTTGAGAATATTGTTGCTGCTGTATATCACCTGGTCGAGGGGGCTGTGGGCGATATTGAGGCTGTTGAGGCTGTTGAGGCTGAGGTTGGTCATAGCCAGGGGATGGGTGTGATTGTTGTGCCGGAGTTGATTGTCGTAGACTGCTGGTCCGTTGTGGCATATAATTCATGCCGCTGGTCGGACGTGGGGCATTGCCATTTCCATATGGAGCCTGCGGCCATGGTTGTCCCTCAGACGGTAAAGGCGGAGGAGCATCGTATCTGCCTGGCCTCGGTGCGGGTGGTCCTGAACTCCCTGGCCCGGAGGATGAGCCCGCTTGGGTGAAATCCTTAGGTGGCGGAGGTGGTGGACCTGGTGAGGCTCGAGGTGATTGTGTACTCGAATACGATGTGCCTGGTGCGACTCCCTGACTTTGAACCTCCCGGGGTAAAGGTGGGACTGGTGGGGGAATCTGCTGGGGTTGTCGTTGCTGGTTTTGTTGTGTTCTCGACATCACCGGTGGCTCTTTGGCAAAGACATCGGATAGAATTGATAGGAATTCGAGTATGGAAGATCGCTATGACCCCGTCAATATAGGAGTTTGATGGTATTCGGTGTTCAACGTCTCTTTACTTACATCCCATGCATCTCTCCACTGCGCCAGATAAGGATGGTATATTCTCCCATCTCCGCCTACATATTGTCCCGGGCGGATCACCATCCCATCCGTGGGTGTCACATATGCAATGGGTGCATCGTAAGGGTATGTATGAGGTGCCCATAACGAGACAGGAAATCGATACGTGCTCCCTCGAAAGTTCACCGGGATTGTGCCCTGTAAGTGCACCAGGAGGGCGGAAGAACCATTTTCGAACGCTGTATTCTGTTTCAGCACATATTCCATAGAGCTCTTATTTATAAGAAGCGTACTGTATACGTCTGTCCGTGGTCCGAACCCAGGATGTCGACCGAGAACATGTGCAAGATCGGAATACGCTCGGTTGGGATCACGATATTCCTGCGATTTTGGTCAGCATCATGTCACCGCAAGATGTTCCGCAGCTCACATACACGCTTCAAAACATCGTATAGCCAGCTGAGGGTCTTCTGTGGCACGCCTCCTGCCATTGAAGTCGCAATGAATATATGTAAGCTGGGTCAATGTGTCCGCAGCCTGAGTTGATGTTCGGCCTCTAATTGGCCAAGCCTAGGACTCGGGCTCAGGCTCAGGCTGTCGACGTCAGATGTGCAGTCACGTGGTTTAACGAGGCTGAGATTCAGCCTTATCTCCGATAATCATCAAGCTTCATCATCTACTCGGTACATAATTTTCTAAACCAATTTGCTATTGGTAAGCCTTTTAATTTCCTCAGTCTACAACAGTACGACCTTTGCGCAGTCTAGAAGGGTGTATTTTGGCTGAAAGGCCTACCTGTCCCTCATCAGGACAAATTTCACCCAGCCACGAAATATGTTAGTCGCATCTCGAGATATTCGATATCTTTCACAAACATCTACGCAATTCGGTAACAATATCAGTGGTAAGCCAATCGTTACTCATTCTCCTCTAAGAAGCTATAATATGATATTTACAACCCGTGTTGCCATTACCCGAAACATTTATCATTCCCGGAACCACTTAAGCAGTAACAGCAACTCCATTTGAGTGACCGTTTTCCAGCGTACCGTTGGTTCCGTTTGACTGCATCGCCTTAGGCAGGGGTGCCGCCTGTTTGGACGCTTTACCAGCAGTTCCAACAACGGAGAGAGCTGCAGCTGCAACAGCAGCGTGAATCTCTTGCTCGGCACCTTCTGGCAAGGGCAGCAATGGTGACCGGACAGTGGCGTCATTGAGGATTCCTCGAGCGACGAGTGCATGCTTCAAGGCCACGGTACCCTCCATATGAGAGCCACGATGATAGACGGCTTTCGTGACTGGGAGGAGTTTGTCATGAGCAGCGCGAGCTCTTGGGTAGTCTCGTGCCTTGCCGGCACTGATCAACTCGAGGAGAAGTTCTGGCGCGATGTTGCCATATCCAACTAGCATGCCATCAACATCAAATGCAGTGTGCAAGAGATATTCGTCGTGGCATGTCAAGATCTGGAGTTCTGGGCGCTCGGCTCGGATGACAGGGATTTCAGTGTCCCATCTACGCATGTTGCGAACACCATTCTTCATGGCGAATACCCCGGGGAGGGCACTGATATCAAGCATTGTCTGGAGGTTGTATGTGGCCTTGGTGTTGTCGGGATATTGGAAAAGAATGAGAGGTAGCTTGCTGACCTCATAGACCCGTCGATAACGATCCTGGGGAGCGCCAGGTTGGTATCCAAATCGCAACCAGCCGTGGGATGGGTATAGGAGACCAGCCTGTGCGCCAGCTTCTACTGCACGCTTAGCTTCCAAAGCAGCGACTTCGGTGCCTTCCCCAGTGATACCGGCAATGATGGGAATCTTGTTATCGACCGATTTGACAAAGGCACGGATCACATCTGCCTGCTCATCTTGAGTGAGAAAAGTACCCTCGCCAGCGTGGCCGAGAACAACGAGGCCCTTCACGCCATCAATGCTCCCAAGCCACGACCCAAGGCGGTAAATTGCTGGGTAGTCAACATCACCATTTGGCAAAAAGGGAGTGACTGGGGCAGGTGTAAGTCCTCGGAGGTCGAGCATTTTGATGATGATTCTATAGTGTAGTTAATCTGTTTCTTGGATACTTTGGAAGTGGTTGATGAATGTTCAATTCCGACAGAAACACAGGTCTGAAGCAATGATCTTATACAACATGTGCATCGTAGCCTATTGCTCTTGTTGCGGCATTCGGCACCGAACGAAATAGTGATTGACCACGATTACTTCCAAACTGAGCCATGTTCTCGCCTCTAAAGGCCCAAGGCTCTACACCCCTGAGGTCTCGTAGTTTCTAGCAATCGCCGAGCCGGGAAGCATCCGTTTCCTAAACCGACACTCGTACGAGGTTGAGGAGAGCAACATGCTGGCAATCTCCACAAGGCACCTCCCTCTAGGAACAGTCCTCCACTTTCTACCCCGGCACCCGGCGGACGTCAGAACTCGTGGATCACCCAACTGCGTCCTTCAGCTAATCCGGTACGCTGAAATCGTTGAGCACGGCGGGCGACAGGGTCGGATAGCATTCGTGAGCCACGAATTCTATCATGCCCCAGGTGCCTGGGCCGTGGACTTAAGAGTATGACGGAGCAACCTTCCAAGGTTAGTGCTGAAATCGGACGGTACAGCCTTCCAGGGTTAGCTTGATAGATTCGCGGATCTATCTTCCAGGGTTAGTGAGAATTGGCGGGGCTCCCGGATCTTCATTTGGAGCCAATCATCATGGGGCCACTCCAGACTATCCAACACGGCTGCTCCATGGGGTTCTCGTGTTCAGCAACGCTGAGAAAACTCAATATCAAAGTCACATGGAGTCATGAGGACTAGCACCTTTGCGGCTAAAAGCGCTATCAAAATCCGTGAACTGGATCATTCCACGGGGTATCCTACTGGGTAGGTGGCTACATATGCCATCCGATATGATATGTCTGGCATATAAAAGATGACATCTCGCATCGCTTCACCAGGCTCAATTCAAAAGTGTTTCATTGAGAGTCTTCCTTCTTCATCCTTGGACAACACTATCACCATGACGGTCAAAGAAGTCAAAGATCCTGAGAAGCCTGGTTCGGTGCAGATGGAGGTCGCCTCTGCCGAAGACAGTCTGAATGCTTCAGCAGATGGTGACTATTCAGGAGCGGTCGACAAAACCAGCGCTGCTGAGATCGCGCTGTGCCGCAAGCTGGATCGACGAATTCTTCCGGTACTGTGGGCTATGTACTACCTGTATGATATATGACTCCTACATAAGGATCGACAAATGCTGACAAGTACTTCCGCAGTAATTATCTGGATCGAAATGCGATTGCCCAAGCTCGACTGAACAATTTGGAAAAAGATCTTGGATTGGTCGGCTCGCAATTCAATGTTGCAGTCTCAATCCTTTTTGTTGGGTATGTCTACACTTCAAACCTTCAAGACGAAAGACAACTTACACGGATATGAATAGTTATCTTGTCATGCAAGTACCATCCAACATGATCATGTCTAAAGCGCATTTCAAGCCGAGTTACTACATGGCAGCGTGCATGGCAATCTGGGCAATAGTGAGCGCATGTACCGCACTGGCTCATAATTATATCGGTCTGTTGATGGTTCGGTTCTTTTTGGGAATAACTGAGGCACCATATTATCCAGGTAATGAACATCGGGAGCACGTTGGAGTTCCATTGCTCACACCCGTCAACCCTCTCTAGGTGCAATGTATCTGCTCTCGTTATTTTACACTAGAAAGGAGATCGCTACACGACTTTCCATCCTATACTCCGCAAATATTATCGCAACTGCCACCTCGGGCCTCATCGCTGCAGCGACTTTTGCATCACTCGACGGAAAGCATGGGCTCGAAGGCTGGAGATGGTTGTTCATAATAGAAGGAGCCGTTACCTTTGGAGTCGCAATCATCAGCATGTTCTTCCTCCCAGATCATCCGCTGACGACTAGATGGTTGACTCCAGAGGAGCGACAGCTCGCGCACGAACGTATCGCAAAAGACACAGTGGGACTAGAGAGCAACAAAGGGGCACGCGCAGGATTCATGCAAGCCGTTCGCGATCCTCGCCTGTGGCTTTTCACCTTCATGCAAAACTGCCATCTGTCCGCAACGGGGTTCAACTCTTTCTTTCCCACCGTCGTCAGAACCCTTGGATTCTCCCGCACCATGACGCTGGTACTCACCTGCCCTCCATACTTGGTTTCAGCCCTAGCTTGCCTGGGCACGGGAATCAGCTCAGGAAAATTCAATGAGCGTACCTGGCATATTACAGGTGGCATGGCGGTGGCAATGGTGGGCTTCATCACTGCAAGTTGCACGATGAATGTCGCGGCTAGGTATACAGCTTGCTTCTTGTTCGCTTCTGGTTGTTATGCCGTCAACGCTGTCATCTTGGGTTGGGTGACAGCAACACTGGGCCAGACCAGTGAAAAGAAGGCAGCTGCTTTGTCGATTGTCAACATGTTCGGCAATGCCTCCTTCATCTACACTCCAGTAAGAACTAGTTCGACGCAGTAGGAGAAATTTTCAGCTAACATGGGCCTAGTACCTATATCCCCAGTCAAATGGACCAAAATACTTGATCGCGATGTCTTCCAATACCGCGTTCTCCTTCGTCACTATTGTGTGTGCCTGGATCCTGCGAGTGTGGTTGATGCGGACGAATTCTAAGATCAAGAAGAGTGATGCCACCAACAAGGTGTTATATGCATACTAGAGAAATTGTTCGAGTCTTAGGGTACACCGCCAACCCCGCGATGGAAAGGCTTCCTACTGTTAGGGCACCCTGCCAACTATAGCTTGGTATCTATGGCGCGCTCCCGACTCCAAAGGTATAGGGAGCCCTTCAAGCAATCCATGCACGAGTATGTTGTCTCATGAAAACAAATTCAGGGGGTGTGGGATGAGATTCTGTGGCAGCACCATGAAAGTCATCCATTATATTGGTATAAAATATTCAATTTCCTAGGGATTTAGAATAGATTAAGAAGGCCAATTGTCAAAGCGATTATAGACAGACGGAGGCGCAAAGGGATCTTGGAAAGTATTCCCTACGTATTGCATACCCAAATTAGCCGATGGATCCATCGGATCAACAAGATTGACGTTGAAAAAATCCCAGAAAGCATTGCCATCATTAGTGCTGTTGTTGAATTGAGTAAAGCCGAAGATTGGTTCCGCATAGGGCACAAACATTTCATGTTGGTTCGTTCCAACGTTATTGGGATTCGGTATATTCGTGCTCGCTTCTCCCATCCCAGCGATCAACTCATCATGAGAAGTCTCCTTGCCTGCGATGTGTTCCGGTTCGTCCCTAGACCCGTCTTCTCCCGCAAGACCGACGATACAAGCAAGCTGAATGGCGACCTGAGACAGAATCCGATACGTGGGCCCGAGCTGATGAGTTTGGCACATCTCAATCATGAATGAAACATTGGCACTGATCGAACGATCCCTGACAGTCCATTCATTGGTGACGGCCAAGTGTGGACGGCCCAAGAAGTCAAGGCATAGAGCAAGCATTGCATGATACAGGTAGTAAAAGTCCGTCCAACCTAAACCTTCGAGTAACGATTCCGATGAAAGCCGGTGGAGCATGTCAGCGACCGCCACGGAAGAGGAGATGCACTCCTGTGCCAAGTTGACGGTCGATATGGTCTCAGAGGGTAAGCTAGAGCCCGAATCGGCCTGGTGTTTGATGTCGTGATCGACTCTGGCCAATAGATATGGCCTGGTCAACACAGAGGCAATGTGATGATAGTTGATATGTAGAAGCAGCACAGCACGAAGGTGTCGTGGACTGATGAACGACCACTCGGGTCGTAGGTGTCTTGGTAACCGCGTATACCAAGTAGTGAGCTCCTTGGCAATGTTTGTGAGGCTGGCAATCATGGAAGTCAAGAACAATTCGTCGAAGCAGTTTGGTGATGCGGCTGTGGCGAAGTGTCGAACCTTCGAAGTCAGGTCCATTAACTTTGAGGCGTGGTTGATGTAGTCGGGTGGGTAGTCGCTTCCATCAAGGACAGATTCATCGGGGAGTTGAACGTTGACTTCGAGGGCTTTAATGGTGGAAGGTCGTCCTAATTGGAGGGAAGTATACTGCTCGAATGAATATAGCGTGAACCACACCATTCTTCGAGTGTTTCTTTCAATGGCGTCGAAGTTGTGACTGGTTCCCTCCCGATGCATACCGAGGGCAATTGACATACGAGCTGCTTGTCCAAGCAAGATCCACGATGTATTCCGCTCACCAGCGTTGTGTTCGTACAGTTGAAGCAGAAGCAATGCTTGAACATTGGGAAGATTTGCGGTAAGAGCTAGATGGTGAAATCTCTCCCGGACGTGCCTCAGAAATCTCCTCTGCACTCCTGCAGCATCCTCGAGCCCCTCGTGCTCGAGTAATTGAGCACCGAAGACGAAAACCATGAATAATGAACATAGCCAACCGGGCTCACGCTCATAACGATAGATCGGAGAGCGCTGCCAAATCGATTCATATCGAGTATGAAAGGTGCCACGATGAAATAAGATGTAATTGGGATGCAAGCGATCGAAGAATGCTTGGACAAGCCTGTCTGAGATCTCTCTGGGAGGGACCAGGGCCCGGAGCCATCTACGGGATGGACTCACGGATCGTAGACCCTCATTGCCCTCAGTTTCGCCAGGCGACAAGCGAGTTGGCCGTTCATTACTGTGCTCTCTCACAGTAGATGCCGGGTGAGCCTGAATTCTGGGCTCAAGCGCAATGCTGGTCTTCAGATTAGCGAACTCTGCCCGGAGCTTGCTTCGTCGGCCGAGACGAGTACGGGTATCGTCAAGTGTCTCGCTGCGCACTCCGACCAAGCGCCTCACGGCCCTTGCAAACTCGAATGAGGAGGCGGGACCGACATAGTGAGCAACACCATGAGGTGCGGGTATGCAGGTCTCTTCCGCCAGATTGGTGACCGTGCCTTGTACTGTAGGATCGACGTTGGCGGGCCAAGGTACACCGATGGTGACAGTAGATGTAGGCGTCTGTGCGGCAACCGAAGATCCTATCGTTGAAGCGCCACCGATAAATGCCTGAAATGCTGATGGGTCGTTCGACGACGAACCTGTTCTCGCATTCTTTTGCCCGTCTGACCTGTGGGAGTCGACATGTGCGAGCTGGGAAAGATCGACGGCCACGTCATGTCCAGACCTGGGACTATTTCTTTCCCCAAGCAGGCGATATAGCGTCTGAAGGTCATTGCAGTCCACACCAGGGTAAATGCTTTGCACAAGAGCTTCAAGCGCTTGGTATCGTGGACCAACTGAATCGACGCTTCCGTATGCGAGCCTCTTCCGGGGAAGCGTCGACTTGCATCCTACGCCGCTGTCTAGACATGCTTTACACGCAACTTCTTCGAATTTTCGCTGTCAGCTTGTCGGTGCCAATAAAAGATGCTGGACAGCACACTCACCGATGGAGTCGCGCGCACAGCGTATCCGTCTTTTTTTGCAATAATCACAAGAGATCAAAGCGCGACGACGAGCGGAGTCGGGCACACGCCGACTGGCCGCCTTCATATCACCTTCGAACACGATGGACATGATTTTTGCAGTGTGTTTATGTTTCGTGGGTTGAGGAATAACATCTGTGAGTATGAGAAAGATGACATACCTAGGCACATATGAAAGTGAAAGTACCACTAGGAGGTAACCTGGAGAGGAACTCCACTCTTTCCTCCAGCTATTTGACTGCGAGCTAGTGGCCAAGCAGCCTCCATCAAACCTACCTTTTAGATACCTAGGTACTAAAGATCACCAATAATTTGGGTTTGACACCGAGTCGAGGAGGCACTTGAAAGAGGGGTAATTAACCTACACAGGCGTAAATAAGAGGCTGACAAGCCAAGGCGAACAGCAGGTTAAAAAGTCAAGCAGAACTTTGAGGGTGTCATTCCAACATGATCGCCGTAAAATCGATGATTCGGACGAGGCAATTCATGGCAACCTCGTTTGTACCCATTGCTGAAGTAGTTGTCGTCAGGGTCGAAGCATGAAGACCTGAACGTGGAATGCGAACAGCGGCCGCCCGTCCACGAAATGTACCTAGGTGCCTAAGTCGAACGGCGAAAATTGTAATATCTTGTAAGGACACATAGATTATTAGAATCCTTACGCTAAATCCTCGCACTCTAAGTTTTGACTTCTTTACTAGGACTTATTTATGTTCTATTAGATTGGTAGAGATCTTTTCTATGTACTCTACTTATGGTAAATACAAGAGTTTTATATAAATATACGAGCTGTAGGAACTATATAATCTAGCTAACAAATCCTTGCAAAAAATTACGTCGTCGCGAATACGGTACATTCGTGCTTAGCATATATCTAGGTAGATAATTAGCACCAACTAAAACCCCGGAGCCATAGCCCCGGAACAAGCAATTGGCACACTAGAATCTCTAGTGCAAGGAGACACGTGACGATCAAAATTGGTCAGGCATTGTCCCTTATCTTCCTTATCAAGGGCGGTCAACCCTTTCCACATTTGGACGGTTGTGATTCGAGAGCAGGGACTTGACATCGTAAAGAACTTTCTTCTTTTGAAGGATGTGTTCAGAGCAATTCAGAAGGCATGCTGCGGATGTCCAAGTGGCTGTGCCCAATGATAAAGACACAAAGATGATGTATTCTCGCATCGTTAGGATACCGAGCATATGACCATGGCCACGGCTGAAGCCGTACCGGCGAGGAAATATCGATCTCGGAAGCAGAAGCCATGCGACAACTGCCGACGGCGACGAGTATGTTGTGTCAGGGACGCTGAAGGCGATTGTGCTTTATGCAGTAGGCGTTCCATTCCTTGTACATTCAGCTCAGAGCCCTCTGCCCGCAAACGCAAGGTGAAAGCAGTCGAAACCCCGACTGGGATATCAGCGGCACAGTCCTCTGGGCCGTCCACTGGAACAGCACAGGACACTTTAGGCAGGCGATCCAATGCACAGTCTCTGGAGCCTACAAGGAATGGAGTCAGCATAGGGGAAGGAAAATATATTGGCTTAAGTGGTACGGACGATGTTTACTTCGCTCTTGAGCGAGACCAAGCTATTGGAAATGATCCAGCACGCGAGGCTTACTTCAGGGTACGATGTTATTGGAGTCTTACACCAAGGGAAAGTTGCTGATTATTCGTTCATCAAGGAGCGCGCATCATCGTCAATATCAGCAATATCAGACACATCAAATCATCATGTACTGCGCGCTGACCCAGATGCTTCAATTGTGCAATCGATCTTCTTCGAGCAATCACATGCGGCATATCCACTGCTAGACGAAAGCCGAGCCAAGAAACACAATTCTCGATTATTGATCAATGCGATTGCCATTATTTCGAAGTACACATCACCTGAATTGCAAGGGCTTGACAACAATGTTCTTATTGAAGGCTTTTCCGCCTCTCTCCTGCTTGAAGCAAGATCTCCAACTCTGGAGACAGTCGAAGCTGCGATACTATTCACACAAAGAGCCCTTCGGGGTAAAATGTGAGTTTCTTCAGAGAGATACTTGTTATATGAGCTGATTCTTGTAGGAGCACGAGCGCACCTGGAATGTGGGCCGTGGTAAGTACAACTTGAGTCCCGTCATTTGATTCATCCTTCTCGGAGGGCTACCAAAATCGTTGTACAATGCTTCGCCATCATTGTATATATCTGTCTACAACGCTGACTATATCTCTCTCCTAGATTGGGACCATTGTTGGCATCTGCCACGATCTCGGGCTCAATATCGATTGTTCAGCTTGGAGCATTCCTGAAATTGTGAAACGCCGGAGAAAGCGGCTGTGGTGGTCGATGTATATGCAGGACAAGTGGTGAGGCCAATAATTCTGCAATGTCATATTCCTTTCTGAACGATCAGGTTCGCGATGGCGCTTGGCCGACCATCTTACATCAGAGATAACAACACCACAACATCAATGCTTTCAGCAATAGACTTCGAGGGCATGACAGCCAACAACGGTGCTGTAGAAGATGAGCCGAGACGACCGGAGCTCACCACTGGTATCCATTGTTTCGTTGCAATGGCGCAGTTAACCGTGATACTGGACGAGATTCTCTCCATCTTCTTCACACTCAGCTCGGTCGTGCAACTGAGGACCGTTAGTGGCGAACACATTATCGACATATCAGACCGAATTGAGCAGAAACTTGCTACCTGGCGAGCCATGTATCTGGATCCGATCCTTGTTCAGCGTTTTTTCCCTGATGTGACGGGTAAGAAGCCCAAAGTAGTAATTGGTTCATTTGGTTGACCATTATTCTCAGGGAGCCTGGAAGTTGCCTTCTACACCGTCAGGATCATGCTACTGCGTGGCATATTTCCAAAACTATATCGCAGAAATTTCACCCTAGACCATCAATTCGAGCTCGCTATTGAGAGCACTTCAAGCATGATATCCTTGGTAGAAACACTCCAGATCAACCGACTCAGCACATTCTGGTGGTCTTGTAAGTTCAAATAAAAGTCTCTCTGAACTCCCGTCGATGACTGAACCGTTTACCTAGGCTCTGGCTTCAACCTCGCGCTCGCTGGAACATTTATGGCCAGCCTCAAACGCCTATCCACCGACGAAGGTCGGGTACGATACTGGGACGGCCGACTCAAATACTACCGAAAACTCCTGTCGGCCTACGGGACGAGTTTCTGGCCTGCGAAGTTCGCTGCAACGTCACTGGACCACATGGCAAAGAACTTGACCAAGACGACTGGCGGCGATGACATGAATTCCGAGACCGGTGATGGGCCGAATATTCTCACTTCACCCTCGACTCCTTGGTCCGGCGTCTCGTATGATTTCTTCCCGCACAGTCTGACGAGCTTAAATGAGATAGATTTCGATGCTGGCTGGTGGATGGAAGACGCGGGTCAGTGGTCGGCTGACGTGCCAAACCCTCCAGAGTGATAGGATCGGCTGTGGCAAGGCGGCGCGCCCTTTTCCTTTTTTCGGTGGCTTGCTTCGCATAGCTCCACAAAGAGATTTCATCTCGGCTACGCACATTCTTGATACCCACACTGTTCGAAAGGATTTCAAGCCAGTCGGTAGACCTAAGTCGCGTGGCATTAGGTGCGGAAGCCGGCTGTGAATAGTAGAGATCATATATTTGGAATGTCTAAAGAAAGAGTATTTCAATCTGACAGAGATGAAAAGCTATGTAGGTATTGCCCAGGGCATGATAGAATTCGTGGATAACAAACGCTATTTCCTACCCTGTCGCCCGCCGTGCTCAACGAGTACAGGGTAGAGTATTGGTCCACAGATTCTGACGTCCGCTGTGGGTGCCAAGTGGTCAAAATATCAGAGCTGAAGAAAAGAAAGAGGCAATCGATTTTATCGTAAATCCCGACGTCGTTAGGCCCCTTTTGACATATCTGCCTCCTCCTAAGATGTCTCTTGTCCCAAACCACCAGTCATTCCATCATAACGTTCATTCTTGCTAGCGTGAAGTCGTCTAGTAGCACCAGCGATAGTTAGGACTATCAGGACCAGCGGCCAACAACTCAGAGGGAATATCAATAGCCTTGATCTTCCTTCCGTCTCTGGCATCGCGTCTCTTATTATCGATAACCATCCAGGCGCCAAGCAACAGAGTGAGAAAGCAGCCGCAAGCACCGAATGCCGCAGTCGTGATCAAAGCTGGCATGTACTTTGGTGCATCCTTGGCCTGGAAGATATTACTGGAGACAACACCCATGAGGTTCGCCACGGGGACACCAATGCTGGTCAGCATCATTCGCTTGTTCTCGTCCGCGATATTGTTGTTGTACCACACATCAAGGATGACGCTTGGGGCGCTGGTTCCCCAGGTCATCATAAAGCATGCGTAGTAGGCGACGTTGAGCTGGGAATGGATGTCGACTGTGGCGTAAATAATGAAGCCAATGCAAGTAAAGGCGAAGCCGAGGGCGACGAATGGGAAGCGGAGTCGGGTGTGGTCGGATGCGAATGCGAGGATGAGGAGCATCGCTGCACCAGAAATATTTGGTGCCACGGTATAGAGGTTGGTCTTGACTGTAGAATAGCCGAGTCGCTTAACGATGACTGGGAGGAACAGAGACACAGACTGCAATGGAACACCAAGGCAGATCTCAATTCCCAGAATGATCCAGCTCGTTGGGTGCTTGAAAATAGACATGGCAGATCGCAGATTGAATTTCTCTCCCACAACAGAGGACGAGTCGACCTGTATTCTGTAAAATGCCAGTTGCTTCTCCTCGGGCGTCAAAAACTTGGCGCTTTGTGCATCCCGAGGTAGATACCAGAAGGCAAAGAAGGAGAACAAGATTGTACAGCTGCCTTCAATGACGAAGAGGTATCTCCAGTTTGCAATGCTACCGGATTTGATTTGGAAAACCCCATAAGAGAGAAGACCGCCAAATGCTGATGCAATTGAAGATGCCGCATAGAATATCGCAAGACGGCGAGCAAGTTCACCACGACGATAGAATGTGGTTTGATAGTAGATTACGAGCTGAATGAGTTAGCAGTGTTCGATAGAATATCAGTTGTAAATTTACTCACTGGAAAGAAGGCGCTTTCCGCCATACCCAGAAACCATCTCAGTGCCAAAAGACCTCCAAATCCCTTCACTGCAACAACGAGCAGGGTACAGGTTCCAAAGCTGAACATCATAAGAGGAAGCACATTCGCCGGACCCCACTTCTTGCCGGCGATGCCCAAGAAAGGAGCCGTAAGGACGTATGGGATAAAGAAGATCGAAAGGATAAGATTGTAATCGTTTCCTACAAGACCCAATGTCTTCTCGAGGCCGGCTGTTTTGGCATTGCCGAGGTTTGACTTGTCCAATGAATTGAACCTAAGCATAGAGTTAGAATCGGAAATCGAACAAATGACAGAAACCCAGTTCATACAAATACATGACGGCCAGTGTTGGCAAGATCCGAAGGTCAAACTTCCAGACAAGCCGGCGTTCAGCAACAGGGTCGATAGAAATGCTGGCGGACACTCTTCGGCTGTCTGCCTCTGGAGCAGTGACCCCATCTTCAAGGATCTTCATATCCTTATCAATGGAGGTTGGGACTGCTGTGCTGCCCTTATTGAAGTCTGAATCGGACATTTCTGCGGCGTAAAGGAAATTGATGGTGGAGGATGCTTTCAAGCGGTTTGTCTGGTTGATATGAGGTGAGACAATTGAGGCCTGATGAATGAAGTCGAGCTCTGCTGATAGAAAACTCCATCATTGTTGTCGAGCTGGGTCACCGAGTTATATATCTCTTGGATGAAGATAGTAAGTTCCACTGGAGCCGACGAACGAACGTCTTCATTGGTAGCGAACTGTAACGGCGAACGAAGCCGTGTCAGGCTGTACTCCCGCCACGGGAGAACCCTTGGGCTGCCAGGCCTGCGGAATCTGCACCACGGGCATAGTTGATCAAAAGCATGGCGGCCGCCTGGCCGTTGGTTTGTGCTTGCCGCAACTGGCTCATGAGAGTCAAATTTTCTAGAGGATCGGCCTTGATGAGCGGCCACTACACATTTTGGCTTTGGCCAGGGTACATTGAAGGTGTGGTGGCCAGAAGGTGTCAAGCTCGCATGATATCAAGAGCCTTAGCACTGCTATGATTGGATGGTGTGCATTCCTTATCTACAGACCGCGGAGCGTTGAGAGACTCTGATGTGCCAGAGGTGGGGGTGACGTCGTTGTCATTCCCCAACGGCCAACTGCCCACTGGCCTTCCCCTTACTCACTCTGCCGTGTGCAAGCCGACCACTAACTACAGCGGCGTACTGCCACTATGCGGCGGATGTCTCTCGGCTTCGCGACAGATCTGGTAACATGGTGAAATTTTAGATGGCACAATGGTCAAGTCTGTCGACAAAACATGGATTTGAAGAGAATGCCTCTGAGCATGCGGTACTTAAGGATACAATCATGTTCGATGCAAATCGATTTGCTGGAGGTACTGCACAATGCAACAGCGTTTACCTTCTGGACATCCCGATATCACAAAAGCCATACAATATCGATCGTCCCCATTGTGTTTGAAGCAACACCTTCTTAAATCGTGATCGGAGCTTAACGCATAAGACCCTTGATACTATCGTCGATCAGGCTGCCATGCCAGAATCATTTCCATCGATGCAAAGTCAGTGGTTGAGTGGAATAGCCCAATCTCCAGATACAGTACGCTCAGTGGATCACTGGCCGTTCGAGGAAGTCGCCAACGAAGCAGAAAGGCGTTCGTTTTCCAGGTCATCATTGAACACTGAGCTTTTCCGTCGCGATTCGTCCTCCAGCTCTTCACATTCCAGCGATGTTGATATCGATCAATTGCAGCTCAGCTTTGCCCAATTCGGTTCCTTCAATTCTGGAGCATTTTTAGGAGCCCCAGTTTCATATGACGCATCGATCGATAGACGTCCGCAGACCATTTCAAAGTCGACAATTGCAAGAAACCCAGATAACAAGGCGTACGGCACGTTTACAAAGGATGATACTGGTCCCCAGGAGCTCGAAGGAGTCGGTATATCTACAGATACCAGATTCATAGGTCTATCTCCACGTCGGTTCTGGGTGGTCTTTCTAATTATACTTCTCGGGTATTTCATCGCTTGCTTTGACTCAACATTGATGGCCTCTAGTCATCCTGTCATCACATCATACTTTGGAGCATCTCAAGCGGCATCATGGTTGAGTACCGTGTTTCTCATCACAAGTACTGCGTTTCAGCCTCTTTTCGGACGTCTTTCAGACACCATCGGCAGAAAACCAGTGTTCCTGGCTTCCCTGGCGATCTTTGGACTGACAACACTCTGGTGTGCTCTTGCCGGGAGCATCCAGAGTTTCATTGCCGCACGAGCTGTATGTGGGATAGGTGCTGGTGGTACGATGTCCATGGGTCTAATCATCATCTCAGACCTTGTTCGGATTGAGGACCGAGGAGTATATCAGTCTCATATCAATCTTGCATTTGGACTAGGATCAGCATCAGGGGCTGCTTTTGGGGGCGCTTTGTGCGACAGTTTGGGCTGGAAGGCTGCTTTCCTCATACAAGTACCACCTATCGCCATATGTTTCATCATGGCCCTTTTCTTCACACCTGCTCGTTTGGGACCAATGCTGATCGAAAAGGACGGAGTTGGCGCGTGGACTGCGCTCAAACAATTTGACTCCCTTGGATCATTGTTCCTTGTCATATCAGTCACCGCTTTGATACTGACACTAAACCTTGGAGGCAATGTGTACCCATGGATGTCGCTTCAGGTAATCTCTTGTGCCATCATCTTTGTTGTTGTCGCATGCCTCTTTGCCGCGGTCGAAGCAAAAGTGAGGCACCCTTTGATGCCTTTCCGCTTGCTCGGGAAGTCTCCGATAGCCAACATGGTCTTTGCCAACATGTTTGGGGCCATCGCATCCAACACAGTGTTGTTCAATATTCCGCTCTTCTTCCAAGCTGTGATGCTCACAAGTGCTGCCACTTCTGGCTTTCGACTGGCTATTCCCAGCCTCCTAGGATCATTTGCAGGCATCTCGACTGGTTATATCATAACATACACCAGACGGCTAAAGCCGACATTGGTGCTCGGCGCTGTGATATACGTGTTTGGGTCCGTCGCTGTGTCTTGTATTGACAAAAGCACATCTCAGCTAGTTAGTTTAATGCTGATCACTGGTGTTCCACTTGGCCAAGGGTTTGTGTTCCCAAACACTATGATGAGCGCGCTTGCAGTGTCTGAGCAGGCCGACCAAGCCGTTGTCACAACAACAATAGGGCTGTGGAGGAATTTGGGCACAGTTTTGGGAGTTGCAATCTCGAGCTTGGTGTTTCAGAGCCGTTTGATTACAGGCCTAAGAGAGAATGTTACTGGTCCTGAACGTGAGGCAGTGATCCGCGCAGTCCGGACGTCTGTCGAGAGTATAAAGGCTCTTCAAGAACCGATGCAAGGACAAGGTCAGTCTAGTGACTTTTCAATCATGAGTCACATTCCTGTGGATAGCTCTTGCTAATGTTCGTTAGTTATCGACGCCTATGCGACCGCGCTTCGCCACACATTTCTGTGTGCTATCATAGCATCAATTCTCATGTGCCTTCTTCTGTTTCCAATTCGATTGCCACGGCTTCGGGCAGGGAAGCAGGTAATCATTCCTACGGGCGAATAAGCATAGGAAGAATCGCACTTGCGGATGCCGTTACTGTAATGAGATGCGTTCTACACGCAATGCGATGGGACTTGGAGCTGGGATGCGCTATATCGATCAAATGATCTGCCTTATGTTACGATGTACCTTTGCAATATCAACTTGGTTTTACGGGTCTGAAGTAAATCGGCAGATATGTATTTAGGTCCCTATAGATGAGAATAGCAGTGGTCCCGGGTTGGGAGGGGAGAGACACTACTCCAGCATAAGCGCTGTAGCACAAACAGTCTGTGTAGCACTCCCTTTTCAAAACACGTGGTGGTAGAGGTGGTGTTGTTAAGGTCGAGGCACGGATAATGCCGGATGTGACTGGCGGCCGCCCGTCCACGAAATACCTAAGTCAAACGGCGAAAGTTATAAGGATAGGTCGATGACTAAATGGCGAAACTCCTCACTTGAACCGCGGACTTTATATATCTATTTCTTAAGAGAGCACGCCTCAAGACGGCTATTTAGATCTTTACCTGAATTTATTTATCCGTATTGGCTGAACCGCCGCGAGACCTTGAATGGCAGTGGCTCTGGCTTCAATCGGCATACGCCACAGCTCGATCACAGCCAGATTCGGAGATCTCGAGACACAAAAGCCCTCGAAAGATCTCTAGGACGGCACTAATACCTCGGAATTTGATCACTTCCTCACAACTTCCCCTTTCGTCTCTCGGCCGGTGGTCCTTCAGCACTGAACTCCTGCTTCAATAGCTTCCCTGCAATGTCAAAGGGCTCGCAGGCTAAGGTTACAGCAATGAAGCGAGCTGGGTTCGTGCTCGACGCATTCCGCCACTTGTGGTTTGTCCCTCGCTGAACAATATGGTCCTGCAAACATCACACACAGACCAGATCAGATCAATCCTCAAGCACGTAGAGAAGGGAGGGGAAAGGGGGTGGGCCAAACGCTCCAAGGAGAACTTACACCAGGCTTCAACAAAACCGTCTCACCGCCATCCAACTCATGGAGGATCTCGCCATGAACGCAGATTGAGAAGTCAATCGACACGGTCCTGTGCATGGGGCTCGTGCCGCCAGGTTCCAGGTCCATGACCAGCAAGTTCGCACCGTTGGGGATCACGATGCCAGAGCTCGCCCAGCTCGTCGGACCTTTGTCGGCCAGATATGCTTTCATGTCTGCGTCGCCTTCGAGCTTCGCGGGCACTGAGTCTACGGACCATAGCCTCGCTGCACCGCCGGTGCCGGGGACCTTGATGTATTGCGCTGCGGGCGCCGACGCCACGTACACGGACTTACCATCGGAGTCGTGTGTCGCGATGTGCCGCTTGATGGGAGGGAGGCCCTCGACTGGAGTCTCGACTCGTTTCATGGCTCGCTGATTTGATGGGCGATGGTGCTTGTATGAATTGTGGGAGAATTCTTGATGATTGGAGCACGTCTTAGAGATTGACGAGGGGAAAGATATATCGTGGCAATACGCGGAGGAAGCCTTGCTTTAGTATCGATGTATATAGTAAATATGCCTAGTCTACCAGCATTAAGCGACGGTAGGTTTGTTCGGCCAGGGTTTGCTAGCTACGGTCCTCAAGCTCCAATCATGCAGCTTGAACTCCGATAATTCTAGATTTGAAATTCGCGGAGATTTAAGCGGAGCATTCGGCCTCGCGAGCATACTAAGATGGTACGAGGACTGCGAACCCGTGGACTTACCTAGGCACAAGTAGGCATGTCTAGACGTCACCCGCGGATGACCCAGAGCATGCTCGTAGTCAGGTACCGAATGTTTACTTGAGGGGCATCAAGTGGTGTGAGAAAATCCTTGTCACGAGTACCCGAGTCCGGGAGCTGCACCTTCGGTAAGTACCTTTCCTAGCCTCAAGCACCTGCGGGATACTTAGATGGTAGGTATTTAACAAGGGTCAATCGTGATAGTAGTTAACAAACGAAAGCGGGGAGATGGTACGGGCATGTGAGCTTGGACCTCGGCTTACAAGGCTGAACTTGGTGGTCAACCTTCATCCACCCTCCTCTTGTCCGGGGGGAGGCTGCCATTGACAATGATAGAGCTGTCACAATTGAGGATTCTTATCCATGGTCTATACATTTTTGGGATAGAGCTTTGTCCGTGCTCAATTGAATTGACGACTGTCCTACAAGGTCTTTTCATGACATGTTGAGCTACGACGGAAGTCGGACCGCTATTCCACGACTGACTGATTTCAGGGCATGGGACATGATCGACAAGCCATGGCATGTTTCCGACTGCTGCGAAATATGTGAAGGCACAGAAACACTGAGCTGGACTTAGGGTACAAGATATTGATTATGGGGTATCGTGAACTGCGCTAATCATACAGTGCTAGAAAGGGTCGAGGTGCCATCATTCGTCATCGTATCTGAGCTTATGAGGTTGGTTTTTCCTGAGCCTTTGCTTGCTTGTCCAGGTCCAACTCAACACCACGTTGTCTGGTTTTTCCTTCGTCATGCTGATCGGCATATTTGGCTTGAGCCTCACGGTCACCAGTAAGACCAGCAACGGCGCCTCCTAACGCTCCGCCAACACGATCACTGATTCCTTGACCCAAATCAGAGAGTTGACCCTTAGCCTCTTGACCTTGACCTTGGAGGTTTTGCTCTCGGCCTTGTTGCTTGAGATTCTCATTACCTAGAAGGCCACCAACGGTCTCCTTGGCACTACCAATAGTTTGATCCCATTGACCCTGGGTGCGGTCGGCGTTGTCTTTGGCAGGTGCACCTGAGGAGCTGATGGTGAAGGGACCAGCTTTTGCCGCGGCGTGAGAAAGGTCTGACTCCGCAGCACCTTTGTTCTTGTACTCCTCTGCTTTGGCCTGGAGTTCGGTCAGTATTGGAGTCAATCAGAGATGGCGGGTTATCTCACTGTATCGCCAGCGCTGCCAGTAAAACTGGCAATACCCGACTGAACATAGCCTGTAGCCGTGTCAACGACTGATTTGAGGGTGGAGGTGTTGTCGGTGGAAGACATGATGAACTTGTGTGGTGTAAGTGTGGGAGGCTTGAGAGTTTTCTTGGGAAGGATAGATCTGAATGTTTTGAATATTTGTACGTGAGTATTGATGAATGAAGTTGGTGGTCTGGAAGAGTTGAAGAGGAGAGGGGTGGCCTCATTTATAGACAGAAGTTGCCTTGTTTGTGGTGCAGTGGTTATGAGGCAGCCGCGTCGTCGCTCAGGCTGTTGCCATTAAATTTCACAACTTGAATGAGACACTGTGACGCCATGACATCATCGATGCCCCACCAAGAAACAAATGGAAAGGACGATTCCCAGTGAGAATTCCTCATTGCGTGGCTTCCATTTCACGAATCCCACTCCAATCCAAGATTGGAATGAAGCATGTGCTACTTTGATCTGGTCCGATCTGGTCAGCTGCTCCTGAGACCGTCTCTTAGCTCTCAGACCCAAGATGCGATTCAGGATCGTGGGGAGTTTTGTCCTTCTCCCATGATCTGCTCCCACTCAATCTGCTCACTACTGGACCTAGCACGTACTTGGGAAATCTCAGGGGCCAGTCGTTTCAACCCAGCTTGAGCCTGGTGTAGGGCCGAATTGGGACATTCAGATCGGAACAAAGCCGATGCAGACACCAATACTGCACCCTAATGAAGGACAGGACTAGCCATCGTCACAACCAGTCTAGGAATCACCAAGTTGCTCCTATTTCTTTTGCTCTCAAAACCTGAGTTTCGGACACACAAAGACCAAAAGAAAGGCGGCAATCCACATGCCAAAAATCATGGCGTACAGCTTCATGCGTCCGAACCAGCCTTCCTCTTCGGACATGCGTGTGAGAAATGCCATATTTTTACTTGCCGCCGCCATTCCCGTCAGGCTGATATCGAGGCCTTCCAACGCCCTGTCAACAAGACTTTTGTCTTGTTCCAAAGAGAATTGCATCGCCTTGCTTTGTTGCTTCAATTGGACTGCCATACTCACTAATGAGGCTGTTAGGTCTTCGTGCGCTCGAGACGAATTCAACAGTAATCGCTCTGTAGATTGCGAGTTTGAGAATCCTGTTGTTCGAGCACCACCTGCATCTAACGAAGGGTCTTGTTTTCCACCCCTTCGTCGTACTTCAGAATCTGCGAATAATTCTTGCCGCCCAGTATCTTTGGCACTGTGCTTGTCGCTCTCTTTCCGAGGACTTTGGGCGTGGCTTTCATCGTGTAGTACATTGTCCTCCGATTCTCCAGAAATCTGATCTTTGGATTCCTTAGCCTGTTCGTGCTCCCGCAAGATGTCATATAATGTTTCAGCGCCATCATCCTCGTGGAGAGGCTCACTAGCATCGGGGCTTATAAGATCAATCTCCCTCCCAATCTCCTCAACACGATTCCGTAATCTTTTGACAAGTGCCCGTTTCTCGGCGAGATCTTTGAGAGCCTCATACTTTGCACGTTGAACAGGAATGGCCTGTGCCTTGCGCTCGAGCTGCAAAAGCTGCGTGCGCGCACCCTCGATATCTTGCAACCATTTATCGCGGCCGTAGGGAAGCGGTGACCATAGCTCAGCTTGTATCTCGGCTTGCAGTGAGCTGAGTTGTGGCTGTTGGTTGCTGCCCAGATGAGAGGCGGAGGACGGTGTCGGTGTAAGGAGGATCAGGTGCTGGAGGCGTAACAAAGTCCGATGGAGGTTTAGGTAATTTGTCTCATGCTGGAAAGGGACACTCCCTGTGGTTACTTTCGCAGGTGCATGTTCACGACGAAGTGACAGACCTATTGGAGAGAGGCCAGCGGCGAGAGACATTTTGGGTCAGGTCATGAGGATGGATTGGACGTTGAATCCGTGACAGGTGAAATGCAACGACAGGCTGCGCAGGTCGTCAATACTGGCCTAGGAGATAAACCTGAATACCCACTAACGCCAAACAGACATGTAAATCCGAGTTGTCGCGTGTGCAATGCCTGATGGTGTCGAACGATGAGACTATCATGCACTAGGATCAGCGGCCAGAGTGGTCTCTGCTAGGACAAGTTGCGGCCGGATACTCCGGCTTACTCGGATCATGGCGAGATCTGCCAGCCTGGAGTGAGCTTGACTTGGCACTGCCAGTGAGTAAACAGCCTTGGCATCTTTGTTCTTCGAGCTAAGAGTGCTTGCTCACGTGCCGTGCCGGTTACTGGCGGACCCAGGCTCTTATCAGATGCCCTTGCCTTCGAGTTGTGGCCCTCCCTTCTGCAACGGCGACCCCGAAAGCCCATGCTCCTTATCGAGCTTCCACTTTGCCACGATCGCAGGTCAGATCATCGTTCCTATCGGCTGACAGACTGCCTGCCTTTGACGAGTTTGAGTCACGATCTACGACGAGCCGCTCACCAATGCATGGCAAGTCCGTACCTCGAATGGAATGCATGGAAGCTCCCATGGAAGCCTTAAGGAATCCATACAGTGCACTATTACATTTCCGGCTACCGAATACAACATCGTTATCTTCATAAATTAGGGATGTTCCTCCTTGATGTGCAACGCAGTCCCCGCAATCATCTGGCAGGTCCACTCGCAATGCAGAACGACTTAGGCAGCGATGGCCCGGGGGCCTAAAGGTGTCGCTGTGGCGAATCGATCTGAATTGGAAGAAAGTGATAATTTATTCCACTTCATCCACTGGCATCTGATTATCCTTGTTCACCTGGTGGTTCACTGGTTACTGATTTTTGAGTGTGTCACGGGTGCTCGTATCTTTTCTCCCACTTCGACGCCTCATGATTGACTTTTTTGGGGTGCTGCGAGAACGAGAGCAGCTCGAGTGTAAACCTCCAAAGTACCCGAAATACCCTCACACCATCACCTCGGCTGGCGTGAGCACTGAGCATTGCTTCTGCTCTCTTGGTAGTGGGCGAGCCAGGCCCTATCTCTTAGCCCGAAAGCTAGTTATGCGCTCCTTCTCGGTCAAGCCTAGTAAGGTTCCGCCACCTGATTATATCCTGGCACGATGTTACCTTACTGGCGCATTTACCAATATGCGTGGTGGACTAATCCAGGATCCCCTCCGTCACTATCCACTTTTGATACCTCGGGGAACGCCTATCCATGGCTTTGATTCGTCAACGTTTCTTGGTACTAACGCTTTTGAGGCTTGACTGTGCTTGGGGTGCTTGTAATAAAGCATGGTAAGCTTGTTGCTATAAGATGGGCTGATCGCGGTCTTGCTTGTAGTGTTTTGATCTGCTCTGCTCTACTCTTTTTCCTTCACCCCTCTATTCCCTCTGTCGTGCCAAAATGAGTCTTCCAAACGAATCTAATGGCTTTGGTGAGAAAGCTGGTGAGCTTCCACCGCCAAAACGAGGCTCCTTCAGCGACCATGCACGCGGTCGCCAACTCAGCGTCGACCCGGAGGACCATGCCATGGTCACCGCCGACCAGAATGCGCTTCACAAACGGTTGAAGGGTAGACACATGCAGATGATTGCCATGTAAGTTCGACGCCGTACCGACTCTCATAACTCCGTACTGACATGCGCTCCCAGTGGTGGTGCAATTGGCGCCGGTCTCTTCGTGAATTCTGGCAGCGCTTTCCAAACTGGTGGCCCCGCCTCTGTGCTCCTCGGTTTCATGATTGTTGGTAAGTAATTCCACTATCGAGGACTCGTGTTGCCACCACTAACGTTTTATCAGGTGTCCAGGTGTATGTCTCCTGTCCATCGAGTCCTCTCGCACTTGACTGATGATGTAATAGCTACTTCATGATGCAGGCCCTTGCAGAACTTTCCGTCATGTACCCTGTCAATGGCGCTTTCACCATGTACATTTGTCGCTTCGTTGACCCTTCCTGGGGTTTCGCTTGCGCCTGGGAGTACGCCATTAGTTGGCTTACTGTCCTCCCCTTCGAAATTTCGGCTGCCTGCAATATTATCCACTACTGGTCTGGTTCAGAGGGCATCAATAACAGCGCTTGGATTGTCCCGCTTCTCGTCGCTTTGGTTGCTATCCAGTTCTTTGGCGTCAAGGGCTATGGCGAGGTAAGTCAAATGAGATTTCTCCGGGAGACTGAGCTGATGTTTGAATAGGTCGAATTTGTCCTTAGTTTGATGAAAGTCATCGCTTGTATCGGGTTCATGATCCTTGGCATAATCATCAATTGTGGTGGTGTTCCAACTGACGATAGAGGTTACATTGGTGCAAGATACTGGTATGTTCATCTCAGAAGTGTCTTATGACGCGGCTAATCATTTTCAATAGGCATACTCCGTACGAGGCATTCCTCAACGGCTTCCACGGCTTCTGCAGTGTTTTTGTCACTGCGGCATTCGCCTACACTGGCACAGAACTTACGGGACTGGCTGCTGCAGAAACGGTCAATCCAAGAAAGGAGATTCCCAGGGCTTCCAAACAGGTCGTCTGGCGTATCGCCATCTTCTACATCGTCAACCTCTTCCTCGTCGGTTTGATTGTCCCGGAGAACAGTGAACTGTATTCTGCTGAAGGCTCTTCATCGCGCCGTTCGCCATTCGTCATTGCCATCAAGCTTGCCGGTATCAAGGTGCTCCCAGGCATTTTCAACGCTGTCATCTTGATTGCTGTCATGAGCGTCGCAAACTCCTGTACCTTTGGCTCGACTCGAACAATTCAGGCTCTCGCTGCAAATGGTGCGTTTCTTCTCCATATGCTGTGGACACAATGCTAACTCGCTATACAGGCATGGCTCCGAAAATCATGGCCTATGTCGACAAGAAAGGCAGACCGCTTACAGTGGTCATTATCCAGCTTCTCTTTGGTTGTCTAGCGTTCATTAACCTGGCGCCTAATGGTGGTGTTATCTTCAACTGGCTCCTGTCACTGTCAGGCCTTGCCATTCTTTTCGTCTATGGCAGTATTGGGTTGGCGCATATTCGATTCCGCACTGCCTGGTAAGCTACAAGCCCTATTTGAGCTGCGGTTCACGGTCACTAACTCCTTGCAGGAAGCACAACGGTCATTCCTTGGATGAGATTCCCTACAAAGCCAAATTCGGCATCTGGGGCTCGTACATCAACATATTTATCTCCATTATTGCCCTGATGGCTCAATTCTACGTTGCCCTGTATCCCATCGGCGGCCCGAATCTAAATGCCAACTTGTTCTTCCAACTCTACCTCGCCGGCCCACTGATCATTTTCTTATACCTGCTGTGGAAGACCTACAGTTGGTTCGCCCGTCCAGAAGACCGGCCATTCTTTGTCTCTATCAAGGACATCGATATCTACACCGGCATGAGAGAGGGCCAGCGAGCCAGCATCAGCGGCGCGGGTGTCTCTGAGGAACAGAGACGCGCCAGCATCCTCGAGATACAAGAAGAAAACAAAAAGAAGGGTGTCAAGGGTCATGCCATGGCCGCTCTCCGAAGCATCTTCTAAAGTGTCATTTGAGCAGTCAGGTAGGATGGGGCGCAGGCTGAACTCTCCTTCGAGCTTCAGCCCCTTCCCACCCTGCTTGGCCAGACATGAGAAGAGGACTCGAGACATCACATCCGGCGAAGCTGCGGAATACATGCTACCTATTGTGTCGGTCTCCAAGACTTCTGGCATATTCATACTCGTAATCTCATATCAGGTTGCCCGAGCTAGAGGGTTTTCCATAAACAATTGTAATTCTAGCTAGGGTTCGCCCATCATACAAATCCTATTAAGACTTTGCGCTCAGAAACCAGCCTGAGCAGTCAGTTTGAAACACTGAAATATCCTTCTTAGTAAATTTCTTCAACTGAAAGGCACTAATACTCGTAGGTCGATCGAGTCATGCAAGTCTGCGCGCTGGAGGGTCCGCTGTGCCAGGACAGGTCATTTTGCGATCGGCTCTCTTTGCAGCACAACTCTCACGCTTGCTAGCTAGAATTTAGACTTTTTTCGCTCTCGTGTTCGAAGGTGTGTTTACGCTCTAGCTCCCCAAGCTAGAGGTCCGGTATTACCAAGCACTTGTGGCTGATTGTCTTGAGCAGAAGCACAAACCAAGTCGAGGACAACAGCTCAAGAACTGCAGAGTATTCCGTAGCTGGTGCTGGGCCATCGGCCACAGAATGAATGCTATGCCACCGACTTGCCCTAGGCGGCACTTGGCCGGTAGTGCAGCACGTAGTACCGAGGACCTTGTACGAGTACTTCGTAGGTTACATTACTCCATAGTTTGCCAGCGAACAAAATTAAGCTCAGTTCTTTAGTGCGGAGGAGGGAGAAAAAAAGAGAGTGCTGATCCGGGGAATCTGGGGAGTCATTGGAATCTTTGGACCATCACCCCTTCTTTGCATGTTCCGACTTCCGAGTCACTTCCAACCGTGCTTATCCAGGATTAACCTAGGCTGGAGATTTTGGGTTTGGTGTGCAATTTGCATGCCATCGGACATCCACGTACGCTTCGTAATGTCTCCTAATTGTGCGCTCTCGACTTCCGATTGTAGTCAAGCTAATACATAATACATCTGCGGGTAAGAAAAGGTCTCCCTCGCCATCGTCACATCGTGCTAACAGGGATTGTCTAGGGATTGCAACCTTGACTGCTGTAGTCGTGCTGTGGTTGATGGTCTGGTCCAAGGGTTCGTTGGTGGACACAACTTTCATGTCTCAAATTTTGACTACTGGGAGCCATAATTTCCCTATAGCAATTTGCGTAAGATGAAGCAATAGTCGACTGGATCTCCGTGCACAGGGCGCTTCTCAATTCGTACACGTATCTGAAGTTCGTGTCCTGCCTTTCGAGACGAAGAAAGCCCCCAAATACATTCCCCCTGCTCGATAATAATGGTCGTAATGCACGAAGTACACTGTAACCGTAAGTGCCTTGAGCCATGGACGAGCTCCCAGCGCATTGCTCGAATGGCCCATCAATGTGCAGCTACCCCTTCAGTCAGTGTCTGGTCAGGGTTGTCTACCCAGAATCTTTTTACACTCCAGAGGCAACAAGGACCTTTTCGCAGATGAGTGACAAACTGGTTGTGATACTGGCAGTATTATGAAAGCTTACTATGGGTAACATAAATACACGCGACGCCTCCTGAGCGCCATGGAGAAGAAATATCTATCGAGCAAACAGTCAATCAGTCCACATTTCAACTTCTGCTGAACCTTCTACACCACTGTAGCATTCAGCACTGCCACCTCCGGAAACTGTGACAACGTTCTCTTGAGCTGTCCCGACGATATCTGGCATCCGACAAAGCGGAAGAACGAAGCGGTCGAGGTAGATAAAATTTCAAGCATTCGGGATCCTGAAATTGTGCCGACCAGCTCGCCCGCCAAGTCGGCAGGTAACAGCGCCCGCAAACCAAGCACATCCAACAACATAGGAAAATCCGTGTACGATCCATGTGCAGTGCCCTTGACACTGGCCTCGAATTTCGAACTGCGCAGATGGGACCAGAGATCTGCCCAGGATTGGTCGGTGGTCAGGTTTTTTCCTTCGTGCGCAAATATCATGAAAGGTCGATCGAGACCTTTAGCGACAACATCGCCGAAGAATGTTCCGTCGAGATTGATGCCACCAAGGAATTTGTTGTCTTCCAGCATCGTAGCCGCTGCCGTTGCTCCACCTAAGGAATGGCCATGTGCGAACCTTTGCCGGAGGTCGACACTGCCGTATATTCCCTTGAACAGATCTTGTGTGAGCGTCCGGTTCTGAAGCTGCTGGTTGACGAATTTGATGTCTTTTGTACGCACGGCGAGCGCCGCCTCGATCTGTTCATCGGTGTCGATGTCTGTGGCGAGGACAAAGCTTCCATCCGGAAATTCAACAATGGCGCCGTCATAGGGATGATCGACAGTAAGAACGACAAAGCCCTGAGCAGCCAAGTTCGCGGCGACGCTGCTATAGATCAACCTTGAATTACTCAAACCTGGCGAGAAGACAACAATGGGATGCTGAACCCGATTACGCCTCTGAGGTGTTGTTCTTGGGCTGCACAAAGTCAACTCCAGTGCTCCGAATGTGCCGTTTGGCAGTCCGATCGAGCTGTAAAGCTGGTCATAGACCTCTGCCGTTGCTGGTGGCATATATGGGGTCTGTATATGCTGACAGCCTCGCCTCATCGATGTCGGATAGAAGGCTGACAATACTATACGGCGGTTCTGTTTTGATGGAGCGTAAGGGTCTAGCATCCCAGTGTTGACTAGCTCGACTGTTTTGAGAGCAACTCCATATTGTCCGGAAGGCTGAGGAATAGTGACTGATGCTGTGCGTGCAACGTCGCCGAGTAGCACAACTGCTAAAAGTGCCGAAAGAAGTCCCATCTTTTAGGCTCTTGTGATCAGGGAATGGTAGCTTGGACTGACGTCGTGTACGGATGAAGTGGTTTGGAATAGAGCCATTCTGACGCGGCATAAGGCAGCATTATATACTGTATACAATGAATCTGTCGAATTGCTCTGAGTAGTCCAATATGGTAGTATTCTTGCTCACCCAATTATGACTTCGTCACGAGCACAGCCTTGCGGTCCAGTGGAGCCGGGCTTCATTGGCCGCACAGGCGTGCCAAGGTCTCTAGCGTCGCTCAATTCGATCCGAGAAAGGGAAAGCGCGTTGGGTTCTGCGAGTTCGATGCGTTTTACTTTCTTGTCTACGCCCTAGAACGGAGCTGGTCTAACAGATCCAAATTGCGCTGCAAATTTTTCTTTGCAAAGATGCAACCTGATCTCGCCCGGTCATGTCTTTATATGGAAATCAAGTACCATCGCCGCCGAGAGAAGTCTTCTAAGCGACTCCAAACGACCAACCCCATGACATAATGGTCGCCGGGCCGTATGATCAAAGGAAGACACGAACGCGATGCATTGCGTGTTCCTCTAGTCATCTCAAAGTAGGCTTACTTCAATCCAAGACACTAATATCCGAATGACTGACATGACTACTCCATAGTGTTCCGGCGGCGTTCCATGCCAGAATTGTGTTCGTCGCGGGAAGCTTTGTGAGCTTCCGGTGCGCGATCTGTCTATCACATTGGATGCCGGTAAGAAAGCATGCAGGAACAACAGGGAGATCATTCGCAGGGCTCCGAAGCTCTCCACTCTGAACCCTTCTCTGGATGCTGAGACTGTGTATGTCTTGGCTTTCTTCACGGAGTTTTTGCCGCGGAACAATTTCACTGGACGATCGACGTCACCCTGGCTTTCCATTCAAGGCCATGTGAGCTCTCACGCAGGGATCAACAACGTTGTTTGCGCCATTGGTGCGCTTCAGAGTGCGAAGAGTCCCAAATCTACGGAGCGGCACTTGGTGTCTGAGGCGTTACGCTGTTACACAGCTGCAATCACCAATCTCCGCACTCAAATCACGAAGGCACAAACAAGCGATCTCTTGAGACTCTCATGGAGTACTTTCCTCCTAGGCTTGTTCGAGGTAGGACAAGCAACTGTCTGATATCTAGGATGGATTGAAATCGCTGACATCTGCCTCAGCTCATGTGCGATAATACTGGGCAAGGCTGGGTATGGCACATGCTGTACGGAACATCACGAATGCTCCAGTCTCTGACTCCAGACGGGTGCCGATCCGGTTCTGGTAGGGAGTTCTTTCTCGAAATTAGAATATTCGAGATCGCTCGTTCAATGCTGTTCGTCGAAAGATCATTTCTTGCGACCAAGCCCTGGATCGACTTCACACAAGAAATGTGGCTAGGCGAGCATGCTGGCGAGTGGAGTCCGATGGAGCGACTACTGGATATCATGACACTCGCTTCTGATTTATGCGTTCGGTAAGTTGATGGGGCGTGCTCTTGGCTCGCCATGACAACGAACTGATGTTTGAGTGTGCCGACAGAGTAATGGAGTACACACACTCGAATGGAAAATCATCTTCCGAGGATGAAATTTTGAGAACTCTTGCAACATTCGCCGAGGAGGGTCATCGCCTACGATCTGATCTATATTCGTGGGAAGAAATGGCCCAGATCTGGCCGAGCTCAACCAAATATAACCATCAAATGATGATCGCTTGGGTCTTCTACCCAGCAATCTCAATCTATCTTTCTGGTATATACGACTACGATCGAATATGGGAAGCATCTGGGATCACAACTCCTGGCCTTCCACGAACGGAGGTCCAGCAGAACGTCGGCAAGATACTAGATAGAACGGCACTGGCTCTGAAAGGGACAAATGTTACGGCGCTCGTCTTCTTATTCCCACTTCGCATTGCTGGCGCTCGGGTGACTACAGTCGAAGAACAAGAAAATATTCGAACCTTACTGGCTCAGATCAGCTGCAGCTTCAGTGTCGCGAACGCCATCTCTTCCGATCTTGGAGAAGTATGGGCGGATCCAGTTCCAAGGCTCGTCACTACGGCGTGAAAGCGGGAGAAGCGATCTCGTTCCCCAACCAGCCAAGTCAGCAACGTCGATTTCCTGGCCGTTGCGCATGTTGGAAACCAGAGCGTCGTCCGGGCTGGATCAGCTTCTCTACGCCAAAATATGCCTCATTCCACTTGTGCGTTCCGACAAGCGAACGCCTCGAGACATGCCGCATCGATGCGCCACGTCGAAACCTGGCTCGCAATGACGCTTGTGTGGACGCTGGGGTTGGAAAGGTTGAGAGTATAGCTGCTTCGCAATTGGGGCGTCGTCCGGCATATTCTTGCACTGCATCAGATCAGAAGCTCTGATCCATGGTAAGCCGGCTTCGAAGAACAGGTATATCCACCTCGTCTCGAAGACAGTGGAAACTAGTGATGTTGTTCAACGAGTGCAATGGACACTTTTTCCGGCTTATGGATGAAGAAGAAGACAAAGCGATGACTTCAAGCAACTGCACACTGATTTCTCACATCGTTACCAGGGACCTGCGAGTACTGCCCCTACCCAGAGAGTCTTGTATGTCATGGTATATATCAGCTATATACTTGGCTCTTCGGCGCTGCGATCGAGAGAAGACGGGAGTGTCGCAGGCAACAGGCGTATTATCCACCCATGTTCTAGATGGCACTTCAGCAACGGGGAGCGTAGTGCTCTGCATCCAGGGAAGTAAGCAGATGATGACAGGTAGAGACCACGGAAGCGTATTGAGGCAACAATGGAGCATCGACCACGAGTAGAGAGATGACAAACCATGATCAGAATGACCCAGAATGACCCCAGTTTCCATTCCACGATCTGTGGTCAACTACATTACCTGGGAGATGTTTGTTCGATATAGAGTATCACGAGATGGCTAAAGGATGATCGCACAACACATACATGCGTGTACTCGCGCACAGCGAGAGTATTTATTAGAGGGGTGCATGGCTATAGACATGCTGGGGGCTAACGGGCTACGCTCGTGTTTACTCTTTATATCTTTTATCGCATTCTCTCCTTCGATCAAGTCATGTACTGTACACACTACTACAGCTCCTTTTTCACCCTCCACAAGTTCTAGACTCAAGCACTCATTTGGTAGCCCAATGACGGGAAACCCAGGATCCTTCCTTTGTTCCCTCAAGTCCTGCGGACTCAAACAGGGGAATAAAGGGCTCGCTTCTTGTACGTTTTTGAAAATATGCCTGAGGTGTGTGTGGACAACCAACGACCATAAACCCCGCATGCGTGGTCCCATGTCACCAAGCAATGGAAATGGAAAAAGAAATAAACATCCGGGCGCGTTAAAGAACAGTCAGTCTTCCTCCTCGGAGTAAACTGACTGTTAGGACGGAAAGGAACCTCCATGGTTCATATCGGTGAAAGATGTGCAAGCTTGCCGGCAGAAATGGTGGCCGTGGAAAAAATTTGTAGCTGGGTCCCTAGAATGGAGAAGTATGATGCCAACCCTGAACGCCGGTGGTATATGCAGTCGTGGACAAATCAAAGCTGAACAGGACAACGCTGTAGCAATGCTCATCTCATCATATGAGACCACACATTCGCAGGTTTTCTTGGATGATAATATCTGGACGGATCAGAAGAGTTCATTTGAATAACAAGTGTACGTGGACTTACCGTTGACAGCACCCATTACGAATCTTATTTGTGTTGTATCAGTTGCACACGTGAAATGGGTGTAAATCTGTTTGGTCTCGGCTTGGTTGAGCGAGACAAACCGATTCAGGATATAATCGCAAGCGGCAGCGTAATCCGGACCACCTGAGATATTTGTGTCAGCGCATTTATAGGTCCATCATTTTCCGGATCACATACCTTCATAGTCGGGGAAATAGTTTTGCATGGGGCTCACAGGTAGCTTCTCCTTGAACCTGTCAATCTTGTTCAAGAACAAGATAATGCTCGTCTTGATAAACCATCTCGAGTTGCAGATACTATCGAACAATGTGAGGGCTTCTTGCATTCGGTTCACGGTTTCATCTTCGAAGAGCAGTTGATCATATTCCGAGATAGCGACCAGGAAAAGAATTGTGGTGACATTTTCGAAACAGTGAATCCACTTCTTTCGTTCCGATCTCTGTCCACCAACGTCGAACATGCGATATGTCAAATCCTGGATGATGAACGTAGTTTCGGTGATACCGGTGGTCTTTACTCGAGATCGGAGAACGTCTTGATCGTTTGGCATGTAATCGTGGGCGGCGATGCGATCGATCGAATCAAAGTAGCTGGTTTATGTTAGACACGAGGGAGCTTCTTGTCCAGAGGCCAAACTCACTATCTTGCGGAATCGTTCAATTGATATTCTCTTGACCGCTTGAAGCATTCCTGAACTCCAATGTCTTGCCACAATGCTTTGATGGCGGCACCAACCTCGGGGGGCAGACTATCTCCTTCTATTTGAGGTGGCTGCATGAAAATCGTCTGGACATGGTACTCGGCACGCTGATCATCCAAGGGAAGCTCCAGTGACTCCATAGCTTCGAGAATGACACGCATTGATTGAACGGTGTTTGAAAAGATGATTTCCTTGAAAGATTCGCGCTCATCTCGCGAGTAGCCTCCTTCGTGGATGAGCTTCATCTGCTTGAGAATGGTGGATTTGCCAGATTCACCAGCGCCTATGATCAAAATCAGCTTTGAATTGCCCCGACACACAAAAAGTCACACACCTAGCAGCAGCATCTTGATCTCATTTCGCTGCGCCATCTTGTCTCTCTTAAGCTGATTATCGATTTCATCGTTTCTCGCCTTGCCGGCCGTATCCTCTTTGCTTGCACCACAGCCCATGGTTGCGAGGACGTGAAACTTATTGGGGAAGCGAAAGTGGGTCGAGTGAGAGGGATGGAGGTGACCGATCTGTCAACTTAAGAGCTGTTTTGAGTTAGCTATGGATGATAAAGCAATGGGTAATGAATCTTTGTTTGAGAAGATGAGGAAAATGGTGCATCGTGTTGATGGTGACATATGATGATAACTGACCTGTTGCGAGGGTGATATGGCGAAGCACCAGCAAGAAGAAGCGTTTGTAGGACGAACACTTTCCCTCGAACTGATAGAGAGACTGAAGAGGAAGTTGACGGAAATCCGAGGGAGATCGGCGCGGGATGTGAACGAAGGAGGAAAATTGGCGCCGATCAAAAGACCCGGTGTAGACACAGCGGGTGTCAGGAGAGCTAGACAGGTCAGTGCAGGGCTAGGATCAGTACGTAAAGCTGCGCCTGTAAGAGGGTTGTTGTTGTTGTTATTGTTGTCAAGAGAAGAAGGATGACAACAGCGACGGCGAGTACGAATAATGTACAGAGATGAAAGGGAGAGAAAGACCGAATTGGCTGGATGCCAGTGATCGGATTGACGAGGTGGATTGGAAATAGGATTGATTGCTGTTTTTTGGCCTGTGGAAAATGCAGGCTCGCAGGCGAGGCAGGAGGAGGCAAGAAATCGAGGGTCGTGGATTGAAGCAGACGCCAAACCGGGAATGGACAGGCGGGAACCCACAGCCGTGCTTAACAGTGGTCCAGTGGGGAGGCGTGAGTTCTCCTCTTCAGGCCCTGTTCCCTGAGCTGATCAGACCTGAAGACGAAGAGGTGGGCGAGGGTGAAGCAGGCTAGACACCTACGGAGTAGGACTGGGAGGGGGGAGACTGGGGGACAGGCAGGCCGCAAGCCCCAAGTCCAGGTCTAAGTCCAGGTACCACCGGCTACTAGTACTAGTGGGTCGACTGCAAACCCTAGAGGGCGCCGAACCTGGAACCAAGCTCTTCGCTCGGGTCAAGGCCATCAAGGATTCGAGCTTCTCCCCGTACCCATAGCCTGGAGCTGTACGAAATTCTGTCAAACAGTCAACTTGCGCATCAATTGCGATCTCGAGCCCCTCCCTCTTGGTTACTCGAACTAGTCCCTTAGCCTGTGCCCCCTACTGAATTTAATCGCCTGCTGGTTCCATGGCTAAACGGTGTCCAGCTTAGTGAGGGTGGTTGGACCCATTTGAGTTTTTCTCCCCGGCCACTTGCGCGCCTCTTGCCTATCACTACGAGAACTAGTACGCAGCCAACCGAGCTTGAACGACTTGACCGGCCACCTTCACCATGTCCTCGATACGGCTCATCTTCAATTTCCAGTGTGGTCTTTCCACCATCTGTCCGTCTTGGTTGTCGATTCTCGATTTCTCGAGTCGACGCAGGGGGCAACCTGTGGTCTTGGTCTGGAGCGACCACTGCGTTGGAACGTAGCAATGATTGCCACAGACCATACGTTGGACTGTAACTCTGGAGGACTCGTATGCATACAAGCACGCAACGATGGCCTGGCGTGCGAACGCTCCCCTCGTCCTTGGTTATCGCATCATCAGTGTTTCATCTATACCTGGCCCTCATCAAGTACCTTGATGAACTACGGCTACTAAGACTCCATATGCTGATCTTTGGTGGTTCTGATGAGTGAACGGATCAGGCGACTGTTCGCTTCGGTGTACAGATACTCCTCATCTTCCTTCTCAAGCACTCTAGTGCGTTCTACTCCGTATCAAGTCCCCTACTAATGAATTCTAATCAGCATGGGTCCCCTTTCCTTGGTGCCAACATCCTGCAAATTACTCGCGACTTGCGTACAACTTCTAGCATGCTCCTGAATAACTTAGTCCACTTCTTTTTGACGCATACTCCCATGTCATCGTGCCTAGAAGCGAACACTGGCGAGACACTTGGAAATTGTCTTGCAATAATCAATGCCGAACAACGTCGATAGTCGAGACTCGAACTCGAGAGAACAAGGACAGTCTCCTCCACATTTACAAACTGAACATTTTGACCTGACTCATTGGTGATCAGACAACCATGAAAGGTCACCTCCAATCGAATATCGTGGCGTCGCGTTTGACCCATATCTCTTCTCGCTAGAAAAAGTGTCTGGGCCGGAAGCTTAATATACAGCGCCCCCTTTCGCGGACTGAGGCGTCACTTCCACCCAGTCAGATGGAATCTTCAACCTGATTAATCGACTGGCTACTCCGTGGTTGGTCGATCGTGCCACTGTCCGGATACTGGTGAATGCTGTCCATCAAAAGTTCAGAATCGAAGGACTTGACTTTCGACGCCGGACCTCCCCTAAATCTAGAGACCCATATCCGTACTTTGTCCTTGTCTGCATGAGGCCAGACTCTGCCATCACGATGTATCACCGAATCCCAGTATTCCGGAAATCAATACTCGGTATTTGATGACAGCGGTCAAAGCGATGATCGGTCTATTTTGGATGCCTTGCGGTTGGTGTTTCAGAGAGCACTAGTGGAAGTGACCTCGGGAGGATTTCTTAGTCCGGAAAGGGAGTCCATGCGAGTGTTTCGTCCCAAAGCTGAGATCCCAAGCCCGTCACGTCAGACTTGTCTTCGTTAGCTGCAGCTCTCCCAGACGTGCAGTGGAGCACTGATCACGGGTAACCCACTTGGGGTGGCACTTGGCTGCAGAGTAGAAGGTGGGTTGAAAGCTGGCTGACAGTGGATGGTCGTAGCCGAAAAGGTCGTCCTCGCTCTTAGCCATCATTCGTTCAACCCGGAAATGCTAGCGACACTGATCAACCCGCATCTGAACATCTTTTCCGCCACAATCTCGTTTCTCTCTGAACGACAGGCAAATGGCAGGCCTTCGTTGATGCCGGCTCTGGAATCGGGACAATCACTCTGCAGTCCTTTTGGGATTGACATTGCCCAAGTTGTCATTGTCCATTGTCGCTCAGCTCGGCCCTTGTACTAGAACGGCCTCGTTACAGACATGATCCTCCTTTCATTTTCGCTGCTCAGTACTACGCACATCCTGGATTTCCCAAAACAGCTGAGAGTTCTTCCCTGTAAACCCCTCAAGGATCAAGTGTCCGGTGACAGCCATATCCGTTTGACGATGATTCATCTCATGGCCCCATCCTGATATGCGCAAGGCCACATCGAACACTTTGGAAGATCTGTGATGCATCTGCACATACCCACAAAGTGCACGTTCCCAGGCTTCTATCGAAAGCTTACACGCTATGAACCTTCTGTCTTATCTTCCAGTTGGAGCAAGCAGCATGTGTTGAAACGCATTCTTCACGGCTCTCACAAGGGAAGCCATACTCTAGATCCCACATGACCAAATCTACTGAGGGAGGCATCTTATGCGACTGTCTCGGATCAGAAACGACTGAACCTCGTGACTTCTGAACTGTCCAGGCTGAAACGTCGGGTGATTTCCAAGTTCCAAGGCTTATATAGCAAGCTAAATATTCAGTGGAGTTGTCCCTGTTACTTCTGACAACTCATGTCTGCCTCGAAACAGCCAAAGACCTTGAGGTCGTGTGTATAGACATTAGTCGTCTAGTATCTAACTCTGATGGATGTACCTGTTGTCATTTCATTGATTGGATGCACTGACTATCTCACATAGGTGAGATACAGGTTCGCACGAACATTCCTCGATTGATTTTGTTAAGAAAACAAGTCTAGGTCGAGAATCACCAACTCTCAAGGATGCTGGCGACCGCTGGGACCTACAGACAATAATGAGCATCTAAGACATGGAGGACGAAGTCTTGATACTAATGCTGTCGCAAGTTCAAGTTCAGCTTGGGACTCATGACCCCACATTCAACCACTTCCTCCAACTTACCCCACATACTCTTCTAGGCACAAGGCTTCTAGACATCAAGGACACGAAGAGGGATAAATCCTAAAATCCTCAATGACTGTCATGATTCATTGGAAATGTCTCTCTTATCTATCATGTCGAATTTGCAATGATGAAGAGCAGTTCCAGAAAGGACTACCTACCTACCTAGATGTTTCACCTAGTCATTTAGATATTTGATAGCTCGTCACCTACGTTAGGCTTGTTGGGCTCGTTATTTGGGGACTAATTCATACCTACCCAGGTACCTACACAGGTAGATTATTAGACGTGCCCCAGTGGCTAGACCTTCCATTTATTTGGTAAGACGCAACCCCGGAGTGCATCTTCCCCGCAGTCATGTCCCCCCGCCCATAACTCCAACTTTACATCTTTGATGGCTGCACTGCCGCTTGCAATTAAATATTGGAGAAATCTGAACGCTGGTTCTGGAGACTGCGGAGCGATGCGACAAAGTCTTGCTTCCGAACACCCAACAAAGCCCTGTAGAAGACCCTAGGGTTTCCACACTTACAGGCATGTGATGGCCAGACCGAAGACTAGACTATCAAATGCTGTCTGCCGTTTCAGACGCGGTTTCCTCCACCTCACCTTCCTTTTACTGTCTGTCGACACTGTCCACTAACACTGCCTACGCTTTATTATTGCTATGGCGCTCGTTGGTGTCTCGACAATCGAGTTCGCCAAATCCGATACATTGAAAGCGAGCACCGACAATGCCAAACGCAAGCACGTTTGTAGTGTATGCTCCAGGGCGTTCAAGCGAAGCGAGCATTGTGTACGACATCAGAGAAGACGTAAGACTGGCTCCTTCTTCTTCACGCTCCTCATCCAGCGTGGTCCATTCCTTGGTTAGCTTTCACCGACACCATTTTAGATACTCAAGAGAAACCTTTCGGATGCCATTTCTGTCGTCGCCGATATAGTCGCAAGTAAGACACCATCATCCTCAAATTTCCACGTATGTATGGCTAAAGTCGGCACGCCAGAGATTTGCTTGTGCGACACGAGAGAACTCTTCACGTCGGTGAAAAAGTCAAGGATTTATCTGATGAGCCGGTCAAAGGTGAGGCTAATTCCATCATACTGCTCCAGATATTATTCCTTGTTTGCATGTTGATACCATGGTCTGTCCAATACCTGGTTCCCGGATACTGACACATTCCAAGAGGATGGAAAGGAAGATTCTGGTTCAAAAGATGAGACTGTGTCAACTAAAACATCCTCAAATAAGGCTGGTTCCTTGCGGGTGAAGCCTCAATCACCATTGCAAGCATCCACCGCAACAGTCAAGAGGAAAAAGCCAGCACCTGTGAAGCCTGGCAAAAGACCTCGCCTTTCGTCTCTCGATATTTCTACCGCACACCAGGTTGATGGCCAGGCCGCGGAACCACCACTACCAACCCCAGACACCACCGATCATCAACACAGCCCACAAGTTCCATTGGGTATACTAGAGAATGAAGTCGGCAAGAACACATCTCTTGCCAACAGTCCACCAGCTCTGACCCCCTTTAATGCGGACATGGGCCTGCTGGAGTTCTTCGACCCGTTTTTTGGTTTACCTGCTGAGCAGATAGTAGATATGAGCCTTCCCGGACTCAAGGGACTCACGGAGGGCTTTTCGCCCCTCGAGCAATTTAGTTCGTCGAGCGCGGACTCGCAATTAGGTCACAGAGACTCGGAGAATTATGTCCCAAGTCAGGTATCGGCGACCGAGCCAGCTTCCATGAGTATAGCATTACAGCAGGGAGAAGATCGACCAGCACAGGCAAGTAACGATCTGAAGGACTTCTTTCGAACAGACCCTGCCGACTTCTTTCTGAACTCATGCACCAACACCCCTGTACCGAAAGTTCGTCGCGTGGCGACCGCAAAGCCGCCCACATTGGCGTTCACGGATAGCATGAGGACAAAACTGCTGCAAGATCTGTCGAAACGACTGCCACCTGAGAAGTTGAGCGATTTCAAACTACCTCCTGCGGTTGCACTCCAAAAATGTTTCCGCACATTTGTCGATGCTTTCCACGTTCACATGCCGATCTTTCATCTGCCAACTCTCAACCTTGAACAATCGCCTTCGCCTCTGGTACTTGCAATATGTTCAATTGGTGCTTTGTACAGACTAGAGAGAAAAGTGGCAGCGGCACTATACCATAAAGCAGACCAAGCGCTCGCCCAACGCAATAGGGGCGTAAGCATAGTCGACAGGACCCCAAATTTGTTGGAAGACTGGACACGACCGGGCTCTCAACAGACAAGTCGACTTCGAGATACCTTGTGGACAGGACAGGCTAGACTGCTTCTCACCATGTTTGCCTCTTTCAGTGGAGATCCTGAGGTGATGTCAAGGGCGATTGCACAGATTGGAGAATTCAGCCTCGTAAGAGAATTGTTTGGGTTCATCTCAAACCAGATAAACTGACTTTTACTAGGACTTTCGGAGACTAGCACCATCCGTCAAACCCCGGAACTTTGGAATGGACGGGGTTACCTGGCAGGACTGGGTCGATAGGGAGTGTGTCAAAAGGTAAGATTCTGGAATGAAGGCTGAAGGCATCCATCTAACAAGCCCTTCAGACTTTTGTATGGACACATTATGCTCACGAATTCTCTCGCTATGACATATGGAATGCCACCAAGCTACTCGATCGTATCAGACGGTAACATCGAGATGCCCGGCGACCAGAGTCTGTGGGACGCGACGAATGCTTCTCAATGGTACGACCTAGTCAATGTGAAAGGCAGGTCGTCTTTGTTATCAGTCCGCGACGCAGTGTCGACGATAATGTATGGAAGTTTATTACGCGGCGTGCCTGAGGAATGCTGGAGTTGGTCACCCTTTGCGTGTACTGTGGTGATTAATGCTGTCTCGATTCAAATCTGGCATGTAACTCAGGGGTCCTATTTCTTCGACGAGTTGACAAGCATTGGCCAAGGGCAATCTCACGGGCCAGAGGACTCTCAAGTTCTGACACAGACAGAAGCAGCTCTGTCGAGATGTCTGTCTCTGATCACGCAAGCAAGATCTGGCGATGACTACACCTGGACAGAAGCCGAAGGTCCCTTGTTATTCAACTGTCTGGCACTCCTGAGAGTGACCTACTGCCGAGCATTTACTGGAAATGGGCATGCCGATAGGATGATGTTGCTGAAAGACAATCGTGAAGACATCATCACTTCCCTCGAGGAGTTTGTGGCGGTACCCCAAGAAAGAGATGAATTCACCAGCAGGGCAGTGGCTCGAGCATTTGAAGGCATGGTAATTCCATCAAAAGCTGGAACCCTCCTTCTCCGCAAAACCGCGGCGCTGAGTTGGTCGATCGAGCATGCTCTTGCTGGTTGGGATGCTGGTAAGTTTTGCTCCCACGACTAACTTCAATGATCAGTTCTAACGAGCCTGTTTCAGCTTTACTCGTAACCAAATGGGTACACATGATTGAAGTCGAGACCATCCGCGGTAGAAGTCGAGTCCTGAGCGAGCGAGAGGAACAGCTAATCCAGAACATGGGCGATATACTTGCCGAAGACGACGGAATCGATCAAGCGACGAGTATGGCAGCGAGACTAGCCGAGCATTGGGCAAGCTTTTACGACGACACGTGGGTTTGGGGAGTTACACCGCGCATAGGCTGGATCTTGCGCGAGCTCTCCAACTGCTATGAGAACGCGCTGCTCTCTATATAATGTTAGGGAATGATAATGGGCACGATGACGAAGCTGATATGGACAATATGTGCTGCAGTAGCCTTGCCCAGCTGAGAATAAGTACTCGTCTCCGGCTGATCCAATGAATTGGCCAAGTTTCCGTCTGAAGATCTGGTGGCGTAGCCTGGGAGGGGCTTAAGCCTGGAGGAACCCGCCTATTCCAGCCTAACGCGCTGATAGTGCTCCTGGCAAAGCCGGTTTTCCTGCCTCTCGCACCAGCTGAACTCTCCAGATTTAAGGCTATTTAGGCCTTAGGTTACGCATTAGGCTGTCCCCACAGCTACCGAGTCACCCCAGCCGACCTGCTTGATCTTGAGATCCCCGATTGCCCACCCTGGTCATCACCACCTGCATCCGCATTCAAGACCGCAACAACAAATTCATTTCTATGCCCACCAGCAACATTCGTTCAACTATCTGACTTTTGATTCTACGTCGCAAATCCTCCAAATTATTAGGCAACTCGGAGATTGGTCTCTGCCGCCAGTCATATATTACACGCCCACTCAGAACTTGTCGCAACTCTCACAATGTCGTATGAAATGTCGACGAAGGGCCCTACGCGGGTTGGAGGGAGACGTGAGTGTTCCAAGAACAAGACTTTAGCGCGCAGATGGACTCACTCTCAATGCAGCATTCAACCACAATCAATCTCAAGCTGCAGAGCAAGAGTATGACCGCCTTCGTGACCTCGCACGCCAGGAAGCCGGAAAGCGATCATCTGCGCTCGCCAAGTCGCAACAGGCATACCAGAAAGGCGATGGAGCAGCTGCACACTCGCTTTCCGAGGAAGGGAAGGCGCACGGCGCAAAAATGGAACAGTACAACAAACAGGCATCGGAGTACATCTTTCGAGAGAACAACGCCGACGGCAGGGTGCCCGCAGACACGATCGACCTGCACGGGCAATTTGTTGAAGAGGCGGAGGATATCTTGGAAGAGCGCATTCGCTATGCCCAGTCACACGGACAGACACACCTTCATGTGATTGTCGGCAAGGGAAACCACAGTCCGGGCCACGTACAGAAGATCAAGCCGAGGGTCGAGCAGGTTTGTCGTGAACTGGGTTTGCAATACCACACGGAGGAGAACGAGGGGCGGATTTATGTCAATCTGACCGGTGGTAATGTCAACATGCAAGATGTCAACAGCTGGAATGGCTACCAGCAAGGATATGGAGGACAACATCAACAGCAGCAACACGGGTCAGGTGGCTATGGTCAGCCACAACAGCAGCATTATCAGCAACATGGCCAACAGCAGCAACACTATCAAGGCGGCCAGGGCAGTCAGGGCCAGGGTGGACAGAACGACGAGGTGGAGAAGATGGTCAAGAAATTCCTTCCGAGGATTCTCAAAAAGCTGTTTGGCATGTTTTGTGGTCGGTAGGATGGTACGCATCGCCATACGCTTGTTTGATTGTTTGCTTTCTTAGCATATGAGTGTTTGAAGGTTGGCTGGCATCATCTTGTCATTCTTGATTCGGCATGGCATGGCATGGCATCGGCTTGACGAAAACGACGATTCTACCATATCTTTGAACGACGGGACGAAACCCAAGGAAGAAACCCAGGGAAGAGTTCTTGATTGCAGAAGCAAGTTTCCATGCGCGATCTCGGCGGTATTGGCAAGAGGATATGAAAGGTACAGCCGCCTTGAATGTAAGATAAGGACATGGATGTGAAGTGGATAGAGCATTTGGACACAGGTATTAGCCAAGGCTGTAACACTACGAACCTGATCCCCGTGCCAACAATGTTGTTTGATGGATAGAGCGTGAAACTTGCTCCAACAAATTCAAGAGGCCTCGAACTTGAACTTGACTCGGATTCAGATACATACCACCGGGCTCAGGTAGATGCTCGTACTATCAAAGACTACCTGCCTTCACGAGCCATGGAATCTTTGATAAGCGTTAGGCACCGAACAGCGGTTTGTCCAACTAACGCGACATCACAGTAACGGATAAATGCCTACCTAAGTAGACATCAACAAGCGAATACTAGTCGCGCACCATATCTGCGATCTCTCTTAAAATGAATCTCCTTTTTAAAATCTGCTGCACGATCAAACGAAAGGGCAAACAAAGCATGCAGCACATTCTTCTGTCCCGTCCCGTCACAGACAGTAGAAGCTCAATTCCGCGGTCTCTTCCGACCTCCCTCGCAGCTTGGTCCCAAGGCTTGCCTTAAATCTGGAACGATCTCGTCCATCGAATGTCCCATTCCCGTCAGCCAGAAAAAATCTTGTCAATCATCCATCCAACCCTGCCGCCCTGCGTCGGGCAGTCAACATCTCCCAGCCGGGACCCTTGCCGGCCGGGCTGCCCTCGGCTGCGGTGACCTCCTCGACCTTCTTGAACAGATCATACACAACCTGTTCGCTCACGGCACTGTCGCCCTTGTAGTCTGCGTGGGTGCGCACGAACTCGCGGATCCACTTGGCGCCCGTCCACAGCGTGCCGTTCGCGCGCTGTCGGATCAGGTTCAGGTAGCGGGCGAGTTCGCAGCGCGTCGTCACGTCGATGTTGACGCTGTCGAGGTACAGTTCGACGAGGGGGATGAGACCCGGGAAGTCGCATGTCGAAGACAAGTTGGTGGTGTTGTCGTTGTCGTCATCGGAGCGCGTGCCGTTGATGATTTCGTCGATGCTCATTTGTGTGTATTCATCTTCGACAGGGCCTGGTGTGGGTGGGCGGCTGGGCTGTGCGGGTGTTCGGAGTGGCGTGGATACTCCTGAGACTTCGGCTTCGCTGCCGCTGCCGTTGAGGTTGCCAGCGCTGTTTGGTGTCGATGTCTGTGGAGAGTCTTTGGCGTTGCGTCGTGGCGGCATGGGGTTCTTGCGGAACCAGAATTTCGACTTCATCAACCCGTCTCTCGTGTGAGCTGTCTCCATGTTCTCTGTCGTGAGGGGGATGGGGATGTAGAAGTTCAAGTCGAACGACAGGATGGCTCGAGTCACGAGCACAATGAAGATGCTGAAGGCGGCGTTCTCGAAATCCGTCATCTGAATTTCCATCGACCGGAATTCAACTCGCCATCCGATGTCGGCATCTGGTGGCGGTGGCTTGAACCGCATGTGTTGCCAGTTGGTGCTCTGGATGTTTTCAAAGTGGTTGGAGCCTTCGGGGTCGAGGGTCTTGAGGTCTTCGGAAAATATTACGATGGGGTCACGTATGAAGAGATGAGCAAAGTGAGTGGCAAGGAGGTCATCCATGCCCCCATCCACAAGTTTTTGTTTCAATCTCTCGTCAACAATGAGATCTGGGTCCATATATTCAGGCCTTCGTCGCGGGTCCTGAGCAATATATGTACTATTGCTCGCATACCGTGACTTTGGTATTCTCCATCGATCATTTTTGAGCGGGGCTTCACCCAATTCTTCAGCGGTTCGGTCATCAACAGCGCGAGAAATTTGATTCCATCGCACATCCGTATCAACAAGGAATCCCTTGTAGATAGGAGTGGCAGCAGTAAGAGCCAGCATGATCGGGCCGAGGGGAGATAATTGATCATAAAGCGTGCGACCCTCGCGAATGTTCTTGGCCTGGAATGTAATCTGGAGGCAGCAGCTACCCATACCAAATGCCATGGCATCCATGTAGACGCAATCGGTCTTTGCAGCACCGTTACGCACGTCATCATCTTCAGGCCACTGATGAAGGTCATAGTTGACGGTCGGATCCTGAAAAGGCGATGGCGTATTTTTATCTTTGAAGACCGGGACATTAAGTTCGACTTTGCGACCTCGGCGTGAGCGAATGTTGGCAGCAAGCGTGGGAAAGCGAATATGCGGATTGGCAATCTCATCCGGTACAAATTGAGAGCGTAGCGCTGGTCCTGAGGGAGGGTAGTAGGGGGTAATAAAATCCTCTTTACATCCAAGACGAGGAAATGTCGTAAGTGTTACGGGGTACTGCTCGGGATCCATATGATCTTTGGCGATGATACGACGTTTTTTCATGTCGGACTCGACGTCGAGTAAATCCTTGAAACCAATACCCCAAGGCTTTCCTGGAGTGGCTTCGAGCATGAATCGTCCAAACTCAGGATGAAATGTTGGTAGAGCCCCTTGTCTGCCAGAGTCCCTTTCAAATTGTTAGACAGTCTGCACCAAATGTAACAGACGTGGCGCAATATGCCTGACATACCCATTTTGTAGCTCGGGGACCACTGGCCCTTGTTTCGCAAGTTCTTCATCGCGGGCGAGGGCTTTGAGGACTTCAGCCTGACATAGTGAAAGGCGGACCTTTTTGTGGTCATCATCAAAAGCAACAACTAAATATTCAATCTGCAAAGATGGCCAACATTAACATAAATTACCATATATACTTAAACGAAGGCCCATACCTCGTCTCCCCACAGAAGGGCATCTCGCTCTTTGCCCTTGGCTTTGCCCCAGATTGTGAGCAATTGCTGTTAGAGTATAAGTTTGTGGATGCTCGAGTCCCAAAAGATAGATCAAGCCGTACCTCGATACCCCATTCTCTCACCTGATTCGCGGCTTGCTTTGCTTCCTGCCACTGGAGCGGTGTTCCTAGCGCTCTGAGCAGGTGGTCAGCTATGTCCACAGCAATCGTGGAACAAGGCTACTGACAAAAGTCCCATGCTTAACTACTCCACTTTCGAAGCCAAAGAAAAGATGTCGTCAAGAAATGAACCTGGGAATCGAATTACTCCATCGGGCAATTCCGGGCCGTGGTGAAAAGGTGAATAGACTCGATCTCAAAAATCAGCGCTGTCTTGGAAGCAGTCGAGCCATGCTCCGGAAGATTCTGGTAGCTGGAGATGTCCTTGTAACGGCCGCGGGTTCTACCATCAAGGATGTGGGAGTTGGTAGAAAGAGTCCGGGCCCTTCTGTCGTGACGTGGTTTTACTTTTTTTCTCAGGTGGCGGACCGATTCCGTGAATCAGAAGGCGAGAAGGTTGATGTGGGGTGGATTTCTGGATGCTTATACCGACCTCGATCGGGATTTAACGCCAGATTGGGCTGTAGGTGTTATTGAACCAGTTCGGAATTGTGCAAAAACCACATCAAATTGTCGAGGTTGAATGTCGAGCCTTTCAAGTTGGACGTGGAGAAGAGGAGTTTCAGTCGAGCATAAATGAACACCCAATGCCTCGTACAATTACGAAGCTTTAGTAACACCACAGAAGGGCGTTAAATTAGTCATCCGATACGTTCCACTGATCCATGATTCGTTATGCTGGTTAGTCTCGTGGTACTAGTTGGCCAGGTGGACATTTTCTGAAGTGATTCTGCTCTCGAGTCAAGAAAAGTGGCCATGCATATTTCGTTTTTGATATCATGTGGGTTCGTCAATCAGGTCCAATAAAAATCACCATCTACATGTATGGTTCTTGTCGCCGCTAATATCCGTTTCTGTTGGAGGATCTGGATGACACCATTTGCGCCAAACCAAATGAACCACTAGTTAACGTGGGGGTTTCTATATCAGAAGTGTCTTGGAACCTGGTTGCAGGGGATGTCCAAGTAGTGTAATGCAATGCTCTTGGACTGGAGGCCTTTTTGGCTTGGTGATTATAGAATCGAACACGACGTCGAATGGCATACGTTGAGCCTGATATTGTTCACGTGATGAGATCTCGACTCACGACCAAGGAGCATGATAAAATATCAATTGAGCCTGCCATATGTGATCCGCTTCCAAAGTCCGTGGATGCGATGGAAGTGCTTGAGATGGCAAGAGCCAGGTGGCGGATCTTCACCATTGCGTGGTGGCCATCACTCTGACCTCATAAGTTCACGGCGCATCCACCATTGACGCCGTGTAGATGCCTTTTAAACACCTTTTTCAACATATATACAATCCCATCTCTGGGGCTCACGTCGCTCCTGTCTTATTCTTCATGCAGCGACGGTAGATTCAGAGGCTTTGGCGGCGCGTAGTTCATCCATTTTGGCGACCCGTTTCTTGAACTCTTCATATTGGCATTTCTCATATGCGTGTCGTTCGTTCTGTTGCTCACGACAGGTCCTTAGTTAGCCTAGCTCAACTTCCTTCCCTTTCGCTTGCTTCTTCACACAATGCCAGGTAATTGTTGTGCCACTCACCTCGCATTTCCATATTGCCCAAAACGTGTCATGCCGGCATTTATTGAGAGGTATTAAAAGACCGGCACAGCTGTCTCGATATGCTAGGGGGAGTTTTGCGTCCGACATGGCCGCACGAGAAGCCGGAGCTGGTGCAGAATCTATCGGTTGTTAACTCGTGCAATGGCAATATCGGAAAGCTTGGTCCCACCTGCATGGCCGAGGCCAAGGGCTTCTTTGACGGTCTCTATTACAGCCATGGTGAGGCAAGGCTGCTGAGAGAACGACAGACGAAAGGTTAGAGGCGTGGATGGTCGTGAGTAACCAATGCCTTTCAACAGCTACGACGTCGTTGCGGAAGGAGCAGCTGCGCAGATGTACGGGGAAGCGTATGACCTGGCAATGCATCTTGGCATCTGGATCCGGATAAATCTGTCGCCGGGCGGGAGATTCGCGGATTATCTCGACACTGAGCTTCAGCTTTTAGGTACCAAGAAAGCGTTACCTGCTTAGCATTTAGGCATTTCTCTACCCCGCCATCACTACAAGACATGCCTATGGCCTTTAAAATTGCTGCGGTACTTGGTGCCTACGAGTAACACTCTCTTTGCCCAAGTCGAAGGAGTCGACTTGACTAGACCTTCACGTCTTTTGCAGACACGTCAGTACCTAAGTAGTCCCAATGATCGCAGAAGAGTCTACAGAATAGAATCCGGTTCCGATTGTCGTGACCCGATGGCTTGGCCGGGCGCCCCCAAGGCCACAGCCACAACCACATGATGAGATGTGACCGTGGGTGCCGCCATCAGCCTGGGCGTGCTGCGTCATCAGTAGGTGAGAACTGGGTGCTGGGACCCTCCGTCTCTGTAAGAGTCGACGAGTCAATATTCAATAGTTTGCCTGTGCCAGTGGCTTGGGGATAAATGCAGACGAGACTTGCGCCTGCTAGCAAGCCATAACCGTTTCCCATATTGTTCACGGTCCCTCCAACCGTTGCAACCACTTCTTCTCGTTTTCTTTGCAGACCACAACGACTGCCCTCCACCCTTCCATCTAAAGCTCCACATCCGTTACTCTTCTCTAGCACTACCTCAGAATCCTGCTTACTCTACGCCAATATCCCACATCAACCGTCTCTTCCGACCCTTCCCCTTCCTCCTCCGACCGGCACTGCCACTTTGGCCAGCAACATTCGCAAGGCATAAATAGGAGTCTGTTCGTTGCGGAGGAAGAATCGGAAGACAAGCATGAGTCTCAAAGGCGTAGGGAAGAGTTTGACTCGTGCGCCGCAGCAATTCAAACAGCGTTTCAACCTTGGTGACAACACCAAAGACGCTGTATACATTGATGCCGAGCGTCGCTTCGCCGAGTTAGAAACCGAGACCAAAAAGCTGCATGATGAGTCCAAGAAGTACTTTGATGCCATCAATGGTATGCCGCTTTTCCGCTACTTGACCAACCCAAAGGATGCAGTTCGACTGACAGTATCTTAGGCATGCTCAATCACCAGATTGAGTTCTCAAAAGCCATCCAGGAAATATACAAGCCCATATCAGGACGTGTATCTGATCCCAACTCTACCATCCCCGAAGGCAATCCCGAAGGCATCCGGGCATGTGAGGAATACGAGACAATCGTGCGCGAACTGCAGGCCACATTGCAGCCCGAACTGGAGATGATTGAGCAGCGAGTCATTGCTCCTGCAGACCAATTGCTGGAGGTTATAAAGTCCATTCGCAAAGTTTCTGTCAAACGTCAACATAAGCAACTCGATTATGATCGCCACAGAGCCACGCTGAAGAAACTTCAAGACAAAAAGGAGAAGACTCTCAAGGATGAGAAAGCTCTCTTCAAAGCAGAAAACGACGTCGAACAGGCCACCCAGGATTACGAGTACTTCAACAACCTACTCAAGGATGAACTCCCCAAGCTTTTTGCTCTCGAGGCTGAATTCATTGGACCACTTTTCCAATCATTCTATTACATGCAATTAAACGTATTCTACACGCTGCATGATAAGATGCAAGGAATAAACATCGGCTACTTCAATCTGACCCTCGATATCGAAGAAGCATTTGAGATGAAGAGAGGCGATGTCCAAGAACGTGCTGAAGCTCTATCGATATGCCATTTCAAAGGCACCGGGGGTATCAAGGTTGCAAAAGGCATGTCCAAATACGCCGCCAAATCAAAAGAGGCAGAAGCCAACAAGTCCACCTATGCTGGCCGAAAAATCCACGACCCAGAAGCAGGTCTGGCCAATCCACCACCTCCATACTCACCCACGACATCTGTGAGCGGCCCCAGCAGTCCTGCGCTGGCCGCTTCCATCGCTGCAAAGGGGAAGCCTCCACCACCCAAGCCCAAGCCCAGTCGCTTGAGTGGAGTTCCCGCAGCTGAGACTGTGACGGCCCTCTACGACTACGAGGCTCAAGCAGAGGGCGATCTTAGTTTTATGACAGGCGATGTAATTGAAATCACTTCGAGAACCCAGAATGAGAACGAATGGTGGTCAGGCCGAGTGAATGGGAAGTCGGGCCAATTTCCTGGTAAGTTTCAAATTCTAAATTCGGCGCCGGCCCAGAATATTCCTACCAACTCTGACCTCTTTTCCAGGCAATTACGTACGTCTGAACTAGGCAGCTAAAGGACGTGAACCACCCTATATGCCAGCCTCGATCGCTGGCCCATGTTACCTCATATAGTAGATAAGCTTCAAGAGGCTCTGATCAAAGCACAACCTTCATACATCGCAGTCCACTTGAGCAAATAGGCATGCACTTCTGTGCGTCCAAAGGCTCATTTAACGACGGTGTGAGCAAGATCTGCCCAGGTCGTGAGACTTCGCTTTCATAGCGCTATAGACAGCAAGAGAAATTCTGGATATCTCTTCATCATCCAGGCCCACCTTCGCATTTCTGCCGCGCACAATTCTTTCTTCTGCGCAGCCCTTCGCTCTGACTCGTTTCCTGTCGCGGATACCACCAATAGCCTTACATTACTTGCATGTAGCGAAGAGCGCCACGCGCTGAATTGAGCATCAAGACACATCGTACCGAATGTCAAGGAACCATCGGACTCCTTTCCCGACCATCAACCGATGAAAGCAACAATGTAGCGCCTCGCTCCTGGTGAAAGGGTCCACGTTCAGCAACTAAATTAATCGAAGGTCTCCGGATTTCGAAACGAAGGGCTTTCGGGTAGCCAAGCCCCAATTGAATTAGGTACGTATCTACTGGTTTTCTAGGTAGATTGTATCTATCGAGGCATTATATATACGAAATCATCTGTACGAACGAAGGAAAAATGAAGGACGAAAAAAACTTTTAGAGGGCACACAACGCAGCGCCTGGGAGTTGTGCGTGTGCTCATCGCGTCCAGATGCCGTTCGCGATGCTGAGGTATCGGGCCCTCTCGCGCCAGGTCAGCAGACCCGATGTTGAGGTTGGGTTGGTGGCAGGGGTGGCGCTAGAGATTTTGGACGAGCTGCTCGCGCAGGTTTGCCGGGCAGGCGCTACTGAGGATGCCGACGATGAGGACGAGAAGGATGATGGCATGGTCGACGATTCGTCCTGTCCGGACGGTGAAGATGGTGACTCGACGGTTTGAGGGAATGGCAGTGATGGCGGCCAGCCTGATGGTGTTGGGGTGAGTGTGGCCATAGATGTAGAGGATACATTCGGATATATGTCCGCTGGGCATGATATACTTTCGTTGATTGCTTGATCGTCGGTCTTGACGCGCTTTGTCCGGTCTGGTAAATTCGAAGAGGCTCTGTCCTTGTTCTCAGTCTGGAGCTGATCATGAGAAGGTTCGAGGTCTCGTGTTCGTTCTTCCACATGATTGTCCGAATGGGATTTTCTTTTTCTGGCAAGGCTGGACATCGAGCTCGGTTCCCGACCCCTTTCTTTCTCACGCACAAGGGTGCCATCAAGTCTGGTCATGCCCTCGAATCCGAACGTGGGATCGAAACTGACGAACACGAGGGCCCGTTCGCCGTATCCTCCTGGTGGCCCGGCCATGTAGATCAACCCTTCATCCCCTAGCACAGCCTGGACCTCAGAAACCCGCCCACCTGGACAGAGAATCTCTTGCAGCGATTGAGGTGCATCATCCTCGGGCCAGAGTGATATATGACTGGTCGAAAACTCATCTTCACCATCGAGCATCTCCTCTCCCTCTCTATCTCGTTTGCGTGGTCTGACAATCAGACCACCGGCTCTCATCGGGTTGATTGTATCAACCACAAGTGGTGAGATGTCCTCGCGGCTCACAACGCGTAGCTTGACGCGTTCCCTGGGTCGCCATTCACCATCCGCTCTATACTCCTCCGTCACTATATCGACGAATGACTGTGAGTTGAAACAATACCCGTTCCATTTTGTCTTTGCCCGAATATATTCTTTGATGCAACCCGTGGCACCCTCCTCCGAATGCACGTACTTTTCGACCCTAGGCCTTGCTGCTTCGTACCGACTATTATTCTCCTTATCCAAGGTCTTGCTCAGCGGGTCATCAGGTGGGTGTCGAAGACCATCTGTCAACTCTTGATGCTGGGCTCGGTGAAATGGCTGTGTGTAAAATGTTCGGAAAGAGCGACTTCCACCATTCTTCCACTCCTTGCGACATTCGATGATCAAGGATTCGCCAGTCCGATGGTCGTGCTGAAATTCCAACAATGTCCATGCATCGTTGATTGGCCCCTCGACATGTTGTCGACGCCATATGACTCGTATTCGTAGATCGGGACATGGGTCATCTAGAGGAAAGCTGATGAAATGATAGTAGCTCGTCCAGTCCACCTCCTCGCTTTCTAGGCTTGTCTGATTCGTCACCGCGTAAAAGTGTCCTTCAAATATAGTAAAGCAAGCAGTAGACCCGATTTCTGATCCATAGAAGTTCTCTAGCTGCAAAGGTTCTTTGCTCACTGCTTTGCCCGTGCTAAGGTTGTACACTTCGAGAAGCCACTCATGGTGCTCGTGCATGCCGCGCGCCGAGTGTGTTCCATAAACCAGGTGTAAGGAGTCATGCCTCACGAATAATTTATTGTTCGAACGTACTCGGACACAAAGAAGAACTCGGTCATGTCTAGCGCCCGCGGGAGTCCGTGTCGATGGCTCGAATATTTCGTCAACGTTAATTGCGAATAAAAAATATCCGAGAGTTCCGAAATTGCAAAGACAAACTAGTATCTTGTCTGAATAGCTGCAAACTCGTATCGATTTGAGAACTTCTGGATCTAGAGTTTTGCCGTTTGTATCTTCAAGCATCGGATGACTGCTGAAAAAGATCCTGCTCAATACCTTTTCAGTAGCTTTCGCGTTGTTGAAATCGAGAATGCGAATTCCAGTCTCCGTGGAGTAGCAACAGACGCCATCGGCGTAAACAAAGCTAGTTCCGTGACCAATTATTGATGCCGAATAAGGTGATGCATTCTGGATTGAATGCCTTTGGCGATATATCCTACCTAGAAGGTGCTTGAACTCACTTTCACCGCCCCGCGAAAGCGCCCGTCGTGCCCAGTTAGAATGTGGTGTGCTTCTCTAAGAAAGGGTTAGCAGTCAACACGGGCCAGCAGTCAAAACTCGCCGCTCACTTCCAGGCATTGCCTTGCCGTATTTTGATCTTGGAGGTGACCATGTAGCACCCTGCAGGTTGCTTGCAAGTTGTAGTGGGACCTGATATCAAGACGTCGAGCAATATGATGTATGATGTCAAATGGGAGGTCAATAAGCATTTCCGATGATGGACTCTGGCAGCTGACCTGAATGCCAGTATTATTGATCCGAATGGGTCATGGAGAAGTGTATGGCGCGAACCTCGCAGATGAGGCTATGTGGAGGAAACGAAAGACTGTACACTGATGTGGGATTCCATGGAACGAGTGAGCATTGTAACATTGACAGGGCCATGAGCATAAAATGATGAACGATAGTATGAGAGATTGGTAAACGGGAACGGAAAAATGCAGTCTTGAATGGAACCATGTGAGGACGAGAAGTGTAACTAGAGCAGAGCCGCATCAAAGGGGCCGAAGGACGTGCATAGCAGGCTGTGTGCCTAGGTGGGGCGAAGTACGGATATTGGTGAATAGAAACAAGTGGCATGTGGAGCATCTTCAGCGGAGAGGACCTTGAGGGTTGAGTCTAAGGCTGAATGCTTTGATGCCAGGAAGTCGAGTCGAAAAGTGTTGCCCCGAGTGTTTGGACACCCAGATGGGAGAGCGGACCACTCTGGGAGTTGAAACTTGAGGCTCAACTCGACGAACTAGGCTAGCGCGACTTCGGGTGCCACGGATTCCCGTGTCAGGGCTCCTGGGCTCGTTCCGTTTGATCCCATGATAGCTTTGATCGAAAAGCTTCCCCAGGCTTTGACACGTCTGCCGTGCAACTGTATTTCTATGGTCATCCTTATCCCGCTACTTGGCAGAATCACCTGCGCTCGAGTCGAGTCGAGGAGAACAGGTGATGTCTTGCTTCGTATCGGCCTGTGTCGCGTCACGCTGGCTGGTTCTAGACTCCAGTATTAGCTTAGTTGCAAGAGAAAGTGATTCAAATGTACTCGTGTAGTCTCCCACAATCTTTGGTGGTGTTGACTTCCGGGCAGCGAGAGCTTCGGGTCACTAAACCCATCTGTCAGTGGGCATACGGACACGTTGAGGCAGCGCCCAAAAACGTTGGCTTGCATAATCATCACTGGGACGCATAATGAGGAGAAAAGACAAATGGAACGTGCGGGATTTAAATCGTTGATGCCCGACAGCTGTGATGGTCAAGATGAATTGATAGTTCCTTCTTTCAAACGCGACGTGGAAGGTGTGAACCCATTTTCGGTGCCCCGATTGTGAGTAGCTGATTATCCTACGCGTCCTCAAGGAGACGTGTGACACGTCTTGTCTGCGCCTTGAAGTAGGACATGAATGGAAACGCGTCAGTATAGATACGTTCCAATCGCATGACAAGATGGTGAGATGAGTGAACGAATGACACAATGGTAAATTGTTGGCGTGGCGCCTGACTCAGTGATACAAGAGCAAAGCCGGGCGAGGGGCCGCATGCAGAGGGTGAGGGGTCGTGCAGCTAAGGGGAAACGTCAATTCAAAATTTATGATGTTAGACAGTTTGACCAAGTGGTGGTTCGAGTGATAAGGCCATGGAAGAGCTTCCTCTGTTCTCCCATGAAGACAAGCACCAGCATGCTGTGACCCAAAGGGAGCTCAATGGGAAGGAACGAGGGGCGTGGGAGGAGTGATCCCTGCAAGCAGATGGAGCCAACGACCACGATTGCTGTGATAATCGTCTAGTCCTTTTCAATGCAGCAGACCCAACAAAGGCTTTAGCTTGTGAGAAAAACAAGTTCGATAGGTCTGCTGGCGAAGCGCTGCGAGTTGTGTGGAGTAAAACAACTTCACGGGGCCCTAGAATAGTCTAGAAATATTATAAGTGGATAATCAGTTTGCAGGCAGTGAGACTTCGTAACTCATGATTCGGTTCGGAGTATCTTGTCTGGGTGCTTGTACTACTCGGAGAAGCGCCAGGGACAACGCCGCTTGTCCTAGATATTTTGTCCTTGAATACGAAGAGGGAGAAAGGACTGCACAGGAGACACGCAGCGCAGTACTTTCTTCCCAGAGCTCACCATGGCCTTGACAAACACCCAGATACAAAAAGCCAACTACGATTAATCACTAAGATTGCAGTGTAAGTCTGGAAGCCTGCCCCCTCCTTAGAACTTCTGTGGAGTATTTACCCAAGGTATCCAGGATGTATGGCCGCCCCCGCGATAGCCTGATGACTCTAACTCTTATCCCACTTGCCATGAGCTACCCAGCTATCGTAGAGCACCTTGAACATTGCTCGACTGCTGGGATCCATACCAGAGTTCATTGCCTTCATTAGCTCCCTATCGATCGCATCCATTATGGAGTATAAACCAAGCATCAGGTGCTCCTTCACCAAGGGGTCAATTTGGCCGTCAAGGCTACACCTGGCGTATTCTGCAATCAAGTACAGGAGGTGTTGCCCAGCTAGTTGACGGGCTCGCTTCGTCTCGTCATTGAGTTCATTATGCTTGCGTTTCCGCGACGTGCGTGCGGCAGAGACCGTGGGATTGCAGACGGAAGAGAGAAGCCTAGCGAGCTGGTCCGCAGCCGCAGGTGGCAGAGCGTTCTCAGACGAAGTCAGCCAATGAGGGAGGGAATGTCCGAAATTAGCGATAGTGTGAGCCGCATCTCTGCCCGAGAGACTCTGGATCGTCTTTGCGCCCGGCCAGAACAGACAGCGAAGGAGACCAGACATCGCTGGCACCAGTAAATGATATCGGTCCGAGATTCGTCGACGATGCCGACCTAGCACTGCACCGAGGACCTCACAAATTCGTCCATAGATGTCTGCAGCCTCGGGTGAATAGGTACCGCTCGCTTTAGCCTCATCGACAGGCTTGCTGGCGGGCGACGTCAATGTGCAAATTGAGGCGAGTAGCTGATCAAGCGTTGATTGGTTCACAACTGACGGGTGAGTCTCGAGAATAAACTTGCAGTTGTCAAGCGCTAAAAGTATGCTAACCTTGGAAAACTTGACATGATCGGGGAAAGTGCACGCAATTGCTGCGACCTTACCAGCAAGCGGATGGTGCTGCATCATCTCATGGCTGCCAACCTGGCTGGCCACGATGGCCGTCGCGATCTGGGCCAAGATAGGCGAAGACTTGAGCCCGTGTTCGCTTTGGAAATAATCAAGTGCCAGAGTTTTCGTTATTGGACTATAGGTTCGAATAGTCAGGTCAAGGTTGGTTGCAAAGATGCCAATCTCTTCTCTGGAGCACTTTCCAGTTATGCAAAACTCGGCCGCTAGCGTCTCGAAAGCAAGCTTGATTTTAGCATTCTCAAGCTCGGCTATACGTGACAGCGGGATCTGCTGATAAGTCCGTCGAATTGAGAGTCGCAATTGCGAATCAAGCCGATCGGCTTCGTTCATGACCGCACCGCTTGGTTGTTCCTCGATCACCTGCCCGAGCTCTGGAGCATCGCGAAGGAACTCTTGAGCCATAGGAGGATCACAGGTGTCCTGCAGTGTCTGCATGAGAAGCCTCACTTCCAGGAGATTTTCCCCCTTCCCGTGGCGGACCACATCTTCGGAGCCACGTTTCAAGATTTCGATGAACTTTGCCCGAAGTTTCTGAACTTTCCTTTTGGGAAGTTTGCTCTCCAGGATATCTTGTGACTTGACTGATTCTGCAAAGAAAGTCCGAAGAGCCAAGTGTGGAGTTTCGAGAAACGTAACTCTCTTGCAGCTTTTGATCGAATCGGTAACCCATGACGATATCTCTGATAATACTGAAGACTTTTGAAGGGCAAAAGCTCGACTCCATAGTCTCTGAAGAATCTCCAGCAACATGTTTGTTAGTACAATTTGGGATAGCGACATGGCTTGAGATGTGGTCGAAAGTTTCTCGGACGCTTGCACCCATAGACGCCAATCCTGAGCGGCTATTGTAGCGCTCGGCGAATGTGTGTCCAGGTATATTATGGTAGCGAGCTGGTCGTTGCTGGTCTCGATCTCTGGTATGTTCTTGCCATTGCTTAGGTCCTGAAGAATGAGGGCTGCTAATCGCTTGATATGTGATTTTTTCAATGTTTGTGCTGGAAAGCTGCGAAGAAGAACATAGCTGTTTGCATTTGTGCTGTTCGGTGCCGACTCGTTCTCAATGAGGTAGCTAGAGACCATGTCTTTCAAACCTTGGTTATTCGATACTTCGTCCAGTTTCAGCAGGGCTTGTAATACAGTCCGAAGAGAAAGTGATGAGTCATCTCGCAGAGAGAAGGAGTGCTTGAGGAATTTCAAGGTTGCAGACAGGAGCTCGTAATAGATTTTGGCATCCAAGGAGAAGATTCCGGGTTTCTCCAAGAGTCTGCCAATACAAGCGATGGCTAACTTTGATGCATCATTGCAGCTGTAACAACGCCCGTCCCACTCGGCTTCGACTATATCTCCGTATTTGAAACTGCTGGCTACTGATTGTGCCAAATGTTTCAACTCTTCATGAAGCAGGGAATGAAACTTGGTGGTGTTATTGGCGGCTTCAACAATGACTGAGAAGCACTCTAGAGACTCCAGATAGTTGCCGGCTTTTTGATGACTGTAAGGACCATCCTTGTTTAGTAGTGCTGCTTGTAGCGATACAAGCCTTCCGTGATGGCTGAGCAGCTTGTCCAAATTTTCCAAAGGTTCGTTCTTTCGTGCGCTTTGTAGGAGTATCCGAAGAAAGCTCCATAACCTCCATCTTTGAGCTTGGTAGTCGGATGCTCGCTGTAGCCCAGCTAGTGTGTATTGAAAGAGAGGGGTAAAGCTCTTCTCCAAAGCCGGTGCGATTTCACTTGTGCTATCATGGGCATTAAGAAACGCTGTAAATATCGCCAAGTGTGAGAAGTCGACAGCTGTTGAACCTGCCTTAGTACTGAGCCCTTCAAGAGATTGTGAAGTCTGTTCTAAGAGCTTCTTGCTCAGACTGAGTGGTGCATGGATTTTGATCAAGGTCTTGAACTCATCAAAAACATCGTCATCTTCCCAAACAAGAACTGCTGGAGTACTTCCTTGTTCAACCTGCAAAGAATATCTGAGCCGTATTGCGTTCTGAAGTCCCTCCTGCCAGATCTGAATGAAGCCATCGATATTTCTCGATCTTGCAAAACCTCGCATCACAGGGATGATTATCTCGTTCAGTAGTCCTGGGTAAACGTCGTCAGGGATTGTTGCATCTTCGATCTTGCCACAAATGCGGCTGAAAATGGCTGCAGAGACCGAGAGCCCTGCATTCGAGATGAGAATATTGGTATCAAGCTGGACGAGCTTAGTCAGTAGAGTCCACGGTGTTGCCTGCTCATCGTTAACGAGTAAAGCTGTGATGGTGTGTCCCAGGACTGGCAGGGAAAGCCTAACTCTCCGCGCGAAAACAGAATCGACCAGACTCTCCAGCGCAGATATGGAAGTTTGGTGACTATTTGAATCAGGAAGTGACAAGACGGCGGAATTCTCCACTCCAGAAGGTGAGATTCGTGGCATGTCTTCCCATACTGTATGGGCTAGACTCAGAAAAAGAGCATCAAGCCAAGGTTGTTCAGATTGACGTTTTGAGAAATCGGAAGATGGAATTGCTCGAGCGGCTATGTCGAAAATTATCCGCAACGAGCTTGTCTGGTTCATTGCTGTTCGATCTTGTTGCAACTGAAGTTTATTATTGGGCCAGTATATGATAGTCTTCTGAAAATCATTCAGGAAGTTCTTCAGGTTGTCATAGAAGAGTACATCATTGATAGCCCTCCATTTTCTCGCAAAGCGCTCAAAAAAGATGGATCTGGCCGGAAGGACGACATGAAGGGCGATGAGACGCTCCAAGACACGTATAACAGGCTGAAACAAGCCAATGTCTATTTTAGGGCTCCGCAGACGCTCAAGGAGAGACAAAGTGGAAAACAGGCTCTGTGAGCTGAATGCTCGATGTGGACCGTCGGGGTGGTTTCGTGAATCTGCCGATCCTGTTGTCCAAAATGTTGTGATAGTCGTGATGATAGAGGACAAAGTATTGAGCTTGTCAGACGAACAGTCTGGATCTACCAACGAAGCACTGGTCTCAAGCAAAGCGCCGAACAAGCTGGCTCTTTCATCCCAGTTGGAGTTCCATGCTGAAATCAAATGATGTGACTGTGATGGTTTAGCCTGGTCCGAGAGCCCGACAAGGTCGACACAACGGCATGCAGCTTGCAAAATGATCCACCTTAGGTTGTCGTCCGAATTGGTGGTGACTACTTTGTCTGATGCAGCAGCATCGAGCTTCCTCTTCTTCGTAGGAGGCTCTTTGTTGGACACTTGGTGACTTTCAGAAGTGCTTGAACTATCATGGTATGCTGATGGTGTATTGAGCCATCGCAGGACTCGGTCTAAAGTCTGATAAAATTTTCGGTCCTGTAAGATTTCAAGGCAAACATCCTTCTGAATTGAACAAGTCAAAGCGAGCAACATCGACCAAGATTCTGCACATAGGAAGAAACTATGCCAATGTCAATCATGACCGAGACATCATTGCACCAAGAAATAAGGACTCACCTGTTCTCGCCAATCCATGTCTCTTCTCTTCTCTCCTTCGAAGCAGGGAAGGTGAGTTTCTTCAACAACCAGCGTAACAACCACTGCTCCTTGAAACCATGGGATCCGGGCTCAGATTTATACCTCACAACATGACTGCTTTTCTGAATGTTCTGCTCGAGATTGATCCCAAGAAGATTTGCAGCCTTCTCCACGAGCAAGACTGGTGTGGCATCGGTCTTCTCCAAATCGGTTATGCCCACCTCAAAAGTTGATATCATCATGCTGGCATTGCTGTAGATAATGAATTGTCTGGGAGGTTTGTGGGGTTGGCACAACTGGCCATTTAAGTCTGATCACACTACTCAAAGAATTTCGAGGTTACACAACTCAATAAATCTCCAAGAATCAAGTCGTGATCTTGATTCTCCAACGTCGGAAATTTTTGCCAAGGAGATTGGAGCCGAAGAAACTTTTCCTCTTTGGAAGCTATACTAATGCTGCTTTTAGATTGTGCCAGTAGCCTTGTCAAAAGCGGCGCCCCGCCTCACTTGACAACCTGGAATAGGGGCTCCTGTCTTTTATTGACACTGGAATTCATTAACGATGGCTCTTTGAATCGCTGCCAAATTTCCGATTGATGGCATCGCTCGTACCATGTTCAATGCAAGGCGGCGGAGAGTTATGAATATCACATATAGCGTGGGTAGTAAGACACGCGCTTTCGCCTGAGAGCAGATGCGACATTAGAAATACTGTTTCCACTCGTGCTGAGTGCGACAGTGGCTTGCTGGTACGGCAATCTGTCTAGAGCGGAAAGCCCGCATAAGCCATGGGACTACTTCTGCACGAAGCTTCTGGTAGACATGTTCGCTCTGGTTGTAATGCCGTCGAGAAGACCGTACGTCCCCGCCCTCATTGAAACATTCTCCTTCCTAATGACTGCTCGGCAGTCTCTCGTTGGGGCAAAGATTTCGGTTGTATAGGTAGATGCGCCCGAGCTGGTAGATTATTATGTACACAGCCGATCACGTACCGCAGCATTGGACCGCTTCTTGTACTGCTGAGCACGCGAGACCAAAACTGCACTGATGCGATTTCGACCCTTCCTGACCTACGAGCCTCCCGCAATCTTCAGGACCCAAGAATCGGGTCCACGAAGACCAACAGCAAAGTTTGGGGCACATTGCGGATATGGTGGAGATATGTCCCCACAAACCCTGCAGAATGTCCCCGATCATATAACCGCGGATATATGCTCCGTCAATCAATCCCTCAGACCTGGAGCCGCTCGATATTGATCAGAGCATAAATATACTTGCTCGTCTTTGCATATTTGGCAGTTGTCGCCTAGAACAGTTGAGCTTATTATTCATTCCCTGCCTCCAAACTTGATTACTGAAACGTCAGTGTTATCAAACACAACAGAAATGTACGCAGACTCTAAGCAGAACGAGTCCAGAGAGCAGAGTGTCATTGAGCAGCTGGAAAATCCAAGTGCATCCGATGGCAACATTCTGTTCTCTGCGATTGCGATTGATCCCAAACTCGAGAGAAGAATCACGTATGTTCTCCACGGATAATCACACGATGTTGCACGATAAACAGCTGACTTGCAATACGACCTAGTCGCAAGATCGACTTCCGACTCATTCCAATACTCGCTGCAATCTATACTTTCGCACTGATCGATAGAACAAACATTGGTGCAGCCCGTATCTCTGGTATCGATGCTGCCCTTGACCTGAAGGTTGGGAACCGGGTTTCCATCGCTAGTAAGAGCTTGAAAGTCGACATCTCGATTACGCCAGGCTAATTCAACCAGTCTTGGTCTTTTACATCGGTTATATCGTCTTCGAACTGCCCAGCAACATCATCTTGAAAAAGCTTGGTCCTGCGACATGGCTATCATTCCTTACTATAGCATGGGGCGCTATTGTCATAGGAATGGGTTACGTTCCAACCTGGAAAGCATTTGCAATGCTTAGAGTGATGCTAGGAATCTTGGAAGCCGTGAGTAGTCATTCAAGTGTATTGCTGGCAGAAACTAACCTCGCCACTCCAGGGCCTCTACCCTGGTTGTATATATCTCATAGCCTCTTGGTATAAGAGATATGAGGTGCAGAAGAGGTACTATTCCCCTTTTCTCAACGCACTTTCCACTAGTCCTGGTCACTGACACGAGTGGAGCTCTTAGAATTGCTGTCTTTTTCATGACTGCCTCCTTTCTGTCTTCACTCTCGAACATTCTCGCGTACGGCTTGATCCAGATCGCGGACAACCCCAGCACCGGCGGATGGAAGTGGATTTTCGTTGTCGAGGGAGCCATTACTGTGGGAATCGGAATCCTTGCTTTCGTCGTGGTGGTCGACTTCCCCGAGTCGAAGCGCAATAAGTTTCTGTCCGCTGAAGAAAAAGCCGTTCTTCGAGCAAGACTCCAAGCAGAACGTGGTTCTGTGGAGGGCGAGCAGGTAAATTGGAAAGTTATTGCAGAGACCGTGAAAGATTGGCAGGTCTGGGGAAGGTGAGATCTTTACTCTTGTGCTGGCAAGAAGCAATGGACTTTGGACTAACCATGCCACAGTGCGGTCATGTACATGAGTGCCTCAGTCGGGATTTATTCCTTCTTGATATTTCTCCCCGTCATTCTACGCGCTGGCCTCGGCTTCTCCTTGAAGCTATCTTTCCTTCTCAGTGCTCCACCAGCAGCCTTCTCGGTCATTTTCGCCCTGGTCATTTCCTGGCTAGCAGACAAATATCAGGTCAGGGGTCCATTTGTCTTCGGCCAAGCAGTCCTCACAATCATTGGACTAGCGATGATCGGCTTCATCAAGCATCCGATTCCGCGATACCTTGGGGCATTCCTCGGCCAGGCGGGTTCGAATGCATTGGTTATTACGTGTCTCACTTGGGGCCAGAACAATATTCGGAGTGATGCGAAGAGGAGCGTCACCACCGCCATTCAAGTAATGATGGCGTCGATTGGTGGAATCTACTCTGCCTTAGTCTTCAGACAGCAGGTGAGTATATCCTTTGTCACTCGAAGATAGCCTTCGAGCCGAGCTGAACATTTCTTACAGGACGCCCCGAATTACATTCCTGGCATCATTGCAACAGGATCCGTGATGCTACTCACCGCTATTCTTGCCCCAACGATGTCGATACTGTTGCGTAGGGCAAATGCGCAGGCGGATGCCGGCCATCGGATTCTTGAGGGCAGTCCAGCATTCCGGTACACCTGGTGAGCTTGATACAGAGGTTGCGAAGGAATGATGATTCAGCCAAAGTCAGAGAAGTAATGCGAGGGTACTCGTTAAATGGCTGCCCAGATCGTTTGACTCATGCCCTTAGTGTATAATCTTCGTCAAATGGTCGATGAGCAAGAAATAAAACACCTCAGATTAGCTGAAATTGATATTACGCTTCTTACAGGCATCCTCAGATCAAAATACCCCATAGATTTGATGGCGGCAGTCTTCGTTCCCTAGATATGAGAATAAAACTGGCTCTCAGCCGTAATGCCAACCGCAGGTGCATACCAGTCGGGCATGAAAAAGAAATCATTAGCTGGCCCGCCGGAATTTTCCTGAAATGGATAGTCCCAATCCATCATTAACATGTTAGGGTCCTGGAATTCGAAACGGGAGTCCACTACACCAGAGAGACCATCCGCATTGTCCTCGAGGCCACGTGCCGCGGCTAATGGGGGCGCTCCATTCAATTCAGGAGGCAAGATCTCGTTTCCTCTGGATTCGTTCGGACCAGACAATAGAAACTCGAAAACACGCATCATCCATTGTGCTGCATCGCAGTTCTCACGCGCCTCGTTGAGTATCATTTGACAGTTATCAAGCGCAGAACGCTGGAGCTGTACCAAAGGGGAGTCCTTCTCTTGAGTTTGCCTGTAGAACACCACGCCAGCAATGAAGAAACCTGTGAAAATCTCGGGCGACATCGAGCTCACACTGTGGTTCACCATGAGACTTAGTGCAGACGATGAGATCGTTTGTGCTGCTGAGACAACGACGTCCGACAGAGAAGCGGTTGCATGGCGCTGGTAGTTGATACTGCTGGTCACCTGCGTGGGGCTTTCTAGGTAAAGAAGTATCACATGGTGGTGATAGACAACCTTGAGGCTATTTGCAAAGATGTTCTTCTGATCAGGTTGTCGAGCCCAGTCTATGGCTGCAGGTAGCTCGTGGTGCCAATTCTGAAGCAGGGTGTGGAGGTCGTCCTGCTTCTCGCGATTTAGACCACCGTTCGACTGCCACTCAGAAACCTGACGGAGTATCAACGATAATCTTGAGTTATGAATCTGATATAGTGCATGCTGCTCCTGTCCACCCACGGCACCACTAGGGCCAGTGAAGTCGTCCAACGTCAGTGGATCAGTGTCGCATTGAGATATTCTGATCCTGAAAGGCCGGCCCAGAAGCGTGGCGCATGATGCATCTCGAGCGAGTACAGTCCACCACACTCTCCGAAGCAGCCTTTGGTATTTTGAGCCGTATTGGGTCAGACTTGAGCTACGGTGAATGCCCAAAGATGCAGCAATATTCGTGGCGAAATCAATCCATGAGGAAGGGTTCCAATAGGTCTTCATATGCGGGCCCCAGAATGTCAGCATGAGCACTGACTGGAGAAGTATAATCTTATTAGTCTCATAACCAAAGTCGAAAAGTGCTTTCGATTTGTTGTAGAAAATACGGCGTGCCGAGCTTCTTTTCTTGAATGAGGATTGATGGATGATATCAGCGTCGCAGAACGTCGCACCGATCAAGCAGATAGCATTTAGGAGGATCCATGGTAACTTCTGCTCGCGATATAGTGTCTGAATCTCATCGCTATCCACAATTGAATATAACGGATAAAATCGAGTCATGAAGGCCTGGATAAAGGCTTCCAAAATTGGTGGTTCCGGTAGATCGAACGCACCTATCGACTGCAGATACGAAATGGCTTTAGGAGCCACGTGAGAGGGATGATGGTCCTGCCGAGAGACATTCCCAACCATATCGGCAGTTTGTTCTCTTGGAGCAACGGCGGTATTGGACTGGAGTCTCTTATTCTGAATCTCCTGGAGTGCGAAGCTCAGAGGAGAAGACTGACTAAGAAGGACGAAACCTAGTTTGTCGGCCACCTCATCATCACTGATTCCTTGTTGGCGAAGGAAGTCTTCGAATACAGCGTGCAAGGACTGTGACGTCGTCGTATTAACATTAACGACGCTCCCGGACGCCTCAGCCTGCCTTTCAATGGCACTAAACTCGTTATCACCTTCCAGCGATGAAGGCGAGACAAGTCCGTCCGGGGTCTCTGTGGGAGGGGCAGGTTCTGGTACTGGAAGTGCCAGTCCTTGATACGAGACGGGCATTGCCTCTTGGTTGTCACCGCTTGTTCCAGCAAAATTGTTGTCCGAAAATGCACCTTGCTCGCTGATGTCATTCTGTATGCTTGCAGCGTCAAGAGACTGTTTTGCTCTGGAGGAAGATGGAATTGGTCGCCCTTTGCGTTGATAGCAGCCACGACGAGAGCTATTGAGTTTGCAGTCCTGCACACCGTCAGAGCGACACCTACTACATGGCAAGCCATGAATAGCTCCGTCGCACTTCACTTTTCGTTGGCTACATCGTTGGCATGCTTTGCCGGCTCGAACCCGTGTCGGAGCGCTGCTTGAACCCGGTTCACCCATGTTGCTAGGATTCTCCGCGGTCCTTACTCCTACCGGGAGTGAAAGAAAGCATGAATGTAACACAGAGCGTGTACAAACAGGCCTGAAACTGTTGAAGTCATATCCTTGGAGAAATGCAACAAATGGGCGAAGACGAGAAGTTAATACTTTCAGGTAGTAACGGGTTTTCATATTTTGGCGGGGTACCCAGCTTCGGATAGAGCACTTGACAACCCCTGCTGATAAACTCTAGATGCCTGTTGAAGAAGTCACAAAATGTGCTAATGATTTACAGCTTTTATAGCTTGATTGAAAGAACCATAGTTATCTAGAATTTCAATCACATTCCTTAGTCGTCGCCCCAGCCATTCAGCTCATTAAAGACATCCTCAATGGTGGCCCACGCTTCCACATTTGCCGAGTTTTCGAACCTGTCCCCTACGAATTTTACTACCGCTATGGCTGCCTCTCTCATCTGCCCGACTTGGTCTTCTAGATTTTGCAAGCGCTCATTATCAGATCTGTCTCCCTCAGTATTTCGAGCTCCCAGTAGACGTCCTATGCCCCTCAGATGCCAAAGTCCTGGACCCTTGAGGCCTAAGCAGGAAATGTTTGAATATACCACCGCCTCTGTCTCTAAAGGAGTCAAAAGTTCGAAATCGGACAGATAGAGACCGTAAGCGACGAATAATTCGTGAAATTTCATGTCTTCTCGATGACTGCCCCAGGTGTCAAAGATCTCAGGCAGAAGCGTCGGGCCATATATCGTATCTGCTGTCGCTGCACCCCTGTCATGTATTTCTTGCACGCTGATATTTTTGGGTTGCCTATGAATCGTGAACAGTAAGCAAATCAAAACTCCATATTGAGAGAGCACCAGGTAGGCGCGTGCACGCACCATTTGTCTGTTAAAGTACTGGCCTTCGCTTTTGATAGCACTTGTCCCTCCGCCTTCGCCAGTGGTGACAATACGCAAAGTACTCGTGGCATTCCTATCAATGGAATTGCCTTTAGAACCACATCTCGAAACCGGAGAGACAACCGTTCGGCATCTTGTTGCTTTCTGAACGCCGTGTCCACTTTCGTGAGATGGGAATAAAAAGAGGCAAGGAGTCCCGGCGAAGGTGCTCCTACTAAAGCAGCCGCCTAATATTACGGGTCAGCAGAAATATGTTGACTTCGAACAATGTTCTATACAATGACCAGGTACCAGGCCTCCTCGCCAACGGCCCTAGGGACCAAGGTTTTGACTTTGCTGCACAATTCAGACCATTCTTGCTCGGTATGCGTTGTTACGCTTTCCACTGCGTCGATCATGTTGAGGGGATTCAATCTGGGGTAAGAATGCTACCTTTGACCTGCACTGGATGAAAACAATAGAATCGTTGCTTCTGTGGTCACTTTGTAGTATGTACTGACTTGTCATTGTCGCCAATATCGGTTATAAGACGATGGTGGCGAACGCACAAGGGTGACCGCGGCTATGGCTGACGATCATGGGTATATGCAAATGCTTCGGCATTCCATCAAGGGGTTGAAGAATGAACCTCCACTCCAATGCCGGCAGATGCAATGGCCCGCAATTTACGGTGTTGTTCGGGTCTGAACTAGTTGTTCGACATAGAGTAGAGTTAGCTTATTCATGTGAACTATGTCAGCTGTGCTGTCGCTGGTTGAATGCGCTCACATCTTGTTTAAGAGTTTGAGATTGCCATACTCACCACCTCGAGCTATCTCATACATTGATTTCGAGCATCTCTTTCAATTTCACAAGATATCTGCTCTTGAATGTCAAGCATAGACCGCGTTATCGACCTTATCGACTTTATTGTACCAAGTACACCTCTCACTAAACTCACTGCCTAGATGGCTAGGAACGAAGTGACACAGGCGATAACATGGGGATTCATCGGCCTTGGTCAGATGGGTGAGTCGTTCTGTTCCTGCACCACATGCGTATCTTGCTCTGACATCGAACGAGGCTACCCTATGGCCCTGAAGCTTCGCGAAAACATGCCCAAGTCACATAAACTCCTCATATCAGATGTGAACGACCAAGTACTGAGTCGCTTCATTCGAGCCGTCCAGGATGCAGCAGGACATGCCGAACGCGGATCTGTGGACGTACAGATCGCCGAGAACCCACGAGAAGTTGCGGAAAAATCCGTGAGTATATACTCTCTTGCCTCTGAGTTGTTCCAGGATCAGTCATTATCTGACAAAGGACTTCATTCTCCAGACTGTTATAATCACATGTCTCCCAACGCCACAAATAGTCAAGGATGTCTTCGATGGCATCTTTATAGACGGAATACTACCAAGCCTACAGCACCAGCGGCTATTCATTGACTCCTCCACCATCGATCCTCCAACCTCACGAGCAATAGCACAGCTTGTGCGAACAGTGCTGGGTGGTGCATTCGTGGATGCACCAATCTCTGGAGGTGTGGTTGGAGCACGCGCAGGCACTTTGTCGATCATGTTTGGAGCATCGACACAGTTGCCGTCATTGATCGAAAGAGTTACATCGATACTATCACTCATAGGTCAGAAGATTTGTCACGTAGGTGAGCAGGGCACTGGGGTGGCTGCCAAGCTGGCCAACAATTATATTCTTGCAGTAAACAACATCGCCACTGCAGAGGCGATGAGTATGGGCCGCCAATGGGGGATTGACCCCAGAGTGCTCACAGAGATTATCAACTCTTCGACTGGTCGTTGTTGGCCATCGGAGGTGAATAATCCCGTGCCGGGGGTGATTGAGGGATCCCCTGCTTCAAGAGGATATGAGGCTGGAGGCACTGTCGGTGTGATTCAAAAGGATTTGAGGTTGGCTATGGCTGGAGCCGATGACGCTGGTGTTACATTGATGCTGGCGGATAAAGCCAACGAAGTTTACACCGCAGTGGAGAAGGTCTACAGTGGAAAGGACTTCTCTGTAGTATACAAATGGATGCAGGATCAGACCTCCGAAAAGCCGGAGGTTATCTAGTGCTCAGAACATTACCACGGAGTTTATCGAGATAACTCTCCCGTACAGTCATCTAGCATGGTCCCAATTGAGCTATCTTGAAAGGCAATGCTAGACCCGAGCTAGAGCATGCTTCATCTGGAGGGTGCAAGTCGAGACATTTAAGGACTAAACAATGACGATCCAAGACGTCCATCAATGGAAGACTGCCGAGACTGATTTTCACGGCGGGAGAAAGCTGGTATGCCCTAGTCTGAGAGGGGTAGACATCGTCCAATTTTTGGCGGGATCCAAGTCCGGGTATATGCATAATCCCGGTTCGACGGGAAAGTCAATGTTATGTCCATGGAAAATGATTTGCGGATCCGTCACTGAAGGAACCCCAATCGCGAGGCCTCCGCATTTGGTATACCCGCAATCCGGGGTTCCTCAGTCAGAACCGGACAAGATATAAAGCATACGAAAACATGACCAGCTTCGGTCGATGTTTGGGCAGCTCTTTCACTAGCAGTCGGCGAAACCAATAGTTCAAATCAAGGTCAGAAAATACCCTCTTTAGTGAGCGCTACAAATACCATGGCGACCCATTTGGATGCTCTTGTGGTCGGCGCTGGCTTCGGCGGCATATATCAGCTCAAAAAGCTTCGAGATCAGGGCCTGTCAGTCAAGGCACTTGACATTGCGGGAGATGTGGGCGGAACTTGGTACTGGAACCGCTATCCAGGTGCGATGTCAGAGTAAGTAATCGAGTCGAACTCGTCCATCCGGCTAAAGAGCAGTTTCTGATCATGTCCGACGTGTTAGTACCGAATCTTTCCTCTACCGCTACTCGTGGGATCCTGAAGATCTCCGCTCATACCCTTGGCCTCGACACTATGTCAAAGGGCCAGAAGTGCTTGCATACTTACAGCACGTGGTGAAGAAATATAATCTTCGCAAAGACATCAATCTGAACACGGCACTTGTGTCAGCTTCCTGGGATGATTCACAAAGAGTGTGGGTCGTCGAGACATCCACAAACGAGACTATCCATGCTCGGTATCTGATCTCGGCATTGGGGTTATTGTCGAAGCAAAACTTCCCCAAGTACAAAAATCTAGAAAAGTTCCAAGGAGAATTATATCACACGGGTGCTTGGCCTGAAGGGGTCACACTCCAGGGTAAGCGTGTTGGAGTCATTGGGAATGGTTCCACAGGTATCCAGGTTATAACATCCGCTGCAAAGGTCGCCAAGAAGCTGCTCTGCTTCCAGAGGTCGCCCCAGTACAGCGTCCCTAGTGGAGATATGGATACAACACAAGCTTACCGCGATGATATCAATACACGGTATGATGATATCTGGAAGCAGGCAAAAAACAGTGCCTTTGCATTTGGCTTCGAAGAGAGTACGATACCTACCATGAGCGTCAGTAGTGAGGAGCGCCACCGAATATTCGAAGAGGCGTGGCAGAAAGGCAACGGATTCCGCTTTATGTTCGGCACTTTCTGCGACATATCTTATAACGAGGAAGCAAACGAGGAAGCTGCCCGGTTCATTCGAGAGAAGATCAGAAACACTGTTAGAGACCCTGAAAAGGCCCGGAAGCTCACCCCAACAGATTTTTATGCCCGCCGCCCTCTTTGTGATACCGGTTATTACCAGCAATTCAATCGTGAGCATGTCGATATCGTGGACTTGAAGGCAAACCCCATCCGAGAATTCACAGCGGAAGGTATCAAGACAGCTGATGGCACTGTTCATGAGCTTGACGTCGTGATCTGCGCCACGGGTTTCGATGCGGTCGATGGCAATTACACTCGGGTCGTCATCAAGGGGAGGGAGGGAAGAACGTTGAAGGAGCATTGGAGTGATGGCCCTACTTCTTATCTTGGAGTTGCTGTGCCATATTTTCCCAATTTGTTCACAATTCTGGGGCCAAATGGCCCGTTCACCAACATACCTCCCACGATCGAGACACAGGTAGAATTCATCTCAGACATGATTGAAGACGCCGAGCGACGGGACAGAGCACGCGCACACGTCAACGGCCTTCCAGATGGGAACGGCCTTCAAAATGGCACCGGTAATGAAAAGGTGAATGGACATACCGGAAGCAATGGTAGCATACCTTATAAAAGTGGCATCGGCTCCATCATCGAGGCAAGTGCAGACGCTGAGAGGCAGTGGACTGAGGTTTGCGACGACCTCAGCAGAGAGAGTTTGTTCCGCAAGACAGACTCTTGGATTTTCGGTGCCAATATTCCAGGAAAGAAGAATACCACAATGTTTTATTTTGGTGGTCTGGGGAATTATCGCAAGGAGCTGCATAGCCTAGTAAGGGACGGATACCGAGGGTTCCGCATAGAGTAGAAAGTTATGGAAGTTGAGAAAGTGAGAACGACCTCTCTCGCATAACATCGATATTGACGTCTCGGGTCCATTTTTAGTTGCTCCTGGGCTGCATGTTGGTACTTGAGGGTTCTTTTTTTTTTTTTTTTTTTGGATGAGCACACTTCTGTCAAGCGACTTGCTATCTCCGAGTTCCTGAAACATGAAAGCGTCCTTGTGTGCCGTGCAGCAGCAGCAGCAGCAGCAAGTGTTGATCGACATAGGCAGATGGCCAGGCTTAAATTTATGGTGACAAAGATCCGGATCAAAAATGCTTCATCAGAAGGATACGAGCGACATAATACACAAAGGGTCACGGATGGCGAGGAACTTGAAGCCGAGTCGTGATTCTAAAGCGGCAGGAACTGGGCTCAATAATGCCAAGGCCCGCGACGACATCAAGTGCGAGTTATTCCGGCTCCGGGGCGATGGACGCAGCGCAGTGGTCGAAACAGCTTCCCCAACTGCAGGTGGTCCCAGAGCAAGTCCCCAAGCTTGAATTCGACGGCAATTTTGCGACAGCTATTCCACCACAACGATATAGAGACCACATAAACATATTGGTCCGGTTGAAACAGGCACAACACCTCCTCCTCTGCATTAAGCCACAGCACATCCATCCTAACAGGATTTCTCACAGCAGCCAAACCGACACAATGCCGGACGAAAATGTATCCGCACCTCCCCTACCCGTGGCAGCGCCCAAATCAAAACCTGTGAGCGAAGCTCTATTGAACGAAAAGGTATGCACGCACGCACGTACGCGCTGGAAGGGAAACATTCCAGCATGGGGGAATGGACACATACGACTCTCGCCCTGCACAGTTCAACCACAATCCATCCTCCCCTCCGCCCCCAGTTCTCGTCTCCCGTCCGTCGAAGGACACGTGAGATCAGACACGATATGTACCACCAACAATTATCTCCCGAAGAATATACTAACAAGCCACTTCTCTATATCCAGTGGGACCGCGCAATATCATCAGGGGTGATCCGCTCCGCGCTCGGATTCTCCTTCGGCGTCATATTCTCAGTGCTGTTGTTCAAGCGAAGAGCATGGCCTGTGTGGCTGGGTACCGGCTTCGGTGCTGGACGAGCTTGGGAGGAAGCTGATGGTACGTTTTTGAGTTCAAAATTCCTTCTACAGGATCAGGGACGACTCGATCCAAACCCGGGTATACCTTTACTGACAGTTTCTCTCGTCCGTCTAGCAAACTTCAAGAGAGGCGATTCATTTACGACGGATGGACTGAGGAAAGTAAGGACGGAGCGATAGAGACAGATTACACACACAAACCGACATTCGTGTTTTCTCGAACTTTTGGATGGGACGTTGTCAACCCACGGGGAGGCGTGTCGCGGTTCCTCTGAAGCTATGGCTGGAGTCACCTTAATTTAGCAACCTTTTGAGGGAAATATTTGTACAACAACATGTACAGACGAGACTTTCTCAGACAAGACACATCCGTCTGTCCCCGTTCTGGGGGTCCATTATATTCGAGGTCTGCTCTGCTATGATAAAAACCCGCCCATCCAGCCCTGTCTGCTTGCCATGAAGTTCTCACTTGGTTTGATATCAAATCCGGCAACTTGATGGTCGTACTGTAGCGTACTAGCTAGCGATAAAACACCTATCTCCCCGATTTCTCCACCTCAATCTCCCTCCTCAGGTTTTCATGTTCATCCTGGCGTTTCCTCAAATGCGCCTCCAGGCCATCAATCTGCTCGGCCACCAAGGCCAGATCATCCCTCAAGCGTTTAATATCGTTGCCGGACTGGCTGGCATTTTCAGAACTCAGATCCACGTACTGCCGCTGCTTGTACTCGAGCATCTGTTGTGCCTCGCGCTTGACCAGCGTCCAATTCGTCTTGCCAGTCTGTCGTGATCCTCCGTTCTCCTGTCTGTTCTTTCGCCTCCTTTCTGCATTGGCGGTCGCCGCGTCATGCTGTGACTCGAGGTCTCGTAGTTCGCGGAGCAGTCTGACTTTTTCGAGGTCTTCGTCTTCGACCACTTCGGAGAAGTCGGTGCCTTTGGGTTGGTAGGCTGAACCGCCGCGGCCTCCGATGCGGCTGAGGTAGGCGTCTCCAAATTTTGCTTTGCGTCCCGACGTGGTGTCTTCGTCGTATTTGTTTGGGCGGTTTCGCATGCTGTCGATCTGGTAGTCGATCTTGTTTCCCTCAAAGGTCGCTCTCAAGCTCGGTGGCACCGTCCGTGGTATCCGATAGCCCTCGTGCCGGTAATTGAGAATGTGCAGAAACGCAATACATGCTTCTTTGGATATCGTATCATTCCCACTCGTATTTACCAGATTCCACGCACTCCGCACATCCGTGTCCGGGACATCCAGGCTCGAGTACAGCGAATGCAGATTCTCGAACCCGATCTCGCCCCTCCGATTCCTGTTTGCCGAGTAGATCTCCTCGTATTTATGCTTGTCTCCAGGGTTCATGTACCAATCGAACCCATCCTTCAATCCAGCATCATCCTCATCGTCTTCTATCCTCTCAAACTGTGACCCCTGGTGGCCCGTCAATGCCCGGTTGGCCGCCACCAGGTGAGCCTTGCTCTCAGGAATCAGCCAGTCTGGTAACGACTTCGGCACGTCCTGGTATTCGCCATTGACGAGGTCGAAGATCAGGCGCATCGCCACGCAGAACTCCTCAAAGTCTAGCTCGCCGTCCCCGTCCACATCTGCCAGGTCCCACACTCTTTCTAGCTGGTCATCCCGCAGTTGTGAGTTTCGCAGCACGGTTGCGGCGGCTTGGTTCGTCAGGCGGGAATGAGGTGCCGCGGGTGGTGTCACTAGCGATGAGAAGATTTCCCAGTATCGATCAATCTCCCATTTCTCGATGCGCTTTGCGGCGGCCATGGTTCTAAGGGCTAATGCTGTAAACTTAGGTGTTGGGTAGAAGTTGGGGTACTGCAGAGGTGAGATTGTGGTGGTAGAGAGAGACGTCAATGACTAATGCTTTAAACGGTCAAATTCAATGATAGAAGTCAGGTCCAACAGTTGTGGTGGGGCCAAGTAGGTAATTTGTGCTGAGCAAGAGGACAGTCGGAAGTCTTGTGTACGAGATGTGTTACCTCGAGTCGTTCTCTGGTCAAGAAAGGCCTACGACGCCTGCTACTGAGAGCGAGGCTTAGAACGACTTCAGCGAAGCTCCGCACTTGGGTCACTTAACAGCACAGATGACGCTAGCCAAGATACATTAACCCTTTTGGTGTTGATTCGCTGACTAGTGCCGCTGCTAGTGGGATTAGTTGGCCTCGTTGTGATTGAAGCAGCTTCTTGATATTCGAGGCATGGGCCGGAAATATGCAGTACGAATCTGGAGGAAGAAGAATAGATGGAAGCTATGTAAATAGTGCAGGCAACATTGCGGCGTGGAAGAGACACGCCAATTTATATATGCTAAGATAGTTCAGGCTCATTCCACCGGCTGAGTTAGGCACACCAACAAATTCGAGAGACTGGGTCAATTGCAGGCAATCAAACAACGTAAAACAGATAGTCCAGCAACCCTCTTAAGCCTTGTACAAGGTATCGAGATATGCGACTAGGATCTGCTCTACAATGCTCTTATCAGGGAGACTGCCCGCAACACCATAGAGCTGAGCAGAGTTGCCTTTACCTTTTTCAATGGGGCCACCAGCCTTGACTCGATCGACGGCCTTCTCCTTCTCAGCCACGACTACCGCGACCAGATCATCGATCAAGCCATCAACAGCACCGGGCTTCGTCATCGGTAACGTGACCGCGACATGTACACCTGGTGGGGATTGTAGGGAATTTAAGTGCCAGTGTCTTTTAGACATGGCATCTGCAATGTCATAGATGGAGATGGCAGGGTCTTTTGACTCGAACGCCACGACACTGACGAGCGGGCCGCCGATGATAGATAGGACATCTTTCAGTTCCGTGTGTTCGTTGATGGCATTCTGAATGGTGATCCTCGTCGACACAATCTTGTGTGTTGCATCGACATAGCCCTTCTCGCCTACGGACATCATGCTGGCCCAGCATCCCGCTATCAAGGCGCCTGGTCGCGACCCGGCTATCGATGGCGAGCCGTACACTCCGCCGGACCAATCTGGAGCTAGGAAGTATTGATACTCTCGGAATTGGCGGTTGCGATACAGAACACAGGAATTTCCCTTCGGTGCGAACCCGTACTTGTGAGTGTCGACACTTATGGAAGTGACACCTGGCTGTCGGAAATCAAATCCGCCTTCCTCTGCCCAGGGAGAAGGGAACCCGGCCTTTGCCAACGATGGCATGAGAAATGAGCCAAGACAGCAGTCGACGTGGAGAGGGATTTTGTAGGAGACGGCCAGTCTGGATAGCGCGGGAATATTGTCGACGATGCCATGAGGATAGTTTGGTGCGGATCCGACGAGAAGGATGGTGTTTGGATTAATCAGTCTTCGTACACGGTGGATATCGACCATGTACTCGGGGGCCGGGCAAGCGACTTGGTGGACCTTGATACCGAAATAGCTACCTGCTTTGGCGAAGGCCGCATGCGCTGTGCTCGGAATGATCATCTCAGGGTTTCTAATGCCTCTCTCCGCATATCCCTTCTGTCTCGCGGAGAGACAAGCCATGAGAATGGATTCGGTGCCTCCAGAAGTAGTAGCTCCTGCGCCAGAGGTGGGTGCATTGAACAGAGCCAACACCATTGCCACCACTTCAGCCTCCATCTTCCGCACAGCTGGGAACACATCCGCATGAATAGGATTCGCAACACTGAACATCCTCATCGCCTCGAATTGGATATCCAATAATTCCTTCTCACCATGGTAGACTGCGCCAGATACTTTCCCTTCTTCCCATCTGGTCCGCTTCATCGATGAGAGAGTCTCCAACTCGGAGCGAAGCTGTTCGGTTGTCCATGGTTCCTTGGGGAGGGTTAGGTATCGAGTCGTGCCGGGACCCGTAGGTGCGAGCTTGTCTTCGAGATCTTTACGAGTCACGGCCAACTGTTTGGCCACCTGACTCCGCACGCCAGGCAGGTTCAGGAAGATCCTGTATGCGGACTTGTGCGCCTTGTGAACACCAAGGAGGATAGAGCCAATGAGGCCATGGCCGCGTAGAAAATAGAACGATCGCCGGACGATGCCGAGGACGAAGAAGAAGAACACTAGGTTCCGGAGTCTATCGTGGACGATGTCAGTGATGTGTTGCACGAATATCATGGGGAGCTATTGCCCGCGGGAGCCTGCAGGACGTACATATCAAGATTTCCTCGATAATCCCGTAAACGAGAAACAGGTTTGGAATTTAGGAACTTGCTCTGCAAGCTGACGGGAAGCGGCGAGGAGCCCATGATGGGTCAAGATGAGTGATGGTTATTGCGGATTCATGGGTTGTGAGTAGTATATGAGAATGGACAGATCTTTTTGAGGGGGTTCAATAAAGTTATAGATAAGGACGACTTGATGGGCAGTCGTGGTTGTTCATCCATACTACCCTTCGAGTCACAAGTGCTCCGCATTGACTATCTCAAAAATGACGGTGTTTCGTTTACTTCAACTCGCCTCCGGCTACGCCCAGCTGGGCATTTGGGCCGCGGCATCTGGCCTGTCAGGTGGGAAATCATGAGCACCACGTCGTATTTCGTACCACGATCCGTGTCTATCGTATATTGGAGGTCCAGGTGTTGCAGCACCCACGACCACCTACACGTCAAGCATATGATCTCTTTCAGGCTTGTCAAGATCTAGGAAAAAACTCTCCTCATATCCAACTGAACTTGGAATCAATCCCAACTACACGATTGCTCTTGAAAACGGTTGTTTTCGTATCTCGTCTTGATTTTGGATTTTCCATCTATTTTAGATGACGACGCTTTTCTTCCAAAGCGTCCAATGTCGATCCAGCTGATTTTTCTAGCTTTTGCTATGTACACATCGCAGCCGGGAAAGGATAGACTCACGCCCAATATCTGGCGCCCCGAACTTCCTGGCAAATTGACTTCTAGAGACCGTTACAATCATCCAAAAACCCCATTAAATGCATTAATTTCAAAATGGTATCTGGCCAAGTCGATCATGCAGCGACACCATTTCGAGTCTTCTTGAGGGCTTGTCCATTGGCAATCTCATCCTCAACCGTCTCGTCAAGCTTGCGCTTCTCAGGAACAGCCTGGTCTTCCTGTTGCTTCTGCGCTAGGAGCTGCTTCTCCTTCTCCGTCATGTTTGGTAGCTCAACCTCATGAGGGTTGGACTTGCCCAACTTGACATTTCGGTGGTAGGCGTGAATGATAGAGTCGGCATCGTCAATGGCAATTGGTCGAATGTCGGCCAATCGCTTGATGGCCGCCGTGACTTCCTTGTATTGCGCATCTGTCATTTCGATCTTGAGCTGTTGTGCTCTCGACTTGATGGCGTTCCAGCCAGTCAATCTTGATGCGAAATGGATATATCGGCCAATGCCGAAGTCCGAAGGATCAATGATTTCGTATGTGCTTGGGTTTGCCAGGATAGCCTTGGCGTGGATGCCGGCCTTGTGAGTGAAGGCACAGAATCCAGTAATGGGGTTGTTAAATGGAATGTTGACAGCGACAGCCTCGGCCACCAGCTCTTCAATATCCTTGATCTTCTCCAGCTTGTACTTGCTCTTGACATAGTCACGATCCACAGTAATCATTCGAGCCATGAGTCCACCCAATGTGGTGATACCATTGCGCTCGCCAATACCCAGAACGGAAGTGTCAATGTGAGTGGCACCTGCTTCCAGGGCGCAATATGCATTTGCAATGGCACATCCAGTATCGTTGTGGAAATGAGTCTCGATATCGCAGCTGACCACGCCACGTAGTGTTCGAACGAGGTCATAGACTTGTCTCGGTGTGGCGCAGCCAACAGTGTCTGCAATACCGACTCGGTTGACACCAACCTTGTCAACGGCTTGATAAAGCGAGAGAAGGTCGACCAGGTCGGATCTGAAAGAATCTTCACTGGAGAATCGAATTTCGATGTTGTGTGACTTGACAAACTCGATGACCTCGATGGCTGTGTTCTTAATGTACGTCATGTCCTTGCCGTGAGAATGTTCTCTCAGGAATGAAGACGTGCCAATGACAACGTCAACACCATCGACGCCCGTCTCGACCGCAATTCTCGCATCGTCCATGTGGCATCTGATGTGGGTAAGAATCTTGGACTTCAGGCCAAGCTTGCAGATAGCTTCACAATCCTTGCGAGACTGCTCTGAAGCCGCAGGACTCGTGAGTTCGATGTAATCGGCACCGAATTCATCGAGTGCCTTTGCAATTTCAATCTTCTTAGCGGTATCAAAGTAGGCATTTGCAAATCTGATCGCGTGCCAGGTTAGTTTTTGAATACAGGTAGCTTGTGTGCAGAGGGGATCACATACTGCTCGCCTTCTCTTAATGTGCTTTCGATGATCTTGAATCTGTGAACGTTGCTGAGGAAATCTCCTACAGGTGCATAAGGGTTTCGGTTTTCAGTTGCTGGGTCTGGTCGAGTATGGATGCCAGTGAAACCTGGGTGTGCTGCAAATGATTAGTCCGGCAAGAGACATATGCGCGTTAGTAGACATACCTCCATTGCCGTTGGCTCCATTGCTGTGGCCATTGGTTCCGTTAGAGGTTCCATTGGTCTCAATCTCATCTGCTGTTGGACACATGTTGGGCGATGAGAGGGAAAATGTGAGGGGGAGGGGGAGGTTTGGAGGAGGGAGGGACCAGTCAAAGTAATATGACGAGGGTATTAGAAGTGACAGAATTGGTTGAAGGAGATACTGTGACAAGCGGTGAGATTGGGAATAAATAAGTAGTTACAAGGATATGAGTCAAAAAGGTGTAGCAAGGACGGGTTTGCGGGTGGATAATGCTGGGGTGGACTTCAAGTCATTCGGACTGGAGGGGATGAAAAAAAGGTGCGAGGCAAAATTTGATCGAGCATGCATTTACTCGGTATTGCACCTGCAGTAGACGTCGTAAACTGGAGGCTGCGGGGAAAGCACCCAGAGGAAAATTGAGGATTAGGTGACAAGAATGTCAAGGAATTTGCACCGAATATAGGACGCACAAATCTGTCATTTGTGTCATTCATTCTACTGAGCTCGCTTGTGAAGCTGGAGCGGCCAGGGATCGGCCAGACTCACTTCGGAGCAGCTGACTCCGTCATCGGCTTCTTGCTGGAAATTTTACTTTTTCCTTTAGCCGACCAATTAGAGGGAACGTGATAACAACGACGAATTCTTCGTCAACCATGCTGGTCACGCCCAAGTGCGATAAATGAGTCCTGGGTTATAGCGTGATGTACTAGTATGTACTGTAGATCTTTCTCTACCAGCGCCTTGCCCTCGGGCCATCTCAGCTGTTTGATCCCAGTTGCATGGTTCAAGTTTCCGATGACTTCAGCTCTGATCATGTAGCTAGGTAGACTTGAACATATGGGACCAGATCTTCCCGGTCCTCAAAGAATCTTCTCCGGGAGGTAAACCCCTCGACTCAGAGCGTCAACGACCAAATAGCAAGGCAATGAGTGTCGGAAGTCCCGACCACTCTCGTCCCCTCCCTTGCTGTGAGTTGGTCATGGTAATAATTACAACCCAACCTCGAGTCAGCTGTCGACAAACCTTGTGTCACGACAAGACGCACGTTGAACATGCCGATGTCTGAAACGCCAACCCCAGTGATGTGAGCCGAGTTTCGATGCTGATGGACTAGGCTGCACTCTCCGGATTGTTTGGAAGCCACTTGTAAGAAACTGGTCCAAAGCCCTCAACCTATTCAAGGCTCTTGTTTGTTCAGAGTCGTACCAGTTCCCAGAATTTGATAGCTCAGCTGTGTCCAGATAAAAAGAGGGTGCCTCATGGCAAGCCATGAAATTGACCGCGGTTTTGCAAGGACTTCGATCAAGCCTCAGAATCCCAATGTGTCGCTCTCTGCTTCACAGAAGCTTCAGGTGCCCAGTGACTTGATCTACCACGCTCTTAGGACCCAAAACTCCCAGCACTGTTGCGCTACCAGCTGCAATCTGAGTTCTCCCAGCATCATGTATGATTCGGGCACAAAGCCCCAGGCTCATGGCTTGCGCTTGAATAGTTTCCAGTTCGTCTTCAGACTTGGTTTGTAAGGCAATCTTAGCCTGCCCGCCGTACTCCCATCGTTTGAGTATTGAGGCCGATGAGGCATGGTTAACCAGGTATTTATAGCATGCCAGCGTGGCATGTCCGCATTGAGCTGCAATTTTTCCTGTCCCGAAGTCAGCCTGTAAATTCTCTGTGCCGTATATCATATGCAAGTAATACCTTTGCCCATCCCAAGATCTGTCCTCACAACCAGGACCATTTTCACTTCCTCTTTCGAATCTCTAAAGTCGCTCAACTCTTTACCGTCTCCATCCTCTTCTTCATCCTCTTCCTCGTCATCTGCTTGCTCGTCGCTCGACTCAGCATGAACCTTCACATCATAGCTGTTAGGCCAGCTTTTCTTGGCTTCGTTGGAATTCGAGCTTCCGAAAAGTCCGATACTTGACGCTTGGCCGAGGAAATAGCCAGCGAGCAGGCCGAGGAAGAGTGACGAGACAGCGACTGCTGCGAGCGAGGGTGGTGCTTTTTCGGCCATCCTGGAACCTTGACGGAAGTCTTGATCAAGGAGTATCAAGACAACACCTCATTTCACGATGATCGCACCGTAAAATCCATTGTCGCCTTCTCTGCAAGTGGCGGAGCCCGATGTCATCTCCCAACGCGAAACATTCAACGCAAACACGCCAAGCAAATCAATTAAGTACGGTGCAACACTGCATCCATTTGTGACGCGACTCCGAGGAACACTTATTCGTATCAATCGTATTTTATACGTGACGGATAGGCTATCTCGTTCAACGTTTCTGATGAAGCCACTATCTGTGAATAATGGCCGTAACTGACAATTTGACACGCAAAATTCCTATTTAAACAGCTAGGTGATTTTTGCCCTGCCAACTCATGTCTCCATACCCATTTCTCATTTGTGTACGAGCCATCTCCCCCTAAGTCTCCCAAGCGTCAACGACAGATTTCGTTTTCATTCTGGATCATCAAATTTCATTCAATGATGGCAGAGTAGTCCCACGAGGTCGGTCCATGATACTTTGCGCCCCAGTAGTATCTTCTTCATCCGCATATATGGACTGCGATTGAAGCTGCGACCCGACTTTCTCTCCACCAGCTCGGCCCGCATATGATGGTAAGACGTTCTCTGAGTGATCATACTGACGGTCTGTATGGCTTCCCGACCCCAGCTGTCTCACATTCTCACTTGCACCATTCGATGGTTGGGATGTCTTGTCCGCTATTCCACTCCCAACGGAACGGTCGCCATTAGATTGTCCAGTGATGCTGCTAGGCAGAGAGCTGCCGATAGACTGCTTTGCATCACTCAATGTGGAACTCGTACTCCCTGCAGCGTTGTTGACTGCATTCTTGCCTGATTGAGACAGACCCTTGACATTGTCAGTGGCTGCTCCTGAGTGGTTTGAAGCGGCGTCTCTAGTTTTCGCGGAGAGTTCAGCGGCCTTAGTCTTCCCATCCTCAACCAGCACCTTTCCGTGCTCAGTGGCTGCGCTAGCCAGTTCCTGGGCACGAACGCCAGCATTTTGGGCCACGGCACGACCTTGAGGCGACCGGACGAGAGGCGTGATGTAGATCGAGGTTAGGCCTATCACGGCCAACCAAAAGGGGGTCACGACTTTATTGAGCCAAAACAAGACGGCAAGCCCAATGCAAGCCTGCAATTCGTCAGTCGAACGGCACTTTGAAGGAGACAAAATTCAGTCTTGGGAAGAACCACAACTTACACCAAAAGTTCTGTCCAAATCCTGTCCGAAGACGATCCTCTGAGCCTTGACAACGGCATACTGAATGAAATCGTGGACATCCTTCAGGGTGGCGTTAAGAGTTGCCTCTGGAACTCGCTTGTACTCTTTGGGTCGGAGACGAGTGGATAAAGAGTTGGAACCGAAGGACCTACTTGCGAACTCTGTCACAGAGACCACTGAAGCTAGGTTCAGCTGTGGCACATATCGCAGGGGTGCAATTTTTTATTACCTCCAAGAATTGTTACTCCGCCTTTGAGAACATATTGAGTAAGGGGAAGGTAGTGTGTTCCAAACAGGATGCAAAGGGCGCCAATATAAGAACCCAGAGTTCGGATCGGGTCCTCCCACTGCGATATGATGTTAGAAACCAGGTAAGCAGGTGAAGGGGTCTTGGCCCGTCAAAGACTGACACTGATATACTTGTACAGGCTGTCTTGGTTGGCTGCAGCAACACCGGTATCAGTATGGCGCTTCTCTCAATTTTATTCCGTCTCAAATCATCCGTACCTATGATCTGTTTCAGTGGTCCTGAACGTTCTGCTTGGTTGTACTGATTAGGTTGTTCCCGTTGTGTGAGCGAAACAGGGTGATTTCTTTCACTAGACTGCCCAGGATTCGTCTTCTCGTTTGTCAGATGTCGAATGGCCGAAGTGACTGAAGATGGCAAAGAAAGTATTGTAAGCATCCACAGATTGGCACGATCAGGCAGACTTACAATCTGCCTCATCATTGCCAGAGTACTTAGCCCCTTCATTCGGGACCGGGGCAGCAACAAAGTTAGCGTCACTCATGTTGACTTTATGAGCGTATAGAGGTCTCCGGGATGTTTCTAGATCTTTTTTGGTTTGAATCGTTTGTTCGGATAGCGAAAGAGTAGGTAATTGTCTAACCAGAAAAGCCAGCCCTAGCAGCTAAATACCCTTTTACAACGCCCTTGGAACGAATGCCCGGGAGTGCTCATCACACGACTTCCTTGATCTCGTTCTGCACTGAAATCGCGTTTGACGTACCGCGGGCCGTTTCAGTGGAGCAGTGACGGTGACCATGACGAGGTACCCCAGGATTCGTCATTCCGGAGCAAGTAACCCGCAAATCGAACCACCCTCAATATCTACGGTTGTACACAACTGCTGTAGCTGTCCTCTGAACCATGAAATCAAGGAAACGTAAGGTAAAACGTCAACACGGAGGCAGAGGCTGAGATGTCATGATGATGTGTATAAACATCCTAAAGCTAACGGGCATCATTCTTTTTGATTGTCCCTTGCCAGCCTTAAGGACTCCATCAACGCTGTGCCACTAGAGATGGATTCGAAAATACCAAGCCTTCCTGGTTTTCAGGTTTGTTTTGTTCATCTTTTTGGCGAGGTATGGAGAAACTAAGTGGCTTTCGCCACAATGGAATACGAAGACATTTTGAGTTGGGGGCGTATGCCAGAGTCATAAATTCAACACCATCGTCTTGCTTCATAAGTATAAGTGCAGGGATAAACAACATACGCGGGGAGGAGAACCTCAAGATCTAAGTCTCCTCCTAAGCCGTGCAAAACCCGCCTGCAACGCCGCAGCCTCCTGCTTCAATAGCGGTGCCACAAGCGACAACCGTTACCGTAACGGTAGACACTTCATCTCCTGCATCTCTCTGCTACACTGAGATTGTCGCCGAAGCAGCATCTAATGCCGATATTTGAGATTCCACTATGGAAAAAAGGGCATCGATCTGGTCTTGTTGAGAAGAGCATGCCTGAGCGTTGTTGGAGTGACCTGCGACTTTGTCACATTGAAAGGCTCGCATTGGAGACGAAGGAGAGAACAGACCATGGAGAGGTCGAGACAACATTCTCGACTCGAGGTGGGATGATGCTAGTCCGCTTAAGAAGCGCCTACCCAACGCCAAGCACTTCCATGATTTATGTCAATTGGACTTTCACCATTTCTTTGCCCTATCAGTTCGCTCCAACATATACAACACGATTTGACCACAGTGTATGAGTCCTTCAGCCTCTTCAACCTCTTCAATTGTTCTGTAATTTTTTTGTATTTGAAAGAGCTCGGCGTCCGGTTGGGCTGAGACTGAGACAACAATCATGTTCGACTCGTTCAAAGACTCTCTTCATCCCATCCTGTGGATTCTTGTCATCTATCCCCTTTTGATCATTCTTGTCTATCTCTTCTACTCTCTGAAGGTGTATCGAATGGTTCAAGATCTCCCATTGGTCGTGGAAGGTCCTGTTGATGCGAAAGAAGAGTCCTCAGCTGTCAAGGATAGCTCGCCCCTCGATCATGGCATAACCCTCCAAACCTCTATTCACACCTTGACGAAACCAGATCTGAAAAACAGGTCGGACAATGAAACCGACATTCCAATACCGTTTGCGATTACCGAGCCAGATCATACGAGTACTCGTCCAGTAACACATACTGCTCGCCAGAGTACGAAAAGCCTTTGGCCCTATGCCATACTATTTAGCATTCAGCTGCTTCTGGCACACCGAGCCGGAGTGCTGGCAGCAAGTCATGTGTCCAGGATGCAAGGAGCAGGCAAATTAATTGGAATACTAGGAACCACCATAGTTACGATTCTCGTCTCTCTAGCAATGGGGGTTCTAATGAACGCTCGATCTTCTCAGCTTCGGGGTTATAGGACGGGCCCCAGAAACAGAGCCCTATCCAACCCGTCAGATCCTCTATCGAGATTTTTTTTTCTACGCTTGGCTTTCCCTGCTTGTACCCTGCATCCGATGCTTACTTCTTCTTGTGGGATAGCCTCATGCAAAACTTTGAGATGGGTCATCAGGAGTACAGAGAGGGTCTTAGGTACAATATTCCGATGCATAGCAATATATCATGAACTGTGTGCGACGAGCTTACGAGATCATACCAACGGTCTTGGAATCCAACGGTAATGCATGCAATTCAGCATATCAGTGGTCTGTGACAGAATAACAGGGCAAGAATTTGAAAAGAAGTACTTGGTATCTACAAGCGAAGCGTGAGCTTCCACTCAGACCATTCACCTGATAGTTTCACTAGGCATAGATGGTAGACGATGAGAAAGAAACGAGGGCCACGTTAATAGACAAATGATCACCATGACCAACGTGAGTACATCTTAAAAGCACGCAAAACTGGACGAATCCAAAGTGAAGCCTTCGTTAGGAATAAAAGCTATCGCCAACCCTGTATTCTCAAGGGTCTATTATTATTCCGGGCTAAGAGCGGTTGCCATCTTAGAAGACTTATGTTGCTAATCTATCTTAAGGCCTGATCGCCGTGTGCATCAATCGAAGATAGCACGGCCTTTGAGCCAAGCCAAACAATTCAAGTCAAGCCCGCCACGAGGCTCAAGCCCCTTATTTCCCGAATGCTCTGGATGAACCATCTTTCCATAAATTTGATATAGACCCACCTACAGCGCCGTACTTCTGCTAATGCCCTAGGTGCAATTTAGAGGTCCCATCGACCAGTAGCATGATAATTGCGGAGTAGCTCGGGCTGCCTTTGAGGCGACTCTCTCTGTCTCTTCAAATCTCCCTTGGCACGGACTTTGATCCATTCTATGGTCATACGCTCTTAACAAAATCTGCAAGCTTTCATTCTATCATGCTGTATCATGGTCCAGTCATCGCAGGTCTTCACATGTCTCAATAGGTCACCAACTCGCTAAAGGGCTGAGGCTACGGTCCTGCAGCTTACCTAATATGCATGAAAGCTAGTTTGGAAATGGTCGACGTATGCAGATGACTCGGATGAGTCAATTGAATTTCAATCGCAAAGGGCAAGCTACTAAGTAGTATTCTAAGAACGCTCAGATGACAAGAGTGTCGAGACAATTAACGCTCAAACAACGCCTACCAAAGTTGCCGAATTATCAAGCCGTGGAGTCTCGCCAAAGAATTTAGTCCCAATATTTCTTGAGCAACTCTTCCTCGATGCCACGCCATCTAGCAAATGCAGCTAATCCTTTCATCAAATAATTTGCCACTCCACCCGCTATGCCAGGAAACCGCATATCGCCCATATCTGCAATTATCGCGGTGTGGAGAATGCTTTTTGGGAGATTGGTCTTCGGGTCGGCGAGATCGTCATTGCAAAGTCCGAACAGGATGTAGAGGCTTCTCTCGAAGCCCGCGTGGCTAGGAAGGACGGATCCCTTGAAGGTGATATCTGCTTCGGTGTCATTGAAGAAGCGATGAGGAGTTCCGATAGGGACATCAGCTGCTTCTCCAGGTTGTAGGTAGACATTCGCGTCGTTCAATGCGACCCCCAAGGTCTGTTTGAGAGCCTCAAACTTCTCTGCGTACGAAGTGTGATAGTGCAGTGGAGGCCCACCGCCAGGCCCGACCACAAGGATAGCCTCTGTTCGCTCGCCATCGGTTTCGTAGCCATATTTGGTGACCGTGATTGTTTCTCCCGTGAGTTTGTTGGTTATGGTACGCCTCGCTTCGTTGGCAATGCCAGGCGGGATCGCTCTGTTCCTTGGTTGCGTTGACATTTTGTTTAGAGAAGGGTCGTGAATCTATGATCAGATCTTATTGGGGGTATGGAGTCGCATGCTAATTCCGTACTTCAAACACATTCTCTAAGAGTGGCATATGTATATATACCTGACCAGTGCAGAAATGAACTGTTCCATCAGGCACTTTGCTGACTCACGCATTTGGCCAAGATGTTATCTTTCAGCTACCGCAGAAGTATCGGCTTAGCAATACTGAGTACTTAGACCATACAAAAATATGGTCAGTTTAATCTCTTATGGTCAGCCACCTTCCAGAACCCAGGGGGCAGATTTTCAATCGGGCCTGCAGGACAGGCACCACCAGCGAGTAGGGTGGCAAATGATGACTACTCATCCGCTGGGATGATACTCACCCAATACTGGAGCGAATAGATTGGCAATTGAGGGCTGCTTACCCGCTTGACAAGACTGTGCTTAGCGAGTCGACCTTTTGTAACCCGTCTGCCAAGCACTCGCTTGGGCTAAACATAGCCTGTGGTATTCCTACCAGCCCCTTTGGGAAAGCACCTCGTGTCTGGAATGATGGTAAGGCAGATGCAGGGAGGTAGCTTAATGCTGATGGCATAATCGTGCGGAATGTGCCGCGCTATGTTTGGAAAGAGTCTGAATCATGCTATTGGTGCCTTAAATCTGCGACCGATAGATACTGAGACAGAGTACTATCCGTGATCGTATTTGGGCTGTCTTGAGTAATACTCTTCACAGCTGTAACCCATTGCCACGATTACCTTCCACTTTGGTACAGTAGCCACCAACCTCATCTCTTCCCCTCTGCTTTTAGACATCCTCACAAATCTACTCGAGGTCTGTCATAGTATATCCAGTTAACATGTATTGCAGCGGTGTGCCTCAGTGCAAAGATGAACATGATTGACCTGTGTGGAATCAAAAACGCTATGCAATTCAACTCAGTTTCGCCATACACCATGTACTCGAAGTCGGTCGCTGAGTAGATGAGCTCAGGACATCAAAGCCAATATCATGGCAAGAGCAAACCCAACGCAAATGAAACCACCACCTTTCGAAATCCTGCGCCGACCCACGGCTTCTCCGCTCTCAGAGCATTCGCTTGTGATGATGAAGTGGTTGAAGCAGATGTTCCTGTGCGCGTTGCCGTTGCACTCGCACTCGCACTTGCCAGACTGGCACTCAAGCTCGCAGCAGCCTTCGGAAAAGCATTGCCTTCGTACTGTGCACAACCGGAGGGGACAAAATCCTTCCAACCATCACCTAATCCAGTCTCGATACCAAATTGAGACAAGTCTTGGGCTTTACCACCTATATCTGGGCAATAATTGATGTAGGTGTTCATACCAGGACATGCACCTATGCAGGCTTCGACTGGTAAGAAGGCATCGGTAGCCTGTACATCCTTTGGGTATAACTTATCGACGCAAGCCCTGGCACATCCATATGCGGGGCAAGGGACCATCGCCAGATACGCAGGCCAGCTGTCATCATAGCTTTCGGCAATCGGATTGACTTCGAAATCATAGAACCCGTCCTGATTCGTGCCCGGTTGAGACTTCGCGTTTGTGACATTAAACGAACCCCAGTTGTTGGCATATTTGAGCGATGAATTGCTAATGTTGTCATCTGTCGAATTATTTATTACATATGGAATTGCCAGCCCGAAATTCTGCGTGTTGAACATTTCGATCGCAAGATTATAGTACGCTCCATCAGGCCCGGCATCGCTAGGGATCTCCGTAAGGAAATCGGTGATGATGGTTTTGCCATCGTTGGTTGCTGCCGCGGAATCTAGAGTGAGTGGCATGCATTCGATCAGGCGGCACACGGGGCCCATCAGCTCACACCAGGTGCCATTGCAATCCGGTCGCAAAGTACTCCTCGCCAGAAAGACGGTAAGTGCATTCCAAGGACTGGCAGTCAAATCGGAGTCGCTATCATCGTGGTATTGCGTGTAATTGATTGATTTGACCAGAAATGGCGTGTCGGCGCGTACGCTGTTGTTTGTGCATAAGCGTTCATACGATATGGGATCATCAAGATCACAACATGCTTGTGTAGAGGCTGGAAGTAGCATCGTCGCCACGCCTAGCAGCCGCCAAGGGCGTTTGAGGGAACTTGAAGCCGCCATCCTCGGCGCAATCAGTACGAGGTGCTGAGTACTAATGTGGTGTTACCGAGGCACGTTTGTTGTTATTCTTATGCTTCAAGCATCAGGACAACAAGCAGAAGATCGCGTCGGTGGCCAGCTGTCCAAGATAACATGGATCACTGCGTAGGCAAGTAAGAGGTTGCTAGTTGATCATGGCCTTGTTAACCGGAACTCGTTTTGCCCCTTAATTGTTGCAGATCCTCAATCCCGTTAATTAAGTCGGCGAGCGGCTAGCGTAGAAACTGGCTAGCGTGTTTCTAATAATCCAGATTTTCCGTGGGTCTCGCACGGACCCAGCCGCCGCTAATTGACCTTAGCCTTGCGTATGAGTTATTCGAGTCTCATCTCCTTCTTTCGAATCTCATGCTTGATACTGGAGGTTGAGGCTCGATCTGACATCGCCATAGATTCCCACGCCATCGTATAGTGACATGATATCCCCACATCCCCGCGCTTCTACTTTTCACGGAGAAACAGGAAACGGTGACTTATCCAGACAAGCATCACCGAGCTAAAGACTTCCCAGCACCTCCATATGTTCGAGAGTGCTGTCCCGATGATTTTTGTTAAGGATTATCAGTGCTTCAGCATGGAAATTTCTAGCTTTTGCCTTTGTTGGTATACCCTTCCGAGGCTCATAGGTGAAGGTGACGCGAAGGTTTATCATGCACTCTCATCTCGCGAAACGGAGTCTTAAAAGGTGTTTATCGATTTAAGCCGCCTCCAGATGACTCACTCACACCGCTGTGATTCAGTGACTTTCTTTGGTCGGTTTGCGTGGACAACCTAAAAGCGTTAGCGCCAATCCTCTTCCATCAGCCTTGCCTTACCACGGGAAGGAGCTGGTGATGGTGAGTCACCCACATCGCTCTGCTGTGAAGCAATTTCTCATCAAGTGGAATGTGTTACGCAGGCGAAGTCCGGGCTTCGCAATCGCAAACGAGAAACATGCAAGATTGATCTCGAATAACAAAGGGCGCCTGGAGTGTTTGATATTCTGCAGCAGGCTCTGCAATCACAGAAACGGGTCACAACATCCACATGTGCTATCAGGCAAGAGGTTGATTTAATAGTGATCAGTGCTACTAGAAGCCACGAGCCTCGTCCTCGAAGGTTGTGTATCAGTGGCATGTCGTGATATGCGAGCCAATTGGGGCTGCCTCATTGGCCGATGTGGGGAAGATATCCCATCTCGTCATTCGCGCTAGGAACGCGTTATCATGCTTCTGTCCGCCATGCACAAATATTCAATCGAGTCTTAGAGCACCGTGATGCAAAGTTTTTCGGCCAGGTTTGTCAGCTGGTTGCCGGCACTGTAGGTCGATCCCCATGTGAGCCGATGTACAAGTTATGGTGGGTGGTGGCGGAAAAGCCCACGGACGAATTCTGAGTCAGCTGAGCAGATCACACCAAACCAGCACTCAATGTTTCCTTTCTACTTCTTTGATTCTCCAGAAAGATGACGAGACGTGAGGAATCCCGCAACGATGCTGGGTTTTCCCAAAGCAATGGCGTGCAAGCGACTGAAGAGACGCCTCCGTTCGATAATGGAGAAGAGCTTATCGCAGAAACGGGTACCAGTGAATTGGTGACTGGCACAACCACAATACTTCCTTCGTCAAAGCTGGGGCAGGAAGAACCACTCCTAAAAACAAGTCACCACCAGCATGTGAAGTACGGCACTCAAGATGCTGAGGACGGATCAGTCCACGAGGAGAATGCGATCGTAGCTTCACGAAAAACTGCGGCTGTGCTTCCGGTCATGTCAGTCCTTGCTCTTGGTACGCAACAAATGTCTCAAAGATTTCGCTAAACGGTATCATTAACGAGTCGTCTTCCAAAACTATAGGAGTGCTGATCGGCAGCGCTGACAGCTCATTCGTGATGGCGACTCACCCCACGATTGCTTCCGAGTTCAATGCACTCGGCTCATCGAGTTGGCTGTTTACAGGCTTCACCTTGGCAGCGGCTGCCACTGGTAACACGGTTCGTTCCATTTCTAGCGATATCATGTCTGGCGGCTCCGTCCAAAGAGACATGATGGCTTTTGCTTCGGATTGAAGACATGAAGTTAATATATTGCACCTAGATAAGTAAACTTGGCGAGATCTTTGGACGGCGAGGCGTGATTGCCATGACTTATGTAGTGTTCGGTATTGGCTGGCAAGTAATCCGCAGAAATATCACACTATCTGAGAACGCCGTGTGGCTGACTTGTTCTCTAGCTTGATGGTGTATGGAAACCATTCTAGATCCTTATCTCGCCCCTGTACCCTGGGCCCTGCTGACTCGTGCATTCCAGAGGTGTTGCCAACTCCATGCTTCAAGTCATTGCTGGCAGAGTTGTTTCAGGCAGCGCTGGAGCAGGGATGGGGGTGTTAATATCGGTCAGCATCACTGATCTCGTCCCTATCCGAGAAGTGCCAACTTGGAGAGCGTACATTATGCTAGTTGGTACCTTGGGCCGCAGTCTAGGTGCACCACTTGGAGGACTGCTTGCAGACACAATTGGATGGCGTCTTTCGTTCTCGATCCAAGGGCCACTTTTGTTTTTTACCGCTCTTCTTGTCTGGTTGATCTTGCCTCGCAAGGCCTCATCCCCTGGAGAAGATCAAGAGCCAAAGCTTTCAGCACTGGAACAGGTCGCACAGCTTGATTTTCTGGGCGCGATCACCTTAGGGTTGCTGATAACATCAACTCTCATCCCCCTTGAGCTTGGTGGTGTAGTACTTCCATGGTCCCACCCATTGATTACGCTATTATTTGGCCTCGCGATTGTGCTACTTGGAGTATTCATTCTAATTGAAAAGCACTGGACGAAAGATCCTATATTGCCACTCGAGATATTCGCCAATACTCCTGTCGTCCTATGCTACGGAATCACGCTTCTTCAGGTTGCTGCCATGGTCGGGGTATGTCATTTAGACACCTTCAAACTTCGATGTCATCTTTAGAGTGATGGAAAACTGACATAATGGTGCAATAGTTGATGTTCTCGGTGCCTTTGTATTTTCAAGTCACTAATGGAGTTACCAATACCGAGGCTGGAGGACATCTGTTGCCCATGATCATAGGGAACACAGCGGCTGGGATAACTAGTGCTGCAGTGATAAAACGGTATGTAAAGGTGACAAGCCTGGACTATTCTGTAGTCGCTGACCTTCCCCATAGTACTGGCAAGTATAAAGGGTTACTGCTCGGTGGCACCGCGATATCAGCAGTAGGGTATGCCCTTATTGTACTGCGATGGAACGGGAACACCAACTGGCTAGAGTCCCTCTATGTCATACCAGTGTATGTGTTTTTGAAAGGACACCTTTGACGCAATCATTAACAGTCACAGTGGTATTGGAATGGGCTTAGTTTTCAACACTATGTTCGTCTCAATTCAAGCATCGGCTTCGAAAGAGGAACTAGCACCAGCATTGGCAGCCCTGCACCTGTCCATGAATCTTGGAGCCTCTATCGGTCTTGCAATTCTGAATGTGGTATTGCAAGCCGTGTTGAAGCAACAGTTAGAGAGCCGTTTGCTGGCCCTAGGTGTCGACAAGATTCACAGAGAAAAGGTAATTTTCGTCTACATACAGGACGAGTGTTGTCAACTGATCGTGTCTCAGATAATGGAAAAAGCCTTGTCAAATGTCGAGTACATCACTCAAGCCCCAGCGAGAATTTCAGGGGCACTTGTGACGTCTTATGAGATTGCGCTCCAGTGGACAAATGGTGAGCTGTGAAGAGAAAGATTTCCCCTCGCCGTGGGTTGATACTGACATGAGATGCAGCGGTCTGCTTGATCTTTCTGGCTATCACATTATTGTTTGGTGTGTTTGTGAAACAACGGAAACTTCAATAAGACCCAGGGGCATCAGCTCAGGAAGATGAACTCCAGGCAAAAAAGAATTCTGCCGCGAGTGTACGCACGGTCATCTTTCTCAGGGCAGATCAACTTCGCGGAATCCCTCAAGCAGGTATGAAAAGCCACCTTGTTGCTTTCCTACTTCCAAGAATCGTGCTTTAGAGAATCGCGAAGTTGGTGATATTGAGAAATCTCTAGCTTTCTGCAAGGGAAATGCACAGGAGCGGCCATATGATTTCATAAAGGATGGTGTTAGTCGCTCCACAGAGCAATCCACTAATGGGAATACATGCTTGTGGTGCGAGTCGATGTCGAGTGAGAAAGGTACCCACCCTGATACGCTGGCGGCGAGGGAAGCAACGGAGTTGTTGAGCGGCAAACACGGCAGGAACAACATTTAATCTGGAGATACGACCAGCAAAGCAAACGTGGTCAGCATCTAGGTGCCACAACCCTGAACATTGGCAGTGGTGACCACTTAAGCATTATTGTTATTTGCATCGATGAGGATTCAAAAGCTCGGTGCAAAACTTGAAAAGTCAGGTTACTAAAGTAGTTGGAGGTATCTGGAAATTGTGATCAAATCATTTCAGTGGCATAGATCTTACTTGTATGAGCTACAACACCCTAGATAATGCTGCTTGCTTGTATAGAAAACCATTCATTTACCCCCTCTACCATTGTCTGCCGTCTTTGTATGCGTGCATGATAACTTCTTACCTGGTAACTAGCCCGAGGGATCCCATGTATACGTGGAAAGAATATCGCTTGTTATGTCTGTGGCGGAACCGTATTCACTAGAGGATCATAAGTGTCGTTACCATAAGCATCACCACCATAGTCGAGATATCCATTGATATATGGCGGAGCAGGGAATTTTGCGAGTATTGAGCTAGCATTGCCGAAGACCCACACGGTTTGCATGCCTGTAATCATGTTGTAAGCTGTGAAACAGGAACATTTTGTTTCGGGGAGTAACAAGGAATAACGTACCCATCACCATGTGCGCTAGGATGTGGCAATGCATCATCCAGGCGCCAACGTCATCTTCGGTGACTCTGATGCGCCAGGCCCGCCACCCTGCCGTTGTCTGTGGCACTCCGGATGTTGTGTAGCGATGAAGCATTGTTGTGTCACGTCGTGCAGGTGTATAGTCTCGGAATCTTGCTTCGTTTGCCGTGGCGTTGTACGTGCCGTTGCTAAATAGTCTTGTCAATCACAAAGCACAGCAAAAATGCGACAAGCGGTCGACATCCGAAGGAAAAATTTATAGAGGGACTTACCCTGACCCTAGGTCGAAATAGTGCTTTCCGTGAGCGTGGATGGGATGAAAATCGAATCCGCCTGTCGGCCCTGAATTACTCTGCCAGACGATGTCGAGTACCTCTCCTGGAAGGGCGGGGAAAGCATTGCTGTATGGATCCCAGCCTCCGTTCTCTACAGCGGCTGTGTAGTTTGGTGTTTGCCCTGTCAAATAGACTTGTACTAGATAGGGTAGGCTATTGTTTGCCTGACGCTCTTCTGTTTGCCAGACAAGATCGTCTTGCCTATGCAGTGTCCCATGTTGTTAGCCTCATCCACGATAACACCAATGGAGGGAACCGATAAAAGGGGTCTTTTCAAGGAAAACGTACGCCCACTCTAAAGTGCCGTTGATCGTCTTGTTGACGTAAGCACCCTCTCTGATCACTTGCCGCATTGTAATTATCACTGTCCTCGTAACTTCGGATAAGGATGGGAAAGATTCAGTCTCTTCGAGAGATTCCAGCGAATACTCAGCCCAAGATGTGACGTTCCGAGGCAAGGTAATTGGACTTGTGACAGGAAGCGAGCCCGGGAGGTCGGTACCGGGTACATCATATCTTAACAGAGCGTAACCTGTGACGTTGGTTGGTCGGTCTCGGCTCTCATACCGTACCCAAAAATTCGTTTTATTGGCAGACACCAGTTCTGCTGCTGATTTAGTCCGAAGCAGGACACTGAACCGCTGACCACTACCAAGCTGCACATGATCCGTGCTCCAGGGCTTGGTATATTGCCCATCTGCTTCAATGATAGTCAAGTTATCGTGTTCCTCAATTCCCAGAGTGACCAGTGAGAGAGCAGTGCCACTGATGAAGCGCAGTCGATAGGTAGTATCCGGCTTGACCGTAATAAGGAGTGGCTCACATGATGGACCAGAAGCATTGACAAACGACGAATTACCACTTTGGCCATTGAGCACGATGGCCTCCGGCTCACCTGACCATTTGAATGGATTTGCAAGAAGACCCTTCTCGATGGATGAGTCGTTCCTGGTAAAGTAATCCTGGATGAAAATCGGAATGTCCTCATCGTATTGGTAGGGGAGCGGTCTCTGATCCTCCACTATGAGGACTCCTTGAGCGGTATTTGCCTGAAAGCCGATGTGTGAGTGGTAGAAGTACGAGCCAGCATCGCCGACTTCTGGTGTGATGGCGTAGTCGAAAAAATCGTGCGGTGCAATGGGCCACTGCGATACAATTGGTGTGCCATCTGAGAAAGGAGCGGTGCGTTGGGTCAAACCATGCCAGTGCTACAGGATACTATTAGTTCTTGACATCCACATTGAAAAAGAGACCGCTCTCCCGACTCTGGCTTACCACTGTGAGATTCTGATTTTCGATATTGTTGAATACTCTGACCCAAGTCGTATAGCCTTCCTTCAGGTAAAGCGGCGGACCCGGACTTGTGCCGTTGAAAAGGACCGAATATCTTTGCTGACAATTGATTGTAAGATTAGCTGCCGTGGCGAATAGTACATAGTCCGGACTCTGTCCAGGAGCAGGCGGGTTGGCAACGACTCTGTTCGTCAGGAGCAAAGCCGAGACCAACAGCGGAATTAGTATCACCAGCATTGTCGTAGAAGAAGTATTGAATGCAAATTCGTCTGCAGAAACGAGAACCACCAGAAGAAAGTGTATACTTGTAGGTTTGCAGTCCCAAATACTGATCAGGAAACCGGGTTCTGCGTCTCACCTGCAAGGAGACGATCAACAGCACTGTTTGCGATTGTTGATCGTGTTGAATTGATGGTCAGCACCAGTAGCTTCACGTGGCAGGCTTACATCCCACAGCGTATTCGACGATTTTATCCGTACTTGGGGTGAATGGTCATGACTGCCATATCGATGTCAATTGGATAGAGCACATTCAGCCCCCAAAGAGTGCGGATTGAGCGTTGCGTACAACTCGAAAGAGGTTAATGAACGGCCAGATCAGCAGAGGTCCTCATGCTAAAGCCTCAGGCTCAGGTGGAGATCAATAGCACTAGGTTTAATAAGGCATCCAGCTATTCAAACTTAGTTACTTTAAGTTACTGCTTGGCCACCTAGTGACGTCGATGCTTTCCTGAAGATCTCCACTTCAGGCTTAAGGTTTCCATAAGCACCACTCTAAAGTGCGAGTAAGCCTGATGCTATCCTTCGAATCGACTTCTCTTTTGGACTGTCTCGGATCTTAATTGACAGTTCCGTTCCATGGACTTAACTAGTCCCCGAAACGGAGCTTAGGAATGCATGATTTTGTATCTACAGTACCTATACAAGTCGCAATACCGAGTCGACCTTAAGTTCCAGGCTGCTAGTATTACGGAATCTCCCCGGAATCTTCAATATCCTGTTTGTCTGTAAACTTATCAAGGTTAAGCATTGTCCCTAGGTGCTACCGATCAACTTCCCAGCAGCAGCACCTCTGCCACGCTGCTGACAGAATGAATCCCGCAGGACCATCCGCAGGAGCCCGCTTGGAGGACATCAGGAGCGGGTTTTAACTACTAGTGCAGTCATTCCCAATCCTTGCTTGGAGAGCTCTTTAAAACGCTCTCAATCTTGATACGTACAGACTTCCAACCAACCTGACAGTGCCACCATTCCGGTAGATGATAAAATGTAGTACGGGAGTGGCGTTTCAAATCAAAGCCTCCGCTCAACCTGCGCGTGGCTTTGATCCCCTGCTCTTTGATCTCCTGCTGGCACTGACGGTTCTCTTCCTCTCGCTCGGAACTGGTCGAAGCCACCAATCTTGCCGCCTTTGAAGAGCTAACCTGGGATCAAACCTCGCTCCTCTGAGTCCCATGTCTTCACGAAACAGAGGGAAGACATTCCCTAATCGATAGTGCTTGGGATCTTTGGAGGAATGTCGGTGAACTGCGCGGACCGAATCTAGGAGAGCTTGAGCTTTCTCGGAAAGATTGCGTAGGAGCGAGATATTCTTGACCACAATGGCTGGTTCTCCCTGTCTGGTAAAAGGGCTTGCTTGTAAAGGCTTGTTGGCTATGGGTACTTCGCTTCGTGCAGATGCCTTGCGACCGTGATCCGAATGTGGAGATCGAGCCACATTGGTACCGGAGGCATCTGATCCTGAACTCCGCTGTGCATAAGAGCCAGATCGCCTAGTGCCTTGGAAGTCCTCAACTGTATCTAGCTCGTCGCCCTGAGTTTGGTCGGTCAAAATATCACTGTCTTCAAACTTGGAACCAGCTGGGCTATCAAGGGCGTCAGAGCCTGGTGCTTGTTTCAACGGCCCAAAGACAGTAGAAGCCGTCACGTTTTGCAACACAATCGCCACCGACTCCGCCAAAATCAGGTCATTGTAATGAGCAGCCATAGCCATAACATTCATGCAAATGGCCTCATCTGGAATGATGTGCATGGACTCAACATAGAATCGCCAGATATGTTTCGTCGTATCACGTTCCATGACTGAACTGGCATCCTGGAGCACATGTAGCAGAGTCGGCCGGGTGACAGTGCGACCTTGGTCAGATAGCGTATCAAATAATTGAAGAATGGCCTCGAAATCGCGCCGGTCGCACAGCGCATGGATAAAGATGGTCCACACCCAATCTGGAAGGATGACACCGTTGTCATGCAGTTTATCAATCTCAGCTTGAGCGAGCTCAAGTTGATCCTCGCGTATCATCGCCACGATCACTAGCTGCGCGACATCAGGAGGAATGGTTATCCATTGGGATTCCATTAGCTGCATGATGTAGGCTCGAAGAAGACTGTCTGGATGGACGGATAGTACCTTTGATTATTCGTTAGGACCGTGCTTCGTACACCGAGAAAACGCCAAATTGGGATCACGAACCTTGACAACAGCAAATGCTACAGCTGGAATAATAGGTATACCCTCGCGCAACATCTCCTGCAGAATAGATCTGACAGACTCAATCGAGCCCATCTCCGGGTGACAGTTCCCCAGGATCAACGCCTCATAATGACGAGGAGAGGGTTCCACCAGGCGATCTTCAATCAGTATGCTCAAAATGTTGCGTATCGGGGCAGGATGTGGGACATCATGGGCGATGAGCTGCAGCTCCTGCTCGAGGAGTTCTGTAGAGCGCATGTGGCGGGGTATAACCTTCCTCGGCCGAGACCACGATGGGGAGGATTCAGTCTTCGCCATTGCCTCACCTAGAAGGGCTTTCCGGAACGACGGCGAAAACACATCGTGACGATTGGGAGGATTGCGATGATTTCGCACACGTGGTTGTGAAGGCTCCGTAAGAATTTCCTCGAGCTGGTCAGGCTGCTCTGCTTTTGGACTTCTATGATCATCTCGTGTTGCTTCGATCAAAGGTAGTATCTTGTTTGCAAGGGTTGGAGAGTACTTCTTGCTCCCAGAACTTGGCCAAATGTCTACCCATTCCTTCGTGTTTGGATCGAATCGAGTATCAGGTGGTGATGGGGTAGAGGCGGTGCCTCTGTCTTCTGCTGCCTCAAATGGCTGTTGCGCTGAAAGCTGCGGACGGTCCTTTCCATCCTTGCTATCTTCGTCACCTCTAACTGAGCGGCGAGTTGAAGGCGATGGATGAGGGAGAGCGCGACTCCGAATGAATCTGCGGCTCAAATGCTGTGGGAGAAAAATAACGTAGTTCCGAGGTATCACAGAACGACTGTAGGCCTGAGATAGTCCATGGCAAATGTACGGCCTATGCATCAGCTAGGCATTGTTGATCGGAAGTGTGCGTCGTTTGTGTCAATGCTATTCAAACGCGACCAAAACCGACTTGACTTTGATGAGCCTCCACGGAAAGATACGCAGGCAGTGAGTTCAGCAAACATGCCAAGATCGATTCGGCGAGTATGACGTATCATCTCCACAGCCTTGCGTGAGTTGAGCACAAGGCTGAACTCCTTATGGGCTGGAGGCTAAGGGTAATGCATCAAGAATAATCCTGCTATACATAGGTACTCATCGGATCGCCACGAGTGTGGATTCTATACTAGAGCTTCGTCGAAGACAATTGCAGAACGCTCGCACTTCAAGTTCTCAGGGTGGTCCACCTCATCGAATCAGAGCTCACATCAATGCAAGCACGATCAGTGCTCATCATAGCTTTTCCTGAACATGACACGGACTGATCCATAGCTTTACGGATTGGAGGGAAATAGAATTGATCTTGATTGTACTAAGTCTCACAATTCCCCATGTCAGATCATCACTCGGCCCTGCAAATCCCCAAGATAGCCTTGCTACTATGTACCTTCTTGCGGCCCGACTGTGAACTACCTTCAGAAGGCCTTCACCACATCGCATGTCTTGCCTTGCTTCACTTTGCCAGGGTCATCTCCAATTCTACTGCATTTGTAGCTACCATCTTCTCCTCGTTACACTCAGTATCACTTTTTGAATCTTCCACAATGCCGTTCTTCTGCTCCTGCAGCTGTTGGTCGTTCACAGTAAGCTCACCTTCCAGAGTTAAAGCATAATCTTCTCTTTGCTTCCTATAGTTCGCGAGCCAACGTTAGCCACGTAGGGCGGAGTTATGGAATAGAAACAGGGATTGGCAACGTACCTGAAATAGCGGATGTCAAAGAAGCGCAGGACACACGTCATGATAATTGCAGTTGCCAGGAGGGCTGCGGATGCTTCCCAGCCATATTTGTCTGCACAACATTAGCCGGTGATTATGCGGCAAAACCAAAGGGCAAGGTTGTTCGTACAGTGGGGGGCTTGCTTCGCTGGCCACATGAGAAAGTTTGACCAAGCGGCAATGGCATAGTCTGCGGCAATAGTGGCGCCCACAATGAGTGCTCGTCCCTCTGGATCTTGTGGAATGCTTTGATGTGCTTTAGTTATTAAGATTCCTTCAATGATACATGTCAATATGCAGGAGAAAGACTCACATATCCGCAAGCCATGAAAATATCAATGGGGCCGTGCCCAGAACCATATAGTTGATGAAGTAGCTGGCGTAAGCTGCAGAGAGGCTGACTTGATCGGGATGCGAAGTCCATACACTCATCGTGATAGCGGGAATCAATCCAATCGTGGCTTGAACCACTATCAATGGCCAACGAGTCTGCAAGTGGTCGGAAAGGAATGCCCAAAACCAGACAAACACAACTTGGATTGAGCTTCCACCGATCGGTATGGCATTAACCTTGGCAACGGTCCAGGTCTTTGTACCATCCTCATTTTTCAGGCTTCTGAGGAACAGTCCAAAGTACGTCCAACCTTGATTCCCTATGACTGTGCAGATATACAGCACAGCCACACAGTAGGTGAGGTAAGAGGAGAAGGTGCGTCTTCACAAGTGTCAGTATCATTGAACTCGGGAAGATCCCATGTTCCAGCTAATTTCTCACCTGGCTCCAGCCCAAGTTACGGGCTTTGGCTCGGCACGCCCGTGGCGGGTGAGTCGGTGAAGAGCGATTTCAGCGTGGTCTTTTGTGAACCACACAGCTCTAGGATTCGGACGGTTTGGGTAGTCTGGGAGCATGAAAAATCCAGCAAAGCCCCAAACAACAGTGATGACCGAGTTGATTATGAACAGCCACCTGAGATTGGAGATTAGCAGAAGTTACGTAAAATGACAACATTAGGATTCACACGCACCTCCATCCGGGCAGGCCGCTTCGGCCCTCAAGGGTGCTACTGATTGCTGCTTGGAGAGCGCCAGACATCATGCTACCGACCGCTTGGCAGGAGTGGTAGAAGCCCATTCGTTTTGCAAGCTCAAGAGGAGTATACCAATGCACTGTGTGACAAAGATCAGCACGTGCAGCAGTGTGAGGCGTTTACAATTTGGTCAAGGACCAATTTCGAGTAGTAGGGGTTCCAAAAATACTTACTTAAGAGAGTCATCATTCCCGGCCAGGCACTGCTCTCACAAAGTCCAAGGAATGTACGAATTGCATAGACTTGCTTCGCATTATGGGTCACGGCCAGAAGACCCGTGAGAATTCCCCAAGTAATCTCCAACCCAGATAGCCAGAAACTGGGGCGAACGTATGTGAGAATAATTTGAGACGGGACCAGCATGATGCAGTATCCGATATTGAAATAAGTTGTGAAGCTGTTTTAAATTAGTTCCACTACTGTGAGCAATGTTCGCCAGATAACATACTAGTTGAGCTCATTGCCATAAAGGTGAAGATCTTCTTTCATTCCTGATACGTAGGCATTCTGAATGTTCGTCTGATCGAGGAACCTGGCATAGTAAGAAAACACAGGCTGTCTGTCTGACACAGGTGGCATACTTGATAACTACTCAGAATCAGTGAACGGCGACCTAGATTGGTTAGCTGGCGTAGGGACAAGCCTACCTTGCGAGATACAACCAAAAGTCAACAAGAAAGTATCAAGACGCCTGACTAGACCACGCTCAGCAGGGCTATAGACTCCCTGAGCAGCTTTGGCGGAACGGAAGAAACGGAGAGAAAGCATTCTTGGGTTTGGAAATTTGGGCTTCAAATATTGTATTCGTCATGAAATGATGTGGATGACAATAAGATCATATATAGATCCTGTCTAATGTAGTCGTGTCCCTTGACCCGTTGGGGAAGTGTTGAAGCAAGTGATCCTGATCTAGGCAAGTGGGCATATTGAGCGGGAGCGGGAGTCTTCGAAAGCATACTTGATTGGCGCGGACGACGCCGCCTGGTGGGCGGCGATAGGTCCGCCAACCAAAGAAAGTGGTTTCTGCGCAGCTCAAGTCGGTCTTCCATTCCGTCTAGTTAGCTAAGCTAGCTGAGAACAGGAAAAGTCAATATTGACCTTGTTGAGACTATGAGTTCATTTCAAAAGTCGCCTGATTCTACCGAGTAACAGTTGCGTTGGCGGAGCCATCCGCCCATGATTGTTGCCAACTGGATCGACATTTTGGTTGCCCGTTCGAGTGAGGAGTCGGTAAGCACCGCCATTCATATGTGCATTGTCATTTACTTATCACTGCATCGGTTTCGTCCAAACGGATATTGGGTATATGGGGTGAACTGCGTGTCTCGAATCCGTTTCATTAATCCGTGCGCCTCATCAACCAGCGGAGGCAAATTTTCAAGATGTCTAACAAGATAGAACCCGTGTCTGAAAGCAAGTCCTTTCCAGATTCCGTGATCATTATCGGTGCCGGCGTGTTCGGATTGTCAACAGCGTTAGCCATTGCAAAACTCCATCCTCTGACAAAGGTCACCATCGTCGATCGTCTCACTCCACCTGTCGCTGATGGCACCAGCGTCGACACCACGAGATGTATTCGTTCAGGTATGATGGCATCCCCTCTTCATTAAGCCTTGATGAAGGGACAACATGAGATGGCGATTCGCGTGGATGGAACGACTTGTCAGCTAATCGTGGTAGATTACCTCGATCCGATATATGGACGACTTGCAAAACAATCCCAAAAACTGATCCAAGAAGATCCCGACCTTAGAAAGCACCTCTTCCAGCAAGGTATGACTTTTGTCTGCGACGGCCAGCCAAGTCGCTTCACAGAAGTCTGGCGATCTCAACTTGAACGTGGAAAGTCTTCCAATCCTGCAAACTATGAGGAACTCATCACTCGCGAAGAAGTCTTCCAGCGAATCCACGGCAAAGACTCTCGACCCCCTCCTTTGTCGAGCATTGGTGGAGAAGCACGTTGGAAGACTGCGTACTGTAACATCGAAGATGCATTTATCGATGCTAAAGAATCCATCCAGATATATTATAACCGTTGTCTAGCGACTTCAACCATCGATTTCCTTTGTGGGTCAGCTGTTGAGCGAATCCTCGTCAATGATGACAAAGCTGAAGGAGTTGTCCTGCAAGATGGAGCCGTCATAATCGCTGAGATGGTGATTGTGGCAGCGGGGGCTTGGTCAAACAGACTGGTCTATCTCGGAACTCGAGTGGTCCCAGTCGGACATGAGGTGGCTTGGATCAAGGTGTCCGCTGAAGAGGAGGCTCGTTGGAAGAACATGTCGATAACAACAAACATGAGCACTGGACTCAACATATTTCCGCCATATAACGGTGAGATCAAGATCCTTCGCAGATCGCCAGGTTACAAAAACACGACAATAATCACACACCCAGAAGATCCCTCGAGGAAAATCCAGATCTCATATCCCCGGACCATCGTCAGTAATCCTAACGATGTTATCCCGAGTGATGCTGAGGCTGCAATGAGGGATAATCTCCGAGAGATCATGCCAACTCTTGCAGACCGGCCTTTTGACAGAAGCAAAATATGCTGGTATGTTCAACAACTCCCTGTCTTATTCTAATGTTGAGAAATAGGCGGGCTAACTAGAGAGCGATCGACAGGATAAGTACGACTCCAACAGCTGACTTCCTGATTGCTCCCCATCCGCATATCACTGGTGTACATCTAGCCACTGGTGGATCCGCCCATGCGTGGAAATTCCTTCCCCTTATTGGTGATTGGGTAGTCGCATCAATCATGGACGTCCTTCCGCAGGAGCTGGTGGAGAAATGGGCCTTTGACAGACACACGGGTGACAGTGATCAAAATGCACCTCGTATGGATGGTGAACCACAAGAACTCCGCGACATAGTACGCTATCGTCTCTAAGTTGCCCACTCATCATAGCTTCTTGCATAGATATCAACCACTCTCAAGAATGAGGCCCGATACGATCAGGTAGAAGTCAAAAGCTTCTACGCCTTGATAGTCAAGTTCGAGGCATTCATGGCTTATTCATAGAATTCTTCAACTAGTAGTGATTTGAGAAATGAAAATTAATCTCGCCAAAGACATGGCATTTGCATTTCTGGGGAATTGGCACCTCGAATTGCTCATGTCCATGCAGGAACGAGAAATTCATTCGTGGTCTGAAAAGTTTCCCAATCAAAAGCGATCTCGTTAAAGTCAGGAAGTGAAAATTCCACTTCAGAAGCAGAGCCATGGGGTGTAGGTTCAATCCCACCATGTTGGATCATGGGACCTCTGATGCCTGAGCTCGCCGTCATCCGAGAATCGTTTGCTCCTTCAACCACGAACGTTGGAACTGAGCTGTAACTTATACTCGGAGCAAAATCGATGTATCCTTCATTGTTGTGCACTTGTGCCGGGGCTGTACCCATGGAGTGATTGCTTGGGCTGAGATCAGCCAACACTTTAGACGCAGTAAGATCAAAGGCGTCGCGTTTTCCTTTGAAGTCTGGAAAATGTTCAACCATCCCCCAGAGGACAGAGGAGCAGATATTGATCAACGATTCAAGAGAGCGCAGAGTGAGACGTTCTTGAACTCGAGGAGACGAGACATAGCTAAACATCAGAGCAGTTCCTGCTGAAGACAGGTTTTCGACTGCTTGCCAGTAAATGGTAAGCCTGTGGTCGCGAAAGAATTGGCGATATAGCTCAATCATCTTAATGGCAGCTTCTGCCATGAGCAGTAGAGACATCTCGGGTGGCTCTGGAATATTTAGTGAGGGTTGGTACAGATAGAACAGCGCGCGATGGAATGTGAGTTCGAAATTCTCGAGGATTCTTCGCTCACGAGTTCCAACATCGTCATTGCGAGGAGTATCCTCGTACCAGGTTTGGATTCGACGATGCATCGCACTCTGCCACTGGCTCAAATCTCCCGGGGCACGAATAGGAAAAGGCTTCTCGTTAAGAACAGTTTGCATTTCTGACTGGATCTGGCGGTATCGGAAAACATGGTGGCTGATACATTTTGCTTTGAAGGGGGAGTCTGCACCTTCGACTATTCCGTTTGACGTGATATTGTCATCCTCAGCTTGACTTGGAAACTTAAATCAGTTAGTAGCCATTGTTCAGACAAAATAAGTACGCATACCTGGGCAGTGATAGCACCATCAGACAGGCAGGAAGGCATGGTAAGCGCGATAGAGATATTCCTATCCATGGCATAAGCTACCCAAAATGACCTTCTCATCGTGTCCAGCGTTAGAGGATCCACTTTATCTAGTGTCGGTTCCCTGTGAAGTCCTAACTCCACTGCGAGACGCAAAGCCGCACCAACAGTTTTCCAGACAGCCCAAACGGTTGGATGATGGTAGCAATACTGCCCGACAAGAAGGAGTGCTTGCACCCCCTCGACGTCACTGGGCAGCCCTGCCTCGTTGAGTGCTCTCACAGCAGCTCTATGGTACCGATCTGCCAGCGATGCTGGTATTCTTGAAGGATCCTGCTTTTGAATTGTCAAGAGAGCAACAGCGAAAACCTCGAAGACGAAAAAGACGGCAATCCTGGCTTCTGTGGTTGTATGAACGTTATTCAAATCCACAACGTTCGACATATTGTAGAGAAGGTCCAATTTCTGCACGAAGGTTGGCTCATGGAGAAGTGGAAGGCTGAGGTTCGCGAATTGGAAGTATGATTTGATGAGGGTCTGAGCAGCTTCTTTGGTTGGAAGTGAAACAGGTGAAGTATCCAATCCGCTTATCATAACATGCTCCGCTGTCGCAAAAGGGTCTTGAGCTCTCACACTTGGCTTCTGTTTTAGGTTCATGAGTTCGGCCAGAAGAATCCTGGAGAAAGTGGACTCATCCTGAGGACGGCGTGCTGATAGGTCTATGACCTTGTCTGCGGTAGTCTGAGCGTCCAGCGCAGATGCATTGTGCGTCAACATCGCTTCCTGAAGTGAATGGGACGGTGGTCGAGGAGGTTGTTGTGTGGACACCACACTGGGAGGCGTGGCCTTCTCAGCTGTCTCGATCTCCCTTTCATTGATTCCGTGTTGTCGTAGCTGCAATTCCAGATACGCGACTCTCTCTTCGAGACTGTGCACATAGCTATTCAAGGCCATGTCAGTCGATTTCTGCTCGAGCGGACAGCTTGATAACCTGACCTTCTCGGTACATGTCTCTTGGTCAATACATCATAACCCACACATTCAGCGCCAGCGTTCTCGCATAAAGTGCATCGCTGTAGTAATGATAAACTAGGATCAGCAAACGTCTCGTACGACAAGTTCTTTATATCGAAAGTACGTACAGGTAGCTTTTGGTCACATCGCTTTTTCTTCCGTCGACACCGGATGCACGCCGTGATATTTGACCTAGCTAGTGGCGGTGGCCTACTCTTGCCGATATCATCTTCGGCTGCTATGGCAGGAGTCATTTACATAAGGCAGTACTTGCTTCGACTGTCAAGCGACCAAGGCAAGAAGCAGATTGTCTCAACGGCGACGGGACGCGACTCGGGCGGGGTAGGAAGTTAATTGCTCTTCAGGCCGGATCTAACCACCTAACAATCTTAATTAGAGGTCTCTAAGCGCTGCCTGTTTTAATGCTCGGGACGTGCACTAAAGTGCTAAAAATCGTACAAAGTGATGAGCACACTGTCTACCTAGGAAGTTACATACGTAGATAGCTACCTTGGGAAATAGGTATACTTCAACGAGGCACTTTCTCAGGCAAGCATTTTGAGAGCAGACCCAAACGAGGAAAATGCTACCATTTTTGACTGATGTTTGCATTCAATATTATACATATATTCTCTGAGAATAGATCGAAAGGGGAGGGTTCCACCTCCAAACGTATCTCTAGCTAGAGGAAGGCCAGCTGCAATGGACTGTCAGTAAACAAATGAAAACCCCTAACCCGCCAAAAATATCAGGTCGCTGGACATGATACATAAATTTTTGCTGCGAAGCGGACGATATGGGCCGGGACCGGAGCCCTGGTCGTTAAGCAACATACTGTGCTATTTTCAGTCCCGTGCATCTCTAGTCAGGATCGTCGACCTTCCAGTCTCAAAACTGAGCCGCGGGCTGCAGTCAACGATACTGCTCTCAGTTGCATCATCCGTTGTGCTCGCTGAAGAGCTGAATCCGTGCACGACGGTCACTTCGCCTTCGAGTTGCTCTTCATACCCGGGGGGTGGTGGGGGATAAGGGGGAAGAGTTTCAGACATCTGACTACTGCCAATGACAGCATCATATAGGGGCGAGGTGTATGGTGATTGGGGATTTGATTGGTATCTGGCTGGGAGGGCTCGATGCTCAGCTTGGACACGTCCTTCTTCCGCGGCGATCAGATTTCTGACCAGGTCGGTGGCATCGCTGAGAGTGAGGATTTGTCGTTGCAAGGTGTCTTGCGAGATGCCCTCCTGTTCCAAGATCATCTCTCTTTTCTCTTCGTAGTCACCAGTCGCTTGTAGTTTAAATTGCCTCCACCATTTACGCCATGCGTGCTGACATGCGGCCTTGCGGTAAAGTCTTTTTGTATAGCGTTCCTCCCGACGTGCAGCTAGCTCAGCTCGACGCCTTGGGTCTCGGAGGAATCGTACAACACGAAATGTTAGACCTCCGATAAGAGCTAGAAGGATCAGAGACACCACTGCTAGTGTTAGATGACGTCTGAGCGAGGCCTGTATGCGACTGGTATCGATTTGGAAAGTTGCGATACCGGACGTCCCGGTTGACTGAACCCACGGCGTATCTCCATCGTCGTTGGGGGAAGACTCTGATAGTCCTTTTGAGTCGAGGCTTTCCAAGTCTTCAGATTCGTCGATCGGAGGAGAAGGTGTTGGAGATGAAGCCGCAGAGCTGCTTGAAATTTCGGGCTTTGTCTCTACATTTTCAGGAACCTCTGCTGTTTGCGGTGGTTTTTTCTGCATGGGAGAGAGGTCTTGAGCTTGTGTTCGGCACGGAGACTGAGCATCCCCCTCTGTACACCCAGACACACGACTTGGATGGTGTGAAAAGTGTGCGGTGATCAGCTTGCAGATACCAGGAGCTTTACTCTTCGCAGTGTCCCAGATGCACTTGAGGCTTGTGCAAGATCTGAATTCTTCTTTGACTAAAGACATGATTGTCGATTCAGTCATCAGTAATTCTTCGTGTAGGTCGGCTAATTGCGCCTTCAGGTCGTCCAGCTTCGCGTACTGCAATTCTAATGTATTGTCAATCACGGCTACGCTTTGTGGAGCAGCAGTAATGGATAGTTTTGAAGACTCGTCGGGGTTTAGCCACATATCACATATATGGGAATCGTCGCTCAAGTTCTCGACAGGTCTGTCCTGAAGACGTAAGACTGTAGGCTGGCCCTTTTGTTTGAAGGAGGTGGTGAAACCAGACGCGCCGGTGACACCGATATCTCCATTTAAGTCGTCGAACCGGACGGAGAGTATCGACGCCTCTCCCTTCAAGCATATCGATTCCCAAAAGGCATGAACTTCCTTTTCGCCCACACCATTGGAAGGTTTTGATTTGAAGATGAGTTGGCCTTTGGTGACCTGGTTGCCGTTACCATTGTTCGTGGTCAAGGGCAATCCATTGAGGCGAGGAGGATTGCTTGTGCATTCCTCATCGGCGGAGTCGATCTCGAGGGAAAGTTCCTAAGAGTCGAGTCAACGAGACTGCAGGTACTTATACAGCATTAATATGAACCCACCACGCCATCATCGGTGCCGGTGAAGCACCCTTGACAGGGAGCACTGAAATTGATAGAGACATAGTCCGATCCTATGACGGTGAGTGGGTTGGCATGGACAGCAGCGAAGGGCAGCAATGTTTACCTGTTGTACCAGCAACAGTCGTGATGTCCTTTGCAGAAGAGTTGGAAGTGGGTGAGGAGGAGGGAATGATGGCAGCCGAAGCAAGAGAAGAAAGAAACGCAGCAGCCTGAGCTAAGGTGGACTTCATTGTGATCCGTTCCAGATAATTGTCATCAAACTAGAAGATACCGATCCGATGGATGCAACCACCCAGAAAATATCCAGTCATGAACATACAAAACGACACAGATGCTGACACTCCGAATGGTCGAGGAACCAGTATTCATTTACGACTCCATAGTTGCGACCCCCAGGGCACAGAAAAGTGCTTCGAACAAGAAATGACGATAGGAGATAAGATGTTCTGATAGACCGGAGATCAATAAGAGACTCGAAATTCAGGAATCAAGAATCATGGATGAATGGGTTAGGAGTGTATGATGTGGGGGAGAGAGAGAATTGGACGGCTCGCGTTTTCGCTGGAGCCTGAAGTTGGAACATACGATATGGACTGGACCGGTAGATGGACTTGCATGAAGGCGCGTCTGGGCAGTTTAAGTCCTGCATCTGTCAGCTCCGTGGCCGGGCTCTCGGGTTTTGGCACAGCCCCGAACCCGTTACTGGCTAGCCCTAATTCAGTGTCTTCTCTCCGCCCAAAAACTGGACTCTCATGCAACTTTTGGGGGCCAACCGCGGAGAGTTTTTATGACCACTGGCAGCCTCAATTAATTGCTCAAATCACGTGACATTTGGAAAAGCCAAGAACTCAACTTGCCACTATTCCATTCTCGTCCCCATTCTGCGAATCAGCCATTTCTGGACATGGCATCACGATTCGCAATAATCCTGTAGACCAGTCGATACTTAGTCGAGCAATCTAGATTCAACGAAATTGCTTCAACAATCCAGCCTGCCATAGGCCCAAGAGTGGAACACTTAAACTCGTCTTTGGCCCAGTTACTCTCTTCACAATCATGGTAGAACAAACGAACTCTCGGCCGCGTAATTAACTAACACATCAACAGCTTCCGTTAGGCTTATTAACGGCGGCGCAAGGGCATCCGATGCTCGTTGAGTTGAAGAACGGGGAGACACTGAATGGACATCTTGTCAATTGTGACACATGGATGAATTTGACACTCAAGGAAGTCGTCCAAACCAGCCCGGAAGGCGACAAATTCTTCCGGCTCGCCGAAGTCTATGTCAGAGGCAACAATGTAAGTTCCCGATATCTTGTCGTAGGGCAGTGGTCGCATTGTCACTGGCTTTGTACTGACCTGCTCAAAAGATCAAATATTTGCGGGTACCAGAAGAAATTATTGACCTGGCTAAGGAGCAACAACAGCATCAACAACAAGGCAACCAACGTGGACGTGGAGGTCAGGGCCATCGCGGAGATCGAGGAGACAGAGGAGATCGGGGTCGGGGTCAAGGGCGAGGTGGCCGTGGTCGCGGCAGAGGAAGGGGACAAAGTTGAGGTGTCATCAAATTATGGAATCAAGTCAGGAGCGATTGCCACATTTCTTGCTATTGGAGAATTTGGTACTGGTAGAAGCGTATCTTCCTCTCGATCAACATTACAATGGTCTAGCACGAACTTTCAGGTGCTCCCAATGATAGCATCAGGAGAACCTGTGAGGGATTCACAACCATTACTTCCAATCCTGGCTACAACAATATGGTCATCAAAGGCCAACACGATCTGCCTTGAGGCTCGATGTTGTTTCCTCCTGGGAAGTCAACCCTTCGAATGACACCATTGAACGACCCAGACTCCACCGCTATGCTAGTCCAGAAGAAACATCAAAGCTACCCGAGTAGCGAAATGTACCCGAAATGCCTCAATTAATGAAAAGAGAAAATTCTCAGACACCGGAGTTTCATGTACTTTTATTGCCGTAAGATATGCTCATCGTTTGCGTCGTAGCTCATCAGCGAGACATTTCAGAACCTGCTCGAACAATTAGTCACGCCGAACATTAAAATTGCTGGTAGAATATCTGACCTCTCCTGAAACAACACCTTGATTGTACAGGTATTTGGAAAGCCCCTTGACAACATCGATTTGTTCTTCGACTGTCAGACCAACAATGGCAGTCTCGATAACACTGCCCACATTTGCTTTGTAGACTGCGATAAAACTCTGATAGTACATGTAGGAGAAGACGCCCATGATGAATTGACAATCCATGCGATCTGTCATGCCACCATGGCCGGGAATGCTGTCACCAAAATCTTTGATTTTAAAAGTTCTCTTCAATCCGGATGCAAAGAAACCTCCAAATGGGGCTATTAATGATGCGAAGGTTGCAAATATGAGGATGTGGAATTGTATTGGTGCAATTCGAAAGATTCGATCTATGCCAGCCCAACCAAATAGATTATAAGGTCGACTGGCAAAGACAGGGTTTGGTGTACATTGTAAGCCAGTGAAGATATTTGCTCCAAGGTCGTTTACCGGGCAGATAAAGTATTTGTAGCGCATCAAAATATTGGTGAGGGCAAATCCAAAAAAGATGGTGCATACCCAGGCCCCCACGAAGCCCTCGACTGTTTTCTTTGGAGAGATCTTGATAAGCTGGGTTCTACCAAAGGTGATTCCGCAAATATAGGCAAAAATATCGTTGGTGACAACCAAGGAGACCGGTAGGAAAAACCAGATTAGACCTTCCAAAACATTGTTCATCATGAAATGAGCCTGAATGACAATGAGGAACAGTGCCATGTGCGTCCACGCGAATTGGGTGAATTGGAACTTGTAGTAGCCCTTCTGGAGAGATGCCACGAAGAAAACGAATCCTGTTCATGATATCAGTACTGGTTTTGGCCGGAGGGGTGCATAATCCTCACCGAAAATGTACATGGTAAAGCTGATGAAGCGATGATGAGTCGCAAATGGGAGCAAAACCTTATCGACCAAGAGAATATGCTTGAAGTAGTAGATCACGCTTTCACCATAGACAAAATACATGGTGATGGCGAAGAAATACCAGTTTAGAGACTTTGTAAGTGGGAGATTCTTCTGCTTAGTTGGAACTTGCGCAATAGCGATCACTTCCTTGAAAGAGATTATGAGAACTGCAGTGATAACCATGAGTACGTATATGTGCCCAGCGAACATGGCGCCAAAGAAGCCGGATATCATGGCCAAGGTCCATATCGTTCTGGTGATAAAGGTGGCCTTCTTTTTCTCATATTCGGATGGTTCGACATGCTTATCTGACTTCTCAACCGACCCGTTCCTCTTGGGATCGACGTCTTTGATGGGACTAGGGGGCTCGGATGAACTTTCACTTGCAGTGGAGGAGTTCTGGCGATGATGGTCGCTCTGGCTAGTGCCATTAGACCGATGTTGAAATTTGACACCTTTTTGTCGCGGCATGTTTGCAGATGTGTTCAGCGCAAATCGCAGCTGCGAAAAATGCCGTCGAAGGAAAAGTGCGCTGCTAGGACGTGGAAGTGAATGGGGTGGAATGGAACAGCGGAAGACGAGAAGTAGAGATCACACTTCTGCACGTGCTGACTTTGGATGCCTAGCGTGGAAGCGACGCGTTGGGCTCGGCAAGGGCGGACAGGCCAATTGAGGTGGCACGAAAATCAAATAAGGATGATCGGTTGACTGTTGCTTCGCAGACAAAAGTAACAGTGCATGAGGGTTAGATGATGCTGTCAGGATAGAGAGAAATCCAACTAAATCAAGGTTGTAGGTAAAGTTTCTACATGATGGGCAAACTGGGCACCGACCACTGATTGATGATGAAGGCGCCGAAGCTGCCAAATGCCAGCTGCGTCATTGTCTGCAGCTTTTAGCGTTGGTTTGGCTTCTAGGGTATCTTTAGGGGCTGGTCTGAGAGAACTCGGGGATAAGACAGCCCTGAAGCAAACAGCAAGGGTACCAATGGCTTTCACCATCTGCCAAATCTTGAGCCCCGCAGGCACCGGGAAGTCGCTTTCCTCCGGGTGCCACAACAGGAGGCGCAGTAGTGTAGATTGCCCGTGGCCACGTTTTATCGGAACGGATTATCTTATCTGGCGCATTCCATGACTCGCGTTTTACTCAACGATCAACGCGTGCCACTGCTTCACACCAAAAGAACCCCCACAGTACTATTCTGTTCCATGTCAATACCAATCAATATCCCTTTGCCTAGACCTTTATTCTGTCCCATTCTCCATGGAGGATGAATGGCACGGTAGGCAACGAAGACGAGATCGATCTCTTCGACGATGACGACGATTTCGATGATCTGTCGGAGTCCGCTCTTCAAGAACTCGAGCAACATGCAATTCTCTCAACGCAACAACAGTCCTTACAGCGTAATGCCCTGGTGAAGCCTACCTCGTATCCCCCGCCTCGATCCAATCTCACCAGACGCTTGCCAAATCTCTCGGAGAACTACCTAGAGGACGAAAGCTTTGAACTCCTCGGGGACGAAGGAGTGGCTACCCCCGTCGAGGAGTATGCTTCTTTTATAGCACGGCCGCAAGTGCGAGGTGAGACTGCGCAGAGAGAACAGTTTCGACAACAACGCTATGGCGATAATCACTTCAGGTCTGCTCCGACTCTGAACAGACAACAGGTGCAGCAGCAAATACCTGCTGCGCAGGCCACACCAAGTGATGGACGTTATCCTGGCGTGTCCACAAGACTTGAAGAAACGATGATAGATCAGCCTTCACAACGAGTGAATATGCCTCCGGCAGGTGGCCACATGCTTCTCGGTGACCAACTTGAAGACTTGCTCCGAGAACGTGACCAATTGGCCAAAGATCTACGAGCTGCCAATGATGCGATGTCCATGCAAAAGGGTGAAATCTCAATTATACGTGCCAATGCCGAGAAGGAGAACAAGGTCTACGATCGTCAGTTGAATGCCCTCAAGAAGTCAATCGAAGAAGAAACCATCAAACACCAGGCCGCAATGGACGCCATCGCTGAGAAGAATAGACAGTTAACAACTCGTTATCAGTTCCTTCAACAAGAACACAATCAGGAGGTGCAAGACGTCAAGGCTTTGAAGCAACGACTGAAAGACCGCCCCGAAGCAGAGCAACAACCCACCATTACTTCAACTCCAAAGCGAGGAATGGGTGGGTCTCTGAGAGATGGCTTCGAAGACGATGATATCATGTTATTGTCGCCCTCAAAATCTGCCCGTAGGTCCAAACCCAGTACCCCGACAGCTGCCAATAGGAGGAAGAGGAAGGCCGGTGGTACCAGTCCCGTCAAATCACTTCCGTTAAGATTATCGGCACCCGATCCGCTTGATATGGCGCCTCCACGGCCACCAGTGCCCCAGCCAGAAGACCATTCACAAATAACGATACGAAGGGATCCTCGAGCAGAGCGAGACTTGCTTTTCTTACAGAAGATTCTTGATTACCGTGTCAAACCATCACGAGAGATGCTTCTAGAAAGTCTAATGAAGATTTCCTTACCTTCAAGACCTTCGAAGACATTTTCAAGTATTCTCCTAGAGCGCATTGCTCACATGAAGGATAAACGTGTTGCACATGATCTTCTACAGATCTTCATTGACCTCTGGTCAAAGTCACTCAAGGAACAGTACTATCAACCCATTTCGTTGCTAATAGAGATTGTGGGTTACATCATAGAGGTCGAAATGTTCGTGTTGACGAAGGAGAATATCACGACCCTAGTGCCCTTGTTGCGAGCCTCGATAGCCTTGAACGCTGAGAAACGCTTCAAGCATTCTCCTGTGAACCATTCCTCGTTTGGCAAATTTAGTGCCACACCACAGGCTGCCCTGAATCATGATGTCAATGGAACTGCCTGTCTGGAGTTGCTGCTCGATATAGCATATATCATCTCAGATGAACCGGAACTCATCGACCTCTTCTGGCGGCTACTGGACTATGAATTCCTCCTCATGATGCTGAACTCATGGCAACCAATATCTGACATCATCCTCAACCTCCGCCTTCTGGCAACCTCCATCTTCCCGACCACTTTCGGCAGCATCGCTAGCACACCAGAAGAACAGGACAAGATTGAACATTGGATCATCAATCGCGTCTGCTGGCTGTTGTGGGAAACCCCAAAGGTCGACGAAGGTCTCCCACCCAACTCAAAAGACCAACTCTGTCAACTCCGCCTCGAGGTCATGGAACTCCTGACCCGAATCGCCATCACCTCCTCGCCATACCCGCACGACGATCCCAACCATCATGGCAGCCTGCTGATTGCGTCGGATGCCCACGCCATCGCACGCATCGTGCGCTCTCTGTACGACGAAGTTGCCGCAATGTACCTCCTGACGCCGACGCACACCCAGCACGCCGAGATCGTGAACCGCGGCATTCGTGTCCTCTACCACGTGCTTACAATGCACAACGCGAGCATCGACTTACAGGAGAAACTCTCGCTCATCAACGGCGGTGTGCACAAACATCGCGTAGTCCTGACACGTCTGGCGTTCAGCCAGGGCTTCTACGTTGACAGATTGATCACGGATGAAACAGTCGCGATGGCCACAACCATGTTGGAGGACAGCGTCACTCCCGATGAAGCAGACGAGCTCATCGAGGCATTTCCTGGGTTCAGGGGCAGAGCTACATATAGTCAGGAGCAGGGTGTTGAGAGGATGGATATAGAGGATACTTGAGTCGCGAAAGGGGTGGGTCCGAGGGACATGACGTGGCCATGATAATGACCTTTCCTTCTTTTGTCTTTCTCGGTGCTGTTAGTTTATACTAAGAATGAGAACAAAATTATTTACATAACACCGAATGTGTGAATGTGAACAATACATCAGTCTTCATTTCCAACCCAAGTGAATTAGGCAATTAGCATTAGATTCATTTTTATCCTATCCTGCGGCTGAAGTGTAATAATGCAGCCCGCGCTACCAGCAGTCCCGACGAAGCTCCTGTAGGAACAGCTAAACAACGTTTATCATTAGAACGAGTACACTTACAATTAGTAATACCCGCGAAACACTACCCAGCATTATACAAGAGAAACGCTTGATAGCTCTTCTTCGCTTGCCTGACTTATCAGGCATTTTTGTAGATAATTTCGTGAAACATGCCATCATCATTTTTCGGGGCTGGGGAGAACTCGATATCAATTTGGGCCCTCCGCTCAGGTAGCTCAGTGGATACATCAAGCAATTAGTTGTCATCCCTCTTCGGGAGCTGGAGAATATAGGGCAGCCCCCGTGCGGCATCCCCATCCTCTGGGCGAGCAAGACGTATAACGCTACCCGCAGCCGTGGATCGCTCACTGCTGGTCCTGCTCCGTCGACTGGCACCAGAGCGGCCAGATCGCACAGAGCTATGTGACCGCGTAGTTTGCAGCCGAAGCCCGAGGCCCTGGCGCGAATGAGCAGACACAAAGCGCGAGCTCGAGTTGCGACCGGACAAGGTGGGCCGGGAGATGGATCGCTGCGTGTGCGTCGGTGCCGTGCGGAGCGAAAGGCGATCCTCTTCGTCGTCTTCTTCCTGGCTCCGATCGGCTTCGTCGTCGGATGCGTTGCCGTCGTTGGAGGTGGAGGTTGTGGATCGAGGGGGTGGGTTGCCCTGCTCATGATTATGGTTGCGATGGCCGTGGTCTCGTTCAAAGGAGGACATGGATGGGACAGAGTCTTCAGAAACACGTCGTGGGGGAGCGCCGTAATGTCGTACGGAGCCGGAGTCGGAGAACGTAGATGGTATGGAAGCTTTCTCTCCTCCATGTCGGTGGCTGTAATGATGGTGGTGGGGAACATGAGGTTGATGACGATCGTCTTGAACGTCTCGATGTATTATACTAGATCCATCAAATCCGTCATCAAATGATGAGGTATCCAAGTCAATTAACTCCAGATCGACAGGTCTCATACTGCGAAGGAGCTCGGCAAACATGCGCATCAGGACCTGAAAGTCTTGCTCCGATATTGGCTCTGGGGCAAATCGAGCACGCTCGTAGGCCGAAAGAAAAGCCACAGTGAGGGAGTTGTCTGGTGCGACCCCGAGATCGATCAGGTGTCGAAGATAGGATCGCATGCCCATTGTCCCAGCTCTTGAAAGTTCCTCAATAACCCGAGGATCGGGGAGTGGTAGACCATCCGGACCTGGCTCGACCAGTGGGTCGACTGGAACGAGACTAATGGCCTTTGCTTCGATCAAGTCGGTCAGCTCATCCACCACTGTAGCGTACTCAAGGTTTGGTGTTTCTTTTGCAGCAGGAGAAGACCAACCCGGGTGATCTATCTCCCCCCATCTCTCCTCAATGTACGGGCCAGTACATTCTCGTGATCGGCACATGGCCAACACCCTTGTGGCTGCAATCTGAGTTTCATGTTCAATCCTCGTGCTTCTTGGACGTGCCTGATATGCAATGACTGCACTTTTTGCCAGGCAATCTTGTATTAACTTGTGGACTCGTCTTCCGGGGAGTTCTTCCTTCTCAATCGGCATAAACGACTTTGGGATATCTTTGAGAACAGAGCGGTTGGTATAAATTCGGGATGAATAGATGAGAATGGCAATAAGAGCAGTGACAACATAGGCACCACTCATCAAGAAGATATCGAGCGTCCTACGTCGCTTATAGGATTCATAGATGGCATCTGCCGGGGTGACGCAGATGAAGCAGATGAGGAGTAGGAATACAATGGTGAAAGAGGTGCTGTAGAAGATGCGGAAGACAACCTGGCGCGCTCGTGCCATTTCTGGAAAGCAGACAATAGTCTCATCTTGAATGTACTTGTATTAATGGCGACACATGGCCGTGTGTCTGTCGTCTTGTCATGCTGGTGGGTTTGGTGACGCTGGCTAAGTTGGTGCTGGAAACAAACTATGCATATTAGTACTTTTATTCCAACGTAGAAGATACGCTTGGAACAGAGTACTCCGCCGTATATGCTTTTTGGTACTAGCATCGGGCTAAATCAAGTACTAGTAGCCCAGTCTAAGCCTGTTAACCTCATTCTCCTCCGCCTAAGAGATGGGTTCATCAATGTTGAGCGTCAGGGTAACTGAATACTAACATCGCATCTCAATTGTAAGCCCAATTATGGTGGTAAGCAGCTACTTGCAATTAGCAATCTTGGATCGTATCAATCATGCCAAAATATACCGAATATCAAAAGGTGTTCCGAATTGGTAAACTCAACTCTGGAAAGGCTCAATCACAGCCTCGGGCAAGAGATCGTAGCAGACGACCACAGTGGTCCTCAGACACAAACAACCAAAAGTAAGCCGACGTGGCACGATAGTCGGAGAGAGACATGACTGAATCTTGCAGTGACTCTTCTATTACCGTGCCCAGTATAGGACAAGATAGGACTTCAAAAGAACCCAAGACAAAGCAAAACGCCACAGACCTTTCACCTAAACTCTCGGAGGCTCAGCGCCGACTGCAACATCTAGAAAAGGTCGTTGCATCACTAGTCGATGCAAATGCAGTTCCTCTCAAGATTCTCGACCAACCAACGCCTCCTTCGAGTGATGAATCACTGAGCGGCAGTATGCGCATCAACAAACCTCCTGATATGCAAGCGCAGCAGGTCTCGAACACACCATTGATTGGTCGTCTGGAAGTTCGTGGACTTGAGGCAAATTACAGTGGGGGCACGCACTGGGAGACGATCCTAGCTGATGTGCTTATACTCCCTCCATGATAACCTGTTTGACGCTAACATTGATTGGGTAGATCAAAGACATTCAAGAATGTCTTGCCAATGAGGTACAGAACGAGGTATTGGAAACCCTGGCCTCTGCCACCGGTGAGGAGCCCGACATTGTATTCGGGGTCTCCGAACCAGTATTCCTAGCGGAGGCTTTGGAAATGTTACCGAGCCGACATGTGACGGACAAGTTGCTCTCCGTTTTCTTCAGTTCTCACCATTTGCACATTCGTAAGCTACAGTATTCGTTCTGATACTTTCTCCTGACGGTTTCAGCTTTCATCCACAGAGGGAAATTCTTGAGAGAGGCAAGATCACTGCCCCGCCAACTCAATGCACCAAGACTAACACTTCACAGTATGAGTCTTTCTGGAACGATCCTTCTTCAGTCCCATATCTTTGGATTTCGATCCTTTTTTCAGCGTTAGACCTTGGAAGCTGGGTTAGCTACATGTCAAATCTCGATGCTATTGAGCCACTTGAGCAGGTGGGCCCTCGACCATTACTCAGAATAGCTGGTCAGATTCTGGTCGCCGGGCAGTACCCAAAAGCCCGTCCGTATTCAGTCGAGGCAGTTCTCTTGTACGGCATTTGTAAATTCGTCCAGAGAGTGGACCACGACACTGAACCATGGTTGGTGATAGGAGTCGCGGCTCGCATGGCTGTGAGGATGGGGTATCATCGTGATCCGAAACATCTGCCACACATCTCTCCATTTGAAGGGGAGATGCGTCGAAGGACTTTTTCTATTCTTATGGCATTCGATCTGTTATTATCCTTCCAGGCCGGCCTACCTGCCACAATCCATGAGGATTCATGCGACACTGACCTACCAGGGAACTTGTTCGACGAGGACTTTGACGAGGACGCTACGGTGGTCCCACCATCACGACCATACACGGTCCCAACGCCCATGATTTATCACTGTTTCAAGGGAAGGTTGTGCCGTAGTTTCAGGCCAGTTTCCCGACTTGCTTTGTCACCTACAGTCCCAACTTACGAGGAAACGATGAAAGCTGACGCAGAGTTACGTCGGGGGCATGCATTGATACCACCCAGCCTCGCCATGAAACCCTGGTCTCTGTCCATAACGGATGAAGTACGGGTTATCATGCACAGATTCAACGTAGATCTACTATATCAATCCGGTATCATGATCATTCATCGCATGTATCTCAGCCATGAAAGGTGGAACCCGGCTTATGAATATTCCCGAAAGACATGCATTCAGGCGAGTCTAGCAATGCTCAAATGGCAAGCTGATGTTCATATAGCGACCCAACCGGGAGGGCAGCTCCGCAATTCCAAGTGGATGGCAACAAGCTTGACGCAACATGACCTCCTGCTGGCCGCCATGATTGCTTGTCTCGACCTGTATGAGTCGCACCGCCAGGGAGAAGTGGCAAAGATGACCGAAGCAGAACTGGAGGATCGACGGAAAACATATAATGCCCTCAAGGTTTCACATCACATATGGACCTTGCGAGGTTCAGGCTCTCGAGATGCAAAACGTGCATCCACAATGCTGGGAGTAATGATGGCTAAGATTCCAGATCCAAATGTGGCACAAGTTTCCGGAGTCGATAACCCGTTAGATGTTTCCCAAGAACAGGACACCACGATACCAGGATCCACCACGATAGCACTGTCGAATTTGTCCCTCTGGGAACAAGAACTGGGAGATCCATTCATGGGTACTCATGCGCATGGAGAACAAGGGCCAGAAAGTGCGGCCTTCGAAGCACTGCTCAGGGACGAGGAGGTCAACTGGGTAAGTACTATGGCACTGGTTTGAGATTGGATTGGATTAGCTGACTTGGTAACACAGTCCCTCGTTGACAAGTATCTCTTTGGTCGCGGCCAAGACGACTTTATGATGGGTGACCTTTAGGGGCGTCTCAAATTCGGTGTCATCGAGTCGTCTAGATCTCCGACACTCGTTTGTGATCTATTGTGATCTATTGTGATCTTTTCTTACCCCAGGGCAATGTAGCCAGCTGTCTCTCAAGCACGTATCAATGTGGGAACTCAGTTTCAATGGAGCCACAGGTCCGTTGTCACGACTTCTGCATACATTCTCTCTTACGATGACTTAGAGTAAATATCGAATCTGTTCACTGAGACATCAGCAGGATGTTCTGAAGGAGTGAAGACGACCGCTGAATGAAAACAGCACAGACATTCACATTAGTCATCAGAAGTTCGGGCCTATTTTTCCGAGGCGATTGTTTAGGAAGGTATCCCGAGTATTGCGGAACTACCTATTCGACGCCGAGCTACAGATTGACCTCGCAAGGGCCGTGGATTGACCCTTCTCTCCTCTACCATCCCACCGTAAACGACATTCCATCGACACGAAATGGGTGGAGGCGGCAAAGTTCCGTATCCGAAACATGTCTGGTCACCAGCAGGTGGCTGGTATGGGCAACCACACAACTGGAAGGGAAACACCATGATCATGGGAGGGGTTATTGCAGGCATCACGTTCCTTGCTTGGAGACTCTCTGCCGAAAGAGAGCACAGATACAAGTTCCCTGAGCCGGGCAGGTTCTTTCCAAGCCGATAGTGAGTTCACCTTCACCATTCGAGATCACCAGACAACAGTCGCGTTAGAAGACCAGCGATTTGGGGAATTCCCACCTGCTTTAGTCGCAGCCAGTCAGACACACAACGGCGGCATTCCACTTATCTTTCAAATGCAGATACTGACACCTCGCTTTAGTTGGAGTAAACAGATCATCGAGCATGAAAAGGCCCAGAAAGGACAATAGACTCGACCCCCCGATCGCACTCCATTTACCCATCGAGTACGATCTACTGCACCCAATGCTACGACTCATAACACCGAATTGTACATATTCCCAACATAACCGCTAAAATGTCATAAACGACGAGGACGGAAAGCAGCACGAAACCTGAAGCGCCAGCTCGTGTGGAATAAGCAGAAGAAGAACAGCGAGAAACCCGACATGGAGGCCCTAGCGCATTCTGTATGTACCATTGAGAAAACCTGAGGCGATTGCGAATGCACGGCCGTCGTCCAACAATATAAAAAATGTCAAGCCCACAAAAAATCTTAGGTGTTTGACCTCCATTTGGTGACTGTGAGCGTATCGAGACAAGGACATCATGGAGCAAGGGCCTTGAAGAGAGCGAAACACAGCGGAAGGCATCTCTGTTCGTTCGCTTTCGTTATTGCAGCTGTCCTTGAACGTGAGTTTTCTCGCTATCAAGATACGAATGATATCGACCCAGGTAGGACTCCCCGTTCCAAACAGCAGGATCTGTTGTGGACACGCCAGGCATGCCGACTTGCTCAATTGCATATGCAGCAGCTACTGTTGCGTGAAGAAGACCCAGCAACAGATTGTGTTGCGAATTTTCACCGACCCACAGATCTTCTTTGACGACACCGCTCTCAACAGGAGCAACCCTACCCGTCATGCCCATAGCCAACGCGCCCAGAAAAGTGTTACCACCGCCGGTCGGATCCCGGACCTTACTACTGTCCCGATGAAATGCACCGAGATGTAGCTTCTTCCGCCCTACGTATGTCGTGCAGCCCAAAGCACCTTCTCTGATCACCAGAGCCGCATTCATGTACTTGTCTGAATCCACGCGCAGTAGTTTGTCTGCCATCATCTCCTGCGATAATCTATCGTCACCACTCGAAGCAGCAGGAAAGAACGAAACGAGTTCTTCCGCATTGGGACTCACGACATCGACGAGTGCGATAGCCTCTCGAAGCCGATCGAACTCTTCAGGCGTGCACAGGTCAGGAATCGGCTCCCATACAAAAACAGGCCGTTCTTCATTTGGAACAAGCACATTCCGCCTGGCCATGATCCCTCTGATCAACGACATGCACCGCTCCGGCGAACAAACCATGTGAAACGATTGAGCCAACACCTGCTCCTCCGACAGGGAATTCTCATCCAGTCGCAGTTTCGGTGTGAGATATTTGAACGCTTTTCGTTGTGCGTGTCAGCTTTATCAAGCCTTTTGCGGTGGGAGGGAACGAGTGCAACATAAGATTGGAGGCTACCGCTCACCTCGATGCTCGTTGTGACCGTAGCCATTCCACGCGGTCGTAGTGAGACGCGTAACATCCGTCCGGAATATACATTTCGTGCCCCAAGTATCAATAAGACTTCTCAGTTCTGCTGGGAAATCCGAACCCATGTCGACTATCCATCCCACGTGCTGAGCATTTTGCCCGCCTGCTGCGAGACGAGCACCGAGCGCTGCATAAGTCCCGGCACCACCGATGATTCTTTGCTCTGGTGCATCGCTGTTGAGGTGCTCAATCTCATCTGAAGATGGTGTCAGTTAGGGAACTGACGAATAGATATATAGTTAGGACTAAATGATGTGAGATATTTAGTGATGGAGAAGCATCAAACGAACCAATGATGAACATGCCCAGGGTGCAAAATGCGAGACGGTCTACTGAAGCTGTCATTGCGGTGTCGAGGCGATTTGATCATCAGCAGCATTAAACCAGGAGAGGTTCCCAAGCTACCGATACCGTATCTCGTTGGACCAGAGACATTATGCATGCTTCTCCGTGATGAGCAGTTTTCACCGTGAACTTTCTCCTGGTGGGGAGGGCCAGCTTGCCAAGCCATTGTACAGCCTTGCACATTGTGTCACAAGGCTCAGTCAACAGCGGAGCTTATCCTGTGGGACGTAGGTTGTCTGCAAATGTGAGCTACTGAACGGACCTTGCTGGTTCCAACCGTCAAACCCTTTTGAACACAGTACTTCTATCCACACGATTACCTCTACCCACTTCTAGTCCATCTTTGCAAGGGACTGCTTACCCTGTGTTCGAGAAATGGCACTTGGGTTGAGGGAATAATCCTCTCGAGCAAGTGTATGTTTCCGGCAAGTGAGTACGGCTTGTCCACAGCGAATCGCCTACGACTATTATGTAGTGTGAGAGTGCTCTGCTCTGCTCCCCGTGCATAATAAGTGCGGGGAACTTGATGGTGCATCGAACGGGCCGGGGCCGGTCACAGCGAAGGTGTAGTACAGAAGAGGCCTGAAATTCCAAGATCGCATGCTATATAAGGATGATGGCAGACAGGATTCGCAGTCACAATTGATGTGTGGAGACTCACAAGTGCAGATATCATATCGAAATACTCCTAACTAACCACCAATATGGCCTCCACAAATGGTCACACCAACGGCAGATCGACGAAACAGCCTGAACCACTGGACTGGACAACCTTCTCCAACGTCATCAATGGCAAGCTAGAAAGTACGCAGAAGACAAGGCATGGCATCCTCCCCGCTACAGGCGAGAATGGGCCAGAAGTGCCACTCACGACACCAGACGATGTAGAGCGTGCGATGACTGCAGCACAAGCTGCATTTATCACCTGGGCAGAAGTCCCATATGCCGAGCGACGAGCCGCAGTGATCGCATACGCAGATGCTATTGCCTCTGAGAAGGAATCTTTCTCTCAGATGCTCACCAAGGAGCAAGGAAAGCCGGTGAGTAGTTGTCAAACGTGTACAACCTCATGAAAACCGACCAGTCGCTGAATAATTTCCCTCAAATTAATAGCTAAAGTTCGCAGCCATGGAGCTGGATTTGACCGTCCACTGGATGAAGACCATTGCGAACCTCGAGCTACCCGAGGAGAGAATCGTGGAAGGCGACAGAGAGATACTCGTGAGATACACGCCTCTGGGTATCACGGTTGGAATTGTGCCTTGGAATTATCCGATTTTGCTGGCAGCCGCGAAAATCGCCCCTTGCGTTGTGACGGGTAATCCTATCATCATCAAACCGTCTCCATTCACACCAGCCGGTGATTTGAAGCTGGTTGAGCTGGCGCAGAGGTTCTTCCCACCCGGTGTCGTACAGTGTCTGTCTGGCGATGATAATCTTGGACCATGGCTTACTGCACATCCCGTTCCAGCAAAGATCAGTTTCACTGGATCCACATTCACGGGGAAGAAGGTCATGGAGTCCGCTGCGAAGACTTTGAAACGCGTGACGCTTGAATTGTGAGTCGTCTGTTCTTGTCCTATATGGCATGCTGATTGCGGATGCTAGAGGCGGGAACGATCCTGCGATTGTTTTGGAAGACGTTGATATCGATGATGTTGCACCCAAGGTCAGTCATAATGAGGTGTCTGAATCTGGTTGTTGATCGATTGTCCAGGTTGCTTCATTGGCGTTTTTGAACTCCGGGCAGGTAAGTTGGAATGTCTCAAGGGTTAACAATATCCTGATCACACAAAGCTTACAAATCGGATGGGAACAGATTTGCCTAGCTCTCAAGCGAGTCATCGTGCAGGAAAGTATCGCAGATAAATTCCTGGCAGCGATGGTTAAGGCGACGCAAGAGCTGAAGGTGATTCCTTCATCCAGGGGAGACTAAAAGTGCGATCGCACAGCTAACGCAGTCGAAAGGTTGGACCGGGCACTGATCCTGAAGTCTTCCTTGGACCCATCCAGAACTCCATGCAGTATGAGCGAGTGAAAGGTTTCTTCGCAGACATTGAAAAGGAGAATTGGAAGGTAGCAGTGGGCGGCACCAACCCAGATGGACCAGGCTACTTCATCACCCCCACGATCATCGATCGACCGAAGGATGATTCTCGTATCGTCACGGAAGAGCCATTTGGTAAGTTTAAACAGTGTCAGAAGAGAGGTCTCTGCGTTTAAGAGAGGTGTTGATCGGTATCTTAGGTCCAATCGTGCCACTACTCACATTCAAGACTGAGGAAGAGGCAATTAGAAAAGCCAATGACACCCAAATGGGTCTCGGAGCATCAGTGTGGTCCGGGGATTTGGACCGTGCTAATCGACTTGCCCAGAAGATCCAGGCAGGCACGGTCTGGGTCAATACACACTTCGAACTCGATCCCCGAGTGCCGTTTGGTGGCCACAAGCAAAGCGGGAACGGAAGTTATGAATGGGGAGTTCCGGGTCTAATCTCGTTCTGTAACAGCCAGACGCTGTTCTTGAAGAAGAATCCGACAAAGTTGTGATGTCGTATAGATATAGTACTGCGCTTTTCATAGTCAGCAGTACGAAGATTCCGGGCAAAATAGGTGTCATTTTCCCACGTACTTTTCTTTTCGAGCTGAACGGCAGTGTCGCATTGAGGGTCGCAATGTAAGAATTGTGTGAATTTCGTATTTCCACGGGGTGGTCATGTTGCCTTCCCCGTATTTCGAACGCTATTGTAACACGGCATGGAGCCGTGCGTGAGATCTGTGGTAGTAGTGCGTATCCGCGGCTTGAGGCCGGCATTCAGCCTTGCCGGGCACCGCAAAACACGAACAGCGTGTCTGTACTAAAGTAGCACAATCAGTATCTGATGAATTCACCATACTACTAATGCCCATAGTCCGCAATATACTGTTTCGGTAATACTAGTACTCTTTACTTGTTGATCTAGTGGTTCTGTCACATCCACCATACCTCCGACTCTGAATTGCATTCTTGTCGACCACAACGACACCCGATCAAAATGTCTATATTAGAAACTGCCAGCCAGAAAATGCAGCCTACTTCGGGTCGCAAAAAGAGCTCCTTTATTCAAGGCGATCAGGCCTCCCCTCTTTCCTCAGCAACACTTGGGAATTTGATCGATGAACAAGGCGTGAAGAATGGCGGTCGTATTGCAACGGTTTTTCCCTGGCAACGGCATTCCATTTCGTATGAACAGCTGGCGGAGCGAAGTCGCTTACTGGCCAAGTCAATGCTGGAAGCTGGATTGAAGCATGGAGATACTGTCGGAATTATGGCTGGAAATTGCTATCAGTACATCGAGGCATTTTTGGGCGCTGCCCGTATTGGATGTCCATTTGTAGTATTCAACAACACCTATTCTCCTGTGGAGCTATCAACTGCACTCGCTGTCAGCTGTAAGATGATCTTATCGACCTGGTGAATGATACTTGGACTTACATATATCGCAGCTTGTAGGATCTTGTTCCTGGCGAGCAATATCGGTCCCAAAAGCCTCTCACCTCATATGCACGCAATACAAAACAACTCCACATCTCTCCCAGACTTGAAGCGAATTGTCCTCATATCCCAGACGAGAATTGACAGTCCTTCAGTAACAGTGGAAGTTATCTCATACTCAGCTTTCGTTGATAATGGGCATTCCGTCTTTATGCACAAAGGAGTATTGCGAAGAGCTGAAAGAAGGGTCAAGAACACTGATGTGCTCAACCTACAGTTCACTTCCGGTTTGCTACAGCACTTGACTCATGGTTGTAGGTGACTGACTTGACGCAGGAACGACGGGAGCACCAAAAGCAGCAATGTTGACACATCGGTAGGTTAAGGTGTCCAATAATTCGTGCTTCTTACTAATTGGAGTATCAGAAACCTGATCAACAACGGAAAAGTGATAGGTGATCGACTCGAAATGACAGCGGAAGACCGGCTTTGCTGCCCTCCACCATTGTTTCACTGTTTTGGTCTGGTCATCGGCTTTTTAGCAGCCTTTACCCACTCAAGCACAATCGTGTTTCCCAGTGACCAGTTCGAGCCAAACCAAGTCCTGGATTCAATTGCGAATGAAAAATGTACAATCATTCATGGAGTCCCGACTATGTTTTTGGCGGAAATCGAGGCAAACAATCAGAAGAAATACACGTTCGACACATTGCGCGTAGCATTGGCTGCTGGATCTCCAGTTTCCCCATCTTTGGTGGACAGAATTCAGAAGGAGATGGGAGTTGAGAAAGTCTTGATTGCATATGGCATGACCGAGACAAGCCCGGTAACTTTCATGACTTCGTTGGACGACTCCAAGGAAATGTTGTTGAAGACTGTTGGTCGGATAATGCCACATACCTTGGCAAAGATTGTTGACGGTAAAGGAGAAACCCTGCCACGTGGTGTTCCCGGCGAGCTGTGGACTGGGGGTTACGCCTTGCAGAAAGGATATTGGCGAAACGAGGCAAAAACTGCAGAGGCGATGACAATAGATGAGGACGGTGTGAGGTGGATGCACACGGGTGATGAGTGCTTGATCAACGATGATGGCTATTGCGTGATCACAGGAAGAATCAAAGATCTGATCATCAGGGGTAAAGTCGTCCCACTGTTCATCTGAAATCGTTGCTAATGAAAATCCTTGTTTAGGTGGCGAGAACATTTCTCCGGCCCAGGTTGAAGACCGCCTGACCGAGCATGCATCGATAGCTGAGGCATGTGTGATTGGCGTGGCGGACGCCAAGTACGGAGAAGTTGTGGGCTGCTTTCTTCGCCTGCGAGACGGTGCTCCAAAACCAGTGTCGGACGAGATTGTCCAGTGGGTCCGGGCAGGACTTGGAAGTCACAAAGTCCCGAAGTACATATTTTGGATTGGTGAACCTGGAGTGGGTAATGAATATCCGAAAACAGGAAGTGGGAAGCATCAGAAGCATATCCTGAGAGCTATTGCCTCTAGACTTCTCTCCCAACGGGATTTGAAGGCAAGATTATAGACGAAGTCCATGAATGCTTCGCTGGCGCAACCTTACAAGGAGCCCATTCTTCCTTCAAGTGCCAGCAATGCTGAACCACAGAGTTTCTCCTGGTCAGTAGCGTAGGACCATGCGACGAGGCTGACTGAAAAGAAGGCCGAGCCAATCAACAGACCAGGCTTGAGATAGACTTAGTCAGCAAGTCGACCGGGCCGATGCCGTCTTGTGCGGAAGGCTCGAGATCGAAGTCAGACTTGCCTTCTTGGACTTTGAGTAACACGCGGTGTAGACTGAACCACATCGGCGACAGCAAAACTCGAGCGCCCGAGACGGTCCTTTTCATGGTTCAGGAGGTGATCCTATGCACACCAAACTCCCAGATGGAGCCTGTTTCTAGGCTTCTTACAAGGTGCTTCGTGGCCGTGAGAAGGTCCTTAGGGTCCTGAGATTTCGAGCCATACTGATGTTTCCAAAGTTCAAGAACTTGGGCAACAAATACCGATTCAAAAAAGATTGATAGTTAACTTTGGTTCTCCCTGCCGATTCGAGACTGTATATTGAGTCTCAGCCTAGCTCGCAGCCATATTAAAGGCTTGGGCGGTAAGCACAGATGAATCGGCCAATTTTAGAACGCCGCTAGAACCGTAGTCGAGTTTAAAGATAATAGAATGAACATATGCGACAATTTCTGATGCGCACGATGGGATGTCGTAGATGGACTATCTGTGCGTTTGGGACTTTCAATAATCAATCTCGTGATACACAAGCTGCTGCGCATGCTCAGGTTACTCAAGGAGTTCAAATTAGGGGTATGCATAGGCGCTGGTCCGTTAGAGTGGGATTTAGTTGACCCGTGGGTCCAATCCTTAGGTTCCATTTTATCCCCGTAGTTCCAGGTTTGGTGGCTTAGTTAAGAGGCGAACCCCGCCTCCATCACCGCTACAGGTTAGCCAACTTCTCTTTACCTTGGATAGACACAGAGATGACATGACATCTAGGTGAGAAATCTTCTGAATGAAGACAAAGTTGCCCGACATCAAGTCACACATCCAAATTTCAATTCGCCAATCTATCAGTACGTGGTTAGGCATCACAGGATTGGATTCGCAAGTGTCTTAGAATATGGCTGAACCCCGCGAGTCAAAGCGTGTACGGCAAGCTTGTATCAATTGTCGGTATGAATCTCAGAAAACAAGCTAGAGTAAAGAGGGCGACTGACTCTTTGCTCCCAGGCGTAAAAAATCCAGGTGTTCAGGGGAGAAACCGACTTGCTCGTTCTGCGCACGATTGAAGCAAGAGTGTTGCTACGACGAAGGCCCAGTTTGTCATCATCCCCATGTATCATCCAGCAATGCAAATGTAAGGAATCCCTGTTTACCAGAATCGCTATCATCTCTAAAACTCCCTAGGAAATCAATCTAGCGGCGCGGGTCGCATTGCTCGAGTCCAAACTAAGCCTACTTGATAGTGGAAATAATAATGAGTATGAAGCATTTTGCCACTTGCACTATCCGACTTACTGGCTAAGCACTACCTAGCATGTCCTTTCTACTGAGCAACGATGGTATGCCTAATAAGAGGAGAAGATCCTCTGTTCAAGATGACTCTGGGCCTTCCGACAACTCGATCGATAGTCCACAGTCCCAAGTGGAAGCAACTCGGTTAGTACTTTTCCTCTTCGCCTGCATAAATCTTGTGATACCTGATGAGGTACTTGTTTTCTTACCAGTACTCAGGAAATTCACGCAGTTACCGCCGAATACTGTCCTTCGATCAATTTTGAAGACGTACTTCCAGTTCTGCCAAAGTCAGCCATACGTCTATTCCAGTCCGGAACACTTCTATCGGAAATTGGATTCTGGATTTCTCCCAGATTTTCTTTTGATGGCGATGACAGCTATGGCAATACGATTTTCTGATGACCCGTTTTTCGAGGGTAGGCGAGTAGAATCCGCGGAATCATATGCACGTACGGCATGGAACGAGATCTTCGATAAATCTTTCTCTGAGGACTACCTACTGGATGTGCACACTGTGCAAGCTACCAATATGCTAGCTGTCGTTGACTTTACAGCTAGTCGACAGAAGTTGGCCTGGGTAAAGATTGGCCTAGCCGTCCGCTTTGCTCAGAGTCTCCAATTGAACAAGGAGCCCTCAAACCAAACATCACCAGAAGAACAAGATGAACGAAGGAAAACCTTTTGGTCTGTCTATCTGCTGGATAGACTCGTATCATGTGGGACCAATCGACCACCGACACTTGCAGATACCGATTGTACTGTACTGTTGCCATCGTCGGCTGTTTCGTATCGCGAAAATGGCTCCTTACCAGATTTGAGGGCTCTCAACGACATGTCGTGGAATGGTAGTACAGAAAATCTGGATTGCTTTGCTCAGACAATTCTAATGGCCTCTGCTCTGGGACGAGTTGAGAGACATACGTTGCAACATCAAAGCGGCAACGACCGATTTCCGCCATGGGACTCGAGAAGTGACTTTGCTGCAATTTACAGCACCTTGCTTAACTTTGAAGCACATTCAGATATTACCAGAGTTTCATTCTCGACAACGATACGACGGTATGTCAGACCTAATGGAACGCTGGATCATCAGGGTGCAGGTCATTTTGTCTTTTCCAACATTCTTTATCACATGAATCAGTGTCTGCTCCATCACCCATTTCTGTTGAGGAAAAGGCTGGAACCTCGGAAATCAAGAATCTCTCCTAGCTTTCTCCGCGAAGCACTTCGACGAAGTCGTGAACACGCATATCAATTGACAGTATCACTTCGAATCGTGCAAAAGCAAGGATTGACGTTGAGTAGCTTTTACGCTTATGCTACTATGGTTGCTGGATCCATACATCAACTATTTGTCAACCACTGTGATGAATGGCTGCAGAAATCCGCGCAGCAAATGTTGGATTACTCGTTAGAATTTCTTGACAAAGGTCAGGGGACGTGGGATCACTATCCCCGTGTTGTAAGTTTTATGTGGTCCTTCCTTAGTTTACCTCATACTGAATTTAATCTGTTCTATGTCGAGTCTTCACTGATCAATGGTCTCTAGGCAACTGCTTTGCGAAGCTTCAAGCCTGACCCTAGCTCTGCACGAGCATTGGTGACCATCAACTCATCACAAGTCGATGACTCAACTCTTGATATCATATGGAGCCTGCTTGATTATGGTTGGCTGTCTGATCAGGCAAGACCATCCGCATTAGAAGTCACTGGACACACTGATCTGGCTCAATCATCGACCGGAGATGGCGCGATGGATGTAAACCTCATGGCTCAAACGTATGATCTTGTCGGTGACTTTGACATTGATTCATCAATCACGGCGCAGAATCAGATTTCACTGGACTATCTGGCCTTTGTGGACAATCCTGAAGGGCAGTGGCCTGCCGTTGAGGATGAGCTCAATTTCTCGAACGAGATAATTCTGCCGTCTCCCTGGACCCCCCATTTTGTAGAGTAGCAGATCGGGTTAGTGTCTCTTTCAATTGGACATAATAACTGTACATTTATCATGAAAGCAAAAGTACCGCGTTGTGATGGGGACAAGAGCACAACTTGAATCAAGAAATGTGATATTTGGGCCGGAATTCGGACAATATAGCGTTCCGGGACACTCTAGCTAGCTACGGTTAGCGTAGACGACTGGCTCCCGGCTTCCATATTGGGAACATATTAAACATGTCAGATCGTCGTCCGATCCCAGCAGGTTGCCTTTGTAAAGCGTACGTTGGCCATTCGTTTTATCCTTAATATCTCAACGACTATCAATATGGCAGCTCAGGGGAACATGCACAATTTGACCACGCTCATCAAAAGGTAATGATTGAACTCCCAGTACCGCACCACATGTCTCACAAAAGCCAATGGTTCACCATGAAATGAAGCATACCGAATCACAGCTGACAAGTTTATTTGAACAGATTAGAAGCTGCAACATCACGACTCGAAGACATTGCGAGTTCTGTAGATGGACCATCAAATGGGACTAACGGTTCGGCCGCAGCGGCCATTACCTCCTTTGGCCATCCAGGCGGCGTTGCAGAGCAGCCTCCCCCACCCCCCGAACCCCTACCCAGGTCTATCGAAGCTTTCGACAAGATTATCGAGGAAGAAGTGGGTGCATTTGTCACATCCAGTCAGAAGATAGGTGGTCTAGTTGAAGATCAGGTATGTTGGGATGGAGAAGCAGAACTTGCCAAACCCCTAACACCCGGCGCAGGCAAACGCTGTCAAAGCAGCCTTTGAGGCCGAAAGGACGTATCTACTGGTTGCAACAAAAGCCAAAAAGCCCGATCATACGCCGCCCGAATTGATGACAGAGCTGCACCGTCACACTTCGTCCGTCGATGAAATTCGAGAAGCAAACCGACCATCACCATTGTTCGTCCATCTAAGCGCCGTCTCAGAAGGAATTGTAGCGCTGGGATGGATTGTGGAGAAGAGACCAGCAGATTTTGTGACGGATACATTAGGAGGGGCTCAATACTACGGTAACAAGATCTTGAAGGAATATAAGGAGAAGTACGTTGCGCATATCCATATAGTTTGTCCCAGCTGCTGACCATTTCGATAGGGACAAGACCCACGTGGAATATATTCAGGCCTATTACAAGATCTTCCGCTCACTATCAGCATACGTCAAGGAGTATTTTGCAACCGGTTTGACGTGGAACAATGCAGACGGAATTGATGCTTTAGAAGCCTTGAAGCAAGTTCAATCAAGCGGAACTGTTTCGAAAGCTGGTGCACCTGGTGGCGGCCCACCGCCGCCGCCACCACCACCTCCTCTGCCAAAGTTCGATAACAACGGGCCTCCACCACCACCTCCGCCACCATCATCCTCGAAAGGTGCTGCTCAGGGTGGTGATATGACGGCGGTGTTCGATCAGCTCAACCAGGGTTCCGCGGTCACATCTGGCTTGCGGAAAGTCGACAAATCCCAGATGACACACAAAAATCCGTCACTTCGCGCCACTTCGACTGTTCCAGAGCGATCGAATTCACAAACATCAGCTGGATCAGCAGGTCGTGGCAAATCACCATTACCAAGTAAGAAACCCGATAGCCTAAGGTCTAAGAAACCAGGCCGTAAAGAGCTTGATGGCAGCAAGTGGATTGTGGAAAATTTCGACAACACTCAATCTGAGGTGATCGAAATCCCTGCGGAACTCAACCACAGTATTTTGATCTCAAAATGCAATAAGGCCATCATCAAGGTCAACGGCAAAGCCAATGCAATCTCCATCGACAATTGCGCTGGCCTGTCGATCTTGGTGGACTCACTGGTCTCGAGCTTGGACGTGATCAAAGCTACAAAATTCCAGGTTCAGGTCGATGGCGTGGTACCGACAATACTTCTCGATCAGGTGGATGGAGCACAGATTTACCTTTCCAATGCCAGCCTAGCAACCGAAATCTTCACAAGCAAGTGCAGCGCACTCAATGTTGTTCTGCCACCTACAGACGATTCGGAGGATGATTCTAAGGAGATCCCCTTCCCCGAACAGCTGCGAAGTGTGATCAAGAATGGTTCTTTGATCAGTGAGATTGTGGAGCATGCAGGTTAAAATGCATACTTGCCCTTTCTTTTTGTAACTGTGTACAATTAGCGAAGAGGAATCAGCCCTGTTTAGTTGTTCCTTTGGACAACGTGGCTGGGACCTTGGGGTCTGTGCAATACAAGAAGTCGAAGTCTTGACTTGGTCTTCATCTTTTCTGATCTCCAGGTGACCGCCATCAATAAATTCGGACCTATCTAGGAACTTAAAGTTAGAACTACCTAGGTACCTAGGTAGCCAATATGCCAAGTGTTGAATATCCATGTCACGTGGCGTGGTTTCCGGATGAAGTCGAACTCAACTTCACACGCTTCACATCTTCGCATTTTCATTCTGGTGCCTATCATTGCCAACGCCGACATTACCGAATCTTGTTTGGGAATCTGTCCTTGATTCTTCTAGATGACTGACAGCTTGAGACACATACTGCATGCAGTCTCGAGCTTCATCACCAATCCAGAGTTGAGGGAATCAGTTGTGGGTGCGGCCGTGGCGTTCATGGGCTAGAAATACACCTCCTGAGGATATCACGAACCAGGAATATGAACATATCGATTATCCTTGGGGAGTCACTAATACCTAGCGGTATCCTTTCCGATTGGCGAGTTCCTCTCAATCGATTAGCGAGATCGATGATTAGACCGCCCTGCGTCTCTGCGGTTAGTAAGAGGACTCGGAGAGAATCTGCACGGCAATATGAGACAACCAGTCCATTGAGTTGAAGTTTAGGACCGAACTTTGGCATGGGTCCAGACTATGTGGATCGTGGTCTCATGTCCATAACACCGATGTACATCAATGGTCCATGCCATCAAGGTCCCATTCATTTCCACACCAATGCACCCACCTCGACACAATTATTGTTTGGTACATTGAAGCGCTCTGTCACCTCTATGCTCCGTCAATTCTCTATCTCAGGCATAACTCCATGGCCGCGGCCTTCAAGCCGCCCATGGTGTTGTCCGTTGCACCTGTTCCTGGATCTCGTTGATTTGCCGGACCGGCCCGATCGAAGTAACGGGCTCTCTTGTATCCGTACTTTCGAAGCCGTTCGGGAAAGAAGTCAAGGGTAGTGTCCTCTGTCAGAGTTTCAGAAAGGGCAGGACCTTTGCGGTAGAGCATGTCACATATCGTGTTGCTTGATAAGCTTGGATTCAGCTGGGCATATTTGTGGTCCTCGAGTGACGATCTTGCTTCACCTGCATCCTGAATGAAGCGGAAATTCTCTGTTATGCCGTCGGCTCGGACGCGAATTTCCATCTTCACCACAGCCTCTTTACCGACTTGAATATTTCGTTGCTGCCACTGCATAAATGCTGGGCCGTCGCGGGGAAACAGTGTGCCGATCCATTGAGATGTACGCAGTTTTATCTTTCGGTAGCTGGTCTCCTGGAGGAGGAATATGGGTTTGCTGACAATAGGGATGGGCGAGTATTGGAGGCTGTCATTGGATACTTTCGAGAATGTGACTGGGAATCGCTCCTCAATGAAGTGGATGTTGCGCCACATTGGTAACACACGATGCCCGGGAATACTGTAAGTTGGTGCTGCGTACTTGTCGTTGAAACACACACGGAGCAGCACTGTGACGTTGCGCGGGTTGTATTTTGCTGCTAAACGAGTATCATAGGTTTCGTATAGGCTGCTGTCGCCGCTTGTTGCATCGAGGTTGAGGGTTAACATGGTGTCAAGTATGAAATCCATCCCACTCTCTTCGTCGGCTTGTTTCTGCACGCCTTGATCGCCATCGTTGAAGACCAGGTGAAAGTCATCGAGGTCAGAAAGAAGGTTTCGGGCGCCGTTGTCAGAAGGCATCTGCTTCTGCTTGCCAGTGGCGACTTCGCTCAGCTCAGCAGCCATCGTTGTGGTTCAGTGGCTGGAAAGGACGTGGTACAAGACTAGAAAAGAACACGGGATAGATGGAAATGTCCAACAGATGTGAGTCTCGATTACCACCGGTAGCGCTTGAGTATCTTGGCAGGATTTCCAGTGAATGATTGCTGAACGCGTTATCGATGAAGGCCCTGATCTTTCAGTCTTAAGGACTGACACGCACTGGACTCCTTCACTTCACCTCTTACCTAAGGATTCCCGCCACCAACCGGATGAGGATATTATTTGCACTTGCGAGTTTGTGGTCAACAATGGTCGAGGAGTTACCACGGCGGGATGGCTCAGTCATCCATTCGCCTCTGACCCTTTAGCTATATCTAATGTCATGTTAGTTATATCTATAGCCGTATCGGCCGACAGACTAGGTTCCTGGAACCCCTTCTAGGGATCGCATATAGGACTGCAGGCCTGTATGCGATTGAAACAGGGGGCTCGAGTCCCTCCCTATTCGGGCCCTTTTTTTCCCCAATTGATTGGCTTAAACGTGAACTTCTTTTCAGTTTTTGATTGTTTGTCGCCGATACGTCACGCAGGCAGCCAAGCCTATGGATAGCTCAGCCCAGTAGTGAAGCCTCGCAAGTTACACCAGTATAACGTTACCTAGGTACCACCTTTAGGGTAAAGTTATTTCACTCCCTAAGCAATGGCGTCTTCTACTTTCACTCAGAGAGTGAGAACTCGCATTCTCATCATTTCTGACACTCATTGTGCACTTCCCCGTCCCAGTGACAATAACACCAACGATGACAGAGTCCCCTTCCAATATCCCCTCCCGACTGCCGATGTGCTCGTTCACTGTGGCGACCTCACCAGTAACGGACGAGTAGAACAGCACTTAAAGGCGCTCGAATTGATCAACTCCATCTCTGCAGAACTCAAGATCGTGATACCAGGAAACCACGACCTCACACTCGACAGAGCATATTACGACCGCTATCCGAACGAGCACTGCGGATGGCACAAATACTCGGATGATGTGCTTCGCGAGATCAAGGACATGTACGAGAGCGAAAAGACGAGGGAACGGGGTATCCGATATCTCGAGGAAGGCACAGCCTCGTTCACGCTAAAAAGTGGTGCACGGCTCAATGTGTACGCGAGTGGCTGGCAACCAGAGTTCTGCAATTGGGCATTTGGATACTCGCGGGATCACGATCGGTACAATCGGCCATTACAGGGTGGGAGTGGGCCGGGGAACCCAGTCCCTGATTTCGACACGGCCGGTGGAGGAGTTGATATAATGATCACGCATGGCCCTCCTAAGGGTTTACTGGACAGAACAGTTGATGGGATGGAGGTGGGATGTGAACATCTACTCGAGGCAGTCCGTCGATGTCGCCCTTTGGTTCACTGCTTCGGTCACATACATGAGGGATGGGGTGCATTGGTCAAGGACTGGGATGTGGCAGAACGGCCTTTGCTGACTGCCTCCGAGGACACTACAGATGAAGTCTTGGAAAGCTCAATGCCGCCATCCTGCAACACCGATACGCCTGATTCTATCAAGAAAAGAGAAAAAGATGTAACAGTGCCTGACTATGAGGAGCAGGCCCGTCAAAGAGGTGTTTTTGTCGATGCAACCGGCCTTAAGCATGGGAAGGAGACACTGTTTGTCAATGCAAGTATCATGACACACTGGTACAAGCCACTGCAGGCGCCTTGGATCGTTGATGTTGACTTACCGATGGCGACATGATAGAACTACTTACGCTGCGGTCGAGCCTGAACCAAATGACGCAATACTGTTTATTTACCGAAGAACATGTAGTGGCAGCCCTGATGGACTGTTTCTGACTGGCGTGGTTGACACTACTTTCTTTCCTCTCCTTTCAACGACATCCGTACTTGATGTTCAGTGACACTACTCCAAAACATTGTTCCTTTCTCCCTTTGAGAGCAAAGTAGCCGTTTCATGACCAGGATCACCTCAAGGTTCAGCGGTCATCTCTCGTGGCTCGAATCAGTTCCTTTGTATGGTCCGCGGACCTCGACCACGGAATACGAGTACGACGAAGGTCAAAGTGATTTACAATCCTCACTCTCAACAACCTCGGTCGCCGATACTACTGCAAAGTTGCTTAATGTGGTCAACAGTGACCTCGTGGGGAGTCTATGAGTAAACTAGGCTCGCTATTGGAACATATCCACCTGCAGCTTACAAATCATCGTGTTTGGACGTCGCCTGCAGTGGCACCTGGAACATGGCAAGGCGGTGAAACAAAAACAAGGAGCTTCGTTTGAAAGAAACTCTATTTAACTGGAATGCTTCTGCTAAATTCAGCTGAAGCATAGGATCGCTCTCTTTTCAATCACAGCCAGGCATCTTTTGATCGCGACGAGATCAGAACTATATTCAACGACCCAAAATGGCCGCTATCACCCTGTACGACACAGCAATTGTGCCAATCATACGCACGCTCAAGAATCTGTCGGCAATTTTGACAAAGAGCGAAACCTTCGCCAACGAGAAGGGAATCCCGCATTCGGAACTCCTCGAGGCCCGAATTTCGCCAGACATGAACCCTTTGATCTTCCAAGTCCAAACCGCATCCAACACGGCCAAATTCCTAGCCGTGCGTGTTGGCGGCATAGAAAACCAATCGTTCGACGACAGCGAGAAGACCTTTGACGATTTGCAGGCCCGGCTGACCAAGACGATTGATTATCTGAATGCCATCAAGCGCGAGGAGTTTGATGGCAGAGAGAAGCACGAGTTTGTGTTCCGCGACACGCCATTCACGGGCTTGAGCTATGTCAATGGGTTTGCGTTGCCGAACTTCTATTTCCACGCAGTCACGACTTATAACATTTTGAGGTCCAAGGGCGTGCAGATCGGTAAATTGGATTGGCTCGGTGGTGCTTAAATTTAAGGGTTTTCCTGCCATATTGGGCCGCTTGATGAGGACAAGGCGATTGCACAGGCGCAGTGTTTGGCCGCTGAATTGAGAAAGTCTGCAACTCTGGGGCATGAAGCCAGATTATTTTTATGTCAAATGAATCTTTTTCAAACACCGTTCCTTGCTTTTCAGATCTTGGTGTATCAATCAGTCCCATACTCTTTTGCCAATTGTCATATGGCTTCTGCATAATGCCGAACGTAACAACTTGTAGGTGTAAGAAACTCCAAAGATGTGCAGGCTTGATATGCAAGACGTCAAATTAGTGTTCTTCTGCCCCCTTGCTTGGTCGGTGGAATGTGATCCTCATCTCCTGCGATTGCCAATTTCAAGTCTCTTGATGCCAACAAAACCTTCATCATTCGCGCCCAGCGCAACGAATGACAGCAATCGCGCACCTTTTGGCAAGGCGTCTGCTGTGTCCAATCTCTGCCTGAGAGTGAGATGCTAACCGCGGCCTCATCCGATGAAAACCAGACACCGGTACCTTACCTTTGCCCAATCTCATCATCCTCGAACACTTGCTCGCAATGACTGCCTATTTCGATCCCTTTGACCTCTCGGAGGCCGTGGTGCTAAACAGTAGGAAAGAGAGACAGTGTTCGTGGAGAAGAGAACGCACTTTGAGTACAACATTAGCTTACCGGAGGCATTGGCTGTCTGTTCCATATGAGGAGATCTGTTTCGCATCGAAGTAGGCTGCAAGAAGCGGGTGCGTACATGAGTTACAGGGTAATTTTGCCTTCATAATCGACTCTGGTGCTGAGGCAGCGAGCCACGGTATTCACTCTTGCCAAGTCGTCGAAATAAACAGTGAAGAGCGATGCTCGCGCACTACCACACACAAGCACCGAGTCCCCAAAAAAGTCAAAAACGCAAAAAAAGGGGCAAAAAAGAAAAGGCAGGGAGTCGAACCCGCGGTCGATTCACATATTAGTCTGCAGCCTAATATGCTCATCGCTGGCAAGGCATTGGACCTTCCAGGGCCACTGGGGTAGCTGGGACCTCAGACTAGTCGGATCATAGCTTGCTCGAGGACATCTAACCCTCTGAGTGGTACCCAGTAGTCGTGTAACTGAGCTGAAGCAATGGCGATAGAGCCTGTCGGGGGGAGCAAGATATGACCAGATTTCGCCGTTGATCCCATCTAATTGTTGACCAAAAGTCCTCAAATCCAAATTATATCCTTGAATTTTGGCTAGTTTTGGTTAAGCCGGGCGTGAAGTGAAGGCCTGCTAGGTACTCATCGAGCTTTAGATCTGGAGCCCTCCCCAGGTTTATACTGGCGTACAGTCTCCATTCACTCCTTGCCAAGAGATTCAGCGCTGCTGATTGCATGAGATGAGCACTTTTGTTTTGAAGTTGTCATCGTCCAACTCTTTCTGTCTTCATCTACATGACCCAAACCATCCACATTATCCATTTCATCCCACACTATGGCAGAAATCGTGTCAAAGCGCAAGCGTTCAGGCAGTGATGCAGTAGCAATGATGAAGAAGCTCTGTTTAGACGCCGATAACCCAGACCACGAGATGGAAGTTGAGGACAATGGCGAAGAGATCCAGTGCGAAGACACCGACGAAATTTCGGACGATGGTGATTCTGATGACAACATGGAGATGGTTACTGATCTCATGCAAAGTCTGCCCGCGTTTACCGTATAGTATAGACCTTTTCACTAATCTCGTACTAGATTTGACTGCTTTTGATGTTGAGGAGCAGAACAAGAAAGCTAAAGAGCTCGCGGCCGAAATCGCCGCCAACGAGGCACGCATGGAGGCCAGGATGAATCCACGCGGGGCCACAATCGAGATGCGAATCTGCTGTAACGATCAATTTGCTACCACTCCATTCATGATCCCCGCCCACCGTGCGGCAAAGATGGAGTGCATCCTCGAGATCATTGAAGAAAGATTGCCAGTCAGCTTTCCGAATGCTTACGACGAAGACTTACAGTACTCGCCACTACACGTCTTGACGCCACCTGTATTGCTCCTCCAAGAAACTTCATACAAGGTCAAGCACTTGAAATTCACCAAATGGGTCACCACTGAATATCCTCATGATACAGCGAGCTACCTCAGATGGTACATTCGCAATGTCCAGTACGGAGAAGAGCCTAAACTTCGTGTCGAAGTTCGTATTCGCACCAATGGTACCATGGAACCCTTCAATCTGGTCAAGGATGCTGGGAAGGGATATTTCAAGCTCGGGTTGAACTTGTACCACATATTGGAGACGGATGCCGAGACAGAAAGCGATGCAATGAAACTTGTGGACAAGCTTTGCCGTCGTGAGCCATTGCTCTGGGTGGATCTGACAGAAGTCGATACCAATAACTACTTCCCCGATCGCCGTTCCAAGTACGAGAAGTTCGGTCGAGCTGTCCAACAGATCAATGGTGGCTGGAAGATTGAGTATGATGGTGACAATTGAGTGGAGGATAGGAGTATCATGCAGATGGTCAACACACTTCCGTAGGATGAACCTGACACAACCGACGCATTCTAGGTGCACGCCTTGTGTAGATAGAAATACTTTGCAAGCGGCCGCCATGATCCTGAAGTGAAAATTAAGTTTCTCAAGAAGATCACGTGTTTGTAGAGCCAAGCATCGATTTTACTGGCTGCAACTTTTATTAGCGTGTCACTCGAAGGTCTCGTGTCGCAGGAGAAAAGTCGCCCGACAATTTATCAATCGAGCTCCCCAATCCCAGCCATTATCTGTCAAGAACTCGCTTGCAGTCAGCCTGATTGAACCCAAGACTGTGTTTCTAGGCCGTCCGTTCGATGAAGAGGCTGAGGCTCCAGAAATGGAGCGGCAGTGTTCTCTCACCACGAACGAGACCGGAAACCGTTCAATTACCCTTTCGCACTCGTCGAAGATGTCTAGCAACGACGACACCATTCTCGGAGTTCGACAATATCCCTCTAGAAGCTAGCAAAGCCTCCGCCACCGGCCAGTCTGGCAAATACAACAATGCCCACATTCCGATGACTGAAGAATCTCTTCTCCAATTACCCTCGCCTCCTCTGTCGGCTGCGAAGACCTCTGCCAAACTGGCAGCTTTACATGCTCGGCTTGCTCTCCCTTCACGACTCCCTCTCGAAACACTGGCAAGAACGCTGGTGGATTCCACAGCTGACCCGTCCCTGCACTTCAACAACAAGCCCTTCCAAGTTCTGGGGAACGATCTACTGGGATACTACACGTCAGAATACATCATAAGCCAATATCCTCGGCTACCTTTAGCGGTGGTCTTTGCGGCGATGTATGCCTACGTCGGACCTGCTGCTCTTTCTTCGGTCGCACAGGGATGGGGCGTGGAAGCAGCTGCCGCACCGGGAGGCGAAGTCGATCCTGGATTTCTCCAGTTCAAGAAAATTGCCCCAAAGCCACAACCCGAGGCAGAAGATTCAGGAGTCATCAGTGCTCGTGATCCGGTCACAGGGAATCGAAGAGGAATGAGTGGGCGATCAGTGCTGGACGACGCCTTCGGAGAACCCAAAAGGCGAACACGAGAAGAGGAGGGCATCACGCTGGAGCGAGCCAGAATGAACTTTGTGCGGGCAGTTACGGGAGCAGTATACATGCATTGTGGGAGAGCGGCAGCGAAGACATTCTATCGGGATCATTTCATGTCACGTCAATTGGATGTGTCGGCCCTGTTTCAGTTCGCGCAGCCAACGCTAGACCTGAGTCGACTTTGTGCAAGAGAAGGTTTCCGGGCACCTGTGGCCCGAATTGACAGCGAGACGGGTCGTCGAAGCAGGACACCTGTGTTTGTGGTGGGCATTTATTCGGGGAACGACAAACTTGGCGAAGGTGCGGGTGCGAGCCTGGATGAAGCCAGAACACGAGCTGCGGTTGCAGCCTTGAAAGGATGGTACTTGTATAGTCCCACACAATTCCGATTACCAAGCGAGATGGAAGAGCCTGGAGCGGAGAAGTGGACACCCATCTTGATTGATCCAGGGGATATCGTGGCTTAAGGCGACCGGGAGCTATTGTGTTAATACTTCAAACTCATACGCTTTTGAAGCACTGTACTTTACGGATGGACCAAAGGGGTTTGCATATATTAGCTGTGAAGAATAAGGCATGCATTTTAGGCGGTCATCTGGTGAGTCATGGCCAGAGGCATCCATCCTGTCGAGCGTTGTATTCCAGAAAGTACTGTCCTCTCCACATCGAGATTGAATTCTCATTATGTCAAGATACAATAGAATGTAGTGAGGCTAGATCCCACCTTGCACGGCATGATTGAGAGAGGTTACACATATTCTCTCAAACTCAAAAGTTGACCGGTGAAAGGAAGCATTGATTCAAGTCTCCCGTGTTGGCCCGTTCCCGTGAGGCTTAAGATGTCGTTCGAGATGATGAGACCAGCACGGCACTCGATATGAGGCTCATGGAGGTACTGGGGCCTCCAGACACGACTGGACTACTGGTCGTTTTGAGCTCTTTCAAGCGCCCTGCAATCTGATTCTGTCATCAATGGTTCCAACTCTCGGGATAGTATGCGAACATGCAGGTTCTTCAGTCTTGGCCTTATGGGGCGCTTGCGTTCTGGATATGAACATGACGTCAAATGCCGAGTGCCTAACATGTTCATCTTCCGACTTCCGTGTGGTTGGGAGTTTAGTATACGTACTCGGTTTCCCTTCAATGAATGGTTAGTACAGACGGAAGCACCGTATGATGATCAAGTACTAGTTGTTGTAGAAATGGTTGGTGTAGGCCATGCCCACGATAATGTCCAATGAGACAGAGTAGATTGACTATGATCAACCTCAAGTCAGGCCAACTTCCAATACGAGGAGACCAAAGGGACTCGACAAAAGTTCGCTATCCTGTCCATCTCGGAACAGCCACCACCAAATTCCTTCCATGCATCCCAAAGCCCTGCCCAGCCTGAGTCTTGACACATTGCGCCACTTTAAGAACAGGGTTCGCCCAACCGCCTGCAGGCTTCCATGCTCGTCTTGTGGGTGGTTCCCATGACAGGTTCAAGTGACTCGTTCGAGTTGATCCGTCGATTTAGCCTCACTAGGCGCTCTTATTCATCCTCTTTCGCCCCCCTTGCTTTTGCATTCGAATGCCTTCAGGGCGGGTTCACTTCTCCGAACAAACTTGAACATGTGGCACCCTTTCCTGTTATAAGCTTGTCTACCTAATATCCAACTCCATATCCAACTTTTCCAGCCTGCTTCTGGTCTCTCCCATCTCATCATTGCTGTAAGCTATCATCAACACCTGCCTCCATTTCCCATGGCCGCTGCAGATTATTACACTCCAAGCACGAGGCCGCCGTACTCGCAACAACCCACAGGCCTGCAACCTCCACCAGGTCCCCAACGAGCATCATCACAGCCAACTTTTGCATATCAGCCACCTCCGCAAAATCCCAGTGGGCCGCCTCCCCATTCACAATATTCCCCACCACCATATCAACAAATTTACAACAACAATGAACCGAAACCAAGCGTGCACTTTGCACCCTCGGTATCACCATCATCATCGTCTCAAAACCAACATCGACCATCCCAATCAAATCAACCACGACCAGAGCCATATTCTCTAAACCAACCAAACTATCAAGCCACACCAGCCCACCAACTCGCCCCCTACCAACAACAATACATCCCCCCGACATACCAGAACCAATATCTACCACAACACCCACACCAATCCCAACACCAACTACGGCCCTACATCCCGCCACGACACTCGACAGGCGAACTCTCCGAAAGCAATGGCTACGCATCCGACCCGGAGCGGCACCGACGGAAACACAAAGACCGATCACGACGGACGTCGGACAACTCGCGCTCGACCAAAGCAGACGCATTCCTCGGCGCGGCGGGCGGCGGCCTCATCGGCGATCTGATCTTCCCGGGCCTGGGCACCGTCGGCGGCGCGCTCGTCGGCTGGGTCGGCGGCAAGGACTACGGCAAGCACAGGAAGTGGCGCGAGGACAAACGCGACCGCGACCAGGATCGCTGGGAGCGCAAGTACGGGTCCGATCGCTCCAGGAGTCACAGCCATGATCACGATTACGATCACGACCGGGATCGAGAGAAGGGTGGCAGGCGGAGGAGGAGCCATGATGATCGTGGCGAGAGGAGAGGCAGTCATGACCGGAGGAAGGGCTATGATTGATTGATTGATTGATTGATTGATTACAATCAGTCTTGTTGTTCTATCTATGGGGTTACTTCTGTTTGTCTTTGGGTGGTTATCTCTGTTATCTCTTTTTTCCCGTTCTTGCCCTTTTATGTGGCTCTTCGCGATTACCACAGTCCAGCGAAGCTCTGATACGATATGATATGATATAGTGCGAGACTGGAATTACTTGCTTGCTTGGCTTGCTCGACTCCAGACGACGCGATGACATGTACACGGAATTTCTAACGAGGAGATATACAACCGAAAACATCGCCATGTTGGCTGGTCCAATCGCCTGATATCCCTCAATAGTAGACATGACACAATGATCGAAATATCCACATTTATTCCAGAATTTTTGGGGTATCCACCCCCATGTGACACGCTTTTTCGATCTACGAGTAGATCATCATTCCGTCATTCTGCGGATGCCTTGTGGAGTCATATTATTCGGGGGGGACCTGCAGTGCAGGCACCGAACCCGTGGGCTGTCACGGTGAACCCGCGGGCCCAGCGCCGTGGATTTGCGTGTGCGGTATCCCGAGTGGCGAAAAACACCAACAACGAAACAAAGCTCTTCGCTTATTTCCGATTCTAATGATATCAGCGAGTGGTGTTCTATGTACGTACAGGGCTGTTCTGAAACCGCTCTCCGGCGATGGTTTGACCCGCCTGCTGACGACGTTACAAAAAAGTACAAACATGGTCATGCGCGCAGAGCCTCCAAACCGTCCGTGGGGTGGCAATCTTGGGTACTTAATGTATGGGGTCGAAGGGTTCTTTAGGCCCTATCTCTTCCGGGGTTCGCTCGCTCGCTCGCTTGCGCCAGTCATGTGGTCCTGTCCCCTCCCTATTTCGGACCCGTCATCATGTTCATGCTTCTTGTTCTTGTTCTTGTTCTTTTGCTGTTCCCAGCATGTTATGTTCGAGAAGTTCTTAACGTCAGTATCTCCGCAGTCTATGACTCCTTCTTCTGCCAAAGGTCGAGTATATTACGTAACCCACCCTGTGGCGAATATTCCAATTCACTTGCGGCTGCAGGCGACTCGTTGCGTCTGCTTTTGACGTTGTCGAGTTCAAGGCATCCTGTTGCCTGCCTGACTGATCTGTTGTCATTGATGGAATTGTTCATGTGAAAGTGGTGAAGACTGGCTCGTAAGATTTACTTCGTGCCTGCCTCGTCCCACAATTCCTGGGAGAAGCCTGCATGTGATGCAAAGTTCGAATACTGCCATTGTTGCTCTAGGACAATAGTTGCCAGGCTCTGAGTATCATGCCGGAGACTGTTGATTGATGAGTTTGTCCGAAGGTTGGTTGGATTTCTCGTATCTTCAATAAGGGGGTCCAAAGCCCTTGCCTTAGTCGAACTCGGGCTATAATATTGCGATATTTATTCGTGGTCGTGAAGCTCTGGTATCTTGGAGCTTATTCTTAGTCTGATGTGCTAGACCCGATGCCAAAGCTGTGGGCGCTCTCATCCTTGAAGCGCAGCACTGAGAATGAAGAACGCGCTAGGGTCGGTCACAGTCTTGATATCAGCCGGAGTGCCATTCTTGATAAAACAGTTCGCTTCCTGTGAAGACAGAGATTCGTGCATTCTCGTGACAAATGTTACAGACCGACAGTTCCGCGTCGCGTCGACTTTGTTCTGGTCGTTGAACCGATTGATGGAGGAGCATGCTTCAATGCAGGTCCCTAGATCGTACGAGATGATCCCCATCAGGTCACGAGTGGGAATTTCATTCCCCTGACTATCCTTTCCCGCAACGTTTGCAAAGTCGACACCACAGTGTACATCGTAAATCTGGTTGGCTATTGGATTGAAAAGTGTCGTTATTGGTTTTTTGGCGACCTCTGCACAATCTATCGAGACATTGTACACATTGACGGCGGGTAGGACTGCGTAATTTGCAAGGAGGCCGGTTGTTGCCTTTGCATCTGTTGATGTTGCTGTTGCTGTTGGGACTTGTACTGTCAACTGGTTGGCGGAAGCAACAGAGGAAGAACCGGAGGAAGTAGATCTGACTTGGTTAGCATCGCGAAGACTTGTTCGATTTGTATCCTTGAAAAAGCCTCACAGTCCTTGTACTTGGAGAAGCTTCTTCTCACTCTCGCAGCTTGCAAGTGATGCACCCAGCCCCCCTCCGACAGCCCCACCAATAATAAGTGCACTGACAAGAGCGACGATGACGACGAATATCCACGACCCACGGTTGAATCCTCTAGGTTGACCCTTCTCTGGCGTACCGCCAGCATAGAAATTCGCAGGATTGTTTGCAGTGTTCTGTGGAGCATAATCTGGAGCTGCCACCTTCGTCTTCGCATGCGGGGTGACTTCCAAGTCCGAATATCCATCTATCACAGCGTACGGCGTGTTAGTGTCGTAGGCACTCATTGTAAGAAGTCAAGCCAAGAAGCGTAAAGGGGGAAGGGATCTAGAAAAAAATAAAATGGATAGCAGTGAGATGAAAGATAGGTAGAAAAATGAGATCCCCCTAGATTGCAGCACCCGTATACTTTGTATACTCCATCAGACGATTGCACGCGTACCCTTGAACACAAAACCACAGATGAGCCTCCTTCGGCCAATGGTACTAGGATATGTCGAGCACGACAGTGGGCAATGAAACAGCGGCCTCGGACAGTGAAATATTCTTAGATTCCCGCCCATAGATCGACTTCGGCTTCAGACTGAACGCCTGATCACGAATTTGGTTCTGGCGAAGTCTTATGTAGTCGGCAAGGATTCGAGACAGCCCAAAAGCACAGGATCCTTGGCAAAATACATTTATCGTCTGATCGATACAGGTTGCAATTCTCTCAAGAGGCCTCACCTCATCAATCGACTGACCTTCGCTCGCACATGTGTGGCGCCAATGATCGAGCGGTGTCAGAGTAATTGCGGCCCCAAATCCAAGCTCTAGTCATCTTGTGATGGACAATGGACAATCTTTTGCAACCGCGATAACCTAATCACTTTGATATGGGGCGATGAGAGAGACGCTGGTATGTCCACGTACACAAACTCATCGGCCGGTACCCCAGACCCAGCACAACATCAACATGCTCAGATGGCTACATCTTGCGCGGCTAAGTACGCTGCACATGAGCATTCGATCATGGTAGATGACTTCCAAAGAGATCCGTGGCTCCGCCTCCTCAGGCCCAGGGGGCCATCATGACGGCGGAACGCGATGCGATGTTCGACCGGGACAAGTATAATAACGGGACATCAAATCCTCCCCGCACTTGGATATGCGATGTGGAAGTGCAAGGGAGAGAAAAGGGGCTTTGTTTCAAGCCTGGGAAACTTTTCCGAGCGGACCTCTAAAATGGCTGAATCCAGGCACTAGCGCTCTATGCTCCAGGCTATGGTGTTTGGGGGACCTGCGCCTCGTTAGGGCCTTCTCAGTTGATGCACGTATATGGGAATTTTGATTGCTCGTCCAGCGAGTCTCATGCGAAAGTCATGACAAATCTCTAGATTGGACGAGCTGAATGATTGTCCAGTGCATGGATTCTACTGCAGAGCACAAGAGAACTAACGCCATAATGTACGGTGGAGCAAGGGACAAATTCTCTCCACAATTTTCTTGAACGTGGCATTTTGGGGAGCGGGATGTTGCCAGATCTACCAAAGAATAAACTGCCCTTTTTTCTAAATAAACAACTGGCGTTTCCGAATCTCGACGGATAATCTTATAATCTGCAGAATCCCCTCAAACCTCCGCTCGACGACTGAACTTCCGAAATACCCATCATGGCTTCCACTGACGATGCCCTCGAGACATACACCCATCTCCCCGTGCACATCGACCCCCAAACCAAACAAGTGTCTATCCTGTCATCCGACAAGACCATTCAAGATGCCATAGACAATTTAAATCGCCTGCATACCTCCTTCAAAGCACTAGAGACGCCAAATAATGTCCCAGCGGCACCCATGCTGGTAAACCCCAAACGATCCGCACAAATTCAAAAATTGAGAGACTCTGCCGCGGCAACATCGAAGAAAGGCAATAACGTTGATGCAATCCGTCTTTTGGGTGTCGCAATAGACATGGCCGCTGCACGCCCTGGTTGGGAACCCATGGGTCTCGCTAGAGAAGAACTAGCCATGATGTATCTCTCCCGCGGTGCGGCCAATACGAGTGTGCAAAACTGGGTCGAAGGCTTGATCGATGCAGAGTGTAGTGTCGAGTGCAAGAGTGGGCCTGGGCAAGGACCTAACGGAGAGAGAATTCCTGGCAATCCAAAAGCTTGGATCGTTGGTGGACAGTGCCTCATGGAGATGAGTCGCTGGAGCGAGGCTGTTGAATGGCTCGAGAGGGCTATTGAGAAGGAAGGTGGAGATGGAGCTGATGATAACAGAGCACTTAGTCTGATGCTGGTGCAGGCAAGATCCCATCTGGAGAAGAAAAAGTGATTAACGGTTCGGCATGCTCATCTGCTACTGCCCAAGGAAGGTCACCTATACTGAAGGATTGGACGGTTGAAGGAACACGCCAGAATCCTCCTTTTCGAGTCCTTGATTGTCATAATCTTGTAATTGGTCTTCTTGCAAGATTTGACCAACGATTTCGAAGCCATCCAGAACCAGGTGGGACATCGACATACTGCAAGGTGTTCGAGAATTAACCTTTTCGAACCCTTAGTGGTTTGTTGTGGCCTGGTCACAGGTTGCCTGTTATGTGGATCTTATCGGTAAACGAGGCATCTCCACCTGATTCTCGCGAACTTTGAACAGCGAGCCACTTCTACCCTGGGGTGGTCTGCGCGTCATGGTCGAAAACCGGGGCAAGTCGCTCCACAAACTCGACCACTCAACCCATTCGTCGCCAGACCAGTGTTTGCCTGCCTGGCTCAAGGCTTTGAGAAAACAGCACCCGATCTGGAAAATGAATGACAGAAACAACAAATTTCTGCTCCAAGCCATCGAAGCAAGGACCAGCCAGTGTATGCTTGCCCCTACGTGAACTGTTTTGATGTGATCTTCGAATATGTTCCTGCTGGCTCTCATGACGAACTATCTCTTGCCAGGACACAAGCTTGATCATCGCCAGAAACGCTCAACGGTTCAGAAGGCCGGAGGGACGCCAGGCCACTATCGAACCATCCATTTTCGAAATTTTTCATTTTCGATTTGGCATGCTGTTGATGCCAGCACGTTGACGGAGCTGATTCGGCTCTGGAATTGACACACTTCTCATCCTGGATTCTGATATTGTACGATGACTTCCAGTGTTTCCATGGAACCCATGGGGCACCCCTCGATCGTTGTGAAACGACGATGTGTCCTTCAACAGGACATGGTCCTAGCATCACTTTGCAAGCCTAATCCTCCACTGCTGTGAGTCACTGATCTTAAGGCAATTTCACTGCCCTCGGAACGGATGTCTGGAAAGGTTTATCTTGCTTTTCATTTCATACTTCTACGAGGCCATTCAGAAATACCCACGGCCTACAACTGGCTGGCTATGAACAAACTTTCACATGCTTTCTTTTCAATCTGTCCCCGTAGATCTTGGTATATTTATTCACTTCCACCACCAATCGACCATCAGTTTACTCTACTTATTACCCTGCCACCGTCAACCAGAAGGCCATCCATCTGAACCCTTGAGACTATTTGTTGTTCACAAGTGACAAGTCACAGTCACAGAACGCGCAGGGTCTACGCGACCGCGGGAGATAAATGACCTGCTCACCTTTCTTTCAATCTGCCTCTCTTTTATCACCACCTCCCTGTGCTATATCACCCTTTTATCTTGGTTGACCAGCTTCCTCTGGATTGGGCTCACTAAAATCATTTCATGGTTATAGCAAATTATCTTTTGATTCATTCTCCTTCTGCCATTTTCATGCTCTTTGTTCTCATCACCCTAGTTTCTACTGCATATTAGAAAGCTTTCTCTTCTTCTTGTCAAGAGTGAAAGCCTGAGCTATGCTTCCCTCCGACATGATCAACATAACGCCGCCAGAGTCAGTCAAATTGGATGACCAACCCGAAACCCAGATTAAAGCATCCTTGTTGACAATTCCACAAGAGATCCGAGATCGTATCTATGAAGCTGTGCGAGAGGACATAGCTTCCCAAGATCCTCCCAAGCTTTCTCAACGACCATCAACAGGGTTCGAAGGTCTACGTCAAGTCAATCGACAACTCTACCATGAAGTGCCTCGGGTTCTGGGTACACCCATCGTGCCACAAAAGGCAGTTCAAGCATTTCTCAACAGACCTATCTCAAGCCACAGTGCTTGGGACAATTTCAGGGCTCTGTACATTGAAGTTCCTCACAACAGTGATGCCGAAACTTTCCAGCGGCTGGGCTATGCGCTCAAACAAGTCTCCTACGAATTGCATGACTTGCGTATCTATGGCGTTGGTAAGGATGCTCACGGAAAGCACACAAGCTCTCAGACTAAAGCGTGTGGAAAACTTGACACTTTTGTCTTACCTCACCAGGCCAATCTTGCAGTGTCCGGTCAGAAATGGAGGCTCAAATTACCACTGATCAACGCCATACAGCATCTGACCCGCCTCAGAACACTTGTCGTCGACAATCTCAATGCTCCTCTTCTCATGGCGCACACAGTGGCACACAAGCCTTACTTGGAATCCCTCTGCATTTCTACGGATCATCGTTCCACACTTCATCGAGATTACTCCACCGATGTCACTGCCATGAGGATGCTGGGGAGTCTCCTATCTCCGGTCCATGAGCCATTGCTGAACATGAAGGAACTCCACCTCACACTGAATGGCACGGATCATGTTCTTAGCATCATTTGCCTATCAGAAGGCACTCTGGAGAAGTTGACTGTAATTGTTCCTGATCGATCGAAGCAGTCCGCATGCCGACGACAATCTAATTGGATTCTCGACCTCGCCCGTATCTTGAGCCGCCTGTCCAACCTTGTTAGGTTACATACCCTGAAAATCTGCCTCCACGAAGCCATTTATGAGAATAGCTGGGAGGTTGGTGAGATGATAGGCGCTTTCAGGCAGAATCTCCACCTTGCCCTTGCCTTGCGGAACTTGGAGTTACACATGAATCTCGAATCCCCTTTGATTGCCCCAGACATCATTTACGCCTTGCCTTCCTCTCTCGAAAGAATATATCTTTCTGACACCTTTTTCAGTGGTTGTCGCACAGCACTCATACAATTGAATGAACTAGTGGCGAATCAAGCCAGAATCACCTGCTTCGACCTTAAAGACGACAGACACCATCAGCTTATAGGTGAAGATCTTACCAGAAATGATCGGTTTGAGTTCTCTCGTTCTGCACTCTGCTTCATCGGATATGAATACTCGACCAACTGGGAGCCAGGTGCGCGCAGGGAGCAAGAGGAACAGGAAAACAACCTTCTACGTCTCAATGGCGCGTTGTTGGATCGCAAGCGTAACAAGCATTTGATTTGCCTGAAAGGTAGCCGCATTCCACCTTTTCACAACAAAGTCAAAGCCTCACGTGAAGAGTTCGATGCCGCAGTCACTGCAGCCATGGCTGCAAAGCTGGACGCTCCCATGTTCGATGAGATCCCAGAACAGCATGTCTTCGCAACTGAACACAAGTACTTTGGGAACGAGGAGACGGCAGAGGAGGTGTTCCATTGGGAGCAAGTGGCTCGTGTCGAGGATCTACCACCGTTCACATATCCGACATTTGAGGATGTTTCCGATGATTTCAACCATGCCAATCATTGGATCTCCGAATGATCAGCACCTGGATCTACTAAGTAACGTGGATTCGAGGATATTTCAAGGAGGGAAATTTCATGGAGTTGTTGGTGTATGGGCCTTGAAGAGGATACCGGGGTTGAGATTGACATGATTTCTCCATTTTCTTTTCCAGGTGAAAAAGATACACGGCGAGAGCACCTTTACTGACAAGGAAGTTTTTCAATTGCATTTTCAAGCATCTCTGAGCATGACATGTGCATCAGCGAATAACAGCACTAGCATTACCTCTAGCATTAACACCTAGTCTCAAAATAAGTTTTCCCTATAGACAGCAGGCCTGAGAAGCATAACTTAGGTACCTAGGTAGTTATTGGAATTAATTTGACAAAACGGCCAAAATTGAGCCTGACGAGGCTGGTGACCTGTCATATTCTTGGCAATCGAACTCATATTTCCCTTCATTCTTCCCCTTATTCTCGCTTCGGTATCCTTGTCACTGCTATGATCAATTCACGTGATCTCGTATTCTATAGAGAGCATCTAACCTCAACGAGACTAGTTCGGGCCGTATAGGCCAGAAAGAGCAAGGCAGCCGAAAGTTGCATGACTCAACACCAACTCCTCGGGTGCAGCGATTTACAAATCTACCAACGCCTCCGAGTCATTCATCCTGCAGCCTCGCCAAGGGTCGCAAATCTACTGGCTCAAAGAGTCTCGCTGACCATGCAGCATGATCTGGGTCCCTCCAACAACTCCCCTATCAATGGCGGTGATGACAATCCCTCCTCGCCAGCCCAGGCCGGTCGAAAGCGCAAAGCGACATCGGGCTCGCGCGGCGTTGCCACCCTCACTCCTGACCAACTTGCAAAGAAAAGAGCAAATGATCGAGAGGCTCAGCGCGCTATAAGAGAGCGGACCAAGCAGCAGATTGAGGCTTTGGAGCGGAGGATACAAGAGTTGACTGCACAGCAACCGTACCAGGAGTTACAAAACGTCATCCGGCAGAAAGATGCTATTCAAGCCGAAAATGAAGAGATCCGACGGAGGTTGGCTTCTATCATGTCAATACTACAACCCATTGTCGGTGCTCAGGGTTTGACCGGTATGTGATGAGATACAGTGACGACGTCCTCAAAATCTAACCAGGGTTCTCACAGATCTTGCGACTGCGGCACAAAGCAACGTCCACGCTGGCCTCCAGCCACAAAACCATGCCTTCGCAACCAATGGCACCCCACATCCAGATCAGTACCTGAATGGCCAACAACCAACAGCATACCCTCATCCATACAGCCCAACCGAAGGCGCAGCAGAAAACAGACAGTGGACCGGCCAACGAGACGCATTGACACTGCAACGGGACAATCTCCAGCGCGGCCTGGAGCTCAACGACTCCGGGGAACGAGTATCTTTCACCTTCCTACTCGACAACCTCGGCCAAAGAGCCGCTGAAGCGCATCCGCAAAACACCCAATCTTCCCCACTGCACCATTCGAAATACCCACATCCCAATGACCCATCCTCGCGACCCTGGACCCTCCTGCCCAAGAACGTCGAAGCGACCTGCCCGCTCGACACACTGCTCCTCAACTTCCGCGACTCGCGGCGCCAGGAAGACCCCAGCGGCACTTCCAGCACGATCTTCAACCCAGCCTACCCATCCGTGTCTTCACTCCTCAACCCGTCAGGCAGCGGCGTGCGATTCCCCGACCCACTCTCCCAACTAATGGCCGACATAATCAGCAAATTTCCCAACATCTGCAACCTTCCAGAACAGACCGCGGTGCTGTACACCATGTTCATCAACATGCGGTGGCACATCAACCCGACGCAGGAGAACTTCGAGCGGCTGGTCGACTGGATGCGGCCGACGCCGGCACAGATCCACATCGAGCACCCGGCGTGGATCGACCACATCCCGTGGCCGCGCATGCGCGACAAGCTCGTCGCCAACTACGCGGACTACAGCTTCGAGAACTGGTTCATCCCGTTCACGACCGACATCAGCGTCAACTGGCCCTACGAGGACAGCGACTGTCTTATCAGTACGTCCGAGAAGGACGAGACCGTCATCAACCCGGCTTTCGAGCGCCATTTCCGCAGGCTCGAGAACTGGAGCGTCGGCCCGGCGTTCGCCGAGGCCTTCCCTGCCCTCGTCGACACCACCACCGTGAAAGTGCCGCAGCATCGTGCTTCTTCCGTGGCGGCTTCTTCCGTTGGTGCCGGTGGTGGTGGCTTGGGGAGTACGGTCGCGACGAGCAGGAATAAGTTGCCGTCTGGCCAGAATCCTAATGACTACTAGGCGAGGGCATGGTAGGTGGTTGTGAGATATGTGATGTGATTGGGGTTGGGCAGGGTGCAAATGAGTGTGAGCATCCACGATAATATCGAACGGACTCTTCGCTTCACGTACTTCCAGTCAGCATTCCAAAATCTCGCATGGCGTTTTGGTGCATTTTGTTGTATTTTTATCGGTTTCCACTACAGTACATCAAACCCAGTGGATGGACGGCGCTATTATAAGGATAATCAAGTTTCTCCAGTTGGTGGAATCTCCTGTGTGCCTGTATGTGGTGATTATCAGGGAGTTCATGTCTTCATTGGTCTCGTGTAATGCCTCAACCCAGCTCCGACAGAATCTGTGACCTATATTCGGCTTATAGAATGCCATCGCTGATCGTCTGGCTGATAGTGTGCCGGAATTTGAGACATGCCGGTGGAAAGCATCCAGCACTGGACGCGCATCAAGATGATGCCCCCAATTGCTCAATCTAGTAGAACTCGCGCAGGTAATTTACGCTTCCCACGTGCCCAAATGGCCCCTTGACTTCTGATATCAGCTTGTTCCTTTTTGCCCTCCGTCAAATAGGCTTTACCTGTCGAACTCCGTAAATGAAAAGGTTAGCATCTACGCAGCAGCCTTTGCGCTATATTTGGCAGCAGCCGTGTCGAAAGCCTGGCTCTTCTCTTCCAGATCCTTCAATAGGGCATGGTCTTTGTCCTTTTGAGCCAATTGTTTCAACAACTCCTGAACAACCTCTGACTTCTTTCCGAGTAGACTGGCCAGTACTACACTATTGGCAATTGCTTGGACATCGGCATTTTCAGCAGCGAGCGCTTGCTGTAGAGCAGCTTCCGCCTCATCAGTTCTCCCCAAATGGATCTCAGCCACAGCTTGACCGACTATAGAACTCGGAGAGGTGGATCCGGGGGTGCTAGCCAGTTCTTCGTAGACGTAGAAGGCGGATTGATACTTTTCAGTGCTTCCTTCTCGGAGGTTGGTCCAGGCTTCGGCCAGATTGATGAGGAGAGAATCCTGAGCCCAACGTTTCGCTGCTTGAACTTCCTTCACGGCCCGATCTGTCCTGTTTTGCATGAGGTGTATCTGAGTGAGGAGAGCGACGGCTTCCAAGTTACCCTGATGTTTGTTCAAGAGTTCAATGGCCTTTGTGTATTCACCAGCGGCGGCCAAAACAGTGCCAGCCACGACTTGAACAATCGAATCTTCTGGGTCTGAATCTGCTAGCGAGGAGGCAGTGTCAACGGCAGTGGCATTACCCGTTGCTTGCTGAGCCAGGGCCACAATAGCCCGTGAGGCGGGGTCTTTGGACGACTTTAATGAGGAAATTACCGCAGAGGATTGGCCCAGGGCTATTTGAGCGCGGAATTTGAGCAGTTGGGCGGTCCTTTTGTTTTCGGATGATAGAGAGGTGGTGTCGAAGTCGAGCACGGACTGATATGCATGGGTGTAGAATGCGGTGGATATATTGAGGAGTTCTGGGAGACAGTTGTTAGTGTAGTAGGGGATGGGTGGAAAAGAGACGTACCACCCTCGCCAGAGAACGGGTCCATGGCGGGCAAGGGTCGAGATGAGTTATCTTAAAGGTGCGAGAGGAGTCGGACTATGTTGAAAAGGTTCTTGTGAGGCTTGATCTTGCGGTCAATGGGCTGGTATTGTCAATTGTGTCCTGCCAGTCAACCTGCGGACGGGTGAAGTGGGAATGCTGATGGACCCAGAAAGGGAAGGTGCGGCGAGTTGCCTGTCTCCGTGCGTGCTTCCTCTTCGATCAGTCACGACCACTGGCTATCGACAACATTTACTAGTATTCGATTTCCAAGGTCTGGGATTTTGGCGTACGTTTGGCAGAATTTGTCACTGATAGCCCTTATAAATCAAATTCCTGGTCAGTACAACATCCAGACTCGTGGCCAGTGGCTGTTTGTTGACTATTAAGCACGCGGCTCCCAGCCTTCGGTTCAGACCATCCGACCAACATGCCTCGACCAAGTGGATTGAGCTTCACTTACAATAGCATCAAGCTTGAACATCAGGCGATCCAGACTCAACGAGCAGTCAGCAGAGTGAGGGGAAATTATCACCTCTTCCTCCGCAATCAACCTCAGAAACCACATTTCAAACAAGCCGACCTGGTCCCTAAGAGAAAGTGGGAAGTGCCAAAAATGACACATATGGAGTGAAATGTTAAAACATGCGGTACATATCTAGGAGTACGGTGTTCAGGATTACGAGTACGATTCACCCAGATGTATTATGACCGGACGACTTGGTTCAAGCGATACCCCCATCTCAACGCCTTCTCAACTTCAGTGACTTTGTGTATATATATGAATCTCATCTCCATTGATATTTTGCTTTTCAAAACAACGCGAGTCATTCTTCCGAGACGTTCATGCCTTCAAAGGTACTGTGTCTACATAACAAAAGCGTGCAAATGCTTCTGGATAACGACCACCACCAACGTCCACCTCAGAAATGGCTTTGCGAATCTTTGCATCGTCGTCTTTGGAGATTTCAACCTTGAGAGACCCAATATTTTCGTCAAAATTCTTGATTTTGGTTGTACCGGGGATTGGAAAGACATCTGTTGACGTTGTGTTAGTGATGACTGTTTGAAAAGCGGTCGCGTGCATCAGTTTACTTACCATCGCCCTGGGATAACAGCCAGGCAAGAATGAGTTGCCCGGGTGTGATACTCTTCTGATCAGCCAACGCCCTGAACTCGTCCACCAATTTCAGGTTCTTTGGGAAGTTTTCTGCACTGAAACGGGGAGCATATTGTCGGAAATCTCCATCCTCAAAGTCGGCAGGGGATTTCAAAGATCCGGTCAGGAAGCCTCGGCCGAGAGGTGAATAAGCAACAATGGCAGTGCCTGTCTCACGAGCGGCCTTCAGGACGTCGATTTGAGGATCTTCGATTTCGAGGGAGAAGGGACTGTATTCGACTTGGGCAGCATCGATATGCACAACCTTCTCTGCTCTCCTCAAGCTATCGGCACTCATCTCACTCAAACCAATGTACTTGATCTTGCCAGCTTGCTGCAGCTCCTTCAAGACTCCGACCGTGATCTCGATTGGCTGATCCTCCTGGAGTCGATGAACGTAGTACAGGTCAATATGATCAATTCCCAATCTACTGAGGGACTTGTCGACGGAAGATCGGATATAGTCTGGTTGATTTCGGACGCTTCGTTCTTGAGTCACTGGATCGACATAGTTGGCGAATTTTGTAGCGAGGAAGATGTTTTCTCTCTTTCCCGGGTTCTTCTTGAACCATTTACCAAGGAGATCTTCGTTGTCTCCGTACATGTCGGCCGTATCCCAGAAGAGTTCACCTGCCTCGTACGCATGGTCGAGGATGGCAAAACGCTCCTCGTCAGACTTGATTGGACCATAGAATGCGCTCAGACCCATGAGGCCAAAGCCGAGGCGGGTGACTTCTGGGCCATTCTTACCGAGTTTACGGGTTGGAAGCTTTGGTGCCATGGTTATGATTGAAGAGATGTACAGATACAAACGGTTTGAGTGTGTATGTGATATGGTATATTGACGAGTTTTAGGTTTACTTGGTGAAGCGGAATCGGAGATACATATACTTTCTCAGGCCATATGATGCAAGAACCACATCACAACCCCTTCGTGACTTCATCAATCACGAAAGCTGCTTCGAGGTAGGTACCCGGCGATACCATTACCACTTGAGGGAAAATGCGGGTTTAAGGAGGGGTTTCGCGCCTTAACAACGCGCAGAACCTCGGACAACCTTGAGACATGCATGCAACATCTCTCGAGGCGCCCAGGACCTTTGTCATTGGATTGGTGATGGTGCTCCATTCAACATTGATGATTGCGCTACTTCGTATGTCCTTCTGGTAGCCCCGCCCTCTATTGCCGGACGACGGAGTTGGTGAATTGGCCCAGCGCCCGGCATTCAGCCTTGGCATCGACGAGCTCTAGTTGCTCAGGTCAAGATCTTACTAACTCCGAGCTCGCAAAAGGGTGTCGATATTGGTAATCCTCAGCAGAGACTGCGACTGACAGTGGAGAAGAGATAAATACAAGCCCATTATCTCTTTGACTGCACTTCTTTAAGCCTCATCAGGAAACATGTCCATCCTACATGGATTGCCTTAATTGTCGGCGGGTAGATCTCCAGGGAGGGGTTAACGATGATTGTAGGCTCGTGAAGCCGAGTCCTTACAGCCTCAGGCATTCACCGACCTCGTCCGGCCCGTGGAGACTCCGTCGGCCACCATCTATCCGCGTCCGATTCGAGAGGACAATAATCCATCTATGCTCGTCATTGACCCAACTTTTTTTTGGCTTTGACGCCAGGCAGATCTCTATCATCATCATCACTTTCGTTCTCCCTCGTCTTCAATTGACAGCTGTGTTTCGTGTATACCATTTTTCCTAATGTACTGCTCAATAGACTAACCTCTTCGTCCTCATGTCGTCTGCTGGAGGGCGCATCTGTGCGCTCTGCCTCAAATTCAATCTCCATCAAAATGCCATCTCCCAATTGCGGCCAATAATCTCTCGGCGGTCAAATGCGATTCCAATCCGCTCTTTCTCAAATTCCCATCTCCGTCTTGCCTTTACACCACCATCCCCTTCGTCTCTGGGCAAAGCTGCTCCGGCTAAGCAATACAAAAGATTAAGGAAATGGAGTCGACGACTGGTTTACTTGGCGCTCTTCGGGGGCGTCGCATACACCGTCGATAACCAGTTCTACGCATCCAGTCTGACCAGATCCGCCCGCACCTTCGCCCTCGGGTTGACCGTCGCATTGGACTACAAGATCAATTTCCGAGAGAATCCTCCCTTTGCCGATGATATCGCAGAAGTCCATTCGCGCAGTGCAACCAAGCTGTTCCACCTGTTGCGAACCAATGGCGGGTTATACTTGAAAATAGGCCAGGCCATTGCCATGCAGTCGGCCATCTTACCGCCCGAATTTCAAAAGATGTTCGCCAAAATGTTCGATGACGCTCCTCAAAATGATTGGGCGCAGGTTCGACAGGTCATTATGGAAGACTTCGGAGGTCGCACCCCAGAAGAGGTCTTTGGAATATCCTTCGAGGGCGACCCGGAAGCAGGAGTCATGGAGAAAAAGGCTAGAGCCAGTGCCAGTGTTGCCCAAGTTCATTGGGCGCGCCTAAAGGACGGTCGGGAAGTGGCCATCAAAATCCAGAAGAAGGAGATCGCCCAGCAAGTCGGTTGGGATTTATGGGCGTTCAAAGTCGTCACAAAAATTTATACCTGGTGGTTCGATTTACCACTATATTCTCTGGTTCCATACATCACCGAACGTTTGGAGCTCGAGTGTGACTTTCAGAACGAAGCCAGGAACTCGAGAAAAATGGCCGAGTTTGTCAAGAGCGAGCCACGTCTCCGCGATCGAGTCTACATCCCTCAAGTCTATGATGATCTGACTACGAGAAGAGTCATGACCGCCGAGTGGATAGAAGGTGTTCGACTGTGGGACAAAGACGCCATCACTCGCCCATGGCATGGTGGTTGGCGGACTGGAAGCCCTGGAAGCCACGGCACGCCTCTCGACCGTTCAAACACCTCCACTACAAATCTCCCCCCTCCCTCCCCTTCCTCTTATGACTCCGAATTAAAACCTGACCGAACATACTGGAAAGGCTCCAAGGGCGATGGTGGACTGGGTCTCAACCTCAAAGAAGTCATGACCACCATGGTTGACCTCTTTTCCGCCCAGATGTTTCTCTGGGGTTGGGTTCATTGCGATCCGCATCCTGGCAACATTTTCATCCGAAGGCAACCTAATGGTCGATCAGAATTAGTTCTTATCGACCACGGCCTTTATATCCACATGTCTTCGCAGTTCCGACAACAGTACTCACTCTTCTGGAAATCCCTCATGACTTTTGACAACTCAACACTGAAGGAGGTCGTTGCTCAATGGGGTGTGACAAACCCAGAGATCTTCGCTTCCGCCACCCTAATGAAACCCTATGAAGGTGGTGATATGTCAGTCTCCAAACGCATCCAAGGCATCTCCGAAGCAGAAAAGAAAAAGAGACATTATGAGATGCAGCAGGCCATGCGAAAAGGCATCAAGGAGATCCTTGGCGACGAGGACAAATGGCCTCGCGAGCTCATCTTCATTGGGCGCAACATGCGTATCGTCCAAGGCAATAATCAATTCCTCGGCAGTCCCGTTAACCGAATCAAAATCACGGGCAACTGGGCGTCGAGAGCTCTCACCGAAAACAGAGATTTGTCATTCTCCGAACGGTGGAAATTCTACGGCAGTCATCTCATGTTCAAGGTCGTTTTGTTCGCTACTGATGCCTTTTGGTGGTACAGCTGGTTAAAACAGCGGTTCGGCAAGGGAAAGGGTATGGACGACGAAATGGAGGAGCAGATGCGGAAAATGATGAAAGATTATGGCGTTGAAATGAACCACAATGTCTTTGAGGGGTGAGCCATTTGTTTTGCTTCTTCCAGCCATGCAACTTGGTTCCTTCATTCTGTCTCACGCACCTCTGAGTTCGAAGCTCACGTGCAAGGATGTCTTGAATTGAGGTCATGTCCGACAGAACACACCCTTTGGAGAGGTCACGATATTGGTCATGTTGCTTCCACCATCTCTACAATGCCACTGGACTATTCCCTCAACCCTCCCTTTCCACTTCAATTGTACAATATCTTCAAACATGTTTTGGCCAAGACATAGACTGGGCGGAAGCGGGTGTACATATAAGTTCGGCAGACTGAACACCGGAAATTTAACGCTGTGATCGAGTTGGGATGTCTTTGGGAAGGCAAGAGCGATCCTGGTAGGGATTTCGCATGAACGCACAGCTACCGCTATCTGTGCATGTGGTGCGCACCTCGGCCGAGAATCAGAGTATTTAGAGAGAGTACTCTTATAAGACGTCCTCTCAATTCAAATCTACATCTACATCTATCTTCAGACATCCTTACCACACTCAGATAGCCAGCAAGTGAAAGCTGACACTGGGGTTCCTGACTGATGATTCCCCTACACTCCCCACTCTGAATTGCAAGATTTTGAAAATTACGGCGGGGCGCAGGACCCGGAGAGCTCCGTACAAAGATAGGTCTCACGTGCCCACCTTCACGAACGACGCTGTGGTTCGCCGTAGAGATTCAACCTGTGCTACTGCCTGGGTAAGTCACCTCTCAGCAGCTTGCCTACATTCTTATATGACGGCGTTTCAACCATTGCAACGGCGCGGGTCAGTTCAGCGTACTTAGTACTCCAAGAGTTAAGATGCTCTTCTCTCTTGACACCCTGCGTGATTTTCTTACTATCAAGAATGATGGGTAGTAGCTCAAGGAAATGCCTCACCTACAATGAATACACTGTGGCAATCATTTGTCCACTCGAAGTGGAAGTGAGTGCGGCTAGATACATCCTTGATGATGAGCATACTCGTTTACAGAACAAGGATGGAGATCCAAATAAATATATCTTGGGAGAGATGTGTGGCCACAACGTGGCAATTGGATTTTTGCCTCACGGCTCGCAGGGCAAAGCCACGGCAGCCATAGTCGCTGCGCATATGAACAGAACGTTTCCTGCTATCCGGTTGCGCTTGCTCGTAGGTATTGGAGGAGGTATTCCAAGCGCGAAAAAAGATATTCGTCTCGGCGATGTCGTCGTGGGGGTGCCAGAGGGTGTTCACGGCGGAGTCGTGGAGTATGACCTGGGTAAAGAGACGTCCCATGGTTTTGAACGCAAGGGATACTTGTGCATGCCGCCAGATGAGTGGAGAAGCATCATCGTTGAGATGCAGTCAGATCACAGAGTCCATCCAAACCAAACGTCGAAGTTTTTGCTGGAAATGCTGGACAAACATCCAACCCTGGTAGAGTACTGTCGTCCAGCTCCGGAGAAAGATGTTCTGTTCTCGGCATCCAATGTACATGTTGAATACGAGCCAACATGTGACAAATGTGATAAGAGCAATGTCATCGCTCCACGAAAAATTATTGGGCCAAAGATATTCTACGGAACTATTGCATCTGGGGACAGGGTGATTAAAAATGCAACAGTCAGAGATGCAATCAGTCGAGGCATTGATGGGGCCATCTGCTTTGAGATGGAGGCTGCTGGCTTGACGACTCACTTTCCCTGTATTGTGATTCGAGGCATTTGTGACTACGCAGATTCTCATAAGAATGACGATTGGCACGCATACGCAGCCGGGGTAGCAGCTGCTTGCGCTAAGGAACTTCTCACTTACGTTAACCCAGTTACCGGTAAGTTAGCCATAAAGAGCTCCCTGAACGAGCAGCTATATCTGATGTTGGTAAATATGTCCAGAAGCGCAGCCGTTTTTCGATCACGCGCTCAGTACCAGTTCTGTGTTGAGTCATCCCACACATGTCCTGCCTGTCAACGATGCTCCAGAATATCTGCTCTCGAGCCACTTCACGGGTCGCGATGAGGAACTGAAGCTGATCAGCGATGGGTTTGAATCAAGTCAACCCGACATTCCTACTCGCTGCGCCATATATGGGATGTCTGGTCTTGGTAAGACGCAGTTGATACTCAAGTATGCCAAGCAGTGTTTTGACCAGGGTCGGTATTCCTTTGTCTTCTTTGTATCTGCCTCCTCGATCGAAAAACTAAATCAAGGGTTCACGAACATACTAAATCTGGTTGATCACCCGGACCGATATCACCCTGATCAAAGTGTATGTTTGACAATGACACGGCGATGGCTGGAGACCTGTTTTGATGGCCACGCAACATGGCTTCTCCTCGTCGACAATGTAGAAAAAGAGACATTAAAATTCCTCCGAGAACTCTTACCCAGGCGAAATCCGAAAGGCCGCATTTTATTCACCACACGAGGCGAAGATATTGCCACGGCTCTCGTGAGGACAGGGAATCCATACGATTCTTTGCTACGCCTTCAAGTTCCAAGCCTTGGAGACGCCGCAATCTTATTCTTGAGAGAAGCTGGGAAAATGCTGGACCTAAAAGAGACTTTGACTTCTCGACAGGCAGAATCCTTAGCCCATAGTGTTGGATGCCTGCCCCTTGCGGTCAGTAATGCTGCAGCATTCATGAATAAGTCACATACGAGCTTAAGCGATATACTTGAACTGTACCGCAGTTCTCAGAAAATGCAGGTAAGTTTGGAGCATTATCCTTGACCTTCATCTAGACTAAGTGATCTATGTACAGCTCCTTAGTTGGCAGAACAATCTATCATTGCACGAGGAAGCATCGGTAGCAGGAGGCTTCAAAGGCCAATTCACTCAGCTAGGAAAGAAATTCCCGGAATCCAGTAACCTACTAAAGCTGCTATCATTCTTTGATACAGAAAGAATTCAAATTGATGTTATCAAGGATGGCTTGAGGGAGTTGATAGCAACTAGGAGCTCTTCGGATGACCTTGTCACGACTAACATTAGGGCTGAGACGTTGGGTATAGCAAACTTAAAGATCGCGAATATTAAAGCTCTACGAAAAAATCAGATAAATGACCGCGACGCACGCAGAGACGAGACCAGGAACACCGGTCCACAAATCGTGGATTCACTTTCAACTCTAATTCTCTCTCCGGTGCTGCTCCAAGATGCTTTGCAGCAGATAGAGGACCTTTCACTCGTCACTTGTTTGCATGGCTCCCATGGTCTGGAGCTTCATATGCACGATCTTATCAAATATATGGTACAGGAAATGAATATGGGTCTTGACTGCAAAGCAACTCTTCTGGGGTTCGCATCATCAATTGTCTGCAACGCATTCCGGCTGGTGGAGGATCGAACGTCCCCCAAATTCTGGTCGCAGTGTGAAGTTATTGTTCCCCATATCGAGGCTTTACGGAAATTACTTGGTTCCTCGCAAAATCACGACCCGGCACTTACCTGGGCCGATGTGGAGGTTGGAGCATACTTTCAAAGCCGAGGTCGGTATGCAGAGGCAGCGAGCCTCTACAGAGAAGCTCTAGGCCGCGAGAAAGCGAAGTCTCAGTCAACTCAGCCCGAAACCAACAGAGCTCTACGAGGACTAATTGTCGTTCTTACTAAACAAGGGCTTTACAATGAGGCCGAAAGTCTTTGCGAAGAAGCCGTTGGAAGCTTCGAGATGACCGGAGCAGAGGCTAGCATGGAAGTACTAACAATATTACAAGAGTTGGTGAATGTCTACGACAAACAAGGAAGATATGCAGAAGCATTGAACCTGGGCGAAAGAGTTCTCAGTGGCTTGAAGCGAAAGGTTGGTGAGAATCATCCTGACACATTACAAATAATGCATGCCATGGGTCTCGCGTGTGGCCATCAAGCGCAGCATGATAGGGCAGAGAGACTTTTCAAGCATATATTACATGTACAGGAAGTCGAGAAGACATGGGGAGCCGATCATCCGGATACCTTACGAACCGTGAACGCCCTGGCCAATCTTTATGATCGCAGACAACAATACAAAAGTGCTGTCGAGCTGTACAGCCGGGCTATCAAAGGGCGCGAGACTCTCTTTGGCATCAACCATCCTCAGACGCTGCGGTCGGTATGTGGGCTGGCGAATCTGTACATGCGACAAGGGCTGTTTGAAGAGTCCAAGAGCTTGTATAGTCTTGCTTTGGAGGCCAGCGAAAAATACTTCCAGATCGAGAACCCTGATATCTTGCGGGCTGTGCACGGGCTTGCATCTGTCCTCTCGTGCCAACGTGAATACTCGGACGCAGAAAAACAATACGAGCGTGCCATACATGGCCGGACAGGTGTGCTTGGGAAAGGGCACGCAGACACGTTGAGGTCTATGGAAGGTTTGGCGATTGTTTACATTGAACTGGGCGAATATGCAAAGGCGGAGGAGCTTTACAAAGAGGTGTTGGCAGGACGCAGAGAGAGCCTTGGAGCCGCACATCCAGAAACGCTGCAGACAGTTCGAAATCTGGCGTTTCTGGCGAGGAGGCAGCGTGAACGCAGTGCCACGATTGGCGTTTAGAATCGATGAAAGGGGCAGTTTATGAAGTCGGACGGACTAGCCAGCTCTCTAGACAAGATGTCCATTTGCTGTTTCGGAAGCAAGGCTATCGTCATGGAGAGCGGGATGCAGCCGGCTCTACTCTCTCCCCCTTCAAGACAGCGTGACTTGGAATAGAAGTCACATAAGAACGTGTGCTGATAGTTTGACACAAATTCAATGCTTCGTCAGAACACTGACAGTTGTTCAGCTCTTTTTGGGGGGCGAAAATTTGCTGTCAGCCTTGCCGGGCCCAAAACCGTGTCGTGAAAGCCACACTAGCTAGGTTGTTGGCAGCACACAGCCCCCTCTCCCTGCCAAGGCAAAATCTTACTAGCGATCCGAAGGGGTCGTTCGGTAACCGCGGGGGCTAATCCAATATGTTGACTTCCAGATAAGACCTCCTTGATGCCCGGTTTGTGGTATCATGAAGTAGTCACCAATTGCCAGTGGATGGTACTACCTATCACCCTTCTATGAATGAACCCTTGATCTGATCAAGAACACTTCCACTGGACCATTGTCTATTCTTGGTGGCGTGCAACTTTATTTCCGAATAAGTCTGTGCAAGGCTGAGGACGCCCCACCCAGCGGTGTGAAGTCTGGAGTTTCTTTTCCCTTGTCATACTCAACAAACATCTTGATCAAGCCAGGATCATGCCTGAATCAAGGATTCCCGTTGCATCGAGGAAAAGAACTGGGAATAAGTTCTGGAGAAGGATCAGCATTAAATTCACTCAACGTGGGGAAAAGCCCGAGGAGTCACGTTTAGTTAAGGTCACGACGACGTCGGCACCTAAGGACCAACAACCGATTAAGAACACCACGAAGTCGGTACCTAAGAACATGCAAATAGCTGCCAAAGACCAACTTGCTGTCTCTGGTGACCATGATTCCAGCGGCAAATCCTCGGACCACCGGACTCCGAATCAATTAGCAGCCAGTTATTACTACAATATGGTGGCAAGCCAAGGTGTCGATGGGTGTTTTGGAGGTGAAAGTTTAGTGCATATGGACGGCGGAGCGACCAAACCCGTCAAGGAGCTAAAGAAAGGGGATCTCGTCCAGTGCAATGATGAAGGCGAGATAGCCGAGGTGAAATGTGTATTGGTACAGCAGGTCGCCGGAGGCACGAAGGCGATGGTGAAGTTTGAAAACGGACTCGTCATAACGCCGATGCATCCCATCATGTCCGAAGGTGTTTGGGCGCTGCCCAAGGACATGCAAGATAGCCACCAAGTCGATGCAAAGCGGGTTTTCAACTTTCTCCTCGATAAACAGCATACTATTGTCGTCAACGGCGTTGTCTGCTCCGCCCTGGGGCATCATCGCAAGGGACACACATGGCATCCGTTTTGGGGGAATTGGCATCAAGTTATGAGCTGCATGCGGCGGGTCGATGAAGTTGGCTTCGAAAATGGATCCGTGGAAATTGCAGGTACGGTGAGAGATCAGAAGTCGGGCACTGTCTATGGGTTTAGATGCATAGATGGGACAGTCGTTGCCCAAGAATCGAAGTGATCGATGTATATGGCCTTATTTTTAGGATCAAGAGCAGATTGCGAGTGTAATCGATTGCTGCTCCTCTGTAAACCCCCTCCCGCTTGCCCAACACTCCCCTTACGTCCGAGTAACCGCTCAACGTGAAGGTCGGGTAGATAGGCTGAAGTGCATATAACTCTGAGCTGGGTCTTTTACTTCATGAATGATGTGATGTGAATTAGAATTGATATAAAATCGAAACGTGTGCTTAGAATGGTTCGAGGGGGATATATGGATATATCGGCATACTAATTTCAGGAGTCATTTTTAACACCAACCTCATCCTCATCGGCACTATAAATGGTGGTACCTGGGTACATGTCGTATTGCATGCATGCGTCACTTCGTTTTCGCGGCCATACTGCGCCGATTCCTTAGTTATCTCTCGTCAGTTTGACTGCTGTCCTGCCACTGATCGCAAGCTGCACCTGAGCAGTGCCATCCTTTGCAGCGGTCAATGTCTGGGTACCAAAATGATATGCAGCACCAGGCTTCAACCTCGTGAAACCAAGTTTGAAGGTGCCTGGCTCTTTACCATTGTAAAACACCATGTCTATACCCTCGCCGTCCTGCGAATAAGCCTTCGCAACCAGAACTTCTGGGAACGGCACTTCGTCCAAGATAGGACCGCGCAGAGTATTCGGCTCAGGGCCCTTCTGGATCATTTTTGTCCAGTCTTGATACCCGCCCAGGCGGCCGCGAAGAGCGGTGCCCTGTTCAAGGGTCGAGATGCCCTTGTTCTTCAAGGCGCCAGTGCGTGTGGCGAAGACTGGGTGATAATCTTCATCGAGCTGGCGGAGGAGTTCCTTGCGGATCTTCTCGTCACCGAATTCTGCGGCTGCAGCAGCGAAAATAGCGCGGATGCAACCCTCGCCGGCTTTGTAGTTTCCGGGGTCCAGCTTGTCCGCACCAACTAGGTTGAGCATTTCTAGCTTACCTTCTTTGTCGTATGTGATCGTGTCTTTCTTGGTGAAAGCCCAATTGCGATGTGCTATGTGGGGTAGGTAGGCTGAGCATAGGATGGCATTCACTCCATCGGCCAGAGCGCCGGCGAGCCCGGGGAGGGTAAATCCTGTGAGCTCACTGCGGATGGGAAGGATACTGCCGTCGGGGGTGGTGAATTCTGTCTCTAGAGCATGTTCGAATCTCTTCTTGAGTCGCTCTCCGAAGTTGTTGCCAAGGAGGCGGTCCGAAGCCACTAGCCCACCAGTTCCTACCAAGTTGCACATTGTGTAGAGCCAGTTTGGCTCGCAAGGGTAGAGACACCATGGATTCTGGTCCATATTGCGGTAGACTGCTTCAGCGAGTCTCTGAAGATCATACTTGTATTTGTGATTCTTGTCAACCACGAACTCCAAAGAGTCCTTCTTGGCATATCGATCGTCACCAGTATTCGACTGATAGATGCCAATGGCTTGAAGGATATATCCGGAAACCATCTGCAGAGTGTTAGCACGTTGGAGCTGGCTGAGTTACTTGATCAGTTGTCTCACAATGTTGTCCTTTACAATTGGATCCCAGTCGTGTGCATTGAATTTGCCGGCCATTGATTCGTACTTCCAAAAGCTGAAAGGGATATATCAGTCTCTGTGTCCAAGAAAATGGTTCAGATGTCTATCCTTACTTAACGACCTTTTCAGTCAAACTCTTTTCAATCAAATTTCTCTGTGCTTGTGATAGATAACCATGGAAATTGGGAGTAAAGATATATTGATACATTCCCAGGTCCGAAACACTTTCGTACAGTTGGTATCGAATCGCGGAGGTTTGGAATTGGTCAATGATATCGTGATAGGACCAATCATCCTTGTCAGTCAGACCAAGCTCGAGTATCCATTGGGTGAAACGTAGTGTCCGTTCGTCCATCTCGCGAGAGCCTGGCTTTGGTTCACTTGCAATTGACTGATTCTCAGACACAGCGTTGATGAGGTATTCATTGCGAACTTCTCGCTTCTTCCTCATCTCCGCATTGGCGGTCTGGGTGGCATAGGTGATGTATGCAATACCAGATATGCAAACAGCAGTCCAGATGGGGCCTGCGAGCTCCAAAACGGAGTCACGGGCTAGGAATGCCGCTAACAATGAAGTTCCAGTCCACAAGACGATGGGGGCGACAACTCCTCCCATACCTAAAGGTCATATCAGTATACTGGGCGTCGATTTCTGGGGCTGTTTGCTTCGGGTCTTACCAAACCAAATGAAAATTGAAAGAGGAATCAAAGGCATGGCCACAATGAAAGAAATTATTGATGGCAGTGTGCAGACAGCTACAAGCCCTGCTCCTGGAAAGAGAAATCCCAAACCTGCTGCCCGTAGTGCTGGGGATTCAGCCTTGTAAAAAGCTGTGAGACCGGCGGCAAAGAGGCCAGCATATTGTAACAGAGTGCGTCGTTGGTAGTGCCATTTTGTCAATCCTGTACCCGCCTTCTCTGGAACCAGTACATCTGAGACAAAATCCCCGTCAGTGGCTGATCTGAACCGGAAAAACCATCTATGTTATCATCTTGGAGTACGTACCATTTAGACTGAAGTTCCCAACCAAAGACTTCCCACTGAGTTTCTTCTCTTGAGTCGTTCGAGTAATTGTCTAGCACAAGAGGTCAGAATTGCGATCTCGAGCTTTTCAGGGAAATGGTCTGTTCTCACTGTAGTGGCCATGGTGGGTAGTGATTCTCGAATGTCCACAGTAGCTTGATGCGGTACAGAAACAATGAGAGTCAAGGACTGTCAAAGAAGGAGAAGTTTCCCTCAGTTCTATATGCTAGGCTTGTGAAGTTTTGATCCTCCATACTGCCGATCTCAGACGATTGGCACGACGAGTCACGTCGAGGCCACAACCCCTCCTCCATGACAGTGCTTAGCCACGAGGCACACAGACAATGACAACTACATACAAAGCCTTGATCAAGACCTCGGGTCTCCGCATCCTCTGTGAGGGCACTTGGTCAGAATTTTAGAGTCAAAACTCAAGGTGGAACCAGATGCTGCACAACTGTTGTTACGATTCATGAATTTCGAGTCGGGCGAACATGGGAAGTTTGGCGGAAGAACAATAGTTGACTAAAAGGGGCAAGCGCCACCGGATTGTCTTCCGTTAGACTCTTGATTGGCACCTTGGAACCCGTGGGTGGCTGACTCTGTTTGAGCCTCCACACCCGGATCTCCCTCGGCTAATCGTCCCCGGTCTGGGGGGTCTGGGGTAGGTTGTGGGTGTCTGTTCTGAACTTCTGACCCGTTCGCTTTATCGTTCAGGCTTGGGTATCGATCGAGACCTGGCCTGAATAGTATTTGAGAAAATATTGAGCACGGCATTTCATGACTCGTTTGACCGGACCGTGAACTACTGAGACCCATTACCTGAAGTAGCTCGCAACGACAGAAACACGCCCAGATTCTTCACTAAGTCAAATTGCTGCTAGGTCTGTGGGATGCTGGACGGCCATCAAGGGTCCATCGCTTGACTCACAAGTAATACTCAGAATGCAAGCCATCCCCCTGTTACCCGGTTCTGAGGACCCGGATCCTGAGGAGAAGCCTAAAAAGCCCCGTTTAACGGCATCTCAGCTACAGCGCAAGAGAGAATTAGATCGAGATGCTCAACGATCTAATCGCGCTAGAACCAAAAGCCGCATTGCACATCTGGAGAGCCTTGTGAGCATATTGCAAGCCCCAGAAGCGACCAGTGACAGGACCAATGAGCTCATCGCCCAAGTGAACAACCAGAAAGTACAAATTGATAAGCTGCTTGATGCAATTTCAGGCATTTCCAAGATTGTCAGCTCTACAAAGGACTGTGAAACCGTTTTACAGACCGAAGGCAATTCGGATTACATCGTTCCTTCAATTCTTCCAGAGCAACATCTCGGAGAACCCCAGCATCCGGTTATCGAGGATGTGGTTGACAAGCTTGAAAGACCGCATCCATTGAGGGTCTCTAGTCTTGATAGTCAGACGCTGAGCAGCTTGCGAGAGGGTCTGACGGGCTATAGGACACACCGTGGAAGCCATCTATCAGACGGTGACTCTCTCCACATCGGAAGTGGCACCTCGACATCGCCTGAAGATCTCAACCACGAAAGGATTCGACAGTTGACTCGTGGACAAAGAAAGAGGGAGACACAAATCATCAGACAAGGCCCCCAACGAACGGCTGGAGGGAAGGATCGTGTCAGTCAAATTGCCAGTGAAATTCTCGAGAACTGTACTCTCGATGGCCGGTTATGGTATCTTGCAGGCACTATACTTCAAGTCATCCTGGATAAACCTGATCAACACTTGACTCCATCAGAATATGGTGAAGACATAGCGGTCCGCGCTGTCTTGCGTGGCTGGGCGAGCACTGCGTCTCATTATGATCTGGATGCAGGCTGGCAATGGCTGCGTCATCTTGATGAAGCCTTATACTCATCACTCGGGTTACCTGAGAGACTATCGATATTGCGAATGATGAGACTTCAATATCTGGTATTCAATATCTGGAATCACTAGTTGAATGACACAAGGCTCACTGATGGCAGGCACAAGTCGATCCAGAGTCCAAGCACTTGCTCCCACTACCCGCATTCTTGAAAGCACGGTATGGCGCATAGTCTCTCTTTCCTTCTCTGGCTAACTATATTTCAAGCCCGGCTCAGATTCACATTGATCATGATCCACTAGTCGAACACTTTGTTTGGTAAGCTGACTATCATCTTGCCTGCTGCACCTACTGAATTCTGTGGGCAGGCCAGGTCTCCGAGAACATCTACTCTTCAGCCCCAGAAAGTATGCTACCAACACATTCATGGAGGAATTCCGAAATCAATGTACATTTATGTGGCCGTTCGAACCGGAAAAGACATTTATGCGTAACACTGTCACCGGTCTTTATTCCTACTCACCAGAGTTCATCCTTCGACAAAAGGATCTACGCTGCTGGACCATGCGGCCCGACTTCTTTCACAAATTCCCCGAGCTTAGACCTGACATTCCATCGTTCAGTCCACCCTTATTGAACGCAGGACTTGTACTTTCCTTGCCGACTTCGAATGTACGTAGCAGTAATACCAACATTTTTGGGAAGGCCACCACTGTCACGGACAGAGATGATGAGATGGATGGTCTGATCTGTCCGTTCGGGCAGTCCCCGGTCACAGGGCAGGTGGGCCCTTTGGAGGTTGTGGGCCCAGATTGGGGCCCAACGATGGCTTGAAACTGTGTCGTGTCACTACTGTCAGCATTGCTAATGTATGATATAGTTAAGAGCAATCTTCGGAAGTTCGGAGCCACAAAAGTATACAACAACAATTTCAGTCAGAAAAATAATGATGAACGTAATACAGTAGAGTTAATGTCGAGTCGATTGCAACTGACAATGATAAATCTGCCACGTCTGAATCATCCTCCTCGGCCAATGATTATTAGAGCTGCTTGTATATTGAATGATAATCTAAAGTAAAGCACCAGGGCTTCTGCTTCCCTAGAAAGCAATCAACCAATACGAATTATCCATGTTGATACTGCGGTCCGATTCGGGACTCAGCATCTGACTCTCTCGCACAGAGTCATCACCAGCCAACCCGAGAATTCCGCCCGAGGATAAAACCCTTGGAGATTATCCACTCCGTAAACCTTGGTGCAAGTTCTAGCCTTCTAGACACAGCGTTAAACTCCACTGTCATCCACGCTATACGACTCAGCGGAATTGTGGATGCCCCTGGGGCCCCATGGGCAAAACTTGGAATGCAAGATAGGACACGTCTCGTGGCAAGGCTCGTGGGACCCCGTGCTGGGGAAACCTTGGAAGTCCCCTTCCCCAGACCTTGTGAGCATATATATTGAGCATTCCTTCTGACAGCAATAATGTCTATCATCGACCTCAAATTCTATTCCTATCGAGTTTTCGACTACGGCTCATCTTTTGGCTGGTTGTAAGACAAACATGAGTGAATCTACTCACGAGAAGGACCCAAGCCGCACTGGCGAGAAGGAAGAACAATACTTCCATGATGACATTGACAAGTCCAAGACCAACGACACCGTAGACGATGTCCACATCCACAATGAACTCGCCTTCAAGGGCGATGACTCCGATGGCCATATTGAGTGGACAACAAGGACATTGATTGCTGCCTGCTCTTTGGGAGGTCTCTATACTGGTATGTACTTTTCACAGCTGTAACAACACACGGAACACTAATTGCCGACAAAGGTTCTCAGATCATGCTGTACTTCGTTGGTGGCTGTCTCTCCTACATCCAAGCCGAACTGGGTGCTGAGAAGAATGGCTCCTGGCTCCCTGTCTCTAATACCCTCGCTATCACCGCTGTGGCTCCCTTCACTGGATATCTCCAGGATCTTCTCGGACGACGCAACATCACTCTTTTCGGCTCGATCTTGATCATGGTCGGCATCTCGTTGATTGGAGGAGCAAGGAATTTTAGCATGGGTGTCGCCGGCATGACCCTCTCTGGTGCAGGCGCAGGAATCTGCGAACTCACAGCCCTTGCTGGAATTTCCGATATCGTGCCCGTTCGACAGCGAGGTATTGCTCTCGCCATGATGACAGCTTGCATTGTTCCCTTCACTCCATATGTCATGTACTCTCAGTTACTCTCAAGGCATGCCACGTGGAGATGGGGTCAATGGATAGCTCTGATCTGGAACGGCGTCGTTTTCGTCGGACTAGCCACAACATACTTTCCCAAGTCGCATCCTCGAATGGAAGGATTCACCAAACGCAAGATCCTTGCACGTATCGACTATATCGGTGCTGTGCTTTCCATTACTGGAATCACGCTCTTCTTGGTTGCTCTCCAAGCCGGTGGCTATACGCATCCCTGGTCAAGTGCATACGTACTGGCGCAGCTAATCATTGGCATTCTGCTCATCGTCTCCTGGGTCGTGTGGGAAGCCAAGTTTGCCAAATATCCCATGGTCCCTAAAGAAATGTTCCAGGGTCAGCGTATCGTCGCCATCGCATTCTTCATCGCCTTTGTCGCTGGTATGGATTTTTATTCAGTCATCAATTTCTTCCCACTATCGTTCAGCGCAGTGTATGAGCCAGACCCGGTTCAAGTAGGCTTGAAGGGACTTGGTTATGGCATTTCTACCACCGTTGGTGCCGTCTTCTTCAATGCCCTCCTATCCACAAAGATCCCGGCCAAGGTAATCCTCATTGTGGCCGCTATCCTGATGAGTAAGTTCTTTCCCAACTCGTCCCTTAAGAATTATACTAACAAAAACTTCTCATAGCTGCCTTTGGCGGAGCCCTCGCCGCCACCACTCCAGACACCGCCAAAATGGCTGTCGGTCTAGGAACGATCGCATCATTCGGCATTGGCGGCGTGCTGGTCCCCTCCGCGACCGTCGCACTGATCGTTGTGCCAGACGCCCTGCTCGCCACAACAGCAGCACTGTCCCTGTCAATCCGCACGATCGGTGGCTCGATCGGCTTCACCATCTACTACAACGTCTTCGTGAACAAGCTGACCAAAGCCCTTCCGGAGCGCGTGGCCGAATACGCAATGCAAGCCGGTCTGTCCGCCGAGGATGTGACCGGGTTCGTCACTGCCTTCCTCACAGCCCCTGCCACCCTCGCCGACGCCCCAGGATACACTCCGGAGATCGCGGCCGCTGCAACCATCGGCACGAAGTGGGCTTACGCGTACGCTCTGAGATATGTCTGGATTTGCAGTATTCCCTTTGGTTGTCTGGCGGTCATTGGCTGCTGTCTATTGCCCAGCATCAAGAAATACCAGACCAACCGTGTCGCTGTGGCTTTGTAGAGATCCTCAGGGCTCATTAGTGAGAGTATTTGCACTCATGTCCAAAAGTCTGCGGAAAGGTGGTCGCACAGTATCAGCCAATATAGTGGCTACTTAGACATGTATAATCCATAGCTGGCGAGAGTTGACGTCTCGTATTAGCACACAATGTCATCCGATTCGTATGGATGTGCCAAAGGACTAATTTCCCTGCTCAAAACTAATGGCACTTGTAACTTTGAGTATCTTACCCGGACCCTTTGAAAGAGTAAGCTCCGGTGCCACAGTAGAGATGTAGAGTGTTCCATGCCAGATACCTTCGGAGTTCTAATGCCTCTATTAGTGCGCGGCGAGGAGATTAAATCATTAACGGCTCTCCATCACGAGTCACACATCTGAGAAGTCCGAAATTGACGACGTCCACAAACGAAGTATATTCATTCAAATCACATCACTGCAACCTCCTCCTCAACCAAAGACTGCTCGCCAACAAGCCCAGACTACTGAACGCCATCATCGTCCCCGCCATGCTTGGATCAATAGTCAAGCCCCACGGCTCCGCGACGCCCATCGCTAATCCTACAGCGACGATGTTATACGCCGCCGCGCAGACGACATTTCTCGTCGCATGGGATTTGGTCAACCGCGCATTCTCAACCATCTTCGGTACGCACGCGAGGTCGGGACTCATGACGATGACGTCCGCGGCGCCCGTGACGGCGCTGCGTGACAGTGAGAGGAGGATGCCCACGTCCGCAGCGGCCTGGGCGGGTGCGTCGTTGATGCCGTCGCCCAGCATGGCGACTTTTGCGCCGGAGGATTGCAGTGTCACGATGTGGTGGTGTTTATCTGACGGGAGGGATTTGGATGCCAGCACCGGGATTTGTAGGTGTGAGGATACTCGTGCGGCTTCGGCGGCGGTGTCGCCGGTTAGCATCGAGAGCTGGAGGTTGAGGGATTGCAAATCCGATATCACGCTCGAGGCATTGCTGCGGATCATGTCTTGGAGGTCGAGTCTGCCGGCGTACATGTTGTTGATCGCGAAGTACACGGCTGTGCCGGATAGGGTTGCACTTTGTGAATTGGTCAGAAGGGGTGTTGAGATTTTGTTCTCCAGTAAGAAATTGGAGTTGCCGACGTCGACCTGGTACCATGTGCCGTGAGTGCCTTCGACTTCGCAGGATATTCCTTTGCCGGGAACACTGCTGAGATTGCGAGTACAAGCCTTACCCTGGAGGCGTTTGTCCTCTGCTCCCAGCTGCGTCAGAGCCCATTGGAATACCGCTTTGCCCACAGGGTGCGATTGCGCCTCTGCCCGCTCTGCAGCACAGAGTAGTCGATAGCAAAGGTTCCTTCTCGAATCGAATTGAGGAGTGAATTCGATGCCAGTGACCTCCAGTCGACCTTCGGTAAGAGTACCTGTCTTGTCCATCACGACATGCGTGAGCTTGCTCAAGTTGTCGATGGTGCGGGCTCCATTGAGGAAAAGAACTCCTTTTGACCACGCGGCATCAATTCCAGCCATAACGGCGGAAGGTGTGGCAAGACCAAGGGCACAAGGGCATGCAGCGGCGAGGATCGTCATGGCGCGCTCACTTGCAAAGTTGATGCGATCGACGAGAGGAAGCGCGTTGATAGTATCTCTTGTGCAAGCCAGGGAGAAGCCAAGGACGGTCAACATCAATATTGTCAGGACGAAATAGGTAGTTATGGTTTCGACTCCCTCTTGTCCATCCATTTTGTGCTCTGTGGCCGAGCTAATATCATCAATGAGTTGATCTAGGGATGAATCGCGTTGTTCTTTATTAACAATGGCAATGAGCGGATGAGACAAATTTCTCGTTCCCGAGAGCAGAAAATCGCCCGTTGATTTCCTGACCGGGATAGCCTCGCCCGTCATAATTGACTGATCCACAGTCGATGTGCCTTCGATCACGTAGCAGTCGCAGGGAATGATAGAACCCGGTCCGATCTCGATTTCTTGCTGTAGTCGAAGCAAGGCTGCCGGGACATATGCGCCGTCCTTTCGAACCTTCACCAACGCTGCTTCAGCCTGCATCTTGTACAATGCTGTAAAATTCGTCACGTTCTTTTTCTTGAGAAGCGTGTCCAAGTATCGACCCGCTGTGATGATAGTTGCCAGGAATGAGCCCGACGTGAAATGTGTCTGGCCATCATTTAGGCCTCTCAACATCAAATTAAACACGGACAGGGACATTCCGAGTAGCAGAGAAAGTGAAATTAGTGTATCCATCGTAAAGTTCCCATGCCTACCACGAGACCAAGCGGACTTATGGATCCATCTCGAGTCGTAGACCTGCACCCAGAGCGCCAGGGAGAATGCTGACAATTGCAAGAGCCCGGTTGAATGCCGTCCCCAAGATGTCCGTGATAAGAAAAAGCGCAACTGCTCAATTCCAGCAATTGCCGATGCTAGAGTAGCGGCACCCTGAAAAGACGACCGCAGAGAACGCAACTCTTCAGTCCTCTCGAGCAGCTGCAAATTCTGCTCAGCCGAGCGCTCACCCAATGTCGCACCATAGCCAAGATCCTCAATCGTCGCGACAAGCGACTTTGCGCGGACTTTCAGAACATCATGCACGACGGTCGCTCTCTCCAAAGAAGCAGAAACGGATATACGGTCGACGCCTTCGAGTTCTTGAACGGCCTTCTCGATGTTGCCCGCACAAGCACCACAAAACATGCCAGTGATGGCGAGACGAGTTGAGATGAACCTGGAGGCATTCTCTGGTGCCTCCCAGCCGACAAAGCCATCGTCGAATCCATTGTACTGGATATCTAGAATTTTAACGTCGAATAGCTCACAGGCTTTAATGATCCTGTTCATCACATATGCTGTGAAGACGCAACATGCCATTTCGATGAGTTTGTGCCCTAGAGGGCCACGGATGGGTTCTCATCCAAACATGGGCGATGATAGCAATGGTTGTACCTTGGGACGCATGGCGCGTACTGCTGGTTCCATGATTGATGTACGCCTCGGAATTACCAAGTCGCAAGAATATGATGTTGGCATCTTTGACATACGGGACGGGTACATGCGCAGCATCTTGGGTCATGGAGCGCGTTGCCACTTACGAGTCGGGAATCACGACTCATGGGACGTGGAATCGTTTGAGCTGCCGAGGGAGTATTCGTAAGTAGAACCCCACAATATTGACTTGTCACCCCAGAGGACTTGAGTCGAAGTTGTGGGGAGGACTCAACATTGGGGGCCGAGTGTGGGTAAACACACCACCAGCCAACCTTAAGGTGCCTTTGAACTCCAGAGTGTCGCAAGTCTCACACGGCGATGAGGATGTAAGCTTAGGTTCATGGCGAGCTGTCTTTCGGTCTGAGGCCCAGGCTGAAGATGGCCAGCCAGAAGCTTTATTGATGCATAGCCTGCCTCGGGCAGTCTTATGAGAAGAGCATCACCAGCCTTGCAAAAAGGAAGAACTGCGCCTAAACATTGTGGCCCAGGGGCGCCTTATAAGGGGCCCTCGGGGTAAAGACAAGTACCTAAGGCCCCTATGGGCACCCTAAGTCTACCCGCAGGTAAAACGTGACTTAGCCACTTAAGTCCAATGATTGGCCGGGGAGATTGGTCCAATCAACGCCGACCGATGACATAGGGTGGCGCAGCAAGTGGCGAAGTTGAATGTCCTTCGTTTGAACTTCAATCATGAGGCTACCATTCACTTATAATACCTAAAGCACTTCATCCTTTGGAGCCCAATCAAGAAGGACATACCTGCCACAGTGGTACATTGAAAACCGCTCCCAAGCACTTCTTCAAACTCCAAAACCATCTATCAACCAACGTCGAATCAATCATGGACGAAGATATCCTCATCCCATCCATCATGCTCGTCATGCTCCTCTTCATCTTCAGCCTCCCGGTCTCCATCACAGCCTGCATTGCGGCATCCAACACGCGGAAATGGGCAAAGACCAAAGCCACAGCCAACGCCCGCGCAAACGGCATCCATCTACCCGACGCTGACGCCGAGAACGACCCTCTGGTGAACCAAGATTCCGACTCGGACTCAGACTCGGACCCCGAGACTGAATTCCTCGACTCTGAAGACGAGGAACACTACAACAAGAAACGCGAGCAGAAGCGCAGAGAGCGTGAAGACAAGAAAGCGGATCTCCTGCTCAGCACGCGTGCGAAGTTCGTCAAGGAGTGGAAGGCCTGCTGGAGTGGGCCGAAGAAGGGGACCGAGGCGGAGAAGTTGGGAGAGCAGAAGTTCAAGGAGCTCGAGGAACACAGGAAGATTGCGAGGGAGGCGGTCAGGGAGTATCTCAGAGTGGAGAGGAAGAAGGCCAGGAAGGCGTTGAGGGTCAAGAGCGAGCAGCAGGGCGACGAGGGAGTGAAGGCTTTGGAGTTGCCGACTTATGGGAAAGCCGTGGGTGAGAAGACGATGTGATTTGAGTGTTTCGTCCACAAATTCTACGTTTCACGGTATCAGGAGAAGCCTTCATGGAACCTCAACGTGAAGCGAGATATACTACCTGTTAGTCACCGATAGGGAAGGAGATAAAAAAGGAAAGGCGTCTTTGTCAGGTCAGATTTCTGCATTACTATTTAGCAGCGTTCTACGTACATTTCAGAACCAATATAAATACAACGCCATGTGAACCCAGATCCCAAAGTAGGGAGACAGGCAAAACACAGAGTCTCTGACCCACGGCTTTTTTTGGAGGATGGGTAAAGGGAGGAGGTATTGGTGTAAACTCGCGAGAACGCAAGTCTACGTCACCCATCAATCCACGGATCCTGCATACCAGTAACAGGTAGATGTCGGCATGCTGGACATCACTCGTACCGAGGATCTATGGAGAGAATGACCTTCCTTCGACACGTTAAGATGACCGGGCTGTTTCTTGTTCGACAAACATCCACATGCGTAGCGTTCTCCGTTGGTTGACCGACTGGGAAAACAAGTCGGGCAGACCGACGGATTTGGGTTGTAGGAAAGTTCTGTCGAAAAAGACCCGGAAAAATCAAAATGTCGAAGAGTAAAACTCGCCAGTACCGCCATCAGGAATCCAACCGGTGGCTTACCCACCGATACAGTAGTACTTTCAGCCTCTCCGAAGATTAGTGATGAGTTTCGACCGTATGAGCTGAGACAAAGATGCCTCTGGATAAGCCAAGCAGTAGGGCATGATAAGGCAGCGCCAAGACGAGGGCCTCGACATCCACGCGCAAATCAACAACAAAACATGAGATATCCCTCGAGACCATTCCTCAACAACTGTTTGGTGATGGAACGGCCACAACGACAATGTTGCTTCCCCTAGGACAAGGGAAGGAACAAGGGGGGCTTCAGACCAGCGTGGTTTCCAAACATTCAAAGAAAATGGACAAGACCTGCTTCGTCCCGAGAATACTAAGGTCAAATGCCTTGGTATTATAGATCGAATAGACTTATGATTCCACTCCATCACGCAACACCAGCTGCGATAAATGGTGCAGTGCCATTCCTCTTTTGGAGGACGCCGAAAGCCTTGCTTGTACACCTCGGTTTGCCCGAGGCGCGATAGCCACAAAAGGGAGTATTGGGCAGTCGAAAGGTCAGCGGAAGAATGGACGAGATCCGGTCAACCTCGAAAGGCTCGCAGACCTGTCTGCACCACCGGTGAAGGGGCAGGGAAGGAACTCGATTCCCTCGGTCGTTATCCTTGCGGGGTCGGTCCTTTTGTCTTTGTTCTCTCGAGCTGAAAGGGTCACGAAACAATTCTTGAGTCACTCGAGAGAGAATTCGAGGCGACTCATTGTTTCGCTCCAAACTATCAGTGGGTTACAAAGAAAAGGACGCAGATTGTCCCGCCACAAGCATGTCATCATGCAACATGCACACTCACAATACCTCTACCACCCGTATTGTGCTTCTTACACTTCATGGTTCGCATTCGAAATGTGTTTATCCTCTTCCACAAATGTTTCATTATTTTTCCCGCTGTATTGCATGTTGCTGCTATTTTACACAATCGTACTCCAGCTCTGAAGTTGAATGGATAATATGTTGATTGTGTAGTATGGTTGGAAACAAAGAGTAAGTGAGAGTTCACTGACATGATTGTCAGGCTCTCCCGTGATGTCTTCGAAATTACTCAAGGTGTTATTAGTTTCAAATCCTATTCCAGATATCGACTCGCTTATCATCTCCGAAAGGATCTGATCTATCATATGATTGCGGCCTTTGCCTCTGAGAGGCGGCTGTACTTTCTTGATGATACTCGGTTTGAGAGACCTGCATCTCTTTTGGTGGTGGTGTATACTTCGGGGCTGGTTCCATTGGAGCCATTTTGTGATGATCGTAAACCGCGGTCAATGGAATATCAGTGAAACCAGCAGAGCGATCTTGCATCTCGGAACGATGCTGATCGGCTGATGGATATCTATCATCCGCGGGAGCAGAAGAGGAAAATTCACCTGCATCGCGACGGACCTTGTCACGTCCATTCCAAAGAGTCAAGGCGCGAATGACACCAACAAAGACAATGAAGATCCACACAAGAAGGATCCCTGTTGATATAAGAGCCTCGGTTCGGATGCCATCCTCGAGAGTACCAATGAATCGAGCAACTGCGCTAGAGATACGATCACTAGTTGCGTCACCTGGGTTGGATAGAAATGAATCATCAGGATTGGCTGAGGATGAGAGACTCTGAACGGCACCAAGACTGAAGGTATCGTTGTCAAAGAGAGGGAAGTCAACGTGTGCATTATCGGATACCCAGGTAAGACCCTTTTGAATTCCGGCAATCTTCATCAATGCTAGGCAATTGAGAACTTCCATGATTGGCTCATAAAGTGGTGTGCCACCAAAAGTGTCGTTCAAAACATCAGTTGTCTTGTCGACGAAGGCATTGAGAGTATCGTTGATTGCGGTCGTCGTAGTGTTGACCCAACCTAGCATATCGTCATTGATGTTTTGATTTGTTTCCATAAGGACCGCGTTGGTGCCAAGCGCCCATTGTGCTGATGCATTATTGAGTTGGGCCACGACTTTGTCACTGAAAGCGCCAACCTGATCGCTGAGTGTAGGGACTTGTTTTGCCAAGGCCGAAAGGAGAATGGCTTGACAGATACACGCGAAAAGGCCTGCGATGGCGAGTGCGAGGACGAATAGTGCAGCCTCGGTCGTGGCATAGGCAATCACCCATCTCATAAGGTTTTTCCTTCGCTGAGACTCGAAGCCTTGGGAGAATTTCAAACCTGCAGAGGAGGTATATGGCCGGCTAACAAGATAGACAACATCCATGGGATCACGAGCATTGTCGTGGACAAGCAAGGCGCGATCCTGGGCTTTGCGATATCGGATGATCTCTCGCCATGCCATTGGGACCATGACGAGAATAGCCAGCACAACCAGGACGCCAATGAATACACGTCGAGCTAGATGGGCTAGATCAGTCAATCTGTCGAAGAAGTCGTTGATACCATCGTCCTCGCCACAGAACCTGAGTTGTTCTTTCTGTGGGACGGGGAACGCTGTGCGATTGAAGGTGTAATTGCCCATGGATTCGGCCATGAGCTTCTTGACTTCTTCGAATGGTAGTCGAATAAGGGATTCAGTGAAGTTTTTCACTTCGTCAAAAGTAGGAATTGATTTGTTGAGTTTTTGAAGTTCGGCATCTAGGTTTGGTGGCAGCTTGAGTTTTCTGACGGCATCTTCCTGCTTGCTAAGATCGAGCTTTGGAGGAGTTGCAATTTGACTGCCGACAGAGAAGAATGAAGACAAGCTGTCAACCAAGTCGTTGTACTTGTCCTCAAAATCACCGACTACACCGCCTAAATCATCGCCAAGAGTTTTGGTCAATGAATTGAGGCCTTTCTGTGCAGAATCAAGTGTTCCAATGACGGATTCAAGACTTCCAGATACTGCGAGTGTGATGAGGCAAAGATAGGTATTTGTCATCATTCCGATGACGAAGACCGCGATTTCCTCGACTGCTGTCACACTCATAGTCGACATTTGCATTAAGCCGTTGACAGATTTCTCGACGCCAGTGGCGGCCAGCTCATTGACACCTTGAGACATGTAATGAGGCATGGAGGCCATGGTGGAGCCCATCGATTCGACTTCGGAACATGCTGAAAGTGCTTCAAGCCGTGCTGAAGCTAAATTGTTATCGATACCAGCGATAGCAATAAGGGTACGAATAAGAACAAGTAGGAGGAGGATGGTCCATCGATTGAACCAGATTTGTGATAGTCGAGCCCGGAGGCCAAGGTAGGGTGTGATGGATGGTGCAATGTGTGGTACAGACCGAGGTGGGTCTTGGTTGGAGTAATAATCTCGTATCTCATGATTGTTGGCAGGTATAGATGGAGGAAGGCCAGCCGAAAAGGCTGACGGGGCAGACATGTTGTTGAGATCGACAATGAATTATCTGTAATGCGTGAAGAGGATTAGTTATGGGATAGAATTCGGTCAATGCGAAGATTTGAGATGTGCAAGGAGAGGAATTGGGTATTTTGCAATGGCGAGAAGGAAGTCGATGGAGTGGGTGTTACAGTTTGGATGGTAGTATTAGGGAGGGATAGAACGAATCATCAAGACTCGACAAAAGATCGATTATGAAAATGACCAACAAAAGAAATTCGTGATATCAAAAGAGGCAAACAATAGGAAAAAGTGACAGAATGGGGCTTGAATGGGCGACAAGGGGACAATAAGAGAAGAATGAAAGTGACATTTCAGTCGTGGTAAACATACCGCATCCATTGTCAAACGCAACCTCACGTCCGCAAGGCTCCAACAACATGATGCACCGGTCTCAATCCAAAAGTCGACAAAAAGGTATTGCCATGTTTCAGAAGAGCGGTGCAAGTTGTCGGTGCATGAACATCGGCTGGTGGCAGATGTTTCCAAACACCGCTGGCGCGTAGGTCGGAAATGGCGCCCACCAGACTGAAGAAGCGCCTACCAACCATCTCGATCGTCAATTTTACGTCAGACACGCGCTCTCACGTGAAATCATCGATATGAAACTGATTGACTTGATGAGAATGGATCAGCAGACCACTCTTTCAGACCACTTCACCATCTTCCTTCCTTCCCCAAGGTCCAGCAACACAGACAACTCGCGCTTCAACGGTATGACGTCAGTCGCACCGTGTGCCGTCCTCACCAAAGTGAGAAGGAGAGTTGCGTTACCCAATTTGATGACCTTGGGGAAGGTTGAGAAGGAGACACAGGTGAAGCGATACAATGATCAACAATGTGCCTAAGGGGACAAAAGAGAGGACTGATGGCTGCTTGGATGTGCTCTTATAATCTTGATTTGAGCCACTGTCTGTGGCGTCTCGAATGGACGAGTTCTGCAAAATTCCTTGATTTTGGTCGGGGCTAGTCTATTTATGGCTTAGCCTGAAGCTAGCTCAACCCGTGTCCGCCGCATGGTTCGGCAAGGCTGCCAGATCATGTCTCTTCTTCACGAGGCTGTGAGTACTTTTAGTTTTCATTACACGTCACGAACGAAAGGCCAGTGATAAAGACTCTTCCTGATCTAGCGGTAGATAGAGCAGGTATATCGGAGCAGAAGAGAGATATTCTTACACCACAGGTTTGGTTTGCTGGTGGTTGGCTGGTCACCAATAAATCTGGCTGGGACAGCCCAAGGCAGCGAGTGGTTTCCCGTCATGTGACAGGACGTCCGGATTAAATATAGTCCAGCTCCGAGAACTCTTTGGTAAGCGGCTAACTACTTTGGGATACGCACCAGTGAGAGCAAGACTCAATTCGAAGGCACGTCCACACGGCGATTGAGGGAGATATTCTATCAACTTTTAGACACGATCCTTCTCTTTTGAATGCCATTGTATTGTGTCCAAATTCTCATGCATTGCCTCGAGCCATTCATCTATTCCATACCAGTCCAACTTGCAAGACCGACGAGCAAACAAATGGCAACAATGGATGGACAAGAAGCTCGCATTAGCGTGACAAATTCAACTCAACTACCGCTCCTCGGAGCGCAGCGATAAGATGAAGGCGTGAAAGTACTATTGTGCAGAAACTAATCACTGCTTCATAGAAATATATATCCACCCTGGCCTCACACTTTCTCCGAGCATCTCCCTTACTCCAATGTCCACTGGGGGATGGCTGGAAAATTCGATGCCTGACAGAGTCACGGAAGTATCAAAATTACCACCAAAACAGACTAGGCCGAATGCAGAATCCTTCTTCTGGCCCATAGATAAGAAGAGGCTGCCATATTTCCTCGCTCTTACGCCTCGATTTCCATCCCGCGGATCTTCGTGTTTGTGTAACTCAGATCTGGACTCGATTTCAATCTTCGATTTGGCAAGACATTCACGTCATGTTTGCCATCGAGCCTATGATCAGTCGCGGATCCAATATTGTAAGTGCTCGCCGACCGTAGTAAGCGGACTGAAGGTTTCTTTTTCCCACTCATTCCCGCGAATATGCTCGTTCCGCTTATTTTCCTTGTGTACCTTAACTTCAATGATGCTATACTAGCTGCTGAAGCTGTTACTCATTTACCTCTGCTCTGAATCACCCAATATCAAAATGGACAATTCAACCGTTGAGGCAGAAAACGTCCCTATACCCGGGGACACTGTTAAAGATACCATGCATATTATTCAAGGAACATTACCCCCTTCACCTCCTGCCACAGATGATAGCTGCTCAGTTTCAGAGGAGGAAACGACTGAGATCCCCTTCCCACCTCCGACGACGATTCCCACAGAAACTCTTGATATCGACCTTAAAACCCCTGACAGCCATGTACCACGAGATCCGAGATTAATTCGCTTGACCGGGGTTCACCCCTTTAATGTTGAAGCACCACTGACTGCATTATTCAACGAAGGTTTCCTTACTAGCCCAGAACTGTTTTATGTTCGTAACCATGGAGCTGTACCACAAGTCTTGGATGAAGACATTCCGGACTGGGAGTTCTCCGTCGAGGGACTTGTCGAGAAGCCATTCACCATCAGCATGCGTCAGCTCATGACTGAATATGAGCAGGTGACTTATCCTATCACATTAGTATGTGCCGGCAATCGGCGAAAAGAACAAAACATGGTCCGAAAGAGCAAAGGATTTTCTTGGGGGGCCGCTGGCTTGTCAACAGCACTATTCACGGGCGTTATCATGGCAGATGTCATCAAGCGGGCACAGCCAAAGAGAAGGGCGAAGTACGTGTGTATGGAGGGAGCCGATAAGTTACCCAATGGATATTATGGCACATCTGTGAAGCTCAACTGGGTTCTCGACGCCAACCGAGGATTTATGCTGGCCTATAAAATGAACGGCGAGATGTTACGGCCAGATCACGGCAAGCCACTTCGTGCTGTTATACCGGGCCAGATTGGTGGAAGGTCCGTCAAGTGGCTCAAGAAGCTTATTGTCACCGAGGCACCTAGCGACAACTGGTATCATATTTACGACAATCGAGTTCTACCGACCATGGTTTCACCTGAAGAGTCGGCGAACGATCCAAAATGGTGGACGGATGAAAGATATGCCATATATGACCTCAGCCCGAACTCGGCCATATGTTATCCCCAGCATGAAGAACAATTATGCCTTTCCGACGCGCCTAGTAGGTATAGGGCCAGAGGTTATGCATACAGTGGTGGAGGACGACGGATTACTCGTGTTGAAATCTCACTCGACAAGGGAAAGACGTGGCGGTTAGCCAATATTGAGTACGCCGAGGACAGATATCGTGAGGTCGAGAGAGAGCTGTACGGTGGCCGGCTAGACATGTCGTGGCGGGAAACCTCCTTCTGTTGGTGTTTCTGGTCGATCGATCTGGCCACCAGCGAATTGGTTGCAGCCAAGGATATTCTTGTTCGTGCCATGGATGAAAGCATGAATGTTCAGCCCAGAGACATGTACTGGTCCGTCTTGGGGATGATGAACAATCCGTGGTTTCGTATCGCCATCACGCGAGAAGGAGATTACCTGCGGTTCGAACATCCTACACAACCGGCGCTCATGCCGGGCGGCTGGATGGAGCGAGTCAAGAAGGTAGGCGGCAACCTAGCAAATGGCTACTGGGGCGAGAAACTCGAAGGGGAAGATCAACAAGAAACCGAACTCGAGCCGCCGAAAGAAATATCGATGGTCAAGGAAGGGCTGAAAAAAGCCATCACCATCGACGAACTACGAAAACACGATGGCGAGGAACAACCATGGTTCGTGGTGAACGGGGAGGTCTACGACGGCACAGCATTCCTCGCCGCCCACCCAGGAGGCGCACAGAGCATCATATCCGCCGCAGGGATCGACGCCACGGAAGAGTTCATGGCCATTCATAGCGAGACCGCCAAGGCCATGATGCCGACGTACCACATCGGCTCGCTGGACGAAGCCGCCAGAACGGCCTTGACGGAAGGCGACTCAGAAGCAAGCGGCCAACCAACCACCCCGACCGAAACATTCCTGCAGCCCAAAACCTGGAAGAAAGCCATCCTGCACGGCAAGAAGATCGTCTCGTGGGACACCCGCATCTTCACGTACAAGCTCGAGCACCCAAGCCAACGCCTCGGCCTGCCCGTGGGCCAACACTTGATGGTGCGGCTGCGCGACCCGGCGACCCGCGAAGCCATCATCCGCAGCTACACGCCGATCTCGGAGATCAACAGCGAAGGGTACATGGAGATGCTGGTGAAGGTGTACTTCGCGAACCCGAACACGTCCAGCCACGGTGGGAAGATGTCGCAAGCGATGGACGCACTTCCGATCGGCCACTTCATCGAGATGAAAGGCCCGATCGGCAAGTTCGAGTACCTGGGCCACGGGCGCTGTCTGATCTCGGGCGTTGAGCGCAAGGTGTCGTCGTTCGTCATGATCTGCGGCGGCAGCGGGATCACACCCATCTACCAGGTGTTCCGTGCGGTGCTGCGCGACCCGCGGGACGAGACGCACTGTGTCGTCTTCGATGGGAATCGTCTGGTCGAGGACATCCTGTGTAAAGAGGAGTTGGATCTGTTGGAGAAGGAGAATGGCCTACGTTGTCAGATTCACCATACGTTGACGAAGCCTGAGGAGAGCTGGACGGGGCTGAGGGGACGGGTCACGGGCGAGTTGATCAGTGGGCATGTTACGAGGGATGACGGGGCATTGGTGTTGCTTTGTGGGCCGGAGGCAATGGAGAAGTCGATGCACAAGGCGCTTTTGGAGCTGGGTTGGAAGGACGATCAATTGATGTTCTTCTGATGAGGAGTTGATTGATGTGTGTTTGTGTATGACGTGGATAAGGGATCTTATGATGACGAGGAATATTTACGATTTCGGATCAGGTATAAAATTGGTGTCTGGAGATGCCAGGTTTCACTCTTCATGATGAACTAGATTAGTGTGATTTTGTAAGAGCGTATATTCAGTGGTTACATAGCGTCAATAGCAGCCAAATAACATGATGAAGGCATGGATGATGATCAAAATTTTGGTGTTCGAGTTACTCTTGCGTCTGAGACGGGGAAAGAGAATAGGGCCTTTGGACGGCACCTTCACCTGACAACCAAATAAACTAGCTAGGTATGTTGATAAATCATTCCCATGACAATACAGGGTGACAATACAATTCACGCATGCCACCAGATGGAGATCTAGCCAAGACGACGTTATCGCAAGTCGCTCTATCAACCACTAATATTTCTGCGGCCAAACCCACCCCAGCTTTTTCTCTTATCTTGGAGGAAACCAATCTTGACCAACAATACAGCGCCTTCACCCACAATAGACATCGACTGCTGCCCCGTGGAGAAAGGTACCTACAGAGCAACATCCCAACAAAGCAGTTTCTGTACAGAGTACCGAGTGCTGGACCACACCGGACCCCATCTATCTCGATTGATCGTCTTTGCTGCCCTGAAGTATATGACACACCAAAGCCATGACATGACAATGAGGCCTTATCCATTGGTCGGACCATCATGGCCGATCAATGCCCATCTCTATCGCTTCTCGTTGGGTGACAGAGCCTCGCTGATAAGGTGGGTTTGGTTCGTTTCTGTTGGTCCTCGAAACAACAATGGCTTGAATATCCGCGGACTCGATGGTCTCAATCAGATCACAATGGTGGCTGTGGCGTCTGGCTGGGTTGGAGATATTCCTCATGTCATTCAGATTGTATGGTATCAACACATCTCCGGGATCAAACATTTCTTTTTCTCTGCTTCTTATGTTAGTTCTGCTCGTGATTTCTACGAATCCGTGACTGTGTCTCGTTCTTTTTACATTTCACTCGTCGTAGGCTTCGAAATCGTGTTGCTCGGATTTACCACAGGTTCTTCACGCACCACATGAATTGACCTTCTTGAAGATGTCTTGGGCGACATCATCACCTGGCATGGCGATTAGTCGTGCGCCAGAGGGTGCAGATCTGGTTCACGATGTACCAGCGGCATCCACTGAGCAGCGGAAGAAGGTTGTTGTAGTTGGACTGGGGATGGTCGGTGTTGCTTTCGTGTAAGTGCTGTGGAAGCCGATCGTGACTTGAAGTACTGAGAGCTGTTAACTAACTATTGCCGCCACAGCGAGAAATTGATGAAACTCGATGCAAAGCGCAAGGAATATGATGTCGTGGTTATTGGAGAAGAACCCCATCTCGCATACAATCGCGTTGGCCTCACGAGCTTTTTCCAGCACCGACAAGTTGAATCACTATACCTCAACCCTCAGTCATGGTACAAAGACCATGAAGGCACCTCCTTCAGCTATCACCTCAACACACTCGTCACTGAAATCAAACCTCAAGAAAAGGTTGTCGTCACTTCAAAAGGCGATACAGTCTCGTATGACATTCTAGTGCTAGCGACGGGATCGGACGCTCTTCTCCCAAAGCATACGCCCGGCCATGATGCAAAGGGAGTGTTCGTCTATAGAACCATAGAAGACCTGGAGAAGCTGATACAATTTTCTTCCACGGTCAAAGGAACGACAGGATGCGTGGTGGGAGGTGGTTTACTCGGACTCGAGGCTGCCAAAGCCATGATGGACCTTGAAGAATTTCAAAAGGTCAAGCTCATTGAAAGAAATCGATGGGTCTTGTCAAGACAACTGGATGGGGATGCTGGCGGTATGGTTGTCGAACTGGTTCGAGCCTTGGGTCTGGATGTGATGCTTAGCAAACGTGTTGGCAAGATTCTCACAACCGAGGACAATGCCGTCAAAGGGATCATCTTTGAGGATGGCGAACAAATGGATTGTACATGCGTCATGTTTGCCATCGGAATTAAAGCCAGGGACGAGCTTGCTCGAAAGGCTGGCTTGAAATGCGCTGACAGAGGTGGTGGCATTGTCATCAATAATGATTTGAGGACAAGTGATCCCAATATCTATGCCATTGGCGAATGCGCAAGCTGGGAGAATCAGACTTTTGGGTTGATCGCCCCTGGTGTTGAACAGGCCGATGTCCTTTCATTCAATCTCAGCCAGGCTAAAGTGCATGCTCCGAGAATATTCAAACGACCAGACTTGAGTACCAAGTTGAAGCTATTAGGAGTGGAAGTCGCCAGTTTTGGTGATTTCTTCGCTGATAGGGACGGACCGAAGGACCTTCCGGTACGACATGTCAAGCGAGAAGAGAGGAAGGAAGGTGCAGGACAGACCAGAGTCAAATCCTTGCTCGATGGACCACCACCACCTGCTGTCAAGGCACTCACGTACAAGGATCCATTCCAGGCCGTGTACAAGAAATACTTGTTCACCATGGACGGTAAATATCTGCTTGGCGGTATGATGATTGGAGATACCAAGGACTATGTTAAGCTGGTGCCAATGGTTAAGAACAAGAAGGCTTTGGATGTGCCACCCTCGCAATTTATCATTGGAGCATCCAAGGATGGTGAGGAAGATGGAGATGATCTGACAGATGATACCCAGATTTGCTCCTGCCATAACGTCACCAAAGGCGACGTTGCTGGAGTGGTAAAGAACGGCTCATGCAAGACCATCGGCGAAGTCAAAACATGTACCAAAGCCGGTACAGGCTGTGGTGGCTGCATGCCACTGGTACAGTCAATTTTCAACAAGACGATGAAAGAAATGGGCAACGAAGTCTTGAATCACCTATGCCCCCACATTCCTTATTCACGAGCTGACCTTTACAACATCATCTATGTCAAAAAGCTTCAGAGTCTCGCCGAAGTCATGAAAGAAGTTGGGACCGATCCAAACAGTCTGGGATGTGAATTCTGCAAGCCTGCGATCGGCTCCATTCTTGCAAGCTCTTTCAACAAACATATTTTAGACAAACCTCTCCGTGGACTGCAGGACACCAACGACAAGTATCTTGCAAACATTCAACGCAACGGTACTTTTTCGGTTGTGCCTCGTATTGCGGGTGGAGAGATCAGTGCGGATAAGCTGATTGTCATTGGACAAGTTGCAAAGAAATACAATCTCTACACCAAAATCACTGGTGGTCAACGTATTGATCTGTTCGGTGCAAAAAAGCAAGACCTGCTGAACATCTGGAGTGAACTTGTCGCTGGCGGTATGGAATCAGGTCACGCATATGCCAAATCACTTCGAACGGTCAAATCATGCGTGGGAACGACATGGTGTCGCTTCGGTATTGGCGACTCAGTAGGTATGGCCATTCGATTGGAAGAACGGTACAAATCCATCCGTGGACCACATAAGATCAAAGGTGGTGTTTCTGGTTGTGTGCGAGAATGTGCAGAGGCACAAAATAAAGACTTTGGCCTGATAGCCACGGAAAAGGGGTTCAACATTTTTGTGGGAGGTAATGGAGGCGCCACACCCCGGCATTCTGAACTTCTGGCGAAGGACGTCCCTCCTGATGATGTGGTTCCAATCTTGGACCGATATCTGATGTTCTACATCCGAACCGCGGATAAATTGCAGAGAACTGCCCGGTGGGTGGAGCAACTTCCTCAAGGTATCAAATATCTTCGAGAGGTGGTACTCGAGGACAAGTTGGGCATTTGTGCAGAACTGGAGAAACAGATGCAAGAACTCGTTGGTACATTCTTCTGTGAATGGACCGAGACGGTCAACGACCCAGAAAAACGGAAAGCATTTGAACAGTTTGCCAATTCATCCGAAAACCAAGAACCAGCCGTGGAGAAAGTTGAGGAAAGAGGACAACTGAGACCAGCATATTGGGCACAAGACTCGGTCCTTGATGATTTCAAGGGCACACGATGGACAAGTCTGACGTGGCAGCCAATGGTTGAAGCCAAGAAGTTCCAGGATATTGACACTGGATCGTCTCAGACAGTGATCAGAGGTGATACCCAGCTGGCAGTATTCAAGGTCAAGGGCAAATACTACGCGACTCAACAAATGTGTCCACACAAACGGACCTTTGGACTTTCTGACGGCTTGATTGGAGAAGCCTCGTCACCGGACTGCAAGGACAGCAAGCTTTATGTCAGTTGTCCTTACCACAAACGAAATTTCCAGTTGAATGGAGAGGTCGACTTTGACAAGAAAGAAGCCGGTGCAGGATCATGTTCCAATGATACGAGCATGTCGATCGCAACCTTTCAAGCAGAAGAGCGGGAAGATGGTTTGGTTTATCTGAAACTCCCCCCAGTGCAGGAAATGGATGCAGTTCTTGGGACGAACAAATGGGTGGTCAAGAAGGAAGAAGGCCCCAAACCATTTGAGAGTCTGGACAGAAAACTCGGCCTCAATAAAGGGTTGAGGGCTTCCCGCACCATGGGAGCGATGCCAGGTACCGGCAATGTCAACGCAGCACGGACTGTGGCCGTTGCAGCACAGAGAAGAATTGATTGGTAAAGGCAATACTGGGGCACTTGTATATCACATGAGCGTGGCATCAGGATTTGATGAATGAGGTAAATATACATGGCCATGACATAGAATTGATGACTTTGGATGATAAAATGGAAAACTGTCTACAACCATCTCTACTTTAGGTAGGTACGTACCTCCAAGTTGTACTCAATTGAATTGAGCCGGGGGGCACAGCCACAGTGCCTGGGAATGGACCTGTAGGGATGCTTATCGGCGAGCTTAGGCACACTCAGGCTCAAAACTTCGGGGCACGTGGGTGGCGTGAGATTGTTTTTTGTTTAGTGAAGATTGGAAAGAAATAGGGTGATTGTCTGCGAATGCCTAGATAGACAACTGATGATCATGCATTGTGTCCTCTTCCCAGCGGCAAAAAAAGGAATGCTCAGTGTCATGACATCTGGTTGAGCTGATCTTCTCCAGCCTGCCTGAGAGTCGAAGTGGCTGATGATGAGCATGATTTTGTGCACAACTTTAAACCTGAAGGCAACGTTGCTATTTTCAGCCAGTTTGTTCATGTCCCGTCCCAATCAGTGCTTAATAACCCAAAATCTGAATCTGCCCTGAGACCCTGACCCTGACCCTGACGTCGATTTTTTATGCGGAACATTAACTGCGGAGGGACTTGAGGGAATGTGGCCAGATTGATTAATCCTCAATCAACACTTTATGGCCTTGATGGTTATTTCCCTACTGCCTTCCGTTTTCTCGTTCCTTCACAATCTGCATGCCATTCTTTTGTCAATATTCATATTCGTCCTCATTCACGCTCTCTCTCTCATGCACAATACCTGCATGATCCTTTCCATTTGAGCCCGTACGCCGTTCCGCCACATTCTCATTCAGACCGGCCAATATGCGCCTGCAACACGCATCACCCTTCTTTCTCACCCTCTACCTCTTCCTCCGACCTCATTGCATTCGAGCCGAACCACAATGCGCTATAGACCCCAATTCAATCGTTACCGATGCATGCACCTCATATTCTGACCTCGAGCAATTAAATGCCCAACTGGCTCCTGCTCTAGAAGAGTTGACTCAACGGACCGACTTCTTCGCCTACTATAGACTGAATCTGTACAACAAAGTATGTCCTTTCTGGAGCGATGAAAACTCCATGTGTGGAAACCGCGCTTGCGCGGTGGACACCATAGAAGATGAAAGCGAAATCCCCATGATATGGAGAGCCGAAGAGTTGAGTAAACTTGAGGGTGCAAAGGCCAAACATCCTCCCAGGGCTTTGCAGCGAGAGAGACCTAAAGACCGTCCACTACAGTATCAGCTTGGAGAGAACGTCGACGAAAGTTGCGTCCTTGAAGATGACGATGAGTGCGACGAGCGAGACTACTGTATCCCTGAAGACGAGGGTGCGACGAGTAAAGGCGACTACGTCAGTCTTGTTCACAATACCGAGAGATATACTGGCTACTCTGGAATGGGAGCCCGCCAGGTCTGGGATTCGATATACAAGGAAAACTGCTTTTCTACAAAAGTGCCCAGGCATGCAACCCTCGCTTCAAAGCCTCTCCAAGCGGCGCAGAGTTTGAAGAATATCTTCCAGGAATATGGTCGACAGAACGTGGACTCCAAGGATGATCTCTACCCTCTGGATGATGAGTGTCTGGAACAGAGAGCATTCTACCGTATTGTCAGCGGTATGCATGCTTCCATCTCCACCCATCTGTGTTGGGATTTCTTCAATCAGACAACCGGAGAATGGGTGCGCAATGTCGACTGCTACAAGGAAAGGCTCCACGGATTCCCAGAAAGACTGTCAAATGTTTACTTCAACTATGCCATCTTGACTCGCGCGGTCGCTAAAGTCAGGAAACACCTGGAGTCGTACACATTCTGCTCTGGAGATCCCGACCAGGACTACGAAACGAAACAGAAAGTTCTTGAATTGGCAGGCAAAGCGGCGGCGGGTCCGAGCACGTTCGATGAGTCAATCATGTTTCAAGATCCGTTCATGATTGATCTCAAGGATGATTTCCGAAATCGATTCCGCAATGTGTCTCGTCTAATGGACTGTGTTGGCTGTGACAAGTGTCGACTATGGGGTAAAGTGCAGACTGCAGGCTACGGTGCTGCATTGAAGATTCTATTCGAATATGACGAGAAGAAGAATGGCGAAAACCCACATCTCAGAAGAACCGAACTTGTCGCACTGGTCAATACCCTCGGCCGTGTTAGTCACAGTTTAGATGCTATCCAGAGATTCCGATATGCGATCAACACAGGCGACAACAGCGTCCTCTACAGTAACGGGCCATTACCCAAGGTCAAAGAACAATTTACCAAAGCCTCCGATGTGATAGACGATGATGAGGACGACTTCGACCTCGACGAAGACACCTACGCGCCGGAAACACCTGTCCTTCCACCGAGAACCCTGTCCGAAGAGTTCTGGGACGAGTGGAATCTCGTGTGGCGCACCTACATCATGGTCCTGAAAAGCTGGCGGGACATGCCCTTGAAATTCGCGGCCATCCTCGTCATGGAGATGAACCGCCTGTGGAACTACTGGATCGGGCTTCCCGTCCCACCTCGCTCTTGGGATCTCCATTTCCCCACCAGAGATGAGTTGTAAATATATGTGCATTTTAATGGAAACATGAAGAAGGAGTCTCGCATGAATGAGAAGGACGGATCTCTAGTTAAGAATGGAATGAGGAAGAGCCCTTGGGCGCCCGAGCATAATGGCTTCTTCAAATGGCTTGCATAGCGTTGGCGTTTTTTCCCGAGATACTAGATATTGCAAAGGTATAAAATGAAATGCATATCGTACATACACATCAACTCAACAGAAGGCCCTAGTATTTACCCCACAACCTTTGAAGAAAAGTTCGCTCTGTTCGATAATAAGACTCTCAAAACTCATGGTCGCTGGTGGGCGTGGGTGGCCAGGAACGCGTCCACGACGCGCCTGGAAACCCGCGTTGTCCGGGCAACACATGACTCCCTTTCAAGTTCGCTTGAGAACTTGGACTTTCCAGCAACCTTGAACCTTACCACTAATAATTGAAACCAGCCTCAACGCGACATAGACTACCTACCTACGCATGAGCGAGTCACCAGCATAAAACTCCACGCCTGCATGCTTAAAAAAGTCTACACGCAGAATACGCAGAACAAGTAACCTTGGAAACCCGGACTCGAGATCGATCGCAAGACATGAGAAGTCTTCTTCGGACGATTTGATTCTCGCGCATAAAACGAAACGGAACGTAGGGGCCAGACTACTACTTAAATCAATGGGGACGCCGTGCCCGGTGCCCGCGTCAGCAGGCGTGTCGCGACGGCCATGGCGAGAATCACTGTTCAACGATCTGCCCGGCGGTGATGACACGACAACCAACATTGAATTCACGTCGGCGTTTGGGAGGCCCAAGCCCCAGGTACCGGCGAAGGCGAGCTTACAGTCGTCGTTGATGGGTGGGAAGCCGCGGAGGACGAATGTTGGAAGGAAGGGGGGGAATGGTGGGTTGGGATTCACGATTTATGATGATGACGATGACAATGTCGACAATGCGGTTCGAAGTGTCGGAACAAGACTTGCTCCTGCCAACACGCTGACTGTGCCTGCAAAACGAGGCGTGATGGCCCAGCCGCCGCAGCGGCCCAAGCATCGTGTTTCTTTTATGCAACCTCCTCCTCCTTCTTCGAGTGAGGTCGAGGTCGCTGGACCTCTATTAGTCAGAGAGGATGTTTCGAACCTTCGCTCGGTTCAGAGGCAGAGCCAGTCTCGGCGGATATCTCAGGTTCCACCGCGACGGCCGGCCATGAGAGACGATAGCGCGAGGAACGAGACTCAGAAGCAACCGTATCTGCAGCAGCCGTGTCTGGCGCCTTTGCCCGAAGACATGGACTTGACGATGCCGGCGATGGATTCTACGATGACGATCCTGAAGCCTGCGCGGCGCGGGACGATCTACATCCCGAACGAGGACACGACCATGCCGAGCATGTACATGGGCATTTTCAGTCCGATCAAGGACCTCGATACCCGTGCTATCGTCGAAGCAGCCAATGTGCCAGACTCCGAGCTCACCGGCATCGCGGCGCAGATGGCGAAGAAGCGGGCACCCGCACGTCGACAGTCCGTCATAGCGGCTTCGCCAAAGCGAATGGGCGGACCGTTGCAGACTGTCTCTAGACCAGTGCAGGAATCAGCTGTGGTACAGGATAGATTAGGACAAGGAGCCGGGAAGGAAAATGTCCCACCCGGTCAGAGTCGGATGGGAAGACTGGTAGAAATGGAGAAGAAGAAAGAGAGCATGAAGCCGGCGAAGAGAATATCGGGTGTTGTGCAGAAGAACCTGAGTGTGGAACACCGATCGCTGGCGGACAGTATGGCCAGCTTGAGCTTGAATCTGGAGCCCGTCAGGCACTCCAGCAGACTATTCGCGCCGACGACGAGCTCGTTGAGCAAGGCAGCGGAGCGACCGATACACAACAGCAACGTGGGTGTCAAGACCAGTTGGAACGCCGGGCTGAAAGCCCGCACCGCACAGGATGCAGCTCCCACTACAAAGAAATCACCACCTCCCAAACCCAAAGTACCAGAGCTGCGACAAGAACAAGTGGTCGTCTCGAAGAAAGCGAGCGTCCCGAGCCGCTTCGTCGTCCCCACAGCCATGATCAAGAACGAATCTGTTCTCCCACTCCCTGCTCCCCAAACATATCCGGTCCTAACAGAGAACCTCGTGACGCCATCCATGTACGAAGACAACTGGCTGCAGCACCAGGAAATCGCCATGACACAGCTCGTGAACAGCCTGTTCGACACGTCCGACCCTCCAGCGGATCATGAGCAAGCCGGCGCAGACGGCGGGATGCTGCGCGTGCGCCTGCTCGAGATGTACGGCAACGCGGAGAGTGCATTGCTCTTCAAGCGGCTCCAGGCCGCGCTGATGTACGGTGCATTCCGTGCGCCGGTGGAGGGGTCGGCGGGCGCGGCCAAGTTGAGCTGCGATGTCGGCAAGCGCAAGGCCTTTACGGACCTGTGGCTGACGACGTATGAACTCGGGTGCTTGACGGCCGCGCTCGAAGCCGTCGTCGGTCGGAGGTGTGGTGGTGCGTCGCGATTTGCGTCGCCAAGGGCGGCGGCAGCGAGGAGCAGGAAGGAGGGAAGTGGTGCGAGTACCTGCGATGAGGAACCCCGAATGAATCGTGTGCGTCAGTCGTTGCGACGGTTCATCGAAATATTCTTGATTCGCAATGAGGATGGAGAGCTCGATGAGGCAACGTCTTCGTCCTCAACGGCACATGCATCGTGGTCGTACCAGCGGACTATGCTTCGAAGTCTGATGCTGATCAAGTTGTTGGACGCTGCGCCAATCGGTGGTTGTCTGTTTCAATTATCGTCAAGTTACAAGTCATCTCTCAGTCTAATACAAGCACTGTTTCAGATGCTTAATCCCAGCGCGGGGGATCCGACTCGAGCACTCGGGCACGTAGGTTATAGCGTCTACCGTGTCCAGCATCCTCTTGAAGAGTACAACTACAGGATACAGAACCTTGCGGTGGACCTACGAGACGGAGTACGGCTGACCAGACTTGTTGAGGTGCTCCTTCTTTCAGGCGATGACTCTCCACTCGAGGAAGCAGAACAGCAACAGAACCGGCCCGGACGGCCCCTGTCTCAACAACTCAAATTTCCATGTCTAGGCCGAGCCACCAAGATTCACAATGTGCAGGTGGCGTTGGATGCACTATACAACATCCAAGGCATGGCAGCCCTGACACACGACATCGCAGCTGATGATATCGTCGACGGATTTCGAGAGAAGACCGTGAGACTTCTTTGGGGATTGACGAACAAGTGGGGGCTAGGAGGGCTTCTTGACTGGGAAGACGTCGAACGAGAAATCAAGAGAATTGGTCGCTCAAACAGTGGCATGGATTGTGGCGGTCAAGTATATTTCACCAACGCCTTGGTGGGAGAGGAAGATGGATGCTCCAGGTATAGAACATTGTTGGTTTCCTGGGCGCAAGTCATTGCCCGTAAGAGGGAGATAAGTGTCAGCAATATGACAACTAGTTTCGCTGATGGGCTGGTGTTCGAAAGCATTGTGGACGAGTATCAGGAACACATCATCGGCAACCACCGACGAACCGATTGCAAGCATCTGTCTGAACGACTCAGGGGTCTAGGATGCAGCGATCAATTTGCAGGCCTGTTCTCACCTTCATCTTCGTCATCGAACCGAACACACATCTTTGATCAGGATTTTGTCATGGCGGCATTAGCATTTCTGTGTTCCAGATTGCTTGGACCATCAAGGAGTTCGAGAGTTGCAGTGACGATTCAAAGGGCTTGGCGAACGCGCTGGGGGCGTGTCTTGCAGGGCCGCAAAAGTCAGTTGAAAATGATGGCTGAAGGTTGTGCATCTTTGGTTCGTGCGAATAGAAGACAGGTTCTGGATGGGGATGAGTGTCAGAGTGAAGACCTACCCATTGGTAACACGTTGAACACCGCCCCTCAAGGCAAGGATGGCGAGGCTGCGGCCAAGACTGAGACTGCGTATGACACTGACAGGACGATCACGATAGAAGTGTCGATGTCGGTGGATGAGAAAGTTGACGAGCCCGAGGGTGACATCTGGTTGAGTCTTTGAGGGTGGGGATATTTGAATCAGGGGCTACCATATAGCATGACCTGGCATGACATGGCCTGACCTGACTTGGGTCTGAAGTAGTCGTGTGCCGTGTCTTGATTACCTAGGTAATGAATTGTGTACTTGATCCGCTTCGTCAAAAAAAATAAAACAGCTCCTATTATCAGTTGGACCAGCCTTGTATCCGGACCACAGTGAGGTGACCAACTCATGGGTAGCGTAGTCTGCATCGTGAAGATGGGTCCAAGGACAGTGGTGGCTGACTTGCACTGGTTACACGGCATTGCTTCCGCGTACCTGGATCTTCTGCAGGGGAATGGGCCCAAATAGTCAGGTACCAGAAAGCGGTGTCAAGTGGTCCCACTACATTAGGTCCGGATACGGGTTCGCGCATGGAAACACAGATCCAAGCACAAGGTCTCAATAGTTAGAGGCCTGTGGCATGTGTTTGATAGATCGGTAGTGGGAATAGACTGGGGCCATGGACACATGTAGATTGAACGATGTGGGACTGTACTACCTATATCGATATTGATAGATTTCTATTGATTCAGCACGGAGCACGCCTCAGCACAGAACAGATGTCGATCTCCACGGAAGGCCAGTCGTTGCAGAAGCAGCGACTTGGACATGAGGCAAAGAAGACAAAGAGGCCAGAGCCCGAGCGGCGTGCCCTGTGCCTGTGCCTGTGCCTGTGCCTGTGCCCTGTGCCCCTTCTCATTCGGAAGGGCGTCTGATGGCGGAAGCTGGTGATCCGAACAAATGAGCATCAACCACATTGCTCTAGACGAATGATCAGCAGTGAGCAGTGGTAATGTCGGCGTCAATGTCGGATATTTGACGAGGTGTCGGTTGCAGGTGTGTATTGGTATCCATTCGCGTGGAAGACGGAGGGAGTCCCTGCGAACGGAGCCTCCAAATCTAACATGGTCTCTCGGGACATTGGACCGTGCCGGTAGTGTTACTCCAGACAGACTATCCGTAGCTCGTATGGCATCATGAGGAGGCAAAAGGCAAAGGGTTCATGGCTCAAAGGGCTAACGTCCTTCCGTAAAAGGACGCTGCTGCATGATGCTGAAGATTGTTGATTTCTCCGAATTTCAAGCCATTTTCACCCACCATGATTCTTACGAAGTACGTCCGGAGCTCTTTGCCGCCGAATTGAATTCAGCCATGGTCCCATGGTCAACCCGTATTTGCAACCGTCACATGGGCAGAGAGATTTCTCATGGAAACTCAGTCGTCCTCGACGTGTTAATTTCTCGGGGGCTTTCCCGCTTGAAGGGGATTCTGCAGCAGTTCTGCAGCTGAATCAGTGAGACCCCGGTCAGTGCCTCTTTATCCAGGGGATCAATTGGACGATACATGGACACCCTCAGCCGTGTGGAAGCGATCCGAGTTCTTGGGTCTGGTTCCTCAAATTTCCACGCACTGCAGCTTGCAGCTTCAAATTCGAGTTCGAGTTTCTGGGAGCCACTTGGAGTTCTCTCGGGCATCCTTCTTGTCGTATCCGATTATTTACCGAATGCGAACCACAGGCCACACCGTTCTTTGCGCCTACTATAGCGTGCAAAACAACACGTCAAATGTACCGAGTCCATTCTAGTGAATTCTTGGGCCGGTCTGGACCCACGCCGGTGTCCTTTATCAAGTTGGTCACTAAACTCATCCCGTCAACCCCGGCCACGTCTCTGTCTTTTTTTTTGGCAAAAGGTTAAACCTCACTCAAGTTCTGGGATCGAGATCCCCAACCCACTGACCGGCCTTTTCCAACGGCTCGGTACTCATGCCGTCCCTTGGATCCAGAGACTCCTTTGATCACCCTATCATGCAAAGGACTGACTGTTCCCCCCGTCTTTTTGCCTCCTACTGAGTGGAGTCATGCCCTACCTTGTCCCAGTCCCAGCAGCTTGGGTCCTCCTTCCTCTGTCGTGGACTTCGTGGGACCCATCGTCTTCTCTTGCGTCAAAAACTCTTGTTTCTCGGGTTCTCTCAGGTCTTCCCACGTCAGCTCCCGTCGTGCAAAAGATCTTTGGACAATGTTCATGATTCGTGAACCCATTACTAGGCCAGTAGTGCTTGCCAATTCATGTCCCCTTCTCTTCTCTACCTCGAGAGAGAACAACACAGAGTCCTTCCCCTCTAATTTGTTGAACTCAAGGGCGACCAACCCGTACTATACATTTTGATCTCTTTTCGACCTTTACACTCATCAAAACATGTCTTGTCAACGCCATCTTGGTCTCAAATAGTCGTTTTTGACCGTCGCCCTTAAATAGTGACTTGAAAATGTCTCTGTCTTCCCTCCCACCAGAGCTTCTTCATGAGATACTAGTCTACCTACCAATCTCCAACATCCTTGCCTTTTCTCAGACATGTAAGGAGAACTTCACCACCTCGACACTAGCTCTGCAAACACTTCACCTTGCGGTCTTACCCCGTCGTATCTATGGCCTGTTGACATTCCTCAACTCTCTTCACCTCGATGACAACGACCATCCAGACATATACGATGGCACATCTACACTTCACCAAATCACCATTCCATCCGAACTACCTATCAAATATCTCGAATCATCCACAAAATCAGGATCTTCAAGACCACGGAAGCCGAAATTGACCCCAGCTCAGTATCGAGAGCAGCTTTTCGCTCTTCAGAACAAGCTAGCATGCTCTGCATTGTCGACCTCTGCGCTGTCCAAAGTTCGTACCTTAAGTCTACACCTCTACGAGCTAACTTCTCCGGACTTGACAAATCTTCTCGCTACATCATTCGATAACCTCCAAAATCTTCACCTCAATTTCTCCCATCCTTATCTGCACGACACTTGCCTCCCAGCACGATATTGGACATCACCAATCTTCTTAAAAGGCAGCCCCATCTGGAATTCATTGGCCGGTCTAGGTGATCAGCACGCAGCAACTCTGAAGCTGAGAACCTTGGAGACATTAACCATTGAGAGAGCGGGGATTACAAGTGTCCAGCTACGCAAGTGGGTAGAGCAGAATCCTCGATTGAGGCAACTCGTTCTGAGAAATGTTTTGGGTGTGGATCGTGAATTCGTTGAGTGGTTGGGTCAGTATTACTCCTCGACAAGTAGTATTGGAAACAGGGAGAGACTTGTGAGGCTGGAAAAACTCTCCCTGGAGCAGTGCTCGTCTCTTTCGCTCAAAACGAGAGAAGACTTCACTTGGCTCGATTCTCTATTCAATCTGACATCACATGCCACAACCACCGAGACGCCGGAAACGATCACAGATCTGGCCATCAGATCCGATTCGAGCTGTCTGGGGACTTTATCTTTGTTGGGCTCAAGCTCTAGTACCGTGTCCATTGACAATCTTCTCGCATATCTTGAAGAAGGCAAACCAGCCGTCAAAAGAATAACCCTTCCAGATGGACGGACTTTCGTTGCGAAAAGTCCGCAAAAGCAAAAGCTCCAGAGTAAACATGGGTCAAATCCTACTCGCCCCACGACGACCAGGAATGGAAGCACGAGGAGTCTGAATGATATCCATGTATCAGACGAGGACAACAGCGAAGAGGATGATCCTGATGCAGACACAAGTGAAGAAGAGGAAGAGGAAGGCAACAAGATTGAATCGCGTGGCAGCCGAGCACGAGCTTCGGTATCGTTTCTTTGTGAAAAGAAATCCCTAGCCATGTGGAAGGGAGCCTGGAGTGGTACTCGTCGCCAAGGCGGAGCGTCTGAAGGTACCACGTCTCTACAACCGGGGAATGCAACCATCGAGGTCGATGAGCGACATGTCGCATTAGATGCGGATAATGACCGCAGTCGGCTCATGAGACCAATTGTCAAAAGGTTGAGGCAGTGAAGAATGAATGGATGGAAACGAATTCAATTTAGACTCGCTCGACATGATCAGAGAGAGACCTATGGAAAGGGAACGAAATGAAATGAAATGGGAGGGCAATATACTTGGAAAAACTTTGGGTGGGAGAAATTATGACGGACTCTGAATACCCCAGGATTATAGGATGGGAATACGCAAGTATGACGACTTGGCAGGAATTGGAATGATCAGGTTGGGACTTACAGATGTGGGATCGGCTATCTCTTTCACTACTACTGCGAGACTGTGGCTCACGTCAAAAGATGGACAACAGCGAGGCTAGACTGGCTAGACTGGCAAGGAGGCAAAAACTTGGGATGGATGTCTGTGATTTTGAAAGCTGATTTGACGACTTGATGAGGTGTATTGAATGAATAAATAACTAGGTATGGCTATTTTGGTAAACCAGGTAGCGGGGTTGAAAGATTTCTCCCTTCTCTCACGACAGATATGATTATTTAGAAAGACATTCGCTACTTTACACGTCATCTTCTTCCTTCACATGGTCTTGGAGAAGATCAATACGAGCTTCAAAAACCATCATATAGCATAGCGCCAACATACGACCTCACCGGGTGGGTAAATGTCACTGAAACCAATCAATTAACTCATCCCCACATGGCCACTCCCCTAAATAACCAAAACCTTACAACTCAACGACCAACTTCAGCGCACTGACGCCCTCCCTCAGCCGATCCAGGGCGACATCCAACCCGCGCAGGCCAGCAGGCACGGAGTGCGTCTCAGGCGCAGGGATGAACGCGCCGCTGTCCAGGGCTGGGCACAGCCAGCGCGCGAACACGAACGCGAAATGCCGGTCGCGCAGCCCCTGTTCTACCGGCGGCGGGAGGATGAAGCGCGTGTCGACGCCCTCTGTCATCGGCGAGGACGCGTCCATGGGCACCGCGGTCGCGACGATGCCTTTGTCCGCCCCATCGCTGGTAAAGGCCGCGATGACTTCCTGCGCCGACTGCAGGTCGCCCGTCGCGTGGAATGCGAGGTCCAGGCTCACGTTGGCCGCGCGTGCGGCGGTTATGATTTGTGTGACGACGCTGGCGGGTGCGCCGTGGTAGTCGAAGACTGCGGCGGCGCCGAGGGATTGCAGGTATTCGGCGTGTCGCGGCGAGGCGACCGCATAGACGGTCAGGCCGAGCGTCTTGGATGCGATTTGCACGGTCGCGAGCCCGATGCTGCTTGCTGCGCCCCAGACTAGGAGACCTTTTTTGGTGGTCGTCGTGGTGGTATTGATTTTCGTATCGTAGGACAGGTCGAGGGTTGTGATCCCGGACCAGGCGGTCACCACGGCCATGGGGAGTGAAGCGCCTTGGTTGAAGCTGATGGTGTCTGGGAGTGGGGTGACGTTATCGGCAGGAACGAGGACTTTGGTCTGGAACGCGCCGTATGAGGGCTTGCCTTGTGTGTAGATGGACACTGCATAGGCGGCAACACGAGTGCCCGATCTGAGAAGCGTGCCTCTCGAGGACTGGGGTACATCGGCGCCTACTGCTGCGATCGTTCCGGCTATGTCGGAGCCTGGGATGGCTGGATAGTCCTGCAAAAGGAAGCCCGAGTCTCGCATGTAGTAGTCCACTGGGTTCAGAGCGATGGATTTGACGTCAATGAGAATCTCGTTTGGTCCGGGGCTTTGCGTGGGTAATTTCTGTATAGAAAGTCGCCCTGCCTTGGAGACGAGCATCGCTGCGTCGTGCGTGGGAGTTGCCATTGTTGTTTGAGATCTGATGAATCTTGTCTTACCAGATTCGAGGGCTGTTGACGGCCAGTACTTCTATTTTGCTTGCAAAGCGTCTCGAGTTCAAATCTCAGATTGGCATCTTCCCTGGGGTTACGACATATTCTATATATCGAGCGGCATGGTCCCGATGATTCCATATTCCATATTGGCGACCTACCGTGGAAATTCCTTTTGGCCTACCTGTATCAAGTGATGCTTGATTAGAACTCTCCGACATCTTGCTGTGATGCGGGAAAGAAGTTGTTCCGGAGTGTTGATATGTTTCCGAGCCGTTACATGTACGATGTAATCAGGTGGAAGGGACGAAATGGTGGTTGACGATGAAGCTCACCTTCTGGAGATTAGGACTTGATCTCGGGATTCACACTTCCCTTGAGAGGCCTAGTTGGAGAGATACCCTTTCTTAAGTCCGTGTAGTCAGTGTGCGATTTGGAGCCAAATCACGTGGTACCCCGACGCGTCCCCCGCACTTCCACTCAACGCGTCTCTCCAGCTTGTGTAGCAACTTTGCGATTGACGATTTGGATCCTGGAACAGTGACTTGAACATCAAACACCATACTGGCGGTTCCCTCCACAATCTCCCAGGGTGGAGAGAAATGAAATGATATGGACGACTCACTCTACGACACATCATGGATACTGTACACCATCCCCTCCCTGAGCACACCACTAAACTCACTTCTCGCTCCTCCACCATCCTCTTCGCAATCCACCACATTTTCTGCTCTTGACCAGCATGCCAAAATCCTCCACAACTCCCTCATTGATCGCCAACGACCCCGATACGAAGATGAGGAAGAGAAAGAGAAACTCGGTGGACTGCGAGCATGTACTTGGACAAGACTATCAGGAGGCACCCGACGTGAGGCAAGAACGCGGCCCATCGTCAAGCAAAAGCGCAAACGTGAGGAGATGACCGACGACGACAAGATTAATCTGGAGCAAGGATTACTGGTGTCTTTAGTTTACGACAAAACGACCTATAAATTCGCCATATTCGCCGCCGCCCAACCCGAGACTTCTACGAAGCGGCCCAGGTTTTCAGCGTTTAGACCTCCAGCCCCACGGACGACCGAAACTAAACCAGACAATCAAGGCATCGTGTTGGCAAAAGCTTCACCTTCTGCATTCAAGGCATTTCAGTCATACTTGTCAGACATGTTTGCCATAAAAGAGATCAATGCCTTAAAACTTCCACCTCAGTTCCTCCAATCCACCATTGCCAAATACATATCCACCATACATACAGGCTTGTCACGGACTACTTCAGAGCGACAGTTGCCTTTGGATATCAAGGCCGTCCTCGGCATGATGAAAATCTCCATCAGCTTCTCCGCGCCCATTGCACCGAGCCTGAAGATGCTTGACGTCGAAGTGCCTAGTGAGACTATACTGGCAGCGATAAGTCGTATTGATCCGGACAAGAGGGCCGAGAATCACGATCGCCACGAGCCCGAGCAGCAGGAAAATGCGACGGAAACTGTTCTCGACGTGCTCAAACAATCAATATACGAAAGGACCGGGCTAAAACTTCCGCTCTCCCAAGACGAGAAACCCAAAGATCCAGACCCCGCAGATCAGACAGAAGACAATGTAGAACCCACTCCTGCAGATGCCACAGCGATACCAACAACAGCACCAGCAACAACAGACGACAACAAGCCAGAACCCGAACCCGAACCCCCAATGCGCATCTCACGGATCCTCTCCGCCGCATTCGCCATCTCCAGTGAAGGCCGATTGAAACTCGCCCTGAAAGCCGCGGAGACATGTGACAGCGAGGGTGAAGGAAATCACGACAACGAAGATTCCACGCTACAGCCCAACTCTGGCGCCAACGTCGTGCGCGTGGCTAACGAAGCCCTACTGAAAGCTGTGCTACTCGAAGCAAGAAGGCAGAAGAGAGAAGACGCCTGAAGTCAACTGCAGTACGCAAGACTATGAACTATGGAGTGGGTCAGGATCCGGCGATCCTACTATTGAGCATGTCATATGCGCCTAAGTAGTGTTATCCACATAATGCGTCATGAAGTTATGATACCTGTTTGATATGTTTGAACCCAGGCGGCCAATGAGACGTGTGCTGGATTACGGATAGAGTACCAAATACTTGCAATAAATATGCAAACCCCATTTTCTCGCCCGAGTTGAGTTGAATTGGGCTCTACTCGACACGGCTGGAAGCAAACGAAAGACGCTAATGGCTGCGTTGACGCTGGGGGAACAAGCACTCCTTCCCGCGAGACTACAAATCAACAACTATAACATCCAGCCATTCTGGTCAGAAAGCATGTGGTCAGCTAGTGCAATGGAAGGTTCGATACAGATGGAGTACTCTGATGCCTGCCATCCTCATCATAGGCTATGGTTCGCGAGAGACTGGACGTGTCTAACATGCCTGCGTCAATTGCCCGTCGCAGTCGCATTTCTTTCAGCAACGCTTCCCTGAGCACGGATTGGACCATGTATGCCAGCAAACTTGTCGCCGATGCGGATGCACCAACTATTTGCCGGCAAGGGGTTGCATTGGGATCCTCTCCGTACCCGCCCCCACCAGGAGTCATCACAATGATCCTGTCACCTGCGTTCATAAAGGTCGTTGCCTTGCCTCCCAAGCTGATTGTCCGACACGTCCCATCCTCGGGATCTTTGCGAATCCAAAGATTAACTCCTCTCTTGCCTTCACTTCCTCCAGCCATGCCATAAGGCGGGATGACTCGCCGCTCTGACAGTACGGAAACTTGCATGGGTCGCCGAAATTCAATGTCCCGTATGCACCCCTCGCCGCCGTGGTGTAGACCACCTCCTCCACTGTTGGCACGGATCGAAAACTCCTGCAGGAGGACCGGATATCTCCTTTCGCAGATCTCGGGGTCTGAGATCCGGGTATTCGTAACGTGAGTATGAACGCCACTCTCGCCCTCCCAGTCAGCCCCGGCTCATGATCCACCGGCTATAGTCTCATAATTCCCAAATCCTTTGATAACTTTGCCAGTCGCATTGTTCTGTATCGCGTCCATGTAGAACTTGACCACAGGCCACGTGTCCTCCTGTATTAGAGCATTGATGAGCTGGATACCACGCTTGTTGGAAGATATAGCTGCTTTGAGGTCGGCGATATTGTCGCGTAGCGTTCGAGTGCCGCTGCAACCAGGATAAGAACCGGGGATCTCGTAGAGAATGTCGATCAAACCTTCTTCATCAAAGACGCCCTCTTTGACCAGCTTGAATGACTCGATCGCCGCTCCTTCCTGCCAGAGTTCTGTTGAATTAGGAGGCATAGACCCAGGTTGGGTACCGCCAATGTCAGCATGATGTCCTCGATTGGCAACGAAAAGGAGAATCTCAGTCGGATTACTTTCGTTGTCAAATACTGGTGTGATTACCGTTAGATCCGGCAAGTGCGCCCCACCTGAACAAGGGTGATTGCTGAGCAGGACATCTCCCGGTTTCAGTTCACCCGGCTTATAGAGTCGTGCTGGATAGGCGATTGCATAACTCATGGAACCTAAGTGGCCCGGAATGTGAGGTGCATTGGCCACTAGTCCACCATCTGACGAGAAGACTGCACAGGAGAAGTCTAACCTTTCTTTGATGTTGACAGAGACTGAGGTCTTTTGCATAGTCTGACCCATCTGCTCAGCAACACTCATGAAACGATGACCAAAGACACTCAGCCGGACGTGATCCACAATATTATCAGGGAGCTGCTGCTTCGACGTATCCTGGACATCAAGAATTAGATGCTCAGATAACAGGATAGCTTCGCTTGTAGAGTCAAGTACCACAGTCTGAGTTTTGTCGGCTATCACAGCAGGTCCGAGGATCCGGGCTCCGACATGGAGCATATCCATGTAGTATACTCCAACTTCGGTCCAGCCGCGGCCTTCGAAGTAGACTTGGCGAGTTGACATGGCTTGCGCTGGAGTTCCTGGCGGCGAGCTTTGAATCCTTCGTAGTTCGTCGATGGGATTGCTCAAGTTCATTTCCGCCGACTTTTCCTATGCTGCGAACTCTTACATCATCCACCAATATGTCTCTCTGTTGTGTGAAGCCAAACTCTTGTTGGTGGCGGTCGATAAATGCCTTGCCGAACCCAGATATGTCACGCGGGACTCTACCATTAACGCAGTGTCGCTGCCTTGATACCTCATGTTCAAGAACATCTCATGTTCTACTTGTTCTGGGCTGAAGCCTTGGCTGATAAGCCCTTCGAGGCCCTGATTCTGCAATCTGTTAAGTCGATCTTCCAGATGTTTTATAGCCAGGGGATCGAAAGTGCTTGAGTCAGGTTCTTGGTTCTCCACAACAACATCGGCAAGGGCCATTCCATAAGCAGATAAGATACTCGAGTATCTAGGTATCAGTACCCGATGAATGCCAAGCGCTTGCGCGACCTCGACAGCATGTTGACCTCCAGCACCGCCAAAGCAAGCCAAATCATGTGCGGAGGTTTCAAATCCTCGGCCCTCGCTCAACATCCGGATTGGACGAGCCATGCTTGCGTTGGCAATGCAAAGAAATCCCAGGGCTACGTCCTCGATAGAAAGAGGAACATCCCCGTCTTTGTCTTTGTTAATGGCATCTGTAAGTTCTGTGAACTTGAATTTCACGATGTCCAAGTTGAGAGGTCTAGCATCGAGCTCCGGAATGATGCGCCCGAGGAGAAAACTGGCGTCTGTGACTGTCAAAGGCCCTCCTCTACCATAACAGGCCGGTCCAGGGTCAGCCCTGGCATTACTGGGTCCGACCTTGAAGAGACTATTCTCCCAGGAGAGGATAGATCCGCCTCCCTCCGCGACCGTGTTGATGTCAAGGTGTGGTGTTTGAATGGTAACCTCGGCTATCGTGCTTTCAAAGATATGTTCAAGTGAACCTGCATAACGTGCAACGTCTGTGCTTGTACCACCCACTGTCGTATGTTAGTAAAGGTTAAGTTTTACATAGTAGCTAACTCACTATCGAAACCCAACAATGGCGTAGCGCTGATAGGATCATAACATGTTTTTGCAATGCCAACGACACCGCCAGCAGGACCACTCAAGATACCTCGAAGGCCACCGAATTTGGTGAATGAAGTCAATCCTCCGTCTGACTGATTGAGGAAAAGTTTCTGAGCTTGCTCATCTTCAAGGTTGCCTTTTAACCCTTTTCGGAACTTTGTAAGGTACTCGTCAGTGACTGGAGTAAGGTATGCATCAGCAACGGCAGATTGACTGCAAGGCACCAATTTTGCCATAGACTGGAGCTCAAATGACGCTGCCACACGGAAACCAAACTTTCTTGCCTCTTGTGCAACCTCCAACTCGTGTTGCGGGAACGTGTATGAATGCAGCATTGCAACAGCGATACCTCGATAGCCTTGGTTCCAAGGCTCGTGTAGGTCTCTTCGTACCATGTCGAGGTCAGGCGATTTGATAATACGTACAGGCTCCCCGGTGAGCCCCATTCTGAGCTGAGGATCTTGAGTGATATCGACTGGCTGTGGCTCTGGATCCTCGGCAAAAGTTTCGATGGTGACGCGCTCGTCCACCTCCACAACAGCATCGTATAGCTTGTTCAACCTTTGGACAGAGAGATCAAAAATGTGCGGCCATGCTTGATTTCCTATTCTTAATATGTCGCGAAAACCTTTAGTGATGAGCAGAGCGTCTCTCTCTCCCTTTCTTTGGAGTAATGCATTCGTTGCAACCGTCGTGCCCAACCGGATGATCCCAACAGGTGTGAGGTCTAGTGCTGTACCCCGCGGTATTTGCGACCCTGTTGCGATCTCGAATATTTGACGGATACATTCCGTAGGGGCATCATCATACACTTCCGGACATACTGACAACACCTTAAAACAACCTCCTTAGGTTGACCTGGTATTTGAGCCCATGCATCTGTGTAAGTGCCTCCTCTGTCACTTGCGATTCATATCCCTTTTGCTTGTCATTGGATGATGCTTTCGACATTAATGACATGAAAGGAACGTACAAAATCCCCAATATCGATTGCAGACGGAACAGAACAATTACTTGCTCAATATAAACCTACTAGGCAGGATTTTCAACACTGTTATAGCTTAGGTGGGCCGTCTGAGGCCTTTGTCGGCCATGTCAGTGATGAAGACAAGCCTTGCGCCAACAGCGGGCGGCCTTTCGACCAGCAGCGGAAATGAGAACACATCGTCCTGGCTACAAAGGTTGGGGTGCTCATTAGGCGTTCGGCAACTTCGAGTAGAGCCGGGTGGGAAGGCAGAGTTGCAAGGTAGCATTATTATATACGATCGATAGATCCACTGGTGAACGGTGCCTTCCGTAACGACGATATTGATCCCTCATCGGCTCTGGAATCCGAGTGATCTTCGGTGATAGCTTTAGATCGGGAGTTTGCAGGCATCTATTTCACAGTATTTGCCGAGTGTTGCACCAAGGAGGCACTTCTGACCCACCGTACCAAGCCTATTACGGCACCGTACGGATGCTCGGTACCTTAGATAGAATAGGTACCTAGGTATCTACATACCCTAGAACCGACTAACACATACTCAATACGGACAGAAAGGGCAACCTCAGAGACCTACAAATTGACATTTCACTTCATTCTACTACTATCCAAGATAAGGGAAAGGTATGGTCTTCATCTAAAGCAACGCTCAATTGATGCTAAAATAACTGCAAAACTAATGGCTAGAACCTTGAAGGAAGACAACAGCGAGGACAACATCATCCATTCTCGACGACGGCCTTGGCCTTTCCAGAGCCTCCGACGCCCGCATTACTCGGCACTCTCTGAGGGCTATTGACGCCACTACCAAGCCCTCCGTGGGAGTAGACACCCTCGAACTCTCCCCTTAGGTTGTCCACCAGTTTTTGCACCCCGTCAATCTCGGTGCTTAGGTCTTCCACATTGCCAGCTAATGCGGCAACCTCGTCGAATTTTCTCCTTCGATTTGCGTCCGCGATCATTTCCTGCACCATGAATTTCTGCTCTTCAAGGACGATGAGTCGCTCGCGAAGGGATTTCTCTTCCGCCTCGAGTTCTGAGACACGAGATGAAGCGTACGAGGCTATAGAGAGGTTCGATGAGCTGTCATGTCGCATGTGATTGCTATTCAGGACTGCTAGGGTGGAACGAGGATTGTTGGGGTCGATTTTTGAAGACGAGTTTCCGTGTGGTGTGGCATGTTTGAGAACCTTTGGTAAGGATTTGAGAGGTAGCATGTGTAGGTGAAGGAATTGACTGGCATTTTGGTGGATTGCCTTCTGTAATTTGAGCTGAGTGGGTGATGAGCTAGGCATATCACGAATTCGACGAGCAGCCGTATCAAATTGGGTAAAAGACTCCATTAATCGTTTTCGTGTCCGAGATGCATCAGCAATCTGGCTGGAAGATGGTGGTTGGTCGGGATTTTGAAGTGCTTGAAGCAGTTTCTGAAACTTTGGCATCAAGAGTCGAATACCCCGTTCAAATTGGATTAGATTGTTGTACGCACGAGTAAATGGTGCAGTAGCTTGGGTAGACAGTGATTCCTGAAAGTCTCGGTGAGAGAAAATTGTGTGATTGCACTCTTTACAAAGTCGAATGTCCAGAGCAATAGTGTTGTCAGGAGCGGGTTTTTCTGCAATGAATTGGCGCTTGTTAGCTGTCATTACATCAGTAAAGATGGACCAAGGAGAAGAAAGGTCAGGAATGACCTACTGGTAGCAACATTGAGACCCAGGACAACCGAGCAGGCTGTCGCTGGATCTCCACAAACCACTTTACCACATGTCCTGCAATGGTGTCGTCGGAAGGTGTATTGAGTAAAGTCTTGTTGACAATATGGACACCTAGCAACATCCGCATCATTTTGCCAAGTGACAATTGTCTGTTCGAGTGCCTTTCGAGGATCATTCTGGCCCCATGATAAAGACCACCTTTTGTTCGTAGCAGTTTGGGGGATCTCATCAGGCGGATTGGCAAGCAATTGAGTCAGTTTGGAAAGCCTCTTCTCCAGTCTTGATACCTCCATTTGTCTCTGGCTGGAATTTGACTGGCGCACGGAGGCGAACAGGTTTGTTCTATCTCTTTCCAATCCATGTCTGTCCGTATAACCTTCACGGCTCTTGTAGCAGGTCTCACAGACTCGATACCACATCCCCCTTACGGGCTCATGCTGTGCTGATCTTGACAGTTTCATTTGGTACATGGTATGTTCATCGCAGAAGAGTTTTCCACAATTTCGACAGTTGACAACGCCTGTGGTGGCCCCCAGTCTCTTCTCACAGGTAGGATCTGAACAAGCGTCATACCCACTCCTTTTCTGCCAATGTTGCTTGTTGATGATATCGTCTGGATCGATGACTGCCGGGACGGGTTTGGGAGGTGGAGGTGGAGGAGTGGCAGTTCTAGACTCTTGGACCTCTCTGGGAACGGAATTCATTCGAGGGGTAGGGGTACTACTCCGTACCATATCATGGTTTGATTCAAAAACATCCAGGCCTTTGAATTTCTGATTCAAAACAGCCAAGGGTTGGAACTTTTTAGCCTTGACCATCTGTTGCTTGAACCAATCTTTAACCTCATCCTGTTGCTCTTCTTCTATCTCTTTATGTGCATCGTCAAGATGTCTATTCAGCTGTAACAATGTTACCATTTCCTCGTTGCATATTGGGCAAACCATTCGGTCCCCTGCGGCGGCGGCTGCCAAAGCCAGATCAGGACCTCCATGATCAAGAGATACTCGAGAAGCAATGTCCTGAGGGTCGGATGACGGCGGGGTGGAACTTCCACTGCCGGTGGTGTTCAAGGACAGGGTGGAAGCAGAGGGTGACAAGACATGGGCCGGTAAAGGAGAAGACGTTTTGGGGGGAGGTGGTGGAGGACCAAGTGATCTACCGCTACCTAGGATTCGTCCACCTCCAATGGTGCGCCCTGACATTGCACAGCAATGCAGCTTTCCATGAAGCCAAAGGATATCTAAAGGAGAGGGTTTGTATACAGACAAAATAGGCGCATCCACATGATTTGTCCCAAGGACAAATGTGTGTGAACAGTGGAAGATGCAGTGGAGGGGGGATGTCGAAGGCTGGCAGTGGTGGTAGTGTCACTGGGCAAGCGGCGGAGCAGCAGCCTTGGATTGCTCCGGGCACTTTACTGGCAGCCAGCACGTTACGGGGGGTTGCGGGTGTCGGAAGATTGCTGAGTCACCTATCATCACGTGTAGATCTCGGTGAACCTGCCTGAAATCATCTGCAATGCCACTTCCATCAAATATTCGACAAAATCTTGGCAGTCCCGCATGCCAGCGAGGGACATTGCGGCAGACTGCCACTTCGACGACGACAACGAGTAGCCTCAAACATAAACAATCTGTGACTCAAATACTCTCCAGTCTTTCAAATTTTTCGACCAAACAACCGCCTCGTTCTTCAGCAAAACTTCATCCCATAACTGTGCTGAGACAGCGCATATCCATCATCATGGCAGATTCCGATTCTTTGACTAACTGTCGCTTCTATGAAGAAAAATATCCCGAAATTGAGAGTTTCGTCATGGTCAATGTCAAGCAGGTCAGTGATATTTGGTATTGAATGCTGCGTCAACATTGCTAACATCCGCCACCTAGATTGCCGAAATGGGTGCGTACGTAAAACTTCTGGAATACGACAACATCGATGGCATGATTCTCCTTTCCGAACTTTCGCGAAGACGTATCAGATCGATACAAAAGCTCATCCGAATTGGTCGCAATGAGGTCGTTGTGGTTCTGCGTGTGGACAAAGAGAAGGGATATATCGATCTGTCGAAACGAAGAGTCTCTGCCGAAGATATCGGTCGCTGTGAAGAAAAGTACAACAAGAGCAAGTCAGTTCATTCCATCATGCGACATGTTGCCGAAAAGACGAAGACCCCAATCTTGAGACTCTACGAGGAGATTGGTTGGCCTTTGAACAAAAAGTATGGGCACGCCAACGATGCATTCAAACTGTCCATCACCAACCCTGCCGTCTGGGACGATGTCACCTTTCCCAATGACGTGGTCAAGGAGGAATTTCAATCATACATCAGCAAGAAACTCACCCCTCACCCAACCAAAGTCCGTGCCGACGTGGAGGTCACTTGCTTCAAATACGATGGGATTGACGCGGTCAAAGAGGCTCTCCGAAAAGCCGAGGCCAAGAACACTCCTGATACACAGGTCAAGGTTAAGTTAGTTTCACCACCACACTATGTTCTCACAAGTCAATGTCTGGATAAACAACTTGGAATCCAACTGTTGGAGGAAGCCATCAAGGACATCGATCAGACCATCTCGGCCTCTGGTGGTTCGTGTGCAGTCAAGATGGCTCCTAAGGCAGTGACTGAACATGATGATGCCGAACTACAAGCACTGATGGATAAGAGAGCGAAGGAGAACGAGGAAATCAGTGGTGATGAGGATCTTAGTGAGAGTGATGAAGGTCCAGAAATTGCATGAGCATCCCACAACCATGGCGTTAATGAGGACACGCATTATGACAATTGAGCGAACAAGCAACCGACCATGTCTAGAGCCCATCCAGCCAGTCGCCGCAAGACGAGACCTTTCGATTTCAGGAGTTACACGATTGATACTGGTATCGATCAGGCCGAATACCATGGACGACTGAACAACCAAGTCTGAGGACAGCTGAGAACGGCCTCTCAAGAGGGGCAACTGGTGATCGAGGCTGCGATTGAAAGGGGCCTAGTTTAGGGCTTGTTGTGCCTCGGGCTTGCCTATTGGGACACAAATTGGGTGGGCCTCTGTTCGGACTCGGGGCGAGCTTAGGGAAGCTCTGTAGGCATAGGGTCGCTTAGTTGAAGCTTAAACCCCGCGCGTCCATCAGCTTGACCAGGGGCGATGTCATATTTTCAAAGCTCAAACCTGCTTTTTCCACAAACACAGAATTCCGTATCTGTAGTTAGTGGTGGCGGTGGGTGGTTGGCAGTCCTCGTAGCTACCTATCAAGTTGTGTAGGAACATACTCACTTTAGGACTCAACGTGCAGATTTTTGTAGCTTCACTTGATTGCCTTCGTTCTGCTCCTGCACGATCCTTCCACCACCAAATTACTCAGTGTTGGAGTTCCTGCGTCCGATTTACGACGTCATCAAAACAACCATGGTCAAATGGGGCCAGCTATTTGGGTCGTCGCGCGAAAGGGATTCACCACATCTTCGAGATGAAATGCGAAGGCGTACGTTTGATCTAAACTCATCCCTCTTGTGTTCATGCATACTGATCTATTCCTCCAGTTTTACCGGCCCATAGTAGTGACCTCTCACCCTCCGCATTTCCAGCCAAAGAGGTGACCAAGGTTGCTCTCCGCCTCAAGTACCAGATTGAAGAAGTCATCCCGATCGAGCTTCCCGAGGAAAAAATCACTGCCGCTAACAGTGGGATTATCACGAAGCAGGTGGTCAAGACTGCCAAAGAAGCTGGAGGTACCGAATATGCCGCCGCCGTGGTCTACTGTCTCCTCGTCTGCAAGCGCTGGTTCAAGAGACAAGCATTCCTAGAACTATGGGATGCCGACTTACACAACGTCCGCGCGGTGGCCTGTGAGATCATTGCAAAACGAATCATCGAGGGTGAGGAGAACACCGAGTATCTTCTGAAAGAGGTGCTACTGCAGCGATACTCGGTCTGGCGTGATGGCGAAGAGACATCTTCTGCCAACGTGATTGAGCGTGCGGTTGATCTGCATGCTCTGACTGTTATTGGATCCTCGGGCTATCAGAAATGTATCAAATACCTGTGGCGTGGCTGGATACACCAGGATGACAAAAATGCTGGTAATTTCGTCTTCTACAGTGAGCGCGACAACATTAGCTATTGGGCTCACTTGAACCCCGATAGAATGCGCTGTCCACTCTATCAGAATACAGTGCAGATCTCCATATCTCTCATCTACCTGGGCATGTACACCGGCGCTGTCAACACAATCAATGAGGATGGTGACCTGGATGTGGTCGAAGGTATCCTCTACCTCATGACGTTTGGATTCATTTGCGACGAGGTGGCCAAATTTTGGAAAGTGGGCTTTTTCTACTTCGGATTTTGGAACGCTTTCAATAATGTCTTGTATGCACTTCTGACGGCTTCGTTCGTCATCCGAATCATTGCCTTGGCACATTCACCAGATGAGGACGATGAGCGACGAAGAGAGCTTAACAAGCTCGGATACCATATCTTCGCAGTGGCTGCACCCATGGTCTGGAGCCGTTTGCTTTTGTATCTCGACACGTTCCGATTCTTTGGTGCTATGTTGGTCATCGTCAAGGTCATGATGCGCGAGTCATTGATCTTCTTCGCGTTACTGATCGTGGTGTGCGTTGGTTTCTTGCAAGCGTTCATCGGTCTAAATCAAGTGGAAGGCAACTCGTCCATTACCTCGTTCATCATCACCGCCATGGCCAACTCGGTGATGCAATCTCCCGAGTTCGACGGATTTGACGACTATGCACACCCATTCGGATTGATCTTGTACTATATCTTCACCTTCGTCGTCATGGTCATCTTGCTCAACATTTTGATCGCTCTATACAACAGTGCATATGAGGACATCACCGAGAACGCCATCGACGAGTACATGGCAATGTTCGCACAGAAGACCATGCAATTCACGCGTGCACCAGATGAGAACGTGTTCATCGCTCCATTCAACCTGATCGAGCTGTTCTTCCTCATTATCCCCTTCGAATGGTGGATGGACTCGCATCGCTACGAGCGTCTAAACAACTACGTCATGGGCGTCATCTACTCGCCCTTGCTTCTCATCACGGCGGCCTTTGAAGCCCGTGAAGCACACTCAGTCCGCGACAACCGCAAACGAGGTGAAGAAGACGATGACACAGTTGAGGAATGGGAAGAACTCGACAGTGAAATCGACTTCTCTGCTGACGGTTGGGACGAGAAGGTCCGCAAGAGCAAACCAATCGTCGAGGTTGATGCCGATGTGGTGGAGATCCGTGAGCTCAAGGGCGAAGTCGAGGAGTTGAAGAGGATGATTCGTGCGCTGAGTCCTGAAGCGGAAAGTTGAGGATGTCTCCCAGGATTTTAGCCGACTTCGAATCGAGAAACCGAAAAGCGATAATGGTCGTGGGAAATTGTCCCTTCTGATTAATCATATACCAGTTCGGAGTTGTGCCACCACATTAATACACAAGGTTGAAACAGCTGCAATATGTGTTCTCTGGACTCTCAGGGTCCCTATGCAATTTGATCTGAGTATTTAACGTTCGCATATCTACTGGGCTTTCGATCCTGTGAACACTTTCCTAGATACGTTATCTGGCCCGTTTTAATTGGCCGACTATCTTCTCGGAGCCTGGTCTTGACATACTGTCCTCTCTGGATGGTACACAGACGCAGTACGATATTGGCAGTTCATTTCACCATCAACGGTGACACGTTGGGGATTCTGTCATCCTAGGAACCTGTGGTCCGGGAACAAGGGCTTGAAGATCAGACACCCTTGAGGGTAAGGCTTGAATCTTGGCCATCAGCTCCGAACTGGGTGGTTGGAACATCGTAGAGAAAATTTACCATCTTATCGAGTACATGGAATACATGTCGCTTAAGTTTGTTTCCTCATTTTTCCCAAGACCACTCCGGGGGGTTTTGACTACCCAATCACCTGGCGACGTTGAATCTATCCAAAATCAACTACCTGTCTGCGTGGAGGATGATCGTAAGTCCGTCATCCCGCGCTTTTTGCACCTCGTAGGGATACACCAGTCACTTGTCGCCCGTTGTTTCTAGTTGGTTGCTCTGGCGGAGTGCATGTCAGTATCAGGTCGATTGTGGCAACAAAATGCCGTAGGAAGATGCGACGGATGAATATCACGCCTCCTGAGTTCTTCCATGCATGGCATGGCCGAGAAAAAGGATGTCAGAGTTCGGAGCATCCGCCGAAGCGACGGGGATTTCAGTACCTGTGGATTTCCTTCTTCCACTTCACATGTCTCACTACCAACTTTCCATTGTGAGGTCAACCAACTCAACACGCCACAAAGAGGATTAATTTCGATCTTGGGTGTCCAAAGACACCCCGATGAACTCACTTCCCCGGTCACGACTACAATCCGAATCAAATCCAACATATGTAATAGCATCTGGTGCTGAGCTATCTCCATGCGAAAGGAGCTGAATGGCTATCAGACCATGGGTACACAGCGCTCAAGCTCGAACAAATCAGCCAAATCGAATGCAAATCACCATTCTGGCCATTTGCTCAGAATGCCAGTTCAGGCTTTGTGGACTGGGCTATCAAGCTTATGCTTGAACCAACACGTCCCACTTGTCTTACAGTGCATGCGAATTGCCGCGGGATGACTCCCGGCCATTGGCCGCCACGACATCAGAAGACAATAAATCAGAGATATCTCGGAACACTGATGTGATAATGCCGAATTTCAGTCTCTCGAGTTTGCATCACTACAGGTTTCGTGTCTCCAGATCAGTCGATGGGGGTAGAACTACCATGGTGGGCATTTCTAGACTACGACAAGTTGTCGCTCAACTTTCAGGTTCCGAAGATGCTCTAAACACTGGGCAAATCGAATCCAACCCACTGTCCATCACCTCAGGGCCATCATACCCAGGACTTACGTCGGAGACCATTGGGAGCTTGCTCAGTCGTCAAAGTCATGTCTTCCCATACCGACGTGCGGTGACAAGTTCCTGGACGCGATCAAGTCGTTCGTACAGAGAGCTCAACCGACGCAGTCGAGCGTTGGCGAAAAGCCTGATCTGCTTAGGACTCGCACGCGGAGACCACGTCGGAATTATCTCTGGAAATTGTGCCGAGTATGTCGAGGTTATCATGGCTGCCGGCATTCTAGGTTTGCCTCTAGTTGTTCTCAACACGAACTATACGAGCAAAGAGATTGGAAATGCTATAGAACAAACGAGTAGGTAATCAGCTTTTGCGAGCCTGATGGAATTGGATGTTGACCAATTTTGGATTCCAGAATGTTGCTTATTCTTTGGTAGCGCCTTCAATGGAGCGCAGGAAATGTTACCCCTACTTCGGCAACTATGCAACCCCCTAAAGCCAGCAACTGGTGGCAATGGAGGTCTCTTGCAACATGTGGTTGTTCTCAGACATGGCTCTGAACAGCTCGAGAGGGGCCTCATTTCTTATGAGTCATTATTTCAACCAAATGATAGCATCTCCGACGCACAATTGCAAGAAGCGGAAAGCCTGGTATCTCCTGATGATGTCTGCAGCCTGCAATTCACGAGTGGGACGACTGGAAGCCCGAAAGTCGCTATGCTTACTCACAGTGGACTCATTAACAATGCCATTGGATCAGGACTTCGAATGAAGATCACTCAAGACGACATCTTGTGCTGTACCGTTCCTCTTTTTCACTGTTTTGGCCTCGTGCTCGGCGTCCTCATGTCTCTGGTTTACGGTAGCTCGCTGAGTCTCCCCAGTGAAAACTTCAGTACCCCACGAGCATTACAGGCCATTACTGACGAAAAATGTACACTTATCTACGGGGTTCCAACCATGTATAACGCCTACATACAGGAACTACACAAACACCCACCTGGGACGTATGATCTTTCGTCGGTGAGAGTGGCCGTTACTGGTGGTGCGACTAGTCCATCCAAGCTCTTCAGGGATATGAGAGATGTTCTTGGAATACCCCATATCATCCACGCCCTAGGTAGGTGCGCCGATGTGGTTTTCTGCGTTTGTGATTCTCTGACAAGCTACTGCTATTCACAGGCATGACTGAATGCTCGCCTGTTACCTTTCTGACGACGGTTGACGATACTTTCGAAATAGCCTCCACCACAGCAGGCAAAGTCATGCCACATGTCACAGCAAAAGTGGTTGACATGAATGGCAAAACAGTCCCAATAGGACGGCGTGGAGAACTCTTTATTGCGGGATATAACCGCTTCCGTGGGTATTGGCAAAATCCAGAGAAGACCAATGAGGTATTTCAACGCGACAAGAATGGGACCTTGTGGTTCCGTACGGGCGACGAGGTCACAATCGATGCGCAAGGTTACTGTCGGGTAACAGGACGAATTAAAGACATTATCATTCGAGGTGAGTGACATATCGTGGCCCCCTCAGGGACAGCGCCTTCTGTGTGCAAGCTCGTCTCTAACCACGCATCTCTTAGGCGGCGAAAATGTCTATCCTACAGAGATCGAGGAGAGGATCGTCCAACACCCCAGTGTCTCTCAGGCAAGCGTTGTGGGGGTCAAGGACTCATACCACGGTGAACTTGTTGCTGCTTTTGTTCAACAAGATCCAGAGTTCAAAGAGACACTCCCGTCAACGGAGGAATTGTCCACGTGGGTGGGTAAAACCCTCTCCAGGCATAAAGTGCCCACCTACTTCTGGTGGATTGGGGACGACGGTGTCTGTCCCACTTTGCCTCAGACCGCCAGTGGGAAGGTTCAGAAGATGGTACTGAGGGATATTGCCCTAAGGTTGACTAGGCAATGAAGCATCCATAGATCGCGACGGTATAGGATAAATACACGGCGTGGCGTTTTGCAGTGTGGGTAGAGCGAACTGAATGAAGCCAGCGTCAAATACCTGCCACGCTACTCACATCAGTACCTCTTGCAATAATTCACTGTCGCAATAACTTCCTGCAGAACTTGAAAAGGGGGAAACAGCGTCATGAGATCCTTTTTTGAACGAGGAGATAGAACCTGAGCAAGAATGAAAATGAAACCAAGTTCTATCATCGTCTTTCGAAAAGACTGGGCGAGCAACAAACGATCCTTAGCGAGGTGGCTCATGGCAAGGCTGAGTGATGACACAGTGCGGGGTACGTACGCAGCCTCGCAAACCCCACACAGAACAAATGCTCGGAACTGGATAAACAATTTTTTGATGTCGGCCGTTCAAATTGGTACGATTGCGCAGGCCTGAAGAATCTCTCCGGTCGCACTGTGAACCTACGACTGCACGGCGTGCCTCCTCAGTTGTGCATCAATCACGAGGCACGAGAACTAGCCAGTGCCGTGCCTCCAATCTCACCGCAGTGGTGATCGAAAACCCATGGCCACCACCCCCATCAACGACGCCGCTCCCGTGCCTGTCCCTCCTCAACAGCCTTCCTCCACCAACAAAGACAATGCTTCTACAGAAGCATCACAACCAGAGCAACAACCCTCTCAACTCACGCCCACAACTACAACTACCTTCACGCACGCCCTCCCAGCACCGTTCAACACGCCCTCCTCCTCATCAACGCCAGCACCCACACTAATAACCCAAGGCGCGGAAGCACTGCTATACCGCACCACATTCCTCACAGCCTCGACACCTGCGGCGCTGAAATTTCGGCCTTCAAAACCCTACCGACACGCGACGCTCGACGCACGCCTGACGAAACAACGTGTGCTCGCAGAGGCGCGCGTTCTGGTGAAGCTCGCTAGCCTGCGCAACGATCCCACGAACGAAGTCAACGTGCCGGCCGTGTTGGCGCTCGAGTGGGATGTCGCGCGCAAGGTTAAGGGAGGTGGGGGATTAGGGCAGCGTGGAGGTGGTGGTGGTGGTGGGAAGGAAGGACAGGTGAATGGTGCGAGGGGCGGGGCGTGGTTGTTGATGGAGTGGATTGAGGGGGCGTCAGTGAAGGATCTACTGAGGGGGTTTGACGGCTGGGTCGCGGGGTTGAAGGGGCGGGTGGAAAAGACGGATGGGGGAGATGCGGTCGAGGACGATGCGGTGGTGAAGAGGCGGAAGATCCAACAGCAGCAAGAGCACGAGGAAGAGAACATCAAAGCCCTGCTCCGCCGCATCGGCCGCGCCGTTGGAGCCCTGCACTCCCAGGGCGGCGTCATCCACGGTGATCTGACGACGAGTAATATCATGATCCGCCCATTGTCCTCGTCGTCACCGAGTTCCTCTCCTCCCAGTACTTCCTCATCTTCACTACCACCAGACCTCACAGGCGCGATCTATTTGATCGATTTCGGTCTGGCGACGCAGTCGATGCAGGACGAAGACCGCGCTGTCGATCTATACGTGCTGGAGAGGGCGTTTGGATCCACGCATCCGCGTCAGGAGGACTGGTTCGACGCTGAGGTGCTGCAGAGCACGGACGGGTATCGTGGTAGCTTTAAAGGGGCGGGCGTTGTTTTGAAGCGGTTGGAGGAGGTTAGGCTCAGGGGCCGGAAGAGGAGTATGGTTGGTTAGAGGAGACAGGATGAGAAGTCATGATAAAACACTAGGTGTCGAATACAACATCACACAAATAATTACTTAAATGTAATGAGGAAGGCTAAAATCCACACCGGTCCGAGTACGAGGCGATAGACTGTTTATCTATCCAAGGCCAAAAACTCCACGCTGTTGGAAAGCACGATTGAGGACACTGATCATTCGTCCTGCCTCAGTCTTTCAGACGGGCGGAGCAGAGGTCTCGGCAGCTGGCTCAACAACATTGACTCCACCAACCGTGACGTTCGCGTTATCCTCAATGCAAGTGCCCAACTGCGCGACCGCAAAATACCCTTTACTCTCGATGACACCACGATTCTTGACCACGGCGGTATACTTAATGACCCATTGCGGTTCAATATCACCTTTCAACCCGGCCTCGTCCTCAGTACCAGCATCAGGTCTGGCGGCGATTATCCCCGCGCCGTCCTTGCCTGGACCGAGTAACTCCCTCGTCGTCCCCGGTGGTAAGATGTCGGTACAGTCGGCATGGGTGAGCAACTCAATATGGTTCTCCTTGGCATATACGATCAACGGCTTCGGAACTACGCAGCAGTCCTTGACATTGATCTGGTCCACCGTCGGCCGCACCGTCACCTCTGGTAGGAATTTATCTAGGCGTTCGGAACTGAATTCAGAGACACCCAATTGGGATATCACACCTTGTGAATGCAGGGATTCGAGGACCCGCCATGCTTTGATCTGGGCATCGAAGCCTTCCGATTCGTGATCGCTGTTCAGACTGGCGTCTTCGTCGGGTACAGATCTGGTTTCTGGGCCTTCACCTTCTCCGTCTTCGCCGTCGTAGTCATCTGCATCAAAGCTGACGCCCGGGTAGCTTACGATCAAGAGATCAATGCTGTCGACACCCAGCTCTTTTAGCACCAGATCAATCGCCTCTCGAGTGTGTTTGCACCGTCTTGAAGAAGGGATGCCTGGGAGATAGAATAATTTCGCCGTCACATCATACGAGTCTCTTGGTTCCGTCAACGGCGTTGGCTGCCAGCTCGGCACGTATAGTGTGTCCCCATCTTTGGTGGTCCATTGTGTGAAGTCTGCGCCGGAAGGGGGGAGTGAGGGTGATGACAATAATGATGTTGTTTCGGAATTCGACGTCGGTGTGGCCGTTGCTGTCGCTGCGGACGACCCGGTGGTGGAGAGATGGTGGTGAGGATGTACTGCGCTTGCATGTTCCTGGGCTGAGGAGGAGAAGTTCGTGCGCAGTGCGTTGATGAGTTCGACATTGGACTTGGCGAATAGTGGCCTTCGGACAACCGATTGTCCCGAGGACATGATATTCCTGTATGATGTCGGAAAAGAGATAGTAAGCGTGCGCTCAAGACCACCAGTCCGCAAAGGGGACTGCCATCGAAGCAGATCGGGGAACTGTAGATGTGTTCAGTGATGGACTCATTGTGCATGACACGTACGAGGTGGAGAGTATGAGCTTCATCTTGGATGTTCTGTGCCGCTTTGGCAGAACGGCCCTGACTTGAGGCTAAATATATGTAGGAATGTGGACCAGAGTTCGCAAGTACTTGATATACGACCGTTGTTTAGCAGCGACAAACAAGATCCAGGGCTGCTAGGGGCACCTAGGCCTGATGGTTGGTAGACGAAGGGAGGGTGTTGAATCGCTTCCTTAGTCACTGAGCAGTATGCTCTGAGGGAGGGAAAGAACAAGGAATGTCTTCGAGACTTGCTTTTGGCTATTACACAATTTGACATGAAAGGCGCTAACGACGAAGGGAATATCTTGAGAAAGGATAGAGAGGGAGGGGCAGTTGCAAGGCAACGCGGGCAGAATCATCCCGAAAATTCAGTGGGGGAGGGGGTTTTTGGGCCGTCACGAAATCATCACATTATGTCAGCTAGCAGGCTTTGACATACAGACAATCTTGATTGTTCAGTATTAATACCCGACACATAGCACCGATCGGTTTCTCCATAGAGTACAGGTACTAACACTGTATTCTTTGTGTCCAAGTGTCTGAGATGTCATAGCTCCCAGTTTTCTCAGATGTCCTTCAAGCATCAAGAACAAGGTAAGGAGGCTGACATTCCAGGATGAATGACCTCTCCACGATGTTCAGCTTCGACATAGCCAGTTGACAGCCATCAACATGCCGGGAATGCTCTTCCAGTGGACTGCCTCACATGTACAAACTGGCCGTGAAAACCACATCCCTCCGAATCATCTCCCTGGCCTTCTCCATCTTCTGGTAAAGACTAGGATCACCGATCAATCGAGCGGCACTCATGACTTCCCGACAAGTCTCATCCAGTCGAGTCACCACTCTGACAATCGTGCCCTCCATGACATCCGTCAAGTCCGTAATGTTCTTGAACGACATGCCTCGGGCCCATTCGTACACTACCTCTATCAGTGCAAAGCGTGGTTTGGACGCAAAATCGTTGGCATCGTCTGACGACAGGATCACTTGGTGCAGGATCTGATAGTGGTTGACTTTGTTCGCTATCTGAACGATCGCCTCCTTCCCTTGTTGCAACGAATCACTCACTTGCGGCTCGCTTTCGCTCTTCTCCTGGAAGACAAATGCCGATAGAAGTGCCACGATTTCTTCGGGCTCGAATCTTTGAAGATCTTATTAGCCATCTCAATACATTAGCTCGGGGAACTTACTTCGCCAGGACGTTTTCCAAGATCAGTTCCGTGAGGACCAGTTCATCTGCAGAATGGATCTCACACGCGACCTTCCCTTTCAATTGCACACGAGATTCCTCGTCAATAAATCCGAGATCTTTCAAAACTTCCGTTCGTTGTTGGTAATCTGGCAGCAATGAAAGATTTTGGTCGGACATGAGCATCTTCAGCGATTCGATATTCACCTTGACCAGCCACTCGTCGTGTTGCATGCCGTAATGCTTGACAAAATTGGGACACCCCAAACATTTGGACTTCGCGATCTTCGCAGCAAGGCTCTTTCTCTTCCCCAGCAACTCGCGAACCTGCAAGTCAGTAACCTTCGTCCAGTCCTGTTCATCCCAAGCCGTAGAGTCCCACGATGACAGAAGTTGAACAAATTCTTCTTCAGCGAACTGTTTTTGCACTAGCTCCGATTTCAGTAACGATCGTGTGTCAACCTAATTTGAGCATGAAGTGTAAGTATTACCTTTCGCAATTTTGAGATACCAGGGAGGGCCGCTGACCTTGATCACCGTCTGGGTTACACATTCCACCTCATCCAACAAAACCTGGATTACTCCACTCCTCACCCGGGATGCCTTGGACGGCAGAGGGGAAAATAAATTTCGAAGTCCTGGCAGATATGGGAGCAAGTCTCGGGTTGATCGCTTTTCCTCCATGTCTGATATTTCAAGAACTTTCAAAAATGGTGCGTTGGCAGGACCTCTCAGTCCGTCTTCCATCAAAATACCTGCTTTTCGGACACCCTCCTAATGGTTGTCAGTGGCTGCTGGGTGCTATCTTCTTTTGCTAAAACGTACCTTTCGGAACACAATCAACCTCCTCGTCGTCCAAAGACGCCGTCCTATCGGCGTCGCCAGGATTCGGATGTAAAGTTCTTTGGTGATCTCTTCGTATTTCATCGCTGCCTCGTGACAGGCTTCAAGGTCGATGTCGCAGATATCACATGGCTCGCGCTTGATCTTGTCCAAGGTTGCCTGAGACAAGGTAATTTGTTTCTCATGCTGCGGCAAGAGAGCCTGGGTTGCGTTTTCGGAAAAGCTTCGTTTGATCATCTCCTCGATCTTTAATGCCTCGACTCGCATCAAATTTAGCATCATGTTGTAATGTAACCTGAACTGACTTCGAAGCTTAGTAGCCGGTCCTGTGATCATCTGGCTGAGTTCAGCCGCAGGCGGTGCCTCTGTCTTGCCAGATGCTACTATAATGACGGTGCCAACAGTGTCGAGCCCTCTTCGTCCAGCTCTTCCAGCCATCTGGGTGTATTCTCCAGGAAGCAGGTTTCGAAACTCGCGTCCATCGTGCTTTCTATAGCCAGAGAACACCACAGTCCTTGTGGGCAGATTCAGACCCATGGCAAATGTTTCTGTTGCGAACAACACTTTCACAAGACTCTTCGCAAATAGAATTTCAACAATCTCCTTAACGATCGGTAGCAGTCCACCATGATGCACTGCGATACCTCGTCCGAGCATCTCTCGCAGCCGTCTGATCTGAGGCAATCCTCGATCTTCAGGCTTCAGTCGTGCAATCGATCTTTCGATAATCATGTGAATAGCACTCTTATCGGTTGCTGTGCAGAAGTCCTGGTTGGACAAAGAATCCGCGTTTTCCTCACATCTCTTCTTCGAAAACACGAAAATGCAGGCAGGGAGAAGGTTTTCCTTACGAAGGAACTGGACAAGATGAACCCAGACATTTCGATCTTGAGCAGCTGTAGTTCTGCCACCTCCACGACCAGTACGTGCAATGTTGCCTTGACCACGATTGGCAGGTTGGCCACGTCCTCGCTGCTGTGAACCACCGCGTTGATTTCCTCCGCGAGCTGGTTGTCCTCCACGACCTGCACTCTGGTTGGCGCTTCCGCGGCCTGGAGCTTGACTTTCTATGGCCTTTTGTTCTTTCACTTTGTCCAAACCTGAAAGAATGTCATTGGCGACCTTCCAGCCCCTCTGGAGAAATCTTTTCTCTGAGTCGACAATCTTATGCATCTCTTTACCGGCCCAGAGATAGTGTTCAAGAGGTACAGGTCTCTTAGGAGTCGAGATCACATAAATATTCTTCTTTTTGGTTCGACCAACCCAAGAAGCGAATTCATATGTGTTCGGAACAGTGGCAGATAACAGGATGAGAGTAACATGTTCAGGTAACATGATGATAACCTCCTCCCAAACAACACCTCTTTCCAGATCGTTGACATAGTGGACTTCATCGAAGACGACAAATTCCACATCTCGAATCAAGTCAGCCCCGCGATAGAGCATGCTTCTCAGAATCTCGGTGGTCATGATGAGACAACTAGCCTCAGGATTGATTTGGACATCACCTGTCAAAATACCGACATCACTGCCAAAGACTTCTTTGAAATCTCGAAATTTCTGATTGGACAAGGCCTTGATCGGCGAAGTGTAGATTGCTTTGGTCATGTTCTTTGCTGCCATGGCGATGGCATATTCTGCAACAACGGTCTTGCCAGCAGAGGTGTGAGCAGCAACAAAGACCGAATCGCGATTTTCCAAGTGGTAAACAGCTTCTTTCTGGAATGTATCAAGCTCAAAAGGCCAGGTTCGAGCCATATCAGGAACCAGTTCCTTAAAATTGGTGATTTCCTTGTCAATGTCAACAACATGAGCCCACTCTTTACCTGACTTCTTGTTAGATGAAGATTGGAGTTCACCGTGTGGTTCAAGGGAGGGAAATTCGACAGGTAGCAAGTCGTCGAGGTCTGTATCTTCATCACCCATCTCGCTGTCATTGTCCTCATTCTCAGAAGAAGGAGTTGGGGCCCCGTTCTCCTGAATACCATCCGAAACAGGCTTTGACGAAGGTGTATCTTCCTCCAGAGTATGTACCACTGCCTCGGCGTTTTCCTGCGCTTCCTTTGTCTTGTTGTCTGTGAATTTCAGACCTCTTGTGAATCCCGGAGGTATTTCAAGTAAACCATCAGCTCCTGTGAAATTGATTATCTTGTCTAGTACATTTCCTTTGTTCTTTGGTCGATTCCCTTGCTCGAGGATCGCCTGGTCTTCATAAGCCTGAATTGCATCAACCCCATCGAGTCCTCCTGGAGCAAAGGGGAAAAAGCCAGCAGCTCCTCGAACAAAATCTGCTCGGTTAGCTGGTCGGCGGAGGATTGATGTCGAGTTCTTTGCGGTCGCACTTGAGGCCGGGACGGTCACTTGTTTGTAGCCTGTCACTTTCCCCTCTAGACCTTCCCGGGTGAAACGGGTGACTGTTCGTGTTTGAGTTGGAGCAAGTTGGCACAGTTCGGTGTAGTCTGGGGTCTGATAGTCCCATCTTTGCTGTAACTTGTTCAGCCACTCAGCGTTGAAAGTAGTTGGTGGCAACAGGAACTCTCGTTCCAGGTCGGCTTTGATCTTTTCAGGAGACCGAGAAGAAAGCTTGGGTTCCATGGCTCCGGATTTCGACCCAGACAGTACCTCACGACAGGTAGCCTAGCTATCCACGACTTCTCACGAATTACCCGCCAGTGATCAGAAGATGAGCCAGTCAACTGACAGAGTGGTAGATGTAGCACCAAAAATGAGTCCGATCTGAGCCGGTTTAGGATCCGAGTACTTTCATGGGCTGTTACCCTATTCTTGAGTTCACCGGAGACGCTTGACGTCTTAAAAGCTCGTTAATGCGAACCCTACGAAAATTGAAACTTATCAAGGTATGTCAAGATGATGGATCGTGAAGTCACTTGTTTACAATATGGCGCTATGCCAGAAAGATCACATATCAAATTCTTGGCAAATCCAGCGGATTATTTGTTTATCCCAGGCTTCATCCGCTTCTCACTTCTTTCCATGTCCAGATTTCCATCTCGAAACTCAAAACTATGCGACCTGATCCTTCAAGCTACGCGCACCATGCCTTGGTTGTCCACTATGATCATCAGTAGGCGTCTTTTGACTCGCAAAGGCCAAGAACACAGCCTTCCACTCATCTTGGTCGCGAATGATGATCGCACCGTCAGTCTTGACTCCGTTTTGATCTCCGAAAGACCCGACAGACCCCTGATTCATGTGTACTTTGTGTATTCCCTTTCCATCGCGATATCGGAATCCAAAAATGTACACTTGTGCTTGATTGCGGATAGCAGAGTGCACAATCGGCTCCAGCTCATCGAGTAAGTCATTGTCCTGGCCAGGTACATCGTGGGGTAGCATAGTGCCATGCTCGATATCGACAAGGCCCAGAGTACGTTCATAGTCCAGGAACAGGCTGCTGTTGGCGGCGTGAAAGCCCGGTTCCAAAGCTTCAAGCTTCCGAATTGTTTCTTGATGTTCAAAAGGATCTTTGAGAACGTACACGAGTTCAGAGGGTGACCCTTTCGACTTGACGTTGATGGCCACATTGTACTTGTTTGCTGCTTTCCTTGGCTTGTCCGGGTCTCTGAAATAGAGGAGCATATGAGGATCCTCTGGATCATCTTCATGGCGTTCTCGTTCATAGCCAAATGGCTTAAGAACGTAAACGCCGTAGACTTCTTGACCGCTGGAATGAGACATCACTGATGCAAAAAGTCTGGTTTGAGAGTAAGTGAGAGACAGCTATGGTCTGTGGACTCTCAGCCTTATATGTCGCCCTGTCCCTCCTCCAGAAACACCGTTGTAACACGGCTGGCTGAGACGCCTTGACAGGTTCAGCTTGCCAAGTTTACCTCGCAACCTTGACCTCGCATTTTTAAATTATTGGGATTTGCTACTGGCTATCTCGTGTTCTATGTTGCACAAGGCATCAAGCTGAGCCGCGATACGAAGCACGCCTAGACTTGGGTACATACATAGTTCTGTTCTCCCAATGTCGCGACCTGACAATGTGCACATTCCGTACTGAAGCCGCGATAACTGTAAGATTCCAGGATTGAGGACCTTAGTCTGGAACGTGATCAGGTAATGGGCAGTTTTCATCCTGGCTTAGGTTGCTTTTGCTCATTGCTCGTTGCTGCTGTCAAAGGAAAGCTGAAGGCTTGTCCGCAGTGCCAAGATTTTGTAAATGTTTTGGATCTCCGATGCCAGTGAGGGCCGCCTAACAGCATCATCTTCTATTACCTATCCTGTTGTACTCTGCTAGGTATGTTTTAATTGCTAGGTGCAAACTTGTTGTGTTCACCGACGAAGAAGAAGAGAGATATTCCAAGCGCCTGAGCAGGAACGCGCCGGATCACGTATGACGCTCCTTCCTTCACATCGCTTGCTTCTCACTCAGGCGTGAACACTCAGTCCAAAACCACAGACGCAATTCACCATCAAGTGAACCTACAATGATATGTACCATTCATGTTGAATGGAGATTTTACTTAACTCCTACATTTATACTCTACTTCAATCCCATGCTGGTCATAGACCATTGTTAAAGCACTATTTCCTGGAGAGCCGAGAACCACATCCGTGGTAACGTGCTATCCAACGGAGAAAAAAACAATGGCGATCACAGAGGGCCAAAAAAGACTACTACCTTTTGGGTTTCCAAAATTAAAGTACAAGTTCAAGACAGCCACAGAAACAGACCGGTACATTTTCTATGATGTCAAATTCTACCCCTATGCGTCGCCTCCTAACGATGAGCCTATCTTCGCAATGGTCAGCCAGAAAAAGGTGTACATCGGTCAACTCTCCGCGTCAGGTAATAGCTTGGTCACCTTCCATCACGAGTTGATCGATGAGCAAGAGGAAAATGATCCAAATTCTTTGGGACTGAATTCCTGCACCTGGTGCTATATTGATCAACATGAACCCCTCCTTGCCGTTGCAGGTGGCTCAGGGCAGCTCAAGCTGATCAATGCCGCCGAAGGGACATTTTTTACGGCTTTGACTGGGCATGGATATGGTACAATCAACGACATGGCTACGCACCCATTCTATCCCTGGATTGTCGCGACCGCTTCGATGGATAAGAGCCTTCGAATCTGGGATATTCGACGGCATGCCAATCCACACGATTCTCCAACCATTGTGATATGCGGTCAAGCTACAGGCCACTGTGAAGGTGTTCTGACAGTATCGTGGCACCCTTGCGGGCGATATATCATAACCGGAGGCCACGACCAACGAGTTTGCGTGTGGACTATTCCAGATCTTGACGACAAATCCAAATTCTGGCAAGAGATCTCCTCGACGCAGAGAAAGAGGAGTTCTCAGGAGGTCAGAACCATTTATTATCCCCATTTTGTCAGCTCAGCAGTGCACTCCAATTTTGTGGATTGTATCAGATTCTTTGGAGATCTAGTAATGTCCAAGGCTGCGAACGAAAGTAAGATTGTCATTTGGAAAATCACCGGCTTTGATTCTCGGAGACCACCGCCCAATTCTGACACGGCTCCGAAGACAGAGGAACACCTGGACACCAGGAACGGATTCATTCGTAAGGCGACAAGGGAAAGTGATGGGGGTGTTGTGACCATCGATGTAGCCGAGGAGTATCAAGGAGAACCACTCTACGAACGACTTCTAGAACTCGAAACTCCCAGGAGCGAGCAATTCTATCTCCGCTTCGGCCTCTTGATGCCTGCGACTCACTATCCAAACTTACACCCAATGGTGGCGTTTGGGAATACATTGTCAGAGCTTAGGTTTTGGGACCTGGAGAGACTATCCCTGGGCCATGCTAGGGAAGAGAACAAGTCCATTGCAGCAGCAAGAAAAAGAAACCACAAAGGAATCGCGCGCCCGATCAAGCCGGCGGATCGGGTTGGTCGACTCAGCACCACACCTCAGTTGAGGGAGTCACCGTTGTCCTCAGCATCATATAACAGCTCATCAGCATGGCCACGCCAGAACTCAACCGAGGCGACCAGCGAAATCTCGGATGAAGTGGGAGCACCACAAGGAAATGGTCGAGATCGTGAAAAATATCCCATCCATGAACCACACAAACCTATCAAAGCACATTCGAAGATCTCACTTATTGAACTTCAATTTAAGAATATGGCGTTCACCACCAGGGGAGCGGACTGGAGCCCTTGTGGGAGGTGGTGTGTGATCGTGGGCGAGAGTGCTGGACACGAGGGCGGTGTGGGCTGCTTTGCGGTATTCCATCGGTCGTTGTGAGTCGGGAGAAATGTTCTGAGGCAGGCTGTATTACTGTCAGCATTCTAGATCAACTTCGGAGGATTTGGATCAACTGGAAGATTAGGTTTTCTGGGGAAGAGTGATCACTGATGACCTGCAGGCTGCAGGGCCGCACGGGTGCTGGACATGGATGAAGGGTGATGGAATGGTGATGTGATGCCTTGCATGAAACACACCTGGGACCACCCTGTGCCTGCCTGTGGTTCGCAGTGGTTGCTGGGACCCGGGGATTTATTCAGAGGTGGTTCGTACCCCTTGCACTTCGGCCCGAGGGCCGCTGCCACTGCCAAAGCCACTTCCTGCGTTGTTATTTTTGGGGCGAGGGCGCTCCTTCGGGCGTAAACAAGGGCTGATCTATCTCGCTTCGCTTTGTATCCCACTTCAAGAACGGGTGCACACGACACTCTTGTTGGCATTGACTCCACCTCCTCTTCCACGTCGACGACGCTTTCTTCGTTGTCGGCTATGCCTCCTGCACAACTTGACTATACTTCCTACCACTTGCGCGATTCGATAGAATGAATGAGAGTGCTACTGAAGTCTCTGCGCAGCCAGCGCAACAACAAAAATTCCTGCGCTACAGATCTGTTCGCAAAACCATCATAGAGGAGCAGAGCAATGATCCCGAGCCTGTTCCCTCTCTTCCAGAGCCTGCGCCTGTGACACAATCATCTCTCACACGTCTTCCTTCGAGGTACCACCGTAAAGCTAAACCCAACACACAGCACCCACCTGTACCCATTCCACAGACCATCCCTTCCCAAAACAATGTTTTGAGGACCAGAAATGCTGCACAGCCAGCTACCGAGCCCACTCCTCCTCTGCCCAAGCATAGTGAGAGTCGAATAAACCATACTGGCCGGGTAAAAAGACCTTCGACCAGAGAAACTCGAAGTAAAGGTAGTGGTGGAACTCCAAGTTCTACCAAGGAACAACCTAGTCCTGAACAGCTCAGGAGATCTTACGAAGTCGCCCGTGAAGAAGCGCGCCTGATATTGGAAGGCGAGTATGATCGACTCAAGGCGTTACGAGAACAAGAAGCAAAACGACGCCATGATCAACGACTACGGAAGGAGAAGGAGGATGAGAGACGACGTCTCACGCAGGCAGCTCCTACGAACACCTCTCAGGCCTCAAGCAAGGCGAATCAAGGCGATTCTCGTCTTCAAGATGTTAATGCAGCCAGATTACATTCCAGAATTGGCGAAGAGGACATTACTGTGGCACAAGAGTTCACTCCCACGACATCCATTGGAGCAACGATTTCCAAATCACGACGACTCATAATTGGGGGTCCTCCCCCTTCTCGAACAGAGAAAAAGCACAGGCGAATCTCATCCGCTATAGAGCCTCGCCAGAGCAGTCATGCCCTTTTTCAGCAGGACGTCATCCAAACTAAACCAGATGAGAAACGTAACAGCGCGCCAACAGCAAACGCACCAAAATTTGATGCTCCTGTGTCGGCTGTCAATTCAGGTGAAAGACGAGTCAGCGTCAAATGTAAGGCAGCATCCATCACGCTCCCCGTAACCCCTTCCACTACCGCGAAGGACATTCTGAACTCGGCCGCTCTGGTTATGTCAGAATCAATTGATGCTCAGACGGCGGTACTTGTCGAATGTTTTTCGCAACTTGGGCTGGAAAGACCATTGCGGAGATATGAGAGATTACGAGATGTCATGAACTCGTGGGACACTGACACCCAACACCACCTTCTCATTATGGAGGCCGGTGAGGTGGCTGCTCGAGATCTACACGTCAGTGACGCGCCTGCCAAGCAACCCATGGGACTGGCCGTGCAAATATACATTTCACAGAAGCCTGGCAAGTGGGATAAGCGATGGCTGAAACTATGGGACAACGGGCAGATCAGCGTGTCAAAGCAGGAAAGTGGCATTGACTGCACTAATATCTGCCATCTGTCGGACTTTGACTTGTTCATGCCCACAGCCAAGCAGATCAAGAAGCTCAGACCACCCAAAAAGCTCTGTTTTGCGCTCAAGAGTCAACAAAAGGCGGCCATGTTCTTGGATGGCGCGAATTTCGTTCACTTCTTTTGTACGAAGGACAAAGAAATCGCTGATCGATGGTACCAGGGTGTCCATTCATGGCGAAGCTGGTACTTAGTCAATATGCTGGGTGAAGGTCAGACGCTTCCAGTTGAGGCCTTGATGGGACAACTTATGGACCCGCGTCCAAGTACCGGAAATTCCGCCGAGACAACACCATATGTGCTTGGATCTTTCAAGCCGTTATTGGACTTTGGATCTCTGAGACCCAGTACCGAAGGTCTCAGACCGGGCGAGTCTGACCCTCTCATTCGTCCCTCCCAAGACGACCAGTATCGACCATTGATCGACCAAATCCAGGACAAGGCAAGTTTCGATCTCCAACGAGGAGCATCAGTCCGCAGGACAACAAAACCCCTAAACCGTTCATATTCGCGTCGAGCCGGCCTCGAGTCAACGCAATCAAGAGAATCTGTCGACGACGAGGATAGTCCATTCACCGGCAAGGGTCTTCTTGCACGCAACGCGACCAGAAAGTCGCAAGGCGGCAATCGTTCCGGCCGCGGCGTGTCGGGCGTGGAAGGTCGGCCACTGGTCGATCTCCAACCAACGAGTGAGTTCACCGATGGGAGTCTTCTTCGCAAGATCGAAGCCTGGACGGCGCAGGAGGGAAATTCGGGCCCGAAAATCGATAGGCAGAAGAGAGTGGAGGTTAATGCGCCGGTGGGAGAGGGGTTTTAAGGATGGATGGATGGATGGATGGATGGATGTTAATGATGATGATGATCATGAGAAAGAGGAAGTGAAAAGGGGAATGGGTTGATGATTGATGCACTATGTCATTGCTATTGTACAACACGACGCTCTTGGATTATGCGTACTGTGCTGATTCGTTATGAAGTAATTGAATTGAACGTCCTTGTTACGTCCTTGTTTATGGCCAGTAGGGATACGCTTAGCGATGCACAGTCACAAGCGATCTCACTGGACCCCTTTAACGGCGTGTGAGAACGGCATTATTGCTCTTGCGAGAATAAAGAGGCAAAGATGTCGAAATTTGGCTCCGGACCTCTTCGTCTCGAACTCTTAGCACCTGCGTATTTTGGTTTCCGCTTTTCTCCTTTATCAATCTCCAAATGAAAGCCATCGCCCGCTGTTGTGATCTGTTAGAGTGGAGGGATAGAAGAGATTGTTTGAAACACCCGGGTTCACTGGCAGTGTTCTTCTCGGTATGATAGCCAGCCATAAGGGCTGCAGAGAGCTGGTTGTTGCTGAGACCACTTACTCCTGGTCCATGCTTCACCAACAGTCGTACAAGTGGAGCGTTCGCAGTGGATATTGCATATAGCAGTCGGATACTGGAGGTGCAGTCGAAGGGTAGGTCATCGATCTCACTAACCACGTCCAGCCAAATCTCCTTCAGTTTGTTGATGAAAGGAACGATTCTTGATTTTCGACAACGCTGCGACCAGTAATAGGAACGGGTGCATTGGTGATAATGGCGTACACTTCCTTCTTAGCCTTCAAGGACTCAAGGACTGCTGGACGGAGCTGGTTCTTACTCAGCGGCCTCGCATTCCATCTGCTCTGCAGCAGCTCTTGCACAAGCTCAATATTGAAGTCACATACTGCGACAGTCAGTGGGGTGCGGTACTTATTGTCAAGTGCATTTATATCTGCTTTCCACTCGAGCAGTACACGCACCAATGTGTTGTGCTGGTCCCTAACTGCCAAGTGCAAAAGTGTTGTTACACCGCTGCGTCGATTCACATCTGCACCGTGCTCTAGCAATATCTTCGCAATTTGAATGCGGTTGCGGAGGACAGCAAGTGACAGAGGGGTCCTGCCTCCGCTGTCGATCGAGTTTGGATTAGCGGATCGCGCCAAGAGTAGCTTCACGATCTCTAGACTGTCGTGTTGCACAGCTCTGTGTAGCCGTGTCTGATTGTCGCAGCCCATTAGACTCATGCTGGACCCTTCATCCAGCAATAATCGCACCATATCAATGTTGCCTCTGTCCACAGCATGCTGTAGTGGATATCCGTAGTCACTGCCCCTGTCGAGATCAGCGTTATAGCTGATACGTATGTTTGTGAAGATCTGCGATAGATAGGAATTTCACACATATATCTCCCATAGCCCTCTCCGTGTTTCAGAGTCTCGGAGAGTACTTCCAACCACGAGCGTCAGCTGGCTCGTGGGTAGAGCGAACAAGGAATTCTTTTGCAGTCTGATGAATAAGATAGATACGCGAGTCGTCCAAGAACAGGCACAAACCGCACCATTGTCTGATATTGTCCCTGAGATGGTCCTCCTGAATAATCAGGTCTTTCACGGATGTGATCTCAGCGACTGTCGCCAGCCGTAACGCTATAGCCATTTCACCTATCGTCAGAGGCCGGCGGGCGCTGACGACAATCCCCAGTATGAGTTTCACTTTCACTTGCTGTGCGACGTCTACCTTGTCCAGAACTTCTTGGTATGCGGCTTCGACCGAGGCTAGAAGGAACACGATTGGCTCCTTCTCCGGAAGGTAGCTATTACTAAAGCTCATGGCAATACTCTGGAGCGCGAGATCGACATAGAGGTAGGTACGGCTCTCCATCGTCAGCAGCTTCTCCACCAGATCTGAGGAGCTCTTTTCGCTCAACTTGTACTTGTTTGCTAACTTGAGAGCCCGGTGTTGAATAACTAGGTCAATTTCCTCTCGAATGTTGTTGTTCTCGTCCTCACCACGAAGATGAATTGTTGGAAGAGATGAAGTGATATTGTCAAACTTGTCTCGAATATCCTTGCAAGGCCTGCTGGTGACCAGAAATTTCAAACGCCCTTTCTTCGGTTCCGAGAAATCAGCGGTGAGATAGAACTTGGACAGTAGATCAATGAGATAGAGCCTGTCCTCTTCGCGGCATTCATCAAGCGCGTCCAAAACGCAAGTGATCTCGCCTTCTTCCTGGCCAGAAGCAACTGCCATCAGTATATGCCATAACTGGTCGACATAAGAAGTGATTACTTTCCCGTTCTTCTCCCACGTGTTTTTCGCATGGCGGACCAGTGTTGGCTCGCAACTAAATAATTGATGAAGGATGGCACATAATGCAGTGTGGAGAGAGTTGCGGTCATCGATGTCCTTGAAGGAAAAGTAGCACACAATGTGGGACTCTGCGCTTTTGAGCTCATGATCGATCAGTGACTTGGCCAGCACAGATTTCCCACATTCAGGATCTGCCGAGATCCAAAGTACATCATCACGGTAACTTTGAGACCATCGACGATGTTGGGGATGTTCTACCACCCACCTGCAGGTTCCGGGATACCTTTCGGGAATGGTATTTTTGAATCTTTCGTAGGGACTAGTTCTTAAGGCTTGGCAGATCTCTCGGGCGGTTTCTTCGTATCGTCGCTGTTCCTCCTCACGTTGAGCTATTTCGTGTCGTCGCTGTTCCTCCTCACGTTGAACTACCCTAGTGATCTCAGAATATTCTCTCAATACCTCAAGTTGCTTGGTCATGATGTCTGGTATTCCTCGTGGTCAGCGCATTACCAGGTATTCATGCTTGGATTCTGGGGAGGCTGGTACTGAATACCTAGGTAGTTACTCTGCGAACTTGCTTGACCTCCCACAAGTCGGAAAATTACTTAGTACTTACCTAGTTGTTGAATGGCCTTCTCATGGACGGTCTCCTCGGCCAGTATGTACCGAAGTAACTCCTTGGCGTAAGCCGATGCTGTGGGTGCTGCGTATCTATGTCAGGTATCGTTCTTCTTCGAGTCTGCATAGTCACAAACACCACGTATTACAAGACACAGTCGTTCATCAAACCGGCAGCCTCCATTTCGACGCATTTCGCTCCCAAAAGTTCACGCAGAGTATCCCTCATAGCAGCATTCTTCACAACGAGGTCTCCTGATGCTATGATTCCATAGTGAATCCGTGGGTCGTTATTATCGCGCACAGGGCGATTGACTAGCGTCTGGCAACATCCTCCACACGACTTCTCATCCAAACAATGAGTGCAGTACAATAGATTCTTCTGCGGACCAGGATATTTGTAGCCGTTTTCTGCCATTTTTGGATGACGTTCGAGCATTTCAGCGAGATACAAAGGTATCCGACGGACCTCCCCCTCATGATCAGATTGGAGGGAGGAAACGGCGTTGCGTAACACCGGTGGTGGAGCATTGAGAAAGCCTTTGCGTATAAATGTACTGTCACTGTCACCTGTGCCCATGATCTTGCCTTTGGCGTAGTGAATTACACCACCACTGATATCCGTAGGCATACTGACGACTATGTCTCCCAGGCGGATGTCGGTGCCATTCTTCAGGTCCGGGATGCCTCCACCAATGCCAGCCAGCAGCCCAAAGCGCATGGCAGGAAATGACCTCGTCATGTCTCTGGCCACAGTGGCTGCAGCGGCGAGGCCATCAGACCCAGCAGGCAGACAAGCAATGGCGATGTTGTGATTTTGAATCCTTCCTAGCACATAACTGTTGTGATCTTTTTGGCCTTGTCCTCCAAGTGGTTCATATTTCTTGTCCAGCATGGCTGTGGCGGCAGCCATCTCCACGGGAAGTGCACATATCCATCCTATGTGAAAGTCCTCGACCAAGGGTCTCGCCATGCCCCAATCTGCGATTCGTGGTCAAAGACTGCGTCAGTGCTGAGAGGGCGGACGTGATCAGGCTGTGAAAACACGAAGCAATTGTCGTCTGAGCCGAGCACTCCCAACCTGACCAGAGTCAATAGGTAAAGAACCTAGAGTGGAAGTTTCATGGTTAATTGGTCAACAATATGATCTGAGCCGTCCCATCGTCCATAATATAAGTAGTGGAAAGAAGGGCGTGCGCACAAAACCTCAAGAAACAAGATGAGATGTTGATGGCCCAAGAATGGACTATGTTTCGTTCTCCCGCGCATGGCTGCGCCATTACCAGGCTGGACGAGTTGGTCCATAGATACTTACCTACAAGGCAGGTAGCTTCACTACTAGGTAGTCAGGTATCTCCATCGGAGGCATCGCACTCCAGGGTGCGTCAAGCTTGAATCGAAAGCCAGCGCAGGGAGGGCGGCAACACCTGGATTGTGAGAGGTCTTTAAGCATCCAACACGCACGGATACCTACTCCGGATCTACCTATTGTAGGTAAGCACGAGGGGCAGTACCGAGTATTTAAGGGTCCCTAACTGGGTGTCCAGACGAAGAGCACCCAGGGCTCTTATAAGTCCAGGGCCTCCAGCAAGCCCGAGGCCTGGAACTACCTAAACTAACTAGAGCTCGGCCTGGACCCCTCGGGCCCATCTCTTGGTCGCTCAGGCACCCATGTGGAAGACGTTGGGACCGATTAACCGAATCCTCTGTCGGAACCAACTTTTCCTGACGTGGGGCTTCGATCTGCTCAAACAGCTGGGGTTCAGTCTGGATCGGCTCCCTGGGGAATATGATCGCACTCTTAAAACTGCCTTTTAAAGGAGAACGATTGTGACGTCCAAAGTGGCCCACATTAAGGATTCACATACTCGGTAATGGGCTTGCCATGTAATCAACAACGCAGATGTTGATAATCAAGGTACCTAACTGACCTGACTACCCTCTCCCACCTGGGTTAATGCGATCTACGAGATCCAGTCAGGCCACGCGATGGGCCTACCGAACCAGCCTGCAAAACCGAGACCTTACTTTCCCCACGCGGATGCCATCTCCTCGGTTTTTGTTCCTCCCGCCGAGTTTCACGAGAAATCTTCAAACATCGGGCCTGTATTCGATAGCGAACATTTCGACATCCCCATAGCCGACTACGATGCATTGCGACATGCTGCCATCTACGGCACTGAGACATCAGACAAGATCCCTGCTCGACTGGATGATTTTGATGCGCCTTACCTCCGTCCTACACTCGCGAAGAATGAGCGACTACGGCTGACCATACTCTGGTATTATGCGAGACACGTTCTTCAAGATGGGGCGTTGTTACAAAAGCTACAAAATGTTGTGGAGATGGTGAAGCAGTTCATAGGCTGGGATACTGCCGTTGTTGGGCTGGTGGACGAGGCTGTCTACAACCGATTGGCCACTGCGAATATGCCAGTCAACATCATCCCTCGGCGAGAGGCCATGTGCGCTCACACCATCAATCAAGAAGGAGGAACAGTCTTCATGGTTCCAAGCTTGCTAGATGATTGGAGATTTGAGAACGCTCCTCATGCCACCCACGCCGGCATGAGAAGTTACGCTGGCACGCCGTTACGGTTACAAGTCGAGGACGGGGAATATGTGGCACTCGGATCGCTGTGTGTGACTTCAAGTACCCAGCAGAAGCCTCTCACTCCGGACCAGAAGGCTTCTTTAGTCCGCTTTGGAGATATTATGGTCGCCGAAATCGTCAGCAGTAACAAACAGGCTAGGTTGAAGGCTCGACAAGACATGTCGAACGCTGTAATGGCTCTTCAAAGCTTAGCCAACAGTGACAGCCCAGAAGCTGTGACAATTGAAGTTGTCAAGCGTGTTTATCCTAATGCTTCGGTTTCGATACAGAGCTGCTACGACAACCTGGTCCAAGTAGAAGGCCGCCCGGCCTTCCACATCGATGAAATCAAAGATATGCTGTGGGAAGACACTAACTTCATCGAGTCTGCCATTCAACACCAGAACTTTCGGCATCTCAGCTCAACACAAACTTTGCGCGCAGTCGTTGCGCGATGTGGGAGATCATCACAGATGCTCGTCGTCGCCTCGAGCGACTTCCATCATGTGTTCGACGATTATGACATCTGGTTCGTCGAGCGATGTGCACTTGCACTGGCCGAGATCATACGCGAAAGGGATCTTCATGCAGCTCTAGCCATCAAAGAGACATTCCTGAGAGGTATTACCCATCAACTTCGGACTCCCATTCACGGAGTTCTCGCTTCGGCAGATCTGTTGGCTGAGGAACTTGGGCGAAACTCATTGGCCAGACGCTCGTCACTTGCAGAAGCTTCGAATCCTGGATTATCGTATATTGCGGCAATTAGAAGTTCAGGACGAGAACTAATGACAACCGTCAACAATGTTCTGAAATTGAACAATTGGACAGACAGCTCTACGAAGGGACTCAAGACCTCGATCTATGACCTCTCCGAGCTCCAATCGGACATGCTGGACGACGTATTCCAAATGCTACCAGAGGAACAGTTGGAAGCGATAGCCTTGATGTACGAAAACAAGCTGACCGCTGAAGGGACTGCTATTGATACGAACATGGTCCTTCTCAAGGAATGCGTCCAGTCGCTAGTGCTCAATGCTATACAGGCCTGTCCAGCTGGGGCTATCACGGTGACAATTTCAGCCATAGACTCCTCAAATGAGGGTGTGATAATTGATGTCGTCGATACTGGAAAAGGTATCTGCCTTGAAGATCAACAACGAATATTCGATGCTTATGAGAAGGTTGATCAACATACACCAGGCGTTGGACTTGGGCTCACTCTAGCTCGCAAGATTGCCCAAAGCCTGAAAGGTTCTCTGACCCTGGAAAGATCGTCAATTGGCCAGGGATCCCATTTTCGACTGCAATTCAATACACCGCTATTGGCTTGCGCGTCAGCCACCCAGCAAAATGATACGATGGTCCAGACCACGCTTCCGAAAACTTTCTGCGTGGTGCCAGATTCGAATGTACCTCACATGGCAGAACGTCTGGCAGTGCATCTGGAAGGAAAAGACCTGATGAAAGCGGACCAAGCTGCAGGGTCGTTACTGATCACAGATCTTTCCTCTGTCACAGTCAACGTCACTCCCACATTAGAAGAAGCTGCTGTAATCATTTGCATCCTTCCATCCGCAGACTTCGGAAAGTTGTCCCAGATCAGCCCAACTCTCAGGAAGAAGATTGTACCAGTCACTGGACCTTTCTATGAAACCCACTTGAACAATATCATGACGGAAGTCACTTCTGTCTATGAATTCCTTTCACAGACATCGATACCGGAAAGGCAGTTCACAACTCTACCCCTTCGTACTGGGTATAGCTCAAAGGAACCCGTTGTTCATGTTTGTGCCGAAGATACAACTACAATCATCCCACAAATTCCTGCTTCTGGTGAGAACGGCCCAAGTGCATCGCAAGTTGGGCTACATGTCAAACAGCCCGTTAGCTGTGCTTTACTCGTTGATGACAACGATATAAACCTGCGCATTCTCCGTATGTACTGCGAGAAACGACACATACCCTACTTGCTCGCGAGGGATGGTAATGAAGCCATCACACAGTACACCGCGGCCATCTCCGCGCATCGCTCGGTCGACTTAGTGTTTATGGACCTTCAAATGCCCAACTGTGACGGTCTTACAGCCTGCAAGAAGATTAGACACATTGAGAAGGAGCGCAACATTGCCAATCAGAGCATAATGTTCATTGTTACAGGGCAAGACTCTATCAAAGATCGAGACAGTTCCTTTGCGGCCGGAGTTGATAACTTTTTGGTGAAGCCGGTAGGTCTCAAGCTCTTGGACAGGGAGCTAGCAAAATACTTCATTGCGGCTGGTGCTGCTTGAGGGCAGGGACCCCAGTAACGCATTTGAGACGCTTTCCACATAAATCAACATCATGTCATCATCTGTTCCGAGGTTCCCCAGCTTCCAATGTACGGGAGCCGGATACAGCTGCGATCTTTTGCACGTTACCGGTATTATCTCTCCTACGTGATACCGTGCATAACACCGTACTCCCAAGTTTTGGGTCTATCATAGTTTACATCGAGGTGTCCACTGGATCCACGGGTGCGAATCTCCCATTCTGATCAAAGGTTCTAGACGCGCTGTGTTCACCATGCCAGGATGAGCTTGATCGATGTCGGTGGCGCCTGCCAATTTTATGAAGCATTGCTGGAGACGACATAGCAGATGTCTTGTGCTGCGCAACCTCCTGAAACTGCTAGTTCACCTTCCGGATGTGCAAGCCTAGCTATTGTGGCTGGAGATACAAAGAATGGCGCACTGCTGTGATAGCCCAGTATCGACCGTCTTATCGACAATTCCTTCACGTTCCGCAATACCCATGGCCGGAGCATACACTGTCGATCGCTGTCGAAGTTTGCTTCAAGTTGGTAACTGATGAGGTCCGTCGCTACAGACGATCAGAGGGCACACGCTTATTTGGTATAAACCGTTCTTGCAACATCCTCAAAATTGTGCACTGAGATAACGCTTTCGAGAGGTGGTAGTCCATCCTCAGCTATCTGAGGCACAGGGATCGGTGCGGGTTCTTCAACAATCGAGGCATTCACAGGGTCTAGCACTCCCATGAGGTGTTCCTTTTCAAGCGTCTCCTCAACAATGCCAGGCGCGTGGATTTCGTCGCATGCTGAGGTGGCATCTCATTATTACTGTCGACACTATCAGCCACTACAAGATGTGGTACCCCCAAGCGTCGATTTACTTGCTGCACCACCTGGATGCTCGACCAGAAATGATGAGACATCGTAAACCTTTGAGTGTAGAACAATCCAACAATCTTCACTCGATTATGTTTCCTCAATTCTTCTTGTGAGACGATCTCCTCTGTAGAATCTCTTCGATGCTCTGTTGCTGGCAATAGTCCTCGACCTTGTTCTGGCGTATTTGCTCGTCTTTGTCGTCTGCTAGTCGACATGCGAAAAAGAGACTAGTGTCTATCATAATTCTTGCCAACTCGCCGCGAAAACCACATTCACCATGAAGGTATACTACTCAACTCTAGTTAGCGTGGCTGTCGCGAATATCCAAGCACCGGACCACGTCGGCGCTACCGGCGCAAGCAAGATGTGGCAACTCCCTCGGAGTTTCCGCAACCAACTTGGGTGGACACGGCGATATGGCCGACAGGACGCCAGTGAAATCCGACTCTGGGGAAAGGCAGCGGTCATCGGCGAAAGGGATCCGGCAATGCGGGGTCGAAGCCGTGTGCCTGCCGATGTACCACAACTCTCAAAGAGAGACGATGTTGCTAGCATGGAGACATTAGCATCCCATTGTTGAGGGTACCGCCAAAATGGAGCCAAAAGTAGTACCTTACCAGAAGACGATAGATAGCTTGCCGTCGCCAAAGGCAAGTACAGGGCTATCCAAGGAGATCACTTCTCAGCAGTCAAAGGGACGGCTCCCGATACTTGTCGTTCTCGACGACGATCCGACAGGCACACAGACATGCCACGACATCAACGTGCTGACAGTTTGGGACCGCGATGTCCTTGTCGAGGAGTTTCAATCGACGAACAGCGGGTTTTTCATTTTGACCAATTCTCGAGCTCTGCATCCTGAAGATGCGAGGACCCTGATCGAGAACATATGTCGAGCAGTCAAGGAAGCAGCATCCATTGCTGGCAAGGATTTTGAACTTGTTCTGAGAGGCGACTCGACGCTTCGTGGTCACTTTCCTTTGGAACCTGAAGTCGCAGAGACCGTGGTCGGGAGAGTTGACGGTTGGATCTTGGCGCCTTTCTTTCGTCAGGGTGGTCGTCTTACGATCAATGATATTCATTACATTGCTGATCCAGAGGGCAATCTCGTCCCTGCTGCACAAACACCCTTTGCCCAAGATGCGACTTTCGGCTACAAAAGCTCTAATTTGAGAGATTATGTCGTTGAGAAGTCGAAAGGGGCTATTCCCGCTGGGCAAGTCCAGTCCATCTCGATCGAGGATGTTCGGACCGGCGGTCCAGAGGCTGTCGCTGAAAAACTGCTCGGGTTTAGTGGCAAATGTGTCGTCGTTGTCAATGCTGTAACGGACAGTGATATGGAGATTTTCGTCCAAGGGCTCTTGAAGGCAAGAGAAGCCGGCAAGCGCTACATTTACAGGACAGGCGCCGCATTCGTGTCGACCAGACTGGGAATCGAGCAAATACCTCCTCTTACAGCATCAGACCTGAAGATGGATCTTTCTGCTTCGAGTCCCGGCGGTCTCATTATCGCGGGCTCATATGTGCCAAAGACAACCGCTCAACTAGATTCTTTGGTAAGTGGTCGCAGCACTAAGCTCGAAGTCATCGTCCTCGAAGTCGACGAGCTCCTCAAGGGACAGACTGAAGCAGAGCAAATCGTGCTCGATGCAGCCGATCGAGCCGGGCAATTGATTGTCGATGGTAAAGATGTCTTGATCATGACCAGCAGGAAGATCATCACTGGTGCAGACGAGAGATCGAGTCTGAATATCGGCACGGTGGTGGCGAATGCTTTGGTCCTATTCCTGCGAAAGCTGAATCCCCGCCCTCGTTATATCATTGCAAAGGTATACTATCTTGCGATTTATCCATCGTCTTTGTTTCGTCTTCTTATTCTGACTTGGCAAATAGGGAGGAATCACGTCTTCAGACGCCGCAACAAAAGGTCTACGGATGAAAATCGCAAAGATTGTGGGACAGGCTGCCTCGGGCGTGCCTTTATGGAGATGCGGCGAACCCACATCGAAGTTTTCTGGCATTCGTAAGGCTCTCTCCCATTCAGATCATGCTCCAGGGATGCAGAGCTAACAGCAGTGCTTAGCCTACGTAGTCTTTCCTGGCAATGTTGGAGAGAAAGAGACGCTCCGAGACCTAGTCGCCAGCTGGGCCAAAGTCGACGAAACTCAGTGACATTTCCGCGATGCAATGTCAAAGGTAAGTGGGATATTCCCGCTTGAGCATGACAAGAATCTCTAATCGATGATAGATGATACCATTTGGCTCGGCAATAGCGCTCTCAAGACCTCAAAGATCATCCTAGGCTGCATGACATTCGGCCGTTCCAAATGGGAAGGCAGTCCATGGGTTCTCGGTGAAGATGAGGCCCTCCTCATCCTGAAGCGAGCGCATGACCTAGTCAGGCGTCAACACGTGGGACACTGCGAACACGTATTCAGACGGCGTTTCTAAGACTCTCGTCGGTATAGTGTCAATCCCTCGCTTATGAGGTCGACGGCAAGTTGTTCGTGGTATTTGTTAGAGATTTCGAGCAATAAATGGCCGGCAAATGCTATCATGATGTGGAAGTCTGTCATGGATAGCCCAGGCAAAAAGAATACCATGTATTTGGATTTTCCTCGTTGCCTTCATGGACAGCTGTAGAGAAGTTGGCATGTCTTTTGACTGTCCACCACCAAGTCAGCTGGAAGCGGTTCTGTAAGATGGGGCGTATGTGCTGCCTTTCGAAAACATATCGAGCTTTGATGGAGGATTGTTACCTATGTCGATACAATGGGATAACATCGTATAATAGCTGTTGATATCGTTAGAACACCCTGTAAGCAATCGTCAAGACATCCACAAAAAAGGGTGAGTGGGAAGCAGTTTCCCTTCCCCTTCCCTTGGCGATGACATCGTCAGGTATTGCGACACTGGCAGCAGGTGAACAAACCCCCACCAATCTACCTCAGATAGTGAGAGAAGTACCACAAACACCATATCCTCTTATCCACCAAGTCTGCAGTCAACCTGAAACTTGAAGCAACAATCAAGGTTGGTTGTGCGAAGCGGGATTCGTGTACTGGCCTGTCTGATTGCACATCCTAACACAACGCGAGACCAGGAGATTCCGCAGCACTTCTGTTGTGCAAACATCACCACAACCACTTCAAACATCCTACGCTCAGGAGCCAACCTGAAATTATCCTACTAACCCGTACGTCTCCAAGAGACGGGACAGAATTTGTACCGTCGTGTCACTTCCTCAACGATTGATTGATTGAGCGTCTACTTCTATCGCAGTCAACCCTCACCGTTAAAGATGGCGACACCTGCTGCCGCAGATTCCACCCTCTACCTCTACACCTCCCTCACAGCCGGTTCCTCACACATCATAACCGCGACTTCTCGTCTCGAAACTATATTGAAAGCCAATAAGATTCCTTTCCGAGCAGTGGATGTCGCCACTGACGAGAAGGCACGTATGCTATGGGGAAGAAGGTCAAAGGGTAGGAAGCTGCCCGGTTTGGTCAAGTTTGGTTCAATCGTTGGTGTATGTGCTCCTCCCACCCCCGGTACACTGAGGCTATATTGATTGCTACTAGGATATAGAACAAATTGAAGAATGGAACGAATACGGTGAACTCAAAGAGCAAATCGCTGGAGCCGATGAATTTGGTACACTGGGCGTCAGTACTCTGAGTCCGAACCCCGCTACTACTACTGCCACCGACACCGCAGCATCTACTCCTCAACGCTCCGGTCCATCTGGTCCACCATCTAGAGCTTCGTCTGAGACACGTCATATCTCCATTGCAGAGCCCACCAAAGACAAAGAGAAGGATGCAGCTCAAAAGTCCACAGACTCGCCCGGGAATCAGATCCTTCGGCAACTTGGTGCTGAAGCCGCAGCCAAGGCTGCGCAGAAGAAGACAGGAACCACCTCAGCAGCAAAGGTGCCGGTCAAAGCAACACCTTCAACATCCGACCAGACTCCTACTCCGGCAGCTACAAAACTCTCAGCAGACGCTGCGGTCGAGTCTGCAGATACTGCCACAGAAGCCACTGCAAGCAAGACTCCCGCACAACTTGCAACCGAGGGTGCAAAACGAACGAGCATAGACAAGATTGCAGAATCTGAGGACGTAGCCACCTCACCAGTATCGACATCTCCAACGCAAGCAGGTGATGCTGGAGAGGCAGCCTCCACCGAAGCTCAAGTATTGGAAGTCAGAAGAACAAGCAGCATTGCGAAGACCAAGTCAAAGCTGAGCGAGGCCACACCCGCTGCAGAGAGTGACACCGTGTTGAGTGATGAAACAGAGAGTAAGACAGCAGTTGAAGACTCTGAGATCAGTGCAACAGCAGAGCCAGTCACCAGGAAGCATCGCGGTAGTGATATTGGAGAAGCCAGTCCAGAAGAGATCAGAGCCTTGGAGAAGAAGCTCTCGATTCCCGAGGAAGATGAGGATGACGAGGAAGATGACGATGATGACGACAGCGAGGATGATGATGACGACGACGACGACGATGAAGATGAAGAGCCAGACTTGAAAAAGGGCAAATCCACTACAACAGGCGGTGTTGGTTCGACAGACAAGGCTGAGAAAGAAGCGACCAAAGGACAAGATCCCCAGAAGGAAGATCCAAAAGACGACAACAAGGCGGGCGTCAGTGTCGGTGATTAGACTGTTGGTATTTGATATTCCCAGGGCAAAGATCTCTACGCAGTGGCCAGTGGCGAAGGCGTTTAGAGGGAATTGTTGGCCAAGCTATGTGTTTGTGGTTCACAGCTAGTATTTACCCATGAATTGTCACTGAGTCTCATCTACCTGTTGGACGTCCATTTGTTGCTTGATTGTATGCACCCCATAGCCAATTTGATAGCTAGGTAGGCGTCTAAGCAGGAGATCAATCAATACCCCCCTTCGACGATTTTTGCGTGTGAGAAATCCCGTGGACTTTGCTGTATGTCCACTCCACTTCCGTGTGTTCTATTTGACTAGGTAATCTCCGCTGCTAAGGAGAGCCTCTCGCACATCTCTTGTGCAATGCTGGCTTCGACCCTGGAGTGTGCTTCGCAAAGCATCGAATGGGTGTACTAACTAGTCCAGGGAGTATCAAGCAAAGCACCGAGAATTTTAACTACTTGGATTCATCACGGTTGAGCGAGCGTATCCATTCAGAATATGACATGACAAGACATCACATGGCACTTTCTCCGAGTGAGGCCAGACGGCACAGGTGAGATACATATTCAGAGGTTGGTTTGTACGCAAGTCCTGCTTTTTGTTCCAGATAAACACGCACGATGATCATGTCCCGAAATCACCCTGAAATCCGTGCGTGCTACATAGAGACCGAAGCCTTGTCCCATCCAGGGAGGGATGGTTTTTCCCAGCCTGAGTTTCATCTACCAAAAAACCAAAAAAGAGGGAGCGGGCCTACAACCGAGCCTGCACGGCACCCTCGCCCTTCCAGCCGGCGTCGGCGGCAATCAACTCTGCGGCGCGCTCGCCGACGCCCAAGACGGTCAGCATGGGATTGATGGTGGGCATGGCGGGGAAGACACCGGCGTCGGCGATGCGCAAGCCCCTGATGCCGCGGACCTTGAGCTTCTCGTCGACGACGGCGAACTCGTCGGTGCGCACGTCGCCCATCTTGGTCGTGCCGGCCGGGTGGTACACGGTGTGCGCGACGCGGCGGGCGTACTCGGACAGCTCCTCGTCCGACTGCAGCTTGTTGCCCGGCGCGACTTCGCGCTTGATCCAGTCTTTGAAGGGCGCTTCGTTGGCGATCTTGCGTGCCGCGCGCAGCCCGAACACGAACGTCGCCGCGTCGTAGCCTTCTGGGTCTGTGAAGTAGCGGAAGTCGAGGGCTGGTTTGACGCTCGGGTCTGCCGAGGTCAGGTACAGCCGGCCCCGGGACCGTGGGCGTGGGATGTTGGGCGTCATGCAGAAGGCGTCGATCGGCGTGTCGTAGCCGAGGCGTGTCGTGTTCAGGCAGAATGGGATCTGGTAGCAGTGCATCATCACGTCGGCAATGTCGCCGTCTGGAAGGCTCTGCGGGTTGAAGATCGGGGATGGGTTGGAGGCGGCGGCGTCCGGTGCCTGGCGCCGGAGGAAGATGCCTGCATCGGAATCCATGGTTGTCTGGTTCGGTGGGACGGGTTTGTTGAGTTCCCAGATGATGATGGTTTCCGGGTGGTCGAGGAGGTTCTCGCCCACGCCGGGGATGTTCTTCACTACGGGGATGGAGAGCGAGGTCAGTTGCTCCTTCGGGCCCAGGCCGGAGAGAAGCATCAGGCGGGGCGTGTCGACGGCGCCGGCGCAGAGAATGGTTTCGGTTTTGGCTGTCAGTGTGAGTTTCTCGCCGGATTGGAGGGTCACATCGATGCCGCTGACCGAGTCGTTCTTGTCGATGTTGATCTTGGAGACCCAGGCGTTGGTCAAGACTTTGAGGTTGTCGCGCTTTTCTTCCTCGCGGAGGATTGGGTGGATGTATGCGACCGAGGCGCTTGAGCGTCGTCCATCGTCTGGATTGTAGCTGACCGAGAAGAATCCCACGCAAGGCTTCAGGCTTCCCGTGGTAGTGATCTGCTTGTTGAAGTCGTGGACCACAGGGATGTCCATGGCCGTGCTGCATGAATTGACCCAGTCCTTGCACAACTGGTTGCGGTGGCGGGCGTGGACCGGTTGCACCGTGTTACGGAGCTTGTTCAACACCCGTGTGAAGGTTGGGAAGGTCCAGCCTTTGGCTCCTAGTGATTCCCAGATCTTGCAGTCATACTCGAATGGGCGGAACGATATCAGTGTGTTGTGGCTCGAGCATCCTCCCAATACCTTGGCTCGTGAATGGCGGATGTGGGAGTTTCCTAGTATACTGACGTTAGAGGTTGTTGTTTATGCAGCTGTTTGAGGAGAATGAATCTATAGTCATACCGTTTGGTTGTTCAGTGGTGCCATAATCATAATCCAACTCTCCTCCCAGCAAATTGAGCCATTGCCTGAGGTCCAAAACGCGATCATCCATAAAGTCGCTGGGGCCGGCCTCGATCAGGAGGATCTTCTTGTGAGGGAGGTATTCTGCGAGGCGGGATGCGATGACACAGCCCTTCACGATAGGATAACGGTTAGCTTTGACTTTGATGTTTACTTCCGCAAAGGTCCAACAAGCTCTACGCAGAGATGTCACACAGAGTCAATACTTACAGCTGTGCCGCCTCCAACTATGAGATAGTCATAGCTGTTGGTCTCCGAAGAGGACAATTGCGTGGTCGTCATGATGATTCCCAACCAAGTCGACACTCTTGATACAATCGAACTGTTAGATAGACTCAGATTGGAGAGTCGAAGCGATCAGAATCAATCAACCTCGGGAGAGATACAGAATTTAATTGTCCAAAAAAGCACACGACTTTTCTGCGGTGCCTCTGATCGAGTTAAATCTCGACGATGAGAAGAGGACTTCGTAGCTAGATCCACCTTTGGAAAACGACTCTAACCGTCAGTCCACCAGAAAGCTGAAAACTAGTTACTCAACATCCACCGAGACCCAAACCAACGGTGCAAGGGTCCAAGGAAGGCAAACGCGTACGAGTAAGAGGGATTGCATGGCACACGAGTGCATGAGGGGGTCGGGCGTGTCACATTGAAAAGCTTAAGCTCGCGAGATCTGACCGATTGCTGATAGCTGATTGACTGAGATAGAGACTTGCATGCAATTGTTTGTTTATTGGATGCATGGATTCCAGGATGATCAAGAGAGGGAGCTCCAACCTGTAATGACGGCATGGATGGAGACCTTCCCCGGTCAAAAGCTGGCATCTTCCCAGAGAGGGTCCCGAGGGGCCCTCGGACGGACCATTCGGAACAAGGCGGTGAAAATTTCTTGAAGGATTAAGAAAGCAAGGTCCATGCCCTATACGAGAGGAAAGCCATCGTGACTCAGGTCGAGGACGAGGGGAAACCAATTGCGAGACATGGCACTGATTGTTCTCAGGTAACGATTACTGGAAATGGAGCTGTTTACCTTGAGAATTGTTCGACAAGTTGTAGGTTATCCCTGCGGGGTCCGCCTAAGCCGAGAAAAGGCTTCCAGACCACGAGGTCAGAGTCTCAGAGATCGTCGAATCCAAGGACTTTGAATTCGTATCAAGGGACAAGTCCGAGTGGATACCTAGGTTGATAGAGATGCCAGTGGAGAGGAAGGATTCGACCTTGAGTTGATGGACCGAGCATGCGTCATCCCAGACGATAGTATCTTACTCGTAGGTACTAGGAGGGGCGTCGTTACGGGGATTCAATCGCTCCCTCAGAGATGCCATGCAGCGTCGGCATCTATCTTGCCACGGCTGTACGAGTAGGTTCAAGATAGACGGTGAAAAGCCTTGATGTAATTCGAGATATATTTTGAAAGCAAAGTTTCATGGTGGACTGCAACCCAAGCAAAGACTTCCAGTTTGCCTCTCAAGCTTGGGTGGCCAGCTGGCCAGGTACTTCGTATCTAACTGACCGCCACCACTTCTCCCACTAGCACAACTCAAACGCCGGTCCACTAAACGTACCTAGGCAATCTTCAAACGGCTTCCTGTTGATTGCTGGAGAATCTTGACCAGCTTGAAATCAACTATCACATCCAACTTTCAGACAACGACTGGCAACTAACCCGGACTACCGACGATAGACATAATCCCTTCTCGGAAGACATTTCTGCCGGAGTTGGGAGCCGATATCAATTACTTCGAGGCTGGCATGATATTCGACCATTGAAGAGCCCAAAATCCAAACCTCAAACCCATTTTCAACATGACCGTCGCATCTCAGACCAGTGTCCCCGACCGGCATACATTTTACGCTGGAAAATCACAACCTTCATCAACCTCATCAGGATCCTTCCAATCCGTCGATCCATCAACCGCAAAACCCGTATGCACCATTCACACATCATCTCCATCATCCATCGATGCTGCCATCTCAGCAGCTCGAGCCGCATTCCCCACGTGGTCCAGCACACCGCCCATCGAACGGTCAAGGATCCTACTAAAAGCCGTCTCTCTTCTACGAGCTCGAAATGACGAACTCGCCAAAATCGAGACTCTCGACACCGGCAAGGCGTTTTCCGAAACATCGACTGTCGACATCGTCACAGGAGCCGACGTGCTTGAGTACTTTGCAAACTTGATCGCATCCGGTGGCCTGAATGGTGAATCTTTCCGCCTGAGAGACTCTGCATGGGTCTACACGTCGAAAGAGCCACTCGGCGTGTGTGCGGGAATCGGGGCGTGGAATTATCCGATTCAAATCGCCCTGTGGAAGTCGGCCCCTTGCCTGGCCGCGGGAAACACCATGGTCTACAAGCCATCGGAAGTCACTCCACTGCACGCGCAATTCCTGGCCCAGATCTACAAAGAAGCCGGCGTGCCCGACGGAACCTTCAACGTCGTCTACGGCGCCGGTGACGTCGGCGGTTATCTCACCAAGCACCCGGGCATCGCCAAGGTCAGCTTCACCGGCCAGGTCGCCACAGGCAGAAAGGTGGCGGGCTCTGCGGCCGGCGAGATGAAATACGTGACGATGGAACTCGGCGGCAAGAGTCCCGTCATCGTCCTCCCGGACGCCGACGTCGACCAAGCCGCCGACGGAGCCCTGCTGGCCAATTTCTTCAGCTCCGGCCAGGTCTGCACGAACGGCACGCGCGTCTTCGTCCCGGAGAAACTCAAGGCCGCATTTGAGAAGAAAGTCCTCGAGAAGATGGCGTTCGTCAAGGCCGGCGACCTGGCCGACCCGACCACCAACTTCGGCCCGCTGGTGAGCAAGGTCCACCACGAGAAGGTCCTGGGCTACATCCGCCGCGGCATCGAGAACGACAGGGCCACGCTCCTCTGCGGCGGGCCCGAGAAGCCGGAGAACCTCCCCACCCACCTCCAGAACGGGTTCTGGGTCAAACCCACCGTCTTCACCGACTGCACCGACGACATGGAGATCGTCAAGGAGGAGATCTTCGGCCCCGTCATGTCCGTCCTGACCTACCGCTCCATCGAGGAAGTCGTGCAGCGCGCCAACAATACTGACCTCGGCCTCGCCGCGGGTGTGTTCGGTACCGACATCAACGAGTGCCATCGTGTCATCAAGCAGCTCGAGGCCGGCATCACTTGGATCAACACCTGGGGTGAAAGCCCGGCAGAGATGGCCGTCGGTGGCTGGAAGCAGAGCGGGGTGGGTGTCGAGAACGGTCGCCGCGGCCTCGAGGCTTGGTTGCGCAATAAAAGTACTTTGGTTGAGATGGGTGGCGCTGTTCCAACCGTTTTTGCGAAATTGTAAAAACCTCTTTTACTGTGGTGTAGTATATTTTTATGTAGCATTTGCGAAAAAATTGGATACGGTGATTTCTTTGGAAGTGAAAGATCACTCCTGTTGTAACTGTTCATGCATCAAGTAGGCTTTTAATCTCCTTAAAGCATAAAGGGGGGAAATCTCGCTCCCAACTATATATCACGTACAGAATGGCCTCCCTGGGGCAAAACGCGTTTCAGCAACATCCCGCAAAGTCATAGTGATCAATCAATCTTGTAACATAATTCAGCCGTCCCACCTTGAAAGCAGAAAATTCAAATCAATCATGCCGCAAATGTTGAGACTCGTGAACCCATCCGATCGAAGATGAAATCGTCCATCTTCTTCTCATTCATCCCGATCGCTGAATCGATCAATCGCGAAGACATACTGTCGGGCGTCAACTCGCCGTCATCTTGGTCAATCACCGTGTCCTTCTTGTCCGTGTCGATCTTGAGCTGCCGGAGCGCCCCACGCCAGTTGTCCACTTTCGTCTGTGCTTTCTGTTGAGGTGTCGCTCTGGCCGTTTGTTGTTCGTCGGATACTTGTTCGATACTCTTGAAGTACTATTATAGCGAGGTCAGCATCGTGGAAAGGAAACTCAAATTTCAGTCTAGTCCACTTACTTTGACTGTTTTCACGAGCATTTCATCGGTTGCGGCGTCGTCGCAGACAATGATGGCAGACTCATGTAATTGAAGTGCACTGGCGGTCCACATTTGACTGACACCGCCCTCGATCGTTTTCTGTAGCGCCGTCGCTTTGTTGGAGCCCAGCACTATTACCAGCACTTCCCTTGCGTCCATGACTGTTTGAACTCCGACTGTTAAGGCCTGCTTAGGCACTTGACTCAGATCACCTCCGAAGAATCGTGAATTGGCTCGTATTGTGTCTTCTGCCAAGGTCTTGACCCTGGTGCGCGACTTTAGGGATGATCCAGGCTCATTGAAGGCAATATGGCCATCTGGACCTATTCCTCCGAGAAATAGATCTATTCCGCCTGCTCGGGCGATTTTCTCTTCATAAGCAGCGCACTCTTCTGCGAGATTGGGCGCATTGCCGTTAAGTATGTTGACGTTGTTTGGATTGATATCAACGTGGGCAAAGAAGTGTTTATACATGAAACTGTGGTAGGATTCGGGGTGGTCCTCTGCTAAGCCGACATACTCGTCCATATTGAATGTTACGACATTGGCAAATGAGATCTCTCCAAATCGATGTGCTTGAACAAGGTATTGGTATATCAGCTCCGGACTGCTACCTGTGGGAAGCCCAAGAACAAAAGGTCTCTCTGGTGTAGGCGCAAAGGCTTTGATGCGGTTGATAATGTACTTTGCCGCATACTGGGAAGCCCCATCTGTGTTGTCTCGGATGATAACCTTCATCTTTGTGTGATCTTGAAGGTGACTCGGGTATTGTGATCTTGGTATCAATTGGGTAGGATAATTCTCAACTCGAGAGTATATTCAAAAGGGAAAGAAGATGATCAACGAAAAAAGCAGGACAAACCTTTGTCTGACGTAGGTCAATCTTCCAACCAGGCAATCATGAGAGGATTACATAGGGAAAGCAATGCGGAGTAAGAGGCACTCAACGGCAGCCTGAGCGACGGCAAACCACACTACCTGCGGATGAATGTCCCCAGAGCAAAGTGTCGATGAAGAGCGATTTTGCAACGGTACATGGTTGTGTGTCATCCAACGGTTCGACCACTCACCGAGTAGCCGACCAGTAACATTGATGGAGACCAGAGCATGATAGTCTTATCGGCGGAAGGCTCAGGAAGATGAAGTCAGCAATGTAGGGTAGGGGATGATTCATACTGGTTCTCCTGATGAAGGTAGTAGTGGAATAAATGCTGAGTGGTAGAAAAACAAGCCGAAAGGTTCGAACTGTGGCCGGAAAATCTGCGGGCCGAGAGTATCTAGTCACGTGTTGCAGCTCCACGACGGATGTTGCACTTTCACGCTCCAGTGTAACGGTTGCGGTTGCACCTGCCTTCTGCTCCTCAGATGCTCGGGAACCCCTCGGGGGCGTTAGTCTTCATTAGCTTCCGAACGCCCAGTGTTTGTCCAACCCCCACTGGTTGGTGCGCTGGCACTAACGAAGCCAACTCGCTAGGGGCTGTTAGCCAAACTGATCACTACCAAAAGTTACCCTCTGCTTTGGTGGCCGCCAAACAGGGTGTGATTTTCACCTTCTTTCCCAACCTCCAGCCTTCCCAGCATTACATCTTCAAAAGAGTTGTTCAATGCGACCTGACCCGACACTACAACAAATGCAACATCACCTCGTTTCCACCATCGCGCTTCCACGTTCCTGGTTTGCTTCGTCTATTGCACATCTCTAACGCCATGCACATTACCCGCTCCAAACTTAGAGCAAACTCGTGACCACCAGTCGCTCCGGAATGCACCTTGCACCAGACCACTCTTGATGCTTGATCCGACCACTGCCAGGTCTTCATTCATCTCCTGTTCAGCCTAATCCTTGTGTTTTATCCAATCATCCACTGCATGTGGGGGGCTTTGGCCCTATACCGACATGGCCACCAACGGGGATGTCCCCTCCCTGTGGGACGAATCAAGGTAGGCAAAATGCCGACATGCTTCTTGACATGTTCTCCATGCTGACTATTTGATAGACAGCTAGGCCAACTGTTTATGATGGGCTTTGATGGAACTTCTGTCACGGATCAAGTCAAGGTTCTTATTGAGAAGTATCACGTAGGCTCGATACTTCTCAAAGCTCAAAATCTGAAATGTAGATCCCCGATCATGTCCACTGTCGCGATTGCCCTTCCTTGACCATCTTGGACTAACCTTTTTGAATTGTAACAGCTGCTGAACAGACAACAAATCTGGTCCTTGAACTTCAGAAGATTGCTCGAAAAGCTGGCCATCCCGTTCCGCTACTGATTGCACTTGATCAGGAGAATGGAGGTGTCAACAGTCTTTACGATGATGTATATATCCGCCAATTTCCAAGTGCAATGGGCATGGCCGCCACGGGTTCCAAAAAGCTAGCCAAGGACATTGCTCGGGCTACTGCACAAGAGTTGAACTCTTGTGGCATCAACTGGATCTTGGGACCTGTCTTCGACGTTCTTACCAATGCAAGAAATCAACCACTGGGAGTCCGGTCAATTGGTGATGACCCAAATGAAGTTTCAGCATATGGGGTCGAGTGTATGAAGGGTTACCAAGAAGGCGGAGTTGCCACTTGTGGTAAACATTTTCCTTCATATGGTAACCTGGAGTTCTTTGGAGTGCCGGATGATGTTCCAACAATCACAGACTCACTAGAGAACCTAAGTCAAAGTGCTCTAGTTCCATTCCGTGCAGCAATAACGCAAGGCCTTGACTCAATGATGGTAGGTGGTGTAGCCATGGCGACCTCACAAGTCAATGTGATGCATGCATGTTTGTCGGAACAGATTGTCAGGGACCTTCTAAGGACTGAAATGCGGTTTGAGGGCGTGGTAGTCTCAGAATGTCTGGAAATGGAAGCTCTGAGCAGAAATATCGGCATCAGTGGCGGAACGGTCATGGCTTTCAAAGCTGGCTGTGACTTGATCCTGACTTGTCGGACGCTATCAGTTCAAGAAGACGCCATTAACGGACTAAAAGCTGGGTTGGATAATGGAATGATTGAACGCTTTCGCGTTCAAGAGTCTGTTCAACGAATACTCAGTTTGAAATCGCGATATACCTCTTGGGAAAGAGCATTCTCTCCTGCAGGAACGGAAAATCTCGCACTCCTACAACCCCTACACACTAATCTCTCGAACTCGGCTTATAGTCAGTCCATCACTGTTGTTCGCGACCAAAACCATTACCTTCCACTATCTCGAGCCATCAAAGCAGAGGACGAGCTTCTCCTTTTGAGCCCATTGGTTAAACCGCTACCTGCCTCGGCATTATTCCACCATAAGCAATCCGAGTTCTCTACAGCACCCACTTATGGACGGAGCCCTAGCTTTGACACGAACGCCTCGATCATGAGTGGTGAGCAAGTCTTTCGAGGTCTCGGAAGGGCGCTTGCAAGTTATCGAAATGGCAAGATATCTCATACATCGTACACAGCAAATGGAGTACGCCCTCTACATGAGAACCTTCTGAGTCGAGCTCAAGGGGTCATTGTCATCACGGCAGATGCGGGTCGCAACATGTATCAGAATGCATTTGCAAAGCACATTTCGATGCTGTGCAAACTATCAGTTGGGTCAAATGGCAAACCAAAAGAGAAGCCATGTGTGGTCGTTGCCGTCAGTTCGCCATTCGACTTTGCGACGGATCCTACCATTGGCACGTACATCTGTACGTATGATTTCACAGAAACAGCTCTCCGAACTCTAGTTCGAGTGCTTTATGGAGAGATATCTCCAACGGGGATTTTACCTGGATCCTTCAGCCAGAGGCCTCAAACCAGCCAGGCAAGACAGCAATGGCTGGTCGAAAGCTTTGGAGAAGATCGCGATCGCAAAGCTCTTGACATGCTGCTTGAGCAATGTAGGGATGAGCCATCTGTCCATGCGAGTCTTCTACGCAATACCACAACAAATACCTTTTTGCTACGTGATCCAGATGTGGAGGAGGCGCATTTCGTGGTCAGGAACAGCAGTACGAAAGAATTGTTTGGATTCTGCACGACATACTATTTCAAGACCAGCGGTATTGGGCATATTGGAGCAATTATCGTTGATCCGGCTCGTCGGCGCTTGTCTATCGGACATTCTCTACATGATCGTGCTGTACGAGCTCTTCTCCAGAAGAAGGGCATTACCAAGTTCCAACTTGGGGTGAGATATCCGAATGTTTATCTTGGTATCCCCAAACTTGACCCCGTTGACTCCAAGAGGTTACGTCTTTGGTTTGCAAAGCTTGGCTGGAATGTTTCTCTCACAAACCCAGTAACGACCATGACCATCCGGGATCTGGTGAGCTGGTCTCCCCCAGATGGTTTGGGACAGTCTTTGACAAGTTCCGATGTCAAGTACGATCTCGTCCATGGATCTGACTACCTGGACGTCACTATGGATCACCTCACAAGAGCTGCTCGACTTGATGTACAAGGCATCTATCGAGCTGCTGTTGCCTCGAAAGAACAGGCTGGCATTATACGTGCTAAAAGAGTCAATGATCAAGCTCTACTGGCGAGTGTGTTGGTTCTGAAACCCGAATTCAAAGGATCTGAACACATAGCGTCATGGAACAAGTCACTCGGCATGGGTTGTATCTCATCGCCAGTGATCTCAACAATTCACAGTGACCGAATGACTTTGTTCCAGGGTATTCTCCTGTTGGCTCTTCGGTATTTCAAAAAGCAATCTGCGCGATCTGTGATACTTGATTATGTAAGTGGGCTATTTCGAGACCGATGAGGTTTTCAGTTTGTTGACTGACTATCACGCACAGGCTCGTGAGGACTTCACGATTGATGGCCTCAAACAACTCGGGTTCAGCACTGCCAACAGCTTTGACGAAGTCACCAGTGATCCTGTACACTGGACCATGATGACACCAGCTTGAGATATCAAGCAGTGCTGACTATCGAAGGATACTAACGAAAATAGAAGGCTGTCAGGTACCAGTCAACAGAGCTTTGACAGGATAGTCCTGTCTTGGCTTCTTTACTACTCGCAAAGGCCACCTATAAAAAGGGCCACGTCTGAGCGTCAGCACTTGGATCGGTGGCCATCGTGCATTGTGCGCAATGTGGCGGTATTGAGAGAGAGCTTGGTCGGCATGATCTGCCAGTGAAGCGGGCCGTATCTAAGGTCCGGTCATTGACATAATCCGAATCAGCCCTAAGACTCGTCGCGATGTTGGACTAAAACTCCGATGCGCATTCAGATGATAGTCTTGTCCTAGGATCAACGATTAGCAAATCCATGCAGAAGGCTGCAGAAGGATAAAAGAACTACTGCTGTACGTGTAGCTTGAAAATGGCTTACTTGTCTGGATTCGGAGGTCCGGCCAATGCAGGCCCTCAAGCTAACGAATGGGGCTCTACTGTCATTTCTAGTGTGATAGGAATCCGATGATTGTGCACTATTCATTGGGCTTTGGCGACATACAGAAGCAGACCGAACTGATAGGACGGACCGGCAGTATGCAGTATAACTGACTGACAGCTTTTCGGACGGGATAAGCGGATACACTTGTGCGATGGATATCAGAGAAGGACATACGTCCAAGGCAGACGATTCGTTGAGTTTAGGTATTTACATGGTTGGTTGGTTGGTCGGTGGGGGGCTTCATGGTCAAGTCGGCCGACACAACAGGTTCATCTCTTCACCTTAGTAGCACTAGCACCATGGATTATACAGAGAGAGATAAAAAGGATAAGAAGGAATCTATCCATCTACGAAACGGAAGCACGGAGCAACCATATTGGGAAAGATAGTCTATTATTGAAGATGAAAAGGCCAAAGGTGTAAAAAAGAACTGGGGAGCTCAATCCACCAGGTGGCCCCATGTTCTACCCTGATGGGTAAATGGAGCCCTTTCAAAGAGATCTTAAAAGAACAAGCACAGTCCATCCACTTTACTTCTTGGGAGTGCTCGTACGGCTCATTGTGAGACACAGAGCCAGGAGACAGGACCATATGTAGAAACGAGGCAGACACCCCGTCCCCTTGTATGGTTGGACCTCGACCACTGCAAGACCATGTCTATTGTTCCGTACAACTGTGCCATGGCCTAGTTAGTAGTTTAGGGCTCCTTTGGTTCGTACCACCGCACCCAGCCGTCGTGGTACCTTTGGGAGGAAAGACTGAAGTACCACGGTTACCTTTAAGCGTGATGATCTGCGGAGTGCCGGGTGCCTTGGTCGTGCTTGCCGGACGAATAATCGAGGGTTCGTGGGGTTTGGTTTTGGTTTTGGTTACTCCACTGCCAGAGTTTTTGTCAGTTTTGCAGAGCCATAGCGAAAATACGGATACTGCACCACTTATTGGCGACCCTCCCTAGGGAGGGAAGTATTGGTCGGTGGTGGGCTGATCGGTTTCCCGCTTCTTTACGGCACATGTGATCTATGTACGAATATGATTCTTCTTTGTTCCCACTGCCACTAACTAACTAATAAACTGACCCGAGGCCCATGATTGTTGCAATCAAGCATCTGACCGCTGCGGGGAGCTGAAAAGGACAGGGACGAATATGCCCCTGGAACATTTTTGTTCGCTGTGGTCCCAGTCCACTTACCGTTGAATTGTGGACTTGGGAATGAAAAAATCATTGTACAAATACGAAGTACCTGGGTGCCCAAGCGAACTTCAGACAAAGAAATACGAAATGGCTCGGTGGATGCGAGGCGGTGATGGATCCTTGTCGGATGTAGAGCGGCAATGGTTCGAATCTCGACGCGGGTATCGGATACCGTGGGAGGAGGCTCCCGCTCATTAAGCACTGTTCTTCGTCTCGAAGTCGGAAATCACCTCTTGCGGAAGTTTGCCGAGTTCGTAGAGTTGAAACGAGATGTGTAATGTGTTCTTTCAGAGGCTTGTGTCCTAACTTTTCTCAAAGGCAGCGACTACGCGTCAACGCAAAAGGCGACGAGTTTGCGAAGTCGCTTCTTTCTCTTCTCTGTCAGTGGCTGGAGGAACCTTGAACATCGCACCCAACTTCTTTTTGAGGGTACTGGCATGAGGAGGGATGATCAGCCACCGGGGCGCGAGGGGCGGGTTCTAATGCAGCATGATGTGCTCACCGCGGCCTGGGGGCGCTAGACGGCCACCTCGCCATAAAGAGCCCTTCCCTCAACGGGCAAGCACAAGCGTTTCAGCAAGCTATAATTACTGTGGTATGCATGTCAGGCCTGAATCGTTCTCTCACTGAACATGGGGGATGCACTCGGGCGCCGCGATGATCAGCGATGAGACAAGACAGGATCAAGGCTAACACAGACCCCCATCTGTGAATCCTTGAAGACCAGGCATTTGACTGGAGCCCGGAGGCCAACAAAACTGGGGGCCTTCGGGCTCAATTGGCTTTCTTGCTTGCCCGCCTGTGGTGTGCAATGCTGGCAGGTGGACACCTGAGATGGCTTCCAAGTTTCTAGCACTGCTTCTCTTGCATGTCTAGGTTGTTAGTTGATGACAGGCATCGGGAACCCTCCCCTCTTTGTTCACCTCTAGAGAGGCGCGCTGGCATTGATACCAGGGAAGGGTATGGAGTAGTTCTCAGACTGATTGGAAAGTGAAGATTGATTAGCTCGTGTTCATCACAAGATTCGGACGAGAACGGACTACGTCACGAGAGCTCGATTCCGAACTCCCAGGGATCTGCTGTGAGCGTATTGTTAGTAGCAGAACCCAAAATAATATTTGTCCACGTCAAAAAGGCAAAACAAGAAGTGAAGTGGCCATGAGCAAGTACGAGGACTGATGACGGAGAAGGCGGCAATTGATGATACGGGTAAACGAGGCACTCAAATCAAGTGTTGGCTAAGCCTAGGATAACTAACTCGTTAGAGGAGCCCATTGCGCACACCCCCATTCTCCCGTCTCGGGAGGTCAAGACTCGAGCCTTCCTGAATCGTCACAAGCGCCCCCAGGGCCCCAAAGGTTATTGGATCAGGCGCACGGGCATGTTGGTGGCATGTCCAGTGGGAAAAAGGACTCGCAAGCTAAATCTTTGGTGCCCATTACGGAACAGCTAACTAGTGCTTTTAACTAGCAGTGCCTGGGAAAGGGTGGGAACTCGAGAGGCTTGGAGGCTTGGAGGCTTGGAGACTTGGAGCCTGCAGGTGCCAGGCAGGCCGGCCCTTAGACTGCAGAACGGGCGTGTACCCCGTTTTCTTCTAGAAGGCCGCTTTCTTCCTTCTACCGCCTGTCCCTCCAACCAGCCCCTCGAATCGCTCCCCAATTGATGCCCACTATCGTGCATCTACCACTATTGTTCAAGTTCAACCACTTCCCGGTCCTGGTCACTTCAAGTTGGAGTCCAGCTCGTCTACTCTTTCAGGTTCACATCAAGTGCTGGTCCTGGTCCTGGTCCTGGTCCTGGGTGTATCGTACCGAGTAGTAGTGCTTCGAAGCATTATTCAATTGTTACTCGCGCTTGTCTTGCGCTGAATGCATGCACCGACATCATCTATTGTCCATTCCTATATACCTGTCAATTCTGGACTATTCTTCTCATTCCCGGCACACCACACACACACCACCACTTCTACGTCCACATCTAGCTTACGTCAATATTGCATTATTGATATCCATCGAACGCGATCAATTGATTCCATTTCTGTCAATTGCTGAGCAGTCGACTTGTCAATCTCTTCGCCAAGCTGTCAAACCAGGAACCTGAACACCGAGTCCGAGAACCCCAGGTCGAGCATCATCAAAGGAACCGTCTATCCTCACCCGCATTATTGTCGCCTTTTGCCTCATTCCTCTCAGGCTATCGTGCACACCGAGCCGCCTTTCACCAAACTCCGACTAACCCAGTAATTGCTGATTAACCAAAGGCCAATAACGGCTCATCAATACTCCATCCTCTTCCATTTTTCATGGTGGCGCTTCGTCGACAATATTCTACCTCTGAGAATGCAGAAAGAATCCTTCGTTCTTTCACAATAACCATTCACTCCTCTCAAATCTCACGCGCGCTTGCGTAAAACCGTGTTGTATCTGGTTCTCTCAGCCTTCGGCATATGGCTGTAACAATGGACGGCTTCGACCCTTTAGCGCAAATGTCTTATTTGCATAGTCCCATGCCCTTCACAGGTGGGAATCTACAGAACCTGGACTATATGAGTGTACCCCCAGGACTAGACTTGGGTGATCAGTACTCCAATTTCGACTCCGATGTCTACAGGTAAGTCTGCCCTTCATGTCCTGATGTCGAAATCGGTGGTGTTAATGGATCTCAGTGAACCAGGATTCGATCTTCCTCAATCCGGTCTGCAACATCCCGGAATTCTTAAACGCTACTCTTCAGGATTCGAAGACCCGTTCGCTGAAAGTACCATAGCCCAATTCGACCAGGTCCCAAATGAAGGTCTGCCCGAGAGTCCCTCGATCGACCGCGACAGCAAATACCTCAGTTTTCATATGCCCCAGTACCACTATACCCTTCTCGACGATTCCTTCCGGCGTTCATCCGTCAACATCAATGCCCAATTACATGGCATGTTCTTCCTGGCCGAATCGCAATGGCCTACCACTCCAGACGCACCCCCACCACCACCAGAACTCACCTGCTACCGACGGAATCTCTTTCAAATTACCGGGTCGGTAACCCTACCCCGAAACCTAAGATACGTTTTCACCGATGATGGCTCGAGAATACCTATATATGAGCTGGAGCTAGCGGTGTCTGCCACCGAGTCGGTGGAGAACAATGCGGTCAAAATCATATCTGTACCGTGGAAGACACCAGCCAGTGGTGAAGCGAACAAATCCGAAGACAAAGTCGAGCGAGAGCCTCCCACGATTCCGTTGGACAAAATGTCCGGGCAGGAACTGGACACCGACTACACCACATTCCCCATCCAATGGAAAAGACTACAATTCAGAATAGCTACGGCTAACAATGGTCGACGGAAAGAACTCCAACAGCATTTCTTACTCCATCTGAAGATCATGGCATCTCTGTCCACAGGTGGCAAAATCGCAATAGCAGAGGCGGTGTCTGGGGCCGTTATTGTGCGAGGAAGGAGTCCCAGGAACTTTGCTGCTCGGAAGGATTTGCCACTAAGTAGCTCCTCGACGGCGCGAAAGCATCTACCTTCAGTATCTCGAGCTAATGCGAGTCAAACCTCCGTTCCTCAAGTCACATCTGCGCCAAAAATCAAATCCCCTGCGGAGGATGTCTCGCAGATTAACGCAGTAAGCTACGATGCCAATAATGACTATAAAGCGGCAGATCCCTCGGATCCTTCAGCGTGGATGGCCCAAATGCCGAGGGACTCATTAGCAGCGGCATATTCAGCCTCAATGAATCCCCCTCCCATGCCAACATTCATCCACGACCAAACACCAGATCTTGGGACTCCAGGGCAGAACTTTCCCTTCACCTTCCCTCAAGAGATGCCGACCAGTAATGGCGGTCCGTTAAGTCTCCATTTCGGTAGTGACGATGAAGGTAGCCCATATCCCCCCAATCAAGGGAGTAGGCACTCCTCACGTCCACCAACATCCAATCCAAGTCCTAGCCTGATGAACAAAGGTCAACAACCGTCCCAAGGTGGCTCGTACACTGGGCCTAATGTTGGCGCAGGTCATTCACCAGGGCACATAGCCAGCATGGCTCAACAGCAGGGCGGTGGTCCCGGCACTCGTCCAAGACTTCACTCGCATCAAGTTTCTGTAACGAGTGTCCCGAGCTCAGGTACTATGAACGGGCCTCATCCACATCCACATCACCAACGCCCAGACTTGGTCGCCATGAATTCCTCTGGTAGCATTCCCTTCGCCAAGGTCGAAGGAGAAAATGCCGACCAGCTATACGAGTATTTCCCACTGGGCCTCGACGATTGGATGCCTCCTGTTGACGCTGTCTTCCGTCCTCATGTCGTTCATCACAGTGGGCCTCTTCCGCCTGATCCAAGATCCCCTGGCGGAAGGCATACAAGTAAGCGGTATTTTTCCGAAGTTGTATGAAGAGGTGAAGAGTACACTAAGGATATAATTCCGCGGATACACCAAGCTACATGCCAGTGCTCTTATATCCGAAGACGACAAAAAGAGGACAACTAAGCTTGCAGCTACAATTATCCAAAGTCGACAACACGACTCTGGGACAGCCATGCCAAGGATGGAGGAAATACCTTATGGACATTCCACGAGCATGGTGAAATTTAACATCACCAATCCATCAGGGCAACAGCTCCTACGGTGCCAGACGTCCGTTTCAGTCCACGCCACAGGCATTCAAGAAAGAGGTAGACAACTGAAGGAATGCTCTCTCTCTTTCTACATCTATCGGTCCGTCCGGCGAAGAAGAGGACATGGTAGGGTCACGAGTCAATTCAAAGTTACGGGGGTTTAGGAGTCCAAAAATCAGGGGGCGGAACTGAGGTGGCAAACAGGCAGAAGATTAAAGGAATAGGCCAGGGAGGAAAGAGTCTCCACGATATCAATCGAACTACACCGGGCGAATGTTATATTCCGTGTGTCTTGTTTCTTTGGATTCATATAGGTGTTGTTTCTGCTTCATGTCTCTCCGTCCTCTTCGTCCGTCTTCTCGATACCCACATCGCAGCCATACAGTCAGTGATGATGATGATGATGATGATGAAATATGAGATCAATGAAAATGAATCTTTTATATTTACACATATATATATATATATATCCAAAAATCGTTCAGAGGCAGTGTTCGCTATGTAACATACATACTCTGTCCGTGCTACCAACGGCAGTATAGTCGATGGTCGATGGTCGACAGCCGATGTCGATGCATAACATACACCTGTGCTTATGTGCTTATTTATGTGCCGTGTCCCTTCCACTTCTCACAACTGCTGTGCTGTGCATAGCTCACAGCCAACAAACCAAATACTGGATCCTAGAATTTCGAGCCAGCTGGCCGCTTTACGCGCTGCCAGTCAGCACTTTTGAGAACCCCCATGGTTAGTCAGTGGTTCGAAGCCAATGTTGTCGCGCGCAAGGCGCACCGCACCGCAATAACGACAAGTGACAGCAAGGGAAACAGCAAATTCCTCTTTTGCCCCCCCCTCCCCCTCCGTTACCCCGTTCCGCCCTCAGGCTGACTTTCCTTGCCCTTTGCCCCTTGCATGATATGGTTACGTTGAAAGCCCAACCCAACGGCCTGGTCCAGCCAGGCGATTCGAGGATGGGTGTTTCACACATGCAGTGCTATTTGTGTGGCTTTTCCACCAGGACTTGGACGATGTTTAGCCTTGCGCCTCTCGCAGTAGGCTTTCTCCACAACTACCTAGGTACGGAGTACAGAGTACGTGCTGTACGGCCTTTGTTGGCTGGAACCTGGCCTGGGTTCGGTTGCTACATACGAAGTACACACAACGGTCACTTGGTACAGTACCACATCACTACCACTAAGAAGTTTGACACATTTGTTTTCGGTATTCGCCCGCTGGTTCCTCTGTTTCGAACTCCTCTCTTTCCGCGTTTCCCCCTTGCATCTGCATGCCCTGCCGTGACTGGGGAAAATGTGGTTCTGAAAACCGAGTCCGAGGTTCGAGAAGAAGAACAAAAAAGAATAAACGGTGAGACGCTCGATGGGATGTTCCGCCCCACTTGTGCCCTCTCCCTTGTCGTGGACGGATGTTGAGAAATAGTAATAATAATACGAATATCATGTGTGCTGCCGCCCTTTGATTTCGGAGTCGTTCCTCGATCGGGACTAGATTTAACGATGGGCTCACTCTTACCTGGGGTTGGCAAGGGACAACAGGGAGAGGAAAAGAGGCCAACGGTTTGAGATTCTCTCTCTCTTCCTTCCTCAGTCGGTATCAGAAGCTCCGATCTCATCGAATCGTCTTGGAAGCCGTTACGCTCGAAGGATCGGTGATGCGAGAAGGGGACCTCCACAGATGCGCGGAAAGGGTGTTCCCTACCAACGTCGTTTCTCATTGTTCTGAAACACCGTGCAGTCACATTGAAAATTGATCAACAAGGTATGTTAACCTATGATGAGGCTGGGGTGGTGTTACCCGACACACAGTCTTGACTTTTTTGTAACAAAGACACAACAGGAAAGGCGTTGGTGGCCACGAATCCCAAAGAAATCATCATCCCTCGGTGATTAAAGCCACGAAAACTCGCGTGTCAAGACCCGAACAACATATCTACTGGGTTGGGTAAGATGAGCAGGGCTCTTCGGAAAAGGAAAAGTCCATCACGAATCACATTCACTGTGGCACTGTGAAGGCGTGGCAAGTGTAAGCGTAGACAAATGAAGAAGAGAGAGTTTTTCGGAGGCGGCCGAGTCGATCAGATACGAGGAGGTTATGCAAGAGTGCCAATAGCGTTGTCTTTGACGGACTCGCTTGTCGGAAGACCCAGTGAGCAGTTGCCGCTGCATGATGACGAAGAGAGAACTTCCAAAGGGGTTCCCTCTCAGATGACCTGTTGGCAGGGGATAGGATTTAGTTTGGTCGATTACAAACCACTGCTCGAGCAAATGGTGGGATGATGTCCAGGGTAAGTACTCGTCAAGTCGATTGCAATTCTCCATTGTTCGAAAGGGCTCGTGGTTCAATACCTTGAGGGACTACATCGGTATTGTCGATGGCCAGAGTTCCTTCCCTATTGGTCGAGAAAAGCGGTGTGGGATTACAGTCCCGAAGTGAAATCTACTAATGACAAGATATCTCCATCACAGTGTGTGGGGAATTGAGACGACGTTACCTCTGTCCCTAGTTGAATTTTTAGTGGCCGTTCAGTGGACATGGACGGGAGGGTTTGAGCACAAACAAACACCTTCACAGTAAACTAAACGAACAATCAATATCAGTGATTTGGCGGCTAGAGTCGGGTAAGATGTGATTGCCTGGCGTGGATTTTAGTGTGTTGTTGATGCAGCCTCTCCGCTGGTGCATGAAAGGATGCATGAGAGGAGTGCCGGTGGAGAGTTTATTAGACGTCCGAGTCTGCATGGAATCTTGGAAGCGAGCCTAGAAGGAGAAGAGGTCACGGGAAGAAAGATTTGGAAAAGGAAACGTGGGATCGACGTGGAGGTTTTCTTGAGCCTGAGGCTTCTACGAGACGATCCCAGTTCGTTTCGGTTATTGCTCCAATGATGATGGGAGAGCCGGTTCAGGCTTCTCTAGTTGGATAAGATGCTGACCTGCGCGTGGGTGCCCAGGCTGGCAGTATAACATTGATAGCAAGAAGATGACGAATGGCCCAGGAAAGGAACATCCCGTGCTTACCAGTTGTCAATTAGATTGCGAGAGGCACTGGCAGGTTTCGGATGCTCCGCGCTGAGAATTGGTTAGCCAGGGGAGCACCATTTGACCTCGGTTGATGGACCAGAAGAGATTGAAACAACAACTTGAAAGACATGTGCAAATAGAGAATGGAACTCGAATCCATTCTACCAGCTCGTTAACGATCTTTCCTTGATTGATCTAATTCCTAACCGGTGTGTAGAACGAGCAGCATACTCACCAGAACATGTGATATGCTTGTTGGATTTCCCCCCCTTTTTTCCCACCCGTGACTTCAGGCCTCTGTCCTCGTGGTCTGTCCCTGCATAGGGCATGATATCAAACTGCACGTCTAACTTTGTATCTATCTCCATCCCATTCGCCATCTCTGTTCGTTTTCCAGCTCTCTGGGACATTTTCAAAGCGCCCCGTCCTTCCCCGGGTTGACAGCTCCGCCAAAGCTCCCAGGAGCCGTGGTGAAGCGACCACTCATCGTGGTGCTGTCTTTCAGTATCCGACACCATTTGCTCGTGACTCATCGAGACAACGCCCAATTGATATGAGAACAGGTCACGTTGACCTGATATGCTCGGTCTACTTCCGCTCGTCCAGACTCAGAACTCGTATACCTGCAAACCGGAACTGATCTGATCAGCCCCACGCGGCTATTCTAGCTAGTATTCTGTCTGGTACTTTGCTAACAAGACATTGAAACGGCTCGTGATGAGCATCACCTCTATCAATGGCCCGTCAAGTATTATCATCGGCTATCCAAGGTCAATCTCTCGTCATTGTACCCGTGATCTGTTGCAAACCACTGCAGTTGCAAACACCACCGAGCTAAGTTTCCTCCTTCTTCAAAGGACTATATTATCCTGTACAGATACTCTCATTCTGTTCTCTGCGACCTTTCCTCCCCTTTGCCATTTCTGAAAGACTATCCTGTACCTGCTGATTTTGTTCCTGTATCACTACTTGCTTAGGGTTGGCTGTTTGATCACTATATCACAATACCACTTTGTATGTAACACCATTTGTTCTACAACAGCGTCTTCCTGAGCTTCAAAAAGCTTGGTGCCTTATCTTTGCCACTATGGATTCTCGTTTCTGTTTACAGTCCCAAGGAGACCCTCGCAGGCGACACTCCACCCCTGTTGTTGTTGCTGGAAAACCCAATCATCAGAAAATCTCAACCACAAACCATACATGCTGCTCTGGCAATGGAGTGCATGGGTGCGGATGTGGCTGTCGATGCTGCACTTGCAGCCAGAAACAAGACAAGGATGAGTCCAACAGAACTGCTTACCCTTCTCAAGGGGCTGTCGATATTCCCAGGACTTGCACAGCAGACTATCACATGCGAGGAAGCTCCCTTGATAGCAATAGCTCCAGCCAATCACAGATTAGCAATAATAGCCATGAGGCCCAGCATACCATCAATCATTCCCTTTCCATGGGAAGCCTTGACCAAAACAATCACGTTGACCGTGCTACTGCCACAATTGCAACCTTTACGGCCGCATTTGATACACAAGAAGATGGGGATCAACATCCATATCTTGACTTCATCAGTCCCGTCAATAGTCATTCGGACGATTACTCAGATCTATCGTTCGAGAACATGGATGGAAGTTCAATGGTGGTCGGGTTGGATGGTTCCGAGAGCGGAATTGCTTCGACCCTCTCCCATTATGAATCAGCCTGGCAGCACAGTATGACCGTGAGCCAGGTCATTACAGGGGCTGGTGAAACTTTCCCAGTCCCAGTCGGAGGCCGCAACAACTTCTTGCGCTTGACACCTGAATGTCGACATGAGAGAACTCGTCAAATGTGCAGGTTTTGCTTCCATTATTGACGTGTACAAGCTGAAGTCGGTTTTATTTCCTTTGGGCTTCTCGTTTTATTGTCTTGGGCTAGCAAGGAGTCATATGGGAGTTGAAGCATTTCATCTTATGTCTGCCATACTTTTATCTTATGCTTCTGGGTCACTATGGTCGACGATGGCGCCCTCTTACTATTGAAACCTGGCGCATACGAGGCTGGACGATGTTGCGCATGGGCAATAAGGCGTGTACAATCGTTCACTTGGGGTACCATGCCTGAATTTCTCAATTTCTTTCAGCTATCGGATTTTACTCTTGAATATCCAATTATTGACTCCAATCCCTTCTGTCTCGCTCATCTCATCGTGTGTAATCATACTTCCACTTTCAACTGGTGCTGATCCGATGTCTGGTTGCCCCTCCTCACGACTTCCTTCCCCAATTTATTTTTTGGCTCCAACGGCCTCCCCCACTTCATTGAATGTTTCAACTTGAACCTGCAGAGGATTCGGGTTTGGCAGACCTTTTAACTCATCTGCATATACAATTCTCACTGCTCGAGATCTACCTTGCTATCAGGCCCTCGTCACAACAGACCCTCCTGCATCAAAAGTCCCCGCGCCGCAATATTTCCCACCCTCTGAGTCCTCGAAGCCCTCCTAGGTGCTCCCAACAATGTCACCTCCGGCAATCATTGCACCCTCCATACTGAGCGCGGATTTCGCTGCTCTAGGAGCGGCATGCTCAAAGACTATCGGAGAGGGTGCGGACTGGCTGCATGTTGACATTGTACGTTCTGATTGCTGCGAAGATTCCCATGTTGTAGAGATATCTTCAAGGATCACCTACCCAAAGAACCTTATCGGCTGACAACTCATGTACTTTGAATCACACAGATGGATGGCCATTTCGTTCCCAATATTACCTTCGGTGCTCCTGTCGTCACCAAGATCAGATCACACGTCGACCGACCCAAGACTGCCGGTGGTAAAGGTACATTTGATTGCCATATGATGATATCTGAGGTATGTTGGGCAACTTCAGATTTCCTACCAAACGCTAGAAGAGCCGGCCACAATCCTCCTTCATATTATACGAGTCTAGATTGCTAGGGTCGACTATTACCCCGTTCTTTCTGACAGGTCTCTAGCCACACAGATGGGCTAGTACGTTCCGTGATGCAGGTTGCGATTTATACTGCTTCCACTATGAAGCCGCGGTCACATCGGTCGCCGCAACCAAGCCTGAAGACACAACTACCAAGAGTCCAACATCTCCGAAGCAACTGATTCGATACATCCACGAACTAGGCATGCAGGCAGGCATAGCCATCAAACCAGACACCCCTGTCGATGTTCTGTGGGACATTCTGGAGAATGAGTCTAAGGAAGAGAGGCCGGATGTATGCGTTCCCCACCCCAATCATGCTGAATCATGACTAGGTCAAGTGTTGCATTTTCTTCCGTGCTAACATTTCCCTCACAATCTAGATGGTGTTAGTCATGACCGTACATCCGGGCTTCGGTGGCCAGAAATTCATGGCCAGTGAGCTACCCAAGGTAACGGCACTGCGGCAGAAGTATCCCGATCTCAATATCGAAGTTGACGGCGGTCTCGGCGAGGGCACAATCGACCAGGCAGCGGAAGCTGGTGCCAACGTGATTGTTGCTGGCAGTGCCGTGTTCGGGGCCAAGGATCCTGGACATGTCATTCAGCTGCTTAGAGAGGCCGTGGAGAAGAGGAGGGGTGGCAAGTTATGAGTTTCGCGGTCGAACTGCATTCAACGACGAGGACCATGAGGCTTGGCATTAATTCCATTCACATTGCTGAGCAGATCATGAGATGTGACGAACGGTTGAGGTGATATAGCTTGGACGGTTGCAAAGAGGAGGAATTGGCAAGCGTCCATCGACGATGGAATGTCCAGCCTGAAGGAAATTATCTGTCTCTTGGACAGTGCCACCAACTGCCTCAGGGACGACATGCCGAGTCCAAGGATGGTCTACACACTCCACCGGGAGCAAGAGGACATGCCTCTGACATTTACGACAATATTTGGATAGATCACGAGATCATGGCTATCTAGCTGTCGAGAAATGCTGCCTAGAGCCAGCGGACGGATGGCATAGCAATTGGACAATCATAGAGATATTTGTTTCACCGACCAGAAAATATCTGGCATCTTTGACTGCAAGGCGGAAAGTAATCAGTGACTGCTGCCACTTTCCACTCGTGTAATCATTCTCCTCTGCCTTTGAAATCCATCCACAATATTTACGGCGCCGTCGCAAGTGATCCTTTGGTCCTCGCACCAGTACATCACAATCCTTCGATTTTCATGTTAACTAGACAGCGACGAATAAGTATCCTCCGTGTTATATGGTTCTTAATGCCAATTCCGTCTCCAGGCATTTCAACCCGACATCAGGCCTAGTCGCGTTACCACCCTTTGAGGTTGAGGCGGCAATAGCATTTGTGTGTGACTAGTATTTATCATCCTTGGCAAGGGCTTCTCCATCTCATTCACCCAGGCTGGCCAGAGAATGTCGTGAGCCTGGTCACACAGACGCCGCCGCGGCCCAAAATCCATGCCATGCCCTCTTGGCGGTTCAATCATATATGTATTCCAAACAAGATAACAGTCGACGAACGAACGGCAATCAATACCCACTCTTCCCCTTGACCACGCCGGCCGCGCCGCCGCCCTTGCCATACATATCTCTGACATCGCCAATCAGATGGTCGGGGCGCTCATACGCGAAAAAGTGTCCTCCACTATCATGTGTCCGATCAAAGACGACGTTGCCCTGGGTATGTGTCCAGGCCTTGGGCAAGACCCTCAACTCGGCGGGCGAGTGCGTCAGGCCGAGCTTGACGCCGCCGCCGATCCACTGGCGCGTGCGGTCGCGCGTGACCCTGCGCGCGGGATTGTCCCACTCGTGGGTGGCCTCGTAGTAGATGCGCAGGTTGGCGGCGGGACCCGCGGCCGAGAACCAGTAGATGGCGACCCAGGTGCAGACCTCGTCGTCGGTCCACGGGTAGCGGTCCGTCCAGTCGTGCAGCTTCTCATAGATCCACGCCAGCAGCCCCACCGGCGAGTCCGCCAGCCCGTACCCCAGCGTCTGCGGCTTCGTGCTCTGCTGCGCCCGGTATCCCGACCCTTGCTCCAGGAACCACTTGGTGCGCGCGAGCCCTTTGGTTTCGTACTCTGTATAGGGTGTCACGGCGTGCTGGAGGGCGAGCAGCGGGTTGGATGCGTAGGTCGGCGCCTCGCCTTGGTCCATGTTCACGTGTGTCGCTTTGCAGTGCGTCGGGTACAGCAGGCTGATGGTGCGTGTGATGTAGTAGCCCCAGTCGCCGCCTTGCGTCACGTACTCGTCGTACCCGAGCTTGAGCATCAGCTTGTGCGCCGTCTCGGCGTACTGCGCGAGCGCGAACCCCTTTTTCTTCGCCGTCTCCGAGAACCCGTAGCCTGGCAGGCTGAGCGCTACGAAGTCGAACGCCGGGGCGGAAGTCGCGCCTGCTTCGGGAGAAGACAGCCTCTCCCAGATCTTGCTCGCTTCGATGAAGCTGCCGGGCCACCCGTGCACGAATAGTAAAGGGGTTGCATTGGCTCGGGCGGATTTCTGATAGATGAAGTGGATTGTTAGTGGGTCGAAGCCGTCGACGGTGATGGAGGTCGTGAACTGTGGCATCTTGTTCAGCTGCTTCTCGGCGGCGCGCCAGTCGTGCTTGTCCTTCCAGTATGCCGTGAGCCGCTTGACGTCCGCCAGCGGGGAGCCGTATTCCCACTCGGCGCCATCGAGTTCGTCTGGAAACTTTGCGAGCGAGAGCCGGAGTTTGAGGTCCTCGAGAGCTGAGTCCGGAATCGAGATGGTAAATGGTTGGATGTCTGCCATTTTCGACTCCTGCTACTGGGGTTGTCTTTGTGATGATGGTGTTGATTATACTTGCCGACTCCACAAAACACGGAAGATGCACTCTTTACTTCAATGTTACGGGAAGCATTGATGGAAGTATGCAATATTTGAGCGTGGTCAATAAGTAGCTGGACCCTTACGAGGTTTGTCAGCGGTGGAGGTTAGACGATGTCTGACATGAGGTGGACGGACAGGGGGAGGTCACTACTATTTGATATCAATGACTGTCATCGGAAGGACGTAGCTGGATGTCCCAAAGACCAACGGCTACGATGCACGGGGTAGAAATGACGTTCGGTTAGCTGACCGGTGCATGGCGCTTCGATCAGCGCAATCACTGCCTCGGGCCGATCTCCATCCTCCCACTGCTCTTTTCGACCACTGTCAGCAGTGCCAGGACGTATCGATCTCGGAGTCTCGTTGGTTGTACTCCGTAGGGCGTGATTTGACCTCCACTTTCATATTCCCATCAATACGCACCGAGCAATCATATTGACGAGTGCCATATTTAGCTTCAGATGCCTTTTTCTAAATGCGCATTGAGTCTAACTCGAGAAGAGCCGCTTCAGGGTCCTGGACATTGATGCTGGACTGTGGTTTCGCTCAAGGCTATCAATTTGATCGTCAGTCGAACGGCAAAGCATCTGTCTTTCTTGAGCTATGGAATGGGCCATCACGTTTACAAATCACGCAATTGCGCGTTGCACATCAGGAGGCTTGAGACCCATGAGTACAGGAATTCTTGTGCGGGCGACTCAGCTGTAGCAATCACTGAGGTTGCAACGGGCAACTTGTCTCCTATCTACTCGCGGTCTCAAAATCTGGCAGATCTGTCAGGTGTTTGAGCTCCGAGATTCACGAATCAATTGACAATCCAAAGGTAGATGAAGGAGAGGAGGAATAAGCCTCGATGTGGTCTCATCGAAAATGCCCATGAATGCATCGTCCCTCGATGAAAAGTTGCCAATCTTTGAGAGTGATGGGTTCCTTTGATGATACCAGACCACAATCAAAGTTCCTTAGCGAAAAAGCCTCCTTTGGAATTTTTCAATTTCTAGTCTTTTCGTGCGGTAGGAGATGCTGGGCGACGAAAAGACAAAACAGGAAGCTGCAACGGCTTGGCGGGCAAATAGGGCATATAATAACGGGCGTGACGACGCCGATGAATGATGAGAAGCCTTGTGGAGCTCGTCGAAAGGCATGCCTCATGCTTCAGGCCACGACATGGCTAAAAGCGAGGCATCAATTGTCCAGCATGCCAGTGGCTCTCAGGGCATATTGAGGCTCGCTGGTCACAGCTTCAAAACAGTTTGCGAACTTGCCCAGGCATACATAGGCAGATCACAGTTGGCCAGAAAACCCCGTGATGCAGACTTGCAAGCGAGATCAGAGAGTGTGAATGGGAATGAGAATGAGGCTCATCACTCACAAACCTGCTCAGGGCATCGAACTGGGGCAGGATAAATTGGATACAACAAGGCATTCCATTCAATTCGATCTTGCTCCCGCCCGGCTTGCCTTACTGTTGTTGTATGTCGTTGATCAACCAATCAAAGATGGAACCACCGGTCAGGGACTAGTAGTCACCGAAGTCTGAATAACCTGCAGTGGGTGGGAAGAAGGTAAACAGGAAAGGTGTATGGAGCTTTGAAAGGCAAAGCAGTCGTTTTATTGCACCTAGATCAATTGTTGCGTCCCTAACTACTTGGGGATATGCCTGGTTGCCTGTCAGGCAAATTTGCGACATTAACAGCTGGCCGATGGTCGCCTGAAGGCTGTTGATGCTGAAAATTGTCATTGCATTCAAAGTAAGTATAAGAGCCGCGTCCGAAAAAAGTTCTCTTCACACTCTCTTCCTTCTTGTTCTAGGTCCTCGTCTCCTCAGATCTCGCTATCACGGGTCCACGAGCCTTTCAACATGTCAATTCAGCCCGATCACTACATGGGATCACTCTGCTTCACACTTTGTTCTCCCCCAGCTCAGCCTCGATAGCCCCGTGCCTTGCCACAGCCGCATCCGAGCCTGTCGTACAATCCAAGCCCCATCACCTCTTATCCTGCTGGCGGGCCAGCCAGTAAGATGTCCTTGGCCACCATCATAGCATGGAGATTGATCGCTCTCGGCCCTCATGGCTGATTTCAGCATGCCCTCCACCAATGATCCTCAGTGTTTGGCCACTATGAGAGGGTGGAGATGGTTCATTCTTGGCCTCCGACGCGAATTTCAGCATGTCTTCCACCAATCATCCCCAGTTTCTGATACGAACGCCAAAAATGGCACCAACTGCCCAATGAATGAGCGCTCAACTGTGCGGAAAATTGCACCAACGCAACTCCTTCCCAATTGCCCGCGCGGAAAACAGCACGAAATGGGTATAAGAATGGCCTTCTGATGCTATCTCAACATATTCTGGATATCATCTTCGTGCTTGATGCCATTGAAACTGGGGAAGTCAGACATATCCTCATTCCCAGTTACCTTGACTCATTCACCTGCAAGTGTGAAATTCTTGGAATCTGTCAACATTCAAGATGCCTCGCACAGACCAGAGCTATTCAAATGGTTATAAGAACAGAAGTTCGGCCCGAAATTCCCAAGACCACGAGTGTTTCGCAAGACTGAGTCATCAGAAAAGTCGAGAGGTGAATTCTTCTGCCATTAGATATCCTAGGACCACATTAAATGCGAGAGAGTACGTTTCTTCAACTTCTCCAGCTGCGTTCCTCACTTCTCGCAAGAAAGATAGCTAACTGTCCTGTTGGATGTGATTAGAGACGATGTGAGATCCTTTGCTCCTTCGTACAAGAATGCTGCTGTGGACTCGAACCATGCAATGTCGAATTTTCTGTCGAACAAAATTGACGCCAGCGAAAGGTTTCTCGTACCAAAGTTTCAGCAGCATCAATCTTCGACTCAACAGCAGGACAATCAATTGGGGTTTCTGTCTCATGCATGGGACTTTCGAAACCAGCAGAGGGATAACGACAAGGATGGTTTGTTGAGTCAGATTGGAGCTTGGTCAGACGAACTCCAGACAACAAAAATCGAACTACAGTGGCCAGAAGATGAAAAGCCTATCGCTAGGAGTCTTCTTACGGGAAATATGGCCAACTCTGGGGATACTTCCAACACGAGGCTCTGGGGTTAAAGTGATATCGTTTCAGTCGGGTCAGCGAACTTTATTAAAACCTCGGCGGTTGCTGGCATGTTTGTCTTGAATAGTGGGTACCAACTGTGTGTGCGAGCGGCTGGTTGGCATACTTGAAACGCCATAAGATCCCATGGTCATGGCGGGCTGAAGTTCATGGTGTGGTCAGAAGCAGGGAAAACTATATCATTCGCTTGAGATGAATACTGCAAAGGTGGGGCTGCTGTGTCTCGAAAAACGGCCCCCAAGTGCGAGTGGTCTTCGGGTGTGGGTGGGACGTTCATCTGGAGATCATTGAATTCAGATGTGGCTGGAAAGAGCGTAGGGAGATTGAAGTATGGGTCGAACTGAGAAATTGGCGTCATCTGTGCATCATGTCCATATGTAGGGTGGTCTGAGGTTGTCCAGCTTGAAGTCAGACCGATTTGGGAAGGTTGTATAGAGCTGATCTCTGATGGCGCTGAAAAGAAATCCTGGGTAGAGAGCAAGTTGTTCGAGCCATTAGCTAGCTGAGGTCCATCAGGTACTTGGTGGTCGAGAGTTCTACCAATGTTGCCTCCACTCATGGTAGAGAAATGATCAGGATAATCTCCTCCCACTGGTGGATTGAGCTCCTCCACTTCTTCTAAGATGGAAGCGTAAGTTGAGTCAGTGTCTAGCCTTCCAGTGAACGGCATCGGAAGAGGATCGCCTGGTCGAGTGCCTATGCTGAGGTCGTCTGATGCCGCAAAATACTTCCGCCAGATACTAAAGTCATGACGTACAGTCAGAATGTCGTGCATCAACTGCATCAAGTGCATCTCTTGTGGAGTCCATGAGGACTCAGCACCCATGGCTTGACGCACGTATCGGAACATGTCACGCTTCTCAGGCTCCTGGAAAGGGTCTGGAACACCACCTTCCTTGGTGTCAGGGAAAAGAATTTTGTAAGTCTTCTCCCATTTGGCGACCGGTTCAAGAGATCCTTTCAGTGGTGAGCCTTCCTTGTGAGGATCAAGTAGTTCCCATTGAACCTCGTCAAACCCCTTCAGATAGTCTCGAGCTTCTCCCCCATGGCAGGAACCCGCCTTGACATGCACCTTGAAATCGGTCTCTTGGGTAATTTCGAATCTCTGAAGACAAATGTTACATATATAACACAGGGGTTGAAGCCTGTGATACGCCTTAAGGTGATCCTTTCGGCGGTGGATTCCTCCGCTAGACCATTGGAACCCTCTGCAACATGCATACATGTCTGGTCGACGATAGTAGTATGGGCACATGAACGGCTGGTTTTCGTCACTGTATAGCCTTTCGTCCAAAGATTTCGGCTTCCTGGGCTTCTTGTCATCCTCCTCAGACATTTCATTCTCTCTTTCGTTGTTCTCACCACGACCTCCTTTGGTGTGCTTAGATCCCTGGTCACCACTGCGTTTCACTTTCTTGCCATTTCCAGCCCCACTGTTGCTATGACCCTGGCGTTTGTGACTTCCTTGGGCGCCTTGAGTTTTACATCTGTCAGTCTGGGGAGGGAGTAATAACCTAGGAACACTGCCGAACACTGAGCTTCTTACTGGCAAGTGAAGGAGAGGTGGATTTGTCTTGTAGTCACGTTGTGGAGGCGCTTGAAAAGATTGAGGGTTGAAGGCGACAATTAGGCTAAGCGTGGGCAGTCGAAGTGATGAAAGCGGGGATGGAGTCGGTTTGATATGGAAGTGAACGGGCCCGCACGGTGATACGTCGACGCAGATATCTTTTGCTCTGGTGGATGCGGATTTGCTTCCTGAATACCCAAAGGCTGCCTTGGTCGGCAACGCCAACGACCGATGCCGCTCAAAGACGTCAACATGATGTGATTTGCTTGCTAAGATCTTTAGCGGTTGGGTGAGCAAGTCATGTCTGTTGATTATCACATGTACTGGGATAATTAAACCCAGGGGCTTTCTGATATCTGTAGCTAAGACCGAAGGCTCCAAGAAAATTTGCACATTCTCCAGTGACATGATTTCCAGGTTCGGTCTCACGGTAGGTGGGAGTGAAATGTAGGTAGATGATGGCTCCAGCTCTCACTTGTTGGTGTTTTCAGGACGCTGGCCGACAGTAGCTAGACAAAGTGCAGCCCAGCCTGATGTATTACAGCTTTCGGCACGGCCCCTTGGCTTCAGCTGTCTATAGCTGAATCTTGATTGCCATAGTAGCCCTACAGAGTAGCGTATTAGTCCAAGTCACTCATGGCAAGACCCACAATTATATCGCAATAGCATGGGCAGAGGTATATGTTGCTGGCGGGAGCGTGCAGGTTTTGTTTGGTGCTTTAAAGCTGTTTGAGGAAATCTGGGGTGCCTTTCACAGTTTATTCCACTGGAAGAACTCACATTCGAGCCAACAAGAGGAAAGGCCAAGTCATTCTCTGGTGTTGGTGGGTAGAAGGTGATTCAGAGATAATCCCCAAGGAACCGACTTTATGTTCCGCCCTTCTCCCTATCAACGTGGGTGATTGGTTTGAAAAGCCCAATAGACCAGACCTTGTTCGGGACAAAATTTGAGGAAATACTTTGAGCAAAAGAGACGGACCATCATTGCGCCTAGCTTGCGACTTGGGGGAATGAATCTTTTGTCTTGCCAGACACTGAGGCTTAGAGTCGAGACTTCAGCGCCGAAATCAGCACTCGCTAGCTGGTTGCGACTTAGTGGCATAAGGCAAACACACGCAAAGGCTTGCATCTCAGTCCCGCACCTGCGATAGACCATGATTGTCTGGGTAATAAATGGGCAATGGCTTAGCTTGTTTCTGCATGAGAATGCAGGTTGCAAGTCAATAGCAAGCTGCTGGGTTGGTTTCTGTTCGTGGCAGACCTGAAAGGCTGTTGGCAGGCTCTTTCCGAGGTTGACTTGATGTACAAGGAAAAATCAGGCATCCGTCCTTGATGGCAGGAACAACCCAATCATGACATTGCTGGCCCGGCTCCGTCCCCTTTCGCGGATATGGATTATACGGAATGATGGCTTTTACACGGGTATTATTGTCAGTCCGGGGGCGGTGTGTGCATGAGGGAATGCGTCCGCTGATGGTGTCTGGGAGACGAAGGCCGCAGACTGTTGATGATGTGTCTTGACTGACCACGGAAATCTGAATACACGCTTGGCAGGCTGATTTCCCTTTGAAATGCTACCGACCTCAGGTAACGAGGTAAGTACCCAAGTTTCAGTCTCCTACTTTCCTTCCCTCACAGCATGACGACTTTGCAAAATGGAGAACAGATTACAGGGTAGGCCTGAATGTCACCAAATTAGTGACCAGTAAGTACTATTGGTGAAAAATGGAACGAAAATCCTATTTCAAAGAAATCATTTCCCCTAGCTGTTTAATAACCTAATTCTACACATACAAATCACTCCTCGTCAACAATCAGAAGGTGAGTCCAAGAGGGTTAGCCGCAGCCTTCGAATTACCTCCCACCTGAGGTCGGGTGGAAGTCTTGGGTGCCGATGCAGTGCTAGCCTTGACCGGCGTGACTTTCTTGGTCGCAGCGGTTGGTTTCGAAGCAACTGATGGTTTGCCCGGTGTGGCTGTGACTCCTGTTTTTCTCATCGCTCCAGGATTCGGTGCCGACGACACTTTCTTGACCGGTGCCGTGGCAGTTTTCTTCAAAGGAGTGGCTGCTGACTTGGTGCTCGGTGCAGGCAGTGCCTTCTTCGGAGCTGCACCTTGTACCTTCTTCTGGGGCACCGTTTTGCTGGTTGTCTTCAATGTCTTCGACGCATCGGTCTTAGGTGGTGCCCGATACATTCGAGGACTCGTCACTGTTGTCTTCCCTGTACTCTTCCCACCAGAAAGTCCGAGAGGATTGGCAGCCGTCTGTGCTCGACTGCCTGTGGCCGATGTCCAATCCATAAGCCCATTCCCATAATCCATCACGCCGTCCCCATACCGTTTAATTGATCTATTGATGCCTTCTCCTACTCCATTGATGCTACTGCCCACAGCCCCTACTGCTCCTCCGGCAAATGACCCTGCACTGGACACAGCATTCGAAACCGTTGGAGCCAAGGCATTGGACACTTTGTCGAGAACCCATTGAGTAGCCATCTTTATGATGCTGGTGATGGGTTGGCTGGAGCTGCAGACTTCCTAGGTCCAAGCTTTGGGGGCTTCCGCTTGGGCTGTTCACTGGTTTGCGAGGCGTCGTCAGAAAGCTCCGTTACCTTGCCCGGGGTGTATTGAGCCTGTTGCTTGGGATTCAAGGACTGACGAGTCGAGGTCAGCTTCTCTCTTGGTGGAGGTCGAGGAGTTCGGTTGCTGCTGTTATCGACTGGCTTTTCTTTCGGAGGTAGTTTGGGAGCGGTGCGGACTTTCCAATCAGGCTTTGCCTTAGGGGCTTTGATACCCCTGGTAGCAGTGATATTGATAAAGTCCTTATCGAAAAAGACGTCAAAAGATACGTTAGGCATTTGAATAGATGGTTCTGTCAGGTACAGCCTAAGAATAGGAATCGAACGCTTATAAACGAAGAAATCTTCGTGATGTCAAGCCCAATGCAATTGTTCTTATGTCTCACGGACTGGATCTTGGGCTCAGATGGGGAGGTTGAAGTTATTGGGGGGTGGGAGGCGAAGGAAAACGTCATCCGAGGTTGGAATGGGCCTGAGTACCGCACCGCCACAGGGTTGATGTCCTGTTTTCCTGGTTTTTGACACCTTGTCCCGCCTAATCCTTGTCCAAGGTCCAGTCTGGACATCAATTGACCAGGATTATGGTGGTGGAATGCCATCCCAAAATCACAGATTGGCATCCAGCTGTCAGATCGCCCATAATGATTAGGAGCGGGCAACTCTTCCATTTGTCGGATGTCTCGAGAGCTTGCTTGAAGCAGGACCCAAATCAATGTCCAGTCAGCGCCACATTCGCTGCTCCGTATTTTAGAATGGACTTGGTCTACTGCGTGAGGGAGTCCAACATATCACCAAACTCTTGCACTGGCATTGTTGTGTGTTCACTGCTCACCCTTGCTCGAACGGACCCTGTTTCTACGTCAGAGGTGGCGTTCATTTAACCCCAGACCAGCAACGGCCAGCCTTCTCAAAAAATATCCCAATACTGCTCTCACAGTCCACCACCAGCCAGATATGAGATCAGTCAGATCCAAGAGAGCAGAATGAGAGTACCCGAGAAAGTGTGATCAATAATACGAAAATGTCTGTTGGACCCAAACAGCCAGCACTGGAGCCCGCCGCCGGCTTCTCGCTTGAGTCAAAAGCAAACCGGCCCGATCGCGTGCCTCTCAAGAAAGGCGAATACTCAGTAGCTTCTCGAGCCATCGCGTTGTCAACTTACTTTCTTTCCGGTGCTCTGGCAATCAATCTATCTCAATTCCTCGGTACACCACTGTCCTTGATTAATGAAGACTGGTATAATGCATGGATCGCATTTACAAAGCAGTCGTTCGGGCTGCTGACGATGACGTTGACACAAACATTTGCACCCACCAAGGTCATCATATCTGGAGATGCATCTGTTCGAGGACAGCTGCTCAAGTCCGCTGATGGTAATCTGATATTAGATTTCCCTGAGAGATTGGTTCTTGTAGCGAATCACCAAATTTATACCGATTGGCTGTATCTTTGGTGGATAGCATATTGCAATGGAATGCACGGTCGACTCTACATTATTCTGAAAGAATCTTTGAAGAAGATCCCTATTCTTGGATGGGGTATGCAACTCAACCAGTTTATATTTCTCAAACGCAACTGGGAACAAGACAAGCCTAATATGGCCACCGCATTGCAGAAGTTGAATAAAACCACAGACCCAATGTGGCTTCTACTGTTCCCGGAAGGTACGAATCTGGCACCTAGCACCCGTGCCAAAAGTGCAGCATGGGCAAAGAAAAACAACATGACTGATATGAAGCATGTTTTATTGCCGCGAAGTACGGGTTTGCACTTCTGTCTTGATGAGCTAAGAAACTCGGTGGATTATATCTACGATTGCACGGTAGCTTACGAAGGTGTACCTAGAGGTCAATATGCTCAGGATATCTTCACATTAAAAGCGGGCTATCTCGAAGGGAGGCCACCGAAGAGTGTCAGCATGTATTGGCGACGTTTTGCAATCAAAGACATTCCATTGCACAACGAGAAGGCTTTTGACCTGTGGCTGACCGCCCGTTGGCGCGAAAAGGATCTTCTGATGGAACAATACCTACAGTCTGGCAAGTTCCCAGCAGATAATGGTGCTACGAAATATAGATCTGGAAAAATACTTCGCGGATGTGGACACATGACAGTTCCGATCCAAGCAAGCAAGTGGTATGAATTCCTGCAAATTTTCGCACCAATGGGAATTCTTGCCATGGTCCTGTTTATATTCTACGGAGATCTCCCGCAGCGGTTCTGGAAGAGCATCAACAAGCAGGCAGTGAAATCCGGCACAGATGACATTAAGAAAGCCGGTTTACAGGCGGGAAGACAAGCAAAAAGTCTCTCGACTTCTGCGAGTGGGCTGACACTGGACTCTTTCTTCGATCCCGATCAACAAGAAGAGACTTTCAGATCTGGCGCAATGGCCGTGCAAAACCTCATCACATCACCATCAGCACAGAAGTTGCTGAACAGCACTGACTTCATCCAACAATTCCTCTCAGACCCGCAGAAAATGGTCAACGACAGTATGACGACCAAACAACAATCTTTCATGCAAGACATGGCGAAGGAGGAAGCGAAGAGACAACAGAAAAGGGGATCTACAACAGCTGGCTCCGTTAGATCCGGCACAAGTGATGTTATCCGTCCCCAAGGGGCATTTTGGGATGCTCTCAACGCAGAAGAGAAGAACAGGACTGGCACAGTCGTCCACAGAGGCCAGAAGGCAAAGTTCTGGGACGCATTGGATGCCGAGGAAAAGAGTCGACAGGCCGCAGCCGCACCACAACCTCCAAAGGGGACATTTTGGAAAGACCTCAACGCTGCAGAGGCAAAGAGAGAAGGTCGTCCACCTGCCACGACGAACAACAAAGGCAGATTCTGGGAAAACGTGAAGGCTGAAGAGAATAGTCGATATGGAACAGTCGTCACCCTGTCCAGCAACGCTTCGACGGCCGTCGGCACCATCAGTTCAGGAACCACGAAAGGCTCTGCCCCTAAGCTGGGCCCAAAGAAAACTGCTACGTCGAGCATTGGCCCAATGAAGAATCCCACGAAAGCCGTTTCAATTAGTAAGAGCGCCACCACGGCTAAGGAGCAGACGAAGAAACCCTCACCTCAGTCACAAGCACAAGCACAAGCACCAATTCAGAAAACCAAACCGATATTGACCTCGATCTCTTCAGCACCAAAATCCGCGCGCGCCCCAGCATCCGTCAAAGCAGCAACCACACAGACCCAATCACCAGTCAAACCTTCCACGACAACATCAAAGACTCCATCCGCGGCGACCGCAGGACTCAAACAGAAACTAACAAACGGCTCAACTGCTTTATCAACAGGCAAGAAACCAAAGCAACCCCTTGCCAGCACCATAGGCAAGCCCACACCACCATCTACTACCACAAACACCACAACAAAGAAAGTAATACCTCCATCTCCATCTCCGCCAAAGCCCAAAACCACCACCGCGAAAACCACCGTGGCGGACACTGTTGGTCCTCCTCAGAAACAGCCACAAAAGACAATAGTATCAGGAAAGCAGCTGACAAAGTCTACTGGGAAAAAACCGCCACCGACAGCGACCGCAGCCACACCCGCACCAAAGGCACCAAAGGCATCAAAGGCATCAACAGCGGCAGGGAGTATCGGAACGAAGAAACCAGCCGGGCTGACTGCGAATGGGCCACCGAATCTGAAGTTGAAGAGTTGAATCATAGAAACAAGGTGTGGTGTCAGACCAGGAAAAGGGGCGTGCAGGAAGCAAGGACAATATGTTGGTTTACTGAGGCCATGGGGGATGGTGATGATGATACATGGTTTGTGCCCCGTGTAGTGAGAGATTTGATTCGAGTTGTGGCATTTACTTTCACCTGTAACTTTATCAAGCGGAGTCATTGTCATTGATATATATGTATTGTGGATCTTTAGCACAGTGCAAAGAGCTTCAACTGTCTTTCTAGGAGGCGCGGCGACACTGGCTGTCACATGAAACAGACGCTGAAGGATAAGCTGACGAACGCGCTTTAAATACTCACAGTGAACTGCCCGGTCAAGAAACCACCGGCGAATTGCACGCTGTTCATTTCTCGCCTTCCCGTACGTATCAGATTTCACATCTAACATATCACGTGCCCTACAGCCTCGTCCCACTGATATCAGCTTGACATACAACAAAATTGGGCCTCACCTCACAAGACACCGACACATCACTCGTCAGTCAGGTCAGAGACAGAAAAGTGAGAGAGCTAGCTAGAGCCAGGCTAGGGAAGGACAAAGGCAACACCGATAAACGGCCTGTGGTTCACCTCACTGGCCACTCGCGTTGCCTTGCTGGCTAGTTTGCATTTGCCGGGCTTCACAAATATATCTCAGTTCCACGATGAGACTCGCACCTCTTTCATGTCAGATGACCACTCACACTCACGTCGTAGAGAGGAGCGTGCAGCTCATCGCGAGAGAGAGCAGGAAGAACAAGCAACGGCCTTGTTGAAGAGTCACAGTAAGACTGCGAAGCAAGCAGTCAGGAGCCCCTTTAGAGGGCTTCCCGATGCTGGCGGTATCCCACCCGTAGAAAATAAGCCTCTCCTCCTCCTCCTTTCTCTCTCTTTCTCTCTGTTCGTCTGCACCCTACTCATCATCTTGAATAAAAGAGTCAGCCCACCGACTTGCCGCTTCTTGAGTTATTTTGGCCTTGGATACTTGGACTGCCTGCATCAAGATGCGCGATAGTTCAGCTTCACCCAGCAGTATGGAAGACAGAATGGCGAACGACGACAAGACGACCGATGACTTGTCTACTGAAGAGCTCGTCGAAGGTGCTGTACGTGCGCTGAGCCTGGGAATTGAGAGAGGCGGACTCGAGTGCGATGTGTTGGGAGCTGCAACCCCAATGGTCGAACCAGCAAGAGAGCCATTATTGCCGATTGATTGTCTGTCTGCTTCGCATCTCCATGGGTTAGTTATGGGAATACCTCAAAATTGAGACCAAGGAGATGTCAGCAAAGCTAATCCACATGTCGCAGGCTTGTCAATAGTAAAAATCTTACGCTTTTGTTCATCGACGACTCCTCCGCAGAGCCCTGGACAGTCACTGAAAATCTGCCATGGAACATTGCGGCAACGTTCTCGAGTGTCTGGAGAGATGAACTTGGTGGTCTGAAAGAGCGCCATTTCTCAGATGCCACTATTTCCCCTGAGATGAAGCCGTCACTTGTCATCAGAGGAGGCCACTTCGGTACTTACCAAGAAATCATCACTTGGATGCTTCTTTCATGCCGGGGTTATGGTATCGCACCATGGCCAGACCCCATTGTCGGACGCTTCACAAATGCTTACCTTACCCGGTTGTGTGCCCACCATATTCGCTGTGATTACTTGGTCGAGGCTGCGAGCAATCGTATGGAACAAATTTCGAACCGACAGATCCATTCGGAGGACTGTCGTGCTCTTTGGATGATGACTCCGGCAGATGAAGAGATGAAGCAATTCTTGGTTGAACATGTTGCCACACGTCTCTGGAAGAAGAGGTTGCGAGCAAGGGCTGCTTACTGGACATTGAGGAATGAACTCCCAGATCTCGACCAGGCTATAAGAACAGCCCTGGGTGTCAAGACGGCCGCCCACCAGGAATGGAAGGAGGCTGGTGAGAATGATGCTAAAGGCCGACTAAATTTCAATGGTAGTCGTCGTCAATACGCTCGAGATGCCCACCAAGTATATGAAGCACAACAACAACAACATTCAGAGACGAAGGCCAGCGAAGAGCCAAAGGACAATACAATCATGCTGCAAGCAGAGGTAATTAGAAAGGCAGCCAGAGGCCGGCCTGCATATGCAAAGTTGGATTTGGCATGCATTGGAATGACAAATGCGCAATTTCTCAGCTCAGAATAGATATTGTTCATAGGGCAAACAGAGCTCTCTGTCGTCACAAGCCATAGGCAAGTGCAGTAAAGCACAGCAAAGCAGGCAAATCAGTTGAAAAGAACCTCCAGAAATGAATCTTCAGCCACTTCCTAACCATGCCCAATGTTTCTTGGCGCCTTTCCACCTCTTGATCCGTGATGCTGAGAATCGTACCGCTGATGATGGGTACATAAAGAAAGTGTCCGAGAGCAAAAGTTATACCGGCGACGATCAGCTTCCACTGGTAGCTGCCTTGTGGGAAGTCTTTTAGAGTGTAGTAGCCACCGATGATTGTCGGGATTGTTGTTGCGAATATGAAAGAGACGCCGGGAGTTAGGAAGTATGTCCACCACAGTCTGACTGCTTTACTTGCGGTTGCTGGGTCATGTTCAGCAGCTCGGAGGAAGGAATAGAAGATGGCAGTCTCTGTGAAGGCATAGAAGACAGTAAGGGAGGAGCCTATGAGGGGAATTGCCAGGGCAGGGCTGGTCTGAAGACCAATGGTTGTAGCGGTAGACATGGCTTCTGGTAGTTAGAAGGAATCAATGGAGGTTGGTGTGCTTGGGTGAGAAGGAGGTTAGTTATGTCAGTAATGGATATATATCTACCGTTTGTACGGGAGGCCTGAAGCCTGCTGCGGATTCCGAAGAAGGCTTCGGCGGGTTCATTATTGTGGCTCGTGAATGGAAGAAGTTGTGCTGGTGTAGCAGTGGTGTGAGGGAGCTGTGAGAATGAATAATGTATGCAGTGCTCGTTCCCATGGCAGTTTCCGGTTTCATTCCGGGTGATGTCAGTCCTGTGATGTTCGCCAAGGCCAATACTAGGCCTAAATCGGACGGTGTATCAAGCAGCATTCTTTTTTCATAGATTCTAGTTAGACTCTCAATACAAGTAGCTTGTTCCTTGAGAATCACAGTCCCGGGCCTGGGTATCCCTGCGACCACAACCCCACTGGCATCTCGACAGCCGAGTACGGATTAAACGACGCGTTATTCTCTCTGTGGATTTCGGTGTTGCTTTTCCACAAGATACAGAGTACTAGTATTTCTATATATAGCGGTTATTCGATTCCAGACACAAACCACATGGATAGCTATTCTGTCTCCATCAAAGACATAGGTCGGAAGTAGAAGTCGACGAGGCTTCGGGCTGCAGGTTTGACAGCTTTCTCTTGCATAATTCGTGTGATGATCCGATTTCTGCAGGTCCTGATTGATTGTCAGGGTGTGCGAAGAACCTCTGATGGATAAGGCCCTGATCCAATGGATGAGGGTGTTACACAATGCCAGAACCTCTACAGATGAACAGGTGTTGTTGATAAACTCTCCTGCCTTTTCTACGGGATCAAGAAAAGGAGGTTCTTTGAGGATGGCAGACACCAAGCCGTCCAGGGGCCATGGAGCCTAAAGAACCATGAAACCGCCTAAAAGTATAATGGCTGTCGCGCCTGGCTCTAACTGGACAGATTGGCGATCTGGGCTTGCCTTAGCTAATAAATCACCCGACTTGCGCATTCTTCTAGCCTTAGTCGTAGGCTCTGGGGGGCCCACACACCCCAGACTTCTATCATGAATCTCCTGAAGATATGGATAAACGAGAACCTGAACAACTCAATCTCATTGTAGAGTTTGTGGCAAAAGGACTTCACGGTCAGAAATCCAACCCTGGTGAACCATGAGCTCCGTGCAACACCTATTTGACATTTCCTCCCACGGCCATCCACCAATACAAGAAAACTTTTGGCGTGCCACTCTCCTTTTTCATAGCGCATCATTCCAGAGTGCCAACCCTTGCCTCCCTGTTCAAAAGGTCTCGCGTTTGGAGACTGGTGGACCTTAAGGTCTTAGAGACGACACCCTTAGCCAAAACCTGCGGCTAAAAATGGCTTGTTTATTGCTGCCTACCAGTCACTAACACGCTGCCATCACTAACTGGTCTCTCTGGTCTCCTCCACATTTAACTGCAAATCGCCTAGGATTCTCCAGCCGTGCCATCATCCCTGCTCAATTAAATTCCACTTCCATCTTGATCCTGATATCTTGACATTCACTTCAGATCTGTTCGACGTTGTTTAGCAGTGCTATCATTATTGATACAGGATTCGCACGGACGGTGACCATGCCTGTGCACCAGTGACTAGCTGCCGAGACTGTTTGGTGTCAGGCGAGGCCACTAACTCATGCCACTCACCCAAAACGAACAGCCAAACGACTCAGCATCCTAAGCGAGCGATAAAAAGCTTCTGGCAAAGACGCCACCCGCAAATCTCAAGGACTTCCGTTCACCACGCAAGTGAAAATATTCACTGACCGCGCTGGCACGCTCAGGGTCCACGACGCGCTCACAGGTTCAAACTCAATCCAAAAGACTCTCATCTTCATCTGACCGGTATCAAACAAGTCAACAATCGCCATCATGCCTTCAGAATTCCAGGATCAGCTCCGGCCTTTGGCGGACTACTTTTGGATCGCTGGTCTGGATGCCCAACAACTTTCAGATGCGTATTCTCAACCACGATGGTCCAACGAGGCCAACGAGGTGACAAATGGCATTGATCAAGCCATTGAAGAAGACGTCAATGCTGAACGAGACAGTTCATCGATTTTGAAATCCCCTCGAACATCTACTGGTCATTTACGGCGGGATTCTTATCAAAGATTGTCCCAGCTTTCCGATGAAGCGAGAGTCAGCATTCAGAGTTTAGATGAGATCAATCGACCACAAAGCAATCGAAGTAGCATCACCATCAGAGCCACCCCAGCTACTCAGGCCCCTCCCAATCCTCGCATGTCCAGCGCTTTTTCCGAAGTCGATTTTGAAAAAGCAATGAAAAAGTTCACCACCAATCGTGAGGATTTTTTCGTTGATCTGACCTTCAACCCGACTGAAGTATCAGTTCCCGCAAAACCAGCCCGCTCTAAATCACGGCCCAGAACACAGAAAATTGTCGCCTCCGAAGACCCAAGTTCTTTGCCGAATCGTAATTTTGGAAGTATTCGCCGACATCTTTCCTTCAAGGACATGTCAAGCGCGAAGAGACAACCCTCCATGGCCCGGCGAGTCTCGACTCGAACTGCACGAAGAATGAGCAGCTACAACTCAGTCATTCCAAGCCCAGAGTCATTTCACTCTTCGCCGAATCAGCATCCTCTCACGCGGAAATTCGAGCCTGTATTACTAGAAAGATATCCGCGACCAACGACTGTTGATAGAACCGTTGGCCGATCACAATTCCCAGAGTACGTCCCGATGTTTGCATTTCCAAATGACATCAAACTACTGTCTTCCGATACGAGACCGAGATCGACGTGGCATGAGTTTTCCATCACAGCTTCGGACAATTCTAGGTTGACAGCAGTGTCAGTCACAGTCTGGATACCTGTAAGCCGACAAATTGCAGCAGACCTGCAAAAGAAGTGTGAAGACTGGCGTAGAGACCATATGTCAGAGGCAGAACGAGAGATGGCTGCGTCTCTGGCTGACAGACTTGCTATTGAAAGTGCAAAGTTATCAACTCTACTCACACAGTTACCACAAGTGTCTTCTGGCACTCTTGCACGCGACCAACTCGAAGATGAAATTAGTGCCGTCGAGGAGAAGATTGGTGTCATGTCCGATATGCTCAGACCCCTTCGGCATGGCTCTGTCTCGGAAATACAAGGATTGGCCAGCGGCGAGACGAAATTCTGGGTCCCACGAGCATATGGCGTTATGGGCAAGGACGGGGCCATGGCAAACTTTTGGAGACAGTGGCTTCGAGCAGTGGTTGTCCCAATGACCGACGGAGGCGTTCTAAGAGTGCCGGCCAGCTCGCCAAAGGTCGGCATGTGGCAACCTTTGGAGCGATATGTTTCGACATTGTGCCTCGACGCCCCTGGCCCAGTCTCGTCCAAAACCCAAGTTCAGATCTCTATTCGAGAACTGAAGTTGTATGCAAAGAAGGAAGCCATGAATGAGCTTCCAGGCAGCAGAACAACAGACCTATATCCCCTCTTCAAGACTTTGACTATCTCGAACATTATTCTGTTGTTTGAATATGTCTTGGCCGAATCTAGGATTATTCTCCTTTCTAGTCACACATCTATGCTGCAATTGGTCAGCAGAGCTATCCTGGAGTTGATTTTCCCTCTCGAGTGGACTGGTGTGTACATCCCGGTTCTGCCATCAAGACTAGTTCAAGCGCTGGATGCGCCTTGCCCCTACATCTGTGGCATCGATCGAAAGTATGAAAAGTTCGATCTCCCTGACGATGATTATGTTCTTGTTGATTTGGACAAGAATGAATTACACAGTGTTGCTCCTCCACCACTTTTACCGAAACAGCAGAGACGGAAGTTGATGGGTTTGCTGTATCAAGCTGCTCCTTTACATCATAGCTACAGTGTGACTCCAGGAGCGCCTGCTTATGCGGTGGAAACATTTCCGTATCAATCTTTTGCGGCGGAGAACGAAAGTGTATTCACAGCGATCACCAAAACGACCAATCTTTCGAAACTGGCGAGCCTCAGTTCTTCATTGTTTGGTCAACAAGCTACAACAGACACAATCCGGCGTGCTCCGATGTTCAATGTGTTCCTAGCTGGTGTTCCTACCCGAGGAAAAAGTATTGACGTTCGCCCACAGACATCTTCAACCGCACGCCATTCAAGCAATACCAGTTCAGATGCTCAATCTCCCATTACTGGCAGCTTCCCAATGCCTCCTCCATCCAAGGCTTCAAAGAACGACTCGGGCTACGCACTTCAAACCTCTTTGCGCGAAAAGCGATCTGGGCATTTCGACTCCTTGTCCAAACGTAGCTTTTCGGGATCCGCTCACATGATTCGAAAAGCTAGTGTACCTTTCATCCGACATAATCCTAATCCTTCGGGCACCTCATTCTCTGATATGCGCAATGGAAGTTCGACGTATGCCCCTTCCGTATATGCACAATCCACCCTGGCAGCATCGACGATTATGCCCGGTTTCCATATTCAACCCCCGGTCGCAGCTGAGGGTACATACTGGGCAGAAGGCCATTGTCTACAATGGAAAGTGAATCAAGGTCCTTCGACATGTGTGCTTTGTGATGACAAGGCACAGGACGATTACTATCGGTGCTCTGGATGCGGATTTGTCGTCCACGATCGGTGCGCACATCAGATCACGATTGTTTGCTCAGCGGCGTTCCATCCAGATCAAGTCAGGGCGGCATTTGTGAGATGCTTGGCCAGCCTGTTTTACACCTATCGACGTTTCTTGCAGCCTGCCGTCTCTCACAGAAGGAAGACGGGATCAGTGTACACGTTCGATGTTGACGCATATCTACACAGCCTGCCTCCTGACCATGCAGAGTACATCCAGATGCTTCAGCAGACACAAGCATGGAACGAATTCATCATGGATCGAGAAGAAAACAAGTCGACGCCTGCGGTTGCACTCTTCGACGCCATCATCAACGCCAAGCGTGGACGAGCAGGATTGCTTCGGTCAGGTCTTCCAGGAATTGGGCTACATCGCAAAAGTTTTGCTCAACGCAGCGTATCGGGAGGAGGTCGACCGGATCTTCTGTCAGACACCTCGACACATCAATGGAAGATCATCAATGTCCCTGGCAGTTCTGAGCGCCCGGAGCTCGGCTCTGCCGCCAAATCACGAGACTATCATACAATCATCAGCCGAACACCAGCCAAATTGGAGGAAGGTCTCTTCAAGCAAGAAGAGCTGGTGCCTGACCTGCCAAAATTCGGCAAGAAATCTCGCATCAGTAGCATGATCAATGGGAAGTTGAACGGACTAAGCATGAATGCACCATGAGGATTTTGTGAGAAAGAAACACCACCATACGTTCCGCGCTCAAGGAAGTCAGGGTTCTGAACTCAATCCATGCACAGCTCAGCATTTGACTCTCACTCATGCAACTTTCACGGCCCTCTCCTCCTGGTGAGGAGGTTACCGGTGCTCAACGAACCACGTTCACCCATCCCAGTACGCCATTGTATCGCCAATTGTCCCAGTACCGCTCTTCCATCACGTCTCAAGCTCGCCCTCAACTCCTCCAACCCGCTTGTTTCCCCCTCCACCTGTTCGACTAGAAATGCCACCTGTAAAACATCTCTCGGACTCAAGACCGGATTATCGACACTGGGGTTGTCCTCCCTCTCCGCATCCCAATTGAGCGACGTCGCCTTGAAAGGCATCTTGGTCTGGAGCTTTGCTTCTTCCAACACAATCGACGCGTCCGACACATTCTCAAGCTGTGCTTCCAATGCGTACCTCACCAAACTCTTTCGTCCATACGGTCCATGCGCCTTATCCGGAACCTCCACCGCGGCCAATTCCGTTGCCTTCGTGCGCACACTGATGCACGGTTGCGCCAGAAACTGATAGAGCTTGCGAAACGATCGGACACGCCCACTGGTCGCCCCACTGCTCGTGGACAATGTTTCCGTGTAGGTTACATTCACAGCCAGGACGTGGTTGCCTTCCTCCTTCAGATCGAATCGGATGATCCGCTGCAACGCACTGCCCGGCCCTCCATCTTCTTCCCTCGCACCATCAGAGCCATCCTCAGCACCCACAAGATCCAGCGGTATCGACTGTGAGGGTGTCTGCATCTCCGCAAGGATTTTCATCCCCGTCACCTGTTTAGTTGTCGTCTTGCCCGGTTGCAGCTCATTGTTTGCACATAACGCGCAAGAGAAAGTCTCGCCCACGTGTGCAGATCCGAACGAAGGTGGGAGACCTAGGTTACTGGATAAGATAAATTCCTGATCTGAATGTGGGGACGGATATGCTAGGGCGGCCTCATGGTTGACCTTGATGGCACATTCTCTCGGGAGGGGATGCTGTTCTGCTAGTGACGGTCGTGATAATCTAGATTTGGAAGAGAAAGACATCGGATTAGGTCAATCAGGACTCGGTGTGGCATTGTAACAGACAGACAACTGTGTAGCCAGCCACACGCTTCAACATACCTTAAAACTAATCGTTTGATTCACCGCCAAAAAGTTAGATAATGTTCTTGTAATGGGGCTCAACAAATATGATTTTTCCAATTCCCTAGTCTCCTCCTGGTTTTTTCGCCCTTTGTCGCCATTTTTGTTTATCGATTTCATATAGAGCTTACATACCTTTCAAGGATACAGAATGAGGTTCCTTCGGGAAGTTGCCCGTGTCAGCACGTGCTCGGGCCATGTGTTCTCAGGCTCTACGTGTGAGTGTCGGGGACTCTACCCGTCTCGAGTGAGAGATTGGTGAGGGAAACAGATGGACGGTTGAATGTCGAGTCTCATTCACGGGCCTTTGAGTCCACTTTGGTCATTCGATGTCGAAGAATTGGCGGGAGACTGGAGCCCTGGACAATGGCTCACAAGGTTGATACGAAGATTTGGGTACCTAAGTAGGTATTTTAGGTAGGCATGTACCTACCTATCTAGGTAGGCATAGAGCCTTGGCAGCCGCGACTCACGTGTCGGCGGTCCTACCTACTGCCACTACAGTGAACCTGCCTGTAGGTGCCTAAGGGACTCCGTAGGTCAGGAAGCAAGAAACCATAACCGGACTTTAAACCTTTTAACTTTCATTATAACTCCTACAATGGTTCGACTAGGTGAAATCGGCTAAGGGGTCTCGGCATTGCTGGCGTTCGCGTGCGCACGGATCTGCCTTTTTCAACAACGACCAACTGCAGCGGATTGGATTAATGCGAACGCAGTCCAATTGGTTGTAACTTGCCTAACACTGTCGACAAGTTCAACAGCTCCAAAGCACCAGGAGAAGGAAGATTATCGCTACTTAGGGGGTGAAGCCAAGATTATGAATTTGATTACGAACTCTACTGCGAACCCATGGCAAGGAAGATCCTCCAGAACGCCGCCTCGTTTAGCTCCAACAGGCATATTCCTATTGCATTCATCCATTGTTGGTCTGATCAAACAAGATATGCAGTTTGTATAGCGCAGACAGGTGCCTTTCCTGACTAGCTCAATTTTCGGTTCGATCATACCAGATACAGAACTCTGCAAGTATGTTTCAGCCAGGTGTCTTCCTCTTGATGGATTTCAATCCCAGCGCCATACTTAGGCTCAGATGCCCCTCAATCGCTACCCCTCCCGCAGCACACTCTAGGCGCAAGGCTGATTAGTCAACCAGCGTTAGAAACGCAAAGTCAATTTAATCGGCCAATTGATGACCACTGGGGAGGTGATAGACTCCCGAGATACGAGTTCAGGGCCAGGGGTTGAGGATCTGACTTATGTCCGTCAAGATCACGGACGACGATGATAGTAACTCGAAACAATATATATCCACGTCTTCATCTTCACATCTAAGCAACATCGAATGCACGAGATTCTTTGCAGTACTTCTCGGCGAGTCCTGATCTTCTTTTCCACCGACCAAGATTGGGCCCAAGTCTCTGGACCGACCTCGCACGATTATGACTGCCTCAAAAGCCCGCAGTGCCCAACAAAACATCACTGTAGATAAAGAAAACATTTCTCTGCAATGAGGGTCGCAGTCCATCATCAGAACCAGTGCCCTTCGTGTCTGTACTAGTATTACCTGAGCCCCAAGATGTCATCATGGCTCTTTGTTGCCATGCGGCAGGATGGACTCGAAGATCCTCAAACTCGCAATCCCATCCAGATCAACGAACTCAAATCCCACGCCACTAGATTTGCCCATGCCAAACTTAGGCAGAAGCGATTGAACGCGCTGAAAGGGAGCTTGGTTCATTTCCCAACAACGCATGTATCAAAAGAACAGCGTGAAACCAAAACCCCTTCAACGCCACGACAACGTCCATTACAACCACGGCAATCCAAAGCTGAAACAGAAACATCGAACAAACCCGGTGCTCTACCCTTGACAGTGCTAGACTTTGGTGAACCCAACCCTTTCTGTTCACAACACATGCATGAGATCCCACCCATTATGCAGGACTGCCTAGATTATGGCTACAATGTGCTTTACCCCACGAATTGTCCGGCGATACAGGGTGAATTACTCCAGTCGACTGTAAAGTCGTGGCGCAGACACGCAATGGAGACTCCAGTTGTTTTCTACTCCCAAGTCTCGAATATTGCGACCCTTTGTTTAGCCATGGCCACTGACCCTGCAGTCATGAGAACCTTGTCCACCATCAGAGTTCTTTACCAAGCAAAAGCAATATCTTTAATCCAAGAAGCACTTGCCCAGCTGGTTGGGCCGCCCTCCGTCGAGCTCCTATCTTGCATTATGAACATACATGGACAAGGAACTCAAATGTACGAATCCTGTCCAAATCAATCAGTACCCGAGTCGCCCATCTTCAAAGGATTCAATCTCAAACACTATGGTAGATTTGCACCTGCTCGGGCCCACTTTCCTGCTTTGGTACTGCTGGTACGTCGTAGGGGAGGATTTTCTACTCTTCCACATGGAGTGGCTGATCCATTGCAACTGTAGGCTTTCCCCATAAAGAGAGACTCGCACAGAGAGTATGGTACTTGTTGCTGACGCCTTCGATGGAATAGTGCAGATCTTTGTGCGGCCAATATCTCGTTGACAACCCCAACATTCCCGCTCCTCTCGTCGATAGCCGAGACGGCTGATATTCAGAAGGGTATGTTTGATCTGGCAGCAACCAAGCTCCTATCGACTCTCGGGACCGGGTTTTACCTTCGTGACAGTGGTGTCGATCTTGAGCTGCATCGACTCTTATCAGTGGCATGTCACCTCATTGTGGCAATTGACGAATTCCAGCGAGACGCACCAGGCGCTTACCCGTTGTCAATCCTCGCGGTCAAAGCAATCGCGCTACAACACCGCCTTTTAAGCCTTTCCACACAATCACCAGTATCCTTAGACCTCAGTGCTGGTGGCTTGGAGGAATTCATCTTTCAGATCGTCCGCCTTGCGACCTTCATCTTCAGCGATTTTGTTTTCTTTCCTACATCGGAAGCTCGGAATGGTAGACAGCTGCTTGCGACGACCTTGAAAGAACACTTGGTCCTCGGTTTTAGATTATACTCCTTCCAAATGTCTCAATCAACCACGTTTGAGCATCTGATCATCTGGTCCTTGACACTCGGCGGTGCGGCCTCCTCCAGCACGAGCAATCGAGAATGGTACGTTCAACGACTTTTCGAGCGCATTTTCGCGCAACACGTCACTTGGGATGGACTACAAACTATCCTCCAAACGTTCTTGTACTATGATTATGTACTCGACAAATCTACCACAAATCTCTGGGTTGAAGTGTTTCAGTCTTTACAAGCGGAATCTACTGCTGGTCCGAGTATCTTGAACATCGAGCTTCTTGCTTGAGATGATTGAATTTGGCATGGATCATCCTTGTGAAACTTGAATAGCTCTGCAACGCTGCTGGTGGATTCCCTGACAGCCCGATACAACCGATTTTGCGTGGTTTCATGCTTTCAATCCCTTCCTGAGGGTCGTGATAAGGTTTTGGTCTGTGGCTTCATCAGGAAAACCAACTTCATTCCACTTCAGCCATCTTTCAGCTCGAGCCCCTTCATCTGCCCTAAACAGGCCCACAGCAATATCAATCCAGCTTTGATCATCCTTGCCCACGAAAATGGTTGCCCCACAATGTTCACAGAAATATCGCTGCACTCCCAGACTGCTGGAATATCTCTTGAGACTATTCATAGACAGATTAAGTGGTGCCCCAGATGTCATCTGAACCTTTTCCAAGGGTACGGAAGTCCAAGCAGTAAGCTCGAATCCTGTGGTGAGACGACAAGAAGTGCATGTATCAATTCCTGCATCATATCGCTCACCAGTAGGGGGAGCTCCGACGCCGAATTCGACCTCTCCACAGTGGCAGCGACCAAGCAGGCGCTCCTCCGACATGATTGGCGACACCGGATTCGGGGCTTTGAAGATTGCATGATTTTGCTGCACGACCTCTGATCCGTTCCCAACCATAAATCTTTCGCCAATACCCTCCAACCACAGCGCCTGCCCTCCATCCAACGTATCCTCGAGCCATATCTGGTCTCTTTTCAACAGACCCTGGGTCTCATCCATGATACCCGTACAGATGCGCCACATCCCATCGGACTGCTCGAAATCCATGACATTAGCACCGCACTCGGGACAGAAACATCGAACTCGATGCTCCGAAGTCGCATAGTGCGAGAGATTGAAGACGGGAATCTTCAGATCACCTGGATTCACAGGGATGACGGCAAACGAGGCGGCCAATTGACCAGTTGAGTGCCTACATGATGAACAGCTGCAGAACGAACTTGAAAGAGGGAGAGAGCTGGATGGGACGGATATCTTCAGTTGGAATCGTCGGCAGTGGCAATGGCCTTTGATTGTTCTTGTCTCCTCCATCGCAACGTATTGAGAGTATGTATGTAGGAGTCGAGCCAGAATTTGCATAGCAGTAGTATCACACGGGCAATTCGTGGTATTTATCTCACGTACTTATATGTGTTTCCATGCGTACATGCCGATCTCTCTCTATGTTTGGAGCAGTCACGATGATCATTACACATCTCCCGCGTATAGCACCCCTGCCAGACAGAGTAAAGGTAACGTTTTCCGTAAATTTCTAAAAGTGACGTCGGGGTGCAAGTTACTACACTACACTCCAAGCCTAGCCCACCATGAACGCTCTGAATTAACTAATCCCCTGCCAGCAATGAATGATCAGTACTTAGTAGATCTAAAAATTCTATAACGGTCAAGGTGCTGGGCAAGGATAAGGAAGTGTTGCACTGAGAAGGCAGTATTAATAGCACGAGAGGTCGCGTACGGTAGACCGAATAAACCACGTGCGAGGAGACGAGAATAAGCCCCGCAATAAATGCCTGGGCTTTGATCCATCTGTAACCCAGCCTTACCTCCCTTTCTCCCTTCTTACTTCAAAGGATGAGACTGTATATTGGTGATTGCACCCGGAAGGGATCACTAAAGCCCTTTTAGTTCCGTACACCGGTACGGTCTCGTGGATTGGTCCACACTGACATCCTACAGCCCACGTCGTCGACTGACCAAGATTTCAACCTTGTGGGCCAGCCTCGTCTTTCAAACTACCACTTGGTGGAGCAAGATGCAAGTAAATTGCAGCTTGACAATGCCCGTATTATTAATTATGGATTCTTCTTTAAAGCTGAAGGCTGGTGATTATACGGTGGGATGGATATGTGCCTTAGCGGTCGAACTTGCAGCTTCTTGTGAGATGTTTGATGAAGAATATCCACAACCACTATTGGATGGGCGTGATCAGAACTGCTATCGCTTTGGAAGAATTGGTGGACACAATGTTGTCATCTGTTGCCTCCCTTCGGGCCGTTATGGCTTGGTGTCAGCCACGAATGTCGCATTTCAAATGAAGGCGAGCTTTAAATCAATCAGGTTCAGTCTTATGGTTGGCATTGGCGGCGGCGTTCCGAATGACAAGGCTGATATAAGATTAGGTGATGTGGTCGTGAGTCAACCTTGTGGGCAGCACGGTGGTGTGGTTCAGTATGACATGGGCAAGACCCTGCAACTAGGAGAGTCCCTTCGGACGGGTTCATTGAACTCGCCTCCTCAAGTACTCTTAACTGCAACGACAGCAATGGAAGCTGCTGCATTGACGGGAAAGCTGAGGGTTTCAGAGTATCTCGCCCACATTGGTTCTCGTCTATCAAAATTCGCGTTCCCTACGAAACTTGGAGACCGAATGTATGCGACATCATCTGTCCACGTCGGTGGCGCTTCTTGTAAAGACTGTCTTGACGGACTTATTGAACGTGAAGTTCGGGAGTCAATTGATGTTGTGATGCACTACGGAACCATCGCATCTGGGAACCAGGTCATGAGAGATGGCGTGACTCGAGACCGGATCAGCCGTGAGTTGGGGACAGTATTGTGTTTTGATATGGAGGCTGCTGGGCTCATGAATGACTTTCCATGTTCAATCATCCGTGGGATATGTGATTATTCGGACGCACACAAAAACAAACAGTGGCAGCCTTACGCGGCGGCCGCCGCTGCGGCAGTTGCCAAGGAACTTCTCAGCCATAAGCCATTCAGCCGTAGAGGACACACGCCTTCTTGATGATGCAATAGTAGGTTTGTCAGATGTTGTTGAGGACACCAACTTGGCCACAAAACGGGTTGAGAGTCGAACACCCGGTATGCAAAATGGACCTTTAGATCTGTGGCCCCGCTAACTATTCATAGCTGCTGAAGAGTAGGAGCTCCTTGATTGGCTCTCAACAGCAGACTTCACCAGACCGCAAAACATCGCCTCAGCTTCTCGAGCAATAGACACAGGAGAATGGTTCGTTGGTAGCAGCGAGTACCGCTTTTGGCGCGACAAGGGAGCAGGTTTCATGTGGCTCTTCGGCCCAGCTGGTTGTGGGAAATCCGTTCTCTGTTCCCGAATCATTAGTGATCTGGAGAATCTGTGCAAAAGTGAACAGAAACCGAAGTTGGGTTATTGGTATTTTCAGTTCAATAACCCAGCCACTCAAGAGATTTCCACTATGCTGCGGTCCCTCATCCGTCAACTGGGAACGTCGCCCTTACCTCCAGAGAGTCAACATGGAATGTCGCCGCTGTCTTCAGAGATTCGTCGATTAGGAAGCCACCATATGCCACGCGGCAGCCAACCAGAGATACAAGAGACAATATCCACCCTTGATGGCATTCTTCGAGACAACCCCCAAAAAGTGTTCATTGTTCTGGATGCCTTGGACGAGTGCCCTGGAGGTCATAGCACTTCCGAAAGAGCAAAAGTCCTAGAATATCTACAACGATTGTCATGTACCCACCATCACAACTTACGCGTCCTCGCGATTAGTCGGCCGGGGCCAGACATTAGAACTGTGCTTCGCGATCTCTGCTCAGAGACTAATAGTATCAATATTGGACTGTTAATGCAGGCAGACGTCAAGACCTTCATCAAGGAAGCTATTGCTCGTCCTGAACTGAAAAGATGGGGCTCAAAGGTCACTGATCAAATTGCAAGCAAATTGCTATCGGTCGAGGAAAGTTAAGACCTCAAGTAGATGCTTGACGTTTTCTAACGGATCTTTCAGTCGCTTTAGATGGGTAGACCTACAGATCAAGCGACTACAAAACTGCTTTACACTCAATCGAATATGGGCTGCTTTGACCACGCTTCCACCGACTTTGGAAGCAACTTACCACGCAGCTCTGGAGAGCATAGATGAAGAGAATAGAGAGCATGTGCGGAAGATACTTCAGTGGCTCGCGTTCTCTTTCCGTGAGCTGACCCTAGGTGAAGTTGCAGCCATCACCTCGTTCCAATTTGCGGACGACCTGTTGCGGGTGTGCACAAGCCTACTCGTGACGATCATTGAGGATGACAATCGACAGATTCTACGGCTGGGTCATTTCTCAGTTCAGGAGTTTCTCGTTCTTCGTGGGGAAAGCAAAATTGTTCAATGGTACAACTTCACGGCCCACGAGGCACACGAAGACCTTGCGTTGGATTCACTGTCCTATCTACAAGGTACAAGAGATGATATTCGCTCGCACTCGACCTGCGATGCAATGTCGACAGACTCTGCTGACGTGATCGCGGAGGAGAAGGAATCATCAAGGTCATTTCTTCAGTATGCTGCGCGGACCTGGCCACTCCATTTTAAGGAGGCAGGCAATCCCACAGAAAACTCGCGCTTTTGGAAACTCATCGATAACATTCTCGCAACGGATTTATACGATGAGTGGCTTGCCATGTGACTTTGGAAATCCATTTGGCGGTGAGAACTATCCAAGGTCTCTGTACTTGGCCGCCCTACTAGGCTTGAAGGGCAACGTTGCTATGTTGCTAGAGCGCGGCGAACAGCTGACAGGACCAGAGGGTCGGTTCGGAAACGCTCTCGGTGCTGCAATTATGTCTGGAGACCTGGAAATCGTCAATCTCCTGTTGCCACACTACGACTTCGTTTCCAGGACGGTCGAACTTGAAATAGTGTTGTCTGAGGTCTTCAACAATGGCAAGGAAGTCCTGGCTTCATTTTTTGATGCCAGTGGATTCATGATATTGGCGAATGCAGAACTCATGGCAGTCGCACTCAACTTTCGATCCGGTAGGGAGATTGTCGAACTACTCATGGAGCGAGGTATGCTAGATGGACCCAAGCGCCAGGTGTTGCTGCGCTCTGCGGCCAAAAAAGATAATTGGAAGGTAATGGCTGAACTACTGGAACCATGGGATACGACAGCCCCTGGGGAGTTGTGGATTTCGGCCATAAGATCCTACGATACTATGAATGTATTGTTAAATGAAAGAGGTGCCGAGCTTCGGGATCCGACAAGCTTACTGAAGTTTGCCATTGATCATGTGAGAGATGTGGATGAAAGTCGTCCCTGGCAGGTCGACGAGTAAGTCTGATTCTAGCATTTGAAACCCATCCTCAATTACTAATCTATATAACAGTAACTTCTCCGTGATCACACTGCTACTGCGTCGCAAAGGCTTGGAAATCCACTTGACGCAAGACATTATGAAGACGGCCATAGAGCAGAATGTGATCGAGCTTGTGATAGGTGAGGAAGGCGTCACAGCACATATCACAGAGGAACTGTTAGAATTTGCCGCAAGTGCAGGAAACGACAAACAATTTGAGTTACTACTGTTCCGGCTAGGAACGCAGAGGATCAAACTGGACGGGAATGTCCTGAAATCAATACTGTGCAAAGGATGGCTTGCACGTTCAGTTCTGGGGACGCGAAAATCCGAAGTACAAATCACGGAGGAGCCTTTGATAGCCGCCCTATCAGAAATTGACAGTCATGAGGCGGAAGAGGTAATGGAATATCTCTTGAAAACCGAGGAGGTCAAGATTCCACTCACTGCGACTGTATTGGAGACAGTTTTGTCAACAACGTCGACTCAAATGGTATGGGAAAGTCTGATAGACCGATTTGAAACCGGTGTTCGTATCACCGAAGCGATGTTGAAAGCAGCCTTTGGGAGATTTCACAACGGCCAGATGAGAATGGAATGGCTACTTGACAAATGCCGATATAGGGTCGAAGTCACCGAGAACGTGCTCGAGATGGCTGCGAAGCATGGGAATGTGAAAGTTGTGAAACACATCCTGGACCGAGCAGGCCCAACGGTCGTTGTCACCGAGTCAACCTTGATTGCCGCCTTCGGCAACACATCGGAAGACCAATACTTGGTACAGATGTTGTTGAAACATTTGAGGCCAGGCCGGATGACACACAAAGTAAGGCAAGCAGCGGTGTGTTTTGGCCGGAGAGGGAATCTCATGTTCCTGGAAAAGGCTGGCATCGTTGAATGTTCCTCCTCAGCATGGATTCCGACATGCCAGCTGTGGCAAGGGGTACGAAACAGAAACGTCAAAATGGTTCGCGAGGCGCTGGCCACTGGTGCTGATCCAAACTACAGAGACCTCGACAACATCTCTCCCTTGGAGTTCAGTGATCAGAGACACAACTGCGAGATTGTTTCCCTCTTGTTAGACACCAGGAATGTAGATCCAAGGTAAGAGTGCGCAAAAATGTGCAGAAAGTGATCCAACTGGTCATTGGTTTGCGCATGCTGGACGGGTTAAATACCCCCGCCCATGCTTTGCCAGCGATCTGGCAAGGTTAAGTGCTGGACTCAGCAAGATACATATATCCTGATATTGAATCAAAGTACTTAGTAATGTAGAACCATGAGTTTACTAGCATACTTGTTCTGGCAGCTAAGTCATTGCTGAGTTGACGTCTTACAACTCCTCAACGATGACGTAATCGGTATTCCTGATCGAGCAACCACGATTCCATCTGTCTCATTACAGCTTCGGCGTATATTGAATCCTGTTTCGATCCAAGTTTCTGACTAAACATCGGTGAAACCTAAAGTCTACGTCGGAATTAACCTTGCTTTGGATCTCGATTCTTTTGGACGCTGTGACGATCATATCCAACCCCACCATGATTCAATAACAAGCGGCAGTTCAGGCAGTCGGGAAACATATATCCGGATCTGCAAACAGTCAAGGCGAACAGACCAACCCGCGTGGGATTTGATAACAACTCGAAGCGACACTGTACTATCAGAGCAAGAGTGAACGCGAGACCCGGTTTGCAGAGTGGGTTATCGAGTGACAGCACTTGATAGAGACACGAGAAACATCCTCACTTGGCAACAGCAATCCTCTCATTTGGTCAGAACCATGTCTTCCAAGCTCAGCCATTCATTCGGCATCTCATGGCGCAAAGCGCTGGTGTCACTGCCACGTCTAGTCCCAGATGCCATCCTCCACATCACCTCACCCGAGGGACCACAACCCATCGTCTTGGACGTCCCATCTCGCGAGGCACACCTGATCCCCGTCTATGTCTTTGTCCCGCCAAAGAACAACCAACACCACCACCTGATCTCCCCCGGTGCACATCTGAAAGAGGCCCTTTCACACTCGCCGGACGATCACCCGCCCGAGAAATACCCCGTGCTGATCGACTTCCACGGCGGCAGTTTCATCCTCGGCAGCTGCCAGGAACAAACCCCTTTCTGCGCGCAGATGTGCCGTGAACTCAACTGCGTAGTTATCAGCGTCGACTATCGCCTCGGGCCCTACGCAACCTACCCGGCCGCCAACCTCGACGCCGAAGATGTCGTATTTGCCGTCATCGACGCCCAGAAACCGAGCTACCGCACACTCCGCGAATCCATCAACCGGCACATGGACAAAGAAGGACGGCGACGCATCGACCTCGACTCGGAGCGTATCGCCTTCTCCGGCTTCTCGTCCGGTGGCAATCTGGCGCTGAACCTCGCACTCGGCGTCAAAGACGACCCGACCATCCACCGCGACTGGCTGAGCCCCGTGCCCTGGAGCCACAGCCGCGACATCCCCGTGCTGCTCTTCTACCCGAGCCTCGACTGCCGACTGCTGCCGCACGAGCGACCGAGACCAGAGGGCCTCGAGGCCCCGAACGGCTTTGTCGAGCGCTGGCGCCTCGAGGCCGAGCTGATGCCGACGTACCTCCCGGTCGCGAGGCGCGCGGATCCACGAGCAAGTCCGGGGCTGACCGATGTCAAGAACCCACCGCTGCTCGCGGACGGGAAAGTCGCAGGCGAGTACGGCCTACATCCGAAAGCCAAGCTCTTCCTCGTGCTCCCGCAGTTCGACTCCCTGCACGAATCGAGCGTCGTGTGGGTCGAGAAGGTCCGCGCCGAAGGCCGCGGCGGGGATATGATCGTCGAGGACGTGAAGGGCGTCACGCATGGCTGGACGCAGTTCCCCGACGGGTTTATCTCGGACGAGCATCGCAAGTTGAAGGTGAAGGTGTTCGAGAAGGCGAGGACGTTTCTGAGTGTTTGGTGGGATCTCAAAGGGGAGAAGGAGAAGGAGAAGGCCGTGATTAAGGAGGTCGATGTCGAGGTGCTGGGGAAGGCGGGTGGTGATGGAAAGGACGAAAAGCATCCCGGGAAGGGCCTCGATGTTCTGCTTGAGAGCCAGAGGCATCCCGGTTCTGGCTAGGTTGAGCAATACTTCTGTGTGCTTTCGAATTTGAGCATGTCCTGGAGACGTCGAGAGCCCGTTTGGAGCATCTCTCTCTTCAAATACACGTTGTTAGAAAGCCGCAGCAATCTAGATTTTGTGGAGTATATAATATAGATCATGATTAATGGTTGAAACAGCCATGGTGGCCTTAGCCAGTCCATCCAGTCTATCTATGCATCGCGTCATATGGATATCGTACAGTGCCCTCCGTGCTCCATTAGTGCTCTCAGAGCTGGCCAGGAAGCAAAAAAGCATCTTGCGTTTGACCTTCGTGACCCTCATAAACACCAGTAATATGGTCGTACATCGATCATAGGTATTCTGTCACCGGACGTCCAGAGCTTGGAAGAGCACATGCCACCGATCCCCCTAGAGCGCAGACCTGAGGACAGAATGAGACGACGCAACTTGATCAAAGTGCTCATCGCCAAGAAGAGTAGTAGTCGCGAGCACTCTGCCCGGAACCTTGTGCACCACCACTCGCACCGCCTCCTCCACTGCCAGTCCGTCGACGGTCGTCACTCCCCGCCTTGGAATCATAGCACTGTCTGTCCTTGCCTTTTCCCTTGCTGTCGCTCCCGCTATATTTCTGATCCCCGTCTCTGGCAGGGTACGCAAAATCCCGATACGCGATCTTCTGTTCCTGGAGTCTGCCCACTGCGGTCCTGTTTTCGTTGGTACATCGTTCCATATCTCTCATGTACTGAGCGGACTTGGGGTCTTTCTTCGCATTGGCGTACTTCGTGAAGTCGGCTTGTCCTTGGGGAGTTTCGATTCCGGGTCCGCCTCGAGTCACATATACTGCTTCGAAAGCCTTCTTGCGCGCCTGACCTTCAAGTATGCGCTTGCCTTTAGATTGGCCCCATGAGAACCATGATGACATCCTTCGCTGAATTCTCGTTTTAGATGGTGGTGGAATGATAAAATGTCGTACATATGCGTGGGGGCGACTTCTTGTTGGGCCTTCTAAATGGGTTATTTTTGTCAACTATAGGGCAGGTTTGGACGTCGAGGAACGATCTTTCGAGAACCGGCTTTTATCGTTGGAGAGATTCCATATCACGCTGCTCGTTTGCCTGTGTGACAGTCTCATTTTGAGTGACACAGGTGAGATGTCTTTGGGACGAGGTTTCCTTGAACAAGAATTGGTAGAAGTGGGATATGAGATCAGGGAGTCAGGTCGGAGGATAATAACAAGCCATCCAAGGCAGATTAACATGGGGATGGTCAAATTGTGAGATCAAAACCTGACTCTAGAGTTTGATCTGGCTGTGACGATGGCACCAGGTGCAAGCCATGAGAGAATCGTTGTATCCACACTTCATCGAGTGCTGGATTGGATCCAGAGTCACCACAATGGACAGCTGACCTGCAATATGAACCTCTTGATGACAGGGCTAGGCGGAATGTGAGTGTATATTGTCAAGCAATGATTGTGACCAAAAAAGGGACCAGAAGTGCGAAACATCGGGCAACGGGTGCCTCATCATATGATTCAAACATTGCACTGCCTGCTTTTGTGTCTTGTATGGTTTTAGCTTCTAGAAACGCACCTTTACACCTTCTGTCGTGCCACATATAGCATGAAACAACTCTTGTGCTCTTATGCTTCGACAGGCACATCCCTGAGCATGAACCATATCCTGGGATCGGCACCTTCTGCATAATTGAATCTTGGATCCATTTCAAATACATCGACATCTTTGAAGCCGTGTTTTTGATACAAGCTGTGACCCATTGGTGAAGACTCTAAATAGGCTGGGATCCTAAGCTCATCGGCAAGCTTGAGGCCTTGTTGGATCAACAAGCTTCCAATGCCACGCCTTCGATGCTTCGGGTCGGCCTGAAGGAGGTTGAGCACTATGATTGTTCAGATAATTGACATTTTAGAAGCGATCCACGTCACCTACATGCATAGTGCTTGCCATCCATCAGTTCATGTCTCTTCTTGTGAATGTTACCAAAGTATTCTTCGCAGGCTTCAACGTTACAACCTGGACCGAAAGTGCGGTCCTTTGACTGAACAGCCTTCGGGCCATCAATGATTTCCCATTGCGCCCAACCGATCACTTCGTTCGTATCGGTATCGACGACCTTGAACCAACGGACCTGAGGGTCGGTTTTCTTGTTTTCAACAAGACCTTCTGCTCGTTTGGCTAAGACGTCTCCCGGAAATGGACCCGGGAACAAGATGGGCGACATTGGATTGTCTTTATATGCATAATGTTCGATCTCGGCAAAGCGAGTTCCATCCTCTGCAAGGCCGTCTCGAACTTCCAGTGGCATGTTGAAGTGATTGTCCAACTGATCCTGGGTGTCAAGAAAAGGATCAGTGTGTTCGTCGTATATCTCAAGACCACCAAGAGGTATGAGAGGAAAGAGACAGATTCGTTGTCAAAGCACTTGATTCCCGACTTAATTGGGAAGATGTCGTGCTTTTGATACCGACCCAGTTGTCGAATGTCACACAGTGATATCTAGTTGCGAGAACAACCTTCTACATCGATCCTAGTAATGGGCTCAAGCCTTGAAAACGAGCACTCGGGTGATGGACCGAAACAATCTGTTGGACGAGAAGTAACCAAGGTAGGGCAATGGAATCCACAATGAGTCACATTGTAGTTCGATGGCAAGATGAAGTTCTTAATCTGGTTACAAGATCTCTTAGCAAAGATGTTTTAAGGGGCTCGGTTGTCCAAACCCCCAAAGACCCCCAAACTGGCACGCCTAAGATACCCGTGATCACACGTGAATTGCTCCTCGGAAATGACACCGATGGCCAAGACTCTCGCGGGCTCTACAGCTCAGATGCAACGTCAGTCCCCGAAACCTCAACCCCTCTTGTATGCTGTTACTCAGCCATGACATTCCTGTTCTTCCTCCCCAATGTTAATAACCTCCATCAACCGCATATTCTCGCAAGGATTCATCGTTTTTGCTTATTAAGACTCGCGTTAAACGGTTCTTGCTAGCACCGTGATGCTTGTTCGCGTCTTCACAACCACCGATGCGTCTCTGGACAGAACGAACTCCCGTCTGGGTCGTGAAGAGATTTTGGCACTATACCAAATCGTTTCGCTTCTCCACCTTCTTGATGCGGTTCAACTTCCTCGATGGAGACAGCACATTGTAGTATGCCATCGCCAATGTCTCGTAATGTAAGTCTCGTGTTCCCATCAACTCGATATGAATCGCGCCTGGCTGGATGGCTACACCTTGCCATCATGGACCATCGCGGTAAGTCATTGTGATATCGACGAGATATAAATCGACTCCACCAGCCCTCACTGTGTCCGACTCTATCGACAAGCTTTGTACACAAAACCGAAGAGCGTTGATCATATACCATATTGAACATCCACAAGATGGCCGCTGCTACACTCCCAACCAAAATGCGTGCCCTGCTGCACAACCTCAAGGACCAATCCCTTTCCATCAAAACTGTGCCCCTGCCTGTGCCATCTTCTCAACAATACCTTGTCAAACCATTCGCTACCGCCTTCACGGTGGGCGAACTGAACTGGCCACGGCCGGAGGAGCTGAACATCTCATCTCCTGGCGTTGAATGGGTAGGGCAGATCGTTAAATCACCCTCTACGACCTCAAAATTCCAACCCGGCGACCGAGTCTACGCCCGAGTGACATATCCCCAATCTGGTGCAGCACGACAGTACACGGTGACGACCGATGACGAAATCGCAAGGGTGCCTAAGAACTTCTCCGTCGCAGAGGCTGCATCAGTACCCGTCAGCGCCTTGACCGCATGGCAGGGCCTGTTCGAGGAGTTCAAGTTCAAAGCCCCAACTGCCACTTCCACTCCATCATCCGACACGAAGAAACGTGTGCTGGTCCTGGCCGCGTCTGGTAGCGTAGGTGTCTACGTGACGCAACTCGCCAAACTCGCCGGCCTGCACGTCATCGGCACCACAGGGACTCGCAACGTCGATTTCGTCACATCTCTCGGCGCAGACGAAGTCCTCGACTACACGAAGACGGACCTGCGCACCTGGGTTGCCGAAGACCCGAGTCGGAAAGTCGATTTCGTGTTCGCCCTGGCCGGTGGCGTGTCGCGGGACCAGGCATGGCATGCGCTGAAGGAGAACGGCCAGCTGCTGACGATCGTGCCGCCGCCGGATTTCAACTGGGTGTTTGACCTCGATACGCCTGCAGGTGTGGATCCGAGTGTCAAAGGACGTTTCTTCGTGATGCATCCGTCGGGTGACCAATTGGAGAAGATCACCGAGTTGATCGAGGCTGGGAAACTCAAGCCGTTGGTCGATAGTGTTTGGGAGTTTGACGATTATGAGAAGGCAATTGAGAGGCTGAATAGTGGGAAGACCTCGGGGAAGGTTATACTCAAGGTGAATGACGAAGAATAGGAGTGGTTTTGATGCTGTTGGTTTATCATACCAACCATTCTATGTAAGGGATTCTGTGTTAAAAGTAACTCGAAATGAAAAGCGAATGATCTTCCACACTTCTAATTCTCAGCTGATGAAAGCTAGGTGTAACGGCAAGATAGAAATCGAGGCTACCTAGTTAAGTGCTCCATTGCAGTAATGGTAGGTGTGAGGGATGAGTAATAATTCAGATTTAGTCTGATAGTAATGCACGCTAAACAAGACTCATGATAAATGTATAAATCCAAGGCTATATCGGTCAACTAGTCATAAAAGACCAAACATCTCACTTCAATGCTCTGCCGGCCCGGAGCATCGGCGGGTGTCTGAGGGTCAACGAAAGCCGTATGTGGTGTTGAATCCGCCAATCCTTTCTTACCACCATTGACCTGGCTGAAAGAATCAAAACACTTGATAAACATAACCTCGTCAGGCGTCATGTCCTTATAATAATAAAACCTGTGGCTCTCATTTGGCTGGACACCATACGTTTCACCCTTGATCTCATAGCCTGCAGTGGAGCTCGCAGAAGTTGGATCGGGTAGGACCTCCTTGCCACGGTCGTCATCGTCATGAGTACCATTGGTGGTCTCTCGTTTAGGGTAGAGCAGGTCGACTTTGACAAAATCAGTCGGTTGCGTTGATCGCCAGTCGACGACTGCGAGAGGGAAGTCACTGGCGGGGTTTTGGATTGGTCGCCACACATTGATAATCTGGTAGCGTCCTTTCAGAAGTTCCTCTGCTTCGTCCTCGGGAAGATGCCTGCGTACTCGAACCGCGGCAGCGTTTGGCGTCTGATCAACGTGAACTTGCTGGACTGGCTGTCGGGGTGAGGCTTTCTCCCGTCGTCTGATCGTGTGGTCGAAGATCACTACTTTCTTGATGCCAGGTAGCTTATCACGGAGTAGCTGCTCGACTTCGCCATAATATCCATCACGGACAGCCTGGTCATCCGTGAAAGATTTCTCCTTGGCCGGATAGTTATAGACAGCAAATCCAGACGTATCAGTGGAAAAATTGGACTCGTTCCCACGGATATCTTCGACAGAACGCTTGCGATCAATCAAGTGAAATGAATAACCCGGACCATCAACTTTGGCCCATGGCTTGACAAATGGGACGTCACTGTCGGTATACGACGCAGGGTCAATATACTTGAAAGTTGATCCTGTCATATTGCCTTTGTAATTGCCAATGGTGCTGAATAGCCGAGGAATTGAAGTTTGGAATGGTCTTTGTGGCGAAGAGTGGGGGATACCAGCAGTCTTAAGGAGAAGAGGAAAGGCCTTTGCTGCTTTTAAGGTGGGGGCTTGCATACAGTTATATCACAATATAGATATGCTCTAGATCGAGGATATGGCTACACAAAGCGTTGTTGTGAATTAGAATTGTTTCCCTCCAAATGCAAGACCAACAACCTATATATTGTTCGATGTCAAAGAATTTGATTTAAAATCAGTGAAATGAAAACGCGATAGATGACGTTGGTTTGAAGACAGTAATCCAACCCAAACAGGAACTCTATCCACCGAAGGGCCAGAAGATGGTGGAAGATGGCCCCGGGATTAACTAATATTCACTCAAACTTCCGGACATGGTTCGGCAAGAAACATCGCGGGGCAGAGGATGCAACTTCCCGTTGTGGATTCCAATCACGTGAGATCTGCAGCCCCTCCGGACCCCGGATATATGTTTATCCACATCTCAACCATCACAAAAAACGCCGAATTGACGCGCTTGAGTTGCAGACAAACGCGTCGTGAGAACTGCACCGCGTCACCGAATTCCAGGCAGTCCGAGAACTGGGGACTATAGGCAGTCAGCACCTTCGGCTGATCGCGCTGTCCAAGCTATATGACCAGGGAACCTCTCCATCAAGCGCACCCAACTTCCTCACCCCTAAAGCTTCCTCCCGAACCCTCACCATGGCCTCCGACTCTGATAAGGAGATCTACTCCGCGACTTACAGCAATGTATGCTTTGCCCCTCTTTCTTGGTCCTCATAGCGGCCCAGCTCTAACGTATGGCTGTAGGTTCCCGTGTACGAGTTAAAGACAGGCGCAGATCATGTTATGCGGAGACGATCCGATGATTGGGTCAATGCCACACATATCCTCAAAATTGCTGGCTTCGATAAACCCGCGAGGACCAGAATTCTCGAGCGCGAAGTCCAGAAGGGTGTGCATGAGAAAATTCAGGGCGGCTACGGAAAATATCAAGGCACATGGGTTCCTCTAACCGAAGGTCGTTCACTTGCGGAGAAACATGGTATTCTTGATCGTATCTCGAGAATCTTCGACTACGTCCCTGGCGACAAAAGTCCTCCTCCTGCCCCGAAGCATACAACAGCTGCATCAAGCCGTCCGAAGCAAACAAAAGCTGCGGCAAAGAAAGCAGCCGCACCTCTACCTGCGCCTCTACCACCTGCTCCAGCTCCCAGTAAGCCGATTGATCTGATATTCCTCCAATGCTCAAACTAATTCTGCCTAGCTCAGTTCTACCAGCCTGTCGAAGGTTACGAAAGCGCCAGCGTACAGTTCAACGGAGGCGAGAGTCGGGAAGCTTCACCGACGTCGGCATCCTTCATGGCTGAAGATGATTTCTTACCCCTTTCCCAAAATTCCACTGCCTCCAGAAAACGAAAGCGCCTTGACGAAGAGCATGGCTTTACCGCATCGGATCTTGAACACACAATGTATGGCGATGAACTGCTGGATTATTTCGTGACTGCCGGAGATGACCCAGCTGCATCTAATATTCTTCCACCACAACCTCCAGCAAATTTCGATGTCAACCGACCTATTGATAACCTTGGCAATAATGCTCTTCATTGGGCCTGTGCTATGGGTGATGTACAAATTGTCAGAGATTTACTTGCACGCGGTGCCAATCCTGCTGCGCCAAATGAGGGATCCAGGGAAACACCTCTTATCCGCGCTGTTCTGTTTACTAATAATTACGATAAGCGAACATTTCCCAAAATTGTTCAAGCACTACCGCAAACTATCGTGGAGCGGGACTGGCATGGTGCAACAGTCTTTCATCATATCGCGGAGACTGCTCGATCTCGAAGCAAGTGGGGTTGTGCCAAATACTACTGTGAGGTGCTCATCAACAAGATGCAGGAGATGGGTTCCAATTACGTTCAAGCCTTACTTGTGTCGACCGATGTCAATCACGATACCGCAGCTTTATGTGCAATTCGAAATGGTTGTGTCAAGGTTGCTACTTTTTTGCTGAACCACTGTCCTGAGGCTGGTGATGTTCAGAATCTTAAGGGAGAATCTGCAAACGAATATCTACGATCTCTGCGAGAAAAGAAAGACACCCTTGAACAACCTGGCTCTTCACCTCCAAGAGTTGGTGAGTCTTTCAACGCCAGAGTGTCTCGTAAAAGACGGCAAAAGGATGCGGTCTCTCGAGCAGCATTTTTCGTTCTTGACAAGATCGGCACTGTTATGGACGAAGGCAGTTCTAAGATTGCAGAAATGTATGATTCTCAAATGTTGGAAAAGGACACCGAGATCGCTGAAGCGAAGTCTGCATTGAATGAACTCGAGAATCAACGCCACAAAATTCGCCAGGAGACTTTCGCATTGATGGCTCGTGTTGAAGATCCGTCCAGGATCAATACACTACGGCAGGAATATGATGAAAATCTCCGCGAAATGGAGTCTCTATTGGAACAGAGAGAACACGAAATCTTACAAAAAGAGATCCTCCAACAAGACCAACAAACCAACGCAGGCGCTTTCCGCTACTCAAATCCTCAACCGCTATCGTCTGAAGAAGTCCGCACTGCCGTCCCCTGGGCCCTCGAACTCAATCGACAACAAGACCTTCGAAGACACTGGGTGAAGGAAGTAGCGAAATTAATGGGCGACGCTGGAACGAGTGAGAAAGTTGGCAAGCACAGAAAGTTGGTGGCGATTGCGACAGGCCTTAAGGAGGACGAGTTGGACAACATGTCTGAAGAGTTGTTGCAGAGTCTGCAAGGTGACCGAGGTCTTAACACTGCCACCGGTCCACAGACACCGCCGCATGCTATGGCTGGAATTGAGGCATAATGGATGTATCACATTTTCCCTGACGATGATGTGTGTGCGCGCGTGTATCAGAGCATTAATTTATCGATGATGTATTAAGATCATCAGTAGTGCTAAGTACGATCATTGAATGAATGAATGAGTAATGTCCACACAAAACATCCATCTCGACTCAAGATTAATAGTGTTCACACTTCGTTAGTCCTCGGGCTTTCGAGTCAAGAAACCCTCTACCGCCATATCAAAGACCACAAGTGGCACGCAAGTCTAAACTCACATTCTTCACAGGACGTCACTTGACTAGGGACGCAACATGCTCTCGACAAGACGTCAGCTAACTTCAGTCCAGAGCCATCAAAGACACCGAATCAATCAGGGCACCCAAAACAGTAACTAGAGGGAGAAAAGCGAAGAAGACGAAAACACATATCAAAGTAACGAGTTTCGTTATTAAATGCTATCCAGCATTCCGAGTCAAGGAAAGAGCTCGTTCGGCGTCATGTAATGTGACTTTCCTGTCTGTGTCTCGGCCTGCCTGGCCTGACTGGCTGACTGACTGGTTCAGGAGGCATGATGTGAAAAAGACGAGGAAAGACACTTGCTCGCTGGCTCTAACTAAGTAATTGAAGGTGGGAGGAGTCCACTCCAGTCCACTCTATGCCGTCCACCCCCTGGGGCAATTCATCGACTCGTCCTGCGAGGAGAAGGGGGAAAAAGCTCAGTTGGTGACGTGATTCATGATGGTCCTTGTCATACTTCCTCTCCTGTGCGTTCGAGGTAGATTCGTGCGTGCATGAATGTTTGTCCACCGGTAGCTCTGTTTGTCGATTGGCGTTGGGGTTGAATTGTGAATGAGGAAATCATACATAAGCGGAAGAAGAGATGAAAAGAAACAAGCAATAAATCGGCTCCGTTGATTGACTCGTGAAGACCGTTGCTGTTGCTGTGGAAGTTTTCCAATCTCTGTGGTAGTCCCTGCTGAAAAAGTGCATTGCAATGCGATGCTCTGCAACGCTCTGCCCGGATGAAGTAGTGACTTGCTGGTACTTAGTACTCTTCGCCCTCGGCCTCCTGGATGGGGTTCATGAAGTGTGTGGTTCCGAATGGCTGTCCGCTGTACTGTGGAGTTTGGGGAGCGACGATGGGATTGAAGGGATGAGCATGATGGCTCGGTGTAGGTGAGAACATTCCCACGTCATGACCGTGGCTTGCAATGCGGTTGGCGCTGTGATGAGGAGGAGTCGTAAATGAGCCTTGGCTGTATAGGCTGTATGAGTGCAATGGGTTCTGGTGTTCGAGATGAGTGAAGCCTTGGGTATGAATTCCAGTCATGGTTGCGTTCGCATGGGCTTGAGCTTGGACTTGAGCCTGAGTCATCGCGGCACTTGCTTGAGCGTGGGTCAATGCAGCGGTGTTGTTGGCTTGGGTGTGATTGAAGACAGGTTGAGCAAACGGCAAGCGTGAAGCGTTGAGGTAATTGAGGTTCTCGAAATGATTGCGAGGCGTGAAAGTATGTGCTGGAGTGGGTGGAATATATGATGTGGAAAGGGTGTGACTAGGGTTGCGTCTGACCGAATACTCTTTGGGTTCAATGCGAAGCTTGGTATTCTTGAATGTACGCTCTGCGTGGGATGCGTGCTCTGCTTCTTGTACGGTGCTGAACTCCACAAATCCAAAGTTGTTCACTCCATCGTCCCCAAAGACCTTGCGGATCACATTGACTTGGACAATCATGCCGAACTCATCGAAAAGGTCGTGCAGATCAGACCGGGTGGTGCCTTCTGGAAGGTTGCCAACAAAAATACTCTTCTGGTCAACTGCGGATCTTGGGGTCGAAAACCCACGAACGACTGGGGTGCCTCGATTGTAATGAACTCTTGGTTCCAAGGATGGGGCCAAGATCAAGATGTAGCCAGAGGTGTGGTGTGGAAATGCCTTGAGTGCATCTTGGCAGTCGAGGTAGAATGCAAACTTGACATACATGCCGCCCTTGATGTTGTTACGAGGTGGATTGTCCATTTTTTCGGTGGTGGCCATGATTTCGATTGGTCCATAGCGTTCAAGCATGAAACGAGCTTCATCTTCTGTGATCTGAATGCCATTGACATTGCTCAGAATGACAGCACCTGCTTTTGTCAGTATTGTAAAGAGAGAACGTGGGAAATGGTTGTGTGCTCACGTTCAGCTTTGGCACGCTCGACACGGATTCTCCGGTCATCAATGCTCAAGTTCACCGAGCCGTCCACTGCAGCGCTCGCATCTTCATCGCTCTGTTTATGTGTTCAGTAAATTTTAAGGGAAGAATGGGATGGAACAGAAAGCGTACCTCAAATTGAACAAAAGCGAAAGGATGCTTGTTTCGGTCATAGCGGACCTTTACGTGGCAGGGCCCAAAGCTACTGAATACCTGCTGGCATGAGACTTCCAGTTGCTCGACTGAGCGCTGGTTTGACAAGCTGGGCACGTCAGTGTACGGTCGTATCCCTTTCTGATTGTACTTACTTCGCAATGAACAATAATGCGCTGGGTGGGTAAAGCCCCTGCGCATTGTTTGCGGTGATCCCGGTTCTCACCCTGTCTGCTCGAGGAACGAAACCGTCGTGGCCTGTATATCCACGGGCACGGTGCGCAATCCTGCTTGCGATCGCCAAAGTTTCTGCCGATGCCTGGTATGGCATGGCGCCCATTGCGTTCTCGCCGAAGTTGTTCTCGTCTTCTGGAGTCCTAGGGCCGGATGGCACCGTAGGCTCCGAGGTATCTAGATCACACACAGTCATGGTCAGTATGCTTGAATTCATGCAAGAATTGTGTGCCTGAGAGGGGGTAAAGGGTGTATTCGTGCTGTCTCGAAGTTGTTTGCACAGTGTTCTGGGGCTGCTGTGGGTAGGATTGTGGACGACTAAAGCTGTAATGGATGAGACTAAACTTACCAGATCCGCTCTGAGCACCTCCACCAACAACCATTGCTCCCAAGCCCACGGCCAGAGCATCTGTCTCGCTGGGCGGAGACAGAGCTGGGGCTGCCATCACAGCTTTGGTCGGAGGAAGTTCAGCCATTGAGGGCTTTGCAGATGATGAAGTTTCGCACTGAAAGGGATGAGAACAGGTATAGATTGATAGAGGCAGTGTATGAGAGAGATTGGTGTAGAAGGCAAGGGTTGGAGTATGAGAGAGAAGAATGAGTAGTTCAAAGCTTTTTAAAAGGTTTCTAGGCCTTGTTTGCTTGAAGTGAAATGAAGAGATGACTCGAAAGTGAGAGGAGAGATGTGAAGTCACTTGACTCAAGTGAGGTGAGAAGAAGTGAAGGTTGTCTTGCACGTCGCCCCGAATATCGAACGACGCAGTGAAAGGGCACAATCAAGGCCTTGTCTTTGTGAAGGGGACAAACTAGAAGTTGCTTACCTTGCGTGTGTGCTCCCAGCACAACACGCGGTGCTGCATATAAAACTGCAGCACCCGCGTTATCAACCGCCGCCATGCCCTGCATGGCACCCCAAAGGGCTCACAAAGCAAGGCTAAAATTGAGGTCGACATAAGTCCCGTGGCCATCTCCCACATCGATGAGGAAGACATAACCATGTAACCCGTCTACCCCATCGACGAGGGAGACGGACGATGAGTTATCATGGGATGATAACTCATCGTTTGTGCCTACGTACACACTCTGTCTGCTGTTAGCTGCTGATGACAATGAACTCCCCGGGATAAAGGCACGATCGATCTGGTTCAGTGAAGCATCCTCACGAACTCATCACTGGACCGATCTCAGTCCGCCGACCACTGGTCTGAATTGATGGCAACTCACTGGTGTGATATTCCGGACGCACAAGGGTTCCCCTGGCCCTTGTGCCCCGGCAAAACATTGCCAAAGAGCAAGAATGATTTTGGGGGGGCCGGTAAGACACCCGATCTTTGTGATCAAAATAACAAGAAAGGATGAATGATTCTGATCAGAAGGAGAGTCTTATACACCCTGATGGTTGTCTGAGGTTTACAGGAAGGGCAATTATAACCGGGCCAAGACGGAGCCTCGTCGGGAAGGATCGCCGGACAGGCTATCCGGCCGGATATACAATATACCGAGAGGCTTTGTTGGAGATTCATGCAAGTGGCGTACGGCAATGAACCAAGACAGACACCATGGTGTTGACTGGATATAACGACAGAGCTATGGCTACACATCGAGACTCGTAAACGGATTGCGATCATGTTTATCCCGTCTCTGCGCCGTTGTGCGCCAGGGTTCTGGAGCAAGACAAACCAGGAGTTTCAAAGGGCAACCAAATTCAGTCAGTATGCATCTGTGAACGGGATCATGACCTAACACATTGGTTGGCACGGGGGTGTCATACCAATGGCATGAGAAAGACCAATCACTAATCGCGGTGCTTACAGCTCTGAACCTCGAAGGACTGCAATTACCAGTCGCGCCCTACCCGATATTCGATTTCGCAGATCCAGATACCATAACTACACTGAAGGCGATGTCTGATCGAACAGTGGGAGGAATTTCGACGGCAGACATAATACAGCAGCCTGCTGATCACTCTTCGAACCCTCAAACACCTGCGCACATCCTCTTCCGCGGAAACATCTCTACAAGACTTCCTGCGGATCGACCAGACATCCAGAGAACAGGGTATGCAGCGTGGCGGAACATAGACCGAGGGCGAACGCTGTTCGGAGAGTTATTCTGGGATGTGGATACTTATATGTACCTTGCACTACGAGTAAAGAGTGACGGGAGAAAATACTTTGTCAACATCCAAACCGACTCCCTAGTGGAGTCGGACATACATCAACATCGATTGTACACGAAATATCACAAGGGGGCAAATGGGCCCAATGACCCTGGGCAATGGGAGACAGTTTGGATTCGATTGCACGAATTCGTTCGGACAAACCACGGTGTTGTCACTGAGCCACAGTCAGAGATGCTACGACAGAAGGTGAAGAGCTTTGGAATTGGACTCACAGATCGAAAGGCCGGACCATTCGAATTAGGGATTGCTGCTATGTGGGCTACCAATTTGAATGAGCGTGGGCAGGTTGATGGGCGCACTGGCTGGGAAGAAGGTGATCAGGGCAGCGCACGGTTGAGCGAAGTCACGGAGGAGAAGCTCGCAAGGAAAGAGGAGGAAAAGAGAAAATTACCGCAGCAGAAAAAGAGCTTCCGAGAACGAGTGCCACATTTTGGCAAAGTTGGGACTCAAGATTATTCTGGTGTACGATAATGAACCTGAACTTCCACTCAACAGGCTTGGAAGGTAATTGTACAATGTAAAAGCACCAGGTGTGCAAAAATGATCATGATTCCGCATTGGAGATACAAGATCACTGCAAGTTCTGAATGGTATCCTGCAATGACTTTCCAGTGAGAATCTTAAATGCTTCGGCGTACTTCGAGCGTGTCACATCGCGGACATCTTCAGGCATTGAGACGTCCTCTTTACCTTTCAAGCCGTTCTTTGTCAACCAATCCCGAAGGAACTGTTTGTCAAAACTGTCCTGTCCTTGACCAACCTTGTAGGTTGATTTGGACCAAAACCTCGAACTGTCAGGGGTCAAAACCTCGTCGATCAATACCACTTGATCTGTCTCTTCGTCGAGGCCAAATTCGAACTTTGTATCAGCAATGATGATTCCCTTCTCTCTGGCGTAATCCCGGGCAGTCTTGTAGATCGTGAGTGACAACTCCTCAATTCTGTGTGCGTACTTCTCTCCCACGATCTTGGCTGCTTCCTCCGTTGAGATGTTCTCGTCATGTTGGCCCAGCTCGGCTTTGGTACTTGGGGTGTAAATAGGCTCTGGGAACTCCTGTGACTCTTGCAGACCTTCAGGAAGCTTTCTACCGTTGACCTCACCGGTTTTCTTGTATGATGACCATGCCGAGCCTGTGATGTAGCCTCTGACAATGGCCTCGACAGGGAAGACCTTCAACTGTCTGACGTGCATACTTCGACCCTTGAGTTCAGCAACTTTATCTTGAGGCACAGAGGAAGGCAAGTCCAGAGAAATGAAATGTGTCTTCAGATCTGGTATCTCCTTCTGCAAATACTCAAACCAATGCTTTGTGATAAGGGTTAGAATGATGCCCTTATCTGGGACGCCCTGAGTTCAACCGTTAACAGACGCGGCCACAAGCTCAAGGAACTTAAGGACTTACATTCTTCATGATCACGTCATAGGCAGAAATCCGATCGGAAGCAACGAACAGTAAGGACTTCTCGTCAACCTGGTAGAGATCACGGACTTTGCCTGATGCAACCAGCGGTAGTGCCTCCCCCAATATTGACTGCTTTGGAGCCATGTTGAGTCAGCTATCGAGTATCACTTACGACAGCACCGTTCTCGTTCTAGATGATAATGGAGGATTTTGAAGCTTCGAGTCCTGAGAAACAGTTGCCTTTTCAATGGTAAAAAGTTGTGCAAATGCCGCAAACTTTTTGTGAAGCCTCTTCGACCTGACCAATCACAGGCAGCGCTTCAACTACGCGTTCCACACGCGGCTCCCTTGGACTGCCTTGCCTCTCTTGTACTACCTGACTGCCTCAATCTATGCGAGCTTGAAAATTTACACCACCTCTGGAAAGACGTGAACACCTGTGTCACATCTTGAACGCTTTAAACGATTCTGAATCCGGAGTCCTACTGGTTCGGACAGCAATGAGTGGAAGTCTCTCCAACTGTAAAGAACATGGGATCAATCTTACAACATGAGTCGATACCTGACCCCTGCAAAAATCGCCATTCTGGAATTAAGCCTACTCTATGCTGAAGACGTCGTTCCAACATCCCAAGCAAAATCAGTGCTAGCATTTATCCTCGCCCAAATTCTACCCCCTGATAAATCCGCCGGCCATGATTTTGAACCTGCCACGCCTATCTCAGCCTTTGAATCGACTCTATCTGGTCAACCATCAGCAAGACCTGGGCGGTCCTTGTATGATCTTTTACTGAAGAAACTATGGGCCATCGATTGCTCCGATGCACTCGAATCATTCATTACTAACCTACCACAACTTCTTACCAAGCCTAGAGAGCAGATTTTGAGAGAACGGGAGACTGGTGAGGTCTCGGACCAAACGTATGGACGCATTCTTCGGACCTCTCCATTGGGCCTCTTCATCCGCCGGTGCCACCTCGAATATGAGCGTTTGCAATTTCAGGACAGTATCACACTCTGGCAAGATTTCATAGTGTACCGTGCTCCCACTCGACAGGCGCACGAGAAGAAAAATCCTCCACTTGGAAGAAGTGCAATCGACGGCAATTTTGAAGAACTTCAAATCGATGGCTCTCATCCACTTGCTCAGATTATGTACGGAAGGCTCGCAGAGATAGCACAAGATCCAGACTCGACATACAGTCCCCATGAAGTGGAGAAACTGATGGAATTTCAAGTCTCAGAAATGCAGAGACTCGGAGGTCGTCTACCAGATGAGATGAAATCCAGGCTCGAGCAAATGTCCAAGACTGGCAGAGCCATGCCCAAACTTGGTCATTATCTAGCATTCCTCGATTCCTGGCGCGCAGGAGATTACTTTTCCGCATTCGACAACCTCCATCGATATTTCGACTACACGATGCAAACTCGAGAGCGTACATTCTACCAGTATGCACTCCTCAACCTTGCCATTTTGCAAGCCGACTTTGGTTGTCACGCTGAGGCACTGCCTGCTATGCAAGAAGCAATAGCTACTGCTCGAGAGACCAAGGATACCACATGTCTCAATTTCTGCATGAGTTGGTTGTACCATTTCGGACGAAACTTTCCCGCACAGATGAAGAAGATACGTGAAAGTGGTATTCTCGGAAGTGAAACAGAAGGTCTAGCTTTCCTCAAATCACGAGCGAGAGATGCAGAGATGTGGAACTTGCTCAGCACTTCGATGCTCACCGAAGCCAAGCTCGGACTACAATCCGGTGATAGTCTCGCCGGGGTTTTTGAGAGTATTGCCAAAGCCTCACATATCGACATTGTGAAGTCAGCGAATGGTACGGATGGATCGGCACTCCTGTTCAGAGGTGCCACCTACAGCAGGATTGGCCTTAGCCACATGGCATGGTTAAGCGCGCAGACATTTCTGCAGTGTCACGCCAAAGAAGCTTCACTGGACGATTTGCTCAAGTATAGCTGTCGAACAGCGGGTATTCTCGTACACCGAGGACGGTACGACGAGGCAGAGGAATTGTTGAACAACCTCCCTCCCGAAATCCACCGAGTGCTTAAGTCTCACAACCACCTAACATCCTACACGGGACTCCTCAAGGTACGTCGACTGCTGCATCGAGGGGATCTCGACGCGGCGGAACTCCTCCTCCAGCGACTGAAAGGCCAAGGTCGCTCGGACGTGGAGATGGGCTTTTCCCTTTCGATGCTAGAAATCGATCTCCTGCACCGTCGCGGCATTCTGGACAGGGCACTCGAGTCGACCGAGACACTGGCCCAGAGAGCAACGGCCGAGATCAACGACGTGATCGTGCAGATACGACTGATGAACCTCAAAGTCCGGCTCCTGGCCGACAGCGACAACACGCTGAAAGGCTTCTCGCTGGCCACGCAAGCGGCCCAAATCGCCTACCGAGCTCGAACGCTCCCTCTGCTGTGGGAATCACTGGGCCTCCTGGCGAACATCCTGAACACACTGCGCGAGTTTTCCGCTGCGGCGGAACTCATGCACGCCATCATGCCGCAGGTGCTGGAGACGAAAGACTGCGATCTTGCGGCACACTCGTATTCGTTCCTCGTGGACGCCAACATGGGCTTGGCGAACTTGGAGCAGGACCAGTCGACCAAGCAAAAGGAGTTCATCAGCCACGCCGTCGAGCATCTCGATCAGGCGTTGCTGCAGTTCCGGTATATTGAGGATCTGAGGGGTCAGCTCGAGATGCTGAAGAAGAAAGCCACCGTCATGCACTGGCAGGGCGATTTGGTGCTGGCGAATGATACAGCTAGTCAGTTCATTCAGCTAGAGAGGCAGTATAATGAGATGCGTCTTTGAGCATTAGAGTTTACTAGTATCGGGAATAGACGTCTAAATCATGAGGGATTCTGAAGTCATGATGGGTAATGAGATATCAATTCAGGCATTCTGTTTCTCCATTTTGCTTCTTGTTCTTCTTTCTCTCTCTCCGCCGCTGTGATTGACATCATCACCTAATTCTCCAGGGTTTGCATTCGGATATGTACATAGTAGAAGATACCGCTCCTCTGACGAGTTTTCTGTCTGTATAAAAATTGATGTGGGGGGGGGGCTAATAAAAAACGCACAACACCAACACGTTTTTTTTACGTAGCCTTGTCCTTATTGTGATAGTTGACGTTCTTGTTCCAGAAGAGGGTCTGCAAGATTTGGGTGTCAGCGAAAAGATGACCGTAAAAGCATGAGAGCACGGAATCAGTGGTCTCTGTGTTCTCACCTTGTCACCATCTCCCCAGAAAAAGTTCTTGGATCGGATGTTCTGGTATGGGTATTCGACTCGCTCTTCTAGAGGTGGGAGATGTTCCCAGTGCTGCCAATGTTCGTTCCACAGGTTCCAGGCGTTGATGCTGCCGAGGATGAGGCAGGGGACGACGACGCTGTGGTTTTGAATGTTAGTTCTCTTCTCTCTTTATGTGCCAATCTCATCAAAGGTTCGCGTACTAAATAGATAGTTTCCGCCATAGATCTGAAGAGTGAGTTAAGAGTCAGTATTTGCTTCTTCTTCATATTTTGAGGCTGGGTCGAGAAGAGGTCTCTCGGGAATACTGACCACTGGTGGCTGCGGCGTGGGCCTTGACGGCAGCTCGTTCTCGGTTGAAAGCATTGTCTGCTGGGCCGACCAGCTTGGAGCCGGTGGGAGGGAGCTTCTCGGCGGTGCTGGCGAAGCGGCGCTGGATGGCGGTTCGGAGGGTCGGTGCTCGCAGCTGCTGCTGGGCGAAACGCAGTCCTACGCGTTGGAAGGACATGGTGATGGGGTTTTATTTCGTGCTCGAGACAGGAGTGGAGAGTTGAGATGGAGGTTGTCTACCTAGCACATCAGATGTTCAAGTGTTGGACGTCGGGTTCGCAGGGGAGCTTTCGATCATGGGTTTGGGGCTTGGCGGGCAAAGACCCAATGAAAAAGCTGGTAATGGTATGGTAAAATCGGGTGGTGTGAGGGGAGAGCTCTGTTAATTTTGTAACGCGATTACGCTGGAGTTGCACACAAATCCTGCCAGCTCGTCATTGTTATGACAATACGGCGTGACGCAAAACACCGCACCTTCCCCAGTTGGGCGATTTCAACGTGAGCTGCCAGTCGAGCTCCCTCAGGCTCAGATTCAGTCTCAGACCTCATTCAATATTCGGTTTCTTCGACTTCACCACCACTCTTCCACCCCCTCTCCACTCCTTATACACGACAAATCCAGCTCGAATCCAGCTGGCTCTGGTTGGTCTGTGACTGTCTAGCAGTTTCCCATCACCCAGACCCTCCTCGCCCACCATGTCCGCCATAATGTTTCGAAGCACAGCTGCCCGTGCCTTTCCGCGATCCTTGACCACTTCTCCCCGAGCAACCCTGTGCAAAAATGTCCTTACGGCCTCGTTGAGGACATCAGCTCGTCCAGTTGTAGCTTCCCGATTGCTAGCTCTCACCACCGTACAACCTATGCAAAAGGCATTGGTTCGTTATGCCACCAACAATGCGTACGCTTATGACAAGGCAAAGGCAGAGGCGGATTTGGGAAAGCAATTGATCTCGGCACGTCACGATGAGGTCTCGACGGAGTCTTCGATCCACCCCGTCACCGGCGAGGTTGGACTTCATCAAGAAGAGCAAGAGGTGGACATGATGGCTGGAATTCGAAGTGATTTTGTCGGTACTCCGCATTTCGAGTGGAACGCTGTCACAGACTGACCGTGGCTTTTTAGAACACCATCAAGGAAACTTTTACTTTGAGGGATGTGCCTCGTGAAGCACTTTACGTTGGTTTGGCTGGGGTCATTCCTTATCTGGCGACATCCCTGACCACCGTCTACCTATCTTTTGATATTCAATATGCCGCCCACCACGGACAGGGCTTCTTCTTGTCTGGCGAGGTTGCTGAACAGCTATTGCACATCATCGAACCAATCCAGCTTGGTTATGGTGCTTCTGTAGGTTTCCAACCAGGGAAATTGGTCGCGAATCAGGACTAACCAAATCATAGATCATTTCCTTCCTTGGTGCCATTCACTGGGGTCTGGAATGGGCCAAATTCGGTGGTGCTCAAGGCTATCCCAGATACTCCATGGGTATTGTCGCTACTGCTGTCGCATGGCCTACCCTACTTCTTCCCGCAGAAGTTGGTCTAATCGCTCAATTCCTTGCCTTCACCTTCTTGTACTACAATGATGCACGGGCCGGTGCACGAGGATGGGCTCCAGCCTGGTACGGAACCTACCGATTCGTGCTGACTTTCATCGTTGGTGCATCCATTGTTGCATCGTTGATTGGACGTGGCCAGATCTCCGATTTGGTCACGCGACCAACTGGCCCAACTGAGAGATTCAGAGCACTCCGAGCGAAACAGTATGAAGAACTGGGCCCTGAACCAGATGCTGAGGAGGAGGAAGAAGAAGACGAAGAAGAGTAGAGCAAGGTAGAAAGGGAGTTTTATTTTACTATGCAGCTCGTTCCAAGGCCGCTGATCACTTGCAGAATGTCAAGTCAGTGCTGTACATATCATATCCAGAAAATCGAATACTTCTTTTGTTTACTTTGGCCTCTCGTCGTCTGTTTCGATTCCTCGCTGATTTTCAAGTTTCTCAGTCTGTGGCTTTCCATTCACCCTTTGCCCCCACTCGAGATTCTTTCCGAACCCCCAAATATGAACCGAGAATTTCCCCTTCACCCCCGCTCTACAAAGCGAAACCCCCCGAGTCTAGCCTTGCATATATTAGAGATTTAAGGTGCACCGTCACCTTAGGGTGTCTAGCTACTCTATTTTAAGGCACCCTGCCACCTATAGCTAGGTGTATATAGCGGGCTCCCCACCCTTAAGATTAGAGGGAGCCCTTAAGCATTCCATTCACTTCATACCTTGCTCATAGCATACCTGGTGACACAGGGAGCAATTTAACAGCCAAAAAGAATGAACCCAGACTCTTGGCATGGTGGCGGCGAATTCGAGCTCGGGGATACAATCCCCGAGCCACATAAACCTGAACTCTCATTCATTGGCCCCCGGACTCGAAACCCAACGTCATTCACGGTTTCTCTGCGGGTTGCATCACAGGAGGAGGGGGGACGAGATGGCGGAGATCCCTTGGGAGACCGTGACACACGAGCAAAGCGATGGATTTCCCATGTACTTCAATAATCGGTCTGATGCTGATCCGCCTGCTACAAGGTGGGTGACACGGAATGTTTTTCTTACGTCCCTTCAGCTCTAGATTCCCCCCGCATCTGAGCAACACAGATCAGAGCTTCCTCCAGGTTTTTTTTCCCTTCACCAGCTTTGATTTATTTATATATTTATCTATTTACCTAAACCCTTTCACTTCGGTCTGTTTCGTTCTCGTGTTCTCTCTCGTGGTCGTGACTCTACAGAATTACCCCCTCCCAACCGGGCGTTATATCTCGATATTTCATGTTATCCAGACTTGCTCAACAATTGAAGCATATCTCGAGTACTCCTGCCGGACAGCCTTCCAAGATGGTACGGATTGCCTCACGTCCCATTTGACCTGGCGGCAGGCATGGACGATGTCAAAGACAAGTACCATCACTGACCTTGATATAATGCTACATACAGGCCGGGGACAAAACCTTCATCGGGTCCATAGACAACGGGACGACCAGTTCCCGCTTCCTGATCTTCGACCCTGCGGGCAACCCAATCGCGCAGCATCAGATTGAGTTTAAACAATACTATCCACATTCAGGGTAAGCAGTTCCCACGACAGGACACTCTATACTATATATATCACATGTTCCCAATATCTTAACCCATTCCTTTGCGCTCTGTAGATGGCACGAACACGACCCTCTCGAGCTCGTCTCCTCGGTGTCGGAATGCATCGACAAAGCGGTCGAAGAGTTCGAGTCCCAGGGCCACTCGATCTCGGAGATCAAAGCGGTGGGGATCACGAACCAGCGCGAGACGACGTGCGTGTGGGACACCAAGACGGGCGAGCCGCTGTACAACTCGATCGTGTGGACCGACACGCGCACGTCGAGCATCGTGCACCACCTCAAGACGCGCGACGGCGCCGACGGCCTGACGGAGCTCTGCGGCCTCCCGCTGTCCACATACCCGTCCTGCACGAAACTGCTGTGGCTGTTGCGCAACGTGGACAAGGTCAAACAGGCGTACGACGCGGGGACCCTCGCCTTCGGCACCGTCGACAGTTGGCTGGTGTACAAGCTGAACGGCGGGCCTAAAGGCAACGTCTTCGTGACCGACCCGACCAACGCGTCCCGCACCATGTTCATGAACATCCACAACCTGTCGTACGACGACAAGCTGATCTCGTTCTTCGAACTCGACGTGAAGACGCCGAAGCTCAACCTCCCGAAGATCGTCCCGTCGAGCCACGACTCGGCGTACGGCAAGCTGGCCAGCACGAAGTTGCAGGGCGTGCGCATCACAGGGTGTCTGGGCGACCAGTCGGCGGCGCTGGTCGGGCAGTGCGGCTTCACGCCGGGACGGGCCAAAAACACCTACGGCACCGGCTGCTTCCTGCTGTACAACGTGGGCGAAAAGCCCGTCATCAGCAAGCACGGCTTGCTCGCCACCGTGGCCTTCGACTTCTCCCCGCAGGGCATCAAGCCCGTCTATGCCCTCGAGGGCTCCATTGCCGTGGCCGGCTCGAGCGTCAAGTTCCTCATGAACAACTTGGGCTTCTTCCGGGATTCCGCCAAGGTCAGTGAGTTGGCCAGGACCGTCAAGGACAATGGTGGTGTGGTGTTCGTGACGGCTTTCAGTGGCCTTTTTGCTCCGTATTGGTATGACGATGTCAAGGGCACGTTGTGGGGCGTCACCGCGTATACTGAGAAAGGTCACATTGCGCGGGCGACCCTCGAGGCCACGTGTTTTCAGACAAAGGCGATTCTCGACGCGATGGAGAAGGACGCCGGTGTGAAACTCGAGGAGCTGGCTGTCGATGGCGGCATGAGTAACAGTGATTTATGCATGCAGGTATGTCCATTCCTCTAACCCTCAAACCCTCTCCCCCTTCCCGCCCCCCGTCCCTATCAGATCCGTCATACTCACACACACACCCAATCTATAGACGCAATCCGACCTGATCCAAATCCCCGTGGACCGGCCGAAGATGCGGGAGACCACCGCACTGGGCGCCGCCATTGCCGCAGGGTTCGCCGTCGGCGTGTGGAAGTCATTCGACGAACTGAAGGAGATCAACTCCGAGGGCCGCTTCTTCTTCAAGCCCAAGATCTCCCAGAAGGCCAGTGATCGCATGTATCGGAAGTGGACCAAGGCTGTCGAGATGAGTCGCGGCTGGCAGGACGACGAGGACGACGACGAGGCCGAGCGCGATCGTCAAGAGCACAGTGAGTTGGAGCAGACTGTTACTAAGGAGTGAGTGGACAGGGAGGTGTTATTTGCGGTGGTTCGTATGGTTTTTCTAAGACCTTTGGATGAGACTAAGGCCGAAAGACTAGCGGGAATGACTCTTCTTTTCAATTCTTGTGTTGTCAAGAGGTGGAAAAAATTGGATTTGAAGGTTTGCATTCACGGACTGTGTTTCTAATATGTCGCTCTTCTTGCCATCACGACACACTGCCATTGCTTGCTTTGCCTTGCCTGATTTCGTATGCTTCAACCCGAGCCTCCCACTCCTTTCTCAATGCCTCCATTTTGCTCCAAGCAATTGCCCCCGTAGAGACAAAGTTCTCGACGTCTTCTTTCGTGGCATCCTTTGCCCCAAATTTTCGTCCCACGCTTCCGGCCCACCATTTCCCTGTGAAAGGGGTTCCAGACCCATTCAGACCCCATCCTTGAACTTCGGTTGGGTTGACGGTAGTTTTTCCAGATCTTGCCGTGGCAGAACCCCACTTGACCATACCCTTATCACTACCAGTAAGTTCATGCGCCCTGGACTCGATCTCGGTGGTTGTTGCTAATGCTAGCCATGAGAGAGCAAAGGCACCTTTATAAGTCGTCACATTCGCCCATACTGATCCGGCCATCCTTGCCAGGTGTAAGCCCAAGAAGTAGAAAGGGGTCACGAAGAAGTAGAGATCCACTATCGAAGTTACACAGACTCCGGGATGACCAAGGTGGAAGGTTGGTTCACACAGTTCGTGCCGTCCTTTTACCTCGTGGGTCGATGCAGACACTGTGGTGTATTCTTTGACTGAAGCGGCGGTGCTTGGGTGTCCATTCGCTGTCAATGCCAGGCTGTCCGTCAAACGCTTTGAATGTTCATACGCTGCATCAGTCGTCAAGCCTTGATGGTCCTCTGGGTTGTAGTTGTTTGTGCCTGGTTCGATTGACGAGGTCCAGATGATCTTCCCAGGAGAGTGGGAGGGTGTTGCGCGCAACAAAGCCATCATCCAGTGAACCAGCATGTAGTGACCAAAGACATTGGCGCAGAAGACTTCTCCAAGGACCGGCTCTTCATGATTGATCGATTTATCTTGCGGAAATTGTGGCTTGGTGACAAGGCCCACGATGCCACGCTTGAAGACAGGCCATGTTGTCGCTTGTCTTATTTGTGTCAAGATCAACCATACGAGGGTGATCCAGTCTAGGCCTGACCAGCCCCCAATACCGGCATTCAGGACAATCGAGTTCAGGTGAGGAAGGTCTGAGGCGACAAGTTTCCGGCTGAGGGCACGAATAGACAGAAGATTGCCGAGATCGACGTTCTCGGGTTGAAAGAAGACCTGTCGATTTGAAGCTGCACGGTTGCCATGCTTTGCTAAATGGCGTTCGAGGATTGTAAGAGTATCGGAGGCTTTGCGACTACTCCTGGTGGTGTAAATGATGGTCAATTTTTGGTCAGGCTGCGCTCGGTCGAGGAATTCATCGATGAGTCTGCAACAGATACCCAGACCCAGGCCACTAATATCACGAGTGGATTAGAAGGCGGTGTGAGAATGATTAATGACAGAAAATCTACCTGTTGGCGCCCGTGACCAGGACATACTGATGTGAAGTCGTCATGGGGAGTGAGGCTCGTCTGGAGTCTCCAGGAGGTTGTTCGCAACATGTTGGGCGGTGTCCAGCACTTTTTTGTGAGCCGTGGACTTTTGAAGTGTAATGTCTATGGTGCAATTCGGACAGCCACTTCCCGATGCATGACCCCCGCAGACGGAACTCGCCGTCGCTTAAGCCAGGCTCTCATTCAAGCCTGGACGGTAAGACAGCTGCTATTGTTAGGGGCAAATTTACTCAGGTACAATCCTTCTACAAGATATGAGGGACCCAAATGATGATCACTTTTGTTATATTAACTACTCGACTTCTCCCGTTCAATCCCTTCTCCCCAAGTAATAACGATATAGACAGTAAAGACTAATTTTAGAATCACACTTTCTCCATCCCCAATTTCTCATCTTCGTCATCAGCAAAGGCATATCTGCTGTGCTTCCTGATTGCTGCACCCTTGAAATAGAATACATATGGGATCAGACAGCAAGCCAAGGCGATGAAGGCTAAAAGTGAACTTGCCCATTGAAAGCCCAGGCGATCGTACATCTGTTGCGTGAAAAGTACGACACTGGCACCCCAGAAGCTCCTGATACATGTCTTGGCCGCCAAAGCACTCGCAGCTTGGTGCTGATATGTATCAACCAGGTAGTTGTTGGCCGAGTTGTACAGGAAGATAAATCCGAAGCCCACTGGCCATCCACCCATCATTGGTCCCCAGTACGACAGCTCGGGGTATGAGGTCCAGGCAAAGATGAATAGACCAACCGGAATAAGCCAACATGAGAACATCATGGGGATTAAACGTGCTTCTGCTGCCGGTTTACCATTGGGGGCACGCTTGCAGAGGCTGAGGTAATGTTTGTTGATCAAGGGTGACAAAGCTGCGGACATGAGTACCCCTAGCGCCAGCGGGATGAACATCAGTCCGGTACTGCCTTCAGACCAGCCTTTTCCTCCAACATAGACAATCGGGTAGGCCACAAAGAACATGTACAAGAGCCCGTACAGAACGCTCATGTAAAGCGATATGAAGAGTACGATGGGCTCTAGGAAGAGGAGCTGAAGAGGTCGAAGGAGAATGATGCGCAGACGTTCGCTGAATGGTCGAGTATCAAGGTCTTTCTCGGTCACATATTTGGCCTCCCCGGTTGTCTTTCGAAGATTTTTGGCGCGTCGATCCAAGAGGGCTGGCGCATATGTTTCGGGAATGGTAAAGACGAGGAGAAGCCAACAGATACCGGACAGGATCAGTTGAATCCAGTACAGCCACCTCCAACCACTGGCCATGCCCAGGTACCCACCAGCTAACGGGCCGATCGCAGGTCCGATAAAAGGCGCTGCAGAAAAGACTGCCATTGGAACTCCTCTCTCCTCGTTCTTCCAGAGGTCGGCGAGTGTGCCGCCAACGAGAGTCATCGGGGCAGAAAAGGCGATGCCGTCGATCAATCTGCAGACCAGGAGGGTACCGATATTCTGTGCGACTGCGCACGGGATCTCAAAAATCACGGCGATGGCGATGGTGATAATGTAGACAGGCTTGCGACCATACATCTCTGACAATGGGGCGAAGACGAGAGGTCCTACACCAAACCCAATGACAAACATGGTAATGGTCAACAACGCAACCTCCATCGAGACGTTGAAGGTTTCCGAAACACCTTCCAGATTACCTGTGATGACCGCGCTGTTGAAAGCGACGACAAAGCATGTGAATGCCACAACCATGGTACACCACCATTCTGGTGCAACGTTAGTGCTTGGATTGAGCCTCAAGGGGACGGGTTTACATACTATACGCCTTGGACCAGTTCTTCGGATTCTCAGGGTCATTGATTGTGAAGGTGACCAATTCGTGTTCTTCCACCAAGCCACTGACTCTTGAAATTGTGCGCTTGGGTATGATACCTGTGGCTGTTTCTTCCGTGTACTCTGCCATATCGGCCGATTCGCCGAGCATGTCATAAGGTAGGTCCAAGACATCTACCGCACCTTGGGTGGGCCGTGTCTCATAGCGTTCTAAGGTCCGGCGAGTCGAGGCACGAGTGAGGTGTGTTTCTTCTTTGCGAAGAGCATCCCCTGGCAAATGACCTTCAGCCATGGTATTGGTTGAAGACTCCGACATTGTGGTAGTTCGTGGGTGACCGTGCTCTTTGGGCGGTTGTATCGAATATTTTTCAAGCTGGGTGATGGTTGAGAAAAGAAAGCTGATACTCCTGAATGTAGAGTTCTGAAATAGAACGTGGAAGCAAGCAATGGGAAAACGATGGATGCGTGATGTAAAAGTGACAATATGTCAAGAACCGGGGCTTTGAGCCAGCTTTTATAATCCGTCAAGTCACGAAGTCGGACTTCTCGAAAGAAGCCATATCAACTTATCAACACATGCATGTCTGAACAATCACCACCGCACAGGCCAATGGAAGTGCAGGATCCATATCCATTTGAGGCAATTCAAACCACTCTTTGAGGTGAGCGGTCCCAAGGCTCGGACAGCGAAGTGCGAGCTGCCACATACAATAACGATGGGTCTCAACTTCAAATGGACAATGGCCATGAAATAAGGCTGTCTCCACCAGCCTATGCTCCAATAACACGAACGACTAGTGTTAAGCATAAACAGACGAAAGGAAGACGGCACTCATTCCAGGAGAGTAGGGGCCGTTGCAGCCGGCGAGCTTGCCGTCTGGGTGGGATGTGTTGAAGCAGAAGAATTTTCATGGTTCCTTGGCCTCAGGTACTTTGCTAGAGCCTGGCCGAAACAAAGCCGGCAAGGCTCTCGTTACAGAACCCCCTGATTGGAAGTCCGCGCTTTCCGAGCTTTCGCCGTAGATCAACGCTGGGTCTTTAACAGGAATACTACAACTACTAACTGACTTGAAATTGCGTGCCTGTCTGGGTGCGTATATTGGTGGCTCGAGTATATTGATAGCCTTGAGATTTCCAGACGATTCGCTTGCGTCTCTTCGGAGTGAACTCAAGCCGCCTACGGATTTACAACCAGTCGAAGATTCGTGGGGCAGAGATAGACTCTGAACATCATTATGAGCGAAGCTAGGCATCTCCAATACCGTAGCCTTACATTCCTTAGGATCAAAGCCTTGTAGGCCAATCAATGATCAAAGAAAATCAAATTTGAGTAAGCATTAGCCTTGAAGAGTCCCTAACGACGAAGCCGATATCTTGTTGGTTGGGTCTTCGTTTGCCGGCCCAAAGTCCCGGCACACGTTGTCATGTACCGATCAACTGGGTAGGAGAAAATACATATGTGGATAATACTGCAACAGTCAGGAAGCATAAGGGGTTTCAATGTTACTCACAATAGTCAAAGTCTGGTGAGACAATTGTTGGAATTGGGTGGCTTGTCTGTGCCAGTGTTGCCCTCCCTGACGTCATAACAGGTCGGCGCATTCAAGGTGGAATAATCCGGCTTCGGATCTGGCGGAAAAGCCTCAAGCCTCAACACAGCCAGCATGTGCCCGAACCTTGCTCAACTCTGAGACTGCAGTGGCTTCTCCAAGTATCAAGGTTTCGCCCATGAAATCATACCTGCGAGTACGAAGTAACTCAGGGCTGGTGCCAGATCCGGCCCTGCCCGCAAAAGCGGCTTGAGCTGAGCGAGTGAGAAGTCGTGTCCATGTGATGACTAAGTTTCGCTCTGGCTCAGCTGAGCAACCTCATTACGTCGGCAAAGTAGAAAACAAATCTTGTAGCCTGCTTTCGCTTGTAGTTGCTTTCTAGACATTCCATCCACCATTCACACCTCTGAAGAAGACATTGCCTCTACAGCGCAATCAGCAGAATGTCGTACAATCCAAGTGACTACCCTCCCCCACCAGGCAGCGGACATCAGAGCTATCCGCCACCTCCGCGACAAGAGTATCAACCGTCGGGCTATGGCCAGCAGGTAAAGTGCAGCGTTCCAATTTGAATGAGGGTGGTTGGACTGACAACCTTCCGACAGGATTCATATAGCGAATATCGACCCCCAAACGAGGACCAGTATCGACGCTCCCCTCGTAGCTCCGCTATGCAAGTAGGTCAATACAATGGGGATTACAGCCCTCGACGACGCAACTCGGGCCCATATGCCGCAGCACAATATCGTGATGCTGAGAGTGGATATTACGCCCCACCCCCACAGACAGGCGCCCAGTCATACTACGACCGTCCAAGTTCCAGGGGTTCAAGATATGACAGAGAAAGATCGCGGTCACGGTCGCGATCGCGATCGCAAGGGAGATCACGGTCGCAAGGAAGATCGCGATCGCGACCAAGAGAGCGTGGCGAGAAGAAAAGCCATGAAGCCGAAAAGAAAGTCGGAGCAACACTTCTGGGTGGCGCCGTTGCTGGATGTAAGTTGTTCCAATCCTCGGGAATTTGCTTCGAGGTGATGATGCGCTAACCGTCCGCACTACTTAGGGGCCGGCCATGAATTCGGTCACAGCAATGGCCTGGTGACAGTCGCCTCTGCTCTTGCTGGCGCGTACGCTGGACACAAGATCGAGGCAAATCATGAAAAGAAGAAGAAGGAGCGCAGAGCGAGTGGTTATCGAGGCGAAGACGGGCGTGAAGAAAGTTGGATCAGCCGCAGCCGCAGTCGCAGCCGATCCATCGGGCGGTCGCTCAGAAGATCGCTCAGTCGCAGAAGAAGCAGGAGTAGAAGCAGAAGCAGCGACAGCGAGAGTGACAGCAGCAGGCGAAGGCATCACCACCGCCGTTGAGGTGGATGAGTATGATGATATGAGTATATGATGGTGCACGCACATGATGAACTTGTGCTGATGATCAAGTACGGCAGATTTAATTGGGGATGATTGTTGGTGATTAAGCTATTGCTTTTTGGATTGTTTACTACTTACTTATAATTGATGGTCGTTGATTCAGAAACTCGTACTGGCGACTTTTTCCCTTTCTCGACACATGTGCAGAGCTGACATAGGTTTCATCCGGGGTAAATATGGGGTACACATGTACACATGTGGAACAAGGTGTGGCGGTCCGCTTGTGCTGCATGCATATTACCATGAAGGATGTCTTGCGTGTCCCAGCGCTTCAACTTGGCAACAAACAGGACGCCAGAAGGAATCCATAGCCTGACAGCCAGGTCAATAGAGGTCCGCTGCCGGACGAGCTGTCCGATAGGGCTGCCATGTAGGCGGATGCCGGGGTTCGGCCTCCTCTAGTGACGAAGAAGAGATGAGGAATAACGTGAAGCTTACTGTGTTCATTTTTACTCTGTCCGATCGGGTCCACAACGCCCAACGGCCATGAAACCTCACGGATATGGTGCACCGACACGAGAAATTTAGGGCATGTTCTAGAAAAGCCGCTCGGACTTCTAGTTCTTTGGGCCTTCCGAGAAGCCGCCGAAAATGCCAAGTCTTGACGAGTGTTTCAGCCAATCACGGCCGGTCCGTTGCCCACGACAAATCTGTAAGCGGGATCCATTTTGCCCCAGCGAATTCAAAAAATTGTTGCGATGATACGAAAACATAGAAGTCCTGGATTACCTACGTAGGCAGGCAGTCATACCGGTTCATTGCAGACGGGAAACCCCCGTTCTATGTGCAAAGTGACAGGCACCTATCCCTTATTTTCTCAAAGTCGTTGTTGTAAAGGGTATCCGACGTGAGAAAACGAGGCGGGTAATATTTTATTGCTTATCAGTAAAAAGGAAACAGGACCCCTATCTCGTATCGATAGGCTTAGCGACTGCACCATCAGTGGCTTAGATCTCCCCCAGGCTGACTGAATCCCCATGGGCAAGGATTGACTTCGAAACAAGAGCGAAATGACTCGTCGTTGCCGCGCTGTTGGTCCTGTAGCCATGATAGATGATTAGCGACATGGCGAAGGGTGGCTGATTACACATGCAGTGAGCGTGGTCTTCTAATAGGCGGCGACAGCGGGAGAATAGTCCACGACCAAGGGAGACATTACAGATCTGACGTGGAAATGCAGGAAGATGTCTAGTTAGAAAGGGGACAGTGGCCGTAAAGTGCCTCCCAGAAAAGGGTCCTGTTATCCTACCAAGTACCTGCCACCCCCTGGCTATTGTGTAACAACGCTGAAGGATGTTTCGTCTGGATAAGCCATCTAGCCTGACCTATGATTTTCAAGGGGAGTGACGACAAAAATAGCCATGCATGGCCTCCCCTGGAAAATTGGGAATGAGGTAGTGTTAGGCAGTTCATTAATATTGTATCTCCTCCTACTATCTCCAGTCCATGGCCTACAGCCGATGAAAGTCAAAATGATCGACAAGCACGGACAAAATGGCCGGTTAGATGGGGATGAGGAATGTAACAGTTCAGACACAACCCGGGGCACAGAATCACGGCTATCGGAGAAGGCGGTCTGCCCAGTGCCAGTTACTTAGGCAGTTAGACCCTTAATGAGTCCCCCGTCCCTCCAAACTCCGTAATGGTTACCTAGCCCAATTTTTAGGTCCTCACCCGAACATTACTCACTACGACTGTCCCTTCCGTTGCCTGGCCCAAATTTTTTCCGCAAGGCCAAATCTGAGAAAAATTTGATAAAACCGCCGCCCACCCCTCGCTCTCCCTCAGTTTATTTTTCTCTTCTACACCCCTCTCTCTCACTCACAACCCCTCCTTACTCTTGCATTTCTCTAAATCAATAGAGTCTTTGCTTCTTTTCTTTTTCCTTGGTTTTCAATTAGAAGCCATCTAGAGCGAGACGTGCGTTGAAAACGCAGTCCGTGGGCACATTTTTCACTCCCACCGCTTTTTCACACATTCCTCGCCGAATCTCACGCACAAACCTCCAACAACAACCTCATTCAATCCTCTACAAAGAGTCCAACGGCTGCGACATGCCCGCTGTCGATACCATGACTTCCACTCCTGCCACCTCCGCAAAGGAGACCAAGCAGTCCCTTGCCACCCTCGAGTCGCTGTTGCAGCAATTGTCCATCTCAAAAGCACAAGATGAGGCCAACGCAGCCGCAGCAAATGTTGCCACCCTTCTAAACGGCCCCATCGAAGAGCACGCTGTGCCTCTCAAGGCTGTTGAAGTCTTCAAGAAGCAACTTGCCAACAAGAAGGATGCTCTCGTTCGAGAGCGTGCTGTCGATGGCATTCGTGCCATTGCAGCCCACTCCACCATTTCTCCTGCTTTTGAGCCATATCTGATTTCACTTCTGCCCCTCACACTCGCCGCAGTCGGTGACAAGATGGTTCCCGTCAAGAACGCTGCGCAGGCCGCATCTCTCGCCATCGTCAAAGCCATCAACCCCAATGCCGTCAAGGCTGCTCTTCCTCACATTCGAAACTCCATCATCACAGCCCAGAAATGGCCTGAAAAGGCTACAGGTCTCGACTGCGTTGAGGCTCTTGTCGAAACTGCCCCCACTCAACTGGCCTACCTTGTCCCTACCCTGATTCCCATCGTTTCCGAGTCGATGTGGGACACAAAACCAGAAATCAAGAAGAAGGCTTATGGCACAATGGAAAAAGTCTGCAAGTTGATCGAAAACAAGGATATTGATCGTTTCATCCCTGAACTGATCAAGTGTATCGCTAAGCCTGAGAACGTGCCCGAAACCGTTCACTTGCTCGGTGCCACTACTTTCGTCACTGATGTGCATGAGCCCACTCTCGCCATCATGGTTCCTCTCCTTGAGCGTGGTCTTGCTGAGCGTGAGACAGCCATCAAGCGAAAGTCTGCTGTCATTGTTGACAACATGTGCAAATTGGTCGAGGATCCTCAGATTGTTGCTTCTTTCTTGCCTAAACTGATGCCTGCTCTTATCAAGAACTACGAGAACTTGGCTGATCCCGAAGCTCGTGAGAAGACCAAGCAAGGTCTTGATACCCTCAGACGTGTTGGTGCTGTCAAGGAAGATGGTACTTTCCCCAAGATCTCCACTGCTGGTGAGATCTCTACCGTTTCTGCCCTCCTGAAATCGATCATCGATCAAAATCACAAGTCTGCCGGTCACGAAGTCGTGATCGAATATGTTTCCGCCATTGCTGGCCAGCTTATTGATGAGAAGGTCGTTGACCTCCCTGACTGGATTTCCAACACTGTTGAATACCTCAAGTCTGTTGTCGGCGAGTCCAACGCACAATCTACCGTTGAGCAACTGCGAAAGCGTGCTTGCCCCAACATCGAGGATGAAGCTGAGCCAGAACCCGATGAGGAAGAAGGCGAGGATCTTTGCAACTGTCAATTCAATTTGGCCTACGGTGCTAAGATTCTTCTCAACCAAACTCATCTCCGTCTCAAGCGTGGTCAGCGTTACGGTCTTTTGGGACCCAACGGTTCCGGCAAATCTACTCTCATGCGTGCTATCAACAACGAGCAGGTTGAGGGTTTCCCCAAGCAGAATGAAGTCAAGACTGTGTTCGTTGAGCACGATCTTGATGCTGCTGACACTGAACTCACCGTGATTGGCTGGACCATGATGAAGTTGGCTCAGGTCAACATCGACACCGCCCAAAGTGAAGTCGAAAAGAGCCTGGTCGAATTCGGTTTTTTGCAGGAGCAACTCGAGGGTCCCATCACTGCCCTGTCTGGTGGCTGGAAGATGAAGCTGGCTCTTGCCCGTGCTGTCTTCGAGAAGCCCGATATTCTTCTGCTCGATGAACCTACCAACCATATGGATGTCAAGAACGTTGCTTGGCTCGAGAACTACCTGACCAACTCTCCTTGCACATCCATCATCGTTTCGCACGACTCGAAATTCTTGAACAATGTCATCCAGCACGTCATCCACTACGAACGCTTCAAGCTGCGCAGATACAAGGGTAACTTGACCGAGTTCGCCAAGCGAAACCCAGCTGCTCGTTCCTACTTCGAACTTGGTGCTTCTGAGATGGAATTCAAATTCCCAGAGCCCGGTTTCCTTGAGGGTGTCAAGACCAAGGCCAAGGCCATTGTCCGTGTCAGCAAAATGACCTTCCAGTACCCCGGTACCCCCAAGCCCCAGATCTCCGACATCACCTTCCAGGTGTCTCTGGGCTCGCGTATTGCCGTCATCGGTCCCAACGGAGCTGGCAAGTCGACCTTGGTCAACGTCCTGACTGGAGAATTGATTCCTACCGAGGGTGAGGTCTACCAGCATGAAAACATTCGTATTGCCTACATCAAACAGCATGCCTTCGCTCACATTGATAACCATCTCGACAAGACCCCCTCCGAGTACATCCAATGGCGATTCCAAACTGGAGAAGATCGTGAGACCATGGATCGCGCCAACAAGATCGTCACTGAAGATGACGAGAAGGCCATGGACAAGATCTACAAGATTGATGGTACTCAACGTCGTGTCATTGGCATTCACTCCCGAAGAAAGTTCAAGAACTCGTACGAGTATGAGTGTTCTTTCACCCTTGGTGAGAACGTTGGCATGAAGAACGAGAAGTGGACTCCTATGATGACTGCTGACAACGCTTGGATTCCTCGATCAGAAATTCTCGCCTCGCATCAAAAGTTGGTTGCCGATGTTGATCAGAAGGAGGCTTTGGCCAGCGGTCAGTTCCGACCTCTGATCCGAAAGGAAATTGAACAACACGGTGCCAACTTCGGTCTCGACGCCGAACTCATCTCTCACTCCCGCATGCGTGGTCTCTCCGGAGGTCAGCGTGTTAAGGTTGTCCTCGCTGCCTGCACATGGCAACGCCCTCACTTGATCGTTCTTGATGAACCTACCAACTACCTCGATCGTGACTCTCTAGGTGCCCTTTCTAAGGCCCTCAAGGTCTTCGAGGGTGGTGTGGTCATCATCTCTCACAACGCCGAATTCACAGAATCCTTGACCAGCGAAGTATGGTCCGTCATCGACGGTAAGATGACACCATCCGGCCACAACTGGGTGACAGGTCAAGGTACTGGTCCCCGTCTGACCGAAAAGGGTGACGAGGAAGACAAGTTCGATGCTATGGGCAATAAGATTGAAGGCAACAAGAAGGCCAAGAAATTGACTTCATCCGAGCTGCGAAAGAAGAAGAAGGACCGCATGGCACGCCGCAAGCGTGGTGAGGAGGTCTTCACTGATGAGGACGAGTAGATGTCAACTTTCTACTTGGATCACAATACTCACGACTCCTCTTTCTTCGCGATAACAGCACAGCATATCAAAGTGGCGCCTGGAACAGAGTGATATGACTCGCATGTTTCGATGAAGAGTGGCGTCATTGTTTTCAGTTCGGAGTTGGGGCAGGTTTTTTACAAGTGAAATCATTTTCTTTTATGAGCGCACGATTGAATAGGAATGGGTTAATATCTGTGCCGAAACCAGTTCAGATACCCCTGCCGCTTGGTCCAAGTGGCGAGATAGACAAATGACCATGGTCATAGACATAGAGATTGGGGTATGATCAATAGAGTGTCGAAAATTGACAATAAAAAGTTCTCCAAAATTCAAAATTGTCACATAATGTTACCTTCACCTTCAAGATTTGCTCTCTTTACACGAAATATATACTGGCCTCCCACCATGACTCTCGATGGATACTGATCAATATCCTACACGCGTGTCGCTACAATCACACTCTACCCCAGCCTATCCATCGAAGTCGGTATTTTGTCCTCCTCATAGGCTCACGTTTGGCAATTCACACAGCCCATGGCAAAATCCTTTATGGGTCGATCAAGCCACGGCGACCACCACTGAGTCGTTGTACTAGTCAATATTCTTCTCGAGCTCCTCCCCCACCCCCAGCTCCGCCCTTCAAAATCATGGGCTTTGAATCATTCTGCCACTTGCAAGGCTGTTGTGGATATGGGGGTATTTCCTGACTTAATACATTGCGAAGCTAGTATATAGGCATCCCGAAGAATTTGGATCTCGGGAACGAGGTGCTTTGAACCTGCCGGCGGAATACACTCCGTACTCAGATGATACATGCGTTCTCACGCTCCATTCTTGGAATACTTTCACTGGTGAATACACAGCCTTCAAGTCATCCAGATATCTATGATGGCTACATCACGGGCCCCATTTTATCACCTGGTGGTGTTGCTCTTTCTCAGACTCTCTAAAGCTACATGATGAGACGATCTCACGCAAGCTGGGGGTTCTCCAGTGTTGACTCCAGCCTACAAGGCCCGGTTGAATAGGTTGTGGCCTGATGTTGTCTATCATGGACCTAGACTTGGTTTTAATCTTGGAAACCTAAATCGTCAAACCGTGATGTATCGCTAACAGCGCTAGGGCGGAATAAACCCACTCTGGTCAAGATCACCAATATTCTAACCTTTACGGAAAACCCCCAGATGTACTGGGCACGTGGGTCGTCTGAGGTTTCTTCACACCCACCTGCAAGCTTGGCGACCCTCGGCCCCTCGGATCCCTATGCAGCTCTGCTTCGATTGTATCTGGCTTTCACAAATACAATAGCGGACATGTTGTTCGTCTGGGAAGTGTAGCGTGACACTTTCGCTAAAAGAGTCCTTCAATATAGAAAGATTAATCAAAGAGACTTATTAAGGCCCGAAGGCCGTCGGAACAAGCACCATTGCTTCAATCATGCGGGGGGATTATGTTTTCTCGCTTCCTGTGTAGTAACACCCACACCAAAGGGGTCATGATTTCGCACCCACAGATTGCCGGGCCATCTGGGCCATGGTTGTTACAGGGTGGAGGTTTTCCGGGTGGTGGGCAAACCCAACGAACGCGGAGTCTCCAGAATTCGGCACATTGGACACCCACCCTGATTCAGACCTAAGCAGAGACTTTTGTGGCGAAGGAACGGCAGCCCTCCTATCAGCGTCTCTACGTTTTGGATTCGTCTGTGATCTCTCTAGTCGGGATTTCGCCATGGCTGCGAAAGATGGATGGGGCAGGCAAGGACGGATGGTTCCAAAGAGCTAAATAGTACAACAGGCTGTCGATTCCTCGCACTTGTCAGCTTCTCTCTTTTCTCTCAACTTTTTGCGGGTTTGAGCGCTCGATCGTTTGCCGAGACATTGAAGATCGCTACCCTCCTCCCTTCCCCATCCTACACTGGCGATTCAGAAGGTTGTCTCTTATCATCAACGAAGCACTAAAGACTCGCCGCACTTTTTGGAACCCTATTCAACAAGATGGGCTCCATCGATTATAACGCTTCTAGCAATCAATATGCTCACCCGCTTGTCTCTGAGCGGGCTGTTGACGAGCCAAGGCCGTTGAAGGTCGTTTACATCGGTGCCGGCATCTCTGGTATTTGTGCAGCCATTCAATTCCCTAGATATGTACCAAACATCGAGCTTGCGATCTATGAGAAGAATGCAGATGTCGGAGGAACGTGGTTCGAGAATAGGTAAGGCCTTCATTCCCTCGTACCTTTGGAACTCCTTTACTCTGTGCTAACTCACGCTCATAGATATCCTGGTTGTGCGTGCGGTATGTTGTAACTAGAACAAGCACAAAGCGTATGAGCCATCCATACTAATGAGTTGCCCTTCTAGATATTCCAGCTCACTCTTATCAACTGAGTTGGGAGTCCCAGGTTGACTGGTCCAAATTCTACGCCGGAGCTGCAGAAATTCTGGAATACTGGAAGAAGGTCGTTGAGAAATACAACCTCCGCCGGTTCATGAAATTCAACCACAAGTGCATCGAGGCACGCTGGAACGAGGAGACGTCCAAATGGCACGTGAAGCTGGAAATCGTCGGAACCGGTGAGATCGTGGAAGACATTGGAGATGTCCTGATGGTCGGTCTAGGCGCTCTGAACGACTGGAAGTGGCCTGATATTAAAGGTCTTCACGAGTTTAAGGGCAATCTTCTCCATAGTGCTAACTGGGATACGACTTATGATGCCACCGATAAAACGATTGCCGTTATTGGCGCCGGTAGTTCTGGAATTCAGATTGTCCCTGCTTTACTGCCAAAAGTCAAGGCCATGGACCACTATGTCCGAGGTCGGACTTGGATTGCAGCCACATTCGGTAACGAGGTCGTTCGAGCGAGGAACAACGGTAAAGATGGAAATTTCGAATACACACCTGAAGAGATCGAACTGTGGAAGAACAATCCTGACGAATATATCAAATACCGGAAAGCTCTCGAGTGCGGAATGCAGGGAGGCTTCGCCGTAACGCATCGAGGCTCAAAGGAGCACGAGGAGGCCTGGGCTTTATTCGCCGCTGATATGAAGAGGAGGTTAGAGAAGAAGACCCAGATCGCCGAGCACCTGATTCCTGAATTCCCTCCACTTTGCAAGCGATTGACGCCTGGCCCGGGTTATTTGGAAGCACTTGTTGCTGATAACGTGGAAGTGATCCCAAACCCCATCTCTCACATTGATGCCACTGGCATTACGACTGCGGACGGAGTGCACCGGGAGGTCGACTCGATAATCTGCGCCACCGGTTTCGACACATCTTACCGCGGAAGATTCCCGATCTACGGCCGTGGAGGCGTGAACCTCCAGGATCGGAATCTCAAGGTCCCAGAATCCTACCTCAGTCTCGCCGTCGACGGCTTCCCCAACTTCTTCCAATCCCTCGGTCCCAACGCTGGTCTAGGCAATGGAAGTCTACTCGTGGTGATTGAAGCCGTGTGCCTGTACGTCGGCCAAGTGCTCGAGCGACTATCAAAGGGCAACGTCAAGACCATCGAACCCAAACGAAAAGTGGTTGAGAACTTCACCAAATACTGCGACGCATTCTTCAAACGCACCGTCTTCTCGGCCGAATGTGGCAGCTGGTATAAATCCTCACCACCCGGCGCCACGGAAGAAGAGCGCAAGAACGGCAGAGTCACCGCGCTATGGCCAGGAAGCAGTATCCATGCCGCGAGGACACTGGAGAAGCCTCGCTTCGAGGACTTTGAAATGACCACCGTCGACGACAATGAGTTTGGCTGGATCGGCAATGGTTGGTCGGCCGCCGAGCGGGCTAATGACCCTGAAGGACTCAGCTGGTATATCAACGATACCAGATTCATACATCATAAACTGGAAGAGCAGACACCACTTCAAGTGGAGAACGGGAAGGTCGTCACCAAGGAGGAGAACGTCCCAAATGGGGAACATGCCACAAACGGAGAGACGAAAGAGGAGACGATTGTGTCAGAATACAAGATTCCCGAGGGCGTCGCTGCTACATAGAGAAAGAGAACGAATTTCATTAGAGAGCTTATATCTTCCAACTGTACAGGTCATTTCTGGGAATCACAAGGTGTTCCGATCATTATTGATAGCAAACTCTAGCAGCCAAGAATTATATGGTTTCAACCAACTTTGAAATCCCAATCTCGTGAGTGACTTCCAAGCTCGATCTCTCTCTCCAGCGGGCATTTCCTCCGGCCGGCAGCAACTACGAATTCCACGGGCCAAATGGGCATCTCCGTGGAGAGTGAACATCATTATCTGGCTATGATTGGCTAGGATCACTTATCTCGCAAACAGACATGTAGGCATCGAACTCATGATCGAAACGATACACGGTCCAAAGTGCTCACTAACGAGACAGCGTGGTCGGCGATTGTACACTGATCGAGCAACCACGTCGCAATGACCAAAACTCGCCATTCACACCTGTATGGCACCATCATCACGACAGCAGTCGTGGTCTTTATTAGCATCGGCTATCTCCTAGCACCATGGTTTCATCAGCTCTCCTCCGTTGATCCACAAGGAATATCAATAGCAGCCTTCCGACATGCACGCAAGCAGTTCAAAGCACCGGCGAAGAACCCATGGGCTGAGATCGACGAGGGGGAAGCGGCACAGATCCACTCTCTGGTCCAGCAGTCCGTAAACTTGACCGACTCGCTCAACGGCGTCGGTGCTGGTGACAAGAAAGTCATCTATCGGATTGAGACCCTTCGTCCCAACAAGACCGATGTCGTGGACTATCTCGACAACAATGGCCCTCAACCGGAACGATGGGCGCGGGTTGCCATGCTCGAGTTTCGTCACAATGATGCCTTCAACGTCGACTACATGGTGGGCCCTCTCCCAATAACAAACGCAACCAGTATGCTCCCACTGAGCTACTGCTACAACTCCGGAAAGAACTGGGTTCAGATGCCTCTTTCCGACGGTCTAGACCTGATGGCTTGGGCACTTAAGATCGGCGAGCGTGTGACAGACATCACACAGGATCTACTAGGCGCGACCGTGAACGCTCTCGACCCATCTGACCCAGACGCGCTCGTTATGGGATGGAGGCCCGCCCTGATCGAATCAGGTCGCATGGTGCACTGGCTTGAGTTTTTCGGGCCAGGCATGAAGTCCGATGGGCGGACATTGCTTCCTCAGGGGCTGTATGTCAAGTTCGACACGCCGTCCACGAACCACCAAGACTGGGTTGTGGGCCAGTGGTTCTACAACGGCCTCCTATACGACAACGACACAGTCCTCCGGGAAGCCATGAGATCCCCGACGTTTGAACGCTTGAACCTCAACCACGATGGCGAGTGGACAGACACCGAGGACTTCGGCAGCTCAATGGCTGAACGAGACATGCCACCCCCCTTATCGGTCCAGCCCTACGGCCCACGCTACCACCTCGACCGTGACGAATCATATGTCTCGTGGATGGGGTTCTCGTTCTACCTGTCAACGAACCAAGCGACAGCCCTCTCCCTCTTCGACATCCGCTACAACTCGACACGGCTAATCTACCATCTCGGTCTGCAGGAAGCATTAGCACACTATGCCGGCACGGAGCCGCTGCAGTCCGGCTTGGAGTTTCTGGACACGTTCTTCGGCATGGGCAGCATGATGTTCAGCCTCGTGCCGGGCGTCGATTGTCCGGGGCACGCCGAGTATCTCGACATGTCGTACCATAAAGGTGGGAAGATGTATACCAACAGAAATGCCATTTGTGTCTTTGAATTCACCTCGGATGCGCCTTTGCAGAGACATACCTCCGCGTATAGCGTGAGTGTCAGTAGGAATACTTATCTCGTTGTCCGATCCGTCAGCACAGTGGGTAATTATGACTACACTATTGATTATGTGTTCTACCTGGACGGCTCTATCGAGGTAAAGGTACGGGCCAGCGGCTTCATTTTCTCAGCCTTCCATGCCGAACCACGTTCATCGCTTTTGACGAGGGACGACAGCACGAGTGAATACGGCTACCGCATCCACCCGGCAGTGCACACCTCAATGCACGACCACGTCATTTCTTTCCGCGCAGATTTCGACATCTGCGGACCCAACAACACCCTGATCCGTACAGCCATCGAGCCCATAAGCCGAAAATACCACTGGGACGAGCCGGAAGTCCCCGGTGTCCGAAACACGATGCACATGGTACACTCGGCCATCAAGCACGAAACAGGCCTCGACTGGCCCACCAACGGACGCGAAATGTACCTGATCACAAACACCAACGCAACCAACAAATGGGGCGAGACCCGCGGCTACAGGATCCTACCTGGCTCAGGCATATCGAATCCGTCGCACCTGACGATTCTGAACTCAACGGCACTGGGACGATCCGCCGCGTGGTCCGCATCGGACGTGTGGATCCTGCGGAACCATCCAGACACGGAGCCGGCGTCGGCACACCATCTGAACTACATGGACCCGCTGACCCCACTGGTGGACTTCGAGAAGATGGTGAACGGCGAAAACATCGAGGACGAGGATCTCGTCGTCTACTTCAATCTGGGCGGGCACCATGTGCCGACCAGCCAGGATGTGCCGAACACGCTGATGCACACGAGCGCGAGTTCCGTCATGTTCGTGCCGTTCAATTACTTTGACGCCGATGTCAGTCGCGCTGTTAGGCAGGGTGTCAGGATCGATCGACGGCCCAGCGATAATGATCATGGGACAAAGAAGAAGGAGAAGGAGAACGGCGACGGTAAAGAGGAAATCAAAAGACCCCGTCACGTTCCTCGAGAATCAGAGGTGGATGGGGAAGTGGCCTACTTTGGTGCGCATTATACTTCGCCCCTGAAGGTCGAGCACGAGATGCTGTCGCCTGATCTGAGCCATTATCTCAAGGAGCGGGATGAAGGGGAGGTCGGTGGGTGGAAAACGGTCCGGAATCATGTTGGTGGTGGCTTGCCTGGGTTGTTTGCTGGGAAGGAACGTGGGAGTCATGGTGAGGAGGACGGCGAGGGGAGGGAGAGATGGGATTGGTAAGTAGTCAGATGTCTGTTTGATCGAGCTGTTTAACTCAACTTTACGATGGGATGTGGGTTTCTGGGTTGCTTCTGTGTTGATATTTGGCGATGGAGCTGGCGTGGTCTCGATCAGCAACGAGAATGTTTGATATGAGATTAAATAACGACTTGATGAACAATAATGTCAGATATAACACGGGGATCCAGACCTTAGTCTAGTAAATCCCTAGCTACGGACACAGCTTGAAGGTCTATTTGTTCAAGGGGTGATGATCAGCATACGACTTCTTCCTGATCTCGAAGTATTTGAGCTGAAGAGCAGAAGAAGCAGGTCCATGTCCTTCTTTAGATACATATTACCATTTGTTTCCCAATTTAACACCTGTCTGCGAAAGCCTCAAAACCAGTATTGATACGTTGAACGGTATGTTCCCCCATAACATACATACCACGATCCAAAACCCAGCTTCCAAAAATCAAACCTGAACTGCCTTTCCTTTGCCCTTCCAATCCGCGACCCTCTCCCTCCTACCATCCCCCGAGTCAACTACATTCAGACGACGCAAAAGAACCGGACTCGAAAGCGACATCTTATCACGCCTGCTTCCATCACCCGCAGCACCCCGTTTACTGGCATTGAACCAGCGCTGGAAGACAATGCTGCCGCGTTTTTTCCGTGTGCTCGCGCGGTCGCCGTCGAACATGTCCGCGCCGTCTGAGTCGCCGGTGCTCCGTTCCTCCCTGGTCAGATATGGAAGCGGGTTGAAGATGGATCGGCGCCGGACGAACACGGAGCTGTCGGATAGATCGACGCGGCGTCCCGGGTGTGGGTCATGATGGGATTCTTCTTCGATGGTGTCGAGGCTGGCGCTGGGAGAAGTTCGGACTCTGTTGTGCCGTGGATTCTGAGAGGTACTGCTGTTGTCGGGTTCGTCGCTCATGCCTTTATCAATGCTGAAGTGTCTGGGCGCGGTCGAAGAAATCGTTGTCCTTGCGGATGCGGCAGCGGCGGGACCATCATTGATTTGGCTTTGAGTGTTGTAGGCCAATATGAAATGGGAAGGGACCTCGGCGATTTCGTCTTCAAACCCATCTTCCTCCTGATAGTCCTCTTCGTCTTCATCTCCAGGGCCGTCGACAGATGGAACCTCGAGAAATGGTCCGAACGAATGAGACGAAGGGTTTGATCCGCTAGCCTTGATCACCGGCATAAGCGGCGGCGAACGAATGGGCGACACAACCTTGCCACCATAACCTCCGATTTCGAGATCGAGATTGACATCAATTGAAGCCCTCTTCTTCCCCATCGCCGCCAGGAGTTTCGCTCTCCCACCACCGCTACTTCCTCTCCGAGAGCCACGCACATTTTCACCCCCTACAGGCACAGGCGGTCCACCCTGCGTATCGATCCCCGCTTCCTCACCATACAGCCACAGCAGATTATGCCAAAGACCTCTGGCAGTATCGTGCTGGCGGACATGAGGAATGACATTCATGGCTAAGGTACCTCTAATGAACCGGCAGGTATCGGTGTTTGCCATGACCCAGCGCTCGCGTGTCCAAGCTGTTTCTGCAGAGTCGTTCCTCGCTTTTGGCTCCGTCCAACCACCGAGGATCAGACCGGTTGACTCGGGGTCGGAGAACAGGTATGGTTTGATCGCCGAGAGCCATAGTTCGAAGTTGGATTTGCCGGCGAGTTGACAGAGAGCGGAGGCTGCGGGAAAGCGGTGCATGGATGGGGAAGGAGGACGAGAATGAGGAGTGATGGAGTTGATTGTTGAGATGGGAGAGACGGGGCACGACATTGAGGAGACTATTGGAGTTTGCTTCGTGTTGTGTAGGCTGTGGGAATTTTTGAACGATTGCTTGGTGATGGGCAGACGAAGGATGACGGATTAACGAACAGCTTTTTGAGAGCAGTGTGAGAGGATTTACAAGTAGTATGTACAGAGGTATGTTCCCCTGATTCAGATTTGACCATTTTTATATCAATATAACAAGAATTGAAGAACCCAAAATTGGTGTCTGAGACCATGTTTCTGAGTGTGTGCAGTTGGCTTATCTAGCACAAAGAATAGATCTCTGCCCAGGCGATGTCGATGTACACAGAAGTTCGACATGAGAGGTGCCAATTGATAACCATCGGAAGTGGTTCAACATATGGAAATTTGCTGAAAGTAGCCAGTCTAGCTCTTTTAGAAACCCGTAGAGAGTTGTCCATTTCCCCTCAGAGTTCCAGTATTGGTCCGCTTACCTTGCAACTGTAGACACGTGGCTAACCTCTCCGTCAGAGACACCATTGACGGGCCACGATTCGGATATCTTTGAACAGTCATTTCCACGGCGCGTCGAAGGTATGCCTCTGCAACAACATACTCGCCACGATTGAGACTCAAGGAGCCAAGCTGCTCACAAGCCCATGCTGTCGTGCCACCGCTGTTTGCGTTTGCCATGTCCGAGGCTTCGTTGTCGAGGATCCTGTGCGCCACAGATTCCACCCCATATTCCTCGCCTTGATCGGCAAAGATCCGACCTAATGTGGCCAGCGCAGTTCGATAGCGTTTCTTCCTCATCGTTTGACTGTCCTTGACGAGCTGCTGGCAAAGCGTGAGGGCCTGTGGGAACTTCTTGCGCTTGCGCAGCATATCAATCTGGTCGACTCGTAGGGCAAACAATGATGAATTATCCAGTTTCCGTCTGGACTTGTAGCCCTGTGTCACCAGATCCATGATCGATTCTACTACGAGGTCGCGGATATCGGCTGTGGCGATCATCCCGAACGCGAGGGCGAGAGGATGTTCAGATCCGACGACGCTACTCGCCATTGAGGAGATAAAGTCCAGTAGATGGTGCTCCAGTTCATTCAGACCTTGCCAGGATGTTGCGAAATGGAGGAGGACGCACGACAACAGGTGAAGCGGGGCCGACATTAAGAGAGGCTGTACCATCTGACAGCATTTGTCGAATGCCTTCCATGCGTGCATCGAGTTTCCGGATTCGATGTGATGGAGTCCATGATAGAGACTAAGCCAAAACTCGGAAGCTTGATCAATACGACCTGTTCTGACTTCTTCGGAAACTGTCCTGGGAAACCGAAGGACAAGTTCTTTCACCTTGAGGGGTTTGAATGAAGTGAAGTGCCATCGAATAGCATCTCGAGTGTGAAATAGGGTGGACTCAACGGCATAAAAGTCGGTTGGCGGGCTCAAATGTCGGGTTATTGTTACATTACTCGGGTCGTTGTCATACTGCAGGGACATTTCATCCTGGTCGGAATTTGAGGCAGAATATCTCCACGGGCATAGCGTACCGGTCGCAGTTGAAGGGGAGTCTTCTTTGATGGGCGGTTCATCGATCGTTATATCATCCTCTTCAGGGCTGTGTGACAAGGTCTCCAGCAATCGAGAAAATCGTTTATCAGTACGATAGTGGCGTTTGACTCTGTCCAACTTGACCGGCCGACCTTGAAATGATAGAGAGTGAAGATCTTGTCCCGAACTTACACATGCCTTGACCTTTTTGGCGATGATTTCCTTATCCTTGGCCTTGTAATTCTTGCGGATCTTCCAGTCGAAGATACGTCTTTTGAACATCTTCTCACTGAGATGGTGAGTCAGCTTTCCATCAATGATTTCGACGGTACATACCTCGCATTAAAGCCATGGCTTTTCGACAGGATCTCTCTGACATCTTTCAACTTCCGGTTTTCTACAATGTATAGTTGTGTGAAAATCTCCTTTATGTCGCTCCATTGCGCTGAGGATGGACCTATGATCCTCCACTGCTGGTTTACTACTTGATCTGAAATGGCGCCACCATTGAATGTGTTGTTCATGTTCAGCCTCAGATGGTGGCTCTTCTGAGCCCAGTCCGAGAATTAGGTGCTTGTGGGAGCGCAAAGCAACCGAGTATGCGAACCAGAGATGGTGAGAGCGGCGCGAAGAACTCTGTGGCAGAACCACAGAGCCCGACATTTGTCTTATCATCCTTGATGGAGTACATGTCTGCGTGTTGATTTAATGATGCAAGATGGACAAGTTGAAGGAGGCTGAGGTCTGCCTTGCGGGTGAGACGCATTAGTCCTGCAGTAAAGGAAATTGAAACTTTTGTGGTCTGACAAATGGTTGACATGTCAGACAGTGCCAATTTGTGCCTACCAGCAAATGGACTGACGGTCTGACGAAACCCGTCGAGATTCAAACTCACTTTTCCCGTATCCATTTGGGGGCTGAGCATGTGGTAGCTGCAGTAAGCCGTCATTCCGATGTCTCTGCGGATGGGTTGCCTTGCGCCTCAGGACAATTCAGAGAGGCACTGCTGGCGACAAAGCTTGACTGGCTAATTTGAATTCGATTACTAAGTAGAATCTGAGTTGCTATCTCCAAGTAATAGAATTCAATAAGAACGATACGGGTGATGGACGCTTGCATGCTAAGTTACTCGCGATATGCGGATGTGATTCAGGAACGTTGTCTCCCACTGAGAAAAGTCAGAGACAGTTCTGTAAAATGTTGTGAGACGCTCTCTGGATATTGAACTACCTAAGAGTCGATCCACTGCCTAAAATTGAGGGCCAGGATCAAGAGACTACCAGACAACTACTATGTCCACTTGGAATGCCACCAAGGCCACTTTCATATTGCACATCAATGAGCGAGCCTTGCGAAGACTTCGTGGTACTCCGTACAAATCCATCATCAGGGGTATTTCGTTCGTCAATAATGATAAGATTTTATTTCATGCAACGACTAACAGGAACTCCATCATAAGCGAGTGTATCCATTGCTGTACAAGGTGGGCGGAACGAGAGGATTGACTCCATTCGTAAGTTTAGGTGGTGATGAAGAAGGAAACCCGTTCGTTTGAGGTGAATGGGCAGTTGGGGTGTATGATCCAATCGTCCTCAAACTTATGGCTTGTTTCTTGAGGCTCAATGAGTTCAGATGAGGATGCCGGAAGAGTTGATCGTTGAAGTCAGAAAGCTAATCACGTTAGTAAACCATAGAAAAATTCTCCTGGAAAATTATCATACCTTCACCCAGAAGAGTTCCTCCATGGCAAAAAACTTGGGTCTCTCTTCCTCCTCCTTCTGGTTCGCTTGTTTGATCGTCGTGTTCAGAGAGTTAGTATCGTAGTCGTATGAGAGCATATTCCTTGATACTCTCCATAAGCTCTGCCGTTGTGCAGGCGTCACAGGCCTCTTGTCGAGTGATGTGTAGTTACGCAAATTGAGATCTTTGGTTGCCAGCAATCCGGCAACTTGAAAGTTGGGTACCCACAGGCTATCATGTTCCACAACGGATGATTCATTATCAAGCTGGCTCAATTTCGCCGTGAAAAGGGGCAAAAACCTCGAAAGCCAGGGTACGCTCTTCGACGTTGATGGTTCATTGTCGATGAGAAAAGCGGTGCGACACAACAGGGCAGGGAGTGCTTCGCGTCGCCGTCGTTCGATTTCAAGTCGTGCTAATCGAAGCTGTTCCTCTTGACGGCGTTGCCTCTCCTCCAGCTCCCGTCTGATGCGCTCCTGCCGTTCCTCTTCCTCTTTTCTTTTTCGCTCGGCTTCTTCCTCGGCTTTTTTGATGCGTTCTTTCTCCTCTGCAATTCTCTGTTCTTCGGCGGCTTTCTCAGCAGCAAGACGATCTTCTTCTGCTCTTCTGGCTTCGGCAGCTTTACGTTCCTCCTCTTCTCTCTTCAGCTCGAGTTCAGCTTCCGTGGGACCCGTGTCCACAGGCTCCGACTTTACTGGGACTTCCACTTCCTCGGCAAGGGGCTTCGCATGTTTGTCGTTGGATTCTTTGCTAACATCATGGCCATTATCAGCTTGGGAAGTCTCTTCTGGTTTATCAACAAGCATTTCGTCTCTAGATTTGTCGCTTAGAGGAACATTCTGATCGTTTTTTGAAAGCTTCCGGCGCTTTGGTCTTTCATCTTCACTTGGGATGTGTTCGGAGTTTTGTTCAACTGAGGAGCTCAAGGATTGATTGTTCCTCTTCTTCGGACCTGGCCGTGACTCTTCAGGGCTGCTTTCCACCACAGTCCTTCGTTTCTTCGTGATACTCCGACCAGTTCCCTCTTCTTCAGCAACGTCTGCAGGTGGTGAAAAGCTCTCCCTTTGTCGTTTGAGTATGGTGCTCGATCTCGCTTCAGTTTTCACTGCAATGATAGAGTCATCTTCTCCAGAAGCTTCCTCCTCCACTATACTCTTGCGCCGACGATGTTCCTTCCCACTCACAAGACGTCTTCTCCGATGAGCGCTGTCGAGGTCCAACTGGGAAGCCTGTGGCAAGTCACTCTGACTCCTTCTCTTAACATGACTTTTTCTGGGTGCGGCGACCGTTTGATCTTGATCTGAAGAAACAGCCACTGCCGGATCACCAATTTCTCGTCGTGCGGGTAGATGCTTACGTCGATTACCACCATCGGTTGAGCCAGACTCACGGTCCCGACCTTTCTGCGAGGATTGTGGCGATTTATTGGGCAGCGATTTATGTGTCAGAGTGGGACTGGAAGAGGTGGAATTGCGCAATTTGCTGGAAATCGGAGACTGCGAACGGCGAACTGGCCGGCTTTTCTGCTTGTCAGAATCCCGAGTCATTCTTGGAGACGCTCCCTTCCTGGATCTTCCAGTGGCATGTTTATCGTACGCAGATTTCAGAATATCAACTTCCTTCTGCCACTGCTCACCCTTTCTCTCTGATGCGATCTCGTAGTAGGACTTCCCTTTAAGAATCCTTTTTGTCGGATCAAAGCCTGACTGCTCGACAAGCAATTTTACTACCTCGGGATGCCCGCGTCCGATTGCTGCCAATACCGGTGTATTGTATCCCGCCTTGAGATGGCGAAGCGGATCTGGGTCGGTCTCTGGGTCGCCCATGCCAAGCAAGTATTGAAGGACTTCTTCATGTCCAGCTTTGGCAGCAGCAATCAGCGACTCTGTTTCTGCCTTTTGCAGAATGTTGAGGATATTCGCCACACCCTGAACATCACCCTTTGCGGCCAGGCGAGTCAGATTCTCCTGTGTATTTGCTTGCCAGAGGAGATCATTACGCGTTGATTCGCTTCGTCCAGTTCTTCGTCGTTGAGTTGGATTCGGTGGGCTACGAGGGCCGTTGATCGGAGGAGAATCTCGTGGGCTGGCTGCTGAGGCCGCTCTGGAGGAGTTTCGGTCTTGCGCGATTTCAACCTGGTCACTGGATTTCCGTCGGTTGGTGTTGTTCTCCCGTGCATCAGCGAGGAGCCTTCTAAGCTCTGCGTGGTTCGGGTCGTCCAGAGGAACAAGCTCATATGGTTCATCGCCCTTAGCGTTGCCCAATCGAGGATTTGCTCCATGCTGAAGCAGGAGCCGAACCACCTCAAGGTGCCCATTTTCCACCGCGTCGATAAGTGGTGTTTCCTTGTCGATATTTCGTGTATCCACATCTGCATTGCTTTCCAATAGAAACTTAACGATATCCTCAAATCCCATCAGAGATGCGATTTGTAGGGGTGTGTTTCCCGCATTGTCAGCTAGATTCAGATCTTGCGGTCGTTCTGCAAACTTTGCTTGTGCAGAGGCAAGATCGTTGGCGTTGCAAGCCCTTGAAAGCGCAGTACGACCGTTTTTGTCCCGAATTTTGCGGGGACCTGAGGCTTTTGCGGGAGACATGGCGTCATGGTCTGCAGAAGACAATTTATTGAGGGGTGGTCTAGTTTGAGGAGAGTCGGAATCAGAGTCAGATGGAGAAGGCACGCGATCTGCAGAGCCGCTTCTTTTGGTATTGATTGCTGGTGGCCGTCCTCGCTTCTTCCGCTCGACATCGCCAAGAGTTAATTGAGTAGATACGCCACGCCTGTGTTCTCTTCGAACTGGTGGTCTGGGTGATGGCGACCGTTCGTTGGATGAATGGCGGGGATAGGTAGCAGACCTGGTTTCTCGCCGTTCAGAAGAACCAGGATCTGGGCCAGAATTATGAGTTTTGTTGCGATGTTTGCTAATGGGGGGTAATAGGTCGCTGGGGCGGCGTCTGCGGGTTTGGATCTGGACTGATTTGTCCTCGGCATCATCGGAATCAGCCGCAGGATCACTTGGACGTCTCTGCAGGCCTGATCTGGGGTGGTGTAATTCAATGCGACTGGATAAATCTGAATCACTATCTGGAGAATGGGTCGGAGCCCTGGGCGATGATAAAGGTGAGCTATGGCGGCTGGACGAGAGAGAGTTTTCGTCGTCTTTGTGGTCGATCAGACTCCGCTTGCGCTTTCTCGATCGGTTGTCCGAGTCGGTCGCGGTTGCTCTGCTTGGAGAATCATCTTCCTTGGCTCGCTCACGCTCGGTATGTTGAGACCCAGCAACGGAAGTGGTGTCGGCGTTGGTTCGCTGCTTCTCAGGGGATTGGATCAGAGTTTCAGCTTCTGAATCCCCGTCAGCTTCGGCCGCTGCAGCTGCAGCTGCAGCTGCCACCCCATTTTCATTACCAGCAGTATCGATCGTGGCGACTTTGTCCATAATTCGATCTTCAGGTGAACCTACAGCTGCAGGTTCGGACGTGGGTTCTGTTGGATTCGTGTTCGATGGTGTGTGAGAGGGGCTCTTGCTAGCGGACTGAGCAGGTTCGGAGTTTTTGTCGACAGCAACATTCTGAGGCCCTGCAGCAGCGCCGACACCGTTCATGACTGTGTCGACTTCTTCCTCATTCTTTGCCTGATCATTATCGTCGGCCGTTTTGAGGACGGTTTGTGTTGAGAAAGCGGATGGAAAGGGCAGGGAGATCAGAACTCCACCTGCAAGCAAAGCGGTGAAAGTAGTGATCTGACAGGTCGAAATCAGTGGATCGAATTGGTCAAATGGGAGAAGAGAAGAATTCTCAGATGGAAAATGATCGTTAGAGGTCGAATAGTGGGCGGCGCAAGTGGAATGTTGATTGCTGAATTGATGGCTCGAGGGGATGGAAATGGTGGACAGCCAACTTCGAACTCGACTCAGATGAACAGACGAGAGACTCCAGACACAGACACAGACTCGACTTGGACTGGCACTGGCTTGTCAGGCTTGTCGGACTTGGCCACAGCCTACTTCAGGTTAGTGCTGGTTAGTCACCCACCTTCCTAGATTCAGTTGAAGCTGTCACGTGAATCCCAGGCCTCCAAGTTCTTTGGACTCGTACTTCGTAAGCCAGCCTCCAATCTTTGCTGGGCGCCCACATCCTGGCTACCAGCCCCTAAAGTTGCCTTGTCCAGATACCTAGTGCCAGCCTAACTAGGCTGCCCAATGCTCAATAATATTTGATGCCTAACACCGAGCGCCCGTTAACGAGTCTTAGTTGGTGGGTACCCACCAATAAAGGCGGTCAAAGCGGTCATAAGGGGCGCCCCGCTCCAGGTGGCCTTTATCCGAAGGTACTTCATACTTCGTAGCTTCTGAAGTACCCGCAAGGCCCCAGCCCAAATCTCTGTGTGAGCGGTCGGTTCAGCATATTGCTCTGATCGGCATCCAATTTCGTTCTTCTCATCAAACAAGATTTCGCCTCACTCTGTTCCTTTTTTACTCATGCCCGGTACCTCCACTTTCTTGCTTCCTTCGTAAATTGACAGTGCAAGAATCTCACGAAGAACGCACACCATGGACCTCTGAGCATCCCGATTTCCCACCGCCCTCAGCATTATTAGATCTGGCCTTTCCACTACATTGGTGGTCCAAGCACGCCGTGTGACTGGACTTGCACATGTCTTCGTAACAAGCTTTATCGACTCAGGCTAAAAAGGAGATCGAAGATTCGCGGTCCTGGCTGATGGCTACTCTCAATTCGGATTCGCTGGATTCGTTCCCCAGCAATCTGGGCTCTCTCCTCGCTCACAAGCCTGTCTTCGATTTAGTCTCCTGGGGCATCAAAGCATTCTATCTTCTGAGCGCATTCGCAATTCTTCTAGTTCGCTTCACGCCAGATCTCAGGCGACGCTTCCTAGACTATGGCGCTCGTGCTCAAAATGCTTCCGAGACGTCAGAAAGTCCCAAGGGCGACCGCAGACGAACAATTGAAAGGTCTTCGGCCGCTTCGCAGCTTCTCGACTCCTTGGCCAAGCTGACTGTTCCGCACACTTGGTTTACTCACTTCTACATTCTATCTGTGCTCTGTTCAAGTTTGCAATTTCACCATCAGATCAGAATCCACATGTCTCAACGTGCCCGCGTCGCTTCATTCTGCTTGCTGCTTCAAAGTTCTAGAAGGCTGGTCGAATGCCTGACCTACAACCGAAAGAGCAAGTCTCGAATGTGGATCGGTCATTATTTCATCGGCATAGCTTTCTATCTTTTCACCAACATAACTCTCCTCCTTGATGGAGTTGGTTGGGCCGATTGGAATCACCCGGATATCGGTGAGCGATTCAATTCGATGGGAGCAACGGAGTGGGCATTTGCCGCTTTTATTTCGCAAGCATTTATCAGTCAGGCAAAATCACATTACTACCTATTTACACTCGAGAAATACACTTTGCCCGATGAGCTCGGCTTCAAACATTGGATCGCTCCTCATTACATGGCAGAATGCACATTCTATGGGTCACTTAGTGTCATTGCGGCTCCGCCCGATCGCATCCTGAATTGGAACCTATTCTGCGCATTCATCTTTGTGGTGGTAAATCTTAGTGTCACTGCTGAGGGGACCAAGCGGTGGATGCTGTCAAAGTTCCCTGATCGCAGACATGAAATACAATCAAGACGGAATGTATACATCCTGCGGTAAAGCGAACTGCCAAGCTGCACATATGTGCTCTACATTCCCATTCGACAAATCGAAGACTGCCTACGCACAGCAAGGAAGTACTCGACGTAGAAACATGATGGTATTTTGGGGGGGCTATCCTCAGCCATAGCTTGAGGAAGCCATGCCAGACCTTGAATGTCTCTCTAGTAAGTTTGCTGTCCAGCGCGATAGGTTGATCAATCAACTGGGATTTGTGATTTCCCGTAGGGGCAGCCTCGTGATGGTCACGTATCACTAACCTTGATCGTGCCATAAGCGGGTGCCTCAATATGGCTACACTCAATCAGAAATACAGCTGGCGATCGGAAGTATATATATCATCCACAGTAGCTCACTATCCTGTCATAGTGAACCAGTCCATCCTGACAGCTCTCATGGAGGAAAATGAAGAGCCACAAAACGGAGATGTAGGTGGACATTCGCCCTGCTTGCTTACGACGATTCCCAGTCACTGAATTCAACGTGATTCGTGAATTGAGTTCTCTCATGATTCAAACACAATCAATTTTTGGGCGCTTGAGAATTAAAAAGTTGATTGTGGCATGACTTTGCCGCTCCTGTGGATTCTGGCCGTCCAAATCGAGCCTTATAACGGGCCGTTTCATTCAAGAATTGGATGGCAAAATAGGAACCGGATCCCACTACGGCAACTTCCTTGGACATTGTGAACGAGGACGATTTTGGGCACTCTATTCCATCGCAAGACTGAGTGAAGCGCTGGAGTGATGTACTCATAATAATATTGCACCAGCGCATAAGGGCAACGGGTTGTGCTGGTGATCGACACGAGTAAGAAGACTCCATCACCAAAATGAAGTCTTCTAAGACGAAAGCACATCTCACAATGAATCTAACCAGGGGACTTTCCCGCATATCTCTTGAAGGCTCGAGACATTGCCAAAGTTCTGACTAGACAGAATCTGTATCATACCCTCCATGGAGGGTTCCGTGGCGGGATCTTTCCCCGTTCATTTTTATTCGTCCAGCCTCCCTAGTCAAGCTACAACGATCGTCGCAAATGATTAGTTTCTTCCTCAACTCATCCCAGCAACAATAACTTGCTGAACCCTTATAGCCAGTCAGATCATGCAGGACTGCTGCAAGACTCAAGCCCGCATCTCAGGTGCTTTGAATCTAGACCAGCCGACCTGAAGAAGAACAGCACCAGTTACCAGATCCCCGCAATTGCCTCCGATATTGGATGGCGGGGCAGTGGCTTCTGTGACTTGGCTCGTCTGCTAAGCAGCAACTTGCAAACCTTCCTCTAATCTCCTTCTGCATCTTGCCAACTTGCCGTTGCCTACAGTTGGTCTCGCCAGTCATGGTACAATTCGCTGGCGTTTTGTTCAACGGTGCGCTAAAAGTCAAATGCTCTCTTCACTTGCTCAAATGTCATTTTCAGCTGCGCCAGATAGCGCTCTCCCGATATTCAATTGCTCAATCTAGGTCATCTGCACTCTCTTTCTAGTCTTTTTCACTGGCACACAAGCGTTATCCTTCTGCAGCCTCGCCTAGAATACGAGGCCTAAGCCGCAGCAGCAGTCCGAGATGATCGCGACATTGACATACTCAGTTTTCCAGCAAGGTCCTTGTCTTCCTTCCCACCCCGATACTTTCTGTGCGGAAGTGTTACCTCAGTGCTCGGGCTTGTTCTCCATCATCGTTCCGTTGACGAAACCATCTGCTTGACTTATGTTCTCCTGATGCGTAGTCTTTGAGCTGATGAGCCTGTTTGCGACAAGTGACTTTATTAAGCAACATGACTTCGACATTTCGATTCGACCTAGCTTTTGCTCCTGGTGATTCCCTATGTTGTGACTTTTATGACCCAAGACGGCATTTGGATGCCGACTGTAACAAGCTACCTAGCGATTTGACGAGGCTTCTGAAGCACTGGGTAGCCGAGCGAAAGTTACAAAATGATCCTTCGACCACGTCCCAGGCTCTTCCAGCACCATCTGAGCTAAGTGACGAAACGTCTTCTTGGAGCGAAGAATCAGATTGGGATGGTAAAAGTCCAGCTTCAGTACCGAACGGTGTAAGCCAAGAACCTCCACTTGAAGATGCGACAGCAAACACGGGGAGGAAAAGAACCTCAGCTCAGGAAGCCGCGACATCGACGGGCTCTTCGAGTTACCCCAGAATCCATGGCCTTTCTTTCGGATCCAGGCCCAATGAGTCTGCCATCATCTTCAAAGCGGGCAAGGAATGGTCTATAGGCAAGATTGCTTTTCGTTTCTGTGTGCATATCTAAGCAAAAGCTTTCTAGGCGGCCGGGTCTTCGAAAGGCTCTCAAATTTGAGAGACTGGATAGTCCGCCCTTCCTCGACCTTCACAAGCGAGTCGAGGACAGACACGGGGACATTTACAGTAGATCCATTACGTGCACCTCATTTGAAAATATTCTTGGGACCTGAGAACACCTACTTTGCTGTCAATGGTAAATCCTCCTATTCCTGTGATCTTCTAGGCTAATTTGAGCTGCTCAGTAAGTCTTATCCGGCTGTACATCAATCGATGGAGCTGAAAACCTGAGGCAAACGCTGCTCTCATTGCTTATCTTCTTGTTTTGTTGCTGGCAATATATCATAACTTGTACATCCGTATAGCTCGGAAGGCTACTGACTCCTTTTTAGACCGAAAGAGGAGATTACATCACCAATATTGAAGGAGTTCCAGGCTTCCAAGCCTGGGTCAATCAAACTGCAAAGTCTGAAGCGACCGATGCGCCGGACAACGAAGGGAGGCGTAATGATATAATTCAACCAGAATTCATGCCACACAGTCTAGCACTAGGACCAGACGATATGTTCTGCTGGATATCTAAATCTCAATTTTGTTTTAATGATCCCTTCAAAGCAGCTTTTCCAGAATTACAGAGAACCTTAGCCAAGGAACAAGAAAGGAAGAGGTTGGGTGAAGTTGTCAGTCTCTCCGATACGGCAATGTCCTGATGCTAATCCGATTTGCAGAGGCTTGTGACCAGCACTTATCGACCGCCTGGATCATCACAGCCATACTTTGCTCTAGCCACTGCTGATGGTGTCTGCATCGCATCCGTTCCTCCAGCAACCAGCGACAAATTCTCCCGGTATGCGTTCCACATTGGTGCGGTCTTGCGAGCGAAGTGGACAAAGAGAATGGTAAGTTGGGCCTGGTCCTCGACCGAGAACCACGCTAAAGACTTCAGAGCGATTTGCAAACATCCTATGATGATCTCACGAGGGAGGCTGAAGCAGCCATTCAGGTCGTTATCTCTCCGCAGCAAACAGAAACGCGGGAACCGAATTCTTCTGCAGAGCAAGAACCAGCACCACAACGATCGAGTAAAGTGACAGGGACGGCCACAGGTGAATTGAGCTCATCAATTACTGCACTGAAGCATATGCGGCGAACGGTACAGGCACTTTTGGCAATCAAGGAACATTGTGAGTTGAACATTGTTCTTAGCATGCATAAAGACCAGATGAAAAGCAAAGACCTCGATAGCAGAGTGGACGCACTATTGGAAGAATCCAGGACATGGGCCGAAGATCTGCAAATCACGGCAAATAATCTCAAAGTCATCACCACGAACCAGAATAATTTCATCGATGGTATCTTAGGACTTATAAGAGCTTTTCAGCCTGTGAAGCCAATTGCCAAGCCCGAGGCCAATCCTTCCGCAGAAGTTACCGGCCAGCCCAATGTCGAGGCCTCGGAACCATTGAAGCCGGCGGTCATCACTGTTGAGACCAAGGAAGAGGAAGGAGCGGGACAGTCGACAACTAAGAGTGCCAAAGCGGAATCAGCAGAGCAGCCGCCGGTTGAAAACCAGGTAGTGGAGAGTCCAAAGGAGCCTACCCCCATAGTTCAGGAGGGGCAGACACAGCCAGCTACCACCGTCGACCCGAAGATACAAAAAAGCAACAAGCTGGACGGTGTTATGGAAGAACTTCGAGCTCTTCTCCAACACCTAAAAGATGCTCAATCGGCCTTTCTCAAAGAGCTAACGGAGACCATCCAAAACGCTCTTGAAAAGCCGATTTCTGCCGGTGTGGGTGAAATGAAAACTACGCAACAGGAGCTCAATTCACTTGTGAAGTTACTTGGAAGCATGCGGAGTGAAGTCATCGCTGCCAAAAAGAACTTAACAGCTTTCGACATCGTATGTGACGAGAAATTACCAATCGGAGAAGGCGTCAATATGCTTGGCCAACGGTATCAAGAGAAAGTCGTAGCACTAAATGCGGCGGCTGAAACTCTGGTAGAATACATCAAAGACTACGACAGTACGAAGACACCACTTAGTGATGGAATAAAGAAGCTCTTGGACGAGCTGAGCACTGCAAAGGAGGACCTGAAAAGTGCTGCAGGTATCCTGAGGAATACCCTGACAGAGGTGAACACAAAGTTGGAAACCAGTGCGGAAGACGCCTTTGATGTGGCCACGTCCCTGCCATCTGGGATTAGCAAGCTTGGTGAGGCACTCATCAGCAAGGACACTCAATTAAAAAGAGCAAAGACCGAAACGAGCGACTCCCAAGCGGCATTGAATAGTGCAAAGGCTACACTGACGGCCGCGGCCAGTGGGACCTACAACCCAGAGACAAGCTCGCTCGAGACAGGAATCACAGCACTTGGGGAAGCACTGCGGACCGCGACCGCCGAGAAGACGCGATTGACAGGAGAACTCGAAAAGCTGCGGAACGCCACTGGACCTGTGACCCCATCTGGGGATTCCAAGCCACCACTGCCACCAGCGGTCTCGGCCGCGATATCCGTCTGGAGAAGCAGGGTATTCGTCAACGAGACCGGAAGGGACGCGGCGTTGGCATTTCACGCCGACTTCGAAGAGGTGAAGCGATTCAACCCCAACATACCCGATGCCACGTGGACCGACAGCAAGAGGCAGTTCGATTTCTACTTCCCTAACAAAATCCAAGAAAAGGACGTCGTCACCATCAAGAGGATCCTCAAGCTTCCGAATTCCGACGGCTCTGCGGCCGCGAAGAGATCGGCTGAATCTGTCGCGGCTTACTTCCATCTCGACATGTCGCGCTTCGTCGGTGACAACGGGACCTGGGTCCGCAAGACAGATGATCTGTCCGGCCATGTCCTCGCTATCTCTGCCTTCGGGCCGTATAAGTGGCCACAACCTCCGTTGCCGTTGTGACGGGACTGCTTGCAGGTGTCTTTCGCAAAAAGGGGATGAAGGAGGTCACGATGATTAAATGCCTCTCAGTTGCCCATGAATTGATGAACCTAATAATGAGTTGACGAATTCCAACGAGCTTTGGTTTAGTAACAGCAACATGATGAACGAATATGATTATGGATTTCTTTTGAGACCAAGGGGGGTTAAAAACTCTTCCTCATCTTTCGAAATGCTACAGTAGCATCCTTGCCCTATCCAACAGTAAATGCTCATTTCTCCAAGCTTCCATGCTGCCTAGCACCTTTTGTATCTGATTGGCATAATTCCCAATTTTCATATCAACTGATCACTCAATGTCCACCGGTCAAGCCATTCTATACGCAGCTGATCCTCCCCATCAGAGAGTATATCTAAACTGTGGGTTCTTCATGTCGGTCAAATCATCTTCATAGGCATGTTCATAATCCTCGAGTACGCCCGTCTTGTCTCTCTTCTTATTCTCCCACGAGCAGATCATTCTGTAGACTATGGCGAGCACCGCAGCGACGATCGAAGTCACAATCGTCGTGATCCAGCCTGTATTGTACTTTGGAGCCTGTTCGGTCTTGAACACGAGAGGACCGAGGAAATTCCCTGAGAGGATTCTCGTGTCAGCAGGATACTATGCTTTGATTGAAGGATAGGATTCGAAGGTGAGCTGAATAGAGCTTACCAAGACAATAGCCGACGAACATGCCGGACGAGCCAACGGAACGTTTCGTGTAGCCGGCCGTGTTGGCGATCTGCATGCTCATGAGGACGGCATAGCCGCCGCCATAGGACGCGAGGATGTAGACGCCAAACAGTCTCGCGCCGGTCTGTGATTGCGGGAGCAGCCACAGCAGGAACGAGCCGACGATGGTACCGCAGACGGTGATGGTAACGAGGTATGCTCTCCAGCCTGGGAATTTATATGCGAGGTACGGGGCCGTCAGCTCGATCGTGCCGATGATAAAACCGGCGGGCATGATCAATAAGAGAGAGTTCAAGCCGCTGAACCCGAGCTGGTTGATTATAATGGGGATAAATGTTGAGACAGGCCCGTTGGCGACTAGAATGCAGAAGGCCATGATGAATACCAGCCAGAAGCGGATGTCCAGCAGGAGTTCGAAGAGCTGCTGTTTCTTGAAATGTGTGTTGCGCACCCCGGAGTTGTTCATCCGCATGCGAGCTACCGCGATGTAGCGTTCTCGATCGGTGAAGCGTCGTGCACGGATCGGGTCCGGTGGCATCAGGAACAGAATCACAAACGACCAGAGTATAGTAATGGATCCCGCGACTATGTACATGTACCGCCAGGGGGAGAGAGAGCCTTTGATGTGTCCCAGTCCATAGTTGATAAGCGGAGATACCATGGAAACGTATCCCGTGCTACTATACCATGCCCTATTGCAAAATGTCAATGAATTTCCTGAGCTGAGCAAGTCCAAGATCGTCTTCTTACCCCATGCGCAAGGCTTGCTCCTGCTTCTTGTACCATCTGCGTATAAAGATGTCAATGACACAAAACTTTCCAACGATCAAAAGTGAACTTACCCTCCGACAACCAGCATCCAAGCTGGAGATACCCCTGACTCCAGCGCACCGAGAAAAAACCTCTGTGCATAGAGGCTCTGATAGTTGTGACAAGCCGCCGTGCACGTCAGACAGATTCCCCACAGCAGCACGATGCCGAAGACCACACGCTCGATGGGATAGCGCTGTGCCAGAACAATTGCCGGGTATGCGCCGACTATGAAGCCCAAGTAGAAGATCGAGGCAGACATTGAGTACCGAATACCGACGTTGAGGTCAAGGTCGGTCCGGAGACCGAATAGGGCCTATGTCTTATGTTAGAAACGTGCAACTCCATGAGTACTGCGTTGCCTACCGCTTGTGAGAGCATGGCCTTGTCGTAATACTAGATCAAGTCACAGAGTTAGCATTTGTTCGATGGGGTGAGAGGAAGAGAATGAACTTGGGAGTGGCGTCTACCTGGAGGCCATATGTCAAGCAAAGGATAGACAACAATCTGCGATCAATCTTCCGCACCAGCTTCTTCTCTTCCTCCTCTGTCCACTCTTCGTCCCCAACATAGTTGGCAAGAACCTTCATAGCCTCGTCATTGTGGATGGTATCGATCGTGATCGTTTTCCTCAGTTGTTCGATATTCTCAGGACCCCTCGCACCCTCAGTTTGCATCTCTCGTATCTTTCCATCTTCTTCAGACATTCTTGCTCACGCAAACAGCCACGCGTTAAGATGTATTGCAAATGAAGAGGCGCCCCTATGGTTGCGTTTGGAAAGGAAACGGCTACCGAGAGAAAGAAGAACTTGAGGCGCACTGGGCAAGAGCTTATTTTATGCATCACCCACCTCGAGTCCGTCATGGCGTATCCTAAGACTTATTCTAAGCATCACTGGGCACTCGGCTCGTACACGGCTATGACCCGACTTTGCCAAGTATACGAATTGGCAATTTACCGAGGGAGAACGTTGGATTTGGTTGTGAATGGAGAAAGTTGATATGTGAGATGAGGAGAAAAGACGGGGTCGTCTTGCGGAGAGAGGAGACAAATATGGAGTCGATGAAGTCACAGCATCTGTGACATGGATGTGATCGCCGAACCACGAGGGGATATTAGTGTAAAATATGTCGCTTTTGATCGGGTACAACTCCGATATACCCTGGGTTGTTCATTTGGTTGTTTGAGTGTGGTATGATCCCCATTTTTTTCATGCAAGGCCTATCTTCCTCGGTAATCAATTCAGCTGCGGAGGAAGCCACACCTAGAGGTAGGCAGGAAGTAAATGAATGGTATTGGGTACCTAAAAGAATTATCCATCATCTCATCTTCCATAAACATCTCATTGACGTTATAGTTTTGGTTGTTGGGATTTCAGCTCTGGTCCAGGCCAAGCACCCGGGACCTCTCTCAGTATCCATTCCGCAACACCAGCATTGGTTTCTTCAGGGCGCTCCAGCAACCCCCAGTGGCCCGCTTGAATGGTGAACTCGCTGAGATTCTCAGTCGTGGCCCGCATCTCTTCGGTCAGCTTCGGATTGTACACAGTCTGGCAGACAGCGTCATATTCGGTATGTATGAACAAGACAGGCATCTTGAGTTTGCCTCCATTGACACTTTTTTCCCGGGTATACTTTTCATTCGCAGCGTGGTTTAGGTACCACGACGATGCACCAAAGAATCCAGTCTTTGTCAACGCGGAAGTCAGCTCCTGAAATAAGTTCTCGTCCAACACGGTGTAGTTTAGAGGCAGCTGGGGTATGGTAGCATTGGGTCCACCAAACCACCCGTGATCTTTCGTGACGTTGGACGTTCGTGCAATTTCCTGACCAGTTTGAGCATTGCCCTTAGAGAAAAATAATTTGATATAAGTGGACGGCTGGGTCTCGAATTGTTTGTCACCAGATCTTGTTTCAGCATCCTGTTCGTAGAACACCTGATAATCCCATTGGCCGGCTGGATAGACATCTTTGGGGTACAAATCACGATCCACGGTGGAAACCAAGGTGTTCAGCCCGAGCTCAAGAGTGCGATAGGGTACCGACATCCCAATGATAGCAGTGCACACCTCAGGGTGATGGCTCGCAATAGCCCAGAGCGGACCACATCCCCAGTCATGGCCAAACCAGATGGCCTCTTTTCTTCCCAGATGTTGCAGAAGCTCGAGACACTGCGGCACGAGCTTCTCCAGAGCAAAATCGCTAGAATTGTTCGAGGTCCACGTTTGACCATAGCCTGGCATATCTGGTGCGACGACAAAAAACCCTAGTTCTGAAAACGCTTGTATCTGACGTTGCCAGGTGAGAGCGATACCTGGCCAGCCGTGTAGCAAAACCATCAGCGGTCCATCTGATGGTCCCGCGGACAGGTAGAACATTTCCCTTCCATTGCTCGGGATGGTAAAGACATTGGAGGAGAGATTCTGTGCCATGATGAGGCTGAATAATGTTGATGCTTGAATGGCAAGTGAACGAATATACATGGCGAATGTCGAACTTGTTATACCATTAATCTATTAGTACTAGGGGGCGTGCTGCCTACTGGAAATGTCAATAACCTCGGCTTGTGGTCGATATAAACTCCAGCTGACTCGATCTTGAACCTACACGTTTTATACTGAAGGAGCGCATGGCGTATAAGATTAGTCAACAATCATTGTAAATCTGGCTGTGAACCGTTGAACAATCAATAATCTCGATCGGGATAACGTAAGTATCTTAAATTAGGATGCCAGTGTTGTGGTATCCCGAAGTCTGGGATTCCAAGTCCGTAGGGAGCAGGGCGTATGATATTTGTAAGTGTTTCAGCCCCATCCAATCAGCAATGTAGCCTTGCAGAGGAAGTTAAGATGCCGATCTCGTTAGGCTTCCAGCGCAGGAGAAACAGTGTTTTCTGTGATTACAAAAATATAGCCTGATCTGGCAGCATGGCCTTATTGGGGAAGATTTGCGGAATGTCGGAGTTCCGATGGAGAACACAGCGGACCACGACATATCAAAGTCTTTCTCTTAAGCTATTGATTCGCCGTCGCGTGATTCGTCGTCGCGTAATGAGATAATGATAATCTCAATTGAGTCATCTGCTGTCCAGTATCGAGGCTCAGGTCCTGACAGTACCGTCTGGAACGGTGCCCTGGTTCAAAGGAAAGACTTTCCAAACTCAGCGCCGATATCCGACTGAGATTGAGTGAACGATCGGCTTCCCCGCGTTTGTGTCCGAATAACCTTTCTGATCTGAAAGGCATAAAGATTGGGAGATCTGATCATTGCGCTGGGTTCCGCTTGAGAAACCCCAAAGAAACGTGCAAACGATCTGTCGCAATCAACAAGAATTCGAACTACGCCTAGGACGAAGATATATACGTATCATGATGGTAGAAGTGAAGAAGTACCATCTGCCTCCGACGGCTTTGATACCGAACTCGCCTCTTGCGCTCCTCCACTATCCGGGCATCTTATCCGCTGAGTCAGATTGTGTACCTGGCAAAATTCACGAGCTGTTCTCCAAGAACGGATGGGAAACACAATGGATCTTTCGATATGGCGAAACTCAGGATTCCCACTATCATTCAGAAGTGCATGAGTGTATGGCCGTGTTGTCAGGATCTGCGACCATACGGTTCGGCGTTGCAGATACGTCTGCTGATTTGGAGGAGAGCACACACGGGTCTGCGAAGGAGGACGGCGGCATCGAATTACAGGCGCGGGCGGGCGATGTTTTCATTCTTCCGGCGGGGACTGCACATAAGACTTTTGATACGACCCCAAGAGCTGAGTTTGTTTTGTTGACGCCTGGTGATGGACATAAGGTTGCCGCAGGGGATGTGAAGGCTGCACTGGATAGCATTGAACTTTCCGGCTTTACTATGATTGGCGCTTATCCAAAAGGTGGTGGAAAGTGGAATTTTGCGAAAGGAGGAGAGGATTCTGGAGAATATGAAAAGGTCTGGTCGGTTCCTAAGCCTGAGAATGACCCTGTGCTGGGAAAGGCCGAAGAAGGTCTTTACGGACAGTGGTAATCGCATTATCGCAAGATCTTGTCCTCAATAACAATTTCTTTGCCAATTTCATCCAAGTTGCTTGTAAGGTGTAGCCATTCAATCTTCCAGTCCTGAGACGGTCTTGGATAATCCTTGGTCTGCCGTGGAATTGCCTTTTAGGGAGAAGGGTTGGCAAACACGAGGTACAGCTGCATATTCGACAAGGTCGGACCACGGATGAACCTAGCAATTTTCCAATGATAAGTAGCAGTACCCATAAGAGCAGGTGTTCTCGTGAGCTTCATCAGCTTGCTCGGACTCTGAGCTGGTTGTGAGTAGGGATGTATCTCATACCAAGCAAGAGCTGGTCCATTATTCGTAAAATCGAAACTTGGCAGGTAGTTCTTTCAGCCCAAGTCTGATCTGAGATCTCAAGCTCCACTGCAGCATCAGATCGCATTGCCAGAAAAGCAATAGTCGCAGCATAGTAAAATGCAAAGAACGTACGGAGAGCCCTTGCGCTACGTGTGAGGGTACGTGGCGTGCGAAAGGGGCGGTGGAGAGCTTAATCCCAAAGAGGAAGTATCTCGTTCTGGTGAGAAGTGTTGGTCATTGCCTAGTGTCTTCAGCATGTACTCAGTATGTCTCGAGGCAGGGATTAATGGCATCATCCATCTTATGCTCGAGAATATCAGACCCACGCACTGGCATTTTCCGTACCTCGAGTGGTGGCGAGCGGACACGACGCCCTCACCTGTCGTTCATCGATTGTTCCACATGACCATGCCATGCTTGTCACACACTACATCGATCCATCCAAAGAGCTGCAAGACTTCTTTCATGCCTGTATAGTCCGAGATCCCGAGCTTGGCTGCAGCCAATGACAGGTGATAGAGGAACCACTGTTCAGTGTTTTCTCCATCCTTTCTCGTGTCGGCACTTGAAGCAATTGCAGCCACCATGCATGCCCATGCAATGAGCTGCATCGCGGATTCACTATGGCCTCCATCACCATTCATGATGTCCGAAATCTGTTCCATGATCTTGGGTAAGAGTATTCGTCGAACATCTGCTGTGCGAGGCCCTGGAAATATGACGTGGAGACTATATAGTTGTGTGGCTGATCGTGCGCAGTGATACAGTGTCAAAGCAAAAGTAGCTTCTTCATTATTTTGGATCATTGAAGTCTGCACCATGATGTTTTCCGTTGATGTGGGAAGGGACAGTATTCTATACACGAGGTGGCTTCGACTGTCAAGTAGTGGAGTCGTAACTTTATGATCAAGTGAGCCGGCAAACCCCCTTTCAAGTGCTTGCGAGAATTCGCTGACATCCAAGAGAGTTTGAATAATCTCTGGCCTGATGTTCATATATTGAAAGGCGTGAAACCCTCCCTGGAGCGATCTGTGGTGCCAGGGAGGATCAAAGATGAGAAGAAGTCTCATAGGGCTTTGATAGCTATACAAATCACCGTACATATCAACCGGTGGGAAGTTCGGCGCTTTCACATCTTCTGCTGCCCCCATGAGACTCGCACTATGAAGTCTCAGTATCACAGCATGGCGGTTATAAAATGAAGTTGAATCCATGTAGAACTTACAAGAAAACAAGCCAGCCGAGACTGTAAGTGCGGAGCTTAGTGATACCACCGGCAAGACGCACCAATGCCAGAACGGCATTGAAGTGTGTTGGGTCGAACTCGATGCGTCCATAAAGCAAGAGCCACTGTGACTCTAGGGGGAGCGGCTCGAAATTCGTTGGGTCAGGCAGGCGGGGAGTAGAAGTTGCAGCATTTTCAGTTGACGAAAGACATAGAATGGCATATATCATTTCATCTATTTTATCGGGCATGATCTCTCGCGTGAACTCTTCCCGAAGTGTTTTTATCGCACTGCCTTTGAGTTGCAAGTGACGTTTGATGTGCTTCGAAGTCACGACTGACCAGCCCATGTTAATTCTCAGATGGCGATGTGCCGATGCGGAAAACATGATTGCAGCCATGACAACAGCATTCTGTGCTGCAAGTGCGAACCAACATTGGGAGAATTCTGCAGCATAATTGGCATGTGGTCGGAAACCAGGCCAAAGCTCGTTTACGCCTACAGATCCATAGTAGTCAGCAGGGAAGTGCGCTTCGATCTATTAGGCGGTACCTTACAGTAGTCGAGGATGCCTTGATTGAACTGATCATGTGGTTCAAGCCCAAAGCATCGGAAGGGGTCAGACCTGGAAGAGCTAAGATGAGATATCGGAGATATTATCGGGCTAGACCTGTGAGCTACCACACCTATTGCATCATCTGGAGGCTCAAGGCAGGGAATCTCCTGCATGGCTGTCTTCTCGAGGAGAGTTTGCTGAGCATCGCTGCCGATTCCTGCCACGGACCCAGCGACAAGCCGGGTGTGACGCGATTTCTGGGAAGCCCACGACCTCTTAATGATATCGGAGCGTATCTTTCGCCTTTTGTCGCGGTCTTTGATAGTCTTGATGGAGTCGCCATCAACAAAAACGAGTTTTGGGGGCATGCTGACTCTCAAGCCCAGTCAACTCCTTTTGTCGGTAATCCTATCTCCGACGCTCCAAAAAGGAGCCGCAAGTTGGCAGACTAGCACAAACTGCGCACGCTTCTGCGCTGCAAGCGAACAACCTGCGACCTCGAGTTCACAGAGTCAATATGCAACCAGCCACTGCAGGAATTGCTTGTGGAGAAAGTATTGAAATGCTAGTCGTCACAACGGCGGAAGATCTCCCATCATACTCCAAGTCAACCACAAAATGTGTTTACCTACGAGTTCAAATTAGTGATTAGTCAGAGGTATTTGCTCTTTCTGACCACGCTAAGTACAAGTTAGAGACCAAAAGTATACGCTAGGCTGCAGCTAACTCATTTGGGCGGTATAACACACGCCCAGACAAGTGGCAACTAAGTGTTGTTCCAATATCAATGCAAGTAAGATGAAACTTGAGCTGTGTTGAGTTTCAACGAAGCAACAGCCACTAACAGGCACAAGAAGGTCAGATGGTCACTGCTCAAAATATTGCAAGGCTTCCAGTATCAATAATCGTGTTGATCCATCCAGGACTAGCGCCGAGCGGCCTCGAGCGGACGTGGATCTTACGAGTCACTCATTGCGGATCCCCCTGGCTATATTGATTTATCAGGGGTGGACGAAAAGTACGGATGAGTCGCCATCTCGCCAAATGGTCGCAACGAACATCTGATGATGCATCTGGAACCAATGGACACCATGGAGTCGCCGTGTTACAATTTGGCCCTGGGCATGGTATTGCTAATCAACGTCGAAGCTATTTCGCTATAAAACCCCCCGAGGTAGCGACAAACAACCATGATCAGACACGCGGAGTATGCAAATCCAAAGAATGTCTTCCAAATTGATTGTTGTGATTGGGGCGACAGGTACACAAGGTGGCTCGGTCGTTGAAACTTTCCGCAACGACCCATCCTGGACAGTTCGAGCAGTTACTCGAAGTACATCATCCGAGAAGGCCAGGGCTTTGCGGGCACAAGGAGTTTCAACGGTGGCTGCCGACCTAGGTGATCCATCATCATTGGATGCTGCTTTCGAGGGTGCCAGTGTCATCTTCAGTGTCACCAATTTCTGGGGTATCCATTTTGATCCAGAGCACCAAGCAAAGGCGAAGACAGGACAGAGGTTGATTGATCTGTCGTATGAAGTGGAAGTCCAACAGGGAAAGAATGTCTTCGATGCAGCAGCGAAAGTAAAGACACTTGACAGACTCATCTTCTCCGGTCTCTCGCACGCAGCTAAATGGTCCAAGGGAAAATACAAGCACGTCCTGCATTACGACTCCAAGGCTGTTGCTGCTGAGTATGGGCAAGAAACATACCCAGAGCTTTGGAACAAGACCAGTGTCATCCAGATCGGGTTTTACCTCGAGAATTTTCTCAAGAGTCCTGTCCAATTCAACCGGAGAGACAAGGACGGTGTGGTTAAGTTCCTTGGGTTCCTCGGGGGCGAGACTCTGCTCCCCTTGATAGCTACCAGCAAGGACACTGGTCCGTTGACGAAAGCACTTGTGGAAGCAGAAAGTGGGAAGAATCTGATAGCCTACCGCGGGTTGATCACTTACGATGAATTCATCGGACTTTGGAGTCGAACCCTGGATATTCCAGCTGAGAGAGATACCCAACCCGACATTTCGGATCTACCCCCGTTCCTTCCGATAGAAGAGCTGCTGGAAGGCTTCGGCTACATGGCAGATTTTGGCTATGAGGCATGGGAAGATACCACGGTGGTCCACCCCAAAAATGTAAGTCTGAGGCCCCTATTCAAAGTTTGAATCACTGATGAATCTAGCTTGGGGTACCCATTGAGCTCGGAAGCGTTGAGGATTGGATCAAGCAACAGGATTGGTCTTTCTTGAAATAGATTGCTTGATTAGGAGAGATGAGGCTTCTCAGAGATCGTGGAGCAATATCGGGCCAGAGACATTACTTCATTTCTAGCATACCTGTCTCGCTTGATCGCGAGGGGCACACCTAAGCCAGGGTGCTTTTAAAAATCGAAATGATCGAGAGACGTGCTTCGATTCTTGAATATTGTCAAATGTTATGGTCCGAGGCATAATGAGTTGATCGTATCTCGTATGTGCCCATCGCGGAACTGAGGCTGAGCAATCTTGGAAGTTGGTGATGAACCACCCTTAGCGAGACAGACCTTTACTTGTTTTGAACGATGCCCCGAGCCAATCTGCGGGGCAGACGTGTCAGTCAAGCCTCGGCAGGCGGGGCAACGGCGGGCAGTTGCTACCGGTGCCCTTGCCAGTCGGTGGGCAGCTCTTGCCGCCAGTTGTAACATGCCACCAAACACGCTGTGGTCCCGTTTCAACGCCGCTTACAGCACTGCACGCCTGCGCGTCCAACAGACTGCCACCATCCTAACTTCACATGTCTGTGGTCGCTGGCAAGTACAAATACTCTGACGAGCGACCTCCTTGAACACCGAGGCATCTGAATCTGTCACCTTTGCTTGCCCATCGTCACAAGAATGGCGGCCCCTCCAGAAGTGACGACGAAAAACCTGTCGGGGAAATGGGTCATGGTAAATGGGAGGCTCCGATATCATGAAAATGGAGGCTAACACAGCTAGAACAAAAGCCTCTCCGATGATGTGGACGCAATGTTAGCCCTACAAGGACTCAGCTGGTTTACTCGCAAAGCAATCAGTCTTGCGACCGTGGTGGTCAGTGGCATTGCAAATTCAAGCACATGTATGAGGAGATACTGATGGTGGTGCAGCTCACGATCAAAGAGTACGAGAAGGAATCCTTCTACCATGTCGACATTACCTCGGTCGCAAGTGGGCTCTCAACCACGCAGGAGGATCGTACAATTGACTGGACAGAGCGAGACCATGCAGATCGGATCTTTGGGAATGTCAAAGGGAAATCCCGCTGGTGGAAAACAGGATCATTCGAGAAGATAACCCCCGGGGGTGAGGAGTTGGCAGTCTTTCTGCGGGCAGAGAAATTAAAGGATGGGAAGACAGACTCCAAGTTTCTAGATGACGAACACATACAAAGCTGGGCTAAGAACGTGGACAGTGGTGGCGGGTGGTCTGCAGAACAGAACTGGGGGTTCGAGGAGATTGATGGAAAGAGATACTATACTCGGCGGATTGTGGTTGAGAAAGGTGGCAAGGTCCAGATGGCTAGACTGGTGTACAACTACACTGGTAAGCTCGATGACAAAAAGGAAGAAGATGATCAAGATCTGGCGTATGGTGAGGAATAAGGTACGGCAAAAAAGTGATGGCTTCAGATTGCCAATAATTGATAAAGGACGAGATACCACGGAAACAGATAAATCTCCCTTCTCCGTCTAATCGCAGGCTTCGCAGCGTGTTCGGCGTGATTCAAGTTGGCTCTGTGGGGTGGAACGACACGTGGGGTAGAAACTGTTCGCCGCACCTGCCTCCGTTTGACATCTATCGGAGACTAATGACTTAGTGTTCCACTAGAACTAGATTCTCCAGGCTTAAATCGGGCACTAACACCGCCTAACCGTTACTAACCGTGGCAACGGGCTTCTCCCCCTCACCAACCTTGAACACTCAAGTAGGTGGCGTCTACCTCGGGCGGGAATTTCTCGATCTCCGCAGGGTCAAGACCACGAATCGCGGTCAACGCTCACGCTCACGGTCAAAGCAGCTTGGGTTCAAGTTCAAGTCCAACTCCAAGTCGCCGTCTTGATTTGAAAAAAGAAATCTATCCCTGAGAAGAGAACTCGAACCTCTCTTTACTACTTGCAGTTTCATCCTTCCTTTCATTCCCTGGTGGTCCTCGCTGCACATCCGATCACATCGACACACTTCCGTCCTTCCATCCTCTCCCCTCACCTCACTTCCATATAATGGCCGCGCGCCGCTCTTTACTTAGAGCTGTCCCTGCCTTGTCAGCCAGACGATCTCCCCATATTCTCTCCTCTGCTACCTCCCTCAGAATGGCTCCCAACCACCAAATTGCAAAGCGGAGACTGCATGCTACAACCCAGCATCTTGCTGCCACAAGCGCTGCTGTAGCCGACTATCCTACATCGCACGAACAGATCAAAAATGTCGTCAACACCCACAATTTCATTGATAACAAGTTCGTCCCTTCACAAGCCACCACCTGGATTGATCTCCACGACCCAGCTACCAATAATCTCGTTACCCGGGTCCCTCAATCTACCGATGCTGAGCTCAAAGCTGCCACCGAATCTGCTCAAAAGGCCTTCCCAGCATGGAGGGCCACAAGCATCATGACCCGACAACAAATCATCTTCCGATTGACCCATCTGATCCGTGAGAACATGGATCGATTGGCAGCCTCAATTACCCTGGAGCAAGGCAAAACATTTGCTGATGCAAAGGGTGACGTCCTCCGCGGTCTTCAAGTCTGTGAGACCGCTTGCGGTATCACCACCCAACTAGTTGGCGAGGTCATTGAAGTCGCAAAAGATATGGAGACACGTTCCTACCGCGAACCTCTTGGTGTCGTTGCAGCTATTTGCCCTTTCAACTTCCCCGCTATGATTCCGCTCTGGAGTGTTCCCCTGGCTACCGTCACTGGCAACACTCTGATCCTCAAGCCCAGTGAACGCGATCCCGGTGCAGCTATGATTATCGCAGAATTGTGCCAGAAAGCAGGCTTCCCTGATGGCGTTGTCAACATTGTACACGGTGCTGCTAAAACTGTCGACTACATCATCGATGAACCTCTCATCAAAGCTATCAGTTTTGTCGGCTCCAACCGTGCCGGCGAGTATATCTACACTCGTGGGTCCGCCAACGGTAAGCGAGTCCAGGCAAACCTTGGAGCTAAAAATCATGCCGCCGTGTTGCCTGACTGCAACAAGAATCACGCCCTAAATGCCATCGCTGGTGCTGCTTTCGGTGCCGCCGGTCAGCGGTGTATGGCTCTCAGCACCCTCGTAATGGTTGGTGAGAGCAAGGAGTGGCTTCCTGAACTTGCAGAGCGTGCTAAGGGCCTCACCATTAACGGAGGTTTTGAAGAAGGTGCTGATCTTGGTCCTCTGATCAGCCCACAGAGCAAGAAGCGAGTGGAGGATTTGATCAAGAGTGCCGAAGATGAGGGTGCTACCATCCTCCTTGACGGTAGAGGTCAAAAGCCACCCAAGTACCCCAATGGAAACTGGGTAAGTGAACCGGTTGTGAAACTTTGCCATCTTTGTTTCTGCTCCTTTCTCCAAGCATATAACTAACACCGATTCAACTCCAGGTCGGCCCAACCATCATCACCAACGTCAAGCCCCACATGAAATGCTACACAGAAGAGATCTTCGGACCCGTATTGGTCTGCCTAGAAGTCGACACCACCCAAGACGCCATCGACCTGATTAATGCCAACCCCTATGGCAACGGCGCCGCAGTCTTCACGCAATCCGGCCCCACGGCATCATTATTCCAAAAGGACCTTGAAGCCGGCCAGATCGGTATCAATGTACCCATCCCCGTCCCCTTGCCCATGTTCAGCTTCACCGGCAACAAGGCCAGCGTCGCCGGAACCGGTGCCGCAAACTTCTATGGCAAGGACGGCCTGAGATTCTATACACAGTGGAAGACCGTCACCAGCCTGTGGAGAGCCGAGGACGCAATCGCCACTGAGAAACAAGTCGCCATGCCTACTCACTCATGATTCATATACCTACCTAGCTATGACCGGAGAAATTGATACGGTTATTGTATTGCCCAAAAACGTCAAGTAGGGTGTAAAATCCAAAAGGAGGAGCCATGTCAAATTGAAGCTGTTTCTTTTATAACTCAATTAGTGTGTTGGAGTTAGCGAGGAACTGGAAACAAGCGAACGTCCGAGGCGAATCAGAATGGCAAACGCTTTTTTCTCCACGGGCAAAAAAAGTTGCGTTCATTGTACACACAGATAGGCACAGATATTCTCTATCGAGTGGATTCAAACCCTACCCCCCAGAAAGAGAAACAAACAAGAAACCCTAAACCCTCTCTGTGTGTTTAATGGACCAACTACGCATCTTCTTTTCCCTCGTAACGCCTGCTGAGCAAACATCATGCATTGTATGTTGTATGTTGTATGGTGTTAGGCACGCAGGTAGCTAAGACTAGAATCACTCGCTGATCTGATTGGATACACAGTACTTCGTACATGGGACGGGAAGTTTGTGGTTCATGGTTTTTGATTGCATTTGTTTTGATCCCCTTTTAAAACCCCTTCCCTGAACTAGCGCTCCACAACTCCGGCCCATCCCCAGAGATCACCGCGTGTATCATGACATGAGACCAAGCCCGTTCATTGGACTGACTTTTTGAGTCCCTTAGGGAAAATGAGTAGCTCCTCCACAGCACATCGAGGAAGAAGAGCATTGCTAACTAGGCAAATATCATGGGCTTCCTTCGCAATCAAAGTGTCACCTTTACCCACTATTCGCTCGAGAAACGGTCCCTTCTTTCCCCGTAGGTAGATGATCACTCTGTTGAATGTGAGACGATTACTGCTTTCTCTCTTGTTTCCCTGAGGAGTGAAATATCTGACAGAGAAATCTATTCAGCGCTACCACTCGAACGGGTAGTACGCTTGTTAACTTCCGACTTGACTGCGTCGGCGCCGCTGGCGGTGGCTTCGGCGACCTTGTCCTTGGCGTCAACAGCAGCTTCCTTGGCCTTTTGTGCTGTCTTCTTGATATCTTCCTTGCTGGGAGCTGATGAGCCGCCGAGGCTGAAAAGCCCGACCAGGATAGCAATAAGAAGAGCTGCTGCACCTCCAATCCCGCCAGCAACCTCAGGCATAAGCTGGATGGCCTGAACGGGGTCCTTTTGGACAAGAGCGATGAATAGTTGAAGTTTCTCCTTGACAAAGTTGACGGGGTCTTCTGCGAAAGTTCCGCTGGGTGTGGTAGACTCGGGCAGATCGGATGGCTTGGGCTTGCTCTTGGCGTCCTCAGCCTCCTCAACAGGTCGCTTGATAAGATATGTTTCGGCGGTCAGGGCAGCAGCATCTTCGACTGAATGGCCAATGTAGATGTTGTCGAAGGTGATGTCGGACTGCATAGTCCATATCTCAAATCCGATCTAAGAAACGAATTAGTCAAGGCAACAATGGAGAGAGGTGTCAACTCACAGCGCCAATTGGTTCCAAATTGGAAGGAGTCTTGTCCTCAAAGTAATTTGGGTTAGCAATCTTGCGAGGGGCCCAAACGCCTTTGTATGCCGGATTGTCAATGTAAGGAGCGGTCCATTTGCCCTTGTAATTGGGGTTCTTCTTGTTTGGTCGTTCCCATGGGCCACATCCAGAAGCTTCTTCGCATTTGGGGTTGGGGACCTGAGGAGGAATCCAGTCTCCATCCTCTTCATCATCCCAATCCTCGGGTTTCTCAGCTTCTGGGTCTGGAACGGTGAGGGGTTCATTCTCAAGCCAGTCCTCGGGTTTCTCGGCTTCCTCATCTGGAAGCTCATATGGCTCATCCTCATCCCAATCTTCAGGCTTAGTGGCTTCAGGGTCCGCAATTCGGGCAAGCTCAACCCAATCCTCAGGCTTCTCGTCTTTGGGGTCATCAATCTCCTTGTCTGGGTTGACGGCAGGGCTGAAGTCTTCGAGCAGACTGCCGTTCTTGGACGATTTATTGTCGATAAGGATCTCGAAGGTGTTGTCTGGTTTGACAATCAGGGTGTAGAGGGTGGTGAGTTTGTTGATCTTAGCTTGAGGAGGACTCTTGAGATGCTTCTCTTCGTACTCGCCAGTCTTGGGGTTTTTGTGTTGGAAGATGAAGTGAACCTATCTACGTTAGAGACTCACAGCAGAACGGTACTTGTAGAATGAAACATACCTTGTTGGTAGCACCGCATTTGTCAGGGCCAAACATGATCACGTAAGGAGAGCTATTCGAGAATTCGTCTGCATGGAGAGCTTTGTTGTCTCGGAGCAACTTAAGGTAAGCACCACCACACTCGAGCCCATTCTGAAGCTTGACTTCGTATTGCACGACCAAAGTCTTGCCTTTGTTGTCCACCGCCTTGGGGAATTTTGCGGAGATGGCATGATGGGCGGCAGCATTCTTGACAACCAAACCCTTGTCACCAACAAGGCCGGGCAGTACGGTGGGTTCCTCAACAGACCATTCGCCGACATAGGCCCAATCCTCGTCACTCTTGGAATCCTCCTTCTTTGCATGAGAAGGTGTCCATCGTGTCTCCCAATCGTCGGTGAACTGTTCTAGGAAGGGGGCTTTGAGAGTGGTAGGCTGGGAGGTTAGTGGTGAGACATGGGATTCCACAGACCGACAAGGCTTACTGTGAAAGTCGGTCGTTCGACAGCGGCAGTGGAGGAAGGTTCTGGGTCTTCCTGTGCAAGCGCATTACCAGCGAGGAAGGCGGAGGCACACAGAGCCGGGGCGATTGCAGAATTGAACCGCATGGTGGCAACGGTGGAAGGAAAAGAAAAGAAGAGGATGAAGGGAGTCGACAAGAAGGTCGAGTCGTTATTACGGAGGAGAAAAGAGGAAAACGACAATCCACAGTGAGGATGATATATTTGAATATTCCCGTTTCAAAGCAAGGTGTCCTTTACTCCAATATTGTACTAAGGCTCATCCGCAGCAATGGCAGTGAACTGCAGGGAGGGTGGGACAGTCAAAATGCCACTCTAGCAATTCTGGAGTTTAGGGGCTAAAGGCTTCACCGCCTTCCTAACTAGTCATAGCATGGCGGGACTTTCCAATCAGGCATGTATGGCGACTGGACATTCAAAGCTATCGTTGGCAGGAGCGACCCTGTCACGTAATTGCCCCCTGCCATTCCAGCACGTGGGGCCATAGTTTTACTTTTCTGTCGCGAAATATATCTTGATCTGATCCCAGGATTTTATCTTAATTGTGCCTGCCAGCAGTGCACATCCAAAGCAATGGCTTCTCCTACAAACAATGAGCACCTCGTGCAATCGGAAGATCCTGACCACCCAGCAAATCTGATCCCCAGATTATGCAGACAGTTCTACACTCTCGGTAAGACGTGTTACGGGTAGGCGATTGTGACTGAAGAGCCAGACGAACTGACTCCAAATCCAAGGTTGGGTCACCGGAACTGGAGGCGGCACTAGTATTCGAAAGGATGAACACATATATATTGCTCCTTCGGGTGTCCAGAAAGAACTGATCAAGCCGGAGAACATGTTCGTCCTCTCTTGGCCCACACCCAAATATCCCCCGGAGGCACGGAAATACATCCACAAACCTCTGAAATTGAAGCCCTCTGCCTGCACACCGCTGTTCCTGGCAGCGTTTGAGCGCGGTGCTCTCTGCTCCATACACACTCATTCACAGTGGGCTGTGTTGGTGACGTTATTGGTCGAGAAGCTTCACGGCAAGGATGCTTGTTTTGAGATCAGCAATATCGAGCAGATTAAAGGTATTCCAAAGGGTCCAGGCAAGGGAATGCTAGGCTTCCATGACACGCTTCGAATTCCAATCATCGAGAACACCCCATTCGAAGAAGATCTCACTGAGTGGCTGGAGAAGGCCATGAATCAATATCCTGATACTTATGCAGTGCTCGTGAGGCGACATGGAATGTAAGTGTAGTGTCGATAATGCCGGTGAGGTACAAGCTAACACAATTTTGAAGTTATGTTTGGGGTGACACCCCAGCCAAAGCTAAAACGCAGTGTGAAAGCTTAGACTATCTCTTCCAGTTGGCGGTCGAGATGCATAGACTCGGACTGCCGTGGACGTAGTGGTACTATCCAGAGGGAGGAGCAAAAACAAGCAATTTCATAGACTGTCCTTGAAGAAGTCCTATCACTTATTCCGCTTCATGCGCTAATCAGAAGTCGCTGGGAATCTGGTGATTCTTCTGTACATCCCAACTCTGAAATAATATGAATACCGTAATAACCCAATTGCCATCTTTCCAATTGCCCGATATGGCTTGACCAACAACGCCTACTCCCCGGTCCACCAACAGCATACCCAATATGGAACATCTACCAAGAACTCCGAACTTCCGAACAGTGCAATAGACTTTAAGCCAAGCATGGCTGTAGTCCCCAATGCCTAGATCCGATACATCTTACTTGAAAGGGACAAACGAAGTATGCCATTAGATCATCTGACAAGCCCTCTCCCCCGTCATTGGAAAGCTCACTCTGGCCATAGTCTCCGTGGATAGAGTTCCTCAGATATTCTTGGCATGTCCAGCGTGATCGAGGGCGCCTCATCACTGAGCTTCGACCAAGTCGAGTCCCGTCTTGACGACACCCTGTTCAGGCGTGAGCTACTCCCAGCAGAAGAATGCAAGCTACGAGGGCTCGGCATCCACGAACGGCCCTTCAAGCTCTCCGTCCAGGCTCTGCGCTCCGAGAATTCCATCGCGTAGGTCGCAGATTCGAAGTCCGCAAGCCGTGTCGCTCGGCGTGGGAGGGGCGGGACTTGAGATTTGCGCGTGCTACTTGCTATGGACTGGTAGTCTATCGACGAGCGTGGTGACTGCTGTGGTGAAGACTTTGTGTTGCCAGCTGCGTTGTTCTCGTCGTCGCCGAGGGCGTGCAATACCCAGTCGAGCTTTGTTTGTGGAACGCGGCTGGCGTCGTGGTGGATCAGGAAGAAGGAACACCATGTTGAGGCTGCGAGGATGGATGTGATGACCAGGAAGAGCATGATCGTCAGCAATGCGACTGACAACTGCGGGACATCTTCGACAATGGTGAGTGACCGCATCACTGGCTGCCGGAATTGTGTGTCTTTTGATATCATGTATACTTGGTAGAAGCGGATAAGGTCGTCAGGTTGGATCTCAGTGATGGTGCGGTTTGTTCCTGCCTCCATCATAAACCGAGCTTGGAAGTTCTGGTTGAGTGCAGAGGCGATATTGCTCTGTTCCGTGGAGTCCGGGTAGGGCACAAAGCCTTCATCCTTGACGTCCCGTTGGCGCTCCAATTGACAATCTGTCCGGATCCAAGATGCTGCATCAACTGGACGTGCAGCATAGATGCAATTGTTTGGCTTTGTGAGGTTTTGGTAGATGTTGTGGAAATGTACCGTGGCCATGGAAATATTCATGCCGTACACGATGTCAGTTGTGTTGTCGATATCCGTGATGGAGCTTGCATAAGCAAACCACAGCATGTCTTGCACCGGGTTGACGTTTGATAGCCAAAACCCAGACCACTCAATACCATATGTGTCATAGCTGGTGATATTGATGACGTCCCACAGCTGGGGAAATGCTTGATAAGTAGTGGAAAAGCTGGGATCAGAGCAGTTCCCAGTTCCGGCAATTTCAATAGGGGTGCGCTCCACAGAATTGCATTGCATCGACCATGTTTTAGTCCATTCACTTGGCACAAACATCCACTCTGTGTTCGTGTCTGGTAGGAAGTCAAGTAACCGATCACGAGGGAATTCTGCTGTTTCGAGGCTGCGCGTAATATTTGTCCAGTAGTCGTTGGCATATGCGATGATGTCGAAGGTCTTCATTGTTGGGAAGATAGATGTGTTCCTCGTCGTGGTCTGAGGATGCATGCGAGTGGAAAATCGTGAGATTGGCCCAGATATCAACGTGGTTGTCACGAAGACAAGGACAAGGAGGCTTTGTACCAGTAGCAGAGCATGCCGAGGAGAGAATATTCGCAAGCCTAAGAGAGTGATGAGGTCGTATGCTTCACCGATCGTGTTGACTGTCAACAAAGACGTCAATGTCGTGCGTCCGGCGGTCTTCACCCGCTTCGTACCGGCCCACCAACAGAAACGAATACAACAGAAAGTAGTAAGAGCACTGATGGCGCAGACAATGACGTTTAGTGCAGCTTGGATATTTTGTAGTTGCCATCTTTGTGGGAGTGATACCCAAGATGGTGCCATGTTGTAGCAGCGTGAATTATCAGTGGAAGGTTCAATGAATATGGGCTTGAGGTCAATGAGCACAGATATAAATCATTGAGTCCAAACACAGTTTCCCCAACATTGTACGCAGCTGCAAAGGCCCTTTAATGAATAGCCTCCACCTATTTAGCCCTACCTTGACACCAAGTGGAGGACGACGAAAATCCTATAACGTCGATATAAGCACTTCAAAGATTGGAATATTACCTGGCGGAGTGGCGCAGAATAGCCCAGAGGTGGCTGTCAAAAGCACACCGACTAATGTCGCGATGGAAGCCATGAGCAAGGTTCGGATGGCAAAGGCAGCCATCGCCAGCTAATTGGGTCAGCATCGAAGGATTCGACTGTGAACGTGATACTATGCTCCAGATGAATGGCAGAGCTGTTCAAGTTCAGGAAGACAATGCGGGAAGAATGCACAGGGCAGGCTGGAGCGGCAGCACTGATAGGTCAAGGCTGGCGGCACAATGTTTAGGGTCATGTTGCATGAACGAGTCTTGGCCTCGGTTCCTTGGTCAGCGATCTCGGTCCTTGGATATGACCAACAGCCATGGCCTTTTAATGTGGGCCGCGTTCAAATGTACCTAACTTGCAGATATCCAGAGTGGCTCGGTAGTAGGTTGACGGGCGAGGGGACTGCCATGATCGAGACTGTATCTTTGACAGAGCGCAATACTGTCTAGGTATTCCAAGTCTGCAGACAGGGTCGAGCAAGAGTACTTGGGGCAGTCCAGTTACGTGTCTCGTGGTCAGCTTGAAGATTTATCGTCCAAGCCAACTTCGCCACGCAAGAACGAAGCATGGCCTAGATTTGAAAGGGGCCAAAAGAAAAGTGGTAAGGCTGAAGCTTCTGCCAAGGTATTTACTTCAAATTACCTTACCATACTGGACCTAAAAAACACCAATGATGCCAGCTCACCTGTTACCACCATTTCGGCCCCAGCCTTTCCATGTTCTACACCTTCATGACTTTGTAAGACGGAACTCAAGCCAATCTCGTGAAGGCTTCACATGGTGCTACAGCATTGCTAGTGCCGGGCGTGCTTCTGACTGAGGCGCTCAATAATTGGTGAGCGGCCGGTCGTGCCGATTCCAAGTCAGGCCCTGGGACTGTTTTCCAATCCGAGTCTTCACAACCTGACCACGTCAGGAAAGCAGTTTTGAGAAAATTCGCAAGTCTGATAACTCGACATGTCCAACTCTTCACAAGCAGGCGTCGCATCGTCCGCGCAACAAGATACGGCAGCATCGTCAGCTCAACGTACAAAGGAAGCAAGAGATGCTTTCACAGCCTCGTTGAAATCGGAGGGTGCTATAATCGATGCTGAATTGCAAGCACGAGCGAAGAACATCCATGCCAACTCCAAGGCACTAACGAAACAGGAAGAGGACTTACGGAAACAGACCAAGGCTTTGTCGAAAGAGAGCGATTCCCTTCAGAAATTGGTTGACAAGACGAAGAAGGAATTTGAAGGTCTCGGTGATCTGGATGCTTTGATGGCAGACCTGGATGCTGACCTTGCTATGATTGAGGAGACGATTCGAATAGCTGAAAACAGCGACGAAGAGGAGGAAGGTGAGGGTCAGCAGCCTGAAGTTCTTGCTACCTCCAACACTCCACGATCTGGAACATGATCTGTCAATCAATATGGAGGAGTATAGTATTTTTGCCAGCCTTGGGATGCTTTAAGATGCCATGGTTTCCACTTCAGTCGTGCAAGAGGTCTGCTAGCAGCACGGGTTCTCCAGTGGCTGAGGGCGAGCAGCATGGCTTGCTACTTGACTGTCCTCGGTGCGTGATTGCTCTAGCAGCGAATTGGTTTTGGGCGTTTATCCTCGTATATCTTGGTCTAAGACCTCTACATTCATCTTCGGTACTTATTCTAATAAATTCTAGCTTCTGGTCCAATATCGATTGCCTTTAGTCATTCGTCCTGAATAGCCAAGCACGTGACTTTCGACTGTGACGTACTTCGTAGTTCTGCACAAGGCTGTCGTCTTCCAATCGGTGCTCCGCACGAGGCTACCATTAACACTGCTCCCTCGACCATCACACTCGACGCTGCTCAGGACTGCGAAACACTATGTCAACATCAGAGTCAAGTGTCATGCTGTATACATGATGCTTTGCATCGAACATCGCCCCAAATGTTGTCGGCATTCACCGCACAGCCCATTGTTGAGCTGAGGCAGCGAGACAAGTCCAAGATCGAGTCCATTCTCTCCCACAGTGACCAGCTCCTCGTTGGTTTGAACACAGGCTCCCTTCGTATATATCGCGTCACCAATCCTCCCTCTCGATCCTCCGAAACCGAAGAGTCCATCGCGGACCAAGCCTCCACGAATGATGCAAGCACCAAACCTCCTCCGCCCAAGGCATCGGAACTCCTTCGTGAGTATGAGAAGTTCTCGCGGTACAAGGTTGACCAGCTTGCTGTGTTCCGTGAAGCAAATATATTGATATCTTTGAGCAATGGTCTTGTCTCAATTCATGACCTGGGAACTTACGAGCTGAATGAACAGTTGACAAAGACAAAAGGAGCCAGCAGTTTTGCTGCAACGAGTAATATTGTCAAGGATACCACTACAGGCGTGCCCACTCTTGTCAGCCGACTGGCCGTTGCTGTCAAGCGCAGGATTCTGCTTTGGTCATGGCACGATGGCGAACTTGACGGGGATGCCGCCGAGTTCGCGCTCTCTAACAGTGTTAAATCCTTGACATGGGCAACAGGAACAAAGATTGTTGCGGGATTGAACGCTAATTATGTCATGGTCGACATTGAATCCCAGGAAGTTAAGGCCATTGTGGGTCCTGGAAGTATCGGAGGTGCTGCTGGTCAGGAGACGAGTAGGTTAGGCGGCACCATGAGCTATATCGGTATGGGTGGAATGGTCCCCACGCCCCTGGCAACCGGTCTGGGAGAGAATGAAATGCTTCTGGCCAAGGATGTCAATACCTTGTTCATCGACAGAAATGGCGAGGCCATTGATCGACGTCAAATACCATGGCGTATTCCCCCTCAAGCCGTGGGCTACTCCTACCCATATCTGTTGGCGTTACAGGAGCCCACGAAAGGTGTCCTAGAAGTCCGAAACCCTCAAACATTGACATTGCTCCAATCAATTGAACTTGCTGGGGCAGTTCTTCTCCAAGTACCCAATCCAAATATAAGCCTGGCACACCAGGGTAAAGGTTTCCTGGTTGCCAGTGAACGAAGCATTTGGCGCATGCAGGGACTCAACTATGACGTCCAGATCGATGAATTGGTCCAGGGTGGTCATCTCGATGAAGCGATCAGCCTCCTGGATATGATCGAAGAAACCTTGGTCAATAACAAAATTGGACGACTTCGTGAAATCAAAATGCAGAAAGCGCAGAGGCTCTTCGACGAGAAGAAATTTCGGGAATCGCTTGATCTCTTCGGAGAGGTGTCTGCACCTCCAGAACGAGTCATCAAGCTGTATCCGGAAATCATCACGGGTGAGGTGGCTGCCGAGAAGATTGTAGAGGAGCCTGAGCCCACAGAAGCACTCAAGAGTCAAGAGTCACCCAAAAAGAAGGGACATAAAAAAAGCGACTCACTGACGAGTCCAGTATCAAAGGTCAAGAGTGGTGCATCAGATGTAGACACCAACAGCATAAAAAGCAATAAAACCGCTGAGAATGCTGGCTCGAAATCGAACGGTCTGAACGAAAAGGAGCTCAAGTTTGCCGTCCGTGAACTACAAGCATTTCTCGCTGATACACGTCGAAGGTTGCAGCGGTTCTTCGACAGCGATCAGTCTGTGTTGGCTCTTTCAGACGTACAATTGGGATCCCAGTCGGAAGATATCAGGCAAAGTACGGAGTATCTCTTGGACTTGGCTTCTCTAGACGATGTCAATTTGTCTGACAAATTGATTGCTGTGGCCCGACTTGTGGACACAACGCTGTTCCGGGCGCATATGTATGCGACACCATCGTTGGCAACTTCTCTCTTCCGAATCTCTAATTTCTGTGACCCAGAAGTTGTGATGACCAAATTGGAGGAAACAGAACGATACAACGAGCTTATAGAGTTCCTCTACGGGAAAAGACTGCATCGACAGGCACTGGAAAGACTGCAGAAATTTGGCCAGGCCGACAAGACCGAGGACATCGACTCCCAGCTGCACGGACCGGAGCGCACAATCGCATACCTCCAGAACTTAGGCCCTGAATTGATCGACATGATACTCGAGTTTGCACAGTGGCCACTGGAAACGCAGCCTAATCGGGCGATGGAAATCTTTCTGGGAGACACAGAGAATGCAGAATCGCTGCCGCGGCACAGAGTATTGGCATTCCTGGAGTCGATTAACAAAGCCTTGGCCCAGAGGTTCCTCGAGCACGTGGTGGATGAACTCGATGATCAGACTCCGGATTTACATCAACGGCTTGTAACAATCTACCTGGAAAGCTTGAAAGATGACACGCCGAGCGATGAAGACGAAGTCTTGAATAAGTTCTTGACGCTACTGCGAACTTCAGAACACTACTCTCCAGCGAAGACACTCGGACTACTTCCTCGAGATGACCCAACCTTCTACGAGGCTAGGGCAATCGTCTTTAGCAAAATGGGCAACCATAAACAGGCATTGGAGATATATGTTTTCAAGCTACATGACACAAAGAAGGCTGAAGAATACTGCAACCAGACTCATTTGGAAGAGACGATCAACGGTGATAATAAACAGAAATTCCGTCGCAAGTCCACCACGGATCCGGTGGATGAGCAAGCGACCATTTATCACATACTTCTCAACCTTTATCTGAATCCACCTAAAGGGGAGAAGGCAATGTGGGAGCCAGCTATTGAGTTGATGGCACGTCATGGATCTCGACTGCCTGCCAGCTCGACGTTGGATCTGATTCCCGAGGACTTAGTGGTCAAAGAGCTCGAATTTTACTTCCGCGGACGCATGCGCAATGCCACGAGTATCATGAACGAGTCAATGATTACGTCGGGGCTGAGAAAGGTCGAGGCTGTGCGTGTTCAAGCAGCGCTATTGCTGGGCGAGGGCACGCCATCAAGTGGTCGGAATCGGAAAGTCCGAGTGGATGAGGACCGAGTCTGTGGTGTGTGTTATAAAAGACTTGGAAGCAGCGTTATCAGTGTGTTTCCCGAGTAAGTAGCCCGAAACCTCCCCATGCGAGTGAAGCCTTGACTGACTGATGGTAACAGTAATTCGGTAGTCCATCTCGGATGTGCAGTTCGTAAACAGAACGAAATAGCTGGGAAAGCATAGAGGCATAGTGTTTGTTGGTTCCTCCAGATACCCCCATGTAGCGATTCAACCCGTATCGTCATCGTCGACCACCTCTTCACCATAATTCTCTTCTTCAAGTTCTTCTTTCGTCTTGGACTTTGTAGCACTACTATCTAGGGTGTATTTCTTGTCCTCGTCCATTTTCCGGGTCAGAAAGTCGTTGATATCATCCTGGAGGTTCTTTGTCGAGGCGCGAAGCAGCCCAAAGTAAGCCGTCTGCGACTTCTTGTCGAGTTGATTATTAGTTTCGCTTGTTGCAATTCCGGAGGTGTCAATCGCGTAGTGGAATTGTTTGGTGTCCGTGGGAGATTTGTAGGACGCGGAGAGGCCGGCCTGTTGGGTATCTGATGGAGCAGGCATTTTGCTATCGGTCGTCTGTTACTTGAATCTTGCTGATGGTGATTGAAGCAATCCCCATGAAATTTCATGGGAAGGAACGAGGGGCCCGAGGCTGAGGGGTGCGCCTTCCCAAGTTCCGTCGGGTCCACTTTGCGCGTGGGCGGCTGTGAGTCTGCGACCAACACTTCAACATCTCTCCCTCGTCCTCAAGACCACTCCATGCTCAACGATCAAATCCCAGACAACACTTCTCACCATTCTGCTCTTGAAGAGCCACCCACCTATTCCCTCAGATGCTGGCCTTGTTCATCTCCTCTTCGCCTAGATCTCTTAGTTTCCAACATTATGTTCAATCACCTCCATCAGCAGCCGGCCTGCTCTTCCCCTTCAATTCTATAAGAATAGTGTCGGTTTACTCACTGTCACAACATGGAACCTCCTGCGCAACGTCGAGGAGGTCTGCGATCTCCTGTTCCGTCCTCTTCAGCCGCATCTGTCTCACCCAATCCCTCCCGTGCCGGTTCTAAACAAAGCATGCGTCCTGGTTCTAGTGGTAGTGACACATCTGCTTCCTCCAATCTCTCCGTTGTCAAAAGATCTCCCTACAATCAACAGCTACCAACCTTCTCATCGCATACGAATCACAGCAATGCCGCCACCGCTGGTCATCAACGGCCGTCCGCGCCCTACATGCCTCGAGATGACCACGGAAAACCCTTAGGTGGTCCCCCTCCTCCCGAACTCCAGAAACACCGTCCGCGACAGCATTCCCAAGGCTATTTTGAGCCATCCATGCCCTCGGCTTCTCTTGCTAGCCAATCTAATTTACACGATCATGCCACAATGTCAGGCCTCACTCCTTCTCAGATCGCCGCCCAGGCTGCAATGCAGCATCTCAACGCTACCAACCACAACCGGAAACGTTCACAAACCGTCCCATTTCCGCAGGAACAAACTCAGCAAGAAGGCCGTCGGAGTAGTAGAGGCTCTACAGGTTCCCATGAAGGACTAACACCATCTCATCCTGCTCCTGACCAGCAATATCGAAATGGTCTCATTGGCAACAATGCCGCGGCTACAGCGGCCAGCGTAGTCTTCCCGCGTGGCGTAACTCCTTCAGCCCAAGTCGTATCCGTGGAAGAGGAGAAATCAAAGAAAGGATTGAAACGCTTCAGACCTAAGCACATGGTACTGTCACGAGACAAGGACAAGGATATCAAGGATAAGCCATTGCCTTCACCAAATAGACTGGCACCCAGTGGACTATCCAAGGTTTTGAATGCCTCTACATCCAGCCTGACCGAGTCCTTGTCTTCCAACAACTCTTCCCTTTATCAACTTCAAAACCCGTCCTCTTCCACAATAATTCCCATTCCTGAAGCAAAGGACAAGCCACATAAACATCATGGATTGCGCCAGAAACTAAAGTTGAAAGACAAAGACGAGTCTTACACTTTACCACTATCCTCTGCAAATTCCAATTCACGGCCCGTGGATATAAACAACCCGCAATCTCTCTACTCATTTGCTCCCTCTTCCCCAAATCCAACTTCCTCCTTCTCCAAGTCAGTGTCCGGTCTGGATCTGCGACACGGAGGACGGGCGTTAAGGGAGAAGAAGAAAGAGGAGAAAGAAAAAGCACAGGCTCTTGCGGGTCTGGAGCCGGTTTACAGTCGCGGTGAGACTGACACCTCAGAATGGCCTTCCCTGGGTACCAGTTTCACCAACCAGTCTTTGACCAATTTCAACCCCCATGCCGAAGTCAAAGATGCTTCCGCCAACTTCGGACTCAACAATATGTCAGCCGATGATGCGTGGGATCTTCTTCGCGCCAAGATACTTGTGGCCTTTGAGGGTGAAGAGGTTCGCATTGCCGTAGAGAACCTCAATAAACTAGTCACAATTCACGTACAGAGATGTGTTCAGAAACGAGATCCAAGTATCATCATAGGTGACCTCGAGGACCTCTTGAGAACCGGCTTCCTCAGCCTCAATCATACGTTGCGTATGATCTCGGACGATAGACTTGTCCCTCATTTGGTCAGCATGTGGATGCAGGTTTTCGGCACCGTGCTTCCTTTCATGCAGGCTGTCTTCCTTCCTCTTGATCAGGAGTTCAAAGGCAGAGGCAGCATTTTGACGAGTCCTAAAATGGCAGGCGAATTCTGGGGAGCACTTCCTAGTGCTGACAGTGGAAGTAAATTATCATCATCTCCAGCGGCTGGGGATGGTGTTGATTTCGTTGTGGCAGCAGGAGAAGAGCTTGAGGTTCGACGAATTCTATTGATTGCTTACCGTGACGTTATCATATTACCTCGTTTTGAACATCTCAAGGCAACATTTTCACGCCTTAGCTTGGAGAGCATCAATGTTGCGTTGTCTTCTTTCGAAAGTGCGAATAGACATCGTGGCAACAGCGGTGCTAGTGACAGGCCAGGTACTGCGACGGGTCTCGAACCTATGTACGCCAGCTACAATTCTCAAACCAGCACCTTGCTGGGAAGTTCAACGTCTGGAGGTGGTAGATCACGAGCTACATCCAACCTGTCGATTTCTAGCAATCCCGCCCAGGATGTGGCGTTTCAATCCTTCAGCTCGCCTCCTGCTGCGAGACCATCTGATAGCTCATCAGCACAGGTGACTGAGACTGTAGCCCGGATGCTGCAATGTTTGTCAGTTCTATGTTCGGTGCAATCAGGAGATGATGCCCAAGCCAAGATGGAAGAACTCAGCAGGCAGCTCAAGTTGAACTGGCTGGGTCGAGGTCGTACAGGCCGCAATCGAAAGGGATTTGTCGGCAGTCGAGTCAGACCTGCAGCAAGCGTAGGCTCTACTATACGGGGATTGAACCGAGATGGAAGTCCCACACCCACACCCACAAGGCAGGGTACTGTCAGTAGGCAAGGAGACGATTCGTCGAGATTTTGACAGGAATGTGGATTACGATATGATTTTGGCCTTTGCCATGTTGCCAGCAATGCTAGATACTTTATCATCTTCCAGTGAGCAGTAGGTTGTGTCTCCACGAGAAATTCTATTTCGTAATCACGATCATGGTTCCAAAGCGAAGTGTACTTTACCACCGTAGCAGCTCTGCCATCTAACGTTATGCACATCATCCATACTGAGTATTGCGGTTTGTGCCCATAACGTTTTGATTCCCGAATTACTTCGATTTCTTCCAAATCAATGGCATAAAAGAGTTGCAACAACGCCACACCACTTGAGGATTCGTAGGGACTTAAAGAGACTTCACAACCAAAACTTCCTACCTCTATACAACCTTTTAAAACATTCAACTCTTCGAGCAGCTGAGATTCCAATTTCCTCTGATTCATCACCTCATCTCTAGAATCTCGATCAAGCCAACCAGTCCCGAAACAGGAAACAAGCGAAAAATGCCCTATTTCCAATCCACGACGGACGGTGCACGCCTGCACTACGTCGAGTACAACCCGTCACCAACACCAGCACCAACCGGCGAGAAAGCTGTCGGCACAGCAGCACCAGTACCAGCACCAGCACCACGCTTTGCGATCTCCCCAACCCGCGACCTCAGCGGTCTCGCAAGCGGCGACCCCAACGGCCAAGTGACGCTCGTCTTCATCCACGGCTGGCCGATGTCGCACCGGATGTTCGAGCACATGCTGTTGCGGCTGAGCGAGACACACGGCGTGCGGTGCGTGGCAAGCGACCGGCGCGGGTTCGGGGACAGCGAGTGGACCGGATGCGTGGGCAAGGGCGAAACCATCACGTACGACACGTTCGCGCGCGACACGGTCGACTTCCTCAGTGCCGTGCAGCGCGGCAGTCGCGGGCTCGGCGCGTTCTACTTCGTCGCCGCGAGCATGGGCTGCGGCGAGACGGCGCTGGCGTACCGCTTGCTGCTCAACGCAGTGGATGATCCCGCGGCGCTGGACTTGAAGAGCCGCTGTCGTGGCTTCGTCTGGCTGGGGCCCAGTCTGCCGTTTCCGTTGCGCACGGAGCGGAACCCCTCTGCGCCGCCGCGCGAGCTGTGGGATGCCATTCTACAGGGATTTCGAGACGATCGAGTTGGGTTTGTCCGGGCAGCCATCCCGGGGGTTTTTGGCGAGGGGTTTGGTATTGGGGTTGAACTTGCGCCAACCGTCAAGGAACGGTTCGAACGGATTGTTGAGCGTGCCGATGCGTTGGCTATAGAGAGGTGTGTGCAGATTATCGCGGGGACGGATTTGACGGATGTTGTTAGGGGTTTGGATTGTCAAGATGGTGGTGGTGATGGACACGGGGTGAGGTTGTTGGTTGTCCATGGGGATAGTGATCAGAGTGAGTATTTCTGGGTGGTGTTTCCTTTCTTTGGTCTGTCGCGCCATGTTGTCCATCGCATGGCCGGACAGAGGTTCGGAGGGTCCCCTATATGCTGACTTACCTACTTCATTTTACTTTGTTTTCCTTTAGCTATCTCAGAGTGGCTAGCTGACAACCATCCATCAACAGGTATGCCAGCCGAAAGTAGCGCGAACATCATCCCGACACTTGTCACACAGGCACAGGTGAAGATCTACAAGAATGCCGCACATGGCTTATACCTCACTCATGCGGACGAGTTGCTGGACGATATCTTGACCTTCGTATTCGGGAAGTGATGAAGTTGAGGGAGGGTCATTCAGTCCAACGTGCCAAGCGGTCGTTCGTATTCAATAAATGACGATCACCTGGCTTATTTACGAACCCCCGCCCGGCCGGCCACAGCATAACGTTATGTTTTTCTTGGGGGCCGGATGGCTTTGGCTACTTGTAAATATTGTCGCTTGCTGCCTGGGAATGTCGAATGATGGTTATTATTGGATCTGATACTTGATCGGATGGAAATAGGTTCTTCCAAGTCTCATACAAAATACTTCTTTGGAAAGCTTTCGGTTTGGACACTTGATCAGTTGGAGAGTCTACCGTTCGCTGTGATTACATTTGGTCTGGGGTGCTCAGCCCTTTCCTAACCATTCTCTAAGAACGAGCTCGCCATATCAACTCATAGTAGGAATCTTACATTACACAATGTCTTCAACCAAGTCACTACCAAAACGAAAGGCAGATGACATCGATTTGCCCGTTCGTGGGCAAGACCCTGCAGAACGGAAAAGAGTTCTCAACGTACTAGCTCAGAGGAGATATCGCCAACGGAAGAAGGAACATATAGAGAAACTTGAAGCGCATGTCAAGCCTGTTGATTTCGCTGTACCAAACGACAAGCAAAGCTCGAGGAGAACCAAGGCCTTGTCATCAGATACTCAACCAGTGGCATCACGGTCAAGCCAACAGGTCCGTGGAGGGACTGCACAGGTCGATCCCACATCGATCATAACTGAACTACCCATCATTGTGAGTGAGATATGTGACGACAATCCATTGGATCCAGCATTGTGCTTCTTGTCATCATCACCCACTCAAGTGCAGAAGCCACCCATGACCCAAGCAGTCGAGGCCACTTCAGATCCGTTTCTCATGGACCCCTTTGTAGCCTATGATACAACCCGGACATCAATTCTTGATGGCCAGTCTTTTTGGGCCACACCAATAGCACTCCCATCAATTTCCAATAGCCCCGAATCCTCCACGACGGGTTCATCGTCAAGAGAGAGTGTTAGTTGGTCCTTACCGTTATTTCCGTTGGTAGACGAGGAGGAAGACCACACGACAGCCACCACAATGGGCCAGAGCAACCAAATATCTGCCAGGTCGCCAACAAACGACTTGCAATACTGTTTTCCCGACGAAGCCCACCTGGAAGTTCTCGAGCTGACACTTCTCCGTGGTTGTATGATGATTGCCACCCGACTAAATGTGAGCGATATCATCTGGTCGCTTACAGCGCAGTCACCATTCACAGAGCCTTTCATGGCGTTCGCGCAATACAGACACTTACCAGCCAATCTGCAACCTACCATGGTTCAAATGACGGTACCCCATCACCCGATCATAGATCTTCTCCCATGGCCAAGGGTGCGGGATAGGATGATCACGATTCTCTCGCAACCACCAGAAATGCGACCCCCACAGGCTGCCTCGCAGACCGCACTGCTAGATTTCGTGTACGATATTGAGGACAGTTCAGAAGGCATGCGACTTTCGGGTAGTGATCCATACTCGGCCAATAATTGGGAAGTTGGAGAGAAGGTCTTTAGTTCTTGGTGGTGGATATTCGATCGCGACATATTGAGGCGAAGTAATGAGTTGAGACAGTCAAGAGGTGCTCCGTTGCTGGGCAGTCAGCCTGGAACTGTCTTGGGTGAGGTAGCCTAAGAGGAATTCTCGGTGTGATCACGAATATTTTGGAACTCGTGAAGGTCATCTCTGCTGACGATTCTGAGCAGCTACTATACGACTGAACGTAGTGGGAGTAGTGCATATGTAAATAATACAATCTCGATAAAGTTGAGCGGCGTGGGCTGAAGTTTGCTGTCAAGAGTTTTGGCTCAAGTCATTATTACGAGGTAAACTCTTCTAGAATCCAGACGCGTTGCCCAACGTGGTCAAGTCCTTCAGCTGTGTCATCAAGTGCTATTTGTGAATCTAGACCTTAAGCATGGGGTATCATGATTTATCAATTGGACTCCGCCCTCTCAGGCTCCTTCAAAGACTGTCAAACTTCGTGCCTTACCAAACGTGGGCACCTAAGGCGGTCATTCCGGGTATTTTGCATAACCACTGGCATCTCAACATAGATGACACGAAAGAGTTGACACGGAATCAAGGTAGGTCCTGTTCTCATCACCAAGACGACAAAAGGATTCTAGACCCAGATCCTTTCGTTTTCATATTTCGAAATCATCTCCTGCAGGCTACGCACCTGGATCAAAGCTGACAACGAAGGAGCTGAAGCAAGGGAATGAGAATCCGTGTTTGTGGATGAGAGGCGTTTGCTGGCAATTTGTTCCTGCAGATATTGTAATTTCCAAGCCTCGCTAGCCCCAGCTAATGGCGTTCCATGAGCGACACCATTGGCTCATGCGGCTAATAAGCAAAACTACGGCTTAGCAGCCGTCTACTAGCGTGTCAATCTTTCGACTCGGGGCTAACCGAGACTTGCGACTTCAACTTCCACGAGTTCAAGTTTCTTTGGAGGATTGAAGCTACCGAGTGCTCTAGTTACGGAGTAGTCTTCTCGTCTTGCTTGCCTTGCTTTTGCTTCGCTGGCCCTTTCTCCCGAGGCTGACTTGAGCCTGGCAGAGACGATTTTTGCCTCATCTTGCGCCAGTCGCTGATGCTAAGACACTCTGTCTCTACGCATTCAACTGTCTTCCTTACGCGGACTTTCGTTTCTACCATTCTTGACTGTCGCTGGGGCAAACGGTCAGCAGCAAGGACAAGTCAAAATGTATGAATACCCCATTCTCACGATGCGTCCGGATGTCCATCAGCCAAGCAACGCTTGAATGTCACCGAAATCCGATCCCACCTAGCGCTGATGCCCCCTTCTCTCTTAATACTGCCAATTCGGGATTTTAAGCCCTTGTCCAACCTAAACAGTCTGGCCCGGATGATAGCCTTGCACTCCTGCCCGCTAGGGATCCCCTGGTGATGCCGTGTATCTATTTCAGCCAACACCAGCACCGCCTTCATGTGCCGTCGGGCAGTGAGTGGCCTTGCCAATGAGGCAACCTTCAAGCTAGGTCTTTTTGGTACCTCGTACTGGGTTTGATGTTTCCATCTCTTTTTGAGACCCTGTCTCCCCTCTCTTTCTTCTTCTAACTTCTGTTCCTCGTGTCGTCGTCGCTCACGGGCTTAAACCACCAGTCACTCGTTCTTTTACTAATTTTGCTTTCCTATTGTCTTTCGTTTCTATCGGGTCTCTGTTTAATCAATACACGACAACATGAGGTGGTCAGTTACTTGCCTATTGGGCATCGCTGCATTGGCGGCCAGTCAAGAGAGTACCTCGGAGGCTGCTACCACTATCACAGCATCAGCAGAGAGTGCGGCACCAAGCAGCACCGAAGCTTCAGCGACATCCAGCGCACCAATTACGCATACAATCGGTGTAGCAAAGGTGCGATCGCACACAACAGTGGTTTAACCTCACGCTAATGAAGCACAGGGTGGACATACATTCGAACCAGATGTCACACAAGCCAGGGTGGGCGATACCATCAAATTCGAATTTTATCCTACCAATCATTCGGTAGTTCGAGCAGAGTACGGCTATCCTTGTATTCCATATGAATATACAGGCGTCGACAAGATTGGATTCTACTCTGGATTCAGGCCCGTCGACGCTATACTGGACGACCCACCAGCATACTATCTCACAATCAACGACACCGACCCGATATTCTTCTACTGCGGTGCCCCAGGATCATGTATCAACTTTCAAATGGTTGGGACTATAAATCCCAACGCTACGACATCGCTCCAGACTCAAAAGCAGCTCGCTAAGGATTCTACTTTTATGTTGACGCCAGGCCAGCCATGGCCTGATGAGCAAGAAGATCCTTTCACCACAACGAGCTCTTCACCAACGACGACGCCGACTGCAAGCAGCACGACCGCACCAGCAGCTGGAGCCTCGACAAGCGACAGTACATCAACGTCGCATCACTCAAGTCTTTCGACCGGTGCAATTGCGGGAATCGCCATTGGTGCAGCTGCTGTGGCGCTTGCCGGAGCTGTTCTTCTATACCTTTGTGGTCGCCAGTCACGTCGCCATACGCCAGTCAATCAACTTGAAGAGAGACCGGGCACAGGTCATGCTACTGTGCACTCAATGGCATACAATCCCCACGGCCATATGACGGGCCAATACATGGATCCCATGAAACACATGTCGATGCATAGCAACGCCATGCCCCTCAGTCCTGCTCTGCCAGGATATGCACCAGCATATGATGCAAATATGTCTCCTGCTATGCACCAAGCCTATCCCATGAGCGACTCTCTGAAACCCGGGTTCGGTAGTGACATTTCCACCCTCCATAGCACGTCACCAAGTCCAATGTATTCCACGCCCGCCTATCCAAATGGAGTGCCGCACAACATGTAAGTTCCCAATCATAATGCGCCTTTTTTCCAGCTCTAACATTGTCGCCAGGACTCCGCTTCCATACGGCGCCCCACAATCACCATATCAACCACAAATCCACGAGATGGCAGACTCTGATGCGAATGCGGCTCAAGGACATATGCGACGGTCCAGCACCCACAAATCAAATGGGGTCGAGAGATACAGCTGAAGAAGTCTATTCAGCTGATGTTTGATTATGTCTTTTGGGAAATATTTATATCGAGCAATGGAGCAAAGGGAGAATCTTACTCAACCAACTAGTCGTCTTCTGGGTTTGGCTATAGGAGCGCACGCATACTAGGTTTTATTGCCATGATTATTCACACCGACTTCCAAAGGACGCGTATATACATATCTCAATATCAGACAGGGGAGTGCAAGCTTCCTGCATCTCACGTTACAATGTTTGTTTCCGTACATACTTATTTCGACATGAAGGGCCGCATAGCGCTCTCAAGATTGTTACAAGCCATTCTCTAACGGGTCACACTTGGATCAATTGCTCACCTGTCCCATTGTCCATGCTCATTGGGATTTGAGCGAGTCGCTTACAACAGCAAAATTGATCATTCCCCACGTCAAACCCTTCGGAAACCGAAGTGTCTACCAAAATGCCAGCATTCGCAGTGAAGCGCAAAATGCAAACGGAGTCCGGGACAGTCAAAGCCGAAGAACGAAAGAAACGGCGACAGGTTTCACCAGGGCCCGTCTCAACAGTCGTGGTTCGTATCAATTTAAGGCGACTGTCACTCCTTCCATAGTTGCCCAAGAAGAGGTCACTCACATCTAGTTCAAACCAATGAGCGTGAAGAGGCCAAAAGGTCTCTGAACCATTCTCGACATCTGCTCGCTGTTCTTTGGAGCTGTTTTGAGTTTCCTTCAATCTCCACATGCGGGACAATACCTCGGATACTCGAACATCGCCATGGTCTTACCCCACAGATTATGAAGGCGATCGAGACCCGAGAGCTTATCTTACTGCATCTCTCCAAGGCAAGCTGACGAACCAAAAGTGTCGCTCGGAGAATCGGCATTGGAGATATGTACCTCCACGTCTGAACATGACGATGAAGAACGTGTATGGGATGAGGAGGTTGTTCGTGGGCAGTTCAAATAGGGGTCTCATCATCTAACGGTTGAGTGTTCATTGCCATCTCTCTCATAGCAAAACAAGTTGAGAGATTCAGGACAAGCACGAAGATATGCCTACACTACTGCGAGACATGGGCGATTGCCACAACGATGTCAAGCTTACCAATGGGATTGGCCATACACAGAATGGTCATCATGATGGAAATGAACCCGAGGAACTACTTGACGTAGTAGTGGTAGGAGCCGGCTTTGCAGGCTGTTATCTGCTCTACAAATTACGACAACAGGGCTTCAAGACGAAGATTGTCGACGCAGCATCAGACCTCGGAGGTATTTGGCACTGGAATACTTATCCTGGAGCCCGTGTGGACAGCCAATATCCGATTTATGCCCTGTCGCTACCCGAGGTATACGAAGACTGGAACTGGAGCTCACACTATCCAGACCATGTCGAGCTTAGACAATATTTCGCGCACGTGGACAAAAAGCTGCAGATCAAGAAGGACACGGTCTTTAACTCGAAAGTCATCTCGGCCGATTTCGACGAGACTCGAAACCAATGGTTACTGACTTGCGACACGGGCAGGAAATTCCGCGCGACGCATTTCATCGCGTCGCTAGGGTTTGCGGCGAAGAGATACTTTGGGGAATGGGAAGGACTCGATTCGTTCAAGGGCGTCATTCACCACAGTTCATTCTGGCCACACGAAGGGGTTCACGTCAAGGGTAAGAGGTGTGCGGTGATCGGCACCGGGGCAACAGGGGTACAGATCACGCAAGAGTGGGCTAGGGAAATCGGCGACGAAGGCGACCTGAAGATGTTTCAGCGGACGCCCAATCTGGCATGTCCCATGAGACAGGTGTTCCTGACGGCAGAGGAGCAAGAAAAGGACAAGAAGAACTATCCGGAGTTGTTCAACCAAAGATGGGTAAATTACAATGGATTCTTATACCAGTTTCGAGCCGAGAAGATGTTCGACGCCAGCCCTGAGGAGCGGCAGGAGATGTTCAACATGTTGTGGAATATGGTAAGCCTTGTTCTGTTTGTCTTTCTCTCATGCGTCTGTGCCTCTTTCCGCAAAATGTTTTCACCTTCGGCTAACGCGACTCCCTCCAAAAACAGGGCGGCTTCCGCTTCCTCATGAACAACTACTACGACATGACACGCGAACTTAGCGCCAACCGCGAAGCGTACAACTTCTGGCGGGACAAAGTGCGGGAGCGGGTGCACGACACCAAGAAAGCGGCACTCCTGGCACCGTGGGACCCACCGCACCCATTCGGCGCGAAGCGGCTGAGTCTGGAGCAAGACTTCTACGACCACTTCAACAAGGCCAACGTGCACGTGGTGGATATGAAGAGCAACCCGATCGCACGCTTCACTAGCGAGGGGATCGTGCAGACGGACGGGACGGAGCACGCGCTCGACGTGATCGCGCTCGCGACCGGCTTCGACTCCATCACCGGCGGCATCAAGGACATTGCGATCCGTGGGCGAGACGGCGCCCTGCTTACCGAGAAATGGAAGACCGGGACCTGGGCGTACCTCGGCCTGACGACGGCCGGGTTTCCGAACTTCTGGTTCACGTATGGCCCGCACGCGCCGACGGCGTTCAGTAACGGGCCTTCTTGCGTCGAGTTGCAAGGTGACTGGCTGGTGGATTTGTTCGTCGCCATGCGTGACAAGGGTTATACGCGTGCCGATGCCGATGTCGCTGCCGAGAATGACTGGCGCGCCCTGGTCAAGGAGTTGAGTCTCAAGGGCGTCAGGGGCCATACTGATTCCTGGTATAATGGTGCCAACATCCCGGGGAAACCGAGGGAGCCGTTGAATTATGCGGGTGGGATCCCCATGTATATCAAGACGTTGGAGGAGTGTAAATCGGAGGGTTATAAGGGTTTCATCATGCAGTAATTATGCGATAATCATGCGAGCAAGATGTCCTTTTGATGTTAAATTGCGTTGTTGTGGATAAATATATTCATGTCTTGTTGCCTGACTATGGGATTTTCTCGACGAGTGTGGTCCAAGCCACTCCCAATTCCTACGTTTCATCGAGCATCTCTACGGAGAGCCTACCCGACTTCTATCCCACAAGTCTGAGTATTCCGGTATTTTCATGTTAATAAATAAGCACAGCTCGCAGAACGCAAATTATCCCAGGACATGCCATCCCCGCCAAGACTCAGCCTCGTCATGCCTCGCTGTGTGAGGGCTCGCGGCTCAGTCTTCGAAGGCTCTCCTCAACAGTGTCACTCGGATCTTTCTGTTGATCCCGAGTAATTTTGATTTGGCGGACGCCTTCTCAACGTACCAGGTCGACTTTCCGGTAAGCCGACCTGCGATGGTTGTGAGAGAGGTCTTTTGTCCGCGCTTCAACGGCGACTGGCCAAGTATCGTGCATCACATTGGTATCAAGCCTCTAATTCCTCTCCGATCAATTCACTCTTGTTCATTTCGTCGGTTCATGGATAGATGTTGCTCCCCAATCTCTGCCGTCACATGTTGGCGGGCTGCATGTGATGGTCGCGAATGCGAGTTGAATATCTTGTGGTTTTCTCGTTTCGCTGTGGTCGAACTCGCTCACAAAACTCCATGGTTTTCGTGTACAGTGACATAGCGGTTGACGTTGACGAGATGACCCTGGCTCCAGGAAGGTCACGTTGATCGTTGATCAGGAATCCGAACTCATCTGACAAATCAGTGATTCGAAAGCACATATCACATCACGCCTTCCTACCACCACCACCAGCAGGAGATAGCCCAGCAACCGCCTTCCCAACCCTCTCAAGAAAAACCCAACTCGCCCGCTCGTCCTCAAATGCCAGGTATCCGTCGAAACGCCTGAACTTGGTGCATTTGAGGACCTTAGCCGCAATCTCCTGCACCGCGAGCATTTCCAGCGGATTTTCAAAGTAAGTCGAACCGCCCTGGCTTCCCTCGTCGTCGTCATCCATGCCGCTCATCCCACCATATTCCATCGGGATTTCACACGGGACAGGGAGAATTCGCAGCCCGCTTCCCGGCGCCTTGGAAAGACGGCCCAGGTCGCACATCCGCTCGCAGACGATATGGGATTGGGGTACGAGGAGAACTAGTTGCGTCTGTGGTGTGAGGAGCAGTGTCGAGACGATTTCTCTCATTTGGGTGCAGTATACACGGTCGGCGCGTGGGATCGACAGGAGATATGTTCTCTGTGAGGCCGAGGCATCCTGGCTGTCCCGGCTGTGGTGCTTGGATTTCGAGTTGGAGTGAGCCTTGGTCTTGAATCTCGATCTCAAGCTGCTGGATTTGCCAGCATCAGGGCAAACTTGCACCGTTGCTGATGTTGTGGCCGACGCAGGGTGGAGACTATTCACGATGATGCTGGAGATGGATTTCTTAGACTCGCTTGGTTGCTGTTTGCGATGCGTGGCTGTTCTGGAGTTTAGCTCGGGCTCTTGCGTCGTGAACGTATTCCACAGAGTGGCCTTCCCAGTTGCCATCCCATAGGAGCCTGTAGAGTAGGCGAAGTCCCAGACTGCGGTTGTAGCATTGCGATCTTCTGCCATCTCAAAAAAAAAAAGGTAATCGTCTGTGGGTTGAAGGTCAACTCCAAGGGTTCGACGAAGAACCGAGGTTAAATGATTGACTACCTGAAGTCGTGAAATTTTCCTTCGTCCGTTCCGCAGAGGGGCTGAAGAATTGAAAGTGCGTTGGTCACAACAAATTCCTAGTCCTTATCTACTTACAGGCCTCTCTGCCCTGTGGGAGGTCGGCTACAGCAAGTTCGCACTATCTCGACAAACTGACGAGGCCTAGCGAGTTGAGTTCGCAATGGATATCAATCTGACATGAGTAAGGCACCCCGGGATTGTACAACCAAGATGATCGAAAATAGTTCAGCAGAACAAGACCGGTGACATCTGCATGGCTGCGTGTGGTCCGACTCAAAGTACAACAGTATTGAGTTAGTGGAGGTGGCAAGATTATGTAGGCAAGTACTTCTGTCGACTTTGGGACGGCGGAGTCAGGTCAGAGGATTATGTAAGGTCAGAGCTGAGATACGAGTATGACACGGGCTCTCACCCATCAGGAAAATGCAGGCGTGAGAAGTTGGATGGCTGGGCGATCCATATATATACAGAGCGAGAGGGCGAGAGTTATTTAACGAGCCGCATATGCGGTAAAGCTATGTAGTGTGTTGGTCTCGTGGCTCAGGGCCGCTGGCAGCCGGGAAGGAAGAAAAGAAAAGAAAGTCCCTATCAGTGCCGATGGCATTATCGTTCGCTTGTCAGGTGGCCGGTTAAGAACGAAGAAACGAACACGGGACGTCAAATTGTGAGAGAAAGCCACACCGACCGACAATATCCAAATGGAGATACTGGTTGGATTAGGTGATATGAATGCAGAAACCGAGGTGGGATTTGACGCTTATCGAAGTCCTCAAGATAGGTAGGTACTTCAGGTGTTGAAATTGAGTCCACCCTCGGCCATCTTCATCCGCAAATCAGAAAAATAACGCTCTCAATCCTACGTAGTTGACTAGTCAGAGATGATCAGCGGCCGCACTCTGCCGCCCGAGAAATCACCGGGGATGGAAATCCTGGGGTACAGGACGACCCTGTGATCGTTGAGCACGGCGGTAGGAAACTGATGATGCTAATTTTTGATTGTCTATTCTTTTCTAATTTTATCTTTTCTATTTAATACTACTATAGTTATTGCTTTGCAGGAAGCCGCCAGTGATATCGATAGCCGACCATAATAACGAGAATATAAGGATAAAGATAGCAACTTAGGGACGGCGGCCGCCACCCACCCATTAGAGAGGCGCGCAGGTGAAAGGTTTGCGATCGGCACCATGGCTGACCATGCTCTTGATGCTGGCGTACAGGCCAGCGACACAGAGGATCGCACCCATAGCGATCAGGAGCACGTTGATGAATATGAGGACCAGCTTTGTCTTGGTCCAGGTGGGCGACGCGACCTCATCGTTTGACACGTTCTCAGGGTCAACGACAGGCCTAGTGCGAAGACGAGGGATGAGAGGATGCCACCAGTTGTTGGCACGAGACCTGCCGAAGAGAGGTTTGTTCATGTGAAACCAAAACATGCCACTGAGACCGAAGGTAAACCAGCTGGCGAAGAGAGCTGATGTGATGGCTAGCATGTCGTTGAAGACGGGAACGACTTCGGCAATCAACCAAGCCAGGAACCAAGACATGCAACCCAGTCCAATCCAATACCAGCGTGATTTCCATGTGCGTTGGTGCAAAAGGTCATCCTTGCGATTGCGGAGAAGACGCACGTAGATGTATTTGACGCAGACATGACCGTTGACAACGCCGGCAATGATGATGGTGGGTATGGCGACCCCCCATGCTACCTTGGAGACGGTTTCACCGGCGCTGTTGAGGGCTGGACTGGCTACTGAGTCGCCCGCGAAGTAGTAGATGACGACCGTGGCAATGAGATACATGGAGATGTCGCTGACCTGGAGAAATGCCAGGGCCTTGGGAAAGTCGTTGGGATCCTTGAGCTCCGAGATAAAGGTGAAGAAAGCCGGATGTCCGGCGTAAGCGAAGACCATGTTTGATACAGCGAGGAATCCGGGCACGAAAGCCAAGTCGTCTTTCGGCCAGAGACGGAAGACGACTTCCTGGCCTGCCGCTGCTGCTTCTTGCAACGCTGGCTTGGAGATGCCGACTGAGATCATCGTGATCATCACGGCACCAATGATGCTGATGAATGAGGCAACCGAGTAGAACGACAGATTCTTCAGAGTGCGAGGAAGAGTGCATAGCAAGCTGAGCATCATGCCAATCACCATCCAGACAATTGTGCAGACGAATTTTCCTGTGAGCTTGTTCATGCAGATGGCGAAGGTGAGGATATGACTGCCCATCACGAAGATGTAGAACAAGTACTATCAAGTATGTTAGTTGAGATGCAGTCAAGGATGAGTTAGGGACCGGTTTACCTGGCCAGTACCGATGACTCTGGCACCCCATTTACCGAAGAGAACCTTACCAGCACACTCCATTGAGTGGATGTGAGGGTATCGAAGTTTGAATTGACCGATGACAATACCAGAGTATGATGCAAAAGCACCAAGACCAAGAAGTAGAATGAGACCTGGGATGACCCCAACCGTTGACATTGCCTGTGGCAATGACAAGATTCCCAGGGAGATGGTTTCGGCCACCATCACCATGCCGGCTTGCCACCACTTCATGCTTTGATACTCAACACCACCAGCATTTTGAACCGCCATCGGGTCGAGCTTATCGCGCTCGACGGATGGAATTGGCTTGTCGGATAGGTGATTGACACCTTGGTTTGCAGCTAGGGCGGTGTCCAGACTCAAATGAGGCACACCCATCCTTGAGGCTGGGCGTGCGCCTGGACTCCAAACTGGGGTCCGTGGAGGCTTTGGAGGTGCATGTGCTGGGATGTCAGCGCTGGTGGATGGTTCTTGGTGAGACATTGTAGCCACCAAGGTGAAAAGTATTGATATGGATGGAAGAGAGAAGGGAATCAAACATCTTATGTGGCCTGGGTGCTCTCCAGCAGGTGTGCAGAGCGTGAGAGGAAAGGGGGTGGGGTGGTCAACAGAAAAACATGAAGCAAGGCAACCGCTCCACTTTATGGTGTGCAATATCGGAAAATAAACTATCTTTGTGATGTGCAACGAATTAGGTAGTAGTCGTAGAGGATATATCATACTCTTTGGTTCGCGAATGAGAAACGCGTTTGAGGACCATTTTGCTTTCCATCCTTTCCGCAGATGCACTGGCGATCGCGCAAGAGCCACCCATCCCAAGTGCGCAATTCCAGACAATGCACCGCTATGTTCAACCGTAAACAGAGAAATGGCCGTGAAAAGTTATGTTCTATCAGCGATTTGCTGGGGAGTTCTGGCCCAATACTGGGTTTTGGCCAGGCGTCAGCTTTGAATCGCTCTCGAGTGTGTCCGCAGGACCATCTGTGTTATTGTAGTTAGCCAAAAGGGTGGGGATGAATGTAGATCGGGGACGGAAATTACCGTATCTGGAGTATAGCTTCCTCTCATATTCGTCCGTGAAGCCAGCCTTTCCGCTCTCTACGTCTTTCCTCGAAACTCCGAGTTTGCTCTTGGGCAGACCCATAGATGCCAAGAAGGTGACACTCTCTTTCCATTCAACTTCTCTCCTCTTGTTGTCCCACTTCAGCTCCTCAGCCATCAGATCGATCACCATAGGCAATGCTTCTAAAGCAGCTTGAGCGTTGAGGAAAGCTAGTCTCGTCCGTCGTGCAATAACATCCACTGCACGCTGGGCGAATTCATGACGGACGGCGTATCGGACTTCACCATCCACGAATGGGTACAGGGCAGATATTCGTATTCCTCGGACTGGAAATCTTTCATTGGTGGGGCTTGATAACGCAGCCACAGTCCAAGCCCGATCCCCATATGCATCAGCCAAGTGTTTTGCCACTTCAGTTTCTATGCCAAAATGCTGAACCAAGTTTATAAAGAGAGTTTTGGAGAAACCATGTGCACCTACTAGGCGAACCTGATGTGTTTGGCAAGATCCGTCGAGTGGTGCGGCATCGTCGATCGCCTCGGTCCCACTTACTCTTGTGGGCGAGGTGAGGGGCTTTGTTTGCAAACTGAATTGTTTAATGGCCTCGTCGACCGCGTCTTCAGACATTTGACGGTACGTCGTCCACTTACCACCTGCACATGTCAGAAGTCCTGACTCTGATACGGTGACAAGGTGGTTTCGGACGAGAGACTGTGTGTTTTTGGCTTTAGGATCCTTAACAAGAGGCCTAATGCCCGACCAGGCGGCCAACACATCTCCGCGTCGGACATTGATATCGGGTGATAGATAGCCTTTGATCTCGTTCAAGATCCAGCCTATTTCGTCTTCTCCCGCAATCGGTTGCTGGGTGATATCACAGGGAGCATCTGTAGTTCCCGCAATAGTGTTTCCTTGCCAAGGGAGGAAGAAGATAACGCGACCATCCGAGGTTGCCGGGTCGATAAGACCCATAGAGTTCTTTTGAGGACTGTAGTAGCCGGGAAGGACGACATGTACACCCGAGCTAGGTGCAACTATTTCCTGGACGGTTTGATCGTCCATCTTGCGAATAGAATCACAGAATGGCCCAGTGGCATTGATGACTCCCCGTGCTTTGATGGTGATGGGTGGAGATGATTTCCCGTTCTTTTCTGCAATTACGTCCTTCACCACCGCTCCATTAAGTCTGCCAGATGCGTCTTTGGTTAAGCCCGTGACTTCCATGTGATTTACGACAGTTGCACCGTATAGAGCGGCCGTTGCAGCGATTGAGATGTTCATTCTGCTGTCATTGTGCGCTCCGTCGTAGTACACTAGAGCACCAACCAGATTGTCTTTTTTGAGCATGGGAAATGCGTCTAGGGCCTTGCTTTTAGTCAGAAAGTAACTGGTCTCGATACCCTCGCTACCAGCCAAGAAATCGTAGAACTTTGTCCCGGCCCAGAAATAAGGCGCCTGCCACCATTTCTGTAAAGGAATCATTATCGGCAACCACATGGACAGATGGGGCGCAGTGTCGAGGAAATACTTCCTCTCGCGCAGGGCCTCCTTGACCAAAGCATATTGGTTATAGTCCAGTTCCCAGACTGCCTTTTCCAAGTATCGCACACCGCCGTGGACGAGCTTGGTACTTTTACTGCTGGTTCCAGCGGCGAAATCATCGCGTTCAACGAGCGCGACCTTCAGTCCTCGAGTAGCAGCATCGAGGGCAATGCCTGAACCTGTGGCTCCTCCGCCAATGACCAAGAGGTCATAGGGCTCTCCGGCTCTCTGGTCCGCAGGTAGATCTCGGTCTGGATTGTCACTGACTGCACCTTTTAAACGGTCCAGGCTGTTCCGCAATTGCTGTGTGATTGAGGTATCTGAAGCTGCGGCACCAACCAGGCCAGCGCTCTTCCTCAGCTCTGAGATCTGCTCCGCTCGACATTTTATCAGAGGAAACTTGGGTGGAATGATGGTTCCATCATGGGTGCGGGGGATTGGGACGATGGCCCCTTGCGAACCAGGAACATTGATCGGACGGTAGGAGACATATATGAGGGTTCCGGTCACGCCAGCCAGAGCACCAGCGGAGTAGAGGAGAGGTCTGAGGAATCGCCGGGCGGAGGAAGGACGACCAGCAGCGGCCATGGGGATGGAGATCGAGATCGAGATCGGGGTTGATGGTTACACTCAAACCAGGGGACTTGGGTCGAGGCTGGCCGTTGAAGGAGTTGAATATGGTGGCTTGAGGAGTGTTTCAGTTGCGACTTGACGAAGAAGTGACTTATTCCACTAGAATCTCCATGCTCGACGCCAGAAGGTGCAGTCGGTGGAAACGGGTAGAGAGACAGCTTTGTGTAGCGTCACAGTGTGGACCAGCAGGGTGCTTGGTGGACTCGAACTGCGTCAGGGCGACGGAATTAGGAATGGCAGGGTAGCATATGAATGATGTATGTCAGAGAAGCAGAGTCCGGGGTCCCGGGGTGGCATATAAGAATCCGACGGGCGGGAATGGGGTCGTGGGTGGGAGCTGGTATTGGTGAATGTGTGGGTGCGGAGAGGGACAGCGACTTCAACGTCGAGTAAGGATAGACAGGTATGTAGACGGATGGCACGGACACGAGACCACGAGACGTGGTTGTAGAATACAGACAGCCAGATGAAGGGACGGGGGTCGTATTGTCCATCCAGACCTGGAATTTGGGGGAGGAAGAAGCTGGTCAAAGTGAACAGCTGAAGCATCTCCCCATGGTTCAGGCATGAGGGATGCAAGAACGTCGTCATGCATCTGCACCTCGGGTTATCAGCACCGACTAGGTGGGTTTCGTCGTCGGCATACTCTAATTAATTGGTCGCCTCCGTTTCTGGGCAGACACGGTGGCTCGCTTAAATTAAAGTGATTATCCTAACCGTGCAAGTCACTCGACCTACTCCCAACGCGTCGGTGGCCCAGCCGGTCCATCTGGAGATTTCAAACACATGTCAACAATTAAAACACGATGCTATCCGAGGTTCATCCACGTCTATAGACAAGTTCCAACGGGAGTGACTTGCATGTGCTTCGAGAAAGGACCAGGAAGGAGAACCTCATGTCGCGGAGTATCAACTTTTTGCTGCATTGCATCATGAAATGTCATATCTGCTTTTCAACTGATTTTCCTGCCTCGACTCTGCCAGGCCGACCACAATGCAAATTTCCCCTGTGTCCATGCCGGAATGACAAATGTTTCAATTTATGAAGCCGTCGAGTGGCATCCTCTTCCCCTGAGTTCATCCTATTTATGGCCATTGATTTGTTCAGCCTTTTGCTCCAACAATCCAATATCAATCTTCGCCGCTGGGACACTGCTTGGATGTGAGTCCATATTTATTTGAGATGGCGTCCGAACGGCCCTCAAAGGACTGATCGGGCTTTCTGAGCCATTAAGATTCAGGCGCTCAAGAGCTTCCAGCTCGGCTTCTGAAAACTGTCGGAGATGTTTGGGTTTGAATGGGTTAGGAGTCGAGACTCGTGATGATAGGAACTACGATAAGATGGTTAGTCATGGGTCAGCTCTTCTGACGATCTCCAGATAATTCCCATACCGAACTTGCAGCGCTCAACAACGCAATCAAAGACGCTTGGACCACGTCTTCGTGAATTCCGACACCCCAGACTTTTTCATGTGAATTCGTGGCCGTACATTCTATGTACGTAGCTGCCTTGACCTCCCGGCCGCCTCCAATGGCATGCTCCTTGTAATCTGCCACATCGAGATCGATACCCAAGGAATGAAGAGCATTGGCAAGAGAAGAGATGGCACCATTGCCTACTCCCACAATTGGATGTTGCACTCCGTCAATTGCGATCACACCTGCAAATTGACGTTTGGCTGTTGACGTGTTCTGTGCGGGCGTTTTTGTCTTTTCCTGAGTGGCGGTTGCAGTTTTGGAGGGTGGAGCGGGCGAGCTCGTCCTTACCGCCGTAATGTTGTAGTCGACCAGAGTAAATCTTGGATTGCTCTTGAGATGATATGATTCCTCGAACAGAGCTTGGATCTCTCGTGGAAGCAATTCCCTGTTTTTGGCATCGGCCTCCTTCTGCACGATCTTGCTAAAGGCGATCTGCAACCCACGAGGAAGGTCGAGTTCGAGGCTTCTCAGAATGACCCAAGCAACACCACCCTTACCAGATTGTGAGTTGACACGAATAATGGCTTCGTAGGTCCGTCCAATGTCCTGAGGGTCAAGTGGGAGATACGGTACCTCCCACCGGTCCTCGGCTCCCACTCCGTTCTTCGAACGGACTTGGAATCCTTTCTTGATGGCGTCTTGATGAGATCCACTGAACGCGCAAACCACAAGCTGTCCGCCGTATGGCCATCGTTCATTGACAGGGATCTTTGTCGATTCCTCACAAACCCGAATGACTTTGTTGATATCACTGAAATCAATGCCCGGCCAAACTCCCTGTGTGTAGAGATTGAGGGCTAGAGTGACTAGATCGACATTGCCCGTTCGTTCACCATTCCCAAACAGAGTGCCCTCTACTCGGTCAGCACCAGCCATCTGTGCCAATTCTGCCGCAGCAACTGCGCAACCTCGATCATTGTGGGGATGGACGGACACACAGAACTTCTCACGTTCGGTCATGTGCGTGCAGAAGTATTCCACTTGATCAGCAAAGATATTAGGCGTCGCCATCTCGACCGTAGCTGGAAGGTTGAAGATGAGTTTGGCGTCCTCCGTTGGTTCCCATGCAGCCTTGACGGCCTCGCAGATCCGGACAGCAAATTCCGGCGAGGTGTCTGAAAACGTCTCGGGACTGAACTCGTACAGCCATTCTGTGCCTGCGTGACTTGGGTCATCCTTGGTGATGGAGCGGGCAAATTGTGTACACTTGACTGCCAGAGCGATACTCTCTTCCTGCGTCATGCCGAAAACAATCCTTTGGAAGCATTCACTGGTGGCCAGATATATGTGGAGGATGGCTTTCTTCGCGCCTCTTAAGGACTCGACCGTGCGGCGGATGAAGTCTTCCCTGCACGGAGAAAGGACCTGTAGCCATACATCATCGGGAACCACGCCAGGAGTCTCGACCAAGGATCTTGTAAAGTCATAGTCGGTCTGAGAGGCCGAGGGAAAGGATACTTCGATTTCTCTGTAGCCCAGCTCTACGAGCATTTTGAAGAAGCGCAGTTTCTGGACTCCGTCCTGCCTAAGTATCAGTATCCGACGGGAGTTCTTTCATCTCCAGCCCCACATACCATGGGATCGACTAAACTCTGGTTTCCATCTCTCAAATCCGTCGCGAGCCATCGTGGCGGTGCATCGTTTGTCTTAGAGGGCCACTGACGATTTGGTAGGTCAAGAGGTTTAAATTTCCGGTATTTTTTCCATGGCTCCCGTAGCCTGTAGTAGACTTGTAAGCAACGCTTCGCCGAGTTCTATGCGGGCCAGTCTCGACTCACATAGGCATTATTGCGGAGGATTGACTCGGTGACCAAAGGGACTCTGTGTAGGAGATGAAATGCTGGCAGCGGGGTAAAAGGGATAACTCGGTACTGCCTTCGAGTGTGTAACGTCGGTGCGAAAGTAAACGACCGGAGCGAGATGGAACAAGATTATGGGATACCTCAAAACGTATCGTGTGGTTTGCCCCTGGGTAGGAAGAACTTTTTGAATGAAAATACCACAAATGAGTCAATGGTCAATGGTGCTCTCCACCCGTACATAACCGACAAGTTTTTGTGACGTGGGGTAAAGGCCCTGCCAGCCCTGCATGCCCAGGTGCGTACCTAAACTGACGGCTTAGCTGTATTGTCATTTCATCAAATCTGGGGTCAACCCTAGCCCTGTGCGACAACTTTCGCGGTGCTAGGTAATCTTGCTGTAGAGCCACATGAGGGACTTAGACCCTTAGTAAAGCATCTGGGCAAGCAAGACCACTTGGTCCTCGATCCTATTTGGCACTCTTCGTGGAAATTGGCCGGAGAACAGACTACTCCCCGGAATAACCGAATCGTGTATCAATTATACTTGTCTAGTTTCCTGTTGCACAGAAATAACTAGGTACTCGGAATCAACAATGTAGGGATCTCCATTTCTCAACCAGGTCTTCTGTACCGCCTCATTACAACCTATTGATGCCTTTCATCTCTTCGTCCATGATCAATGTTACTGGAATGCGTTTGTAACAGAACCGGCAACCATCCCGTCCAGCCCGTGTTAAGGCCCCCCTTTCAACCTTCAGCCTTGCCTTTCCGCCCAGACAGCCGTCTTGCCTGCTGTCGTTCAAAATACTCATGCTGTCAAAAGATGCAGCTCAAGTATCCCTAGCTCCTCAGTTAGTATCGATAGCAACTCTGCCGCTCACTGTTGCTATCTCGCAAATCGCAGTTCCGTGACTGCCAGACTTTGAGGGCGAAGATCGTTCCACTTCCTCTTCCTCATTCCCTTCTTCATCCGTCTTATCAGTCACTGCTGAGTTGGAAATCCACTTGCGTTTTGTCGTGCTTGACTGCAATCTATGAACACTGCCTCCGGACACCGCCAATTGATGCTCAGTGTTTCGTGCAATCAGAACAGTTTCTGTTTGGCCATTGGCACTGGAGGTGGCACAAGTTCTCATCTCAGCCTCGTTCCCAGACTTCTTCGAATGGCAAGACAGGTCGTTGATCGGCCAAGGAGAATTGGCATTAGATCCGACCTTTTTGCCCAGACTGTCACGAATCTTATCAATTGCTAGTGTTGCCTGCTTGAGTCCGGACAGAGACCGCGGTGTGTTGGACGGAGCATGTGTTCCCTGTGCCGGTGTGTCAACTGCCTTGAGTTCCTTCATGAGTTGTGCTTGCTGGGCTGGGCTGAGCGCCTGCACAATTTCTCGGGGGTTGGCCTCTTCCATATGCTTCAGGAAGTCTGCTCTCTGATAATTGACCCCAGACATTGAAGTGTGAGTTCGACTGAATTCTCTTCTGCTGGATGTGTAGTCAGGCATTGATATATCATGGCTGGAAGATCTCAACTGTGCTCGCCACGCTCGGCTTGCAATTGACTGTGGCCCAACAAAAGGATCCTCGGCATCACCCGTGAGGTCCACAACCGCTGAACGCTTGTAAGAATCCAGTCCCCCGGTAGGAGTTTCGTTCATCTTTCCAGGAGGATCAGACTGTAGATCGGAGAAAGTCTCGGCATTCAACAATCTTTGGAAGTTGTCATACCCGTTCGATGCTTGCTTGGTGGCTCGACCACTGATAGGTATTCTGTTGGGCGAGTGGGAGTGCATGTCATGGTCAGCCACCGTGAGAGACAATCTGGATCCGATAACTCCTGGTCGTACCGCTGGTTTTGCTAGTCTTCCAAACATTCTTGGATTTGGCCAAGCAATACTGGAATATTCAAGGACATCTTGTAGCTTATGTCAGCATCTTAGCTACCATGGAGTGGTGGTGGACAAACCTTGAGATGCATGTTGAAATGCAAAGGTCACCACATCCCGGAGTCGATCAAAGGTGAGACGAGGATCAGGTTGAGGACTGTCCAGGCGGACCACCCCTTCCGCGATGACCACGCTGATACGGCCAATAACATCTCCGGGCTCCCAGTGGGTTTGATAGAGAATGTCTTTGTGGAAGACGGGGAACAAGAGCGGTTGACCATCGCCAGTACGTGTTTCTTCTTCAATCACTTCCGGCCATGCACTGTTGTCGTCGAAAGAATGTTGGCTGGGACAAGGGGTCAGTCTGCAGTGTTCTTCGTAGATGGATTGAACATACGCTTGGAGAACCCCATCAATGTAGATGCGTGCTTCAAACATGACTCTTTCATCACGGGTTTTGTAGCTTTGTAGTATACCGGAAGCGGTGGGCTTTTTCCAGCTATGAATCGAGATTCTAAATGGAGTCCGGGGTTCGAGGCTGGTGATGAAAGAGGTCACCGTGGGGATGATCGTCATGGACTCAAAATTCTCGATTTCTGAAGCCGATGGTACGTGCTGTGGTGCAAGGCGAGAGCCTGCCAAGGTCAGAGTTGTATCAAATGGCATAGATGTTACACCTACCTGGATTAAGGGCAAAGCATTTTGTGTCAAACTCTTGAAGGGGAACCCTCGAATCCGCCGGAAAGAGAAGAACATCCCAGTTCTGATACCTCATACTGAGAAATCTAAACGACCAGGAGGTCAAACAACTCTAGTGGGCCGTGGTATGGTCGAGTTTTCTCGTAGCAATGAGGGTTAACGAGAGTCAGCATGATAGTGAGCTTTCACCCCGGGCCGTCGAAAGATATCAAGAAGTTCACAAAGGGTGGCGCTTACCATAAAATCCAACTCTCCTTCCGACGTTTACGGCCAGAGGGCAGGAAGGCAGGAAGTCAAGGAGTTGACAAGTGAGGAAACTGCTGTCTAGGATATCAAGTCACCGAAAGCCCTGGAACTGTTTGCAGGTAAAGATCTGAAATTCACTAAAGGAAAGCAGTGAATCTCTTGAAGCCCCATCAGCTTTTGGTTTCGAGGGTAATAAGTAAGACTACACAAACGGTCAATAGTGAATGATGACAAAAATCAGATTGTTGCGCCTTCCCATGTCCTCCTCCGCTCCCCTTACTTGCACCACCATATCGACCTGTCGAGGTATGTCCATGTCAATAAAATCATTTTCGTCTGAGCAGCGGGTATTGTCAACAAGAAAAAGTATTCAGAATCAACATGTCCAAGAAACTATGCACGCGTCCACCAATGCGTCCCGTGCTCTCGTCAAGCGCAACGCCGAGGTTATTAAATGTTACACAGCTTTATAATCAAGAGTGCCAGTCTGTCCAGTCGAAACTGAAACGGACATCCACTATTCGCCCGTCCCATCTAGGCCAAAGTCGCCCCCAACACCGATGCCTGTATCAAAATTGAATGTGTCGTCGTTGGTCGTGTTGAGGAAGCTGTCAAAGTCGAAATTCTCCAAAACGTCGCTATTCTCTAATGTGCTGAAATCCAGGTTGAAATTTTGATCAGGGTTCCCAAAGTCCGTGAAGGAGTTTTGGGAAAGATCCGGTTGATGCATTGGTTGACTGGGAGGCATGACCTGAGATTGTGGTGGTACTTGGTTGGCATTGGCCACCCCTCCAGCCCCAGCTTTACCACCTGAGTTAAATCCGGGTCCAGGATGTACAGGAGTGATTGGCGTGGATGGAGTCGGGGTTGCAGGAGGCTCATTGTCTGCACTGGCCGCGTTGGCAGTGGACGCCTTCTTTGTGGGACGTTTCTTGCTGTCATCCTTCGCCTTCTTTGACTTGGGCGCAGGCTTGTTAGTTGTCGAGGGCGTTGGTGGCGCATTCCCACTTTGAGGAGAGCCTGGTTGATTTCGTTGCCCATTGTTGCCTGCGGGCGCTTGAGGAGGTGGCATCTCATTCCGCTGGCCAGGTGTACCCATGGGTTGTGGTTGTCCTTGAGAAGCTTGTTGGATCATGGGTTGCCCGCCTTGGAATTGGTTGGCCATACGGTTGTTTTGCTGCTGTTGACGAGCCATGTTGACATCCATAGACGTTGGCGGTCGCATGTTTACACCACCAGGTCCCACCATGGGTTGGCCGTCTTTCATGAACATCGCTGGGTTGAAGTCGGGTGTTGGCATACCATTCATGAAGTTCATGCCAGCCGGAGATCGTCCTGCCATATCGCCAGCAGATGGCGAGCCAGGCAGACCACCCATCTGAGGAGTCCGTTTCATTTGATCAACTGGGTTGGGAGAGTTGCCAGTGCGGCCACTCCCTGAAGGTGACATGCCTCCAGGCATTCCCAAGGGCTGACCATCTCGGTTGACCGCGTTATCCTGCTCTTGTCTGGCCATCATCAGGCGTTTCTTGTTCTGTTGTTCCAGAAGCATCAATTGCATTTGGTAATCTTGCAAGGCATGATTACCACTCTGACCTCCACCGGGGGCGCCTTGCATCTGTTGGCCGGCCATTCGCTGATTGTACATCTCGAGTTGCATGCCGTCGGCGAATTGTGCAGGATTCATTCCTTGCATCATAGGAGATCCGGCATTGCCCATATTCATCATGCCATTAGCCATTCCAGCCTGGAAGTGATCAGCGGGTTGTGATAAGTATGCTGTGCCACGACTTACCTGCATGGGCTTTTGTGGCATTGCGCCATTCTGTCGGAACTGGGCACTGTTCATGTTCGGGTTGAAAGCATTTTGAATCATCATTCCTTGGGGTGCCACTCCACCAGGCATTCCTGGACGACCATTCGGCATCATGGCTCCATTGAATTGTTGACCCTCTAATCGTGGTCTCTTGGATGGGGAACCTCCATTTTCTCCTTCTGCGGGTGAGGAGGCGCGGCCGTTCATGTCCATCTCGCCTTGTTCGCGATTGATTTGCGACTGTTGTTGTAGCATCTGGGCTTGCTTGTTGAATTGTTGCAATTGTTGAGGGGTCCTAAGATGTGTCAGTGAGTCTCATATAAGAGCGTCCCATACGGATCTTACATTTTGTTTGCATTGGGCATGTTGCCGTTCATCATTCCATTCCGCGCTGCCATGTTGGCACGCATCGCGAATTGATTTGGATTCATCATCCCAGGTCTAGCGAGATTCTGATTTTGTTGGTTCTCTCTCATGCGTTGCATGTTCTGCGCATCAAGTCAGTAATCGTGGGTCAGCCAAATGTAATGTCTGGCTTACTTGATGTTGCATCAAATACTGAGCGGCGGGACCCATGCTTCCAGCAGGACCTTTCCCACCTCTATGTGCAGAGAAAAGATCCGAGAAGATGCTAAACCATTCGAAAAGGAAGCCGATACCGGGTGTGCTTGTTTCTCCCAAATGACCAGGTCGAGGTAGGTCATCGGGAATGTCGTCCTTTAGGTCTGTATCCATCGCATCTCCATCGACACCGTTGACTTCGCCGTCCTTGCGACGGCCAGGACTTTGCTTGACTGGTGGTTTTGTGTGGATGGCGAGGTTTTTGTCGTTGAGAATACTTCGAGCAATGTCATAATGACCGAGCTTGAGGAAATATTCGTAGATGTAGGTGTTGAGCTGGGATTTGACGTGCTCTGGTTGCATACCATTACTGCTGCCACTATTACCAGGCATTGCTGGACTGCCACTGTTCATCATGACCATTCCACCACCGACCGGGCCTCCAGCCACTCCTGCAGCGTTCATTTGTGTCATGTTCATCATAGCCAAAAACACCTGCGAAAGTGATGCCGACAAGTGTTGCTAGTTCCGAATGGAGTAGAGGTCAGATGTGAGTAATCTAGACCTCAAGCGATGGGTGTAGGAGGTTCGTTAAATGAACTAGCCGAGAGATGGTTGATCAGGGACGTGCGGAGAGTCGGTCGCGCAAACCGACAGCGACTTCAGAGGTGGCAGGCAAGTTTCATTTCCAAGGGATTGAGAATATAGAAAGATTGAGGAGGCAGTATGAGTGAGTGAGTGCTTCAGACTGAGAGTAGTTGTAACTGTCGAAGAAGATGGAAAGATATCCAGACGAGGTTGCTCTGAAACGAAACGCGGCCGCCACAAAAGCGGACGGGCTGGTAAGTCGGCTAATTTTTGGAGGCGCCGACAGTCTGGGCACTCAAAATTCACAAATTTGGCGATACTGTAGGTAGTTGCTGTTCGGTCGGAATTACTAGAGGGAACTTCGGTATGGAAGAGATACAAAGAGTGATGCAGCTATTGAGGGAAGACAAAGTGCCGGGACTGAAGAGTGAGAATCTAATATCGCAGTGCTGGCAAAGATAAAATGGGGTGACAGATGGGTAACGGAGTGGTGCTGCGAGCCCTGAGCACAGGTGAGGGAAGTTGGCTGGTGTTTGAGTCACTCGCAGGCAGAAGGCACCACACGGGTTGCCTGTGGAATAATCGTTTGGTTGCATTCCACGGGAAAGGATGGGGACAAAATGCCTCTGTTCTGGCTGAGAAGCGCCCACGACTGTCCGGCTTTGGGGCCAGTAAAAGCCCTAGCACGCCTAGAATTGGGGTTCCCTCGTGCCTGGAAAGCACCTGAAAGACCGTTGGAGATGGTCAGAGGGCGAAAAAAAGTTCAGAGGCTGAGAGAGAAACCCAGATCTCTCAAGGTCGAGGGTGCAGCTTCCCACGACTCAGAGCACGTCCTTTCCCAGCCCAGATGCAATATGCCCCGCGTAGAGTGCAGCACGCTAGACTATATTTGGGGGGTTCTATGGCGGGGTGCTTGGCATCAAGTCCAAAACCTCTGCACCTCACGCTTTCACCACTATAGTCGAAATAATTAAAAAATCCCCTCTACGAACCAAGTTCCCTACTGGAAACGACTCTTTCGCTCTCATTTGCCACAAGTAAAGATCCGGTTGCTCCATCTGTGCCCAAACGCAGGGTAGAAAGGATCACAGCAAGATTACCCCTTCCCCTCGCAGTCTTGCTGAAACCGCGTCAGGGGCATCATCATCCTTTGTTATACTGGAAAAGGGGTTCCGGTCACGTGAAATTTCGACTTTGCCCCCCATTGCGCTGTAAAAGCACTCCGTGCCCAACTTGATAGAGGGACTCCGGCAAGCAGAAGCTGATTGGCAAAATGTTGTCATTATTCGTCATCCGGTGGCATTTCGTCTTCGATATAGCGTATCAAAGTCACCCGCATTTCAGTAACATCATTTCCACGTAGCACATCACTGACGAACCGGGCCTCGATGGACATTTGCACCTATCATGTCTGGTTAGCCAAGGACTCTCCTGGAAGAAAGACCAAGTACCATTTCCAGCGCTCCACGCAAGACACCGCAGAATATGTTGGAAAACCACAATTCATCTTGTGCCCTCCCATCGTCTGGAAGTTCGACAAAATCGGCCAAAGGATTTTCGTCAAATAGTAGAGAAAATTGTTTGTTGTCCGCGGTCCAGTTCGTTACGGTGGGAGTGATATTGAGGAATATCTTGAAGCCGACCTGATCCGTCGTTAATGTCCGTATCATTGGGCATTTTACACATCCATACCTTTGAGATCATCTCAGCTGTATCTCTGAAATTGCCACAGCGACCGGTGTTGGACTTTGCAAGAAAGTCTTCAATTAGACGCATTCCGATGTTGTAGCCCATTTTATCGAGTTGTTGATTGACTTGAGCATAATCATTGTCATAGTCTGCACACAGTTGAGATACAATTGTACCATATGTGAGCGTCACAAGTTCAGCGTTGACTTTATCAACCCTTGTCCTATTGTTTGTAAGAGAAATGAACAAACAATCGAACCCAAGCTGCTTACTTCCAGACCCTATTAGTTTTGCTTTAGTAAAGTGTTCAGAATGTTGGCTCAGTCTGCTTTGCTTACTCTTCGCCCAATCGGGCTGCTTTCTGGCTCGTTGCCATGAGAGCTGATGCAATTATTATCTCCGGACAGTCATTTCAGAGCGCTGGGAGAATATGCAATTAACTGACAAGGCTGGAAAATTGACCGGGCAGCTGATCGATGATGGTGTTGTCCAAGCGAAGAACAGATATGTGACGCCTGAGCCTGAGCCTTGCATGACGCCAAGTCCGAGCCTGCTCTTCCGGCTCTACCTCGGCAGTCGCAATGTGGGCTGTAGACTGCGTTCAAGTTTCTCAAAAGTTCTGGTGTCGAAAAAGTGACAGAAAGGCCAATATCACCTCTATTACCACGCACCACGACCTGTTCCCAATCAAAGGCCCCTCTGACACACTAGAAGTCAACTTCACACGTGATCATGATGCCGTCTATCAAAAGACAGGCGTCCGACAGCTTCTCCAAGCCGCAAGCCCTGGTCAAGCGACAGAAATCCAACTCAGACCTTCGGGATGGAAAAGCGGTCGCCCTGGCAGGCAAGGATTCAGATGGCGCTCTCATATCCTCGGTAGGTGGGCCATAGACTTCAACATACAGGAAGCGTACTAACAGCGTCTAGGCTCTGCGGACGAGTGGTCTCACGGCACCGATCATGGAGTTGACAGGTACTGTTGTTACTCAAACGGCCAATTTCGAAATCTATTGACTAATGCAAGGCAGGCCATGCAGGTGAAATCTTCGCGGCTAGGTTCGATCCAACCGGACAGCATATTGCCTCTGGCTCAATGGACAGATCCATATGTATTTAAATCACCCCTCATACCTCCACGATTTCTAACAGACTTACCAGTGCTGTGGAATACCTATGGACAAGCTGAAAACTACGGTACATTAACCGGTCACAAGGGTGCTGTTCTAGATCTTCAGTGGTCACGCGACTCGAGGACGATCTACTCGGCTTCGGCAGATATGACCGTCGCTAACTGGGATCTGGAAACGGGATTACGAGTCCGCAAACATGTTGGACACGAGGAGGTCATAAACTGTCTTGACCTCAGCAGACGTGGCCAAGACCTGCTTCTCAGTGGCAGTGATGATGGTTGTATTGGAATATGGGATCCGCGGCAGAAGGCAGCCGTGGACTATATTGAAACAGATTTTCCCATAACAGCCGTTGCGCTTGCAGAGCAGGGCCATGAAATCTACTCTGGTGGGATTGACAATGATATCAAAGTCTGGGATGCTCGAACTCTGAGAGTGACCTATACTTTGGTTGGGCACACGGATACCATTACGTCCTTGGAAATCTCTCCAGATTCTCAAACTCTGCTTTCAAATTCCCACGACTCGACAGTCCGGACGTGGGATGTTCGACCCTTTGCTCCTGTGGATCGCGCTGTACAGACCTATGATGGAGCTCCATCTGGCTTCGAGAAGAATCTGATACGTGCAAGCTGGAGTACCAAAGGAGACAAAATTGCTGCAGGTTCTGGAGATCGTACAGTGGTCGTGTGGGATACCCGTTCGGCAAGACTATTGTACAAACTACCAGGCCACAAAGGCACCGTCAATGATGTACGGTTCTCCCCCTCGGAGGATCCGATCAGTAAGTTATGCTGTTTGATGCACAGAGGGTTTTTGACTAACGTGATGTAGTTGTTTCTGGCTCAACAGATCGCAATATTCTTTTGGGAGAGCTCGGAAGGTGAAAAGAGCTCCTCCTAATCATCTCGATACACTGTTTCTACCCCTACGGTTGATCCAGTGTAGAGAAACCCAACACAGATTTACCTGGCAGCACCTGGCAGCACATCGACTGAGGAGAATCTCGAGACGTGGAGGCCCGTCCTCTGTAGCAAGAGAACGAGGTCAAGTCAAATTTGTCATCCAATGTCGCAGTCTCTGCTGTCAGCCACAAATTTAATGGCCTGGAGAATGGCAAGAAAGCTGCGACAGTATATCCGTTCACAAGACTGTCACAGTGATGCCCTCACAGAGCTAGTCATATGGGGCACGCCGGGTCCGCCAAAGCCACTTCGACCCGTTTAGCTCGAGTACAATCACCGCGCAATGGACGCGACGAACATGCCAGCCATAGTAACGTGAATAGGCATCAGCGTTGGTCAATGATGAGCTGGCCTTGATCGGACTGTGAGTCTGAGGGAAGGGGAGAGTCGACGAATTACTCGGACGAGCTTCAAGTTGCTATGCAGACAAGGGACCTAATTTAGATGATTACCTTGATCTACAAATACACCATTACTTCATAGGTCGACAAGACTCTGACACGAACATTTTGTAGACAGACGATTCAAAGCGCGAATTAGGACAGCCTGAGGCACCGGCTGCAATGATACTGATCCTTTTCCCGCTTCGATGAACAGCCTTGGAAAACTAGCCATAACAGGAGTCCCACCTTCGGATTTCGGGTATCGCACAAGACAAAGATCCCGATCGGAATAAATCGGCCCGAATGATTCACAGGATATATATTCAATCCACACAATTTTGCCCATGAAACCACCCTTATCCGTGAGTCCATCTCTAGAGCCCTTTAACTCTACGAAATTCTAACTGTAATTCAGTCGATGGTGTATCGGTAACATACCTGGTTTTCAATAGAAGACTTCAAGTGATCTATATCACCCAGGCGCGCCGGGTTCGATTCCCGGTCGGGGAACTGATCTTTTTTTTTCTTCTTTTTTCGCCTATCTTTAAAGGTAGGCACTGTCTCTTTTGGAATACATATTCAAGCACGTGGAAGTCTCTACCGACAACTGATCATATTTCAGCTCCTTTCGGCTTGCTCATCTGCCTCCTGAACATTCCGTGTCAATACACACCATAAAATCTAGATTGCTCGTGAAATGTAAATCATTGTACAATCTTCAAAGGCATGCTTGGCCTGGAAACGAATCCAGAAAACAGCTTCGCAGACCATGGGTCTCTTCTTGAACCAATTTCGCAACACGGGATACCACACTATCATGCTCATTCTGCTCATATTGCACATATCACTGCTCGCAGTTCAATTCCAGGAGCAGATATCTGATGATAGAGGTCCAGCTCTCAATTAGTGTGCGAGTAGCCCTTCTTGCGTCACTTGCATAGTGGCAACCAAATGGAACTGATGCAGAAGCCGTATGTTTGTGGTCGATGCAATGTCCCAGACGAATTGAAGAGCTCTGAGGAGAGGATGTGGTATGCAAAGGCGTATTGAAGGAATGGCCACTAAAGCAGCGAATATGCTGCTCCCAGGGTATCTCGGAAATCAAAAGTTCACTCGCCGCCCTAAACTAATGCCAAGCGAAAAAGGGGCGAGGTTGACATCCAGTCGAAATGACAAGAGCGCGCTTTTCCGATGTCCATGTTTCAGAACGCGTTCTTCAACACGAGCACCTGCTGTCGAGATGCTCGATAGCACTTTTCGAGCTAGCAGCTATCGACGTTCATATGTCGAAGGCGAGAGCGTTGCTGCCCAAACTAGATTGGCTTGACAGCCTATCAAAACGTCCATCCATCCTTCACCTGGATCCCTCGTAGTGTCTCAGTGTCATTACCGAAGTGCATTCCTATGCCTGTGATCTCTCCCCTTGCGCGCCATCTTTGGAGCAATAAACAAAGATCAAGAAGCCTACTGTCGCAGCTGCTGGTCGCAAATGTGGCCATCTCGACTTTCACAGGCCTGGCCATGTGATATCGCTGTTTCTCGATGTTTTGTTTCGATCTTCCAATAGCCATGCTTACTGTGCCAGCCTCATTGACGCGATTTCCGTGCATAACCTACAAAGCTTTCTGCTAATAAGGGCGCTGAACCCTCGTTGATGTGCAGCATTAACTTAGCAGCACTGCAAACGCACGCCCACGAAAATATTCCTCATGAACCATGGAGCTAGCATCCCGACGACCAACGGGACAATTCCTCGCTCCGCCTCGAGCTGAAGAGGCACGTAACAGTATCATAAGCAACATGTCGCGATTCTGGAGGTCCAGACCGGCACCAGTGAGCTCTGCCGCGTCACAAGGCCGCCCGACGAAGACCTTTGTGGTTCCTCTGTTCATGTCTGCATCTCGGTCATCTGGGAGAAACAATTTATTTGCAAGAGGGGCATTACCGGCAGTTACGAGGACGAGGTCGAGGTCTTCCACACGCTCGGTCAACGAGATCGAGGCTTCTAGATCGGTCATCGCCGAGCCGATTCATGTCCACAGATCACGGCAAAGAGAACGATCGGATTTATACGCCAGCAGTGTACAAGTGGACACGGCCGTGAGCTCCATCGATGCTCCAGCGTCAGTAACGGAGACTGCGAGTGGTCTAAACATGTCCTCGAGATCTGGAAGTACACGAATTACAACAAGTTCGCGGAACGGTAGTCATCGTTCCCAGAATTCGAGGAGGAGCGCGCGGAGTCGCCAGATTTTTTCGAAAAGAGCATATCGCGATCCCCAGGTCAATTCCAAGGCAAAGATATGTTTTGCATTCGGACTGACACTGATTGTCGCCGTCATTATCTGTGAGTATCGATCTACAAAGCCACCACTCGCTATGGCTCTGGCTAACAAGGGCAGATCTTGTACTTGCCTTTACTGGAGTTGCTCGCAATACCATGTTCCACGTCCTATCAATCCTATTGATCATCACGCTGACTGGAATATTTTGTCACCAACTGATTCGCATGTTCATGTTGATTAAATCTCCCAGAAGGCCACGAAGGAGGATTGCGCATGGACGACGGCATGCAACCTCTCATCGGGGGAAAAGACACGGTGGCGGAGCTGCGGATGACATGCCACCGGAGAAGCCCATTCAGATCCACATGTCGAGTGATGATGGATTCGATCCAGACGTGGAGATGATGGGCGACTCAGACGCCATGCCCGTGCCAGCTGTGCAACATCCACCACCCGTCTACGGGAATTTCCGAACCAGCACCGTGAGTTTGTTCCTGCCCATTCTTCCACGTCCAACCCCTCTAACGCTGTTTTTTTCCAACGCACAGAGAATGAACCCGGACCTGGTGCACTGGAAACACGTGCCTCCTTCACCGTTGACACCGACCTATGACGAGGCCTTGAGCGGCGTCCCCGTGACATTGACCGCGGCGGCATATCGACCACCGAGTTACCTGTCCGAGAGTGGAATGACGCAGGTGCTGGAAAGTCAAGGCCGGGAGGTGGACGCCGCCCTCGACAATATTCACCCTTTGGAGAGAGAACGGATGAGGAATTTGGCTGCTGATGCTCTGGAAGGCCGGGGGCCGAATTGACCTCGTTCAGAGCTAGAGTCAGAGCCAGAGCCGCGGCTGTCGGTGTTGTGGGAGTGACCGAGTTGTCCAAGGCACAAAAATCGGCCAGGCAAAACGCCCCACAAAATCGTGCTGGTTGCCGTGCCGCGTGTGAGTGATGCCGATCTCGATCGACACATGGGGCGGGGTTCTGAAGAATAGATAGCTCTTCACCCCTCTCCCCCTGCACAGTTTTTCTGTTATGTGAGACGCGTTGCAGACCAAGACACTGTCTACTATTACTACTATTAAGACGAAGCAAAGGGAAGAATTGAGAATTATTGGCAAGTCATTGATATTCCACTATGAACCTGCATGCAATGCATTGGTGTTATTTGGTAATACGTTCATAATTCCTGTGGGTAATTATCGGGGTATAGTGATTTCTCATCTGCTCCTCCGTGATAACTCCATCCGTTCAATCGTACATGCGTTGGGTTGTTGTCATCTCATTCCGTTGACAAAATGAGTGATGAACCGTCTAGTGCTTGGAGGCCTCCTTGTGGACATCGGCCTTGCGGTTGTGTGTCTGCTCGTCGACCTTGTCTCCGATGGCATCGCCGGCAGCTTGGGCACGGGTGCTTAGAGAGGCATTGCTGTCCTTGGCAACGTTCTTGTTGGCCTCCTTGGATGCGGTGGCTCCGGCACCCTGGACAGACTCAGCGACGTAGTTGGCGGCGTTCCTGGATGGGTTGTTAGTGAGGTGTTGCTGAGGTTCGGGGAATGATTCAGGCGACTCACTTGATGGTATCCATTGCGGTAGTTGGTGTTTGTTTTTGACTGAAGAGTCTTGAGATTGTTTGAATTGATTTTGAGGATTTGGATTGATTGATTGTGCTTTGTTGGATTGAGGAAAAGAGTTCCTGGTGAGGACAGAATCAATGTTTATATACACGAATTCAGCATCGAGGGGCAACTCTCTGCAGGTCAGCTGGTGCTTTCCAGATTGAACTCTGAAGCCTTTGATCAAACATAACAACGTCATCACGGAGAGGAAGAGTTTGGGGATGACGTATGAACCACCGAATCAGAGAGGCCGAGGTCACGTGGGCAGAGATTTTCAGGTACCGGGCAAATCTGCTTGCGGCACCCAAAGTCCAAATGACGTCGTTCGCGTTGTGCCATCTGCTCCATCAGCTCCATCAGCTCCATCTGTGGCCGTCTCACGCATTCTCACCCAATCTCTTTTCTTGTGGCTGGAATGGCAATCTGCCGATCCGCACGATTCTCGATCTTCGAATGTCGATGTTCGGGATCCTGAAGCAAATAAGATGTGGCACTGGCCACAACAGCTGAGCCACTGGCACGTCGGTTTGCATCAAACGACTGGTGGCACAACCAGGTTTTTGTGGTTCACCAGTTCCACCCCATCGATCGATTCGTCTGGTTGAGGTTCTGGCCATGCTAGCCGTTGCTTGATTGAGCCTGTTGCCAGTTGCTTCCCTTGATCGTTCTGAATAATTCACAAATGGTATAGAAGTTCCTAGTCTGCCCGTGAGGAGGTGTCGTCATCGTTCCCTGTTGGACAGAGGACACGAATTCATTCCGAATTGATTCAATTCCCTGTTTGCCATCCTACCTGGTAACATCACCCGATCTCGGTCGACTCTGTCTGGAAACTTCTAGTGACCGCGAGTATGAACATGGGAAGGAGGATCCCGAGTGCGGAATGAACAGTTTTTCATAACAACCTCGGTCTGAAGAGCAATGGTGGTTGCTCCACCCACGTGTTCATCTCCAACCACTCCTTCGTACAAATCATCTCCTTTCCGGTCTGAGAAAAGTGCTTATTTCTCCAGGCCTTAAGCCAACCCAGTGACATTTCGATTGGATGGGTATGGGGCCACTACTTCGCAGGCTGCAACAGTACGACTTGGAAAAGAAGCAATGTCTTCTGCTGCTCAGACATTGAACTTCTTGCTTTACCTTCCATCAAATGCTGCTAATTAGTCCATGTGCCATAACCTCTGGATGTTGCTACCCTCATGCTAACTTGGTAGCAAAAGCAATAGCCACTATAGTGTGAGCCAGCAGATACCCTGGAGCTTTTCGTGCATATCAAAGGCATTTCACGAATCACATCAATCTTAACATCCACGTGTTTGCATCCTCCTGTATAACCTCATCCGACCACAACTTCCGCAATCTTTTCACCCAACGTTAAAAAGGTCCAGAGGAGCTTTCCGTTCTGAACCATGGAATCCAATCGCTTCTCTCTATTCTTTGGTGCTCTGTCATTCGTTTTAGTGAGGCTGCAGAAGTTTCAGGGAGTACCAGAACTTTGAAATTTACTCCCGTGGGCCAAACTCATACTTACCATTAGCCAATCACCATGCTTGTCGGCAGTATCATTGCCACCTTGTTGGTTAGCCTTGCAGCTTCTTCACCTGCTCCACGAGCATCCACCAATGCCGTGAACACCACTGTGATTAACGGCAAATCCTTCGTGTATGAAGCTCTCGCAGGCTATGGCTTCACCCCTGGCAATGCACGAGACAAATTCGGAGATTCGGCTGGTGGCATTGGTAGTAGTGCTGCAATCGATCTCAAATCTTGGAAACTAGACCGCAAGACGGGCATCTATTCCGGCATCATCTGGGCTTTACCAGACAGAGGTTGGAACACTGAAGGGACATTGAACTTCCAGCCTCGTGTCCACAAATTCGCAATCACCTTTACCCCGAACTTTACTGCCACGGTCGCCAAACCTAGCCCACCCAACCTGGAACTACAATATCTCGACACCGTTGTCTTCACAGATCCCAAAGGCAACCCTGTCACAGGCTTGGATCCCGATGCTCATGGTCCTTATCTCACATTTCAGGGATTCCCTGATCTACCATCAGCGACTTACCAGGGAGATGGGTTTGGCGGTGCTGGCTCTGGCGGGCGCCGCGTGTCTCTTGATTCAGAAGGTCTGGTCATTGCATCCGATGGTTCTTTCTGGGTATCGGATGAATACGGAGCGTACATCTATCGTTTTGCTTCATCTGGCCGTATGCTTTCTGCCATTCGACCACCGTCTGCAATAATCCCACAGCGCAATAAGACTGATTCATTCTCGGCAAACAGCCCTCCACGATACAACCCAGATCTTAAAATCACTCCAGCATCCAACCCCACTGGACGGGCAAACAACCAAGGTCTTGAAGGACTCACAGCTTCTCCCGATGGTAACACTCTTTACGCCCTTGTACAATCTGCCCTCGACCAGGACGGTGGTCTCAACGCTTCTACACGCCGTTACGCCCGTCTCCTGGAGTATGATATCACTGAACCTTTCAAGCCGGTATATCAGGCGGAGTACGTCGTGCCTCTACCCTTGATCACCAACAATACGCGTGTCGCGGCCCAGTCAGAAATTCATTATCTCAGCGATACGCAATTCTTGGTCCTTGCGAGGGACTCTGGCCGTGGGCACGGTCAGGACAACTCAAATTCTGCATACCGCCATGTTGATGTCTTTGATATTTCCAAAGCTACAAACATCAAGGGTCCGAAGTATGACTCTACCAACAGCTCGGCTGCTCCCAATGGTGTCCTCGATACAGCCATCACACCTGCCACTTATTACACCTGGCTCGACTTCAATGTGAACTCGCAGCTCAATCGCTTCGGCGTGCATAATGGAGGTGCACAAGACGCCGGGCTCCTGAACGAGAAATGGGAGAGCTTGGCTCTTGTGCCCATCAATCCCAAGTCTAGTTGGTCCGACTGGACTACAGGATTGGACAGTGCTGATGGAGAGTACTTTCTCTTCAGTCTCAGCGACAATGACTTCATAACTCAAAATGGGTTCATGAATGGTGGAAAACTGCCTTACGCCGATGAAAGTGGCTTCAATTTGGACAATCAGGCCCTGGTGTTCAAGGTCTCTATCCCTAAATAGACAGATCTAGCACTGTTTATGATGGTCATGAGTGTCCTACAAAATCATTCGATAATATTGTAATATGATTATCTATCTCAATTCTCCAATAGCTTAAGAGTCCCCACAAGTTTGATGTAATTCCTGTACTATCAATCACAGGCTGATATGACAGCCGTACAGAAATATATTCTAGATCGTTGCGTAGAATTCGCATTTGCCTCGCAAGAATATGCACTCGGTACAAGCCACACAGGGCTCCGGCAATAGGGGCTCTGCCGCGCCCCCAAGGGATGTTATCTATGCCTTAGCCCGCAGCTCATTGAAGCAAGGACTTGGGCATGCCCATTTACCAGATTTCATCATCCGACTTGTATCATGGAAGCAAGTCAACTCTTATACCCATTTCGCTTCGAACCTTTCCTGTTAAGACTTGTGGCTCTTTGCATGGCTGTGCTCCTTCAACAATAAAGCATGCGGAGATTCGGATCGTCAGAGCTTCCACTTCCCCTGGCCCCATGACAAATTCTTGCGGACGATCACCGCGAGACACACCCGCAAATCAATATTAACCCTAACAGATACAATTGAGCTATTACGTGGATATCGATTCCACGGAGCTCTTTATTATGCAATCCACTGTTCGTACCTACCTGAAGCCCGAAAACTCGGGGTCCCGAGCGCGACCGCTTGTGACCGGACGAGTCATTCTGATATGTGAGCCGAAGACATGGCCTCTTGTACGTCAGCCTCACCTTTGACGGACAGCTGGTGTCAAGTCAAATTCGGCAGATGGCTACAATAGTGGTGGTTCTGTCTAGCACGAGGCGTTCGTTTCATGCGCTCATTCTGAATATAAGGACAGCTTCTTCCGCACTGTGAAGAACCAGTTCGACTTGTCCAGTTTTGATACCGAAATCAATAGTTCAAGCTCAAGTTTGACAGAGGCACTAGACTCCAAATCTACATAACACAAGGGACGAGAGATCTGGAAGAATGGCTACCACACTTCCCTCGTATACAAAAACATGGCATAACGACGTTTACCCTTCCATCCACTCCTCTCGGCCCGAACTGGCACAAAAAGGCAAGAGAGTGGTCATCACCGGAGGAGCTGGGGGCATCGGGGCAGCGACAGCAGAAGCTTTTGCAATCGCAGGGGCATCCGAAGTCATAATCCTAGGACGGACTCAAGCGACCCTGGAAAAGACAAAAGTCACCATCGAGAAGAAGCATCCTGATGCAAAAATCACCGCCCTAGTGACCGACGTGTCGATTCCATCGAGTATAGCAGAAGCCTTCGAAACCATCGCCAAAGGAGGTCCCATCGATGTCTTCATTAACAACGCCGCCGCATTGGCGGACATTGGGCCCATCAGTGCCGCAGACCCCCTAGACTTCTGGAGCTCGTTCGAAGTCAATGTTCGTGGGCCGTTGTACGCCGTGCAAGCCGTGTTGAAGAATATATCCAAGAATGGAGTGATCATCAACAACAGCTCAGCGATCGCCCATGTACCCCCTGTGGCTGGTCATGCGGGCTATGCAGTTGGAAAACTCGCAACAGTCAAGCTGTTCGAATATCTCCAACAGGAACATCCCGACCTCGCTTTCTTCAACCTCCAGCCCGGAATCATTGAGTCCACTGGTGTGGCGACCAAAGCAGCAACGCAGAGTGGCAATTCATGGCCGCAGCAAGATACTGGTAAGTCTGAATTCACATCCTCCCCTAGAGCAAGGCATACATGGGCTGAGCTGACCATCTTGTTCATAGTTGAGCTACCTGGACATTTCATGGTCTGGCTATCATCCCCCGAAGCGAGTTTTCTAAAGGGCCGATTTGTGTGGGCAAATTGGGATGTCGAGGAACTGAGGCAAAAGAGCAAGACCTTCCAGGAGAACCCGGCGTTGCTCACAACTGGGCTACTGGGCTGGCCTCAGTGATGTTGAGAAACACCTGGCCGTGATTCTGAAAATGAACAGATATCTCTTGTTCGTCTCTATGCTCACTCATTCATCTATCTGGATATAAACTTCGCAAGGGGAATACATAGAATTTGTGCATTCGTTTTGTTACCAATGTCCTACTCTTGTAAGCGCTGGTTAGATTCTCCAGATGAAACTCGGCAAAGAAAGCCGTGTATGTGCAGGTCGCATCAGTCTATGCTAGACATTGAGCCGAGTAAGTCTTTCTTCAGTCTTCGACGGTCCCTTCAGTACGGCTCAAGGCTGTATCAAAGCATCATCAGGACCCGTGTGAACATGCTCCTTCTTCAGCTTATGCTCCCACTTCTTATTCTCATCACCATGAACAGCATGTTCTTTCGCCCGACTAACGAGCTCCTTCCGACTAGGGTCTGCAGCTCCCGAAGCGCTGAAATGCCCGCTTAGGATCTGTCTGAGGACATCCACAACAGCGTCACCAACCTCCTTGGTCGTGGATTTCCCTCCAAGATCACCAGTCCGTATCTCCAATCCACCAATATCCTTCCCGTCAAGAACCTTCTCCACCGCTTGCTCGACAGCAAGTGCCTCCTCGCCCATGTTGAAGCTATATCTCAACATCATCGCCGCAGAGAGGATCTGAGCCGTGGGGTTGACAAGCCCTTTTCCAGAAATATCCGGCGCGGAGCCATGGGTCGGCTCATAGATACCATTACACTTACTTCCGTCAGGAACACCACACAGTGAAGCACTAGGCAACACGCCCAACGTCCCAACAACCCCACCGGCCTGATCCGACAACATATCTCCAAAGGTATTATCCGTATGAATAATCCCATTAAACATCCTTGGGTTTTTGCACATCAACATCGACAGCGAATCCGCCAACTGATGCTTCAACTCGATATGCGGAAACTCCTTGGCGAACACCTCGGACGTGACTCTCCTCCACAGCCGCCCACTCGCCAGCACATTGGCCTTGTCGCTCGACCACACGGTGGCGGGACCCTGAGGACATTTCCCCGTGCCCAGACCATCCTTACCCATCTTCTCGGCCAGCGCGGCCGCGACGCGCGACGACCGCTCGATCTCCGAGCGCTTGTACGCCCACGAGTCGCTGGCGTAGTCGTCCTGCTCGACTTTCTCGCCGAAATACGCCCCACCGCAGTTCTCGCGCAGAATGATAAAGTTCGTGCCTTCGGCGATCGAGGACTTCAACGGTGAGAGTGGGATCAACGAACGTGAGTAGAATGTGCATGGCCGGATGTTGGCGAATGCGTCGAGATGTCTTCGCAGCCGGAGAAGTCCTGATTCCGGGTTTGGATATGTTGTGCCCCTGTTCCCACAAGAGTATATGGTCAGCATCGTACATGCATCCGTCCATCCTTCCCTTCCCCAAGACTCCACCAAAGATTATTCAGTCAATGCAAAGTGCCACAACTTGAAAACACTCCGACAATTTGAACCACAATGAAGCAAAAGTCGACAAAGCAAACCAAAAGAACGGAACGGATTAGAACAGAACTCACCACTCCGGCCCACCGACACTACCAAAAAGCACGGCATCGCTCTCCTCCCGGGCGAGACGCAACACCTCGTCCGTGATGGGCGTGCCGTGTTTGTCAATACTGCACCCGCCGGCGATCTGATGGTTATACTCGAAGCGGACCTTGCCGTTGGAGCGCTCCTGGACCACGTCCAGCACGCGCAGCGCCTCGGCCATGACTTCGGGTCCGACGTGGTCGCCTGGCAGGACCAGGATGCGGAATGTCTGCGTTCCGCCATTCTCGCCGCCGCCGCCGTTCGTGCTGAGGATCGGTGCGGCCATTCTTTGGGAGGGTTTGTGTCTCTTGTTTGGTCGGATTGGATGGGATGGGATCGCCGCTGGGGGTTGGATTGGGTGTGTCTCTGATATATAACTACCTAATCATCTATGGAGGAGTGGGTTTCAAGGTCACAGTCCTTCGAGGTGAGTGACGTCAAGGCTTCGCTATTGGGGGGTTTATTTCTCTGCTCTGCGTGACGAAACTCCTTTCTCTGCCTTGAACGTTGAATATGACGCTGTTCGACAAAATTGTAGTCGTGGTGTTGAAAGTCCTTTGAAAGAAAACGTCCGTCAAATTTATCGCCCGTGTACTGGTTCAATGTTTTCGAGGTACCAATGTTTTCGGGGTACATATATTTCCATCGTCCACAGACGCCCCTCCATTTCTCCTCAGGGTCGGATATATAGCGAACTAGCGACGAAATACAGCACCAGTAAAGCAACGACCGACCGACTCCGATAACGGCGCCCGTGATGGGCCATACAACGTACGTCGTATGATTCTTGGAAAGGATAAAACTCTCTGGAATGGGCTCTCCAAACATACCTAAGTCCCGAGTGACTCAACACTCAACTTGAAGGGACCCCCGCATTTGCGGATCTCGACGCGTTGGTGCGGAGAACGCGAGTTGGAAAAGCTCCGCCGATGGGAAATATCTGTGTTTTGAGTGGTCAGTACAGAGGATTTCCGACTTCCGTGGTGAGCGATAACGGAGGTGGAAACTCCCTTTGGCCTTTGGAAGTATCGGTGATTGTCGGCGTTGTGACCGACGAGTGTATCACCTCACGTGTGGGTATGTTCAAGAGCATCATGTGTGGCCAATCTTGACGAACGATACGGGTGACGAGGAGTCTAGTACAGATGGAATGATGGTATGCAGTGATCTTAAATCCTTGGTTTATGTCATTCTCAATCGTTGGTCTCGTGAAAATAAAAAGAGAACCGCTTCCTCACCCCTGCTGCCTTATAGGGGCCTAACAAGGATGATAACCTGTTCCCTACTCCCGAGCAACACCTATCTCGTCTATTTTTGAAGAGGGTAATGCACAATCATTGCAAGTGGTCATCTCACATTACTATGCAATCGCGGTCCTGTCTATTGACAGGACGAGAGGGACCTGGCTGACCCATACCTTGGGCAACATTCATCCCATACATTCGCTGAGGTGAATTGTAATATTGACCTTGGACTTGTTCATTGTACGCACTCATTCTTCGTCCAGGTTGCCTTCTTCCCATGGCCACGTTAGGGCCTGGTGGGTGACTGTCAAGGCCTGAAGTGGCTGAGTTGTTGCTGATCGTACCGACCAACTGCGCATTCGAGTTCATTGGGCTTGGATCTGATTGTGGATGTAGTGGACTACCCATTGGGGGTATATAGGGTCGTCCTTTGGCCGCCTCTTCATAGGCTGGCGGTGCATCATCTGCATCCGCATCAGACGGTCGATTTACCGCCGGGTTCGGATTCCTAGAAGTACGTGGTGGGATTGATGGCCGTGCTTCTTGTGGTCGACTTGGCAGAGGGATTGGGATGTTTCCACCAGGTCTTCGATTATTGTTGTTGGGGTTGCTGTTGTTATTGTTGTTACCATTGCTGTTATTAGGATTGGAGTTTCCAGCTTGGTTTTGACCACTTCTTCGTCGATTCCTCTCAGCTCGTTGCCTCTGCTCTTCTTCCTCTTGGAGTTGCAAAGCCATCGCAAAATCGGCATCATGCTGTTCCTGCTGTTCTTGAGGTGACAACGGAGCGTTGGCATTCGAAGGTGTGTTGACTGATAAGAGCATCGAGGATCGACGGGCAGGATGAGTATTGGACTCATCTGCTGGTGCGTTGTGGCTGACAGGCATAAAATCTCCTGAGAAGAATTCAGTATGCTTTCCATTGATATCGACCAAGCTCTCCCATATTATCTCGTCTCTATCAGCATAACCTGCATCTGTGATAAGCGTGAAAAGTTGTCCTGACTCAGGATGCTTATATATCGTGCTGAAATGATCATTTCGGAACATTATGGCAAAGGAGCCTGACGGGATGGAATCTTGTACCGCTTCGAGACCTGTTGGAGTGAGTTGCGTGGGATAAGTCTTGAAGAAATTCTTGATTGAACTGATATCTTGCCACATATTCTGTTCGTCTGGTGTCAAAGAAGAGTTTCTCAATTTGTACTCTAATTCCTCTTCGCCAAATTGCAGAGCTTGGGCGTCCTCATATGTTTGAGCGGATCTTGAGAATGCCTTGGCAGCATCTGAACCTGGCTCTGGGAGCCAGCCATGAATTAGGGGCACTGAGAAAGCGCCGTACAATTTCATATCAGTAGTGGCTTCGAATGTGCCAGATTTATAATATGCTCGTTGTTGCTGAGGAACATTTAACATCGAGTCATCAGCATCCATAAGATTAGGTGGAGGGATATTTGGTGCCACAAAACGAGGATTGGCATTCATACCCGTGCGTAATCGCAATAAGAAGGCGTTCAATTCGTCAACGTCGGGCAATGTTTCTCCAGCATTCTCAAATCCTCTTGAGAGTAGTTCATCCATGAGGGTCTCGATAATGAGACCCAAAGTGACTTGTTCTCTTGCACGCAGGGCGTCATCCAATGTTGGTTGAGACTCGTCCCCAGCACCTAGGATCAAAGCATTCACCAGTGCGAGAAGGGGACATGGGCCATTTCTGTTCTGGGTCAACATCGAAGACGCTCGAAGCCTGCGAGAACTGTGGTCAAACCAATTGAAATGTTTCACTTGATATGTCTCATTTCTTTGTTCAAGAAGCTTTGCAATTTCCTGCTCTGAAGGGGCAGTCGTTCGTAATGTTGGTCGTGGAGGTTTTGCTGGGGGCGGTCCTTCGGGAGGTTCAAAATATTCCGTTTCTGCACGCTGTACCGGGCGGACAGGTAAAGGAGGACCCGGTTCTTCATCATCTTCTAAAAGGGAGTGTTCAGTTTGAGCTGGTTTGATTGGTTCAACAGCATTTGGGAGAGTGGAAAGCTCGTCCCTCAATGACACGATACCAGTTTGCATGCCACGGTCGAGCAAATCATTGTTGTACGTCGACTCCGACTTTTGTGAGAGCGGAAAGGGAATTGGAGAGGGCGTTGCACCGCCAGCTCGCGCAGGAGTGGCCCAAGGATTGTCTGAGGCACCCGTCCGTTGCGGCTCCATGGGTATTAGGGGGGCTTGCTTGCTGAACGGCGATAAAGGTTCTGCGGCGGGGGCCGGTGGTGGCGGTGGGGGAGCGTTTTGTGGCATGGGTGGAAGTGATTGTGGTTGGCTTCCCCATGCTTCAGAATCAGTTTGACCATGCTGGTAGCTGCTATAGGAGGGCAAACTGGGGACGGTGCTGCCCTGCACCTGCGATCCTGGAAACTCATATGGTGACGGATGGTTCGATAGCTCGGCATTGTCTCTGACGGGTGCTTTACCCTTGGCTGTTGTGTTCCCTTCATGGGCCCAGTCTGGCGCGATTGCTCCCTCTGATGGACGTCTGAAAGGATTGTTGGAGGCTAGTCCCGCTGGTGCGGTCAGATCGGGTTTGGAAGTTTGGGGCGATACCGCCACGGGTTTCCTCTTGATTCCAGGTGACTTTGTAGGCGGGTCGACCGAAACCCAAGGATCATCTTTGGAGAGGTCGATCTGCCCTGTTTTGGGCTTCTTGGGACTTTGTTTGGGGCTCTTCTTCAAAGCCTTCTTGTCCGCGTCATTAGCATCATCCGAGTCATCCCAGAAGTCCTTTGATCTCTGACTATCGAGAGAGGACCTGGGTGTATCTTCACCCGCATGACCGGCTCGAAGGATGTTAGGGATGTTTGCGAAAGAAGTGGAGGAAGCGTTGTCTGGAGTACGAGCACCAGGCTTGAGGAAATCAGGCAGTGGACGATCAGACCTTAGCTCATTCTGTGGAGCATCAGACCATGGGTTGTCCGTATTATCGAATGAAGTATTGGGTTGGAATTGAGGGGACCTTCGGGCGGGTTGCAGGACGGGAGGGACATCGGCTGAATCGGGGATGAGGTTACTCTCATGGCTGGGGTTGTGATTTGTATAAACTGGTTGATCAGGAGGACTATTGAAGTATGGGAGGGAGGTCTTGCGAGAGACCATGGCTGCGTTGTTAGGCGCCAACTTGAACTTGATACGGCTCAGAAGAAGAGGATGGAATTTCAGCAGCCTGGAGGTGTGGTTTTACATGGCACGTGGAATTGGGAAGGAAGATAGAAGACTGGGCTGGGCGGTGGTGAGGTCGAAGACTGAAAGACCACGTCAGCGGGTACAGATAGTGGATGGAGCGGGCAAGAGTAGAAGGCCTCAATAATGATAAAGAACGAGGGTTTCGACAAGTACCTGGGTATTCGTGTCGAGTTTTAACAACAATGGCCTCGACTTACGACGACTATGAGATGCGAGCGCAAGGCCTCAGCATCAGACACTGCAGCGCCCAGCGCCCGCTAACCATCAAACAGACCGAGTGACGTTGTGTGGCGCTGATGCTCCGGCTCAGCCACAGTTCCCCGCCTCACATAAATGCTTTACTATTCGTACAAGCTGACCTCCGCGGGTCTCTGGGCTAAGCTGCCTGCACGGCCGTTAAGAGTTCGTGGAACATACCTAACTAGGTAGACTCGCCACGGCTCAAGACTTCTTCTGCTCTTAGATCTTAGAACTACAGTCTGTGGTGTTCCAATGTAGATTTGAACCGCCCCTGGTAAATCAAGGAGTAGACTCGGACAAGTACTCATAATTGGTTTGAGACTTGAGTTAACACGGCTGTCAACCCTATTATTCACTCCAGTTGGAAGTAATTACACTCTATCCGCAAAAGTAGATGTTAATCTCTGTCGGCGTATTTCAATTTTCACATAACGGTGCTATACACTAGTTTGTTAAACGCTCAGCTAAGCATCGGTCAGGCTGAAAACTCCGGAGTGTAAAACCCAGCGACTCAGCTACAGCTGGGGTTGAGGTCAGACTTGAATAGGCTCCAACACCACTATGAAAAAGAATGGCGAATGAAATTCATTGTAGATGATTTCGAAGCAGGAGCAGCCGGTTACAGAAGTGTGCGCGTAATTCCACCGTCAGGGTGAAAGGCTACGATGGGGATAACCAGTGGATTAAAAGGGGTGAAGTTAATGTATCGTGAGTCTCCTTTTCTGCAAGCCTCCCCTCGCCTTGACGATCAGGTTCCGCGCTGCACGAGGGTACGGTAGCGTGCATGATCACGCGTGCTTTTACGCAAAGCGAAGCTCCTGATAATTTTCAAACGTATTGCAAAGTTCGCTCAATGATTGCCAAAGCTCTGTCTCAGCCTCACACCAGGGTTTGCGGATGTTATGAAATTGGGCGGAAACTGCCAAACACCCAAGCACCCTCCGGGGATCTGAAAAACCCAATGCGCGGTCCCGGCTCGCCATGGCTTTCCTCGAACATGTCTTCGACCTTCTCCACCGGAGAGCGCGTTCTCACTTCTTCGAATTGAGACGCAACAAGTGCAGCAATGCTCAATCGCGCCTGAATTTCACCTGTCTCGCGGCTGGAAGACAGGAATGCGACTACAGTCAATGCAATTCCCAGCAATACCAGCAAGAGGTTGGCAGCTAGCAAGCACGCCAACGGCAACTTAGGCACACGTGCGACAAGCATGTCCTCCCGTGACTGCAACTCGAGTGCTGGCCGCGGCTGGAAGGCCCCTACAGCCACAGCAAGCGCGGTTTGGCTGTAGGACAGTGCGAATTGATCCGAGATGGCTTGAGCAGAGTTTCCGAGACCGGCAACACTTGCGGCCTGAACGAGATTTGCATCGCCAGCATCCGTGAGTCTCTGGGAACCTTGGAGAATGTTTGTCGTGGAGCTGTTGCTTAGGTTTACGGCGAAACGGGTGACACTGCCGTTCACAGACGTGTACTCAAGGTCGTAGATCGTCGAATTACAAAACAACGCAATGATGGTGGAGCCTCCGTGTCCGCCCTTGATGATCTCTGGATCGCTCATTAAAGCTTGAGAGACACCATTCCGCATGTTCACGACTGCTACAGCAGCATGGTAATAGGGGTTGCCTATGTGATTCGTGTTGGTATTGTTGTTGGCCCCCGAAGAATCGGTAAAGTAGGCCATGGTGACTGAGTTCAAAGAGCCCACGCTTGTATCCGCCATCCCTTGGAAGGCAAAGGGGCAATGGTAGAATGTGCCCACGCCAGCAACATCATCAGTACTCATGCAACTGCTCGTGACAGGTTTGCATTGAGATTGCACAGCATATGACTTAGCACTATAGTCGATGGATGCCAGCCGAGAGAGCTGTGCATTTGTCAGGTAGGCGAATTGGTCGCTTCCAATGGTATGTGTTTGAATTAGCATGCTATCCGAGATATTGGAAAGGACTTCGATCGGAGTGGAGCTCATGAGAACCGCACCTGAGGCAGGATTATCCATATTGCAACCAAAGGAATAGGTCTGGGAGACATCAGTGCAGTTATCGTAGACGCCAAAACTTAGGTCGAAGGCATCTGAGGTGGGTGTAACCTGCGAGAAGTTGACCGTTTTCGTGGTGAAGTGCAGCCAAGTATCGGTGGCAAAGACAAAAGTGCTATTGACTTGGATTAGAGATCCAACAGCCAGCTAAGGAGGGAAACTATCAAGCGAGGATGGGCAAGGGATGTGCAAACCTCAAGATGATGCCAAGAGTAAGTATACTCGTCAGAGTCTTTACTGATCTGCCCTGAGGTTCTCTTCGGGCCTTCCAGCCAAAGGCGTACTGTAACCAGCTCCACAACGCTGATACAGATCCTCCTGAAAGCATCTTCAGCAACAAAGAAAACTGGTATGGAGTGGGTAACTGGGCTGCTTCCTGTTTGATGGACGCAGTGAGTATTCCGCTGGCGACAGGATACGAGACCAGAGTGACGGGAAACCCGACTAAGATTGGAGCTGTAGTACTTGACCATGAAGCAATGGTGATGAGGGTGGTCGCACTGATCTTGACGAACACGACGCTCGAGACATCTTGTCCAGCGTCAAATGCCAGGTCGTCGGACACAAAAGGATTCTGAACGACCCGATAGTGGAAGATCAGGCCAAGCAGAAGTGCAGAGAAGATGGTCATTGGTATGGTCATGACTGCAAAAGCAATCATGATTTCCTTCACTCGCCCATGAATTCGTGTTGTCGGCTGGTCATGACTGGCCATTGGTGCCACGGCCGAATATACCATGGTTGGTGCCATATTGAAGGTTAGCAGACCTCAAAGGAACAGATTGTGAAAATCATCGTTGAAATGGCCAGAGAGCGAACTGAGACCGCACAATGCGGCTGAGAACACCACATCACCAGATCTCCTTTTCCCACAAGCCTGAGTACTGAGAAGCTTTGGTGGCGTTTTGTTGTCATGGCCACTAATTGGCAACTGCAAGCAGGACTGGGTAAACGAAATGCGGAGAGTGTGCACCGAGGCTCTCGTGTCCTCACGACGCAGACTTCACGAGGTCCACGCACAAACCACCAATCAAAACTTGAGGGTCGTTGGATGAGCATCGTCAGATCACCAGTCTCTTCGCACGGTGGCTGTTGAAAGATCGATCTGGCCGTGCCCTATCCGAGAATCAGTCGCCTCCTTCCGTAACATGACCCAGGGAGATATCTACCAATGTATTAATCATCGTAACGATTAATTGGCGCCTCTCTCCGTCTTAAGTTCGGTCTGTTCGAGAGGCATGGGGAGGAAGGGAGGGGTAATCACATGCGAGCAACGAAATGACCGAAAATTGGTATACTCGCTAGTCGCACCTGCCTTCCTCTCGGTGCCTGTTCCTTCTTCCTTTACGACGAATACGACCACTTTGATGAGGCAGTCACGTACGGATAGAGGTTCCCCACCGGAGAAATTGTTCCACAGCTACGACTACGACGACCCGGAACAGCCTTCCTCGGAGAAATGCTTCCGTCATGTCAACCAGAACCTTCCCGCCTGAACAAGTGGCAGCTTTAGTATATTGCGTATCTAACCTAGTATCAACTACTAAATTCAACGGTCCAAATCTTGTTTTCTCCTTCTGTGTCCGTGCCGATCAGCTAAGAATTGGCGTCATTTCTCAGCCTTGTGATCCATCTTCTCAACGTGATGCAGCGGATGTTATTCCCGCCATCGGCGATTCTTCACCCAACAGGTCCCATGGAGCCCTGCATTCCCACCAGCTTGCCCAACTTGAAGTTCTAGCAGTTTCGCTTCATCTTCAATTGGTCGAGATGCAACCACGAGTGGACTGGTCTCTTCTTCTACGACAAACTCTCACCGGGCTGTGCATGGCCACGGCCGGTCCACAAAACCCTTGTCCAGTCCCGACTTTGGTTCATCACCGACGTCTCGTTCTGTTCAACTTACGGATATCTTCCATCAAGTTCATGGCACCCACCTGGATAGTTCCGTGTCCCCACAACGCTCGAGACTCTGACATCATCTTCAAGAAATATGTTGCACCGTTTCCCTATATCACTGTGGACGTATGCCACGTAGCAGAAAGATATAGAAAACGTCACATTGTCCCCTATCCTCAACCCCTATCCTCAACCCCTAGACACTCCATCCAACTTGTCATCTGAACATGGACACAAACTTCGAGGGCCGTGTCATTGTCGTTGCAAATCGCTTACCTATAACTATAACCCCCAAGCCAGATGGCAATTTCGATTATAGCATGTCCTCAGGCGGACTCGTATCCGGTCTGAGAAGTTTGGCCAAGGTCGTGGATTTCAAGTGGTTTGGTTGGCCTGGTATCGATGTGCATCGCAATGATAAGGACACCGTTCGCCGTGAACTTCAGGATCAATTCGGTGCTGTTCCAGTGTTTCTCAACAGTGACCTGGCCGAGAGACATTACAATGGATTTTCCAGTAAGTCATTTATGGATTCAACCATGTCCAATTCCTTGGCAGGCGATTGAAGTAATATCCAGATTCCGTTCTATGGCCTCTAATGCACCGGATGCCTGACAAGGTATTTTCGGAAAAGACATGGGCAGCCGCTTACCAGGAAGTCAACGAGGTGTTTGCCGACAATATCCTTCCCATCGTTGAAGATGGTGATATCATCTGGGTACACGACTATCACCTGCTACTTCTGCCTGGAATTCTACGACAACGAATGACAAAGAAGAAAAACCTCCGCATCGGCTTCTTCTTACACACCCCATTCCCCAGCGAGGACTTCTTCTCGATATTGCCGTTCCGCGAGGCGATATGCCAGAGCCTACTCAGTTGCGACGTGGTAGGGTTTCACACAAATGGCTACGCTAAGGATTTCGTGGAGAGTGCCTGTACCGTGTTGGAGTAAGTCTCGAACGGGGGGCCACTTCATTTTTAGCGTCGCTGACCAATAAATCCAGAGGTGTTAGTGTGTCACCAAATGATTTACATTACGAAGGAAGAAAAGTCATTGTCCATGGCTTTCCCATCGGCATCCAGCCTCAAGAATTTAAGGACAGATTAGGCGCAGAAGAGACTCAAGAAGAACTGGAAAGGCTAAGAAATGACTTCCGCGGACAAAAGGTCATTGTGGGAGTCGATCGATTGGACTACATCAAGGGCATCCCACAAAAGTTGAAGGCGTTCGATCGATTTCTGACTGAGAATCCCGACTGGCTAGGCAAGGTCGCTCTGATTCAACTGGCTATTCCTACCCGCGCAGACGTGAGTACCTACCAGAAACTGAGGGACGAAGTCGAACGCCTGATAGGATATATCAATGGAAAACACAGTCAGTTCCCCAGCTCAGGCAACTCTTGAATCAGTGGCGGTCTCCAAGATCATTGACCCAAGCATAGGTACATTCTCTCACACACCCATCCACTATCTCTACCGATCGGTGAAGCCCGAACATCTCTGCGCTTTATACGCTGTCGCCGACGTATGCATCATATCATCCCTCCAGGACGGTCTGAACATGGTCAGCTACGAATTCTCCGCCTGCCAAGCAGAGAATAAAACCAAAGGCATCCTCGTCATGTCTCAGTACGCCGGAGCCGCCAAAACCCTGCCCGCATGTGTGGTCGTGAACCCCTGGGACACCCCTCGCTTCGCCGAGCACATCCGCAACACCTTGACCATGCCGGACCACGAACGAGAAGACCGGTACCGACAGAACGAGAAAATCGTAGATGAATGGACAAGGTAAGCAAGCAAGCAAGCAACCCAACACCCTGCACCCAACAAACCCTTCCCTTTCCCCATTCCAAGACACCTGTCCGTTAGAAACCACCCAGCCAGAAACTAACCGTCCACAGCGTGAAATGGGGCATATCATTCCTCAACACCGTGATCCGGATGCAGCTGCCCAAAGCCGAAGAATCCAACTCGACCAGCGCCGACGCGTCGCTGAACCAGGACATCGAGTCCAAGAACCGGCCGCACCTGGACGGCGACCTCGAGCACATGGACGACCACGATGCCCGCTTCGCCCTGCCGGACGACTGGTCCAAGGGGTAACTTAGTATGTCGGAGTTGTATAATAGGCTAGCAAAGTAGTCAATTATTTTGAGCGGACGATGCCACGAAGCCAGCATGTGTAAGAGGTCTGCATCTGCATCTGTGTCTGTGTCTTTGTCTGTGTCGACTTGGCAGCACGGCATACCGGGGAACATTCAAAGGCCATGGAATGGATGGAACCTCGAGAGATGAAAAAAGCGGACAATACAACTAACTGCCATGTCACTATCTCCTGCTATGTGTTCCTTCTTCTGCTCTGTTCTATTCTTCAATTCTCATCCAAAGTTCTTAGTAATAGTAATTTGGGTAGGTCTGGTCGCTGGTTCTTGCTCGTTGCCCACATATGAATGCATGGATACCTGTCCTTCCCTCCCCCCGAACCATCCATACACGTACATTTCGTTGCTCCTGTTACCTTTCCCTTCCTTTATGCCACACATTTGGAGGGTTTTTTTATACACAAAACACAAAGTGGTAAAAACATTGATACAATAGAATATGAACCCGACAATGGTAAAGCTGGTTCTCCTGGTAACCACAGCTTCCACTCGAATCACCGCCGTTCCTCGCGTCTAGGCTCTCCACCTTGACTCAGACCTCTGTAATGCACAGGTGTTCCTGGATGTAGAATAGGATGTGATTGTGGCGGTGGTTGACGTTGCGGCTGTGGTGCGTGAAGGCGATGATGCATCTGATGCTGAGGTGGAGGTGGTTGGGATTGCTGGCTTGGAGGTCCCTGATTTTGAGTCAGAGGAGCGCTCTGTTGGTGCTGATGCGGGTGGTTCAGTGCATGTGCGACATTATTAGGCCCACCATAGGGATTATGATGATGCTGCTGCTGCTGTTGTTGGGGAGGCGTGAATGTTCGCGGTATGTCACGTTGTGCGAACGACATATGGCTCTGGTTTCCCACCCCGCCAAGTTGGGTCTGACGACCTATTCCACCCGAGGTGTGAGGATCAATACCAAAAATGTCTCGTCTCAAATGTTGCTGTTGCTGTTGCTGTTGCTGTTGCTGTTGCTGTTGCTGCTGCTGCGGAGGCGGCGGTTGCGATGACGGTTGCTGCTGCTGCGGTTGGTGATGTTGTTGTTGCTGGTGGTGGTGGAGTTGGTGAATATCCCGCTCACGTTCACGTTCGCGTTCGCGTTCGCGATCCCTATCTCGTTGCTGGGCTACCTCAACTTCTCGTTGGCGTTGAATCTGTCTGTCATGCTCACGTTGAAGTTCCTGTTGCTTCTGAGCCATGTGCTGTTGGATAGTCAACCGTGGTTGAAAATCATGCAATGACGGTCCACGCTGATGAAGACTGGAAACGGGAGTGGAGCCTGCAGACTGTGGGAGAGTTGTTGGTTGAAGACCAAGAGCACCAGCTTGAGCTGCACTCTGACCTTGAGCATAGCCAATCGATGACACCCGAGAGTGATGAGAGCTCCCAGACATACTTCGATAGGGCTGATTCGGTGGTGCAGTTTGTTGTGGCGGAGGAGAGGGAGCATGAGGCATTTGGCCGATGTTGCTGAGTAGTGAGCGTCGATGGTCCATAGGGCTACGTTCCAATCCTCTAGGAGTCTCCGCTCGCAAAGAATGAATTGGGGGAACACTATTCGACTGTGTTGATGGAGGGATTACCGAATAATGGCTTGGACCGGGTGAATGATGTGGATTTCGTTGCTCGCTGAGACCACTCTGAGGCCTGGGATCAAAGCGGTCCATCCATGTTTCATTGCTGGGTGGTGCTGGCTGGAGACTATTCATAGCGTTTTGATAATCTCCCAGAGAGTGGCCAGACCCGCTTCCAATGGGGTTCCCGCTAGGATTGTATGATCCTCGACCTAACCGGCCAAGACTAGAGTCCTCTGGCGGTCCCTGACGATGTTGTTGTTGCTGTTGTTGCTGTTGCAAATGACTATGGCCGACTCCTTCCGGTCCTGGCTGAGGTGAGAGTAAGCTTGGTCGTTTGGCTGCCTCGAGTGAAGGACGCTTCGGCGGCGGCTCTGGAGGGTCATCATTCAACAGGCCGAAGACGTTTGAACGTTTAGTTGGTGGCTTTGGTGGATCGACTGGCGGCGGAATAGAGGAAGCTGAAGGTGGGTTTCCGTGGACAGACATTTCATTCTTGATAGGTGGAGCGATAGGAGGCGTTGACACTTGCATCTGCGACGGGTTGGGTACCAGACTATACGTGGCATTTCTAGGCTTGCTTTCGGCCAGACGGAGTGAGGTCAGATCCTGAGCTTGTTCTAGGAGGGAATGACTCGGTGGCGCAGTGGAACTATTGGTTCGACTGTGACTATGTCGGAAAATATTGCTCGGCGGTGGTTGACCGTATTTCTCGCCTTGTGAGCGTGAAGCTTGTACATTTTGCACAGGTGGGGGTTGAGAGCGTTGCTGGACCTGTTGAATAGGGTCTCTCGGCTGATTAAGGAGTGCTTGTGAATAAGCAGAGAGTTGTGGCTGTAGTGAAATATCAGCACGAGTGATTTCAGGAAGGCGTTGTGCATGTTGGTGAGGCGAGTGATCTTGGGGTGGCATGCGCAAGGGTTGCCGATTTGGCGGAAATCCGACATGATCTTCTTGGAAAACTCCAGGTCGTGGACCATGCGAGGGTTTGGCTCCATATAGTGTGGTGCGATCCAGTTTCGCAACCTCCTCGACTTTTGGTTGGGATTGTATTGGTAAGGGTGGAATATCTCGTGGAATCGCCTGGGGTTTGGCAATCACGTTACCTAGCGCATTCCTCTCCACGATGTTTTGCGGAAATTCATCGATGACACTTTGCTTTACCATTGGTGCTAAAGAATCGGCCTGCGTAGATACTTGATCGATCTGGACGGGAACGTGGCGAGGGACAGCCATTGACGGTGTCGCTTCGTACCTACGCTTTGGTGGCGCGATTGGGCTAGGCGGTTGTCCAGGTTTCTTCCCTGCCGCGCGTGCTTGCTCCCCCATTTGAGCGAACTTCTCAAATTCCTCCTTGCCATCGTTGACTTGTCGAATATAGTAATTTTTGATCTACCACAGGTTAGCTCATGATAAATTTCGGAATAGGTGATGGCACAATGCTTACCATAGTCATGCTCTTTGTCTTCATGAATTCAGCAATGGCAGCGAAATCCCGACCAAAATAGGCCAGTAGTTGCGGGAATTTGCTTTGTTCCGGCACCGACCAGTAACTGGTTACCTGAGATGCTACAGGATGGTGAGCCGCAATGGGGTCTACGGAGCCGTCGGCTACAGGATATTGTGGTGGCACAGTATCAATTGGTTGTTGAGGAGGCTGTGGAACGGGTGGTGGCTCAGCTCGAATTGGAACATTCTCTGCGCGTAGAAGGGTTCGGCCTCGGTCCGCCTTTGTACCATTGATTGCCTTGGAAGGGAAAGACTCGGACGCATTCAAGAGTGCTTGTGCTTGCTTATCCGCTTCAATTTGAGCTTTGGTCCTTCTTGTCTTGGTCGCTATACCCGCCTTTCGACCTCTGGGTGCTTTGGGAGTTGGCTCTGCACTGCCGTCCTTTAGAGTAGTGGTCAGTTTCTTTGATTGCGGCACTGGTGTGGAAGGATCATTCTCGCTGGCGGGATCCCCAAAAGTTGGCGCGGCAGCTCTTCTGGGTCTGCCGCTGTCGGTAACGGCAACAGGGCCCGCTTCACCATCGTCACCGTAAACAAGCTCAGACATCAAGGCTGTCGAACGAGGCTTAGTGGCGGCTCTACCACGCCTCTTCTTTGGCTGCGATCTTCTCCAGATATCCTTGTAGTGCGCTCGGGTCTTTGTCAAGTAATAATGGGCAATGCATTCTTGATATGAACGCCCAGGAATAGACTCTGCAATCTTGCCCCACTTCTTGGGGGTTTGACAATACGCATTGATGAATAAGGACTGTTCCTCGCTTGTAAAATCGTCAACTGGTGGTAGATACGCATAGATATCAATAATTAGATCATCCGCAATCAAGCGATTGGTGTCCTCGAAATAACAGGATTCGATCTCTGCTGGTCTCAACATTGGGGGAATGACTGCTTCCGTCTCATAGTTAGGAACAGAGCTGGAGGCCGCTTCTCGTTCTCGTCTTTCTTCTTCTTCTTTTGCCGACTGTTGTGACATCAGAATTGCAGCCTGCAAATCCGCCTCAGTTGTATTTCGTGCTCCTCTTGTTCGTTCATGAGTCAACGAAGGTGTGACTGATGGAGCGACAGATGGAGCTGGAGACGCAGGAGCGGGACTGGCTTGCAAATCACGACGATCATGTTCCAGATGAGCAATCTCTTGTCGCCATACATGGTATTTTCGCTTGAAATCTGCCTCTGTGTCTCCCATCTCGGAGCGCCATTCCCAGGCGGTATCTTCAAACTCTTGCTGGAGCAATGTATTGACTGCTTCATGCTCGACTTCATTATCTGATTCATCAAACAGTATTCTGTGTGGGCAAATCTTTTCGAGATAGGGTAAATCCTCAATGGGTGGGGTGGGAATGGGGTTGACAGGTGCTTGTTTCAATGGTCGACCTTTGGGATAAGCCTCTTCAGGGTCTGACTTGGTACTGGCCTCGTTTGAAGTTTGTGTAGGGGATGGAAGACTGGTAGCCACGTTCGACGTGGCAAGTATATCCTGCCTTGAGTCTTCGGCCGGCGCAAGGACCGTTTGTGGTATGCTATCCTGCAGTAGCATCTCAAGGAATTGCAACTTGATCAAGAGCGGCACGATGGTCCCATCTTGTAACAAGGGTGGGGGCTTCCGAGCTTCCAAAAGACCCATTTCTTGCTTGAACCGCTCTTCTGACAGCAAATAGTATTCTTCATCAAATGCATCATCATCCCCTTCGTCCTCGTCCTCGCTAGTAGCCGGCATCGACATCTCAACATCATCAGGAGTGTGGACTTCCTCAATCGGCTGTCTGGGAATGAGTGTAATTTTTCCTTCTGGAATCCTTGGGCTAGTAGCAGATAGCGATTTTGGGCCTGTGGGTGCAGCTGGAACGGATGTGATGGAACTCTGTAAGGGCCGGCCTTTGTCCACGAGTCCATGGAAAGACGAAGCCTGTCTTGGACCTGTGGGAATGAATACTGCTCGCTCTCGTGGCTCTGGTTGATATGGCTTGTTCAATTGATTCATGATAGAGGGCTTCGGTTTGTATTCAGGAGCAACCCATGATTTCGAACTGGTTCCCGGCAAATTCGGCCGAGAACCATCTCTATGCGTCAACTCTCTATCAAGTCTAGGTCCTGTTGGGATTGCAGAAGGTTTGCTATCTGGCGCGGTGGGTTTGGACTGCTCACGCAACGCCGTGGGAGAAGTTGTAGCACTTACAGGCTCCACCGAAGCTATCCTTGGCTTGAAGTTCGAAGTTGTGGGGCCTAATCTTGGCCCAGAAGGAACATTTGGTGGCATTGTTCTATCGAGTGCCGGAGACTGAGCTGTACGGGACTCGGTTGAAGATTCGTCCTTCTTTGAGCTTGCTTCGACTGATATGCTACTAGAAGTAGGCACAATGCTTGTGCGCAGCGGCCGTGAATGCGGCTCACTGCGAGGCCAAGTGTCATTTGGTTGGGACGCTTTTGGGCCTTGAGGTGCGTTTGGCGTAGAGGGAGTGCGGACAGCTTTTGGTCCACTGGGAGGCTGAAAAGATGATTGTATGGCTACCACGGGTTCAATCTTTGGAGGGGGCGCCTTTGATACTGGCGGCTTCTCGGAGGCCGGGGTAGTGACTGGTGCGACCGAGGGTGGAGGTCCGTAGTCCAGGCCAACGGCTGAGGCTGGTTGTGGAGCAGCTTGTGCAGGGTCACGCCTAACAGGATCCGTTCTAGAAGGTCCAAAGTAATCTGATTGATCGCCATCTCTGCGCAGATCACGAATCGAAACAGTAGGAGTTGCAACCACAGACGGTTTCCTAGAGGAATCATGTTCAGGCTTTGTTGCACGATCAATCGCAAGGGTGGATGGTGTGGCGACCGAGCCCAGCGCGTGCCCTCCTGTGCTTCTCGCTGGTGAGTGATCTCTTTGCCGAATATCTTGCCCTCTGATATCACGTTCTCTACTACCGCGATCAAAATCCCTGCGGTCGTAACGATCCGGTCGATCGGATTCGGGGGGAATTTGCCGACCACGGTCAAAGTCACGATCCCGCCAGCTTTCTCGTGAGCGACTTCGGTTGTGGAAAAGATCTCTATCTCGTTCGCCCACAAAGGAGTTCCGACCCCGGCTTCGTTCCCAGTCACCTCTACCACGGCCTCGGGTCAGCCCACCTCGCGAAGCTGGAGCGTAGTAAGAGGTGTTGTCGGCGGGGCGACTATACGTTGATGGAATGCTTTCTCGTGAATCCCTCCGCGCTCGGATCGGAGAAGCAGAGCGGTCTCGAGCTCCAACATATGGCCGGCTGTCTCTGACCACGGTACCACCTCTGTCTCCCGTTCCAAATTCACGATCTCGCCGCGGCCAATCCGGCCTGTCATCGTCTCTTGTACGATAAGATTGTGGAGCAGGTCGAGCCTCCCTGTCACGATCGCGGTCACGGTCACGATCCCATGTGTCACTAGAGCGTGGGAAGCCTCCCCGACCTCGCGCGGCAAAACTAGAGCCTCGAAAATCAGCCTTGGGCCCTCGAGGAGGAGCACGATCCGATGGAGGCCCCGGATCTGCGGCTCCTCTGTATGAAGAACCTAACGAACTGTAGGTGCCAGAGGGTCTGCGATCGAATCGTGGAGGTGGAGATCGTTCACGATTGTTGTTGGGGTTGGGATACCTCGAGGACATGGATTATGTCAGCCGCCCTGGCGGAAAGCAGGACGAGCTAGTGCTAGATATGGGATAGCCCGTCGCAGGAAGGACATCACGTGGTGGAGGTGGAGATGAGTCAACTCGGTTTCAGCCACGCTCTTGGCTTATTGGAGCTTGGAGCAATCGAGGTGTTCTTTTTCGAACTTGGAAGGCGAGGGGGGAGGAGACGGCTCCCGCTGCGCGAGTTCGTGGTAGAGCCTGTTACCGCCGGTCACAAGCCACTTTTGATTGATGAGGGCGAGTTACCGGTCGAAAGTTTAACAATGGCCAGCAGTCGTACAAATCAATTCCTGAATTCGTAGCCGTCGATGCAGGTCTGTGTCAAGCCCCGACGAGGTCTGTTGCTGCACTGGTTGCACGGGGGTTTGTTGCCGAGCCCGGGATTTCGAATTGCAGGGTTGATCGGACGGAGTTCCAACGGATTTGTTAAGAAGCTGATGAATTCGTGTTACCGGCCAGCGAGCCAACTTGATACAAGAAGAAGGACTTGAGCGAAATACGGGCGTTGTAGTGGACGACCAGGACTGGTTATGCCGATGTTGTATGTGTCAACGTGGTGCTTCAGTTGAAATCCGAATCGTGGAAAAGCGTTGGACTGATTCTGTGGACAGCGCGCCAGACGTGCGGGTTAGTCGAACCAGGGACTGGGTAATTATGTGGAAACGGCGCGATGGATGCGCGAATATGTGTTTGATTGAATCTCCAAACCTGTGATGGGGTGATAATGTGATGTTTGGATTGGTTTTCGTGAAGAAGAGATGGAAAAGCCAGGAGAAAGAAGACGAAAGAGATGGGGCTGACACAAACGAGGCAACCACGACGCGCTTGAAAGTTAGCCGCCGATCCGCTCAGATACTAGTATATCCGCATTAATTATTATTACCGAGACCGAGAAGCTGCAACCTTGAACTTGACTTCCAGGTTGCCTCCCGATCACCTGCACACCCCAAAAGTTCTAACGACAACCTCGAGCTCGGGGGACTTTGTGATGGTTATTACAAAACTTTACGGCTACGGGCGGGGATCAATTCTCCACCTGGGCGGGCATTGGCTGGCAATGGTCCCAAAGGTTTCCACGTCCGAGAGTTTAAATCAATGAAAAGACGGCAGGAGTTACAGTAATATGTGTCTTGGCGGAACACACGGCCGCACTCAAGTCCCAGACTGGGCACCCGACTGTTTATCTACTCGGTACTCGCGTACTTGAAGTTTTTACTACGAGTAATTATAGGTGGGTGCCCATCTCCAGCTACTACTCCGATCACTCCAGTTTGACGTTGGTTTATTTTGGCGTGAACTTTCTAGCATTTCCCAACGCGGAAAGTTCCATTTAATTCCCATTCCCAAAAACCCGCAAATTTTTGATGTTTTGATACATGGTGGTGCCTAGAACAAAAATACCCAAACAACTAACCCCAGCAATGAATTCCGCACCACCTGCCAAAGCCACGGATGCAGTCCTTGTGGCCTCAGATCCAGTTCCTGATGATGTTCAACAAGTCAAAGGCATCGATTGGGCTGCGTTGCCCGCAGAACAACGCACAATCATCTCGAACTTTGTTCTTCAGATGACTGGTCAAGGCTTCCAATCTAGTGCTCTGGCGGACGCCATCCGCATCGTGAATGATATGGTTGGTTTCTTCCGACCATCGACACTCGACGAGGCGGTTTCTGACTGAATGCAGAGAGCATGGAGAGATCCAGAGACGGGCGACAAAACCACCATATTCCTCGGTTACACATCCAATATGATCTCGTCGGGTTTACGCGAGACCTTTCGCTGGCTCGTGCAGCACCGCCACGTGTCGGCGATTGTTACGACGGCGGGTGGAATCGAGGAAGACTTCATCAAATGCCTGGCACCGACATATCTAGGATCATTCTCAACACCAGGGGCCGCATTGCGCGCTAAAGGGCTCAATCGAATTGGCAACCTGGTGGTTCCAAACAACAATTACTGTGCGTTTGAGGACTGGGTCGTCCCCGTCCTTGATCAGATGTTGAAGGAGCAGGAAGACGAATTTGCTCAAAGTGGACAACGATTTATGTGGACTCCCAGCAAGATCATCCACCGACTCGGCAAAGAAATCAACAACGAGTCCTCGGTCTACTACTGGGCTTACCGAAACGATATTCCAGTCTTCTGTCCTGCGTTGACGGACGGTAGTCTCGGTGACATGATCTATTTCCATTCGTTCAAGGCATCTCCACTCCAACTCGGCGTCGATATCGCCCAGGACATTCGAAAGATCAACACGATTGCGGTCCGGGCCAAACGTGCGGGAATGATCATCCTGGGTGGTGGCGTTGTCAAACACCATATTGCTAATGCATGCCTGATGCGGAATGGTGCCGAAAGTGCGGTGTACATCAATACAGGACAAGAATTCGATGGCAGTGATGCTGGAGCCAGGCCAGATGAAGCAGTGAGTTGGGGGAAAATCAAAACCGATGGTGACAGCGTCAAGGTGAGCATGCAGTATCATCGACCACACACGGAAGATTTACTCACCCAATCCAGGTCTATGTCGAGGCCACAATCGCCTTCCCTCTCCTTGTAGCCTCAACTTTTGCTCGACCGGAATCTGAGCTGGAGAATCGGTGATTGCGGGGACCGCCATTTGGATGGCCACAAGCCTCAAACTAGCCAAAATCTGGCAAGGTACCAAGGTACCTAAAGCTAGGTACGAATATTTAGTTGATGGACCATCCAGGGCGATTTGACAAGCCATCCCCAAAGGCGGTGGAGTCGAGTGATGTGGAGAAAGAGCTTTCCAGATTCAAGACATGATGAGTCGAAATGAATCCCCAGAGTCTGAAAAGTTCGTCATCGCAGATGGCCACTCTCCAATAAACAAAATTCTTGACCCACGGTTGGTGCCTGAATCCAAAGGGAGGAATTGGGCTTAACCGGTGGCAGGCGTTTCTTTGTTTTCTGGACTGAGCCTCACCTGTTGGAGGTGGCAGTTAGGCGTGGGGGGCATCATTAGCCACCAAGTAGATACTCACTAAAGCCCGAGGCGGCCCATGGCCCTGGGGAGCTTGGTGTCAACTAGCCCTAGAGGAGAATGGTCTCTCGGTCCCTCCCCATTGAGCCTATCCGATGACCATCGATAAGCCCAGGTCTGGCTGTTGACATGCGCGGACAAGGCGAACTTGTCACCCAGTCAGAGCTGAACAACTGCGCCTGTAATCCACTGCGTGCACTGCCAGTGCTTTTCATCTGCCCTGCCTGCAGGTGGATCCGGAGACCCTGGGATCCCGTCTTAGCACATCGTTGCCTGACGTGCCACGCCAGCCAGTGCGAGCAGTGATTCTTGTTCCTTAGCCAGAGCCTGACAGTGCAAGTGACAACGACCGGTCAACTTCGACTCACTCAGGCTATCCGTACACCACCATCACCACCACCACCACCACCACCACCACTACTGGCGATGCCTGCCTAACTGCTAGCACTCTTCCTGAAGCCCTGCCTGCTCCTGCTCATGCCTCATGCACAGGCTGCAGCTGCAAGAACCCCATCGGACTGACTTCACTAACCCCAATCGATCCTCTCTACTGCACACCCCATTTACTCATCCTCGTTGCCGCTGTCATTTTTTGTTCTGGCTATATCACTTTGATGCTGCTACTCAGCCTGTCATCCTCATCCTCACCCGTCCATCTTTCCATCACTATCGCTTTGCTACTACATACTGACGACTTGATCTCAATTTTGACCTGCTTGTTGACCATGTAAACGAATACCATCCTTCACTCACTGGCACTGCACTGCTCATCACACCCATAGACCCTGACAGTCTCAACGTGACTCACTCTCCGTCGACCCATCACCATGGCTAGCTCTCAAAATTCACCCGTGCTTGTTCAGCACGCCTCACCTCCCCATACGTTAAGTCCTACCATGCCAGTTGTCTCCATCTCCGCCTTCGAACCACCTCCTCTACCTGAATCAATGTTTAGTCCGACAAGGACAATTCCTCCATTTGATCAAGATACCGCGACTGTGTCTGTACAAGAGGCAGATACAGAGATGGCCAATACACAGGCTCCTATTCCTGTTCCTGTGCAAGAACCTTCCCCGGTGGTTGAAACTCCACCGCCACCTCGAGAAGAGTTGACATCTATCCCAGAACCCGAGGCAGCCACAATAGATCACCTGGCTGAAGATCCTACCACACACACCCAACAGCCTTCGCCCGAACAAGATGGACTGCCTCCTACCCCTCCTGCGGCAGCGGAGCCCGGTCCTGAAGTTCCCGAGTGGGCTACTTGGGAGGATGACAACTCTACTCCAAATGAGGAGGAAATGACACAGATTAATGCCCGCGACTTTGAGTTGAGTGCTCTGGATGTCCCCAGCGTGGAGAAGAGGATATATTACGACGTTGATGACCCTGACCAGCGACCGATCAAGAAGCTTCGTCTCAGCTGGGTCATCAAGAACCTACGGGGAACAAGGAACAAACCCAATCCTTCCCGGGTCATGATCTCCCCGCCAGCAGAGGTCGACGGCAACTACTGGCAGATCAAACTCTACCCCCGTGGTAACAAATGCTCTTCTCTCAGTGCCTACATCAGATGCACCCCAGTTCCGCCGAAGCTAGAGCCAGACACAACGGATAGCACATTTGCCTTCTACGAAGGTGCTCCAGAGGCAGATTTGGGGAATGACGCTGTCCCAACTCAAACTCTGACGATTGAAGCCACAAGCAAGCCAGAGATTAAAATTACTCCAGCACAAAGCCCGGATGGCCAGGAACCACAGAAGCAAGAGAGCTCACAGGAAGGTACGCAAGAGAGTTCGCAGGAGACCGACAGTCAAGATTCAGAAGCTGTCACAACCGACAACACTTCGTCAACAGATGCATTGAAGCAGGACAAACCTGTTGACTTGACATGGAGGGTCGCAGCACAACTGGGCATGATCATGTACAACCCGGCCGAACCTCGCACCTGTACTTACATGTCTTCCGAACATCAATTCTCTTGTGCCAACGATGATTGGGGATGGACCAATTTCCATGGCTCCTGGAGAGAAATTCATCGTCGACAACATGCACAGAGAACTGCCTTGCTCCAAAATGATACTATAGCCATCGACGCATACATTCGAATCTTCGATGACCCAACCCAAGCATTGTGGTGGCATTCATCGGAGTCTGAGGCCCAGTGGGATTCCAAAGCCTTGGCTGGCTACTTTCCAATGGGCACACCTCCGTTGTATCACAGCCCTGCGGTGGCAGGAATCACTGCTTGGCTACTTCTGGCTCCCTTTCGTAAGGCTCTGCAGGCTGCGGATGCTGGTGAGTGGAGAATAAAATCCCAAAGCCGACCAAGACCTCTGCTCGAGCATCTTCAGAAGATCATTTTCTTGATGAAATGGTTGGACAAGGCTTCAGAGCCATATGTCGATCTTAACGATGCGATTGTACACCTCACTCGCTCAGGAGAGTCCTTCACCGACGTAATGACCTTTTGGGAGGTCCTCCGTAGAGGCATGGAGCTCGAACTCGCAGATGACTCAAATTTTATGCAGGCCATGGCAAAGATTTTTGACTCGTCCAAAGGCCCTATCTGTATACCCCCACTGCCAGTCGAGGGTGTCAGCGACATCCAACAAGGCCTTGACAAAGTTCTCCCCGCCGCAAATATCAAGAGTCGCCTTCCCGATCTTCTCTCGCTCCCACTCGCACGAGAAAAGTTTGACAAGAAAACGCGTGAGTGGAAACTGATGTATGATCGTATCATGCTGAATGATCAAGTCATGGCACTTGATCAGTCTGAGGAAGGGAGCCGCGCGAGTTACACACTATATGGATTCATGGTACAAGTTGGGGAACGAAATTCAGGAAAGTTTTACACTGTCTTGCGGCCGAATGGACCTGGTACCAAATGGCTTGCTTTTGAAGACGGCGATGGGAACAAGATATTCTCCTACACCAGGAAGCGAATCAATGAATATGAAGGACTCGAAGGCCAAGCACTCAAAGACCTCACTTCCACCAGACAAACCGCCTATCTTGCCATGTATATCAGGACGAGCTGTGTTTCTGAATATCTCACAGGCACTTTAGAGGAGTTCAAACTCCCACAGTGGATGAAGACTTCGGATTTTACGTATGTCCCAGCTGACGGTCAATTCACTGAGCCAACAGTGGCAGAGAAGACGGATCAAGTTCGTGTGGAATGCTACTCTGATGATTGTTTACGCGGTAGAGAAGGTCTTCTGGATACAACCAAAATCAGAACTCAGGCAGAACACAAGGGTCAATATCAATGCCTTGTTGTCCCTAACACGACGACTTACCAAGAGATCCGAGCACAACTTTCTCGAAAATTGAACATTAAGGATCCAAGCTTGATACAACTGTTCAAATTGCGCCATAAAGACGCAAGAGAGCACACCTGGGGTTCACCAGCACAGCTCAAACCAGTGAAACCGAGAAAACTCATTTCAAGTGGTTTGTTGGAAGGCCAATCTTTGTGTCTCTGGTATTTTGAGACTACGGAAGACGTTGATCGCTGGGGAGACTCCGTCGATTCTCGGATTGTTACAGAGACAGCTGACATTGACCACGAACCACTGGGAGGCAACGCTGTCCCGTTCGAACCTGTCGCCGAACCCGAAGAGCCAACTCAGCCAGTGATGGCGGCTCCTGATGCTGAGCAGGCTTCAGTGCAGGAGGCTGTCGTTGCAGATTTGGTAAGAGCTGCCGTCGTTCACGAAACGGTTCCACTCCCATCAGAAGACACTGGTGAGGGCGTAGATACAACGATGCACACTCTCGAAGACACGACTGTAACAGCAGAAGATAACATGCTAGGTGCTGTCCCACATGGTCATCTCGTTGACGCGGCCAACCACGATACAGATCCTGCAGCACCCTCCACGCTTATGGCTGAGGAGCCAACCGAAAGCCCAGAGAACCCGGCACCTCTGACTAGCGCGGAAGAACAAATAGTTGCGGCGATTGTTACACAAGACGCTGAAATGATGGACTTCACAATGCAAAACACTGTGGAAGAGGAAGTCCCACAGCATCCTCCTGAGTACGAGTCCTCCGATTCATCGGAGAGTGAATCTTCGATATCTGCCGGCTCCTACATTTATGGCATCATCCAGGTCCTCGATCTAGACAAGCAGAATTTCAGCGTGTTTGGCACATTCTTTGCCAAGACCGATGCCAACATCAAGGATTTCCTCAGAACCCGGATGGGATACATCGCAGCCGATAAAGATTTCAATGTCTGGCGCCGAATCTCGGAAGTCGGCGGGCGCAAGATTGGAGCCGACAAAACTTTCAGTCGTGAGAAAGGGATCGATCATGGCGCAAACTTCATTGTCGGTGAAGTCCTTTCCGAGGCCGAACTCAAGGAATATGAGCAACAGGGCAAGTTTACCGATCCTTGGACCTTATCGACGTACCTCCGCATGGTGGAACGAAAGCACCCCGTCAAATCCCTGACGACTGATGACGCCGTTGAAGTCGCAGTCTTTGGGGCGGATTACTTCAAAGGGCCACTGGTGAATGGACGGGGACATGGTCAAAAATGCCTTTGTATCACTGGCACAGGTAACGTCTACGAAGGACCACTTGTCTGTGACAAAAAAAGTGGTAAGGGAGGTAAGATGACCTACCAGAATGGTGACACTTATGAAGGAGAATGGGAGGCCGACGAGCGACACGGCCAAGGTACATTTATTGAGAATCGCACCGGAAACAAATATGTTGGCGGATTCGAATACGGAAAGCGGTGGGGAATGGGCACGACTTACTGGCAAGTGGCAGATGAACAGGCAGACTTGTGCCAGATCTGTTACGGAGAAGAGATTGACGCTCTATTCTTCGACTGCGGGCATGTCTGCGCTTGTGTGGAATGTGCTCGCCAGTGTGACATCTGCCCTATTTGCCGAAAGAGCGTCAAGCAGGTGGTGAAGATGTTCCGAGCATGAGCATGAGTGGTGCACATAAAACGAGATCTTGGCGTTGTGTGTCTTGTGATTTTGGGCTTGATGACAGCGAGCGGAGCGCCTTGTTCTGGATTGGCTCCCAGAGTTCTTTGAGCGACACGACAACCATTTGGGTTTGTAGATTGCAAGCATTTATGACGTCTGGGAAGGAAGACCTTACCCACGAACAAAACGATGGCGTATGGGGTTTTGCGGGGTGCAGACGATCGTCGATAACCCTGAAGCAGACCGGGAGGAGTTGTCTCATTAATTAGCTTTGGCTTGAGAAATTGCAAGTAGACGAATTGCTTTCCCCCACTCAATCTTTTATCCTCATCCATTACGGGCTCGTCCTGCTACTTGCTCTGTTAGTATCGCTGTTGATCGTGGCTCGACACACGACCAGTATCGACGGAAGCATTTCCAAGTTGCTAAGCGATGTAGCATTCCGTGCAATACTACCCTTGAACCTCGGGACCTTCCCCTTCCCCTACCCCACGGGATTTTTGATACTTGTCGTGGGGAGCAGTCAGTGTCAGAGCCCTTTCTTGGTTTGGAGAACCGACAAAGTCGAAATCTTCAGCACAGTAACGTCTCATCCAAGCAGCTAGTCCATCAAGGCTGCCACGACGACCTTTTTCCAGAATGAAGCGATGTCTCCTCTCCCAGATGTTCTATTTAAAGATCAAGCTGATAAACAAGCACGAGACATATGCTTCCTAACCCCACCAGGCAAACTCGCTTGCCCACGTGGGGATTGTTCAAAGATATTCAAGGTATCATTCGGAATGTCGGATCCTCGAAGGAAGTGCTCAGCATCGTACACAATACAGGAACGGATAGAAATCGCGAGGATGGATACTCGGCAGATCTCTGTAAACGAAATATGCATAACGATGTCGGTACCCATGACAGCTACCCATGACAGCTTTGGCGAAAGCAGTCAGGCCTTTAGAGAGATATTTCTCGTATCAGAGCCAATTAGATCTTACGATGAGACTCAGGCTGGCAGAACAATGAACGGCCAAATGCCTCGATATGGAACGAGCTGATTCTCCTGGATTTGTGAATTCGATCTCGCTGTAGCTAGACTCAAGTGCTCTTTCTTTTTTGCGGGTGAAGATCTGAATGTAACATTGCCAACTTGAGTACGCCATCTGGCTAGGAGCTGGGAAGATGTCATTTGCACGGCCATTAGACATTGAGTGGATATACTATATTCAATTTAAGTCTGGGATGAATCAGAATCAATACATGCAAAATCCGACCCAGACATTGAGGTTGCCCTGGAGAAAGTCTTGCAAGTCATAAATAACGTTGACTTGAGTGCAACGCTCTAAGTGGGAAGCTGCCCGATGATCTCCATGAAGAGGGCATCCAGGTTCAGAGGATAGAGGTCCATCATAAACCCAGAACCTGCCCACCTATCAGACACCACCCCACACTCTTATCTTTCCATCTTAAGCATCTACCATGGCGTACCAAGCCTTGTTAGCCTCACCCCACCAATAGCCATGGTAAAGAAGAGGAAGATCACCGGGTGGGGAGTGACGCACCGTTCATCCTACCTCCCTAGACATCCAAAGTGACAACACTTACCTAACTGATGCGGGAACGCTTCCAGGATGACCTAGAGGCGACGTAGCAGTGGCATGAGCCTGCATCTATCATACTGTCCATACTGCATATCATCCCTGATGGCCAAGGCAGACCAGAGGTATGATCTCGGACAACTCCTCTCGTTTAGATGGTACTTCAGCCTCCTCTTATCTGGACCATGGCAGGCCGCCATCGGACGAGATCCATAGTGAGAGTACAGTGACTTAATACTGTATATCGGTCTTATAAGCAGCGCTGTTTCTCGTCTCCTTTTCTTACTCCCCCCCCTTCCCCCATCAAGGAACATCACAGTTTCAGCTTCATTGGCAGACTTTCTACAAGTTGGAAGAGCTTTCCTACTGCCGCTGACTCACTACCGCTGAGCAACCAGAGCCACCGACTTGTGATACATCTATCGTGGCCAGTGAGCATACCTCTTTCGGGTCCAAGTACAACCATATCGCCGACAGCCAGGCCAACATGGAATCTCAGTCGAGCACCAACAGCGGCCATAACGTCATGCTAGGAGACGACAAGAAAGTCCTTGTTGAAGATGGTGTCGTGCAGACCACTTTGTCTGGCGAAGTACATATATCCGCCAGCACGGCATTAGATCCCGCCGCGGAGAGGAGATTGCTCTGGAAATTCGACCTTCGCATTCTTCCATGCCTGGCCATTATGTACTTCTTCAATGCGTTGGTGAGCGTCGCCCCGACATTTCATCATGGTCTCCTCGCCTGAAGCTCACAACGACTTACTCGTGATATCATATATATAGGACAAAGGAAACCTCGGCAATGCAAAGACAGCAGGTCTGGAGAAAGACCTCAAGCTCAAGGACGGACAGTACAATCTCATCCTGTCAATCTTCTTCATCCCTTATGTCTTGACCGCGCCGTTCCTTGGTCTGGCCGGTAAGAAGTTTGGGCCGAGTCGAGTGCTGCCGGCGATGATGATGACTTTTGGGTTCGCGACGCTGGTGAGTGCGACATCCTCGGGGAGACCAGAGACACACGCAACGTCAGGCTGGAATATATCTTGTCTCGTGCTGACCAGTGCGGCAAACCACCTCTAGATGGGAGTTGCTGTCAAGAACTTCGGTGGCCTCATGGCAACTCGTTGGTTTCTCGGCATGGCCGAGTCTGCCTTCTTCCCACTGGTATGTATCAAGTTCGATCTTGTCGTTCTCCTTGACCTACCATCTGGGAAGCCTATGCCAACTCAAAAACCCTTTCACTAGGTGATTTACTACCAAACGACATTCTACCGACGAGGTGAGCTCGCGCGGCGCCTAGCGATCTTCTATGCCGCCTCCTCGATCGCGAATGCATTCGGAGGTCTCTTATCGTTCGCCGTGTTCCACATCCACACGGGCGCGCTGGAGAACTGGCGATACCTGTTCGTGATCGAGGGGGCGTGCTCGATGCTCTTCGCGTGCTTCGCCTTCTGGTTCCTGCCGTACGACGCGCAGTCGGCACGATTCCTCACCAAAGAAGAGAAAGAACTGGCCTTCTACCGCATCCAGGTCGACTCGTCGTCGGTCGTCAGCGAGAGCCTCAACATCCGGTCCGCACTCGCCATCTTCAAACACCCGACCAGCTGGGTCATCCTGGCCATCGAAATGTGTCTCGGCGTGCCGCTCCAGTCCGTCTCGCTCTTCCTCCCCGTCATCGTCAAGCAGCTCGGCTACTCGACCGTCAAGTCGAACCTGTACGTCGTCGCACCCAACATCACGGGCGCCGTCATGCTGCTACTCCTAGGCTTCGCGTCCGACTTTACCCGATGGAGATTCCCCTTCGTCGCGCTCGGCTTCGCCTTTACCTGTATCGGCTTCATCATCTTCGCCGCCGTCGACCACTCGAACCTCACCGTCTCGTATTTCGCCTGCTTCATGATGACCTGGGGCACGAGTGCGCCCAGCGTGATCCTCGACGTCTGGTACAACAACAACATCGCCGACGAGAACAAGCGCATGATGTTGACGACCGTGGGCGTTCCGGTCGCGAACCTCATGGGCGTCGTCAGGTGAGTCTTCCCACACGCCCTTTCCCCGCCCCGATTTGTCATTTTCAAAGTCTCACACCCCTTTCTCAACAAAACAGCTCCAACATCTTCCAAAACAAAGACGCCCCGAAATACCTGCCGGCGCTGATCACGACGGCCGTCTTCGGCGCCACGGGCTGCCTGCTGACGCTGCTGCTCGGCGCCTGGATGATGTTCGACAATAAACGCCGCAACATGCGTGCCGGCAAGACCATTCGCGCCAAGGACGTGCCTTCGGAGCGCCTCAGGGACGGGCCTGATGCCGTCGAGTATCGCTGGTTCTACTGAGATGGCATGTTTTCGCGTGTGCTGGGCTGGGCGTCAGCGTGGTGATTGGGAAAGAAGAGGGGAGGAGCGATTCTAGTTAGGGGCTGGCGAAATCATGTGGAGAGCCGGGCATGTTGCGGGATGTATGTATGGATGTTTGTCACTGTGTTAGTTGGTGACCCCCGTGGTCTTGACGTCTGGGACCTTGTAACGGCATGACATACCTATAATGTGCTGTAGATTGCCGAGGTGGTATTTCACATATCCCTTGGCCCTCCCTGATTCCTCTGTCGCTATATAGCCTTACAGTGATAGGCTCTGAAACATTGGTCGGCAGTCATATATAGAGAAAATTGATGGCTGTGATAAGAGGTGTGGCGCCATGATAATGCTGGCGAGTGATACTGAGGAGACCAGGCACAAAGCCGCTGCATGTGTTCATCGTCAGTATGAAAGAACCAATGCATAGCATACCATTCTCCTTGGATAGAAATCTGCTCTGGATAAACCAACCAGTGAATCAACAACGATGAGCGATACGAGATTCACGAACAAAAAGCACTTGAGGACATGGTTACTGTAAGTAATTCTATTTTCTCATTCTCTGTCAAGAAAAGAAGGGAAGCGGTAATTGTGTCGGAGGAGAACGCTGAATGAATAGCTACAAAGGTAGCGGCTTGCGATGGCGCGGCAGAACAGGATGTCGCAAAACTGGTGTAAGGGAAAGAAGGGGGTATTTTGTCGAGTAGTAAAAGCTGTGCTGGATAACGAGGATGCAATGCGGGCTTTGATTTGCAACGACTGCATACAACTGTAAAAGCTTTCATCTGCCATGACGGCGAAGGATCCATCCACGTTGGAGGTCAAGCGCAGCTCGGTCCTCAATCTTGCTGGATGGATCCATGTTGACGAACTGGGGCAAAGCTCCAGTCGATACTGTGGAAGTAGTAGGTGCTCTGCTTCTGCCTGCGGTGTTTTTGATGTTGTTGAAGAAGGGGGAAGGATGAGATATTCCTCAAGAATTTGTTGTTGTGGGGGTCATGACTCGTGTTGATTTGTGGAAACCAAAGATGATGGTCAACACCACAAAGGGGCAAAACCCTGCAGGCTTATAACCAAACCAATGCAAGGGGGAACAAGCAAGGATAAAAAACAGCACATACTCCAAGAGTCTTCTTTTCAAGCCCTGGAGTCCAAATCACAATCTCCTCCCAGACCAATCCGGTCTTTCATTCATTTCCATGCCATACCACTGACGAGCGCGAACGGGGACAATGCTTTCTAGTTTTTGATCTCTCTTTTCGATTCTTGAATCAACTTTTCTCGAGGAGAATGGTTTTACAGGCGGCATGTCGATAGGCGATCACCGAGCTCGATTTGGAAGTGAGATCGGTATACTGTTTTGCTTCCTTGGTCCAGAGGGTAGACCACCACCATTTGACTGTGGAACCCCACGTCTATTGAGTCGGTTTGTTCGCCAACGTTCGTAAAACTATTGAATTGTAAGTGGGAGGGGAACACAATTTCAAGATCGAGGTACTCACTACTTCACGACAAGCCTCACGCAATTCTGATCTCCATTCACCAAAGACAGCCTCTTTGACCTTGACGAAATCACAATGTTCGGGACTGTGGGGATCAGCGAAACCCCAAGGAAATTGTCTGCCCACTGGACCATCCTTGGACTCGAGGGAATACTTGTCCGGACTGATGATGGACCAAGGCTCAAACCCACTTGGAAAACTGGTGTCTGTCACAGACAAGTTCGACTGTTGGCGACGGTGACTGTGACGCTTGCCATTGGATTTGGGTGGACCGGCGTCAGAACCCTCGCTCTTTGAGCCCGCCTCGCTTCCGGTGTCGGCGTTGCTGCTGAGCTCATCTTCTTGACGCTCATCGAATCCGCCATCGTCGGAATCATCAACTGCGAAATTGAGAGCCTCCAAAGGATCCAGTCCGGCCTTCTTCAAGCTCTTGCTAACCTTCTGTTTCAAGAAAGCCATGTGTGCAGTCGTAATTGTGTCAGCCTTGCTTATGACGGGTATGACAGTGGTCTGTTTGGAGAGAGTCTTCAGAATCTGGATGTCGAAATCCTCGTCGAGTGCTCCAACAATACGAGTGGGTTTGGAAATGCGGCCTCCTTCTGAGGAAGTGTTCTGGGCCTCGGCCAAATTGATGTTCTCGTCAAGTCTCGAAGGATCGAGAATAAGGAAGACGCAATGGATATGCGAATCCACGACCCCTGGAGAGCGGACGACCTTCATCTCCTCAACGAAGGTGTCGTCAAACTTGCTTTCAACGAAATTGGACATGTCGCGCAATTGAAGATCAACCACCCCTTTGTCCAGGCCCTGTGAGTCCCAAAGAGTCAATCCTATTCGCTCGTGGTCGACTTCGAACTCCTGATAGTGATGGGTATAGTTCGGGTTGATGCGCGCGGAGGGGGGTGGGGAATCGATCTCAGGTGCTTTTCCCGGCTGCTTTCTCGGAGGGAGTGCGAGAGATCGCTTCAGGAAGTTGAGGAAGGAGGTCTTGCCGGAGTTCCGGGCACCAATGATGAGAATGTTGTACGGAGTGGGATCTTTCCGACGACGAACTCTTCGAGGAGAGTTAATGGTGGAGACAATCGAGGTTGCGTAGGAGTATCGACCACCTGCGAGAGCACCAGGTTAGACAGATATCAAGATTCACTAACGGGTGATGGGAGCGGACAACTTACGATGGGTCATGCTCTCAGTCCTTGCATATGGATCAACGGCATCTTTTTCCAGGTGACTCGGTAGAGGAGGAACTGGTGGAGCATTCCTGGCACCGTTTGTGTACTCTCGATGAGAATTCTCACCACCGAATGTCTGGATGCCCAAGGGCTGTGGGGTGTAGCCAGGTAGTCGCGGAGGGGACTGGGTGACCTTTGCCTGTTCCTCCATATCGCCGTGTTTCTTCTTGAGACGACTTGATGAACCTTTGCGGTCGCCCAGGGCTTCACCACTTTTTGAGCGAAAGAGACGCGAGCCGAGACTTGTACTACGACGACTGGAGGCCTGCGACTCATTGCGAGCAAGAGAAGCGGGCGAAGTCATGATGGCTCTCGTATATGGGAAAGGGGCTGACGTGAGAGGGTTGTAGTTGGCAGTGCTGGTGCGTTGGTTGAGATGGTCGTTGGATGCAGGTGATTATTGAACGAGAAGAAGTGGCTAGGGGCTATCGGACTTGTTGTAGCTCGTCAGGTAAGTGATGAACTTGAAAGGCGACCAGCGCAGATGTGGTTTCCGAGAGAGGGTGGTTGAAAGGAATGACGAGGTGAAGGACACGATTAGTTGAGGTTAATGTCGAGAGGATGGGGTCGACAGCGATAGGATGCGCAGTGCAGTGCGCGTCCGAGGGAATTAAAGAGAGGGCGAATCCAAGAGGCAGTCGCGGTCGCAGTTGCAAGAATTGCAGCTGAGGAGAGTTCCGTGGCACAGTCATACGGACATGCAAAGGAAAGTATCGAGAAGCAAGAGTGGTCCGGGGTACAGCAGGCTTGAGAGTTTAGGGGCTCCAGAGGCAAGGAGACCCTGAAATGATCACCATGACGGGCTCTTCAGGCCGAGCCTTGGGCTTAGACTGCCCACAATGGGCCTTGATTATGCACACTAGGCAGCTCCCTAGGTCACTAATGAATCCAAGTCCGTCACTAAACCGTCGGTGGTGGGCAAAGCCGCCAATCTAACTCGTCCCAACGGCCATTGATTGGCTTGAGCCCTGGATTTCATGGAGTTCAAGTGACAGTATTCAGCTACCGAGTCAATCCTGTCAACCACGTTTACGGAGAATTATTGGGAAGCAGAAGACCTTGGGAATCGAGTCTGGTGTTCAGGTACAAGTGTTGTCTGCCCGTCTGCCTTGTGTTACCAAGATGTTGCTTCAGGACGGATCATCAGCCTGTATCCCATCATTGTTCAATTTCTTCTCGACCAAGAAAGTGCTCCATGTTCAGACTTCAGGGGCTCGACTTTCTTGGATCTGGCTGCTTCACGACTGGCTGCTCATCAACGGCCGCACGTTTCAGGAACAAGTGGTCACATTAGCGTGGCTTCTGGTGTACGAGGTACTCCTATCTGCTGCTACTTCGTACCTAGTCCGGGCAAATACTGCTAGTGGCAGACCCCTGCCCCTCCTTCAACCTCAAAGTTGGAAAAGAATTTCCATCCACGAGCGAGAACAATAATGGATCTTTTCCACCAATATCTTCTTTGCTTGCCCATGTCAGAATCAATACCACAGCACACAGGTTCACTCTCCACGTCATTTTAAGAATATCCATCTCCGCCTCACGTGAAGTCATACTCGTATCAAGCATGCCGCCACCCAGCGGACGCCAGAATTCGTGGATCACCCAACTCGGTCTTTCAGCTAATAATCTACCGCGTAATCGTTGAGCACGGCGGACGATAGGGTAGGAAATAGCGTTCGTGATCCACGAGTTTTGTCAGGCACGGGGTGCCCGCCATCATCATTTTCGTGCTTGTAGAAACACTGTCACCTTCACTTCACAAGATTTCTCTTTGTCCTCGGCCGTTTCCGTCCATGTCGGTGCTGTCTTGACCTCTCCCACTAATTTGAGGAAACTATCCGTCATTCCAGGTCGGATGAGGATGTTTGATTCCTTGCTCAGCCAAGGAAAGGATGCTATCGCATGCGAAAACACCTTCCCCTCGAACTTCCAATCCCAGTTGTCGATCATTCTGTCAATCAGCTGGTCGATGTTTTCAACTTTGCTGAGCCCTACGGGTGCAGCGCCGTGCGGAAATCCATCCAGCCAAATCTGTATCGTGGTTTTTTCGAGAACATCAATGGGGCGCACAGAGCTCGTTACGGAAATCAACGAGTCAGAACGGCCTCTCTTGGGCTCACCAGTCTGTTCCCTCTTGCTCTTGCTCTTTTTGTTTGCCTTGTCAGCTTTGTTGCCGCCAGGGCGCCGCCCCGAGCTTCTACGAGCCTTGGGCTTTTGCTTGGGAGTTGAATCGATCATTTCTTCGATGTCCTCTGAGTTTGCAGCAACACCCGTTGCCTTTTCCAGATTATATTGAATTCTCTCGAACTGGTATGGATGGGTTTGCTGGATCGTTTTCTTGCGCAGCGTCCGGCCACTGGCTGGCGTCGGATCTTGTTTTGTTGCTTCTTCGATGCTCTCATAATTGACCGGCTCTGGAGTTACAGCGTCGGCATCACCATCTTCGATGTCCTGTAGCCTAGGGCGCTTGACTCGAATTTTCTCCGAGCGAGGCGAAGAGCTCAACATGGGAGAGGTGTTTTGTTCGTGATCTTGCGCTTTGCGATGACGTTTGGCACTGGCGCTTGCAGAAGATGTAGCTTTAGATTGTTGGGAACTGGAAAATCGCTTTTTCTTTGCAGCAATTGGTTTCTGGGCTTTTTGGGCAGTGGTAGGTCCTTCGTCATCAGAGAATTCATCTGAATTGTATGCATCGTTGTGAGGGTCCTCATCGGAAGCGACTTCACGAAAGTGTGGAAACTCGTGGGGTTCATCTTGAAGTTCATGTTCGGTTGGAGAGACATAAACCGTACCCCCAGAGCTACTCCCCGAAGCTACCCGGCGAGGGCGAAACCAAGTGGTGTTCATTTCGTCTCTTTCTGAGAGTGTATTGGCTTCGCATTGAGTGGTTGGGTGAGTTTGAAGAGCAGAAAGGCTATCATCGAATTCTGTAAGATAGATGTCGGAAAGAGGGGCCGAACTCGCTAGACGAGGCATGGCCGCGGTGGCGGTGACAGTGACGGGAAAGTGGTCTTCCTGTGAATCAGAGGCAGTCGACGACATGAGGTGAGACGACCGCTGGGCTTGCGGAGATCGAGCTTTGCGAAACGGGTCATGAACGATCAGCAAAAACAAAGTAGCCTGCGATGTCTCATTGTGCGGGTAGAAAAGCGCCAAACAAAACCCCCCAGCGGCAGGAGGTGGTCGTGACCTGCTGCACAGGCAGTCGCTCCTCCCAAAAAAGAGTTGTGGAAACCGCACACCTGACCTCCCAGAATCCATCACTACTGCCCTGATGCTTCTTTACTCTCCTTGTCTTTCTTGTCAGCCATGGCTTTCAAGATGCCCAAGTCGAGCGGGACGCGTTCACCCAGCCAAGTGGCTCTTTGACTGTGGTTTCTTAACTCATCCTCATCGTCTGTGTTGGGGTGGACCAGGGCAGACAATGGACCTCTGTTGATCACCAGCCAGGGTATGAAAGCCCCAAACTGTGCTGGCGTGAACAGATTGACCTCGAACATAGGCAGCGTGTGAGGCCCAATTGGCTTGTCCCAGAATCGGTAGACTCTACATGTATAAAATCGCTGTCAGTACACCCACAACCAAGCGTTCAGAGTATTGTCTCTGCTAAACCTCGGGTCATCCTCACCTCAATTCCGGAAATTCCCGTCGTATCCTCTCCCTCAACTCCCTCGCATATTGGGCGTGTTCTGCATTCCCGCCGTGATGGTAGATGTGGACATCAAATCCTCCCCGACGCCCATTCGTAAGGCCACTATTGAACTTCTCATATGCTTCACTGAGAACACCGGTTTCCGGATTCTTGAGTGATTTGCCATCCTCGGCCAGTTCTTCGCCCAGAGATTCAAGTCCCTCGAAACCTTTGAGCGGAGATTCATAGGTATACCAAAACGTATCCGACATCGTGCTTGTTGTTGGGGCGATGCAAGGAAGAGATCAAGTGCAGAAGGTTGAATTATATCAGCCCCCTTTTGTTGTCTTGGTTTCACGAAGCTTGATATTTGTAGTTTCTTGTTGATCCAAAGACTGAGTGATGAATGTTTACGAAAGAGAAGAGGGACGAATGATATCATTCATGCTTAGATGATGCCGACCACCTGGCGCGGAATAAGTTCCGGATGCTTACAAGATATGTATCGTTGCTGTTTTCAATCCTGGCCAACCTCACCCGAAATATAGTTTTCTTTGAACACTGGGTCCCTGGGAGCCAGGGCGAAGCACTCGGTGAGATAGCTGAAGCACTCTATTTTAGGGAGACGAACATGACCAAAATGAGATGGTCATCATAATGGCATGGGTCTCCGTTGGAGACAAAATCTTCTCTCAAAGGTCACAAGGAGGGTACCATGAAGAGCCTCGTCTACTCTCCTCGGCCCCAGACTCTAACCGAGCCATCGCCTTTGACCTGATAAAGCCATTCAGCATCCACCATATCTTCCTCTTTTTCACCACCGCCCTGAGCGCCCCCTCGACTGACCCTGACCACACCAGAGACATCCTCCGCTGTGCCTGTGTCGAGACCCCTCAACTGAAAGAGCCATTGAGACTGATGTGCCATGCTGGTAACCAGCAGCGCGTGATCCGCTTCCAGTGGCGTCGTAGATGTAGAGACCCCGTCATGGTTGTGGAGGAGTGGCCCATCGGCACTGCATGTCACGATCAGTGACTGTGATTTTGTGCGCAGTGTAGCGAGTGTGGACTGAAGCGAAAGCACGGAGATCGATGGCTGTTGGCATGCGAGGACGAAGTCGATTCCGTCGATCACCACGACTGGCATGCCGGCCGCTGGCGAAGGTGTTGTCGACCCTGCTGGCATACGAGCACTGGCGGCATTTGTCCTGGCCGGAGTTCTCGAGCCGACCATGGATTGTGCGGATATGGGGTGGTTCGTAAGAAGTCTCACGGCATCTTTGAATTTATGCTCGATCTCTTCGAGCCCCAGAGATTTGAGTCGAAAGGAAGACGATCCCACTGGGTTGTCCGTACCAGGTTCCCCTGCGTCAGCGTTGCCATATGAAGTCAGGCCATCAACATATACTATTCTCCCCTTCTTCACTAGCAAGAGAATGTCAAGACCCTATATTGATGAAAATCCGTTAGCGGACAAGACCCTCTAATCTCACTCTCTCGTTTTTGTGTCTTTCGAAGCATATCAAAGATTGTCAAGACAATCAGATACGGGAACGATAGATGAAAAGCCAGAATGGACAAACATTACCAATTTCTTTCCAATCTCTACCCAAAGTGTCAGTGGCCTGAGTAGACTTATAAAAATCACTGGGCGTTCATTATTCGACGGTTCCAAGTCCTCCACGGGCCCTTGAGAAATTCCATGGGCACTGGAAATGCCATCATCTCCGATTCCGTAAATCGCGGCATAGATGAAGCGTAATGTCAGCCATGGTGACGGTGTACTTAATGTTGACGTGACGAGTGTTGCGCTATGATTGTTACTGGATGTGAGGCATGCTGAGACATATGATGCTAGTGGTGGTGGGATGGGGTTGGGCATATTTTGGTGTAGAGGAAACTTCGAGGTTAAAGTGGTCAATACCTAGGTAGTTTTTTATGTATATTGTTCTCGTAGCGGGACTCGTGGATTATGGAGAAGGAAAGAAATTCTTTTGTTCATGGGGTTACGATGGCCATATTTGCATCGAATCGATACTACTATGATGGAAAAGCCGCGAGGCAAACTTTCTGGGTTTCTGCAAGTCTTTGAATGAATTTTTGCTTTCATGCTTATTCTGCGCCAGTTACACAATAAAAGCAGGATTGGCCTTATGAAACCCTCAACTCGGGAAAAGCAGCGTTTCTATGCCATAGCGGGTCGCTTTGCGATTCCACGACTTTTAGAAAATGATCATCCGAGCGATTCTCCCCACTCGCAGTTTCGATGTCTGTCACCACCGCCTGATATCGTAAAATGAATCGATGTTGGTCGGCCGTCATGGTATGACCATCATGGTTTGGCACCAACACTTCATGAAAACCCCCATGCACATCTGTTCTCCTCGCAACTCAAAAAGACAGTCCGATGTTTAAGCCTTCTGAGGTCCTCGGGAGCCCTTGGGTACGCCGGATTGGAAGCCGTTCTTGAATTTGCTGTGTTTCATCGCGATTAGCCAAGTCTCCTCAGTGCTGATATTCAATCCTCTGTCCATGATTGAAATTCCACATTCGACCGAGAAAGGATTGGTGCTCGCAACCAACTCTTTTCTTGCCATGTCTTTCGAAGTTTCCATCATTTTCAAGGAGGGTGTCTTACCGAGCAACAGTCTTCAGTGATCTCAGACGACCGGTACCAGTGGTCTTGCGTCTCTTGGCCTTCTCACTCCATTCATACTTTCGCACCTTAGCAGCGGGGTACTAGAAAAGGGAAAAGACTTCAAGTTAGTTGTTTTGTGCTAATAGGTGATTCGAGGAGGAGGAAAAGTTCGAGGGCATGCAGGTTTCGTACTCCGCAGTTTGCGCAGGTGTGCTTCTGAATATGTAGACTTCGGCGACCGCATCTGAATGGAATTGTAAGAACATTGCGTATATACCGAGACCTTGGAACCAATTACGAACCTCCGGCAGAGAGTGTGCGTCTTGTTATGTCCTGTGAGAAGATCCGGTCAGAACCCATCCCCCATCATCAATCATTTTCTGGTGAGAGTCCTTACGTTTACCGAAAGAACTCGTTCCCTTCGTCATCTTGACTGATTATCGGTCGAAACTTTCTGTGCTCTTGTTAGAGTCTGCGATGTAACAGTCGAAGGAAGGGTTCGTACGGGAGTCGTGATGTGCGTGGCGGAGGGACTGGTTTGAGGTCTTTCTCTTCGTCCTGCAAAGGCAAGGTCCCAGGGTGTGGCATGTGTGGGTGCCAAGAGTTACGAAATTCCTTGGCATTCTACGTCACGTGAAACCTCAGCCTTGCAGATTCTTTGCTTAAAGTCAACGTCAGCTAATTGGCGGACTTGAGTACCTAGGTAGCCTTGCCCCCGTTCAGCCTGCGCTTGAGTGCGTTTCATTTCCTAACACCTCCTGAATGCTTTTCTAATGCCACCATGAAATACAGTCCTATAAAAGGCCACCCGCCTTTTCCAATAAAGTGTCACCACCTTGGCCTCTCCCACCTCAGGATCGATCGTTTCCGCGACGAAGCTGCCCCTGAGGTTGCGATCTTGGTCACAATCCCACTCGCGTTGACATAGTTAGTAATCAAGCACCTACACGCACTACTGACTCTGCTTGCGTTGCCCTGACATCCGCTGTAGTACGTTGGTATCACTAGGGGTGTAGTGGAAGTTGTGTTCAAGTAATTTGTGCAAAAAGCATAGCCCGAGCTGGATCCGAGATATCTGTTGTCCAGCACGTTGCGCATACAATTATCCTCATTGCACTTCAAGGTAGTTGTTGTCGCATTTGGCGCCACAGTCGGCTGAACGATGTTTGCTTGAGATGTGGTAGAGCTTCCATACGCAAAAGTGCCGCTCGTGGTTGAAGGTGCGCTTGATGGGGAGGAGCTAGGACTTGCTGTTGATGATGTTGTAGTGCTTCCCGTACCTGCCCCACGTGTAGTTGTTGAAGCTTGATCACTAGAAGAAGCGAAACCTTGCGAGCTCGAAGAACTTCTGCTAGAGCTACCACTGCCACTCGAGGACAGGGACGACGACCCAGAAGTAGACCCAATCGTACTTGTGGGGGATCTGGAGGTGCTAGAGCTTCCGCTTTTGGTGGATGACACAACGCTTGTCGAAGTGGAGCGAGAAGTTGATGGCACGTTCAACGTTTGTCCTATGTTCAGCTTGTCCCAGTCCAATCCAGGATTTGCCATTTTCAGGGCATCGAAAGAACAACCGAGTTTCTGAGCAATAGCATAACCATAATCACCGGCGGTCACCTTGTACTGTGAGCTTGTGGAGGCCTGTGCACTAGAAGTAGCGGTAGCATTCATCGAGGCCCCTGCGCTAGTGCTCGTGCTCGCACTGCTTGTGGTAGTTGGTGCCTTGGAGCTAGAGGTGGTAGACTGCGAGCTAGGAGTCATGGAGAAACTCGATGATGTGCTCGAAAATGTCGTTGTCTTAGATAGCGAACTTGATGATGTGTGAGTTGAAGAAATTGAAGGCGTACTATTTGAAGATGTTCTCATGAATGTGGGGCTTGTAGCCAATGAGCTTTGAGACGAGGCAGGAGAAGAGCTCGTATATGAATTTGTGCTGGAAAGGCTGGCGGAAGTGGTGGAAGAGGAGCCCATGTAAGGGTTCGAGCTAGAAGAGCTCGAAAATGTGGCGGAAGAGGAGGTTATCAAGCTGTTTGGCAGACTCATGGATGTGCTGCTGGTAAAGGAGGTTGTTGATGAAGTGGAACAAACGCCTCCAGGCACCTTCAATACTTGGCCCAAAAGGAGTTTATCCCAGTCCACGCCGGGGTTACCAACCTTTAGAGTATCGAAATTGAGCGTCAAGTTCTTTGCGATTTTGTACCCGTCATCACCCGCCACCACAGTATATGTGCAAGGGAGAGATATGGTTTCATTCGTGCATTGAACGGATTTGTAAATGCCATCGAAACGATTCGGGTATTTCCAGCTTGAACAAGGATTCGGAGTGGTAATCTTGACCGACTTCACGAAGGCACTGTAGGGAAGTTTACTGAAGTCAGTGAGGCCACCACCCCAGCCAACTGTGCCGCCACTATTGGTTTCGGGATCCCCTGAACACCAGAGACCGAGGTGTAGCCGTGAAGGGGTTTGTGGATATTGCCATTCTCCAGAAGTTTCATGGTTATTATTGAGGGTGCGCACATTCTTGCCATCGATGGACCATGTCAAAGACTCGGGTGTCCAGTCCAGGGCATAGGAATGGAATTGGTCTTGTGGAGAATCGACAGGTGGCGCTGTACCACGACCATAGTTGCCAGCAATGCCTTTGCCAAAGAAATTCGTCTGAACTTGACCTTTGTTCTGAGCAAAGTTATTGCCCGACCATTCCCAGTCAATCTCATCAAGATCGTCAGACATCATTACCGCGCCAGTGATGATTCCTGCACCAGGAGCCGCTTTGAGAACGACCTCAATGCGCCCAAACAATACGTAGAAACGAGTCCATTTGTAGGGGGCGTCCTTCCGCTTGCCGAAGGTGAAGTTGGCTCCGTTGGGAGCTCCATAAGTCACGGTGGCGTGATCAGCGAGGATCCAATCGCCAGTTGTTTCAGTTTGTTGTGTAAAGTCAATTGAGTAAGAATTGCTTGGTAGACCCGGTATGGGCATGCAAGAGCCGAGTAATGGGTTGCAGGGGTCAGCCGTCACCAGGTGACTGATTGTGACCAACACAGCCAACAAACTCGCAAAGAGTAGATAGAAAGCCATATTTACTGGATATGTTCATAAGACTGAAGGAACTTCAGAGATAGTCGCTCTCAGAAGTTCTTAGATATTGGAATGGGTTTTGGAACAAACCCCCCAAATGTGTAGGAAGACGGATACGACCGCAAGCAGACAATGAAAATCCCACGTACCTGATCACCATCGCATGGCTAGTACAACACAAAGCAGTTATGAACAATGGCAAAGCCGCATCTGCGATATGATGGGAACAAACCACGCAGTTTACATTGGCGCACCCCACTGCATCCTTTTGTGACTGTCGAAATTGGTGGGCGCCAGCCACAAATTGTGGAAAATTGTGACATACACAGCCTCGGCAGGCTTAGGATGGACGACATCATAATGTCCATCAAGGCTTGAACGCTACCAATATATGAATACTATGAAAGGAGGATGAGGTTTGGAACGCAACGCAGGAGGACGGTTTTGGGTTTGAAATTCCCGGTTAAGCGAAACTCTCCTGTAAACTTTCAAAGCCTAAAAGTACCTGCTAGTGGCGATCATGGCCTGCTAGGCATTTACCTAGGTAGTTTATTTTGTGTACCGAGTACTCCTTCTATGATTGACCTGCTTGTAACAAGGCTTGCCATCTATTTTCTTTCTCAAAGGTATAAAGCTCTTGCATTGAAATCATCTAGAAACGACTGCGTGACTTCCTGCTCCATCACCCGCGTCTCGTGAAACCAAAAATCAGCGCTACCAGGAGTCGTGATTGGAACTAATATGACTATTCTCCTGGCAGCGCCGGTAAAAATACACCTGAACGATCTAAATCTTCAAGCATGATCCCGTGGCCGTCACATCTGCTGTCACGCTGGTTGCGAGGATCAATTCTGAGCATATCCCTGGCGAGCATGAAATTTCAGTTCGACTCCCAATAAGAGAAAGTGTACGTGTGGATCGGGCACAGGGAGTGGTCGTAGGCGCGCAGAGCTCTATAATCTGTATTCTGTATTCTGTGAAAAGTACCAAGTTTTTAGAAGTCGCCTGAATTGAGTCCACTAGAACTCCACCAGAAGTGCTTGTCGACTCAAGTGTCGAAACGGGCTGCGAAATTGTTGCACTTGAAGTTGTTATTGGTGTAACTGGTCGAGATCCACCATCGGTCAAATATAGAGAAGTCACAGTTCTTGTGGTGGGCCGTATCTGGAGATTGGTGGATGCTGGAAGGACCGTTGAAGGCGTTGATGAATCTCCCATGCAGACTCCGGGATCACAATGTGATACGTATACTGGGACAATCGACGTCGTCGTTACTGTCAGATCTGTAAAAATGGTTGGCAAAGTAGAAGTTATTGTGGCTATATCGATGGTTGAGGTAACAGAACCAGTTGTGCTTGTAGGCAACGGATCAAGGGTCACTGGTGGCTGCGTAGGTGCTCCTGAGAATGAGGGATCGGCCTGAGGTGTAGCATAAGCCTCTCCATTAGGCCCGAATATGAGGAGAGCAGAGTCTTGTACATCTATATGGTCATATTGTCAGCCCTGATTCTTGACCCTATCCTGCCCTCTGGGAAATTTTAGAACACTAGGACAGTCCTTGGCCCGTGAGCTCTGGGTGTGTAGCTCAACATTTAGGAATGCTTACTTCCTTCTTCAGATGCCAGGAGGACGTTGAATATGTCAGACCATAGAGTGCACAATCCCACAGCTCCGATGTTTGGACCATTGAATGTTACCGCCAAACACGTCCCCCGTGCAGTAATCCCGTTATAGTCGGCGCATGCACCGATGCACTGGCTGTAGTTGGAAGTATCCTCTTGGGAAATGATATTTCCTTCATAATTCGTCGTACATTGTAATTGCCAGATGTAGTTCGCTGGCGTTATATAGAAGTATCCATCATACTCGTCGCATTGAGGGACTGTCGTGATGGGAGGAGCGTCTCGTCGGGTTAACTAGCCATGTTAGTTGCGCCAACAGCGTAGTTTTCCGCAAATTTACCTCTATTCCATGGGGTTCAATAACTTGGACTCGACTGCGCAGCACAGTGGTTTCCTGTCTGGCGGTTGTAAGATCGTGAGATTGACTTGAGCCAGTGGTGAAAAATATTGAAGCCACCCAAGGCACCAGTACTAGGACGCCTTGATAGCCAACGGCATACATCTTCTTTGCATTTGAGAATACGATATTGAAGGATAATGGCAGGACACAGTTGACATGTTGGTAAAGGAGTTGTTGATGTTTTCTTCTGCACGGCCCTATGCATTCGTGGTCAGCACTGGAATGTAAACAGCATTATTACTTTGTGTGCGTTGAAACAACGAAAGCAGTGGCACTGAGGGGTTACAAACCATACTTGCGATATAAAGGTTTCTGTTAGAGTTATGGGCGAGTAGCAGTAATGGTTGAAATGTGTTTGACCAGACGTGTCTCTCCTGGAAAAGTCGCAGCAACAAGTACACAAGTGCCTGGCTAGTGTGTTGACGAGCGGTTGTCTCCTTTGGTGAACAAAAAGGTTAAGAGGCTTCGGCTATGCTAGTAATAATGAGAATGTACCACAGAAAGCCATGGTCAGCAGACCATGTGGCCCTCGAAGGCCATGCAAACTTAAGCCAACTGCTATAGTACATGAAAGCTTGGAAGAGAAGCGCAGGGAGATGCTCACTTATTTATGTGAGTAATTAGCGAAAAGAGGCACTCGTATTAGAGGTCCTCGATGTTTAGCGACGGGAGAGGGCTTGCCTGCTGGGTTGGTTGATATCCACTTCCCCAGGTCACCAAGCATTTTTTGGGCGACGTGTCACCCTGCATTCATATCATAACCTCTGCTTCTGGCCAAACCTTTGTCAGTAAGTTGTCCGTCCACTCTGAGGATCATTAATCTGTCATGTGGCGCAATATTGCTGGGTTCGCCGGTGAATCATGGGAGAAGTTGTGCTGACGGAATCTGCCACCAAGGTCGATACCTCGTGATCTGAGGCCAAAAAAGGAGTGCTTGAGAAGCCCATGCCGAAACTCCGCTCTCTAATTATGATTAACTAAGACCCTTTGGACCTGACCTGACAGCGCATTTCGTAAGTCGAGTCTGACCAATGATAAGAGACTGGTCTTCGTACCCCATTGTTGGCGCTCTGGCTGCTCCAGTAGCGTTCTACTGCCTTGCGAGCGATTTCATTCTGGAACTCTGGCCGTGCTCTATAGCGGTTGAACACCGCAAACTGGAGTTGACTCATTGTAAACGAATTCGGACGGGCCTGTATCTCGCTCCAAATCTTTGCGAGCCCTTCCTCCAAAACTCCTGCGATGCGGGAATCAAGGTCCCCACTCTCGTTGCGTTGAGCTATGTTGAGAGCGTCTCGAAGACTGACCGGCACCGTACTAGGCATGGTCCTGTTCGTATGAGTGACCAACAACTTGAGGCGATGACGATGACGATGGCGCTTGGTGATTATCTAGAGCCCCGTCGATCAGGGTGGTAATGGTTTAAGAAATACAGGGTGGTCAAGCTCAAGTCCATAGCCAGGCTTTTCTAAATGGTCTCGGAGCCTCGCAAGAAAAGATGACCCGAAACTCGTGGGACATGGAAGATAGAGATAGTTCTCACAGATAATCTTGATTTGCCTGGTGATGCAACTGCTCCACGAACCTAAACGCTGCACGCACGACCTGTCGAATGCCCCACCAATTTGGTGGTGCAACTATATAAGCGAGGACGCAAAAGAGCGTTTCTGTTGCAAAGAGCATTAAGGTTGACGTCTCGGCCCATAGAGGTGCACGGAAGAGGTGCATCCATGTCAGTGGAAAAGCAGATCCTAATCCTACACTCCAGTTTCTTGCTGATTGAGAATATGCTTTGTGGCGCATTCAAATGATGCTCCTTGGTCAAGAAGACGGGTCCGAGCATTTGTAGATGAGAAGGACACTTGCACGTCTCGTTCAAAATGGGTTCGTGGCCGCAACGGGGAGTGTGACATCGGGGCGGGACTCTTGGTCATGTCGGTTTGATCTCTCCCAAATTGCAATTCTGTGCGCGTGGGACACGTGTTAATCCGTCCCGAGTACCAGACAGTTCAGCACTTTCGCCGTGGACGGGTCTCATACATCTGGCACAAACTAGATGGGTCCTCGGAGCCGGTGGACGAAACAAGGTTTTTCTTACTTTCTGAGTTTTGAAGCACAGGCGGTGGATGATTCATGGTGCGATTGTTGCCCGGAGTTAGTCGCTATGATACACGACGATGTCCGATTTGTCCTTTAAATGGCCCCTGTCCCCAGCAGCGAACTCTCGGGACCAGCGTACCCGGTCATGTCCTCCCCAGGGACAAACAAGGTAAGGATAAGTACTGAGGTACCAGAATAATCCCCCCAGGGCCTTGACCTGGCTCTTTCTGAGGAGGTTCACCCAGGTTTGTCTCTGTCGCGTTGTGTTAGTGTTCCAATGAGGAGCAAGTTGATGCCTGAAAGCCTGAAAGGTTGTGAGTGGACCACGGGCATGATAAGCTGCACACAGCAAAAACTACCTTAGCAGCCCGCATGAAAGCCAAAGATTCCGACCTTTAGCGGGAACTTTACAGGTGGTTGTATGCGAAAATTCAGTGGTCTGATCCAGCTGCCAAGGCGTAAGGATGGACCTCCGAAGGACAAAGAAACCCCAACCCCAACTCTCTCAGCCAGTCAAGTTGCGAGTACAATTACTCGGTTTTCGTCGTGGATGGGTCATGGTCCCCTGCACAAACCTTCAGAAGTAAGCTTGATCAGTTGGTGGCTTCTCCTTCCTCCCAATGGGAGAAAAGTGAGCTGCTCAAGCTTGAACCTTGCTGTACATTTGCGCTCTCGCTAGAATTGGCCACGATACTGCAGGGTCTGTCGAATCCTTTTCGACATATGGAGTCCTCATATGATACCTCATTCAATGCTCTTGGAGAGCTGGGTTACTCCATTGAGTGCACTGCTACGATCAGGCCCAGTGTACAGGTAGTCCACGTCGATCAGTGGTCACTCCGTTCTGTTTCTTCGTTTGAGGGATGTCGCCGCTCACC